AAAGGACAGCATTACTATGCAGTAGTGCGTCAGTCCATGGATGTGGCCCCAACTTGTGTAATCCGAATATCTCTGCCAACAAGGGACACAAAATAAAATTGCAGTGGTGCCTCGATCCATATATTAGTACGGCGAATTGTGTGAAGCTCCTTTGATAAACACAATAGCCAAGACTATAAATCCGTACATATCTTTATATGAATTACTTCACCTTAGCACTAAGCATCAGAAAATAATTCATTGTGTGTTGCTAACCCCGTAGCAGCCCAACTATTTGAGGGGCGGTGCTACACGGCAATGGATTGGGAACCAATTCGAGGACGACCTCGGACCTGATTGATTGGGCTACGCATGTAGGAAACTGGTCTTATAAAATGATCGGCAGTGAGCGCTATGATTTTAATGCGAGGCCTGCAGGAGTACTAATGACGAGCAATTGATCATCGAGTGACTGATGATCTCTTAGTCCAATTACTAACCACCGAGCATTCAACGGATAGACTATTGTGAACAAAGTCTGGGCTATAAGTAGACCGTCGTTCCTGTTGATGTATGCTAACCATTACTACATGTCCAAAATTCGAATTTCAGTTTCTTGTCTAATTCCTGAAAAATGACTTTAGGATCACTTGCCACACCCACGGACTACGATCACCTCGTACAGGCGTGTATAGGTGCACGAATTAAGATTCCATTTTTGCACGAGCTCTCACCGGACTGGCGGCCAAAAGTGAACCGTCAGTACAATGATATCGTTGAGGAAACTGTTGAAAACTGTCGTAAAATGTAAAATCCCCGCTCTTTTTGTTTACTTGATCCCGGAAGGATTAACAATCTTGAAGTTGGTTACCTGACGCTTTGCGATACAAACGGAATGTGGAAACAAACTGCACGTTTCTTGCAAGCGCCGTAGCCCCTGAAGCGACAGAGTCAAAAATGCGAGTTTTTGCATTGTATGCTACCTGGGTAAGCACACCTCTTTCCTATCCATGTACCAACATGAATTAGACTAAACAATGATCTCTATATAGCTCTTTGCCTGGGATGATGGTACAAATCCACCGATTCCAGCTAACTTTGAACCTTTTGCTCACTTAATAGCGGTTGATTTCGGTGATTTTGATGAAGGATACCAGCAACGAGAGCTACTGCGCATCGAAACCTCGAACAGCATTCGCAAAAGCCTTCTTGACGAGTATACAATTGAGGATCCGGCCCATATTGCTCCCAATTTTGCACTGGCGCAGTCATTCTACATGATAGGTGTTCAAGTCCGAGAAAGCACGAAACTCAGTAAGTTAACTTCAATTTTAGAAAGGGAGAACCGCAACCTTATAAAACTCAAAGTGCACATTAAAAAGCTTTACTGCGACACTCTATGTGACTACGTTGCTGCAGTAGTGAAGTTGCAGAACTGTTTTGAAAAGGGTGTTATATTTGGTATAGATGAATATATGGCCCTCCGGATGGATGCTTCTGCTATTTACCCCACAATAGCTCTTAGCCTGTGCGACTCCCAACCTTCAAACATAAATCACTAATACTGACTCTGAGTTTTAGATTGTCACAAGATATGGATGTTCCAGAGTGGCTGCTTGACCACACCCTGGCGAAGGAAATGATGAGGCACATCAATATCATGGTATCGCTGTAAGCAACACTCTATACTCCATCTTGGACACTATCCAGTATCTCGCTAAGCCTTATAATAGCGACAACGACATTGTTTCTGCAAGACATGAAGTGGTAAGAAATATTCTATGTTTACTTATCGGAATCTTACAGCTCACAAGATCAGAGATGCAAACATACAGATAACATTATTCCTTTACTCGTTCACCATCAAGGAATGACACCCCAACAGGCGGTGAACCATTGTTGCCACTTGATCCGCAGCAGCTACATTGCATTTCAGGAACTTGAACCCAGACTTCTTAAAATCGGAGCCGAACATGATATCATAGACAAAGTTCACGCATTTCTGAGGTGCTGCAAGAATGAACGTATCGGACTTATCAATTGGCTGTGAGATCTCTCGCCCAAGGAGCAAATAATCAATACGTTTCTAACACAAAATAGGTATACCATCAAGCGGTATTTCGATTTCCGGCCGTCGAATGGAAATACTCATATTGAGGTAACTCTCGGCGACTAAAAAAACAGAACTTTATTCGTTGCTTGTCAAAGTACCGAGTGCGAAAGGTCTTGGAAGGGTCTCGGGATATAACATGGGTCCTCATATTGTTGAACTTCCCAAACTTTATAATTTAAAGCATTCAACATGTAGCGTAGTTTCAGATTGAATTGTTACTTTTTTGTGGGCTATTCAAGCTACCATAAAGCACCCACATACGTATGAGCCACGAGGTATGTAACTGTCGAGACATGCAGTGGTTACTTACCACTAGCAAGCGATTGGCTACCGGGAACCCGCGTTTCTATGTGTCTTGTATTGTAATTGGTTAAACTGCCAATATCGGAGTTCTAACCACCGGGTAGCGGCACATTCATAGGGTATTTCAACCTGCCCTTGGCCGCACGGGCCCTGAAACGAACGAAGTGAGAGGAGGGCTTTACCTTCGTGCGCAAGGAGTAAGTACCCTTGCTGTCAAAAACTTAATCTTTGATGTTGCTGTTAGCCAAATCATGGCTTCTAATTCGCCAGTTCTGTCCACACCTTCTTCTGAACGCTGTGTTGTAAATTTCAATTTTAGGCTTAGTGCTGGCGTTTTCCACTTTATTCGCTGGCTCTTTTCTCTTCAACCCTAATGCTGATGCTCCTTACCCCGCTGCCTATTCGCTATTCCTCGACCGCATGCTTTTGCCACGCACTTTTTTAAAGTCATCTTCTAATTGGCTTGCCATCTGTATGTCTTTCATGTTCGGTTACATATATCGCACTAATAGTAAGGCAAAAGGGAGCCGGGTTAGGCCGTAATGCGTCAAAATGTCTTTCTCCGAAGGTGGACCAAGATCAGCACTCCGCAGAACAATCTAGTTATCTTGGCCTTTTCGTCCGGGTTTATACTCTGCCAGCTCCGATTATATTTTTGCTTGCATTTGGGGACCAGAGGCCGACCGCCAGTAGGCTCTATAGCGAAGTTAGGAAAACAGGTGTGTGACGGGGAGGAAGGGGGTTTGTTTCCAAATACGTGTCTGGGGGGCTCATTAACTGCAAGTGTGTAAAAAGTAAATAGATGTCCCTTCCACGATGTGCCTTCCACGAGGTGCATATGAGATGTCTCTCGCATGCCCGGTATTTGATTGTTTACAGCGCATGAAGATCAACTCATACTTGCGTCTCCCCTCTTCCTGCGGCCCAGGTATCTAATTTTAGAGGCTGAAGATTAAGCTTCACTGTGGTTCGCGCCCTCCCCCCACCCCTTCCCTCCTTTTATTTTAACTGTTGTCGTCTCCAATAGTATATATTAGGCTTACCCTAATGCACACTCCGCCTTTGTAAGTACATATGTTGTGTAACCAGAATAAACAAGGTAGTGGAGCGGGGCTCCGTCACCGAAATGGAATTCAATAGTAGTTTGATATAAGTAGGGCTATAGGGATCCCATTTCTCGGTCCAAAGTCGTTATACCATGGCAACCATCTAATCATCCTTAGAGTTAGATCTTGACCGAAGTGCCTTGCGCCTTTCGTGGCAGAATATTATCTCCATGACAATCCAAATACTCTTTCCTGGCCTATAGAGCGTCTGTTGTGAAGGGCTGAAGCCGAATTGATTCAATACTGACTAGGCCAACATGCTGTTTACAAAAAGCTTGGTGAAGAGAAGGAATGGAACAAGCGGAACAGCGATAGAAGGTAAGGCGGTGGCAGAACGGAAGTGCGGGGAAAAGACTATATGGCAGGGCCATATAGTAAGACGCGGGTCCAACCCGTTACATCTGTATGCACAGAACTTCCATCACGAGGCTACCTTATCTAAGCCTTCTGTGGCTGATGAAGTCCGTGGCCGGAAAGTGAAGCTCGAATTAACTTTGCTCCGACTAGAGACCTCCCCCAACTGTCTTTACCCCATGGCAAGTTGCCCTGGTAAGTCTCCCATCTGACCCTAATTTTTGGTTCAACCTATCTGTGGCCCTCGAGGATATCTATACATTGAGGCTGGAAAAAAATATCAGACATTGGTAAGCGACGTGACCTGGCCGCTGAGGAAATTCCCGATAGTGCCGAATAGGCTCAACACTATTTCACTTTTGAAATGGCGAAAAATACTCGATAGTGAAGTTTAATAGAATACTCTAGTTCTAGAATACACCCCCCCACACCTCCCCGACCTGACCCCTACATTTGGGATTCTCGCTATTTCCTGATTGCTACGTGTGTGTTTTTGTGGTGGTTTTTCTCCTGAATCGACCCGCACGTCTCAGCGCGTGCTGCCATCGAGCGTTCCCCTCTTCAATATCTAGCTCCTCCTACTCCGAGAGTGACTTCTGGGAGTCGACACTGGAGTCACGTATATTTCTCTTAAGAGATTAATAATTAGTGAATCCGATCAGGTGTGGCCTTAGAATTGTCAGGAATTAAGGTATGGCCTCATGCACCTGGCAAACTTGGGTTGATATAGGTACCTGTGTGTAAAAATATATACCTCAAAAACGGGGATACACATCTATATTCTAAATGTGATAATTCGGTGTGGTGAAGCTTAGGTCTGGTACGATCGTGCGACCGGAGTGTGGATGATTCTCCAACTGCATCATATAGCAATTCTTGGCCGAATGAATCGTGAATAGTCTATGGCTGTGCCTGGCAGGGTCGCTGCCGTCGGCGGTTGCGGATTTCGCGAATTTGATGGGGTGTGGGTCTTCCGGGCACGCACTCTGGACCAATGGGAGCGCGGATAAATCAAGAAGGCCCTGTCTTTTTTATGGCATTATGGATTAAGGGATTTTACACATCTAGACATCCAATGAAATCCTAATCAGTATTGTTCGCATCCTTATTTTATGCTCTACAGGGTGGTGTAATGTATGTTTCTTTTACGTAAATTTTAAAGGTTCTGTTGGTGTCGTAATGAGTTCGAGCGCGGGGGTGCCGGCATCGACTGCGCCCTCGACCGTGACGAGCGTGTTTTCGGGGTATTTGCCCTTGTAGCCGCGATGCGAGATGGTCAGGGGCAGACGGGGTGCCATGATGACTGCAGCAGCGAGGGGAAAATGAGGGTATGCGACGAGCAGGGAGAAGGGGTGTACGATGAGAATTGTGAAGATCAGAATCGTGTGAAGATCAGAATTTGAAGGATCGTGGCTGACGAGGCCTTGATATTTATTATATGCACCGGCGCCTGAGTGCCTGAGCCAGTCCATCAGGCACCACTATTGAGCCCCTGCAAGATTCCCAACAAGGACTCTCCAAAAGAACAAGAACGCTTACTGCAAGCATAGAAAGCAGGTCATCTACTCCATGGCCCTGAGCAGCCAGCGTAGCTCCCCCGTGAACCCCGTCCATCCTGTCCACTCGTCCTCCACAGCCTCCCCGGCAGGGAGCTTTGTGACAACCTGTTGGATGCCACGTCGATTCACATCTTCCTCCAGCTCCTTTGCAATCCACAGCACTCGTGTGACCGGAGCTTTCCGACAGCGTTGACGGACGACGTCGGCACCCATCCCCAGGCGTGTAATGCAGCCAATGTACAGACGGTTGGTCTCGATATTGGCCGTCAGATCTGGGGACTGGCCGACAAAGACATCGATCGCATAGCTCTCCACGGTGCAGGCAATGTTCTCAAAGACAACGGCCGCCTGGAGTCGCTGCTTGAGGTCCTCCGGTGTTGCGGGAGTCCCCTGATAGCTGGCAGGACCCTTGGTTAGGATGGACATGGGAGGAATAAGAGAGACGCCGGCCCCCCCCTGTCGGTAGAGGTTCCTTGTGAGACTCCGGGTGAGCGTGTAACAGTTGGACGGCCAGATCCTGTTTGCTGCTTTTTGGGGGCGCGTACATATACCCCAGCGCGCGAGTATCCTTGGCCATGTCCCCCACCGTCGTGTAGGCGTAGGCACGGGGGTCATCGTAGTGGAGCTTCTTGCCCTGATTGGTGAACGGGCGCAGGGGAAAGTTGGAAGTAAACTGGGATTCCGGGTGAGCGGCAATGAACTTCGACACGATCCGGTCGATGTTGCAATAGTACGAGAGGAAGATGGGATCGAATGCGGTGTATGCATTGTCAGCCTGAAGGAGGGTTAGCAGAGACATCCCAGGCGCTGGTTGAAACCTGCACAGGAAGGGATCAATACCATATCAGGGCCAACCCAGCCGTGCCAGTTGTCGTGGGCCTGCTCGAAGAGTCTAAAGACAACATTAGTGACTCGTTCATGTCTTTCAGGGTACGAATCAGATATACCCATCAAAGTCTGCCCGGTACGGATACAGGTTGTCTGGCTGCATATCTGAAAATGCCGGCAGATTGGCCCATGGGATCCCAAACGGGTGTCCCGAGCCCATCCTAATGCCCTCTGGCTGACTGAAGGTCGCTTGTTTCAGGGCATTGGCGACCTGGGCATGGTATATCTTGAAGCGACTGATCTTGTCCTGCCAGTTGCGGTCGCCGGGACCCTTCACCAGGGTTGGATCTCGACTGACGTAGTGCTCACCATTGCCGGTCTTGGACTGGCCGTTCCTGGCCAGGGCATATCGCAGTGGGTTTGGACGAGTTCCTTTGGATGGATGAGTATAGGTCTCCACCAGGAACATAGGGGGGATGCCCGCGAGCGAGGAATCTGGGTCTGCCGTGCATATATCAGTGCAATTCCAGTAGGGGATCGGGAAGTCGATGAGATTCTCGATGTAAATCAAGGAGGCGCGGTGCCATAGGGAAAAGGCCTCTTGGTAGTGAAGGCACCATTCCGCGTCTGCAGCCATGTTAGTACCTGGTTCGTGATGTCCCTGTTGGGGGATGAGAAAGGGGGGGGGAGATTGCATACGCAAGTGCCCAAACTCCTGCCAGAGCGATTCAAGGCATCCAACCTGCATCACATCATCCAATCTCGCGCGGTACTCTGCCAGTTCTTCCGCAGTCAAGTCCCGGATATCCTTGCGCACACGAAATCTCTCGCCTTCCGTCTCAGCCTGCCGCGGGATGACCAGCTTGCACACGACGGGGTCCGACGCCGTCACTCGGAAGCCCTGGTTTGCCCACTGTCGGAACGTCTCGAGGGCCTCTGGCGGCCAGAAGTCGGCTCCGTTTTTGGCGATGGGCATGGACCGTGACCGGAAGTGGTCGTAGATGGTACGAGCCTGCCCACGCACGGCCTCATAGCTGGACAGGTCGAGGGGGCCCCAGTACTTCATCGCCTTGACCCAGTGTTGACCGACACGCTCGCGCCGCTTCTCCTCGATCCACCATGGGCAGCGGAACAGCTGCGAGACATGGTCCTCCCAAGTGGGCTTCAACTGTACACGCGGCGGTTGTGCTGGCCCTGGCGCAGGGGGAGGCACAGTCTTGGCCGGTTTCTGCATCACAGGACATCCCTGGGCCTTTTTGCGTGCAGAAAAGCTGGACGGATTGACCGGGGTCCGCTCCTTCATGGGCAGAGCACTCGGGGCTCGCGGAGCAAGGCTGGCGTGCATAGACTCGGTGTTGCGAGCCGACAGCGACGCCTTCGCCACGATGTTGGGATTGTTTGTCCACAGCGTCGCCGTCCATGCGGTGATGAAGTCCACGCCGCGCTGTGGCATGTTGACGACCGTTGCGGAGCTCGTCATCTCCTTGAGTGGAAACTGATCCAACTGGGGATATTTCACCGCAAAGGGCAACGTGAAGCCGAACTCGTTCAGAGGGAGCGGCCGGTAGATGCGGCGCCGTGATTCAGCAAGCTCCATGTAGGCGAGGACGTGGTCTGCATTCTTCAGGTTCTTCTTGATCAGTTTGGTATATTTGGCGGTATCCTTCGCCCATTCGTCTGGCTTATAGTTGTTGTACAGCTGAAGAAACTCGTGCTCTGGTTCGCACGGTTGCCCAGCCCATGGAGATTTCCCCAAAGCGTCGATGAACTTGCTCTCGAGATCATATACCTTGGTTCCGGGGAAGAAGGTCGTCGACGTCGGCATGTATTGCATGAGAATGCCTCGCCTCCAGGAGTAGATTGGATTCCAGAAATCAACCATGATCATGGAATCAAACGCCCTGTGCGAGATCAAGGACACCACCGGAGTGATGCTCTGGAACTTCAGAACGCCAGCCACGTCCTCGATCGACGGGGTGAGGATGGTGAATGGGCCACTGCCGCCTTCTCCGTTCAATGCCCTGGCAAACTTGACCTGCGCATGGCTTCCCATGTCCTTTCCCGCTCCTAGCGTCCCGGGATAGAGCGTCGTCTGCCGATCCGCCGGCACATGCTCGAATGAATCCACTTCCTGGAGTAGGGCAAGGTCCAGTGCTTTACAGGCCTGATCGTAGAGCTCTTTGGTGACAGTGTAATTGGTGTCATGGGGCTGTGATACATATCAGTTTCTAGGGTCCCAAAGGAGAGAGAGCAGCAGGACCCACGGCGAGCTTGGAGTTACTGAGGGGCTCTGCGTTGAAAAAGTGCTCGGCGGGCACAGAGATACTTTCGTCCGACTGGAACTCGCCACAGCGGATGTTCACCGTCGTTGTCAAGAGTAGCTGGGCCTGCGACCATCAGTGGCTGCCAGTTGCGCCGGGAAAGGGATATGTATATCAGACCATCCATCGTGGAATATTCGACGGCGACGTGCTGGGATTGCCGCCGCTCTTGAAGTCTGCATCCAGTCGTGTCTGCGAAAACTGCTGGATGCCCCTCACCACGATTGGTTCCAGGTCATTGGCCAGCTTTACTCGGTTCAAGACCTGTGAAGGGTTGGACGACAGGTATGGACGTCGGCCGAAATCGTCGCGCTGGCTGGGCGAGAGGCAGTCGTCGATGCCTGCAGCGGTCGAGTTCCAGTGCAGCCACGGTCTGAAGGGTGGAGTCTTCATCAGTCCTTGTCCATTGCGGAAGCGTGCAAGTCACTCACTGGCGAAGTTCCTTCATGGTAGGAGCACCGTTTACATGGCCTGCAGAGGGAAACGTCAGTCCTGCATTGGTATCATAACCCTAGGATATCTGGCTAACCGCTGAAGGGTCCAAGGTAGGATGTGTCTGGTCCAAAGGCATCCGATGAGTTGCCCTGATAGATCCAGGCACTGCATTGCACGGGAATACTGATTGGGAAGAGGTTGAGAGTCTCGCGCTGGCTGGGCAGTCAGACGGGCTTCTTTGTCTGTGGGAAGTTGCTTTGTTTCATACGCCGTAGAATCGATAGGAACTGCCATCCCAGCTGGCTGCCTGCAAGAACCGTTCGCCCGAGTCAAACGCGTCCGAGCCGACAATGAAGAGCGTCCAGTTGGCGTGTTGGGCAGACGTAACGACCGCCAGGAAACGAACGTGCGGGTCAAACCAGTCCGCGCTGGCCGCGTTGTACTCGATGCCGCCTGGTCAAGCTGTCAGTGAGCAGGTCCTGAGCAGGTTAGATTGCTGAGGCATGTGTACCTCCATCGGCAACACAGAAAATCTGCAGCTGGTACTTGGTGCCCTGCATGAACCTCAGGAGGACTTTGTCGAATGTCTGGAACTGGGCGAGATCGACCTCCCGTAGCAGCATGCCGAAGGGGTCGATGAAATTGCGATCCAAGAATGCGGCATCAGCAAGGATGTCCTCGTTGGGCGTGCTCCCGCGCTGGAATTTTCTCCAGAAGAGGAGCGACAAGGGCCGGGGACTCCCTTTGGGAACCGTGTCGGGACCGTCCATACTGGCCGTGAAGCTCCCATCAGGCAGATCTGGCCAGGTCGCCGTATCCTCGGCAGCGTTTTCACTGGGGAGATGCATATCGGGGTAAGATTGTGATAAATGATGTCCGTAAAACAGGGATTGAAGGACAGTGGACGGGCTTCGAGGAAGGCTGAATACACCCTAGACGTCCGGAGGTATATAGAGTCGCGCTGTTCCTTATCCGGTGCATCGACAAGATAGCAAGGCCATCTTGACTGAGTGCCGTCAGTCGCGGTGTAAGACCTAAGAGACGTGTCATCGGCGACCTCACCTAAAATCACCACTTCGGATCGGCCGGGTAACGCTCATCCTGCTGCTGCTTCTCAGATAGGGGTTTTCATGCAGCAACGGTCGTTCGATTTGGTTGCAGTACCGTTACATCACCATAGTATGGTGCAACGCCCTGGCGCAGGTCTCACTTACATCCGCCGTTTCCGTGCCATCGCCAGATATGTCACGCCGTCATGGACATCGCCTAGAATATGACAGCCGAATATGACAGCGGGATTGACGCCTGCAGGCCCCGTTTGCCTCCAGGACGGTGCATTCCCGGACAAGGCATATCGGCCGTTTGTGTTATACTCATCTGGTAAACGCTCGCCTATATAGATCACTATCCCCCCTCAGCAGCCGTCGTCGTTTTGGCTCCCAGGTGCTTCTCAAGTCCTGGGCCTTTCCTGTTGTACACCGTTCTCTGCAGCAGTTCCCCAACATGAGCACTCAAAGCAAACTCCCCCGCTTTAACCCCCCGGCAACCTCACGGACCTGACGGAGCAAAACAAAGCCATATGGTCCTCGCAGTTCATATCTCACTGGATGGATGACGAGATTTCTGGACGCGTCGTGGGCCCTGGGGGCATAAAAAGGGATCCCCTTCCGCAGTTCTTCAATGGCACATCGACTGTATACGATCAAAGCCAACCACATATTGACATTAACTGGACCGCGTTTCCTGCCAGGGTAGGTATATGCCATTGTGCTTTGTGTGGAGACATCTAACTCTGCCCCAGATCAGCAAATTTTACTCGAAGGACGATACGCTTCGATGGAAGATTGCGGATTCAAGCCGTATCCTCCAGGACGAGTACCTCGAATGGTCGGTCCTGAGGGATGGGCCCAACCTGGGAGACAGCAAGGTCCTGAGCGTGGTCATGACGTGTGAAGGCCCGGAGGTTCGTCGGCATCGCGACCCCTGCTGGTCGCCCCGTACACTGACAATCCTCGCTTCCTCTAGTACTGGTCCTTCCTCGGCGACGCCCAGCCAGAAAGCGTCTTGCCCCTCTACAAGTCATTGAACCCGGATTTCCAGAGTCAGATAGTGGAAAACGATCTCTTCTTGACCAACTCCCAGGACCCGAAAAAGAAGGTGTATGATCCCCGGAACTTCTGGAATTTCACCACCACCTCCGGCACGATTGCACACCTGATCCAGCCTGCAAACACCCTCAGTGCGGAGATTGACATTGCAGCCCAGGCTACGGTCATACGCCAGAAAGACAGCGTGGTCATCAAAGATCCGAATAGACTGATCACCTGTAGCCAATACGGAAACCTCTATCGGAACTCCGACCCGTTTGTAAGATCCCTTGCCAGGAGAAACCAGGGCAGACGCCGACTGACATCTTCCAGATCGGGTCCGAAGTCAACAAGCTTGCTCGTGCCGGGAATAAGATCTCCATTGCAGACCCTGTTGCGCTCTACATTCGGGAATTCGAGGAGAGCGTCTTCCAATTAGACCAGCATGGTGCAGAGAGCAACACCCAGGATCTCGTGCCCCTTCCAGCCAACACCATCAAGTACGAACGCGGTTCAAAGGGCGCTGGCCTGCGTCTTCGCATCCAGGTTCCTCCCGGCACAGCGGGCACTGGGCCTATGCAGGGGAAGCAGCTGACCGTCAGCGACATATTTGACACTTCTAACAACCAGTATATCTCGTACGGCGCCCAATTCGCCGATCACATCAAGATGGGCGTTCGTGGTGTCGCGGCGCCTCCGCCTCTCAAACAAGCAGATCCGAAGAACTGTCCAGGGGCACAAAGCTCGGTGGCGCCTCTTGTGTATACGAGGTAACTGGGTCTCGGGTATGAGGTGATGGCCAAGTTATGTCTTTATGCAAGTCGAAGAGCATCTATATAGTCAAATTGTTACTGTTTAACAGGTCAAAGCTACAGAATATATTAATCAAAAGACATCTCAAAGGTAACTTATTTAGCACAAGGCTCTAGGAACGACTCTAGTCCCTAATACTCTTAACATGCTTGGGTTTCCAGCTTCACAGATGTTTGGATGGAGTGAGCTAAACAGAGTGCAGCTTGCCGAACGTTGTATTCGTAGCTATCTGGCTAACTGAGGAAGAAGGAAAGGAAGAAGGTGTGTGTGACGGAGGTATGGTGTAGCCCGTCACCGCCCAGGTCTCGTGATTTCAAGTAACAGAAAAGACACGGCCGCGATAAATCTGCCATATTCAGGATTTTTGAATAGTTCGACGAACAACGCGGAAAGCCAACAGGCGCTACGGATGGCCCACACACGAACGAACTAACGACTAGACCTGGGCATGGGCCGGCCCATGGACAAAAACCTCGTGGGTCGGCCCACGAATGGGTCAGTCGGCCCACTATTGGCCCATTTGGCCCCCAAATCTGCATAATAAATATTGTAGTGGGGAGACCCCCTCCCCCTACTACATGGGTGCCATCCAGACTATGTGACATAGCCGGTAGTATACAGTGGCCGGATAGCTAGTTCTAGAATACACCTCCTTACACCTCCTTAGGAGCCGAGAGTTGACCATCACCGCGCACCGGATCCCTGCATTAGTCCGAGGAACTACACTAGGACGAAATATGCCAGACATCAACCCGCGCCAACTTGCTATTTCCACCTCCTCTGTCAATGATACCTTGGGTGTCAGATTTCTTCCACCTTCCGTGCTACATAGCTGGGAACGCCGTCTCAAATGCCTTGCGAGCACGAAAAACGATTCTTCTACCGCTGAACATCTGAACTCGTCCTTCCAGCTAGACGATTTCGACCAAGATATTGGAGATGGCCTCCTACAACCTGTGCTAGTAGAGCCAGGCGTATTCCAGTCTCTGCAGGATCGCCGATTTCAACTTGGTGAGAATCCAACAGCCGCGTGTTGGTAGTGATGCCGAAAATTCTCCCCGTAATAAATATGCGATTGTATGGACTTTTGGCAGTCTGTTGAGTCGCGAGACTTTATAGTTTTTTGTCACGTGCGGGACGTTTCCCTTCCTCTCACTTCGTTCGTTTCAGGGCAACTTCATAATAATGTTGCACATAGTCAATTTCACCTTGCCAATCACTTGATGAAAAGTATCGGAGTTTCTTTGATGGACAAAGGATTGTTGCAAGAGCATAGATATCACCGTAAGGTTCATGATCAGTGGCAGTATAATACTTCGAGAGCTTCTTTTTTGCAGTCTGGAGAGCCTGGAGCATGCGCTTCTTCCAAACAACTCCTTTTTTCTTGAGCTTGGCCTCGGCATCATCAAGATGCGAGAATAGCTTGTTATAAATAATATAGATATTATGGGCAGTAATATCTTTAGTCTTTGATAACATGCTGGTAAAGTCGAAAAAGGGCTTTGTGAGAGGAAGATATTCAACCTGTCGCCACTCTTCTTGATCAAGCCTGAAATAGAGATACTGATGATCTGCACAATACTGGTCATAGAAAGGCTGTAGGGTTTTGGCACGATTGAGCATCAGAAAGGTAGAGTTCCACCTAGTTTTGACGTCTTGAATAGGGATTAAGGCCGGCTCTTTGGTTTGCAGAGCCATGAATGCCTCCCGGCGTTGTGGACTTGCGTTAATAAAGACTGCAAGACCCCGTATCTTTGTTATTTGAATTAGAACAGATCTATAAATATAAGAGTGGGATAGACTTATCTTTTTTAATGTCTCTGTGATATGAGCTCGGTTGGAGCCATGCCTTTTGGTCTGAAATGAATGGGTTTTGTCATCAGACCATTCCAACTCAATCTCTTTGTTGGGCGGTGTTGCTTTCAATTTCCCAAGGAGCTCATTCAAGCTGAGCTGGATCACATGCGCAATACATGGAACTCGGAAGACCGTGATATCCGACCGATATTGTGACTGAAGGGTATCTTGGATATTCATCATCAAGGTATTGTTATTTGTTGCATTATCAGTGGTCACTGATAATACCCGGTCAGATATTTCATGATCAGCCAGTAGTTGAGTAACAGTCTTGCTGAGGTTTTCACCTGTCGGGATATATTCTCCTGTCAGAACAAACTGGCTGTGACCCACTGCTAGCGACCGATGGATAACATCCCTTGCTTGGTGTACGCATTCTTGCGCTGGGCTGTGGCCTCGGTGTTGTGACCGCCGAAGGCCGGCGTGTGGGATCTAGGGGTGTTTTTCCAACTAGACTGAACATCTACATCTATCAACACAATTGACTTTTGCTTTGGAGCATACACACTGTCCACTTAACTGTGTACACAGTACCTAGCTGGTGATACCAACATCACCAGTATGAGATCCATGAAGAGGCTCAAATCCAAGGAGGACTTCACAGTAATTCCAATCTTGATCGAGAATGTAACCAGTAATAGCCATAAATGCCTGCTGAAACGGGGATGTCCAGCAATCCAGAGCTATTGACAAATTACTTCTGGTCGGAAGTCTTCTAATGACCTCCTTCTGGTTGTTTTGGACTGTCAATTCAAGGCAACGTCGGATACTTCGCGCAGATGGAATTGTGATCTTGGTTGTGGCTTGCTGAATAACCTCGACTAGTTCATGAAACTGGGTATGCTCGATTATTCGGGAAGGGAGATGAGCAGTGGAGATAAAGTTCATAATAGTTCTTGAGAGGCGTTCTTGGGAGAATGTATGGCTCTGTTGAATCCTGGGCTTTAAGATAATATTTAGATTAGTATTAGTGGTAAGAGTCAAGATCATATGAGTCAATAGTATACCATCTGTTTGATAAGCTGATCAATCCTGGGATTAGGGCTTCGGGCACAGGAGCCAGTCTTAATATGCGCATTCATTGGCGACGATCCTGCACGGCGAAATCTTGGATGACCAAGAGTACAGAGACATGATTTGCACATCACCTTTGGCTTTCCAGTCTTCTCATTTGCAACTTGCTGGAAACTCTCCCAAACTTTCGATTGGGTTTTTGTCTCCCAACGAATACTCTCTCTTATATCAGGCTTTGATCCAAACTCAGTAGTAAGCCACCAGCTTACAAACTTTTTTCGGGATTCCTCCATATCGCTGCTCCTAGAATCAACGGGGTAGAGGACCCAATGTTGTTGAAGAGGAAGGCCAACACGGGTGAGGGAGGAAGGTGCGGTCAAGGTTGAAGGTGCAGTTGGAGTTAGATATTGAGATGCAGATATTGATATTATTTCGCTGCCAATAAAATCAGAAATATCGTCAGGATAAAGTCGATCCGAATTCAGACCTAAGTCTGAATCAGTATAGGAGCAGAAGGATTGAGACATTTGTTGTTGGGACATATTTCAATAGACTATAAGTTGTCTTTTGAAGTAGAGATTGGGAGAGACTTGGAGAGTAGAGAGGAAAGCTTACATATGGGGCTGGAAAAGAATTTCAGGGGTGTCACAAACAGAGCACAAACTCACGACTTGAATATGTGTTTATGGTTAGTGTCCTGGTGATTGGCTAGATAAACTACTAGTGCGGATATTTCGTGGATATCCTATGGATATTGCGGATATTCTGTGGATAATTTGCGGATATCCGTTGGATATCCGCAGGAGTGGAAGCCATATCGCTAAGTCCCGAGAGTCAAGACTTCCGACTGTGGTTTCTCTAGGTTTTTATAAGCAAATATTTGTTTAAAATTAGTTAAAAAATATTGTAGACCTAGATAAATAATTTGGTCCTAAATTGAACCCGATAAATAATGGAATTATGTTTTTGTTTAACTAAGTATTTTTCGTTTAACAAAAAGATGGACAGGAGGTATATAGGAAAACACCTGTGAAATATATAATCACTAGGTAACTTACCAAAAAATAACCAAACATCGTTTCTAACCCCAGTACAGGAGTAATCACTAAATTCAAAGCGACAATACATAAGAAACTTATTATCAATTAATAGATAACTACAAGATTATTTCTTAAAATTCCATTAAGCGATGGGATGAGCTGGGTTGTTGGTATGGTTAAGACCAAACATGTATTTCTTTCAACCTAAGCAAGAATATTTTATGCTATCCAAAGGCAATCTGACTATCTCTTTTCAGATAATTAGGCGAGTTTTATGCTAGTGCGGATATGGTATTGATCTCGTATCCAATGGAGCGGATATGCCGCAGTCTAACAGCAACCCTTGCTCGCCCCGAAATTCATCGCCCCCTAGCACCGAAGATCTCTGCTATCATCCAGTACTATATCGCGGTGTCGATATGTGTGTTTTGCAGTTCACATATCAGGAGATCATTACTCAACAAGTTTTGCAACAAGATTGGAACCCATTTCCTGATACTAATCCAACAGTCGCTGAAATTGGGTGTATTCCATCAGTGTCCGCGGCTCACATGATGTGTAGTGAATGACCAACAGTCTGAGAGAATACCATCCATCTGGATCTTGTCTGCCAATCTGCTCGAAGGTATACTGAAGCAGATCAAGGATGCGAGGAATACCTCGCAAGTTGAGTAAGAAATTGCAAAGATCATGATGAACTGACTTCAAGCATTGATTTCTCAATGGGTCAATAAGATACCTCGCCGCAAAAAATTATTTTTTGCACGAACAAGAAGATCTGGGTTTGAATAAATCAAGGCCTCATTTCCAATAAATTGTAGAGATATGATCTGACCCCACGCACGCTCATAGCAGCATTCAACGTATACCGATTTTGGGTATTCGATTTCTGGCAGAGCTGAGGAATAATAGGGTTTCTTGCTAACAAGGACCCCCCCCCCCCGGGGGATATGTAGGTGCAGCTTGTGACTCTGGCTCTGGCTGTAGCTCTTGCTCTACTCTTGCTCTGATTTGATCTCTTTCATTTGCATCTTACCTAAACTGCGGATTAGAGAGTATGGTACATTTCTGTGCTGCTTGCATTTTGGGCTGATCGTCGCTGTCTGCACTCCAATGACCCTCATGCTCTTCCTTCCATGTCTCTCTAATAGCCGTTGGGGACAGCGACTCTTGCATGCCGCCAATATTAATGAGAGCTTCTGAAGGGCGAGAGAGACTTAGAACGAGTGTCTCGACCGGCGCGAACTGTTAACCTAAGATGGTGTTATCCAATATGAAAATGGAATTCTGGAGATCGAATGAGTCGGAACGATCCTACAATCGTTAGTTACTGTACATGGTTATAGACAGGGCCCATACCCCTCAAAGTTGTTCATGTCTGAAGCCTCTTACACAAGTGCCTAGGCTTGCTGGAGGATGTAACAAATTTTGCGCCGACTAGGGGTGTCCTTCGCTATAAATTTATCGGGCATCATGAGTGAGGAGCTTCTATTTGGACGAGCCAATCGTACCCTGCCACCTAAGCTACAATCATTTGTCTATATCCCTGTAACAGCCAATCACACATATGAGCAGAGAGAGCCAACGGCTCCCAATTGGAGACATGCGCAGAGTCACGTGCACAACAATGTACCCTTTATTGAGTCACCACAACCATAGCTAGATTCATTTTCACTTACCCGCTGAGCGATGGAGTGGTTACTGTATTGATCAGCATAGAAAATTTAATTTTTAGTTATTCTGCAGCTCAGAATTACTGGCAATTTGTTCCTCAGTGAATAACAATTGTTGCAGAGACAGCAGTTCTCCAGCTATCAGGAACAAGCCGGCGAACACCATCCCCGGCAGCCCTCCGGAGCCTCCTTCCTGGTATTGATGGTTGAAAACCATATCCCTAGATTTAGACTGCCACATTCTCTTCTTGTGCGTTTATCTGGTCATCGGCAATAGATATGGAAATGACACAGTCCAATTGGGAAAGAGCATGAAGTAAGTCAATCGCCGTCCTGAAGCCATCTACTGTGAGGTAGACATCAAAGGTTCGGCTTTGCTTTCCAACATCTCTTTGTAGTCCCATTTGTGACCTTCCCAGATTCGACACAAATTGTGGTTGATCCTCTGCGGCTGATGAAGGACTCCCCGCCCGATCCGTCGCAACCTCTTCAAGCCGTGTCACCGATCGCACGTGGAAGCCAGTTCCCATGAGGGTTTGCAGAAGAGTTTGTAGGCCATCGGCTCTAGCCCGGTAACGAACGACGGCAGAAATTTCTATGGCAGTTTGCAGATGGAAGCGTTGTCGCAGAAAATGCCAGAATGTCGGATAGATAAGAACTGCGATAAAATATAGCAGAGTAGAGACGGATGCTAGCCTGAGGAGTCCAGCACCGCATGCGGCCCCCACTGCTGCGCTCAGCCAGACTGCGGCTGCTGTGGTGAGGCCCCGGATCTCGTTCCGTTGCTTGAAGATGATCCCGCCACCGATGAACCCAATTCCAGACACAATCTGAGCTGCAATCCGCGATGGGTCCAGTACAACCAAATAGCGATTCAGGACGTCGAGGGTGCCAAATTTCGATATCAACATAAAAAGAGCGGCGCCTATCCCAACCAGGGTGTTAGTACGCAACCCAGCGCTCTTATGCTGCAATTCTCTTTCGGTGCCGATTGTGGCGGAGAGCCCGGCAGCGACCAGTAACTGGCCGAACTGCGACCAGGTTTGCCCTTGACTCTGATCAAATTGGTTAGACATTTTTAATCTTACTGCGACGGGCGAATGAGAGGAAATGGGCGAGGGCACGGCTGTGCTGCGCGATTCATATGGTCGATCTGATGAATTTGCTGGGTTGTTTGACAACTTTTAATGATATCACAAGGAAGTAAATTGTGGCGCCGTTTTTCCTGCAGGACCTCGCAGATCCCGAATCAGAGAAGCGGGGTGACATGAGGGGACCGGAAGATTAGATAATCCGAGGAATGCCCAGTGAATTTTTTACAATGCTGGCGCTGATACTGTACATAGGCTTAGTTTTGATTGGTCGACCAAAATGGATTTCTTGGCATTACCAAGTCTGACCAATCTTACCCACCATACTGCACGCTGCGGTCATTTGAACGCTGTATGACATCAAAGGTGACATTTCGTTCGATAGTTTTGACCTCGAGGCTGGCGGCCGCTAGGAAACCTTCGTTGAACGGGTGATTTATCATCTCTCGCCAGTTCCGGGGTTCTGGGGGAAGATCATCACGGTGAGGTCTCGCGTGTGAGTGAGATCCGTTGAGGCCAGATGCAAAGGCTGCGAGTATACCCCTTCAGCATCCTCGTCTGCTGAGATGGCTAAATTGCTGATATCTCTTGATCTTCGTTTACGTGAGCCTGACAGAATGTTCTATAGGTGTAGCGGCTGAGAGCTCTCTCTGAAGTTGTTCAGTGAGTTGATCTTAGGGTTTAAACCCCTAAAGACCACCCCCTCAGTTTGTCAATAATGCCTGTTGGGGAGACACAAGAGCCTGGGGTTAAAAGTCTGGAAGTAGGAAGAAACGTGCTTTTCCATTCACTGAAAACAAAAAAAGTAAAAGAAAATAAAAGAAAAGGAAAAAAAAACCAACCGCGGCTAATAATGACAATCACAAGTTGCAGGGCCGAGATCGAATAAAAGTAGAAGCAAGCCTACACTCTCTTCAAAATCCAAATTGTGCCGGTCCCCGGACAATATAAGGCAAGATGGTCAAGTCTTCCGCTATGATCATAGTCAAAAGCAAAAACCCGATCAGCACCTGACTTTAAGTCGTAACCACCAATGCCATTACCGGGATCCCCTTGCTGGTAGACCGGAGAGAATACGCCGGCTCTGTTCTTTAGGATCCAGAAGGTTCCAGTGCCGGGTCGATATAAGGCAAGATGGTCAAGTCTTCCGCTATGATCGTAGTCAAAGGCAAATGCTCGGTCAGCATCTGACTTTAGGTTGTAACCGCCAATGCCATTACCGGGATCCCCTTGCTGGTAGACGGGATGAAATAAACTAGGGGTCATTGTGCTATTCTGTGAGATGCACTAATATTTGGTGTGTTGTACCTGTTAAAGATCAGCTGCGGAGACACCTTCTTATAACGTGGTTTGATAGCAGCGCTTGCTTAATAGGTACGTAATACGGCTCGGCTGCCAAATTATGAATGGTGATGTTAACAAGAGAGGTCTTGACGTCTCGTTAAAACTCTCTTCGCATCCTAAACTTCTATTGGCATGGATGTTTTCCTGGTACTTCGAGGGAACAAAAAAGTTATTATTATCTTGTGTATCAAGTTCTGCTCGGGTGGTCTCGTGGTAAGTCTTTCTATTCTTCGAGCAAGGTCTGTTCAGAAGGTTTCAATGGAATAGAAGAGCCTAAGATCTGTGCGCGATTCTAGACGCTCTCGATATACCGTTTGTGAAACTGTCGCTAAACAGCAAACGGGCGAATCAGCCAAGAAAATCTACTTGGCATAAGGCATGGTCAGCCGGTATTGCCTTATGTAAGCACAGTTGTACGAGTGCGAACATCAAAGTTCCAGTGCGGGTTCTGGTAGAACGAGTGTCAAAAAATAACGTGACCGCCCCACTAGGCCGGAATATTAATGTTCCGGATTTTGGCCCTTGCCAGGTACACGTAAGCCGGCTACGGCTAATTTAATTGGCTTATAAGACCCTGTTCTCCATTGACTAATATACGCTAACTAATTGTATACCTGAACAATAACCTCAATTTACTGCACTCAAGTTTTTCTACATATCATGAGCATATCGCAGCCAAGGTTTGCAGCCATTGTTTTCAAACAAAGGAGGAGGCTCAATGGCGGAATTCACTACTGCGCTTTCCTTTCATAGAGCCTGCCACCTATTTTGGGCAGTTATGCCTAGTCAATGTAAACAAAGCCTGTGATATATATATACACAACATACACTCAACAAGCTCTCTCTCCTACCCTCCCTATCTTTATTTTGCATAACTCTCCACACATTGTCTCGCTCGCTTTTGACATATTGCTCACATATTATTTGCTTATGTTGAAATGGCTGATCACACAAGTTTCGCCACCTTTACAGGCCACCAACTACCTCGCGCGTTCTTTGAGGCAGATGGTGTAGAGACTGCTATGAACCCACACCTAGTGTTTGGTTACCACCATGGTTTGTTGTTCTTTTGACCTCGGAAAACATATGCTGATCATATGCAGGCCCTATTATTGACCCTAACCCAAACTGGAAGCCCGTGGCCTGGCATACAGCCCACCTGGCAACCCTCGGTATCAGATCACCGCTGCTGATCTGGCTAACCCGACTGATATGCCTCCAAACCCACGTCTTCGGCTATCTAAAATAAACACTCTAGTTTGCCCAGTGGTGGAGAACCCACCCGTGCACCAGTGCGGCCAAACATTTGAGTCGCAGCCCGACTTTCGTCGGCATATGCGTCAGGTGCATACCGGCTGCTGTCGGCATTTTTTTCTTCACATATGTGAGAGTTATGCTAACCAATGAACACTGTAGTTGTTAATCCTGACCGCAAACCTATATCACGTGAAGAGCGTGTCGAGGGTCAGAATACTCTTGTCAACTATGTTCGCAGTGGGCAGTGGCGTCAGGATGTTTTCATGAACGAACCAGGCCGCGGCCCAGCGACCGGCCCGATTGGCCACTACGCTGATAACCTGACTAATATTGCGTAAGAATTTTGTATGCAGAACTTAAGCATATAGCTAACATATCTGATTGTTCTAGCCGACATGACCGCTACTGGCGCCAGGGATACGGTTCTAATTACCATCGCGAGCAGCAACCCGTCACACCTACTAGTGGCGGACGTAGCAGACGCGTAAGTTAACATTATTTTGTTAATACGCCAACCATATGCCAATCATATGCAGCGCGGACAAAACCCTCCTCCGAACCCCGTTCCATTTATGACCCCCACTTAGCTGCATGTGGCCGACGGCATGAGTACTACCCCTGACGACTCTAGCGAGGAGGAGTATATCTCCGATGATAACGGTAATGAAGATGGAAATAGAGATGGCGACGGTAATGGAGATAGTGATAGCGACAGAGAAGGTACCGGAGGTGGTGATAGTGCTGATGATAGTGCTTTTGCACCTGCTTCTCCTTAGCTGGGCCTTTACGCTGTTAGTCCTCCGAATTAGGATATATATTATGCACATTTTGAGAGGGTAAGTGATCCGTTTTTCGTCATGATAATGATTGACGACTTCAATGTTTTACATCTCAGAACAATATGCAATCAGCGTACACATACTCAATGAAATGAATGTTTTAGATATGCAAAACATATGCTATTCCTATATACAGAGAACTATTTAACGCAATGAATCTAGCCGTTGCCTTAGCTTCTGAATCCGTTCACGTCGTTCTATCAATTCGATCTCTTGCTGGAGCTGTTCCTCTTCTTTTTGTAGCTCAGCTAACTCAGTCAACTGTGGCTGGATTGATAGTGAGCGAGTTGAGCATGAGCGAGAGCGAGATGATTGAATAGTTTGTGTATCAGATATTGAAATTGAATCTGAATTGATATCTGAACCAGGACGCGGAGGCGGCCCCATAAGCGATGTAGATATTTCAATTGAATCATACGGATTGCTAGGCTTGTAGGGCATATGCGACTTTCTTTTCCGACGTTCTGCTGAAGCACGGTTTCGTATGTCTGGAAAGAAGTTATTACATAAGTTAAACATATGTCAACCATATACTAAAAAACCAGAACTTACTCTTTCGATGACCTGCTTTCGAGATACGTGAAACAGCATCTGCGGGCTTCCATGTTGAGTGGCGACCTTCTTCAGCAGCAAGCTTTGTCTTTTCAACCATATTATTAACATGCCGCTTTGTCCTAAACGTAATAAGTTAGTGATATGTTAACCATATGGAGAGCTGCTAGATACTTCAAAATCGCTGCCAAGAGTGACTGCTTTCGTCCAATAGCTTCATTATCCACAAAGTGGCTGCTTTCACAGATCCCAGTATGATGTGGCGCCGCCATCCACCAATAGATTGGAATTCTAGAGGCCTCACGTGTGAGGCCTGCTAATATCCATGGCGTTCGCTTATTCTTAAACCAATTAGCCGTTTCAGGCCATACTTCAGCACATTGATCCATGTACCCAAGAACTGTGGATAGGTCATCCGCTCGGAGTATCAAATCGATAAATGGAGTAGCATCATGGGCCCCGAATTTCTTTTTGAATGCTCGTTTAACATGGGTTTCACAGAAAATTAGCACTCGTTGTAAATGCTCTTGCCATGTCCAACGTGGATCCAACGACGCAAGATAATCACCAAGTCCTAGTATGTTTAGCATATGTTTAGCATATGTTAAAAAGATCGCACGTACCAGGTGCCTGTTTCTTACACATATCCAAAGTGACAGTGCGAATCCCCTCCGCCGAATCGTTAGCACCAAGTTGATACGCCCACCACACTGGCTTACGACCAACGTCACTGAGGACTTGGAATAGCCTCTCAAAAAGGGACTTATATGCATGGCGTGTCTCCAAATTCATGAAAACATAAGCGTAAGAGTTGATCCGATTAGCCTCTCGATTCCATGAAGCAATAGTGAAAACATTGGTTTTGCCAGAGACCATCTTGAATGCAAGATCCATCTCAATATAACGCACTGCCTGGAAGAGCTTATCCTGTTCGTATGTGCAGCATATGATGAGAAAATGCTGACGATCTTCATCAAAGAAATAGACGTCACGAATCCATTGTTCATCCGGCTGTTTAGCCTGATCAAAGAGATATTCCCGCCAGACCCCTGCAATATCCGTGCCAAGAGGATAAGATAATAGTCTTTGTTTCCGAATAAGGGCTGTAACCCGATCTTCCACATGTAAACTAGAATGGAGCCCTTGTAAGGTCGATTGGTCATATTTCCTGAGTAATGCCTTGAATTGAGGCGAAATCATCAAAGAGCGAGCAGTTAATCCTAAGATATCATGCTCTAAAATAGCCCCATGGACTTGTTGTGCCACAGTGCGAGGAAGCTTATCTGGTGGTGGTGGGAAATGTGTATGGTTACCACGACCAACCAATAACACAAATGGAAAGCGATGCCATGAATATGGGATGTAAAAATCAAATTTCACATTACAATCTCTCTTGACGAGATGTCCAATCCCTGTTTGATGGATGAAGTCTATAATAATAAGACGGTTAACATATCAATTACATATGTAAAACATATGTTTATCAGACTTACCACAGCGTTGATTAGTCCGACCTCGGTTAGCCACAAAATGGCAGTTATTATCCCGATAGCTTGATTGAATACCAGAGGTTTCAACCAAAACCTTGAGAAATTCAGGGTGAATGTTATCGCCATGGCTTATGGTTTGTACATAATGCCAATCTTCAGCCTCATTTAAGGATGGGCATCCAATTCGCCAGATCCCATGATTAGCCCAGATACAAGGATACTGATCCTCGCAGGTTAAGACTCCTGTGGTATGCTTGCATCGTCCTGGAGAATTCCAGTTCCGCATAAAGCCAAAATAGTATCTGATAAACAAATTAGTATAGTACTGATATGTTATACATATGTATCACATATCCACATACTCTCGAGTCCGTTGTTCAATCTCCTGTCGAACAGAACCATAAACTGGGACTGCTGCCTTTTGACGAAGTTCCCAAAAGATATGAGGATCAACCCGATCATATTGTTCACATGGAGTGATTATATCAGGATGAGTTGACTCGCAGTGATGAATTCCATGGCATCGATATTGGCGATGCCATACTCGAGAGTCTGGATCTTTAGGCTTTGTAGAAAGAAGCCTCAGAAAAATAGAGTTTGGGCGTCCAGTATTTTCAAGCGAGAATTGTATCTATAAAAATATTATTAATATACTTCACACATGTTTACCATATGTGACACTTACATTTGATGAAAGAGTAGCAAATGCCTCAAGCGCATTATCTTTCATCGGATTTGTTCCCAAAGGGCTTTTTGAGAGATGAATCAGATGTAGGATACCACGTTGGGATACAGCTGGGTATTCCGGGATCAAGAAATGGTTTTCTTGATCAAATGCCTGTACTTTACTCCTACTACTAGCACTAATAGTAGCACCATTTTGTGTGAGATCAGAGTTTTGTAGTCCCATATTGAACTCAATGGTAGGCTGTGATTCAGCGTTATCCACTGGTTCATCGGATATAGAATCCTGCTCTGAAACATCTAAATCCTCAAATGTTTCTTCACAGTCTTCATATACTGACCCAGCCTCAGCATTATCTTGCAGCTAATGAAAAAAATCTTGTTAACATATGCAATTCATACGTAAAAAATATGTGAAAAAAAAGGAATACCTTAGGAAGATCATATACTAGTGATGTGAGATCATTTCTTGCAGCATTTTTTCGACGTAGGTCCTGTATACGTGCCAAGTCCCATGGCGGATACTCCGGAAAAGTTGGTGGCCGAACTGGAAGGGCTCGTGGAAGTGGAAGGTCGTCCATAATGCATACAGAGACGGTGAAAACAAAAGGTAAAGGGTGAGGAATAGGGGTAAATAATAATAAATAACGCTAGTTGGCACTAAACTTTAGCAAGCGAGGGTCAGAATTTTGGCCCTTGCTCCACTACAAAGCTGGGCGAGTGTCAAAATTGAGTGGGGCGGTCACGTTATTTTTTGACACTTGTTTTACATGGTGCCCCTGTCCCTATCAATTCCCACCCTGTCTCCAACATGGAAGACGAACCTGGACGAGACTGTATATTTGTACCAACTTTGACCTAGCCCATGGATTCTCTTGAAAGAGTCCAGCAAGTAAAAGTTTCCATGCAAGTCCTCGCCCGCAATCCACTGCCGGTAGGGCAACCTAATCTTGAACGGTCACCTGTGTTTCGACTTCTCTCGAGCCTGTTGTACGTACTAGGTAGACACACGCAGCAGTTTTTGTCAGTGTGTCATGTGCGGACAAAGTTTACTATGAAAATAATCCACATATGGACGTATATTGATCGCCAAAATCGCTAGTTGATCACGGAATAATCGATAGTGATCTAGATCTAAGACAAAGGATTCTTATGCGACGAAGCGTACTCTTGGCTCTTTAAGGCAACTGATATGAGTGAGCTTCTGCGTCCTTATCCCACGAATACTAGGAGGTCCACTCACGCCTCCGCACGTTGTAAAACTTTCAGCCTCATAAGTTGACAAGACTCAACCCATCGATCATTACTTTCAGCACAGAAATCAATGACGTCATTGTCCTAGCCGATGTGCAGAAGTACACTATTCTCTCGGTATGAGAAAGATGCGCCGAGAGGGCATATTGGCAAATGGAATCCCATCCAAATCTTCGTGGACGGAACGAATCTAGGGAAGAGGCTTTCGTGATCAAGATGACCACGGCTTTGAAGCATATTCATCGCGGTCAAAATGATATCACCGCCCATCCCACATCCGAGATCAACCGTTAGGAGATCATTTGAGGGTTGTCGGGCGAATCCCTTTAAGTGAGCTCTCTCAGGGCATCAACCCAAATATGTGCTAAAGCCTCTCTTTCTCCCTTCTCTCCCTCCTCTTCCTTGTTACTCTCGGGCTTTTGTCTCGTTCAAGCGAAATGTATAAAAGTTGAAGTTTAGGATTACCAGCAGATAAAAGCGCTCAACCTTCCTAGTGCCGCGTAGTTGGTCAATAACAATAAAATTATGCGTCGTTATGGTTTAGGCTCATAGACCAATTCAAGGGTAAGCACATTTGGATCTGATAATTTTGAGTTCAGGAACTTCGTGAAGGTATGTTAGATCCAAAGGAATATTCACTGACATGATGTGAGGCTCTATGTTTACAGGCACATGATGAAATCCCCTCTTTGAGTCATCATACAGTCGTAACGTATTCTAAAGAAGGATGCCATTCTAGGCTATGGTTAGTACTTGAAATCACGGGACCTGGGCGGTGACGGGCTACACCATACCTTCTCCGTCACACGCACCTTCTTCCTTTCCTTCTTCCTTCCTTAGTTAGCCAGATAGCTACGAATACAACGTTCGGAAAGCTGCACTCTGTTTAGCTCACTCCATCCAAACACGTTTACTTCAGGAACGGAAACCGTTGGACAAAATTTCCTGTTCTTTCCAGGCAGTCCCGCATATTTATCACGGGGAGAATTTTCGGTATCACTACCAACGCGCCTCGGCTCGCAATTGGCGTGGATGACGTTTATTTTATTCCAAATCTCAGCTCCATTACAACAGCTCCAGTGACTCCCACGTCGTCGGTGGGAAAGCAGAAACAAGCTGATAGATAGAACAGTCGTGCCAACTCAACAACTCCAATAAAGAGACCTCGGATGCTGACCTCCAGCTCTGATTCTCAACCACAAGACGACGATGTCCACATCTGTCTCTCTAGTGAGGTTCTCCTTCCAATAGAATCTGAACTCTGTGATGAACCCATCGGTAAGGATACAACTGCTGACCAACTGACTCACCTGGAAGACGGTTCGTCGGCTGACACAATCCTACTGGACCGTCGACCCAAGAGAAGTCGTAAATTCTCAAAAGTGGATTCACCTTCATGATATTATGTCGCATCAATTGTCAGACTGTCTAAGGTCGATTTTTACCTTGTATTTTACGTTGTTTCAATTGTGGCCGCAGTTAAATATCCAGTGATATTCAAAACTTATCTCCTTTCATTTTGACTTTAAGAATATAATTTTGCATCCACACTTATCCAATCATTACACCTGATGCCGCACGATATAATTGGCTGAGCCTAGCGGACATGCGTGTGTACCTCTGCGGTGCCTTGTCAAAACTAAGCGTTCGACTTTCATGTTATCACTCAACTACGTTTCACTTTTCGTACTTGCTTCGTTTCAGGGCCACAGCGTGCGACAGCGCGCGTCACCAGTCCTTGGACTGGCCTGTCTGGGCTCTAGGATTGTAGGGTTATTTCTGTAGATATATGCAAGATTTTGGTCTTTCATTGCTTCGTGCTCTGCACGTTCATTGACTTTTATCGAGAAGTCCTTTGGGTTATTGTCACTGATTCTGCATTGGAAGCTCTGTTTTCTTCATTGCCGTGCTTCATTTTCTCATACTGTAGCCGTTTTTTACGATTCTATTTCCTTACGCAATGCTCACCCTGCATTCTTGTAATGACTGTGGTGGTCGAGTGCGTTTGTCTTCAAATAGCTATTCCACCTCCGAGGTGGAATGCTTATCGCTTGTCTAATTTACGCCGCACTGTTGACACTCGTCCCTGCTTGCGCTGCCCAATTCCTATTCCTGCTCGAGCCCGAAATCCTCTTTGCGCGAATTGCCAGTACGCTCCAATCCTGTTCCTCATTATGTTCCTTGCGTAGATGACCGGAATAACGTCCTCTCCCGTCCGAGAATCACTCGCTGTTTGAATTGCAGGTCTAGAAGATGGACAGTCATGCTGGCTCCTGTCGATCTCGGTCCTGTATACTCGACATCTTTTGATCCGTGGTAGATCAATCCTTGCAATTGACTACGCATATACATATCCAATCGTATTTCGGCACGCGCCATCTGCATTAGTAGACTGTAGACACGTATCCTCTATGCCATCAAATTTGTGCATAAGCTGTCGGATTTTGGGACTCATCACATTTTCGCTCGTCGGGATACACTAAAGAAGATCAAATTGCTGCAGCCTTTCCGAGCGAAATAAGATAGTACCTGCTTTCCCTTCTGTATTACCCACTGAGTATTTTCGACGGGTCCTCTCAAAATATTCCTTTACAATGGCTGCTCTCGTTTCACTGTAAAGTGAAATCGAAAATAGATTTCCCTCCAATTAGCAGGCATTTATTTCGGCTTGTGCCAGAAACTACGCCGGTCTACACTGGGTTATCATGGAACTATTTCAAACCGGAAGGCCTCCAATAATTCGCTTACCTCATAGTTAAAACCGAATTCGCGTTTCGAGATTTTAAGTCATAGAATATCCATTGCACTCACCACAGTCCAACTAACTGCCTATAGTCGTTGAAAAAGGTGGAGGAAAATGGGATGGAAAAATGGGATGGACAATCTCCCAAATGTGCCCATTACTAGGTCGAGTGAAGGGTTACTCTAAAAAGCCGAGCTGGGAATAAGGACACCGAACATGACCTAGCTTGAGGAGGAAAGTGGATTTGTGAAACGGCAATGGAGAGTAAATAGGTTTTCTTTGCCTCTTAGTTTCTTCTTGATATTTTATTTGTCCGTCGGATGATGGTGACAGCTCCGCAAGTAAAACCCGTAAATTATATACCAGATCCAGCCAGTTTTCTACAAGCTAGAGAAGAACTCTACCACATCATTGACCCACAGGTTAGGATGGGTGACCGCTGGCCAATGACCACCAAAATCGTGTCGCTTGAAATAAGTAACCGGGGCCATTCGTTCAATCCAGGTTCGTGGCTGATTGCATTTTAGCAAGACATAAAAAGCACTGCGTAGCTGGACTTACTGTTAAGGGCCACTTAGCAAGGGAAGTAAATGGCCCATTCACACCTCCCCACTGCGTCACGCCGGTTGGGATATTCGACCTAGGCAGCATGACTTGGTCAGGCTATATATCGTGACAGTTTAGTTAACTCGGTCCCAGATATCAAAGAGCTGGCATGAGTACCAACCTGATTCATGTCCGAATAGGCTCGTATAGCATGGTATGGCGGCTGTATCCACTGTAGCATCGTGTCTGTAATGAGCTCTTCGTGCTCGTAAAGGTACCCGTCGGAGCTTCCGTATTTGAGATCCCACAACCAACCCGCAAAGCCAACAGGGCTATCTGTGAACGCGAAAGAAATGGCAGAGGGCTTTTGGTTCATCACTGTGGCATAGGAAGCATGTTTCGTGAACCATTCAGCTGCTGTTGCCATGAAGTTGTTCTCCTCCTCTGTGGTTTCGCCCCTAGCTTGCCGGGCAAGATCAGACTCGCTCGCGGGGACCAAGAAGAAATCAGTAAAGTGACCGACGATGCTGTCGTGGACATCTTCCACCATCCACATTCCAATCAACCAGCCAAGGTCGGTCGTCACGATACCGTACTTCTCGTAGCCGAGTTGTTTCATTAACGCATCGAAAGCTCTGCCGATCTCTCTTGCGCGGAGGCCTGGCATTGTTGCTGCTGGACTGAATCCGAAGCCCGGTAAGTCCACAGCGACGATATGAAACGATTTGTTGTTGCTTCCGTGCGTCAAAGGCTCGATGACACGAGACCATTCCAAATGAGTAGATGCCCAACCATGGATAAGGAGAAGCGGAGTAGCGGCATTGTCGTTGGATCGCTCGTGGACAAAATGAAGAGGAATAGGCGCGGTATAGTCGCCATTTCCAGGAACGGTGGTCGCGTAATGAGCAAACTGCTCATTCATTTGCTTTTCGACTTTCCTCCAGTCATAGGTCTTGGCCCAATAGTCTGCAAGGCTTGTTAAAGCCCCTGCAGGGGGTCCTTCAGCAGTCCAGCTCGAGGAGAAAACCGGTGACGGGCGGTAATCGTGCACTTTTCGTATGGCGTAATCAACGAAATCCTGATTGACATTCAAATTGAAGCGCTGGGGGCTTCTGGTGTCTGGAAAACTGAAATTGAGTCCCGCGTACTTTGACTGTTGTACGGGGGTGGCTGCAGAAGCTGCGACGGGCGACATCGTGCAATTGGCCAGTTAACTGGAGAACTCCGGATGCTGTTTGTCCCTCTGGTAATGCAATCCTGATGGCAGAAGCAGATGTGAGCGACTCCACATGGAATTTAACATATTTGCGATTGCTCTCTCCTGACGATCTTGTTCGGGTTCTTCGCTTTCTCGCGATTTACTACCCCCGAAAGTTCGCGACTAAGTCAGACATACTCGAAAGTCTCCCACGGCTTACTCAAGCAAATTAGTGACTTCTCTGTTTTTCGTCACCCCCTTTTCGGACTTCGTGTTGACCGCAAAAACCGAGCTGCCCAAACTACCAAAACCCGAGCGCCGCGCCTACGGCTGATGACTCAGCGGAACCTACTTTAGTTAACGTAATCAACGGGCGAGTGACGGGAATTGTTACGGACACTAACATAGGCTGACCGACATGACGAAAAGGTGATTTTCTACTAGAATACCCTTCTCTGAATTTATAGCTTGTTCAATTAGTTTAATCTGAAGTCCATCCAAAACTAGAAGTGTATCCAGATGAAGCCAGGTCAGCCTCAACATATGGGGTTATCTGCAGTCATCAGTGTGATCGCTTCGCCTACTGGTCTACGATTGTGTTTACAGAGGATGGGAGGAAGAAAAGAGAAAGAGTTTGCTGGCAGTAAAGTACGAGAGCGCTCCTGAGCGTTATGGACTCGAGGAACCCGTTGGTCCAGATCCGAAACCGCGTATGGCTCAAGGCCTGGTCTCGAAGAAAGCGTTTCTCCGAGACGATCTATTCCCAGTTTCGGATACTAGACATGGTGGCTAGGTAAGCGATGTTCGGGGTGCACTTGGGCTTCTAGCAAATAGACCTAAGACCAAGTCCCTCAGAGCAGAATAAATAGCTGCATCATAGAGCGTACTTCAGTCCTGTAGACCACAGAGCACGGTCTAGTTCGCAGCCAGATGAGTGCTAAGGATAATCAATAGTTGAATCAGTTTTTCCCAATGGGGTAGTGACGGAACTTTCCCCCAGCACTGCTTCGTGTCCCCGCCAGTATTCTGACATGGCGTATCTGTACAGAGACGTAGGGATTGGGATCTAAATAGTCGAGCCAGTAACTTAAAGGTATTTCCCGCTGAATAATCGGCAGGTAGTGAGTAAGGCGCGTAAATCTGGCCTTACTGGTGAAAAAGAAGGCAGTTCGTCGAATATGTAGTGAAGAGGGGAACGCTCGATGGCTGCACGCGCTGAGACGTGCGGGTCGATTCAGCAGAAAAACCACCACAAAACGCACGCGTAGCAACCAGGAAACAGCGAGAAGCCCAAATGTAGGGGTCAGGTCGGGGAGGTGTAAGAAGGTGTATTCTAGAACTAGCTATCCGGTCACTGCATACTGCCGGCTATGTCACATAGTCTGGATGGCACCCATGTAGTAGGGGGAGGGGGTCTCCCCACTACAATATCTAGACGACAGGGATACACATCTATACTCCACGTGTGGTCATCCGGTGAGGTGAAGAGTGGGTCCAGTACGATCGTACGACAGGGGTAAGGATGATCTTTTCACTACATACTATATGGCATATCTCGTCGGATGAATCGTGATCACCACCGGCAGGGATCCCTGGGAGCGCTGCGGTCGGCGGTTGCGGATTTCGCGATTTTGATGGGGTGTGGGTCTTCCGGACACGCACCATGGGCACCGGGAGCACGCACTGTGGACCAATCAGACGGCGGAGGAGTCGAAGGGAGCCCTCCCTCCTTTAAGGCATTATGGATTGGGGCAATGCAAGTCAAGCGCGTTGCACAGCCGCAAAGATCTACATAAAATACGAGGCACACAATATTGTTGCCTGCAAGAAGTATTTAAATATGGCTGTTTATAATTGTTTACCAATTAACCAATACAATTATCGCTATTGCAAATAATTGAAATGAATAAACTAAGATCTATTCTCACATCCAAACCACCAACAGGGACACCAGCAGAGCCAACAAAGTCATACCAACCCCGTCCAAATCCCACGGGAACACTCCCACCACCGACTCCAGCATATTCGAAAAATCCTCCACGCCTGATTCTTATCGGTGGCGGGTCCCGCGGGCAAGCCCTCGCTCGCGCCATCGTTCACGGCTCGAATGGACATCTCGTCGCGATAGCCGAGCCTGATCCCATTAGACGGCGACAGGTAGGAAGGCACTGCATCTGGGGCATCGAAGAGCCGTCGGAGGGGGAGGAGTTTGAAGGGTGGGGACAGTTCCTCGAGTGGGAACTTGCTAGACGAGCTGGAGCTGCAGCAGCTCCGATTGATGAGACTGGGACCTCGAAAATTATCGATGCCGCTGTTATTTGTACGGCTGATCAGACACATCGCGAAATTGTGCTGACGCTCGCGCCACTCGGTATACATCTCATGTGTGAAAAACCGCTTGCTACGTCTCTACAAGATCTATTTGATATTTACCGCTTTCTTGGACCGAAGCAGGATATTGCTTTGCCGTCTGCGTCCGCGTCAGCGGGGATATTGTTTGCTGTCGGGCATGGAATGAGGTATACGCCGCATAACCAGCTGTTGCGGAAATTGGTTCGCGAAGATGAGGTTATTGGGGATGTTGTTTCGGTGGAACATACAGAAAATGTAGGGTGGTGGCATTTTTGTCATAGTTATGTTCGGTACGTTCACTTTCAATTTTGTAACTGACCTTGGTTTCTAGTTTGCTGACTTACTCAGTGGTAATTGGCGGAAAGAAAAAACGTCCGGACCTTCGCTATTGACGAAATCCTGCCATGATATTGACTTCTTACTCTGGCTTCTCGCTGAGCCAAATCTTCCTCGGCCTGGAGAGGAACGAGCGCCTGTTCATCTCCCATCAAGTGTTTCTTCGTCGGGCTTGCTGAAGTTCTTTCGGCAGAAGCGTAAGCCACGCTCTGCTGGTAATGCGACGAATTGTTTGTCTTGTCCGGCTGAGCAGGATTGCCATTTCTCTGCGCACAAAATTTACTGGGAAAAGGGTGTTTGTATGGGGCTTGGTGGATGGCCTGCTGATGTTGTCCTACCTGATATTGAGGATTTGCTGGATAGTGGCGGACTTCAGGCTGTGAAGGATAAGTTGGATACAACACTCATGGAGGATTATACGTCGAGCACGTCGGAGAAAGAAGTTTCTTCTCGGCAATGGTACGGTCGTTGTGTATTTGAGTCTGACAATGACGTCTGTGACGATCAAACTGTTCACATTTCCTGGGACGATGATGAAGGAAATGATTTCTACGCAAAGTCCGCGACATTCCACATGACTGCTTTCACCGAGGGTGTATGTACGAAGCAAATGCGTATATTCGGGACAAAAGGCGAGATAAGTACCGATGGCGCATTAGTTACTGTTCGCGATTTTGTCACTGGGGAGACCAAGTCTATTACTCCTCCTATGAGTACAGGTGGGCATTCAGGGGGTGATTATGGCTTGATGAAGCAATTTGTTCTTGCTGTTGACGCTGTCAAAAATCATGGCCTTGAGCTGGAAAGTTCCCAGATTGAGTTTATTGGGTGTACAATGGAAGACATCATCAGGAGTCATTCTTTGGTCTTTGCGGCGGAAGAGGCGAGGAAGTTGGGGGCTCAGGTGGACTGGAAGGAGTGGTGGAAAAGCAATTTTCGCAAACAAGGTACAATTTATTCAAAAAATTCTAAGTGATAGAATGTTTACTTCTTGAGGATGTTGAAAGGGGCATTGGATTATGATAATGATGAATTCTTGTAGCTCCCTCTATATATATGCTGCTATGTAGGAGTGCTGTCGGGCCGGCCGACAGCTAGAATGTGGTCGTTAGCCCACATGACGATCCAGAGAGGCGCCCAAACCGAGCCTCTGTTTGGTCGCATTGAATGTAAAATTGAAACAGGACAGGAGAAATCAGATGCGTAAGCGCGTAAAGCACTTGAACCGCATCAAAATGAACGTCGCTGGTCCTCACCGCCTTCGCTGGGACCCTCTTCTCTTTGTTGTAGTTCAAAGGAAGATTGCTTGTATTCCTTCTGGACAGAAAACTTGAGGGTTTACATACACATGCGACCTCCAGATTGATTTCCAATTAAAGCGGGTGATTCCGTGAGGTTAGGAATTGATTCCGTTACGATACGACATATCACAACACTAGATTTTAAAGGGTGGCCAGGACATCATAGGATGAGGTAGCATGGCTGGCCCTCATAAGTGTGTGAGGTGCGTTTGTCAACTGTTGACAACGCAGTCCACCCCTGATGACACACCATAGACTGGATATATCATTTCTTGGCACTGAGCACAACAATCAGCGCTCACTGGCAGAAACATGTGTGTGCACCGTGAATGGCATTCAATGGATCTAGATTTGTGTGTTTCATGATTAAATTGGATTATGATATCATATGTTGATGATTATGCGACTGTCTAGTTGTGAGAATACAAGTTTTGGATGCTTACTGCCTCCTGTTTGCGCCTAGCACAACAGACAGAACCCCTGTCAGTAGAGGGAATGGCACGTGACTAGTCTGGGTTTTCGTCCGAGTTTCTATTGGCTGAAACATTATCTGCCTTATCCTGCCACCATCTTCGAGGGTGATTAAAAGACAGAGGAATTTTGGAAGCAGACCACTATTGTGAATTTAATGATACCAAATTCAATGTACAAAAAGCGTTGTGGCGCTGGTGTTTTGTGTCTCGCAATTCCCACCACGTGACCTTCGCCGGGTTTTTCGTTCGAGTTTCTATTGGCTGAGAGTATTTCATCTTTCCTGCCACCAATTTTCAATAATATGTAAAAAGAGAAATGGTTTTAGAGTCTGGCGGATGCGGGCTTCCTAATAATACTAAAACAATCTCCATCCGGGCGTTGTGGTGTTGTGGTCACCTGCCACAATTTGCCTGCTGGATACCGTGATATTCCATGGGACCTCGTTTTTCGGATTCGGATTTTGAATAATCCGTTGGAGGTCCTGGCGATCTGGCAAATTTCGCCCACGCTCGTTTTATATATTATAGAAGGCTGTGCTGGTACTGGAGAGAGCTAACCCCGGTAGGAAATCAAGCTCTTTCGTTCCATGGCTCGCCTCCCCTGTTGTAATGTTCATTCGCTAATAGCGTCCGTTGCATTGATTGGTGACATTTTCATGACGTGCTTCGGCGTTCATGCTTCACCCTCAAATCATACTCAATGCAATTCTGCTTCCTCCGCTCCTCCAGGCTTAGTGTTGAAGTGCTATCGGAAATTATTACCTGTTAGCTATGGACAGTAGCATGATATCTTGATTGTCTTGACTGTGATCAATGTCACAAGAGCCAGCTGCTCCGCCACCGCCAGGTGTTATTCCGGATTTTAGGAATCCATCTGGAGGCCTTCACTTATGGTTGAAAGTGACCCAGTTTATCTGTCTCCCTGTGGTCTCCTGCTTTGTGATATTGAGGCTATATGTCAGGCTACTCATGCAGCGCGTGTTTTATGTTGAGGACTGTAAGTAGCTTACCGGACTGGCTGACATTTATATATACTAATTGGATTAGGGATGTGTATAATATCTTGGGTATACGAACTTCGCTTCTATCGTGAATCGTTGAACATATCATTCTGACTACACGAATCTAGGTCCTAGCAACGGCGTGGTTTTCACTTCATATAGTGAGTAAGTTTATGAGAATTTACCCCTGCACAATAAAAATTGACACTTTTCTCTTCAGCCGCACATGCAGGTGGAGGCTACCATCAGTGGGATATTTCGAAAGATGGCATAGTTCTATTTTTGAAGGTAGGTAAAACACTTGAGCACACAGAATATTTAGTTAACGTCTTGCTTAGACTTCTTATGTAATAAACGTCTTATACAGCCCGCTTATTCTTACAGTCAAATTATCGATTCTATTCATGCTGGCACGATTCTTCGCACCATATCGGATATGGGTTACTCTTATACACATATTGAGTGCGATACTAGCGGCATATACGATCGCAGCAACGGTTGTGAAGATTTGCATCTGCAACCCTATTAGCACATATTGGCAGGGTCCCAGTGCTACGAATGGGAAATGTCTTAATGTGCTACGAATCTTCCTTAGCGACACAATTTTCAGTACCATCACCGATTTGATCATCTTCGCTCTACCGATGACACTGATTCCAAGGCTCCACTTGTCCCTTATGAAGAAACTAAGAGTTATTGTTGTTTTGGCGGCTGGCGGTCTGGCGTGCGTTGTGACAATTGTCCGGCTGGTATGGGTGATTTTATATGAAAATTCACCTGATACGACGTGGACCACCACACGCACTGATCTCGTCACATGTGCAGAAATTGCAATCGGGATCATCTGTGCGTGCCTTCCAGCAGTTAATTTCCTTCTAGTCCGGATCTACTCTGTTACTTCCGAAGGAAACAGCGAATATAGAGTCCACGTCTTGCATCCGGTGATTACACATTCGTCAGCGTTATCCTAGCATGAGATAGAGAGTCCCAAAAAGAAAGACATTATCTTCGACGCGCTAGAGTTGCCTGATTTTTAATACTCGTGGAATTCCGCTCGAGCCAAATATAGCTCAAGGGAATAAACACCCCTTTCCCCCAAGGTATCGTAGCATGAACCCTCTAATCCATAATGCCTGAAAGGACCCAGGGCAGGGTCCGACTTCTCTATGCGCTCATTGGTCCTAGATGAACATGGCTCCCACCTCCTTGCCGCTTGGACGGAACCATGACGTGACTGCGACGCGTCTGTTGTTTGTTGACAAACTGAGGGGGTGGTCAAATACCACTAGGACCCTTCGGGATGGGCTTATTCATCGTTCACCCAATTTCCACCTAGTATGGTGTCATAACACGCCATAGTTCAACTATAAAGACCCCTGAGATCGCTCAACCGATCGGAGAACCTACAATCAATCATCTTATTCTGTTTGGACATCTTCAGTACTAGCCAGTACATCGATTCCTCATCCTGACAAGATACGTTAGCATGATTGAAGTTACGGAAGACAGCAGCCGAAGCCGATTGGAAGTGTTTGAATCATGGCAGCGTAAACAATGGAATAAAACTCTAAAGCTACGTAACTACAACCGATGTTCTGACAGTGCTCAGAATGTGCTCTCGCAGGTTAGTGAAGCAAGGCGTGGGAATAAGCCATAGGGGGTTATGGCTAAAAAAAGAGCTATAAAATAGGAAAGAGACAAGCACTGAATGTAAACGTGCGAACTAGACCAGACGAAGCCCTATAGGCGTTAAAGCTGAGACATAAAAAGCGCGGAGAAGCGAAGGATAAGCCCAGTGAGGACTCCATAAGTCAAGGATCACCGAGGCAAAGCGTGGAAGTTAATAGCAGTCTGTTAGGCCAATGAGAGAACTATACAACCGAGGACGAGCCTGTCATGGATGGGAACGTACAGAGAAGTCCAGAATGAAGCCCTAGAACCATAACGGCTATAATGGCTAAGATGGATGGAGAAGTACATAGTGACCAGGAGCCAACAAGAACGCGTCTTGGCGGCCGAAACCAACGAATCAAACGGCGAGAATTGGCAAGAATTGGCAAGAATTGGCAGTACGAACGCAAGCCAAACTTTGCGGTCAGCTCACGCAGGGTAGTAAAACCCCTTCACTCGTTCCTCGTTTCAGGGCACAATGATGCTGGTACTGCACTCAGTGTATCTGGTCTTTTCTTTGGTGTCCATCAGTGGTTGGAGTTCTGGCAATGTCTTGACTCAAGAACTTGTCTCCTTCGATTGCAATCCTTCTTCAATGGGTTTTCTTGCCCACACACGGTTGCTAAATCTAATTAACATAGAATAGTCAACAGCGCGAATCGGAAAACTTACATCCAGTTATACCTGTGAATATGTGGGTTCTTCAGCTCCACACGCACTTTAGCCAAGAACACCTGCACCTCCTCCTTCGTCCACGGCTCGGGCTCCCCAAAGTGGGTGAGAAGCCACATCGCCCAACCCTCTAAAGCGGCGTTCCAGTGGGCATACTGAAGTTGTCCGACCTCCTTCAGCACCTTATCCTTAGGCCAAGCTCCTAAGGGGACCCTGCTCTTCTTCTCGTGCACTTCCACGAATCCAGCTTCCTCAATTGCGCTGCGCATCGTTTCGTGAACATTGAGTGACCGCCCGGCTCGCTCGGCACATTCAATGAACATGTTGCCCCACCTCCATAGCTGATGTTCTTCCTTTAAGCTCCCATCGTCGCTGCGGACTCGCACGTCAAATTCCATCTGCTCAATCCAGCCCCCAGGTTCGAGGGCACTATACCAGAAGTTAAGATATAAAGCCTTACCAACTAGTTACTGGATTAAGTAATCAGGATCAAAACTCACTCGTAAGCTTGTTTGTATAGCTGTTTCCACCCCTCAGGAGGGAAGGCGCCATACATTAGGCGTATATGAATAAAGTCAAATGGCTCTCTCCATGTCCATTCACGAAGCACATCATCCACTTCAAAGACGCAGTTGGGGGGCATCCATGTTACGGGTGGGGGGAAGAGATCCACGCCACGAATGGTAGCTAACTCTGTGTCAGTCCAAGAAGAGAAGGAGGTTGATTCGAGAAATCTCATACCTGAAGGATACATATCGGCAACGTCACTTAAGGAATTATTATTGGCTCTCTTAAACGTGTTATTAATTGACTCACATTGCCCAACTCCCTTGACCAGTTCCGATGTCTAGAATATGCTGTATTATGATGTTAGTGGCGCGCTCAAGGGAGCATGTCCTCAGTATGGATTTATTTACCTTGGGCGAATCACCAATAGGGGCGCGAAAAAGAGGATTATCCTGGTAGTGGTCTAACACGAGGAACACCATATGGCTGAGTTTGTTTTTGGTTAGATCACAGACCGTTTTCTTGGTGGTTATGGGGGGATTGAGATTTACCCAATTTCGAACGCTTCGAACTGCTGCTCGTCAGAAGGACCCCTGAACATGTTAGTTATCTCCGCGAAAACCAAATAAATGCAAGGCAACTAAGGCAACTAACCAGTAATCATCATCTTTTGTGGCTTGGTATCTACTTCTCAGATGAGTATCAGGAGAAAACCTTACGGACTGGAAGTGCACTAGAAGATCCTGACCTTCGCCCGTTTTCAAACCGCCCCCTCGCGATCGTGGACGCAAGAGAGGTGGTCTCTCTGAAAACAAACCCAAGTTAGGATACGGCAATGATTTTGTTTTGATTGTAACAAGCTGCACTCACGACTGAAAGTCCAACGGTTCTGTGCTCGCTCCAGTCTCCAGGTAGAAATCAGGGTCCTAGTCGAGACGTGAGAAAAAGGACCGCATCGGAAAATGGGAAAGGACATTTACCACCGCGATGAGGTCCATATCGGCTGCTATGGTCGTAGTATTATCCCCAAAGGCTACGGGAAAAGCAGTCGACGTCGATATTGGAGGAATTTGAGGTAGATGGCTGGAAAAAGGAGAGGCAGGTAGAAGGTGGGAGGCGGAGTGGGCAGGTTACGGCACAACCGCGGTTAAAGGACAATCGATCTGTCCAAGGCATGTCCCACCAGGACAACAAAAAAAAGGTAGACAAAAGTACGAGGGGGCGGTCGCGGGCTCCAATGAGTATTCCCCGATTGGCCCAGCGGTGGCTATGATTCTGAAAGACAAAGACCACGACCCGCGAAGGCGGGAAGGCGGTGTGTGGGCGACCGGAAGGTATAGCCGATGGATGGATGGAATGCCCTGAAACGAAGGAACGGAGTGGAAGGGGTTACCAGCCCCACGGCTGCCCAAAGCCGACGTTGACGCTGCCAAAAACACAGCGACAAACACACAGCCTACACCCCCGCCAAGCCTCTCTCACATTGGTGCTTGGTTGAATTCCCGGTCACGTTTCTTCTTTCTCGTGTTCGGTTGTCTCTGTTCGTCTCTTTGCTCTGTTGTCCTCCTATCTGCTTTGCATGCCTTGCAATGCTCCTCAGGCAAACGACCTACGCAGTCGCTCCTATATAAAACGTGCGACCCCTGCCGCCAGAAAGTAGACGCTCTTGATAATGAGGATGAGGAGACCACACAAATGACATGGACAGAAACCGCCGACGAAAACGAGTCCTCGCCACGAGCTACCACTCCACCTCCAGAGAGGCATTCTCGAAGGCAACGAAAGACATCATATGCCAATATACTTGCACAATCGAACTACAATGGCTAATTGGCAAATTTCGGATTTTTCTGTTTTGTAAGGTGTTGCGGCTATTAGTCAGTCCATTTACCTTCTGATTGGTCAACGCTCATTTGCATTGTGAGGTATCAGTAAAGCAATACAACATCCCTTTTTCCTTTGCCTTTCTCGTCCCTGCCTTTTCATTTCATTGTTTCAGGGCCACAGCGTGCGGCAGTGCGCGTCACCAGTGAAAGTTGGATCCCAGGTCACGTGATGTATAGATATTGTAGTGGCAGCCCATTAGGCTGCCACCACCAGTCTCTGTCCTCGATGAACACTTCTGGCGGCGCTTGCCATGGTGCCTGTACGAATGCCTTCCGACTCTCCCAGTCCCTCGCCAAAGTTCCCGGGGGTGCCGTAAGGCATCCGCCCGTTTTCCAGGCTTGCGCCTCCATCGGTGTCCATCCAGACCAATCTCTCTCGTCCAAAAACTTCAGGCAAAGCGGTCGGTGGATTAGGATTCTAAATGTTTTGTTCTCGATGCCCTTCTCCTTATAGTCACTCTTCACATTCTTCAAATCCTTTTTTCTTTTGCCTTGGGGTCTTTCTCCGCGGGCTTGGAGTCTGTATTCCAAGCCACTTCCGGATCAGCAGACTTCTCTTCAGTAGTACAGAATCCACTTGCTCTCTTAGGTTATGGAGATATATCGATAATTAGTTTGAAGGCTTTCCACCTGAAGAATCCGATTTCCTGCTCGAGAATATTTTGCCATCGTTTCATGAGACCCCCGTTCGATATCAAGTCAAACCCCTCATTTGAAGCTACCCGACTTTGCTTGAGAGAATGGACATGTGGCTACACCTCTCGCCTTGATTGCATCCATATCGAGACCCATCTCTTCCATTCCTTTTCCGTTCTGTGGCTCTGGCCCGACTGTCATTAAGCTATATCCTTGAGGCAGATACCGTCCTCCGCGTGAGCCGGGTATCTTGCCTCCGAATAGTCTAACCAACAACGCCCCGGGCCCCCATTTTGACCAGAGAGTAGGTCGGATGTACCATGGTTGCAATCCCATTCTTTCGAAGTTGTAAAAATTCGTGTCCGGGTTTGGCGCATCATGCACTAATTTGACGGCAAGCAAAGAAGGACGTGGTAGTGCAAGGTACCGAAGGATTAACTTTCGTGAATCTCGGATGAGGCGTAGCATGAGAGAGAGGAATAGGCTAGGAGATTCGAGACTAGGTCCGTAAGCAAAGTACATAAGGTCGCAGTGAGATACGTACAGAACTTACCAAAGGCTGGTTCTCATAACATCGTCCAAGTCAGCACCCAGCATCTGCCGCACCACTGGTTGTATGATGCCAGGAAGTGCAGAATCAACGTAGACTCGGACATATTGATCGTTTGTTGCAGTGGGTCTCGCCACTTCTTCTTCATAGTGGATTGTCCACTTTCTCAGTTCTAACGCAAAGTGCAGTCCATCTTTCCATCCTTCTGCTTTTGAGGGAAGCACATCAAATGGGATTCCCATATCTTCGCCTAGGTTTTTGTGAAAAATACCAAGGGCACATTTCTCAACATCCGTAAGTTTTCGCCACTCCTCTCTTTCAATGACATTCAGGATTTCGGCAAGACCATCACCTAGTGTATGGAGAAGATCGCCATCAGTAATTTTGTTAGCGCGCCGGTAGTGGGCATGACTTCAACGACGACAAGTTAATAAGCAAAACGAGAGGCCACAATACACTTCCCAATAGGGAGGGCTCAATTTGAAGGTAGGTCATACATACAGATAATTCATTCTCGCCACGGCAGATGCATAACGATCCGAATCTCGAGGCTGGGATTGAGACTCCCGTAAGAGGATTTCTGTGTCAACGGCGCGCTTCCCGGCGTTGCGTCTATTGTTCTGTCCTGTGACTGCGAAAAGCTTCGACATAGTCGGGATACCTCCGGCCTGTTTTTGTAAACTTAGTTGAGTTTATGTTTTGCTTGAACAAGTTACATTTCACCTGTCATACCTTTAATAGAGCGATCTGACGAGCCTTAGAAAAAGCATGTGGAAACTCCAGTTCTTGTAACTGAGTCATAATTGCATGCGCTTCTTTGACCGTCATGCTTGACAATTCTCTCTTCCCAGGGGCGAAAGCGGCCTCAATCACTTTCATTCGACTGTATCGAAAAGACTTGACCAGTGCTAGATAGCTAGCAAGGACCATAGCAATGACTAGGTAAATGTTGTTCCATGGTGCGAGGAATAGGCTGGAGTTGTCAAACATCCTGCTAGTAGTGATTCGAAATGCTCACTTTATATAATTCGGAGAAAAGGCCTCCTAATAGTGCGTCTGAAAGTCTTTTGATGAAAGTATTAGAATGTAGTCAAGGCTATTTAAGATAATTTCAAATCGGCCAGGGGCAAACCAATCTGCGAGTTCTAATCAATGTGACTGTGCCCCAACAAAATTTCTGGTGTGGAGCAATCCAAGATGCCCATGACCGAATTTTCCGGGTTCGGATTTCTCGACTGGAGTTTCCGAGGTAACTAAGTAAGTCGATGCCGACGATAATGTAATCTAGGCCGCGCCAAAACCCGCCCACGGCCCAAACCCGCCCACGAAAACCCGACCCACGGGTTGGGTTGGGTCGTAATCAGCAAACCTGTTGAATAGTTAACTATTATTATTATTATTATTATTATTATTATTATTATTATTATTATTATTATTATTATTATTATTATTAATATTATTATTCCTCCGGCTGTGCGCAGCCTCAGGCTGCATGTAGCCTCCGTGCCAGCTATGCTGAGTCATCGATGTACATGTAGTTCCCTCTCACAAGGCCTTCTATGTCTCTCGATTCAGTCGGTTGGTTGCCATGGCGAATTGGATGACAGATTTGACAACCTCCATATTGGGAGTCCAGTTGTTTTTGGAATCAAGTTCTTGTCCGGTTGGTCCTTGGCTTGATGACCACCAATCCCCAGTGCGAAGAATGTGTCTCTATATCGATTTCCCATTGTCGCTCTCATCTCGCCGCGATGTGGTCCCCATAGATTACAATCAAATAGAAAGTGGTTAATGGTTTCTGGTCCTTCTTGACATTCACAGGTGTCGTCTAGTATTTGTCCAATTTGACACAAGTATCAATTTAGGCGAGTGTGGCACGTTCGGAGTTGTGCTAGCGTACCGGCTTTTGCTCTGTGGAGTTGGTCGTACATATCTTTGGTGTGCTTTCCAGGAAGTGCTGCATCAATCGCTTCTGTGTGCTTACCAAAAGGGTCCTGCCAGAACTGTTGGCTGTGTGCTTGTCTGAGGTTTCTTCGTGTTTTTCGCCAAATAGCAGAGTGTACTCGTTGAGTCGCCCAGTCGGGGGGAAGGAGTTGGTTTGGTGGCGAGCTTTTCTGTGTTGCGTGTTGGGCCGCGACTTTGGCCATTGAGGTCCCTGTGTTGTCTTGTTCACTGCCGACCCGTCCAATCCGAACGTCCACTTGATCCTCCAGTAGTTCTCGCACTAATTGGATGATGTGTCGGATGATTTGTTGCCCGCCTTGTACCCATGGATTGATGATGGATTGGAGCACTGATGGGTTCGTTGCATAGATGCGGATGCCCATGCATCCTGTTACCGCTGGAAGCATTGCTTGTAACTCACTGGTTGCACCTAATTGAACATTGTGCAGGTCGGTATTTTCGTGGGTTTCAATTGTCCTCGAGGTCGACTGCGGGATGGCATTTCCCATCATGCCTGCAAGGCCAAACCCTGCCAGGCCGTTGCGTGCTGAGCCATATGTGTACACGTGGATTTTAGGGGTTTCAAACCTACCTGGCTTGTCTAGCTGCGCCTCATCCAGTATGATAGCCTTTTTTCATTTCAGCTCCCATGGACATGTAATGTAGGGGAGAATGAGCTCCACCTGTGTTTTGTGTAGTGGTAGGACTTGGTTCAGTTTCCCAAAGAGGATTTGGCCATCAGGAGGCTATGAATTTGAAGGCATTTCTGAATATGATGGTCCCTGGGCAGACTGTGGCAACTGATCCAGTGGCGGAGAATCCGCTTCTGAATGCATATGTTCAGTGGTATGATGCCAACCTCTGCTTCCGCGACTGATCTTGATACTGTGCGAAACAGACCAACAACAACCTTTGCGGTCGTTTCTGGATCACATCCATTGGGTTGACAATCCACTCTGGAATATTCCCTTGTTTGTTCACTGTAGCCCATACTGATGCCGCATATGTGATGGTCGATACAACTAAGGATTGGTACAACTGCCGAGCATTTCGTCGTCTCAACCCTTTCAGTCGCATCAACGCTTGGCTAGCTTGGATACCCCTCTTGGTGACTCTGCCAATACGTTCTCGGAATTTTAGTTTTTGATCACATATCACTCCTAGCAGTTTGACCGCATTGCTCGGACCAATCTTCTGTTTGTCGACCTTGAGTGGTTGTGCAGGTTGTGGGTTGCGGATGGTGCTTCTAGTGAAGTGGATATATTGAGTCTTGTTCGCCTTGAATGTAGCGCCCGACATTGCGGCCCATCTTAATGCCATTGGTAGGGTCAACGTCATGCTGCTCATAAATACGATGTAAACGATACCACTTGTCATATATTCTTTCTTTGAGCGATATAATAATCGCGAGTGTCCACTACATAGACCATTTATTTCTAACACTTCAGACTCGAAGCTCGAAGTGTCGAAGTTTCGAAATTGTCTCCGCAAAGAACAATAACTCAGTGCTTTTCCACAGGCATTCCCTCACCATACGCTCGTCCCATCTTAGCCATCAATCAACCTACCACTCAAGCTGCGCAGCCACAGGGGACGACAAGCTCTCCCTCCACACATCCATGCTGGCAGCATCCTGACGACATAATCGACCAAATACAACAAGAATATACTATTCTCCTTGGCATGGCCTACAACATGTGGGATATGCTACAGGAGAGAGAGTTTGAAAGAGGAAAACTAGAGGTCCGAACGGAGAACCTGAGTGGCTGCCTTCAAGCAGCCGAACAACGGGCTCGGCGTCTGGAATGACGCGTTAGCCAATGCCTGGAGCAGATCAATGTGGCAAGACTGACAGGTCTTTTACCTCTGCCATAGCGGAAATGGGATAACACCTTTCGTCCTTCGCAAGCAAATCAAATCGTCCACCCAAATCGATGGCTGCATTTAATAATTATGGAACTTGTACCGATATCCGGGATAACTTTAGATGTACGGCGAAGCAGTTGTATTGGAGTCACAGTGATTAGTCGCAAAATGAGACTTTTATCATGGTCTTGCACTTTCTTGGAAAAGGCCACGTTTGCACACGGGGCTCTTTAGATTCAGCAGGCGGTGGGATCCGTAAGGAGGTGTTGAGGATAGTGGGGTAGTAAAATACACCCGAAATAGTTTAGTTCCATTTGTGTCGTGATATCTTCATTTGTACTAGGGGATTCTCAACATTCCGAGAATCGGGAGTTTCAACCCCCCTCACCCTACTCATGTAAGCAAGGACACCCTAACGTGTCCTCGCAGCATCCGCTCTTTTCTTCTTTTCTTCAATTAATTCATCCTATGTTTTTGGATTGGTTCCCCTTGGTAGATTAGCCCCATTCTTGCATACAATGCCATACTGTATCAGCTAGCTGTGACAGGAGGCCAACATTTTGTAGAGTCGATAATCACCTCAGTTTTAAGAAGCACTGTACCTGATTTTTCCCGCTTCTGTGCGCGTCTCTTCGCTCATTCACAGTGGAAAAGATAGTGATTGACCAAAAATGGGAATATAAAGTTGCAAAAGGCAGCAGTTCTAGGCAACAAATACCCACTACTAGATCATACAATGGCTGGTTTGTGTGGTGGGTAGTCTAATGCTCACTATGTGAAGTACTAGCTTTGCATCCTGAATTCTGCATGTTTGGTGATGGGAGCAAAGTTACCGAAACGGGGATGATAAGAGATGGCGCTCGCTATTACTCATTGCGATATGGATCAGCAATTCTCATTTTGTGGAGCTCAATGTTCCAGTGCATTCCTTGTTCACACGATTCCGCCCAGTCACAGTCCAGCAGATGTGAATAGGTAGTACCATTACTGTAGATACCTATGGACATAAAACGAATTTCATTTCTGCTTGAGAATATCAGGGCTCTCACTTCTCCCAACCATCTCATCCGCAAGTGGCTTCTTGGCCCATATTCTCTTCGCCCGCTGATAGACGTGAAAGCGAGGGTTTTTTAAAGCTTTACGCATGTCCGCAACATAAATCAAGACTTCCTCCCTCGTCCATGGCACCGGGTCTCCATACTTAGTGAGCAGATACATAGAGTAGCCCTCCATGCCCGATAGCCAGTGCTGAATATTGACTATGCCAGCCTCTTTTAACGCTTTGTCTCTCGGCCATGCACCGATGGGCCACTTTGTAGTCTTCTCATGAACGTCAGCAAACCCAGCATTTTCAATAGATGGGCGCAAATTTTTCGTGATATCAAGGGACTTTCCCATTTTTTCGCCAGCGGCGAAGAACCGAGGCCCCCAAGTGAATAAGACACTATCCGCCGGTATACTCCCATCATCACACTCGCAGCGGATATCCATTTCAATCTGCTCAAACCAGCCGCCCGGTTCAAGATTGTCATAACAATGCTTATAGAGGGAACCCCATTCGTCCTGCGTAAAAGCACCGATACCATGACGCAGATGAATCAGGTCAAACTTTTCGCGCCAGGTCCACTGCTGCAGTATATCGTCTACTTCGAAGATGCAGTTTGGCGGGATCCAACTGACGGGCGGAGGAAACAGGTCAACACCTCGGACAACAGCGTTGGGGAACATGTCGGCCATGTCAATAGCCCACGAGCCCTGCCCCGTCCCAATATCGAGCACATGTTTCGGCGCGGGGACAGGTGCCAGATACAGTGGATTTGGTGCGTCAGCGTTCATGAGAAGGCATGCGAGATGTCCCACTTCATACGTCTCGAACTGTTTTTCATCCGATGGGCTGAAATAACCGGCATCTCTCAGGGTTTGGTAGCGTCGGCCATTCTCCATAAACCCCCTATACAAAGAGGAGGCGATCGAGGTGGTCTCGGATCTCCAGTCTTCAGGCTCGTACTCATTAGAGTGCTCCAGATGCAGATTTGGATCCGGTGTGATTGTGAAGTCGGCCATGATAGGGAGAAAAAAGCCAGTCGCAGCTCAATAATCCACACTCCTTTTTAAAAATGTGCGCAGACGTCACACCAGAGTGCCTGCGCTTCTCAGGAGAATTGTGATGTTTCTCCAAATTTCGGCTTTCTCCGACCAATGCTGGACCAGGGTAGCAGTCGTAGCTCAGCGCTTTGAGAAGACGACAAGTGAACTGGCCGGGATCAGGGACCAAATTCAACACACGAGCCACGCCCCGCACGGAGGCTTCGATGAACCTGCTGTATTCTCTCTTTTTGTTTTCGAGGTCGTACGCAGCCTCACTGCCACCAACGCGGGCTCTTCCAGAGGACGCAACAAGGTATGCACCAGATGTTCTATGGTAAAAATGAGTGAGATGCGGGCAATGTCAAGATGTGACGAGGTGTAAGCCTCCCTCGCCCCTTCCCTGGGGACATGATTTTCTGTCTCAGAAAGAGTGGTTGTTGGTCCCCGCTAGTATTGCGGTCTGGTAACCAATGACTCGCAAGGCACGGTGGGAACGATATGCGGGCCGTCGGTTTTGGCAGCTGCGACCGTGATACAGCCAATTGCTTTTTCCCATCATATGGACCTGGCACTGGACACAATGGCCTAGAAACGCAGGCCGTCGTTACAGACCTGGCCTGTCGCATGAATAGTATCTTGGAAAAGAGAATCGATAAATATCAGAAATTGGCCGGCATACGCGACGAGTCGACCAGTGGATGTGATGTGATATGCTGTAATGTGCGGGCCGGTCGGGAGATCCGTTCAGGGGGCAGCAGCGGTTGACCATGGGCGCTCGTCCGCTAAACCCACACTCTTTAAGCCTGGCTCGTGCTGTCGATGCGGACTCCTAGCGCTGGTTTCCAGTGAACGCTCCGCCTATCGTTCTCCAATAGGTGGCCCGCATTCCGCCTACTATTGTGGCAGGTCTCCGTCACCTGTCAAGAAAGGACGGCCCCTGCAGAGACGGAAATTCGTTCCCCCTATTCTCCTCTGAATTGCTGGATTCGGTTCACTGTAGCACTGTAGCCGGCAGTTATACACACAGAGTCGACCTTTCTTGCGGCATCCGGCCTTATGGTTTTCGTTAATAGCTGGGGTGTCTGGGCGTTGGCTCTTGTCAGCGCCATTGTTGCCCGCGCGATTGTTAGACGATATTGGACCTCGATCGGGGATATCCCCGGCCCACTGTTGGCTTCATTCTCGAATCTCTGGCAGGTCTCGCAGATTTTGAAAGGCCATACCGAAACGGCAACGATCAGATTACATCAAAAACACGGTAAGCCTGTGTGATTTACCTCATCGAAACCCGGAGCGGAGAATACGGATCCTTACCGTGTGTACTGTCAAGGGTACTTTGTTCGCGTCGCGCCAAATGAAATCAGCGTTTCTCATCCCGATGCCGTCCGACAGCTGCTTCATGCGCAAATTGCAAAGGTATCGTGAACCCCTTCCTTTGCATGTCTGGGCAATGCACATAAGTATGTCACAGGGCCCATGGTATGCAATCATGAGTCTACCGGACTATCGCTATGTCAACCAAATGTCGGAATTAGATCCCCAGCAACATATCAGAAAACAGCGAAACATCGCGTCGGGCTATGCTCTCTCCAACATCATTCAACATGAGCCGCATTTTGACGCAGTACTCCAGCTATTAACTTCCCGCCTGGACGACTTTTGCAAGTCCGACCGTCCGATTGAGTTAGATCGGTGGTTTACCTTTTTCGCCTTTGACGTTGTAGGTGAGGTCATTTTCTCCAAGTCGTTTGGCTTCCTCGAACACGGTAAGGATATCAGAAACGCCATTACAAACCAGAGACTCCTAGCGCCCTATGCCGCGGTTATGGGCTACTATACATGGTTCCATAACCTGACGCTGGGAAACCCGCTTCTTAGCCGACTGGGGATCCAGCCGTCTTCTCACATTCTTGACACGTGTATTGCGGCCATCGAGATGCGCAAGCAAAACCCTGAAAAACGAAATGACATGATGCAGAAATGGCTTGACACTCGTGCCAAGTATCCTGATCGCATGGAGGAAGTTGAGATCTTTTCCACGGCCGTTGGGACTCTTGGCGCTGGTGGAGATACCGTTAGCGCAACGATACAGGCGCTATTCTATTTCTTGATTCGTCATCCTCGATATATGTTTCGGCTGCGGGATGAACTCGACGCTGCTGAGGCCCGCGGGGAGCTCTCGCCCATTGTTCAGTATGCCGAAGCACAGAAATTACCCTTCCTCCAAGCCTGTGTACGCTGAAACTCTCACCCCATTTGGAACATCTGGATTGCCAACACCGTCGAATAGATAAAGGAGACATATCGGTTCCACACGGCTGTTGGTCTCGGTCTTCCGCGAGTCGCCCCTCCAGGTGGGATTACTATCGCCGGCAGATTCTTCGCTGAAGGGGTAAAATTCTCCCCAAGCCGTTCATTTTGTGTGATTCAAAAAGTTGACAGCGAAGTCCAGACTATCCTCAGCGTCAATCCCTGGGTTTTTCATCGAAATCCTGACATATTCGGTCAGGATTGCGATAGCTTCAACCCAGACCGTTGGCTGCATGGAGTATTAGGAGATATGAGTGCGTTTTTGATCCACGTATGTATCCGCCCTCGGCTGATCAGTTCCAAAGTGATCTTTTTTTTTCCTGCTTTTTTTTGATACTGACCATTTTCCTCGTACAGTGGGGGCCGGGTACAACGCATGTCCCGGGAGGAATTTCGCTCAATTTGAGATATGCAAGCTTGCTGCCACGGTGTTCCGGGATTATGACATTGAGCAAGTAGACCCCAAGCAAGAGTGGACATGGCGCAATCACTTCATCTGCGTGCCATATGAATGGCCCTGTAAAATTCGACGTCGTTCAAAGACATGATGCAGGATTATACGTATCCAAGCAGAACGAGGATGTGGGTCATGCTTCGCCCGTTAAGAGAATGATAGCAAGGTCGCATGAATCAATCCTAGCACAATGCCTTCCTTGAGGCTGGTGGAGGTCATGACCTTCCTGGTACTGCTGTTATGCTTGTCAATCGTCGACTTTATGCGCAGTAATTACTTCATCTTAAGGAGGCTGATGTTAGTTATGCTGCTTTATTTGCAGCTAAGGAAATCTTCGACTTTCATAGGCTGAGTGGTGTGAGAGCTTTGATGATGATATATGTGATAAGACTCGGTTTCAAAGTCTCTATACCAAGTCAACCGCGATTTTGGTAGGATTCTAATTCTGCTACTTTGCAATCAGAGCTATCCTGATAGGGGGTGATATTATCCCTATAGGGGTGTATACACGTATACCCTAGGGTAGTGTTTTATTCATTCTTTTGGCAGGTTTTATATTCTCCTCTTTTGATTTTCATGAATATTTTTGCAATAGTATTAATTCGTGATTATAGATTTGCGATCGCAGATTCATAGTCCCAGATTCGTAGTCGCAGATTGGCGAACAGTCGTAGAGTTGCTGTTATAGAGTTGTGGTCACAGATTTCCTAGGAAATCACCACTGAGTCTGATTCGTCTTTATACTGTTCTTAATTTCCTAGGGCATCACTAATAATGAATTAGTATAAAGCTGTAGATTAAGAAGGGTATGAAATACCTTTAGATAGCCCGTAAAAGGGGGTGGTACATTTCTATATCATTACGTATTAAAACTAGATTAAATACAATCAGCTAGCTTGCATAATTATAAAGTCATAATTAGTGATAGTCTTGAAAATTATGTAGAAGTCGACTAGCGTGGGAAACCCATGGGTTAGGGTTCCCATGGGATAGGATGGGTCTTACTAAGATTTCTCATGGGATCTCTGGGATTGGAAATGGGCAGGACCTCCTTCCCATGGGTCCACGTTTTCTATACTCTAAAGAGGTGCGTCTAAGTAGATCTAGAATAGAAGGTTAGATTTAAGGCATATTTCGATCTTTATTAGGCATATTAGGGCCATCCCTAGAAACTAAATACTTAAGTCAACATCAAGTATTATTAGGCGTCGTAATGGTCCGATTCCGGTTCCATCAGGTTCGACTCAGGTTCGCACCTGATAGACCCTGAATTGCATAATTTTGCCAAGGACTTAACGTAATTCCCACCCGAGTGGCCCACCATCCTCACTATAATATTTTCAAAACAGATTTTGACCACTAAAACGCTGGTATAAAATAAATATAGCTATTTTTACACTGATTTATCTTATGGCCTATCTCCCTACATCCACTACACCTCGGCGGGGCCCTCTGCGCGGCCTGCAGAGTCTTAAAAGCCTCTGTAGGCTCAGTGTGCTGTATAGCCTCCGCCGGTGTTTCTCGCTCCTCAGCTAACGCCTGAACCTCTTGAATGGTTAATCTGCCTTTGTCTGGTAATTCGCGTCTGGACTTAGCAGAATCTTTGCTTTTTTTCAAGCGCAGCGCGAAGGGTAGCGTTTTCCTCCCTTAGACGAATTTCCCTATGAAGAGAGCCTGCATAGCCTCTGAACACCTGTTCAAGCTCGGATTTTAACGGGCTTTGAGGGCTTCTTGATGGTTGTTTGAGGCAGGACTTGATCGAAGATGCCTGTTTCTGAAGCTGTTTGGTGGTTTTTGGTGTTTACGGACTGAAAACGCTAGGTCTGCTGCTAGGCCGGCTGCTAGGTGGTGAAGGCGTATGAAGCGATATATTTAGCGTTTCAAGCACTCGCTCTGCGTTGATAGGCACTAGACCTGCTGCGGCGAAGCTATTTTGAATAGTCGCTTGTTTATAGGCCTCCGCGCGCGCATAAGGGTATGCTGCTAGAAAATCTAGCTTGTCGATGTGATTATAGCTTGGTTCTTTTATGATGCGACCGTATGCGCGCTTTAGCACTGCAAAACACCCGATATCAAGCGGTTGTAGGAGATGGGATGAATGAGGAGGCATGCAAAGTGGAATAATGTTGTTTTCACTGCAGACTTGGTCGAATTGAGGCGTAAGATAGCTGCCATGGCCGTAAAAAATCAGTAAGCGATAGTTGCCACGTGTACGCGTGGTAGTAGCTGGTATGAATAGTTTTTGAAGCCATCGAAGGCCTATCTCATCTGTAGTCCAGCCGTTTTTACTAACTTCGAAGCGCCAATCGGATGGAAGGTCATCAAACCACCCTTGTATATAATTTTTGGCTTTGAAGATGACGCATGGCGGTAGACTATAGCCACATGCGCTAATTGACTCGATAACCGTTACCCATTCACGATTTCCCGGTTGTAATAGCGCGCGGCGGCCATAGGAGTCAGCGCGTGTGACTACTTTAGCAGTAGCTATCAGTCCCATAGTGAAGCCAGTCTCGTCAAAATTATATATATTCTCTCATAGTATACCGTGTTCGGTAATCACGCGTTGAACGGTGGCGAAGCATGCACGTAAGGCCTTCAGATCTTCATTTTTGGCACGTCGATAGTTATATCGCCGTGAGTATCACGTACGAAGGGGTGGCTGGTGACTAATGAGGCTTGATGCCCAATTTTTGCCGACCGTTGATATAGTACTATCCCCACGCTTCGCGAGAAGGAGATTGGCCATATCTCGAACAGTAGAAGGCCCGGGCGCTGCTCCACGCGCATCTAGATCTAATATCCACTGCACAAGCGAAGCCTCTTCTGTTTGGGTCAATTTATGGCCGCTGGAGCGTGTATCCCCGCGAAATTGCTGGCCAACGAGTCGGCGGCGAAGGGTCGTACGAGGTATACGAAATCGCTCTGCGATATCGCGTATAGAGTCGGTAGAGCAATTTTGAATGTCTTTAAAGGCTAGTAGTATCCTGCCCTCCTGCCCAATAGACTTTTGCGAGGATTGAGCACGTTTTGGAGGCATGGTGAGTGTTTGAAGAAGGAAGATGTCGGTATCAGTGGAGAATCAGTATTGTAAGGGATGATCAGATTGTATCATTGTAACTTAGCCAAGAGTCTTAGTCATGCTCTGTCGCATGCAAATTCGTGTGAGAGAACGAACATAGTTAACCAATGCAGATGACAAAGTATCTATGATTCGTCCAGGTGATTTGGTCTAAAGCGGTACCGACAGAAGATGGTCATACGGGCACGTCTTAGCGCGTAGTGGGCCACATGGCCGGGTGGGCCACTCGGGCGGGAACTACGTTATCAGTCTCTCCGATCGACAGAATAACTGGAGAAGTTCGCCTTTCTTCTCTCCCGAGGGGGCTGATCCTCCGATGAATCTTGAGTCCATAGCCAATTGATCAGGTAAATCTGATCGCGGCTTTAGAAGTTAGGTGTTGAACCATGTTAACTTCTAACAACAGTTACATACAATAATCCTAGTGGTCGATTGAGCACATGCTGAATAAAATATTCCCGAAGGGTGTTAGTGGTATTTGACCAGCCTCTGACCTCGATAATCTTGCTGCCGTCTCAGCTTGGCTGGTCTGCTGGGTCTGGCTGGCGCCTAAGTTTGGCTGACTCGGTCTGGATGGTCTACTCAGACCTGCCGGATCCCCTCTAATTGGCCAAGTTCTAGCCGGGCGCTCAAAGTCTCAATCTGCTGGGTAAACCAACCTACGCCATATTTAAGGTTCAGATTCTGGCAGAAAACCATGATGTTCGAGTTCGAATAGAAGCGAAGAGGCGGTAAGGTCTGATAAAAGGAGCAACAAAAGACAGAAACCATGTTGCCGGAATCGAAAAATGAATGATGATTTTCACGTCACCCTCACAAAGTGTTGAGCAAAACAGTGAGCTCTTCTAGATACCGTCAGTTAATGCAGAGAACGCTATCGCAATAAGTCATGACGTACTTTGAGCGGGGAGTGCACGTCCATCTTCTGATTGGTCAGATAACCCCCGCTCAAGAACCCCTCAAGAGACTTTTCGTAAAACCTACGACTAAATTGTTAGGAACGAACATAATTTAAATACAGAGAAACCCATTCGCTCATAGCTTCTCTCACTGACCGTAGTCTTTTATCTGCTTGTAAGCTTGCTATGCTTCATTGCTTGGTTAAGCCTTCTCCTACAACTGCCCCTCGAACTCCTTTAGAACCAATCATTGGCCCCTAGCGCTGGGATCACTTGTCAACGACATAGCTTCATACCGCTCTACAATTTATTGTAGAGATGGATACAGAGTTAGTCCATAACCTTCTCGCACGAGACGATGCAGAATCACTACCCTGTGTTACGGGAAACGAATACGATGGTCGGATGGGACTCAGGGTTTCATCCATATTTGTGATCATGGTTGGTTCGATGTTTGGCGCGATCTTCCCCGTCGTTGCAAGGCGCTTTGGTGGTTCAGGAATTCCATCCTGGGCATTTTTCGTTGCCAAATATTTTGGGTCTGGTGTTATTATTGCTACCGCCTTCATTCACCTCCTCGCTCCAGCTGAAGAGGCTTTAAGAAACAGCTGTTTGACCGGCCCTATCACAGAATACAGCTGGGTTGAAGGCATAATCCTAATGACTATTGTTGTCATGTTCTTCATGGAGCTGATGGTCATACGATATGCCCAGTTTGGCCAGAACGATCAGCCCGATGTTGAAGATCACAGACATGGACAGATTGATGACGATGAGAACGCCACCCCTGAGGATGGGAATCGAGTCATGCAAAGATGCGATAACTCGGACCGCTCCCGGTGGCACCAAGATGCCGAAATATCCGAAAAGGCCATGGCAGTGGAACAGTATATGGCCCAACTGACGTCCATCTTCATCTTGGAATTCGGTATCGTCTTCCACTCGGTGTTTATCGGGTTGACTCTCGCTGTATCTGGTGAGGAGTTTACGACCCTGTACATCGTCATTGTCTTCCACCAAACCTTCGAAGGGCTTGGTTTGGGCTCCCGCCTTGCTACACTTCCTTGGCCGCGATCAAAAAGTCTGACACCGTACGTTCTGGGGATCATCTATGGGTTTTCTACACCTATTGCTATTGCCATTGGCTTGGGTGTACGTAAAACGTATCCACCAACCGGTCGAACAACACTAATCGTCAACGGTGTTTTCGATTCGATATCTGGAGGCATCCTCATTTATGTCGGCCTTGTTGAACTAATGGCACACGAGTTTATGTTCACCCCATCTATGCGGAGAGCCCCTATCCGCACGGTCCTGGCAGCATTCCTTTTGCTCTCCAGTGGTACGGCACTCATGGCATTACTTGGAAAGTGGGCATAGGTCGTCTTTGGTTGCTCCGTTAACCTCTACTAAGGGAATTGATATTTGTTCAGAACGAGTCTCATTCGCACTATGTCTGTTTGTGTTAATGATAGTGGCAAAATATGGTGTTTCAGGCTCCGGTCACAAACAAGCCTGCTGGTTGTGACGGATGAACATGGGAATAGCCTCATCTCGTGGAAGGGTGCCTGAGGCATAGTTTTGGGTCGTTTGCACTAGTTACGCGTTTGCTGGTGCGCGTTTGCTGGGTACCTAAGCCCTCTTTTTCTGGCGGATTTTCTTTCTTTCTCCTTCCTTCTTCATCTTCCAGATTCTCGTCTGTCGGCACCGAATGAATCTGTTTCTTTCGAACGGCCCGTAACGGCCCGTAGCACTGGTGCCGTTTTAGTTTTAGCGTGAGATCAAAGGAACAGCAATGCAGTATCGCCTTGCTTCCCGGACCTGCCGCACCTATTCTAGTCGTTGTTGTCGGGTCCCGCGAGAGCAATGCTGACTTAGTCGCTCGCTTGTTTATGCACAAGAACGACGTCACTACGAGATCTAGCTCCAGTACGGCCTTAAATCAAATTGTAATTCCTCTTCCGTAAGCATATGGGATGTAGGTAAACCGTAGGTGATCCTTACTGTGCTACGACCATTAACGATATTAATGACACTGCGAGGCAGGCCAGAATTTTATTAACGTTTGCTTGTGCCCAATTGCTACTCGTGATCAAGCATGCAAATTTCAAAGAATCGGCCAGAATTTTTGGAAGTCCTATCTACAGGGTTCCCAGAGGCACCTTTTTTTACTCGCAAATATCCAGTTATATATTGTTTGACGGTATACAAAGCCCTAAAAGCACAAACACGAAGGCGCAAAGACCATTTTTAAATCAAAACCCATCAAAAATGCTCACAAACCTCGGGCCAGACAGTAATAGCAAAACATCTCAAGAAGGATGGTATTGTACACCGAAGCCGGCCCTAATTGGAAAGCAGTGACAGACCAGGCCTGGCATGCTTTGTTGAGTTGAAGGATGGCGGCGGGGAGGGTGTGTGAGCTGGTTTAGTGCTGGTCGAATAATCACAACTTCTATCACGACAAGGAAACAGGAAGCGGAAGACATACGCTGCAGCTCGAGCAGGAGCAGGAGCTGCAGTTGCACGAAGAGTGTGACATGACGCTTGTATATGGAGGTATGGAATAAACCTGAGGAAAAGTCTTCAGTGTCGTTGAGTTGACTATTCAATCGATCTGTTTTGAAGTGCGCCAAGTGGCCGACTTTGTACTTCGATTCCACACGAGACCCGCCTACATTGGTCCGACGTACGGTCTTTTCCTGCTCTGTATTTTCCCAGATATTCTCAATTTCAACAGCTACGCAACTATAGGAGCACTCGACCACACCGTCCAGGAAAGGCGCATCTCCACTTCCTTTGACGCGCTACCCGCATCGACAAACTGGGAGCACTAGATGGGAACTCTGATGCTCTCGCCGATGAACGGACTCTTTACTCAGCGGCCGGCACCAATCAACGTGGTCATCGGGCAACAGTGGGTGGGGGAAATGCACCCCTTCCCGATCTGTTCTTTTGTGGAGGGCTTGCATCGTGCGTCGCCCATTCGTGCGGATCAGACCGCTGAGAATGCTCGGACCGGTTAGGTTCGTGCAGATGATGATGTAGGTTTTTGTGGCTGGCGGTCTTTCCCCTTCTTTCCAGACAGGCTTGAGGAAGCGCTGCTCTGTTACCGGGCTTCGCTTCTGCGCCATGGCTTGGGCCAGCCATGTTGTGGTCTTTATTCTTTTGTGCCGATATCGTGGCTCGCTGGAGCTTTACCTGGCACATCTTACGAAGTAAATCAATGGGACCCGAGTCCGTATAAGGCCTAGCAAGGCAACGGTACGGTTGCGAGTCGATACTTAAGGATTACCAAGTGGTGCTTAGAGGGCCACTTCTGGCTACACCGACACCCATCATCATTGTACCTTTGGACGACTGGTAAGTTGTTGACTAACGTTTGACCACCCACCGTGACCAGATAGCAACACGTAACAACTTTGTCTGACCAAATCCAGCTTAGAGCATTCAGAGTGGGGCGCTGGGAAAGAAAGCATGTGTCTGTGGGGTAATCTGTTTTTGAAATCCACACGATGGTTTACCGCCGATCTCAAACATCCGCAGAACGAAGTGAACCGCCTACCACGCAGATGGCAAGAGAGCTGTGCGGAAGCGGACGAGACGACCCCCGCAGCATGGCGCTCTTCGAGGACATGCGCCAGTCACGACGGGTATGGACACGGACAATCGAAAAAGCTAAGACATCACACTGGAAAAAATTCCTCGACGAGGCCGGTGAAGGAAAATTATGGAAAGCCGCGACGTATATGAAGCCGCGAGAGGCGTGGGGTTGCATCCCAACGCTCCAGGTTGGTGACAGGGAGGTAACCGACAACCGGGAAAAAGCCCAAGCCTTCAAGGACGCATTCTTCCTATCGATGGCGCCTGCCCAGGAGGAACAGCTCACCAGACCCCCATCCCCCGGCGAATGAAATTTCATGGCAACCGATCTCAGAGCTCGAAATCCACCGTTCGCTCAAGGCCGCAAAACCATCAACAGTGCCAGGTGGCCAGGTGGCTACCGGCCGATCTCGCTTCTTAACACACGCGGGAAACTGTTGGAAGCGGTGATAGCCCGGCGGCTGTCCTTCTATGCGGAGCACCACGGGCTTCTACCAGATACTCAATTCGGAGGGCGACCGGGGCGTACAACTGAGCAAGCCCTCCTCGTGCTTGCCAACGCAATTGATAAGGCATGGTACAAACAGACAGTTGTGACGCTGGTTGCCTTCGACCTGAAAGGGGCCTTCAACGGAGTCAATCAGATAAGCCTAGATGCTCGTCTCCAGTCTAAGGGCATTCCCTCAGTTGCCCGAAGATGGATCGTGAGCTTTATGAGCGGACACAAGCTAGTATTAGGTTCGATGACTACCAGACCGAGACAGCACCGCTAGACAATGCCGGGCTCGCGCAAGGCTCTCCTGTCTCACCTATCCTCTTCACGTTTTTTAACTGCGACCTGGTCGACCAGCCGGAGGATTCCCAGGGTGGAGAATCCGCCTTTATCGATGACTACTTCCGCTGGCGTGTCGGTTGAAGCACCGAGGACACTACTTTGGCCAAAATCCAATCCGAGGATATACCCCGGATCGAGGCCTGGGCCCAGAGGACTGGGTCCTGCTTGGCCGCGGAAAAGTCCGAACTTATTCACATCACCCGCAAGAGGAAAGAACAGAACCAGGGCCAGCTAGTCATGAATGGTAACACCATCGAACTTTCCATGACCGCTAAACTCCTAGGAGTTGTCTTCGACCATGAGCTACGCTGGAAGGAACATGTACAACAAGCCGTCAAACGAGCCACAAAGGTCAATATCGCGCTTGGGGGATTGTCACATCTTCGTCTAGAGCAAATGCGACAGCCCTATGAAGCGTGTGTTGCACCGGTCATTGACTACGCGTCGACTGTCCGGCATGACCCACTCCAATATAAAACACATCTACGGCACCTGCGTACCGTACAGCGGACAGCACTGATTCGTGTCCTCTCTGCATTTCGAACGGTGGCCATGGCAACGCTGGACGTGGAGGCGCACGTACATCCAATCCACCTTCGTCTACGCCACCGCGCACAGAGCACCATTACAAGACTCTATACCCTACCCCAGAAACATCCTATGTGGAAAATCCTTCTTCGGGGCCCAAAGAAGACGGAACAATCTTCGATCCTACGCCCGGTTCCCGCTAGCAGAGGCGTTGAAAACAATGAACCTAGATAGGCCACGGGAGACCGAGATGATTGACCCGACTCCACTTCCACCATGGAGGCCGGAGGTATTCTCGAAGATCAAAATAGAACCAGACAGGGAGGTCGCAATAGAAAAGGCCGAAGTGACACGGTCTATCTCGGACGTGGTGATATATTCGGATGCCTCGGGACGACAAGGTCATCTAGGGGCCGCAGCCGCTTCGATCGACGAGATGTAGTAGACAACTGACAGGGTACAAATCCAGGTTGGCAGTATGGACCGCTGGTTAGTTCACGCTGCAGAACTGATTGGGATCCTGTACGCCATCAACATCATCAATCAAGTCGCGATCCGACGCTGGACAGCATCTTACTCGCGGGTGAGATCTGCCACTATCTTCAGTGACAGCATGTCAGCATTGCAAGCCATTCAGAACCCGGAAATAAATCGGGACAACAGATCATTCACGCCATTCTCCAAGCAACCAAGAACACCAAGACCCATGGCACAGCGATTCGACTACAATGGATACCCGGTCACTGCGAAATACCTGGAAATGACATTGCCGACCGGGCAAGACACACCCATTTAGCCCTTCAGTGTCACGCGAGATGGCCCACATCAGGCAAGGAATCCAAGACCAATGGGAAAAGGAATAGAAAGAGTCGAAGACCGGCAGTCACCTGCGCCAAATCGACAACACACTGCCATCCAAAGTACACGCGACATCTCTACGGATCCTTACCTAGAAACCGGGCTTACTAACGCAATTGCGAACTGGACACTGCTGGCTATCAACATACGCGAAGGCCTTTCGTTTCCGCGATGATGATCTATGTGTGCCTGTGGCGAACGAGAGAGTGTAACTCATGTTCTGCTGGACTGTCCGGAGCTGAGAGAACTACGGCGAGAGCTCCGAGGGAAGGTCGGTGAGGCGTTTAACAGCATGTCAACTTTGCTGGGGGGACTTGACGACGAGGGAAGGGGTAAGATCAACAGTGCTTCAAGGGCTAAGCCAGTGGAGGCTGTCTTGGACTTCGCCGAAGCATCACATCGGTTTCAAAGCCGAACACCATGAAGGCAGCATGAAAAGAAAACGGCTATTGAGCCACGAGAGGCCTCGGCGAGGCATCAAGTTCGCTTAGGAAGTTGTACATGGCACCTGTATTCATAGAGACATATATAGTGCCCTGAAACGAAGGAACGGAGTGGAAAGGGTTACCAACCCCACGGCTGTCCAACGCCGACGTTGACGCTGCCAAAAACACAGCGAGAAACACACAACCTACTCTCCCGCCAAGCCTCTCTCTCAATGGTGCTTGGTTGGATCCCAGGTCACGTTCTTTTCTTCTCGTGTTCGGTTGTCTCGGTTCGTCTTTGCTCTCCTGCCCTACTACCTGCTTCGTATGCTTTGCAGGTTTCATCCTCGTATATTGTGCCGTTTACCATTCCTAGAATTTTGGACCTTCCACGTTCGCTGCTGCCTTTTGCGAATTTCCATATCTAAATATGTTTCTCGTTCTATTATCCGTTCTCTGTACATATTACCGTCTCTGTTGTTCACCTCTACCTCTTATCTATTTTTATTCTGTAGAGGTTCCAGGATAAGGCACCGAATTGATGCCTCATTCCCAACCTCTGTCGGCATGCCTGTTCAGGGAAACCCGAGGCACTAAGCTTGATGTGCGCTTCAAACACTCTTGCCGAAATTATATTCTACATTCAGGGGATCTTCATGGAAGAACACCGATCGAGACCGATAATAAGGGTTTACTACTGTCAGGGGACTTGGCGCCCGTTCAGGGATAAATACCCCCAGAATCGCATGTAGACAGTTTGATACAGACAAGTTCAAGTTCCGTCAATTCCATCAAGGTCGATTTGTCTAGCAGGCCCTTATTCAGTATTCAGTGCTTCATCGTATCCAATCTCAACATATTCATCTTTATATTCATATACTCCGATGCCCCGCCTGCCATACACGGTATGTTTTCCTTTGCCCTCCTATACATTTCTCTCCTTTCATTCCCTACTTGCTCCGCTCATATGGCCTTGTCTTCGCATATAATTGCACAATCGAAATACAATGGTTGATTAGTGTCGAGGAAATGGTGGATTAATGTTGTGATTAATCCCCTAATATATACCCGGAGATCCCCGTCACTTCAGACCTGTTGCTCAACATGCTGGATCGTGCCTTGCTGGGATGCCATCACCTCCATCTTCTCATCCAGCACCTGGTCGCGCTCCTCGGCATCCTTGTTGCCGTGGCGGCCGATCTGGTACCAGGGCAGAGCAAACAGCCGATCCATGCTCTCCAGTGTCCGACCGGCGGTCTCGGGCACACTAAACCAGACCCAAATACCACCGATGATTGTTACGACCGCAAAGAACCAGAACGTGCCCATAGGGCTAATTCCCCCATCGGCCACGGGCAGCAGCATGTTGGGTACCGCCCGCGAGCTGCCGTACTGATTAGCAAAGTGCAAAGTCATCGCCAGTGACGTGGCCAAGGCGCGGATCCGGAGAGGAAACAGTTCGGCGGTCAGCAGGTACTGCATCGAGTTCCAGCCGAGCGCCCATCCGAAGCCCGAGATGTAGATCATGGCGATCGCACCCTCGCTGGCCCCCTTCTTATATGCGGGCAGCTTGAAGCTTTTCACCACCCCCATTTCCGGGACCGCCGTCAGGAACCCGGCCACATAGATCATGGAAATGGCCTGGCAAGTGATGCCGAGCAGTAAGGCCCGCTTGCGACCGATCACATCAACGAGGAAGAGCGCGCATAGAATCGCAGCCACCAGCTTGACAATTCCGAAAATCGCCGTTACCAGGAGGTTCTCGTTGCCCCCGGTGATTCCAAGCAGTTTGAACAGGTCGGTGGCGTATAACGTGATGGACCCCGCTCCCGACCATTGCGACAGAATCTGTGCCATCAAGGCGAGGTAAACCCGGTAGAGGTTGGACGGAACCAGGAAAGTCTCCTTGATAATCCCCAATGGGCCGGAACCCATAGTGGCTTCCATCTCCATCTGGTGTGCACTTTGAATGGCGATGATTTCGCGAACCACATACTCATGATCGGGGGACAGATTGCGAACGCGGGATAGGCTGTCGATCGCCTTGTCCAGCTGGCCTTGCTTAATGAGATAGCGGGGGGACTCATATTGCAGGAACGAAAGGATGAAGATCAAGCCGGCGAAGATAATATGCAGAGAAGTGGGGACCTCCTGCTGGTCGTTAGCGTGCTGTCATCATGCGTATATATATCCATGATAAAGCGGAGGATGCGGAAAAGTGAGAGTTCTTACCCATTGTTTGTGCGTGTTATCACCTAGGTTCACCTGGCATCCGTAATTGGCAAAATAAGCCAGGACAATGCCTGCACACGACAGATGCAGTCAGCAAAGAGAGTTCCACTGTTTTTGTGAAACGCGGGGTGACGCGACGATGCCACGACAGCTCTTCGGTGGGAAAGGAAACGGAGCCGCGTTCACTCAAGGGGAGTACATACCCAGATAGACGAAACCGGTGAAAACGCAGGTGCAGAGACCTCGGATGGATGCGGGAGACTGAAATGATGTGTCAGAATATTTGGGTTCACTGTTGGATTCAACGAGTCCCGAAAGATCACTCACGATTTCTGCCAGATAGATAGGAGCGACCACCACAGTTTGTCCAACCCCAAGTCCTGCCACGAAACGCCCAGCATACACGGCGCCCAGATTGCCATTATTTCCCATGAAGATGGCGATACCGAGAATCCACAGAACACACAGTTGACGGGTGGCCCAAATACGACCGATGCGGTCACAGACCACGAAGGCCCTGTTTCCACCAAAATTAGCATCGATTAGTCTCGTCCGATCATGTATTGTCAAAGGGTCTCTGGGGTTCATCTCACAAGAGAGCACCGCCCACCGACCCGATCTGCACCATGGCGGAGACATTGGCCTTGATGTTGGTCTGCTCCACCGTACTATAGGAACTGTAGTTGATCTCCCTCTGGAAATTCTTGGAGTTGAAGGCGGCGGCGATCAGGCCCTCGTCGATACCTCGCGCGGCTCCCATCAAACCGAAGGAGATGACCGCAAACCAGAGCTTCCAGTTGTAGATCTCCTTGGGCTCGCCCAAATTCTTCAGGCGGAAGATGTTTACCGGCTTCTTGCCTCCGACTGCCATGATGAGTGTACTACAGTGGATAGTACTTTGGGCTTGACTGGATCGGATGCGCTCGTTGTTTAGCTCGTTGGAGAGAGGGGGTTCTTTGAACGACGTGAGAGAGAAGGAAGAGTTGGTTCCTAAGGGTGCTACAACCCCGGCATTTAAGAGATGCGCGGAGCTCGCAAAACCACACCCTCAGTCCAGGGGGAATGTGCAGACTGAGCGACACAAGGCCTCCGATTTCCGGGGGTTGTGAATGTACTGCGAGAATATGAATCAAGACCACTGCTATACTGGTTCTAGATAGCCTCGAATAGACTGGTCCACCTCCGGTCTGGGTCAGCCTCTCACCAGTCAGCTCTGACCAGTAGCGCACCTTTGTACCATGGGCCGGTAGTCGGTGGGACGATGAACGGCATCGCCACACGCCAGGGGACAGCGCTAAGGAAGCTTGAATCCCGAGCCAAGTGGGAGAACTAAGACTGTGATTTGATGGCTTCGCCGCTCGGTTTGTTTTACTTTTGGGGGCGTGGAAACGTGGAGAGCGTAGAGACTCGGAGATTGCAACACTGGCAGGACCTAGCTAAAATCGAACGTGGGATTGTCGAAAAGGGATGCTAACCAAGGATCTCTGGGTTCATTTATGTGGACGAGAGAGAATAATCAGGACTGGTCACCTTACGCAGCAGTTAACGCGCTTTGCATATGGCCCCGGTTGATCGTCGAGAGTGGTTCCTCCCAGGCTATAGAGAGGTCGCACATCGCAAGTCACAAGTCATGTGGTCCACGCTGCAGTCTTCTTTTCTTCTTTTTTTTTTGTTCAGTTGCTTCCCTCCCCTGTCCCTCCATCTTCATCTTTTCGACCCATGTATGTCAAAGACGTTTCCATAAAGACATTAATTCACAAAGCTCAACAAGACAAGGTTGCCCGTTGAGGGGGCTCGCCAAACTTCTGGCCAATGTGTGTGCCTGTTTTCCAAGATCGGCAACTGGGGTCAGCCGTTGCTAACGAGTGCGAAGCTGGGCAAAGTCCGGCTATGACCTTTATACGAGGCTTGATTGTCCTGTCCCCCCAATTCCCCGTCTGGCCAATCGAAAGAGTAAATGCGCCGCGTTTCTTGGCGTGGAAGATGAAGCACGACACAAAGCTCCCAGCATTGAATACACATGGCTGGCCGATCCCTAACAGGCGATCGGTGTTCCATGCATACTCTATCCTTCAATCGCCGATCCTCGGCATTCCCCTTTCAAATTAATAATCAGCCACGTGCGGGGTTCGCCTGGTCTAGACAAGTTGGGGTGGGGCCCCGGAAGGAGGTGGGGGTGGGGACGCGGGCGGCCCAACTCTAAAATGGTACGATCTCACGTGGTCAATTCAGCAAAATTCTGAAGCATTTTCGCATGATTAGGTGGTGTTTGAAATGAGAGCCATGGATCCTGATATTTTTGTCTCCCCTCAACCTGCAATCTTCGTGGGTCTATTTCCTCTGTATTTTCTGGCTGAGCCGGCTTGTCATATCTGCACAGATCACCTTGCAAGCCACAATACAGAGTGGTTTGGTCATCCAAAGTTGACTGTTTCCCCTATTCGCCACATGAAAATCCATACTTTTATCATATAATGGACGCAGAATGACGCCCCGCTCCTCCGGGTCCGTCAAACGGCGTTCCCAGCACGACCTTGTATGACACGCGAAGATGCTCACCCATAATGAGATAGTTGTCGTGATCCTGAGTTGTGTTTTCGGATTCGCAACCTCTTTTATCATGGGCTTGCGTCTGGCGATGCGCAAACTAAGGAAGCAACAGCTGTGTCTGAGTGATTACCTCACCGCTGTGGCTATCCTATGCGTGATGGTTCGATGGGCATTTGCTATCGTTGTGGGCATATGGGGTAATAACAACAACCTGAAGCCCGATCACCATTTCACCGCGACAGAACTCTATCAACGCGAAGTGGGGAGCAAGTTAACCATTGCAGATAGAATGGTTTATAACACGTAGTAAGGATATAGCCCTCTACTATCGAGAGATATGTTGACCAAATATGCAGTCTATGGATTCAGAAGTCGGTAGTACTGCTTCTGTGTAACCAGTTGCTTTCCCGTCTGCCTTTCACATCCCTTATTATTAAGTCCTACTGGGCTGCTCTCCTGGCCACCTATCTCGCTGTGCAGGCTGCGAGCTTCGTCGACTGTCGCCCTTTAAAGCTCTACTGGCAAGTGGTGCCAGATCCAGGTGATTTAAACCCGTTACACGGCTCTAATAATGTATACATTATGGGTGCTGACGGATGCAAATACAGGACCGTGTACAAGCGCCACCATTCAACTGTCCACGTTTATTGCTCTCAACATGGCTACCGACCTCATGCTTTTGGTTTTCCCGCTGCCTGCGATTTTCTCTCTTAAGTCCTATCCATGGAGACGGTATGTCATGTTTCCCCAAGTCGTGACAAAAATAGAAGTAGTCAATCCTAACTCCACCAGTCGACTTCAGTTAATCGGTCTCTTCTCCCTTGGAATCCTCCTGCTCATCATTTCTATCTTACGTCTCCCCATTTTCAGCAATGGTACCTCACAAGCTCGTCGCTATACTTGGGGTTCCGTTGAGCAATTCGCCGCAGCCTTAGTAGCTAATTTACCTACTTTATATGGTCTTCGCAAGCAGAAATGCGTCGACCAAAAGATGAACTTTGACGGGTCAATAAGTCACAAATTGTCCGAGAGGTCAATGGGGGATACTTGGGCATCAGAACAACAGCTTCTCGATTATTCGCATTTCGTTGCGGAATCATGGCGAGGATCATGTGGAAATGATACTATTGAAGGAGGAGATAATGTTTGGTCAGCATCCAACACCACACACTGATTTAATCTTTTCCAATACAGTAGAATTCAAAAAAAGTTTACCCCTTCGACACTGAGGCTTTCTATCGGACTTTAGGATATCGGTATCTACTAGTACTCATGAGGGCCAATTGAACCATCCCAGCGATCGATTGATTGACTGAAGAACTATCTCTCGGCTCCCGTTCAGGATGCCATCTATTCAGGGTTTTTTAGTGTGTTACAGCGCTGGTTTTCCGAGAATACCCGATTACCATACAAAACAGGTAGGATATTGGGTATCTGCTGAATCATCCTGCTCCTGATTGTAATATCAGTCTCTCCGATCGACATATATTACTAGAATCTTAATTGCATCAGTCAAATCTAATCTTTCTGAAGCTCAGTCGGATATTCAAATCGCGTAAGATAAGCAAGCGACATATTCCAATTCGCGGACTTAAAAACCTCTGTCTCACTGCGATTGAGAAGCGGACGGCCCTCAAGAGAACTGAAGTCAGGAATCTGGGGCTTCAATTGCTGACTCGGCTTGAAAGGTCACGATCGGTATCCTTGGTCCGACTGACGAACGAAAATGGGCTAAAGAACATATTTTTCGGTATCTCTTAGTATATCAGCCTAACTGCCTATTTCGGATTGCAGACATTGGTTGTTATATGACCGGAGAGTGTGAGGGTGGGGTTTATGCTGAGCGACCGATCAAAAAGGGAGAATGTATCTGCTATTTAGAAGAGGTTTGTGTGCCAGTACTACCGGATGAATATTCTACTCTGAAGGCCACAGGGAAAGATTTTAAAATGTAGGGGTCAGGTCGGGGAGGTGTAAGAAGGTGTATTCTAGAACTAGCTATCCGGCCACTGTATACTGCCGGCTATGTCACATAGTCTGGATGGCACCCATGTAGTAGGGGGAGGGGGTCTCCCCACTACAATATGTAGGCGACGAAGAATATCAATAAAGGAGATAAAATCACAGTCTTCTATAGTGATAATTAGGTTGGGGATGAAAATAAAGAATGTCGATGCCGTACGTGCGAAACGCACTCTCGTAATGGTTGGCTTGCTGGTTAAAGAAGACGTTAGGTCTTCGAATTACAAAGCGTACTACAAGATGAAACAATTTCAGTTGAAACTTGGTTATCGCAGTCAATGCCACTCATAATATATGATTATACGAGCGGACCATCTGTTCTGTGCTTTGTGGTTTTATTTTCAGTTATATATTGTTCTGGCGGGTGAACCCTAGGGGATTGTTGCATTTTACTCAGTTGCTTCATGTATTTTTCTGATAAATTTGTGCTTCCTAGAATGATAATGTACCAGGGTTCCCGGACTATAGGGCATTTTATATACTTTATCAAAAGCATAATTGCGATTCAAAGCAGATCTTAAGGTATTTATAACAATCGAAAGTGCATAGTGCTATCGAAATTCAACATATTTATGTATTAAGCAGTACACGCCTAAGCTCTTCCGGCTCAGGGTCGCGCTGCCGCGACTCACCGTAACATGCTCTAACCTACGAATGCGAACTCTGTGATCGGTCATTTGGCAGCCAGGGCGCTCTCAACCAGCATCTTCGCGACTTGTATAAGATTCAATACAAACTTAGAGTACCTAGCAGCTAGAACGCTATGGCTTAATATTTCCGCAACTCACCTACACATCTATTTTCTCACTACCTAGAAAACTAGTAAACTCTTCAAGCTGAAGGGCCCCTAGACAATTTCGGTTCCATGGACATCAGATAGCTCCGAGACCCTAGGCTCGATGGGTCATCATGCGACCTTTGGTTCAGGTGTCATAGTAAGGTGATATATGGATGGGAGCGGGTAGCACCATGTGAATAGGTAATATTCGAACGATTTGCCCTTGGAGAGAGAGCAAAGCAAAGCCGAGCGGCTCTATGCGACTGCCTCCTGTTCCTCTGCTTTCCTTAACATACCAGGCATATCTTTCATGCCACCGACAACATCATGCATTTTCCGAACTGCTTCAGGAGTTCCCGGGGTTGGATTTCTTCTTTCAGTTTCCGCTACAACCATACCCGCGAGTTTGGATTGGTGCATCATCCACAGTCCCACAAGCACTTCCCCTAGACGGGCCCCTGATTCAAAGCCCGCTTGTCCAAACACAGTGAAAACCTTCTGAGACCAGTCGAACTTTTCTTTGTTGGCGCAGTCCACAAATGTCTTCGCACACTGACAAAATGCAAACGCGACTGAGTGGATGCCCCATGATCTCATGCTGGCCTGCACATGATACGGTATCGCTCGGGCAATTTGATCACCGTAGTAGTTCGCAATCGCGTAGTCTGCATCCCCGAACTGCTCGTCCACATCCGGCATGAATGGATCAATATCATACGCAGCAACCAGGCTTCGAGCTCGAGAGATCACGGTATGCATGATAATGAGCAACGTCCAGTACGTTGTATGAATCTTCCCATTATCCGCTGATTGAAACCGATATGCCGTTCCGAAAAGGGGTTCTGTTGATGGTACCTTGGTGGTTAAGATTTCCCCGGGGGCACATGGTTCCGGGCCCCATCTCACATTTTTCGCATACCAGTTCATCACCTTCTGTCTGTGCGCGAGACATTTTCGAAGCAACATCCGGCACGTATTGCGATTCGCAGGACGAGCCATCTTGATTGCGGTCGCTATCGGGGTAAAATATGCAAACAGACGCAGCAACTCAATCGTCGGATTACCACCACTCGGTTGGGTCACATAGTCGAACTCCTCTTTGTTCAAGTAGATGCCTTGAGCGGACATTACCTGCGAGACCTTAGTCGATTGTCTTCTGGATCCAAAGCGGAAGACAAACCAGTCGTTGTTTTTGATATTCATTGTATATGGTGTCCACCAGAAGGCCTTTGCCTGGTCGTCGCCGAAAGTGGCTTAGGATTGCATTGGTTCCCGCGACGTGAGAAACCCAGCCCTGTAGTCCATTAGGACAGTGGTACGTCTGAGGCGGAAGGGTATTAGTCATTGCTTGAGCTCCATTGCTGGTGAGGCCCGGGGCAGGAGGGGACAAGTGCTTACCTCTATCTCCTGGAAGAGGACTGTTGTATAAATAATATCGTCACAGTACGCGTCACGAGCAATCATGTGTGCCATAGCTCGGATTGCCCAGTTGTATAGCTGGACTCCATATTTGACCATCCGGGTGTCATGGTTCTTTTTTCCCAAGTAGATGCATGCCAATGCAGAGAGCGACCTTTCAAGCATTTCGGTCTTCCTCGGTAACGCACAGAAGTTGGAGATCAGGTAGTACCAAAGGTCGAAACTGGATCTGGCTTCCATCGCACTGGGGAAAAAGATCTCGACATACGTTGACAAAACCTGTTCCCGCCTCGCGGGACCAGCCGTGACGCCTGCCGGGAGAGCATGTGGCCCAATGTAGTTCAAGGCCTGAGGTTGGACTACTCGCTGTGCTGCCCACTGAGGGCTTGCCGAGGCACTGTATATCACAAATCGGCTGTCCCTTTCGTATCCCAGACATTTGGTGCCATACTTGATGCAGCGCGCGCATTCTGGCCGCTGCTCGTCACACTGTTTCCCATCATCAGCACTCCTGTCCGAAATTCGTCCGGGCGACAAATCGTACTGACTTTCACTTTGCGCTTTTTACAGTTTCGGCAGCCTTTCGATTTCCATGGAATGCCTCCCATTGTTGCACCTAGTCGGACTGACACCAATATGTGCCCAGATTTGATGGCGCTCGGGCGTGTCAAGGAGCTTGATGAAGCAGAGGCGCGGCCTGCCGCCTGTATGTTGGGGGCGAAGAATTTGGCCCCCACCAGCATGACCTCACGTAATTTCAACTAGCATGGGATAGCCTGCACTCAGGGGAGCTAGACTCGGATTCCGCGAATCAACGGCTGAGAGCACCTTGGACTCGACATGGCACTCAAACACATGCATTTCCATGATAAGGGGGACACGGTCGCGGGTGACCATCCTGCGAGGCTCTGCAAGTAGCACGGCCAAGCTTAATCCTTCGCCGATCTTCAGTGTTGCCGCTAAAAGAAAGAACAGCAGTCTCCACGCCCCACTAGCGGAAGAGTGCACGCGATGGCGTTTGGGGGCCCTTGGGCGTTCTGGTGGGTGCTGGGTCGATCGCGCAAAAAAGCGGAGCATCCGCACTTCCCCCGAATTGACGGCGAGCAATGCCAAGACCCAGCCACAGAGGAGCCACGCATCTAGCCACGCGCGGACAAATTCCACATTACCAGAACCAGCCTTGCCTTCTTCTCCAAGTCGTCCCCGCATGGTTTTCGAGATACTCATTTAACGATTAACCATCGTACTCCCCGCAAGAGTCAAACTGAGTGTGGCTCTTGGGAGATGCTAATGCGTTATGTATATCGTGCCTTGATCGTGCAGCAGCATTCGACCTAACAAAATCAATTACAGACACCGACAGATGGCTGCTGGCCATCAGGTGCCAAACGAAAGTCTCTGAACAGCACGATTGATGGAAAGCTCGCGCACAACCGTCCTATTGTCAAGCCATGCCATCATGGTGTGAGCTGTAGCTCGGGTATCAGCACCCCATCGGACAACAAATTCGTGGCTGGCGAAATTTCCCACTGGACGCAGTGATTTCGCCATCAACGCATCACTAACTTCCTACCATTATCTGCTGTATGATCTGGGCAAATACCCCGTCTATATCAAAGCAATGAATGCGGCCGATATCGCTGCAGGGATCTAGTTGGCGAAAGACAGTATCGTCCGCCTCGTGATCAAGAACACCGGACATGATATTTCGCAGCGGTAGGACATCCTCATGATGCCATGGTTTGTGGGGATACCGGGGAATATCGCGGTTTCCACAGCAGACACAGCCCTCAAGGGCATGGCACACTACCCATCTGGATACAACGCATTAAAGACGGACTGTTACATCAGCCAAGGTACAAGCTATTCCGTGGAGTATGCCAGTCCAACTACACTGGGCGATATCAGAATTGCGGGGGGATATGTTACGAACGATGTATATAAATATGCGGGTCAGCATAGTAGCATTGTGGTAGGAGGTGATGACACGTTTAAGTACGGGAGATGGCGGTTTGATTATGAGAACAAAATGCCTTGAGGATACTTCTAGACCGTGGGGACATTGGCGCCTAGCTTCAAGGTGGGAGGACATGGTTTTGCAAGTAACACGGATCTGGCCTTGGCCGATCAAATAACTTATAAGGTTGCTCTGGCATTGGGAGGACTTGTCACCGCAAATACATGCCAACATCCGGGTCCTTCCACTGCCCTACGGGCGCCTACGCTGTTGTGGCTTCGGCTATGGTGAAAGCATGCCCGGCCTGTCGGGCACACAGGGGCGATGTAGCCACTGAATGCGAATGGAACATCCCAGCTTGTGGAGGCGGCCGCTGTAGTGATGACCGGGATCCTTGCTCTTGTCTATGAGGGGTGGTTTGGTGTAACAATGTTCACGAGCATCGATCAAACTCAGATTCAGACACCTTTAGGTAAAGCTACTGGACAACAATTTGACCACAACTAGGCGCAGGGCCGAAAACGTCATGAACGAAAGCCTGGTGAAGAATCTACTGGTACACAACTGCAAGTTTCTGGGCATTTCATCAACCTCCAGACTTTTACTTTTTGAAATGAGATAATTCGGCAAGTATACGAGTAGCGGGAAGACCAGGCCATATCGGCATATTGTTTTGTTTAAGTGTAGGTGATCAAAACCCAATATTTTTCCAAGCACAGGCTTAAATTAGCTAGGGACTCCACCCTACGCCTTGTCCTGCGGTACGATCTTTTCTGTGGTTAAGAATACTCAATTATAACCTATCGTTTCACAAATACCTAGGGTGAGTTCCTAGCTCATTCCTTCGCGTACAAGTCCCGATTCAGTTACCGAGTTGATTAGCGAGAAGACAGTCGATGTGGCTCTAGTAAGGCTGGCGTTCCCCGCACCGACTCGTTGCGCCTGAATGTGATCTCTCAACGCACCCCAACATCTACCACATACCCCGCTTCGCTCCCTTACCTTCCAATCCCCATCAAGTCGGAAGACATCGCAGTGGTAGATCAAGTAGACAGTAGTTACTCACTATTACGCCCAGGATTTCCTCCGATGATCAGCAGTACGAGGCTTTCCTGACTGAGCCTGAACAATCACTAATTAAAAAAAGACCCAGTCATCTTGTCGTACAAGCTGAACGGACGACTTGACATCGAGAAGGCAGTGCACGTGGCCACTGAACGGCTCACGTGTTCAATGTATCACGTAATTCGCATGTTGGCTCTGTGCTGTGCAGACTGACCGGGGGAAGACTGGAGGTGTCAAGCAGATCGATCGTCCCCGTCACGGTGAAATCGCCCGGCGTCGAGCCGCAGAGCCCACGCCATTTCCCACCGCCGCGCCTGCCCACGTGAACCCCATCCGCATACAGTCCCTCGTTTCTGTTCTCTCCGAGTTCCGCCGTGAGCTCACCAGTGAAGGCTCGGTGGAATCGCAGAATGCCCGAAGCCAGTCCGATTGTCGTGCGTTGCTTGCCTATCCGGGTACCAATGAGGCAGTTGTCAAGAAATACGTTCGCTGTGTCTGAAATTTGTCAAATCTGGGAAGATGACGCAGATTCCCTGAATCAATCTGACTACTACGATGAATGGCAATCGTATGTTCTTCGATCTGTTCTCGAGGACTCTCCCAGTTGTCTTATTACGAATAAAGCTGGTGTCTCGGAATTGTCTTCATCGACTGATACGACATCCTTACCAATGACAGTGACTTTCTCTCGGTTGCGTCCTAGTTGTATCCTGAAATCTAGAGAATGGGACAAAGAATAGACCGCTCCCTGACAAATCGTCAATCGGTTCCCACCTGAACCGGACTAATGCCTATTGAAGGTATCAAACGTTGAAAAGAGAGACATATTTAGTAAGCAACGGAGACCAGCAAGCCTCTGTGCGGCTTTCCGAACTTGCTAATCTCCGACGCAGTGTTCCTTCCGATGAACAGCAATTCGAGGATACGAGTATGGGTATGCTTACTGCACTTGCGGACAAACAACGTGCAAAGAGTAATGACACAATACAGCCATTTTCTGGCACTGCTGACGAGCTCCGATTGAAAAAAAAAAAAAAAAAAAAAAAAAAAAAAAAAAACCTGTTTTCCTTCAAAGCTCCTGTTGGTTGTAATCCTTGTAATCCCCAACATATCTTTGACATTGGAATTGGTCACGGCTCCTGGGCAAGGTAAATCATGTTTTGCCTTGGAACAGAATAAATTATCTGACAATTTATCTAGTGATGTTGCTGTTGTCTACCCACAAGACAATAGTACGCATCAGCTCGATTCTGTGGGGGTAGTATCATGATTAACTTAAGTTCAAACCCAAACGCTCTTGTTCGTGGCGTTGACCTGCTTCCGCCCCTGTTTCCTGGGTACCACCAAACTGTATCTTCGAAGTGAACGATATCTTACGGGATTTGACCTGGGCTCAACCTTTGATCTGATACACATGCGAATCCTCGACGCCGCTTTCACCCAGGAAGAAAGAGGAAACTGGATCAGCAATGCTATGAGTGCGCCATTCATTTCTTTTATTGTTTTTGTTCATATGGTGGATGCTAAATTAGATTGGCTTAGGAGTCTTCACCCGGGTGGTTGGTTTGGGCAGCTTCAACTATCGCCTATGTTTTTCAGTGATGACGATTCACTGCCTGCGGGTGGGCTGAGACAACAACGACTGCGGGTGCTAATTTCGGCCGCCAATTGGATTTTTATTATCAATGCGACGAGCACATGAATCAGGCCGACTTCGCTGATACCCAATCAGATGAGAAAAATGGCCAATTGGGCCTTGGTCGCGAGATCTGCAGCTCAAAGAAGCCGACCGAATCAATCTAGTGCGTTGGTCGAGAAGAATGGATGGAAATGCCATGTTTCTGCCAACCAAATTTGGAGAACCGCGCCCCTGGTTCAAAGAGGAAGTTTGTGTGTACACTGCATAACTCAGAAAGGAGCTATCAGATTCCTGATACTACATTTACCACAAAGCGTGAGTGCGACGTCCCCTTTACTCTCTCCCAGGTACAGCGTTGAGCGAGCGAGCGAGGATGATGACTAAAGCACCCCTAATAGGAGAGGATGGGCTATGAAGCCTCTTGTCAAAGAGTGAAAATGTACAAGGAGATGTTCGGTAAGGTAACACTGGAAATGCATTCGGCCATCATTAAATTTGTTCATGATGTGGCTACCGTGATCTCTATTTGGGCTGCATTGCTGCGGGGAAATTAACGCTCGCCCCCCCACCGCCCGCTTCGAGCCACATGATTTCGAATCAAATCATCCATACCAATAGCCTTTCGGATTATATATCCTCCAACGTATCTCATTGGTTCTGAAATAGAGGCTAAGGTGTTATCAGCTACCGTGCGTAATCATCGATTGCAGTGCCCCACAATACGAACCCGGGCGCTTGGTACCACGCAGAGGCCGTCCGTAGATAAATGAACCCGATAAACCCTCTTCCGCTGGACCTTGCTTTCGCCTTGAACTAATTCTGGCTGCTAGTAGCTGGCTGGGATTGATCACTTACATTGTACCGGCAACGATCGAACTATGACAGAGGCTCGCAAAAGGGCAAGTCGGGCGTACGTATCGGGATCAAGGAAATTACGGCCTTCCACTGACATGTTTTTCTCAGCTGTGACAGTTGCCGTCGATTGAAAGAGCGCTGCGATGGGGGTGTTCCTTGCACTAAATGCACTCGATTCCGGCGTCAGTGTGGTTTTGCAGGTACTGCTGGTAAATCCCGAGTGTTCAGGCCGTATATGCCGAGGTAAGCGCCTTCTTTGAATCCTAACAGGTATAGGTGATTTCTAAGTATTTTCATTTTTAGCCACGGGTCATATTCATCTAGCGCCAAAGATACCGCGAAGAGATTAGAGTACATGGAGACAATATTGATTCATACGATTGAGGGAATTGACCTCGATACGAAGAACCTCGCTCGAATGGCCGAAGAAATGAAGAGCGGCGTACCCACGCAGACGGAAGTATTATCGCAAGACCCTAATTCAGGAGAAGCGGAAAGGTTGGAAATCAATGAGGGGTGCACAATTGATCCAGTAGAGGAAACAACGACTCGTAGGCCGACTGTCACTCATCATTTCAGTCCTTTTGCTGACGTCTTCTGCAGATTTCTCTGGTGAATTCTCATATTGGAACTTCACGATGCGTATCAAAGAACAAATAAAATGGCGCATGGATAATTTCTCGTCCCATGTGAGATGCACGATTGAGCCCGTTACCTTTGTCTTTGCTGACCAGCTATCTCAGTCATCAGATAGCCTCGAAAACATTCCAGGGTACTGGCGTGCGCAACAACTGTCGCATACCTACGATCGGCTGTCTGAGGCAATCTCTTCTCTTCCGCCGAGGGATGTTATGCTCTTCCTCGTCGGGGTTTTTTACAAATATAATGAGCCCTTCTGTCTATTCATCCAAAATCAATGGGTCATCGATCAAATCAAGGTGCTCTCTAGTAGACCGCAGACAGTCTACACCGCTGGCGATGAGGTAGCCGTTAGTATCATTTTGTCTATCCTGGCAATCGGATCACAATATGCCCATTTGGAGTCTCCGAGAAGAAAGGAAGCAACTTTTGCGGCATCCGAATTTTCGGAAGAGCATGTCGGTGCAACATTCTATCGACAAGCCATTCGGTATTTACCAGAAATTATTGAGCTGTCATCTCTCGAGAGCGTTCAAGCCTGCCTTCTTCTGGGTATTTATTCCATTCCAGTCGACGCATCTGGTCTTGGTTACATCTATATCAGCCTTTCGGTTCGACTGGCAATGCAGAATGGCATGCACAGAAGGCCTCGAGATGATGCATTTGACAATCAAATGAAAGAAATTCGGAACCGTATCTGGTGGACAGCATATTCGTTGGAAAGGTATCCTCGATCATACTTATAAAAAACAACCAATTTTGGCTGACAGGATACAGGAAGCTCTCCATCTTTCATGGTCGCCCTCTTTCAGTTAATCGGCGAGATGTTGACGCCGATATGCCACAAGATTACACTACAGAACTTGATGGAGAATCTGGCCAGGTCTTTTATCTTCTCAGCTCTGTTCGAATGATGGACTATCTTGAGAGTCTTTATGAACAAATGTGTGATCTTTGAGCTCCCTGGTGTTGTTTCGCAACTCACATTTAATAATCAGATGTCATATTCGACGCTGCCCTGGACAAAAAAGATCCGTCATAATGGCTCATGTATTGAGGACAAGAGAAAGCTTGGTTAAATGGATGAAAGCTACTGACGAGTCACTCGCTATGCCAATGTCCTCTGCACACCGAAGCTCAATGCATTTACGACTCGAATACTGCTTGGTCCGTATGTTTGCTGGCCGGCCTTTTATGTTGGCAAAGGGGCAACCATCTACAGCAACAACCAGCGCCGGTTCGGAACATCAATCAAGGGACGAGTGGCATCACAATGAAAGAGAGAGTCACAATTCTCCATTGCTACCCCAGAATAGTCGCGACTTTCTTACCAACGACTGTATTCAAGCCTCGCAAGAAGCTTTGGAAATCTGCAGTCAATTACAGCAAAGCTTTCCTGGGTTAGCTAGAGCTTCGTACATTGAGTACAGTTCGTGTCGGGCAGCATTGCTGGTGTTAATCGCTTTTTCCATTCAGAGCCCCTCAAATAGTTTCCAAGAAGCTCTCAGGAAGGGGATGGCTATGATTAAAGAGATGTCCATCGCGGGGGATTCCGCTCGATCTGAAGTCTCTCTAATTGAGGCGCTTGAAAGGGCGCTCTTTTGTCTCCAGTCGAGAGCGAAAGACTCTAAAAACGACATGAACAACACAAAAACAGCCTATGACTTGTTTAAAGAGTGGGGCAAGAGCAAAGAGGCCCAAGGTCACAAATCAGCCAGAAAACCCTCTACGCCATCGATTCGGCAGGGCTGGGAGCCCGGCTTGCCTTCAGTTGCCCCACCATCGTCGAATCCAGGACTAACTCAGTCCCTACCCTGTTATTTTGAAAAGACCAATCTATCGCCTTCAGTCGGCCCTGGATCCGAGGTTTCCATTCGCCAAGGCGACGGCAATATTGAATATTTGCCTTGTTCCGAGAATGACATCTCTCCTTTTCTAGAGTGGCCACTTGTTGATGAAACTCAGGTTCTTGAACAATTTCTTTCTAGCTTTCCCTCATACGTTAGTTAGAATATTTTATTGGAATATCAATAAGTAGCAAGCATCGTCCGTGAAATATGAACAATTTATCCAAGAAGATAGATCTCCGGTTTTAGTTGAAATGATCTAACAGACACTGTACGACTCAGAATTGAGTATTAGTGTCGTATTGGTACATATAGTAGACAAAGCTCCGAGTCCCTGGAGGGATTCGACGGCCAGTGACATGTGAGATCTCCTAAGTGAAGAAGGGTTCGAAAACCTTGCCTCGACTGCTTGGATCCATAACACACGATATTGTCCAGACCTCAGTGAGGCCAATACGTGTAGGCGGGTATTCGTAAGACTGTAAGTTAATATATTTGCTGTATGGAGAATCCTATGTACTCTTAAATTGCAGGAGCAGAGGACTGGACATGTAGAATGATGCAACCAATTTGAGATAACGGAATTTCGTCGGTATGGAGGAGCGGAAGAAAATATCCAGACCAACATTAACAAGCCTCAATCAGGGGTTGAATTTGCAAGATCAAGACCTTGGAGTCGGCGCCTGGAAAATATGAAATCCCTCCCCGCTGTTACGGGCCGTTCAAAAGAAGCAGATTCATTCAGTGCCTACAAACTAGAATCTCGAAGATGAAGAAGGAAGGAGAAAGAAAGAAATTCCGCCAGAGAAAGAGGGCTTAAGTACCCAGCAAACGCGCACCAGCAAACGCGTAGTGCAAATGACCCAAAACTTTGCCTCAGGCACCTTCCACGAGATGAGGCTATTCCCAGGTTCATCCGTCACACCCGCAACCTTTCCTCTGGGGGCCACACTGTTATTGCGAAGCCGACACAATTTCTTCCGCCATGCCAGGAAGCGTATCAGCAATGACATCCATCTTCGTACCAAACACCTCTTCGCAGGGATCCCTTTCCAAAACTGTGCAGTATGCACCACGAAATCCCACTTTCGTTGCCGCAGAGACATCCCACATATGTGCTGCCGCAAACCACTTCACATCGGTTGGTGCAAATCGATCGAATAATGTTCTATAAGCGGCTAGAGCCGGCTTTGCCAATCTTTTGGTATCACAGCTGACAATGTTCTCCGATGATATTTCGACTCCTGAACGTTCGAAATATCCGCAGACACGCTTCGAGTCGCCTGTCGTAAGACACCAAATAGTGAACCCAGCCTCTCTCAAAATTTTGAAGCATTCCTTTGTTCCTGGTCTCAATTCCAGCTCAGAGTAACCCTGAACGCACAGGTCTCTCTCCTCGATTGTTGCAAAGTTTCTGGGATTTTCAACTCCAGCCATGTGTAGTGTTCGGAAGAATAAAGCTCGCATGATATCCTTGTAGGGTCTGTATCCCTCGGAGATAGATAGGAATGTGAATTCAAGTTCAGCAGCCGTCATCCAGCTGAAACCGAAGAAAGCCGGAGTAATGTTCCTAGATTCCAGTCTTTCCCCAATGACATGGCCAATCCGCTCATAAAACGCGTCAAATGATACACAAGTACCAACAACATCAAAAACAACGTGTTTGCCGGGTTTCATCTTGGTGTTTTGGTGATATGATATTGGCAAAGTCTGGTCTCAACTACTATTGAGCACTAGAGCTTCGACTATTGGTCGGGGCGAGCAAAAGATGTAGCCGAGTGAGGATTGATAGAGAATTTCAGTGTTCTTCCTTTTCCCACTGCTGGACTTGACATTGGTTTTGGAGAGTGGAGATGCAGGCTGCGTAGAACGAAATATCGAGAAGAAATAATTCTGAATCACAATGTTGGTTATCGGGTTTCGTCGGGCTTTCATATCATCTCGTATCCTAAGGTATCAACTGAATGATAGCACGCACCGGATTATTGGATTGGGTGAAGGAAACGGAAAAGCCGGTCCGGCAATACTGCGTTTACCCCGCACCAACTGTTACGACACTAGTAATATATACCGGCCCGGGCTTCCTAAAAATGGAATACAGGCCGTTTCTGTTTGATAACGTACTCTGGCTCGCACAGCCAAAGTACTCCAGTTCAACCTCGGTCCTCACTCAATTCATCTCAAGGCACAAATTAGCCTTCCAGGTTAGTGTACGGTCGATTTTCACTCGATTTTCGACTCTTTTCGGCTGCTGCTACTTCGTGGCTAAGGCAAGGAGACATTAAGCAGTAAATCCATTTGAAAAAGGATTAGAGCAGCTTTTGGTTAAGGATAATCACCTAGTAGAACCGGATATATATCAAGAATTAGGATTGATTGGGATTCCAACATTGAAGCCTGCCTTGTTAGATTACACTAGTATACAACTTGCAGGTCTGGCTGTATTCTAAGCCCACAGAAAGTTGAACTTCGCCAACCCTCGCTTTTTGACCACCGGCTCAGGATTCCTCCTTGCACTTTCGATAAAAGGACGAATCGGTATATCCTCCAAAGGCAACATTCTCGTTTTCATCAGTGCTTTGTAGCCCAGGTATACCACAATCATCAAAGGCAGGTTGATGTAGCTAGCAATGAAAGTTTCTGAGCTCCACCTCCCTTTCATAAATGTGGTGAATCCCCCAGTGAAGAAAAGAAGAACGAAGACGACCAGTGATGCCCATGTGGTATATGGCTGGAAGGGTGCGGCCCAGGGAAGTTCGCGGTGACGGTCAATCCCCTGCTTCCAACAGCCATACAAGAAGCGCAGGTATACTATGCAAATGCATATCCAGTTGACAAGCGTGGATATGGATACAATATCCTGGAGCCAGGTAAATATCGTACTTGCTGAGCTAGAAAGTGTCATATATCCTAGCGCCATGAACACGCCATACACTGCCACGGCTATGTAGGGGATTCCGAACCTGTTCGTCCGTTTAACGATAGCCGGTGCGTGCCCGTGAACTGCCATCCCAAACAGAATTCTGGAACCGCCGAGCATGTTTGAATTTCCCGACGACCAGGCCGACGTCAATACGACCGCATTGATAATTGACGGGACCACTTTAATTCCTGCATGGCGCGCAGCTATCACGAACGGGGACTGGGATGCTGTGTCGGTCGAGTTGAGAAGATTCGGATCATCTGACGGTACTACCAAGCCAACCATGAAAATTGTCAAGATGTAGAAAAGGAGAATGCGAATAAAAATACGCCGTGCCGCCATCGGAATTGCCGTGCGAGGATTTTTCGTTTCAGCGGCGGCCACCGTAATGTTTTCGATTCCAGAGTAAGCGTATAGTGCGCTGTCGAAAGCCTTCCAGAAACCAAGGAACCGACCAAGGGATCCAGGAATGTTGAGGTATTGGACAAAGGGCCCCGGTGAAGTCCAATAACTAAAACCGATTGCAACGTGGTTTGGTCCTCCGCCGCAGGTGATGACTAGCGCCATGATATTGATTCCAATAATAAGCATAATCTTCAACATGGAGAAGAAGAACTCCAGCTCCCCATAAACACGCACGAAGAGCAATGCGGTGATGACCATCAGCGCTCCGAAGGTGGTGATCCAGATGGCGTTATTCACCGTGACCCAAAACTCCACGATCACCGCCGCCGCCACCAGTTCGGATGGAATAGAGACGAGGTAGGAATAAATCTGATTCCACCCATTGGCAAATGCTAGTGCGGGATCACAGAAAATTTCGGCGTATCGAATGACACCACCATTAAGTGGAACCAGTGCACCCATCTCTCCGACACCAAAGATGACACTGGAGACCGTCATACCGATGATTAAATATGCCAAAAATGCCCCTAGAGGGCCCGCTGTCGCAATCGCTTGCCCAGAACTGAGAAACAGCCCAGTGCCAATGGTGCCCGCCAAGGCGATCATCTGAATATGCCGCTGGTGCAGCCCTTGCTTGAGAACACTAATTTCTTCCAGCTGAGCGCTGGCCGTTTCAACATCGCCATTATGTCCTTTCTCATCGGCCTGGGTATTCGATTCTTGTCTTCGTTCGCTGTCTGGTGAGTTTGCGGTCGGGTAGAGGCCGATCTTGGAGTGGATGATACGCGTGGACTCCATCATCAGTGCTCGGAGACGAAGTCAATTCTGTCCCCCACAAGGTACGCAAAAATTCGCGCGCCTTTTGTATGTGCATTTTTTGCTTTTTTGAGTAGCGAGCCCCGGTGTACAGTCCACTCCACCAGTTATCGGGGGGAATTGCAAATCAAAATCGTCCTCTCCGCCGGTGTACCATTTTCCGGTAATCACCAAGGTCCTCAAACTCCCGGCCCTAGGGTCGTACTCTAGGATAAGCTGTATTTTCTGTGCGTTCCACCACGAGCAACCCTATCTGCATCAACGTTAATCGTGTGGGGAAGCCGAGGCGGCCCGACCGCCGAGTTCCCGCCGGTTCCAAAAAATGCTAATCGCAGCCGGTCCGGCGGCGACTCCACGGTTCAGCGCGCGGTGTCGTACGACTCGGCCCAGACAGCTTCAGGGGGTCGTCGCGATAGTCGGATTGTCGGTGAGATAAGAGCGGTATGTGCGACACCCCCGACAACCATGATTTGAATTCAGCACTACTCCCTGATCAACCACTCTTTCTGGGTTCATCAAAATGCCAATTTCCTGCCCGGACGAGACCACCGCGAGCAACGACAGTTCGGCGACGTGTTTTCCCGTCCAAAATGCAACCGAGTCCTTCTGGCAAACACAGCAGCATCCTCTGAGTGATCATCGCTCGACGCCGGAATTGCCAGCTCATAGCGACATCGTCATTGTCGGCGCCGGCTACGCTGGAGTGAGTACGGCCTACCATCTTTCCCGGGATTTGGGGGAGGCCCCTTCAATCACCATTTTGGAGGCTCGGGCGGTCTGCTCTGGGGCGACTGGAAGAAATGGAGGACACTTGCGACCAGACTTCTACGGACATATACCAACCTACATCGAGCGGGCCGGGCCAAGGGCAGGTGCGGAGATTGCGGAGTTTGAAATTGCCAATCTTCGGGCGCTGAAGCGATTCATCGAACGTGAGAATATTAATTGCGACTTCACCTTAACGAGATCAATCGATGTGTGGTGCAACGAGGAGGCCGCACGAAAGGCCAAGGGCATTTACGACAGCATGGTCGCACATGACTTCAACTACATGGATGACGTCGTTTTCTACACTGGCAGTGAGGTGGACGGTGTGAGTAGTGGCCAACATTCCTGAGACCACAACACAACTGATTGATTCTAGATATGTGGTGTCAAAGGGGCAGTTGCATGCGCCTCGTTCACTGCCGGAACCATGTGGCCCTTCAAATTTATCATGCACCTAGTGGAAAAGCTCGTCAAGAGCAAGCAAGTAAACCTTCAGACACACACCCCGGTGCTGTCAGTAAATCCAGACCGAGCCGGTGGATTCCTTGTCGAAACTCCTCGAGGGCAAGTCCATGCCAATAAAGTGATATACGCCAACAATGCCTATGTTGCAGGCGTCTTACCAGAATATCGAAGGAACATCGTTCCTTGCAAGGGGATCTGCTGCCGTATTACAACAGCTGATGCAAAGGAATCTTCGCCCTTACTCAACAACTCCTACATCAATCGAACCGACGACAACACGCTCTCGTATCTGGTTCCACGGGCAGATGGAAGCATCATTGTTGGTGGTGCAGCTGCCAAGTTCCAGCCATTTAGGGAGCAATGGTATAACAATGTGGATGATAGTTGCCTGATTGACGCGGTGAAATATTACTATGATGGATACATGCAGCGGACCTATCGCGGATGGGAAGGTACAGACGCTCGTATTGACAAGATTTGGACCGGAGTTATGGGATACTCATACGACTCAAATCCGCATATCGGTCAGGTGCCAGCTAAGGAAAATGAGTTCATTCTTGCAGGATTTAATGGGCACGGCATGCCTGTCATTTGGCTCGCAGCCAAGGAGCTGGCAGACATGGTCACTCAAGCGAAACCGTTTGAGGCTACCAGTCTACCGAAACTTTTTAAGACCTCGCAGGCACGCATTGATCGCGCAATCATGGGTCAAGAGGAGGAGGGAGACATTCTCGGAAATGGAAACCGACCCTCTACGAAGCCATAGGCCCACCGTTTGGGTTAAGGCAGTTAGATGTCTTCTTCCTCGGGGGCAACGACTCGCTAAGTCGGAATGTGCATGCGGTACTTAATCAAGAAAAAAGGGCTTCTCGCATCATTGGTTCTAATGTAATTCAAATTTTCGCTAGGTTTCGACAATTTCGCTCAAAATCACTTGCCATGCCCGTTGTATCTTGATCTACTGAGTGTAGAGACAGCCGTTGGGGTTGGAGGTTCTCTCAATCCGGGCGGCAATGCTAACACAGTCCTTGTTGCCGCCGGGGTTGGACACGCCGGCAGAGGCCCAAATAGACCAGGCACCGTCGATGCTGTTGGGGCAAGCAATCAGGTCGCTGCCAGCAAACTGCAAGTGGCCCTCCTTAATAGCCCATCCCTTCCTCTCCGAGTTCTTGGGAGCGGGTTGGGCGCCAGTGGTATAGCCAATCTTTCCTTGACCTGTTGAGAAGTTACCTGATTAGCTTTGAATGTCATGGGACTGGAATATCATCATCCTTCCACTTACCCATGCCGGAGCGGTCAACGTAGATCTCCTGAGGGGTCGCGGACTTGTCATAGAGGTACAGCGCGCCGTCCTGGATGTAGAAAGTGGCGTCCTGCTCCTTAGGGCGAGCACAGCTAGCCCCCTGGGAGGACAATCCAGCAAAGAGGCTGCTCTTCGCGGCATTGAAGGCAGAGTTCTGCACACCAGAGCCCGAGTGGATGGCAATGACGCCGAAGGTGTTGGACTGAGCGGAAGGGGCGGCAGTTGCAGTAGCCGCGAGCGCGGTGGCGGCAACAATGTTCTTGAGCTGCATGGTGTAGGTTGGATGATACAAAAGACGTATAAGAAGTTGTTGTTGCGAAGTTGGCAGGACAAAAATCGATAGACGATAGCGGTGATATTCCTGATGGATGATGAAAGAAAATCTCTACCCTACGAATCTCCCTCCTTTATACCCTTCATTTCCTGCGCGTCGGAGTTACTACGCAGAAAGGCAATGAATACGCTTCTCCGACTTAATACATACTACCGAGGTCAATGTCTCAAAATCTGAGGTTTGGTTTAGCAAGGAAATATCCGCTCGGTGGGTGAGTGGGACCAATGTGCTTCGCCTCACTGGGCTATTCTTAGTCGCAATCTGAATGGCGATCCACAACCCCCCGCAATAGTTCCCCTTCTTCAGAGACCCTGAAGAATGTACAACAGTAAATGATTTCCCCAGTTCGATCAAAGAGTGAATTATTCCCCTTTTCGCGAGGTAAGATCATAGTATTGCAAATCCGTTTCCACCGCGCAAGGCCTGTGGATCTCTCTGGCAATTGATGTCTGGAGTCGCATACTCAGATACCCAGCGCTGCATTGTTGCTGCAAGAAACGATGATTTCACCCGCGGCGAAATTTTTGCAGCTTCGGTAAATTATCATCGATCATCATCCCACAATCGACATCAATCTCTCGCCACCCATGTCTCGGGCGGCGATGCCGCAGTTACAGTAAACCCTGAAGCGAGAGGCTCCACCTCGCTCGCGGTCCACTTTAAATCAGAGTCAAGGCCTATCATCGGGCGCGAGCTATGAAAACCCTCCCCATTGAAATCAGGTTTCGCCCCGCTTTCCGGGCCGATGCCCTAAATTGTTAAGCCATCTCCGTATCCACCCTAATATTATGACCTGTAGCGTAAGTCTCACCACATACATAGGTACAACAACATATCCTACAGCACTAGTACTGGACTCCGCATGTTGTAATCTCCGGATCTACTGCAGACGCGGTGAGCCCGCCCGGTCTCCATGAAGTTACCTAAGTCTTTCACAACCTTGGACCTTTTGGAAGTGCTCTTAGCTGTTGCTGTATCTTGTTGGTCCTGAGAGAATCTCGATGCTATTTGCATTCTGCCGTAGATTTTGTCGGATGACAGATTACAACCCGGGTTGCAGCCTGCAGTTCACCGTCACATTATCGATCGAACACCAGAGGACATTATGGTGTAGTCAAATACGTAGGCTGCACCCTACAGCATCAATTACAATGAGCAAAATATATGATTTTGCTTCGCACGTATTGCTCCCTCGCCAGCGTTTCAATGGTTACTAATAACAAGGATTGTAAATTCGACTACTCGTTCTATCGATGCATTAATCTTACCACTTCTCGATGTCTATTTTTGGAATTCAGCGCCTTTCGAAATTAACCCAATGTACATATTATTAAAAAAAAAAAAAAGAAAAAGGTGTGAGCTCATTAATGAGGCCCCAGACACCTTGAGAGGCCGACATGGATGCGCTACGACTGAATGAATCTAGACCTCAGGAATTAAATGTATTTATGGTGAGTGCATCGGCCTTTAAAGTCAATTAAACAGACCTTTACGGTTTGCTGAAAGAAAGGTGAGATATGATATACATATATATTTTTGAGTCTAGCGCAAAACGTAGCAAGAACCTTGGAATGAGCGCAAGCTTGCACTATTGTTATTACAGTGTTGAGTCCACTGGATGCCATTGATGCGTGAATATGTCGGTGAGGATCAAGGCGGAATTCTCACTTTGGCGCAGCCTAACCAAGTCGTTTCGGAACCTTACTAACTAATTACAGGAATACGAATAGGAAACTGCCAGTTTTAGGCTGCAATGTAGGCATTGAATTTGCCTTTGCAATAATCACAGATACCTATGATAAAACATTGAGAGATGAAAGGTCAATTATAAGGCCTACCCCGCAATTGTCGCCAGAATCATCGTTCCAGGAGCATTTACAGGGACGGGCTTGATTTCATCGAGACATGAGGGAAATAATTGTCCTTTTCGCTCATAATTATAGAGCCAGTTGCAGTTTTGAAACGCTCTGTCTTATCTAATATTAGGTTGACTGCCACATATTCTCGAAATATCAGCATTGCGTATCTTTCGTAGGTTTCTGGGTTTCCATATTTTGGGAAACCAAAGCCAATGCAATTACCAATCCCAACAGTTCATTGTAATCACTTGTAAGTAGAAGCTTGAGCCATGACATCTCTTGAGAGCGCCGACTCATTTATGGCTATCCCATTGCCCAGCCCAGGAGTGGTGTCGAATATCTACATCCAGAGCAACCTTGGAATGAGTCATCCAAATTTCCAGGCGTATCTTTGAAGCTATGAAAGTTCCGAAAGATGCTTTTGGAGGGCAAGAGTCCTCTTTTGCTGGCGTTCTCGAGGGTCAAAGCCCCCTGAAAACCTAAATGTGATATCGCAGAAAACGCTTTGGGTTGGAATGAAAGCGCTCAATTGTCGTAACCCGTGCGGATCAACTATTCCATGCGCGCAGCCTTTGATAAACCCTACCTTTGTCCCGAACGGAAGCATTGACCCCCGCTTACCTGGGGAAAGTTTATCTTTGGTTGTCATTTCCGAATTAGGCAGCTTCAGGGAGGGGTTATCAGGTTTAAAATGCGGTGGTTTCCGTTTCCAAGATATGCCAGTTTCTATCTTATAATCGGAAGCACTTAGTCCCCTCGATCTCTACTGTGATGCCAGACGTTGAAGATAATTTCCATCCCGCCATTTCGGCAGATAGAAATCGAAATAAAACGACCCACTGCGCACTCGCTGATGCGGAAGAGTACTATGAGCCACCACATGGACATCGCGTGGCTGGTCTTTTGACCATCCCAGCCTATCGCGCCCCCATCACAAAATGTGTCATCATTGCATTGCATTTGTTCACCTTCTTGTGGTAGGCATGTTTAATGTGCTGTCTGCCCTCGGAGGTGGAGGTCAGGTTGATCCGACTACCAGCAACAATGCAAATACCATCCTATATAGTCTTTTTTGTGCCATGTCCCTGGCGGGTTCGTTTTGTAACTTCTTCGGTCCCAAGATCACATTAGCGAGCGGCGGAGTCGGCTTCTCACTTCTGTCGGCTTCCTACTGGAGCTATAATCACAACAAGGAGGAGGGCTTCGTGTACTTTGGAGGCGCTATATGTGGGATCGCGGCTGCATTCCTCTGGTAAGTTCCACCGTTGCTTCTAATCATGGCTACTTTCCTTGAAATTGATTTCAGCTACTCATGCCGTTCTAGGACCGCAGAAGGGTCAATGATCATGTCGTTACCACTTGAAAAAGACAAAGACAAATATATTGGGGTCTTCTATGGACTGTCCTATTTTGGCACCGTCATTGGCGCTATCATCCGGGCCGTGGAAACCTGGGCCACAACTACAGCAGGCAGTGTAAATGATGGCACATATATTGCTCTGTTCATCTTGATGCTCATGGGCAGTGTGGTCGCCCGTTTTGTTTCCAACCCGGAAAAAGTTATTCGCACTGATGGCACGCGGGTTGTCATTCCTCGTCAAACCACATTCAACCAGGAGCTGAAGAACGTCGCTCTTGCCATCAAAAGGGAACCTTATATCATTCTTTTCTTTCCTTACAGCATGGCTAGTCTCTAGTATATCCCTTACCAAAGCAATGACTTCAACGCCTACTTCTTTGACCTGCGCACAAGAGCCTTTGGTATTCTTTGGTTTGACTTCGGCCAATTCGTCATGGCAGTTGCCACTGGAATAGCTCTCGACCTCGAAGTCTTTGGTGGAAGACGGCGTAGGGCTTCTTTGGCTGGACATTCCTGTTCACCCTGATTAATGCCGTCTGTATTGGGTGTGTTTCCCCAGCCCGACTTTCCCATCGCAGGAATTCTCCAGCTTTGATCGACGTGTATGACCCACGGGCTGCAGGTTACATTGCTCTTTATACATTTTACAGGGTGGTTGATGGAGCCGGGCAAACGTTTGCCTGGTGGATCATGGGGACTCTCTCTAATGATCCCCTCCTGTTGTCCATCTACTCAGCATTCTATAAGGTATTTGGTGCGATGGGTGCTGCGATCGTCTTCAACCTCGACGTTCGTGGAATCAGCTACCAGACAATGTTTGGCAGTTACTGGGGCCTCCTTTCTGGATCCATGATTCTTGTATTGGTGCTTATATACAAGCGCGTGAAGTTCACCCTCGTCGTGTCTGAGAGCGCGGACGCGGAGATGAAATAATTCCAGCAGCCAGGTATTGTTAGGTCGGAATAGAATTTGTGAAATGAGGCGGCTGCAACTTCACATTCGCAAATCGGAACTTAAATATTAGTATTCTTGAGTAGGGGCAGGATAAATCCGTTCACAATGTGGAGAGTTTGGAGATATCCTCGGTTGTGCGGTAACCTTCCGTTCCCTGGAGCCGGGCGTGAGTTGGCCGGGTGTGGGGGAACGACAAGGCATTAGCCGAGTTGATCCGAATTTCAATTAGTGTTGTTGTTAATGAAACTCTGGCAGTCAAGCAATCAAGCGTTGCGTGGGGTCCAGTGTCTTATGGAGCTTCAACAGTAATATAGCCGTTGCTCAATGTCTCGGTGCTTCTCGCTTGGTTCTCTTCAACACCAAGGGATATCACGACCTTAGCCATACTCATTGGATGCTTCATGCTTACATGGCTATTTGGCACTTGTGATGGGCAGTAACGCATCCTCTTTACTGGTGACGGTGTAGCTATAAGAGATTCCATCCCTCATGCAGAAAGAAACACATGAGGCTTGATATGCAATAGGTATATTTACAGAGCCACGCGGCTAAGTGACCAGGGAGATCGTTCATTTGAACTGTACAAGGCAGCCTTGATCACGCGCTGCGTTGGGAAAGGGCAGGCCTATGTCCAGTCTGGACCTTCCCAAGAAGCGATCAGGAAATAGCCAAGGCGTAAAGGCCGTAATTTCGTTTAGGAAGGAGCCGCGCAGGTGAAAACGCCTCGCACAGAGCCCGTTCTATACTTGTCGATCTGTTGAGGAGCAATTATTAATCTGCGTCAAAGCCAACCGGAGTGTGGGATCAAGCTTACAATATCGTCAATACTGGAGTAGGTACCAGCCACCAGAATCACCAACCCGATGATCAGAATGAACCCGTTGATCACTGTGAGCAATAGGTTCTTCGGCTCCATTATACCGCCCTTGCGGATCAGCATGAACCACATCAGGGCCGGGAAGTAAAATGTGAAGCCCGAGATAAACAGGGCGGAGGAGATCGACAACAAGTCATTGAAGAAGGGAATCACTTCCGCAATGACAAAGGCAATGATGGTGGCCCCAGTAATCACAGCCAGCCAGGTGATCCAACCCATCTTGGTATTGATAAAGCGAATGGGAGAGTTGGCGAAGATGCGACCATGGACGAGGCGCCCCAAGACGACCGTGTTGATTGATCCACTGATGAAAATGACAGGGAGGGCAACACCGTAGGCGACGCGGCTGAGGGTGGCGCCAGCGGAAGTCAGGGCTGGGCTCGATACATCCTGGCCCACGAACGCATAGATAAGTGCACCGGTAATGGTATAGACAACGATCTCAGTGATGCCAAGCGCCCAGATTGATTTGACGAAATCCTTGGGCGTGTGCATCTCATCCATAAATGAGAACTGGCACATCGCAAAGCTATAGGCAAAGATGATGTTGGACACAGCGATAAAGGCCTCGGTAAAGGTCAAGTCTGCCTTAGGCCACGCTGACCAGGGGACTGCAGCCAGTCCTCCCGGCTGGCTTTGAGCATCCACACCCGTTCCAATGATTGTAATGCCAATAGCGATGATGATGGATGCAAAGTCAACATAACCCAGAATGGCCACTTCTGTGAAACTGGGCGGGACAGCCAGGGCAAGCAGGATAATAGCAGAGACGACGGCAAAGATAACGGAGCAAATATCACTACCCGTGATGTTCATGAATGCGATCGTGCCCGTCAGGCAGTGCGAGCCAGTCAAGAAGATAAGCTGCAGGACCAACATCATGTTGATCAGCTCGTAGCCGAAGCGACCCCACATCAGACGACCAGCGTCGGCATAGTTGGCGACCTGGGGAAAGGCTAGTTTGACCTGGCCGACAATGTAACTGGTATAGATGGCGACCAGGCCCAAGCCCACGCAGCAGATGGTGCCGGCGACCATGCCCAGGTAGGCAAAAGTCTGGGGGATGGATAGACTACCCAGGGCGATGGCTTCGACAATCAGCACGATGGTGAGGCGCTTCCAGCCCAGACGGTTGTACTTCTGGATTCCGTGGTCGTAGATATGACGCTCGGCCTCGCTCATCTCGCCCACCATGTCGGCCTCGAAGGGCGGCGGCGCGACATAGGCCTTTTCGCCTTCAGAGTCTGACAGCCCCTTGGGGCCATAGCCGTTGTCAGAGTTATCCTCGTAGCCCATGATGTCGGGAACTGCGACGGAAATGGGAGGGGACGAGGGGGGAAGAAGCGCAGAAGGTCAGGATGAGCAGGGAGGAGAAAACACGGCGTGAGAAGAGGACCGAAGCGTCGACGGTCGCCGACCAAGCAGGGACGGCAGGGTCATAAGAGGCCATTGGCACTTTGCCTCCTAATGCGGCCCTGGCCCTCAGTGCTTGCCCCGGTGTGCACCTCATTAGCATTGGTCCACACGTGGAGTACGACGCTGCTCCACTGCCAGGGGGCGTTGGGGCCAACGGGAAGGCCGGATGCAGCGATGTCGGGTCCACCGAAAGGGCCTGGAGGGCCCGTGGAAGGCCCGTAGACGACTGTCGTGCGGGACGACCCAAGATATGCGATAAGAAGGTTTCGGTTGTTAGGTAAAAGAAATGCCAGCCGGGTTTAGTCCTGGGGGGCAGCGCTGCAGAGGCCCCAGTGTGCCCCAGCCTGCCCCAGCCGGTGACCCCGTGGAGAGAATGCGGGGAGTTTCGAGGGTTCCGCTGCGTGCGCCGGGGGAGGGCAAGGACGAGGTGAAGGGTCGCGATGTGATCGTTCGACAAGCTTTGCCAACGGGCGGCCCTCAGCCACCCGCGGCAATCCCTGTTCGCACATCGCGACAGATCCAATCGGCAGCACACGGCTGGCGCAGCAAGTTCCGACTTCGAACCTTCGACTAGGCCAAGCGGCGGGAGATAACATCACGTGATGATAATGCCGAGTGGGTCTGGGCCCAGTTCTTTTATGTCACGTGACATGTGAGATAGGGGGTGGGGGGATGGCGTTTCAGCTCGAGTCTAAACGGGCTGATTAACAAGATAAACAACGCATCCAACGCCACTCCATTACTAAATTCACTTCTGTGTACACCAATGTCGAGCAGGACGGCGAGACCCAGCGCACACCCACGACGATAGAGTTGCCAATCCCCGGCCGATCGCCGTTTCTCCTGCTAATTATCCGCCGGTTGGGGTACCCTCCGTTGGAGTCACCCAAGCCACTTATCTGCAATTACCTTCCCCTTGCGGCAGGGAGCGGCCTGCCCAACCGGCCCTCCCTCGACATTGGCAGCCTCCCACACTCTGTCCCACTCCTCTCCGTCACAAACACGATGACCCCGTCAGGATCCTCATGGTATATGCCGGCCGCAGCCCCGCCCGCTCTACATTACGCGCACTCCCGTCGCCGACACGGGTGATGCTCGTCACCAGCCCCAGCCCCCGGCGCTGGGCCTCTGCCAGCCGCGCCCGTATCAGCGCAGTCTGGATGTCTTTTCCCCGGTGGGCCGGCACCGTGCTGTCCAGATAGAGATGCGCCACGCCGAACCCCAAACCTTCGTCCACAGCGCCCTCCATACTCGCCATCGCCGCCGTGCGGGCGATCTCCTCGCCCACTTGCGCGACATATAACGTGGTGTCGGGGCGTCGTGTCGCAATCTCCGCCAGTACCCCTAACAGCTCGCGCGACCTCCCATTCGACGAAAATCCCGCAATGGATGCGGCCACAAACTGCCTCATCTCATGGGGCTGCGCAGGCCGGACAGTCACCCCAGGCATATGATGTTGCTGGGGTCCAGTCTGGTCCGGTTGCACAGAAGACGCCTGCAGGGCACACCAATACGTAACGAGGGTGCCTCGGTCCGTGTATCCTCGCGACATCAGCAGGTCCAGCGCCGCCTGTGATGCGAATGGTCCCAGATGAATCTCTGGTGGCAATCCGCCGGCCGCGAAGAATCCCTCCAGCTCGTGCACGACAGCCTCCTCAATCCCTGCCGCGTTCCCACAGCCGGCCGCGCGGTTGAGTTTGCCCTGGAAAATGGGACCGGGTGCGGATGGCCATCCCACCCGTGGGAACCCAGTAAATGGCAACGTCGTCGTCGGGGTACAACTCGCGGCACACCTCGGCTTGGCGGCGAAGGTGCGCCATCTCGGAGTGTTCGCAGCTGGTGCTCGACGAGATCAGCGTCGATCCAGCACTGAGGTGCTACCATCGGTAGATGATCGAGCCTGCTGGTGTTCGTGGCTCGCGGTCTGGATTTGACTGCAATTCGGCTTCGTCTGGGGTGAACAGTTTAGTTGAATTGGCCAGTGTAGACGAGCGACGTCGATGGAATGTGACGTTGGCTCACTGTAGTGAAATCTGTAGGGCCTCATGCTTCGTAGACTCATTCTTATCTGACTTGAAGTTGTGACTCACACGCCAGGACTGGCGCTATTCCAGATCGTGAATGGTTAAGGTACATGCAATTGCGGTGCCTACAAGTACGACTGCGGCACGCTCAATGTGCATGGAAGCTACGGCCTTGGGAGTAGCAGAAAAGTCCAGCTCCACAAGATCTCATCGTTACGATAATATAATAGTGTTTGATTCGCTTCACTGTTGTCTAAGTCGCAGTCAGAGAGCTCTATTGTTGTTGCCTTCGCATAGTTCATGTTGCAAAGTGCTTTGGTCGCATATATATCTCCACGGCACCGGCTAGCATTCATCATATCCTAAGGCACTAATATTCACACCATAGTGTGTGACCAGGCTACTCCCAAACGCCCATGTCATGATTCCGCTCGCAAGACCTCGGCGATAGATCGCGCCACGTATTCGACATTGCCCTCGTTCAAGCCTGCGATGGAGATGCGGGAATTATCGGCCATGTACACGTGATATTGTTCTGTCGTAACGAAATTAGCATGGCCGTTGCCGCTTGTCCCCGGAATCAGATTGAAAATGCTCACCTCGCAGTTTCACCACTACCTCTGGCGACAATCCAAGGAATCCAAACATTCCTGACTGCCGAATGAGATGGTCCCATGATCCCGGCGCTCCTGTTTCCACCGATCAGTACTTTGATCTTTCACCAATCAACTCTCTAATTGCTTGCAAGACCTACCGAATGTGTTCAGATGGTTGTATAGGGCCGTCCTCATGGAGCGGATCCGATCACTCATGGTCACCATGTCCGCATACCACATCTGCTTTAGTTCATCCGATCCCAAAACCCGGCTTGCAATTTTGGCGCCAAATCCTGGCGGGTTGGACACTTCCGATCGTTGCAGCATCTCCAGCATGGACTGTGTATTTGTCGCAGTCTCGGTGGTGTTTGTGGCGAGCAAGAAGCAGCCAACCCGCTCGCCTGGTCCGAGATCTCCTGGTCAGTTATCTCGGTTCCTTCCAAATCCACAGTTTACTCTCGTGGTACAATACTTACCATAAAGACCCATATTCTTCGCAAATGACACGCACACCCCGGCCTCCATGCCCATCTCACCAATGAACAGGCGAATGGGATAGGCATCCTCATCAAGGTTGCCCGAGTTGAATCCGAGATAGGCGGCATCAAAGAGCGGGAAGAGCTGGCGCTCCTTCATACGCCGAGCGATCTCCCGCCATTGTTCCTTACTGGGGTCGCAGCCGGTTGGGTTGTGGGCGCAGGCGTGGAGGATGACGACCGAATTCGGCTCCGCCTGGTCCAACATGGCGAAGTAAGATTGCAGATCCAGGTCTCTCGTCTCATGGTCATAGTACTTAAAGCTGTCACAGGGGAAGCCTAGCGAGCCAAAGACCTGGTGGTGGTTCGACCAGGTGGGCGAGGGGATATAGACCTTGGGCGGCCGGTCGTGACAGGCGCGCAGGAGTAGCCCTGCGAGGTGAAGAGAGCCGGTGCCGGACAGACTTTGGCAGGTGGCCACCTACGCTACCGAATTAGCCATGGATCCTTGATCGCGGATGATGGACCGGACGGAATTCTGCCTTACGCGGGATCGCTGCACCGTGAACAAGTCCGAGCCCAAGACCAGCTTGGCCGTCGCCTCTCGGAAATCTGCCAGTCCGAGAATGGGGAGATATTCGTGGTTCAATCCGCGCGCCAGTAATGTTTCCCGGGCTTTGTTTACTGACGGGAGCACCCACGGATGACCGTGGGCATCGCGATACGTCCCTTGGCCCAGGTTCACCTTCTGCGGGCAGGTGTCGGCCAGGTATTGGGCCGTGAGAGCGAATATGGCATCCGGTGGAATGAAACGAGCCTGGTCAAACCAGGAGGAATTCGAACTGGTGGTCATTATGCGTACTCGGCACTGCAATAGAGACAGAGAGAGGAAAAAGCAGGGAGAGAGAGACTGAAAATAGGGAATTGATTGCTGTAATCCTAATGAATGCTAATGGCTATGGAGGGGCCAGAGTCTTGAAGCTGCGTCAGGCCGGGCCACAGCCCGACACTCGGCAGGCCGTCCGCGCGGTTGTGATGCGCGTGCTGGAGACATGCGGGGGGAAGAGGGGAGATCCTAGCTATCCTTTTGGGCAAGTACACCAAGAGGGGTGGTATCACGTGACTGTAACACGTGACACCTTTCGGTCTGCGTGGGGCTCAAGTGTGGTCGCAACCAATCTTCGCGCGTCCGTCGGATGTGCTCCGAGCAGCGGCCCCCACGCCGATCGGCTGCGCGCGCCGACAGTCGCGCTTCGACGACCACGACGCACTCGGGACGCCGACCCGACCTTCCCAGGACCTGGCGATGAGCAACCCCTCAGTGCGCGCACGCGCGGGGACGAGGCGCATAGAAAGACCGCGCTGTCCCGTCCTTCATTTGCTCTCCAACTTCCCTGTATCACCGCACCCGCTTGATTCGACCCCGTCAGCCCCCGAGTATCATCCAGACGATATCCTATACAGATTCTCAGATTAGACATCATGGGCTCCCAAACCGTCTCGTCGCAACCCCACGTCCCCCCGGCGGGCGTTTGGTGCCCCGCAGTCAGCTTCTTTCACCACGAATCCGACTCGCTCGATCTCGATGCCCAGGCGAAATACTTCGCCTACCTGTCGCGCACCGGGCTCGCGGGCCTGGTCATCCTGGGCACCAACTCCGAGGCCTTCCTCTTGACCCGCGAAGAGCGTGCCCAGCTCATCGCCACCGCGCGTGCCGCCGTCGGTCCTGACTTCCCGCTCATGGCCGGCGTGGGAGCGCACTCTACCAAGCAAACCCTCGAACTGGCCAACGATGCGGCGGCGGCCGGTGCCAACTACCTGCTCGTGCTTCCCCCGGCCTACTTTGGCAAGGCCACCAACATGAACGTCGTGAAGCGGTTCTTCTCCGAAGTCGCCGCGAAGGCGTCGCTGCCCGTGGTGCTGTATAACTTCCCTGGCGTGTGCAACGGCGTCGATATGGACTCCGAGACCATTGCCGCCATCACGCGCGAATCCGCTGCCCAGCGTAATGGCCCCTCCAACGTGGTGGGTGTCAAGCTGACCTGCGGCTCTGTGGGCAAGATCACCCGCCTCGCGGCCACTTTCTCCTCCGAGGAGTTCGCAACCTTTGGTGGCCAGTCCGACTTCCTCATTGGCGGTCTCGCCGCCGGCAGCGCCGGGTGCATCGCCGCATTCGCCAATGTCTTCCCCAAGACATCCTCCAAGGTGTATGCCTTGTACCAGAAGGGCCAGCTGGACGAAGCCCGCAAGCTCCAGGGCCAGGCGGCGCTGGCGGAAAGCCCCATCAAGAGTGGAATCGCTTCTACCAAGTTTGCCGTGGCAACATACACGGCTCCGCTGGCGGGCATCCAGGGCGCCGAAGAGAAGCTGCAGCCCCGACACCCCTATGAGCCGGTGGGCGAGCCGTCAAAGAAGGCCATCCGGGAAGTGATGGCAGAGGTGGGCGCGATTGAGAAGAGTCTGTAGGAGTCGGCGGGAGACCTACAGCAGACTGATGAAAACCTGTTATGAATTGCATTATAGATTTGAACACAGCTAATGAGCGAGCATTCGTGCCCTCAGTTCCACACATATGCGTCTCAATCTCTGCCAGTATACATGTAATTCGCAGCCTACATACTACTAGCAATAGCTCAGGCATGGACGGACCCTCGGAGCAGCACCGTAGAGAAACGCGGGGGCCAAATATCAAGTCAGCACTAATGCTGGGGCGGTATACAAGGTCATCGTGAGCGACTCCATCAGACCAAATCAGCCGTGGTGCAGCGATCCAGGAGCCATCGTTGACGATTCTTCTATATCACTGGTAGTGTAGTAGTAGTAGTAGTAGTAGTAGTAGTAGTAGTAGTAGTAGTAGTAGTAGTAGTAGTAGTAGTAGTAGTAGTAGTAGTAGTAGCAGTAACAAGTATCGACCCTTCAAGTAGTCCAAGGTCACTGCATGAATCTTTCGAGCGCATACATCATTCCAGCACAGGCCATCCGATCACCGATTATTACCATACATGGTGTTTGATGCATGTTGGCCCCTTCTGATCATATCATCGCCCCACTGGGGCTGTTGGCGGGTGGGGGTTTCCCGATGGAATCGGAGAATAGCAATCGCTCCAAAAGAATATTCCTCCTTTTATCCTTCTGGAGCGAGTATTATTCAGATCAGTCTGCTGATTAGTTAGTTAAGGTACTAGCGCCAGCGACGTTACTATTATTAATCGGCGAGTGCCGAGGTTGTCTGTCAGTCCCGCCGGGTGGAGATGGCCCGACGCGATCGAGATCAAATTTTCTTTGCAAACCTCGGCACATCGACCACTTTGCGCAACGGGGGGAGTCCAAGAGCAAGAGCCCCGGCCTATCAGGGGCCATGAAGCTGCAGCTGCCGAGCCCGATGCAGTCGTGGAAGTCGGCCCGATTCAACCTGTCCAGCATCTTCGGCATGCCTGCTCGCTCATCCATCGACGTGGGTTGGCCTCGAGAAATGGCCATGTCCTGTGCCAAACACGCCCAATCGGTACATTGCGCATGCGAGGCGCGAGCCCTGTGCGAATGGACCCCGGAGTCACCGATTGTCCATGGCCGAGCCTTTGTTGAGGAGGCTCCTCGTCACCCAGGCCGTCTCTATCGCGGTGGGTCCGAAAATATCAATGTCCCGAAGCAGCAAGTCCTCCGGGGCGGCTGTTGAATAATCGTACAACAAAACCCAGCGTGGCCCCCCGTCCAGCATGTTTCGATGCAAATTAGTTTCATCTGCTCGGTCACACAGGCTGTGTTCAGCTTGTCCTGTGGAATCCCCCCGTCTGACACGACTCTCGCCAACGCCATCGCCGCGGACGACCACAGCGTATACATCGATTACCATCAGCACACTCCAAGATGGCGGAAACACCGTCCCTCGAGGGCACCCGACCCTCAGGACTTCCAAATAAGATCCCCTTCTGGCGATTAGTGGCCGAACCAGGCGTGGTCACGCAGGAAGTCGTCGACCACGACTATGCAGGCTCCGGCACCGAAGACGATCCCTATGTGGTGCAATGGATGCCCCGCGATTTTCGCAATCCGCTGCAGTTGTCCAACCGGATGAAGTGGTCGGTGACTCTTGTTGCGGCCTTGGAGACCCTCGTCGTTGCCCTGGTGTCGTCCGCCTATACTGGCGGGATCGTCCAGATTGAGGAACAGTTCTTGGTCAATACGGAGATTGCCACCTTGGGTGTCTCGCTCTACGTTCTTGGTTTTGCAGTAAGTCGGCCTACTCTATCAAACCGAGTGTTGGATATCATGCTGACATGGCACATAGTTGGGCCCGCTTATCTGGGCTCCCATGAGTGAGCTTTTCGGTCGTCAGGTCGTTTTTATTGGTACCTACTGCGGGTTGACCATCTTTTGCGCCGCCTGTACAGGAGCCAAGAACATCGAATCCTTGATTGTCTTCCGTTTTCTGGCCGGCTGCTTCGGCTCGTCACCCTTTACCAACTCCGGCGGTGTTATCGCCGACATGTTCGCGGCGCGCGAGCGCGGTCTGGCTTTGTCGGCCTTTGCCCTGGCCCCCTTCCTGGGACCTGTCATTGGCCCCATCGTCGGGGGGTTCTTGGGTATGAATGAAGGCTGGAAGTGGGTGATGGGCCTGCTGACCATCCTCTGCGGTGCGATGTGGTTCTGTGGCGCTGCCTTCAAGCCGGAGACCTATGCCCCCGTCTTGCTGCGCCAGCGGGCAAAGACTCTGACCAAGCTAACTGGAAAGCTATATGTGAGCAAACTGGATATCGACCAAGGTCGCCCGGATCTGAAAGAGGCCCTGAAGACCTCGCTATCCCGTCCCTTTATCCTCCTTTTCCGGGAGCCTATTGTTCTGCTCCTCTCGATCTACCTTGCGATCATTTACGGTACCCTCTATATGCTGTTCGGCGCATTCCCTATCGTCTACGAGATTCACCGCGGCTGGAATCAGGGCGTCTCTGCCCTGGCTTTCCTCGGTGTTATGATTGGCATGCTCGCTGCGATTGCCTACTCCATCCCAGAGAACACCCGCTATGGAAAGCTTCTGGAAAAGAACGGGGGCTACTCGCCTCCGGAGACCCGTCTTCCGCCATGCATGATCGCATCGCTTGCCTTGCCGATTGGTCTTTTCTGGTTTGCCTGGACGAACTCGCCCTCCATCCACTGGATGGCTAGTATCGCGGCCGGCGTTCCGTTCGGTTTTGGCATGGTCTTGGTCTTCCTCAGTGTTTTCAACTATCTGATCGACGCCTATACTATCTTCGCTGCGAGCGTGTTGGCTGCGAACTCCTTGCTGCGCTCGATGTTTGGCTTTGCGTTCCCCTTGTTCACCACTTACATGTACGAGAATCTGGGCATCCACTGGGCATCCACGGTGCCCGCTTTCCTCGCCCTGGCCTGTGTGCCATTCCCGTTCATTTTGTACAAGAAGGGCCTGTCGATTCGCAAGTACTGCAAGTATTCCGCGCAGTCGGAGGCGTTCGTTCAAAGTTTGCTGCAAGGCACGGAGAAGCCTGCCCTGGAGACGACTGAGGCCGAGGAGCCCAGGTCACCAGAACGGCAAGAAACGGATGTGACCGGAGTGTCATCTTCGGGGTCATCGACCGCTGATGAGGAAGAGTCCCCCCAAGTTCACAAAGTCCACACTACGGATGCCCACTCGGTACATCGCACTCTGTCGCGGGTTGCAACGCACCGTTCGGAGATGCGCGTCCCCGCCTACGAAGGCAATCCGCTTGACATTGATCGGATACACACCCGCGAGTCATTCAAATAAATGGGGTTGGGGAGCTTCCGGCGTTTGGAGAGGGAAAAAGTTGATGTGCTACGTATTTCATTTGCATGTCTGGTGTTTTTGTATGGGCCAGATCCCTATTCTCAACTATTCTGCATAGCTATTTAGTTTTCTCATCAAAGATAATTTAATGTTCTACACTCTCAGCTCCGATAAGATAAAAAAGTCTTTTGGTGACCTTTCCGTCGTATGGTAGTGTTGTAATTAATGTTTTCGAATCTGACATCACAACCCACGCCAGTTGCCGTGGGCGATCAACTGAGGAGCCTTCTATGTACTCAAGGCAGCCACGTATTGTCTATAGCGGTATCAACCTCATACATGGTCTTGCAGGTCATACTGCAATTGACGAGTCGAGAAAGAATAAAACGATGTTATCGGAGTGATTCGATACCTATATAGTATAGTGTATACCACGGATTTCCCTTTAATGCAGTAATATTCGTCATATCAGGATTACTGGTCCCTAAGATCTGGCATTGAAGTGTTCGCGACCAGCACGATCCAAATTTGTGGGTATCAAAACAGAAAGTAAGAATCAAAACGAGACGGCTCATCTAGTGCACACCATGGGTGATGCTGTTAGAGGCTCCATTGGTCACCCCGTATATCTGCATCTTATTGACGTGATCTTGGATACCGCCGAGCTTGTCAAGAGGGACACCCGGGGGCACGCCATTGGAGATGCTGCTCTTCTTGCGCGGGAGGGCGGTCCAAATAGCACCATCGTCCAGGAACAGCTGTCCTGCGGCCAGGGTCTTGGACGACTGCTCACCAAGCCATTGGGCTTCGAGTCGGTCGATGTTGTCCTCAATCTCCCATGAACGGCCGCCCTCGACAACCATAGAAGTACCGTTGAGGGACGAATCGGCCAGCATGCTGGTGGCCACGGTGGACACCTCGCGAGGAGTGTTGGTAGGCAGGTCTGCCAGCTTCCACTGATCTTCGATCTTGCGGATCGCCTCGGTCTCAGTCATCCAGGGGCAGATCGTGTTGATGCGAAGATAGTGCTTATAAGGAGACGAAACGTAGCCGCGCAGGGAGCGCATGAGACCGATTACTCCGTGCTTGGAGGATTGGTAGACAAAGAGGGAGGGACTGTCCTTGAATCCCGAGACACACGAGAAGAGCAAAATGGAGCGATCGACGTTGGGGCCGCGGTTGTGGCGCAGGTAGACGGAGGCGATGCGCGAGACGTACATCGATCCGAGGAGATTGACATCCAGGACTTTGTGGGTGGGAGTCTTTAAGAGAGAACCAATTAGTTACTTTGTTCAAAACGGTTTACGGGCACATGGATATGCGCCACCGATTGGCTTACCTCGCGAACTGTCTCCAGCGTCAGTCCGAAATCAAACCAGTTGCCGATCTCTACGATACCTGCCGCAGAGACGACATGATCGATGCGCTTAAATTTGTTGAAGGCGAAGTCAAAGAGGGCCAGCACCGATTGGTAGTTGGTGACATCAGTCGTCTGGAAGACCACGCGTGGAGGCTGGCCCTCCTCTGGCTGGAACTGTTCCTGGTACTTGCGCTGTAGGCGCTCACCGGCGATATTGTCGAGGTCGCCAACGCAGACATTGGCGCCGCTCTCAAGACATTGCTGGACCAGGCTGGCCCCAATGCCGTTGGCACCGCCTAAAAGATACAGCTGTCAGTCGCGAATACTAGTGGTTACCTAGGCAGCAAGATAGATGCGGGTTGCTACTACATCGTAGTGGCAGTCGCAATTGCGGACCCCCGTGGGGAATCGGAACATACCGGTGATGAGAACAACCTTCTCACGAAGGGACTGGGAGGAGATCTGGGGGATGTACTGCGACATTAGGGGTGGAGAACGAAGTGGGTCGTGACGGGGCGAGCGATCTGTTGATACAAGTCGAGATGGGAGGTTGTGACTGTATTTGCAAGCAGCAAAACTGAGGGGATAAGGCGAACGACAATGCGGGAAGTCCTGGGGGTCTTTATATGGCATCGCTTTCTGGGCAAGCGAAAATGCCTCGCAATCATCAATTGCCCAGAACCGGTAAGCGACACGGAATGGCATCATGGCCGGTACCTCGAACCGGATATTTCGCCAGTGCCGGTGGAGCAGAAGAGTGCGGTAGCTCAGCCGACTTGGGAAACATTGTCTCCATCGAGTCGCTGAGGGCAAATCAAGGGCAGCAGAGGCATTCCAAGTCGCGCAAACGGACCCGCCTTCAACCACCGATCGGCAGCGAACGATGCGGGGGGGTGCCATGACGGCGCGATGCAGCCCACCACGTCTATTACCACTCTGGTGAAGTCGCGAGTCTCCGATCAGGCGCAGTAACTATCCCGGTGACCGCACGGGCGAAGACGGCGGGATTGAGTTGCGGCGCGTGCAAGTGGTGCAGAAGGGAAGTATCGAGAGCCTTTCCGGCTAGTACATAGCAGGTCATGGCCCATCCGCACATCCATATGAAGTGACTGCAGGAGAGTGTAGGGTAAGGTTGATCAACCCGTGGTCTCTCACACCCTGGCACCATTCAGGGCCAGCTATTGGCGCCACGCTCGGATGGCTGTCCTCCGGCTGCGGCAGACGAGCAGCATGAGGCCGCTAAAGGCCCGCTGCAACGCTCGAGCACCCGAACCGCCGACGGGCTCAGCCTCGACGACCAGGGGGGCTTGGACGAATCCAACATCATTGTCTGTGCGTGGCTCGAGAAAGAAGGTATTCCGGGCGGAGCAGAAGAGGGACAGATGCGGGAGGAGACGAGGTGGTTTCGGCGGGCGGTCATGTCATCAAGGGGGGAGGTTCGCGGGAGAGCAGAGGACCCCGTCTGTCTACTCTACAATATCAATGTACATACTGTACATACTGGTGCATTAGTGTACGACTACAGACAGGATCGCGTACATCGAGTCCACTTCTCCACGATCCTCGCAGATCCCCCAGACACTCAGGGAAACACTGGAGACGGTGGAGACAGGGAACGGCATGGGCGTCAAGAGTCGAGGAAAAGAAAAGAATCCATTGTATTTCCATATGCTCTGGGCTATTAAAACCGATGCTGCGCAGTGAAGATCATTCCCCCAAGAATCATACAGGCGGTGACCACCGCGCAACGGGGCCTCGCGGGCTGAGGGAGTGGCAAACCCCCGGCCGTCCGCCACGATCGAGGCCCTGAACTAACGTTCAAAACAAAAACATCCAATCACCAAATACCCGGTGAGTCATCCCATTCTATAGCACAAGACACCCACCCCGAAAACCCCCTTAAGACGTGAAGAATCGGCCCGATCAAGGGCGATGGTATGTACAGCAGCGGTCGCAGGCCTAAGAGGCGGGCTTAGCGGCGGGAGACGCAGCAGAGAATGCCCGACTTGCCCAGGAACCAGAGCGAGCCGATGAAACGGAACAGGGACAGACCCGCCGTCGTCCACAGAATGGCCGAGAAGTAGTTGGAGGTCCGCACCGTGGAGGTGTTGGTCAAGCAGAACCGGTCGATGCCGGTGGCCGTAATGCACAGCACGACAACCAGGTTGCTGAAGATCCAGAGCAGCACCAGGTTGGTTCGGAAGGCCTTGTACGAGTCGTTCATGTCCTTTTCTTCGTGTTCCTCGGGCTCCACAAACGGCGCCAGCGCCCGCTTGACTGTCGCCTCGAACTGGCTGTCGATATCGGCCTGTGGCTTGTCCACTTCCTCAATGAAGTTCGACTTGCCGTCGTCCTTGGCCGTCTTGGCCTCCGGCAGCGCCTCACTCTTGTCCGATCCCTTGGTACCCCACGACACGTCGTGCCAGTTGCAGAAGGCGTAGACCATGAGAATGTTGATCGAGCACGTCATACCGCCGAAGTAGGCCCACGATGAGGTGAACATGTGCCAGGGGTCCATGTACAAGAAACTGGCCACGAAGTACACACCGTAGGTCGACACCAAGGCGATCAGAACAATACCGGCACCACTGGAACTGAAGAAGGACTTGAGGAACACGCCGACACCCTTGCTCATATCGAAATCCAGGGTACCTCCCGTGAAGGCGTTCTTCACAAGGTAGAATGACAAGACGAGGATGTAGCATTGAACAATCGAGAAGTAGATGAAGGAGAGTGTGTAGGCGAGACGGGAACCTTTGGGTCGATTACCCAGCGCCAGAATAAACTGGAGCATCAGGAAGAACACATAGCCATATTTCAGGAAGTTATTAACGATGGGCGAAGCGTCATTACCGAAAGGCCAGCCTTTGTTTTTATTCGCCGCACTTGGTGTTCCCACCAAATCCATGATGACCGATGTTGTAAGCCAGAACGAAGCTAAGAGGTGATTAGTAGCATATTCTCAGTTAAAGAGGAGATGCAAGGGCGACACATACCGAGAGAAAACCAGGTCATAACCAGACCAGCACAGTTATAGATCATTTGAATGTGAAGGAAGAAGAGACGGATAATGTTATGGCCAGACTTGTAGATACGGCCAAAGTGCATAATGGCATACAAACTGGCAGCGAATGAACCGTTCAACCAGCGACGACGTTGACTGATGAATTCCGCAGAACCTTCGGGCACATCAGTCTCACCCTTAGACGCCTTGACATAGGTCAAATGCCACTTGAAACCAGCCTTGGCCACCAGCTCGAAACAGAGGATACGATCCTCGGCAAGGAACATGTTCTTCTTGAAAATGTTCATGCCCTCAATACCCTTCTTGCCAAGTTGTTTCGAAAGGGTGTGGTCACCGTGGAAGTACTGCTCAAGGGGCCGGCCCATAATTGCACGATACCGGTAGGCCGAGAAGGCACCAGGTAACACACTGACGTACCCGAAGGCACTCTCCAGAGGTTTATCAAGAATATTGGAGATCTTGTACTCGAAGTTCTGAGCAGCAACCAGCGGGTTCATCAGGTTCTTCCAGCCCTTACCCAACATGGCATGGATCTCACCACAAGATCCGCCCAGGTTTTTGTCGTTGTAGAATGACTCCCAGAGGGCCAAGAGGGATTTCTTGCCAGGCTTAGTACCCGCGTCAATCAGGATAACCACCTCAGGGTTCAGTATACGGCAAAAACCATTGAAGAGCCAGCGGTGGGAGTTGATCTTCTTGCTGTTCTTTTGCTTCAGGCAGAAAATCATTTGCACCGGCGGGAGGTTAGTTGATTCATTGCCCTGTGGCCGAATCAACTGTTGGTTGGAGGTGACCGATAGCTGAGTAGTGTACTCGAAGATATGGGCAAGTGTTTCGCGGCCGTCAACAGATCGTTTCATGATACCATCTTGATAGATGCCAACGGTGGCGAGCATATCGAGGGTGTTCTTATCGCAAGGGTCGATACCATCAAAAACCAGGGAGCACACAATCTTCTGCCACGCGGGGCCTCCCTTGTTCCAGAACTCCGACTTTTTGAGGTTGACAATATCACGAATATTCTGCATGACACCGTGCAGCGTGCGTGCCGTCAGAACCTTGTCCTCGTTGTAATAGGTGATGGCAATCAGAAGCTCGGTGTGTCGGTTGTACATGGCAGGGCGCAGGTTGTAACCGTTTCGCAAGGTGAACTCGTCGGGGTCACAAGTCGCAGCAGTATCTGGTCGTTCGTGAGTTACAAGCTTCAACACCAAGGGCGATCGCAATACATACAACGCAGGTGCGAAAACTCTTCCGGGAATCCCTCTTCCGATTCGCGATATTCCCGCTGAATCGCATTTTGGATGGCACTGGGCACAGGGTAATCCACACTCAGCACAGAGCCCTGCACGAGTTTAATCTTACGGGTTGCATAGCGGCGCAAACCCGATGCAGGCGCATTGCGCTGCTGCCAGGCATCTGAAGGGGTCTCCGATGCGGGCGTCGAAACACCCGAGCGACGATGCAGGCCCATGTTGGGGTCCTGTCCACCAGCGAAGATCGCGGGGCCAGTATCTTGAAGGGAGTACCGTGTCATTCCATCATTCATCGAGTCGGACACGCTCAGAGGGCCGGGGCTCGCGGCGTGATGACGCTGTTGGTAGGGGTTGGGACTGGTCGACATCCCGCGTTGTGGGTAGAAGCCGGTATTAGCTTCCTCCCCGTGGCCGAGGAAAGGCATGGCGGCATCAGAGTGCTGTGCCTCGGGGTGGCTGTAGGCGTCCTCATACTGTTCAAGATTGTCTCTATCAGCATATCTGTTGCACCCTGGAGGACCAGAGGATTGTCACTTACCGGAGGCGCGGTGGAAGAAAAGTCACTCTCACTCCGCCCGTGGAAGGGCGACTCATATGGTGAATGGGGTTCATGAGGGGAGGTCGGCATGGGGGGACCCATTGTGCTCAGCTCCCCAGGAGTTGGGAGGGGTGCTCTTCAGGGACAATCGAGGGATGTCAAGGAAGTCTTTTGGGCGAAAGGGAGACTCAAAGAGAGAGAGAGAGAGCTCGCCGTGTTGTATGCTTCAACCGACAGGCAAGCGGAAGTAGAGAAAGGCAGCGTAACGAAAGAAAGAGAAGGGGAAAAAAAAATGAGTTGCTGGGGCCAGCGCTAGAACATCCAGGGAGAATAATGCCAGATCTCCTGGACACAGCCGGTAGCCTCGCGAAGATCGGGCGATCCGTCTGAAAAGTGGGCTGTAAGTCTTCCAAGGCGCGAGGCGGATGAGCGACAGGCGTTGCAACAGAAGGCGGCTTCTACCTCAGGGTAGAAAGGTAGGAAAGAAGGTTGTCGCGGCTAAGAATAGGGACGCGGATTCTTTTCTGGAAGCACTGTAGGGCCAGGCCGCACCAGCATAGCCAGGAAAGATATTTTTGGTTCAGATTTTCATAGGCGGCGATGCACAGGGAGGGTGGAGGCACTGGCAGCGCCTGTCGTTCGTCATCCGCACTCTGGCGACCCCACCGGGGCCCGCGTCCGAGACACGCTCTGCACCGTTGTTCCCCTGCGCCAGGACCAGCTCCTTTGCCACAGGCTGAGTCGTGGCCCAAGAATAGCGCCGATGGCCCTGTACCGCGGGCGCGAGTTGGACTCCGAGGCCCCGAGCGAGCCGACGCTGTCATGACTCGTTGGCGATGAGGAAGATGGGCGGGTCACGATGCAACGCGTATGCACATTGGCTTGAGAGGCTGGCGGGACCCATCGGAAGGTCCAATGTAATCCTCGCGGTGCCCTGGTGCTATCCCTTTCTCCAGGGGAACGCATCTCCGGGAGGTTTGTTCTCGGATCAAACCGATCGTCTTCCCTCCATTGTGCCAACTGCTTTGTTCATGATGTTCTTTCCGTATCTTCAACGGCAGGCTGCAACGCCTCTCCAAGCTAAAACCCACAGCCGCGGGCTGAGGAGCCGAAAATTGCCGGAGGATGACGACAATGGCGGAGGGCAACGATCGGCCGTGCCCAGGGGGCGCATTTTAATATGGTGGCCCACATGTGATCCACTGTGCGTGGAATGAAGCCGAGCCATTGGGCTGGGGGAGGGCTGGGAAGAGCCGCCTCGTGGGTGTGAGAGTAAGCAGGATGAAGGCGCGAAAAGAGATGGACCAGGGTCTATGCTCGTGAGGGTAAAAGCCTGAGTCTGACCAGACCGTGACGGCATGGGATGGAAGTAATATAGAAAAAGCCATCTCAATTCGGAGACTGAATTTCACAGATGATGGGAACCGAAACGCGCGGTATCATACCATGCGATCAGGTGACTTTCCTCCCTCGCGACCCATCTCAGTGCCTTTCGCTCGAGATATATATATATCATCTTTACCGATCTAGATGTATACACAGTGTTATTCCTAAACACGGGGCCATCCGAACCACTATTACACACTGTAGTACATGGCTTTATGTAGGAGCGTTTCGAATCTACGTCAATCGTGCTCTGTAAAAACCAGGTGTGGTTTTTGCGCAAGGCATGATTCGGACTGTAAGTGTTCCTAGTCTTCAGAGAGCTCGGGGCTTCACAATTGATCCTACCACGACACCACAGTGCCCAACAAACTTGCGATACACAAGCATCATACCGACAACACATTCAATCGCTACGCGCTACAATATTGTACCTGTTTCGTCGTAAACCTGGCATGGGTTCCGCATGGGACGAATGGCTCACCCATGCCGAGGTCGATATCATAGACCTATTAAGATACTAAGCCAGGCCAGACTTGGCCGACGAAGATGCTTCGTTGAAACTTATTGCATATTGACAGAATCCGAATTTCCCTTTTAGATAGGTACCGGTACCCCTGGGGAAGGTTTGAACCGTTCCAAGTGATGGATGGAACCCCGTCGGACCGAAGATAAGCCCGTGGGGAGCGATAAGCCGCCCCGCCTTTCCCCAACCTCCAACTGGGAAGTTACCGCCGGGTTGACCTCACACTCTTCACCTCGACTACTTGGCCGTTGAGCATGTGCTTGCGATGGTCCATGGAAAAGGTGCACGACGCGTGGACCGCAACGCCCAGCGGTCGATGGTAGCGTACGTGCCTTTCTGATCGGGAATGCAAGATCGACGCTGATCCATGCAGGTGCAATCGATGTCGCAGCCGCAAGACTCGCTGCGCGGGCAATCCGCCGCTCCCTTGCGCGGCATGTGTGGACGTGGGCCAGATGTGCGTGTATTCAGAGGCGGAGAAGCGTGTTTCCATTACAGAGAGGTCAGTAATGCGACTGCAACCACCACCACGATGACTACCACCGTCGGGAATGTCAGGAATGCTGGATACTCACACGTTGCAGTTACTTTCGCCAATTACAGTCACAAGCCCGGACACCCCGTCCCCCATCCGCGGCTACGAATGCCAGTCCAAGTTCCGATAGTCCAATTGTCCCGAATTTTTCCAATGCGCCCCGAGATCCCGAGATCGGGAACGAGTCCAACCGTCCGACCCCATCCAGTGTGCCGTCCACCGTGGGCCGATATCCCGAAAGCGAGGTACCCCTGGAGCGGGATGACTGGTGGTATAAGGGGACCGATAATTTGTTTTTGAATCGATTGGGAGAACACCGTATGTGCTCTGCGGATTGCGATCTTGGGTACCCTGGCTCCTTTCTGACAGAGACTAGACTTCGTGGGCGCATCGTCAACCACCCATCTGGCGAAACGCCTCAACCCGGACTCGTCGAACCTCGCGTGGGATGTGCGTCCTCTCTATGATGACCCTTCATCGCTGAGGCGCCCCGTGGCGGGCGCACTGCCACAGCTTCCACCCTTCGAGTTTGCGAAGCGCCTCTTCTGGGTACAGTATGCATACATTGGTACCATTTTTTCCTTGATCCACCCGAGGGAATTTGAAGAACGACTGGACTTCGTATACCACCAGCCCCCGGATTTCTCGCACCGGGAAACATGCCTCGTGTATTGTCAGGCGTTGCTCGTAATTGCCTTCGGCTTGATGTATTCGGTCAACCAATGGTCGGGCGATGACGGGCCACCGGGCTTCAAGTACTTCAAACACGCCTTGCGGTTCCTTCCGGACATTCACGAGGAGGGCTCCATCTTCTTCGTCGAGGTCCTTTGCTATGTTGCATACTACATGCAAAATCTCAACCGGCGAGATGCCGCCTTTCTCTACGTAGGTTGAGTTGAAAATTTGCCCGTCGCTCTCCTGAGGATAGAAAAGGCAGCTAATTTGCACTAGATAGGACTTGCTCTTCGCATGGCCATTTCGCTGGGACTTCACCAGGAAGTATCCGATCCGGGTATAAGCGCGACGGACCGCAATCGCCGCCGGCGGGCCTGGTGGTCGGTTTATAGCTTGGACCGGTAGGTAGTCCTCCTCGAAGACGTGTGGAGCTCTGTCTCATTCCTTGTCATGATGTATAGGATATTATCAGTCAAATCCGGCAACCCAATTACGATTCACGATGAAGATATTGGCATCACTTGGCCAGCTGCACTGGCAAGTCATATTCATAAGAAATTGTCATGCACAAGACAACTAACCCGTATCATAGGATGGCTCTACTTCAGACCCTTGGCCTGGAACTGTCTTGACTCACTATACCCAACTTTCCAGGATCTTGGGGCGGATAGGCGAAGGTAGATAAATTCGAAAATCCCCTCATTGTTTCTTCTTGGTTCGTGCACTGACACATGGGCAGAGATCTACCGAAAAAAACCGCGATCCGGGTCCAATCTTATCATGTCAGTACAGAGTATCACAAACGACCTCTCTGGCTGGTTGCGGCAGGTACCTGATCGTCTCCGAATCGATTTCACCACTCTCGATACTCATATCAACCGAGAGTCGGTGTCGATTAACCTGCACTTTTATTCGTGCGTAAACATGACTGCGCGCCCGCTGGTGTTTTACGTCATTCAGCGAAGGCTAGACGCAGGAATTCTCGGTTCGTCTGCCGAAGACTGGAAGGAAGGCCTGGCGCCCAATACGGTTGCGGTGATCGATAGCTGTATCACGGCTGCTCGTGCGACTACTATGATTATGGATGCGGCTGCAAAACAAAACCTTATTGGTGAGTGATCAGAGTTTAGTGACTTAAGACTACTAGTAGAGCTGGAGTTCTCTTCGCTCCCTCAATTCCTCTCGGGTCTCATTGTGAAGCTAATATTGTAATCTCACAGCGACCTATGGTTATCTAGACGGTGAATACATTTTCTCCGCCGCGCTACTCCTCGTGATGGTGAATGCTGCATTCCCCCACCTTGAAACAAATGCTCGGTCGATGGAAACTGCGCTCAACCTTTTGCGCAGTATGGCTGATCGCGGGAATACGTATCTTGGCTCGCGCCACTCTCTCCTCCTCGAACTACGAGCAGCCATAGGACCCAAGCCCGTGGTAAACGATGTTCCTGGCTCAAGCGCTGTAATGGATGCCCCCGCAACTACTAATAGTGGACAGGCTACTGGGACTGCCATGCCTGAACCCGAGCTTCAACCTTCAGTAATAGCCGAAGAATGGCAACCCTCCGACCTTCCGTCGTTCCAGGATATCTCATTCCAGTTCGACCTCAATGATGATCCAGCACTGTGGGAGGGGGCGTTGAACCAGATCGACATTGACATGGATACTGACTGGATCGAAAACACCTTGAAGCGATAAATGTATCATAAGAACAACTTAAAACTGTATACCTATCAATCATTTTTAATCATGGATATCAAATATACTAATATGATATACCCCAGTAACTGTCTCATAATTGGACCATGCATCCAATCATATCATGTAAACATCTGAAATGTTTCTTCAGGCAATTCAGGCAACCGACATATCTATCAAATCGAAACTGCCCCTCCACGCCCCGCAGGAGCATCAAGCACCGCATCCTCAATCCTTTCTGCCATTTGATCTTCCTTTGGTTGAACAGTATTTCCACTTACCCGAAAGATTAGTGTTGCTTCTCGAAACTGAATTATTTCCCCCGTCAATAGATAGCTAATCTCTCTCGCACCCAACGACAAACGTTCTCCTCATCGGCCGGTCGATCTCGGCCCGACGCCCCCGATGTGGTCACGTGTCGGCCCGATGACCATACACGCCAATGGTGAAATCCGGGGGACTTCTTAGAGAGACTGTCCCAGGGTGGTTGGTATATTAGAAGGCGTGCCCCGCCTGGAGCTTGTCCCATAATCCATCACCATACCTCATATCACTTCCCCAGCACCCTCCCAAGATGGCTGACTCCGGGAAGATCACCATCTCCATCGACCGCGGGGGAACCTTTACCGATGTCCACGCTATTGTGCCTGGTCATTCAGATATTATCCTGAAGCTCCTCTCGGTCGACCCCGCACATTATCAAGATGCCCCAACCGAGGGTATCCGCCAGATTCTCGAGCTCGCGACCGGTGAGCCTCATCCTCGTGGGCGACCACTGAAGCTCGACCGTATTGGATGCCTTCGCATGGGCACCACAGTGGCCACCAATGCCTTGCTGGAGCGCAAAGGAGCGCGTTCAGCCCTGTTCACCACTAAGGGCTTCCGTGATCTGCTCAAAATTGGTGACCAGTCCCGCCCTGCTATCTTCGACCTGACCATGGCACGCCCTGGAGTGCTCCCAGAGGAAGTCGTGGAAGTCAACGAGCGAGTGGTTCCGTGCCACCCTGCAGCAGATAGCGATTGTTTCTCGGGCGCTCGCGTGGTAGAGGGCATCACCGGCGAGAAGTTCCGTGTTGTGCAAGAATTGGACCTTGCCCACGTGCGATCGGAGCTGCAGCGCCTGAAGGAAGCAGGCTACCAATCACTCTCAGTGGCACTTGTGCATTCATTCGCCTACCCTGATCACGAACGCCAAATTGGAGAGATCGCTGAACAAATGGGGTTCTCGGTCACACTGTCGTCCAAGCTCCAGCCGATGATCAAGATTGTCCCTCGCGGCATGTCGGCGGCTGCCGATGCCTACCTGACTCCCGTCATCAAGACATATATCGACTCAATTTCATCGAGCTTTGAAGGTGGACTGGAAAAAGAACAGGATTGCCGGTTCGAATTCATGCAGTCAGATGGCGGTTTGGTCGACTTCCGCAAATTCAGTGGCCTGAAGGCCATTCTGTCTGGCCCCGCAGCTGGTGTTGTTGGCTTTGCGGCTACAAGTTGGGACCCCGTTGAGAAGACACCAGTCATCGGCTTTGATATGGGAGGCACATCTACAGATGTGTCACGTTTTGATGGCCATTTGGAGCATGTCTTCGGCTCGAAGGTGGCTGGAGTCTTAATCCAATCCCCGCAACTCGATATCAACACGGTCGCTGCTGGTGGTGGTTCGATTCTCACCTGGCGCAATGGTCTCTTCTATGTTGGCCCCGAATCTGCCAGCGCCCATCCTGGCCCAGCTTGCTACCGAAAAGGTGGTCCGTTGACCGTGACCGACGCGAACCTGTTTTTGGGTCGATTGCTTCCCGAGTACTTTCCTCACATCTTTGGACCCAACGAAGACCAACCCCTCGACACCGAAATCACAGCACAGAAGTTCCACGACTTGACTCACAAGATCAATGTTGAGCGTCGTCACCATTTCCAGCCAGAGTACACCCCAGAGGAGGTTGCGCTTGGGTTTCTTAAGGTCGCTGACGAGTCGATGGCCCGGCCGATCCGCAATCTTACCGAAGCTCGTGGCTTCGAGACTGCTTCCCACCACCTGGCATGCTTTGGTGGTGCTGGTGGTCAGCATGCCTGTTCTGTGGCTGACTCACTGGGGATCTCTCGCATCATTGTCCACAAGTATTCTTCGATCCTGTCAGCGTATGGCCTAGCCCTAGCCGAGGTGGTGAAAGAATCCCAAGAGCCAGTGTCCACCGACTACCTGTCTTCTCACGCAGACCTACTTCAACGCTTTGATAACATGGCTTCTGTTGCCACCAGCGAGATGCAATCACAAGGATTCCCTTCCAGCCAAGTGCGCCACGAACAGTACCTGAACATGCGGTATGAAGGCTCCGACACCAGTCTCATGATCCTGCGGCCTGAGAACTCGTCAGATTTCATGGCAGAATTCCGTGAGCGTCATCGTCGCGAATTTAATTTCAACTCTGAACGTCCGGTCCTCGTCGACGACATTCGTGTACGCACAATTGCTTCGTCCAAAGTCCGCACGGAGCGAAGCCCCTTGGTACAACTGAAGGACACTACCATCCACGATGTGAAAACGGCCCCGGCAAACACGACAACTGCCTATTTTGATGGCTACTCGAAACGCGTGGACACGCCAGTTTACCTGCTTGATCAGCTAGAGAAGGGATCCCGAGTGGCTGGTCCTGCTGTGATCATCGACAAAACCCAGACAATTGTCGTTGTTCCCAATGCAGTGGCAAACCTCCTTGAGACCTGTATTGTCATTGACCTACAAGATAAACTAGCTGTCCCTGTCTCTGAGACCCAGGTCTCCTCAGAGATTGACCCCATCCGACTCAGTATCTTTGGTCATCGATTCATGTCTATTGCCGAGCAGATGGGCCGGACTTTGCAGAAGACGTCTGTTTCGACTAACATCAAGGAGCGCTTGGATTTCTCTTGTGCCCTATTTTCTCCCGACGGAGGACTTGTTGCAAACGCTCCGCATGTCCCGGTCCACCTGGGATCTATGCAGTTTGCCGTCCGCTACCAGCACGAAAAATGGCTGGGCAATCTGAAGGATGGCGATGTGCTTGTAGCCAACCATCCTACTTGTGGCGGAACTCACCTTCCTGACATCACTGTGAGTCGCTATTTCCAATTGGGCCAACCTGCGATACCACTGGTATCACGGTATCAGTGCTAACGTCTAGAATAGGTCATTACCCCTGTCTTTGACCGACCGGGGGGAACCGAAATCATGTTCTATGTTGCCTCGCGTGGTCACCACGCCGATATTGGTGGAATTCTCCCAGGATCGATGCCGCCCAAGTCTACTGAGCTGTGGCAAGAGGGTGCTGCCATTGAAGGTGACAAGATTGTCAGTAATGGTATCTTGGACGAGGCGCGTCTCATTGAATTGCTGGTCACCAAACCGGCCCAGTACCCCGGTTGTTCCGGCGCGCGCTGCATCAGTGACAATCTGTCCGATCTCAAGGCTCAGATTGCGGCCAACACTCGCGGTATAAGTCTGATCCAAACACTCTTTACCGAGTATGGAGTAGAGACTGTTCAGAAATATATGTACGCCATCCAAGCGACCGCTGAAACCGCTGTGCGCAATCTCCTCAAGGGACTATGTCAAAAGTTCGGTGGTCAACCCTTAGAGGCAGTTGACTACATGGACGACGGTACCCCTATTCGCCTGAAGGTTACCATCGATGGAAACGATGGCTCAGCAGTCTTCGACTTTGCGGGCACCGGACCAGAAGTGTATGGCAGTTGGAATGCGCCCATCGCGATCACACACTCGGCTATTATTTACTGCTTGCGCTGTATGATCAACGCCGATGTTCCGTTGAACCAAGGCTGCCTGGCTCCTATCGATATTCAGGTCCCCTCTCCCAGCATTCTGTCCCCCACCAAGACGGCTGCCGTGGTCGGTGGCAATGTGGTCACCTCACAACGCATCACAGATGTTGTCTTCAAGGCCTTCCAAGCTTGCGCGGCCTCTCAAGGCTGCTGCAACAATCTGACCTTCGGCACTGATCCCAAAGTTGATCCCGACACTGGGGCTGTGATCAAGTCTGGCTTCGGGTACTACGAGACCATTGCTGGCGGCAGTGGTGCCGGGCCAACCTGGAAAGGTGAATCTGGCATTCATGTTCATATGACCAACACCCGTATCACCGACCCTGAGATCCTTGAGAAGCGCTATCCAACATTGCTCCGTCAATTCACTCTGCGCGAGGGATCTGGTGGCCAAGGCAAGAATCCTGGAGGCGAGGGTGTGATCCGAGACATCGAGTTCCTTGCACCGATCCAATGCTCGATCCTTTCCGAGCGGCGTGTGCATCGGCCTTATGGCCTGGAAGGTGGCGGGGATGCACAGACTGGTCTGAACCAGTGGATCACCAAGGATGCTGAGACCGGCCAGGAGCGTCGCATCAATATTGGTGGCAAGAACACGGTCTCCATGAAGACACATGACAGAATCCTCATCATGACTGCCGGTGGCGGTGGTTGGGGTGCAGTAGAGGCAGCAGCATAAAATTGTTCGATAGAGAACGACATGTGATAGTATGAAACATATTTATATGAGCTAGAGCGTTTGGACGATTACGAGACTAAAAGAAAATAATCCGAAAAATGATATTCCCACTTAGAGTACTGACCTGTCTATGCAATGTGTTCTCCCTGAAATCACCAGTCTTTGGAATGCGAGTCAGCTCGTCGTGAGCTCACGAACGCCGGCGCAGTGCGGATGCAATGATAACCAGTTCAAACCGAAAGTAAGTACAAGGAAGATGACAAGACATGAAAGAATCAAGAAGGGATCGCCAGATGTCATGATTACTCTACTACAATGCGGCCCTCTAGTCGGGGAGAGATGCCAGAAGTCCATGAAGGCGTGAACTCACCCTCCCCGTCCATGGTGCTGAGATTATTTGGCTGTAGACCAGCGTGTCGCATCCATTTGCGCACCACACATCGAGCCAGACACAAACGATGATCCTCATCGGCCGAAGACCGGGCAGGCTGAGTGACATAGTTGGTTCGTGGCTGAGGAGAGGTTAGAATGTCGGGATCATCATCCGAATCAGAGTCCATCTCATCGCTATTTGTCCCATTGTCATTGCCTTTGATGGACACCGAAGTAGTGACAGTAGCCTCTTCTGCCTCTTCGGGAAAGCGCCCGTAGTAGTAAGAAAGCCGAGCTGTTCGCTGAAGAGGTGGCCGCGACATCAGGCGATGGGCGGGCGCCTTCTCGGAGACAGGAGATGCACCGGCGGAGGGCGGTTTTAACCAGCCCTCGCCATGCAGATTGCGATGCACCGAACCCCAGTGTCGATGAAGACTAGCGCTCCATCTCTGCCACTTGCCGAGAACCTTGAGGCTCATAAAATATTGTCGCAAGATTGTGCTGATCAAAACACCATTCTCTTCACACACGAGCTCCTCTACCTCACCCCCCTCGGATTTGACCAATAGGGAAGAGAACCCGTCTTTACCACGGCCCATATATCCGCGTGTCGCTACAACGTATTGCTTCTGAAGATCAATGGGGTTGCCACCGACGCGAGCAAAGGTGATACGGGATCCCCCGGGGCATCCAGCTTGTATCCAAACGAGATGTTTGACACCTGAGTGAAGCGGCCTTCCAGAGCAGGCAGCTGACTGACTCCATTCTCGAGCGCCTCAAGTAGTGCCTGGCCCCGCACCCGCAGCAGAACGACAGGGTCCTCGAAAGGAAAGCAATTAAGCAGGTCTTTCAATCGAAGAACACCCGGAGGATAGATCTGGTCGCCACGAATGGTCCCTCCCGCCATCATGGCACAGTCGGCAGCATAATAGAACCGCATCAAATCACAAACAAAGTTGCCCAAATTGGATTCTCTTTGGCGTACCGTTGAAAACCGACCGTCCAGAGGTGTCACAGTGTAGCCCACCGGCTTTTCCAACTTCGCTTTGAGGCTCGAGGTGAGCCGCTCTACGAGCCGGACTGTTTCGGGGTCTTCTGGTATCGAACGCACAACGTCTCTTCGTGTGATATTAAAGTCCCATCCTGACGTTCCGCCAGCTTTGCGAAAGCCTTCAATGTAGCTGAGTTGCTTGAAGTCGGTGCCTGACCGTAGTACATGGGTGCCATTTACAACGGCATGGGCGTAATAATGATCATGCCCACCCAAAATGATATCGACTAGCCCAGGAGGGAGATTCTGTGCCAATTTGTTGTCATTGGGTTCACGTTGATGTGAGACAACGATCACCAGCTCCGCTCCTTGCTCTCGCAGTCGTGGTGCCAATTGCTTGGCAGTTTCAGATGCGGATTTGTAGATCAAATCAGGTGGAAGGGAATTGATCGTTCCAAGCCTGAGGCCGAGTCAGTATAAGCGTGGTTTTTGACGGAGGGGAATCTTATCACAGTGGCTTACCATTCTCTCTCCCCAAGCCCGATCACGCCGACCTTAATCCCGTTCGATGAGGTCAGCATGCAGGTTTTCCCACAATTGGCGATGGGCACGTCCTCTCCAAGCGCGGGGTCTAGGACATTGGCCAATAGCCACGGAAAGTGACATTGGCCGGCCAGATGTCGAAACTGCGCCACGCCAAAGTCGAGATCATGATTCTGACCAGATCAGCAGATACTCTTAGACTAACATCCAACTCGTACTTACCCCAACACATGCCACGTCGGTTCCCACCTTGTTGAGAAATGGCACCATGTGCCTTCCTTTGGTGACTGTACTTTCGAGACTGGGGTTGAAGGCATCGCCAGAGAAGAAGGTGAGGGCGTCAGGCTGCCCGGCAAACCTCGGATCGGTGCGGTAATAGTTCATAAGGGATTGGAACCGGGGTACGCCCCCGATGGGCTCGGCAGATCCAGGTCTGGACACAATGTATTAGCCCATTGCCTTTAAGTTGTTTTGGTCCCTGAGGAAGCCGACGAGAGTTGGACCATTCATACTCGACGTGATACACATCATTGTAGTGGATCAGCCGCAGATCCGGGGCGCCATTATGATCCGAGGCATATGTGACGGAGAGACCGTCGGATTCGAGGATTGACATGGAATGATCGACAAGGGGCTTACAACCTATGAGCAATGGGTGGAGCAGACGGAGGAGAGGTGAAAGAGAGAAGGTGGGCTGTTTACGAGGGGAAGACGGGCCCCGCGGTGAATCTGGGGAACCACCACTGGTGCCTGGTGGCCTTGGTGCCTTTATGCCTGAGGCTTGTAAAATGTGCCTGAGAAAAGTGGTGTTGAATTTGAGATGAGTCCAACGATACTAGAAACAAAGATGCTTGATAGAACGCCCGGCGCCATGCAGTGAGGTATCCTAAACAAATGGAAAGGGATGTACAATCATGAAAAGAAAATACAATAAAAGAACGAGCCTTGTCACAGCTTCTGTTCCGTCACTGTCCAACGGCGTCTCGCAGATGCCTCGCGGTCCTCCAGTGAGGGTGCGCTGCCCCAAAGGCCACGCTGGGAACTTGTCCGTTTGGGCAACTGTTTTGTCCAGGTCGGTTTGCTAGCACTGGTCTCAGCAGGCTCTTCCTTTGAGGTCGAGTTGTGGCTAGAGGGCCGAGGGTCACCAAAGTTTGGCACCAGGTCGTCCGCATCGTCGCCTTTGTTGATGGATGGCGAGGCCGAGCCCCAGAGACCAGATGGACCCCGGGGAAGAGTTGATGAACGCGGGGTCATTGACCAGGTGCGAGGACTAGTTCCTGGCCCTGGGACATTCGCTGCAAGTCCCGGCGAAGACGCAGCGCCAGTTGCAGTCACGATTGGCTTCGGGCGCATCGCAAAAGTGCCTTGAACCATTGACGGGCGAGAGCCGAGGCGATTGCGATAGGTGGGGACCGCAGCCGCAGCCCGCGCAGGGGGGCCGAGGGAGACGAGAGGGAAGTGAGCTTGGAGGGGTTCACCCCCGCGCGTAGATGATCAGTCGACGCCACCAGCTGCAGTGCATACTCCTGGGCCACAGGCCGATCCTCGTGACGACCAGGTGGGGCCTTGCCCTCCGAATTGGGCGTGGTGCTTTTGAGCCGGTCTTGTCGAACAGCCATGGTCAGCGACGCCGTGTTGATGTCGAGTAGCACTGGATGGCCAGCGAGCGAGCTAATCAAGGCATTGCAGTCAGCTCCGTGGGTGATGATAATGACGACGGTCTGAGCATTGCTGTTTTTGCGGGCGAAGCCATGAGACATGGCCCTGGACAGATCCACGGGGGAGTTTTTCGGCTGGCGGTACCAGTCCACCATCTTCCGGAACCCGCCATGAACTCGCTCGTGCATGCTGCTCCATTCTTCGCCATACTCGCCACCTGTGCCCCAGTATGGCGCCCGGAGACTATCCCACATGTAATCGATCTTTGTACAAGCGTCCCGCGCATGAGCCACGTAACCCGCTGGAATGGGATCCGAGGTCGAAATGGCATAGCTGGGTGTCGGAGGTACATAGGCAGAGTCCGCGATCGACGGGAGGTCGGTATACAATCGACCCGGACGTTTGGGGCCACCGTTCGGTTGGGTAGGGCGCTGAAGAGATTCGCTGTTCGATCGTTGCCGTGGTGCAGATTGCCCCGCAGCGGCTGCAGACCCTTGCGACTGCAGGCGGCGGTTCTCCTCCTCGTCCTCCTCGTTGGGGGTTGTGGGGTGGGACTGGCTACCCCAGCCGCCTGGGAAGTGACCCGACAGGGCCCTGGTACCTTCGCGGGGTGTGAAAATGATCTCGCCGCGACGGAGCAGCTCAGCCTTGGCCAAGGCAACCATTCGATCCGCGGCCGGAGGTGGTGTAATCTGGTCAAAATAGTCGGGTGACAGCCATTCGCCTAAAAACGCGTCGACGCGGAGAAGAGTCCGGGGATCCGAAGCAGTGGTTTCGATCATGGGGAGAGGCGCAGCGCTCAGATCGTCTGGCGTTTCCGCGCCCGAACGAAACTGGTTGATGCCCGCGCTGATTGCGACGGAGGTCTGAAGACATCGGAGATAAGGGGAGGTATGAATGACCACGTTGTACCGGTCGAAAAGGTCCGAGTCTGCCTGAAGCTGCGTTGGAGGGTCCGATTCGGGCGACCGGCCGTTTTGGTTTTCTGGGCCGGTTCCTGTGTACTCAGAAGCCTGTAACAGACTAGCTATGCGCACTCCGAGAGCGCGAGACTGCAGCCAGCCGCCATAGGACAGCGGAGGGTCGTAGGGGGTTGGGGAGGTCAAGTGCCAGTCCTTGTCGGCGGCATCGAGGCGTGCTCCATGTCTGCACCTGTTAGTTTCGCCGATGCACCATTCAGCTCATCCACAACATACCTAGCAATGAAGACAATGGGTGGGGATTCCGCGGTCGATGAATGGGAAAGAGGTGGGGGTGGAGTGAGGCAGAGAGGAGAAAGCTTGGGAAAGGCTGCCTCGCCCATCTTGAAAAGGTAAGGTAATCGTAGGCAAATAGCCAGAAGGTCAGATACGCCAGAAGTGCATGCCAGGCACGCAGCGGTGAAGCCGCAAAGTCGAGGAAGCTTGGAAGGTCGAAGTTCGAGGTTCGTAGCTGGAAAAAAAGACGCGGCATGTGATGGTGCTTAGCTAAGGGTACCCCCTCGCGCCGGCCTGCAGATGTACTAGTCCGCGCATCGAGGTGCGGCTAGTGATTCCCATTTACCACTATATGAGTAGTCTCCTCGATAAGTGAATTGATTTCTAGTGCTATCCGATGGGACCCTTGACACCCACTTGAAGTAATGAGTAGTCGAGGTCCAGACTTGTCATCGGGTTATTCTGGGGGAGAAAGCAAGCTTTTTCACTTGGGATGACGTGGGGCCTGCCCGGCTAAATGCGATACTCTATTCCGCCTGATTTACTATTTATGCGCCGTGGACGGCGTACCTGCAGATATTACTGGCGTGCTGTCCAAGATGAGCAGAGGAGCCATATTTCCCGATAGTAGTAAGAGTGATCGCGATGTAGACAGCGAACAGACCTTGTTCCTTCAAATTATTCCATATCCAAAACAGATTCCGCGTTGAGGTCCAAATTCACGAATCGTCGCTTCCGACGGCTCGGCGTCCGACGGGAGTTGGCGACGGCTCCACCAGTCGGATCAGATAAATCCCTCCCCCGTTTATATTTCGACGACACAACGTTCCTCAGGGAATACGTTTTTCGACTGAGACATATCCTATGTCATCTGATTGAGAAGCACCAGCCTAGGGTATGGAGCAGGGCATTCCCCAGAGGCCGTCGACGGGCAATCCCAATGCCGATCATTCGGTTGATCTACAGAAGCCACCCATGAGACGTGCCAGTGAGCCGGAAGCGCTACTACGCTTGGAAATCTCGCAGTCGCAAATCGCACCGCCCGAATTGCTCCCCAAGGAGGTACTTTTCGTGAGTGTTGTATGTATAGCCCAGTTCATGACCCAAGCCGGCCTGTGTATGTCCATCGCTCCCGTTCATATCATCGGCCGCAGCTTCAACACCACCAACCCTACTGCACTGAGCTGGTTTGCCGCAGCATGCAGTCTGAGCGTGGGGACATTCATTCTGGTGGCAGGGCGGCTCGGAGACGTCTATGGCCATCGACGCTTGTTTGTCATTGGATTCAGCTGGTTCAGCCTCTGGTCTTTGTTAGGCGGGTTGAGTGTTTGGTCCAACCAGATATTTTTTGACTGCTGTCGGGCTCTCCAGGGCATCGGGCCGGCAACCCCCCCTCCCCAATGGCATCGTTATTTTGGGCCGGACGTATCCTCCCGGCCTGCGCAAGAAAAATGGTCTTTAGCTTGTTTGGTGCCACGGCTCCCGGGGTTTCATCGTTGGCGGGGTATTCTCTTCTATTTTCGCTGAATTGGTCTGGTGGCCATGGGGCTATTGGATAATGGCCATTGCATGCGCGGCGCTGGCCATTCTGGGATATCTCGTCATTCCGACTTCTCCGCAGCCCAAGATTGACGATGCCCTTGGTTTCTGGCAACGATTGGACCTGCTTGGGGCCTCCACCGGTGTGACCGGACTGATCCTGATCAATTTCACCTGGAACCAAGCTGCACTGGTAGGCTAGCAGAAACCATATACCTACGTCCTTCTGACGGTCGGGTTACTCGTCCTCGGTATGTTCGTATTCGTGGAGCGCAGAGCGACGTGTCCGCTACCGAAATCGGTTTTCACTGGTGATCTAGCGTGGGTTCTTGGGTGTATTGCGGCTGGGTGGTCGAGCTTTGGAATCATTATCTACTATTTCTATCAGTTTATGGAGGTGATCAAGGGAGACTCTCTCCTTCTCGCCACAGCCAAGTAGACTGGCGCGGTCGCCTCGGGAGCTGTCGCAGCCATCGTCACCGGGTTTCTGCTGGGCTGCCTCCCACCGAGCGTCATCATGTTCTGTGCTATGGTTTTTTTTTTCACTGCCGGTTTATCAATATTTGCCACTGTTCCCATGGACCAGACATATTGGGCTCAGGCCTTTGTCGTCAGCCTGATCACCTCCTGGGGAATGTATGTATGCTCAGGTGGTATCTAATATATCTCATCATGCGCTAACCCAGGTGTTCATAGGGATACGTCTTTCCCATCCGGGACTCTGATCCTCAGCAACACTATGCATCGCCATCATCAAGGGTTGGCTGCCTCACTCGTGGTTACGACAGTCAAACTATTCCATCTCCCTCAGCCTCGGATTTGCAGGCACAGTGGAAACACATGTCAATGACGCAGGCCGCAATGTGCTGCGTGGGTACCGCGGTGCACTCTATATGGGAATAGGTCTAGCTGGAATAGGCCTTATCGTGTCTATCTGCTTCATGCTCATGAGTTGGAGGCGCTACCACGCGGAGCAGCAACGCTGACAACCGGATAGAGTATGTCTGTATACACTGTACTGCTACACTCATCCAAACCTTCACATATCTTGGTCCAAACACTTGTGAACAGAGAATATAGATATACATTCAAGCTGATACGGTATTGCGAAGTGCTCCGTCTCATACAATGATGTGATTTCCAGAAAGTCACTAGTCGTGCTTGCGATCGATCCCTAGCCATGCGAATCAAGGGGCATGGACGCGAGTGGAACATGTATGTCATTGGGTATGAAGTGACACACATCCCACATTCCATTGACATCATTGTAAACCAAAAAGGCAACAAAGAATTTTCCGGACTGGTTCCACGCACCTTGATGAGGTTATTTTCCGAGTTCAGGAGGCAGAGAACAATCATCATTGGTGCCTGTACTAGGGAGCCCTCCTTCACAACGTTTGAACTGACACGTACGTGTGCAAGCCATGATGCCATTATGAACTGGGATAGATGAGCATCAGATGGATATTTAAAGGATGGTTTATCGCTCCTGTTCAATTTTCCATCCACAGCTTAGACATCCGACGAACGACTACCTACAACGACTATCTCAATTTGCCTCTACCTGATACTCTGAAATCGACCTCTATCTCAAAATGCGGTTCGAGGTCATCTCTGCGCTCTTTGCAACCGTCGCGCTATCCTTGCCTCATGGCGGAGTTCAACAGGTGAGCCTTGGATTAAAACTAATACTATGGCGCGGCTGACCGGATCCATAGCACCACCAGGTAAACTATCACTTACAACAAGTTGCTCAAAATTCCCTTGTATTTGTACTGATTCATAACTAGGACATGGAGCAGCAAGCTACCTCATCTATGTCCATGCCCACGTCCTCCATGACGATGCCGATGAAACGGTCAACCTCTTTATCGGAGACTACCCCTACCTCCTCCATGACGATGCCGATGAAACGGTCAACCTCTTCATCAGAGGCTACCCCCACCTCCTCTGCATCGACGCGTCTTGATAAACCTACCGCAAAGCCCATGAGGGCAGAGAATATGATAATGATGTGAGTGGCTATTTGTTGCTTTGTTGCCTAAGGGGTGCACTCTGATAGTGATGTGTGTAGGTTCTAGGTTCTAATCCACATCAAATTCTACACGATAAGATGAATCATGATAGTCCATGTCTGGTTTGGTATGGCCCGACGATCTTGGACATTCCTGGATTTCCCCGAAGGCACACAGTCTGGTCATATTATGCGGCTATCGATGAAACGGTACACGAGTGATGCGAACGTGTATTTCTTTTATGCTGTTCTAAATGCAACATTGGAGGCTGAATGAACAATACGGGATTCTGCCGTTACACTAGTGTATTGTGGAATGCGACTATGATACATTAGCTTCCATATTCTGCAGAGTCCTTTTGCGCTTTTTTGAATGTAATTGCACAATCCCGATATTATTTGAAATATTAACAGTAGGGACATTCGTCGAGTTCCACTTTTCATGGTCGTATATATACAGTCTCGTCCGTCGAACATTGAATGGAAGATGTTGGTCATCGACATCGGTGCTTACAGAAGAGTGACACGTTCCGTTCACACCTCCTCGAAATGTTCCGTTTGGCCTTGCTTGCCCGCGGCACCGGTCACCGCCGCTTGTAATTGGGCCTTGGTTAGACGGGTGTGAGGTATTCCACGGTGCCCGGTTTGATTGTAGCCACTGCTTATCTTGTTAGAGAATGAAGAATCCAGACGATCGGGGAAACGCACAAAATCATATCCATTTGGTCAATGGTCAGTCCCTTGGTCTCTGGAAGCAGGAAATAGGACCACAGAGTGGCGACAATGAGGATACTGGCAAAGAAGAACCACGTGCCATATCCCAAGGAGTTGAAAATATACGGCAGACATTTGCTGAGGATGAACTGCGTAAGCCACTGGACCAAGGCAGCCCATGTGCCGGAGAAGTTTCGTAGAGCCCCGGGGAAGATCTCGGCCGACACAATCCATGGGATTCCGTTGAGGCCGAAGGACCAGAAAACCGCATAGATCATGATCATCGCCGTCGCTGCTTGTCCCCCTCGGGTCGTCGAATCCGACAGAGCATCCCCAGACTTGATGACGGCCGCGGGGTTGGCCACTTTCACGTAGGCGCCGATATACCACAAACAGAAAGAGCAGGCCAGCGACGACACTATGACTGGGCGACGGCGTCCAATAGAGTCAATGAAGGCAATGTAGAAAATCAGTGATGCAACCGCCTTCACCAACCCATATATACCCGTGTACAGTGAAGTATCCTCGATCCCAATTGACGAGAAAAGCGTGGGCGAGTAGTAGTTGATTGCTTCACGGGGATTAGAACAATATTCCAGAAGAGATTTCGATGAAGACTAGTATAAGGCTTACCTGCAGCACCCGCAAAGTTCTGCAAAGCAAACGCGCAGAAAACAAGAAAAACGCGGTTGCGCATACCTGGACGCGAGAACTCATCCATCGCCCCGCGGAAGAAGGCCCACGAGCCCGATCCATATTTGGCAGCCACGCTCGCCTCTTCGTTCAGTCGATTTTGAATGAGCTGTATCTCCTGCTGCAGATATTCATGCTCGATTGGCAGCCGGCGCAGCGTCTCCAGTGCCCGATAAGCCTCGGCGGTGCGCTCTTTTCGCATCAGCCAGAGGGGGGACTCGTGGAGGAAGAAGCCTCCGGCCAGCAAGAGGCCACCTGGAATCAACTGCACCGCCATGGGGATCCTCCAACTGGTGGAGGTCGTGGCTGACATGTTCTCCGTGATACCGTAGTTGATCCAGAAACCGATGAGCGAGCCAATCTGATAGGCGCATTCAAAGAAGCCTGTCAAAATACCCCGAATGGAAGGGATCGACAGCTCAGCGATGTAGCTGGGCACTGCGGCGGTGATTGCACCGCAGCCAATGCCGGTCAGCACACGACCAGCATCTGAACAGCGGGAGGTCAGTCTCTACATGAATTGGCAGGGGTGGGGATCCGTTGATCGAAGGGGGTCACGTACAGATCAAGCTGAGCTGATGGGTGGCCGCGGTCATGAGCACCGCTCCGATGAGGAAAATGGCTACATTGATCTGGAGAGTCCATTTACGACCGAGGCGTTCCGTAACTATCTCCGTTGTTAGCGGATCATCCAATATCGATCACGCTACTCGTAGTACTGTACTAATACTAGAAGTAGGTCATGCTGGAAATTGATGGACTGACTTACAGAAAAAACAAAAGATGGCGCCAAAGAAAGCACCGGCCTGAAAGACGGAGGTAATATTACTGGAAATGGCGCTGCTGTTCGAATCGGTGATGCCAAAGTCGGCGACGAAGCTGTCGCGCGAGATGGTGGTGCCGACAAAGGCCGAGTCGTAGCCAAACCTAGCCCGAGTCAGCGGCGAGAAGTCCGGAGGGTCCTGGGAGAAGCACGCACAGCAAAGATCCTGTCGCAATCACCAGCGCCTCTGTGTACAGCCGCCAATTGTACACTGCCTGGGGAGTGGGGCGATCTTCCACGGCGCGAAACCCCATGGCGCAAGTTCAAACACCGCTTCAATTGCCGATCACGCTGGTTGGACGGAATGCCGAGTGGCGCCACGGGCGGTGCAGATGGTCCGGCTCGATCGTTCTTCATTTCTCGGCCGTGTCGAGGGCCAGCGCGCCTTAATAGACGCGGGGGGGCTGCGAGGCCCACTTGGAGGAAGAGAGCAAAGGCGAGGAAGGCGGGGCCCCAGAAAATGCCCACGTCGGCCGATCGCCCGGTTGAGCACAGTTCCGCGGTCACGCCGTGCCTGGCCGGGTTTTTCCACCAATGACTCCGCCACCTCGCGCCGCCCAGAACAGCAGCCAGACGATCGGCTGGAAGCCCGAACGGGCGATAGCCGATCATCTCGACTTCACGAGCGCTGCAGCAGTCGGGACTCGGGTTCCTGGGATGGTTGAGGCAGAGAAGGCGGAGATGCGGTGGAGCGGAGCTGGAGGAGCATAATGCCACTGGGTATACTATACCCTACGGTATACGGAACCTTGAGGCCGTGGAGAGACTTATATTCAGCAGCCTCGCTGTTCTCGCGGTCTCGATGTTCCAGACAACCGGCAGGCTGCTCGACCAATTCGTCATACTCCTTGCAACCATGGCCAATGCAAAGAAAGCGCCCTACCCGCTCGCCCTCTGTGTGACCGCTGACGACTTCGCGGCCGCTGCCAAAGAGGTCCTCCCGGAAAAAGCATGGGTCTATGTATCTAGCAGTGCTGCCTCGGGCCTGTCGCTCAAGGCCAATCTGGACGATTGGTCACGCATCAACTTCCGCCCACGCATCATGAGAAGCGTCAGCGCCATCGACACCCGCCGCGCCATACTGGGGCAGCCAGGCCAGTTCCCCTTCTTTGTGTCGGCCATGGGCACCCTGGGAAATGCCCACCCAGGCGCAGAGCCTCTGCTGGCCCGAGGGTCGACGCGCAAGGGCTTGCATATGGTGGTGAGCACCGCCACAAGCAAGCCGCTGGAGGAGATCATGGACGCCCACCGAGATGAGCAGCGCCTGCTGGGTAACCAAAGCCCGTCCAGACTGGCCTTCCAGTTGTACATGCCCGTCGATCGGTCCAAGGCCAAGTCCCTCATTCAACGCGTGAAGGCCGCCGGATATCACAGCCTGTGGATCACCGTGGATACGTCGATCCTGGGCAAACGCACCGCCGACCGCTACCTCCAGGCCCAGGAGCTGTTGGAGCAAGGCGCGCGCGAGAGGGAGCTTGCCGCCGAAAACGAATTCGGCCCGGCCTTTGGCGGGCGACCAGTGCCGGGATATCTGGACCCCGGGCTCAGCTGGGAGGATCTGGCCTGGATCAAGCAGGAATGGAGCGGACCCATTGTCTTAAAGGGCCTCCAGACGGTCGAGGATGTAAAAATTGCCGTGGAGCACGGCGTCCAAGGCGTCTTGCTGAGCAATCATGGCGGACGACAGATCCACTCGGCTCCAAGTGCCCTGATGACCCTCTTGGAGATCCGCAATTACTACCCGGAAGCCCTGGAGAAGCTCGAGATCTATGTGGACGGTGGACTCCGAGACGGAGCGGATGCCCTCAAGGCCCTGTGCCTGGGGGCCACAGCTGTCGGGGTCGGAAGACCATACTTCTATGCGATGGCTGCATACGGCATGGAGGGCATTGAAAAATGCACCGACGGTAAGTTCATCCCTTCATATACAGCTGTACGCGTTTGTACAGTAATACGTTGTCGGAAACCTGACTGGTACACAGTGCTTGCCGAAGAGGTGGAGATCACCATGAAGATGCTGGGCGTCTCTTCGCTCGACCAACTCAAACCAGAGATGGTCAATGCGACCCGGCTGTTGAATGAGATGTGGCGACCTGAAACTGTACGAGCAAGGCTGTAAAGGGAGAAGAATGGGGTGGGAGATTCTCTTCTTCTTTTAGGAGTTTGGCGTCTGGAAACATTTAGACCCTAGACGATAGATCATTTTATATCGACGAATGCATAATACATTGTATGCGTATTAAATTGTACATGGGATCGAGGTATTTTGCATTGAGAATCGCAGCGATGATCTTCTCAGAGAGGAGGATATGGATATCACGGAGCACCTGCCGGTCGCGCTCCGGAAAGATTGACCACACGGCCACCTCCCATCAATGGACCGGCACTCAGTGCGGCCGGATCGGGGAGTTTCACCCATCCAGGAACGTGAGCATCTTCCTGTTCGCGTGTGGAGATGGTTTGCCACACATTGGGGAACCCGGTGGGGAGGGCCCCGCGTAAACGAGCCCCAGGAATAGCAAACCGGGGACTGCGGTGGGTGAGATAGCCACGCATGAGGCCCTGTGCCAGCAAAGAAGCGAGGATGGACTCGAGTTCACGCATCAGCAGCGACGGTTGGTTTGCTTGCTCCGTATAGGCGGAATTGGGATAGGGATTGAGTAAGCGTTCGTCATAATTTGCATCAGGGTCACCGTCGATCAGACTCCCGGACACATTATCTTGCCAGTTGCCGTCTTCGTCAAAAAATCCATCGGGTGCGAGATAATCTCCGTACTTCTCAAGGATTTCATGATCGGCATCCGGGGCTGCCACGGTGTCGAAATCAGTAAGCCCGGAGAATTCAGGGTCCGCCTGTGTCAAAACGGTCTGAGAGCCATAGGCACTGAAGTTTTCGCTCGCATGTCCAATTCCATTTGCCACTGGCGTTTTGTGTTTCTGCTGGAGCCAGCGAGTGGCCACTAACAATTTCTGAAGATAGAGGAATGGGGGAGGACCGCGCTGCGCCTGCGCTTGCGGGTCCCCAAGATATCCCGCATGAATAAAGACCTTGCGACAAAATGACCGCCAGACTAGGATCTCACATCGGTTGCGCAGAGTGAGCAGAATACCTTTGCGTGCAAACCAATGAGAAGTGGGTGAATCGAGCGAGAGGTGCTCGCGGAAGGCCAGGTAGTCTCCACGAACAATCAAGCGGCATAAGGGGTTGAATTGTTCGGCTAGCCCTTGTGCTTCAGGGCGCTCCAGGAGTGCGCGAGACGGAAACCGGCCCATGATAATATTGCATGCGATCAGGTATGTGAGAATCAGGTTGCGTTGACTGAGTGCTTGACAATGACATTGGTCGTAGGCGGCCTGGAAGGCATTTTGGGCGGGGTAGAAAAGATTGTTGGAGAACAGGTAGCGACCAAGATAGTAGAGGTATGTAACACGCTGCGAGGTTGGGAAGTGGGCCAGTGGAGGGGACTGGGCAGTGATACTGGAAAACATCTGTTCGGCATTGCGAAGCTTGCCGCACTGGATCATAGTTAGCAGAAGTCATTGCTGAGGAGAGGGGTGAATAGCATGGGAAAATCGTGATCAAGGAATCTATACCTGAAAAAGGAGTTTCAAACACAAGTTGGCCATGAGGTAGATGCCCTTTCGCTTGCCCTCAGGCTTCCCATGTGGACCTGGTGTCCCGCTTCGATCGGTCAAGCATTTAATGAAGGCTTCCCGAACCACATTTGCCGATTTTTCAACCAGTGTGACCTTCTCAATACTTTCTTGATCGTTTGTACCTTCCATACGTAGTATGTGGGCGATCAGCTCGGGTCGTCGGTCCAGCCCCATAGCGAGTTTTGCGAGCACTTTCGACAGGTAGAGCACGGTAGGAAGGACGACAACACCCATTTGGCTGTCTCCAAGGGCAAGCACGCATTGACTAGATTCAAAGAAGAAAGAACTTGTCAGTGATCGATTCGCAATGCGTCCGGAATATCGACAGCGCCTACTTCAAAAGGCCGTTGAGCAGATTGTAAGTATCCAGGAGATTTTCCACGTTCACGTCCCGCATGAACGTAAAATACAGTCTCATGAATGTGGGAAATGCCGACCATGATGAGCCACCCTCGGTCTTGGGGACCAAACCCTCGCAACGTTGCTGTAAAACGGTTTCACTCTGAGATCCTGGTGGATAGCACTGACGGAGCTCCTCAATCATTCGCTGGTAGATATCTGAAAGCGGCGGTTCGATCTGGAGAAAATCCTGTAGCTTGGCGCCATCGCGATCTTGGACTATGGCGGCAAGACCGCTGAGAAATTGGTCGAGAATGGGGGTGGCTGCCATGATTGCTGAGTCGCGGTGGGCTGGGATTGGGAGGAAGGGCCGCGGTACGTGCAAAACTCAGTCACAGAGTAGTTGAGATATGATCATGGCGATCTGAGATAATGAATTAAGCCATGTGCTCGACCGCAGGTAGGATAGGCGTGCTGTCGGCTTAATTGGCGTGGGGAGCTTCAGAGGACCCGGAACTGCGCGACGCGGCAGCGAGAGGCAGAATAATCCAACATGCTGACCGCCCGAAGTATACCGAGCCCTGCAGAGCCCCTTGGGAAGGGCCTTTGAATTCTCGACCATATGGTGGTAGAATAGATTATAGCAACAAGTCTTGTTAGTCACTTACTCGGATCAATTGCTCGATTCCCATTTTCAAAAGATTCAGGGTGAGACTCAAATTTAGCAGGGACGCTGCGGGGCGTTGAAGTAGCTGGATGCAGCTCGGAGAAATCCGTCTGCAGCTGTCAAAGCACACATCGCGTAGTGGCAATCGTTCGCCTCGTGCCGTTCACATGAATTGATGTCCCTGTTTGAACCCATGCCATGTCCTTTCCATCGGGCAATCCATTAGAACCCCCTTGTCCCTTCTCTCTTCAAGCAATGGCTTTCGGGATGCCGAGTGTGGGGGCCCGCCGTGACATCATTCCCTTGCACTCAGAATCACATGAAGTGCGTTTTCTTGCTCCGCTGGTCACGTCACTCTGGCAGGGCTGGGCTACAAAAAGCCCATTATTGTGTTCCCATCACCGAGAATAGAATCATCTCTTTCAGCTTCGCTACCATGACGGCAAAGTCCTCCATCCCGGCCATCATCCGGCACCCATTTGTCGAGACCTTCACCTGGATCTACTTGATCTTCCAGGCGGTCCTTCGTTATGTTTTCTCTCCCATCCCCCCTCCTCCAACCTCCCAAAACCAGAATGTGCCTCGGAAGAAGGTCGCAGTTATTGGCGCTGGGTTAACGGGAATTTCCTCGGCGGCCCATTGTGTCGGCCATGGGCTTGACGTACAGATCTTTGAGTCCAGACCCAAGGACCAAGGACTCGGCGGCATTTGGAGTGTACGTTCACCTTCTCAATTGTCTTGTGAGAATATAGCAGAATACTAATTGGAAACAGAGAGTCAATTCCACCTCCGCACTCCAGGTGCACAGTCTTATGTACCGATTCCATCCGTCAGTCCACTACGACAGTGCCTACCCGACACAGAAACAAATCAAAGACCAGATTGTTCAGCTGTGGAAGCGCTACGATCTGGAAAGACGTACTGTTTTTGATACTCGTGTCTCTTCGGTCAAGAAAACGAAGGATGGCCAGTGGATTATCAACAATGATGAAGAGCAGTACGGTCGCTTCGATGGGGTACTGACGGCAGTTGGTGTTTGCGGAGACCCCCAGATGCCCACGTTGCCGGATCAAGGAAACTTCAAGGGTCAAATCTTCCACTCATCCAACCTCGATGGCAAAGATGCCAAGGGCAAAAAGATTTTGATCGTCGGCAGCGGTGCAAGTGCCATTGAAGCCCTCGAGTTTGCCGTCAAATCTGGCGCAGCCGAGATCGATGTCTTATCGCGATCAGAGAAATGGATTATTCCACGGAATTTGCTGGTCCAGTCCTTGCTAGCGTTCAATATCTTTGGTCAGGAAACGTCACTCTCCTGGATTCCCGAGTGGCTTCTGCGCAAGTTCTTCTACCGTGACCTCCAAGACATTGCCCCCACGGACGATGGCATTTTCACCCAGACTCCGATGGCCAACTCACAGCTCTTCGATCGGATTCGTGCAGGCAAGGCCCGATGGTTGCGTGGTGACATTCTTTCCGTCGAGGAGAGCGGCATTCTTTTCAACCACCGTGCCCAGGGAGTGCCTAAGGGCGGACCAGGCAAGGAAGGCCTGGTCGAAGGCGACATAATCGTAATGGCGACTGGATTCAAGCGACCTTCACTTACTTTCCTTCCAGATGAGGTCTTCCAAGAGCCTTACGGTCCACCCAACTGGTACTTGCAGGTGTTCCCGCCTAAGTACCCAGATGTCTGCGCGAACAACAGCACCTATGTGAATGCAATTGGCACAGTGGGGAATATGCACATTGGCATTTACACACGTTTCCTGATCATGTTTTTGACCGATCCCTTGACTCGACCTACAGAGGGCTGGATGAAGACTTGGATCGATTTCACACGATTTATGAAGCGACTTGCGCCCACGAAAGCCTTTGATTTCTTCACTTACTCGGAGCTCATTTACTGGTATTTCTTTGTTCTGGTCGTCAATCCATTCCGGTGGAAATGGGCCCTTTTTGTTTTCTTCGGTCTAGGTCGCTCTCTACCGTTGATGGTTGTTGAGCAGGAGAATTCCTTCCGCGAGGAGCTGCTCAAGCAACGCAAAATCAACTAAACCGGGCAGGGTGTTATTCGAGTCGATATTGGACATTCTGATGAGGGATCTGTTGAAAAGACCATTGGAGCTGCATGATCATTACTATTGCATTGTCATATTATGATTTCTTTGTTCTCCAATGCATGTATTCCAAGCATTAATATTCTTCCATAAGCTCGGAAAAAGAAATGTTTAAGGACACTATCTGGATACTGCCGCTTTAGCTGGCATTACAAAGCTGGTTGGTACATTCAAAATAACCATTAGTGTATGCCGTGGTGCCTTCAATAACTATCATTCCTTCTTAATCTCAGGAATTTTGTTCTCAATGTTATAAACCAAATTTCCTCCGTGCGAGATCCTGTTGGGCAAATAGCCGTTCTCTTCCAGCCATAACATAGGCCACAAGAGTGTCACGCCCAACACGCAGAAAATTGTTGCGATCAGGTGCCATGTGAATATTATCCAATATCCAATATGAGGGATCACGAATTTGACGAACTCCGAGCTCTGGTAAAGATCCTCTTGCTTGGAAATGTAGTACAGCGTACGATCGCCATTCGTTCGTTCATCGCTTTGGGAAGCGTCAGTGGTGAGATCCAGGACGGTTGTCAATGTCACTGGTGCAACATGGAATGGCACGACCCAGATGGAGAAAATCTGCGACATGTGGACATAAAGTTTCAGGCTTTTCTCGTCGAACGCTATCGATATGTCAGTCGTCTGAATCTGGTCTGCTACCAGTGATGCGCAGAGGGGCACTGACCAATCGAGTGAATCTCCATTTCGATCCGAGGCGACATGATCTTGTACCACTGAAAGATCTTTAGCACCCACCATCGGCTCCCTTCGAAGCTAGGGACACGGCAAAATGGATGCACGAATGAAGCATTGCGAGTGAAGAATCGATCGAGGGCCTTTTCTTGCAGAGAAGGGGTGGACTGGGTCAAAAGACGAATGACCGTTGGGATTTCTTCCACTGTAGATCAGTTGTTGTAATGAGCAAGATATCGCTTCATATTTTTCGTGGTAGCACTTATAGACTCACCTGGGTGCTCCATGATGCGCAGTGTTGGTATTGAGGTGCCCAGCCGCGTCCAGCCTGAGCTATATCAAGTTGGCAGCCGATGACATCATGCCCGGGGTCTGACATGTGAACGCTGCCGCGTGCTTTCGTCGTTTCTTCAATGTTTTACCCGATCTATGTTTTGGGGAGCTGTGTGTGATGCAATTGCTTGGTTGATGTCCCTTTTTTTTCTATCTTTCTTTCTTTCTTTTTCACCCTATGGTACCCTGGACGCGCACGCCAAGAGAGGGTCTTCACCCACACAATGTGTTGCTACACTGTATGAGCATTGCACCGCAACACCACATGTGATCAACATGCAAAGTTGCCCAGGACTCCACAGCGCCCAAGGCCAATTGTGATTTTGTTCCAGACAAATAGAATATGAGAAACGCATTACGGAGGATTATGCCAGTACCCTCCGTTGAGGCAGATCGCACAGAACTGCGTATTGGAAAGCATGATTTTGTGTACAGTTAAATACAGACCCAGTTAGGGCAGCGTGGAATAAATTTAGAATGCCATACCAACTCCGGTGATAACCATAAATTTATGCTCCGGACCCAAAATAGAGAACAGTAGATGTCAGATCTCGATGGTCTATCGTTTCCAGGTATCGATCTTCTTGCGGCGCTTGTCGAACATCTCTCCCATCCCCGCGCCGTCACTGCGCTCGTTCGCCTTTCTTTTCCGACTCTTCTCCAGTGCGGCACCTCCACTCTTGGCCCGCCTAGTAAGGCGTTCAATGCGATCAGCGCCCTCAGTGAGTCCACGCCACTCATCTCCACCAAACGTAGTGTCCCGGCGGCCGCCACCCCGTTTTGCGATCTCCTTCTTGGTCTCCTTGGGGAGTCGAACAAAATTTGTTTCTTCGTACGTAGTTCGCTCATTCTCACGATCGCGGTCTCTCTTGGATTTGGTCTTGCGTCCACCGTCGATAATGGTGCTTCCAATACTAGGCTCGGCCATTGGGGCGGACGACATTTCGGCGCTGACGAATTCATCAATGACGTTGGACCGACGGGGCCGGCGATCTTCGCGCTCACGGCGCTCGGATTCAGTTGTGGGAAGAGCAGTGGGCATGATTCTCGGAGGGCGGTAGATGCCATCATTAGGTGTGTCTCGGGCGTCTTTGGTGGATTTGCTCTGGAGCTGCTTGGGCTCGGCCTTGGCCTTGGCGAATGCGCCCACATTGGGTCGGAATGCCATTTCATCCAGATCTTCCTCATCCTCCGCATCGCTATCATCGTCACTGCCACTGTCTGCCTCGTCGGAGGACGCTTCCTCGCTGTCTGAACCATCGGTCTTCGTGGCCTTCTTCGATTTGCTCGACTTAACAGGACGTTCGGTCCGTTCGGCATCCTCTGCGGCCTTGATGACCTTGTCGACCTGGTACTTCAACCGTCCCTCCAGCGGGCGGACACCGCGATCCAAAAAGACGCGGAGCTCGACCAGCTTTTTCACTGCCTCGTCACCGAGAGATTTGTCGGCGGTCTCGGTGCTTTTCTTCGAAGAGGTTTGTCGTAATTGAAATATGATCAAGAAAACTAGGTTGTGGAGGTACGAAAGGAGGATTTCGCTCTTAGTATCGAGGAGCGAGATGCCATCTTGTGGGGGCTCGATCGAGACGTCGGAGGGTGCATCTTTGCGAGGGGTCGGCAGAGATGAGGCTGCGCCTCCTAGACAGGTATTGAGATTCTCCAAAAGCGTAGACAAGTTCTGAGTCCGCGCCGGCGCTGTCTCCGTCGAAGCCATGGCGGGTGTTTTCGTGGTCGACCTTCACTTTCGCGGTGCCCGAAATAATTTTGAGATCAATTTTTTCCGCCTTCCTAATAGAGCCACGCTAGCTTCCTTATCAGCACGTGAGATGTAGCCGGGTGTGGTCACGTGTGACAAGACAGCCTGGCAACCCTCGTCATCAAATGGTTCCCCGGGGGCCATTGTCGCTCTCCTGCTTCCAACCGTGTTCCTCTGCGAATTCACGCGCATGCGACTGTGATCTCCTCTCGTGGCGATCTGACAGTTGTACTAGGTATCTAGTGATTGGTTCAGTTTGACAGTAACAAAACAATACGAGAAACAACCCACGAACACATGAGGCTGAACTGACCAGCCCCCGATTCCCCCAACGTCCACCATGCGGTTCTCCGATCGAGTCTCTCTCCTCGCCTCGGCTATCCTTACAATTCCCTCTCTATCGAACGCCTTTTACCTTCCTGGCGTTGCCCCGACCTCCTACGACCAGGGTCAATCCGTCCCAGTCTATGTCAACAGCCTGACGCCCGGGCTCTCGCGCGATGATCAGCTCCATTCCGTCTTCGCATACGAGTACTACCATACGGCCTTTCACTTTTGCCGGCCAGAGGGAGGATACCACGATGTGAGAGAATCGCTAGGAAGCATCCTGTTCGGTGACCGAATCTATACCTCCCCGCTCGAGGTCAAGATGGCCCAAAACGAGACATGTAAATCCATATGCTCGGAGGTCACCTTCGATGCACGCAGTGCCAAGTTTACCAACCGCCGGATCGCCCAGGGATACAACATCAACTGGCTGCTGGATGGCCTCCCAGCAGCGCAATTGAACCTTGACGGGAACACCAATACCGAGTTCTACAATCCGGGATTTGCTTTGGGTGAATTGGATGATAATGGACAAGCTTTGCTAAACAACCACTTCGACATCATCATCGATTACCACCGGGTCGGCTTTGGCGGCAAAGACAAATACCGCATCGTCGGGGTTCTCGTTCAGCCGGACACTCGTGGCGACGCACGGGTTCTGGACGATGGAGAGGCTGAATGTGGGACTCGAGGCAGTGCTCTGAGCCTCAATGAAGACGGCGATACACCAGTGACATGGACCTACAGTGTTCTTTGGAGAGAGTCTAACACCGCATGGGCCACCCGTTGGGACAAGTACCTGCACGTTTACGATCCAAAGATTCACTGGTTCTCGCTTATCAACTCCGCGGTATTTGTGGTCTTCCTGGTCGGCATGGTCAGCATGATTCTTGTTCGTGCGCTGAAGAAAGATATTGCGCGCTACAACCGACTCGAGTACAGCCTCGATGATCTTGACGGGACCTCTGCCGCAGTTGAGGACGGGATTCAAGAGGACTCCGGATGGAAGCTAGTCCATGGAGATGTCTTCCGCTGCCCCAAGTCCCCGCTACTGCTGAGTGTTTTGCTCGGTAATGGTGCTCAACTTTTCATGATGACCGGTGTTACTGTCGGTGAGTTAATGTTCTGCTTCTTTTCTAGTCTTGAAGCTCCTTCTAACCCTTTTTGTCAGCCTTCGCTCTCCTCGGCCTTCTTTCCCCCGCGAACCGTGGATTCCTGGCTACGGCCATTCTTCTAATTTCTGCTTTCTTTGGCGCCATTGGTGGATACGTTTCCTCCCGCGTGTACAAGGCCTTCGGCGGGGAGGCATGGAAGCGCAACATTATCATGACTCCACTCTTGATTCCTGGATTCATCTTTGGTGTCTTTTTCCTTCTCAACCTATTTGTCTGGGCCAAGGGTTCTAGTGGCGCCGTGCCGTTCGGCACTATGCTCGCATTGCTTTTGATCTGGTTCGTCATCAGCGTGCCACTAAGTGTGATTGGCAGTTGGATTGGGTTCCGTCAAGCGGTATGTTTTTAATCTCACCTTCTCTCTTGATTGCTCTGTGTCCGACATACTCACTACCGACACTTCTATTCTAGGCGCTTGAGGGCCCGACAAAAACGAATCAGATCCCCCGCCAGGTTCCCCCGATGACGGGCAGTCTGCGCACCATCCCTTCGATTTTCCTGACCGGCATTCTTCCCTTTGGTGCCATCTTTGTCGAACTATACTTTATCATGACTTCCCTTTGGACCAACAAGATCTACTATATGTTCGGCTTCCTGTTCCTGTGCTACGGACTGATGATCATCACTTCTGCCGCCACGACCATCCTACTGGTTTACTTCTTGCTCTGCGCCGAGAACTACCGGTGGCACTGGCGTGCCTTTGCCGGAGCCGGTATGACTGGTGGGTATGTCTTCCTGAATGCGCTCATCTTCTGGGCGACACGCGTCAGCTTTGGTGGTCTGACTGGTGCGGTGCTCTACGTGGGCTACTCCGCATTGATCGGTTTCGTCGTCTTCATTCTAACCGGTATGCCCCCTTACCCTCCCTTTCTCGCATCTTTCTCTCGCATTTATCACATACTAACGAATTCACTTTCGCAGGGTCGATCGGATTCTTCGCCAGTTGGGCGTTTGTTCACCGTATCTACGGATCCATCAAGGTGGACTAGATTTTGCGGGGCCCTTCCGCGCATTAGCCGCGCATCCTTCTGGAGCATAATCCTTTTCGGCTACATATTTTTAGGCTCCTTGTTTTTTGATCCCGAGTGTTTTGATAGCTGAAGATGCATTTGATGGCAAATAGATTGGTTTCCATTCGCTTTTCTCTTTCCCTTTGTATTGCCAGCCTAGTCGTGTTGTCGATGTCGGTATAATGCGGTGCTGTATAGTCCTCGCGTAGACCGGGCCGTGCCAAGCCCGCCGGTCTGGACTTCCTCGCCACTCCGACACTTCCCTTGTGCTTCCCTCTGCTTCCTCTGTCGTTTCCCCTTCGTTGCCGCAGCGCTCGCAATCCCCATCTCGACATCCGTGTACACTTGACTTTTCTCCCGTCGATCGCGTGTTCATTCCACCTCGGTTGATTCCCCGGCACTCCGAGCTCAGCCACACATTTCCCCCGATCCTACCCCGCGCCCACTCATCTTCCTCTCCCACTCGAGCCAGATCAAAAAGGAACGCCGCCCCTGAAATTCTCACCGCCCCGATTTGCATGCGCTTCCGATTATCTTGACCAATTTTGGCTACGGGTGTTTGACCATGGGCAAGTCGTAAGTGGCTCCGCGACCCCTCCACCTCCGGCGCGCGGAACCGGGGATGGCGGACCAATCTGGGACAATGGCATCGTCTACGCTGGTTCGCCTGGGAGTTCCGCGCGCTCATACGGTCGGCCTGTCGGAACTCAGGCGACGGGCGCTATTGCTTGATCAGGGCCGGGGCGATTTGGAAATTGTCATAAAGCGCGAGTGTTCTGACTTGGTGTTTTTACGACAGGCAATCGAAGCTCTCCCCCTCCCAGTTGGATGAGTTGCAAAAGGCAACCCATTTCGACAAGAAAGAACTGCAACAATGGTATAAGGGTAGGCGATCTTGTTCCCCCGTCTCCATGATCCGACGAAGACCCAACAGGCTGACCGCGACTTCGATCTTGTCCCTTAGGCTTTCTCAAGGACTGCCCGTCTGGCACCTTGACCAAGGAGGAGTTTCAGAAGATCTATCGGCAATTCTTCCCATTTGGCGACCCGTCATCATTTGCAAATTATGTCTTCCGCGTTTTCGACTCCGACAATAGCGGCATGATCGATTTCAAAGAGTTCATCTGCGCCCTTTCGGTGACGTCGAGGGGCAAGATGGAGGACAAGCTGGATTGGGCCTTTCAACTGTACGATATTGACGGCGACGGCAAGATCACCTACGACGAGATGCTGGCCATTGTCGAGGCGATCTACAAGATGGTGCGTGCAGTCCCAGGAGCAACGTTTTTGGTCGTCTCTTTTTTTACTAACTGACCTCCAGGTGGGATCCATGGTGAAACTCCCAGAGGACGAGGATACGCCAGAGAAGCGGGTTCGGAAGATCTTCCGCATGATGGATAAGGACGAGAATGGCAGTTTGGATATTGAAGAGTTTAAGGAAGGCAGCAAGCGCGATGAAACCATTGTGAGCGCGCTGTCGCTGTATGACGGGCTGGTATAGTGGGATTCTGTTGGAGGGGGTCGCTTTCTGGGAGCGTCCGGCGCAATTGTGAATTCCTGGGCCGGTGGTTTTTGATTTGCATATGGACAATTTCTTCTTTTCTTGGTACTCTTTTCCCTCATTTGTGTAGTCTCGACTCGGATCGCTCTATTTTTTTACTTTGTAAGCTCCGCGTAGGGGAGGGTCCGCTGTATAGTGTATACGGTATACTGTATACTGCGAAGGGAGAAGCCGCGCCTCAGGCCCAAACCGCCCCCACCTCGCCTTTCATAACTCTTCTTATTCCTTATTCCTCGTTCCATTTCATCATCCCTACCATGCCGACACTGCCGGGTGCTTCCATGCCTTGACCCAGTATGGTCTCAGCGCCTCGCCGCTGTCTGCAATGTGCCCAGTCAACCGTCCAGGTGGGACTCTCCCTTCCCCTTCATCCTTTCGGCATTTGCTCTGCATCTGCGCGGCGCATGTCCTCCTTCATCCACCCACCCACCCCTCCTCCCCCATGTTTCATTGGCTCGAGAACCGCCGGCGCCTCGGCAGTTCGTTTGGCAAGTGGATCCCTTGCAGTCCAAGCAGTCTCTATAGTAGTGTGACGACTGCTGGTAGTGTCGGGAGAGAGAGCTCAATGTGGAACGCCACTGCCGAGGCCGGTGTCTCCTGTTCCCCAGATTTGTCTCTGACCATGTCCAGTGCGACGGGAACTCCCCCCTGCTCTCAATGCCAGAAGGCTCGATTTCCCTGTCGGTTCACCGTGAGGAAAGCCGCAGCAGCCTCGAAGGCCCAGAATCTCTCCGATGGTCCGTCCTTGCCGGACCGATCGCGGTCCACCGAGTCCGCATCCACCGAGTCGACTTCGACAGTCCGATCAAGTAGTCATGATCGGGTGATCGCTCGGTCTGGTCGTACAGACGCACGCTTTGCGGCCATCCTTCCTTTCGATGAAACTGTGACCCCCTCACTGGTGGCCAAGGCCGCTTGCGCACAGCAAACCCAGTTGTACATCAACTTCGTGCTGGCCGCCTTTCCTTGCTACTTCAAGGCCACCGAGACTAGAGTCCCCATCAACTGGGTGGAATATGTGGAAAGTCGGGGCGGGATAACCAGTTCACCGTTTGACTGGGCCATTCGTAGTCTGACGACCATCTACACCGGGAGTCTTTACAATGACCCTCGCTATATCGATGCAGGGCGAGAGCTTTATCTCCGCTCCCTCCGAGGCCTCTCGAATCTCTTAAGCGATGCTGCAACCGCGAAATCGGACGAAGCTCTCTCGGCCGCTATCGCTCTCACTGTCTTTGAGATGCACGCCTGCACCACCCCAGATGGGTGGATTCACCATGCTTCGGGAATCCGCGCCCTAATGCGGCTCCGTGGACCCCAGGCACACCTGCGGGGATTTGGGTGCGCACAGTATATAGCCATTCGCAACACCCTCGTGACTGTGGCGCTGGTGACTGGAGAGGAATGCTTCCTGGAGGAGCCGGAATGGCAGGAGCTCAATGAGATGATCGCGGCTGAGAATGCGAAGCAGCCCGACTCCTCAGTCTATACAGACATCACAGAGCGCGCTTTTCGACAGGTGGTCAAGCTCCCTGGCTTCGTGAAACGCTTGCGAGATTTACAAGCCATGGCACCTGGTGTCTCAGAGTGTGAACGCCCTGCACTTCTACGAGAAACCCTCGCTACACGTGCTGCTTTACGAGGAATCCATACCGAATTCAGCATGTCGGTCTCGACTCTTCGGGCTGGCCGTGAACCACACACCGGCTTCATCGGGCCTATTCCTCATCACTTCTTCGATGGGTTCTCTACGTTATCCATCCGGGGAATCCGCTCCGCCATCCTTATCTCAAACTACATCATCATTCTCCTGGACCCTTCTCAGCGATGTATTGCCGAGGCAGAGAATCGCGTCATCTCCGATCGAATGCGGATTGGTCGCGCACCCAATATGTGTGCGAGCCTTGACCAGAATTCGCCTCCTCTCACGCCCCCAGGCTCCCCAGGACGGCCTCGACTACTGGTTGAGTCACTGATCACTCCTGATACTCGCCAGTCTCCTAGTACAGACTGGATGGACCGCATTGCTACTACCATGGGTATGGAAGGAGTACGGATCAGCCTGATCGATGATGATTAATGCGCCGATGTCCCTGGTCAGGGCCAACAAGAAATATTGTTTTTCTATTTTCTTGGTATAATGTTTTCTGGTTTTTATTCCGGTGGACCTGCGAGATAAACGCGGCGAGCATGTGTCGCTAAGTGATGTAAGATAATCCTGCTGATACACTACTGTAGCAACGTCGCCTGATTCTGTTTGTCTACTGTTTGTTCATCGGTCCCAACCCAACATATGGCCACAGTGACATTTGATGCCTTAGGGTAGTGGATTCATTTTAGAGCCATCGTTTACACTTGCGATATGGTGTCCTGTTTGCTTCGAATGCTGAGCTCTTCAGATGTTTGGGAAACAAATATTGTGTGGACAAAGATAGCGCATAGCTATTTCTTTGTGCCACTGCTGAAGTATTTCGTCCCTTCGGTGCATGCATCTTTGACAAGTGTGGTGAATAAATAGAGAGGTAATCGGAGAAAAAGAATCATCAAAAAGGGCTCTCATGACTGGATCTGTCACAACGACTGAGTCGTCGGCTTAATACATGCTCCTATCACTCATCTTTCTTCCGACGCTTCATCTTTGACCAGTGCAGTGTGTGTACACATACTACTACCATCCTTCTCTCCACGCAAGATGGCCATCGATTTCCAGCCCAAGTCACTCCGTGATCTCGTTCACTTGCACGGCATTTGGAAAAGCCCGCTCGCATGGACATCGACCCATCTAGACCTGCTTGGATGCCAGTTCAAGAGTGACGATGCCTCCGGGCTACATCCAGAGGAACATCACAGCACTCGTCACCCCCAGGTGCACTTAGTTGTCCGATCTGCGGCATCTGCCAACTTGGCCGAAACCATGACCGTTCACCGCGATATCACAGTTAGACAAAGATGCCTCGAATTCATACTCCGGAAGGACATATTCACGAGGGTAAGGTACGAAATACCCCTCGCAGAAGCGCTCAACTACGCCAGGTCATCGGTGATTACTGACTTCAAGTCTCGTCGAGTAAACGAAAGCCCTATGTGAGAACTGCCAGGGCTCGAATGCCTGAGCGCTGGATGCCACCCTGCGTCCTCTTTATTGGCAAGGCAAATTCCTGGGAATGCCTAGCAGGAGACCCAGCCCGGTTTGCCGGTTTCATAGACTACGCGGCCATCACAAAATACAGATGGGAACGAATATGGAGTCCCGGTCCTGCAGATTCCCAGTTACCCCAGGCCAGCATTGATGCTCACGCATTTCGTGTTGCTCAAATTACCCCCAAGAATTGGTGTAAGGACCCATACTTCTCCTATCTCTTGCTGGTAGTCGCTCAGACCCAACACTTCCGATGCGAAGAGAATTGCCTCGAGAGCACCTACACAGTATGTTTCTTGTGGTCTTGCCCTGCTTTGTTGCTTTCTGCCATTCTTATCCATGCAATATGGGTCATAACTCATTTCTTCTAGCCCCGTCTCTTGGTACATAATTGGTATCTCGAACCCAACCATATCTACCTGTTCTGGGCTCGGTTTAGTGCCAAGATGATCCAGGCACTCAAAGGCCTGTTCCAATCCAGGGAGAGCGTTCAGTGGCCCAGTATTCAGTGGGAAAAGCTTCCCATCAAGCCATACAATTCCTTCAAGGAGCAACTTGTGAGCGAGATTTTTCAAGGTTCGAGGAAGCAAGATCAAGCGCATCAAGATTGTGATATGCTGCATGAGGGCGAGCATGGTGACCAAGAAAGTCAAAGAAGACCGATGAAAGATTTGTTCGAAGGTTCTGGACAGACCTGCAAAAGCGAGATGTCGAAAAACAGGAAAGGTATCCAGCAGGGCGAAAAGCGACTTGCGATGGGAGAACTCGTTGAGACAGACAATGCGATTTCGACGAAAAGGCGCAAACTTGAATCGCCAGGTGTCTTATCCAAGGAGCTTTCCATTCGACCTGTAAGGCAGCATTTTAAGTCGAAAGTCGAGATGAAAAGACCCGGGGAATTCAACAAGCGCGAGGAGAACGTGAAAGAGGCCGATGTCAGTGAACAAGACAGTCCGAAAAACAAGAGGAAGAATAAAAAAACCCCTTGGGCCACGCAAGTTACAACGGCAGGCGGCCCATAGCCACCAGCTGACACTGTATCGGAGTTGATGGTCTCTCTTTTTTTTTAATCATGCACTGTGGAGATCACCATAACCTTGGAATCAATCATTATGTCGTCTCGTCCCGTCGTGGCGGTGATTTCGTATCATCAGTCGACTCATAGTATTCAGTGCTAATGCAATTCTCTCTCTTCCCAAGCGCCTCCCTCGATTAAGCACTGCCGCCGTTGCTGGTTTCCATGTAGATTTAGAGCTATAGGGGTCCGCCCCTCGGAGTCCTGTGCATTGACATCAGCCCCGCGATCAATGAGAAATCTGATCATACTGCAGCTGGCATCTACTTGGTCGGGGTTATTAAGATCTTCCTGGCCCCAAATCAACGGCATGACGGCTGTAAATAAAGGAGTGCGCGATTTATATCCTTTGAAATTGATATCGGCTCCGCGGTCCAGCAAGAGTTCAATCATGGACAGGTCATCGAGGGGCGTGCAGAGGATGGCCGTTTCCAAAGGTGTTCTGCCATAGGCTTGGAGATGGAAGAAATTGACATTAGCTCCCCTCGCAAGGAGGAGTTGAGCAACCGATACATGGTGGCGACTGATGGCGAGAACAAGAGGGGTACTATCCCGCCAACGCGGGTTCTGGATGTCGACTTGAGCGCCCGCATCAAGCATCTCCTTCACTTGCGCTTCATATCCCCAGTATGAGTAGAAGGACAGAGCCATTCCACCGGTAGAGTTGACGTCTCGCTTGCGGAGATAACGCAGGAGTATGTTGCACAGGAATCGATTGGCTTGACTGAGGTGCAGAACATCTGCCGGTCTTGACTGGTCAGCAATGAGAAAGATGAGTTCCTGTGGGAGTGACAGGAGCTGCATAGTGAAATTTGAATGACAGCATCCATGGATCATTCGGTGAGGATATCACATCTGATGCGTGAGGCAAGGAAGCCAGGTGAGCAGGGAAGAGGTGGAATTACGGCGAGGCTGCGGGTGCCCCTCGGCGAAAACAACAGATTGAAGTCTGCCTCGTGCCAGGCACGCCAGGCACCTACGTTTATCAACCACCTGCATTCCAGCGGCGACAGGAGTGTTCGGATAGTTCATTGAAATTGACCCTTGGGGCCAAATACAGACAGGGCCTTAGCACTTGGGTAGATTGGGCTGATGCAGGCACCTGACACTGCTGCCTCGGGCAGCGCACCGGAGTCGGGTCAATGATTTCCGAAGTATACAGCTGGTGAGTTACACCCACGACGTGAGTTTCCGAGGTTAGCGGTTATCAACGTAATCTCAAGTACCACAAAGCACAACGTGAGAACCATCGTCGAAGCTGAAGGGCACAGAACTGGGAAACGTGGAAAAGCCATCACATAATATTTGACATCAAATGGGAATCCTACCGATCCATCTCTTATCGAAGACTACCTACTAGCTCCGCTGCATTCTATCTCGGTGTGATGTACAAAGGGTATCGGGAAGATCCACGGATCTTCCGTCCCTGACAGGCAGGGTCGCGATCTAATGTACTGGAGTGGAAAGGGTAAAAATCAAACAAAGGAGAGGGGGAAAACGAAAAGCGGAACATCGACAGGGGCGCGACAACAGGCCAGAGTAGCCTGCCTCAGGGCCCAGGGCAGTCCAAGATAGCAAGCAAAGAAGACGCAAAACAGATGAGACTCGTAGGACGGCGTTAGGGGTGAGCAAGATCAGCCAAAGGCTAACGACAAAAGGACAAACTGGAAAAGATCTGGGGTGCATGGCAAACAGCCGTCAACCTTCAGCAGCAGCATTGCAAGGGACGAGCACTCTTCCGAGGGCGTAGCTGGATCATTTGCGGTCAAAGAACCAGCTCGTGCGCTTGCCGTTCGTCTCTTGCGATTGCACCCCCGCGACGTTCGCATTCGGCGGCGGCCCATCCGAGCCGCCGCCGCCGCGCAACGGCTTCGCGATGCGGGATCCTCCAAAGCTGAAACTCCCACTGCCATCCATCGCAGGCAGGCCCCGCGTAGAGCCCTGTTTGGCAGCCTCCAGTCGTTCTTTGACGGCAGTGAGTTGGGCCTCGAATCTGTCGAATGGCTCAGCATCATACTCGAACGGAAATGGCGGGAAACGGTGACGAGGATGGGGATGGGGGAAGAACATACCGGTGGTTGGCTTGAGTCAGCTTCTCCTGACTCTCCTGTAGCAAGCCCTCAAGGCTAGCAATGCGCTCATTCCGTGCAATCAGCTTACGCTCCGCAATGGCAACTTCCTTCTTCAAGCTGCTGTTCTGCTCCACCAATTGTCGCTGGACGTGCGTCAGCTGCTCCAGATTGCGTTCCAGGAACGCCATCTTCTTCTGCTGAGCACGGTTGTTCGACGACCGAAGAACATTATTGTATTGCTCTCGGGCATCGTCCAGGGAAATCTCAAGCTCGACAACCCGCTCACAACGGTTCTGCAGGTCGCGCATCAGTGACTTCTTCATGGCATCGAATTCGGAGATCTGCTGCTGAAGCGTCTTGCTGGCAGCACCGTTGGCTGATGTCCGTGACTGAGTATCGACAAGGTTTTGTCGCAGCTTGCTCATTTCGTCGTCCTTACGAGTGATCTCGGCTCGGAGCTCATCAACGGCCGCAGCTTCGGTGTCCTTTCTGCTGATAAAGGATTTCTCAAGCCGCTCCCGAATCTCCTCCACGTCTCCCTCCGCGAGGTTACGAGACAGCAGATCTTCGTATTCCTTTTGAACCTCCTCCAGCTTCTTCTCTAGCTCTCCTCGGCGGCTGTCCTGCAGCTCACCAAACTCGCCTCGGTCGTTCATCGTCAACTCAGCCTGGCGGATAAATCCTTGAGTCTCCAATAGACTCGTACGGAGCTCAAGAACATCGTCCGGGGCGATGGTCTCGCCCGCGGCGCTAACCTCGTGCAAGGCGTCAACATGCGAGATCAGACTCTGTAGCTTGCGTTCGTTGGTTGAGAACACGTCGTCGCCTAGGTCAAAGCCGGCCATCATCTTAGCCATTTTCTCGGCCTTCTTCTTTTCCTTCTCATCCATCGCGGCCGTGGTCTCCTTGGCCTTCATCCGAACATCTAGAAGTTGCTGCTTCACCTCATCCAACTCGCCCGTCAGTTCAGAATTGGCCTCTCGCAAGCCATCCATGGTAATTGCAGCCTCCTTGCCCTCATAGGAGACCTTCTCAAGCTGCATGCGAAGTTCGTTGACTTCGGTGTTGAGTCGTTCATTGTCCTTTCCGGATCGTCCGGCGTTTTCCTTGATTGACTTCAGCTCTTCCCGGGCTTCTCGAAGACTGCGTTCGACATTGACGATATGGGTCTCCCTCTCCGCGATCTGGTCCTGAAGTTCGTTCTCACGACGCAAGAATTCCTCCCGCTCGTCTTTCTCCAAAACCAGGCTAGGTGTACTCGAGCGATCTCCAATCCGTGAGTCCGGGCGTGGGGTCTCTGCCCGGGCTGTTTCTTGAAGGCGAGAGGGGGTTCCAGGGCGGGGAGCGCGAGCTTCTACCTTGGCAGCACTGAGGACCTCGTTACCACGCGCAGGGGTCCATTGGTCCTTTGGAACACTATCACCACTGCGCCAGGATGAAACCTCGCTTTCCAAAGCGGAAATGTAGGTCTCGAAGCTGGTGACTTGGGTCTGAGCCTTGCGCAAGAGCATTTTCAACTCGGCGGGACTCAGCTCGGCGTTGATCTTCGCCTTGTTCTTGATTGCCTTGGCACGCGAACCGAAGCGCAGAGTAGATACGGTCTCAGCATCGTTATAACTGCTGGGGGAGCAATTGATGATCAATGTCGTGCGAGAGTTACCACCAAGAGATTCCTGGAGGATTCGGGTGAGTTTCGAGTCACGGTATGGGACATGCGTCGATTTTCCGTCCGTGAGGGCGTTGATAACCATCCCGAGAGCACTCAGACTCTTGTTGATTTTTTTGGCTTCCTCTAGCGTCTGACCACTAGCTCCCGTTTTGCCGACCTTTTCACTACCAGCCAAATCGACCAGGAACAGTTGACCACTCTTTGCAGACCCGGTCTCGACATTCTTCTGGCTGACAGTGATGACGAAGATTGAGTGTGAACGAGACGACTCCTGGTTCATGTTCGTGGCGGCCACGGCTCGCGCATTCCCACCACGACGCATCACCTCGTAGACCTCCTGCACGCTCGACACGTAAACTTCCAGCAGCCCCTTGACGTACACACCGCGATTCTTTTCCTCGTGAACCGGAAGGTTGTCGTTTTGTGGCACCAGCAGGTCACGAATCCGTTCCATGTAGATTTCCATGTAACTGACCCGCACCGTATACTCGATGTTGCTCGGACTAGTCAGGATGCTGGCAAAGATCTGCTCGACGATTCGTGGAATGATACCCTTGCCCACGTCATCATCAATATCGGAACCCATCATTGTGTATGATTTTCCTGCACCGGTCTGACCGTACGCAAAAACCGTTCCATTGTATCCGTTCAAAATATCGTCAACCGTCGGCCGAATGGAGAAGTCGAAGATGTCGGTTTGGGCCGAATCCATGGGAAACACCCGATCAAAGGTGAAGTCGCCCGAGCCTTCCTGGGACTATCCAGCACGGCCCCTGTCAGCACGCCCGTTGCCCGTTAGCCTCTTGGGGATCCTCTGCTCACCGTGATTTTGCATGACTCCTCGCCTTCAAAATTGACGATTGGCTGGCCACCGGAGGATAATTCGACCTTGTTTTGAGGCCGGAATCGGGCGACCACTGTAGGCATTGGGGGGTTAGCCGTGCTCGCTCCACCACATCTCCTCCGTTGTGCGTACCTTTAATGGTGTTGGACCCCGCGGATCTGAAACCGAGTCAGTAATATTCTGAGTGCCGGATTTGCGAATACTCACGCCATATTTGCGGTGCAACAGCTCTATCTCTTGCAAACAGAAAACAACCCCGAAGAGGGGCAGACAAATCCCGGGGGTCGAGGAGAGCCTCTGGGATTTGCCTGGGACCAGAAACAGGGGAGATGACCTCCGCGTGGACTGCGCAGATGAAGCACAGTCGGTGAATAAAATAAGCCAAAAGCAAACTAAGAAAAGTGAGCTGGAAGGAATCGGGAGACGGAGAGAGTCGAGGGTGGAAGTGGATTGTTGACGGGTCACCCGTTTGGGATTCTTGGCCGACCGCCTCCCCGGACTTGCAGCGTGCAGCGCGCAGGGCCCCGAGCTCTATACTAATCTTGACATCCACCTTTTATTGGGCGAATTCAGAGCGGGCGGGAGTGTTAAGCGGTCATTCGGGCATGGTTGATGAACAACAACCAACCCATGGCTTTCTTTTTTTTTTTTTAAACCATACGGTGCACTACGGGTGACTCGGGGAGGGGCTGGGAACAATGTGCAGCATTCGAAGGCTAATGCAGATAAGCTATGGGGGAAACAACCGAATGGGAATGGAAAAAGGGATTTCGTGGTGAAACAAAAAATGCACAAATGAAAAGCCATCCGGAATAAAATAGCAAAATGTAAAAACCAGGCGCCCAAACCCCACGCTGTGCAGATCAAACGGCCCGTCCGAAGCCGACGCTCGACTCCGGCGCAACTTGCCTCCCCGGACTCGTTTCGGCCCCAACGTTTGTCAATGAAACAACAAATAGAAAGTAAAGGCCTATGAAAGGGCTCCTTTCTCCGGGTCACGTTCGAAGATCTCCCTAATCTTCCCAGCTCTTCTCCACGGTCTCACGCACACGCTTGACATATTCCTTGCGGTTGTCCTTGTAAAGGTTCGATGCCTCGACGTTCGCGGGAGAAGAGGTGTTGGGGTCGTTCAAGAGACTAGGCAAAAATCACATGTTAGCATGGAATTGAATCCCGGTATCTGTGAAGAAAATGTGGTGTAAGGTTGTACCTCTGGATACTAGTCAAGATGGCCGCCACATCGTAAGTCGGACTCCATCTGTTTTGCAAAATATCGAGGCAGAGCTCGCCGGTTCCATACACGTTGGGGTGGAACATCTGGCTAATGAACTTAACACCCGGGGGCTTGTTGGGGTACTGCTCCTCGAAATTCATCACGAGGCGAAAGGTTCCATCTTCGAAGGGTGTATCTGCCGGACCGATAATGACGGCATTCCTAGCCATATGAGCCAAGGGAGCCATAGCCAGCGAGGGAAATTCAGTTGCCTACCAGGTCATAACATTGTCGGCGATGGGAGAGGCAGATACGCCGGCAGGAGGATCGGTTTGCATGCGCTACAATCGGGAGAAAACAGGTGGGTTAGCGGGGGGCAAATCACCAGCTTCGGGGACCCTGGGGCGCAAGGATGAAAGAGTCATGGGAGAGGAGACACAAAGTACTGGCCGACGTAGCTCTTGCCTGAGATTCATGAGAGCATTTGCAAGGAAGCGCTTGGCCAATGTCTCAATTTCCAGATGACGCCCGCGGTACATACCTTGAAGTCCCGCATGAGACGGCGACGGGCGGTGGTCGACATCGTTGCGGGTCAGAGTGGGTATGAAGCTGACGGATGGCAATGAGACCGGACTGCAAGCTGTGTGATGCAGTAGATGCAACTGCAAAGTTTGACCGGGCGAGGTGCAGCACGAAGGTCTGGGAGGATAAAGCGGGCTTGCTAGGAGGGGATCCGGGAGAACTACCCGGATGGAGAAACTATCCTCATCTGACTTGCTGAGTCACATAATTATGTCATATCATGTGATCTGCAATAGCCTCGGCCCAGAAGGAACTACGGGATGCCGGCCGCCCGCTAGCCGCAATTAACCGCTCTCTTGGGACGAGCATTCCATGCTTCCCAGTTCTTTCAAGATTCCCTCCTCTCCATCGCCCTCTATCATCTCTTTACCACCAATCTCGAGTGTTTTCGCCGGTCGTTCACTCTTCGGTTTTTCCATCTACGACCACCATGATGAATACCACAGGGCTGTCTGTCCGTCTGTCCAAGCGGGCTGCTCTCCCCGCATTCCGCGGTCAGAGACACTTTAGCTCCTCACGCCTGTCTCTGCGGGAGATCCAAGAGGCATATATTCTCAGTGCCGCCCGGACGCCCACGGCCAAGGTGAGTCAAAGTCATGGGTCTATGGATCATGCATTTGCATGAAATACAGTGTGTTAATCACTTTACCTACTAGTTCAATGGTTCTTTTGCCTCGGTTTCGGCTCCACAGCTCGGCGCCGTCGCCATCAAGTCAGCCCTAAGCAAGAGTAATGTCCCTGTTGATAAGGTGACTGATGTTTATATGGGAAATGTTCTACAGGGGTCGGTCGGCCAAGCTCCCGCTCGCCAGGCGTCCATTTTCGCTGGATTGCCTTCCACCGTTGAGGCCATGACGGTGAACAAAGTGTGTGCGTCCGGTCTGAAAGCCGTTGCATTGGCCGCGCAGAATATCCAACTGGGCCTGGCTGAGGCACAGGTCGCTGGCGGTATGGAGAACATGACCCGCGTGCCTTACTACATGCCACGGTCGAGTCAGCTGCCCCCGTTTGGCGAGATCAAATTGGAGGATGGCCTCATCAAGGATGGTCTCTGGGACGTTTACAACCAGTTCCATATGGGTATCTGCGCCGAGCAGACGGCGAAGAAGTACGAGGTCTCGCGAGAAGATCAGGACCAGTACGCCATCCGCTCTTATGAGCGTGCTCAGGCGGCCTGGAACGAGAACAAATTCGCAGACGAGATTGCCCCCGTCACCGTCAAGGGCAAAAAGGGCGACACGGTCATCGAGCGCGATGAAGGATTTGAGAACTTGCGCGCCGACAAGCTGACCACGCTGAAACCCGCCTTCCTACGAGATGGCACCGGTACCGTCACCGCAGGCAATGCGTCTACCATGAATGACGGCGCATCGGCGCTGGTCCTCGCCAACAAAGAAATTGCGAGAGAGTTCGGTACAGGTGGCCGTGCTCTAGCTCGCATTGTGTCATCCGCTGATGCGGCCATTGATCCTGTTGACTTCCCCGTGGCCCCTGCCAAGGCTGTGCCCATCGCTTTGGAGCGTGCCGGCATCACCAAGGATCAAGTCGCTGTCTGGGAGTTTAACGAGGCCTTCGCAGCTGTCATCAAAGCCAATGAAAAGGTAAATCCCCACAAATCTTTCCGAAAAGTCAATTGTGGCATCTTGTCGCTAACCCATCTCCCTCGTTAGATTCTTGGTCTCCAGGACGCCAAGGTCAACATGCTTGGTGGTGCCATTTCCCTTGGCCACGCCCTTGGTAGCTCTGGCTCTCGTATCCTCGTCACTCTACTTCACCAACTGCAGCCCGGCGAGTACGGCGTGGCTGCCATCTGCAACGGTGGTGGTGCAGCGAGCGCTATGGTTGTACAGAAGTTAGACCGCGTGGAGTAAGTGGTCCGGAATGAGCTGCGATGTCTCAATGATACCCTTCAAAGCCCCGCATAGAGCCACATATTATCAAAACTGCGGTCTCTCGGCTTTGCACACTCTGTACATATTCTGGGGAGCTATTTTCCCTTAAATTGAAGCTATCTGAATGGAGTGGCTGTGATGATATATGCTGCCGGTGCACACTACTTTTCATCAGGCGCTTGTCAACCACATAGCATGAGATTCAATCATGCATAATATCGAGATATTCAAATGAAAGCAGAATGTCACATACCTAGATAGCAAAGGCACTTGTAAGCCTTGACATCGAATCGTGTGTACACTAGCGTAGGAGGAGTAGTCCAATAGATGTGAAAAGTACAACTTGAATAGGACCGTACGCCAAGCATCACAAAATGCAAGGAATGGCGCTAGTCCCGATCAGGAAGCTCTTCAGCAAGAGCTCCAAACACTCGGACCGTCGCAGTTCTCTTTGTCCTCTGGCACTCCCCGTTCGTCTCGGCATGCTGACCCCTGGTGGCTCATTCTGACAGGATGCTTTCACCCATTCAGCTGCCCCTTCAACCCTCCTGCTTTGAAGCTCTGTCGTGGTCACCCGATGGCGAGATAGCTGTGGCTGCGGGCGAACATGTCCACGTCCTTGTGCGTTCTTCTGAAGATTGCGATCTGCATATTCTAACAGCTGGAATAGATTCCTAAAAATGTCGTCGCAGACCCGGGGGCACAAGGCAAGGATGCGTGGGAGATCACGCGTATTCGTGTCAACAACTTCACCAACGCCGAGTGGGCCTCCATCTACCCACAAAACCGAGATGATTTCTCACTCGGAGCAGAACAGTCGATGAGTACTGTCATCGGCCTGGCATGGTCTCCAGAAGGGCTCGCTCGGTTCCGGCGCAGCGTATTGGCCGTGTTGACTTCGAATTTGATACTGTCCCTATGGGAGCCCGTCGGACCCCAAGCCATATGGACACGAGTGGCGATCGCTAACCATGCACTGCATCCGGACCCCTCGGCTCCCGGACAATTAACTGGAGGACAGCTCCGTAAGGCCAATATACGCTCTTTTCAATGGTGCCCACCTCTCAAGATTCCAGGGAGACCTGACGGTTCCAATTCGGCGTGGCAGCCGGAAAGTCGCTGGGGCGTCCATTTAATATCCGTTGCAAATGATGCAAATGAGGTCATTTTGCTAAAAGTCTGTCGATTCGTATGTTCTCCACCATCGACCTGGTCCTACCGGGTGGAGAAACTGGCTTCCCATCAATTGAACGCAGAAACTGTCCGATTTTCCAAGATCAGCTCCGAGTCTATGTTACGGAAAGCCCTTGAATTAAAGGCTCGTGTTCTGTCGGTCTCGACAGGCCCCTGGCTTGCCTGTCCGCAGTCTACAGAAGACAACGCCCACTCTGTTACAGCGGCCCTGGCCACTGCGTACGGCCAGCAGTTGCGTCTTGTTAAGATGGCTGTTGTCCTTCGCAGCTCAACGGATGACCAAGGAGATGCTTTGAAATATCAAGTTTCAGCTGAATTGTCAGACCACCCGATAAATCAATCGTCCTCAAGATGGGCTCATTGCCAGGTGCATAGTCCACTAAAATGGATATACACGGTATGTTCTTTGCATTTCTTTGTTGTGAATTGCCTGATCAATTTCACAGAAACTAATTGACAACAGGAAAAGGCATCAACAATAGGTCTTGCGGTCGGTACTATTGCCGGGTTCATGACAATTTCAATGACACCTTCCAATTATATGGGCAGTGACGGAAAGACAGATGTATTCGACTTTCGAAAAATTCCCTCCTCATCGTTCCCTGCTGCAGTGGACGATGAACCATCTCGAAGGTATTGGGATCCCATCACAGGTGAGCAGTCTTCCTTTCCAAATTTCTGACTTGCGCTGATCTGTTTTAGCGATGTCTACTTTGGTAGATGAGCAAACGAATACTTGTACCCTCCATCTAGGTTCAGGGAGTGGTCTTTGTGCTACGACAACTCTCGAACACTTAAAAGCTGGTGTTAGCCCTGGCCTGCCGCGGTGGAGTAAGCATGTCGACAACTTCCGAGAGCAATTTGGCTTGGACCATGATCTGGGCGGGAATACCGTGTCCCGAATTGGAGGTCTGGCCTCCTATCGTGACGTGATCGCAGTCCTGATCACGCCCAATCCGACCGACGAGATTCAATACATTGTCACGTCAGATGAGAAATCCTTCCTTGGATTTGCTTTCGAAGGAGTCGATCAAAACTTTAACGCAAATTCACTCTTTACGCCTCGTTCGAACGAGGAAACACAGCCTGGAGCTAGCAAAAGAGAGAAGGCCGTTGAATTTTTAATCTCGCAATATGAAAAGGGCGATGATATTAATGAGATGGACCAGAGGCTCATTTATGCAGCAGCATGCTGTAGCATTGTGGATGAACAGAGTGAATCAATTCGCACTCGAGCTAGGAAGGTCCTTGAGCGCCTGGCTATTCATTTAGATGCCGATTTGAGCGAGGAAATATCCAAATGTGAGGCCGGCCCTCCTCAAATATGCGCCAAGACTTCAGATCAGTTCGCCCGGCCAGGAGGTCACTTGTTTGAAAAATGCGATATTTGTGATGCGAGTATACCGTGGGAATCGCCCGATGAAGCCCAGTGTGAGAATGGCCATCTTTTTGGTATGTAACTCATTCCGCGAATGAAGTTGACATTGATCTAATGCACTATTCTAGCGCGTTGTGGGATCACGTTCCAGGCCATGCAACAGCCTGGATTATCCAAATATTGCTCCGGTTGCCAAACGGAGTACATCGACGAAGAGCTTCTCGTTCGGGTGCATGATGAACCGCTGGGACCCGTACTCGCGAAGGTGACTCAAGCGTTTGATACTTGTCTCCATTGCAATGCCAAGTTCAAGTGCAAGTTCAAAAGCCAGTAGATTTCAGTGGGCGCAGGAAAGCGAGGTCAGCTAGATGAGCATAGAGACGTTGTTGGCAGGCCTCGAATTGCATCGCCTGTCACATGGTATTTTCATGAGCATCTATACATATGCAGTTCGAAATCGACTATTGTGACTCGGTTAAGCCAAACAAATATCCGGCAATAGGATCCCATTCGTCGTCCCACCGCCTTTCACTTTCCTTCTGAGCACCTGCTCGAAGGCTTTCCAACTTCTGATCATTGCCGAACAACTCCACTAGCCGGTCCAGTAATTCAGCCGTGCTTCCGAATCCCATTCCATTCACTCTTTCGGTCACCAGCTCCGGCCATGCTTCGAAGCGATTCCAGCCAACGACCGGCAAACCAGCCCCGAACATATCAACGACTTTCATTGGGAGATCCACACCACTACTGCTAGTGTGTAGGCTGACCCCAAGGGAGGCTGATGCGAGGAGACGTGCATAGTCCGGTACCGTCAGCCATGCTGTGCGGATCGTGACTTTCTGGAGCTTGCCGGCAGCCTCGAGGGCCGTGATCTTCTCTAAGTACATTTGTTTCTGAGGACCCTTTCCAGTGATTACTGCCAGTATCTCTGGAAGCTCTGGTTGTGATACGGCTTTTTCAGAGTACTGTAGCAGAGCGTCGATGAGGACCGAGAAGTCTTCATCGGGGGTCCAGGAAGTTGAGCTCACGAGAACCCGCAGGTTCCCCGAGTCTAACGAAGACCGCAACCCTTCCATCTCTGGGAGAGTGGTGAGAAACTCGGTACGCTCCTTAGGGTCGGTGATTGGATGAAAATGACTGGCGGGCCGATCGTGCAGTGGCAGAATAGGTGCTTGGAGCTGGAACTCTCTTTTGAGTACGGATCGCATGGCATCGGTGACACAAAAGTGGGCCGATGCCATCTTGCAAAAGGTCTTTTCGTACCAAATCGACAACTTGACGAAGGGGTGGGCTGGGCCGAGCTTCAATGCTAGAATTGAATATCCGAAATTATGCCAGTCAATGACAAGTCGTGTTTGTCGCAAGAAGCAGGACAACGATGCCACTGCTAATGTAGGGATTGAGGGAGGGTTCTATGCGAAGCAATCAATATCTATCAATTCCCTCAAAGAACTTTCGTGTCTCTCCATGAGCAACAGACCTGCACGAGAAGCCACCGGCTCGGTGGGGTAGTATATGCCAAACATTTCCACAGGCACACTACCTGGAAAATCACTTTCAGTGGTCCGTAAGTGGCAAACAGGAGCTTATTGCTCGTCTGTAAAATAGCCGGATGGGGTCGAAGAGGAACAATCGAGATATTAGGATGCGACATGATATCGGGATGCGGGTCGGACTCTGGAAAGGCTTCTTAGTTTTCCCCGCAATTTCCCTGTTGTTTTGTTTTTGGCTGCCATTGCAGCTCCGGATGACCGCACCTTTGTATCCGACGATCACTACCAGCCCACCCTTCCTCGCAATACTCAACGCGTGGTATTGCATGCGTGGACTCCGACCGATATCCCCCAAGACGAGGATCTGCACACTTGGCCTCGGCTTCTCCTGGGGGGACGGGCGTGGTTCATACTGAGACGGCAGCAACAGAATCAACACCGTCAGCGCAGTCGACAGGACAAACGCGATGGTAATGATGGTCTCAATCATGGCGGACACAGAGGTTTTCCCTCGACCTCGCCCTTCCACGTCAACTTGAACAATGGCACCTGGAAGCTCTGGGTTGCTCCGCCGGCCTGCGTCAAACGGATTTGGAGTGGAGACGCGTCTATCGATAAGGCGATCACGTGCTGATCCCCAAGGTCGCAGCTTCCCCATTTGAACGAGGGTGTCTTCAAGTTGGTCTTTCTGCCAGACCTGCTCGCCTCCAGTCTTCCCTCGGTTCTTTCGCCTGCGCAATGCTGTCCGTCTCTCCACCTCTCCCCGTCGCATTCTGAGATCCCCTCGAACCTCCGATCTCTGCCAGGTCCCTCCTGGTTACCATCTCCTATTCGGCTGCGACACCTACAAGATCATGTCGACGGGGGCGCTGCCCTTGAACGCGGACATCGCGCCTCCAGTCAATGGACAAGCACACGGCCATAGTCGTGGACGGGGACACAACCGATCCCGCTATGCTCAATCACCGCCGGCCCCTCTCTCGCTGGGCTCCAATGCCCCCCAGCCGCCACCTGAATTGACCGATCTGGGGAATGCCAATGGCGCAAACGGACATGCCCCGCAGACATTATGGTCTCAGCATCATCATACACACTCCCACTCGCATACGCATTCGCACTCGCACTCGCATTCAATTGCGCACCACAACCAGACCCACAGCGTATCGTCAATTCACCATGATGCGCATCCTCATGTCCACGACCATGACCACGATATGCACCCCAACTCTGCAGCCCTGCGCCCGGGAAATAGTCCGAAGCAACTGTATGTGGATTGAGCAGCTGCATTGGAACATGGGATAGTAACTGACCCGTCTACAGTAATGAATTCATTGCCGGCGCCCTGGTCGCTTTGCCCTGGATAGCACTCTCGTGGTACCCACGTGAATGTACACAGTGTAAAGGTGAACCCGATGCTGTGAACATGAAGCCCAATCTCTCAATTGGAGTTGTCGATCATGTGGGGCTGGAGACCTGTGTCTTGACTGCAATTACACTTATCTTCTTCGGCTGTGGCCAGCTGGCTCGTATGAACTACCAGGCGAAGGGCTCTCTGGGCTTCTCATCGGTGAAGCTCCCCGGGCTCAATGTGAAAGGCGCCCAAGATGCCTTGTTGCAGCTGTGCTCAGTTGGACTACCCATCTTCGCAGCACTGAAAGTTGGAGGTTTCTTGGTGGCATTTTGCTTTCTTCTTGCGTCGGCTACTGGGGTTTCCAACTTAATGTATTCGGATCCTCATATCGCCGCCCAAGAACGCTATGGTCGGAAACCTCTCACAATTGCCGTTTTAGCAGCCGCCACCCTGTTGAGCTACTGGGGTCTCAATCAGCCCAGGGATTCATGGCCCCTGTTGGGATACCTGGCGCTGCTCCTCTCGGTATTTGTTATTTCGCCTCCTTTTCCTTCTCCTCGCCATCAGGGCCCGATTCCGGAGCCAGGATTGGTGGCCGAGTCATTGTCTAAGATAGACAAGGCTTTAAGCGTAAGCCAGTCCGCTGTCCTTGTTACGACCGATGCATCTCTGGCTCTGGTTTCAGGTGGCTCTCTCCTACTTCTAGTCGTGATTGCCTCTCAAGGCTTACCCTTCAGCATGATGGACCTGGTGTATTTTTCCGTTCCGACGGGACTATTCGCACTTTCACTGATGGCCTCTTCCCCTGCCGCTCTTCGATCACCCGACAAAATCGGCCTCGCCGTCAGTGCTGGATTTGCTACACTCTTCTGCTCTCCGCATATCCGGGATGACATTTTGATCGTATATGCTGCGCGCTGCATTCTCGTCGCTGTCTCTTTCTTAGCTGCCAGAATGGATGATAGCCACCTGCGCCTGAGTGCTCACTCGCACAATCATACCCACCATCATAGCCATTCTCATGGACCCACGGAGGCTTCAGTGGTCACGAAATGGCTTCTCCATCGCAGTGAAGCCTATCCATTGCTGTATAGCATTCTCAAAGAGAAGGACTCTCGAAGTATCTTCTACTTCATGTGGTGAGTTTTCTTTTAACTCTTACCCTGGCGCAACTTTCACTAACTCATATCAGCCTCAACTTCAGCTTCATGCTTGTCCAATTGTCATACGGCTTTTTGACAGGTTCTCTCGGTCTCCTTAGTGACAGCATTCACATGTTTTTCGACTGCCTTGCCCTAGTCGTGGGACTCTGCGCAGCTGTCATGAGTAAATGGCCCCCCAACGCTCGATTCCCTTATGGCTATGGCAAAGTGGACACATTGTCTGGCTTCGCCAATGGCATATTCCTCATGTAAGTCTGCCCTCTCTATATTTGCAAACAGCCTTGGTTATTAACCCCAAATAGGATTATCAGTGTGGAGATCATCTACGAGGCGGTTGAGCGCCTATCATCGGGAAGTCAAATGCACCGCATCGGTGAACTTCTGGTCGTCAGCATTGCAGGACTGCTGGTCAACCTGGTTGGTATCTTTAGCTTCGAGCACGGCCACCACCACCATGGTCACGATCACGGACACGACCATGCACACGGCAATGAAAACATGCACGGTATTTTCTTGCACATCCTCGCCGACACACTTGGTTCCGTGGCGGTCGTCATCTCAACCGTCCTGGTACATTACTCTGGCTGGGCAGGGTACGATCCGCTGGCATCGTGCTTTATTGCAATTCTGATTTTTGCTTCGGCGGTTCCACTTGTTAGTAGTACTGCGAAAACCTTACTGTTAACTTTGCCTGCCGACACCGAATACAACGTCCGTGAAACTCTCGCTGGTGTGAGTACCTTGCGCGGAGTGGTGAGCTATACAGTGCCGAAATTCTGGCTCGATGATACCGGGTCGTCATCGGACCATGGGCACGCCCATTCACATGAACGCTCGGGTCATGGAGACTGCGATCATCATCACGATCATCATCACCATGAGCACAGCCACGGACATGATCACAGTCATAGCCATTCCCAACCCCATGATCACGACCACGACCACAACCACGACCATGTGCATCACCATAATCAGAAGGTTTTCGGGGTCATTCACGTTGTTGCCTCCCGAGGATCAGACCTTGAAGACGTCCGTCAGCGAACAGTGGATTACCTCCGCGAGAAGGACATGGATATTGTTGTGCAAGTGGAGCGCGATGGGGACAGTCGATGCTGGTGCGGAGGTGGAAGCAAGTCCTCTTAGGGAGGGCACTCATTTTTGAATCGCCTTCAAAGATTCCTAGTCCATCCGGCTACGCACCAGCATAGCGTTCACGCTTCATCTTTCCCTGTTTTGAATATCTGTAAAGATAGCTTGATGTCTTAGTAAAGCACCACGGTACAGGGCAAAGGAAGAAATAACATCCTCGATACGATTGCTTCGGTTCCATCTTTGTGAACAAGACTAGCTCGCGTCACACGACTTGATAGACACATAGACCGTTAAATGATGATATGGTTACAAGATGATACGGTACTTGATTGAGGAAATTTGATTTGCGAGAGAATATTCTGGAATGTCTAGAATGCAAAACGTTTGGTTGCGCGTTAGTAGTGCTAGGATACATTTTGACACGATTCCTCAATATTCTTGAAGATCCCGTGGATGTTTAGAAACATCACCGACATATGATGGAGCTGGGTACAACAGCTAAGGTATCAAGTTTAGCAGCATTTTGTAGCTAAGTAAACCCCGGACCGGTGCCCAATGACATGACGTAGCAGGAAGCCAACGGGGACAAAGATCAGCAGGGTTGGCTGAAGTTCGGATAACATACCAATGGGAATGGCTCGCCCAGAGCATGTTTCTTTCTGGGTCAGGCACCATCGAGGACAGAAGCCACCAAAGAATTATTCGGGAGGATTTTTCGATGGAAATACGGGCTGGACGGAGACGGCCGTCGGCGTAAGCAATTTCCAGTGATTTACCGTGAACATGGCAGCCTGTGATAAGAATCTCTAGTTTTGATGGAAAAGCCTCTAGAAAGCATTCATGGGCTCAAAGGCTTATCGATCGAGATCCGTCTCACGTCATAGGCCCATTTTCTGTCGAGGCCAAATCAACGAGTCTGCCCAGCGAGTGTCGGCGGGCGAGAGAACACGCAGCAGCTCCGAGACCAATGCTCGCCCCGAGTGGCGAGCCCACCATCGCTGACCATCCAGCTCACCCAACAGCACACCCCAATGCATCAGTATTAGCATAGCCAGCGGTTGTCGCCGCCGCACATTGTCCACAAATTCTTTGTCCACGGCCGCTAACCAAGCAAGGACATTGGCTGGGTCCTGAGAATTTCTGAACAAAGTAAAGCATTGGCGGAGATGGGCGACGACATCTTTGTTGATTCGGTGTTGGTCTGTGTCGATGCTGGCCAGCGTTTCATCGTTGAGCGTTGCTAGGCGATCCAGCGCCATGGCCGTCTGTTGGTCCAGTTCCGTGGGACCGGAACCCCAAAGCTCCTTTTTACGGGAGAAAAGATTCAATTTGATCCATGACCGGCCAATGTGGATAATCTTTTTGACACCCTGCAAAAGCTCAAAGACAGTCACGATGTTCTCCGTCATGTTGGAGCTCTCATCCCGCGCCCCCGTGACCCGTGGGAGAGCAATGCCAATGACCGTCGTCACAATGGACTGGGCAAGGACAGCCTCACAATTCTGCGGAGTGAGATTGTCAATTGCGATGCGGAAGGGCCCAAAAGTGAGATTATGGTATTGGAGGGCCGTGTCGGTATAAGCCAAAGAGGTCGGTAGGTCTACTGTGGTAGCGATGTGTAACGATGCCAAAGCCAGGATTCCGTTCATTAGGAAATCATACTGCAGGGCCAAGCGCGGAATGGTAATCTGCCACACCTCAAACTCGGAGGGTGCAGTGCATACACTCCGGAAGGTGTCGGTGCAAAAACGGTGCATTAGCTCGAGATCGCGAACTCCGGAGATGGTGGAAGGGGTGGAGGCGGCCGGGCTGATGGGGGCGAGGGGCCGTGACGTCCCCGATTCGTGAGTCGAAACAGACGCGCTCGGTGGCACAGAGGCACGGGCATGGGCATGAACGCTCCGCGGCGGCGCTCTCAAGTAGGTGCATTGAAGCTCACGAGAAATGCAGTTCGAGCAGGGGGGGCCTTTTTCGTCACACTGCAGCCTGCTGTCAGAAATGGGGCCACGTGCGGGCAGCGGGGGTAAGGCGACTTACCTTGACGCGACGTCGCTTGCACTGGTCGCAGCCATTGCGCGACTTGGTATGCGCGCGACGAGGAGCCATGAAGAGGCAGAAGCCGCCGACGCGTCGTTCATGATGGCGCCGAGTCACGTGGCGGCATTGTTTTAACTCCGACGGCTCCGTTGCGCCTTCGCGAGGACTGCCGCTGCCGCTGCCACGGAATACCACCCTACCGAATGGGGTAGGTATATCGGTATCGACACCGCATGACGTCCGCCGCTCTTATGCTTCCAGGCAGCGGTCCCTGCAGGCGATATGCGATATGCCCTCTCCATCGGGCTCATCCCCGGACCCTGGACGATCCGAGTTCAGTGATCCACCCTGGGGCTCTGCTGGGAAGCTCCCCTTTATCTCACTCCAGTCAATGTGCCTCCCTCGACATCCCGGTGGCAGCGCGGCCAACCCATGCAGGTCTCTGCAATTCCCCGATTCGTCGATCTCCAGTGGATCTCGCGTGGGCTCGAAGCGAGGCCGCGAGAACGAGAACGAGTCCGAACTACGGCCCAATCGCAGCCGTCAGCCTTGGCCGTTTCATGGATGCGGCTCCACCGGCGGGCAGCATGGCGCCGATTTCCTGGCAGTGCTCTCCACGTAAGACGGGCGGTTCAAAAGGGTTTAAAGGAAATGCGAGGGCCCTTTGTACAGGATGTCAGCATCAAATACGTCTGCGCTCCAGGCCTCTGGCCCTCTACATGGTCGCCTCCACGCTCTGCCACCCCCAAAAGCGCTGCAACAGTAATATCGCTGACAACAAACACCGGCCCGTGAACAACTCGGACGCTCTCGTTCGCCATGCCTGGATATTCTGACTGCTTCGAAGTCAGCCCTCTCTGTCCGGTGGAGGCCACTACCTACGGCTACTATCCAAACTTTGGGGGCAATGTCTTCTTCTCAGTGTTCTATGGCGTGCTGGGAATCTGCCAACTCGGCCTGGGCATTTACTTTCGGACCTGGACATTCATGACGGCGCTCGGAATCGGCGCGTTGATGGAGATGGCGGGATACATCGGCCGAGTCTTGATGAACGACAACCCGTGGAGCGCCCCCGCATTCAAGCTGCAAATCGTGTGTCTTGTACTGGCGCCGACGTTTGTGGCCGCTGGCATTTACCTGACCCTCAAGCACATTGTCCTCGCCCTCGGCCCTCAGCACTCAAAGCTCAAGCCGCGACTGTTCACCTGGATCTTCATTGGTTGCGATGTCGGCTCCTTGCTCTTGCAGGCTGCGGGTGGTGGTGTTGCCGCTGCTGCAGGCAAAACCGACCAGGCGATGTTGAAGGCGGGTGACGACATCATCATCGCTGGTATTGCATTCCAGGTCGCGACCATGGCCGTCTGTGGCTTTGTCGCGCTACATTTTTTCTGGACGGTCTCACGCCATGGCAATGGTCTGGAAGGGGAGAAAGCCACGGAGACGACCACCACTGTGCCTCGCATTCGCATGCAAATCATTCTCGGTGCGGAGATCTTTGCTTACTTCACCGTGCTGATCCGTTGTATCTATCGGTATGCTTCATCACGAACCCCGGGTCTTTTGCAATTTGGGTCCTTGAGCTAACGATATTGTTTCAGTATCCCCGAGATGGCAGGTGGTTGGGGAAACCCCCTCATGCAAAAAGAGGACGAGTTCCTCGTATTGGACGGAATGTGAGTTTCATACCAGTACTACTCAGCGTCTCAATATTGTGTCTAACCTGTCTTAGGATGATTGCTCTGGCCTGTCTATCCTTCACCCTCTTTCACCCAGGCCTTTTCCTTCCGTCGATGCGCACCCGTTACAAGAAACGTGGCTAAACATCCTTCCCACGGAATCACTAGACCCCTTCATTTCTCTACCTATCGACAGCATTTCCTCGACTCCTAATCATGACCATTGCATAACCATTGCATATAAAATAATATGAGCGCAACTCTTGAATCTCTCAGAGCTCCCTGAGCTCGGCGGGAATAGGAATGCATTGTAAACACAGGCACTCCTTTCAAAGTATACTTTTTCCCTTGGGCTTTAACCCCCTGCACTATAGTAGTTTTTACCTATCCTTAGAAGTTCTGCTGATATTTCGGTTGGGGCCATACACTACGTTTACCCACTTCCAGTGGATTGTAGCTGCAACGAAGGGGGGAGGGAAAGGAAATTTGAGAAGAATTTGGACTCAAAATAAGAGCCAATGACAGAAAACTCCAATCGAATCACGAAAGCATATTCGCCCCACAGGGGTAGCAGTATTCAAAGCGTGGCCATGAATGCTATCTCCTTCCTCCGTAAAAGCAATCCGCTCGCTCTATCATGCATGGAGAGCAACACCCACGACCGCGAAGAGACCCGGGAAAACACCAGATAAACAGAAACTGAATGAGAAATGACCAGCCAAATGCACCATGAAGAAATAATCATTAAATAGGAAAGGGTGAAGAGGAGAAAGCAATGTGAACGAAAATCAACCCTTCTCTACTCCTCTCCAGTGCTCTCACGCACACAGCGGCGGACACGCTTCTTGAACTCGGCCGGGTCCTCGCGCCACAGTCGGGCCGCCTCCACGTTTGCCGGGCTCTCATCATTCGGGCTAGACAACATCGAGATCACGGACAGGAGAATGGTCTCGGGGGTTTGCACGGGCGACCAGCGCTCGGCGGCAGACTCGTAACCGTACTTATCCTCCTCGGGTGGGTGCAAGATAGAGATGCAGACCTCGCCGTTCGGGTAGACTGGCAGGGGAAGACGATTAGCCGGGGAACATTTCCAGATTGAAGATTAAGATTCAATTCAGGGTCGACCACCCAGGCTCATCAAGTGCCGGTATGCCGGTGGAATGTGGCTCGGATCAAGTGCCGAGGAGGCGATCACTTACTGTTCGGGTGGAAGAGGGGAGACTCGAACTTCATCTTGGGTGGCATATGCGGGTATTCCGAAGGAAAGGAAAGGCGAGCACGAAAGAAACCGCCTAATATCAGTGTACGTCAAGTGTCAGCAAGCCCCAACCCTCTGATTCCATCCTGGTTCGCCAGTAGCACCATGTACGTAGGAATGACTGGAGTTCATGCTAGGGACCAAGAATTTATGATCCGCCGAGATCCCTTGGCCATATCACGAGGGGCAAACTACGTACCTCCATAAAGCTTGACGTCGTCCGATATCATGAGCATGACTTCCCACTCGAAGACGTTATTATCGACCAGGCCAACGCTGATGCCGGGGATGTCCTTATCGGACTGCATCTGCGATAGCTGTCGGGAAAGCATGCGGCCGGCGGGTGAAGTCGCCATGATGAAAATGACGTGCAAGATACAAAGATGACGGTATGAGTCAGAAGGGAGACCGGAGGGAGTTAGTAGCACGCTGTGAATGAGGCGTGCAAGAGGCGTGCGAGATGAGGGGGCGCGAAAAGAAATGAAGGCGGTGAAGGGCGGGGGAGGGCGTTCGAAATTTGAGGCAGCGATAGACCGATTAGGGCAGCTGATTAGGGTGGAGCCATTGCATCACCCTCGGGTATACAAGAAAAGGGATAGATCCTATGTCGCGCGGAACGTATTGGTTGCTAGGCATTGGCTACCTCGTAACAAAAAAATAAGATTCAAGACAAAAAAAAAAAGAAAGAAGACTCGGCTGCCGACAGCGAAAGCTAGACACATACAAAGAAGGGTAAATATGTAGCAAAAGAGCAGCACTCGTAGTTGCGGTCTTCAAGGCCCCCAGACAGATGCTCCGCTGATTCATCGTGCTACCTACAGGTACTTGCAGGGGGGAACTCGGGTATTGCAGCTAGCTAACAATCATTGGAACCAGGGGGTTCAGCGTCATTGAAACAGGGTAGAGGATGTTTACAAAGAGCCATCAGCAGGCACCATAGTCATACCCTTGGAGCTCAGTCCCCACGCGGTAGCCATGATGAGGGAGATGCCCACGAACATCACAGCGACCTGGATCAGTATCGTCTTGATCACAATCTTGACGAAGCGAACCCGGGCACTCCAGTCGAAGGTGGTCCATGCATCCATGAGGCCGATCTTGCCACTGCCACCCACGATCTCGGGCTGGACCTTCCCACCGAAGGAGCGGTCGAAGGGCACGATGGTCTCATCTTCCTCGGGCAGCATCGAGGCAGCGACGCGAACGAAGATGACATTGGCAGGGACAGAAACTGCCAGCGCCAGCAAAGCGGGAAGGGTACTGATCGCCAGGAAGCGCAGGAGGGACTTGTTGATGGTCTGCTCAGGGTGGTTAGGGTCCTCCGTCACATCAGTCCAGCCGGCGAACTGAGCCACAGCCATGGGCAAGAGGAAAGAAGCATAGGTCAGCGCAGACTGGAGGGCCACGGCCGGGGCGATCCGGATCCACTTGCGGTAGCTGGGGATGCGCTGGTAAAACCGCTTGGGCGAGGGTTCGGAGATGACAATGTGGACCCAGGCCATGTGCCACGTCGCAAGGAGCATGCTGATGGCGAACTGAACGAACAACTGGCCGAAGAAGGAGTTGGTCGAGATGGGGAAGACCAGCGAGAGGAACGCATCGGCGAGGACGTAAGCGAGATATATGGAGAGGCCCCGGAAGCGCGACCAGAAGCCAGCGCGGGAACGCAGGTGCCTGGTGGTCGAGCGCAGGCCACTGGTGATGGGCTTGGGACGTGGCGAGCCAGCAGCCTCAGGCTCATTGGGGTCATACGGCTTGTTGGCATCGTGCTGGTCGATGCGAACGTAGATATCGGGGTTGGAGTCCTCGATGGCGGCCAGGGTCGCAACCACTCCAGCGTATGTGTAATCAATCTAGCGCAGGTTAGCCGGTCGCCCTGGGGAGGGAGATGAGAAGATCATCGCGAAGACACTTACGGCCAAGAGTACGAGGCCAAACACGAGAAACAATGCCACAAGCAAGCAAATCAGCCATGGAGCAAACTCGACCTTCATGGCTGGCTTATCCTGGAAGTTGGCGACGAACTCCGCACTGCGGCGGACGAGATGACCGCTCACACCCATATTGAAGGAAATGATGAAAGCGAAAGGACCAGGAAAGGAAACGAGGCTCGAGGGGAAACGGGGGACTTATGAGGGCCGGTCGCCCCAGGCACAAAGCAGGCAGCCGCAGGCCGAATGCCGTTAGCGCCTCGTGCTTGTCTGTTTGGCCCACCCCAACTTCCTTCTCCTCCTCCGACCGCCAGGCTCGACCCAGGGGGCTTCTTGGCATTTTGGCCTCTCGTCCTATTCTGTTCGTCCTCTGTTCCTCCTCTTCTCCTCGTCTCCTCTTCCAGCATTGCTCTCTCTCCTGATTTTTCAGTATCGGCATTGAATCCCACCCGCTCCATTCATATTTAGAACCCCCTAACCATCGGCGCTTATCTGCTCTGGCCCCCAACCTGTGGGACGGCCCCCTCTCACCTATTGGGGCCATGCTTGGGACCCTCGCCGCTCTGACTGGCGATTTCGCGCCACTCAGCACTGCTTGAGCCTCAAACGAATCAGCTAGCAAGTGGAGCCGATAGCACCCGGCGCACCCGCAAGGTTCGAACAATTGCCCCTCCATAAATACGGAAACTCTAGCCTTGTCAGACCTTGAGAGGTATTCGCCCGGTCTCGAAACCAATGGCCTCGTCTGATTCTGTTCAGTGGAGACGAGTTGCACTTGTGTAGTGGTCCTGAAACAACTTGCTAGCCACACTTGTCAGTAATTGATACCATCAAAACAGCGCCATGTTGCACCGTGTCAGAAAACTTATCTGTCAGAAAAGTTGGATTTGTACAACGCACTACGCTGCAATAGTATACCGTACAAGATTGCACTCTCTAATAGTTGCTTATGCAGACTTAGGCCGAACTCTATGTTAGGAGTTTTCCAGGATGCCACCATAGTGCATCCGCAAAGATTCATCGACAGCTGTGAGGCGATCACATTGCATCCCAATAGTATAACAAAGACCGGCTACCGAAACAACTTAATGTATATTAGGCAATCCATGGCTACATACGACGGGACCACCAGGCCTCTAATAGGAGCGTCTAAGACATTCATGTAGAAACACTAGAGGCCATGGCTAGTCGGCTCGCAGGCCGAAGAGACTGAGTCTAATGTAATTTTTGGTATCCACCGACTTAGACGTGATTCTAGGCCGAGACCTTAATCTGCGGATCGAGCCTTCGCCTTCTCGGTTCAGCAATCGGAGGAACATTGATGCAAGGGTGGAATGTCAAAAGTCAGTCGCTCAACCAGTGGCAGTGGCATAATTCGATACAAGACGCCCTATAAGGAACCCGATCTATGAAGAACAAAAACCTGGCAACACAAGAACATCCAGGCATATCTTTAAATCACAACATTGCATCCGAGAAGAACCATAAAGGCCAATTGGCCGCCAGTCACAACCCCCGCGAGCGCCCTGTCCGTAGACAGGTGTCTAGAATCAACGCTGCAAAGAAGACAAGAGAAAATATATACACACAAAACAAATCGAATCAACCCTAAATTTAGCTTAATCAAAAAGCTTGTTCATAGCCTTGTGGGCGAGCTCCACACCAGCACTGCAGGAAGTCAGTTTCTGTACTTGGCAAGATCGAAAACGAATCTCTTAATCACTTACAAAGTGGCCGCGTTAGCGGGAACAGCACGGCACAGGGCCGGGCCGAAGCCGGGGAAGAAGGCCTTGAAACCGCCGCTGGCGTACACGGTTCGGATAGTTCCGCCGATAGTGGGCTTGCCGGGGGCGCTCTGCAGACGGGACTTGATGGTGTCGACAGGGAAGACGGGAATCCACATGGCGATACCGGCGGCACCACCAGCAGCCAGAACGGCGGGCAGGGACAGCTCGCCGGTGACGTTGCCGTTGGCATCCTTCGGGGTCAGCGACCGCTTGATGTACTCGTACGCGGCAAAGTAGGCGGCCGAGCCGGGACCGTCACGAGCCAGAGTCATAGCACTGCCACGGAACACACTGCGAACACCGCCCTCCTTGTACAGCTGACGCACCACATCCATACCACCGGAGTACTTGGGCTTCTCGCCGGGGGCGAGAGTCTTCTGACCTTGGATCTGCAAAAGGACCTTGACGCGCTCGAAGGGCGCGGTGATGAGGGTCATTGGGATGGCAGAAAAGAAACCGGCAGACGAGATCTGGGCGATCGAATACTGCGGGGTGTTGTTGACTACGGGGACAGTGGAGAGGTTGTTCACCAGGGTCTTGCCCAGGTCATAGCCCTGTTGCGATGTTAGAACAGGACCATTGTCACATGCAAATGATCGAGGGGTTCTCAATGTTTTGAGAAATCATACCCAAAAGCTGACAGCAACTGTTTTGACGAAATTGTTAGCTCGCAGCTTCATAGCGAGATCTCAACTGGTGCCATTGAGTCCCAGGTAGGTCACTTACACATCGGAGTCACACCCACAAGCGGGGCAGACACCCCAGCGTACATTCCCTACACGATGCGCCCGTCAGTTCAATTCGCATTTTACCACATTCATTCTGTCCAGCTTACCCTCACGAGACCCTCGCGAGCAACGGTCTTTCGCACGACGTCCATGGCGCCCGAGTAGATACCCTTCTCCGCGGTCTGCAGGCGCACCTTGACCAGGTCGAAGGGATGGCCCACGATGACAGCACAGAGACCACCAGCAGCACCAGCCGCCAGCGAGCGGATCTGCTGCACGGTCTGGTTCACGGCCTTCTTCTCAACGATCTTGATCTCACTCCTGATCTCCTGCGGGGGCGAGGTGGAGGTCGACATGGTGCGGTCGGGAGTTGGACGGTAAGCGGGGGAAGCTTGGGAGATCTGGGGGAGGCCGTGTGGGAGGAGATGAGGGGGAAGAAGGGAAGAAGGGAATGGGAATGAAGAGGGAAGAGTAGCAGAAGAAGCAAGCTGGAGGAGAAGTGTGAAAACTTGAAGGTCCGATGAAAGGTCACTCGGCCACGAATTAAAGGATAATCGGCCAAGGCAAGCGGACCGAAGCCGACTGGCCGTCGACGTAGACTGCCCCGGATAACGTTGTGCCTCGGCTCGGTCGCGGAGAAACCAACCGTCCGCGGGCATCCATCGTGGCCGACGCGATCGTGAATATTCCCCGACTACTCTACTTGACTACATTATCCCGGGGATGCTGGATGATTTGGAGCTGGAGTGTCTTTTGCGCCTGGATCTCGATGGCACGCGCCTCGTCGGAGGGCGCCGATCCGGGTGAACGGGAAACTCAGCCCTGAGCTGCCACTTTTCCGGCGGGATAAAGGAAGCCAGCCGTGGTTAGGCCCATGCAGCTGTCTGTTTTCATACGAGCTCATGTCCATGAGGACCAGCTGGCGGCACGAGTTACAAAGCACTGGCATATACCAGCACATACCGAAAGAGAGCAGAGAACCAGAAGATTTGCATATACAGAATCACATGCGAGCCCAGGCACGTGCCCAGGTGGGGAGCATCGATGACTTCATTAGATCGACATCAAATTAGTACAGTCGTGTATCCATAGCCATAACCATAACCATTATTACCACAATTACATAGCATCGCATCGCGTCGCAGGTCCCTTTACAAGACCAGCAAGGCAGCCAGACCCATGACGCCAACAGCACCGCTGCCGACGGTGGCCATGGGGTGAGCACCAGCAGTGCTCGTGGAAGGCGCAGAGCCAGAGCCGGTCTCAGAGCCAGAGCCGGTCTCAGAGCTGGAGCCAGAGTCAGAGCCGGAGCCAGTGCTGGAGCCGGAGCCGGAGCCTGAGCCAGTCTCGGTCGAGCTCGCGCCGGAGCCAGTGGTAGTGGTCATCATGGTGGTAGATCCGTTGGCGCCAGAGCCAGTGGCCTATAGGAAGAGTCATTAGCAACTGAGATAGATATTGTAGGACCCAATATGACTTACAGTAGCGGTGCCGCTGCCGCTTCCGTTGGAGCCAGTCATGCTGCCAGACATGCTGCTGCCAGTGCTGTCACTGCCGCCGCCGGTGGTGGTGGCAGAACCAGAGCCAGAACCAGAACCGCCAGTGGTGGAAGAACCACTGCCGCTGCCGTTGCCAGACTCAGTGGAAGATCCAGAGCCAGAGCCCGAGTCCGAACCCGAGCTGGTGTTGGAGCCGGAGCCGGAGCCAGAGCTAGAGCCATCTGGGATTCATTGTTAGTAACATCATTTTGGGAGAGTCGACCACAATTGGCAGGATACTTACTCGGGCACTTCTCCAGGGCCATCTTCAGCACCTTCTCGGCGTCGTCGTTGGGGCAGGCCTCCTTGGTGCAGTCACGGATACCGTAGGAGTAGTCCTGGCTCTTGCACAGGCACTCCATGTCGCCAGACTTGCAGTTGAGCTCCGAGGCCTTGTCGTTCATGTTGTTGACACACATTTGCTATGATGACGAGTTCATGTCAGCCGCTGTTGTGACATACTGAGGTACCATATCCTCATATCAGCCTGTGATCATGAAAACTTACAGCGCAGTCAGTGGCAGAGACATCGGCGGCCGACACCATGCCGAGGGCGGCCAGGAGGGCCAGAGCAACGGGAGAGAAGGACTTCATGGTGATCGATGTGTGGTTGTGATATGAAGAAGGGATATTAGAGAACCGAGGGGTTGGTTCAAGGTAAGTGGGTGGAGGAGGATTAACAATGGATTGGAGGTGAAAAAGGAGGTTCCAGCAACCTGGGGCTCAGTGCAGGGTCTTTTATAGAGAAAGATTTGGTTCGGTTCGCAGCTGAGAACCAAACAATGCCGGTCCCTTCGAGTGGGCAACACACTAGCAGTCTCTAGCCCTTGTCCTGGAGGGGAAGGACCGACACTCGCGTCTCCACGTCAATCAACCGAGAAGGATCGGCCGTGTGAATTGCCTGGCACGGTGGGTTTACTGTTTGCTTTCTGCGCATGATCCTGTGCGGCGGTGCGCAGAGCTGCGCTGACCTGCGTCGGTGCTACCTGGCCAACGTGGCTGGGAGGGGATGCAGCCGCCACGGGCCTCTGCGGACGGTTCCTGTGAGGTCTTCACCGGGCATTCATGAAGTCATCGCGGCGCAGGGGGATCCTGGGATTGGCGCGGTGCTGGCAGGGTACTACCAGGTCGCAAATTCAAATGGCCCATAAGGCAATCAAGCCCAGATCTGAGTCTAAATTGGGAATCGATCGCCCGATACTCCCAGAGCCGACGTCGATCCCATAGGCTCGTCCGATTTGCTAGGGGTGCCCCTCTGGCCGAAACAGGCAACCATCGAATGATCCAATTCCAATTAAACCTTGGTTAGCTTCAAATTTGATCAGAATGGGCATGGTGATTGGCGCTGGTGCCGGGTGGAGAGCTGTTCGATCGGGCGTGAGTTTACCTCAGATCATTTCCTTCATTTCCCTGGCAAACCGGGGGAAGCTCGTCTGCTGCGGCTGGCAAGCTCTGCTGGGCCACGATCTGATCTCCGAAGGGAACTCCGGCTGCAACCCAGGCACTTTCTGATTCGGAACCTCGGGAGATGGTTGAGGACACTAGTAGGTCATACCATGACGATGCTGCTGCGACGTGCAGTTTCCCTTCCATCCATTGGCGCACCCCCGGATTCCCAGGGCCAAGAGCAGAATAAAAAAGGGAATGCAGTAAGTCATCGGGCACACACAAAACACAGCGCGACAGTCGACAGGCCGGCGGAAATCAAGGCAGAAAGATCAGCGGTCAAGCCGTGGATCGGGACCAGATCCCAAGAATCCCAAGAGCCACATGCGAACTAGTTGCTGGGGACGGTCGGTCCGATCGCACTATTGAATGCTGTCGGCGTCACCGCCAGTGTGGCTGGTGCCGCCACACCTCGCGGATCCGAGCGCAGTTAGTTCCAAGTACCATCACGATATACACGACTATCCATGGATCCCGGAGCTATGTTGCACTAGGCTCACTGGTAGGGCTGTTGCGAATACGAATATTCGCAGGAATCGGTATTATTCGTTATTCGTATTCGCAACACACGAACACTGCGAATATTATTCGCAGTTTTATTCGCAGTACTAAAAGTGTGCGAATAATTATTCGCACTAAGGCTGCGAATACGAATAATATTCGCAAGATGTCACGTGCAGCTAGAATAGTGGAGCAAAAAAATAATTCCTAGTCACCCAATGCAAAATCACTCTTCTGTACAATTCGTGCTATATTCTTGACTCTTTGCAGAGATATTTATCGCCCAAGATGCTGACTCGTGGGAACCATCCGAATTACCTTGCTCTAAACGATGGCTATGAAGATGAAGCCCCCTCTGAAGATTGGCTATCAAACCTAATAGAGAATCCGATAGCTCAGCATCCAGAAGAGCTTAGCCTACTGCCTCTACCGCATACCTCTGATCTGTCAGTGGTGACTGCAGATACCGATTCTTATCTTGATTCTCTGGATGAAGTGTTACCTTCAGAATCAGCCTCTCAACTACCTCCTCCAGCTACTGGTTCCCAAATTTCCCGCCCAAAAACACTGAAAAACGACTGGTTATGGGGTTTTCTTCATGTTAGAGAGTTCTCTAGCGAATGGATCGAAAAGAGAAGCAGAAAGAAGAGGCTCATCGATCGCGAAATCAGTTGTACGGCTATTGATAAAGCCACAGGGAAGAAATGCAACTGGTCTACAACAGATTCGAAGCGACAGACTTCTACCACTAATATTCGGCTCCATTTGAAGGAGAAACATGGGATTTTACCCCCTAATGGCCCTGAGCAAGTGATTACTACACCTAAATCTACTCTTCTGAGCCTATGGGGTAGTAAGGCAAATATCACGATTCAACAAAGTCTTGAAAAGAACCTTCTTCGCTGGGTTGTGAGCAGTAAGCAGCCTTTCACAGTCATTGAATCACCAGACTTTCAGCAACTCTTTAAGGATATACCGGGGGTTTCGCTCCCTTTTTCCTCTCGCCATACCCTTCGACAGCGTCTCCTAGAAGATTTCGACCAACAACGCGCTAAATTGAAAGAGGAGCTTGCGGCGACGTGCAAAACAATTGCTTTATCTCTTGATGTCTGGACTAGCAAGAATCACCTACCAATCCTTGGTGTTATTGGTCATTGGCTCACAGAAGAATTTGATTATCGTGAGAGAGTCCTAGAGTTTACAGAGCTTCATGGACCACACAGTGGGGAGAATCTAGCTACGGCTATTGAAACATTACTTATTGAACTCAATCTTGAGCACAAATTACTCTCAATTACTGGTGATAACGCTAGCAATAATGAGCGGATGGTGCTACAACTCTTTGAAAAGTTACAGCAGTCCGGAGCGAATACCATATTCTGTGGTCTAGGAAGCTATGTGCGGTGTTTAGCGCACATTATCAACCTGATCGTGAAGGATATCCTTTCCGCTCTCAAGTCTGGTAATACAGAAGAGGCCACTTCTGTCTGTGATAACCTTGATAGAGGGGAACATCACTCATTCCATACACTTGAACCACTCGCTAAGCTTCGTATCCTGGCTATCTGGATCTACCGAAGTCCTCAACGCAGACAGGCGTGGAAAAACAATTGCAAGCGTATGAACCTTCCCGAAAAGTTCATTCAATATGATGTTGATACACGATGGAATTCTACCTTCCGCATGATAAGTGACGCTCTAAAGGTGAGCTACTAGCACTCAACGATACTTTAATAAGACTAAATACTAATGCTTCTAAGTCAAAGGACCAGCTTGAGAAGTTCATTCATTACGAGACAGAGTTTCTACCTTTCTCGACAAAAGATTGGGAACGACTTTCACAAATCCACTCTATTCTCTCAAAATTCGATGAGTTCACCTTGTTTGTCTCAGAGAAAAGGCCCCAGATCAGTCTCACAGTGCCGGTCTATTATGAACTTCATGATTTACTACATGATGCTGCGGAGCGTAAGGAGGATTTTGCAGACATTGATGAGGATATTGCAAGTGCGGTTAGGCAAAGTATCAAGAAGTATATGAAGTACTATACTTTTATGGATATCTCTGATACATACTATACTGCTCTGATTCTGGATCCTCGTGTGAAAGGAGACCTCCTCCTATACGAATTGGAAGATAAAGCCACTAGCAGGGAGATTCTTCAATCTCTCCGTGATGACCTTTATTCCAAATATCCAGAGACTTCAGACCTACTTAGTATAGCAGAGCCCTCAGAGCCCAGTCACAAGAAGCAAAAAGTTGGAAGCCGGATGTTACGAAGGCTACAGCCTCACGATAAGCCTCAAGTATCTGATATTGATCGATATTTTGACAGTGCTCGGGTTGATGCTAGTGATATGGAAGATCCAAACTGGTTATGTGATTGGTGGAGGGTTCATAAACATGACTACCCTCGGATGGCTGCTGCTGCTAGAGATTACCTAGCAATCCCAGCCTCTGAAGTTTCGGTTGAGAGATTGTTCAATGCAGGAAGAGATGTACTTGGAGTACGGAGATACTCTATGAAGGCAGAGACGATGAGGGTTTTAATGTTGTTGAATGATGTTTATAAGTAATAGTGATTCGACTGGACAACTATATAGAGAGCAGTCTCAATTTCTAGTGTTTCCTCTGGTGTTCTATAAATGATAATTCAATTTAACTCCGCAAATCCGTAATATATATACCCATAACATGCTAGCTTCAAGTACTTACTCTAAATCTGTATAACTACTTTGAACACGCACTTCTAAAAGTAAGATGAGTCTAGCAGTAGAATCTACTACACTCCTTATATTCCTACTCTACAAGACTTACAAGTATAGAAATCTTACCTTAACCCTCTACGTAACCAAGTAACTAACTAGTTAGCATATACTTAATTAACTAGTCAACCATCATCATCCTGGAGGATTACATAATAATTCGGGGATTGCGAATATTCGCCGAATATTCGCAGACTCGCGAATAATTTATTCGTAATCCCGATTTGCTGCGAATAATATTCGCAAAATTTATTCGCAAAGCAAAAATCTCGCGAATAATTATTCGTACGAATATTCGCACGAATAATATTCGCAATTACGAATATTCGCAGCAGCCCTACTCACTGGAGCAGGTCCATCGCAGATTGGAGACGAGCCTTTCTGGCTGCGATTTTCTGTCTCTCGTGTCGGTCGCACACAGCCGCAGGTGTCGGCAAGGCTTGTTTTGCTCCTCCCGAGCGACGAGTTGTTATTGTCTCACTTGCAGCATCCTACGAGTCGTGCATAGCAGTATATTATTGGATGTATATATATTTGAATGGTGGTTGGTGTGGCCGAGGTTTCTGATATTGCGTCATATCACGCGTCCGGAGAAGCTCGCGTTTAATTCCACCTCGACCATGCCAAACTTTCGTACCGGAACCTACGGTAGGTACTGCCAGTGTACGGGTCTCACGACGAATCCCGAGGCAGTGGTGCGCCAGTCCAGTGGGTACCAGTCGGAGTAGATCTATCAACATGGCTCCCGCAGACCATACCTGTCCATCCTGCTTGAAGACGTATCAACGCCGTAGGTCGCCCGGCCTCGTATCTCTCGCGTCGACTGACCAGCACTCCAGGCGACTTGCTGCTGCGCCATCGACGTCGCTGCCAATTTCCCAAGAAATCGACGCGTCGCAAAGCCTGCAATGCCTGCGTCCAAGCGAAAGCCAAGTGCACCTATACCCGGCCATGCGCTCGGTGTGTAAAGCGGGGAGTTCCCTGCGCCTATGCGTCCCAGCCTTCTGACGTGCCGCCAGGTCTGGACCTGGACCTGGACCTGAACATAGACCAGTTTCATGAAGACGTTCAGCCCACTCGGTCCCCTGGCAACGGCCCTTTATCTCCGTTTCACCTGTCGCCGCCGCCGTTGGCAACCCCTGGCTTCATCGATGCCGTCCAACCTCCCGCCGTGGAGCCCTCAACGCAAGGGGTGCCTGGCTCGGCAGATGAAGCGATGAATTCGTCGCTGCTCTTGTGGAATCTCCCCGAGATGAGCCTACCAGGCTCTGAGGAGAGCGGGCCTGTCGTGCAGCTTACCCTGCAAGATCTTCTGCGCGTGTTGGACCAATATCCCAACTCGCTACTGAGCGATAGTTTTACCTCTCCACTCCTGCATTACAGCCTCTACGATGCGGACGTGCCGGACATGACGACGCTGGCGCGGTCATCGATGGCGATCTGCTGCGGCAGCGCGATGCTGACGCCGGACGGTGCACGCTTTGCCCGGCAGGCAATGGAGGTGGAGCGCCAGCGACTCATCGAGTCCTACTCGCAGTACACGTGCATGCAGCAGTGGGATGCTCTACATGCGATGCTCGTGTATAGCATCCTCGAGATGCGGCCGTCACCAGGCAGCCAGAGTAAGAACGAATGGAAGCAAAAGTCGTGCTCCAGAGGGCTGAAAGCACCCTTTCTGGCCAAGATGGCCCAAACTTTTATCCGCTCGCATCTGAAAGATCTGAGCCCCAATTTGATGCCGTTCTCGCATACACTGACCCCGAAATTCGAGCATTGGGCTGTTGCAGAGACCACCCGACGCACGATCTTTTTGGCTAACATCATACACTACCTCAGCAACCATCATCCAGAGAGTGGGTTGCCTTCGTTATATTATGAGCCGTTAAATGACGAATTTATTTTGAATATGCCACTTCCATGCAGTCATGCTTTGTGGGCTGCGCGTACCGAGCAGGAGTGGAAGGTGACAATGGAGTATTGTGACAACAACTCTTCCTCTCTCGTCGAGGATTTTCCATCCGTCTTCTATCTCAATCCCGGGTGTCTAACCCTCAAAATTCTGATGGTAAACTACTCTAAGGTCTACTTAGAAACGTTTCTTATGCGAAACATCGGGTTTGGAGGCTCAGACGAGCTTCGAAGCTTTATAATCCTATGTGCGCTACGACAGTTCGCCTAAGCATATTCATCTGAATTGGGAAACGAAAAGAAAAGAAAAGAAACGTCAGCATGGTGCAATACCAACGCAATGCCCAAGTTGACGGCGGAACTCCGATGGGCTTGGTCAGCTTCTGTCGATTCTCCCTCCATGAACAATTGCGGAGTTTGGTGGTCGCGACCACGCAACTCCGTAACGGCGGCGGAGATGTGACGAGACCAACCAACCAACTCCGCAACCGAATTAAGGCACTTTTTTTCCATTCGATATAAATTGGACGGCCCTACCCACCGGCTGACTGCATCGACATGAGATTAAAGTTTCGGATTCTAATCCTATTGACATTCCTGATTATGATCGCTGGAGTCGCCGCAATGACCGCCTCCAACATCTATCGCCTGTCGGATTTTGTGACTCTCAGAGTCACACACCACAAGAAGCCTACTGCCGACAACGGTTCTCGCGATATTCAACCCTTAAGGGAGGCATGGGGACTACGCGCCGGTATCTACACCCCAAAAAAACTAGTTGATCACTTCGCACCTTTACTCAACACTGTCGTCTTCCACCTCGGCGATAAATCGCTTGCAGGCAAACCAGCTCGCACTTGTTTGCTGGATAACCTCGCCGCGAACCTGGCGACAAACACCCGCGAGGCTACACTCCGGCTGTCCGAACCTCTCGATGTCTCTCGACGGGAGATGAACAATCAGGCTGCCCGGATCGGCGAGGCCCTGGTTGAATGGGCCCGGGAGTCTAGCACCCAGTCCTTCGACCCGGACATGTACCTCCGCAGCCCCTGTGAAGGCCATCTGCTCACTCCCTCCAACGTGGATCTCATGTTTGGTGACCGCAGCCAACCTCACCTGATGCAACTTTTCAACGAATACATGCACCAGATGGTCCTGTTGCGCGATGCACTTTTGCCTTTTCAGAACTATCAGGATGTCCTTATCCCCGTCGGCCGCAAAGCAAGAGGCATCCGTCATTTGGAGTCGGCACGGAGCCAATTCCTAGCTGACTTGTTGACCAGACATACAACGCAGCGGAACGTCGTTACATTTGCCAAGGCGTTCCTTGCGCCGGGGCTTCTTCATTCGGAGAGTGTTGGATACGGCTTTCAGTATGCACATGGCACTGTCCTACCCGCTTTTCTATCAGGGGGGCCGACTCCTTTGCATCTGCTGCAATATGTTCCGGTCCGAATTGATCACACCAAGACGGATATCGTGTTCGACTATCGATTCGAAGATTATTATGCGGCACGTCGCACAGAGTTACCGACGGGCATCAATAGAGCCCTCTCAGATCTGGCGAGATTGCCCGTCCAGGGCGTCACCGCAAGAAAAGAAGCAACAGTTGCAATGGCCGGCCATTTGAAGTCCGGCGAGAACCGAATTTTGGAAATGTGCCTCGCGCTGAGCAATGGCAAATGTGTTTCAGTTGATCTCGGCCAGATCGCTCGCGGTCATCGATACTCGTACACGATCGAATATCCCACGGCCAATGGCTCTATCCATACAAACCGTGCTCGCTCCTTCCATTCTGCAGTCATCCACGACCCCGTCGACATTCTCGAAGCAGCGGGCACTAGTCTCTTAACCACAAAGGAAGGAGGTGTTCATGTCATACCGACGCAGGATCCGCTCGTCGCCCTGGCAATCCTGGGCAAGCTATACCCTGAAAATGTAGTGCTTTTACCAAGTGAGGAGGAGCTGGAAGAGGCAGATAAGGCCGGAAAGGGCTTTGAACCAAAGTTTGTGATATGGGGCGGCTCTCGGCCAGGGGGGATAAAGGGGGTGTTTCACTGAAGACTGAACAGTTGGGATGAGACGGGGTATTACGAATTGATCTTGAAATAAGCTATGTGGCTTCTGCAACCACGCATTGTTGACTGCGGTTATAGACATAGATCATATATATGCCATCCATGGATGGAATATAGGCGCAAACATTCATTTTTCTCCATCCCCTCAGTGCAAACGCCGTCACCAGATGCTCTAAAGCACCGAGTTCAGGCCATCATCACAGCCACATTGGCTATACGCCATGATGCTCACTTCAATCGTGGGGTTTGCTATCATGGCCTTGGCTCCTTAGTCCGGTGATACAGAAACCAAAAAATTGGCCCAGATTGTATTCGGAACACTCTGGTTGGCATAGTTTTTCCGCGCCAGGTCCTACACGATAGTGTAGCAGATTTACCAATTCAGCCAAGGTCACACATAATGAAAGAGCTTTTTCGGAAAAGTTACACCCACCACCGGCAGCCCGAACCTCCTCCAGAGATCTCATATCTATCATGACCAAGTCTATAGAAGAGTCGTGCGACGACCCACGCAGTGATTCCTGCTGTCACATGGAAGTCCCAAAATCTGACAGCAGATGTGGTTTGAGTATAACCGAGCTTAGTCCACTCAAGGATACCTGTTGGATCTTCAAACTCGGTCCTCATGTTGATAGGAGTTGAGGTCCTGCCATCAACATGGATCGTAGTTTGTCCAGTAATTGTCGCTCGTGTTAGGCCGGCTGGACCACGTGCGTGTACCACTATGCGAACGTGGGTGACTGGCATAGAGTCCGCTTGAACCGCTTGTGGGGACAATGTGGCGGACATTGTGAGAAAGGCAGATACTGATTACGACGAAACCTTGGGGAAGCAATTTGACCAATAGCTTGGGGACTGTAGTTTTCTCGTCTGACTTTATAGGGAGCAAGAGAATTGACCTGGGCAGTCCGATGGACCAGAACTGTTCAATTAAATCCCGATCTAAGCGCTGCTTCGACATGATGGACCACTAGCGTGAATACTACAAACCCTGCAACCATCAACGACTCGATGGGTAAAATTTCTGGGCTAAAGCCTTTACTTTGATTGTAGGTTAATGGCTAGAGTTTGCGATGTAGGCGCCACGGGCAGGCCCTGGGAATAGCAAGGTGTTGTTTCAAATCCCCAGCCCTGGGGGATCTCACTTCCCATTAATGTCACGTCAAATTAACTTGACGGTTTGCGAGGCAGCCGTATTGGGAGGCGCAAGTCAACTAAAATTAGTAACGTTAATTGATACAAAAGCCGACTAAGACGAGAGAACGCAGAGTCGCCCATAGGCTCCTCTCCACACCGCTCAGCATGAGGTGTTATATTCCCCCCCTTTCTGGCTGTTTGGATTCCCTGTTTGCGCATTCTCTTAGATCTTTCGAGTTGGACCTGAAGGCTGCCAGTGCTCTTTCCTTTCTCTGCCTCATCGCAGAAGAACATCATGCTCCCCAAAGCCCTCCAAGTCTCCATGATTGCTTCTTCCGCGAATCCGTTGCCAGACAAAATTGTCAGGCAATACGGGAAGCGCGTCATTGGAATATAGGATCATCAAGTGGTTAAATATTGCCTCGACGTGACGAAAGAAGCCGAAAATCGAAAGATAGCCTACGAACTCGTGGATACGCACATAGCTCGTATACCCCGTGTGTATGACTTCTTTTTTGACGAGTGATATTGTGATGGGGTTTATCGAAGGAAAGGTCATTGACCCATTAGAGGACATCGCGGCCATTAAGGAAATTGCGGGCATGCTTGACCATTTCGCAACATTGCGACTTACTAACATCCAGGGTCTCTCTGTGGAGGTTATTGTCGGGGTCCTCTGTTCCCAGAGACTGAAGATTTGAAGTTTGACTGTCTTGATACGATGGAAAAAGTGGTTCAGTAGCTGGCTCTTTGCGCACAATCTGAATTGACTTTTAGGAACTGCGAGCTCTTTTTTGCCATTTAGACATTGTGCCTCAAAATATCCTATGGCAGGAGGATGGGTCACTCTGCCTTCTCGATTGGGCATCAGCTGGCTTCTATCCAAGGTTGTTCGGGTTCTGTTCGCAGTGGATTATTGAAGGAAAAATTGGCAGCTTCAATTCCCTTCATTTGAACTCGATGGATCCTCTCTCAAATCAAGAGATAGCCCCAAGAGAGGCGATCCTATGTGCACAGGAAAATATCCAAAAGTATGCTTTGTAAGTACAGGGGATTCCGACGATTGCCTGACAAGTGGCATGGGTGGTTGAACCTGATTTTCCCAGTCGATCCAGATGGCCAGAATGGTACCAAATTCCATCAAGAGATTCAACAAATTTCGTCCCCGCGCCTCCTCCACCGATGCCTGAATTTTAACCGGACTGGATCGAGCAATATGAGCGCATGCAGCTCAGCCTGAAGCAACCCGCTTCTGCTGCCTCCCCAACTTCACGACTGGACATCAACAATACTTTTGCCAAGTGAGGAGGAACTGGAAGAGGCAGATCAGACCGGAAAGGGCTTTGAACCAAATTTTGTGATATGGGGCAGCTCTCGCAGGGGGATAACCTTGGAAAGGGGGTGTCTCACTGAAGACTGAACAATGGGCCCAGGAAGGGGTATGGGAAATACAGACCACTTGACCTTGGAGGAAAAGCGATCCATACTGGTAATTACCGATACACCATACCGTATTGCACCCTTTGATGAATCCACTCGACAAACGTTGCTTGGCGAGCATCAGCGAGGGGTCTATCTTTGTCGGGCGGCTCGTGGAGCAGTGGCTCTACCTAGGTAGGCTGACTAGGTGGGAGTTGGTGCAGTGTCTCTGTCACCTGCACTAAGATGAAACGGTGGGACTATATTCTTGATGATATGTTGGCAGTTGGCAGACTTAATCCACTATTTGAATGCATTGTCTACTTTCTACTTTGGTGATTGAAACTTGATTCTTTTTTATTTTTTACATATAGCACCAGGTTGTGCGATAGGTGCGACTACAGAGTTTTTAGGTGTGGCACCATACCGCTGGTGTATGTGATTGTGATCACTCAGATATATAAAACTGTAACAGCGAGTATAATAACACTATGTGGGGACAAAAAGCATCGGCTAGCAATGTGAACAAGTGCAAATTTCAAAATGCGGATTGATAGTCTTTCTACAGAATGAAAGGCCCAATTGATCGATGGCAGCTGCCTACTGCCGCAATAAGAGTGAAGGAAGCACCCAAATCCCCCGTTCCAGCGCGACAGTGGACGGTGCCCGCGGGAGCCGAGCCCTCCAAGGCTGAAGGACTGGGGATACACTCAGCAGGCAACAGAATTCGTCCCACCTATTGGCAGCCTTAAACAAAGCTTGAATTTGCTTGTACTTGCGGTTCTGACAACTGAGAGCAAATTACAGAACCACAGAGTCGGAACACGATCTAAGGTACATTGCTCCCAGGCGACAGTATCAGCTGTTGCTCAGAACGCTCCAAGGTTGTTCCGAGCCCGTCAAATGAAGCACATTGTCTAAGTGAGACATTATTGCAATCACATACGGAGGACTGCTATTTGAGGATGGGTTCAACGACCATGGACCATTCTCATCATGCGTAATCCCTTGTGGGTGAGCTGCTGGCTGATTCCTGTTTCTTCTCGGAATGATCTATTGGTCAGCCAAGCCACTGGCATCTCCGTAGGGCCAGGCGGACGACTGTTTGGCGATCCGGCCGGCCGGGTTGATGGCTGCCTGGAAAAACCTTATTGCAATATTGCAATCTATTTGCGACCGTTGCCCCGACCATCCGGATCGCAATAGAAACATGGTGCAATATTACCATGTACTAGTAGGGATATGTGCGTTGTCCACTACCTGATGGGCCATTGTATACCAGCCTATTCTCACAATCGGCCATAGAAAACTAAAAGAAGCATAGTCCACCCATCTATGATTGCGCTGCTAGTCAAGGCTTATTAACATGAGTGAAACCTCTCAAGCTGGTTCGGCGAGAGCATTTGGGTGGGACCCGCGGTGGATCACGGAGTGGCCGGTCCCGAGCAAAATTTTCTGCATTTGGAGTCCACTGGAAAAAGTAGAGCCAAAAAAATTGACCGACGCAGGGGTCGAACCTGCAATCTCTTGATTCGTAGTCAAGCGCCTTGCCATTGGGCCAGCCGGCCTTGTTGAGATCAGAGTCTACAACTATGTTATATGAGCAGATGCCCCATGAGACACTGAGTTAGTTCACGAACTAGTGCTGCAGACAGATCCTCTCAACCCTACCTGGAGGAAAATACTACTATAATACCTTATCTTATTATGTCTGCCGAAAACTACAGTATACTGTGGGGAATAATATTGAGTCATTCACAAACGTGGCTCACATTTTATTTTCAAGTAGTCACGTAGTCTATAGATACAGAGAAACAAGGAAATGAATGATGCAATGCGATGCTCGTCATGCCGACGTCGTAGGATATCCAGAGGTAAAAGAAAAGGGAGAAAACAGTGCAGATAAGCCGTCCTTGCGCCACGCCAAAAATGTCAAAAAAAATTGCTCATATGTCGGTCGACGGTGAGATATGGATCTGCGGGACCATGAGCTGGGACTTTTCGGAAAGAGTGCCCTCTTCAATGCACGCGGGGCGAGAGTGATGGCGGCGACGCTCGCGCCTCTTGCAGAGACCTAGACGAACGGAAAGCGATATAACGAGATGACCGACGCAGAAGCCCACCACACAGGCTACCAGGCCCGCGCCGGCTCCGAGCAAGGCGGGCAGGATGACAGGACGGACGAGGCGCAAAAAGAGTCGCTTTGGTCGTGGCTGTGCGGACGGCGGTGGCCGTGTTGGCTGCGGTGGGAATCGGACACGTAGGTCGAGGGGAACCAGTAAGGAGAGAAAATGTATCCCACGTGAGAGGTGGACTCGGTGTCGGAGACGGCGGTTGCCGCCTTCTGGGGCTGAGCGGGCTTTGCATTGAGAGGTTTGGGTGAAGAGAATGAGGCCGGCTTCTCCTCGTGGCTCAGCAGCGCGTTGACCTGCGTCTTCCAGAACTTCATCTGCCACGGCCGGGGCTGGGGGTGGCGATCCCCACGGTGCCCACGGCAAGTGCCCCTGCGGATGCGGGTAATGCGGTAGGTACCATCGGGATGGTCGAGCAGATCGAGGACGACGGCGTTGGGGGTCACGGGGCGGCCGGTCTTGTCGAGCAACTCGACGTGGACGCGCAGGATGTCACTCCTGGAGCCATTTTCCTCGGATGACAGCGGGCGGGCATCGATGGCATAGGACAGCTGGATGTCCTCTTGCTCGATACGGGTCTTGCGATGGCCTTCATACAGCGGCGCATGCAACTGCATCGACATGGCAGGTGGGAAGACCTGGTCTTCGTTGGCATAGAGAGAACCGTTCTGAATGGCCCATTTGATTGACTAATAGCTGTGGTTAGTTGTGACTTTTCGACTGGTCGGGTCGCATTGTACTCACCAGATAGGTGTCGACGGGGTCTTCCGGATCGAGAGTGGGCAGATAGGGCAGATGCAGTTCGTGGGAAGCGGCCGAGGGAATGGCCGATGCGATCGCACCAGCGATGCAGATGGCGGGCCAATGAAGTTTCATGATGTCGGAGAGACAGGGAGAAGGTGGAAAAAAGAGAATAGGTAAGAGAGCGAAGAGAAGTGAGGTCAGAAGGAGGGGAGGTGAGGCGATGAACGTCCTGATGGGTGGAAAGCGGGGGTAGCGCGGCAAGTCAAGCCCAAACACCAACGAGGCTGAAATGAACCTCAACACGGCACGAGCCCGGGCATTCAATGGCAGAAGTGAAAATCGACGCGACGTTGGGCTGGGCAGCATCCTTATAGTTGCAGGTGGTGAGTTTAGGGCGGAATGTGGATGCCTGTCACCAAACTCCGGCGAGACACGGTTTGGATGGCCCCCAGTACGTGATACCTCTTCTCTACCACAGTATTACTATTAGTAGAGTTCTACTAGTAATACTGTACTGTAAGATTCGTCCTGGGGGCTTTCGACCCGACGATGGCCGGCCCGTGATTGGCTGGTGGGCGCAGGGTCCAATCGAGCCCCTCCAAAGCTTAGCGGCAGGTATTTTTGGAAGACGCAACCTCGCCCCAAACACTTAGCATACTCTTAGCATAGAAGTAGTATAGTACCTTATACTAGTGTAGCAGGTGCTAGAATACCCTAGGGCCAACTCTCGGAGACACAACTGGAAGGGATGGCAACATCCTCACACCATATGTACAATGCAAGACTAGCAGCAATAGTCTGACTTTCGGTGCGTATTCCGGGGCGACTCCCGCCTGAACTCTAACGTGTCCCTTGTTCTCCATCCTCCGACCCATCCAATCACCAATCAATCAGATCGATCGAATGATCGTCTCTAGCAACCAGACAGGCCGTTGCCTTGCTGCCGCATTCGGTCTGGTCATCCGTGAACCTTCACAAATGCCCCCGCGATCGACATGGTGCTGCGCAGGTGGAGGCCGCTGTTCTGCACCGTACCCACGATGTCTTACCAACGGTTTCCAAAAGGCGTAGGTGCCGTCCTGCAAATTGGGCTCCTGCCATTTGCAAGTTCCGGAGTCGTCCCGATCGCGTGGCTCAGGGTCTACCTTTGCATACCTCTAGCCGGGCTAACACTTTTTTTTGCATTCTCGCACGCTATCGCCATGTGGAGCCCACGCTAGCCATCCGGGCCGAATGGAACATACAGCAAACACCTGATACACCTGGTACAACAGATACCGCCCCGTTCGGCAGACGAAACACGATGGGACCTTCACATAGCCACCCGGGGGCCACCCTGAGGCTTTTCGCAGGGAGCGCAATTGCGAGAAAGATACTCGAGGGTTTCGAGAGTGCGAAAAAAAAGTAAAACAAAAATCCCCACGCCAAGAATCAGAGAGGCGCAGCCCGTCCAACTGCACACCGAGCCCTGCAGCTGCAGCCGTGCAGCTGAGACACTCCGAGGGGGAGCTTCTAGCCGAGAATAGGCTCGTCCGATCGTGCAAATTTTGGCGTCGTATATTTCCTGTCGACCACCCCGCTAGGCGGCCCTATCTGGGTGAAGAAGAATTAGAAAGAGGTAGGGGTAATTACCGCAGGGGAGGCTGAGAATCGCCGCCCCTACGATTGGCGATCGCACGGTTGGGCACGATCCTGCAGATCCGCGAACGCCATTTTTGCCCCAAGCACATACCAGACACTAGTGGAGGAGACAGCACTAACTGCGAGCACTGTATCTTAGGGTAGGGTACCTTGCCAGTTGGAATTACTTCAGGTTGTGTGGTTCGGAGAGGGCGACCCTGGCCCTCACGGCCTTACCAGCATCGCGTCTGATTCGATTCGGCCCCTCAACTTGTTTATGTACACGGCTCCAATTGCATATATCGCATAACACATAACATCAAATAATCATTATTTATAAGGTACCGTCTGCCAGAACCGACACCGCGGGTTGTTGGTCAGGTCCCGCATCGGCGTGATGGTGTTGTTCCCAATGTTCATCAGCTGGCCTCGGGTTCCATACTGGGCGAAGGTCGTGGCGAGCGAGGATTGGGGGCGTCCGCCGTGCGCGAAACTAATGAACCAATCCTGCATCGCATAGGCGATCGTCGCGTTGGTGACCGTCACTCCCAGGTTCGAAGACACTGTGCTGGTGCTGTTGTCGAAGAAGGTGTACAGGACGTCCTGGCCATGCAGAGCGGGGGGAATGCTGAATTGGTAGGCGTAGGTCTGGTTCTGGTAGGCCCGGTTTAGGTAGTCCGTATTGCACTGGATGGTTGCATCCGAGAGCGTCAGCGCGGCGCGGGCGAGCGGGTTGGTGTATCCCCATTTCCCGTCATATTTGGCCGGGTAAAGGACCTCGGTGATGTATCGAGTGACATTGGGCTGGATGGATGGGAACATCTGCTTCAGCATCGTCGCAAGATAGCTACTCTGAGTCGCATTAGGGCTCGTGAATGCGAGGCCCTCATCGGCATTGTGGCCGACCATGATATTGAGGTCTTGATCGAAGTCGCCCGACAGCAGTAGCTGTCCCGGCATGGCCGGCACGAACGTCCCATCCACCACAGGCCCGAAGACGAAGCTGCCATAGAAGGATTGTGTGGCGATCTGAAGCGCATTTCCCTTGATCAAAGTGTCTGACGGCAGGCGACGCGCTTCCTCGATGGAGCTGACATTGAGGGCCTGGAGGAACTGCTGCAGGGTTTGCTCTTGCTGTGCATCCGAGACGATGGGAAGCCAGGCGGGACTCTGCAGGATCGCTTGTTGGAAGGGAGCCGGTCCTTTCTTGCCACCGTACGCGGTGATTTGATGCAAGATGGAGCCGCCACCGGCCGACTCGCCCATGACTGTGACTCGGGAGGGGTCGCCGCCAAACAGGTGGATGTTCTTATACACCCAGTCGAGAGCGAGTCGCTGATCGTGGAGCGCGGCATTGGCTGTGCCATTGGCTGTTAGGCCGCTACCACCTAGCCAGCCAAATGCACCCAGCTGGTTAATGTTAGAGAAACAGACCAGAAGAAAACACAAGAAGATAGTGATTGAGTCTTACTCTGTAATTGAGTGCGACATAGACGATCTCCTCTTTCCGTTGCATGCTCCGCTTGATCAGTCCGATCGGATTGTACCGGGTTTTGTCGCCATCGGTAAACCCTCCGCCATAGATCCACACCAGCACCGGGACCAGATTCTTTTTGGGGGTGAATCCATTCTTCTTGGACTGCGCACGATGGAATGTCTCCTTCGGGGTAATCACATCTAAGAACAAACAGTCCTCGGAGGTCCGGGGATCCACCGGGTGAGGAATATACGGGTACGAAGAGAGATCCAACGACATGTTGAATTTCGTTCCGGTCAACAGACTCAAAAGGAATCCAGGCTCAATATCTTCCTGCCAGATTGGCAGCGCCTGAGGGCACACTCGGCCAACCGAGCCATCTTGGATGTGCGACCTGTTGGTCTTCGGCAAGACGGGGGCTCGAAAACGGAGGTCCCCTACTGGTGGTGCCGCAAAGCGGATGTTGCTGAAGTTATACAGCCCATGGGAGCTCTGTGCAGAGGGTTAGCCAGTGCGCGTGCCCATAACTCGATGACCGCAGCTCTCACTCACGTTCAATGCATTTGCTTGGTGGAGCTCATAGCCCAAATCAACCACCGGCAACGCCGCCCAACAGACGGATATCAGGGCTAACAACAAAACCACAGCCATTCTTCACACGGTGCAACAGTGCTAGACAAGCGGGAATGCAAGCGCGGGCGCGAGCGTGCGCGCCCGCACTGCTTGCTATTTAAGCCCAAGGAAGAGGGGACATAGGCCTGATGTCCCGTGGAGTTGCAGCCGGGCCGTCCGAGTGATCCAGCGAAAGCTAATCCCAGGCATCCGCGCAACCAGTGGAGTCCAGACGGAATTAAGCGGGCATGTATAGGGGCCAGCGAGACTCAGGCGTGCCAGGGGAGAAACAAGCGGTCAATCAGCAGGCGATGTGAAGCATGCATACATCGCCAGCGGAGCGCTGACCGTGGGCGAGCCCGCCGTCAATGACGTCATGTGATCGATCCGGCAGCCCGCGCGAAGTAAGAAAGAAAAAAAAAAAAAAAACCATCGTTTCCCTTTCAACGACTGATGCAATTGATTTCATTTTCGCAGGAAATTGTCAACGATGACCTACGTGATAGTCGGGAAGACACCCACGAACCATCCCGAATTTGGCTGCGCACGAATGGAATTTGACGTCAGTATTTCCCAGTATTTGAGCGGATAAGTGTCGCGCATCTACCTTTGTCAACCCACAAGCCTTAAGGTAGGTATTCGTAGTGTTCAGGTTCCAGGGGGTCGGCTAATGTAAACCAGAAGACACCCCTCAGCCCGAGGCCCAGCTGAAAAACAAGCAATTATCCCATGGCGAGGTCCATAAGAGGAAGGAAGAACTAGAAAGGATTAGTGGAAACTAGCGCTTTATGAGCAAGACCAAATGACGAAAAGTAATGCATAAATGCAGCTCTAAGCTATCCTATGCGTCGCTGCCTACGGAGATGCAGATGGAGATATACAAAGTCCGCCAAACAGGATGAGGGTCGATCTGGGGCCGAGGGAAATGCTCCACTTTTTCCCTCTTCGATTGTCACTGATCGTCGACCTCTCGGATCGTGTACTCAAACATCCCATTTGAAGGCACGTCATTGCCATTCTGCAATTTCGAGGCAGCCTCAGCACCCGCGGCGGGCACACGGTACTCGAATCGTTTCCCCGGCGCCGGAAGCCTACCGTCAGCGAGCGTATAAGGGAAAGGAAGATATTCAGGCATCAGGCCTAATTGCACGAGGACGGTTGCCTGATCCCAGGCGATGTGTTCGTGGTACAGCCGGTCGCCTCGGATGTTGACCACGGAGGTGAAGGGAATACGCAGATGCTTGCCGGTCGGCGGAATGCCCGGAATCCTAAGGATGAGACCAGTGTGAGATTCCAAGTCATCACACGTTTGGCAACACCAGAAAAGAAAGACAAGAAGTCACTTACAGCCAGTCAACTTGCTTCACGTGGGTAAAACTGAAGATGAACTCGTCCACAACGCGGTCCGTCCCAACCGTACGGCTGATCAACTCGAGTCCCGTGTCGTCGGGATTATTAAAAATGAAGTGGTGAAGGTAAAAGTGGCTCAACCGAGCTCGACCCAGACCACCCGTCATCTGTCATGCGCAAATGTATGGTTCAGCGAGATATCCCTATCCCTTGCATATCGACCGTCGGATGGGCTGCACACTTACTGTGGGGATGTGATTGACATAGGGCTCCTGCACCATCGTGGCCATGGTCTTCTCCACCGACCGGTCGCCAAATTCAAAATAGGTGTGCTCGTCCCAAATCTGTTCAAGATCAAAATAGGGCCCGCCGAGGTGTTTCTTCAGAAATGCGATGCTGCGGGTGTGGCAGACCCCGGCCGTCGAATACTTGAAGTCCGGGTGACCGGGAACCACGAAGCCCGGAGACGAGACATCGGCATAATGATGTTGAATTCGGTCATCCCTCCGTGGTGGCTGATCACCTTGTCCTAATGCATGGACAAGACATTTCGTGCCACTGATCTCCCTGAAGTCAAACGAGACCAGCGCGGCCAGCTTCGGGTTGCCCGTCAGAACCCCATGCAAGGCGTGCTCGAATTGCGGTGCATAATCAGCCTTGGATCCGTAGACTAAAGAAACAGATTAGCCTGGGGAGGTGGTATATACGAGTTCTGTTTTGAATCCCACCTAAAACTCCAAACTGGTGCTTAGGATCGCACTCTGGCCGAGCAATCAACCCGTCGAGGGCTTCTTGCACTAGACTCTGTAGGCTTGTCTTGTTCCCGCTCGAATGTGTATCGAGTGTGATTTGTGCCACTGTGAAGCTTTCTTCTGCCCATTTCTTGAGCGGCTCTGGGTCCAGACTGGTGCTTTGCTGCTGGCACCCCGCATAGGATGCAGGTCGAAGCAGAACGAGTCCTGGACCATGGCCACAGCGAGAAAGCGGAGGCTGCAGGACTAGATTGGGACTGAGCTCTACTACTTGTGCAGATGGGAGCTCCGAGCTGACCATGGTTGAGACCGCTCTTGAAGGTGTATATTGCTTGCGATGGTGCCAGTGTTGCCGAGGTTGATAAGGGACGCCAGCGGCGTCCTATTAGTACTTCCGCGAATTTGCGTCGAGCCACGCCACTCGCCGCCCACAACTCATCAGCCTCAGGCCGGGTCTCACTTCATGCAGCTTCTTCGATAGCATAATATCGATTTCGCGAGTTTCAATTCGAACCGGCCGGACACCAGACACAGGGCACGTGACCTGTGGCTCGCACTTACCCACCGTCGCGTTCATATCGGCGCCTGCGTCCCCACCTGCACAGATCATTCCTTCACCCTTCGCAGTTGCTCGTTCAAATTGTCCCGGCGATGTCCACAGCTCACCGAGGCAGCTGATCGGAACACCCAAGAGGACTCTAATACCAATCACAGCTGTGCTCACCCGACCAGATCTCTTTGTCCTCTCTCGATACAAGCTGCTCCCGGTCCAGAAAAAGAGCTCCTAGACCGCCTTCACAATGAACACCGTCGTGCAGAACTCCCTTTCTGATGTCGAAACCAAGCTCAATGCGCTCCTGACAACCCTCACACACTCCCCTGCCGCCGCAGGAGCGCCTGCCGCCGCCGCCGCCTTGCTGGACGCCGACGAGACACTGACCTCCGCGATCGAAACACTGCAACGACACCAAGAGAACTACGCGAGGATCCTGAAACTACGAAACGAAGCAGACCAATTGGAGAGTCGCGTCAAGGGAATTGTGGGCGACTTGGAGAGATTCGACAAGGAAATCCGAACAACATGCGATGATGGAGAAAGTGACTCGGATTCGGAATTCGGTGAAAAATACGCACCCTCCCAGCGCCTCCCACGCAAAGAAATTGATTATCGCTTGCTGCTCGACTTTGCGCGTCGCATCAGCAAATACAACCAAGAAGCGGCTGCCGACGTCGCCAACGGTGCCGCGGCGAAGGGCCAAGGGACACGCCAACAGATCCCTGACAAGGACGTGGAGATGTCGGGCATGAATGGCGATCAAGGCACGGAGGAAGGAAATAAGCCGGTCTCGTCCGTGACGAAGAATGCCACTCAGTGGCTAGACGACTCGGCAACTGTTACTCGTGAAGTATACATGATGCCCTACCCGATGGAGGACCGCATTCGCCTGGGGTTGATGGGCCAGGTTGAGTTGGCAGCGGGTGAAGACCCCGATAAGGAGGTGGAGCGGTTGATCAGGGAGGCCGAGGGACTTGGAACGGCGGAGCCTCCTGCGCCCGCACCAGTCACGGACACGAGGCAGGACGAGGCCGCGAAAGCCGCTGCTCAGGCCGGCTCAGCTGTCGCCAGTGCCACTCGCCCACCTCCAGCAGCAGCGGCGCCGGCGCCGAAACCCAAACCGAAAGGTCTCCTGGACCTTGATCTATATGATCCGGATGATGACGACGATTGAGCATTTTCGGAGCGGATTTGCCTTGCAAATATTCATTATGATACCAGATACGAGAGCTCGTTTACAGCGAGTTCTAAAACAATCACGAAGTTCACGGTTTGTTAAACATTTTTGGCCTCAATTTTCTGCGCCTCCAGAAAATGACGGCCTACATCTTATGTACAGAGGATTTGGCCGTCATACCCCTGAACTTCTTTCCGTAGAGGTAGAAAATGGTCGCACAGAGACACCACAGAGTACACAGACACATGTTCAGCATGATCGGCTTTACAAATCCCTCTTGCTCGACCCAGGGCGTGATAAATTTGCTGAAACCGTACCCCCACACATTCTTGTTGACGGTGATGGACACAAAAATCGAGCCAGCAACCGGCTTGTAGCTGTCGACAGCATAAGTGCTGGCGATGGCTGGCAGAGCGGCGACCTGGATGCCAGCGCAAGTATAGCCAATGATCACAATTGCCTGCATGCAACGTCAGATTAAATTCTCGCAAGGCAACAGATACGGGAAACAGTCGCAATTACTCACCCGCCAATCCCATTTATACTGGTACCCAAACGCGACCACGAAATTTCCAATGATCATGATCACCACATAGATGGCCATGGCTGGCAGACGCATTTCTGGCTCTCGAATTCCCTTGTTCTTGCGAGTTGCTCGCATGGAGATCCAGTCAGAGAAGGGCCCGTTGGTCGCCAGCCCGATGAAGGCTCCGATGAGAATAGCAAAGTTAAAGAAGCCAATCGTTTGACTGTTGAAGTTGTACGGAGGCTCCGCAAATGCTTGACTCTGTGTGAGATTCAAGGTTAGGAAGACACTGGCCGACCAGGACACGACAAAGGCAGCCAGTTCAACGATGGGGAATGCCAGGAGCTTCCACGGAATCCAGAAACTTATCAGGACTGTCTTGAGGTTATGGCCATCCAGCTGCCACAACTTGAACTGACTCTTGGAGGGACTGCCATGATGTAGATACCGATCCTGCTCGGGAGCTCCCTCAACATTAACGTTCTCTTGCTGAAATATTTCAACCGGCTTCTCAGGCTCGGAGTCATCAGCTTTATGGGTAGTGATCGGTTCCTCGTGTACATCACCGGGATGGGTGCGGTGCCATTTAGTTTCGGGGAAGAGGAAGATCTGGAAAAGTAGAACGAGGCCCAGGATCCCGACATTTAGCCAGAAAAAACTGCGCCAGCCGACGTGCTCGGCCATTGGACCTGCAATGATGGGGCCAACCTATGACAATGTTGGTGGACCGTCCCGAATTTTCAGTGAGAGGATTGGTGTTCATATTCTTACCATCAATGAGCCGAAATATGCTGTAAAGTATAACGTGTTGTAAGCGCCACGCTCGTGGAGAAACATGATGTCCGTGATGATCTCGGGTTGAGAAGTCTAGAGCAAATAATTAGTTTCAGAACAATACCGCCAGCACCAGTGATAGTGTACCCTAGGTGACGGGTGTGCTAAAATACTCGCATACCTCTGCAGGACCGGCACCAAACCCGTTAAGCACACATGCCCCCATATAGCTCCCATAGCTAGTCGCCACCGCACGCCAGATATTGCTAACGAGGCAAATAAGAGTTGAAAAAATGAGGACGGGTCGTCGACCAAAGGATGTCTGGATAGGGATCCTATATCAGTTGAAAATCAGCACTGAGCAGAGCAAGGAGTTCATCGAAAGAAGACGGCCCTTACCAGAAGAAGTTGCTGAACCCTAAAACCAGGATACAAACTCCGGTAAACTGCACCACGCTAGCGAGATCCGAGTTAAACGCCACCATAAGTTGCGGAAACATGGGCGCCAGTGCCAGCGGCCCCATGCCTTGGCTGAACGAAGTCGCCGTGGAGATGGTAATCGCACTCATCTTCCAGAAGCGGCTCCAGTTCTGTGTTCCTTGTTGTGTTAGAAATCGCATCCTGTTGAGGGTTCGTGTCGCTCGAGCTTACCAAGGGGTCATGAGGATCCTGCGACGGTTGAGGCACTAGCACTCGGTTGGATTTGGCCGAAGACTTGACAAAATGATGCGTGCCCACATCAGCCATGATTTCTGTGCCAGGATAGATGGTAGTCCCCAATTCTTCCTCGATTCTGTACGACATCGTTAGCCGGGAAGCATCCCGTATGAGGAAAACGGGATAGCTACTGGCGGAGAGCCTAGATAGAACGAGTTGTCAGTCTTGTAGCCATTGACAGCAATGCCGAGGAATACTCACCCCTTCATCATAGTTCATCTCCATGATGGGTGAGTACGCGTAGACAGGCGCGTAATCGTTCTTGACGGAATCCGTTGACGCACGAAAGAATTGCGAGGTTGATCAGTTCGCCTAGCTTCCCCTTTATGCCTGTACAACTCTTGCTGGGGCTGCGTCTGTTTATGATTTCACGCGACAAGCTTTGCCTAGAAGTTCCTGTGCGGAATTGGGCCGGGAATGTGCAGCAGGACAACTGCCGACAGCGCTGGGGCCGCACAGAAGTATAGGGAGACAGTAACTCCGTATGCTCCTCGTGTGCAACTTATGGTGGCGCATTCAGCGTTCAGCCAATTCTATTTACCCATGCAGCATGGCCAGTCAACGCGTGCGATCCAGGGGTACTCTTTCAGATGTTAGTAGGCTGCTGCTGCATTGGGACTAGAGTGACCGCCTCCACTCGACCCCCGGATTTCTCCCCGCACTTTTCGGTGGCCGGGCATATCTCCCCTTCGGTCGACGGGAGCTTTTGCATTGACAGGTCGTTTATCTTTGCCACCTCTCGGCAACCCTCTGCGGCATTTCACCGCACTCGTAGACAGGACCACGAGGCATTCGGGGCAACTTTCGAGTGGTGTCGTCACGACAAAAAGAGGCTTGACCTAGAATCTCCTTTGGACGAATCACTAGTTCGAGGATCGCAAGGTAGCGAGCTCGTCTCCGTTCGCTAGTCGGGATACCCTTGTGCCTACATATGCCGAACCCCGCCCAACAACCGCTATTGGTGCCGAATTGAATTTTCTCCAGGCATTATTGGTTGTCGTGGCCCACGATACCGCTTGAATAGGCGTGTTGCTCAATCTTGTTGAACGTAGTCCTTTCAAAGAACAATAAGGTACAATAAAGTGTCGTCAGATAGCAATAGCATGTGAGTTATTTCTTTGTCATCGACTACGGATGTCAATACAATGATAATAGCCCCACGATATGGAGCGATGTGGAGACGGGCTACGCATAAGCAATAGGGGCTGACCCACGGACAGATTCCGCCTCTCTTGCGGCCAGCGCTCATCTCTCATCTCAGCCGGGTCGCGGTGATACACATATAAGCTGCTTATGCAATTGTTATGCAATTGATAACAATCTATCGTCGATGCTGTCATTGGTGCTCAAATTCTATGTATAGAGTATGATTCGACTGCGGTTGATTGACTCTCCAAGCTTGTGCCGTTGCAAGGGAATGAATGACCTGCATGTCAGAACGAATGATATGACACAGATAACTCGTCCGGAACAATTCTCAGTATTAGTTTATCGGTTCCAAGACGCGTAAAGCTTCTGAACAGCGTATTCCGCGGCCCAGCCTAGGTCAGCCTCCACTCCTCGGAGGAGATCGACTATGATCTGATGCTCATCATCGCTCTCCAAGCACTGGCCCACCGCGAAAAGAAGAGGGATCATGTATATACGGACCCCTCCCTGAGGCCGACCCAAAGCGATGCCACACAACTCCCGGCTGCGGTACTCGACTTCCTTGGTGACCTCTCGATAGCCCTGCAAGCGATCAAAGGCGGTGCTTGGGGCGCTGACATCATCCGTGGGCCGGTTCAGAAGTAGGGCAATTCGACCAAAGTGATAATGCTGCATGGTAGCAGCACAGGTTGTAAAGCTATAGAAAACCTCGGGAAATGGCAGCTTGCTGTTCTCAGAAGGCTTGGAGAGATCTTTCGGTTGTTCAATGCGCACACAGGGACGGAAAGTCTCCGGGACACCCTCAAACCAAGACTGAAATCCGAAGCAAAGATCCAGCCAAGTGTTGGTGCTTAGCTGACTAGCATCGCCCGGTGAGTCTTTGCTTCCAGTGGAACGACTTTGCGACGATCCCGTCCATTGTGCAATCTGCGACTGCCGTGATTGCGCCAGGAAGTTGACAACCTTGGAAACAAGCCAGCATATCCCATTGGCTGCCTGGTCCTCCTGTGACATATTGATCGGTCCGCTCTGGTTGATGTGAAATTTTGCATGGTTATCGATCGATATCCCAGCCGCACGCCACAGATCTAGATTCTCGGGATCAAGATGCGTCGGGCATCGGGTGAAATATGATGCAAGGTAGTCCTGGCGAGCAAAATTCCAGAAGCAAGTGCGTATCCCATGGGAGAAAAATGACAAGTTGACTCGATCTGCTTCTACCAAAACATCAAAGGCCTTGCGGATGCCAGTCAGGTGTCTATTTGGGATCGTCAGTCCAAGGGGCACAAAAAGCATTCGGGGAGGCGATGAGCACTTACGTGTGCCACTGGTCTCCATCAGAATCAAACAGCTTGTAGAATGTCAATAGTGCGGCTGTTGCCATCATCTCTTCTGCTTTTCGAAAAATGTCCTTGTTGGAGACATGTTGATCTTTATCTTGGACAAGCATTCTGTTCAACCATCGGCCAATCATCTCAATTGGCGACTCTAAGACCGCTGAGCTGGACGCAGTGGTATAACCATATGAGGTCGAGTTACTTATATCCGAGGCGGCCATATAGTAATAATTGGCTGCCTTGAGGAACCAATCGGCCTGGGCATTGGGATACATTTCAGTCGTGGCGGGGCTAGTAAGCATACCCTCCCCTGTTGATAATTTGGCTCCTTTCACGCGGCCTAGCTGTTTCGCAGCCAAGGCTGCAATGGCGTATTTGAGAGATGGTGCATTGATGGCTCTTATCGGAACATAGACCGAGAAGAATTTGCCCGAATCAGACAGGTCTAGCCAAGGACCGATTATCTCAGCAAAATGACGAGTAAGAAAAGCAATTTCATGTTCTGTTCCCGTCATGAGCTCCGAAACAATATTTTGGAATTCTTCTCTCTCGCTTCTCTGTGGTGAAATGTCCTCTGAAGACTTCATCTTTTCAGTGTCTGGGCGATCAAGCGAGGTCTTGTGGAGTACATTCTCAAGAGCCGGAGTGCGACCTATTGAAGCAAGTGGTGAAATCGAGTTGCCTATCGGACTCGTTGGAGCTCTGCTGCCGAAAGCCAGGTTCAAATCAGAGGCCGGATGGGCTGCCAGTCCATTCAGAACTGAGGATTGCGACTGTAGAGATACTGGTTCAATATCATCAAAAGGCCCAGCTTCTACCATCTGAACATTTTTGACGGAAATGTGGCTCTCATCTTGGCGAGAGTTCAGGGTCGAGTCACTTGTTCCATTGTCTGATTGAACCCCAAATAGCTCTGCACGAGGCTGTTGGGATTGGATTATAGGCTGTGCGTGGGATGACAAACCTGTGGTACCCTACACCAATTGTCAGTTCTTCCATACAAATGCAGGTCACATGGAAACGACCCACTTCGCCTACATGAGCGGCTGCCCCTGATTTTGCATGCGTCTCGTGATAAGGCGCATAACGGCGCCTGACAGATGCCCCCTGGTCTATAAACTTGCGAGTCTGGACATAGCCGGGGCATTCTACACCGGCAGCAGAGCACCTCTCGCAATGCGGACGGGTCTCATCACACTAGGTGGTGTCAGATCAAGCATGTCTCATACATCTTCAGAGGGGATTTTTGCCGACCTTAAGATGTCTCTTCTTGCACCTCTCGCAAGCTTTATTCGATGGCACACCGGGCATCTTGTGTTGTGCGCCGGTTTTGCGGTCTTTTTCGAATGCGTGCGGAGATTACGCTGATTCAAGTTCGTCAAGCACGGCGGTTGGTTGTTTCAACACATACTGACCCGTGACCCGGAACAGTGCACACCACGTGTGAGCTGTTTCACATTCCAGCTAAATATGCAAAGGGGTAATTTGGGATATTACCACAGTTCCCGCCGAGGCATTGATGAAGTTGGGAAGCAGAAAGCATGATGACATGAGAGAAATGCTTATGTCATCAAGCGGCCTCGGCAAAGACTCGGCGGTTGATCGGCAGCGCTATTGATGCCTTGCTGCCTGATTCCTCGGCGTCTGGCCCCGTCCTTCGGGAGGCGTGATTGTCCTGATTTTCACTTGCCAGCAACCGAGACCAGGTGCAGAAATTGTATGCAGGGGACTGGCCGTGGAAGGATCACCTGACACGCTTTAGCTGGATACTCTCCGTGATCGTGATGGGATGTGTTAGAACGATGCTGCGAACATCTCAAGAGCTCTATTCCAGCAATGGAAGTTGGGAAACAGAGGGTCGGCAGGTAATGATGTCGATTGAAACTGATGATGCTCATCCGGATGTAATCAAACAATCCGGTCGCTCGTACTCGAGAGGTATCAACCTGAACGAGCTCGAATTGAGTCGAATTTACCATGAGTGGATTAGTAGGGATATCCATTCTGTGATCATACGGGTATGTTGACTGATACTGACATCGTGAATAGATGCTGGAAGACCACATAATTTTGTTTGCTCTGGCTGTCACCTTCCCGAGAAACTGCTGGGGTGTGAAACCTGCAGCAGATCCTATCACACACAGTGCCTTTCGAGTGGTACCCATCAGGCACAGTCTACCAAGTTTCATTGTCCGTCCTGTAAAGACAAAGCGTGGGACCGGAAACCGCCTCGATTCTCAGCATCTACAGACCCAAGTGCTTCGCGGGATGCCACGCCGGCCGGAAGCCCGACCCATGGCTTGAGATCATCGGCGGGAAGCGCATCGGCCAGCATGCACAGCTCGCCGCTGATGACCAGACAGGATATCCCGAGTGGTCTTTCCACATCGGTGCACACAAACAAATTCTTGGAGGATGACTATGAGCGTGATCATCTCGAGAGCCTTTTCCCTGTCTCGGAGATGTATACACACGTCCAGGAGTTTCTGAGCCAACCGGACCATACTCGAGACGCTTACAGTAGCCATCCTGAGTTCCTGTATCAACTCGGGCTGATGCTAGAAGAAATCGAATCCCATCGATCATTGCGTCGAAAGGCAGCAACCCTTCGCGAAGAATTCAGCCGAGTCCAAAATGAAAATGTTCAATTACGAACATATCTGAATTCCCGCCTTCCCGCAAGAGAGCCCGTGGTGTCAAGTCCTTCGACATTCTCGCCAATCCCCAGACCGTCTGCGGATGTCAGTGGGAAAACTTGGGATAGCATCGTATTGGATCTGATTTGAAGGAGTCCTGGGATGAGAAGAACGAGGCCGGATTTTAGCGCGAGACCCCGGGGCTTGAAAAGTTGCCGGGCGTAACAGCTCCAGATTTTGATATTGGCGAGGGGAAGTGTATTGACTTGATGGTGACACAATTTCCTTGCAGGGATGTATACAATGTATGGAAACCACGCAGGATAGATCTACTAGTTTCGATCACCATTTAAGATACCGTACCGCGCAGGCAAAAGCATAAACTTCACTACCGCATATTTTCAATGGACAGGATATAATGATTTTATTTTCCCACGCGCTTAATATCATGGACTTGAAGGTACCCCTCAAGTGCTGGTTGTGTCTGTTGCTCTCGAAATGGGCGAACCATGCGGGTAGCCGTGAGGTCCATCCACTGTTGAACCAGTGTTTTCTTCCAACCCTCCCATCCTCCCATCGCACATTCTCCGGGTAATTCGACTCCGACGTAGCGACGAGAGGTTACATGAGAGATGAGGACCGGTCGCTGGTCTTTCTCCACTTTCAATCTCGCTGGGGCGCATTCCCCGCAGCGCGGAGATACTGGGAGATTCATTTGCCCAATTCACCAGGGATCGGCACTCGGCCAGGAACCCGGAGAGGTGCCCTCTGCCTGCAAGCTCTACGCTTTGCTTTGACTGGGCATACCGCTTGCAAATCGCTGCGGCCAAACCCGCCTGTGGACTCGCCATCAAGCGGGGAAATGCCGGCGCATGTTGCAGGATGCAGCACCGGCCACGGCTGCCCACGTAGAGGTCACACCTCGAAGGCCGGGACAAGAGGCGCAATGCGACGTGCGTCGCTTCTGCGGTTTCACTCGTGCCCATTTAGCCCGCGAGATAAGATAAACTGGATCCAACGGAGGGGAAACTGCCGATATGTGCCTTCAAAAAGGGGCAGTCGCCCTGCTGATCGGCTCGCGAGGAATGCTTCCCCGCCATGGTAAATAAGAAAGCTCTAGTCCGGTGTGCAACGCGTTCAATCTGAGCTTCTGAGCCGGTTGCAGCCTTCACTTGTGTGTTCAAAGCACACGATTCCATCGGGCTCGTCATGGTCCCACGATTACTGCCCCGTGTGGAGGCACTCGGTGCTATCGCCACGGTGCTTTGTGGTTCTGTCGCTCTCAACTCACAGGAAGCACTGGCGGACGGCTTTGATGTTTTGGACTATGTGGACCCGCTAATTGGAACGGCAAATGGAGGTATGATTACGTATCCAGAGTGTGCCTCTGTAGGTTCACAAACTGATTTAATTGCAGGCCATGTTTTCCCCGGCGCAACCTTGCCTTTCGGTATGGCCAAAGCTGTGGCTGATACGGTAGGCGAGAACCAGGCAGGTTTTGCCTTCGATACAGTTGTCGTTTCGGGTTTCTCGCATATGCACGACTCAGGCACTGGCGGCGTATGTTTGTCCTTCTTTCTGTAGTCCCTCTATGGACTCGTGATACTTACAGTGACAGTCCCCTTCGATGGGAAACTTTCCTATCTTTGCCCAACCTGCATGCCCAAATGATGATATCAACAACTGCAAATGGCAACTCAATGATAGAGCCACAGCCTGGAAAAAAGACTCGGTCAAGGCTCGTCCGGGGTACTTTGGCATCTCCCTCGCCAACGGTGTTCATGCTGAAATGACAACCACCAATCGCTCGGCGTTATATAGGTTTACTTTCGATGAAGGTTCAGCCAATGCACTGAGTCCTGTGATTCTTGTTGATCTTATTGATTTGCCCAAATCTCGGAGCAATGGCACTGCTGATGTCGATAAATCTACCGGTCGATTGACGGGCAACGGTACTTTTAGCCCTAGCTTCGGTATTGGCAGCTATGACTTCCATTTCTGCGTTGACTTTAAGGGCGCCGAACTTCGCGACACCGGCGTCTGGATGAAGAACCGAGCCAATTTCAGCCGCGAGACGGTGACCCTGGCGGCCGATGGAACCAACTCTCCAGCCACGCTCTCTGCCGGTACATTTGCCAGATTCCATGCCCCTAAGGACAATACAATTCTCGCTCGCGTCGGAGTCAGTTTCATGAATGTCGACCAAGCATGTGCCAATGCAGAGCGGGAACAGCCTGAATTTGACTTCCCGGGGACTGTGGCGGCTGCAGAAGCTGCCTGGAGAAAGAAACTCAATGTGATCTCTGTGAATACAGATGGTGTCTCCAAGGATTTTCAGACTATCTTCTGGAGTGGAACGTATCGCACCATGATCAGTCCCCAAGACTACACGGGTGAGAATCCTTTGTGGGAGAGCGAGGAGCCCTACTATGACAGTTACTACTGGTAAGTACCAGGACCGTACAGGCTTTTCCACAGCTCCATCTGACAAGTGGGTTTGCAGTATCTGGGACTCTTACCGCAGTATCCACCCCTTTTTAACCCTGGTGGATCCTCAGTCTCAGTCTCAGATGATGCGGAGCCTTATTGATATTTATCGCAACGAGGGTTATCTACCTGATTGCCGTATGTCGCTCTGTAAGGGTTTTACGCAGGGAGGCTCAAATGCAGATGTACTCATGGCCGATGCGTATCTGAAAAAGGTCCCGGACATCGATTGGGATACTGCATATGAGGCCGTTGTGAAAGACGCTGAGATAGAACCGGCTAACTGGAACGTGGAAGGCCGTGGCGGCCTCCACAGCTGGAAGAGCTTGGGATACATCCCCACTGATGATTACGATCCATACGGCGTGGGAACTCACACTCGCAGCATCTCGCGAACAGTAGAGTATGCATATAACGATTTCTGCATCGCGGAGATGGCACAGCGCATGGGACACCATGATGATTACGAGAAATACATCGCGCGCTCTGGAAACTGGATAAACATGTTCAAAGCGGACCAAAAATCTAGTATTCAGGGTGTTGATACTAATTTCACCGGTTTTCTCCAACCTCGCTACATGAACGGCACCTGGGGCTACCAAGATCCGATTTTCTGCAGCCCTCTGTTAAACTTTACGTCGTGCTATCTGAACCCAAATGGCCATGAGACCTACGAAGGAAGCGCTTGGCTCTATACTTTGTATGTGTATTGCACTTTGTGGACGTGACAAAACCCCAACTAACACTTTAATTTAATGTACACAGCTATGCCCCGCATGACATGGGCTCTCTTGTTCAGACCCTTGGCGGCGCAGAGGAGTTCACAAAGCGCCTCACCTATTTCCACGAATCTGGACTTCTCTATGTGGGCGATGAGCAGGCATTCCTTCCGGTATATCAGTTTCACTATGCCGGAAGACCTGGCCTGTCGGCCAAGTATAATCATTACTATATTCCATCTCAATTCAACACCACCATCCCTGGTATTGCAGGAAATGACGACAGTGGTGCCATGGGATCATATGTGGCCCTGAGCATGATGGGCCTCTGGCCTGTCCCAGGTCAGGATGTCTATCTAATCACCCCGCCATACTTCAAGGAAATCAGCATTCGCAACGCTCTCACCGGCAAGCTGGCTACTATCCGCAACATCAACTTTGACCCAAGCTACAAGGCGATCTACATTCAGAGCGCCAAACTCAATGGGAAACCATGGACAAAGAACTGGGTTACGCACGACTTCTGGGCCGAAGGTGGTGTCCTCGAGTTGGAGCTGGGTTCAGAAGAGAGTGATTGGGGCACGAAGGTCGAGGATCTCCCTCCCAGTGTTAGTAACTACCATGCCTAAGAGAATTAGCTATACGGGAAAAGAAGACTCGGAAAAAGAACTGCTTCCATGCAGTGCATGTTTATAGCAATATATCTATTTCCTTCATATCGGGGCTATTTCCCACTGTCTTGCGTTCTCTGTATCTATTCAGGTTCTTATGTATCCCCTCATTTACATTTACACTGTATGTTCTAATTTAGAGTCATTAACTCACCACATCGTTCTCCGAAATTTCTTTCAACAGAGCAGTTTGAATCTCACCAGCTTGAAGCCTTGTTTTGATCGACCAACCTGATTAAATCGAGTGATCTGTTCTTCGAGGATATTTCTGCCTGGTCTATCAGGTGTCTACCGGATGTTCTCCGTCGCTCGCCGGGGATCTCCCCACACACCTTCTCCGCCAACATTCAGAGTGAACATACATCTGACATGGGATCCTGAGAAATAGGAGACCCCGATGCCATCTACCGACCCACCTTCACGGACTCCAGGGGAAGGACATGTGAGCCCCCGCCGGCCCACCGCAAGCCTGGCATGTAAAGAATGCCGTCGCCGCAAATCCAAGGTCAGGCGATCACCCCCTCATCAATGGCCTTGATTTATTGTGACTGACTTGTTCGACTAAGTGCGATCGAGAGGTGCCCAGATGCATGCTTTGTCGCAAACACAATCGCGGATGCATCTACGAGAAGCAGAGTCGGCCGCCTCTCACCCGGCGCTACGTCGAGAAACTCGAGAATGAGTTGGCGCAGATGAAAGCTACGATCCAACAGATTATACCCGAGAATGCGATGGCGGACAATCACATTAATTTTGCAACCTCCGTGCAGGCGAGCACCGAAGCCCGTCCCTCAATGAATATATGCCATCCCCCCGTTCACTCGGAGCAGCCTGTCCGAGCGGGCAGGCCTGGGGTGCGGCTTCGGCCCCATCTCTACGACTCGGGCATGGACAGCCACGTCGAGCAGCAATCGCCGACTCAATTTGGCGTATCTTTTGAAAGTTCGCCATCGTCTGGAAACTGGGAATGGGATGAGCGGACAAGCAGAACCTGTGGCGATAAATTCGTTGATGGGATGGCCAGTCTAACAAGCAATTCGCATGAAGGAGGCTATCTGGGTAGGCAAACCTAACGCCAGCTCGGGTAGATTACGGTCAGTGCTAACAATCAACCAGGAGTCGCATCTGGCGCTGCGTTACTACGAATTACTGATCCTGGCTCACATGGGTCGAGGGGTAAGGTCGACGCGGATACAGATAGGGGAGCAGAAAGCTCCAATCGCTCGGTTCCAAGCATCCCATTCGCATTGGATTCGCTCGGCCAGCTGGAGCCTTTCGTCGATGGATACTTTGCAGTTTTCCATCGATCTTACCCCATCGTGCATGAAGCCACGTTCCGAGCCCAGTTTATGGAAGTCATTCCACGGCCGAAGGCAAACGCTTGGCAGGTGCTGCTTTTCGTCGTGGCGGCGGTTGGTGCCTTTGCAGCCTCCACGGACTCAACAACAGACATAGACTTAAGCCTTTTTGAAGCGGCGAAGGCGCGTTTGTCTATCGATGTACTAGAGACTGGCAATACTATTCTCGTTCAAGCCCTGACACTGATCTCGAATTACATGCAGAAGCGAAATAAACCGAACTCAGGATATAATTATATGGGCCTTGCTCGACGCACTGCGATGGCGATTGGGCTTCACAAGGAAGTACAACGGTCCCGAGATATCAGTCTTTTCATGCATGAAATGCGTCGGCGAATCTGGTACTGTCTTTACATTTTCGACGTCGGTGCTATCATTACCTTCTCGCGCCCTCTCGACTTCCCCCAGAACGGAGTTGATGTGGAACTCCCAATGAACGTTCATGATACGGTGAGGACTCTTGATGTATGGCTGAATGTAGCCTTTGCTCTCACGGTGACTCAAACATGATATCTTCACAGGATATTACACAAGAAACTATACACCAACCCCGACCTGCCAACGAGACAACAGCGTACACTCACCTACGAGCCCAGGCCACATTCCACATGGCAACGAATGAAATATACTCCAATATGATATCGAACTCTTTCCCATCTGCAGCTGAACTTATTGATGCTGATGACCGGTTTATTTCCCGCTGGCTATCCACATTGCCTTTATACTTCAAGGAAGATGCCGTTCAAGGAAAGCGATTCCGACTCTGCCATGCGATCTTACGGTGGCGATATCGTAACTTCCGGACTCTCATGTATCGGCCTATCCTGTTGCGGCGCGTGATGGCGCGACCGGAACGACATGCTCCAAGCAACTCGGACAGTGGGGCAGATGAAGACATCGCTATCCAACGATGCCTGGAGGCAGCACGCGAATCTGTAGAGCTAATTTCGGACTACTGGGAAAAGGAGGATCATAATACAATGGCCTGCTGGTACGGGCTGTACTTTCTGTTTCAAGCTGTCCTCATTCCCATCTACTGCTTGCGCAATGACCCGCAGAGTTCGATGGCTGTGGCATGGCGAAGTCAAATTTCCAAGGCTATGCGGACTATTGAATCGATGTCTCGGCTGAATGAAACAGCATCCCGCTGCCTGGACAAGATTCGATCGGTCTGTGAGCCATACCTCGACCACTCTGTCGACGGATGGGGTCTCCCGACCGAGGAGTCTCCGCAGACTCAGATTGCGAACCTTTATTCGCTGATGTGGCCTACCCTGGAGATCGCACAAATGGATGGACTGGATGCCTCCCTGTAAGAGCCCTGCTGTTTCTATTCGGGACATCACACCGTGGCTGATGAAGTTTACAGACAAACATCGACAATCCACGATTTCATGAACCAACTGCCCGGAGTGGAGTGATCCTCTGGAAATTATAAGCCGCATATCATTTATCCCCAAAGTGTCGCCAGCATGAAAATTGACATATGCGCCAAGGCTCCCTACAAAGGGTGTCTATTTACATGGTAGCCTTGATGAGAAAACGAAACCCCGGAAAATTGACTATTTTTATCTCCGTTCAAGGCAACGTGTATCCACCGTCAATCACGATGTTCGCACCCGTCATGTAACTCGAAGCGTCGGAGGCGCAGAATACATACGCCTGTGTTTGTCAGTATAGAGCTTGTCTCAGTCATATCATTTTGTTTTACTCACCCCCTTCAGCTCGTATGTCTGGGCCATTCGATTAGCAGGGATCATGCTGAGCCACTTTTCGCGCCACTCGACAGGGTGAATGTCGAGAATATCGGTTGCAATGAATCCAGGGGAAATGCAATTAACACGACAAAAGTCCACCCATTCCACGGACAGGCATTTGGCTAGCTGAACGACACCGGCTTTGGAGGCATTATACTGAATGATGTTAGCAGGGCATCTGATAATTACTTCGATCGGGACTGTCCTACCGCTGCTTGCTTCTGTGGAACGTTTACCAGCGTGGCGCTGACAGAGGCCGTGAAAACCACGTTTCCGAAGCCCTGCTCTTTGAAGATGCGAGCGGCTGCTTGTGCCGAGTAAAAAGCACCATCGAGATTGACCTTCATGATATCGCTCCACTGCTCGGTAGTATAGTCCTCGGCAGCAACGCAGGATGCAATGCCCGAGTTGGCAATCATGATATCGACCTTCCCAAAGTCCTTAACCACCTTCTGCACAGCGGCCTCAATGTCCGCCTGGTTCGTAACGTCGGCCTGGTAAGCCGCAGCTTTAACATTGCTTGTCAAGGCTATTTCGGCAGCAGTGGCCTCGGCTGTCTTGGAAGAGTTGTATATAATAGCCACCTAAATAGCCTCTTAGATTAGACGAGCCATGTTATCTGGCCCGGGGAGAACCTACATTTGCACCGGATTCCGCGAGACCGCGAGAAACCTCGAGACCGATCCCACGGGCACCGCCTGCAGAGCAACGTCAGTTGTGTGGTGTAGTTGGATATGTAACTCATGGCATACCAGTGACGATGGCCACTTTGCCGGTCAGATCGAACGCCTTGGAGACATGCTGGTTTTGGGGTTGCGCGAGGACCATTTTGTCAGTGAGCGAGAGTTGAGGGAAGCTTGAAGCTGCACGGTTGGTGCGTCTGGCGAGGTTTCCTCTTAACTTGCGAGCTGCACTGAGTGAGCCCCCGCTCGGCGTATGTCCGAAGGGACGGAGAGGAGCCTCCGCGCGGACACTCGACGCCCGGACGGGGACTGACCTGTGCAAAGCGGGGCCAAGTGGTATGACGCAAGATAGAACCGAGCCGGATGGGCCTCGCCGATCGACTGAGCCATTGTAGCCATAACAGCATCATGCAGACTTAGGTGTATCGGGTCGCAATGCTCTAATAAGCGATGGGGATAAGTAGTTCGGTCTCATATATTGTATGCGCAATATAATGGAGTCCTTAACACGTTCAATGCAGAGCGAAAAAAAAAATCCATTTGAACGAAAGAAATATGCAGTATACGAATAACATCAACCCAACGATAAACATCCACTCAAATGAAGAACACCACTTGTTAAGCGACATCCTCTGCATGCTCTGCATGCTCGCCTTTGCCACCCAATTCAGCGACTTTATCAAAAACTTCTCCGCTCGTCACTGCAGATGGACCATCAAATACTTGGGCGATCTCTTCTAGGGAATGGCCTTTGGTTTCGGGGAAGGCAAACCAGGTGATCACCAGCACCAGGACATCGAAGCAGCAGAAAAAAATATAGTAATGCCACCCAATATTGCCCAGAGCAATCGGGTTCACAAAAGCGAGCACAATCAGAGAGCTGTAAACACTGAGAAGCTCCACAGTCAAACCCTTGCTTCGGATAGAGTATGGGAAGATCTCGGTTGGGTAGCCTAACAACAGGGGCGTATAGGCGATGTCGTAGTGGAAGTAGAAAATAAAAACAAAAGCAATTACCGTTCTTCCGAGGGCATTGGCTTGTGTGCTGTCAAAGACGGCCGAGCAGGCAGTCCAGATGACGAAGGAGACGAGCATGCCAGCGGCCGACCATAGGAACAGCGGTCGTCGCCCCAATCGATCGACCAGAAGAGCGGCACTGCCGGCAGCAATAAAGTTGAAAATTTGAAGCAGCCCGTTAATTAGAGTCTGTGTGTCCGAGTCCTTTATACCGACGGTGTCGAGAACGAGAGTGAGGTAGTACGATACGACCGCAACGCCCTGGGCAATGTTAGCCTCAAGCTCTCACCTCCTACTAGTTTCACAGGGGACGCTTGACTTACGTTCCACTGAGCAAAAGCGCCCACACAAACCGCAATAAAGGTCCGCTTGCGGTTTCCAGGGGTCTTCACAAGAGTCGTCCATTTTGTCTCGGCTGCTCGGCTCTCCATCTCAATTGTGTGAGAAATCTCGGCCATCTCAAACTGGATCAAGGGGTGCGAGGCATCTCCAGCAGTATGGAATCGGGCAAGCAGTTCTTCGGCTTCCCCTTTTCGTCCATTTGCAACCAGCCATCTTAGAACTTGTCGTTAGCTTATGCACTGTTGATGAATTGAGTGGATGACAGTACTCACCGAGGAGACTCCGGCACAAAGTACCAAAATACGATCTGCACAACAGGAAACCCCGCTTGGATAATGGAAGGGACTCGCCAGCTCCAGTCCGACTGGCGCAGGTGCTTTTGTGTACCGTATGATGTCCACGAAGCAAGTATGGCACCGAGGTAGTACATAGTCCAGAAAGCACTGGTGTATTTGCCTCGATGCGTCGGGTACGCAAGCTCGGTTATCAACATGGGCGAAGGCTGCACGACCAGCATAGAACCAACACCCACTAGCACGCGAGAAAAGACAAACATTCCATATTGGACTGAAGCTGCCTGAATGATCGAAGCAATTATGATCACGATAGCACCCGACAACAAGGTCCAGCGTCGTCCTATCCGATCAGAAAGAATGCCAACGAAAGGAAGTGAGATCACACTGCCAATCGACTGAGCAGCGTTAACGATGCCGAGAATCGAGCCAGACGGGTTGCCGAAGTAGTCTTTCCATTCGGCAATGGACTGCAGACCGTTCATCAGAGAGCCTAACGTTGTTCCAATGATCAGTAACCCTGCATCTGGAGACCTTCCCACGACAATCCCTTGACCCCATCATACATACCGTCATACCCAGCGACGGCCGACGAGAGGAGAGGAACCAGCAGAATTAGATTGAGCTGCACGAGATGCGGAACATGAAACCAAGGGCGATCATATTGAGGAAGAACAGAGGCCAGAGCCTCGCCGACGATATCTTGATTCTTCATGCTGCCCACAGGAGAATTCATGGAGATGAGCGTCCACGCCCCGGCAGATCGGAAATAATATACCCGCGGCTGTCCTCTTGTCCGGCAGGGCCATCGTATCCTTTCTTGGCCCACTTCTTTCTGGGGTCGCGTAGTTCCCCGTGGGGTTGCGCCTGCCAGGCCCGCAATCGGTTGGCCCGGCGGAGATCGGCGTCCGTCCTTCGTGTCTCAATCCCGGCCTCTACCCTACCCCTGCCCCCAACAACCCCAAATCAGAGGATTGGTTTCCATGCAACAAGAGGCAGTGCGGACGCAAAGCTCCGAGCCTCGGACAGAAGCCGGCCAGACCCCGGGGGCCCCCGCTGATGGAGACAGGACTCAGGCAGAGGCCATAAATGATCGGCCAAAGGCTTGAATATTTCGCTATCGATTGCTTGCTCAACTCTCAGACGAAATTCAAGAAATGGGCTCCCAAAAAAGCATTCGCCGTCCGAATCCGATGCTATCGGACAGCATCTTCAAGATGCTGCAAATGCACGGCAAGGTCACTATCATCACGGGCGGCGCTGGCGGCATCGGCTATCAGGTGGCTCGAAGCCTAGCGGAGGCCGGTTCCAATATCGCTCTCTGGTATCACAGCTCACCTCATGCCGAGAAGCTGGCAGCCGAGTTGGAAGGGGACTTTGGGATTAAGGCGAAGGCGTACAAATGTTCCGTCCAGAACTTCAACGAGGTATGAAGACTCATTTTTGCAGAAATCAAGGAACTAATTATTGCTAGGTTCAATCCGCAACAGATGCAGTCATGTGTGACTTTGGTCGACTTGATGTAATGGTTGCGAACGCAGGTATACCTTCCAAGGCAGGCGGACTGGACGATAAATTGGAAGACTGGCAACGGGTGGTAGACATCGATTTCTCTGGTGCATATTATTGCGCTCGCGCTGCTGGCCATATCTTCCGCAGTCAAGGTCATGGCAACATGATCTTCACGGCGTCGATGTCAGGTCATGCTGCAAATGTTCCTCAGCAACAGGTATGCCGAAACACAACCAACCTCAAGTCTAGAATCTGCAGACTAATTGATCTCAGGCTTGCTATAATGCTTGCAAAGCTGGAATTATCCACCTGGCAAAATCACTCGCCGTGGAGTGGGCTGGCTTTGCTCGCGTTAACTCTGTCAGTCCTGGCTACATCGACACTCCAATTAGCGGAGATTGTCCATTTGAAATGAAGGAGGAGTGGTATAGCCTAACTCCTTTGAAGCGGGATGCAGACCCTCGCGAACTAAAGGGTGCCTATCTATATCTTGCCAGTGACGCTAGCACTTATACAACAGGCTCGGATATTGTTATTGATGGTGGGTATACCTGTCGATAAACAGGATTGCAGATCACATTCAATAGACACCAATATGAGTCACAAATTAAATTACACGCTAGCAAGAGCAAGCCAAAGCTCGAACATCTGGCTTCTTTCAAGAAAGTTGTTTCTTATTTTGCAGAGTCAACGACATGTTGTTGTGATTCTGTTTCTTAATAGCTATCATAGCTCCGCATTGTCTACCATTTTCCATCGGTCTTGTAAATTCTCATACGGTTTCCGCATCGGCCATGCATGGATGTCTTTTGTTCGATCTATTATTCCAACCAATGCATCGCGTTCGTCTGGATCAGTGAAATACTCACCATACAAATTGATAGCTATAACTGCATTGACCAGCGCTGGTTGGATTCGGAGATGATTCAAAGCTATACCGCAGAGATTTAGGACGATGGATCTCACTTGTGCCTCTGCTTTGCGGTGAGAGGCACGGGACGCCGTCCTGGAAATGAAATCAGCACAATTGTGGCGGAACCTTGCATCCTGTCTTTGACTCACTCCAGGTGAGGATTTTCAGCAACTAGGATCATTTGAGCTAGCCGAAGATGCTGTATCGCGGTGACCTGAAAATCAAAGCTGTACCACACAGTCGGGAAAATTTCACCCACTGCTCGATTCGCCTTCAAGTCGAGAATGGGCTCTATCTCACCCATACATGCATGGGTAAGCTGCTGTTCTCTTAACTTGAGTCGCGCTATTGCAAATGGAATTAGTGGAAAAACCTCGCCTGGTCTCAGGGCTATGCTTCGATGCTCACTCCACTCTTCGGTATGCTTTTGTCCCCAGCGCCAAGTTGCAACCTCTCCGGAAAAAATAATCATATTGTTTGCAATAGAATTATTGCGCCAGCGATCAGAGTCAAAACGCATGTGCGGAATGCTCTCCCTGGTAAATGCGTTGTAAATCTCTTGACGGATAACAATGTAGTAGGCAGCGGTCGCCAGAGAGTTGTCTAGAGGTGATTCAATCATTGAGTCAATTATGGTTTGCGTGATGGCCAAAAAGTTAACGCGGCGATCGTCATGATAATCCGAGTCGAGTTCATTCTCGTCCATCTCCTCATCCATCTCCTCGTATTGCCGTAGAATGACTGTTGCTGCCATGATGTTTTCTTGGTGTACTGGATTCTGAATTTCGGGAAATCGAACAAGATCTGGAATGCACCTCAACATATACTCCAAAGCGCTCGACTTTTTCAAGTGAGGTAACAGTTGCCCTCTATACAATATTCCCTTTGGTGTCGAATATTGCGGCAGGCGACATAGTCGCCTCGCTGCCACTGCGAATATAGCATTTTTCACCGTTGGACATTGTTGTGCTCTGACGGGGACAACTAGTTGAAAGTGTCTGAGGTCGTCGCAATGGTCAAACTACACCTCATCAGTCACATGTGATGGGCATCTCTGGAAGCGGTTCTTCATACCCATGGAGACAAATCTTCAATAAAGCATCGCATAAGACATGATTCTTGAATACTCTCACTAGCAGCCGGACCTTGGTAGTGGGTAGATGAGGGAGATATCGAATAACCGACATCAGTAGGACTTCTCCCATCCAGCGCGTAGCTCTCGATTTCAAGACGGGAAGGGCTTGTATCATCGTTTCGTGCGGTTTGATTCAAATTATCATATCCAGCAGTGAATAAGTTCGCGTTCTCGAGATCCATGGATGATACCGGCGATGAAGAGTCTTCCTGGCTTTGATGTATGTGACCGAACTGGTCGCGATTTCCTACCAGGTCTCTATGAGCCTCATCTATCCCCTCTCTTGGGATGTTCTGCGTCTCAATCGGTGGATCCAGCTGCTTTTGACTTCCAGAGGCAAAAGAAGCTAGCAAAGAAGCATCATTCAGGGACTCCTCGTTTGACCGTACGGTAGTGGCCACTCTCTCTGAGGTCTCTGGGGGGTTTTGTGACACTCGTGTGCGCTTCGGGGGCCGCCAGCTCTTCGGTCGGCTGTTGACCCATGTTTGGCCTTGTGTAAAGCTTGCGTCGAAGTTTGCAGTTGACCCATGTCGAAAAACGGCTTTCTTTACCACCGGTTTGCATTCGAGTCCCTTGGTCTCACATCGCTTGCATATTGGCCTTTGCTTGTCGCCTGTCATTCACTCAGTTGTCAGCAGACTCAGGTTGGTCGACAGAAAAGGAGGACTCAGTTACATTTCTGGTGCCGAGCTGCCACTTTGGTAAGCAATGATTGGATTAAAACCTGGGGGTCTTGTAGCTCTTACCTCGGCAGTTAGAACAAGGCGCTCTGGCCAATGAGGGCGTTGACATATCGATTGCCAGGGTCAACGCGTCAAAGCAGACAGCAGCTGTGTTCAAGTAAGAAAGGTCCGGCTGTGCGAACCTCGCCTCGCCCACGCCTCCCCGATGGGGCGAAACGGACAAGAAGTGTGGGGAAGCGCAACCCCGCGTGGAAAAGCGCCGAATGGGGAAAGCCACCCCGCATCACTGCTACTCGGGGTATATTTTCCCCGCTCCCGAGCGAGCGGGTACCGTAAACTGCACACAGCTTGATGTTTGAAACTGAAGATGGTATAGCATTGCTATCTATCCTGGGGCATTCTAACCCTCTAATTCAGAGCTTTCCCTGGAATGGCCGAGAATCCAACCGGTCTCCGCGCTCGTTGAACTTCACCACCTCACCAGTGAGCAAAGCATGCTGCAGCGCTTGTCCGATCTTCATGACCATGATTCCGGTTCCCAGTGAGACAGGAACCGGCTTGTTGTTTAGCACAGAGTCTACAAACTCGTTGGCTTCCCTCGCAAAAGCGTCCTCGAAGCGCTGCCAGTACTCTGGCTGAACCTCGTGCCGCATGCCCAGCTTGTCGGCCAAGACCACATTGTTCTGTTTGGGGATCACATTCACCATCAACTTTCCATCTGTGCCAGTGACCTCGGTGCAAACATCATGTCCGTGGGCTTGAGTTCTCGAGCAGTAGAAGTATGCGATCTTGCCTCCATGGAATTCCACGACACCCACGGCATTATCCACGTCATTCAGATCCTTCAATTCAGGATGGTGCTGAAGGGTGCCGGCTGCCCAGCACGCCTTAGGGATTGGGTTGCCAAGGTACCAGAGCGATAGATCAATGTCGTGAATCGCACAATCGACGAAAATACCACCGTTCCGAGACGCGTGGCGAACAAAGAATCCAGATTCATCGCGCAGATCGCAGGTGTTAGATCGAACCATGAATGGAGATCCGATCGCCTTCTCCTGGATCTTCGTGCTTGCGTCGCGATAGGAAGCGTCAAACCGTCGGGAGAATCCAGCCATCACCTTGATCCATGGATTGCGCTCTGCTGCGTCGACAACCGATTGCGCCTAGTTTGAGATCACTTGTCAGTATGTCTTCAATTCAACAACTGGCATCAAGTCCCATTGTGCTTACCTCGACCAGATCAGTACTCAGAGGCTTTTCACAAAGCACGTGGATTCCTTTCGCAATGGCTGAGAGTGACTGACTCGCATGGACATCCGTGCTTGTAGAAATCCAGACGGCTTGCAGACCGGACTGAGACAGCATTTCGTCATAGTTGCTGTATACCTGGCATACCGAAGTCCTGGTATTCTTTGTTTTCCTTCGCCCAAGCGATCTCGTGGGGCTCGGTGGAACACACGGCCACGACTGTCGCACGCGGAACACGATAAAGTAGGGTGTGCACATGGCGTTTTCCCTAAGTCGTATCGGTCTCAGGGCTCTGTATACTCCGCAAAGAGAAAAAATCACAGGTCAAGCTTACCATGCGGCCAAGGCCTACAACAGCAATGCGAAGAGGTTGCATGATCGATCTTGGAAAGAGATAGCAAGAGTGATTGAATGAAAGTAATAATAATGGAGTATTGAAATGTTTGGCTGGTAGAATGTTTCTATATCTCTTCCCAGGGGATATTTATGACCTTTTATGGTCTTGAGATGTGAGTGCGGGTGCAGCACATATGTCGATCAGTTATCGCCGCCGGTTACCGTTTTAGGTAATTTTTGGGATCAAGTGACCCACCCCGTTCATAGGCTCGAAATTCCGTGAGCGCTCTATGATACAGGTATATTTCATCTTTTTGAATAATTTCGGGGTTTTATTAATCAATGTAGTTATGTCAGACGAATCACGCATGTAATCGGACCGCTCGTTGATGTAAGATCTCGAAATCAGGATCAGTATAAAACGACTATAGTCGTCGCAGCTTCATGGGAAATACGAAATACTCTAGAATGGTTTTTCTTCTTTCCTTTCTTTTTTTTTGCTTCCTTCGTTTGGACACACAAATCGGCTTCTCGGGTCTTTCAAAGAGAGTACCTTCAACAATGAACCTTATTGACGCCTAATATATGATCAGAGTCTAAGGATTCGAATGCGTTTACAAGGCCTGTGTGATGGGGAGTGATGAAGGTGAGAGAGCTAAGTTTGCTTTACTCATAGCTCGGAAGTGTACTAGTTACTAGTTAGCTACTGTTCAGTGGAAGTGTAGGCCCTACATCACCTGACCTATAGCCTACATAGTTTGAGTCAGCCAAACCTGCTGGCAGCCATAACCGCATCAATGCATCACACCTTAAATTTACCTCACCCAAAACTCCGAGTCTCTTTACTCGTCCACTTTGGAGTGTTGAAATCAGCGGAGTGGGTTGTCCGCAGCAGTGACGGACCTCGGAGTGGGTCTCCGAAAGCGGGGTCCAGATGTATCTAAAGAGATACGAGGACATTCTTTTGGACGTGCTCATATTTAACAGAGGACATCGCAGCTGAGAGCAGTCAATACCTCCTAAATTCTATTTCGTCGCACTAAACAACATGGGGGTGAGTGATCCCACTACTGCCGTTGGGCTTGCACCTCATCATCATTCTAGGAGACAAATCGCTCGTTTGTCCTTCGCGCCGTGAAAGAGGTCATTTTGGAAGACCGCCCTGTTCCAGTTTTGAAGGACCCTTGGGATGTGCGGGTTCGGATCGCACAGACTGGCATCTGCGGGAGTGACGTGCACTATTGGCAACGAGGGCGCATAGGAGGTAAGGAATACCAATGGGGCATCCCGTACGAGGAGACATTTACTGTCTCTCTTAGACTTCATCTTGAACTCCCCTATTGTACTCGGCCATGAGAGTTCTGGCACTGTCGTCGAGGTCGGTTCCGCGGTGAAGAACCTGAAGATTGGCGATCGGGTCGCTATTGAACCAGGCGTGCCTTGCAGACAGTAAGTCGCACCTGCATCAGCCAGCCTTGAGTGATCCATGTACTAAGCATATCGTCGCAGCTGTGACTACTGCCGCAGCGGATCCTACAACCTCTGCCCCGACACCGTCTTCGCCGCCACCCCTCCCCACGATGGAACGCTCTCGAAATATTATATCACGCAGGCCGATTACTGCTATCCTCTGCCCCGACAAATGAACATGGAAGAGGGAGCCTTAGTGGAGCCTGTCGCCGTCGCCGTTCAGATCACTAAAGTGGGCAACGTTCGTCCCAACCAGACAGTGGTGGTCTTTGGATGCGGGCCCATCGGACTGCTCTGCCAGGCAGTGAGCAAGGCATATTCGGCCAAAAAGGTGATCGGGGTAGACATCAGTCAGTCTAGGGCAGATTTCGCTCGGACTTTCGGGGCAGACGAAGTATTCGTGCCCTCGTCCAGGCCCGAGGGCACTGACGAGACCACCTGGAGTGAGGAGGTGGCTCGAATCATGAAAGAGAAGTTTGCGCTGGGGGAGGGGCCCGACGTGGTTCTTGAAGCGACTGGGGCACAAGCCTGTATTCAGGCAGGCATCCACTTGACTAAGAAAGGCGGCACATACGTCCAGGCCGGTATGGGCCGTGAGGTCAGTCAGCCTTCATATTCGTTGCCATCCATGCAAGAAACTAACCCAGGTTAGAACGTGGTGTTTCCCATCACTACTGCCTGTATTCGCGACCTGCACATCCGAGGCTCCATTCGATACACGGTGGGCTGTTACCCAACAGCTGTGGATCTTATTTCAACTGGGAAGATTGACGTGAAGCGACTGGTCACGAACCGCTTCAAGTTTGAACAAGCAGAGGAGGCATTTGAACTTGTTCGGCAGGGCAAAGAGAGTGTAATTAAGGTCATCATCGAGGGAGTCTCTCCATAGTCCGTTGAGCCTTGCCTACGAGGGGTGCTTCTCGCCTAGCAAAGCCTGCCTCCGTGGGCCGACAACTCCGGGTCGGCTTACAGAATTTCACCTAGTTCATCTTGACATCCCATTCCTCGAAGGAGTAGATCGTTCTTGAGTTGACAACACGTAATTCAAACTCGGTTCATGGTCAACTTAACCGAGTATTCAATCATTTCATCTTCATGGAACCTTAGACTCAATGAGTTTCGCACAATCGGCCCGACCTTTTCTGGTGTTATGTATCGGGTGAGGTCGAGATTCTTGTAGAATTCTGCTGACAATGTTGCTGTCAGATTTTTCGGTAAACATAATTCCCTCAGGTGGAATTATGAGCGTCTTGTTCTCACTAGGGGCGTGTGGGAAGGGAGGTCTATAAGGCACCCCGTGACTTCAATGCGGGTGTGGTGGCAGATCATCAATCATTGATCTGCCCCTGAACTTGATCCGAACTGGCTCAACATATAACCGTTGGAAAACGAATACCTTACCAGCGAGCTGGACCCATATGAGCTGTTAGACTTCATCTCGTGCGCTGCGCTCTCGATGCATCAGCCGAACACGTTGTGGAATCTGGGGTGTATCCGAAGGGGTCAGCGAGCGCGGAAAGATTCAACCTCAGATCCGCTTCTCGAACGCCATGTGGCGAGCCGAGCAAACGAAATTGAGAAAGACAACCAGCGTGGTGGAATGCTACAGCCATGCACTGATTCTTATGAGCGTCTATTGATTTTCGACGGGCTCAAGGTGGATCCATTGGTCGCGGTGGGTGGGAGTGCTGGCATACGATCTTCACCAGAAACCTCCACAAGCGCGTACCCAGTCCACCGCGACATGTGGATCACCACCTGCATGAAATACATCATTGCTTTTGCTGTTTGCTTTGTCTGTCGCTGAGTTGACAGGCGAAACTTCGAGTTGTCAACTACACGTGAATCCAACGTCCCTCTGGTCACAGCTGCAGACGCGGGCACCGAGGAATTACAGAATCGCAGAATTGGAGCGGCTTGGTGAGGCTTGTCAACGTCAACCAAGGCGACATGCTCTTCGCCATTAACTCCACTAGTTCATGGGGGCACTCACGTCGTGCCCCATGATGCTCGAAAACACGACACTTGGGGAGCGACCATCCATCAATAGATCCATCGATCATTGATCTCGAAGGCTGCCGGTCATGAAAATGCTGGCCGCTTGGTGGAGGAGAACTCGTTCTTTCAGTAGCGATTGCAGGCAGTTATCTCGCACAATTCGCCCTTCGATTCCGCTGGAGAGCCAAAAATTGACCGCGCAACTCCATCGATGGCAAGATTCTCAATTCGGAGAAGACTGGATCTGGAACCCGGCTCTTCCTCTATTCCTCCGATTCTTGTACATGTAAAGAAATTCTCGTTTCCAGGAGAAACATTTGCACAAACAATCAATTCCTTCTCCTTCACTTATCTCGTTTATCTCCATTCAAATTTCTTCCTCTTCATAATGCAATTCGAGCTGTCTGCCCTCATGGCCGTCCTGGCCGCTACTGCCATTGCCTCGCCTGTCCCCACTGCCGATAAAAGCATGTGTGCCAGTAAAGTTGTGTCCACCTTGAACTCGCTGACCAAGGACGTCACTGCGGGCACCGAAAAGAATCAGAACAGACAAGGCCCCTTTGCGGTTGGGTAGGTGAACATCCCCGACCCGCGGGATTCATGAAGATAATGGTCAGTTAATAGACCAAATTCCTTTTCCAGGCAATCGTCTCTGGTGGAAGGGCAACGTTTCGACTATTTCCAACTCTAACCAAGGCCATCGCTACTGCCGGTGAGACTGGTTGTCAAAATCTGAGTGAAGAGGACCAGAAGAGGGTGTGCGCCGCCGCGCAAATGGTACAAAATTCATCCAAACCCGCTGGCAACCGTTCTAAAGCTAATATAATACAATGAAAAGTTTCTCGCTGCGGATTAGAAGCTTGTCAAGGAGCTCGGTGGCAAGAAGTGCCTTCTCAGGAGCCACCGCTTGGCTACGCTCATTTCCGCGGTCCTTCGTACTGAGGAGGGTGCCGTTGATGTGAGTTCATATCCGATCTTCATCAAGCGCATCAACTCAAACCATTCAATTTTAGATCTATCTGCTCGGCATCGTTCCTAACACCCCTGTCTGTGGTGATAACCTGGAGTCCACCGTCAAGAATTTGCAGGAGATCTGACCAGGGTCATTCAAGACTACAGCAACACCAAGAGAACTTGGTCCTAAGATTTGAAATTTTCATGTACATTTAGCCAACTTGTGTAACTTCCACAAATACCTTGATATCATATTAATACTTAATGCCAAACATACCTTCAATATCAAGCACTGGGTTGACTACAACTTAAGTCACATATACCACATCACAAAATCACACAGTGCCTATTGCGATCCCTCCCGTGCCTCATAAGTATCATCCTCTTCCAGCTAGGCCCTATTTTATTTTTCTTACGTCCCGAAAGAAAATGAAGTCAGTTGCGTTATTCCGACAAGTCAAATTCTCATCGACGTAAGTTCCCAAAAGTCAAACAGAGACTGTATGGAAAAATAGGATTGACACAGCCACCAGAACAAGTCTCTATTATTTCACATGGACCAGGACAACCACCTCACTCAAACAGTATGGTTACATTAAGAGATCACGCTCAAACAATTTCATGAAGGAGATTCGTTGCTCGTTGCAGCTCGTCGACCCCAGCCACTGAAAAACCCTCCACCTCCAGCACTGCCATTGCTGGAGGTGCCGGGAGTCTTGACAGGCTCTGTCGGAGCTTTGGAAATGCTTGCTCGGGAAGGAGAGCGGCCGACAAATGAGTGCCGATTCTCAAGCTTGGCGCTCGGTTGAGAATGAGGCGCGCTGATCATCTTTCGAAGCGCGTCCAACTTGGCCTTGACTTCTTCCAACTCTTGTTTGGCCACCGCTTCGGCCGTCTTTGCATTAACAAGCTCCAACAATAGCGTTTCCTCGGCAGCCGGCTTATTGTTTTCAGTGGCTAGTACACTCTGGAGGCCTAAGCTGCTTGACCGTTTGTTGAAAGTTGGGCTCTTCTGGGAGTTTGTGCGCACCAACCGCAATTTTCGGAGACCGTTTGGCGAGGTCGCCTCATTGGAATCAGCGGGGGAAGAAGCGTTCTCGGGGGGCGTGGCAGATTCTGTGACCGGCGTCTTGAGTGAGCGAAGCTCCTGATTCATACGCTCCAGTCGCTGTCGATCACGGTAACCGTCTTGAATTCGGCCGCGTGCCTCTCGGAGCTGGTCCTTTAAAGACGAATTTTCCTGCTCGAAATCATCCATCCGTCGTGTGAGATCCAGACAGCGACTGGCTTCCACTTCATGCATCTCCTTCCATCGGGTCATATCATCGTAAAGCTGGTGTTTCGTTTGCGTAATAGACGTGCGTTTTGGCTCTTCCGATAGGAGGCGGGCCTGTGCCTTGGATAGCAGTTCATCTGATTGGTATTCACTTGGCAGACCCTGGAGATAGCCGAGCAGCTCCTTAGATAATCCATTGTCTTCCTCTCGTTCTTCACGCTCCTGTTGCAATTCCCGTGTCAAATCCGCATGCTGGCGCTGGAGATCACTTAAAGCCATCAGCAAATCTTCGATCTGTGTGTGAAGATCGCGGTCTTTGTGATGAGTGGCAACATTGGACTTGACGCGTGTTCTGTCCGTACCCGCTGTGACAGTCGACAATTCTGTTGGGGCAGTGCTCGCATCGGATACTGTTTCGATCGAATTCAGCGTCGAGGTCATGCTCTGTTTTGAGGTGGACCGTCGGATTGTGCTGACCGGGCGTGAGGGGCTCGCGTTGGGGTTGAGAGATTTCATGGAGTTGTGGGAGTTGGAGCCCGTCCAAAGGCGACCCAGGAATCGCGAAGCAGTTGCCTGCATCTGGGGGAATGAGATTCCCGTAGGAACACCTTGAGATTGTGTGTAGTTAGCTTCCAGAGCCTGGAGGCTCTCCTTGGTGACAAGCGAGGTAAGTGAAACAAAGTCATTCACGAGATCGTCAGCATTGAACGCGTATCTAATAATGTTGACAGTCAGTACAAGTTCTGTTACCGGGTAAGATGCGTCAAAAACTCACGTATCCCAGACGCTTCGAGACAGAAGCAGTTGCATGACATCCTCAAACTCGGTACATGCCAGGATTCTTTTCTCGTTGCGTTGCATCAAGGAAAGAGCGACGCGCATCAAGGTTTCGCAAGCACCTTCGAGGAAAATGACATCGTAAATTCGGAGCAGCATTGGCAACGGGCACGCCACTGCAAAGAAAGAGAGAAACCATTGTGATACATAGACAGGCTCGACATTCAACGATTCCAAGTGTTCAAACAGGGCAGGTCGATGCCGCGCCAGGAGGTTTTGAAACTGGTAAACATGAAGGTGAAGACCAGACAGATCTGGGAGATAGCACATTCGAAGATTATAGTGGTCCATCAATCTGTCAGAGGGTTAATCGCCGATCTCCATAGCACTACCGATAGAGCAGACCGCGAGGGATGCTATCTTACCTAACAAGCACGCAGAAAGCTTCCGCATCGGACATATGCATGAGCAACGGTCCAACAACAAAACCAAGTCCTTGGCAATAGCCAATCTTGGCATCGTACAGACTAAAACATCTCAAGACTCGAGCCAGCATCTGCTGGCCTTCGCCATTGGGGTCCCGGAACATTTCCACATTGGGAAAGCTGCGGCCAATATCCTTGCCGATCAGCCCGTCATAGGGGCTGCTTTCGCCCGAAAGCCGCTGGAACTCATCTATGAGAGATGGATCACGAGCGCCGGCGAGGCTCGGCCAGACAACGCCACGGAGTGGCGGAGGCACACCACCTTGAATCTTGTTCGAGGTGAGTGTTGGCAATCGCTGAGCCGTCTGCGGATAGTCTGCCACTAAAGCTGCCCAGAATTCCAGCTCGGTCATCGGCGGTGGCTGCAGCTGCGAGTAGCGCAGTTCTGATCTTGCTGGATCGCTGATCAACCGTTTAATCTGAATCAGCGACTGCGAGCGGGACTGTCGCTGATGTCTCGGCGACTGAGGGACATTGTTGGACAGCCCGGACTTCGGGTTGGTCACCAGGGCATTGTTTTCTTGCTCGAGGCGAGCGAGGAGGAGGGCCGTAGACTGTCAAATCGGCGAGGAATGTCAGCCTCCATTCCACGCAAGGACCCCACTGCACACCTTCGGGCGACTTCTCCCAGTTCACCTACCTCATCAGAACTCTCTCCTCGCGGCTCCTGCTCTTCTGTCTTTTCTAAGTTCTCCCAATCGACTTCGCTGTCGGCTTCCTCGTCTGCGGTCTTATCTGCTGTTGAGGTGGGAGTAGGGGGCTCCGACACGGGAACTGGAGTGGTCCTTGCGGCATCCTGGAGAGGCATCGGACCGAACGATTCGCTTTCATGGCTCGCCTCCACCGGGGTTGGAGGAATATCGAGGTTGCGCCAGTCGGGCTGGGTGTGCTCGGAGTTGGATTGAATGTCGGAGAGCGATACGGTCACCATGGAGTCGTGGTTGGGTGCATGCGGCGCCGGGGAGGCGGATTCGGCGCTCTCCATCGCTGCCACAATTGATTTAAAAGTCGGAGCGAGTGGGTGCTTCTCGGGGGAGAATCACCAGCTCAGGTCGAATTGACACGGAAACAAAGCGAAGGGACGATTGGGAGGATATGCAAGACCAGCTTCATCTCTGGAGAGGGGAGTTAGCACATGGACGCGACGCAGATACACACACGCCCGAATCTAGCGCAGCGGGAATGCAGGTAAAGAGGATAGGACATTCACACACCTCGAGGCGATCCAGCACCATATGAAAAAGGGAAAAGCGGAGTCGAGACTCGATGGCTGGCGAAGAAAAGGGAGTCGGAGTCAGGAGATGCGTGAGAACCCACCCGCACTATTTCGCTAGCCCCTTTAGCCTTCCCCTCCTCGAGTCTCGCCCCCCGTCGATCGCTTTCATACACCGACTGTTTTGCTTGCGCCCTCTCCTTTTTGCTTCTCGTTTTTGATAGGGAGATTATTCCATAGTGCCCTGTTCACTCTAATCTGTGGATCGTACTACCGACCCTGGAACAGTACCCTTGTGGTAGGGTCCCGCGGAACCAACTGCGGAAGTTCTGGCACCTCTCTCAATACACTAATGTAGTAGTACTAAGTCATGCCCGCCGTTCCAGGTGACTGAGCCAGTAGGCAAGTAGGTAGATTACCACAATACAATCATCGGGCACCTGAACATGCTCCGGTGGCTGAACCGAGTTGCGCTGCAGGAACAAAACAATCAAATACGCGTGCAGTCTGGCGCAGAGGGCGCCAAGCCCGTAATGGCAATACAGATTGGGGGTTACTGTCACCTATTCGACTTGTGGTTGGCACGAAATATACTACCTGTGCGTTCATTGGAGGACCCTCTCGGCTTGCTATGAAACACGGTGACACCCCCTGGCAGCCCTGGTTAAATGACTGTTCAGGATGAAACGGCTGGGTGATTTGGGCGCAGAAGGGCTGGCAGAGGCAAGGGAGGAGGTGGGAGAAGGTCTTCTGAGGGGCCGCTGTCACCAATAGCCCCCTTTCCTCGGTGGATCTGCCGCTGGTCCATGCGGTCCTTCGCGGTGGTAATCCTCCGAGGCTGTGGGGATTCGGGCGAAGAAAGCTGGAAAACTTCTCGAAGGGCCTGGCATGGGAAATCGTCGATTGGCGCGAGCACCCGAGCACGTTTATCTTTTCCAAGTCTCGCCGAAGAGAAATCAAACTCGAGGTAGTTGTTACTCACAAACCAAATTAGATGTCCTTTTCCCCTCGCTTCCCGTTGGTATCTGTTCGAGAGAGGTGGTGCCCGTCAGCCATCTTGAAATCATGCAAGGGTGAGCGAACGCAGGATCATCGATATCAAAAAGTGGCGGGGTGGCTGGTACCTCAAAGCATCAGACACCATCAAGTAGATAAAATTCGAGGCCTAATCACACAGTCGCACCAGTGGCAAACACGAGCGAGTTCCAGTTTCAATCATCCAGTCTTTCAACGAGACAACAGATAAAAACGCTGATACTACACCCACTAGTCATAGCACACGAGATCGAAATCATAATCAGCATAGGAGGCTGCTACACGTGTACCTCACAGTGTTCTATTATAGCATTCAGAAGCCATTATGATGATAGTGCACATGATTCACTTTCGGTTCACCTTGTACCTAGGTACGGTGCGCTAGTGTAGGTAAGGTTGCCTACAGCGTGGTGTGCTAGATGAAGATGGGTACAGATGATCGAAAAGTGCCTACAACACTATGTGCAAACTCCGACTCTGTTGTACTATTGGTAATCCCGCATCAGTGCAGTCTTGGTGGTGACTTCGTTTCCATTCATACCCTAGGGTAGTATGGGATGTATTATCCACATTGCAGTTCATCCATGTGCAAGCTCACATTTCCCAAACACTGTTGAGCCACGGAACCTTCAGTGGTGCCGCTATTTGCAAAATCCTGAGCTGCCCTGTCAACGTAGTAAGGTACACTAGTGTATTTATGATTCTACCTTTCTTAGTGCCGGAATATATATCACGATCAACACGCCAACGATGGGGCATTTCTGTAGCGTTCGTTATACCCGGTAACTGTTGCAGGAAAATAATTCACAGGGATTCTATTTCAAGACTATCTTTTGGCAGGATCTCTCACAACCCTGAACCTGCCTTTCCTGGTTACAAGGAGGAACAATCATAGAGACGTACTGTTGGCGCAGATCGCGCTTGTCTGTTTTGGATGATTTGTTTTCAGATTGCCTGTTTTGGCGGCGGGGGCGGGGGCGGTGAGGAGAAACAATGACCCGGATCTCACCGCCCGGCAACTCACTGGCAGGCGCGTTTCACCGTGGCGCAAAACAGACCCGACGACACGCATTCCTCCCATCCTGATCATTTGATCATTAGCATTACTCTCTCGTTCCTGAGAGCATGCTGCGCGGTGCTCAAATCCGCGCGTACCTTTCTATTCTCTTCGCATGATCCACCCCGCCATTCGTTTGCCTCACGACCTCAACAGGACCCGTCAAGTTTTTCCGAATCCGCATTTACAACCTCCATCACCATGGATGACTCCATGATGGATGATGACATCTTTGATGTCGAGAGCGATGGTGGCAGCTCCGACTTTGTTCCCGAGCCTGCACCGGTAGGTTTTGCCTGTCCCCTTTTCTGATAGCTGGGCGCGTTCTCCCGGTTCATAACAACATATTTGCTAAATATTGTGTTCATTGCAGAAACCCAAGGCCAAAGCGGCACCAAAGAAGGCAGCCCCTGCCAAACTGGCAGCCAAGAAGCAAACAACACTGAAAGCCCAGGCCAAGAAGAAAGCGCCAGCCGATAGTGAAGATGACATGTCTGACGTGCAAGTGTCCGATGACGACGATTCGCTACTTTCACACACCCCGCCCAAATCGAAAAAGACAACTGTGCCCAAACGTGCAGGCTCAAAGCCCCTTGGCGATGTCGAAAACGAATCTCACGGCGATGGAGCTGCGAACGGTCCCTCCAAAGGTGGCAACGCCGACAAATATCAGAAGGTGAGTCTATCCCGACCCCAGCAGTACTACAGGTGACCACTGCCATCAGAAAGGGCTCAATACTAATTATACTTGCTCTAGCTTACCCAACTTGAGCACATAATCAAGCGCCCTGACACCTATATCGGTTCAGTTGAGGCAACCCAGCAGCAAATGTGGGTCTTCAACTCCGAGACAGATTCCATGGAATTTCGTACGGTTTCCTTCGTGCCCGGTCTCTACAAGATTTTCGATGAAATTGTGGTCAACGCCGCCGACAACAAGCACAATGACAAAGGCATGAGTGAAATCAGGGTCACAATCGACCGCGAGAAGGGTGAAATTAGCGTGTGGAACAACGGACGTGGTATTCCAGTCGAGATTCACTCCAAGGAAAAGATCTATGTTCCAGAACTGATTTTCGGACACCTGCTTACATCGTCTAACTATGATGATACCCAGCAGAAAGTTACCGGTGGTCGAAACGGTTTCGGTGCCAAGCTTTGCAACGTCTTTTCGACCGAATTCACCATCGAGACTCAAGACACGCACCAGAAAAAGAAATACAAGCAAACATGGACAAACAACATGACGAAGATGGGCGCGGCGAAGATCACGGCCATCAAGGGGACTACGGATTATACTCAGGTCACGTTCAAGCCTGATTTCGCCAAGTTCGGGATGGAAGGCATGGACGATGACTTCGAGGCTCTTGTCAAGCGACGTGTTTATGATTTGGCGGGTACATCAGGTGTTACCGTCAAGCTGAACAACACGCGCATCCCAATTCGAAACTTCAAGAAGTACATGGAGATGTACACAAAAGCCATCCGTCGCGAACGCGGCGACGAAGGTCCAGCCCCCAAGGACGAAATCCTCACTTGCAGCCCCGACCCACGATGGGAGATTGGTTTTGCCGTTTCGGACGGCGCTTTCCAGCAGGTCTCATTCGTCAATTCTATTGCGACAACATCCGGCGGAACCCATGTCAATTACATTGCTGATCAAATCTGCAATCGTCTTGCTGATCAGGTCAAGAAGAAGAACAAGACTGGTGCGACTTTGAAGCCGGCTCAAATTCGCAACCATATTTTCATCTTTGTGAACGCTCTTATCGTGAACCCGGCCTTCACGTCCCAGACAAAAGAGCAATTGACCACCAAATCCAGCCAGTTTGGTAGCAAGTGTGTTCTGGAAGAAGACTTTTTCAAGAAGATCTTGAAAACGGAGGTGATGTCCAACATTCTGCACTTCGCTGCACAGAAGGCAGATCAAATTCTGAAGAAGAGTGATGGCGGCCGTCGAACCCGGATGAACAACCCTAAACTGGTAGAGGCCAACAAGGCTGGCACCAGGGAAGGTCATCACTGCACCTTGATTCTGACAGAGGGTGACTCCGCAAAGGGTTTGGCCATGGCTGGCCGAGCCGTTGTCGGTCCAGACCTGTTCGGTGTCTTCCCTCTTCGTGGAAAGCTGCTCAATGTCCGTGATGCCTCTTTTGACCAGATATCCAAGAACCAGGAGATCCAGAACATTAAAAACTTCATTGGTCTTCAACACAAGAAAGAATACACTGAAACCAAGGGTCTCCGATACGGCCATCTCATGATCATGACTGATCAGGATCACGATGGCAGTCACATCAAGGGATTGCTTATCAACTTCCTTCAGGCGCAATTCCCAAGTTTGCTGAAGATCCCTGAGTTCCTGATCGAGTTCATCACTCCAATCATCAAAGTGTGGAAGGGCGACCCCAAGAATCCATCCAAATCACGGTCATTCTTCACCATGCCCGAGTACGAGGAATGGCTCGAAGCTCACAAGGGCGAGCGTGGCTGGGACCACAAGTACTACAAGGGTCTGGGAACCAGTTCCACAGAGGATGCGCAAGTCTATTTCCGGGACCTAGATCGCCATCTCAAGGAGTTCCACACCATGAAAGACAATGAGGCCGAGCTGATCGAGTTGGCTTTCTCAAAGAAGAAGGCTGACGAACGTAAAGAATGGCTACGCCAGTTCAAGCCGGGAACGTATCTTGACCACTCTGTTTCCAAGATCTCATACACGGACTTTATCAACAAAGAACTTATCCTTTTCAGCATGGCTGATAACCAACGTTCAATTCCGTCTGTGGTTGATGGCTTGAAGCCTGGTCAGCGCAAGGTCCTCTATGCTTGCTTCCGCCGCAATTTGAAGAAGGATATGAAGGTCGTTGAGCTTGCTGGCTTGGTGTCCGGAATGACAGCTTATCAGCACGGCGAGACTTCCCTCCAGCAAACCATTGTCGGCCTGGCCCAAACTTTTGTTGGATCGAACAACATTAACTGCCTGGAACCCAGTGGTAACTTCGGAAGTCGACTTCAGGGTGGCAACGACTGTGCTAGCGCTCGTTACATCTATACTCGCCTTTCTCCTTTTGCCCGCAGAATTTTCCATACTGCAGATGAGCCGTTGTTGACTTACAACGAGGATGATGGCAAGAAGATTGAGCCTGAGATCTATATGCCTGTAGTGCCGATGGTATTGATCAACGGAGCCGATGGAATTGGAACTGGTTGGAGCTCATCTATCCCCAACTACAACCCTGTGGACATCGTGAACAACCTTAAGCGTCTGATGGACGGGGAGCCAACTCAGCCTATGCAGCCATGGTTCCGTGGATTCACTGGTGAAGTTGTGGATATGGGTGGGGACCGATGGAAGTTCAGTGGTATCATCAAGGAAACCGGCGACAAGGAGGTTGAAATCACCGAATTGCCCATTCGTACCTGGACTCAGGACTTCAAGGACAAGTTGGAGGATATCATCAAGGCGGACAAGGTGCCATCTTTCATCAAGGACTACAAGGATTACAATACCCACGATAAGGTCCACTTTGTGATCCAACTTGACGAAAAGAACATGAAGAGTGCCCTATCTGATGGTCTGGAAGAAAGGTTCAAGTTGACCAAGACCTTGGCCACATCTAACCTGGTTGCCTTTGACCCTGAAGGTCGTATTACGAAGTACGCTACTGTTGACGACATTCTCAAGGAGTTCTTCACCATCCGCCTCAAGTATTATGAGCGCCGGAAGCAACATCAGCTCAATGAAATGCAAAAAGATCTCGAGAAGCTGAGCAACCAAGCACGTTTTATCCAGATGATTATCGACGGGAAATTGGTCATCTCCAAGAAAAAGAAGGCTATCTTGATCGCTGAGCTGAAAGAGAAGGGTTTCAAGCCCTTCGCCAAGGTGGCCGACGCTGCGAAACTGGGCGAAGACGAGCCAGCGGTCGAAGGGGAGGAAGAGGATGATGCTGAAATGGAGATCCTGTCCAGCTCATACGATTACCTTCTTGGCATGTCAATGTGGTCGCTTACCCAGGAACGTGTTGAGAAGCTCCGTCGTCAAATTGGGGACAAGGAGACCGAAATTGACGCACTGATCAAGCTTTCTAAGGAGGACATCTGGAGACAAGATCTTGATGACTTCATCCATGAGTGGCACTTCCAACTTGCGGATGAGGACCGCCGTCTGCGCAACGCGATGAAACAGGGTCGTCGTGCCTCGTCCAAGCTGATGGTAGGCGGAGGTCGTGCTCCCGCTGCGCGTAAGCGCAAGGCTGCCAATGGCGATGATCCCGACGATGAGGATTTTGCCGCCCCGAAGTCAAAGAAAACAACTGCAGCAAAGAAAGCGCAGCCGACCAACAGTCTGGCCAATTTCTTAAACAAGTCCAATGAATCGGTATCCAAACAAAAGCCTGCACCCAGTGGGGATGGAGCCGGTGATTCGGATGACGACTTCGATTTCGAAATGGAAGTCATGCCTAAGAAGAGCCGTGGTGCAGCAAAACCTAAGCCGGAAAAAGAGAGTGAGGGTGATGCATTGATGGACATCGATCAGCCACCTTCGCGCGCATCGGCACAGCCCAAGTCGGAACCTATCGATGTAGACCAGGAGCCGGAACCTGCGCCAAAAACAAAGCCCGCAGCGAAACGGGGACCTAAACCTAAGCCAAAGGCACCTGTCGACGAGGAGTCGGACGATGACTTCCTTGAGATTGCGAAGAGCGAATCCTCCAGGCCTGCTGCTCAGTCAGGCCGCTCCCGCAAGCCTGTCAAGTACTCTGCACCCAGCGATTCGGAAAGTGACGGCGAAGACATGCTCGGAGATGTGAGCCAAATGGTCAAGGGTATTGGTGGAGGCGATTCGGAGCCACGAAAGCTCTTCTCAGAGCGTTCTCGCGCTGGAAGCAGTGCGAGTCTGAAGGCTCCTGCTAAATCACCGTCTAAATCGCCCTCCAAAGTCAGTGAATTTGATCCAGAAGAGACGGACTACAGCAAGCTCATCCCTCAAAAGTCCCCGCGACGCTCGCTGCAAATCAAGCCTAAGGAGGTGTCGAGAATTGAAGATGACGAGGAAGACGAGGATGAAGCCCTGGCCAAACTCAAGCCCGCCTCGAAGGCGAAGACTGCAACCAAGGCTGCTCCCAAAGCCAAGGCCGCTCCCAAAGCGGCTGCCGCTGCGCCTGCACCAAAGCCGCGTGGCCGTCCAAAGAAGGCTGATGCTCCAAAGCCTGCTGCCCAGGCTGCCCCGGCGGCCTTATCACCCGCTGCTAAGGCTTATGCTTCGAAGCAGGCCAAGACTGCGAAAAAGGCCGTAGATGACGACTCGGAAGATGATATTGATGCCATGGCGAATGATATCTTGGACTCTCCAGCAGGTAAAGCCAATGACTCGGAGGATGACGAGCCTGTCTCGAGACGCCCTGCCGCTCGTCCTTCTCGCCGCACTGCGTCACAGGCAAAAAAGAGCTATGTCATTGAAGACGACGATAGTGAAGAAGATGGCTCGGCGGATGATTTCGAGGATGACGAAAGTGATTAAATGGCAATCACAAGGTGTCAGGAATAACCTTGGCACGCCAAGGTCTCCTTTGCTCTAGAGCTTACTCCCTTCAGTTCTCCTTTCACGTATTTCCTCTATTCCTCTACTTTCCATGTCTTTTCGTTTAATTTATTTTTCTGGAGTTCGAGTTCATTAGGCATAGCCGTCACCTTGTTAGCAATATGCGAGTTGAACTTACATCTTTTCTTTACTTTACCTAGGTCCTGCATTTCTTTCTTTTAATCCGCGCAATGTTGTTTTAGCACGACCAAATAAGTGATTGGCAGTCTCCCTCAGAAAACCCCCCCCCTTTCCCTCCCCTTCTTCCTTGATGGCTGAGGTTATCCTCGAGTAAGCACCACTTGAAAAAGTCGAACATGGGCCCGCTATTGTTGATATCAGGCACAGTGCGACCTTTTAAATACCCTCAAACTTGGTAGTAGATACGGCTTCTCCACTCTGGACTTTCGGTTTGTCTTGCTTCTTCCTATTTTTTTTCCCCGTCAATAGGCAGCTTGCATGTGCTGCAACCAGTCCAGCGCATCTTCCTCTCCATCAGATGCGCTGGTAAATAGCAAATACTTTACCATATGGACAAGTGCAATTAAAAATAGGTGTAAGTTCTACTGTCCTATCACCTTAATTGTCAAGTATGGCCCAAATCATTAAGTCCAGAAATCGAAGTATCGAATGAATTGCAAATATCCTATCCGCTAACACAAATCCCTTAAAAACAAAGCAAATGGGAATCAAATCGAAATAAGCATCTTCTCTACACAACCTCCTTGCGCCCCAGCAATCTATTCTTCAGTCGATCGGCCAATCCCTCATGCGCAGGAGACTTACCCTTTTACTTTGAATAATGAAAAAATAAACGGATTCCATTTCTCGGCTTACTGGAAGTGACATGGATTGGATGTAAATATTCCTTGCGATCTGGAGCATCATTTGAGGTCACCTTCCGAGCTACAATTGATATGAACATAAGTCAACGCTGACATCAACATCACATTCCTCCCGTTTCCAAACCCGAACGCCAATCCAATCTAGAATCAACCAATCCACGCGATCAAAAAGTCAACAAACCAAAACAACACCATAACTCGCCATATTCATTTCCTTTTCAAAACCGGAATCCCACCCTTGAATTTCGAAGGAGAGAGATCAAACCTCTACAAGGAGGCACGTCGTCTCTTACGTTCGCCCGAGCTTTCATCCAGAGAACGGAAAGGAAGAAGTGGATTCAAGACAATTCCATCACTCATCTCCTCGTCCCTATCATTGTCCGCAGCTGTTGCCTCCTGCATGTGCAGACGGAGCAAAGTATGGGCAGCCTTGACCTGCTGCGCGAAACCACTCGGAGCTGGCATAGAGTCATCAATCCTGGCTTTGACAGGTCGAGATCGATTATTTTTCTTTGGGTGATCATTCCCTGCGGCAGATTCACTTTCTGTGGAAACTTGGGACTCGGGCTCATGATAATCCTCGTCGCCCTCATCATCAGAGTCATTCTCCGTGTACTCGCTGCTGTAATCGGTCTCAGAATGACCAGAAGCTGTACCGACCGTACCATCCTCTGTAGCGAGTTCCATTCGCCTGCCTAGAACAGAAATCCTTTGGGCCCGACTGGCAATTGACTGCGTACTCGACGACACAACACCCGCCTCGAAAGGAAGAGGCCTGATACACGGACCGTGAGAGCGAGGGGCATCCTCACAGCTGCGAGGGACATTGACTGGCGTGAAACCATTGCTAGGCGGGCTCGAGGGAGAAACGCAGTATGGCTCGGAGGACGATCCCCGTGCACTACTAATGCTATCCGCATAGCTGCGACGAGCCCACTTACAACCACGGTGTTTATCGTCATCCGAGAATTCTGGAGGTACGGGTACTTCGGCTCTCCTATCAAAGGGATTGGAAGACGCCTGAGAAATGCTGTCAGTACCAGCAACTTCGTCCTCATCAGGCTCGAGGGAACGATAGTATCGAGCCATGCTTGTGGCCTTCTGTATGACACTCGGTTCCAGGGTCATGTTGTTGAAGTTTTCATCGCCCTTCTTGAGGCACAAATCGGGGAAGTCGGCACCAAACAGCGGGGTCAAGGCGTATCGGATAGGGTAGCAGAATCTGCTAGCTAGGGCTTTGGCCGCCTCGAATGGCATCCAGTAGCCTAGAAGATATACAATGTTAGTAAAGGTCACAAGAAAGAAGACGGCCAATGTGTGTACCTTGTGCCGCGATTGATCCGCCAGTGATGCTGTGACAAATTTCACGCAGGCCAGGGTTTTGATGCAGCACTTTGGCAGGAGTAGTCTGGAAAGCAACCGTTAGCAATTCTATGGCTCCGCGATGTCGGGTACATGAGGTCAAACTCATACCTTCGAGAATCCCAACGCCTTGAAGAGGTGCGTTATTCGAACGAGTCCGATGTTGTAGTCCCACATCATAACCCATTCCTCTCCACCACTGCCGTACTGGAACTTGTACTGATAGACTGGAGAACGGGATTCATTAGCTTCTTGACGCCATGTCTTGGGGATAGGAAGAGTGTAAGAGTTGGGCCTACCTTCAAGCCTGTCGCGCCCTGTCCTTTTCTCAAAGGTCTTCTTGTCGCTCTTATAAGGAATGTGCCGAGGGAAGTCGCTAATTTTCTCGATCTCTCCCATAGGATACAGCTGGCATTTCCGATGCTCCTCCGCTATCTTGTCGGTGACCTCTTCGCAGGGAGGATAGCGAACCTCTCCAACTGGGTCAGCTTCACTGAAGATTGGGGCGTCTTTTGGTTTCTTCTGCTTGCCGGGATCCCTGTGACGCCCGGGGCCCGAAGGCTTGGGCGCACGCATAGTCGGGAGGTTGAATGGTGCACCAAAGCCAGGAGTCCGCACGGCAAGGTCGGGGAGTGGGTTGAGGAGAGACTGGATCGATGCCATGAATGAAGGGTCTTCGACGAGGGTGGGTAGTAAAGAGGATTCGATGGAGAACGAAACAGAGCCAAGGGCCGGGGTTTTTGGGGGTAAAAGACAAATGGAGTGGAACAAATGGCGTTTTCCAGAAGCCTTGAGAATCACACCTGATTTCTCTGCAAGACACGGCCTCAGTTTGATATCGCCTCCCTCCTCTTTGTCTTCAGGTTTGACCTGTGCCTTACGAGGGTAAGCACAGTCCGTGTTTGCCCGTGCGAGTGGATCGCGGTCTCTGTGGAGCCAGATGTCGATGGAGTGAGAAACAAGATGTGTTGTCGAGGGGATGGTGAGAGGAAGGAAGAGGATGAGTACGGCGGCGGCTGGCGGTGTATACCTTAGGGTAGGGTACGGGGAGTATGTATGACTACTCGGGTCGGCGTGTCTGGGACGACTTCGTGGCTTCGGGAGTTGCTTCACCGATCTCTTCAGAGCATCACGAGGCGCTTCAAGTCGGACAAGTCCTCCCGGCCGTAGACGTGTTTGTCTCCCCCCGCGGACTGAGGTCTGTTCTCCTCCATCGAAGATCTTCGACTTTCGACTGACCGCCATGCAGTGTACATGCTGTCATCGATCTCCGCCATTGATGCCCCTGGGGGAGGAGGGACCCCAGGATGTGCCAGAATGAAACCCGTGTCTCTGAGCTTCGAGGCCTCGCCGGTTTCACTACCGCAGACGTACGTACCCAAGGCCTGGAGGCCCAAAGGATTGACTGTCCATGGAACCCTCTCTGGCACCATGTAGATAGGGTAACCTGCTCGCATCGCTTGTGTTTGGCATTCCAAGAGTATTCTACCTGGCCACCGCCTCTCCCTACCTTGGGGCAGGTATTCACATCTTCTATGTATGCAAACAGGCCGTTGCGGCAGTCCGCGCGCAGGAGGACGACGATACTAAATGTTAGCCCTAAACCACCACTTCTTCGGGTTACGACACTACCATCTCACTCACTTCGTTCCGAATGACATTGAGCGACAAGAGGAAAGCCCTACATCAGGTGGTCGCCATGTCGGAGTATCTTCCTCGGCTTCAGAAACGACTAGGGGGACGATTCTACTGCAGCCGGAGAATTACGATGGCGAGCCCACGACCAATCAAAGGCTACGCGACCGTATGGTGGCCCGATGAGACGGGCTTCAAAGAGGTCTGAGACCTCGGCAACTTGCAGGGAAACTTCTTACTTGTATGACGGGCAGCTGCAGGCTCTGCTGGCGAGACCCTCTGCCGCCGGAAGCTGCGCCTGGAGTTAATGCGGCAAGAAGAGATAAACTTCTGACGGGATCAAAGATGCTGATGGCGCAGGGACCTTTGTGAGGAGGGGTAGTTATGCGATCCCTCCTGGCACAGATTCAGATCACAAAGCCCCTTTTATTTTCACCGGAGACGCCTGAGAAAGCGCATCTCAGCTCTCGCGTTGTTCCGGCAGCAAGACAACATCACACCTGGTGAGACCGCTCTTTGAACAGTTCAGAGCTACAAAAGTAAAGTGGATCCACAATTTTCTGAAAGAGAAATATCAAAGAATCTTCTGTGCAGGCTTCTCTGCAGAATTCCGACACGTTGGTGGCGGTTAGGAATCCACTTCCTACTATCCTTGTTCCAGGGTCAATTTGACTATCCCAGCATACCACACAGACTTTCCCTTCAGCCCGCTCTTCAACTTCCCTCTATTGTGCCCATTTGCGCCATGCAGGCTGGATAAGTTCCGAACAGGTACACAGGCTAGCCTTTGGCTAATAAGAGTAAGGGAGGTCCGTATTTGAGAGCACAGCAGCAATTGTGCAGGTGTCAACCGGCGGGACATATTCCAATTGATCGATGAGTCGAGGCAGCATGTCCACATCGAAGGTTTGAAAAGAAATGTGGTAAATCACGACTGGAAGGCGACTTTTCCTGGGAAATAGGCGCACTCACTCGCCTGACACCTGCCATACGAGTCTGAGGGCCCCAAAAAAGGTTTAGAAAAGAGGCTGGGATTCCAATGTCTAAGACACGTCGGCCACAGATGGCTGTCTTATTGGCCTTCCAAAGAGCGGTATACACGACTATGCGTGCCACCCAGCGGGAGCCTTGTCGGTTGCGCTACTGCTGGGCTTCTGGGAAAGGGGATTGCGACTGAAGTTCTCGATGAGGGCGCTGATCCTGGACTCAAAGCCCATGAGGGAAGGCGCCGGCCTCGATAGTTACAGTGCACTTCACAAGGTATTCGGAATCAGGGACGCCTATTTTGAAATTTCTCTTTGAGGCGCCCAAGGTACAGCAGGCCCAATATTTTGAATGTTCAACCAGCCTTACATGAATACAGACAGGGAGCAAACGAAGCAATGCCGTCTTGAACTTGCACACATTCTCGAGACTCGAGCTCGAGTCAATACCATAGGTATTGATTCACTGCTGCTTTTTTGCTCTTATCTCTTTTCAATCTACAAATTATTTATCCGTCAGTGACGTCCATTGACACATGCATGCCCATGGTCCTCAAAATGGCCTCCCGAGATGGGCAACGTATGAGCATCCACCGTCAGAACTGCGAACAATATGAGAGCTGTACAACTAACTAGCTTTCAATCGGGAATACGGAGAGAATAGAATAGAATGCAGGGAAGGTGAACATATTGCCTTCGATGCCCATAGAGAAGAAAGTGCAGGGTAGTATGAAAGGGACAGATCCGCACCGACCGGTCCGAATCGCGATGCGGAGAATAGGAGGCCTGGTCGTCCAAGATGAAACTCAACGGCCTCCTACGGGGCGGGGTTTGTCACTCATACGGGGGAACGAAGCCCAATCTTGCCAGCGGGAGAGGCCGCCTGCCCGTTGTGAACAATTGCCCAAGTAGGTGGATCGGAACATCCTACGCATCTACTAGTACACTTCTTCAGCCGATCATCTAGATCATGTTGTGCGAGTTTCAAGTTGCACGTACGAAGCAGATGGTCCTGTGCTTTGTGAAAAAGCTCGAGTATCGGAAGGCCGCAGCGTGGGCTGAAGTCGGAACCTTGATAGGGGGACAGCGTCAAGTTCATGGAATTATTTTAGGACAATTGCATTAAGACAATATGAACCCGAGAAAGTAAACAAAGGAGGTGAAGTTGGGGGGGTTGGGGGAAGGCAAAGTTGACAAGTAAGGGAAGAATAAGTAATAGGCGATGTGCGTAAAAAAAAAAAGGACCACAGGAGACATGAAATCAATCGGTCATCCAAAAAACGTCCCACGTAGTTTTCGTCACTGGCGCGAGGATTGCGTATCAAAGGCGCAATGTTCCGTCCAAAATGTACCATTAGACAACAGTATGGAAAGCCTCATCACGAATCGTGCGAGCCATGAAACATAATCCGCTGAGAATCAATAGTGTGAATAAAAGGCCATACTATCCTCGTTGAATCGATTGTCGATCGTTGGCAGTCATCAGGGTAGTGTGTCCTGGTGACACCTTGATCTGGCCCATCTAAGCCGCCAGGAGAGGCTCACGCTCCTGCTCAACCGACTCGACGGGCTGAGAGACGGGCTCCGACGCGGGCTCAACCTTGGGGGCCTCGGGGAAGTCCTCGGTCTTGATTACGGGCTCAGGGTTTGCGTCGCCCTTCACGATGGGCGAAACCAGCTTGGTCTTGGACATCTCAGGCGAAGCAGACCGGCGGCCAATGTATTCCTGGGCCTTGGAGCTGTAGTCACCGACATATTGCTTCATCAGGCCAGTCGCGTGAGAGGTCCGCTCGCCAGCGAGATCCTTCAGCTGGTTGGTCTGAGAGCTGATGATGGCCTGGAGGTTATCGATCTGCTCATCGATGATCTCGCGGTTGCTGATGTAGACCAGAGGACCGAAGTAGGCAATAGTGACGGAGATCACGGCGAGTCCCCAGAGGGGAACGAAGCGGATCATCCAGTAGCCGGTGAAGGCGGCAGTAAAGGCCTAAAAATAATCAGTATCCATTTCGTGCATTACCATAAGTGGGGAGGGTTGACATACAGCAACAGTGTGAACGACATTTTCGGCAAACAGAATTCGCTGGAACTCGATCAGGAAGAAGTCAAGCAGCTGAGAGAGGTCTTCAAGGACGGCCTCGTGGGTTTCCTTAGGGATGGTGTAGTAACGACGGGGGCGGAAAGAGCTAGCAATGCCTTGCTTGAGGATCAGGTGGCCGGCAATCTCGACAGCAGCGGTCACTGTAGCACGAAATTAGTCCACGGCTCGAGGCAACTGATCACGCGACCAACTCACATCCCAACGACATGTACAGGAACTTGAAGGCCCAGCGAAGGAGGGGCAGATAGCGGGCGGCGAAGATGAATCCGACAACACTGGCATAAGACACCGCGGTCGCGCGGGGCTGCTCCCACTGTACACCCAAAGGAGGGGTTAGCAATCTGAAGCGTTCATTCATCACATCGACAAAAATAGGGAGAGTTGAATTCACTCACGCTCAGGAGGCTATAGAGGAGGGAGTGGTAGTCTGTATAGAAGTTAGTATCGAGGTCGGGGAGCTTGTTTGGCGTGAAACTGGGATGAGTCCCGGCCAGTACATACGGGTCAAGGGTTGTCCATTTTCGGTGGTGGTCGAAGGAGTAACACGTGAGTTCTTCAGGTCGCGGAGCTCTCCGCTGGTCTTGGAAGCTTCAGACTTGACGCTATCGACAACAGGGCCTAGAAGAAAGTGATGTTAGCTGACTGTTTTGCTCGGTACAAGCCCCCTTTCCCACGAACGCCATGACCGTTGGTCACGACATCGCGAATGCCTGAACCCATCAACACCCAGGGTCAGTGGTAAACATTCTCAACGGCGGGAAAAGCTTGGAAGGGGGAGAAGCTCGGGGATGGTTTGATCACTGCAGTAAACACGCTGGTCAGCATCATTCTGTAGCAAGAGTCGGGAGGAGTCGGCTTATTTGATTTCGTACCTTACTGCCCGTGTTGGGGTAGCTCACATCACCAGAGTCGGCCATGGCGGAATATCGGAGCCGTGCGAGAGATCAAGAAGGATCAGATTGGGGAAAGGAGAAGGGTGTTTGCAGCAGGCGAGGGGAGTGTGGGAGGAGAAGGCAGATAACGACAGGTTTATTTTGGTTTGCGCCGCGGACTATCATGTGCGTGCCAAGCCCGGCCAACCTGACGCGGATGATGTCAACTACCTACTAAAGCAGGTTCTACCTGCCAACTGGAAATGTACATCCACCTCCAAACTCGTCACACTTGATAGACAGATCAATCGTGCATGGTCATATTCGAAAGCATTCATTCTGGGTGATACGGGCGACTATGCTAAAGTCTGTGGAATACTACGAAAATACTCCTCTGATCCACTCCTCTCGCTTCTTCATAGAACCGTCCAACTCTATAAGGGAATTAAGTCGGGTGAGTCTTCCTGGTTCCAAGGCTGGGCTAGTTCACCCTTCCTTCAACATCTGGCGGATCCGCTGCACACCTGTCAAGTCTGCATATCTGGGATGTTTCGAAAGGACAATTTGAAGCTGCTTTTCAGCGACTTCCAGGTTGTTATCAGTCCGCGCACAGTGCATCTCCACAAATTGCTCATGGATTCCTTCCATGGTGATTGCCGACTGGAAGAACAGACGGTCCTTCGATCCGTGGAGTAAGGTCGACACGGTCGTGCCCAGTCTTCCTTCCCGTTCCTTTTTTTGATCGCACGCTCCAGATATTCACGGTCCCATTCAAATGTCTGCCCATCATGATTCCAGTCCTTTTTCCACCCCGGCACATCGGCAATGAACCACGGATGATGAATCACGGCCGGCAATGGCGCAAGGTAAAGCCAATCCCAGTCAATCACACTAAAGCGACATCAGCATATCAACATAGCACAGGAAGAAAGGAAACAGAACCAAATTAAGCTTACCCAGTCACGCGAAGGCTGCTGTCCACCATGATGTTGTGGGTACTCAAATCCCCATGGGCAATTCCGATCTGAGTGTATTCGTCCACCGCGATGGAGTAGTAAGCTACCATCGATCTCATGATGAGATAATCCATGGCATCGCCCCATCGTGCATCTCCAGACAAAGTCCGCCGAAGTCCTCGGTCGATGCTGTCCGTCAGCCATGCCGAGTATGGTGTAACTGGCGTGGGGTATGTAGGTACAGGAGCGGGTGTCGACCAGAGCTGCAGAAGAAAGTCTGCCATGTCGTCGAGGAATCCCTGCCGGGCTCTCTGGGAGAGCTCTCGACTCCAGCTCTCCATTGGCGAGCCCTCAATCCATTCCATGAACCAGACCGGGTGTTTCGTTCCGTGGACCTGGGGAGCACGGATTCTCGGATGGCGATGTTTAATTTGATCCAGTGTCTTTACCGCGCGAAGCTCTGCTGGCCAGTCATGGGGCCCTCGACATACCCGCATGGCCCATTGCGTTGAATCAGAAAACTCGATCCTGAAAACATCGTGAGATGAGCCTCGATGGGCTCGTTCCTGGACCAGCCAGCACTTCATGCCTGAGTGAAGGCGGGATGCCTCTGCCAGAAGACCCAGTAGCTCCGCCATTGTGAGCTTTGAAGGCGTTGGCTTAGGTTCGATATCAGTTGGGGAAGCTTTGGGAGAGGTTGAGGAAATCTGATAGAGACAGCCACGGGGAAGTAACAGTGAGTTTAGGACTGGGGAAATGTGAATGTGAGTAGCTCCGACTTGTGCAATTGGGAATCAACTCGAATGGTTGGAAATGGAGATGGGGGTAAGGCATCGGCAGCAGGTCGGTCCGGTCTGGGGAAGAAACCTCGTGAAGGGTGGCACCTGCCTGGTGATGCCCTCGCCAATTTCCCCTCGCCGTCGTTTCCGCTACCCTCCTTCATCACCCGTGGGCGGCCAGAGCGGTATCATGGATAGAGCAGGCAGTACTAATACCCCTATGGTAGTGTTTGAGATGCCTCAGCCAAGAAAGGGTTCAAGTAGGGCGTCTCTGAGTACCCCTGGGGATGGCGTAAGCAAGAATATCGTCAAGTTGTTATCCAAGAACTGATGGTATTCTAAGCTTTCGCAGTCGCATCATTTTGTGCAACCTTTTTGAAGTATGTGGAATTGACAGCAGTCTGCATCGAATGAAGATTTCAACCAAGAAGAGCGAGCTGTAGCTTTTGGGACACTTTTGTGTCCGTTCACTATACTAGGCATTAGAGTATTAAGAAACAATATAGGATCGCTAGATGCCTAAGTTCCAAAAGTACCTTGTACGATACTAGAGACTGCGGCATCCAGTGGCAGTATTGTGATAGTATGCGAAAGTCGGACACCTACCAACGGCATACTAATAAACCGTTGGTGGTTGGCTCTGGTATTTAATGAATCAATACCATTGTGATGGACGAGCCGAGGAATAAAATCCCAATGGTCACTTCGATACCATTACCGCCTCCTGATGTCATTGTACTAGTAGTTGTATACTATCATAGTTGAGAAGCATCTTGGAGTGGGAGCTTCAGTCGGCGAGGAGGCGTGTTCACGTGACCGACCCGCTTCTTCCCCAATCGGGCTGTCTGTTGTTTACGCACGTCTTTCATTCCCGACGCCATTCGACTCGACAACCCACCATCGCAATCGACTCTCCGAATTCCCGAGACTGGCCTTGATGGTTCAACGCTAGACCGCTGTCGCGTGCTGAAGCTCTATCAACGTTTTTACCCCGCCCCCGACTCCCTTGACCCAGGCCCGCACCACGCGTTTGTTTACATCATGGCTGCGGCTGGCGCGAGGGCACAAAAGCCCATCGGCTCTGCCGCCTGGATCGCTGCAGAAAAAGAAAATGTCGCGGAATTGGTCGATCAAGAGATGGAGGAGGTGGAATACCCTGTTCGCCATGAACTGGATTGGCTGAACGAACATATGGCCGAGATCTTCTCCAAAGGCCAAGCGTGAGTCGCGCCCCTTCGCCAAAAGCGGGTGCCAGGCTTGTTACTGACCTATAGTACAGGAGCTTTACAGACGTTTTCAAGACACCTGGTAAAATGAGAGGCAAGACTCCTCGTACTACTCGCAAACGAAATGTGGACGATGACCGGGTGGTAAGTTTACTGTGGACCAGTTAGACGTGTCGTGATCATCGCTGATACTAACGCCGGGGAAACAGCCACTGAGTGAAATCTTTTCATCCGCACACAAGCAAGTCGAAAACAAGGCCGTGAGCCCCAGTCCCTTTATTCACCGTGTCATCTCGAGGTCTACGACGTCAACGGAAAACGATGCCCCCCGCATCAAGGAGGCAGAGACTTCATCGCAACCCCAATACCCAGACCTCAGCCAAAACCTAAATTCTTTCGAGAAATACAACACCGACTCAGGTTATCATGGAATGGAGGGTGGTGACGAAGACGAGATGGTTTTGACCGCTACGCAACCCGAATCACAGACGGCAACACAACCATTCGAGGCGGATGAGCCGATAGGGCCGAATACTCGACATGTCCTTTCAATGAGTCAACGAACGACAGAGGACTCCTTCCACTCCGCACAGGAAAATGTTCGTGCCCGTGGAGAAACAGTTGAACCGATGAACATAGTCCCGACACCGACGCAGGATCGCACTGTACGCCCTGCGATGGCTGCACCGAAGGAGCCGTCTCCTGAACTGAGCACAACTCCAAAGGTTCAACCTCAGGGCAAGCCTAGCCCGCTGCCGAAATCAAAGATTGCCACACAAGACCAGCGGAAAAAGCCAGCCGCGCAGGAAATTTCCAACAAACAAAATGCTTCAAATTCTCAAGCGACAACAGAGACGGTCCAGGCTGCCCAACCCCCTCAGACGGAAGAGCCTCAAATGCATGACGCGGAAATGCAAGATCTGGCCAAGGAAGAAACCATGCTCGACGACAATTTTGATGACATTGGATCGCCCTCTGATGGCTCTACACCAGAACGACTCCCTGTTCGAAAGAGTAGCCTGAGTTTTGCCTCTCTCCCAGCCCGAGAGCCTCTCACCAAGAAGAGCATGGGAGGCACACGGATCTCTCGCACCAGTCACATTGATCTTGCAAAACTCAGCAACAAGAGAAATTCCAACTATTTGGGCAAGCAGCCTGCTTCTCTTAAAGTTGCGCAGCCTACATCGGACGATAATGCAGGTGACGGTGAGAAGCGATCCGATGACAACGCAGATACAGAGCAGGCCAGCAGGTTGCATATCAAGAATTCAACACAAAGCCTCCACGAGAGAATCAGCATGCTTGGTAAACCCCAGGCCCGTCCCAATAAGTCTATTTCTGCGACAGCGGGAATATCGATCGGACAAATCGCTTATCCAGAGCTGCCAGCCACCAAGGCTGCATCAAGACCCGACTCTTGGGGCCAGAAGGCCAAGGGGACACCTGCTCCAGGGCCAGCTGTAGCTGATGACGACTGGATCAAGCCACCGAGCTCACCTTACCGGCCAAATCCTACAAAGGGCAAAACCACAGACGTCATGGAGAAGCTTTTCGACACTGAAAAGGACCAACCCATCAGTAAGAAAGGCACGCCAGCCACCAAAGAGCAACACTCTACGGAACCCGAACGACCGAAATCCTCAGCTTCCATATTTTCTTCTCCTCGCCCACAAGGCCATCAGCAGAGCGCATCTACATCTGTCATTGCACCTTATGCTTCTACAACGCCTACTGGGTCTCCAAGACGCTTCGATGGTCCTTTGAGTGCTTCCAAATTAAAATTGCATTCAATGATGAAATCTGCCAAAGGATTATTCACCAGCACAGGCAGTCCATCAATGGCTTATAACGCATCTGTTGGGCAGCCTGGTGTCCAATCTCAGGACCGAATGAGCGTCGACATCGATGACAATGAGGATCGGCATGGTCCTCAGTCGCGCCACATCTCCAGTCCCATCCGGCAAGAAGGCCGTCGGACTCGAAGCTCGACTGAAAAGGAGGAGAAGCGTCAGCAAAAGGAACGAGAAGACCGCCAACGGGAAGAAGAGGCACGCCAAGAAGAGATCCGACAGGAGGAGATCCGGCAGGAAGAGATCCGGCAGGAAGAGATCCGGCAGGAAGAGATCCGGCAGGAAGAGATCCGACAGGAAGAGATCCGACAGGAAGAGATCCGACAGGAGAAGGCTAGAGAACAAGAAGGATTGCGGGCGATGCAGCTTAAGGTAGCTCAGGATAAATCGTCTGTCGAGCCAGAGGACCGCTCGATGCAGAAGTCCACGCAGCCACAGCGACAGCCGTCGCGTGAGCCAGAATCGACCCATGCCACTTCGAGATATGGCATTCCCCAGCCAAAGCAAGTTGATCGCCGTCCCAAGCCACCGTCTCGCGATCCCGTGCAAAAGCCTGAACCTCGGCCTGTGTCGATTCGTGTGGGGAGTACTATGTCTTCCCGTCAAATTCCTATGGCATCTTCTGTCTCTTCGAGTGTGCAGGAAACAAGTGCCCCAGCTCCTTCCGTGTCGAAGCAGCCGACTTTGAAAAAGAAAGGCAGCAACCAGTCGCTTCAAACGGCTTCTTCTGCAAGCAGTCTCAAAAGTAGTACCTCCAGTCAAACACAGGCACAGCGGAAAGCTCAGCTGGCCAGTGAACGCAAACGGGAGCAAGAGCGCAAGCGACAGCAGGATGAGGCAAAGCGCCAGGAGCTGCGCAGCCGTCCTGAAAGTCGTGTCGAAAGTCGTGCTGAGGCAGAGCGGGGGCACCGAGAGCTCTCGGCTCAAGAGGAGTCTCATAGAGCAGAGATTGAAAGACGGAGAGAGGCAAACGCTCAGCGACAAGGACGCCCAGCTAGCCAACAGACCACCCATGAGGTAAGATGCCCTATTACAATACCACATGGAGTTCCTACTAACAAACTTCAGCGCCCCGTGCTACAGCATGAGAAAGCACCATTGCAATCCCAGAAAAGTGACCTTGGAGCCACAAGGCCACCGTCTCGCGCGGGCCCGGCGCAACATTATGGACGGATCAACCCGCCTCCCCCTAACCCTGCAAGACCGCCCAAAAGGCCAATGAATGACGATGCTATGAATCGGCCACCAGTCAAGAAGATCAGCAACGTGCACTCTACCGTCGGAGACAAGTGGAGTAAAGGTGAGGATGAGCATGGTTCCAGGACATCCATTCGAGCTCCAATGGGGCCACCTAAGCGTGTGTCGAGCAAACCACAGGTATGTCCTGTTCTTTTCAGAATGACTTCTTTCTCCTTCAAAGGCTTATTTTTTGTTTCTTCTTTAGCCTCCAAATTCTGCCACGGGATCGGGCATCTTCAAACCCGGCCAAGCCTCACGCCCTGCTCCTCCCGTGAACATGTATCAATATGCAAACGGGAAGATCCCCTTCGCCGAGCCAAGCCAAGGTGCACCTCCTGCCAATGCGCACAAGCCAGCTGTGCCTGGCTCGGTTCAGCGAACCCAGGCCCAGCCTCCAGTCAAGTCACCGCCGAAATACCCAAGCGGCGACAGCATTCACCTTCCTGAGATTGATACAGATAGTGACGAAGACGACTCAGACTCCGAGATGTTCCCTGTTCCTAAGTGGGCACAGGCAAAGGAACTGCATGACCTGTTGGTGGAGCAAGATCGGATGGAGGCCGATTCGATTTTCGGTCCTATCGCGCCATTTTCTCTGGAGGAGACCTTCAAGGCGGACAAAAAGATCAAGAAATACCGTGAGCGTACCAGCAGTGCCAACTGGTCCGGTCCAGATGGACTTACCCAGGAAGAGATTCGCAAAGATCGCGCGGAGCGTCAACGTCTACGTCTCAACGGCGGCTGGTCCTTCCAGACCTAAGCAGCTGCCCCGCGTGTGACAATACCCACTTCATTCGAGGCATTTTCATAGCACCAGCAGCCGTGGCGTAGTTCGGCGGTGGTTAACGGCGTTACTGGAGCTCGGGCGGCCTAGTTTTGTGGGCTTTTTTTTGGTTTTGTAATCTTAATGCTCTTATCAGTTCCCATTACCCTGCGCTGGGCAGCAGAAGCATATGAAGCATTTATTTGATGCATGACACTGTATTGCGATGTTTGAATTGATTTCGACTTTCTAGTGTAGTGCGCCGTGCAACTGGAATGTCAAGATTACCATATCATTGCCCATTGTGTCGATAACGGGCTTGGACACTAGCAGCTTTGCGGGCAACGAAGACAGGTGAGGCTTACTGATGTCAATTACGTTGGGCTTGACATAAGCTCATATTATTAAAAGGGGCCTTTTGATATCAACTAGCATCATTGGTCTAGTGGTAGAATTCGTCGTTGCCATCGACGAGGCCCGTGTTCGATTCACGGATGATGCATTTCTTTTTGCTTTTTTTGCTTTTTTTGCTTTTTTACCAACTTCTATTTCCGAACCCTTCATTCGTCGTTCTTCCTTTTTTTTTTCTTTTTATATGCGATTTTCGGTCTCTCAGGACAGTTCTTCTTGTAAATGGTCGTCATGTGCCTGGCGCCGTCTTCTTACAATAGGCCTAGGCTTAGGCTTGCTTGGCCGCATAATGTATCGCTGCCATGAAACGATATATTTCAATGAACTGAGCGGGAAACTCGAAATTACTATACATACCACGGTCTTTCAAACATAAATTCTGATGCACTCGTGAACTTCCACGATCAGTATAACGCAATATATCACATCTCGCATCGTTTGTATATGTATCCAATGTATGGGACAAGAGAACCATAATTATCGGTGTCAAAACAAATCTAGTCCAATGACCAAAAAAACAAAATCTAATTAAATAACTAAAATAAGAAATAAAGAAAGTAAGAAAAAAAAGAGAGAGAGAAAGTTGTCATGGCTTTTGATTCCATTTCAGTGTTTTTTCACAGGCTGCGCGCTTGATCCAGAATATGTACTCCATGTACAAGAAACCTAACCCACAAATAAAACCTGCCTGGCCGTGCACCCTCTATATCGAATATTGTACAAGATAACACGAAGTTGTTCACGAAGGCATACCCCAAGACATCCACGAATGCTTCTATCGAAAAATCACATCAGGTCGGGCTCGAGATCGCTCGCGCCACCCTCTATAACCTCATCCATCGCATCCGGGTTGAGATTCACAGAGTCGGCAGCCGCACCCTGCGTGTCAGCACACTTGTCGTGGGAGACAGTGCGCCAGCCGGCCTCAACAGAAGTGTCTTTGATATATTCGGACATGGGGAACTGAGACAGTTAATATCAATGCCGCAAATATAGTCGGTCAAATGGCCACTGGGGGAAGGTGGCACTCACATAGTGGTCGTTTTTCTTCATCGAGACCACCCAAGGAACATCGTCGAAGGTGACGGCACGCAGACGGAAATATGTGTTATCCGGAATCTTGTGCACTTGCTCGACAAAGGCGTCCAGGTTGGGTGTAGGAACACCGTTGACGGCCGTCAGGAAGTTGGTGGGAGCAAGGCCATAGTGGTAAGCGGGCGAACCGCGGCTCTGAAGAGATGTTATGTCAGAATCAATAAAAGGAATAGCACGCCCGATTAACTTACTCTTGCGCTCACGTAGATCTCGCTATGGAGCTTAGAAATCTGCTGCCGCACAGCATGGTGAGGCTTTTGAAGAACAGCTCCACAGAAGACAACAGCACGATCGGTTTCAAGATCCTCAGTTGGAACGGTCGGAACCCGGATGTGCATCTCCTTGCCATCACGAACAATTAAAGCATCCAGGAATTCCTTCTCATACATGATGTCCAGCTCCGAGACGCGGGTGATGAGCTGGCCGTCCAGAGTGAGAATGATATCGGCTTCTTGGAAACCATCGACATCAGAGGTGAAGTTGGCCGGAGGGCAGTCAACCTTGCGGACCATGAAAAGCTGGTGGCGCGAAGGATTGCCCTGCGCCACCTTTTCGATCCATTCCTCCGAAACACCCATTATGCGAGCCTGGCTCATCTGCACAACGTAGCTCTCCATGTTTAGGATGCGGAGCTTGGGTACCTCGCCTTGTTGAATTTTGGACGTAACAGGGAGGAGAGACGGTGTGGCGAAACCCAGGTGGTACTCGACGTCCTTGTGAGAGCTGGGAGCGCGCTCACCAAGATAGTTGAGCCACAGCGCTTGCACCACTCCATCCTCACCAATCAAAACACCATTCGTACACTGCCCACTAAGCCCAGTGTCCACGGTAATGGCGTCTAAATTGATTGCTCGGTACCGAGGAGCAGCCGCGTTGGCGGGAATCGAAACAGTTGTGATATCAGTGACTGCAGTCTTGGCCACGACGATGCGGAGATTCTGGTTGAAACCGACAAAAATGGTGTCCTGACCCTGCTTGATGTACTCCGTGCTGAGGCGAGCACTCTGCACAGGGGCCTGCACAAGATTGGGGTCATATTGGATAATGGTGTAGTTTTGCAAAGGATGCAGGAAAACAACCTTGGCGGCGAGGATAACAGAATCGGCGACAGTGATGTTGATATCGCACAGATCGTAGGGTACGATGGCCCGAGAGACAACAACCAGGCCCTTCTCGGCGTCAATAACCAGGCCATATCCGGTTTTCTTAGCTTGAGGGTAGCCGTCCAGTTTCAGAGGCATGGTGCACGATACTCGTACGAAACTGCGCACGATGTCTGCCGCCGCGGGCTGGCTAACGCCGTCCAGTTGAATGAAGTCGGCCTTGCGAGGGACAGGCTTCACTGCCGGGATGGGCTTGGCGAGATCCGAAAAATCCCAGATACCAGTGTCATCGTTTCGGACAGCCAAGCGCATGTTTGGATGCCAGTGACGGTCGACATAGATGATGCTAGTGCACTTGGAATGCAGATCCCGAATATGACGATAGGAGATGACAACTCGTGAGCGATCAGGAATGGTTTTCATTACCTCCACGAACTCATCGAGGTTCCGAGTGGGTCGTTGGTCGACCGAATCAATGATCCAACCGGCCAGTGTGTTTTCAAGCTTAAAAGAGCCAGCTGCTTCGCAGACATACACACCACGGGTAGCGATGGCATAGAGCCGGGCTTGCTGATATGACAGGTCATGGAAAGTACCACCGGCAACTGTCACAAATCGATCCGGAGTGATAGCATGGAGATCACCGACTTCACACTCGACTTCGAGGTCTTGCCCTTCACGCTGGACCAGCAGGCGCACCGTCTGACCAACGCTGGAGTCCAGAATGTCATCAAGACGAACGAATTGAGTCAAGAGCTGGCCGTTGACCTGCAATAGTACATCTCCTTCTTGTACCTTGCCATCCGCAGGGCCTTCTGGCAGGATAATCTCAGCTGCGAGCATGTTGGTTTCAGCAGGCGCTGCCTTGCGGACGGCCGCCTCCCATTCGGGAGTGAGACCAAGCCGGCGGCACTCATCGAAGGGTCTGAGGATCCACTGGGTTTGAATGGTGCCTCGAGTGACGGGCTTGTTTTGGCGAATGCATTCCAAGGCACGTAGTGGGCGGTTCAAAGGCAAGAAATAGTCTGTCGCAGCACCGTCTGCACGGCCGCCTGCTTGTAGTGCCACTGCGTACCCATCGATATTGATCACCGGACTGCCTGAACTACCACCACTGGCGGCCGCTGCAGCCTGAATGTAGTTTGTATTGAAATCACAGTAGCCCTCACCATAGTCTGGCGCATTGCGATCGAGTCGACTGATCACACCGGAGAGAATGCTCAGCTTTTCACCGGCATCGTTACCGACGACCCGGATTTCCGCACCCACTCGAGCAGCGTCGGGCTGGAGCTTGAGCTCGGTGAGTTTCATGTATTTGATATCCTTTGGATTGAACTGGAGAATGCCGAAATCATGGACGGGATCACGGTATACGGGACGGACATCGCACTAGATACGTCAGTGGGTTCTTGCACTCGACTGGTCTGCCCGTGTCAAGGCTCCTTGTGACGGAGATGCTTACTTCTTCGTGGTTGTCGAAGATGCAGTAACCCCAGAAGGGACCCGCACCTACAACATGGCGGTTGGTCAAAATATAACCTCGCTCCGCATCGACGACGAAGCCAGTGGCCTGGCTGCTCATCGACAGATCCGTATCGAAGGAGCAGGTCTGGCAGAAGTGGATGGAGACCACACTCTTCACCACTTCCTCGATAGTTGCTTGCCACTCGGGCGAATCCGCCTGTGCAGTACCGAGAGGCAGCATGCGACCTGCATCTTCCTCCTCGTCGATCTCGTGATTGGTATTGATATCGTAGACGGTTCCATTCGCCGGCGTTGCGTCGCCGGGTGTCAGAATCGATCCTTCCGGCTTCAGGTGCTTGGTCGGGCGTTCCGCACCAATGGCGACCGCGCTGCGCTTGCGCTTCGCATTAAGGTCCCTGTCTGCATCCATGGCGCGGACTGGTCGGCAGAAGGGTCGACGATTGAGATGAAGGTACCGATGGACAGCTCGGTGAGAGTTGGGCGGGTCAAGTAAGAACGGGAGGTGTCGCGCAGGATAGCAATGCCCAGGCAGCTCGAGGGGGCGCGACGAAAAGGGAGAGACGGAGGCCGAGACAGAAACAGAAGTAGGTAGGCTCCGTCGGCAGGCCAGCAACAAAGACATACGCGGTGGAAGGTCGAAGAGATGGACGAGGCGGAGTGGAGAGAAAAGCGTTGTCATTGGCCGCCGACGCCCAGGGCCGCCGCATGACATCCGCGTGCCTTTCCTGATGAAACCAGGCCACGCGCTGGCGCCGATCTATATTTACCGACCGTCCTATTAGATACTTTGGTATGTAGGATCCAGCATGACATGCTCATGCGATGAACGAGTTACGAGTAGAGCTACTAGTGTGAAGCCCTGATCCTCGGGCACTAATAATGTGGGACTGGAACGATAGACAAGCTCGCGAGATTGTAGATGACTGGATTATTCTAGGAGTCGCTGATACACAAGATCCCAAGATATGAAGCAGGATCAAATGGCATCATTCAAATTACATGGAATACACGCACGGCGTAGACCTCAAGGACATGCAGGGTGCGCCTGCAGAATGACCGACTTTCCTCGCCATCACGATGCGCCGTGTGCCCGGATGACCAGGCCTGGTGAGGGGTGACGAAGGTCACGCAGCCCTCTCCATCAGTACTGCACGAGCCGCTCATCCAGTGGCATAGAAGCACGGCGGGCCGGCGACGGGAGGCGCCGTCTGAGACCGATCGATGGGAAACGGGGGATTCCAAACCCCTGTCCCCTGGTGGACCGAGAGATCGGGGGGAGAGAGAGGGACGAACGGAGAGATTGGAGATCGTCGACGCGGGGGTTTGAGCTGACCCGCCGCGAAACCAAAAAGAAACCAAGAATCGAGATCAGCAGGGATAACACAAAATTCTCGATTCAAGCCACGGATTCCGAGGGACTAGGTCCGCCGTTTCCTTGCATCGTGCCGGGGCTGAGCTTTTGGGGAGTCGAGGCTTTGCCAGATGACGGGAACAACTCGTTCAACTTGGCGTACAATTCTTTGACGGCCGGGACGTTGGATGGCGGTGTCATAATCGCCGGAGCCTGAGGAGTCACGCCGCTCGCCTTCTTGGCCCGATCAGCGATCGTCGCCAGGTATGCCAGATTGGCTTGTAGCCGCCGCATGCACTCGATGTATTCGGGACTTGGTTTCTGCCCGGGAGGCTTGTTCGCGTCGGATCCTGGTTCCCCAGAAGCATTGGCCTCCGCATTTGCCGCCATACCTGCCTTCCCAGCAGATTGAAGATTCAACACTTCCTGCAACAAGGTCGAGTTGATGTCAAGAAGCGTGGTGACACGCGCCTTTTCCCGAGCTGCTGCCTGAGCTTGTACCTGTGCCTGAGCTGGACTTTGAGGTTGAGCCTGACCTTGACCTGAGCCCGGTGTTTGAGTCGGAGCTGAAGGCTGCGCCGGACCTTGACCTTGTGCGTGGGCTGGGGTACCGGGCTGCGTTCCATGGGGCGAGTTGTTCACCTGGGGCACTTGCTGCATCTGCGGATTCATCTGCGGATTCATTTGCGGGTTCATTTGTGGGTTCATTTGGGGATTCATCTGAGGGTTCATGTGCGGATTCATTTGGGGAGGCTTTTGTTGGTTCGGGAGCATGTTGTTTGCTGACAGAGAAGCCATGTTCTGGGAGAATGTTTGTGCGACTGTGGAGGGGGTGTTCGTAGCGGTGCTAGGCTGTAAGTGATTCATGCCTGCAGGGACCGGGGCTTGGGTGAACGGCACCGAGAAACTGTCCATAGGGCCTGCTATCACAATGAGCGGTCAGATCCACGTCTATCAACCAAGCAAGTAAAACTGTGCCGACTGGAATCTCAGCGATGTAGGACGACCGTGGGCAAATCGCAACGCCCCAGGGCAAGCTTGCCAAGGGACCGTTGAAGGCCCTTGCTGGCACCATCCACCGGGAGATCGGTCAGAGCTGCAGCGGGTTCTAGGGCAACGCAGCGAGTGTCGGAGAGAAACAAGAAGATCGGCTTCTAGGCCAGCTGGCAGGCAAACCAGCTGGCAGGCAAATAGGGTTTTGCATAACCCTCCAGGCATTGGGAGAAACAGGGAGACCCCGCAGGATAGATTGACAGATGCAGCGGGCTAATAAAAACAAAAAGGGGTAGCGAGAGGGGATGGCCACTTACCGTTGGATGGTTGTTGGGGAAAGCCGGACGGCATCATAGCTCCAGTGGGACCTCCTGGCTGCAGTGGGATGGCGCCAAAGGAATGCTGCTGGTGTCCAGGCTGTACCGGCGTCTTGGACTGGGGATATTGGGGGAAGAAGGCCATTGGGTTCGGGGGGCTTTGAGTGGGAGCGGGAAAGCCAGCGGGATAGACGGCATTGGGGTCCATCGTGTAATAAGGACACTATCCGGCCCGAACTATTAGGCGTTAAGGGAAGGAAGGGGGGAGGGGGGGGACGGCCGAGGCGTCAAGATGGCCCGCTGTAATTCTCGTGCTTTTGGGGACTCCTGAGCGATTCGTGGAAGGAAGCCACAGAGAGCAACAATCACGTCGATTACGCACGCGCCACTCGGACAAAGCACACACAAACGGAGTGCCCTGGCGGGAATCCAGGGATATGGGATATTGGCGCGGAGGCTGGGGGTGGAAGCCACGGAGGAATCTCTTGAAAATGAAGACAAAGAGGGGGCGATGATTGGTCCAGACAGAGCAATGCTGGCAGGGGTGGTGCTGTAACAAGATCGACCGCTGCTTTGACAGAGCTGGACTCGGAGCAAGACAGATTTTGGTGGGTGTGGCCCGGATTCAGAGCGATCAGCCGTGGGCGGACGGGCTAATGCAGCGGAGCGTTTTTGGTTGGAGTGGAGACCCAGACCCGATGGCAGTGGATTCTCGGTGAATTTCGATCGTGGCGTGTCTGCAGGCCGATGAGGATCAAGCTCCTGGAAGTTTTGCTCACAAGGCGGAATTTCTCTGCGGCCACGGTGCTCGCTGCCTGCGTGCAGAAGGGTTGCCCGACGTGGTTCCGGCGACGGTCACGGGACTGTTTTTACGCGGTACAGTACTGCTCTCGTAGAGCCAACACTCGGGGCCTGGGGGCCGTTACATCAGGTAATAATACGATCCCTCTGTAACGACATGTGATTCGCAATCGGCACTAGCCCAGATCAGGACGGTCCTGCACGTGGCTATGAATGCCTCAGGTATAAAAGCACGAATTTTGTGCCTGAGGCCAAACGCGACCCCCTCTCCCTTTGCCGGAAAATATCTCCGTCGATTGTTGAAGGTCGAATCTGCGCGTACGAAAGTGGGACTTCGTGGTATGATGATAGTGGCCCGACAGTGGATGGCTTGGAGTTTGAGCTTTCGCATATTTCTCAGCCGCACTACTCCATACACCTCATGTGGCCTCCGGTGTGGCGCAGGCGACAATGTTTTTGATTCTATTCCTCCGTGACTGAGGACAATCTTGAGCCCTTCCATGGATCCTCATGGGACCTTCCTGTTGGAGGCTCGGTCGCAGGCCTTGTGACCAAAGTCTGCTCCTCAATTCCTCGTGAGGTTGTTCTGCTCTGTCACATCATGATGAAATGAGGTGGATGCGTTGGATCCTTGCATTTTCCATTTGCCTGTCCCTACCGGCTGTTGACAAATGAGTGTTCACGATATGATCGAAGGAACAACCTGGGAGGACTGCAAATCTCCACGCTGAGCTGCCCTGCCTAAATCCGAGCTGAGAACCGGAAAACCTCCACTTAAATTAAAGGGTCGATGTACTCTATCAGCAGACCCTTCGAGTGTAATCGTACAACGTATTATATTGTCTTTTATTTTCTTCGAGGGTCATCGATTCCAAATCCCCACTGGTAGACAAAAAGGCGACATAACATCTACTCATAAGCCATGGTCAAATTCTCTGTACCGCCTTGGGTCAATGGTGTAAAGAAGTCAATACGGCGTCGATGTCGCGAGATCTGCGGTGAAAAAGGATACGAATGGCAGACGATGCGAGCAAATCATGACGATTGCGACCTCCCTTGATCAAGTCAAAGCCTTATGCGCACCCTTATTGATCTGCAGTCTATTCAATCGCATTACGATGTTTCTTTCTTTTTTGCATTTCATTTCATTTTCATTTTCATTTTCATTTTCATTTTCATTTTCATTTTCATTTTCATTTTCATTTTCATTTTCATTTTCATTTTCATTTTCATTTTCTTTGTCATTTTTTATTTATTGATGGAAGGAGGCTTTCGCCAGTTATCTCGGAGATCCACCGTCCTTCCGCAGGAAATTCGAAAGGCGTCTCGAACGGGGCACCCTGCAGCTCGCTAAAGACGAGGCGCAGTGGGCCAGGAAAACATCAGCCTGCCGCCACAGAGCTATTTTGGAGGGATCCAGTTTTCCAGTTTCCAGGAAATGCAGGTTGGAGATCCTTTCCTAAAACAATCAGACACACTGGTCCTCTTCGCCCAACTGGGGCCCGGCCTTTGGTTGTCTCCGTCGTCCATGGAAAGGTGACAGCCATCGGTCAGCCAGCCACCTTGAACGCCATTCAATATGACATCCACTCTCTGTGCACGGAGTGCAGGGGTATAATTTAGAGGAGACTTCAGGTCTGTCGCTGCCTCGATCTGGGGTAAGGAGGTAAATCCCACCTGCACTCATAGAGAAGGTCATGGCGAGGGGCACGTCAGAATGGATGCATCTCCACCAGCTGCCGCATCCCACTACATACAGTAGTAGATATGTATTCCCTACCAATCGAGTAACAATACGAAATACACCTGGCACACTGCCCCTGCCCTGCCCTTGATACTGGGTACACAGTCATATTCTCCGCGTCTCTGATTCGGCCTTTCCGGGGGAACAGATTCAATTCAGTAACTACTAGTACTACCACTGTAGGTCGAGGCTGTCGTCCTCCTGGAGCAGGGCCTGAGTGAGTTATCCTGGTTGGACTGCAGGGTGTATCATTTAAAGTACTGTCTCGGTTTATCCGAGCTTGCGGCCGTTGGCGCCCCGCAGCTTGCGCTGTTGCTTTATGATCGGGCTTTTTACCGCTTCTTCTCTCTTGCGGACGCTGGATAGGTCCAAACTCAATCTTGGACTTTATGACGATAAGCTCGTTGGCGGATCGAGGCCAGGCTGGAAGGTGGAGCGGCAAACGTACAGGCTAATTGTAGCTCCTGCTCGAGTAGTTAGTACCGATGTCCTGCTCGGAGGATACTTAGTAGTACTACTAGTGCATGCGAGTAGGGCGTGAACAGGGACTGTTAGGCAACCCAGGGACCCCGCCCTGCACAGAAATTTGTCAACCCTATATGGAAGGCTATCGATCGACATCGTGCATGTCTTGCAGCTCGGAGAACTCTGATTTGCGTTCTCCGTTACCATCCTGCCAGCCGTCAGCGCCGGGCTCTCCGAAGGGTCGACGCAGGTCAATGTTTTGGTCCGAATTGGTCCTTACTTCTTCTTCTTCTTTTTTTTTTTTCTCCCCTTTATTTTTTATGTTTTCCGCCCTCCTTTGTACGTACGCCAAGGGGGCATATCAAGCCCAAGCGGGGCCCGTACCCATGGGCATTTGGGAATTTCTTTTGTTTCTTAGGCTACATTGGATTCTGCACTCCATCGGGGCCGATGGAGTGCATTTCCTTGGTCTAGGGTGAACGAACACTCGGCGACCATTGGCCAGAAGGAGGAAATGGCAGGATTGAAGGGCATTGACTAGTCGTGGATGGACCAGGGGTGGCCCTGAGTTTCTCCGAGGCTAGTCCTCCCACCACTCGAGGGTACCTTAGGGTTTAGGGTACGTGAGGGCCCTGTGTAAGACGTGTCTCATCTAGATCTACAACCTTAGTGACAGCGCTGCGGCGGGTCTCGGGATCTGAAAGAGCCAACGGGTCATGTGGCGGACAGCGAACGGTCAACGGTCTGCCGGACCCAGTCTCTGGCAAAGATTCTGATTACGATGAACCACGAACCATGTCCACAAGATGACTCCGGCCCAGTCTCGGGTGGCAAAAAAATCAATAGTTCCCCCGGGGCTGGATCCAAGCTCTCCGTCCAAGCCACTGGGACGTTGGCGCTGTGTCTCAGCTCTCCTCGCGGGGAACCGCCCTTTCATCCGGCATCCACGGCAAGGATCGTCTCCTTTCTCGGTCAAAAGCGTTGATCGACGGCCTCAGCCACAGGACGTGGCGCTCCAGGACCCGTTCGTTGCCTCAGAAGGGCATCGGTTCCATCTCTCGGAACCCCCAAGTGCATGCAGCCCTCGGCAAATGGCGTCCATACGTCGCTGGTCCAAATGATTTCCCCTCTGGCGACGATCTCGGGAGTGGAGAGGCCCCCGAGCTGCGTCCAAAATCGCCACCCGGCGTGTAGCGGTGCATTTGCGTCGAACTAACCGCGGAGGCTGCGAGGTTGCGCTCGTATAGGCCTCTCGCCGAGCTAGGCCGTGGGATCTGAGGTGCTATACCAGGTACTCGGGCCGCATATTGATCCCTCTGGAGCACATACAACTGACAGATCAATCATTTGGGGCTCCCATTGGCCAGAACAACACGTCCCTTTTAGTTAAGAATTGACCGGCCCGATAAGCAGATTTGTCACGATTGATGGGCCTGTGGGCCCCTGCACGACGAAATCATTCCGCATCAACGGGTGCCAAGGGTCATTTAGTGGCTCGTTGGATCTCTCGGTGGACACCATGCAAGCACCATGGCGACAGAGCTCTCTCGAAGGGATTGCGGCCAGCGCATTCCAGCGGTGAAAATAGGAGCCTTCACTGTAACCTTGCGCCATTCAGGCACATCAAAGGAGACTTCCTTTTTCTTTTTCTTTTTCTTTGTTCGTGATTTTGATAGATACTGCTGCTGGCTGGCATAATCCCTGTTGTGTCCGAGTCCTTATCTTCCTTGCTAAAACCTCTTTCTGAGACCGGTACCCAGACAGATGGTTCTACTCATCCACCGGCCTAATTAACGTTCAGCTACAAGCCACACACTCTCTTCCAAGGGGTTCTTTCAGCCATGATACGCCTAATCCTGTCTGACTATTCAAGAGCTAGAGAACCCCACTCTAAATAAATAAAAAAATGGCAAAAAAAGAACAACAATCAACCATGTGGGTGCGGGTATCGTACAGAAGAGATCTGGATCTTGCATAGGATACGGGCCGGCGCAACAGAGACAGGGGTGGGCCAGGGAGTTCCCAAAGTCCAGCCGATCTTCATTTCATCGTGCGAGAGCCACACCGGCACTTTGGCGTGTCTGCTCAGGCCCCTGGGAGTCCATCTTGCATGCATGATACTGGTAATTCACGGCTGAGTCGTCAACCTGGGGAAGATGTCAAGTGGTTCGCATGCCACTCGAAGGGGACCGGCGCGAGGGCGTTTCCAGGAGCCTCCCATGCTCATGCACGAGGCTCAAACTAGAAGGGCATAGGACTGGATAGAGCACATCAGGGTGATGCGTACTTTTGTGACGGCCATCCTCTGATCTGCATACCAAATCCCGCCAGAATTAGAAAGTCGTAATTCAATTGGCGTCGGGCCAACCTTGCTTCAGGGCTGGGCCTTTGCTTCGCGTCCCGGAGCAGAGCGAGGATCTAGTTGACTCCGACCAGTTTGTCGGTCCCCAATGAGGTGTGGTGCCCTGGATCCTATACCCACCCTTTTTTGGTCGTAGCAGGATCACCGAGACGCTTGATGCCCTCGGCTTGTGGAAATGCCTCTCTAGACACCAGAACGCCATGAGATTGCGATCAATTCCGGTAGGGAGGACGGGGAGGATGCGTATAGATGCTTCTGCAGCGCCTCTGGAAGTCGGCTGCAGGCAGTGGGACTAACGGCAAGGACACCACTGCCGGCGAAACCGTCGTGCGTGTGCTTAGCGGCCCAACTTCGGGGTCGAGCATCCAGTCTCCTCCAGTCTCCAGTCCGTGCCTGGTCGCGCAGCTCGAGTGTTCTCCACACGAACAGTCGCAGAAGTCGCAGCAGCAGGCCTTGCGCCACAGAAGTACCCCCTCCTCGTGGCTGAGGTGATTCTCTATAAATCTCCGGCTCCCTGTGCCTGGTGGGACCGTCCCCAGGCCTTCTCTTCGCTCCCCAATGTCGCGCAACTGGCCAATCCTCCAGAGATGATTTCTGGCTGCAAGCCATCCTTCTCGCTCCCCTTTTCCTCCTGGAATCCCGCCATTTCGGCTATGTGCCCGAGCAAAATCGATTTTAACCCCTCATCGATCTGCCTGTGCTCCACGGTATCGTCTTCGTGCCCAGTTCTCTCGCCCATTCGACCTCGAGGCCAATCCTTCCCCAGGACTGATCGTTTCAATCTCTGCAGATTCCAGACAGTATGTCGATGCAAAACCAGCAGGATTTGCCAGAGGACATGGCGTTCCCCCATTTTGCCCTGATTTACATTGACCGGGAGGGCAACCTCCGTCAAGAATCGTCCCTGTCCATCGCCAACAGTCGCGAGACCATTCTGTCCCCGCGCGTCACAGATGAGTTCCTGCGAGCGGTGGCTCGCTCGAGAGGTGCTGCGCCGTCACATTCTCCATGTAAGTGTCACATACCCCGGTCAGCAGTCATGACGGGCGGGAGAGACGCTGATTCCCCTGTAGTCGAGCTGGGCGCTCCGCCAATACCCCATCAGATCACCAGTGGACAGACCCCAATCCCGATACAGACACAAACTGGCCATGCACGGCCGAGTGTGGACAGGAGAGCCCTCGAGGGCGATGCACAAATCCCAGTAACGCCAACGCTGGCGCCGTCAATGCAGCCGACTATGTGGTCAGCACCACAAGGACCGGGGCCGTGGCCTCGCTGGTCGGGCCAGAACCAGAGGTCAACCCAGCAACGAGGACTGGGGGATGGCAAGCCGAATATGAGAAGCAATCAGAAAGCATTCATCTCGGTCCGGGACAGTGAGTTCCTACGTCGGTACTACGAGAAGATCTTCCAAAACCTGCAGCAGACCAACTGTCGTGTCTTGGCCAAGGCGTACGTCAAATTGGTCGAACCGCGCAAGCAGGTCAATTTCCCCTACAACGGGCGCAAGATCATATCGGGGAAGACGCAGCAATTAGAGCCTGACGAGACCAAACCACCGTGGTGGCCGACTGGAGTGAGCCACCGAGAACCTGACCATCTTCCAAAATCCGGTAAGGAACCACTTGCTCTACTTTTTTTCCTTTTTTTTTTTTTTGTGCGACTTAAATGCGTTCAAAGTTTCGCAATGACGATGAAAAGACTGCTGACAAGAACACCAGAGCGCATTAGGCTTCTCGTTCACATTCTCTGCGAGCTGCGAACCAGCTACGGTATCACTGCTCAGCGACTCAAAGCAGCAGACCAACCGATCCGTCGACAGATCCTACCGGTGGAACGGTTGGAGATACTGGACGAGGTCTACCAGGTCAGAGAGGAGGAAGAGAAATTCTTGGAAGGAATCACCGGTATGTCAGATGATGTGGCCTCCCCTGCTCGAAAGCCAGCGAGGCTGACAGGTCGCAGACGGAAAAACCATGGTGTCGATTTCGCGCTCAAACCTCCCCGATGCAGCTGAAGCCCTTGTCAACCGAGGCGAACGAATCCAAAGCCCAAAATCAATCGAGGAAAACCCCAGCCCAGAACCGAAGACCGAGACCCCGTTCATCCGCAGTGGCCCAACAAGAGCGAACCCCCCACAACCTATCTTCGTACCTGGCGGAGACGTCGTGTCCAATCCCCAGCCTACTCCTAGTCCCTCCCGGCAGATACACCAAGACCTCCCGATTCACCCCGGGTATGATCATACTCGCGTGTCCATTCCACCACAGGTGAAGAGAAAACGGCAAGATTCTGAGCTGGACGCTTCAACTGCACTGAGCCCCAATGCGGTCGGATATTACTCTCCTATATTCGTGGGTTCACAGCCATTCCTGACGGGGTCCTGCGATGATGCGCAGGGCTTCCCACCTTCAAATATCCTACCCGGACACCCGATACCCGAACCCTTCAGGGAGCCCATGGAGCAATGCGAATTCCCCTACTATTTTGACAGTTGAAACCCAACTGCCCCAGTGTTTGCTGACACTGGCCACGATGACGAGTTTCCTTTCTCCAAAGCGTTCGATTGAGTGCGACAGCACTTCGGTGATCTTGTTACTTTTGTACTTCCTGGAGCTTGAAGCAGGCGCATTTTTCTCTTCTTTTCTTCGAAGTGACATGAGCGTGAAGTCATTAGACAACATACGTTTCAAAGGGTGGAGCAGATATACGAGATATACGAGATACACGAAATACACGAGCCAGAGTTAAATATGTCAAGAGCTGTTGAGATATACTTCGTCAGGGGGAAATTCTCCGTCCATCCCCTCACGGACTGCACCCTTGACCCGCTCACAGACACTGCGAGTAATAGTCGTTGAAATACGTGCAGGTATACCCACTCACACAGGTGGTTGCCCCCGTCCATCCGCTTCCACCACACTGAGCCCAATGCTGGGCGACACCCGTCGCAGTACTGCCGCTGGTCGTAGTCGAGGTCGAGGACGTGCTGGAGCGAGTCGTCGTCGTCGTCGTGGCTATTGCCGTACCGCCCAAAGCAGTCAAAATTCCCGTGTAGGCCGGCTTCTTCGCATAATTCTCGTCCCAGGGACAAGCAGCACCCTGTCCGGAGAATGTATTCGGAACCCAGGAGTACTTGTCCGTCCAATCCCAGATGGTGACTCCGACGCAGCCCTTGGTCGCCAAACATGCTGCGACAGTGTTGGAATAGTCTGTCTTCTGCTGAGCGAGCAGGGCATCGGTCGAGGGGAGTGTCATGCGGATATCCAGCTCCGTAATGGCCACCTCCACGCCCAGGTTGGTGTATCCGGCCATCGTGCTAGCCTGCGCACTCTGACTCGGTGTGCTGCCAACGATGAAATGAGCCTGCAGACCGACACCGTCGATCTTGGCCCCATACGACTGAATCAGCTTGACAATATTCTGCGCACCCGTGGCTTTGGATCCGGAGTACTCGATGTTGTAGTCGTTGTAATAGAGCTTCACGTCGGGATCGGCGGCGGCGGCTGTCGCAAAGGCAATGGGAATGTAAGCCGGGCCGATTGTGGTGTACCAGATGCTCTCGCGATAGGAGCCGTCCTCATTCAGAGCTATTTAATTAGCTTCACACTGGGGATTTTTCAGAGTTGAGAAAAGCTCGTACCCTCATTGACCACATCCCACGCGTAGCATCTTCCTTTGTAGTGGGTCACCACGTTGGTGATATGGTTCTTCATTGCTGCGAGCAAAGTCGCGTTCGTCCAAGTGCCGCTGCTGACTAGATTACGGTTAGATATAGTACCATTTTTATGACAACAGGAATATCATGATCTTACCCCAGCTTGGCAATTGACTGTGCCACACCAAGTTGTGGCAGCGAAGTTTCTGGCCATTGGCCTCGGCGAGGTTAGCGATGGCATCTCCCTTGGTGTAGGAAAACGTGTTTTGGGACGGCTCGATCGTATCCCACTAGAAATTGATCTTTGTCAGTTTTTTATTTTTTTATTTTTTATTTTTTATTTTTTTCAAGATAATTCAATTGCTGCCAATAGCTGACCTTCTGTGAGTTTCCAGGTGTAAGTTGTCCAAAGTCATCGGTATTGCTGAGTTGCGTCACGTACGAAGTGTCCGTCAACTCGGGGTTATCTGTGGCGGTTCCAAAGTAGAGTTGTCCTTTGGCGACAGCAGCAGTGTTGAGACCAGCTCCATTTACACTGTTCATTTTCCCGCGTTAGTCTATTCGTGAAAAGAATCATAGGAGCGTAGTGCACATACAACTGCGGTAGGATGCTGGCCGCCAGTGCCAATGCCCCACGGGACAGCTGAACCATTGCTAAAAAATTTGATGATTATTCGGAAGAATTGAGATGAGACAAGAATGACTTGCGTAATAAGGAAAATCCCCCATTCGGGGCCTCAGCTAATTTATAGTAGGTCGACAGAGAGTCCGAAGAAAGGTGTTCTTCCGGCGCTAGAACTCCCATGCCCATCTGCTCCATCCGGACCGATAGCCCGTGGCGTAGTGGTCGCGGCTAGGCCGAAGAAAACAAAATTGTAACATGCAGCCTCGGCGCTATGGCAAGTTCTCTGTATTTGTGGCTGTCGGAGTTCTCACGCCGCGAACGTTTCAGATGTAGATTAAGACGGTGGAGCAGCTTTGATCGAGGATTTCCTGAATTAACGCTTCGATGGTAGAGAGCTACGCACACAGTGGCTTGAAGAGATGTTTTGCTTTATCATCTGGTGTCGGAAATATCCTCAGTACAATTATCTTGTAAGTGTAGCGAAGCAGCGTGATCAAGCCACGGGAGAGACGGCGCAAACTCCGTCTCCGGCAAAACAACCTCTGAAGAATTTCCCCTCGTTGATCCCCCGCATTCGTCACGATCGAGAGCCCGTACAGCCAAAATATGTCAGGGCCGGATAAATACCGAGAAGGTCCACCGTTGGTTCGTCCGGCAAAACTGAAAACCCTGCTGATCTCCGACTTCTGCAGTTCGTGGTGGCATCTCCGGGACGACGAAGAATAAGAAAGGAGGCTACCATTTAGCCTAGCGCACCTACCCCATGTCGACAGCGTTGATTTGTCGGCTGAATGTATCCTTCTAAAGGTCCCAGTGTAGCCAAGCCTGACAAACATCGGCCAGACCAAGGTATTGACACAACACTTGTGAATGTTCAGAAAGGACGTGACCTCAACTCGGCCGTTCGGAAGCACAGATGGACAAAACAACATAAAGATGGTTTCCGACGTCAGGGGGAAGGCTTTGATTTTCTGGTTTTGAATATTTGGAATAATAATTTCTCCCCAATGAAGGTCTTGATACTCAGTATGTACATAATATGCAATTTTGCAGGGGTATCGTTAAGCTTCGTTCGGCACACACTGCTCTTCATGTCTCACCCACCTGCTTTGTGGTATCGAGCTCAGTGCAACCCAGTCCCAGATAATATTGGGTGACCCAGGACCTGATATTTTGTTCGGTCGGTCAATGGAAGATCCGGCTATCCATTGGGCAGGTTGCCGAGTGGTGATGAGTCAGGATATTAAGGATGCAATCAGCGCTAGATAAAAATATCACAGTACGCATCTTCAACCCTCCTTCCGAGCCTTCATCTCCGCAATGAAAGCACCAGTCTTAGAGTTGGGCACAACAAAGATCCGAACCAGCTGATCCACCACCTCGACCTTTCCACCAGAAAGAATTTGCAGCAAGGGCACCTTCTTACCGGCCTTGATTAGACCCCCGGTCACGGTCTGCATGAAGCATTCCACATTTTGCATCGAGTACTCCTTCTTGGTGTCCCACGGCAGAGGGAAAATATAATCCAGGTGATCAGCAATCGAGTGCATCTCCGAGAAGCCCTTGATGAAGTCGGACTGAGCATCCATGGGGTACAGGAGAACAGCCGGGAACTCAACGGTGCTCTCTGGTGAAAGAGGGTCAGGAATCAGTCGGATCTGAGAATCTTCCATGTCGGGTGGCTGCTCAGTCTTGCGAGTTCGAATTTGACGGGCGCGCAGGGCAGTGCTGAGCACCAGGTTCTGCTTGCGAGCGAGTTCTTCCTCGGCCTTCTTTCTAGCGATGACGCGCTCCTTGGCCGCCTTGCGCTCAGCAATCTTTTTCGCGGCCGTTTGGAGAGCCTTGTTCTCAGGATCGACAGTAAGACCGCGACTGGCTGCGTCTTCTGCTTCGTCGACCTTGTCTAACTTCAACAGTGCCATCGATGAGCGGTAGTAGGCCTTGACATTTTTGGGGTTGAGCTTGATTGTAGCAGCGCAGTCTGTAGTGCAAGATCGGTAATTACCTGTAGGTGAAATGATGTATGAGCAAAGGCCGGAAAAATTGGAGAAATATAGAACGTACCGAGCTCGAGATTGCACAGTGCTCGGTTGATGTGTGACAGTTCCTCCATCTGCCGAAGAAGCTTCTTCTCCGCTGCCAAGTCTTCGGGCTTTTCCCACTTATCTTCTTTGGCGTTAATCACGGCAATACTCTTCGTGTAATGTTCCTTGGCATCGATCCAGCGGAGTTCGGAGACGGCCTCATTGCCCTGCTCCTTGAAGCTCTGCGCAACCTCGCCACGGGTACCCTCGTTCTGCATTGCGGTTATAGCATCCAGAAGAATATTTTCGCCATCTACCAAAAGAGCAAATGTTAGCTTTCTGCCGCAAGATCAAGAGAGGAAGAGCTAAAACATACTCTCATCACCTGCTTTCTCGATATCCGTCATGAACAGCGGCGTCTTGTTCATCATGTCGAGCAGCTCCTCTTTGGAATGCGACTTGACCGAGGCCATGGCCGGGGGCATTTTGGGCACGGAGGGGTCATTCTCCATTTCCTTCAACTTCTCCTCGTTGATAGGGAAGGGCACATCGTCGTTGGAGGCAGCGAACGCATCAAAGCCGGGCTGGGGCAGGTCCGGCGGGCCCTGGGGAGGAACCTCGTTGAGGTTGAGCGACTCATCGAAGTCGTCTGGAAGCTCTTCGATCCTCGACATGTTGAAATCGAGGCAAAATGCTGTTCAGAAAGAGTTCAGTTTTCATCGGACTTTTTTGCGGGGGACCGAAATATCGTTGTGCAAACAGTGCAAACACGAGGGGGCTCGCCCAAGAAGGCGGCGGGCCGAAGCTGATGGAATTAGTTAGGTGCTCCTTAACATTATTAAGCCGCCGAACCTTAGAAGTTTGGGCTGCGAGAAGAATACTAGAAGACTACTACTGAACTATAGTTGGAAAAGTAGTGGATTTGTGAATGACTGAAATGTACTAGAAGCACGTGGTGTTGATGGGTTGAAGATGTACATCCATGAATTTAGTGTGCTCGGAGCCGGGCGGGCTAGTTATGGTGCATTCGACACGAAAAATGTACCAATTATCAGATAGAACGAATATAGCCAGTAAGATAAGTTCCAGTGCATTAATCAATACCCTTGTGCTTTCGATTGTCTAAACCCCCAGTGTCATCCACGTAGGGCTAGCCCTAGATCCTCCATCAAATTGATGCCTTTGTGCCTGATACTGACCCATATACTTACTGCCAGTAGTACCCGAGGCCCTCAATGAAGTTACGAAAGATGTCCATCTTCAACGATACAGAAAAGGGTCCTTAGCATGCAAATCATAAATATCGAGGCTCTTCAAAAGGCTCCTATATCGGAAGTCGCGAGATCGGAAAAGGCCCGAGATGATCCAACCCCGCATCAAGTCAATCGGGGTGAAAACCGAATCGCCGATACAGGAAAGCCATATATACTGTGGTCGCGGAAGTATCTGTGGGGTATAGACAAACTTCACATCGCAACAAGCATCAAATCACATTGATTGATTGATACGATTTCGAACATTATCACGGAATACATTCTAGTATCATTAGATCGACTCACCTACCTCGCGTAGCTGCAAGAATGTCCCAAACCTTTAATATCCTTGTCCTCCCCGGCGATGGTATTGGACCAGAGGTCATGACTGAGGCCGTCAAGGTCCTGAAGGCCTTCGAAACTCCGCAGCGCAAGTTTCAGCTTCGACAAGAACTCATCGGGGGTTGCAGCATCGATGCCACGGGCAAGTCGATTACCGAAGAGGTCAAGCAGGCGGCGCTGGATTCAGACGCAGTCCTGTTCGCTGCCGTCGGTGGTCCGAAATGGGATGGGATTCGACGTGGACTTGATGGCCCGGAGGGTGGGCTGCTCCAGCTTCGGAAAGCAATGGACATCTATGCCAATCTGCGGCCGTGCTCGTCGACTTCACCGAGCTCATCTATCGCAAAGGAGTTCAGTCCTTTCCGAGAGGAGATCATCGAGGGCGTGGACTTCGTCGTCGTGCGAGAGAACTGCGGCGGTGCTTATTTTGGACGCAAGGTGGAGGATCCCGCATATGGTATGTGAGCCTGTTCACCCCCGTTCTTTCGGCCTTCTGGTCTCGCTGACCACACAACTGCCAGCTATGGATGAATGGGGATACTCCGAAGAGGAGATCCAGCGAGTCGCCCGTCTGTCGGCAGAGGTGGCTCTGCGTCATGACCCGCCCTGGCCTGTCATCTCTCTGGACAAAGCCAATGTTCTTGCCTCTTCTCGTCTCTGGCGCCGTGTCGTGGAAAAGACCATCACGACGGAGTATCCACAGGTGAAGCTGGTTCACCAGCTGGCCGACTCAGCCTCCTTGATCATGGCAACCAACCCACGGTCGCTGAATGGAGTCATCCTGGCAGATAATACATTTGGTGACATGCTGTCCGACCAGGCGGGCTCAATCGTCGGAACCTTGGGGGTGCTTCCCAGCGCCAGCCTGAATGGTCTCCCGGGAGACAAGGCGTTGAAGACGCGACCATATGGTCTGTATGAGCCTACGCATGGTTCGGCGCCGACGTAAGTCTCGAAATTTTCAAAAAGGAGGCTCTCAAGGCATTGCTAATTGCTCTGATAGAATTGCTGGCCAGAACATTGCTAACCCCGTTGCGATGATTCTTTGCGTTGCTTTGATGTTCCGCTACTCATTGAACATGGAAGACGAGTCGAAGCAGGTAGAGGATGCCGTACGAAAAGTCCTGGACTCAGGCGTCCGAACTCCCGACCTGAGAGGAAATGTCGGAACCAAGGAGGTCGGCGACGCGATCGTAGCTGCTCTGTAAATGATATTTCTAGTATTTGTTCTTGTCAAAGTTGCAGAGCTCCACCTTAACGTAAAACGCAATGCATTGATGCCGGGATTTCAAATCCTACACTCAAAGTCCAACATGACTCCAAAACTCTACAGCAGGATGGCTTTTTCGGCTCTGGGGTTGCCTCTGAACATGCCCTGTCTTTCTCTCTGAAACCCGGAATAAAGAAAGGAGCGCCTGCCGTCGCATGATGTTTGCCTTCAAGAAACACGGGTTCGGACAGCGTCTTCTTAGTCTGAGTGAGACATGCGGGAGCTTGGAATAATTTTCTCCTTTTGTAGTTAAAATATTGCTGTCGTTCTCTTTACACCTATTATTTCTTACACCCTTCTCTGAGGCAGTTTATCTGTTGATAAGCGCTTGCTAGGGCTGCGCGCAAAGGTAAGGTAGCTTACCCAGCGACCTTGGGAACTCTCACTCCTCGCTTCACTTTCCTCGGTCTCGGAATTTCCCACGAGCGTGATTGATCCCTTCTCAAGCCACCGACCCTCCCAAGATGTCAGGCCAGAACCAAACTCCTTGCGCCGAAAGACTCGCCAATGTGGCTTCGTTATCCAAAGACGAGCAAACCGAACTCCTCCACTCGATCGCCCACGATATCAGAACAACAATCTCGAGCATAGCACATCAGCTGAGTCAAGGGATCCTCAACCCAACTAGCGTTGCCTCAATCGACGAGTTGGTGAGGGTCATTTGCGACAGGGATTCTAGTAGACAAAAAAGGCTCGAAAGAAGAATCAGGCGATTACGGGAGGAGAGACGATGGATAAAACGAGAGTACAAGTCTTTGGTCTGTGAAACGAATCGGCTTGCACTGGCCTACAGGTCAAAATTGAGGGAATCCAAGGAAGAGGTAAGAGGGTTGAAGCAGCGACTCTCGCAGGTGACGACCGAACGTGATATCTGGAAGGAAGCGACAGAGGGAAAATAATCAGCCAACCGACGGGGCAGCAGAGCAGGAAGCGTGGAATCTTCTGGATCGATGTTGTGCTACGAGATGTATTTTTCCTGACAATCATCGCAAGTACGCCAGGGAATGGAGTGATTAGCAACTGGGAGCTACTACAAGTCGTACGACGTAGTAGGCACCTTACTGCCCTGCTGCAATTGGCAGGGTATATATCTACGGCTGAGAATGTACAGGAAGACAGTACCTACCACAGATATACGATTTTTATTGATGATCGAACCTTTATTCTCGATCATCTCATTCGCCTACACTTTTCCTCTTTCATATTACTCCGAGGTACCACTAGTAGTATAGAGGTCACAGCAAGAGGATTGCATAGCTCCGCCGCAGCCTCGTGAGATTTGCACAAATACCCCGGCGACTCTTGATAGAATTCGCAGCGATTTGACGAAACATTTGGAAATATCCAATTGGTTGTAATATGAAGAATTACCCTGTCTCAAGTACTACCTCTCACTACGGAAGCGATCAATCAGCTGGTCGTGCATTATTCGACTCAGGATTGGTGGCGTTTTTGACACAATCAGGCCTCGTTCTGTACAAGTGACTTGAATCCTAAATCATCGATGAGCAATCAAAAAGGGGGCATTTCGAACTGTGGAAAATTTGAACAGGTCAAATCCGGGCCGAGAACCTGGACCCGTGGACCCGAAGAACGCCGTGGGACGCGGTTGGTAATGGCACGGCCACGGGACGATGAGAGGTCGGCTTCCAACTTCCGAGGCATTCACGCTCGTCGCCGACGGCATTTGATGGGGTAAATGACTTCATCCGCCACAACAGTTCACGCGTCGCGGGGCTATCCCCAGACCCCCAGAGTCATTCCAGAAATTCCATACTCTGCGTTCGGCGAGAGAGGCCGAGAATCGGAAGTTTTCGCAATCTTTCACTTGTCCGAAAATGCGCCGCACTGGCACGGGTGCGCAGCAGCAAATCTGGACGCTGATAGACGGGTTATCGAACACCGAGAGGGACCTCGGCATTGTGGCCGCTGAATACACGCAGGCTGATTCGGTCGGGGGATCCACTTCCTTTGGACCTTCATGTGGAAGGACTCCAGACTCAAGACCCTTTCTTTTTTCCTCAGTTCTCTCCCTTTTTTTCATCTTATTTTCCTCTTCTGCCTTTATTGGTGAACTCGAAATCGTTTGGGACGTTGACGTTGACGTGAAGACGTGTTCGTAAACCATTCATTACCTTCAAGAAAACCTCGACCTACCCCAGACCACTCTATCGGCCGAGAATAATGAGCAGCGTCCGCGATTATGAGGCCGTCCGTAGGGACATTGTCGCCCAGCTCAAGAAGCCCGACTATGACGATGGAAGTGCCGGTCCGGTGTTCGTACGATTGGCATGGTGAGTTGATCTCGGTTCCTTTCTTGGTTGCGTAGGGTTGCTGTGTTGTTTCGGTCGGCGAGGACTCGCTCCCGACCATCTTTAGTTTGTCGGGACGGTTGCTAATAAGTTCTGCGTCATTAGGCACTCCTCTGGTACTTACGACCTCGAATCCGACACTGGCGGCTCAAACGGTGCCGGCATGCGCTATGAAGCTGAGGGTGGCGACCCGGCCAACGCAGGCTTGCAACACGGTCGCGCATTCCTGGAGCCGATCAAGGAGAAGCACCCCTGGATCACATATTCAGACCTGTGGACTCTGGCAGGCGTAGTCGCAATCAAAGAGATGGGTGGCCCCGAGATCCCTTGGCAGGGCGGCCGGACCGATTTGGTGGATGACTCCAAGGTGCCCCCTCGAGGCCGATTGCCAGACGGTGCCCAGGGCGCCGACCACCTGCGATTCATCTTCTACCGCATGGGCTTTAACGACCAAGAGATTGTTGCATTGGCTGGCGGACACAACCTCGGTCGGTGTCACGGCGACCGGAGTGGGTTTGAGGGACCTTGGGTGACCAACCCAACTCGTTTCTCGAACTCATTCTTCAAGCTGTTGCTGCAGCTGGACTGGAAGCCCCGTAAGCTGGCGACGGGCATGACCCAATTTGTATATGAGGACCCGGAGGCCGAGGAGGACGAGGAGCCTCTTATGATGCTGCCGACCGATATGGCGCTCAAGACAGACCCATCGTTCGCGCCTTGGGTGCAGCGATATGCGGAGGACAAGGACCTCTTCTTCGACCACTTTGCGAAAGTGTTTGCGAAGTTGATTGAGCTGGGCATACAGCGTGATGCGCAGGGCGTCATCACCAACACCGACAACCGGCTGGGCGGTTACGTGTCTGCCCCGAAGAAGAGCAGCACACCCACCGGTCCGAGCAAGAAGGGTGAGCCACGGGCACGCCTGTAGAGCGTCAAATCTCTGTTTTGTTATGTTCTTTGTTTGGCATCTGATAATTCCCCTTTCTGTTTGAGTGTTTGATGGGTCCCGGCTGGATGACAGAGCCAGGCTTGTCTGAGACCTGTAAATAAATCATAGACCATAAACGATACCTGACCAACCCCCTTTCCCCTGCAACCAAAGCAGTTTGGATGGAGTAAATGTGAAATCAGTAGAGGAGTGCTAGTGTCGCCGAACCAGAGAAGCAGCATCCTGATTGATCGCCGGGGACTGGAGGGCTGGGATGGCCGATGATTTAGGGGGAGGATGGATAAAAGAAGGAAGAGGAAGGAAGACGATGAAATGCGGGGAGGGACAGGAGGTGACACAAGTGCAGTTACCCCGGAATACGTGCAATACCAGGAATACCTGGGGGGTCTCGCGCTGACGGGTATCCCCGCGCGCGCTGTCTAATGGCTGGGTGCTGATTGGCGGGGCCTTCAGAACTTGGGACACTGGTGGGTCTATTGGGGTCCGCCAGGTATTCCCGTGTTTTGGTTACCCTGCTATACTGTGTACTATATCGTACTATACCCTACGGAATGTACTAGAATGTATTACTAGTGTGGTCGAGGTTGCATTGCTAGGGTTGCGGAGAATGAAAAATAATCATAAGGTCACAAGAGGCAGAAGCACACTACTAGTAACACCTACCACAGTCTCAATAACTTGAACGAACGCCCTCGATCAAGAATCAAAACAGAAATCAGTCACAAATTCAAACGAACCCAGTACAAGGGCGAGTCCAACACCAAGCAGCCGTTCTTCGATAAAACCACTGTATATAAGTCCATTCTAACACGGGCACATACTCCTTATCTCAAAGGCCCTGGTCGTCGTAGGGGTCGTAGGGGTTTGTTCCTCTGATCCTCCACCTCGTCGTCCGAATCCCGGGAAACGCTCTTTTGGACTGAAACAGCGCTTTGGGGAGGATTTTGAGAAAGTGTAGACGATCCAGGCTGCGTAGGCCGGAAATGTGTCGACTCCATATAGTCTGTAGGTAATGTCGATGGCGCAGGTTGCATAGTCGGTTCAAGCCGGCCAGGTCTTGTGACCGTTTCTGTTCTCCAAACCCTGCTCGCTGGAGTCGAACGATCTTTGGGTGCGGTCTCCTTCTTCGCGACTCCAGTTGGGTGTAGTCTGGGACGGCTCCAGTAAAAGTTCGGATCTGCCGACATGCCCGTCATGTGGATGTCGGAATCCCGCCGTCGCGCAATCGCAACCTGAACTTTTCCCCCACGAGCCTCAGGGGAGTGGCTCGGGCTAAAGTTCACCCAATCTGTCCACATCTCCTGCATCCGCTCCTCTTGCTCTCGCTGGGTCTGTGCCAGGTCTCGCTCGGCCTGTTCCAGTGCCGCTTGCTGTGCGGCTGTTGGAACGTCGGGAAGCTCAGTCGGGCCCCAGGTGGCCATCTCCTGCTCCACTTCTGGTGGACCGAGTGCCCATTTCTGGGGGTTATCAAAGAATTGACCCGGCCCAGTGAGCATAGAGGGAAAGACATTCTCGGCCTGGGGCAAGGGGTATTCGGGGGCCGCCGGCGGGACATTTTGCGGTAGAGGCTGTCCGGCCACGGCTTGAAACAAATTTGGGATCAGCGGGTGGTGCGGATTCACCGTCATCAAAGAAAAGAGGTTCTGTGTGACATTGCCTCGAAGTGGGTCAAGCATGAGGTGGAGTGATGGGTCGGGGCGTTGAATATTGAAATGCCTTTCACCAAACACTGGCAGCCGTGGATTCGTAAAGCCTCTGCGCGGCCTGGGATCCTCCCAGTTGGCTTTGTGTCCCTCGAGAGCAGGCTTGCCCTGGGTCAGATTCCTCATCATATGGGTGACTTGCTTCCCCACCAGGTCCAACAGGGGCTGCGGAGGATCCAAAACTCGCTCGTAGATCAGGAAAGGAGGAGTCTCCTGTATCCACTCCGGAGGAACACGTTCAGGACTTGCCGCAGGGACGGATCCAATGATCACCCCTGATAATAGGAGGGGGTCGTAGACGCTCAAAGTGGCAGGGTCGGCTCCATCACGCTGAGTTTCGCTCCAAAAGACTCGTAAACGCTCTTCACGGTAATAGACACCTCCAAGCCACCGGTACTTGGCAGTCTGTAGCTTGTTGTTCTCATCTCGAAATTCAAAAGAGACTTCTTTCGTATGTTCTCGAAGCGCAGTGTTCTCATGCATTGTCAACACCAACCTCGGCGGAAGCCGCAACATCGTCCGCTCAACCACGCGGCCAGTCCCGACAGATCCCTGGCAAATCGGGCAATCAAATTTAGATTCCATTCCGAATTTACGGGCGATCAGCTCAGATGGAGTGACCCCATTTCGATCGCTGTCCTTCCAGGGAGGCAGAACGCAGGTCCCGATCATGTCGAGGCTATCGTTGTATGGTCTGTGTTCACAGTCGCAGTAATGTTGGCGATCTTGAAACAAGTATTGAAACTGCGCAAAATTCCTCGTAAGCTTGGCCCACACAGCCCATGGAGGAAGGGCCTGACCCATTCCAAGAGCAGGATACGCCAGGTGTAGTTGTCGGAAGAAGGAATCGCGAAGCTCCTTGGACATTTCGCGGCTCAGGACATCCCAGTTCATATTGGTGGCCTCAATAAAGGAATTCTCAACATCGTCATAGAGATCAGCTCTGTTCTCATCGCGGTCAATCTGGGTACAGCCGACTTCAGTAAGCATGCCAATGACAATGACGGTGTCAACGGCAGCAGAATCTGGGGACCCCACAGGGCCTCGACCCCGGTATAAGCACTCATGTCCCAAGATAGGGTCCAATTGAAGCGACGTAGGATTCACCATCACCCGAGAATAAGCAGGATACAGGCCTACTTGAACCGTATCCCAGGCATCTTCACGTTTGGCAATTCGGGTAGGAGCGGGTCCACGAGCCGGAGCCTTAGGGTCTCGCTCGAGCTCGTGGTACGTGAGTTTCAACAGAGCCTTCACCATTGCGTCCCTCACTTGGGGCTGAGTAGAGTGTTTCATTTTGGGAAGAGGAGGGAAATGTGCTGAGGGAGGGTTGCCATCGGCTAGTGCTGGATGTGTACTTGGTTGTGAAGGATCCGCGGCATGTGGTGGATTCTCCCCCACTACCACGAAGGGGTTTCCGGAAGGATCGGTCAGAGGAGCCCATGGGTCATCTGGAAGCTGATTTCTGTAAAGTGGGAAGAGAAATTGTCGGATATGGCTTGCGGGGATTTCATTTTGCGTTGGACCCATTAACGGTACAGGCCTTGGCGGGACGTATGGCGGGTTGTATCTCCTGTTAGGATGCAATAGAGGAGGCAGGTTAGGATGCTGGATGCTAACGGGCATTGGAAGATTCAAAGGCCTCCGCTCGTTTTCCTCATACCGAGATTGGGTGATTTTCCGACGCTGTGCCTCGCTCCTATGCCCTGTTCTCCAATCTCTCGGTAGGCTCGGATCATACGCATACTTTTTGTCCCACCCCAAAAGACGTGGTCCAGCATCGCGTTTGAGATCAAAGAGCTCAGAAAAGGTTCTAGGACGGTATTCTGGCTTCATATGGTAGAAAACCTTGAACAGAGCTTTCACAAGAACCTCCTTGGTTTCCTCTTTTCCTCCCTGGGAGTATACAAAGCCCCAACAATGGTGTTTTACCAGGGTTCGCAACACCTCCCTGCTCAAGGCCCTATCGTTGAATATCGTGCGCCATGTCCGATTCAGAATGACTTTGGCGGTATCGGGAGGATCTTCAAGTATGGTTATGTCGTAGAACGGCGATGGCGCATATGGGACTTCATAATCATCAGCCTTTGGAAAATCATGTGGAATAACCAGCCGGCCCGCGGAACTGGCGGCCATGGTTGTGACAGATTTCGGTGCCAAATTCAGATGTAATGGGACTGTCAGGGTCCTTCCGCTTGGTAAATGAGCACTCAAGAATGCTTTCATTCAGGAGAGACCCTGAGGGGCAGCTGGGGTTTTCAGCTCCTCTTGAACCTCGAGTGAACTGGACCTTCCCGGTCAACACGGTCGAGGACAAAGAAAGTACTCGAAAAGGCATGACCCAGATAATGACAAGATGTTAGTCTCGAATATAAGTCATGACCCTCTGTGCTTTGTTCACCATAGCCTCGGCGGTTCTCTTTGATGCGAAATGCTACACTATTATTTAAACGTATCGCGGCGATGCTGAATGAACACTTTTTGAAAGAGCAAAATCGACTTTGTGTAAGGCATTAATTCTCTCGTCATCATCAGATTCAGCAGTCGGTAATTTGAGTGTTTGGGCGGGCTAGTAGCAGATTGATGCTTAGATTGGACGTGTTGCAAGGCCTCGATGTCACGAGAGTAAGGCGCGAACCTAATAACTTCACCTGTGACAGGTCTCAACCTGCAGGTAGAAAGCCACAGTAGCCAAAAGGAAATCCATCTTTCTTAATGGATCCATTCTCAAAGGAATTCCCGAAAGACAAAAAATGAAATCGAGAATTCAATCAAAGTCAGGTCCTGCTCCACTTGAAGGATGTTGAAGGATCAAGTAAAATACCGGTAACCGCTGCGAACAATTTTTGGTGGTATTACCATTGGGTGGCCCACCCGCTTGGGAACTACGTTATTTGAGCAGTACAGTCAGGTGATCTGCACCGAGATTTGTATCACCTGATCTGCTAGCCCTTTATGGTCTAGCCTTCATCAAGCGAGCCCTTTATTGGGCTATTCCATTTTAGGCTAGCGTCCCAATTACCCGATCCCACAACGGAAGCAAAGTCGCTCGAGACTTCCTCTCCTCCATCCCTCTGTCGACAACCCATCGCGAGCTCATCGCGCCCATCGCCCATCATGTGTACGTTGGCCTCCCTACGAGTTATTCGAAATCGCCTCATTCCAACGAGGCTCGAATCCGTGTAATCGCGGTGAATTTCGACCAAGAATTTCCCAGGCTAATGTGTCGACCTTTCTCGAACAGCGCTCGTGTCCGGCGAGAAGACAAACTTCCAGTACATCTTGCGTCTTCTGAACACCAACGTTGATGGCAAGCAGAAGGTCGTCTACGCCTTGACCCAGATCAAGGGTGTTGGTCGCCGCTACTCCAACCTTGTCTGCAAGAAGGCCGATGTCGACCTGAGCAAGCGGTACGTTTCGACTTTACAATATACACCTACACACAACCTGCAATGTCTTGGAGATATCGAAATAAAAGTGGACGGAAATATGTTGCTGGGGATATTCGACAATCGTTGTTTGGACGGCTCCTTGCTTTGTCGAAATGATTGTGCGAAGACGGGATGATTTATGGGGGCAATTTTCAGTCGACTCTGAGACGTTGCAGGAGTGCCTGGGGAATTCTTGATCAAACCAAACCCACAGATATACTGACAAATTCTCTTTTTACAGCGCTGGTGAGCTGACCACCGAAGAGCTTGAGCGTATCGTCACTATCCTCCAGAGCCCGACCCAGTACAAGATCCCGACGTGGTTCCTGAACAGACAGCGTGACATCACCGACGGCAAGGACTTCCAGGTCGTCTCCAACAGCCTGGACAGCAAGCTCCGTGAGGACCTTGAGCGCCTCAAGAAGATCCGCTCCCACCGCGGTCTCCGTCACTACTGGGGCCTTCGCGTCCGTGGCCAGCACACCAAGACCACTGGTCGCCGTGGCCGCACCGTCGGTGTCAGCAAGAAGAAGGGCTAAACCATTGTTGTCGTTTTACGGGGGATTATGGAGGGATTCCTTTATTGTCGGTGTTTTATGGGCATCCGTGGGATCTTTTCCCCGCTGGACTGGATGTGCCAGTCCTGAAAATTGAAAATGAATCATACCAATTCAAAATGAACTGTCTCATGCGTACCTTCAGAGCCATGACTGGTGCCGTCTTCGAAAGGTCGGCTTGTTCAGCGTAGTTCTAGGCTAGCCCTATCAACTGTAGTCCCCTTGTCTGGGTTTCATAACCCTGGTTAATGCCACCCCACCCATCAGTGTGCCTTTCAGGTCATCATTAAACAATATTTGATCCCACTGTTAGTAGTGCGGCGACAACCTATGGCAGTTACTCGGGGCTGGTCCTTTTCCTACTCTTATCACACTAGAGCACAAAGTTCTTCGGTCGGATTGAGAGCTACATCCAGTGTGTAAGCACCAGCACTGGCAGTTGGCAAATTTATGTTCAATCTGAATCAACATTAGGTGTATATATTGATTGTAACCGCATGTAATCATTCGATCGGTATTAAACCTATTGTAACGTCCACTTCTACAATAATGTCATGATAAGGGTATCCGAAAGATGTTGATTCAAATGCCTAGGCACTATATACTTGGCATGAGCAACATTGTCTCAAAAGGTTGGCACGATACTACAACCTGCTGACCTGAAAACCCTCCTTGCGATAGATCTTGTATGCAAAATCGAACCAGAAAAGACACCCGAAATTAAACAAGACAATCAATGCAGTAGAGTTACAGCGATAAAGTGAGCTCTTAGAACCACTCTCCACCCAACCAGCGGTTGAAGAATTCGAGGCTGGACTCGGGCTGGTCCATGGGGACCATGTGGCCACCGCCGTAAAGACGCATGAAGGTGAAGTTGCCGTGAGACTTGACCTGACCGATCTTCTTGCCGGTGTGCTTGTTCTGTTCAATGACAAGGTCCTCCAGTTTAAGGCCAGCATACTCCTTCTGACCGGGCCACTCAAGCGCCTCGGTCCAAGCCTTGTTGCCGAGCCAGTTGCAGATAAAGTCAGCGTCGCCGGCGTAGATCAGGACCGGGATCTGCTCAAGGATGCCAGGGACCAGACGGTGATAGGGCTTCATCCAGTCACCGTTGAACAGGAAGTTACGGTTGATGTCAAAGTTACAGGAATCATAGCCGTCAACCTCGGCGCCAAGAGCTTCGCGCACATTGGCTTGGTTCAAGTACTCGCTGACGTAGCCCATGCCCTTGTAGCAGAGGTTGGACTCGTCCTCACACTTGCCACGAACATCATAGACGTTCTGGCCGGTACGCTGGTAAGGAGCCAGCAGAGCGTTGTTGCAGTAAATGGAGGCAGGGACACAGACCCAGGCACTCTCGCTGTTGTAGCAAGCCTCGATCATCTGCTGGCAGCGGGGCAAAGAGTTGTCCATGGACCGGCAGCTGCTCTCGTCCAGGACAGCAGGGTAACCACCTTCACCACAGGCCATGGGGCGGTAGTACTCGTACTGAGTCAGGCCGTCAGTCAGACCGTTACCGATGAGGACAGACTTGAGGTTGATGTTGCGCTTCTTGTGTGAGAGAATCTCAGAGGCAAAGACGGGAATATAGTGACCGGCATAGGACTCGCCGGCGATGTGGAAGTCCTGCTTGGAGTACTGAGGGAACTGCTTGAAGAACAGGGACAGGAGAGCATAGACATCCTTGCCTGCAGCGACAGTGTTGCTGACGGTACCGCCGCTGTAGGAATAACCAACGTTGACAGGCTGGTCGAGGAAGATCACCGAGGCATTGGAGTTCCACGAGTAATCATTGTAAACAGTCTTGATCTTGCTGTTGATGGAGCTGGGACCAAGCTCCATAAACAGGCCGGTCAGGGAGGAGCAGCCGGGACCACCGTTCAGCCAGAGAACAACGGGGTCATTCTTGGGGTCGTTGCGAGACTCGAAGAACCCTTGTGGATATTAGAACCAATCCAGAAGTTTAACTCGGACCGGGGTTGCGTAACTTACAGTAGAAAAGGTGCTTGTCGTTCTCGTTATCGTCCAGATAACCGCTGTACTGAGTGACATTGGGGTCGACGCCAAGAGAGCTAGGATCCACCTTCTTGACGCGGAGATCATAGGACTCCAGTTTGCCGTCGATCTCACGTTCCTTGGTACCGTCAGTACCGGTGACCCAGAGGCCTTGCACCTCCTCTCCACGGACGACATGGTCCCAGTGGGAATCAGGACGGCGGTTATGCTTCTTGGGCAGAGAAAGCATGGGGGCCTGCTCCATGCTGTTGGGGAAATGGTGTGCTACCTCCTCCCAGAGCTGGCGGGCCTCGCCGGAGAGAGACTTAAACTGGTCATGGAGGTTCTGCAGCGGCTTCGAGAGGTACTCGGAACCCTGCTTAAAGGCATCCTGGCCCTGCTTGAACAGGTCGGAGCCCTGCTGGGTCCAGTCCTCCACCTGCTCCCGCTGAGCGCCGATGACCTGCTGCAGGGGCGGGGAGGCTGCCGTAGCAGCTCCCACGAGCATAACGGTGGGAAGTACTCTCATATTGGCTGTGACTCAACAGAGAATGAAGGGAAAAAGGATGATATGGATAGCTTGTTAATGGGATGGCTTGGGGAAGCGGGTACCTGGGGCCTAGGCGGCAGTTCTTATCAGTAACCGTTCAGCATGGAGCACTCGGGTGCAGATTGAGGATCAATCCTGGACACTGAGAGATGGAACAACGTACAGGCACAGGAAACCCGAGGGATAGAGATGGACGTTAGGGGTCGATGCAGGAGGACCTGGAATCGAGAGAATGCGGAGGATTGAAGGGAACCTTGCGAGCGATGACGGCAACTTGGGATGGCGCCAAGACCGGCACCGGGTGGCACGCGCGATAGAGGGGGTTGCAGCCAATCAAATGGAGTCAGGTGACCTGCGGGTCCATCTCGCTGAAATCGGAAATTGCTGAGTCATCGCGACGGACCTGCCGAAACCTGCACATCCCACATAGCGTCATTGCTTCGATCGTCTTTTATCGTTTTGTTTTGACGCGTCTTGCACTGTGAACAGCCCTGGAGATACCCAAAGATACCCTTGCTGTCTCGCGTTGGTTCATTTTTTCCCTCTACGATCTGCAAGACCGCTTCATAGCGGCGTCATCACACCATGCCGATCAACCAGCCTTCCAACCAAATCAAGTTTACCAATGTGTCGATTGTACGGCTAAAAAAGGGTATGTATTGGATATCGATATGCCAGTCGACTGCCCGTTCAGCTGCAATATACAGCAAGCTAATTTTATTTCCGTTATTAGGCAAGAAGCGATTCGAGCTAGCCTGCTACAAAAACAAACTGTTAGAATACCGATCCGGCGCAGAAAAAGACCTCGACAATGTCCTGCAAGTCCCGACAGTCTTTTTGTCCGTGTCAAAAGCCCAAACGGCTCCTTCAGCAGAACTCAACAAGGCCTTCGGCGCCGATACACCCCGCGACGAAATCCTCCAAGAAATCCTGCGCAAAGGCGAAGTGCAAGTTGGTGAGCGCGAACGAAAGGATATCCTGGAGCGTGTGGAGAAGGAAGTATTGGATATTGTGTCGGGCCGTTTAGTCGACCCGAACACCAAGCGAGTGTATACATCGGGAATGATCTCCAAAGCGCTGGATCAACTCAGCTCAGCAAGCGGCCAACAACAACAGCAACAGCCGGCAGGCGATGCAAGTGGAGCAGGAGATGAGAAGCCAGCGCAGCCAAAGAAGCCGCTATGGACTGGTGTTTCTGCCACCCGGTCCGCAAAAAGTCAGGCGCTCGATGCTATGAAGGCGCTCATTGCCTGGCAGCCTATCCCGGTCATGCGTGCACGAATGCGGCTCCGCGTCACCTGTCCAGTATCGCTTCTGAAGCAATCAGTCAAGGCTGCACCCAGTGCTGCCTCTAGCAAGGAAAAAGAAACCTCATCCGGCAACCCGAAAACCAATAAAAAGAACAAGAAGGGGACAAAGAAGTCTGGCAAGGGCGGCGATGATTCCGATATTGAGGCCGGTGGCTCTGATGCAGAGGCCGCAACCGCTCCTAAGGTGCCGAGTACGGTGAAAGACAAAATCCTCAACTACATCGAGTCCGTGGAATCACAGGAAATAAGCGGTGACGAGTGGGAGGTTGTCGGGTTCGCGGAACCGGGGGCGTTCAAAGGGCTCAATGACTTCGTGGGCAACGAAACCCGCGGACGCGGACGAGTGGAGGTGCTGGACATGTCGGTGACGCATGAGGATTGATTTACCTGGGATCTGCATAGACTTCACCAGGGACCATGTCTCCATGACGACCTTGCAAATGACTTGACGAACCGCTAGAAAAGCAAAAAGCGCTTATGTTGAAATAAGTTTCAATAGCGCCGGACAAAAACTATTGTCTATCCAGCATCTTGGAACTATCGATTGGCTGTGAGGCCCTCAAGTTATAGACTTCATGTCGTACGAACGCAGTGTAGTGTGACTACTCGAGATCGGGGAGAGCCTCGGCGATCTACATATTAGACAGGCCTAGGGAACGCACAGGCGCTTGTAAATCACATATAAATGGGTTTTTGACTTGGAAGGTATCACACAAAATACACTAGTGTACTACTTGTAAGTCTGAGAATTGAGCATATAAACAGTTAATGGTACAAAAGGACAACGTGGACAGGCTGGACAAGTATGACCCGAATCCAGACACTGGAGAATCACATAGAAGGCAGGAGGGGGTATTCTAAAACAGTCGCTAGCATCAAATCAAGGCATATCAAAAAGAAACTGGGGCCAGAAAGGGAAAAAGTGACCGGGAAAATGAGGACAGGAAATTAGGGCAAGCTTGGACAAGGCGGCACGGCGGGGAGGTCAAACATCCAACCTCGCATGCATCCCAATGCCATCGGCCCCCGTCACCATCAGAACCACATTCTTGCCAGGCCCCAGCTCCCTCGCTAAGGCCATGGCCGTATTTACCGCGTGACTCGAGTCCAGCCCAGACACGATCCCCTCGTGCTGGTGCAGACTTTTGAACCCGTCCAGGGCGTCCGCGTCGGTCGCCGTCCGGATTTCAATCCGCCCAATGCTCTTCCAATGAGCCACCTCGGGCCCCACTGTCGAAATGTTCATGTCTGGCGAGATTGAGTGAGAGTCGATGATCTGCCCGTCTTCATTCTGAAGCATCAACGTTCGCGAACCCTGGAGAACACCCATTGAGCCCTCGGTCAACGCAGCCGCCTGGGAACCCTCCACTCCGACCAAGCGAATGCCAGATAAGTCGAGAAAAGGCCTGAAGAGTCCAACCGCGCCGCAGCCACTGCCAACGGCGGTGACGACAGCATCCGGCCGGCACCCGGCTGCCTCGTGCATCTGGACTGCGACCTCCTCACCGAGGAGCGCCTGGAACGTGCGAGTCAGGGTTGGCAGGGGACTAGGACCCACCGGGCCTCCCATCAGGTAATACACGGTCTCATAGTTGCAGACCGAATAGCGTAGTGCTTCGGTGATTGCAGCACGCAGCGAGCCCATGCCAGAAGGAGTACGTGCGGTCAGGATCTTTGCCCCGAGCATCTTCATCTCGAGGACATCTTCTTCCTGCGCGTGTGCGTCATCTTCGCCCATTATAATCACGCATCGCAGCCCAAAACGCGCACACATTGCCGCGGTGAAGCTACCATGTTTGGCTGCCGCACAGTCAGTGACGACTTCAGTACGGCCCATTCGACGTGCCAGCAGGAGCTGGCCGATGACATTGCGGGCCTTGTGGCTGCCGTAATCATTCAGATCCTCTCTTTTGAGCCAGATATTGGCCCCCTTCGCGGTATCTGTTAGTTTGCTGGCCAACATCAACGGCGTATACTGCGGGCGCTGGAAAGTGGCGTACTCCGCCCAGAAGGAGGGGTCTGAGACGGCGGCTTCAAAGACCGAGGTCAGCTCGTGAAGGAATCCCATGATAGATTCCGGAACGAACTGGCCCCCGAAGGTGCCATAGCCACCAAATGCTATTTGTGGCGGTCTCAACGAGCCATCCGGCTGCAGCATCGGGATATACGGTGTACCGTTATCCCAAGATGGAATGGTGTCTAGGCTGACTACCGCTTCGGGCGACAAGGAGGAGGTTTGAGTGGTTGCAGAAGTGGCAGCGGTGACCAGGGTCTCTGCATCTGAAGCGAGGGTATAGTTACGGGTGCTGGTTGTACTGTACGTGGGAGAAACCGGGCGTGCCGTTGCCGTTGCTGCATTTTGCTCTCGTGTCCCGGGTGCTGGACGATGGGTCGAGGTAGTGGACTTTCGGAGTGAGGTGAGGCGAATGACGCTCTTTGTGGTGTTGAATGTTGAATCTGTCCCGTCGAGATCTTTAGGCAAGGAAAAGCAAAGGAGGCGTTGCAGAGACCGAAACATAATGAGAACCATGCCTTTATAGCAGGCACATAAAAGGTCTCGGAGTGTTTGGCAACTGCCAGTGTCAATCAGGCTCTGTATACTTCAAAGATCAAATGCCAAAAAGTGGGCTCAAGGAACACTTTGTACTTTTCGCCGACTGGGGGAAAGCCACATGTAATATATGGGATGATTCATGCTGGCGAGAAGAGGTTAAGCGATGAGTGCCCACGTGGGGAAGGCCTAAGGTAAATCGGCTTAAATACGGTGTGCTGGCAATACAAATGTACGTAGCTCACACTAATTGACCCCAATTGGGGAGGAATCTCTTGTCCGTACTCACGGTTCTCGTAGCCTGTGTCCAGGTTGAGCGTGGCTGGCTCCACTTGTCCCTGGTCCTTCGGGCTGTGCTTGGCTGGTGGCTCTGTTCCTTTGATTATTACTGTATTATTTTAACCTCAAAACATACAAAAATCGGATAAATGTCTCTTCGGTGCAATTTCGTGATCATAATGTTGCCTTGTCCACGAGTTCGCAGCCCATTACTATACTCACATAATATCGAGGGGCGATGCTCATAAATCCAGTCGCTAGGCAGCTGCGAATCATTAAGACACGACGGTACATGTGAGCTATTAGCATATTGGCATTTTCCGTATGCACTAGGATCAAATAATGTGTGTCAAGTCAGCTCTTACTGGGTGTAATTTTCGGCCCACTTACTCGCCCCGTCAGATCAATAGCTTGCCTTATTACAGAAATGAGGGAGGCAATATTGCGGTGAGGTTTTCGTCCAGTAATATAATGCTGGAGCCCGGATAAAGATCAATAGATCGGTGCAACCCGTTGTTCTGATCCGGCCCTGTGTACCATTGACGACAATGGACATCCTTGCCACCCTCACGAAGAACGTTCATCGGATTGTCCTCAGCTCATTGTTTAAGTGCTTGTCAAAAAATGTAGAATTTTTCTTGTCTAGGCTCTGATAAGTAAATTTTACTTTTGTTGATGGATTTTCTCTCAAATGTGCTGTTTCCTGGTCTACATACGAGCTGCAGGATTGCCGGTGGATGCTTATCGAGAATTTAGCCTCATCCAGGAACTTTTCTAAGAAGGAAAACTGCTGTTTTGTCATTGCCGTGGAGGTTCCAAGTGGCTTACGCTGCCTCATGAAGTAGCCGCCAACGCCACCGGCGATAATATGGCTGCGTGGTCACAGGGGTTGAATTAGGCAAGAGACCCCGAGAGTTGGCATCTAGTGGATGCCTGATTGAATACGATATGTGATAACAACTGGGACATGTTTACATTCGATTCCTAATATCCTAAGAAAACAATTTTTACAATACTGCCCAAAATTTTGTTCTAAAATGAACATAAACACGTTCTACGTTGAAGGTTCATGGAAGCCAGGGGGTGGGGGTTCTCAACGGCCTTTCCTTCTGGCACTCCCCACAGATTTCCAGTGGAGACAGAGGATGATTAAACGTGCTCGGCCATGAATTTGATTAAAACAATTATGTGATAGATCACTATTTCAACGGTAGCTAACTACTCGATGGTCGAAACCAATTTTGGGTCGCCGTCAAATTTCCAATGCACGCTAATGCAGGCCTTGCGAGATGAATTTTTGGCACAGAAATCACCGCATAGAATCCGAAGATAGCCGAAAGGTATCCGCACTAGATCAGGTCCCGGTTCCAGGTGCAATTCCAGAAGGTCTGAGGGTGCCAGGTACCTCATCTCACATGATGGTGGCGGGCTGTCATTAGGCCTCCTCTGCGGGGCGTTGACACAGGCACCTCGTCCACTTCACGAGTGGCAAGGAATTGGCGCAGAGGCTGTTGTTCAGGATCCTTGTCGCGAGTCGCGGAGATTTACCCCAGTCCACTGAGGAATGCAGCGTTCCGTCGATATCAAAGACATTTGTTTCAGGGGCGCGCTTGGGAAAAAAGAAACCCGACTGCCCTGTCTTTGTCTGGGGTATAAGTACTGGCCCGAGTCCCGTTCATTCTCACGTCAAACTCGACAGCCTCGTTCCACATTTCCACGTGTCCCGTCAGTTTTATTCGAAATGCAATGTGTCGCGTTCTCCCCGCTGAACGTGGGCGTCTCGGATCTGGCTTACGCCGTTGATTTGAAATTCTTGCTATGGCTTTCCTTCAAGATCAATCAGAAGCTCTTGCAGCATGCCTTTCAACAAAGTGACTATTAGAAAGAGTAGGTTCTCTCTGCATCTTGCGTGTGCGAACCATCTTTGCTTGGAACCTAAACTTCTCAGTCTCTCTCCGGGGCTATCTCGGGTCTATGTCCCCTATTCCACCTCACACAAATCTATTCCGGCTCACCTCACACGCATTATCCAACACCACACTATCGAAATTTCGGTCATTGCCGCTCAGACTTCGATTGTGACCTACGGCAGTTGGAGTTTTGTTTTATTTCTTTTCCTTTTTTCTTTTCAAGATACCCACAAGCATCGATCTTTACTCAGGCTCTACACTGTTTACTGTTCAACTGGCGACAATACTTCGGAGGAGTAGGTCAATTGTAGATCGATCGTCTGCTTTCTCTGGTGTACTTACCTGACGGCAGGCAAGTCCTATCCAACGACTGTTGTATGATTTGTCAATTCATTCATTACATACTGAATCCTCAAGGTACTCTAAACCAATGTAAAAATGTCTAGACCTGTATTTGGCACGTAGCTAGTAGTACCCACTAGAAGCACATTACCTTGTATCATGTAGTAGGAGTGCGGTACCCGACGGGGTTGTTGCGGGGAGCCGACGCCGCCTGAGGCCCGCAGCTGATCTACCGCCGCAACTTCCGCTTCCGCTGACAAAGGCATCTCCCTGATAGCTTAGCCTCCCTGGGCTCTCTCTTGGCTCTCGAACAATCGTGGACTTTCTCCAGATCATGTCTCACCCTGACCCCGGGCTGGCCAATATCTGCCTCCTTCGACGTGGATCTCGGCCCCCCGCCGCCTGCGTAATGCCGGGCCTCCACATTCTGCAGACGAGCACCGGTCTGCAGTGACAGAGCTGGTTTATAAGACAGATTCCCGCTGGCGATGAGCCATGTCTATTATTTCCTCCGCAGTCCTGCCACTGTTTACCAATTCATCAGCATGGCAGTGTTATCGCATATTGTTGCTGCTCTGCAATCCTCGCCGATCACCACAGCCGCGATTTCGATTCTTGTCTTAGTCCTCATCTTCAACCGCCAGAACATCCCCAACATTCCCGGTCCATGGCTCGCCAAATACACCAAGCTGTGGTACCTGTGGCAGATGTATCGGGCGGACTTTCACCTAACTAATGTGAAACTGCATCGTGAACAAGGTCGGCAGATGCCCCGGCCAGCTTTTCCTGGACTCATGAGTTGACAATACGGACAGGAAGCATCGTGCAGATCGCACCTGGATACTATAGCGTCGATGATGCCGATTCCCTCAAGCTCATTTACGGACATGGGAATCAGTTGGTGAAAGGAACGTGGTACAGCACCTGGAACTTCAACCCGAATCCCGAAGCAACAAATTTGTTCTCTGAGCGCTTTCCCGCCAAACACTCGACCATGCGCCGCAAGGTAGCCTCTCTGTACTCCATGACTGCTCTGGTATCATACGAGCCCTACGTCGATAATTGCATCGGAATCTTCGAGGCCCATCTTGCCAAGTTCTCCCAATTTGGTACCATTATGGATCTCGCACACTGGCTGCAATGCTACGCGTTTGATGTCATTGGAGAAATCACGGTATGTTCTATCCGAATTAACTTCATTCATATTTCTCAAATGGAGGTCAGAAGCTTACTGATTCAACAGTTTGGCGAGCGTTTTGGTTTCCTCGATCAAGGCAAAGACATCGCTGGCTTGATGCAGGCCTTGAACTTCAGCTTCAGTTATGCAAGCTTCGTCGGTCTTTTCACATGGCTACAGCCTATAACCAACCCAATCTCGGGGCTCTTTTCTCGAAGTTTGTTCTACGTACAAGAGTTCACCAATCAAAGAGTACTTGCCACTAGGCAAGAGAAAGTGGATACCTCCGAAGACGGTCCTGTCTATATGGCAAAGAGGCTAATCGATGCTCAACTCAATGACGAAAAGAGAGGTATAACCAGTCTTGATATTGCAATTACCACGGGAAGCAATGTCGGTGCCGGTAGTGATACTACAAGTTTATCCTTGGCTTCGTATCTATTCTACTTATACCAGCACCCTCGTTGCTTGGAACAAGTGCGAAGAGAGCTCGAAGGACTCGGGGCTCGAACACGATATACATTTCAAGAGGTTCAGAAGCTGCCCTATCTACAGGCCACAATTAAGGAGTCCCTTCGCATGCATCCGGGAACCGGTTACCCCCTGTGGCGGATTGTTCCACAAGGTGGCCTGATGATCTGCGGGCAACTGCTTCCAGAAGGAGTAAGTTGTCTTCAAATGTCCGCTACAATGATGCTTGCTAATAATCTTGATAGAGTAATGTGGGTGTGAACAGTTGGGTCGCTCACCGAGATACCACTGTCTATGGCTCTGACGCGGACGACTACAGACCTGAGCGCTGGCTGGAGGCCGATGCTGATAGGTTAAAAGCCATGGAGCACAGCTTCATGCCTTTCGGGTACGGGGCCAGAACATGTATCGGGAAAAACATCTCATTGCTTGAGATGAACAAGCTCATCCCGGTGCTAGTGAACGGCTTCAATTTTGAGTTTCTGAGAAAGGACGGGTCTATGGACACAAGAAAGTCTCTTGTAGGACGGGATCGCTGGTTCGTGAAACCAGAGCTGCTCCATGCGAGGGTTTTCAAGCGTGTTTGATCATTCACCTCATGACAACAATTCTTGATTTGCACTTTTATGGAATCATTTCTCTACTGATATATCCTAGTCTGTGCGTAAGGTCAAGAAAGTCAGGTATGTCGGTCTCTTCCAAGATTCCAGCGACTAGTGGAGTTTGGGCTCCTATGTAAAGCCTGGGTCGAACTCCTCATTAAATGTCGAATTAGCTCAGGGCAGGGTAGACGGAGCTTTATATTTTTAATATCTGCGGTATATTCACGATCTACGATTGCCGAAGGTGATGTAAGTCTTTAGTGAACTACTAGTAGCTCACCCCATGACAACAGGCTAAGTCCTAGAGGAACCATGGGAACAGAGCCCAACAAACGAAATCTAACTTAATTGCCAGAATCGTTCGTCCATTGTCATACCTAGTGGAGGCCACACTAAAAACCAATGACTTGAACTGGACTCCGTCGTACTAGCAGCCTGTTGCACTGCTGGATATCCAACTTAAATATGATCTCATTCATTCTAATTTTATCAATATTCGTACAATTCTTCAGGTTTATGGGTCGCCAAGGGCGTGGCAAAAGAGATCAGTGCCTGGGTATTATAGTAAATGCGCGCGCCACTTCAATCTTGACTGGTCCTTTCTCATCTTGGCATTATCACATATCTCTCTCGCTATAGGCACCGGTGTAGTGGTTGGAGGATACCCTGGCGTTGGCAAGGAATTGCCGGTCGCTTGTATAATTCTTCAGCCTATGAAATCCGTGTGACCAACAACAATCTGGATCAAGTGTTTAGATTACCTCGTTCATGACCTTTCGATATAAGTATAAAATGGGATCCTTTTCGAGATTATCCGCTATCAAGCCCACTGCAAATACCTTTATGCCGCCGGTTGACTCTTCCGAAAGATAATCTGCACTTCAAGATGATGAAGCTCATTCCTATGTTCTTTTTGATTGCTTCAGCTGTCGCCTTACCGGCAGACAATGCCCCAATCCTACCAGCCTCTGTCAACGTTACCTTTTCCAATGAACAAACCGGAAACCTGACAGTAGTCCCGATTCTAACTTCGGACACCGTCGTATACCCTCCTATTCAGGGATCTGACCCTATCGAAGTTACTTCAATCAGCATTAATCCAACAATCCCAACTCTTCGATGCTCTGTCTACCACAACGATACTCTTCTTTCGGTCGTGAATGCCACACACACTTTCTCACTCCTAGGAGAGGTCATTGGTGAACACTACATGCTCAATTTGCGGGAGTTGGGAACTCAGTGCCGTGTTTGAGGATCTACTCAGGCTTTTATCGAAATAATTCTTGTGACAAGAAGAGGATACATGTATCTCGATCGTTCATTTTGACTTGTCTCGGTATAGGTTTTTCCCTCCTGCAAGAGGTTTCCCTATATCCTAGTGTGAATGCAGAGACAATTCCACCCAGCTAAATTTTATTACTATATTATTGTCATTATCTCAATTACATCTATAATGTCGGTTCGTAGGACACACCCTGAGTATTATATTGTGATAGGTTTGATTCTAGTGTCTACAGGTCGAGAGATCAGCAACTTGTCTGTTTCGTCTAATGTGAAAACGCGTTTAGTTTGATAGAGACAACTGATCCTATTTGATCATTAAATTTGGAATCATACATTCTCCGTTGATTAATTTATACCTAGTCAGCTCTAGTAGGCTGGTTGTCCCTGACTCAGTCATGACCCAGATCAAACCACTGCTAGTAGTTTAGCCAGGAAGATCCTTGTTCAGACGCCCATCAGACATTTCTGTGTATCAATATGACAGACACGCTAACACATAATATGATATCACTGAATCGGGCCTAATTGTAATCGGAGTTCTTTTGCAAGGATCCTTTTAAAAGATTAATTTCAAGGCATTTCCGTGCCATTTTACTGGAAAGACATATTAACAAGCATCGGCAGAATTCATAAGCGGGCCAACGTTTATACTGTGTCATGAACTGCCTCTCCATTTCAATAATTCTGTCTTCTTCACCATGACATCAATGTTCGAGTCTAGGTATTTCACATCAAATTATGACTCTTAGTGACTTATGCCTATTATGTATCCCTGCAGTGCAACCCGATGGCATATGTCAACAAGATCAGATTACCATAGCCTTAAATTCTTCACGCTATTGGCGTATGTGAGGTGATACAGGTTAGTCTTTTTTCCAATAATAGAACACCTCAGGACTGCCGAGTTCGTATGGGGAAACGCACACAATGACGTTCATATCGGTACTACCTTCAAAATATTCAATAAGATGATGTCTCTTGCCGTTAGCAGATTTCGGCCTTGTATTTTGAGCCCCATAGCAATATTTCCTCCTAGTTACCTTGATCATGCGATTCACTATTTCATCTCTTGTGGCCCTCGCCGTGGCTACTGAAGGTAAGCAATATTAAGACACAATAAGCAAGAGTTCACACTTTTGACACCTTTAGGCATACACGTTACATCCCCTGCTGATGGGCAATGTGTCGATCTTACAAAGGATTTGCCTGTCCAATGGATTTCTGTAAAGTTGGTTGCCCGAGATCCCGAGTAGAAATGAGACGAAAGCACTAACAAAAATCAGTACCGACCGCAACAAAATCTCTTTCAGCCTGGTCAACTACAAGGGGGCCACCCCTCCTGTTGACATGCCGCTGAATTTTATTGTGGAGACATCCTCGAAATCGTTTGATTTACCCGGTCGAACTCGTGACGTGGCTCGAAATTTGTCCGCTATGAATAATGGGTGCGACTCTTATTAGTTTTCACTCTTATGTGCGATCAAAAGTGACTAACAATAGGATGTACACAGAGCGGGATACCAAATCAACATCATCCCGCCTAATAGTCCTCCGGGGACGACGCCTCTGGCTCAGTCGGGGACCTTCCAGATTCTCACTCCTGGGGAAATTTCATGCTCCTAGGGGAACCAAGCGTTCGCCTGCAAGAAGATTCACTTCCTCGGATCTGAACCAGGGTCTTTTGTGATGCGGCCTCGTGTAGTGGAAGGGCACTTGAAATGAGAATGTGAAATCCGATTCGGCAGATCATTACACTTTTGAGCAGTGATAATTAGGCCAATTGTAGTTTGTTTATTCAATATGTTACACGCTTATTGAGAATTTATATCAGTCATTGAGACTACTTCATCAAGTCTACTAATCTGTAAATGGATAACCCTGCCTTTTGCTCTAGTGAGAGGCCTCCTACACATTATCACGCCAGCTGGTTTTAGTTTCTCTTTTGTGGCACCGTTGCATACACGGATACGAGTAGTTGAATAAAAGTAGATGCTTCAATATCATCAAAATGAGTGGTGGAAGGCCCTATTGCCACTGGAGGAATCCATTTAAGAGACCCCACTCATCTGTTGACAGTCTTCATCCATCTCAACTTTTATTTTCGAAACATTCCACTCAACCCGATACCAAATAACAAAAAGATGCGCTCTAGTATCATTTCCTGCGTCGTGGCTATTGTCTCTGTCGCTGAGGGTAAGCCTTCTGAATAGATGTTCTGGCAGCGCTAACATGAAGTAGCCACCAAGTTCACTCAGCCCCAGGGAGGCAAATGCTACGACATCACGCTTCCGTTGAATGTTGCGTGGGATGATATGTAAGATCGTCATTGCTGTCCTTCAGCTAAACACCCAATAGATCAAGTATCGACTAACACGCTCAGCACCGATACGGGCAACGTCTCCTTCTTCCTCTCTAATCAAAATGGCGCCTACCCGAACGTCGACTACCCATACCACGTCAATATCCCGATTACTCAGGGAACTATTACTCTCCCGGGACTCGATCAGAGCACGGCTGCCGATTACGCCAAAAGAAATAACGGGTCTGTCTGTCCAGGTAACATGTGGATAGTTTTGCTAACCAGTTTGTACAGAGGTGGAAAGGGATACCAAATCCGACTTGTCCGCCCTGATGCCGCTTCGAGCAATGGCTTCATCACTCAGTCGGAGGCATTCACCATTGTGGCGCCTGGGACAGGCAATACGTGCCCGTCTACCTAGTTATGCACTAGAGGCGACAAGATCCAACCACTTCTTTGAACAATAGATCTTGATGGAATGAGTTAGATGCGAGGTAGAGTGATAGATGTGAGTTGGTTGCAGGTACTGCGACATACTGTTGTTACTGTTGTAGAGTGGGGCCCCGGATACATGTGCTACTCTCATTAAATCTCCAATCAACATGTTTTTCATCATTTCTTTATTTTAAGATCATCCTAATTGTAGATACTAGTCGGGATCGACGGTGTATACATTCGCTGTCCTGTCTGTTCACATGATACAACCACCCCTGTCGATACATTCCACTCCTAACAGAGTTATCTAACCTCAGAGTTTACACCCTCGCCATTCCCTCTGGCAGCCACTCAGAAAATGCTGCAATCGCGGGGAAGGGTCTGATCGGGAGCATCGTTGCCTGGTTGGTGCATGATGTGCAGCGGGGAAGCTTGGCGCGATTGGGTTCCCTCATTTTGGGCACTACCGCAGTATGTTTATGTACTACACACTTCGGGGTTCTTGACAGATAATTTTCTTTTATTGAGTGCGATTTAATCGTCTAGGGACTCTAACATCTAGCCCAATCGGAGCGCAAAGCAAAAACGCCAGAACGGGTATACGCTCAAATGCAATGCATGACAGATGTGAGCCAATCCGTGAACATGGATCTCATCTCAACCCGGTCTCCAGCCAGGTTGGGGCCGCCGGGGCGGTCGTCGGGAATTCCGGGTCCTGCGGGAATCCGATCGTCCGCAGGGGACAAGGAGAAAAAGGGAACGAACAAAATAGGTGATAGCGACATCGAGTCGCCAAGCGAGAGCTAGGAAGGGAAGGAAAACGGGGCAAATCTCCGGGATGTAGCAAGAAGGTAGCGGTCGGTAAGGATGGGTGGAAAATTGGTAAAGGGTTACAAAGGCTACGCGCACACCTGGACAGCGATCAAGGCGCGGGTCAGGTCCTCGGGCGAGAAGGGCTGGTGTTTCCCCTTGGTGCGTGGGGTGCGCGAGACGGGGGTGAGGGCACGGACGACGGGCGAGGTATAGCGGATCGACTCCTTCAACTGGGCGATGGGGTCCTCGGAGATCTCATGGACGGAGGTCTCGTTCAGCAGCGTCATTATCGATCCGCTATAACTGTCCGAATTGACGACGGTGGATGACTGGGAGCCCGTGTTGGTGGGGCGCGGATCGGCGATGTCTTGGTCGGAGGCTACGGCAGACAAGGCGTTAGGGACTGCGATCAGAGGGGGCGCGTGGGATGGGCATAGTTGGCCGATCGGCGAGATTCCGAGACCAAGACCCAAGACACGTAAATGCCAGTCCTTCAAAGTACGTACCTGGATCACTGTCACCCTCGTCGGGCGCATAGTCGTCAGTAGTGTCGGTGGTTTCGTCGAGCCCGTCGATTGGGCCGGGTAAATCGTAGGTGGCGCAGGGCGACAGGGCCAAATCAGGCGAACGGGTGCGTTCCATCATGGCGCCGTCGAAGGACCAGGCGGCAAGGCTTTTCTGATGTTCCTTATCGAACGGCCCCCGGAACTTGGAGGGCGGCACCTCGTGGCGACGGTAGTATTCCACCTTGGGCCGCCCATTGTTGCCGTCTCTGCTGGCCGACGAACGGTGGAAAACCCGTCGGACTCGATCACGGAGCGTCATGATGGATCAATCTCGACTACCAGGTACCAGCAGATACTCTTGAAGGACAACGGATTGCACTGGAATCGAGACCCGAAGAGTAAGAGGCAAGGTAGACCGGAATCACCGGGATCACCGAATTTTCTCACAGAAGCAGACCGTTCCCGGGGAGGGAGTGGACGCGGTTGTGCAAGCACAGAGAGGATGGTCGGGCCAAAAAATGGATGACCATTGGGGTTGGAGGGGAGATTTGTCGACAAGAAGAAGGATGGAAAAGAAGGGGAAGTAAAGTCGAGCGAAGAGCGGATGCGACAAATAAGCCCAGGAACCGTGGGTGGCCACCCCCGACCAACGCCGGATGGCACCCCAAAATCCCCCCATCGTCCCCAATCCGGGACGACCGCAGAGCCAGTGCCGTTGGGGCCGTGCACTGGGGCAATTTGCCAGCAGGTCAAGCCCGGAAGTGGAGATGGAGGCATTCCACTACGATACGAGTTGTCCCGACCATGCACGGTGGAATAGGAATAGGTATGTGTTGTACGTAAAATCGATTAGCATGGCACGCGTTATAGTACTAGCCGGCTACTGCGCTAAGGTAGTCCTAGTACTATTTTAGACTACGACTACATACTTCTTCTAGTATCTTGACAGCTCGTACCTCTGGAAGTGCCTGACTCGCCGAGTCGCCACGTTCTGCGTCGAAGGCTTCCAGAAACCTTGCCAGCCGCATGGGCAAACTCGGGTTGCATCCATGGCCCCCGAGAGCCAGTCGGAGGGCCTCGACCGCGGGGCAACAACGTCAGCGCCCCTCTAACGCCCGGAGCGGTTCCGGTGAGTCGCGGATGGTCATTCTCGCTTCATCGACGAATCATCGCGGCACTTGAACAGACCCGCCCGGCATAGCGAGCCCGGGTGACCGCTTTTGGCAGTGTCGGTGGCGGAGTCTAGCTTTATTTAGGCAATAGCGGGTAGGCTTTTCAACAAGAAGGCCGGCTGGCCCAATGGCAAGGCGCTTGACTACGAATCAAGAGATTGCAGGTTCGACCCCTGCGTCGGTCAATCTTTTTATGCTTAATTCTTTTTTTTTTTGTGGTGTTTTTTAAAACTGTTTTATTTGCTGCCTTGGTGTAAGTTATTTTTGTTTTTCTATTTGTTTTCTTTATTCAAATTTAAATTTCCGATTGCAATATACTGTGTTTATGTCTGGAATCCTTCGTTGCTGCGTCATGCGTCCTGCCCCTCAGGGACGTGGAAATATATCTCGGGTGCTATTCTTGTGCCGCCCCGTCCGTGGTTGTTTTGATTAGATGACATCAAAATCGTCACCAATCCACCGCTTTGAGTCAATGGTTTATTTTGAGCTACAATGACTCTCATACGCATATACATGCCCTAGGTACCTACATACCTTCCCTGGGTGCAAGGCTGGGTCGATCCTACTGTTTGCGCGCAGGTGCTGCATGTAAGGTACTGTGTCAACTCCCCAGATCGCCGGCTTAGCGCCCCTGCAGCAGCCCTATTACCCGATCTAGCATTAGGGCTGGGCACACGACACCTGGACGTTCTCCCTCAGGTACGATCAGTTGACTACTCGCATGGATGTAGCACCTAGGAAGAGTAGAGGGCGGAATTGAAAGGGGCATGCCATCGCTTGCGGCCGAGACAAAGGACAATGGGGGCAGGGATGTGGCCCACGGGATTCCACCGGATGCAGCTGCAAGAGCACAATAAGCCCAAATAATGCCCCAAATCAATAGAGGACCAAAAACGAAAGCAATGATGCCATCTGGCCGTCCGGGAAAGGACACTAAATACCAGTGGTGATTAGGCGGACTCCCAATTAGCAGCGCGTCCCACTTTCGCCCGGCCATCCTGGAACACGCGCTGCTCCCACGGTTAGCCCTCCTCGCTCAACATACCGCATCGTCATCCCTTGCGCACCCTGTCACTTCTGCACCTCCTCCTCTCTCCCATCTCCAAACCGTAAGTCCCTCGCTGCAGCCATCGCGTCAATTGTGTGCCAATTTTTGTCTGCATTTAAATTGCCTGCGCGCCCAACTCTGTCGTCATCCAAACGTGGCTACTGACCGGTCGCAGCCACCTCACGAATCGTCACGAACATAATGCCTAAGAAGGGTGGCAAGAAGAAGAACAAGGGCGGCGCGAAGGCGCCCGCCGCTGCTGCTGCCGACAAGGTCGCCGATGCTGCGAAGAATGTCGTGTAAGTACTCAAAGCGTCGACTTCCCAAAAATAAGCATCGACGCAAAAAAACCCCCTCATCGCTGGTCGCACTTTGGGTGGTCGCGTGCCACCGACCGAGCTGTATGTCGCGCAAGACTGACATCCACCCCCTGCAGTCATCCCGGCCACGAGACCGAGAACAAGCAGCTGTATGGTGACGACAAGGCCGAGTCTACCACCGCACAGACGGAGGCGCCCGCCGCTGCATCTGCGACGGAGAACGGGGCCGCCGATGTGAGCAAGACCGACGCTGCGCCCGCCACTACCGCCACTGAGACTGAGCGTCCGAAGACCGCCGAGTCCAAGGCCTCGAAGGCCTCGAAGGAGGAGACGAAGGCGGAAGAGACGGTCGAGGAGTCCGCGCCTGCTGCTGCTGCTGCTGCTGCTCCTTCCACTCTTCCTGCTGAGAAGCAGCCCGTGCAGGAGAACAAGGTCGAGACTCTCAAGTCCGACGCCGAGGATAAGGGTAGGACAAACCTGGTCTGATCAGCTCAATTGCGCTCAATCTCACCTAATCATTTTTCATTCGCTGCAGTTCTCCCCGCGGGCACCGTCAAGGATACCTCCCTGGGTGCCGACATCTACCCCTCGACCACCGAGACTGCCGCCGAGGAGTCCGCCACTTCCACCGCTGCCACGACCGGCGCCGTTGCCCCTAGCTCTGCCGAACATCCCAAGTCCGTTGAGTCCGCCGCTGTCCCCTCGGAGAGCGATGCCGCTCACACCAAGCGCCCGTACGAGAAGCCCATCTTCTCCAACGACGAGGTGAAGCCGCACAAGATGGCCAAGACGGAGGAGGAGAAGGCTGCCGCCAGCGCTGCGGCCGAGAAGCAGAACCTGGCTGGTGCCGGTCCGGCCTCGACTGCCGCCTACACGGCGCCCGAGCCCGTGCCCGAGCCCACGGCCGAGAAGCCCAAGGCCGAGGAGAAGCAGTCGGTGCAGCCTCCCGCGACCCAGCCGCCCGTCTCCAAGTCCACTGCCAACGAGAAGGCGCCCGCGTCGCCGGATGCCGTCGCTGCTGCCGCTGCTGCCATCAACACCTCCAAGGCTGACAAGAACGCCGCCCCGGCGGCCGCTGCTGCTGCTGCCCCCGAGGAGCCTAAGAAGCCCGAGGCCGCTGTCAAGCGCGGCGAAGAGCCCCAGACCGAGCAGCCTCAAACCGAGGCCTCCAAGCCCGAGGCCAAGGAGTCCGCTCAAGAGCCGGCCAAGGCCCAAGAGAACAAGGCCGAGAAGACCGCCGAGTCGCAGCAGCCCGAGAAGAAGAAGGGCGGTTTCTTCGGTTGGTTGAAGCGCAAGTTTAAATGAGAAGCTCTAGCTGGAGTCAGTGAATGAATGAGTTTCCTCTTGGGAAGTTGGTTCCTGAAAGGTTTGAAAGGAGTGTGGATGTACGATATCCAGCGGTTAGAGCGAAGGGTTTGCTTTTTCCTGGGCTTTTTGTTTTCCGAATGATACACCATCGAAATCGAAATTATATATCATAGTGCTTATTATTGAATAAAATCTTCTTTCGTGAGGAATCCATACCCTCCCCCCCTTTTTTTTTTCACTTCGACTTCTATGTAATCATGGAGTCGGTCTAGACACACCGCTACTTGGCGGCTGCGTGGAGATTGCCCCAGTTCTATACATACACAGATACTATATCGACACTAGTGTTGGGATTAGTTCGATGGAGCTTGATGATCGCGTGCTATGATTCAGCTCAGCTCTGCTGGGGCTGGTGGGTCACTGACGAGGCAGGTTTTGGACGGCGAAGCTGTCTTCGCTCCACAAGAGGAACTTTTGACTATGCACCTGTACACTAGTGAACAGTGCATCTGCTCAGTCACGGGAATTGAATTGGTGACTATCGAACAGAGGAAGAAAAGGGGGTAGAGGGGGGGAACCGCTGCTAGAATGGATCCTGCGTCTCAACCAGCGCCAAAAGCGTAGCTGCCAAGCTCTTCGCAATCTTCCAATGGCTAATGCGCTTCAGCAGATCGATAATTCGAAACATCGACCCTGTCGCCAGCCTCCTCGGCACGATCGCACCAGTCTCTTCAAGACAAAGCCTAATCCCATCTACGCCTGGCAGGCGGAGCTCTGCAAACTGCTGCGCATCGGCTGCAGACACGGAAACGGGGTCTTCATCGACGTCACCCCTATCACTGAAACATATAAAGCAGGCCCAGATAACCCCACAATAGTATAGACACATCGGAACATGGATAGCAGGCTCCACGCCAACAGGGAGGGACTCGAAATGCCGCTGGATCAGCATCGCGTGCAAGAGAGCCCGCTTGGCATCCGTAGATCGCACCCAGGATCGAGCATAAGGTGTATGCTTTTGGACAGCGTCATAGCCCTCCCGACCGCAGGCGCATTCCAGGGCATTAAAGTCGATGTGTAACATGATGTAGATTGAATGCCAGAGCATCATCAGGCAGGACCAGCCGGATTTCCCAGCCATGCTGTGCGCGTACTTGGAGTGCCATTCGGATAACAGTGGGTGGCATTTGCGACTGGTCGAGGCCCAGTCGTTGGCGAAGCTGTGGTCTTCGCAGGCAATTGCGCTGATCGACTCGAGGCTCCCGCAGAGTGCGAAGTTGCTGGTTCTTTCAGGGTGGGAGGTGGGTGAGGACAGTGTCATTTGGGATTCGAGCATGAGGGCTTTCCAGTGGGTTGCGCTGGAGGCTGCGAAGAGGTCGTCGGAAGATATCCGAGGAAGTCGGTCTAGTGAGTGTCGGAGGACGGGTTCGTGATGATGAAGACGCGCAAGCTGTGCGTCGTGAATGTAAAGACCTAAGACGAGTCTTTGTTTGACTTCTGTGCGGACCCAAGACATCCATGTATCTTCGAGTGCCTGGCTGTCGACGTCGAGATCGTACTCGGGATGTTGCAATTTGAAAAGCTGTGCTTTACGTGCCCACTAGATAAGTGTGAGAATCCGACGGTGTGATAGCATCTGGGTGAATGGCTTACGGCTATTATACTGCCATGGAATATTTCGATCCCGGTCAAATCTTTGGGTCTCTGTCTTGGTCAGCCTTTCATCGAAAACGCAATCTTGGAATTATTGCTGACCCCCATTAAGAGACCGAAAGTCTGACCAATAATGGATGCTTGCAGAGCCACTAATGATGAGTCTTCGGACTTTGATATGTAAGTATCCCACTGTGACATTGTTAGAACTGAAGCAATAAGCATGATGTAGGTTATGGCCTACCGAAGCGAGAATTGCCTTATTCAACCGTTCAAACATGCTAACACCATGATTGATCGCGCGAGGCGAGCCGACAATCAGGCTCCCAACAGAACAAATGGATAGCAGCAAGATCGAATTTTGAGTCCCTGGTCGAAAGGAAGGCATATGCACCACGGGGAAGAGCGGATGAAACTTGGAAAAGTATGCTTGGATGCATAGGTCCTAAACGTGAGTCAGTATGGACCCGATATCCACAGCAGTTAAGCAAAACAAACAAGAAATGGCCTGCTGGTGATTAGCATTTATCTAGCAGATCTCCCCCGCACCACCCTCCTATGCGAGTGTGTACATACGTTGAAGGTAATATGCCATGCTGTTGACGAGCCTGCAGTCCTTCTGCCAATCGCTTTCGATAGGATTCATCAATAAAGTTGCTTTCATGCGGTATATCCGGAGTCATCTGGCTCGACAACGAAATCGCCGAGAATGTATGCCATTTCTTCTGAACCGTATTGGCGTGCCTCTTCGTCTGTTCGTCAATTGGTAGAGGTTGTGAAGTAGGTTCCATGGTACCCAGGCCAGACAGATTTTCGGCCGTTGGGACATAGTCGGATGTTGCACAGAGAAGCGACATGTTCACGGCGTCCAAGTCAAAGTCGTCACCTGCCAGGAGCGTTTCCCACTCCCGCTCGAGTCGGGAGTCCCAAAGTGGAGGTGGTGGGCTTACTTGGCTTCTCCAGATGTCGCCTGCTTCCACGGAAAAGAAGGAGGTCAAGGGCGTGACTTGCGAAGGGTATGTGTTGGGATCTCCAATTGAGAGATTTGGTGTCTGCTTGTCGATGGATGTGCTGTTCGGTGGTGAAGCTGGTGCCTGAATCATATCATCTGTGATCCCAGCCTCTATTTGGAGCGCAACTGTCGAGCGGCCGGCAACCATCGGCGGATCCGACATGATGTCGGGATCCAGAACTCCCTGATGATCTGACCCAAGAGAGATGGCGTGCACCTCGGCGTAGTCCTCATTTCTAGCCAAATGAGACCTTGAATGGCGTAGGAGAGTGTCCCTTTCTGAGCATTAGTATATTGTTGCTGTCTTGAGGGATTTCGGCCAGTACTTACTGTCGTGCGAAGGCCTTCTTGCAGACAGAGCAGTTGAACGGCTTTTCTTTCGTATGCGACCTCAGATGGCGAGCCAAGTGCTCTGCTTTCTTAAACGACTGAGCGCACACTGGGCAGATACGCTCTTCTGACGTGGTTTTGCGACGGCGACGGGTCTTGGTGCCCGTATACGGGGGGCGTTGCTTGGGTTTTACTGGAAAACATGTTGTCAACACCGAAGACGGTCTGGGAATCACGATGAACTGAAGGAAGGCGGAGATTGGCCACATTCAAATGCCATCCGAGTCTCCCCCGCTTTCGACCACGGCGATCTACAGTTGCGAGCGCCGTCTGGATGCATACAGATCGGAGGTATCGGTGCTGCAAGTCCGAGTGGATTGTGGATGTGGGGACTATCGGACTATCTGGCGGGGCCTACCCTGACTAACGGTGGGGAGTGTACATCCATATTGCCCCATTTCCGACAAGCACCGTCAACATCAGGAATGGCGAATGCGGTTGTTGGTCACCGCAACCCCCTCGATCTCCACCTCGACAGTATCTCCGTCCTGCAGAAACTCCTTTCGGAAATATCCTACCCCCGACGGCGTCCCCGTCATGATGAGAGTTCCCTGGCGCAGCGTCGTTCCCCGGGACAAATGAGCGATGATCTGGCGCACAGTCCAGATCATGTCGTCGGTGCTCGTTTCTTGCTTCACGACCCCGTTCACCTTGGTAGTCAGTTTTAGAGTCTGGGGATCCGGAATATCATGGGCCGACACGATGGTGTGGCCAATGGGTGCGAACTTGTCGAAGGATTTGGCATAGCAGAATTGGCCACCCGATGCCTCTGGAAGCTGGAAGTTACGCGCAGAAAGATCATTACCGGCAGTGTATCCAAGGACATATTCCAAGGCCTCTTCTTCAGGAACGTCCTTTGCGTTCCGAGAGATGATCACAGTCAATTCGCCTTCAAAGTCGAGAAGCTTGCGTGCGTCAGGGTGGATGTCGATCGCTTCAAAGGGGCCGGCAAGCGCGTCAGCAGGCTTGGTGAAGATGACAGGGTATGTTGGAACCGGAAGCTATTCAAACAATCATCTACCGTCAGAAAGAATCCGAGAAGGTGGGGTGGATGCATACATTTTCCTCCTTTGCGTGCTGGTGATAATTCAGCCCAACGCAAAGCACGATTGGAGTGCTTTCGATTGGGCATTCAAGCTGAATAGCTAGAATCAGTCCAAGTCATCAAAATAGTTCAGATTTTGACAAACCGAATCGACTTGCAGAGTATCGTCTGTCGTCTTGAGGCTAGTGAAAGGCGTACCCTCGAGTCTCCGAACCGTGTATCGATTGTCGGCGACCCTAAGCAGGTCACCATAATGAACCTGTGATCCCGACACAAACCTAACCAGTCTTTTGAAAGCGGTCATACTCTCAATGAGCAGAGGGTCCTTGAATACACTGAAAGGTTTCGATCTTTGCGGCCGCAGCTTTATACAACGATGTTGGCGGGGACAGTATCCCAAAGTGCAATCAATATTGTGGGATGTGGGATCAATGACAGTCCCGCTTGACTGCATTTAGCGGAAGCGTACTCGGGGAGAGAGACTCCCGAGATACCTTCTTTTGGTATAAAACCACCTGGATACATCCCAGGCGAACCTAATCTTACAAAGATAGCCTCTGTTGTGTGAACAAGCAGCATTTCAACGTCTCATTTTTTGGACAAGATGGTAGCACTTTTACCCAACCATGGAGCCACCGTGCCTGATTTCGTTGCTGTGGGCAAGGAGAAGGAATCACAGTATGACTGGCTCAAGAAACAGAATATCAATCGCAATGAACGCATTCAACTGAAGAAGCTGTCTCATATGCGGTATCAGCATCCCGATCTGGACGAGATCAATACTTTTATGATAGGTATGTCAATGGCAAAATCAATCGAGAATATTCCCTGACTTAGTGTTGGAATAGACTTCGGAATGCAAGTCGCGAAGAGATTCGAGAAAGAAATCTGGTTCAAGGGATACGGATCGGATCAATACGTGTATTATGCACGCCAGGGTCCCAAGCAGTTCCTTGGAGGTACTTTCGAGGCTGAAAGCCAGGAAGACTTCGACAAGTGAGATCATTCACCTGCGCTCGACCTCTGAAAATACCCGGTAACTGATGATATGAACTAGAGCCTCTCAGCTTCCGTCTGCTCGTCCCGTGGAGAATCTCAGCGATGCACCAGGAGGGGGATCTCTCGTCACCATAATCGACTCGGAAGGGTTCCATTTCAATGTGATTTTTGGACAAGCTCCGGTAGACACAGAGGTATCTCACCCTGAGAAGGTCGTGCTGAATTATGCCGGCGAGAAGTCGCGACGTCGCGAATTCAATCGGTTTGAACCAGGCCCAGCAGCCGTCTACAAAGTAGGTTCTATTGTCCTGCAATGCTTCATAGCTTCTCTTTGCTCATCTTTCTAGTTGGGTCATTTCGGATATTGCACACAGAAATTCGAGTCACAGCTCAAATTCTACACCTCCACCTTCAACATTAATCCAACGGACTTGCTCTATGTCGAAAAAGATGGCCAGAAGATGATCGTGACAATGTTCGCCCACCTTGACCGCGGCGACACACTCGTAGATCACCATTCGATTTTCTTGAGTGCGCAGCCCAAGGCCGCACATGTCCACCATTGTTCCTTCGAGGTACACGACTTCGACACTCAGCACCTAGGCCACCAGTGGCTGGCACAGAAGGGGTACAAATCCGCCTGGGGCGTGGGAAGACATGTACTCGGCTCGCAGATTTTTGATTACTGGTGGGACACGACGGGCAACATGGTGGAGCACTATGCCGATGGCGATCTGGTGAATGAGGAGTCGCCGATTGGATATGTGCAGGCGGGCAGTGAGTCGCTGGCTGTGTGGGGACCGGAGCTGCCGGCGTCGTTTCTCGAGTAAATCCCACCTTGATGTTGTCTTATGAGAGTCTCCATAGTATCCTTAGGGTTGATGTGAAGGTGGGGTAAGGAAGGGCATTCTGCGGGACCGCCAGCCGCCGTCGGAGGGCCCAGCCGACATCCTTCCCTCTTCGCCACCTTGGAGACCTCACCTTTGATCGACCATGCGTTTTATTTTTGGGAGTTTCAAATCAATACACTTCTTTTATCACAAAATCCATGACCTTGCAACTGACAACAGGGACTTTGCTGTCTTGAAACAATGACGGTGACTTAATATTCGACCCCCACAGAAGGGGATTTTGCTAACTCATTCCAGTCGATAAGAGCGCGAGAGCTCATTGCGGGAAATGCAGAAGGAGATGTACTGGCCAGCAGCGTGGCTCTCAGTTTCTGGGGCGGCGTGGACCCCGAGACGGGAATCGTGATCGATAGCCATCATCCCCTCGTCGGGCAATCGGTGGCTGGAAAGGTCCTGGCCATCCCAAGTGGCCGTGGATCATGCACAGGGAGTGGTGTGATTCTGCAATTGCTGCTGAACGACTGTGCGCCATGTGCTCTTATCTTCGGACGACAAGAGATGATCTTAACTATTGGTGTCCTTGTCGCCCAGGAGATATTTGGAAAGAGCATTCCTGTTCTACAAGTGCCGATGTATTCGTTGACCACCATTCAAAATACGGAGCACGTTCAAATTTCCAATGGGGAGATTTATCGAAGGACGATTTCCCATGCAGAACCGAACATTTCTCCCTTATCTCTTCCCCAGCCTGATTATTCGTCTATCCGGATGTCCTCATTTGACCGAGAACTGCTGGATGGATTGCACGGGAAAGCGGCACAGCTTGCGATGCGGGTGATTCTTCGCACCGCACTTTTTCAAGAGGCGTCCACGGTGAGTAACCTAGAGCTTTCGGATTCTTCACAACGCTAAAGACAAGTCTGACGCATCTCTAGGGATCTGAGATTGAGATGATCGACATCTCAAACGCTCATGTTGACTGCTGCATATACACTGGGCCCGCCACTTTGGAGTTCGCTCAACGACTGAAAGACCTAGGAGGCAAATTTCGCATCCCAACATCTCTGAACTCAATTTCTATTGACCAAAGACTCTGGCGCTCGCAGGGGGTCGACCCGGCACTCGGAGAACCCTCCGAGGAGCTCGCACAGGCATATGTGGAGATGGGAGCGCGTCCAACATTCACCTGCGCCCCATACCTCCTCGAAAGTGCCCCACAACTGGGTGAGAACATTATGTGGGCCGAGTCAAATGCGGTGGTCTTCGCCAATAGCGTGTTGGGGGCGAGAACCATCAAATGTCCCGACTATCTTGATGTTTGTGTTGCGTTGACGGGAAGGTCTTTTAAGGCTGGCAGCCTGATCAGCGAAAATCGAAAGGCCCAAGTGGAAATTCACTTTGAATGCCCGGAAGAAACTGATGATACCCTCTTCCCGTTACTTGGATACCTTACCGGGGACATCGCTGCGGACTGCATTCCGATTATCACAGGTCTGGAGCGGCGACATGTCACCATCGAGGATCTAAAGGCTTTTGGAGCTGCATTTGCGACAACGTCTAGCGCGCCTATGTTTCACGTATCTGGGATTACGATAGAGGCTCGAACCCCGGGGGAATTAGAGGCACATCTCAAGCGCACGTCAAAGGTCACAGTCACGCGATCAGATCTAGCCAAGCAATGGCTTCGATTCAACAGCTACGAAGAGAGCAGCCAAGCTCAAATTGACCTGGTATCGCTCGGCAATCCCCATTTCTCCTACGACGAGATGGCAAGACTAGTGAAACTGTGCTCGGGTCGCAAGAAAGCTGAAGAGACGACATTTGTCGTCACATGCAGCCGCGAAATATACTCCCGCGCTGCTAAGGATGGCTTCATCACACAGCTGGAGGACTTTGGAGCCCTGATTGTGACTGATACATGCTGGTGTATGATTCAGGAGCCGGTGATTCCGCCGCATTCGCGAACAATTCTGACAAATTCGGCCAAATATGCGCACTATGGAAAGGGACTGACTGGCCGCCAAGTTCGGTTCGGAGGGTTGGCACAGTGTGTGGATGCGACATGCTCGGGCAAGGTGCAGAATAGTTTGCCCAAGTGGTTGGTAGATGCGAGTGCTGAGACTTTGAAAGCATAGAACAGAGAATAGAGTAGACTCGTTACTCAGGGAGACAATATCCGGGACTGCGGATCTATCAGGAGGGTCCTACCGCGCCTCCTCAGCGTGGAAGTGGGCCACTGATTGTTCCCACATTTCCACTCTTGCCAACAAAAACATGGAGGACTAGCCCGAGACGAACAGAAAATTGATATCCAGAATACTTCAGTCTGATATTGCTCCCCAACCAGACGGATTCAGGTAGAGTTGTCTCTGAAAAATGACAGCCCAGTGGGAAACAACTGATGTTCTCATCTGCGGGTGTGGACCCACAGGAGCCATGTTGTCAGGATTTCTGGGTCAGCTGGGTGTTCGCAATATCATTCTTGAGAAGGAAGCTGCGATCACCACCGACCCTCGAGGTATCGCCCTTGATGAGGACGGTATTCGACTCATGCAGGGCCTTGGGTTATATCGACACATTTTCACGGAGGTTGGATCATGTGAGGCAGTATTCCAGCACTAAGTTATCATAACTGGCTCACAAAATTGTTTAGCGATGCCGAAGATTCGATTTATTAGTGGGAAAAAGCACAGTCTACATGCCAAGCCCTTTCTCTACTTTGATACTGCATCGGTGAGCAGATACTCATGATTATCAGTTCTCAATACTGTGCTAAACATTCACTAGAGCGAAGGAAATACGGGTCACGTCGGCGTACTTGCCCACAAGCAGCCTATACTTGAGAAGTACCTTCGATCTGCCGTCGAAGGCAACGAAAGCTGTGAACTACGAAGCAGCTGCACTCTGACATCTATCTCTGAAGACAAGGACTGGGTCTACGCGACATATACAGACGCATCGGGCACCGAGAAGAGACTGCGTGCCAAGTTTCTCGCAGCCGCGGATGGAAAAACCGGCTTCACTCGCAAGATGTACTTGGAGCAGAAAGGAATTCGTCTTGACTGGGCAGAAAAGTATGACGCCAGTTTATATGAAATTTACGGAGGTTAACAAGAATTCGGACAGAACCAAGTATGAAGAAACCTGGGTCGCATTGAACTGGAAACTTCACCTGCCAACGAGAGAAACACACCCATCATTCCCTCTTTGGGATCTTGGATACACTTCTGAGGAGGTGTATGACCTCTTCTTTCCCGCCGATTTTCGATTCCTGTGCAATCCAGACCGACCAGCCGTGTGCGGCAGATTTGGTCGCCCAGAGGATCGTCTTTGGCGATTCGAATTTGTGATCTCGTCTGATGAGGATGGAATGGAAATGGCGACGCGAGATAGAGTTCGTGAGGTAGTATTTCCTTACTTGACGCATCCAGGGAGTCGATATGGGTAAGAGCTGTGAGCCAAAAAAAGAAAAAGAAGAGCTTGAATACTGATTTCTACTAGTCTAAAGGAGAAGGTCGAGTACCCCGAGGACTGTATCGAAGTACTGCGCTCTCGACCATTCCGCTTTTCAGCTCGAAGCTGCAATAGATGGGCACTGGGCCGAGTAATTCTTTGCGGTGATGCAGCTCATGTTTTCCCGCCATGTGAGTTCTATCTGTATAGACCTACAATGATTTAAAACTAAAATCATCTACAGTTGGAGGGCAGGGGATTACATCTGGATTTCGAGATGCAGTCTCACTGGCCTGGCGCCTGGCCGTCGCATGTCAATCAGGACCCATAATAGATCATGAGAGACTCTTGAGAGGATGGTACTTGGAACGCAAACAGCAACTGGAAAAGTCCCTTGCAGCCACTGTCCGAAATGGGGACATGGTCAACGGCAAGACTTGGTCTCATAACTTCATCCGTACCTGGGGTCTTTGGTTTCTCCAACTTGTCCCATCGGTGAAACAGTCGATGGAGCGGGGCCCTCGAGGCGACGGTCCAACGAAGTACATTCATGAATCTGGCATGCCATTTCTGCCGGACTTTGGTGGTGGTCTCAATTTTCCGCAGACGTATTGCATCGGGATGAGCCAAAATGCGACGGTGCAGTTTACTGATGATGTGATATTCTCTGGTAAAAATGGGATTTTTCAACTCGTCGTTCTCCTCAACGATGCCGATGGGCTGAATTCCGCGATGAAAGATCTGAGTGAGCTCACTGTGGAAAGTCGTCTGCTTTCTATAGATGAAGCTACTATCTTCATACCTCGCATCTCTTGTGAGTCGGTACCTAAGGATCGGCTATGTGTATTTGAGGGCAAGGTCTTCCGCACGGCCACAGACGAGGAATTTGCTCAGACGCCTCTCTGCGATTCCAGACCAGAGCCACGCGGATACAATGAGAAGCTTATGTGGGACAGTGTTGAGGGAAAGCGATACGTGGTCTTGCGATTCGATCGGTTTGTGTTTGGGGCTTGTAAGGATAGGACCGAGCTGGAGTATGTTGCCCAAAGCCTGAACGAGATGTTCTAGCTGCGAATTGCCTCAGTAGAAGTTCCTTGAGATGGATATTTACAAGAATCAGATGAACAACCATATGGGCCAGTACAATTAGGACGCGGCCTTCTGTACAATCGAGTAACGGCTGATCGATAGGTCAAGCTATCTTATTCTCGATACATACTAGTATTTCCCGCCTCTACGAGACTATTAGTGTTCATTGCCAGAAGTATACGGGGAAGCTCTCCGACCGTTCCCCTAGTGCCACGCTGTATGGTCCGTGCTCATATAGATCCCACTTCCCCGCGGGCCCTATCCTGAATTATATCAAACCAGGTACTTACCAGCAGGTTGTACATAGTATAAAGTTTGCATAGACGGCTGGCGCAGCCTAGGGCCTGTCTGTTCCATGCAAGGGGGCAGCGCGGCGGTGGCTGTGGAGATTTCTCCGTGACGGACAGCTGCTGTAAATGCAGGGTGCGATGATCAGGCCATGGAAGATGGTGAGCTTGCCATCATTGCTATAGCATGATCTCATTTTGTTTCGATCAATACGTACTGATTCAAATTCGAGGTGCAGGACTAGCAGGTCGCTCTGTGCGTCTCTCAGGATACGTGGATACTCATTTAAACCGATCTGGCGAATCGGGCCTAGAATGAGACCCGATCGGACTGAACATCTCGCTGTGCCGGCGTCCGTGCCGGCGTCCATAAGTCTCAGTGACATTACAGACTCCACTTGATCATAATTGAGAAGAGACTTCTCCCCTCCACCGTGCCCCGTAGAGAATCGGAACCTCATCGGATGCAAGAATCGGGACCGACGGCACGGTGGATCAGGCCATGGTGAATCGTGGCATGGAGGAAAGTGGAGCTCCTTTCGCTGTGCTGTGACGCAGATCGAAAGCCGATTCAGCCACCGAGGACCCTGCTCCCAGCGGGCCACTGGGAAAGTTAAGACAGTCCACGGGAGTCTCCTGTGGGCGATAGCAACTGAATTACAAGCGAGAACTAGCCAACGCATCGAATCCGAGGGCTCCACCGGGATTGCCGACGTGGCCCAGTTGCACCTGTCGCAGCAAGAAACCGGATAGCTCGGGCCCGATCATCAGCCAAGCTTTTTCCAAGCACTTAGCTTTGCTGGCCGAGTAAACACGAGTCGCCGGTGCGACGAGGCAGGGGATGAAGCTGTCGTATCCCATCAAAACTCACGGAACCGGTGATGCAGGATCGAGACTAGCAGAACTCGACAGCACAACTGTACTGGTATGGTCTGACTGCTGACATCCGGCGCGAAGTGAAACCGCCTGGAGGACTGCGTCATTGCCGGCCGTCGCGCCCCGCACTTTCGCAGCTGTGCAACACGTGCTTCCCCCCCTCTTCTGCTCGTCTGCTTTTCTTCAGAGGCTTCCGCATTCTCCGATTCATTCTCTTCCAATCCCATTCCCAACCGTAAGCGCAATCATGGTTCATCTCGCTTCTGTCAAGAAGGACGACGAGGTCTTCGACCCTTCCTCCCGCAAGGTCGACTCTATTGACATTGCCCCTGATGAGAACGACTTCTACACCAACGTCTACGGCAGCCACTTCGCCGCCGACCACCTCCCCCAGCATGAAATGCCCGAGCGGGAGATGCCCCGTCAGATCGCGGCCCGCATGATCAAAGACGAATTGAGCCTGGACGGCAACCCCAAGCTGAACCTGGCCAGTTTCGTGACTACCTACATGGAGGATGAGATCGAGGACATCATGCTCGACTCCTTCAGCAAGAACTTCATCGACTACGAGGAATACCCTCATAGTGCCGAGATCCAGAACCGCTGCGTCAACATGATCGCTCGCCTGTTCAACTGCCCCACCGACCCCAGCGGCGAGAACGCCATGGGAACCTCCACCGTTGGCTCCTCCGAGGCCATTATGCTGGGTACACTGGCCATGAAGAAGCGCTGGCAGAACAAGCGCAAGGCCGAGGGCAAGGACTTTTCCCGCCCGAACATCGTCATGAACAGTGCCGTCCAAGTCTGCTGGGAGAAGGCCGCCCGTTACTTTGATGTGGAGGAGAAGTACGTTTACTGCACCGAATCTCGCTATGTGATCGACCCCAAGCAGGCGGTCGACCTGGTGGACGAGAACACCATCGGTATCTGCGCCATCATCGGAACCACCTACACTGGTGAGTACGAGGATGTCAAGGCGATCAACGACCTCTTGATTGAGCGGGGCCTGGACTGCCCCATCCACGTCGATGCCGCTAGCGGTGGCTTCGTTGCTCCCTTCACCCAGCCCGACCTGGCCTGGGATTTCCGCCTTGAGAAGGTCGTCTCCATCAACGTCTCCGGCCACAAGTACGGTCTGGTCTACCCCGGTGTTGGCTGGGTCATCTGGCGTTCGCCTGAGTATCTCCCCCAGGAATTGGTTTTCAACATCAACTACCTGGGTGCCGACCAGGCAAGTTTCACTCTGAACTTCTCCAAGGGTGCCTCGCAGATCATTGGCCAGTACTACCAGCTGATCCGACTGGGCAAGCACGGCTACCGCTCGATCATGGTCAACCTGACTCGTATCGCCGACTACATGGCCGACCAGTTTCAACAGATGGGCATGATTATCATGAGCCAGAGCAAGGGCAAGGGTCTGCCTCTGGTGGCCTTCCGTCTGCCCCCGAACCCAGACCGTATCTACGACGAATATACCCTGGCCCACCAGCTGCGCGAGCGTGGCTGGATTGTTCCGGCTTACACCATGGCTCCTCACAGCGAGAAGCTGCAGCTGATGCGCATAGTTGTGCGCGAGGACTTTAGCATGAACCGCTGCGACAGTCTCCTGACTGACGTGAAGCTGGCTCTGCAGACTCTGGACGATATGGACCAGGCTATGATTTCCAAGTACAACGCGTAAGTGCTTGCGCTCTATTTTCTTATACCTTTGACCATTACTGACCTTCTGCTAGTCACATGCGCAGCCAGCGCGCTCACCCCCGTCACAAGCATACCCACCAGAAGTACCACGGCGAGAAGCACTCGCTGCAGGGTCAGACCGGCAAGACCCACGGTGTGTGCTAAATGAACCAGGCGTCGGGATATCTCGGTTAAATTTTCTTTACTTTCTTATTGCAAACTTATTGTCCAGATGCACAGCGACCACTGGATGGGTCCCGACCGGCTTGACGGGTTCCGCGCGGCCGGAAAGGCCATCCGGCCATTTGTATGTACTAGCTGCCACATAGCAGATGCCCGTCTACGATGCGATTGAACTAAATGAATGAATGGAATGGAATGCTCGTTTCTGACGACATGATGCCAATGACTGGCCCGAGGTACGTTTTTTTGTCCCGGTTGAGATGCGTTCCCAAAGTAGACAGTGGGTGGACTTTGCGGTCTCCACCTGCAGACCCGCAATTGTGGTCAGTTTGCCCGCGTCGACTGCATGTAAGGTTATTTATACTCTAGGCTACAGCACCTTACCCTAAGCTACTACTGCCCTGGTGTAGTATGGTAAGCATATCTATTTTTTTTCTTTTGTTTTCTTTTTTCCCATGCTCTTGCAGCAAGTTCGCTTGGCGTTAGATCGGCGTGTTGAGCTGTTCGTGCAGGGCCCGAGTTGCCACCGGCGACTCCGATGGCCGAGAATTGTTCGCACTCGTATGCTTGCATCGTGCCTACTAGCACTAACTAGTATACCCTCAGGTACTATAGGACTATGATAATGATACTATGGTCTGTACCAAATTTAGTAATCTCCTAGGACATGGCCGAGTAGTTCATCGCAACTGCATTTGCATTGCTGGAGTGGGCCAATGCCCCGCCGCCCCCAACTTGGCCTTTTGTTCGGTCAACGTATCCATGGGTCTCATCCAGCGCCCGAGTATACATTGAGCAATGGATCACATCTCTGTTTACTTACCACAATGTAGCGCGTATCTTGAGTTCAGTTCTTCTTTCGTTGACCTTTCTTCCAACACTCTTCTCCTGTTTATTTACTCTTATACTCCTCGCGTCAGAGTTAAATATAGAACAGCCGCCACGCCCGATCGGGGCCGGCGTGCCGATCTCCTCCACCTCAGCCTTCTCCCCTCTCGCGTCGCAGTGGCTTCGTGTCCTTCGACAACGCGAGCATGCCCCTCTTCAGCAGGAAGTCCAAGTCGCCCTCGAATTCCTCTTCGCGCTTCCCCGGCCGCTCTGTCGAGAACCTGGTCCCTGTCTTCGACGGCCGCCCCAGCCACGCTCCCATCCAACAAACCCCCGCCAGCACCAACACCCATCACCAACTCAACCCCACGGCCCCCGCCGGCAACCCGGACTACGAGGCGGAGCACCGTGTCGTAGACCCCCGTTTCGCCTATCACGAACCATCGGGTCCGGCGCTGTCGCAGCCCGAAGTGCAATCCTCGTTGCACCGCTCGCAGAGCCAACGTCAGCCCCACCTGCAGCAACGCGGCGACCGACCGACCGTCAGTGTGGTCGCCCCTGAGCCCCAGCCTCGTCGCCTGCAAAAAAGCGGCTTCGGTGGACGACCTTCCTCTGGCCTCCTTGATCGCAGCGCCAGCGTCTCTGTCAAGGGCAAGACCATCTCCCATCCCATCGCCCATCCCGCGTCGCCGCAAGTGCCCAGCCTCAACACTTCGGACGAATTCATTGCTCGCAACAACTACAACGACCCGTCCCCGGCCACCGCACATCCGTCAGGCTACGAACCGCGGTCGACGTCGCTCGCATACCAACATCAACACCAACAGCACTTTCGGCATTCATCGCGCGACACCCTCGAGCGATTGCCTCAGGCGCAGTACCCTCCGCACCAACTCCCCACCTCGACCGACTCGCTGCCCTATCCGAGGCCACTGGTGCGCTCCAATACCGATCCAAAACTGCTGGAACAACAATACAGCCAGCCTTCTCCCACTGAACTCGCCCGCGACTCCCTCTACTACGCTGAGGGTCACCGGGGCCAGCCCCAAACTTCCCAGCAGGATCTGGTATTGAATGCACGGCCCCCCTCCCGGCAATCCTACGAGCCACCCTCCCCAATTAGTTCGCGAACTCATCCTGACGCCATGCAGCAGGCTTCCGCGCAGGCGCCTCAGTCCTCCAGCGATCAGCCGTCGGGGGATACCAGCCGACGGGCCAGCACCACCACGCAAAACATGCCTGACCAGCCCGGGCGACAGACGCCCACCAGCAGTCGCCAACGCGAGGACCTATCCGATATCGATGTTCGAGCTTTGCTTCAAAAACATGAGGAGCTGCGTATGTTTTAGTCCATCCCCGTGTTTTTGCCGAGTCCCCACTTTTTTATCTCGTGAGTTACTGACTAGAACACAGAGACCAAATACTCCAAGGTGAAGCGCTATTACTTCGACAAAGAAGCCCAGGTCCAGCATCTCCAGAATACAGTTGCGCATCAGCGCATGGCCGTGTCCCGAACTGTACTCGATGATAATGAGTATGCCAACCGGTTCCAGCGCCTGGATGGGGCGATCAAAGATTTGGCATTTTCTGTGCGCAAGGATTGGCGCAGCATTCCATCATGGCTGCATGGCCTGGTAACGGATGATGCGATCCAGACCGGTACCAAGGAAATGACCGCGGTAGGACGGGCTGTAGTCAGTAAATGGCTAGGCGAGGAGGTCTTCAACAAACACTTCCACCCGGGATTGGACCCGGCTCTAAGCGTGCAATTGAAGAATATCGAGATGAACCTGCGCCGGCAGCAGATGCGACCATCCACGGACGAGGACCGCGAAAACTCCATTGCGCGACTTTCCAACTGGCGCCGGACGACCTTTGACGGCCTCGGCGATGCCCTGTCGACTCCTGATGCGCAGGAACACCGCGCGGAACTGATTGAGCATCTAATTGCGGAACTTGCCTCGTTCTTGAGTACTCAGCTACATGACCCCGCGCTGCCCGGCCTCGAAGCGGGTGTGCGCATGATCATCGAGAACACTATCAACATCGTTGAAAAGATCCCGCTCGAGGCTCGTGATGTCTACGTGGAATATCTCCCGGTCAATGTTTCTTTCAACGAAGGATTCATGAAGGTGGAAGGTCAATTGCCGCCATTGACGCACCAGCCTCCACCCCCAGCCGATCAGGAGCCTGAAGACGCTGCCGCCGCCGAGGGAGACTCGTCCCCCGCCTCAAACTCTACTGGAGCCGGTGATGGCACCTCCCCAGCCCCGCGCGAGTCAAAGAAGAAATCTGTATTCGGCAATTTTATCACGCGCAAGGCCCCAGGTCCCGAATCTGGCCGCCCAGCAGCCGCCAATCCGCACGACGAAAAAGCCGATCATCCCGAGGTCGCTGCACCGACCCGCATTCGATTTTCGTCTTTCCTCACCGTCGAGGTGCGCGGTAAAGGGCCAGCAATGGTGCTGGTGAAGGCTCCCGTGTGGTTGATAGAGTGAAGAAACAAAAGCAGGCGTGTATATAGGAACGTAGGTCTCATAGCTAGCATGGCGTTGACGACCTACCACGATTAAGCATTGATATCCCATCCGTATTGATCTTTCGTTTTTTAAGTTGGAGGCTATATGGAGGGGACGGATTCTTTATTTTTTTGTCTCTCTTTTTGTGACCACATCTTCAATACCATGATATTACGACAGCCCGTAAATATGATTTCAGTTCAGTAATGACTGTGATGATGAAAACAACGAAAACAAACAGACTTAATAATCCAATCGGGTCTAGAGAGGTGGCGGGGCCAAATCCAACCCTTCCACACTCAGCTTGAATGCGTCATTTCGAGAATAGCTCCCTGCAACATCCAAGTCCAACCGGCCGCGCTCACAATCGTCCGTGTCGATGTGGGCAATAGCCAGCCCATCCCCAACCGCAACAGCCTCTTTCTCAAGACCGGCTGCAATTCCCGGTCCGGCAGAAAGACTGACAGCAGCATCTTCACTATCGGCCGCATCATCCGTGCTGACTTCCCACAATGGACCCGCGAGCACCTCTCCAAGGGGTGAGATGATAGAGCTTCCACCTCGACAAACAAACTCATCCTCTGTCTTGGACAGTACTTGTCCCTCAAATCTTGAAGAGGCAGCAGTAGTTTGCCCATCAGGATGGCCCTGACCCTGTGGCCAAACAATCTCATGAGGGCCCTCCGCCGTAATAGAGAGCTTCCGGCCTAGTTTCGGGGCCTGCGGTGGAGTCTGTATCTGCGCTCCTCCTGACGCAGATTCACCAGCACCAGTAATCCACTCCGGCAGCTCAGATGAACGAACACACTGGTTCGCAGAGAGAACAAAGCAGCGTCCCTCGGCACCAACAGTGCGCATGAGCGGGAGCCACGTATCGCGGGCATCTGCCGTTGGCGCGAGATAGATATTGACATTTTGCGAGTAGAGACTTTGTCGGAGGAGAGGCATATAGTTTTCCCAGCAGATTGCCGATCCCAGGGTCAAGGGGATGCCGTTGAGGGTTGTGGTGACGGCGCGGAGGGTCGAGGGGGAGCCCTGCGCCCAGATCATGCGCTCGGCTCCAGTCTGGAAGAACATATTAGTTTCGTCTGAAATTGCAAAATTCAGAAGAGACAAAAGGACCTACCGGCATAACCTTCCTCCTCTTCCCCAACACACCCCTAACAGGATCCACATATACAACAGCACAATAAAGACTCCCACCAGCCCGCTCAACAAGACCTGTCACGATAAACACCCCCGTCTCAGCCGCAATCCGCTCAAGAACCTCTCTCGTCCCGTCACCACGATGCGACTTGCCACTTGCAACCTCCAGATTCCGATTCACCCAATCATCGCCCGCTCCAGCAGGCGTATCGCCCAGATCCACGGCCGCCTTGAAATACTCCAAGAACTGATCTCGGCCGCGCGGGTGTCGGGATCCAACCGCTGCACCGAAGGAACATGTCCGTGGATACCCGCCTAGATACGCCTCGGGGAAAAGGACGAGGTGCACACCGCGCTTGGCGGCGGTGATGGTTGTTCGCTCTAGGGCGGCTAGAGTTGTCGCAAGGGTGGAGCGGGTGCGAGCTTGGGCGACTGCGACGGTGAGGGTAGGCATTTTTTAATTCTGGTATGTTGGGATGAATTGGGATTGTAATGCAGAGGGATATGGGAATAGATGGAGTTGAGAGTGGAGGAAGCGGGGGTGGAGGAGAAGTAGTCCGGGGAAGCAGCGTTCAAATGTTGCGGGTGGGGTCGACCGATTGATAGCTGCGATGATGTCATGCATCCGCAACCCTAACGGGTATTCAGCCGATGGAACGTCTCTGAAGTTTATCTTTCTTGGAATATCGTTAGTATTGTTGTTTTTCATGGTCGTTTAGCTGGAGAAGTAAATAGGGTCACAAATGGAAAAAAAGGAAAATACAGCTAACTGATTCGACGATAAAAGCCATTTCAACGTGCACCTGCAAGCTATCCGCCAACAAAAATAGTTTCGCCAGATGCAATCAAATCAACTGGTAGGATCAAAAAATAAAGTACAGTTCAATTTTATCCGATCAGAATTTTTACCGAATGTATCGCTATTTTTCTTCGGGTAGCCCACAGCGCTATCGATGAACCGAGCGAAGATCCATGGATATCGCGACTACTACCCAGTTTAAAAGTAGTGTTTATCGACTACACACCAGAGTTGTCTGAAAAATTTCAGTTGTTTCAGGTGCCTGAAAGTGACTGGTCTACTCATACTGACGTACTGACATCCCCGAGGCCTTCATATGTTTCTTTGCCTAGGTCTGTGTAGCCGGCGATCATTCCAACACCTATTTTTGATATGGAGGGGGTGTAATGCAAAGGGCAATACTGAAAGCGGCAAAGCACAGCAGAAAAAGCGCATGTTAGAGCCGCTATAGACACGTAAGCGGGGCCAACCCAACGTGGCGTTGGACATGACGTCGCTTTGATTTATGGTTAGGACTAGCAAAGTCAAATATACTTCCTGCAGATACAATGTGGTACATATCAGTATACGTCTGCATCGAAGCAAGGGATATTTAATACCTCATGGCACGCGTCAGGATTCAAAGTCAAGTATGTATAATGTCAATGTTGATAAATACCAATCTCAGTCTGTTCTACCTTGGACCCATGGCAATCCATCGGGCAACACCCGGGTGAAAAACAAATATGTACAAATAAAGAACCCGTAGCGTCCAACACTGAACGGGATGCAAAAAGTGGGAAAGGAATACAAACTATTTAAGTTCCCGGGTATAGCGCCTCGCTGATGAAAAGAACGAAGAACAACCCGATACAAGATGCCATGAAGTTGCCGAAATCAAAACATTCGTGTAAAGCAATGCTGAATCGCAGAAGGTCATGTCGTCGCAAAATCGATGTCAAAGATTAATATCAATGCAAGAAAAGAAAGTGGTTTTCACCGAACGATGGGAAAATGTTCATGCGGTAGAGATGCCGTTTGCATTGGCGGCTTGCTGGAGCACGCGAGGCCAGCGCGAGATGAGCTCGACGTCATCGAGAATGCCCTTGCCCTGGTTGCGGACGTACTGAGTGCTGGGGTCGACGCGGGGCTCGTGGTCCCAGAAAGTGGGAGTTCCCTGGAGCAGAGCGGAGTAGACAAGGCGACGGCGGCGCTGTGAGCGCAGGACATCTTGGCGGATGGACTCCAGGTCCCAGCGGTTGTTGACCTCTTCCACAAAGTAGGCCAGCAGCTTGACCGGGTCCGTGGTGTTGGGCAGCGAGGACTTGGACGGACTCGGGGTGCGCGGGGGAGTGGGCGAGGGGAAGGGGTACGAGGCCTCGGTGGCACGCTGCGGGACAGGCGATGCGCGGGGGGAGTCACAAGGGGTGGGAAGATTGGTGGTCATCGACAGCGGGATGGAGGACTTCACAGGGGCAGGGGCTCCACGGTTCGAAGGAACGGGGAGGCCAGCCACAAGGTTGGTGAGCTCGTCGGGGTCGGTAGCCAGATCGAACAGCATAGGCGGGTCAATGGCCGAGTAGACGAACTTCCAGCGACCAGAACGGATCATGACTACCGGCGCTTGAGTGCCCTCACCCATGTACTCGCCATACACAGTATCAGTGCGGAGGCCCTCCTCGCCGGTCAGATAAGGAACCAAGGAGACACCATCAAGGGGCAGCTCGGGCACGACGGGGGCGCCGACAAGACCAGCAAAGGTAGGAAGCAGATCCATGGTAGACACATTCTCCGAAACACGCTTGGGGGTAAATTTCTTGGGGGGCGTGGAACAGCATGGGGACGCGGGACGAGTTCTCAAACCAGGCCATCTTGTACCACAGGCCGCGCTCGCCAAGCATGTCACCGTGGTCACCGGTGAACACAATGATGGTGTCCTCGTCTAGTCCAGTGTTCTTGAGCACCTTGAGCAGCTTGCCGATGTTGGTGTCGACGTAAGTGCAGGCCGCGTAGTACGCACGGCGGGCCGCCTTGATGCGGTCCTCGGGCATTTCCTTGCCGAACAGATCGATGCACTTCAGAATACGCTGGGAGTGCGGGTCCTGCTGGTCGTGAGGGATGGCACCGTTCTTGGGGAGCGGAATATCGACATCCTCATACATGTCCCAGTACTCCTTGGTCATGGCATACGGGTCGTGGGGGTGGGTCATGGAGACCGTCAGGCAGAACGGCTGGTCAGTGCGCTTCCGGACGTGGTCGTACAGGTACTGCTCCGACTTGTAGATGACCTCCTCGTCAAAATCAAGCTGGTTGGTGCGGACAACAGGGCCGGCATCCATGACCGAAGACATGTTGTGATAGTAGTCCAGACGGACCTCGGGCTCATCCCAGTTCACGGACCAGCCGTAGTCACCAGGGTAAATATCACTTGTCAGACGCTGCTCGTAACCGTGCAGCTGGTCAGGACCGCAGAAGTGCATCTTGCCCGCCAGGGCCGTATGGTAGCCCTCACGCCGTAGATAGTGGGCATAGGTGGGTGTGTCGGCGGGCAGGTCCGCGGCATTGTCGTAGGCGCCAATCTTGGAGGGAAGCTGGCCACTGACCATGACGAAGCGCGAGGGGGCACAGAGCGGCGAGTTGCAGTAAGCGGAGTCGAACACCACACCCTCACCCGCCAGTTTGTCGATGTTGGGAGTCTTGATGGGAGAGTTCTTGTCATGGAGGGACAGCAGCGGCGCGGCCATTTGGTCGGCCATGATGTAGAGGATGTTGGGCCTCTTGGTCGTCATGATGAAAGAGAAGCAGGCCTAATCGAGAGAAAGGGAGGAAGAAAGAGATATGGATGAGTGGAGGGAGAGAGAGAGGTCGGGGAGGAAGGCAGAGAGAAGGCAAGATCTCAATAGAATTATGATGAATGAAAAAGTCACTGAATGCGGGCGACGAGGGGGTAGATATATGAAGCGAAAAAGTGGTACATGTGGGGAATTGGCCGGCGGCCAGCAAATGAATGGAATGAAAAATTTTCAGATTGATAGAGAGGCCCGAGCCAGCGGACGAAAGAGAAGAGCATCAATTGTCTGGCCCACGGGGTACATGTAACGGCAAAACGGAATGACGGGGGAAAATGGTCCCTCGCTCTTGGCGGGGTTAGCGTCACCCTTAGACGCGGCTGGGCTAGTTACAGTAAGCGTATATACTTCGACATGCTTCCACGGCAGATCTTCGATCCTGCCATACGGTCACCGCGATACCAGGTATGCATAAGATACCGCCTCTCATACATTAAGAATGGACTACTGCACCGAAGATCAGGGGAATCCCCGGTGACGTAGGAAGGCGCAAGATGGGACAATTCGTGGGTGCGATGGTGTGATCGGTGGAGTCTTCCGATCGACAGGAGAAGGAATACGTTACGAGTATGAGTGTATGGTACGGTACGGAGGGATACGATATAGGTACCATTCTATGAACTGCACCCAGTGATCAAACCGACAAAGGATGTAGGATGGCGGACTCCGGCGAAAATGCAGTGATAAGGAGTCATGTGGACTAGGAGGGGCGTTGCATTTCCATCTCGAGGCACTCGGTCCATTATTGTTGTCTTAGTGGCGGCCAAAAGGGAAAGTGCGCACTTGGGCCTGGGCGGATTTGCTGGTTACTCTGCCAGCGCTGGCGAGGTAGTGGCGACGCTCGCGTACGCAGTTACGGGTGTAATACCAGCGCTGGCGGTAATTTCGACGTGCAAACCAGCCCCCCGCGACGCCACTCTAAGGACGGTACACAACTTTTGCATGCCCTACGGGAGATAGCACTACTCGTCGTCAGTGCAAGATTTGTTGTGTTTCGACGCGTGGCGGGCGAGATGTCGTTGGCAGACACCGTTGCGCCTTGACAGACCCTTGTAACGCCGGGCGATCCCAGCCGAGCAGACCGACCACCAGCGCAAACTCTGGCCTCCACCGATCGTGTCATTGCTCTGCTCCTATGGGGACTGACCAATCGGCCGGGCAATGAATGCCCCTGGATGTGCCGGACGGAGCCTAGCGGATCCCGTGCGAAGCCCGGTGGATGCTGCCCCTAACCAGATGTGGCAATAATGTCGACTAAGCGGTGCTAGCGGGGGCTTAGGGGCATCTGCCCCACTTGCTTATCTCGCCGGCCAATCACTCCTTTGAGGTTACGCTAAGGGTCGACGTCCGGATTCAGGAGCGAAGCCATGAAGCGCATGGCGGAGGCATCCACGGCCTCGGAAGTTGCACAGTCGCGTCGAAAAGGGGAGGCAGCCCCTTCCTCCAACCGATCGTCACTCACTACACACATCACCCACAACAACCAAAACACCCCGAAACACTCCCAACTTGATACACATGCTCCGCCTCATGAGCAATCCCTTTACCCAAGCACGCCATGCGGGAGGGAACCACTTGGAGCGGTCTAGTCCAGCCGCCCCCGGATTCTCAGAATCTAAACCGGTTCCGCCGGCCGCGTGGCAGCAGACACAGCCCTCGTCGTAGATTCACCGCCGTTTCGTGGCTCTAGTTTCCTGGTTTGCCATGTCCAAAGGTCCCCACTTACACGCAGAGCTGGACACCTCCCACCCACCTGGACTGTTTCACCCCATGCAGCATGGCGCAATCGAGGCCAGCGACGGCGATTCCCCCGGCCATACATAGACACGAGGTGTTGTTGTTGATGCAGATACCACCAATACCACTGCTGGGCATGCACATACCATCTCAGGCACCGACTCCCGGAACCTTCTCAGCTGAAGATATGTAGGATGACCCTGCAGGATGACGGAGATTTGCCCCTATACGCTCGGGGAGGGAAGGAAAAACAGGAAAGAGAGAGATTACAGTGGAAAGAAATAGAGACATCACGAGCTCCGCGCGAGAATGGACATTCTACATTCCATGTGAAACGGAGCCGGTTGCATTTGCCTCCCTAGCTAATCTCAATTATTAAGAAAGAAATGAAATGAAATGACATAAATAATAAAAACAAAGAAAAAAAAAAGAAACAGAAAACATACGGGGCAAATTTATCATGATCATGCTTAAGATCAAGATCTGACAATCTATGCCATATCCGCCACCCCCATTCACTCCCATACATCCCCCTCTCTCCTCCCTCCCTTCCGCTCCACGCTCATCACTCCGAGCGCTCTTCCTTCCGGCTGGTGTGCCGCGCCTGCACCATTTATCGATCATCATCCCGCTTCGCAACGATCTCAGCGGCCCAACCTGCGCCTAGGTCTCGGGGCTCCTCGAGCTCCTCCTTGTGGGACGGCCAGCGTGCGACCTTTCGATTCATAGCCAATGGCAAATTTGCCATATACCATCTCGCCAGGTCCCGGATGACCTGAGCGACTTCGACGCTATCATGCCCTCTAGGATCGTCTTGAATGGTCCGTTCGAGACGTAGACGACTCAGTGTTTTCAGTTGACGATTCTTGAGTGCGTTTCTGTACCGCGTTTCTAACTCGCCAGTATCGATCACTCGACGGTGAATCCATCGCAATGCTCGTAGATCATTGTCGTCGCCGTGCATGATGAGGATCGTTTTGGGCCCGACGAACTCCCACATTTTTCCCACGGGTAGCTTCGCGACCTTCAATCGTCAGGCCTTCCCTGTGTGCAATTTGCGGCATAGAAAACGAAGCCCCGGAGTATTTGGTATTCAGAATTTTCACTGGCACGCTAGGCATCACGAGAGAGTCGAGGAGGGTCTTACCGCTGAAGAAGTCCATGGCACTGATGCGAATGACTTCCATTTCACTAGCCTGGGCATATCCCATCTCACAATCCAACGCGACTGCTTTGCGGAAGTGCTGATTGGAATCGGGTGTTTTGGACAATGCCTAATGCTCTTCGAGCGCCTGGTATTCCTTGTGTGTCAGGTAGCCAAGATACGGTGATTCGTCATGGCTGTCGGGCGCTGGCAGCCCTCGTTTGTGTGGTGCTCATCGCAGCAGGTCCTTTTTCTAGAAGTGTTTAGTTGGGGCCGAGCATCCGATTGTCAAGACCGGACTTACCTGGCCGTCGTGAGGACTTCATTCTCTTCTTTGATCACCATATTGGTTTGCAAGAAACTCTGTCTATCCGGGTCCTGTTTCTCCCCCAAGATCTTCGGGGAGCTGTCGTCCTGGGACTTTTGCCATGAGCCGCGCACAGCAGGAGCTTCAGGATCCCTCCCCTAGTCCTCTGGCAGCTTGGAAGAATATCCAGCTACGGGGCACCCTGTGTCCGCCTGCCAGTAGTCGAAATGTTGCTCTCGTTCCTCGATGCGCTTCTTGATCTCTTCAGGCGTTGCGTCGCGGGTCCACTTGTGGCCGTTTTGGATGCGAGCAAGACTGTGAGGTTTGAGTGTCAGATTCATGCCCCTCGTCCGCTCGTTAGGGTCGAGTGTCAATTTAATCAATTACGTTCCATGGCACCGCCGGCATCGGGCCAGTTTTCTTGATTGTTCTGGCCCAAGCTGGTCCTGGTTGTAGTGGCATTTGGCCACCATGTCTCCGCGATCCAAGATCATCCCCTCCAAGTCTTCCAGCACCCCGGTTGTCTCCTCGACCGGTTCGGGCTGGAAATCGGTCGTTTGCGGGTGGAGGTGAGGAGGTCGGGGTTGGTGCGTGGCGGGCGCCGCCCCCGTGCCTCGGTCTTCCAGGCTCGAGGAAGCCGTGTGGGATGGGGCACGATGGCCCTGGTCGGGATTGCACTCGGTAAACTTGCTGTTTCAACGGCGACGGTTTTTCTTGCCCATGGAAGCGCGTGGGCAAAGAGAGTGGGGAGGGTCTGTAGCGGTTGGAAAGAACGTGGTTGTTGTGGGTGAGAGTTGACTGAGAAGTGAAAGAAAAAGCTGAGGTTTGTGGACAAAGATGGCACCAATTCGAAAGCTCGAAAGGGCAAGGGTTGAAAAGGATATCAAAATCGCGTGTGAACGAAGATTATATAGGCAGGGTTCCAAGGCAGCAGCTCGAGATCACTCAGTGAATACTGCCAGCCTTGGGACATCCAACCCTTCATACGGCAGAATCAATCATACTTAGGCAAATTCTAGTGAGTGAAATCCGATGGATTGGGAACGTGACCCGGGAGGCGGCCGCCAGTCGCACAGCTGATCACCGGCGAGCCCTGATGCCTGCTGGTTTTGATCACGATCGGTGGGCGAACCTCTACCACTGGCAGTGTCCATACCAGAGTGATCACGGAAGTCGACAGCGTCGATATCTGTAGTGACTCGGAGTATGCCTGGTTTCAAGCTTACGAGAAAGTATTATCAACGACGTACTAATCGACTGGAATTTCCGTAAACAATACACAATACTGAAAAATTCAGCATCTCGATCTTGGATAATGGGGCTTGCTAAGAGGCACTGGCGATGGACATGACTGACTAGTAGTACTTGATTATCGTAACAATCAGAGATCACTTTTAATTGACATACTTCAAGATCAAGGGACAGTGACGATATCAGAAATATAAGGCAGGCTGGAGTCTGGTGAAGACATGCATTCAAGGGATAGTATACGCCGTGGTGAACGACACCAATGCTTTATCGGACAGATTAAATCGTAAGGAATTTGATAGAAAGACAGGAAGTGGTCTAGCTGACCTAGTCGACTTTGATGGCACTGTTGCGGTTCATTAGTATGGTTTCAGTTTGGTAGAAAGAGGGTATACTTGCCTGTAGACGCGTCGAACAAAGGTATACGCGGCCAAAAACCCAACTGTTCCAGTCAGTAGGCCGTAGACTGCGCATGCCAAGAAACTGTAGCTGAAGAAGAGTAGCCCCGACACAAAGCCGGTGATGTGTAGCTTGAACGTGTAGTACCAGATGCAGTACGCAAAGACCCAGAACGCGCTGCTACCACCGGTCAGAAAGCTCTGCCACCACCAATGATAATTCTAAAGAAGTTAGTTATTCAGATGATAGATATAAGTAAGAGGGGCGGGGAAGGGAATCTTACCTCAGAGCAGAGTTGGCTGTATGTCGCAATGACAGTCACTTCGACAACAGTCACCATAAGTACGGCAGAGACCACACTCAAAAAGCCGAACACATAATAGTAACCGCTCTTGTCTTGCCAAAGGTTCTTGAAGAGGAACAGGAGCTCGATGAAAAGGACTGCAAACGGAACTAGTCCGGTCAACAGAGGTCCTGCAGGGCTGCGCAGGTACCAAGGCTGAGGGGGAATCTGTCGAGCAATGGCATTGGTTTTCAAAGGATGCTCCCATGGAGCGGCCCGCGCATATCCAAACCAGCTACCGATGTAGACCAGGGGAACCTGGATCAGCAACCAGAGCGCCAGCAAGCCGATGAGGGTGCTGAACGGGATAGCCGTGCTGGAGGCTTGAGCCCAGACGAACAGGTTTAAGACCAGGACAAGGAAGAAGGACAGGCCGGGGAACAGCAAGGCAGTGATCAGGGTGTTCTTCCGCCAAGCAGAGCCGCCAAATGTCTTGTACAGGCGCCCGGAAAAGTAACCGGAGAAGACACCTGCAAAAACAAACAGGCCCATGCCCACGCTGACGAAACCCCCGCGGAAACTTGGGTTCAAGATCCCCAGACAGCTCAACACAAGCAGACCAGTAGCCATGAAGAGCAACTGCATACCTGAGCCGACTAGTGGGGCCAAGAGGCCACTGTATGCGGGGATGCGGAAGACATCGCCATGTAGAAGCTTCCATCCACTAGTATCCTCGAAAGGTTCATCATCCGATGACATGTCAGCCTCATTCTCAACGTCGGCATTGTCCAGCAATCCTTCACTCTTCTTGTCCCCGGACCGTTTGCGTCGAGACTGCACCTTGAGCTTGCGGTCTTCCATGGCGCCATCTCCACGGCCCTTGATGTCACCGTGGACGGTGCGGCTCCAGATAATAAAAACAGTCACTCCAAGTACTGTCGAAATGGTCAAAGAGTTGATGATCGCCAGCCAGTGGGTCATGGATCCTTCCTCTTGGTTCGTGAAGTAAAGGTTCCAGCGGTTCGCCCAGTCCACTTTGGTCTCCTCCCTAAAGTAGATCGAATAGGTGTACGGAACCCTCAGGGTGGCTCCATCATCTTCGTCATCGTCGTCCTCGGGGAAATATGACAGTCCAGAGTACTTCTCGCGCAGTCGTGACATGTTTGGTGCAATGTACAGGCCGAGACCCTCATGGTCTTTGTGCACATCCTTGGGGCAGCCACCATCCACCCGATCTTCTGCAGTGATACTTTTAGGATACACCTCGAAGCCTACGATGACCTTGCCTCCTTCCGGTGCACCTCGCCATCGGATAACGATAGTGAAGTGGTTGTTGAGGAAGTAGCGGGATTGGCCGGTGGCAGGGGAAATATCGCGGTAGCCGAGCTTGAATCCAGAGGCGTAGTACTTGCGACTGCGGTCGACGGTCACGAAGCTCGTTGCACCCGGCAGGTTATCGACAATCCACTCAATCACGTAGTTCTCTTTGACGAGCTGGCGTGCCCACTTCACATCCGCGCGACCAACTTCCAGGGAGCAGAGGGCCGCACACTCGACGTCTTTGCCCATCTCCAACTGAAAATCCGATGTCATAATACGATCTCCGCGCAAGACCTCGCCCAGATTGAGCGAAATGCTTTGTCCCGATCCGAAGGGGGATCCGCCGTGCGACTTGCCGCTCGGAGGACAGACGAAAGGGAGGTCGAAATAGGCATATTGGAGTTGGGTGTGGTCGGAGAAGATCTTGTTCACAAGGAGAGGAATCGGCTGTCCGTCGTTGTACCGGGTGACCGAGTAGCCTGAAGAAACGTTAGCCGCGAATGCTTGCCGGGCCAGCAGGGCCGCGCTCTTTGTGGGTTGACGGAGCTCACCAGGGATGTAGAACGACCAAGTAGTTGTCACAAAAAAGAGCAACCAGAGCGCCCAGTTACGGAGACGTAAAGGCACAAAAGCGGCCGTATGCATCGCGAGGGTGTTGTCCGTTCAGCTGGCCCGGTATGGTTGGGTCAGCTTCTAAACAACTTTCACGGTCGGTCACTCCAGATTCGGGAGGGTAGGTGCCCGTTGGAGTTCCTTGCTATTGATAGGATCAATTCTTATCAATGCCTCCGGATCTTCGATCAAATCGCAGACCAAGCGAGGGTAGCTCCGCGTCCGGGGTCGGGGGAAGGAGGTATTTGTATAGACGGGGATGCTCAGGGTGGAGTTCAGGCGCGCTAGATGATGCTTGGCGGTGATCTCGTCTATTTGCTGCGAGGAGTCGAGTGAGGTCACAGGGACGGGGTCGGCGAGGACGGGGTAACGAGCGTAATTGGCACTGAATGCCCAGGGCTTTGGGTCCGGTGCTTCCTAGGAGAGGGATCGGTAGATTGGATGTGAGGAAGATCTCTCCAGCGTGTCAACAGTGGATCGGGCTTGGCATTGTTGGCGCGCTTCGAGACGTAACCCCGCAGGACCCTATCAAAAGGGTAACCCCCATCATGTGCGCGGAATGCATATCTTCCGGTCTTTACCGAGAAATTGTACTGGCAAATGAATTATTCTGATGGAGGGTGATCGCTTTGTTGAATATTCATAATGTTGAGTGTCACGTAAGAGTTGCTGTGGTCGGGCGTGTCCTGTGGCCTGTGTAAACGCACGTTGCTCATACCTACAATATATTTCCAGGACTCCACTATGTGACCTCACACCGAGTACCCCCTTCGTAAGTGTAGTGTTGATGTAGAACTACAAATGTGCCTACCTCGAACTTTCATTATGACTGATCACAATCCAAGCACCAGTACATTTAAGTAACATATGGAGCATATGCTATGAGCGAGTGAATTGGCCATTCACGATATTCCCCTCTACCTTCACTAGTGGTCATTGTAGTGAGTACGGTATCTAAGGGAAGTGATACTTAATGTTTGCTTGGGCATAGCATTTTTTTGAGGCACGTATGAAATCAACACACTACAGTACAATTAGAACCAGAAATCCTGGAGGTGCCAATTGAATGATATGGCATTGGAAGATTGATATCGCCGTGAATAAACGCTAGTGTAGGCCTTCCAGGCTGCAACGACAATCCACATCCAAAGGCAAACATGCGTAGAAAAGGCCATAGGAAATCATCAGTGCAACCGTCGTTATCATCGAATCAAAGGACCATGGAATACATCGGTAAACGTGAGGAAAAGAGAGAGAGAGAAAAGAACAGTTGCTGTTGCAAGACCTTTATGACGGGTTGCTCAGAAGATATTCCACTGCTCCTTGCACGCTACCACCTGCTCGTCGCAAAGCTTCAACGTTCCGCTCAAACTCGTAAAAGCCCATATCGTTCAGTTGGCGAAGCTGGTCGGCATAACGCTCCTCCGGGGGACGGTTGTCAGGTGGCTGCGGTGCGCCAAAGCCGCCGCCGAAACCACCTCCGAATAGACTTGCCAGGGGATTCGCACCAGTGGTAGCGCCCTCTGCCCCTTGACCTCCCATAGCCTGCATCATCTGGGTCATGAGGGCCGGGTCACGCAAAAACGGGTTTTGCTGTGGGTTAAGCGGATTCATGCCGCCCTGACCAGCATTGCCGAACAAAGCCGGGTTGAACAAAGAGGCGAAGGGGTTCTGAGCAGCTTCAGGATTTTGACCTTCCGCGGTGGCACCCCGATCGGTGGACTGGGCATCCTGATTTTGGTTATTCTCAGACCCACCGGCATTGGCTGACGGTTGCGCGGCAGGGTTCGCGAAAGGGTTAGGGCCGAAGAGCGCAGCAAAAGGATTCCCCGCAGGGTTTGGAGGCATTTGACCAAACGGGTTGGGTGGGGGATTCTGCTGCTGAGCATTCTGATTGTCTTCGGCCGTCGTGTTCGTCACGCCAGGGGCAGGGAATGCACTGTCACCGCCGCCACCTAGACCACCCAAGCCGCCCCCGCCCATCCCCATCATTCGCTGCATTTGCATCATTTGGCGAATCGAGTTGGGGTCTGTCAGCATACGGCGAAATTCGGGGCTTTGGAACATCTGCCGCACACCGGGCCCCATATCGCGGAGCATAGGATTCTGTTGGATCATCATATCGATCATCGCGGGGTTCTGGAGTGCCTCGTTGATGGTAGATTGGAATTGAGGATTTTCGAGCATGTTCAGCATAGATTCGGTATCGGGAGGTGGGCCCATCTGAAGAACACGGATCATGTTAGCATATCATATTGACCGGCAGACAAAGAGTTATCTCTTGGATTGTGGATTTACTCACCCCGCCGTCAGGGCCAAAGAGGCCTGCTCCTGGGAGCTGAGCGAATCCAGCGTATCGAGCACCTGTCAGACCAGCAAGTGGGTTGTTGCCGGTACCGGCGGCCATGTTGGTGGGAACACCGGCAGCAACAGGATTCGGCGTTGCGCCCGCAGAGGCAGCGGCGGAGCTAGACTGAGCAGTGGTGTTCCCGCGATTTTGGTTGCTGCTGGCATTGCCCACCATGTGGATGGTGTGGCCATCTTTGATCTTGTAAGAGCCAAGTGTCTCATGGTCCTTCAAAATCCGGCCGGAGTAGATCAGTCGTTGTCGATCGGCCGGGATGCTCTTCGCATCGTCGGACTTGTCGGACTTGTCAGGCTCGGCGGTTTCGAGCTTCTGCTTCAAATCTGAAACCAATGTAGACAGTGGAAGAGTCATGGTGTATTTCTTATCAGTGGAGGTCTTGACGATGAAGGTAATAGGCGCCTCCTCGGCAGCGCCAGCGTCGTCGGCCATGGTTGGCAGGAGTCTGAGGTGGGGTGATCGACTGCTGAGGATGCGGATGGTTTCACTGGAGTGAATGAAAAGAACGATGAGAGTAGGCGGATCCGGAGAATCAGAGCTCAAGAAGCTGTGAGGACGAAGAGAGAACCCAGACAAAGCGAAGCAGATGGAGTTGGGGAAGTGATGGGGTCGTGATCAATGATCTATGGGAGGCTAACCGGCATTACCAGCATTGTAGAAGGCGGTCGAACCGGACGGACCATCGCGTTTGCCACGTGATCCACATCCACCGCTTTTGGATCTGGAGCCGCCTAAATTTGCACACCTCTCCTGCTCCCATCTTCGAGTCCTGCCAACTCAAGCTCCCACGCGTGCCTGTGAAAGATCTGGGGTACCTTTTCCGTTACGTGGCCCCAGCAGCGATGGGATTGATGTGACTGTGACATCACCTGGCTTGCAACTGCGACTGCACGTAACTCGCTCTTTTCTGCTTCGCGTCTCGCGAGCTCGCGAGCTCGCGAGCTACCTGGTTGCCCGTCATGGCGACTACTTCGCACATGTTCATGTACTCCTTGACAATCCAGCCCCCAACTGCAATCAATCAATCCATTCTCGGACAATTCGCAGGGGCCAAGGAGACCAAGGAGCAACAGATTGTCACCGCGTCCGGCTCCAAGCTGACCCTCCTACGTCCCGACTCCACGAATGGAAAAATCACACCCGTCGTTTCGACCGACCTCTTTTGCATCATTCGCTCATTGGCTCCCTTCAGGCTAGCTGGAAGTAACAAAGGTACGTTTCGACAATTCCAGTTTGCATTATGCGTGTCCCACTGAGAGATTCTTCAAGCTTCCCGGGAAGCACGGTCCTGGTCCTTCGAGCCGGCTTGCCGAAGGCTAATGGACCTGCCCCGGCCAGCAATGTTGATGCTTCCAACAAGTTTCTTTATTTTTATTTCCTGTTTGCTTAAGAAGAATGTACTGAGTGTCTCCTGATTCCAGATTACATCATCATCGGCTCCGACTCCGGTCGTATTGCGATCATTGAATACGTTCCTTCGCAAAACCGCTTCAAGCAACTCCACTTGGAAACATTTGGCAAGTCAGGTGTTCGTCGAGTCGTGCCAGGACAGTTTCTCGCCGTGGATCCTAAGGGACGTGCTTGTATGATCGCTTCGGTGGAGAAGAACAAGCTGGTCTATGTTCTGAACCGCAACTCCCAGGCCGCACTCACCATCTCGTCGCCCCTTGAAGCACACAAGCCGCAGGCCCTGGTGTTTGCTCTGACTGCCCTGGATGTGGGTTACGAAAACCCTGTCTTCGCTGTTCTCGAGGTTGTTTATCCGGAATTCGACCCCGACTCCGGGGCCCAAGCATATGACGAAATTGAGAAGCACTTAGTGTATTATGAACTGGATCTCGGCCTCAATCATGTCGTCCGCAAGTGGTCGGAGCCTGTTCATCGATCGGCAAACATGCTATTTCAGGTGCCCGGAGGCGCGGACGGCCCTAGTGGGGTCTTGGTTTGCGCCAAGGATCATGTCACCTATTGCCATTCCAATCAGGAAACTCTGAGAGTGCCTATTCCGCGCCGGAAGGGCCCGGCCGAGAATCCCGAACGGGAGCGGAGCATCGTCGCCGGCGTGATGCACAGGATGAAGGGGGTTTTCTTCTTCCTGCTGCAGACTCAGGATGGTGACTTGTTCAAGGTCACCCTTGACATGGTCGTAAATGAAAATGCTCAACTGACCGGCGAGGTTCAAAAGTTGAACATCAAGTACTTCGACACTGTTCCGGCCGCGTCAAGTATTCTCATTCTCAAAAGTGGATTCCTCTTCGTTGCCAGCACAGCGGGCGACCATCAGTTCTATCAATTTATCAAACTTGGCGATGATGATGATGAGACGGAATTTTCCAGCGACAACTACCCTCCGAAATCTATCTCATATGAGCCGGCCTTCTTCCAGCCCCGACCTCATGTGAATCTGGCCCCGATGTCTCCCATGAACTCCCTCAACCCCTTGATTGACAGCAAGATTGTCAACCTTACGGAAGATGATGCGCCACAAATTTATGGACTTTGCGGCACCAGCGCTCGAAGCACATTCCGTACCCTCAAGAATGGCCTGGCAGTTTCCGAGTTTGCCGAGTCGCCGCTTCAAAAGGTTCCCGAGGCCGTCTGGACCACCAAACTGACACGGAACGACGAGTACGATGCTTACATCGTTCTCTCCTGGGCCAACGGAACACTCGTGCTGAGTATTGGAGAGACGGTTGAAGAGGTTGATGATTCTGGATTTAATACTTCAGCGCCGACCCTGGCTGTGCAACAGTTCGGCGAAGCTGGGATGGTCCAGGTCCACCCCCGAGGAGTCCGTCATATCCACGCAGGCGGGCAATTCAGTGAATGGGAATCCCCCCAGCATCGTTCCATTGTAGCAGCAGCCACAAATGAGCGCCAGGTTGCGATCGCCCTGAGCTCGGGTGAGATCGTCTACTTCGAAGCGGACACCGATGGTGTTTTGGCAGAGTATGAGGAGACGCCACAGATGTCTGGAACTGTTACTTGTCTCAGTCTTGGTCAAGTTCCCGATGGTCGGGTTCGGAGTTCATTCCTGGCTGTTGGCTGTGACGACTCCACCGTCCGCATTCTTAGCCTGGATCCAGACTCCACGATGTCAAGTAAATCCATCCAGGCTCTTACATCTCCGCCCTCGGCACTGAACATCATGGCCATGGCCGACTCAACTGGAGGGACTGCCCTTCACCTTCACATTGGTCTGCACTCCGGTGTCTACCTTCGCACTGTTCTGGATGAAGTGACTGGCGATCTGTCAGATACCCGCACACGATTCCTTGGAGCTAAGCCCGTGAAGCTTTCTCACGTCTCCGTCAATGGCCAGACCGCAGTTTTGGCTCTCAGCTCACGCCCGTGGCTCGGATACTCTGACGTTCAAACAAAGAACTTCATGCTTACGCCACTGGATTATGTTGGCCTGGAATGGGGATGGGGCTTCTCCAGTGGTCTTTGTGAAGAAGGCATGATTGGCATCGAAGGCCGCAATCTCCGGTAAGTTTACATTATCTCGACTTTCTTTTTTTCGCCCACATTCTCCTTTCGATTTATATGATGAAAAATTGGGACCCGAATTTCCATGTGGAAGAACTTTTATTTTATTTTCCAATTGTTCCTACTGATATCTCATCCATTCTACCCATTTTCCATGCCATCTCGGTTGTTGTGCACCTTATTGACGACTTGAAACCAGGATTTTCAACATTGAGAAACTCGACAACAACATCCTCCAAGAGGCTATTCCTCTTGCCTACACCCCTCGTCGCTTCGTCCAACACCCCGAACAACCTCTCTTTTACGTCATCGAGTCTGACAATGGTATTCTTGCCCCCGCAACTCGGCAGGCCCTTGTCCAAGATGCCCAGACCCGAAAAGACGATGTTACTATTCTCCCCGCCGAAGAGTTTGGCTACCCCCGCGGAACAGGCCACTGGGCTTCCTGCATTCAAATCGTCGACCCCGTTTCGACCAAATCAGTAGTCTTCACGCTCGACCTCGAGGACAATGAAGCCGCCGTCAGCCTTGCTGCTGTTCCATTTTCCAGCCAGGAAAATGAAACGTTCCTTGTCGTGGGAACCGCAAAGGACCTCAAAGTGAGCCCGCCGTCGTGCTCTGCCGGCTTCATTCACATCTATCGCTTCCAGGCCGAGGGCCGTGAGCTCGAGTTCATCCATAAGACTCGGGTTGACCGGCCACCTCTCGCTCTACTGGCATTCCAAGGACGGCTCCTCGTCGGTCTCGGTCCCAAGCTGCGTATGTATGACCTGGGAATGAAACAACTTCTCCGCAAGTGCCAGGCATCCGTTGTCCCCAACATGATCGTGGGTCTCCAGACACAGGGCAGCCGTATCGTGGCTAGCGATGTTCGTGAAAGTGTCACGTATGTGGTTTACAAAAAGCAGACCAATATCTTTATCCCCTTCGTGGACGATTCCATTGCCCGCTTCACGTCCTCGACCACCATGGTGGACTATGCCACTGTGGCGGGCGGTGACAAATTCGGCAACTTGTGGTTGGTGCGGTGCCCTGAGCGAATCTCCGAGGAGGCCGACGAGGATGCATCGGGTGCCCACCTCCTTCATGAGCGAAGCTATCTGCAAGGCACCTCCAACCGGCTTGAGTTGATGATTCACTATTACACCCAAGATATTCCCACCAGTGTGCACAAGACTCAGCTGGTTGCCGGCGGCCGCGATGTGATCGTCTGGACCGGTTTGCAGGGTACTATCGGCATGCTCGTTCCGTTCATCAGCCGCGAGGATGTCGACTTTTTCCAAAGCCTGGAAATGCAGCTGACTACCCAAAACCCTTCCCTGGCGGGGCGGGATCATCTCCTCTACCGCGGTTACTATGCACCTGTCAAGGGTGTTATTGACGGCGATCTCTGCGAGACCTTCCTCCTCCTTCCTAACGACACGAAGATGATGATCGCTGCGGAACTCGAGCGATCCGTCCGCGAAGTCGAGCGGAAGATTTCTGTGAGTTGCTCCACCATCCCCAATCACGATATTCATGCTAACATGCACCTCTAGGACATGCGTACTCGGGTTGCGTATTGATCTCTCAAGGGATTCTGGCGTCTTTTACCGGCGTTTGTGCTCAGGGCTTCTGATACCTACTCGTTATCTCACACAATCGATATCCAAATGCGGCTTAAGACCGCCTGTTTCTGATCCATCCCCCATCCCTTCTCTCCGCTCCGCACCGTAGACATGTCTTTCTTGAATGTCGTCTCTTGCCTCGCTCGGTTTGCCGCCTTCCCTCGGCTAATCTTGAGCTGGATGCAGCCCGTCACTTTCCAGTGCGGTCCTGTATGAGACAAGAACAAGTGTGGCAACACGCTTCGACGCTCTTTGAGTACGGTTTTATCTGCATCACACCACGGATATGAACCGTAATTTATCAGTCGGAACAATACGTAAATCATGCGATTACCTTAGCTATGTTCGAATAGCATCATGATCCAAATCACCTGAAATTAAAATCAAAAGATCCTAATGTCCAAAGTACTGTTCGACTTTCCTGTCCTGTAGCAACTGAGATCAACGATGTTGGTTGATCGCCGGTTCGGATCGGTCGAACTTCTTCCCCATAGGTTAATCAAGTACACCCTCACAACCGCAGCGCTTCGCCCATTGTGACTGACCGCACCGATCGCCGACTTTTGATGCCGAAACTCGACTCGGCGCGCATCCAGAGTGTAAATAAATTGCCCTGATCCCGAAACGCATCCCCACTCGGCTTTGCAATGCGCTCGGCTAAGGTCGGAAAGATCTGGAGCCTCCCGAGCGGCCGGCTACCGTCGTGGTCGATTTCTCGGAAAGGGGTCCTGTCCTTGGGATGTGGTCATGGCCATGGGTCATGATGATCGACTGCATTTTTTTGGGGCTGAATCCTGAACAAGGGAAACTCTCGATGCTTTGAAATCCCCGGACAATTGTCAGCAGGACCGGCGCCGCGTGCTCATGATTGGCCAAATTGCGAGCATTATGACACGACCGAGCTCGCAGCGCAGATCGGGCTACGTGAGTGGCCCGCCCACGCTGGCTTGCTGCGAGTGGAGTCTCGAAGGGCGTGCTTGTCGGCGTAAGGCGCGGCCCACCGACCGTCCGACCCACCTGCATTCGCTGAGCTTTAGCTCGATCTCAAATTCCGAGATAGCTGCGCTTTTGGCATCGACATGTCGCGGTGCTGCACAGCGGGGGCACAGCGGCTGGTGTAACTGTCAGTGGGCGTCTTAACACGCCGGGGGAGTGAACGAGCTTCTGTCGTGACGCCGTGGCTCCGACAAAGGAAGGGCATTGCCCGTGTCTTCGAACGACATCGGAATGTCAACCCAAGGGCGCATTACATGTGCCGATGGTTGGAAGGGCGCAGCCCACCAATTATGGCCCCAGATCCCGGGCACCTCTGTTTGTGGCGTATCCTCGCGTTCGGCTGTTCTCTTGAAAGTCTGCAGCGGGTTCGATCGTCCACACGTGTGCCCGCGTCACCCGAGTTCTTGACAATTGGAGTGCTCGGCCGTTTACTAGATGACTCACAAATCTGGCGTCAATATTCCCCATGGATTTGTAAACGAGATGACATGAACGATCGCATCATCGATCGTTCTTTCTATAAAACGGGGACCCTCCACTCCATACGGGGTACACCCTCTTAGTATACTACTCTGTACGCAGCGCGGTTGTCCACGGCTCCACTTTCTACTACTATTTTTTTTCTCTCCTCCTGGTCCCTTTTAATGAATCACGAGATCAGCACATTGCCAAAAATCGCAAAGTTGCTCTAATTCTTCCCAAACCCAAATTCCGCCCAGTGCATATTTGAACAAGGGGGTCCGGGGTCCCGCGTGCGCTTCTTATTTTCCTTCCCCTCTTTGGCGCTTGGCCTTTCCTTCCCCGACAACACACCCAAGCAACACCGCGACCCTTACCTTCACCTACCACCATGGTCACGACCTCAGTGATCAGTCGAGGGTCGGAGACCCTGGATGCTTTCACGCGGCGCTCACAGCCTAAAATTGACATCCACCTGGATGGCCAAAAGCCCGGTCTGGTCAGCTCATATACTACTGGCGACCAAATTGACGGCACCGTCACCATCACCGTGGATCATGACATCCGCTTTGACGAAATCGAGATTGTCCTGCAAGGTATGATTATCGCTCCGCGTCAGCTTGGTCTCTGCGCGCCAGTCCCTGATCTCGATATAGGCATCTCCCGAACTACGGTTGAACGAGCTGCTTGTCCCGGACGCACTGGCTCCGAGCACATGTTTCTGAAGCTCCGCCAGCCCATTGAAGAGACGGACTACCCGACTCCGCGAATGTTCGAGGCCGGTCACAAATACACCTTCGCCTTCCAATTCGTCATCCCCGACCAGCTCTTGCCGCAAGTCTGCACTCACATGCGAAAGAACGACGCTGTTCACCGATCCCACACCATGCTCCCGCCGACTCTAGGAGATCCAATGTTGGCTGGGAATGGAAAGTCTCTATTGGATGATATGGCGCCGGAAATGAGCCAAATCTCCTACATTATCCGCGCGGGCGTATTCAGGAGATCCTCCACGGATCAGCGCCAGGTAAAGACTCTGGCCAACTTCGCCAAAAAGGTTCGCATAATCCCGATTGTGGAGGAAGAGCCACCGATCGATGTGGGAGATCACCACCAATACTATTGCACACGCAAGGAGAAAAGCGTGCGGCGCGGATTTTTGAGGGGAAAACTGGGTCGAATGATTGCCACAACGGTGCAGCCAAAACCAATCCGTCTTCTCCCACTCAGCTGCGAGGCCCCTGATACTGTCAGCACTGTTGCCACGGTTCAATTGCGATTTGACCCGGTGGGTAACGAGATGCCACCAAAGCTCGGCTCAATGACGAGCAAACTCAAGGCCAGCACTTTCTACAGCGCCGGTCCCTGGGAGGACTACCCCTGCCAGTCTGGAAGTATGCCATTCTCGCAGGTCGGGCAAGGCCTCTTCAACGAGTCGGTTCCTCTCTCGACCATGTGCGTTGCATCTGCACAATGGCAGAAGCACTCCACGAGTGACTGCGAACGCCGGGGCTCAACCCAGACTACTAGTACTTGCTCCGAAGACTCAACCAGTGTTGGAACATCGCCCGAATTTACTGGGGAAACCTACTACACTGCCTCAGTAGTAATCCCCGTCAACCTTCCCGCCTCGAAGACCTTCGTCCCGACTTTCCACTCGTGCCTCATGTCGCGCACCTACTCCCTGGACCTGTCGCTCTCTTACCACACCCCAGGCACGAATGTGCTCACCCCGACAGTGACTTTACGAGTTCCAGTCCAGATCATCACTCAGACCAAATATGCGTCGTCTGTGAAGTCTGAACTGGGACTGGTTGTGACCCAGGCCGAATTGGACGAATACTTTTCTCCACGATCTGTGACCGCGTCCATCAACGAGCCTGTGGTCAACGTGAATCTGGCTCCCCCGGAGTATTCAGAAGCGACAGCTCGCAGCATTGTCCGCGCATGATACCCCTGAACAGCAGCAGCCACCTTTCTTATGTTCTTGATGACATTAATCACCATGAAAAGTTCTTGCTTTCTTCTGGTCCTGGCGTTGAGCACGTTGAGACTTGAAATTTGGATACCCCTTGTCTTTTTACATGTTATGGAGCGTTGATAGCATGCCGATTTGTTTTGATCATTGAATGATTTTCTGTTTTTGGTGTCTTGCTTACTATTCTAATCTTTTCTAATGTCCTCAAGTAATCGTCGAGCACCGAAATAGATGCGCTAATAATAATTCTCTCTTTCTCGGATAACTCTAATAAGTTAGCCTGATAAGTTAGCAAGGTGGCCAGACCTTCTATTAGACAGCAGGTCCAACCCTTGAAGCGTAATAGAGTTGCACCATGAGGGTAGCCAAAGCCTGGACAACCTCGGTACGAACCTTACTTTATTCCGATTAAGGCATTTGTGGGTACCACGAAAGCTTAATCTGGAACGAGTGCCGGGTTGCTTCCCATCGGGGATGCAACGATAAGACGCCTTTGCAAGAGGTCTTATGATTTCAAGAGAATCGAATATTTAAAAGGCTATGCTGGACCATATATGAAGAAAATTCCCCTAAATTTCATTCTACATTTATACCTGATCCCTTGACGTAAGCCATATCAGCTGGCTCTGGGCTTTTTTGTTGACCTCAAACAACGGCAAAGCTTCTACGAGATTACGTAACCATGAGAGCTTCATTATACCTTCTTCTTGGGGTTTTCTATATCGCAAGCTCGGGCTCAGTACCAGACACCGATGATAACTGCGGTGGTAGTATCGGAAACTGTTATGACAATGGTTGCAATGGAAACCCAACAACACTGGTGTGCACATCTGTAGGTGTTCCTATTAAAATAGCTTTACAAAACTCGCTCTAAATGTGGTAGGGCTACTACATTGGTTGTCCATGCGGTTACGGCTGTAATGGCATAGGGCCTTGCAATGGAAATGGCTGCAATGGACAAAACGGACGGTGCACTGCCAACTACTTGGGCTGTGCATGTCGTTGAGCTTACCAACTGGGGCTCTAATGCATTTATATACACACTCTATATTTATTTTGTTTTATCTAAGTTCTTTTGACATCAATTGATTTGGTTCTACTTTTGCTTTTCCCAGCCCCATATCGAAACGGAAGGCTCCTGCCTCTGCCTCAGGCCGCAACAAAACGCCCAATCTCTCAGGGTGAGGAGCTACTCGATCTCCCAAACACAATATTCTTCTTCAACTTTCCCTCAATTTCTCCCCATTTGGAGCCAATGGAAACCTCGTGTAGCTACCAAGTGTCTTTTATTGACTAATCGGCACCCTTCCCGATCCAATCGATAGCATCCTTGGGGGCGATATAGTCAAGGGTTGTTGGCTTTCAGAGATTAACAGGGATACCAGATCAGATCAGGCAGAAATTTAAGAGCGCTAAGCCCAGAGACTGGGGTGGACTCGTTTCATAGGTGTTCTATTACGACGAGATTTCTCTGGAAGTTAAGTGGTCTATGAATCTGGCATGCTTCGTGAATCTAGAGCTGGTATTCCACAGAGAAATCGAGGATACGAACAATTAGGCCATAAATGTTCCCACTGCCCTATAACCAAGCTCGTCGTTTGATCTGATCGAAAGCGATCGGAAAGTTCGCATCGTCGGCAGCGCTGCCGAGCGCCTTCCCCTTACCACAGGCAAGCATAACCTATAAAACCCGGGCTATTTTCCTTTGCCGAGAGATAATCATACCATATGCGTTTGAATTTCCCCGGGAAACTTTCTTTTCCGACACGGGGTTGCGCTGAGCGAACGTGGCAAAATACCTCGCGGGATATTTTGAAGGCTTGGCTCCACCGGGTGAGCATCCGATGGTGGCTATTTCTGGGCAAACGAGAATGTATCATGGATGCCCCATGGGGGATTTTCCGTGAACAATTGTGCCTGGGTGGCTTTGTACAAATAAGTTCATCAATCACTTGACGAGGATTTTTGGTTTATGACTTTCCACAATGTCTAGAGCCGGATAGTCGACGGAAGATCAACCAGGGTGAGTTAATTACTGATGAATGCTCCGGTATTGATAGCCCCTCTCCAGGCCCTTGAAACGGGCTTGTATCGAGCTGATCTCGGGATGAGAGCCCGCTCAGCTAAGATCTCAAGTCGGGACGGAACGCGCTATCGACAAGGGTTGATATCTCTCGACATTGTCCAAGACTAGGAAATCAATGCAATGACTAGCATGAGACAGCTTGGTAAGAGGTTGCAACCATATCCACCCAATTGAAGACCACTTATCCGTCTGTGGTACTCAGATCAGGCATACTGAGAAATAACTGCGTCATTGCCCCATGAGTGGCCCCATAGTCTAGGTTTCATTACAGTGTTTTTTGGTGACTTCCCATGGGGCGCTTCCCCGCATTTTAAGAGCAGTAAGATAAGCCTCTACCGGCCTGGCACCCGAGAGTATGTGGGGTTTCGTTATTCGGCCTTGAAAATGATTTAAAAGAACCCACTATATCCAATCTCCCAACCGCTCTAGCTGAGATTTTCTCATGGATACCCATTCTAGATTCTTCTAATATGCCCGAAAAGAAAGAAAACGAACCATTGAGTCCTGTCCACTCTCAGACAGGTCAAATTCTTGAGGACCAATCCAATTCTCATGACGCTGTCTTCGGCGACATTACCGATGATGGTCCGAATTATCGCAATGTAAAGTGCAAAGGCTCACTGACTAATGACAAGGTATAGAGGCTTGCTTACAATTACATAGGTCGGATGGCTAGGATCTGCTGCTCTGATGATGAAAAGCCAAATTGGCCTAGGTGTTCTGTCTATTCCAGTGGCATTCGATACTCTAGGGATCGTTCCGGGGGTGATCTGTCTATGTGTCATTGCCGCCATTACAACATGGTCGGACTACATGGTCGGTGTCTTCAAGCTGAAGCATCGGGATGTGTACGGAATAGATGATGCCGGGGAGTTGATGTTTGGCAAAACTGGGAAGATATTCTTTGGTTTTGCATTCTGCCTCTGTGAGTATACGGATGCTGAGATCGACTTTGAGGCTACTAGTAAGTACTAGTAGCACTTTCTGACATACGTGTATCCTAGATTGGGTTTTTGTTGCCGGATCGGGGATGCTGGGAATATCCATTGCGTTGAACGCACTTTCTACCCATGCTACTTGCACTGCTGTATTTGTGGCAGTTGCTGCTGTGGTGGGCTTCATGCTTTCTAGCATCCAGACATTGGGTCGCATGAGTATCTTTGCATGGGTTGGGTTGGTGTGTATTGTGACTGGAAGTGAGTTTTACCTCCCAGTGCTACTTGTCTTTTCCACCACGGCTGTCACGGTTCTCTAACGACGCCCAGTTCTCATCGTCACCATCGCGGTCGGAGTCCAAGATCGCCCATCGGCAGCCCCGCAGGATGGCATTTGGGTGTCTGACTACCAAATAACGGCTAGCGCTCCCTTCAGCGAGTCTATCACCGCCGTGTCTTCCCTGGTGTTTGCTTATGCCGGTGAGTGATATTCCGTAAATACCTAGGTGATCTCGTCCGATCTTTACTGACAGCCGTACCTAGGAACACCGTCGTTTTTCTCGATTGCGTCCGAAATGCGCGACCCTCGTCAATATACCAAGTCTCTCATGATCTGCCAGTCTGTCGTGACTGGCGTTTATCTGGCTATCGGTTGCGTGGTCTACTATTACTGCGGGTCTTATGTTGCCTCGCCTGCCCTTGGCTCGGCCGGCCCGACCATGAAGAAGATTAGCTATGGCTTCGCCCTGCCCGGTCTCCTTGTCACAACGATGCTTGTGATTCATGTGAGTTGTTCTATCTTCCGAGGAATTGATTTGAGCTTCATGCTAATCCGTAAACCACCAAGCTCCCCGGCAAATACATTTTCCTTCGTCTCCTTCAAGGATCCCGCCATCTGACAGCCAACACCATCACTCACTGGGTAGTCTGGCTCAGCTGCACATTCGGTATCACGTTGATTGCCTATATCATCGCCAGCGCCATCCCCGTGTTCGACAACCTTGTTTCTCTTATCGGTGCCTTGCTGGGCACTCTCATGTCATTCCAGCCCATGGGTTGCATGTGGCTTTATGATAACTGGAGCCAGGGGACGAAGGAACGGTCGCCTCGGTGGATTCTGATGGTCTGCTGGAGTTCGTTCGTTATCTTGGTGGGGACCTTTCTCATGGTCTCCGGCACATATGGATCCATCGTGACCATCATCGACAGCTACAATGCATCCGGAGGATCGGCGGCCTGGTCATGCGCTGACAACTCAAACTCGACCTGAGCGGTGATCGGAAGGATGACCAGAATGACTGCCCAGGCCTTAGAACGCGACTGCTAACCGGCGCGCTACAGTAGAACTGCGGGCGACCCGCGATCAATTCATGATCTATGCTTAACTGAGGAAATGCGGGGCGGGGCTTGGCTCCTCCGAGACCACGCGTGTGTCATTCTGTTTCAACGTCAGCATCATGTTTGTTTTTCTCGTTCCGCTTTTGTATGCAGTGCAGATCGAACATTAGGAAATATCATCCTTCAGTTTAAGTGCCACGACTTTCGCTATCGCTCGAGATGACTGACCTCCCTGATAGTTCGTGACCGCCCTGCTTCATCCCGCCTCCTCAGCAACCCTGTCCAGGGTATCGAGGCACATGCCGCGGTCGCATGGCTGGAGTGTTACATTCCTATCGCGCGGGTGATGCGTTCCTGCAGCAGACGCAGAATGTCCCTTATTCTCTGATTCGTTCTTCCCGATCACCAGTCAACCGGGCCGTTGATGTCAAAGCCGAAGAAGCTATTTGAGCTTAGAATCAATACTGTACCTAGTGTTGCATTCACACCTAAGCCCCAGCAGATATCTTTTGGATTTCATGGAAACTCACGATGCAACGCCCTCGCTCTAGACCCGCGGGGCACCGGCTCGCTCCCACAACCCCCAAGATACACTCCGAGGCATCTGGAGCGATCGCGGGATGAATTATCCCGAATGACAATGTCACCCATCTCCACATGAGTGATCCCAGATAAAATGTACTAATTGGATGGCATTGATGACAGCCACGCGAGCAGATATCCAAGCCGGATTTAAGGACCGCATGGCGCAGGAGAAATCACCGTCCCATGCCTTATGGTTACATACAACATTCCGCGGCCATGCAACTTGACCCCCTCAAAAAAAAGGCAACCTGGAGGTTGATCAGGCCGTGAATGTGGCGCCTCTCCTAGACGACTCCTAGAGGCACAGGAACGAAGCCCGTTAACCACGTTGTCCATGTGCGCTTGTGGAGGCAGCTTGGCAGATGAATCTTGCCTGACTCAACGAATCAACTATCTCTGCTGACCCGAGGTTGACCTTGTAGGAACCATGGCGCAGTCACTCCGCATAAGAATGCTTCCATCGAGCCTAAAGGCTGTCGACGCTTACCCTAAAAAGGGTTCGGAGCTCAAGAGAGAAAAAACAAGGGGGTCAGAAGAGACTTGGTTTGCTCGGGGAAAATTCTTCGACGGATTATGTTCGGTACCCCATTTGATCGGGTTGACATTAGCTGACTTTTTGGTTTCATTTTTTGCCTTGTCAACTGTATATAATGACGTCTATCCCTCGATCGCGGATTTCGAATTCCCTTTCAAGTTGCTGGTCTCCACGAAGTAACATATTCCAGAGACTATCATTTTTCATCTAGGATGCGGCTTTCTTCACTTCTTTCTGTGGGCCTGGCATGGCTGGCACACGCTGCCGTGATCGGCCACCAAGATGGAAGGAACACCACGCTGGTTGAGGCTCACCAGGCTGCTACTGGCTATCGTTCTGTGGCATACTTCGTTAATTGGGTAAGTTGACCCCACTATTCCTACTCCTTGAAAATGAAAATAACATTTGCTAGGCAATCTATGGTCGCAACTTCAATCCCCAGGACCTTCCTGCCGAGAGACTGACCCATGTACTGTATGCATTTGCCAACGTGCGCTCAGACTCGGGTCAGGTATACATGTCGGACTCGTGGTCAGACATTGAGAAGCACTACCCTGGAGACTCCTGGAGCGACGGTGGAAATAATGCCTACGGTTGTATCAAGCAACTATTCCTTTTGAAAAAGAAGAACCGAAACTTGAAGGTCCTCTTGTCTATCGGAGGTTGGACATACTCAAGCAACTTTGCAGGTCCTTTGAGTACAAGTGCTGGACGAGCTGCTTTTGCTTCATCTGCGGTCAGCCTGGTACAGAATTTCGGCTTTGATGGAATTGATATCGACTGGGAATACCCTACGGATAGTACCCAGGCAGCCAATTTTGTGGCCACTCTCCAGACGCTGCGTTCGGTGAGTTCTCTCTAAAGATCAATTTTGATGACGGACACTGAGATCTAGTAACCAGGCACTTGATAGCTATAGTGCTACCTATGCGAATGGCTACCATTTCTTGATCACTGTAGCATGCCCAGCTGGTTTGTCTCCCAAAGGTTCCAGTGGAAACTTATTCTAACGCAGAATTTCAGGCCCTTCGAATTACCAGCAGCTCAATATTGCTCAAATGGATCAATACCTTGATTTCTGGAATTTGATGGCATATGACTACTCCGGAAGCTGGGATACCATTGCTGGCCACGATGCAAATGTCTACGCATCATCTAGTAACCCGGCAAGCACACCATTTAACACAGACCAGGCTATCCGGTACTACACTTCCAACGGCGTGAGCACCAACAAGATTGTTTTAGGGATGCCCCTGTACGGTCGGTCTTTTATGAATACAGCTGGACCTGGCACGAGTTATAATGGTATTGGAGCCGGGACATGGGAAGCCGGTGTTTATGACTATAAGGCATTACCCATGGCAGGTGCTTCTGTGAGTCAAGACAACTCCATCATTGCAAGCTACAGCTATGATCCATCACAGCGGATGATGGTCAGCTATGATACTCCGCAGGTGGCTCAGATGAAAGCGCAATACATCCAATCTAAAGGTCTCGGAGGTGGGATGTGGTGGGAGTCAAGCAGTGACAAATCTGGATCTGACAGCTTGATCAGCACGGTGAGTACAATCTTCAAGCTCAAACGTCCTCCTAGCTGAAACTGTAATTTCCAGGTGGTCAACGCATTTGGAGGTACTGGTGCCTTGGATAAGAGCCAGAATCAGCTCAGTTACCCTGCGTCTTCTTACGATAATCTAAGAACTGGATTCCCTGGTAGCTGAATAGCTAGGACCTCTGAAACCTCATTCCTGGAATATGCTTTACTCTGACTTCGAACTACCTGCTTTCAAATCTGTTCATTTTTTTGAGATACACGCACAGAATTACTTCAGATTTTTCACTCGCTACTAGTACTTGAAAATGATATCTTACACCTTATTGCAATTGAATAATCACGTACCCATAGTTAAAGCAATTAGTTAACTATTTATGTATCCCACCTCCTATTCCTCTTCAGAATTCACGTGACATAGAAGAGCTGAGTTGAATTCTGTTTCCACTGGTGATCATCGGCCATTGTGGTACCTAAGGTAAGCAAGTTGAACATTGAAACAATTAAATAATCGCAGTATTCCTCGCGGATTATATCCGCTATTATCGAGACCTGCTGATTCTTCGCTTCGTTTATGCCTGAGGCAGTATGAAGTAGTTGGAAGGCGGTGGACCGCGTATGTGATGGCTACCAGTGCAAGTAGATGAACAAGTCTGATTTCGATTACAACCCCTGAGCTAACAATTTATAACTAATATTTGTTGCTGGAAATATTAGGTGTATACCCATGTGGTGTTCAGAATAGCCGGGCGTTCAGATCGGCCGGGAATTACGTAAGTGGAGTCGAAGACGTCATCAGTGACCGCGAGTGTCAGATGTTCTACCTAATGTCAATGTGTCAACGGACAGCTTCACGAAACGCTCTCTCAGAAATCATACCCCCAAAAAGACTCACCATGTTGACCGGTTCGTGTCTTTGCACCGTGAACAGATACACAATCTTGAACGAGGATGCTACTGTATTCAGGAAGGTGACGATCTCATACTAGCGAGGTTCCTTTCTTCATCTACTTATTTGGCTTTCTATTAGATAATATGTCATTGTGCTCGCTGCCGTAAGATCAGCGGTGAATACACTACCACTAACCTTGTCGTGCCGAAGACGAGATTTCAATTGACGAGCGTCTCGAAGTGGCCCTCTCTCGTTCCGGGTCTATCAAAGACCACCCGCATTTTCAATGCTGTCCTGCCAGATGATAAGCATGGACATATCTGTTTTTGCAGCCATTGTGGGTCAGTTCTCTATCGCGAATCTGAAATGCAGGGAATGCGCGGCCTAATTTTTGTGCCAGTGGGCACTCTTGATGACATTGACTCGGTCATCAACTTGAGAGAGGAAGAATGGTATTAAGTGGGTGAATTTAGATTTGCGGGTGTAATTCATGGGAAATTTACTTTATTTGAATCATAGGTCGGAATATGAGATTCTTTTTTTGCCCTTGAAGAATAAATAGTAAAAGTAATTGTTGTTATCACCAGTCAAGTACTGTGTGCATAGTTAAGTGGACAACATGTTTGCTCGAAAAGCAAAAGGTCAATTGATTCATGTAGATAGATGTCGATTCGTTCCCCACTACTGTCTACGTTTCCCTTCTATGACTGGCTCGTGCTCACTCGTCCTTAGTTGTATAACTCTCTTCTTGACTTAAGTTTTCTTAAGGCTTTGATATTAACTTCCGTGCTTGGCGTCGCTGATTCGCTGGCTTGGCCTTCACTGGTCCACGAGGCTCTATAGCTTCACTGACATGTGAGAGTACACTGAGTGCTGTCGAAACTTCGGTTGTAGTTACTTGGCTTTATAGTTTGGTCTATTCATGATTCAAATAGATCCAATCGGCTTCGGCTGCTGCCTTCCGTAACTTTATGTACGCTATGACCGTGCAGCATAACTCTTTACACTCCCGCTATACCCGATATATTCGACTATTACCTCACGAATGAAAGAAATACCTAGCTTAGCTTTTGGGGAGGATTTTATTTCTATTTATATTTCTGCTTAGTACCACTTTCATCTCATACAGAGTAGTCCCTTGACGTAATGTCTCATCTATTACCGATTCCAGTCTGCTACCTACACTTGACGATCTCTACTTATAGTACACAAGGTTATATACCTTCCTATATGTGTCACGGCTTCAGCATGTTAGCTCATCGATCTTGTCAGGATCGTGGTCGTCGAGTTCGCCTATCTATAACTATCGAACCACCGCGGTGTCCTGCCTGTCGATTAGCATCTTTGCCGCCTCTAGTCGAAACCCGTCCCTGCTTAGGCTGCAGCGTTCCGATTCCTGTGAATTCGGACGATCTTCACTGCAGCCATTGCCGAACCCGGCCATCTCCTCCACCTCTCCTCAATAATCGTCCTTGTTATGACTGTGGAAACCCATTTCCGGCTCGGACTCGCATAATTCGCTGTTTCGATTGTCGGTCTAGAAGATCAACTGTTACGCAAGCGCCAGTTGATTATGACCGCCTACGTACAACTCTTCTCAATTCATTTTGACTTTATGGATATATTTCGCTCGCGTGCTCGTCCAATCATCACACCCTACGCAAAACTTTGCTACGTCACTCAGTCTGTATATAATTGGCTAGTCCTAGCAGGCATACGTGTGTACCTTTCCGGTGGGTTATCAAAACTAATCGTTCGACTTGCATATATCATTCCTCAACTTATGATTCACCTTTCGTGCTTGTTTCGTTTCAGGGCCACAGCGTGCGACAGCGCGCGTCACCAGTTCGCCTTCGCGGCCCCGGGTACCTGCCTTATTTTCGCTTTTTTTGGATTAGATCATCTTGGCTTAGGGTTGTAGGGTTATTTGCTCGTATTCATGCAGGTTGTCCTGCTTTCATTGCTTCATCATCTGCTTGTCGCCCTCCATCCTATTGCAACACAATGCAGTATATTGCCACTGTAATTTCCTCTTAGTGCGCTCGTTCTTCCATTTGCCCCTCCCCTTACTTTTGTCCCAGTGCCCACGGCATGTTAACTAATCGACTTTGCTCTGGCTGTGGACGTCAAGTAAGTCTGGCTACGGCTATTCAATTACCAAAATGTCCCGCTTGTCGATTTTTCCAGCTACCCCCTATACCGGAGACACGCCCCTGCTTGCGCTGTCATGTGCCAATTCCTGCGGACTCTCCAAGTACTCGCTGCATGCGTTGTGAAGCCATACGCTCCCGAATCCTCGTTTTACTCCGTGCTATGTCCCATCTTTGGCCTCACAAAAGAGAAGCTATTGTGGCAGATGACATACATTTCCTGCCGACATCAACAACTAGTCTTCCACCAACTCCCTCTTCAACAACCGGGAAAAGGAAACGCGTTGACCGCTGGTCCCAAAGGGCTGGACCAACAACTCCGTCCAAATCAGCAGTGGACCATACAAATGAGTCTACCCTCGACGATCGCAGCTTGCAACGCCTGCTAGAGCGAATACTCCTGTTGACGAAGACGAGGAAAGCACTCAAATCACCTGGGCTGATACAGTGGACGGCACCAAGAGCTTGCCACAAGCAAGCACTCCTACTCCAGAAAGGCGTTCACAAAGACCAAGAAAGTCTTCGTACGCTGGTATATTTGCACAATCCAAATAAAAATGCGGCCAGCGATTCGAAAACTTGCTGACATCCTTTCGTGCTGCGGATATTAGTCATCTTCGGGCTTTATGTCATTGGCCCATTTGGATTCAAACGCATTTCCGCTTCATTCAAAACATTTGAACACTACTTCCACTTTTAACCCCTATCTTCCTTTTCTTTCGTTTCAGGGCCGATGCGCGCGACGCGCGCGTCTTCCAGTTATTTATCGGGTCTATTCTTAGGAGATAATTATTTATAGCCTTTCCTTATACAGACTAGTGTATACTCGGGTACGGGCCGAGAAACAAAGTCAGTGTATTCAAGGGGGTAATCTGTTTTCGAAATCGACTGTATAGCTTTGAAAGAGACGCAGGAAGACTGACGGCTGAAAACCGACGATATAAAATTGTTGTTGTGACCAATCATAATAGATTACTAATCTATGCTCTACACCTGGAAAATAGATCTTCCGGTCAGGTGTGGCCCGACCCAACTGTTACTGTCGGCCTGATCTGCTTCCTTGGCTGGGCTGGGCTGGCTGGCCTCTCTTTCCTTCGAATCCCCGAGGGTCGGAGTCGTCATCCGTCATGCGTTTATTTCCATCCATCATAATGCTCCCTTCCTTACAGTATTGACACTTCCGGAATATATCCTGGCGCCATGTTACTTGCAGTACCGCTTGAAACGCAAGAGAGAACATTAGAAAGAATTATTACAATCGAAGTCACTAATGTTTGCAATATGAAACGAGTCGCCGAATAAAAGCCTCCAGACCATACGTAAAACCGACAATCGCTCTTTCTCCACGTTACTCTGCGAGTGCCATTATGAGACCTGTGTAGCCGGGAAAAAGTACTTAAATAGCCTCACTACCAGACTCCTTGCCTCGCGCAACATCGTTAACCGAGCTTTCAGAAGGCGAGAATGGGGAGGTCTTTGTGCCCTGCTTTTCCTCAGTGGAGATTGCGCTTGCGGGAATGTCTTTCCCTGTGAGACCACGGTAGACCTGAACAATTTGTTGAATACCACCATCAAGTAGCGGTGCAAAGATCGCGATAAGCATAGTGCCCCAAAGCCAAATCACAGCAACCACAACCCAGGCGACGAAGAACTATCAGAGCAATAACTAGTCAGTTTTTATCTTGCGCCGGGTAGTTTCTCCGAAAGACCAAGAGGCCTTCTTACCTTCTTCTCAAAAACGTAGTGAGATCCGTACATCGGCAACGGCCATATCACCCAATGTCCTAAAAAAGTTGCGACCGACCACAAGGCCGCGATTCGACCCCATCGCTTCAGTTCCTGCGCATCGAAACTGGCACTGCGAGTGCCCCCATCCTCAATGGTATTGGGATCATCTGGACTCTGTCTTTCGCGATGATGAGCGGTAGTAAGATCACTTTCTAACTTTTCAAGAGAAAGTTTCTCCTTTTTAAACTCGGCCCAGTCGTAATCCTGAGGCTTGATAAAAGTGATCACGATTGAGTAGAAGATTGGCGAAAAGCAAGAGGCCACGGTGCCATAGACACACGGGAGTACCTCACCGGTTGTTGCGACAGAGACCTCTCCTCCAAAATGAGAGGCTGTGCCCAGCCAGACAGCCAGTCCGGTGGCTAAGCCAAGGATTGGAGATAGAATGGCGGCTGCTTTGCTATGTCGACGCCAAAGGATGGTAAACACCATCGGGAAGATACCAGGGCAGGTGACAACACCTAAGACTTTTGTTAGTGATTGAAAATATTCCCAAGATGCTGATGATCTTACCAAGCATGTAAAGTGTCCAACCAAGGTCAATCCCAACATAATGTAGCATTGTGCTGAACCCAGCGGAGAAGGCAGCGAAGAAAACCACGCCAAAGTGACTGGACCTGATCAACTCTCGGTCGGTTGCTGACTTTTTGAAGTATTCACGATACACATCAAAGCTGAGAATAGAGCTGACAGCGATGACTTGTGCTGAGAGAGTTGAAGTGCAAGCCATGAAGGTTATCAATAGCGAGGCTGCAGCACCGCCTTTGCCTGCAATTGTGACCGCGGCATAGGGCAGCACGAGGCCGTTGCTGACCTCTGAAGAGGTCATTCTCTGTCGATTAAGGTTATTGATCAATTCGAAAACTAGAGAGAAATGATCGCTTGCCTACTCTCGGAAAAGTCGGAAAATTTGGTTGATTTTCCAGGCCGAGCGCTACGGAGCTCATTACAGTACCTAGGGCCCAAGGGATGGCAAAGTAAGCAATGCCTCCAATGGTATATCCGGGCACCACTGAAGATGGAGATGCCGAGAAAGCCTTGATAAAGTAGCTCGTGTCCATCTTCGAGAGTTAGCTGATCCATCTTTTTGTGGCTTAGATATCGGAGATTTCACTCACAATTACAAGACCAAAATTGGAACAGGTATGCAGAATTGCAAACAGGATTGCCTAAAACCTCTCAGAAGTGTGAAATAGCTCCAGATGTTCAAGTATTACTCACGCTTTTCGATGTCATTGTTAGATAGGTTCCACCTTGGTTCCCGGCAACTGGGTGCCGCTGGGCTGCTGCCTGGACCAGCTCAAATAAGTTCTCAATGGAACCGACCTGATCGGTCGAGAAGGCTTTGACGGAGAAGTAGCATGCAATGATTAAGATAATTGCCGTGTGAAAATAGTCAGTCAAGAATCTATTGATAATCAGTAATGCCAGAATTTGCTTTTTGAGAACAGAAGGAAACCAACGTTGCTTTGATACCCCCCACAAAAGTATAGATTGTCACTCCGACCGGAAGAAGGAAAGTCGAAGCAATTATATGCATTCCAGAGCTGGATACGTTAGTCAAGCAGAAGCGAATGAATCGAGTTTCGATCCCAGACATACACAGCTGTGATCACCGCGGCGGCTCCCAGGAGCATGTTGGCGCACGCAAAGATGTTGTTAATGAGACAAAGGACCATAAATACGATATGAGCCACCCGACCTACATGAAACTTGTTAGTCAGGCATGGTCGAGGCTGAGTGAGGTAAGTTGTAACATACCATAGCGAATTCGAACGACCTCCAAGGAGGTGTGGGCCTCGGGGATCTTTCTCTTGCAAGAGATACCGAGCAGCGCGAAGAAGACAATCATGGGGCTACAACCGGCAGCAAACCAGAAGGGCCCGGCAACGCCATAGCTATAACCGACAAATGAAGATCCGAGCAGCGCGGTAGACCATAGCCAGGACTATCGAGATTTGCGTCAACTATCTGATCGAAGATAGTTAGATGTATAACGTACCGAAATCACAGCTGACGCAGTTAGACCAGTTCGAACAGTTCGATTGGCCGTCATGAACCTATATTATACCCGTGTTAGATCCCGCTTATTAGAGAACCGACCTGGACCGCATACATTTCCGTCTTTTTATTATCTTCACCGGTGGTCTTCTTGAGAATCTTTGTGACCAGCATCATAACTATCATTGTGTCAACCACGGTTGCTATAGTAAATCTGCCGAGATAGAGGTTTTACCAAAGGCAACAATGATACCGATTGCAACGACGACAACATATCCGACTGCCTGAGATAGGGGTGGCTCAACTGTCGAGATGCCATCGCGGGAATGCAATTGGGCCATGGTGGCAGAGAAAGTCTCGGCCGGAGGCACTGAGTGTTGATCAAATAAACGCAGTCTCAGGCGATAGTTGGTTTAAAAACAAGGCCAAGGAAATAGCCACGGGTTCGAATGTAGCTGTAGAGACCTGGGGAAAGGTAGGGCTGATATGCACTTAAATCATGTTCTGAGCCGTGCACCATGCAACCGGATTCCAGGGTCGAGGGCATGCAGGATCTCCAGCCCCAAAACCATAGCCGCGGTGTCGCCAGGGCATGAGCATCGCGAGATCCGCAATGGCTTGATATCTGCTGGCTATGAGGTGCTTTGCCTGAAGGTAGTTTAACTTTGGGCTGCTTGGACTATATTAGATGATGTGATCGCGAGATGCAGCACAATGATCCGCTGCAGAAGCACTTCTGTCAGGGTAGAGCACCCTGAAGCACCATCATCAATATGCATGAGGGGTGTTTGCGACATGACTGCTTTATCGCATGGTCGCGAGGTGAGCGGCGAGAAGTAGAAGGAGCGAAACCTGGGCTGGAGTGGCCGCGTCTGCCGAGGCTGAGCGGGACGGCGACGACAAACAACCACTGGCACCGCATATGATGAACCTGGTTGCTGCAACTGACCCAATTTATTGGAAATGATGTACTGAGGAAGCGGCCCAAACACGCCCCATAGACCGGAGAGCGACTATCGGAGCCCGGAGCCGTGAGGGCGAACCGAACTTGGGGAGTGCACCTCAAGTTTGCGGCTGCGAGCATATCACGGCCTCTGTATATCTCTCGCCCGAGAAATATCTCCACTTCGCAAGAGGATCTCTCAAGTCTAACCGAGCCTCGTCCAGCCAACGTCGTGCGGATTGTTCAGGGTTGTCCCCATCGCGCCATCGCGGCCCACATTGATGCTATGCGACGGCCGGCCGGAGTGACGCTCGCTGGGATGATGTGCTCGTCGATCGCGATACAAAGCCACAGCCCTCCCGAACGATGAAGACCACTGCGAGCATTGTCACTCCGAGTACTGTAGACAATTCACTACTCGAAGTGTACTAGTTCCAACGCTTAAAAGAAAAAACAATGTCGGGAGATGCAGCAGCCGTAGGGAGTGAGAGGCGCCGCAAATCTCTCATCCTTAATGCATTCGTTGAGATGTGTATGTGCTCAATTGTGACCCCAGGCCTGTGTCTTTCATGAATCACACCCAGCAAAGGAACTAATACTTCAGTAGGTAGCGGCCATCAATCGCCGGGCCTCTGGCAACACCCCGAGGATGAATCTCATCGGTTCAATGATGTCGAGCACTGGACGGAGCTCGCGCAACTGCTGGAATCAGCCAAGTTCCATGGCATTTTCATTGCAGATGTTCTCGGTACGCCTATTCCTACATGTGAGACGATGGTTTCATGAGCAGTAATCGATATTGATACTTGAATGTCAAGGTGGCTATGATGTCTATAAGGGACCGCGGAACCTGGACCCGGCCGTGGTCTCAGGCGCCCAATGGCCCGTCAATGAACCTCTTGCTATTGTTCCGGCCATGGCTGCAGTGACCAAGAATATTGGATTCGGTGTCACTGTCACAACAACATACGAACAGCCTTATCATCTTGCGAGGCGCCTGTCGACAGTCGATCATCTGACCAAGGGTCGGTATGTGAATTGCTTTTCCAGACACGATAGGATCTTGATCTAACTCAGTGTGAAATGTAGCCTCGGGTGGAATGTGAGCTATTCAACAGAACCCACAAAGCTCCCATATTCAAGCCGCTGACCATTTCATCCAGGTTGTAACGGGGTATCTGGACTCAGCTGCACGGAACATGGGCCAGGCCGAGCAGCCACACGTATGAACGCACTCTGACTTTTAAGGCAACGGTGCAGGTCACTGACAGCAACCCAGCACGATGATAGATACGCCGTGGCCGAAGAGTACATCAAAGTGACCTACAAGCTATGGGAATCGTCCTGGCGCCACGACGCCGTCGTGCGTGACCGCAAGCGAGGCGTCTACACCGAGCCAGACCGCGTCCGTCAGATCAATCACTCAGGAAAATATTTTGATGTTCCCGGTCCCCATCTCACCCAGCCAAGTCCACAGCGCACACCGGTCATCCTGCAAGCCGGTACCTCCAAAGCGGGAAAAACATTTGCCGCTCAGCATGCAGAAGCGATTTTCGTCGCCGGTCACAGCCCTTCTGTTGTGGCAAAGAACGTCGCCGAGATTCGCCAGCTGGCTCGGACCGAGTTTGGAAGGGACCCGCAGAGCATCAAATTCCTGGCATTGCTTTGCCCCGTCCTAGGCCGCACCGAGGAGGAGGCCCAGGAGAAGTTCAAGTATTATCGCAGTCTCGGTTCGATCGACGGTGCCCTGGCGCTCTTTGGAGGATGGACGGGCATCGACCTCGACAAGTATGGCGATGACGAGGAGCTCCGGCATGTTGAGAGCAATGCTATCCGGTTAGTAGCACCCACATTTCCAGTTTCTCCAGAGGATCTTGGTCACTAACGGATCGGAGATAGATCTGCGGTGGAGGGCTGGTCAAAAGCCACTCCAGAAGTCGCCAAGTGGACCAAGGCCACGGTCGGCCAGCATATCACAGTTGGTGGGCTTGGTGCTACGCCGGTTGGCACACCTCAGCAGGTCGCTGACAACATGGAGAAGTGGATAAAGGAGGCAGACGTGGATGGATTCAACTTGGTAAGATCTTCCTTCCTCTGGCCTTCAAGAAACATGCGGATTCTAACGACTCATCAGGCTTATGCTGTTAAGCCGGGCTCTTTCAAAGATATCATTGATCTTCTCATTCCTGAACTGCGTAAGAGGGGCCTTTTCTGGGACGACTATGCGGTGCCAAGGGGCACCTACCGGGAGAACCTGTATTCACAGCCCGGTCAATCAGGCCCACGAGCTGATCACCCAGCCGCGAAGTACCGGTGGCAGAGTGGTGTCAATGCTGCAGATCACGCAGTGCCAGAGAACTAAGTTCCACGCGCTGGTATTGATCTGACAGTACTATAAGTGTTGAGTACATACCTGGGAACCGTAGCGTCCATGGATATGATCGAGTGCACGGCTGGAACACGGATATGAGAAACTGTATATAAATAAATACTTTTTTTTGTAGGCCAAGATCGTGCGCCCTCCCAAGGATCTATTCTAAAAACGCTAATTAAATGCGGGTTTTTGTACATGGTCATCATAATAGACAGCCATCTTAAGTCAACATATCATCAAGGCGTTCACCCAGAACATTTTCAATCTGCTTCACCCACTTGCGTACCTCTCTCTCCACACTCTCATCCTCATCCTCCATCAGTTCACTGATGTAAGGCAACATTTCCGGAAGCAAAGCCAGCCACTCCTCACCAAGTTGCTCAGTGAGAGCCTGCTCGGTTTTCAAGGCAGCGAGACGAGTAAGAGGGTTATCGCCACTAGTGGATTTCGCGTTGGGAGCAGAAGAAGGGCGGAGGAACTTCATCAGAGCCATATTGAGCTCCTTGTGGTTATCCGTGGAGTCAGCAGCAACAGCCAGCTCGGTAATAGCAGGCACAACCTCGGCCACGACGAGGTCCGCGGTCTTGGAAGTGGTTGCGTGGCCTAGCTGCGAGATCAGAGGGCCAGAGATGCTGGCAAGATGCGAAGGAGATTGCCAGAATTCTACAAGGACAGATTAGGTTTGATGAGCGAAAGAGGCAGATAAAAGTTAAGACTTACCATCTTGGTCATGCTCGAACGAATTGCGCAGGGTGCGCAAAGTCGCGAGCCAAAGAGCGCGAGTGGCTTTGGATGGGTTCGCTGAGTCGAGAATCTGCACCACACTCTCCAGAATGTAGTTGGAATAACCGGTAACAATTGACTGAGACTCGTTAGCTTTTCGGTGTCTTTCGATGTCGCAGAGAAGCATTACATACCCGAAGAGTACCAAAGAACACTTGGAGGAACTTGTAGAAGGTGGTGAGGCGAGAAAGTTGGCCCTGCTCATCTTTCTTGGGTGCTCCCGTCGTAGCCCATTCAACGAACTTGAGGAACAATGGTCGGAATGTGCTGTCGTTCAACTTGTAGATCATCTTGATGGTCACATCGTTAAGGGAAGTCTCCACCTCGTCCAAGTCGGAATTGTCAAAATTAGCAGCGTCGCCAGCAGCGGTCTGTCCGCGGCGCAAATCAAACGCCTTAAAGAGGATCTTGCTGAGAACATTGACATTGTTAACCACCACCGACTTGGGGTTTTTCTCAACAGCAAGCCCGAGAACTTCCAAAAGTTCGCCAGTAGCAACGGGCCCAGCCTCGATAGCCTGTTGCCAGTTACGATCGATCGCGCCGAGGGTGGCACTGAGATCCATTTTGCGAGACGCCATTAGACGTAGGGTCTCCATTCGGCTATCATCGCTGCTGTCCTCAAGATCCGCATCAGCAGACTTGAAGGAGAGAGACAGAATCTTATCCAGATGAACAGCGGAGATCATGAAGGGAAGATTAACAAGGAGAGCTGAGAAGAGCGAGTAGACAGCATCGTGGAGGCGGGCGTTTTCCTTCTCGGGGGTCAAGCTGAGCTCCAACAGGCTCAGAGACTGGCTCAAGGTGTCGGGGAGAGCGGGAATCATGGCCTGGCCAAGCACCTCCGCCATGGAAGCAAGGCACAACACGCCCATGATGCGAATGCGCTCGTCAGACTGGCCAAGGCAAGACGCGCTGGCGACCACCTTGGCAGCGTTGATAACCTTGGACGGGTCCTTGCGACCGTACTTCTCAGTAATACGGTCGATACAAGCAACGGCTGCGTGCTTGATAAGGGCATCCGATGAAGATTGGACGGTATTGACCAAGGTAGGCAGGAAGTCCAGAACCCGGATCTGGGAAGCGCCGTCTCGCTCCGGCACTTGTCGGAGACGGTTTTCGAGAAGGCGGAGAACCTTTTGACGAAGATCGTTGTTGGGGCCCTGGAGCAGTACCTCGATAGTATCCAGGAAGTCGACCAGAGACAATGTACCCAGCAGAGAGCCCAAAACTTCGCCAATGGCCTGGCTAACGGGTTTCATATTCTTGACGAAGTCAATGATAGCCAGAACCTGTTCAAGAACCCGCGAGAAGCAGGCACGGACTTGATCCGCAATCTGTCCTTCGGTTTCGAAAGCAGCTTCAAGCTTCGACTTAAGAGAAGAGTGCTTGAGTAAGTGGGCAAGATCGCGAAGCAAATCAACAGCAACCTTTTGGGGATCCCGGCCATCATCACTCCCGATACCCAGGAGCACCTGAGATATGGTAGGCTTGGGCTTGAATGAGTCAATCACCAAGTTGAGATACTTGCTGTAGGTTGTGAGCTCAACAACAGCAGTGGTATCCGAAGCCACTCCAGTCATCAGAGTGAGGACATCCTTATCGGTAGAATAACGGTTCGCAAGCATTGCAAGAACAGCGAAAAGGAAATCTTGGGTCCCCAATTTGCTAATCAACGCATGGAATAGGCGGAGTCGACGGTGTGAAGGTATATGCTCGAACGCGGCAGTGAAGCTAAGCAGGAGTTCTGAAGTTCCCGAAACGATATCGCGTTTCTGGTTGCGAAGAGATTGAATGAGCGCAGGGACAACTTGGTCAATGGTCTGATCGATGACAGAGACAGAATAGTCATCATCCTTTCGAAGGACACTGGATCCCATGAATGTGAAAATTGGCATCACACTGTGCAGAACAAGTTCGGGGGCGATAACAGACAAGCCAGCTACAAGGAGAAGAGCAGCGTTCTGCACCTGAGGGCTGTCTGTTGTACGTACGCAGTCCACAACCAAGTCAGCACGGATCGCTGATGTGTCAAACAGCGGCTTAGAAGAGCTCTTTGACTTGTTGACAATGGCCAAGAGGCTTCCAAGGGTCAGGCTGAGAAGATAGCTCATTCCCGACTGAATCTGTGACTTGAAGTGGTGAAGAGCAGCAAGGGTCTGGAAGAGGCCATCAGCCAGCTCTGGATGAGAGTCAGGGCTGGAGCTATCAATCACTTCGAGGATGAAAGTCATCTTGTCCATCAGCTTGCTCAGCTCTGCCTCGTCCTTGACAGTCATAGCAACCATGTTATTCTGACTTGTTCTCCTCCGCTTTGGCGCAGGTCCAATAGCTTCGATATCCGTCAACGAAACAGGAATCTTATTGACAAAGTTCACCAGGATGGAGCCAGACAATTCAACACTGCGAAGGACATCCCGAGAGTGATCAGCCAGAGAAGCCTCTCCCGCTGCCAAACCCAGAGAGATGTCCAGCAGTTTCTCGGCAGCTGTCACTTGGTTTTCCTCGGGAACCTTGGTCCAGATCTCCTTCATTCGAGAGAATCCGGCGACGACAAATGAGGGCCGCAGAGAACCGGGGCTAGGGCTGACTTGAGACAGAAGAATGTCGATGGCATCAGCCTCCTTCGGAGACACGATATTGACAACTTGTCGGTCGGTTTCAGAAGTAGAGAGACGTTCCTTTGCACAGATCTCATCGAATTCTTTCTGGCTCAGGCTGCGCCATTCCTCGACAAGGGGAAGCAGTTCCTTGGTACGAGTAGTTCCAGAAACCTTCTTGACATCATTGAGCAGACGGAGTAGAGCAAACTTGGGTGCAAAAACAGGCATTCGGATAACGTGAGAGCACAGGAAAGAAAAGAGGTCAAGTCGGAGAGACTTCTTCAGTTCCGTAGCACCTGACGATTCCGACAAAACTGTGCCCCGTAAAGTAGCGTCGACAACCTTGCCAATGTGATTGGGGTCAAGGATGTATTCTTCTAATTCCGGAATCAACGCACGATCCAGTATTTTCTGTACGTCAAAAATCGAAAGCCATGCGATCGCAGTAGACTGCTTGCCCTTGCCATAGATAATGTCGTGAGCCCATGGCTTGGTAGTATCATTGAGGGTCTTGTTCTTGTACATCGCATCAATGACTGTTAGGACACGAGTGGCCTCCCGGCGGATTCGTTCAGATGGGTCGGAAAGAGCAATGATAAGGAATGGCAGAAGGGTCTGAGGATCAAGTTGACCAGAAACAGTCGACAAGGCCGACGAAATAGCATTCAACGCAGCCACCTTGGTTCCAATTGGGTATTGGCCGGAAATCACTCGTGTGAAAAACGATAAAAACTGGGGGCTCTGAGCCACGCTCGTTTTGCCGAGGATAGGCAGGTCACTGAACTTATTCAAATTTTCAGCTGAGTCTGCAGCCAGGGCGAATACCTGAACTAGATTGTCGAACTCAGGAATCGACTGTCTGCTCAGGAAGGATGCGGGATATAGAGGCTCGTTGGTCAGTGATACCAGAGCAGGAGTAAAGGTGTCGACTGGCTCCTGGTCCACATCCTCCATATCGACGTCTTCAATAGCCATGGATGGGATTGGAGCCTCAACCACAGTTTGCAAGTTGTGTTCGACCGCCTGGATGTTGAGAGCGGATTCAGCCAATGCCTTGTGGAAAAGAGGTTGCAATGATTCAGATCGACTAAATCCTTGAACCAATTCCGCAAGCTGTGTCTGAGCATTCAGTGATATCCCGCGGGCCTCGTCAGTGTCGCCAACTGCTTTGAGAACCAGGGTCATGGCTTGCTTCATGTTCTCTCCTTGCAAAATAGCAGAAGCAAAGATGGACGAAAGCAGCTCGAGGCGTGCGTTGTCCTTTTGCTTGTCCAAGTCGCTGACACATCCCGAAACCAATCCAAGCAACAATTTGGAAGTTTGATATTGGGAGGCAACTTCAGTTAGCTGAATCATGGGATTGCCGAGGCGAGTGATAGCCTTGAACACCTTCTTCGGGAGAACAGTGGATGGTTTCTGTTGCGCCAACACGGACAGGCAAACAAGACCCGAGCCAAGCGTCTCTTCAGTCCACGAGACAACAACGCTTTCCATTAGGCCATTCAGAACATCTTCAGAAAGGACAGCCTTTTGAGCCAAGACGACTGAAATCATGTAACAACCGATGATCAAGTCTGAGATCTTTTTTATGGCGAATGCGTCGCTCAAGATAGGCAGAACTCGGAGAACAATGTCCTCGTGCTTTTGCTTCTCGACCTCCTTCCGGCCTGAACGAGAGTTGTCCAGCATGTTTGCTATCGCCTCAGTGACGATACCAGCCCAGAAGGAAAGCAGCGCGTGGCTTTGAGCTTGCTGGCGACAGACATTGAGAACATACTGATTCAATGACGCAAAAAATTGTCTGTTTGTAGTTGCACTGTGCACAATGGGGTGGCGTGGCGGATTGACCAAGCCTGTCTTATATGGGTATAGTACTTTGAATGTTGGCGTGAGATTGTTGGGCAAGATCGAGAGAAGATTCAAAAAGAGTGGGGTCGTGTGATACGGCAAGAACGTGAGGAGGACATATGCGGTGTTGTACTCGTGAGCTCTGCAGATGAATTAGCTTTTGCATCCCGGAACGAGCCTGCTGGGCCCTAAGAAAAAATTGAAAAAAGAAACATACCTAAACCGTCTCACTAGCCAATCCACCGCTTTTACCGCCGGGCTCAATTGCAGCCTGCCTCCTACCAGTGCGAGAAAAGCCTCGATAACAGAATCCAGCTCCTTGTTCTGGGCAGCATTCATCTGCGTTCGATCCTCGGCTTTGCTTTGCTCACTGAAAATCGTACGGGCAAACTCCTCGAACCGGGCATCCAAGGAGCAAAGCTCCCGGAATCCTTCATAGCAAATATCATAGATTGTGTCGAAGTCCTGCGAGCCGGCGATTTTTCGGTCAAAGATCAGCGACTGCGAGTGCGAGATTCGCTGTGATTTGAGGTCAAGCTCGTTGGTCGACTTAGCCGCAATTTGCGACAACTGCGCGGCGAGAGAGGAAGCCATTGTGGAGCGAGGAGGATATTTATTGCCAAACCAAGTCCCTGTGGCCCATTGCTTTCTCCCTCTATCGGCTTTTTCGTTCCAGGGTCGGTTGCGTACTGGCGAATGGCACCGAGCAGCTGTTTAGAGACTTGCGCTTGCTGGGCGACTTTTTTTTTGTCGCACCCGCTCACCGCCCGGAACAATAAATCTCCGGGTTATCAGCTTATCGATGCGCGATAGTGGACCCTCCGACAGTTCATTGAAGGTTCCCATTTAAATGTTGACCTTTCGCGAAACTGGAGTGTTCGTTGTTCATATCACATGGGCCTGAGAGTCCAAAACGTCCATAACGATGGACCAGACGGGTTCGCAGGTAAGCTGCCACGTCGAGTAGGCGATCCCATATTTTGACTAATTCAAGACAAAGTCCTCCGTTCCCAGGTTCGCTAGCTTCAAAGCTCCTCCTGTTCCCTCCTCAATCGAACGTCGCGCCCAGGAGCCTCGACACCACGATGGTCAGAAACCTCATCACTCCAGTCGCTCGGCCAGTGAAGATAGATTCCGCTCGCCACGTCGGGCAGATCGAAGAGATCGGCGCAGATCCCCAAGTCGACGGTCCCGTTCGCGCTCCTCACGCGAGCGCCGCGATCCAGAGACTCGACGCCACGGTGATGGGAAATTGCACCATTCCGGTCGCTCGTCCCGTGGAGATAGAACCCGTTGGGAAGAACGGCGCAGGTCCCCAGGTCGCCGCTCTCGTTCGCAGTCTCCCCACTATATCGATTCGTATGACCGCCGTATTGCTCGGGACCACTCACGATTTCTTGAATCATATCCAGAGGCCACAAAAATGGATAGGAATAGATCGTCAAAGTTAATTCAGAGTGGCCCAATTCCTGACGCCGGCATTAGCTCCGACTTTTTTACTATCGATCGAAAAGGTGATCGCCTCATTCCTGTTAAGGGATATGGAGCTCATTACAATCTACCAAAATACCGACGAGCTGGACAAGGCCAAGTACTGGGCGCAGATCCAAGATACCGATTGCACACGAAGGACTCAGCATCTGAACCATCCAAGCCCTTGTTCTCTCGCAGATTTCAACAGCCAAGGCGGCTTCTTCGTGTGCGGACCAAACCTGCTTGCTCTGCAGCTTACCTGAAGCAAGAGAATGATGCCCTAGCACAAGACTTTCTACCACTTGATGATGCAGCGCACCATGGCCCGGGCACAGGAGCAGAAGACGCCGGTTCGGATGATGAGCGTCACGCTTATCGGTCCATTCACGGCAAAGCAAAGGAGGAAGACAACATCCCCCGCGACATGGAATTAGTTTCAGATGAATCAGATCAGAAAGATGGCTTCTCATCGGAACGAAAAAATCGTCAGGCGGAGCTCTCCCGCGCTGTCAATCTCAACCCTTCTGACATTGCTGCTTGGCTGAGGCTCATTGACCATCAAGAATTCATGGTCCTTGATCCGAACGAAGAACCCCGCCTCCTGACCTACAATGAGCAGCAAGGTGTGTCGGACGTCAAGTTGTCTCTCTACGATAAGGCCATAAAAAAATCTGGAGACAGTCCTCACAAGGATCGCCTGCTTCTGGGCAGACTTCAAGAAGGCGCGCATCTTTGGGACGCAGAAGAATTGACGAACCAATGGAAAACGACTCTACAAGAAAATTCAGGGTTCATTAGTCTTTGGATCAAGTACTTAGACTTTCGCCAGACTGACTTTCAGCACTTTGACTTTGAAGATTGCATGGAGACATTCACCGAGTGTCTTGATCTCAACGCGTCCAGCTTCAGCGGGACCGCCAAATCCCAAGTTCAATGCTACATTTTCCTCCGCCTGACACTATTCCTCCGTGAAGCCGGTTATCTAGAAATGTCGGTGGGTCTATGGCAAGCGGTGCTTGAATTCACCTACTTCAAACCAGACTCCTACACTGAAATCACAGACAAGCAGGCTGCTCTTGCGTCTTTTCGCAGATATTGGGAGTCCGAGGTGCCACGCATTGGGGAAGATGGATCACCAACTTGGCGCGACTGGATCGATCAACCACTGGAAAACAATGTCCCGATAGCTTTCCATGAATACAAATCATCTATTGCCGCTGCCTTCTTGATGAAGTCGTGGGAGGCGGCTGAGGATGAGCGTGCCTTTGCCTCGCGAATGCCAGCACGAACATTTGATCAATTGGCACCCAGCCCGGGACCTGACGGAAAGGCGCATTATGTCGATGACGTCTATTCCATTCTGCCCTTTTCTGACTTGGCCGACATCCTGGGTTCATTCTGGGAAATGGGCGTCTCAGAGGAGCTCATCGACAGCTTCTTGTATTTCTGCCACTTGCCACACCTGACAAGATGTACCAATCTACGGACGACTCGCTTGTGGGCTGGTGACAGTTTCATTCGAAATGAGCTGCTCGACTACTCCGTGCCAGGGCTTCATGACCGGGCTCCGCAAGGGCCAGAGGCCGAAGAACGCTATCAGCGGTTCTCGCCTTTCTCTTTCCCAATGTCGGACTTCTTGCCTACGTCAAGCACATTGTTTCCAAGTCCAAGTGCCTGGTTCGATTCTTTTCTCTCGTGGCGCCAACAGTATATCCCCCACGCATCCTCGCTAATTGACCGGAAATGGGTACAGATGACCCTACGACGGTTGGTAGAGCGCGGGCGCCCTCAAGAGGCATTTGATGATGACTTAGCTGAGTACACCCTTGGGTTGATGTTCGTGTGGGATCCGAAAAAGGCAAAGCAATATGCCAAAAGTTTACTCAAGAAATGGACGTCAAGTCTTAGAGTTTGCAATGCTCTTGCTTTGATGGAATTGCGAAGTGGCTCACCTGCCGCTGCTGTTCGGGTGTGGTCAAGTTCAATTACATGGAGCAAAACCCGCCCACTTGAGATCAGGATTAACTCCGGGATTCTTTGGAGTTCTTGGGCTTGGGAACTTGTTCATCAGGGGTCAATCTCTCATGCTGCCTACGTTTTGCATGCTATTCCTGCACAGGGCATAGATCAGGACACGTACGATAGTGTTAACCCGGCCAATGTGGCCCCTCAACCGACTACGACGCTTCAGGTTCAATCGGTAAGTGTTTTGTCTCTTCTCCCAGGCCAACGTCCAATCTGACTCCTATAGTACTTGCGCGAATGCCAATCCGAAGCCTTGGCCTGCGAAAATCCCCATGCTTTTGTAGCATACACCACCTGTTTCGCCCTTTTACTCTTGGTGGAACAGTGCCCTATGCAGACCACACTTGAGGTATTTTCTGAAGCTCTTCAGAAATCGAACACCCTGTTTTATGCAAACGAGAAACTCAAGGTGTACACCAGTGAGCTTTTACACCAGGCTCGAGTCGGACTACTCGGGTTCAAATCCGAATTGCTGGATACGAAGCTTCCGCCAAAGGAAATCCGTCAGATTCTCCAAGAGAGCATATCACTGTTCCCCAACAACACCATGTTCCTTTCCGTTTTCACACGCAATGAATCGTCCTTCAATATGCTCGACCGCATTCGAGATATCCGGTCACTTACCAGAGATCCTGAAAATCGGTACAAGCTTGATCACAGCCTGGGCTGGTCAGCGGCCGCAGCACAGGGTGTGCCCATCACAACGCATCTACTTCCGATATGGCGTGAACTCTCTCGTCCAGATTGGGCGGGAGCCACTCGTCATTCTACACGAGCTGCATTTGAAAAAGCTCTCGGGGATATCGTGCATGCCTCCCAGAAACCCATCGGCAATCTGAACCCCCGCGGCTTTGACACGGCTAGAGCCCGTTCGAACCTCGCGGTTTGGAAGCTGTACATCATGTTCGAAATATCTGGTGCCCGAGATATTGAGGCTGCAAAGGCCGTTTTTTACCGTGCTATTCGAGCCTGTCCTTGGTCGAAACAGTTGTTCATGCTTGGATTCCGTTATCTACAGCATGACACTATCCAAGCAGATCCTAGCTTGAGTGAGACCTTGCTTCAAAAGAAGCCGAAAAAGCCGAAACCCACCGGACTATCTTTTGACGAACTTCGAGTGCTGTATAGCACAATGATCGCCAAGCAGTTACGCATTCATGTGGATATTAGCGAGGAAATTCGGGACATCGTTTCCAAGCCTACAGAATGACACTAAACAGATGCATGGGGACGAACCTAAGGAGCATGACATCGCATAGAATGGTGGTGCTAGCCAATTGTCTTATTTCTCAAAATGGCATTTCTCGAGGTCATCAGGTGCAGGACAACGTGGGAATGTGCTGAGACACCTGGAGGCACTTATCTGTAACTAAGCTGGTCGGCTAGTGCTGTGACATAATACCTTTGTAAACTACGAATTTATGAGATACCAAAGAAATTCCCTCAAACATATAGCCTTGAGGTACGAGATTGCAACTGTAGATTACTCTAGTGCAGGACATCAGACTGTATTCGGTCGAGGGCCTTGGAACATTTTTGCTACTCATTACTAAATAGTAGCCTTGGCTCTTGCTCTTCGCCTGTGCCGAATACTGCCCCCTCCTGGTCCGTGGACCCAGACAAAGACCGACATGAAGCGTGGTCATTCGGCATATCCTTCAGAACGATGCAGCAGTAGATAATCTCGATCAACGCAAGAGATGGACTTTCTCCTGGGCTCGTAACATGGCGCCTTGAATTCCGTAAAACTGTTGCGTGAAAAAGTAGCGCAAACGAACCTACTAGACGACAGATCATGGTGATCAAAGAGATATGCCTTATCTCTGATGAACCACCTCCAATTAAACATTTCGCACGCCTATCGAAAATGGATCATCAAGAATTTCGCGTGCGCGAAAGTCATCTGATTCGGATATGATTGCTTGGTGTATGTGGGGGAGGTTATTTTGTGTCACTTGAACGCCAAGGCCGATAAAGTTCTAGATGTTCGCATTTAGTATCAAACTTTATTTAGCCTTTTTAGCCCAGTGGTTGAATCTTGTCAGCGTATTTCTCATTGACCAGGTCGCTGCCAAGACTGACATGTACTTGTTAAGACAAGACGCTCGAATATTTTGCCTAAGATAAGCTGTGCCCTACTTGAAGTGATCAGCCACCATAGCCCTGGTACAGTGTTTCATGGTACAGTAAGTTCAAGAAGCCAAGACACGTCTCATAGTCTCGATTCATTCGTATGTAGTTTCTGTTTGACAACACCAAGGAGGCATCGAAACCAAGCATATACTACCTTATGTTCTGATACGAAAATGAAAACATTACTCGACGCCAAAGACCCCAAGTACTTCCTCAAGAATCTTCGCGCGCCTCTCACTGTGATCACCTACCTCAATCATTTCACAATTCAGGATCATATGGTTGAGGCATTGAACACGGTCCGGGTAGAGTTCGGTCGAGCAGAAACTTGGTGGGTCAACGCTGGAAATGCGCTAGTACAAATAGAACGCAGATGGGATCAATGGATCCGTGACTCTCTGGATTACGACGTTCGGCGAGTCCGCACCTTCATTCAAAAATGGGGTAACGAGATCCTCAAATACTGGGCAGTTCGAACCGGTCCCGAAGCTCTTCAAGTGAATGAAATCGTGCGGTCCTTGATGAGTCAGGCCCAAACTGCAACGATCAATCTAAATGGTCTGACTTGAAGTACAGCCGAGAGAATTTCATAGTTTGAAAATAAAAGATGTATTTATTGGAGCAATAATATATGCCATATACATTCCAGGCAACAGTAATTCACATTCAAAAACTGTAGCCAGTGTTTAATAAATTCCTCCTTCTTCAATGTCTAGTAATCAAGCATGAGAAATCTGGAAGAAAGGAAATTGAGCTGAAGCTAGACTTAGTGGACCCACGACTTCCACTGGTAAGACTCGCACACTAATACTTAAAGATTTTTAGTCAAACTCATAGCAGACGAAATATAGGGGAAATAATAATAATTTATCTTCTACATAAATCACCAGAAACTCGAAGAACAAAAATCGAAGAGTAGTGTGCGGTTGTAAGCAGTGAAAATTATGTGTAGCCATTCCACAAATTGACCTCGTCATACTGAGACACCATTTGCTAGTCCCACTTTGAAGAGCTTAGTTAGCACATTTTATTAATTAACTACATAAGTCCAGACCCTTTTATGTTAGCAAACTCGGTTATTTTTGATTAGCCTTGGCATCGATACCCATGATCATGTTGCGGGGCTCGGAACTTGCCCTTAGCAAACCTAGTTGACTTTTTAGTTGGCCCTTGGCATAGACACCCTTGGTGTATAACAAGGCAAACACGCCGGGACTCGGAACTTCCCTTCCTCACATCCTCTTCCTTCGCGAAACCACCAAATCCGATTGGAAACACTTGCATCGACTACACCCTACCCTAAACCATCTGCGAATATGGAAGAACTCCATGGCAGATTTTCTGTTTTTCCAGACTGGGGATATGTCATTTATCGCACGACCTACTCTGCCGAATCGAATGCTTTTTTCCCAGACATTATCAGATTCATCGAGGCCTGTATTAAAAAGCAGTTTGTGAGCGTTGGCGCTGATCGCCCTCGAAATTATGTCTCCGAAGATTGGCCTAAGTACCGATCGACGATTATGGAAACCCCTGCACAATTCCAAGGAGCATCTCTCGACGAAATTCGCACACATTTTGAGACATGGGTGAATGCGCAAGGAATGCGAGATAAATGGACCAAGTTTCGAATGTGCATTATTATTGAAGAAGAATCTCTACAAGCGCTGAAAGACGCAACTGTGGCGGAAACTGAAACAGAGAATTTCCATGAGCCCTTAAGATATGTGAAGGTTCGTGAAGCATTCCCGGATATCGATCAGTATGATATTTTTCCCGGATGGATGAAATGCTGGACATATGCGCTATGGAGTCTCTGGGAGAATATGCATGATGGCGACGATATGAAGATGCAACATGCATTCATCGAAGAGGATGACCCGTGGCCGGATGTTTATATCGGGTGAATTGAGAGTGCTGATCAGTCACTTTGAAAATGATCTTTGCGGACGATCGTATGCTTCCGAGGAGCAGATGAAAAGGCCCAAGCGACACTGCATTGAATTGCTATGGAGCGAGCGCTTATCTATTCCGGATGTTATGACATTCTTCGGATAACTAGTTCAACGCCATATGTTATGTCATTCATGCGATCTTCACTTTGTATATTCTGGCTTCTTACTTCCTACAGTTTTTACAAACATAAAATTCGAATGCATTGATTTCCTTCTCGGGAAATAACCTTGACTGAAGTTTGTTAAGGGCATAGCATCAGCCGAGTGCCCACTTCTATCGGAGGAGCCTATTCTAACTCTACAGAACCCAATAGAATTTTCGCACTCAAGATCTTAATTCAACCTTCCTCTGCGTCACCAACGTGAAGAAGGCGATCAAGTTGCTCTAGACAGGTCGCCAAGACTGGGCCAATCTCAGATAACAATAAGCCGAGATTGCCCTACTGAACGCGAGAAAGCAACTTCCCCAGTGTCCCGACTGAACTTATGGTTCGGTTTTCGCGCAAAATGAAGATTTTCCACTGTAGGCAAAAGAGATGCTGCATCCAGATTGTCCAAGGTTTGCAGCAACTAGTAACGTTGGTGTCCGAGCTAAGACCACCACCAGAGAAAAGGCAGTTACTGCAGGAGTCTTGATCGGTACAGGCGACAGGACTGATCTTGGCGCCCTGCGCGTTGAACCGCATGTCTCTGTAGAAGTAGCCGGTGCCTCCTCGCTTTCACCATTGGCGCCGCCCTGGTGGCGCGCCATAGTTGGGAATGGTGATTCCCTCTCTTTGCAAGACGAATTAAGAGTTACCAAGCTTGTCGCTTGGGTCGCGACGGGCGAGAGTGTGCGTCTCGGAGATGGCGGTGGCCAGGGAGAGCCCGGTACAAGCCGAGAACGCAAGGGTGATTATACCGCATTATCAGGGATAAAGAAATCATCGCAGGAAGCTCAGAAGTGCTCCTTCCAGAACTTGAACCGAACATCTTTTGTCGACGCAGTTTTAGCTGCATCTTCAATCTGTCGTGCTGCCATATTGGGGCCACAGAAATACACACCGACTTCTGCCGTGGGCACACTCTGTAGGCCAGTCATGTACGTCTGGTCCAGTAAACCGAGACGCATTGCATTGAACAAGCGCTTGAAGTCGGGCCGACCAAAGTTTGTGCGACTCCGTAATTCGGTCAGCGGATCCAGGGCTTGACCAACGGAGTTGAGATAGATGTTCGCAGCTGTATCGTTGTCTAGGCGCTGCGTGAGATAGGTGTGAATGCGCAGGAACTCAGCGCTGCCCTCGTGAGCAGCAGCAGAAGCCGATTGAGATTCGAGGGAAGAAAGGAGCGCCTGAAACCATTCGAAAGAGGAAGTATCTTTGCAAATCCAAATGAACTCGACACGTCGCAATCGTCGCGGGGGATTTGGGCTGGAGCGCAAATGCCAGATATTTTTGAGAATCGAGGCCCAAGGCGTGACGCCAATACCCGTGCCGATGAGAATGGCGATTTCATTTTCGAAGACATCTTCGGCTGGAGCACCATACGGTCCGTCGATTCGGAGTTTCGGCATCATCTGGCCATTTTGAAGGGCAACCTCGTACATTCCCATGGGGTCGAGACCCTCCAGATCTCGGGCCTGCGCAGGACCACAGCCGAGGGCGTCACCAAGAGCCCTGGTGAAATCTCCGACCTGGCGGACATGAACACTGACATAAGGGTCAAAAGGACAGGAAGTGATGGTGAAGGGGTGCCATTGGGTGCTGGAAACATCGGGGACCTGGAGAAAAAGCCACTGGCCGGCTTTGTACTTCATACTCGGCTTGTGGAATTGAATTTCCATTGCGGCTAATTTCCGAGTTAGTGGGTACTTCCATGCAGCATGGACAGTTAAACACACCGTAAGGATGACGGATAACTTTCGTAATCTCGGTTTCTCGACGAGAGCGAATTTCGCGGTAGAGTCGCTCGCATAGGTATAAAGCGGCCGCCGCAAGCTCCCATCTCCAGCCTTCATACCCGAGGCAGTGGTTCCAGAACTTTTCTCCAGCGAACGGAGAGTAGGGATCGGCGCTGTCACGCACGAAACATCCAGTGGCATGGGTGTACAGTGCTAGCATAAAAGGAATGAACAAATGATGGGCGTACCAAAAGGTTTCGTACGCCTGCTGACGAATACGATGGTGTGCTGTGGTATACATCAGCATCATGCACAGCAGCATGACATGGCCTGTAATGCCGGCCGCTTGGGTATAGTGGATCTGAATGGCAAGCTCGGGCCTGATCTGGTTCTTTTCGATATTGTAGAAACTAGGGTCTGTTAATAAATGGACTTGAACACAAGGATCCGGGAATGAAGCATACTTAACATAGTGGGCACCGGTATGAATTCCAGTAAAGATCAACAGAGCGTAGGCAACTTGACGATGGAACCAAGCTGACTCGTCTAGCGGCAGCCATCTGATCTGTGGTCTGATCCATCTCAACACATTGCGACACATGGGCAACAGAATCACAGTTGCGTCAACCGAGAGAACCAGACCAGCGCCTCTGGATATCCAAACGGAGAATTTGAGGACATTGAGATCTGCGAGCTTTGAATTTGAAGCTTGTAGATACCTGTTCCATGTACGTCAGCATCGCGTGTCCTCACTTCTTGCGTACTTCTCTGGCCTTGCGACGTACCATCCGAGCGCAAAGATGCCGATATGGATGCCCCAGAATCCGAGGTAGAAGACCACCTTGGATGGAGTCAGATCGAATCTTTGCGTCAGGGACTCATTAGCTGCGACCATTCTGTCTTCTTGGGATTTCGGGTTGTCGACCAGCGACAACGCTTTGGCACAAGGCACGTTATTAAAGGAGCGACGAGCGTGGTGGTTGACCAGCAACCTAGTTCTGTCGATCAAGATCTGATCGAGTAATCTCGGTGTTGGAGATGCTCTCTTTTTATGCAGATCTTTGTTTTAAACCAATGAATGGTTTATTTGGTGGGTTGATGAGTCGCCGGCGTCGTCGCTTCTCCATGAACTTGACCGAATCACCGTCTCCACGCCGACCGAGGAATCCTTCCGCAGACAGGCGAGATAGCGTCACCGGGATAGGGCCGATCTCCAGATCAATCGTTGAGGTGAAGTCTGTCGTTTCCTCTGGGGTATATCTCCGGGTGGCGAGTCGCAAGATCCGTTAGGCGTTTGGGCAGCTCGCGGGATGCAGTTGTTTCAATAGGTCGCCCACGCCTGTGAGAGGCGGAATGCGCTGTGTGTACGTGAAGACCCACGAAATCTAGTAGCTCAGCGCGATTTCGAGAGAGTTCAGATGCGACGCGACCATGATTGAGGTAGGGCGGTGGGTAGAATGGATAAAGACCAGGCCGAGGTGGACGGAGGTTGAGAATCCCAGCGTTGTGGTTTTAGCTGCAGGGGTGAGGGGGGCCGATCTATAATTACTCGCTTTTAGCGGGCACAACAACCGAAAACACCAATAGCTCGACAGCCCAATCAGGCCCGTCCAAGTCCGTGCCCTGGGGAATCTCTCGCCTCGCAATGGTCGCTCTACGATGTGATAGGTGTTGTCCTGAAGCCCCAGAACTCTTCCAAGGCCTTGCGTTCTAAGTTCGGAGGCTGGTGCTCGCTATCTCGCGACTATTCGCATCCAGCCTCGTCAAATCTTCCCATAAGATCTGATATCTTTCTTGGCTCATTTGAAAATATCTCGAGAAGAGCTAGCCCGCTTGGCGCCGGGCAGCCCACAGTGATCTCATACACGAGGGTGATATATCGTGAATCCACGTGGGCTATTTCTGATCGACTTGCGAAAAAAATCCCATCACGAAGTACGGGCGGAGTGGGAATATGCACGAATCTAAAAAGAAGATGCGGCGTGCTCTGCGGGAGACCTAGTGAGTCTACCTACTCCCGATTTGGTAGGTATGTTCACCTTGGGCAACGCCATAGACGTTGCCCCATTGCTCGCAACCAGTCCGAGATGCGCATAAAAACATCCCAGAAGTGAGGAAGCGAAAACGATAGGGAAGAATTGAAACAGGACTGGTGACTGGCCAGCGGCAAGTGAAGCTAAGGCAGGACGTTACTTTGGGGCCGGCCTATGGGATTCATTCTGCAAGCGCTGCAAGTCGTCACACGGCAAGTCCGGGGCAAGGTAAGTCGGTGAGAAGGCCCATCGTTCGGCCGGGCTTCTCCTTCTCCTGCTTCTGCATCCTGAGTTCTGGAGTGGAGTCCAAATATAGCTCACGGTCTCGCGGTGGTGTGACTGGTGCCCTCAAAGTATCTTGAATCGTCTTTGTTGCTGGAGGAACCCCACCTCGAAGAGTGACACAATCTCGGCCCACTTGGCACTGCACATCACCTACGATCATCAGTCACTCTCCCCTCCACCTCTGGCGGCAATGGTGCAGAAGGCAGATGGGAAATTGGACCATGGCGAGTCCATCAGGGCTGGGGCGATCATCTGACCCCGCCGTATTGGAAACATCCGGACTGTTGCTGCCAGCATTCTGGAAACCCGCAGAGCCAGCAAGAGGGCGAGGAGCGAGACAATGCGAAGGTGTGTGAAACGGCAACCCCTCCGGCAAGCGCGTGCCACGAGCTGCAGCCCATCACGCCAAGCCCCGCCGCGGCGGCCGCTGACTGGCGCACGGCCACAGCAGGCTCCGCTCCGTCACATCGGCCGTCCCCCAATCACACCGCACATCACCACTTCAACGCTGCTGAAGAACAACCCCGGCGACGGGCCTGTTGAGGAAAATACCCTGGTCGGCCCATTGATTGGCCCCCAGCGCTTAGGGACATCTGTGCGGGTCACAGAAAGCCCTGCTTTGCTCGATGTGCGAAAGCTCTCCATGTGGACTGCATCGTCACTGTGATGGCGCTCTGCGCGTCCGAGCTCCGAGTCGGCTCGACTCCCTCTGGCTGGGCCGGGGAATCTAACTATAGAATGCATACACCCCCTCCTCCCGGCCACTCTGCAGCATGCAACCTCAACCATTCCGATTCCCGCTTCTGCGACCACCACTGCGATGCCTTCGTGACATCTCACTAGATCGGCTTCTTCCTCGTCGCAATCAGATCAGCTTCTCTATCTCGGTTCAGTCGATTGAATCCATGGATCATTAGACCGCAGATGAACATATCGCTCTACATTGGGCACCATCTTCAGCACCTGGGTTTGCAACCGCACTCGGCATTTCTCACTGGAGGAGGAATCCCGCTTCGACGATCGCTGTTTTTTATACAAAATAATCCAATACGATGGGCAGACTTATCAAGAACCACTGGGGGCGATTGATTATCCTCACGGCATCGGCATGTAAGTGTGGATGGGATGCGCCGATGCGCCGAAGGCTACGAGAACATTGACTAATCCGATATCGCACAGATCAAATTGCCAGTGCTATCGAAGGCTTCATCTGGCCGAAAGTTTTCTGGGACTTCATTTCCAAGAACCTCGACGCAGCCGTGGCCCCGGTGCCCGTCCTCCAAATCCTCAATCTGATAATGGGACTGATCGGCCTGGCCTGGGAATGGCCTTTGAAACCTTTTGCTGGAACATACCTTCATCGCAGCATTGAAACCCGCCTGGTTGTATACCCACTCAGCGCGCTGTTCGCTGCGCTGCTATATCAAGGCACCGACCCGGCGTTGTACTATCTAGTCGGCATTGGTGTGTATTTCTGGGCTTACAGCGAAGGCGAGGTATGTGAAATTAATCTTCCTGGGATCTTGATGACCCCTACTAACATTTCTCTAGGTTGTCTGTCCACAGCCTTGGACATTACCAAAGAGGTCGGGGCTGTTTAAAGCCTAGTAACTCTTGAGCACAGTGCTCCTGTTCGGTCAAGCTTATGAATATACTTGACGCAGATCTTGTAAACTTTAATGATTACACGCTTAATGAATGATATCGCCTCTGATACCCTATGCAATTGGCATTCGAGAAGTACAAGTGATGGCTCCTCGAAGCATTCTACCCAGCCCTGCGGGTCGGACAACCCAGATTAATGAAGGCAAACCATGAAGCAACTATCCACAGTACGTACCAAGCCCGCAGATCGTAGCTCGAGCAAATTTCCAGAACGAGACTGTTTTTGCAGTCGTGCGCTTTCATGCCTCAGGCCGCAATATACCCACGTGACGTCAGCCAAACAGGATTCGGCCAGACTCGCGCAGGTTCTGATCTCAACAACGTGGTGGTATTTGAGAAGACTCGTATCGACTGCGTCCTCCTTGGAGACCTAATCGATACACTATCTCCAATGGCTGATTTATAGCACAGTCACGCCCAAATTAATCGAAATATGCCCTCGCCGCAACTTTGGCAAGATTGCCCGGACATCCAACATGACTTGGATTCAGAGACGGAGGATGTCCCTGCCAGCAAAGTTACCAGCTTTGATGGCAAGCTGAACCAATATATACACTTAGGCAATGCTTCCACTCAGCCAACAACCAGTCCCACCAGTCTCAAGCGCCGGAGAACCGACACAACCACGTTGACAGCAGTCTCAACCACCACGTCTGAGACCCTCCCACCTCGTATAACGCGCTCACGCTCCTCATCCACCATCTCCCAAACCTCAGTGACAACGCCTCCCTCGAAGAAGCCCCGTCGCCGTATCCGCTCCCGAACAACTCACCACTCGACCGCCACTGACTCCCTCCTCCGTGATACGATCCCAGCAAACCTACTCCTCCTCCTCGTAGGCCTGAACCCAGGCATCATGACCGGCCAAACGGGATACGCCTACGCACACCCATCGAACTACTTCTGGAAATTCCTCCATTCCTCTGGGATCACGTCCATCCGTCACCCGCCCTCAGACACATACAAATTACCCGAGCTCTACAGAGTGGGCAATACAAACATTGTGGAACGACCCACCCGCGACGCAAGCATGCTGAAAAAAGCCGAGATGGATGCTGGGGTGCCCATCCTCGAAGCTAAAATCGCGGCTCAACGACCTGAGGCGGTTTGTCTGGTCGGGAAGAGTATATGGGAGGCTGTCTGGCGAGTGCGGCATGGACGAGCGATCCGCAAAGAAGAATTTCGGTACGGATGGCAGGATGAGGAGGAGAATATGGGTCGGGTTGCTGGGTGTCCGGAGTGGAAGGGTGCGCCGGTATTTGTTGCAACGACGACTAGTGCGCTTGCGGCTTCCATGAGTTTCGCGGAGAAGGAGGCTATTTGGGCGGATTTGGGCAGATGGGTTGTTCAGCGACGGCAAGAGAATAATGGGTGCATTGCTGAAGCTGATTGAAGCTGGTGTGTCTGGAGACGTATAATACTACCTTGGGATATCCAAATAAGAAGTCAATCTGAAATAATTGAATGTGCATGTCGACATTATACAATAACTACGGTCATCAGCTTCAAACATAGCTTCCCCACACTGCAGTCACACCATTCGCTACCGAGTTCTTGAAACATAGAATTTCAACACAGGTGCGAAAGGATCTTTAATATGCTAATGGCCATGTAGAAGCCCTTTTTAATATGCAATACTCGGTCTTGGCCATGAAGGGATGCCGTAGCTCTACGCGAGGATGATATAATTTGTGACTTGTGATATTTGAATGACGAGTTCCATAGCTCGCTTTTCGTAAAGTCATAATAATTTCAGGCATCGTAGCCTATGATTGTGAGATGCAATTCCACCCCAAAATTCCTACCCGGCACCGTCTATCGTTCGACAAGTCGGCGCTCTCTGTATGTCGTGCTTTTATCGATGAAATTGCTGCATTTTACTGCAGCAAGGACGACGAGGACCGGTGGTACTTCCAGTTGCAGTATGATAGAACGTCGCGGTGAGGGGTAGCACGTCTTGTTCCATCAAGATAAAAATGTATTAATGAATTTACCGAGAATCGTTCTTTCCACCCTCACGCTCGCGGGACTTGAAAAGTGTTAGTAAAAGCTTTGACTGAGAAGGGATGGCATTGACATACAGGAACGGCCTGGTATTCTCCGTTTTCGAGAATCTTGACCATGCACTCCTCCTCCTTGTGGGTACCGAATTCATCCTCAAGGGTGGCCTTGGAGGCACCGTCCATGATCCCCTGAGCACCGTGACTATGAGAGGTTAGAAAGTCATATTCATATCCCCGACTTGGGTCAAGTGGAATAGACTCTTACCGGTGGGTGATGAAAATCTTCCAGCCATTTACCACATCGGCGAGGGCGATGCTGCGGTCATTCTTCCACTTCTTCAGGATCTCGACATCGTCAACGAAGACAACGAAGTCTTCCGACTTGCCCTTGTAAAAGACTTTGAAGGCAGTATCGTTTCCACGAGGCATTTTGAAGATTCAATTGAGTGTTGAGACAGTAGATGAGCTGAGGAGAAGAAGGAGGAGAAAGGAGGGGAGCTTTAAAGTACGTATGATGGTTGGTGACGTCATTGTCTCAGGTCGATGTCATCAGGTGGGAGCTTTCCCTTCCTGTCAGCGAAACGTCATTTATGGTCACGTGGGTCTGGGACAATCGACTGTTGTCCTTCTTGGGAGCTGATTCACAATGTCAAACAGGCTACCAAGTGGATAACGGGTACGAGAGAATGCAAATCTCGGATATTATTATCGACTCAATTTGCGGCTCTGGTGTTGGTCGACTGACATTACTCTAATTATCTTACCACGGAAAGGCGAGCGCATTATAGATTCCATAAAACCCTAATATATCCTAATGCACGAATTAACTTTCCAACATTATATAGGGTACCTGCGTTTCGATATAATCTCTCTGCAATAAGATCTCTCTGCGATAAAAGTTGCCCCGGTCTGTTCCTGCTATCTGAAGGGGATTAATGATACAAAGTCGATGTATCACGCCCCGGCGGTCTCGAAACAGTTTCTCCGCAGCCGTGGACCAAACAGCAGTATGTACACATCAGCACGATCTTCCAGAGTACTCCGAGTATGGGAGCATATTGAATACCAGCAAAGGAGTAATGCGGCCACCGCTTCACCGATCCTGACGCCAGCACTAGTGTAGGTACTAGGTAGTTAGTGGTAGCGCCTACCATCTCCGTGAGGGTGTCACCCTCGTTGCTCGGATAGTAGTTAAACACTGATGCGTGGTGTACAAGCCGAATATGATTTACCTAGTTGGGCTCAGGAAAAGTAGTGATGATTAAAACCAAAAAAGCGTCACATCCTTGTAGAATAATAATGTACAGTGCGTCATGACGTCAATTGCAGGCCTGTGCCTAGGCAGTGGATACCCCCGGTTACTTTAATTGACATGATTGCTTTCATTCCTCCCTCGTCCATTGCGTCGTGCCAAGTTATTAACAATGCCTTCTGGGTCTCTACCTCCCCACCCATCTCGAAGTTGTGAGAATGCGACTGAAGAAGACCGCTGTGGCCATCTAATCCCCAATCCCTGGACCCATCGTCGGTCGGGCGCGTACCAGCCCTTTCGGCGACAATGCACCAAACAAGCTCAAGGTCGTCCATTTCTTTCGAGTGGGAGAAAATTCTCCACTATTCCCACTAGAGCGCTTCTCACTCCGTGGTGAAGTGACCGATCCTGTGGACTTCTTAGGTGGTCCTCGGAACCGATGGGTCTTGGAGCGTCCAGTGATGGATGTGGGTGTCTTCGGTGACACACACTCCGTCTCCGATGCTAGTGGGAATTCATCGCATCCATCGGGTCCCGTTGGCAACTCTCTTTCCTCCCCGTTGTCCTCGTCTGTCGCCAAGGCCCCGACGTGGGATGTACTGACAGAACTTGCTCGTCTGTTGAATCCGCCATGAAAACTCAGGCGTCTCATGATCGTACCACGTCGAAATAATTCTCCGCGACCCAGCACCATACCTGGAAATGGAAGCACATTGCGAGAGTAAACGTTCGCGACCAGTTTTTCCAATCGAATTCGATCAATCCTCCGGGCAGCGACGGTGAGTGGGCCCCGTATGGCCGGCTCCTTGGGCCGTTCGATCTCGCTCCCAGAGGCATTGGTTGACTCGTCGTGGCTGTGGGGGTAATGGGTCTTCTTGATCACCACTTGCTGAACATTGTACTTGCGTGAGATTGTCATGGAGTCCATGGATGATCTGCGTGCCAGAGAAGCAACCGCATACTGTACGCGATCCAGGGGTACCAGAACAATATTGACGAAGGAATACTTTCTCGGATCCCATGCACCACCTGGCTTCGCCATTTCACTCAGGGAAGCAGAACATCTCAGGATTTCGGTCTTCCAGTGTCTCTCTTCCACTGCGGACGATGCGCTGAGCACAAACTCATAGTTCTCTTCTTGCTCCTGAAACAGAATTTTCCAGGAGAATGCGCATCCGTAACAGGAAAGACCTGTAAAGGAGTTAGAATGCCGCTTCAACCAAGAGAGGCTTCGCAGGAGACAAGCTTACCCCGACCGTTTTGAATAGAGTCCATTTTCAGGTCATCCACATATATGCAGGCCACTGTCTCCAACCGGCGAAAGTCCTCAATGCCTCTCGCCAGAAAGAGATAGCAGTTGAAGAGAACACAAACCATGAAATCCCCAATTATCTGATCTGGCGTCTGGTATGTGACATGGAGAACACCACACAGAGTCATGGGGCCGAGCTCCTTATATACATTTTGAAGAGCATGCTATTCAGACTCATGGATTAGCAACATCAACCATTTGGGGTGAGGTAGGTACGCACCGTTTCGGAAAAGGCGATTTTCCCTTGCAACAGAATCGTTTTATGAATGCGATCTTTATTCACAGGGTTTCCAGTCTCTGAATTAATTCGCGAAACCAATATGCGTAGCGTTTCCAATGTCTGGCGTATTCCATCGTGAGTAGTCGGACAGTCACTGACAGGGGTGTGTCGAAGGAGATCTTGCAGGAGAAGCGGGTATTTGCAGAGGCGTTGAATAGGCTAACAATAAATGCATCAGAACTGATCATCTTCTCCCATCGAGGGTGGGTCATGTACCTTGATCATCAAGTCATTCATGGACATTGACCGGTTGTCATCGTATTTACGGCTCTGGGTGGAGGCAACGGACTTCGACAGAGCCTCAATGCCCTGGTCAAACTCTGTCCAGTTCGGGACCGAACGCCGCAAGATGGCCACATCTTGTGTGAGAAGCTCATAGTTGCGGCAGAACTCCTCGTATGCAGAAAAGGAAATAGACTAGGACGTCAAGTGTCAATGTAAGAACTCTGTTCAAGCTCTCAAGTGGTAAAGGGTCGCTTACCAATTTATCGATTTCACGGACTACCTCGAGACATTCCAGTGGTTCTGCAGTAAGGGACTTCAGGCGTTGATCAAGTGTTGCCTTGAATCTTTTCGTCCGGATAGACCGATTCTGTAAGCCTTTGATTCCGGGAAGGTCGATGGTGCCCAGTCGCTTAGAAAATCCCCGAGACAGAAAGTCCGAAGCTCCCTCCGGGATCGGACCGGACGACAGGGGCGAGATTTCTTGTAATTGGGTCAAGAATTGTTCGTGTATCTCTCGAATTCGCTGTATGTTGAGATAAATCTGAGGTCTGGTGTTGATGATCGAGAGCACCTGGACGATATCAACTTTAGTCAAGACCCGAAGAGGGCAGACCTGGGGTTTCAAGCTTACTCCTGTCAGGGCTGTCAGGCCAAGAACATAATCAGCCTCTGTCGAGACAATCTCCCGCAGAGCCCGACGTCGGTTCGTCGCTCGTTGCTCTGCTGCTTCATCCAAGTAGTTGCTTGATGTCGGTCGAGAACTATCCCCCGAGGCTCGCACGTCCGATGTCGCGCTTTGGTTGGTCGTACTGAGAGTGTTGGCTCGAGACCTGGCGGCACTCTGACTCACAGTGCTTAGAGTTGTGGTCTTGACCGTTCCCAGATGTGAGGAATGTTCCGATGACTTTTCCCAGTGCTGATCATGGAGGGAGCTGGGGAACGGCCCCGTATTCTGCGTCGCGATGTCCGCCTGGGATGCGTCTGGCCAGCCCTCCACAAATCTCTCGGGGATTGTCGGGGGGATCCGTTTGCGAATTCGAAAACTGTCCATCCACTTCCTGAAGGGGTGGGTTGGAGCCGGTTTCGAACTCAATCCCTCAAGTCGATCACCCACCTTTGCTTCGGTTTGGTCTTCCGGCAACAGCTTCTCGTTCTCATCCCCAGTATCATAATCCATGGTGGCTCCAGGCGGCCAGACCGAGATGCTGGAACTGACGCTTGGAGAGTATTACAATAATCGAATGCGGGAGGGGATGCACTCCAACCCTGCGTAAACAAACCGGCCGGGCATCGCATGGTTTGGCAGTCGCGACGGAGCGGTCCACGGGGATGGAGGGTTGCCTGGGTCGGTCTGTCCGGCGGAAGGCACTGCGGCGGGCAGCGCACAAAGTAGGCAGGTTCGCTGGTGATGGGCAATTCGAATCCCATCCATGTACGTCATGGCGCGAGGCACCTCAACAGGTCAGATTCAAATCTCGTCTTTAGGCTCAGGGATGCGGCTCTGGGAGTCATGCTGTCGAGGCTCTTTGTGAACTTCTACACCAACCTTCGCATTCTTTACTCGATGTTATTAGTTTCTCCGTCATACATGTAAACTCCAATTAGTGTAGTATGCCTCTATGGCTAGACAGGTCTTCTAGTCAATGCTTCAATACTCGCAAGATTTATGTGTTAATAGATCTTGTTGGTTTCTTGACTCTTCTAAGGCTATCATAGGAAGTAGACAAATAGTCGGCTAATCGCATTATGGTAGTGCATTGGATATGCCGTGAGCAGTAGGTACCCTTCATAGCACCCGACGATTCTGAAGTCAGTTATCGTCATTCCGCAATCCCTCTTCCAACATTACACCAATGTAATGTATTAACGCCATGTTTCCAGACTTCGCTCGGCCATACTGATCAAGTAATTTCTCTTGAAATATTCCTTGGTATTGTCTGAATCATATCACCCTCCCACAAGTATCTTGTCAGATGGCGACAAGGACACATCTTGCTGGTGAGAACTATGCCCAGTATAAGCTGCGAGTGTGTATTATGGTTAGGGTACTTATACAATGTATGTGATGCCGTCGCAATCCACGTTCTAGACTAGTCATTTCGAGATGTCGATATAAGTGAGAATGAATCTCAGCTCGTTACCCCAGGTGAATCTTTCCCAATCATAATGCATGGCTGTGTTGGGAATGGATGACGTACCAGGGCTACACAGTGTACACGCGCTTAACAAGCAAGCCCCACCGCCCCGAAGCGATTTATCACGAAGCCCGCTTCGTCGCCCCACCTTCGACTATCAAATGGGCATCCCCATGGACAACAACATTCATGCTCCTACTGTCGCCTCCGGACCGACGTCCGGGGGTGCTCCCTATGATGCGTCCAAGTTGACCATGCCTGAGCTGATGCAAGAGAAGGAGCGGATCGAGGAGGAGCTGAGCGCGCTGAGCAACGTCCTCAACTCGGTGAGTTCGTACCCCGCCACTACCGAGATTTGATGGCTAATGCTTTTTGTTGCAAAGCACGGGGTCACCATGCGATCAACTCTGACGACTTTCGATGGGTATCCGCGCGATGATATCGACATCGCTCAAGGTGCGCAATGGCCCGCCCCAGTCCCATTCCCACCACCCCCCCCCGGGGCCATCGAATCTGGCTAACACGAGAACGCGATGCCAGTCCGAGCCACGCGTGTACGAATGATTCACCTTCAGAATGACCACAAGGAAGTGATGAAATGCTTGGAGAAGGGACTTCACGCACATTTTGCCCAGCTACAGAATGCGCAAGACGCGGCGACAACGGATGGGGGCAGCCCGCCGTCCACCACGCCCGCCCCAGCCACGCAGACCAGCATTGCAGATGCGAGCATGCTAGGGACACCCTTTGCCAAGGTGAACATCGTGGAACCCAACAGCCCGGCCGACCAGGCTGGTCTGAGAACAGGAGACATGATCCGGAGTTTTGGCAGTGCAAACTGGCTGAACCACGAACGGCTCGGGAAGATTGCCGAGATTGTTCAGCAGAATGAAGGGGTATGTGCACATCTATTATCTCCCTGAAAGACGCACTCGGTCGTCGACCATCAACCAAGCACGATTCCCTTGCTCCTGCTAACCACAGCTGCGACAGCGCAACTTGACCGTTACGGTGGTACGAAAAAACCAGAGTGGATCAGGGACGACAGATTTGGATTTACAGCTGACACCCCGACGTGATTGGGGCGGTCGTGGTCTGCTCGGATGTCATCTTGTTCCGCTGTAGACCTCCTTGCTGTTGCCGCGGCTACAGGAGGCCGTCTGGCCTGTACAAAGTAATCATATCACGAATCACGAGCCACGGACCCTTTCGCTGGTCTTTTTCTTTATCCTCGCTCGTTCGACTTGCTCTCAGTAGTGTACTGTCTCTCCTCGTAAATCGCGTAGACCCCAAGACCTCAGCCTGACATGCGGAATGAACCATTGATGTTCTCGAGTGAGTCGAATGGGAACCCAACCAACAAAGCAGCCTACGTCAGATCCGCTTATGTAAGCTCACAGCGCAATTTTTGCCGGCTCTTGGGGTTATTATTCCTTCCCCTTCCTTTCTCCTCCCCCCACCACAAACCCAACTCGCGATCCCCCGACCCGACGATTTCTATTTCCCCCAAGACCTCGTCTCTCTGAACATTCGCCATGGCTGATCAAGCTCCCCCCCCACTTTCAAGCTCGTTCTGGTCGGTGACGGTGGTACTGGCAAGGTAAGAACCGCTTCAAAACGAATTGAACGTCCATCGACCTCAGCTCTGAACGAGGAGGCATCTCCATTGCTGGCGATCATCGTCAGAATCATCGATCCCCGATGGCGCCTCCGATGACCTCGTTGCGCTGTGACCGAATCCCTCTCCCTTGCCCCGCCTTTTTGTCAACAAAGACGGAAAATATCTGCCCAACGCTCGCCTCATCCGCGCAAGGCTATCGCTAACGCAACCAATTTCATAGACCACCTTCGTCAAGCGCCACCTGACTGGTGAGTTCGAGAAGAAGTACATTGCCACTCTTGGTGTCGAAGTCCACCCCCTCACCTTCACCACCGTATGCTATGCCCCGCCGAACCCCGCTCCGATCACGGTTGACTAACTCGAGACTATAGAACCTGGGCACCATCCAGTTTGACGTGTGGGACACCGCCGGTCAGGAGAAGTTCGGTGGTCTTCGCGATGGTTACTACATCAACGGTCAGGCCGGTATCATCATGTTTGATGTTACCTCCCGTATCACCTACAAGAACGTCCCCAACTGGCACCGTGAGTTTCCCTTATTAAATCGATCCAAAAACTGTCCGTTCCCGCGAGATTAACTTGAGTTTCCTATCTAGGTGATCTCGTCCGTGTCTGCGAGAACATCCCCATCGTTTTGTGCGGTAACAAGGTCGACGTGAAGGAGCGCAAGGTCAAGGCCAAGACCATCACCTTCCACCGCAAGAAGAACCTTCAGTACTACGACATCTCCGCCAAGTCCAACTACAACTTCGAGAAGCCCTTCCTCTGGCTCGCCCGCAAGCTGGTCGGCAACGCCACTCTGGTACGTACCCAACCCAATAAAGTCCGATCGCTCACCGCCAATTCGGTACTAATTATCCCCTATAGGAGTTTGTCGCCGCCCCCGCTCTCGCTCCCCCTGAGGTCCAGGTCGACCACGAGCAGCTCGCGAAGTACCGCAAGGAGATGGACGACGCTGCCAACATGCCCCTCCCCGACGAGGACGATGCCGACCTGTAAACGGCTCCCTATTCCTTCGAAATCCCGGCGTTTTCTTTCTCGGGAATTTTGGGTTCCCGCGGCGACCCTCGATACGACAGTTCTAGTGACCGTCCGACGAGTGATGCCTTTCAAATGACCGAATGTTTTTGGGCCTTGTGTCCCGGAGCAAAATCCGTTCTCAGAATTACGATACAATGAAAGCGGTTGGGACAGTGGTGGTTTGAGAAAATGGACGGCACGATCGATTATGCATTTCTTTTTTTTTTGTTTCCCCAACCCTAGTAGCTTAGACTCTTACCATCTCAATGCTTCTTTCTCGCCCCTGAAATGAGCTCTGCACCCTAAAAAAGCAAGTCATATTTCAACCGGGCCAATGCCTGAACGATCTTCTACATATTAAATTACAACATGGGCATTTGCCAAGCTAGTTGGATTGTGATCTCAGTTCTGGTTCTATCGACATCTCAATTGCTCTAAGGGCGTTTTGGTGAACAGACTGAATCTATGAAAACCTAGAAGAAATATGAAGGGAAGGACTTGGAAGTTTGAAAAAATTAAAAATAAAAACAAAAATAGAATTGACTTGCCTTGTCCGTAAATTGAACGATATTGAGTCCGATCCTGAATGGGGGTATGTGTGCTCGTACGCCGCTAAACACCCGTATGTGAGAAAATAATCGACAAAAGTTAAAGAGCACAAACAACCTGAAGAAACTCTATTTCCTGTGCGAGGAATAAATCAATCAGAAGCAAGTGAATCGCAGAAACAACAGAACTAGCGCATTCAGGCGTGTTGAATACCCTAAAAAAAATATGTTAGTAAAGGTTGCAGGTAAGAGTGGGAAGCAGGGGTACATACGAAAAGGAAAGCCAAGTCCTCGGCGCTGAGCCGGGAAACATTCATAGAACCCCCCTCGTCAAGGGCACCACTGATCAGCTCACGCTTCTGGTCCTGGAGCTCGATGATCCGATCCTCGACCGTCTCCTCAACCAACAAGCGGTGCACGAATACATCTCTGGTTTGACCAATCCGATGGGCTCGGTCAATGGCTTGGTCTTCGACATAGGGGTTCCAGAATGGGTCGAAGATGATCACGTGCGATGCAGCGACGAGGTTGAGACCAGAATTTCCAGCCTTGAGGGAGACAAGCATGACCTTAATTTCTGGGTCATCGGTGAATGCAGCGACAGATGCATTACGGTCGTCAACATTCATAGTACCGTCGAACCGGACGAACTGCCAACCACGACGCCTGAGGGGCACCTCCATGAGATCGAGCAAGGAGGTGAACTGACTGAAAACGATCGTCTTCTCCTGCTTACCCCTGTCTTCATTGGCCTGCAGAATCTCGAGGGTCTTTTCAATCTTGGAACTAGGAATCCATTCGTTCTCAAGTCGGTCAAGGTACCTGCGCTTTGCCTTGCTGTTCCTCAGCCCAGCCTTGCGCAGTTCAGCAAGAGACTTCTTCCGGGCTTCCTTTGATTCGGGACTATCAGGATTGTCGGACTCGTTGCTACTATCGCTGTCGCTATCCGAATGCATATCTTGCTTGCTTGCCTCATATTCAGCTTGTGAACCCGGATAATGTGCCTTCTTGAAGGAATTGAGGTCGGTGACCTTGTTAGGGTCTACCTGTCCACGGCAGGACTGGCATTTGACGAATCCCGTAGTGCTCTCTCGGGCAAGGACAGCAGGGTCGGAGATGCGGGCATAGCACTCAGAGCACGCATAATGCGCACAGGGGATGTAGATAACTGAATTTCCAGCGCTGTCCATGCAAATCTCACAGGCTTCGAGCTCTCCATCACCCGCCTTCAAATTGGCAGTCATTCTTGTGATAGCGGCACGATCCAACAGCTTCGCATTGGCAACCAGATCAACACCGGCCACAGTGGCCAAGTTTTCGTCGTTGAACCCCTCAAGTAGATGAGGATGGCAGCAGGCCTGGCGTAGCCGAAGAAGGAGGACAAGAACGTGGCCGTAGTTCTTGCCGAGTGTTCCCGCATCAAGGTATCTGGTGATTTGTCTCTGTGTTTTGGCATCCAGCTCACTGTAAACCGCCTTTTCTTTTTCGCTGAACACGACATGAACCTTTTCGATAACCTTCGGCGGCAACTGTAGAATGGGTTGGCCGTCAATCTGAGATGTTTTAGTGCGTCTCAGACAAACGGATTTGACCAGCACACGTAGCTGTTTCATGGTCTTCTCTTCTACCATACCGCCAGGGCGAACAGGGAAGTCCTGCGTCGAAAGTTAGCTTGCTTCTTTCCAAAATAGACAAACCCATTGGTGTGTTTCATAAACCACACCATGGAGTAGCAACACACTCTTTTGAACCTGTCCTTCATGTTGTAGGGTCGAATTCTTAGAAACCTGAGCAGAGCTTGGAGGTCATCCAGCTTGTTCATCATTGGTGTGCCGGTTAAACACCATCGATGGGTAGCATCAATAGCACAGCAAGCCTTGTTGCTCTTCGCCAACGGGTTTTTGATGTTCTGGGCCTCATCGATGATGATCCGGTGAAACTTGCTCCGGGGAGTAAAGAGTAACGCCTGGTCACGGTACATTTTTGCGATTTCCGGATCCTTGCCCTCCTTTTCCATTTCTTCGGCTTTGACCAAATACTTGTGATTGGCGGTCAAGGTACCATAGGTAGTGATGATAATATCTTTTTTACATAAATCTCTCCAGGGGGTACGACGTGTCTTGTCATGGAAGATAAGGACCGATAGCTTTTGCTTCCCCGGTTTGACATGCCGAAGGATTTCAAGTCTCCATTGCTCCATGAGGGCTTTTGGGGCAACAATAAGACACGGATGTCGGTCAGACTCGGTCGGTGGCCGAGCGGTCATGAGAGCGATAGCCTGGATAGTCTTTCCAAGGCCCATGTCATCCGCCAAGATACCACCCCTTTGGTTGCTCTCTTCCTTGGCTTTCATCCATCTGAGGCCAATTTTCTGGTGCTTCATCAAAGTCACTTTGAGGGCATCCGGGGTCTCATCCGTGGCCGCATTCGTGGCATCACGGATGTCTTTGATGCCATGAATGAGATTCCTGATATCCTTGGGAAATTCTCGTTCGTCGTAGCCACTAAATTGCTGAGTTAGTAAAACAAGTAACTCACAACTCTTCGATGCTTAGGTTCAAACTTACTCGATCTCGTCGTCCTCCATATCGATCTTTGTCTCGTCCAAGCTGGTCATTGCGACATCGATCGGGCCCCTGCCAAAGTGAAAAGGGAACTGCGGCATTGGAGGTAGAAGTGGATGGGCGCTCATTCCCTGGCTCCTCCCACCAAATCTGGAATGGAAATAGTCACCTGTCACTTCCTGGATGTCATCGTCAAGCCGTAGACTTGAAAACGGTGAACGATCCAGGACGTACTGACGACCCGGCAAGGCCCCGCTTGAAGGTCCTGGGGCAAAGGGGTTGTCATATCCCATCGAGATAGAGGATGCCGGCTGGAATCCACGGGCATAGTAAGGGTCCGGTCGGCCGAGAGAGATTTGGTCTCGAAAGGGCAGAGTGGTTGCCGTCGGCGGGTGCGTCGAATCTGTTGGCTGATCGTCCTCGAGAAAATCCTCCGCTTGCAACTTTCGAGCCATTGCTCCATCTCGCTCCAGGTTGATTTCTCTAATTAGATGGTCTTCATCTTCTTGTTGCTCGATGTCAAGCTCTCGGAGGACCTCATCCAAGGTCTTGCCGTCTGCTGTAGCTCTAAGCTGGAGGTCTTCGGTATTGGCTTTCTTTGCTTCATACAATCTTTTAATCTCGACCAGCTTAGTATCAAGTTGATTGGAGAGCTCGTCCATCCGTGCCTTGGATTGTTCGATCATATTCTGCCTCTTTTGGGGGGCAGGCGATGTGACGGAATCGTCACGAGGCCGCTTGCGAGATCCAACTGGTAATGTTGACAATTGTCCAGAAATCCGGCCAGCTTGATTTGGCAAGGGTGAAGGTGCATGGGAGGGGAAAAGGGACTCAGCAGACGAGACATGGCTCGAAACACGATATCCATTGCTTGCAGAGGCGTCTGGGTGAGTAGGGGTACCGGCTTCCGACAGTACGGTTGGGACGGTACGCGATGACATAGCAGCCTGGGGATGCCGAAGAGGGGTCACGGGTGGAATATGCGAGCCGAGTTCAGCGGCGGGGCTATCATCGCCCAGAAGTTGTTTGACCTTCTCTTCGAGGTGCTTGATGGCTTCGGCGTCCTTGGCAAGCTGCTCGGGGTCGATTTGATGGGCCATGTCTTCATCATAGAAGAATTTTCTTGTCTCCAGGTCCTCGATCAGAGCGTTGACTTCTGCATCTTTGGAGGACGCCATGGAGGAATCCATCTTCGCGGCGCCTGGAGTGGTATACTCCTGCACAGATAAACGATAGGGTAACGAACAGTGGCAGATTTCAGTGTGCTTGAAACGGGTTGGAACACAGGTAACGGTTCACGAGAGGCGAGAATCTCTCCTGACCTGTGTGGAAAATCAGAACCGGGGTAGGCGCCGCGTTCGAGAGTGAATTGAAGTGGTGGGTCAGTTTGCAGTGAGTGGACGAGGCAAACGCGAAAGCGGTGGCGCCTGGCAGAGGCGGGGACAGTTGGGCGGCGGTGATAAGGAGCACCGCAGTCTTGCCCAGGCAAGAGGCCACTTGGTCCGGGCTCGCAGAGGGTTCTTTGAAGATGTACACTGGTAGTGCCGTGTCGAAGTGGCGTGGTGGATATGATCTTGCCTGAGTATGAGATTGGTCGAAGTCAGGGATTTCGGGGGGGGGGGGTGGAGAAAGAAAATGGGGCAAAGCAAATAGTGCAGCTGATGATCCAGGCCTTTCGAGGCAAGCCTGGCGACATTCAAAGGGTGATTGATCACCTTCCCATCAAAGTGGTGCCTGATCCTGCGGCCACAACGAGAAAAAGATTTGCCGGGATCAAATCACAACTGCATCCATGGCGCTGTCACAGCCGCTACCACGGATGGCCCCCTGCAGCTTCCCGGAATTTCCAACCTTTCCTAAATGAGACACGGAAACCGTGCAAGATGTGATGTGTATGGAAATCCGCGGATACTACTAGTATCCTCTATATCAATCTACCTGATCCCGTGCCCAGTCTTCTCTTAGTGCGCACATGGCTCAGGCCCAGATTCAAGTTGCTTCTGCACGGACCACAGTGTCTATTTTTCCTATAGACTCGTCTGACAATGAGGCCCTACGAGTATTATGATAATCAAGTATTACCGTCTATAATAGAACCAGGCCCATCAATACACGAATCTCATTTCGTATTCACTACTGGATAGCATTTCTGTTGGTTTTTAGTGATACTCAGTACTGTTGGACTTCGTTGGCGGGTTATCAGCACGTGCTGATAGACGTGTCCTCGCGTTGGTATGCAAATGGTGAAAACACTTGCTACATGCAGGATAGATCCACAGATGTACATCTGGGCTGCCTCAGGGTATACAGGGCGCTTAACTTCTGCATTTGTACCGAAGCTGCTTCTCCCCCGGGTTTCGAGCCTAATGACTCATTCTGTGCTGTAGCTAGGAGTGCAATCATCAAATGGGAGGTCGATCTGGATGAGCAGACGATCTCGACATCACAAGATCATATTGCACCGGTGTGTTTATGGCCCGATTACAACTCCATCTACAGGATTTAATGTCTAGCATGGTTAAGACCAGAGGATCTGTCAGGAATAAACACTGACACCGAGCCAGATTATGCCTGGTCTGATTGCGTCCTAGGTCATGGTAGTTGAACAAAACCCGACGACTGCTTGGACATTTTGATAACAACCTCACTGGTGCTACACCAAATATAGTGTATATACACATTGACACATAGTGAGATAATGTAAGTGCCTGCAGCCAAATCCATGATAGTCCTCATCCATGCCGGTGTAACATGTGAATCATTTAAATTGACTATACGTTCACGTTTTGAATTATATATTACACCATAGGTATAATTAATATACTTTACCACTCAACCCAACGCAGTTCTACGACGTCAGAGTTAGCCGGAATGCACACACTTTGACGATGGCAATGCCTATATTAGTTCACGCCTGGAAGGAACAAGTCATTCGAGAGCAGCTGGTGCACCTTTTAGATCGACAAGATCTTGCAACATGTCGCTTGATCTGTCGAGACCTGGCCCTAGAGCTAGCCCCACTGCTGTTCACCGAAATCACGATTTTCTTCCGCAGTGGCATCTTGACCAAGCCATCGCACCTAGCAGTACTCCAGCGCATTGGTCCATTCATTCAGTCCATGACTTTCAAGATGCCACACACCGCAGAGACCTTCTTGCCGCCAGTGATCGATCCGATGTCAGGCAAAGAGCAGACCTTCATGTACACACCCCAATGCCACCAAACACGCCCCAAGAATCCGAGGTACGGGAGTTGGGAGATGACCGATTTGCTGGTGAAGCAGTATCCGCCCTTATTCCATGCCGCTGCGGATATCCCTTCGTTTGTGCAGGCTTTCTCTTCCATGCCGAACCTGTGCCATCTTCGCATCAATTGTGACGGTCAGCTGCCCAGCCATCGGTATCGTAGGAGTATAGTGGATTATGCACTCATTTCCTTGCGGATAGCGGTCGAGCAGGCGCCACTGTTGTCGTTAAATCGGCTTTCATTGCTCTCAGTTCACCCCGGGGCGGTATTGTACCTACGGCCGAGTCTGAGCTTTGGTGCATCTCCTGCGTCCCGGAAGCGCTGGTCTCAGATTCGCCACTTGTCCATTCGCATGGCAAGCTTTCCCCACGAGACCGGTCCAACCGATCACTTGAAGCTTTTACATGCCTATCTGCACAGCTTCCCTGCTCTCCATAGTTTGGTGTTTCACTGGGAGGGCCAGAAGGGACTGTCGCCAATCTCATTGGCGTCGGAGCCATGCCTGACACGGCCGATCAATAGAGCACTTGGTCAGTATGGCACTCAAAAGACCAAGGCTTCCTTGAGGCCATTGAAAATGCCGTCGTTGCAGCACATGGAACTGGTCAATGCGACCATCGACGCCTCACAGGTAGCATCGTTCATCTTTGATCACCGACATTCCCTCCACGAGTTCAATCTCCAAGATGTCCATTTGCGAACGGGTAGTTGGGATGAGGCTCTGGCACCCTTGACCAAGCTCAGTGGCAATGAGCGCTGGAAAGAGACCCAGAAACACGCCAGCGCCATTGACGTCCCGATTGTTCTCAGCCCGGCCGGTGTCAGCCAGAAGCAACTGCAACGAGCCATCTGTGCAGTCCAGCGCCAAAAGGACGGACTGCGGAGTTTGGCGCAGACGCGAGTGCGCGAGAGGATCTGGGGACGACCGGATCATATGAAGCGGCTCGTACCGCCATCGGTGCTGAGCTGGCGGTGACGTTGGAGGCGCGCGAGCGATCTTCTGAGATTATTGTTGGGGAGCTGATCTCGGAGGGAAACGATTGCCAACATCGCGATGGATACCGGATTCGTGCGACCCGTCGAGCAAGAAAGGAAAAGGGCCCGGTCGGTGGAGTCCGCTTCCATGTTCGTCTGGGGAGTGTGGGATTCCCGGGTTAAGCGGACTTTGGGGGGAGACACGGGGGCGCGCCGATGCCATCACGGGGAAATCGAAAGAGATCGTCGGAACTGGGCCATGCAGACCGGGGGGTGCATGCGACCGTGTTATGAAGAGGCCCATGGAGTCCTTGGAGCAGTCGGGGGTTAGGCAGTCCTCGGTCGTGTGGAGAAAAAGGGAGCACATTCACAGCCGCGCGCGCCTCCGTACCGAGGCCCACGGGTTCACATGCCATGGGATGTCATCATCGCTGGGTATATATTCACTTCCTGTCGCTTTTTCCTCTACCACTCCCCACATACCCCGGTTGCCACTCCTATCCGCCATCATGCCTCTCAAGAACGGTATGCACTCCACTGTTACTAGCTCTGCGTCCTCCCCCGGTCGCATGGGGAATCTCCCCGATCTTATTGCTGACGGCTCTTTCTCAGATTCCTTCCCCTCCTCCGCCGCCTTCGACGTGATCAACCAGACTCTCCAGTCGAACGAGGCCGACCGCAAGGATGCCGTCGACAAGGCCAAGGCTGTTGTCGCCTTCAACCTGAAGAATTCCAAGGGCGAGGAGAAGAGCTGGTACCTCGACCTGAAGAACAAGGGCGAAGTTGGCGAGGGCGCTGCTCCGGCCGGCGGCAAGGCCGATGGTGAGTCGAACCAGACACCCCCAAGCAAGACGAAATATTGGATCGCATGCTAACTATGTTTGCGCCTCCAGTCACCCTGAACCTTTCCGACGAAGACTTCGCTCAGCTCGTTAGCGGCAAGGCCAACGCTCAGCGCCTCTTCATGGGCGGCAAGCTGAAGATCAAAGGCAACATCATGAAGGCTACCAAGATGGAGCCTATCCTGAAGAAGGCCCAGGGCGGTGCCAAGCTGTAAACTAGATACCCTTTATTTTTATGATCCACAAATCTGTACAGAAATGCTCCTTCGGGTGATATTTTTTTATTTTATTTTGTTTATTTATCTATTTTTTGGAGCGTAGAAGTCGAGTTGTGCTGTTCGTGGTGTGGTCAAGTGCAACAGCAGCAGCAGCAGCAGTAACTCTTCTTTACCCATAGAAGTGATGGGCAAGAGATGGGAAGATTTTAGATTGATCTAGGAAAGCTTACAAGTCTCGAACCCGTCCCTCCCGTAGTACACGGCCCTGGTCTAGCTCAACAAAATAGTCTGCATCCTTGACAGCTTCAACTCTGTGTGCAATCGTGATCACTGTCGACAGCTCCAGCTCCTCTCGAACAATCTGTTGGATTTCCAGCGAGGTTTCATGATCGATCGATGCCGTTGCCTCATCAAAGATGACGACAGCACTCCGTCGGAGCACAGCTCGCGTGAGCGCAATGAGCTGCCGCTGCCCTTGGCTAAGGTTTTTCCCGCCTGCTTCAATATGAGTTTCGAGAGTCCAGCCATGGCGGGCACAGAGACGTTCGAGCACTTCCGCGCACTGCTGATCGGAGAACTCGTCTGTGGGGTCGAGATTGAGACGGATACTTCCTGGAAAGAGGACAGGGTCTTGAGCGACAAAGGTGATCCGAGTGCGTAGAGCTTGTTTGCTCACGTCGGCAATGTTGATATTGTCGATCAAAATGCGACCGGATTCTGGCCGAATGGCGCTCAGCAACGATACCGCTAATGTCGACTTGCCACTGCCGGTGCGACCGATGATTGCTGTGGTAGATCCACCGGGAATATTAAGAGAGATATCCACTAGAGAAGGGTCGAGATGAGGAGCATAGCGCATGGTGGCATTCTCAAAAATGACGTCGCTGCCGTATGTCGGCCATGCAGCTGGCGGATCAATGGTACCAGGAGCTTCTTCATCGACGTGAAGCAATTCATCAATACGTTCAACGGAGACGAAGTCCATCTGCAGCTGACCATATTGCTTACACAGACCATGTGTGGCTTCCACGAACAAATTGGCGGCAATGAGCACAAAAGCGACAAGGCCCGGAGTTGTGTTTGTGTAAAGAGCCAATGCACTCAAACAGAACGTCGAGAAAGCGGACAGGCTCTCGAAGCGATACATGAGCCATGCCTGGAGTGACCAATAGAAATGGTCCATTCCTTGGAACTTGTCGACCACCGAAATAACACGGCTCTGGAAACGGTCTTCGGCACGGAACGCGCGCACGGTTGTTAAACCGTGAAGTAATTCTCCAAAATTAGATAAGAGGGGAGTGAGTGATACCATTTCAAGTCGTCTCAGGCTCTGAGATGTCGGGAGGAAGTGTAGGAAGATCAGGACGAATGCCACGGTCAATATCAATGAGAACGCGAGGAAAACTGGAGTCGCCGTGGCAATAACCAAAATCGAGGAGATCCAGGTGATGGCATAAAATGCGATAATTTGGAATTGTACGCTGATGTTACCATCGATAACACCGATGTCCGATGTTAGGCGATTCATTAATCGTCCCACCGGCGTGACGTCGAAGAATCGGAAAGTCGCATGGCTCACTCGGACCATTACCTGCTGAAACAATGTCTTGCCTGCACAGTAAACAATGACGAGCATCAAGCACTGAGAAACAAGAAGTACGGCTATCTGGAACGTGATAATTGCAAGGAAGGCCCAAAGCCAGGGACGGACATCGTCATCAGGAGGAGGAAGCTGGTCCATAGGATTGTGCGGAATCCGGTACACGCCTAACAATGCCGAGGAGGCATTTTCTCGAGACGGCTTGCTCCAGACTGGCAGCTGGTTGAAAGAGAAAATTACCTGCCAGTGGTTATAGGCTTCGCCCCACCCCTTGAGGAACCACGATTGGCCAACTGCCGCGAGTCGATAGATAGCGAGAACAAACACCAGGGCTAGCCACCATCGATACTTTCCGGCCCGGATATAAGTCCAATACACTCGGGCCTTGACACCCCATTCGGCACGGTGTTCCTCTTCGATGAACTTGTCTGGCACGGCATTGGCCTCGTCTTGCGAGCTGAACTCATCCTCAGCGTCCGATCCATATTGGCGCAAAAACAGCGAAGCACCTGTATCTTTCTTTTGAGCCAATGCGACAATCGCATCCTTGTCGTATACCGTGGAATGTCCCCCATCAATCTCGATGACCTGGTCAGCGATATCAAGGACAGCCGCAGTGCGGTGTGTCACGAGAACGACGATACGATCATGCATCAAGGGTCCGCGAAGGCATTTCCAAACGACGGACTCGGCTGTATTGTGATCCAGGGCAGACAAAGGATCATCCAATAGAAGAACGTTAGAAGCACTGTAAACGGCACGCGCAAGGGCTACGCGTGCCTTTTGACCTCCAGAAAGACCGATACCGTTTTCGCCGATGAAAGTCAGATCACCATGTTTGAATTGGGACAGGTCAGGTAGAAGAGCACATGCTTCCAATGTCCTCTTGTACCGCTGCTCGTCATAGGCCGAAGAGAATAGGATATTGTCTCGAATGCTCATGCTCTGCAGCCAAGGCGTCTGAGCGCAGTAGCCCACCATTTCATTCGGAATATGGGAAGAGCCTTTAAGTTGATCAAGCTCCCCTAAGAGCGACTGGAGGAAGGCGGTCTTTCCTGCTCCTACTTTGCCGGTGACCACAGTGAGGCCCTTAGGGATAGTGACACTAATATCCGTAAGGACTGGCGAAGATTTACCCGGCCATGCGAAGCTGCAGGAATCCAAGTGAAACGGGATGTTGGCGGTCAAAGGGTCAATTGGGTCGTAAGTTTTGTCTGGTTCCGCCATGAAATCCTCAATGCGACCCAAGGCGATTGAAGCATTGATCAATGTGGTTATCAAGTTCGGGATCTCGCGTAGACGGCTTTCGAGCATCGAAAACAATTGCAATGCAGGGAAAATAATGTCGATGCGCAACTCATGTCCCGCTAGAATCGCGTATGCGTACAGAGCCAGCACAGGGAAAACTCCACTTGCGAATGCATTAATGAACAAGATCAATATACTCCATAGACGAGTGATGATTCGTAGGTTCAATTCATGTTGACGAGCCTCCATAACTTGTCGGATCCAATGGTTTTGCCATCCATACCATCGAAGATGACGAATAGATTCCACGAATTGCGAGGTGATTTGCAAGCGGACATCTGTAGCGGTCCGTTTGATTCGCTCGTAGCGAAGCAGAATTCTTGTAACTACTGCATTTGCTGCTTGGGCAATCAAGACAGACAGGATGCCGAGGAAACAAGATGGACCGAAGAGTATCCAAACCAGAATCACGGCGATGATCAATCCGAGGGGCTTGTCGATGAGGCTGTCAATTTCCCAGTATCTTTGGGCCACGTCATAGACATCTCCTCGCAAAAGATTGAAAATTTTTCCTAGTGATGTAGCCTCCTTTACCTCTTCTGGCTGAGCTTTGCGTTTTCCAGTGCAGAAGCAACTCCAAAATCTAGAGTTTGCCGGAGGAGCATCTTGCTGAGCGGATAGATCACCACCAGAAGCATCATTCTCCTCTTCCAGCAATTCCTGAGCTTTTTCATGTGCTCCAAGAATATTTTTCCGCGAAAGGGCCTTTTCATAGACCATCATGATCATCTCCCCTCTGGATCGTTCGTAGCAACGCCGACCATACCACAAGTTCAGCACCTGGGATTGGGCAGCAACCAGTCGCAAGGCCAGTGACAAGAGCGCATATGTCAAGGGCACCCTTTTTGGCTTTGTCGGGTCCTGCATCGACTTCAATAGCTGCTGTAGAAGGACGGGGGTCGAAAAATCGCAGATCATCCGCACAATTGCAATACTCGAGATGATGAGAACATCAAGACCATTAGCTCTCAGGGTCCGTATGAGGACAGACCCTTTGAGACGGCGAAACTTCTCGTGGAGGCGGCGGTGCTGAAACTCAAATCCGAGTAGCCACACATCGGGTTCATTTAATTGTCTGTTGCGGCCCAATGAAATCAATGGCGCCATCCAGGAAACGGAGAGAAATTGCCACAGTCGGAGATTATCCTCTGGACTGCGAAAGTCGCTGCGTGGCATTTGGCCGACCGTACTGATGTCAAAGACCGGAACCGAGCTCGATCGGAATGGCATGAGTAGAATGGTAACGCTGTTGGCCACAGCAGCCCCCGCAGCGACATAATGGCCAACCGTCTTGAAATTCAGGCTCGTGTTGAATTGAACTGCGAATGAGGTCTCAACAACGAATGCCAGAAAGAAGTAGGCCAATAGGGAGATCGAGCATGATCTTGGCCTTTCGATAGAGATTAGTATGGTCACAATTGCCTGGTCCGAGGTCAGTGATGATCATGGTTACGCCGGGGCTAGTACGTACCCACGAAGCGACAGATATGATGTCCAAAAGGTTCAATCTTGGAGAGAAACAACGCAGGAGTCCCGCAAAAAAACCAGTCACGGAAAACCCAAGAAGTATCAGAGTCCAATGAAGGGATTGTTTTGCCCCCTCGAGAGGGAGTTCATGATACTCGTCTTCTGAGATAAAGGGAATTGTCCACTCTGGGCGCCATCGTTTCACAATTGGACCAAGTACATGACGCAGTGTAATCAGCAAAGCAATACTTGCATGGAAGGTCACCAAGTAAGACAAGGCACAGGGCGATAGCCACGCATTGTCTGGGTCCTGGATTGGTCAACACGACTGCATCCATTGACGCAAGGAGGGGCACCCGTACCCAGAAGCGACCGCAATGATGCTGCTCAGCATCATACAAGAGAGGGCTATGATCCATCTTTCATTCCGTCGAGAGTCCGCTCAGATCTAGCGGTTCATCAGTGCGACAGGAAACTAGTCGTTGTGTAGTTGGCTGAGCTCTACTGCTGCAACCGTCTGCGGGGATGCGGTGGAACAACGTTCTTCCGGTTAGATGTATGTTGTGCGGGATTCTTGTCATTCTCTTCACTTCACTCCCGCAACCAAGGAGATTTTGTCGAAATGACTCATGTTGAATGCTCTAACTGTGCAAAACGCCAATCCTGATCGAATTGGGTTTCGGCTGTTGCGATCGATCAACCATTGCAGCTACTCAGCCACCCGCTTTGGAGAAACATTGAGCCATAACATAGCATTGTGAAATCTATTGAGCACTCATGTAAAGGAGTCATTAATAGCAGAAAGCACCGATCTAGGTGCCTCTTCCGGAATATAATGCCCAGAATCAACGCCGTATCCTTCCACAGAAGTATCATGATCCGTCACAGCTCGCCATTCCTCAACGATCTCAAACGATTTGTCCATGGCGCCATTTTTGCCCCAAAGAACCATGAAAGGGCACTTGACAAGCTTATTATGCTTTTTATCTTCTCTTGGCTCTTCCAAGTCCACCGTAGCAGCGGCACGGGATTCATTACACATTGCATGAACAGCGGCCGGATCACTCATATTTTTCACATAGGCATCGAAACATGTCGGATCGAGGATACTAAGACCAACACCTGGTCATCCTCTCATCAATACTTGTGTCGTTGCTCGAGGATCTGCGTACAGGAAAGTCTCGGGAAGAGTCTCCTTTTGGTCAAGATGATAATAGCTGTGAGCAAAATGCTGATTGGTCTTTTCGATTATAGCGAGAGTTGGGTAAATGTCAAGAAGTAAAGTCTTCTTAACACGGCCAGGATAATTAACGCATAGTTTGTGCGCCACGCGGGCCCCGCGGTCATGAGCACAGACATAAATGGACACGGCGAATCCTAACGCATCCATCACAGCAATACACTCCTGAGCCATGGGGCTTTTCGCATAGGCGCCGACATCATCAGGCTCAGAGGATTCACCACAGCCACGGAAGTTGATCAGAATGACTTTGAATTCATCGACAAGGTGTGGAGCGATGCGATCCCAAATATGGAGCGTCTGAGGAAATCCATGTAGCAAAAGCAGTGGGGGAAGGGAGTCCAGCGCATCCCCGCTTTTCAGTCCGTGGCTTTTGACAACTGGTTCTTTCTGAGTTGGATTGAAAAGGGCTGAAAATCGTGAAATATTGTCAAATTTGCTCGAATTGGTGCGGCGAAAACTTAGAGGCGGTGTGAGGGTTGAAGAGGGGAGACACGAGGCTCGTGGATTATATCCTGATTTGGTCCGTCAATCAGCCGGCTCTTACATTAGTAATCCCGGAGGGTACATTTCAAGAACCAGCTATGAGCTAGCTGCTTTGAAAAACCGATTGTATAGCCTCGTCACGTCTCATCGCATACGGCCGTTGGCTGAAGAGTAGCCAGGTTTACCAGTTGATACAATCTGGGCAAAGCAGCGACATAAAATGTTAGAAGTCGAAGACGCTAAATGGTAATAAATGTACAGTGTGAACAAGAAAACCGGCCGCTGAGCGGAAGAATGTTGCCCCAAGTGCGTTTCAACCCCCGAGGAACATGAAAGACATCAATCCAGCCCATCCGGCCACAAAGACGAATGTCAAAATTCCAGCACCTGCTCGATCCCCAGTTGTGATAGGCTTGAGCTTGTCCTCGCTACTCGAGCCGCTCTCTTCACCAGCATTGGGGTCACTCTCACTGTTTCCTCCTGTCGTAGAGGTCACCGGTCCCTTGCCATCCTTCTCATATTTGATCAGGTAGCAGCTGAAGATATTGCTCGCGCTGATCTGCTCCTCCATTCCGGTCCATCCGTCCCATTTCGACTGGTACCAGCGAACACCGCAGGTGTTGTTGTTGTTTCCAGTGCAGGACTTGGCCGCCGCTTGAATCGAGGACTCCAGCTTGGGCATGATGGTATCGTAAGTTGAGGGAACCAGGAGTGCTGTGTATGCGAGCCAGGAAGAAAACAATCCCTTGAAAAGAATCTCGTTGTTGTTACAGATTTCTCTTGGTTCGCAAGTAATATCCTCCATGACAAAGCCATGCTCGGCCAAGAAGAAGTTTTGGAAAGATCGCTTCAAGAGACCATTGACAGCATCTAGCCACTTCTGGTCACCAGTCTAGATGATAATTGACCGTCAGTGTCACCCATCTCGGTAGAGAATAATCTGCTAGTACTCACCTTGTTGTACATATATGCCGCACCGCCCAGATAGACACCGTAGTTATATGTCCACTGGATATTTCCAGCAGTTGCACAATTATCGTCCATATTGGTGGAATCAGCCACGTTCCATGTTTTGTTGTTGAGTAATGGAGAGCTAGCGGACCAGTCCCAGACCTTCTCCGCCCAGTCCTTGTACTCAGAATTTCCGGTGTATCGATAAAGCCGCGCAGCGAGCTGGAAGAAGCCTCCGTTCGATACCGAGTTCTTCATTACGTATCCACTCTGGTAGACATAGACCTGCCAGCGCAGTCCACCGCCGCACGCCGTGGTATCCCATCGGTCCTTCTGGTCGTTGAAAACACCCTGTGCCAGGGAGAGCCAGGAATTTCCGTCTGGAACGTCCGGAAGCTTCAGTTCGGCAGCTTGGATTGCTGCAAGGCCCCAGAACATTTGGTCGTCATTTCCCTATATCGTTCCCCATTAGCCCGAGAAAAAGGAGTAGATTGCCGCCGGACGGAGATGCTCACCAAGAATCGACTGTAGTTGCTCGTCCAGTAGTCGCCGTTCGGACCGCCTTGGAATTCCAACCCAACACTCAACTGATCGTTGTATGTGTCGTCGCCAGTAAAGTGCCAATAGTTCAGGACCGCAAGGAATAGCGCTGCGCCTTCCCACCACTTTTCGGGGAATGCGCCTGGAATCTGACCGGTTTCATTGCCATTATACCATTTCATAGCTCCGTAAATGGTGTTCTCCGCAGCACTTTCGATCGATTCTATTCTCGGGGGCGCGGGTTAGCTCATGAGGCATGCGCAGGCCGGTGGAAGCCAGCATGATCAGACACCCAGAACTCACGTCGATCATCAATCTGCAATTCAATTGCATGGACGTGCTGTCCAAAGAGCAACCCGTACAGGAGATATGACCATATTGACTTCGCCCACATGGCCAGGAGAGATCCGGTCTGCGAGCCTGACCGCTTGCTGGGGGTGTATTCTGGAGGGGATCGCCGAGGCCGAGGGTTGCCGGGGTCGCAGTGATCAAGACGGCCCTGGGGTTTGGTGACAGGCTCCAAGGAGAGTTGGAAAAGGCTTGTCTGGGGCTGGGGTCGGAAAAAACAGCACGCGGGGCGGCCAGTCTCAGTTCCAGGTGCGCACAGGGAGCTGCCATTATGTCACTTCATAATCCCTGAGAAATACTAAGTGGACTCCAGCCTTTTCCCTGGAAAAGTGGAGCGGGGAGTGGAGGAATTCCTGTGAATTGTTACATACAAACAGGGTCTGTATGACCCATTCGCTGGTATCAGGTATGGTGGGTAGCTCTGGCGGTTGTGACTCGCCGAGATGTGTTGATCGAGGAGACCCATTCAATCACGTCAGCCAACAAGATCAACCGATCGTCAGGAGATTCATGGGTAGGCCGGGTCCACTCAGGGCTCAGCGGCACCAGAGATTGATGTCTCACATGGCGCTGCTGCTGGATCGCAGGTCGACTTTTTGCGCGAGGCCAGGAGCATCAATTTTTCGGAATGGGGCAGCGGAGAGTTCAGAAGCAAGCATTCAGGCGTTGGAGGCGCACAGAGTCCCGAAGTGCTTGGAGGAACGCCAACCCAATCACGGTGGGTTGGGCGGGTCCGCGATCCGCTCCACCGCGCCCGCCTTGAACTGCTCGACACGCGCACTTCTATTTTCAGGCGGCCGATCAGTTCCCTCAACCGTCGCTCTCCTTTGACATCACGGCCGCTCATTTGACTGCTCATTGCCTGCACAAGCGAAATCTGCGGGCCTGTACTTGGCGGTTGCCTCCCCGGGACACATACACGTGTACAGTGAGGCGATGCTCTTGAACCCAGGGAATGTGTCTGCCTCCAGAGATTAATTGTTGCACTTGAAGCCGCGCGATTCGCTGACCCTTGCAGCGAGCCTGGTACGATACGTTACTTGACCACGCTTCCCCACATACCAGCGACCAACTGTCCCGCCTGGTCGTTAAGGTATATTTGTTATGACCATCTTTTAGTACTGTACAGTACTGACTCGAACCTGGGAAAGGATCATTGATCTGGTTGCGGTTCTATTTGAAAAAAAGGTTGCAACTTGAGTCGCCGTTGCCACGAACGATTTCGCTACTTGCCCCGAGGGTGCGTTCTAGCAGGCATTGGAAGCAAAGAACCCGGTTTCGAAAAATACACTTTCTTTTCCTGAGGTTGGGGTTGCTATATCGTATATGCATTTCCCGCCGAGGGAAGAGCGCAGTATTTCATTCTCACACTGGCAGGTGTCGTAGGGCACCGGCTCTAAGCCACATGGCAGACAGCTGTGAGCGGGGCGCCGGCTCCCGTGAAATGCCAAGACCACGCCAGAGTTGCTTATTTTTAAGCTTCAGTACATATGGTGATACCGATTTAGATCGACTCGATCAAAAAAGCAAGCGGCCTCAGAAAACTGCAAACGCATTGGGTGGGCTAGCCACTCCACCAACAACCTAATACATCAATCAGCAGGGGTCTTGAGGCAATGCTAAAATCAGTCTCCGAGAAAGAGACCCACCTTGAGGGGCATGCTCGACAGGAAAAAGCTGTATCTGCCAGTGGCCTTGCAATGCTGTGATAGCTTCTCCAGGTCAAACATCTCACCAATCGGAGTTCCCCATCCCGCTAGCACCCATTCATGAAGATTGAAGTTCGGATCGGCATGACTTCCGCGGATTGGGGCTCGTTCGAAGCTCGGAGCATCACTGGCGACTGCTGCAAACTGCTGCTCCCACAGCCAGCGGACCATGCCTTCGGTCGCTTCTACGCCGATAAAGTCGGGGTTTGAACGCCGAGGGAGAGCTTCACGCTCTATATCACTGAGGTTATTGTACGCTGCCGTGAAGCCGCTTCGGATAAACAAGATATCGCCTTTCCGAAATTCGAGATTATGGTCTCTGATAACTTGTCTCAATTGGTCGAGAGTAATTGCTTCTGACTGCAGTGCACAAACAGATACCAAGTTGGAAGCAGCCCAGTCGGCAAAGTCGACCAGAACACCACGACCAGTGATGCCACCATTCTCAGCCACCACTATCATTTGCCCATAAGTACCCCAGCTACCCTTTCTAGGCGCAATGGAGTATTCACTCACCATGCATGCCGATGACATCTGAGCTTTCGATTTCCTCTGTTGTATGGCCATTATAGAATTGTCGTGATTTCTGGTTGGCTACGAGAAGTTTCAGTGGGGTTTTAACTCAACAGATAATATAAACCAACTGCCGTACCATAATGCCTGAACCCATCCCACTGTGTCGACCCTTGGCTATTAAACGTCAAGATATCGTCATACACACAGTTGGGGTTTCGGAGAACGATTTCCTGCTTGAACGGATCACGATTGAAGCTCGGGAACGAGGGCATGCTCAGTGGCCAGTCGAGGGAAATGCGCACGCCAGTACGGATCTCCTTGGCAGCTTCCACAATCACCTCGGGCGTGAGCAAGTTCAGTGTACCAAGCTCATCCTTGGGCCCAAATCGACCCCAAGCGTTGCCTCGCGGGCCGCTTGGATCTAGCGGGAGGGCATCGAAGGAAATCGTGTTGCTGTCTTTTGGTGCGGACATCTTGTGTCAAGGAGGGTCCCGAGGATCCGGTGAGGTGAACACTTCCAAGGATGTAAAGTGAAGTCGCAAGAAGGTTCCCGACAAGCACCGGCACCTTAACCTTTATACCAACTACGGAACAGTTCGCCCTCGGGCTATCTTTGTCTGTCTTACCCGAGCTAAGCCCCTCACTCTGGCAGGACCCCACACCCCCGCATTCTATGTCGGACATATATCCGACAGCGATACGGTGTTTCGTTAGAATCGGCATCCTCGCTGGATAACACATAGCCCTTTTCCAGGGTTTTTACAAAAGACTGTGACCTTGCTCGGCAAGCTTCGGATTCAGAAACACAAGAGGTATGATGTGATGACTAGGGTTCTACTCATAACAATATTCTCAAAAGATCACAAGTGCATCACATGGTTCATTCGAAATAATCGGAACTCCCTGGTGTTTTCCGAGAGGACCGCGATACTGCAAATTAGGAACATGGCAAATATTTGCAAGACATAAGTCCTATTAGAGCCGGGCTCTGCTAAGAAATACTCGCAGAATTGATCACTCAAGATTCCACTAGAAGGTAAAGTAGGCAATAGTAGCGGCATATGTCGCCAGATTGTCACTAACGACAGCCAGCGACGTACCATTTTTCACAATCATGTTGGTCGTACCCACCGTGCTAAGGGCATAGACCACCAAGTTGGTCGTGCTACCTTCGACGCTGAAGATCTCACTCTGGCAATTCTCCGGCGTGGGGAAAGTAGAGCAATCCGTGCTATACTCAGTGAAAAAGCTGTAAAGCCCGGCGCCGTACACGATGATGTCGTTGCTATTGAGAACGCGCAGTCCAAGAGCGTCGCAGTTTCCAGAAAGGCAACTGCTGTAGTCTGGATCATTCAAGGCGGAGTTCCTTGGATAGGGACCATTTGCCGCATCGGGATTGGGTTGATAATACCTGGGAGGAAGCTGGTGAGAATCGCCAAGATGTACGTGCGGTGTGTAGGTAATTCCCAATACTCACGGGGTCTCGGTCTGAATAAATCCTGCCACCACGGAGCTGGCCCCGGAAAATTGATACTGGTACAACGAGTGGTGCTCCACACCCGTTCCGTACCTAGTAACATTAGCAATCAATTTGCCTCCACTCAATCGGACGCACTTACAACCAGATGTTCTTTCCTTCAACTAACAGTCCCCTGCCAGAGTAGACAGAAATCCGAGTATTATCTGCACTGTCGAGGTCATGGTCTGCCGTCCACAGCCAAACATTGTCCAAATACACCCCGCTCGCACTACCAGTGATGTGCATGGACATATAGGCGACCTCACAAGCAGCCGACACCGCCGCGGAGGTAGGACATTGAGCAACTTGCAGCTGCGAGCCAGCAAATCCACCAATTCGGGTGTGGACATCCCACATCCCAGAGCCCGAATCGGCAGCCAGATTCCATTCGATGAGAATAGCACCAGGAGTGGATCCTTGGGTGCTCACAATCATGTCGGACCATTCAATCGATCCTGACTCTCCAGACTTGCCAACTTGAACCACGGGCAGAGGGTTCGAGATGCTCGAAAAAGAACTTCCACTAGCCATGATGACAGGATACGATTCGCCAACAATGCGAGATCCCGGGGGAATATAGATGGTACTTGTCACCTTGTAGGTTCCCTGGTCAAAGAAGACGATCTGACCAGAGGATGCAGCCGAGATCAAGGCAGATTGAATGGCCGATGTATCATCCGTAGAACCATCTCCGGCTGCTCCTGCATTTCGAATACTAACAAAAGACGACGTGGAGGACGTTTCGTATTGAGGTTTGCTCTTGGTATAGTATCTGGAAGAGCCACTCGCAAGCAGAGCGCTGGGACGCGTCGGTGTCGTGAAAGTGCCTTGGAAGTTTGTGGGCCCATTGGGGGTATACTTGTGGCCCTGGCCCCAGGCACTGATGGTCGTAGTGCCCCCAGCAAGAACAGTACCGCTCGGTCCGTTGACAGCGACTGGAACGTTTTCTAAGACAATGTTCTCTAAAATCAGACTCCCGTTGGATGAAGGTGAGGTCTCCCAGGCACTGGCCACGAAAGTTGAGCAGTCCTGAATAGTGCTGTCAAGAACAACGACCGAGCCTACTAGTTGATTGCCGACGCCGCCATTGTTGATCGAAATGGCGGTGGTACAGTTCGCCAAGGTAAGGCCTTGGTAGGTCCAGCCCCAGTCCCAGATTTGGGAGATAGCTGTGACCGCATCCGAGATCACCAGGTTGCGCGTAGTGAATTGCTGGTTGCCGAGATTGGCACCATACAGGCCGCCGGTGATGGTGATATCGGCCAAAAAGCCACCAGAACCTTTGAAAAACGGTGAGTCTTTTACCAAAAGGGAAGAGGGAGTAGATCTACTAGTTCTCACCATTCTCAATAAAAATACCCTGGTGCTGGGTTCCGGATGCAGAGCTCATTGCGATCTCCACATTTTGGATGCTTGTAGCCTGTCCAGTCGGCCAATGAATACCAGTTGCAGCTGAGCTGGCTGGGATGCCAGTCAAGTCTAGCTTCAGGTTTCTGATTTGTCGGAAGAAAACATTCGTTGAAGTCCATCCCTGGTTACCATCGCTCTGGTACTGGTCTCCATCAATCAGCCCCAATCCCGTGAAGGCCGCGGTCGCCTTGATTACTGGTATGGCGTTCGGATTGCCGATCAGTTGCGTGAAGTAGTAGTCGATAATGGGAGAAGAGATCAGGTATGTTCCTGCAGGAAAGTACACAATTGCAGGCGTCGTGGTGGAGCTCTCTCTGCTCGATGGTCCATAGCGACCGCCATCGCTAATAGCAGCATTGATCGCGGCAGTATCATCGGTTACCCCATCACCTAACGGTCATGATTGTGAGGCTCTTCACACATGGCATCGATTGTGGACAAAAGTACCTTTGGCCCCATAATCCATCACATTGCGGAAAACCGTGTAGCCGGAAGGGTTTGGGTTGAAAGCAGCTACGCCTTGATGAGCAATCTCGGCTAGCCAGTACGATGCGTCTGACGCCTCCACGGTTGCATGTACATTAAAGAGTGTGGCTGGTGTTGCGGCGCTGATAACAGACGAGGCAACTCCGGTGGGGCCATCATAATCCGTATAGTCTGCCAGGGGCTTCAGGGCAGAGCTGACCAACTCATCCACGGCGGGGATGTCCAACAACTGACACCGAGCATGCGCTGCCAAAGTGAGGAGCGTCAGAACCGAAGGATGATACATCTCGACTCGAAGCACCGGGCACGACGCTCGTGGGAAGAGACAGATCGCCAAATCCGCCGAGGGCAGCCTCGAATACTTATAGCACCGGCATCCCACCCACACGCGTGGACTCGGCCGCTACTACGCACTCAACCCAATGTAGTGGACTGGCACGTGGTACCCTAAGGTAAAGACACAACAAACGCGTATGACATTGCACGAAAAGGGGCAGATCGACGCGATTCAGCCCTTGCGATTGCCAAAAAAAAAAAGTAAAGAAAAGAAAAGCAGCCCCTCTCACTAATGAACATAAAATGAATGACACCCCGAAGTACTACTTGACACGGGGAAATATAGAGTGAGTGACCCTTGCTGCAGCAATGACTGGCAGAGGCTGGGTTGGCATTTTTAGCCATCATTTCCTCGGCCATTTAGGTTGTCACGCTGGATCTGCCTCATGATCGCGAGGGCGACGAGCAATGGCATTAGGGCCATCGACCACGCTGATCGCGCCCCATGGGGGATCTGGTCCCCTGTTGATTTACCTCGTCGGGGCCAATCGAGAGGGCTCTCGCCACCACCTCACATTGTACAGAAGCTCAAACGGAGCTAGGCCGACGGAGCGCATTGAAAAGCGGAATGGAATGTGACTAGCCGCAGGAGTCATTGGCGCCACATTGGGGAGAAATGCGACTCAGGGGGGCATGGTGTGACAGCACCGGAGAGGCGAGGAGGGCACTCGAATCTCCAGGGGAGGACTGTCCCTGAGGCCTCCGTTCATAGTTAGTGCAAGGCTCAGTGAGGATTCCCCACGATGTCCGAACCTCGATACCCGGCGAGTGTCCCGTGCACGCAGACCGCGTGGATGCTGCGAGCTGCCGGACGGGGTTAAGCCGGACTTTCCATGTCGAGGGGTACCGCCAGTTGTGAAGGCCTCGTCACCCTCATAAATAGAGAGATAAAAAAATAGAATAAAAAAACCCCTCGATGCATCCAATATAGTGAAACCGGTAGTTTTGTGGCTAATTGGTGATTTGCAATAACATCATAGCCCCAGCGGCGACGCGATGGACGGCGGTCAGTCCCACACGTGACGGCAGAATCCGCGAGGGTCGCTGCGGATTTTCGAAAAATAATCCTACAGTAGAAGCCCCAACAACCAGCGCCCACCCTTTCACCCTCGCTTTTATCGCGAAATAATCGCGTTTCCATCCGGAATACGGCTATTCGCTCTGCTCTCTGCTCGACATCAGACCCTGGTGTCTACCATCGGAGTCAGCTTGCGCGACAGGTCGCGAAAAACGTCGTGTCACGGAACCAGACCCCAAACCCGCGACACCGACCGAAAGCTTCCCACCGAAGCAATCGTTTCTGCCCTCGTAGGGTGTGAATATACTCCAATAGCACATTTCACAGCTATCCATACCCTTTCTTCACTTCCAACGCGTGTGGAGACGAGACGACTCGCAGACTCCCGCGGCAACGAATACGCTAAGAGCGAGGGCTTCGAGAGCTTCACTCAAGGGTGCAGCGCAGGTGAAGTACCACTATTCGACGCCTGTGCAAATTGAGTGATTGGAATTTGCGTCGTGCATGATTCCGAGAATTCAGGGCGAGGATCGTGATTGATCTCGGGCAGGGGCGACGAAGTCAGCTCGGGTGCCGTCGAACATCAACCCTGAATTGCTTGGCGGGTGCAGACGAAGCCAGGTTGCCATAGCATGTCCAAACGCTCGGCGCAAGGTCCTCAAGGGTCCAAAGACGACGAGCATATTTTCGAAATGTCTAGTACACCGAATGAAACGCCCCAGCGGGCAACGGCCGCGCAGATGGCCAGCAGAAAGTAAGTTTGACATCTCATTTCGATTTTCAATTCTATTTTATTTTCTTTGCAACCATGGACTTGTGTCGTGGTGGAGCGGCGGCAGAGTGCATGGTAGTATGTATCGAGAGCGAGGGAGACTGGCGAGCGGCTTCAAGTTACCCGGATTGTTCTGTGACCCTTCACTCGTGTCAACAATCCCTCGCCATCCTTACCACGTCAACAGCACCATCCCTAAATCACTCATCATTTACTCGAAGCTGCAACCCTTGAATATTATAAATGCACGTTCTGCGTTGTATTTCAAGAAGTTCAAATTCGATAACCTCAGCTCTTCGTGGGGCGTCCACTTCGATCTCCCCCTTCAGTCATGTCTTCTTCCTCTGGTTTCTACAATCCTGCGCCGCCCTCGCGCTTGCCCAGTCCCGCGATTTTCAAGCGCACCCGCTTTCCGGCCTCAATTGCTGACAATCCTAGAATCAAGGATATCCGTCGCCGACCTCGCGGCGTCACCCCAACTAGTGGCAGCAACACCGACCAACCCGCGAATGCCTTCGGGGGTCTCACCTCGGCTTCCAGTTTCTCTGCGCCTACCCCCGCTTTCCAGTCGACCGGCTTCAATTTCGGCCAAAGCCAAAGCTTCCCTGGTGCTGGTGCTGGCATTGGGTCGAATCAACCCAACCAGAGTTCCTCGAGTGGCTCTGCTCCATTCTCTTTCGGTGGCGGCGCTCAGCCTAGCTTTAACTTCGGCGGCTCTTCTAGTTTTGCACCTGTGAACAATCCTTTCGCCAACACCTCCGCAAATCCCGCTCCTGCTGCACCAGCCTCTAAGGGAACTTCTTTCACCGGCTTCGGGGCGAACAACCAAACTACCTCTCAGACTGCCTCGCCAATCTTTTCTTTTGGCGCGCCTCAGAGCGCGAATGCTTCGACCGGCTCTAGCTTGTTTGGCCAATCCAACAACACCCCTGCCGTTTCGACCGCTGCGGATTCTATGCAAATGTCTCCGGACACTAAGCCAAAGGCGCCATCCACTACTCCGTCTTCTTCCTTCCAGAGTCGGAACCTCTTTGGGGACTCGACCCCCAATATCTTCTCCCCGAAGCCCGCCACCCCGGCCGGCAATCCATTCAGCAACATGAAGACCACCTCGGCCACACCCCAGTCAATGGGACCTCCTCAAGGATCGGCCACCCCTGTACAGAGTATCTTTTCTGCAAAGCCAGCTGCGAGCCAGGTGGATGACAAACCCGCCGATGCCAATCCGTTCAAAAATCTGTTTGGCGCAGCGTCAGCCACCCCCTCAGCCTGCCGGAACTCCCAAGGACCAAGCTCCTACTCAGAATCTCTTCGCCCCGAAGCCTGCCACAGACCAGGCTAATGGCAAACCCGCCGATGCTAATCCGTTCAAGAATCTGTTTGGCGCAGCGTCAGCCACCCCTCAGCCTGCCGGAACATCCAATGACCAAGCTCCTACTCAGAATCTCTTCGCCCCGAAGCCTGCCACAGACCAGACTTCTGACAAGCCGGCTACTGCTACTGCAGTCCCATCCAAGCCTCTTTTTGGTGAGACCAGTGAGACCTCGGCCACACCCAAGGCAGCGGATCCTTCCCAGGGGTCGGCCACCCCTGCTCAGAGTATCTTCGCTGCAAAGCCAGCTGCGAACCAGGCAGATGACAAGCCCGCCGATGCCAATCCGTTCAAAAACCTTTTTGGCACACCATCAGCCACCCCTAAGCCGACCGAAACTTCTAAAGAAAAGGCTCCTACTCAGAACATCTTTGCCCCGAAGCCTGCTGCAGACCAGGCTGATGACAAGCCTGCCGATGCCAATCCATTCAAAAATATGTTCACTCAGAAGCCTGCCACAGACCAGGCTCCTCAGGGATCGGCGACTCCCATCAAGAACCCCTTTGCCCCGAAGCCTGCTACAGACCAGGCTTCTGATAAGTCTACCAGCGCAACCCCAACCAAGCCCCTTTTCGGTACCACCTCGGCCACACCCCAGGTGACGGGTCTTTCCCAGGGATCGGTTACCCCTGCTCAGAGTATCTTCGCTGCAAAGCCAGCTGCGAACCAGGCGGATGACAAGCCCGCCGATGCCAATCCGTTCAAAAACCTTTTTGGCGCTCCATCAGCCACCTCTAAGCCGTCTGAACCCTCTAAGGAACAGGCTCCGACTCAGAGCCTGTTTGCTCCGAAGCCTGCTTCAGATCAGGCTCTTAGCAAAACGAACATGTTTGCCCAAAAGCCAGCCACGGAGCAGCCTTCTGGCAAACCTGCGGGTCTTCAGACCCCCGGAGCTTCATTCGGAAGTTCAGCTACTCCCAACTCTAATTTGCCTGCAAATGTCGGCAAAACCAGCCCTGCAGCCGCCAACAAAGTTCGTGCCTTGGATACCATTTTCAAGCAGAGAGTTGCCGAGTGCAAGCCTGATGCCGACGGATTGGATAAAGTGATCATTTTCTACATCGGTCTCCGTCGACAAATGGGAGTCCCGGTAGGCACCAAGGAATCCTGGAAGAACGTCGGCCTGGCACCCATCGAGAATAAATCTGTTGACCCCGAGCCTGCGACTGCAAATGGCCCGAATGATTCTGCGACGTCTAGCGTTTTCGCAAAGTCTTTCTCATCTCCAGCTAATGGAACCCCACGAGCCGGTGATGTATCGACTCATGCAAAGAAAGACCCGGCACCTACTTCTGCAGGCAACATGTTTGCCAACCCCAAGTTTACACAATCTCAGAGCTCCACACCTTCTCTCTCAGTTCCAAAGTTCGGCAATGGCAGCGCCGGTGTCGACTTCATGGCTCAATTCAAGAAGAAGGCTGAAGAGACTGCGGCCAAGGAGAAGGCCAAGCGGAAGGCCGAGGAGTTCGATTCGGACGAAGATGATGAGGCAGAGTGGGAGCGCAAAGACGCCGAGAAACAGCGAGAGAAGCGCGAAAAGTTGGAAAGCCAGTCGAAGAAAAAGGCTGTTTTCATTCCTGGCAAGGGTTTCCAAATGGTCGATGCTGACGACGAATCTACTGGCGCTGCATTTTCCGATTCTGCAAAACCTGCGTTGCCCGCCCCTTCACCCGCTCCATCATCTGCAGGAACTCCTTGGGATTCCGTCTTCAATTCCCCAAATCCCATCACGCCTGTTCCGGATTCGCAGAACATCTTCCGTCGCTCGCCCAAGCGTTCTGCACCTGATGATGATAATGATGATAAGGCTGACTCGGAGGCCTCAGGCCATGAGTCCAAAAAGTCCAAGTCAATGGACAATACCGAGACCAAGTCCAGCTTGGACACTCCCATTCCCCCGCCAACTGCCGCAGCGGGTCGAAGCCTTTTCGATCGTATTCAGTCCCCGGCCTCTGGTGGTACTCCGGTCTCCAGTGGTACCCCGGCTTTTACTGATACTCCCGCTCCCGCTTCCCCGGCCTCTGAGGTTACAAACTCGAACGTCTCGAACGTCGGCTGTAATGCTGACGATGAGACTGCCCCCGGCGCTGTTTACGATCTGTCTACCGCTAATGCCGGTGAAGAAAACGAAAATGTGGAGTTCGAATGCCGTGCTCGTGCTTTTAAGCTTACCACTGGATGGACGTCCCAGGGAATGGGGTCTATGCGACTTTTGAAGAACCCTGAAACTGGCCGGGCCCGTATTGTCCTCCGTGCCGATCCCGGTGGCAACGTTATCATCAACACCCTGCTGAAGAAGGAGTTGGGCTGGACTGTTACTGGTGGAAGTATCCAATTTTTGGTCCCGGAATCTGAAGCCGGTGCCCGGCCTGCTCAGTGGGCACTTCGGGTGAAGAAGGACAACCTTGATGATCTTGTCAAGAGGATCGAAGAAAACAAGTACTGATTAGTACTTCGGCGCTTCAGGCTTATCTGTATGACTAGTTTTGAGAGAGATGTTGTGACAAATTCCACGATTCTAACTATTGAGACGATCTTTGGTAGAATTTTGAACCTAGGGTAATATCTTCATCATCCAGTCTAGTGTTAACCGTACACTAGAATCAGTTCCCAGAAAGTGTCTTAAACATACTGCCCCACTATACTAATATATCCTCAACGGCTCGTGCTATATTGGAATTGCCTTTGCCCCTCTTCTCTTCTTCCTTCACATCCCTCTTTAGCCCTTAAAGTCACGGGCGACTTGAACAGCTGCACCAGTGTGAGATTTTCACCATGCAGAAGAGCCGACGAAATGTCGAGGCCCCGACTTGACATGAGACATTATCGAACGTTCTTTGTAGTGTACAGTGACCCCATTACCCATTGCATGATTTGGACTTCGGAAAAAAAAAATGTATATTACATCCGCCTCTTGAGTCTATGGGTAGGGAAATTGGGGTACAAAGTGCCGATGACATTTACATTTGATAGAACTGCAGGGGACTACGTGAGAAGCTATATCGCTACACAGCGGACCAAACTCAAGGGTATGAAATAGATTTTATTTTGAAAAAGCCCCAACCGAACCCCAGTTGTAACATGGAATCATAGAAGCAAAGACACCGCGGTCATTCCATTTATGCGTCATCGACGGTGGCGGTGTGCAGACCCTTGGGGTTCTTCACGTTGACGGCCTGGACGTGGGAGTAGAGGCGCTCCTCGGCGCCCTCCTCGTCGTTACGCTTGCGGGAGATGCGGACACGCAGGCGGAAGGGAACACCCTTGATACCGGCCTCCCAGACCTTCTTGTTGAGGGCGGGGTCAAGACGGACGTCCTTGGTGCCCTGAATAAGAAGGTTAGCAATGGCCCGGGAATAAAACAGGTTGAGGACATAAGAGAATTCAACCAAAACTTACCATGGCGTGCTCAGCGAAGGCACGGATCTCCTTGATGGCACGAGGAGCACGCTTCTTGAAGCTAACACCGTGGCACTATATCCCAAAAAGAAGGTACAATCAGTCTTCCGTCCGAATGCCATCTGGTAGAGACGCTGCTCTGCGATGATTGTTTCGGCCATAGAGGTGGACTTCATCAAACTAATCTCTTCTTTTTCATGTCGATTTGAGGGAAAGTGCATGCCAACTGTGACACCTCCAATTGGAGGGGTTTGCAGTTGTCCGATCGTCGCAAAGACGGCTGCAGTCGTACGGTTTCCCGCAGACGGCATTCGGGAGTGGTAGGAGTCGAGGCGCGGTCAAGAAGAGATTTTCGAAGTCTCATCCTGCAGCACTGACACCCGCACGCACACACATTGAATTTATTTCCCAGAAGCAATCACCGTTCGGAGACTGTGTTCTCTGTCCAATCTCCTTTCTGTGCCTCCACGGTTTTCACGAATCGTCGCAGGTCAGATCTGTGGGGTCGCGGGTTTTTCAACATACCCTCTTGTGCAGGTTGATGGTGTACTCGCGGGTCACCACGTCGGCAATGGCCGAACGGGTCTTCTTGCCGGTCTGCTGGACGTTGGACATCTCTGGAGTTTATTAGTACACGCGTATGTGAAGCGATTCGAGTGCGACTAACTGATTGGGGTCGGCGTCGACTGTGGGCGGAGGTTGTCGATGATGGGAAATTCTCGGTTTGTGGCCGCGGATGAGTGTGGCTCGCTTATCCAGTGGGCGGGTCATGATTGGTGGAATCACGTGACAGATCCACCCCATATGCACCTTTGCTGCCTGAGGTGATAAAGTAATTCCCGGTTAGGCTGCGCACCCGGTTACCGCGCACCACGCCCAGAAACGCGTTCCGACCCGTACCCACCCTCTTCAACCACCCACCATGCCACCAAAGCACGCTCGATCAGGTCAAGATTCGATCAAACAGAAGGCCAATACTATTAGCTATTCAGGCTTTTCAGAATGGTCAATTTCCTAGTCTCCGCGCTGCAGCTAAGACATATAACGTACCTGAGACTACAGTACGCGCGCGAATGAAAGGAACGCGTTTTTATAGTGATACTCGCCATGGTCGCCATGCATTGACTGAATCCGAGGAAGAATCGCTTGTGCAGTGGATACTCTCGATGGATTCACGCGGTGCAGCGCCTAGGCCCTCAACTGTGAGAGAAATGGCGAATATTCTACTTACCGACCGTGGAAACACCCACCCCCCAAACCAACTTTTGGAAAAACCTGGGTATCAACCTTTGTGAAACGCCGAGAAGAACTTCAAACACGTTTTTCAAGCCGATATGATTACCAACGTGCTAAAAATGAGGACCCAAAGGTTCTACGTGAATGGTTTAAAACTGTTCAATCTGCCATCAATGAGAACGGTATCCAATCAGAGGATATATATAACTTTGATGAGACTGGATTTGCGATGGGTCTTATATCAGCACAAAAGGTGGTCACTCGAGCCGAGTGTCATGGTTGTCGGGCAATTCTACAGCCAGGAAATCGAGAATGGGTGACTGTTATCGAGTCAATTAGTGCGGCTGGTTTCGCACTCCCACTATGCGTTATCTTTAAAGCCAAAAACCATGACTCTAGTTGGCTCGATGGGCTTCCAAAAGACTGGCGAATTGAAGTCTCTCCGAATGGCTGGACTTCAGATGAAATCAGCATCCGATGGCTTCAAAACCTATTCATCCCATGCACCTCAACTCGGATGAAAGGAAAATATTGCCTTCTGATTCTTGATGGCCATGGTAGCCATCTCACGCCTCAATTCGACCGGATTTGTGCCGAAAAATCGATCATCCCATTCTGCATGCCAGCACATTCATCCCATCTTCTTCAACCTCTAGATATGGGATGTTTTGCTGTTCTTAAGCGTGCCTATGGTCGTCTGATTACCAATCAGGCACGGCTAGGATTCAATCATATTGATAAGCTAAATTTCCTAGCAAGTTATCCTCAGGCACGAGAAGAGACCTTTAAGCTAGAGGCTATTCAGTCTAGTTTCACAGCAGCAGGTCTAGTTCCACTAGGTCCTGAACGGGTGCTTTTAAAGCTCAATATTTCTCTCCGACCACCAACACCCCCACCCAGCCGACCTTCTAGCCGATCGAGTCAATTCAGCACGAAAACACCGAAAACAGTCAATGAAATACAAAAACAGTTCTCTTCACTCAAAAAACTACTTAAAAAAAAGATCCCGAGGCGCTCCTTCCCCTTCAAAGATTGTCCTGGATCAGATTATTAAGGGCTACTGTGTCTCAATGCATACCAACGTGCTACAAGCTCAGGAAATTGCTGACTTACGGGCTGCGAATGAGAAGAAACGGCAAAAACGAGCACGAAAAAATCGCTAGTTCGATGTGAACAGGGTGTTACAGTCGGAATGGGCCTACTGCCACCAGTGCAGCCAGTGCAGCCAGTTGAACCTGTTGAACAGCCTCCACCCGCACCGGTTGAATCGCCTATTTTGCCACCTCGACCGGCCAGACGTGCACCCCCTAGGTGTAGCGGTTGCCAGAATGTTGGCCATTCAATTACCTGGTGCCCTAATCGATAGTTTTTTGAATTAATTGAGTTGGTGGTTTTATCTGCTTTTGAATCTTTAGTAGTGGGTGGGGTGCGCGGCCTAACCTGGTGCGCAGCCTAACCGGGAATTACGTTAACTAACTAGTTAGTTATTTAATTAGTTACATTAGCGCTACAGGATACCCTAAGGTATTACTAGGAGTATGGGATAGTTAACAAGACTAAGGTTGTGCAACTGGCAATCGGGGGCGCCATGTACAATTTCTTTACACAGTATCATCGATAGAGATTCCGCTGATTGAACGGTCCTTCCAATACAGTCTCATTCATCAGATCTATGCTCACGCCATTCGAGCTCATTTCGAGCTCTCTCCACTGACATCGGGGTATACATCAAATCGTCGCTGTGTGTAAATGGGAATTCCCTTACGAGTATTCACAATGGTATCGTTGTCCAGATTTGCGTAGATGATGGTCTCCTTCTCCTCCGCTTCGGTCAGAATATTGGCGCTGGGATCAGTGATCAAGCTGTGACCGTAGGCGTGGTATGTCGCATCCAGGTCCCGCGAGGGGCTGCACATCGCAACGTATGTCTGATTATCCACAGCACGCGCCCGACCAAGAAGGGACCAGTGGAGGGGACCAGTGGTGGTGTTGAATGCGCCGGGGTAGACGAGCAGGAAGGCGCCCTTACGAGCCGCGATCATGGCCGACTCCGGGAATCGAATATCATAGCAGATGGCCAGGCCAATCTTTCCGTATTCGGGAAGGTCAATGACGGTCAATTGATTGCCTGGCGACAGTACCTCACTCTCCTTGAAGGTGATCTTCCCCGGAATATCGATGTCGAACATGTGTGTCTTGCGGTGGGTGCCGATTAAGGATCCCGTGGGCGAGAATACGAGCGAGGTGTTGTAAAACTTCTTGGTATCTGGCTCCAACTCAGGAATACTTCCTCCGACGAGGTAGGCATTGGCCTCGGCGGCGATGGCCGACAGCGCGTGGAACGAGGGGGACTGCTCCTTGGTTGGCGGGGAGGGATGGAGAGTCTCGGCATATTTGGGAAAATATTGCGTGCCGTAGGGCGAATTGAAGCACTCGGGGAGCACTATCAAGCGTGCGCCAGCATGTGCAGCTTCGAGAACCTTGCTCCGGGCGTGGGAGAGATTAACGGACTTGTCCGCGCCTGAATGACGGTCAGTAGAGTGGTTGAAGAGGAAGTAAGAATGTCTGACCTGACGCGAGCTGGATCAAGGCGAGCTTGAGCGGCTTCTTCAAAAACGCGGTCATGTTGAGGTGGTTGTGGGAGGAATCCGAGTCGGGGAAGGCGGTTAAAACGGGATGGGGACGGGGACCGCTCCAAAGTCCGAAGTGCGGGGGTCAACTGAGATATAGCACGACGCCGGTGCTGATAAGGCGCAATGCATGTAGCCTCTGAGTACCACTTGCCAGGCGCGTCTTTTGTTACTGTGGAGAAAAAGCCGACGAAAAAGCCGATGGTGACTACGACGGGAAAAAGGCCCAAAACGCGGTGCGCATCGACATCATCTGCCAAGAAATGGTTGGGGTAGCCCCGTGCTGGTCTTCTCCAACAGTCTACAACTGATATGGACTACGACTGGTCCCAACCTGGGAATATTCTTCACGCAACCAAACGAATGCATTTGTTCTAAGCCACCGGCTGATATGTTTTTCCTGTTTTTGTCTATCCAGGGTGATACCAACTGACACAAGCCCTCGGTGAAAGAGTACTTTAACAGGGATCATTCTTCTTGTCGGTATTGACAGCATACTTGCTGTATTTTCGGATCTGGGGCCCGTAGAAAAAGAGCAGGTACGGGATGAAAGCCATCAGCCCGCTGGTCGAACCCAAAATCGTCAATGTGTACTGGACGCCAATCGCGCGGTAGATTGGGGTACCCGCCACTGTAACGCCTCCTGCCACAACGTATCTGGTGAACACAAGAAAGCCTAACGCGGATGCAGAGTACACCCCATAAGAGTCTATGATGTACATATACGCGACGATGAAAATGGTAGTGATGCCATATCCAAAAAGGGCCGAAGCAATGAGAGGGGACCATATCGAAATGATTGGCTGCAGAAAACGGGTTAGCAAAATGCGACCAAATTCGAGAGGTACCAACATACATTACAAGTCCATCCCATCCAGAAGAGACTAATTGGTACTGCTGGAGCGCCTCCAAGCATAGCGTACCAAAGCCGTGTCTCAGGCGCAATGACAGAAGTCTTTTGGTACTCCTTTGCCGTCCAGGAGTATACGACCGGGACTATACAACTCACTAGAAGGATACCACACAGCATGCCTGCCCAGGTAACACTGGTAATCCCTTGTGACACTCCGTATGTATCCGTGAAAATGAATGTATAACCCTCAAGAAAGGTGAAGAGGACAATATAAACCACTGTCAGATACAGCGACATCAAGATCAGAATCAACTCAGAGTAAAACAAGAGGAATGGCCGGTAGATAGAAATCAAAAGTCTGCGTCCTAGGCTCTCACGCTTCATCTCCATTGGCGCTCGGTATCTCTGATTGCCGGTTTCCTGTCGCAGAATCTTCGCTTTCCAGTGCAGAAGAAGATTTCCGTATGTCTCGGGCTGGAGCAGAATAACAACCATTAGGATAGCCCCTCCCATGATGAGCATGATCCATTCTAGCCAGCGCCATCCGAGAGTTGTTGGGATGTAGCTGCCAATAATTTGACCGATCATTGGTCCTGCAAATGCTGGAATTGCGTAGGCTGGGAAAGCATATGCTTTCTGTGCTGGGTCCCAGAGGTCGGCCACCGTTCCTCCAGCGCAGCTGAGCGGGGTTGAGCCAAAGAATCCAGCAAAAAAGCGGAAAATAAGGTGGCTGTGGAGGGTTGGAGCAAGCGCGGAGGCCATGATGAAAATCAAGAACAGAAGCATAGTGATCAGGTACACTACATTTCTGCCAAAGGTCTCGGAGAATGGACCCGAAAGAAGAGAACCAGCGCCAAAGCCAACCAGGAAAAGTCCTGTGAGACACGATGAGTTTCTTCATAATACAGGATGAATTACTAGTGGACGGAGTCACTTACCGGTCGCCAGAGAGCCAGCCACTTCGGATACATTAAAGTACTCACTGTACTGGAGCACACCACTAGCGTCAATTGCAGAAGCTGCTGTCACAGAGATTGCAATCAAAGAAACTAGAAAGGTCATGAAGAGTTTCCGTCCGACGCTCGCATTGGCAGGATTTAAAGGATCATTTGGGCCGTCCCAGCCCACCATGATCAGTGAGTCATCCTCGGCCACTGTTTGCGTGAAGCCCCCTTTTTCAACATCAGATGGGGTCTTATTGCTTAGAGGACAGCTGTGAATTTCTGATAAGTCGAGGGAAATCAAAGGGGTGGCGCGCAACGACCAACCTAGCGCCATGCCGAGACCCGACAGTATAGCCGCCGCAGCTACATTTCGACTCGATTTCAGCCAGTTGCTGGCGAACAGCCTGCCCGATCCTACGATACTGTAAGTAGGACTCCATTGCAAGGCTGTTCCCAGACCGAAGCCTTTTCTCCTGTGGAAATAAAAATCAAAGCCGAGGCTGTCATAGGTGGAGATCCTGGCGACTTTATAAGCCACCAAAATTTGCACCGTACCCACAATCCGCCTTACCCAAGGCTAGGCCCGCCAGTAAAAAAATATCCGGGTCTGGAATACCTGAGATACAAGTGCCCCTTGATTTAGTATAGGCCATAACACAATTACTTCAGCAGTTTTGGGCGACCCGGGTTCCCCCTCTGATCTTTTTCCCTCCAAGTTTGCTATGTAGGCAACTGGTCTTGTCATGTTGGAGCTCCGAGAATATTACAATCTGCCTATTTGACTGATTCATGCTCTATTGGTCTACGCCTTGATTGAGTCATTTTCCGATTACTAACTCACGGCCTTAACTAGTGAACTAACTAGTTATGTGAAGATCACTTTTTGCTTATCAATTGGCAGCCGATTTTGCCTAGTCAACCCATCCAAGGTGGATCCCATCTTTCCTCAAAACTCATCCTGATCCCTTTTCTGTGATCCACAAGCTAATGTAAACCCGAGACTCTATCAGTCAGGTTGATTGGTATCCGAATGAGGAGGATTTTATTTGGCTATGTCTTCAAAACCTGGACCAGGTTTCTGCCTTTCACAATCTGAATTCAATAAAGACCCAAGTCTCATGGTAACTCCGACTATTATAAACATCCTAGGCATTGGGGAATGTGCCCGCTGAGAAACACAGCAGAGTCGAAGAATCACTAGAACTTCATGCCCTCCACGCCATTCCTGAAGCGGTACTCAGCCTCTTGCCAGTTGATCACCTTCCAGATGTTCGAGGCATACGAAGCTTTGTCATTTTTGTACTATCGGTGTCAGCATCACGCCCATTAATATTTTGGTATACGAACCTGAAGATAGTATGCATGTTCCCACATGTCCACACCAAATATTGGGACCGCATCTGTAACGGGGTCCTGATCCTTTGTGCTGATGACCTCCAGTCTACCCTCAATAGGCTTGCTTGCTAGCCATCCCCAACCACTTCCCTGGAGGTCCGTCAAAACAGAGATGAATTCGTCCTTGAAGTTTTGGAAGCTGCCCCACTGTGACTCGATCGCTTTTTTGAGGATTGGAGCGGCTGAGTCAATATTGGTCTGCTTCGAGCCATAGGGCGCCAGGATCTTCCAAAATAGAGAGTGGTTGATGTGACCACCGCCATTGAACTTGATCTTCTGTTGCAAGGTAACTAGTTTGCGGAGGTCGCTGTTCACCAGGGCAGTTGATTGGCTTTCAAGTGCAGCATTCAAATTGTTCACATAGGCCTGATGGTGCTTGTCGTGGTGGATCTGCATTATTTCCTTGGAGATGACGGGTTCAAGAGCCTTTTCCTGTTAGATGAGGTATTCAGGTATTTTTGGAAGATCAATCCGCAGAACAAACAACGCACGAGACCTGTATAAGACTCACATCATAAGGATATGGAAGAGGTGGCAGTGTATATTTGCCGGCCATTTTTGATTGCCTTGTGCTGAGATCAATGAGGTCTCTGTACGCCAGCATGAGAGCTCGCTTATCAACGGGCGCAGCCAGAACTAAGGAGATGAGGGATAGTAGGTAAAAGAATGACAAGAGCGGTGCAAAACGAGTCATGGTGTATTTGCCGTCTAAATACAGTGACAATCAACGATTGAATAGAGCCAACCTGGCACTAGTAGTCGATAAAAAGGTGGTGTCTCGGGAGGGGACAGATTGACTATATTAGATAGCTGAAGTGTCAATGCATGGCAAGAAAGAGTTTTAAAGAGGCTTCAAAAAAAAAGTATGCCAAGTAGTGGCACAACTTCAGTCACACAGAAGGACTCATGCGCTGATGACCATCGGCTATTCAACATCAGTTTCCGAGACAAAGTTTGTCCACAGCAGCCCAGTTCAAAATGACCTCAATTTCACAGGAATTTCTTCGGTGTACATTTCGCCGAGAAATGGCAGCTACGAGTGGTTCCCGGCAAGGATCAAGCTCGGTGGTCCAGTATTATAAAAGTAGACTGCCGAATCCTACTTGGGGTTGCCTTGCGGGCATCGCTGTTCGGCTTAACTGGGTTGTCACGGTGTTTCAATGTATGTCTCAAAATAAAGCTGATTCTTTGTAGTCTTCTAAACTGAATCTGTTCGATTGGGGGGAAGTTGGAAATGTTTCTCGTGGGCCTTTTACTTCAGAACCAACATGGAGCTCTAGCCCTAAGCACATTTATTTGCGTTGGAGTACCAGTGTACTAGATAGCTAACCAGACAGCTGATTACGTAGATGACTGAGTAGATGACCAGGTAAATAGCCAGATCAGCGACCGAGCAAGAAACCTGAAAGCAGGCGGAATGCAGCTTTCAGATTAGCAAGACTATGGTAGGAGGTGTGGCTACAGTTTTGAGAACTCCCTTAGTTGAATCTGGGTCATGTGATCATGTGAAGGGTATGTATCGTCGGAGTCAGCCTGGCTTCTTTGGAATAGCTACCTGGCAGTACACCTCGAGGCAGCAACCATCCGCAAAATGGTGTCACTGGAGGAAGCCAAGAAGCATAATGCCAGTCTGAAGGACTTTTTGCTGAACCTGGTTGCGGCTTTTGGTACTCTTCCACCCTTCTTCCGAGGCGTCCGGCTTTTCCACAGGTGACGATGTGCTGACATGGATGGCTGAAGTTGGTGGAACAAGCGGAATCGGCGAAGCAACTGCCCGTGCGTTTGTCCACAACACGCTTTCCTCGCGGGTCTATTTGGTTGGACGGAACGAGACTCAGGCATCCAAGATCATCGAGGAACTGCGCTAGATCAACCCAGACGGACAGATCAGCCTCATTGAATGTGATGCCTCGCGTCTCAGAAGCGTTAATCAAGCATGCAAGAAAATTCAGCAGAAAGAAACCAAGGTCAACCTGCTCTTCATGACAGCTGGTATTATGACCACCAAGGGCCGAGACGGTATCCACAGTCTCCACCGATCTTTTGATCATCCGCTAATGATACAATAAAAACCGATGAGGGACTGGACAAGAAGTTCAGCCTACACTTTTACTCCCGCATACGATTTCTGCTGAATGTACTACCACAGCTGACTATTGCTGAAACGCCGATGGAAATTCAGTCGCAGCCAAACCCAGTCTTGGAAAAATCCTATCGAGGGTGGTGTCTGTGCTGTCTGCGGGTGACAAGACGCCCTTGATCATGGATGACCTCTCTCTGAAGAAGAATTTCTCTCTTCGCAACTGTGGCAGGCATGCGATTACGGTGGCGTCGCTGTCCATGGAGCAGCTAGCTTCGGCTCACCCATTGACTTCGTTTGTCCACACATCCCCGTCCGCAGTGAAGATGGGCTTGATGCGTGATTTCGGGCCGCTGACTCGGGCCGCGATTGAGGCGATGTACTTGATCGCCAAGCTTTCCTTTGTTCCACTCGATGAAAGCGGAGAGCGCCATCTTACGCTTCTACGAGTCCCCGCTTCGCGCCACGGGGTGCCCAAGATGTTGCCGGTGCCGCACATAGCTCGGATGGAATGAAAGGGAGTGGTGCATATCTCTTACACTGGGATGCTTCGGATAACGAGAATAAAAAGCCTCTACAGGAGCTTCGCAAAAATGACGCATGACGTGCATTTTGAAGAAAACACACTATGGACATGTTTGACTCAATTTGTGGCAAGGCCAGCAGTTGATAGCTGGACCATGTCGTCCATGTATGGATTGATTTGCAGAAAACGAGTCGTTGACATGCTGTGTAGAGCTAAATTATCTGGATGTGTTTGAAAAATGAACAGAACGTATCCCAGCGATAATCCACTGGACTGACTGGATGGGAGGCTTGCTCTTGAGAGAAGATTGGAGATCATCTTGCGATATAGCCAAGGTACTTAGTTTCAAAAGCCATCAGGACGAGTCGGGAGTGCATATATAACCGTTTGCTGCACGCAGATAACCGCCGTTGGTTCAATTTGGAATATTGTGCAGAGCGTCCAAAATTCTTCCGAAATATCTCCCGAAGAGTTTATTCTGGTATGATACGCATGAATGTGCGGAGTACATCCACCTCGTACTCAATGATCGGGATCGTCATCTTTTCTGTCTGCACAGCGCCGAGACAGCCGTGGAATGGACCAAAACGACCCCCTGTAATGCCCCCACCGGATTTTCCTCGAGAATGAAGAATTCGAACACTCTGAGGAGTATATCTAGGGCGATCCGCCTCAACCATGGAATACGACCACGTGATGTGGTTCGCCTCCTCCGGGGCGTGGACCACGAAAAATCTTCGACCAGCGGTAAAAAGTCGCTCCTCCGGCGCGGTTTATATGCGCCTGCTCTCGACCATCCCCCTACTGTCCTCCTTTCCGCTGTGGTTTTGAGCGCAGGCTGGCCGCAATTTGCACGTCTCCCGACTCCTTCAGGCTTCACGCAGCAGCGACCCGTCCGTTTGCCACATCATGTTCGAGGACTTCTCCTTTTCGTCGCCCTCGTCGCGGCCAGAGCGCTTGGCTGTTGATGCCGAGGACCGGCTGATGGTCGACTGCAACAGTCCGTTGATCTCGCCGTTGTCGTCGCGATGCCCTTCGCCCCGTCGACTCCGCACGCTTTCGCGCCCCCGATCCTCCTATTTCCGCTCGCAACAGCCTCCGACCTCGGTCCCTTTCTCTTACGAACAAAACCGCCTGTCAATCTCGACATTGACGCAGAAACTGCATGAACATACTATTCAAGGGCCAAATGGGGAGCGTATTCCGGACCAGGGGCGCTTGGCGTATGAAGGGGCAAAGACGCCTACCCGGTACCCAGGATACGTCCTGACGCCACCAGATACGGATCATGATGAAGATGGACACTTTGAATCGTCACCCTCACTTTGTTCGAACCCGAGTCCAACATCTGCTCCGCCTGAATTTCCAGCCTTGGATGGATTACCGGACCCTAATCCGCAAGGCCTCCCTGACCATGGGAATGTCCGGCAGCAACGACAACAAATCTCCCAGTTGCAATGCAACGAAGGCGATATTGACGCCATTCGCCGCAATGTCTACTCTGACGACTCTCAATTCCCTGAGACTGTCCTCGAAGACGACTGCCACCCGAGCTCCTTGCCACCCCGAGCTTCGCCACGTCGACGAGCAACTACACTACATCGCAGCCGGTTCGGACCATCGGACTCTTCAGCTGCAGAATCTCGCGGGCGGAGGAGAAGCAGCTCAGGCACGATGCAGTCGCACAGGATAGAGAAAAGCCACCATGGTTTTGGCGGCCGAGATGCCTCCAAGCGCAGCGAGTTGGGTCTTCGGAGGAAGAGTATGGTGAGCGCAGCCCTGGCCTCGGTCGTGGAACGACCTTGAGTCAATTTGGCCCAGGACTTTCTATATCATTCATGTACATACTTTACAACGATACCCGTTTTATAGACAACACCGTTATACTTTGCATCTTGCGCATATACATTCAAGCATCGTTCAATGTTGGGACATGCAATGCCTCGAGACTCGAAGGGTGTGAATCAGGCATCATACATTCATGGATTGTATCAGTCGAATATTTGCTTGGTCGCAATGGTTTACGAGGCTATGAATTGTGATGCAGGAAGTTGCTGCTGACTATTCAACTCAGTGTTCGGGTATCAGAACCAGTGATATTGAAAGGTCTCGGACCCAATAAAAGAAGAAAGGTATAAAAGGATCAAGGTATAAAAAAGACAAGTTAGAAGGGGAAGGAACAAAAGAAAAAATCCAAAAGAAGTACACCATCCATCATCAGTCGTATCCACCTTCATCAAAGCAGTCCAGCTCCTGAGTACGTTTGTATCGGCCCCATCAGTTCCCAGGCCGCCAACTGAAGAACTTTCTCAACTTCTTGCGCTGAGAAAAGGACTTCCGCTCCTCATTCTTGCGGTCCTCGCCGCCAAGAGATAGGGAGCTATGGAACCTCCGCTGCAAGTCGTCCAGCGCACGAGCAGGATGCCCGCGGAGGCCCATGGTTTCTGCATTGGCCGCGGCCAGCACGGATTGAACATGGGGGTCGAAAATTGGGTCGTAGGGATCAAAATGTTGGTTGTTGTTCATGGTGTTGGCGTAGTAGGTGTCATATGGCGCCGGGAGGTCAGTGGGTGATGGCAGGTCAGAAGGTGTGGGTGTGTCGTATGGAGTGTCGTAGGGAGAATACAGTTCGTAAAAGATCCCACGGTCACGCTCATCGACTTGGGCCCATTCACCATTAGCGTAGACTGGAGACCCAGGCTCGCCAATCTCGCTCTCAGAACAATAGGTGGGTTGGGAGGATGAAGGGGGCCGTGGAGAGCTGGGTTGGTCATGAGGTTGGTTTTGGTCTTGGTGGTCGAGGCGCTCACAGATGGAACCCATCCGTTGCCGTAGAGGTGTGCCGACGAGGTCGTGATAGATTTCCTCGCCGTGCTTTTGGGCATTGTGTTGCTGGTTTTGATTCCAATAATTATGTTCACGAAGAGAGTAATCGGAGAGCGAACGAACTCGATCGTGCACTCCAGGTGACGACGAGGGGATATCCGCGGTTTGCCTCTTGGGCGTGGTATATCCGGTTGTTACAGAAGTGTAAAGAGAGTGTGAAGAGTAGTGGGATGGCAAAGAAGCATCCGTGAACTGGGAGAGCGACGCTCGGTCTAATCCCTTGTCTAAAGAAAAGGTGTTGGTCGAAATGCGAGAGTCCCGGCCATTGTCCACCGAGAGGAGCGAGCAGCTATCCACATCCTCGATAAATGAGACAATCCGCGCGACATCCAGCGACTTGCGCGGATTGAGGATCTCGAACGATGCCCCGCCATGGGAGATGGTGGCGACGGCCTGCGTGCTGGCCAGCATTGAGTCGGACGTCTGAGGATGAGACGGAGGCGAATGTTGAGCCTGAGTCCGATCCTGAGCGAGTTGAAGCTTCTCGCGGAAGGTGTTCTAGAAAAGAAGTGTCAGGGGGAGGAAATCTTGTTTATCTGTGTTTCAGTCGACTCACCAATCGCTTCCTGTTTGGTCTCGGACGGCTACAGTTTTCCGAGACAAGATGAACTCGTGGGCCCTGGGTTTGATGGGCAGCTGCGAGCAGGTCAGTGCTTTGCTTCTTGCATAACAATTAAAATTAAATGGTGACATACTAGTAGCAACCTCTGAAACCTCGGGCTCTTGCTCGCTTCGCTGGGATATTATACTGTGCGAATACGAGGGCGACAAAGGAGGAGGACTCGACGCCGCCGATGAGACCGATACTGCAGACGACGATAGCGACGTGAGTGCCGGTGGACGGTTCAAGTTGGACGTCGCGGTCTTCCGTTTAAGCGTTTTCTCTGAACGATCAACGGGATCGACAACGCACTCTGCGGACTGCGAGAGATATTTGCGATAATCATGGAGCGATAACGCCCCAGCAATCCCAGACTTTGTCGACCGAGGGGGAAGTGACACCGCATCTGCCGAAGGGGGCTTGGAAGGAATGCATGGTGCATAAGCCTGGTGAAGCTCGAGGCACTTGGAACAAGGTGAGCTGTCCGGCAGCCCACCATCGCGCCAGACCCCAATTGAGTCGGCGCCGCCGTCTGCTAGATCTTCGAACATCTGGCTTCTTCCTTTTTCTCTCTCACTTTTCCCTTAACAATTGGGTTCTTTAGCGCCGGGGTTGGTGAGGGGGTTCGTTGTCCCGATTGTTTTAGCGCGTTGACATATCAAATGTTCACGAAGATCCGGGAGATCGATCCAAAATGCCCACTCTCTATACATCTGATTCGTCAGAGCGAAGAACTGCAAGGGACGAGTAACCGTGAGGAAGGAAAGGTATCGGCTTACCCAACTCAAAACACACAATGCAAGGATGCAAGGTACGAGACGCAACAATTGCCTGCCACGGCAGATATAAGGAATTATAAGGCCAAGTCTAGACACTGGGCAGTATGGGTCGGAGCCGAACGGAGTGACCTGTTTTCTCTTTTTTTTTCACTCTAAATATCCACATCCCCACAGGGAAGTGACGACGCGGTCTGGAACCCAGCTGGAGCCAGGGACAACTGGGTCGCGGGCGGACGAACCGGCGGTTCGGCGGTTCGTTACGGGCAGAGAATGGGATTATGTAGGAAGTGGTCGACGTCACACTCCCCCATTGCGGCGACATAGCCTTGGGCAGGGGAAAAAGGGCGAAATGTCGGTCTGACCATGTGTGTTGTGCCCAAAGGTTAACCACCACACCCTCCGCGCCCTGAGTGTAGGCTTGGGGCCCGAGTGACTGGATGCATCGCAGAATGACTTGCAGATGGGCCTTCTTCTGATCCTCCTGATCGGACTGCCCCTCTTAGTGCCCTGCTAGTCGCACTCCCTCCCGTCCCACCCCCGGCCAATCATCCGCTCTGGAGGCACCTTGACATGAACCCGATCCACTGGGCCAGATGCGGCGACCAGTCGGTGCGCGGAACGGGGGTGCCTTCGTCAGGGCTGAGCGAAGGCAATGACTTGGGCATCCATTTTCCACCACGGCTTGGTTGGCTGAGAGCCGTCTAGAGGGAAAGACATGGTGGCGAGCCAAATTGGATCTCGTCGCGACGCGTAGGACTGGGGAACCCAGAGTGAGATCGTAACTGCGATCGTAAGAGAGCGGCGGGCCCTGGACCCACTGCGTTCGCTCGCATGGAAGTGCCGGTGGTGAAGGGGAAAGGAACTGGTCAACTCACATGGGCTGAAATTACGTGGAAACGCGATCAAACGATGAAAATTACCACTGCTTAGTCAGTTCTCTTCAATAAACTACTGCGATGCATAGTTAGTTACTCGATACACAACTATTTCGAGTCATTGAATGTAGCATCATGGTCTGTGAATCTCAGCGATAGAAACCCCTTGGTGCTGTTGGTTCCATTCGATGGGCTTCTCAACAATAACAAATTCTTCGTGTAAAAATCACAACATTACCTAGGTGGTGTAGTGTTCGATTGGTCCGAAGTTGGCTCAAGCGATGTGAGGATATATAGAGGTAGTCTACACGCACGCTGTAGACACATCACATAATGTATGTGAGCCTATAATGAATGTACATACGAATCGAGATGATCAGGGACATCACACAAAGTAGTTTATTATTCTCCGAGACTTTTACTTCGCGCAGACACCATTAGCTATTTGGGTCTACCTGCGCAGATCACTAATTCATGGCCTCAGGCAGCATATCGCAAAATCAAGCAGTCGAAAACCAGAATTTGAACACACGTGATTCGTCATCACCCCCCGTAACACCCGTTACAACGGTATTGCCTGGACCATGCGAACACGACCACCATCTGGGAGTAGACTTTATTCGCTCCTTCTGTTTCCAGGCATTGTGCGCGATGTCTCCCATGGTTCCGCCCGGAGAATCTCGTGTTCCTGAATGCATGATTCATGATACATCCAAGGGGACAAAATTGCAAGGCAGATTTAGGGGCTATTTCTGGGGCCGATCGACGCGATCGACGATCGGGCAACAGGCAGGTTTTGAATGGGAGGGTGTGTGGTTTCACACGGGACTCGCCAATCGTCGCAGCTCAGCCCGATGGCGACGATGGGACCCCTGGGTTCCTCAGGTTGCTGGGACGGTAAACTCCTGCAGGGCACTTTCATGTGGTTGTACAGATGATGTACACTGCATTCAATCTACCTGAGCGTACTTGGCTTGGATGATTATGGATTTGCGAGGGTTCGCCGGACGCCACATAAGTATGAAAGGACATTGAATTAAAAAAAAAAAAAAAAAAGGAAAAAAATTCTTTTAACTCCCAGATTCATGCATGGAAAAAGTAGCAAAAATTTACATGCGTCGTCCTTTCCGTAAGGTCCTGGGGAAGGGTTGGTATCATCGCAGCAAAGATTCAGAGGTATCTACGGGCGCATGAAAGAAGTGCAAAACGATTGTCAGAACAGAACAGAAAAGAACATGGGAAACCAGCATAAAAAAAGAACAAAGACATCAATTTAGATCGATCGTCGTAGCGGCTGCGCGTAGATCCAGGTCTTGAGATCTTCAGTGACGTTTGTATTTCTGGTGAAATTAGTAGCGTTCCCGGCGTGGTCGTCCTTGATGAGTACTTACATCGTCGATTTTGCGCCGGTTACTCGGGTCCAGCGTATTGCCAGCGCCCAGGAGAGTCTGTCCCACGGCCTTGGATACACCAATTGCGGGGCGCAGGATTACCGTGGGAGCACGCTTCCAGACAGCTTTGGCGGCGGCCGTGGCACTGCCACTTTCAACGACCTCCCCTGGCACGGCAACGATGGCGTCTCGTGCCAGAAGAAGGTCTCGTTCTAGACCACTGAATGCACCGCGCAGGCCCTGCACCACACCGATCGGCTGATCGGCATACAGAGAAATCTTCTTCGTCTCGTCATCCTCATCGCGGTCATCCTCCGGCGCGACAGAGGCGGCATTGGGACTCGTGAGAAGATCCTCGGCGCCCTGCAGGACCGTTTGCGTGCCGATGGCCAATTTGGCCCCCAACTTGACGAGTTCATTGGAGGTGGTCTTGGCGAATGACAGAGCTCCCTTCTGGATGCTGCGCACGATCCGGCCATCCTTCTGATATTCGCGCATGGGAATGACCACCAAATCCTTGACACCACCACCGACGTTGACCAGGGATCGAATGGGGGCGAGTCCGGCCAGAACTCCGGGAAGCTGGTTCCGTTTGACATCTGGCATCCAGATATCATTCAGAGTATTGCCGAGTCGATCGAATCCAGACACACCGTAGATGATGACATGCCGCAAAACCATGTTGGCGTTATCGAGCACGAAGAAATTCATGAACTCTGTCGTACGGCCAGACCGAAGACCAGCGTAGTCGACTCGCTTTGGCTTGAAGTCCAGCTTCACTTGCACGGCATTAACCTCAACACGCTGCAGGAAAGGGACATCTCCCGGTGTGGTGGCGGCCTCGATGGTTTCGTCTCGGAACTCAAAGAAGCGGCTCATGAAGTCCAACGCATCCTGGTCCACATGAAGACGAATGGGAAGAACAGTTGCCTATGAACACGTTAGAATCTTTGAGAAAGATAACTGGGGATTATGTGGCTTACCTTGAGGACGATCTCGGTCGCAGCGAGCTCGGGCACTGGCTTCACAGTGAGAATTTCGAGGTGGATCATGCTGGTACCGCTCTCTCGTTCACCCGCCTCGTGCATATACGTCGCAAATTTCTTCCATGTCGACGTAGGAACGTGATCGTAGATTTCCAGGTCTTTGACCCGTACATCCAAGGAACTTTGCGTTTCTTCCGAGTCTGGTGGGAATACCACCAAATCGGCACAGACACCGCGCAACTCGAAAGTCATCTTATGATGCTTGCTTCGATACAGGCGTAGACTTTTCTTCTCTCTTCCAGAGATGGACTTGCTTTGGCGACTAGTCGTAGCCGTTGCGGTAGTGGTTGTAGCGTAACTCCCGGTTTCACTGGCAAGGTCGTTGATCTCACGATTGATCTCACGGTGAAGCTCTCGCGGGTCCTTATTTGCCGGGATGCCGATGTAAATTGAATTAAAGAGGAAATCTCCGATCACAGACTCTTCATCGTCCTCATTGGCGGGCGACACTCGGGACGCTCGTGCACGTCTTTCAGTTGCCTTGGTCTCAACGTCCTTAACGGCCTTGGAAATCGTGTCTCTTGTCCGCTGCCAGTCAAAACCGTCGAAAAGGTTCCAGATGATGTGCATATCCCGCACACGAACGCGCAGGGGACTTCTTTGAAGCTTTGTGTCGTTTGAAAGACCGTAGGTGTTGTGAGTAGAGTCCCAGCGATGGGCCGTTCCACCAACAGCAGATTTCTTTGCAAAATGATCATCCTGGAAATCAAGCTCTGTGATGCTCGAAGAAACCTGATACTGAGAGTGGAAACTATCCAGAAGCTCATTGCCGTCCGACCTTCCAAGTAGCTCCATATCTTCGCTTCCGAGGACTGCCTGCTTCCCTGGGTAGAATTCGCTAACATACTCGAGTTCGTCACTGAGTTGATCTTCTTCAGGTATTCCCTCGAGATGAGGTGCTGATTCGACACTTGCATCGACAGGCAAGGCGTTCTCAGTAGTGAAGGCATCACCCGAGAACGAGGCAAGCATGTCGTTGATTGGCATGACTTCTGTCCGGTACTTGGTAGCCACACTTGGTGGCGTTGGAGGTTGCAATCCATTGAGGATGTTGATGAGGGTCTGCGTTGAGTCCGCACAGGTTTCCAGAATCAAGAGATCATCTCTTAGCTCGACGTCCAAAGACTTGGCTTCGTCTTCGACAAGATTCACAACCTTGACAACTACCATGGCGGCGGATATGGTGGACACTGGGACGTATCCTTGATCGATGTATTCTTGAGCTTGGTTGCTCTGGATCACAGCTGGGCTTCGACGATGAAGATTATCCATTTTTCCCACGTTCGCCACGTCATCAATAATCATAATGGATGCCTTTCCAATATCCAGGGTAGCATCCGACGAGTCGTCACCGTGAATTGCTCCGTTGAGTTTGGCATTCGTGAGCACCACAAGGCCTTTAGACGGCGGGCTGCGTGGATTGAGCCCAATGACAGAATCCTTGAATACCACTCTGAGCTTAGTCGGCTTTGAAGAACGGGAACTATCAGGCCGTGGCGAGTGAAGACTCGAAGTTCCTGTTGTTCGTGCTGATTGATCTGTGAGGTTGGCTATCGAGCTTGCCATCTCACCTGCAAGACCTTCACCTGTCGTGTGCTGACCTAGCCCGAGAAAGGCCATGAGTGAGGGAATTGTATATTCAACTCGTAGGTGATGGAGCTTGACTTTAAAAGTTGGGTCCATTTCATCCGGAATGAACCGGGCCATGAGAACAGGTGGGCACGACTGGATCGAAGAGTGATAACTGCTGGGCACCACGGCTTCACCAACCAGTTCCTCGTCATGGTTTCGAAGGATTGTGAGTTTTCCAACTTGTGCAGCCATGAGTGAAGGCATACTGATCCATGCAGCTTCGGCATTTTTAAGACGCGCAGTCAAATCACCGACATCCCCTCCGACTTGAACGTGAGCTTCGAACTCGCGAACCAGGACAAGAGCCAGAATCCCTGGGCGGTCGTCTTCTGGCAAGTATTTGGTAACATTAGACAGACGCCCAATTTCCTGGCCAAGGGATGAAAGCGGAGCTAGGCCGCTAACGTTTGAGACCGTTGTCTTCATGTTCATCACAGCCAAGCGAAGGACGGAGCCCTGCCTCCGCTGCCGCAGGAGAGTATCAAGCATGATGTCGTCGTCATCGTCGTACTTGTCTTTAGACGGGGTAATCAGAGTTACAAGGCGGTCGAGATCATTCTCCTTCGGCGCAAACAGGAATTCCACTCTGATGTTGTCAAAATTGATTTCTGCAGGCGCATCATCGGTGTAATCAAGCGGCATTGGTCCCCTCAATCTCGCTTTATCGATTTGGATACCGATGCCCTCAAATCTGCTCACAAGCTTCACCGCCGTCGTACTCAGTTGCAGAGAATGAGTATCTCCGACGACATCTAGCACAATTCCACCCAGTCTAACGTCGATCTTCAACGGCGTGGAGAGAGACTGGTCTTTGTTTGGTGGCGGATCAGATGTCGCAAAACGTACACCCTTTGGGCGCTTCTTCAGAGGGTCGTGGACGCCCTTCATTGTTGGTGTTGAAGATATCGAGCTCCCGAGCTCAAGTATTGTACTCAGACCACCCATCCACCCAAGAACCTCTTCTAATTGCTGAATGTTCAGATTGAGATGAAGAGGAAGGGTGAATATGTTAACTCTTGTAGTGTCCGCGGACTTCGCGAACGAGAGGGAAATGTCCGTCTGTGAAGAATTTGCGAGATCCCGGGTTGACTCGCGCATTTTTAAGGATTCGTTGAAAGACACTACATCATTGGAAGCAAAACCGAAAGTAAACTTGGTCACAGCAAGTTTCAGACTTGTTCTCGTGTCATTTGCTGACAAGCGGACCATTAATCCGGATGCTGTAGCCTGAAGAAGAACATCTTCCATTGATGTGTAAGGGGGCGGTAACGAGGTACCGGCTTGATCTGGAGGATAAGGGTGCCCGGCCACATGTTCGATGAACTTGATAGAAAAGTCCCGAACGTGAAGATCCAGAGTCGGCATGGAGGTTTGCTTTTTAGGCTGATCTTCGGTAGAAGCCCCAGTGACCATGGTCGAGACTCGCTGCAGTGCTTTTATGACAAGCCATCCGGTTGATATATCAAAGTTTAAAGTGGCCGAAAAAACTTCCACTTGTATTTCCAATGCTCGGTCGTCAGGATCCGCAGGACGGTGCTGGCCAGGGCGATCTGGCTCAGAAGAAGCGCGTGGTTCGCTTGAACCTTCGGGTGGCTTGGCGGGGATTATGGAAGCCGGAAGGCTTTCACCCATTTTTGGGTCACGCAAGCCAGAGGCAAATTCTTTCAGATCACTCTCTGTCCTCTCCATGGGCATTTGTGGCTGCGTAGAGCCAGATTTTCCCGGGTTTGAGATAGAAGCATCGGGGATCCATATCAAGACCTTGTCAACATTGAAGAGAGGTTTCCTCACCTCATGACTCTTGTTCAGAGTAGGAGATGAGAAAGTTGATAGATTTGCCGTACTCCCCGACTGAGATCGTGATCGTTTGTCTTGCCAAGTCTTTTGCTGCCCAAAATAGGATTCTGACGGGATTGTCAGTTTTGGCGTAGAAGCAGCACCTGCATCATCCACCTCTTGGTCTTGCATGGTGTTTTCCACAGAAATATTAGCTCTACCAGGAACATCGCTATCGTCAGCTTCCGACCGTTGATCTGAGCCGAATGAATCCCATGCCCCAGGCATGCTAGGCATAAAGCTGTTACCGCCGCCTTGGCTCATCGCACTCATGTACAGGCTTTGTGCCTCTTCATGAGAAAAGAATTTGGACTCTGTGAGCTCAACGCTAGGAGTTGCACCCCCAGAAGCTGTACTACCAGACTCCGAACGAGACGTCGGGTTCTGAGAACTATGCCGTGACATATGGGGTTGGGATGTCGAGTCGTCCTGCTTGTCGCTATGATGGGAGGTCTGCAAAAGTTCATTGGATTCAATACCGAATCGACTAACATTTGTCGAGTCGTAGCCATGACTTTCGGGTGAGTTGATTTGCGGTGTCGATGCCGTGCCCGTATACTTGTCGAGAGCTGCCAAATCTTCTGAGCCGCGGAAGGAGGAATCCTGGTGACAAGCACTATCAACACTGTTTGCCAAGTGCTGTCTTTCGGGATACTCCCTCGAAGAAGCTTCGCCATCAAGATCATCAAGTCCAGAATCGATCACGGAGTCCAGATATTCCGGATTATCCTGGAACGGACCAGCACTGAAAATCTGAGAATCATCAAGACTGTGATCTACTCGATTTCCAGGGTCTGAGTCTGCATCTGAGAAATGGCCTTCGTGAGAGAGACTTGATGCTTCCATTACGTGGCTTACACCGCTTCCCCTGCTAAGCCCGAGGGTTGGTTCAAAGATTGTTGAACGTGTCATGGCAAGTCCGGGATCCGAGCCTGTGGCATCTAAGGAGGGCGACGAAGGTGCTCTACTTGACGCCTGGCTTGCTTTGGATTGCATCGTTGTAGTGGGAGAGGTGGGGGCTGTGAATCGCGAGTAATTTGAGAAGACCACTGGATCCGACACCAGGCCGAGATTGATATCGGCAAATGACAGTAGTCTTTTTCCCTCCCGAATCATGCTAGGTTGATTCGGACCAGCAGCGGTTGCCGACGAGCTTCCATGGAGATCGATGATTCCCACGGTTAACAAACCCGAGACAACATCTGGCTTCTCCTCCGGGTGTCTTTTTGCAGGCCCGTCCTGCTTTAACTCCATATCCACTCTCACGGCCACATTTTTGATAGTGATCCGTAATCGGTCGAATAATCCCTTCAGTAAACGTGTGAGAAAGCTCGGCAGAGATGTTTCTTCATTCCCAAGGCCAAATTCCTCTTCCTCCTCGCTATCTCCAAAGGAGGATCTTTGGTGAAGAACTTGTGATTGTGAAGAGATCGCTGCTTCCAGTTCCTCTTTCTCTTCTTTGGACTCGGATTCCAAGAACGATTCGGCGAGGTTGGCTGGAGTCGGTAGGGTTTGCTCTTCCTGTGCGCCATACCCCGCTGGGAGAGACGATGATCGGTGCTTTGTGCTCCCAAGCTTGGCCTGAGATGTATCGTCCGATAGCAGGCGTAGGCGAATATCGATACCGTTCACCTCAACGGCGATGCCGGTGTTCCTCAGGTCGTCAGGGAGGATGGCTCGAAGGTGGTGGATGCGGGCACTCAAAATCTCGCAGGTTGCAGGAAGCCGAAGATAGCCCGCAAGTATCTAATGTAAGCACCTCCAGTTAGTATAGGTTTCGTTGATACCAGCTCGGGCTCAGTGCCCCGCTCCACAGGGGCTGCTGTTGCTCGTAGTGGTAGAAAGCTCACCTCTGGCTTCAGGCCGACATCTCGCAGTTCGAGCGTGCTCCCCTGTCCCCTAATAGTGTCGACGGCGTCCAACACATCATTCTCGAAAAGCCCGAGCTTGGAGAGTCCGTAGTTGACTAGTCGCTTCAGGACAAACAGCGGCAGGTACGAGGCCATCTTGAAAGAGCCGATGGCTCAGTCATGCACAAATGACAGTCATGGAAACAGGAACATGGCCGAAGCGAGAGAAAGCTGGAAGCAGAACGCACGAACAGGAGGATAGAGGTGAGGAGGGCAATGACGTGCGGAGCAGTCCAAGTGGGCACACCTGATTGTGAAATGGGGCGCGGCACCTGATAAAGGGCGATAAGCGTGGAAGGCGCGAGGTCAGGCGGCTGCCCAACTCTCCACGCTCTGAAATGCTTGGCAGTGCCTCAATTTTTGGGCAAACAATGGATTATTCATCTGATTTGAACGTGGACTCTGCGTGGCGGCGAGCATTGAGTAGGATCTGATTCATATTACTGGTATTATCCTCAATAGTGCTCAAGATATATTTAATCGGCCTCGTCAAACTCCGCATATTCCAAGACCACCCATTCGCAGAACTTTTCGAAATCCGAACACCATTCCCGCAGCCGCGTCGCTTTCAAACCTTCCCCCACGATGCCCTCCCCCACATCAGCCTTCCATTCGGCGGTCGACAGGTCCTCGTAGCAGCTCCACCGAATCGAGTTTTGGACCATCATCGCAAGGCCAGCCAAATCAACATTTTGCAATCCCTGCAGTGCCTGCCAGAAATCATGTGTCAACCCGTTCCTCCCATGACCCAGAATGGCGGGGTCATCGTTACACAGAGAGACGGGAACGCCGCGCGAAAGCAACGCGGGTAGAGGATGAGTCTTGATCGAACTGGCTAGTCGCAGGATCTCGTTCGATATGGGGCAACATTCTACCAGTATTTTCTTTTCCTTGACCAGATCGATCAGCAGCGGATGCTTGTAGAGGGAAAACCCGTGGCCGATGCGACGAGTTCCCAGCAGGATGGCATCAAATAGATTATGGTCGGTCACATCCCCATCGCCCAGACATTCGCCCGCGTGGAAAAAGAACGGAATGTCGACCTCCTCTTCGGCACATTGTTTTCGAAACCAAAATAGCAACGGAATCATGTCCACCAGTGGCCTCCCCAGATCCTCTTGGCCGACCAAGTCGAACCCGCAAATCAAGTCGGGGAAGTTGAGTTTGGTCTCAATGCACTGCTTCATGCTGTGGATGATCTGCGCGTTGGAGAATCGTCGGATAGTGGTCCAAATAATTCGAGCCTCGTAGAAGTTCTTGCCCTCATCCGTGGACTTGAAGCGCTCCACCTCTTCCTCGACCACCCGGCAGAACTCATAATAGTCTTCTTCAGGGGTGTCGCTACCTTCCTTTCGATATTGGAAGACAAATGCGATGCGAAATTCGATGTAGCGAATTCCATCGGCTGCGAGCTGTCCCAGCATGCGACGGAAGCATGTTCGGAAGATCGGTTCATAGTTGAGAATGGAGTTGATCACAGGGAAGGTCTTGGTGAAAATGGCCCAGATCGCATCCACGCCATGATAGTGATTGTAGGAGTGCTCTGGCATGATTATGCAGCGACTGCGGATCATTTCCCGGAACCCCGCCTCTCCACCCCGGGGAAAAGAGGAGGCGGCCGTTTGGATGGGAATCAACGACGAGGGTTGATATGACTCTGACCAGATACTGGGGATACCATCTGACGCCCCCAAGGACTGGGAAGAAAACTGGAAGAATATAGGGGTCTCTTCGCAGTCTTTCGCTGTCAGTAGGGGCTTTTCTGCGGCAAAATGGATGTTGGGGGTTGAAAAGGCCTGGTCGATTAAGAAGTCGATATCGAACATGGCATCCATGTGAGCATGCAAGAGGGAGCCCTTGGGCATCTTCTCCAAGATTTGCCACAATTTGGTCTTTTCCATGCGGCCCTTGGCATGATGAAACATGACCCCCGGGTAGAAGATTTCGTCGGATTGATGGGCGGCAGCATCGTCCAGGCCTGTGGTCCATACCTCATGCTGCTCCCGGGCGCGAATCTGAGAGATGATTTTGCAGGCGCGGGCCGCGATGGGAGAGAGGGTCTTGCGGAAATTTGCATCTGTTCAGTTTTTAGAAGGTGGTTGCTGGGCGATACGGTCCATCCAAATTTACCATGGCGCCTCTTCTGCTCCTCCGCGACCAGGGCGTCCCGGCCCTTCAAATACTGCTGGATGAAGGGATCCTCAAACTGCGGGATACCCTCTTCCAGTTCCCAGTTGGTATTATTTTCACCCATCCTGTTTCCTAGTTGCTGTCGAGAGGGGAGGATGTCAAGATGTCAACATGTGTTCTCCCAAGATCGCCCGGTTGCAAGCGGCCCCGCTCTCCAGGCCCTACCGCTTCCGGCGCTCTCCAACGCATCCAATCTCATGGTGTTGGGTGTGAAACGGGCGCAATACGAGACAGATGCCAATAACATAAGTTAATTGGATTCTACGGTGTCGGTTATCATCATCCATCTTGTCTACGATGCACGTGAATGTGCCTGGCCGCCAGGTGTGGTACGCGCAGAGATATCAGAGCAATCGTGGTTCTGCCCATCCACCAACAATCGGCCTCGACGATCCACCGCAACCACGATAACTCTGCCGCGGCTAGCCACACACGGTTCGTGCGCCGAGTGGCCTAGTGCCAAAGCCGTGCTTTCAAAGGCCGTGAAATCGTGAGACAGCCTGGATGCGACACGGCGATTAACGACCAAAGTAAGCACTTGCTCTGCCAAGACCCTGTCCCGACGGAGACCGCCGTCGATTAGAGCATTTGATAATTAAGGACTGGGAGGGCGATTGCGGTCGGGTCGAACTGCCATGCAAAATTTAATTCGCTGAACTTTAAGCTCGATTTCACGCAGTGCTAGGCCTGGTGGATCCAGGCCCAGTGGAGCGCCACCGAGATTCCACCCAACCATGAAAATCAAGCTATATGCCCTATGTGGGTTCCGACGACATCGCGGTGGTATACATGTACACGTACCTGGGGTAGTATACATCTCTATCTTCCACCTCCACCAGTGTACTGGCCAGAATATCCGTCCAAGGCGGTAGCCGATGGATCCTGCTGTCAGATCCCCACGCCAACGGGCTTACCGACAGCAGGGCAGTTCTAGAAATCCCAAAACAAAGCACACGACCAGAAAAAAGGTGCCCCCCACTTGCCGTTCGCCAGTGCGGAGATGCGATGCGCTGTTCAGCCAACCACCGTGGCGCTGGTGGCAAGAACGTCGCCTGAATTGTGTTAGGCCTCCGAGATAGCGCTGCTCCGGCACAATCATTTGCTCGAGGCGGGCGCTGTGGTTACATCGAATGGGTTTCCCTGGGTTGTTACGGGCAGCCCCTGGATGCGCGCTTGTCCATTCATTGGGCGTTCCTGATTTCGTCCGCCGACTAAACCCCGTTCGAGCTGGGCCCCGTTCTTTATCTCGCGTTTCTGCTCTTTTCCCCGCACAGAATATCCCTGGCGATAAACTATTCTTGTGCGGAATGCTCAGCTCCAAGCCAGCCACAATGGACTTTGCTTCCTCGCTCTGATAGCCGAGTCCGCTATAACCCGTGCCGCCTGCTCCCCTAGCTGATTCAACTCAGATGCTTTCCCCGGGAGGAGTTCTGCATCATCTACAGCGTGCTCGTTGATTTTCTTGGTGGCACAAAGGGATGCTCACGTGGTAACGGCAACACTGAAGACTTCAACTGACAGACTGATTGCCGACATCAATTCCAACCCGATCTCGAGCCCGCTGTCGTACGCGCCATGACCGACAACCCAGCCCGGGACGTCGAGTCCAAGGGATCTCCCCGTATAGATCCCGCGCTGCAGACCGAGCACCAGCATCACCATACGCACCATCACCACACCTCTTTTGCGGAGCAAGGCCGGGAGGACGAAGTGGTCTATTCCAAGAACACCGGCTTCGAGAAAGGAATCGTCCCCGAACCCACGCCGCTCGACCATGCCAGCAAGAGCCACAGCCAGAGCACGAGAGATGAGGAGATCGGCGAGACGGAGCCATCCAAACGCCCATGGCAACGGCGGATGGCGAAGCATTGGCGACATGGTGTGCATCTCGTCATTTGGCTTCTGTTCACCGGGTGAGTTTACCACTCCACTTCAAAGGCGCTCTGATTGTGGTGTCCCATGAATGTTTGTGAATTCGAGACTCATGCTATTCGGCCTAGATGGTGGATCGCTGGCCTTATCCTGCATCGGTATGACCTGGGATGGTTGATTCCGTTCTTGCTGTGGCTCGCAATTACGCTCCGGATCATCTTCTTCTACATCCCCATCTCCATCATCACAAAGCCACTGTACTTCATCTGGGGCAAGACCGCTCGTCCGTTCGTGAGCATCATTCCGGAGAAGTTGAGAACCCCAGCGGCCGCCCTGCTTTGCATTGGCGTCATTCTCATTGGCGCATTCGCCTCTCCCGAGACTGCTGACAACAGTCGTGCAAACCGTGCTGTGAGCCTGTTCGGCTTGGCGGTCTTCCTGTTCGCGCTGTGGGCCACCTCGCGCAACCGCAAAAAGATCGTGTGGCATACTGTCATCGTGGGCATGTTGACTCAGTTCATCATCGCCCTATTCGTGCTCCGCTCGGGCGCCGGCTACGATATCTTCGACTTCGTTTCCACGCTTGCTCGTGAACTGCTGGGCTTCGCGAACAAGGGTACCATCTTTTTGACCCAGGAGGAATTCGTCAAAATGTCCCAATATGTGGATCCGTACACCGACAAATCCCGATGGGCCGCCCTTGCGCCGGGCAATTGGTTTTTGGTCAGCGTGGTTCCTGCAATCATCTTTTTCGTCTCGATCGTCCAGCTTCTGTACTACAGCGGCGTCCTGCAATGGTTTATCGGAAAGTTTGCGGCCTTCTTCTTTTGGAGCATGCGCGTGTCTGGCGCGGAAGCTGTCGTCGCGGCTGCATCTCCATTCATCGGACAGGGGGAATCGGCAATGCTGATCCGGCCATTTGTCGCTCATCTCACCATGGCGGAACTGCATCAGGTCATGTGCTCTGGTTTTGCAACGATTGCCGGTAGTGTTCTCATTGCTTACATTCGAATGGGCGTGAATGCGCAGGCCTTGGTCTCGTCATGTGTGATGAGTATCCCGGCCTCGTTGGCAACCTCCAAGCTCCGCTGGCCTGAGGAAGAAGAGAGCTTGACCGCTGGGCGGGTCGTGATTCCTGATAATGAAGAGCACAAATCCGCAAATGCCCTCCATGCTTTCGCCACTGGCGCCTGGCTCGGTCTTAAGATCGGTACCATGATTGCAGCCACTCTGCTTTGCATCATTTCGCTCATCGGTCTGTGCGACGGCCTTCTTACATGGTGGGGTCATTACTTGAACATCAACGACCCCCCATTGACCCTCCACATGATTCTCGGCTACATTTGCTATCCTATTGCCTTCTTGCTGGGTGTTTCCCGCGATGGGGACTTACTCAAAGTCGGTCAACTAATTGGCCTGAAGCTGATTTCTGTACGTTTGCCCTTGCTGATCTTGAGCTGACTGACTGATCGAATCGGACTAACATGTTGACCCTTATAGAATGAATTCGTGGCATACAACGAGCTCCAGAACACAGCAGCGTATGCCGATCTGTCGGACCGTTCGCGTCTCATTGCCACCTACGCTCTGTGTGGCTTCGCCAATATCGGCTCACTGGGTAACCAGATTGGTGTACTGGCGCAGATCTCTCCCGGACGTAGTGCCGATGTTTCGCGGGTGGCTGTTAGTGCTATGATTACAGGCGCACTCAGCACTTTTACCAGCGCGACGATTGCCGGTTTACTGATTACAAATGAGAGGCAGTACGTTGGCTCGTCAGCTTGATGAACTACTTATCCTTGAGGCATGACTTGCAAGGCCTAGACTCTGCCGCGGTTAACAATATCTTACAATAGCCTCTGAAGCAACTTGAAGTTAACTTATTAATTGAATTGCGTCAACTCGAAATCGAAAAGAGATATCCATCCCTAAGAACAGGTCCCAGGTCACGCGCCTGTACTTGTATGCGTGCAATAAGGATACTAAAAATGATACATGAACCCCCATAAAAATAAAAAGACCATAACTCCAAGCCCGCGATGCCAGGCCACTATGCATCCGTATCACCCATTTCGGCTGAGAAACCACAGCAAGGAAAGAAACACCTGGTGGTTCGACCGACGCCAGTGCGCAAAGAAAGAAACTTCAGAACAACAATTTACTCATCGTCGAGGTCACGGTGTCGGGCAAGAACGTGGCGCTTGAACTCTTCCTGGTTACTGTCCCAGAGCTCAGCAGCTTGGGCGTTGAGCGGACTCGCGCTGTGAATGTAGTTAGTGAGAATTTCCCATGATCGATCGTGGATTTCCCCTACTTGTTGGGCTCGCCCAGAAGAGACTGCAGGCTCAAAAGGACGCTCTGGACATTGTACACCGCACTCCACTTATCCTTCAGAATATCCAAGCAGATACGACCGGAGAAATCGACATTGGGATGGTAGATGGGAGTCTTGAAAAGAACGGTGGGCGGAGAGTATGGGTAGTTGTTGGGGAAGGCGAAGGAGAGCTTCAAGTTCAGGCCTTCATAGGGAGTCTCGGTCGGGCCGGTGATGGTGGCTGTCCACGAGAGAAGGTTGCCATCTGCATCGGGGAACGCAGAGATACCAGGCGAAGGAGAGAGCATGAGCTGCATCAGCTCAGCCTGGAGTCTGTTGAACGGAGTATGAGGGTTAGTCATGCTTTTTGCTGAGAGGGTCGAACCCCCGGACATGAGCCAATGTTGGAGGTTAAACACATACCGCTTGGTGACGCTCTGCGTCTCCGGTCGTTGGCCAGAGGGGTTCAGCTTGGTAGCTTCGAGCTCGTCGGGAGCGGAGTTCTGGGTGTCCTCCATGGTGTAGTCCATCGCGGAGAAGGTCAGACGAAATTGGGCAGAATAAGGACGAGATCTCGAAGTCTGCAGATTCCTCGTGGCTGGAATGTGAGCACGAGGGTTGCTGTCTGGAATGACGACGGAACCGACCGGACCCACACGACCAAAAGCAACGCTGAGCGAAGATCGAACGAAATGGGAAGCTTGGGATGAGAATATTGTACTAAAGTTGTGGGACGAAAGATGTTGAGCGCAGGGAAACAAAGAAGACGGGACCGAAAAGACGAAAGAGATGGAAGCAGGACAGGCGCTAACCCGGACTCTCTGTTTACCCCGGCAACCGCTGGCGGTACGAGGGGGCAAATGCGTCACCACCGGCGCTGTTGGCCACGCCAACTCTGCGAATGAGTTCGAGTATGCGTGAGTTATCCCGGCAGAATAAGAAACCTTTACAGTTAGCTGTATGCGACACAAAATATCCGAAAGTAATGAAAAAGAGACGAGGCCAGCTGCAGCCACGCACAGGCCGGGAGTTCGCGACTATTAGTGCGATCAAGAGGATCGATCACCTGCGGGCGGGACTGCAATAAGGCATCCAGCCGACAATTTGTTGTGAGAATATTGTACTAGTTCCACAATTTAGTTGATAGAGACGTTCACTGCATATTGGCGAATGAAGCTGTCCCATATATCACCCATGTAATCAGTCTTGAACTCCTCATATCGATCGTACGCTTTCCGCAGCACTGGTAGTCGCGTCAACACACTACCAAAACAGGTTAAAGTGGCCCGCGTCGAGTTTCGCGTCGACCAGCAAGTCGCCCGTCGACCCTTGCGCATCGCATCTCCTCGCCCTCTCCTCGCCTCGCATCCCACACTCGTTTCACCGCAATGTGTATCGTCTAGTCGGTCTCTCCATTCCTTTCTTTCTACTTCGACATTCTCCATCCACCCAGAACTCACGATGCAGCATTCGCAACTGGCCCCGCTTCCGAGCGACGTGCCGTTCCGCATTGTTTCCAAAACAATCGGACAGGGAGCATATGCTTGGTGAGCATTCAGAACACAATACTAGCACAAAACGTGAGCTAATTCCATTCTCACAGTATCAAAAAGGCCTGTCCTTTGGACTCCGACAACCCCATCTTCGCCGTCAAATATATTCACAAGGACTATGCTGCGCGTCATGGCAAGATCAGTGCGCGCCAGCTGCAGATGGAAGTGACGGTACATCGTCACGTCACAGGCCACAATAACATCATTAGCTTTTACCAGACCGGCGAGGATGACATCTGGCGATGGATCGCGATGGAGCTGGCCGAGGGTGGTGATCTCTTCGACAAGATCGAGGCGGACGAAGGTGTCGGGGAAGATATCGCGCACGTCTATTTCTCGCAATTGGTCGGCGCTGTGAGCTTCATGCACTCCAAGGGTGTGGGCCATCGTGATATCAAACCGGAGAATATGCTTCTGACGGCCGACGGAAACTTGAAGATCGCGGACTTCGGTCTAGCGGCACTTTTCGAGTACAAGGGCGCCCGGAAGCTGTCAACGACCTTCTGCGGTAGCCCGCCATATATTGCCCCCGAGGTGATTACCTCTAGTAACCGGGGCTCGAACCATCCCAAGGGGACCGGTTATCATCCTGACTTGGTCGATATCTGGTCCTGTGGTATTGTCCTTTTCGTCCTCCTGGCGGGTAATACGCCCTGGGATAGCCCGACAGACGATAGTTACGAATTTCACGAATATCTCGCGACAAATGCACGAACCACTGATGAGCTTTGGCAGAAGCTGCCCCTAGCCACTATATCGCTACTACGGGGCATGTTGACGGTGGATCCCAAGGCGCGCTTCTCGCTGGAAGATGTGCGAAGACACCCTTGGTACACGCGATCGAATAAATATTTGTCCACTGATGGCAAGCTACGAGACCCAATCAACCTTGCGACCTCTATGTTTGAGTCGCTACATATCGATTTCAGTCAAGATCCGCTCTCCCAGAAGCGCAAGGGTGCCAGCCGGAGCTTTGACGCAATGGACATGGACATGGATGACAATAGTGATGCGGCAGCAGCCATGTCTTCTACACAGCCTGAAATGGCGGGCGGTGGTATGGTAATGGATTGGGATACCCCCGATCTTGCCTCCGAGTTCTCTTCAACCCAGCCCGCCGGCAAGCATTTTGCCTCTCAGGATATGGCGATGAGCCATCTCGAGGATGAACCCTCGATGTCGCAGTTCTCCCAACAGCCGTCCGTTCCTGTGAGCCGCACACAAAACGCCCAGAAGTTCCAGGATATTCTTCCATCCCGCTCGATGACCCGCTTCTTCTCTTCCTGGGAGTTGAAACTTTTGGTTCCCTTGATTTGCGAGGCCCTGCACCGATTGGGGGTTCCAGTGCCGTCTGTTCCCGCAGTCAGGACCGGTGATACGTCTGCGATGATCCGTCTAATTGCCAAAGATGGTAGAGGGTGTCCACTCCAAGGGAAAGTCCTTCTCGAGTGTGTCGCGGAGGGTGTCTTTGAAGTCGAGCTCGTCAAATCCAAGGGAGATCCCTTGGAATGGCGCCGATTCTTCAAAAAGGTGGTCGTTCTTTGCAAAGACGCTGTATTCAAGCCTGAGGAATAGATTCGCCTCAATTTCCGTATTTGCTTATTTTGGTTTTTCTTTTTCTACATGCCTGGCGAACTCTTGGGAGTCCGATGTCTCATGCTCGATCTATGACTTACGAACTCGGGGGCCGTCCGGTTTGAGAGCAGCAATTGCTGTAGAATATTCGAGCCTATCTCGCTGCTTACAATGTGAATACACATATACCATTCTGTGGTCAGCGCGCTCGAATGGAACTTTCAGAAACTTGGGGCGATTCTGGGGTTGGTCGTCCTTTGACATGGTGGAACTCAGTCCGTTTCAAATACTCATGCACCCCTAGACAATCTCACATCCGAATATGAGCCTCCTGCAACTGCGTTCGCACGTCGGTCTTCACTTATCTCGAAACCAACAATAATTTGCCCTTCCGCTTGATATGCAGTTGTAAGCTCCTATAAGCCACGTGACAACCGGTGCAGATCCCCCGCGAGAGTCGTCCTCTCTCTTCCCAATCGAAATATGACAGGCTGCGCTCCTTTGGACCCCATCCCCGCTCCTCCTTCATCTGCCCCCGATGCTGCAGTCTCACAGGCCTCATGGACAAGCTACCGGTAGAGATCCTCACCAAAATCATCGACCGTAAGCGCCGCCAGTCCCCCCGCGGAATCTTCCCCGCGCCACCCTGCAAAAATCCGCCCAAACGCTGATCAGTTTACTCCGGGAAACAGTCCTCACCCCGCGTGAGAAGGTGCAGCTGCAATCGGTCTCCAAGAAATTCTTCGATCTCGGCCGCGACAACAATTTGTGGAAACTTCACTGCTATGAGCAATCTTGGGCGGCCTTGCAAGCTTCCCGTCCGGCGGGCCGGATGTCGGAGAGCCTCCTCTCCCATTCGACGGCGTCGCTGAGTACATTAGGGCAGGACTCTTTGAGAGACCTTATCCGCCCTCCGGCTCCGCAGCCGGAGGATGGTGGTTCTGGGGAGCCACGAAGGCTGTCACTGAGTGAAAGAGCCAGAGCGGCTGCGGAGTGGGACTCTTCGACGGAGGGGGAGCATGTGGATTGGTACTCGGAATATATTGCTCGTCATGGGCCGATGTCACTATCATGGGCACAGCAACCATTTCAAAAAGGCGAAGGGAAAAAACACCAGCCATGTGAGGTGAAGGGTATGGGTCTGTTGAAAGACTGGAGCTCTGCAAGGGAAAATAAGATTGTGGCACCTCTTGATGATGGCAGTATCTGTATCTGGGATTTGAACCACTCCCATAACGCCAACTCGCAATCGACTAAGGGTGGGATTCTTGGGATGAGCGAGCCCGGGGTTCTCATGGCAAATCTTTCGAGCCGCCGGGAGCATTCGCCGTCGAAATCTTCACTAGAATTCATCAACCTCGGCGAGGGGGTCAGCATTGACTCCTTCCGGCGAAGAGCCTACCTTGCCATCGGAAATGTCTTGAACGAGGTTGATCTAGAAACTCTGAAAGTGGTATCGCAGCAACGTTATCCTTGGTCGATCTTTGCACTGTCACAAGAGACCGACTATTCGGTACCACTCACACTAGCTACAACGCTTAGCTTGCAAATTCATGACTCCAGACTATCTGCGACAGAAGAGGAGGAAGCTATCAGTCTTCGATGCGAGAAGAACTCGACGCCTTTGGTCCCAGAGCTGGACATTTTCGCCCATTCAGACTCTCCGCAACTCCAACTTCAGCCTAATGGTCTTCCACCTCGTCGAATTCGCAGCCCGGGCCCTGGGAACGAACATTACGCACCACTCTTCCAGCCCGGCCCTCTTTCCATCCTTCATCCCCCGGCACCACATTTCAATACCATCCTGCTCGCGGGCCGTTTCCCGAGTATTCTGTGCTATGATCGCCGCTATTTCCCTCGCTTGCAAAGCACAGTCCATTCTGGCGGTCGATTATGTGGACTTGCTTCTGTACCCGAGCCTCGATTCCCAGTCTTCACCGACTCGACCTATCTGGAGTCCCATGGTGTTGTGGCCTGTGGCGAGTACAATGGCCGCGGGTCGTTGGAACTCTATAGCCTCAAATCTTCCTCCGCAAACCGCGAAGGCAATCCTTCGAATAGAACATCACAGTTGACACCAGAATATAAGAATCGGCAAAGCGCTGCCAGCTCCAAGCTTCTGTCCGTCGCATCTCATGGCAATCGTGTCGTATATTCAGATTCCGAGGGAAACATCAAGTGGGTCGAGCGAAATGGCCGGGCAGAGGTTCGACGTTGGAACATCAATTCATCTCAGCCCCAGTTCCTATTTCCTCGACGCGGCGGTGCGTTCTCGGCAGGGCAGCCGTTCGAGCATCCACAGCCTCGTGGTCTTTGGCCTAGTTCCAATCCTGAGAACGGCAGCAGTGAAGTGGCGCGGAAGATCCTACCCACGGGTGGGAACCTTACCGGTGACGAACTTCTTGTCTGGACTGGTGAGCGCATTGGTCGACTCAAATTCTCCATTCCTGAAGAGTCTGTCGGAGATATGGAGGATGGCGAGGATGAATGGTTCATGCATGCAGAAGTGGATGAGACGACACGTGAAGAAATGAGACATAAACATCGAGATGTGTGGGAGAAGGAGCGGCGTTATGAAGAAACTATGCGACGAGCACTTGAGAGGCAGGCGGATGAGGTGCGGTGGATGGGTACTGATGGTATGAGTTGATTGCTCTCTGCGATTCAGCTATGTTATTTGGCATTCTGCCTAGCATCTGCTCTCCTACAGTGGTTTCTCAGCAACTAGACTTTTGGCGTTTTTTAAATTCCTTCATCATATTCTTAGCGCAGCTATTATTTGATTTGTACTGGCTTGATCTGTCTGGAGGTTCAGGGATAAGCCCAGCGATAATTTTGCATTTAAACTTTTCAAAACTACTAGTTACTAGAGACTGTAATTCAGTTATTCGGTATCTAGGTAGGCTATACCGATAGATAATACCCTAGGGTCTTTGATGTGTGCGTTGAGCAGGTGCATAATATTCAAAACTATATTCATTCCTTGTCGCAAAGCAGAGGACGCGAGGCGGCAAATCAATCCGCAAGCGTATGCAGTGTGGTAACGACCGGCGCCGCCGCGTGCGTGCTTGGCATTTGTAAACACCCTGATGGAGAGAATTTTTGTAACAGTACTCCAATCTTCTCTCCAACAAACTGCTATTATCTCCGTGATTACCATGTGTAGGTATGCGGTCCGAGTCGTCCTACTCTCTGCGCTGTCACGCGTTGTGGTAGCTGCCGATCGCCGAGCATCTTCCGAGGCACCGGCATTCGCGGCTCACCGCCGGCTCCCCGCGCCGAGCATCACGAGCATTTCTAATGCACCTGTCAGCGATTACGGACCCCGGCTAGACACAATTCTGGAATAATCCAAAACTTTGCCTCCTGGCGTGATCTCGCACGGAAATCATCTCGAAATTATTCAGGGCTGTCGCTTGCAAATTCACTTTATTTTACTCTGAGAGCATTGCATTGCACAGTGAGGGGCAAAAATACTGCGCCTTATCACCCACATCCTATCCAAAATGCCCGCCACCACAGACCCTGCGCTCCAGTTCGACACGATTGAGGATACAATCGCTGCATTCAGTGAGTGTGACCTTCTACTTGACTCCGAAATCTCGTTTCCCAGTTGATTCAGCTGTCCACGGGATTTCTATCAGCGCATTCGGCTAATGGGTGACTCACCAAAGAGAATGGCGAATTCATCATTGTACTCGACGACCAAGACCGTGAGAACGAGGGAGATCTTATAATTGCGGCCGAATCGATCACAGCCGCCCAGATGGCCTTTCTTGTCCGCTATACCAGGTGAGAACGCCACCCAGCATCGTTCGGCGCGAATACATCATTGCCATGAGCGCAACTCCGGTCTGCGCAGTGCCAATTGTCTTAAGGCAATTTCAAGCTAATACAATTGGTAGCGGATTGATATGCGCCCCTATTACCCCGGATCTAGCCAAGCGCCTCGCCCTTCCCCAGATGGTTACCGAGAACGCCGACCCAAAGGGCACTGCTTATACCATTACAATCGACTCCAGCGACGACTCCGTAACAACCGGAATCTCGGCGCAAGACCGCGCCCTTACATGCCGAACCCTTGCCTCTCCAGATGCCCAAATTGACTCTTTTCGCCGTCCTGGTCACATCATTCCGCTACAGGCGCGGCCTGGTGGCGTGCGCGAACGAAAGGGTCACACCGAGGCCGCGGTGGACTTCTGTCGGTTAGCTGGAAAGGCACCGGCAGGTGTCATCGCGGAGTTGGTGGACGATGGTGAGGTTATTGAAGGCGTGGCCGAGATCGGGGGAAATAACGGCATGATGCGCCGGGATGGTTGCTTGCGCTTTGGAAAGCGATGGGGAATCAAGGTGTGCACCATTGAAGATATGGTGGGTTATCTGAACAGGACGGAGGGCTCTGCGAAGTCGGTCTCAAATGGCTGCCGTTAGAGTAATGGATTTTGGATTCGGTGTATTTACCTTTCGGTTCTTTTGAGCTGTACATCACGTTACCCTTCTATTTGAAGATACCTTTGTAGATGAATGGAACACAACTTCCTTGACTTGGACTCAGCGGGCTGTGTACAGGAAGCAAGCATCAACATAGTAGTTGGATAACAGTGTAAAAAGTCAAATGGCTTGTCATTGATTGTGTGGGTATCTATCACTTTCTGTGATCGTAATGTAGAGCTGAAAAATGGACGGCGAAGATCAAGTACGCAAATATCCCAGGGCCACGAAAGATCGACGATAGGTATGAAGAAAAGGATAAGAATGATAAATCCGAACGCCCCCGCAATGCAGAATCTCGAAAGAAAACCGGATGTCGATCACCGCTTCAGATGCGAGTAGTCCCGGAGGATGCCCATCATGTGAGTGTTGGTTGTCTTGCCGCTGCGGCGTGCCTTCTTGACCTTTTTTGGTTCCATCTTAGGGCGCGGTTTGATGACCTTGTTCTTGTTGGTGGGGGTAATACCGGCCTTCTCCAACGCTTCCTTCACGGCCTGGGGGTCCGGGATTTTGATTTTCTCCCAGATGTGCTTGAATTCATCGTCGAAGTGCTCAATAAGCGAAGGATCGTTGGCCCAGACCATCTTAGCATGGTCGTCTTTCTTGTTACGGGTCACAAGCAGCTTCCCTTCTTTCTCCAGCTGGTTGATTGCATCTTCGACATTAGGCCAGCCCTCACGAAGTTCCCGCACGCTCATACCAGCGGCCGTGGTTTGGGACTGAAGTTTCTGCAGTAGCTGCTCGGGGTTGCGAACGTTGTGCGGAGGACGGAAACTGAAGGTGCCTTCGCCGTTGGCGCCACTCGGATCATAGTCGACCTTCTCATGCGCTTGCAGGATACTTCGGAGCGCTTGGACATAGCCTTGATCATGAGCCCGGTGTTGAAGAGACAGGTACGAGATGATGTCGGCGAACTTCAGCGGAACACCCTTGGTCTTCATGTGTTCGATGGCGAAAAGGACCTGGGTCATAATGTCCTTGCCGGTACCCGTATTGGCCGGCTGGGAATAGACAATGTCGGCATCGTGTCGTTTCTTCTTGGGTTCGCTGGTCGGCTGAGGAGTGGGTGCCGAGGAGGGAACCTGCGAGCTGCTGCCGGATGGAGGGTTGGCTGCTACACGCCTCTGCTGAGGCAGGCGGTTCGCCGACTCCTTGACACTCGCATTGAAATTCTTGAGTTGGTTTTGAAGGTACGACATGATTGCAGCGATCCAAAGTTTGGGTTCGAGGGACAAGAAGAAAGACTCGTCGGGGCTAGGTGCTTGGTTTCTCGCAGGCGAGCTGGGTAAGCTCCGAGATTTAGTCGAACGTAATCATAGATGTTCGTTATCACTGTGTTGTCTGAATGCCACGGTAGTTGGCACGCTCAAGAGAGAGTGTGTGAATCTCCAAGTGGCGGAGTCAAAGAAATGAATGAAAGAACCCGAACATAGCTGGATAGCAGGCTCCAAGTGATGATCGGTTTGGCACGTGACGGGGCCCACCGAACCCAACCCAAAGCGCGACATCTCCAAGCTCGCCCTTGTCCTCACATCATCACCGACCCTTCAATTTCTCCCTCCCCATTGTCGCTCCTTCTCAGTACCGCGACAACACACTCTTTTAACCCGTATCGCCATGGCATAGAGCCTCTCGACAGCGCTGTGTGTACGTTCTCGAGAGCAGTTCACACTGCGCGTCTTGAGCCAGGAAGCTCAAGCTTGCGCCTTTTACCATACAATTCACTCAAATCTGATTGCCGCGACCGAGCTGATAAATCTTGTGTCTCGCAAATACCGTACCCTGAACCTTGACTGCTGGCGCCGCCAACGTTTCGCGAGAAATCATTCAACATGGCGGACGCGGCGGTCGAAGTTCCTTACCTATCGGCCCACTACTCAATTCCCGAGGCTACTCTCACTTCCCTGACACAAACTCCGACCGTCGAACTGGTCAACGAGCTCCTGCAGTCGCTCACAAAGAAAGCGAACGAGTACGATGGACTCAAGGCGGACAAGCTTCACCTCGAGGTGGAGCTTGACAATACCAAACACAGCAGAGACTCGAAGATCAAGGTCCTGAAGGCTGCAGTAGAGAAAGGTCACGCTGAAGTGGAAGACCTGAGGAAAAAATTACACGAATCCGGTGTGTCATCGGTGTAATACCCCATGTGTTTGAACTCGATCTAATTTCCTTACAGAAAACACCCGATCTGCCCTCGAAACAGAGATTTCCACGCTCAAATCGTCTACTACGTCGAACGAATCCGACACAGCTTCTTTGAAGTCGCGCATCTCCACATTGGAGGCCGAGAAACGGGAGAGTCTGGCCTTGCTGGAATCTAAATCCGCTGCCCATGACAAGCTCGCAGAGGAGCTCTCGACCCTTCACAAGAAAACAATCGAGCTGCGTCGCGAACTCTCCGTCGCAGAGCAGAACCAGCAAAAGGCCGAATCGGCTTCAGCAAGCGCACGCTTCCGGGAGCAAAGTCTGCAACAGGAGCTGGACCTCACGAAAAAGAACAACGAATGGTACGAAACGGAATTGAAGACAAAAAGCGCAGAGCACTTGAAATTCCGCAAGGAAAAGAGTGCCCGCATATCTGAGCTGCAGCGTGATAACGAAGAAGCGAACTCGACTATCGATTCTTTGCGACGCAGTGAGAATTCTCTCAAGACACGTCTGAACGAGACTGAGCAGCGATACGAGGAGTCGTTGGCCAGTATCAGTCAACTTAAGGAGGAAGCAATCCAAGCGTCTGAGTCCTTCCGCGTTGAACTCACTGCTACTCAGCGATTGGCTGAAGTTCAAGGCACTGCCGCCAAAACGGCAAAGGAGCGCGTAGAAGAATGCAAGCTCGAGTTGCAGAAGGCCAAGGACAGCGCAGCAGAGGAGATCTCGCGTCTCCGTGTTGAGAATGAGACTGAACACACGGATAAACAGGCTGCGGAGCGCCGCATTGCCGAACTGGAAGCAACTATCTCGCAATTGGAGTCTCAAGACCGGAATCGTTCTATGAGCCCTGCCCACTCCCTCAATGGAGCAGGTCCAAGCACACCGATGAGATCTGGCACTCCTGGCGGTGCATTTACCCCGCGAGCCTCTCGTACCAAGGGTGGTCTTACTCTTACTCAAATGTACACCGAGTACGACAAGATGCGAACGCAGCTCGCCTCTGAGCAGAGAAATTCCCAAGAACTTCGTGTCGCCGTTGACGAGATGGTGCAGGAGCTTGAATCAATCAAGCCCGAATTGGACGAAGCTCAGACTGATCGCAACCGTCTGGAAACCGCTGTCATTGAAATGTCTGATTTGCTGGAGACTGCTGGCAAGGAGCGTGACAATGCCATGAAGGAAGCGAGAAAGTGGCAGGGCCAAATCGAGGGTCTTGCTCGCGAAGGCGACATCCTGCGTCAACAACTTCGAGATCTGAGTGCCGAGGTCAAAGTTCTGGTGCTGGAGGTTGCAGTCGCCAAGCAAAGCGAGGACTATGACCGCGAGGAACTGGAGAAGATCGCACGGCAGGAGGTCGAGGAAGCATCTGCAGAGCTCAATCCGACTGGTCGTTTTATCAGTCAGAACTTGACGACATTCAAAAACCTCCATGAGCTTCAGGAGCAGAATCTTACCCTTCGTCGTATGTTGCGTGAACTCGGTGACAAGATGGAAGGCGAAGAAGCCCGTGCCAAGGATGCCGTGCGCCAGAAAGAAGTTGAGGAATTGAAGGAACTGCGAATCCGTGTGCAGACCTACCAGGATGAGATTGCGAATCTACTGGCTCAATCCAAGAGCTACGCCAAGGAACGCGATACTTTCCGCAGTATGCTCACTCATCGCCACCAAGCTGCTGGTGACACATCAATTTTCTCGCAGTCCGTCCCGCTTGGAGCCGCCCCCTTGGGTGCTACCGGAAACCAGATCAAGGATTCCCCAGACTATGCCGATTTGCTCCGAAAGCTGCAAGCCCATTTTGACAGCTATCGTGAAGAAACTTCCACCGACCACACGGCTCTCCGTCAGCAAGTCAATGAGCTCTCTCGCAAGAATAGCGAGCTTCTCAGCGAAATTAGCCGGTCCAGCAGCCAACTTGCGGCCGCTACTTCGCGCGGTGAACTTCTTCAAAGTAATTTCAATATGCTGAAGAGTGAAAATGGCGAGCTCCAAAAGCGCTATTCCTCCATCCTCGAAAACGCAAACCGACAAGACCTTCGCACACAACAGGCGGCTGAAGATCTCGTCGAAGCGAAGGGTCTCATTGAAAGCCTTCAGCGTGAGAATGCAAACCTCAAGGCCGAGAGAGACCTACTGAAGACTGTGGAGAAGCGCCTTTACGAAGACCTGGAGAATCTGCGCAATGAACGCAGCAGACTTGATACCCTGAACGGCAATATGCAAAGCATGTTGAATGAACGCGAGCATACCGACTCGGAAAACCGTCGCCGACTTGAGTCAACTGTCGAGGGTCTCGAATCTGAGCTGCAGTCTACTAAGCGCAAGTTGAATGAGGAGACGGAGAACTCACGACGGGCCACACTACGCCGGGACTACGAGCAAGAACAGAGCCAAAAGCGTATCGATGATTTGATGACTAGTCTCAGCTCTGTTCGTGAAGAGTTGGTTGCTATAAAGACAACTAAAGATCACCTTCAGTCTCGTGTGGATGAGCTCACTGTCGAACTAAAGAGCGCCGAGGAGCGTCTCCAGGTCTTGCAATCACGCCCAAGTGTTTCCGCCGCGCCCACTGAGGCTCCTGTTGCTACACAAGATACGACTGACGGCAGCGGCCTGACACGCGAGCAAGAACTATCGATTGAAGTTTCCGAGCTCAAGCGTGACCTTGATTTGGCCAAGAACGAACTCGCTCATTCCAAGGAACGCGTCGAAGAGTACCAAGCAATTAGTCAGTCGACGGAAGAACGCATGGAATCGGAAGCCGAAACCCACGCTCAATATCGCGAAGAGACCGATCGTCTTCTTGAAGAGCGCAGCAAGAAGATTCAGGACCTCGAGACCAGAATCGAGGAGATCTCAACGGAAATGTCTACCAATGCTTCTGAGTTGACTAAACTTCGTGAGGAGCAAAACGAAGCCGCGCGGCATCTCGAGGAGCAGAAGGCAAACCTGGAGTCGGAAATCACCCGACTGAAGGATGACAATGAGCGTCACCTTGAGGCCGCTAGATATCACCAGGAGGACATCAAGGCCCAAGCCGAGATTGCCCAAACTGCCCAGCAGAATTATGAGAACGAGCTCGTCAAGCATGCCGACGCTGCCAGGAACCTACAGGCTGTTCGGGCCGAAGCCAATCAAGTGAAACTTGAGATGGTCGAAGTTCGCACTCAAGCAGAAACCCTCAAAAAGGACCTGGCCCAGAAGGAGGAGAGCTGGGCCGAACAGAAGGCCAGGTACGATACTGAGCTTTTGGAATTGCAAAAACGCCGGGAGGAGGTTCTCCATCAAAATTCCTTGCTGCACGAGCAGGTTCAAGGCGTTACTGCCCAAATTTCCGCTCTTCAGCGTGACAAGGCGAACTTCTCTGAAAACGACGAAGAAGGGGAAGAGATGGCACCGAATCTGGAACGTCAACAACAACTCATTAGCTGGCTGCGCAAGGAGAAGGAAATCCTGGACCTTCAGCTGCAATGCTCGAACTCAGAGAAGGATAGGCTGCAACGGCAATTCGACTACACGCAAACCCAACTCGACGAAACACGCCTCAAGCTCGAACAGCAACGTCGTGCTGCTGCAGATAGCGACCAAAATACTCTCAACCACAACAAGCTCATGGAAACCCTTAATGAGTTGAATCTTTTCCGCGAGAGCAGTGTTACCCTTCGCAATCAAGTCAAGCAAACCGAGACGGCCCTTGCTGAGAAGTCAGCTCGCGTGGATGAGCTTGTTCAGCAAATGGAACCTATGCAGACCAAGATTCACGAGCTTGAGAACCTTGTTGAGTCTAAGGACGGAGAGATGCAGCTGCTGCAAGCCGATCGTGATCATTACCAGAAGCGCATCCAAAACATCCTACAAAAATACGACCGAGTCGACCCTCAAGAGATGGAGTCTCTGCAAGAAAAGCTCGCCACTCTCGAGAAAGAACGTGACGAAGCCATCACTGCTCGCGAAGAGCTTGCATCTGCGCGTGATGCCCTCACGGCTGAAATCGAACAAAACAAAACTGCCGCCGAGGCTCGCGTACAGGAACTGAGAACCAAGCTGACGGAACAATTTAAGGGCCGATCTAAGGAGCTATCAGGTCGCATCAACAGCAAACAGGCAGAACTCACTGCAGCACTGCAGGAGAAGGAGGTGCTGCAGGACGAGCTCAATACCACCAAGGCCGAGCTCGAGACATTGAAGACGAAGATGTCAGAGACCCCCGCAGCTGCTGTTGATTCCACTCCAGCTTCAACTCCCGTCCCTAATGCTGCCGCCCCCGTCCCGGCCGAGGCGGCTCCAGTCAATCCAACCCCTGCCTCTCAATTCCCTACAGCCACCACTCAGGTCGTTTCCGGTGGCGACGAGCAGAAGATCAAGGAGCTGGAGGCTAAAATCCAGCGCCTGGAGGCTGCTCTTGCCGAGAAGGACGGTCATTTGGCTACTAAGGATGCTGAGCTGGAAGCGAAGCTCAAGGAGCGTTCTGATAAGCTCAAGGAGATGTACAACACCAAGTTGAACGAATTCAAGGCAGCGCAGCGCAAGGAAGCGGAAAGCATGTCTACTGGAGAACAATCCGCTCCGGCTACCCCTGCCCCAACTGCTGAACAGCCGCCATCTACGCCTTCAAAGACATCGGTGCTTCCTGAGCTAACCGACGCTCAAGCCCGTGAACTTCTTTCTAAAAACGAAACTCTGCGCACGATCATGCGAAACAACATTCGCAACCATGTCGACCGAGCGAAGCAGGCCCAAGCAGCCTCTGGTTCCAACGATGCAGCCCTGTCGGAAGCCCAACAAAAGCATATCGAAGAGCTGGAAGCCCTCAGGAAGACACTTGAGGAGGAAATGGACGACAAGGTCAAGTCTGCCGTTGAACTTTCGGATAAGAAATCACTTGCCCGTATCAGCATGCTTGATGGTCAAAAGCGGACTGCCCAGACCAGACTGGACGTTGTGAAAAAGGCCGCCGAAGACACGCCACAGAAGCCTGTCATTGAAGTATGGGAAGTAGCTAAGATTGCTCGGCCTCCACCTGTAGCTTCTCAAGCTCCAAAGCCGGCGGCTGTCGCGTCGCCTGCCCAACCTGCCTCTCCGGCACCTCCTGCGGCACAGTCCGTTCAACCAGCCGCGGCTGCTTCTATCAATACTACTCCTGCGGTACCCTCGCCTACGCCTGCTACCGAACCGACTCCATCGCCTGCAATTGGAGCAGAATCAACCCCTGCCGAAACCCAGCAAGCCGAAGGATCTGCAGAGCAGACCCCTGCCGTCCCTGTCAACCCCTTTGGACAACAAGCCCAGCAGCCTCAACAGAGCCAGCAGCAGGCCCCTTCCTTGCCGATTAAACCTCCTGCACACACCCCACCAGGCATGCTGAGAGCTCTACAGTCAAACCTCCCCATTGCCCGTGGTGGTGGTGGTAGTCGTGGGGGTCGAGGCGGGGCCCAGCAGCCCCATCTCGGTCACGCTCAACAGCAACCGGCCGATCAGCAGCAACAGGCTCTGGGCCAGTCACAAGGCAATCGTGGTTCTGGTCTCCCTCGGGGCCGTGGTGGACGCGGAGGTCAAGGCCGAGGTGGTAATCAGCAAAACCAGCATGCCACTGTTCAAAACCAGGCGCCTAGCCCAACGGCGGCTCGTGGGGGCATGAATCCCGGGGCTCGTCAGTTCGTCCCGCATGGCAACAAGCGCACTCGTGATGAGGCATCCGATACTCCCACTGATGCGAACACTAGTGGGAAGCGTATTCGAGGTGGCGGCGGTGGTGGACAGGCTCGTGGTGGCGCAACTGCCTGAGGTTTTTACTTATCCCCAATGTATCTTTAACATTTCTATTCTTATCTCTGCTTGCGATGCGCGAAAGGGAATCTACGTCTAAGATATGATATCCTTACGGTTGAAGTCGCGAACACCACAGTATTCTCATTTGTTTTGTGTATTTAGTTCATGTACGATGGAGTTCTGGATTCCAGAGGTTGAATTTCATTCTCTATCTTGATATTCAGATGACTTTTCAATCCGCGGTTCATGGACGTCATGTAGTATTTATTATGTGAACAAAGTGAGGTAACACTGCCCGCCTCGGGAAGCGATTGCCTCTCGAGAGCCCAAGCTGAGTGCACAGAAGAATGATAGGATATAAAGGACGGTTTCTTATTAATACACTACTCCATGACACGCTGCCTGACCAGGTCAACTTGGGGCCGAAACGTGAGATATAGATTAGTGGTACCAGTCGGTTCGGCTCAGTGGGCCATTCTCCCGTCACCCAGTTCGTCCTGGAACTATTCAGTTCTACAGGAATGTGTCAATTAGTGATGATGGTCAATTAACTTGTAACTAGTTACATGGCTCGCCGCTGAATCATCAGGGAAACCTAACTAAATCATGTTCAAGGCACCCGCGGCCCTGGTGGATCGAGTTGAGCATAGTCAAAGGTATGATGCGGCTAGTGCTCGAGTTATTTTTGTGGCACGAAGAAATAAGCTTTTTGATTAGCAACCATGACTTAAGATGCTGGAAATTCATTGATTCCACCTAGCCATCCCGAGTCCACATTCGATGCACTTGATGAACGGGTCGTTCCGAGCAATTTCGATAGGATGATCTGTCACGACTCCAACACACATCTTCGTATTTTAAGTGCATTCCAGAGGTTCAATTGCGGCAAATTGAATGACATTCGCGTTCTTCTTTCCATCAATTTTCTATTTCAGATACCCCAACTCACTGCGATCTCTATACGCCAATTAAGTCTTCCTGTCGTTCAACTTTTGAAACACTTCACGAGCGATCCCCGTTTCATGTCTCACACCAAACCTCGCCAATCGTTATTGGAGGAGGGCATTGACAAGCGAGAGCGCAATACGGCCGCCTGTCCCGCTACAGAGGTAGAAGACGGGACCGTGAAGACTCTTTAAGACACCATTAAAGAGAAAGATCACCAATAGTTTGGCTCAGTTAGAGATGCAGAACAAGTCCCTCCAGGACCTCTTGGCCGAGAAGATCCTTTCGGGGAAATCCACGGATGGGGATTCAACAAGTGACCTATCCGCATCGAAATACGGATTTTCGCCGAGAGTGACGAAAGTGTCGGTGGGAAACGTTCAACTAACACGACTTAAAATGATTTTCAAACGAAATGATCCCAACCCAGATCGTGCAATACTTCAGCCAAAGAGCGTTGTCGTTCTTAGCACAGTATCTTTCATCTCCTGATCCTCTACTGTAAACCGAATGTCGGAACCGTCTGGATCAGGAATGGATCCAACTACGGTGGAAGATGTGGGTAGGTCCATCGATGAAACAACATGACAAGTCAATCGCAGATTTCGCCGTGTCTTCTGAAGGCCAGGCCTTTTATATAATGTTACATCACTCAAGAGATTTATCCCTGGGATATTCCATTTAGATCCGCCATCCCAAGCATGACGGCTAGTGATTTAAACCGTAGTATGTCAAAATTTTGTACTTCGCTGCCTCAGTTGGGTATCATCTATCTAACGAAACAAAGACAAACATAAGAAACATGCGCAGTCGACAAACTCGTGGGCTGCTGCTGTACATCTCGACGCGTAAACCACAACCAAAAATTAGAATCAATATCTCATCCTCGATGCTTCAAATCATGCTAACCTATTTTTTCTTCGGCCCCGAAGGAACAAGCATCCGACCAAGGATTTCTCTCTCCTTCTGCAAGACCATCAGCCTCGCATCTTCAATTACCTTCCCTGCAGGCGCAGGTTCAGGCGCCGTGGCCTGCGCAACTTGCGCTGCAACTAACACAGCAGAACCTGGCATCTTTGCTTCGCGCGTTCGTCGTCTCCGCTGTCCGATACCTGATCCCCAAACGACCGTCCATTCGGACACCCTGCCGCGCTCTGGGATCTCGCACCCGGAACAGATCTTTGTGTGTGAGCCGATGTCCGCGTGTTGATTTATTGTAACAAGAGCCTCGACGGTGGTGGAGGAGTGTATGTGTACACCGGGCTTGATGGTGGATTGTGGGCCGATAGTAACGAAATAGGAGAGGCGGGTGTGTGTATTGGTGGATGTTGATGGAGAGGAAGGTGATGAAGGAGTCGCGCCAATAACAGTCTTTTCGCTGATGATGCAGCCCTCGCCGATCGTTATGGGTCCCTCGTAAGCGTAGAATCGAGCGCGTGGGTGGATGATTGTGTTGGCGCCAATCGTGACAGGGTGTGTCCCCTGGAAGACAACTTGGTCGGCGATGGTAGCTGAGGGATCGGCTTTGACGGGGGCTTTAGGAGGGCCGGTAGGCGTAGAGGATCCGGAGGCGGAGCGATGTGTAGCTGAAGGTGGTTTGAGGGTCGCCATTGCGCGTGCCGGTGGAAATTGGGGAGGCGCGGCCTGTGGAGGGAAGTCGGTTTGGCGAGCTGGAGAGATGGAAAGTTGGAGATGGGCCGGCGATTGCGGAGTTTGGCGGCGCAGGGGCCACTTCAACTTATTCTGCCCAGCAACAATCATCAACGATTGCCCGGCATATGAAGGTACTATCTGTTCTGAACGACAGTAAACACCTGGGAGTGAATTCAAGTCTGGAATGGCAAAGAGTTGATTGGTGGTCGTCTTCATCCCACCGGGTATCGAGTATCTAAATTTAACTATTGGGAATCTATAAACATAGAATATGCATCATCATACAAGTCGTCCACGTCAATTGGGCAGTGTCTCTTCGGTATTCTTCTTGATGCCATTTCGCTTTCTCCATGCCCAAACTCCACGGTCCACCACGTCTAGCTTCATTCCATCGCGAACCAAACAGAATGTAACACCCAGCTCGGTCTCGACATTCCGGTTCCGCGCCTCATCATCGAAGAAAAGCATATCTTCGTATGCGATTTTACTCGCTCCCTGAATCTGCGCAAAATGTTGGGTCTTGTTCGCAGGGAAAATCTGCAGATAGTCGAAGTATTCCAGCGCGCGACTAGTTTTCGTGTTGGCGGCCGGTTTGTCCGAGAACGAGGGGATAACATGGAGGGCCTTCAGAAAGTCGCGCGCCAGATCTGGGTCGTGGGTTCGAGACGCGACGGCCAGAGGGATAGCGCGGCTCTTGCAGGCCTGGATGATCGAAGAGACCGCGGGGTAGAAAGCGAAAGATTCACCCCACCTGATACCGATATTAGAATGAAAAGGCCAAATTGCGAGGCCGACCGTAGACTCACTTGTCCACGACGCGCGAATTGTTGTCGCGCGCCTTGACAGGCCCGCTGACATGTGTGTCAACCCAAAAGGGCCATAGGGTGTAGTCCAGGTCGAATGCGATCAATTTGGGAAGGGGGAGGCCGTCGGTGAAAGTTGCGGGGGCCACGGAGGCATCCTCGAGAGGCTGGGTGTTTTGACGCTTGGCTCGGAGCATAGCGTATATAAGACTGAGTGATCTTAAAATAGAGAGGACCAGTAGAGCCCTTACAGAGATCGGCTCAAAAGTTGTTGGGATGAGAGGAATTATGCGTGAGCCTCGAACTCCACCGCGGGGAAACCATTCTCCACTGCACGTGCCCTCGATCTATATGACCCAGCAGACGAAAGCAGCAGGAGAGGCGATATGGAATACCAAAGACATAGTATAGAAATTAATATTTGGGAGAGCTTGGTTCCTTTCGTACATTCAAAGTGCCTAAGGAAGCCTAGAAGGCATATCCTGCAAAGGCATATCCTGCAAAAATAGTCCATACGCTTATAGAATAAAAGTTATCAAAACTAACCCGCCAAGCGGTCCTCCAATCATGTCGTTAGTGACTGCAGGGTGCCCACGGGTGCCATCAAGGACTTCCATAGTAAATAAGCAGCCGATATGGCGAGTTTCAGTGAAAGTTAATAATATCCTTGTACTCCTCGTACAGCATTCGATCGATATCCTCGTATCCGACGGCACCATCATCAGCGTCCGATGCCGCATCGTCTTCTTGATCCATTGACAGAAAAGGTGCAGATGGCACAGCAAGTATCTCATGGAGCGTACTCATGAGTGGATACTGGTTGAGCTGCGAAGGATTGCTCTCAACGAGGGCTAAGTCCGGGACTCTTTCCTTTCCCTTTGGCGATCGTGCTGTATTTGTGGGAGATGTCGCTAGAAGAACAGTTGTGGCTGTACTCTTGACTTTTTCTGTTGAACTAAAGATATTTTCCGCCGAGCCACACACAGAGCTGTCCGATAGCACAATGATCTCACGTCGTGCCGGCGTCTCCAGACAATTCGAATCTTGTTGGGAGTCTACCATCGTCGGGGATTCAGCTTGAAGAGCAGCGTCTGTCTTTTTTGACTGGTCTAGAATGATGTCTTCATCCATTGACAGTATAGAAGGGTCAATATAACTGCTGTTGTCATCTTTTTGTAGTTCACTCTCCGCTGTGGGGGGAGGGGGTCGAACAAAACTTGAGTATGCATTGTCGAAAAGAGCCGACGGTGATGGTAGATCATTGAAGCCATCATCATCACCATAATCGCGGGAAAGGCTTCTTGAAAGACTCTTTCTCTTCTCCTCTTGTGTTTGAGACATGGCACTCTTGCCACTGTGCTTGTAGCCAATTTGGATCTGGGTCGATCTCCTTTTCTTTCTCTGCGGAGCAGAGGACAGGCTTGAGTCCGATCGTTGGCTTGTTTTTCTTTTCGCGGCTTTCTTAGACCGGGTGGGAATCTTTTTCTTGCTATTTTCATCAGACGACTTAGGTTTAGTGATGCTTGCCGACAAAGTCAATTGGCTGAGACCACTGGCTTTGAGATTGGTGGCGGTCTTGCATTTGCTGGGTTTCGGAGGCTTCTCGAGCCCATCTCGGCAGCAGAGGTGCTTGCAACTAAAATCGTCAGCGTTTGAATAAAATCTCTTTCGGTATTTCAAAGTGTAAAAATACCTTTTTTTATCCTTGCATCTGTGATTGCAAGCCCAGTTTCCATTGGAGAGTCGAATGGGCACGTAGTTGTCATCCGGATCTTGGTGACCCGTATCTGCTGTGTGCTCATTGTTCTTGCTCTGAGAGTGATCTGCACTATATCGAGGTGGGCTGGGAGTGCTATCGATTGAGAACCAATCAAGGTCATCAAGTGGAAAGATGGTCGATGATTCCTTTTGCGCCGATTTATTCAGAGCTTGGCCTGCCACCAGGAAGTCGTCGAGCTCTAGATCGTCGCCATCAAATGTGTCCTTCGGGTGATGAGATTTGGGAATTTGATGGACATGCCTCTCAGTGCTTAAATCAATTTTGTCGACAATCTGAAGTCTTGGCCCACGGGTATCTGATAATGTACTTTGCTGCAGTGGGAAAAGATGCGGTGGAATATCTGGCTTGATTCTTGCTTGTCTCGCCGTTCCAGCTAAAATCGGTCAGCACCATATTGGAATGTTCGCTTGAGTGATTGAACTTACCAATATCGTCGCACATCACATGGCAAACGATGGACTGTCCCGAATCATGCAAGTCCGCCACAAGACTAGCCTCCAAACCCTCTTGGAGTTTACTTGCACTGCAGCCTGTAAGTGGCTGAATCTTCGCAGACATGGGTTTATAACTCACTTTACTCGCCGGAAGTCAACGAGGCGCCCATCGGATGCCTCACTCAGGCAACAAACATAAATGGGTCGTCGCTGGAAGTAGGTCGGGATTTTGTCATTCATGAAGGCGACCTCAAGTTTGAACCGTACTTTGACATTTTCAGCTTCCGTTTCCTATGAGTTCTTTTAGCCAAGCGTCGGATATAAGATGAAGCGGCTTTCGTACCTTTCCAATCATCTTCACGGCGACCCTCAGCTTGGGAAATTCCCTCACACGCGCCAGCAACTTGGTCCCGAATGGTGGATTCTTGCTTAGGGCCATCTCGATCTTATGGGGCTCCGTAGATTCAAGATCCTCAAGATTCATGATTCCAGCGGCAGCTAGCTTCCTGACGGCGACAACTCCGATTTGCTCTATTTGCTTCATCTGAAGTGGGGAGTGATCCCAGACCTTGGCACCGAAACTTCGCGCAAGTTCAAGCGCATTCAAAACGGAAATTGCGTCCTCACGCGCAATGTGACAGTCGATAACACATCGAATAAGTCGATTGACGTGAGAGAATACCACAGATTTGTCTTGTTGGAACGAGAATTTGTGCTTCTGAAATTGATCACCATTGGGAAAATCGATTGCGCCGAGTTCTGCTTGGAGAAGTAGCGAAATCTTGTGGGATGGAAGGGCGACGTCAACTTTGATCGGATACCGAATACCAGGGTCTTTGTTTATCTCTCGATATAGAGACTTCTCACCTGCCTTGAGACGAATCTCACGAAATTCTTCTCCTTGGACAATGACGTCCAACTGGGTCGGTCAGATCCTGAATATCTCAAGATGTGTCAGAGGGCGACTCACAATTTGAGAGATTGTCGCATGAGATTCCAATGAGAGGAGAGTTCTCATAGTCTCAAAGCGAATGTAATACCGAGCCATGGCATCCCCAAACTGGGTCGAGCAGAGCCTTTCCCTTTCAACAAGTCCGCACTCTTGAAGAAGGCTGATATCTCTCTCGCAGATCTGACGGAGAAGCTTATCCTCATCTTCCTGGCTCGCACCTTCCTTCAGCTTGTAGTAGGTCGGGTTTCGACGAAGGCGTACGAAAAGAAATGTCCCTGCGAGCCATCTTGTTGCCGATTCGAGATCTGTCACATTACCCAGGCCAATCTCCGCGTTGAGATGATCGATTAGGTTAAGATGCAAACAACTCTCGAGACTTTCAGAGCCTGAGACCAGTTTCTCATAGTGGCTCACACGCTCTTTCCTGGTCAAGATGATGGCCGTTGCACTGTTATCAAATTGAGGTCGGCCTGCGCGACCAAGCATCTGCATCATTTCGAGGTCGGAATACTCTTTGCAGCCACCTTCCTGCCAGCTGACGGTGTTCTTTATAACCACGAGGTGACAAGGCAGGTTGACGCCCACGGCGAGTGTCGAGGTACAGCAGATAACATTGATGTGACCGTCCAGAAAGCCTTTTTCGACGGCATGTCTATCTGCATGGCTGAGGCCAGCATGATGAAATGCTACTCCTGCGCATACCGTTCCTGTAACTTGTCAGGCTCCATAATATTGTGTTATACCATAGTTCGTACCTCTAAGATCTTCATTGTGAATCACAATGTGTTTGGTGGGTCCTTCCCAATGTCTCGCGGGAGGGTTTGTCACAGTCCATAGTCGAGCAAGCTCTTTGGCTGTTGCGACCGAGGAGTTTCGAGTACAGCAAAACACCATGATGGGCTTCTGGCACGAATGTGCTTCGATCACTCCAGGTAGCCTAGACCACGCGAATTGTCAATGTTGTGAACAGCGTCAAATTTGGTCCATTAGGACTGGATCACTCACTTTCCGCCGCAAAGCTTGTCGAACGCAAAATCGTTCCCGTTCGAGTGATACCCATACACAAACTTCTGCAGTTTGACAGGGCGGAAGTCTTCGCCAAAATGCTCTCGGTGAGCAGGAACATACTGGGTTGTAGCATCCTTGCCGAGCCAGGTCGCAATGTCCTCGGAATTGGGAACGGTTGCACTCAATGCAATGAAGCGAACATTCGATCCGATATTCTTCATCCGCGATACAACAGCTTCAAGAGTAGCTCCTCGGGACTCTTTCAAGATATGAACTTCATCGATGAGAAACAACTTGACCAGTTGCATCAACCGCATGTGATCTTTCCATTTGCGCGTCATACTGTCCCACTTCTCAGGTGTTGTGATGATTATCTGACTGTTTTGAACGCCACGCAGCTGCGACTGGTCCGTATCACCAGTCAATTCGGCACATTTGAGATTCAGAGCCGAGAACTTGGAGTTCCAATCACGGAACCGCTCTGCGCAGAGCGACTTGGTTGGGGCCTGGTACACAACCTTGAATCGCTCGTCTTTCAGAACGTTAAGGAGCCTGCAGATAGCTAGCTCCATGACTACAGTCTTGCCACTTCCTGTTGGTGCCGAGAGTACAAGATTGTTGTTGGTCTTGAACACTGTGTCAAAACACTTGGACTGGATAGCGTTGAACATGGGAAATGGGAAAAGAGAGCGATGTTGCTCGGTCAGTTCAGTCACCGGGACCAGAACGATACCCCTCACCGACAACGGGATGTTGGCGAAAGGAGACCTCCCTTGGCCGACATTACCACTTGTATCTTGTTCATTGTTCGGACGAGACGAGGACGTCTGTTGTGAGGGGAGCTGGTTTGCGTCGTGTCTGAGTCCGTCATGTCGAGACTCTAAGGAGCGCCGACCTGTCCAAAAAGCTTCCTTCCGTTGATGTATCAAAGCCAGTGGGCTCGAGGGAGGGTCACGAAGAATTTCGGGCTGGCTGGATGCAATTTCGTGGAGAGAGATGATGTTGGAGCTTGCTGTATAATTTCCATCAGCCATGATCGACAAGCGGTACCACCAGGAATCTAACATTCGATACTCACGAGTGAAAAAGCGTGATGTCTGCGATAGAGCATTTTGCGTCCCATTATTCGCAGTGCCATACGCATGGCTAGGCGTGGTCGCTGTAGCACGGGCGTCTACTGCTTTGGAGTTCTCTGATGCAAGCAGCTCGAGATCTAGGTAGGATCAGTAGATTAGCTTTTACCTGATCAGTACCTCCGTGTTTCGTTGACACAGCTTACCAAAGGCATCCAATTCGGACTCATCGTTGTCAGAGAACAGAGCAGCGCTTGTTGAAACCGGGGAACTGCGAGTCTGAGAGCGAGGCTGTTGTGACCCTTCGATAAGCCTCTGGTCAATGACACCGATCCTGCTACTCTGAGAGGAGCCAGCGGGACCAGAGCCAGTTCTTTGACGCCTCTTTGGCGAGATCTGGAATAATTTGGACTGAGAAAGCTGATTCCGTCGCATGACTGGTAAGGAGATTGGAAAGGACAGGAACGGGCAAGTGGTGTCTACCTGAAAGATACTTTGAGATCGTGTTGAGAGGTGGTGAGGAACGCACGTGGACCAAGGTCACGAGTATTCCAACTTGGGATGCAATAATGTACACCAGTAAATCATTTGAACAAACTATCGCAGCTCACAGTTATATGCATACATGACCGGAAATCCTCGGTTTCTTGGGCAATATCAAACACGCTCGCAAACAGACCTGTCCTCAGGAGGGCAGGATGTTGAAAGGGAAATCTCGTATATGTAATGACCACGGGCGCCATCACATCTATCAGTCATCCATTCGTATCACCATCGTATCACCATGAACATTGGGGTGTAGCAGGAAGGCATTGGAGCAGTAAAGTTATCGCAGTTACTGCTTCTCGAAGTAGCCACTTCCACTCACATTCCGACTGGAGCTCACTCGAGTATGGCTTGGGTTCGGAGAGGTGGGTCGGGAAGATGAAAGACCGTCCGACAGGAATGGGGTGCTGGGCAATTTGATGGAGAACTCGTTGGGGGAGTTCGAGACTGGCGCTCCGTTGTCCTCCCCACTATCCTTTTCGTATGTGTCAACGCGGATCGGCGGCCGACGAAGACCATTGGGACTATAGCTCGGGTTGCCATAGTAGTGGGTGGCGACCAAGACTGCGGCGGAACCAAGGAAGAACTTTATGGCGCAAGGTTAGTCAATTTCAACAAGGATAGTATCAGAGAACTTACGCTTGCAGTGAGCTCAAGGTCAAACATCCAGATGCTTCCGACGATGCTCAAAACTGTGCTCACTGTCGTGGCCAGCAGCTTGGGATCTCTCTGCGAAAAGCTAATGGAAAATGTGGCGAGGATCCCACCCAAGGCCTGGAGAATGATGGTGGACCAAACAGCCCAGTTGTAGCCCTGGAAAAAGCCATCGTTGGAGATGCTCTCGCCGTCGCGGAATACGACGCCAATGAACAGCGCGGGGAAAACTGAATAGATCGACAATTGGACATTGCGCACCCACATCGAGGTGTGGCTGGTGCTGTCCTTGAGGACCTTCTCGAAGTAAATTCCGCCGAGGCCTGACGCAAGCGACGCGCCAATTATAGCGATGAGGCCCAGAGCGGGGTTGAAGCGTGGATCAGCGGTCTGAATATCCTCTTCGATGCCCTCGTATGTCGCGGAACGCTTATGCAAGTTTCCAGCAATCCCCTTTGCCGCCTTCCATTCCTCGAGGGAGCGAGGGAAGTGGTGTGCCGCGCTCTCGTCCTGCAGAACCATCTGCTCCGCGCTCGCATCAGGGATCTGAACCAAGGCCACCCCCACCACGAGCAGCAAGAGCAAGCCCCATTTGCGAGGTGCAATACTCCGACGCAGGACCATCAGGCCGAATACCGCTGTGGTGAGGACTTGCAATTGGGACGCGACCTGGAAAGTTGCAGCCCGCATATTGGACAGGGCGATGTATTGTAGGGAGCTGGACAAGACGCCCAAGCCGGCAGGAATCGCGAGTTTCCAGCTATCACCCGAGAAGACGGCGCTGGTGAGGGAGAAGAACAGGGACGTAGCGGGCATGGACGGGGGTGCAGCCTCGGAGACAGCATAGAGGGCCATTGTGAGGGAGATGGCCAGCTTCACCATCTCGTTCAGGAAGACGGCCGTGGAAGTCAAGTAGCGCTTTCCACCGGCGGGGGGCATGACTCGGGAATAATGGGCGAGCTGTTATGATAGAACGAGCAACAATCAGTCATTTGCGCGGGTGCGTCATCCTCATCCACTCGGGAGGAACTCACCAAAACAAACCCCGTCGACTGCGCGGCAAGCTGTATGATGAAAGGGCATGTCAGCGACTATCTCAGGAACTGGAATGAGACGTGATGCGATGAGATTCGCATTATCCTCATTGTGGGAAATGCCTACCAGAAGCCACGGAACATTTTTGGTTGCATCTCGCAGCCACGAGGGCTGGCGTTGTGTGCGGTCCCCCATCGTGGCTTGGGGCTGAGAGGGGTGTATTCTCCGCGAACACGAAAGTCGCACGATCGAGACGACAATGCGAAGGTGCTCTTGTAAGAGGACGTTGGGTCGGGGTCACAGTGGAGCAGTGGTCGAGAGGAGGAGAATTGAGGTAGGGACGACAGGGACCGGGGGGTGAAGCAGCGTTGCAGTTAGACTTTGGTAAGTGCCCTCAGCTAAAGCAGGGGACTTGAGCGATCTGCCGCCTAGGGCCCGTCGTCAGGGCTGCGGGCGACGATCACGGCGGAGCTCCGCGGGTCGGTGGTAGGGAGAAGGGAAGGTGGAGCAGAGAGTCGATGGAATGGATGTGAGCAACAAGCGAAGAACGAAGGGCGACACTGGAGACAAAGCCCACGTCGAGGTGAATCCGGGGTATACACGAAATAAAGCGGTGTGGATCATTTGGCTCGGCCCAGACCGGTTCCAATCTTCCCAACTTCCTCTTGGGCAGCGGGCCGTCCAGGTACCCGGCCGTACCCAGCAAGTACTGGCAAGTACGGCTGACGTTCGAGAGATACCTGAGGGTACAGAGCAATGCAGACTGCATCTTCTGGACGCGGAAGCCGGCTTGGCCTCCAGCGTGCAACATCCGGCCACCGTGTCTATCGGGTCTGACGTCAATGCCATGCAGGGCGACTCCTTCAGGCATGCAAAACGCCATGAGATGAGGCAAGCGCAATCCACCCCCCACGATGCGGCAGGTCGCATTGCGCGTCCATCCAGTCGGCGCCATCCCGACCAGTCACCCATTGCGATGGTACTTTTATGCACGTCAGCCACGATGTGAGGGTTGCCCGGCACCGCCTTTTGGTTCTCGGCCATGAAGTACTAGTCACTGTACTACGTGAAACTCCCTACGTGAGCTAGTGGGCTCACAGCGGCACGCCGCAGATCAGCGCAATTGCACCGCACTTGGAAATTGGTGGCCGCAAGAAGAACAATTGATCATTAGCTCGAGTTAGAACGATCCGAAATTTGATCTGACAAGTGGAAACTCCAGGGCCGCCAAGGCACCGTGCTATCTCCCATTCCCAACATGGTATACCCGTAGACCACAAACAATAATGGGTCGGGTCTCTCAGAAAGTTCCTTCCCATGTCTGCGCTATGAGTCGGATCCTCCTGCGTATCGAAGGATGTTTTGCGATTATAATGGGACGTCTTGGCAGCCGTATCGGGAGAAAGCCAATCTTCAATTTTCTATCATCAGTGGGGATAATCCTTCTCGGACAACACCGCCGGTCATGGGGCTCCCAAAGAGTCCGCAAGGCACGCCATCTTGTATAAGGATGCAGCTTCAGACAACACGAGCACTGTTTCCACTGGGCATTCTGCAGTCGACTGCATAGATCCCAGGTGAGATATTCTCGAAAATACGGTCTGATCGACAGCACACCTGAGAGCGGGATCCGGTACGGTACGAGGAATAGGAGGAAGCAGGCGAAGAGATACTTGCAGCTCAGCGCCAAACAGATTGCGTCGGAGGGGAGCATTCGAATGAAAATCATCCCCACTATTTCCGGCGGGACTTTTTCGAATGGCTGGAAACCCGGGGCAGATGGCATCTGGGTTGGTGGGGGAGTGGCCTTGGGCCGATATCGTTGGAAAATGGCCATAGTCATAGTGTGGCTTGTTTCAGGCTCTGTGCAGATCACCGACACAGCGAAGAATTATCTCGAGAAGAGGGATGAGGGGCCGGATATCAGTTCGTAGTAGAAACTCGGATGTTTGAAGTGGTAGACAGCCGGTCGCGGAAGCCATACCATGGTTGAAAGCATTGCAGGAAATTTAATGAGCGATTATCGAGCTCTACGGAGACTCTTTACGATTTGAAACGTCATCCACCGCATCTCTCGGCCAACCATGTTTCTACTTCGAATTCTACGGTTCGACGATACAAGTTTCCAGGAATGAACCAAACCAAGGCAAATATATATATGCGCAAAGAATTTGTTTGTAGATTCAGTGTTTCTCTGTCGCCATAGTCTTTCGATGGCCGGCAAAACATATCAATATCAATATTAGACATAACAGACAGGTTTCATCAGATGATGTGAGAAGAAGAGAGAGAAGTGAAGTTTCTATTTACAAAGAGGGATGAGATAGAGGAAGGTAAAAGCAACGCTGAGGTAATGCGAGAAAGGAAAATGCAAATGTTGTAGTAGTCGGGATATTTTTATCCAACATAACAGAATAGGTGACAATGATTATACATCGATGTGAAAGGTATTGGGAAGATAGGAAAGTTGTAGAGAATGTGGTCATGCATGTCGACGGCTGCTACATCGGATTAGTGCACAGCGGCGACGTTGGTTCGGTCATTATTCCAGTCAAAGTCAAAGGACCAAAGTGGAAGATCATGCTTGCTTTGCGGGTCGCCATTGTCGTTCAGCATGATGGCTTCACTGCTATCGGTGCGACGACGGCTATGCCGCTTTTGTTCGTCCGGGATGGCCGGCGGAGGCCCACGAGGCGGTGGCTTGGGAGACGGAAGGGGCGAGAAGCGGTGAATTGGGAGAGTCGGAGTCAGAGGGGAAGCACCGCTGGTGGCGGGAGACGGAAGGCTTTCAGAATAGGCCATACTGAAGCGGGGCGAGACAATCGAGTTACCGGTTTTCTGCTCAGTATCAGAACTCGAACTCTGCGAGGGCGATCCATCCATTTGAGTAGCACCTTGTTCGGGTCGGGCTGGAAAAGGGGGAAGGCCGCACTGAGACGCAGGAACGAGGTATCCGACATGCAGAAAGAATCGCGCGATGGACCCGAGATCGTCGAGTTACGGTCGACCTCGGAGGCACCGTTGGTGGAGGCACCGTTGGCATTATACTGAAACAGACTCGGTGTGGCCTTGCCCTTTCGCTGCCGCATTGCCTCCAAAAGATCCTGTTCCTGCCGAGTAACTGCAATCACTCGGCTTCTCCGGTTCATCTCCTTCAGCTCGCGTGGGGTGCGTAGTCGCTGCTGAGGAAACTTGTCCAGGATATCCTGCTGGGGAAGAGCAGGGGCACCGCTCGACCTCCGGGATTGGGCACTCTTCACAGTAGCGTTGCCACTAGTCGAGGTAGATGCGTGTCTACTACGATTCTTCTGGCTCGGCTGACTCGGTTGGTCTGGCCGGTTCGACTGTTTCTGAGTGATTTTATGAGACCCGTGGCTGCTGGTGGACGGTGCCCGGTCGACCCTCTTCAGCATTTGGGCCGTAGCAGCCTGGGCGGTGGATGCAGTATAGATCTCGGCGTCAAATTCACCATAGGTTGCATCACTATCCCTGAAGGGCTTCTTGTTGTTGGGACGTAGCTCTGTCGGCGTCTCTTGATCTTCCTCTGCCTCATCCTCGGATGAGGAAGAAAGGCATAGAACACTAGAATTCTGCAGGTCCTTGTTTTTCAGAGTACTCTTGCTGCTCTTCTTGGTCATAGAGCTCTTCACGCTTCGCGAATTACTCTCTGCCGCAGAACTGGTCTTTCGAGGGCGAGCTGGTTCCGGTTGTGAGGGGGCCAAGTACGAATCCTTACGTCGGTTGCTGGAAGGGCTGTGGCCACATCTCGCGTTCGTGCCTGTATCGGCATTTCGTTGGTCTGTTCGGAGCTGCTCTCGGCTGGCCGTATAGACGCTGGAGCGACTAAATAGTGACCGCCGGCCAGCGTATCTGTCCAGCGCGAGATCGATCTCGCTGGTTCCCACCGTGCGCTCAAGCGGATGATCATACCATTCGTCATTCTTGGATTCAGGAATCGACAAGAGATCTGAACGGTCCCTCTCAGGGCGGTCGGCCGGTTGCTTGGGTGCTTCATTTTGAATGATTGAAGTACGAGGGGGTAGGGGTTCACCGAACCGCCTTGCAGCCGGATTGCTTCCAATTCGATCAATCTTGTTCGATGGCCAATCCGATGCCACAGTAGAGACCGGGGATGGGGAATCGGTCACGCGCTGAGGCGATAAGAGATGAGGATTAGGGGTGGGATGGCGAGGCTTCGGGAAAAGAATGGATAGGTCGATACGTGGGGGGCGGAGTTTTCGTTTTGACTCTTTTGGTGCACTGCGAGGCGGGGGTTGTTGGAAAGTCACTTGAGGCTCTGCCTGCCACTCATTGCGCACTCTCGGCTGAAGGCCCTTGGGAGTCGTAGGGGTCGATTTAGAAGTCTTGGTTTCTTTCTCCTTGGAGCTGAAGTAAGAAAAGAGTGTGGACGAGGAGCCGGACGCATGGATTTTCTTCGAGGGTTTGGGCAGCGGCGGTGCCGGATCTTGAGACCGGTAGTCCTGGCCCAGCAGAGGCGACGAAGCACGTACGCGAAGGTTTTGTGGAGGAACTTGGATGGTATCCTCAGATTTGGGAAATGCCGCAAAGCTGGTGTGTTGCTGTCTCGACCTCGAGCTGCTGTCGGGCGTTCGCAAGCTCTGCCGGCGAGATTTGGGCTTCTGCTTCTGTTGCGCCCCGTCCCACCCACCTTGGGCATTGGGCAAGAGCAAGTCTGTCCCTAGGATGCGCTGCGCCTTAGAGCTTTTACGCTCGACAAAACTCGCGTCCTCCTGGCTCTCCATTGCTCCGGGTCGTAGAAGATTTCGGCTCGAGGTTCGAAGCGGAACATGCACGGGGGAACGGTCCCGGTGCGCCATGTGAGGAATGCGGAGAGCGAAAGTCAATTAATTGGTCGTCACGAAACTGCGATCATGCAAGACAATTTAAATCCCGCCAGTGCGTGGTGGAAAAAATAATAGTGATTGCTGACACCGCCTTGAAAACTTGAAGCTTCGCGGATTCACCGTTCCTAAAGTATTATCTGCCGTGTCGCTCTCGGCGGGAATGGAATCTACTCCACAAAACAAGACGGTCAGCAATTCCGGTCTCAGGTACCGCTCCAATCCGGCCCAAGACAAGGCGGTGCTCGCGGGGACCTCCACCGCAACGTACCGTGGATGACGAATAGAAAGGAAAATATCCCGTCGTTGAACGACGAGCGGGCCGAAGGAACGAAGGAAGAAGTTAGGGAGGTGATACGGGGTGAAGGGAAAGACTGGCCGTAGTCACGCTGGACTGGGGCCAGTTCTTTTTTGTACGAGGAGCGAGCGAAAGGATCGGGGTTGGGCCATGATCGATTGGCTCCCCATTTCTTGTTCACACATCGGCACGCTTAATAGGGGCGACCCACCGCTGTCTTTTCTGGAGCCTGCATGGGCCAGGGGGTAATTGGAATCCTCGTGGGCTGTCATAGGCTAGGGCCACGAGCAGCCATCCTCGCACGGGTGTGTTTCATTTAATTCGGTGGAGTGCGACAAGGCCGATGGGGCCTGCCATTGGGACATCCAGACAGGGTTGTGGATAGTGGCAAAGTAGTGATTTCCTGCCATGGGCCCTCTTACCCCGTCGTGGATGAGCATTGAATCGCGCGCCCGGCTTGGATCGACGGCTCAGCTACTGGGGATAGCGGCCCTCTCGCATGGACCAGAAGAGTAGGTATCGACAGGCACCCACTCCGATTCACATGAGGTCCAGTCAAGAGTGCAACTCCGGTTCCTGGCGCACGGAGTCCCATGGAAATGTATCTGTGGGCGGGAGACGCGCGGGTGGGGTCAATTCGTCCTATACCACTAGGTGGGTGGTGGTGATGATATGACGGAGATGGAGATGATGGTGGGCGGAGAACAGCATCCTCCGTGAGTGACGCCTCGTGAGCCCCTTGCCAGCACGACTGCCGGCAACCTTATTGGCACGTGAATCCTGGGCACGAGTTTCCAAATATGCTCCCTCCTAAGCTACGGACTACAGCAACTAGCAGCAGGTGCATCCGCCGTGATTTCCAAGTCTAGATCAAGCATGCCCTGCATCCTGCAGCCGCCGTGATGGATTTCCTGGTACGCCGTGCCTCCAGCAGACCCTATTCAATCCTCCGCAAGCCACTATTAGGCGCCTCTTCAGATCTGATCTCCGCCATTGCACACTGGTGACGCCTCTGAGCTCCACCCGAGCTTCTGGCGCCACCCCTTTTCCGCCGGTCTGTATTTAGAACTGGCCTGTTGAAACTAAGGTGGATTCCAGTCATGGAGTCCAATTCCCACGGTGCGGAACGATGGAGCCTCTCCCGCTACAACGGCTGCCTCATTCGTCTGTGAAGACCTTGTTGCTTTGCAGACGATCGACAACCTCGATCGTTCATCGACCCAGCCGGCCGGCGCGCGAGCTCCGAATCGCGAGTGCAACCGCCCTCCTCCACTAACAAGGCCGCCGTGACAAATAGTCGGGCGTCGTGTCCCAGCCCGCCCAGCTTCCCTCGAGGCGTGACGAACAGGCAAGGATCGCCCTTCCGAACGTGTACGTCCGATGCCACGCGCAGTCCGCCATGGTTTCCATGGCAGGCCTTGTTCGAAACTCAAATCCGACTCGAGAGGCGCAGCCCACCCCCGTCAGGCGCGTTGGATGGCTGAAACATCGCCTACCCGTGGAACTGGACCCCTCTCCTTGACAGGTTGACGTGCCTTAGCCTGCGAAGTTGTCTCGGCGCAATTGAATGCTGACGATGGGGACTGCGGATCTCACGATCTCCCGCAAGAAACCTGCAGGATGGCGAGGGACACAGATGGGGGAACTGGTGCTTGGACACGACAAATCACTACTGCCATGGACAGGGACTGTTTTCCTCATCGGCCTTAGCCTGTACCAACGTGGCCCGAGCAAATCGACGAGATCGAGGAGATTATCGCATCTTGCCGGGCAGCTCCGTTCACTTCCGCTCTCAACTTTCTGTGCCGTCTCTGCCACGACCCACTCGGTGACGGAGCAAGGTGCGGTGGCACTCCGGGGCAAGAATTTCTCCCACGATCGGGGGAGTTCCCCGTCCACAAAGTCGTCATTGGTCGCGGCTAGATCAGACTAATCTCCCCTGCATCATGTTCGCACCATCCCTCTTTTGTCTTAGTGTCGGCCGATGTATTTTAAATCACCATAGCGGAACTCTAGCGAAGAAAAGGGGTTGAGAACGACCAGCCCAAAAATCAGCGGAAAACACATTCTCAGGTGTTGTTGTTCTCTGGCGATACCGGACCTTGGGGACTGAACGTTTTAGGCATGACAGCGATTGCCGACACTCCAACACTATTGAACCCAAACAGACGGTTTGACAGGTGAAGGGAGTTCATTATTGTCCTCTCACCCAATGGTGGATGAGGCTAGCGCCAAATGGTCCTCAATAGTCTCCCCAGCTGGTCGGGCTCCTGGTGCAACAATAGACTGAGTGTGCACCCATGGTTCTGCTCTCGTTGGACTGCTGATGGTTTTGTCATTGTGGATTCATTTCCCGTGGGGTCTCCGTAAATCATTGAATCCTAACTATCCAGATAGGCTGCTGGATACAGCTTGGCCTTCTTCAAGCGGCCCAACTTTGGGAATCCGGATCCACACCTGCAAATCATTAGGTCTCAAAAACGGTCTCTTCTAGAAGGTAAACCAGGCTGTCGGAGTACGCGGGTGCCCTGCAGGTGTACGAATACATACGCGCTTATTTACATCTGAAAAAGAAAGCATACAGAAAAGAGGGGCTGAGAAGAATGTGTTCTGTTTTCCATTGAGGTATAGAGGATAGTAGAGCCTCTGGGAAGGCAATAGAAATCGTTGATGGCAATCTCCAGCCCCAGCAGTAGTCAAATTAAAAGGGTAGTCGTAGGATAAAAAACTGATGTTAGAATCTCGGTCCTTGCAAATATCCCTCATGCGTCAAATGGTAGTCTTCTCGCTTTTGAGCTCGTGATGACATTGTGACGCTCGCGGATGTTGCCCTCGTGGTACCTCTCAGTCGATTGCGATTTTGACTTTCGTTTGTTGCCATTGGAAATCGCTCGATTTGCGAAGTCAGGAGCTTGTTCCTGTTTATTCATCAGATAAGCAAATCATGCACTTCCAGGCCCGCCTAGCTAGGCTTACGATTGCTTCCATTGCATCTTCCTGGATGTTCCCTACTCGATCGGGACTCTTCATGTCTTTGGCCTGGCTTATTGGGTCGATGAGTCGATTATCCTGCATGTGCGTAAGAGAGTCGCCATTTGCACCTTCACCCACAAGGTCCTCATTGTGCTTTGTGTGTTCTTGGGACGAATGGTTCATAACCATTCGGAAATTCTCCGAATTAACCTCTGCAGGTTTTACAGATGGCTGTGTATTGATCGAGGAAACAGATGCGCTCCGTGTCAGCTGGTGGGTGTAGGTCACTTTCAGAGAGGCTCTAAAAAGGCATCAGTTAGTGTAGATTCCTGGGGAGCAGGAGGCGCATGCGATCTACTGACGAATGAAGACCAGTACCGATGCCACCGCAGCAAATAGTCCGCTTGCCCAACTTCTCCTCGCTGATGGCTTTGAGCAGGACATTATCAGCGTCTGTAAAATCCGGGACTTGATACTCTTTCGGACAGTTTTCGGTATAAGTCAAGAAAACTCCGAGAGCTCGGACACTGGGCAGCTTGGTAAACGAGGCCGTGAGGGGTGTGAGTAAGCGGTTTATATGCCGAATACCTTTTCTGACATTCACTGAAAAGGCGACTGGAGCGACTGAGTTTTCTGCATTGTCTTGGACATGGTCATTGGGATCAACGTGCTTGCCCTTATCCATCTTACGTTGAGCATTGTCATACGCAAACGAAATGATGTAGGACTCAAGAACCTCAAGAGGCTGCTCTCGGTCCTCGATAATGGAAAATTGTGCGGCGTGAAGGTGGCGTCGCATCAGTGCTTCGAATATGCTTCCTTCCTGTGGCGGTCGTCCTATCATCAGCACGGGTATGATTGTTTGGGTTGAGGAGATGGCATACCAGCAGATCAAGTACATGATCTGTTTTGGAATCTTTTCCCCTCTCCATCACTGTTACTTTGAATGTAGAGTCATCGTTTTTACTCCCGTCGTCACTAATGAAGTCTTTATATGTGTGGACGTGGGAGATCTCGGGGACAGAAAGCTTTGGAATCGAAAGACCTCGTTCGCCGAAGACGATCCATGGCAAGAGGTTCCTATGGAGCCTATCAGCGCCGTGTATGAATCTGGAGAACGCTAGCAGGAAGAATCTCACCGCTTGAAAAGGATCCCTGCGAGCTAGTCTTCCCGTGTTAGAGTCATTGTCGCCGTCAGGCTGGCTGGTTGAAATACTGACCGTAATGTGCAGAACAATTTTCATGAGTTCGAGACTCTGGACCTACAACTTAGTCAATGTCTTTTTCACTGCTCTCAGTCTGCTCGCCAACCTGGCTTTACCATTTTCTGGTGGCCGTCGAGCATCGTCTCCATTGTCGGGGCTCGAGCGTGCAGACTGTTTCTCGTGGTTGATTTCATTGGTGCGAGGATAGATAACACTCATCTGGGAACAATCAGCAATGACTTCGGGGGTGAAAGACTGATCTCGAGTGTTGTCGGACCAAAGGCTTGAATTTTGTGGGAAGGCGGCGTCAGCGGTCAGCTTGCTTGAAGGTTGTACTCAGCCAACCCCATTACATCCGTTCCAAGGTCAAGGCGCCATTGGTGCCTCGACCACCGCGACAGCAACGGCGGTTTTGAATGAGTGCTAGTGGTCCTCTCTATCTTTTCTTCTTTTTTTTTTTTTGTTCTGTCTTCTTCGCATTTGATCCTGATGATCTATATCAAGCCCTCTTGTGGAAACCAAAACACCAATTCCGGTCAGTCAGCTCGACACGGGCATTGTTAAACGAAGATTCGTGGTACGTCCCAGCAGAAGTAATTGATTTGAGCCTGTGCAATAAAAGGTTTCCGGAAACGTGACACTAGGTGAAGAACAACCACATCACCCGACTGCTCGAAGCCACATGTCAAAGTTCCTGTGCTTATTCAGTTGACTGCCTGAGATATACATCAGAGCCAAGGAGGGTTTTCTATGGTGGAGAAAAATGATTATCAAACGAAAATACATCACAGGCATCAAATTATTACAGCAGTATTTGTCGGTATAATTGGACGTACAGTATAGCTCACGATGGAGGGCAGAGAGACGCAGGGATGGGGCGACGGGCTTGGGTACCTGCAGATGACGTAGATGGGGCAGACCCCGAGTCCAAGGGGTGTAACAACCACTCCTACGTGTAGGGTAAGCAGCATCCCTTGAGCCCAACCTGGGGCACTATCGGTATACCTGGACATACTCCTCGCCTCGACGCGACGCATCCCTTATAAACAATGTGCCTAGCAACGAGAGCCGTGGTTGCTGTGGCCGATGCTGTATTCGTATTAAATGTCATCGATGCCTCAGATCAGGTTGAATTAAAAACGGAGCAAGGTGGTTGTCGAGTTAATCTCGATCGTGATGCCGCCAAGTGATAACTCTATCGCCGTATCTACCAGCTTTCATATACGTACATCCTGCTGCCATACTGTGTTACTGTAGATGGTCGGCCTGAGGCAAGGACCCACGCCACGTGACTGGTGGCGATGGCGTCTGGGCCCCGGCACTCTCCACATCGCGCAAACTGGTTTAGATGGATACAGGTCGCCATGACCGGCGAAGGCGTTGCCGGCGACTGGATTCCCTGCAGCGCACAGGGAAGAGAAGCGTCACAAAACCGGATAGCCTCAGGCCCACCACTCCGGGCCACCAGCGTCAGGGAAAAGAACTGAGAGGGCCGGACTTGGGCGACCGCAAGCTCGAGGGGGCAACATCGGCGAATTCCCTGTCGCAGCAGCACAGAAACCGGTGTCGCGAGCGACCGGACTATCTTGGACGCAACGAAGTGAAATTCATAGACGCATCGACTCACCTGTCAGTACTAGTATATAGTATAGTATATGTAGTGTACTATCGTGTCTCGACTAAACAAAGAGGCAAGTTGAAAGAAGCGAGTGGCACGTTCATGACATCGTCCAATCCGGGACTCGGATTAATTGTTGTTCTCCGCCCCATCGCCCTTGTCAGCCGCCACTGTTTCTTCTCTCCTTCCTTTATCCTTGCGTCTGCACATCCCGCCATGTTCTGATCTTCTTTTTTCCCTCTCCTCACACTTCGTCCCCTTCGATGGTTGAGCAGGCGTACCGTGCTGACGGTCCTTGCTAGCAAGATCGTGGAGGCCAGTTCCAAGGTTCCGGCACGAAACTCTTCTTCCCCCCCCCCACTTCGTGAAGCTCAGTGATGTCTTCGGACGCCCCCAGTCCTCCCCACGCCTCCGAACCTGCGCTGGCGTCCGCTTCCACTACCACTTTCCGACCCGACGCGTCCGCTTCCTCGCCTCTCTCTCATGCTGCTGCCCGACCCGAGTCTCGCCTAGTCAACACCCACACACGCGAGATGGACGCCCCCGAGAGGGATGATATCGGGCAGGGCCCGACCAGCGCCTTCGGGCAGTTCTCATTTGCCCCGACCACCCGCACCACCGTCGTGACTACCACGACCACTACGACCACCTCTTTCCCGCCTCTCATCATCCAACCCCCGCGCGCCATCAAGGATCTGGATGCGAGGCAATACCCGCTCGCCGCGTCACCAACGCCCGCGGCGTTGAGAAACTTCAACTTTAAGATCGGCGACAAGTCGATCGTTTTTAACGAGCCTGAAGATATCGCAGGAACCGCCGTCGAGGTATGTCTTTTGCTCTCCTCCCTTTATTCGAGTTTCAGATATGCTAACCGTGCTCTAGTTGAAGGAGAAGAACGAGGCTCTGCAATCCTCGAACGGCCTGACTCGCTCAGTCAACTCATTCAGTTCTGAGGACAGCAACGCACCACGCCGCCTGGCTCCCCCCAGATCTGTGACACGGCTGCGTGGCTCTCACTCTCACAACCGACCCGTATCGCCCGTTTCTATCCCTGATCCTCGCCCAGCTATTCTGCCTCGTACCCGTGCATCTCGAGTCCCCTCCGAGCCTGTAGCACGTCGAACCCGCTACAGTGCATCAACATCGTCTCATCTCTCGCCTGCGGGCCTGGCGACTCCGGACGCCGAGCAAAATGTCGGCAGCATTGGAGACGGTCCTGCCCCAAGATCACGAGTACACAGTGCCGGCATCCCTCGCAAAGAAACCCTTCTGAGATCACCTCTTTCCGCGGACGTTGGGTCGTCTGGCACCCCGCAACGGCCTGGGTTGACTTCCGTGCCAACTGCCCAATCTGACAGCACTGGAACTTCCGGATCAGAGTCGAACCCCTTCGGGCAGAATTCATTTGGCGGGTCATCGGACAGTGCATCACAACAGAGACCAGATCTGTCCTCTCAGCTATCAGCAATCGACAATGCAATGGCGCAAGATATGTGCCTGCCGAGTCCTAGTTTGTCGCCAGTTGCCGCCATGAATGCGCTCCACGGAGAATCTTCCTTTGAGTCAGAAGGTCCTGATGTAGACACGGATTCCAGTCTCGACCACAATGTTTCTCGACAATCAAAGGTAGCACGTACTTCTGAAGGGAGCTCTCGAAGCAAGGCCCTTTCGATGCATGCGTCTCGATCCCCACAGTCACTTATGGATATGCCAAAGGTCTTTGAGTTCTTTGATTCCGTGCCCGACGAGGTGAAAACATACATGATGTATCAATTCCTACGGCGCTGCCCCAAGCCAACCTTGCATTTTGTGGCAGATGTCGTGAACCCAACTCTGAAGTGCGACTTCCTGTCTTTGCTTCCACTCGAACTCAGCCTAAATATCGTGAAATACTTTGATGTTCAGACCATGTGCCGTGCTGCCCAAGTCTCCAAGAAATGGCGCCATGTCATCAACTCGGACGAGAAAACATGGAAGGAACTTCTTGATCATGATGGTTATGTTCTTTCGGAGGGAGAACTAGAACGAGCGATCCGCGAAGGCTGGGGCTGGCAGGGCAGCAGCCTCGACGACTTCGAACAAGATCTCAGCATATCCAAGTATGAAAAGGATCTTTCTCCAATCCCTTCCTCGTCAGCCATCATCGATACGGCCCCTTCCACATCTCTGGCGACGAGCGACAGACGTTCCACCAAAAGGAAAGCGGCCACCCGCGGGTCTGGCCGGAAGTTTGCGAAACGAAAGATCTCATCCAGTGGAACAGATCAGTCCGAGCCAGACTGGAAGAGGGAGATTGCCGCTTCAGAGGCACCCTATGCAGCAGCAAATGCGGCTGCGGCTGCAGTTCCGTACGCCGAGATCGGGTTGCCTTCCCTGCGCGGTCTGTTCCTGTACAAGTCTCTGTACCGCCGCCATCATGCTATCCGCCGAGGTTGGATGAAGCCCGCCGTAAAGCCCCAGCATATTGCCTTCAGAGCCCACGATCGACATGTCGTTACATGTCTGCAGTTCGATACGGACAAGATTCTCACTGGTAGCGATGATACCAACATCAATGTTTACGATACGAAGACCGGTGCTTTGAAGGCCACTCTCGAAGGCCATGAAGGTGGTGTCTGGGCGCTTGAATATCACGGAAACACTCTGGTTTCCGGCTCTACTGACCGCTCCGTGCGTGTGTGGGATATCGAGCGGGCTAGATGTACCCAAGTCTTCCATGGACACACCTCGACCGTTCGTTGTCTACAGATTGTTCTTCCTACTGAGATTGGTAGAGATGCAAATGGCGAGCCTGAGATCATGCCAAAAACCCCATTGATCATCACTGGGTCTCGCGACTCCAATCTGCGTGTTTGGAAGCTTCCCAAGCCCGGAGATGCAGTCTATTATCCGAGTGGTCCATTGGCGGACGATAGTGATTGCCCATACTTCCTTCGTGTGCTCTCTGGCCACACCCACTCCGTTCGTGCTATTGCAGCCTATGGTGATACTTTGGTCAGTGGCAGCTATGATTGCACAGTCAGAGTTTGGAAGATTTCTACAGGTCACGTCCTGCATACCTTGCAGGGCCACTCTCTGAAGGTGTATAGCGTTGTGCTGGATCCCAAACGCAACCGTTGCATCAGCGGTGCAATGGACCACATGGTCAAGGTCTGGTCTTTGGATGACGGCTCTCTTCTTTACAACCTCGAAGGCCACACCTCCTTGGTTGGTCTCCTTGCCTTAGAAAACGATTTCCTCGTCTCCGCTGCTGCAGACTCTACACTGCGGATTTGGGACCCCGAACATGGCCACTGCAAGAACATGCTGAGCGCGCACACCGGTGCCATCACCTGTTTCCAGCACGATGGACAAAAGGTCATCTCTGGATCAGACCGTACCTTGAAAATGTGGGACGTGAGTACCGGCGCATGCGTGCGTGACCTCCTGACCGATCTCAGTGGGGTGTGGCAGGTCAAATTCAATGACAGACGCTGTGTTGCTGCCGTGCAACGCGATAACTTGACTTACATCGAAGTAAGCTCTTTCACCCTCTCCCTTGTGTGGTAAAATCTCATTCTAACATGCTTTTAGGTTCTTGATTTCGGTGCTGCGCGAGACGGTGTGTCTGAGAACAAGCTCGGCAAGCGCGTTGTGGTTAGCCGTCATGGACGCGAAATTACTCCGGGCAACATCGACTCCGACTCTGATTCCAATTGAGGTCGTTCAACAGAAATCATTCCGATGATGTTCCAATGCCAAACGGCCTTTTTCATTTTGATTTCCAGTTTCTCTATTCCCCATATTACCCTCCAATATTGCCATGTTCCCATATTCCCATACTCCATGGTCATTCTCCCTCCTCATTCACGATACCCATCCTTACGGCACACATTTTTCTCTTACCTTTCAAAACCCTTTGCATAGCGCGGTCGGCCTTATTTAGTCATCCAGCATTACGATAGGGGACAGGCGTTAGACGTTTCCTGATTCTCGGGGGTTTCCTATTCATTTGTTCATTCCACCTTGCAATTAACCACGTCCTTACGCATTTACCCTGCTGTGTCTGATATTTTCCTTGTGTCTGTACTGCACCTATTTCATTACCATTCCCCATACAGATGAATGTATTGGAGTCCGAATCAACCATTTTATTCTCTTTAATTGGGTCTAAAAATCGTCGTCTCACACGATGCCTCTCTCTCTCTCTCTCTGCTTTTTGCTAGTATGCCATTCATTTTACTTGATATCGATGCATTAGGCTCTTTTTAATTCTTTGAAACATATTTCAGAGTCCCCGTACATCCCTCTCAAGTTGTTGCTAGGTGTTATGAACTTCTTGATTTAGACTTGAGCTTTACGGTCCAATTGATGTTCACATGCTACTTATGACAATGTGATACGATGTGGTTGCGCAATTTCAGAGGTCTTACAACTCGAGCCACAAAAAAGGCATCTTATGGTTGAATACGAAAGCTCGCATCCCATTGCTGTACCAGTATGCTGCTATTATGTATATGTCCCGTCTGATAATCTCAAGGTTTCTGCCCTCGCCTTTTATATCCAATCCCAGTGACTATAATAGTTTCACTTCCGGAAACCAAACTTATTGATATTACATGTGCAGTGCAGCGCGTTGTAACTATTAATACCCAATGCAGAGACAATGGCAATGCCAACAGACTATAAATTAAATTTGGGCCTGTCGCCCACCTTCTAGACTTCCATCGATGCCAGCCGCGGACAAGATAGCCCAGCGTATGGCATCCACGCCTAGCACCCGGCCGGGGGAGATAGGTACTTCTGCGCTGCACGTCAAAATCTCTCCAAGTGCCCCCGGTCCTTCTGAAACTCCCGGGTCTGGCTGAATGACCGGTTTGAGATCTCGGAGCATGTCCTGCAGGCGCTGGATGTTGACTGCTGATACGCCAGTCTTAGATTGCCTTTTCTTTTTTGTGAGAACCTTGTCTATTTTAGACAGAATAATTTGATGGGGAATTGCGTAGCGACGGAAAAGAGAGAGAATGTCAGCGTCGTTTTGCTTGATGCCGTGTTCGCTATCGATAAGGATGAAAGCGCGACGAAGTCTGGTAGGTGGGATATTTAGCATGAGATGGTGAGAAACAATATATAGGTGTAGTCCACACTGACTGCTTGCGCCCTTGAAGGTATTTCATAATTTCCATTCCCCATTCAGTCCGACTCGCTTTTCCGTATCCCGGCATATCTAGCAAAACGACCTTGGACTCGCCGCCTTTCGTTCCTCCAATTCCGAAAGCATTCATTTCTCGTGTTCGACCGGGCTTGGATGATGTCCAGCAAACCTCTTGGCCCATAATCGCATTTAGCAAGGAGCTCTTCCCGACATTCGAACGACCGAGAAATGCGACTTCGGGTTCGACGGAGGAAAGCGGCGTGGTACGGAACTTGCTAGCGGCCCATAGTTTGATCGGCGAATGTCGGGAGGGAACAAATATTTTGTCTGCGAAGGCTAGTTGGGCGGTATTGGGGGGTTTGGTATCCCAGTAATAGCAAAGGTCGGAGGGTGTGAGGTCTTTCAGTTCACGCTTGTTTGGGTTTGCTGGAAGAGGAGGTGTTGTCTCTGAAGATGGCGTCGGTCGTGACGTGAAGTAAAGTCGCCTCGCTGGCCCTGAAGCCCTGCATATGCACCTTTTCATGCTCGGAGATCTGTGGCTGAAGCGGAGCAACGCCGTCAAACAGCTTGGTTGAACTCGTTGTCTCTCCGCATCGGAAAATCGATGCACGGACCAGCGCCGTATCGCCGATAAGAGCACCACGGCGTTCCACCTCGTCTGATCATTTGACCAGCCAAGCTCGACCTCCGTCTTGACGGCATCATTCCATTTCATTGCCCGTCCCTGGAGACACCTCGCACAAGATGATCAACGCTGTGCTCGTCTTCAACAACAACGGCCAGCCGCGCCTGACCAAATTCTATACCCAACTGGTGAGCTCGCACTCGGCGTACCCGCGAAGACCCAACACATTGACGCAATTTGCAGGACACCCAAACCCAGCAATCGCTGATTGCCCAAATATACCACCTCGTCGCACAGCGCTCGGCAAGCGCCTGTAATTTCCTTCCTCTCCCGCCCCTTCTCTCCCAAGGCGCGACCAGCTCCTCCGCCGCCGGACCCTCGGACGCTCCCACCCAAATCACCTATCGCACCTATGCAACCCTCTCGTTCATCATGATCTCCACCTCGACAGAGTCTCCGCTCGCACTCATCGACCTCATCCAGGTCTTCGTCGAGGCTTTGGATCGCATGTTCGAGAACGTCTGCGAGCTGGATCTTATCTTCGGGTATGAGACGATGCACGCAGTGCTGAGCGAAATGATCGTCGGCGGTGTGGTCGTTGAGACTAATGTCGAGAAGATCGTTGCTGGTGTACGCAGCCAGGAAGGTACGACGGGGAAGAGAAAGGCGGTTCAGGCGGCGAGTACCAGTCTTGCGCGAGGCGCATTGCCCGGACTGGGAGCTTGGCGGTGATATCGCCGTTCTTTGGAAGGCATACGGCTTTATTTGGTCGATGCAATGAACTTAATGACATGTTGCATGGATATCACGAGGCGTTGGTTGTACATAGACTCTACTTAGATGTTCACGATGGCGAGTTATTGCCGAAAGGATGAATGTACGTGTTTGATTTCGGGGAGATCCTAGTTTTCTTCATTTTGGCCAGTTTTCTACCAGCAATGTACTTAAGCCTTGAAAGAAAATTAATAATAATCGGACCAGCAGGGCCTAAGCTCCGAGCCCAGACAAGGGCTTCCGATCCGATATTACTGAGATTGGACGGAACATAGATCACGTGATCATAGAATCACGTGGAGGAATCTGCTTGCCCTAACAGCTCAACCCTAACCCTGGTCACATGTCCACACTAGCGCGACCCACGAGAAATTCATAAGATCCGTGCCCGGATCACATTTTCTTTTCTTCATCCCGTCAACCGTCAACTAACGATCCCAGTCGACAACAATGGTGGTAAGCATTTGATTGCCTTTCTGTTTGAAGGGTCGCCTGCTGCAGCGATGCCGTAAACCAATTCGCCTCGCTTCCGATCTTTCGATCGAAGCAATTCCGTCAATTTTTCCACAGCCTCAGAAAGAGATGTGCGAATTTGGCGATGATTTGGCTGGAAGCATGGATCAAAGCTCGTTACACGGCTTTGGCTCATTGCTCTCCTTATAGAGTTCAAAGAAGATGCAGCCCGTGGTGGACAGATCGCTGATCTTCTTTTCTCAATGATAGCCTCCCAAGTCCGGAAAGAAGACCGCCGCCATGCCCTACCCCCAGGGCAAGGCTGGCTCGTCCAAGAAGGCCGCTAAGGTTAGTTCTCTTTCCCCTGGGATGTTTGAGAAAAAGTTGAGAATATACTAACCGGTTCGCACAGAACCCTCTCATCGAGAAGCGTTCCCGCAACTTCGGCATCGGCCAGGACATCCAGCCCAAGCGCAACCTGTCCCGCTTCGTCAAGTGGCCCGAATATGTCCGCCTCCAGCGCCAGAAGAAGATTCTGAACATGCGCCTGAAGGTCCCCCCTTCCCTGGCCCAGTTCCAGAACACCCTGGACCGCAACACCGCTGCCCAGACCTTCAAGCTCCTCTCCAAGTACCGCCCTGAGACCAAGGCCGAGAAGAAGGAGCGTCTCGTCCAGGAGGCCACCGCCGTCTCCGAGGGCAAGAAGAAGGAGGACGTCTCCAAGAAGCCCTACCACGTCAAGTACGGTCTCAACCACGTCGTCGGCCTGGTCGAGAACAAGAAGGCTTCCCTCGTCCTGATCGCTCACGACGTTGACCCCATTGAGCTGGTTGTCTTCCTGCCTGCTCTCTGCCGCAAGATGGGTGTCCCCTACGCCATCGTCAAGGGCAAGGCCCGCCTCGGTACCGTCGTCCACAAGAAGACCTCCGCCGTCCTGGCTCTCACTGAGACCCGCTCCGAGGACAAGGCTGAGTTCTCCAAGCTCCTGTCCGCCATCAAGGAGGGTTACACCGACAAGTACGAGGAGTCCCGCCGCCACTGGGGTGGTGGTATCATGGGCGCCAAGGCCAACGCCCGCCAGGAGAAGAAGCGCAAGGCTGTCGAGTCCGCCATCAAGGTCTAAGTGCACCTTCCGTGACTTGGATTTTTGTTTGACGGGATCGCCAACCATACCAAAAAGCGTACTCCTGAAAAAGGTTCTGATGGGAAACGAGGTGTCAAGGCTCCGGATGACTTATTGACGGCCAATTCTTTTAGCTTTAGATGGGTGGGAAAGAGCCCGTGGTCCTTGGAATCCCATTCTAACCAAAAGAAAATAATTTTTCACGAACTCCTCAACGGCCCTCTTATGTACCACTTTCCTGCAGATACCCATGAATTCCATTCTCAAACTGTTCAATATACCCTGTGTAGATGTCTGAGAATGACACTTCATGTACTCTGCCTGTATCAACTGTAGATTTTTGTAGCATTCGCGGCGAATATCCTAATAAAAGTACTTTTCATGGTCGAAGCGTTCGTGTGGAGTCTCGTCAGATTTTGCAGTGGTGGAGTCTCCACCCAAGTCGGACCCATCTTCGTCACCTTTATACTTCGTCCGTGATCCAGCAAGTCCTCCCGGACTTTATGTGCTTATATACATATGGAAAGATATTTGATTGACAATACTTGTAAAGTTTCAGATGATCCCATACTCATTGGGGTTGATCTCCTTACCGTGCCGACTTCAGCAACAGTCTGTTGGACCAGTGATCTGTGAGACTGCGGGGCGATAGTGACCATTCCATAATATGTATTCATGTAGATCTAGTTCCACAAATCGGAGGAATTTAGATACTTGATTCATCTCGGAAAGCGAAATTTGCATTGCGATGCCAAAAGTAAGTAAGTAACTGACTCGCGTGAAGCCGTCTGCTCGGAGGGTCAGTTCCGCAGCTTTGCAGGGTGCAACTCCTTCGCGTCCGCATTAGCCTTGCATCGAACCGCAGGAATCTGCTCGTATCTGCGCTCGACAGTATAAAGACCGAATCACGCTCGATTTCCCCGAATCCAAAGTCCACAAACCCCTTTCCACAATTTTGTTCCCATCAAAATGACAGGTACGCTTTTGTCGAGAAATGAATAGAAGAGGATACTGACAGGCCCCTTGAACCCGCTTCGCAACGTGAGACCCTCCGCATCGGAGTAGTCCTCTTCCCCGGATTCGAAGCCCTAGACGCCTTTGGGCCTCTGAACTGCCTAAATGACTTGTCTCGCAGCGAGCCCATCACCCTGGCCATGCTCTCTTCGACTCTGGATCCCGTGTCGACAAAGCCCCCCATGTTCCCCGCCAGTCTGGGTCAGACTGTTCTCCCAACACACACTTTCGTCGATGCTCCAGAGTTAGACGTCCTGCTCATCCCTGGAGGTTTAGGAACTCGAGGATCTGCCCCGGTGGTGCAAGACGCCATCGCATTTATCCAGAAGACCTACCCGCAACTAAAGTACTTGATTACGGTATGCACCGGCTCGGGACTAGCCGCCCGAGCCGGGGTCCTGAATGGGAAGCGTGCCACTACGAACAAGAAGGCGTGGAAGGAAACGACTGCGCTGGGACCGGAGGTGAACTGGGTTGCGCGTGCGCGATGGGTCACGGATGGAAATATCTGGACTTCGTCGGGAGTGAGCGCGGGCATTGATGTTACACTGGCGTGGATTGAGGAAGTTTTCGGAAAGGAGAAGGCGACATTAATTGCGAATAGCAACGAGTACACTCGACACGAAGATCCAGACTTCGATCCCTTTGCCGAGTTGCATGGCCTGTGATGTAATGCACTCGACAATGCATTAATGTCAAATGTTGCAACTCAGCCATAGCGTGGTTTCACGATTTATGAGCAATATATTTTTGGTTTAGTGGATACCAACTTGAAAGTACTAGATTCTATTAATTTTCCAATAGTTCTTCAATCTGAAAACCCCAGTGACTAGAAGAGTCTTGATGTGACCGTTGACACCGGGAAAGGGGTATAAATTCATATGTAATCGAACCACTGCGCGCCTAGGAGAGCAGTATGTCACAAGTGAAACAACCCGGATAGAAAATCTTATCGAGACAACCACCCCGAAAAAATTGCCCGCCAGGCAAAGCGAAAGGGAAAAGGATGAAAATTACAGGAACATAGATCAAGTACAAAGCAATCCATGGTAACCAACAGGAAGGAGAAGAAAAAAGTACAAGCCAAATATCCCAGCCCAGCACTCCCAGAAGACCAGCGATGCCAACTACATGTCAAATTCGTGATAGCATCATGAATGAAACCCAGTCTTAAGACACACACAGAAAAAAAAAAAAAAAAAAAAAAGAAAAAAATAGAAAGAAGAAAAGGCAAGGGGGAATGTAGGGTAGGTAGAAGTGGACAAGACGTTAGCATGAGCGCGGTCATGGTCATTCGGTCATTAACGTTGCGCGGAAGGTCGTGAGAGTCCTTGTTTAGCCTGGAGGGTAATTGTTAACTATCGTCATAACAATGTAAGACAGAGTTAATTAAGTTACGCACCTTCATTTGCTCGATTCTGGCCTTGAGCTGGCTGGTTACTTCAGCAGCTCGCTTCCAGTTCTCGGCAGGCTGAGCAGATCGCGGCTGCTGCTCCTCGTCGGTTGGGTTGGAAGGGTTCCTTGTCGACGAACGGGTTGGGCTGCCGACATTGGAGTAACCGTATGTCGGGCTGAGCTTGCGCCGGCCTAACCCACTGTCTCGACTACCCAGACCGGGGGACTCTAGGCCGTTGTTTTCTTTCTCCTCGCTTATGTTGCTAGATGCGTAGCTGCGAGGTCGTGTATTCTCGAATCGAGATCCCATATGAAGCCCTGATTTGGCTGCAGCCATATGGCCGTTGCTGGCAGGCTCTTGGTACATTGAACCAGCCTCTGACATGCCCATGCTGTCGGCTTCAGATCCGCCATGGGGAGGGCTCATCGCGGATGCGCGGAGGGCTCGTGCCAACTCACGCTTCAAACGTTCAATCTCCCTCTGCTGCTTCTGAACATTTTGCTCAGCCGCTTCAGCATCACTTCGCGCTCGAACCAACTGAGTCTCCTTAGCCTTGATGCTCAAGACATCTCTAGTATGGTCCTCAATCAATTGAGCGTTCTGATTCTGGAGTTCAGTGAGCTGGGAGTTGAAGTTTGATCTTTCCGACTTCATGTCCTCGATTATACGTGCGAACTTCTCCTTGTCTGCTCGAAGCTCCTCCATTTCAGCCTTTTCGGCCGGGGTCATACCAGCTGGAGCCGGGGCGGGAGCTGGAGCAGCCTCAGTAGGAGCCGCAGGCTTTGCAATTGGACGACCGGCAAGGCCTCGACCAAGACCAAACTTGGGTGGGGCTGGGGCTGGGGCTGGGGCTGCTTCTTCGGCAGGTGGTTCAGCAACTCGTCTCTGAGGAGAAGCTAAACCACCGGGGCCACCAAGCTTACTCCGAAGTTTGGATCCAGGGGCAGCCAGGCCACCCGGCTTTGGAACACCTCCCAGCTTCGAAGGGATTGCCTTGGCTGCCGGTTTAGCAGCAGGAGGTTCTTGAGCAGGAGCAGCTGCCGGCTTTTTCAGACCTGCCGCGGGTCTCTTCCCCGGCAAGGCCTTTTGCCAGCCGGTGCGGCGGTCTTGGGAGGGGCAACGACGGGCTTGGGACGCTCCTTGGCCTTGACCTCTGCTGTCTCGAAGTATTCCTTGACCTTTGTCTTGCGAATGTCGTCGAGTCCATCAAGGTAGGGGTTCATGGCGCGTTCTCCAAGAATCTTCATCAGTGTTCCCAGGATCTCAGCTCCACCAGATCGAATAGCCTCGGTAGATTCGGTGAGGAGCTTGGTGCCTGCGTCGGCGATTGACTTCTGCTCAGGCTTGGCCGGGACAGTTCTTGTGGTGCGAAGACAGCGAATTAGGAACTTCACGGTCTCCTGTTTTACTTGTGGGTTCTTGTGTTTGAGATATTCCAGGATATCTTCCAGGCAGTCGGAGAGGTCAGTGGATGCGAAAACAGAGTCCAAAGCCTGGCCGAGTGCTTCCGCGACACTCTGCTTCTTCTCCTTTAGACGCTCCATCATAGGCACCATGATCACAGACCGGTACTTCCCGAATCCATTCCGGAGGCCCTTGGCCAGCACGTCGACACAGTTGGCTGCCACAGTTGCGACTGCAATGTTGGCATCCTTCATACACTTGGCCAAGGCCCTGACGATGTCATCGTATGGACCGTCCTTAATGCGAGGTACGTTGATGGCGTTATAAAGAGCATCCAGTGCCTCTTTTCGATCTTTCCATTTTGATGAGGCGAGTTGATCGTGGAGGTCCTTTGGCACCTTGGGCATAACATCGATGGGCTCGGCCAGATCAAAGGTATCGACCTCCTCTCCTTCTTCCTCAGCGAACTCTTCACCACCTTCTTCCTCGGCGCCATCACCACCGGCAGGAGCGGCGCTGGCCGCGGCCATCGCATCCTGCTGGGCGCGGGTGAATCGCTCTTGTTTCGGTGTCGGCTCCTGCTTCACATTCTCGAAGAGTTTCTCCAGATCCTGTTGTTGTACGGGCTTCAGGTCAGCCCAAAAAAGCGGCTTGATGGCCTCTCGAAGCCATCGGTATAGTTCCACGGTCAAGTTTTGTGCCTCCGCTCGAACGTTCTTGTCGGCATGGCCGAAAACCTTGGGTAGCGCTTTAAGGGTGGGTTTCGGGTCCACAATTTTGCAACCGAAGCTATGGTAGATGACGGTCAAGGCTGCCAGGGCACCGGCGATGACCTTCGGGACTTTGTGCGAGAGGGTCGGTAGGAGATCCTCGAGGACCGGATCTGCTTTATCGAGTTCGACGCATAACAGGAGAGCTTCTTGCGCGCTCGTTTTACCAGCCGGTCTGGTGCAGGGGAGACCCTTCTCCGCGATCGGGCCGACTGTGAACCCCCGAGATCTGAAGTCCCACGTCAGTAATTTTCCATAAAGTAGGAAAGGATATAGCTCCTAGGCTCTCCAACGCACCTTGTACATGCCGCCGCACCTCCGAATTTCAGGAAGGCACAATAAGCCCCGAGACCCTCAATCTGCGCGGCAACGTTCGAATCGGCGACTGCCCCTTTCCAAAGACTGGCGTCCTGGAGAAAAGGCACGAATATGGGGTCAGATTCATCAGGGGTCTTTTCGAATTGCGCCTTGGCATCCTCGTAGCCTTCCTTTCGTACTTTCCAGTTCTGTAGATTCGGGTCTCATGGTCAGCGCTGTCCACAGCCGCTCTCTGTAATCCCACTCCAAGTCACACAGCAGAAGAACACGTACCTTATGAGCGAACCGTTCGGGCAAAGGGAGGGCGGAGAAATCCTGCTCGCCCTCGGCCATATTGGCGGGTTTGGGCGATCAGAGGAGGAAGGAAATGGTAGGGAACTGAACGATTGTAGGCGTTAGCAGTCTTGCCGACGAGTTGCTTGCGCACACGGCCCCAAGACCAAACTGGACAAGGAGTATCCTTCAGCCGGCGGCGTAGGGTTGGAGGATCTGTTACCGTTTGGGTTGGGTGCCCAAAGCAACGGAGAGAAATTCGGGACGCTCTCAGACCGCGCTCAGGGATGGGAGTCGCCTAAAAGTGAAAAAGTAGTGTGGCATGCAACAGAAGATGAAGCACCACAAGAAGCGACCCGGAATCAGCAGTGGGCGGGTCGGTCTGGGGGGAGGAGGTCTGGAGGAGAAATAAACAGCGGGCGGCGCTGACGATCGGAAAGTAAACAAGCGGCTTTGGCGGTGTCGAGGGTTGTTTTGTTGTGACCCCGCGGTGGATCTGTTGCGATCCCAACTTGCTCTCCCTGAACGACAATTTTCACGATCGGACTCGATCTGCTTGCCTGCATTGCATTTCTTGTGAGCCCGCATTCCCCTGACTTTGCGAGCGCCCGCTCCGACGCCGGCGGAGCAGCATTGAGGACTGAGGACTGACCTCAAGACACACAAAGCCGCCCGCACCATGAGCCAACTACTCACGGCGCGGCAGGCGGAGGAGCTGTAAGTAACGGACTCCCATGGGGATTGGGCCTTTCATCTCATGCATGCTGATAATGGGACAGTCACAAGTCGGTCATCGCTTACCTGGCCTCCGCAAATCTCACACGGAGCTCCGCAGCACTGCGAGAGGAGCTCGGCGACTCGGTTACCGTTGACGACACGACACTGAAGAAATATGAGGGTTTACTGGAGAAGAAATGGACTAGTGTAGTCCGGCTACAAAAGAAGGTGGGCATATGATATTTGCTATTGCACACAATAATGTTCACGAGACCGATCGGTTCTGCGGTTTATAGATTATGGATCTGGAATCACGATGCGCCTCCCTGCAGACAGAGCTGGACACCGCTACCCCCACGTCGCTTTCACGACGAAACCAGGACCCCGTTTCCTGGCTACCTCGAGCCCCCGCTCGCCACGATCTCGAGTCGCACCGAGAACCCGTCACCTGCGTCGCATTTCACCCCGTTTTCTCCTCGGTCGCATCCGGCTCAGACGACACAACGATTAAGATCTGGGATTGGGAACTGGGGGAGCTAGAGCGCACAATCAAGGGCCACACGAGGGCAGTACTAGATGTGGATTACGGCGGTCCGCGAGGGGGCACTCTCCTTGCATCATGCTCGTCCGATTTGAGCATCAAGCTGTGGGACCCCGCCGACGAGTATAAAAATATCCGAACGCTCCCCGGACATGACCACAGCGTGTCGGCAGTCCGATTCATTCCATCGGGTGCCGCAGGGTCCCCAATGGCCGGTAACCTGTTGGTGTCTGCTTCTCGGGACATGACGTTAAAAATATGGGATGTCACAACTGGATACTGCGTGAAGACATTAGATGGACATGCTGGCTGGGTACGCGATGTATCGCCATCGCCGGATGGCAGATTCCTCTTTTCTGGTGGAGATGACCGAGTTGCGCGACTCTGGGATGTCTCCTCGGGAGAAACCAAGGCCACATTCTTAGGTCATGAACATTACATTGAAAGTGTTGCCTTCGCGCCTCCCTCGTCCTATCAATATCTCTCGTCTCTTGCCAACTACAAGAAGCCCCCGCCCGTTTCGTCATCTGCCGAATTTGTTGCAACAGGTGGTCGTGACAAAATAATCAATCTCTGGGATGCCCGCGGTAACCTGATCAAGACCCTGGTTGGTCATGACAACTGGATCCGAAGCCTGGTCTTCCATCCTGGAGGAAAATATCTCATCTCGGCCTCTGACGACAAGACGATACGGTGCTGGGACTTCACGCAAGAATGCAAGTGCGTGCGTACGATTCAAGCCCACGATCACTTCATTAGCTCCATGCGCTGGGCACCACCGTTGATCAAAGACGCTGGTGCCAATGGAGACGCTGGTGCCAACAGCAGCGCAGATGCAGCAAATGGACCCAAGGAGGATCCTAATACTCCAGCCAAGATGTCTATCCGATGTGTGCTCGCAACGGGAAGCGTGGATCTCAAAGTCAAGATTTTTGCATCGTGAGACCGGAGATCTGGCAACACATCCACTCATCTACGAAGTAACGGTACCGGGGACCTCTCCCGGATTCACTAGAGAGGTCAGGGCTAGAAGGATTGTCGTTCGGGATTTCTGGACAAGGAGTTGATTTCTGTTCTTCTCTTCCATGATACCAGTAGTCTTTTCATTTTCAAGTGATTTAAAGAATCGGGTTAATGTTATGTTGAGGAGTTTCCTGGCTATTCTTTTTTGTTTTCATTCTGGTATTTGTCCCGGCGACGACTTTACGTAAATCAATGGACAATTCGATGTTTAGTTTTACTCCTAAAAATACTAGTAGGAAGAAGGGGGAAATGTCAATGGTTCACAGGATGAACGGGTAAAAAAAGGTGTATGGATAGTATAAGTATAGTACATAGATCCGGCATGCAACATAGGCATGGAATACAAAATAAACAAAATGCCCTATATAGGAAAAGTTGGCTCAATTTGATGCAGCTTTCATGGGATGCACCATCCCTCATCACACTCAACCAAGCGTCGTCATGATTCAAGATTCTTGGCGCGCTTCCTCCAGGCGCCGGGCTTGCTCACGCGCAGCTTCGTGGAATTCCCACAAGCTCTTCCGCCGGAGCCAGTCCTCATATTTGCGCTGCTCCTCGAGATTCTCGCTCTCCTGCAACTCAGCAGCCCGCTTCTCAACCAGTCCCTTAATCCGTCCAACACGAGCCTTTCCCCCATGGTACAAGCGGATAAGATCGGCATCCGAATACTCGACACCCTTCTTCCTAAGGTGCTGAGTACGCTTCTGGATATCAACCTCTTCGCCTAGCCGCCGCGACTCTCGGCGCAAGTACTTTGCCGCCCATTGCTGTTCACGCTCCACCTCGCGCTCCGCACGCGACATAACCGCGGGGCGATCTTGAATTGGTGTGGCAAAGGGAGTGATGATGCGCTCGACAACATGGCTAACATGGCGGCTCTTGGGCATGCCAGATGAGAACTCAATCACGTCGCCCTCGCGGAGAGAATTACGCGGGTCGGAGACAAGAAAATTGGTTTCCTGGGGATAGAACTTCCGGATGTGCTTGTCCCACACATTATGACGGTGGGAGACGGTAACGGTGCGCTCCATGCGGCCAACCGACACGACGGTGCCGGTCTTGAGGGAGTAGGCATAGGTACGGAGCGCGGCGGGCGGTTGGAGCTTCTTGCTGCTAGATAATTTGGGAGGGGGAGTTGTCGGTGACACGGGGTTTGGCGGAACAGGCTCCGCAGATTCTGTCGAGGCGTATCGAAGGGATTGGGCGATTGCGTGTGTGGATGGAAGGATTGTTGATCGTGCCAGGGTCAACGGCGATGCGATCGACCGGATGGGCAACGCCGCCCGGAGGAGGTGACTCGGTCCCATAATTGAATGGAGTCCCGGGCGCGAGTAACTCCTACCCTAGTTGTAAATCGGAAGAATCGGACGCGGCGAAAGGGATTGGGGCGAGAAAACCGGAAACCAGCAATGTCTCGAACAGTGGACAAGTTGCGGAGTGAAGCCTGAGAATTTCTCGGATGCATGTTTGCACTGTTTGCACCATGCCGCCCTGCATATGCCCTGCTTGTAGTATGCACCATGAGCCCCTGTTAGAATACCACTAGGAAGGCGCAATCAGGTCCGGAGACAGAATTTTAAGAAACGCATATTTATATCATAGTCCAGAAGCAAAACAATTAGGAAAAATCAGTAAGTAGTGGAATATTTCGAGAAATAATGGCAGCACAAAGAATTTGATCAGTCGGTCCGATGTATTTTTGAGAGGAGCCTAAAGAAGAACTTTGAACATAGGAAAAGTCAACACTTTTGAAATAGTCTACGTACACTCTTCTGCTTGATGAAGCCCCGCGGAGGGTAAAGTAAATATACTTTATATTTTTAATTAATACTATATATTAAAGAAAAAACTCTTGAAGAAGGCCAAGCCTGCGATACTTCGGTTGACGAACCGGATCAAACTCGCCTCCGTTGGGCGGACAAAAGTCCGCCAGCCCCCGCCTCAGTCTCGATGCTTTTAAACACTTCTTCAGCGCAATAGTCACTGAGCAGTAACAAATAAAAACAGGCGCAAACATCATAGTCGCTGCTTAAGATAGCATCCTGGCTGTCTCTCATTCCGACCCACTCAAGCAATTGGAGTATTAGGTAGGTCTTCATCGCCAATGGCTGCTCTGCTATTCCTCTTCATTCTAACAAGACCCTCTCAGAGACCCAAGCCTCTGCTACCTTTGCCAATAATGTCTTCTACGATCAAGAAGGGCATCGGACGATATGTCTATCCTGCCGAGACTTCCCGGCATGCTGCAACCATTCTTGGGTTCCCGTCCCGATACACGCTGCCCCCGGCATACTACGAGCATGCATGTACCGATATTGCTCGTCTGGCATCTGCTATTTCGGCCTTCGAGCCAGTGAGGCTATATACACGGCCAGAAGATGTTGCAAATGCACAGTCAACTGTTAGCCTCGTCAGCAAAAAATACCCCGGCGATCCTACCAATATCACCATCATTCCGTTTCTTACAAACCACCTCTGGGTCCGCGATACCGGCCCTGTGTATGTGCGACGTACAGACGAGCCATCTAATCAGCAACGCTTTGCAATCAACTTCCGGTTCAGTGAATGGGGCAAGAAGGATGACATAGGCGACCATGATCGCGCTTCAGATGGACTCGATTGGCCCATCATGGCTCCTGAGCAAATTCGGGAAAACAACACATTTGCCGAAAGAGTCATCCGCTCCGACGCTTCTCCATCCCCTGTAACATCAGTTGAATCTGAGATTTGCTTGGAAGGAGGAGCTCTAGTGGTTGATGGCGACGGAACTCTCTTGGCCACTGAGAGCAGCATTCTTAACGAGAACCGGAACCCTGGGATGTCGCGAGAGGCCATTGAGGCGGAACTCAAACGTGTCTTGGGCGTTGAGAAGATTATCTGGTTTCCCGGTAGGAAGGATTTGGATGTGACAGACGTGCACGCAGATGCAGAGGTCAGTTTCGTCCGACCTGGAGTCGTTGTTCTCTCGCGACCCCATCCAAGTGTTCCTTCGGCCTGGATGGAGATACACGAAGAAATCAAGGAGATATTGAGCCATTCAGTGGACGCAAAGGGTCGCCCTTTTGAAGTCCATATCGTCGAGGAGCCAGACCCAGCCATTTTTGGTGATCTTGCATACGAGGAACCAGCCACCAACTACGTCAATTTCTATTTTGTGAATGGAGGACTGATTCTCCCCCAGTTTGGAGACCAGCGGACGGATCAAAAAGCAGTGGAAACTCTTCAAAAGCTGTGTCCCGATCGCAACGTTCAGCCAGTGAATGTAACCGGGCTTCCGCTGGCAGGGGGTGTGATTCATTGTGCAACCCAGCCGGTTCTTTTGGGGGAACAGAATCAACAATGAAGCCGCAATTCCTGTTTGTATACCGGGCTCAATATGAAGGGTACGGTTAGCGTATATAGTATTCAGATAGTATTACTTTTGACTATATCCTATGTATATCAGTTTGGAAGCTCACAATTTTTTCCAGTTTACATCTCGATGCCATCGTGATGTATTCGTATTTACCAGGACTTCCAAGGGCTGAACGACTACAGCACTACGCTCGCCGCTGACCTCACAGTGCTATTGCTGACCTAATTATCGCAACCCACCAACGCGGAACACATTGATGTACAAACACTTGAATCTCCCCGATATTCAATCCTTTTGAGACCCCATATTCCCCAGTAGCTCGACTCAACCCTATCAATGCAATATGACGCTTCCTTGGCCCCGCTGGATCCCCAAACAGAGATCTCCTCCAGGTCCTGGCACGGGAAGCGGTCGATTTCACCCCCAGTATCTTCGATAATACCGATGTCATCTATCGACGCAAATGAGTACGTGAACCTCCTTCTTCCACTTACACCACAGCCGGATCGAGGAAACCAAAGACCATCGTTGGGAACATTGATAGTTTCATCGCTGCCAAAGACATTCTCATGAACATCCCACAGCTAAGGTCGGCGTCTCGAACATGGCAAGTCACGCTAAACTTGGGCGAGAATGGATTAATGGGACTTTGAAGGCACAAAGGGGGGCCGGGGGGAGGGGGGAGGGCTCTTTGCTATCGTAGCACCCTGGCAGCCACTCTCAAAGAGTGGCTCTATCCGCTTGGGGTGTTTGGAGCAATCTGGTCACCCAGTGACCTTTTTTTCCGAGAAGAGGTCAGCTCTGGACTTCGAATGGGGAAATTATGAAATTTACCGGAATACCCTGCAAAGACTTTCCTGAGACATTTGCTGATGCATACCTGATGCATGTAGATCCATCAGATCCCTTGGGTGGCCTTTTTGATCTTAGAGAACAACCAGGTACCCTCGATCATTTGCATTTTCTTCACAATTTCTCTATGGGCTAATATCTCCCAGACAGGCAGGTCTTCACATCTATGTTAGCTAAAGATAATGCCATTTCTTGGTCGCATTCAACATTCCCAGGCTAATAGACGGGTAGTGGATATGCGTCCAGATCATAGATCCAAGTATCGTACGACTTTTGATCAGACACGCAATGCATGGTCTTGCCATCGTTTTTCCACAGAGGATGTAGTGGCCAGGCACACAATTGTTGCTGCTCGCCCTGGTTCGTACCACTCAGGATAGTAGAATTCAATGTAACTGGCATCTCCTTTTTCTCGACCCATTCGATCAACGATCCCAAGCTGGTCTGCGGGAAAGGAGCGTTGGGCTGGAGGTTGTTGGTATTGCAGTGAGAAGTCCGGGGACCAAGAACAGACGGTACCAGTCGTTCAGAGAGCTGGTGCCCTTTTCAAATGACATGTTCGAATACATAGTCGACCGGACAGACTCATGGAAACGGACAGACGAGGGCTGGAGGGATGCTGTTGTCCGATTCGCCGTGGTAGGTGATGATTTTACCACCATCCCGCTGGAATGGACTCAAGTCAGACCAGGTGGTCAACAAGACATCCTCATACCGCTGCAAACCTTCCAGCATCCAGTCTCGTAGAGTGTCGTAGGTAATACCATCCAAGGTAGAGAGGTTATCCAGTTCGAGAAGCTCTACGCCGCGAGTCACCCAGTCGCCGCCCAGCTCAGAGATATCAATGATCCACTTTCTTGTGGTCGAGTCATAGTCAGTCTCAGCATCCGACACCTCAGAACCAAGCTGATACCAGAAGTAGGCACGACGACCATCGCTGTCATGAAGGCCGTTGTAAATAGCGCTTGCAAGTGCGGCACATTCGGCGGTGATGGTTCCGTTCTGGGCAGGGCTGGCAGCGGAGGCCATCTGTCGCTTGCCAAAGCTGGATCCGGAGCTCGCAGCACAGTCGTACTTTTGTCCGATCGTCGAATTGAAGTCAAAGTGCAATTTGCAGAGATCCGTTCTGCCAACAACCCCGTCCGCTCTACCGTCCGCTCTACCCTCCAAGGAGTCACAAGCAGAGATTGTGAGGTTCACAATCTTCTCCAGCTCGCAGTATGAAGGGACGTAGTTCATGGTCTTCTGGACAACCTGCGGAAACAGGTGATTTACTTGCTGCTGGCCATACCGAATAGCTGGAGCACCGATAACCGCACCATCCCATTCAAATTCCTGCATTACCATGGTCTATCGGATGCCCATGTCTCGCCTGATGCGAGTATCTATTACTATGACCAGGCATCAAGTGCAGTCAAGCCGAAGGATATCGCGATGGACGATTTCTATCGGATGTTCCTGATTCCAGGAATGGAGTAAGTATCCAGCTCCTGCTGCATTTTTATTGATGGGGTATGCTAAATCCATTGTCTCTGTATAGACACTGCCTGTCAACTCCCTGGAATATGAATGCTGGCCTAGACCAGGCCGCGACAATCAGCACAGGAGATTATAGCACACCCGGTTACAAGGACAGCCGACATGATATTGTGCTAGCCATGATGGCGTGGGTCGAAAACGGAACTGCACCAGATTATATTGTCGCCACAAAGTGGAAGGACGATTCTACTGCGACAGAGATCTTGCGCCAGCGACGCATTTGTCACTACCCACTTCAGGCGAAGTATGACGGCAAGGGAGATCCGGACGAGGCCGACAGCTGGACGTGTCAGTCGTTGTATTGAGTGAAGTCAGGAGTGCCTAGAGTTAAAGTTGAGATCTAGACAAGTGGTGATGTAGTGGCTTGCACCTGAAGAACTTTATTTGTATGGAGACTCGGGATGTGAACCCTGGAATGGACCCTGAAAAGCAACTTGCAAACCTGAACATTACCCGTTTATCCTTGTGTGCCTTTATTGGCTCGCAATTATCGTAGAGCCCCTAGTAGGAAGGTAATTCTGAAAGAGTAGAAATCGAGGTACACCCGAGTGTTTTGCATCTAAAGAGAAGAGATACCGGAACTCGCCATTTGTAAAAAGGAACAAGCCCACGCAAACCCAAAGAAAAAAATATCAATTACATTTCGCCACATCCATATCATAAGAGCATCTACTAGTAGTTTCGTTAGGCGGCCCGTTCAGACGGCGTGGCGGAGATTTCGCCGTCTGTCGAATTATCAGCCATGGCCAGCTTCGTCGCTTGGAACTTATCCGCGGAGTGGGCTGATATGCGAGTCAGCTCAGTAACGAAAGATTGGCCCCAGAATGCACTGGTGTATTTGGACACGTATTTGTCCAGCTTGGCGAAGTTGAGAGCCCGCTGCTCGTCGCTCATGGTCACGGCTTCTTGATAAGCACCGGCCAATTCTTCCGTGTTCCAAGGATTCACAATAATGCTTCCGTTTAGACTTTGGGCCGCGCCGGCAAATTCAGATAGCACGAGGACTCCGTGTCGCTTCTGCTGTGTGGCAATGTACTCGTAAGCCACCAGGTTCATACCATCTCGTGTAGATGACACGATACAGGCGTCGGAGACGGCGTAGAGAGCAATAAGCTCATCGAAGTTGACGGACTTGTGAAGAAAGTGGATGGGCATGAATTCAACGGTACCTTCGGAGCACTTGGTTAGATCCGCTTGTAGCTCGTGGGATGTCGCAGAGGACTTACCAAATTTGCCGTTGATACGGCCTACCAGTTCATTCACCACAGCCCGCAGGTTCTGGTATTCTTCAACATCCTGTCGACTTGGGACAGCGACCTGCACAAGGACAACCTTGCCCACCCACTCCGGGTGGTCGCTGAGGAATACCTCGAGTGCGTGCAGCTTTTGCGGTACGCCCTTGATATAGTCGAGGCGATCGACGCCGACCATCAGCTTGACGCCTTGAAACTTTTGTTCCAGCATTGCAATGCGTTTCTGGACTTTTTCTTTCTTCAAGCCCTCCTTGAATTTCTCGGGGTCGATACCAATCGGAAAGGCGCCGCAGGTGATGATCTTGCCCTGGAACTCAATTCCATTGGGAGTTGTCGCCAGACCACTGCAACAATTAGTAAAATACTCTTTTCGATCCACGTTCAGAAGTCGCACTTACAGTAAACGCGAGCAACTGCTCAGGAAATGCCGAGTGTAGTCATAGGTGTGGAATCCGATCAGATCGCAGTGCAAAACGCCCAGGAGAAGCTCGTTTCGAACCGGGAGAATACGATAGATCTCGCTGCTGGGGAAAGGTGTATGCAAGAAGAATCCAATCTTGACATTCTGTTTGCTGTCACCGATCTCCTCGCGCAACATTTCGGGCAGCAGCATGAGATGGTAATCGTGCACCCAGACCAAGTCACCATCCTGAACTTCCTTGGCAATAGCCTTTGCAAACAATCGATTTGCTTCTTTGTATGCTTCCCATGCGGACTCGTCGAAGGTGATTTCGCCGGGGTGGTAATGGAACAACGGCCAGAGGATGGAATCTGCGGGGTGGGGTTACATGTCAGTATCGCAGACCTCTTCCGCTCAACTCGCCAGCAGGGGGGATTCTTGCACAGAGAGTTGCAAGAGGGTGCTGGGGGGATCAGTAGGTGTATAGGTGCACTTACTTGAAAATCCGTTGTAGTGTCGATCTGCCAGATCGTCATCGATAAAGACCGGCACTGCGCCGTATTCCTCCTTCAAGCGCTGCTTGACGAGGGGGATCTCTGCCTCGGGCACTTCCAAGCCCGGCCATCCGTACCATTGGAAAGTAGTGGACTTGGACAATCCGCTCAGTCCGCTTACCAGTCCACCCGAGGACATGGAGAAGTCATATTTCCCATCTTCGGAACGCTTGATGGTGATCGGCAGGCGGTTGGAGACGAGAAGCAGCCGGGCTTCATTCTTGAGTTCGTCGGGGGAAGGCATGATAGCAAAAGGCTTGGGATGGGCGGATCCGGTACAATAAACAATCTGGCTCTCAAAGGAGTGCCGGTGGAGGGAGGAAGGGGGTGGGAGAAAAGACGAGGTCGGCGACTGTTGGAGAAGCAGGACAAACGCCTATCGCTAGGAGCAGATGAGCGGAGGGACTTCTTGACTTGTCAATGGGGGAGGGAATCGGGTGAGCAACATACCACCACAGGGAAGAGGTCGGCCAACTAGTCACGCTGCAGAAGCCTTGGAGCTCCAACAAAAAAACCAGAGCGCAAGAAGGCGGGCGGCGAGCAAGGGCGGGGAGAGTGAGGTCACGTCCCGAAACTTGGAATTGTAGCGGTGGAGCTCCTCAATAGCACTCACATTGACATGGGGAGCCGGAGAACACAGAAGGGTCGCTATTTAATACGCTGGGGACGAGGTTCAGCAGCCGTTTGTTCTTGTCAGCTCGCAAGGTTGGACAGGCTGATTGGGTGTGCCGGTCGAGCGGTCGCTGCCCGACATGACACCGCGCTGACGTACGGTCGGCGCCAAGGAAGCCGTAGACCGCACCGTATAGCATAGTATATACTATGTATACCGTACGGAGTAATTATACGAGCACTACCTAGGTCGCATGTATACAGGATCATCAAATTCATATCAGTACTTTGTCACTTTCATGCACTCGCGCCTGGCGATCTTATACGGAACGAGCCTGGTGAAGCAGCGTCGAACAAGCTCACTCTATGTACATGCCTACTTGTACGATATCGCAGCGAGTGGCCTACCATTCCTAGATAAGGTACATATTAGTAGGCAAGAGGAAGACTCGAGCCAGGCAGAGATCCAAGAAGACAACCCGGTCTATTGCGCTCGAGCTATATTTGATCCAGACACCAAACAGGCGCCGGATCTAGACCCGCCAATGCGAGCGCCCCCTGCAAGAGACTCGACCTGGACAGTCGGCAGCGCAGAACCTGCCAGAGAAGAATATTGGATTCTTCTCAACTCATAGAGCAGACTTCTCGCTCAACCTCCACTCCCCTGTATTGACATCGTGCACCACACGTCCCTCGTCCTCCAATTTATTTAGCACCAATGTAACGCCATGCGAGGCCGGCAGATGCAGATTCTCCGGGACATCCTTGTAGATCACCTTGACTAGCTGCAATGGCGTCCACGAGCGCTTTGGCTCCGGCGAGTGCTCACCGGGAGAAACATCCAGCTTACCCCATCGCAGAACTCGCAGCACTTCATCTTCCCGCTGCTTTCGGTGCTTGACATACTCTGCGATGCGGGCGTTGGCGCTATCAATGACGGCTCCGTGTCCGGGATACCCGCGGCCTTGAACACGATCACGCATACGATGCAGACTGGAGAGATAGGTTTTCAGGTCTTCAAAAACAGCGGTTCCGTGGCCGAGGACATCTATGGGGCACCGTTAGCTTCGTCGGGACCGATAAAAGGAAGGACGGAGACCTCACTATCGCCTGTAAAAATAGCATCCTCTTCCTCAAGCACAAAAGCCATATGGTCTTCCGTGTGGCCCGGGGAAAACAACGCCTTCAGTGTGGCGCCTTCGACACTGAAGACTTGTCCGTCTTCAATTCCCGCTTGGCCCTCATCTTCGTTGGGCTGGTGCTTGTACACGCTCGCATCCGGACAAATCCGCAAGAGATCCTTGACACCCCCAACGTGGTCACCGTGCCAGTGCGTGAGCAGTGCCTGGTGCACGGTGGCTTTTTCCGAGGAAAGCACGGAGGTCAGGTTCGTTGCCCATGCGGCCTCGCCCTGGCCGGTGTCGATAAGGATGCGCTGGTGGCCGCGACCAATTAGGTAGGTATTTGTTCCTGTCGATAATTGTTTCAGTCCACGGACACTAGCATCGGCCATCAAAGAGACGACTCCAGTAGCACGTTAATATATTATATTAATATACCTTGTAGAGTAAACTATAGTTAGTCACACTTGTCAGCCTGATCTGCCTCTGCTGTGCCCAATTCTGTTGCTCCGCGAATCACCCACCTTTCCTGGATTTCCCGCCAAAATCCGGATGACCGAGGCACTGAGACGCTCTACCTCCGGAAGGGGAACAAGATGCGTCGCCATGCTGAGCGCACAGTGGTAGGATGTGCAGTTCAAGTTTCCCGTAGAGTCGAGATCGATGGACCAACCCTTGGTTTGCAATAATTAATCACCTCCGCTTCACCTGGATCAGTAGGTGGGGGGAGAAGTGTAGAGGGGAAAAGTGAGGAGTCCGGGGGTCTATCGGCCTAGAATCAGGCCTCCTGCAATCGCGATTTCCCCAGTCCGATGGCTCATCGCGAATGGGATGGTTCTTCCCGCGGGGCAACGGGCCTCGGCAGATTATCTCAGCAGGCCCCGAGGTAAAGCACTCAACACTTTTTGACCTACAATACCACAGTGTAGACTACTTTGTTGCAGTCATGATGTCTACTTCAAAAGGTTTACACCGATGCTACAGCTTGTAGGAAGTCGTAAAAGTATACTGTACCTTAAGAGTACCTAAGGTACATTTGGTTCCTTACAAGAAATGGAGAAATGACTACGGCTTTTTTTTTACGAGACCATTAAACAGAAGGAAATGTATGCATACTCTTCTGACATACAGAAGCTTTGGGGTAAATCAAACATATATCCATTGTGCCCACCCAAGGGAATCGAACGCGAGGCCAAACCGGCCAAAGAAACAAAATCGTAAAATTTTTCCCAGAGCGCAACTCCTCATACCCGGCTCGAAAAAGGGACAAACGCGTACACACAGCGACAGCCTGGCTGAAACCCCAAGCGCTGCCACTCTGCTCTCTGGGTCGCTAAAACTCACAAGAGAACATAGTTTACACAGGGACTCCCGGCGGAGAAGTCACCTGGAGAGGAAATTGTGAAAAGATAGTCTCATGGACTCGATTCATTTAGTTGCCAGACTTGCGGGCCATGGTGTTGAGGGCGGAACCGTCGTGGAACCACTCGATCTGGGGCTCGTTGAAGGTGTGGCTGAGGGAGATGTCGAAGGCAGCGCCACCGGCAGCGGGGTGGACACGGAGGGTCATGGGCTTGCCAACGGCGAGCTCGGTGCAGAGTAGATCAACCTTGTCCTCGGGCTTGATCTTGTCGTAGTCGGCGGGGTCGGTGAAAGTCAGGGGCAGCATACCCTGCTTCTTCAGGTTGGTCTCGTGGATACGAGCGAAGGAGCGGGTGATGACGGCCAGACCACCAAGGTGACGGGGCTCCAGAGCGGCGTGCTCACGGGAAGAGCCCTCACCGTAGTTCCAGTCACCAATGACAACCCACTTGATGCCACGGGCCTTGTAGTCACGGGCAGTGGCGGGAACAGCGTCGTAGGCGCCGGTGAAGGCGTTCTTGACCTTGTTGGCCTCACCGTTTTCCTCGTTGATGGCACCGATCAGCATGTTGTTGGAGATGTTGTCCAAGTGGCCACGGTACTTCAACCAGGGGCCGGCCATAGAGATGTGGTCAGTGGTGGTCTTGCCCTGGCACTTGATCAGGATGGGGATGTTCTCAGCATCCTTGCCGTCCCAGGCAGGGAAGCCGCCGAGGATCTGAAGACGGTCACTGGAGGGAGAGACAGCGACGTTGATGGACTCGCGGTCCGCGGGAGGAGCCTGGTAGGTGTCCATGCCGGGGTCGTAGCCGTTGGCGGGCAGGCCATCACCGGAGGGAGGCTTGAGCATGAACTCGTTGCCATCCTTGTCCTTGAGCTTGTCGGTCATGGGGTTGAAGTTCAGGGTACCAGCAACGGTCATGGCGACAACCAGATCGGGAGAGGCGACGAAGGCGTGGGTAGCGGGGTTGGCGTCGTTGCGGCCAGTGAAGTTACGGTTGTAGGAAGAAATGATGGAGTTGGCCTCACCCTTCTTGATGTCCCTACGGTCCCACTGACCAATGCAAGGACCACAGGCGTTGGCCAGGATAACACCACCGTACTCCTCCATGGTCTGGAGCTGACCGTCACGGGCAATGGTGGCGCGAATCTGCTCGGAACCGGGGGTGATTGTGAAGATGGACTTGGACTTCAGACCGTGGTCCAGAGCATCACGGGCAATGGAGGCAGCGCGAGACATATCCTCGTAGGAGGAGTTGGTGCAAGAACCGATCAGACCGACCTTCAGCTCCTCGGGCCACTTGTTGGTCTTGACGGCCTCCTTGAACTGGGACAGAGGAGTGGCCAGATCGGGGGTGAAGGGACCGTTGATGTGGGGCTCGAGCTCAGACAGGTTGATCTCGATGAGCTGGTCGTAGCGGGCGCCATCGTCCTCACGGAGGTCCTTAGCGTACTCGCGGGAGAAGTCACCAATGTGCTGACGCTTGGTGGCCTTCAGGTAGTCGTACATGCGGTCGTTGAAGGGGAAGATAGAGGTGGTAGCACCAATCTCAGCACCCATGTTACAGATGGTACCCATACCAGTGCAGGACAGAGACTCGACACCGGGTCCGTGGTACTCAATGATAGCACCAGTACCACCCTTGACGGTCAGCAGACCAGCGACCTTCAGGATGATATCCTTAGGGGTGGTCCAGCCGGACATCTCACCAGTGAGGCGGACGCCAATAACCTTGGGGGCCTTCAGCTCCCAGGGCAGACCAGCCATGACGTCAACAGCGTCAGCACCACCGACACCGATGGCGGCCATACCGAGACCACCAGCGTTAGGGGTGTGAGAGTCAGTACCGATCATCAGACCACCGGGGAAAGCGTAGTTCTCCAGGACGATCTGATGAATGATACCGGAACCGGGCTTCCAGAAACCGATGTTGTACTTGGCGGTGGCGGACGCCAGGAAGTCGTAGACCTCCTTGTTGATCTCGTTGGCACGGGCAAGATCCTTCTCACCACCAACCTGGGCCTCAATCAAGTGGTCACAGTGGACGGTGGTGGGGGTCTGGACGGAGGGCATGCCAGCAGACATGAACTGCAGAATGGCCATCTGGGCAGTGGCGTCCTGGCAAGCAACACGGTCGGGGCGGAGCTTTAGATAGGAAACACCGCGCTCGATGTCCTGACCCTGGGGGTCATCAAGGTGAGAGTACAGGACCTTCTCGGAGTAGGTCAGAGGGTGCTGCAGACGAGAACGAACGACATCGAGGTTCTCGGACATCTTCCTGCAAAAGGCGCAATGATGTTAGTTGACCAATTTCATCAAACACTTCGAAAATTTTGTTGTCTTTCTGGGACGTAAAAACCGTACTTGTAGTTAATGTAGTTGCCCTGTGATACAGATTCGTCATTAGTAGCTGTTTCACAAATTTGGCAATAAGGCGGATGGAAAGCCTGAGCGGCCACTCACAGTCTCATGGTTGGTCATCTCGACCTTCTTGTCGAGAGGGTTGGCGGTGGCGTAGGCCCGAGCCCCGAAGAGCTAGAATCACACTGTTAGTATTGAGTGCAATGCAAGTTGCCATCGTCCCCATGTTCTGGCAGCGCCAGTTCGCGGGCGGACGATTGCTCTGCCGGTAGGACGATGCTTACAGCTCGGGACTTGGTGGCCTAGAGAGGAGATATGTTAGCTCCGTTTCCCAGAATACTTGACGTTTTCCATGGCCGCTCGCAGCCCGTCACGATTTGAGGCGTGCGGCTTAAGGCTGGCGATGCGCCTGCTTCGCAGCCTCGGCAGCTTGGAGTCAGGGCAGTAGGGCAAAACACTTACCAGCGCACCAGCACGCGCAAGGCGGGAGGAGATCATGATGTAAAGCTCTAGACACGACCACCTTCACCTGTGGAAGCAAAAGAGAGTGGAGAGTGGGAAAAGAAGAAGGGAGAAAGAAAATCGAAAAGGAAAGCTTGGTGGTTTTGAGTGGGCGACGAGAGACTGGGACCGAACAGCCGTAATCGCCGTTACCATGGCGATACCGTACTGAAAATGGGTTTAGGCCTGCCGCATCCGACGGGCCAGCGATGCTAGGCTTGGACTGCGCGACGGCGGCCACAGCGCCAGCAGACAAGCAGATTCGCCGCAAGGATTCGGCATCTTCGGTCCATGATTCTGCGCAGCTCGCCATCTACAATTCAGAGCGATCCAGGACTGCTGGGGTCGCGAGGGTCACTTTTCGCAATTGACAACACCTGGCAGGGGAACGGTAAAGGCAATACGCGGCATGTGACGGCGGCAGAAGCGTACACCAATCACGGAGTTTACGATTACAAGGAGTCTTCCAAGGTTGCGCAGCGGAGGGCATCTCGGGCCAAAGGGCAGGGCCACAGGCGCACGGGCAGGTTTCATGCGCTTCCTGGAAGACTTACTGAGGTCGGCCTGAACCCCGTTCATCCGTTGCCGGCATGCGGATTCGTCCCAAGTGGCATCAGCCCAATATAGATCGATTGGGGACCAGCTAAAGGCGATCATGGTTGGACATGGCTGATCAACAAGCTGGCGCAGACTTTCTCTCGACACCGCCGGTCTCCAAACAAATATCATAATCGTAGAATCTCTTGCTGCTTCCTCAATCCGTTCATTCCTGGGCTTTCATCCGAGGGACATCCGGACCGACAACATGCAAACGTCATAAAATACGGGCGGTAAACCGGTGACGAGCAGCCGAGGTGAGCCGAACGGCGCCCCCGAGCAGTCAGCCTGCCCGCCAATCACGGCCAGCGTGTTTCAAGCAGACACTGGTCAGCGCAAATTGCCCTTCCAGCCAAGCGGCCCGCTCTCCACTCCGCCCCATGTCCCTCCGGAAATCGGTGATATCTTTTTTCTCTCTGCCTTCATCGTTGCATACACCAGGATCAGCGGACAAGATGGGTGCTTTGCGCAGAATCAAGACTAAGCGTCGCACTAGGTATGTTGCTGTCCATTCTACTCCTATGAACTTTTTGAATCTTATAGGAAAGGAAGAGAGAGAAGAAAATTCAAATTTTTGTGTGCTAACTTCTGCGCAGAGACTACGACCAGGTCGTCGCCGACATCGACTCGCCGCGCCACCTCGCGCAATACAAGGCCAGCAAGGATGTGGAGGACCTGCCGGGGCTCGGTCGCCATTATTGTGTCGAGTGCGCCAAGTGGTTTGAGAGCGAGTATAACTTGAAGGCGCACACGAAGGGCAAGAACCACAAGAAGAGGTAAATCGCGTTTTCAGCTTGTCCTGGTCGCAACTTTCTCGCTAATCGCCACTATTCTCCTGCTACAGAGTGCGCATTCTCAAGGAAGAACCTCACAGTCAAAGACTAGCCGAGGCTGCGGTTGGCCTGGGTGTCGACAACGGCAAGCCACCAGGTGAAGAGAAGATGGAGATGGAAGATTGATTCGAGCGCCGGGTCACCAATGACACCCCTGCCACGGTACAAAGCACCACCTCCATCCTCTCATAACACGCACTGGCGGATCAATCGCCACACACAAAAAAAGCGCATCAACGACGACCACGACTTTGATATTCGGATTTACTTTGCATGCATTGCTAGACTGCAGTTGCGGTGGAGCTCACGTGAGGCACACCCCTATAGCCGATAATCGCCGGATGTCCGTTCTGCCGGTTTGCGGGACCGCCTGAAACCGCCGGTCTTCGGCATAATCAATCGGGCAATCTGGCATCAGGGCGAAATTTACCCCCTTACTAGCAGTACCTTGGAGTAATTCCAATAGAAATCCCTCAATACCAAATAATAGCTCTAACCACAATGGGCTTTCGGTATATCTTCTGGCCTTGGCCGATCCTACTCTATTCTCTGCCGTAGCCACGTTGTAGACAGAGGTAACAGAAAACATGCCCTAAACCAGTGCCTCCGCAGGCGCTCCCGCTGCCGCCGCCCCATGGGCACCCCCCGGACTGCTCAGCGCCTTCATCAGCCACTCGTAGGCCGCCCACTTCGCCCGATTCCACCTCGTTAGTACATGGTTGTCTCGGTCTGGAATGGAATGTGTCCCGAGTGTACATACCTGAACCGCATTCACAATAAACGCTCTAATGCTGCAGATCCCGAGGCCGCGATAGAACGCGTGCACTCCCTCGGCTCGGTAAATCTCTCGTGCAATCTGGAAGGAGTTCAATGTTTGCCGAGGGCGCCGAAATAGAGCCTCTCCTTCCGCAGGTGAGCCTGCCACATAATCATGCATGGTCTGTGCCTGCAGCCTGGTCTTCACCATATCCAATGGGAACACCGAGCCCCAGGTGACAATACCTGCAATGCCACCGCAGAGAAGAACTTTCAGCGCCGCTTGGTGAGTGCTTTCATTTTCAGTTGTCATCAATCGTTTGCATAATTCGTAAGACCAAAAGCTACACCGGTCGAGTCAGTCAAAATATATCTTGTGTGGCATGCGGGTAGATGATCATCATGCAGACATACTAGAATCCATAACCAATCGAATCTCGTGCAGCCGTCACTGCACCTCCATAATATAAACCCCGCCACCCACGGTTGCGATATATATCCTTCGCAACTGCCCAGGACGAGACTTCTGGGCGGCTGTCTAGTTGCGCACGGCACTTGATAAGCTCGGTTGGAGATGACACAGTCCAACTGCCCAGGCCGCCAGCGGCACCGGCAACCCAGATTTTGTACAAAGACACACCCTCTGGGTTGGTTGGGTCTGTAATGGAGCGATCCATCGACGTCAATGCCCGATTGTAGGCCACGAAGAGGATCGCATTGAGGGCTCCATATCCTAAGATCGGAGCAGCCGCACCTAAGACCAGAATGTTTTAACACACAACGGATTCGAAGTGAGACTAAAAATGACAAGACCAACCTCGAACGAGAGAACTCGTCTTTTCGAAACGGCCAGGATATGACGTCGTAGATGCATCTGCACGGTTGCCAGCCTGCAGGCGTACCTTGATCACGTCCAGCGGATTTCCAATGATAATTCCAATGGCACCACTGAGGTAACCCGCCCAGAAATCCGACATGCCTCCAAGTCTGAGAAGTGTGCAGCTGCAGTTCCACGTATCTGGGCGCATGTGAGTGAGCCTTAGTATGGGTCTTGCGGCGGGGTGCCTGGGGTCACGTGCTGGCGCGGCACTTTGGTGTTGTAGGCCGACGCGCCTGCCTCCGCGTCGTCGTCGGTGGCGACTTCCAAGCTTTCAATCAACAACGAGCGAGGAGGAGTGTACAGAAATTCTCCGTACAGACGAGCAGCTGAATTGTACAGAAGCAATCAAGTCATGTATGGCTTATTTGACCTCCTAGGACTGACGGAACCCTTGCTAATAGTTATTAGGTATCGCCCGCGCCCAGCCGGCGCTGATGGCGGCGTCAAGACACCTTTACAGCCTAAATCCGTGAATGCAATCGATCGCCTCGCCAAACCGTTCAAATGCCCAGGCTCGGCGACGCCAGCCAGAGCCTCAGAGAAGCCGGCAAGGAAGCGACGAAAGGTGAACTATGCCAATACCGATGGCAGCGCAGAAGATGGAGCCGAGAAACCGTACACAAATGAAGATCGACTCGCGTTGGCGACGCGCGAAGTGAATAGATTCCCGGTGTTCAAGCCCAAGGACAAGGACGCAGCGTTCAGAACACGGTTCCGAATCCCCTTGATCAATAAAGAGATGGAAGGCTACAACCCAGATCGGCCAGCGCCGACACTGGGCCTACGACAGGGTGCGACTTTTATAGCCAAGCCGCTGCACGATCCGAGTGGTGAATTTGCCATAGTTCTTTACGATCCGACCGTGGACGATATCACCGAAGAGCCGAAGCCGAAGGAGCAAGAACAACCAAAGGAAAAGGAGGAGACTTTGGACGAGCCCCTCGTACATAAGAGTCTAGCGGATATACTTGGCTTGAAGAAGAAGGTGGAAGGCCGGCCGAAGGTGCCTGTTGTGATTGACCCGCGACTGGCCAAGGTCTTGCGCCCACATCAGGTCGAGGGTGTCAAGGTGAGATCTCCATGCATGGAATCCCCACACAGAGCGAGTGCTAATTCAGCTGGTCCTCGCAGTTTTTGTATCGATGTACAACTGGTTTGGTTGACAGGAACGCCAATGGTTGTATCATGGCAGACGGTATGGGACTGGGAAAAACAGTAAGTTCTTATTGCCTCCAGATACAACTCGTTGCTAACAGTTTCTAGCTTCAATGCATCTCTTTGATGTGGACTTTACTCAAGCAAGATCCGGAGGCCGGCAAAACAACCATCCAGAAGTGTGTGATTGCATGCCCTTCTAGTCTGGTCGGAAACTGGGCCAATGAGTTGGGGAAATGGCTGGGGAAAGATGCCACCACCCCATTCGCGATAGATGGCAAGGCATCCAAAGCAGAGCTCACCCTTCAAGTCAAACAGTGGGCGATTGCTTCTGGTCGAGGAATCGTTCGCCCTGTCCTCATTGTCTCCTATGAAACACTCCGTATGTATGTGGAGTGCTTGAAGGATCACCCGATCGGTCTTCTGCTCTGCGATGAAGGTCATCGGCTCAAAAATAAAGAGAGCTTGACATGGACTGCCCTGAACAGTTTGAATGTCAGCCGTCGTGTCATTCTTTCCGGAACGCCCATCCAGAACGACTTGTCCGAATATTTTTCCCTTCTCCATTTCGCCAACCCAAACCTGCTGGGCTCACAGAACGAGTTTCGCAAACGATTCGAACTGCCTATCCTTCGAGGCAGAGATGCTGCAGGCACCGAGGAGGATAAGAAGCTGGGTGACGAGCGCCTGGTAGAACTATCCGCCATTGTGAACAAGTTCATCATTCGACGAAGCAACGATATTCTATCGAAATACCTGCCTCTAAAATACGAGCATGTGGTTTTCTGCAATATGGCTCCGTTCCAGCTAAATCTTTACAACCACTTCATCCAGAGTCCGGAAATCCGAAGCCTGCTTCGAGGAAAGGGAAGTCAGCCTTTGAAGGCCATTGGAATTTTGAAGAAGCTCTGCAACCATCCAGATCTCCTCGACTTGGCAAACGATCTTCCCGGATGCGAACATACATTCCCCGATGACTTTACACCGCCCGATGCCCGAGGCCGAGATAGAGAAGTCAAAAGTTGGTATTCCGGGAAGATGATGGTTCTTGATCGCATGCTTGCCCGGATCAGACAAGATACGAACGACAAAATCGTTCTTATTAGTAACTACACCCAAACCTTGGACCTTTTTGAGAGACTTTGCCGCACGCGTTCATATGGCTGCCTGCGACTGGATGGATCCATGAACATCAAGAAGCGATCGAAGTTGGTTGACAAATTCAATGATCCCGATGGTCCTGAGTTCGTCTTTCTTCTCAGCAGTAAAGCCGGTGGTTGCGGTCTCAACCTGATCGGCGCCAACCGACTCGTCCTTTTCGACCCGGATTGGAACCCGGCTGCCGACCAGCAAGCTTTGGCCCGTGTGTGGCGTGACGGGCAAAAGAAAGATTGCTTCGTCTACCGGTTCATTGCCACTGGTTCCATTGAAGAGAAAATCTTCCAACGTCAATCTCACAAACAATCACTGTCTTCTTGCGTCGTGGACTCGGCAGAAGACGTAGAGCGCCATTTCTCGCTCGAATCATTGCGAGAGCTATTCCAGTTCAAACCCGAAACTCGCAGCGATACACACGATACATTCAGATGCAAAAGGTGCAGACCAGACGGTACTCAATTCATTAAAGCCCCGGCCATGCTCTATGGTGACACGAGCTCCTGGAACCATTTCGTCAACGATGGAGAAAAGGGTCCATTGAACCAGATTCAAGACCTGTTGATACGACAGGAGGTCGGAGAAAGAGACGTCTCGGCCGTGTTCCAGTACATTAGTCACTGATATTTAAGTAAGGGGGTTTGGCGCAGCCATGATTTTCAGACGAGGCGCTTGTTGCTAGCGAACAGGGATAGCGATCATGGATAGCGATCATTGAATAGACTCATTTTAGCGTGCATCGATTCATGTCTTTAGTAGAATGCAATCCATATCGAATACTTCTAGTCCACTCGTTAAGTGAATTTGAATGATCGAGCCCACAGTTCAGCTGTCTACTTTGCCTGCGAGAATATGCTACCACAGGGTACCCTCAGCGCCTTGAGTTCATCTCCCGCGGGTCTAGCGACGGCCCCGTCGGTCCCGAGCGTCATTCTTCGGGACCGAACACACCTCACCTTTTCGGTCTACTTACACCGACTTACGCCTTTCTCTTGACCAACAGCGGCATTTACGATGAGCCGTACTCGGGGGCATTCATGCATTGTCTGTCAACAGCACAAAGTCCGTTTGACCAGCAAAAACCATGTGCAAATTGTGTCCAAACCAGGTTGAGTGTCAAGTTGCTCCTACACAACCTGCTCGACGAAGGAAGGAAAAACACTTCATGAGCGGGAATTGGTGGAGCGTCTTAAGAAATATGAGAAGCTCATGGCTCAACATGGTGTAATTTTGGCTCTGCCTTTGACGAAAATGCGGAGTCCCGGGAGAAGCACGCCGGGCCGAGTACCACCGGAGTTCCACTGGGAGACAATACGTCAGATCAAGGCTCCAAAGTCGATGACCATGGGCGAAGGTTGGCACATTACACGTTCTAAATGAGCTTTTCTGACAATAGAGTAGGGTTCCAAAGCGGTTCGCGTACTATGACGAATACAAATCGACAATAATCTCCTGAATGCCTCGTCAGACGAAGACAACGACCGGCCGACAATTTACCACGCTTTCGATACCATGTTCAGTGACTCGGATGCCTTTAATTTCATGGTTGCTCGTCAATCAGTTCCTATAACCACCTTCACCCTTCCGCAATTCAGATTACTCAGCTATGGCAGGCCTAGTTAGTTATCTGAAGAATGTCAACCCGCTATTGAAATTAGTCATGCGCCAACACTGCAAGACCGGATCGTTATAGCAGGAAACAATTTTGCAAAAGCACTAAAGCTGCTCGACGCCCTGATGTTCAGCATATATCTTGTTGCAACAAAGTCCATGACAGATGATGAGATTCTTAGCATCTTTGGGGAGCCAAAATCTATGGTTTTTATATCGGCATCATCAAGCTTCGCAACAAGCTCTGGTCAACGCTGAATTTATGAGGTCAAATGACCTAATGGCTCTACAGGGATTTTACCATATCTTGTATGTTCTATGCTTTTTATTTATGCAAAGCTTTCGGACTGAACTTTTAGTCCCTAATAGGTGAGCGTTGGGCGGCATCTATTTTGCCTAATCGGCATTGCTTTACGCATAGCCACACGACTAGGTCTACATCGGGACGGTGCCCGGTTCAAAATTTCTCAGTACGAAGAAGAGCCCAGGAGAAGGCTTTGGTGGCAGCTGGTTGCGTTTGACAAACGAATATCTGAGATAACGGGCTCACCGATTACAGCCCTGTCTTCTTGTGGATCAGACTGTCGACTTCCGCTGAACGTAAAACGATGCTGATCTGCATCCGGCCTCTCAAGAGCCCCCGCGACCGTCCGAGGGCCTTACTGAAATGTCCTTCAGTCTTACACGAATTGAGCTCACCTTGGCGTCCGTCCCAATCGGTAGTCGTCTAAATCCAGTGACTATCAGGGATCCACAAAGCGTTCATGGCTTTTCTGCAACACCACCAGATGCTATGCTTTCCAATACCGCCGAAATATCTCGCAACGACTTAGCGAGTTATTGCTCCTGCTTTGAGTCCACCTATCTAAAGCACTGCGATCCTAAAATTCTGATTCGGTTACTCACTCTCATGACAATGAAGTCGTGCTTTGCAAACTCCCCGTGGTCGATTTCATGTGCCGATTAATTCCAGCCTCTAGTCACGACAAGGATGAATGCAATATGTTATTTGTCAAGGCTATCGAGATGCTAGAGTACGATGACCTCATATACACCAATGAGTATCTCTTCGTTTTCCACTGGTATACCCAGCCCCAAATTCCATTTCTCGGCTATACCTTTCTTGCTAGCGAGCTAGCTTATCGCATCAATGGCGAAATTTGTGAGCACGCTTGGAAAGCCATTTGCAGCAATTACGAGTATAGAGGACTTTATCGAAACCCGAGAAGTCCGATGCACATAGCATTTGGACGCGCGCTTCTCGGGGCATGGAATGCGCGTGAACAAGCCGAGCTTCAAATGGGCAGAAACATCCAGCCCCCGAAATTTACTGTGCTTCTACGTCAACGATGCCTTTTAAGTCAAAAGGGCAAAAATCTTGGCACTGCCGATTGCAGCGCAGATCCGGCGGATCTGGGCCTGCTAGCGTCATAGGTGGCGAACTATCCGGAGGTATTGATGGACCAGGAAATTTGCCTGGGCAGTCTGATATGCTATCTAATGAAGATTCACCCGCATATCCATCCGTGGAAAGCACAGATTTGATATTTGAGCAACTTGGTTTGATTCTGAACAGACTGACTGGGCAAATCTCATGCAACCTGGGACACTGGTTGGTTTTTTTGGCAGTGATGAGACCGGGCTCACCTGAAGATTTTCCTAGTGCGCCCATATGTATCAACGATTAAGGCTGGTCCGTTTACTCTTTTAACCACGTTCCCATTATGCGTGCATGCAGCATGTACGCACGGCTAAGCGGTCAGAAAGCCTTGTCCTCCAGGAGTTCTTGTCAGAAAAAGTGGGCTCTATGATTGGCTGGCAATGCTCCATAGCCAGCACTAAATCTTGGAAATCGAGTCGGTGGCCCCGGCTGAAATGTGGATTCGATTCGAAAGCAAATCACTTGCCACATGGGGATTTCTCCGAAGTTGGGTCGCTGCATGCGCGCCTGTCACGCCGGGAACCTGTCGACTAAATTTGCAGGCTCCGGCATCTAATCTCCAACCGGACGAGGATTTGAGCCCATCCTTCGTGCTGATGTAGACGATGTGTACTGGAATGATCCATAGCAATGTACAATGTCTTTGTTTCGCTCTTCACGGGTAGGCCTTGAGGGTATGGCCGTGATTTCATCTAAACTTTTTCAACTCGTTGATCGGATGTACCATCCGGCCAGGGCTTGCTGGAGGGGATCTCTCGGATGTTCAGCAGCCCAGCCCCCCTCAGTTACCGCCATCTCACTGACTGGGCAGCGACACGGTTCATCGAGCTAGCTGGTGGGGCTGATCACTGACCAGCGCAGCGACCCGCAGCAAGCACACCGAGAAGGGCCCCCGAAAAAGTGACTGGCAACCAGCTGGGTGATTATTTCTCCTGAACAACCATCAGTCCTTCATCCATCCTCCGACAGATCTGATGCGCCAATATTGACTTTTGCTGGCTATCTGGAACGGAACGAGCCGCTTCCAACCTCCGCCCCTACTCCACGCGCCAGTTCCACGGTTGAGATCGCTCGCTCAGACCCAGTTCGCGACTATGAGCCTGAATTCCGATCGCCGCTCGACTAGCGGTTCCTTCCGGCAATACTGGAAAGACAAGTTCAATAAGAGAAGATCGTCTGGGAAATTCAGCCCTTCCGTCGAAGACCAAGTCCAGCATGACTCACCCTTCCTCATAGCTGCAAGCCGTATGTGATTTGACGGGATTGTCAGAACTACTGCTGAGAGCATTTACTGACTCCAGCTAGACGAAGGACCCGCTCGATCCAACTCCCAAGTCTCGTCGAGCACGACAGTGATACATACTCAACCATCACAGGGTGATGAAGATACAAGCAGTGCGCAAGCATCGACGCCCACAAAGGACGACCATGTTGCAAGTGAAGTCGAGGTTACAGACAAAGATAGCATTGTCTCAGAGAAAGCATCTGAGGGCGTGAAAGATGAGGAATCTTTGCTGATTTTGGAGCCCGAGAAGCCTCCATCGGAGGTACCAGGTCAGTGGAAGCCTTCAAAGATACATGCTGCCTCTTTGCGCTGGATATTGCTAACATTTTCCCGTCAGATGAACCAAAAGCATCTCCAACCCCACAGGAAGACGTCGCCAACGCACAGCCAGCCACGGAGGATCCTAATGGCCCGTGTCTGTCGACCCTTCGAGACCATGGAGCCTCTGTCCAATGCGTTTCATGGACGCTAAATAATAAGCTCGCATCGGCTTCATATGATGGTACCGTAAGGATATGGGACGCCACCACCGGCCGCTGTCTGTCCACATTCAAGGATGACAATGGAATACCAGTCTCTGCAGTAGGATGGCTGCGCAACCCAAGACTTGCATTGGTCTCAGGTGATGGAACGGTCAGGATTTGGCGTGCCACCGATGGCAGGTGTCTTCAATCATTTGAAGAAGACATTGCCAGCTACAGGGATGCTGTTGACTCGTTTTCTACTGTTGCGTGGTCCCCCGAAGGCAACCTTGCCTTTGCTAACGAGGATGGGTCTATTTTGATTCGGCATGTCACAAATGCTACCGGGTTCAAGTCCTCACTGGCGCTCAATGGTCGCCATGAAGGTGCCTATGCGCTGGCCTGGTCCCGGGATGGCAGGCTTGCTTCAGGCGCCAAGGATGGAAGCATCAAGATCTGGGACACCACTGACGGCCAATGCAAGCTTAAGCCTGGAGGCCATAACAGACGGGTATATGCTCTTGACTGGTCTCGGGATGGCCGGAGGCTAGCATCGGCATCTGAAGATAACACAATCAAGGTGTGGGAGACCCAGAATGGCCACTGTACTGTATGGGCCCAAGGTCAAAGTGATTCGATCCGGTCTCTAGCCTGGTCACCAGATGGTCGGCTTGCAGGTGCAGATGGCGACATTATCCGAATCTGGGACGGTGCAAGTGGCCGGTGTTTATCGGAGCTTGAGGGCCATACTCATCAAGTCCAGTCCGTGACCTGGTCAGACGATGGAAAGAGACTTGCGTCAGCTTCCCGGGACAGGACCGTCAAGATCTGGAATGTCATGAGAAATGATTAATCTAGGTCCCAAGCTTTTCCTTTACACTGCAATAGCCAATGGTACCGCCTGGGCTTTCTCCAGAAACAACGCACAGAGAAGCAGCGTTACCAAGATTATCTCTCCCTTAATATCATTGAATGCTTTTCAACTCCTCACGCAGAGTTAAAATGAGTGAAATATTTGGAACTCGATATCAGAGTAAAGTCCTGACTCGGTTGGGCTCACTTAGATGCTAAGGGCTCCAAGAGGAATTTAACGAACGGTGCTCAGACATGCTGTTTCGGAAGATGGTATGATTCTAAGAAGATACACCGTATCAAGCTTCCTCTGGTCAAAGAACCCTACCCTAAGTTTGCTACAATTAGAGAGATTATAGTAGCACCTACCTACGCCATTTTTGGTCTACATCACCTCCCTTCCTGATATTTCAGACGTCTTATAGTACTTCAGATCGAGTTTCCTGGTCCTGACTGCGCGAGTAGAAAACAGACTTTCCTTTCCCTCTCTCTCTCTCTTTTTTTTTTCCTTTCTTAGAAAGAAGCCATTTATGTGCTTTATGCCATGAGGCATGAGTGTGCGGAAGAGATGGCCAGACATTAGATCCGGCGGGTGAATTACCTCAGGGTGGTAGATGACAAGGTATCCGATCAGATCGATGACTGGGTAGTGGGGAACTACCAGTACTAGTAGGTACTAATGTACGTTCTACTTGAAGCCTAAAGTGGTTCAAATGTATGGTTGCTGGTACTGTTGTTATCTATGGCCTTATCGGGCCGAGACCGCCTAGCTCGGTGCTGACATACGTCACACCGCGCTTGGACTCTCTCATCTCCGCGTTGACAACACACCTTCCGCCTTCCCCCACCAGGAGCTTCAGTATCCCCTCACGACCCTCACGCGTACTGGAGCTGGTCGTCAACATTTTCCGTCACCAAACATCGGACGGAGTGCCAGCTTGTTCCCCGGCATCGAACACGGCTTGCTCCACCATGAGCTTTGCCTGATCGGAGCTCAGGACAGCACACTCCGCCCGCTGGAACAATGGATCCCTCAATTCAGCGACTGCTCAACGACAAGCTCTATGACAAGCGGAAGCAGGGCGCTCTCGAGTAAGTCACCTGGGACTGGATGGATGGCAAAGCTTGTGGTACATCGCTAACACGCGATTTCTTCTTCAGACTCGAGAAAATCGTCCGCGATGCCGTCTTTCATGAAGAGGAAAACAGAATTCACCAAATCGTTGAGCAGCTCTGCCACGACTATGCCTACGCTGTGCACCAACCTCATGCTCGAAACGGTGGTCTGATCGGACTGGCTGCGGCCTCGATTGCCCTCGGATCTGTGAGTAAACAACCACAACAGAGGATAGACAACAGCTGACACGAACTTTTAGGAGGGTGTGGCGCCGTACCTGAAGGATATCGTGCCCCCTGTTCTCGCCTGTTTCTCCGATCAAGATGCGCGCGTCAGATATTATGCCTGCGAGGCCATGTACAACATCGCCAAGGTTGCCAAAGGCGAAATCCTTCTATTCTTCAACGACATCTTCGATGCACTGGCCAAAGTAAGTTTGATGGAAGAACCCCCCGCGTCCGAATTGGACGTATACTCATACATCTTACAGCTTGCTTCCGACTCTGAGCTCTCCGTGAAGAACGGCGCGGAGCTTCTCGATCGCCTGGTGAAAGATATCGTGGCCGAATCCGCCGCATCCTACGTCTCCGTCCTGCAGATCGCAGAGAGGGAAGACCCGACAGAGCTGGACGATACCGAGCTGCCCACGGCTTTCTCTCTCGCCAAATTCATTCCCCTGCTCAAAGAGCGTATCCATGTGCTCGGACCATACACTCGCATGTTCTTGGTCTCTTGGCTGACTCTGTTGGACACAATCCCTGATCTGGAACTGGTCTCTTACCTACCAGAATTTCTCGAAGGCCTGATCAGGTTCCTTGGAGGTCCCAACAAAGATGTCAATGTCGCAACCCAAGGTCTACTTGATCGGTTTCTGACGGAGATCAAGAAGATCACTCGACTGAAGAAAGGAATCGAGGGCCAAGGTAGTCACAGACGTTCGGCTGCGAGTGACACTGTCAGCTTCAGTACCAAGACTGAGACTGTTGACGAGACTGGGCCTGACTTTGTCGACAAGGATGACATCGCGGTAGATGATTCTGCTTCGGGCTCTCTCTTCGATGATGAGGTGGTTCAGGCCGAAGGAGGCTGGTTCCCAGGACAAGACGTACACATTGACTACCCCAAGATTCTCGATATCCTCGTCACCTTCGTCCATACTTCTTACGGTATCGTTCCCTCCTCGCTATGTGAAACTCAATTGAACAAACAGTGCTAACAACATACATAGAACAAGAGATCCAACTTACCGCGCTCCGCTGGATTGACAAATTCTTTGAAATCAGCCCTGAGGATATTCTCCCTTTCGTGCCCCGGCTTCTGACACAAGTGCTCCCTGCAATGTCCAGTGGCTCCGACGAGGTCCGCCAGGCTGCCAATCGTGTCAATAAATCCCTTCTCGAATACATCTATTCCCTCTCTGATGACGCGACTGATGAGGCAGCCCAATCCTCGTCAAAGGCATCCTCAGCTGTACCCAGCAAAGAAAGCATCGAGCGCAAGCCTTCAGAGATTGTGAGCATTGATACCAAAAAATCGGTGGTGGAGACCCCCAGCGCTGCCACTCCTCGCAGTAGTATCGTCTCGACGCCCTTGCTGCCGACCGACCTCGATTACGCCGCGGCGGTCAAATCGCTGACGTTTCAACTTCTTAATCAAAACGAAGCTACTCGGTTGGCTGCTGTCTCGTGGCTCATGATGCTCCACCACAAGGCTCCCCGAAAGGTGATTGCCTTCAACGACGGAACATTCCCCGCTCTGTTGAAGACACTCTCAGACCCTGCAGAAGCGGTCGTGACCAAGGATTTGCAGCTTCTATCGCAAATCTCACGAAACAGCGACGACAGCTACTTTGCTTCATTCATGGTGAGCCTACTGCAACTCTTTACCACGGATCGGCACCTGCTCGAGGCGCGTGGCAATCTTATCATTCGACAACTGTGTCTCAACTTGAGCCCGGAGCGTATCTATCGTACTCTGGCCGATTGTATTGAAAAGGAAGAGGTTAGTAGGATTCAATAAGAACACAGAATCTACACTTACTGACATTTCCCCAGGATATCGAGTTTGCCAGCATCATGGTTCAGAATCTGAACAATAACCTTATTACTGCACCGGAGCTATCAGATATGCGAAAGAGACTGCGCAACCTTGATTCAAAGGTACACTTTCCACTGACCTTTTGCACTCTCGATGGATACTAACGGAAATCTATCTAGGAGGGCCAACTGTTCTTCGTTGCTCTTTTCCGATCCTGGTGCCACAATCCAGTTTCTACATTCTCGCTGTGCCTTCTTGCGCAGGCTTACGAGCAAGCTTACAACCTTCTTCAGATTTTGTGTGTGCCCTGAAAGTAAGAAGATAAAGCATTGACTTACTAACCTGATGCTAGTGCCGAATTGGAAATGACCGTCAATATGCTTATCCAGATCGACAAGCTGGTGCAGCTGCTCGAGTCCCCCGTTTTCACCTGTAAGTCTTGAGAAAAGGAGGGGAAACAGAACCTTGCTAACCAGACCATCAGATCTTCGCCTTCAGCTTCTCGAGCCCGAAAAATATCCTTACCTCTACAAATCCCTTTACGGAATTTTAATGCTCCTGCCGCAGAGCTCGGCCTTTGCGGCACTGAAGAACCGGTTGAACAGCGTCAGCAATATCGGACTCCTTCATTCTGGACCTCGCAGGTATGACAATTGCCCTTTATCCGATGAATCACTGGCCTCTGGTCTGACATTTCCTCTAGCGGCGCACCGGCCGGCCCATCGTCGTACGATCGTCCCACTGGAACACGTTTGAAGCCCCGTGATGAGAACGGTATCCGATGGGTTGATCTTCTCGACAAGTTCAAGCTAGTCCAGGAGCGTGCGCGTCGCACACAGGCCGCACCGCGCCAGTCGGTCGATGACCCATCTCTTACCGCCGCCCTCTCCGCCGCTACCATTGACCGTCCGAGCACTCAGTCCGGCCTTTCTGGTGTCCCTAAGGGTATGTCCGGAGGCTCTGGAGCTGCAGGGCCCGGTGCAGGAGGTGCAGGACTAGGTCTCGCCGGCGGCAGTGGTGCAGGCCGTGGACCACCCGACGCAAAGATCAGCAATTCTTCTTCTCTTCTCGGCTCGGCGCATAAGCCCAAGTCGAGTCTTTCTAACCTGGGCAGATTAGGTATCGGAAGTCGTAAGTCGAAGAAGTAAAGGAGTAGAGCGGATTTAGCGTATGAAATCGTTCGGGGCTTTTCTAACACCAGACCGATTAGGGGTTGAGAAGATGGGTTTGAAGAAAGGGTTGGAGATTCGGAGTCGGATTCGAGAGTTGAGGAAGAGAGGGGCATTTGTTTCGGATTCAGAGGCCGAATAAACATCAGAGAGTTCGGATTCTGGTTCGCAAGTGGAAGAAAGCGACGCACGAGAGCGTGATCTGTTCATGTACTACCAACTATTGTGGTGATCTAGCAAGATACCCATCTCGTCTTTCCCGCTGGCACAGCAGCCCAGCCATTCTACGGGAGACGGCTTTTACGCAACGCAATTCAAATCCTCGAAACCTATCTCAAAACTGTGTAGTTTGAAAACATATTGTAGCTGCCATTCACGGGCAACCTTTGCTTCTACCCAAGTAAAGTCTAAAAGCGCAATCGAGGAAGTGGTCCATCACGAAGGTGAAAGGTGTCATTTCTATTGACAGAGAAGACCAAATGCAACTGAAACATAGACAATAGAAGGCAAAAAAAACATAATATCCAGGAGAAATAAAATGTAATTCCAATATCGAGAGTAGACATTTTACACCCAACAGGTATAGATTCCAATTCGGGTGAAACGAAACGCAATTCCAACTTTTGGTTTCGAAATCACCAACATCATACAAGATCCGCCGAAGGGGGCCTGCATAACGGAAGCAGAGAAGGATCAGGGGGTCGTCGAGATTTCATCATCGCAGGAACATCACGCGAAGGAAGTCGAGAAGCGGCCGAAGCCGAACAGCAGAATAAAGCAGATAGAAGAATTGGCTAATTCAGCAGAGTCAAAGGTTCCAACCAGAGGGCGCTGAGGAAAGAGGATCAAATAAAGGTAGCAGAAAGAACCAGGACATGAAAAGCAGCGAATGAGAGGAGATAATCGTTACTCCTCACCGCCGCAAGTCATTCGATCCCCATCCCGATGGTCGCCAGCTTCCCGTTGAGTGTTTCGAGACGGTGCTTCCGGTGGGCGAGTTGGTGCCGTTGGAGTAGACATACTCGCCGTCGACGTACTGGGCACCGGTGGAAAAGGTGCTGCGATGCTTGCGGCGGGCGTAGCGCTGTTCGAGGCGGTAAAGCTCGAGCTCTGCAGGACATCGTTATTAGCCTTTGTCGATTGCATTTGGCATGGTTGCTTTTTTTCCCCATCGGAAGAGGGTCGCGTTCACGTACTTGCTTGAAGTTTATCCATTAAACCCATGGTGACGGTGCGAGGGAATTTCTTCGGACGGAATATTTTCGATCGATCAAACGATGCTATTGAACTGAATCCCCGGTGGAATTGCAATTGGGGAGTGTCGTTTGCTGTTCCTATATATGGAAGTTGACGATCGTTCCCACATGCAGCTGCGAGCGGAAAGCTGTGGTCGCCGGCAACAGACGGAAGGTCGACAGCACGTCACTGTAACAACATGGGGTCAGTCGCATTCCGAGAACACGGTATGGAGTCTGGATCGAAGGACCGGAGGGGTCGCCGGTCGCCGGTCGCTTCTTACCGTCGTAATGCTGCACCGAAGGGTGTGGATCGAAGGGAAGCGTGGAGGGGTCCGCACGAGGGACTTTTCTGCGAGGTGCCACAAGAGAATGCAAGGAGAACAATCGGTGGGGAAATCCGGGGACAAGATCAAAGGAGTGGAATTGGGGTTAGACCCAGGAACGAACGTGCAGGGCAGGAAAGATGGGAATGCAAGAGTCGGAGTCGACATCGTAGGGGAAGAGAAAGGGGAAGTGGGGAAGCGCGGGTAATAGCGCCGTGTTGACATTCCCTGACAGTGCCGTCTCTATTCACACGGAGTACTACTACTTAAGTTCTCTACGACATAGCAGTCCTGGTTGTACCGACGGAGCACCAGAACAGGGCATGGCTTAATTTATCCCCCACTGAGTACGCGTCGCCTCCAAACGGTCTGGCCCATTCGACCGGGGCGTTTCATCGGCTCCCCCTACTCCTCATCCTGCGCTAACAGTTCCTGGGCTGTACGTGCGTCAGCGTGAGTCTAGCCATCTTCGGGGTTAGTCTGTAATCCAGCGAGGGGCATACCGTTCCACAGCTCCGCATAAACGCCCTCCAGCTCGAGTAATTCGCGGTGCGAGCCGATCTCGGCGACCTGGCCGTCCTTCAGGACCAGGATCTGGTCGCTGTCGTAGATAGTGCGCAGGCGGTGCGCCACAAAGACGCTCGTGCGACTCTTCTCCCGGAGAATACTGTTAATGTTCTGGAGCAGGGCTTGCTCGGTGTAGGTGTCCAGTGCCGAAGTCTATAATGCAACCATCGAGGTGGCTGGTCAGCCACAACATCCTCATGTCCACCACTTCGGAGGCAATTTCTTCCGACTACTTACCGCTTCATCAAAGAACAAGAGCTGCGGATCCTTCAGCAGCAGTCGTGAAACCGCCAGGCGTTGTTTCTCGCCGCCTGAAATCATCATGCCGCGCTCACCCACCGCCGTCTGATATCCGTCCGGCAGCCGCTCTACCAGCTGGTGGATGCGCGCACGCTCAGCTGCCTGTCGCACCTCGGCGTCCGATGCGTCAATCCGGCCATAACGGATGTTGTGCGCAATTGTATCGTTAAACAGTGGCGTGTCCTGCGGCACCACGCCAATCGCCTGCCGGAGGCTGTCAAGCGTCACGTCGCGCACATCCTGACCGTCGATGAGAATCCGTCCCGACTGCGTGTCGTAGAAGCGGAAGAGCAGTCGCAGGATCGTGGACTTGCCGCAGCCGCTGGGACCTACAATGGCGAACTTCGATCCGGCTGGGATGGTGAAAGTGGCATTCTTGAGGATCGGTCGATCCGGGTGATAGCCGAAGGTGACATTCTCGAAGCGAATCTCGCCGCCGCGCTTCAGCTGCAGGGGCTTCGCATCGGGCTTCTCTTGGATCGTCACGTTGACCTTTTGCAGGTTGAACAGCGTCTCCATGTCCAGCAGAGACTGTCGCAGTTCGCGGTAGACGGATCCAAGGAAGTTCAGGGGAACGGACAACTGGAAGACGAGTTGGTTGACCATAACCAGATCTCCGACCGTGAGAGCACCAGTCGCGACCCCGTCAGCGGCAAAGTACATCATTCCGGCCAGCGCACTGGAGAAGATCATATTCTGGCCGGAATTGAGGAAGGCCAATGAAGTGGTCACCTTGATCGAGGCATCTTCGTAGTTCTTCAGGGCCTTGTCGTACCGGGCAACCTCAAACTTCTCGTTGTTGAAGTACTTGACAGCCTCATAGTTGATCAGGGAGTCAACCGCAACGGTAGCTCCACGGTTATCGGCGGCGTTGGCCTGGCGGCGGAACTTGGTTCGCCAGGCTGTCGTGGTGATTGTGAATGCAGTGTATGCCAACATGGTTGTGGCGGTAATGGCCGCGAACTTCACGCCATATTGGTAGGTCTAGAAGATGTGAGCCAATGTCACTCTGGGCGGGATTACTTGAAAATGGGGTCCGCTTACCAGAATACTGCAAACAAGAGAGATTTCAAGAGCCGTTGGGACGACATGGAAGACCATTGAAGTCAGCAAGAAGCTGATGCCCTTGGTACCACGGTCGATGGCCCGAGTCAAGCCGCCAGTTTGACGCGATAGATGAAAGTTGAGGTCTAACCGCAACAGATGGTCAAAGACATTTCGTGCCACCTTCCGAATGGCCTTTTGGGCAACACTAGCAAAGACTGCATTGCGAAGTTCTTGGAACAGAGTTGCGCCGATACGGGTTGCACCATCTAACCAAGCAATTCAAGTTAGCAATGAGAGGTCATTCCAGTTGCAACGGTTTGTTATCTCTCACAGGCAATGATCATGGAGCCAGCCACGGTATATGCAGTACCACCGACGGCAGCAAAATCAACGTTCATTGAGTCCACAATGCTCTTAAAGTAGAAGGGAACTTCGACGTTGAGAACCTGGGGAGTAGATCAATCAATATATAGATCCAATGAAACTCATATTAGTGAGATGACGGACCTTTGCGCCTACGAGCAGCGACAATGCGGTTCCAACACGAAGCTTGGTGCCCCAGTCGTCCTGTAACAGATCAGTACTCTATCTCCAGCTGGGCGCGTGCCTTGTAGACCATACCTTCGGCCAGAGGTACTTGGCCATTTCTCTCATGATAGCCCAGTCTGCCTTTCGCTGTTCTTTTGTGGCCTTGGACGACTCGCTCAGCAAGTCTTTCTTGGCTGGTGCTTTCGCATCGCCCTCCGCCTTCTCGACCTGGGCATTGGCTAGTTGCGACGCTGGCGGGGCCGGGGCCGGGACTGGGTTGTCCTTTGCCGACGCTGGATTTTTGCTATCTGACACCTTATTGTACAGAGGACCACCACTGGTGAACACGCGCTGTTGAGTGCCATTGCGCCTCGTCCACGGGGACGGGCCGGCGAAGCTCGGACGAGTGAACCGCGCCGTCGGGCGCCAGCACGACGACCGAGCTGCTTTGAGCAGCATCTCTGCCGATTGACAGGGTTGTTGACCGCCGAATATCGATGGATGATGCGATAGGGTTCAAGAGAACATAGTGTAGTCGACAGGAGGCAGATAACGTACGCAGCTCCCTCTGGATAGCTCGCGGGGGAGGGAACCTTGGGAGCTGCCGGCTTCGGAGGGAACGTCGGGGCCGAATGTGTACTTGTGTGTACAATGGGGAGGACGGGGAGGGGGTGTAGTAGCTGGTAGAACGAAAGGTCGAAGCGTCAGGGAGTCAATCGAACACAGGCGGCAAGGAAAGAAAGTCGAGGAAGAGCTGCAGTGCTCGTGGGCGCAATCGGCGGCGGGCGTGGTGTACTTCGACGGACCGCACGCTCGGCGCCACAATTTCCCGACGGGCTTTGCATCCAGCTTCCACTCTGACGTAAAGCCCCTTCCCACCACCACCGCGGTCGTCTACCAGGAACCATGAGTCCAGTCCTCCAGCGAGGCGTCCGGACTTTGTCGGGGACTCGACTTGTCTCTCGTGTGCCCCGGCATGCGAGATGCGTCCAGATTCGCGCGACGCCCTCGGAAGAGCCCACGCTCAATGGGGATCACCTGCCCCTCGCCAATACACCCAGCTCCGCTGAGTCTCGAGGTATGCACATTACCGGCACGATCCTCAAAAAGAATCTTTTCTAATGCCAGAATTTAGACGCGCGATTCGACGTCGTCGGCGCGCCCTATTCGCTTCTCTCGGTGTCTCTCTCGCCTTCGCAGAACCTCTCTACACGCGCCGCGGAACCCTAGTCGGATTGAGCGGCAAGGCAGACAATGTATGTTACCAATGGATTTCGATCTGGGTTTACCGTGATATGAAGAGGGCTGACTGTCATAATAATAGGTTATTTCGTCGTTGAGCGTTCTAGAACCCTTCCGCAGGGCTATTGTCGGGACCCCGTTCCTCTACCAAAAGGTTTGTCGCATACATGTTCAGTCAATCCAGGCCACGGAACAGCAATTGACCAGACCATAGGTCTCATCAGCTAGTCCAGTTACAGCCCTCGTCTCCGTTCGGTCTCCCAACACCTCTTTCGCAGTCGTGAACCTAAATGGTTCTGTGGATTGGATGGTCGCTCAGCGGCGTGCCTTGTTGGCTTGGACGGGCCGGTCTCTGTCCATTAAGCCTACTATCAACACTAACCTGGTTTGTGACTCTGTCTTATATGGGACGGCGATCGATTTTGGCTAATTCATGCAGAGCTTGTCTCACTGGGGCAGCTCCGAAGTCACTGGGCGAGGATTGATGGCTCTTGTTGGAAACGGGCAGGTGTACTCCGTGGACTTGAAGGATGGAGAGCAGTACATTGCTCACCCCAGGTACGTGGAATTTTGTCCCTTCTCAAGCTGATCGCACGCAAGCGCTAACATGCACTGTAGCAATGTCGTCGCCTATACCATGTCCTCCAACCCTCCTCGTCCATACCGCTTCAAATCCACTACCCTCAACTTCCAAGTTCCCGGCCTGAAGACTCTTCCCAGACTCTTGCAGGGCAACAAGTTCATCCGCGACATGTCTGACTCCAACACATGGAAAACCACCATGAGCTTGCTTCACAAACTGCGAACATGGTCTCGAATGACAATTTGGGGAGATAGAGTGAGTCGCGCTCGAAACGCACGAGGTCGATGGTAATTCTGACTAACCTAAACTTTTTTATAGCTCTTCCTGCAATTCGATGGTCCTGCGACCATTCTGGTGCAATCGCGTGGCCCCCGTGTGAACGACGTCCTGTCCGGTCGGGAGGTTAACGAAATCGCCGGCACACCTCGGGGCCTGACCTCTTCACCACGGCAGATAGAAGAGCAAAAGCTGAAAGAGGAAGGAGAGGTTGTGAATGGCGTTCCAGATATCGCACGTTCGATCGACAACCTGCGCCAGGAGACCGTGGGAATTAGCCAAAGTATCGCCAAGATTCGCAAAGACGGCAAGGTCGAGATTGAAGAGGTGGGCCGCACCAAGGACGTCTAGAAGCAGACTTCAGTTATCGGACGGCTTTTTCTTTGCATTGGATTCTTCATGGGCTAGAGGTGGTTTCTCTTTGGAGGGTTCAGCATCCTGTACAGTATTGTGGGCATTTTCGAATCTCGGCCATCTTGCCGTCACACCAATCTTTATTTTCTTTTTTGATGGCATTTACTGCTTGGTGATATCCTGTGTAGGACACGAAGTTGTCACCGTCTTTGTTTCCCGGAAGCTCTACAGGCTCGAGCTACCAGATCTCCGCACTCCGCTGAAAACTCCATCAATAAAATCCAATGCCTTTTTGTATGCCTCCATCGATGCCTTCGAAACCTCTGATTCGGGGTCACCCGAAAAATCTCCCAATCCATGAGGGCCATTCTTCACAAGCAAAAGTTCCGACTGAACCCCTAATTTCTTCAGCTGTTCATGCTGATCTATGCTTTCCTGCGGCGATACGACTTCGTCGGCCGTACCATGCACAAAGATAGAAGGCGAGTATTCACTCGTGACAAATGACTGCAAGAGACCAGGCTTCAGATCCGACGGAAACATAAGGGCTCGCTGTACATAATCCACTTTATCCAAGGTGCTCCCAAGCGATTGTCGCCCAAAAATACCATCTAGAAATGTACCGGTGAGTTCCCAATGAACTGTCAGCGCAAATCGCTTTGACAAAGGCCCAGCTGTAGGCTGTCGTCGCTGACAACCGTCTTATCCTCGAGTAGTCTGGGAACAGCGTTCAGGTCGATACACTTCGCAATTGATGTTGGTGGGCGTGCACGCGTCCAGTGATCCAATAGCAAATTGCCTCCGAGGCCATATATAGATAGCATAACAGCCGGCTTGGGTTTTGCGTATATGCATGCTGCCCGAGCTGAGTATGCACCTGCGGAAAAGCCGGAAACAGCAATGCGAGTCGCATCTAAAGTCAGAGAATCTGGCAATTCGTTGTTGAATTCTTCGCTGCTAATGAATATGAGCAGAGCCTTTGTATCGTCGACCTGATCGAGGGCTGTAGAAGGGTGGCAGAGTCGGTAGTCGGCTGAAATGAATATGTAGCCTCTTTCCTGGCAATGATCTGATGATACATGAAATGTCAGTTGACAAGTCAAACAAGTGTCAGATGTCGTATCCCACCATATAACCATTGAGGGAACGGTGCGCCGCGCCGCGACCCAGCGGTCATTCCTCCGCCGTGGTAGTAGATCAGTGCACGCAAGTTGCCCGTGACAGGAGGGACGTAATAATCTAGCTTGATGTCATGATCACCAACCGTGGAGTAGACCAAGGTGCGGCCTCTCTGAGACAACTGTGTCTCCATTTTGAGAATAACGGTCTGCCAGGAGACTAGTCAGGTTAGAAGTGACGTTAGACTCGAGGGGTTACCAGATTTGGATAAAATATTGCCGCCAGTTAGGTTGAAGGGTTGTGGGGAAAGCATATCTCCACATGGCAACCTCTATGTATACACTATTCCTGGAAAGCTAGAAGAGCGATCAGGGGAATTCGAAAAAGTCTGTATGTTGTAGCTAACAGTCGAACCAGCTAGATAATGATGAACCGGAAGAATCGACAAAGAAGCAAAAATAAGCTTCGCGCATTGCTGCCACGCGGGAGGAGCATGGACCACTGGCGGAGATTATAGCTTATCAGATTCACTTGAAATGGAACAATTTCATTATAATTTCGTGGGATAAACAGGGACAAAACGTCTGGATGGCAAGGTATGTGTCGTTTGGTGATGGAGCCAGGGATTGCAAAAAAAAAAAAAAAAAAAAAAGGGTCTGTCTGTGCACCACATTGACCAAAAGCAGACGCAAGACCCCCTAAAACACCCGCTCTGACGGTGAACCGAAGATCCTGCAATGCCAACTCTCGGAGCCTCGGTGATTACCCCGATATAGCAAGAACTCACTATCTCCGGGAAGCCACAAATTGCGCCTCCAAGTCGGCTGAATCTTGGCTAGCTGTGCCCCAATAGCTTTTTCTCATAGGATCCTCTGAAGGAAACTTTTCGAGCCTCATCCCGACATCGACAGGACGGAGTCGGGGCACAGGATTCGGGGTCGGGACACAGAAGTCGGGGCTAAGCAGCCGGAGTCCAGAATTGAGATGTGTCTGTGGGCGAGTGTGGGCCCGGAGAATCTCCAGAGAACACGCCCTGTCTGTTCCTGGTTAGTGGCACACAAAATGCGAAGATCGCGCTCGGAGTTAGTTAGGCGCGATGCCGAGAGTGCGATCGTATCGGTGCTTCTTATTTGACTAAGTTTCCCTGCCCATGTTCTTCTTTTGATTCACGCGCTCTCGAATTGTCATAACTACATTTTCTACAAAGCGGCTGATCTACAGTACTACTGGATCTTGAAGTACTTCGTCGGAACTTGGACAACACCCGGCGAATCTACTACTTTTACCATTGCGTGGTAAATACCTACTAGGCCGATACCCTAGGTGCTACTCATAGTAGTAGCGAACGCTAGTGGGGACCTCTGGAAACCGTACTGGTACCATAGGTAGGGCCACCGAGGTATACTCAATTTCCGCGGTTTCTCCGTGAAAGTAAGTCCCCCCAACTCGTCACTTCTCTGCTTTGCAACGCGCCTTCCTGGTTCATACCCCGCTTCTCTTATCTTCTCTATCTTCTTTTTCAGCCCTTCTCATCCTCCTGCTGAAAACAAATCTGTGTCTCTCTTCTGCTCGATTCCCAACTATGTCGCTCTCTAACATCCCTCACTGTCGCACAGGTTCTCACTGATTACCGTCTTGTGATTCCGGGCCAAGCAAAACCAAGAAATCGGGCGAAAGGACGCATCTCCTGAAAGTGTGAGGTGGTGACAACCATGACGGCGAATCGAGATCAGGACGTGCCTTCTATCGGCAGCACCACCACTACCAACGCCGTTCCGTCGAACCTCTCGACACCCGCCATTAGCGTTCAAATGAATGGCGACTTGGAGAAGGGATCTCCCCAGACAGATCAGCAGGATATGGCGGAACTCAACGCCTCGGAGTCACAAGAGGGTCGTCCCCAGCCCACGGAGAAACCCATCGTGCCCCCTTCAGGACCGTCAGCGGGTTCGGCTCCAGGCCCGCCACCAGATGGAGGACTTAAAGCATGGATAACTGTGCTGGGAGCTTTCTGTGGCTTATTCGTCAGCTTTGGATGGATCAACTGTGAGTGTTCCTCTTGGATTCCCCTTCACCATGATTCTTGGCAACCCTCGCTCACATTTACTCAGGTATCGGTGTTTTCCAAACTTACTATGAGAGCCACCAGTTGAGTGGCATGTCCCCAAGTACAGTGGCCTGGATCACCTCGCTCGAGACCTTCGTCATGTTCTTCGCCGGTCCGCTCTTCGGTATTCTCTTCGATAACTATGGCCCACGCTGGATCCTGCTTGCTGGAACGTTCCTCCACGTCTTTGGCCTCATGATGGCATCTCTCTCGACAGAATACTACCAATTCATTCTCGCACAAGGCATCTGTAGTCCTCTTGGCGCAAGTGCCATCTTCAATGCCTCTGTCAACTCTGTCAGCGGCTGGTTCGCTAAACATCGAGCCTTCGCGCTAGGTGTAACAGCCTCTGGATCAAGCTTGGGTGGTGTCATATTCCCCATCATGGTGTCAAAACTGATTCCACAGGTTGGTTTCCCGTGGGCAATGCGCATTTGCGCATTTTTGATCCTCTTCATGCTAGGTATCGCCAACTTGACTCTCAAGTCGAGGTTGAAGCCGCAGAAGAAGGTGTTCCACGTAATGAATTTCATCCGACCACTTGGAGATATCAAGTTCGTCTTGACGGTTGGGGCAGCATTTTTCTTCTTCTGGGGCATGTTCTTGCCATTCACATTCGTGATTACTTCTGGACAACGGTATGGCATGTCAGAGCACATGTCGGAATATCTCATTCCCATCCTGAATGCAGCAAGGTATGTTTCCAAAACCCTTATCCCCAGGAAATACTGCCAATGTCAAATACTAACACACAAAATAGCATCTTTGGTCGAACTCTTCCAGGATATCTCGCAGACCGTGTCGGCCGCTACAACGTGATGATCTTTTTCAGTTTCCTCTCCGGCATCCTCGTCCTAGCCCTCTGGCTACCGTCCCGCAGCAACGCCCCGGTGATTGTCTTCAGCGCTCTTTATGGGTTCGGCTCAGGAGCTTTTGTCTCGCTCGCACCCGCACTGATCGCACAGATCTCCGACCTTCGCGAAGTTGGCGTTCGGAATGGGACTTGCTTCTCCATCATCTCGTTGGCCGCATTGACTGGTACACCTATTGGTGGAGCATTGGTTCCGAATGTGCTGCATGGCTCATACACGAAGTTGCAGGTCTTCTGCGGTGTTGTGATGATTGCCGGCGCGTCGCTGTTTATTGTGGCGCGCATCGTGGTTGGAGGGGCCAATTTCAAAAAGGTGTAATCATGGTTAATCATGGCTCGCATATAGAAAAGCTTAAACTTGCTATCAGAAAGGACCGATCTTTTCTCTTTCGTTATTGGGGCGGAAGTGTATTTTTTAATGTGCATATTGAAGATCTAGCAAGCTTTCGGAAGGAAGTTTGCTCAAAACTCATACAAACCAGCTAATTCTTCATGCCTACCTTATTGGGGCTCAAAATAATTCATTGTTACTACCCAAAACAGGTGTTAAATGGTGGATCTCTTTCAGGATTTGAGCAACGGCTAGAAAAGCGCTTTCAGGTGTATAGAATTTCATTCTTTAAGTAAATTCCAAGCCTTGCCACACATGGCTATACCAAAACGCCCCAGCACCGTCGCTGAAGAAGATGCATGTCAAAAATGGAAATGCCCGAGCATATAATGCCCCAAGGCCGGAAATGCAAAGAAATCAAACCAGCACGCCGCTGCGCATGTTCTCAACTGTACGAACCCCCACGCCCTTCAGAGTGCTTAGCTCGGCAAGGCTGCTGAGCTGGAACTGAGGCTGGTCCGAGATCATCTCTATATCACCGCTGCTCGACGATGACTGGTCCATCTCACAGAGACAATCCACGATAGCTTCTGCCTTTTTCATGCCAACACCCTTCAACAACTTGATTTGGCTCACGTCTCGTGAGTTAACGATCGAGAGCAAGTGGAGAGTCCGAGGCGACACGGTGGGATCAAAATCATCCAGAGCATCCAATTCAGGATCACTTTCACGAAGGGACTGGGTGTTGCGCTTCTTCGAATTGGGAGGACCATCGTCATTAGAAAAAGCATCGCCAGCCTGTCCCATGTAATCAGCATCGACATCTTCTGCCTGGCGCTTTCCAAGCGTTAGGGTAGGCTCCTTCTTGAGGGAAAGCATGCTCCCGAACCTGCCTTTAGGAGGGGATGCAGGTGTGATAGAAGAGCGTTGCTGGGTCTTTCCCTGCATACGCTCCTTCAAGGTAGCAATCTTGGAAGCCAGCTTCTCGTTGTTCGGGAAATGGGGGAGAGCCAGCTGATACATCTTAAGAGCAGAGCTGTTCTCACCACGGGCCTGGTGCTGCTTCCCCATGAGCAAGTACGACAGACCCTCGGCGCGAGCATCCTCGGTACCCTCGATCCGCTGTTCCAGCTGAGCCAAGCGCCGCTGGAGCTGGTCGTTCAACTCTTGGACTTGGTTCTGACGTGTTTGTTCGCTGACAGCTCGAACGGCAAGGATTTCCTCGACTTTCTTCTCAACCATCTCCTCGATTCTTGCCGCAGAAATGTCGGCATGACTGGGTTGTGGCTCGGGCTCGGACGGAATAGGAGCGAGTGTCGGACGTGATTGCTTCAGTGAGCGCATAGCAGGGCCGTCCGCAGAGAGAGAGGGGTCTCGAGAGAGAGGATCGCCTTGGCAGTTCAGACTTCCGGCTTTGTGTCAAAGCTTTCGCCTGTGGTCGGTCAGAGAACACGCTGAATGCCTTTGGCGGTTTTTCATCTTCCTTTTTGGCCGGGTCCTTTGCGCCAGGAGCGGGCAAGTTGACGTTGACGGAAGCATTGAGGGGCCGCAGTGGCTGTCGTGAGCTTGCCAGCGAAGGACGAACTGACGGCCGTGCAGGACCTTTGAAGATCGGATCATTCTCAATCTCGCGTACTTCAATTTTCCTGGTACGATTGGCGACACTGAGGGAACTGATGGTGTCCAAATGATACGATCGAACCGGGGCTAAGTTGAGGATCATTACGGTCAAGCCGTTGTTTTGACCCAAAGACAAGATCCTGGTCATCTTGGATTCGCGATACGGAATACGGTGCTGCTTCTTCGTGATCGCTTCGACACACTGGGCGAGGACGAAGAGACTCTTGTTGATGCTCGCCGACTCCACCATACGTTCTTTGTCATTTTCCGTTCGACGGTTATCCTCCGATCCTGCCAAGTCAATGGCAGATGCCGTGCTGACGCGAGTCTTGTCTGAAGATATCATTGTGATCTTTACACCGAGAATAGCATGCGACCGGGAGGAATGGGCGTTCAACTATAGATAATATAACTTTAGCAAAAACATGGCAGCATTTGCGGTTGACTATGAGACCTACCTTGGTAGCGGAGGTTGACCGATTGTTGTTCGCCTGGTCATAAAGACCTTCGAACTCCTTCAAGCTGGTACAAGGCTTCTCGGTCAAGCCGCAGACCACTGTCTTGCCTCCATTATCACGGAGAGGTAGTCCAGCCAAAGTGCGCTTCTCGGGGGGCTCGAACAGATCATACACCTTGTCATTGTAGATCTCGTAGTAGCTCAAGGACACTTTCACCTGAGTCTCGCCTTCGGTATCCTTCTCGATCTTCCGGCTGCGCCTGTAGATGCCACTCAGGAGTCGTGGGATGACACCTCTGTCCGCGAGGCTTTTACCGCCGCGCATCGTATGTGTTTTCCCAGTTCCGGTCACACCGTAGGCAAAGAGCGTGACATCAAACCCATTGAAGAGATGTTTGATGGTAGGTGCAACTACACCGGTGATCAGTATCCTCATACCAGGCCATTGAGCTCTCTCAACCGGAAGGGTGCATAAGACCTACCCTCAGCATCAAACAGTTCCTGCTGCGCCACATCGGAGTCATACACCGCATTGAATTGGAAGGTGTATTCCTCGCCCTCGTTCTTGGGGTTGGGGATCCGCACGATGTTATCACGGTCTCTCAGCGCGGCGAGCTTCCGGTCGCCATTTTCCGTCTCTCGAAGTTTGGCCTCGGCGGTGATGGCAGATACACCGGTGCGAACAATGACATCGAGTTCCCGCTCAGACTTGAGAAGAGGTCGAACACGTGCAACGACTCGGACGCTCATTATGGCCGCTCACACATTCACGTGTCTCGAAACTGGGTATCGCGAAGGGAGAAGTCGAAAGTATTGAAGGGACCGACGGCAAGGAGAAGAAAAGAAAAATCCAACAAAATCCTCCAACAAGAAACAAAACTATCTATGGTGAAGAGCGAACTGGGTGTCGGGTTGTCGAGTGTCGTGTGGAGGTGTTCGCCGGCAGGAGTTCGCAGAAGACATTGTGGTGGATGGTTGTTGGCAGGGCAACCATGCAGGCATTCGGCCCTCACACGAACGATGTTGGGACCAAATGCCCACACCAGTTGATTCGTCTTCAAAATAGTGCCGAATAAATAGTGTGCTATTTGATTGATGACAGGGGAGTTTTCTATTCGGTCTCTGTAGATATGATGTATCAAAGGTATATAATATTCTACCAATAAATTCCTGCCAATGTAATCACCGCCGTGTACATTATATATCGGTGCACGCGGCCTAGGGCCATGGTATTAATTGGAAACCATCGCTTCGGATTCCAGAGGAAACATTGTGACTACAATCTGGGAATCGATAACTATGATAAAAATATTCTAAGCACAATTCTCGTTTGTATATTTGAATGACCCTAGGAAGTTCACATTGGTACGAGTGTTCTGCACAGCGTATACTGCCGAGCTCACATGCAGCCCCGTGATTGGCCGGCCAGCCGCAACCTAAAGGCCACCTTCCATCACCGCCTCTCTCGTCTTTCCCCCTCGGTGTGGTGTCCTCGAGGTACGACTCCCCTCTGTTGCAAGCTGAGATCTTCGGTCGATTTTTAGACCTAGGTCGCTGCTACACTGTACCCCCGCTGGCCATTGCTTATGCTGATTGTGGGGTTCTAGCGAAGCTGTTACCCGCGCATCCCAATATCAACCTACCTCCCGCATCCACCCCCTTCCCCTCCAACAGGGAATTCCATTCCGATCACTATCGACCACAGCACACCTCCATGTCCGCTCCACAAGGGGGTTACCCTCCCCAGGAAGGGTATGGCCAGCCGGCCTACGGCTCCCCCGATCCCGCGCAGTCGCCCGTCCCCCCGCAGGGACAGCCGGTGCCCCAGGCCGGAGGGAGGAAGAAGAGAGCATACGCCGGCGAGGCCTTTGAGTTCGGATCTGGTGCCAATGCTGGTCTCGGTGGACAGCCTACCGCTGGAGGGGCCTATGGCGCATACCCTCAGCCGGCGCAGCCTGTTGGATATCAGCAACCTACATATGGAGCTGACCCCGGTCAGATGCAGCCGATGCAGGCCCAGCCACCGGTAGGAGGATATGGCCATCAGGCCTCTGGTAGCATCTCGGGTATGACCCAGCAGTTCGGCGCAATGGGCATGTCCGAGCCACACCATGTTCTTCCCCCTCAGCAGCAGCCTGTCCAGCCCCAGCGCCATGTTCAACTTAACCAGCTTTACCCTACGGACCTGATTTCGCAACCCTTCAATGTTGCCGAGCTCGATTACCCCCCGCCTCCTATTATCCTACCTCAGGGTGTATGTCGATGACCCCTCCACCAATGCTGGACAGATGAATGAGCTACTGACGATTCCCACAGAGCAGTGTTTACCCCTCCCCCGAAGCCAATTGCCCTACCAAATACATGCGGTCTACGCTGAACGCAGTCCCGACCAATAATTCGCTCTTGAAAAAGTCGAAGCTGCCATTTGCGCTCGTGATCCAGCCCTATGGTTCCCTCCACGACGCCGAAGACCCAATTCCTGTGATTCCAGACCAGGTCATCTCACGATGCAGACGTTGTCGTTCCTATATCAACCCCTTTGTTACTTTCCTCGACCACGGACACCGCTGGCGCTGTAATATGTGCAACCTGACCAATGATGTGCCCCAGGCATTCGATTGGGACGCGACCCTGCAGAAGCCGGCTGATCGGTCATTGCGTGCGGACCTGAACCATAGCATGGTGGAATTTATCGCGCCCCAGGAATATATGGTCCGACCACCCCAGCCGCTTGTCTACACATTCTTGATCGATGTGAGCTATTCATCCGTGGTCAGCGGCCTCCTGGCCACTACCGCACGCTGCATTAAGGAGAGTCTCGATCGCATCCCCAATGCGGACCGCCGGACTCGACTGGGCTTTATTGCCGTGGACTCTAGCCTGCACTATTTCAGCATCCCCCGGGATAACTCGGAGAGCTCTGAGCCAAGGATGCTTGTCATCAGCGATCTGGACGAGCCTTTCCTGCCGACTCCCAATGATCTCCTGGTAACCCTGAGCGAGAGCCGGGAAAACATTGAGAGCTTCCTCGATAAGCTGCAAGCGATGTTCCAGGACACTCAGAACAACAGCTGTGCGATGGGCTCCGCATTGCAGGCCGGTTATAAGCTGATCTCTCCTGTCGGCGGTAAGATGACTGTTCTCAGCGCGTCGCTCCCTAACATTGGAACTGGGGCGCTCACCATGCGTGAGGACAAGAAGGTCCTGGGAACAAGCAAGGAGTCGAACTTGTTGCAGACTGGTAATGCCTTCTACAAAAGCTTTGCGGTCGAATGCTCCAAGGCCCAGGTCTCTGTGGACATGTTCCTCTTCTCCTCCCAATATCAGGACGTGGCATCACTGAGTAACCTGCCACGCTACACTGGTGGCCAAACCTATTTCTACCCCGGCTGGAATGCCGCGCGCAAGGAAGATGTTTTCAAATTTGCCACCGAATTTTCCGACTATCTTTCTTCGGAGATCGGCCTGGAGGCCGTTCTTCGGGTGCGTGCCACCACTGGTCTGCGCATGAGCACGTTCTATGGAAACTTCTTCAACCGTAGCTCCGATCTTTGCGCCTTCCCGGCCTTCCCTCGCGACCAGGCTTACGTCGTGGAAGTGGCTATCGATGAGACCGTGGCCAAGCCGGTCGTTTGCTTGCAGGCTGCCGTCCTTCACACCACCTGCAATGGTGAGCGACGGATTCGCGTTCTGACGCTCGCCCTTCCGACCACCACCAACCTTGCCGATATCTATGCCTCGGCTGATCAGCAGGCCGTGGCTACTTTCTTCAGCCACAAGGCCGTTGAGCGTACCCTGAGCAGTGGTCTCGAGCCCGCTCGGGAAGCATTGCAGGCAAAGATTATCGAGTTGTTGACGACTTATCGCAAGGAGCTTGCCGGTGGCAGCGTTAGCGGCGGTGGTCTCCAATTCCCAGCCAACCTTCGCGGCTTGCCAGTTCTGTTCTTGGCGATGATCAAAAATGTAGGTTTCTTGCTTCTTGATCCTCTTCCTCCGTGAGATTCTATGATTTGTGTACTAATTGCATTTCTAGCTTGGTCTGCGCAAGTCTGCACAGATCCCGACGGACATGCGGTCGGCCGCTCTGTGTCTTCTGTCCACTCTGCCCCTGCCTCTCCTCATTCAGTACATCTATCCCAAGATGTATTCTCTGCACGACATGCCCGATGATGCGGGTGTGCCGGACCCTCAGACCGGCGAGACCGTTCTGCCGCCGACCGTCAACCTGTCGTCGGGCCGCCTGGCCTCCTATGGTCTGTACCTGATTGATGACGGACAGAACCAGTTCCTGTGGGTGGGACACCAGGCGGTGCCGCAGCTGATCGAGGATGTGTTTGGTGTGGCCGACAAGAGCCAGTTGCGGGTGGGCAAGCAGATGCTGCCGGAGGTGGACAACGAGTTCAGTCAGCGGGTACGGGCGGTGATCGAGAAGAGCCGCGACCACCGGTCTAAGGGCGTGGGTAGCATGATCGTGCCCCATCTGTACGTGGTGCGCGAGGATGGCGAGCCCGGGTTGCGTCTCTGGGCGCAAACGATGCTGGTGGAGGACCGCGCGGACCAGAGTGTCAGCCTGGAGCAATGGATGACGACTCTGCGGGAGAAGGTATGATTAGATCTCATTCCCTCCAGGAATGTGGATGTATCTGACTATCTATTCAGGTCGTGCAGTGATGACATTTGACATATTCTCCCGTGTGGTGCTCCATCACGGTCATGATCATCTGAATTTCCATTTCCATTTGATCCTTTTTTTTGGTTGGATCTCCCTTGTACCAGTAGGGGCTTGGATCTCTCATGTTTTGGCAACTGTAGAAGGGATTGATTATACATCTACGAGTAGCTCGTTTTCCCGAAAATGATATTTTTGTCTTCCAATCCGCAGGAGGGTTCCAGCCCCAACCCAATGGTCCGAATATAGCACGCCAATAGCGCGCCGGTGTCGAGTGGTGAAACCAGGATGGCCGGCGGGGTGCCAATCATGGCGGCCGCACGCGCGCGGAGTGGAGCCGGCGAGTGACTGTGATAGTGACCAGCTCCGACAGTAGCGCCGTGTTTCGACGAGGCACTTCGCATTGGCGCTGTGGCTTCCGGTTTGCTGGGAATGTGAGTGACCTCAGGAACTTGACCAGCTGCGGCATCCGTGGTTCTGTCGATTCTGTATACTGACGGTGGAGCCGCGAGCCAAGGTTCATCGGATTCCTCTAGCCCTCTATGTACTTACATACACTGTGTACTGCTCCCTAGGTAGGAGTCAAACTTGAAGTACTAACGAGTACCTGGCTGTACCCTCCCCCCGTGCCACTTTCTACGGACGTGCAAGTACCTGGCGGTATCCCCTCTGAAACCCGTGGCCTTAGGTAACCCCCTCCCCTGATCGTACCTGCCCCACCATCCTGCGGCCCGTGGCTGAGTCCCGTCTGCTTCTCCCCACGTCTGCCTCTCCTTCTCTGCGTCTGCGTCTGCTGCGTGCTGCTTCTTCTGTTCTTTGCTTGCACTGACACCACCCGTTCTCCCTCTCTTCTATCATCTGTTCGTCAATGACACCCCGCCTCGGCTCGGCTCGGCTGCTAATAATGCTCTCAGACTCCCGAGAACCCTCCGCCGTTCTCCCTCTTACTCGATACTGGCTCAGAGCTCGGCCTCTGCTAGCTTTCCTTCCTGCCTACCAACCCCTGGCTCGCACCGGTCAAGTTTTTGACGGCATAAGAGCCTGATTCCGGCGATCGAGCGACCAAGACCTGACGAGAAAGCGTCGAGCGCGAGGGAAAACACAACACCCATTCCAAACCTCCTCCCGGCGCAAACGACAGGTAAGCTCTACTTTCGACCCCATTGAGTGCACTGCTTGCCTTGTGGATTTGTTTCGGCGGTCAGGCGGCCTTGATTCTGCCTCTCGATTGATTTGGTCCCGAGCTCGGGGAGCTTTTGTATCCACCTGAGGCCAGCGGATCAAATTATCTTCAGGGCGTATCACGGTCAAACAGGGCCTGCCTGGTGATGCAAAGATGATCCGGCGCATGACACAGCGCATCATGCACAAGTTTGACGAGTTGCCGGATGGGATAATGAGAACTGACCGTGATCCCCCCAGACCCCCACCTCCAGTCGACCCTCCATCTACAGTCGACTCCCCATCTCCAGTCGACGACATGGGTCAGCAGAACCCCCCGTCGGGAGGATCGCGGAAGATCTCCTTTAACGTCTCCGATCAATATGAGATCCAGGATGTGATTGGTGAAGGTGCCTACGGTGTGGTTTGGTAAGTCTGCAATCCTATTAGTATTGTCATGAGAGCGCGGGAGGAATTTCCGAATCGAAGCTAATGTGCTTGCAGCTCTGCCATCCACAAACCGTCCGGCCAGAAGGTCGCTATCAAAAAGATTACCCCTTTCGATCACTCCATGTTCTGTCTCCGAACGCTGCGCGAGATGAAACTGCTGCGCTATTTCAACCACGAGAACATCATCTCAATCCTGGATATCCAACGACCCCGCAACTATGAGGGCTTTAACGAAGTCTACTTGATTCAGGTGCGCCTCCCAGCTGCAGCACCGAGATCCGTGATCTTGATGGGAATGAACACATACTAATCTGTTTTGCAGGAGCTGATGGAGACTGACATGCACCGAGTTATTCGTACACAAGACCTGTCGGACGACCACTGCCAATACTTTATTTACCAGACGCTGCGCGCGCTCAAAGCCATGCACTCGGCAAATGTTCTCCACCGTGACTTGAAGCCATCCAACCTTCTGCTCAACGCCAATTGCGATCTGAAAGTCTGCGACTTCGGCTTGGCGCGATCGGCCGCATCTACCGACGACAATTCCGGATTCATGACGGAATACGTTGCCACTCGCTGGTACCGTGCCCCCGAGATCATGTTGACATTCAAGGAGTACACCAAGGCAATTGATGTATGGAGTGTTGGCTGTATTCTAGCCGAGATGCTGAGCGGCAAGCCCTTGTTCCCAGGAAAGGACTGTACGTGGACGTTCAACCCATGTGATATGTAGCAGTGGTGCTAACAATATCTAGACCACCACCAACTGACCCTGATCCTGGACGTACTTGGCACTCCCACCATGGAAGATTACTACGGTATCAAGTCCCGACGAGCACGCGAATACATTCGTTCTCTTCCCTTTAAGAAGAAGATTCCTTTCCGGGCCCTCTTCCCGAAGAGCAACGAGCTGGCCTTGGATCTGCTCGAAAAGCTGCTGGCTTTCAACCCGGCCAAGCGTATCTCTGTCGAGGACGCCTTGCGCCACCCATACCTGGAGCCTTACCACGACCCGGATGATGAGCCGACGGCGCCGCCTATTCCGGAGGGTTTCTTTGATTTCGATAAGAACAAGGATGCTCTGAGCAAGGAGCAATTGAAAGGTATTTTCCCCTTTCCGGTTCCGACGCCAATCTGTATTTCTGAGCGGCCATGACTAACAAATACCAGTTCTGATCTACGAGGAAATCATGCGATGAAGATTTTGAGTACCAGCGTGAGAGTGATTTTCAAGCATGCAATCCATTTCGTGAGCGATCGCCATGATTTCATAGGCCTGGATAGCAATCCATGAGTGATCCATTTTTGACAATTCACCACGTAGCTTCATTTTGACCGAATCCATATATACAGTCTATTTAATATGTACAGCTGCACAATCAGCATTTCAACTGGGCATGAGATCTATCGACTCTTCATAAACCTCTTGATGCCCTCGCCAACACCTTCTGGACTTGGCTTCTCAGCACAAACATGCGGTTCAAACCCAAACTTGTTCCTCAAATGATCACGCGTCGTAGGGCCGATCGTCGCAACAAATATCCTCCTCGAGCCCTTGCTGCTAGCACTGGAACCATCTGAAGCAAAGGGACCCAATTTCAAAACCCGTAGCATAGCCTCGCATCCGGACGGAGAAAAGACAACCACCCAAGTAACTTCCTCGCCGGCACAGCCCTGCACACACTCCGCGAAATCCTTCTCGAAGGAATCCATCTCACCAGTCTCGTAGACAACAATTTCATCCACGTTTATCCTCTTGTCTTCCGGGAGGGTCGGATCCATCAATGTCTTGGGTATGATATCTCGGCGTTGTTCTCCAACCAAGAACAACAGTCCTGGTTTGGACTTGGGAGCGCCATTCAAATCCGAAGTCGCCATTTTCTGTAGATCATTGTAGTGATCGAGCATCATATGCGCCAGGTTTTCACCTGTTCCCGTATCCGCGCCGTGGATCGTACTGGTGGGTAGGTACTTGTCGCGCAATGAGGAGAGGGTTCGTGCTGTGGCCGGGCCGACGGTGTAAAGAGGAATCGAAGGGGTCGCGGGAACTATACCAGAGACATGGACTGTTAGCTCCGCTCAATTTCTCGAGGGTGTATCAGGCTGGGCGGAGACATACGGCCTTTTTCCTCGATCATCTGCGCGAAACCCTCCACCGCACGCTGGCTGGTGAAAATCATGCCACCATATTGTTTTGAGGTGCCAGCAGTGGGGAGTTGTACGTTGGTGCTTGTGGGACCAGCATCATTCGTCTTTTGTCCGAAGGCGCCGGCTGCGAAGAGCTCGCGCACGTCGGCAAGGTTAGAGGTGTGGAAGCGGTGTTCGAGGACGGGGACAAAGGTTGGAGTGTAGTTGTTTGCGGAGAAGAAGTCGTCGTAGCCGTCGTTTGGGGAAGACTTGGTCTTCAGGAGGAGAATTGGAGGTGACATTCTCGGAGGCCAATGGGTAGATGCGATGGTTGGAGAAGTGAGTAGCTTTCGCCGGAGCTGGGCATCCCGCGGTTATCGGGTTGCGGGGCGGTCCAACGCTAATTGAAGCTGCACCATATAATACATTGACTGTACTAGTACTACCTACTATCCAAATACGAGTGCGTTCAGCTGTTTCGCCTGCTAAGAATTTTGACTCAAATGATTTTGGGGAACACAAGGAAATTGACTTCTAGGACGGCTTATGTACATATTAAAACAGACTACTGGTCATCCAGCACGTGGAGGTACTTCTTCTCCTCCTTGCGCTCTGCCTCCGTCATGGGGGGCAGATCGTAGTAGGTGGACTTACGGTATCCTTTCTATAGGGCTGTTAGCAGTATCCAGTGGCATAGGTGGAAAGGCATAACGTACCAGATACTCGAAGATCATGTCAGTCACCTCGGGGGTCTTTTCAATGCCCAGGTCCTTGAAGGTCTTGGCCTCGGGGTCAATAACCTGGTCGTGGAACTCGCGCTCGACCTCGTCGGCGGAGGTGATGTGCCACCACAGGGCCTTGTTGAGGTAGTAAGAGAAGGGCTTGGCAATGACCTTGGGAACGTTGATGTGGCGGCGCTCCTTGACAATTTCGCGGTCGACAAGCTCGGCAAGCTCGGCCATCGAGTAGTTGGTAGGACCGTAAAGCTCGTAGGTCTGACCAACGGAGCTCTCGTTGTGCAACATCAGCTCCAGGGCGTGTCCAACCTGGGGGGCCTAGACAGAAGATGTGGGTTAGTACGTGTCGTCTCTCGTCGGTGCTTCATTCTTCTACTTACGTGAACGGGCCAGAAGCGCTCCTGCATGTTGTTGGCTGTGAAAACATTGGTGACGCGAGCGAGCTTGTGAAGGAGGTTGTCTTCGAAGCCGAACATCGGGGCAGGGCGAACAATGGTCGTCTCGGGATAGATGTTGCGGACAACTTCCTCACCCCACGCCTATACAACTGTTAGTGTCTGCGCACATTGAGTACTTGTAGAATATTCAACTGACCTTGGTAGACCAGAACTCGGAAGGAGAGTCACGGCGGGCGTTGTAGGAGGAAACGTGGATGAAGCGATCAACGTCGTACTTCGCAACGGCCTCGGCGATGCGCTCAGCACCGTCCACGTGAACGTCAGTGTAGGAGAAGTTCCTGGTACACAGTCAGCGGCACCCCTGGTATGAAATATTCATATTCGCACTCACTTCGTGGGGTGTGAGCGACCGACAAGGTTGTAGACGACGTCGGAGTGACGGACACTCTCCTCGATGGATTGGGTGTTGCGCAGATCGTATTCCTATAGACTGTCAGACTGGGTGCACTTTCCAACACGGGTATTGCATAGAGGTCATCTTACAATGAAAGTAACACGTCCGAGATCACCAGTGACCTTCAGGTGACGCTTGCCCATCTCATCGCGGTAAGGGACCACCACATTGCATCCCTGGGAAGCTGCGAAAAGTCAGTATACAACCCATTGAGTCTAGTTTACGGCGGCCTCAACACGTACCAAGTCGGTTAACGATATAGCGACCCAGCATACCGGTGGCACCGAAGACGGTTGCGGTGTGACCTAGGATTGAGTGAGCATATGGACATTGGAAGGAAGGATCGTAGCGAAATAGGTTAGCGTACCTCCGAGGGATGAACTATTGATGGCGACACATTAGCGATCGAGCTTTTTTACCAGGGAAATGCAATTGAGTGCTTACCGGCCACCCTGGACCTTCAGGATAGGTCGACCGGTGCGGGAGATTGCAACGTCTTGGAGGCTGCGGCGCTGGAACTGAACTTGCACGCGCGGGACGGGGGCAAAAGCCCGCGACCCCAGGGCCGATTGGATCGTCCGAGACTTCTGCATGGCCTCTGACCGGGAGGATCTCGCAAGACCAGCGTGTATATAGAGAGGAGAGTAGTGAGGGGACGGGCAGCGAGGTTTCGCAGTGCAGGAAGTCGGAAAGGGCACGGGACCGCGCTAGCCGCTTTGGGAACCCACACTGGCAGTGGGCGGAGAAGCTAGATCTGTTTGGTATAATGGGATTTTCACAGTTGAATTGTATCTAGAGATCTCTTTTTCTTATTTACTCTAATCCTGGGAATTGTAGATGGCTATGTGGCATGGCGCAGCAGCTTTCACGTCGAACCCGTCGAAGAGTCTGACAATGTGCGGGCCGTGATTGGACGCGCACCCACCCGGCGTCATCCCCATGGCCGTAGATTTACGTACGGAGGTATCGCAGTAACAATACAGAAAGCCAGCCATATCAACAGAGAAAATAAACAGATAAACCGAACCCCGGATTTCCGAATCATATGGGAGCATATTAAGCATTGTATAAGACATAATATTTTATGAGAATATAGTTTTCGAGGTAAAGCATGACGGGTCCCAGTAAGGGACTACAACCCATATCGGTCTTGGTCACTAACTAGGTACGGGAAACAATTACATTAGTAGCCCTCCAACTCGCGAAGCATATTCTAGAATGACACGGACATATTGGGATCGCTTTTTTGGATGTTCATACCCAGTCGTCGGAGTATATTCCAGCGGGATCGGTCTTATGCTAACATATATCGAGCACACCCAAGCAACACATACACTAGGAAGGCAAAGATCTGAGCGTAACATAGTATGAACCGAGTTGTCAATGACTACTGACATCTCTGCTGAGTTTGAATCACCAGCGACCCAATAAATACCCCCACAAGCCAAAGATCGTTGGAAAAGCGACGAGTGCTTACACGCACGGCCCACTAAAGTAATGCACACGACCTCAGCGACCGTCGTGAGGGCAAAAAAGCCACCTAGCGACCGAATTTAAAAATAAAAATTGGTATACGGAACAATTGACTCATGATCGATTGATCTGCGAACCAAAAAAAATAAAAATAATAAACGACGACTATGTGCGTTTGGTTCCAAAGATTAAATAGAGGAGTATTGTGGGCAAACCACGGCCATCTCTGGTAAAAGGCAAGAAATGGGTTCTGAACTAGCTTGTCCCACTCCTCGGGTAGTCCAACCTTATTAGCTACTTAACCCCCCCCAAAAAGTGGTGGAGTTCCGTCGTTCGATTCCCGCCGACACCGTTTTATTTTTTATTTTTCCATCCCGGACCCCGCATACGTATGACAACACACTTCGTGTACCCCAACCGCTGCAGTACCTTCAATCTACACTCAATTTTCCCGAACTCGATTTCCCTACGAACCGCTCAATTTACTCCATAACGCTAAAATGTCTTCTGCCGCCTGCATCTTCTGCAAGATCATTAAGGGTATGTCACCATTTCGTGCTTTGCATGCTCCAGTTCTACCGTCGTTCGACCCCTCCCGACCGGTTCCGTCTCCGATTGTCGCTGACGCTGTTGCCGCACAGGTGATATCCCTTCCTTCAAGCTCTTCGAGAGCGACAAGGTCTTCGCCTTCCTCGATATCCAGCCCCTTAGCCGAGGCCACGCTGTACGTTCCCACTGTGTACCCTTCCCCGCACGGGCGCGGCCGGCTCACCCGACGCTGTGTATCCTTGCATGATGTCCCGATGGTGCTGTCTGTTGTCTTTCTCGATTGCATACCAAATGCATGAGATGATCGATGGACACAATTCGAGTGGAAAGGCTGACAATGAGTTGAACAGCTTGTTATTCCCAAGTTCCACGGTGCTAAACTCACCGATATCCCTGACGAGGACCTAGCCGAGATCCTGGTAAGTGACTGACAGTCAAGTCATGATATATTGATATGAGAGTGAAGATGAAGAGGTGGAGGAGAGTTGGTGCAGATGAAAGATGGGGACGCATGATCCTGGCGACGTCGCCTGGATCGCCAACCCCCAAGGTCCCTAGCTGCACGACTCGAGCGGAGAAACTGGCGAGGAAAGATCACCTGGCTAACCTACGCTTTCTTTTATCAGCCTGTCGCCAAGAGAATTGCCAAAGCTAGCGGCGCCAAGGACTACAACATCCTGCAGAACAATGGACGTATTGCCCACCAGGTTGTTGACCATGTAAGTATCGTCTTCTCACTGATGCCGAGGAATACAAGCTGACTATTGGTTACCAGGTTCACTTCCACATGGTACGTGACTTTGCACCGCTCGTCAAGCTCATTTTTACCCAAATATATGACCCTTTCTGCCATTACCAATGGAGACATATGCTGACTCTTATAGATCCCCAAGCCCAACGAGGAAGAGGGCATGAGCATTGGCTGGCCTACCCAAGCCACCGACATGGACAAGCTCAAGGCCCTGTATGAGGACATCAAGTCGAAGATGTAATGCATTGATCTGTAGATCGCCATACAGTGCTTGGACACCAAATCGACTTGGGTACGAAAACCTGGACGCAACACAAATAATTCGACAGAATTTTAATTATATCTTGATTTCATGATATACAGCAGATGATCTGTACGTTCTATAGTATCTCAGAAATTGATCCTGGTCCCGTATATATCATCTCGCAAAACAAACCGGGAGCCTTTGGTATGCACGTGAACAATTCTAAAACCGAAAAATTCTCACTCTACCACGCCTGGTACTTGTACTCAGACAATGCCAAATCAAAATAGCCGACTATATTATGTTGTTTTCTCGGTCTCCTCACGATGTTTCTTCAGCCTTCTTCTTGGTGCCCGGGTAGAACTCAATCTTGCCGGCACCTTGGACGATGTTCAGTCGGTCGTACAGCGAGCGAGTCCGGATGTATGGGTCAATCACCCAGTACTGGTCACGCAGCTGCTGGATCTGGCCATTACGCTTCTCCTTGATAGAAGAGGCAGTCGCGATTTCGTTCTTCAGACTAGCCCGAATCCATTCGATAGTGGTTGCCTGGATGTCCTTGGCGAGTTCTTGACGCTCAGAGATCAGTTTATCACGGGTTTCGGTATCCTCCATTTTGCTGTTCTCGCCCGGCTGCACTTCAGAGTATGCATACTCCCAATTTTCGTCACCCTCAAGTTCCTTCATGATTTGGCTGGGCGGGATGAACTCTTCCAGGTCTTGGCGGTTCTTGGTGAAATGGATCTTGGCAGCGACGACAGGGTCGAGCCAGCCCTTGATAATGCTCCAAATACTGGAGAAAATCCAAGGGGCCTTGTGGATAAGTACAGAGCCTAAAGACTCGGGGTAGTTGGCTTCAAAGCACTTGATCATGAATTTGACAGGGGTGTAGTCCTGAGTGTAGGGGTGAGCAAGACGACGAAATCGATGTGACAACGACAGTACTCACCATGTTGGCCAATGTGAAGTCGGTCATATCAAAAATAATTGTCTATCATCGTCAGCGATGCACTTTGGTATGGTCACGCGACCACGCACGCGACACTTACCGCAGTCTCAACAGGAGGCGCCAACAACAGACGGGCCGTCTCAATAGTGTAGACCGTAAAGCGCTCTAGAGTATCCACCTCCTGCTCGGAAGCACGGTGCAGTCGTACACGGACAACACAGATAGGACGACCAAATCGGTCCACGCCGTGCAAAAAGCTCTTGCCCATTCGCATCTGGTGGAGGAACTCCTCTCCCTTCTTCTTTTCCGCTGGATCAGAACTTTGCGACTGCTTCAAAGCAAGGGCCTCTCCATTGGCCATAATATCATCATCCACATGCACATCCTGCAAGCGCCAGCGCATGGTGGAGATCATCATGACCAACGCCTTCTTGACATCCCACTTGCGCGCGCGGAGGAAGCGCAGCAGCAGAGCATCTGGGTGGTCCTGCTTGACCATATTCCAAAACGCAGTCCGGATCTCCTCGGCTGACAGATCTACCAGCGCTTGCTGAAATTCCTTGGATTGACCGTACTTATCATCACCCTCGGCGATGTTGATCGAAGCTAGGCTGGCGGTGATCCCACTCGCGGAAGAGACGCTCTTCGCGTCATCACCGTCGTCATCATTGCTGCGGCCCCAGAGCGTCCATCGGCGCTTGGAGGATTTGTCCTTCTCCTTCTCCTTCTTTGCTGCGCTGGCCGCGGCCGCATCAGCGCTCTCCTTGCCACTGGCATCGGCCTCGAGGGCCTCGATGTCGACACCGAAGACCTTCAGGGTCAGGACCCAGAATTCCTGGAGCTTGGCCTCCTGCTCCGGGGTAAGGGTCCCCACGGTTCCCGGGGCGGGTTCGACAGGCATGGTCTTGAGGGTATCGATGACACCGAGGAAGGGTTGTTGTGGCGGGGGCCGGGAATGCGCGGAGAATGGTCGTTCGCTGGCAGTGAAGTAGTTAAAAACACAGGCGCCGCCACCAACAGCGAGCAGGGCGAAAGCAATCCAGGAAGACGAGGCCTTTCTCGGGTCGTGCTGGGTGGAGTAGGGAGGACGATGGGCCCGGGGTAGTTGTCCGTAATGGCGGGCGATCTGTGCGGATACGCCTCCGGAGGATTGAGACAGAGATTTGGCCGAGGGATGGATGTGCCGGCGCAGAATCGAGCAGGCCCGCATGTGGCGGGAATCGGGGCTGAATCAGGGCAGACACGAGTGCAGCACACCCGCAACTAACAAATTTTCCGACAGAACAGGTGTTGACAAGGAAAAGTTGCGACAGTGGATTCGCCGGAGACCAAGGACGACGATCTCCTTGCGGGGAAGCATCAATTGGGGCGAGCAGTGGGCGAGAATGTTGAGCAAAGACCCTAATTACGCAGAATAATATTTTGCTACTTCTTTACTATCCACTACGTATGTAGGGTCCAATTCATGACGTCCAAGTGGTCTTGGGTACCACTTAAGTAGTAGAGTATCTTAGTGTAAGCTGGACGGTCCGGTGAGGTCATCTGCCACTAGCGACTCCTCCAGCCGTCTTTCGCTTCGGGCAGCCAGCGGGGGATCAGCACTTTCTTCTCCCCAAATCGCCCCGAAAAACCCACTATGAGCACTTGAATTGTCCTCGTTCTTGTTGCTTCAATTGCTGTCCCTGCATCGGCACCCTCCCCACCCCACCGCCTGCTGGGCCGCCGGATCTCTCCAAAACAAGCTATCGCGAACCCCCCAAAACAATGGACGGCGCCACTGTACCACGATCGTCCTCGCGACCGAGACCCTCATCTCGCCCAACGACACCCCTACGACCGAGCTCGCGCTCTTCCCTTCGAGAAGCCCACAGTTATGGTCACAGCATCAGCGCCTCCGGATACAACCAGCCCGCTATCAATGCACTGGAACCACAATTTGCTGAGCTCGCCGACTCCATGGCGGACCTGGAGGCCAATTTCATGCACCTGCAGCTGATGCACGAGAGCTTGACACGGTTTAGCGAGAGCTTTGCCAGTTTCCTGTATGGCCTGAACATGAACGCGTTTTGTGTGGATTTCCCCGAGGTATGATCGGAGACGCGTCGGCGCCACTAGGAAAAATGCTAATAGCACGTTGCAGGCCCCAATTCCCGATTCCTTCAAGAGAGCGAAGCAGGCTGAGGACGAGAAAGGTACAGAGCGCTGCAATATCGTGGAATCCATCGAGAGTACACCACTAACATCAGCGCAGAAGCAGAAGAAACCGAGGCGGCGGTGCGCCCGGCCGACGATGGCGAGATGACTTTCCTGTGAGTGTGAGAACAATTGCGAGAGACCGAGGGTTTGCTGACTGACCATATTTTCTCTTGAAGAACTACGGACACCTCCTTCGTCGAGCACCCACCTAGCACCGTCTCCTCCAAACAAACCTCGAAATACAATAGTCGTGGGACTGCCCGGGGCACCACTCGCGGCACCACGCGCGGCTCAGCGAGCAGCCGGTATGCGACACGAGGAGCATCTGCCCGCGGGCGTCCGAGTGCGCTGCCCCGTGGACGAGGTACGCGATGAAGGGTTGGGGTATCGGCGCAACTCCGGAAAACACCCGCTACAATAATTTGATGGTTGGGTATTCTATGGCTGAAATCCGGACGATTGGACCAGAATGTTAATGGAGGAGTATCTCTGACAGCTTTCAAGCACTGTCTGAGCTGGATACGTCCACCTAGCTACCTGTAGATATCTCGTATAGCATGTGCCATCCGCTGTCGGACGACGAGCTGGACTCGGAGACTGAGCCGCATGCGCTCGGCGCGGTGACGAATATGGAACGAATCGACGAGTCAAGGAAACCAGCATGGAAACACAGATCAATCTGATGATTGTGATTGAATTATCTAATACTCGCGACAAGCAATACGCTGTAATTTAACCTCTTCATCCGTAGTCATGAGGGTAAGAGTATAGTCGTATACTCGCGGTGGCAAGTCCGATCGCACGGCGGTAAATCGGGCGAAAAAAGGCCCGCCCTCCAACCTCTCCGCCCCCGAAACAGCAACGGTCGTGAGGACTCGAGAGGCCCATCCCCAGCCTACGTTACAGAGCGCCATTGGTCTGCTTTCGCCTACTACTGTATTTACCCCGGGCATGGTTGCGGTGCCGCGTTGTGAAGGCCGCGGCAACCCTTGCGACAGAGCCGCTTAGAGCTCCTTTGTCGGCGTCAGACACTGATCCTCCACGAACCCGTTGGTGTTCTCCTATATTCCGATCTATGCCATCTCCACCACCGACCGCTGACTTCTCCTCGACAGTGACATGCTGGTCCTTCCTGAGGCAAGTCCGTGAGATTCTTCCGGTTTTGCTCCCATTGTTCCGCGTCGCCGACTCGTCGAGAGCTGCGCGGGCCACCCTGGGATTCGGCGCCGATCGATTGACTTCAAGCTATTCACCTGATCTATTTGTGTTCTTGTTTTTGCATAGAGGTCCGGAACCTTTTGCGGGGTTGGTATTCGCTGCGGGCTTGTATTAACTGCGAGCTTGTATTCACTGTACTCCTGGGTCTATGAATTTCTTGACTGCATCCCTCTCTCTTTACGCAGAGACTGATCAGCGTCATCCCACCATCAAATTCTCGACTCCATCCCTTTTTCCCTCCTTACCCAGATCTTCTGATCCTCAGCATCAGCATCATGGCGACCCTGGATTCACTCAATCTCCTTTCCGAAGCTGCTTATGGCTGCGGTATGTACCATCCCATGATCATGATCTTTGATTGCCATGGCCTCGAGAATTCGAATGGCAGGGCTTACTGTATTCATCAGAACACCTTGCGACTGTATTCCGAAACCAAGAGACTGCTGGACAGTTCAAAAGCGATTATCGCAAGCACTATGAGACCTTGGCTCCGTACACGAAACCAGAGACGGTGGCTGTCCAGGCTTCCGGCCTTCGTACCGTCGCAACCTTGAAACCCAAGTATCACTGTTTGTCATGCTCCGAAACGTGTCTGAACACCGAGCGCAAAGCGCATACCAAAAAGACTGGCCATGCTTTCTACATGGAATCGCGCAACCGCTTCCTCTTCTGCGAGACCTGTGTGGATTTCATCTACGACCCTGGCCTGGATAAGCTCCGTGATCCTGCCGCGAAGGCCGAAAATTGGAGTAAGTCACCTCACCCCCTGAAGAGAATGTTCTTGTCCGTCGAGGACATTGAAGAGATCAAACCGCTGAAATACCATCTAGACGGCAAAGGGAAGTGGGTGGACGAGTCAGGTTCCGAGCATTACGTCAAGACCAATGCATCCAAGAACCCTTGCTCGCGTCGCGGTGCTCGTGGTGTATGGAACATGGGACAGACATGCTATCAATCGGTTATCCTCCAGGCGTTGCTCCACGACCAAACCCTCAACTCTTATTTCCTAGCCGGAGGCCATGACGTACATACCTGCACGAGGAGTTTCTGCATGGCTTGTGCTGCTGCCGAGGTGTTCATGGACTTCAACAGTGGCGAGAAGACCGACGCTGTGTCGGCGGCTACCCTTCTCTACCATGGATGGGATGCTTCGCGGGTATGGCTGAACTCTCCCACCTACAGTTGAATGTATCGGCTAACACAATTCATAGGATATGGCAGGATATCGCCAGCAGGATGCCCATGAATACTTCCAATTCCTCGTCAACTCTCTGCATTCATGCACGCCCGGTCACTCCGAGAGCCACGACACAAAGTGCGAATGCTTCTTCCACCAAACCTTTTATGGCGAATTACGCAGCAGCGTCATCTGCCACAAATGCGGAAAGACCACACACACTTACGACCCAATGGCCGACCTCAGTCTCGACGTACAGCTTCAGAACAAGAAGAGGAAGCTTGGTCGATCGACTGCCGTCTCGTCCACCGCGACCCTGACAGGCTGCCTTGACAGCTACACGGCCATTGAGGACTTGCACGCAGATGCAGCCTACCACTGCGAGAAGTGCGGCAACACGCCGCAGCGTGCATCAAAGCGACTGCAGATCCACAAGCTGCCAGGAATCCTGTGCATGCAGCTCAAGGTATGTTGTTCAAAAATTTCTATCTGACATCAAGCTAACGGTTTAACAGCGCTACGAGCATACCTCTTCCTCCTCCGAAAAAGTCGAAGGTCACATCGACTTCCCCCTCACTCTCAACATGCTCCCATATACTGTCAAGAAGGACAGGGAGCGTGTTGACACCACCAACTACATCTACGACCTGTCAACGGTAATTGTCCATCAAGGAACGATGGACACTGGCCACTATTACGCTTATACCCGCTTGTCGGGAGACAAGGTATGTCCCTTTCAACTCCATCATTAATAAAGCAAGGACCATGGCTTAATTTTAATTAGTGGGTATTGCTGGATGACAACAAAGTCACCGTGGCCAGCGTCGCAGATGTGCTGGGCCAGCACGCCTACCTGCTGTTCTACAGCATTCGGTCCGTGGCCCGGGAGGGTGCCTAGATCCCGGGTCATGGACCGACCCATTTTAAGAAAAATTGAAACATATAGAACCAAAAAATTGATCAAGGGTTCAACAGAACCGTACTTCTCACTTCTCTTTTCTATCCTTCCACACTTTTCCAAGAAGTCTAAGATACTAGTGTCTTCGCTTGCGCTTCACCCCTCGCTCACTTCCAGCTCAGTTCTCGCTTACTTTGTCTCGTTGTCGCATATATTTACTATACGACTTGGGATATTATTGAGTGGTCTAATTTGATGGTGTTGTAGATGCTGGGTGGTATCTGCGGCACTTGGATTTCAAAAACACTGAATATCTTCAAGATGGTTTTCTTGGAAGCGGCTTGAACTTCATTGAACCCCCTCCCCCTCGAAATATCTCTATCTGGAGATCAGTAGCCCTCTTCTACACTACACTAGTAGTGTAGCATTTGATCAACGATTCAATGGAGTCGAGAGCACCTTCGTTCATTTACATAGCGATTAGAGGAAAGAGAACATTACTAACAATGTAGCCTTTGAGCAGTCGTTTTTCATCAGGCCCTGAGACTAGAAGATCCTGAGCCAATATGGTGATTATAGAGCTCCGGGGTATTCATTGAAGATGCCTGGCGCCTCGGGTAGCCAATCAATGTCAGTGGCTGAACTACAATCACGGCAGTATCCTAGTCATGCAGCTTGGACAATACAATATCTGCGGACCAGACTAAGGGAACAAGGCGACCAAGAACATGCCGAAGCCTACGTTAGATGCATAGATCTGACCTCGTCATAGCTCAAGCAAGACTGAGAGGCAAAATCGCACCAAGAACGAGCGAGCAAGAAAGAGCACCACCTTGTACGAGATGGAGACCAATTTAGGAACCAGGAAAATCCGTCATTGATATTGGATAAAGGGAAAAGAGGATGCAGGTTCCACCATCCTCGTTCAAACTCTTCAGACAACAACCCCAGTCCCCATCTCGTCCATCAGATTCACACCCGAGACACCAAACAAAAAAAAGATAAGAAGTTTTTTGGGAGCCGTCATGCGAAAGAACAGAACGCGGGCGCAATCATTTCCCCGACGCTTCGAAACATTTCTCCCACCCTGCACGTCGATCGAGGGCCAGGGTACATTGAACGGATCGTGGAACGCGAACGGATCGAGAGGGCGTTAAAGGCGGACATTGGTTTTTATTTTGGCTTAGCGGTACTGTTTGTGGGGGAGTGGTTAATTTCTGGACCGGCCATTTCGCCCCAGAGCCCCAAGAACTTAAGAGAAGTATTCTCCCAGTTCAACGGTGGCAGGCTGGTATTTGGAGGCTGGAGGGTGACCCACCTTGTTGAAACCGATGTCGGCGGACTTCTCACGGAAGCACTGACGGCAGATGTTCATCTGTAGACGTAACCATATTAGCCATATGTCCTGGCAGGTATCGCACATGTCGTGTAAACGACGGGGAGGGAATTTCCATACACCGTACTTGCGGATCAGACCGGCGCGGTGAGCACAGACACGGCTAGAGGCGATCCGAATTAGCAAGTTGTCCCAGTCACAAAAGTTCTGCCCCTCGTCCATTGAATCCAAAATCCATATCCACAAATCCAAACATATTGTGTTGTCCACCATTCATTCGCTTTAAAGGGTACGCCGGATACTTGCTATGCCGAGGAGATATCGAGGGGGAAAATTTCAGGAAGAAACACACCATTGACGGGAACCCTTGCCGTACCTGTGGACAGAAGTAAGTTAACGATTTGTTCAATGTGTGCAATTTCGCGATCACTCAGCGCTCAGCACTGCATTTCGACTTACTTGCGGGGCCGGCTGAACCAAACGGACTCGTGAGTCATCTTGAGATGTCGTAGGGGTGAGTTGACCGGGTGGTTGTTGACGGGAACGAGGGTCGTTGGCGGCTGTTGAAGAAGACGAAGGCGAAGGTTAGGGTCGAAAATCGTTGTGTGCCGCCCCGAATGGGGATCACGCACAGACCAACTCGCTTGAGCTGCACTAGCCCTTTTGGGAATATTTGTGCCTGGGGTGTCGCCCAAGGGCTGGGGTCACGTTTGATTAGTCATATGTGCGAAGTATGAGGACCTGGCAGACAGTCAACTCGCGTGTTAAGTTACATATTGTAAAGTGTGTGGGTGAGAATCCTGCGACAGGCAATAAAAGTACAAATCCTTCGCCTCTGTTCCCAGCATATCTCTATTCTATACCCCACTGGCCATGGCAGATGGACTTTTGCCATTGGATTTGGGAATCACTGACGAGATGCGCTTCTTTCAACTAGCGAATCGTACAGAGTCGGAATTCGGAACGATTTAAATGAGGCATTTTGAAATACTCGATTGCCTCTTCATCAATCAATAATGTACTGTCAGTTTCAATCGATTTGTTGATGAGCACAGCTGTGAAGAGCCTGATCTCTGTGGTGTCGATTCTGAGTAGTAAAAACTGACAACCTGTCGGGCGCAATGACTCTGCTCCAAATTTATGGTTCACTTATGTGTCAAATATCTACTTTATTTCTCGTCGGAGTACATCTAATAAAGTGCCCGGGGTAGGCAAGTCCCGGCCATCTTAACGGCAGTTACTTCCAGGACAGCCCGTGAGTAGTAGACTATAAACTTTGAGGCCGCATAATTTGTACACCATTTGCTAGCTATGGTCCACCTCGAAATACGGGAAGTCTAAAGTAACCGGCCTGCTGATCATACCGGAGCCAGGTGCTTGCGTCGCTCGCACGGTGGCTGGGGTTCCGGGCGACGGAAGGCACGATGCCGGGGATCCGGCGGTCTCTACAGGCTATTCCTTTCGGGAAAGATGGCTCGAGATATCGATCTTCGGATCGGAGGGGTTTCATGCGGGATGCATGTTGCAGAGATGAAGGGGCATCTACCATAGAGTACTTAGGGTAGATCCTCTCAACTACGGTGTATTCCGTGTTTTGTATTCTGTATTGCGTCCTCACGTCGTAAATAGGCAGCTCAAGCCTCAAAAGTTTACCTGTGACGAATTAATAAGCCAGAAGTAGGTGTATACATTGGCTTGGCACCACCCAGCAGACATACACAAACATTTAGTTCCGACTGCCTGCAGAGGGAAAGCTTTGCTGCAGCTATTGTCACATCGTTCGATCACGTAGCACCCAACGGGCTCCCACAGTCCGGGTATGCGGTAACAACAGATGCAAATGTATCATTTGTCTCGACTTATGTACATAGCGAAGATGGATGCGGGTCGGAAGGAGTGTGTCATATGACAGCGATGAGATCAGCGAAAGTCTCCGGGTTTTGTATTCCGCGCAAAAAAAAAAGAAAAAAAAGAAGGCATCATGGACGTGCGCGTAAAAGTGCGTGTGCAGAAGAGGGAGCTGTCGGAAGCCCGCGGATGCCGATTCAATCAGGATCGTCAGGTCGAGACGGGTCCGGTTCGGTCCCGCTTAGGCGGTCTTGGCGTGATGATTTGCTCGTACACTGTGCAGGGGTTCTTCCCGGGCCCATAGTCGCCGAGTCGACGCTGCCATCATTGATGGGCCGTAATTATTTGCAGTGATGGTAGCGGATCCTTCTGAATTTTCGAAGAGCTATGCCTTGCGCACATCTCATGAGCAATCCTTGGAGGTATCGGCTCTAGGAGGTCTATACTCAATCTCTTTGTTCGTCCAAGGAAGGAAAAAGGGGACAGTAGTGGGCCCCGGATTTATGGCTCTGGAACTCTGAACATTCCGGTCAGGAGCCAGACGCCATCCGAACCAATCTAACTAGAGCTAAATACCAGGATACCTGGTCATCCCATTTGGAGCAAGGCCCGCTCGCTCCTCGATAAGGGTCAGTCCGGATGGCTCGGTTGAGACGGATGCCGGTTTCTTCCTGGCGACCACCAGACTATACACCTCGGGACCTTGGCGACAAACAGACACATACTGCAATCGCCGGGTCTCTGCGAGACGGTCGCTGTGAATCGGATCAAAGCCGAGCGCCTCTTCGATTTCGATGGCCTTGGCAATTAGCGCGGATCCTTGTTTGGCCATGTAGAAGCCCTGCGTGGCAGGGCATCATTTCAGAAGGAAAGGGTCTGGCGGCGAATCATGGACTGTTGGCATTTTTGTGCCGTGATGAGCAGAGGCATTCCAACTCCAATCTCGAAAGTGAAGTGTGGTTGTGACCCATCAGGTAAGCTGTTGCTGCGATAGCCTCTCTGCCGTGCTGAACGATCTCTGTGAACACGTCCAAATTTTGGTCAAAGATGGTCTCTTGTTCCTGCGAGGGCGTCACAACTAGTAAGTAGACGGTATAATATATCATGCATAGGGTCGATAAAACATCCGACGCTGCCTGAGATTCGAGACCGGGATAGGCTGTTTAAATCTCTGCTTCCACCGTATGAGCTTTGCTTCCAGGTCTAGTTTTCTTGGATACAATCGGCTTTTTTTTTTGGCCGAATCGGCCTAGCTCTTTCTGATATTGTGCAATGTCGCTCTCATACGATAGGCTTTCAGCAACGAGCCGAATGAGAGTATGTCGAGCCGTATTTATAGAAAAATGTCGTGATGATTGGTCAGACATTAGTACTGGCAGCTCGAACGGCTCTCCGACCGTAATATGCAACCGTGCCAAGTCTGATATAGATTGCGATGGTCTGCTCCAGGAGAATGGAAAAAGTGCACCCTGTCTCTGGATGTGGCCCAGAGAGGATTCTCTCTAATCTCTTCACACCTTGACTGTATAGTTGCCTTGCTTCCTTTGTGCGACCCTGTAGAGATTCATTGCATATGACTAGCGTGCAGCTGATCAGCGCTACATGTATGCCTATCGTGCCGCATTGGATCTGGGTCTCTATGGCGTTTGATATCGAGAATAGCGCGACACAGCTTGTGCATAATTGGGACGAGCGATTGTTCTTCGAGGTTGGTCCATCCAAAGTGGACCTTTTTCCAACAGCTCATCCGGTGGCTCTTCATATAATGAGCTCACAGCCATCACTGCATCCCAAACGGCTGGTTCGGATCTGCGGGTCTGCAGGACAATACCGTTCCAGAAGCCCACGTCAAGAATTCCCGCGATAGAGGGACCCGCTCTGTAGAAGTAGAATTCAAAGCTCGTCTCTCATTGGTGCTATGAGCTGGAGAGAAGGGAGACGATTGGACAGCTGCATCGCTGTGGGATAGACCTGCTCGACGTGAGGAGTCCAACGCATCGTCGGCCGGTAGTTGAGCAGAGAAGACAAGATGGCTTTTCCTCACCGCACTTGATCCGACGGATTCCTAAATGTTTGTTAAACCCAGACGAAGAAGGGAACAAGTGGATTGGATCGAGCATACATGCACGTCTGGCATCCGGTCTTGCTTTTAGAACCACCCCTGCGCGCGGTAGATCCCGGGTTGACCGAGGCTGATATGCGATCGGGATCCCTGGTCATGAATTGTATGCAATGAGGAACAGTCTCTAGATGGGACCACACGGGCCCTTGTCATGAGAGACTAGAGCTGCTGGATGAATGCGGGTAACTAGTCCAGAATGGCCCCAAATTAGGTCATCACGACTTACTCAGCGGGATCTCCCAGCCGAAGTCCGATCGAGCAACAGCGTCAATGTTAGATTGGCAATAATATTCAATGGAATGGTCCAGTAGTCGTGAAGATCGCTTTCATTTCCCTTGTAATCTGGCTAGTCCTCCCGTGGGTAGTCGAACGTGCATCTGATGTAGTTTGGCAACTCGCCTTGGACATCCATCCAAAAACGCTTCCTGATAGGGTAAAGCTGTTGTTCCCAGGGCTCACTCCGCCATCCATCATCATGGGCTATTCGCCCTACTCTTCACCGCTAGATGAAGCATAAAGAAGCCAGCTCGAGTCCCTACAGCCAGTGGAAACTGACGTTATTCAACTGTGCCACCCTTGCTCAGGGTTCCTTGCACACCCCACGGTAGCATACTAGCAGGTCTTGGTACCCCGTGTACGTTGATAGCGGGGGTGATTTGCGTCCGGGATTCTTGCTGGCGGTTCGAGGCGACTGACACGAGGGATCCTTGGCATCGATGACAACGACCTGGATCGCGTCGTGGTCGATGCGCGCCCGTTTTTGAGGAGTAGCGAGGCTCCACCACGAACGAGTCACACTTGCAGAATTCAGGCCCGGAGCTAGGGCATTTAGGCAGGCCATTAGCTCGGGAAATACATCATCCTGCATCGCAGGATGATTCATCGTTTGTCAACAGACCACGAGGGGTGGGCCTGGTGTTGGACACATGGTGGCTGGGGCCAGATCGAGGTCCGTCTCCACCTGGCGGAAACATTCTGTGGTCATGCCATGAACCTCACGGGCAGCAATCATCTTCTGACCCTAGGGCACTAGTCATCGTCGCAGATGGCGGGAGAGTCGGACCCCACCGGACAATTCAAAAGGTGCGGCTCGGAAAGTCGCGATCGCGAGGCCGAGACAGGGATGCGACAGGAAGGGCGCCATGCCGGGGTCCGAAGCTGACCGAGTGGCCCTGTGCGTATACGAGGGTGGGCACTTGCAGCCCTGGGCGCGGTTTGATTGCATTATTATGATTCCTATGCTACGACCAGATCACTTGTGATTCTCGCACTATTTGATCATCTTTCTGCCATGCGCATGCCCAACACAGGGCGTGTAGATCTGCGTGGCTGTTGATTGGGGAAGCGCTTCCAGGCTCATTCTCTCGACACTCCATATCTTTGGAGCTATGACGAGGGAGAACCACAGGGCTGAAGAGAACCTGAACCGGATGTTGAATCCCAGCTGGGGGAAATGTTGACGAAAAACCGAACCAGATTCGAGTAGAGCCAGGCAGCAGCTAAGCATCGCCTCTTAGTGAGATACAGACAGACTCTAATGTACGAAGTAGGTATGTGATTGCCATCTTCTATGCGCGACTCCCCCTGGCGGTGAATCCCAATAGGGCAACGATCGACTACGTCATGAGGAACGCGTGCATAGAACAGCTCGACCCAGCAGCAACAAAAACATAGAGAAATCACAGGGCAGAGATCATATGTCGACTTACCCCAATTATCAAGCAGGAGCAGCCTTGCTGCAGCCCCGGCCTTCCTCGCCGTTCTTGGCACCCCGTTTTTCCAGTGGATGAGGTCACTTGCCTGGATCTCGACCTGGCCCTCCCGACTCATCCGAGTCGAGAAAATTTCTTCTAGGCTTGCCTGATCGAGTCATTTTTTTTTTTTGCCAGGAGGGAGCGACTGCCAAAGTCGATCCCTCCCGCGGTCTCCCTCTCTCCACTCGGTCGATTGGAGGGGATGTGAGATGTTAATGCAGCGGGCTGCAGATCTGCTAGTGCAAGGCGTCTACGAAGTATGTAGATAGACTTAGAGGGTGGTACCTTTTGGTAGCTTTAAGTCCGAGTCACCAGGAGGGGCAGATACCCCCGTCGTACTGTCGAGCGGCAGATCCAATGGAAGATTGCCCATCACTGCCACAAGCATCAGACGCAGCAGCTCGGGGAACCTTTAAAGCAGGAACAGCACTAACCTATGTAGGTAGTCTAAGGACGACCAGAAGGGCAATTCGAAGGAACGGTCGGCAGCGCTGTTGCCACGCACTTCCGGCTCGGCGCCAAAGAGTTTTTATCCCCGCCCTCTCCGAAGCATTGGAAATCAACGAGCTGCTTTATTGGAATTTTTGGTTTTTCTCATTGGTCTTTTTTGCACTTCTTTTTTCTTTTGATGTAATCTGCTTCCCGACACCTTCCTTGTTCCTGCTTTATTAATAATCGCCTTGCCCCCGCCTTATATACTGGCCCCCGGCTCGCTCTTTGACCCGATTTCCGCTATACTTCCCTTTCAGCCCTATCTTCCTTAGGCCCGGAGCTCCCTCCTCAAGCTACCCTGGACTCGTCGCGTGGATCCTGTTCCTCAGTTGATGAGCGAACTTGCTCAGATCTGCTCACGAACAAGAAAAAAAAGTGGAACACTAGAGGAACAACCTGCATTCCCGGGGTTTGGCAGTGTCGTTACGTCACGATTCGATAGAGCCTTGACGGGCACCGATTGAAGCTCCCTCTCTTTCCTCTCTCTGTAACTACAGCGCAAGGTTCAGAGTAGCAACTACTCGACTTCGCGATCATTTTCCCTTTCGCGCCCATGCGGGGAATAGCTACACGCGCTGCCTTCGCGGCAGTCCTTTGCGCGACCTTCGCGCTCGCCCATGGCGACGACGAGTCGATGGATATGGATATGCACATGGACAAAGCCGTGAACATGAACACACCACAGCCCTCGGTCTCTCCGCAACCAAGCGCCGAGGGCCCGATGAGCTATTTTGCCCACGGAAAACACCAGAACACCATCCTGGCGCACGTAGGGCTGATGGTTGCGGCTTGGTGCTTTGTCCTTCCTGCAGGTAAGCGCAAATACTACTCCCCACAAAGATGGCCAGACAGAGTAGTCTGACGAGTTATTTGAAGCGGTCATGCTTAGCATCGCACGCTCGCGATTCGCACTCCCGTCGCAATTCCTGTTCAGTCTTTGCAATGCGTTCGGCCTGCTTCTCGGCATCATTTACAACAGCCAAACCCCCGATCTGTACGAGAACAACGCCCACCACAAGATTGGCTGGGTCGCGACGTGGGTTGTGAGCGTGCAGCTCGTACTCGGAATGATCTTCACCTACGCTGGTCGCGGCGAGCCCAAGACGAAATCGAGTTCCTTCGAGCGCGCCGCATTTCTGCCCGTCGCTACCGAGGACCATGAACATGTCTTCCCAACCGGCCCAATGCACAATTACCGCTGGTCTCGCGATAGCGGTCAAGGCACCGAGCCTGACTCGCCTAACCATAGCCCTTCGTCGCCATCCTGCGAGCCGGAGGATTATGACGGATTCGAGAAGCCCGAGGAGGACCTCCCACGATCAGCGGACTCGCGCGGCTGGCTCCAGAGTACCTTTGTTGACCGTTTTCTGTCGAACCGCGTGCCTGGCATGGTTTCAAACCGCGTCTTGCGCATTTTCCATTTCGTCTACAAGGTGATTGACCGGATTGTTCTGCCATTTGGCTTCATCGCCATTGCAACTGGCGCAGTCACATATGGCGGTATTATGCGGAAGAGAGAGATCTTCAATGGTCTGGCGCACTTCATCAAGGGCGGAATCTTCTTCTGGTATGGCATTCTCACTCTCGGCCGGTATGTTGGATGCTGGGCAGACCTGGGTTGGGCCTGGAACCGAAAGCCCTCGGCATCCATAGTCGGAAGCTGGAAGTCCAAGGTGCCATCGGGAGAATTCACCGAGTCCTTCGTTATCTTCTTCTACGGAATTACCAATGTGTTCCTGGAACACCTGTCCAACTGGGGGCAAGCCTGGTCTGCTACGGATCTTGAGCACGTCTCTATCTCCATCCTATTCTTCGGTGGTGGACTGGCTGGTATGCTCTTCGAGTCCAAGCGTATCCGCGAAGCGCTTAACAACACTATCCTCCGATACCCTGGACACGGCACACGCGATGAGGGCTGGCAACTTCCCAAGTCGCAAGGCGTGTCGCTCAACCCAATGCCCGCTTTGATTATCATGCTGCTGGGTATGATGATGGGCTCGCATCACCAGACCAGTATGACCTCGACGATGGTGCACAAGCAGTGGGGTAACATGCTGGTTGGCTTTGCGTTGGCCCGTGGAGTGACGTATATCCTACTGTTCCTCCGCCCGCCCACCTCATACCTGCCTGCCCGTCCGCCATCGGAGATTGTCGCCGCCTTCTGCCTGATGTCTGGAGGCCTCATTTTCATGTTGAGCGTAAGTTCACCGCATCTACAACCAGAATATGGAATATTCACTAACGTAAACACAAGACTCGTAATGTCATCGAGGCTATGGAGTACTACGAGCTCGACGCAATGTTCACTTTCACAGTGGGCCTGGGCTTTACGGCTTTCATCATGGCACTGGAAATCCTTGCCATTGCGCTCAAGGCATGGGCAGTGAAGCGCGAGCACCCTCCGCAGCTGACCTACCAATTTCCTTGAATAAACTCCTCATATTATTGATCTGCTTGATACGATACCCCTTACACTTGTGTGACTTTGGTTTTTTTGTTTGAAATACTCTCTGCATTGCCGAGCCCAGGATGTCCTCATTTTGCTCGACATATCTACAGATACTTGGGGATGCGGAAATGTGCGATGTTGATATTTTTCGATGTTTTCGGAATGAGTGACGGTCTAATGATGGGGTAATACTTTGTGATGTTTAGTGCAGACATGCTTCAGTGAAACGAATCCATGCTGTTCATACCTGACGTATCCTAAGGTACCTAAATTAAACAGTGCCTATGCTGGTTAACCTTTAAGCTATTTCGGCAAGCCTTTAGCCGGCTCGGAGCTAAGCTGCCTAACGCCGAGCTGTGCTGTGCCGAGTACCGAGCCAGCAGTTTGGCTGCCCTCTGCTGCCATCCCACCCTGGCGGTCTGGATATTCTACAGCTGTGTTGACCCTCGATGACGAGCAATTGGGACTCCAGATAAATGTTAGGTAGGGCCACAACTCTTAATTTACTCCCGATGCATAAAATTCATGCAGGGACCCTGTTGGCAGGACTTGTGGCACATTAATAATCGCTTTGCAACCATGAGGGGCAGGGGCAAGTGGGGTCGAAGCTGGATGAGGCCTCGGGGAGAAACCAATCTGCCCGCAGCATGGAGGGGCTCCTTAGTATGATTTATGTAACCGTTGAAAGAAGTGTAACCTCTCACTTCTTTCAACGGTTTTTCCTCCTTCACCCCACTCTTTCTCCCACCTAATTGCACATAACCACACTACAATCATCATGGCTTCCAATCCCCCTGCCGCTTGCTGTGCCTCTGGCTTCAAGCACGAGGGTACCCCCTGGGCGAGGTGAAGAACGTTGACGGAGGTAAGCTACAGCTTTTGAGATAATCACAACGTCGATGGGATTTCCCAGCTAACACAAAATCTCTCCAGTCAACACCTACGTCACCTACCCCAAGGACAAGAGCGTTGACAAAGCCGTCCTCTTCCTTACTGACATCTTCGGCATTTACCCCAACGCCCAGCTCCTGGCCGACGAGTTCGCCAACAATGGCTTCCTGACCGTCATCCCCGACCTGTTCCAGGGCGACCAGATCTCCGTCAGCGACATGGACTCCGGCAAGGTCGACTTCCCCTCCTGGCTCCCCAAGCACCAGCCCAGCAATGTGGACCCCATCATCGAGAAGACCATCAAGTACATGCGTGAGACCCTCGGTGTTAAGAAGATCGCCGCTGTCGGCTACTGCTTCGGTGGCAAGTACGTCTGCCACTTCCTGAAGCCCGGTCAGATCGACGTTGGTTTCTCTGCCCACCCCTCCTTCATTACCCATGAGGAGCTCGGTGCCATCAAGGGTCCTTTCTCCATCGCTGCTGCTGGTATGTTCAACTTGCATCACAAACACCCACCCTCATAATATAGAACATGAAGCAAGACTAACACTTCAAAACAGAGACCGACTCCATCTTCACCACCCAGCTCCGCCACGAGTCCGAGGAGACTCTCATCAAGGCCGCCCAGCCTTGGCAGATCAACCTGTTCAGCGGTGTCTCACACGGTTTCGCCGTCCGCGCCGACCTGAGCGACAAGACCCAAAAGTGGGCTAAGGAGCAGGCTTTCTGCCAGGCTGTTGTCTGGTTCAACCAGTACCTGTAAGCTTAGGCTACATTTAAGAAAAGCCGGTGCATTTTGGAAATAAGCCTTTGCCGGCTCCTAGGTAGTTTATTTGCTGATCGCCTGCAGAGCTATTGAGGATGCGCAGACAGCTAAGTTATGAGAAATGACATCTTCATCTCGGAATACACTATATTGAACAGCAGGGAGACCTATTAAATTCAAGTCGAAAATATTAAATGATTGTTTGTAGCGCAAGAAGCAGCTGCACCGTTTTCATGGACATGGAAAGTACACTGCATCAGTCTGAAGTAGAATAGACCCTCAGTGGATCGTATATTTTGTGCATTGGAGGAGCTGATGCCTCCACGCGGTGCGGTATTTTTAAGTCCGGCCTCCTTGTAGTTACTTTGTGAGACAAGGTCTTTCAACTCGAATATCCGATCCGATAAGAGTATTCTCATACACCACGTCAAAACTACGAGTTACTCGCACCAAAGTAAACACTAGCTCAGCTCTTCGTCGCGGCAACCGTATGTGATGGATCAGATAGCGGCTCGACCAATCGGGCCCAGCGAAATGCTTACGTAGGTCCACTTATGACATGGGGTTGGTTGTTGTGGACCGACGTAGTTGCACCTCGAGATTGACTGTGCAAACGGGCGAAGAACGCGGTCGCCGCCTGGCAGTGATAGGCTGCTGGCGTTCTAAACAAACCGTGTCCTTCTCATCGTCCTTAAGTACGAGTCGCTTGCCCACCTGCAGCGCTGAGTGACCTCGACCTGAGTTGTCGCGGCCACATGCATCGCGCCCATCATGGAGCACAACCGGGCGCCTGCGTTGAACTTGAATTTCGCGACTTTTTGCGAAGAGTTGAAATTACCGAGCTTTGAAGACTTTCGAGTCCATTGGCATGCGAAGATGCTCGCCGCAAAAAGATATTTTGCCGTCCTGGACAACGAACTTAGTCTTTCGCTGCATCTCGACACGGATCTGTACGCAAGTATGCTGGAATCCAGCATCAGGCAGGACTTCAGTAGCGAGCGCCCTCGTGTTGTTGAAAATGGTGGGAGTTTTATTCTCAGTTGGATCGATGTGGTCAGGGAGACGACCGATGAGTCCTTCAAGGACGAAGGAAATGGCTTGTTCTCCTGCTACCTTCGCGGGTGTAAGGTCCAAATGCCAGCCAAGGACCGCGATCGAATCAAGCAGTATTACTCGATTCCGATTGCGCGAAATCTGCCACAGCCCCAAGACATTCGGATCGAAAGAGACACTATTTCCGATGTGCGCAAGCTTCTTGCCCAGTGCAAACAAGACCGCGAAGCAGGTAAGTGCCGCACGGATCAAAATTTTGAAGACCATGACTCTGACATCAGCAGCGGCCAAATTCGAGGATAAACTGGATGATTGTTTGAGCAAGCGTGACTTCCAGCTTCGCGAATATCAAGAAAACTCTTTAAGATTGGCTCAGCTCGAGTCGTCTCCCCGCAAGCTCTCTTCGAAACTCGGAACAGAACTCATGAGTGGGCTGTCTACGCATGAGTCGCCTGAAAACGGGGGAAGCCGAGCCGTATCGTCGCAAACACAGCCTAAACATTCCAGTACATTCTCCGCATCGACACCGGTGCCGCAGTGGTCTCGGGGTGCGCTGTCGCCGACAGTGAATTCCAATGGAGTCAGTGAGCAAGGCCCTACCACCCATGGCATCGCAGCTTCTGGAGGGACCGGAACGGAATTACCCATTTCGGCCTCAATACCTGCCAGGTCTGCCCTTACCCCAATTGCGCCTTCCAAACAGGCTATGCCATCCCATACGCAGCAGACCCCACGCTACCAATCCGCCACTAGTTCTCCAGACATACCCATCTCCGGAACTAAGCATCGCATCCCCTTTTCAGAAGAGGAAAGACTTCATAGTATTCGATTTATCTCTTTTCTGATCGACAAAAAGGTGCCATGGAGCCGGATTCCATCCGTTTACGCAGAAAGATTTCGCGTTCATCGGACCCAGGCATCTTTGACCATGAGATATTACAGCGCAACGAAGGAGGAGCGCGTACCGAACGGATATCTGGCACTGGATCTGCGTCTGAATCCGCGCCTCAGGAAGCTGGTTGAAGAACTGGAGAATTGATTGTTGAATTGTGTTAGGGATTCAAACTTCAGCGTCATTTCATGGAGTTCGAAGGGGTTTTGAGGAAATGGTCTGCTCTGCTTACAGGACTGCTTCAAATGATAGATCAGCCCTGCTCTCGAGATACCCACTGATGTTAGATTATTTCTGTCAAAGTACATATCGATGATGATGTATTTTTTTTTGAAAGCAACAATTTCATCATCTTTCCCAAGGTAGCCGGCATCGGTTCTTGAGATAGGTCTAGAATTTTAGCATCTCCTGCAAACAATTATTTGAGATTAGTCGTGCGTAGCCGTGGAGTCTTGCTAGTCGACCAAAAACACAACATGGGAAGCTCCTCATCTTATTATTACTGACTGTTCAATATTCCAAGGATTCTTCAAGTATTTTGATGGTACCTGAGGGTCAGGTACATCACATCAAATACCCGTCGAGTGGACCCGCGTCCCAAGACGGACTAGCGGCGATCGCCACGCTTTTCCGACCCCCAGACTGGCTTGGGGCGTCCACGCTCCAGTTCGCCAACACCTCTCCACCACTCTCTGAGAGACTGTCGCGACTCGGGCCCGTTGCCTTGCTTCAATCTCGTTAATCCCAGCCTGCCCTAGTCCCGCCCAAGTCCCGGCTGCGTCGGTCCTATCCTTTCGGTAAATCGATCGTGTGCGTCTTGTGAGTTATCCCTGGCAAACTGGCCTCGAACCTGGAAGCCCGATAATCGCAAGACCTCGGCCGTACTAATCGAGGGCTTCTTCCTATAGATCTCCACGCTCTCCCTTCTATTTCGAGGGGCCACTTCCCTCCAAAGGGACCAGCGTACATCCGGTATTCGATTGTCGCGTTGGCTTGGTCAAAAGCCAGTCTGTCCTACTGGTTTCGCTCGGTCGTTGTCCCGGGTGATTGATCGGATTTCTCCTCTCGCACCATATCTCCAATCACCATACCTCCGATCACCTCTTAATCACCGCACTCGATCTTTCGAAGAGCCTTTGTCTCTGCGTTTGTCCCTGTTGCAAAACAAAAATGGTTACTCCGGCCGCCCTTCCGCCGCTACCCTTCAACCCGTCTCGGGTCCGCTCGTACCTAGTGCGCCTGCCTTTGTTTACGCGATTGGTCGTTCTCGTCATTCTTGCATTCTGGCTGCTGGAACTGCAGACATTGTGGAGCGTGGTGCAATGGGGTGCCCTTATTCCCAATGAGATTGGCCTTGGCACAAGTATGTTCTTGTTTCTACCCCACCGATCTGCGATAAAAGCAGACATGGCTGGAACTGGCCTGATTGATATGATCTAGTGTACCGACTGAACACCTTCCCTTTCATCCACACCGGTTTCTTCCACGCGCTTTTGAATGCTCTGGCCCTGACCCCACTGCTGGAGCGGTTCGAAGCGGAACACGGCACTCTGACTTCTATTGCGCTGTTTGTTGGACGTAAGTTATTGTACCACTCATGAGTGAACTCTTCACATACAGGGCATTGGTTGTGTATAGTCTTGTCGGGTCTAACAGGCTTCTTCGAACAGCTCTTTCAACTCTACCTGCAGGACTCTACATTTTGATTGAGAAGGTTATTCTGCATAGCAATACTTCTGTGGTTGGATCCAGGTGAGTCGGATTTTGGGGTAAGCAATGCAAAGCCGGCATCTCTAACTTTCCATCAGCGTTTGGGTCTTTTTGCTTCTGGGCTCTGAAGCCATTCGAACTTTCAAGTCGAACCCGTACTTTAGGTATGCCAAACCTCCTTCAAAAACATCTTGACCCCTACTCATGATTCCTGTTAGCCTCGGCCCTTACAAGATTCCCACCTGGACCTCGCCTCTGTTTGCCTGTGTGGTTCTCTCCATTCTTGTGTCTAACGTCAGCTTTCTTGGCCACCTTTGCGCCATCCTGGTAGGCTATCTATGTGAGTATTGCCTGAGATGATCAAACTTGAAAATTTATGACTGACTTCCCCAGTCGGACTCGGATATCTGAAGGTCTTTGTGCCTCCTGAGAAGGTCCTCCGATGGATCGAAGGTAAGCTGAACCTTCTTGGCCGACTGCCGCATTACATCTCTGTCGACCAGAAGACCTATGGTCGCTATGGCGTTCTTCCCTCGTCTAGCAACCCAGGCAACGTCGCCGGCGGAACTCCCATGAGCTACTTGGGATCTACCCAGCGCCTGGGCGCTTGAGTTCTGTTCCAACAAAATAACCATTTACCTTAATTTTCGTGTGCATATTTCGACATAGTGTTTTATTACCTTGGGGGAGCACAAGGGCGGTATCTGAATCATGGCATAGCGAGTGTATCTACTAAAATACGATTGTAATTCTGCGCATTTGGTCTCTGCGGTTGGGCGTAAATTCCCATAAACAACTTCCGAGCTCCGCAACCCCATCGCTACCCTCTGCGACAACTGTCCACCAGTTCTATTCGATTGACGGAGCTGCCGTTGCAGAAGTGGGAAGAAATTTCCTGATGGTCCCCACGCAATGGCTCTGAAATGTGAGTGTTTGGACACCAATTTACCTTGCCCGCGGCCATCCCGCCCTCGAACCGAACACCTGGAAAGAGCGAGACCCTGGAGCTAACAGCTACATAATACAGCCGCAATCCGCAATTTGCGGAACAAACCCCAGTTTCTTTTTGTTTGCCTCCCGAATATTCTGTCCTTTCTCTGCATCGTCGTCGGCGTCGCTTGGCTTCTTCTCCTGCCCCTAGACGATAATTCCCGCCGGACATACATCTCCGAGAATGCACTTCTGCCAGGCCAGGTTCATGCCTATTTTACTGGAAGTGAACAGAATATCTTCCGTGGATATAAGCAGGAGCTACAGTCTTTGCTCAACGAGGGGCGCGAGACCGAGAGCCAGGGAGACGAGGTGGAGGTGACTCCAGCGTAGGTGGCACGGATATAACAGGGTTGCAGGTGGGACAATCTGCTGACAGTTGAGAAGGGCTTCCAACAAAGTTCATTCGATCTTGCAAGCTGCTGGACTCAAGGTTGCCACGCAGAAATACGAGTATACCTCTTCGGGTGTCACACACCAGGGCGAGAACATCTATGGCATTATCCATGCGCCGCGGGGCGATGCGACGGAAGCAATCGTGTTGGTGGCAGCGTGGAAAACTGCAGATGATGAGCTCAATCTGAAAGGTGTCACGCTGGCTCTCACTCTTGCACGATACTTTAAGCGTGAGTTACATCCGCCCTGCCATTTGGTTATTGCGGCTATACTGACTCGTTGAATAGGATGGTCGCTGTGGTCCAAGGATATCATCTTCTTGTTCACACCTGATAGCAAAACGGGCACCCAAGCTTGGATCGACGCATACCATGATCTCCATCCCGAATCCGTGCAACCTCTTCCCTTGAAGAGTGGAGCGCTGCAAGGCGCTGTAGTGATTGAGTTCCCCTTCGACCACAACTTCCAGAAGCTTCATATTGTCTACGATGGAGTCAATGGCCAACTCCCCAACCTCGACCTTTTCAACACAGCCGTTGCCATCGCAGGCGGGCAAATGGGCATCGGAGCGAACTTGCAGGAAATGTGGGAGCACGATGATAGCTATGAAGCGCGTCTTCAGACCATGATGCGCGGAATGACGAAGCAAGGTCTTGGATATGCAACTGGTGCCCATAGCAGCTTCATGCCGTATCATATCGATGCGATCACGCTGCAGCCCAAGGGCGAAGGCTGGGAAGATGAAATGGCACTTGGCCGGACCATTGAAAGCATCTGTCGCAGTCTGAACAACCTGCTGGAGCATCTACATCAGAGCTTTTTCTTCTATTTACTCATGCACAGCAACCGGTTCGTCAGTATTGGCACCTATCTGCCTAGTGCCATGCTCATTGCTGGAAATTTCACTATCATGGCCATTGCCCTTTGGATGCGCACCGGGTATTATTCCGACTCGAAAGCGACGGCTCCCGTCGATTCCGATTCGAAGAATACGAAGCAACCCAAGTCTGGCAGTCAGGATGATGAAAATAAAGCAAAGATCAACGGGGCTGCTCTGGCAGAGCGTCTCATGGCTTTGCCCTTGACTCTTGTTACTGGTCTTCACCTTCTTGGTCTTGTCCCTCTCTGGATCTTCAATAACATCTTCCACCAGGTGAGTTCAACACAAAAGCATGATATATTCTCCCCTCGCTAACGAGGTGATAGTACTTCACCATGGCCACCTATGTCTTCGTTGGCGTGGATATCGTCCTGCCGCTCTTCCTGGCCGCGTTGCTCTCCAACGGACTGGGTGTGGCTAAGCCCATCGTTCCACAACAATACCATTTGATCAAGTCGTTTGCCCTTCTGCTCCTCGGCCTCTCACTCTCCACCCTCGCAACTCTCAACTTCTCCCTCTCTTTCATGATCGGCCTTCTTTGCGCACCGCTCAGCTTCGTCGGCCGTCTTGAAGGTGCTGCTCCGCTACGCTACGGCGTGTCTAGTCTAGGATTTGTGCTGTTGAATCTACTCTCCCCACCGATAGTCGTCCTGGGCGTCTGCCAGTACACTGGTGTTTCTGTCGAGAGCGTGCTTACGCAGGCTGCTTTTGGTTGGAATGTATGGGGTATGTGGACGCAAGTGGTGGTTTGGTGTGTTTGGTGGCCAGCCTGGCTGATCGGCTGTGTTGTGCTGGGCTCCTCCGTCTTTTAGTTTGCAAATTTTCTACGACGGCAAATAGTGTTAAGCCTGCATCTTACAAATTTCAAGGCAAATCCAACTGCATTCATACAAACAGAACCACCTTATTCATTATAGATAAATAGCGGCTAGAAACTCATGAAAACCGTCTATGCAGCCCAGACATCCTTGCCAGCGCCCTCGATCCAGTGACCAAGCTGATTCACACCAGCATCCCAGTCCTTCAATCGGTTCCGCATGCCATCAATCTGCTTCATATCCAGCACCTTGGGTTGAACCCAGTGGATCTGCGCAACGCCCGCAACCTGATCAATCGAACCCTTCAGCAAGCCCAGCGACAAAGCCTTCATAATCAGGTGCTCGATCTCATCGGGCTGCACCTTAGTCTCCGAGGCAATGGCATCGAAGGTAAGGGAACGGTCGTGAGGCGGTCGCCGGAAGACCATCTCGGTCAGCGCAGACAGGGAGATTTTCTGGTAGAGGAAGACACGGTGTGACTCGAGAAGCTTGTTCTTGCTGATGTTGCCCGCCAGCACATCGTAAGCGGTCAGATCACCGCGGTTAAAGGCGAAGAGCAGCTCTCGCAGCCAGTTGTGCGGTGTCGGGGTGAGCGAATCCAGAATGGGGTGCAGGAGGAGCTCGCCAAAGTTGTAGATGGAGTCGGAGACCAGCGCAGCGACACTGAGGTGGTAGGCGCGCGAGAGGCGCTCGTTTTCGGGGAGGTCTTCGAGGTTGATGCAGGCCAGGTACAGGAGGGCGTTTTTGTAGAAAGAGGCAAATTCTTGTTTAGCCTGGAGTGATAGTGTTAGTGCGGGATCCCTTGATCGTCTAGGCGATGGAAAGACATACGTGGTAATAGTCCGCGTTCACCTTGTAGAATGACGCATGCACCACGGTCTCGACCGAGTCGAATGAGTCCAGCGCCCGCTGGCAGGATGCCAGGTCCTTCTGTGCTCCATCCAGATCCTCTAGTCGCAACTTGACGTTGGCGACGTCGGCAAGCGCATAGACGTGCGCATCTTGTGATTCGGGTCGGTCGACCTTGTTGGCGAGGGATGTGAGGAAGGCGAGGCGTTCTTTATCATCTATTGATTGAGGTTGGCAATGAGCAATTGTCCTGAATAGACACACAGAAAGGATTATTTCCCTGTATTTTGAGAGAGTCTTGACTTACCGGCACACTCCGTCGATGCCATCAAACCCAGAGAAACAAACTTGAGCTGATTGATCCGGTCGGCGAAGCTAAGGACGAAGGTCTTGAAGAAAGCTAACCGCTGGGGGGCGCTCTCTGGCAGCCGGAAGAACTCGACCAGCGCATCGGTGAGCTGATGCCATAGCTTGCGCTCCCAGTAGTCCTCGAAGGTGAGGAGGTAGGTCTGCGTCTCGGGAGTACCGTTTGCTTGCTGCTCGGCCAGGAAATCGGGGATCTTGGAGGACTCCATGGCGGAGAGCGGGAGAATGGTAGATGGGACGTCGGAGATGAGATCACTCGCAGGAGGAAATGGTCGAGATGAAGGATGAAGGCGCAATGAAGAAGGAGCGTCGTTAGATGTGGGGATTGGAGGGAGATGGCGGAGCTGATGATGTCTTTTCGGTCGGAGCTCGAGGGCGGTGAGGAGCTGTTTGTATACCCTTCAGCAGCACCAACGCCTCTGTCGATTGACACGACCTGCTCACAAAGCATGCAGAGTGCTGACGTGATGAGCATATAACATACAACAACAATGTGGTGAGTGCTAGCATTTGGGTCTGGGTTCTGGCAGAGCTGAGCCTACCAAGCAGCATCGCAGCATCTTCTTCACTTGCAGGGACTGAGGAATATATGACCATGAAGACGGAAACATGACACTTTTGGACTAACTGAGGGTACTGCTTGTTCCTATTTGCAGATATCGGACACATTTAGGATTCTTGGCCCAAGATCTCTCCGAGTTCCGGCGTAGACAGTTCGTTCCCAAGGTTCGTCGGAAGTGTCCGAGATGTCTCCGAGCGGCCACATAAAAGACTCGCCCGCTCGAAGAGTCCCCAGGGTTCAAGCTGCTTTGCATATTTTCCCGCTCAACATAACCTTGATCCTTTTGACTGCCACTGTTCTCTTGATTCTCAACCGAGATCACAACAGCCTTTGTCTTGATTCTTCTTACCACCATCACCATGACTGAATTTACGGAGGCAAACCGGAAGTACTTCGAGTAAGAAGCAACTGCTTGGACTATCTTCGACGAGGATTCTTCTAATTTCCATTGTACACAGCGACATGGCGAAGGTTTATAAAGATCGATTTGCTGATGCCATGAAGACACTGTGTGATGAGACATTGAAGCATCGTCTGTGGCTCAGTGATCGATGGACGGATACTGAAGCGGGCAAAGATGGTGCGGTCAAGATGCTCGAGTATGCCTGCGGACCGGGCATTATTTCTATGGTAGGTATCCTCTCTTACTCAATCTCATGTTCCTAGGAAGATTAGTGATATATACCTATCATCAGACGCTCGCACCATTCCTGTCGAAGGTCATCGGCATCGATGTCGCCGATAATATGGTGGACGAATTCAACCTCAACGCCAAGAATATCGGCGTATCCGACAAGATGGTCGGATACAAAGCTGATCTACTCGGTGATTCTGCCTCAGCTGAATTTTCCGGGTCAGAGTTCACCAACTTCGACATGGTGACGGTCAGCATGGCTTTGCATCATTTCGAATACCCGCAGGTTGCCCTACAGCGACTGGCAGACCGTCTGAAGAAGGGTGGAACCTGTATGATCATTGACCTTGTACCCTCAGGCCATGTGCATGGGCATGAGAATGGACATGATCATGGCCACGGACACGACCATGAGTTTGGCCCCGCCGCCCACACGGTCAAGACTCACGGATTCTCTCGTGAGGATATGCAGAAGCTATTCGAGGGTGCTGGCCTGAGCGAAGGCTTCGGCTATGAGGTGCTTCCGGAACCACTAGTCATGGTCATGGATGACAAGACACACCGCAAGGTAGTGTTTATCGCTCGAGCTCGGCTGCCCTGAACATCTTATTGTTGAAAAGGAAGCATACATTCAGGTTAAATATATAGTGGCTTTCGTGGTTATAGACCAAAAAGCAAATCGATTACATAGCACTTATGAGAAACTATGGCACACAATTTCTATATTTCTCAAAGGTTCCTATTTGTAGCGTCACAGTTGTACACAGTTTTTCCCTGCATCTCGATGGCCAACCTCTAGATCACGGTGGGTCGATCTAGACCCACCAAGTCCAGAAGCCTCTCGAAAACGCAGAACCGCCATGAAATGCTTGGGCGAACTCACTGTTGATTTCATTACAAGTATGTACCGTAGGACCTTAATAATGTAGATGCCATGTCAGTGTCTATAGAATGGTCGTCTCGATGGGTTCAAAAATAGCAAGTCGGAGGTCGGCAATTCACACCAAGGGGCCCCGGCAACCCTTGAAGTTTTGCAATTCCCACTCAGATGAGACCCTTAGCCTCAATTCACGGTGGCCACCATCGATAGCTCGCTTTTAGTGCAGTCCGTAAAGGCGGTCGTCCAGTCGCGATGCGCGGACCAACGCCACTCGGTCCTTGGCGGAGACTCTTCTTTTGTCCCAACGGAGGCAACACGCCGGATTTAACGATGTGGCTGGTCCTGTGAGAGTTTGCTGCTGGCGCTGATGAAGGGCACAGAGCCGAAGCGAACAAGCAGAGCAAAATGAATATAAGCAACAACCGGTCCGCGCTACAGCAGACGATTCTGGTTTTTGTCGATTCGTCGTCTCTCGTTAAAGTCCGGCCCACCACCGCTCCTTTCTCGCAATACTCTTGAAGAATATTCGCCCTTTATTTTGTTCGCGACAACATGAAGGTATTCGCACCCCTTCTCTTCCTCGGTCTGGCTGGCCTCTCCAGTGCCCGCACCGATCTTCTCGGCTGCATCTCGTCTGCAACCACCAACCAATGGCACGAAGCCAGTATGATCTGGTATGTCGAGGATACAGGCGAGATCTGCGACTTCCCCGACTGCGGCGGAGGTCGTGCTCCTCCCAAGACCGACCAGCCTGGCTGTCCGCTGTATTCCGGCACGGCCACCTTGACACCCAGCTATCTGCTCGGATGGGGCCCCAACGGCAAAATGGCTGCTACTTCGTCCACTGCCTCGGAAACCGCAACCTCCTCTTCCTCTTCCTCTTCCTCGAAGATAAAGGCGACGGACAATCCTACCGAGTCGACGACCATCCAGGATTCTATGGTTACTCGTGCACCAACCTTTTCGCCCATTGTTTCTATGACTTCGTCCACCTCGCCGATTTCGAAGGCTTCTAACTCGACTTCCTCGGCCACGACGACTACTGGGACTGGAAATGCCGCTGGTATTTCGTCCGCAAATATGGCTGGCGCTATGGCGATTGTGATGGCCGTTGTGGGAGGCATTGCCCTCTAAACCATAAGCTTTTATACTCGTCCATATCCGACATCAAAGACATTTCATTTTAACGAGTCCACAAGCTCCGGACTTTGGAGGAAGAATAAATTTGGGTCAATCTTGCATTCTGATCTACTCACCATATATCCATTCAATTCCAGTCTGAGTTCAACTCCAGTTCCTGCTCATTGGTTGAGCTGAGCAGCTCTTCAATGGTCCACGGCTTATGCACATCCACGCGGTAGATTGGTATTTTGGAAGGGAGCACCGTTGTTAAGATGCTCCAAGGCCTTCCCATAGTTGTCAATGGCGTACTTCTCGGGATCATGTTTCCACCGCCAAGCTCCCAGCAGTCCGGCATGGGCAGCTTTGGGTTCCTCTTCATCGGCAGGAAGGCTCCGAGATAATGCATTCAGGATTCCTATCTTCTGCAACAAGGAAACGCGCTCAAACCTATCCTGATAGACAGAGCGTAAGTATTATATTCATTGATATCGAAATTCCGACTTACCGGAGTTTGTTATGAACACGGGTAGCCCAGGGGATGTTGTCCTTTTGCGTTATCTGGAGACATACGGCGAGCGACACGGCATCTTCAAGACCCTGAGTTGCCCCACTGCCAGAGGCCGGGTGGAATGTGTGTGCTGCATCGCCAATCTGGACAACTCGCCCCTTCGGCGACACCTAAACTGGCTGAGACTCTCGCAGCATCAGTTTGAACTCGTGGATATAACCACTGGGAGTTGCTCGGATTTCTCGAGTGGCGGCCTCTGGCCATCCTTGAATCCCTGCTATCTTTTCTCGTACAGTCTCAGGGTTGACAAGCTTGGTCCAGGATTCCATTCCATCGCTATCATCCTTGATCTAATGTCAGCAGCTGAATATTCAAATCGGTATAGGGGTTGTTTTACGGGGTGATGAATTGCCACGCTAGATGATCCGTTGTTCTTTCCCATATACTGTGGTATTTGGGGTGCCTGGTGTTGTCTTAGTTTGGACCGCGAAGAGAGGGAAGGAGTATATACCCTTGCCACATCTCCACGAGAGAAAGCCCATCTTCTAGGCCATGAAACCTCTCCTTCAACAACGGATCAGCAAGGACCGATTCAATCGGAATGGATCCTCTATATAGTGAGCTGCCAGATGGATGGGCAGGAATTTCACGTCCCATTGTAACAGTAAACGATTTGCTCCCGATACCATCGGCTGCAATGACCACATCGGCTTCTAATCTTTCATCATCTGCGAGAACAACGACTGCTTTTTGAGTGTTGGGATTCTCGTAGAATTTGAATGCTTGTTTGCTATATTCCATAGAAAGTCTAATTCTCTTAGTTTGATTAGATAATATATTGTGGAACTTCGGACGACTATGCCGATTGGCATTCGTTGGTTGCTCGACACCATCGACAGACGTTTCTCCATTCTTTGAAGCATGCATCGCAATAAGGGAGGGGCCCGCAACCTTTTTCCCATCAATTTGGTGCCACGACATCCACATTCTGTACTCAATTTTGGCATTTTCTCGAGCCATATCTGGCCATTTTTTCACGGCTCGAATGGCAGTTGGGCCAATAAAGAAACTGTCGCCTAATTTTGTCATGTGTGTTAGAACTGCACGGAGAATTTGTCTTGTATTTTATACTGACCTGATTGAAGACGCGCAGGGCTTCTTTCGATAATTCGAACGTCATGTCCATTCCGATAACATTCCAAGCTTGCCATTAAGCCTGCTACTCCAGCTCCAACAATGAGGACTGAGATGCCAGTGAGTGGGTGTCACTCTGGAAGTTGTCCTGCCACATCTCTGGGGGAATGGACCGAATAAGGTTCAGAAGGAACGGTCATAATGTCGAGTTATCGTAATGACAACTGAGGAAAGCCCTGTGCTCGGCTTGAGGATGCAGAAATGGAATAGCGAGTCATGGCATTTTTATAGATAAGTTTAGGAGGTCTCCGGCCCCAATGCTGCCAGGGAGGGTCCGAAGCGGAATCCCGCTCAGCCGATAATTGAATCATCCAAATGTGCACATTGCTCCGAAGGAGAAAGTCGCTAGTACAATATGAGAGATCGGGTATGAAATGAAAATGTTTTTAGGTGAGAATTGAGAATGCTTTCTTTCGTGGATGTGGATATTCGCTCTATAAACATTGCAGGGCGTCAACGCCGTCCGGAAAATCAACAAAATCATCAAAAGGGAAATAAGCATCGAAAGGCATACTGAACATGAAGCTAAAGTCAGGCTGATTCTGGATGTCTTCATGCTGAGCCTTCTCCATGGCCTCCTTCTTTTGACGATGTGACTCTTTCATAAGCCGCATTCGACTGGAGAGCCTTCCGAAGATCTCGGGTAATTCGTCCGATGCTATGTTTGGCTGTATAAATGACCGGGCTTCTTCTAACTTCTGCGCTAGGCGATCGATTGTATCGTTGTAGTCAATCGTACTTCGAACGTACTCCAGGTCCCAGTCATTGTAGCTTTGAAATAGACTTAGCCGTGAGAGGGTGACCACTGCGTGGCCGGATTGACACCAGATCGTAAACGGAAGAAAGGGGAAATATTGCGACGAGACCGAGTAAAAGTTGTGGAAAAATGACTTTGTCGCTTCCAGACAGTGGAAGAGAATATCTAGCCTTGTCACCGTGTAGCCACCGCATTGGGCGTCGGACAGTTCCTCGCTCAGAGCAATTTGGTATAAAAGGATTTCTAGTGTATTGCAATGGAATGCAAGAATACCTGAGGATGGGCCGGTTAGAGCCTGTGAAAAGCATTAACAAAGATAACATTTGACTCACTTGAATGTGGCGGCTCGCATGAGAAAGAAGCCTTGATTTTTTGAAGTTCGGCCTGGAACCCTTGTATACTTAGCCCAAGTGGAGCCGAGAGAATCTCAGGGTAATCAAGGTCATTAAAGCTGATTGTGTGCACGATCCTGTCAGCAAGATGCATGACTCGGATCAAATTCACAAGATAAGCATCTGTAGGAAACTCCAAGGCTTCCTCGACCCGTTTGCAGCATTCTTTTGTATATTTCGTAAAGCGAAGCGGTTCCATATCTCGGACGCACGAAGATAGCCTATAGCTTGTTAGCCACTTGCAATTTCCTTTTTCTTGCAAAGAGATGCCTAACATACATAACCGTCAGGTAATAGCACCCCAAATAAGCCCGTTGCTCTTCGAGGGTGTGCACGCGCTGTGAGCTGGCCCATACATCCATTTTCCCCATATAGCTGATCGGCTTTGACATTCTCGGGGGATTCAAGCTTTGACCTAAACCCAAACTGATGAGCTGAGCCACAGCCAGTTGCACAAAGGCGTCTAGTTGTGCAGGTCCCTGATTGACCTGTTGCTGAGTGAATCCTGGTACGACTTCCCCTTCTTGATCAGGAGCCGTCGACCGTTGCTGACGAGAAATGCCAATATACCAAGCCAGATGCACAAGGAGACCCTGAAGCAGGTCGAGGCTGCGCTCATTCCGAATCACAATCTTCTCGGCTATATAGTCTTTCACCATTTTTGAAATTTCTCGCTGGCGCGATGCGCTCTGACATGCAACCATGGAGATGGCCAAGAAGAGGAACGGCTTTTCTTGACGTAATTGATCTGCTGTCATATGGGGTGGGATCACGACGAATGGAAAGAGAGGCACCATACTGGTGGTAAATATCTTCAGGAGAAATTGACCTTCTCTGTCGCTCGGATTTGCTGCACTTTCGTCCGAGAATGCAGTTGACGACATCCCGGACGAAAGATTAGGGCCGGATGACTCGAGAGCAGATGGGTTCGAAGCCGTAAGCAGAGCAACCATTCGGTCCAGCTTCTCTTCCAAGGCCGAGACTTCACTATACGCGGTCAGACCATTCCGTTCTGGATATGAAGTATACACAACTGACATGCTGCTTTTCGTGGACTTTTGGCGCCGATGCGCCCCGGGCGCTTGGTCATTGCAATCTTTCTTCAAACGACGGCATCTAGGGGATTGATTAGTCTGAAACTAACCTGTAGTCTTTCTTGGATTAGCTCCTCACCGTTTGCATGTCCCATCGGTTTGCGGCTCGCACCGCACCTTCGCCTTGGCGCATGTCCGGCACGCCTTCGGGATTCGGACTCCGCCGTTGTTGCTCATTCTGGGTTACCTGTTGCTGCGGGACCTCTCGGCGACCTGCAGAGAAAAAGCCGACGAGGCTAGGGTAGAACCGAGGACAAATTGCGGTCTTCCGGTGATGTGTCAGAAGGATGTTGGGGACACAACGGCAGGCGGAGACGGAATTCCGCTTCCTTTGGCCCCCACGGCCAGCCTTGTGAGCTTCCGTCAGCATCGTTTTGCAACGTGCGACTGAGGCAGAGTCAGTGAGTATTGAAAGGTCGTGTCTCAGAGTTGATCGGATGCTGTACTGCGGCAGCTTCTGGATCGATGGAATTCGGATTCCCCCACAAAGCGCCGCTGGGGGCGTGGGGGTGTTTTATACTACCAAACCTAGGAGGCTGTCCTCACAAACAGTCCCCATGGCTCCTAAAAATCTCGTGCCAATGACAAGACATGTCCCGTTAGTCTCTGTCCATTTGCCCATCCGCAGATCGGTCCACCAGGAATCGCCCACTGAGACTCAGATTGACTAGACAAGCAAGCTGTGCGGGACCGCCAATCGCGGGACCTTTGCTGTGGGGTCCAACATCAGCCATGTCATCAGCGCAGTTACAAAGCTCAAAAGAGAAATATCAGGATACTCCTTAAAGCTGCGAAACAATTATCTGGCTACTTCCCTCAGTTTCATACCAGTAAATGGCAACCGCAAACAAGGGTGCTTCCATCCCAGACACGGTTGCCGTGGGCAGTGAGCAGGAGACTATCGAAACATGGAGACACAGATCCAAGATCGACCAAAGCTCACAGATTCGACTGCTCAAACTAGCGCATATGCGGTACCGGCATCCTGACCTAGAGCAAATCACCGCCTTCCTACTGGGTATTGTCTTCTCTTCTATGAATGGAAATGAGCATATTGGCTAATTCTCGATGCAGACTTTGGTATGACCGTGGCCAAAAGAACGGATGATGAAATTTGGTATCGAGGATATGGCGAGGATCAGTATGTCTACTATGCACGCAAGAGGCCAAAGAAGTTTCTCGGAGGCACCTTTGCTGTTGAATCCTTCGAGGATTTGGAGAAGTATGCTCTCCCTGATATGGATTCGCCACCGATGCCGTTCTGACGCTGTCTTAGAGCCTCTCAGCTTCCAACGGCGGGCAATATCCAAGAACTGTCTGACTCACCCGGGGGAGGTTTCATGCTCATTTTGACAGACCCCGAGGGCTTCCCAATCAACTTGATGTTTGGACAAGCCCAAGCAGACCGTGGGGATTACCCGGACAAACTTTCAATCAACTACGAAGAAGATGAGCCGCGTATCAGGCGATTCCAACGTTTCAAACCAGGACCAGCGGCGGTACACAAGGTAGGTATTCCTCTCTCGAATATCTATTCAGATAGCTTACTTCTGAATCTAGTTGGGCCATTTCGGCGTCTGCACGCAGCAGTTCGACGGGCTGGTTGACTTTTACACGAATACATTCAATATAGTCCCGACAGACTTCCTATACGTGGAGAACGAAGGCAAGAAAAAGAATGTTGCCGTGTTCGCCATATCGACCGGGGCACAGATTACGTGGACCATCGCAGCTTTTTCATCAGCACAAATGCTACAACCCATGTCCACACTGCTCATTCGAGGTCCACGACTTTGACACGCAGAAGTTAGGGCATCAATGGCTGGCTGATAAGAAGTATGAGTCTGTGTGGGGCGTTGGTCGCCACATTTTGGGATCTCAGATCTTTGACTACTGGTGGGATACTACCGGGAATACGATCGAGCATTACGCAGATGGAGACTTGGTCAACGATCAAACTCCTATCGGCTATGGGCCTGCTGGAGATGAGTCATTGGCTGTCTGGGGGCCTGAAGTACCTGCTTGGTTTTTGAATTAGTTTCATCGCTTTGTAATTGCAAATTAAGAGATCGTCACAAACCTAGCATCTGAACTGCTAGTAAAAACTAGTATATACTCCGCGGCCGACTTTATATGAGTCTGCGCAAAGACCCAGCAGGCGAGAATTTGCAGATCAAACCATGGCAGAGATCGAAGCTGAAACGACCGACGTGGTGATTTGTGGCTGTGGCCCGACACGGGCCATGTTATCGGCCTACCTGGGGCAGTTGAATATCCCCAACGTTGTGCTCGAGCGAGGAACAGAAATAACGACGAATGGCCTTGGATGAAGACGGCATTCGACTGCTCCAGGTTGTTGGCTTGTACTCGTCTGTGTACACGGAGATAGGAACATGTAAGTCAGCAGCTGCCAGATACTTTCGAGAAGAGGAGAGTCGGCTTGGCAACAAACTGACCAAAGCGCAGGTATGATTATTTTCAAGTTTATCGGTGTTATCGGTGGAACAGAGCCAGTACTAGATAAACCTGCCTTCGTCGAGATGGACTATGGCACTGTGAGTGACCTGCTTCTGAACGAAGATCAAGTCTTGACCATCATTTGAGAGCAGACCGAGGGAGGTACAGGCCACATTGGATTCATCTGTCACAAACAGCCAGCCCTAGAGAAGGGACTGCGCGATAGGATGGCGGCCTTGAAGGCCTGCGAATTACGCTCTGGCTGTGAAGTCACGGATATTTTCGAAGAACAAGACATAACAGTTTGTCTGTACTACGACGCACAAGGGAAGCAGGAAGGACAGTTCTTGCTTCTTCGTGGGAGCTGATTGGAAGACGGGCTTCACCAGGAAACAATATCTGGAGCCCAAAGGAATCATCATGGAACAGGCACACCAGTATGTCGCAATTCTGAACATAGACCGTTTGCAATCTAACTCTGTCCGAACAAGGGCTTTCTATGAGGAGGTCTGGGTAGCCTTGAACTGGCAAATTGATCTTCCCAGCGAGAAAACACAGCTGGGATACACACCGGAACAGGTCTATGACCTATTCTTCCCCATCGATTTTCGATTCATTTGCAATCCGAGGAGACCGGCCGTGTGCGGTCGCTTTGGACTACCGTCCGATCGGCTATGGCGGTTTGAGTTCTTCGTCATGAAAGATGAAGGTGGAGATGAAATGTCAAAGCCTGAAAAGATCAAAGAGGTTGTTTTCCCGTACATCCGACATGCAGGTAGTCAATATGAGTAAGGTCATTCAAAAACTCGAGTTCAGCCGTCTGATGCTCACGGAGTTTAGTCTCTCACAAGATGTGGCATTTCCCGAAGATTGTATCAAGGTGCTTCGGTCCAGACCCTTCAAGTTCTCAGCTCGCAGCTGCAACAGGTGGTCTGATGGACGAGTAATCTTGTGCGGTGATGCTGCCCATATCTTTCCGCCGTGTATGTTTTCGACTACCATCCCTTTAATTTCTGATGCAACAGATGCTGACTCTATCCGTTCATCGTTTAGTCGGTGGCCAGGGAATTGCGTCAGGGTTTCGCGATGCTGTATCTATAGCATGGCGTCTTGTTATTCTTTGCAATAACCAGTCTTTAGTCAAAACCGTGCACGAGAGGGTTCTCAAGGCGTGGTACAAAGAGCGGAAACAACAACCCGAGAAATCGCTGGCTTCAACAATCGAAAATGGTCGATTCGTCACCGAGAAAATCCGTTGAAGGTTATCATTCGCGATATCTACTTATGGATGATTCAATTGGTACCCTCGTGGCGTCATGAGCTCCGACTTGGACGCCGCAAGGAATGGATGGTGCAGTATGCGCATTCCGAGGGAATGCCATTCCCGCCAGCATTCAATGGGGGGTTATGTCTTCCTCAGGTTTATTGCATGTCGCTAAATGATGAACGGAAAGCTGTTCAATTCACAGACGATGTGATATTCTCGACAGGAAAGAAAGGACTGTTTCAGCTTCTGGTTTATGCTAAGGCCTTGGAAGAAGCAAGGGCAGCCCGAGAAGTCATCACCGATGTTGAAGATATGTCCAGTGGCGAGGTAATTGCCTATGAAACAACCATTTTGGTCGAAGACACAACTTGTGATAGTGACCCCAACACTACCTCAATGAGCATGTTTCGACTTGCGACCGGGGAAGAATTTGCACTCTCACCCTTATGTGAGAGAAGACCGAAACCCCAGTTCTATGACATGCTCTACCTTGCCAAGGCACTCAATGGAGTGAGATTTGTTCTCGTTCGCCCAGATAGATTCATTTATGCTGCTTGCTCGACCCGGGATGACTTGAAAAGGGTCCTTCAAAGCGTTGCAATGTATATCCAAAAATCATAGCATCCGGTATTGGGGCTGGAAAGACAGTTGAGGATACTAGATGCAGACACAAAGACGATAAAGATGCGCGAGAACCAGAATATCAGTGGCATTCATATAGCCAAGGTTGGATTTATTCGAAGAGGCCGGGAAGGTATTTCCAACAAAGCCATAAAGTTCCCCCTACCGCGGCCCAGCTTAGTAGCCCTCTGGTGAGAATGATCCCCTTGACTATGGTCAATGCCTTCTTCTCGTTGACCCTTGGAAAATCCGACCCGGGGACATCCTTTTTCAAGAATTTGCACAGCGGTTTCCACCCATCCTCCGCTTTGAACTCCAAGATCTCGCGGCCTCGTTCTTTAGCGATCTGCCTGACCGATTCATTGTACTTCTCGTACATAGAAGCCGTGAAGACATCGCCCACCCCGTAAGTTTCCTGGGACCACTCCAGAATGTACATGTTCTGCTGGTACCACAGTCTGTCACACTTCCGCAGAAGTCCGACCCAGTAGAACGGCCGAGTAAAGAAGAACCCCAAACTGGCACGGCAGCTCGTTGCCCATGTCTCAGCATTCGGGCGCGTAGTCAAGACGACCTTTGCCTTTGGATACATGTCCATCAAGTCAGCCAGGAAGAAGACGGCAGGCATATCGCAAACCATCTCGTAGCCGTTCACTAGTCGATGGATGAGATGTTGTCGTCGCTGGGTATCTTTTTCTCGGGTGGCTTCGATGAGGGTCTCCATTCGGTCGGCATGTGGAATGACTTGCGCCATATGAAGACATGGGTCGTAACCGAGCTCCTCGAGAGCTGCTTGCAAAGAAGAGGTTGCTGTTCGGGGTAAACCGGCCCCAATGACGACTAAGGGAGAGCTGCATGTCGGTCGGGCTCGCGAGTCGTTGATGAAGCGCACCATGGTGAAGGGGACAACACTTCGAAACCGAGGACCTGGGGAGTGCGAATTTTTATCGTAAGCGATAGATCAGAGAATCTGGGGAAGAGCATGGGAGGTCGAGGCCCCCAGCGCCAACCTTGTGTAGTTCAGGCGTACCAAATTGCAGTCTGACGTCAATTCCAGTATATATCTAGCAGTCCACCTCGCAGAGCTGCCGGAGGCTGCATATTTGCATGATAAAGGCCAGAAATTCCCACTGGACTTGATATGCGGGAGATGGAATGCTTGAAGCAGGAAAAGAGCGTACATGATGCCTTCAGGTGGGTGGGTATGCAAGGGTGGGTGACTCCAACGGGGTGCACTATTCTTCCGGTGATGAAACAGCGAAGCATTCCTCCACCTGACCTCTTCAGTTCTGAAAGTTGATAGAAAAAGAATTTGAAAAGGAAGTAAAAATCAGGTGGAATCGAACCCATGGCCTTGCGTGGTGCAGTTTCACCGTCCCTGGCTGACCTGCAGGGAGGGCATCGCTGCCCGGAGAACATCTTCACGTTCATTGCGACATCCTAACTTCAAGAGCCTCCCACAGCCTCGAATTAGAATCAGATGCTTCAAATGTTTGTTATTTTATAGAAGATGAGCTGAATGGCCAATTCTCCAATTTTCAGCAGAAATATCCAACTCCCAGTGACCCAAATCCTCTTTCTTTCACAGGGGTCAACAATGGCCTCACTTATAAAAGAAATAATTGAACGCCATTCCTGAAGATGGGGCCTGTGGTCTAGTGATGCGATTGGCGCCTTCGTAGCGTAGAACTAACCCATAGGAACTGCCTCCCTGGGTAACGTCACCAGATCAGGTGCCCACGCTCGCCGTCCCCTCTGCTAACAGAGGGATTCCCCATCTTCCATCTCTTTTTTTTTCCCTCTCTTCTCCTCTCTTCTCCTTCTTATTCCTCTGTTTTTCCGTGCTCTATCAGTCCATGTATTTTCCAAGCTGGCTTGCTCGCCTCATGGTATTAATTCACACCCGCAGCGAACCCGGCATCTTCGATTACGCTCAGCTCTGCCGCTGTCAATCTGGTGTCTCTTTCGTTCTGGCAAAAGCATGTGTTACATGTACACATGGGAAGTCTCATCGGTGGGTAATATCCATATTCAAATTCGGGTCCCTGGATGCTGATCTCCTATATTCAATTGAACTTCTGGTCAACAAGCCCAGTAAAGCCTCCCCCCGCCCCCCAGGGTCACATCATTTCCCAGATACAGAGAAAGTCCAGTCCTGAGGAAACTGGTCGCGCTGAATGTCGTCCTGTTCCGGGAAAATATTATCGTAATGAGGCATAGCAGTGTCGGGGTCGTTTGCCTGTTCAAAGTACTTGTCACCCAAGCCTCGGAAAACAGGATCATTCCACATCTTCGCCATCCAGGTTAGAGCATCCTTGCTCGCTGTATCCAGAGGAAGATTATAAGTCCGGAATCGCTGCAAATTATTAGCGACATGATTGAAGGTATATCACGTAATTGACGAGTTACCCAAAGAACCGGCCAGAAGAATGCATCAGCAATGCTGAACCCTCCAAACAAGAATCCTTCGTCCACCTCCCCCAAGATCGCAAGACGCTCCTTGGTCGCTTTACGGGAGCTATCCCAGATCACTAGGATTTTCTCGACATCCTTTTGTGCCTCTGCTGAGACATGGATGTTTCCTGTATACCTGACGACGAAGTTGGTATGGAACGTGCCTCGTAGAGCGGAGAAGCCAGAATGCATCTGTGCAGCGGCGCTGCGTGCCAGGGCTCTAAGCAGTCGATCACGAGGCCAGAGTGGAAATTCTGGGTGGGATTCGGCGAGGAATTCGCAGATTGCGAGCGAATCGTTGATTGGAGTGGAACCCAAGGAGCGCGATTCGAGGACGGGGACGAGTCCAGTTCGAGACACGGCTTTTACCTAGTGTTTGGAGATGCACGTCAGTAAGAACCCTCTGACTGAACCTTTCGGTTGGGGATCTTGGTTTGTGTATTCACATCATCAATCTTCACGAAATTTGGGTTGTAGGGAATTTGGAAGTACTCCAGGACAGCCTCGACCCGCGACGTCCAGCCTGGTTGTTGTCAATCAGTTGATCATGTGCCTAAGAAGGCATCGCTTACTGGAATAGCGGGTATGGAGGCCGATAAGCTGATACTCGTGCTCCTGGGTCGCCATAGTGGTGATTCCAGCGTTGCGAATTGAGGGGAAGTTTTGTTTTGGTTGGGGAGCGTGCAGCGAGACATCTTTAAACGAGGTTACCATGACTCACTGAAGCCCCGCGGCTCGTAAAACTACCTTGCCCAGGGCTTGGCCATAATGCCATTTCACTATACCCTTGCTATTGCTAACGCTGTATCCCACCTACTACTTGGTTTCTGTCCCGGTAACGTGTTTGGTTAGTATTTATCTGGTCATCTATCCAGTTACTAGTGTGATTAGCTGCTTGGTAATCTACTTGGTACGATTATGCCTCACAGCTCAGAATAGATGAACAGATTTCGGACTCGACTATTTGCTCACAGGCTTTTAGAAGGTCTGGCCATTTACTCATACAGTTAATTCGCCCAGTCCGCAGCATGATTAGATGACTGGAAATTACGAGGTGTCGTCTGAGGCAAAATGAGTATGTTTACGGCAAATTACTTCTATTCGGACAAAATGAATCTGAGTAACAATCTGAGTATCTTTATTTAATTGGTTCCTTTGGCTTATTGCAAGCTTGGGCCGGCATTTGTCGCTAGCATGAAGCAACAAATATCACACGATATACCTTGAGGAGGAGCTTCCCCGGGTGAGCGGGAAAGCCTTCACGAGCATTTCTATTGCTAGAATAGTGTTTCAACCATCCGAGAGCCTTCTGTTGATCTCATATTTTCCAGGTTATCTATCCAAATGTCATTTGCGCCGTACCTGTATATATTATGTACCTGAGGGTATAGTAACACTGCTGTCTGGCAGTACCCACATGACGTCACTACTCACTTGCTGTCCCGACTTGCCGCACAACTTGAAGTCGCATTCTTTTTCTCTTTTCCTTTTCCACCTCATCTCATGTATATCGACTGCAGTTGTATTGCAAAATGACCGAATCCTTCGCTCTCCTCCGCCGTCAGCGCACGGACGATCTCTCCAAGCTAGCCGATCAGCATATGCAGCATGATCTCCAACCCGAGGACCGCAATGCACTCAAGTCTGCAGCATCCACCGTTTCTCTCTGGACTACCGTCGGTTCTGCGGTGGGAATTGGACTCGGACTTTATGCGGCAATTCGTTTGAGAAGCACTCGCAAGGCCTTTTTCGCCGCGGTGCGCGCACAGGAAAGACCGACCAGCGTTGTCTTTGCGGACGGCCGGACAGGTACGTATTGCATACTTGACGGATATACAGATCGACATAATTGGCAAGAGAGGATGGGTTTACTAATTGAGAGCCAGAGCCGATCCCAGACCTTACGCCTTTGCTGAAACCATCAGCTCTGGGAGACTTTGCGACATACTTCTTTGCGTCGGCCGGTGGCCTGTTTCTGGGCGGAGAACTTGGTAAGGATCTCAATTCAAACCACAGACCGCGACATCCGCAGACCAATATGAATACTGACATGGTTCTTGATCAGGCTTTGCTGGTGGAGCAGCTAGTGGAAGCAGGAGCATCACTGCTGACCCCGAAAGGCAAAAGCGGATCGAAGCTGCTTTTCGGAGATTTCGGGCTGATGTATTACGGCGAGAGGCAGATGAGCTGGATAAGGGAGCGAGTGTCTCCGGTGTGATGATTTAGATAGATAGTGATACGGTATCATAATACCATCGACTGTTCCACCAGCGAGATTGCTGGCTCCCAGATTGACAGGATGCTTTGTAAATCGAGGAACCCCGACGGCCAACTGACAGCGAGGCCCAAGCTCTGAGCGATGGAGACGACTCCATCTACTCCAACAGGTAAACATGCGGGGATGGTATATCGGCAAGCGTGCATGGCGGACTTTGTCCCGCCCGTGTTGTGGTTCCCCGCTCTCTTATCAATCGTCTTTCTAACGGCTTGCTCAGGCTTCCCTTCTATAAAAACACCAGTCTCACCATGGCAGTCCGATCAGTAATTCGTGCAACCCGGACCTGGACAAGGGCATACCTCCATCGAGCAGCCTCCCACCAGCAATTTCGAAAGGCGTTCTCAACGACCACATCTCGCAACATGTTCACCAGTGAATTGTCTGAAGCCGACGTGTCGGCTCTGAGGGCCAACAAAGACCGTCTTGCCAAAGACCTTCATCACTCGTGTCAATGGGGGTTCGGAATCCGATGGGGCGAGTAAGTTGACTTTGGAAAATAGCAAGGACTGGAGCTAATTGCTATAATTCTGAACCAGCAACACAACAGACACTGGCATGCAACGTCTCGCACTGTCTGAAGAAGACAAGAGTGTTCGGGACTGGTTCATCCAGACCATGAAGGATCTTAAGTGCGAGATAACCGTCGACGAAATGGGGAACATATTCGCTGTTCGTCCAGGACGAAGAAAGGATGTGCCGGCTACTTTCATCGGGAGCCACCTCGACACGCAGCCAACTGGAGGACGATATGATGGAATTCTGGGTGTTCTCGCTGGAGTCGAGGCGCTTAAACGCATGGATGAAATGGGCCTCGAGACAGAGGGAGGAGTGGGTGTGGTAAACTGGACCAAGTATGAAATTCACCAATGCCCCGTTCTCTTCTCTGGACCATACTGACAATTTATTCAGTGAGGAGGGAGCTCGATTCCCGGTGAGCATGATCTCATCCGGCGTGTGGGCCGAATGCATTCCTCTATCGAAAGCACACAATCTTAAAGAAGTTCCTACAGTGGCATCACTCCCAACAGCGGCATCTGCACCGGAGACAATGAAATCGGCATTGCAGAAGATCGGCTATCTCGGCAGCGTACCTTGTTCGTATAAGACTACCCCAATGGCTGCGCACTTCGAGTTACACATCGAGCAGGGTCCTCATCTTGTATCGGCGAATCAACGCGTGGGAGTAGTCGCAGCCGTGCAAGCCTATCGTTGGTTCCGATTGAAGGTGATTGGGCGCGATACACACACCGGTACAACCGCATTCGAGCATCGCGCAGATGCCCTCTATGCATTTTCGCGCATGATGGTTCGAGCCAGAGAAATTGCTGCGGCTCGAGGATGTCTTGCTAGCGTTGGAATCATCGAAGCAAAGCCAGGCAGTGTGAACACCGTGCCGGGCCAGGTCAATTTCAGTTTGGATATCCGTGGGCCGGAGACAGAACTAGTCGCCGAAGTTGAGAAAGAACTGCGAGCCGATTTCGACGCCATTGCCGCTGAAGAGGGCGCAGGAATTGGCAAGCCCTGTCGGGTCGAGTGGACGCTGGATTTTGACTCCCCTGCTGTCAAGTTCCATGACGATTGCATTGACTGCGTACAACAATCGGCTCATGCTGTAGTTGCAGATGCACCCGTCGCAGTTCCCGAGTCGCTTGTAAGGCACATCATGAGTGGTGCTGGACATGACAGCGTCTTCACATCGAAAAGAGTTCCCACTAGCATGATATTCGTCCCTTGCAATGATGGGCTGAGCCATCACCCGGAAGAGTTCTGTTCAGCAGACGACTGTGCAACAGGGGCATCGGTGATTCTGCAGGCTGTTGTACGTTATGATCGAAAGAGATTCGCGTAGGGGACGCCTCGGAGACGAGCTATGGGTAAGATATCAGAATATCGGCCAGAATGATGTTGCAGGAGCAGACGATGAGTCTCGCAGGTGAATGTTCGATACGTGTCTACGCAGAATAGTGATAATTGCACTGATCATGAGTTTGCCATTGATACTAGCTAGTTCATTAAGCCAGTGACATCGTTTAAACATTTTTAATTGTTTGCCCGTATCTCCAAGACTCAGAAACAACGGGCAATTGATGATGTGCCGAGAAGCCTGCCTGTTTCGAGACTCCTATTTCCGATAGCCCTGGTCCGTAGACAGGCCCCCGACAACATCTGTCCCAAGGATGACCGAGCAGTGGATGACAGGACGAACCAAGGCCCCCAACCCTTCTCTATAGAAAGAGAGAGTTTACTGGGGAGCACCGCGGCCACGGCCGAAGCCACCACGGAAGGAGGGAGCGAACTCGCCGGGGGCACCGCCCTCCTTGCCGCCCTCCTCACGGCGGCGGTAGCCACCCTCACGAGGAGCACGGGGACGACGCTCACGGTCCTCACCGCCCATCATGCCGCGGGGAGGAGCGTGGGAGCGCTGCTGCTTGATGTGGGTGGCGGGGACAACCTCCGCGGGGAGGTGCAGCCACTCGCGCAGGTAGTCCAGACCCTCGGGGGTGAGGGTGTAGTAGTAGTACTGCCACGAGAACTGGGTCTTGATGTAGCCGCGGGAGTTCAGCGACTGGCAAGCCTTGATGACCTATACAGCAGATGCATTAGCCGGTGTTCCGTGGTTGATCGGTTGATCGGTTGATCGGTTGGTTCTTACATAGAGGTTCTTGGTGTCAATGTCACCGTGCTTGGGAAGGTTGAAGTCCTTCTTGGCCACGAGCACACCCTCTGCAAAGAAAATAGTCAGCCAACATGCTCACTTCCATCTCGGTCCGTGTTGGGCGCAATGGCACTGGTCGGATCGAGGTCGCCGGAGACGTAGCGTCGTGGAGAATTGTGATCACATACCGCGGAAGAGGTACTCGTGGATCTTCTTGCGGTCGTCCTTGGGGATAAGCATTGTCGCGAGTTCCTGGCGCAATTCGGGGAATCGCTTTGACAACGCCAGAAAAAGATGGGTGATTTAAAGAACGAAGAGTGGAGCCGCGCGACGAGCAAAGTGCGATATTCCTGTTCGGGCGGGCTCGCTAGGGTTGGGGCCCTAATTGCCAGAAGTCACGTTATCCGGAATCACATGATCTGGAATTTATTGATCTGCTGAGTCATATATCGCTATCACCTGACCCTCTTGCCGCTTGCCACCATCTTATCTCTGGTCATCCAGAACGATTGTCATCGAGCGAGTATTTTCGTCCAAGCGCCGAGCACCACCGGAAGAGGTTATTCTTACTGCCTTATTTCACCGAAATGGCGTCCTCAAACGTGAATGTCCTGCTTTCGTCCTTCCCTGGACTCTCGCTGCCATCGACCGTCTCATTCTCGTTGGCCTCGACCTCGACGATCTCAGACCTGACAGAGAAGATCGCCTCCTACCTTCCATCTTCGCTCGCTCTCCAATCACTTATTCTCACTACTACGAACAACAAACAAATCAAACCATCGCCCGAACCCCTACAATCCCTGCTGACGGCACGCGATGGCACCTCCGCGAATCTCTCAACTATTCTTCCCGTTCGTCTCTCCGTTCCTCTATGTGGTGGTAAGGGTGGCTTCGGCTCCCAGCTTCGTGCTGCCGGTGGCCGCATGTCTAGCAAGCGCAAGCGCAACCAGGGCGACAACAACAGCTCGAGTCGCAACCTTGATGGCCGCCGTCTGCGCACCGTCAACGAGGCCAAGGCCCTCGCTGAATACCTTGCCGTCAAGCCTGAAATGGACCGGAAAGAAAAGGAGGAGAGGCGCAAGCGATGGCAGGCTGTGGTGGAAATGGCTGAGAAGCGACAAGATGAATTAAAAAATGGCACTGGAAAGGAAAAAATTGATGGACAATGGATGGAGGACAAGGAAGAGTCAATTGAGAAAGCCCATGAGGCAGTCTTGATGGCGATGAAAGATGGCTCGTGGTCCGATAACCTTCGCGACATGATCCTCGGTGGATCCAGCACCAGTGCTAGCGAAGGCAGTGAGCAAGCAGCCTCTTCTAGCTCTGATGAGGAAGACGAAGAGAACGGCTCTCCGTCCAGTTCCGCTGGCCCCTCTGTCGCTACGCAAAAGCCTGCACCTCGGCGATTCATCGGCTTCGATGACGACGACGAGTTCATGAGTGACTCCGAGGAAGAAGAGGAAGAAGAACAGGGCAAGGGCAAGGGCAAGGCCCGTGCCTAAATATCCAAAAGTCGGATCTGAGTTATGGTTTATGACGGCGTTCGTTCTTCAATTTGCGAACAATATGTACTTGGAGCATCAGGGTTCAGCGGGTTTCAGTGTCAATAATTCTACAATCTCCATTTCGGAGTATTAATCAACTTCAAGGAGCTGACAATTGCTCATTCCATCTGCATCGCTCTACAACCCTGTAAAACTGTATTGGATCTTGTATTTGGGTAAATATAGTTCGGTCCTAGAAGACTGCACTTTGCGACTGCCTGAGGACAAAATTCATTGGAAATCCTATTGTTGGTACCTGTTGTTATGGCAGGGTAGGGTGCCAGATTAGTTCCGCTTATAGTTGCTAGCCAAGCGGAGTGTGTTATCGATAACAGGTTTCGCCGGCAAAAAAAGCGTGGCGCCGTATGAACGTCGACTCTTCACATTCACCATGTCGGCCTGCTCCCGGGGAGCGTTGCTCAAGGCCTTTGGCACCAGCACTGTACGGCCGAGCTCGAAGGTCTTCGGTCGACTCGCATCCGCGACAATCTTGCGAGCCCACACCGCGAGGACAGGCTCAACTGCAAACTCCGCCACGCGCCACGCCCTGAAACCGCACCGCTATTTCTCAACGACATGCCTCCAGCGCCACGCTGCCCCTGAAAATATAACTGATGTGCTGCCTGTTTGCTGTCCGGGATGCGGCGCCTTTTCGCAAACTGTCGAACCAGATGAACCCGGCTACTATGGCGCCAGTCGAAAGCAGACACGGAAACTTCTCGCGCAAAAGAACGCAAATGACCGGAAGAATGCGACATCGGAAGACGCAGCGCGTCAGCCAGTGGAAGATTTCAATGAAGCAACAGCTCCTCGGCCTATCGCAGGTAATCTACCTAGCAACCATATCTCGTCGAACCCCGTATCGCTGACCACTTCTCAAGAAGGTGCTCTTCCCGAGGATTCCATAGAATCCAGCCCCAACTCTCTTCCCCTGGAGGCGCCGGACCGAGGTATACATGTGTGCGATCGCTGCCATGATCTTGTCCACCATAACAGGGAATTTGATACGCCGAAACCCGATATCCTTGCCATCCGAGACTACCTGAAACAATCGCCTTATAAATATAATCGTGTCTACCATATCATCGATGCTGCCGATTTCCCAATGTCTCTTGTTCGGCATATTCATGCAGCACTTGCTGTCCAAGAACAGCGTTCACTGAATCGAAGGGCATCACATGAGAAATACTTCCACGGGAAAAAACTACCTACTCTCAGCTTCATCATCACTCGCTCGGATTTGCTCGCTGCGACGAAAAATCAAGTAGATTCGAAAATGGAATATGTCCGAACCGAGCTTCGCAAGGCTCTTGGGCGCGCGGGCAAGGATGTTCGCCTAGGCAATATCCATATGATCAGTGCGCACCGTGGATGGTGGACTAAGCAGGTCAAAGAAGAGATTCGTGAGCACGGTGGAGGTATCTGGGTCGTTGGAAAGGCAAATGTGGGGAAAAGTAGCTTCATTCAAGCTTGTTTTCCCAAGGACATGAGGAATATCGAGGACATGGCGCAGTGGATCGAAGAACAGGGAAAGAGGAATGAGATCCCCAATCAGCGACTGGCAACTCTATACGACCACGATAGTCTTCTCCCCCCTGCGCCCCGTGAGCATCAGTTTCCCGTTCTTCCGGTCGTTTCCTCCATGCCAGGAACCACAGTCTCGCCCATTCGCATTCCATTTGGTCGCGGCAAGGGCGAGGTCATTGATCTTCCCGGTATGGAACGAGGCGAACTTCAGGATTTTGTTCGTGATGAACGCAAGCGTGATCTGATGATGACAAAGCGAATCAAGCCGGAACGCTGTACTATCAAACCGGGCCAGTCACTTCTCCTTGGCGGCGGCCTTGTTCGGATTACTCCCGTGAACCCCGAGCATACCGTTCTTGCTGCCTGCTTTGTCCCGATCGAGACCCACCTGACTAAAACGGAGAAAGCAATCGAGATTCAGAATGGGCGACGGCCGTATTCTGGCACCGTTCTCATGAAAGAAGAAGCTTGCTACACTATACTCTCGGCCGGGAAAATCGACTTGCAGTGGGATGTTACTCGATCAAATCTGCCAACGTCAGTCGTCAAGGCAGTGGAGGATCATGATGCACCCATTCCCCAATTGCCATACCAAGTCATGTCCGCCGATATTCTCATCGAGGGCTGTGGCTGGATTGAAATTAGCATCCAAATTCGCGCCAAGCGTAATGCCGAAGACAACCCGACAGCTTTTCCTCAAGTTGAGGTTTTCACTCCTAACGGAAAACACATTGGATTTCGGCCGCCAATCGAATCTTGGAATTTCATTGCAGAGAAGCTCAAAGCGGACAAGCGCAAGAGACCGCGCACGAGGCACCGGTATAGTAGGTAGTAGGACCTTATCCGTGGGTCTCTGCCAATCTGTACACTATAATCTAGCATAGCGACGGTGTTTCATTGCCGACAAATTCTGTAAATATACACGAAAATCTCCCATATATTTTCTATTTTTATCATCCGGCTGCCTATCGTAGGTGCATTTCTCCAAGAAATTCTATCCTGGCAAGGCCGCGTCCTGGCGGTCCCCGCCGCTGTGGGGAACCTTTTCCTGGCTGCCAAAGCACGTTGCTTCTTCCATCCCCCACGATCCGGCACTTGTGAAGAACAGCAAGGTCGGGATTTTCGCACTGACCCCTGCTATATTTGCAACTCAAGAGGGTACTGTTTGCTGCCAGTTCTTCTCGAAATTGTACACTCGATCAAATGGGAAAAGGTTGAATCTGACAAGTAAGTTGCGTCACCGCTTCTTCCTCCTGCATAGAAATTCTCTCTCACACGAGCGATTACGGGGATTTCAGCGAAGGAGAAAAGATAAATCCATCATATTGATCAAGATGCTTTCTGCTCGCGCCGTCAAGAATATCCAGCAGCTGGGTCTTCCGTTCCGGTTCACGCCGACCCCCAGTTATGACCCAGAAACCAATCCACAAGGACTTATTTCGTTTGGCATGGCAGAAAATGTGAGTAATCATCAACAAGAACATACCACAAGGACATCACTGAGATCGATCTAGAGGCCAATGCGGTCGGAAATTGTCAAATACATCAACGAAAAGGTTGGTTACACCTTGATTCTTGCGACACGATACTAATCTATACCCAGGTCACATTCACACTTGACTCCGTCAGCTATCGATCAAGCGCAGCCATCAATGCTCGGCTCCCGAGCATTGCAGCTGCCCATTTAGAAAGGGTCCTGAGGACGCACTCGCCAATTGACCCAGACCATGTTTTCATTGCCGACTCTCCGACCTCTCTCGGCAACATGCTCGGTTTCAACCTTGCAGAGCGCGGTGAAGGCATCTTGGTTAGTCGTCCGGTCTATGGGCGTTTCGAACTTGACTATGGTGTTGAAGCGGGAGTTGAGATTGTTTATGCCGACACGGCAACGGACGAGGCATTCACGCCTAACTCGGTCGAGAAGTACGAGGAAGCTTTAGCAGCGGCCGAAGAGCGAGGCGTCAAGATTCGTGCGGTACTCCTCGCCAATCCTCATAACCCCGTCGGTGAGTCTATCTGGTTTGGAATTATGGGCATGTCAAGCTGTTCTGGCCAGTTTTTTAACGCGTATCGAGCCAGGACGATGTTACCCACCAGACACTCTAAGACATATTGCTCGTTTCTGCGATAGAAACAGTCTTCATCTCATCAGCGATGAAGTGTATGCATCTTGCGTGTTTGATTCCGGAGACCCTAACGCCGTACCTTTTACATCGATACTATCACTGGACCTGCAGGGTCTAATTGATCCAAACCTTGTGCACGTTCTTTACGGATTTAGCAAGGTGAGCAGGCCTGGCAGGAAATCACTTTTTAGCAACCTAACGTAATCTCTTACAAAGGACTTCGCCTCGGGTGGCCTGCACCTGGGCTTCTTGATTACTGCAAACCAGCAACTGCGTCAAGCATGCAAGATGGTCTTGTAAGTATCTGTTCCCAGAGACTCCATAAGACTCCATTCTGTGCAAAATAATAATGACAACCATTTTCAGGCGACTCCATGGGCCATCCCAAGCCGCAATCACAATCGGAGCAGCTATTTTGGAAGACCAGGAATTTGTCAAAGAATTCATGGCCAAGTCCCAGGCCAGCCTTGCAAGAGGCTATCGACTAGCGACCTCTACTCTTGATAGAGAGGGCATTAACTACATGAAGGGAGGGTGAGTTTCAATCACAACCCTAATCATGTCTTCCAGTTCTAAGAGATCGAAATGAAGGAACGCAGGCTTTTTTATTTACGTGGACTTGTCTCCCTTCCTCCCCGAAGACGGGCCCTCGGTGCGGGAGCGTGAATTCGCCTTGGCTCAGCGACTTCTCGATGCCGGCATATTCCTTCACCCTGGAGAAGAACATTCAAAGGACCCAGGCTGGTTCCGACTTGTGTTTTCGAACGATGAGCCCGCACTCAAAGAAGGACTGAGGAGGTGAGGATTTGTACCCCCTTTCTCTTTGCACTGACATTAATAAGCTGCTAACCTTGGCCTCGGGCTTAGAATGATTGTCGTGCTGAAGCCAGAAATGCTTTAATATTTTATCACCACATTCCTTTTACCAGAGCATAGCAGATCTGCAATGAAGAGCAGTCGAGGAGGATGTTAATGCGTGTTACAGACTTCGGTCCAGCCGATAAGTTTCCATTCCTTGAGATGACTTTTAATACTAGTATGAGGTGCTCATTCGTCCATCGGTGCTTTCCTTTTTTTTCCTACGTATACGTGTCTGAGAAGCCGCATAATTGATCCACTTCATTGTTGGGGGCCCAATGTTCCAGAAAGCAGCCATCTTATAGATATCGGCAGCGGGCATTCGCAAACGAGGACTTTCCAAATCTGACGTCTTGGCCTACATTTTTCCACAAATTGCCATTGCACAAGCTGAGATCCCTTCTCTTGTTGCTTGAACCGTCCCCGCTATTCCTGTGAAGCTCCGCGTTACATGGCTAGTGCGAGTGGTTAGGCCTCCCGTCCCATCCGGCCCCGCCGTATTCCAAATTTTCGGGGGTTTCGAGTGTCAGTCGCACTTAAGGAGTCGAAGATACGGCTCTGTTTCGATATTCAGAAGCATGACACCCATATCCGCAGCATATATTTCAAGATATTCAGAGAAGGTTTCGAAGTCATGGTTTTGACAGCATCCACGTTGCCCTGGATCTGATTTTGGCGAACAATTCGTTTCAGGTCGTGGTTTCTCTTGGACATCGTTTGAGAAGATACCATGTTGGCTAGGCTTGAGATGGGGTTTTGCCTGCATGATTTGGAAGTCGTCGAATACACCTGAGTACTGTCAATTGGAACATTTCAAACACCTTTTTCAAGTTAGAAAGGGAGAACGTACCTAACTGCTCCTTGAACCCGCCATCCTGGCCAACAGTGTCTCTCCCATCTTCCCCAGATCCTGGGCATTGAAGAAGCAGTCTTCTGGGTAGGAGGAGATGTCAATCTCGTCAATTCCATCGTCTGTCCGGAAGAGAAGAATGTGCTCGGGGCTGAAAGGGTGTGCACATCCGGCGGGGCGTGGTTCCAGAATCTCTCGAATACGATCTTTTGAAGTCGCGAGAGGATCGAAGATGGTTTTCTTCACTCGCTCCATGATAAGTTGAATGTAACGGCCGATCGCCAGATGAGAAGACGTGAAGTGTGGAAGAGTTACGATCCTGCCGGGATTCCATCGCGGCTTTGTAGTCGAGATTCTTTGAGCGCATAGCAGTAGCTTCCGAGTGCGATGGGCGCTAAGCAGTGTGACGAGGTGAGTATCCAGTACTTGGCCGACGGGGGTTTAGTGGCGGGCGGTGCAGGTACCCGCTACCTCCAGTAGATCCGTCGCGGAGCCGCACAGCATGGCTCAAGGCCGTCTCCCAAACGGGAAAGAGTGAGTCAAGGCGGACTGCTAGGAAAGGAAAGAACGTGGGCTACGGAAGATGATAACGGCCAGAGATCACTTTATTCTTTCGCCCATATCGATGCCCTGCTTTAAATCGATGCCTGATATATCACCGACAGTCAAAAAATCACTTAGAAGCACGAAAATTTTCCAATTAGCACACTTCTTGAAGATTCATCGACGGTACAAGATTAGGAGTGGTCCAGCTATTGAACGACTGTTTAGATGCCTGTTCAGCTGGGCAGAAGGCCGTTCTGAGGATTGTTTGAGCATGTAGGGTGGTCAGCTTGAGGTATAGACCTTTATAATCTAGGCATCAAGCCCTGTTGAGATTAGAAAGTGAGCTTTGGTCACTATAACCTTCCGTAGAGGGCACCAGATGCGGCGGGGGAGCTAGCCCATGGCAGACGCCCATGATACCGACGCGTAGTCGCTGACATGATCTCCACATCAAACTCGAAGACGACCCGCCGGTGTATCAGTGCAGTTCCTTGGGATCTGGTGCCGATTCCTGCGTACCCAGAATGTCAAGCGTCAATCCTGCCAGCGCTTCGGGGTTTGGGGCGATCGCATCGTCCTTCCCCCCGTTTCCTTCCCCGCTCGCCCCCAACATTCGAGTCGCATCTGATTGGCAGCCTCACGTCAAGATACTTGCTGTGGCTGCAAGCCATGATGGGGAGTAATTCCAACACGGCCTGGCTCGGCCTATATCTGTGTCATTTTCTTCGGCATTTCGCTGTTGCGTGAGCAGTATAGTCTGAGTTGATCTTATAGATTTTCGAATTGACACCGTCCCGTCTTTGGAAATTTTTCGAATCTCATCGGCTCTTTGACGGTTTTCCTAGCCGGCAATCGGTCGAACGGAAATGTCATCTTTGAAAGATAAAGTCATCGCGATTTCCGGGGCTGGGTCTGGCATCGGAAAGGCCACTGCTCTGAAGTGCGCCAAGCGTGGTGCATCTCTAGTTTTGAGTGATATCAATGAATCGGCTCTATCGATCCTTGTGGAAGACCTGTAAGCACAGGACATAGCTGTGACCTCGGCCAAGGTGGACGTGACGGATTCTGACAGTGTCGATGCGTGGACTTGCAGCATCATCGAGCATTTTGGAACGATAGGTGGAGCTGCAAATATTGCTGGGGTGATCAGTTAGCCGGGTGGAAAGGTCTTCGCGAACTTGACTGACATCACCAACGAGCATTGGAATGCTGTCATAGGCGTCAATTTAACAGGCCTCTTCTATTGTCTGCGAGCCCAGCTGCGCTTCATGCAGGCCGGTGCATCGATTGTTAACATTGCAAGCATGGCCGGGCTTATGGGCCGCTCAGGCATCGCCGCTTATAGTTCGAGTAAACACGGGGTCATTGGTTTGACTCGGAGTGCTGCCAAAGAAGTCGGCGAGCGAGGTATAAGGGCCAATGCTCTCGCTCCGTGAGTTGCTTCACCTGGGTTCGCAAGCATCGACCTAACATCGATACCCGTAGCCAACCAGTCGGGACCCCTATGATGCAGCAGATCAGAAAGGACAGCGGTACTGAAGATCGCCCCGTTACAGACACGTACAAGAATCTACCGCTCCAGAGACTCGAAACTCCGGATGATATGGCCCGCACTATTGCGTTTATGCTCAGCGATGACGCAAGCTGGACAACTGGAGCTACCTTTTCTGTTGATGGAGGTGCTGTCTGTTGAGATGAGCTCCATTAACTCGAGATTCGTCAATGTCGCGTCGGTTTCAAGATTCCATCCGGTTCATTAACATTTGTTCTTTTAATTTATTGACTATAACTCCACTCATAGTAGGCCTTCCAATATTGGGCGCAAAGAGATCTGCCGAGCTTCTGAGGAGAAACAGTGTGGGGCAGTCAATATTCTCAAATCTGATTGTAAATACTGGATCTGCTCGGAGTACTCCCCGCGCAACCCGATCGCTTTCCACTTTCCAGACCGGTTCTGAATTTCAAAGCTTTTAAAGGCGGGGTTTCGGTTCTCCAAATGGTGGAGATGGCGAAGTTTACCTCCAAGCAGTGATTGCCACGCGCAAGTTTGTAATATATTGGCCTAAAGTACCTCCTCCATTGCAGCTTTACCCCTCAATTACAATTATCCACTCCAAAGAACCCAGACACCTTGCTCACTCATTCTTCACCAAGTTCTGTGCAACAATGGCCGCCCCCACGAATCCCGCCTCTCTGTTGGCGTCGGCAGCTGTTCCGGCCTTCAAGTGCCCGAGTGGCACCAAAATGCACATTCTCAACCTCGGAACTCTCGAGGCAGACGAGTCATGGTAGGTCGACTACTTTGTAGTCCAATGAGGCATGTCCTGACACTTCTCGCAGGATTCTCCGTGGCGGAAATACTAGCAGCTTGAGCAACCTCAACCCGGAGAATAAACGACGGGAGTTGGTAGTGCTTTCAGCCCTCATTGAGCATCCCGACGCTGGCCTCATTCTTTTTGAGACGGGATGTGCGGAGGACCTCGAAGTGGTTTGTGGAGCTTCCACCAGGCATGTATAAAATGTGCTGATCGTATTCTATAGAAATGGCCGGCGCCCTTGACTGACGTCTTTCCGCGCATTGAGTATTCGGATACTCAAAAGCTTCCCAACGCCATTAAAGCAACTGGAAACGACATCAGAGACGTCAAGGCAGTAGTGATTGGACATCTACATCTCGATCATGCAGGTGGCCTTGAACATTTTATCAACACCGATGTGCCCATCTATGTTCACGAAGAAGAATTCAAGCACGCCTGCTGGGCAGTCGCAACAGGTGCCGATTTAGGCGTCTATCTGGGACACTACATGCTTTTGGAGAAGCTCAATTGGAGTACGTTCACCGAGTCCCAGCTCGAGCTCTTCCAGGGTATCACCCTTCATCATGCGCCCGGTCACACACCTGGGCTTTGCATGATGCAGGTCAACCTTGACAAGGATGGTACCTTTATCTGGACGACTGATCAATTCCATGTCGCTGAAAACTACGAGCTGGGTCATCCTCATGGAGGACTAGCAAGAGACCATAACGCATGGTACCGTAGCCTCAACCTCACTCGGCGACTGCAGAGGCTTTATAATGCTAGGCTGATATTCGGTCACGACAAGCCAACGACCTTTAGCCTCCTCAAAGAGAAGAACTATTTTGAGTGATAGCAAGTACAATTGGAGACTTTCAAGAAATGATCAAATTATGAGACCTCGAATACTCCTCCGAGTGACCGCTTGTAAGCGTAAAGTCGATCTCGGTCATTCAACGAACTTTTGTGTAGTAGGTGGAACAACCAGCTTCAGCCTCGCCAGATCTTGAATCGCTTCAAAAGCAGTCTCAAACGAGTCAGCGGTTCCAAAGAAACCCAGTTTCCGCGCTTTTCGCATACTCAAAGACAGTGGCCAATCGCCTAAAACAGCTGAATCCGACATACCGAAAATTTGGGCACGATTACCTTCCGTGAACGGATCGAGGGCAAGGCCATGATCTTTAGCTAGCTTTTCCCATGCCTTTTGAACTTCTGCCTTTCCAGACCATTCCAGAAGACTAAAGGTTGAACGTGTTGTTCCCGTTGGTCCGTATCTGTAATCAAACTCAGATCCGTGCTTTCAACATCCGGGGGCAAATTCCTACCCTCTGGGTGTGTTTGTGTGCCGACATGTGGTAATTTTGTATTTGGAGGGGTCTTCCTCTGGTGGGTTCCAGGAAGTACCAAACCAGCTAGCAAGGTACGGCCAGAAACGTCCACAGGTAGAAGACAGCCCATCCTGAATGTTGAACGCTTCGTTGGCTGCATTTTCGGTCAGCGTGACCCATTCTTCAAAATAAGCATTCAACAGTGCAGTGCTTTGGCAGAATTCCCGATCCCAGGCGGCATAGTCACCCGGGAAGTCAAGTGGTTTTCCTAGGTGACTTTGAACAGCCCCGAATATGGCGAGGCCGATCAAGAAGTTCAATGAGCCATCATGGACCGCGCCGATTATGTATGAAGGACGGACCACGTTCCATGCAGCGCCAGTCTCCTCACAGTAATTTATTAGCGCATCTTCTTGTGGATAGTAGAAATTATCTTCCAGTAAGACTCTTGGATCGGACTCAAATGAGGGGTTGGTGGCTGGTCCCATGTGGAAGCCATAATTCTTGGCCCCGGTCTGAAGTAAGAAGCGCTTCGGTTGAAGGTTAGCTTCCTTAAGGCCGACCAGGAAGTTGCTTAGCAGAGTGGCTAATATTGTATACATTTAGTTAGTAGAGTATCACCGTTTTCGTTGCCTCCAGAGCATACAGTTGACATCGGCCAGGGCACTCGCGTCTGACCACATGCCCAGCACATTGCCCTTCTGCTGTGTCTGCATGTATGAGAAGAAGAAAACATGATCTCTGCCTCTCGAAGACCAATCAGACCACGATTTCAAGTTTGTTAAAAAGCTCAAATACCCACACTCTCTGGATCTTCTCTTTCAATGCCTCCGCAATGTGCAGTGGATCAGAAAGGAAGTCCACTGAAATATGCTCGACTCGGGGTGCCCCGTCACCAAGATCTTGGAAGAAGTTCTCCGGGGGTGGTCGCCTGGACAGACAATAAATCCGACTCCAGCGCTGGGGTGCAGCGGCCAGAACTCGAACCATATGGTATCCCGAGATGCCATTTGCACCAGTCACCAAAGCGTTTAAATCTGTCAGGCATGGATCATCCGGATAGGTAGGCAGCCCATGCAGCGAGCCTTTGGAACAAACAAGTTGGGCGGTCATCGTGGCAGTTTCGTTTAATCACTCGAGGTTCTCGTTGATGGCAAATTGAGATGGGGGGTCGCATGCGGGGTCGCGTCGTTTGCAGTCGACAGAAGCAGGCCGGGCCTCGTCTATTTCACAGTGCTGGTGAGCCCACGTAGCCCCGCTTGAGCTGTCCATCTTTAACCTGCCCTCGGCCTGGGCGTGCGGTGTTGCGGGGTTGTGGGTTCAAAAAGTCCAGGCAGTTTGTCTCACCTTCCCTCTTTCTTTCCGAGTGAGCCGCAGCGGGAAGACTTTAGCGCAAAGCAAGCACTTGAAAGGTGAATCCAAGTGCGATGTGTAATAAAGCCTAGACAAACTTCCGCGCCGTCTGGGATGGGCTGTAGTGCAAAGAACGACCCTAAAAGACTGCCCGCCGGCGTTATTGCAAACAGTGACTGCTTCGATGGCAAATTCTGGGATCAAGTCCCCAGATGGCACAAGAAATCATTGTCTCTCCAGCCACTTATACTGGACCTATCTATGGGTGTTAGAATCTGGTATCAATTCTCGAGCGTAGGATACCTTCCAGTCGACCTTACTATTTATTGTATTCCTCAGGTAGGTCATTGATAAGAACAAAAAGGCGATCATGCGCAATATGTCATCACCAATAAATTGTGTTATCATAGTTATCGATTGCCCGGATGGTTTAGTGGTATAATTCTCGCTTGTACGTTCCACCGGGTTTCCAAATTGCAATACGTAAAATACTAATTTCCTCTTAGTGGGTTAACACCTCATCTGCGAGAGGTCCCGCGTTCGATCCGCGGTTCGGGCCATTAATTTTTTTTTTTTTTTAGCAAATCGTACTCATTTATTTCTTGCTAATTTGGCAGATTTCTTCCTTCTTTTTTCTTAATAAGGAATACAGTTTTAAAAAGCCACCTCGAAAGAATACACCGCAGTAAAAAGAACATGTGGTCATCTATAAGCTAGAACCATGAAATGCATTTATTTTGTATTTTAAGCATAAGATCATCAAACATGACTCTTTAGAAAGACAATCGGAATGTTCTATTCTAAAGCCAGAAGATTCAATTTACTCGACGTTGGAGAAGACAAAGGTAGGCTGGCCAGGCACGGCATTTTCAGCCTGGAGACCCTCCTTCTTCTCACCAGTACCAAGAACCTCGCCGGTCTTACCACCCTCGTCAACAGCGATGACCTCAACCTCCTTGTAGCCGGAGGTACGCTTAAGGCCATCCAGCATCTCGGAAAGGACGACGAACTCGTCGAAGGGCAGCTTGCGCTCGAAGACGTTCTCGGGAGCCTCACGACCATTGACCAGGCGGCGCTTCAGGTTCTGAACGAAAGGCATGGCCTTCTTCATCTCACCAAGCTTGCCTACCTTGGCGTTGAGCTCCTTGTCGTTGAAGGAGATGTTAAGAGAGTCAAAGGCCTCGCGCACGAGGTCAATGTACTTCTCCTGCCAGGCGGGGTACTTCTTGGCAGCGAAGATGGTGAGCTTCTTCGGCTTGCGCGGGTCGAAGGTCGAAGTCTTGCCCTTGGACAGCTTCTTGGCGAAGGCGCCCTCGGAGGACAGGATGTTTGAGGCGGTACCGCGGACGTAGGCCTGGGCGGCAGACAGCTCGTGAGAGGGCTCCGGCACGGTAGGGAATTGAGCGTAGTGGATGGTCTCGGGCTGTGTTAAAGTTAGTATTAGGTTCGTGAGAGAATGACAAGAGTGGGGGTTTGTAGCTGACCTTCTTAAGGACCTCGAGCCAAATGTACTCGGACCAGTGAGGAGTGATCGGTGCCAGCATGAGGGCCTGCAGCTCAATATAGCGCAGGATAACATCCTTGTGCATGCCCACTCCGGCAGCAATAGCAGCCTCACGGTAAGAGTCACGGGCACTGGTGAAGTCGTACAGGCCAGACTTGAGGGCGAGCTTGAAGTTGGTGCTTGAGGGTGTGTTAGGTACGTGACATGTATGTATGGGGCTGGAAGTGATCTTACTCCTGGTAGTTCTTCTGGGTCTCACGGACCAGAGTGTTCAGTTCGTTGTCGAACAGCCTGTCGGCAAAGGCATCAGCAGGACCGGTACGCAGGGTCTCATCCTTGGAGACCTCCTGGATCCAGTCCTTGAGGGTGTGCAGACGCAGAATGTTGCTGTTTGCAACAGCCTCCTCGAAGTTGGCATCCTCGATGCTGTCACCAGCGTCGGCGAAGGCAATACGAGTGGCATCAGCACCGAACTTGTCGACGGCATCCTTCAGAGTCAAGAAGTTACCAGTACTCTTGCTCATCTTTTCACCGTTCAGAAGCAAGTGACCGTTGGCACGGACACCACGGGGCCAGTACTCAGGCGGGAACAGAGCAACGTGTATGTACAGGAAGAAGGTAAGGTGGTTCTGGATCAGATCCTTGCCGGAAACACGGACATCGAGAGGGTACCAGTACTCGAATTCGCGGCGCATCTGCAGCAGAGCGTCCTTGGAGATACCGCTCTTGGAGACCAGGGCATCGTCGATCTCGCGGCGGGTGAAGATGTAATCCCACACCTCGTCGGTCATCTGCTCAGCAGTAATGTTCAGAGGACCAGAGGTCTTACCATACCGGTCACCGTGCAGAAGGTGTGCGATGGTGTAGTAAGCCATGTAGACAGTACTGTCACTCAGACTCTCCACCAGGAACTGCTGGTCCCAGGGCAGCTTGGAGCCAAGACCGTAGGTACGAGCGCAGGCCCAGCGGTTCAGCCACGACAGGTTCTTCTCAAATCCGTTCTTAGTCTCCGCGGCGTAGGTGTTGAGGGTGTTGACAACGTGTCCCAGGGTCTCCTGCTGCCACTGGGCGTCGTTCTCTCCGTAATTCAGGAACCACTGGCCGAGGTAAGCAACAACACAGTCGTCGCCACTGCGCGAGACGACCTTGCCCATGGGATCAGCGAAGGGGAAGGCATCGCCGCTGTCGTAGAGCGACTTGCGGATCTTGTCCTTGACAGAGCTGACGGGCTCGCCCTTGAACTCGCCCACAATCATGGTACCCTTGTAGAAGCCCTCCATGTAGGCGAGCTCCTTGGCCTGAGCCAGCTGGTTTACGTCCTTGGGGGAGTTGATCTTCAGCTGCTTGACCAGAGTAGGGGCAGTCAGGTTGCCGTAAGTGGGGGTCTCAATAAGAGGATGAATCTCCTTCTCGGCCCATTCCTTCTTGATGCCGTAGTAGTCGGCCTTCTTGATCAAGTCCATCAAGGTAGCATAGTCATCGGGGCTGTCCGAAGGAACGGAAGTAACAACACCAGTACCCTTGGAAGCAGAGACGCCATCCATGGGCAGGATGTAGACACCCTCGGTGTGGAAGGACAGAGGAGCATTGATCAAGGTACCAACGAAGTCCGAGCCAGGGGCCTCAAAGACAAGAGGCAGCTCATCCTGGGTCTTGGGGAACTTGTCTCCGAAGAAGTGACCCTGGAAGGCCATGTTCCAAGCAGCACGCTTGGTGACAACAACATATTCCTTCTCCTTCAGCTTGAACAGACCGTAGTTGATCTTGGGACCGACGAAGCAGTTGGTCTGACCGTACATGGTCTCGGGACGCAGAGTAGCGGGGACAAAATAAACCTTGGCGTCCTCCTCAACCTTGCCCTTGACGAGCTCGGCCACCTTGGGCGACCACTCCTTGACCTGCAGTTTCAGCGCAGTGTATTCCTGGGGACCAATTCCCTCACCCTCAGTGCGGTCGTGGTCCATGCAAGGCTGGCCATCCTTGGGCGAGTAGATGGTGTAACGGTTACCGTACATAATCTTGCCGAGTTCGTGGAGGCGGTTCATTTGCCAGCGAACGAACGCATCGTAGTAGGGGTTGGCGTCGGTAGTGACGAACTGACGGCGCCAATCGACACGAGCACCCATGCTGTCGAGATCGCGGATGGCAAGGGGAGGGAAGTGGTGCAGCCAGTGGTTGGCATCGGCGAACTTGTGAATATCCTCCAGTGGGACACCAATGGCCAGCATGATCTGGAACTGGTACTTCATTTTCACGGTCTTAGCGGCAGCCTTGCTCTTCTTGCCCGAGAACTTCTCGGCCTGCTCCTTAACCTCCGGCTTGGACTCCTGAGTGGGCGCAGCAGGGACTGCAGCCTCTTCCTCTTCCTTGTATCCCTCAAAGTTCTGACCAAACATCTTGACCTCATCACGCAGCTTGTCGGCACAGGCCTTGATGGGCATACCAGTGCAGTGGAATCCGAGCGGGAACAAGGCCCGCTTGCCCTCCATGCGGGCAAAGCCGGTCATGAACTCGACCTTACTGGCAGTGAAACTGTGACCGGCGTGCAAGGTACCGTTCATGTAGGGGTATGCCATGGTACCAAAGAACTTGGGGTGCTTCTCACGCAGCTCAGCGGGGGACATGGAGCCCTGAGGCACCTCGGCGAAGGAGGGCGCATCGACTTCGAAAACCTTGTTATCTTTCCATTGCGCCTGGTATTTCTTCTCAATTGCGATCAGGGTATCACGCTTCTCGGTCTAGGAGGGCAAACTGAGTTAGCAGCGGCCATGAATTGAACCCGAAAAAAAAAAAAACCGGGTGCATGCGACGGAGGGGGAGGGGCAAGTCAACGTTTTCGAGCTTGAGAGTGTTCTTGGAGCTGTTGCTCGGGTCGAGCTCAGCAGATGCAGCGGCGGCTGCCATGATTGTATATCTCTCGACAGGATATGCCCTGATTGCAAGACTCCTGAGGGGCAAAAACAAATATCGCGGGGTCCACCGCTATAAAATCGATTGTGAGTCAATACGGTACACGTAATGCGGGTGTATCGTGACGGGGCTCTGGTAATATAAGCACGTGCCTCTGACAGCAATGGTGCAGTAGAGATCAAATCTGTATTTACACCCAGACCAAGAAAGTAAAAGAAGCAAAATCAAAACAAAAGGAGTGACTTGTATTAATATATGGGGAAATCAAACTTGTAGTATATTTTACTGCTCGAGAATGTCGCTTCGCCAAAGGTCAGTAGTTAATTCAGGTGAAATTTAATGTCACGTGAGGTGTATCACGGAGCAACTTCGCGTCGCAAGAGTTTCCGCAACAAATTTCCCCAGGTCTACGACACTACGACGCAAGCTCCTGATCGGCTGAAAACCAGGAATCCCATTGATTGGAGCTTTCCCCGATACCTTTCGGCCTCGACTTTATTCTCGCACCGGGGCCAGTCCCTGTGCGGCACACTTGCAAACATGGTCAACCTGTTCAAGCGGATGCGGAAGCTGAAGACTGTAAGTAAAGATGCACCGGCCCATGTCCTGCACCAGGAATTTTGTATGAGAGCAATTGACTAACTTTATTCTTCTCGTTTATAGAGGGTAAATCCACCTCAATTCCCTTGGACCGTTCCCCAGGACTTCAACCCAGATTCAATCCCGGCCCAACCATATCCTTCATTAGATCAGATATATCTTCGAGAAGGGAACAATTGCTAACTCGACGTCGTTCAGATGCTTGATATCCGAGTTGGAACCGGCGCCGCAATTCTTCCCAGCGTCGCCAATGCCTCCAAAGAGTTTCCAGCCGTCACCCGACTGCACCTCACATACGCCCAGAAAATCTACGGTGGTCACCAAGGCGCGCGACACTTCTGGCGCAACTGCCTGCCCCGGCTGAAGTACCACAACCCATCCGTGCCCATTACAGTACAGCAGACAACCGAGCAGGACCCCCGCCAGCCCTGACCATCTATTTTGCCGACCGAATCGGCAGCACCGCGACAGCCATTGCGGGCGCGAAGAAGATCACCGACAAGCACGCTCCAGCTCCCGCGAATGGTGAAAAGATGGCAACTGTCAACATCAAGGATCTGACATACCAGGAGATCTGGAATCGTGTTCAGGCTTCCACGGGTGCGGAGGAGATCCCCGTCTCCGAGGAGGATAAGGCCGAGGCGCAGAAGTTCGAGGATATGAATACCAAGGCTGTCAAGGATCGGGAGCGGATACAAGCCAAGCGGCAAGCGAAGAAGGATCAGGAGCGCATGCTTGCTGAGGCCAGAGGTGAGGTTGAGAAGTTGCAAGCGGCTTAGAGCTTCTGAGCCCATTGTTCGTACTTGATGTCCCCCCTGATTCGGAGTTGGTTTGTGAATCTTTCTGGCTCTCTTTGCTGTTCCCTGCGACTGTTTTCCCGGGGTTTGGCGAGAAGGCCAGCTGTAGCATAGCATCTTTGTTTTTCTTATGACTATGTACTATTGTTGGGAATAATTTATTCTAGAATATCTGGATGGTTTCAAAACTGCTCGCAGAGCCCTCTGGGTTGCGAATGGTATCAAACTAATTGTAGACGTAGATACAGCGCTGGCCCGGTCCAAGGTGTGAAACAAAGTGCAAAAAGGTCGCCAGAAAATGTCACAGTGAAAAAGAACTAGAGACTCGAACATTATTATCCAGTAATGTGTGGAAGATAGTGTTTTTACATTGTGAGAATGAGGTGCAGAAGCAACCCTTCTGTTGAGGGGCAGGCGAAGTGCAGCGGTGGGATCAATATTGGAGACCGTTGACGATGATCTGCCAGGCGCAGGCAGATATGAGAGCTTCATTGGGTCACCTAGGCGTTATCTGGGTTGTAGCTAGTCTCGCCCAGCATGCCTTGTCCAGGACTAGCCGAGGGAACTGGCGACTGGCTGGTGGGCTCAACGATCGCAGATGGACCAGCCTGGGCACGTTCTACCGTAGCTGTCTGTTTTCCAAGTCTTTGGTCTAAGGCCTTGAGCGCCAAGGCCCGTCGACGTTCTGCCTCTTCACGTTTGCCCCAGCCTCTTCCCCCGCCACGCTGATTGTTGAGGAGCGTAGGTAGACCGGCTTCACCCCGTGCCAGCATTTGCTGGTTGCCTGATGCGATATCTTCTTCGGAAAAAGGTCTGAGGATTTTCGAGGCTACCAGGAGCGCATAAACCTGATCGGCCACGAAGCCGATCGGGGGCTGCATCACGTCGGGGAATAGGCAAGCAAAAGCAAAGGTCTCGCTCGCATCGCCCCTCATACCCAGTCCAGTGGTAGACGCACCCGTGAGATCCGGCTGCCGTTTGTAGAACCGCAAATATGTCCAGCTGGTCAACAGGCCAAGCCAGGACAGGATTGCAGCAGTGTCGGTTCCGATGATAATGCCGCTGAGAGTATTGAGGAGCAGGAAGATTGCGGGGAAGTGCTTGACGCGCATTTTTACCAGACCCTTGAAGATGGCGACGGTATGTTCGGGAACAAGCTGCTTGAATGCGACGAGGAAGGCACCTTGAATAGAGACACCCCCGCAGATCTGCGTGAGACTAGAGAGACGGATCGGAGTTAGGCTCGCAGGGCAATAAACCAATCTGGGTTCAGGTCAAACTTACCTTCGGCTTGAGGACCCTCCGGCCGCAGCCCAGATCAGGTAGATGGGAACGATCACGACATTCGGAATCAGCGCGACGGCCGCGACGAACTTGCTGAATTCGCGAGAGCCCCACGCGCGCTCGAGGTATTTGCCTCCGTAGAAGATCGTGGCCGCATTGAGGAGCACAGTGAAGATGTTCTGTTCGACGAAAGTTGACACGAGTAGAGTCCAGGGGTATTTGTAGAATAGTGATGGGACGAGGGTCAGGTAGGGAATAATGGGAGTCGTTTGGGGGCTGCCGGCGGAGGTGTCCAGTTGGCGCCATCTGGCGATATTGAAGAGGAACGAAAAGGCGAGCAAGCTCACGAGGAACACTCGCGTCGCAGGAGGGACGTTGACTCGAAGCGGCATCTTGACTCGCGGCAAACGCGAGACCGCAGTTTCGACCAGCCGTGGGACGAAGGAGTGAAGTTGTTGGATTGGAGAAATTGGGGGCGGGTCGGCGGTGAGTTGCGTCGCCCCGGCTCGGCGCAGGCCGCGGACCGGATACGCCAAGGGGTAGAGGGGAAGAGTTAGATACAGAGTATATTCTGTATTAGCATAATTGCATTTTTCATCGTCTGGCTTTTTTATTTCAATCTGCCGGTAGCCTGTGGTTTGAGATGAAGCATGCTGATAGTATATATTGAGTACTCCTACATTGTATGTACACTAGTGTAGTATTTTCGTATGCGCCGGACGGCAAGCAAGCCTCCACACTCCACGCATCAGGGGCTAAGTTAGACTGCACATAATATATCTTCAAGGTACATTAAGTATGTTTGAACCTCGGATCATTCTAAAATTATTAATACCCATCCATTAACTAGTTAACTAGTTATGTTTCTTCTAACTAATATTAAGTAATCAAGATGTGGCTAGTTAGTCCGTGCTTAAGGCCTACACCATGGCTGTCCTGGGCCGATCTCTTTATGGCCAGTAATTAATCCGCCAGCCCGGGCGATCCACTGTTGCCGCCCTGCAGAGCATCCGGTTCGGCTACGTGCAGAGAAGAATCAACCCCAGCAGTCCGCCATATACCGCAGGGACCTTCAAAAGTTAGTATCCCTAAAGTGTCATAAAATACCTCCTAGGTCGTACTTAGGCAGTCGCAGCATCCTCGGACCATCCATCCCCCCTTCCCTTTGTAGGCCAGGTAGGACTGGAGATCTCCACCACTTGCGGCTGAGCCAAGCGAGCCGAAGCAGCAGATTTGCACTTCGAGATTGCCTCAGTGGCTGGTGCGCTTAAGCTCGTCTGTCACTTTCATGTTCCAGACACCCTTTCCTCCCGCCTCGCCTTCCTCCCTCTCGCTGTTCCACGATCGGACCCTGGCCCCGTCTGCATCCCGGATCTCCTGCTGGTCCTGGTCCCATCTCCATCTCCATCTCCATCCCCATCGCCATCTCCATTCCCGTTCCCGTCACCACACTCCCCTCCGTGCCCTCCGTGCTGCCCTTTTGACCCAACCCAACCTCCCCCGGACATTTGACGAGATCGACAAGCCCTGTCGCCCCCCTTTTCTGCCGGACTCGGCTTCCGCCCGCTTCCCTCGTTCCTGAAGCTCCCAATCTCCACGCCTCCACTTTTTCGATTTTCCCTTCCCTCGCGGAAGTTCACGTCTCCCCCGTCTTGCTTCTGGCATGTCCGCGACACTCTGAGTGGTCGCACATGTAATCATGGCACAACCCGACCTTACCTCCCATCACGTCAACTACTTAATATGGCGGTATGTCTTCTCCGATCCCCCGAATGCGCCTCCCGCAGATCTAACCCGCTCTGTAGGTACCTTCAAGAGTCAGGTTCGTCGTAGCACTCGCTGGGCCACGCTTCGCATGCCCACGCAACCCAAGCCCAGCTCTACTAACCACGTTCCCCCGTTCAACAGGTCATGGTGATGCCGCCGTCTCACTGCAGCGCGCATGGTACCCCGATCCGCAGAGCCTGCCCTTTGCGCGCCACATCAAAACCCATGCGCTGGTGTCGCTGGTCCAAAAGGGCCTGCAGTACCACGAACTGGAATCCTCCCTCGACAAGGTATGTGCGGCACGACACTCAATCCGGTGCGACCGCGGCTCTCAAGTGATCGCTTTCTCGCCAGTCTACGCAGGGCCTAATCGACTATCTACAGGAAGGCAACCCCATCACATTTACCCCCACCGACTACTTTTTCGGCCCGGAACCGTTCGAGGTCAGCTCCTTGAAGCGCCGGGATGATGCTGGCACAGACCATCCCGCGCCGGAACCCGCGCAGGACCGTGTGACTAATGGGAACCCGGTCGAAGCCAAGAAGCCGCGCAAAGAAGCTAACGGCGACGAGTCGATGGAAGTCGACGAGGAGAGCAAAGCCTCGGTCGATGGTGACGGCGATGTGAGCATGGGGGCGGATGACCAGCCACCGGAACCCACCCTCGCGACGGGCAGCAGCGTCGGCGTCCAGATCACCCCCGCCAAGGCCGCCGACTTAGCGCCCGACACCGCCATCCTGCACCCCGACGATCACGTGGTCACCACCCGCTGGCGGCCGCGCGACTCGACCCTGCTCGTCGCCACCGGCGAGACCTCCTGCAGCCTGTGGAAGCTGTCGCTGTCGTCGGCCCCGGTCCAGAATCGATTCTTGAATCTGAAGGGCAGTGGCGCCTATGTCTCCGAGGTGGCCTGGGATGCCCTCGGCACCAAACTGGCCGTGGCCACCATCCGCGATATGAAGGGCGCCATCACCATGTACAATGCGGAGGGTAACGTAGTGGACCTCCTCCCGGACCTCCCCGGATGATTAGTGGTTTGCACTGGGCTGAGGATAGCCCGCAATTGGTGGTCGTCGCCTCCGACGAACGAACCTCCGAATTGGCTCTTTGGGACGACAACCGCCGGCCGGATGTATACCCTCCCCCGCAAATGATCGACAGTCATGTCTACGATCTGGCCTGGTGTGGCCGGTCGATGGTCTTTGCATGCGGAAACGGGGCCGTCTACCAATGCGAGGTCGACCAGAACATTCGCCTGACCAAGACCTACACCTCCCCCGACGCCAAGTCCGCCTGGACTTTCATTCGCTGCGCCTACACCCCGTCATATTCCGTTGCCGTCGCTGCGAGCTCCGCAAATTCCGCCGTTTGGATCCTAACACACGATATTCTCATTGAAAATGCTCACCAAGATGCAATCACCGCGATTGACATTCGGCCCGCCGGCCCTCAATCGCAACAGAGCTCCACAATAACAATCGCTACTTACTCAGTCGACGGATTCGTTCATGTTTGGCATGTAGATTTGGAATCAAAACAACACAAGCACCTCCATCGTTTGCGTCTCGGCTCCTCCGTCCCTGCTCTGGCCGGCAGCTTTTCTCCAGATGGATATGCTCTCAGCGCCGTGAGCAGGGACCAGCTCTTTATTTGGAACGCGGAGCGTGGTGGTGATCCCATGGCAACTTGGACTGCCCCCAGCGCAGAACACGTTAAAGAGGACCCCGATCACGCCACAAATGGACATAACGGGCATACAGATCCATTCCCTGATAGAGATATCTCTTGGGACCACGATGGTAAAAAGCTAGTGTGTGGCTTCGGGAATCAGGTACGCTGAAATCTCCTCCCTCCACTGCAATCAATACTAACTTTTCCAGGTGGCTATTGTCAATCTCCAACGGTGACCAAAGTACCTAGCTCCCACACTCGAGCACGCACGCCTCGAGTGATGAAAGCTCAAAAAATCGGCCATTCGCTCCACTTTCTTCCACGAGCAGCACCCAGGCTGCCATGTTTTTTTACCGGACGCGGGACCCTCAACCTGGAACTAATTGATATCTGACTTTCAACCCTTGCGCGGGGGTGTTGAATTCGCGATCGTTTGCCCTACGTCCTTCTGCGGTGATGACTGGCGACTGTCCACAGGGTGCCGCATGTGCTCATTGAAATGAGGTCTGATCAACGCCGCTTTTGATGGGCCACCAATCCCTCTTCACATCCCGCCGAGACGATAGTCAGGTCTCTACTTCCGGTAGTCCTCCACCTTTCTTACATATTTTCTCTGGACATACATTCGTCGATTTAGAAAATGCATAACGGCATGCATTCTGGAACTTGGTTTAGGATAAGGCGAACGATACGGGTTTCTGGCTAGGGTCTTTCTTGTTCTTTTTGGGCGGTTGGAGGTGTGGACTGGATCTCACTGTTTCTCGTGAATCATAAAGCTGACAGAAAATGCATTATGACTTGATCTGACTCAGGCTTTTCGTATTCTCGTATTTTTGTAGTGTCGTTATGTCGTTATGTCGTTATGGTCCATACACTCGTCCCATCCATTATCTAGTCGGCGCCCTTCTTTCTCGACCGCGCGAGGTGTCCTTGTCTCTGTTCTCTCCGCGTCTGTCGCGCTCGCGATCGCATCTGAAACCCTTCTTCGACATCTTTCCAACCGCGCATCCATGCGGTGAGACCATCCAACATGACCTCGCCATCCGTCTCCACGCGGTCTTCGCTGCTTCCCCGTCCGCCCCATCGCCGCCGGGCCTTCAATCGCGACCGCTCCTTTGCTATTCGGGGCATCTTCTGTGCTTCACGCATCCCATAGATCCAATCCTGAAGCCCTCGGATGGTGCCTTGAATACCCTCTAACTCGATCGAGTCTTCCACGAGATCTCCTTGCCTAACAGAGTGTGGGGGTTAAGCCTTTCTCTTTTTCAGGTTGAAGTGTACGGATGCACTCACAGCTCGAGTACCTCGTCTTCCAATTCTGCGACTGTGCGTGTCAATCCACGACATCTCTCTTCGAACAACTCTCGAATCTCATTGGATTCTTTGCGCCGCTTCTCAACCTCCCCATTCAATGCAGTAACTTCGTTCAGAAGAAGTTGCAGTTGGTCGACTATTTCTGACTTATTTATACGGTCCGTCTCGTCCAATTTAGCCGGGACAGGCTCCTCCTGTATGGGCTCTTTCGTCCCAGATACGTCCGATCCAACTAATTCCGATCGTACACTTCTGCTGTGAGACCGCTCAACTGCCTGCGCCAGTACCCGTGGTGGGTGACCCAGAATGCCTGCTAGCGCGTCCAGGTGGTGGTGTATACTTTGCGCGGTCTCTCGATCCAGATCCCGGCTGGGCGAGGTGACTGCGTGGCGTGCGAGTTCCTCTAAACGCTTTGGCCATGGTGTCTGCACTGTGACTGCGGTGGAACCAGGCTCGGTTCGCTCGGCTTCATGGGCCGCTGTCGTCAAGCCAGTTTGATCGCGGTCGTCGAGGGTATCATGCTGCACCGGTGGTGGCTCATGGTGGTCGGCATCGCGGTGGATAGTCCTTGAGCTGTAGGAGATCATGTTGTGCCAGGGAGAAGTTGTGTGTCCGACGATCGCAGCCGCCGCTGCTCGATTCCACAGCGGGTTCAGCTTGCGCGAACTGCGCAGCCGAGCATCAGCCAAGACCGCGCAGGGCTATCGATAAGCGGGCGATAACCACTTGATTACTCGCCCCGCGCTTCCCGTTCGAGCTCTGCAGACGCTTGTGCTTCAATGAGATATCTTGTCTTTTCTAAATATCGAATTGAATGAATTAGATCCCTGGTCTCCTTGAATTGATCATTTTGTGATTTGTCTTTGGCTCCTTGTGCTGCCGCTGGGATTCCGGCTTGCAGTTGACAGCCTCTCGTCCCAGCGGAACCAGACTACAAGCCCCACAACTCATCCCATCCTCATTTTCCCACCGCCAAACCCCTCTGTCACGCGGGCCTCCCACTCTCCGGCCAATACACAGGGATTCCACCCGATCATGGCTCCTCCGGTAAATCTGCTCCGCAGGCGCAATTTCTGCCTCGGTCGTTCCGTTGCCTAAGGGAGCAATGTTCGCTAATGCGCATGCCCATGACTCAGATCGCCAACGTCCCGTCGCTCGAGACGGCGCAGGAGGTTATCTCCAAGTCGAGAAACTCCCAATTCCCCCCAAATTTGCTTCCGATCACGGCCTCGATCCCGGCAGACCTTTTGACTCCCACATTGGCCTACCTGAAGATTGCGGAGAAGTGAGTGGTACCTGTCCCATCCGCTGGCTCGTGGGGAGCGACGGGGAAATTCTGGGCCATGATCACTGACCATGCGATATAGTTCCCGACTGTCTTTCTTGTATGAGAGTGCGGCGACCACAGAGACCATTGGGCGATACAGTTTCGTTGGTGCCGGTAAGTGGTTATATGCGCGCGACCTGGCCAGCTTGAATGCGTTAGTCTTGACTCATTCGATTTTGCTGCAGATCCCAGAAAGGTGCTCAAGACTGGCGCTGGACATGGCCCCGAAGCCGACCCCCTCCCCTTCCTCGAGGAAGAGCTCTCCCAGTACCGTGTGGCGTCGGTGCCCGGGTTGGTCCTTCCGCCGCTGACTGGTGGCGCCATTGGATATGTCGGTTATGACTGTGTTCGATACTTCGAGCCCAAGACTGCCCGGCCTACAAAGGATGTTCTCGGTGTTCCGGAGTCCTTCTTCATGCTGTTTGACACTATCGTCGCTTTCGACCACTTTTTCCAGGTCGTCAAGGTTATCAGCTATATCCCGATTCCCGCGAATGATGCCGATATCGAGGCCGAATACCACAAGGGCCAGGCGGCTATCCAGAAGACTATTGAGACTCTGCTGCAGGACCGTACACCCCTACCCCCGCAGGGACCCATTAAGCAGGACCAGGAATATACCTCCAACATCGGCCAGGAGGGCTACGAGAACCACGTCAAGAAGTTGAAGGAGCACATCGCCAAGGGCGATATTTTCCAGACTGTTCCCTCGCAACGGCTATCTCGACCCACCACTCTCCACCCTTACAATCTCTTCCGCCACCTCCGCACCGTCAACCCCTCTCCCTACCTCTTCTACATCGACTGCCAGGACTTCCAGCTCGTGGGTGCTAGCCCAGAGCTCCTCGTGAAGGAAGACCGCGGGCGCATTATCACTCACCCCATTGCCGGAACAGTGAAGCGTGGTAAGACATTGGAAGAGGATACCGCGCTGGCCAACGAGCTGCGCAGCAGTCTGAAGGATCGTGCCGAGCACGTCATGCTGGTCGACCTGGCCCGCAACGACGTCAACCGCGTGTGCGACCCGATCACCACCCAGGTGGACCGGTTGATGGTCGTCGAGAAGTTCTCTCACGTCCAGCATCTCGTCTCGCAGGTTTCCGGTGTCCTGCGACCAGGCAAAACTCGTTTCGATGCTTTCCGGTCTATTTTCCCTGCCGGAACAGTATCTGGTGCACCCAAGGTGCGAGCTATGCAGCTGATTGCCGAGTTGGAAGGTGAGAAGCGCGGTGTCTACGCCGGTGCTGTCGGTTACTTCGGATACAACATCGCCAACACGGATGGTACAAGCGAGGAGCCCGGTGCCATGGATACCTGCATTGCTCTCCGTACAATGATGGTCAAGGACGGCGTCGCCTATCTGCAAGCAGGTGGTGGTATCGTCTTTGATTCGGACCCGTACGATGAGTACATGGAGACGATTAATAAGTTGGGTGCCAACATTGCTTGTATCCGTGGTGCGGAAGCGAAGTATCTGAGCATGGAGTCAAAATAGTTGGGTTAGAAGACGTGATACATATTTTGGGCAGGTGGCCTTACCTACGAGGATACAATTGATTCTTAGAATACTAGTATGCTGCCGTGGCATTCGAGCGATTGATGGCTAAGGTTTGATTTTCAATGGTTCACGCATGCTTTCCATTTCGGTTTATACCCGGTTTCAAGATGATCAAAAGGCTCCAAGAACACCAACAAGAATCGTAGCTGCCATCATCCACCAGCCTGCAACACCAAAGGCACCTTGGACATCCTTCTCCAAGACCCCCCACACCACCCCAAAAAGAAGACTTCCAACGCCGAAAACACCCGCGAGGAGCCACCAAATTCTCGAACGGTTCCAGCCTTCCTGAAAGCAAATCCCCCACTCCTCAATCTGCTCTGAAGAGCTATTCACAAGGCTGGCATTCATTTTCTTTGGAATTTGTTGTATCACTCGTATGGCACCGGGCACATATCTGTCGGGATCGTTAAACAAGTCCATCATGTGTTTTGACCCCACGGGTGGGGACAGGCCTGGCGGAACCCTTTGGAGAGACAATTTTTGCTGGAGGGATGCAAATGCAGTTCCCCTTTCCGCAAAGTTCGTTGTGACAGCGGACGTCGATGTTGTGGTAACCTTCATAGATGAACTGATTACGAAGTGAGATTGACGATCAAAGCGCTTGGGTCAAGAGATTCTTCCAATATACTTTCATGAACTGGATGCTGCCGAGTGCTTTCAGGGACCAGAAAGACTTCATTGCGCCTAATTGCTCACGATAAATCTGACGCAACAAGCGGAAGAGCTGACTGTCATCTAGAACATCTGTAACAACCTGTTGGTGCAATTTGTCTGGATGCCCACTTCTCTCTATGCAAAGCAGAAGCATTAGCGGGCGAGATGTTTCATTTCGCCTTTCAATATCTTGACCTAGGTCCCCTTGGTTTGTCCTAGAAGAGATGACTGATTGATCATCACCACCGACAGACAGAGAGCAGGAAGGAACGGAGGAAAGGGATGCTAGTGTATTCGACGAGGCAGAGTGTAACCCTGAGGATCACTGGTTCTGTCCTGTCTGATTGGCGGCCTTGATTGGAAGGTTATAGGAATCAAAGTACTCTTGAAGATCCTGCAGGGCCCCTGGCTGGTTCTCAATGTAATCATCGTATAAACTCTGACCATTTCGCTACCATCAAATGTCAGTAATTTTGGAAAATTCAATGCAAAAAGCTGACATTTTTCCATCCGAATCTCACATGTCCCAATGGAATATTAGGCTCTATTAGTCCCAGACGAGAAAAAGTGGTCATAATTACTGGGTACCACCAAGACTGACCGATTAAGCTGTCAGAAATCGAACTCAAGTTGAAATAAGTGGACATAAAATTCCTCAAATGTGCCATCCTCTCAGATGGTGACGTGGTTGAACAGTGGCGCTCTGGAGTATGTGGGAATACATCCTCGTTAAAATGCATTATATCGCGGCGCAATATCGAAAATGCGTTGCTGTCTTTTGATAAATCGTAGATGCTGGCGCATGACTGGCCAGAAGTGTCGATTGGGATGCAATCCAATATTTCGAAATGGTCTGACAGTATCAAATCTGCTGCTTGCTTCACTTGGGTAGTAAACTCGTTCACCGGTCGCTTCACAGTGTAGAAGACGTTTCTCAAGCTCAAGAACTATCGTGCTGAAACTTGAACGCAAAAATTGTACCAAAGGCTGAATATCTTCCATCGCTCGGGTTTCGGTCTCTAAGTTTCACAGGAACCCTGTCACCAGTCGCAGCAAAATTTTTTGAGGACCAAACTCAAGTGCGTTTTTTCTGAAGATCAGATCAAGGAGCTTTCCGGTCAATTTTTCCTCCTGAATGAGTTCAATTAACTCGCTAATTGCAGATCTATATTCAGCAGGCATTGAAGATGACAGACCGTCCTCGGGGTTCCATGGCAGTCCCATGGGTTGCATCATAAAAGCAGACGTTGATAAAGCCACAGAATCCGGTAGTGGGGGTATCTCTTGCAGTGACAGCTGAGGTAGTTGTATTTTCTTGAGGAAGTCCAATTCAGACCCTTCCTCAGAGGATACTTGGGGGGTATCCCCAATCGTCCAAGCTCTTCGCTGGGATGAACCATCAGGTTCCTGATCTTCAGACACTAGAACTTGCTGTAAACTAATCAAAAGTAGACCAGTCTCGGCTGAGATCCTCGAGCCAAGCGACTGCCAAACGTGGCGTTGCTGCTAATTCTGGTGCGATTCTTGGTGGCCTCTCTTCTCCGACTGCAGATTGCTGAAGGTACTCCTCTCGCACCGCATAACGGCATCGTCAAGCGCTTGGAGAGTATCCGGTGTGATATGGGACAGCCCATCGCGCGCTTGAATCGCGACTTCAAGGGAGCGGAGAACGCCGAGGAGATTTTGGAGATCCTGCAGTACTATCGCCTCGGCCGAGGTTTTTATGACATCCATATTTCTGATAGATTCGGTCATCTCGTTGCCGGAGCTGAGGAGGACCGCGATGCGTGATGTTATGGATGCTCGGTCGGCCATGTTGAGTATTTTAGAGCACCAGGAGTGGAAAAGCAATGGAGAAAATACGGAAGATGACTTGGCAAAGTAGAGCGACTGTATAATTTTAGTACAAGTGAACTCTTCCCAGTTTATTTGTCTGGCGAGGGAGGAGGGGTTGCTAGATCGTCGATGCGGCTGTGCGAAAGCCCGGTTGCCATGGCGCTTGCAGGGATCGTATCAGGTTTCCAGCCTTGATGTAGGATTTTTCGAGAATTCATACATATGAGCATGAGCATTGCCCCATCTCACGCGAACAATACTGTCTTACCAAGCACTGCGAGCCTGGCTATTATGGTATAGCTCTTTTCGTTGGGACTGCTCGGCCTTGTAGTTTAAAGTCATTTGAGTCTAATTTAGCAGCTCCGATTCAATAGAGGTTCATCGAATCTCGAAGAGACTGAAATATACCACCTGACGAACTTATTTGGTAATTTATCTTGCAGGTCTACCTTTGTTTTATAATATAGGGTTAAGCGATATCTCGCAAAGAAATATCAGAATGAATACTATGCCATTGGCACCTAGTGTACTCTAGGGTAGCTCGTGTATACCCTCGTGCAGTTGTATGAAGGAGACCCATGAATTATGACATCACCTCCAGCACGCAACACCACTTTTATACTGATGTATCCCATGCAAACACACATCTCCATGCTTCCATCAAAAAACGTGATCTGGATATTTTGTTGCGCCGACCAGATCGAATGTAACCTCCGATTGGGCGGAGCCCCGCTGACCGGCCCGATCAAAAGCAACCCGCCTCGAGCGAAGCCAACCTGCGTCGAACGGGGCTGTCGACAATGGCCAGGACCGATCGAGCGCTGCAGGCCTACCTCCAGCCTCTGAAGAACGACATCGACCGGCTGTACAGCCTCTCCTCCCGCCTCTCGCTCACCTACCGCGAGCTGGCCGCCGGGTCCTCGGAACTCTTCTCCCCGACGGCCACCACACGTCTGCCCACCGGTCGTGAAACAGGCCGCTATCTGGCAGTGTACCTGGGTCTGCATTACCTGCGTGTGGTCTTTATCGAGCTGCTCGGCGAGGAACAGGTGGGCAAGCACTCGCATGTGCGTCGCACGCTGGAGAAGGCGTGGCCTATCGAGGACCGTCTGCGGAGGGACCAGGCCACGTCGTTGTTTGCGTGGATTGGTGACTGCATCGCCGAGGTGATCCATGATGACTTGGCCAATTCCAAGGTTGATGCGCCATCAGAGGTGACTATGGGCATCTCCTTTTGTTTTCCCATCAAGTACGACATTGTCCATATTGCCCCGCTATGATAGACAAGATGCATCGTGTATTGACCAAACTGCCAGACAAAAATTTCTCAATGAAGCCATCCTGTTGCCAACTGGGAAGGGTTTTGCTTTGGGTGCCTCTCTCAATCTTCAGCAGGCGCTGCTAGACGGCTACGAGTGCCACACGCGGCGTTCGGACGAGGACCCCGCCGAGATGCGGGCAAAACGACAAAAGAAATACTGCCTACCCAAGCTGAAGATCACTGTCATGACTAACGATACCATCGCCACTCTCGCATCATTGGCCTATTCCATTCGCGCTTTGCCCAATACCCGCGTGGTGATGGGGTTGATCTGTGGTGCAGGCTGCAATTCCGCAGTCCCAATGAGACTCTCCGATCTACAGGAAGAGAAGACCCGGCATATACGAGAAAAGGACCCAGATGCCGTGGAGACTGTTGTCTCGACCGAGTGGACGCTTCGAGGTGCAACGGCTCCTTTGTCTGAACTGGGAATCATTACGGACTGGGATAAAGAGCTGGAAGCTCATTCGGATCGTCCAGGGTTCCAGCCACTGGAGTATCTCGTGGGAGGCCGATATATGGGCGAGCTTGTGCGAATCATCTGCCATGAATGGTTCCATGAAGTCAAAGCAGTACCACAGTCTTCACTGCCGCTGCAGCTGGTGGAAAGGTACAAGCTGACCACCGACTTTCTCTCTCTCGACGTGGCAACAAGCTCCTCGGACGAGGAGCTCGCAAAGAAACTGTCCGCAAAAATTCCTCCTCCGGAATCTAGTGACTGGACATGGACACCCGAGTATGCAGGTCATATTCGCTCGATCGCGGCCGCAGTGCAGGACCGATCGGCTGCTCTGGTAGCGGCTGCCACCGTTGGACTACTCGCCTGCACGCGCGAGATCCGACTACAAAATACCGAGCCTCTGGACCCTCCGACAGACACGGAAAATGACGCGGATAGCGAATCACAAGCAGCACGGCGAAGCGCGGCGCCGAAAATCGAGGTCCCCAAGAACGGCTCCTCAATACCGGGCTGGAAGAACGGCCCCGAAGAATTGGTCGTGGCCGTCTCTGGTGGTGTGATTCGACACTACCCGGCTTATAAAGAGACAATTCAACGATACATTGATCGACTTCTTATCAGTGCTGGGCCCCAGAGTGAGGGAAAGAGCATCTTTCTTCGAGAAGCCAGCGATGGTGGCATCATCGGTGTGGGTGTCCTGGCAGGAACTGTGGCTGGTGAGATCAATGGGATCATCAGCTCGCCCCAAGACGAAGCGGCCAGCCAAATGGGCGCACCCAACATTCCATCCATCGACGGACGGTGAAGAGACTACATGAGAATTGATCCAGAGCATCCTTAGAATCTATACATAGCCCTCAAAAATGAACCTCATGATACGAAAAAGATTTTGGAAAAAGAAAAAAATCATTTTAGGCAATGAATCTATCGTACAAATAATCGCCGAGAGCCAGCATGGATCGAATCCCTCGAGCTGGCTCTTATCTTCAAGTTAATATCATCAAATATTTCGCAAAGAGCAACACAACGCTACGCGGTCAATATATCCAGGATAATTATCCTGGGCAGCCGAGCCACTGTAACTCCAAGCATCAGGTGTTAGACTAGATTGACTCAATTCATGTAATTGCAGCTCGCATTTCCTCCATTCCAGGTATCATAAAATATGACCATGCAGTATCTACTGCTGGGCCGCCTGCCACTGCTCGGGAGTGTAGCACTTGGGCGTCCAAGCGTGGATAGCAGCAATCTCCTCCTTGAGAACGGCATTGACAAGACGGTGACGGGCAAGCATGGTCTTACCAGCGAACTGTTGGGAAACAATCACAGCCTGGAAAGCCTGGCCGCAACCACCTAAAAAAAGAAAAGCCATTAGATCAGTCCTCGCTCAATCTCTCGCGCAGGCAATAAGGCAGGCAGAAATACCCGACAGATCCTCAATCTCAACATGATCAGCCTGCAGTTGCGCAAACAGCTTGGCCTGCAACGAATCGGCCGTGATGCCGGAGGTATCAGCCATAGCAGCGTGGACGGCGGAGAAGGCACGCGCGGACAGCGAGAAGGTGGGTTGCGGGCGGAGGAGGTAGCGGGTGCCTCTTCTCAGGACTGTGAGGGAGGAGGCGCGGGGAAACATCGGCTTGGCGGGGTTCTGGTGGTGCGGAGGTGAGGTTCGTCGGGCCCGGGCGGTTTCGCGATGAGGTTCGCGGCGCAGGCGCATTACAAATTCAGGGCTCGGCTGTGGCTGGTGAGCACGTGCGCCCTCGCTCCACTCTATTCTTGTTTGCAGCTGCATACATACTTCAAAGTACAGATCCTACGCTAGCAGTACTCGATTTTGAATTAGTAAGGCTTTATGATCAGACTTTTCGTTAACAAATTCAATGTAGAATATCCTATCTCTATTGTTGGACAGGATGTTCCCGGGAATTACGACTGAGATGCACATGTCATGTCATTTTGGGCAATGAACTACTAGTAAGTCATGATATCAACCTCTGGTTTTGTAATGGCTCAGCTAGTTTCGTGTCTACTCTACGAATAATATCAACATGAGATAAGGATGATTGACTATGGATCAACTAGTGTATTTAAAAGGAGAACAAAGACATCTTAAGACCATTTGAGAAGTGAAAAGGATATCCTAACGACAAGAGCAGGGGGAACATATGAGAATAGAAAGCTGTGAGAGAAGGAAGAGGGACAAATAGAGAGGTAAGGGAAGAAAGTCCAAGGTAGGAAGCGCTGGACCGTAGGGGAAGGAAGGCGGAAAGCGTGGTGAGAAGGCCCGGGGATTTTGTTCGAGCGTCACAGATGCAGATAATCCTGCCAGATGGACAGGTGCAAAGAAGAGGAGATTGGGGCAAGAAATCGAGTGCAAAAGTCGTGGGGAAACGAGTAAAGATGGGATGTAGAGTCCCGGGTTCATGTCGATGAGAATGGACAGATGCTGCGAGATTGAGAGACGATCACAGATCGATCAGGCTGCCACCACGCTGCTGCTGTTGCTGCTGAGGTGCGGCCCACGGGTTACTGTTGGGCTGTTGCTGCTGCTGTTGCATGTAGCCCGTCTGCTGAGGCATGCCGGTGAATTGCTGCCCAAAGAACGGGTTGTTGCCCGTCTGGGTGGCGTGCAGGCGATCCAGACCCTGTCCGGCAGAGTTGACGAACGTGCCAGGTGCCGTGTGCTGCGCAGGAATACGGAGATCTCCCACATTACCAAAAGTGTCTTGACCCTCGCCGGTCGAGAGAAGAGCATTCAGGCGAGCGTGATGAGGGTCTGACGGCTGTGGCGGGGTGCTCTTCGGAGGCTGGGGAGCTTGGAAGTTGGCGATAGGGTTAGGTTGGGTGGTCTGGTGGGCCAGCGAAGAGCTCGTTGTTTGGTTAAACTGGCTGTATTGGTTGTTGAACTGGTTCGTGGCGCGGTCTTCGGCAAGGGAATTGAGAGAGGGCGGGCCGGGCTGCTGTGGCTTGCTGTTGAACTGCGGCTGCTGGGTGCGCTGAGCAAAAGGATTGTTGGAGCCCGTGGGCATGGGCTTGAGGGCATCGGCAGACTGGTTTGAAGACCAAGGGTTGTTACTACCGGCCGACTGGTAGTTCTCCTGAGGCTGCTGCTGAGGTTGCTGCGAGAACATATCGTTCGGTCCACCATACGGGTTATTGGTGCTGAATGCAGTATGCTGTGGCTGAAGAGCCGCCTGGGGCTGCAGGAAGTTGTTCTGGGCCTGTCCGTAGGGGTTCTGGTCGAAAGCAGAGGGCTGCTGGTAACCGTTTCCGTAAGGGTTCATGCCAGTCGGCTGGTTCTGGAAACCAGTAGGCTGCGCATATTGATTGTTGAGGAAGCCGGTGGTCATGGGCTGCTGGGCGTTGATCGGGTTGCCGAACCAGTCCACCGCGCCTTGTTGCTGGTAGCCCTGGTTGAAGCCAGTGGGCTGCACGGGCTGCACTTGGGTTGGGGTATCGTCGAAGAGCGCGTGCGCATTGCTTTCCTCTAATTCACGCTTCCGCAACTCTTCTTCCTCCTGGCTAAGCTTTATGGCCTTGGCAAGATCCTCATCGTTGTCAGCACCCATTGCCTCCTTAGCTCGTCGCCTCCGCTCTTCCTCGGCTTCGGCCTTGCTGGCTTCGATCGCAAGTCGGTATTCGGTGTCGTCCTCGTCATCGGGGTTGCGTCTCCGTCGCTCCCGGCGCGGCGGTTCGCTTCCAAATCCACTCGAGTCGTCTAGTCCATTGACCCGGGTCTTCCAAAGCTTGCGATCCGACCGTTCGCTGCGCAATCGGTCTTCGTCCAGAACCAGCGCGGTGAGTTCCTTCGCGGCCACTCGAACTAGAAAAAAAGAATCAGTATCAGGTCATAAAATTTGACTCAGAGAGCACCACTCACCGTTCTGACCCACATCACGTCCCTCCTCATCGACATATTGGAATTCACGCAGGGTCTTGATGATATAGACGTTCTTGCGCGCCCAGGTAACCACCAGCTCCGAACCTTCGTGGAGACAGTAATCCAGAACCTTCAACGACTTCAGCACGTGTCGCCAGTTCTTTCCCTTGTCGTTAAGACGCTTGTCGATCATGTCCATGATCTCGTAGAACTCGTTCGGACTAGATGTAGAATGACGTTAGGCACGGTTTCAACCAATTCGATCACTCGCTAATGCTTACCTTCCAAAAGTCATGGCCGCGATTTCGGACATGTCGGTGCCCGTAGGGCCCCATGGATCATTGCTGGTTGCTAGAAGGCCATTGACGTTAGCTTATCCATTGCGAATCCGGAGGCGCGCAATTCCTGCCAGTGGTATCGATACACCCAACCGGGGCTCCTGATCCAATCATGAGACAGTGGCAAGCAGAGTGAGGCGAAGCGACCACAGCGACCAGAACCGCGAAGTTCACAGTGGTCCGATCTCGGGCAAAAGCACTCCAGACATACCATTTCGGACCTTCACCTGCACGGAGGAGTATCCCTTTGTCACGTTCTTGACGCTGCGCACGACCTTCGACATGGTGCCGGTGTAGCCGCGGGGGTCGCAGGAAGTGATGAGGAAAGAGTAGTCGACGTCGCGATAGGAAGGGCGATCAGACGGTTCGGGGGCTTATAGCCGGAGAGTCTGGGTTGCCAAGCTCTTACAGCCCACTCTGTCACCTTACTCGGGGATGGCGGCCCAAAACGGTCCAAGGCGGTGGAAGTAGTGGCGTGCGCGGATCAAGTGAGTACCCCGTGGGAATAAGATGTAGGCCAGCCGGGGGAAGTTCAAAGAATTGGGCTGGGAGGGAAAAAGAGAGATGGGGAGGACTTGGAGGAGAGGGGACTGTGGCTGGAACGGGGGACGCAGCCTTGGCAATGACGAAGCGGGAGAACGCCGATCTGGAAGGGTCCGATTCTCTTCCGTACTCTCTTTTCCCAGCACTACACAGTATCTACAGTACAGAGATGACAACCACGACAGTTCATTTTGATACAATGCAGAGCCAAGGTGAATCACATCGTCGGAGGTTATCAATCGGTGGTGACGCTCTCGCTCACTCAGCATTGTGGAATCCTCTCCACCAGTCGACCCTCCGGTCGCCCCGGCTGCGTTTCACCGAATTCACCAGATTGAACAGGTTGGCCGTGTGCGAAATGCCAAAGGGTGCGGCAATGCTGCCGGCGGATCGGCAGGGTTCTTCTCGAACGCGTTTCCCTCGACTTGATCACGTTGGACACTGCCACAACTGTGGCGACGGGCCGCGTCAGACTTAGGCAGCCAAATACGACGGACTGCATGCAGTACACTGGGAGGGGCATTAAAGAAATGTTTGTATGTCTGATAATACAGGCTCAAAGAGTTTCAAAGGGTTCTTCCAATTCGAGGCATTTGAGATGTAAGATCTATGGATATATAAGTCTCCATGGGGTGGATGACAGCTCCACCTACTGGGGCGGCGGATACCTAACATGCAAGGACAGAACCACCAGGCCCTGACATCCAGCTGCATCGACATGGTGCTTACCATGACATCGGATACCCCTCATTTGTCACGGTACCTCTACACTAGTGTGCACTCACAGTATAGCCTGCGGTGGAAATTCTCTCCTGGCTCGCTCGGCAGTTGCCTTGTAGGTCGCAACTTTATCACTCCCTAATACCGCCAATCATTCAAAAATTCCGCCTCACAGCATTTTTTGAGCATTTTACTCAGCATGCCTTGGCTAGTCATACTGGGGAAATCACGCCAGGAATTTTCGCTTGCGGGCCCAATCTTGAGCTGTGCTTGACAACCAATTCTTGCTTCATGCAATGTGGACAGTACTCGATCCCGCCGTCGACTGCGATACTGCTTCAAACAGTCGGCAACCTCAGACCAGGGAAGTTGTGTAGTTGAGGAAGCGCATGAGGCTCGCTGAAGCAGCGGGTGGAGGTTATTGACAAACGCTTCTGCCGACTTGAGTGCCTGGTTGGCTCCCATGCCTCCATTGGGGGTCATCTAGATCGGAAATGTCAGATAACCATACCTTGCTCCAGGGTGGGTTTGAATGCCTTTAAATTAGGATTGCACAAATCTTATGCGCCGAGTCTCCGGGCCCAAAGAGTCGCCCGGAACACATTGGATCCGTGAATCCTTCCTCTAAGGCCGTCATCACTGCGGTGCTCTTTCGCGGAAGACATCGGAAAACTTCACACCACCAGTTACCGGGATATCTGCGACAGCGGCATACAGCCTGTCGATATCTCCTTCGAAAAATTTCCGAAGGGCCTCATATCGGATCTGCCGCTCCTTGATATATTCTTAAAGATGAACCAGTACAGCCTTCCGCCGTACCCAGCGAATACTAAGAGAATCACCTCCGGCCGGTAGAAGGTGGACATACGCCCTGGTCCAATGCCTGAAACAGGATTGGATATTCCGTAGACACAGGCATACTTGGCGTCGAAGCCTTCGAAGAAGAATATTAGACAGCACTCGTGGAAACGCTACTGTCAGAAGTGGAACAGGTGCTACTTACGCAGATTCATGTTTTCCAGTCGCATCTCACTCTTTGCAATCTCATGGCGAATCACACTTCGTACACCGTCGGCGCCAGCAACGAAATCACAGCTGGATTCACTTCCATCCTGGGCAATAAGGACAGCCTCTTGCTCACTTCGATGGACGGCCACTACTCTCTTGTTAGTGCTCAGCCGGCTTTTGTCTTCACCATTGTCGTATAGAGCCTGAAGCACTCTCTGTCTGTCTGTGAAGAAAGATCCGTAGCCTAGTCTGTATTCACACAAGCCCAAATTAGCAATTTTCCAGATAGATCACGAGGGAGTAGAAGAGCCTCCCTACAATTCTGGGAAATCTTTCATAGAGTTGAGGGTTGCCTGCACATTGCCTTGACCATCTTTATGCTCCCACCGTTGATGAGGTACCTCTGCGTCATTCAATTGATGATCAAGCACTCCGATCTGATCCAAATATCCGATTCCCGCTGGGCATGAGTCCAATGCTTGCTCCGGCCGAGGAGGCGAAATTGCCGTAAGCCTCCCAACGCAGTATGATATGCCACTCATCTCCAGCATCCTGGCAAGACTCAAGCCCGCAATTCCGCCGCCGACTATGCCCACAGTAACGTGTTCTCGCCAATAGCTTCCCATTCTGGTGGATATGGGGGTAAAGCAAGATGTGGTTCTTCAATTGCTGGTGGCCGAATTGGTCTTGGTTGTTTTTCTGAGAGCCATGATCTCTTTAAATCTACCTTTGACCATGCCCGGTTCGCTAGCGGCCCATTTTCTTTCTTGATCATGAATTCGGCTCGGTCATTGGCCCTCCGAGAATGGAGGGAGTGTGTAATTCGCGATCGGTCACTGAGAGACGGAGATAATCTTCCTTGGTAGTGCTTATGGTCATTATGATCTGCCACATGATTTCCGCTTTTGACGATCACACTCCTGGAAAGTCTTCAAATTGTGAAGATTAGGCATTTTTAGACTCGCGAGCGGGGCATGTTCTTGGAGTCAAGAGCTTATTGTGGTGTGATCCAAGGTATCTTAAGTCTGGGACGCCATATCCGTACACCAATACAGATGGATTGTTTCAAGCCTCTTGGTTGAGTACAGATATTTTACATCTCCTAATTACCAATTCACAAGGACAGACGCCTCAGCCGCAAGTCCGACATTAACTCCGCTACTACAGTTATATTCCCGCTCTTCGCGCTCCGAACGGCCGACCTCGCGCTCTTCTACTTCACCTACTTGAAGATTGCCTCTTCGCCTCAAACCCCGACGTTCGCTTACTCATCTCGTTCTTCAAGGAATCGGCCATAGGAGTTGGACCTATCGGGAATAATAGCAATCGCTATTTTTTGAAATATATGAGAGACTACATGAGCGGTCATTCGTGCGATAGTTGTTTCTACCACAATATACAGTCACGATGACATTTGTCCAGGCATGTGGATAGACCCGGATGGCTGACTCCTTCGGGCATCTCACATAAGGGTGTCTTCGAGATGATACATTGTGGTATAATGTAATTGATTTATATCAACAGAGCGTGGTACACCGTATCTAACGGGGCGGCTGCCAGCATTATAAACCATTGGACCCAATTCAATCGTACACCGATAAAATCCATCCCCGTGGTATCTGTGACTTCCTATGTGCAAGAAGTCCCAAAGCCTGATATACTGAGTATGACTTAAGCAAGGACCTTCTCGGCAGCCGAGACTAGTAGTTCGTGTCAGTGGCAAAGGTTCGCAGGTGCATCGGAGAGAAAGACCCCTACCGTTCAGACCGATGTTGTCGGGTTCCACGAAAGCCTCCTTGACCTTGCCGTTCTCGACCAGTAGAGCATAGCGCTTGCTGCGGTCGTTGCCAAAGATGGCGGCGCTGTCGAAGCTCAGGTCAAGAGCCTTGGTGAACTCGCCGGCGGGGTCGCCCAGAATGCGAACCTATAACGGGGAGCTTTAGCCAAAATATTTTTGCGGGCGGACTGGTCCTGCAAGGGTATCATGACATACGCCACTCTTGCCCTGGGGGTCCAGGGAATCAGCCCAAGCCTTGGTCCTGTAGGGATCACGTATCAGCGTGCCATCCGCGGGGAATCCGATCCGAGGCGCGTCTCCGGGGCTTACACGAATGGATCGTTGACGGTGACGACGAAAACCGGGCCGGCCTCCTTGAGCTTGGGGTGGTTGATGTAGCCGGGGATGTGACTGGCGGAGCAGGCGGGGCCTATCACAGAAATAGAAAAGAGGGCAGGGTCAGCATTGTGTGTGCCAGGGTCTCCACGTTCAAGCTTCCCAGCTTCGAAGCTTCCCCCCTCTGCGATTCTTGCCGGTGTCACCTACTGAAAGCCGCGGGAACACCAACGATGACACCCTTGCCCTGGAGCTCCTTGGCGAGGTTAACCTTGTTGCCGGGCGAGTTCTCGACCAGGTCGATGTTGGGGATGGCATCGCCCTTCTGGACGAAAGCCGGGGCGGTGCTGTGGAAAGGCGCAACGCGGGCGCGAGGGATCTGAGCGGCGAAACGGCGAGCAGCAAACATTGTGATGGAGGGGTTGCGATGTGAGATGGATAAGGAATGGGGGAATGGGAATTGGTTGTGTTCAGAAGAGAGAGTTGTAGCGAGATGCCGGCGAAGCTGAAGCTCCGGCAATTTCCAATCCGATTTCGTCATCGGCAGCGACGATCTTCATTTGACATCCCCCTCCATTTAGTGTCGGCCTTAACGACCACCCCGTGTCGTCGTTGATCTTTCATGTCAACTTCATTGACACTACTACTAGTGGGATCTATGTATGGCCACCATTGACTAGACCCTACGGTACTCTTCCTCTGGTTTGTCTGTCTGGTTTGTTTCTACCGAACACGGGTCCAGTGAAAAAAGGCCGAGACACCTCCGAGCATCAAAGTGCCCCATTTTGCGGAAGTGGCCATGTCCGCTCGAGGAACAGCCCTTCGGACGATACTGGATTCGCTGTACGCAGAACCCAGTCGACTACTTACCTGGCATACGCAGTCGGATGGCGGATTCCAGCCAGCGCATGTGTGAACCGCTGCAATGCCCACGAGGAGGCCCACCGATGCCTTGACCCGAAAAACTGCAGTGGAGCAGTTTGTTCGTCCCCCCTCAAACCATGTCTTAACGGCTGGCTTGGCGGTCATATTTTTCTCATCCACGATGCTCACGATGCGTCGCCGGGTCCCCTCCATCTCGGGCGCACTGACATGTCAACGCACGTTGCGCGGCCATGGGCTGCAGGAATATCTCCATATCTCCACGGGATGGAATGTCAAGCCTTGCATGTCCAGTACCTTGTCGTAGTCATTACCTGCCAGTGCCCATATTCTCCCACGAAGGCCTCTCGTTCACGTAGTTGCCACTGGAGTCGACCTCTGTTGTATCCCAATAATCCTGAATAGTGTACCTAGGTTAGGTAAAGTCCTGCGTAATTCCGGCAGCGTTGTGGAGAGAGAAAGAGTACACAGCGGTACCCGCAGAGCCTGCGGGAGTGGCAGTAACTTTGGTACACCCGCTGTACTCGACTCGACCGCCCACTTCCCCGTCCATTCCCTCTTTCTTTTTTCTCGCCCACCTTTTTGCCTCCCAGTCGTGTTGGATTTTTTCTTTTTCGTCTGGTCTCCTGGTCTTCGCCCTGCCGCCGAATCGTACTCTTGAATCGCAGCCCGGCTCCCGGGTTCTGCCTCGACCTGCCTCGCCCCGGCCGACTTTCGTTGAATCGACCCTTCTAGGCCATGGAGGGTCAACAGCCTCAGCCCCCGGCGAGTGGGAACTCCTCCGACTTTGTGAGTCTTGAGATACCTCGCTCTGCACGCGTTGATCCCTGCTAACGGCATGCCCAGGTACGCAAGCTCTACAAGTGAGTCCTCTCCGTCGCCTCCTGCTTGTGGACTTTTCGCCCGCGATCTCTCCCGCGCGACCGTTGGGATCCCGCATGTTGACCACCCGTTTTCTAGGATGTTGGAGGACCCCTCCTACGCGTCCATCGTACGCTGGGGTGACGAGGGCGATAGTTTCGTGGTCCTCGAGGTGAGTGATGCGCCCGTGGCAAGTCTGGTGGGTGTTTTGCGGTCGCACCATTTGAACTGACGCCCGATTCCTGTCTTCCAGTGCGAGAAATTCACCAAGACCATCCTGCCGAAACACTTCAAGCACAGTAACTTCGCCAGTTTCGTGCGCCAACTGAACAAATACGATTTCCACAAAGTCCGACAGAACAATGAAGAGAATGGCCAGTCCCCATACGGTCAAAATGTGATCCTCCCTCTCTCCCCGCCTCTTCCGACCTTCCATCTGGCTGACACTGACCCTCGCGATCTGCAGGCCTGGGAATTTAAGCACCCCGAGTTTCGGGCCAACAGCAAGGAATCTCTCGACAATATTCGCCGCAAAGCCCCTGCCCCCCGCAAGCAAACCCAGAATAACGACGACTCCGCCCCGACCCAACAGATCGACCTCCTCAACCAACAAATCCTGGCGCAACAGCAACAGATCCAACACCTTTCCGATCGCTATGCGCAGCTCACGGTGGACCACCAGTTGATGCTACAGGAAACGATGCGGGTGCAGAAGACAGTGTTGAACCACGAGAACGTGATCCATCAGGTTATGAACTACTTGCTCACAGTGGACGCGCGCCAGCGAAGGGACAGCAAGGCAGTTTCATTCCAAGCACAGGGATCAACAATGAGCCCCTCTCAGGTCGGAGCTGTCAACGACGAGCCGTCATCGCCTCTGCAACAGGCCTCGAAGCTGCTGAGTGACATGAACGCCGAGATTCAGTTCAACCTCGCTGGGGTGGATGCGGCAAACGATCCGCAAAAGGCCGCCGCGGCTGCTGCTGGCGTCGCCCCAGTGGCTACCCCGACGATGGAGGCGACTCGGAATGGTGCCATCCGCCCGTCAACCACAGGTGCTCCGAACCCGATGGTCTTTCCGAACAAGATGGGTGGTGATTTGGAGCAGGTGGTTTATCCCGTTGGAGCGACGAATGGAATCGACCCCATGTACAGTGAACATGTCAACAACGTGCCATATCCGATGCCGACCACCAAGGCCGAGGAAACCGAAGTTCGCCGGCAATATCCCGATAACCGGAAGAAGAGTACAAATGTTGATCCTGGCTGGGTCCGCAGTCCCCAGATTTTGTTGGTGGAGGATGATGCGACCTGCCGGCAGATTGGTGGAAAGTTCCTTTTCTCATTTAACTGTGTTATTGACACTGCGGTATGTTTGGCTTCTCGCTTTCTCGGTTGGGAGAGTTGAAATTAACAGTTCTCGCGCAGTTCGATGGCTTGGAAGCTGTCAACAAGATCCAAGGCGGTCAAAAGTATGATCTGATTCTGATGGATATCATCATGCCAAACCTGGACGGTGTATCTGCTTGTCACCTTATTCGCCAATTTGATCGAACGCCGATTATTGCCATGACGTCCAACATACGAAGTGACGACATCCAGCTATACTTCCAACATGGTAAGCACTGACCAACAAATCCCTGCATGTTGATCCTTGTCTCTAACGTGATTCTACTATAGGCATGGATGACGTTCTGCCCAAGCCGTTTACCCGCAAGAGCCTGCTTGAAATGCTCGAGAAACATTTGGTGCATCTCAAGACCATGTCCCAAGGGGTCGAAGCACCTCAACCTCCTGCGGTCACCATGGCTACGCAGACATCGGCTACTCAGTCAATCAAGGAGGATAGCTCCCCTGGTCAATCCCCTGCGGGCTCCATCAGCAACTGGCAATCGCCAGGACAGTTCCAGGGCATGCAGCCCGTTCCGCCGACCATGCCCGCGGTGCAAGGGCAGTATGTGGCAGCAGCGGCGGCGGCGGCGGCGCCACCACCAGCCGCCTATACCGTCGATCAGAATGGGATCCAATTCCCAGCCCCTCCAGTCGCAGTGCCTTCTACCGGCGCTCCAGCTCGCCCGCCGCATCGACGACAAATGTCCGACATGTCGGGTGCTGCCGATAACCAGAATATGGCCAAACGACAGCGCATGTATGCTCCACCTCAACAACCCATGATGGCAGTGCAAGCCGGACGGCCCGGCTAAGAACCCAATCTCTTCTTGTCCCTTTCCTCTCGCTCTCCAACACCCACACACCACACATCATCTCCGCCTGTCTATTGCCTCACGATTCCCACTGTCCATAACGAGTTCACCACCCGTAAATTAGCCCCCTTCCCTGGATGTCTTGTTGTATTAGTTGCGGTCTTTCCACCCTTTACAGGTCATGGCGTTTTGTCCATTTTCATTTCCAAATCTACTATTACTATGAAGTTGCGGGCAATCTGGGTGGCGAATTTTGTGCGTCTTCACGCCTCAGCTCTTTGATACACATTACGGGCGAAATTGTTCTATCAGGTACATATTATTGACCAACTTTTTTCTCTTGACTTTTTTTTGGCTACTGTTTCCTGGATCTGTACTGGGCCAAGTTGTACTGTATGGGTGCCGAGTTCTCCGTTCCTTGGATGGAACCGGGACCGAGCAGAGATTGTGTGGATGTATTCATCATCACTTCTGACCTTAGGGTACTATCCACTCATTTTTGTCCATGTCTTGTGCTCCGACGAACCGCCGCGGGACCCCACTGCGCCTCCCGAACTGCGGACAAACCCGAAGATCGAAAGGGTGGTCTAGACCCTGCCTTCGGCCCTCTCGACTTTCTTGGAATGCCATGATCACGTGTGCCGTGACCAGACTCGGGTCCTTCGATTCCATCTTGATCTAAACATAGATACTTTCTCGATAGGGCAACCAAGGGTCGATTTTAATGTTCTCCAGATTCATTCGGCCTTGCTCGGCGTACCTTGCTCGGCGCATTAAAAGGATGGAGGCCAACAGCCTGTTTTGAACACTGACGCCATTACAGTTCCTACTCTGAATCCGATTTTGCTTTATGAACATATTCTTTCCAAAAATTCTGTTATTACTCGGCATCTTATCTCCTCAGGCTCTTGTACTGTATACATTGCTCGGTATTTAGCTATCCTTCGATGGTCGGGCATGCTCGATCAAGGAAGATTTAATCCGTGCTATCATCGTAGCTCACCTGGGCAAAGGGTAATATCTGGAATTAAATAGACTCAGCTTCCTAGAATCCGGGGCTTCATAAGCTAAGCTGATAATACCACCTACGTATGAAAGATTTTGTCGGATGATAGAAATAGCCTGGAGATTCCGAGTCAACATAGCACATCACATTGCAAACATGTCCTGAGACAGTGCATACATGTGATTTGAAGCCACATCATTGGGCCCCGCGGAAAAGATATGGATCGAGCATCGGTATTCACATCTCGCGATCGCGAATAGGTGCCTGAGTAGCAACATGACTCGGCTGATAGTTGAGTATAAATCAAAGTAGTATTGATCAATTGAATATAGAGTGACGAGAAAGCATGAAAATGGCGAGGTGTTAGGAAAGATTAGAACGGGCCCCACGTTCGACCCAGCTTTCGATTAAAATCTAGGTGAGACCGAGAGGGTTGTGGATGCATTGCTAAACAGTAAAAAAAGAAGAGCAGTCGCAGTGCAGTTCTTGTTGCGAGGAATAGGGACACCGTCCCGATTTCTGCTGTTGAGTTGTCTAGCCCCTGCATTTAGCCTTGGCAAGCGCTGCGTTTTCACCACAGCATTGAGCAAGGGTAGCCCTCAGTAGACCTGCATTGTATTGCACTGCAACACCCCGTGGGACCTGATAGTGAGTAAATGGTTTCTTATTTTGAGCATGACTTCTACAAGATGTGTACCTCCCAATAAGATGCGCCTGGGTCATTCATGCTCGCCCTGTCGCGAAGACACCCTAGATCGACCCATTCTAACTTCTAAAACAGGCGAACCTTTATTGGCGAAGTGGATTGACGGTTTATTTTGGACTTCGTTCTCGAAGATTGCTATAGCCAGGCCCCGGGTCGAAAACTCAGTCTGCGGCGCGGTTCAAGCAAACTCTTATAGTGCGTCGTGAAGATAACCATAACGGGTGGCTGGACCCAAAACTGGATCTTAGGCAACCCGTGAGGGGAACTAACTGTGCTGGGACAGAGTTTCAGCAAATTAGTGTCCTTATGCCTATGTATTTTGATTCAAATCGGATCGACAAGGTACGGAAAGCATGTTCCACACCCTCGGTGACCCGGCCCCTTGGGTGCGGCTCTCATACAAATGGGAAAGGATCGACCATGCATGATTGGAAACATAGTACTGTGCTGCCATTGTTTCTGCAATGTGGTATTCCAGAAAGTCTTCAGAACTATGGCGACGAGGTCTCTGAGTCACTGCAAGCACCTATTTACCAAGCAATCTCACAGAGACAGATGAGTTCGAACAATGTTAGCGAGCCGAAATCTTCCGCAGACGTCAACTCCATTATGTTTATGTCAAAAGGACAGAAAGGCTGAACCCTGACCACTACGAAGCCTTGACCTACGAGTTCAGTACCATCAGACGGCGACTTTTTCACCATGCCAGCATCCTTGGGAGGGTGACAACATAACTCTAAGTGCTGATCTCGTTACCTTATCGAAGCAATGGAAAGTGGTAAATCCTGGCACGAAAGTAACCTGTCCAATTCTTTCCCAGCTGACGAGTCGGATGAATGTCTACGACTGGAGCGCGCACAATCAGAAGCGGATGAGCAATTCCAAGTCTGCAAAGAAATAATTGGGGGGCTGGGTCCCCATTGCACAATATGATGAAGCTAAGGAGTTTGAAGTAAAGCTGAAAGCAGATGCGCTTAAAGAAGCTCAATCAGAGGGAGTGAGGCAAAGACTCCATGATAATTGGATATCTGATGATTCTTTCTGAGAAAGAGTACTCTTGAGAAGTGTTGATCACAGATTAGTAAAAAAAAGAGTTCCACGGATATATGTCTTTCCTTTTCCTGCAAATAGGCTGCAACCCCCTAATTGACGTTGCCTCCAGTACTGGTTCGCTCTTTCCAAAAGAAATGAGAACATAGAGTGGTTAGGGGGAGGCAGTAAACATAATCTATTTGGATGTATTGGCCTACCAATTTACGAACCAAATTGAACGACATGAGACAATGCTATGGACGAAATGAGTATACTGTATAATGCGTTGACGGAGCTTTCTGGTGTTGTGACCTAATGTGATACTCCAAGCAGCTAAGGGTCTCAGATTTTAAAAAATACAGACTATTTTTTTTTTAGGACAGAGTAATTGAGCTTTGGACAAATACAGTTTTCGAATATCTTGCAAGACTGGACGAAGGTCAGAGTTAATGACAAGGTTCAGATCTATTAAACTGTCTCTTAGCTAGATCCTAACACGATAGCGAGCAGCTCAGGGCGGCGGGGCCCGGTGGCTAACTCAGTATGGGCTCCGGGGACCGATCATTTCGAGGCGACAGTTTCATAGTCAAAATTTTTACAAAAGCAAGTTGAGAGGTTCGATAAGAGGCCCGGTATATGATAGATACTGCCCCATTATAGATTTTGGAATAGGATGGACTGAATCGACACAATTTCGTACACTTTGGACATGCACTTCCAGAAGACCACATCACCACTTGGACCTTAGAGACTAACACCCTTAGCCACTGCCAGGGCAAATGATCTTGCCGCCAGGGTGGTTACCACAGATGGCTCCATCACCGCCACCATCACCCACGCACTGTAAGACTCGTTAGCTTCAAAATGGTATAATACTAACACATTAATTCAATGCGTTTCATCGGGTATCTTACGCTGCCCACTTCACAGTCCCTGCGGAGAATTATAAGTAAGAATACACTGTAGGGACTAATAAGGGAAACTTACCAGTTGCTTGCAGCGATCTTGCAAGAGGTGCCATTGCATTCCTATTGATCATTTGTGACAGTTAGAAAAGGTCATGGTAGATTTTTCTAGACACTTCACGTACACCGCAAACAGACCAACCGTTAGGGCAAGTCCATTGAGTAGTCTCGGTACTGCCCTTCTCGGGTGAAGGAGCAGCAAGACCCAGGCTGGCGCCAACGGCCACAAGAGCAAACATGAGGTTGGAGAGCTGCATGACGAATGCTTTGGATGGTTGGTCGTTCGGGATAGGATATTGGATTGATGAGAATGATTGAGGAGGGATTACTGGACAAGAGCACCACCTTTATAGTTGAGATCTGGAGGAACACTTACTAAGATTACTCTTCCTTATATGGAGAGGACGCCTTGTTAATTATCCGATAAAAGCCTTACTGCCGATCTTCCCTATTCACGATCCGATTCCTTTCATGCCACAGGACGCTACATATGGGTCCAGCGTATATTTGGAATTGTAGCATACCTTACAAGAGGCCTGGCTCATATGTAAATTTCATGTTTAATTCTTCCTTTTGATACTAAACTCAAGCCCACAAGCGCTGAGGAATGGAGTTAATGTTATTAGTATCAAGGGCCTAAGCATTCCCCTTCGCGTGCAGACATACAAACAACTAGCAGCTACGGTGTGGATCTCAATTGAGCCACAAGGGCCTCATAGCTACTACACGAGAGGGTGACATTGTTTGAATGATAGAAATAGCCCTCAAAAATACAAACTCCACTCACGTAATGTATTCGCCCCCATCTCATGCAGTATTCATGCCTAACAAGCCAAAGCCACATCATGGGGCCGCACGGAGGGCAAGTCAAAGGAAAAAGGCCCCATTTTCAATTGAGCTGAGACAACAAATATATCGAGGCGAGCATTTGAGGCTCGTTTACTTCACTATTTTGGCTGTTTCGCCCGAGTGATTATGGCTCTCAGCCCGTGCATTGAACTAAGTACGGCGTGTTTATCACAATCTCGGACAAGGGCATTCTGCATACCCTCATTGGCTGCCCCAATTTCCAATCAATCTTCCGTCAGTGATCAATTCATCCGATTTATTATGAACTCTATTCTCGAGGATGCTAAAAATTATATTATAGGCGGCGAGTCGAAATCTCGCCATCAATGACAATATTCGCCTTCCATTTAACTCCCATGGGCTGAGTCCTATAGTACAACATGGAAATAACCATAGCGGGTTGCTGAATCACAAAAATGGGCCCAAGGCACACCGCGAGGCGAGAGGCACATGTATACAGGGGCCGGATGCTATGTAGCAAATGAGGGCTCTCAAAGCTGCCTGAATTCAAGCCGGTTCGGCAGGGAAAAGATACGGAAAGTGGGTTTTCTGCCTGTGGTGACCCGCTTTTGGCCCCCTGTGGATGCGGCTCTTGATGTGGAGGAGAAAAGGATTGTTGATGCATCTGATCGTCGGTCAGTCAGACAACGGGAACCAACAGCCAAATTCAACCAACACAAGACAACTCGTTTCATTGGTAAATGAGTAAGACAGGGCCCATTCCACCTGCATGGTCGATGTGGGCGTATTCCTGTCTCAATTTGGCCTTGATAAAGGTAAATTCAGTTCATCACTTCAATATAGAAGAACTACTACGAGATACCCAACTCGTAGCTTTAATGCACTTAACACAATAAAGATCAACACTTCAGCGGGATCAATAGTTATAAGAACACCGAATACCTCGCTAACATCAGACAGGTATTCATACAGGATCAAAAAATAAAGCTGGGAACCCCCGGAGAACTCCGAGTCGGTTGTTGGCTCTAGACTTTCCGCGGATGTCGGCTACCAAAGAAAGGGGATCAAAACGATACAACTCCATTCTACGGCACAGGATCGACTGCTATACATACCTCATTCATATAGCCAAACTTTGTTTCGTACCTAGCAGTTCTGTATGTGCAAAAATTACACTCCTAGCTTCCACTCCACTTTTTGGCCCCTGGTGGGCCTGGGATTTTGATGATACGGGAATGATCAACAAGCAACCCCCATCCATACATGAGCCAGACTTCAACCAACCTCGGATATGCTTCCAGCTGAACAAAATATTGTATGCGTGATATATTGAGCCCGCATCTGCTCCCCATGGGAATAAATCATAAAGAGCAAGGATTGTCTGTCGATCAAATGGCAAGGCGTTTTTTTTATCGACATTACGGACCGCAACCTTGCCGAGAAACTCCCCGGGTTTCGAAAATGAAAGGTGCTGAGCTTTCAGCAGTTTTCTCATAACCATTCTCATCGATCCCAAGAACCTGTTCACAAAGACACCATTCTCCTACATTCATCATGCAGCTCTCCAACCTCATGCTTGCTCTGGTAGCCATTGGCGCCAGCCTGGGTCTCGCTGCTCCTTCACCTGAGAAGTATAGTGCAGCTTCCGCTCAAGGTTGCCCTAAAGGTTGGGAGTTCTGCGGTGTATGTAAAGTCTTGAAGAAAATTTCTACGTTCTTTTCTAACTGTCGCAAAAGATTAATAGGAATGCAATGGCACCTCTTGCAAGATCGCCGGACTCAACCAGTAAGCTTCCCTTATGAATATCTACAGTGTGTTTTCTCAATAATAATTATCTGCAGTTCTGGTCAAGTGGGCAGCGTAAAACACCCAACTTAACGCCCGTAGACAGTACTCTTTCAGAAACTATTGGCACCATGGGTGGGTAACAACTTAAGAGGAGATAAACCAGTCGCAGGTAGTGGAAACCCGTATCCTCGAAGCTATGGAGAGGGAAGGAAAGAGAGGAGCGAGCCATCGTGGATATCGAGTGGGCGTGGACTAACCGCCCTCGCCTGAGGTCACATGATCCGGGTTGGCCAATGGTCATACTCAACAGAAACTAATAAGAATCAGTATCTTGCAGTGTACGGACAAAGGTAGCGCAGATAGTGTTATGTGTGGACAGCGAAGGTGGCTCCACCCACTGGCCTGGCAGTAGCTAGGGGAGTTAGTCTCTTAAGGTCAGTATCATGAGTTGGCGACGATACTTGGTCTCCTGGAGGAATAGACAGTGGTGCCGATTCTATGCATATGATCTCAGTTTAATTACTGAGAAGTTATCTGTTTCTATCTGCAATGAATTCAGTTTTGGCTATTTTTTGGTAGGGCTGAAATTTAAATTACCGAACAATCTGAGATTGCTTGTTTTTCAGATTATTAGAAGCCGAGACTCGATAGCTGCCTCTCAGGATTGTGATTGATATCTTTTTCGCCTCTCGGAATATTACACCAAGTCATTCAGTACAAAGGGTGCGCTCAGGAAAATAGTTAAAATCCCTTTTCATCTGCGCGTTTAATGCGGAGTACGATCTACATCTTGAAAGACGACGAGTGAGCAGTTGAGATACGAGAACAGAATTCGAATAGCGACGTCTTCAGACCCCAGTCAAAATAAAATTACCTTCAGATAGCGGTCGGATGCTATTCTACGGAATTTATACTGCTAATGAATGGGATATACAGCAAATTCAGATCGTGGATGGCGCAGGCAATTCAGGGACGGTCATGTGATCACGCCCTTTTTTTGTGAATATGGTATCGATGCAAACAAGGCAAACTGGTCGACAGCTGGGAAGTGGGAGTCATTCCGCGGCTTGGCGGGGTTTTTTGTGCCCTTCTTTGATAACGACAGTCCCATTGTCTTAGCGCCGTCATAGACTGACCACTGACTTCGCCCTGGTCATCTCTGATTCTGCGGTACGCTCATTCCCCAGTTACGGACGATTTCTCGACGACAAAGACTGCAGCACGGTCGATTGATTGCGCGACGGTTTCACGAGCCCTTCTTTTTACGCCGCTGAGATCGCTGCTGACCCGGTCTAGAACCTGTCGGCTATGGGTGCGAAACAGAAGGGAGGAGGCTCGAAGCCGAGGGGCAATAATGGCGCGGAGGAGGTAGAGGAGACGTTGCAGGCTGTGGTATGTCTTTATCGCTGGGGGCCACTTGAAATACCCTAGGCAGCTGCTTGATAGCAGCCGTTTTGATTTGGTCTGATGATCACGGAACCATGCTAAGTCATATGGGCTTTAGGTTCTCGCGGACACTTTCGAAACGAGATTCGAGCCTTTCACCCTCGACAGGCCCCGAGTACGTACACCGAGTTATTTTTGTGAAAGCACTGTGAACTATCACAATGGCTAACGGTTTTGTTTGTGATAGTGTCTCTTGCCGCTGGCCAATACCCCTCTCATTGAATACACCCTCGAATTTCTTGCCAATGCTGGTGTTGAAGAGGTGTTCCTCTATGGAGGTGCGCACTCCGACCAGTTGGAGAAATACATGAAGTATGATGGGTCCGAGTCCCCTAAGCAAGAAAGAAGAGCAAGACTAATCACATTTCATAGTGCTTCGAAATGGAGAGCCGCATCCTCGCCTTTCACGCAATTAACATTCCTCAAATCCACCTCTACCTCTGTCGGCGACGTTATGCGTGACCTGGACGGCAAACATCTCATCACCGGTGACTTCATTGTCGTGAGCGGCGATGTCATCAGCAACCTGCCAATCGAGAGCGCTTTGAAGAAACACCGGACTCGTCGTGAATCCGACAAGAACGCCATCATGACAATGGTCCTCAGGGAAGCCGGCCGCAACCACCGTACCAAGTCGACTTCGGTCTCCCCGGTCTTCGTTATCGATCCGACCAAGGATCGCTGCCTTCACTACGAAGAGATCGATCATCATTCCGATGAGAAGTCTCCCCGTTTAAACATTGATGCCGAGATTCTTTTGTCCCACGCCGAGCTTGATATCCGCCAAGACTTGATCGACTGCAGCATTGATATTTGCACCCCAGATGTCCTGAGCTTGTGGTCTGACAGTTTCGATTATCAGTCACCGCGGAAACACTATCTTTTTGGTGTTCTCAAGGATTATGAGTTGAACGGCAAGACAATTCATACCCACATAATCAAGGAGGACTACGCCGCGCGGGTACGCAACCTGAAGGCCTACGACGCGATTAGTAAGGATATCATCTCGCGCTGGACTTATCCGCTGTGCCCCGATACCAACCTGCTTCCGGGACACACTTACGGTCTCCGCAAGGGCAGCCTGTACCAAGAGCAGGGCGTGACTCTGGCCCGATCTTGTGTTGTGGGTCGTCGCACAATCATTGGACGTGGCACTAGCATCGGTGACCGGACGACAGTAAACAGCACTGCTCTGGGCCGGAACTGCAAGATTGGCCGGAATGTCAAGCTGGAGGGTGCGTACATCTGGGATGATGTTATGATTGGGGACGGCTCTGATGTTCGTGGAGCAATTATCGCGAATGGTTCCGTCGTTGGTAAGAATTGCGTTATCGAGTCTGGTGCACTTCTCTCGTACGGCGTCAAGATCGCCGACGGTGTGAAGGTCGAGGGCGGCAAACGCATCTCGAGATCGAAGCGAGATGGTACTGCGGCCCCTACTGACACAAAGGTGGTTGGCGATGGTGGAGAGGGATATGAATTTATCCAAGGGGAGGACGAGGATGAGGACGAGGATGATGTCAGTGTCGCATCTTCTGGGCTTGGTATGTGCAAATATTCTCAGAGCGCGTAGTACGGTAGATGATGCTGACCATTTCCAGTGTACCGCATGCCAGAACTTTCTCTGTCTTCTGCTTCGATCTCGACATTGTCCTCTGAAGTATCAGACGGGTCCTGGGCACGGTCTTCCCGGAGCAGTTTCTCCGACAGTGAAGAGCAGGACCACTTCCACGTTGATGCCACCGGGAGTGTGTTGGATAGTCTACGCGAGTGCGTATCTGCCGACGTGGTTCAACTCGAGCTGGTCAGTCTGCGCATGACTGCGAACGCCGACGATACCCAGGTCCGACGGGCTATTGTGACATCGTTCATGCAATACATCCAGGAGCTCATGGGCAAGGGCAAGGGCGCCAGCCAGGCCGTTCATCAGGTCTTCTCACAGTACTCCGAGGTCGTGGAGCGTACCTTGTTTGACCGAAACAAGGAGGAGAAGAAGGACCAGGTTGACCTGCTCCTCCAGCTCCAACAGGATCTCGTCAACCGCGACAAGGGTGAGATGATACTTCTCTTTACTGCCAAGGAGCTCTATGAGTTAGAGCTGGTGGATGAAGAGGCCTACGAGCAGTGGTGGGATGATGAGCGGGCCAGCGAGAATGACGAGATGAAAAAGGTGCGCAGCCAAGCGCAGCAGTTCGTGCAGTGGCTGGCAGAGGCAGAAGAGGAGAGCAGCGAAGAGGAGGAAAGTGATGAAGAGTAGTTTCTTCTCATTTTCCATGCCATTTTATACCACGACGACGACTATAGGTACGACTACGATGCTACTATGGGACTGATTATTCATAGGCCAGGAGTGTGTATGGCCTCCTGGATAGCGTCCCCAACAAAAAAAGAGAATTTCCAAGAATTTACTACGATATGATGCAAATATAATTGGCATGTCGTAAATTGCTTTGCATTGCTTTTTTGCTTGTGCACATTCGTAGGCAAGGATGGCGAAGGCGGTGGTTACCGCTACCAGCCCATTTGGATGTAATCTGCTGCCTGCCGGGGCGAGAATCATCAACCCATGCGGTGGTGAGTCAGTGACCTTCCCCAGACAACCCTCCCTGGTCTCTCGACCTGTGCGACTGCCTTACATCGTGCTGCCTGGGGGGAGTCACTGGTGTGAAGACTAATAATAAATAATACATGACTAAGTAAGTGCTCGTAGGTCTCCTCGCGCCATTCCGCCTCCGCTGCGTACTTCGGAACCAGACTTGGTCGTCGCAGCCCCTTCCCCACTCTCTCCCCTCCGAACCACTCGACCCGCGCAATTTTCCCTGTGACGTTTTGGCTCACCAGCCCTCAGACCTTCAACTGCTTCTTTTTCTTCTTCTTCTCACCCTTTTTATCGGCATCCTGCCGTATCTGCCACCACGCCTCCCTCCACGCGGAAGAGAAAGGCGGCCGAGGCGGCGATTGCGGACGACGACCAACCTCTTCCCGAATCCGCCACCAAGGCTGCCCAAACCCGGAACGCCACTCTCTCTACCGGTCGCTTGCGCAAGCCGGGCTCGACGGTCACTGCGACTACCCAACTCACCGAGACGGGCAGCTCTGCGAGTTCAACCAGCCCTAAAAAGAGGGACGTCGCAACACCCCCAACAACGACCTCGAGCATGGATTCCGAAGACGATTTCTTGAGCGATGTCTCCAGCCAGGATGATTTCCTCGATGCTCAGGGCAGTGATAACGAGAGCCTAGGTGAAGGTAAGCTGCTCACTGTTCCCCCGAACCTGATGGTCTGCGTGACCTGGTTCCATCAGATATCGTTCGCCAACCTGACTTACGATTGTTGACAGACTTCGGAGACCTTGACACCGGATTCTCCGATGATAAAGACCTCCTCACGCAGAAGCGAAAGCCATACGAAGTCGAATTCAAAGTTCTTGATCCCGATGATATCGAACGCGAGCAGCTCGTGCAAGTCAACGAGGTGTCCGCGATCCTCGGGCTGCCTCCAGAATCCGCCGCGATCCTCCTCCGATTCGGTCGATGGAAGCAGGAGAAACTGATTGAAGGATACATGGACCACCCGGAGGAAACACTGGAAGAAGCTGGCCTGGGAACAAATTTTGAAGGGACTGCGAAAACAGAGGTCATCCCGAACTTCTCATGTGACATTTGTTGTGAAGATGGAAACGATCTTGAGTCGTATGCGATGCGCTGCGGGCACAGGTTTTGCGTGGACTGCTATCGACATTACTTGGCACAAAAGATCAAAGGAGAAGGCGAGGCGGCGCGGATCGAGTGCCCAGGCGAAAACTGTCACCGGATCGTGGATTCACGCTCGCTCGACCTCCTGGTGACGAATGATCTCAAGGATCGGTAAGTGATCTCTCATGCAGTCCCTCTTGAGTCACGGCAGGATGAACGCTAACGTGCTGCTCCTTTTTAGGTATCGAACACTCCTCACGCGAACCTATGTCGATGACAAGGATAATCTCCGATGGTGCCCAGCACCGAATTGTGAGTACGCGGTTGACTGTCCGGTTAAGACTCGCGACCTTCGACGCATTGTACCCTCAGTCCGGTGTCTCTGTAAACACGAATTTTGCTTTGGCTGCGGTGTGACCGACCACCAACCCACCCCTTGCACACTGGTCAAGAAGTGGCTCCAAAAGTGCGAAGATGACTCTGAGACAGCAAACTGGATATCAGCCAACACCAAGGAGTGCCCCAAATGCGTCTCAACGATTGAAAAGAACGGCGGTTGTAATCATATGACTTGCCGGAAATGCAAACACGAGTTCTGTTGGATGTGTATGGGCCTCTGGTCCGAGCATGGCACCAGCTGGTATAACTGCAATCGGTACGAAGAGAAATCCGGATCTGATGCCCGCAGCGCTCAGGCCAAGTCGCGCGCATCGCTGGAGCGTTATTTGCATTACTACAATCGGTATGCAAACCACGAGCAGTCAGCGAAGCTAGACAAGGATCTTTATCTAAAGACCGAGAAAAAGATGACTAGTCTGCAGTCGCAGTCAGGTCTGTCTTGGATAGAGGTGCAGTTCCTTGATACGGCGTCGCAGGCGCTACAGCAGTGCCGTCGGACCTTGAAGTGGACTTACGCCTTTGCGTTCTATCTTGCGCGTAACAACCTGACAGAAATCTTCGAAGATAATCAAAAGGATCTGGAGATGGCGGTGGAAAGTCTCAGTGAGATGTTCGAGAAGCCCGTCCCGGAGTTGGCCTCACTGAAGGTGGATATCCTGGATAAGACGGCCTATTGCAATAAGCGCCGGGTCATCCTACTGAGCGACACGGCAGAAAACTTGAAAAATGGTATGTTGTGGTATCATCGACTTGGATTATGTTCTGTGCTAACACGTTTCACAGGAGAATGGTCGTTCAACGTGGAGTGGTAGAGTGACCTGCCCTCCCATCTAAACGACTACAATTGGGAATTTTACGACGTGAACGAATCCTCCCCGAAATTTTCTCTTAAATACCTCTTATGTTCAAGCATTGCGTTTCTTCTCTCCCTCCGACATCCGACCTCCTCTCTCTCTTGCCCTTCCTCGGGTCCTCTGTAACCTGGGACCCAGGGTAACCATGAGCAGACAAGAATCACCAAAGCAATTGGCATTTCATATGCCCACAATCCACAATTGAAACAATCAGCATATCATGTAAGGCTCCACCGTGTACTTGCTGGGTTTTTTCTTTTTTTTTTTAAATTATTTCCTTAAGGCTGCGGCGCTGAGGTGTTGAGTTCATCTATGGGAGTCAACATGTTCAGATAGCAGAGCTTTTCATCTTCTCATAGCTAGGTAGCGATTCTTTTGTTGGTTGCAATTCTGTTTAATCGTCGCATCGAAGAAACTCAGTTTAGGAACTTTCACCTTGAACATTTGCATTCGCTCTAGATTCTAAACATTTGGGTTGCATGGCATGTTTGGTTGCAATTCATTATAAATCTCTGGCTGTTTAGGCCTACTTGTTATATCAAATAAGCTCTAACCTCAGCTACATTCAGTGGCGATCCCGATACAGCTTATCTAACCTTAACGTACGACGAACTTCCCATGCTCTGGCTATCTAAACATGGCACCGTGATGAGCCGACCGGTGATGCTTAATTGGTTTTCAGCGTATAAGTCCACGACTGCCCTGTGGTCATGAATTCGATTAATTCAAAGAGGAGCCCAGCAAACGTGACATTCATGGAGTATTGTTCTGGTTGTAATATATGCAGGCGTCCCGGGGGAACTCGTTGCAAACTAACTAGAAATGGCCAGAGCCGCAGACTTGATAAAGTTGATTAGCCCATTTAGGGTCCCATCTGCAGATTGACTGCCAGAGTATCCACGAGTTCACGACAGATTACCAGACTACAGTCATGGGTCCTGTCAGCGAATTGACTGGCTAGGGCCACGCTTTGCCATTCAAGGAATTTGTTTGTTCACCAGGCAAAACTATGCATTCTCCTTTGCCGAGATTTTAGCCCGGTGGGACATTCACAGAAAGCTCGGATGGCTTTACGTACGAAGCCGACCAGCAGGGTTTAGTCGACACGGCTTGGCCGGACATCGGCAGCCCGTCCGATAGAGTCGCGTGGTCGGGGGCGCAGCCCCTGTTAAAGAGGCCCTCGTATTGCTCAAGTGCGCCTTTGGAGGGTGCTCGCCCTTTTTTGTGACTCCGAAGCAAATATTCTCGTATTTGCTGGGCAAAAGATAATCCCAGTCATCTGAAGGGAGAACATCTGAAAGGGGAGAGTAAGGTTGGCCTATCCACCCTCTCAAAGGCTTCCAACGGCCTTCTCGAAGAATTCGGCACTTCCACGAATTTGCAGCCTGGGTCTCAGGGTCCACTCAGACCGGATGGACCGACTAATTTCTCCAGGGTGAGCACACTAGTCCCAGGTCGAAGTGCAATTTAATTAATCAGGTTTGGGATGAATGGCTTATCAGATTGATAAAAATGACGGGAGCCGTACCGGGGCGGTACTTGGCGTTTCCGCGGGTTGTCCATAGTCAAGTCAGGTACCGGTCAGTACCGGTGCACAGCTGGGAAGGTACTGCCGATACCATACGCCTTACCTAATCTCCGTCATCGGATGCTTAGAGTTGGGGGTCTGGCCTTGCATTCTGAATAATCGGCGATCGATCGGGAGTTTCCCATAGACGGGGGCATGATGGAAGGCGAAGGGAGGCAAAAAATAAAATTAATTGAACATAGAGCACCATAGTCTATGTAGGAAAACAATGCCCGACAGATCTTGCCGGGGAGTCGGGCTGCTGGCAGGAATGGGGGCCTCGGAGCGTGTGGAATCCGGCGAAGGTCGGCCTGCGAATAATTTGGCTAGTGCCGCGGCGCCCGCCCTGCTAGTGACCGAACTCAAGAATTTCCTCCTCAACCTTTCCTCTCCGGATTTCCCATCCTCAGCAACCCAAACCAAAAAAAGGGAAAAGAAAGGAGGAACGATCGGACACGCTGCGCCTGTGATCCTCTCCTGCTGCCGACAAACCGCCTTTGACCCCTTCCCTGTTTCCTCTCGCTGTGGGCATCCAGGGCCTGTTTTGCCATACGGAGAACCCCGTTTACCTCATCATCCTTCACCACTCCGGCTCTCGCACACCTCAATCTCATTCACACCATCACCACGACGCCCTCTCCTCTCCGTTTCTCTTTCCCGAATTGCGCCGGCTGCGCCTTGAGCTAGCGGAGCTTCATGGCGGCTTCCGACCAGATCCCCGAGCAGGAGTTCGAGTAGGTGTCTCTCCGCACGTGAAATCTCCGAGGGTGGGCTTGCGGCAGTATCGCGGACTGCGACCTGGTCGATTCCTTTCGTCCTGGACAATTGGCTCTTCTACCGCGTGTCTAGCTGGCAGATATTGACCCTGCCCGCCCGGCAGCTGCAATTTCCTGTTGCGCTTCAATAACCCAACCGACTGTACAATGCAATCTAACATGTTTTTTTGTCAGCTATGAGGCGCTTCCTTCGAACTATGGCTTAGGCCGCAACATGTTGGCGGGTGCTTTTGCGGGAATCGCGGTATGTTGGCGGGAATGACACACGGTGAGAGTTTCGGGCTGATGATCGGTTTAAAGGAACACTCGGTGATGTACCCGGTCGACCTTCTTAAGGTGAGTTTTGCATCCCGGAATTTTCGGGCATCATGGATTGGCACTGACAAATCTTGTAATATAGACTCGCATGCAAATCCTGCATCCTTCCACGGGCGGTCTGTACACCGGTTTGACGAACGCAGTCTCGACCATCTATCGCATTGAGGGCTGGCGGACACTATGGAAGGGTGTTTCGAGTGTGATTGTTGGTGCTGGTATGTCTCTCTGGGCCGCGAAAATCTATTCGTTAGAAGCCAGTCCCTGATCCATATATTTTCGTGATTACAGGTCCGGCACATGCTGTGTATTTTGGCACATATGAGATCGTCAAGGAACTTGCGGGTGGAAACGTTGATGACGGACACCATCCTTTAGCAGCCGGTAAGTATTTGGCCCAACGTGGTATATGGATGAATAGAATTAACAAATGGGGGATGAAGCTCTGAGTGGTGCCTCGGCCACGATCGCAAGCGATGCGTTGATGAACCCCTTCGATGGTAAGTTCTTCTTCCTCCGAACATTCAAAACTCCAAGGAAGGTAAAATAACCAAGATTTGGAATTCAGTGATCAAGCAGCGAATGCAAGTCCACGGCTCCGTTCACAAGACGTTGCTGCAATGCGCCAAAACACTCTACCGAACTGAAGGTCTCCAGGCCTTCTACGTCTCCTACCCTACCACCCTCTGCATGACTGTGCCCTTTACCGCCACCCAATTCGTTGCCTACGAGTCGATTTCGAAGGTCATGAACCCCAAGCAGGACTACGATCCTTTCACCCACTGTATGGCAGGTGGTCTTGCTGGTGCCTTCGCTGCCGGTATCACCACTCCTCTCGACGTTGTGAAGACCCTTCTTCAGACCCGTGGCCTGGCCGAAAGTGAAGAGATCCGCTCTGTGCGCGGTCTGTGGAACGCCGCCGCCATCATCAAGAACCGCTTCGGCTGGGGTGGTTTCCTGCGCGGCATGCGCCCTCGCATTATTTCCACCATGCCGAGCACTGCGATCTGCTGGACTTCCTACGAGATGGCCAAGGCCTATTTCAAGGATCAGCCACTTGACTAAAGGAAAGTTTTCGTGCTTTGAATTGTCATATACCCTCCTGCCGGCTTGACTGCCCTTCCCCGATGTGGCAGCTCTTCGTTTCTAGTTCAATATCCGGTGTTGCATGTATATCCTGCAACGCTGGTCTTGATTGTTTTCCCACCTCTTTTATATATTCTTGGTTCAATTTTTGAGGCAACATTGGTCTTTTTGACGTCTTTTCTGGGTCTTGAAGCATGGGCAGAGCCCAGCAGACCCTAACGATGGCGCATCGGGGACCTGAAGAGCCCGACTCGACCTTTCTGCATGTTCGGAGCTTCTGTTGGCCAAAAGCGATTTCTGTACTGTACAGTTTGGAGAAAGGGAATTTGGAAATGACATCAGCAAGCTGACCTGAGGATCGAATCTTTTTCTTGACGCTCTCCCCGTCCGATGTGTCCTCTATCGTTTACCGGCGTTGGAACGTGGATCTTCGGGTTTTGGTTTTCTTATGCGGGCTGGGTTCTGTTGCATCGATGTATGTTTTAGTGACTGTTTTTTCATTTGCATGTACCTATAGACGTGCGACCACGAGGAATCTAGATGTGATGTCCGATGTTATCCGATGCTTCCAAGAGAATCATCCCATCTTTCAATGATGTGCTACACCATGAATAGTTAAATCGTTCCATAGATAAATAAATAAATATAGATCGGAGCGCAGGTCAGAGAGAATTGAACGACATAATAGTCGGGAAGAGTAGAGATTTAAATAATGGGGAGTGTAGTAGACTCGAGTGTCCGCATGCAGCACCCACCCGGCCGACGACGTCACGCGAAAACTCCTCCGCCTCGGCGGGAGATCATCGCCCTCTCCTTCTCCCCGCCAACAACCTGCAGTGAAATGGGTGCGGGCCTGTGTTTTCCCAATGATGCGCCCACGGCCCGCGTCTTCCCTACAGAAGACGTACGATGAATGTTATCTCCTGTGCTCCACTGCGGTCTACTTTGAAGGCCAGGTATGTTCGCCATCCGCCCCCCGGTCGGCATCAATTGCTCATGACATCAGAACAATGAGGAGGAAGCATTGAGATCCTGGCGGTCTGCCCTTGAAACGATATATCGTCACAATGCTCGCCGTGTGCCGTCGAATTACACCCCCAAATCCGAAACCGAGAAAGCCCTGCAGGATTCCATCCGTGCGCTGGAGGTCCAATGCCGCGAGCGAGTCGATCTGCTAGCAGCCCTGCGTGAGAGTCGGAAGGAGTCCGCCGAGGCTAACGGCACGAAGGAGCCTGCAACACTTACAAAGGGTAAATCCCCAGCCACAGCGCCCGCGCCGCCGTCGTCTAATCCTCCAGGCTGGATCGGAGACGGTACCATTCCCGCCGTCGGCTACACGGATCTCTCGAAGCCAGCCACCATACCTGGACGACCTGCTCCTCCGCCGATAGCGAGACAGAACTCCGACACCCTCCAAGCCTACGATGACCCCGTTCCCTCGGGCCTGTCGCCATCCGGCTCGCCTGCCCTCCGTATGAACTCGAATTCTTCAGACAAAACGAAGTCTCGCGGATCTAGTCCTGAACGGCGGAAAGTGATGTTGACGACGCTGCGCAATAAGGATGGCAAGAAGAATGGAAAGAAAGCCAAGGTGGCGCCTAAGCGCAAGGAGACCCGGCCGGCCGCCTCCAAAGCAGCAGGCCTGGCATGGGGCAGTCTCTACCGGTCGCCGTCGACTGATAAGCGCACGAACGATGCTGCAGTGGCTTCGTCTCGCAGCCTTGTCAACAATGACCCGAGCTTTCGTCGTGACCCTGATCCGAGATCCAGTTCGGGGGAAGAGCCTTCCTCGGTGAGACCTCGGCCGCAGAAGAAAGATTCATCTACAGACCGGATTCCCGCCGCACACTGGCGAGGGCCTATGCATTCATCTCCTCCACGATCTTCTCCTCGGCCTACTTCACAGACAATTCCGCGCCAGCTCCAGCCTGGCTCTGATATTCGCCGGGCTCCTCAATCTTCGGCACCGGCGCCTGTTGTTATGCCGGGCCCAAAGGATTACGCAAGCCCATCTTCGCCCGTGCCAAAACCATCTATCAAACCCAAACCTGTGGCACTGAGGTCGTCACTTCCGCCTCCGCCGCGCGTAACTCCTGTTACCAAATCTGAGGGCAATTCTCGTCCAGACACGCCTCGTCAGGACCGCGAGGCAAATGTTTCTGGTAGCAAACCTCGAACAAAATCTGCCCCGAGAACGACAAAGATTGGCCAAGCATCCTATATGTCACCATCCTCAGGTAGTGATGATATCCAACATGGTGTCAACCGAATGTCAATTTCTGGGGCGAACGGTAACAGTGCGGTTCGACGGAAGCCACCGCCCGTAAAGCGGCGAGAGACGCCGCCATCAAGCGATCAAGAGTCTTGGGGACGGCGTTCTTCAGTGGACGAGGCCGAAGATGAAGAGGAAGATCAGGAGAATCAGGATGTGGTGAGGATTATGAACAATCTCCCCAAGGGCGTTGATCCTCAGTCGGCGCGCCAGATCCTGAACGATATTGTCGTACGTGGAGATGAAGTACACTGGGACGATATCGCAGGGTTGGAGACAGCAAAGAAAGCACTGAAAGAAGCCGTGGTGTATCCATTCCTCCGGCCTGACCTTTTCTCGGGTCTGCGCGAACCTGCTCGGGGCATGCTTTTATTCGGTCCTCCGGGTACAGGCAAAACCATGCTTGCTCGAGCAGTAGCCACCGAATCCAAATCGACCTTCTTCTCTGTTTCCGCGTCAAGCTTGACATCCAAGTGGCATGGAGAAAGCGAGAAGCTTGTGCGAGCCCTGTTCGGGTTGGCCAAAGCCCTTGCGCCTTCTATTATATTCGTTGACGAAATCGACTCCCTGTTGTCGGCACGGTCATCGGGTTCTGAGCATGAGGCCTCACGCCGTTCGAAGACGGAATTCTTGGTGCAGTGGTCCGACCTTCAGCGCGCTGCTGCTGGCCGCGAGCAGTCAGCTCGAGACAAGAAAGAGGGCGATGCTACACGTGTGCTTGTATTGGCAGCCACTAATATGCCCTGGGACATTGACGAAGCTGCGCGCCGTCGTTTCGTTCGCCGTCAGTACATCCCATTGCCTGAGCACCATGTTCGTGAGCAACAGCTGCGCACGCTTCTCGGCCACCAGCACCACGAACTGAGTAGTGAAGATATTGAGGTTCTAGTCCATGTAACTGAAGGTAAAACACCCTGCCGCTATCGAGGCCTTATGATCGTCTATAGTAGTATCTAACATTGCCACGACAGGCTTCTCCGGCTCAGATATAACGGCTCTTGCAAAAGACGCTGCCATGGGCCCCCTCCGCAATCTCGGGGAAGCTCTCCTCCACACGCCCATGGACCAGATTCGCCCAATCAAGTTCCAAGACTTTGAATCTAGTCTGTACTCTATCCGGCCTAGTGTCTCGTCTGATGGCCTCCGCAGGTATGAAGAGTGGGCGAAGGAGTTTGGTGAGAGAGGCGGCTAAGGCCGGAATCTGTCTCGACTTGTCTTCTCTTGCCCTCTCTTCTCTTTCACGATTACTTAGAGGAATTGGGGTGTGGTGAAGGAATGGAATCTGCGATGACGACTTTATGTTTCTTGTGGCATGCGCGATACTCCTTACTACTCGGCCGGTCCGACGATTCTGGTCATGATTGTGCTTTACTTTGGTGTTTTGTGGATCCTGGTGTATCACTTTTGGGCATTCGATACCCGTTTCCGCCAAGTTGATTGGGCGATGTAGGTGCATTGCACGATACGAAAGGACGTGCTCTTTGACTCTAGAGGGGCGTTCGCTCTGTTTTTGGAAGGTTTTGGCGATTGTTTATTGATACGGAGTTTAGTGATCTCAAATAAGATGACGAATGATCAAGACCTCGTGTCTCCCATACACTTCGAACCGCGAAAGGCACGCGATTTTCCAAGAACCATAAGAGTCTCCACCCATGCAATTAATGATAAGAGTTCTCGTCTACCATGATCCCTTTTTTCAGAGTTTATGCCGATCGGCACCCACCAACGAGGGTCCCAGTCACGTCACGACTCCGCTCCACGCGGTGGCGGGCCACTAACTGCGTCATAATACTGTTAGCGTCGTCCTACAGGAATTAAAAAAACGCTTTGGCAGCAACATCAGGGGGTCTCTCGGTAATCAGAGCGGGGGTCTTCAGCTACCAGAAAAATCCTTGATCCCTGTTGACAGGTGAGCTGTCACAAGTATGCTTCACGATGCTGCTTTTTGATTTCCTTACGAGAGTTTACTATGGCGTTGTAAGCCCTCCGACAATACCGAAGAAGGAGGATGATGCTATCCGCATCGGTCTTATTGGGGCGAGCAACATAGCGTATGTCTTCGTTCGAGACATTTCTATATATTAAACCACTGTCGCTAATCCCGGAGTTCAGTCCGTTTGCGGTTATAACACCTGCGAAATCACACCCTGGTGTTATTGTTGCGGCTATTGCCGCGCGTGAAAGCAATCGCGCTCGAGAGTATGCTCAGAAATACAATATCCCCATCGTGCATCCATCCTATGAAGGTGAGAAATCAGACAGCACTGGTCCTCGAGGTTTATCGTTGCTAATGTGACATATCTCCAGCTTTGATTGATGATCCATCCATCGATGCCGTATACATTGCCTTGCCAAACAGTCACCATTTTGAATGGTCTTTGCGTGCAGTGCAAGCCGGCAAACATGTTCTGCTGGAAAAGCCATGTTGTTCTAATGCCACCGAGGCTAAGATGCTCTTCAACCATCCGCTGGTAACTGCGCCGAATGCTCCGGTGCTCCTCGAAGCTTTTCACTACCAGTTCCACCCTGCGTGGCAAGCCTTCTTAGGTGAAATTCGCCAGTCTCCTGGCGCTATTGAAAGTGTCTTCTCTCAGTTTTATCTCCCACGACTATTGTTGGGCAGGGATGACATCCGGTTCCACTATTCGCTTGCAGGGGGTTGTCTGATGGACGTTGCAACCTACTGCATCTCCGCTGTACGTCAGATCGTGGGCCGTCAGACTACACTAAGCCCTATTGATGTGCAATATCGGGGCCGGCCTCCAGCTTCACCTGGCCTAGGAGAGAGGAACCGCAGATTGATGAAGCTGTCGTTGCAACATTTGTTACACCTGATTCTCAAAGAGTCCGGGTTCAAGGAGATATGAGTACGGCGGGTGGCTGGCCGTCCTTTCTCCCGGCATCTTGGACAAAAGGAATTCCCAGCTTACGATGGCCTAAGAGCGAGGTCGTTTTCAAGCCGGTCCTGGTCGAGACAACCGATCAAAACGGCGTCCAACTTCAACATTTTGTAACCCGAACCATCACGATTTGGAACCATATGCTCCCGGTCCTTTATCATCGAATTGATACCTCTGATTTTCACACTCTTCATCGCGAGGAGGAGATTGTCAAATCTTGGAGTGAGGTCAGTTACAAAAAGGCCTATAACTGGCCTGAAGCAGATGAGCGTGCAGTGTTCTATAAGGATTGGTGGTCGACATATCGTTGTCAGCTGGAAGAATTTGTTAATCGGGTCAAGGGCCGTAAAGGTTCTGGCATTTGGATCGATGGAGATGAAAGTATTGCTCAGATGGAGACTATCGATCGCACTTATGAAAAGGCGGGCTTGATGCCTAGACCTACCAGCAGCTTTGAAATTTAGTATTTGAACTAAACTGCATGCCCTTTTTATTGATATTGATGTGAAGACTATCGATGTGAAGAATATAATAATGCTACCCGAAGTAATTTATTGAAATGTTTCTTTCCTCGATGATGTACCGAATGCTGCTTTAAACTTTGGTTGATTGGATGGAGAGATGTAGAACCACACTGCCAGTGGTCTTTGAGATGTGAAAATCATAGCGAGACGAAGCCGGGGGCCCACGTGGTCAAATCCAAAGAAGCCATGACAAAAGTCCGAAACAAGTCAAGCTTTGTACTCCACTCAGGTGCATCCTGGTCGCAAATTGAGACTTTTTGTTTCAATGTCTATGTGTTGTGAGCTTCTAGTGCTCCACTGCCAACGACTGAAACCGAGTCGGTGACCGTTAAGAGGTTCCGCAAGGTTGCAATCCGCGGTCCTCAATTGCTGTCCTTTGACATTTTCGCGATGATTGTAGATGTCCGTTGGGATAAGACACGAATTTGGGTCCCCCTGTCGAATTTCTCGAGTATGTGTCGAGCGCTTAAGCCTTGCTGAAAATAAGAGGTGATTCCCCCTTCTTTTGCCTTCAGCTCTCGACGCCGGTGCACCGTATGATTCTCTGCCGTCGATACTGGATGTGTATGTATTGTGTTCTCTGAAGGAGGGTGCCGCTGGACCAAGTCTCTCAGAATTTCTCGAACAAGACAATCTTTTTCGGAATTGACACACTTATTACAGATCACTTTCTAGTCTGTTTCTGTCCGTAATTACATTTATGTATCATTATTTCCTACCCTAGGGTACGCAAGTAGGAGATTCTACTGCATAGGGAGGGTGAAGACTGAGTTGTTCAAGCTAACCTGGTTAACTTGGCTATTGTGCGCAACAATGGGTCTTCAATAGGCAAAGAGACAGGCGTTTAGAAAAACACACCCAAAAAAATAATAAAAGAAAAAAAATCGACAGCTGGCGGATTCGAACCGCCGCCTCCGAAGAGAATTGATTTCTAGTCAATCGCCTTAGACCACTCGGCCAAACTGCCTTCGTATATTAGTTTGGCCCCACTTTTGACTATATAAGTCAGCAAAAATATTTATCAACAGATCGGGATAGCTAGTCAGCAGCAGCCACAGTCTTCGGTCATCGCAGCGTCATTGCTGATCTGTGGCGTTAGGACTGCTGGCAACGTCATCAAAATCGGGATGCATCACCCATTGCATGCAACAAGCACGCTGATTAGCGGTCCAACTGGTTACAAACCAAGGGTCTAGAACTATTGGCAGTCTGGAGTCATCCGCCAAGGATACGAGCAGCAGATATCCATAAACTTGGTCAACATCACGAAAAATCAACGACGTCATGCTGTTTGGCGTCACCGTCCACTCTATATAAACCTTCATCGTAGACATTAGCTTCCTTCATTCTATACACTCCTGACAAGCTTAACACTTCCAACCTTCCAACTCTGAACTTCCACACTCCCACTCCAACCCAACTTTCTATCAATCAATATGTCTGACGCTGCTCGTAAGGATTTCTCCACTAGTATGTGACCCCTGCATTGACCTCTCGCTCTCTACTGACTTGATCGCCGTTACTGACAACTACTTCCTTCAACAGAGGCTAAGGAGGAGGTCACTCCCGATGCCACCAAGTCCACCCAGGACAAGATCAAGGAGACTGTCACCGACACCGGTGATCGCCTCGCTCGTGGCTTCCAAACCGACGACAGCAAAGGTGGCTCCCAGGAGGCCTTCGACAAGACCCAGCGTGCCTCCGACAACACTCAGCACGGTGGTGCCAGTAACTCCATGTAAGACACAACCCGGCCGAAAGCCCCCACCTCCACGGCTGAAGGTGTACACGATTGTCTGGATGCTAACCTCTCTCCTCCACAGTGGCGACAAGGTCAAGAATGCCCTCGGCATGAACAACTAAAGTGCTCTTGCACGTGAAGCACTATGAACATGGGCACGGACTTTTTTCGAATGCGACGTTGCTATCATGATTCAGTCATGAGTCGACGATACCATTTGGCTTTCTAGTTTTAGTAGTTACCCACCAATTTGAAGCAATATCCTGCGTGATAATTCATACATACTGAAATCTTTACCATTTTTCTATTAAAAGCCGTCGTAGCAGCCGTCGAGAGCTCAAGATCATCGCCGCCCGACAAGGCTTCCAAACATAGTCTCTCGTTGCCGCGTGAGCTGACCCAGCTCACGCTCTAGCTCCTTGTACCTGGCCCGCGCTCCTGGTACGTCCTTTGGCAGATCGTGGAACGCCCTCACACGTCCCTCCAGAGACTTGACCGTTTCTCGCAACCGAATGACATTCTCTTCTTCCATAATAAGCTCCTCAATTGTAGGACCATGAGGCCGATTCCTTTCAAGCGATGCAATGCGATCTTGGTACTCCCCAACCTTGGTTGAAAGCGTTTTCGTGCCCCGTATCCATTCGGATGTCATGCTCTGGGTGTCTTCCGGGGTTTCGTATGCCTTGTCAGATTTGAGCTTTTCCAGGTCGGCCTGTAGTTGCGCAAGCTCCTTCTCAAGATAGCGCTGCAGCGATTGAACTTTGGCTATCTGGTCTTGCGCTTCGGACTCCTCAGCCGTGAGCTCAACGATGGACAGACTCAGGTCTTCGGTCCCTGGGTTCAGCGTGTTTCCCAAGACAATTGCCGAGTCAGCGATGTCGCCCAGATCACGCTTGCCGCTATCATCAAGACACATCTCCACTTCGTCCAGAATTTCGATCTTCTGTCTTTCATGTGCGTCCTTGCGTTCGGCTTGTTCTCGTGTTTTGAAGACGCGAACTGCTTCTTCCCGTGCGCGGTGCTGTAGAGATGCTTCTTCATCGGCAGCATCGTTGGCTGCTGCCATCGTCAAGAGGACCCGCAGAGTACCTTCATTACGTTCGAATTGGGGCACCGGTTTGGGGGCGTATTGTCGGCTGAGCCAGGAGTTCACATATGCCCAATCTTTGGCTTGGATGGCCGCCTGTCGGGCCTTGGTGGGCGAAACAAGGGGACTACCGAAAGAGTCCATAGCAGCATTCAACGACAATCTCTCGAGCGGCTTCCCTTGAGCAGATTGAGGTACCTAAGGTACGAATGGCGTATTGTTGGTATTGGATTGGATGTGTTAACGCGATAAGAGATACGCGGAAGGCGGTCTACCATCGCACTCCGTGAATGCGGTGCTGTCCTTCTCCCAAGTCCCCACCATCGTCGGCATTTGCACAACTATGACCAGCTACTTCCCGGTTGGAGCCAGTAATGGGAATGGCTCGTCCCCAGCCTCGTCGCCGTTGTCTCCTCCGACCTCTCAGCGGTCAACTGCGCTGTCCAACCGCCTGACCTCCGTCCTGTCAGCATCCTACGCCGATTCCGATATTCGCGACTCTCTCGAAACCTTGAGCATACGGGGAATCCACAATACGGCCGAGACTAGGCGGCAATTGCGACTTGATGTACAGAAGGAGGTTGTCGACTGCAATGCCGAGATTGTGCGAGACTTTGGAAAAGTGGCGGAGGTGAAAAAGCCCGAACAAGCAAATGATGAAGTGATGAGAAAAAAGCTAACATTCTTTGGCTATGACAGCAATTGAAGCGCATTGGTTCCGTCATTTCGACCCTCAATCGAACCTGCGACGAAATGCGCAGGCATATTGGCCAGGCGAAGCAGGACACCACACCCATGCTGGAGGAGGCCGGAGCGCTGATGACCCAAAAGAAGGATACCGAGACGAAGCAACGTCTCCTAGACGCCTTTTCGAAACATTTTTTGGTCCCAGAGGAAGATTTGCGGGTCTTGACATCGGCGGAGGGGCCCGTTGACGAGCAGTTTTTCGAGGTTCTCGCCCGCGTGAAGCAAGTACACCACGATTGCGAGGTCCTCCTTGGCGGCGAAAACCAACGGTTGGGCCTAGAGATCATGGATTTGAGCAGTCGAAACCTCAATTCTGCCTATCAAAAACTGTACCGGTGGATTCAGAAGGAGTTCCAGTCTCTCAACCTCGAAGATCCTCGCATCAGCAGCTCGATTCGCCGCGCTTTGCGGGTATTGGCTGAACGGCCAACCCTCTTCCATAGCTGCTTGGACTTTTTCGCAGAAGCTCGAGACTACGTTCTATCGGATGCTTTCCACTATGCATTGACGGATGCCATCTCTGGAGGAGCTGGTGCCAATGCGGGAGACCGCAGTGTAAAGCCAATCGAGTTTTCGGCACATGATCCTCTTCGGTATATTGGTGATATGCTTGCATGGGTACACTCCACAACCGTTTCTGAGCGTGAAGCTCTGGAGGCATTGTTTGTCGCCGATGGAGAGGAACTTGCAAGGGGCATCCAGGCTGGGCTAAGCAGCGAGCCTTGGTCACGGATTGATGAAGACCAAGAAGCTGCCTTCGACGGTCACAAAGCTCTCAGTGATCTCGTCAACCGAGATCTCACCGGCGTTTCCCGGTCGCTCCGACAGAGAGTTGAGCTTGTCATTCAGGGTCATGATGATCCAGTCACCTGCTATAAAGTGGTGAACTTATTGTCATTCTACCGCACGACGTTCTCGAAATTAGTGGGAGCTCAATCTAACCTCGTGGATTTGATGCAGGCGCTCGAGAAGTTTACACTTGGTCATTTTGAAACTTTGATGCGTGAACAAGCGAGCGCCCTTTCAAGTGACCAGGCTGCTTTGAGTCCACCTGATGATCTGTCACCTCCAGAATTCCTTTTGGATGCACTGGAAGGTTTGATCTTACTCATGAAAACGCATGAAGGCTCAGTTGGTCCGGACGAGCCGTCTTCCGAATCTAGCGAAAATCGATTTACCCCCGTGCTTCGTGCTGCTTTTGACCCATTCTTGAGTCTAGCTCGGTCATCCTCCAACGAGCTGAAGGACACCACTGCGCAAACCATCTACCGCACCAACATTCTTCTCGCAGCACGTGCGACGGTGTCGCCATTTGAATTTGCCAGCGTCACTCATATGGCCCCTCTGTCCACTGCGCTTTCAACGCTCCGTGTCAATCTTCTTGATGTCCAGCATCAATTTCTTCTCGAGTCATCCGGTCTACAGGTTCTATTGGATGCCCTAGAGCCATTTTCCAAGTCAGCTAAAGGGACCGAAAACGATAGCGACTCGGACGATGAACAATCTGGGAAGCCCGATGTGCAGAAACTTCATCTTAAAGACCTTGCTAGTCTTTCTGCGTTCCAGCCAACCTCATTGGTTACATCTAGTCAGCGGCTGGACGACTTCCTTCCATCTGCTTTGATGGATGCCACTGACAACCTCAAGCGAGTGCAGAGCGCATCTCTTGTCCAGAGCGTCACCGAGGATGCTGTTGAGGCATTCTGTCGTGATTTTGAGTTTGTCGAGGGCATGATCATCGCTGCGGATGAGGCCCGGGGGATGACACACGTGAACCTGGGAACCGGAGGCAGTGTACTTAGTGGCAAGAGTGGTCGATCAAGCCGCAAGCCGGAGACCGAAGAGGACGACAAGAATGCTAATGAGGAGCAATGGAGCCTGCGATCACTGTTCCCTCGAACTACGGGGGAGATCAGAGTGCTACTGAGCTAATTTCGGTGCAGTGGCCCCATCTATTTACGGAGTCCTCAAAGTGGACTACGGTGATTACTTCGCCACACAAGCACGTTCTTCGAGCAAGGCGGGACATAGATTATCGATAAACTTCGTGTATATCTTGAATAAAATATAGTCACGACAAATCACCTTTTACTCGTCATACATCGACACCGAGCAAAGTCCCAGCCGTTTCCCTCTGATTTCGAATTGCCCAACACACTGCAATATTGCTGCACATCACTGCTCCTCCTCGGGCAAGTCATCCTCGTTTGGGCCTTCATTATACCGGTTCGAGGTCTGGGGCTCAGCATGGCGGGTGCGATCGTTCATGATGTTTGATTTATCAATGGCTTCATCCTCGTCTCGGGCTTGGAAAATAAGAAGTTAGTTGGAGCCTGCGATGTTCAGAACAGGAGAGAGTAGTACCAAGCTGTTCATTGGAATCGGCGAAGTCATCGTCGATCTCATCGAACGTCTCATTGTCATCGACGACTTCAATGGGCTCCTGGGCGGACATTTTTGAATTGAGAAGACTCGTTTCGACGAAGAAGTAGCGGTACTTGAAGAGTAGTGCTTGAAAAGACTGAGACTCTGCGTTGCTCTATTCGGAGTGGACCAGCTATTTATCAGCAGCGATATGAACAGCATGAGTAATACCCTGAGTTTACCGGGTCGTCATAGTTACGCGAGATTTACGACGTACCGCTAGATCACACAGGAGAAACACTATCTTTGCTCATCAATGGAAGCAGAAACAAGACCTGTCCAGCATAACCGGAAACTCTGGATTTTGTTCCGCGGACTAGATATCGTTGATGATCTAACGACCGAGAGATCGACGCTAATCGGGAAGGATTTGATCCACCCGCATCGGGATGCCGTCATCCTGATTTGGCAAGACGACCAAGACTTGGCCTGGCCGCTGATCGATCCGGAGAAACCCCATGACAATAACACAAAATCGAACCCTATCTCATAGCAGATTGCAGATGGCGTTGGTTCCGAGACCTAGTTAAGTCGCATATTTGGGGAAAGTTCGAGCACATCAGATCGGCAGATCATTCCCCAACATCTATGTATCTCATGGCTAGGCTTGGCCCAGCGGTTATTTCTTCAAATTTCGGCTGGCACGTCCTTTTGGTACCACAACAGGAACACAATCCTGATCAATCATAAGTCAGGTCTCGGTCGCTATTGTTCTATCTCGACTTCAAGGACGCTGATAGGCCCATTGGATGTGACAAATGGGCAGAATTACAGTGTTCCACAATCAGGCGGGCAATAAATTGCCGCAACCATAGGTTCATCATATGTCAACAGCTATCTTTACATGTAACTAATTTTTACTAGCCCGACAAACATGACTCGGCTCTTAGCCCATATTGAGAGAATTCGAACCACGCAAACAAGTCCGGGCGACGTCACAAATGATATCCAGCAAAGAAATCGAATATGTACTCGGTAGCATTGAACACATAATTTCCCAGCGGGCACTGGGAAGGGTGTTGCTTGAAGTCGCCATTGCCCAGTGTGCTCGGCCAGCAGTGACCAATCTCGCTCTCCCGATAATGCTGAACAATGGCACGCTTGCCGGCACAACCCCAGCTGGCATGTTTGACGAGTGGATCTTGGAAGACCGTCTCATTTCTTGCCCACTTGGAACCCGGACCACACCCATTCCGTGCAGCCCAACCTTCGAGGATGTCAATGACCGGAAGTTTGGGGTTGCTCTTAGTGTTGCCATCTATGGGCGCCGTGGTGTCCATGGTGCCATGGAATTCCAAGAAGGGATATCCCTCCTCTCGCTCCGCAGGCTGACAGGGACCGACACCAGGGATATCGTCGGTATTATAGTACGCACCGCTGACGGATGCGAAGGCAGCGAAACGGCTGCCAACCGTGGCATTGCAGGCAATGACAGCGGTAAATCCACCGCCATTGGACTTGCCAGCGGAATAGACTCGCTTCTTGTCGATACAGAGCAACTCCTCCATATGCGTCAGGAGGTCGTTGGTAAAATCAAGGTCATTGGGCCGCGAGGTATTGGCGTTAGGGTTGGAGAGCCAGTAGCCATTCTTACTATTGGGGTAGATGGCAATGCCCCCTTTGTTAAAAAAGGGTTTGGAAAACTGCGATAGGTTTTCCTCATAGCTCATATTCTGCGTCGCTCCATGGAAGGAAAAGTAGAGCGCAGTGGGCGTATTTTTGTCATATGTGGTCGGGATGTAGAGCCGATATTCACGATCCGTCCCCGGCAGATGCAGCGTGGTGCTCTCTCCGGGACTCGGAAACTTCGAGGGTATATCTTTTCCGCAGCCCGGAGACTGGGCCAGCCCAGCAGTGGCCAGTGCAAGGGGCAGCAGCAGGGGAAGCAGCATATTTGGGGGGAGCCACGAGTGATTGTCACACGGGGGAGGAATGCGCGATGCTCGATGTATACTGGACCTCTATTTACACGGAGTAAACTCCCAGGTAACAAGGTACACTTGTGTTTTAATATTGACTAATTTCCTTTGCAGACAAGCAATTGAAATTCTCCTCGTAAGTACAGATGATATCTGTGAGGAGACACTGCCTCGGTACTGCCTTCAATAGTACTGGGTAGAGACGCTACCACGCCTCCTTGCGCAACATCAGCCCCACACGGCATCCTGCGGATGGGCTTAGCAACATACTCGCAGTCTGCTCATAGGTGGTCAGCGGTCGTGTGCACGAATGGGGAAGGGATCGCGATTCCGTCCAGTGCTCTCAAATGGACGGCCGGGGATTCGTGCAGCTACACTCGTGCCAGGGCCGGAAGCACCACAACAGGCAAGTGCCAGTGCCAAGTCGACTAAGGTACATCGCGCATGTCCTCCTGTAGTCTGTCCTCAGTACATACGCCCCCAGACCATCCTTGCGTGCGGGAACGCGACTGCACCGCTGCATGCCACGCCTCCCAGGACCGGTGGCCAAGATGGCTATGGGGGGCTATGGGTCCCTTCTCGACAATTTGATATGCCAGAGAGCTAGATGGGTCGGGCGGGGATAAATGGTCGTGCGGCACCTTGCTATGTGTCGGGAGATCAAATGGTTTCGCGATGCCACCACGCTTGCAGCCATGCTGCTGAATCTCCAGCCCCACATTGTGGTCGCGGTGGGTGTGGTCCTTCCACCGATCGCCTCGGTTGACGTCCCCCTGCGATTTTTCACTCAATACAAGTTGGGAATCTCTCTGAGAGAAGATGACTGGGTCTTTCTAGTCTCTGTCGTCCTGGTGCCGGGCCTCGGGATAACCAACATTGCTGGTAGGCATATATTTCTACTTCGATTGCGGAGATTTGCCAAATCTTGGAACGGTACTCAGAGGGCTAAGGCTGATTCTCAAAAAAGGTGCCGCGTCTGGGGCCCTGGGTGCTCATTCTAAACCCGCAGTCCCCAATAATCCACACCACAACACCATCTCCAGGGGCCAAAGGATAATATTGCCGAACAGGTGCGAAAGTCGGTTCAAGAACTAAAAAAAAAGCCCCTGGAGACTGACGACTTTCTAGATTGTGCTCGGATATAGCATTGTCGAGAAAATCACATTTGGCGTCATCAAGATCAGTGTGCTGCTGGCCTATCGACGAATTTTTGGAGACAAGCTCTTTGATCTCTTGTCGTTGATCTTGATCTTCATTTGCACACTACTTGCGCTTGCATTTGTAGTCACCTCAGCTTTTCAATACCATGTCCGAAACTGGAGTCTGCGGTACTTAGGATGATCGCATCGGCGTCAGTGCATCCAAGCCGAGATATTGTGGTCCAGATATGCCGTGGCAGATGTAACAACAGATCTCAATTTGCTATTATTTCTGGTTCCACTGGTATGGAACTTACAGCTTACGCTGTCGAAGAAAATCAGCGTACTGCTGGTGTTTTTGCTTGGATCCCTCTCAACAGCCGTGGGAATTGTGAGGATGGTAGTGATCTTGTATTTTACATACGGTGTGTCATGATGCAACAAGTATCTACATTTGTATGCGAGGAATGCTGAACAGATAGGGCCTTCAAATATAATCGAGACTTGCTGGATACCATTTCGACTGCTCTCATATGGAGTCTTGTAGAAGCTTCAGTTGCGGTCATCGCGTCCTGCTTGCCTTCAATCCGTCCACTTATTAATCGATCCTCGGACAGCTTGGGGAGGAGCACGCCGCCTTCAAATAGTCAGCCAGGCTCAAATCCAAAGAGTGAAAATAGAACGAGTACGCTTCTCACTGTGTAGATTCAACAAGACTAGTAATCCCCAGCAATGAACGGTACCTTGAAACTAGGGGATGGAAATGTTTACTTACAGTTTCACCCGAATTCACTTGACCGTTTTGTTTTAATTTATTCGGCTGTTTTTTCTTTAACCTTTTCGACACCATTCAGGTCTATTCGAGGTTCGTTGCATAACCAGGAAGTACTTCGGAGAGACATACTGGATGTACATACTAAAAGTACGATGCGATAACTAGTGCTTCCTTCATATGGCCGTAATTGGCCATCACGTAATATCTAATGGCAGTTTGGCCGAGTGGTCTAAGGCGATTGACTAGAAATCAATTCTCTTCGGAGGCGGCGGTTCGAATCCGCCAGCTGTCGGTTTACTTTTTGCTCTTTCAATTTATTGTCATAAAAGCTCACTCGTTTATTTTCAAAAGCCTGCTAACAAATTCGCCACTATCCAAAGGCAGTTTTGCCGAGTCGTCTGAGGCGATTGACTGTCCGTACCCACATGATCTCTTATGATGCATTGAACCCATCACTAACAAATTGACAGAGAAATCAATTCTCTTCGGAGGCGGCGCTTCGAATCCGCCAGCTGTCGAGTATTATTACCTTTTTGCATCCCTACCTTGCGTGGTGTGTTCTATTTTTCTTCAAAAATTAGGGTGTTGATCATGAGTCCGATAGGGATGACGGGAATTGTTACGGACACTACAGGATTTACTAGTTAGTAAATCCTGTAGTGTCCGTAACAATTCCCAGGGATGACCAGATTCTTATATAATCAAGCAAGACTCCAGAACAAGCGTTAGAGGATACCAGTAGCAAATTACTTTGCAAGGCTTCAATTGCTAGGATACTACGTCGCTGCTGGAGGTATAATGACTGGAAGATTTGATAAATGTGAGATTTAACATGACGGTGGCAGTCCCAGCGACGTTGACTTCTAAATGATATCTCCTCAGATTGCTGATCAGTCCTTCCTTGAATTGCCTAGGGGGTGCGTTAATGGGAAATCTGGAACTGAAGCCTTCACTTGCTTCCCAATGGATACCAAAGCGTTAGCCAGACCGCGATGAGAGCCTATGGCAAACTTAAGAAATAAATAGCCATGTTAGCTGGCCGTACCCTAAAATAGTCTTCTACGACCGAGTAAACTCCCTGCAAGAGCTTTTAAAAGGTGAGACTTAGTAGGCAGCAGGGTGTTCTTGTTAAAGAAGAAGGGAAGAGATATGTTACTACGCCAATCGATTGGAGTAATAATAATCGCCGGAGAGGAAAAGTTAACAATAAAAATGATATTTGCTCAATAAAATATATGGCATGATGCTAAAATATGTGAGCAAGAACTGAGTTGGAAGAAAACAACACGTAGCCCGGGGTATATTGAAACGCCGCGCACAAGAAGGGGGGGAAAATGACACAACACCACATTATGCGAAAACATCCAGCTCATAAAAACATCACACTGCGCCAGCATATGCAGACAGAACCACTACAGCAAGTGGGCCTGATTACTGAAAGCCAGAATCAGAGATAGCCGCATATCCGTCAATGTAGATCAGCATTTATCGAAAATTTCATCACCAAGAAGTTCCTCCGCGAAAGGGTCCAGTTCAATCAACCGGACACGGTTCGATCGGAAACTCAATTTCCGATATCTGTGGTTGATGGCCACAGAAAAGCTGACCAGCTCAACTTTCCAGCCGCGTTCCAGTGCACGATTGACACCGGATATGAAGCCTCCAGAGTATTCGCCTTTCTCTCCATCTCCCGTAGCCAACACGATAGTACCTGGATGGTTATCCACCACACTTTCAACCATTTTTAGTAGCAGAATTTCGTCAACCCCTTGCTCAACAGGTCCTTTGTAGTTATTATGCCGACGGTTGATGGGCTTCTTGCGCACACGATCTAGAATGTTGACTTCATAGCCGAGAGTTTTGGCCTCGTCAACCGAAGGCAATGTATCTGAACCTGCCAAAACCCTCTTCGCGACGAGACGTCCTCGTTCCAAGATCCGCGAAAGGTTGGCGAACGACAGGTTGACTCGGTTGATTTTTGTACGAGGAGAAATACTCCGCTGTGCCTTGATTGTATCCTTCAGACCGACCCAGATCTTATGAAATACATGTCAGTAACCAAGCGGAGAGACGCTGGATGTCGACATTGAACTTACATTTGAGAAGTCGACGAAGACGTGAATACAAACTTCCCAAGGCTTCTCGAGCGAGGCATACGGCAAACGGCAGGAAATCTCAGGAAAATGCACAATGAGCTTGCGTTCAAGTGCAAGATTTCGTTCTCTTTTGTTTCTGTAGACTGGTCGAATGACTAGACCCGTCGCGGTCATTACCACTTTCGTATCAATTCCGTTGGTAGCACGCGCTGGCTCCCTTTCATCAATGGATGAGGGAGGCGTCTCATAACCATGATCGTCCGAAGCGTCGATCATGCCCAGCTGAGCTGGTACAAACGCGAGGTGGCGAGGCCTCCGGGGAATCGGACGGGATACAGGACGATCAAAGACGGCGGTATCTGAACCCAAGTCCGCCTCGGTATCACTAGTACCTTCAGCAAGAGTGGGTTCTCTGTACGCATTTGACATTGAAAGGTCGTGACCCCGGGATTCAATGGGACGAAGTCTCGTAAAGATGAGAGTTTGGCCAGAGACGTCGGAAGGTTCCTTGAAATGGATTGACTCGGCGTGAGCAGCGGTGCCAATCGCGCTATGTTGCGCAGGGCGCTTGATGATTGTGATTGGGGAGGAAGGTCGAACGGAGAATCGACGGTCACTCGATGATACCGGCAGGTTAGCCGTAGAGTCCGGTGCTGCGGGTCGAAAAGGGGACGCGCGTTGGAGAAGAGTAGCCCACAACGATCTGAAGTCTCCAAGACCGCGGGGGCTTCGTGGGCGCGGGTTTAAAGGCTGATCGCCATAATGAGCGCGGAGTTCGTGTTGGGGCATGGAGGGCGAGAAAGGCGGATCCGAGTCATGGGGGTTATTCTCGTAACCTGAATTCTGGAGGTCATCCGAAAGTTCCAGCTGGCATCTTGAGCCGGCCGCTGGGGCTTTTACCCCGTATGAGGCCAGCTCCCCGGGATCCACGGGGGCCATCGGCGAGAGCTGGCCGGAAGTGAGCGATGAGAGTTGTGTCAGCAGACCGAAGGAAGGAATTGCAGAGTATGGGTTGAGATAAGGCGCATTTCGCGAAGGAGCGGATGAATAATTAGAAGCGAACGAGTGGATGAATGAGAAGAAGGAAGGTGAGTCAGGAAGACAAGAGGCATCGAAGGTCCGGGGAGGAGCTTCGGGTGGGGCGGTGGGGCGGTGAAGATCCAGAAGCTGGCTGCCCCGATCGGTCGCGGCGATCGTACCTGGCGGGACTTCGCTTCGTCATGATCAGGTGCCAAGTCACCATCACCAACAGTGACGTTTTTCTGAGCTACCCACAAGCAGTCGACCAGCCTTACCGGTGTCAAAGACGTGAAACATTAAGACTACTATGCAAGGTCTGTGAAGTTGAACCCCCTCTGCCATGTATATCTCGTGAATACCATTTTCCATGCTACAGTGTAGTTACTACCTAGGCAGGTATAATGCTGGAGAGTACTTTAACTACGCCTTTACTGGGATTTTATTAATCCGCATCCCTCCCTGGCATCCTAGACATCCCATAATACTTGAAACCGAGCGTCCTGGTTGTATGTCGAACTTCTACTCTGTGAATAAACACCAGAGCCCCGAGGCCCATTTACTTGCGTTCATGGGTTGTGAGACATCAGTGAAAACAGACCCGCGGGCAGAGAACTGGTCACATGGGACGCGCCTGGAGAAATAACAGAGTAGATGGTCAGATGAGTGGCGGTGATTCGCAGGTGGGATGCAACATTCAAATAGCAAGACCATGGTGGAGGTATGGCCATAATCGTTCTTCACGTTCGAAAATTAAAAATTAAAAAATCATGAAGATTAGAAAGAGAGGCAAAAATAATAGGAGATAATAAGAAACCACGGATAGTTTCTTAAAAAAGAAGAGCCGACAGCTGGCGGATTCGAACCGCCGCCTCCGAAGAGAATTGATTTCTAGTCAATCGCCTTAGACCACTCGGCCAAACTGCCATTGCATATTAATAGTCTCAAAATTTTGCCTACATGAGGCAAGAATTGCGGTCCTCGAGTTTACTAATGAGATTCAGTGAGCCGCGCACACGGGCAAGCCCCCCACCCCAAAACACATAGTAAATGCAATAAATTACCACTTCATATCTCAACAACCATAACCTAATTTTACTTAAATATTGGGGTATAGGCTTTTTTTAGCATCGGAAATAACAAATCCTAGTCATGAATAATTTCGATGATTGCATTGCAACATCACTATAGGATACACTATAATTTATGTATCTTGTGCATAAATATATATAATCTCTCTGTTGAGGTTCCAAGATAAGACACCGAATTGATGCATCATTCTCAACCTCTGTCGGCATGCCTGTCCAGGGAAACCGGAGGCACTGAGCTTGATATACGCCTCAAGCTCTCTTGTCACCATTATATTCTACATTCGGGAGATCTTCATGGAAGAACCCCGATCGAGGCCGATTATGAGGGATTTACTACTTTGAGGGCTTGCCGCCCGTTCAGGGATAAATACCCCCAGAATCGCACGTAGACAACATAATACAGTCAAGTTCAAGTTCTGTCAATTCCATTAAGGTCGATTTGTCTAGCAGACCCCTATTCAATATTCAGTGCTTCGTCGTACTCTTATCTCAACACTCTCATCCCAATATTTATTTAACCACAATTACGCTAGTGGACTAGTGACGCTATCTGGACCATGATATCCTAAATCGACATTTTTGTTGATATATGATGTGGTAATTATTTATCGCATTTACTATGTGTTTTGGGGTGGGCGGCTCGCCCATGTGCGCGGCTCGCTCGTGAGTTGGTTAACTAGTTACTGTGTAGGGTGTGATGTAGTACATAGCAGGGGGCCGGGAGTTTATTAAAACCATCGGGTTATCATATTCAGATGTGAAATGGTAACACTAAGGTTTCATTTTCCGAGCACTACTTTTTAGCAAAAAGTTTCTTGTATTATTATTATCAGTGAGTTGAAAGTTTTGGGAAGTTACATTTAGATTACGTAGTTTGGCTGACCGCTTTTCCCTCACCTTTCCTATTTAGAACATGTTGCATAATTCGAACGAAGGGAAAGATAGATAGGCCTTGCTGCTAAAGCCCACCGACTGTATGGGTGTGGCTAGCTACGCACGTGGATATTTCAGTAGTTATCGATGGTAAAAAAAATTTTCGACAGCTGGCGGATTCGAACCGCCGCCTCCGAAGAGAATTGATTTCTAGTCAATCGCCTTAGACCACTCGGCCAAACTGCCTGTATCTTGAAATTTTATCTAGGCTTAGTTACATGTTCGAATACCAACTTATTACCACCGCCAGGCATCATTGGCAGAACGGAAGACTGCAATCCGCTGCAGCTGCCTCGCCCAGCCTTACAACATAAAGTCGCCAGCAGAGACCCGTCCTCAGTTTGCATCAACTGGAGTGATACAGCTTCTCTGTCTATCAATCTTTTTTTTAAGAGTCAAAGTCCTGTGAAGCCAAGAATCAGCCTCGAGGAAAGGACGAGAACATATTCTGCCGTCCAGCTTTGCATCACAATCCCATATCTGCATTCCCCCTCTCTCAGCTCCTCAAGAGCCGATCTTGAGGGCCCTGCAACTAGGCGAATTCCCTAGACCCGATGATATTTGCGTTCCTCCGCGACAGTCAATACAAACAATCATGGCCCAAACCACTGCGCAAGATTTCTTCGGCGGGGCAATCCGCGGGGTTGTACCACAGCGCTGGATTGACGCTAGGTTAGTACACGTCTCTTCCATGTTGAATATGCCTTAATCACCTTCGCACACCTATTAGATACCCTATAACGGGTGTCTGGTCGCATGTATGCCCTCTGTTTTTGGAAAATAAACCCTCTCCAATGCCTCCCGGCAAATCAGTCAATAATGTTCAATTCTGACGAGCAAATAGCAACCTCCGCGAAATCCCAGACCACCAGGAACTCTTCCTTTCACCAGAGACCCTCTCGAATCTGATCATAGAAATCAACCAGCGTGTCTCGCAAGAGGATGCCCTCAGCGCATTCACCACTTTGAGCCAACAAAATCCCTCCCTTGCAGCAGCGAATGGCGCCGATTCCTCAGAGGCAATTGACCAGGCTGCGGCACTTTACCACATGCAAGACCTCTGCGATGAAGGCGATTCCATGCAGATAATCACCCCGCCGCAGCAAATGAGTCTTGCCAGGTTAACTGCCAGTGCCCCAGCCGGGACACTCGTCAGTGCATACAAGGGTGTTGTTCAATTCAAGACAGCACCCAAGCAGCGAGGCGGGCAGGCTCCTGCCACCAATGCTACGGCAGCAGCATCTCCTGGTGGCGCTGGGGCCCCGATGTCGCAGCTCACGTGCCATTATTTGCTTGTGAGACTGGAGGCCCAGGAAAGCGACCTTCTTGTGTTCTTCAATGTGCCCCACGAGGAGTTTGAGAAGAACGGGGATGCACAGGGTCTTGAAAGAGAGAAGGCTATTGCGGAAGAGACTGTTGCGGCGTTTGTGGATGGATTAGAGATTCAGGACTGGGGGCTTTTTCTTTGAGTGATGTTTTCTGCTCGGAATTTGAATCACACAGCACACGTAACTGAGGCAAATCAGGAAAGTCGGGACAATTATGGCGTGGGAACGTAGGATATTGCTGCGAATATGATTGAGTAGTTAATAAAATAGATAGTAAAGACATTAAAGACATTAGGTAGCCCAAAAATAAAATCAAACACTCTCAAACCAGCAACCTCATATTGGAAGGATGCAAGTATGAGCCCTGATATTATCCTCTGTCGACATGAGTTTCCTGGAAAGAAACCAGTCAGGTAAGCTTTGGACTCTCGGGGACGCGCTTTTGCTCCTCGGAGTCCCGAGAATCAAAGCCACGGGACTTGACTTTATTTAGTCATATACAAGGACTTGATAGAAATACGATGTAGTCAGTCAATTTCAGAACACCGTCATATGTGCTCTATTGCTCAATCTCAAACTGGTATGTCGCTATGTATATGTATGTGCAAATCCACTCCTACAAATGGCAATATATCAAGCTCAAAACCCTGGAAGGGTTACAGAGTGAATCCACCGAGTTCCTTCGACACATTCTCCATCGCCTTCCGCTGCGCGGCCGGCGTAGTACCCTTTTTAGGCGATACGTTACGAGGCTTCGGCTTAATCTGTTCCAACCCACCACCGCACGCACGATCACCACAGCGGCTCCGAGTAGGATCGATACTCTTTGAATGGCGACCATATGTTTGGCCACATCCAACACAGGCCCACACATACTTGTAATCGATCTTGTAGGAGTGCTTGGTTGTGACATTGATCTTTCCACCGTAAATAGGATGGTCTCGCAGAGCCTCCGTGCATTGTAGTCCCCATTGCTTGAAGCTTGCACCGTGCGGTTGGTCGTGGACATTAGACACCATGTAGTTGGCCAGGTGGCAATACTCATGGGCAAGGGTGTTGATCAGTCGGTACTCGTCGTCAATAATGCGCTCGGCCAGTTCGATAGAAGCGTGGTGCTTGATGTTGATGGTCCGGCCATTAGCATCGCGGATTCGCTCCCCCTTCCAAGAAGCCCGACCTGCGGTTTTCTGGAGTGTCTTGGACCAGGTAATCTTGACACCTCCTGTGGATTCGGCAATCTGGCCGACCTTGCCTCCAGATACCGCATTGTCAAGAACAGTCAAAAAGGTCTGTGCGAAGTCCGCCTTCTTATTATCGAAAGACAGTCGACGGGCTTTGGCAGCCTTGTTCTTCTCCGCCTCTGCCTTTTTGAGGGCTGTCTTGCTTGGTGTCTTGGGAGGCTTGGTTGTTGCGGCGGGTGTCGATTCTTGCTCGGTGCTAGGGGTAGAGCCACGGCTAGTTTTTTCTGTATCCGAATCATCAAAGTCCCGGAGTAAGTCGATGATTGGTAGCCCAGTTGCCGGGTTCTTGTGGGGGGAGTGCCGGTCGATCCAGTTGTTGGTCTTTTCTTGGTCCCAGAAAGCATCGACGTCTTCCTTGTATGGAGTAGGCGGAATTCGATTCTTTTGTCTTCCCGGTGATAGTTGACGGCCTCGAGATGGGGTAGATGGAGGTGTCTGGAAAACGCTGTCGATTGTATTCATGGCTGATGGTGGTGAGTTCGGTTCAATAACGAAGCTATGGTCTCTGGTAAGCGGGCAAGTTCCCTGGCAGGGATGTGTGCGAAGAATAACATACTCTGTCGTCTTCTTTACTAGTTCGGGAGCAGAGCCATTGTCACCATCTTCTAGAATCAGTGTTCTGAGCTTTTTAGAGAGCTCAAAGTCGTCCTGAAACAGATTCTTGGTGGTTTTCATCGATTTCGCCGGTGATTGCACGTGAGATTGCTTCAGCGCCAAGATGGGGCTGGTTTTTGGTGATGAACTCTTGCGAAACGGCAAATCCGTGTCGGCATTTGGCTTCCTTCCCCTGATCAGTCTCCTGCGGGCGGATTTCGGTGGAGGTGGTGTTGGCGCTTTATCATTTTCTGGCTCAGAGTCGGATGTCTCATGGTAACTAATTTCTTCATTGTCGCTAACGACAAACTCGTCAAGTGAGTCAAAGCCATTCTCATCACTGCTGTCTTGGTTTGTGCTCTGAGACCCTGTGCGGCTCCTAGCTCTCTGCACCTCTCGGCGTCTGGCTGGTGTGCGTGCGTTGTTTTGTCTTAACGGTGGTCTGTGACCGGGGCTCCTTTCAGGCGTGTATGGCTCGGTCGCATCCCCCGTAATATCATTTTCCTTGTCATAATCATCTTGTTCTATTTTGGAGCTCGGTCGTTGGCGTGGTCTTTGCTGGGTTGGAAGAAGGAGGGAGTTGACTTGTGACGTTTTGAGGCTTCGCTTTTGCTTCTGCTTGGTTGGGGAGCTAGAAAGCGTGTCTCGACGCTGCTGGATACCCTCTTCGCTTTTGTTCTCTCCCTCGTCTGGAAAAATGTCGAAGGATAGGCCAGACCCCATTTTGGACCTTTGTGAAGAGCTTCTGGGACTGGTGGTGCTATCTTTCCGAGACAGCGCTTTCATCCTCCTGTCTTGTGTCTGGCTTTCATCGGCTGATTGTTCGATTCGATCCGTTTGGCTTTTTTGCCGTCGCGGGGAACTGCAAGCCGTCAATGGGCCTGTGTTGAGGCGCGCCATTTTGCTTCTTGTCGGGTTTGGTGTGATGTTGTAACGAATAGGTCGCCTGGACACTCTAAGGCGAAAAGCGCACTTTCGATGAGGCGTAGACTTGGCGAGTGCCTTGCAGGCTGCAAATCGTGTGTGTAACAGAAGCTCTGCTTGGTGGTGACGGTGTTCTGGCTGTAGTAGACCGGTGCAGCCGTTCTGAGCTTGAGGTTGGTGCGGTAAACTCAGGATGTCCCCGCGGCCGTTGACCAGGCAACCGCAACCCTAATTGTGGAATCCCAGACTCCCATGAAGGTAGCCGCTACAGCAAGCACAATTCTCGTCCTTGGCAGAAAATCGGTCGGTTATTTAATGGGCCAATCAATCACATTTTTGTACGAAACCAACATGACTTTAGAGTAGTCGGTCATGATGTAATATCGTCAACATACATTGTACGCGCACATTGTACGTTTGCTATATATCTTGCATGCGTCCTGGGATACTAAGCGATATAGACTACAGCAGCATCTACATACACTAGTCAAGCCAACATAGCAAACGGAATCATCAATCCAACAGCACCGAGAAGAACATCGTATAATTCAAAATAGCCCAAAAGTGAGTTTCAAAAACCCCCGCCTAATCCTACACTAGGAAAAGAAGAAGCAGGTGCCCTGGCCCAAAGGAGCTCTTGAATGTTAAAACTTAGGCGCATACACACTGAAACGAACGACACCAAACACTGATGGAACACCGGGGACTGCCGTTTCCGTGGTTCTGGTCAATGAGATCAGTTTACGTGTACGGCGACTGTATGATATATCCTGACCACTGGAAATATCCTTAATCCTTAAATGGTACGTTAGTGTAGTTGTTTATTGCGAGACGACGATTCAATTAGGTGCACTGCGATAATAACAAAACAGACAGCAAAAGAAACTTCAAAAATATCCAAGACACTGTGAGAGACTGCTCTCACATGGGAGACATCTGAAACGAGCCCGACCATCCGACGCGAGGATGATGCAGGCGCCTTGTACCCAGCACCAGCCAACCAACGCAGCGTGGCCTCAGATTCGACCGCCGGGCCCCGATGGCCATGCGTGGTGCACGGAATGGAACAAGTGTCCGGACAATGCCAAAGCTTCGCGAGGAAGAGCCCCTGGTTCCTGGATCGACGTGTCCCGGCCACTGCCGACTGCTACAGTATGTATGTACAACGACCGGCCGCTCCATTCCGCCGCCAGAGCTCCACGCCGATCAGCAGTCCCCTTGCCTGCCAAGATGCGACCACATATCGGAACATTGCCATTGAGTCGGGTCGATGATGCTGGACTGGGGCCATTCGAGTGGCAGTGGAGGTACGTCCTGGAAGTCTAGTGCCCAGCGGGTGGCCAGCCTGCTCCGTACCAGTCTATCGCACCGGGGGAGGACCGTCGGGAGTGGAAATTAACCTTGGAGGGCTTCCTGTACCCTCAGGTAGTCATCAGCCATGTTATCGGTGGCTGATGTGAAATGAGATGCACCTGCATATTTGTAAGGAGCAGGGTGGCACCCGAGCGGATCAGGGAGATACGTAGAATTTGATGTACTGTAGTCAAATGGAATTGTAAGAGGTAGGCCGACCTGCTCGCCACACCTTCTCCTTGTACTATAATAGAATCTAGCAGAACGTGAACTACCAGATGTACTCTGTTGACAACAAGCACTGTATGGCGATTGGCCCTCGATCACGTTATAAGGATGGTGGAGGGGAGGTCCATCCAGACACACAGCCCCCTGATGACTAAATTTCTGCCCCTGGACGATTATCACAGTTGAAGGTGGCAATTTCGAACTGGGCGGACACAATTTGTGCGATCCAATGGCCAGCCTTCGCGCGTGTGACGATAGAATTGGGAGTGACACCGGCGGCATCCGGCCACGATGGCCAATTCCATCCAACCCACCCAGAAACGAGCCACCTGGGCACAAAGAGTTGGCAGGATTAGCCCTTTCTAGATTGAATGCCCCAGCCACACTTAAGCCCAAACTGGAGACGGGGGGATCTGGGTGCTGTGTACGGAGTAGTAAACGGGTATTGAAAGGAAGCGGGTCAATACACTGAACTTACAATGCTAGGTCGAGTCCACTGCTCGATCGCTGGCTAGTAGACCCTTCGAACACCGACAGAAGACAGGTTATTTTTGGGGTGATCAGCTCCCTCCCCAGTTCGTGAGGAATCATGGGGAGAAGGGAGGCACCTACTACCCAGGGAGGCAGAGACGGTCGCGAGGCCAGACTCATGGGCGAGAACAGCGCGAGATGAAACCTGAAGATCGGTCCCGTCTCCATGCAGTGGATGTATCGGTTCCTGCGGCAATCCTGCAGGTCACGATGCGTGTATATTGGGCATTGCCGGTGGTCTCATGAACGACTTGTGAATTATGATGTCTTGTAGTTCTATATTTGGGAGGATGTGCGGACTGAAGGCAGACAGGCACACATTTCCTCCAGAGGGGCAACATATATCCGGCTGAAGCGTAGCTAGACAGAATTGACTGCAGTCTGCGCAGGCCGTTGCGTATGCACAGCGTCGCACGACCCTCGGTCCAGGGAGGAGACCGGTCGAGGCTCCAAATCAGAAAATAAAAGCAATCGGGCGATCCACTTGGTGGTGGAACTGGATGCAAAGACCGGGTCTAACGGTGGGGATCACTGGGACGCCCAGTACCGAATTACCAGTAGCCCCGTTACGAGTACCGGCTGGATACCATGAGAAGCAGTGGCCAGGTGTATGGTGACTGACAGGTCATTTGGTTGGCTGCGATCTGACCCGAGCGATAAGAAACCAGGAGTATTCTACCCGTATCTTCTCGTGCCTCGAGCGACGGTGGGAGTTTCTTGCTACCATGGCCATTGGAGATACATTCCCGAATATCGTGCCAGTGTATCTCCCCCGTCCAGATGGCCAGCGATGGACGGTACTTTATGGATCGAAATCTATTTTAATCCAAAGTGAAATCGGGGCGAGCTAGCGATTGAGTTCGAGAAGCACCAGAACAGAACAAGTTTTGGGGCGGCGACCTCCACTCAGACGAGGGCAAGTGGGGGAGCACCAGCACAGCACCGCACCGAATCGCGAGATGTCAGCGAGGATCGTAAGGCGACAGGCAGTTTGAGACATCCACGGAAGTGGCAAATTGAGTTGCTAGCGTGGAAAATCTGGACACATCCAGTCCCTGCCGCAGTGGACGAGCAACGACCAGGCCGTAAAAAGCAACGGGACTCGACGATCTTCATGATCTGAACTCCAGCCCAACGCAAATCAGCACATTGAAACGGGGGTGGGTGGTTCTGGTCGCTTGGGAGTGATAGGAATCCATGGAATCCATGGAACCCGGTGGAGGTACTTCTTCAGAGTTGAACCGGCACTACAGTACAGTGCTGTGGAAGAGCCATCAGCCATTCGCCATTTGATGGGGTCGCTGGGTTGCTCTGTAGATACCAGCGTGCTTGGTCCATAGAAACGAGGAATGAAAAACAAGACGGCATCCCTGCATGCCGGTCGCAACAACAAGGCACAGGCACCGCCCGGCAGTGCCGCTGTGTGCTGGTATCTGCGATGGAAATATCCGGCCAGCTCATTCGCTACCTCTCGGTGACGGTGGGGCAGGTCTCAGGGGCCGTCGCAATTCCCTTGGATTCCGCTGCCGCAGAGAGCGCAGTCATTGGCCGAGGGTGCGGTGGAGAGATCGTGTCTGGTCCATTGTGTGAGAGTGCATGTGTGGAGGAGAGTCGAAGTGGGCAACGTGTATTGGCAAAGTGTACCTGTGGTAAATACTGATACCCGCAGACAGTTAGCTCCTGCATGGTGTAAGCAGAGCGTGAATGGGTATTTGTATTTGTATTTGTATTTGTATAGGTATTGGTATTGGTATCTATACTGCTCGTATCACATAACCCTAGCACGCATAACGGCGAGGCTGGTGCCCCTGAGCGTGAAAACAGGGCGGTGTCACCGCTACCCGCCGCTCGCGTGTGGAGCCCACACAAACCACTGGTACCTGGTACCTGCAGCCCAGCGTACGTGTACCCTCCGCCGTACGGTGACCGTAAATTAGCTGCAACAATCCCCGATTCCCAAAATAACACCGATATTTTCTCCTTCCCATCCAACCCCCCTGCCCTTTCCCTTCCCTTCGCTCTTGCTTCTTTCTTCCCCTCTCTTCGTGACTTTCGTTCTTTGCTGGAAGGAAAGTCTGGAGGGAAGTCGTTGTTTCGCTCGCTCTTTCCGCTTCGACTGGGGCTGTTTTTCTCTTGCTGGACTTGTCACCGTCCCGTTCGCTCGTTTGAATCCGACCGAGTTTGAGACTCACGGAATCGGGACTTTCGCGACAAGCCAACGCCCGTTACGGACCGCGACGCCTCTTCTCTCACTCACTCTCCTCCATCGATGCTCCAATAACCATCTCGCATCGGAACCCACCATATCAACAGTAATTCAGTGTATGGGTCGCCTTTGAGGTAAGCCCCACGATCGACCCCCTCAGCACTGAGCGCAACCGTCCACGACCCGGTTTATCGCCAACCCGAAACATCCATCGCTGACGCGAATTTCGCACCAGAACTACATCCCGAAGTTTTCGATTGCGACTCACCCGTCATGTCTGGCTACGCAGGAGGCCACTATGACGATGGCTACGGCCAGCCAGGGGCCCACGGAGATTCCTATTACCAGGATGACCACGGCCAGGCATACTATGACCACCAGGATTATGGCGATGCTGGCTACTACGACCAAGGGTATGACAACAAAAAGACGCGTCTTGTGGCGCCACCGAGAAGATTCTCAATGAAACAGGCCATGGCTAACAGGGATCATCACAGTGGTTACTACGCAGGCGATACTCACGGTGGTCAACATGGATACGCCGACGCCGCCTACTACGAGGGTGGCCACCACGACGATTACTATGGAGACCAGTACTACGATCAGGGAGGATATGGCCGAGGCCGCCGTGGCCACGATTCGGAGGAAGACTCGGAGACCTTTAGTGATTTCACCATGAGGTCTGAGACTGCCCGTGCGGCCGATATGGATTATTACGGCCGAGGAGATGAGCGCTACAACAGCTACGGCTACGCGGACAGCCAGTACGGCGGTGGTCGTTACGGATATCGGCCGCCCTCCTCTCAAGTCTCCTACGGTGGAAACCGTTCATCTGGTGCATCGACCCCTGTTTATGGCATGGACTATGCAAACGCGTTGCCGGCTGGCCAGCGTTCGCGAGAGCCTTATCCGGCCTGGACTGCTGATGCTCAGATTCCCCTGTCCAAGGAGGAACTTGAGGAGATCTTCTTGGATCTGGTCGCCAAGTTTGGTTTCCAGCGGGATAGCATGCGGAACATGTACGACCATATGATGACGCTTCTCGATTCTCGCGCTTCCCGTATGACCCCCAACCAGGCACTGTTATCGCTGCACGCCGACTACATCGGTGGTCATAATGCAAACTACCGCCGCTGGTACTTCGCCGCCCACCTGGACCTTGACGACGCCGTTGGATTTGCCAATATGAAGCTCGGCAAGGCGGACCGAAAGACCCGTAAGGCCCGCAAGGCTGCGCGCAAGGCCGCTCAAAAGAATCCCGAGAATGAGGAAGAGACCCTCGAGGCTCTCGAAGGAGACAACAGTTTGGAGGCTGCCGAGTACCGGTGGAAGTCGCGCATGAACCGCATGTCGCAACATGACCGTGCCCGTCAAATTGCTCTCTACTTGCTTATTTGGGGTGAGGCCAACCAGGTCCGATTCCTGCCGGAGTGCATCTGCTTCATCTTCAAATGCGCCGATGATTACTACTCTTCTCCCGAGTGCCAGAACCGCGTCGAGCCCGTGGAAGAGTTCACATATCTTAACGACATCATCACGCCCCTTTACCAGTATTGCCGTGACCAAGGTTACGAGATCCTGGACGGCAAGTACGTCAAACGTGAGCGGGATCACAATCAGGTCATTGGTTATGATGACATGAACCAGCTGTTCTGGTATCCGGAGGGTATCGAGCGCATCCACTTTGAGGACAAGACTCGCCTGGTCGACATTCCGCCGGCCGAGCGTTGGCCCAAGCTCAAAGATGTCCTCTGGGACAAGGCCTTCTTCAAGACCTACAAGGAGGTCCGCTCTTGGTTCCACATGGTCACCAACTTCAACCGTATCTGGATCATCCACTTGTGTTCTTTCTGGTTTTTCACGGCTTACAACGCTCCGACTCTCTACACTCCTGGCTACACCCAGCAAGGTGATGAGAAGCCCCCGGCCTACAAGTATCTTGCCGCGGTCGGTTTCGGTGGTGCACTCGCAGCTTTCATTCAGATTTTCGCTACCATCTGTGAATGGTTGTATGTGCCCCGTCGCTGGGCCGGTGCCCAGCACCTCCGCAAGCGCTTTTTCTTCCTTCTGGCAGTCTTCATTGTCAACTTAGTTCCCGGTGTTATCATCTTCGGTTTCATCAAAAACTTCAAGCCGAACATCAGGGAACCAGTTGGTCTTGCCATTGGAATTGTTCACTTCGTCGTCGCTCTCCTGACTGCGATCTTCTTCGCCATCCAGCCGCTGGGTGCGCTTTTCGGCAACTACATGAAGAAGCATGGTCGGCAGTATGTGGCCAGTCAGACATTCACGGCCAGTTTCCCGCGTCTTCAAGGCAACGATATGTGGATGTCGTACGGTCTCTGGGTTTGCGTTTTTGGCGCTAAGCTGGCCGAGTCCTACTTCTTCCTGACTCTCTCGTTCAAGGATCCCATTCGAATCCTCTCCCCTATGACTATTCATCAGTGCACTGGTGTCGTCTGGGTTGAGAATAAGCTTTGCCACAAACAGCCCCAGATTCTTCTCGGTTTGATGTTCTTCATGGATTTGACGCTCTTCTTCCTGGACAGTTATCTGTGGTACATTATTTGCAACACCATCTTCTCCGTCGCACGCTCATTCTACCTCGGTGTCTCGATCTGGTCTCCGTGGCGCAACATCTTCTCCCGCCTGCCGAAGCGTATTTACTCCAAGGTCCTGGCTACTACTGACATGGAGATCAAGTACAAGCCCAAGGTTCTGATTTCGCAGGTCTGGAACGCCATCATCATTTCCATGTACCGCGAGCACCTTTTGGCCATCGACCACGTGCAGAAGCTGCTTTACCACCAGGTTCCCTCCGAGCAGGAGGGGAAGCGTACTCTCCGTGCCCCGACTTTCTTCGTGTCTCAGGAAGATCAGTCCTTCAAAACCGAATTTTTCCCCAGCGGCAGTGAGGCTGAACGTCGTATCTCCTTTTTCGCGCAGTCTCTGTCGACTCCTATGCCCGAGCCTCTGCCCGTTGACAACATGCCCACGTTCAGTGTTCTCATCCCGCACTACAGTGAGAAAATTCTCCTCTCTCTGCGCGAGATTATCCGTGAAGATGAACCGTACTCGCGTGTCACTCTTCTCGAGTATCTCAAGCAACTGCACCCCCACGAGTGGGATTGCTTCGTCAAGGACACAAAGATTCTGGCCGATGAGACTTCCCAAATGAACGGCGACTACGGTGAAAAGGGAGAGAAGGACGCGCAAAAGAGCAAGATCGACGATTTGCCCTTCTACTGCATTGGTTTCAAGTCTGCCGCTCCTGAGTACACTCTCCGAACCCGTATTTGGGCTTCGCTTCGCTCGCAGACCCTTTACCGCACTGTTTCTGGTTTCATGAATTACAGCCGTGCCATTAAGCTTCTGTACCGTGTCGAGAACCCCGAGGTCGTTCAAATGTTCGGAGGTAACTCTGAGAAGCTCGAGCGTGAGTTAGAGCGTATGGCTCGTCGCAAGTTCCGCATCTGTGTCTCAATGCAGCGTTACGCCAAGTTCAACAAGGATGAGCGTGAGAACACTGAATTTCTTCTTCGTGCCTACCCCGACCTCCAGATTGCCTACCTTGACGAAGAGCCGGCCGTCGCTGAGGGCGAGGAGCCCCGCCTCTACTCTGCTCTGATCGATGGTCACTGTGAACTGCTTGACAACGGCATGCGCAAGCCCAAGTTCCGCATCCAGCTCTCCGGCAACCCTATCCTTGGTGACGGAAAGTCTGACAACCAGAACCACGCTATCATCTTCTACCGCGGCGAATACATCCAGTTGATTGATGCCAACCAGGACAACTACTTGGAAGAATGCTTGAAGATCCGCAGTGTCCTCGCTGAGTTTGAGGAACTGACCACGGACAACGTCTCGCCCTACACCCCCGGTATCCCCCCCCTGACAGCCACCCCGTCGCCATTCTCGGTGCCCGTGAGTACATTTTCTCTGAGAGCATCGGTGTTCTTGGTGATGTTGCTGCCTCGAAGGAGCAAACGTTCGGTACTCTGTTCGCTCGTACTCTCGCCCAGATCGGCGGTAAGCTGCACTATGGTCACCCTGATTTCTTGAACGCAACCTTCATGTGTACTCGTGGTGGTGTGTCCAAGGCCCAGAAGGGTCTTCACCTGAACGAGGATATCTACGCTGGTATGAACGCTATCCTCCGTGGTGGTCGCATCAAGCACTGCGAGTATTTCCAGTGTGGTAAGGGTCGTGATCTCGGTTTCGGTTCCATTCTCAACTTCACTACGAAGATTGGTACTGGTATGGGTGAACAGATGCTGTCTCGCGAGTACTACTATCTCGGTACCCAGCTGCCTCTTGATCGCTTTCTGTCGTTCTACTATGCTCACCCTGGTTTCCACCTTAACAACATGTTCATTATGCTTTCTGTGCAGATGTTCATGCTTGTTCTGGTCAACCTGGGTGCTTTGAAACACGAGACCATTACTTGCCGCTACAACTCCGACCTGCCAATCACCGATCCTCTGGAGCCTACCTTCTGTGCCGACCTCGTCCCCATCATCAACTGGGTCAACCGTTGTGTGATCTCGATTTTCATTGTTTTCTTCATTTCCTTCGTGCCTCTGGGTGTTCAGGAATTGACTGAGCGCGGTGTTTGGCGCATGGCTACCCGTCTGGCTAAGCACTTCGGTTCCTTCTCCTTCATGTTCGAGGTGTTCGTCTGCCAAATCTATGCCCATGCCGTCCACCAGAACTTGTCGTTCGGTGGTGCCCGCTACATCGGTACTGGTCGTGGTTTCGCCACTGCTCGCATTCCTTTCGGTGTGCTGTACTCCCGTTTCGCTGGACCCTCGATCTACGCCGGTGCTCGCCTGCTCCTCATGCTGCTTTTCTCCACATCCACTGTGTGGACACCTGCGCTCATCTGGTTCTGGGTCTCTCTGCTTGCTCTGATTGTTTCGCCCTTCCTGTTCAACCCTCACCAGTTCGCCTGGAACGATTTCTTCATTGATTATCGTGACTACCTCCGTTGGCTGTCGCGGGGTAACTCCCGGTCCCACGCTTCCTCCTGGATCGGATTCTGCCGTCTGTCTCGTACCCGTATCACTGGTTACAAGCGCAAGCTGCTCGGAGTTCCATCGGAGAAGGGCTCTGGCGATGTCCCCCGGGCACGCATCACCAACATCTTCTTCAGTGAAATCGTCGCCCCGCTCGTTGTGCTGGCCGCTACATTCGTGCCGTACCTGTACATCAACTCGCGCACCATGTTCAGTGACAACCCCAAGTTCGCCCCCAACGCCATTGCGCGTATTGTCATTGTTGCCCTCGCCCCAGTCGGTATTAATGCTGGTGTTGCCGGTATGTTCTTCGGCATGGCTTGCTGTATGGGTCCTATCTTCAGCATGTGCTGTAAGAAATTTGGCGCCGTTCTCGCTGCCATTGCCCACGCCATCGCGGTCATCGTCCTGCTTGTCTTCTTCGAGGTTCTGTTCCTCCTGGAGGCGTTCAACTGGGCTCGTACTGTTTCCGGTTTGATTGCTATGATGGCAATCCAGCGGTTCGTGTACAAGTTGATTATCTCGCTTGCTCTCACCAGAGAATTCAAGCATGATCAGTCCAACATCGCATGGTGGACCGGTAAATGGTACAACATGGGTTGGCACTCGATGTCCCAGCCCGGCCGTGAGTTCCTCTGCAAGATTACCGAACTCGGCTACTTCGCCGCCGATTTCGTGCTGGGCCACATCATCTTGTTCTTCATGCTTCCCGTCCTTGCCATCCCTTACGTTGACAAGTTCCACTCCGTCATCTTGTTCTGGCTCCGTCCCAGGTACGTATTCACTTCTTCCTCAAGTCTTTATTTCATCCACTCACCCCCGTTTAGTCGCCAAATTCGCCCTCCTATCTACTCCCTCAAGCAATCCAAGCTCCGCAAGAGACGTGTGGTCCGGTTTGCCATTCTCTACTTCACGATGCTTGTTCTTTTCGTCGTTCTTCTTGCCGCCCCTCTCATCGTCAAGTCGATGGGCAAGGAGGTCACCATCAACAAGGCGCTCTGGAAACAAATCGGTGTCAGCGATCAGGTCAGCTCGAACACGATGTTCCTTCTGCAGCCTGTGGACAAGGGCCTCAACGATACCGTCGACTACTACACTGGCAGCAGTCTTCCCGTGGGCTTTAGCGCATCCTCGGCCGCCAATCCTTCAAAATCTGGCGACTGGACCGATTACAAGCTGCTGATCTGATGGCCTCGTGCCACGTGTATGAAAATGGCCTGTACAAAGATTCTGTCCTTTCCTTTCCCTCATTTGTTTCTTTCATGCGAATTGCTGCATTCTTTTCAACTACTGGCGCATCTGTGATCTTAATGGCTTGTGTGGAATGACCATTGTACTTTTGAGTGGTTCTACCATTGCCCCAGGGATTGGTTAACCTTCGTTTGCCGGTCTCATAGCTCGTTTCTTATTATTTCCTCCATTCTAACGGAATACAATACTGCATTGCTTCACTTCAAATCAGATTTGATAATTGTACAATCTTTCGTGTAGTGTTAACCCCTGGCGATATGCCCAGACAGTATGAAGGGTTAGATGTACTAGCTTAGCAGTGACTTGACTTGACAGTCACGACTAGCCACGTGACCACGGTGTTAGAAGCCGCCCGCGGCCCCCGACACGACGATCGACTGCCCTCTCCTTGAATCCGTCCCTAGTGGTGGATTTTCGACACTTATCGCTACTGGGAACTCCTTTAGATACTTTGTTAGCGCGACACGCGCACCCGGTCATCGACTTAATCCATCATGGATCTTCAGGAGACCCAACGTCTCCTGTCCGAGTACCTGCACGAGCTCGCGAACCTCTTCCACCGCGTCCCCGGCTCCGCCATCTTTCTCCGATATGTGAAATCCAGCTACCAAGATGACCCAATCCGATCGGCGGTCGAGCTTTTCCTCTTTCTGTTTGCCGTGCGATATCTCCTCGCCCCAAAATATTCCACCAAGCCCGGCGTTGTGCCATTGACCGAGGATGAAATTGACGACCTTGTGGATGAGTGGACTCCTGAGCCTCTTGTCGGGAAGCCGAATGCTTTAGAGGAAATGGAGGTTGATAAGCGTACGGTCATTGTGGGGTATGCTTCTCACCCTATGTCTCAGCAGACTTCCTTCACTGGGAGATCGCGCCATGCGCGGACAATGGTCTAGCTAACGAGTTCTCTCGAACTAAACAGCCCCGTCGGTCCCAAATCTAAGCTCGCAAACGGTCGAACCGTTACCAATCTCGGCTCTTTCAACTTCTACAATTTCAACACAAACGAGGCCCTGAAGGAGAAGGCAATCCAGACCCTTCGGAACTACGGTGTCGGACCCTGCGGCCCTCGCGGGTTCTACGGAACCCAAGATGTGCATATGAAGACCGAGGCGGATATTTCCACATTCCTGGGCACTGCTGCTTGTATCATGTACTCGCAGGCTTTTTCAACCATTTCCAGTGTCATTCCTGCGTTCTCGAAGCGTGGAGACATCATCGTTGCAGATAAGGGTGTCAGCTTTGCTATTCGGAAGGGAATTCAGATCTCGCGCAGTATCGTTCGTTGGTACGAGCACAATGATATGGAGGACCTGGAGCGCGTGCTGGCAAAAGTTACTAAGGAGCAGGCTCGGAAGCCGTTGACTCGGAGGTTCATCATTACCGAGGGTCTTTTCGAGTCTTATGGTGACATGGTGGATTTGCCCAAGATCGTAAGTTTTTGAAACCGGCGATTGTTTTCGCAGTTCCGTTACTAATTTCCGGGACAGATCGAACTGCGTCTTAAGTACAAGTTCCGTCTCATCTTGGACGAGACATGGTCCTTCGGTGTTCTAGGCCGGACCGGCCGTGGTATCACTGAGCACCAAAATGTGGACGCCGCAGAAGTCGATATGATTGTGGGGTCACTGGCTGGCCCTCTCGTGGGAGGTGGTGGTTTCTGTGCTGGATCCGAGGAGATCGTGCACCACCAGCGCATTTCGGCTGCGGCATACACGTTCTCTGCTGCTCTTCCTGCTTTGCTCTCCACCACTGCCAGCGAGACTATCAACCTTCTTCAGCATAGCCCCGACACGGTCTCTCAGCTTCGCGATATGACCAAGGCCATGCGAGCCCAATTGGACCCCCGCAGCGATTGGGTTTACTGCACCAGTGCCATCGAGAATCCTATTCTCATTTTGGTCATCAAGCCCGAGGTTATTTCATCGAAGAAGCTTTCAGAGAACGACCAACAGTTCCTGCTCCAAGATGTTGTTGACGAGGTAAGTCTAACCCAAACTAACTATCTATCAAAATTTGCTGACCTTGTCTCTTCGTGTAGTGCCTTGCCAATGGAGTTCTGATCAGCCGACTCAAGACCCTGGAGGACAACTTCCAGCCCAAGCAGATTGTTCCGCCTGGTTTGAAGGTGTGTGTGACTCTCGGCCTGACCAAGAAGGAGATCGAGAAGGCCGGCACCACCATCCGACATGCCATCACGAAGGTGATGAGCAAGAAAAAATGAAGTCCTTATGTTCTTGCTCACGAAACATCCTCAAAATTGACCTCGGCCGCCGAATGATGTCTCATGTTTCAATGACCTGACTTGTTTCCGGCCATCGTCCTATGTCCCTAATGCTCTTTCCTCTCGTGTATTGTTAAGACGCTTGTTGATATGCATCACTATCGCTACCCTGTACAGCACTGAGCCCATCTCCATTTTCCTTCTTCGAGGTCGGTTTCTACATTATCGGTGCATGGCTCTAGATTGTTTAATACTATTTTTCATAACCGGCTGCAGTACATGGCTGCGCCAATTGCATTATCTTTTTCAAGTCTTTTTTTTTTTTTTTTTTGAGCTGTTCATGTACTGATGAATTTGCAAAGCGACAAGTGAAACCCATTTTCCGTGTCTCATGGCTGGCTATGTTATCCCGAAGTTCTCGGTATCCCGGACTACTTGTTTTGGGAGCGCCGAGACTTCGACTTCAGTCGAGGCAAAGTGGCATTGTGCTATTAGGTAGGTGGCCTTTCTTCCTTTCGTTTTCATAATGTGACCCAAATCCGATAAACACTGGAGAGCCTTCGAAGCTGAAACCCCAGTCTCCTAGCGACCGAGTCGGAATGGACCAGCATTCCATGGGCCTACCGTGACGCCAGGCACATTCCGGTCACCCTCTGCAGGACATATCACTTACCAGACAATCCGACACCAATATTTTCTTCCAAAATTGATCTAGAGCTCTCCCTAGTTCTGGGCAGTCTCCCTCTAAGTCTCTCCAAGGGAGAGGGCCTGGTGGACTTGAACCTGGATCCCATTCCCTAGGCTACTCCACATTGAATCGTTATGCTTGGTCGTCTCCCTTGTTTACACGCTAGCCTGCCATATGCCGAAGGGCTGATTCGTAGCCCTGTGCAGTTCTGATAGTTATAACCCGCTTGATCTGCACCGGTACTTTTTCCTCCCTGCGCGAAGGGGAGGATTGAGAGGTAACTCCGGCTGTTATGATCTACTAACCCTAGGTTCTTCTGAAGTTGTGACGACTCCGACCCACGCCTCGCAATGAAGCGTCTTTCTCAGGCGCTCGTGGCACTTTTTCTGGCCTGTGGTGTTCACGCGGAGACAAAGGGTAAGATTGTTTATTGTCTTCAATTTATTAGGACATGGGCCAGCTTGACTAACTCGCTCGTAGACAACAACTGTCTTGCCGAACTTGATGGCTCTTCTCAAACACAGGCTACTTCCGAGGTCATCGTTTGGGTCAACGAAAATGGTGACATCTTGAGAACCGAGACCAACCGTCTCACTTTGGCGACAACAGCACAAGGGAATGTTAGTAGAATGATCAGGCCGGTGTTACAGCCCAATATCACTCCAACGGTTGTTGATAATGTGAAAAGACTCCTACGACGATTCCTCATGTTTCTATATCGAACCCGGAGCCAGAGACTCGCATCTCGTCAACGCAGACGGTTATTCACCATGAAACGGTTACCCTAGATCAACCTGCTGCCACCGAGAGGATAGAAAAGAAGGTGCCTCCCCATCCTCATGCCCACCCCCCTTTGCCACCACCTGCTCCAGCACCTCCGCCACCACCAGCACCTCTAGCAGTCCCGCCCGCACCTCCGGCACCTGATGCGTCTCTCCTTCTTCCCCCACACCCAGATCCTCATCCTGGACCGCATCCGGAAGAGGATCACCATCCGCATCCCGCGCCTCACACCGAAAAGCGACGTTTCGGAATCTCTTACTCCCCGTACAACGCGAACCGGAGTTGCAAGACACAAGATGAAGTCCACAAGGATTTTAATCAATTATCAGAGTACGCCTACGTCCGTATCTACGGCATAGACTGCGGTCAAGCAAAGACTGTGGCAACGGCAGCTCGTTTCCACAAGATGCAGGTTTTCGCGGGCCTGTACGATTTGACCGATTTCCCCAACAGCCTCAGCGCCTTTGAGGATGCTGCAACAACTCCCGATGGCAAAAAGGACTGGTCAATATTCCACACTATTGCTGTCGGCAACGAACTCGTCAATGGCGGGAAAGTTGCCCCCGGCAAAGTCGCTGGCGCAGTCAACCAAGCCCGCACTACTCTTCGTGGAAAAGGCTACCAAGGGCCTGTCGTGACAGTCGACACCTTCTCAATTCTCCTCAAACATCCCGAATTATGCAAAGCATCAGATTATTGCGCCGCCAATTGCCACGCCTTCTTTGACGCCACGCAGCAACCTCACAATGCCGGCCCATATGCTCTAGAACAAGCACACGCAGTCTCAGACGTCGCCGGCGGCAAACGGACAATGATTACCGAGTCGGGCTGGCCACACGCTGGCGAAGCGAATGGTGCAGCCGTTCCATCTCAAGAAAACCAGCGCATCGCAGTCGAGAGTTTGCAGCGTAGCTTTGCTCACAGATCTCAGGATCTTGTCCTATTTACTGCATTCGACGACCTGTGGAAACAGGATAATCGCTATACCTTTAACGCCGAGAGATTCTGGGGTATCTACGATAAATAGACTGTTGCATGTTACCTTCTTCCTGTTTGGTATTGGATGGATTCTTGGACTTCGTTTTTGCATGGCCGGTGGATGTCAGTTGAATGCGGGCGGATTTGCTCGCCTTAGTTTAGGTTATCCTTATGGCTGTCTATAGGATTCAATTCGAGATTCTTTGATTTGAAGCAAACAGGCCAACATTTTTGAGAATTTCTCGAACGCTATTTTGATGTTCCATGAACCCGAGCTGGCGGATCAGAGCTTGGAATCTCCGTCAGTAGGGCTGGGACTTGGCGATTTCCAGACTTGTCAAGCTAACTCACTATGCGATTATTTGCTGAATGTACGTACTAAGGCATGTATGTAGTGGCGTAGTATGTAAATAACTACATAACGTATATGATACGATCATAACAGAGAGCAGAAAGTCCTTGTTCTCTGCCGAAGAATTAAACCTGGCGGGCTCTATGTTTGTCGATTTCTGAAGATTTCCGTCTCACAGGCTTCAGTGCTCTCCAATGATCAAACCACCCGCCCTTCTTAACAAGCTCATGCAAGGCCTTCTTGTTCGGGGATAGATCCCAAAAAGCCTTGATACCCGCATCGTCACTGCCAGACTTCTGGTAGGTTTTGCCCTCGCGTTCAATCAGACGAAGAAGCCTGATCGTATCACGCGGGGGTACAAGACCATGCATGTCCATGTCCTGTAGGAAAGAAAGTACAGCTGGGAGGTCACGGCAACCGTGCCAGTAGAAATCAACCATCTCAGCGTAGAGTTGCGGGGACGCTCCCAGAAAAGCGGATGTCCGTCCCTGTGCCTTGATACTTGCACGGAATTGACCGGCAAGGTGAGAGTCGGGAAAGTGCGTATTCAGCAGACGAAAGGCCATAAGGACTGCACGTGGGTAGAGTTGAGTGATGACCAGTCCAGCTGGTATCTTTGGAGGAATCATAACAGCATTCTCAGCCAGTGGAGAGTCGGACGTGTCTTCGTCGCTCGGCATAGATGGTATAGCTGAGTTTTGCTTGTCCATGTAGCGTAACATTGAGAAGATGCGTGTCTTACACACCTCCCAAACGCCAATATCGCCTTTATTTCCCTCAATCGCTTCGAAAAGTGCACTCTCGATCAAGGACTGTTCTCGCTGCACGACAATAGCGGTAGCCTGTGCCATTGAGAGCTTCAGATCCTTGCCACTGCGGGGAGAGGGCAAGCCAAGCTCTTCACGGGTGAACAGCCTCTCACCCAATGGGATTCCATTAGACATGTCTGGTAGATTTCGCTTCTTAGGCAAGGAGTCGTCATCCGGACTTCCACCAGAATTTGACGCCGATGTCGACCGGCTTTCCGATTTTGCTTTCTCTCGATCCCCGGTATCCATTATCTCCTCGAACACCTTCATCAGCTTTGCTATATCATCTTGTTCAGGATGCGGTGAGTTCTGTGGTTGCTTTGTGCCCTGGGTCACTCGGCCATTGTTCTCGTCTGCAGTGAGCCTGCTGGCCTCGAATTGACTCAAGAGTCGGCCAAATGCTTGTTTCTCCCGATTTGTCACCGACTTAAACTGCTCCTGCGTTCTCGATGAATGCCTTGCTTTGGAAGAAGAGCCGCGACTGCGGAGGTAGCTTTTTCGCGAAGGATAGCTGCTGACCGGAGGCCTTATGAAGGGATCTTCGCCGAGAGCATCGTAGCTGAGGTATTCTGTATCACCGACGTTTTGCGAGCGGTGGGAATCGGGTTCATCACTCTCTTTGGGTTCGTCGGTTCTCGTAGAGTACGAATGTCGAAGTCGGGGTGTTGCCGGAGTCTGAAAGGAACGTAATATCGGGCAGAGAGTCCGGGTGTGGTATAGAAAAGGCGTGGTGGAGTTCGCAGTCGCTGACAGGAACAGCGCGCGCGAGATATTCGTCGCCATTGAGAGGCGACTTCAGGCAACTGACAGCTTCCGTCGATTTCTCCGCAACAAAAAAGTTCGAGACTCCATTTGTATCACGTGACTTCGCGTTATTTCGTCGCGTCCTTGCCCGCGCCGTCATGCGGCGCCCGCTTGCGCCTACAATTGCTCGCTGGTACCACACACCCCCACTCATCGCAAGAAATGCCGGAGCTGTCTGATTTCGAGAAGCAGCGTCTTGCGAATATCGCAGAGCGCGATGCATTGCTCAAGAACCTGCGATTGGAAGCGCAGTCAGCTGGGATTTACACCAGTCCGAAGACCACGGGGAGCAATGGCCCTAAGCCGAAGAAGAAGGCTGCGCCCAAGCGCGTGAAGGAAGAAGATGAATCGCCGCTTCCTCGGCGACAATCATCCCGTATCAGGGGTATTGCAGCCGAGAGTGAGGTTGCAAAGCGCAAAGCCGAGGATGACTATGCCGCCGCGAAGGAGGTGGAGCGCGCAAAGAAAATGCGCCGAACGGACTCGTTCACGCAGAACGATATGTTTATTGCCGGTCAGAAACTTACTGGCGATAGTCTTATCGGTGTTGATGTTGTCACTAAGGGTGTTGCAGAGCCCTATGTCCGTACGTTTGACGATGATGATATCAAGAAGACTACGGACAAGGACTTGAAAGCCCTGCGAGAGGAAATGAACGGTCTATCACTCTGGGAGGCCTGGGACCCGCAAAGTATGTGTCTCTGTGTCTGCTTTTCGCGTATTGTAGTATCGACCGATGGCTGACAAACCATTGAAATTATAGGGATCAAAATTACGCCCGAGCGCGTCTACACAATGGCCTTCCACCCCTCCGAAACCAAGCCCATAATCTTCGCCGGTGATAAAATTGGCCATCTTGGTATTTTTGATGCGTCCCAAGAAAAGCCAGAGGTTGATGACGAGGACGAGGATGACGACCCCGACCCGGTTCTCACTACGTTGAAACCACACACTCGTACTATCTGCAGTATGATGATCCATCCGTCCAAGCCGACACACCTATATACTGCGAGCTACGACAGCTCCATCCGTGAAATGGATCTCGAGAAGACGACATCTGTCGAGAAATTTGCCCCGGAATCTACCAGCGATGACGAAGCTCTTTCCGGTGTTGATATGGCCGCGGACGATCCAAGTACCCTGTACTTCACCACCTTGGATGGTGGATTTGGTCGCTACGACACACGTTCTCCCGTGTCTGAAAAAGCAGTGGCTCATTGGCAGCTGTCCGAAAAGAAGATTGGTGGCTTCTCCCTCTGTCCTTCCCAATCGCATTACTTTGCTACAGCGAGTCTTGACCGGACCATGCGACTGTGGGATCTCCGCAAGTTGTCGCATAAAGACCCTACACCTGTTGCCATCCATGAGAGCCGCCTCTCGGTCTCTCATGCAGCATTCAATGCTGCTGGTCAGATTGCTACCTCTTCTTATGACGATACGCTGAAGCTCTATGATCTTGGAGCCAAGGGCTTCTCGTCATGGAAGCAGGGTCACACCGTCCCAGACGGCGAGTTCATGCCCGACACCGTAGTTCGACATAACTGCCAAACTGGTCGTTGGGTGACTATGTAAGTACCGGGATTTTCCGTTTTCTCCGCTCACTTTTAAGGAAAAATCACTAACGCTACTTCGATCTAGTCTCCGACCTCAATGGCAGCTCAACCCCCAGTCGCATATCCAGCGATTCTGCATTGGCAACATGAACCGCTTCGTCGATGTCTACAGCGGTTCGGGTGACCAACTGGCTCAGCTTGGTGGTGATGGCATCACTGCAGTCCCTGCGGTAGCCGTGTTCCATCGTAGCAAGAACTGGGTTGCCGGTGGTACTGCCAGTGGCAAAGTCTGCTTGTGGATGTAGATATTCGCTCATTCTTCGTTCTCGCATTCATACTCTGGCTTGGCTGGACTTGAGTGACTACTGTTTCGATCTATGCCACAGGCTGAACCGGCCGATTGCTAATATTTTTGAAGTTTTGTGGGGAAGTTTACACATCTTCGAGGGGTTATTGTAATGTACAGGTAGATAAGTTCATACAAGCCACTGGCATGTTTCATTTCTAGTATGTCTTCAGTGAAATGTCTTGGTATCAAACTGCAGACTCCACCTCCGCCAACCGCCATCCCAACTATTGGGAACGCCGCACAAACCAATGCCTTCGCATGTAATTGAACAATGTAGTACGCTAGCGCCATTTGTAATTCTGATAGAATTTCCTACTGTGTTTGGTCCGTAATGGCCACTTACATCGATGATTGCTGGCTGAATAGAGATTTTTGGACCTGCCATTGAACTGTCTTGTGCTACTGCAAGGTTCCAGTCTCTCATTGTAATAACAAGGTGCGCAAGGGTGTGAATTGCAGTCAATGCGAACAAGAACAAAAGATCTTTCCGTCTATTTGAGAAAGATATCAAGAGTGTACAGACTCGTCATCCATTCCCGAGAAAACGCAAAAGCGTATTAAAATCCACCTCATTCATAACAAGTATCATCGTGTTCGATTCTGAGACCTGGAGTACAACCAATTCTTATATGTTAGAACTTTTGTCTGCTTTTCGCAGCTCTGTCCACAAGCTGAACCTAGACCAGGAGAAAGGAATTTATCAGGAAACACGGTTATGAAGCCTGAAATACGGAAGAAAGTGAGGGAAGGGTATCAACACCGTGACACATGCTGCGATGACATGGGGAAAGAATAGGGGAGGGCGAATTGAGAGAAGAGGGGTGAGAGGTAGGAGTGTGGCATCGAAAGAACAAAAGGAGCAGCGTGGACTTCATGAGCACGTAGATGAGAGATGTAATCCAAAGTGAGAAAAAAGGCTAAAGCCTGGAAACCGTTCATCGTCTATCAAAACTCGTTTCGAAAGTCCTCGTGCGAGTGATGAGATTGGTCACGGTCCTTCGCTTTGCGTCGTGAAGGGGCAGGAACAAAGTCGAAGAAACGGTACTTGCTGGAAGTCTCCTTTGTGACGCTAGACCTGCGTGCCTTTGAATTCTCCGAGTATTCCAGGGAATAAGTTGAAGAATTTTTGGAACTTCCGGTACTATCGCGAGCATCGGACCACCGAGGGATAGAGAAGGGCATGCGGCTCTGGTCCCATGTAGCTGATGATGAACTGGGTGGCGTGTCATCTTCCTCCGGCGCGTAGTCCGTCGAACGACGGGGCATCGCCGGCCGGGGTGCGAAGAAACCGATCGATCCGCGCTTATCTTGCGGAATTGAGAAGGTTCCTCCAACCTGCGCATCCGATGCTGGAGTGGCTGGCTTGCTCGAGGTTTCGTCATAAAAGGTCACGGCACGTTCCATCGAGTCCACAAGTTCCTCCCATTTGACCTCAAGGGTTCCATTGGGGCGCTCTGCTTGTTCCGCTTTATCTAAACACTCCTCGGTACGTTCTCGTAGGCGGTGTGCTAGTTGATGGAATTTGGCGAGGCTGGCGTCCACCTCCTCTAGTTCAGCCATCCGTTCCGGTACCACTTCCAACCACACTCGGATTAAATTTGCGTAAGATCGTGCATGGTCGATCAAGAACGGAAGACTAGGAAAACCTTCGCGTGAGGTAGGTGGCAAGCGGCCAAGAATCTGTACGGGAGTGGTATATGAAGGCGTCGGAACCGGAGCTGGCTGGTCTGCATAAATGCTACAGATGTGGTCGACAAATTGCTTGAAGTCTGACCGGTTACCAACCAGAAACTTGTTCATGGGCTCCATCCAAGGTTCCTTATTGCCAAAGGTTGTCATATTCGCCAGACCCTGGAGTGCCTTGGCAACGAGAGTTAGGGTGCGTTGGGCACGTGGGCGTGGATGGTCTGCTTGATGTTAACGGGATATTCAGGAAATTAGGATCTACAGAGACGAAATATTACTTACCCTTCAGAAGTCCAAACAGCTTAGGATTCAAGATAGCTGGACAAAAGAACCGCAAGAAAAGGAACCCAGAGACACTGCTGTAGGTCACCGAACGCAGGAAGTCGCCATAGCGGTCCTCCGCGCATGCCCTGACATGCCGGAAGATACGTCTTAGCTCAGGAGGGCAGCGGCTATAAGATATCGCAATGGACTTCCAGACTCCCGTGGTGAGGGTGATAAGGGTTCGCCAATTGCGATCGAGATCTTCGGTGCGTGGTACCCGAGACGGATCAACTTCACACTCTGGGTCACTTTCATCGATCTCACGCAGTCGCTCTCCGATAGTCTCTTCCAAGTACTCTTTACCAAGTCGACGCATGTGGAGGTCCAGCGCCTTTGTGAGAAGCGAGTTGCCACGGAAGAGAAGATTTGCCTCCACCGTTGCAGTTCTTCCCATGTCTCTCACGAGAATCTCTCGGTCATGGCTCGATTCTCGAGAGTCGTTGGAGTGTATCCTTGTCGTATACCGCAATCGATTGGTTGTGGATTCCTTGTGCACGCCGTCGATTTCATCCTCGACCAGCGCCGAAATCCAATCCACCGTCTTGCCGGAGACTTGATAGATATTCAACAGCATTTCGGACAACTGAGTGAGCTCGGAGGACATCAACTGGGCCATGTTGATTGTTAGGCCGTTGGTGAAAGAGTGAAGCAGTTCCTGCATCGGTGCGTATTCTGCAAACATCAAAACGACCGTTTCTTCCATTCTGACTTTCATGAAGATCTCCCCGACGGCCTGATCATGGTCATCCAAGATGGGCCACCACTTCTCGGTATCAACCCCAGGCTCCAGTTCATCTAGACGAAGATCCACCCGCCCGAAGATCGCATCATTGGTGGAAATTTCGATATCGTCGAGCATGTTGACTGCATTGGCTTCTTGGGTTGATGCATATGTTCCATGAGCCACGAGAGTCCAATCTCTCTGCGTAGGATTCAGGGTTTTGACAAGGATTGAGGCCTGGGAGAGCACCGGAGGTAGATCGTTAAAGACAAAATCTTCCCGCCAAAACGGATTTGGAGTACGGTATTTGACAGCGGTCTTGGCACGGATCTCCCCATCTAGGAGGACTTCGGTATAGTAGTCACTGGGTTTTGGCGGAGAAGGAGCAGAAAAACCGTGGGATCTAGACTGTTTGCGACTTCGCGGGGTATTTTCCTCTTTAGCCCGGAAAAGCTTACCCTCCGTGACCCTCAGGTTGAGTTTTCTTTCAATTCTGAACATGTCTCTGGTCGGGGAGTCGACACTCTCGGCCTCTGGGGTCTTGTTTGGATCTTCGACCTCTGACGAAGCCTCAGGCCCGTACAGCTCGGGGATGGTAAACGCACGTAACAGTACAAACCAGACCTCGAACAAAACACGGGTCTCCAAAGCAAGGTAGATGGGGCGCATGGTAGAGTCGACGACAGGGTGGGCGGTGTACTGTGGGTAGATGGCAATGCAAAATTCATCGTCGAGCACTGAGGGATCCAATTGCTGAATCGCACATCGAGAGAGTTGCGATAGTTGCACACACGCCACGAGAGCGACGTCGGATTCTGTATAAAGTTTGAAATGGCCATTCTCCTGCAATGTGCAGCTCACTTTCTGCCATGACGAAGACAACGCTCTTGATTGTCGATACGTGGATACGCGGCGAGCGGATACAGGCCGTGCGCCTGATGCAGACGGCTTGTCCCAGAGAAGCATCTTTCCGACTTTGATTATGGCGGCATCCTTGTGCGCGGCGGTCTCGGAGTTTCGGCGGCGCTCGGGGATTCGACGATCACCGATTACAACCTCCTGGGGTTTGGTCATTTTGTTCTGGACGCCCTTGGGACGGATGGGCTGCCAGCACAAAAGGGCTGCCAGCCACGAGTCAAAGGTTTCATTGACGTGGGGTCGCAGTTGTATTCCAAGTCCGGATGTGAAAGTGTGAACATTGAGATAGGTTGTTTGTAATTCTGAATCGTAATGTGTTCGAACCCGGCAGCCACGCAGATCAGGAATGAGGGTCTTCGCCAATGCCGGTTCTCCTTTTGCCTGGTATATAAGACTACCTGTGGCGACGTTGATCGCACAGTACCCGGATGTCCAGGCGTTCGAGGACGATGCATTTCCGGACGTCGTTCGAAACGAGAGAATTCCATGCATTCGGCCACAGGTAGTCTTCATTAGCTGTAGGATCTTGGCAGCGTCGGTCTTCGAGAGTGGTGATGCAAAGGCGGCTTGGCAATGTGCCAGGGAGGTGGCCTGGCCGGGTGACTTGCTCAGTCGCTGGCGAGCAGTGGCGGACCCAGAGTAATTTGGCGAGTGGATCGACGGAAATCCAATGCTGGATGAGTCGTCTGTGGTATTCGATTCGGCGGTGGCGGGTTTGGGCTGGGACGAGCTGGTAGCGTTGACGGACCCGATTCGGGTTCGGGACTTGAAAGTGGAGGATGCCAGGTCGCTTCGTTGTTCATCCAATGTGGCTGTTCGTGCTCGTGTGCGCACGTTTCGCCCATCTATCGACGTGTCTTCCTCGCGTCGGTCGACGGTGCGCGATCGCATGGTGGTCCGTGGGGAGGGCGCACTGCTGGTAAGGTGCTCTGGTTCGGATAAAGGGGAATGAGACTCCGGGGTCACGGTGCGAATGCTTGTTTCTCGGAAACTGTCTGGGTAGACCATACCATGGCGATCGCGGGATGATGACTTTTTGCTGGGTCGACGTTCGACCGGGCGGCTATGCAAGGCCTGATGCATTGAACTCCGCTTCCCAGCGTTATATCCATTCGGATTGTCGGATTCCATCCTGCTCGGTCGTGGGCTCGTAGGGAGCCGACGGGAGCGTGGTGGGAAGACCCGCGCAAACGAGGGGGGATGGACGACTCAGCGCGGCCAAACACAACCTCAAAACCGTCGGATGTATATGTGTTGTCCCCGAGGCCTTTTATCGGCCGCGCGTGAATAATTGAGTGTCGCTTTTGTCCAGAAAATTGCTGGAAGAAAACATGGGGTCTAGACGGAGGCAGGGGGGTCGTAATCATACATTCGGTCGAGACAGCGGGATGGACGAGACAGGAACAAAGGAGGCGCAGGTCACCGTCGTTTGTCTGTGAGATGCAGGACCTAGCAATTACGGTGAGCATCCAGTACTCCAGCTGGGCGATCGCGACGGTATCGCTGCCGGGTGAGAAGTTAATTATGGCCCGAGGAAGCCCGGAGAGATGGGGGATTCGAGCGGCGTGATATCATTATTATTGGAGGGGGGAAATGTGGGTTGTGGGAGAGCGAGGCACCGGGCGAGATAGGACCCAGGGGGCAAGCCAAAGACGACCAGGGTGGAAGAGAGAGCAGCGCACACACACCTTCATCAGTCCCTTTTGAAATTGGAGGGTGGCGGGAGATCTCGATGGCGGCCGGGTGGATGGTGGTGTTGGCGGTGTTCGGGGGTGGTATTAGATTTGGGAGGGGAGGGGTTGTTTGTGTGCGTGCGTGCGCCCGTGTTTGTTGCAGATCTTCCAGACAGGCTCAGGGTATGGGGGTGTGATGGGCCTGGCGCGAGCAGAGGAGGCCACGAAGAAGTGGGAGGTGAAGGGGAAGGTGAAGAGGGGAGGGAGGGGGAGGTGTGGATTGCGGGAAGCCTGTCGACGAGGTATAACGGAGCAGAGGAGAAATCACCCGCAATTCTTCACGGCTTTCTACATCTCGGGTTCTACTTCTGGCCCTCCGTCCGCATTGACCGCATTTCCGGTCCAGTTTCCAGCTGGTTTTGCTGAAAGGTTATTTAGCTCATTTAGCGATGCTACGCGTCCTAACCTGAAGGTCTGCGAATCTCTGCTGGTTCTATCCGATCGCCGGCGCTCTGTTCTGCCACGGCCAGGCGGAATCCCGCCAGCTCGCATCTCCTCGCTCTCCTACTGTGTACTCCTGCAAGTGCTTGGTAGTGGCATCAGAAATCTGGTACTCCTATGGTAGAAACAACAGATCAAGCAGATCTCGCCAGCCTGCACTCGCTGCATGCCCTGAGCCGGCGATACCGAGCCCGACCAAAGGCCTATTGCGGCAGTTCGCTGTCCCCAAGATGGCCTAGGGACACTCCGCTGGGTATCTGACCTCTACATACATCTGCTAGTAGGATACTCCTGCGTCCTGGAATATTCCCCCAGGCACTAGCGCCCTGCCACAACGGCCAACCCCGGTCGGCCGCGATTTCCCAGCTGCCTCTCAGCCCATTGCGTGGCACGCTGGGGACCTGTCCATGACTAGTGTGGGAGTTTCGGAGGATTTGGGGGCTTCCTGATTCATGAGCGGGCGCCCAAGCCTCGAGCACTGGATCAGACGTCGATCAGACCCTCCTTCTGGTCTGGCCCCAACGACGAAACTCGCCTCTCACACACCCCCCTGGTCGCGGATGTGCCGGATTGATTCTCTCTTCTCCGCGCGCTGAGGTCAAAAGTACAGAGCATTGGCACTCTCCCCCCCCCCCCCCCCCCAGGGTCGATGCAGCTCCGCGCCCCGCTGGCCTGGGAGAAAAAGGGGGGCCAGCGTGGTGTGGTACTTGCACGTACCGAGTACCTCACTTGCAGGTAGCTATGGAGTATACATGGACCAAATGGGAAAAGGTACGGGACAAGTACCGGGTACAAACTTTGAAGTGGAGGCACCATAATGGGACCGTGTCGATTCTACTTGCTGGAGGAGGCAGTGGGTGGATTCTGGCGCTAGTCAGCGGGCTGGTGGGAATCGATGATATCCGGTCGACCGCGAGTCTTCTACTGAAAAAGCACGATCGTGGGAAATCCCCGACGAGTGGAGCCGCTCGGTGCACGGTGAGGTTTTTCTGGCCTTTCCTGATTTGTGGAGGTCCAGATGACAGGCGTATTCGTCATTTAGTCTCTCGGTAGACTCTAGGGGAAGGGGGTGAAATGTCCCTCGGGGAGGAGTAGGACTTGTGAACACTGGTCAACTTAGGTAATTGTTGATTATATCAAAGTACAATTGACCCCTGCATGTTTGGATGGAGAAGGCGTCATCGGTGCAGGATCTAGAATTCTAGAAGTCGTCCCGCATCCTGCCTTAGGCCTCGTGCCTTGCGCCAGGCAAGCATCCTAGGCGTCTTCGGTACCCTGGGCCTCGGTAGGCTGTAGTACTTCCGTACCTCCGGCGACGAAGTCGATGCAGGTGAAGATGCAAGCAAGAACCCCGCATCCACCTGACTCATGGCATAGGTGCCTTGGTGCCTTGGTGCCTGTTGCCCGATCTCCCAAGTTTCATGCCTGAGGCCAACACAGCCCCGATTATGTCATTGGACTCCAGGTGATCGCCCAAGAGGAGTAGAGCTCCGGTGACTGCATTCACGCGGACATGATCAGATGCGACGCGTCGCATCCACCGCCAGCAAAAGCAGATAGGGACTGAGAGGTGTGAATTCCGTTCTGCTTGACCTAACATCATAACAGAGCCCGATACGAATGCTATTCCTCCGTTGAATGTAGCAGGTCTCCGATCTCCGCATCTTGTTGTTGACAACAGTCCAACTCGCGTATCGGGGCGATGTCCCCTAGAACTGCTCTATTCACGCCATATTAGTAAAAGATGATGTCCTCCAATATACCCTCGCGCTTCCTAGCCCCGACAGACTCTCCCTCGGTATACCAAACCATCCGTGAACACGAAGCCGGCTCCGATTCATCTGATGTGGAAGAGCGTGCGGGCATGGCTCAAGAAGAAGGTCTTCAAGGACACTTTAGCGACCGAGAACTAGAAGATGTGCTGGCAGATGCAGAGGGCAGCGAGCTGTCCAGCCCGCGAGCAGCTCTGCTGGGGACTCAAAGGTCGCAGCAAGCTGCCAACCTCCATGGTTCCCCGTCCGTTTCGCGTCGTCGCAAACCATCCAGACCACGTTGGATGACCCAAGAATCGCCGCAGGGCTACGAGCTGGATGATCGGGATGAGGATGTGCCCCCATCTTTGTTGGTGGAAGGGGGGATGATGAGGTATTGAAAGCGCGCCTCCCTCCGCCGCCTCATCGCATGCCCAGTCATTCGAGAACTCCGAGCCCCCGACCCTCCCCTCACTCTCATCCTCACCCACACCCACGTCAACACCGTTGGGATGCACGAAGCCAACAACCCCCTGCGACCGATACTGCAAACCCGGTTCGACAGTGGTTCAACTCGCAACACCCAACCTTTGCCAATATCGACCCGAAGCGGAAAGCCATGTGGCGCTGGGCAAATGTCGAAGACCTGGACAACTTCTTGAAAGATGTCTACACATATTTTCTTGGAAATGGGTTCTGGTCTATTTTGTTGGACCGCACCCTGAATCTCTTGTATGTGGTCCTTCACACCCTCTCTTGGACCAGTGGAAATCTGGCTGACCGTGCGCAGGACTTTCGCATTTGTTGTGGGTTTTTCCACGTTCTTGACCAACTGTGTCGACTATCACAAGGTTCGAGGAAGTAAGACCCTAGACGAAATCCTCGTGCCCAAATGCACCGCCAACATGTCTGGCTCAGCCACGTTCCTGCTTTGGCTTTTTAGCTTTTTCTGGATTGGGAAGCTATTCCAGTATCTCGTTGACACCCGAAGGCTTTGGCATATGCATGATTTCTACCTGCATCTTCTCGGTGTCTCCGATGCCGAGGTGCAGACTATCTCATGGCAAGAAGTGGTCAGCCGATTGATGACTCTCCGCGATTCGAACCCCGCGACAGCTGCAGCAATCTCGGCTAAGCACCGTAGGTTTCTGGGGAGCCAGTCGAAGCAACGAATGGACGCCCATGATATTGCCAATCGACTGATGCGGAAAGAGAACTACATGATTGCGTTGGTGAACAAGGACATCTTGGATCTCACTCTCCCGATTCCGTTCTTGCGAAACCGACAACTCTTCTCGCGAACGCTAGAGTGGAACCTCAACCTCTGCATTATGGATTACGTCTTCAATGAACAAGGGCAACTGCGTACGCTGTTCCTCAAGGATACCCACCGACGAGCTTTGAGTAATGGCTTGCGCCGACGCTTCATCTTTGCCGGTATCATGAACATTCTCGCGGCACCGTTTATCGTCGTTTACTTTATGCTGCAATACTTCTTCCGTTATTTCAATGAATTCAAGAACAGCCCTGGACAGATCGGGTCTCGACAATATACTCCGCTGGCGGAGTGGAAATTCCGCGAATTCAACGAGCTCTGGCATATCTTCGAACGGCGCACCAATATGTCTTACCCATTCGCCAGTCGGTACATTGATCAGTTCCCCAAGGACAAGACTGTCCAGGTCGCTCGGTTTGTTGCTTTCATTTCTGGCGCCTTGGCGTCGGTGCTTGCACTCGCTTCTGTGGTTGATCCGGAGCTCTTCCTCGGCTTTGAAATCAGCCCTGATCGCACTGTCCTCTTCTACCTGGGTGTCTTCGGCACGGTGTGGGCTGTTGCTCGAGGAGTCGCACCGGAGGAAACCGATGTCTTTGACCCCGAATATGCGCTCCTCGAGCTGATTGACTTTACGCATTACTTCCCCTCGACCTGGAAGGGGCGGTTACATAGCGACGAGGTTCGCAAAGAATTCGCGGTTCTCTATCAGATGAAGATCGTTATCTTCTTAGAAGAGATCTTGAGCATGATCTTCACGCCTTTTGTGCTGTGGTTCAGCCTGCCCAAGTGCAGCGACCGGCTCATCGACTTCTTCCGTGAATTTACCGTTCATGTCGATGGGATGGGATACGTTTGCTCCTTTGCGGTCTTTGACTTTAAGAAGGGTGCCAACGCCATGCCTCAAAGTCGGCGAGAGCCCGCTCGCCGGGACTTGCGAGCCGACTATTTCTCCACCAAAGATGGCAAGATGCTTGCTTCTTACTATGGCTTCCTAGATCACTACGGCAGCCACAACAACAACCAGCCTGCTGGGCGACGCCCCTTCCATCCTCCGCCAAATCTGCCCACATTGGGATCGACATCTACCGCCGAGCTGGGTACAGGTCCGGAGCGATTCGATTACCATAAACGGCCCGGGCCAGCAGGCGGTCCTCCCTTCGGCCCACAGTCTATCATTGGCGCCTCCCGATTCCGGCCCATGCCAATGGGTGATCTACGCTCTCCAGGCCCCTCTATCCTGCTTGACCCGCGGCATCAACCACCCACGTCTGGTTTCCGTCAGGCCACCCACACAGTACCCCCACGGTCTCGGTTGGCACGATCGCAGCTCCCTGCCAGCGACCAGATCCATGACGATGAAGAGTCCTCGATCAAGGGCGATCGCGGCTCCACCAGCCGTCCGCTGGCCAACCCGCAGGGTGCGTCTAGTGGAGGCGTTGGCACGGGCGAGAGCAGCTTGGGCGATTCGTGGCGCATGAATCCTCTGGGGAAAGATGAGGATACGGAGGAATACGATGATGAAGAGGATGTCGATGCAATTGCTGGCGGGGTTGGAGTCCTTGGCCTCATCCAGCAGTTCCAGAAGGCGAATACAGAGGGTCGCCGGACAACTGGGGGAATCTAGTGGATATCTTCCCCAATTGTACCTAGCATGAGACTCTACCCATCCATGGATGGAATCAGCCTGAGACTACCTGGGTAGGGTTTGATAGCTTTTCATGACACGACGCAGTCATAATAAATGTAGTATGACTGTTATTATTTTGCTCTTCTGCTCCGATTGAACTGCGGAATATCTAAAACCGTAATTTTTAAGCTGATAAGGTACCAGGTAGCAGTAATGACACGTAGTCACGGTGTCACTCTCAAGCTTGAGCAGATTCATCGTCTGAATTTGATACTATTGTCGCACCATGATATTCACCTTGGTGTTGTCTCCACATAGTGTGAGTGTGGCTTGCCGTTCTAGTACTGTATATACCGTGAATTGCTGCAGGTGGAGGTATATCATATGGCACTCGACCTCGAGAATCCGGCAACGATTATCATTCTCTGGGTCGATTGTCACTCTATCCATATTCTTATGCGACTACACTGAACATGATTAATGTTAGTGCGTGGATGGTGAGTATGTTTGGGCCGACACTAGACGTTCCGGGCTGCGCCGGGTGAGACCCTGGAGCGACAAGGCCCACCGCTGATAGGCCGACTGGGCTGGACCCTTGCGATTCTCCACCGGGGGCTCTCGTGCCTATTCCAAGTCTTCCAGCTCTCGCTGCTGCTGGCACCAACACTGTAAAGTACTGTGTGTGTATGGATAGTACGGGCACACGGCTCGGTCGTCCAGTGGTCCATCCGCCACGATCCAGCAACAGCCGACCCCCATCGTGGCCTAGATGCGCCGGCCCCGGCATCGACCCTCGTCTCGGCTCCTGGGCAAACTGGGTCGCGGGGTCCTAGGGATGGAGACACCAGCCCTCTTGGCTGCGGCGAGGATATCTGGGCAGCCTTAAGCGGGCTGCAAATGGGCGCGCGCAGCCGACCCTGACTCCCCGAAAAAGGAGACCGCTGCAGACGCTGCGACTAGCAGGTCGGGCTAAGTAGACGGCGCCAGTCAAAGACCCGAAAGACCCTGATCCATCACATGTGGATACACCCTCGCTTTATTTGCGGCGGGTTCGGTTTGCGGTCTCGTGACATCTGTAGCTTCTCCTCGATTGATCTCAATTCCACTCTTGGCTTTCCTCCCAAGATCGAGTTCGTCGGATATCCACACTCTCCTTCCCTTCCCCCCTTCGCGAGGGGTGCTGGCCCATCATGCTGCGCGCCCGCCGCTACCGAGTGCAAATCGCATTTGCCGCGATCTTCGTCTTGGCCTTCTTTCATTTCACCCGGTCGCGCGACTGGACGGACACGGTCGTTGTCGAGACGCCCCAGGACCAGTCGTCTGCCTCGGCGCCGGTCGTCCCAAATCCCAATTCTTACGAGACCAAGCAAAAGCCACCATCAGCAGTTCCTGCCGAGGATGCATCCAAATATGCTCCGTTCGTGCCCCACGACAGCTCCCCCGGATCGACATCCTCTGCCGAGGAACCCCAGAAACCGAAGCAGCCCATCGTGTCCAGCGCGCCTCTCAAGGAAGAACCTAAAGAACCCGCGCAAGATGATACTGCCAACAGCGTGAAGGAGCCATTGAAGGTTCCTTCGTACCAATACGGCGCCGGTGCCGACACCCACAACAAACCGCCCGCCTCGTACAACAACAACAACAACAACAACGCTTGGCAAAATGCAGAGAGGCCGTCTTCCAAACTCGATGCGGAGCAAGAAGAAGCGGCCGATGATGACGCGCGCTACCAATCAACGGTTGGAATTGCAGCGGAAGAGATCACTCAGCACTGGAAGAAATTCCCCGAGACCTACCCCGTCGCCGCCGCCGATCTGATCAAGCTGCCCAAGGGTCCGGCCAAGTCTATCCCGAAACTGCAGGCCAAGTTCAAGGATGAGTCTTCGGCCGACAAGCAGGAGCGTCTGCAACAGCTGAGTGCCATCAAGGCCGAGTTTGTACACGCCTGGCAGGGATACAAGAAGAATGCCATGGGAGCAGACGAGCTGAAGCCTCTCTCGGGACAAACCAATAACCCCTTTATGGGATGGGGCGCAACGTTGGTCGACGCGCTGGACTCGCTATGGATTATGGATCTGAAGAGTGATTTCTCCGAGGCGGTGGACGAGATTAAGAAAATTGATTTCACAACGTCGGCCTATCGGAATGATATCCCCGTCTTTGAAACCGTCATTCGCTATTTGGGCGGGCTGCTCGGTGCTTATGACATTTCTGGACAGCGGTACCCGGTCTTGTTGGAAAAGGCCGAAGAACTAGCAGAAATCCTGATGGACATCTTCGACACACCGAATCGTATGCCTGAATTGTATTATCGCTGGGTTCCGTGAGTATCCCACCACCTGACCTGATTTGACTCTTACGCTGTATACTGATAGACCGACTTTGCGAACAGCGACGAGAAACTCCGTCCCCACTCAGCCTCAATGACATCTGGTCTTGCCGAACTGGGCTCCCTTTCAATGGAATTTACCCGCCTGGCACAGCTGACCAAGCAGGACAAGTACTACGATGCGATTGCTCGTGTCACGAATGAGTTGGATGCCCTGCAAGACTCAACTAACATGCCGGGCCTGTGGCCCATGCGACTGAACGCTCGCGGTTGCGCCTCGAAGCCGTCTACCAATAGCGCCGTTGGTAGTCCGACACGAGGATATCCACCCCGTGTGAAGCGTTCGACAAATACTACGAGTGATCTGGAAAATCTGAGCGAGTATTTGGGTTTAAAGCGTGAGGCTGAGATTGATTTGACCAATGCTGAGCCTGCTACATACAACCATGGCCCTGCTGGTTCCAGCCCAGGTAGCTCCAGCTCGAACGGGGCTAGTAGTTTGTCTGGCTCGAGCGGCTCTGACCTGGCTGGATCGAGCGAGACGAACTCCCAATCCAAACTTGACGACTGCACCCTTGGCTTGCAGCTTCCTCCTTTCTCCCGCGACAACAAGTACACCTTGGGCGCGATGGCCGACTCGACCTATGAATACCTGCCCAAGGAGTACATCTTGCTAGGCGGCGTGAACGAACAGTATAAAAAGATGTATAAGAAAGCCATGGATGCCGTCCGCAAAAACCTCCTCTTCCGGCCCATGACCAAAGGTGCCAGCGATGTGCGTTTCATTGCATCTACCGGGGCCTTAAGCCTGCAAAACAAGGACGGCCCGATGCCCAAGGACATGATCTACGAGGGTACCCATCTGACTTGTTTTGTCGGAGGCATGGTTGCCGTGGGAGCGAAGGTCTTTGGCCTTGATAACGACATGGAGCTTGCATACAAGCTGACCGATGGCTGTGTCTGGGCATATGAGGCGACCAAGACTGGCCTCATGCCTGAGACGTTCAAAATGAAGCCTTGTGGTGGAGAAACGCCCTGTGATTGGGATGAAGCACATTACGACAGCTCCTCCGTCGTGGATCACACTGACTATCGGGATGCTGAAGCCGCGGCCCAGTTCCGTAACGGCGAGAGTACATATGGAGAACGCGTGAAGATGAACAAGCAAAACCTGCCCCCCAAGCCCGCTGAAGGAGACATTCCCGTGCCTCTTCCCATGCCCGGATCTCTGAACCCTCACGATGATGGTCTCTCATGGAAGCGTGATCTATCCGTGGTTGACAAGATTGTCGCGACACCATCCTCCCGCCCTATCGCTCAACCGACACCTACTCACCGGGCTCCCAGCGCTGAAGGTCTTGAGAATCGAGACACGGGCTATGTCGTCGGCACCAAGCCAAAGCCACCCTCCCGAACCACCGTCAACGATCGTTTCCCACCTGGCATGGTCAGCATTGGTGCGCCGGGCTATTACCTGCGACCCGAAGCAATCGAGTCGGTCTTCTTCATGTATCGCCTGACTGGGGACAAGTATTGGCGCCAAAAAGGCTGGAAAATGTTTGAAGCGATAGTTAAACACACGCGGACCGACCTGGGAAATGCGGCCATCAACGATGTCACATCGGGGAAGCCATTGCAGAAGAACTCAATGGAGTCGTTCTGGCTGGCCGAGACGCTCAAGTACTTCTACCTGCTCTTCTCCGATCCCAGTGTGGTTGACTTGGACAAATATGTTCTGTAAGTGAATCCATCCTCGACGTTGTATTGTTGTTGTGAGACCAAAGCCCAGAGAACTAACTGTTTTTCGTACAGGAACACCGAAGCACACCCCTTCTTGCGTCCAGTATAATGACATTTTTGTTTCCTTTTTTTTTTTGTTATAAATTTTTTTTTTTTTTTTTTGAAAGATGCTGTACTGCATAGTGATACCAGCGAAATGCATATACTCATAGTCTCTTCGTAAAACATCCATTCATTCAAGTGATTAGTCTCACGGTTGTTCGTCATAGGCGGGCCCGCAGTGGAACTGGGACCCCCGCCTCCAACACATTCCGCATCTCCAACCTCCTCCCCGACATACAAAGACGGGATGAGTGCTCTGTCACGCCCGCCCCGCAGACGCAGATCGAGCTCGGTGGGAAATGGAGCCCGAGGTCTCGGAGCCCGAACAGTTCTGGAATGGTGAGTGCTACTGCAACTGCTGCTGTTTGTTGTTGGCCGGGGCTGGTTGGATTTCCGGCTCGACGATCGGCAGCCCTGCACAGGACCGTTCCCAATTAACGCCCGTCAGAACTCGAAGCGATCGTCTCCAAGCCTTGCGATTCCGAAGACCTCATCGACGACGCCCTGCGCGCTTATCTGAGTCTCACGACCCAGCACAAAGGTGACACATTGCCTCTTGCCCAGCTCCGGGAAATCTTTCTTGCTGCTCATCGCTGTGTCGAGCATTTCCAATGCTTTTGTAAAGCTAATGCAATCTCATGCTACAGATGAACATCTTCGGACCGACTACGATATCTCACGCTGCTCATATCGACTCTTCGCGTCAAGTATTTTCGCTGCCCACGCCGATTACGTCCGTCGACAGATCATCTACGGCCTCCTACAAGAAGATGACCCGAATACCTTGCACTTAATCGCAGCCTTCCTCCTCTTCGATGGTCGGCAAAATGAGGCTTCGCTGCATATGCTGAATGAGGAGGGCGCCTTTGCGCGGTTGCTAGAGCTCATCCAGGCGTTGCGCAAGAACGAAATGGGCGGCGGGGCAGGCCTCCACCGATTGTTGATGGACCTATTGTATGAAATGTCGAGGATTCAGCGAGTGAAGATTGAGGATTTGGGTAGGTGGTTGCATTATACCGTCGAGGCGTCAAACTGGAGTAAGTCATTAACGAAGATTGGATAGTGCTTGTGGACGACGACTTCATTCGGTGTCTTTTCGACATCATCGAAGACCTGTCTTTCGATGTGACGGACCCGTATCACTATCCCGTCATTCGAGTTCTGGTAAGTAGTAACGTGCTTGCTGGTTTCGAGCTCAAATTAACCGTCAGGGTAGCTGGTTCTCAACGAGCAGTTCATGATCTCAGCCCATGATCCAGTGGATGAGCGATCGTCATCGAATCAATTGACCAACAAGGTCATCAAGATCTTGTCGGTGCACGGAAGCTTGTACAAAACTTTCGGGGAGAACATCATCCTGCTGATCAATCGTGAAGGTACGAATTGCAAGACCCGATCCATATAGCCCCATATGTATCAGGTACTAATAAATGAACAGCGGAGACATCGTTGCAGCTGCTCACACTTAAGCTGCTGTACCTGATTTTTACAACCCCAAGCACTTATGAATACTTCTTTACGAATGACCTTCACGTCTTGGTTGATATCCTGATCAGGAACCTGCTCGACTTGCCCGAGGAGGCATCTGCATTGCGGCACACCTATCTGCGCGTGCTCTACCCGCTTCTTGCACACACCCAGCTACAGAATCCGCCACACTACAAGCGAGATGAACTCAGGCGGGTGCTGAGCATTCTTGTCCGAGGACAGGTATCTTACGGAGACGAGGCCGAGCAGGAGAAAATTCTTCACTTTGAAGAAGTTGATGAAACAACACGGCGGCTTGTCGGTCGATGCGCAACTGTGGCGTGGCTACGCGACGTTAAACAGCCCGACCCCGCCCCAGCTGCTGAGATAGCTTCCCAAGAGGTCACAATGACAATCGATACTGTCCTCGACGAGCCTGTTCAGCAATCTCCTGTCGACATCGAACCCGTGGACGTGACTCGCTCTCTCTCGCGCAATAGCACTATTGCTAGCTCCCCCGATACATCGTCACCTACGCGAATGGATTCAATAGATTCACGCGCTTCATCTGAAACGCCAGAGTCTAGACGCAGATTCAGCACCGCTCAGCGTCTGGGAATGCAACTAGAGCCAGCAACCTCGTCTTCGCTCAGCGTTCAAGCAGTCGCTTCTCAGCATGAGAAACCAGGCATCATCACTCCTAGCCGGAAGGATGGCCACGCAGCCACTGATATCGTTGCCGAAGCACCAACCCTTCGGCCACCAAAGATCAAGCCGGAACCACCCAAGACCCGGCGCTGGCGTGGACGCCGTCTTGCCGCCGATGATGATGACCAGCACTCACCTGGCGCAAGCAGTGATCATAACACTATTCCCGAAGGCGTGGAGATCAGTCCTACATCTACACATACAGCCCCGACACCATCGCCCACCATCCCATCTCCACTCTCACAAACCTCAACCGACAGACGCAATTCAGCTTCAGGCTCTCACCTTGCCCCTCCAGTCCCCGGACATGCCCGCCGTTCAGCCTCAAACCCACCCCCAGCCGTCCCTCCACCCCGGCGCTCAACTCAGACAACCCCTTCCTCCAGCCACCACCGCCCCACCACCCCAGTAGCTGGGGTCGGAAAACATGGCCAGGCACCTCCTCCACCCAAGACAAGACGCTGGGCCCGCGGCAAACAACATGCCCAAGCCGACTCTGTAGAGAGCGGAACGAGCAACGGGAGCCAGCCGAAAGAGACTGAAGCCGAAGCCGTTGCCATGAGCTCTCTTCCTCCGGTGCAGACAGAGGTAAAATCCACAGAAGGGACAGTTCAATCTGACCCATTCTCGCCAAAGTCACCCACATCTCCTACGCTATTAGTCTCCCCGGCGGAGGCGGATGAGAAGTCATACGCGAAGGGTGAGCCAGGAGCACCCGTGAGTGTAGAGGAAGCGGTGCAAAATGTGTCTCTTAATTGAGACCGTTCTTCTTTCAAGAGATTTACCTTTCGAGTGGTTGCATCTAGCACGCGCCACATGATATCTATATGCATCGAATGGGGGTTCTGTCCTGGAAATATCAGACATTCGAGAATATCGAGAATACTGCTATGCAATTGATTCGAGTATGGCCATCCAAGCATTAAACCCGTAGAAAATTCTCAATTGTAATAAGAGTAGATGAATTTGCCATTTCGCTAGAAAAAGAAAAGTAGATTACAGTCGGCAGCACTTGTAGCTCCTAGCCATCCCCAACAGCACTTGTCAAGGACTGGCAAGAGAAAGCAAGATCCACAATAAGATACCCAGTCACTCAGCCCAGTAAGAACTTTAGAAATACAGAAGCCTGGGCCAGCAGAGTAAATTGGGAAAGAAGAATTCAGTGGAGTGAATCAAATCTTCATTCCCCAACTCCTGCCAACACCAACAGCCGTATTTCCCCAGAAGGAAACACACTGACCGACTCCCTCAAACTTTTCTTTCAAGACAAGCTTATCCTCAAATCGGCGATCCACAAATGCGATCGTCTCGCTCAGATCTGGCGTCGGGTCGCGAGTCATGACTACCTCGGCGCTGGCGTAGATGGCTGACACAGCCATGCGTCGGGTATACCAGGATCCATCGACAGAGGAATCACCGGCGAGAGAAAGGATGTCGTTCGAGAGGGCATGAAGTTCTGACAGGGAGATGGGGATATTTCCAAGAAGAGACATTTGGGCAAGGGCCTGTGAGGGTAGGACGTTAGTACATCATGCATCATTGGTAAGGAGAGAAGAGCCGCGCATATGAGACAAAGAAGAGAAAACACATACATCCTGCCAATGTGCCTTAATCTCTGTGTTCATGCGCAACCGCTCCGCAATCAAGATCTTGGTCTTCTCCTCAACGGACAATGACGCAGGATCGCGTCCACTTCCCGCCGCGCGCTTGGTAAACAGCGCAGCCTCTTCGACCCTTGAGCGCAGGATTCCCCGGCGACTAGCGAGCCAGAAGAGGATGAGGTCGAATTCGGCGCGGGGGAGGAGCTGCACGGAAACATCGAGGAAGCCTGCGTCGCGGGCGCCGAGGGTGAGGGCTTCGAGAGTGAAGCCGTGGGCTGGGATGTGGTGGAGGGCGGCGGTGAGAATTGCGGTTTGGCTGTTGGTGTATTCGTGTTCTGGTAGGCGGGGGTGGAGGGTTGAGTGGTAGGGGCGGATGGAGGCGGAGGAGCAGGTGCGTGGTGAGCGGGTTGGTTGGATCCGCGGGAGGAGCGTTGCTGTGTTGAGGGGTGTCGGTTGGAGGCGAACGGATTGGAAATAAGAAGCGAGAGCCCTTCGAGGGAATGGGCTGGCACGGAGGGAGGCCATGATGTCGTGGAGTTACGAGATGCGGGAAGGAGTTAGCGATGGAGAGAAAATAAACTACGAGGCGGAGAGAGAGCGGGTGGATCGGGATCTGCACGTGCCATCACATTCAGAAACTAGGCTAACTACAAAGCCTGGGAAACACAGACGTCCATTCTTCAAAGCAGATCTGGATAATTTTGACGTGCACCGTACAAAAATTTGGGAATAAGGGAATCATGGGGGGAAAACAGAAGAATATAGTGGAGAGAAACAGAAACTGAGACGCCGGAATCATGATTGTCGAGGCAGTTTACATGATTTGATCCTGGGTGATACCCGTCGGCTCCATCATCTGATCCTGGGGCATAGGCTCCATTCCGCCCATCATATCACCAGAATTCTCATGGCCATCCTGTTTGATGCGAGGGTGGCGACGAGCGAAAGTAATTCCCAGCGGGCGCTGGCCATAAAGGTAACCAGTAAAAGTATCTGTTAGAAAAAGTGTTAGCAGATTAAAACTGTGGGCAGCGAAGAAATCTTAAACAGTTGGAGGGAAATCTTTACCAATTGCTTTCTCAGCCATTTCCTCGTTTTGGAAACGGACAACACCAGTACCGTTGGAGCGGCCATCGGGCAGGTACTGGATTTCGGCATGCTCCACCTCAGCGACTGTTTTGAAGAGCTCGGTCAGGTCGCCATTTTCGGTTACCCATGGCAGCTGCGTTGGTTAGTTCCCTATTCTGGCGTCGGAAACGATTCTTGTAACTTACGTTAGTCACGTAGATATCCGTGTTCCGGTCACCACCGCCAGTGACTCCGTCAGTGAACTCGTTTCCAGGAGTGGAGGGCCCAGCAGGCTGGAAACCTCCGCCGTAGCCTGGGGGTCCTCCGTACCCGCCACGGAACGCACCGCCAAAGCCACCACGGCCAGCGAAGCCACCACGACCGCCTCCGAAGCCACCGCCAAAGCCACCGCGAGCTCCAAAGCCACCTCGTCCACCAAAACCACCGCGGCCGCCTCCGAAGCCACCACGGGAAGCTCCAGCATAACGATCCGGGCGAACTTCAAGCACACGGTTGTGCCAGTCTCGGCCGTTGAACATGGCGATAGCGTTCTGAGCATCCGCCTCGTTGTCGAAGTGGACAACACCGGATCCCTTGAATCGACCGTGGTCGTGGTGAAGATCGACGTGCAGATCACGTCCGGGTCCAACGCCTGGAGTAACTAAAAGGGGTATTAAATGTTAGTTTACCAAACAGTCCAACACGGGGGAGAGGGGTAGAAGAAGGGAAGATGGTAGCTTGGCGCAATTTGCCATTCCAGCTCTGAACTTACTGGCATCGCGGAAAAGGTCCTTCACCTCTTGCCAAGCAGTCTCAAAAGGAAGCTATACGAGCTAATTAGTACGTCCTGTTCTGGTTTTAGTAGATTGGCAGCTGGGGAGCAACAAACGTTAGCAACGTAGACGGAATGACGGGCAACGGGAGGGCCGCCAAAGCCACCTCCACCGAAACCACCACGGCCTCCACCAAAGTCACCGCGGGGGGGACCGCCGATGAATCGAGGCTCGGCCTCACGGTCCTATTTATGATGGTTAGCGAATTGCTCTCCTATCCTTATAGAATTCACGGATGTGAATGCGTACCTCACGAACGTAAACGAGACGGCCCATCAGATTCTGGTTGCTGAGAGTGTTGACGGCGTTTTGTGCTTGCTCCCTCGTAGCGTATTCCACAATCCTGTTGAGTGCGCGTTAGCCAAGGTTCTTTACAATTGGAGAGGGACTCAATGTGACATACCCGCATCCCTACAAAATTCAAAAAATCAATACCATGCCCAATCCGTCAATCCAACATAGCTCAAATGTAACCGGAACGAATGAAAAACGGAAAACCACGGGAAATCGGGGAGTAGAAAGGGAACCAGTCGCTCAACACTTTGGCGTTTACCTTCGACATTCCATTCGGAAGAAGCAAAACATCGGCAAAGAGAACCTCTCCAGCTGTCAAAAGAGATAACCATTAGCCCAGTCACTAGATTTGTCGCGACGGCGCATTGATTATTGCCCACCCTGTCTCATAAAATCCTTGAGGTGATGCCACTTGACATCGTATGAAAGATTGCCCACATAGACCCGGCGGTCTTGCTGGGACGAGTCACGGACGGATTGCATCATGTTTTCTTTGTTGTGCGAACGATTTTCAAAAGACTTCGGCGCGTAACCACTGCGGCCACCGTAGGAGTCAGACGGTCCAGGATTGCCAGCTGCACTCAGAGGCGATCGAGAGCGGCGCTCGGAGCGACGATAATCGTCACGACCCCGGCTGCGAGAGCGACTGCGCGGGGAGTACGAGCGACGGGAGCGTCGGGGGCTGCGAGAAGATCGACGACGGGGCGAACGAGATCTCTCACGCTGCATACGGTCAGAACCCGGGTACGAAGACATCATGCGGATGCTGCGCGGGATAGCGCGACGCAAGCGAAGGTAGGTTGAAGCTAGGAAATCGGGAAAAGAGGATGAGGAGAAGTGAGGGGGATGACTGATGGAGGATTGGAGCGGGAACGGAGTGTCTCAGCAAGAAACGGCGGGTCGGGGCGATCGGAGATCCAGGTCATGTGACCCAGGCAGCTGAGACAGGGCCGCGTCGAGGACCCCCGTGGCCGGATGGGGAACCAGGGGGGTGAGGGCAATCTGGCGCACAAATGTGCCATTGCGAAAATTCCAAACGGTCACCCATAGGAGCGCATCAAACATGTGTATAGTGTGCAGATCTATTTTTCTTTGCGAAATGGCGCAACGCAGACCGCCAGCCGTACGTTTTGAGATGCCGCCCCCGCACTGACCATCGGTAGTCAAGCCAGGCGTGCCGAGTCGCATCGACCGTATGTGGCAGACGAGCAGACGGAGGAATGTTCGAGGGGATTGGAAGGAGGGGGATAGAATAAGAGCTAGAGTGACTTACTGTATACGGCCGATATATATCCGCTAGTACGAGGAACGGAGCGGTTAGCCAAAAGAAAAGATACAGTGAAATTGATGTTTAAAAGGGGGGGAAGGGTGGGAAGAGGGCGGGTGGAGAGGAGGAAGAGGAGGGAAGCGGAGGCGGGGGGGGAGGAAAGAAGGAAGAAGGAAGAAAAGCACTCAGGAGGTTCAACTGGGGGGAGGGGGACGGTGATTGGGCGGAGGGCTGGAATGCTGAGAGGTACCAAGGGGAGATATGGGCAGAGCAGAACGTCACGGGGATAACAGAAGTAATACGGTCGAAACGGGGGAACCCACCCATGATGGTTTTGGAGGACAGATGCGTGGCGGTAGGGGAGTTGAAGGGATGGGGAGGGAAGAGGGTTGAAGTTGTTTTGGTTCGGAATTCTGATACTGCGCGAGAAATCGGCCCCCACCGCCCACTTCTGCGGGGCTTGAAGAAGGTACGCTGTCGATATCTCAGGCTACTTCGACCTTTAGCTTGGGGGGAGCTGGAAGGCGACGGCGACTAGCGGAGGAGCAACAGGGGACTTTACACGGCGGGGTTGTAGCAAGTGTTATGTACCCGAGGTGCTCGATAGTGTGGAGTCGTAGTGGCCTTAAGCTTAACCGTCCCCGTCCTTTCGTCTCTTTGTCTGTTTTCTGGGAGACTCCGCTCCGCCCGCCTACCTGAAATTACGATACATGTCCGGACTGTGAGAAGGGCACAATTGCAGGATCGTGGTGTCACCAGCCCTGCATGCCTGACTGGCTGTCGGCGTCGTATTTCTGTCTGCGCCAAAATGCCACGCCCACCATGACCATTGCAGATAAGCTCCGCTTCAGTTATCGCCTGGTGGATCTAGACCGGCAGCTCGTTGTCGCGGTCTGGGATCCGCATGCCCCACGGGAGCCTCAGAAGATCTGATCCCACCATGTGGCATGTGGGTATTCCTACAATCATATCATATATAATCATATCATATATACATGAATGCTACATCATACTAAGATGTGATATAGGAGATGGAATACCTCGATGGCAGTGTACGAATATTTATTTTTTGGAACGAACTCGTGTTCATTGCTCACTCCAGAAAAGTGGTAACTAGGTAACTCCGAATAAAACGAGAGCGCGGATGCTCAACACCCGGGGAATCAAAATCGAAAACTTCAAAAAAAAAAAAAAAAGACTAAGACCTGTTTGCGCCTCAAATCCGGAACGAACGCCTGTAGCCGGGATACATAACCATGGTCAATGGCGGTGCTTGCGGAGCCGCCAGAACGAGAGGACCAAAACGCCTAAAAGCAAGCTAGGCCGTATTGCAGAGGGGGTGGTGGAAGTAGCTGTACAACGAATATAATCCAGATACAGAAGGGAGAACGAAGATGATCGAGAAAGAGAAAGAGAGATAAGAAACAAGAAATAGAACAGACATATGAGCAGATGGAGAAAGATCATGCGGCCACATTGGTCGGTGGGAAGCGACCTGGGATCTTCATATCAATGGCCATCACGCTGTCCTGCTTGGGCCGTGACAGGTCAGGGCCCGTCTTTCCAGTACCGCCGGCGCCACGAGGAACGGGTCGTCCACCGAAGCCTTCCTCGAGACCGCTCGACAGGGCCGAGTCAACTGCCACAGCGCTCGTCTTGGACTCTTGGGCATCATCGACAGAAGTCGCAAAAGTGTTATTGGTATAATCGGTGACATTGGTGTTGGTGGGTGCCGTGGAGACGCTCTCGCGACGAGCCACCTGAGCAGGAGCAGAGTGGTCCCGACGATCTTGCACTCCGACAACACCAGACGTGGCGACAACGGAGTCGTGATCCCCATCAGATCGAATCTCGCGGTCATCGGCATTTGCGGTCTCTGACACCTGGCTCTTCTTCTGCTGGCCGACAACGGCAGTAGGTCCAATCCAATCGCCGTAGTAGCTATCATGGCGGCTCATGCGGGACTGGGGTGCGGGACTTTCGTTAGTCGCCCGCTGCGATCCATCATCGGCATCGCGGCCGGTATAGAATCGCGAAGGGCCAGCGTTCGTGCTGTCGGGGATGGCATCGGCCGCGGCGATCATATCTCGTCCAGCAGAGCTGTCACCACTAGACGGGGACTGAGGTGCTTGGAGATGCCGATCGATCTGAACGTCACTGGGGAAAGCCCCACCGGGCTGACGGGTGGCGGACATGGGCCGTTCCTGGCCGCTGGCTTGAACCACCGACTCCGCAGAATACGGAGTGCGGTCTGCCTCATCATCCTCCAACACCTCGCTATTTGTAGACATGCCGCTGACGCTGCGCACATGTCGACGAACAGATGCCTTGCGCACAAATGCATTACGTGCCTCGCCGGTCTTGTTGATAAGGCTCTCGATATCTTCATACCAAGACATCATGGTTTCGTGGGATTCAGCGCGGAACACCCACGAATGGCCCCGGTGCATGGCACCAGTTTGGCGGCCCTTCAACATAAATTTGTGGGAGCTAGAATCCTCTTGAGAGTGAGATCCGAGCTTCTGCTCCGGCAGATACAACGACATGACGGGAGTCTGCCATGCCACACGATCGGCAGACTTGAATTCATGCAAATGCGTAGGCGACAAAACGTACCTAAACGCCCAGTTAGACATGAGCTTCAGCCCCGAGGGAACGAATCCACAGGGAAACTTACCAGCCAGGCGTGTAGCTCTTCAGATACTTGCTCTTGCGTTCGAGCATACCGGCACGAACCTCTGCTGCCGCCGGGTGGTCCTTGCCAGAGTAGGTGATGCTTTCCACATTGCGCAACGGGATGCGTGGGTCGACCAGCTCTTCGGTGTTGGCGACAAACGTGTTCCACTCATGATCCTGGGGCATCGAAATCGGGCCGGCCCGCAACTTATCCACCGTGTCGTACGCCTCATCGGCCTCGCGCTTGAGGATGCTGGCGTACGCATTATATGCCTTCTGGATTTCGCTCACCACAATGGATTCGAGCTCGCGGCCGGAGTTTTCCAAGTTCAAGAACGCCTGGGAACAAGTCAGCTCGAATCTTTTTACATTCCATGCAACCAAGGCTCACGAACCCGGTGGAGGTAGTTCTCTTCTTCAATCTGTTTCTCAACCTGCTTCTCAACACTGAGACGCATCAAGAACGGGTCGCCTTTGCCCGAGGTGGCAGAAGGGTCGGTGTCCACAAGACCCAAGGACTCATGTAGATTGCGCACCGCCTTGCGGGTGCCGTCAATCTCCTTGTCGACTGTGTTCTTGAAATCTCCTGACAAACCCTTGATCTCCTTGGTCTTCTTCTGCAGGTCGCTGCGAAGACCCGTCAGTTGGCTGATGACTTCAATCTCCACCTCCACGGCCTTGTTGGCTTCGGTGTATCCCTGACGGTGGAAATTCTGGAGGATCTCCGTTGCGTCGGCGAGACCGCCCGACTGCAGAAAGGGCGAGGGCAGCGATTGGTTGTTCATCACATGCGAAGCGGACAGGAAGAGTTTGGAGCGGGTTTCGTAGGACTTTTGCACTTCCTTGAAGAAGACGATCAGATCCTTGAGGATCTTCCGCCAAGCTGCGCGACTAGTTAGCGCAGATCATGGGGTGATGATGCGGGCGCAAACAGAGCTATCCAAAGGACTAGCGTACCTTGAAAGCGATTTGCCAGGACCTCTGTTGGGTTGCCGGTGGTCGGGATCGGCACCGAAAAGGCACTGTTCACGTCCTCTGCTCCATCAGCGTTGTATTTTTCGCGGTCACCCAAGCTCAGACTTCGGACACTCCCGGCGCGAAGCGACCTCCGGCTCCCATTGCGTCGCAAGCTCCCTTTCTTGCTCAACGAGGCCTTCTTGCGCAGGGTGCCCTGGCGGGAGGGGGTCGGCGATCGGCCGTGGGACATTTGCGACGCGGAGCGCTGCACGCCCGAGGCGGGGCCGTCGAATGCGATGGAACTGCGGTGGCTGGCCGTATCGAAATCCTCCCTGAATCGGGGGTTATGCGGGAGGGACTGGTCCACGGCGCCGTAGTGGAAGGAGGAGGCGTTGCCGGCGTAGGAGCTGGGTCGAGAGGAAGAACGACCGGGCCCGTAGCCGCGACTCAAAATCCCCGGGTCGGTTTGCGGGATCGAGTATGCATCCTGCACGGGCGTCTGTGGCCGTGCGGCCATCGCCATAGTAGCCGGAACGGGATAGGAAGTAGGGGATTAAAATAACGTGGAAGACGTTGGGACGGGTGAAAGGGGAGAGAAACAGAGCCCAAGGTCAAGATCGAAGATCAAGGAGGGACGGACGACGAGAGCGATGGCGCGGTTTTGGTTACCAGGCGAACGGGGGGGCGCTCGGTCTGGCCGGGTTTGCGGGGGCTTTTTGTCGAACAGGCTTGACGAGCAGGTCGAAGATCAATTCGAATGCCCCACACGACGATCGAGAAGCGTGAAGATGTTCAAGTTCACAGCGTGAAAAGTCTCCTGGACGGTCGAAGGTGAAAGGGCTGGTGAGCTTGGAGATCCGGAGGGGCCATGCAAATAATAATGAATAGGATGGATGACGTCTACGAGGGGTTGACTGCGATTGGGGGAAGTGATGACGCTCCGCAAGTTACAACCACTTCGCTCCGGGAGCACCGGCAGAGGCAAAGAGGGGGAATTGAAGTTAATTCCCTGCGATCGCGAGATGGTTGACGTACAGGACTCTCGGAATTCAACGCCGGGGGAGATACGAGAGGATGGTGAAGCTGCTCGGTTACTTTTGGAAACGTGATCCTTTCTGCGCTCCTTTTCCTCCTTTTTGCACGAAACTACCTAAAGTAAGCCCCTTTTTGTAGACCCGACTATCTGGCTGCCTGTTCTGGGCGTGGCTGACGACGGTGGCTCCGCCCCCCCGATAATTAGCCATTCGTCCTGCAGCAAGACCTGTGGCCCTGGCACTAAGCAGCTAGTTCGCTTCGCTGGGCGAGCATGATCCACGCGATCTGTGGCTCATCGATGGTCCAAGGCACTAGTACCGTGACCTGGGACAAAATCAGAACGGTTAAGCCCCTGATCGTTGATGAGCGCAGCATGACGTCGGGATCGGTCGGAGGGGCTGTCGAATCGATATCGAAGCTCGTGCGAATCTTGCTACCCCTCCCCCTTACAGGGCACAGAACGTGGAAACCCGTCCCCGAGGCTTCCGGAGGTGCAGCAAAACCTTGGAAGAACGTCGGCGGGCTGCCCTCTTTCTGTGGGGGTTGCCGTTTTGGGCCATCTCAGCTGTAGGAACTGTTGTCCGGGACGAAAGAACGGAGTCGACCAGGATAGTCAGTCCCATGGTGACCATCGCTCGTTTTGGAGTCAAGAAATATGAGCTCGGTGGAATGGAAATCCTCGACAGCCCGTGATCCGATCTCTCTGGAACCATACTATCTTTCAATGACCGGAAGAAGCTGATACCGGGACCATCGTTGTCCTTGGCGATGGCGATGCTGATGGCGATGACATGGTTGATGACCGATACATGGCCGATAAATGTCTTGGCGACGATAATTGAAAGACTGCAACGTCCTCCATTAAGACAAAATTTGATGCGGCTGTACCACCCTCATAGGTAAAAATAATCCGGGGAGATCGTGATGAACGAGGAGCGGAGGTTTGATATACCCGCTCCGTCATTGGCCCGCCTTGCCAGAACCCCTCCACACTCCGCAGGCGGTCGTCAAGCTGCAGGTCAGGACCTCGTAGGGCTACTTCGGGCAATTGATGACGGTTCACAACTGAAATGCATTGGGCCGCGCAGTTGATCTATCGACGAGTCCGAGCTGAGGAGATAGGAGGATCAACTGGCTCTTCGTTTCTCAGAACAGTTCCCGTGATCACCTGAGAGACCCCAGGGTGCATGGTATATTAATCTACGTCAAGAGTTTCAACAGAAGAAAACCTAATCGGATTGGACGTGTCCGGCATGCTAGAAGACATGATGATGTGGGGGATAATTTACACAACGCGATTTGGAAAGCAGAATGGCAAGGTCAGGGCATCGAGGGAACAGGGGAATATTTTATGATGCAGGAACCGGGGATGTGGGAACCTCAATGCCGTATGCCTCCTTGATACGCTCGCGGCGGCGTTCCTCATAGTTGGCTCCGTAGATACCTGGTCAATTGGTTAGCCCGTCGTTGTCATTTGGTCGGGCAGAAGGTCGCCCGCGTATTGCTGAGATGGAGATTCCACATACCGCGCCCCTCGCCCAATTCCGCAAAGGTCTGCTCGGCCGGGGTCTGGTAGGCCTTGCGCAGCTTCTGTCGACGCTCAAATTCGTCCTCCTCCTTATTCTTGCTGTTTCCGAAAAGACCCTCGGTGTAATCGTAAGCGGCCATGAAGGTCGCGGCGGCAGCACCGTAGCCGAGCACAGCGGGGAGGGTGCGGGCTGGAGAGACGGAAAGTCAGGACGTCCACACAAGGACAAACAAGTCAATTCATCGAATCACGGAATCACTCACCTCGCAGACCCAACAGAGCACCAGCGGAGAAACCGCCCAGCGCGGTGTTCCAAGGGTCCTCCTTCTCCCGCAGGTTGGCGGAAGCGGCCTTCACGAAGGCGTAGGTGCCACCCATTCCACCTAGAAACATATGTAAATCAGCATTGGCCCTGACAAAGAGTCAATTCCAGGCCAGGGGTTCGTACCGAGGATGGTGATGGTGCTTCCGAAGCGAGTAACCACGGCGAGTGGGCTCATGTTCTGTTTATGGACGGTGACTTGAGCAGTGGCTCCGACGAGACCGATACCACCGGTGATAGTGAGGGCCTTGAGGGCGGCGGAGATAGCATCCTTGGGGTGGTACGAGTCGTCCGCAGCGTGCTCAGCGTGGTGCGCCATGGTGTCTGTGGGGAGGAATGGGCTGCGGGAGCGACGGGAGGCTGAAGTCGAAGATGGGATTTTGGGATACGGTTCTGCCGCCTTTCACCGCCTTCTGTCTTCAGTCGCAACATAGGAGCTTCTAGTTCGAGTTGCTCTTTCAACATCGCGACTAGCAAACACCATAACGCCATCGACCGCTGGATGCTAGGTGGTAGTTTCCAAGGAACCCGATATCGCTGATTTATTCCTTTTTCATATCCCCCAACTGCCATTGTACTTCCTACAGAGCATCTTTGACAGCTTGGCGCCCACTGGTGCCCAGTGCGGTGGGCTCCCTCCCCGCTGTCTCTCCGCCGGCGAGATCCCATCCCACCACAAGTCGCGCGTCGAGGGTGCGCAGATCGCTTGAGCAGTCCTATGTGGTATCTGTGTTCTTGATCATCTGGACGGCCATAGGCACGACAAAAACTGTGAACAGGCTCGCGTGGCGGGCATACAATCATCTACTAGTACATCATGGCATACACACAGAGAGCGGGTAAGTCATGGCAACCTTGGTTGCAGCAATGATCGGACCGATCCTCGATGGGGTAAATTGCTAAAGATATGTCTTTCTCTCTGCACAGGCAAGCTTGCCCCTCGGCTCGCTCAAGATATCCAGCTCTACGACCCAGACCATCCTCCCCCTACCGGCCTGAACCTGCTTTCTCAAGTTCCTCCGGTGTATCCCAACAGAGACGACCACATGCATGACTTCATCTCGCCAGAAGCATGCAAACACAATTATGTGACTAAAGCAAACCAAACATGGCTGGCATCAGCCGACCAGCTTCGGAGGCCTGGAATGGCATCAAAGGTGGCGGCCATGTGCACCAAGTGTCGCCGCCATTTGCAAGTGGTTGTCAATCATAACAACCCTAAAGGCTCCTACACCAGCTTTCAAAAACAAGACCATGTTCATCACCTTGTCTACAAGTCAGGAAGGCAGGGGGGCAGCGCAAGTCTAGAAGTGACAGATTATGGGCAGGTGGCAGAGACATACCACTATGAATGCACCCATCTTTCATGCTCGGCCATGGTGTCACTGCGGATTCTGTCTCCTCTAATCAACGACCGACTTGTCTACTTGTTGACAGACCCCGACGCAATTCGAAAGCGCGCAGAGGAGGCGATCGCCGCCAACCCGGATCGCCTGGAAGGAATGGCTATTCCCTTGCCGATAACTGTTCTAGACAATCTTCGCACATATCTGAACAACTCCCTGAACCGCAAGGAGCTTAACAAACCCATTTCTGCCAGCAATAAGCGGTTTATGGTCGCATTTGGCAAGAACGGAATCCCTTGCCAAGAATTGCTCGAGTTTTTTAAGTTTACCCATCTTGTACGTTGCTTTATCCTTATATATCATGAGCATTTACTAAATCGACTTGCAGGAGAGTGGCGCTTGGCAACCTCCCAAACCCGAGCTCGAAGCGAACCCGATTCCGCCTTTCCAGAAGCTCGACTCAATCTTTCTGGACGACGCCATCCTTGAATTGCAGGCTCTCATACATCACCGTCCCCCCCAGGAGAAGAGGGTAGTTCAGACCTCTCTACCGCCGTCATCCTCGAGCGATATTTTACGTGCTCTCGACGCATCGGACTGTATGCTTCTCCTTGGATGCGCCAACAAGAGTTAATGCTGACTCGTAGGATAGATCCCCGATCTCGGCATACAAACACGTTTGAATTGGCGCCTGCCCCGTTAGTATTTACGCTCTCCTTTGACTTTCTGAGCTGACATTTCTTTTTTTTTGGCAGATTTTATGAAGATCTCGGGGCTGTCGAAGACATGGATGCCTCCTTGATTGTAGAGGCATACAATCGCCAAGTCGCCGTGGACGCAGGCAATTCTTCACTCTACTTGGAGTCTCTCAAAGCAATTGGCACTCTCCGTGGTGGTCAGGATTGGGAGATAATCGACCAAGCAGTTCAGGTTGCGTACGCAGACGGAAAATACACAAATGACGACGTGATCGAAGCCTACAAGTATTTCGGCTTGTGGCATGACGACCCAAACCTGACTGATGACACAATCACCGGGAAGTTTTATGCATTCCTCAGTGCTGCGGGATCTCATGAAACCGAAGCGAGACAGCAACTCTGGAGGATTGGGAACAGCAGAGCGAGTGAGCGGATTAAAGCTGTCTCCGAAGACCGTGAGTTCATTCTGGTTCAACAATACCCTGTAGGATATCCCCAAATAGCTAATCAATTTGATATTGCTATTGACAGGCGTATCTACTGTCGAGCAAGCGCATGTCTTCCTCGGAGTTGATGACAAGACTCCTGATGACTTTATTATCACAATGTACACAGCCAAAGTAAGTTTTATTTTGCGAAGGTACAATACGCATGCCGAATTAATCAAGTCATCTACCAGGTCAATGATAGCCCATCGTGTAGGGATACAGCAGACCGGGCCATGAAACTGATTGCAGAGTCTCGTAACTCAATCGTGCTCAATCATTTCCACAGCACAGGAGAGACAGTCGCAGGGCAAATGGACATTGGCGATGCTTACCGCCTACTTCAAATCCCCGATCGTACCGCCGACGAAGACGCCATCCTGGCCGCCTACACGATCTGCAAGGACGACAGCCCTGACCAAGAGATCCTCTACGCTCGTGCTTTAAGCGTGATCGCTAAAGAGATGGACAGCCAACTTCTCAAGAACTTCGCTGGGGTGTCCTCCGAGGTGACGACACAGAACCCGTCAGAGTGGCCTGTCGGTTTGCAGAATATCGGCAATACTTGTTATCTCAACAGCCTGCTTCAGTTCTATTTCTCGGTCCGCCCGTTTCGCGATATGGTACTCGACATCGAAAAATACCAAATGGATATGAGCGACGTCCAGAGCTTGGCACAGAAGAAGGTCGGCTCGCGCAAGGTGACTGCAAAGGAAGTCGAACGGTCGCTTAAATGTACCACACCATGCCTGGAAAAACAAAACACGGACCCAATGCTAACGATTTCTTAAGTTATCAGGGAGCTTCGTTCACTTTTTCAAAACATGACCATCTCGACACAGACCTGCGTAACTCCTGGCAGAGAACTCGCTAGGTTGACACTCATCAGCCCCGGAAACGAGGAAGCTATTCGCCGTAGATCGACGATATCAAAAATCCAATCTTCTCTGGGAGACATCGACGGAGCACCCATCCTTGGCCCCCTCGGGCCACCTCAGCCTTTGGTCGAACTCAAGAGTGAACAGCCTGCAACCTCGGGTCCTAGCCAGGAAGAACACATAAGGAGCCCCGCGATGGATGATGCGCCGAGCGACAAAGCCTGGACCCCCGTGTCCGGAAGTAACGAATCGAAGTCATCTGTGCAGCCTACTAGTGAAATGGAGAACACGCAATCTCAACCGGAAAAGACACTGCCAAAGACCGAGGATTATGAGATGGTCGATGCCACTAGCGATCCCCCAGTCGCCCCTGAACATCCCAGTCGCCCTCCGCCGGTTCCGCCCAGACATAGCGTCGAAGTCGACCCTCAGCAGCTGCTGCTCGAAGAGGTCGAAATCGGTGCTCAACAGGACGTCACGGAAGTCATCAACAACGTCCTCTTCCAGAGCCAGTGTGCCATAAAACCGCGGGCCGTGGCTAGTGACGGTGAACAGGTCGACCAGATCAAAGAGTAAGATCCTCCTTTCTCCCTTGTTTATAACTATGTCTTGTTACTAATATGTCTGTCAGCTTGTTTTATGGTGAAACTCGATCTTATATCTCTACCCAAGCTGGCATCCGGTCCAAGGAAGAACGGTGGTGTGACATCAAGGTTGATGTGGCACACGGATCGCGCGACATCTACTCTGCAATCGATGGTGCCTTTGATGCCCAAAAGATCAGCGTGGAAAACTCCGAAGCCGAGCAATTCGGTTCAATCACACGTCTTCCCCCTATTCTCCAGATTCAAGTACAGCGAGTGCAGTTCGATCCGGTGAAGAAGAGCTCCTTCAAGTCGACAAATCACTTGAAACTACTGGAGACGATCTACATGGACCGATACATGGATACCCAGAAGCCAGAAATCGTGAATAAACGCCGTCAAGGGTGGGAGTTGAAGAGAACTCTCAAGTTGCACGAGGACCGCAAGTTAGAACTCATGCGAAAGCAGGTAAGAGCCGTCCCCTACTTGCATACGAAATAATGATTGTTTTAACACCGCTCATAGGAGTCCGGCGGTCAAAACCTGACGTCGCTGTTCCACAGTACCGGCAACGTGCTTCGAGAGCTACCGTGGGATGAAGAAGATGTTGAGACAAGCGAGCCGCTCGTCAACGAGGTCAATAGCTCCTCTTTGACCATTGACGCTGAGCTTGAAGGTAAGAGTCTCAAGAGTGAGACTTTAAACAAGGCCGAGTGCTAATTTTACTGTATTACCAGATCTCGACAAGGAGATTGCGAACACGCAAACCCAGATCTCTGGTCAATTTGCCGAATATCAGAACCTTCCATATCGATTGTACGCAGTCTTCGTGCACCGTGGATCTGTTTCATTCGGCCACTACTGGATCTACATCTATGATTTCAATCGCGATATGTGGCGCAAATACAACGACGAGTATGTGACTGAGGTTCAGAACCTGGACGAAATTTTCAAGAACAATGATCCAGCCAATCCGCCAACCCCTTACTTCCTCGTTTACATTAATGCCAACATGAGAGATCGTCTGGTCGACCCGGTCTGCCGCGACATCCACGAACACAAGGCGGCTGTGCCGAAGTCCGAAACGAACACCGCAGAGGTCGTTCAGCCAACCGAGGAAAACTCAGGTGAGCATTTGAGCGCCATGGATATTTCTACCGATTAGTCGTCGGCGAGAAATTGGAAGTTGCCTGTTTTATGCCCCGAGGAGGACAGTGTTGTGCTCCTTGAAAGCTCTGAGGAAGATGCGGAAAGTGTGACGGAACGGGTGTCTCGTTGGATGCAGGCGCATCCTGACGATGAGTGATGGTAGGTGCCAGGTCCCGCGTGCCAAAGATACGGGATGTCTGGGAAGAGATACATTTTGAAATGCTTGGTCTGTCTCGTTTCGGCATTTCAGGTATCATATGATTGTACGACTTCTTGATTTCTCTCGCCGGTTTGTTCCCTTTTGATGAGAGCGATTTTCTGTATGATGCCCTGCATGAGCGTAGCATGTCTGTACATAAACCATGTCAAAGATAGGATACCATGTAACCCATTAGTTTTTCAGTGCCTAGACCTTGGTGCAGTTGGGATATCTACTCGGCCTAGTCACGCCCCAACCTCGTGAGCGGGCTTGATCGAGGGGTTTGACTCCATGGCCAAGGACATCATGCATAAGGCACATTTGAAAGTATGCATACCATGATTTGCAGCCATTCAAGAGTCTCCTCCGTTCCTTAAAACTCATGCTAGTACTGGTGTAGTCCATATGTATGATGCGTGAAGGGGCCAACATCTCCACTGGGCCGTTGTTGCTCAGCCCCCACACTTTTGGCCCCATCTACGCGGGCCAACAGGTGCTTGTTGCGCCAATTAGTGAAGGCGAAAGCCTTGCACTGCCATTCTATGACTGGTTTTGACACGCAACACAGGGGTGCTTACGAGAAAGTGGCCCCTTCCGACGAAGAGCCTCCCCCGGCCTCTGGACGGTATTTAATCTCTCTCTCAACCAAAGCACCATACCCGATATCAACTCTATAAACCAATCTTCATTATCAACAATATGCACGTCCGAGCGGAAGGCATAGGAAACGATGGCTACAGAGCTCTCCGAAAGCACAACAGTCTCCTAGCAGCTGCACGCGGAGGCCGAAAAGAAGAAACCGAGCGCCTGCTGAACGAAGGGGCAGATTTGAACTATAGGGACATTTCCTGGGGACGGTCTCCTCTTTCCCTAGCCGCCGAATATGGCCACCACGAGATCGTTCGACTTATTTTGGCAAGGGGAGTAAATCCAAACTCTCAAGATATCTGCGGCACCGAGCCGAGCCAGGATAACAGTGGGCGAACACCGTTGATTTGGGCAGCCATTCGCGGCCGCAAAGAGTCGGGCAAAGTTCTGCTAGATCACGGCGCAGATCCAACCCTCGGCGAGCGAGATGGCCGTACACCGCTGTCCTGGGCTGCAGAGTATGGGCGGCAGGACATCGTTAAGCTATTACTCGAGAAGGGCGTAGCGGTCGACACTCCAGACTGCTTTCGCCGACAAACTCCTCTTTCGTGGGCTGCTATGAACGGGCATATGTTCATCGTGATGTTGCTGGTGGAACACGGTGCGAATCCGAACCTGACAGACAAGAACAAACGGTCAGCACTGTCATGGGCAGCTGCAACGGGCCAAACAACGATCGTGCAGCTTCTGCTCAGCCAGAAAGACGCAGATATCAATCAGCAAGGTGGTGCCGGGAGGACGCCGCTTAGCTGGGCTGCTGCAAATGGTCACAGAAGCGTTGCTGAGTTGTTGCTTGAGAACGGAGCGGATGCGAACCTGGCGGATTACAAAGGTCGAAGTCCGCTGTCGTGGGCGGCAGAGCGTCGTCAGCATAACTTGGTTGACCTGCTACTCAAGAATGGGGCTGGCATTGCGGCGAAGAGTCAATGATGCCAGATGAGAGCGGAACCTTAGGGAGGTCGAGATTAGCCTGCCCATACAGTGGACCCAATAGTCTAAATCTGATAGTAAACGAATACCCCGTTCTGTCGTTCGCGTGGGCTTGCCGGTCTTAAAACAGTTTCGCATCAAAGTGGTTGCGACCGCGACATTAAGGTACAATTGAACTTACTCGCATATTGTAGGAAGATGTGAATGCATACTATAGCGGAAGAATCGTTTCAAAATGCAAATTTTGAATCAACTTAAATACTCGTCAGTAAACAATTGGCAATCTTGATGAGCAAACTCAACGCCTAATAACGACATGACAACTTCAAAGCATTGAACTGGCAACACGCAATTTCGTCTCTTACCAAACGACACCATCACTCTCCGTTCCTTTCCATATCTCAGGTTTTACTCCGGGCAGTTTTGTCATGATCGTTGCCAGTAATAGTCTTCCTGGGTCTCTTTGGGGCAACAGAAGAACCATCATGAGTGGCGGTAGACTCCACGGGCTGCCCAGAATCGCTACGTCCACGCTTCTTGGACTGGGACCTGTCGCTTTGAACATTCTGGGACTTCGGGCTGGGAGCTGATCTCGCAGTTGAGGTTTTTTTGGTGAGACTCGCCTTTTTCGCGGGAGAAACCTCGAGATCGTTTTCATCCATGTCCTCTCCCCTCTCATTTGCAATCATTTCCTCCTTTTCAGTATCATTCTCAGCCTCCTTTCCAGTCTTTCCCTCATCACCCTGAGCGCCGTCATTTCCAAATTGGTTCAAGTTGGCATTCGGTTCCGATTCCGGCTCTGGTATAATGTTCTCCTCGAGTGAATCGTTCTGTTTTAGTTCGACGAACATTTCTTTGATCGCCGGGACTATCTCGCCATGGATAAGCTCCCTCAGGTAGTCGCCATTCATGTGTGTATCAACCAATGGTCTTTCGTACTTGGCTCCAATGGGTGCTTTGCCTCAGCAGGACTTGTACCATCGTCAAAGGCTGCGAGATTGCCTCTGTAATCGAGCAGGATTGCCCAGAGTGGGCAAGCAGAGTCCAATTCAGATGTTGTGGGCTTGGCGGAAGCTGACTTCTTGCTTGTAACTTTGGTCATGCGAACCTCCGCAGACAATGCCTGTCCGTACTCGTTGCAGGTACCGACATCGGAAATGAACTTGAACCGAGCCCACCTCCTTGCCCTCTTCTTTTCTGTCCATACGCTATTTGGAGGATGGGTTGTTTGCGGAAGCTCTGAGACGGCCGAAGTAGCTCTCGTAGAGAAGTAATCCGCGCTGGCATTGGCACACGATTGAGCGTTGCTGTCGGTATCCGAACCATCTTCAAATACTGGAGCACGAAAGGTTTTGCGGTGGTTCCCGTCCACCTCAGTCCTCATTCTATCCAGGGCACCGTCTTGCTCCAACAAGTCCAGATGTCCAATAATTTCTTCCTTGGACTGCTCCTTGAAGAAATTTTCCGGGAGCTTCTTTCGGTGGCCGGATGAGCAAAACGGTATGCCATATCTCTGAGAAATGTAAGACATTCAACGGGGATTTCCTCTTCATCTTTGTATCCCGAACGGTAGTCCAAGACATCAAGAATCTCTTGGCCTATGGAAGTGCTGTGATGATCTTTGGAACGATCCACAACATACTCGGCACGTCGAACCAATTTTTCCATTTGGGAATTTTCTGGTGGAGGAGTTGAAGTGATGTTGCTAGGGGCCATTCGAATAGGTACGATGGGTAGTTGTCAATGCAGAGTAAGTTGAGTATTTGGAGGGACCAAGATGGAAGAAAGATGGTGAAGGGTTGAAGATTGAAGGATGAAGACGTGAAGATAGCAGACAGCCCCTTATAATACTCTCCAATATATCAATAGATCTTACCCTAAGGCATCATCAGACATGACCCCAGCGAATGAACTGGAAGAACCTATCTCAATGCAACCCATGGTGTTCAAACTATGACCAGTATAATGATAAAGATGACTTGGCTATGGCATGCATCATCGATGCAAGAGTATGATGGCTGTATATATCAGCACCATTCTAGTAGATGGTATAGTATATAATTACAATGTAAAAAGGGTGACGGTAAAACTGCCGCCTCGGGAAGCGATCGGCTCCCGGAGCCCAGCCTGAGTTAGTCGCCCCGCCGCCCTGAGCTGCTCCCTGAGCAACCCTGAGCAACCCTGAGCGATCCCGGAGCGCTCCCGGAGAACTCCAGGAGAACCACAAAGTCCCGCCCTGGGGATCTCTTCCAATATACGGATGTTTGGCTGCGTCAAAGCACCGTCAAATCAAGACGGACGATCCTATAGTATCACTTTAGTTATGCTCGAGGCTTTGTACCCTAATATGCTCGAGAAGCCAGTCTTGTATCTGGACGAGATGACAATTTTTCTGTGGGACGAGTTCGCCCTTCAAGCAACGAAATCGAGCATCAGCCGCGCCTTTTAAGTCCAAAGTCTGGTCAGAAAAGACTGCCGGGTCAAAGCTCGAAAACGCAACCTTGACCTTCGGGACGAGTACTATCATTCTATCTCAGACTTCAAACCATACCACCTTGTCTATGTGAATGAATCTGGATGTGATAAAAGGACAGGCTTTCGGCGAACGGGTTGATCCCACATGGTACCGCATCAGCTCAAGTATCCAAATTTCATCATGATCAACGTTATGAAATATTGCCTGCTCATGCGCAAGACAGCATTATTTTGTCTCGAGTTTTTCAGGGTTTAACTAATGCGTCCGTCTTTGAGGATTTAGTCGAGCAGCTTGTACAGCACTGCGGGAGATGGCCTGAGCTGAAGTCCGTGTTACAGTGCATCCCGAAACTGGCGCTACTAAGTTAACCCTTTGACTAATTCTCAAACCTTGATCACTAACCTATGTTAGTAAATCAAGGAGATTTTTCCGTGTGTCCTGGGGAGGTGCATTGTATTGATTCTTACACCGGGTACAGTACCTATTGCCATAATAGGGCTTTATTAGCTTGTATTAATTACGTCGGACATCCCTTTACTCCACCTTCGAGGCCCTAGATACAAAGCTCTTGACAACTCTCGACAGATAGCTATAAGTCGATGCATCAAGATGGCAACGAACCTTAACCCATCAATTAATGAGCGTATCTGTCATATGTTCTAGAGCAAAGAAATATCCATATCGCGGATGATATTGGCTGCTAGTTGCAAAGAAATACTCTCTCAGAATTTCTTCTAATGTACTGAATGATAACAGGTTCAAAGCACCGCCTGAAAAGAAAGTCTACTAAGAAGCATTTCTCCCGTTTTGTCATATTCCTTTTACGATTAGCTGCTCCATAATACCGGCCTCTTTTGCTGGAATTGGCCTGGGCGTCTCTTTTGACAGGGAGGTTTGGCACTACGTGGCAGTTAAAGGGTCTTCATTGAAATAGTTCCGACCAGTCTAGGTTGCTCGGCTCATATCACCTATGCTCTCCTGTTGGCTATGAGCTTTACCAACTCATCATGGCCATTCGAAGACGCGCGTTCAAGCGCAGTCCATCCTTCATTATCACGGGCATAAATGTCACATCCATTTTCAATAAGATCCTTCGCAATCAACTGGTGACACATTCCTTAAGCCCATTAAAGCGGCGTCCACCCATGGTTGTCGCTGGCACTAACATTTGCTCATTTCTCGAGGAGAAGCTTCACTATATCCTTATTACCATTCATTGAGGCCCAATGAAGGGGTCCCCATCCATCTCCGTCACTAGTGTTGACTTCTGCTCCTTTTCGATCAGAAGCCTCGTCACTGCCTTTTGATCATTTAGCACAGCCTGTTGGAGGGTTGTCCATGCATCAACGCCAGTGTCGACCATTGCTCCACTATCGAGAAGAAGATTCACCACTTCCTTGTGGCCTTTCATTGAAGCCCAGTAAAGCGATGTCAATCCAGTGACGCCGCTGTTGATGTCCGCTCCTTTCTCAATAAGAAGTCTCACTATTATTTGATTACCATTCATAGACACCTTTTGGAGGGGTGTGCAGCCGTTGATGTCACTAGTGTTGATTTCGGGTTCACTTTCGAGAAGGAGCCTCACTGTCACCTCGTGGCCGTTGATTGAGGCCCAGTGAAGCGATATCCATCCATTCTTGTCGCTGGCGTGGACTTCTCCTTTTTTGATGAGAAGCCCGGCCAGTCCCGCATGACTATTTCTGCAGGCCCCCAGTGAAGCGATGTCCCTCCGTCCTTGTCGCTAGCGTGGATGTCTGCCCCTTTCTTGATAAGAAGCATCACCATCTTAATCTGGCGGTGCGTTAAGGCCTAGTGAAGCGATGTCACTCCGTCCTTGTCGCCAGCATGGATGTCTGCTCCACTCTCGATGAGAAGCCTCGCTATTGCCTCGCGACCATTTCTGTAGGCCCAATGAAGCGATGTCACTCCGTCCTTGTCGCCAGCATGGATGTCTGCTCCACTCTCGATGAGAAGCCTCGCTATTGCCTCGCGACCATTTCTGCAGGCCCAGTGAAGCGATGTCTCTCCGTCCTTGTCGCCAGCATGGATGCCTGCTCCACTCTCGATGAGAAGCCTCGCTATTGCCTCATGACCATTTCTGGAGGCCCAGTGAAGCGATGTCCCTCCGTCCTTGTCGCTAGCGTGGATGTCTGCTCCACTCTCGATGAGAAGCCTCGCTATAGCCTCTTTGCCATTTCTGGAGGCCCAGTGAAGTGATGTCTCCCCATACTTGTCGCTGGTATTGACATCTGCTCCTCTCTCAATGAGGAGCCTCGCTACTCCCTCATGATCATTTCTGAAGGCCCAGTGAAGTAATGTCTCCCCATACTTGTCGCTGGTATTGACATCTGCTCCTCTCTCAATGAGGAGCCTCGCTACTCCCTCATGATCATTTCTGAAGGCCCAGTGAAGTAATGTCTCCCCATACTTGTCGCTGGTATTGACATCTGCTCCTCTCTCAATGAGGAGCCTCGCTACTCCCTCATGATCATTTCTGAAGGCCCAGCGAAGCGATGTATATCCGTTCTTGTCGCCAGCATGGATGTCTGCTCCTCTCTCGATAAGAAGCCTCGCTATTGCCTCATTGCCATTTATGGAGGCCAAGTGAAGCGATGTACATCCGTTCTTGTCACTAGCATCGATATCTGCCCCTTTGTCAATGAGAAGCCTGGCTACCGCTTCTTTGCCCTTTATGGAGGCCCAGTGAAGCGGAGTATGCCCCAACCTATCCATTTGATTGATGGTTTGGTCTGTTTGCAGTAGCTTGACAATTTCTGTATAACCATTTTCGGCAGCCCAAGAAAGGGGTGTTCGACTTTCGTATCCTTTGAAATCTTTCTTGGACTCAATACCCTCAATGATGTTGACTCCGTTGCGGATGGTTGAGGGCAAGTCTAAGACAGCAGCGACGGTGTCTCTACTGCCACTGGCCAAAGCAGCGAAAAGCGGATACTTGTATTTCTCCCAGGGCATATAAACTTGTGGGTCTTCCTGGGCCATCGTACGAATGAGCTCAGATAGTCCTTTCTCTGCGAAAATGTAAAAACAACTTGCGTTTGCAGTATATCTTCGAATTTTGAATTTCTCGAAAAGATTGTTGACGACAATCCAGTCAGCGACGGTAAATGCAGAAAGAAATTTGTCTTGAGGGCACACTTTCGCGGCGGCGTTGGCATGGTGGAGAATGTGCTGAGTGGCGTACTGCAGGAATGGATACCGTTGTGAGATGTCCGATTGTATACTCGAACTGGGCTTCGATGGCAATCTGTTCACAGATTGGCGCACTAGGCTATGGTTCAGATAAACGCTGCAACATTGCTTTAGCGTCTCATGGCTTGGGCTCGCACTATCATATCCGATTTCGGGCCACATTTCTTGTAAGCCCTTCTCTTTGACCAGGAAATCTCGAACGGATTCATGTATGAATTGAACCGTTGGCTGTTTGGCTTTTGTAGTCTCAGCAAGTCCTTTTGAGGAGCTAATGATATATCTCTTGAATTTGTCCTGACACTCGCTAGGGTCAGGGGCAGCGACATCCGGAATTTGGTTGTCAACTAGACCCTTCAGTGATAAACCTGACCACAGAGCATGATAAAACTCATCTGGCTGCAAAGGTCGTTCTGCATAGAGAACCCAGACGACACAAAGCTTCAGAGCCTCCGTATTTTCTTTGTCACGGTTAAGGATATTTTTGAACAGCTCGCTTAAATCGCTGGGTAGTTCTGCGAGTCTCCTCCTAAGAGACCATCCACCTCGCCGGTGCTCCTTGTTGAGCATATCAACGACCAAAACTACCCACATAAAGACCCCGGCAGCTTTCTTGATAAGTTTAGATCGTAGCTCCTCCTTCAGAGCAACATCTGTAACTATAAGACGGGATGCGACGTAGGCTGACAAGTCTTCCGTATGTCCTGGCTGATCCTCTAACGTAAGTCGAATCCCTCGTTGAATGACGATATAGGGATAATGCCGACTAGAAAAACAGACTCGGAACGCGACTCCTTTAGCTGTGGATTGTTCTGCCAGATCTTCAAAGCACTGGACCATATCCACAACTTGCTGCTCATCACACTCATCAAGAGCATCGACGAAACAAGTGAATAAGCGGTTGCCCAAGGCGGAAACAGCATTGTAAAAGAGTTCCTTCAAAACATTCAGAGGTGGGCAACCGCGTTGAGTTTGAGACACAATTTCCGAATCATCTAGAACTGTCTGCAGGTCAGGATACCCTTCGAGTAGCTGTAGCAGCAACGATCGATACATCCCACTGATCGTCTTCTCCAAGCTCTCGCCTCGAGCATTGAAGAAAAAGGACGCCGTAACAGCATTTGTATAGTGGGGCTTGCGTTTGAGATTCAAATAGGCAAACTTCATGATTGTCGATTTGCCGGCGCCTGGTTTACCACTTATCCACAGAAAGCCATGATGTTGTATGAGTTTCGCGGGATTGAGCCATTCTTCGTAACTCGGATGGCTCAGAAGCCACCGACATGTTTTGGCGTGCGCGGCTTTGATGGTCAATTTACGGGAGTCAATTTGCTCAAATCCGAGGGATTTTAGTAAGCACTGCCGACGTTCAGATGACAGCGACTCATCTGGTTGTAAGGTGTAAGCAGCGGCCGGCCAACGTCGTTTCCACAATCCTCAAGTACTCACAAGTTTCCCGTATGTAATTCACTTTCACGTGTGTCTCAGTGATGGGTATCTCCTCGATCAATTCTCTGGCATATGCAGCCGCAGTCGCTGCGGCATATCGTTGCCACTCTTTGTTCCTATGGGAATCAGAGTAATCGCAGATCCCTCGAATTGGAAGACAAGGGAGAATATCCATTAAGCCAGCTGTCTCCATTTCGAAACAGATCACGTCAAGTTCTCGAGCAACATTATCCCGAGTGACCCCATGTCTCATAACTTGATTTCCTGAAGCGATTGCACCGTAGTGAATCACTATATCGTTCGGCCTCCGTTCGCTTCGTGGCACGAGCTTTGAATGATCACATTCATCGCAGCTAGCGGATAGCCGGGATGCGTGGTCGTATGTCGCTAGAAAAAGACGGTCTGGTGCCTGCGGACGGCCATACACAACGTTTGTTTCCAGCCTGTGCTGTAGGATAGACGGGATTCGACTCGGTCCCAACTCATGTTTCGCCCGAAGCGCAGACACAGCTGTTCCGAGCAACATATCAGGAGCTCTAGGTATCGCTGTTCGCTGGAACTTTCCATCTCCAACGATTTTTCCAAGATCATACTGCATCACCCTTATTCCGACGACGACATCACCCAGATGAATATCGGACTTGCTTGGAACACCACCACCGATCCCGACCATCAAACTGGCACGAATAGCTGGGAAAGATCGTTTCATGTTGGTAATTACAGTTGCCGCGCTATTTGTTCCATATTTTTCTGCTGGTAAACACGCAATGACGACCCGCTGTTGCTTGATGCTTCCCAGTACGTAAGTGTTGGCGTCATCCGCATGGGTGGGCAGAGGTTGATGGATGTCATCTAGCATGGCACGAGCTGCTGCCATCTCTATGTGTAACGCGCATATCCAAGCGATCGTGTATTCATCGTGTCTCACGGTGGGCAATCCGTCACAGTGGACAATCTTCTGCCGCTTGGGCGAATGGAATTCTGCCGTGATAGGCCCATGGTTAGTGCCTATCTGAATCCCAGTATTGGGGCCATAATGATAGTCCGAGGCCATGACCAAGATGGTACGTATATTATCTGTGACTGATGGGCAAGGCAACGGCGTTGATTGACACTCAAGCGAGAAGGGGCCGCCCGCCTTTCATCATGTGACCTTCAGGCACTTATACTCACCCTTGGGCAGCATTTGCAGTTATGTAAAATGTTAAGATGGATTTTTAATTTGAGCAACATTGTTTGTCAGTGATTCATTTTCATGGTGTCACTTGATCTCCAATCTCCCATCTACGGCAATCGATAAATGGGGCACCGATACAGACACAGTACATCAAGTCGTACAGAGGGGATGGTAACCGTCAGTATTGGCCATGATACAGGATCATCCATATTCCGTTTTTAATCCTTATATGGACTAGTCGATCTTGGCGTGAAGCCCCAAAAACAAATGAAGAGTTCAGGTGGTAGCACCGGTTTGGGACGTACTAACTAACTAACCAACTATCGATTGTGGCCTAAATCAACAGGCATCAACCCCAGATTCCGACGGTCGTCTACCCGCTACCCGCTCGGATGCTGCATCGGTTGTAGTTTCGGTTCTTTCTTTCTCACGCCATTTGTAGGCGCAAAAATCAATATTCAAAAAAGATACTGGGGAATTCTGACGGTCTACATATTCTTTCTGGTAAATACTTCTTGCTAGGAATCTTCTGTGTACTACTATACCCCGTAGTCGTGGGAGTCGCCAGAGCGGAACGGGACTACGTGGTGTGGGGAATCCGGGGGCGTCGGGAGTGAGCTGTTCCGCCCGTCGAGCCGGCCGCGGAACTGCTACTATATAAGACTCGCGCCTTGCCGCTTCGCCTCCGCATTGCTGCTGCGTCCTGTGTTGCTCTCCGGTCTCAGCAGCAAGTCTGTCCTTTCTCAATCCCACTTGCCCACCATGCCTTCTCAAGTAGCAACATGCCTGCGCTTTGCGCGGCAGTTTTCCGCTGATCCTGTCAAGGTAAGCTCGACCTCCCCGCACGCCGAATGCGCTAGATACTGATCTATGTGATGCCTTCCGACAGCACCAGCGCTTCCTTACGCGCACTTTCTCTAGCAGTGTTCAGCGTGCGGCGATCAACAAGGTGTTCAAGTCCGCCGAGGATGCCACCAAAGACATGAAGTCGAACTCCACCCTTTTGGCTGGTGGGTTCGGCCTGTCTGGTGTGCCAGACACCCTCATCAATGCCGTTCGGGCCAACTCCTCAATTTCCGGTCTCACTGTCGTCAGCAACAATGCGGGTGTGGATGGCTCTGGTCTGGGTCTGCTCCTACAGTCCAAGCAAATCAAGAAGATGATTGCCAGTTATGTTGGCGAGAACAAGACCTTCGAGCGCATGTATTTGACCGGAGAGATTGAGCTGGAGCTCACCCCGCAAGGCACTCTGGCGGAGCGTTGCCGCTCTGGTGGTGCTGGCATCCCTGCCTTCTACACCCCTGCGGCATTCGGCACGGTTGTCCAGACTGGTGATCTGCCGCTGCGACACAACAGTGACGGCACCGTGGCTTTGTACAGCCAGCCACGCGATACTAAGGTCTTTGATGGCAAGAGCTACGTGATGGAGGAGGCTATTAAGGGCGACTATGCTTTCGTTAAGGCTTGGAAGGCTGATAAACTGGGTAACTGTCAATTCCGCTACTCAGCCGCGAACTTCAACGGCGCGATGGGCCGTAACGCCAAGATGACCATTGTTGAAGCGGAGCACATTGTGGACCCTGGCGAGATCGACCCGGCTGCTATTCATCTGCCAGGTATCTACGTTAAGCGTGTGATACAAAGCACCACTGAGAAGAAGATTGAGAAGTATACCTTCGCTAAGGAGGAGGGCGCCGATACTTCCGCACTGGGCAAGGGTGACACCGCCAGCAAGCGCGAGCGCATTGTCCGTCGTGCTGCGAAGGAATTCAAGAACGGCATGTATGCCAATTTGGGCATTGGTATGCCTATGCTGGCACCTAACTTCGTCGACTCTTCCGTTGAGGTGACTCTACAGTCCGAGAACGGTATCCTCGGCCTGGGTCCTTACCCCAAGAAGGGCGAGGAAGATCCCGACCTCATCAACGCCGGCAAGGAGACTGTGACTCTCAATCCCGGCGCCGCCTGCTTCGGCAGTGACGAGTCATTTGGCATGATCCGTTCTGGTCGTATTGACCTGACCATTCTGGGTGCCATGCAGGTCAGTGCCAAGGGTGACCTTGCTAACTGTACGTCTTGTCCCATCATTTGTTCTGCCTGTCTGACCATCTACTGACAATTTTTATAGGGATGCTCCCCGGTAAGATCAAGGGCTTCGGTGGTGCTATGGACCTTGTCTCCAACCCTTCTGCCACTAAGGTCGTTGTGACCATGGAGCACACAGACAAGAAGGGCAACCCTAAGATTGTTAAGCAGTGTGAATTCCCCCTGACTGGACCCGCCTGCGTGAGCCGCATTATCACAGACCTCTGTGTCTTCGACGTCGACTTCACGGAAGGTCTTACTCTGGTTGAGATTGCCGATGGCGTGACTGTCGAGGAGGTCAAGGCGAAGACTGAGGCTCCCTTCAAGGTTGCGGACGACTTGAAGCCCATGCTGTAGAAACCCATTCGATAAACGTTTCATTTCGCAGGGGCGCGCATTGGTATTCTAGGGACATTGTACATAGGGCATAATTATATTTTGAGATTGTCACGAAATTACTACTAGTGTTCAAATACGGCGAGTTCACTCGACGTTATCATACCTTCAAGCTCCAAGAGTCCTCGTCATTATTTTTCAGGCTCTCAAGGAGCCTTTCCCTTTCACGGATATCTGTACACTCCAAGTTGTGTAAACATACAGCTGCTTTATCGCAAACATAATAAATATTGGTACATGCCATGCAAACCCGTATAACCCCAAGATGTCCAGACAAATTAGACACCTTCAAAATGATAAAGCAAGACCCATTGATACAGAGAATAGGAATGCAGTTATGCAGTCGGTGAAGAGATCACGAGAAGCGCAGAATTCCGCCCAGTCTCTTCTTTAACCGGCCGAACCAGTCGCGGCTTGGTGCTTCTTCAAATTCGCGAATCAGGTTATCGTAGTAGTCCGGATCGCTCGCTGGGTGTCGGATCTTGGACGACAGCGGGTAGCGACGCGCAAAGCGATCATTCAGCAGGGAGGTCAGCGCATTTACGGAGGCCTCCGACAGCTCGCCTCCGGGCTTGGAAACAGGCGTTGATTGCGCATCCGGGGAGGCATTCGGTGTCTTGTGCCCTATGCGTGACTGGAGGTAATTCTGGACCGAGACATTGGCCGGACGGACCGCATCGGTAGGCCAATGTTTAAGGATATGGGAGATGCGGGTTTGGAGGGAACGAGGGCTGACAGACTGTCGAACTGGGGCATTAGCTGGTGTGTTCTCTCAAGAAAATAACACTAACAGAATGGTGTAGCTGAGAGATATAGAAACGACAAACAGGACATGATACGTACCGGCTTGGCCATGGTTGCGGTGGAAAATGCAGAATCTCGACGTCGGACTTGTCGTTTAATCGCGAAAACCCGCAACCACTCGGAATGACTAAACTTCCGCATGAGGGCGATTGGTCATGGCGGCCTTAGGCATGCGCCACTCCCTGCTGCCTCGCCTTCGACGATTCCCGTCACTGCCACCTCCCTCTTCCCCGTGATATCCTTCTCTTCTCTTTTGTTCGCTTTGCCATCGACGTTGCTTTTCCTCTCGTTAATACTGCTACACTCTTCGCCACACCCGCTCAGCTCGTCATGAGCTCGCAGCGCTATCAACGGGTTCGTATCCCCCCTCCGCTGATCCGCTTGCCCCAGCCCGGGCGACTGGCCTCGGACTTGACTTTTATCAGACTAACATCATCTAGGTGAATGCCCACGATGAAGAAGATGACTCTCAGTCCTACCAGTTGAATCCTCAACGGTCCGGTCACAACCCGACTTCTCCGCCTCCATCATTTCGTTCCCGATCATCCTCGCCGTCATCGAGGCGATTACTCCACGGCGATCCACACCGGAACGATGATGAACAAACGCTGGCCGATGCCTTTGGAAGCGAGGATGAGTCCGATAATGATGAAGAACCTGACGACCGGCAACGCTTGATGCGTGCAAACCCGGATACCCGGTCGTCCGCGGGTAATGATCAGACTGGCGCCGCGGCATCTTCATCCGAACGCAGGAGTGACGGCCAGGATCAGTCACGAATCTCTGCACTTGCCCGCCGGCCTACAATACTACCCAACTTTGCGCCGACTTCTCCAGGGACAGGAAGCCGATCCGTCGCTGTATCAAATGATGGGGTCTTCGCCAATCTGGCAGCCAAGCCGGAACGGGGCGAGAAGAACGAAGATCTGCCTCCGGTAAGTTGCCACGCTCATATACATCACCTTGCGAAATGCTCATACTAATACGTCGACTCTTCAGTCGTACGAAGAAGCAGCCGCCGATGCGACACCACCATACTGGGAGACCACGATTGTGGCTCCCGGTCTATCCTCCGACGAAGTCTATGTGGATGGCTTGCCTGTTGGCTCCATCTTCTCATTTGTATGGAACGCAATGATCTCGATGTCCTTCCAGCTGGTTGGTTTCCTTTTGACCTACCTCCTTCACACTACCCATGCCGCAAAGAACGGCAGCCGAGCCGGCCTCGGTCTTACTCTGGTCCAATACGGTTTCTACATGAAGGGGGGCAGCGAACCCTCCGGGTCTGAAGGGGCCGGTGGTGATCAATACGTTCCACCACAAGACCCCAACAGCCACAATTTCGACCCCAACTCCGTCGGCGATACGTCGGGAGGCGATGGTGGAGGCGCCATGTCCGGCATTTCCACCAGCGAGTGGATCTCGTACATTCTGATGATTGTCGGGTGGTTCATTTTGATCCGTGCTGTCAGCGATTTCCTGCGAGCGCGACGCCATGAGCAGCTGGTGCTACAGAGTCCTGACCGTGGCCTGGGCGTGCCTATCATCGCTGAGGGCGAGCGGTCGGAGACTGTCGTTTAATGTCATGGATTTCTGGGAAACAGGCGGGATCATCGTGGCGTTCATGAAAGGCTCTGGAGTTTCTTTCTTTCTTTTTTTCTTTATTCTCATTGTATCGACACCCCCATCTTGCGGAGAATCTCTCCTTTCGTACCATTTCCTTGTCCTGGACTTTCATTTGCATATTCTCTTCTCCTCCCCGTGTTCTATAGGCCCGTAGCTATTCCGGAGATACCATGTGCTGAACCTGTCGCACAGACTTTCTTTCTGTTTCACTTTGCAGCCTCGTAGATCCCGTCTTCCAACGTCATTGTCATCGTATTTCGGGTTGTAGCCCAACACTGCACAAGCCGGCCACGAACTGCGCCACGTTCGGAGCCCCAGGCAGGCAACCTTCATTTCGCACTACCCTTGCGTCCTGATTCACCTCGTGGCCAGCGTGTTCCCAACAAGGCTTGATCGTATTTGCCGCTAAAATACCGCGCTGCGTCCCCATTGACATCAGGGCCCCCGCCCTCACTGCCGACGGACCCGCTGTTTATGATCTCCCCATTCCCCTCCGAGATCCGTGAGACGAACCATCCCGTTTCCCCAGCACATTGTCATCCGATTCTCAAGGCCGGCGCACTGCGGCCGTGGCCATGTCGACCGTCGCTCCGGCCCAAGGACCCGTGGAGGCGCGCTCGCTCTCATCGATCACGGCCATCGCATCGAATCCCCCCGCTTACCCGCGCAATCCCACCCACGAGAAGCTCGATCCGTTAGAATTGTATATCGTGAGGGTTCCGGGCAGTCAAGGTACGCAGAAAATCCATTCGGCTCTGGTCGCATTTCATTGCATCCCATGCCATGTTGGCCGGTTGGTTCCTGGGGAAATCGTACTGACTGGTGCCTGCGCTCCATGCGCCTCTAAACAGATATCTTTCTCTCTCCTCTGAAACCACCGACGAAATCCAGCGTATCCGCAGAAGCTATCAATGCGTCACTTTACTATGTCCACGTCTCTACACCCGACGACGATGCGCTATTGCAAGAAGTGGAACAAGAACGCGAGGAAGAGGCTCAACGAAAGAGGGAAGCTTTAGAAGCCGCAGCCGAGGATGACCCTTCACAACGCGAGTTCGTCAAGATGAACAACGTTCGCCGGAAGCCAGTGGGAAGTAAAACAGCGGCTTCGGACCAGCCTGCCGTGTCTACACAGGAAAATGCGACTGTCCAAGAAAACGCTGCTCCGCCACTTCCGCGTAGACCAGTTCCCATGCCTCAAGTTTCGGCTGAGAATATGTCCTTCGCTGGAACTCCGGTCGCGATTGCGCAGGCAGGTTTTGGTGCTGAATCCGAGACGCCATCTGCGAATCCGATATTGAAACCTTCTGTCCCGCGACGACCTCTGCCTCCGCTGCCTCCTAGAGAAGAGCCGTACGGTGCGCGACCAGCCGCAGAAGAGCCCGTCAGAAAAACGAATCGCTGGTCCAATTTTGCTGACGGTCTCCATGGGAAAGGCTTTGAGGCTTTGAGAGGAAAATATGACGCATTGTCGGCCGGCCGCCATAGTTTTGATTCCAACAGACCGTCATTGCCACCACGCTCGTCATATGAGCGCCCTGGGTCGGCACATAGCTCTGGACAATCTCCTAATCGTCAGCGCAGACACCGCCAGGCTCCCATGAGAAATGCCGGATTCAATATCACTCTTATTCGCCGCGACCCCTCCTCCGGAACCCAGTGGAATGTCGCAACGATCTCGTCCTCGCCCGCAGACTTCAACGCAATTGATATTGAAATCTCAACTCCAGGGTACAACAGATTCACTGGGTCCAACGAGCCCCTGTCGCTGGCTAGCCTAGGCGCTAATCTTCCAGCAGAACTGATTAAGGCTGCGGGGGCTTCTTTGTCGCAGCCCGTGCCTAAAGTTCAGCCCGCCGAGCAACCGGCAGGTCCGCGCAAGTTCCATCGCCAGGTGTGCGTTTCCAAGCCGTTCGATGAGACTGTCGGGAGTGGTCAGGGTTCTTCAGACTTCGGAAATGGCCATGGTCCAGACGCCTCCTCAAAGCTCAAGAGCGGTTATTACGTCTTCAACTCGCCGTGGAATGGCACTTGCACCTTTTCCAGCAGTGTCAATGGTCGCAGTCTAAAATGCAAACATATGATCTCGGGACCAAGCAGCCTCCCAGTCCACGGCGAAGGCGAGGCCAATCCAGCAGTGACCGTGGCCGAGCTCCGCTTCAACACGCCTTTCCAAGCTGCCAACCTCCGCTACCACGCTGCTCACCAACAACCTCAGCACCCCTCGTCCCATTCCTCATCACACCCTCAGTTCCCTCAGGATTCCATGTCTCAGGACCCGATGTCAGCCTCTAAGCGCGCGTCTATCTCCCAATTTCTCAACCCAAACAACTACTCCCGACCCCGTGCCCACTCAGGCCCTAACTCCTCTTCTCCCACCGAGTTCCAACGGCCAAACTTCAATCCTTCCGCCATCATCCGCAAAACGTCTCTCCGGGCCGGACGCTTTACCCGCCAGAACCAATTCGCCCATCATCCGCGACGCAGCACGAGTACCAGCAGCGGGGGTGCGGATTCGGACGAAGACCGACTCGATCTCTCGCTTGCGCGCGAGCTAGCTGGCGGGGGAATGCGCGGCAAGAGTGCTAAATTGGGCAAACTGATTATCGAGGATGAAGGTTTCAAGATGTTGGACTTGGTCGTTGCAGCTTGCATGGCTGTTTGGTGGCGTGGATACTACCATTGATCTTCCTCGGTTCATGATCAGTCTATTCGTGATGTACCTTTTCTTACGTTGGCATACGAGCGATATCCATTTTCTTAGTTCTTTACATAGCGATTCTTGTCTCCCCTCCCTCCCCCTTCAATGAATATACATTGAAAGTGGGAACAAATCACGAGCGCCAGCTCAGCTTGATGTCCTGTCTCACCCATCTCTGTTTTTCCACGCCCATTCATAAACGACACTGCTTGGCCTAGGGCCCTCTCGACTTGGGAATTAGCGCCGATCGAATACTGATGATCGTCAGGAAATGGAATTTCAGGCGCGGTGAAGATAGAGATGCTGTTAGATGCCCCGCGGTGCCACTATATTGATACGCCTGGACCCACTTTCACGTGCGCCGGTAATTCCTTCCTTAATGAGATCATCCAACCTTATCAGACACATTGGAGTACTTTCTCTGAAAGGTGTTATTGCTCCCAATTCCCGTCCAGGGTGCCTTTATGTACCTCTCAACATGGATATACCCATCGCAGAGAATGTCCTGGGGACTCTCGGTGCAGTGTGCTGGTCAATCCAAGTAAGCCATCACCAGTCATCGACGCAATTGCCGCTAAACCCATACAAGCTTCTACCCCAGATCATCATCAATTACAAAAGACACAACACCGAAGGTCTGCAGGGCTCCATGATGCTGCTATGGGCCGCGGCAGGCGTCCCCCTCGGTGTATACAACATCGCCGAAGAATTCAATATCGCACTGAGGATACAGCCTCAGATTCTGACGACGCTTAGCTTGGTGACCTGGGCTCAGTGTCTTTACTATGGAAAGGTAAATTTGCCTGTATCTCTACCTTAATCTCCATACTAATGTTATAAGCAGAGGTTCCCGGTCACAAAATGCATCGCCGCGGTCGCTCCGCTCCTGTTACTTCTTGGTGGCATTGAGGCAGGATTGATATTTGCACTGAAAGAGGCCAAATCGCGAGGCCTTGAATGGCCTCTCACTCTGATGGCCGTTCTCAGTGCCTGTCTTCTTGCCGCGGGTGTACTGCGGCATTACTGGGACATCTATGTCCACAGAACGGTGCGAGGAATCAGTTTCTTCTTTGTTGGAATTGATGCTGCGGGCGATCTCTTCTCGCTTGTCTCTGTTTGTGAGTACGAATTCTTAACCTATTGAGCTACAAGGCTGACTTGTTGTGATGAAATAGTATTCGGACCCGCTTTCGATGTACTCGGTATGATCATCTATGGGACAGAGCTAGTCCTGTGGCTGGGGATATTCGCCTGTGGGGGAGCTTTTAATTTTATACCGTGGCTGCGGAAGCGCTCCAAGGGCACTGAGGCCGAGGTGTTGCAGGAGCCGGTATCGCTTCACCCCATGCCATCTTCCACCTCCGTATTTAGGACTGCATCTGGCACAGTGGTGGAAAGAAGGGGTCGGCCTCGTTCTGCTAAGACTGGCAGTGCAGAATAGAACTTTTGTGGACTCGAAGGGTGCATTTTCAAGTTGTTCCATGACTTTTGAGAATTGCCTCTTGTTCAAATTCTCAAATACAAGCTCTTCGCATTAGCGTCCATCGTTGTGACAATGCTCAAGACGATCTCAAACGGTATCATGGCGTAATAGATTTGTGTAGAATGTCGAAACAGGCTTCTGCTTTGTTCTTGTATTGACTTGATTTTTAAAGGATCTGCCTAATCTTATCTATCCGATCCAAAAAGTACACTCGAAAATGAACGAGTCCAAGACCTCGACCGGGAAACATCTTGAAACTTGCATAGAACAGGCCAACAAACGATCCAAAGAGGAAACAAAGACGCATGAACGGAGGGCCAGAATCTGTAAACGCGCAGGCGATTAAATGGACAAGGGAAGAAACAAAGGGCGGAGGTCATGCAAATCATCCGGCCTTTCTACTCAGAGGTATCTCTTTGCTAACTCATTATATCAACATGCAGGAAAACCGAGTGTGACTGGGCAGATCAACCGGGCCAGAATCATCATCGGGGGAGGTTCCCAAAATAAAGACAGATAGTCAAAGATCAGGGGCTTAACGGTGGTGCACATCCATGCCGCGCTGCAGCGAGGACTCCAGGTCATTGATTTGCCCGCCGCCAGCGGCCGCCTCCTGGGGCTTGGGCTCCTCGGTTTTCCAGCCGCCCTGCTGGTTGTCGGGAATGGGGACGTTGGTCTGCTGGGCCATTTGCAGTTGCTGAGCAGCGTGGGCCTGGGATTGCTGACGGACGACTGCGCGGAAGCGAACAACCTCGTCGAGGATCATTTTGCGCATCTCCTGGACATCGTCCACAACCTCAAAGTGGAAATCAAAGGTCGTCGGGCAAGTCGGCTCGTCCGAGGCGTCGTGCCAAATATGCAGGTAAGGGTGCTCCAAAGCTTCCTCGACCGAGATACGCGACGACGGGTCAAAGGCGAGCATGCGGTCTAGCAGATCCAGGGCGTCGGGGTTGGCGTTGGGGAACAGGCGGTTGAAGGGAATCTTGGGCATGAAGGGCAGGTTGCGCACATATTCCTGGGCGCGAGGGGATCCAATGCGGGACAGGGTCTCCTCGTTGGGGGTACCCAGGTAGTGCAGAATCTGGTTCAGCTGGTCGACATAGTCACGGCCCTTGAAGAAGGGACGGCCGCCCAGAAGCTCGGCCAAGATGCAACCGACGGACCAAACGTCAACTAGATAGAGTTAGCTATTACGGGTCTTGGTTCCCCACCCATCACGCTAGGCAAATACTTACTGGCCTTGGTGTAGCTCTGGAAGCTCAGCATGATTTCCGGCGCACGATACCATCTTGTCGCAACATACTCGGTCATGTAACCGGCATTCTCCTCCGGATCGATGGAGAATCCACGGGCCAGGCCGAAATCGCAAATCTTCAGCTCGCAGTCGGCATTGACCAGCAGGTTGCCGGGCTTCAGATCACGGTGCAACACGTTCGCGGAGTGGATGTACTTGAGACCACACAGAATCTGGTAGATGAAGGACTGGAAATGCGCATCGGTCAAGGGCTGTCCGGAGCGGATAATGGCCGCAAGATCACACTCCATCAGTTCTGCAAGATTCGTCAGAGATGATCCCTTCCACTCCAGTATGAAGTCAAACGGCATCGGGAGGGGGCGTACCCTCGTAGAGATATGTTTCATTGAAGTTCTCCGGTCGGGGAATGTCCATATCGTACAGGCATGTAATCTGAGGCACGGGGTCAGCGAGGGCGCGACTATGGCCAGCGGGCAACGGCAGCGGGGGAGTGGAGGGCAAGGTACATTGCGATGGCCGCGGAAGTGCTGGAGCAGCTTGATCTCTCTCAGGGCTCGCTTGGCGAGGATCTTCTTGCTGAAGACATTGGTGACTTTCTTGACGGCGACGCCCTCGCCAGTCTGGGTGTTGGTCGCAGCACTGGAAAGAGACAAAGTCGCGGTCAGAGGATGAGCTCGCGTGTGCACAGAGGGGGCACGAAAAAGAAACCTACCAGACGATGCCATACGCGCCTTGGCCCAGCTCCTTGGTGACATTGTAGTTCTCGTTGACGATGAAGTCCTGGTTGAAGACCTTGAAGACCTTGCGACCTTGCAACTCGGCCATGGCGGCAGGGTTTTTGGCACAGGGGGAGGGGAGAGGGGGAGGGGGAAGAGTGAGGGATGTAAAGAAAGCGAACGAAACGAAAGTGAGTAAGTGAGGGAGCAAAGGCGGTCCGAATGAAAAAGGGGAAAGGGAAAGAGGAGGCCTCGACTCGACGTGTGATGGGAAAGCAGAGCCCCGCAGTCCCCGCGGCTGCTGCTGCTGGCGGATCGGCTGAGGCCACGCTGACCCGCTGCTTCTTTCTTGTCCTTCTTTCAGCTGGGCCAGCTGTCGGCTGTCGGCTGTCACCTATCAACGGCCAACGGTCAGCTCCTTTGTTTGAGAAATCAAGGGGCTCCGAAATTCAACCATGGTGTTTCAAAGAGAGCACGCCCTTTTTGTGAGTGGAGCCGCGCCTCTTTTTGCGCCTTTGTGATCTTCGATCCATACCCTACGGTGTCCATGGAACCGAAGTGTATCACTTCCTATTCACGGCGAAGATTTCAATACGTCTGCTTCGATTGCATTTCATAGTACTCATAAATACTTTATCGCTCTCATTTGTTTTGCGCGGCGCCTGCAACTTGACACGAATTTCCAAAGGCATTATAACATCCCTGCCTACTAGTTAGCATGGGCAACCTGAAACGCCGCAGTTAATACGTAAATAGCACCGTAAGATGAACGAGAATGTGAGGTGAGTGAGAATTTGGCTATGCTTACAACTCTATCTCATGCTCCACCGCACATGCCGGCGGAAGAAGCACTAAACAAAAAGATGCGGCTCCAGTTCTGAGCCTGAGACTTCATTCTAGACTATGCTAGCCCAGAAATGCCACACTGCACACACAGGTCTAGGCGCTTGAATTCCCACAAAGATGGGATAAGACAGTTGCTTGAAGCCTGTGATTAGGCTGGTCGATGACCCTCCGTAGCGCATGTGGTTCCACGTAAGCCCAGTCCACCAAGTGAAATCAAGGACCCTGAATAGTAACCTGATACAGGTCAGAATACCCTGCCTACGACTACCAAAAGTCTACATTGCAATATTACTTCGCCTCTTCGGGCGCTTCGCAACAATGCCTCTATGCATTGACTCATACTCTGGTCAATACGTTGTGAAGTTTAAATTCAGAATATAATGTACGCACTTAGAGGACCAGGAAGAAAACATTCAAGAAAAGCGGATGTATGAGTAAAAGTAAGACTATGCGCGAAGAACCGGGCAATCCCAGCAAAGCCTTGGCCTTTTATGTGGCCTCGTGTGAGAGAACTCATCCAGCCGTCGCTGTCTCTTCCACAAGCTCATGTTCTCAACCTCCGAGCCCTTCCAGTGCGCTCGCTCGCCAGGAGGCTTGCACAACCCCACAAACAGGTTTACCATCAGCCATCAGGTTAACAGCTGGCGTCCAGCAGTGCATTGTGGTTGCACCCCAAGAGTGGGCGGTTCTCTCCGAAGAGTAGTAGAAAGACCACAGGCAGCGGGAGAGGGAATCGATCAACTTGGAAGCAGGTGGTCCCAATAATCCTCGCTATGTTACTCCGGAATTCGTGGAGAGACAGACATTGGTTCTCATTCCCTGGGAGAATGTCGTGGAAGCCTTCGTCCAGCAGCCAATTTCTTAAATTAGAGAGATCGCTATGCCATACATTGCAAAACAAGAAGATCATTTCTCCAGAAATGCCATTGTCTTGGAGTGTCTCCACGGCCTCCTTTGCGTGAAGAGTCCCGTCTTTAGGTGTGGAAGGCTTCTGACCTTCCACTTATGCTTTTGTTGGGGGTAAGTTAATGAGACAGGCGCGGCGACTTTCTGACTATATGGAGTCAGACGTTGGAGGACTTCATGGGCGTCCCAGCCAGTCTTTAGGTCAATACATGTATGTCAGCTCAGAAGCCGGGATCTCGGCCTTGCTCGCCATCTTCCTCGGAATGTCAGCCGTCAAGTTTTTCTGGGCCGCCACGGCTTCGAAGTTGCACTCTTGAACTGACTTCGAAGGTCGCGCCTTCTGCCCTCATCTTGGCGGTGGAGGTGGGTGTTTATTGCGCTGTCCATACTAGGAAGTGCTTGGGGCAAAATCTGGGTAAATTTACTAGTACTTGTCGAACTGTTTCCTACATGAGGACCTTCTCTCGGCCATATGCCCATAGATTGGAAATCTGTTGGAGAATGATTCATAATGTATTGCGCCATTTCTTCATTCACTTTTCATACTACTCGTAAATTAGCTCCACATCTCTTACAACGTGGTCTCCAGCCGACGCTCCTTGCGCAACGCCCGAATCTTGGCCCGCGCCTCGTCAATGGGGACCATCACGCCCTTGTGCTGAGTCGCAGGATCATCGCGGTTGCGAATGTTAACGGACCACGAATCTTTCTCCTGAGCTCCGACCACAAAGATGAGGTTGTACTGAGCCAGCTGGGCGTTGCGGATCTTCTTTTGTAGAGTGTTTCCACTGACATCAACATCCACGTGCATTTTGTCTTCGGAAAAGATTCTCTGGACGTCTTGAGCAAAATCGTTAAGCTGAGGCATTACTGGGATAACCATGATTTGGCGAGGATTGAGCCAGAATGGCCACTTGCCGCCGAAGTGCTCAATCAGGATACCCAGGAATCGTTCGAAGCTGCCGATGATGGCACGGTGGATGACAACTGGACGGGCACGGCCTGGGCCGGGGTCGGTGGACTTGGTCTCACCCTCAGCCTTCTTCTCCTCGCCGACCTGGACCTTCTCCGCCTTCTCATGTGTCATGTACTCCAGCTTGAAGTTGATAGGAGCCTGGTAGTCCAGCTGGATCGTCGCACATTGAAATTCCCGGCCCAGAGCGTCTGCAATTTGAATGTCTATCTTCGGGCCGTAGAAAGCACCATCACCCTCGTCGATGGTCCAATCATTGCCGAGAAACTTGGTCAAGGCCTTCTTGAGCTGATCCTCGGCGTAGTCCCAGGTCTCCAACGCACCCATATATTTCTCTGGGCGGGTGGACAGCTTTAACTTGAAGCTGAAGCCAAAAAGCCCATAGATGGACTGCAAGAAATCGAAAAGACCCTCGACTTCAGACATAATCTGATCCTGGGTACAGAAGATGTGTGTATCATCCTGGTGATTATGTTAGTGACCAGCACATTCCAAAGCACTTTTCGCGCCGGGCTTCAATGTCGGAGGTGCTTACCTGTTGGAACTTTCTAACACGGGTGAGTCCTGAGAGAGCTCCACTAGCTTCATTTCTGTGCAAGACACCGAAGTCCGCAATGCGCATGGGCAGCTCACGGTAGCTGCGCTCGCGGTGACCGAACCTGGTTGATTACGTCAGCGTGTCAAGCACAATTTGGTCGAGATCAGATGAGAGCTCTTACAAAAGGAAGTGCCCCGGGCAATTCATGGGCTTCAGAGCCCATTTTCGCTTGTCTACGTCCAACTGGAACATGTCTTGGTGGTAGTGTTGCCAGTGGCCGCTCGTAACCCATAAGGAGGCGTCGTACATATTCGGAGTCTGAACCTCTTGGTAGCCGCGCTTCCGGTACTCGGTGCGCAGGAGCTTCTGAATGCTGTTAAAGATCTTGACCCCATGAGGTAGGAGGAAGGCTGAGCCGGGCGATGCGTCAGAAAAGAAAAAAAGCTCCTGCTCCTTACCCAGCCTCAAGTGGTTTCGCTTCTCAGCTTCCTCAAGGAATTTCAGGTGGTCAGCCATGCCCTTTTTGTCAGGAAACGCAACTCCACGAATACGCTGCAAAGAGTCGTTGGTCTGATCACCAAGGAAATAAGCACTGGAGTTCTATGAGGTGGATTAGTACGGGTCCTTGTGGGGTAATCAAATGGGCTTAGAGTACCGACCTGCATGATTTTGAATGCCTTGATCTTCGAGCTGTTTTGGATGTGAGGACCTCGGCAGAGATCCACCAGAGTACCGTTGCGGTACACAGTGCTCTTCTCGCCGGTAACCAGCTTGTCAATGTAGTGCAGTTTATACTTGCTGTACGAGAACATTTTCTTCAAGTTCTCCTTGCTGACCTCCAAACGATCGAAGCTCTGCTTCTCCTTGAAGACTTTCGAGGCCTTGTTTTCGAGCGGCTTCCAATCGGATTCACGGACAACGCGTCTATAGGTTGAGATTGTTAGTGTTCGAGACATACCATAACAGGCAATTTGTGTACATACCCGCCGGGGATGGCCATGTCATAGAAGAACCCCTGGGGAGTCGGAGGACCGTGAGACAGCATGCATCCAAATTCAGTTTCCGCGCAAAGGCCCAGGCAGTGCGCAGAGCTATGCCAAACTTTTTTATAGTTAGTCGCGCGTGTTCACGTATGGGTTGGGGTAAAACATACAACTGAAGAGATTTGTTAGTTAATTGCGTCTTGATGTATGGGTTGAGATAAAACATACACTTCCCGGCCCTCGGGATTGGAAAATGGAATCAGGACAACGGCACAGTCACCCTCGAGGGGCCGATTCAAATCCCAGAGCTCTCCATTGACCTTCGCGATAACCACCTCGGCGCTCACATCCTTGGGCACATCGCGCAAAAAGGATCCCGGTGTAGTCTCGTATGCTTTCGCGGGGACGGGAGAGGGGTTGTTGTCACCGATATCGAGGGTGACATTGATCTCGGGATGAGGGCGGTTCTTAATCTCCTCGAGATGCTGTTGCCAGAGCTCTTCGAAGAGGTTATTGCGCTCAATCAGCCAGTCGGGGAGGGGTTCGGTGGGAGGGGCCTGCTTTTTGGCGTCCTTCGGCGGGGCAGAAGCATCAGGATTGCCCTTAGCATCGGCAGCAGGACGCACGGGAAGGTCCTTGGGGGATTCGGCAACCATGGTGAATATCCCAGTACGCAGTGACAGAAATTGACCAGCAAAGGGAGGGGCACCAAGTCTGACTCAAAAAATAACAATATGGTTCTTTTGCGAGGGGCCGCGGCGGGCGGTGAGTCATGTGATTCGAAACTGCCCTGGCTAGCGACGCTTTACCGTATGAAGTTTCCACCACCCGAAAACTTCTTCGCCAAACCCCCAATCTCGCAACAGTTTAACATGTCTTTCCGTGGGCGTGGCTCCGCCACCGGTGCGAACCGGGGTGGCTTCGGTAACCGTGGTGGTACGAATTTCGCCCTCGTCGCGACGATGCAAAAGGTCGAACGGAAGAGCTAACGAAATTTTTTTTTGGTCCAGGCCGCGGAGGCTTCCAACAATCTTTCGGTCCCCCCGCTCAAGTCCTCGGTAAATACAATCGGTTCTGATGCGTCTTGCGCGATTGCGATACTGATCATTTGATAGAGTTGGGTACTGTCATGCACTCCTGCGAGGGTGAGATGGTCTGCGAGTCGGTCAACCCCAAGATCCCCTACTTCAACGCTCCGATTTATCTCGAGAACAAGGTACGCCACAGCCGATATGACAATTCCTAGCTCGGCGCATGGGACTGAAACTCACGACTCGTTTTTTATCATAATAGACTCAAATTGGCAAGGTTGACGAGGTCCTCGGCCCAATCAACCAGGTGTATTTCACCGTCAAGCCCCAGGAAGGCATTGTCGCAACCTCGTTCAAGACTGGCGACAAGGTCTACATCGGTGGTGACAAGCTGCTTCCTCTCGAGAAGTATGTCCATCCCCTTCGATGCTGCATATTCAGAATTATTTAAGCTGACTGTTCAAACTAGGTTCCTCCCCAAGCCCAAGGCTCCCCTGGGTGCCAAGCCCAAGCGTGCCGGCGGTGCCCGCGGTGGTGCCCCTCGCGGCCGTGGTGGATTCGGTGGTCGTGGCCGTGGTGCCCCCGTGGTGGTGGTGGTCGCGGCGGTAGCTTCGGTGGCCGCGGTGGTGGTGGCTTCGGTGGTCGCGGCGGCGGTGGTCGCGGTGGTTTCTCCCGCGGCGGCGGTCGTGGTGGCCCGCGTGGCGGTGGCTTCCGTGGTCGGTGAAGATACTTCTGACTGACTGTACTGTCTTCTTACGGCGTTTGGGGGATTCGGGAGCTTTTGCAGGAACATTTCCTTTTTACTTCTTGTGCATCCTAACACAATTACTGCTTGCGTCACTGGCTGCAGGGACTGTAGAACATTTCCAGTCACAAAAAGACGATTCGATTGCTCTTGTCTCAATTGATGACTAGCACACCGCTAATGTAGAAGGGTTTACTCGTAGCATTCAATAGTCCAACGTACTCAGTAGCTCTCGCGTGCATATCAAGTGCCGAGTGGGGTCCAACTTTTATGTGGCTGGTGCAAGTGTGGCGCAGTCGCACCACCACCCGGTTCTGGCACTTTGGGAATGACGTTGACCGCTTTGCGAATCTGCTGCCCGTCAACACTTCGAAGCAGGATTGACTGTCCATTCTCCCTCCCGCAACTCCCCTCTGTCCCCTTTACACCGGCAGAACCCCTCACATTCGATTCCTGAGCATGTCTCGCAGAACTTCGACCATGGCGTCGAGCAGTTCCAACAGTGTTCCGCCGTCCGGCGACAGAGGTCAGTTTGCGATCATCCTGCGACTCCACGAGGCATGTGAAACTCACGCCGTACAGGCCAAGAAAAACAGAAAATGCTTCTTTCTTCCGACCATGGTCACTTCAGTTTGGTCAAGTCAGTTGTCGGAGCATTTATTTGCCATCAGACCGTGACAACACCGTACTAACGTTGTACCAGAGCTCTCCATCTCGCCGATTTGGTCACTGAACTTAATGGTGAGCTCTACTCCGAGTAGCTTGAAACTGGGTGTTTTTGGGTGTTGACTTAATATTTTTTTAGGTTTCTGTGGAGGCAAGTCCAGCTTTTGCACTGGCTTTAACATTCTTTCACTAACTGTTGGGAACAGTCATGTCCGTCTTCTCGTCCATGCGCTACTGCCTTGGAAACCCCTCGGATTATGGTTCCTTGTGGGCTGCGCTCGCGTTCATGCCTTTTGGGTTGTTCTTCGACTTCATGGATGGCAAGATTGCCCGCTGGCGCAAGAAGTCCTCGTTGATGGGCCAGGAGCTCGACTCGCTCGCTGATCTGGTAGGCTGAATTTTCCCCCTTTTGGGTTTATATTAACCGGCTACTCACCACCATTTGCACTTGCGCAGATTTCTTTCGGTCTCGCCCCCGCTGCCGCCGCATTCGCGCTCGGAATCCGCACCTCGCTTGACCATGTTCTCCTGGCCTTCTTTGTTCTCTGCGGTCTGACTCGCCTGGCTCGCTTCAACGTCACAGTTGCTGTCCTTCCCAAGGACAAGAGTGGAAAATCGAAGTATTTTGAGGGTACACCTATTCCGACTACTTTATCTATTGCCGGCCTCATGGCCTACTGGGTCTCCCAGAGCTGGACACATGAGAACATTCCTTTCGGACTCGTGGCCGAGGGCACCATCTTCGAGTTCCACCCCGTTGTTCTCATGTTCGTCCTGCACGGCTGCCTGATGGTCAGCAAGACGATACACATCCCCAAGCCGTGAGCTTATGCAAAGAAAACGTCTGGTCGGGAATTTTGCATTTGGATGGATTGCCTTAGGTTTCAGGGCTGTCCTTTTACGTGCAAAAGAGCCCATGAAAATAAATGAGAAATGCTGCTGTCTATAAGTCCGGACACGATCTCAATTAAATTTAAATGTGAATGATCTCAATGGGGTTAGTTGAATAGACGATACAAGCCCAGTGCATCAACTCATGACTCTCTACTCAACATAGAGTAAATGTCCTGAAGAATCTAGGCCTTCTTAGTTGTTCAACAATATAAAGTCCTCCTATCTGAATTATGCCCCCGTCGTGGTCTGAAGTCGAAGTGTACCATAGGCATCGAAGGCTTTTAATGCTCTCGGTGCTTGAATAGTAGCATCAGGCAGGACGTATGGTGTCAGTTTACGTGGACTTTTGAGATTGTTTCGGCCGTGACACTTTCATCATGGTTGATGCCAAATCTCTTATTTAATTATCTATACGATGGTTATCAATTCCGACGTATCATTTCGCTTGACCCCTCCCTGGTCTTGATATGTTGAACCACGCGGATGAATGCCACACACTTCAAATCCATCGCCAAATATCACAATTGAATCGACAAATCCTGAGCCAGGGCGGTATCCATTGTTCTCAAACTATTCGAAGCACCAGAAAACGACATCAACCAGATATTATTGGTCACGGGTACCCTTTGACGATTTTGTTTGGAAGTTCATTTCGTTGTGAGCCATGCCGTCCGGAGAGAGAAATCTAGAGGTACAAGAGCCAGAGCTGGAGGAAACCGGTAAAAATATTTGGCGCGGACAGGCTAGTAGCTGTCATTTTATTTTTCTGTTCATCCTCTTTACTCTCAATTCAAGTAGTTAATCCTAATTGTCCGATAGCAGGCCTCAAGGTCAGAAACGATTCAAGACTAAATTCGATCCCGCGGTCACAGGATAGGATTTTGTATAATGTGAAATTTGTGGTTCCAGGTGTGCTTTAGATCGATGAATTCTGTGATCTCGAGAGAAGCATAGCAGTGACTGCATCTTACGCACTTTCTCATACGTTCCATGAGTGTCACGGACACATTTGATCCAACCTCCTCTGTAGCAGAAAAAGAATGGCTTTTGGACATCCGCCTCTGAGAGAAATTCAAGATTAGTCTAGCTGAATTAATTTTGGAAACTGTGACACTCGTGGAGCATCGACCTCTCGAGGTATCCATAGGTTGTTGAACATACCATGACCTCGTTCGTGGATGAAGCAAGACATGATTCATGATATAGTTCAATCCCACAATCGACATCCCTACGATCGGGTCAAACTTAATCCCACAGCCGACGTTACATTTCGAAGAGTTGAATGGACATGAAACACCGGAGAACCCTTGATTGGGGCATTGGCCGCTCGGTCGATTCCATGGAGACTAACAGCCAGAGCTATCATTTTACAGTTGAAGCTACCTGTTCCCGACACTGAAGAATTCTCTTCCCTTCATCACCCTTCTTGACGTTCGGAAAGTACAGAAGCCCAGGGAGAATCACACTGTAGTTATAAGCCGCGACTGAATAATCGTTATTGATGCAAGCGAGCCCTGACCGAGTTCTAGACCAACGACCCCTACCGACCAAAGTCGAAACCCCACAATCCCAACCCAGGCAGACGGGTCGAGAACACGGCGGTGTATATTACCGTGCAGTCCTGGTGTTACTTTGTTACTTACAGGAGAGCCCACCGGCGAAAAATCTGCGTGCGTCCAGGCATCGACTTTGCGGTGGTCCATCCAATTTTGATTCTGGCGGCGCAAGGGGCTAGATGCGCCTAGGATTTGCTTTTGGCTGGAGGTGGGGGCTCCCGACCGCTCTAACGGACGCCACGACTCCATAAATAACAGAGGGGGTGAGTCAGGTTGTGCTCCGGGGGTCTAGCCAGTGTCCTGCGGCGTCGTTGGGCTTGTTTTTTGGGGTGGACAGGTGAACTGTTTGCCCATGCGGTGGGTGGTTCATGCAGGGTTGCGGGTATCGTTGCTGTGTTTGTGACCCGCCAAGGCCACCCGGAAGGCGACCTTGACTGTGAAAGTGGTGTTTTCCGGAAGCTGCTTCGAAACTCTAATATGTCGTATCATCTAATGCTATGACAAGCGCAACCTTGGGTATCAAGCAAGACCAACAATAAAACTGTCCATAATTAAATTCTCCTGGCAGCACGGGTGCGATATTCGCTCGCAGTGTGGACTCTTATGCCTGAATCAGGGTCTTGTGAACGGTTAGCCATTCATCGTCTCATCGATCCAATCAATGTATTAGGGTAGTGTACACATTTGATGCTGTGTTTGTTTTCCTGATGATTTTTGCGGTTGTGCGACCAGATAAATTCATAGTCACAATTCGATAAAAATATTACCATAGATTGTTCACTGATGCTGTACTCGAGATATATATATGTACATGCAAAACGACCCGTCATATATCACAGTTGCATATAGATATCTGATTTTATGTTTTCTGCTCATGTCATGTAAAACAGGTTCCATCATCAATAAATAGCATTGATATATACTTGAACCACACAAATTCGAAAGATAGTGGCAAGCGACGAGACCCGGTGACGAAGATGCCGCCAATTTTACCAACAACTTTGGAACCTTGGAACCTTGGAACCTTGGAAACTTGGTAGAGTATGAGGTACATAATTTGAAGATCAAATCTTCAGGCTAAGCGCTGCTCTATCGTGACCAATGTACGACCACAGACAATTCTCCAAGCGACCTGGCTCGAACTGCCCTTGCCCGGGATGATCATGTTCAACTCGGTCCATGTTGACGTGTTCTGAGCACGCGACTGGGCGGGTAAAGTCTGTGTGGAGGGATCGGCTGCGAGGGTCGTCACGGTACCACAGTACGGGCGGTACCAGCGGGACGGGCTGTGTCAGGACAGCTCATCTTTGGGTGCGGTCCACCAGCCGGGAGTGTCCGCTCGCTTTACCGTGGGCAGAGTACCCGTGGGAAAAGGGGTTCGCACAGTTTGCTGCCAAAAATATGCAGAAGCTTCCCGGTAGATGTCTTGAGGATATGGGGAAGACACGAGAGCTCCCAGAATGTCAGTTGGTATAGTTCCATCGGAGTTAAGCTGACAAGTGTGATGGACTACTGTAGGCTTTATTCCCTAGCGCGTAGGTAGGGGCATCACCCCCCGGACGGGAAATTGGCTCCATGCGCTAGGGTTTCATTTCCCTGGGAAAGAAAAAGGGCACGACTGGTGCAGCAGATTACCCCGTCTGAGACAAACGCCTTGGAGGGTGCTTCCCACTACTGCTAGACAGTCATAGTACAATAGCCGAGTCCGACCATCACAAGCATTGGGACGGAAGAGCTCGGGGAAAATTACTCCAGGACTCGAAGATTCTGCGCAGCCAAGAAGCGCCTCCTTAGCCACCAGTTGATAGTGTCGTCGCGGCAGTCGCCTTTCGCGGTCGTACCCGAGGATGAGCCCGGGGACCTTAAGATATTTGGAGCCATCATGAAGACGGTCGCATTCATTCTTTGTACACTCTCGCAGTGTATATACACAGTGGTTAAACGAAGAGGGGCGCTTCATGTGGCAAGTCGTGATCGGATGAAGTAATGGGCGCCACACCACCTTTGAAAGACCCCCTTTGGGCTCCAGCGGGGCTCTCCGACGGCTCCCGTTGGCTGCCCCGGGCCGTGTTTTGTCCAAAGCAGTAACCGATCGCCCTCGAGCCCAAGGTCATATCTGATTAGTCATGATCTGCGTGATCGTTGATTGGCGCAGCGGGGCGGTATGGTGCATTACCGCCAGGAACAGGCACAAACAAACCCACACCTCGTGAAGGTACCTGACCCTGACCTTTCACCCTAGTGTAGGATACTGATGTGCTGTTGTACAGTACACTGCATGTACCGGTACGCAGCCCACCATAGTAAATTGGCAGGAGCAGCAGGTATTCGGTCGCCTGGAGTACCGGCACCCCCGGGGAACGGACCCCTTGACCCTCGCAGAACCGTCACTAGGCCCCATACCCCCGTTTAGGGCCCCTTTCGTCCTGAAGATTCTCCCTCCTTCACCCACACGCTCATTATCTCGACGCTTTCGAGGGACACTCTCTTTGCTTTCCTTCCGGTTGGAAACTCGACCGGTACCGCGCCCACTCGACAATCAAATCCCCTTTGACACTTGTCAACCGCTCAACAAAGCCAATTAGGGGGGCTGTGAAACCTGTCCCTCGATCGCTATTCGTCTCACGGGGCGCTCGTTCAACCCCATTCCTCTCGCTGAACTCCGATTCTTTCTCTTTCCTCTTCGCTCTCTTCGGATCCGTCTGACTTGGTGCTTGTTCGGCTCGACACGCTTGCCGCTCTTTCCCACCGGGTATCTTCATACGCGACCCTTCCGAGGTGTTCGTGTCGAGACCCTGAAAACCATCCTCCCAAGTTCACGACGTTTATTGCCTTAACTACCTACTGAAGTTAACCAAGGGTTACGCGGGTCGTTCCTGGTTTCTTCTTTCCCCTCCGCGACGACTGCGTCTGAAGCGGTACTCTTCTCCGTTCCTTTTCGTGTGTCGATATATACTCGCCTCCGTTCGAACTCGCCTCACTTCGATCATCACCATGCGCTTCACCACGGAAACCGCCCTGGCGCTCCTGCTCGTGGCGGGCTCAGCCTCTGCCAAGTCATTCCACCGCGTCGCTATTGCCAAGCGAGCCGACCCGTTCTTTGAAGGGTGCTACAGCAGTGCCGGGAGCCTCTCGGACTCCAAAGAATACACCTACCAAAGTACCGGATACTGCTCGACTCGATGCTCTGGAATGAACGCCTCCGTCCTGGCCACGACAGATAGCAAGTATTGCCTGTGTGGTGACTCGCTACCTCCCTCATCAGACAAGGTCGACAAGAGCAAATGTGACAGTACCTGCCAAGGATACCCCGAAGAAATGTGTATGTGGATGAGAAACCTCGAACCTCAACTGCATCAAGTGATACTAATGAATGAACCACAGGCGGTGGTGATGGCTTCTACTCAGTTTATTCCCTAGGTGGCAGCGATAGTTCTGCCACGACCAGTACGGGCGACTCCTCCCCGACCAAAACCGATGCCGCCGCCGAATCTATCTCAACCAACGCCGGCGGACACACCGTCGTCGTGACTGCCCCCGCCGCCGAGAGCACGAACTCCGATGGCGATAAATCTAAGGGTGGCACCAACACCGCTGCCATCGCGGCGGGTGTGGTCGTGGGTGTGGTTGGTGTCGCAGCCCTGGCCGGCGGTGCCTTCTTCTTCTACCGATCTCGCAAGCAAAAGGCTGAGGGAGGTGCCGGCGCAACCGGATTCAGCCGGAACTCGCATCAGCAAATGTCGGACTCGCGCTTCGACGGTTCCTACATGGCCCAACGTCGCCAGAGCAATGGCAGCATCGATGACGACCACGACTTCTCCCGCCGGATCCTTCAGGTCACCAACCCTGATCACCGCTATTAAGCAAACGACCGTCGCTCTCCCCACAGTTTCTCTCCTACCTTCGCCCCATTTCATCTCGCATCGTCGACACTTCCCCTCAATCTCTCCTCCCCCCGATATCCTATCCCCCATGAGATCTCTTTTTTTCTTCCCTTGTCATATTTTCCTCGGGTTTATTTAGCGGAGTTATGATATCCGAAAGGCATATGGCTCGACCCCCATTTGGTGTCCATATTTGGTGAATTTTCATTTTACATTTTGTTTCTATTCTGGCCGTGCCCTCAGATGATGTGCATTTTCCGTGTGTCCATGCACCGAGTCAATGGCAGCTGTCAAACAATCGACGGATCCAAGTCGTACAAACAAGCCGTCCGTATTGAAAGATCAATCGCCCGGGGATCCACGAGCCAGCTTGAGATATTCTGAATGTGTCTCGATGGACAGGGGCTCTGACGGGATGTATTGAATCCGAAAGGGCGTTTCTTCTTTTCTCATTTTGGCTCTATCGAAGCTCACCCGAGCAGACCGTTCCCTTCCACGATTCCTTTTTTCCCTCTACTTTTTTCTCGAGCTTTCCATACGGGTCCGAACAACACGTTCAAGTATATGCAATACTCTTGAGATATCTGCTTTTGTTTTCGACTTATCCCGTGGATGGTGCTGTAAGTAGATGAATTAGCGTGTACCTAATGCGAGAATGGATATGCACATCAACATGCTACATTGTAGTTGTTCTAATATAGCCGTCAGCTGCGAATGTCCCACGCCGACTTGGCATAGAAAGACTTCGCTACAAGTACATTAGTGGGCGATCGCGAGCCATTTGATATTGTGGCCTCCAGGTATCGATTCGTTCTACCTATTCCGTCGCCTACTCATTCAGGCATGTTCCAAACACTCCGAACCAAGACATCCTCTGCCCATTTTCCGCCCGTCCAGTCCTTGACAGGGAAATGAGCACTCTTATTCCCACCCGGCACAAGCCGGAACCCATTATCCGAGAAGTACCCTTGCACTTCAATCGGATGATCCAGTCACAACCATGCCGCAACGCCCATTGCCGCCTCAAGATGAATCTCATTACTTCTAGCGATATGCGAAACTGGCAATCCAGAATACTGAATCTTCGCCTTCAGCAAGGATAACGGGTGAAAGAAAGAGGTGTGCGAGTACGTCGTCTTATGTTATGTGAGTCGTTGGGCGCAACTCCTCCGGATACATCCACTCGAAGCAAAGTGTTTGATAGAACAAGGCTTAAGTATACAAATACCCCTTGTTCGCTTCTCGGATCGCTTCTAGATTTCCAAGTGTCAACACGTTCGAACAGCACAGGCTCAAGATGGTTGGCGCCTCTCACATTTTGGTGGCCCTGGCGGCGATCGCCAGCGCTGCCCCGTTCACTTCATCTGGCCACACCTGCAAACAAGTCCAGCAAGTCCAGTTTGATTTCGCAAAGGGCACGAACAAGACGAGGCCGTGAAAGTGGCATATGTCCGCGAGTGGCGTCAGTATTCGAAATATGCCTTTCCGAAGGATGACCTGATGCCTCTCCCACAACGGTACCGATGATCTCTTTGGGTGGAGTGCTAGTGTTGTTGATGGCATCGACACTGCCATCGTGATGGGACTCACGGGTATTGTCGAGCAACAGCTTAAGCATATTGTTTCAATTGATTTCACGTATGTGTGGAATTATCCATTAGACGACACCCAATAGCCAGCTACCCGAACATCTGCTAATATTTGGGAAAGAAATTCCGCGGATATTGTCAACTTTTTCGACATCAACATCCGTTACCTCGGCGGGTAATTCCTGTCACCAATAATTTACGGCGGAGGCTGATTTTCCTAGTCTCCTAAGCGCGTATGACTTGATCAAGAGCGGTCGCTTCCCCAACCCTTACGATGAAAAGCTCGAAGCATTGCTGTCCCAGGCAAGGATCCTGGCTACTACCATCAGTCCTGTATTCGACACGGCTACTGGTCTACCAGCGCAAATGAACTTGTCTTCCCAACAGGTCATTCGGAGCACGACGGCCGTGAACGGTACCAAATAGAACAGCACCAATACTGCTCAGGCTGGAACCATGATCTTGGAGTACTACCGTCTGTCAGATCTGACAGGCGGTGAATCTTTCCGCCAGATGGTAATACCTGGTTCAGTTGTTTCAAATACTCGGAGAGCGCTAACAAAATACTACTTCAACAGGCCCAAAAAGCCGAGAAGTACTTGGTCAACCCCAAGCCTGCCCCGGCATTCCCGGCTCTTGTTGGTACTGAGCCCGACACCGAAACCGGCATCACCTTTGATGGCGGATGGCTGGCTGGAGTTGACAGTTTTATCGAGGTGAATAACTCAGACCATACACCGTTTCCCCCTTGTACTCACTGCCTTCAAATATCTCATCAAAACCTACATCTACGATCCTGAAGACGACATGGTGGCTGAGCTGCGTGATTTCTGAATTGAAACCATTGAATCTAACATGAGGAATATCGCGCTGAGCCCCTACCATCGACCAGATTTCACCTTCCTCTCTCAGCTCGACCAGAATGGCAGTATCATGTGGACAATGTATGATTGTGGGTCGATCTACAAATTCCTAAGAGCAACAACTAAACTGATTCCTCGGGCTTGCTTCGCCGGTGGAAATCTCCTCCTCGGCGGAACTTATTTGGATCGACCCGATATCTCAGAACTGGGAATAAAGGTGACGGACAGCTGTCACTGGCTGCTTACAATAAAAATGCCACAAATCGCGCCTACGCAGCGAAGAACGGCTACATTATCGAGGATCCGTCCTTCCGCTCGTACCCCGAGCCACTGGAGAGTAACTTTTACGCCTATCGGATCATGGGAGGCTCCCGCTGGCAGGACTACAATTGGGAGATCTTCCAGGCGCTGAACACGACTCGCTCGAAGTCGGTTCCGTACGCGGAGATTACTGATGTGAATGCGCCGTATGGCGGGGAGCTGGTCAATTTTGTGTCTAGGTGGGCATTAAATCAAACTTTCGAAAAGACTGCTTGCTAATTTGTTGCAGCTTCTACTTCACCGAGGCGCTCAAGTACTTGTATCTCAGCTTCACTGAGCCCGATGTCGTTAGTCTGGATGACCTTGTGTTTAACACTGAGTGCCTTCCTGTCTTGAAGAAGAAGGCGTGCTAGGCTTCTCGACATTGAGTTTTTAATTAAATCGGTAACTTGATGCTGACATGGAAGGTGGTGTAGTCGTGGGAATTATTGGACGATTCTGATAGTAGTAACAGATGATTGTATAGAGAGGACAAGCAAAGAAGATGAATCAAGCACAAGCATCATATACTATATATCACATTGGCTAGTATTATAATAGATTTTACTACGATGAATTGAATAATGTGATGAACTATGTGTATTTGCACATCGAGACGATTGTACCAAATCGAAACACGCGCGAAAGTATAGAATTGAGAGCACAAGATATTGTGGACGCAATGGTGATGGTTCTGCAGTGAAAGCTATCTACTAATTATTTTAAAAGTAATTCTTGCCAGTGTCAAACATTTTTGATCTTTCATCTCTACTTTCAGGTCGAACGATAGGTCTCTCTGGGTGCTTACGAGTCCAGAATAGCCACCTCAACGGGCAGGCGGCGTCACCAGGACTTCCCTCATCGCTGCCCACGCCTCTGTCCATCCGGAAATTCTAACAGCACAACTCGGGGCTCACCATCACCCCCGAAAACAAAGTCGAGTTCATCCCCCTCGCATCACATCAGTCGTCAGCACGAGCGGAGAGACTTAGCATCCCGATCTCCCGACCTCAAAAGCCACCGAGGTCATCCAAGACCATGCCGGAGCACTAAAGCCGCTAGCGCAAAGGGACACCAACTACGAACCCCGGGAACCAACGGCGGTTAGAAAATGCATATCCGAGCTCGACGGCCGGAAGGAGACGGTAACGACACGAATCGAAAGTCGACTCCCGACCACTGGCAGCATGCGACGAGAAATATTACCACGTATACTCAACACTCGTATACAGTGCGTCTGTGGCAATTGTTCGGCGCTTACGACGAGCGCCGTGATACTACTGTATGTGCGAGGGTGGATAGGTCAAACCACGCACCTACCTCTGGGTTACTTCTGGCTGAGGCGCGGTGTTTGCGTCGGTGCCTGGTTGAAAGCGGGATTGAAGGTCGTCCGTCCGTTCGATATCGTCCCGAGGGAATGGGTTTCGGCCATAAGAGTCGTCATAACCCCGACTACCGTTGCCTACATGGATACACCGCCGTCGACGATTGTTTGCGGACTTAAGAGAGACGGACTCGGAACTCGGAGTCAAAGACATGCATTACCATAAAAACTCTAGCCAATGTGTGTGGAGTCCGACATGTCGAGGAAGAGGCTGCGTTACTGGCGGCGCTACACACTACTGCACTCATGCTCTAGGTACCGAAATTCTCCCACTGGATGACTACCACTATGACCTCTGAAAGTAGTAATCGAAAAGCAGCAGGAGCTATGCCACGAGATAAACCAGCAAATCCCCTTCCCCCTGGATCCAACAGCGCCTAAAGCGATGAGTCGGCCGCGTACCCCAGAGTCAGGGACGTGATGTCATAGTGCGGACGATGATCGCAGCTCGGAGGCCCCAAGGCGTATTCGATAGGCTCGCAACATGCGTCACGTCAAAGGCTTGAGCTAGATTTCGCCGCTTGCATTGCCATTGCACGCGTCTTGCTGAGAGACTGGGGGTGTGATTCGTCCTAGGAAGGGTTGTTGGTTCCCGGCGGGTTGGACGACTAGGGTGGTCATGCAACAACACGATCGCAGGTCGCCTGTTTTGTTCGTACATTGTGCATTGTCAGAAAGGTTAAATGTTGCTAATTAGGGATCTATACCCTACATTCGAAGGTATTTGGCCATGCTTAGTTAATTGTTCGTTTTAGGATAAACAGTGACATGAAATCCTCGTGACGGTCCACGTTTTTACCTTCCTCTTTCCATCACGACCCTCAACGAGTGCCAGGCACGTATAAACCCCTTCTGGCTCCATCACTACGTCAACCCAAGTCTTGACTCAAGAGTTCTACATGCTATTTCAGGCCGGTCCTGGCAATGAACAGTCGAACCATGGAACGCAACTAGCTATTCAGACTGGAGTAGATTGTCGTTTGAACGATTTGCGGAGCTCGATTTAAGTGGGTTGTGTTAGGAGGGCTCTTTATTTACTGTGATTGGCGTCGAGCGGATATTTCCCGAGCTTTTCTCCGAGCTTTCGTCCTGTCTCGACCGCGGTACACCTAGGACGATGTTTGGCTGGCCCATGGAACCGACGCTACTGCCTACTGCCTAAATCCTCGCAGGATCAGAAGGATTGGTGGACTCGAGACTATCCGAACGGCACGCGAGCTTCTCCGGGCTGGACGGAGTACCCGCCGGGCAAATTTAACCGTGGTTGAGCCGTAAATCGTGGAGATGAGTGGATATCAGCCTGCGACTTTTCTTTGTTGTTCCTCCCACCGAAAAGTAGTCTAGAAACCCTCGTCGTTCTAACGGGAATGAGTTTGGATCGACAATTTGCGGTGATGTGATAGGTAGACTCCGATGATTTGCGCCCGAGTGGCCGAATGTGTTCAAGAGGCGCGAATGCGGCGAATATACTTTTTATACCTGGACAACCTACAATACTAAGTAGTATACCCCTGATATACCTAATGTATGAGTGGAATGGGATGTCTACATTGTGTATCGCTCAACATATCCGGCCAGCAGGTCAAAAGCCGACCACGAAAGGAAAAAGTCGGCTAATTCCGAAATATCCACAACCGTGGGAAATGAGAGCTCGTAGCAGCCGCCAACCAGAAGACAGAGCAAGCGAGTCGTTGCGAGTCGTGAAGTGTTAGTCCGATTTCACGAATCAACCCTGCCCCAAAATAGCAGTCCAGAGCCAGCGCATCACCCTTCCTTTAGGAGAGGCGAGTATTGGTAATCCACGCACCCTGACATATCCCGCAGTCATCGTGATGGAGATGGCGATGCAGATGCATCGGGGCATGTCCTGAAACACGCGATCAGCAGGTGGCTGGACCGGGGGCGATAGGCTATCGGATTCTTCGCGTGGATTGCCAGCATTGAAGCCCGCATTACCCGACTCGGGCGCGGGAACCAGGCTAGGGCACGCTAGGGTACGTTAGGGCCCGATAGGAGATTGGAGAGGGCGAGATAAAAATAAATGACCCTCAATTATGGCCCTACTACAAGTAAAATGATCAGCAAGCATAGTCCACGTGTAAGCAACGCTGAAACGAGCAGAACGGTCTATACGAATGGACCACTCAGCGTCCACGCATCTACCAACAGTTACGAGTGTTGGCAACTGGATTGCCTCAAATGGTTTAGGCTTGCAGGATTCACGCAGTCATGGCTGCACTACTGCAGCGCTGCAGCCACCATGCCTTACACCCTGAGTAAGGTTGTACCTAACTTAGGTAAGATACACCCAGGATGTATCCCCTCTCACTACCACGCTGTAGGGAAAAAGTCCCTCGCACCCCTGCTAGCTGACCCTTCCACCGGGTCACGCATGGCGGTTCGTTACAATGGCATTACCTTCCCACGCTGATCTCGTAGATTGGGATTTTCGTGCTAGCGTAGTCTCTCCCACCACCCATGGTCATCCCTGATCCTTCGGCCATGTGGTCGAGCAGGGATATGCATCCTGCGGTGTTAACGGCGACCAGTCGAGGGGGAAATGAGTGAGATTGGTCCTCCAGCCAGCGACTGGAACAAAGCGTGTTGCGGCAATGCGCCATGCGCGAAATCCCCAGACGAGGCGACAACGGCTGAAGGAGTACACTCGGCCGTCGGCTAATCCATCATGGCTCTCCGAGATGAGGTGGTAAGCTGAACAAACGCGATAAATTCGACTCGGGCCGGTTTAGTAACCCCCGAGGGGATGATGAAGCTTCCCTTGAATTGCGTACTCTTCGATAATTGGCAGGCTAAAGCAGCAGGTGATCAGGGTCGGGCGAATTCTTGGGATTTTGGATGGTTACACAAGTACTTCCCACTGCATCTGTACTGGAGTAAGTACATTTGCCAGCCGGAGATACCGGCAAATCCAGAGAACGGAGACGGAGAATGGAGATTGCTGAAAAAAAGCAAATTCGACACTATAAAAAAAGGGTCAACTCGATCGGATATGCAACAGCCCGAGACTCCGACAGCACATCATCGGCGCATCCGGGACTTGTTATTGGCAAGAGGGGTGTGTGACAAGGGTTGATTGCCTCCAGGGGTACCTGAGGAGAAGGTCATGATGAAGCACGTATTCAGGCGGACCATCCCGGGTCTGCCTTGTGACAGCCACATGGCCTGATGCGGGCCTGCAGCATCTGAAACATTCCCCAGCATCGACCTGAGGACCTGCATGATCTGCGGCTGGATAGGTATCAAGGGTGTATAGTGCTTACATCGTGCTTACCCATCGCGTGAGTCTGCGATAGGAACGAAGGGAGGGGATTTTGACTCGTGGGTGGCTGGAACGACTGAAGAGGTTAAGCGTTACAGCCAGCTGAATTCTGGCGAACTTGGCGTTGATTGCGAGTGATACCCGGGTACCCAGAGAGTACAGCTGTATGTACTCCCTCAGCGCATTGTAGTTATGTTGAAGAGTAAAGGTATAGCTGAGATCCACAAGCATCAACAAGATGCTTACTCTTGCGCCTGTCCACGCACTCCTCTGACAACAAACCCACGATTTAACTTTCGTCGGGCGGAGTGCCTTGCAGACCTCTGCCCTATTCACACTGACCGTAGTATCCACGTCGTGAGCGTTGCAATGTCGCCGCAGTCTGATCTGTGCGGGCAAGGGTGCGGAGTGCAGAGGGCGGGCGATGTGGCCCCCCCCCCGGGGAAAAGCAAAGTATAGCTTAGGCCAGCCCCCAAAGTGAAGATGGAGCTATGATCATTTCAATTGAAGCAGAGGTGACACTCACAAACGTCTATTCTATTTTGGATTGCATCGCCTGTATGCCTTGGATCGGCGTCCGATCAACTGATCCCAGATGAATGCGTTCGTTGCCTTCGCCACGGTCGCGGTTATGCAGGCTGTCCGGTGCATTGCCCTAGAGTACCTACCCTTTAGACCATCCACGGCGAATCACCGATCGACGGCCCGTTATTGGGTCTGCCTTGCAGATCGATCGCCCCTCGTCAATGCTCGAAACGACGTTGATATGGTCGACCTGGGTATCATTCCCGCCCCCGGGGGGGGGGGTTCCACTCTCCTCAACTCTTTTGCGGCAGTGCGATTCGTCGGCATCTCAGGTGAATTCTCCTTGCTGCACGTATTTGCTTTGTTGGATATTTGGGCTCCACTCGGAGAATTCATGGTAGAGCGTGTCCATACAGGTATGTATTTATGTAGTACCCTAATGGACTAGTTCAAGGGGATAACCTTCACAACCGTCCTTTGGACGCAGTGGGTCCGGGCCCACCCCTCGCAGCCCTAACCACGTTGGGATAATGTGCGACCCCGTTAGAGGCCAAGATTGTGAGGCTGACAGCGCTTAACCTTTTGACGGTGTGGGTTTGTACCGTGACGAGCTAGGCTGGACTGGGTAGGTCGATTTGGGTCATCTGTATTTTCATGCAGATGCATTCGGCGGCACTCAGAGGGGTCGATGTTGGTTCTGGTAAACGCCCAAGTCAAATAAAGTTGCGAAGGATTGAAGGTTGTTGTTGTTGGACCGCCATATGGATAGGCAAAGTTGGAATCCTGGCGCATCGACGGTCGATCAGAGCCGTCTGCAGACGGGCGCATGTCGGGCGCGGGTCAACCCCGGGTTCGCCATGGGATTTGAAATCCCCAGCTATGACTAGTCTTTTGGACAGACCAAAGTCCGAGTCCGCGTCGGCATTGGTACCTGCTACGAGTGGATTCCCCGTTCGAGTAACAAGTGCGACCAAGTCCGAAATGTGGGCAAGATTCGCAGCAGTGGACAAAACCCGACACCGCATGACATCTCCACCTGGAGGTACCGTAGGTGTAGTACCCAGTGAAATCCGTCCGTGCAGATCGTCTTGATCTGAGGTGAGACGGGAAGGCCGTCGCCATTGTTCTCCCGCGCTGAAGAATCGTGAAGATTACTTGCCCGTGAAGAAGCAGCCTCGTACAATACTGCACCTTGGTGGATCATCACACAGACCTTCCTATCTGGCGTTCAGATTCCTTTTGCTGTCCTGGGAAAGTGGCCCACTCTCTCGCTTCTCCGTCGCTAGTGTAAGAGAACGCCCAGGTTCATCGATCGGCTGGAGGGCGTCGAACTGGCGAGACCGTGGGAACAAGCCAGAGCCTCGCGGTGGAGACAGACGGCGGGGAACGTGACTCGCCCGGGCGGATTTTGTCCGGGGGTTGCTTTCGCCCGAAGAGCCTAACTTGCCCTAGGGTACCTCTCCATCCCTCTAGGGCACCCTAGGGTAGGGGGGCAGCTATGCCCGACTGCACCCGGGAATATTCCGAGCGACGCTGATCGCATTTTGACTTGATTTCCTCGCTTGTTGCTCTGGGCCCGACATACTGGAAACGACGGTCTGCTTGGGGAGGGAAAGGGGGGGATGATCCCAAAGACCGACCACACTTGTTTGAGATACTAAAGATATGTTTACTAGACGGATAGGGCAAGAGAGTACGAGAACTTCCGAGTTGCATCGGCTCTGGAGAAATGGAGAGAGCCAACTTTGTTGCAGTCATCCGTGTAGCGCGACCCTTACGGCCCCTGGGATCGTCGTCTAAAAAAAGAACCAACACTTAACCCGAGCCTCTCACTCGCCCGTTCGTCAATCTGCATGACAGCCATCTGCAGTCCAAGAGGCTATGACGCTCTTCACCACACCCGTCAGGCCACTATCTGGCCCTCGATGCAGATACGTCGACACGCTGAGGCGACCCTGACCGGTAGATACAGCAGGTACAGGACCTGGAGTGTAGCCCCACTGCGCCGAAGTAGGCATACCCAGCGCAGCTGCAGGTGTAGTTCCGCCAGCCAATCTCGAGACCGCTTACTACTTGTCTGGAAGTAACTAGTACTCGAGTACACTGAGAAGTAAGTATAATCCCAGCAAAAGCCGAAACCGAAACCGAAACCCGTTGGTGCAGGATACCCCGGTCGCGTCATCCACGATGACGAGCATGCTAGTCGGCATGTCGCAACAAGACCAGGAAGGGAAACGCAGCTGCTCCTACTCTCTGCGATGATCGGCCGCAATATAATTAGCTACGGAGTCAATGCTGGGAGATTAGAGGAACGAAAGAGTTGCGCGAACCACTGCCCCGCGCAATACCCAGTGTAACACTCGCGGTGCGAGTGTACGTACGAAACAGGCGGAATTACCGCTAACCCCGTGCTCAGTCGCAACGCTAACCAGTTCTGGCGTGTAGCTCGGTCCCGCCATGACCAATGCCTACTCTGCGAGCCCCCTACGGTACTCCACGTCCGACTCGAAGGTAACCCAGGGACTCCGCCCTAAATAGACAATTAGCACTAGCATTAGTAATTCTGGCCTAACGCCATGTAGCCTAGGCGGGTGGACCGGGACAAACCGCCACGCGAGGGCACACGGCGCAAGGGGGTCGAGGATGGCTTGGGGAGGGGGCGGATCGTCCAGCCCCCGGTACTAAATATAATCTAGACTTTGCGAGCGGGATGCGATGGGCCCTGGCAGTCGCGATCTCAATATGAGCGACATCACGATGGAGGGTCTATAGCGCGATTGGGACTTTACGCGATTCCGCGAATATGCCTTGCACTCCCGGAGTGGAACGTGCGGCCTCCATGTCCCTGATTCATGCTAATTTCGGCATTCACAGGTGTTATTATGGACAAGTTAATGACTATTCTATGTATTGCCCTCATATTCATATTATGCACATGTAGTCGTCGCATTCAACACTGCATTAAGTCAAATCTTCTCTATAGTTAGCTCTATGTAGTTACAGTCTAGGTCGTGTCAGCTGTCCCTGCGGCGTGCAGATTACTCTGTCGATTACGCTGTCGATTATTCCTGGTGGATGCGAAGGGTTCCTTCTGGAATACTGAGGGGAGGTGTTTCACATCGTTCGTTTCAGAATGCTTACGGCAGCCATGCAGCTTGCCACCACCAGGATACGGATCCCCCTGATCAAGCCATGCCACGAGGGCAGGAGCTTTTCTCCGTGGGGTGCAGATTACTGCCGAGTATTATATCCAGGTATGTATATATACATAACCTAGGTACCTACCTTCCTACTATAGTATGTACGTAGGCAGGTACTTAGGCAGGTACAGTACCTTATATCGTCCCTGCGGAACTATGTAGTTGGTATGTAGGTACCTCGCACCACCTATCTGAATAACCCGGCCGACTCGACCTGTCCCTGGGCGAAATCGTTCGCGGCCAGCAATCTGGGGACGGATTGTGGCTCAGTCGGCAATCCGATCAGCGATCGCGAGGGAGCTCCCGCTCTTCTATTTTTGTTTTTGGAGGTTTGGTGGAAGGTTGACCATGAACTCAAGTGACGTCGGGACCATCGGGGCCAGGGTCCAGCAACCCTGAAATCACCCGAGGCCCACCCCTCCCACTGCTCGCACTACCAGACCGTCAGTAGATGACAGTCAGGCCGTCAGTGGGAACTCCCGGCGACCGTTCATTCGCTCGATTGAGTAAGAGATCGGCCGGGTGAAACAAGCTACTGTGAACTGCACAGGGCAACCGGTAGGGCCAAGCCAAGCGGCCAGGGCTCGCGGCGAGGCGGACTCCCCTTCGAGCGTCTCCACCACCGATCTCGTGCGAGCTCGCATGATCCGAGATATGAGCGAACGACATGGACACCCAGGCAAGCATCGCGAAGAGTTGTTGGGATCGCTGCGAGCCTCGACTTGTCCTGCATTCGCGAGGACTCGGCGCTTAGAGAGCAACTCGATAAATATAGATCCGTGAGGGAAGGCAGTGTCGAGTACAGACTGGAATCAGCCTCACCAGGATGGCATGCACGACGTGCCTTAGGGTATCGCACTGGCGAGTGCAACTGGCAAGGACGAAGGCACTAAGGCACCTCCACGGGCACCACGCCAGGGCCCCGGTAGCCAATCGTAACGGGCCAGGCAGCTCGCAGACTTAAGCCTATTGGGGTTTAGTGCGATGGGGCCATGCGAGTTTCCTAAACCAGCGAGAACCATCCAAGATTGGTCTCCGCGTGGGGCAAACCCGTTGTGTTCCGTGGGAGCTCGGGATCCACGCGAGATTTGGAATCTCGTTGTCGAGAGAGTGCGAGGTCGATACAGAGGGAAGAGTGCATAGACGGGACGGTAGTAATTCATAATTCTCAGTAGTAATTATATAGACTATCTTCCTAGTAGATATTGTAGAGGATCAGCCGTTGACACGGGTCCGCAGCGGCCGCAGTCGCCTCAGCCGCAGGCTGTTTTGCTTGTATCTGGTATTCTTGACGTACGGACATTTCGCATCTCGACAGCATGCTTGTCTGATCCTCCCGCAGAGCGATCATCCCTCTCCACAGTGCACCGTGCTCGGCTCCCTGCGATCTAAGGTTAGCCCAGTAATTTTGGTTTCTTTTTTCTTTTCTTTTTTTTTTTTTTTTTTTTCCCTTTATTTTATTTTATTTATTTCTCATGCTTTCCCTTTTGGACATTTTTGTTTCCGCTTTTTTGCCATTAATTTCCAGGAAGTCTAATCATCCAGCAGTAGATCCCATCTGTACCAACAGCCCTGCTCTTCTATATCAGTCCACCCTCCTCCGCCTCTTCTTCATCTCTTCTTCTGCACAGATTTTCTGCAGCCTCCTTCACTCTGCACACTTTCCCGCAATTATATCACCCTGGCTTGATTCTCTCTTCTATATAGCTTCCTCTCTTCCCACCCCTCCTCTGCCATCTTTCCCTCCCATCTGCGTCGCAGGATGGCCCGAGGACTCTCTTCCGAACAACAAACATCCGTCTCTAGCTTGTCAACCAACCCGCTCGTCTCCGTCCTCAACACACCTGCCACCTCCAGCTCGCCGTCGCCAGAACCATCCTCCACCATGGTTGGCCGCAAGAACAACATGCGCCGCAGCCCCCAGGCCGAGATCCCCATGCCCGTCACCTACACACCCACCACCCACCGCGTCAGCAAGGCCAAGAAGGGCAAGCGCGTCCACGCTTGCGAGTTTCCTGGGTGCAACAAGGTATGCATGCGACCCTCTCTCCTTCGCAACGCGCCGGCGCATTGAGCTGACCTCAATCGCAACCAGGTCTTCACCCGCGCCGAGCACCGCAGACGCCATGAACTGAACCACAATCCCGAAGCCACCTACCGGTGCACCCAGGCCGGGTGCAAGAAAGCCTTCCACCGGCCGGATCTGCTGGCGCGTCATATGGAGCGACAGTAAGTCAATCTACACGCGCGCATGCGAGACATGAAGCTAACAGGGAAATCAAAAAAGTGAGCTCGAGGCGCAAACCGAACAGGCCCAGTGGACACCGCAGACTCAGGCCACCTCCGTCGGCGAGCCCGTGCCGCGCTGCATGTCAATGGATTCTGGCTCTTTGATGGCCGGAAACCCCCAGTCCTCGCATTCCATGTCTATCGGCTCGATCGTCGCTCCCGGAGTACACCCCGATCTGGCGGGGGACTGCGGAATGGTCTGGAATAACATGGAGCTGCCACTGCAGCAACGACCAACCGCCAACATGTTCCAAAACCATATCCCCGAGACCGCCGACGACAGTCCTTTCTACTCTTCGCCCGCCGAGACCTGCCCTTCGCCTCTGTCAGATGCGACCTTCTCTCTTCCTCCCCACTCCAGTTCCTCCATCTCCTCCGCCTCCGTCAGTGTGATCGATCAGTACCCGAAGGGCATTCTCAAGACTGAGGTGACTTCCTCCCCGCTCCAGATGGCCTCTCCACTGCGGTGGGAGGGTACCGAGACGGGCATACCGCCATCGCATTTGGTGCCTATCTCCCTCGAGGAGAACCTGATCCAACCTGTAAGTACCTACTTTCTTGATGACTCAAAGTGAGTCAGATAGTTAACGCGCTCTCCAGCCGGTCCAATGCCACTACCCCTCCCCTTCCTGGTCCAGCGCGGACTGCCTCCCATACGACGACCCCCAGTCTCTGGCCCACTTCCAACCAATGGGCTGGAAGCAGTGGGCGCTGTGAAGCTCCAGCTTCCAGACTTTGACAGACGTCCCGTGTCTCATGCACGCCGCGACTCCGTCTCACGACTGATGACGACTTTCACCAACTCCCCTCCCGGCCGCCTCGAGCAGCCACGCGCGACCCACCCTCCCCACCGGGCGTGAGAGAGACCGGCAAAGTTACCTCAACCATTGACTGTCGATGCTGGAGAGCTTCGGAGCCCTGGATCGGTTAAGGAACAAAGACAGCTCTCCAAAACGCCCTTGCCCGCCTCGCCCGCACTTTGCAAATCTTGGGGGAGCGCGGCTTCGACCGCCCCTCGCAAGTCGGGGAACACCGGCTCCAAGCGCGACCGCGGAGCCTCCGAGTGGAGAACTACTCCTCTTTGGGCAAGAACGGCTCCATCCGCAGGCCTCTCAGAGAGTTTTGCTGCTCTCCTATTTGATTTTTTTTTTCTCTATATCGGAGTATTTTGCGTCGCCCGGATGATGGGATAGATGCTTTTGGCGCTTTGATTTTCTGCTTCTGGTGTTGATGCGACGATCTGATGATTTGGATGCGTTCTGGCTGTATACCCTGGATCTGATATACGAATACCCCTTGTTCTGAAACAATGATTATTTTGCCACTCACTTTTTGCTATACTCTGTACTTTGTAGCCTGCGTCCTGCGTACTCCGGACTTCGCTAAGATGCTTGATGTAGACCATGGATCGCGGTGAATCACCCCGGCACGACCCACGGGACTGTGATCGCCCACATCGACCTGACTTGAACTCCAATTCCAAATCCTGGTCCGTCTCCGCAACGTTCCTCCCACGTTCCTAGACTCTTACCTAAGACACACGCTTGGTATCTCTCCGTGTGATTCGGGATAATGCCGCAAACCATGTCGAACCTGATCGTCGTTGTCTAGACCGCCCGCTCGGAATTGACGGGATCCTGCGCAATCAAACGCCAGATGTCGCTCGCAATTACCTCCCCTACACTAACGTGCCCTAGCGAGCAGTCACCATCGTATCGCTCCGAAGATCAGTCCATGCCGCATCCGTGTACACACCCACTCTCCCTGCCAGCTCCAGCTCCAGCTTGAACTTAGAAAGCTGCGTGACGCATCGCACATCCCGTTCATCTCGCCAGGATCGGTCGATCAAACCCCAACCCCCATCCACCTTGGACACTGGCACAACCCACTGGCGCGCTGGGTCCCGGTTCTCGCCCCGACCTCCGACGCCAAATAGATTAATGGAAATTACCTCGCCTTCGCCCCGGTGCCCTAACGTGTCCTAGGGCCCCCGAGGAAGCACCCCTAGCCCTGCCGGACACTCGTAGCTCGACTCGCTCCCACTCGCTCACCCCGTGTCCGCCTCCGTGCTCCACCGTGGAGTCTCTCCCCCTCCCCTCCATCGTGCTAGCTCTTCAGTAGGCGAGTAGCTAGGCGAGCGGCGATGGAGCTGTCGCGGGAGACACGGCGATCCCGGCTCAGCGTTCCCGTTGGGGTAGGAGTCTCATTTTGGTCCACTCTGACCTTTTAAAAGATTTACAGTATGTTAGACGGCATCGGTGGATCTGAAGCCCGATCTCAGGCAGCACTAGGCAGAACTGGGAGGCTGGTCATTGGAGTGGGATGGCCAATGTGGACCGCTGGGTTTGCGTTGCGCCGTCATCGGACAACGATTTGACGTGGAACGGCTTGATGGGTGCCTCTTGCATGCTGCGACTGCAAGTAGAGACGCCGTCGCTCGTTACTGCTTTCCCGGCGAAGTTCAACGTGCAATTCACCGAGCCGCGAATGCATGGAGATGGAGTCCGGATCAATGGCATCGAAACAAAGTACCCCTCGGAGGTCGGATGGTTGGTATCCGTCGAACATTTAGGGCTTGCAGCTCGACGCCGTGCAGGGATGCTGGCGGGGGACAGGGGCTCTCGCTAAGTTCTCGGTTAGTCGCGTCTGTGATACGATGCGTCCGAGTCAGCGCGAAAAGTGTTTTCCAGTCGGGTCGCCCGATGCCTTATCTCTCCATCCACTCTTTGAGTACCCTAGGGTAGTCGAAGTCAACGGGAGGTGGACGGCAGGTTCGGGCGTGTCGATCAGGGATTTGTCACGAGGCTCTTTTGTTGGTCCGTGTTGAGTCCCTGAGTTTGCGCGGAAGTGCTGGCACAATTTTCCCCATGTCCCGCGGTGGATGAGACCAGGGTTTTCACTTTTGTTTTGGCGAATTTTGGGTTTGGTGCCTGGTGGATCGCGCGGTTTAGCCTGCCCGCCGTGCGAGGGGTGGAGTTGCGAGAACCTGCCTGCTTCGGCCAGGATGTGCAATGCGCCGCTTGGCGGTGGTGTGTGCGGCTGCCGTACTGGTCTTTGTCACTCACTAGCGGGTTCATTGTATACCTCTTCTACTCAGCGTCAGGTCAGGTCGAGTCTTTCGAGGGTGCAAGTGTCAGGAGTGCTTGCAGAAAAATAGGGGTTCCTGCAGAGGTATGGGTGCTAGAGTGATCTTGCATGCACTATTGCACGTCGTGGGTGTATTCGGTGTTTTCCCTGTAGATCTTCATCTTGCTTGAATCCTTCAACGCTGACCGTTGCATTGTGCGCAGGCATTTGCCGAGATTGGACAACGGTTGACGTATGTTGGGCGTGCGGCTGATCTACGGAAAAGTACTTTGTGGCCGCCTCGTACTTTTGTAGCATACTCAAATACTTACTATTAGTGCAGGATACTCGTGATTGATCAGAACAAGGAGTAAATATAGGGGGATCAACATTGTCGTGTCGAGATTTTGCATACTGCTAGCAGTCAATGACTCGGGATTTGCCCAGAAAAGAGTATGGACATCTGGGAAATGACTGAAAGAAGCAAGTCGACCCAGCATCGGAGGAAAGATCAAAATGGGAAGGCACTAGAGGGCTGTCTATGGATTTTTACTTTTCCCTCTCAACGAGTACCCGAGTGTGACTCTCTGAGACTCTATGCTCTTTCTGATGAACAGCGCACTCAAATTGCTTAAGTTGAGACGATTTTGCCATGGCCCGACATATGAGTACCTGACTTGGGATGCTTCGAATGGAATTTTTTTTCTCAATTCCTTATTTGCTCAGAACTAGACAGCTGCCGGTTTATTCCGAACCCTACTGGTAGTTCATAGACTGTCTAGAGTCTTTACTCCCAGTGTATTCCAGCGGAGTCGTTTCATTATAACATGTACATCGAAGAAAAGCCAACGTCAAGAACGATATCCACAACTTTTTGCTAATTGATCAGCACCATAAAAATAATCCATGAGCAAATAATCTCGCTTTGAGTTTACAAGAATGACAGTTCTTTGCAGCGTGTTGATCGGACGAATTTGCATGAGCAGTTTCGTCCCTTCGAAAAGTTAACATGCTTCTTGTAAAATGCGAAGCCAAGCCTTGTTTGAGACCCAACGGTATACATTACGGGCATGCTACAAATATTCTTCAGGTTTTTTTTTCAAAATTCACCCATCATAAACCTTAGGCTGCGATTGCTCATTTACCATATCCAAGAATATGAGCAGACCTGGGGATAGTGAGGAAGCATCTGCACCCAGACAAGACGAAAAAGCCCGGACCGACTTTCACAAGAACTGCACAATGAGAGTGCATGATTCTAGGGATATTCGAGAAAGATGTGTCGCCGTGAGTTATAATCAGAAACAGGGTAGCATCAAAACTTGCCGTCAGCATACTTCGTCGACGCCGTGGCTAGCGTTTGTAAACAATGTGTCCACTTTCGAGCTTCTTTCTTTGTACACTAACAGACCTCCATGCGCCACTGGCAGACACGTTAACTTCTCCTTGAGCGATGTTCATGGTAGAGAGAAAATCGTCTGCCTATACTAAAGGGATGTTCTGAATTTTTAATTGAAGTAACCTCGGAAATAGAGATAATAGAGATATCTACTCCATAATCCCGGGCTTCTCATGCGACTTCTATTCTTTGACCAATTATTTGAATGCGGTCAGAACATCGAGGCTGTGCGGGGTAGTAATCTAAGAAACAATGTCTCATATTGGAAAGCTTGGGCCGTGTAAATCGGCAAGGCCACCCCCGCATTCCCGTAGTTAGCCCACGATAGGCAACCACCTCTACAGACATCCTATGTGTTGGTTTGTAGCTCAAAAAGTACCCATATGAGAATTTGATTACGAATATTTAAACAATAGGGTGTTGCGACCCAAGAATGGTACCGGTGATACCCGGCGACGCCGAAAGGTAGAGGTCGATCTTACTCAGCTATGCAGGCCGACTGATGCTACAGTCGTGTCAATTCTAGCCTCAGCAACATCGCATCTAGATTCATCGGACGATTGTAGATCATGTCTCAAAGATGGGCTTCCAGTAATGCCTTCTTCCTCAATGAGCAGGAGAACGATCACAGTACGCCTAATCCTGAGCCTAGCTGTAAGTTGATGTCATCATGCATAGATGGAAATAGATCACTTACCGACTTTCAATCGCGGGGTAGAACAACTTTTCCTCCTAGACTCAGCAACTGTGTTTGCTAAAGCAAATAATGTGACGCTCTGCCGAAGGGAGTAGCACTGGGTCATTTCATGAGGGGTACAAACCTCAGACTATTTTCTACTTCTGAGCGATCATATGCTTTATCAGTTATGAAACAGCATGCGTAGATGGGCGAAGTAAGTGAGACATGCTTCTTCGCCCCAGCATATGTACATCCCTGTCAGATTAGCAGAGTTACTTCAGAAAGGATCGCCTGATCCACCAAGAATAGGCACTCGTGATTATATACGCTTTCGAGAGTGGCGATCTTTGGGTTGCCAAGCCCAGGTTGCAAAATACTTAAAAGCTCAATTACGACCGTCAGTCCTTCAACAGCCTACAACACTCATCAACTAGTTGTCTGATTTACTTCGAGCTTTACCAAAATACCACCAAAATGCACTTCAGCACCATTATCATCTCTGCCATCGCCCTTGCTATGGGTGCATCCGCAATGCCCGCTCCTCCTGCAGACACCCGATATGCGCAACTCCGTCTTTTCGGGGAACCCGGCTGCTCGGCGCAAAATGAGGGAGAGCTCGGTGTCTACGGCGACTATGTCAACAAATGCAACACTTGGGATGGCACGACTGTCAAGTCCGTAAGCTTCGAGTACGCCATCAACAACTGCCAACGTGAGTTTCACCTCAGCATCTTTTCAATTTCTGGTATCTAACAAACAACAGTGCGCGTCTACAGTGACGTTACTTGCCATCTGGACCGACATCACGTTCCGGTGAAGACCTGCCTTTCCGGTGATAAGATCTACCGAAGCTACGAGGTTCTTTGCGACCACCTCTAAACACGTATTTCTATACGACCTTTTGCATCTGAGACGAGAATGACTTAGCACGATCTGGACATAGCATAATCATAATTTTACAGTGAATAGAATCTCATTTTGAGTATTGTTTTGGGCTTCAATTTGAAGGGCTTCGTTCAAAAGTGTTACACAGATACGTAACTGTGGACTAAGAGAACGAATGTCGACGCTTTTGTTATACAATCTACTTGGCGAGGTCAAAGGCTACTGTATGTTATACTGGAGATTTGTGCCAGTTTAAAAAACAAAAGATCGGTCTCAGGGACCGTTAAGCTAGTATTTTTCTGGTCGTTTAGGCTCAAAGCAATTTGTCGAAAAGAGAAAGTTCATGGATGCTTATACTTCGGCATTTGAGCGAAGGGAGTGTACTGTATCGCCTTTCCCGTCCTTGCGAGACCGTTGAGCCTGTATTTCAAGTGATTGTGCAAGACGCACTCAAATATTTTAGAATACTATAGAACATTCTGTAGGTACCCAGCAGTAGAATACCTCGTAAGATATCTATCGTACTTGAAGGTATCGGTCGAGGAATATTACGCGTCTGCCAAGCCTGCACGGATGTGATTGGCACAACTGGGACAGGCTAACGCAATACGGCTAAGCAGAGCCCCGCTGGGTACGCAGAACGGTAATGGGGGCGACCGGGCTAAACATTGATCGCAGATCAAATGTGATATGACCAGTCCTCGCTGTGACTGGTGCAAACATCATGACTTTCCTTGTACCACCACTAGGTCCCGAAGGAAGCTAGAAGAGGAAGCCTCCAAGAATAAGCATAAAGCGAGGTATGGAGTTCGATTCGCCATCCTGCCAGGGCACCCAAGCTCCCATCTTGAACACAAATTACTCAGTCAGAACGAGGATCTGAACATATCAGTGAGCTCCGACATAGTACTGCAACCACGCAAAACACTACATCTGCCGACAAGGTCTCTAATCATGACCAATTCAAATTATCCTATTACAAATCACTCTTGCAATGCGTCAGTGAATATGGAACATCATGATTCCGACTCATCACGCTAGTCATAGACCCTACTTTGTTTAGGGAAACTATGCAAAATGTCTACGGCCAGACATCACATGGTTCATCAACAGGCGCAATGGCGTGTATCATATGCTTTTTCCCATTTCTTCAACGGCACGCGATTTGGGTCAACCCGAGCCTATGAATTGTGGAACAATACTTACAAGAAAGCTAAACGGTTAAGTCGCTTTACGATCTGAACATGAACGAAACGGAGCGTCTTGATGGGATTCAAGCGTTGACCATGGTGTTTTTGTTAGCACCGCTCTCTGGAGACAAAGAGTACGCTGTGCGTTATCTGTCTGATGCGGCACGCATGATCTTCAAATTAGGAGGACACCAGGCGGTTGGAAATAATCTCTCCCAGATAACAAGACAGCTACAGAACTTATTTCGGATATGTTACGCAGTGGACAAGAGCCCTTTTGTGCCATATTCTCGACCTTCCACATTGATTGACCACACAATAAGCAAGTTAAGCCTACCGCCAGGATACGTGTCTAGGCTACTCGTGAACAGACCCGCAGAGGAGCCGGACCAATCAACCGAAGGTGCGCTCTTCCTCATTCATAATCGCTTGAACATTCTCAAGTCCAAGATTCACCGGGAACTGGTGACACCCGCGAGCCTGTAAAAACCAATCTCAGACTTTCTGCGGAGTATTCACGAGCTCGATACTGAACTCGAGGATGGAGGTGCTCATTACCTGCAGAGTGGAGAATGACTCTTCTCAGTAAAAACATACTGGCGATATCATCTTGCCCCCAAGCGTTACAAATAATTTCCGACAAACATCGTACGAAGACCTCGAGATCCCTGCCACAAGCAAAGATCTCAAACTCCCTCGAGCCCCGCTTTTGGTTATTGTGAGCTATATGAGCAACAGCAATTTCGCTGGTGGGAAGAAAGAGTTGCTCGATGATACTTCCAATGCGTCAAGAAATTGAACAAGGCCGCCCAGATGCCGGTAGATTCGGCTCAGTCGTGATCTGCGAGTCCGGCGTACCATGGACTGGCTGAGGAGGTTGAATAATGAATAGACTATAGTTAAACGATACCCCAGATTTGTGTCAAAGACCTCTTGTGAGCTAGCTGCCCGTCTCTCCCCACAATAACACATTCCAGGAGTTAATGTGCATTTGATGGATGCGCTAGCGGACGGCATGGGATCTAGAAGAAGTGGGTCTGCGATCGCCGTGAAATTATTTGCAAGGATTCAGTTTCGTAGTCGCCTGAATTCTGACTTGTCTTGCATCCAATTGACCAGTCGCGGGGGACTAATGACCTGGGTAGACCCTGTACTATATACACTGTGTGTAAGTAGAAAGTGCGGCGAATGCCAGTCGGCCTCGCCCGCGGTCCCGTGCCAGGGCAGAAAATGGAGGGGGCAACGTCATCATCGGCCAACTTTGTTGCACTCCATTACTTCCCTCCACCGGACTCGAGGTTTCCTTTTAGTCACCACTCCTCACCCCTCCCACAGTGATCTTCAGGCACAGTCCGACGAACGGAGCAACAGATCCTTCGCAATACACATCATCCCACTCGGAACCCGGCTGCCGCGCCAGGGACCCAGCAGAACCACCCATTCAACGCACCCGCCCCACGCTATAAAGGCACCGGGAGATCTCCCATCTTATCTGATGCGCTGATTTCCTCGTGAGACGGTGGCAGCAGCAGTATGGTGGTGTTTGTCGATCTCGACCGCGATGCCTTCCAGCACCGTGACTCAATAGCCCCGGGGAAGCTCTTTTCACCCAAGTTGATGGTCGCCCCTGTCGCGACCCCCGAGTCCGCCAAGGTTTCCCCTTCTTCTACCACCTCCGACGAGGGGCGCGAGACAAACCTGGACGAGCACATCGTGATTTCCAATTCCGATCAGACTACAGCCTCGCAAACGCTCAATCGAACCGCTTTCTCGGCAGCGTTGAGTTGTTATCCGTATGTGGATCCCCGTAGTTCTCACCGCGGCGTCTTCCCCGCACCCGCGCCCGCACGCGCAAGTCACAAGCTAAGACTAACATTTCTGTGATTCTTAGAATAGTCAAAGCCATTGCCCGCGCAATTGACTTGAATACTCTCCATGCGCTCTCACGAGCATGCCGCCAGTTTCACGCGAATCTAGCACCATTCCGCCATCAACTCGTCCGCGAAACTCTCCGCTGCGAGAATGAGTATATCGAAACCGTCTCAGATATGCTAGATCGCGGAGCCGTTCTACCAAACAGTGTGAAGTCTGTCCTGCAGTTGCTGAGTCAGGGTTCAGGCGAACCTGGACGTATGACTCGTGGGAAGGTTGGGAGATGCGCACGCGACATGGTCGGTGACTGTCGACGATGCGCCAAGATTGTATGCAGGGTAAGTTATAGCCAAATATCCCGTTATCTCGATTCTCTATTGACTTCGTACTTAATCATTAGAATTGCACTATCAAGCCTCCCAACCAGACAGCGCTCAAGGGCCGAACTCGCCGCCTTTGTCGCACCTGCGGCATTGCACCGCTCTCCTACCATCTATGCAGCACATTTTCCGATTCAACCACATCAGTCTCAACAGAACAGGCCGTAATACCGAGCATACTGGCCAATAATGTCTGCACCTGCGACGATGCAGTTTGGCTCTGCGTACAATGCGGCCAGACCCTACGCAGCAGCGACACAACATACCGGCGAGTCTGGGCCTGGCGCAGTCGATACAGTACAGCCCTTGGCGGCGGACTAGGTACAGGGATCGGTGAAGGCTGCCAAGGAGTAAAATGCGGGCGTGGTGAAGCCTGCCTTGCTGCAAAGGAGATCGAAGTCGAGGTCGATTGCGAAGCGGACGAGGGATTAAGTGATTCCAGTAGTCCTGGTCACAGCCCCCTGGCGCACCAATCACATCACCACGAGATGATCTCCACAGATAGCCACGATGAAGAAGAGCCAGGATATTTCCGACAAGAGGTTATTGGGTTGGGCGGAGTGGTTAAGCACAAGTCGAAGAAGAGAGTTTTGGTTGGGGCTTGTGTGATTGAGTATGAGGATGAGCGGGAGACGGGCAATTATCTTTTTCGTGAAGAGAGTGGTTCGCACCGGGCTTGGTGTGGTTGGTGCTCGAGGGTGATTCCGGCTAAAGCTGAGGTGTCGCGGAGCTGATTGAAGCTGATGAGAGTTCTCTTTTTCGGCAAATTCCTATGCATTGCATGATCGACGAATTGTATTATGTCATGTTACGATCCCATGATGATGCACATACCCACCTGGACTGTGTTTAGCGCAGTTTAAAGAATCCATATTGGCATTGCTGGATGATATTACATTGTACATGATGAATAGAAAACAAGGTGTGCAGTGTATATAATTCAATGAAGTGACATCTAGCTGATAAACCTACTAACTTCACAATCTGACACAAATCATGTCCTTCCTGGACAGAAAAGACAATACTCCGGCAATGCGTCGCTCCTTCATGCAATCATCAATCAATCATACATATCTGGCATATATCATACCGTCTTCAAGAACTCGACACAAGAAAATAAGAAAGACAGGATTGAAAATTCAATCTTGACAAAAATTTGTCTGGTTTAGTGTGCAGCAATGGCTCGGAAAAATCCCTTAATCTTGGACTGCTCTTTGGGCGGAGATTCTTCATGACGGGTCCGACGCTGATACCGAGCTTCAGTGTCCCTGCTGCTATGGTGGGTACGACGAGAGCTTTCAGGCTTTTTCTCGTGCTCCCGCTCTCGAGGTTTGCTGTACTCGGGCTCCTCACGAGAGTGGCGTCGTGACTTTCGCTCGGACCGGGAAGCTTCCTCTCCGCGCCGTTCCTCACGACGTTCTTCGCGTGTCTTTTCCCGTCGAGAGTGAGTGGAGCGAGTACTGGCTCTTCTCTCTTCAGGGGACCTCTTCTCCTCGCCAGTCGGGCCGCTGCCTTGACTATGGCTGGTAGAAGAGCGACGAGGACGCTCAGATGCTGAAGCGGCAGACTTAGTCGTGTTGGCTCGCACGAGAGGCTTATTGTTGTCCGATTGGCCGTTGCTCATATATCGAAGGAATGCGCGTGGGGCGGGAGTAGGAGCGGAAGAAGAGACCTGCTTTGAAGATGAAGTCTTCACTGATCTGGCCTGGTCTTGCTCAGACGAACGGCGCTTAGGCTTGATCTCCGCAGCCGGTACTTCTTTCTCCCTTTCCTTCATCGCCGCCTTATCAGATCGTCGGATCTTTTCAGGTGGCGAGACTCCGCTGCGTTCACGGTCCTCGACAATAGCTTGCTGCTTCCTCTTAGCTTGGGCCTTGGCCCGCTCCTTTTCGTCATGCTGGCGACGGGCCTCTTCCAAAGCCATTGCCCACCGATTGGTGAACAAACCACCTTCGTTCTTGGGGCGAGAAAGCTGATCACGACGACCTTCCGAAGACGTCTTGGAGTAGCGTCGCTCTCGCTCACTTGGCGACCGTCTCTTGCGTCTGCGTGAACCCTGTCTGGCTGGCTCCGGTTCTATAGGATCCATGAGCTCACCTCGAGGTCCCTCAGCGGCCTCTTCCGGCGATATGTCATCAGGTGCGACTCCGTCGGAAGCAGGTGCTTCTGTGGCCGGAGGGCCGGGCTCGGGTTCGGGCTCAGCAGCAGGAGCAGGTTCTGGCTCCGCAGCTGGCTCGGGCTTCACAGGAGCAGGTTCGGGCTCAGCGGCAGGTTCAGCAGGTGGCTCTGGCTCAGCTGGAGTAGGATCAGGCTCCACGGAACGCTCAGCCGTAGGATCAGCAACAGGTTCAAGATCTGTAGCCGGAGGTTCGGGCGCGGGTTCAGCGGGCGTAGGCTCAGGCTCAGCAGGTGTAGGTTCGGGCTCCGCGGGAGCAGGTTCAGGTTCAGCAGGAGCAGGAGCAGCTTCTGCAGCTGGCTCGGGCTCAGCAGGAGCAGGTTCAGGCTCAGCAGCCGGTGCAGGTTCAGGCTCAGCAGCCGGTGCAGGTTCAGGCTCAGCAGCCGGTGCAGGTTCAGGCTCAGCAGCCGGTGCAGGTTCAGGCTCAGCAGCCGGTGCAGGTTCAGGCTCAACAGCCGGTGCAGGCTCGGATTCAGCAGCTGGCTCAAGTTCAGGCTCAGCAGCCGGTGCGGGTTCAGGCTCAGCAGCCGGTGCATGTTCAGGCTCAACAGCCGGTGCAGGCTCGGATTCAGCAGCTGGCTCAGGATCCGCAGGTGCAGGTGTATTCTCAGCCGGAGGACCTGAAGCCGGCGGTTCCTCGGGAGCAGGAGGCTCAGAGGGAGCTTCAGGGGCAGGATCTTGAGGTGCCTCTTTAGCCGTTTCGGCAGCGGGCTCAGCAGGAGGCTCGTCTTCAAGAGTTTCGTCCGCGGGAGAATGTTCAGCTGCGGGTTCAGGGTCGGCTGGCATAGGTTCAGTTTCAGCCGGTGCTGTCTCAGGCTCGGCGGGTGCTGTCTCGGGCTCAGCAGCTGGCTCAGTGTCCGCAGGTGCAGGTGTAATCTCAGCGGGAGGTTCTGAAGCCGGTGGCTCTTCGGCTGCAGGAGCTTCAGAAGGGGCTTCAGGGGCAGGGCCTTGAGGTGCCTCTTCAGCTGTTTCGGCAGTGAGCGCAGCAGGAGGCTCGTCTTTAGTAGTGTCATCCACAGGAGCACTTTCAGCCGCAGGCTCTTCAGCAGCTGGTGTTTCCGCAGGCGCCTCCTCAGCTTGAGCTTCCGGTGTTTGGTCCTGCTGTTCTGCTGAAGACTCATCTGTAGGGGTTTGCTCCTCCACGGGTATCTCATCCTTCTTCTCGGCATATTCCTCAGGAGCAGTCTCCTCAGCCGGGGTTGCTTCTTCAACAGCTGGTTCTGGTTCTGGCACAGGCTTGGATTCTTCGGCCGGTTCCTCTGTTGCTGGTTCAACCGCAGTTTCTTCCGCAGGTTTCTCCTTCTCCTTCTCCCCCTCGGCAGCTGCATCTAGCGCAGGCTCTGTTGCAGGCTCTGGTTCGATAACCTCCTCTTTCGGAGCCTCAGTAGAAGTATCGGCTGCAGGTTCTTCTGGAATTACAGGAGCGTCCTCAGTCGGAGCGTCTCCGGGTACTTTAGCGGCCTCTGCTGGTGGCTCTTCCGGTTCCCCTGCACTTTCGTTGGGTTTCGCTGTGTCGTCGGAAGGTGCTTCGGCATCGCGTGCCTTTTCTTCTGGTGCAGGGACAGGGGCCTCCTCGACTTGCTTATCGGAAGGTTCTTGGGGGGCCGCATCTTCGGTAGCAGCTGCAGCGGGTTCAGGATCTCCTGCAGGCTCTTCGTTGTCGGGCTCAGCGGCTTCAGCAGCCTTAGCCTTCTTTTTGTTCTTCTTGCTCTTCTTCTTGTTCTTTTTTCCAGAACCTGAAGCGGGTTCAGAAAGCGGCTCTTCGGGCGGAGGACTTGAATCGACAGGCGGTTTTTCAGGTGGAGTGTCGGCTGCTGGTTCCTCGGCAGGGGCTTCTTTCTCTGCTTCAGGCGCAGGCTCGGCTGGGGTTTCATTCGGGGCCTCGGCAGATTCAGCAGGAGTTTCTTCTGGTGCATCCGTGGGAGGTTCTGCAGGCGAGGCCTCGGCTGTTTCCTCTGCTGCTGCTGCTGCCGGTTCATCTTGCTGGGGAGGGCTATCGCCAGAAGCATCTGCAGGTGGTTGCTCGTCACTAGCTGGGGCTTTCTCCTTGGTAGCTTCTCCTTCCTGGGCTTCTGCTGGAGGAGGGTTTTCCTCGGCTTGAGCGTCTTCGGCTTCTTGCTTTGCAAGTTCCTCCTTCTCGGCCTCTACTTTGTCGAGTCCGGCTTCAGGGTCACATTCTGGAAAATCTTCGTCTGCTTTGTATTAGTATAGGGATTGTTGGTCTCACTGAGACATATGCCTTACCATTGTTGTCATTGACATCGTCTTTCTTAGCTCCACTGTCGTCCGCGGCCGGTTCGTCGGCAGGTGGCTCATCTGCAGATGGTGCGGGTTCTTCGTCTTTCTTTTCGGCATCTGCGCCTTCTGAACTCTCTGCAGCGGGCTCCTGAGGGGCTTCGTCTGGAGAAACTTCGCCCTCTGCGTTCGGCGCAGGCACTTCTCCAGCAGGCTCGTCCTTGGATTCCTCCTTTGCATCTCCGCCGGCGGCCTCAGCTGCCTCTGCGGGCTCTGTAGGCTCTGCAGGCTCGGCTGGAGGCGCCTCTGCCTCCGCAGATTCTGGATGATTAAGTGAGTGACTGTTGCACAGCCATTGAAACCTCTCCTCTACAGCAATAAATGAGGTTTTTAGTACTTACCAGAAGGCTCTGGGGCCGCAGGGCTTTCTTCTGCAGGCTTGCTCGGTTCTTCTGGCGAGGGCTCGTCGGGGGTATCCTCCTTTTTCGGTTCGGCATCGGGGCCCTTTTGGTTATCCTGGTCCTTGCCCTCCGTCAGACGATCCGCATTGAAATATTGGGTGATGGGAGTATAAGAATAAGTCACGGTGTTTAAGTGACCCGTGTCGACGGTCTGGTATTGACGCTCGAAGTTTTGGTACGTAAAACTGGGGAGTTGCGCATACTTGAACTGTGGTTCCTGCATCCTCTCCCCCTACAGCGGCCGGCTCTGGGGCGGGCGGGCTTGTATCTTTGGGTGTAGGATTCGGAGTTGTGGTGCCGACGGGAGAACGGTTGTTGTTGTTCTTCTTATTCTTCTTTTTGCCCATATCCTCGTTTCAATGACGTATACGGCAACAAGGTGGCCGATGCTGACTGGCGCGTGGTGAGAAAAATGAAACAATAAGAAAGTGACAAGCTAACCGTCGGGCCCAATGCAAGGAAAAAGGTCCGGACAGGCAAGGAATGGGAGAGTAACAAGAGAGTGAGAAGTAGAGGAACGCGAGACTGGGTACTGATGTAGTCGAAGACGGAAAGGGAAAGAAGCATACGCTTGTTCCTCTGGAGACGAGTAAATCACAATTGGAGGGTCATGGCAAGGCAGCGTATAACAGTTCGTCCACCTTCCGGGTGGATGGGACAACAACCCGGATGGAGTTGTGGAATTGGGCCCTTGAACGTCATCAGCAAACAGCCCGATGCATCGCATGCCATTGGACCACGTCGCCCTGTGGTCTCCATGCATTGATGGCTAGCATGTGGGTTTAGTCAAACCCGATCCTGGAATTAGAGCCGGGTGAGGGCAGGCACGATCTCCACTTGCAGGTAAAGCTGTAGAAGCAGGCATCCCACGGCGAACGGGGATTGGGGAATCGGGAGGCCCAAAAGACGAGATAGGAAAAGTAACGCTGCAAGAGCATGGAGAAAGATGGGTCGGGTGAGTGGGGGTTTCAGTGCCACCACTCAATCTTAATAAAATTTGCCAATTTTTCTCAATTTTTTTTTTCTGCTGGGTATTTGCTTGGAGTGTACTGTACACAGGCGAGGGAGGTGGGGTGGGAACCAGGCCCAATCTGGGAAGTTGGGTGGATCAACAACGAGTCGAATGGGATTCCGGCGAGCCACACCGACAAGGGGCCTGCAGTAAGCCCTGAGGGAACACCACGATGATGGGATGCCAGCCGGGCGAGAAAAAGTGATGCGGTCGAAAGACCCATTTCTGCCCAACGTTTTCCGGCAACGGCGGCAAATGAGATGCATGCTTTGGTCTAGTGGGGAGACGAGGGTCATAGCCGAAAAAGCTCAGAGGAGACGCAAAGGGCGCTCCGACGAGGAATTGAGGTCCAGTGAGTCAAAGGTGAGGGCCGAAACGGGGATGGATGGAGTCGAGGAGCCATCGCGACTCCACTCTGCGACACCGACACTTCAGCAGGTCGATCCCCGACCGTGAACTGCCTCACGGCCTCACGATGGCCTCGCAAGTTCGCAAGGGAGTGGCAGTTGGAATGGAGATCGGGTCTCTTCCATGCAGCGATGATGCACGGTAGAGGCGCCGTGGAACACAGGAAGAACTCGGGATCAGGTGACACGTCGTGCGATCTGCCGGCCACTGCGCGGCCACCACGTCCACCTTTTCGATGATCGCGGCATCGCCTATCTGATCGTGCCCTCTGCCAAAAGTCCTGGCCCCCGCTTGGCTCCTACGATTGCATTATCATCTCTACCACCCCAGTGAGGATGTAAAGGCCGCTCTTTATCGCGCAATCGGCTCCCTTGAAGCTTCCAGAAGGAGCTGCATGCATGGACGCCCGGTCCGAGGGTAAACTTGCGCGACGGAGCGACCCGCCGTGCCATACGGCGCCCGATCTGTTGTGTTCCAAGAACCCAGCCATCTTCCAATTTTGGCCCTCTGAGTCAACTGACGACCCAGCTACCCTGCAGGGGGCCGAACATCCATGTTGCCTTTGCGGCCGGTGGTTGGCGAATGGCAAAGGGCCAAGTTGGAACGAAGATCTCAATGTCTTGTACACCTCAGCCAGCACCAGGCGGGTTGCTTCGATCTGGCATTGAGATCTGCCCGAGGGGAGACCCGGACAGATCGGCTTGTTACGTGTCCGAACTACGGGTTTGCGATCCAGGTGGTTTGTTCGGGTCGCCAGATGCAGAACACGTCCAATTGGCATCGTCAATGTCGATCAGGAGGGGTATGCAGCGCGGAAGACCTCGCGACATGTCCGGCATATTGCCATACTCCAAAATCAGCATCACTATTGATAAAGTAGCAGTTGACTAGTGACAGGAACACTGCAACTCGAAGAATAGTACGACGAGCTAGGAATTGTGTTGGTGCCTGTGTTAATGCCAATGCAGATGTACACATAGATATATGTAGTTGCAGATGCAAGTGCTCGCAAAGATGCATCATAGAGCTGAAGTTGATTTCATCAATATCAAACAGCGAAAAGTGGCCTGATATCGGAGTGTCCCTACAGCATAGGGTATCAATAAATGTTGGGTAATGGCAAGGTCGAGTTTCAGTCGATTCCGAAATTAGCGATACAAGGTAAACTCTTGAGCGTTGCCAACACCTGTAAGAGCTTTGACGGCCCTCTCGAGACCGAGCGTGTTGATGTTTTCCCCCTCTTCAATCTTTCAATCTGATTTAATGGAAGGACTTCCATCCAATGATGCTAGCCACTCTCTAAAGCCGAAAGTATCGCGTGAGGAGACAAAGCGAATTACCAAATGTACCAAATCCTCCGACCATAATATATTATAATTCCGGTCCAGAAATTGCGCACCGCTTTGATGCTCGACAATCCCGAGAATGTGATCACCACTTGAGCCCTCCGTACAGAAAGCGAAATTTCTTTTGACATCGGATAAGATAAGCTTTTTACTGCAGATAGTCTCGGGTCAATCAGACTTGCACCAATGCCACCAACTGAAGGGTTACCCAGATGTTCTACAGTCGAATCCCAAAGATCTACCTAGGTACACATCCACGCCCGAGGGGTGATGATCCAGACAATGTTCGGATGAACTTTAAATCATGACATAAATGGACGAAGACACTCTAAACTCAAAACAAAAATGTGCAGAAACTCTAGCATTGACGAAGTAAGAGCACTGACAGCCTATCGCTATTTTGAACACCCTTCCATGCAGGACAAGTCCCCTGTATATATGAAAGTTCACTCTTATTAGGGGCGACTTTCAATAATTTCAATTCCATATCATAGAAAGCATGGAACCCCCGCTTAGTTCCAAACCTGCAGGAAAGGAGCCACATTCCCCTCATTTTAGCTCCAAGGTATCTCCAAACAACAGACGATATCTATCCGATTGGCTGCCTCGTTTTCGAATACGGCGTGGACACTTGCAGCTTGCATATGCAGTCGCACTACCCCAAGGTTGCACAGTTGCTATCAATTTAGTCTATCCGGGATATATTCGCTACATCATCTCAAGTATACCTTGTCACTCGCAGGATGGTTCCACATAAATAGTGGCGAAATATTTTTTTCTTGGCATTTGAGTATTCCATTCATTGTATGTACACTGTAAACCAATTGGTGTCGATTTACTCTGTAGCTTGGAAGCTTTCTTTTCTCAGATTCTAATGTCAATTCAAGTCTTTCCTGTTCGAAAGAAGACTGGATGCTCCATACTTCCATTAATTTGATCTTTTCGCTGATGTTTGAATACCAAGCTCGGATGAAAGAATAGATGGCAGCACAAAAATGGCAAACAAAAGCTTATGTGTGAGTGTAAATCTATGTGGTACATTCCTCTGAGCCAAAGGAGCGACGGTGTGTACAAGAAAAAATATCGAATAATAATGCTTTTATTCACAATGGGTATCATTCATGCCTATGCCAGGACACATAAAGTCATTTCCCGGCTGCCAGGTACAAGAGTTACCAAAGCTCAGAGATCCGGAAATCACCCGAAGGAACTCAGAGCTGTGAAGAAATATAAAATGGCACGCTGATACAAATATGTCCAAAAGAACGAAACTCCAGAAACAATGCAAGCTAACCAGGCAATCAAGAGTGAACACCATTCATCCGTGCATCCATCTTCAGTCTCCAACGGGGACCAAAAACCCTCATGAAGAAGATGACGCAGCTACTGGCAAGACTAACCAAGCCGAGGATCGTGAAGAGCCAGCCGTTACCTATAGCATTGATAATCGGGGCCGTGACGAGAGATCCGACACACGAGAAAATATTGCGCATGAAGTTGTTGAGAGCGACTCCCTCGGACGACTTCTTGGGCATAAACTCGGTCAACATTGTTGTAACCATACTAAAGATCAACATGGACCCGATGCCGAAGAAGAAATTGGCGATCATCTGAAGAGTCAAGTTAATGAATGATCCTGCATCACAAAATTCTGCCAATGTCAAGACATACCGGAACCAGCCAGAAGACACCCTTCTCGGCCGTCCAACCGTACCATATCAGCGCAACGGGATAAAGAATGGCTCCAAGCCAGGCATTTTCTCGCATTCGATCCTCCGGACGAAAGACGAGCCGTCCTTTCTCGTCATAACGGTTTGCTTTCTTTGCTTCCCTTTGCATGATGCTGTCCATCCACTTTCCACCGAAGAGACTGGCCACCACATAGCCTACCGAGTTCGGAATGTAGAGCAGGCCGACAATGACGGTCGAGAAATTGTACGGGCCCTTTCCAAATGTCTCTTCAACACTCACATTCAAGACGTATAATGATCCGAAAGCGATACTGGCATAGTAAACCGTCAAAAGGACCGGGATATACTGAAGATAGAGAACAATCTTCAGAGGATCAATGAAGACCACCTTCAGCATTTTGAGCCATTTTGTGGTTGTGCGCGCCATCTTTCGCGTTGATACCCGACTGAGAGGTCGACTGATGGGCTCACCATCTTCTTCAGTCTCGGGAAGAACAGGTTTCTGAACCGCCAATGTCTCCGGCAGAGCCAGAAAGATAAAGATAACGGTCAGTGCACCGTACGCTGCGAGAAACCACAGGGTACTTCGCCAGCCCCAGCGTTGGGCCAAGACACCGCCAACAATGGGTGCTAGCAAAGGACCACACAATGGCCCGAGATAAAAGATGCCCATCGCGCGGCCTCTTTCCCGAGGCTCCCAGAGGTCAGCAATCGTGCCCGCACCGACAGCCTGAACGGAAGCGGAGGCGCCACCACTGAGCATTCGCATCACGATGAGCATGGCGATGGAGTCGGAGATGGCGCAAAGACAGTTGAAAAGAACGAAGAGAAGGAATGACGCTAGATAAATTGTACGTCGACCCAGACGTTCACTGAAAGAGGACCACCAGAGAGGGAAGATGGACATGCTCAGCATGTACAAGGCGATAGATAGGTTGGTAATGGTCGTGGTTGTGTTCAGTTCCCTGGCCACCTGAGAGAGCGAGGCTGGTCGAGAATAATCAATACCGCAACGGTGTACTGAAAGTATGAAGGGCCGACTTACGGAAGAATATTGAGCTGCCCATTGGTGCCGTGGCACCGGCCACCGCGACGATAAAGGTGATGAACCATTTCATCTTCCGCGGATAGGTTTTCGGGTTCTCGACCTCGGCCACCAAGGTCAGTTGGCCAAACAATCCTCTGCGCTTGAGTCGTGGAACCACGACGGCGGGTCCGATCTGCGTTGACTGGCGTGATAGAGGCGCTGGGTTTTCGAGATCCGTCTTCTCTTCCTCGGAGACGATGCTGGAGCCAGGAGACCGCGGGTGCACACCGTCGATCTCTTGTTCGCCACTAGTCGTAATAAAATGTTGATCATCACCGGCTGCTTCGGTCGTTGATGAGGCTGATGCAGCAGCGCCGGTTTTGGCCATCTTGTCAGACATGATGGGATGAATGAACGATTGAACTTGACGCGGGATCCAATCCCCGTATATTTAACGGAATCAACAGGGTACACGTTGGTAATGTGGATCGTCGCCTTGCCAATTATAGGCTGCGCACTCTCCCTGAAGATCGACGAGGATATGAAACACCCACGATGTGCAGCGACGTAGATGTTTCTGCCGAGGCTGGGGACGAACGGGTCGGCACGACTGGATTGATAAGAATCGGACAGAAATAATCAAATGGTTACATTCAGTTCGTCGGTTAGCTGCGAGAGAATTCGAAGGCTGCGAATGCTATGTCGATCCCGTCGGGTTCAATAGGCGAAGGCAGGCACCGAGATAAAAGCGATCTATCGAGGCAGGAGCGGACTGTGGAGCGTGTCTTCCCCAAGGTTCAACCCGCACCTTGAAGACTGCCCCGTTGCGGGTTGCAGTCTCTCACACACAGCGAATGTGTCTTTCACAGTTCACTTTTGCATAAATTTCCGTCGAATACTAGAGGAAATTCTGGAAGCCGCAAAGAAGAATCCTTCGAAGCCTCGGATCATCGGTTCCACCAGCGAGGCTTGTTTGCAGGTCCCGCCGACAAGCACCGACGGCCCCCGAGCACGCCCCACGTTATATAGCGAGCATGGATTAAAATCCGGCCAAGAGGGGTCGCCTTGGTCGAGTTCAACCAAGTTTCGCCTCTAGACGTCGTGGGCCGCCGGAGCCAGTCATCGTCCAGCATCGCCGTGCCGGTCTTCCGTCGGCAAAAGCCAGCGCGGATCCTGCCGCCGAGTTCGCGACAGACTGCGAGCACAATGAAGATGCTGACGCTAAATTGGCCAACAGAGACATCGCGATAGATTCATCTTGGCTTCGGCGTGTCCTTGTATTGCGTGCCGGAATCCCCACTGTCGGGTGTCGACGTCCAGACACCATGCACCGATCCGGGGAAACCCCAGGTACGTCAGGTACATCACGGGCAGCATGGACTGCAATGGTCTTAGTAGTGCATTGTAGACCGCCCACCTGACAGCTCTTGCTCTCCCAGGCTATATCCTGCCAACTTCCCAGCTCATTCCCTTATGACATTGCTGTGCAGGCTCGCTGCAAGGAGGTGATTATTAAGCCCACGACAGGATGACCTGGGGCAATCGACATGGAAAGACGGTGTGCTCGACTCTTCGCCCGAACTGAGCTGTTCCGACGACAAACTCCCCATTTGTCTCGGCGTCAACGGCTGTCAACCGTAACTCCCCTATTTCTTCGCATCTCCGACTCCACCAAACCACCCAAGATGACCGTCCCAACCACCATCGACCCCAAAGATATCCAGGCCCACCTGGCCCAGTTCCAGGGCGACAGCTATCGAGAGGGCTGGGCCTCGCTCTGGGACAAGGGCGAAGGTCTGCCCTGGGACCGCGGCTTCCCCAATCCCGCCCTGGAGGACGCCCTGGTCCAGCGCCGCGCCACCATTGGCGGGGCCATCGGCCAGGACGCGCAGGGTCAGTCGTACAGACGGAAGGCCCTCGTACCTGGCTGCGGCAGGGGTGTCGATGTGCTACTGTTGGCGAGCTTCGGCTTTGATGCCTACGGTCTCGAATACAGTACCACCGCCATCGAGGCCTGTAAGAACGAGGAGGCCGAGAATCACAGCTGGTATCGGGTCCGAGACCAGAAGATCGGTCAGGGAAAAGTCACCTTTGTGCAGGGTGATTTCTTCAACGATGCCTGGCTGCAGCAGATCGGAGTGCCGCTGAACGCTTTTGATATCATTTATGATTACACGGTACGTCCACTCCAGCTCGATTTGCCTTTTTCTCCCCGGTTCATATGGACTGCCCCGCATATCGCTGGCACATCACAGTGGCCGGGTTGCCGATCCGAGAACAGTCCCCACTTTTATTTTCTTTTGGAATATCAAGTGCTAACAATTGGTGTAGTTTTTCTGTGCTCTGGAGCCATCGCTGCGTCCCAAATGGGCTCTCCGACACACACAGCTTCTGGCTCCCTCGCCGGCGGGTAACTTGATCTGCCTCGAGTTCCCCCGTCAGAAGGACCCCAAGGCAGCGGGACCCCCGTACGCCGCACCGTCGGAGACATACGTGGAGCACCTGAGTCACCCGGGTGAGAATATTCCTTACAATGACCAGGGTATTATCAAGCAGGATCCTCTCCGTGCCCCGAGCAAGGGTGGCCTCGAGAGAGTGGCCTACTGGCAACCTGAGCGGACCCACGAGAATGGTTTGGACGAGAATGGCAAGATCGAGGACAGAGTCTCCATCTGGCGCCTACGCAATTAAATAACTATGTGCTGAGATATTCCCATGCAGCATAAAAATCCTTGTGCAAAGATATCGGTACACATGAATCGATGTTTATGCGAGAAAATCACCGAAATCGTATGGTGCATATTAGCAACAATGACATGATAGTCGGCCATAAAAAGAATAGGGAGGTGCCTAGATAGCTGCATCTGCTATTCGACTATCAATGTCGAATTCTTGTTGATTGCAACATAATATCAAGTAGGCATGGTTTGCAGAACAGCCTCGAATGATGGCCGTACTAGCCATTCTCACATCCATGCCCAGGTGGCTTCCCTTGGTCCTGTCTCTACCTATGCAGTTCGCATACCATGCATAGTAATCTGACTCCGATGATATGGCTGGCATGAATTCCACAATCTTTGCTTGCATACGACGACTATTCAACCCAAATCACTATGCAAATGGACCACTGACGGGCTCATCTTTATTAGAGCACTACTCAGATAATGGCATGTTCAAATAACATTCTCATGCAAGCTGCCCCCAGGGCGGCCGTTATTTGGATGGTTTATCGAGAGTTTCAGGATTTGATTGCCTAGTCATGACGTGTAGAGCAAAAATGTGTCGAAATATTCATGGTCTATTGTCATTTCTATAGTGTCGGGCGCAGCCAGTGAGGACCCTCATTGTCGGTCGTATAAAGCCTCACTTTTTAACGAGAGCATTGTAATGCTCGCCAAGCCCGTAGGTGTGTCGGTAGTACGCGAGCCAAATGACGCGCTTGCGCTTCTCCTCCTCATCAAAGCCATCCATATCTCCACATTCGATCTTCTCTTGTCTGCCGTCACTTTGAACAACATTGATGTCGACACCATATGCCCTTGCAATAGCTTGAAGCTCCAGCTGGCCACCCCATTCGGCAGTCAGCTTGACCTTCCGAGTATAAACATCTAACGGCTCTTCCATAAACGCCTCAAAGTCGTCTTTGTGCTCCACGATAAAGTCGGCCGTTACAGCCCGTACAGCGCGGTATCCATCGTGCTGGGGCGATGTCACCGTGTCAATGCGTGATTGTGATGTTGGCTGAAGGACGATTCGACTTGGGTCTGGCCGCAAGCCTAGTCCAGAGTCATCCAGCTGCTTAGCAACTGCGGAATAGAGACAGTGACCATCTGGTGTGACTTCTACCTCTTTCAGACCAAGCCTCTTAAATACCGCATCCATAATTTCTTGCTCGTTGCCGCGATAATTCGTTTGGTTTGCGGCTTCCTCGGCGGCGGCTTGCGACAGGGCGGCTTGTTCGGCGGCTCGACGGGCCAGGCGGGCTTTGGCACGGTTGGGCTTCTTCGCTCGGCCGGCAGGTAATTGTTCTGGGGTCTCGGTGGTTGGTTCGGGGTCCTGAGGCGTCGAGTTCGTCTTGTCCTCGGTGGTCTTTTCGGCCGGGGTCACATCTTCCAAGCTCAAGTCTTCCAGGGCCTCGACAGGTTCCGTGGGTTCTCCATTTAATTCTGCAATTTCGGATTGGTGTCGCTCGTTGAGCTCTCTTTGCATTCGTTCACACTCATCAATCACTCCTTTGCGTGTCTTCTTGGTGGCGGACTTTTTCTTTTGAGTAATCCGGCTCTGGAGATCCTTTTGTTCTTTGCGGTGTTTCGACATAAGCTCCTCCATTATGTATTGTGGGTAGACCTTAGGAGGTCTAGGAACCCCAAGAAAATGGAAAAAGGGAGGGGTTGACAACCAACAAGATCAACTTGAGACCAAAGACACTGGATCAGCATCCAACTGCGGGCCTGCCAACGCAGTCCGAATTGGTCGCCCCGCGAAACCCTCACTGCGCTGCCCTAATTTGTATCCAAAAGCGGACTAGTGGAGGCGTCCCCGGACAAACCATAAGGCCGATGAGCCTCGGCTCGCCCGCTTGGTCTCGGGTATGCGGTACACCGGGGAAGCTACGAGGGTCGGTTTAAAGGTATGGGTTCACGCCTGGAAACTACCTGACGATCAAAAACGAACAGTCATGGATTCTGCAAGTCTTTTTGATGTCAAGGTATGTCTTTTGATCCTGACTGTTGGCAGTCATGCTGGGCTAACAACTGCATCAGGGCAAAGTGGTGCTGGTCACCGGCGGAGCCAAGGGTATCGGTCGCATGATTTCCGAGGGCTATGTGACCAATGGTGCTACTGTCTACATTTCGTCGCGCGATGCGAATGCCTGCGACCAGGCCGTGAGCGAGCTGAATGCTCTCGGAAAGGGCAAGGCCCATGCCATTCCCGCCAACTTCTATAACTATGAGGACGTCAAGAAGCTGGCCGAGGAGCTAGCCAAGCGCGAGAGCAGTAAGCCACCACCTTTCTGGCTTGATCTACATGCCATGTACGATGTGTTGAACTAACGCAATTGATTCCGCTACAGAGCTCGATGTTCTGGTCAACAACTCCGGCTCGAATTGGGGCGCCCCCTACGACGAGTATCCCACCGAGGCCTTCACCCGTGTCCTGACCCTGAACCTCCACCGAGTCTTCGATCTCACCAAGCTTGTGACTCCCCTTCTTGAGAAGGCGGCCGCTCCGAACAATCCGGCCCGCATCATCAACATTGGCAGTATCGACGGTCTCCGGGTCCCCTCGCTGGAGACATTTGCCTACAGTTCCAGCAAGGCCGGTCTGCACCACCTCAGCCGGACTCTCGCCAATCACCTGGGCAAGCGCAACATTACGTGAGTGTCTCCTGCCATGAGATTGTACTTCTTGGCTTCTTTAGTGCTGACTCCAATCGCAGTTCGAACACATTGGCCTGCGGTCCTTTCGAGAGCAAGATGATGGCCGCCACCCTCAAGTCGTTTGGCGAGGCCATCAAGGCCGGAGTGCCCCTGGGACGCATTGGAACGCCGCAGGATGTGGCCGGCGCTTGTTTGTTCCTGAGCAGCCGTGCAGGCGCCTACATCAATGGCGCGACCATTACCGTGGACGGCGGCAGTGCCATCGCGGCCAAAATCTAAGTTTTGGGCGGTACTTAGGGTAGCAAACATCCCTGTAGATAATAAATGCCACATATATTGTTGATTGTATCATCTTCTCTCTCTTCTATCACTCCACACAATATTTTCCTCCACATCTTCGATTCCAACGTGGACAAAAATCCGAAACCCTGCGGGGCTTTGGCATTCCAGAAGATGGCTGGGCCCCTTCAGCTACCTCGGTCACCTGTCCGGCGACGACGCATTGCTTTTCCTTCAGGTCTCACACCGGAGGTGCCAAAGCAGAAAAACCACCAATTTTGCCAGCTTCTAGACTCACAAGTCCGGTAGTCGCGGCTGAACAGGTCAGGCCTTCCCGACGTGGAAGTGCATTGTACTGGCAAGTGCCCCCGCTATCATTTGCTTATCAGAAGGCAAGTTGGCAGCGATCTGGATCCACGGTGGAGCGGCGACATCATCGACTACACGTCATTTCTCGAAAGCCCAACACATCCCACCTTCCTTCTGGCCCTACAGCCTTTTAACTGTTTTCATCTTCTTCAATACGCCTGCCCGACCATCTGCAAAAACAAGTATCGCCCCGAAACTAAGACTGTCTCATCAAGCAAGGCTTCCCCTTGTTGCGGATCAGATCGCCTCGTGCCGATTGGAGTGATCTTGTGAGCACCACCTTCCAACAACCGAACCATTGGAAAAGCCAACGCCGCCTGCTGCCGGGTAAACACTGTTACAGCTGTGCAGGATCGTGACTCCGGAGTCGGTGTGAGCCCTTTTTCAAACTAGTGACTCCCCACCGCACTCGGTCTTTGAATCTTTCCTTCTCCCACCCCCTTTTGCCCCCAGGACCATGAGCTCGTCAGAGGCAAATGGCCAACCCAAGCGGGCTTCTTATCTCGATCCTCTCTCGCACCCTGATATCTACTACGGCAACGAGGACTCGCTCGCCCGAGCTAGAGATCGCCGCCGGGCTTTTTCAACGGTAAGCAGCCACAAGTGCTTGTGCGGCTACCCCGCGGATGACACCCCGGCTGACTTTTCACCTTGCGGTGTACAGAGCTTGAAGGACTACGACCGCGAGAACATCCATGAAATCCTAGGCAATCTTCCCACTCGACGAGGCAGTCATGGTACGCTTAGCCACTCCTGCTGCGTCCCCCTAGTTCGCCGCCAACGCCGGATAGCTTTGCTGACCGCTCTAAATAGACGAAGCATCAGGGATCCCCCGCAAGTTCCTCATCGAGGTGGACGCCACATTGGATGCTTTGTTAAAGCAGGAAGATACGGACCAGAACATGCAGATCACAATTGAGGATGCTGGACCAAAGGTGTGTCTGATCGAAACCCAAGAAACTTGTGTATAGACTGCTGACCTCTACAGACAATCTCGGTCGGAACCGCCGGATCCTCGGGGATCAAGCGCGTCGATGTGCGCGGCACATACATGCTTTCAAATCTTTTGCAGGAGCTAACGATTGCGAAAGACTACGGTCGGAAGCATATCGTTCTTGACGAAGCCCGTCTGAGTGAAAATCCCGTCGCACGCCTCTCTCGCCTCATCAAGAATTCCTTCTGGAATGCGCTTACGAGACGCATCGATGGCTCCAATATTGCTAGAGTGGCCAGGGATCCCAAGGATTGGACCGATGATCCACACCCCCGGATCTACGTTCCACCAGGTGCTCCCGAGCAATATGAGTACTACAAAGACATCGCCGAGAAGCACCCAGATCTACGGCTGGAAGTAATTCTTCTCGATACCAATATCACTCCCGACTATGTCATGGGGCTTGTCGATGCTCCGGGTCTCCTGGCATTGGAGATGGAGGAACAGTACAATATTGATACCGGAAAGAAAGTGTTCTCCGGTGTTCCATTCGTGGTACCCGGAGGTCGATTCAATGAGTTGTATGGATGGGATAGTTACATGGTGGCCCTGGGTCTCTTGGTTAGCGACCGGGTTGACCTTGCCAAGGGCATGGTCACCAACTTCTGCTTTTCAATCAAACACTACGGAAAGATCCTCAACGCCAATCGGACCTACTACCTCACACGTTCTCAGCCTCCTTTCTTGACCGACATGGCCCTGCGTGTGTATGAACGGATCAAGAGCGAGCCCGGCTCGCTGGAGTTCCTTCGCCAGGCTGTTCTGGCTGCCATTAAGGAATATCACTCGGTCTGGGCGTGTGAGCCTCGTCGAGACCCAGTTACCGGATTCTCGAGATATCGTCCTGATGGATGGGGTGTTCCACCGGAGACGGAGCCATCTCACTTCACTCATATCCTCACTCCATATGCTGAAAAGCATGGCATGAGCTTCAAGGAGTTCGTCAAGGCCTACAACACACGGGTCGTGGTTGAGCCTGAGCTGGACAAGTATTTCCTCCATGATCGAGGTGTTCGTGAGTCCGGTCACGACACTAGCTACCGTCTGGAGCGTGTCTGCGCCGACTTGGCTACTGTTGATCTTAACTCTCTGCTGTACAAGTATGAAGTTGACATTGCACGCATCATCCGTGTCCACTTCAAGGACAAGCTGCAGATCCCACAGGAGTTCCGCACGCCTGCTACCAAGGACATTGAGTTTGAGTCATCTGCCGTCTGGGATCGTCGTGCCCGCAAGCGCAAGCAGACAATGGACCAACTGATGTGGGATGGGGAAAAGGGCATGTTCTTTGACTACAACACTGCCAAGAAGGAGCGTACTGACTATGAGACCGCGACTACCTTCTGGGCTATGTGGGCCGGTCTTGCTACGCCCCAACAAGCAGCCATGATGGTGGAAAGAGGTCTGCCTCGGCTTGAAGCGTACGGCGGTCTGGTCTCGGGATCGGAGGAGTCCCGAGGCCCAGTCGGCTTGGAGAGACCCAACCGCCAATGGGACTACCCGTACGGCTGGGCACCGCAGCAGATGCTGGCGTGGACCGGGTTCCTGCGTTATGGATACCAAGAGGAGGCGGAGCGACTGGCTTACAAGTGGATTTACATGATCACGAAGGCCTTCGTCGACTTCAATGGTGTTGTCGTGGAGAAATATGATGTGACCCGACCGATCGATCCCCACCGAGTCGATGCCGAGTACGGCAACCAAGGAGCCGATTTCAAGGGCGCTCCACGTGAAGGGTAAGTCATTTGATAAGCTCACCTTTGGGTCTGGTGTCAATGCTAACAGCGATATCGCAGATTTGGCTGGGTTAATGCCAGTTATGTTTATGGCTTGGACATTCTGAATGCCCACATGAGACGCTCATTGGGAGCCATCACCCCTTATGAAACTTACCACAAGGCCGTTACCGCACAGGGCGCCTTCTAATTGAGCTTGCTGGTTGAATTTTGGAACTGTCCATCCGTGTCTATGGCGATGGCTGGGATTTGGTAGAAAATCGACAGAACGAAAAGCGTGCACTACAAATTAGTGTTCGTCGAATTCATTGTTATTTGTTGTTCGATGATGGGTCGAGTTTTGGGCGTAGGCTGTGGTTGTAGAGAGCAAAATGGCCAGGTGATGTTGAGGACCCGCCGAACACTGTACATGAGCTTGGGCGAAATGGGTTCATTTAGCCTTGATACACCTCTCCGCTTCGACGACAGGACCGAAAGTAACTGTAACACGTATAATGATAAGCATGGCTTATTTCAAAAGGTAGGAGCCGTGACATCCCCGCAAAATCAACATCAGCCACCTCCTCATGAACCATCACCGAACGGGCGAAAATAACCCGGCTTCTATCGGCAAGCTGGCACACTGCCGGTCAACGTCCGAAAGATAATCAGGGATCCCCGAGTCGCATACGACACAAGAGTCGGACACTCCGCAAAGACAGGCACCGACTCTCCCAATGGCTGGGCATTACGCGGGTGGGGGAGCTGAGGACACCCTGGATTACCCGAGGCTAATCTCGTGGCGGCGAGACTGAGTTGGGCCGTCTGGTGGTCGTTTACACGGCGACGCTACCTACAGTAAAAACAAAATGGAACAATCTGATGCAATATATCAATCTAAAATGTTTATATGGATTCAAATTCAGATATAGATATAGTGGGAGGAGACAGTCTTGGTATACGATAACCTTAACGGTTGTCGGCCTCGGTGTCCTATGGGAAGCGCCGAAGACGGAGATGGGAGGAGCTGGATGAGTAACACTACAGAGATCCCCAGAGCTTTGTATTGGTATCAGACCCTCTTGTCGATCCGGGCTTCTGTACTAGTGCCGGGCAGGGGTATTAAAGTGAGCAGGCCTTTGGGCCGAGGTCCAGCGCAGAGGGCTAGTTTGAGTCATTTGTCTGATCCACGGGTGGACCCTCTGCTATTGGCGCGTACATCGCGGTGGTTTGCTTGCGGGTGTTTGGTCTTCCGGGATCAATTCGTACGGGTTCAGGGGGAAGAGAGTTGAGTCAATAGTAGATCTTGAAAGTTATCGTATGCGCCTGAGGCGGCATGTACAGCGCACCGTTCGGGTATGTATAGGTGAGTAAAGGGGATATTTATCAATTTAAATCGCAGCTGGTTATCTAAGGGGCTGTTTCGAGTTGGTAATTTTCCTCGCTACAAATCTCTGAAAATCAATGCTGTATCGCGATTGTGGCAAGCTGGTGTTAGGGTCTTGATGCGCGAGCTGACCAGGATGCGGGTGGAGAAGCAGCGAATACCGGGGCATAACGGAGTGGTATTGATGACTGAGGCAGACACATACTGCGACGAGTTGTGTTTACTGAATTTTCAACGATATTTGAGTGCTATCAGCGGCCAAGTTAGTGCTTATTATACTAAATGACCATCGTCTATATGCCACTTTGCATATCACGCGACCAAAATGGCCCAGGATAGCTCGAATTGTAACCTGATCTCGTGAAGATTCGTCGCATCCGCATGTGAAAGTTTCTGGTACTGTCACGTAACGCCGCACATGCCCGGCGCCTTACGTCATTTTCGTCTCCGTCGTCCCGATCTTTCACGCTTGCCAATGCGCCTTCAACTGGAGGGATAAAAAAATAAAAATGAGTAAGGTGGGATTATTGAAAGATGGTCCTGAGATACCGATGGTTTTCTACTCGACTTATTGCGCGTCGGGGCGAGCGGTGTCCGCAGAAGGCCGTAGCAAGGGCGGCAGCCGTGGTCCATTAGACCGAGGATCTTAGAGTCTGGATCCTCTCTTCCGAACCACCGCACCCGCCTTCCGCCTTTCGGAGCATCGCCCGTGAACATTGGCCAGGATGCTGGAAACGTTACGGGACTTGCCTAGGCTGCCAGGATTGGGGCCCAGCGTTGACCCGGTGAGCCGAGCGTTTACCGACTGGTTCTGTGACGCATTCGCAAAGTAAATAAGTACCCGGGCCGCCCATCTGGCTTGTGATTTGAGTTTCTTTCCTATTGTGCTTTTGCGTCAGCTCAAATCTCCCTCTCTCTCTTTCTCTCTCTCTCTCTCTCTCTGGTCCTGTGTTCCAGTTACAATATATTATCTTGTTTGGAAATACCTTTGTATAGCTACTCCATAATCCATCATGGGTCTGCACGAAGATGAGGACCGCAAGTATGCGGAGGATGTCCAGGCCGTCAAGAACTGGTGGAGCGACTCCCGATGGCGCTTCACCAAGCGCCCTTTCACGGCCGAGCAGATCGTCGCGAAGCGTGGCAACTTGACCGTGGACTACCCCTCGGGTGTCCAGGCCAAGAAGCTCTGGAAGACCCTGGAGAACAACTGGCAGGTAAGCTCGCAATACCACATGCGTCGAATCGAATGCAATTCAAGAGATGTTAACGCTCAACTTTTGAACAGACTAAGCAGGCCAGCTTCACCTACGGCTGTCTCGAGCCTACCATGATCACCCAGATGTGCAAGTTCCTCGACACCATCTACGTTTCCGGCTGGCAGAGCTCCTCGACCGCTTCGTCTACGGATGAGCCCTCCCCCGATCTGGCTGATTATCCGATGGTGGGTGCAACTTGGCGAACAATTGGGAGTTGGATGTTTATGTTGACAGAAATTATAGGACACCGTCCCTCGCAAGGTCAACCAGCTCTTCATGGCACAGCTTTTCCACGACAGGAAACAGCGCGAGGAGCGCATCACCACCCCCAAGGACCAGCGCTCCAAGGTTGCCAACGTTGACTATCTGCGCCCCATTATCGCCGATGCCGACACTGGTCACGGTGGTCTGACCGCCGTCATGAAACTCACCAAGCTGTTCGTTGAGCGGGGTGCTGCTGGTATTCACATCGAGGACCAGGCCCCTGGAACTAAGAAGTGCGGCCACATGGCCGGTAAGGTGCTGGTCCCCATCAGCGAGCACATCAACCGTCTCGTCGCCATCCGTGCCCAGGCCGATATCATGGGCACTGACCTTTTGGCCATCGCCCGTACTGACTCCGAGGCCGCCACCCTCATCACCTCTACTATCGACCACCGCGACCACGCTTTCATTGTTGGAACCACCAATCCCAACCTCCAGCCCTTGAACGACTTGATGGTTGCTGCCGAGCAGGCCGGCAAGAACGGTGCTGAGCTGCAGGCTATTGAGGATCAATGGACCGCCCAGGCCGGCCTGAAGCTCTTCGAGGAGGCCGTCATTGACACCATCAACGCTGGTGTTCACGGCAACAAACAGGGTCTGATTGAGCAGTTCCGCAAGGCCGCCAAGGGCAAGAGCAACACCGAGGCCCGCGCCATCGCCAAGGGTATCACTGGCGTCGACATCTTCTGGAACTGGGACTCTCCCCGTACCCGTGAGGGTTACTACCGCTACAAGGGCGGCACGCAGTGCGCCGTCAACCGCGCCGTTGCCTATGCTCCCTTTGCTGATCTCATCTGGATGGAGAGCAAGCTGCCCGATTTCAAGCAGGCCAAGGAGTTCGCCGACGGCGTGCACGCCGTGTGGCCCGAGCAGAAGCTCGCCTACAATCTGTCTCCCTCCTTCAACTGGAAGAAGGCCATGCCTCGCGACGAGCAGGAGACCTACATCAAGCGTCTCGGCGAACTCGGCTACTGCTGGCAGTTCATTACTCTGGCCGGTCTGCATACCACCGCGCTCATCTCCCACCAGTTCGCCAAGGCGTACGCTAAGAACGGCATGCGCGCCTACGGCGAGCTCGTCCAGGAGCCAGAGATGGAGCAGGGCGTGGACGTCGTTACTCACCAGAAGTGGAGTGGGGCCAACTACGTCGACAACATGCTCAAGATGGTCTCTGGCGGTGTGAGCAGTACCGCTGCCATGGGCAAGGGTGTGACCGAGGACCAGTTCAAAAGCTGAGTGATCACAGGGATGACCTGTTCTGTATATCTGTTGGGGATTCCTGCCCGGAATCATTTCGGCGTTTCTAGCTTTTTTTGTCCTGATGATGCTTCTTTCCTCTTTTCCTTTCTATTTCTTTGTCAATAGCCCGATTTGATTCCCATCGGGTCTGTGCCTTGCCTAAGGCCAGCCGAGTGCCATCGCTTTTTTTGAAAATAATGCATGAGGAAATACAATGCTTGATTGGAAATTCAATTCTCCTCCGTAGCACTGAATAACACGATGCTTCATATGATACATCGTAGATATCGACCGCAAATGTATATATTTACCACCAGGCCTGTCAGCACCTAGACATGGACTGCTTATTCACCTCCGAGCTCGACCATGCCATCCTATTGGCAGACAGCACAAAATGGATTCTGCAGCCTTGCCCGAACAAGAAGAAGCTGCCCGGCGCCAACTTCTCAAGCGGGTCCGTGTGAAGCCGCGGTCCTGCGGAACGTGGAGTTGTGCTGACGGAGGGTCTCGAATGCGCCAAACGGGCACCCGGGGTCATGCCGTGTGAGACGGACAGATCCAGAAAATCAAATCATCAAGTGAGAGCTGAAGCTGCTTTTTCTGTAAGCGACGGGGCCTGCCGAGCGCGAGAGACTCCGACGGAGTGAAAAAGGAGAGGCGAGGTGGAGATCGACGAGACCGGAGGGACCCAACAAGCCGAGCGCATGTGGATGCGGAGAAGGAGGCGGCTTAAATAGCGCCCTCGGCCCTCCTCGACTCCTGACGTAAGGAGGTTTACTTTTTCCCTCACACACCATCATGGGCGTACAACTCCCCGACCTGCAGTTCACATCGCTCGAGACGATCCCCGAGCGCGTCTCTACCGCCCGCAAGGCCTTCCTGGAGCACAAGACGCGCGATGTCGAGTTCCGTCTCGTGCAGCTGCGCAAACTCTACTGGGCGTGAGTACATTTATCACTATCGAATCATCGCAAACGCCCATGAAATTGACGAGTTCGCTAGGATCAAGGACCACGAGGAGGAGATCGTCGAGGCCTGCGCCCAAGACCTGAACAAGCCGCGCTTCGAGACCGAGGTTGCGGAGAGCGGATGGCTGCTCAACGATGTTGTCTTCACCACCCGCAATCTGCACAAATGGGTCAAGGACGAGAAGGCCCCCGATATCGACCTGTCCTTCAAGTTCATGAACCCTAAGATCAGAAAGGACCCGCTCGGTTGCGTGCTGGTCATTGGGTATGCGCAACTCCCAATTCGCACCTTCGCGTGGCGAACATCGCAGAGCTGACAGCTTTGATCATAACCTAGTGCCTTCAACTTCCCCTTCCAATTGACCCTGGGTCCCGTCATTGGAGCCATCGCCGCTGGAAACACCGTCGTCATCAAGCCTAGCGAGAATGCCCCCCGCAGCGCCGCCGTCATGCAAAAGATCTGCGAAGCTTCCCTCGACCCCGCCTGCTACCACATCATCCAGGGTGGTGTGCCCGAGACACAGGCACTTTTGGCCGAACGCTGGGACAAGATATTCTTCACTGGAGGCGCCAACGTCGGCCGCATCATCGCGAAGGCTGCCGCCCCGCACCTGACCCCCGTCGTCCTCGAGCTGGGTGGCATCAACCCGGCCATTGTCACCAAGAATGCCGACCCACGCCTGGTTGCGCGCCGAATGCTCTGGGGTAAGATTATGAACGCCGGACAGGTCTGCACTTCTCAAAACTACCTGCTGGTCGACAAGTCGCTGGTGTCCAAGGTGGTCGAGGAGTTCCAGAAGGCCTACAAGGAGTTCTACCCCAAGGGCGCCAAGGACTCGCCCGACTACTCGCGCATTATCAACGACAGCCACTTCCAGCGCCTCAAGTCAATGCTGGATAACTCCAAGGGCAAGATCCTGATGGGTGGCACCATGGATGAGAAGGAGCGCTTCATTGAGCCTACTCTGGTTCAGGTGGACTCCGTCGACGACTCCCTGTGCTCCCAGGAGAGCTTCGGACCTTTCATTCCTATCCTCCCCGTTGAGAACCTGGATGAGGCCATCAACCTCGCCAACGGCGTTCAGAGCACCCCGCTGGGTCTTTACCCCTTTGGCAACAAGGCCGATGTCGCTAAGAGTAGGTGACTTTCCATGAGAGAAGGTTGGCAGAAGACAGTATCTAATCAATCTCTAGTTCTGGACTCCACCCGCTCCGGTGGTGTCTCCTGCAACGATGCCGCCCTTCATATCCCAACCCTGCCCTTCGGTGGTGTCGGCGAGAGTGGTTACGGTGCCTACCGTGGCCGCTCCAGCTTCGACGTGTGGGTTCACCGTCGTCCCATCACATCCAGCCCCGGTTGGCTCGAGTCGATCCTTGCTATTCGCTACCCTCCCTATGCCGGCAAGCTGAGCAAGTTCAAGGCTGCCAGCACTCTGGTCCCCGACTTTGACCGTACCGGCAAGAAGGTGACCCTGGGCTGGTTGCGCTTTATCTTCACGCTCGGTGGAGGAAGTGCCAAGGCTGGCGCCGGCCGCGCGGCGGTTGTTGCTGCTCGTGAGTGATCCTCTTTCCATTGATGATCTGAAATTTTTCCAACCATCTATCCCCTTCATTTACAAAATACTTTCCTTTACAATATTTCCTTTCCCCTTTACCCGGGGTTGGACCTCATCGTTGTCATTCTCAATACAATGAGGAGCAATGGAGCTGGATTCAACCCCCAACCTTTCATCAGCCCCGGAGCCATGACGTGTCACTGAAAACAATTTTTGATACCCGCAACTTTGTATACCCCCGTCTTGGAGTGTTGGCTTGATCTTGTGCACCAGATGCATGGCCTCGGGTTGTACATCATTTCTTTTTTTTTCATTCCATACCTCTATACCCCCTTTCCTGCCTTACCACGGGACATCCAAGACAGATCACGTACACAATCGAGTGAATTAATCTTAATGAATTTACCTGCTATGTCACGCTATCCCCTGTTTTGCACAAACAAAATCGTGAATACGTTCTAACGCAGTTGTAGTTGCCTACTTCGTGCTCCGAGTGCTCGAGCGCCGCACCTCGAAATTGTGAGACGGAAAAATGAGGACAGGAGGCCAAGTGGATTTTTGTTATATTTAGCTCTTGATTGTGTAACTAGGAAAATTAGCTTCGAGGAAATTGCTGATCATCGACATATAAAGCCATTGAACCGTCTAACGGCGTATCCACCTGCCCTTTTCAATCAGATCGCCGCCCCTCTAACCAACAATATTAGAATTAACATGAAAATAAAGTCAGTATTATATGTGATAGATAACATGCCAGCAAGGGCCTCTCATTCAGAGAGAGCAAACTTGCTCAGAGACCTGAGCCGAGCACCATAGAAGTAAAGTAGCCAGATGCCAACAATACCGATGACACTCAGTCCACCGAGGAGACTCACACCCCGTGCAACGCCCAGGTTGCCGAAAAGCGGGTGAGCAAAGAGCACGCTACCGCACGCAAGTGCACTGCGGAAGAAATCATTCGCCGCGAACAGACTGGCGGCATACATGGGGTAGCTGAGCGGAATGTAGACGAAAACACACTGCATGACGATGAAGACCGTCGCGCCGTAGATGGTAATGCCAATCGTAGGTGCGATCCAGTGGATGGAAGCCCGAGCCGTCCAGGCAAAGAGGAAGAGACCGATCGTCGGTCCAAAAGAGGCTGGCAGGGCGGGAATGAGACGAGCTTCTTGGACGGGGAATCCAAAACGCGCAATGCGGGGGTTCATCCAGTAGTAGATGTAGAAGCCGTAGATGGAGACACCCAGGATGCAAGAGATGAGAATACACAGGAAGACAAGACCGATTTGTCCAAGGTTCATGCCGTAGTCGACGGGGTAGACGAGCGGGAACACCTCAAAGAAGGAGTAGTAGATGCCGTAGATGATGGCGGTGTAGATCTGGACGAAGAGCACGGCGGGATCCTTGACTGTGATTTCGATCGGCTTGACCAGGGCGTCAATGGCGATGGATGAGACGCGCATGTTGCGCTGGTCGATCTCGGACTGGGACATGAAGCGGTTGTCGTTGTAGATTTTGCGGAGACGCTGGGCGCGGCGGAGCAGGATGGTTGCGCTGCTTGTCTCGGGGAGGAAGAGCAGCATCAGGATAAAGACTGGGGCAGAGGCCCAAATTGATTCGTACAGGGACCAGCGCCAGCCCTTAACTGGGACAGCGAAGCCGCTGAGCAGAGGTCCGAGGGCGGCTATACATCATCACAATGTTAGTATTTGAAAAGGTTTAGTTATGATGCGAGGGTGATGGGTACTTACGTCCACAGTAGGCAGCAGAAACCCAGGCCATCATGGCATATGGCAGGGAAATCAGACTGTACATATCACCGATCGAAGCACCTCCAGAGGCAAGACATGGTGAGCCGAAGAATCCCTGGAGGAAACGAAGGACTAGTAGACCAGGGAAGTTGCCCACAAATGCGGTGGGGATAGATATAATAACGAAGAGGAACATGGTGATGATATACACTGGGTTTCGTCCGATGACTGGAATCTCACTCAATGGAGAGAAAATCAGAGGACCAACACCATATCCGAGAACGTAGAGGGATAGACCAAGTGTGCCGACCAGTGAGTCAACGTTGAACTCTTCCATAACACCCTGTAAAGAGGAGGTGTAGATCGCAGATGTAGTATATACGACAAATGTGTAAAGGCAGATCAAAGTGGTCATCATGGCGCGCTTCGAATTGGACCAGTTATGCGGATTCTCCGCATCGTCGGTATAGTACCAGTCCACGAGAATAGCGCCATCTTTTGTCCGCGTTGGCACGATGGGAGTCGACTTCACTTTTTCAATTTCATGTTGTTCGTCGGCCTCGAGGCGGGCTTCGGTAAAAGGCGTGGTGTTGAGGGTTGAGGTGTGACTGAGGATGCCGCTCTCTTCATCGGTGTTTGGGCTCGAGGTCTGTTCTTCGGACTTCTTTTCGGACTCCCCATTGGGCGGCGCGTCCGTGCCGTTCATCAACTTTATCCATGGCTCGGGCAGCTTGAAGTCGGGCTTTTCTTCTGGATATTGGAAGTATTTGTTCTTGGTCAAGAGTCGAACCAGTTGCCCGAAGGGGGCATCGCGGATGTAGGCGGCCATTGGCTCGGTTGCTCCGGCGGGTCTTCTTTTAGAGGGTAGGAAGTAAATATTTCAAGATGACAATCCCTTTTGTCGATGGGAGAACCCCTGGAGGATGGAAAGCTGGATAATAGGGAGTTATGGAGATGTCTTCATGGTCTATATATGCTCTTTTGCTTTGGTAGGCAGGATTCTTCGTATTTTCGATCATTTCGTTATGCTTCTGCGTTAAGCTCGACTAAGTCCGAGAAGAAATTAGAAATCAGTACTTGACCCGCCGGTAGCTCCTTCTACCCTGTTCTAATGTGACCAATGGAAATTCAAGGTTATTCATCGGATTATGAATCTTCGAGAATACCCACGGTTTTCCTAAGATGGCGTCAGATCTGGACGCGCCAATCTCTAGCACGGGCGCAGGAATTGACCCGACGCCGAACAGCTTCAAATCCTGGATGACAAATGACCTAACGTTATGCTGGTGCCACAGCCAACGCCTAACTTTTCCGGACTAGAATACGAGCAACAACATTTGCTGAGATTTTCGATGATCCACTCGTCATCTACTCGACCTCCAATAGGACGAGAATTCGTGATGGGTGATGACATATCGACCCTGTTCGGTCGGGTTGACCGTGGATGCCAGCGTCAATCGAGGCTGGTCTTAGCGCGCGGGCTTTAAGATTCCGGCGATAAGATCGTATCCCCGCCTGCAGCTAACCATCGGACTTTTTCTTTCAGAAGCGAATCGAGCAAGCCGGGGGCCAGCCGAAATTTATTTTCCTCGCGTGTCGGACATTGATAATCTCCATGTCGCGAGTCAGTATGCCCGGTCGATGCCGATGTGGCGCCCGCAAACACACCGTTCTGGCAGAGAGCTAGGGTTGAGGCTTATGATGACGACTCGGACGGTGGTCGGAGGCCATAATGAGTCAGAGTCTTCAACTCGAGACCGTTCTAGAATTCGAAATTGGACACTAGATTGTCCTTATTTGGCTGGGCATTGATATCCCAGATAATTCTTGACTTGATTTATCGATGGATTGGAGCGACGAGAATTGCGGCGAACCTTGGAATCCACTCGTCTGCTACATCTGTAAATCGTTGATCGCTGCCTGGTACCCCGAGGTACCCGGGAATTGTAATGTTGTATATTTGCGATATCACACAGAAAACGAACAATAACGGCCCTGTGGCATACCAGTAGTAGGTATTCGGGCGGTGTTGACTGGAAACTCAGATGGACCAGGGTTGCCGCCTTCACATCAAAGACTAATTGCTCTTCCCCCCGCATGTTAAAAAAGGACTATGACCATCCCCTGATGGATCTCGCCAGACCGTACCACTGTTTTGATTACGCCTCAAACAAAAGTGAAACGACTCTACTCTACCTAGACCGATTTCAGTCGGTGTGACTGGGAAACGTCATGAGGCGCAGATCAGGCTGCCCCTCCGATGAGCAGGGGGCCAAAATTCCAGCCCCCAAAACATCGCAATCAGGACCGGCCTCTTCATCAAAGCGACGCCATATCAGGCCTGTGAGATTCGTACCGACTGTAGCATCTCGAATCTGGCGGATACGGACTACAAAGTGGGGAACGATGCCGAAACGAGGCGGCATTCCCTGGCAATCCAAGGGCTGCTGGACATGCAGGAAGCGGAAGATCAAGGTCGGTGCGGACTCAATCTCCGATCAACTCTTGCCGCTCGTCGACACTAACTGGATGTGGTGAACTAGTGCGACCAGAGGAAGCCGGAATGCGAACGGTGTATCAAGCGCGATATTCAGTGTCTCGGATACGAAAAAACTCGTACCTTCATCTACCATTCGTACGAGGAACCCGAGAAGAAACATGATGCGGGTAATCAGCTCCAGCGCATTGCTCGCACACACAAGGTGGCGCCCGTGAGGACTGTTGCGTCTGAGCCGATGATGCGTGAACAAGTCTTCTCTTCATTTGTCGATCTGTGCTTCCCAACCCACATGGATGTATCCAATGTCGATATGTGGCGCTTTTTGGTCCAGAACTTCTCCATACTCCCCGGAAAAAGCGATATGCTTGAGAAAACGATCTCCTCGGTATCATGTCTTTTTCTCGGGAAGATTAACCACGACGATCGCATGTTCAATCAGGGACTCAGACTATATAACAGTGCGGTGCGGCAGATGGCGAAAATGATCTCCCAGGATGCGTATAGTGATGATCTTGTCTATACTGCTGTCATCTTCCAGGAAATCGAGGTACATGGAGTTTCTTATATTCTTCCCAGTCTCTTGATCGCTTACTCGCAATATTGAACTAACACACATCGCATCAAAGAGCTGCTATTGCCCGAATGGACTGCAGACATGGCTGGCCCACATCAAGGGAGTGAACACATTATTGAAGCACTACCGTCACAAGGCGGTCAGCAATCCTCTGATCGAGGCTATATACCATCGGTACCAGAAACTACGAACGGTATGGCTGTCTATTTGTCGGTCTGTCTATTCAAAGCGTTGCTAAACTACTGCTTTTTCAGTTAATGTGCTCGTCTGCCATCAATATGCCTGCAGATGAATACAAATACATGACGGAAGAAGGCGATGGCTCTCCCTTATCTGAGTTACTCAAGGCCTTCGCGGAGTTGTCACCCATCAGTGTGAAAGTGCAATCAATTGATCCTTCAGATTATGATGCCTGTCAAGATTTGCTACAACACGGTGTCAGAGCCAAGGAGCAGCTTTTTGCATGGTATTCTGAGCACCATATGGCCGAAACCATATCCCCGAGCTCTCCAAGGCATTTCACAACTACCAATATGCCATCATCCAAGGGCCTATTCGAAGCTCCTTATTCTTTTACTTCCTTCGACTGTGTTTTGTTGCACATGTATTACTGGGCTGCACTAGCGATGCTGTTGCCGATGATCTTTCACGCAAAGACACTTATCAGATCTCATCGGAACAGTGGTATTCCAGCCGAGCTACTCAGTCAGGTCACAGATCCTTTTCTGGACGAGGATTATCTCTGCGCAGGTTTCTACGCCGATGAAATCTGCCGCTGTATGCCATACTGCATGCAAGACAAGATGAAGAATGCCGGATTCCATATGACATTGTTTCCCTTGTGTGCGGCCTCGCAGACTTATATCAACTTCGCCAACTTGGAGAAATTTGCTTGGTGCGTAAAGATCTTAGAGCAAGCGGACAGTCGTGGCCACGCGACTGCTCCTTACCTGGTTGATATATCTTGGAACAATTGGTTTCTGAAGAATGACTCTCGGCCAAACGTGATTGTCGCTTCATCGTTAAGGGAGATATTTCCAGACAACACACCCAGCAGAGAGCTACAGAATAGGATAGAACTGATAGATGAATGATGAATTACGCTTCTTTTCTGCCATTTTCCCTCGATAATTTACACCTATGCATCCTCTTGGGCGTGGCCCATGCCGCAATCTGCATCAAGCTTATGTTCCGGGTCAAGGGCCCGGGCTTGGTCGAGTGCTCATGTTACTTTGTTGGAACTGCTACTATCATATTCACACACCTCCTGGAACTTGCTTAGATCCAGTGTTATTGAAGAACAGGTCGAATGTGGCGCCATGTTCGATCCTATTGTCAAATTCACTTCAGCCACCTCAGCCTGGGCTTTCTCTGCACCAGGGCGGCCACTCTATTCTTCTATTCTTCTATTCTTCACAAAGGGTGGAAATGTACTGTTACTACTATATAACCGTCTACGCGATCGATTGCTCAGTCACCTTAGCAGCCAAAGGGGTGTAATTATACTAATGTCGATAAAATAGATATTCTCAATGGTATATCGTTACTCATGTTCTCCCTTATTGTCACCGAAAGACGGTCTGTCATCAGCATCGCCGCTCAACACCACGCCTGCTCACACAAAGATACTTGACACCCTTATATGGCTTGACACTTTCGCCGAGACCACGGCTTCGCCGTTGATCGATGTTCAAACTATCCACCTTTATCCCAGATGGAAGCCATCCCCGAACAGAGAAAGAGACAGATGCGGAGTTTGGCATGAGGTCGGCATTGATTTGGGCCTTTGTCCGGCGAGGTGTGGGGCGAGCAGTAGCTGAAGTCGAAAAGAACGCCGGAAGCTGAGAGGAGGCTGTAGTGTTGACTGGATTTTGAGACGAAGGAGTCGGAGTATGAGGTTTGGAACTATTGGGGGAGGGAGTTTTGGACTTCACAAGTGGTTCTGTGGAATCTTCTGCTGGAACGTCGTCTGCTTCTTCAGACAAGACGGCGCCAGATCGAGACGACTTTTTGGTTGACTTCTTTTTTTCTTTTTTCGCTTTGACGGATCTCGGACCTTCCTGGGAGTACCCGCAGTCGGGTCATTATAAGATGTAGGGGCTTCGTAATAGCCCTGCAGAAGATTCGCGTTGGCATCTTCATCAGCATCCTCAAGGCTGTCCTCAAAATCCTCATCGGCCGATGGATAGCCCGCGACAGTACAGCGCAGTGTTGCTGTACCTGCAATAGTTCCAGCATCACGGGTGGTGGGGACCCGCCATTCAAGCAAGCCAGTGGTAGGGGAGAACTGTGCATCGCCACGGCTAGCTTGCATATCCGTAATGTGTCGCACCGATTTAGAGATCGGTACACTCACCACAACCTCCTCCAGTACGGGCCCCGTGGGATTACCACCACCGCCGAGGAACGACGGAGTCGAAGTGCCAGAGCCCCCTCGCGAAGCCGCCAGTCGTGAGGACGTAGTTTGGCCAGGGAAGTTTGTGTTCAGCGTCAGTCGAACCTCAAAATCTGATCCCGAAAGGCCCAGAGACTTGCGAATGTCCACTATTGCGGGTAGAAACAGCTTCTCCATGTGACTTGGCGCTTGGTCAAGATCTGGATCAATCGGAAGTAGATCGACCTCGTAGCCCGCCAAGATAAATCGCCCGTCCGGTGGCACGAAGCTAAGTTCTCCTGGCCGCTCCCGCCACCGAGCGAGACGCACACAGGGGTGAAACACTGGGAGTTCAATTTTGCGGGCCAGTGTCTGTTGGCCACCTGGTGCGGATAGAGAAAGGTGCAGGTCCGGCACTCCTGATATCTTCGCGGTGAATGCAATCGTCCCGGAGACTAAAGCGGATAACAGTCGTCCAGACGGCGCCATTTTTACCGAAAGGGATTCAATGATATCGACGTAGAGTTCGTTCGATGTATGGCGCACCCCAGGTCGTCTCCAGGGAATTGCGGGACCCTGGGCAGCGCTACTTGCCGCCAATGACTGTTTCAAAGGGTTGCTCGATGGCGTGGAGGCACTATGCCATCATTTTAAGAGTCAGTTTCAATTTAATCTCTTTCAGACTGAGGTCAAATCACTTACCCGGGTACATTGATTCCTCCGAGGAGCTTCCCCATCCACCCCGGCACTTCAACCACTTCTTGTAAAGCATTGGGTTCCGTGTTGCATACTATCCCCGCGTCGCACATCTCATGTAGTAGTTGAGCGACTACATCGTAATTCGCTTGGATCTTTGTTGAAAGCAGTGGTGCGCCAACAAAGTCCTCGAGAACATCTACCACGCGGTGCAGAAATTCTAACACAAGTAGCGGTTCCGTGTCCACCTCCGTCACTGCAAGAAACAAAAGATTCGATTGAATGATTGAAAAAACCGTCACCGGTGGAGTTGTACCGGGGAGGTAGAGCAAGGAGGGGCGGGGAGTAGCATGGGCTAGGTAGAGGGGCAGGATGGCGGCTGCGGAGGGTGGACGGGATCGGTAGACATGCTCAACCAGAGGGGCGCTAAGACTGTCAGCTTTCACAATCCTGCTATTCGGCATTGGCCAAAAACTCACTTGTGCTCATCATATACGTAGACGGCATCGATCTCGCCGCTCATGGTGACTGTTGTCTGGGGTAAATGGTTCCGAGTTGGTATAGCTTGATGTCAAGCTGCCCGTTCTGCCGCTGAGTCCCGCCTTTTGATCACTTTTTGGCGGCGAGCGCAGCGCTTCCATCAATCTCTCGCTGGACTCTTTTGAACCGGCGAAGTTTGGCTGCAGCTCCTCACCGTATTCTGCGTGGGGGTACACTCCAGTTTTTCAATTGTTATATCCTCGAGAACACCATGGCACCACTGTCAGATAACCGCAGCTGGGACGTTCAGCCCAAGGATGCCAAACAAGCACTTGCGGAAGACAAATATGACGATTGCATGTCTTGCAAAGTGACGGGTATGTCTTATCATTTGCTCGGGATAAATTGGAGGTGAGGTATCCCAGAGCGCACTTGCTGATTCATATTGGGCAGGCTCTGCTGCTTTTATTGGACTTGGGGTCTACAGTTACTATACCGGCATGCAAAACCTACGGAAGCAAGAGAAGATCATTATGCAAGGCCCAACCAAATACAAGATGGGCTCGCGAAAGTTGGGGATTGCTACGATATCGGCTAGCTTGATAGGCGCGGGTCTCTGGCGAGCCTTCAACTGATCATACTATGCCAGGCGGATAGGTCCTAGGGGTCATGATCAACCGAGGCGTAAGACATGCCGAAACGATTGATAGTGATCCACAGGCTGTTCGGACCATTTATTGGTGGAAGACCAGAACCCTCGGATTGGAGTATCTGTACTATATATTTAATTGATATACTATCACGGATTAATGATAGATGCCATACGGGTATCACCAAGACCACCGCCTATCCTCTATATGCTAGTAGAACAGTAGAACGGAAGTTCAGAAGCCAAAATGAAAATGCATCAGGGAAGAGTGAAAAGGAAAATTAAGAAAGGAAAAGTAAAAAATGAAAAGACCCAATAATGCAGTAAAACCATATGCAAGAATTCTCCTCCCTAGTATGCATCCGAGAAAGCTCCCGATAATCCAGCGAACTGCTTTATGACAATCGGAATTGGAAAATCGTCCCTTCGTCAACGTCGTGTAGTTCGGTGGGTATTTCTAGTTGAATCGTCCACGCTTCCCGCCACCAAACATATCCTTTCCATTGGCCATTCCAGACAGATCAAAGAAGTCTGGGAAAGTGTGCTTTCTCTTGGATCCAAGACCAGTCGGGGGTTCTCGCGTGGCAGGGCGTGCGTTCGATCGGGGGAGATTGTTGTGGCGAAGGGGCTGGCGCGAGTTCCGTGGCATGACCGATACGCTAACGGGGGCGCCGTCTTGCGAAGGCGGGGTAGTGCTGTCTGACTGGATATCCATATCGAGGTCCTGATAGTGAGGAAATGTCGGCCCAGCAGTGAATGTGAAAAGTGCTGGAGAGGCACTAGGGACCTCTTGTGGCTGTGGCGTTGAGACTGTGGTTTCCGGTCGAGGGGTCGAGGGAGGTGCTGGAGCAGCTGGCGGTCGGGTGGTGGCTTCGGAGGAGGGCGAGTCTTTGCGAGTGGTTGCGGGCGTTGAGCTTCGGTCGCACTTATCACTTTCACCACGGTCATCGTCGTCGCCGGTCTGTGACGCAGTCCCATCACACTTCTCTGTTGCCCATTGTCGAACCCTCCACCCCTCCCCATCACCAAGGCCAAGGTTTTCCCGATCAAGGAAGAGAAGTAGATCTTCTATGGCCTCCTGGTAGCCAGCTTGCTTGGCTTGTGCTTGTTCACACACCGCATTCTTGTAAAGGTTGGTGACGGACAAAGCGGCGGCTTTGAAAGACTGGAGGAGTTGTTCCGGCGGCTGGGGGCGGGGTGTAGAGCTCGGGAGCGAGGTATTTAACGATCTCATGGAATCCATGATCTTCAGATGAAGTATCGGTACTCTATGAGCTTGGGAGATCAAGAAGAGAGCTGTCGTTTCTGGTAACCTTCAAATAGGGCCAGGCGTGTTTAGGCGGCACCTCCAAAGGCGGAGTATTTTGTACGGCAGTAGTGACCCAATAATATGGAAGATTCTGCGTACAGTGTAAAAATACAAGTGCCGACAAGAAGCCCAAAAATTCCGTCGGCGACGAGGATGCCCCAAGGCGGAGTTCGCAAGTGTTGACGCAGAGGGGAACTTGCTGGCGAGTACCCGATGGCTGCAGCTGATCGCTTTTTTGCACAGACCCGATTTGCACTGGCCCGGTAACGTGACCCCACCTTCCGGATAATCTCATCTTCCGCACAGCCGTGCTGAGTCATCAGCTGAGCTAAGCGCCGGTCCAATCAGCGCGTGACGGGCACCGCGAGGAATACGGCATCGCGGCGCGAGGTTCCTTGCTCCGAGATCTCGAAAAGCACCCTCTATTCATTGCCTCCATTCACTACGGCGCTTCGCCATCCCCTATTGTTTTTCTCTACACGCGCGTCTTGGAGCAGTTAATCCCAATTGCCCCATAGCCCTGTTTGTTTCAAGGCTGGTCAGCTCTGGAATTTTATCTCGCACCGACACACTTCGACTGACGAGACGACGTGCTTCTTCCACCACTATTTGCGCTAGGCGCGCATCGTTGAATCCAACATGGCTCCAGCCGCCACCGACTCGCCATCCCAGGCGGACACGCCTATGACCGATGCAAATGATGACGCTATTCCCTCGGTCCCCGTGGACGCGCTCACGGTATGTGATAATAGTTCCCCTCCCTCTGGCTTTCATGACGCAAGTGTCGCATTGCTTTGTCTTGGATCTCCCACGATCATGCGGGGTGCCCTAGGCGTGCTCTAATACTTTGTTTTCATCAGAGTCAACAAGACACTCCTGACTACACCGTAAGGGTTCCCGTGACCGCCGTACCTCTTTGCACAACACGAACTAATAACTTACTACTACTACAGGACTCCGATACCAACCCTAATACTACGGCGAGCAGCGTTGCAGGTGACACCACAGAGGATGGACGTCGACGCCGGTCAGAAGCTACCCAACTCCGAAAGAGTATTTTGGGCAAGAAACACGGTCGTCTGGATGAGTCAAAGGTATGGTTGGCAGTGCTTCTATTCACACATTATCTTGAGAATTGCTGCTAAAATTGAATACGCTCAACAGGAAGATGACTCCATTCGCCGATTTCGATACTTACTTGGCCTCACCGATCTGTTCCGTCATTTCATCGAAACCAACCCGAACCCGCGCATCCAGGAGATCATGGCCGAGATTGACCGACAGAACGCGGAGAGTGAGGCAAAGGCTCGCAAGGGGTCCGCACGCACTGGTGGTGCCGGCGGTGACAGACGCCGTCGAACCGAGCAAGAGGAGGACGCCGAACTCCTCCAGGACGAACGCAGTGGCGGCGAAACCACCACAGTGTTCCGGGAATCACCTGCTTTCATCCACGGTGAACTCCGTGACTACCAAATTGCCGGTCTCAACTGGCTTGTCTCCCTTCATGAGAATGGTATCTCCGGTATTCTGGCCGACGAGATGGGTCTTGGAAAAACTCTACAGACTATTTCGTTCCTTGGTTACCTGCGCTATGTTTGCAGCATCTCTGGACCACATCTAGTCGCCGTGCCCAAGTCGACTCTGGACAACTGGAAACGAGAGTTTGCCAGATGGACGCCCGATATTGATGTGCTGGTTCTCCAGGGTGACAAGGACGAGAGACAGCGCCTGATCACCGAGCGCCTGGCCGACGAGAACTTCGACGTTTGCATCACCAGCTACGAAATGATCCTCCGAGAGAAGTCCGCACTGAAGAAGTTGCCATGGGAGTATATCATAATCGATGAGGCTCACCGTATCAAAAACGAGGAATCTTCCTTGTCCCAGATCATCCGTCTCTTCAACTCCCGCAATCGTCTTCTCATTACGGGTACTCCTTTGCAAAATAACCTGCATGAATTGTGGGCTCTGCTCAACTTCTTGCTGCCAGATGTCTTTGGTGACTCGGAGGCATTTGATCAGTGGTTCTCAACTCAGGATTCGGATCAAGACACCGTTGTGCAACAGCTTCACCGTGTCCTTCGTCCATTCCTCCTGCGACGTGTGAAGAGTGATGTGGAGAAGAGCCTTCTGCCTAAGAAAGAGCTGAACCTTTACGTGCCCATGTCCGAGATGCAGAGGAAATGGTACCAGAAGATCTTGGAGAAGGATATCGATGCCGTCAACGGCGCAGCAGGCAAGCGCGAATCTAAGACTCGTCTGCTCAACATTGTGATGCAACTCCGGAAATGCTGTAATCACCCTTATCTCTTCGAAGGAGCCGAACCTGGCCCTCCATACACGACAGATGAGCATCTTGTGTACAACTCCGGGAAGATGAATATCCTTGACAAGTTGCTCAAGCGCATGCGGGCCGATGGTAGCCGAGTCCTCATTTTCTCACAGATGAGTCGTGTTCTGGATATCCTGGAAGATTACTGTGTTTTCCGGGACTACAACTATTGCCGTATCGACGGCACCACGGCCCATGAGGATCGTATTGCTGCTATCGATGACTACAACAAGCCAGGCTCAGACAAGTTCGTCTTTCTGCTGACTACTCGTGCGGGTGGTCTGGGTATCAACCTTACAACTGCCGACATTGTCGTTCTTTTCGATAGCGACTGGAACCCCCAGGCCGATCTCCAGGCCATGGACCGTGCTCACCGCATTGGACAGACCAAACAAGTCAAGGTGTTCCGTTTTGTTACGGAAAACGCTATTGAAGAGAAGGTTCTCGAGCGTGCGGCCCAAAAATTGCGCTTGGATCAGCTTGTCATCCAACAAGGTCGCGCTCAGCAACAATCGAAGAATGCCGCTTCAAAGGATGAGCTTCTCGGTATGATCCAGCACGGTGCTGCGAACGTATTCAGCGAAAGGGGCACCGGTGATCCCTCTGGCAAGATGGATGATATTTCTGAAGACGATATCGAGGCTATTTTGGCCAAGGGTGAAGAGCGAACGGCAAAATTGAACCAAAAATACGAAAAGCTCGGCATCGATGATCTTCAAAAATTCAGCTCCGAAAGCGCGTACGAGTGGAACGGACAGAATTTTACCGAGCGCAAGAAGGACATTGGTATGACTTGGATCAACCCGGCCAAGCGAGAGCGCAAGGAGCAGTTCTACTCTATCGACAAGTATTACCGCCAGGCTCTAGCAACGGGTGGCCGGACTGCTGATACAAAGCCCAAGGCTCCGCGAGCCCCGAAGCAAGTCAGCGTGCACGATTGGCAATTTTTCCCTCCCGGACTGCAGGAGCTGCAGGAGAAAGAGACCGCTAACTTCCACAAGGAGATTGGCTACAAGGCTCAGCTTCCGGATGGCCCAGAGGAAGAACTGAGTGAACGCGAGGCGGAGCGAGACCTGGAGCAACAGGAAATTGACAATGCCCAGCCGTTGACTGAGGAAGAACAGGCTGAAAAGGCACGCATGTCCGAAGAAGGTTTCTCGCATTGGAACCGTCGTGATTTCCAACAGTTTGTCAACGGCTCGGCCAAGTTCGGACGCACCGACTACGTCGGAATTGCGACAGAGATCGATAGCAAGGAACCCGATGAGATTGAAGAGTATGCTCAAGTTTTTTGGGAGCGGTACACCGAAATCCAGGACTACCCCAAGTATCTCCGCGTGATCGACCAGGGAGAGGAAAAGCTGCGCAAGATGAACCACCAGCGCAAGATGCTTCGTAAGAAGATGGAGATGTACCGTGTGCCCTTGCAGCAGCTTAAGATCAATTACACGGTGTCGACTACCAACAAAAAGGTTTACACTGAAGAAGAGGATCGGTTCCTTCTGGTTATGCTCGACAAGTACGGTGTCGAGGGTGACGGTCTCTACGAGAAAATCCGAGACGAAGTTCGTGACTCACCTCTTTTCCGCTTTGACTGGTTCTTCCTCAGCCGCACACCAGTCGAGATCGGTCGACGCTGCACCACCCTCCTCAACACCGTGGCGAGGGAGTTTGAGCCTGAGGGCAAGGTCAATGGAGAGGGGAAGTCCCGTGGTCGAGACCGAGAGGAAGACGATGAGAACGATGACGTAGCCCCGCCTGCAAAGAAGCGTGCTAAGAATGGCACTACTGTAAGTGGTGTTCCCTTGCCTTGACTGACAGCCGTCAACATCCTGTCAAATGCAGTGAAACTGATTCTTGCCACAGACCAAGCAGGCCAAGCTTCCCAAGGCTGGCAGCAAAACAGCCTCAGCCTCCACCTCACGGGCGCCCAGTGTCTCGAACGCGCCCAAGTCCAAGCGTGGAAAGAAATAATTTCTTTCAGTTGTGGTTTCATGCGCGTCCTTTGTCAACAATAGTTTTGCTTTTCCCAAGGGGGGTCGGTAGTATGGGCTTCGGAGCGGAGAAATGGCGTTAGCAGATGTTTTTCAACGTGTATTTGCAAATTCAATAGAAAGCTCTTTTTGATGGTACGCCCTTTCCCCCAAGGTAATCTGGCATTGCTTATCCGGTGCCCCTGCAGCATGAGCCACGCCCCGCCGGCCTGATACACTCGCAGCGCCGATCACCAGCCGCGATGTTACGTCGACCGTCAGTGGACAGCCCGACGCACGCTAATTATCCTGTCACCTGCAATGACGACAGAGAACGGTTTCGAATACTGGTCCAACTGACCGAGAAACTATGATTGGCATAAAAGGCCCTTCGCGTCCTGGTTTAAGGCTTTGACGCCCCCCTGAGTAATCATCTAATCTCCGAAGTACTTAAGACGCGATAGTTGCAATGTCCATTGTCAAATTTCTCAAATCCAAATTGGTTCGCAAATCTCCCACCATGCCTGCTACCAGGATCAAGGTCGTACCGAATCCTCGCTATCAAAAGTCCGGCACCAAATCGTATGTGTATGCGATGCGCAAGTATGGCTTCAACCCGACCAAGGAGGGGCCCTATTTCATAGGCACGAGGATGCAACAGACTGGTCGCCAGTTCACCGACAAGCCGGTCGGAGGCCGGGTGCACTCCCGTCAGGTTCTACAGAAGAAAAGTGCCGATGATCATGTCGGACAGGTCGGTGCCGACGATGTGCAGAACGATGCCATGTATCTGGCCGAGGTTGGCATTGGGACGCCAACGCAGAACCTAATTCTTGATTTCGATACCGGATCAGCTGATCTTTGGGTGAGACTTGCTCACATTTCGTTCTTTTGACTTGCACATTCTAACGTATGATCGTATCGCTAATCATGTCTCAGGTCTGGTCTACAAAGCTACCTTCAGTCACCTTGTCTCAGCACAAGAATCATACGGTATTCGATCCAAGCAAGTCCAGTTCTTTCAAAGAAAAGGATGGCTCAACTTGGAGGATTTCCTATGGAGATGGATCTTCTGCAGCAGGAACAGTGGGCAATGACAATGTCAATGTTGGTGGTGTGGTCATCAAAGGCCAGGCTATCGAGCTGGCAGACTCGATGACGGCACAGTTTGCAAGTGGTGCCGGAGATGGACTACTCGGCCTTGCCTTCAGCAATATTAACACCGTGAAGCCGAAAGCAGTTGCAACTCCTGTTGAGAACATGATTACTCAGTCAGATATCCCAAGGTCCAGCGCACTTTTCACCGCAAAGTTAGGGTCATGGCGCGATTCAGATGAGCCTGACAAGGGAAAAACGTTCTATACTTTTGGTTTCATTGATCAGGAAACCGTGAAGGAGGCCGGTGAGGAATTGTACTATACCCCCGTCGACAAGAGCCAAGGCTTCTGGCTGTTTGATTCGGCTTCTGCGACGGTAAATGGGAAATTCATTACTCGCTCTGGGAACAAAGCCATCGCGGATACGGGGACGACTTTGGCCTTGGTAGACGACGAGACTTGCAAGACCATCTACGATGCGATCGAGGGCGCTGTTTATGACCAGGACAGCCAGGGATACATTTATCCGACCAATACACCGGCTGATAAGTTTCCAGTCGTGTCGTTCGCTGTTGGTGACAAGCAGTTCGTTGTCCAGAAAGAGGATCTAGGATTTGCCGAAGCAAAATCTGGCTATGTTTATGGTGGGATTCAAAGCCGTGGCTCTATGACTATGGATGTTCTGGGTGATACCTTCTTGAAAGCAGTCTATGCGGTAGGAACCTCGGACAGCACTCCATTTCATATTTGACATGCTAACTCAAGGCTGATCTAGGTATTTGACGTGGGAAACCTACGTTTCGGCGCTGTGCAGAGGAAGGAGCTTCATCAGAACCTTTGTCCGCCTCCTCAATAGATAGACAGCAGCCAAAGCCTGGCTACGCTTATTCTTCTCTTAGTTAGAAGATACTTCAGGCTGTTTCATCCAGGATCATAAGGACACAGATCAGATAAATTTCACGATTTTCAGTTCAGTTTCCATCGTAGGCATCTCTTTGAAAGCTTCCTCATCAAGACATGTCAATCACGACTTTTTGTGCCGTTTTCTTATATCCATCTTCAATAGCCTCATCCAATTTCACTGTCCCGAAAGTCTCTTCAGGGAGTGCTTTCAATAATCCTCGGTCAATCCAAGTGTTCACAGATCGTAGATACCCAGCCGTATCTTCAAGTGTGCGAGCAACCGAGTTACACCCGAGTAGTGTGATCTCCTTGCGATATCCTTGGAACACATCAAATGAGAGCCTTCTGCTGACAACCCCTCTAGGTGCCGCAATCCAGATGTAACGGCCTTGGAAGGCCAACTTCTCCACCGCAGCCGACATCAGATCCATGTCTCCTACGGTGTCAATGACAACATCAATCCCTTTGTCACTTGTCAAGGTTGATATGTTTTCGGAGAGGGATATACCTGGACTATCAGAGACCAGAACTATATCAGGATTAGAGACTGGCCGTCGGACAGCAGTCAAAACACGCTTGCACCCCATTGCACGGGCCATTTGTGCTGCTGCTGACCCGACAGCTCCATTCGCTCCAAGCACGAGAACCACATCATTTTCGGAGACCCGAGCTTTGGTTAGACAAAGGTGCGCAGTGGTAAATGGTACACCGACTGTCGCAGCCTGAAGTAAGGACATCGTAGTCGGGATCTCGACAAGAGCGTTTTGCGGTATCAAACAATATTGTGCATGCGTTCCATCGGTGTCGAAGCCGAGGCTCGAGCCGCTAGACCCATATACATTTTTCCCAATCCATGATTTTGACTCTTCGGAATTGCTTGATATATCCACTACGGTACCGGAATAGTCACGGCCGGGGATTCGAGGGTAGGTGGTGGATGGAAATAGTCCTTGCGCATTAAGCCTATCCGATGGTTGTATGGAGGCGTATTTGACGTGAACGAGGGCGTGGTCCGGCTTCAATTTCGGGATTGGCACTGATACCATTTCAGATTTGACAAGGTCTGTTTCTGAGGCGCGCTTCAACTGGAGTGCATTCATGCTAGCGAGTTCCATCTCGGCGGATTTGTTGTTTGTCGCAGTCGATCTCTGGTGCAGCAGGATGCTAATTGATCACTGCCGCGGACGACGGACGGGTTTATATCTTATTCAGGATTTATCTTGTGAACCGGATATACCCACCAAGGCGGTAATCTTTTCCTAATTGTTCTCTCGTGACACAAAGCTTTTCGGGGAATTTGTTGCTGCGATCATACACTCGGCACTGCTTCTCCGAGAACGGCGACCGGGCCGTGCGGACCGCGCGGCCCACGCGGTCGCCGGCATTAGAGTTATCAATCAGATTAAGAGCGCCAGATGCGACAAGGCTTGATATTCAGGGCGATGTAGGAGCGGAGCTCGGCAATTTCCCTTCCATTTAACTCCGGGTTTGCTTTTTCTCTCCTATAAGATATTCGACATTAATTGTCGCTCTTCGGGCCAGTCGCCTGCACAGTCCGTGATGGAGGCAAGTATTCCCGGCAAGGAAGAGCGAGACAGCCAGAGCGTCGATCCAAGTATCTCTTCAATAAAATCCGAATTATGAATTTCCGCTTAACTAATGCAATCTGCAGCTATGAACACAGCCGAGGACACGATAGCCAACAGAGGACCCGTCACACCGAGCTCACAGAGTGAAGACCCCGAAGTGAGAAGCGAGAAACCAACTCCCGTTGGCCTGCAAACGAAATTTTTCCATGAAATGACTTTTGTTTTTGTCGTTTGCGCTGCCCAGTTGATGACACAAGCGGGCCTGTCCCTTTCGATCGCTCCTCTTCAAGTCATCAGTACAAGTTTCGACACCTCTCCTAAAGACCTCACATGGGCCTCTGCCTCATACAGTATGACCGTTGGAACTTTCATCTTCGTTTCGGGAAGACTGGGTGACGTATATGGTCACCGGCTGCTATTCATCATTGGTTTCATGTGGTTTGGTCTCTGGTCTCTCTTGGGAGGGTTTGCTGTGTGGTCGAACCTCAGATTCTTCATCTGCTGCAGAGCATTGCAAGGCATCGGTCCAGCCCTGCTTCTTCCCAACGCTGTGGCAATCCTCGGAAGGTTTTATCCACCTGGCCGTCGGAAGGGAATGATGTTCTGCCTTTTTGGAGCTGTTGCACCTGGAGGCTTCACTCTCGGCGCGACTTTCTCGTCTTTGCTCGCGGAGCGTGTATGGTGGCCGTGGGGGTATTGGATTTCTGGCATCGTGTGTTTCATATTTGCAGTGCTCGGATTCTTTGTGATCCCTTACGTCGCGCAGCAGAAGCCACGTGAAGATCTCTCCACTTTCGAGCGGCTTGACACCTATGGTGCGATCACTGGTGTCTCGGGTCTTATTCTGATCAACTTTGCTTGGAACCAGGCGTCAGTAGTTGGTTGGAAGGCCCCATACACCTATGTGTTGTTGATCGTTGGTATTCTCACCATTGTATTATTCTTGTTTATGGAATGCAGGGCTTCTTATCCACTGCTTCCTCGATCGGTCCTCGTGGGCGAGACAGGCTGGGTCCTTGGATGTGTTGCTGCCGGATGGTCGAGTTTCGGTGTCTTGGTCTTTTATTACTATGAAATCCTGGAGAACTTGGAGGGGAACAGCGGTCTGTTGGTGACGGCCAAATGGGCTGGAGCCTCCGCGTCTGGAGCGTGCGCTGCTGTGATCACAGGCCTGCTGCTTGGTCGCATCCCTGCGAGCGTGATCATGTTTGTTGCTATGTTAGCCTTCTCCGCCGGTCAAGCGTTGTTGGCTTCAATGCCGATTGGCCAGATATACTGGGCCAACGCTTTTGTGATCATGCTGGTCACACCATGGGGAATGTGAGTATTCCTGGCAATCGTCTTCCAAGTCAGCAGCTCTAATCTAATGCAGGGATATGTCTTTCCCATCGGGAATTCTGATTTTGAGCAATGCTATGCCGCAACAGGATCAGGGTGTTGCCGGGTCGCTTGTGAACACAGTTGTGAACTACTCTATATCGATGGGTCTCGGGTTTGCCGGTGTTGTTGAACATTATGTGAGCAATAATGGCGACGACATACTCAAAGGATATCGAGGAGCCACATATATGGGCGTTGGTCTCGCTGGTTTTGGTACCTTGGTCGCTACCTGCTTCATGATCGTGACCTGGATAAATTCCAGGAAGGGGTTTTCATAGACATAATTCTCCCAGGGACCGTAAATTGGCAGTATATAATTCAATCATAATGGAGGCTGAATTCCATGGCCCATAAAGTCTCCAGGTCGAAGGGTAGCTGAGCTGCTAGCGACGGGCTCATTGCTGCGATATCTTGTGCTAACTGGTCCGTCATCTGCGAGTCGGCAATTTCGGGCGCTTCAGTTCCCACGATACGTTCAAGGGCCTCGACCCCCTTTTTCTTCTTATTCAGCGAAGCTCGGACAAGTTGTCGTGCCGTGGAAAGTGCTTCCTTCGCCAGATGAGTGTCTAAGTGGTCGACGATCAACTCCAGGGTATCCATCGTCTCTCCGAGGATTTCGCAACTCGTTGGCGTATCTATGGCGAGAAGGGTACATGCGAACTGAAAGATGGATCCGACCACATTCCACCAAGGCTTATTTTGGCTCACTAGTCTCCTTGCTGCTGCCAGGGCGTGCCGTCCAGCAGCAATGACTTTCTCGTTATGGTCAGGCTGAATCTTTGAATCTAGAACCCGAAGTCGGCGGTAGATTCCGAGCACCAGATCTGTCTTCACTAACACCAGAAAGTCATGCTCGAGCGTGATTTCGCTTATCCGCTCCAAGGACGATAATAACTCTTGTGTCAAGGCTACTGTTTCTCCTGCATGCTGGCTGAGAGGTAGGGTGGTGATCAAGTTGCACAGCTGTGGGGTAAAGTCCATCCGGCGACACTCTTCATCCGTATGTTCGAGTACCTGATGATTGGTTGCCATTATAGATCTTCCGTACTCGAAGGCAATTAGTATATGAAGACAATGTGCCACCTGGGCCGTCTTGTTCGCGATGCTAGATGTTAGCTGGTTCAGTGTGTTTCCCGTTGTCTGCAGGACAGATTCGGGCGTGCGGTGAAGACCAGTTGCTTCGACAAGATGCATTATGCTACAACTGGAAATCCATGTCACATGAGGCCTCCCTGTACAGCGAATATAAAGAGTGCGTAGGATCCAGGCCGCAATCTGTTCAGCTGATGGAAACCGGCTGATAGTACAGTCCTCGAGGACCTTTTTTGCATGTAGAACAAGCCACATTTCCATATCCTCTTCTAGGCCTCCATTGAATAAAGACGCCAAGGCAATCACGCCACTGGCAATAGCTTCAAAAACCATGTCTTGCAGTTGCCCGTGCCAATGCCTCTCACATTTCGTGTAAAATGCATCCATGTCGAGAAACCCAAACACAGGGTGAATTATGGAGGCGTATGCATCGATCAAGCTTCTTGTCGAGTTCCAGGAGATACGTTCGGCTATCTCAGGCTGCACGGCACAGGGTGGCTCCTTGCGGATGCCGGTATGGTATGCAAATGAATGCAGGCGTGGGGGTTTTGTCGCATGGACTTCCATTCCGACATAGAGCGGGAACGCAATGGAGGAGTATCTCCCCACATATCGCCCTTTTGAAGGTTCAAGGACACCGGGGGTAATAGGAGCATCTGCATTTTCCTTCGAGATATCCGGCGAGTGGTTCACGCGAGCCAGCTTCGCGACTGGCTGGACAGATGAGTCGCTGGGCGGGTTCATCCTCTTTTGTGAGGTGCTCTGATTGCTTTCGCCATAGCTGCAATTGTAGTCGTATCCTTTGCAGATATTGCAAGGTAATTTCCCATCACATTTCCTCTTCCGTCGCCGGCAAGGCAAACACGCTTGTCTCGACCGTTGTCGCACGGGCACGGAAGGAAGAGACGCGCTCGTTAAACCCTCATAGGAGGGATGGGACATAATCCTCAATTGTGATCAGGAAAGCTTCAGTGTTGTAACGGGCGGGCGGTGTTTGACGTTGAATGAGGGTAACATAACATGCCAGCCAGGTGAGGTGGGAATCCGTCCCGTCCACGTGACCTGACAGGGCAACAAACGTCCACTATATATAAACAACCATCGGATATAAATTTCGCCAGCACAGTGTACCCTAGGATGTCACATGTATACAGTGCACGAATACGATATTAAATTTCCGTCCATTTGAGGATTGGCTTTATGACCTTGCCTTTATGCAGGTCCTCTAATGCCTCGTCCAGCGAATCTGCCGCGTAGACTCGGGCCAACCTATCGACCGGAAATTTGCCCTGCTTATACCAATCGACCAATTGCGGAATGAGCTGCGTAAAGTGTCAGCACCCAGGAAAACAGATATTCGTTTAAGTTCAGCTGCTCACTCACCTTGGCTGGGTTTGCAGACCCCTCAATTGCACCGATGATGCGCTTGCAGTTGACCATGAATTCCAGCGGGTCGATCTTGAGCGACGATCCACCTGGGGCAACACCTACAATGGCAAGAACCCCTTCATGGCCCAAGGCTTTCACAGAAGACTCTAGCAGAGCCACCACGCCTGTTGTGTCCAGAATCTGGTCGACTCCACCCGGGAAAAGTGCGCGAAGCCCCTCGTCCAGCGTGGCGACGCTCTTGGTGTTCAAGGTATATGAAGCACCGAGTGTTCTGGCCAACTCAAGCTTCGCATCAACGATATCCACTGCCACGATATTCTCGACACCCTGAGCCCGGGCAGTCATTAGCGCCGCCAGTCCGACCGCTCCCATTCCCAGAACAGCGAGACAACTTGTCGGCTTAGGTTTCAGGATGTTCAGAATGGTGCCCGCGCCCGTGAGATAACCACATCCCAGAGGCGCCAACGATGCCAGATCTTCCTCGATAATGCTGGTGGAGGGCTTAACTACAGACCCTTCCGATACAATGGCCAGCTTGCTCAACGAAGATTGACCGAAAAATTGGCCTCGAAAGGGTTGGCCCGTTGGAGATTTGATGGGTGAGTCGACCGCCGATATCCCTCGCGCGCCTCCGAAGCTGATCGCGGTCATATTGCGACAGAAGCCATTGCGTTCCTCATGACAAGCACAGCAGCTGTTGCAACTGGTGAAGCTAAGAAATACTAGGTCGCCTTCTTGCAGCGTCTTATCCTTGACTGCGCCGCCAATGCGGCGTACTACCCTGCTCCCTCGTGACCAAGAACTGCAGGGAAATCCCCGACAGGCATGGCGCCTTGCTGAACGACAATGTCCTATAATAATCTCTCTTAGAATCAATTTGGATCAAGGGCTTCGTGGATCCGACATCACAGTGCCTGCATAGATGGATTCCTTACAGTATGACAGAGGCCCGTATACATCATCTCAATCAGGACCTCATTGTCCCGAACTTCGTCCAAAACCACATCGCGAAGAACAAATGGCGAGCCGGGAGCCTCCACCACAAATGCTTTTGTTGGAATCTGGCGTTCGGGAATCATGGTTGGGGAGGTTGGGGGGGAAGCGAGTTTGGGGTTTGTGGACCCTAGGAACTGCGTCAGAGGGTGAAATATGGGAGAAAACGGCGGAAGGATGATATTTGGAAATCAACATCTATCAGTAATTGAGATCCGAGGGAGGACCTCAGCCTTTATAGCAAATCATTTGAATCGAGTTGCAGGCGGAAAAAAAAACCAAGATCATTTTGCGGGTCCTTCCCCGCAGAACCGACGCATCGACGCGATTCCCCACACTTGCGCGACTTCGGCGATGAGAATCGGTACATCACTGGGCGGAGCGATGATTGAGCTGGCGCCGCCATTTGTGACGTCACCGATTGACCATTCATCAAAACAGGAGAGTATGGGCGCTAGTACTATTCCAATCATGTAGAAGACACCGACATGGAGCCTGTATGTATCGTTATCGTGTCCTTAACTATTGACTATTGATTAAGAAAACCCCCGGGAAAACGCCGTTGATCGATATAATACATAGAGGTATCTCATGCAAATGTAAATGCAAGTACAATTACAAGTCAGTCAAGTCCTTCACCACATTATTTCCTTTCCCTTCCCCTTTTTGACCATCTCCGACACTGCTAATGGGGTTCGCAAGAACATCTCCATGAGCAGAGCAGCAGCCACGCTAACGTTGAGGCTATCGATGCGCGCAGGGTCGGACGCCACACCCAGCTCGATGCTATGTCGTGCTCCGGGGATACTGACGATTGCATCGGCATGTGATTTGATATGGCCACTGAGCCCCGACGCCTCGCTCCCCATCATGAGCACACTGGGGGAGTGTGAGGTGGGGAGGGCGCCGACACCCGAATCGCTTGTGTTAGATTGACGGTAAAGATAGGTAGCTCCAGGCCCTGGTGCATCAGCTGCATAGAAACGCCACCCATTGGCCTTCGACCGTTGGATGAAGTCAACTTCGTTCGTGACATGAAGAAGCGTCATATTCTCAGCTGCGCCAGCTGAGGCCTTGATTGTCACAGGAGATAGAGGGGCCGAGTTTTTACCCGCGAATACAATCGCATCGACACCAAGGTAATAGGCAGACCGGATAATGGCACCCATATTACCAGGATCAACAACTCCATCCACGAGTAGGGAAACGGGGTATCGTTCGGCCGCTTGACCTGGCATCGATGATGACCTGATGATGGGAACAAGGTCACTCGTGCCATTGACCGCGGCTTCTTCTCGCGATTGGGGGGCTAGTTCAACTCGGAAGTGGTCTTCGGTTGCCGACGGTACAGGGCAGAAGCCACGGACTGGCAATTTTGGCAACGGGGAAGCCTCCAAGACACAGCCATTGTGTGGTCTCCCGGAACACATCTTGTCGAGAAGACGATCCCAGCCCGCAAAAGCTAGCTTGATTTCAATATTCTTCGAGAGAGCTAGCTTGCGTAAAGCTACTTTCGAAGGGCTCAAGTCCTCCCCTGCAACTTGGTAAAGGTAAAGCTTATACAGCTGCCGTCTGCTGCAGCGTAGTGCTGCTTCCACAGCACCGGTGCCGTAGATGAACTCTGATGCCGGGGTGGTATATGGAATAGAGTCGGGGACTTTCACGTTTTCTTTCACCCGTTGTGGCATTCCTTCAGTGACCCTATGGGCACGAGATTTAGATGAGGACCGGGCTTTTCCTGGCGGTACCATCTCGCGCATATTTCCATCTTGTATCCGCTTTGTTCGTAGCTGCGCATGCTTTTGGTGATTGCGGGTCGATCGTTCGAAATTACCGGTTCGAATGAATTCCGTTTCGTCGAACTGGACCCTCGGGGGCCTCTTCTCACGGTGGGGTTGAGCGAAGCGGTCGTGTCCATCCTTTCCCCCACTCTTCACGAAGTCACTAGGCTTTCTCGTATTTTGAGCTCTGGGATTGTAATCATGCCCTTCTGTGCGTCTATCTTGAGGATTGCCTCGCGGCCTTCGATGATAACGACCCCCAGCATCGGGATCATTGTCTGCGGACTGTCTTGGGGATTGTGACCTGCGAATGCCACGCCCAATGGCAGAATTCAAAGATGCGAACCGGATAGGAGCTCCCGTCCGCAGGCGAAGCAGTGGGATTTGCCTCGTGGGGAAAAGGCTTGACCGAGGAATCCTCCACGCCATTTCGAAGCAGGTCAACGATACAGGGCTGATCCTCCTGCTGAACTGTGTGCGAGATAGAAAACCCGCTGGGAGCCGATGGTCGAAAGTCGTTATCCAACTCCGACTTTTCGGCGATGTTCAACTGTTGGCATCGCGCGATTGGAAACGCTGGCTTTTTTTGACTTATCGATAAGAAATCATGGATCCACCTGGTCGGCCATTTCGATCCCTGATTGGATCCCTGGACAAGTTCCGCCCATCCACGTGATCTCTATACGCGCTTTCACGGGCTTCACAGACGGCACGCGTCAAGTGAGGCGGCGGTGATGGCAGATGCCGATGTGAAGCATCTTGAGCTCGCCGCCCGAAGCTTTTCGGCTTCGCTCTTCGCACTACCCTCCCTTGCCTTTCTTTTCATTTACACAACACGCAGAAGCTCATACTTGAGAACGTCTACTTGCTTTGAGCAATCAAGTCGAATACGTGTGTCCCTCATTTCACTTTCCATGAACCGATGTTATAGAGCTGCTCTTGCTAATATTTTACTAGAAAATCACACTTTACAACCACAAGCCTCGAACGAATCCCGCTTTGGACCCTTCGCGTGCTCTCGTCATGTCCGAGGCCGGCGATCACAATTCTCCAGGCTCGGATGACGCCGATGCGAAGGTCTCCCAGATATTGAATAAGTTCAAAAGCGCAAACGCTCAATCAACCACTACACCACAGAAATCACCAGCACCCGAGTACTCGCAGCAACCTGATAGGCCCATTCAGCAAGAATCACCCAGGGTGTCCAGAGCATGTGTCGTCATTCCGCCCACCATTCCGAACCCAGACGACTATGAATACTTACCCGGTCATTTCACTGTCCGCCGGGTCTTGCATCTCCACTCAGAGAACTCGAACAGTCCGTCTTGCACAGTTCGCCTCCGAAGTGGGGAGCGTCAAACAGTAAGATATTCCCGTGCCCGATTTTATCATTGATTTTGTCCTCTAAAATGTTTGTGTACAGATGACTTATGACCGCCTCATGCAATTGGAGAATGGAATGTCTGCCCTCGACCTGTTCCACCCATCGGATTCGGAAGACGACCTTATGGTGATCGGGAACCGATCCAGTATCTCACAATCACCTTACTTTTCCGGCGACGGAGCATTCGATCCCCCTGAAGACGGGTCTCAAGGCCGGGGGAATAGACGCCGCGCTGCAGCGAGAGCAGGACAGTACTCTCAATTTTATGAAACCTTTGAAAGTGATGACGAATCTACGCATGAGCGGCAGAGCGACAGCGAAGACGACGGGCAGAGTGATTCCCGTTCGTCCGCAACACGAAGATTACGACGAGGCAATCAAAACCGAAAACATACCCCCGGTGCATCATCCCTAGAAGGCCTCTCCGCCCCCGATAACAGACGAAAGTCAAGCCGTCGAAGAAAAAATGTTCGTGTGAATCTGCGCGAGCGCCACGAAGATGATCTTTCCGAGGCCGAGAGCAGTGGACCCAGACAGCAGAAATATACCGGTGCCAAAGAAATATTCCAAGAGGTCCAGCGTGATGACGAATTCAGACAGCTACACTTTGCATGCTGCGCTACATGCAGTATCTATGAGGATGACCCAGAAAAAGGGCCGCTCGTCTTTTGCCAGGGCTGCAGTTCGTCGTATCATCAGGCCTGCCTTGGACCACGATCCAGCCGGGATCATCTTGTAACCAAGATTGACGAGGGTAACTTCATTCTCCAATGCCGTCGCTGCCTTGGACATGCTCATGAGAAGCATGACATATCGCCGCATCTAGGCTACTGCGCAGAGTGCAAGGAGAAGGGTCCTTTGTCGGATCCTCTCAGGCAGCGTCTGACCACCAGACAGGAGCAGCAGCAGCGCGAAGCCAATGGAGGGACAGATCCAATCACAGCTGTTGATATGGCTCAAATCAACAATGTGGACAATGTTTTCTTCAGGTGTGCCAGCTGTCAGCGAGCCTTTCACCGAATGCATTTTCCTTTGGTTATCGAAGACGATGGCTCTGAGACCTTGCCAGGCCATATGGCGCACTGGCAGTGCTCTGATTGTGCTGGGGCAATGGGCGAAATCGATGAGCTAGTTGCATGGCGTCCAGTTGACCCAAAACTTAAGGGTTCAAAGGCTCTCATCGGCGAAGCGATACCGGAGATGCAGAAGCAATATCTGGTTAAGTGGAAGCAGAAATCCTACTTCCGAACGACCTGGATGCGTGGGGATTGGGTCTGGGGTGTCAGCAACCACGCCATGCGCCGGGCGTTCTACAACTCGGCTAAATCCCAGAAGCCAATTTGGACAACTGAAGACGCCATCCCTGAAGAGAACCTTCGGGTTGACATCGTGTTTGACGTGGTGTATCGGCAAGATGGGGACGAGTCACTGGATGAATCAAATCCCGAAATGGTTGAGACAGCCTTTGTCAAGTACAAGGGCTTGAACTACGAATCTTCCGTTGTGGAATCCCCCCTGATCCGACTGATACAGCCCGATGGGAAGATTTCAAAACTGCCTTCAACGACTGGCTTCTGCGTGATACCACCAAGCCCCCTGATCGAAACAAACTGGAAGATCACTTATCTGCCATCCGTCGAAAGGATTTTGAGCGGGACTTGGCTTTGCTCTCTCAGCCTGAGTCGTTGGTTGGCGGTGAGTTAATGAGATATCAAATGGAGGGTGTCAACTGGCTGTACTACAAGTTCTGGAGGAAAGAAAATGCCATTCTCGCTGATGACATGGGACTTGGAAAGACAGTCCAAGTGATTGGCTTTTTCGCAACGCTGATTGATAGGCACCGCTGTTGGCCTTTTCTGGTGGTTGCCCCCAACTCCACGGTGCCAAACTGGCGACGCGAGATTAAAACGTGGGCACCAACAGTGCGAGTAACCACGTACTATGGCTCTGCGTTCTCGCGCGAGACAGCTAAGAACTTCGAAATGTTTCCTCATGGTGGCCGGGATCTTCGTTCCCACGTTGTCATTGCTTCCTACGAGAGTATGGTTGATGGCGATGCCAGGATCCTCAACAAGGTGCGTTGGGCAGGTTTGATTGTCGACGAGGGGCAACGTCTCAAAAACGACAAATCTCAACTTTATAAATGCCTCCACGGCATGAAGTTTGACTTCAAAGTTCTTCTTTCTGGCACGCCTCTCCAGAATACAATTAGAGAACTATTCAATCTTCTTCAGTTCATCAATCCTGACCTCAAAGCCGAAGAGATGGAAAACGAATATGGAAATATGGACAAAGAGAGTATCCACACACTCCATGGCATGATCCGGCCGTTTTTCCTTCGTCGGACGAAGGCCGATGTGCTGCCATCTTTACCCCCGATGGTGCAGATCATCCTCCCGGTCTCGATGTCTGTTGTGCAGAAGAAACTTTACAAGTCCATCCTCTCGAAGAATCCCCTGCTCATCAGAGCAATTTGCACCAAAAGACCAGGCCAGCTGAAGAAGGCAGAACGACATAATTTGAACAACATCCTGGTGCAGCTTCGGAAATGTCTTTGCCATCCTTTTATCTACAATCGGGACATTGAGGAGCAAACCAACGACTCTTCCCTAGCCCATCATTCCTTGGTGGCAGCTTCTGGAAAACTTCAGTTGCTGAATCTGATGCTACCCAAATTGCGGGATCGTGGACACCGTGTTCTCATTTTCAGTCAGTTCCTTGAGAATCTGGATCTTGTTGAAGACTTCCTTGGGGGCCTCGATTTGAAGTACTGCCGCTTGGACGGGAAGTTGACGTCTCGGCAGAAACAGCAACAGATTGATAGCTTCAATGCCCCGGGTTCTCCATACTTCGCCTTTCTTCTGTCGACACGGTCCGGCGGAGTGGGCATCAACCTTGCCACCGCAGATACTGTCATCATCATGGACCCCGACTTTAACCCCAAACAAGACATGCAAGCACTGTCTCGGGCCCATCGAATTGGCCAAAAGAATACCGTGCTCGTATTCCACTTGACTACGAAGGCCTCCGTGGAAGAAAAGATCATGCAAAAGGGCAAGAAAAAGCTGGCGCTGGACCATGTGCTCATCGAACGTATGGAAGCAGATGGAGAAGATGAGGACCTGGAATCAATCCTCAGGCACGGTGCTCAAGCATTGTTTGATGATGACAATTCTGCTGATGTCCATTACGACTCTGACTCGATCGAAAAGATTCTAAATCGCAGCCAGATCGAAAAAGTTGAGCAACCTGTTAACACCTCTTCAGGCGGAATTTCCGAGCAACATCATTTTAGCTTCGCGCGCGTGTGGCAGAAAGAACGGGGTGCCCTGGAGGAGGTGACTGAGACCGAGGACTCCCCAGCTGACGATACGGTCTGGGAGCAGATCTTGCGTGCGCGTGAACAGCAAGCCACTGAAGAAGCCTCTCGGACCGCTGAGGGCTTTGGCCGAGGCAAGCGTAAGCGGGCTGCGGTGAATTATCGAACAAGAGAAGAAGAGATCAACGACGTCGAGAGCGCTAAGTCCTCACAATTCAAAGCTCACGGGCGCCCGGAGAGCGATGACGATTTCGACCAAGAAGAGACTGAAGAAGCAACTGATTCTCTGGATGAGGCCGAAGCAGGCGATGTAGAGCCGGATGCGATGGAGCTTGACATGTCGTCTGTAAAGCAGCAGGTTCGCCCGTTTGTGCGAAAGGAACTGCCGCCATCACCGCCACCACCACCCTCCTTGGGCGGAGATGGTGCGATGGACGACGGCCTTGCTTGTTTGGCATGTAACAAGCACCATCCCAATGGCCGTTGCCCGTTGAAGCTTGCTGGCGTTGAGTATTGTCCGCTTTGTGGCCTGGCGCATTTTGGCAGAAGCCGTGCCTGCCCCCATCTGCACGACGAAACCCAAATTCACCGCATGCTCAGTGCATTGAAAGAAAGCAAAGAGCTCCCTGAGCATGTCACGCTAGCCAAAAAGTACCTCCAAGGGGTTCTTGGAGATCTCGGCCAGCGAGACCGAAAAAAAACTGCTAAAGAAGCAGCAGCAGCACAACAACCCACCCAACAGGCGTCCAAACCATTCTCGAGTTCGACATTCCCTGAAACATTGAATTACCAGGGAAATAGTCATATCTTGGTATCAGGGAACCCTGGACCCAGCTCTACTATGGTTGACCTGACAGGGCCCGATTCCCCTCATGGCAACCCCTCTGTTCCGCTTCAGCTTCCACTTCCTCCCCACCACTTGCCTTAAGATTTGGTACAAATCAATCATAGGTTTGCGTCAATTTCTCTGGTGGTTGGACAATTCTCTCTAGGCTCTCACTGACAATTCCCCCGTCTCCTCGGAGCTGGCTGTCACGTGACAAACAACATGTTCACAAGACACGTATCTTCTGCCAGGGAGGTGTTTCACTTCACTTTTTTGGCCTATCTCACATCGTGCATTTACATCTTCATTATGAGCCATGACAATGATACCCCTTTTCTGTGTTAGATTAGAACACAATGACAACGTTGACACTCGCCAAAAACCCCTTGTACCCCAGCCGTACCATTCGTCTTTTGCAGGGGCCTCATTGACCGGCAATCTTGGGAGTTGACTTACATGAGAATTAAGCAGCAAAAGATTTATCATACTCATAGCAGTTCCACGCAAATGGCGAAGCTCCGGGCGCCTACCTTCGCCTTTCCTAGTCTTCAAGACGCACGGACTTAGTTGATCACGCCACAAAGATCCCGGCTCTTTTTGTTTGAGACCTGAAACCCCTGTTGTTTACCCGCAGCTCCCTATTCAGCTAGCCAGATTCGTTGATCGGCCCACATTCTTCGGCTCTCTACCTGTCACAGCGCTTTGATTTTGACAGGGCGACTCTTGGCGTCATTCTGGCTTGCGGTTGGATCGGCAATTTGGCCGCCACCCGATTGGTAGTGGCATGTGCCAAGACGAAGTATGAACTTTAATAGCACGACCGGTTCTTATCGACATCCTCTTGCGAATAGCAAAGACTCCCCTCGACCGTGGTCCAGAGCGCAGACATTCGATCGTACAATATTTCATGCATGGGACTCTACTAGAGGCTGATACAGGATATTGTGGCCGTCATTAGCAGACGAACAAGTGGTATCGTAAAATATTCTAAATTGCCCAACGCGTTTTTAAAAAAATGTCGGTCGGAAGTAGTCTCTATCTTTTATAGCAAGCCAATATTCTGTTAGGGAGCTGAACCAATGCCCCGTGGCACTATTAGAACCTCACATCTATAGTAAATTGAGTCGCAATTACAAAAAGAGCGCAATATGGTTACACCACAGAATAAACATAATAAAGTAACATATACAGGGCTATTCATGCTATACAGGCTATAAATTTGCAAAAGAAAGGGGCCGCAGCTAAGTACATTATGTGACGCGGGTTACTACAGGGTACAGGCTCATCATACACTAACAGAACATAGATAGGCTGGCTCTAGCCATGAGCTTTGTAGCTTCAATAGTAAGCAGGAGTCGAACTATAAGAGACGCTGGGAAAATTTGATTATTGAATTTTTTCTTTACAACCAAATCGTCATTTAACGAGGTTTTGTATAAAGCAACCAGTTTGCGATTATGATTGCGTGGCACTCGCAGGGGACTCACGTGGGACGCAAGATACCTTTTGACACGCAGGTACAAAGATACTTTTATGGCATCCTCTTATCCTGATTGAACCTAACAGGCACGACTCTTCATCTGTGAATGGAACTCAGTTTGTATTGGACTTGGAGGGATTTGATGAAGCTTTTATTTATACATGGTAGATACCTAGTTCTCTACAGCCACTAGTCCTTGACAAAGGTGCTTGTGCGTAGGCGTAGGTCCATCCCTGGAAACCACGTTGCTATTCACAGCGCTGAACAATACGACGTGACGTTGATAATGTAATAACAGAGTGTCGAGACAGCGTGACAGGGAGGCACTTCTATTCACTGTGGAAGGCTAGGCAGCGAAGTCACTCCAGTATCAGCTAGGCTGTCCCTCCCTAGACGGGACTTCCCAGGTCCATTCACGGAACTCTCCATTAAGTGAATTTCATAGGCGACACACAGCCTAATTCATTTCTACCTCCTGCATCTCCCCTCACCATCCCTCTTTCGTTCTTCGTGCTTCGTTTTCATCAACGCTTCTCTTGCAATCCTTTTTTTCCCGTCTTCGCTCCCACATCTGGCTTTATCTTTGCTCTCGTTTTTGCCGTACCACGCTCGTTGTCACCTGCGGCTTCAGTTGTGATGGCTCTTGCGAACGCCGGTATGGGTCCCACCCACTACATCCGTCGCCCCGACGGAGCTATCTCCCCTATGCTTGCCATGGATGACTTCCCTCAGGGATTTGTTGTCCAGAACATCCCGCGTTACCTCACCACCGACCAGCTAGATGGTTTGGTTCCTTGTGGCATCATGCCTACCCGCATGCAGCCCTTGACCGTCGCCGGTCCTCAACCCGCGGCGGCATTTGTCAACGACCAGGACATTTCTGAGCTTGCTGCCCTCTTGAACGAAGTCACGTTCGAAAATATTCCAGAACGCCTCAAGAAGTCCATCACGTCGCTCCTCGATCGGCCCGGGGGTTTGCACAAGGTGATCTACGATATGATTGCCGCCGCGAGTGCTCCCCCCATGACCGAAAAGCAACGCCAGGAGGTAAGTTCAGACCCTCCCAGTCCTTCGAGCAACCCTGGCTGCTCTACTCCACCCACTCCTACTAACCAGCAGGACCAGTCGAAGAAGCTCTGCTCGTACTGGATTCGAAAGGGCGAGTGCGGCTTCACCCAAGTCGGTATGTACAATACCTTCCTTCCCCCACCCCCATCCACCCTCAAACAACCCTTCAATAATGAACCTCATACTAACATGCTCTTATCAAGGTTGCAAGTTCCGACACGAAATGCCCCTGGATGCGGCCGGTCTTGCTAAAGAAGGTCTTCGTGACATTCCCGAATGGTACCGTCTGGCGCACGGGATCCCCAAGAACTCGCTCCGTATCCAGCAGGACCTCATCACGTATCCAAGCGAGCAGCTGCCTGTTCGGGGTCTGATTGAGTACAACGTGTCTGACCGAGACTCGACTGCGGATACCAATCCCCCTCAGGAAACCAGCTCGACCGACGTTCAGCCTGCCCGGCTTCAAATCGAGTACCCAATGCCTGGCCAGGAAGAGGCTTCTGAGCCCAACCCTCCTCAGGGCAACCCTCCTGAGGGAAACCACCCCCAGGACAGCCACCCTTCTCGTGGCCCCTTCACCAGCAGCCGCGGTTGTGACCGTGGTGGTCGGAACAATCGTTCTCGTGGCTGGCAGCACGGCCTAGGTCATGGTGGCCACAGCACTCGTGGTAACGACGACCACCAGAGCCCTGCGTTCAGTCAGCCTCGTGTCCCTGCACAGGCTCCTCCTGCCGTCCCTCGGGTCCCTCCTACTCCCGGTATCTATCACGCTGTGCCCCCGATGGCCAGCCCCGAGGGCAGCGTCACGGCAAGCAACCCCCCGGTGTTCATCACGCACAACCTGGAGACTGGCAGTGGCGAAACTCGTGAAGGCGACTACCCTCCTCCTCGTCTGCCCGTTGGCCCGTTGGAATTTGATTCTGATACGCACCGTGCACTGCACCAAAGCGTGATGAACCCTGAGGCAGACGTTCGCAACCCGGGTCTGACCCAGGCCATGGCCAATTTGCACACCAGTGACCCCCTGCTTGGTGTTGATATGATGGATACTCGTCAGTTTTTCCGGACTCCGTGGCAGTATAACCACCCTCAGGCCGCTGGCAATGATACTACTGAGGGCCAGCCAAGCACTCTCCGCCAGCTGGTTGCGGAGAGTGAGCCCATTGACCCCACGGAGGTCTTGGAGGATTGGGGCCCTATCGGTGGCCCCGTGATTCGGCCTAGCACTCGCCGAGGTGCTCGAAACGACGACAAGGTGGCCGCTCATCGCAATGCTGTTGCCCAATGGCACAACCAGGTTAGTAACGAATGGACCCAGTTCACTGATAACGGAGGAGTTACTGACTATTATACTTGGCGGCTCCAGCGGGGCTGGGCCGACTATCCAAGTGCGCAGGGCGAGACCTACGAGCAGGCTGCCGGGGCCAGCCTGCTCGCCCCGAACACCGAGCGTGACCGGTGGATGGCGGCCCACCGGGCGTTCCTCGAGGTGGCACGGGCTGAGGGCGGCGACCTCAAGATGGGTCGCCCCCGAGGCTTCTAAACCCTCCCTCTCTCCCTCCCTTTCTTCTTTTCTCGTCATCACTTTCTTCTCACTTCCTTCGTTACCAGGAAGGTTGATTTTCGCAACCAGTGCGCTGCCGTGTGAAATCATGCCGTTGGATTGATTTCACGACAAGCACTTCCAGCGCACTGGTTGCTTCTGTTGATGCCGGATGGGGGCTACCCATCATTTGTGTTGTCAGGATGTTTCGCCGTGGCTATATTATTGTGGTTGTTGTGGTGGTGGTGTTATAATCATTGTTGCTGCTGCTGTTGTTGTTGTTGCGTTGCCTGCCCGTCCTCTCCTCGTGGTGGCGCCTTCAAGTGATCGATTTCTGAAAAGAAATCGTAGACCTAGGACTTCCCCGGGCGCCGATAGCACCACTCCGACGAGCAGTTGATAGTCATTGCGGAAGGTAATCAGGAAATCTACCACCCTCAACTTACACTATCATATCGTATGCGTAGCGTTTCCATGGCGTAATTATTCTCGATATTACCAGTAGCACACAGAGAACACAATGAACCCTAACATGGAGAACATATGGACCATCCCCGCGCAAAGCTTACGTTCGCAACGTAAAAAAGCAAATCAGTAAAGTCCCAGAATAATAATAATTAAAAGTGAGACGCCAATGAATTGAATAATATGACTATAGTACATCTTGAATAAGAAGGAATGAAGCCCACGAGGCCTCCTGAAGTATGCGCCCGCGCCTCGCAAATGTCTGACCGCAGTTTTGTTCAACATACATGCGAAAGAGTCTATGCAAAGCATATACATTGCTCAGTCACGCCCCTCACCGGCGGGATTGCTTCTTGGCGCCCCGAGCTCCAACCTTGACAGCAACACGCTCCCGCTCCTCTGTAGCGTGGGCCCGGAGGGCCGGGTTCAGTGAAGGGAGCGACTGAATGGCCTGCGAGACGATCAAGTTACCATCGACAGCGTCCCGCTCTCTTTCGGCACCGATTCGCTCGGCACGGCGAGCGGCGAGCTGTTGCCGGCGCGCCTCTGTCATGTTCCAGGATTCGGGGAATCGAGGACGAATCTTGGGCTTGTGGTGGCGGAGGTCGAGCGGCACATCAGCAAATGAATCACCTTGTTTGGCCTCCTTGATCAGGGAATTGATAAGGTCAGCCAGATAGCGCTTGTTCTGGGCACTGGAGCCAAACTGCTCGCAAGAGATCCGAACAATGTCGGTCTGTGGGTTGTAGCGGGTGCCGACGAGCTTGAGGAAGGTCTGGCGTTGGGCCTCAGTGAGGTGCTTGGGGGCCAGATCGCGGGAGGCAAGCTCAACAACAACCTTGGGCTCAGCGGGATGCTGCTCGCCCATATAGGTGGTGTACCGGAAGCGGAGGATTTGGTTTTCAGAGGGCAAGGTAAAGGGTTTGGCGAGTTCTGGATACAGCAATATTCAGTTAGTCACTAGCACAAGGGGACAGAAGCCAAGGGTCAATCGTACTGCTCAGCATTGGCATGTCCCATGCCGTGATACGAGCATACTCGCGCAGCTCGCGCTGCAATTCCATCTGCGCGTGCGCGGTCGAGGTGATTTCGTCGTCGTTGATCTCTTCGTCACCGTCCTCCACCAAGGCCAATTCGTCGTTCTCGTCTTCGGCCCAGAAACCCCGCTGCTTTTCCCGGACATCCTCGAATCGAAGGTCTTGCTCCTTCTCAATTTGATTGACGCTCTTCTCGAGCTCTGCGAATGCGGCCGCACGCTTCTCGGGGTCGTTGAAATCGGCCACGGCGCGTCGGTTCGCGGCGTCGAACTCAGCGCGCTCCTCGGGAGACATCATATCGTACATGGAGCGCTCTTCCTTGCTGAGCAGGTCGGGCGAATATTCGGGCATAGGCGGATACTCCTCCGCACGTAGTTCTCGGGGAGGAGGAGGAATGACCGGGTCCTCTTGAACGTAGCGAAACGGTGAAATCGAGAATGATCGCGTAGCAAGAAACCCATGGCCCCGACGGGCCAGGGCCCCCGCGGAGCGAGTTAATGACCGAGCGGTGCAGGCCATTGTATGGGGCAGTTGGGAGCAGACGTAACTTTTCGAGACTGTTTTCTCCGCAGGCGCCGCTAGTCTCAGTCCAGTTCTACTTCATCACGTGATCCCACGTGACCTTGATAGTCTCTCCCACCCCGCCACGTGACTCTAGCGTCCGCCGTACGTAGTAGTACTGTAGTCGGCGCGTACCTGCCAGTCTCCATCCCAACTTTGTCTCAGCCAGACCGTCCCCGACCGCATCTCTGTTGCTCTTGAACAAGATGATTTTGAAGAAGCTTTGCTTCGTCTCCGTCGGTGCGACAGCTTCATTTGAAAAATTGATCCGCCAGGTTCTCAACGAGGCATTTCTTGCCAAGCTTGCGCAACACAAATTTACTCATCTTCTTATTCAATATGGCAAGGATGGCGAGGCCTTGTGGAATGAATTTGTGAATGATTTCCCCGAGGAACACCTCCATGGCGTCCGTGTTGGGGGATTTGACTTCAAGCCCGAGCTCTGGCCGTGCATGCACATGGCCACGAAGACCATGACCCAGGATCTCGGAATCGTCATCTCTCATGCCGGTAATATCCATCAAATCGATTGTTACTACTCCAAACTTAACATTAATGACAGGAACCGGCACTATTTTGGAGGCTCTTCGCTTGGCATTGCCGTTGATCATCGTCCCCAACGCCGATCTCGCTGGTAATCACCAGGTGGATTTGGCCGCTCAGATGCAGGACATGAAATATGCCATTCATGCTGATGTTGAGTAAGTAAACTATGTCTGCTCTTTTTGACTATTTTCTATAGTAGCCCCTTTTCTGGTGGGCTATGTCCATCTAACTTGCGATTAGCAACTTGCTTGAGGCCCTTGACAAGGCAGAGGCCCAACGGTCCGAGCGTCCTTCGCGTGTGAGCCGGCCCTATGGTCATGAGGATACCGTCGTGGACCCAATGGCCGACCAGCTTTATTTCGTCGACTGAATGCCGGGCTCTCCTACGTAAAGGTGGTACACCTCCATTCCTCACGAGAAAATGACTTAACGATATGGTGCTATTATGATTTTCCGATCCATGGGTGTTTAGGGGAGTTTTGGTGTTCTTTCAAAGGAAGACAGGGTCATTTTCGTTTCAAATCCTGGGTTTTCAAATCCTGGGTACTCCAGGGTTCCTTTTCAGTGCGATGCAGAATACAAAATTTCCCAAGATTCAAGTTCCTAAGGTTCTCTACGGATAAGCAGTCTGGACCACGTAGTAGCATCGAAAAGTCTGAAATAATATATGAGGTATATGCTACTAGATTGTTCCCTAGGGCAGCGGTCATCACTTCAAGTTGACGTTCCGAGTTCGTTGGAGTTCAAGTTGTTCGTGGTCGGCTCCACTACTATGCAGCGGCGACGGTCATTGGTCCGAGCTTCTTGTTGACAACCTCTTGGGAATCCCCGACGCGAAACCGCAAACCCGCCAAACCCTCCACTCCTGACGCCCTCGGCGAGGTCATTCTGTTCGCCATTCTTCGAGCTAACGCATTCATTCGTGTCTCCGATATCGCCTTTGAACTTCCGGTTCGCCCCTCCCCGGCCGCAGGGCCATCGTGAATCCTCGCGCACCCCCGAACCCCCCGACCTCCCTCTTCATACACACTCCCCGCAATGGCTGAGGCTACTCTCCACAACGTACCGATTGTCATCGACAATGGCAGTGGTACCATTCGAGCCGGCTTCGCAGGAGAAGAAATCCCATCATGCTACTTCCCCTCCTTTGTCGGTCGTCCCAAGCACCCGCGGGTCATGGCCGGCGGTCTGGAGGGCGACTCATTCATCGGCCAGCGCGCGCAAGAATTGCGCGGGCTGCTCAAGATCCGGTATCCGTTAGAACATGGAATCGTGACAAATTGGGAAGATATGGAATCGATCTGGCACTATGTCTACGAGAATGAGCTCAAGACCCTCCCCGAAGAGCACCCCGTGCTGCTCACCGAACCACCACTGAACCCCCGTGCCAACCGTGACGTTGCTGCCCAGCTCATGTTCGAAGCATTCAATGTCCCTGCTCTCTATATGTCCATTCAGGCAGTCCTCTCACTCTACGCGTCTGGTCGCACCACAGGTGTGGTTCTGGACTCTGGAGACGGAGTATCCCACGCTGTCCCGGTCTTTGAGGGTTTCGCCATTCCCAACAGTATTCGCAGAATTGATGTGGCTGGCCGCGATGTCACAGAGCAAATGCAATTGCTCTTGCGCAAGGCCGGTCACGTTCTGCATACCAGTGCTGAAAAAGAGGTGGTGCGGATGATTAAAGAGAAGGTCTGCTACGTATCGTTGGATCCAAAGCGCGAGGAGAAGGAGTGGATGAACAACTACCACAAGTCGGATGCCAAGGCTGTCGACTATGCCCTCCCCGACGGTCACAAGATCAAGGTAAGTCCATGGACCTAGCTGGATCCCCCACAGGTCCTTCTGCTGTCGAGTCTAACATACTGGCCGTGCTTGTAGATCGGCCAAGAACGCTACCGCGCGCCTGAGATTCTTTTCGACCCAGAGCTTATCGGTCTTGAGTACCCCGGCGTGCACCAGATTGTTCAAGACGCAATCACCCGCACAGATCTCGACCTTCGCAAGTCACTATACCTCAACATTGTGCTTTCTGGAGGGTCGACCCTCTGCAAGAACTTCCCAGATCGGTTGATGCGAGAGATTAAGCGACTCGCTGTTGAAGATATGAAGATTCGTATCTCTGCTCCTGCGGAGCGCAAGTATACCACTTGGATCGGTGGCAGTATTCTGGCTGGACTGAGTACATTCCGAAAGGTACGCAGCTCTTAAACATATCAGTCGTATATATCAACTAACCCTTTATCTAGATGTGGGTGAGCGCAGACGAGTGGCATGAGGACCCTGAAATCATCTTCAAGCGTTTCGCTTAGACGGCATAATCGTCTTTATCTTTCCTCTCCCCACTTCTCAGTCCCAGTCCATCTCAAAATCCCTGGTCCCTTCTTGTTCCGGAAGGAGAGGCGGTGTAAACCTCAGACCAACGGTCGACTGTGGAAAGCACTGTCTATCGGAAGCGAGCAGTTCAGAACGGATGTGCAGTGATCGACAATTACTCGAAGCCTTGTTGAGTCCAGGCGTTAGAGCCCTGCGACCTTTGATACCCCTTTCCCACCATATCCCCAATCTCATCCGTGCATGTCTCGCGATATCACGAATACTTATCATCATTCTACTTGTGCAAATACCGTTATTATTCTGTCTTGGCTTGGGAGTTGCGTGTTTCGAGCAGGCTTGTACACAGAGTACCACATACTACATGGTTCCTAAGGTGCCCATATGAAAATTTCTAAACACTTTATTTATTTTTTTCACCATGTTTTCTTCCCATAATGTGAAGACCGGCATAGAATAGCAACGGAGCACTTCCCAGCCTAAGTTGAAACCTATATCTAACCTTGGTTGGCCGAAAATGCGGGGGTGACGGAGCCAACCGACACCACCCACGCCAGGCCTGAATCAGCCCTGCAGGCGGCTTCTCCACATGATGCTTGAAGAATGCTGGTCAATCCATCCATGTCTGGCAAACAGAAATGAATTGACAGGGCGGTTGTCGTGTGCCTACATTGCCACGCGCGAAAGGTTAATGCCAGATCCCTATTACACCATTGAGCAAAACTAAACTGTCCCAGGTACGATGTGATCTAGAAGACCAGCCAGGTGGTTTTGCAGTAACTGCAAAAGACATCGTTGGTGCTGTCGGTGACTCGTTCACTGCGCAGGCCAAGTTCGATTCGAACCAGCTACTTCTGCTATAGACACCGCGGTCGCAAGCCCTATCCTGCCAGGATACATAGCTCTGCCAACCAACGAAGCACCGCTCCGTTCCCATATGTTGCTCATACCAATACGGTTGGCAATGGTATTCCACACTCTACCCTCTCGTCGAACATGGGCACCTGGACCTCTTCGCACGCCAGAAAACCATGGGCAGAGCCGCAAGCTTTCGTCAGCGAACTGTCCTTCATGGCCCCTTTAGTCAGTCGGCAAGAACATATCATCCCAGACGTAGTGGCTGCTATACTTGAGCAGTTCTCCGCGGAGCTCCTTGAGGTCATGTCGGCTACGAAGCTCCCACCAAAGACATAATTTTGAAGCATTTGCAGACTCCTACTTTGAGCAACTCTATCACCGGACTCCGATTATAAACAGAAGGAATTCTCGGCAGATTATCCTTCAGTGCTTGTGTCTCAGGCCGTTTGCCTTGTTAGCTCTCTCCTGAGGCATTCTGGAACACAATCACCTCTCGAAGAGGCTGAATTGTATTACTGCAAAGTGAAAACCCTACTCCAAGCCAATCATGAGCCAGATCAACGAATAGTTCTTGAAGTCCTATGTCTTTTGAGTTTTAGAAACAACACGCTACCCAAGCTTGTCAGCCTTTACTGTTCATGGCAATGGCTAGGTATGGCAACTCGTCTCGCCTATCAAATGGTTCTGCATCGCGAGTCAGCATATGCACATCTTCCGAGCCCTGGGTATACCCCATCTAATAGTGTGGTCTATATTTGTGCGTAAAGCTTCTGATGGTCTTGTGGGCATTCAATTATCATCCTGGCTGGTATCGGACCGACTTCAGACGGCGTGCCTCGGGCGACCATTTATCATTCGAGATTCGGAATTTGACGTGCGGCTACCGGTCCTGGAAGATTTCACAGAAAAGGGCATCGAAGTAAAGCTATTTTCCCTAAATACACTAAGCTCGATGTTATTCTTGGTGAGATAGTGGACCGCCACACCCAAGAGGATGAGATCTCATAATATGACGTACGGGTACCCACGAACCGAACAGCTTGTGGCTCTTCTGAAGACCTCCCTTCCAGGCGTCTTCGAGATTACAAACCCTACAACAATGGATTCAAGCCCTCTCAGTTCAGCTACAGCTATGGCACTGGCGGTCGTTTCTTTAGACGAGACATTTGCGACGTGCACGTCAAATACTTTGTTAGCCTGATCGTCTTCTTCCGGCTTTTCGGTCAATCATTTCTATCTCTTACAGTCTCAACAGCGTTGCTAATTGCGTCGTCATGTATTGCGCGTCTTTATGAGCAAATTCTGTACTGCGACGAGATCAATTATCTCGCACCGATAAACAACTGGTTTTTGATGGTGGGGCTGTGCACCACAGATCCACCATAAGGCCGTTCTTTGGGCCGAGACAAATTATGCAGTCAGGAGCTGTCAATATTGACGACTGCGTTGCGAGATATGCAACTCATGTCGCCGCCCGCGGGTGTTTTGTTGGATATCATCGAGTACTTGAGCGCGCTCGACCCCGAGGATGTGATAGGATCTGAGACTTTTCCTGTTATCCCTCAGGGCACACCACCTCTAGAGGACCCTTGGTCGTTTCAGGTAACGCAGTCAGCTACTCTGAAGGAATAATTTCCGTTTCTCTTGTCCATGAGCCCAAAGATCTCAATGGTTTAGGAAAATTGTGATGAACAGAGTGACTATATGGTGCTGGATAACATGGCAGAATGGGAGGATAGGTCAATTCACCGTTACTGAGGATGATCCGCCACTTTTCTGTCTGAGCGATGACGATAACATCAATACAGAGAGATGTGTCAGCTGCACGTGGACCATCAATCTGTACTAAAAGCGATGAGAGCCACTGCTCTCTACTGAGCAACGAATCGAGTCTTGGCGGTGCCATTTTCTCCAAATGGTTTCCACTGCTCCTCTGCGAATCAGCCTTGATACCCATAGCACCAGTGAGGTAGAGATTTCTCCAAGTCCCAGTCAAGGATCCATAGCCCAGCTTCGTAAATACAGAGCTGAGTAGCTCCCGAGCTTCTTTGTGGTCCGGCTCCGCTGCGAAAACATGCCCGAGAAGAATAGCTGGGAAACGAAGTTTGTTCTTGGACGCGGGATCTCTTCCCAAAGCGATAATTTTCTCTATCCCTCCCATGCGTGAAATATATCGTTTCCCTTTTGCCGCGGGAGTATGTTTCCATGAATTCACAAGGTGACCATCAAACTAGGTCATATAACGCTGGTATATGGCCTTGATATTATGGCTGATCAATCCGTAGTCGCCTTGCAGATGCCAAGCAGAGTCCAGGGCTGGTAGAAGCTGCAACATCTCTGCGATCTTAATTCCCGTCTTTCTTTCGTCCATGAGACGCTCGGTTTGGCCATGCATGAATGCATACATGTCCCGCTGCTCAACGAGCATCCGAGCAATATTTCCTTTACCCCAAGTCGGCCAGTGATGACCGACAAAGAGATCAGCCGGCCTGTCTTCATAGAGCGCGATGTTCTTATCCAGATGACGCGACCATGCCTTTGAATTTCACACGAGTGCACCACGCAGGGTGATGATGTTGTACATCGTATTTGTCGCACACTCGGAAATGTAGAGCGCACTTGGACGGTGCCTCAGTGCCATTGACTATTTGGAATTCCATCCTGATTCCATAGACAGTCATTTCCTCGTCTGTCTTGTATATCAAAGTATTGGGGGAATCAATGACGTGGTACCCTGTGATGTCACAGGACCGAGCCCAATTGCCCCTCCGCATTCATTTGATACCAGAGGGTCAATAACGAGTACACCAGTATGGACCTCGATGATGTCATGTTCGACATGTCGAAGACTCGCCATGAGGCCGAATATGCCGAAGTAGTTTCGGCACCCCCGCGTTTCGTGATACCCTGGATTTATAATTTCCAAATGCACATCCAAATTGAAGGCAATGAATACGAATTTGAATTTCTCAATTCCTGTACTCGATTCGACGAAGAATTTCGGTTTTCTTTTCGAAGATGGATGCAAAGGGAGGCCTGGGGCATGTAGAAATGGCGACGTGTCTCTCCCGGATCTTGTGGACATGGAGTTTACACCACGCCAACAACGAGGGATTCACAAAAATTGACCGATGACACATCGCAGGATTAGGCCTGTTATTTGGTGTCAGTTTAATGGATAGTACAAATCTTGGCAATGCACCAATTGCAGGGTAGGTCCAGATCTCCCGCAGATGATCGAAACGCGACGGTCCCGGCCATGCTCTCCTGGCAGACAGACAATATTCGAGGACAGTGTAAACGAGCCTTCTGCAGCGCTAGTATGATCACCTCAGGCGGGACAGGCGGTATCGTGGTAGCACTGGTGTTCCGAGCTCAAGATGCGCTGCGGTATTCTCCTGGGGTGGCGGCGTCAATTGTGTGAGTCGTAATCCCATACTTGAGCATAATGTCATATTTGGCTTCTTGGCTAATCGGTCGGTTTCATGGTGCTTAGGTGTAATTTCGTCACTCTCGTCATTCTCGTCATTGCCATATTGCTCACAATCTTCATGCACCGCGCGAACAGCAAGGCAAGACAAGGACTGGAGGAGATTGAAGGCTTGGCAGGTTTCTACTATAGATATCAAGGTATTCTTAACAGTTGTGGAGCAGGGAGGCTATTGTTTGTCACGTGACCGCTTTGGCCCCCCCCCCCCCCCCCCCCCTCCCCGGAGTTTGCAAGCCCGTTTTGCCTGCAAAGAATGAAAAGGAAAAGAAAACCGTAGGAAGAAAATTTTACAGACAATTGACTTTCCCCACTGAAGGCAAATTCGATCACGCGAAACCTGACGAGTGTCTGCTCATCGACATCTGAGTCATGAAAAATTTGCACGGTTGTTGGCGCCTACCTGCGGCTGCGACGGTGACTTGCGTGCGACCCACGATCCGCCCGGACCGAGATGTCGCCATCGATCGATCCACACCGACACGATTTTAGGGCCGTACGTACTACGCTGAATCTACGAGAAAACAGATGTGCAGTGGGGTTGAAAGCAGCCTTGCGGCTTGCATATCCATTGAGAAGCCAGGAGCTAGAAAGTAGTAGCCGAGGCGCGATATGGGGGAATCTGATAAAACAAAAATAAAGATAAAATGGCCGTCGGCAAGACAGGAGTCAAAGGACACAAGAGAAGAAAAGGACTCCGAGGACGATGCACAACGAGACTGGTCTCGGATGGTGCAATCCAGCAAAAAATGCAGTCCGAAAAGGAAACCGAATCACCGATTCCAGAACCTGGCGTGATGCAATGGGTACCGTGGTGACCCAGAGTAAAAAAGCAGATAACGCCAATATCTGATGGTTGAGTTGTTGAAGCACGCAATCCAGAAGTGTTTCGCCGTTGAATAGGAAACGCTGAAGTAGCTTGCTGAGGGAAGCGAGAAGAAAGATCCGTTGTTTCGAAAGCCTCCAATCTCGTCCCCGAGGTTCTTTGTTTGTCCAGATAGAGTGGGCCCGCGAGATTAAAAGGAGATAAAGCGAAGGGTCGAGAGGTCGACAGTGTGAAAGGAGCAGAGAACTTTTTTGTTGGTGTCGTGAGTCGTAAGGTGTCATGGAATTGGGGGGGAGATGGCGGACCCTGTCGATTTGTCGCAACGGGGACAATCGCGTTTAGGCAGCGCCCTTCAGCTTGCCCCAGCCCTTTTCGAGGCCGCGGCGGGCCATGTCGCGAGCGCGGTCAGCCACAGAACCAGAACTGCTGGCGGTGTTGGTACTGGTGGACGAGTATTTGCGGCTGAGGCTGCAATTGCTGCTGGCGTCGTCGCGGTAGATCATATTCCCAGCTCCACCACGACCTACGTGGTAAACAGGCGCGGCACGGCGGAGGTCGCGTTCGAGTTCCTCGTCGAAGCTGAAGATGGCACGCTCACTGGAGCTGTGGACGTTGCCGGCACCACCACGGCCGGAGGTGAAGGTCGAGGGCGTGCGCGAATCAAGGCGAGTCAGGGAGGCCGGGCCGGTCGCGGTCCGGGATTCGGTCGTCTTGGTATTCTTCAGGCTGACGACATTTCCGCAGCCTCCCCGACCAGTGTAGACCGCGGGGCGCGTGGTGTGAGGCACCGACGGGTGCGGCTCAATAACGCGGTAATTTGAAGTAGGCATGGTTGCTGTGTGTAGATGGAATGGAGCTGCGGTGCAAGCTATGAAGAGTCCAGGTCCATGAGCCGAATGCGAAGTGAAGCACTGAATCTGCAAAATTTGCTGAATTATGGGGACCCTCACTTCTGGCGGGGACGGGGTCCTAATATAGTCTCGTCGCTACCAGGGAGTCATTTGCAGCTGGCCAGGCACGCCGCCACAGGTCACACGCCGGTGGGGCGGCGGTTGCTGTGGGGTTTTTTTTCGCTTTTTGTTTTTGCTCATTTTCCGCCTGGCGTCATCGCTCCACGAGGTCCTAAAGCGGCAGCAAGTCTCGGCTGTTTCGGGAATGGGTGGCCTGCTAACTCACTGCGCTGGGTGCCGCAGCAACAGTGCGAGCGCTGCCTGAGGCCGCCATCAGGCCAGCCCTGTGACCGCAGGCGGAGTCGTGACTGGCACATTCCTCGACACTTCTCCACTTGGCGCAGCCCACGTCAACTCGCTGCTTTTAGCACAGCCCACATCATCTGACCCGCGATGGATCTTGCCAGCGCTAGGCGCCTCCAATTATGGGGGGCGCCAGGGGGCAACACGTAACAGAAACTGGGTCGGCTACCAATGACACCCAGTGCAGCCCCCAACAGGGATCGCAAGTGGACACGATGATTCTCATTACCCCCAGAAAACTCCCAAAAAAAAACCTCGCACTGTTGCCCAGACTCTCCCACGCAAAACTAGGGGTAAGAATTGTTCGCAGTGTACACTTCACCGCACCCCGTGGCTCGGCTCGGATCTCCTGCTCGTCAGGCGTATGCCGCCATTGCCTCAGCTCATCCAGCTTTTGGACTGGGCCGTGTGACGTGGTTGAAATTGCACCATGTTCGACATACTGTATACTAGATGATGCCGCTGGGCGGTTGCGCAAGTATACCAGCAGGTCGCATTTGAGCACCTTGGTAAACTCGCGCAATACTACAGAAGTATAGGATTTCGGGCATCATTCGCATTCTGTCCGCAGGGTTCGCGCGACGAGGACCCGTGAGCACGCCCAAAATATCACGCCATCCATTTTTCATTTCATATTGTGTGTTCCATCTGAATACATCGGTTCACTCTAGGGGAGGGGCCCGCCGATCTCAAGCACGATGACCCAATGCGACTGAGAATTGCGGGATAAATACTCCCCCTAGTGAGTGGCAGACCCCCGGGCGATCCGCCTAGTGCCGGTCTAGTTCACGCCGGTACCTGAGATCGTCACCAAATTCGCGCACTCCTGGCCCCATGTGTCCGATGGGCGATTGACCCTGCCGAGAAGAACCTATTGATCGTGCCTAGAAATGCCCAGAATGCCGGGGGCGCATTGCCCCTTCAAACCGGATGGATGGTCTTGCCACCGCACTGCCTTCCTTTCATTTTTCGCGTGTTTCCCTCGCGTGTCACGATGCAGCGTCCCCCTTCGGCAGGCCATCCGGAACAGGCATGGCGTACCCCAGAAGGACCGGCGGATGCGGTGGACAAATGACGCCAGGTTAGCCGGTGGAAACAAGGAAAGCACGAAAAATGAAAAAATTTTCAATTTTTGCCTCTCGGGCCAGCTGACTGGCCGAGGGATCCGAGGGCGGCGCCACCGCCCACTCACAGGCGGACTCGGTCCTTCCCCAGATTTTCCTTCCCCAGACCGGTACATGGGTGTATGTGCGAGATGGCCTGCTTCACTCGCAGACAACTGCGTGATGCTCTCTCTGGGATCGGACCCCGTGATGATGACCTCGGGATCTCCGCCCTGCCCAGCCGAGGAATGATCCCGCCCCCCGAGTTGATGTGCCCAGGCTCGCATGGACGTGCCTGCAGCGAACTGGAACGGTTGGGGTTAGCAAGAATGAGGGGGAAACTTTGACCCCTCACTCTAATACTCCCCGCCAACACCACCATCCGCGAGACACGTAGAAATGTGCACTCACACTACACAGCCCGGCGATGGCCAGAGACGAAGTACGTAGGACCAGTCAATTCAGTTCATCAATGAGGTCGGACCAGGAAATACCCAAGGAGATCTTCTCCGGTGCTCCGTATCACATCAGCCCAATCACCCAATTAGACACATTGTGTCAGGGCCAAACCTACCGCGAACAAGGAAATCCCAACCAGTTCGAAAGTTTTGCCTACAATTATCCCATCGTAACCTCCTCCTCTCGCTCACGTCCATTTCCCTGCAGGGCAGTGGAGACTCAGGAACCAGGCCTCTGCATCGTCGACAACTATTATCTAATAGCGAGACAAGATGACACATGATTATCGCTCTCGCCAGGTCTCGACCACCGGCCACCGGCAAGGCTCCCGCTTCGTGCGGCCCGGGACGCCCGGTCATCGCGATGACGCAAGATATTGATGTTCCGGTCGAGTCTTGAACTCATGTGTCTGTGTGCGGTGTGGACGGATGCCGTCAGATGTGCGATGTATTGCGATTGCGATGAGCGGTCTGGGTCTGGTATTCCTTGTGTCTAGTTAGGAGGCGCAAATGAGACTGAGTCCATTTCGCGATTTTCGGCCCGGGGAGCAAGATTGTATCTCACGCAGACGATCTTGTACTGCGGGTGCTGTCCACTGTGCAACGTTTTGTGTCCCATGTCTTGAGGTTGAGGCTAAGCTCTTTCGGTTTACAATTCGTCGGCTTGGTTAGCAGGTTGTTACGTTGTCAGCTGTTAAGTTTCGGATTGCTATCTACTTCGACCGTTGTTCACGACCTCGAGAGGTGGCCATCATACCTCTATAGGGCGTTTTCTTTCATGGTTCATCTCAGTTGCTCGCAATGTTCTTGATCTGCTCTTCGTCTCATACACTCGATTGGACCTGGATTAAGGGCACCTCCTGTTTCCTGCATGAAATACCGGATGTCCATATTTCAATCACGCCTATATGGAGGTTCAAGCCAAGATCCTTGAAACTGATCGCGATGGTTTCGAAATTGCTTAAATCGGGTTCGTGACACAACAGAGGAACCATGCTCTTACTACATGTACGAAACAGAGCCATTCGGGAGCTTGGGGCTCATGTTGCTCCATCATTGTGACGGATTCATTTGGCACCCGAAATGTGTCGTAACGTTCCGTAATTAGACCTGCCAGTTATTTCTTCCATGGTTCTCTTCAGTTCATGTTTAAATCGCCATCGTCATTACCTCACTTGAACGTCTGGATAGGCTACAGCGGGGTCAATTTCAACACTGAGAAAGACAAAAGGAAAAGGGCTCAGGTCTATGCTGTCCTGCTTTGGATTCTTCGGGAATCTGAATATACCCATCTCCTTCCAACTATCCACAAATGTGACATTCTCCCGCCTCACTATCCAATTCGACCGTGTGTCATTGGGCTATCATGATAGTCCTCACGGCATGGAGTATATACACGAATGCACTAATATCTCAACGGCTCGACACAGCGGTGCAAAAGCCTATCAATGCTCCAGCAAGTGGAAACATAGCCCTAGCCAAATTTAGCTTCGCCCACTTCTTCAAAAGCCGGAGTATCTCGCCATATTTCACGGTCTGATTCGACTTTTCCCGGGACCCAGCCGTGACGTCTCTCGTATCGGCACGTGTTGCATCGGCATGAAGCGCATGAGCATCTAGCTGATCATTCGTCTTGACCATAGTCAAAAATGTCCACGGTACGATGCTCATTGCCACTGAAGCAGCGAGAAGATAACGGCTAGCCCGGGTCTGAGTATTTCGCAACTCCCAGAAGACATAAATGTTTGCAATTGAGGCGAAAGCTGTGATACTCGGGAAGATTTTGTGGCCGCGGTCGTATAAATCCAACCACTGATGCGACAGCTGCAGGATTCTGCGAGTCTCGTCGAGTGAAAGGGTAGAATTGGCTGGAAATTGAGCTAGCGCGGTGATATTAGGTATGCACACAGCAGAGAGTGTGGCAATACCCCCTGAAGTTATTTTCAGCAAAGTGCCAAGCTTTTGATAGTTGTCAGCATGAAGAGATACTCTTACCCGCTGCGGCTGCATAGCCAAGGGTGCCAATTGCTTGGGCGATTTTCACATCGGTTGCCATTTTTCACTCACTGTCAAAAATTCAAGTGAGAGTAAGCCATTTAACAAATAGATGAAGCATGATCTCCGTGTTCGTCCAGAAAAAAATTAGCCCGAGTGATCGGATTCTGCGGATTTTGCAAATGCAGACCCCAAATAGAGTGGATACTCGGTGAACAGAGGGCCAAGCATATCGTAAAATTCTCGAGAAATTACTACATTTTTCTAAAGTGTCTTCTCGGGCGGTCCGTTATTCGATTTAGTATGTAGTGGCGATGGGAAACATGCAAAGCATTGAGTGCGGCGGGTTTAAGAAACTCCCGTAATCCGAGCCAACGCCACCCAGATTGTAGCGCGGAATTGTCGGCATACTCGCTACTCTTGCCGGCATCGGCGTCGCCATGGGTGTATTCAGCATGTAAAGCACGACAGACGTGGTGAAATCGCCCACTGCTCGGATCTTTGGCCTATCTCCAATCTCCAAGGAATTGGCCGTGTCCGGTTTCTCAACCAAGATAGCAGCTCCAACAAAAGTTTGCTTGAATTGAGGGTAGAGTGCACGTGTTGTGGAAAAGCAAATGCCGATTGTACTGGTGTATCGGTTTGTCATGCCCTTGCCGACTGGTTCCTCGGCTGGATGTTGAAGCCACAGGAACCTGGGTTGGCAGTCCTTAACCCCAAAATGATTCTTCCAAAGGATGAAGATGGTGGCATGCCCAAAGATAAAGGAAATGTGGGAAATCCTGGTATCCTTTCAAGAGTAGTTCCAGCGGTCGGCTTTCCCTGAGACCTTACATCATTTGGGAGAGTAGTGGTGACGTGTCGAATATTCGGTGGGAATATGACTTGAAATCGGGAAGGGTATGTAGTACACGAGGGAACCCTGTTGGCAAATACAATTCGGCTTTGGTAAGATATTTTCACTTGAGGCCCCAAGATTGACAATGCCAATGGGGATCTTGTAGCTGATTCTCCATGATATTTGGCTCTTATTTCAGGGTGATTTGCTAGAATGATAGGCACCAAATATAGCCAAATAGTGCTCATATTTCTTTCTCGGGGTATATACGCCCCGAATGCATGCCCCGGTGAGTCGTGGTGAAAGGCCGGTGGTCCTGGAGCTCGGTCAGCATGGTTATGGGAGGCGGATGTGTTGAATGTTAAGAATGTTCTCCACGTCTGTGAAGATGTGAATCTGGTATCAAGTCATCGCCCATAACTTGGACTTGTCGCAGGAGACAATGTTCTCTCTGATCCAGGGAGCCCACGTAACTGGCCAGCTTGATCGTGGTGTATATGGATGTCACCCGCGGCGTGATTCTTCTGTAGTGATAAAGACCCCATTTTAACAACCGCAGAGAGATATCACACGCTGCACCAATCAGAATGTCACCGTGGTACCAATATTGCACGGACATTTGTGCAGTCGGTCCAGCTCCAAGCTCTAGGATTACCACAAGCATGTGGATTGCCAGATCGTCGCGGGAGGGTCAGGTCCGTTTCCAGATGAGATCAGGCTACTCGGCGGTTAGTGGGAGCTCGAGAGGTGTCCATTTCTGGGCTTAGATAATTATATAACAGGCGCACAGTGGAAAGAATATTATCATTTGTGAGTACATAATTCACGAGTGCGAAGAACTCCAAAAGAAGCTGAGCCTCACGCCTGGAATTCTATGCGGGTCCCGTGCACTCCGAGTTTCCCAAGGCTGGCTAAATTTCGTAACGATTCGACGGAGGAAATTCGATCTATGAGAGAAACTTCAGTATCTGGGTTCGTAAACTGGAAGGTAATTCGCATGAGAGAAGGTAGTGATGACGATGCCGAAGGAAGAAAACACCAGCAGTAGGTGTGCTGTGCAGGTGGCTGCTACTTGTATAAGAGGTGCAAACACAACCAGTCAGGTGACCATTACAAGCAGCTACCAGGTCGGCGGGGCGGAGATAAACATCGATTATGCCGCTCTTCGCCGCCTTTGTTCACTATCTCGAGCTCGCCGGCGATCTTGCAACCTAGAAATCGCGGTCTCTTTCAATTCCTTCCCCTCGCCCTCCGCGATAGACTCCCCCGCTACTTTCCGTCAATACCTCATCCACACAACACCCTTCCGATCCCCACGAGGCTCCGTTCGAGTCTCCGCAACGTCGATCAGGAATTTCCGTCCCTCGCGCAACAGCAACCGAGTGGTTGCAGTAGAAGTCACGATGCCGCGATATAAGTCACCCTTCCCCCCACTTGACCATAACTTGACAACTAACCCTTTGTGCACACTTCTGTAGGTGACCCGTCCGCATTTCGCCCCACGATCCTGCTCGATCCCCTATGCCCGGGTTCTCGAGCTCGTATCTTCGAAAATATCTGGCTAATCAACGAAATATTTAGGCGACTATTGCGATGTCTATCTGACCCACGACTCAATGAGCGTGCGCAAGGCGCACAATTCGGGTCGAAACCACATTCGGAACGTCTACGACTATTACATGGGTACGCTTCAAAAAACCCCACAGAACGAACCGCAGATTCAACATTACTGACCACACCATATCCAGGTGTCATCGAGGAAATGTCCCAGGAACAGATCAATGAAATCACTGCGGCTAGCTCGGCAAATGGCGAAATAGCCATGCCAAATTCAGGTGAGCAAGAACAACCCCGGGTGGTTCTTAATCACCAAACCACCAGCGCCAGTTCTCGATCATTGGGAGCACTGCCCTTCTCAGTGCCGCAGCTGCCAGGAACTGGATTGCAGATCACGAACGTCTTATGGAGAGAGGCGTAGAGGAAGAGAAGTACTGACAGCCGTCCAGCAGCAATTCCTGGAATGCCCTACGGTATACCTCCCCGGGTCTGCGCCCTGGCGCCCCCCGATTCCCCAATTTCCCGAATTTCGGAGCCTCCGGCGCCCCCGGCGCCCCCGGCGGAGCTCCTCTACCTCCGAGCTTCCCTGTCAATGCCCCCGGCGGTCCCCCTCGCGGTGCCTTCCCTCCCCCGCCCAATATGGTTGCGGGTACCAACCTGCCTCCTCCCCCCGGAGGCTTCGGTGCTCCGAACTTTCGCATGCCTCCCCCTAATGTGGCAGGCGCCTTCCCTCCCGCCAATAATGCCATGTCACCGGCTCCTCGTCATTCTGATGGGTACACCCCACCTGGCGGCACTCCAAGCTCGGTCAACCATTCTGCTCCGCGTCGTTATGAGGGAGGTGATGCTCCTCCTCCTCGTCGTCGTTATGAGGGAGGTGACGCTCCCCCTCCGCGTCGTGACCGCCATGAGCCTCCTCCGGGCATGGGACGCAGATGGTGAGTACGATTCCCGCTACTCATCATCGTGAGCTTCATGCTTCCGGTTCCTTTTTTTAACACAAATGGGGATGATTATTTCTGCTGCTTGATACCGCGAGCTTCAGGCTCTTGTTTTTTTCTGAACACAGATGGTGATAATGATCTAAGTTCCCGGCTTTCCGTTTCTTTTTCAGGGATTGCTTTTGTTCTTCTGGAGTTGCTTTCTTTTTCACGGGGTTACGGTTGTTTTGTTCTTTTCTTTTTTTGGGTTGCGCTTTTCTGGGATTCTTCTTTCCATGGGGTTTTCTCTATTTGCCGGGAACTAGTCAAAATTTCATCACAGTTACCTCCAGCTCTACTAGTAGCTAGGGTCCACTATGGTAGTGTCTCAAAAAATGTATTAATAAGGACATCGACTAGCACCACGCACTAACAACACCCTATCGATTCTACAACTGTCCCGAGACTTGATGGTTTTGATGGTTTTCGGTCTTCTCAATGAGAGCACCCATCGTCAATTATCTTAGCAACCAGGATTTAAAATGCAGGAAGGAAGGTGGAAAAGGAAAAGAAAACAAGTGTGTATTGTGAAGCCCAGAATCCCACAAGATCACCGAAACCAGATGCAACACAACGCCTTAGCAAAGAGATAAGAGAAGTACACGTGAATCGCAAGTATAACCTCCGTTGATAAAAGGAAGAGGAAGTCGGGGGGAAAGCAAGATAAGGAGAGTTTTGGGTTGCAGGGAAAGGAGAAGAGGGAAAGGTAAGTGAAGATAAAAGTTTAAGGCAGAAAAAGATCATGCTGCATCAGTGGCGAAAAGAAAAGAAAATGTACCAAGTAAAATTCGGCGTGAAGCCGACAAAACCAAAATTCACCAAACCCCAAAAGCAGATACCGGACCCCAAGGGTTGGCGGATGGAAAAAAGTAATATAGACCATCGCTGTCCCACGCTAAAAATCACATGTCTTCATTTGTTAAATGAAAAGATTCAAGAATGTTTGAAAACAACTAATGGTCATAACCAGCTCCTCGTTGCCATGGACTGGCACTGTTTTGTTGTCTGTAGTTGGTGTCGAGGGCCGAGGCACCGATGGGTGCATTATCATGGTTTCTTAATGCAGGCGATGCTGACCGGCCGAACTGGTCGTACCCAGGCGGGGGACCTTGGTGGTTATTGGAGGGACCGCCTGGGAAGAGCGGCACGGACGGGTCAACCGGTGATAATTGACGGTTGACGTTGTGAGTCGAGTTTGCTGCGTTCATTTGCTGATGGTTGTTGCCGCTGGAGATAGATGTCGAGTCGTCAAACGGGCTGTGTTCGTAAGGATGGGGCTTCATGTCACCGCGAGCGGTAGCACTCAGAGCATCCAGTTCCGTTGTCAGCTGGGTCTGCGACTTGATGAAGGAGCCCCGGTCATCACGCATTGGCTGGTATCGGGTATCGGGATTGCGTGAGAAGATAGCATAGCCGGAGGCAATCAACACCAGGATGAGCAATACGAGGGAGAATACTGCGTTGATGACGACAATGATGACTCCCATAAAGGCGATTGCCATGCCAGGTGGGTTGAAAACATTCGAGAAGACCAGCAGGAAGACGACATTGAGGAAGTTGATGACTGCAATCGAGATGTTGAAGACGTTGGTCTTCTTGTCCATCCATGGCCGGATGACGCACACACTGATCAACATGGCGGTCTCAAGTACCAAAAGGGCGATAGTTTGAACAACGGGAGCCGGCTGACTGAGGCCGATGAACATACCCTTGACCAGGACATAAACGAGGAACGGCACGACGAAGTAGTATGCAGTCGCGCGATACTGCACGTACAAGAAGCCCCACTTGTTCAAAGCAGAAGGATCCGAGTAGAGGATATAGGCCGGGTTCTTGTGCATTGTGACGGAGCGCTTGGCTAGACGGATGACCTTCTGGGAAGCCCAGCCCAAGGCAATAAGCAACGAGAGGATCATGACTACAGCCAAGACGACCTCTGCGGCCGAGTCGCGCTGAGTGAACTCCCATAGGCAAAGAACACACATTTGCGGAAATCCGATCAGAGCGAGACGGAACAAGATACCCCGAAGAACGACGCGCCATCCATTGCGGAAGTCCTGGAATTTGTCACTCTTCATCTTGCCGTGCTTTGCAAGTAGCTCGCAAATTCCCTTAAAAGACGCAACGATGATGATCACAAGGCAAACGAAGACAGTGAAGAAGATTAGGCCAGTCAAGAAGATATTGGTTTCTTCGATTCTCGCGCGGAATCCGGCACGATCGATACCACGTACAACCTGCACCTTCTGGCTGGAATCAGCGCGCTTGGCGAGCGTATTCATCCCTCTCTTCATCAGCGCAAGGGCTGGGTCGATCAAGTCACGTTTGCGGCGCTTTAACACCTCCACAGATGTGTTACTGAGTGACGAAAGCACCGTAGAAGGGGTACCGCCGGTAGAGCGCTGGTACCAAGTGCAGATATCCTGCAAGAAACCGATGCGAATGATTCCCATACTCCACTGGAAGTTCTGAGTCCAGGATTCGAAGATCGGAGGACTATGAACCGATGTCATGCCGATCATGGCCTGGCTTTGGAAAAATCCAAAGAGCGAGAGGGCGTTCGCTGCAACGTGTGCAGCAGTGTTGGAATGGCCCAGTCCAGATGTGATGGCGGAAGCGGCTAGACCCAAGCCGGAGATGATGGCAGTCGCCCAAGCAACGCCTATTTGATAGACGGTCTTTCCATTCGAAAGTTGTGCTTCAACACAGGCGATCTTCTCCAGAGTATCTTGTTTCTTAATCACGATTTGTAGGTTCGCGTCAAGATCGGGAATCGTATAAGCCATGTCTAGTTGTGAGTTGTGAGTAAATTTCTCCATAACTGATTTTCGGTCCGCCGAGTTTGACTTACCAGGAATGTTAGAAGCGGTGTCCCCCGAGATGGGCAGGGAGACATCCTGGAGATCGATGGGGCCTGGAGCCATGGGGCACATACCCATCCCCTCGATGTCGCAAGGATTGATAGTCATCTGGTAAAACTTGATTCCATATGCGGTGAGAGTGATGTCTGCGACGACCTTGCCGGAGATGTATGATACGCCGTCAAAGCCAACAATGAGTGAGTTGTTGCCGGGATAGTAAACAACATTGAAATATTGCGCCGTGAAATTGCTACTCTCCATGCACACGTTCAGCGCATTGGATTCTAGCAGCTTTACTGCCGACGCCAACGGTGCCCAAAAGGCAACGAAGATGGTAAGAAGTGATAGAGACCTCATGATGGCGCACTTCGATCAAGGTCGTGGATCGGTGTCAAAAGGGCAAAAGCGGCCGGTAAGAAGAGGACGGAGGAGAAGAAGCTGGCGGCTAACGTCAGACGGAGTATTTGGGAGTACCACGTTGCCAACCGCCGGATGCGGAAGTCTTGAAGCGGGCGAGTTGTCAGCGCACACGGTGGGCCAAGTTGGGTTTCGTGAATCGGCCGAAAGCTGGATTGTAGCCGGAATGCCTTTGTTACAAGCAACCAGGAGCGAACTCGAGTGGGGTTGTGGTGAGTCTTGGGTTTACGACTCCATTGATCGTGATCGGGTGGTTATACGGGCGGAAGACGAAGGGTTCGTGATCCGGATGGTTGGAAGAAGGATGAATGAGAGTCGGGCGCCCCCAAAGTCCCAGGCGAAGAGTGACGAGGCGATTTGTCGTCCGTGAAGAGGCTGGGGTTGAGTGTCGTCGTGCAGTAGTGCAGATCGGGAGGCGGGTCAACGGCGTCACCGGAAGGCTGGAGGTCAAAATCCGCGAGTCGGTGTAGCGGGTGTAGCGGATGTAGCGTAGAAGTGAGACGAGAAATGCGACGGAGAGGAAGAGAGCGAGCGACACGGCGGCACACACAGGGAGATGCTGAGAGGAGGGGATCGCAGGGAGGACAAAGGGAGCGAAAGTAGTGATTTGCCTCTCAGGCTCTCTTGGGCCAGGCTTGTCTCAGGGACGGAATGGGGAATGCGGTATGGTACGGTCACGTCCGCCCAGGGCGCTTGGGTTCGCCAATGGAAAGCGCGTATTACAGTTTCCGTACAGTTACCCGGGCCACTGGGCACGCCTCGATGTGTACTAGTCGCATCTTCCAGCCTTGTTTCCTCTGTCATTCCTGGCCTCTACCAGACCTCCAAGGCGCTCCCAGCTAACACACTACTAGCCTACATTTTGCTCGGACGTGAATTCGCAGTCGTCGGCTACGAACCTGGCCGTCTTGCAACATGCGATCGAAACGTGGAGGGCCCCGGAAGCAGTTAGGATGTCTCTCGGTGGTTGCAGGCTTGGAGATGCGGTCACCGGGACCCAAGGAACGGGTGTCCCCGGCTGTGGAGATTACTTCTCTGCTGGCGAGTGACACTGGCAGCTTCTTGGTGGATTCTGCACATTTGCCTGTCTGTCAATACTGTTCCCGGGGAAGAGTCCAACAGAAATTGGCCACACTGACTCTGCCCCTCTGCCACCTTTGGGCGGCCAACATGGCGGCAAAATTGTTACCCGGGTGGTGTCTCTCATGGACGACACAATCGCGAACCTATATTACTTGTTGCTGTACCCCTAATTGCAGCAAGGGGGAAGCCTGACTCAGGGCGGGTACTGGTGACATGGCGATACGCGTACTGGCGCCTGGGAACAGAGGTACCAGTGACTACGCTATTAATATCTCCTGCATCGGAGGGCAGCTGCCCCTGTCACACACACACACACACACACACACACACACACACACACACACACACAAATCTCTCCAAACGCCCAGATGACCCGTTGGATTCTAATGGGATGGTCCTGCAGAGAGTGTGACCAGACTCCCCGATCAGACCGGTATGGATGATCATTACCAGTCTGCCCTAGTCCATAGGGCGCTGGTTCTCGGCATCTCCACCAGCTTACAATTTAAATAAATTTAAATTCACGACTCGCAGCACTCCTTCAAATCTCCCTGGGGCTTTAGCGCCTGCACTGCCTCCGCCAGGTACACACCGTTCGATCCAGTCCTTTGCGGAATCCATCCCAAGTAGTGTTTCAGCCGAGTGCGGACAATTCCAATCCACGTGAGTGAGTGAGAGTTTGTGTGTGTTCAGCCTTGGCTGATCGCTCCCCGCGATCGCAAGATCAACATGGTGCGTGCGATGACGTTGTCCGCACGCTGCCCGGTCTTTTTCTTGCTTGTGCTACCTTCGTACCGCTGAACACCTCAGCGATGACCGCAACAGCACCACCCTCTAGCAACATCAGCTACTTCAGCTTTGCCTGAACCCATAAGCAGCCCTGGACCCGGCTGGCACCGCTGTGAACCACGGTCGCATTCCTATTTTTGGATCAGGGTTCTCGGGTGAAATGCTCTTGGTTGTTTCCGCCTTCTGGCGCCATTGCGTGGCGCCGAGCAACCTGCGTATTCTCCCCTCTGTGCCCGCAACTCTGATTCGCTCATGGTTGTGAAATTTCGGCGGGGGCAAACCTCACATCCTGCTGGTCGCAGCTGCCGCCAGGATCGGTGAACTGTCGCCGCCGTCAAATTTTTCGTACTATGTATTAGTTCGCGGCCGGATCGCTTCCTACGAATCTGCTGCAATGGAGTCGGCAGATCGCAATACGGTATACGCATCTCGGTCGGGCCAGATCTGCAGTCGGTACACAACCTTACCCGTGGGACGTAGAACTGTGATCAGATAATTCCATGCCGGTCGCATCTTGTGGACGGTCGGTTCGTTTTAATTGATATCCTGGCCGACCGACTTACTTAGGTTCGTTTACTCCTAACCAAGGTCCCTTATCCCAATCACCCAGCCCTTGGCATGAGACATACCGGCACGCTTTCACATTGTACTTGCACTATGTTCAATGGACTAGTCGACTACCTACCTGGCATCTCAGCCATAATTACGGCCACTAGGCAGCATTTTTAACTGCGAGATTACTGTAGCACTAGGAGCTCGAGGAGCTCCTGCGTACGTACCCCTAGAAACGCTGAACTTGCTTTTCAATGGCCCATAACTAGCTGCCCACCGAGTAGATTAATAACCCGTCATTACTCACTGGATATTTATTACGTTCTCCACGACCGACCAGACTTCGTGAATACATATCGGCGAAATCTGATGTCGCGTTTATATTGTTTGAATGAGAACTACCGCAAATTGCAAGCTTCAGACTGCTTCATGTTTGCATTATCCTACGATCGCTAGGTCTTCCAGCCCACAAGATGTAGATTAAGATAGCCAGCGCATGACTGAAGGGTAAAAAGCTCAAATATTCACATTGGTCAAGCCATTCATATCTCGTCCACGGCATGCAATCTTAGTGCTTATTAACGCTTCGATGTTATAAACTGCCCTAAGGTATTATATTATTCGGCATATATATTGCTGAATAAAATCAAAAGGGCGGTATCAACACCTCTATGCCTGTGGAAACCAGCCACCACCTTCCCATTGAAGTGGCATGTCTCTATTTCGAACATGCGTGTGGCGGATATTGCCTAAAAGTATACTAAGCCGAACGAAATTAATTGGCTTCATGATCCACCCATCAAACCCAGCACTGGTATACACCTCCTTTTTTCTTTCCACTATCGATGCAGATACAGCGAGGATCGGGACTCGACGGGGCTTGGACATTTGGGTTTCCAGTATCTTGGCTTCATGCTCCCGGATCATTTTGGTTGCATTTATACCGTCGACGAGAGGCATCTATTTGAAATACCGGTTAGTCATTGATATATAATTTATCGGAGTCGAAAGATACCTGGATGTCCATCAGAATGATATTGATGAGCTGCTCGTGCGATGCAATAGCATGGAAGCATGCTTCGCCGTTGCTGGTCAATTTCACGGCCTGACCAAGCTTTTCCAGTCGTTTCTCGACTACCTGGCTATTGATTGGATCGTCCTCCGCAACGAGGATGTGAAGTTTCAAGTTGGGATCGGTTGAAGCCGAACTTGAATGCTCCGTCAAAGGAGTATCGTTGCTAGAGGAGCGCTCGGGAGCTCCTGTAGTCGCAGAGGTCATTTTGGAGAAGTACCAGCCACCTGAGCTTATGTGCGATCTAGAAAACAGGTTTGATTCACGATCAGAGGGATGGAGAGAGTTCGTTGATCGTACGAAAAAGATGGAGAGGTCGGCAGTTGGGATTTGGAGACAACAGACAGTGCCTGACTGTTTCGGGAATCAGAATGTCTCTTAGGAGCTGATTAGTGGGCAGTTTCATGGGTGTATTCATTGCCATCAAGCCTTGGGTTGCCAGGCTGTTTAGAAAGTCGGCTTTCCGCGTCATGTGTAGTCATTGATGACCTTGGTTTGGCTGCCCTTACCCTCTTCGGGCTTGACAGAAAGCTGCTCATGCATATTATGGACAATTCGAGCGGTCGGCGCAAGTCCAAGACCTAAAACAGTCTTCGCCGTTTGTTTATCTTGCGTATTCCCTTGGTTGTCAAACCCGGAGTAGGAGTCTTCGGCAGAAATCTGTTCAAGTTCCTGGAACAGAATTTCACGATTCGTCTTTGAAATGCCCGAACCAGAATCGACAAGCATCATCTCCACGGCCACGTGGTTTAGAATCGCGTTCTGTACAACACGGTCGTGTGAGGTTGGCCGACAAATACCGAAATGTCTGAGTGCTCTTCCCCCGGGCTGAGGGCTCTACGCGCGCGATGATGTCAAGCAGAATGGCCTCACTGGTTGTGGTGAGAATGTAGAGCAATCTCGCGGAAGCAATGTCGCTCTTCAACTGCTGGACTGCTTGTTGCAAACCCTGGGAGCCAAGTATGGCGAGAAGGGGCATTTCGTGGAGATTCTATGTGTACTGATCTCGATCGTCGCTGTTATTGTGATAGTATTGGACCAATCTACTATTTCCGGGAATGCGCAACCCTCATCCGCCATTCACTTGCTGGCCAAATATGACATCATATTTACCTTATATGATCTTCTTTATCCTCAAGAGGGGAAGTCTCCTAGTACATAATACCCTAAAGTAGTGTAGGGTCACGGTACGTCTGTGGCATTCTAAAAGTAGATAGGAGATTGCTCCTATCTGCTAGTGGTCACCTTCCTGGTCACCCATGTGATCAGCTCCCGGGCTGCCTTATTGATGACTCTGCGCAAGGCAAAATGTTTATTCACCCCGAGAGTAAAAAAAGGTCTTTACCCTAAGGTAAGGTAAATTATTCTCTACCCCTACGATAAAAGAATTAATATGAGTCTTGGAAGTACTATCATGTACCTGAAAGGTCAAAGAGGGGGTGTGGTGTATCTATCACCGGCACATACTGAGTGTTCTTACGCTGTGTGGTTGGCAGGAAAGGTCGTTGACAATACGGAGGGAACATAGAAGCAAAATGATTCAGTAAAGGTAAATCAAATAGATTACACCAGCAGCTACCGTTCGATAACCGCAACATCATCCTATCTACAAATCACCGAATTGAAATAAAAACCATACATAGTTTTCCCGCCATGGTAATGACTATTAACACTCAGGTCGACAAGATTTTTCTGCAAAAAAAGCAAGGCTCAAGAAAACACAATCGTCTCTGTCGTTAAAAGGCGCAGTGCGCCCGCTCATCACGTACACAATAGGATTCAAGAAAGAAGATGTGAAGGGGGAAAAAGCAGGATTGGGAATGAAGAGAAGCAAAATTCGCTAGACTGAAATACAGTTCCGGGGTATCACAATGCGGGTCTCAGTAGTTGTCGTCATAATCGATCTGCATCGGACTGCCTCGGTATTGAGTGCGCTTGATATTGCTGGGGCTGTAGTTGCCGCCGGAGGTAAGAGGACGGGGACCAGTTGGCTTGCGAGTAGGAGGGGAGCGCATGGCAGAGCCCTGGGATGTCTTGTTAGTAAATTGTTATTGACGATTTTTGGATGAAGGAGGGTCATACCCGAGATACGACGCGGTCACCATACTGCTGTTGGTCCTCAGTTTCCGCAACCTTAGGAGGCCGCTCGGGGACGAGAGGACCCTCGTCTTTGAGCTTGGGAGGACGAGGTGGTCCCGGTGTGCGTGAACTCGCTTCGGAATACCCTGCATCCGAAATGGGCGACAGACGGCTCCCATTGCTGAAGCGTTGCTGGTTGGGGTTGACAGCAGGCAGGCTAGGATTCGAGCCCCACTGGTCCGAGGAGGGGGATTCAGGGGTGGCATAAGTCTGTGCCTGGGTCTCGAGTTGGTTTTGATATCGGCCAGTTGGGCCTTGACGCGGCTGAGGATGCTGCAGGTCGAGACTACCACGGTGAGCGCGGTACTTGGGTGCTTCGGAGACTTGTGATGGCACCAAGGGCGACGGGGGCCGGTTTTCCTGCTGGTCGATTTCGTCCAGTGTGTATGTCGATCTGATACGGTCGTCACCCTCAGGGTCATAGTAGTTCGTCTTGTATGCGTCTTGAGCAAGATCGGAGCCGGATCGGGACATCTCAGAGTACGGGCGTTCCTTGCGGTTAGGCTGGATGCTGTTACGGATGTTGTCGCCCATCGACGTCGCAGTGGATTTGGACCAGCGCGAGATCTTGGGGAAAATTGACGAGCTGCTCGACTTGTGCTTGCGGGCCTTGTCGGCGCCCTTGGGGGTGGTCTCTGTGCTCCGGGTTCCAGACGCCACTGGCTTGCGAGGTGTTGTGTTGAGGGGCAGAGAGCCGGCTCTCTCATGGCGAGGAGGCTGTTGGATGGGCAGATGAGCAGCCACGTAAGCATCGTTCTCATCAATCTCAATATCCTCATCTTCTTCATCCTCTTCTGGGACAGTGCTGACACGAGTATCGGCATTCGTTTGTCGGGGGCTGGATATGTAAGGAGACCGGCTCCCCATGGATGCACCGCTTTGCCCGTTGTTTTCTGCCCCAACTTGATCGACATTTGTTCTCCGAGGGCTCACGAAATCTTGACCAGTGCGCAATGCCTCAACTTCTTCCAGAAGCTGTTCCAGCATTCCTTCAATCTTGGTCAAGTCATTGCCAGACTTTCCGCTCAGGCCCTTCAGCGCGCGCTTGAAAATGTTCGCCCGCTTGGCTTGCAGGTCATCGTTGTCTGTAGTGTTCAGTTGGCGAGTGCGAGAGCTGCTGGGAGGCAATGGACGAGGGCCACCAAGAGCTTTGTAAAATCGCTCATGCTGCTTGTCGCTGGAGTCCATGATCAACTCATCTTGCTGAGCAATGAACTTCTTCATTTGCTCGAAGGAAGTACGCATTTCAGCAGCGCTGCGGACAAGAGTCACCAGAATTTCGGTGTCGCGGGCATTGCGCTGGGCATCGCGTACAGTGAGGTGATCCATAAGAGCAACAATATCCTTGGACTGAATCCTATCGATACCGCGACCAGTGGCACTGTCGTAAAGAGGCGAGCCCATTCCATGGGAATGACCGCTGAAGTGGCGTTGGTGACCAGCGGAGAAGGGGTCCTCGTCAGTAGGGCTTTCAAAAGCGCCTCCAAGCACACGGCTCGCTTGCTTGGGGGTGCCGATGCTCGGAGACATTGGGTTGGCAGCCGAAACATAGCCTTCGTCCTTGGCTCCGGGAGGCGTACCAAATAGTTGGCCGGCGCGCTGGTCAACGACAAAATCATCACCACCAAAGATATCGCGAGCAGTCTCGTGGTATTCAGCATCGAATCGGTGCTGCGAATCAGGTACAACATCTCTCGGATCGTGCTCGTAGTATGGAACTTGATCGGCGGGGGATCTCGAACTGTACCCCCAGTGATCCTGAGCTCCTTGAGCAGGACCTTGAATGATAGAGGGGTTCGTGTTGATCTCAGACTCGGATTCCTGGCTGCGTTCTTCATCCGCACCAGGGCTGTCCATGCCTCGAGCAGCTGCTGCCATGCCCGCTTCATCCAAGTCATCGATGGACTGAGTGACACTTTGAGGAGGCGAGGTGGCACCCATACGCCGGGGGAAAGATGTTTCATCCGGGCTCGAGGCATTCTGACGCTGCTTCAGGGGGCTGCCGCGCTTTGGGGGTCTCCGGCTTGCGGCACGCTCAGCAAAGTCGGTCTGTGAACGGTGTCCAGAAGACTGGGACTCAAGAACAGAGGGGTCCATCAATGAGGCCACATTCGATTCGACACCCGCGGGATGGACAAATTGGGGGTTGGCAGCTACACCAGTCGTGACATGGTGGCCTTCCTTGATCTTGTCCATGAAATTCACTTCGCTGTCTTCATTGTCAAGTGACAGACGAGACTCCTCATCGGGTCCATAGAGATCCTCTTCTCCAGATGCACGCCGAAATTGCTCAAATCCAAGCTCAGGACCATGTTCATGATCGAAATCGTGGTTCAGGCTCTTGGGACTATATCCATCTTGGCGAGTGGATCGAGCGAGATTAGTGCTGGGGGCTGAAGACAAAGAGTCGATGGATAAGCGAGGTTCCATGTCCCGCTGGACGTCGGCTGTGTGTTTGTTTTGGTATTTAGAAAAATGAGTTTCCGTATTGTCACTGGCAACACTTTGGATGGGGCTCAAGGCCCGGCCGGCCTCATACTGTTTTTCTGGCGTAGATCGTTGACCTGGGTGAGCAGCGTCGAGTAGATTGGCAGCAGCAGCGGCAGCAATGGCCCAGTCGGCACCCTCCGCTCCTGGGGATTGGCTCTTTCGGTGCAGGTCGCGGTCCGAGGTGCTATGCGTGGAAAGGTTGTGGTGCGACTGATTGCCATGGCGCATTCCCAGTTCATGTCGCGTTTCCAGTGGAGTACGGGTGGGTGTGCGTGAGGTTGGCGAAGCGACCTGTCGTGGGGAGCCTCGAGAGGTTTCTGCTGGCGACAGTCCCTTGCGGATTGTTGGGCTCTCTGTACGCTCGGAGAGAAGCGAGGTCCTTGTCAATTCCGAGTCAATCTCGCTGCGCATTGGCATGGGTGCGATGTTATGTTTTTGGAAAACGAGCTCGGTCTCATTGATGTTCTCAACGCTCTTGCGAGAGCCACTTTCTTTCCGCTCTGACCGGCCATGCTCTGACTGACCAAGGCTGGACTGCGAGTCATGCTTCTTGAGGGATGCAGCTGTCAGAGCCGAGCCCACACGAGCAGCGGCATGTGCATCGCGGAGGCCTTTGCTCTTTTGCCTGCGGATTTTGTCTTGTTCGGTGAACTCTGGACGGCCCCATTTGACCCATGCAGAATCAGAAGTCTCACTGCTCTTGCTTGACTTGCGCTCCTTGTTCTGTTGCACAGGCTCTCCGGATAGAACAATACCCTCATCTTTGCTATCTTTGTTCAGGACGACTCTCGGTTGGGGCTTCATGACATCCGGCGCACTGGAGTGCTTGGACAAACGCCGGCCAAGCTCATCTCGGGAGCTGGTGGAGGAGTAGGACGTTGTCATGTCGCGCTCAAATTTGGACGTGTTGGATATGACCTTCTGGTCCTTCTTGAGTTCCTTGAGCTCCGGCAAAATCAGTCGTCGAATTGCATCTTCGACGGTCTCGAGGAGTTTCGGATTGTTGATGGACGATTTTGAAACGTTAGAGCGAACAGAGTATTGATCGCCGGATTTGCGGTTGGAAGAAACCGCCGAAGTGCTCAGAAGACTGGACTCCGGACTGGTGATATTCATGTCTTCTTCGCCGGATCCATGTCGTTTCCGTCGAGACGACTTAGGCTCAGCCTCCAAGTAGTCCCTGCCAGCACTCTTGGTCTTGCTCCTGCTCTTGTGCTTGCCACTTGAGACTTCTTGCGGCGAGCCACTGAGCTTCTCTGCGACCCGATGAGCGATGCGTTCCTTGCTGAGGCTACGACTGCGTTGTCGGGAAGGAGTCTTGAGCAAGTCTTTGCCCTCGCGGCTCGCGCCGCGCTCAAGGCTCTGGCTGCGCTTCCTGCGGGGACCAGCAGATGAGGTGTCGAGCATGCTGTCCGCGGGCATGGAGGAAATATCTGACGAGGGAGCCATTATGAGTCTGGGGTCGCGCGAAATGGCCGACAGCTCACTGCCTTGGTCGCGATTGAGGAACTCGATTTCGACGGGCGGATGGTGCTCAGACGATTGACCTTCCTCCTCGGCTGAGTTGCTTGAGCTGACACTTTGGTCATCCACGCCTTCCTCGGATGGTTGCTTCTGCTTGGATGATGGCGACGTGAGAGAAATGCGCCGAGTGTAGGAAGGCTTGCGACTGGAACTGGACTCGGTGATCTGGATCCGGTCTTTATCCTTGTGTCGTCTTCTTGAGCCCGAGGGTGTCACTCGAACGCGCACACTGGGTCTGGAAACCACTCCGCCGGGGCCTTTCCCACCTTCGAAGTACTCGATGAGCAGCGAGGTCTGGGAATCCCGTTGTGAGCGAGACGACTTGTCGTCTCGTTCCCGATGCCGCCGAGTGGAGACAGTGATGGGGCTACCGTCGTCCGGGATCGAGTACGACGTCTTGTCTGTGCGGCGAGAAAGGTCAGTTGCCAGATCTGTGCCCGTTGCGCTGTCGCCCGTGGTATCGACGAGGGATTCTGTGGGAGCAGGAAGGACTGGTCTGCGGGTGTCGACCCCCATAGTGGAGACGGGCTTCCTTCTTTCAGTCCGACAACCGCATGCTCCAAGTGGGAGAATGGATGGAGGCGACGGAACTGCGGAGAAGGTGATTTGTTGTCACTTTGACGATGCTCCGTGCTCGCTGACCGCGGTCGTGGATAGTGGATAGTGGATAGTGGGGGTAAGAGGGAGGAGTGACGGAGAAGAGGGAGGGAGATCGGAAAGATCGGGGTTGGGAGGAGGCAAGGAGGTTCTCGGAAGGAGATTCAATTAGGAGGATCAAGCGTACCAGCGCAGAACACCGTAAAGCGGTGGGAAGAGAGGAAAACAGGAGAGTAGGACGAGAGGAGAGGAGAGAAAAAGCAAGATGGGGTTGCTCTGCGGGCTCAGGTCGAACGAGCTCCGCCGATCCCTCACATGAATTGGGGAGTGCGAGAGAATTCGGATTGGGCGAAAGGGCGGAATGGGGAGAAGGGAGAAAAAGAGGCATGCGAGGAGTGTGAGGTCGAGAGAAAAGCAGCGGCCGTACATGTAAGAACTGGAGGGCGACGGAGTAGAGCGCCCAGCCTCATGGGAAAAAAGCAGATGGCTGGTGATGTACCTCCGCGGTCCCGATCGGCGGGTGCGGCGCACAACGAGCCCCTTCAGGTACCGCGGCGGTACTCGCTGTCAACAAACGGAGCCATGGATTGGGGGTGCGGATCGCGGATCGGTTCCTTGGTTACTCCATCAACTCCAGTTCTTCTCGGGCCGTTTCTCTAATTTCTAGCTCTTAGTATATACTGCTACCTTGCGGTACTGCTAGTACAATGCAATCCATTACATGATCAGCTTGTATTTCCCAGTGTTCTGTACGGGTACCTCCGGTATACTTCTGACAGGTGGCCCGACACCGCCTTACACAATACACTTCAATACTCACATTCCTCTGCAACTCTGCCTCTGTCACTGCGTCTGCATCCATCCTCCATTGGACTCTCGTCGCACAGCAACACACGGGCCAACTGCTGCGGACCTCCGTGGGACCCAGAATTGGCCGAGGCGTCAAACCAGGTCGACAAAACCGCTGGTCGCCCAGACGACACCAACCCTGGGCCCCATGGAGCCCCCGTGATTGGCCCCACGGCCTGCCAACGCATCCAACTCATCACACACGCTGCAGCGGCCATCCTGGAGCACGGAGTGTTGTGTCGCTGGTCCCATTCGAGTCGTCTCGCGATGGGCAGTATGGAAGGCGCCGGATGGAGCAGGAAGGGGCGAAATTATTTGCAGCAAAAACGATGCGATATTCAATAAAATGCGCGGTCCGTTGCCTAATTGCAAGGGGGCTAGCTGCAAGTCACCAGAATTCCTATCGGGGCCGCGCATACGGATTCCAGAATCGCAAATAGCCGTTTGGCTGGGCCAGGTGCTGCACCTCATACATGATCGGTGCCTAACATATTCATTTGGGGAGCTGTCGACAGTGTACCCTAAGTTACTAGTAGCCCACTTCCAATGGGGGTTTCCATCAGCCAAAAACTGCTGTCAGCGTCGCGTGTTTCGCCCACTGGCTTTCCACGTGGATTGAAGCCCTCTCCACATGGTAGCCCCAGTTTCGTTGCATTCCAGGTAAGGATTCCATACCACAGGTAGGTACTATGTACTAGGGTCTTATACACTAGTGTACTCCCGTAGTGATCGCTGAGGGGTCGAATACGTACACTTACAAGTGTTCAAGGGTAAAAGATACCTAAAGGCAGTACAATTGTAATTTCACCATCCAAACTTAGTCAATAAATAAATTCAAATAGATATATCTACACACTAAAACTCCGGAGACCCCAGATGAAGATGCAGGCGACTAGGTACTTTTGTTTCCATCAACATTCACTCATACATACTCCTCAGTTCTCGTGTTTCCGCTTGAACTTCAATCCTTTGTTGTTCCTCGGCTGGCTGCCATAGGTCCGGCGCCCTTGCTGCTCCTGTTTTTTATCACGGCTCAAGCTAGAGCCCAACGTGATGTCAATGCGCGGTGGGGCGTTGAATCCAAAGCCCTTGGCCACCTTGACGAGATCCAGCTTGTGGACATCGAAGACGGAGCGCAGCGAGTGCGATGCGTACGCCTGGAGGTATGATCGGTATCCTTCCTTGGCAGACTGAGGATCAAATGTTAGCAAAAACCGCACGACAAGTGGCAAAAGGCCTGAGGGTGATAATATACTTTGTTCAGATAGTAATTTTGTCCAATGAGCTTCTCCAGTTGAGACTGGACATTGACAATCTTTGAAGCGGGAAACTCAAACTCCACCACTGGCACGCGAGCCTCCTTGAGGTGCTTAAGGAAGCCAACCTCCGACGGCTGCAGGAACATCAAGCTGCGGCCCTTACCGTTGGCACCACGAGCAGTTCGTCCGACACGGTGAATGTAGTCACGAGGGTCATCAGGCGGGTCAAACTGGATGATCCAGTCAACGGCGGGAATCTGGTAGTAGAAACGTTAGCCGAGGAACGCTCAATGAAAGTACTCAATTGAGCTGAAGGGGAGACAAACATCCAAACCACGGGCAGCAACATCGGTACAGATCAGTGTTCCCTGGCTGGCATTGCAGAACTCGAAGAAAGTATTGGTTCGCTTCTGCTGCTTTTGCTTGCCGTGCAGCTCCAGGACGGGCAGATCGATATAGTTCAGGAGCTCGGCGTGGTACTTGACGCAGCTGCAGCTGGAGAAGAAAACAATGATTTTCTTCTTCAGGTTGCGCTTGAGGAACGAGAACAGAAGCAAGAAACGCTTATCCGCTTCACAGATAACGTAGCCCTGCTCCAGGCCGGACACCGTGCTGTGCTCCTTGGTGTGATCAACGTTGATATACAACGGGCCGGGGCGCAGCGATATCCGAGCCAGATCCTCAACCTTGGTTGTCTGAGTTGCGGAGAAGAGCGAGGTCTGACGCTCCTCGGAAGGCAAGATCTTGATGATCTGGCGCATCTCATCTTCGAAACCAACTTCCAGAATACGATCAGCCTCGTCAATGACCAGGGTCTTCAGGTTTTTGAAGATAAAGCCTTGTGTGTTTTGGAGGTGATCAAGCAGACGACCAGGTGTAGCAATGAGCAGATTCACACCCTTCATCAGCTTCTCGGCCTCGGCGCGGCGGTTAGCACCTCCAATAACAATGCCATATGTCTGCGAGTGGTGAACCATAAGTTCCCGGGCAACACCAAAAATCTGCAGGGCAAGCTCTCGGGTCGGGGAAATAACAAGAACACCAGTACCTGCCGTTTAATTCAGTCAGTAAACTGGCCTTTGATAAATGGAAGGAACATTGCAAATGCCATGAAAGGGGGGTTCTCTCACCGTTGCGTGGCTTGAAGCGCAAGGCACTCAGCATCTCGATCGCAGGAATCAAGAAAGACAGAGTCTTGCCAGAACCGGTCTTCGCAGCACCGAGCACGTCACGACCAGCAAGCAGAGGAGGGATCGTGCGTTGTTGAATCTCGGTCATTGTCTCGAAACCCATATCCTGGATACCCTTCATAGTCTTGTCTGACAGGTTGAGCTCGCTGAACTTTTTCAGCTCGCCTTCAGTTTGGGGCAAGCGGACGTCATTCATGGTAGGAAGATCCGCAGAGGCATCCTCGTTGTCGATGGCATCATCAGCGTCCGAATCTTCTTGTCCCTCCTCACTTCCGTCATTGTCGTCCTCTTGATCCTCTTGATCCTCGACCTCGTCGTCGCTTTCCTCGTCGTCGCTGGGCGAGTGGCTGACTTTGCGCTTCTTGGTCGACTTGTCTGCTGCAGACGGAGGGGTCGCGGTCTTCTTGGAGGTCACTTTGGGACTCTTCGGGCTTGGCTTGGCCTCAACAGGCTTGGGAATCTCCTCATCGGTTGCGGACTTTGCGCCGTGCTTTCTCTTGCGCTTCTTCGTGATGGACTTCGCAGTGTTCACAGGGCCAGGCATCTTGCTGTTTGTGTGCTTAAAAGGAAGTGCTAAACAGACGAGAAAGATGACAGAAAATCAACGGGACCAGGTGAATCAGGCGGCCGTGTTTTGATCTCCGAGATCCTATCGCTGCAGAAATTCGGCCCGCTACTTTTTTTTCTGGTCGGTAAAATGTGGCAGAATCTCCACATCACGTGATTACCAGGCGGTCATTGGTTTTGATGCCTCAGAAACAAGGCATTAACTCTTCAAAGGAACAATTGACATTCAACACTAAGAAAAACTAAAGAAGGTCATGCGGCCTTACCAGTAGGGTCACCCCTTAATTTCGAAGGTCGGACAGAGTAGGTACCGCAGATAATAATCCCCCCCCTCCCTTTCCAGTGAAAGGAAATATCCAATTTAGCGATAACCTAGGTCCATGGACCTAATCTGCATCTAGCAGGTTGGAAAGGTGGCGTTCGTAGGATAATAAAATTAATTGCTAGAGTGAGTGGGGGTTGTGTAAGTATATAACGAAGTCAACGCTCGCATCAGTACTGGCACTCTCATCTTCAAGTACCGCTAATAGGGTATAACTCAAACAAAAGAAAACTGGATCAAACGATCATAGCCCAGACTCAATATCCAATGCCCTGTACAATCCCACAGATGAGCAGGAGATGGGCAGGCCCCAGCAAATTCAAATCTAGTAATCAGAAAAGGGCCGGGCAGAGGTAGTTCCCTTCTCGCGAAACGCATACTCGGCCGTCGCTAGAGAACTGTAATCCTTTCCTTCGCTCACAGGGAACTTGCCTGGGTAGCTCTCCGTGGAATGCGACTTGGCCGCGCGACTGATGTTCAAAGGCACAGAGCCAGTATCATCCGTGTAGTGGGAACCCGAATACTGCGACGAAGGAGAATGCATTTCCAGTTCAGGCGCAGGTTCAGTAGGCCCATCGAACGAGACCGCAGGAGATTTGCTCGGCGACATTGGCGGCTTGGGCATGTCCATGACAGGCGTGATGGGCGGAGAGATATCCGGGGCCGGATCTGCAGGCTGCGTAATCTCCTCGATGTGCACGATAGTCTGTTCCTCTTGGTACTCTTCTTGCTTTGTTACGGTATTTGTGGTGCGCTGGGAAGACTGTACGCTTGTGCCGAGCCCCGGTTCAGGCCCAAGTGCTGGCTCTGTTGGCTGGCTTGTATACTGCTGGTGCATCTCCATGGAGGTCGATAACTTCGGTCGAGTCGATGAGGAGACTTTCCGCGCAGTACCATAGACGGAGACCCCCGAGTCATTGATCTTCTTGTACCGTTCAATGTGTTCGGATCGTAACGTCTCCATCTGAGTCTCTTTGGGTTTTGGCGACATCTGCAGGCCTCGTGGTTCGGGATAGCATTGCGGCATGTAAGGTGGAATCACATTTCCTGATCCTCCTGACACCACGTACGGGGGTGTCTCTAGAACAGTCCGAGGGGCATGGAGTGCAGTTGTAATGCGCTGGCCGATGGGATCATCGTGGACAAGGTTCGTTGGTGCGGGCGAACGGTACTGCGAAGAAGTGACGATGTCCAGGATGATGTCGACGGCAAAGTTCTCTGCCCTCTCGAGGGTTTGCTTGAAGGGCGGGAAGTCCTGGTGCGAGCTCCAGAAGGGGCGCGCCAGGAACGAGACCGTGTAGACGATCTGCAGGTAACAGAGGGCGACGATGAGGGAGATGGTCGTCCATAAGCTAATCGGGAGCTTGGCATGAGTATGACGAGTATGCACGGTGAGCGGCATCTTTGCTGCTGTGGGCCACGTAGACCGGAGAAAAGAATGCAAGGAGATGCAAGATAAAAAGATGTGAGATGCGAATCGCGAGATTGGAGGGAATCCCCCATCGCGGATGGCCGCTGTGGAAGGTGCTGGGGAGGAGCAATGCACCGACCTTCGCAAGTTCCGATTGTGAGACGGGAGCGAGTCCATCCTTCCACCACGGCAAGTCAAGCCATGGACACTCTCCCACCCTAAGGGACCTACATGTCTTTCAGCAGTACCTGCGGCAGGTACGTGAGGCGTCTGGCATATCTGTGTCTACTATATCAAGTAAATCGTCAACACTGGCGCTACAGCCCCACCGGGCGGAACTGCACTGGAGATCCATGGAAATCTACCCTCGGCCAAATTGCGCCGCAACCTCACCTTTCCCGCATCTGCATTGCTCCATGAAAGCTCGCGCCGCCCTTCGATCCGCGCAATCGTCTATCATGTCTGCCATTACTGCGGATTGCAAGCATCTCCGTCCGCGGCGCTTCGCGGCTCTCGATCCGGCGCGAAAGTCGGATGCGCCGCCACTCAAGGGCATTGTGTTTGATGTGGATGGAACCTTGTGGTGGGTCACTTTGTTTTTCCAAGGCGTGGAGTATAAGCGTGAATAATCGTTTATCCTGACGCCCTTGGCTCTACTTTCGGCGATTGCTCCTACATTGGGACTCTCGGAGGGTGCCTGGGGGCCATGCGAAGGAACCCGTCGGAAAACTCGAGATATCCCCGGAATAATGCTAATAGTCAAAATAGCCTCCCACAACACCATATGTTCACTGAAATGAGGTGAGCTCTACATCGCAATAGGACGTCCCCCATGTTGCGCTTTTCCAGGGCGGCGACATATACCATCATCCTTGCAGGCATTGACCTCAACCCCAATTCCTTCTAATGCATGACATCTTTATCCAGAGAAGTCCTAGGGATCGACAAGTCAATCGATATCCTCCACCACATTCAGGACCTCCCAACATCCGAAGAGCGCTCCGCGGCCGTGAAGAAGGTCCAGGCCGTTGAGCGACGCGCCATGCTCGACCAACAGCCACAGCCCGGGCTATCTCGATTGATGGAGTATCTGCAATCGCGCGGAGTGCGTCGAGCCCTCTGCACCCGAAACTTTGAGTAGGCTCTACATCATGATCTCCAGCGTTGAACTCCTTGTCCTAAAATCCATTACTAGAGCCCCGGTGCAGTATCTCATCCAGAATCATATGCCTAGCCATGTCTTTCTCCCCATTATCACTCGGGACACACCCAATCTGCTACCCAAACCTGATCCTGCAGGTATCCTGCATATTGCTGGGGAATGGGGTCTGACGAATAGGGCGGAGAGCTTGATTATGGTATGATTAGAATTCTCGAGCTCATCTCCCTCGGGGTGATGGACCAAGATTTGACTTTGTTGACTTTGTATAGGTTGGAGACAGCATCGACGATATGACGGCCGGCCACACGGCCGGTGCGGCAACTGTGTTGCTGGTGAACGAGCGCAATGACCATTTGCGTGAGCATGCGCATACGGATCTTTGCATCAGCCGTCTTGATGATTTGGTTGAGATCCTTGAGCAGGGATTTGCTGGAACTCGCGAAAATGATGAGCATCAAGGGTGATCCCATGAGGTGCTTTTTTACAGCATATCTGTTTGGGTGAAAAAGGGCCAGGATCGACTTAGAAATCTAGCCTATCACCTGATATGAAATTTTGAATGAATAGTCATTGATGAATCGCAGTAATACATGTAATAGTGAAGTGCAGAATTCGTTAGGATTGGGTGCTCATGATAAAAATACACGTAGAGTCATAGAATCAGTCAAGACTGAAGACTACTGCCCTCTGCGTTTGAAACCTCGTCCGCCACCATTTCCACTTCCACCTCCACCTCGACTGTTACCACCAACGCCACCTCCGCGCCCTCCGCGACCTCGATTTCCTCCTCCGCCTCGATTGGGGGGAGGGGCACCTCGGGGCTGATCGGATCCTAAACCTGCGCCATGGCCAAATCGAATGTTCCCGCGAGGCTTTCCACGGTTGACAGGCTGTGGTCGCTTACCGGCGCGCGGCAAGTCGTCACTGCTGTCAGAAGAGGGACGCCGACCTCCGCCTCCACCGCGGCGATGATTGCGTGCCCGGCCGGGACCTTGTGGTAAACGGTTAGGGCGAGGAGGATCGGGTCGCACACCGTGGTTGGTATTGGTAATCATTGCAGGGTCAAGACCCATGAGCGAGAAAGATGATGCACAGAAGGAAAAGTACGTCACTGAAGGGCAATTACCATACAGGTGATGGCTACTGAGACAGCGAGCGCACGAAATGGCGACCTTGATACTGGAGTTGGTTGCCTCTCGCATCGGAAATCGGAAGCGTTGACTACACTGGGTTTCCAGGTGAGCTACACCGCATAAATCGCAAGGGGCTTCGTCTGGAGAGGTTTTCAAGGGAGCTGAGCAGTCCTCTCCATCGTGTCCTCTTTCCCGGCATACCAAGCATCGTCGCCACGAGGGGCACGAAGCGCTTGCATGTTCATCCCATGCACCACAGTGCTCACACTTGGAGAAATTACATCAATATACTTTCAGGTATGCCCAGGTGGGGGATCCTTACCTCCTTTGTCGGGCAAACCTCAGCGAGATGTCCCTGCTGGAAGCACTCCAGGCAACGAATTGGCCGTGAGCTAACTTCCTGGATGTTCAAATACCAGTACATAGACTTCATTTGCCTGTCCAAGTCGGCGTCTTTCAAGTCTCCCAGGGAACTGGGAGGAGTTGGATACTTGCGAGAGAATTGCTGGAAGGCCGCCTCTTTTGATCCGCCCTGAATGGGCATAGTATCCACATCAGAAGCAAAACCATTAGAGTGCCCGTTGGCCGCCTGAGAATGGTCCACAATCAAAGACTCGGGATCGTAGTCATCTACGGGGTGGTCATTGCTGGTCCCAATGTTCAAGAGTATGGAGTCGTCGGCCTCGGAATCAGAAGACACCGAGTCGTCTGAATCGCTCTGCGGAGATTTGACCTCGCCCTCTTCGGAGACACTGTCTTCCTCCGACGCGGCCCCATCCTTTTGCACCTCACTGTTTGTCCCAGATGAGGCAGAGGCACTGCGAGAACGCCAGAATTGGTTATTGACTGCCTTGAATTGCGCTGTCTCGCTAGGCTGGAGCTGGGACTGAGAATGGGGCCCCGACTTGCGCTTTCCCAGCGTTGTGCGGACCGCGTTCTTTCTGCCTTGGTTCCAGCTAATGGCTGGCGCGGTGTTGCCCGCATGGGGATTTGTCACCGCGACCCCTCCAGACGACTCCGAGTTGTTGGCATTCGCATTGTCTGAGTCGGAACCTGAGCTTGACGTATCATCAGGGTCGATTTCCAGGGGTTTTTGACTAAAAGTCCCACCGCGGGGGACAAAGTCCACGACGGCACGATCTGCTGCGGATGGATTCCGCCGATGCTTCTTCACGGTACGGAAATCGCTATTGCTCGAGGAACGGGCAGAGGATGAGGACCGCGACTTTCGGGCGCGCTGTGCGCCGACCGAGGCTATTCGTGAGTCCGCCTCGTCTTCGGAGTCGGGCATGGTGGGCGATGGGTGCGATGATGAAGAAAGCAAGTTGCAGTGAGCCGAGACCAGCCTTGACAAAGCATCAAAATTTACGGCCGGCGACACGGACCGCTTGCGCAGGATCCGGTGCGACTCTCAACAGATGCGCGCCTGCCTGATAGGCAGGATCCAAAAGGGGCATGTCGGGTTCAAGCTGTTTACTTGAGCGGCCTCTACGAATTGTTCATCGGTCACTACAGAACTTTGGAGTGGGCCTTGCCAGGAGGTTTTCCGAACGTGTCGATTATCTCCGTTGTGGCTTGCGACAACAATTTGGATGTGGTTTCTACGCGATAGAACCACACAACCGATTCTCTAGAATTCCCAATCGACCGGTATACTTCTGGGGGCACTTCCCCCTAATAATAAACAAAGTGGCAGTATGTCGCAATAGAGAGAGGGTGAGGGAGACAGCACCGTAAGGGTGAAATTGTTTCGGTAGAATAAATGTAGACGGCCGCCTAAATGGGTAAGCCAGCTGTGGCGTGCACGTGCTCCAGGCCAGATCCCATCGCAGCTCCCAGCAAACTCGCTTCGTCTCTCGCCCACTCACTATATTCCCGAAATTCAGAAACCGTCTTTTCAACTCCCCTGGCCAGCCGAGACGCGCCAGCCTGCGGAGCCCCGAAGAAGAGATACGACGCCAGGAAAAAATCGAGACTCCCCCGTGACCCCCTCCCACTTCCCCCGAGAACCCCGATCCGCCCGACTCCACGGCCACTTCATCCCCACGCTCCTTTTTCCCCCGTCACCCACTCCGATACCACCATCTCCAGTCACGCTGGCGTCCGATACTTCCCAGCCTTCTCTGTTGGTCTCGCGTTCCATCTCCTTCGCTCCCGAGATGGACGGGCCTCAGCGACTCTCGCCAAACACCCAGAAGCAGGGCCGCCGGCGCCGCTCTAGCAGTCTCATTTACCAGGAACCTCCCGAGTCGATCGAACACACCAGCGACCAGGCTGCTCTGCCGAATCTCAATGCTAACTGGGTCAACGCGAAGGGTAAGTCCAATGGATCATATTCGTCCACCAGCACAAGAATCTCCCAGTCGATTCGGGCCACGGTGGACAGAGACATGAATAGCAATCAAAGGCTGACACGGCGGTTTTCGCGGGAATCAGGTGCCTGGACCATCCACTTCGTCTGTATCGCCGCCCTGAAGATCTTCTACGACATTATCCCCGGCGTCTCGCAGGAGACTTCGTGGACCCTGACCAACATCAGCTACATGTTCGGATCCTTCCTCATGTTTCACTGGGTGCGGGGCATCCCGTTCGAATTCAACGCCGGTGCCTACGACAACCTTAACATGTGGGAGCAAATTGACAACGGCGATCAGTACACGCCGACCAAGAAGTTCCTGCTCTGCGTTCCCATCGTGCTCTTCCTGATCAGCACCCACTACACCCACTACGACTTGACCTATTTCACCATCAACTTCCTGGCTACGTTGGCGGTTGTCATTCCTAAGCTGCCTTTTGTATGTGTTTATTCCGGATTCTTTCTTTTACCTTCTTTTCTTGCGGACCGCCTAGCTAACATTGCCCCAGTCGCATCGGTTGCGAATAGGTCTTTTCTCCGACTTACCGGAGGAGTCATAGTCTCTTTTCTCTTCGGATTTCCTTGTTGTTGCTACATTGGCGTCTTTCGGCCCTCGAGCTTGCTCCTCCTTTCCTTTTCTGCCGACTCATAAAGAAGTCCTTGCATTGCGTTGATTCCACGGAGTAGTGATCCGTTGTTCGCTGTCGCAAATTTCTCGTTTTTTCTTAGCAAATACGACAGTAATGGGCTGCGAGTCTCTCATTTCTGCCCCAGTCCGGCTTTAGAGCCTTGCATATCTTATCCATTTTATTTCTCCTGCCTCTGCCTCTCTCCAGAACTGTAATTTCAATGGGAAGTTCGTTCGGAGCGCCGCTAAAATGGGTCCTGCAGGCTGGCTAAGCATGCAGGTCATCCTTCTTAGCTTGGCCCCTGCGGGGACATTGCATCATAGAGTAAGGCACGGCATTGTGTATGCACATTAGCTCCCGAAATTTGGTCTATAATGTAGTGGTTCCTGTTAGAAGGAAATTCACGTTTGCTTGTACTTTCCGCAAGGTTCTACAGAGGCACTGATTGCAGTAGTGCTAGTTAGTTATTAGTAATTTCTAGTAGTTATTTGCGAATGAGCACCCCCAATTGATAACAAACAGGCCAACACAACCGAGTCTGCTTAGTTTCAAAGTTGATATGATCATCCGTTCTCTACACCATAACCACACATACGGACCCCCGTACACATCCATTCGATGAAATCGTGAAAATTCACTTGACCACGCGCTCAACCTGAACTAGAACTACTCAATACTCCTCTGGTAGAGGCGCCATGGCAGCCAATCATATTGGATAATCTGACCCCACAGTTACTCAGCAGCTATCGATAAGCGCGCGTCGAAACGCGAGCAGCTTTGCCCAGCATGTCGATGCAGCATCTCGAAGACATGGCTCCAAGGGGCAATGCAGAATACCGCAAACCGAAGTACCTGAGATTCGAGCTAGGCCAACATATTGGCATCTTCTTTGAGGAAAAGCTTTGTTAGTTCCCTCCTGACATACATCTCTCACCCCACCGCTAACCTTCGAACGCGCCGACATTGCAGACACCCAAGCCTTGAACCTTCTCTTCAATACCCTCGCGTCTGGAAGCTATGCCTCACCGGACTGCATCATTCCGTTACCGCCACATCTCGCAATCGCTGTAACCTTCCTAGTCCATCCGACCACCACAACACGGGCTACGTCCTCGGAGGAACAACACGCCGCGCACGTCGCCTTGCGACTCTTGCGTCTTCTCGGCACGCTCGTGAGTCCTCGAGAAGCGAAGCTGAACACTGCCTTTGCCTTCACCCATGATCAATTCACACGCTCCGGTAGACGCATCCATGACGAGGATGGTTTCAATAACCCTCGAACCGGGGAGAACAGATCGTTAGGAGTGAAGATTGGGGAAGAGGAATCTCTCTGGTCTCGTGCCGAGGACTTTTGGCATGCCGTTGGCTGGTCATTCAATTGCTCCATGCTACACCCTGAGCGATGGGAACGATGGCAGATTTGGCTCGAGTACATGTGCGATGTACTATTAGATGATTGGGACGAACGAGAGTTTATCTTCAAACAGAGACAAGCGGAATCCAAAGTAGTATCACAGGAAACTACACCGCTAGCTCCAAAGAAAGAAACTGTCTCACAGAAAGAGCGGAACAAGGCAGCTCGTGAGAAGCGCTATGAGGATACGGCAATCCTCCGCGAGAGTTTACTATTCCAGTACATATCTGCAGGTGAGGGGTATGGAAAGCATCGGAGAATCATGAGAGCTGTCTTTGCAGATGGAAGCTCGCATTCGGTGAATGAATTCCGCCAAATTTTCCCGAAAGAACTCAAACCTGCCAAGTCTGATCGCAAACCCGAAAAGGCAAAAAAGAGGGAGCGGGATGTCAACATCGACCAAGAGGAATATGGCGACTACCTCGCCCAGGATGATACAGATGATGGGGCCACTACCGGTGCCGAGCAAGACAAGCCTCCAGGTCTGGGCTCCAGGCGCTCAAAGCGTACGAGGAGAGGCACCCGGAAGGCAAAGGATCCATCCGGCAATGAGTCTGTCGATGGAACTGCAGGGCCAGGTATAGCACTGGCACAACATGATGTCGGGGTTTCGCCCATGGGTGCCCTTGACTCTCTCGACCTGCGCAAAAGACTTATGTTCCTTTTATCCAGGGTGTCTCAACAAATCCCTGAAGAATTCTTGTCCATCCTCGATCTCTATCATTTGTTCGTCGAGCAAATTCGCCATCTGCCCTTACCCACGTTCCAAGCTTTCATCAGTCCCTACATCTTGCCAGGGCTAGCACAGAATCTTCGAAAAGACCCTGGTTCCGATGAAAACCAAACACCATGTGAGGAGCAGACATGGAGAGAAGTGCAAGGATCCGATGCCGAGGCTACTACGTTATGTGAGCTTCTGCTATTCAGCATGCTCGAAAGTGCCGCCCCTCAAACTGGAGAGGAATATCTGGATCAGAATAAGCTGGAAAAGTGCTTCCTACCATTTGCAGCAGCAAACGCTAGTGTTGTTGACAACGCCAAAATTTCTATTCTCCTGGAAGCGCTTCTTGTTTTATTGGCAGGTAGCGGTGGATTAGTTCTCCGACCTTCACTGCAAGAGGCTGTTCAAGTTGGAATAAAGCACCGAGTGGACCGGGGCTTTGAGGAGATCCGGCGCGGCCAGGCGAAGAAGCAGAAAGAGCCGTTGGAATGGTCCTGGCTTATAGAAAGCGGCCATAGACTTCTTCTCCTGCTGGAGGTTCTGCAGGTCCAGAGCACCGGACCCAGCTGACGAATTTTTCACATGAACTTGATGACTCTCATGATCTAATGGTACATATTTTTCCTTGATCTAACTAGAATACTCATTTTTATTTTCCCTACCAATCGCAGCATAGCAGAAACGATATGTACGGGTCGAGGAACGTTTCTGCTATCTCGTCATAGTTTCGGGCCACGGCTGCTTTGATGTCATCTTCGAACACTTTGGCCCCATGGTCGACCAGCATACGGACGATGTCCGTGTTCCCTGATCTCACAGCCTCGTTGAACGCACTGCCCTTAATATATTCTACCTTCACATTAGGCGTGAGGCCTAGCTCTAATGGTATGCGCACAATCCCTGTATGCCCTTTCTGACAGGCTCTTCATAAGGCCCTGATCCCGTAGAGACGCCAATGGACGCCGTGGTCAACCAATGTAAACATGATGTCCGCAACTGCCACCCATTCCAGTATGTCAGAATTTTCTCCTCTGGCCAACGGTTGACGCTTGCTCCGTGGGCAAGTAACATCTGTACAATCTCGAGATGAACTGAATGCGCCGCTTATGTTAAAGGAGAACGTCTATCTTGGTTGGAGCCGTTAGGATCAGCACCTCGATCCAGAGTCAACCGCATCATTTCCACGTGTCCTGCTTTCGCGACCTGCCGCAATGGAGCCATGTATCTGATCAACATGCCGTGAAAGTCATTGGGGTAGGCTCCCCAATCTAAAAGATGTTTCACAATACTCAAATGACCAGCTTCACAAGCTGTTACAAGAGGGCTTTGCTGTAACCTCTATCGATTTGCACACCAATTTCAAGGAGAAAATCGACAAGTTCAGCCTTGCCAATTTCAGCAACATCTCTGAGAGCCCACTGGCAGGTGCATTCCTCGGCTTGCACGGTCAGTCCGCTTTTAAATAGCAACTGAAGCAAGTTAAGATCACCTGTGCTGATAGCTGCTCTCAATCGGCAGTTCAGTTTCCAGTCATTATGACCAAGCCGTTCATTGGGGTCGTCTTGAAACTGGATCCCAGCTTTGTCGCTGAGAGAGCTGTGAAGTATATCCCGAACCAGAGGAATGATGCGCAGAGACACCGCTATGCTGAGATCAGATGACCTAGAAGCATTAACACCGCCATTCAGCTTCAGCCAGTTATTTGTCTTAGGACCATCTCCTAGGCATAAAGCTCGTGCTGATCCAAGAGTAGCTTGAAACGCACTTTCGGAATGAGAATTGAAGTGGACAGGTCAGAACTTCGCGGCATATGAGAGAAATGGAGACCGTTTCCCCTCGAGTCGTATTCTCTTCTCACTGCGCCGATGATGTTTCCTTAGAGTCCAGATAAAAGAGAGACGCATGTCATTATTTCATTGACAGTTTAATGCTCACACACCCTTCCCAAGACTTTGATTCTTCATCAGATGCAACTTAATGCTCTCCTTTGCATCGTGTAAGGAATTTCCTTACGGTCTGATGTTTAATGCTGAATTTAGTTTGTGCTACTTTAAGTACTAATCCATCCAGGTATTTGGCAAGATCTTCCAGTTCTTTCAGGTCTTCGCGCTGCTGTGAGTCTAATTCCGTATAATGTAACTTGTTCTCTGAGCACATGGCGTCATTGGGATTGATGGTTGAGAATTTAAATGCTAACAGGAGTTCGGTGCTCGCAAGGGGTCGCCGTGCAGCCATCATAATATGCAGTAGTCTCTCGACCATCGGAGTTCCCTACTGACCCCTCGCAATTCTCAATGCCTCTTGATATACCCCGTTCAAGTCGGTTGTAAATCTGCTCAATAGGACATCAAGGTGGCCACTAACTACGAGTTCTTTTCGGTATTCTTGGTTTCAATGACGAACCCAGTTGCGACACGCAACCACTGCCAGCCTTTTTGCCATTCTCCTGCAATATTTTCTCGACCATGAGCTTTTGGCCCACTTGAAAACTTTGTACAACCTATTCTATAACAGGGCTCCTCTCTAGCTGAATGAAAAGGTCCATTTGATCCAGATCAATCAGCCAGGTCCTTACCGGACGAGCGGTGTCTCGAAAACACTCAAAAGTCGTCTTGTAGGTCACTGTTCGGCAACCGGCTCGTGATCAGGAATTTGATTGTCGATTTTGATGCAATTCCCTCACGGTGAGAGAGTTTCGAATATAGACCGGAAAGAGAGCGGAGCAAAGCCCGATCTTTGGGATCACACTCATCCACTGCATCGAGTATATAGACGAATTGCCCAGCACGTTGGCCCTGAACAGAGTATTCAAGCTGTGCCCATTGATTTGTAAAAGCCGTCGTCACGTTTCGACACGGTTTTTCAGTATCCCCCCGTCTTCACATATTGTGAAGCAAAGTATCCGAAGCGACTCCATCGAAGAGCTGATATAACAACGCATTTGCGGCACCAACAGCCATTTGGCGTAATGGGGATTTCCCCCGGAAATAATAATACGCGGCAGTCGTGTGCTGAGACTGTTCTGTTTGTTCGGGCCGCCATTCTTCTTTCCTGACGGCGACATCACGGCTCGCTACAGACTTGCCTTGGCCGAGGCTGCTGGTCAACCGGAGGATACTTGACTCGGGTGTATGAAGCCAAGCTTGCATACGCTCGTAATTTCATGCCTCGAAGGCGTCTCTGTAGTATCTATCGTCATGTTCGAAGTTGACCGACAGCTCTACCATCACCGCTTTTGCCTGGGGAGAATAAGGACCTGAGAGCTGCCACATGGCGATGATGCGCAAGAATTGAGTCAAGTGCGATTGGCATCAATCGGTGCAATAACAATCCCAGCCACCGGCGTCAATTTGGATGCAGAGTCCAGAGTTGCACTGAAGTGGTGGTTGGGGCTGAGCTGTAAGAGCCCGTTCAGGGTGACGCTCTGCACCTTCCAAGCAATGCCCCGGCTGCCGATCTACGAGGCTACGAAACCAGCACTATCCATGATATTAAGTTCCTACGTTTTGAAATGCTGATTATTACTTTCTCAAGTGTGCAATGGGGTGGATATCTGAGATGGAGTTACACTAGCCTGGGGATATATTTCAAGGTGAAATTGCGAGCGCATAGCATGAACGATGGATACATTCATATAAGGGATGATTAGGAATCAAAATACGGTTGTGTGATAGTCGTGATACAGTATTAGAAAACGTACAATATTAGAGTATACTTTGGTTAGGCTACCAATTTGATCTCATTCCCATAGTGAAATATGATACGGTCTTGGAGCTCCACCACGGTATTGGAAGCCACTACAGTATTCGAATCAACGCTGTTGCAAGGCAGTTGTAATATGGTTTTGGATTTGAATATAGTTGTAGTACAATATTAAAAACTCAATACCGTATCAGAACCATCACACAACCGTATTTTAATTCCTAGTCATCCCCTTTGAGTGTTGTGAATATGTACTTCCATGTTCCGGCATAGCTAGCACTCAGCACATACCTCAGAACATGGATGACGCGGATGACCTTGTCAAAATTGATATCACATCATATCACATGTGATGATACTGCATTGTAGTGTTGCTACTCAGATGAACAATTTAAAATAGAATAGAATGGCTGCAATTATTGGTGTTTATACGGAATGGTATCTACAGCCGCCAAAGAGGCTTACAATGAAGGATAAGTCAAAATAGGAAAAGCGAAACAGCAACCCAAACAAGGCTTCCAGACGGGAATCATGGCAACAAAAGAAATGACCCACCAAGTCGCCGACGCAAAAGATCAAAAAGCAAAGACAAAATCATACGGAGCAAATAGAAGGATGAAGAGATAATACCATCCTAGGTTGAATAGGAACACACTCATCCATGAGCGAGTCATTTACGGGGGCGGCCGAGGTCCAATGATTTGACGTCGGGCGCCTCCAACACCCAGTCCAACGCCACCACGGTTCTGGTTATCACCTCCCATGTATCCATATTGATGAACATCCCAGGACTGACCAGGTCCCGAGCCCATGTTGGTATCGCGAACAGCAGCCTGGGTTTTCTTCTGGTTTTCCTCCCACTCCCGCTGGCGTTCCCGCTCGCGCTCCATCTCACGCTCGAGCAAGGACTTCGAGGCCCAGCCCCCGGCTCGAGTCTTCTGCTGCGAGACCATGCGGCGGCTGTTCTCGGCATCGACCTCGGATGTCGTACTATAATCTTGGGGTTTGTGGATGGAGGGGGCTGATTCCTGGGGGCAGGGTTGGAGGCGAGGAAGCGGTCTACGCGGCTCTCTCGCCCACGGTTCGCGGTGTATGCCATAGGGTCTGGAAGAGGACGTGGAGCGGCTGGCAGCTCTCTCGGGGGTGGCGCTGGTGCTGCCTGGGACGAGGGCACAGGCTGTGGGAGTGGCCGAGGCTGTGGTGGAGGAGCCGCTTCTTCGGCGTGCTCGGGTTCCTCCGTCGCAGTCGGCATTTCTTGGGTCTTCTGCCAATCTGTGCGGAGCATGCGGCGTTCCTGTTCGAGAGAGGAAAGATCGTAGCTCGGTTTAGGGGGAACAGGTACCGGGCGCTGGCGGCTGCGACTGCGAGATCGAGAGTCGTTGCCACTCTTCTGGACTTGGAGGCCAGTTCGTTCGGTTTCATACTGTCGCTCGCGTTCCTTGGCCAACTCTAGCTCTCGTTCCAGCTCCTTGATGCGACGACTCTCGGGGGTTTCTTCGGCCGGAGCATCTCCGCCGTTCGTGGAGGTCTGGCTCGCTTGATACTGGCTGAGGAATTGTCCATTCAGACGAGCATCAGTGGCGCTCTTTCGACGACGCTGGCGTTCTTGCTCAACTCGCTCCTCGGCTTCCTTCTCTTCCGCAACTCGGTGTTGTTCCTCTTCCTCCCATTGACGCTTCTCTGCATCCCAACGCTTTTTCTCTTCTTCCATCTCACGGCGTTCCTTTTCCCGGAGACGGTCGGTCTCTTCCTTCCATCGGCGATCTTCTTCGACCTTAGCCTGCGCTTCCTGCTCTTCAAGTTCGCGTTGGCGGGCCCATTCTTGTTCTTCTCGCTGAGCATTTTTCTGACGGATTCTCTCATCCTCCTCGCGCCTGCGCTTTTCCTTCTCTGCAAGGCTAGGCACAGCTGGGCCAGGCGTTGTAATCTGTCGCCGAGCACCGAACGCAATACCTTGGTTACCTTGGCTGGCTCCGCCCATGTAGCCATACTGATGAATATTCCAGGCTGGAGCTGTGGATCCCTGATCATTCTTTTTGCTCCAGGTGCTGTGAGACCCAGAAGGCTTAGCAGGGCTCATCCGACCAGCGATAGGAGGGTTGGCATCACTAGCATTGCTGGAGGCGCGGCCAGTTCGCGTAGTATATGAACCAGGGCTCGAAGAACCCGTCGCATTGGGACTGACCATCCCGCGTTTGCTTTGCGGGCCAACTGAGCGGGGGAATATGCCGGGATGGAGCGTATTGGCCCGGCGACTAAAGGCCGCTAGACACTGGAGGACTTGCGCCGGGTCCTTCGCTTCGTACAGATCTACTGTGAGGAAGACATCATGTGGGGGGAAGTCCGAGGGGTTCCATTTGACATGCGCGTAGGAAGTGCGAAATATTCTCCATCTGGACGAAAGGCATGGAGGACTGCTTATACTTCACGCCGGGGGAGACGGCCAAATTGACCAGCCTAGTGTTCAAGGGGTTAACCAGGCTGCATCCGGTATGAAACTCGGCGAGGCAATCAGAACTTACTTGCAAAGCGCGACTCCATCCTTCAGACCTTCGAGCAGATCCCTGGATGGTAGCTTCTCACGCAAAACCTCCTCAATCCAGTCGCGCACCTCCGCGGCGGCCTGCGGGGTATAACGGGATAGGCGCATATTGCGCAGGTCCTTGTCCAGCGAAGTGACCGACGCCATGATCAATCGTAAGCGGTCGGAAATCGATCAAAGTATCGTCTTAGATGAACGGGGTTGAAGTGTCGTGGTCCCTGGGAGTATCCCTTTGCCCAAGTCTGCCTGTTGGGCCTCAGCCGTGGGGGAAGGGGAGAGAGTTAGGTATCTGAGGAAAGACGAAGCGCGCAGGCAACTCAGAATCTTCCGAGACGAAGGTCCCGCAAGAGAAAAAGTTACGCCAACTACCCCGCAGGAATAAAGGAGGACAAGGTGTGAGGTTGCAAGGTAGACGGAAGAAGGTGGTGGAATGGAATGAATGCCTGGGGCTCCGCTGTTTATGCTGATGACGTTCCTGGTCTCGTCCGCCGCGGACCACTTTTCTTCTCCACGTCTCCCGCCTGCGCCTCAATTCTTTCGCAACCCCCACACAATGGTGAACAGTCTCTGGTTTCAGTGGAAGAGCCTCAAGCTCCCCTGGCGCAGATCCCGCCTTGCTGGTACGCCTGAATCTCTGCCGCAGTCGCCGTGGAAAACCCCCCGTACTGACTCGCCACCCACCAGGCCAGGATCTCGCCGGAAACACATTCTGGGAATATAAGGACGATATTAACGCCAACCGATGGCGGAGAATGCTGAAGCCGGACCCGAAGATGCATTTGAGCGATGTGAAGGTTACGCGTGAGTGCTATCTAGGCACGAAGAATAGGCGCCCGGGCAGTTGGCCCATCGCCCAGCCGGTTAATTGACAAAGGAATGATACTGACATGCTTCATATGCCCACAGCACAATGGCACCAATGGCTCCGATACGTCCGCGAACACGCTCCGACCATCGAAGAACAGCGGCAAGAGGTCATGCGGCAAATGCAGATCAAACAGCTCGCCCAACTCGCCGACGAGCGTTGGCATAGCAAACCTTCATTCCTCGATAAACCCCAAACCCCGAAGTCAAAACTCAACGAAGGCTCCGTGAACACAACGTTCAGAGATACCCCTGAATCAGCGCAACACCACTCGGCTTCGCAGCGCGGGCCCGCTTCTCAATCAAAGCCTTCAAAAGAAGAAAATCCATGGGCCAAGGCAGATAACCGCAACCCTGGAGACAGCTGGCAGCCAGAGGCCTGGTCGCCCAACGCCAAAAGGTGATCAGATTATGATCAAGGATTCTGCTATATTGCACGAAACGCCCTTGGCTAGCCATGTCGGAAGCCGGGTTAGTGTCGAAGCAAGAGAGCAATATCTATCACCACTCCTCAATGACAATAACCAAGGGAAAGAGAAACGAAATATTAAAATATGGCTTCCATGCATTCAGTCATATAAGGCCTCAAAACGTTTGCTAATTGTATCAAATGCCTGTCATTGACCGCCATTCTTTCGATCTGGCCTGCAGGATGTGGAATCGCCATTTCCCAGGGGCACCCATCATCGAATCAATCTCACCCATCCGGGTTGCTTTCTGCATTTCCTGTTCAATCGAATCTGCCGTTCGATAGCACACTGCAGCCTAACCTTTGTACAATAACCTTCTGGCTACAATATATGTTTTATATAACCTCACTGTCTGATGAATCTAATTGCAAATAATCGCAATGTTATTTGCCTGACGTAGTCGAAAACTTCCAAGGTTTTCAAGTAATGACCATCCAAACCCTGCAATGGGGCCTATTGAATTTTTTACGAAGAAAATTTCGCGCGTACGATACTGTCCGACTCGAACCTCAGGTTCCACAGACTTGACTCAGTTGAAGGACGACGATCTCTCGTATTCAACTCTCTTCGGGTAGATCGTTATATATTGTGAGCGGGCAGCGAAAAAAGTACAAATTCGGGGAACAACCCGTCATCTTTCACAATTCGATTTCAGCCTGAACACTCAACAGGATCCAACACAGTCTCTCCCACAACCATGGCAGCCTCCCCAGAGGTTTACAACTCCTTCACCATATCCTCCGGGTGCCTCTGTTTTGGTGGCCTGGAAGATCTCTGGAATGGTGCCTCCGTTCTTCCTCAACGTGGGTTCCCCGAAATTCAGCCTCGTAAAAAGACTATTCCACACAATATACCCGCGAGAAACGGAACCTGGAACGCCTATCATCTTGTCGATGGTGATGAGGTGGTCGCATGGTTCATAGCTCACTCCGACGTCAACCCAGAGATGGAAGTCGACAAGCTCCTGCGTGTGTCGGGCTCGCCCTACGAGAAAGATTTCGGGAGCAAGGTGAACACTGTCAAGACGGCCGCAGAGGGTGTCTTCGTCATTAACCGCTACGGTTGGCGTCGGGACGGAAGCTTAGTTGACGAGGAGGAGTTCCCTAGAATCGTCCGGGAAAATGGAGACATTGGGGAAGATGGGGAAGACGAAAGCCTTTTTGGGACCGGGATTTGGGTCATGGACCACGCCGAGGCCAAAACACAGCTGCTTTGGTACATACAGCAGCAGCCACCACGCCCGAAGTGGTTCAAATGTGGTGCGTATCTGCATATTCCTAAGGGGGAATACGATTTTGGTCGCTTTGGATTTGACGACACGCATACCGCCGCCCACTCGTTCCTCTTCTTCACTACCAATACTGTTTTTCCGTCCACGAGGTTCGCGGGTCTTCAGAAAACAATAAGAATAGATGAGACTGAAGATCAGAGGATGGCGCGCAAGGTGCGTCTCAGAGGCTTTGATTCCAGTCTGTTGGCGTGATAGCTCTCTAATCAGCTGATCCACATTCAGGTACGTGAAGGTTTCAACTTCCCCGGGATCCAGTCTATTCGGGCGTTGTCTCTCCAAGTATCCGACCCGCCTCCGGGGAGAATAGACATGGGACCAGGCCCACCACCTCTCCCAGCCGAGTGTTTCGGGCCGTACGATCCAAGGGAGCATATTTTGAGAGCACAGGAAATCGACGCACTTCGCCTAAGCGTGACGAGCAGGGAGTTTTTTGAGCCCGAGAGACTGGGATCTCTTGACCTAATCAACGAACTGGCTTTGAGCTTCCTAGAACGAACTTTTCTTCGCAGCCGGACAGTCCCAGCTGCAGCTGAGACCCTATTCCCACATCGCGGCGAGTCCCAGCACTTGGACAACTTTAGCTATCGCCACTTCACGCAACCACACGCAGACCCAATCCCGAACTTCGACTCTGCATCCGTATGCTCCCGGATCCAAAGCTTTCTAGCTTCTCGGGATCCTTCCGTGGTCTTCGGCGGCGAATACATCGCGGGCATTTCTGGAGTGATGGCCTACCTCCTCGCTGAGGTGGTATGCGCGGCCAGCAATCATGCGTCCGATGTTTTCCGCGACTATATTCTGCCTTGCGATGTTCGTTGTGTTGTTATCAGTGACCAACAGCTGCGTGATCGGCTGCAATTCTCAAAGAGCTTTTGGGAGGGGCGGCATCGTGAACTACCGCTGGCTGAGACGAGGAGTGAGTCATATGTCACAGAGGAGGAACATTTTCCTACCATGGCCAACATCGACTACGAAGAGTGATGAACACTCTGAATATGCCTTGACAGCCAGGAAGAAGCGCTTATGTTGAACCACTCGTTTGAAGTTCTTGATACCCTTAATTTTCCATATTCTTCTTGTATAGAATTCGGTCAAATGAAGCTTGCATTGCCACTGTGAAAGAAAGAAGAAACAACGAAGGCCGCGTTCAGGGAAAACTCATTTCTCCTACAGAATGGCGGACCATGATCGTTAGGCGATGAGCTCGAGTAAGCAAGCGCTGGAGAATAGATACAGTGTGAGATCAAGTCATGTCTTCCCTCGAGCTCCTAGGAGCGACCGTAGGCAGCAAAGCGCTTATCCTTGGAGGATGTGAAACAAAAAAGGAAGAGTGACGTCGGCCAGTCGGAGCATCAGGGGTGAGCGATCAGGGTGCTCCGGGAGCGCTTCGGGAGCGCTCCGGGATCGCTCAGGGTCGCTCAGGGTTACTCAGGGAGCAGCTCAGGGCGGCGGCGGGACTAACTCAGGCTGGGCTCCGGAAGCCGATCGCTTCCCGAGGCGGCAGTTTTACCGTCACCTTTTTTACAAAAAAATTAAAGCAAGATGTGAATTAACCCCCCTCCCGGTGATATGAAATGCCCTACATGGTGAAACAGCCGCGAGGTACCTACACAGTCCAGCATTTTTATCCACTAACAACAAATCAATGGTTATTTGTGAACAGGGAATACCTCAATTAGATGATTTCTTGGTATCACTGCTTTTGAAAACGAAAGAAAATACTGTAGCCAGATGCTGAAATACATGACGACATGTACTACCAGGAATTCTGCCCTCGACTACTAGGACGCCAAGATCATCCACCAGGACATCAGAGATGAGTATGAGGGACAACCATACGTGATTGGAGTTTGTTTGGTCACGGTCATCATCTTTTCAGGCCATTACAACGATATGAGTTACGACAATGTTGAGTTGAGCGAAATTCTTGGCAATAGAAAGGTACAAAGATTACGAATATACGAAATCGAATACACGGGAAAATAACGATCGTGTAAAGTTCTGTATGAAATATACTACTGCCGCTTAATATAGTGTTTGTCCCACAGCCCGTCTGTAATTGTTACGGACCATTACCTCGTCTCTCAGGCCATCGATCAGGTGACGGCCACGGCCGTCTGCAAGGATTGAGTGTGCGTGGCAAAACAACATCTGTGTGACATAATCGGGGCACTTAGTTCCTTGTTGCTTGGTATCTTGTATCTTCTCCACTCGCTATACTTAGTGTCATTGAATAAAGGGGACAAATCGCCTCTACATGCAATCTGAAAGACCTTCGACTACTCTAATATTCAACATAGGAATTATTTTTCCATGATAATGAGCCCTTGTATTGAGAAATCAATTGAATTGTATGCGAGGTGGTCAAATTGGCGAAATCGATGAAATTGGCGAAATCGGTGGGGCGCACCCATAGAGAGAAGCGATGTGGGGGCGTCGGAGGTTGTATGGCCGGAGGGCACAGATACGCCAGGAGTTTAGATCTGCTAGGGGGTTCGTCACGCCGATCGCTACTTCATCATACACTTATGCTATCAACAAATAGTAGTTATCTGCTTATCCAACTTATTTGATGTGACTGACCCACTCTGTCGTAAAATGCCTCATACACTTAACCCGTAAGAGACTACTGGCCCGCTACGCAGGCACGGAAATCTTCATCAAAATAGCATGTGATATCAAGGACATATATAACACTATTTCACCCATTTAGCATCCAAAATTTTGCCTCATATTTGGCCGTTTTGGCTGCCAACCCCCGAAATTTGAAACACCTGTCATGACTACTCTAAAGCCTACTGCAAAAAGCGCCATTGCGGTATTCGGTGGCAGTGGCGACTATAGCTTTCTACAAAATTTCAAGCTTCTCTATAAAGGTCACGAAGAGGCAAATGTTCACTTCTCAATTGAGAGAAGACCGAGCACGGTCTCACAGTGAATTATGCCAAATACGAATATATCGAACAGTCCAACACGCCTCAGAGACTCCGATACGGGAGGCATTTAATATTCATCGAGTTCGCTACTTTCGATGACGCTATGAAGGCGATGTGGGACGGCTTTTCCCTTGAATTTAGGTCGGTGATCTTCGTCAGTTTGCAAGCTACAGATTTCGAGGAGGTGGCATTTCCAGAGTTCGGGAAAATTTTGGACGCTGCAAAAAACGATAGAGACGGGATGCACACTGCATGGATCGTGAACAAGGACTTGGATTTTATACCATTTTATGATTTCAAAACGGACAAAGGGTTATATCATCTTGCCGAGGAACATTTTAGAACTAGAACTTTTCCTCGTCTTCTCCATGTCGTCCCAGTTCCTCCTATTGAGAAATGGAACCAGCGATGGGACAAGGGCAGTTGTTTGTTTCCTTATCTGAGAACGATTCGCACCATTGGACCGGATCACCCTTTAGAGGCAGAGTCTCGATGGAAATTCAAGAGAGCCGGCACGGGGACACAGTTTCGTGCGAATATCTTTGGACTTCCAGAAGATGAAGGAGGTGCTCCTATTGCTGCCGGGGATCGCCTAACGTTCACCGATGGCCCAAACGACGTTGAGGGAACCTTGAGTGCCTATTATGGAGTCCGAACAGTTTCACCGCGAAGCGTCACGACAATTGTGGTTGATCTTGACAAACCCTCGGAATACCTTGCCCCAGAGCGTCGCTTCACGGTGAAGCAGGACGGCAAGCTTGTTGCGTTGGGGATTCTGACGGATTAGGGAAGGTAATCGGAGCATAACGAGCCAAAGCCCGGCAGTAGACCACGGCAGGAATCGCGACTCTCCAGGTTCGATTCGACTCGGAACCGCCAAGACCCAGATACCGTTTCATCGTTTTCGGAACCGGAATTCGACTCCAAGACTTCTGGAGCAGGTTTCACAAATGGTGCAAACAGAGAGAAACCCGTGATATGCTTGATTTGTGCACTTCTGCCTGTACTGTATTTGGCGAGACTGCTCAATTGGACACATTTTGAACACGTTTTCGCTTAATTTATGGGCCCTGTTGATTTATTGAGTGATGCTTCGATGTTCATATTATTGAGGGGAGTTAATTGTGTGTTATGTTGAATGTATTATGTACAAGTAGACCGAGAAGTCAGGTATATGTGTATGCGCGTGATCCCAGCCTCATGATTATCCTAGCAGTCGGGATATCTCAACAGGTGAATTGGTAGTGGTGAAGTTGATGATGATAATGATGATGATGAATTCATTTGCCCGATGTAGCTTGCTCTAAATATATGCTGCTATGCGGGAGTGCTGTCAGGCCTGCCGACAGCTTGAAGGTGGTCGCCAGCCCACTGAACGATTGTTTCCATGGGTTGCAACGCAAGCCCCTGATTGGCCGCCCGAGAATGTATGCAAACATGACAAAATAGACAAAATAAACAAAAGAAATCCAAAACGAACGCTGCTTCCCCTCTACCCACTCTCCTTTCCACAATCAGACTTCATTCTCTGATCTACTTCATCCCCCACCGCCTTCATCTGCGCAGCCCTCTGGGCCGTCGGCTGCCTCTCCTGCGCTCGCTTGCATCAAGGGAGTACAGTGGACCTGGCACTGCACTCCTAACGGGGTCTGATGTGTGCTTATTCGCAAACAGTACACCTTGAAGTGCTTTCTGGTCGGACTTGGATTTGTATGTATTGGATACAAAATCCCAAGCTTACTAGTATCTGACTGGACCTATTGTAATTCCTTCAAACCAATCTCAGAGCCATCTGCATGCAGGTTTACACATTCGAGAGATATTCCATTTCTGCTTCCATTGATGCTCGGCCTTGGCTTCACGATTTTTAGAGTTTTCTAAAATGGTTCGTAAAGTATCAAGAGACTTTTGCAGATTATTGTTACCAATCGGTTCTGCCTCAGGCTCGAAATGATACTGTAGCTCTAATTCGTCTATGGCTTCAATTGCCGCAGTGGCAAGATCCCGAAAATTTTCGAAACAAGAACGGTAGAAATCATTTTCGGATTCTTGTTGGATTCTTTGATTCAGCTTTTCCTCTTTCACATGAGGTAATGATAACCGATTTCGTTCTTTCGATTTCTGAAGGCGGCTTCGAGTAGTTTCTAGTGCAATTTTCTCAACCTCGTCCAGGCGGGGAAGCGGATCGTCTATCACCTGATTGAGCCTAAATATGTCAGACTTAGTATCACTTGGGAGATAATTGAGGGCTTCAGCAAAGCCCTGCTCTCCATCCATACAAGGAGAAGACAAGGTTGCCCGAATAAGCCTGAAAATAGAACCATCACGAAGGACATTTGGAGCGTCAGGAACAGAATAGCAGTCGGACGATGACACACCAGTTCCTATTGAAAGAAGCAGATCATGACTTTTGGCTTTAGGCCAAATCTTATTCGGCTCCTTCAACGCAATGGCGAGAGGGTTGTTAGCCCGCACCCCACCATCTTGAAGAGAACCAAATCCGGGTAGAAATTTGGTCCGAAAAAGCTATGCTAGTTAGCCAGACAGATCACCACACAACATCAAATTTACTCACAATGGAGCCGCGACGCTACACTCAGCGCTAGTATGCGTACAAGTCAGCTCGTCATTCCTATACATGTCCTTTGGAGAAGAAAGCTGGCCGGAAAACGGAAGCCACTCACGCTTCCCACAAGAAGGGATTGTGTTGATCGTCCTCTGGAAGTAAAAATTCGTAGGCACAATTTTCAGCACGTTGAGATTGCCCCCTGTAGTTCCCGAATACACATGCTTTCCCGTCCGAAGCTCGGCTTGTGATGATAGCCACTTTGCAATCTGCCGTTTTTGTGGTCGCGACATCAAATACTCTTCGTTGGGAGCCCACCGCTTCTTTCAGAACGGCAATCAAGTTCGCTGAGTCGTATTGGCCACCCGTTAGCATTTTTGTAGCTAGAATTACCAGCTGTATACCACGAATCATAGGAAACCTGCTATGACCGCCGAACGAAGATTTGAAAATCGCCTGAGCTAGCGCTGGGAACCTCGAGAAGCTAAGTGCTGCAGGTGAGCCATTAAGAATCATGTCGATTGTAGACAATGCTCCTAAGAACGGTTCAGTCGACAAAAATCGCAGGAGCGTAGTCTGGCAGCAACATACCAACACTTGTCCCACTACACAAGTCAGCTATCTGCGCTAGGGGGATACCGCCAAGACGCCTTTCCAATTCTCGCAGTAAACCAAGTTGGATAATTCCCCGCACCCCTCCCCCATCCAGGCTAAAAATTACAGGTTGTTTTGTTGGCGGAAGTTGCCGAATTGTAATATTGCAAGGATCCCCACAGACTGGGCACTGAGAAATGACAGTTTGATATTCTGCTTCTGCCCAGCGTTCTCCAAAAACCACAGTGCAATTTTCGCATATCGCGTGATTACAGGGCATCATGTGCTCTGGCGGTCGACACAAACAAGCAAAGCAAGTCTTGGTGGAACGTAAATCACTCCAGTCTGCATGAAAGCCCCTTAGGCTCCTGAGCCGAAGGGCAGCGGAAGCATGATGCGGACGCAGTTTCTTAAATTCTTGACTGAACTCGCTCATAATACCCTGGCAATGGTCGGTGGACTCCAGAGCGGGGAAGGCGACCAGGCAGTGCTTTTCATAGTTAGCTTTAAAGACCAGATCCGGTGGGAACCCTTGTCAATTACAGTTGTGAGCTAGCAGTAGATTGACTGACGGTCAAGAATCCTCAGTACTTACTGTGCATTCCGGGCGGGTAAGCATCCATCAGAAGCGCAGAAGCAACAAATTTGTAGAGCTCGGAATCTGGGCATGGAGAGCTCTCTATTTTTTTCTTCAATTCTACCAAGCATTTGGACAATGCGATATCCTCAGGAAAGCTTTCACGGGCAATTCGTAGACAGTCGAAATCACGCTGCTTTGGCCAATATTCTTGGAGTTGCAAGCCCGCACTCCAGAGCGCGTTCAAGTGCATTGCCGAGAAGAGAACATTGTGCCCGGTTTGCTCTATTGTATGCATTTCATACAATTGGTCCATAATGAGACGGCGTAGGGGCTCGAATACCACTAATTCAGATAGCCCAGAGCGACGTCGAAGATCCAGTATAGTTTGGTTGGGTTGAAGGCTGCCCTCTGCCATTTTCAAACAGCAGTCATTTGGTTTTGAATTATGACCATCATCGTCTTCGGTCAAGACAATGATAACATGCATACTCTCAGGGAGAGGCTGATTACCGACTGTTAACCTTCGACGCGGAGCTTGTAGTAAGCTTTGCGCAGTTTCCATCTCTGAGGTGCTGTTTACAAAGAGACAGAAAACTCGTGTCCACGGTAAGATATTTCTCCCAATTATCTGCCATTTGACTTCTGCTATAGACGCGCTTTTCTCTGGGACGGGAATCTGAAATCTTCGTAGACCTGTAAATGGATATCTCGGTAAAACTGTATCCCCCAATCCATTTTGGGTGAAAATGTCGGTTTCGGCAAATATAACTGGTTGTTCCTTTTTAGACGTAACTGTGCTGAGGTGAAGACGTGCTAGTCCTGCTGGGCCCTTGCGTGTGACGTTATTGCGCGGAAAGAGAGCCCGCAAAGCCCTCAGTCGACTCGAATTTCCCGCAAAGTATAACAGCAACGGATATTGTGATTTTGGATGGGTCATGCCCTGGACGACTTCGTGAAGTCTTCCCGTGTCAATGAGAGACCAGCCCTCACCATCGGAGACGAGATCCAGCCAAGTCGCCATAGCGTATTTGAGAACTTCTGGGGGTAATCCTTTACACCGGGTCCTAGAGAAAGTTTTTATATTTATCTTTTTATCCAAATCTTGCTAAAAACGGTAGCATTTACTAGAAAGTATTGGCATATCAGTTGCGCAAAAGAAGTCAATATTGAGGTGCCCATTTTAGAAAAGGTTCCCATCATAAATAATAGGCCCACATTTCTAAGTTAAGATTTTCATTCTCACATTAACGACCGCCAGCCAAGCGGTCTCAATTTAATGCGCCCAAAAAGCGACAAAAGAACAACATCCCATTTGTGACTGATGAGCATGGGAATATAGTTACCTATCCTTATCTCGTGGAATGGTGCCTGAGGCATAGTCTGAGTCGTTTGCACTAATGTATCTCACTACCGAGCTGCGCACACCGCCGAGCTGCGCAGTCCCAAACACCATAGTTAAGGCAAGAAATTCAATCTGGAATATCTCAACAACGACCACTTTATTCAATTTCAAATTCTGAATAGTATTCATTCTCAGTTTACACAGAAAGTCGCTGCTATCTACCGCGAGTGGGGAGTTATTGCGGCTGTCTTTGCTATAGGGCTCTAGAGAATCAAGATTATATAGAGGCTGGTCTCCTAGTTAGCAATTGCCGCTAGCAACAGGTATTATAAGTTGAGCATTCAGGCGATATCGCTTTTTCGCGAGGGGTCGGAGCAAATAAAATCCAATCCATCTATCTATCCGTCCATACATACATACGGTTCCTTGGCGCTTCTGAGAGAGGATGCTTAGTTCTATGTTATAACTTAGTTAGAAAAGATAGATGACCAACGTACTAGCATTTAACGAAGGAACTAAGTATAGGGAAGAAAGGAGGAGAGAGTGCGAAGCAACGAGAGGAGACATAAATTTCAAGCGGATACCTTCGTCATAAGGCATCCAACATATGTGACTATCATAGAATATATAACTCTGATTCCCGGACCCTGTCTTGAAACACGCTACCTTAGCAATTTAACGTAGAACGCAAGTATAAGCACTTTTAGTAACACGAGCATAGAATAGACGACAACGAAGTCAAAGGGATCCGGAGGGTAACGCCACTTAGTTGTATGTTCTTTTCACAGGAAAGGACAGAGAGCTTATATTACCTATTAGTATCGCTAAGTTACATAAGTAGACCCTAACCGATAACTCCCCTAACTTCACTATAGAACCCCCTGCATTTAGATGAGGGTCTAGCCCCTACTAAGGAGGAGGAGATAGTTCTAGTGTAGTTCCTTACGCTGCACGGCTCTAAAGCGAAGGTTTCTAACGTCAAATACCTACAGAGATAGAGACGTCTAAGTTAGCGACCTTGATGTAAAAGTCCCTTTATACAGAATGTATAATCACTCACCGCATAAATCCCCTTTAAAAAGGTATCACCTAGAATGTCTAGGTCTATAGTGCCCCGGCTCTAGATACCGCTATAGTGGTACCTAGGCCTAGCCTCCGCAAAGCCTAGATCCTCCTTCTGCACAACGAACTGTTTGCCACCAACTGCGAATGAAACAACAGGGAGTTAGTCTACAGTCGTGCTTATCGGGTAGATATACCCCTAGCTCTAGCGGTTATAGGTGGCACTAGGAATAGCATCGTAGATAGCCTGGCAGGTACTATCGTCTACTAGAGCTAGAGTGGTGCCAGTGTCAGCGATAGCCTTATTTCCCGCGCGGGAAATCGTCTGCCTATTCACAGTCGCCGAGGCCGAGTCAAACATCCAGAACCCTTAACTCTTAGCGACGGGCGTATAGTAGATCTGCTCGCTAGACGCCTACACAGTAGCCTGGTCGATAAACTCGAAGGTGTAGAACGAGGCTCTCTTGTCCGGCTTATCCGCATCGCGCTATGAGCCCAGCTTTGCTGTGAATAGTTCCGAGCTGTTCGGAATATCGGCTTATGCGATCATAATTTCCACAGGCGTGTTTACCGGCCGCGGTTTGACCGTATTGATCTTGCTGAACGCAAGGCCAAGCAGCCCGTCGCCCGTGCCGCTGGCAAACTAAGCAGACATTTTGTCAGCTAACTCGACGGCCTGGTTCTCGACTACCAGTCCGCCGATGCTAACGGTATCGGTGCCTACACTGCCCGACGCATATAACCCGTCACCGAACCCAGCTAGTGCTCCAGGTCGAGCCGACCTAGTTATGAAATGTGCTGGACTTCGACGGATCGAAGACATTATGGTTCGGGTGCTATGAGAGCGTCGAGTGCGGAAGCTCTGTCGACCAGACCTGTTCATCTCAACACTTCCATCAATCCTGCTCTATTGTCTCAGCAAAAAGGATAATATCTCACCCAGAGATCCGCTGATCCGGTATCAAAGTCTAGTTGCGCCGTCTGCGCTGGCGTCCCAACACTTACCTCCGCCAGGTACATCACGTCATTCCGAAAATCCATTGTTCCCACCTCACCAACTTGGTCACCGTTAGTGGCTTTCTTCTGCAATACCTGCTAGACATGCGCGTGACCGCCGACGACTTGGCCAGTATAAGGACGACCCATTTGCTCCAGCGTACCGTCTATGAAATACGGCCCCTCCTTGGTCGGATTGAAGCGGTACTTGCGCATCGAGTGCACGTATGACTTTATGCCGGACTTACAGTAGTTCGGTTTCATGATGAGCGGGATATTCATCATTAACGAAGATGTCCATCAGCAAAACGCTAAAAGCCAAACTGAATCGCACACAAACCAGCAAATGATGGACCCCAGTGTCGCACTCGCAGGCCGCCCGCTATGTGGCCGAATTCATGCTGCGAACAGGTCTGCGAGGTCAATTCCGTCAGGTCGACGTCGAACCAGACCCAGAAGACGAAGAAATCGAAGCGCCAGGCTGACTGGCAAGGGGAAGGTAGTGAAGACGCTGGGTGTGAGGAACGCCGACACACTAGGCCTACCGACAGGTCTTGGAAGACTACATCCAGTATGTCAGCTGACGACGAACGCCACCAATCAATAACGAGGCAGGAGATTATGAACTGCCGGCCAGAAAACGGAAGATGGAAAGAACAGGGGAAGCTGGCGGTTGAACCACGAGGATGCGGAAGAGAGACCAGTGGGAGAATTGATTACTACAGGCGTTTGGGTACGGTTTCTGGGCTGATTTTGTATGGAGAAACGCCGTTTTGTATTTGTCATCTACTACGCACGGGCTGGCGTTCGGATTACTCTTGCTTCCGACGGAGGAAGCGCCTACATAGCCATTACGCCACTAGTTCGGCTACATTAGGTTAATAGAGTATTGATTGATTGATATCTATGACCTCGAGCGATCTGACAGAAATTTTTGATTACCGGATGGACTCGTACAAGTCTGACTGTCAATTGGGAGTCAGACAATGAAAGCAAGCTGTAGCTCCTTTAATGATAAATTATGACAAAAGGATGACGTCCAGCTTGTAATGGTTTGCAAATCTTGGGTTCTATTCAGGCCCAGAACACGAAAATAACGGGAGCCTAAGACTATTAATGATAGACATGTCGAACCTCGAGCTATAAAGGAGTTGAAGACTAGAAGAAAAGATTCCATTGCGCTGGAATAAATGCGAGGCGCTTGGAGAAAGGCGTAAAACAGAGAATTATGGCCTCCGATATCCTGCCTCCCCCTGTTGACGGCGTCAAGCCCTCCACCCCCACCAACTTATTTCCCTCTGCTTCCCAGTCTGGACATCCCCCAAAACTGAAGGACGCCCAACGGACTCCAGATGGAGACTCATCAGGCCCCTTCATCACCACCAAGGGCCAAAGACCCAAAACCGATCAGCCACAGTTGAAAGACCAAACCAAAGTCAAACTCAACGTGCATGATACATTACATGCTCGCTATCCCCGTATTTCTCGCCCTGTTGAGCTCATGCGAACCTCCTATGATGTTGTCGTCATTGGCTCTGGATACGGCGGGGGAGTCGCCGCGAGTCGAATGGCGAGGGGTCGGCAGAGCGTTTGTTTGTTGGAGCGCGGCAAGGAGAAATGGCCTGGTGAGTATCCGGAGGAACTGCCTGATGCCTTGAAGGAGGTTCATGTCAGCGGGGAATTCGCTCCCTGGAGGACCAAGGGCAAGTGGACCGAAGGAGGAGACCCGACAGGACTCTACCACCTGGTGGTTGGGGAGGGACAGAATGCGTTCGTTGGAAACGGTCTAGGCGGGACCAGTTTGCTGAATGCGAACGTCTTCTTGGAGGCCGACCAGCAGGTTCTGAACATGAACTGTTGGCCGGCGGAGCTGAAAGATGAGGCGGCTTGGAAAAAGTGTATGTTGTTCCTCTTTTCTCCTACGGCAGGTCAGAACTGGGATATTTCAAACGATGTGCTCCTCACAGGAGATCGCTTTTGCTTGTTATTTCTCAGCCTTTCTTGCTGGATAGGTGGATATGGACAATTGGACTTGATCTAATATCCTACAGATTATGGCCGGGCCAGAGATGTTCTGGAACCTGCTTCATATCCTCTTGATCTTCCGGGTCTGCCAAAACTGGACCTACTCCAGAGACAGGCAGATCTTATGGGGTTTGGAGAGAAATTCTATCGCGTTCCGCAGACCACTCGCTTCGTTGATGGACCCAATAGTACTGGAGTCGAAATGCATGCTTCCACTCTCACCGGTATGGACGCCACCGGCATCAATGACGGGAGCAAGTCGAGTACTTTGGTGAATTATCTCAGCGACGCCTGGAACTGGGGAGCGGAAATGTTCTGCGAATGTGAAGTGCGGTACATCAAGGCAGCCCCGGACGGAGAAGGATATATCGTCTATTTTGCCTGGCATGGCGGCAAGCGGGGAGCGTTCAAGGAAAACATCTACGAGGACTTGATGTGGGTACACGCAAGAAAATGCGTGTTCCTTGGGGCCGGAAGCTTGGGCACCACCGAGATTCTTGTCCGCAGTAAACAGATGGGCCTGGAGATGAGTGACAGCATCGGCACTGGAATGAGTGGCAATGGAGATATCCTAGCATTTGGGTACGTGGGTTCTTTTTTTTCTCCTGTGTTCCATCGCTAAAACGGTGGGAGGTAGCTACAACACGGACTACAATGTCAACTCTGTTGGGCGCCCATTTCCTTCGCCAGAGCGTCCCATTGGGCCATGCATCACCGGGGTGATTGATTGTCGGAGCCAACGTCATCCGCAGGATGGGTTCGTTATCGAAGAAGGAACTGTACCACAAGCGCTTGCCCCGTTATTCGAAGCGATGCTTGAACACTTGCCTGGACAGATCGCCCCTAGGGAACTTGGTGTTCTTGAAAAGGTAGGACACTTGTTGGCAAGGCAGGGCAGCAAGCTTCTGGGACCATACTTCCGCAAAGGGAGCACCGCGAAGACTCAGGTATATCTAGTCATGTCGCATGACAGTAAGTCGCCTCTTACATGCCCTTTAATTTCTCGATGCAGCCATCAATAAGTCTTGTGATCTTAGGCAACCAGGCGACTCTCACGCTTCAAGATGATAGACCGATACTCAAATTCTTGGGCGTAGGCCGCTCCGAGCACGTCAAGTACCTCGATTCAGTCCTTGCGAACGCGACGAATGCTGTGGGAGGAACTTACATGCGAAGTCCGTTCTGGGCTGCTCTGGGTCAGCAAGAAATAACTGTTCACGCAATGTACGTTCTCTCAGAACCCATCATATGACTGCTACCTATAACTCACATTCTCTTGCAGCGGTGGAGCCTGTATCAGTAGTGATGGAACAGGTGCAAACGGCGGGACAAACCATATGGGTGAAGTGTTACAAGGCAAGGGCACTGGGGTCCATGAAGGTTTGTTTGTCTGCGACGGCGCTCTCATTCCCACTGCTCTCGGAGCCAATCCCTTCGCCACAATCACTGCATTGGCCGAGAGGTCAGTCGAACTAGCTGCGAAAAAGAGAGGCATCGACATTGACTTCAATACGAGCAATGGTAAGTCAACACTAGTAAATCCGCTGATGCGATATTTACTTGTAATAGGCATCTTAAACCTATATGGCAGACCAAGATTCCCTCTGGTGGATAATGCAGGCGTTGAAACCACGGAAAAGCTCATCGATGTGGCCAAGGATGACCAGACCAGTGGAATTGGGTTTACGGAGGTAATGTCTGGCTTCATCCACATTGGAGACGATGTTAAAGACTTTGATCTTGCCACCAAAATGGCTCGCAGCGAATGCGAGGCCGCCAGATTTTTCCTCAGTGTGAAGTCCTGGGACACCGAAAATTGTAAATCTACCACATCCTGGGTTTCTTCTCTGTTGGAAGGCTAACTTTCCCAAGTGGTCTCTAGCAGCGCTCATTCCGCCATGCTGACCGGCTCCTTCTCTTGTGCTGGGCTTAAGGGTCCATTCATGGTACATAGGGGCGATTTCCAGCTCTTCAATCAGGATCCAAGAGAACCAACTACTCGGAACTTGACCTATAACTTCGAGATGATATCCCCATCACGTGAAAAGCTCCATTTCAATGGTTATAAAGTCGTCAATCCCTCCGTTGCTTTTGATCCGATTGGCTTTTGGAAAGCGACATCCACTCTGTACGTCACCATCACAGTACCAGACGGTAAGGTCATCGGACGCGGTAAGCTTCATATCCAACCAGCAGACTTCGTCTCGGAACTTGCAACACTCGAACCCACTGGCCGAAATCTGTATGCAAAGGCCAAATCCGTTGCCAGTTTCCTTACCTACTTTACCAGAGAGGCCTCCAAGATTTTCTTCGCGCCGTTGACTTACCTCCAATGGCCCAGTCCCACATTTCATGGCTACAGCAACGTAACGGAGGTATCTGAGACATTCACTGTGATCGCCTCCGATGGCGTCCATTCAACAATGCAAATGTGGAATCCGCTAGGCAGCGACACATTCACCGCCAGGCCAACTATTCTGTTTGTTCCTGGCGCTGCAGTTGACTATCAAATATTCGGCCTTCCCACTATCGAAAAGAATGCCATTGATTATTTCCGCGAAGCGGGCTACCGGATCTACTGTGTTACGCATCGAGTGGGCAAGTCCATGGCGGCCATGAAAGGGTATACCACCTTCGACGCGCGGCTTGACATCCTCGCTGCTTTGGCCAAGATTCGCAAGTTGCAAGAGGCACAGAGGCACGGGCAAGCGGAGAAGACCTATGTGATTGCTCACTGCGCTGGCTCTGTCGCGTTGTCCATGGGCCTTCTGGACGGAAGCATTCCAGCAGGCTGGATCAAAGGCATCACCGCATCAAATGTCTTCATGCATCCGCTATTTCCCAACGTTAATCTGGCCATAGCTTCCTTACCGATCCCATTGAACAGCCTGTACAACAAGGTCGTGGGTTCATGGTTCAGCTGCACTAGTAGCCCCAGCGACTCGCTCGTCCAACAGATTCTGAATCAGACCTTACGCTTCTACCCTGTGGGAAGCAAAGCGGAGCTCTGCGATTCAGTCGTCTGCCGTAGAAGCAGTTTAGTTTTTGGCCGGTAAGTAAGATACAGTCATCTGCGCTCATCCCTCAATTCTAGCTCCTCCAACAGAATATTACCACATGCTAACTGTTTTTGCTTCCATTTCCCGCAGCCTCTGGACGCACAAAAACCTCAACGCCCCAACTCACGCACAGCTGGCGAACTTCCTAGGTGGCACATCCATGCGCTCCCTCGGTCATCTCATGTCCATGGGTCGTCTTGGCCATGTAACCACCAACCCCCCAACATCGATCAACCTTGTGACTCCATATAATATTGCACGCCTTGAAGGCATTCCCATTTTCTTCTTCTCGGGAGCAAATAATGCAGTGTATGCGCCTGAGAGCACGGATGTCTCATACACAATGCTTCGGAATGCACATGGTCCAGATGACTATGAGAGAGTTGTCTTCGAGGGAAGAGGCCACCTAGATTGCTGGATGGGGGTCACTGCCCATACGGAGGTGTACCCCAGGGTTAGAGAGCATGTAGATAAGGTTATGCTTGGTAGTTCGTGAGCGAGTGCGTGGTTACCTCACAACTGCCTCTTTCTTTGGTTGGATTGCATCGTCTACCTTTTTAAGTCTAGTGTTGTTCTGAATCTCTACGGTCCCCATCTTTTGACACTAAAAGTAGTTGAGCTTGCTAGCTTTGTGATACTTTAATCATTCTGATTCCCATGGTCTATAAGCTATATAGATCCAACTATACTAAGGAAGACACGTCAATAGCGGCAGTTGATGGGTTCTGGGCAACTGTTGCGAAAGTGTTGAGAAGCCGTCGCAAATTCTGCAACAATTATGTAACTCTGTAACACAAAGACCAGTAGCATGACAGAATTATATTCAGATACGTTGCAGGTATTGGGATATATCTCAATTTTGTAAAGCACTCAAGATTTGGCAACATATTCCTCTAGAAATGTTTTTTATTTGTATAGAGATATACATATTCTGTGACAATAAAAGAGACAACAGTGGCCTAAATGAGAGTAATGTCAAATATTGTGCCTCCTTTCTTGTCATATGTGTTGAGATTATGGATGATGAGAGAGAAGATTGAGGTGCGGGTAGTGGTAAGTGGTAAGTGGTAAGATTCAAGCTTGAATTGCGTACAACCCTCAAAATCGAGGGAATCCATGGAGAATTTGACATGCAACAGAGGTCAGCTCTTGACAGTACAGAATCCCAGCGACTAGTTACGGCCACCCGTCCCGATGCCACGCAAATCCTCTCCTCCGGTGATTCTGACCGATGCACCCACGATCGAAGACCCAGGACGATGGTATATGGTACGAGGTTAGCGAGCGGAGTGAAGATGAACAGCCGCAGCAATGAAGTCCTTGGAGATACTCCTATAAAACACTCCTCCGGATGGATGGAGAGGAAATGGAAAGAATGATCCCCTAGGACAGTGTGATGGAAGAAGAAGGATGGCGCCCCTTAGGATTGCAGTGCCAGATCCACTGTACTCCCTTGATCCAAGCGAGCACGTGAGCGGCAGCTGACGGGTTGGATGGTTGCGCAAAAGGTGGCGACCCCGGTGATATCATGATATGAGGGAGCCATGGAGGGATAGATAGAGAGAAACAGCCCCTCACTGAGCAATGACGGGGCCATGACATTCGTTCTGGTGCAGTTTCCCATTTGTTTATCGTTTTTACATTTCTATATTCGAGGGCGACCGGTAAGAAACTCACACTGCGAGTTCCATGAAACGGTCGTCCAGTGGGCTGGCAATCACTTCTAGCTGTCGGCGGGCCTGACGGCACTCCCGCATAGCAGCATATATTTAGAGCGAGCTACATCGGGCAAATGAATTCATCATCATCATCATCATCAACAACACTTTTATAACACGGCTTCTAGAACATGTTTCGATTAGTAGGATATGTTTTAAATTTAAAAACCTTTCAGCTTTAGAGAAACGTTCTAGATTTTTAAAAAATATCTATAAATTACTGATACTACAATGGCACATCGATAACTGAGCGAGCAAATGGTCTTTTTTTGTATTTCTGTTCGCTCTAAATAAAATAAATAAAACACTAAAATAACTCGCTCCAAAATCCTTTTTTTTGTCTTTTTGCTCTTTTCGTTCTTCAATCTTTCGCACTCCGTTTCCTGTTTTTCAAAGGTTTTTGTTCTAACAGAGTATGCCATCAGTTCCGTATCACAGATGTCAAACAAAATAAGGGAGGGTACTTCTCTTTTTTTTTATCCGTCTTTCGTCGTTCCTTCAAAATTCCTCTTTTTTTGGTGTTTGTTCAATAAGATTCCCCCAGTTTCAAATCACAGGTGTCAAACCAAAACATCCCCGTGGTTCTCTAACCAATAGAAGGAAACATTATCCTTCAAAATTGAAACGATCGTAACCGCTCGAAATAAAGGGTAAGCTAAATGCAGCTTGCTGCAGGATTGAGGATAAAATCCAACTGAATGCTGTGGTGACGTCAAAATTGAAGTAGAAGTCTAGATGTAGACCATAGTCTCCGCAAGAGTATGATGAACCTCAATGTAATGAGGTTCAGGCACGGGAATATCAGACTTGTTCACCTTCTTCTTCCCACTCTTCTTCAGCATAGCTTCTCTTTCCTCGTAATACGCAAGCACATACTTGCGACCACGATCACAGTACCGATCTGCCAAAAACGCGGGTGTCCCGTAACTGATTGCACGGGTGCAACGCGCCATCATGTAGCAGATGTTGTGTGTCAGTTGCTGAAGAGCATCGGCAGCGTTGTAACCTTTGGGCGACGAAGGATTCTTCGTGAAAATCTCGTCGTAAAGCACCACATAATGGGCTGGACGAGCCGAACCCTGCAGCGGAGTCTGAGCCTGGAGATAGAAATCCCAATACCACGGACGGGTGATGCCGCGCTCGACCAGTGTGCCATTTTTACAGTTATTTGTCCGATCGCAATCTTGTGCAGAGGTAGGGAAAAACCGGACATGATGGCGTTTGGTGACCACCAGAATGGTGAGTCTCGGGTGTGATCGGTCCTTGTAGACTTTTGCAAAAGCACCTCTGAGGGCGGTCATCTCAGTCACCAAGACTTGATTATATTGACCCTCGCTCACCCCATCACGGTAGATCAGGATATTATCAGGGAGAGGTTTTTTGCCACCCAAGGTCCAGCGATGGAGGCGCTTCAGCATCATGTCCGTCAGATGTTCCATCATCTCCTGGCGGCGGGATTGGATGCGGATTTCACCGGGCCATTGTCCGAGTCCTCCATCAGTGCTGGCCACAATGGCTGCGATGGTCGGGAAATTATCCGTATCAGTCGGGGCAGGATGCGTCGCGTCGATTCCCACCACCATGGTCTTTCCAGCAGCCAGCAGGCCCGATGAATTGGTATCGAGTGTATGATTGATGCCGCCGAACTTCAAATTGACCTTCAAAGCGTTATTGGCCATGTACTGAGCGTCAGTCCTCGTGAACTTGTTGGCCAGGACACAGTGGTTTGCAAGACCGATCCGCACATCGCACTGCCACTTGACATATCGGAAGACCCTGTCTGCGCCCTGGGGGATGACTATAAGGGCAAAGTCCGGTCGCTTCGATTGTTTGTGAACCCCATCGAGCAGCTTGAAAAGTGCTTGGTGTTCGGTGAAGAGATCGCGGCCATCCAGGTTAAAGGAGACGATGGCCGGGATACCCCTGAGCACGAGGCCCATCTCGCCCGCCTTAGCCCGGAACTCGCCCAAGCCCGTAGTGATTTCTTCGGGTTTTTGCCTCGTGCCGCCGGCCTTGATCCAGACGCACACCCAACTTTCAATCGACGCGCCCTTGAGGAACTTCTTGCCGACGAGGTTCCACGATCCGTTCCGCGGAGCCTCTGGGCGAGTGGCGTACTTGAGGGTAGGAGGATCTAGGATCCTTCCGGGGACGACAGCCATGGTGTCCGCAAAGTCCATTTGCTTCTCATTGCGGAACTTCTTGGTGGGGATGCCCAGGATATCGCGACCGAGATTCATAATCGTCTCGTGGTTGTCCGGTGGCCGGCGGCAGCTGAATTTGATGATCTCTTGCCGCTGGGCCGTCGACAAATCGCCGTTGTATTGCTGTCCCTTGATGATTCGGCAGACATCCATGGGCATGTAGATCGGACGAGCGGTGTTGCCAACGTTGAGCACCGGGAGCCCTTTCCGCGCGGTGATGTTATACTCTGTATGGACTGTGTTAGCTCAACTCCGTTCAAAACAGCTCCATTCTCGGGTTTCACTTACGCTCTTTGAAGTATTTGGCCACCGAGATATACCACCCGGGTCCTGTCGGGTTTCCACGATCATCTTTAGCTTGACACCAGAATTCCACGTCGTATGGGTCCGCTGCCAGACTGGGGACTTTGGCAGTGAGGCGCCCCTGTTGGTCGTCCTTAATTGGGGCCCCGTCCTTGGTAGTCGCCAGGCCCCAGATGTTTTTGACGCGGGGCACAGGATTTCCATTATCATCCTTCAGGGGCTTAAGGTGCTTGACAGTCACCTTGACATTTCGAAGGGTCCGGTGGAGCGCATCATAATCTTCGTTGCGCATCCGAAGGAACTCGTTGTAGAATTCGTCCATCGGAAGAGGCTGGTAGAAGGCACTGTTGCTGACATTGAGATTCAGCATGAATTTGCTCGGGCCAGGCCGCACGCTTGAAAAGATGCCTCGAAGACATTCCAGGCCACCACCGAGGTTCCATTTCTCGGCGCGATCGTCGATGTAAAAATACTTGGAACGACTCTTGTCGGTGATGGCCACACCAGGGTCGTTGAATGCGTAGCCACTCACGATGATGTTGAGCATCTGGATCACAAAGTCCTCATTGCTGACTTTCATGTGGACGTCCGGGTTGCTCAGGCCCCTGGTCACGGCCTCCAGCGGCAGGCGGCCGTCGCCCTGGAGCTTGAATCGAACTGTATACACATGCTTGGGAACTCCGTCGTCTCCGGGGTCGACCCCGACCCTTTTCGCCTGGATATCGAGCTTCCGAGTGGTCACAAACCACGTAGCAAGATCCGAGACCGGCGGGCCAAACCGAGCGAACTCCGGGTTCTTCACCAAGCTCGTGAAGACCTGGATAACGTGGCGCTTGGTGTTTGGTGGTTGTTCGAAAATCACCTTGTAGGCATAGAAGACGGCCGAGGGCCCGAAACGGATGGGGAAAAAATTAGCGCGGAGGTTGATCTTCTTTCCCTTCATTCCATAGATGGGGCGACGAATGGGCAGCCTCACTGGAGGCAGCGGATTCTTCTCTTTCACGTCCTGGTCTCGGAAGTCGAGCTGAGCCTCTTGTTTGATGTCTTGCTTGGAGTTCAAACACTTGTCTTCGAACAAAGCGATACCCTCGTCAGGTGTATCCGAGGTGAACATAACACTGAAAAATCGTCAGTCATGTCGAAATTGCAAAAAAAGGAAATGGTCTGTACTTACTCTTGTTTCGCCTCCGGGGCTCTCCGCTGGGGGTTTGGCGGACCTTGGCCACCTCGCCCAGGAGGTCCGCCTGGACCACGAGGCCGGTGAGGCATCTGTTGCTGCCCGCCACGCTGAGACTGCCCGGGAGGACTGAGTCGTTGGGACCCAGGGGGGCTAGGTCGCTGAGACTGTCCAGGAGGGCTTGTGCCGAATCTCTGCGATTGACCAGGAGAGCCGGGTCGCTGGGACTGCCCGGAAGGGCTGCCATGGGGTCGTCGAGGCTCGCCACTAGGGCTCCCGTGTCTTGGGGACCGTTCGCCTGAGCCGGAGCCGTGCGGGCTTCGTGGTCGGTCAGAATGAGGGCTGCCGGGGCGAGGGCTGCCGGGCGGGCTGTTATGTCGCGAGCCTTGGGAGTCACGTCGTCCCCGTGAGCTGGATCCTCGAGAAGACATGACGATTGGTCAAATTGTGAGTGTGAGTGTGAGTCGGTGTAAGGGAAAAGGTTGGTACGGCAAGGTCGTCGGCGACGTTTGTCGCGCTCTTCGGGGCTTATTGAGAGCTGAAGGAGCGAAATCGGAGAAGATAGGTAAGGTCAGTAATCGCGGAAGGCGGAGGAAGGGGGATAGAGGCGATGGGGAACAGTATCAAGGCAATTGCCACGCGGTGGGTGGAAGCACCGAGTCGGATTGTCGAGGTGGGTTCGAGAACTGAGAGCTAGAGCTTGTTAGCGATGAGTATGGAAGCTGGGCATGCAGAGGGAGAAGCAGAGATGCAGACAAATCTCGAGATACAGGGGGGAAGGAACAAGAGAAAGAGTCAAGAGCAAGCAAACATACTCGAGATGTATGAAAAAGGCGCGTTGGTCAAGGAATATGCGAAGGATGAGGAGACGAGAAAATGGGAGAAGCTGTCCTTTTATACTAGAGGAAAATGAGATGAGTCCGGAGCCTGCGAGGGGCTGTGGACTGCAAAGAATTGCATCGTGTAGCGAACCACGATGGCAAACGAGAGTGCTGGGGGGGATGATCCGGACATACTATTCTGCAAGTCCAGATTTTTCATGGGAGTCTCGGCGAGCTCGGATTTCACGAGAATATAAGGCTTGTGCATCTGTGAAAACAGGAGTGTTTGGGGAACAAAGAATGAAAAGTAAATGACAGTGAAAGTGAGAAAAACATGAATGGGGACTGAACAAACAGAGAATAGTGAGTGTGCGAAAAAATAGCAAATCGTGATAAAGGCTTGTCTGGTCTGTTGCTCACCTGTGCAGATGCGGGTAAAACGGTTTCGAGTTACGATGTCGGTATGGCGATTTCGATTTCGGTATGGCTGATGGGGAGAATCAAAAAGAAAGAATGATTTGGGTCCAGAACCTGAATTTATACCCCGGGATTCTGAAACTTTTAAGATTCCTTGGAGAATTTTCGAACTGGTCGGAGACATGATTTATGGGATTGATGTGCTCTCCTGTGAAAACGCATGTCATCGAAGACCATATCGGCAGTAAAGTATCAGACGCTTGGCGGGAACGGAAAGACATGGGCATTCGAAAGCCGTACGAATCGCATAGTTGCCGGTAAAGCCGACACTAGCATCATACACTAGAAATCAGCTTCAGGTTGACGAGGGCACGTCAAAGGAGCGATCATCAGGAATTGTTGTGGATATCAAACTTCTTATTGAGGAAGGTGTTCCTAGGCAATTGGAATTAGCAAGAGTCGGGCATATATGGCGGGCTTGGATTGACAAAGCAAATCAAGATATTGAGAATAATATGCCGGATCGCCCATGGCACCCGAGTACATAAGTCCTGGAATGGGTCTGGTTCGTATGGAGATTGAGGATGAGGTCGGAGAAAGAGCAATGGTGAAGAGGCGCATTTGTAGGCTTGACTCGGAAACTTGTCACAGCTGACATGCGCGGCCAGGACAGTTCTGTGGAGAGATGGTAGCTTAATTATGAGAACATATGCAAAGACGGATGGTGTAAAATAACTTACCTGTAGGAGGCGTAGGTAGATGAGATTTCTAGAGGCAGTGCTAGGGGAAGTGAGAGCATACCGAAGTGGAAAAGGGTTCACGAGTTATGTGATGATATTGGACATGTTTATATGTCTAGACATTAGAAATACATAGAACGTTTTGGAGAATCCGAAAATCAGAGCTTGAAGAAAACACAAGAGCGACTCAAAACACCGTAATGACCGGATCCGATATTCCCAATGATATAATAAAAAGCAAAATAACACCGGCTATAACGTCAGATATTAATCACAATCAAGAAATGAAAGAAACACGGATTATATATGCTTCAGCATAATACTGCTTCCAAAGCATCGACATCGCCGCCGGCATTGCGGACGGCACGGAGAGCCGCCTCACTCAGTTTGCGTCGTCGGTCCTTGGCTTCTTGCTCACGACGGGCTTTTGTCTTGGAGCTGCCAGAGGGCGCGACGCCGGTGAGGATCCTTTGGCTATCCTGGGAGGTGAAATTCACGAAGGACACATTCACAGACTTGTTGGAGCCACGGGGGCTGGTGGAGGACTTTGCCGACTTGGGTCCGTTCATGCTCTGGCCAGAAAGCTTGCGGCTGTGGGTACGGCTGTGTCCTTTGTTGCGGGAGTTTTTCGGGGATGTCCCGGCCTTGGGAGAGAGGGAGGGAGAGCGGGAGGTGTGGACTTGTTGAGGGGCGGTGAATGGAGTAACGAACTTTTGCGAACTCGAGGCAATATTGGAGGAGAAGGAGGAGGAATTGCCGGACATGTCAAAGGTCGGGTCCATTTGGATCATCAAGCCGCCTTGCATCAGGTCATTATGGCCCCCAACACTTTGCATGGAGCGCTGGGGTGCGGGAGAAGGCACCATGGACTGATAAGGAGTTGGCTGTTGTTGTTGTTGTTGCTGCTGCTGCTGCTGTTGCGGTTGCTGTGTGGCCCGCGAGGGCATAGGAGACCACCACTGGGAATCGTGCGACTGGAGGTCGGGTGTGAAGGAAAGAGAAGAGGTACCAAGGGCATCAGACTGCCATGAGGAGATCGAATGAGGATCGGAGGAGTGTGAGGAAGAGAAGATCTCATCTGCGGAGGGAGGGCTGGAGTTGGTCAAGGCTGCGGAGCCGGGTTGGTTGATGTATTGGTGCTGGTGTCGAGCATATGCGCCAACAGAAGGCGAAGGCATGGAAACAGCGGGGGACTGGTGAAAGAAGCGTGTGTCATACTGACCAGGCATTTCTGCCGAGTCCTGTTGCTGGTGCATGGCGTCGGCGGTCATGTTCTCGTGCTTGATAAGCACATCCGACGGTGGGGGAGAGAGCGGCAGACGATCATCGGAGCCGGCGAACGTGAAGTTCTGGAGCTTCTGGGCCCAGACCTCGGGGTATGCCATCCTTCCCTTTTGGATGGAAGAGCGCATCAGACTGGGAGAGAAGGATTGCTTGCGCAGAAGCGCGCGACGCTCATTCGGGTCACGATGGCGGATAGATTTGGGGGTGATGAGAGCACTCTTATTAGCTTTGCGCTGAGGAGTAGCTGGCGGGGTGGATGGCGAGGCGGATGGGATGCCGTTTGTTCCAGTAGGGTGGGAGGAGACCTCGAAATTGTTCAGGCCGAGGTCAGAAATGGCGGAAGGGTGGACGGTGTCTTGAAAAGCGAAGTGGTCGCCGGAAGAGCTGTCTTCTTGCAGAGACCAGTCCTTAGCCCAAGGTTGCGGCGATTGACGATGGCATTTGGAAGTGGAGCCAGTGGGGGAGAGATCGCCACAGTCGCTGGAAAGCGAATCTAGTGGGAAGAGTTGGTCAAGGTCACCAGAGAACGACGAGTCTTTGTTGCCGTCGGGCCCGGAGGACTCCATATTGACGTATTGGTTGAACAAGTCATTGAACGAGTGGTCGAACGGTTGAGCGAACATCTTGCTTTGTCTTTCCGTTTGCGGCGAAGTGGATTGTGTCAAGGTCGAACACCCGGAGTGCAGATGGGACGCTGTGATTGGTGACCACAGGATCTCAAGCTAAGGGATCGGAGAGGACGGGTTTGCAGCGGATGCAAAACCCTATGTAATGTAATGCAAGTAATGCAAATGCAAAGGAGCGGGCGATAGATGCCTGGAGATCGGACCCTGGGAATCAGGTATGCAGGGAATGTGAGATGACCAAAGAGTTTGCCTGTGTTTGACAGTTTGTCAATCAACGAAAACACTGCAGAGCATGCAAAGAAAGCAAAGCAAACAAACAGCTCGAGGCGACTATTTGAAGGGCCCTCGTCGCCTCCAGCCTCTGGCTTTCTGCATACATTCCAAGCACAACCCCATATGGACGAGGAATGCTCTGTGAATGACCTGGTTGGCTGCCCATGGGCTCCATCCTACTTCAAAGGAATGACTCAAGTCTGCTCTACCGGGGCAACGCCAATCAGAGAGGCCAGAATTCGAGCGGCTGTTTGATGCGCCAGTAGGTATCCACCTCCCGTAGGAGACCTCAGTCTCGATAGCCACCGTGGGGAATGCAACCCTCTCTCACTAATCCCAAAGCATCGCAGCCCTGAATAAGTCAGTGTGGCGGGTGCAGGGCTAGAGTCGGTATGCCAACCAACACCCTCCGGGGATGATCGGCATAGCTTCAATAGCACCGGGGTGGCATTGGGCCTGGGACGGAACGTCCGCCGAGCCGTGAAAGAAGGCATGAAATCCCAGGACGTGTCTTCGGACTGGCCGCGCAGAAGGTCACCTGCCAGGATCGCCTTAGTGTAAGCGTCATGACAGCGGATATCTGATTGTCTCGACCGTCCCAAGGATGACTCGGTGGACGGTAGGATCGACAGTAGCTTGGCCGTACTTTTTCTCCCACTCTTCCCTCATGGGTCAACGCTGTCTGGTGGAGCTGATAAAGCTCTCCTTCCAATTCCTATGCGTCGATAAGGCTGGAATGTGGATTGGAATGCTAGAGACTGGGGGAATGTCACTCCCGCCCCTTCCGACAATGCACCGAAAAGTCTTTGGCATTCGAGAAGATCAGATCGACTGGCGTGATTCCCGACTAGGGTTTGCCGAGGGAGAAAGAAAGCCCCGGGCTGCAAAAGATCGGCGGCCGGCAGACCGTTAGAGCTTCTCGAATTGAGCCCATTCTATTCTTATCCACATTGCTTGAGCACCGGCCAATGTCGAATGCATCGAAATATACACGAGGCCACGTTCCACAGCCATGCTTGGAAGAAACGCTCCTTTTGAGTTGTGCGAATGGTCGGACCATTGAGGTTAATGACCAGCAAGGGCAATTAGTCAAAAGGGAAAAAGTACTGTAGTATCTTGCCATCACCCAGTTGCTCCCTTGTTGCTAAAAAAGGTAGCATATACCAAATGCGGCTTGGGGAATCGAACCTTCCCCTAGGCGGTGCGTAGGGTAGTCAATTGTTGTTTCTTCGTTAGTACAACACAGATTTATGGATGTGGGTCGTTGTTTGTATGTGGCCAAGACGGTGTTTTTGATGTCGACACTTCCTGCTCGGGCGAACACGTTTTGTTGTCAGTCTGGCTGCAACTGGCTGCAACAGGTACGAGGCTTATAATCCAGAGGGCCGAGGGTTCTGGGAAAGCTAAAAGGGTAAGGCAATTGTCAGGCTTGAGCGTTCTTAGCAGATCGCAACACCCGAAACCCTCTGCTATGTTTCAGTAGGTGTCAAGCAGCTCGAGCAAAATCCCATGCGCAGCACATGCGTCATCCATGGGTATACTCAATTCCTTGCGCATCTCCGGCGTGACCACAATTCGTGTGACACGACCTGCGTTTGGCGAGCATTATTGTCAATAAAGTGGGCGATCCTGCCTCGGGCCCCAATCCGGCAACGGAGCAAGGAAATCACGTGCCGCCTACACAGCCTCGAAAGGGCCCAAATAGCGACTGAACAGGCGAGAGTCGGCCTGGTCGATGCCCGAAAGATACGAGTAGTAGATGAGCGCGTGGCGGGAGGACTAGTAGGTTCTATAATCGTCCGGACTGATTTGGCAACCCAGTGTGCCTGACCGGAAGAATGGCCGCAGAGAATAGTTACAAAGCGAGGCGGCTGAGTCAGGATGACGGAGAGAGGCGAGCCAGGAAAAGGGCCGATTCCATTCCCTGCGACTGCGCGCCCCTTCATCTTGAGGCTTCTCTCGTCTGCGAAACTTTCTCTTTCCACCCGCTTTACAATTCGCAGATCTCACAAGTGCTCTGCGATTTCACTCATCGCTTCGTCAAACCCCCAGCACCTCCCAGTACCTCGCCCTGCGCCCGACTCGCTGTCGCCGGTCACCCGAAGTGGTGACTCAAAACTTCCCCTCCAAATCCAGACCACCCCGCGGAACGTGGGTTTATCGGCTCAACCCCAACTCTTCCCCTCTCCCCCTCTCCTCGGTCGCCCTTCTCACCGGCGTAGTTCGACCTACGATTGCTCTCTGTGACGGAACACGGGGCGCGACACAAATTCTCCCCTCACATTCCGCCGCTTTCATCTCTCACCCCGAACACCTCCGACCGAACCTCAGCCATCTTTACAATTTTCAGACACAAAACCATGAACTCGTTTATTCTTGCTGGGTTTATTCCCAAGCGTGTTTAAAGGTCCACAAGATCTCCTTGTGTCCCCTTAATATGGGCTTCTTTCCGTGCCTTGACGGCTACCGACGCCAGTTCACCTATCATTCACTCTACTGAATCATTCACTCCTGTCTCCTCGCTCTCGCCACGAACCTAAAGTCGGATTTCCATCTCGCGGATTCCATAGGATTTTCGTGGTACACAATACTCAGCAATCGACTTCCATCTCTTCCGATATGGCGACCTCCACTATGAACCGCGAGTCGTGGGACTCTCTTACCTCTACCTTCACCAATCTCGAGGTGTCTTTCTCACAAGACAGCTGCTATGGCTCCGATGAAGTTTCGGTCACGTCGAACAACGCTGCTCCGCTGCAGTCAAGCGTCACGGCCTATCAGATCAAGCGGTCCCAGCCCGATCTACAACCTTTCTTGAAGTCGATCCTCAAGAACCCGCGCACGGAGGAAGAATCCGAATCTGATTCCGAGTCCGAGTCCGGCTACGGATCCGATGAGAATGATTCCGAGTATGACGCTCTTTCCGACGAAGAAAATGACGAAGAAGACTCCAATGATGACATGTCCGATTTTTCCGTCTGGGAGGAGACCTCCCAGAATGTCCCTGAGACTCAGCAGGACCACACGGATTCTTTCGACGATTCGTTCATCGGATTTGAGCCCGCTGTTCAATTCAACACTACCGTCCAGTACTTCGACGCCCCTGAGTATTATTCCGACGACGAAGAAGAGGGCTCGGATTCCCAAATGACGGTCCATGAAATGATGCTTCTTTCGCTGCAATCTGGCGGCTCCCAGGGTTCTTCTCTTCAAACCGATGCAGATGACATGTTCGATGATGGATACGAGCACAACGAGGTCGTTCAACCATCTGTCTGTGAGCTAGAGGAGTACACACGGGAAGGTTTTGATCTCGATTGCAACCTATTTGTTGCTTTGATGAACGGGATTCATGGCATTTCGGACCAGAAGTACAAGAGTTATCTTCGTGTCCAAGTCGACAACATCCGTCTCGGTCAACAGGCTGAGCCTATGCATCCCGACGACCCCCCTTACATGTACCTCGACTCGATCGTCACTCACGTCATCGGAATCTTCCGCAACCTCCTCGAGGTCGATGAGTTCGATTCTCTTATTTCATTGCGCGAGCACGATATCGCCGATTCTCACGCACAGCAAAGTGGCTCCGATCAACCCTCTGGCTATTACCAAGCCCTGCTCGATCATACTGAGCAGTATCTTTTTGAGCGACTGGCAATCGGTCGGGTCGAAGTCGACCCGGATGAACTCAGTTTTTTGGCCGGAGGGATCGTGCATGCCCTGGGCACCGACCAACTACCGGCATCGACACCAGCTTAAACTTGCTCTCGATCTGGGAAGCGACATACACCGAGACAAGAGCATGCCACAAAAATTACGACGTCACGATCATGAAAGAAAAGCGGTTCCAATTACGCCTGTAAAAAGACAGGCGAAGGGTATTCCCAAGGATAGTTTACCCACGTTTCCAGTCTCCTGACTGGGTTTGCTCATTCTGGTACTGTTCATCTTACTCTCAGTTCGGGTAGCAGTAAAATCTTCGATAAGCAATAAAAATGATTATTATTATTATTATTATTATTATTATTAGGGCGATGATAGAGCGACCGCCCTGATTTTCAGGCATGCATTTGATCCAGCCAATCAGAAGCCGCACCGCCATGCCAACTCTGGCGTCTCCAATTCTCCCTCCCTCCCCAACTCTCCCTCCCCACTGCATACCAGCAATTGCTTTGATTTCCCACCGGCAAGATGCTTCCAGGGCTTACATCATACGCATCTGATGCATCAAGCGACGATGAATCAGCCAACGAATCAGCGATTGCCACCGCTGCCACCGCTGCCACCGCTGAGCCAGGGCTGGAGCTAGCATTCCCCGAGTTCTCCGAGTTCGCTGAGCCAGCGCTGCCATTGATGCTCTTGCCTCGACCTGATCAGCGCTTTTCAGACCCGAATCAGCAATCGGCACTATTAATAGACTCGCAGAGCCTGCCTGATATGTTGTGATCAAGGCACGGACCAAGGAAACCAAGCGCGGAGTGCTGAAATAGGTTACTCTGCAGTGTGATCGCCGCGGTGAATACAATCCGAATCGTATCCCTAACGCCTCACGCAAGCGGAAGACGACGTCCTTTGCCAGTGGCTGTAAATTCCAGATTACATTACGCCGTCAGCCACTGCCCTCGTCTCCAGATCCCTGGGTTCTTACGGTAGAGAACCGAGAGCACAATGGCCATGAACCCTCCGAAGCATCTGCGCATCGTGTACAGCGCATCGTGTACACCGCAAACGTGAGATGGCTGAGGAAGAGAATGAGATCAAGGCACAACTTAAGCTCCAAATACCTACACGTCAGATCATGACTACACTCGAATCAAGAAACCCGAACTCGTGTATCACTGATCGGGATATCTACAACCTCCGAGCGAAGCTTAATCGGGAGTTTCTCCGGGGCCGTACACCGATCCAGGCATTACTCATGGAGCTTCCAACTGATGCTAAATGGCTGTTCCGACGCACGCTTGACGAGGAGAATCATGTGCATGTGCTGTTTGCTATACATTATAAGAGTATTGAGATGCTAAAGCGTTATCCTTGGGTACTCTCTATGGATTGTACCTACAAGACTAATCGCTACGGTATGCCATTACTCGATATTGTTGGGTTCACATGTACTGGAGCGTCAGTCTATCTTGGCTGGGCATTCATTGCAGACGAGAAAAAGGACACATATGAGATCGTGTTAGGCTATTTAGCTGAGATATACGAGTATATCCAGCAAGATAGTCCATCCTCGCCATCTGGACCAAGCACAGTCCTAACAGATAAGGAATATGCTCTTATCAACGCAGTACACTCAATCTTTCCTAATGCTGATACAATCATTTGTATCTGGCACATCAACATGAATCTCATGAAGAAAGCACTGCCATTACTTCGGAAGTCTATCACTGAGGGACGTGAATCAGGACTTATTGAATGGGATGGTATCTCGCTTCCTACTACTGATCAACAGTTATCCAAGAAGGATATAGAAGAACTGGTAGGTAAGATTCTTGATGAAGGATGGAGCAAGATGATGGTGCGATAGAATTGCCTTATCTATGCCACCTCCCAATCAGAATTCGATAGCGCCTGGGAACAATTCCAAGCCAAATACAGTGCACCCGTCTATGCAAAATTGCTGGACTACATTACCAAGAGTGGATTGAAGATTGCCCTAAGAGCTTCCTTAAGCTACACACAGATCAATATCTGCATCTCGGAGGCGTCTACATCGCGTACAGAGGCAGCTCACTGGCTATTAAAGCAAGATCTCCACACATCAACCAAGGATCTACTTGCTATTCTGGATAATTTTGAGCTTGTTATTAATCGTCAATACAAGAAGATTAAAGGCCAGATAGCAGTTGAGCGAGATAAGGCGCCCTGCCGTGAGCTGCCTATGATCTACCAGTCAATCATCAAACGGGTTTCTTTAGCTGCAATCGACTATGTTGAAGCAACCTACGATATCTTTCTTCCTGGAGCAGAAGGCAAGCCTCTGATTCCACCTGATTGTCACTGCAACTCACGGATTACATCAGGATACCCATGTATCCATGTGATTGCTAAGCATACGGAAGAGAAGCAGCCATTCTCATTGGATGACTTCCAACCTCAGTGGCATCTCTACAGGATTGGAAATGCACCCCCAGTTGATCCAATCCTCCTAATCCAGAACCCTCATGTGATTCGCCGCCGTGGTAGGCCGGCTGGATGTCGGAATAACCTCCAGTCTCGGCCAATACAGTCATCAACGCAGGAATCGGTCTCGACACAGGATATTCAGATGCCAGCAACCCAAATTGAGCTCGGCTCGTTCCCGGATCCCCTTACAGACCCTCTTAAACCGTTTGAGCGTTCAACCCAACGTGAGCTATCTGCATTTGAGCGTATATCTGCTTCCGTACGTGGCCGCGACCGTCGTGGTACTGGTACTTGTACCATTGGTTCTCGTGCCAACCGTGCCGGCCGAGGTGGCCGTGCCAGTCAAGCAAGCGGCCAACCAGAGAGGATGCGAACCCGATATCAAACACGCACGGAGACTGAAGATATGGAGACGGTTATATAAACCGCCGGCGAGGGCAACGAGAGTGAGGGCAGCAGCCTAGATGCTGGCGCTATGGTTGACTCAGATGATTCTGAGTATGCTGATTGATTTGATTTGATTTGATTTAGTTATTAATTATATGCAGAGATTAGCTAATGAATTGACCTCCGTATTTCTCCGCAAATTTAGTCCTCTGATTGGCTGGATCAAATACCTGCCTGAAAATCAGGGCTGGACAGGTGGCAGCCCCAGCTGCTGCTGCCGGGACGGGTGAGACTAAGCCCGGGGGGAGGGGGAGGGGGGGGGGGGGGTCGCTACATCCAAGGTGGGTGTCGCTCTATCATCGCCCTATTAATAATAATATTATTATTATTATTAACTACTTCACAGCATCATACTGTTCCTTAACTTTAACATAGATAGGTTCCATGGATTTACATGGACATATATATTAGGCTTGGAAAGCCCGGATCGCTCAAGCATGTAGATGCCTGACGGGAAGTAGATACGCACCCCAAACCCCTTGATATCTAAAGGCTCAGCTGCCTCGAAGCTCAGAGGTCCAGATTCTGTAATAAACGTGAAACAGATCCCACAACCGTCTTCTACAAATGAATGTTGGGGAGATTACAGTAGCCCCAGGGGCTCCTGAGGTGTTAATACAGTGTATACCAAGACTTCGACCAGGTACCTAGGTCGGGGTGAACCCCCCCCCAAGTAACCGGACGGCAGGTGGGATGCAGCGTTCAAAACAGTAAGACCATGGTGAAGGGGGCGGGGAATGTGTTGATGGCGAAGCATGCACCGCGATCTGCCAAGGTCTCATCGAGTATCTTAAAAATGTCACGGCATGGGCGTGTTTATAACAATCACCAAAGATAACCAAATGGAGAATAGCAGTAGATACTGATACATACTGTCCCATCTCCATGAAAAACCTCGCCTGCAGCCCGAAAGACTACTGTTGCCGGTCTAGAATCTCCTGCAGCCACCCATGAACATCTGCCAGTGTTACCCCGTGAAGAGCACAGCCGACCGAAACAGACGACAGTCACGACCGCGTGTTTCAAGATTCAGGATTCTCGCCGCTCCCCATCATTCGCCCTGAGCCTAGCCAGATCGGTAAAAACGAGGTGCAGATGGCCGAGTCATGGGCAGATTGGATCGCCCCCTGACTCGTGTTTGTCCAACGGCGGCCTCAAGCAGGAAATACCAGGTCCTGACATCTGAGAATCCCTACCCGTCGAATGGGGAGATTTGGAGATTTACTAGCGGACCGTTGAGGGTCGGCGAATTTCCAGGATCCTACCGTAAGAGGTAGGGATGGGCTGCCGGGCCCACGGCCGGCATAGCATATGATCCTTCCTCTTTTTGCTTCTTCCTTTTTTTTTTTTTTTTTCTTTGAGTGCATTTCGTTACTCCATTTGACCTCTGTTGTCACGGTGGCGGTTTGAACTTGGAGATGTGAGTTGCGCTATGCTCTACCCCTCCTTGACGCTACCTAAAAAATAAGGGGGGCGGCTGTTAGCTTTGCTGGGATACTGTGTACTCCGTAAACGCGATAGAGATATCCGTCGAGGAACAGGGGCTGGTTATCGTCATCATAGTGAAAGGAGAAGGTGGATCAGAAAGGCATTGTCCAGACCCTGCCGACGGCGTAAGGGGAAGTCGAAATACACATCTCCGACTCCATACGCTTCCGCCCAAACGAAGACTATCGAAAGTACGAGCCACACGAGCTCCACTTGGTGGACAAGGAACAAAATCCGTCCAGCGCTGCAGAAAAGGCTAAATGGTCGGTGTCCGGTGGCGGCAACATTAGAGTCACGACGCCCCCTTGCAATACAGACGTAGGGCATCGTGCGACTTGCCAGACGAGATGACGAGATGGGTGCTGCTGGGCGGGGTGACAGGTCAAGTTGGACGAGCGAGTTGGCTCGCCGTTTTGCCCGTGTCGATCTTAACGGTGCAGACTTGCGCAGACAGGAACGGGGACCCATACGACCGGTGATTCACGGTCCAATTTGCTCGCGGCGCCCGAGGGCCTCGTTGCACTGCGTCTACCTGAGCATCTGTGCCCCCTCGATGCGATGTGGTGATGACCCGTGCTCGACGTTAGCTTGTACAAGAGACGGCAGATCAGGACGTGGGAGATGCATCGCATCCTGCATGGTGGGAACTCTATCTGATGACTCGAGCAGGAATTTCCCCCTTCTCCTTTTGATTGTGTCACTCAAGCAAGTCGAGTACGAGTACAAAATTCGGGAGTTGGGGGATTGCCGGTGCTTTGAGCATAAAAAGGTGTACAATGCAGGCTTGGCTGGTGGAGCCGTGAAGATTCCATGGCAGGAAGGACTCTGACAGCGCGCAGAGGGTGGATCGACTTTCCTCAGGCGGGAATTGCCGGTGGGAACTTCAACAGAACCAGAATTTCACGGCCGATCACTTGCCTCCTGACGAGGCGTCAGGAGAACTTGGGGACTAGACTGGGGTGTGTAATGGTGCGACGGCGAGAGGGTCGGGGTCGAGCTGCCTTTGAAACGAGCTTAGTGAGCATTTCACGGAGGGCTACATCCATGTACGTATTGCCAGCCACGTCTCGACCCTGCCATTTTACAAAAGACTGACTCTGTAAGTACGGTGAGAATAATACATAGACCGGGGAAGGCATGCTCTGTCTGCGGAGGACCAATCGGCAAGCCGACAGCTCAATAGAACAATGCATTGTTGTCAGTGTACGATCTGATATATCGCACGCTCTCAGGTTGGGCACCCAATGGATGTATACATAGCCGGGTATACTCCTATCACATTCGCAATGCAATATGCACTGCGACGTGACAAGATGGACGCAGCGCGGTCGCCGTGATTTGTATTTTGCAGTATCGGCAAACCCTAATCTCGCCTAGAACGCGCATCATCACCCTACTGGAAGCTATACTCCACGCCAGCCTCTAGGTTGCGGAGTGAACGGCATACGGGGACCGCATGGCGACCCGCCGAGCTGTCGATCCCGGAATCGCGAAAGGCAGGGTCGACGTGCAAAACGCAAAACTCACATGCGCATGATTTCGATCAACACGCTTATTCTCAGGGGCATTGATGCTGACCGCTTCTTAGTCGTGAAGTCGTGAGCGAAGGCGAACTTGTCAGTGATCAGTGATTGGAGCCACTAGGCGGGGTACTGTGACACACAGAACCGCGGACGGAGTATGGCGGAGTACTCCCCCATCGGATCTCACATCTCACGTCTGAGCTGACAGAAAGTGATTGTGTACCGCTCCAAAGAGGAAGTACTTGAAAATGGTCATAGCTATCATCGCACGCCACCGGCTGGTTCTTTGGTGGTTCGGAGATTTTCATTCGCCGTGGGGGTGTTCTCCCCGAAATCAGAGCTGTGGGCATTATTTGACGGCCACGCAAGTGATTGGAGTTCCAGATGGGGACCATGGAGAATTCTACGATCGACATCGGGTCATGACGACCGGGTCCGAATTTGAGGTGCCACGGGCGTGGTTGATTCGTCACAGGCGACCTGCTTTGTCATTTGCGATGGGCTCGTTTGGATGCGAGACACCCAGGATGAGATCGGAAACAACAGCTGTGAAGAACTTCCTGTAGTATCAGACCACAACGTTTCCGGGCGATCGGGGAGAAGATCACCCACGCCTTTTGGGGGCCAGCCCCGAGGCAAGACTACTGCAGGCGTATGGATCGGGAGAAAGGGCTTGGGGATTCCTTGCATTGGGTGGAGGGGGTGAGCAACCTCGTGGGCATCCCAGGTTCCCTCCCCCTCCCCCCCACACCACCGGCACCCATGGAACCGGGCAGCCAGCTGAACTGAACGCTGAGCCAGTCGTGGCTGACGGGCGGCCGATGAGAACAATGAGTGGCTGCAGATGCCCCCTCAGAGGTGGAAGCATCTTCATACGCTATCGAGATATGCCGTGGGCAGGATGAGGGAACTAGACTCCTCAGGCGTACCAGGCACGAAAGACTGCGGAGGCCTTGCGAAGGGCCATGGAAGGCATGGAACCTCGATCGAGCGAAAGAAATTAAATCAAATCAAGCCGGAACAGGGGTCCTGCAGCAGGCCTCGGGAACAATTCCAATAATGCGAGCCGGTTCGGCCAAGTGCGAAAGGCTAGTTGCCCCAAGGCTCCAGACGTGCCGCAGCAGCCGTGGTGATTGGGTTGTGGGTGCCATATGGTGAGCCTCGCATGTGGATGCGATGGATTCCCTCAGTCACTAGCGCCCTCGGGGCCCGTCGATCGCTGGAACAGTCTGCTTGTTCTGCCCCTGTCCCTGGTTTCTTCAATGCGATAGGCGCTCGGGTAGAGACCACGGGTGGCCGGACCGTGGTTCAGCCAGGCGCTCGTGGTGGGCGAGTAGCTTGTGTGGTGGTGGTGGTGGGCTTGGGAGAAAAAAAAAGGAGGGACGGATGAAAGGCAGGAAGTGGCCTCCGCCGATCACCTCGTGCGCGCCTCCCTCGTTGCGCCCCCAATATGCACTCCATACTGCGCGTACTAAGATGTACTAAAATACTAAAAAAACTGTAAATGCAGTAAAATCAAGCCCGGTACCTGCTCCATAAATCCATTCGGTAGTCACCCCCGAACGATTCAAACATGTCCCCACTGCTCCGTACGAGAAGTTCTGATAGAGCATTGGGACTGGCAGAGTAATGCTAGACTACTAGTAGCAGGTCTTTCTTACTCCTGACCCAGCCCGTCTTTAGTTCCCTTCTCAGCCCGTGCCCGATCTGCCGTGGCCGCCTTTCTTTTCCTTTCCCCTCGTTCTTTCATCGACCTTTTGAACGCGATGAGCTCTCGCTTCTTCAGTCTTTAACGGGTACGTTTACAATGCACGCTGGGATGGTTGATATGGGGGCCGTGACGTTGCCCTGCAGGTTGTACAACTCGGGGCGCAATTTGAAGCAATGAAAAAGCAACTTCAAAGAGCCACCAGAGGATCCAATGGCCCTTGCCCAAACCCAACGTCAGCGAGCACACAGCAGGGAAATGACGGGGCTGACGGGAAGTACAGGATGATTTAGAGATTTCAATTCGACCCAGTCCTTCGTTCTGATCGAGGGCCGGAGCCCGATCAACCCCCCAGCGCCTCATTCAGTATACCCTGGTCCGGGGGTTCCACTTGCACCATGCAACCCTACAAAGGATCCGATTTCCTGGAAGCCGGGACTCTGTCCCGCTCTCGCAGCACCTCCCTCTCCAGCGACTCGCACGCTCGAGTCAACCTCATGTCTCCCCCGTCGGCGCGCCCATCACCTGCCTTCATTTCCCCGTCGGCCGCCTCCGAGATCATCACCTCCGACCAAGAATTTAATGCCGCCGATTTTGTCCCTGAAGATGAGGAAACCGGCGCCGGCGCCGATGCGCTCGTCACGCCTGCCGCGCTCTCGCTATTAAACGGATTTCTCGACAACCTCTTGTTCAATGTCCTGGCCGCCTCCAAGTCCACCCAGCTCTCCTGTATCCGTCCCGCGGTGTCGGAGGTGCTGAAGCCGCGTCTTGCGTCGGAGGTTGTGGCTACCGCAGATGAGGAGTTGAGCGAATATATGGGAGGAGCCGAGGACGAACAGAATGAGTTCCGTGGTGGTCAGGAGCCCCGCGGCGACTTCGATCTGGTGCGCTCATGGAAACTGACGCGCCTCCGTTGTATGGTATACACTCGTTTGGGCGATCTGGAGGAAGAGGACGAAGACGAATTTATTGCCCAGGAACGCCTCGGAGAAAGCGACGGTGCACCCCGCAGATTCTCCAGCCATGTTGACAACGTGACTCCTGCTGCAGCTATTTTCCTGACTTCAATCATCGAGCATATTGGCGAACGAGCGCTAGTGATTGCGGGCGAGACCGCTCGGTCTCGATTGTCGGCGAAGTTGAACGACGGCGCCAGCGAATCGATCGACCCAGAGGAGGAACGCAAGCGAATTGACCGGTTGGTGGTGGAGGATCTCGACATGGAGAAGCTGGCCTTGAACGCGACCCTTGGTCGGCTGTGGCGCACATGGCGAAAGCGCAGACGCAACTCGACCATCTCACGAACCGTTTCGCGCGAATCTTTCCGGCGCCGGGGCTACTCGACTCTGGCCGTCAGCCGCAAGAGCAGCGTTGCGACCATCGAAGAACCTGTGACGCTGAAGGAGGCGCCTCCTGAAGAAGTCCCCGCGCCTGTGGACCCCGCCGAAATCCCCCTTCCGATGGGAGATTACGATGTTCAGGAAATAGAGGTGCCAGGTTTCTCGCATGAACTGGAAGGCGAGGTGCAGACGATGCAGGCCGTTGTCGCGCACAAAGTACGACCACGCAGCTTGATGGTGTTCACATCCCCCGCGATTGCGCCCAAGTCGCCCGGAGCGAGGGATTCGCCCGTGAGTGCGTCTGCCATTGACGACCCTAAGGCGTTGAGCCGTCATGCCCGCTCCAGGTCGTTGCCGAATGCGGCGGCGGGTCCACCACGCGAGGTCAAGACCTCCGAGGAACCTGCAGTCGAAAATGCGCCTTCCCCTAGTTCGTCGGAGAAAAGCAAGCAGCTCGAGACCATGTACGAGGATGACGAATCTGCCGAGTTTGTGGACGCCGCAGAGTCCGCCCCTGGCATTGCGATCACCACGCCCATTGAAGAAGCACAGGACCCACTAGCTGCAGCGGAGAATTCGGATGATTCGAGAATGTCTGTCGTGCAGGAAGAAGAGGAAGACCAGGCTCCGCCCGTGAACGAAACCATTGCCTCCCTGCGCTCTAGCGCCGACGACGACGAAGGGGTGACCGATCAATCCAACAGGAGTGCCCGGGTCTCCGTCTCGTCTCTGGACGACCAGCCAACCAATGACCCAGAGGTCATCGAAGGACGGGGGATGTGCGAGAAGCCCAAGCCAACGGCGGCGATCCAACGCCCAAGGAGGAAGCCCAGCAGGGACGCCACTGCTCAGATCAATGCAACGGCGATCGATGCAGAGACTAGCGAAGCCGGCGTGCAGCCTCTTGCGGAGAAACCGCCAACAACGCAAGGGGTGAAAACCACAGCCGCACCATCCGCCACCACGATCGAGGCTGTCAACTCTTCCAATGACGATGTTGCGGTAGACGACGATCAGCATAAATCGGTTATGGCAGCCACGAATCCCAGCGTTCCGGCGCAAGAAGAGGATGGTGCGGCTGTCGAAAAATCTCCGTCTCCGCAGGCCTTCCCAGCACTAGAGTCCGAGACCTCGCGCCCAACTTCGGCGTCCGGCGACAGTGAACGCTCCCAGAAGACTCGCACCCGCCACAGACCCAGTCCGCTCGTGGTTACGGCTAGCAACCGCAATTCTCCTACAGCGACCGAGCGTGAGCGTGCAGCTGTCCAGCGCATGCCTCCACGCCCGTCGACTTCAGTTCCTTCAGCGATCCAACCAACCAAGTCCCGCCGTTCAGAAAGCTTCAGCAGTTCGCGTGACAAGCGTCCGGTCACGGCGGGCTCCACCACCTCTCAGGTGTCGAGCAAGATTACTCGACTGATGGGTCGTCAGGGTGACTCTCCATCGCTTCGTCTGCGTAGTTCGTCCGAGACGAGCCGTGCATCAGGGAGCGCGGACTCCGATGGTAACGATACCACCGACCTGGACAGGTTGATCAACAGTGACGAGACCATTCACTACACTCTCACACCGAAGAGCGTGAGAGAAATGACTGTAAGCCCCTCATTGAGTTCCCGCCTAATTCAATTCACAATGAAGCTGACACAGAGCAGTTCCCCGAGCCACCTCGTCCAATCCCGAGGTCGGACACCGCTGATACCTCTGATCTGGCTGACTTCTTGAAGAACACGGCCCCTCCAGGAGAAGAGGCTCGTCCGCAAACTTCTGTTTCGACCAAGGCAAACGCAAACGCAGAGACTACGTCCATCGGACGCACCAAGTCTGCCGAATCTCCCAAATACATCCCTATCTCCTCTCGCATGCCACCCCAGCCCAAGTCCACGGGCAACGCTCGAGATGCTCGTCCCGCTCGTGATTCTACTCGGGAAATTGCCGAGTTTATCAAGTCCACGGGACCTGCCACTCCCACCAGCAGCCCGACTCCTACCAATGGGACAAGGCCTTCCCGGCCACAATCTACCTTCTCTACCAGTACCAACAACACCAACAGCACATACAACACCAACAACACCAACCGGAGCAACAAGACCAATAACTCTCATTCAAGTCGCCGCGGCCCACGCCTTCAGGCACGTACTGCCGAGGCGACCAAGCGTTCTCCCACGTCAGAACTGATCGATTTCATTCGCGAGGGTCCTCCGCAGCAAGGTTCTCACCGTATTCCTCGGACTGTGGCGCCCTTCCGCAACACTATTGATTCGGAAGATTTGAAGTATGACTCCTTTCAAAGTGAAAGGGATACGGCTACTCAAGGCTCCACGACCAGTTCTGCGCCGAACAAGTCCTTGACTTCTCTCGGTTCGCGGACTGGACTGCTGGACTCGGCCAACCGCGCCAACGTCCAGGCCAGGGCTGCGTCGCCAGCCAAGCCTGCAACGCAAGATGACCCGATGCCAGCTCGCAAGCAGCGTCGTGTTCCGGATCCCTATGCAATCGATGACGATGACGATGATGATATGCTCGCGGAGCTCATCAACGAAAAGCCGCCTCCGCGCCAGGAAGAGAGTCTGATGGATTTCCTCCGCAACGCACCCCCTCCTCCAGAAAGTGAAGAGACACCCCAGCCGTTCAGCTTGAGCAGTCCGTCCGTTCCTTCGAGTTCCAACGGCTCCACCGGCGGCCTTAAATCTCGTTTTCTGCGTGCCGGCGACAAGGGTCCTTCCTCGAAGATATCGATGGGCTCTTTGCGCTCGCAGAGCAGCCTGGGCAACAACCAGGCTAATTATTCTCAGAAGATCGGCCTGGAACGGAACCCTGGTTCCATGCCCTCTACCTCGCACAAACAAAGTGAGACGAGTGCCCTGGCAGATTTCTTGCGGAACACCGGACCTCCGGAACCACCAGCTGGCAGGAATGCGAAGAAGGATAACACCTTCTCACGCTTGTTTGTCCGCCGTAAGAAGGTCGAGGTTTAGACACTCTAATGCCACCCCGATTCTTACATTTCATGCATTGAGCGTTTTGGAAGTTCCATTTAACGATCACATCTCATGTCCATCGTTCTGATATCATATTTGTCTTTCTATTTTCAGTCATACCCTGACACCGTCTCTATATCTGGATAGAGCTTCATGCCTTGCACTATCTTCTTTTTCTAGTTTATTCTGCGGCTACAACCCGGTGGCTTTCTTTCGTTTCTTCATGAGAACACCTATCTCTCTGAATTCCTTCTTCGGAATGTGACACTGAACGACTAATACGGACTTTTCCTTTTCTCATATCTTCAGTTCTTGTTCGTGTTTGTTTGACTGGGCTATTCCCGGTCGACTCTGTGAATTTCGCGAGATACCATGTTTTATGTACTTGTGCCAGTAATCTAAGCCTTGATGCTCGGAAACCAATTCTTATTTCACTTTGACTTTCAGAAATATTCAGTAGACTTAAACCTACCTCTAGACACTGTTGGCGATTTGATTTATTCGTTTAAAGAAATTACCTAGGGTATTTATTGGTACTGGTATCGTTTGATGTCCTCGGCATGGAGTGTCTCCATACTTTGTGCCTGTGCCCGGATCAATGTTGATCCTGCCCACTCCCTTACCAGGTGGCATCAACAGCTCTCCTGTTTACCAACACGATCAGTTCCCCAAACCATGGGCTCCTCTCCATTCACAATGAGGTCCGTCCTCTCATTCTTTCTTCTTGTGGTGCAAATCGCATCTGCCCTGAAATTCGACCTGCCCGCACAGTCGGGCCACGGCAAGAACGAGCGATGCGTCCGCAACTTTGTGGCCAAGGACCAATTGGTCGTGGTGACCGCTATTGTTAGCGGTAGCAAGGGTGACGGTCAAGTCGTCAATATGCACGTATGTACAATGCTTTCCCGCTGGCAGTTGTTGATGCGACTTTCGAGTCTTCAGGGACTTGGTGGGCGCAACCCTTAAAACAGGCGACGGGATTGCTAACGGATCTCTTTCTCAATCCGCAGATCAAGGATTCCATGGGGAATGACCACGGTCGTCCTAAGGATATTGTAGGTGAAGTGCGCCAGGCTTTTACTTCGACCGCAGACACTGCGTTCGACGTGTGCCTTGAGAACCAACTGGTCGGTCGCAGTAAGTCCTCACCACGACAGAGCCTCTAAGCATTCTAAAAGCCCTCTGAGACATTCTCTAATTCCTATTTCTTTTCAGACGCCGTCTACAACCCCTCTCGCGAGATTGAACTCGATGTCGAAATCGGCGCCGACGCCCGTGACTGGTCCAGTATCCAGGCCCAGGAGAAGCTCAAGCCCATCGAAACCGACCTCCGCCGCATCGAGGAGATGGTTTCCGACATTGTCACCGAGATGGAGTACCTGCGTTCCCGCGAGCAGAAGTTGCGTGATACCAATGAGAGCACCAACGAGCGGGTGAAGTGGTTCGCCTTCGGCACAATGGGTATGCTGGTTGGTCTGGGAGCGTGGCAGGTGGTCTACCTGCGGGCGTACTTCCGTTCCAAGCACCTTATTTAAAGCAAATGCCGTACTTTGGTGGATGGATTGCATTTTGGAGTGTTGTTTTTATTTTCTCGCTATCTTGGATCTATGCGCAGCGCAATGGGGAAGTCCTGCTGCATCTTCTCCCCGTGTACTCTTCTCATGTCTTATGGCATTCTGTTCCAACAGTCATGACCTCAATGATATAAAATACACGCTCTGCTTGTGCGGGCATTAATCACTCAATTGTCTTTCCCGTTACAAATTATGTTGATAGCGATGATATGCGATCGTTGTCTATGAGTTTTTTTGGATGGAATGATGAGACGAGGTCTTTTTTTCGAATTCTTTGTTGAACAAAACCTGAAATGGCCCATGGCCTGGCAATTTCATTTGTTCCACAAATCTTCCGACAGGAAATCTAAGAGGCTTGAGCTCAAGTGTGGTCATGCAGCTGTCAATATTGCCTTTGCATCCCAGTATCAGAATTAAAACACTATAAGAATAAATTCAAATCTCAATTCAAACCGATACTTAAATCTGATGTCTGTTACCATCCCATGCTTATTACTAAGGTATACTAGCACTTATGAGTCGACCAGGACAACCCACTCGATATCAACGAATCCAACCCCGGCTATGTAATCCTCCGCGGCCCAGTGGAGCGGTGCTAGTGCAAATAGTGCAAACACCGGGTGTTGCAGGTACATTTTCGGCCCATTACTCCAGATGATGTCAAGTTCGCATTACAGCTCATCAACCGGCCTCCCCTTCGAAAGAGCTTCCAATTCCCCTCGAAGGACGTGAATTATGAGCTCAATGCCTGTTCCACGATTTATTAGCCGCGTCTTGCGGCGGCCCGCGCCGTCCCACACTTTCACAGCTATCAACCGTTTATTCGGCACCTCGGCCCTGCGCTTCAAGGATCCCGATGTCAATGATCGGGCGCCCCCGAATGCCCCTGGTCACCGCGAGAACCAGACCAACAAGCCGTCCAGCCCGATAGTGCCCAACACGACTTCCACGATGACCAAGGATTTCCCTAATGTTGGACAACGACCCGCGCCACCCGACATGCTCAACTCCGTCGACCCCGATTACCGCCCGGCTGATCCGTACCCCGGCAAGATCGAGCATCTTACTGGCGGTCGCCAGAGCCAAGGCCCGCAGAAGCCCGAGCTGGGCGTTGGTGAGATGGAGGGTATTACCTTCAAAGTTGAGCCTTTGAAGCGAACCGGAGAGGATGTTACTACTACCAGAGCTCGTTTGCTTTGTAAGTTACCTTCGACCGTGCATGGTGACTGCAATTCCTTGCTTCGGGTTCAAGTTTGAACTAATTCCGCGTTTGAAAATATAGACCAGAGCCGAAAGCGTGGTATTCTCGAGTCGGACCTGCTCCTGTCCACCTTCGCCGATGTCTACCTGCGCGACATGACCCATGAGGAGCTGCGGGAATACGATAGCTTCTTGGACGAGAATGACTGGGACATCTACTACTGGGCGACACAAGACCCGCCCACTGATGTGCCCGAGTCTAAAGCTCCGCCGCCTGAGGATACCGTGACTGAGACCTGGAAGCAGACTGGTGCCAAGAGCGGCGAGTGGGCACAGACTGTTGGCGCGTTCAAGGCAGCTTACCGCCCCGTTCCGTCACGATGGAAGGACTCGAAGGTGTTGCAGCTGCTGCGGGAGCATGTCCGTGATAAGAGCGCCACTGGATTCGAGTCGGCGAAGAATAAGAAGACTGGTGGTGGTCTGGGACGCATGCCCAATGTACAGATTTTCAACTGAACAGGGCCGGCGAAGCTGTAACAACTTTTTTGTATATTATAGTTAGCTTAAATTCAGTCAAGGCGATATGTCATGTATAGTTCGATCAATTTGATGCAGTCAAGACAATGCTGGTGTAGTGGTAGCTATTAAAGGGTGGCTTTCATGCAGTAAATTGCGATATCGGTGGTATCAGTCAATACAGGAACTCTGGATACAACAGCCTCCATGCGTTCCAGAAGATCCATGGAATGAAGGTTCCCTAACTATACAATTGTATCGAGAATATAGTCTGTTACTAAGCAGGATGCTCATTTCACGTGATCTTCGCTTACAGTTAGGGCACGGCGGAACCACACAAGGAGCCAGCCAACCGGGTTAGGGCTTGAGCGGGCACGCAGCCGTCTCCTTCCTCTGCGATTTTATCTCCCCAGCGTCAACGACCTCCCCATCCTCTCACCTTCATCGTCTACTCCCATCATGGCTGAGCAGCTGGTTCTTCGCGGCACCCTCGAGGGCCACAATGGCTGGGTTACTTCCCTGGCGACCTCTCTGGAGAAGTAAGAGATCTAGCCCGAGTTTTTCGCATTGAATTCGTCGTTCTGACTTGCTCCGCCTTTAGCCCCAACATGCTGCTGTCGGGCTCTCGCGACAAGACCCTGATCATCTGGAACCTTACCCGCGATGAGCAGGCCTACGGTTACCCCAAGCGCAGCCTGGAGGGTCACTCCCACATTGTCTCTGACTGTGTATGCATCTACCCCTCCCGAAACCCACCCCAGAATCATGGATCTATATTGGAAATTGGAGGAACCGAATTGGAACAACGAACCGGAAATACAATTGGGGCTTCTTCGCTGACCGCTGGTCTTTTTTTGATCTTTACAGGTGATCTCCTCTGACGGTGCCTACGCTCTGTCCTCCTCGTGGGACAAGTCCCTCCGCCTCTGGGAGCTCTCCACCGGCAACACCACTCGCACCTTCGTCGGCCACACCAACGACGTCCTCTCCGTCTCTTTCTCCGCCGACAACCGTCAGATCGTCTCCGGATCCCGTGACCGCTCTATCAAGCTGTGGAACACCCTCGGTGACTGCAAGTTCACCATCACCGACAAGGGCCACACCGAGTGGGTTTCCTGCGTCCGTTTCAGCCCCAACCCCCAGAACCCCGTCATTGTCTCCGCTGGCTGGGACAAGCTCGTCAAGGTACGCTACACTTCCGATTCCCGAAGCCAGCATATGCTTTTTTTCGAACTTTTGTTATATCCTCCCCTACATGATGTTTGCATAACTACGTATTTGCTACTTCAGAGCCCTCAGGGCTATGAGACAACCATCACCCAATGCCTGATAAAATTCTTGAAAACGCGCTTTTGTGTTTTTGGAAATGAGGAGGATACGGAAAAATTTTCGTCTCCTGCTGGCTTCAATCTTGAATACTGCGGATGAAACCAAGATCGCTGACCATTGATCTACGAATTTAGGTCTGGGAGCTCGCTTCCTGCCGCCTGCAGACCGACCACATCGGTCACACCGGCTACATCAACACCGTCACCATCTCCCCCGATGGCTCCCTCTGCGCCTCCGGTGGCAAGGACGGTACCACCATGCTGTGGGATCTGAACGAGTCCAAGCACCTCTACTCCCTCCACGCCGGTGACGAGATCCACGCCCTCGTCTTCTCCCCCAACCGCTACTGGCTGTGCGCTGCCACCAGCAGCTCCATCACCATCTTCGACCTCGAGAAGAAGAGCAAGGTTGATGAGCTCAAGCCCGAGTACGTTGAGAAGGGCAAGAAGAGCCGTGACCCCGAGTGTATTTCCCTGGCCTGGTCCGCCGACGGCCAGACCCTGTTCGCCGGTTACACTGACAACAAGATCCGTGCCTGGGGTGTCATGTCGCGGGCATAAATGGGTTCTTTGTTAGACGAGTTTGCGGTGAAGGGAAAGGAGGCCTCTTTTTGATCTATCGCCAAGGGAATCAAAAAAAAGTTCAAAATCCAGAACAAGAAGGGCATTGGTTTGGAATGTATGAGCCACGAGCAATGAAGCACTCTTGGGCCGGGGCCGCCCCGGTCTGTGAGGTTTTCTGACATGCCTAGCTTACTCGATTCGCCATTGAATAAAATGTCTTGAATCTTGTGGAGGCATGTGATGTTCTAATACCACTTAAGGCATCAAAATGTTTCATTTTTTTCTTCACTTTTCCCGACATTGTAGTCTGTAGTATATCACAATTATGAAGGTTCGGAGTTCCATCGTCAATCGACCATGATGGGCTTGTGACCACATTGCTCTCAAGGTAGCAGAAAATCACTCGTCATGTATTTCGATCTACAATTGTAACGACTCAAAATTAACTGTTGCCTTGTCGGTGCGGCCATCGAACTTGTTGAAAGGAGAAATTGATTCTATCAGGTCATGAAACTAATGTACATCAGCGCTTATGTCGATGCGCATTTATACCATATGTTTCTTCAGTCTCTTCAAGGCATCATCCGTCATGGAAACAATATCATCATAGCCCAGGCTTTTCGCAAGAGACTTGGCCTCAGTATAGCGCGCAATTGCAACATCGGGCTTCTTCTGCAGCTCAGCGAGTTCGCCCAGATTGTACGTAGCTGCGACGCAACTGATATCACACTCCTCATCGCGAACCGGTGGCTTGATATGCGCGGCGACATCAATCGCTTTTTGCGCCCATTTCCGAGCTGCCTCGACAGTTTGCTCTTGAGAGACACCATGCTTCTGTTGAGCACGGGGTGCTGCCAGCTGAACCTGACCAGCCATTGTACTAGCAACACTGTTCAGCAGGACTACCTGCTTGCATGAGGGGGTATCTCCCTCCTCTGCACGAATCATATCCAATGCGCGGAGATAGAGCGGCATGGCGAGTTCGTGGCGCTCTTTCGCCGTATAGATCGTCGCAAGGTCGGTCAGAGCCGTAGCGATCTCGGTCAAGTTCAACCATGAATCGTCTGATCCCTCGCCGGTACTTGTCCCAACGGGCAAACCAAGCCTTTGACGTCGATGCATCTCCTTGAGACAGTGCTCGACAGCAGCAACCTGCGCTGCCTCGGCCTTCTTGTCATCTTGAATATAGTCGCTCGAGTATAGCTCTGCGAGCTTCATCTCGATACCAATAACCTTCTTCAAGGCACGGTCCCGCTGCCGCGTCTCGTATTCCTGCAGCTCCTTCATAGCCTTCTCCGCATCCTGCATTGCCTCCACATTGACCTGCACATTATCCGCGGGAACCTTTGCAGCGGACGGCTGTGCCTCTGTTGATACTGTCTTCTCAGCAGTAGGAGCCTCCATCTTCTGACCATCCTCTACCCAAGCCAATGCCTCATTCTTTGTCCGCTCCAGCACCTCGGTCGCCTGCTTCACGAGCCCAGCCTTCTCCAGCATCGCCGCAACCTGGATCTTCAGACCCAGCACCTCGTCCGAAAAAGGGTGCATTCCCTCTTCAATTGCCAGCTTGAGCGCAGTCTTGTATGCATGCAAGGCCTTCGGTGCATTCAAATCGATATCCGTGTAGTAGATTGCCTTGCGCAAGGCATCGGCCACGTTCTTCGGAAATTTGGTATACTGCGGAACATTCTTCATGACTTCGACGTAGGTTGCATAGCTAAAGAGAGAAATTGCACCGATGATGGAGATGAAAGCAATTGGGAGGAGAATCGGGTTCTTGCGGAAAATACCTTTCCCTGCTTCCCGGTAGCCCATGCGAACGCGCTGCCAAAAAGAGGCATAGCGCGGGCCGGAGATCCGCGAGTTTCGGAGTATATTGTTATTGTGAACAGTCGATCGGAGTGTTGGGCGTGCGGTATGGCTACATATTGACCGAGTCGTCGTTGAACGCTGTGCTCGGAGGATGGTTGAGGCGTTGGCGCCGGCGCGCCTTGTGGCAGCCTGGAACATTGGTGCTATTTATGCGCGAGGGTATTTCTTCCTGTCGTTTTCTGTGACCCAAATTCAAAATGCGATTGTGGAGGGAGCAATGTTTCTGTGTGGCGACGTTGGAGGGCTGAAAACGCCGCGGCGGAAGTTGCAGACGCGCCCGATTTTCGCTTGGCCCAAGCTTTCTCTCCGCCATATGACGTCGCCCACCCGCCGCTTGCCTTGCATGCGACTCCCTGGGGACAGCGGAAGCCCTGTCTCTTGAATTGATTAATCAAATTGGCTGGGCCTTCAGATACTTATTGAACCTGGTTCAAGATGTGTGGGCGCTATGCTCTGGGTGTGGTATGTCTGCGTTTCATGCTTGGCTGGACCCCATACTAATGACTATCACAGCGCCTAGCGTACATGCGACAGCAGCTAGAGGACATGGGCATGCCCGTCGATGAGGCGCCAGAAGATGAAGATGTTCGCGAAACATACAATTTCGCTCCAGGAAACTTCGGGGCCGTCTACCGAGCCGACGTCCCTGACGAGAGGCATGGCCAGCACAAAGCGCCGGTGGAGGAACAGAATGAAGAACATCAAGCGCCAAAGAAAGACCAAGACTCAAATGATCAGCCAAATGATGGACGTACCAAATTCAAGATACAAAGTATGAAATGGGGTCTCATTCCCTTCTGGACTAAGCGGGCACCAGACTACGGCTCCATGATGCGCACGATCAACTGTCGGGACGACTCATTAATTGAAGATCGCGGCATGTGGACCTCCATGAAACGGCGTAAGCGTTGCATTATTGTCTGTCAGGGCTTCTATGAATGGCTGAAGAAGGGACCGGGCGGCAAGGAGAAGGTCCCTCACTTTATCAAACGGAAGGACGGAGACTTGATGTGCTTTGCAGGGCTGTGGGACTGCGTTCAATATGAGGGTATGTTCCGTGCCTAATCGAACTTTGTTCCCGACGCTCGAAGCTAATCATAATTCTCGCAGGCTCGGAGGAGAAACTCTACACTTATACTATCATCACAACCTCTTCGAACTCATATCTTAAATTTCTCCACGACCGAATGCCTGTTATTCTCGATCCTTCATCTGATGAAATGAAAAAATGGCTTGATCCTAAGCGAACGACATGGTCAAAGGAGTTGCAATCTATTCTGAAGCCATATGAAGGAGACTTGGAGTGCTACCCAGTTTCGAAGGAGGTTGGCAAAGTCGGAAACAACTCTCCCGAATTTCTTGTTCCGGTCAACAGCAAGGAAAACAAACAAAATATCGCCAATTTCTTTTCCAACGCTACAAAGAAAGAAGAAAAGTCCACTTCTCCTGCTGATGTCCCTCCGAAGATTGAGACTGTCTCTCCGGGCACAGCGCTGAAAGATGAGGGCGACGAAAAGAAAGTTGAACATGGCGTCAAGAGAGAACACCCAGAAGATATGGAAGATGAAAGCAAAAAATTAAAGACGGATCAAGGTTCATTCTCGCGATTACCACCGAAGCCGAAGACACGAAGTGCGACTCACAACACACCTACAAAAAAGTCGACAACTAAACCGCCCGATGGGTCGCAAAGAATCACCAATTTTTTTAAGAGATAATCAAACCTCTATGCGCGGTTATTGTAATAAAGCAATCTTCAAGCTCCAAATTGATTAAGCCGTCCGTTGGAGTGTAGTGGGTAGGCGTATGTGGGTTTGAAGATATATTTTTCCCGCTACTATCACACGAACAGAACACAATGAACAATTTGATTATACCATAGGTTAATTCCATGCAAGTGCAACGCTATTGCATGTAAATCCCTTGAATTTGACACAAAAGTAAAAATTAAGAAAGAATTCAAAATGATTGAGCAACAAGTTTAGGATGTTTTCACATTTACCTTGATTTAATGTAAGCTATATCAGTATTATACATAAGGGTTGACATCTTACGCCTGGCCCCAAGGCATCACTGCTTCTCCATTTCTCGCAATCTCTGCACTAGCTTTTCTCGGAGGAAAGGGCTCAGTCCCAAACTGTAATATAGTGTCAGTAAACTAAGAACGTATATACGGGAAATTGGTCGGAAAAGTAGCTTACATTCCGTCTCGGGTCACAGTGCGATATGTGCCTAGAATTAGAGAGTTAGCGTCGAAATTGGAGATCGAGGCCAAGACCTTACCACTCGGTTGATAGTTTCCATTTCCGTCCACAAACTGGCCGTTGCCATCAACTTCGAGACTGCCAAACATATCCTCGGGCCTGTAAGGGGTCAGCTACAGTCGTATACTTTTGTCCAACCTGTTCGAGAGGCCATACCAAGCAATCCTGCCATACTCCGGAGGACGTCTGGTATCCGAGACGTGTATCCAGCCACCCCGTCCACCAGAGCCAGCTCCGCCTTGACCACTTGCTCCGCCACTGGAATCACCCATCTCTGCACGCCTTCTCCTGCCCCTCTGGCCAGTCAACAGCACACCACCGGACATAATATTCGCCCCCGATGTGGACACCATCACCTGCGCTTGAGATTGTGCATCGGGATCTTCGTGCGCATGTTTAGCGAAAACCTCTTGGAGAATGTCGAGGAACTTTGGGTTCTCTGTGAACGAGTCTGTTGTTGGCGGCATCTTGGTTGTAACTCCGATGGCCAATTTTGGGTTCACCGGTTCTGAGGACAGAAGGGAAAGAATGTGCGATCCTTTTGGTTCCTCACTGGGAAACACATACTGTCATAGAACAAGTCATTAGCGTATGGAACCAATGGGTAACATGTCAGACAGAAAGATGGCATACAATATCAGGATTGCTTTCAAGGGTGGAAACATAGCGAGCACGCATCCATCTAGAAGCGTTGAAGGCCTGTCGGCCAGCTGTCCTTATGGTGAACATTAGGGGAAGTAAGTTTGGCAGCAAAGGATAATGTATTTAAGTCCGAGGTGATGTTTGGAAAGCTGGAGATGTCATCGTGCAGATCCGAGGCGGTCAGCTTGGCGGTGAGCCATGTTTGTATGAGTGCGGCGCCGTACCTTTGCGCCTGTCAAATCGCAGTGCCGGCGACGGTGATTCTGAAGGAGCTGTGGATTGAGTGCTTTGCTACTGATGAGCAGCCTCCTGATGAATGGCATTAGACTGGAATTTCTGCTTAGAGCTTAAGCTCTCGTGTCATTCGCTTCAACTGCGTTCTCGACAAAACACATCCGCTCGCTCACGTCAAGTGCTGATACGACGACACAGGCAACCAAACCAAGCTCTTTTACCCCACCATACCTATCGCACTCTTCTTCTCCCACTCCGTGATCATCATGGCGACTCCATCAGGAAAACCGGGCGCAACGCCTACGCATCTCACCTCATCTCCACACCCGTCTTCTGCACCTCTCTCTCGCTCCGTCGCTCATAAATCGCCCTCAATGAGAACGCCAACGGCCTCAAACCCGGGCCCAACACAACTTCCCAACACATCATCACACCAATGTGCGACGCCTCTCAATGCGCCAACTGCTGTGGATCCCAATGACCCCGTCAGTTTCAGCTCTCCTTCGGCGCTACTCGCACTCGGCGGCTATGCTGGCATTAGTCCATCCCCGGCAGTACACGAAAATTTGGTTGGCCCTGGTATGAATGAAAACGATATTCAGAACCTCGGTATGCAAGGCATGAAGCTCGGCGTTACTAGAGATAGCGACGTGGAACAGCGACAACGGATCGAGGAGGTCGTTCGGCTTCTAGCTACGCGCGTGACAGGAAGAGGTGTCTCTCGAGAGGGTATTGAGCGCTTAAGTAATTTGCAAGGCTTTGAATCCCTCTGGCAGAATGACAACATCAACATTGCGGGCAACTTTGTCGACCTGGAGATCGAATTTCATGCTGGCTATGATGTTGTCAAGGACGTCAGTTTGCGATATGCGACACCCGAGTACGAGGAAGGAGAGCGGCGAGAAGCTGCTACTCTTGTACTCAAACGCAATCTTGTACAATCCCCCGAGGACGCTGATGCGGGAAGGTGGAGAAAGCCGGACAATTTCTACGAGAATCTGCAATGGCTTGCCAAGCTGGACAAGCTCAGCCAAGAAGTCAACTGCTTCGAAGCACTGGAGGGCCTTGAAGAAGGCTTCAAACGTATCTGGGCCGAAGAAGAGAAGAACGGCAAATATGGTGGTGAAAACCAACACCTCTGTACCAGTGTCATCGGTCGTCCGACCATGCACAGGGGCTATCGGATCGGACTAGGGCTGGATTACTGGGCTGAACAACCCAAGCTTCTAGATGTACAAGCGGCTAAAGCAGCGGCGGCCTCCGCTGACGCAATGGCAATTGATCAGCCACAAAACTCAGACGCAGACACGAAAGACCTGGATAAGTTATGGACGATGTTGATTGAATGCGAGGAAGGATATCCGTCCCTGCGAATTTCGAAGGAGTGGGTAGGAGGCGAGGTTTTCACAGCCGGAGAGAACAGTAAGGCAATGCCCTCTGCAGGATCCGCAGGGTCTGCGAACTGGCTTGATCCTCCGCAGACAATGCGACTGTCACATGGAAACCATCCAGACCCCATGGCTCTTGATTCAAGCATGCTGGAGCAGTCCCCTCCGAATCGCCGTTTTGTGGCTAAACTAGAACCTGCTCTTGATGTTCCCATTCTCGCTGCGTCTGAAATCTATCGACACTTTGGGATGCAATTGCCCCAAGACTTCAAAATGGTCACCTATGACGGGATGCTGGTTCCCGGATCAGCCACAGATTCATCGGCTCAGCCGGGCCGCAGAAATCATAATGGCTCGGTCCTTGCAGTCGATTCTCACGGTGTGTCATCCATGAAGGAGCACAGATATTCGTTCCAGGCATTTGAGTCCGTTGCAGGCCGAACCATTCGCGATCTCCCATTCTCTCACCCTCGGCAGGTGGCCGAGATACTCCCAGTAAGTGTCCCCCGTTTCCTGTTTTAAAACATAGACACTGAAAAAAGACTAGGTCCTACGCCAATACGCTCTACTTGCGAGCCTCATTCGAAGAGTTTTTAAAACCCCGGCGCCCGTGAAGAAGGAAGCAGAGAAGCCAACAGAGGCTTTGAGCAGCAGACCCGATTCGCCGGATGAGAACCTAACCTTTCTGTCAAAGACTGGAATTACCATTCTGAGCAATGAGGATCCCAACAAGGATAATTTGGAGGATCTCATGAGCGGCAAAGGCCACGGCTCCCGTGCCAACTCTATGGTAAGTGATCAGCAGGATGACGAGGCCGCGAGCCAAAGCACTGACAACAGCCAGTCTGTCATGGTTGACATCACATTGCGCACACAACTCGGACAAGCACCCGCCATCATTCTTTACTTCACCGATCTTAGCCGGACTACTGGAAATCTCTCCCCCACCACCATTTGCTTCGAGGTCGGCCTCAATGGTCGGGTTACCGTGGCAAACAGTTCTGGACTTGTGGAAGACAAGGAAGACGACAGCGGTGACTCGAAAATGCAAGAGGCGGATGACTCGGAGTTGCAGGCAATCCATAAGAAGATTGCCAAGGTCATGGAGGTCTCCCAGGATATCGGTATCACGGTGGAGTGGGTCCTGCGCTGGCAGCGGGGGCGGGACGGCAGTGGCTGAAGCAGCTCTGTGAACTAGATCAGGTCTATCGGTGATGGGTCAAAGGTTCTTCCGCTTGAAGCTGCCTGCTCTGCAAATTCGCGGTCACAATGTCTTAGGGCTAACATCTAAACGAATGAAATGATTTCAACTCAGAGAGGTGGAGTATGTATTCGATCTAGCACCGACTACTTATTGTAAAATCTATGTGCTTCCTCACTACTGCCACTGCTCGCGCAAATGAGCGGATGGAAAGTCAATGACACTGATCAAACTACACCGACCTACACAGTGTAAGTCGGACGTCGTCCTAGTCACGCCCAATGTGACCTAGAACGTGACGGTGTCTCCCGATGGTGAGACCTAAGGAGGGCTTAAGCTTCCTCTTCATAAGACCCTACTTTTGGATTGCCAAGTTGATAAAGGGTAACGCTACTGCGTTGTGTGACCGGATGATCGGCCATGCATGCTGTGAGGGCAGCCGATTTTCTCGGGAGCTCGATAGGCCATTTACAAGCCATTATCGCTAGATGCATGTACTGATAATGTAGGGACTATCATTCCGATATCGATGTCGGCAGTGCGGCGAATGGGATTAGTTTCAGACATAGCACAGATCGGTCGCTGCGTCTACTGCCATCTGTGGACGTTAATATGCTTGGTAGATGGTGTATGTGAGCTGTCCTGGGCACAATGTCCACATAACATGCTGGGACTCCAGTAGCAGATTATCAGGGGTAAGATCTGGAATCTCCAATCTTGGAAGTTCCCTCGATTGTCTACTATGCAACAAGGTATGGCGTCACATGATATTTTCATCTGTAGTCGACGACGGATCGCACATACCCTTTGACAACTTTTCCAAATCGCCATTACACCAAGTGCGTGCCTCACCAGTTAATTCTCAACGTCAAGCGGGGGTGTCAGACTAGCCCTGCACCGTTACGTCGCCCTTGCATCGCAGGCCATTCCGCACAACAAGAAAAAGGCGTGGATAACCGAACCTGACGTCGATGAGGCAACATACCCGTTTCGAAATCCAGATGACCCGCCATAAGCGGGCCCAGAACAAAAAAAGGAAAAAGAAAAGAAAAGAAAAGAAAAGAAAAGAAAAGAAAAGAAAAGAAAAGAAAAGGCAGGCAGAGCGATTTGTCCGCGCAGTTGGCGCATGTACTCTTATTACATGTACTCTTATTACGAGGACCAACGGACCACTACGAGGGATCTAGATAGGATTTCAATCCTACTCGTGACTAGTTGTGATCAGGCTAGACACGAGGGGTTATCAGGACCAGTCATCAACCCCCCTCCCCACTTCAGGCTATAGGCATCATGACGGTGATTCAGTTGACCCAGACGCTATGACATCGTTATCAGTGCCTGGGAAACCAGATCGAAAATTCGAGCCGGGCCGGTCAAATCATTACTTTTTTGAAGCCCACATTCCGGTGAGGCATTTCGAACATTTGCGACAAATGCCTCAATAGGGATTCTGTTGCGGATAGGGATTCTGTTGATCCATGCGACATATTCGAGTCTTTTCCTGAATTTTTGACTTGTTTCCAGCAAGTCAAAGTATCCCTGTCTGACATAGTACATATTGTACGCCCTCCACTTTTGCGGGTGGTACCTGCTCGCGTCTCAGCCCTGGAGGGAGTCCGTCCTACTGTAGTCAGCGCCATGTGTCAGGCCAATGAGAGGGCGTCGATAAGCAAGCCAGGACTGTCGATCCAACTGGGGCTAGCAGGTCGAAAGGGACCACCAATTCCATTCTGCTTTCTGGTTCCTTCCCACTTGCTCGGCGGTCATTTCTGGTCATCGCCGTACTGCGGTATTGCGAGCGCATGTGCAGGGACATGTGCCTCCGCAAATACCCTTACCCTAGAACTTCCCTATGGAGGCATCTTAGGGTAGGTCTCGTGCCCTAGGAAGTCCCGAGGGCCGTTCTCGACTCCCGTCGACTCGGGCTGACTAACCACGTGTGTTTCACTGCTATTCTTGTCTGTGCGGAAAATAGAACTGCGCGCGGCTGTGCAACGCAATGGCACGGCGGCCGGTCCGCGAGCATCTGGAGATGGAGAGGCTCGGGTCTGATCGAGGACAGGGCTATTCTTGTCCTCCGTAGTGCAGGCGGAGGGCCGCCTGGCTGAAGAAAAGTCTTAGGTATTCTTAGACAGGGCTGAGTTTATGTGTGAGATCGGAAGGGCCCCAGAGCCACTAGGTCGCTCCTAAATCCCCCGACATTTTGGCCCAACACCCATTCACAGCTCAGGGAAAACCCGGGGAAAGATCGAGTCGCCACTTTGCAGAGAGGGCTCACTGTTCGTGCGTGCACTCTGGAGAATCCCTGCCCCCTGGGGTTCTCCCCTACCCATCTTGAAGGTCTCAATATTCGCCCATCCCCAGCCTGAGGCCTTTGCAAGCAGCCCTAGGGGAAAATCACGCATTTTGCCATAATTTGAATGTGTATCTTACATAGCCGAGTACACGCATACATGGATACATGTATTCCAGCGAAAAATGCGAAAAGATTAAATCCGCAAAAGATAAAAAAAGGCGACGCGACTCGTGATACGTCCCGCCGAGTCGCAAACCCGTGGCCGGCATCGGGGCGGTTCCCACCAGACGGCGTGATTGGTGCTTCGGCGGAGGTTTCGAGAACGTTTTGCCACGCTCCACCTTGCGACCGCCGTGTCGCCTGCGCTCGATCGCGCGGTGGCTGGGCAGACGGGGCGGCGGATCGTATTGGTACGGCGCTGGTATCTGCTGGACCAAGTGGGTAAGGTCTCCGTCGCGGTACTTCTATGTATGGGGAACGTATTGTTAGTTGTCCACCGTAACACCACGACGATTTGCAGGTATCCAATCTCGCCATTCCGGGGCCATCGCCCTGCAGGTACGCAGAGTCTGCGTTGTCGATAAGGTCTAGACAATCGATATATCGTGCGCTAGACCGTCCAAGTAGAGAACGAGACCATGCCACGCGGCAACACCTGCAAGGCAGCGATAACAAATGGCGCATTCGAGCCCGTGGGGGATCAGGTACCGATGCGGGTTTCATCCTGCGCGGGACGGTGTTGGTTTGGATCTTGCGGAGGAAGCTAGAGCCTGCCTCCACGGCCCGTATACATCCGTCGAACATCCCATTACATATGTCCAAGGTGTATATCACAGGATTTGATGGTTTTTAGTAGCAAAAGCAATGAATAAAACTTTAATGCAAAAGTATACTGGAACAAAATTTATGATTTCTTTTTTGTTTACCTAGAAAATATGCGATATTTTCTGGACCAGGTGCCGGATCTACCTATATGTATCAGTCCCGGGCAATGCAGCAGATATGTACCTGGTTCGAAGGGGCCTTCTGGCAGCTGCACGCGAAAGAAAATTCGTAACTGGCTGCTCTTTGAATTGAGAATAACCAGTCAGATTGGCACAACGTCCGTAATTATCCGTCCAGACAGATGCAGACATGCCCTAGGGTGTCCCCGGGCTGAACGATCCCCCGGACTTTTCCCGCTGGGGTTAAAAGACGGAGCAGCTGGACCTGGATAAGACGTGGGGTTCCGGGAGATCAGAAGAAGGGCTCTGACCTGCTGGAGGCCGCAGAGCACCCAGTTCCTCCAATTGATAGCGCTTGATTTGATGGTGGTGAACAGACCAGGGGTGTTCAGTGGGTGTTATCGGTCCAACGGGAACAACAGGATTGATCATATTACTGGGCCAGATTACAAGGCCCAAGCGGTGATTGGACCTCGCTCGACCTGACTATCACGACATCGAGGTCATAGTATCGCGAAAAGGTTAAAACAACTCCTCCATACAGTAGGAGATGCCCATAGCCTCGAGTGGCGGTGACCGCGGTTGTCCATACCATAATCTAGGAACATACTATACCTAGGTAGCAATGCAAAGTCCGGAAGGAACCCCTGGTCGCCCGAGGACCCGAGAAAAATAGATTCTAAAGTAGACGGCCGAGCAACAAGGCGATTCAGCCAGTGCGAGGCCCGAATATGCCTGCGGAGTGGATGATCACTTGTGATCGAGCGAACTTGTCGGCGACGACCGGCTTAGCAGCGCTTGTATGATGCGACGATGATGACACGGAGGGTGGCGTCGAAACTGGTCGGCAGATTTCAGTCCCTGGGCCCTGTCAACCGGGCAGCGCTTGTCTCGCTTGAAACAATATAATTTTGGGAGCGGCAGAAAAGCGTGCTTTTGCGACTGCAGTGCATCAACACAATAAAACGGAATGGGCTCGATGCGAGCGATTTTCCGTGCCCTTGTTTCCCCAATGATCCCGGTTTCGGGCAGCAGGAATGTGTTTTCTAGTATGAGGCACTTTTGGTACCGGCGTAACGATACGTAAGCCCACCGGGTCTGAATACCGCTAGTCGGTTTCGGGAGTGGCTGACCCGCGCCTTCTCATTCTGCGGGTTCCCCCCCAAGGAGTCACGGCTGGCGTGACTAAATTTAAATCTTTATCGGCCTCCCCTCCTTCTTAAACCTCACCCATCTCCCTTTTGGATTTTCCATCCATCGTCCGTTTTTCAATCCTTCGGGATTTCTTCCACTCTCACCTTCTCCATCCTTCTCTACTTGCCCAGCAAGTTCAGTCCTTCTGCTTTTTGACGTTCACACACATCACAACCGTTCATTATGGTATGTCGCTCACCTGGTGACTCACATCGATTCACAGCGATCCCCGGACCGCTGCCGTCTGCCTGCGATCTGGTTTCAATTGGAAAAATACTAACGGTGATCCCGCCCACAGGCTGCCGATTCAACTGTCATCTCCAACACGGAGAATGTACGTTTGCCTTGATGATTTGGATTTCCACAATGGCCTTTTTTTGAGCCAGCGAGGAAATACAAAAATACTAACTAATCTGGGGGTGAACAGCTCATGAAGTACATGTCTCTCGACCAGCGCGGTCGCGTTCAGGCCGAGTACATCTGGATTGATGCCGTCGGCGGTACTCGTTCCAAGACCAAGGTACGTTGTCACTTCTCTTCTGCGACGTGATTCGACCCTTCATCTCCGTATGCGTTGTGGCCGACAGGGTGGCGCAGCCTTATCACGCTCTGGCGATTAAGTTCTGCGGCCGCGGGGCTCGCTGGAGACGCGCGACGCCACTGCTGCAACTATCCGCATCACGTGAGATGGCGGGGCAACACGACCCTTATCGGACATGCTGGCTAACTGGGATGCGTTTCAAATAGACTCTCTCTAAGCCCGTCAAGTCCGTTGACGAGCTCCCCGAGTGGAACTTTGATGGTTCCTCGACTGGTCAGGCCCCCGGTGACAACTCCGATGTCTACCTTCGTCCCGTCGCTTTCTTCCCCGACCCCTTCCGCCAGGGTGACAACATCCTTGTTCTCTGCGAGACCTGGGACTCCGATGGCAGCCCCAACAAGTTCAACTACCGTCACGACGCTGCCCGTCTGATGGAGACCAACGCCAAGGAGGAGTTCTGGTTCGGTCTGGAGCAGGAGTACACCCTTCTCGGCACTGATGGCTGGCCTTACGGCTGGCCCCGCGGTGGTTTCCCTGGCGCCCAGGGCCCCTACTACTGTGGTGTCGGTACCGGCAAGGTCTACTGCCGTGATATTGTCGAGGCCCACTACCGTGCCTGCCTGTACGCCGGTATCAACATCTCCGGAATCAACGCCGAGGTCATGCCCTCCCAGTGGGAGTACCAGGTTGGCCCCTGCCCCGGAATTGACAGTAAGTTTGACTCGCCTTTTCTCATGAATTTCCCGATCCACGAGCTAACTGGTGTTGAAGTGGGTGACCACCTTTGGATGTCTCGTTTCATTCTCCACCGTGTCGCTGAGGAGTTCGGTGTCCGCATCTCTTTCGAGCCTAAGCCCATCAAGGGTGAGTGGAATGGTGCCGGTCTGCACTCTAACGTTTCCACCGCTTCCACTCGTGCCGAGGGTGGTATGAAGGCCATTGAGGCCGCCATGAAGAAGCTCGAGGCTCGCCACATTGAGCACATTGCCGTCTACGGTGAGGGTAACGAGGAGCGTCTGACTGGCCGTCACGAGACTGGCAACATCGACAAGTTCTCATATGGTGTCGCCGATCGCGGTGGCTCCATTCGTATCCCCCGCCAGGTCGCCAAGGACGGCAAGGGTTACTTCGAGGACCGCCGCCCCGCCTCCAACGCCGATCCCTACCAGATCACTGGTATCATCGTCGAAACTATGTGCGGTGGCCTCTAAACCGCAAAACATCATTTGGTCTTAGCGCTCCGATACCCTCCGGCAACCAACGGGGAGTCCGGACCATGAGAGCGGCCTGACTGCGTGAGGGAGCCCATAGATCCTTTTTCTCGTGTGCCTTTTTTCTCTTCCACTTTGCCGTCTATCTTCTGAACCCTTTTCCGTCTTTCATCTCCCGGCGCCAGAGTCCACCTCCTGCGTTCAGTTTCTCCTCCCTCGTTGCACTCGCCGATCTAATAGTTTTTGTTTTTTCAAACCCCTCTGCGTGACATGGGTGACTTCGTTTTCTTTCCAACCCCTCTGCATGACATGGGTTATGTGTGACGTACAATAGCATAGAACCACCACCTGGATGGAAAAAAATACCATCGTTTCAAGAAAACACCAGAATAGCATGACAGCTTATCGTCTCCTAAACAGATTCTAGCCCCTGCCTACTCGCTTCTCAACCGACGCCCTGAATCCTGGTGATCGACCGGCGGCCAAGGGCTCGACTTGGTACGTCCGGGGTATAGTAGAAACCTTCTGCTACCCCCACGCTATCACCTAGTCAGATCTTCCGACATATCAGCCCGATCTACTCCACACTCCAATTATCGCGATGTTTTCGGTTAAATGCAAGCCAATGCCGAGCCTGAACCCCACACGCAACAAACCCCGGGACGGGGCTCCACCTCCCCTTCCCACCTGGCAGATGGCTGGCAATCTATGCACGTTCCCGGGTCACTCTCTTCCCAAGGGTTACCGACATTGCTGTCGGGCAAATAACGCTACCAGTTACTGGGTCTTTCCACGCTACAATCCACATCTCGACTTCGCCATTCCCCCATGCCAAAAGTCCTCATCCGAAGCTGCGAGTTCTGTCGCTCAAGAAAGGTCCGATGTGATGAGCAACGGCCTTCCTGCAAGACATGCTATGACCACAAACGTGACTGTGTTTATCACATCACTTTACCGAAACCGAGGTGTGCCATTGTGGATCATTGACATGCGGCTCAAACGCGCATCGCAAATAAAGCCCTTGCTGATGATCTCATTATCCAGACCAACGAAGGCCGTGGTTAATGCTCTCCAGTCGGAGAACAGAAAAATCAACGCCCTGGTTCAACGACTCAAAGATGCAACGACACCGGAAGAGCTTTGGCAGACCTTCCACTCGGGCGAGGACGAAGATGGAGCCAAAAGTGTGCAGCCGCGAGGAGCCCGTACACCACCTACGTCTAGCTATTCCCACAACGCCTCTCCAAATGAGGAGAAGGTAAATAACCGACCGGAAGAGACCGAGTTTGTTCAACTAGTTTCTGACCAGACGACATTCGACGCCTCGTCCTACGTCTCCGTGGATGAATCAGGCAATTTCAACAGCTTCGGACCCTCATCAGCATGGCAGATGATCACAGACACTCCGAAAACCATTCAGTCAGCTGCAAATTTCAACACCAAAAACACACTGGTTGCTAATGCGGCCTTAACACGGCAGCTAGAGTATCAATTAGCCACGCTTGGCGAGCTTGACGGTGTACCTATCGATCTCGCAACCCATCTCCTCGATCTACACTGGTACGTGGGCTACTGGATGGTGGTGTATTTGGGTCCCGATTTCTGTTGAACAGCATTTTTGCTTGTGCCAGCAAGTTCTCCACAAGACCTGAGCTTCGAGAAAAGTTCGGCGATTCTAAAACAGCCGGGTCTCATTTCTTTCGTCAATGCGACGAGCTGATAAGCCAAGAGAACCTTCTCCTGCAGCCAAGCCTATCCACTATCGTCGGACTTTTACTTCTTGGGTCCACCCACGTCGCTCGAGGTGTAACCACAAAGGGCTGGCTTCTCACAGGTTATGCCTTGCGCATGGTATATGACCTCGGTCTCCACATAGATCGCAAAGGTGTCGAAAACGACGCCGTAGGTGAAGAAGCTCGGAAACGCATTTTCTGGGGCGCTTTTATCTGCGACAAGCTCCAGAGTCTGTACTTGGGCAGACCATTTGCCATCAAACTTCGCGATGCACACGTTTCGCTCGAACTGAATGATATCATAGAGGAAAACGAACTGTGGACTCCATACAAAGACCCGACAATGGGCACAGCAGAAAATGGAAGCGACTATCAGCCACGGTTTCCAACATACTCGGTGTCCTGCTTTCAGCATCTTTGCCTTCTCTCGAAGATCATGACGCGCATAATCGACGAGTTCTATGTTGTCGGCGCAACCGTGGCAAGTGCCCAATCAAGTCTGCGCAGCATTGATGATCTACTACGACAATGGGAAGGAAACCTGCCCGATGGTCTACGCATAGACCCTGAAAATCGAAAGATGCGTATCGCCAGCCAAGCACCGAACGTCCTCTGTCTTCATGTCATCTACAACGCCCTGATCATTCTTCTCCATTGTCCTTTAGTGGCTGATGGCCATTTACGCTCTGCATCACCGCCAGTTGTATCTTGGAGGCGCTGCTCTGAAGCCGCAGAGAGAATTACGCAGATTGTGGCCTTGTACCGACAGCTGTATACCCTTAGAGGAGCGCCATATCTGGTCAGCTACGGGTTGTACGTGGCGTGTACGATCCATGTTCGCAATGCAGGAGCCAACACCCACACGGTTGCTAGTGAACATGGAAATAAGCTGGAGCGGAGTGTTCGCTGGCTTGAGGAGCTCGCAGTTCCCAATCCTGCTGTAGAGAAGACTATTTCCATTATCCGCAAGCTAATGAGTGTGAGAGGTGTCAGCCTTACAGCATGCACTATCTCCTCCGGTGACACTGCGCACGAAGAGCAGTTTGACACAGAAGAGAGTTATGGCAGTCATTCTGAATCGGTCAATTCAGATCTAGGTCCATCATTATGGGAAGACAAAGGGTTTTTCATTAACGCATGGGACGAGTCTTTCTCGGACGATGTTTTGTATGGATTTATGGAGCAGCAATCGTTCGACGGATGATACATGGACACAATATTGAATGCCTGGCCAGGATCTGCGACAAAAAATGAAAATAAAAGACAGATTATTTACACTGTTAAGCCGCCCTCTCTCATTCAAATCGACGACAAAGATTTGTATGGACAGATTGATCATGTGCCAAAATCACCTCCACGTTTTCCAGCTTTCCCAATTCCTGCACTCTCTGCAGGTGTATCTCTGCAAGATCTTTATTATGATGCGTACATTTTGACCTTCCCATTTCATCAAGATAAATAGCAGTTTCGCTGAGCCCATTCAAGATTCGAATATCGTGGATTGTATCCCCAGCCAAGAACACCCACCGATCCGCATCTGTTCGCACAAGCAAATTGATATGCCCTGGACAATGACCTGGAGCATTGATGATGTACAACGACCCATCTCCGTAATAGTCATGTGCATCTGGAAATGGCCCCAGCGGAGCCCAGAACGATTTCTCATCGGAAGAAGGCAGCTCCACCGTCCGAGACGGGGAAGCAAACTCGAGTCAAAATGCGAGTGTGCATTCGATGGATAGCTATCCGCGCCACAAAGAATTTTTTTTCGCACCTGGCCCAACCAGGAATTTCGTTTGACGCCCAAACCTACTCGGATACCCGATATGATCGTAATGAAGATGCGAGAATAGAACGGAATGGATATCAGACTGCGGATCGAGTCCTTTCAGCTCCAAGCTATCGAAGAGATCTTCTGGGACTTCGCATTTGATAATGCTATTCAAGCGCTCTTGAACTGCAGGTGTGTAGTTCTCGATATCCTTTCGGATCCCTAGATCAAAATGACCTTTTGGCCTGTGGGCTCGTGTTCAAGGACCCAGGACATGGATGGTACTTGACGGACATCGTCTGGGTCTGTATTGGCCACGAAGTACTTCATTTGGAGGTACAGATAGCCTCCAGAGAGGATATGGGGTCGAATTCTGGCATTGGGGGTCGATTGTCTTGGGAGAATGTCTACCATGGTATGTCATGTATCATGAAGAGGAAGGATAGAAGCGATATTTACATTTTCATGCTCTCTGCTGCACATACTGTTCTACTCTGTTGTAGAGACCATGTTCGACCCCGCAATCTTCGAAAATCAGCAGGCCTCCCATGTCAATGCGCCTCGGCCGCGTCTCCGATCAACCGACCCCTCACGGAGAGTCTCACTCCGACTAGAATTCCAAGAACTCCCGACTGGATTTGGAGTTATGCTGAGAAATTAGTGGTCACTTGAGAGGCCCACAGAATGATGACAGCGCGACCAAGCCTCTTGTCTTCTAATTGACATCTACTGCCCTTGAATTCGCGAGCTTAAATACCCGGCCATATTAACCATCAAGATGGGCTCTATTTCGGGGATGAAACGTGTTGTTGAAGAATATACCATACAAGGTGTGTCTTCTGATTTTGCACACAATAGTTCGCTTTAGCCGACTTTCTTTTCAGTTCAAAAATGCCTCCCTTCTGGATACATGGGCTTTCATCGGAGCCCGATGGACACCAGCAGCATCCCGAGCCACCTTTCCTGTCTACGGTCTGTACAGAGACTGCACAATTCTTCAATATTCAATACTAAGAGGGGCGATTTAGATCCTGAAGATAATCAAGTCGCATATAACATCTCCAATGTCTCTCGAAGCGAAGTGAAGTCGTCCATCGACGCCGCACAAACAGCCTTCCACCCATACAAGCAACTCACCCATCGCAACCGCAAGAACCTCCTCCGCGAATGGACGAAACTGATTAAAGCAAACCGCAGAGGACCTGGCAGCAATCTGTACACTAGAGTTAGGAAAGCCCATCGCGGAGTCCTACACGACCGTGGACTACGGGATCAGTTTCCTGGAATGGTTTGACGGCGAAATCGAGCGACTCTACGGCGAGACCATCCCGGCTGCGCGGGGAAGTAACCGAATAATGATGACCGCCGAGCCCCAGGGCGTCGTCGCGGCAATCACGCCGTGGAACTCGCCCGTAGCAATGATTCTGCGCAAAGTCGGGGCGGCCATATCAGCGGGAAATACGGTCGTTCTCAAGCCTGCGCCTGAGACGCCGATGTGTGCGATTGCCATTGCGAAGCTATTCGAACAGGTGGATTACCCCGAGGGAACGTTGAATATAGTCACTGGAGATGCGGTTGCGTCGGTTGAAATTGGGGATGAAATGTGTCATAATCCGGTTGTGCGGCATCTGAGCTTTACGGGGTCGACTGCTGTGGGCAAGCTTTTGAATGCGGAGTGTGCGAAGCATTTGAAAAAGACCAGTATGGAGCTTAGGTAGAAACGCGCCGTTTATTGTGTTTGAGGATGCGAATATTCAGAACGCTGTTGACGGTAAGTCGTTCTACGTTTCGCGATCCGAGGAATAACTAACTGGTTTTTGCATCTGACTTGTCATCAGTGGTCCAGAGAGCATATTAATCAACACTCGATCATGCGTCCAACTCTTCCCTTGTCACTCGACTGTCTTCTCGACAAGACCGCTCTGATTACTGGGGCAGGGTCTGGAATCGGCGAAGGAATAGCTAAATTTTTCACAAAAGAGGGCGCGAATGTGATTATCGCAGACATAGCCACGGACGGAGGCACGCGGGTCGAGAAGGACATTCAACAGACTCACTCCGAAGGTCTCGGCCGGGCTTTATTCCTGAAGTTCGATTGTACGACAAGTCAAGCATGGAAAGATGGGCTGAAATTCGCTCTCAACAAGTTCGGAAAGCTCGATATTGTTGTCAATAATGCTGGCACAACTTATACCAAAAAGCCGAGTGTTGTGGTTACCGAGGCAGAGTTCGATAAGATTGTCGCTGTTAATACCAAGAGTATCTATCATAGTGTCGTCCAAATCATGCCCTACATGGCTGAGCGACGCTCCGGCGTCTTCATTAATACCTCGTCAGTGGCTGGATACAAGGTCCGGCCTGGACAAGTCTTTTACGGTGGGACGAAGGGCTTCGTGAATACAGTGAGTCCAAAATTGGATGCAACCATCGTAAACACTACTAATATGTCATTCGCAATAGATCACACAAGGGTTGGCTGCAGAATGGGGGCCCTATAATATCCGAGTCAACTCCATTTGCCCACAAAGGTCTCCGACAGGCTTGCTAGAGAGATTTTCTGGCGCCGCAGATACCTCCGAAGAGCGCGCTCGGTTTTCTAGGACGGTTCCTTTGCAGAGGATGGGCGATGTCGATGCCATTGCGCATGCTGCTGTCTACTTGGCTAGCGATGAAGCTAGCTTTGTGACTGGAATTAATTTCACCGTTGATGGAGGGAGACTAGCAGCTTAGAGACCTGGTTTCAGCAATGAATCAAATTCGCTCAATTATAATGGGATTCAAAAGTCACTTGATAATTTATCGAAGTCTTAACTCTCACCTGTACAGAGAAAGAAATGGTGGCTCAGAATAAAGTGATATAAGCGACTGATACAAAGAAGTTGAGTACCAGAACAAAAGCCCAGATCATCCAAAACGCCCTTCCAACAAACGTCACAGATATACGTACATCTTGGCAAATATGTGGGGAAGTATATAAGGCTGGTCTAGATTGCGGGATAGTGATGGCCCATTCATCTCAAGTTCTTGCATCCGATCTACCTCTTTGCGATGGATCTTGAGAAGTATATCCCACAGCACCTTGAGGGGACTCAGTCTGTCGTCTGTCTTGATGAACGTGAAGAATATGGCTTCATTTCAGTCAAATTCGATGCTGGAAGACAGAAAAAGCTGCTACGAAAGATTGACTGGCGTCTCTTGCCGGTGCTATCTCTGTTTTATCTGATCTCATTCATGGACACGGCAAATATCAGCAATGCCGAAGCTGCAGGGACTCGAAGAGGATCTGAATTTGACCGCCGCTGAGTACAATTGGTAATTTCTGCGTTGCCTCGCATTTGATTAATATTGCTTATGATCTATCAATAGGGCATTGACGATCGTCTTCTTCCCCTACGGCGCTTTCGAAGTTCCAAGTAACATTACGCTGAAATTTACGAGGCCTTCGGTGTGGATTCCGATCATTATGCTTTCATGGGGATTAGAGTAGGCTTCTCGCCGGCGATCTCTTTATCTCACGAGTTCTTCTGACGAGTGAACGTGACTATGATGATGTGCATGGGCTGGGTCCAGAAGTACTCTGGGCCATTGGCCACACGTTTCTTCTTGGGAGTAACCGAAGCTGGCTTATTCCCGGGTGTGACTTACCTTTTCTCGACTTGGTACTGTCGCTATGAGCTACAGCTCCGTATTGCTCTTCTCTATTGCGCTGCCAGCCTAGCAGGTTCTTTCTCAGAGCTCCTTGCCTACGGCATCGGATTTAGAGATGGTAGTCCTTTTCTTCATCATACGATGCCCTATAGACTAACATTCGGCTATCTGATAGGAATCAGAGGGTACAGCGGCTGGCGGTGGATCTTTGTCCTGGAAGGACTTCTCACGATTGTGGTCTCTCTGTTTCTTATCCATTTATATGCGACGAACCGGTATCGTACTCTTGGCTGACCGACGAGGAAAAGCGTTTCATTACACTGAGGCTGCAGTGTGATGGCCATAGAAGCGGGTACAATGAGCCTGCATTCCAGAAATTCCATTTGAAGCAGGCATTTACTGACTCCAAAGTCTACCTTGATTGTGTAGGGTCACTTCCAAGCCACTTTTCGACCTTCTCTGCTTACAAATGATCTTCCTAGATTTTGTTCTTCACTGTCTGCGTCGGCACATATGTGCTATCTTTCAACCTTCCAACGACAATCAAAATCCTGGCTACACTGCCGCCCAGGCCCAGCTCATGCCCATCCCAGTCTACGCATTTGCAAGTATAATGTGTGTACTGAAGTCGTGGGTCTCAGATCGAGTGGGAAAGCGCCATCACGCCGTTATCGTCCCTTACTTCATTGGAATTATTGGGTTGGTTATATGCCTGACTGTCAATCCCCAGGAGAAGCCGGGAATAGTGTACCTCACAATGTTCTTCATCGCAACATCGCTGTTTCCAACGACTCCAAGTGTAGTCTGTTGGGTCTAAACAATTTATCAGGTCAATGGAAGAGAGCGGTTGGTATGGCTCTGACATTTACTGGGGGGAATATGATTGGAGGTGTAGTGGGATCCAATATCTCCAATATCTTCTTGGCCGACGAATCTTCGACTTTCCACAAGGCATACTATATAATGGTGGCTATTTTTGCGGCTGGTGTCTTTATAGCCACATTCAAACTGTGGCTATTGATTCAGACGAATTGGAAACGAGATGAGTTGGTTGCAAATACCCCCGAAGGTAACCGGACAATCTTGGACGAGGAGACTAAATGTTGGGGTGACAAGAGTCACTTTTTCCGTTACACGCTCTGATATGAGAACAACCACGTACTCATCCTGAGGCTTAGACACACACCGCAGGAACAGGTATAACAGATATATCTGAGGGCATAATCGAAATACATAGCCTTTTTATGATGTTTTGCATAGACTCTCCAAGTGCCCTACTAGGAAGGGAATGAAGCAGTCATGTGACCGTGAGGGATAGTATATACATTTTTCCTATTTGGATACAGTACAGAAGTGGGTCTATAGCGGAGGTGACTAGGATTTAGCTCTGAGCCCTCGAGTGCTCTGTGTGAGAATCCGTACTTATAGATAAGGAGATTCAAAGTAGATCATGAATTCAAACAACTGCTTTGGTATAAGACTATAGATTGGCGCAATTTCTAGTATGTGTCTTCCTGGTACACGGTAGGTCCTAAATTAGATCCAAATCATTCCTCGTCCATTCAGATCCTCATCATGATCATAGTCCAAATGCCAGACCGCCCACAACACACGCGAAAACAGCGCCAATCCAAGCAACATTTCCGCTTGTCGAGATTGCACCCGCCGAACCAGTTCCTTGAAAGCCGCCTCCTTCATTAGACGAGGATCCTGTGTCGTCATTGGCGAGGGGGCTGGCCGTAGCAGTGCCAGTGGAGTCATTGTCAGATGCTGTGGAAATGGGAACGGACTCGGTAGAGCTCTTCAGGCTGGTAGCAGAGTACGGAGGAGTGAGTCTGGCGGTTATGTAGTACTCAAAAGACTCGCTCGCCTCGGCACTGGCGGTAGCGTAGGCAGACCAGATGGTGGTTGTCGTGGTTTCGGTGGAGGTGACGGTCTTCACTGTGTAGGGGGAATAAGAGGTCCAGAAATAGTACCAATACGTCCTGCAAGGTAGTGTTCAGCAACGGTTTTCTCGTTTGGTATCCAGAGCCCACTTACCAGTAGTAGGTCGTATAGTAGTAGGAGTGATAGCGATAGGTGGCAGTTGTAGTAGTCAGGGTCTCCGTGTCCGTTTCAGTACTTGTGGCTGTTGTCGCCTCTCCTTCATCGGAACTTCCTAAGCAGCCCGAGCTCGGGCAACAGACCTTTCTCCCATTGTTAATCATGCATTTGTAGCCAGCAAGGCAATATTTGCCATCACTACAGCATTCTCCGTCCTTTGGCGAGCAGTTGTCCGTCCCACAGCAGTTCCAACCGGAGGGACAAGTTCCGCCAGTACAGCAGACCTCGTCGGAGTCGGCGCAGTAACCATTTCCGCAGCACCCGCCTGTTGAAGGGCAGCAGCGTGAAGAGTCGTAAGCGCATTCACTGTATCCTGCTCTGCATTCATAGGCGCGTCTGTTAAGCCCGAAGAGATCGCGAGTCGAGAGAGTCCCAAAGCTGGCCTCGTGTATGCTTGCGTTGTACGAGAGCCGTTCTTCGTTTTTGAGAGCTTCGCCGGTCACAATTCCCGAAAGGAGGAGCAAAAGCCCTGTCTGCTTGGTGATAAAGGTCCTCATCTCGAACCAGGCTTCGAGCTAGGCAAATCGGCTTTCGTCGAAAGGATTAACCTGTGGGGCCGGGAAGCAGACGCCTGCTGGAGACAGCCTTCATTTAAGTAGAGTTGGGAGGGCGACCTTGCGGCTCTGTGAATATTATGACGGTGCCATTAGCCGGACTGCGCGAGAGCCTGAGCACACGGTGTGTCTCGTATTGGACGAAGAGGGTGGTCGGAGCTGACAGAATTTGCTTGTGGCTAAATGCCCAGGAACGAGATTGTTGGCAAATACGAGTGCCACGATCCTTGGCGCGCTCTCGGATTGCTTGTGCCTTAATTGCGGCGACGGAACTCATAAACCCTGCAGCTCATGGCTGGTCCACGCGTAATGCCCTTCAAAATTAATTGGACTCGAGGCCTCGCCTTCATAAAATTGTTCAGTATAGCAGCCATGGCAGGTTGGCGGAGGAGGCTCGGAGCTCGTGGAGGTTTGGCATACGATCGGGTTAGTGGGCCTCGTGATCTGGGAAGGACAGCACTAAGGAGTAGCGCGGCAGAATACGAGGTGACTGCCCTACATCAGTGGTGTCTCTCAGATCTCAGAGATCGGTCTAGTACTCAACCGAAGAATGAGACTGAGTCGAAGCTTGAATGGTAACGAACGAATGCATTGGAACTGAACCACTGATCGCATAAGCATTGTGATGTGGGTAACGAACTGGAAACACAAGTAGAAGATCTTGAAGGTGTTTGATTTGATCAGTTGGCTTTTTATACCCCCACGCATTTCACCAAGCCCGGTTGGTCTGTTTCTTTAATGCTGAAGAGATTGTGAATTGTGAATTGTATGTGATAGAGTTTGTTCGCAGAATTGCTGAGAAGCAATGATAGGCTTCGCAAGTACCACGAGGGCGATAAGAGATCTGGGAGGCCAAGTAGCGCAAAGCAGGTCTTTGGTGATTAACCATTCTTCATGTTTCCCCAGAGAAACTCGAGTCTCGCCTTCCCGCCACTCTCTTATGGCGTTTGCAAAAGATGTATGCACGCAATCCTCGGTATAGATTTGCCGACTCCACAGATCCCAGAACAAGGTGCTTATATAAGACAAAAATATGCGGTATCACGTGATAACACCGGGACCGGGATAACCAAGATTAGCATGGGCATGTTCGAAGGTAAACGGACGATGAGAAGATCAGTAGGCACTTTAGATGAATGCGTTAAACAATGTTCTCAGATTGGAATTACTTGTTCCATGTGGCATGCCAATCCCGCGGAAAACCTCGCTGTGTTGGGCGACTGTGTGAGTCACAATAGTTCGCAATAGCAGGGGAAAAATGAAAAATAAATTCGTAAGAAATAGAGAAAGTAGGAGAGACTTGTTAGGGGAATTGCCTGCCTGATTAGGATTGCAGGTGACCTGATCGGGAGGTCCAGCTTTCCGGGGATACGCTTGGATTAAGGTTGTCCCCGGTGAGCGCGACTCGTTGGGAAGCTCCTCCAGTCGCGCGCCGAGACTCGGAAGGATTTTTACCTGTCAGCTCAACAGCTCAACAGCATTCTTGTTTTCTTTGGTTTCTTCGTTTCAAGCTACTTTGTTGTTTTTACCCATGCTTGTGTTTACAAGCCCGACGTCGCAGCGAGCCACGCGATCACCCGTCATCCGCCTGACTTATCAGATCTGAAAACGGATTTCCGCCTTTGCTTTCTTTTTTTTCTCCGCTTGACCAACTCCAACCAACTCGGTCGCTAACTCGAGACGACTCGGAACTGCCCGAGCATAATCCACGGAGCAGTGGCTTCAGGGTAGGTGCATGCGATACTTTCTCATGTGGCTTCATTTTTCTTCTAGCGCGCCGGGTATTTCTTAGACCTCGGCAAAGGCCCCGATCTTCTCGGAAAAGTTCTATACATGACATCGGGAAGACCGCCCGCTGACAGGTCCACAGCTGCGCAGCATCCCATATATATTCCTTGCTTTGATCCAGAATTGGTGCTCAAGAGTATTTTAATGCTGAGAGCCGCTTAGACTCGGTCTGTTGCATAGCAAGAGTGGGGGACCGATCCACATGCCCGAGGGAAGGACCAGAAGCCGGAAAAAAGAAAAGCAGCCGAAGCGCTGGGAGAATAATACAATGTCGACCGCAACCCCCGAGTCCACGGTTGGTGGAAGCAAGGAGCCTGTCTCTGAAGACATTTACGAGCAACCACAGACACCTCCGCAGCCCAGGGCAATGGACGACGATCTCGAGCTGGGTTACTTTAATGTAGCCAATATCGAGCGCATCTACAGGTACATCGCCGTCGCAAAAATCCTTTATTACGGTCAATATTCTGACTTCAATTACAGGAAACTGGATCGTCGCATCATCTCTGCATTCTGGGTTCTATATTTTCTGTGTTCCGCTATCCGCTCTAACGTCGGTCTGGCGCAGACGATGAATGAAGATTCGGGCCATGATCTTGGAACTGTGTTGAACATTAATCCACACCAGATCTCCACCGGTTTGGCACTTTTCTATGTTGGTTATGTGGTGTTTGATGTGCCATCCAACCTGATTATGACCCGCCTGAGTCCGCACGTCTGGATGTGTCGCATTGTGCTCAGTGTTGGCCTGATCGGTACTTGTATGACTGCTATGAAGGCAGAGTGGAGCTTCTAGTGAGTTCATTGAATAGCTGATACACGGCTGTGTGCTAATCTCTTCCCCAGTCTCTTGCGACTCCTTCTGGGTATTGTCGAAGCCGGCCTCTGGCCAGGTATGACCTACTATCTTACCCTTTTCTACCCGCCTTCTCGCATTGGCAAGCGCATTGGCCAGTATTTCACTGCGTCGCAAGTCTCTGCTGCCGTCGTCGGTCTTGTCTCTGCCGGCTTCCAGAAGATGGATGGAGCTAAGGGATACGTTGGTTTCCAATGGATGTTCCTGGTCTGGGGCGTGGTCACCATTGCGCTGGGCTTCGTCCAGCTGTGGTGGCTACCAGACCGTCCCAATCCACCAGGGGAGCCGCACCCCAAGCGTCACAAGCTTTTGAGATGGCTGCCAGACACTCCCCCGGCCTTGACTGGCGAGGATGCAGTAGTCCACTATCACGATATGAAACGGGTCTACCATAGCCCCGTATGGACATGGATGGACCTCCTGCATGTCTTTATGGATTGGAGACTGTGGCCTTTGCTTATTATGTACTTTGGAGTCGTTGGCGTTGGCATTGGTGTGCAGCTTTATGCCAACTTGATCATTCAAGCGATCAACCCGAACCTCAGCGGTGTTGATATCAGTTTGTTGACTGCTCCTATCTGGATCGTGGGTGCCCTCTCAGTAAATCATTTATTCATGGCTAACATTCATGTGCAGATGGATCTCATCGCCATTCTCCTTGTGACTCCTTTCTCGGATCGCTTCCATCGCCATCGCGCTCTTTTCTTCTCCATTCCGACCTTGCTTCAGATTTTGGGTCTGCTTCTCACCAGTTATGCCGGCAGCGAGGAGAACCCCTGGCCGCGATATGGTGGTTTGCTTATCGTCGGCTTTGGACTGGGTCCCACTGTGCCCATCACCATGACGTGGACGGCGGAGATCTTCCAGCCGCGACATGGCGAGGTCGGCGTAGCGGCGGCGTCTGCCGTGGTGTCGGGTTGGGGTAACCTTGGTAGTATACTGACAACCTATGCACTTTATTCGGGTTGGAAGAGCGACTATGAGGCTCCCGGTCGTGAAAAGTACCGCAAGAGTAACCTGGTGATGGTCGGTATCTTGATCGCCAGTATTCTTTCGGCAATCCTGATGCAAATTTTGGTTCGGGTGATCGATGGTCGTCATCGGTACAATGAAGAAGATGATGTGGTTGATGGGGCAGCAGCTCGTGAGGCGGAGCAGCGTGGACTTGAAGGGTTGGGATCAGGTGTGAGACGGTGGTTTAGACGCGTCAAGACCATTCGCGAGTAAAAGGAAAGACTGTATAGAGCGGAAGTCGGGCGTGTTCAGGCTCATTGATGATAGTTGAAATGAGTGATGCGTGCCAGTAAATAATATCACAGCACAAAATAATCCTCCAAATTTGTCTCCTTGCTCTTGTCGTTCTCTCTGCTGCTTTTCATGGGTTCTACCCCTGTCTTGCTGGGTTCGTAGGAGAAAGTGACCCCTTCACGTCGGATGCAGCATCCGCACTTGTTCGTGCAATGCGAGAACAGATACACAGGGGCCCTGTCTTTTGAAACCGCGCCAGGCTCTAACTCTCTGACAGCATCCACAGGTATATGAACAGCAGCAGCTCCGGGCCTTGCTCTCGTCCTTTTCTACAGTCGAAAAGTGACCAGGTTTTTTTTTCTCATATCCTCTCGGACGCAAGCACCAGTGTTCTGCGTGTTTTCTCTCCTCGCTTCTTACACTCTACACCCCATGCGCGGCTTCCCAGACTCCGGTATGTCCTCCGACGACAAATTGGCCGACAACACACCTCCCGTTTCTCCTGTAGATGGCATGCTTCCTTAGGGCGTTAGGCTCGCTGAGTATGTACCAGAACTTAAAGGCGAGCTTAAATGGGCGGATTGATATGACTACCTCATACATGGCCTTCGGGCCCTTGATCGACATTATGTGGATATGCTTGGTGGCACATACCCAAAGTCGCCCAATACCGATTTTCCAAAGGATGAGCTGTTGTTTGAAAAGATGGCACTGAGCTTAGGTAGGCCTATTGCTGCAATCACCAGGCAGGACTTGAAAACGTCTGAGACCTAATAATGAGCAACGCTAGAGCCACTTGGAAAGTCTACGATAATCCCTGCCTTTCTCTAATCCGATCCACGCTCTCTACCGACATTGACCATGCCATCGAGGGAGCTACGAGTGCATTGGAGACAATGGGGCTGCTACATGAGTGTTTCGACCCAGCACTTGCCGAGGAAGGTGCAGCTTGAGGTCTTGGACAGGCGAGGTGCCGCCTTAAGGCACTAAGATGACTTCACAGAGGGGAGAGGGCAACTACTTCAAAAGACAACAACCGCAACCATACCCACCACCCTCACCAGCAAGATTGGCAACCCGTGAAATCCAGCAGAAACCCCAGCCTGGACTGATGGTAAGTCGGCCGGGTAGTAAGTCCGCGATATCTCCAAAGGTTGCGGGAACTGTGTAGACACATGTGAAGAGAAGTCGACTACGAAGAATCACAAGATGAGGTGGCTGTAAGCCCGGATTAGCGGCACACTGGCATCGAGTGCAGGGAAGATCGCAATACAGCCGGCCAAACGAGACAGATTCCAATGCTCCGCCAAGCCGTCGAATTTGATACTTGGGGGACGGTGACAGTGATGGCTGTAAGCCCTGGTCGGTGGTAAGACAGAAACATACAAATTACGTTTCTACGCAAGACGTTATGAAGCAAGCACACCTCGGCTCGTCAATTACTGAAACATTTCAAAATGAATTTGATCTATACTCACAGTTGCTCGGGAGGTCCGACCTTGACATACAGCACCGCCGGGAGAGAACTTCTTTTGGCAGACGGCCTTTGGCATATCCCGTCAATAACAAAATTGCATGAGGATTCCAATATTCTCGAGAGACCGTCCGAGCAACTGCCAAAGTGGCAAATTTATCGACTTATTATCAGATGGCGGTTTTATCGCACATAACAAATCACCGGTCTCGGGGCTTGGCCGGGAGACCCATACGATGTAAGCACTATCGCCAAAAAGGGTAGCGGCGCGATGAGATCAATCAAATCAATCAGATAACCCGGACCATCAAGACCCAAGTGGGTCCAGCATCGCGTGCGCACACCCCTTCGGAATCCTGGTTGTCTAGCAGTGGGGCAAGCGCATCACAGCGCGGTCTTTGAATGGCTTCCTCATAAGCCAAGACCACTGGAACCGGGCTTGTTTACCACAAAAAATGCAATGCCGGTGATCGTCGACAATGATGCCTGAACTGAGCGTGTTAAATTGATGTTTAACCAGTTCTTTCCTAGCTCCTTTCTCTAGTCATGCCTTCTGGAGGGTTTCATTCGGCGAATCGCGCGATGTCAAGATTGAATTTAGCGGTTCTTGCCGCCGGAAATTATACTGGCCGATATTTATATCAAACTCTGTCCTGCCTCGAGCTTTCAGCCGATCCTACCTCAAAGCCGCCGGCCCTTCAGTCTTCCTGGTGCCAATTTGGCATCTGATTCTGGTCTACATTGGAATTCAGATCTTCTGTTATTATCTGAGGAGAATCCCGAGAGTCGATTGTTGAACACCATGGCAGTCAGAAAACGTTTCATCAACCCTTTCGGCGGCAAAGAGTCCACCAAGGAGCAGTCTACCACAGAAGCGACTGATGTCGAAACCCCGGCCGACCCCAAGCTTCCCCTGGAAAAGACCCACGAATCCGATCGACAGTCAACGAACGACGAGATCATCGATGAAAAGGCCCAGTCCGGTACCCAGAAGGCACAAGCCAGTACGCAGGTCTGGACGAGGAACACTCTGATTGCAGCATATGTCTTGTAGGTGCAATCCACTTCAACATTGAGTGAAACATGCTCAAAATTCTCGCTTTCCAGGGTCTGGGTGGTCAATTTCCTGCAATATTTCAGCTCCGGCCTCCTCGGCGTCTTATCGCCCTACATCTACAGTAGCTTCCAGCTGCACTCTCTGACCGGCCTGACAACTGTCATCGCATCACTGGTCTCTGCCCTCATCAAATTCCCCTACGCCAAACTGATGGATATCTGGGGTCGTCCTCAGGCCTTTGGCTTTTCTGTCGGATCCTTGACACTCGGATTGGTGATGATGGCCGCTTGCAAAAATGTCCAGACATACTGTGCGGCTCAGGTGTTCTACCAGATTGGCTTCAACTGCATCGACTTTTCCATGACCATCTTTGTTGCCGATACCACCGCCCTCAAGAACCGTGCTTTCTGGATTGCCTACTGCGCTTCGCCATATCTGATCACACCTTGGATTTATGGATATGCTGCCAACAGGATCCTTGCACCAGGGGGTATCGGGTACCGATGGGGCTTTGGAGTGTTTGCTATTGTCATGCCGGTCATCAGTGCTCCTCTTTGGGGTCTGTGGTACTATACCCAGAAAAAGGCCGAAAAGATGAACTTGACACCAAAGAAGAGCAGTAACCGCACAATCTGGCAGTTGGTTATGCACTACCTGATCGAGTTCGATGTTATTGGCTTGCTAATCATCGCAACCGGACTCGCTCTGTTTCTGCTAGCATTTAACATTTTCTCTTACCAAGCCCAGGAATGGCGCTCTCCGATGATCATCTGCTTCATCGTCATCGGCTTCCTCCTGATTATTTCGTTCACTCTGTGGGAGAAGTATTTCGCCCCTGTGAAGTTCATGCCCTGGGAACTCATCCAGAACCGAACTGTTTTCTTCACTTTCACAATGGTCAACTCCCTCTATATGGCATGGTACATTTGGGACAGCTACTTCTACTCCCTCTTGCAAGTTGTCTTCAACCAGAACGTCACCCAAGCGACATACGTCTCCAATATCTATACAATTGGTTCAACCTTCTGGTGCCTCATCTTCGGTGCCATCCTACGCTACAATGGCCGTCTTAAATATTGGGCTATCTGCTTTGGTGTTCCACTGACAATCCTGGGAGTCGGGCTCATGATCAAATTCCGTCAACCTGATTCGAAGATCGGCTATATTGTGATGTGCCAGATTTTTGTTGCCTTCGGGGGTGGTACCCTGGTTCTTTGCGAGCAGATGACCGTCATGGCCGTTTCTATGCAGAGGAACATCCCTGCTATCCTGGCTATCGAGGGTGTTACTTCTGGAATCGGTAGTGCGATTGGAGGGACAATCTCTGTTGCAATGTGGACGGGCATCTTCCCGGTGAAGCTGAAGAGGTTCCTTCCAGACTCTGCCCAAGGAGACTTCGCCAACGTCTATGGGTCGTTGGATATTCAGCAGTCTTTTGATAAGGGCACTCCTACTCGAGATGCTATTGATCATGCATATGGGGAGACTCAGCGACTGATGCTGATCACTGCTACTTGCCTTTACCTTATCACTTGGACCTCCTGCTTTTGCTGGAAGAATATTGATGTGAGGAAGATGAAGCAGCAAGTGCACGGTGTTCACTTCTGAGTGAATCTTATGTAACCCAGGCTTGGAGTGTTTTGAGGTTTTTTTTCCCTATAATTTCTAATATCAATGCTTTAATTAGATTCCGTCAATGCCAGTAAAATAAAGCATTAACGTAGAAGTTTATCAGGCTGGAGTCATTACGCTCATTCTGGGGTTGTTAAGATACGGATAATTTACTACAAGGACACAATACTAGTCGTATATTTCGATTCAAGTCTGTATTCCTACCAACTCAAAATAGGTCGTATATCAGATCGTAGTTGCAGATGGGGAGCAACTATTCCCACTGCTCGGCGATCATCCATGCAGAAAGTATGGTCATGCAAACATGGGTATAAATAAACGAAGAAATAAGCAAAAAGCGACCGCCAAGAAGACTAACTAACCGCATCAGCACACCAGGGCGAAGCGGTCAGTCAGCTTAGACATCCCCACTGAAAAGCAGTAGTCCCCAAGCTCTTTCTGCGGCATTGCAGAGGCAAACTTGGAAAGGCTATCAAGGAAAGATCAAGTAGGTTCCGGGCCAGCAGAATTAGGAACAAAAATAGATCCGTAATATAGATTTCGTAGAGCCACTCATATCGGCAAAGCATTTACCGTAAAATGTTGTTTGGGTGATTGTTTCTTTTTGTTGTAAAATCATGGAATGCAGCAAGTTTCTAAGCAGAGAAGCTTAGCTGCTTTCGGAGGAAGTCCGGTCGGCCTTGTTCTCGACGTGAGCACCCTTGCCACCTTCCAGGGCACTGGGGGTGACCGCGGTCTTCTTCGGCTTCTCGGAGACATAGCTGGCACGGCGGAGGTGCTCCTCGGTATCCTGGTAGTTGACAAGGAGCTCGCCATGCTTGCCATAGCGATGGGGCTCGTTGCGAGCAACAGAGACCAGGCTGAAAACGCTATTGGTCTTGTGGAAGATGGTGTCCATCTCCTCCAAGGAGCGGTAGGCAGTCTCGGGGTAGAAGAAATAGACAATTGGGAAGATGACGGCGTTTATGACCGCGAAGATAATGTAGGTCTTGTATCCGATGGAGTCGAAGGCGACGGGAGTAATCATGACGACCAGGAAGTTGAAGATCCAGTTGCTTGAAGTCGCCAGGGCGTTTGCGGGGGCACGAATGCGCAGAGGGACAATTTCAGCAGGGTAGAGCCAGGTCATACCCAGCCAGCCCCAGGCGAAGAAGGTATTAAATACAAACAGGAACACTGCGGCGGCAATACCAGCCTTGGAGTTGTTGACGAAGCTGGTGGTGATGGCAAGGATTGCCATGGAGACCGACATGCCAGCGGCACCGACCAGCATCAGAGTTCGACGGCCAACCTTCTCAATGATGAAGATAGGAATCAGCGAAGCAAGGAAGTACTCGGTTCCGTTGCAAGCAGCCAGGATGCGGGACATCAGACCATCCATACCAATCGACTTCTCGTAGATGGTGGCCGCATAGTAAGTGATCAGATTGATTCCAGAAATCTGCTGGAACATCTGGTTGACGTAGGCCAGGACAACACGGTGGAAGTGACGGTTCTCATCCATGGTCAACAAGTCGCGGAAGCTGACGCTGGAGGCGGCCAGTACGGCATCCTTGATGGCGGCAAATTCAGAGTGGACGTAGGCATCGTCCTCGGGAAGATCCAGGATAGCCCCCAAAACTTCAATTGCCTCCTCTTCGCGGCCCTTGAGGACCAACCAGCGTGGAGACTCGGGCAAGGGCATCACACAAAAGAGGATGATAAGTGCGAACACATTCTGGAAGGCAATGGGGAAACGCCAAGCAACGGAGCTAGGATCGAGGAAAGAGAACCCGAGGTCAATCCAGTAACTGATGGTGATACCACCAGCAATCAAGGCACCTTCCAGCATGACCAGCTTGCCACGGTGGTGCGACTTGCTGCACTCCGACTGCCAAGTGGCTGTAAGGAAAGGTTAGCAAATGGATGTCTAAACTTTATTTAATAGGAACAGAATCCAACTTACGGACGGTAGAAGTGTTCATGCCGTTACCAATGCCGGTCACGATACGGCCAACAATCAAGTGAGGGAGAGAGTAGGCGCATGCCTGCAGCGAAGCACCGACAACCATGATAATCGAGCCAAAGAAAATAGTCTTGCGGCGACCAAGGTAGTTACCAATCCAGATACAGAAGATAGCACCGCAGAAACAACCCAGGTTGTAAGAAGCGGTCGTGATACCTGCCTTTGTCAGTCAATTGACACGCGCAAATCAGGACAGACTTGTCTACGTACCCTGCACGGTGGAGCGAGTGCTTCTCTCAGCGGCAGAGAGACCCATTTCTCCAGCCTTTGTAGTGTCGATTTGCGGGAAAGTGGCAACAAAGGAGTTCAAGGTCAAAAGTCCTCCCATGACTCCTTGATCATAACCGAAAAGCCTGAGAGAAAGGAAGTCAGCGAGGCGAAAACACTTTGTGTGAAGCATAGAGAAAATGAACATACAAGAAATCAAGACCAGCGATGATACTGATCATGATATTCAGGGACGTACCCCGAAGCCCAAAGTAAGGTTTCATGGTGACGGGTCTCAATTGATCCGCACAGTTACGAGAGAGAGTAAGGACAGGCTGTATTACAGTCAATGTGCCAAACAAATCCTACCAACGGGGGCAGTTCGAGCAGTCCAACAAAACGTCCAAGCCTGTGGACGGAAATAGAATGGGGAAGAGGTGGTGGCTGAACAGGAGGGAAATAGATCCAAAAGGGTCCGGGGAAGCAGCTGGGGTTTATGAACCTCCGCGGGAACGGACGCAGTGCGCATCGTCACCGAGGGGGAAAGGATCCACTACTGGCATGATTCAAGGTCCTGAGGAGAGTCGACAGGATCGAAAACGAAACCAAGCCCAAAAGAGTTGGAACAGGCAAGGTCACATTGGCAGCGCGATACACAGTCGCCGGATCGGGGGACAACTTGGGACGAGAGTGCCTCTCCACTTCTCCCCTTTCCCCTCCACACAGCAGGACGCCTGGCTCCGCTTCAGGTACAGCGTCGAATTAGAGACAATCATCGGCATCTCTCATTGACCTTTTTCGGCACAGGTTCCACCGGGGAGGTCGGCGGGTGCGAGAGGTTGCTCGCTCGACTTCGGTAACCGCCCAGTATCACTGCCGGGCCGTACGGATCAGTTACCGTACACTGCAGTCGGAAGCAGCTGCTTTCAGAAGGCCGGCGAGTGTATGACCACATCAATGATGCAGGGCGCCCTCGTGGCTCGCGTGGTGGTGCTGGCGGGAAAAAGTGGACTGCGAGTGCGAGTGCTGCAGTTGGTGCGTGGTGGTCCGATGGACCCTCCCCGGATTCCTCCCCAATTTTTTTTTCTCCGGGACTTGTGGAGGTCCCTGAGGCGGACGTCGACCGGTCGACTCAGAGACTTCACCTCTGCGTACTACTAGTAGTATTCCTTCTACATCTCAATATTCCACAGGGCGTTCACAAGCCCTCATCGAGCAATATTCGGTCTGCCGTGCCAAGTCGGCGCCGAGCAGGGACATGTTCAGGGATCAACCCGGGCGACAAACCACAGCGTCGGCTTCTACGCCCCAAGGTTGCAGGCCGTGCCGTGAATCCCCGAGGTTCGGTGCGCCAGGGCTTTGTCCGGGGCTTGGCTGTGTGTCTGTCCCGGTCCTGTTCGGGATCTGATCTGCTCCGACCAATTTGCTAAGAGAAACGGAATCGGCCCGGCTAGAAGTATTCATTGGGACACGACCCATTGCCGGCTCCGACAATGACCATAGGCACCATCGATATGGCCACCTACGAAGTAGTAGCTATAGTAGCGGGGAGGACTTTCTTCACTGGGGCAGTTAGGCACCGAATGGACTACCCCCGAAGGAAAAATGGGAAAAATTGGAAACGCTGCTGGTGCGATCGGCAGGATGGTAGCAGACATGACATCATCGCCAGGGACAGGAACTTCGTGGAGAAAACCTCACAATTTGTCCGTTTGGCTTTGAGCGTGATTGGTTTTTGAGATCAAGAGACCTCGGAGACCGTTATTCCCGTCAATTTCTCATTGATTTCCCCAGTTGCAAAAGAATAATCACCTTGCTAGGATATGAGCAAGCCATCTACCCCAGCTCGGTTGGGGCCGAATCATGGGGTCGAAGTGCGGCTTCCCCGTTTCGGACAAGCCGCCGCCGTGTACGCTTTCAATGCGGCCACCGCCAATAATGGCCGCCTGAAAAAAACACAATCCAGAACAATCAGAAATTCCCGACAACCGATCGATTGGAAAAGTGACACCCTCCACTCGATTGACAGCAGCGACAGCCAGTGAACGAAAAAAGAAACCAGCCTCGAGCTCACATTCTCAGCGTGTATTAACCGCGCCAATGCCTACCCGTTTGGGAGAGCCCGTTTCGCTCTGGTGGAGCCCGGCTACAGTAGTCTGACTAGCAATCTCTTCGGGATCACCAGGGCTGGATTTGATCAACCAGCTGATTCCGTCCTCGGCACACTCGCGGCCGCCTCGGCGATTCGTCGTACACGCGATTCACCGGTCCTTCTCCGAACAGTGCCATTGACATCATGATCAGATAGCGACACCAGGGTCGCAACATTAAACTGGAGAAAGCGCAGAGCTCATTTCATGATTCCCTTGAAAAGCTTTTTTCAAACCAACAAATTTGTTTTTTTGGATCAATTTGACCAAACAAGTCTCACCAACTGAATCTTTTACAGAATCAATCGCGGCAGTAAATCGATGTTGGATGACGGGATTGTACAATTGTAGTCCCAGGTAGCAGACCCCTCTATCTAATAGGCCGCCGCTTTCATTAACCCAGTAGCAGCAGGCATCGGACACAAATCCCTTGAGAGGCCAACGTCGGGTGGTTGGGCGCAGGTGTTCGCGCGTGCCTCTCGTTCCTGTCTCCATAGATCCCTGCAAAGTTAGGGTTCCGGCACGAATCCTGGTCGACGCCACAAAGTCATCTGGGCAAAGCTTAAACCCGCGACATAAATGGGATTCTTGAGTAGATCAAATAATATCTGAATAGAGAGCGAAATTGATTTAATCATCATCGGTGTTATCGTATAGACCTTAAAATCTGGTGCGATGGGAGCCTTTCAACTGCACGGAAAAGACATCTCCCTACTGCTGCAATTTCAGTTATTTTTCGACTTGTTGTCTATGTTCGCAATCGCTATCCCAATTAACACTAGCGCGATCGAAATGGCAGTCCAGGTACGAACAGGAAAGCAGGAAACATCGCCTGGTAGGGCTCGAGAGACCGCATTCGTCCACGATACCACAATACACAAAACATGTAATACATGTTCCAGGAAAAACAGAGAAAATCTGGCAGATAAGGCTAGATGCCAGCATCATGCCAGTTCCATCCCTGCCAGTTCAATCCAACCGTTCCTCTATCTCGACCAGAGTACTGACAACCTCTCTCGACCCGGAGCTAAACGGAACATTTCGCTTTTTGCTGTGCAATGAAATAACCGGATTCATTTTTGATGTCTTCATTGTCGTCGTCAGTGGCCATTAAAAATGGCGTGAACTTCGGCTATGGCGGGATCGGAGCTCTGAAAGTCGAGGTGCGATGCGGCATTCTCTTCCATCGGCGAACCCGAGACCGATTATCGAAACCTAACCTAGGGATACCGAGTCGAAGGGCTGGTTATTCGGGATCACGGTGTCCCCGGGTTGAATTCTGTGGTGGTGGGAGTACGGTTTGCCGGATGGTTCAACTGCAGTCATGCCGTCATCGCCGAGCTCTCGAGCACGTAGCAATGCAACCGCAGTCTGTGCTGCTTCACCGACCCTCACCGTGCCTCTAAGCACCGGGTCGATTGGCTAGTGCAACCACCAGCCAAAGAAGAATCGAAAAAATCAGAATCAAAAGTTGGTGGAGTTCTACAGGGATGTTTAGTCTTAGCTTGTGGCTAGGGTCTAGAATGGTTATCAAAGCGATCACGCCTATTTACCAAGGATTTCTCTACTAGATGAATCGACAATTTTTGCGGAGGAACTCAGCTGGTCATTTGGTAAAGATAAAAAACGTCCTCGCAAGATTGAACCGATGGTCGCAAAGTGGATGCCATCAATGAAAGTAAAAAGATATCAAGATTGCACCGATGGTCACAGATGGTTGCCATGAAAAAAGTAGCAAAAAATTCCAGCTCCGTGGGCCTCGGCTCACAGGATAGCCAATCCGCTCGACAAAGAGAAACTCATCGATCGATTCCTTGCTAAATGTGCCACTGCCTCGACTCACCCATAAGACACTGCTGAGAAGCGTATCAAAACAGGCAAATCAGACTGGTACTGTAAGCACGGGTTCAAGAACGACAAAATACCCTTCCCTACACCAGATCAAGGCCCTCCCATCAAACCAAGGTCATCTTACCCTGGCAATTGAATTGGCTTTACCACTCCACACCGGGGTGGTCGTCGTCCAGACGAGCATCTTCCAAACGGCCGCTCATCTCGTCAACCTTTGCGTCGTTCCAGGAACTGCCTCCCTCATAGCCACGAGTGTCAGGATTGGAGCCGACACTGACGGGGCTGCCAGGGACCTGGTAGTCTTCAGGTTGGGGGCATCGAGTAACAGTATGACCCACTAGAAATAGTTAGCTGAAATTCTTAATCACTTGGATCAGAAGAGCATCGGCCACTTACTTTCGCCACATCGGTTGCACTTCACACGGGACCAGTCCTTTGGCTCAGGACACTCACGGGCAGAGTGGCCCACTATGAAGAACGTTAGTCAAGAATCATCTACAACTTGTCAACTCGAGTACACTTGCATTCGTCACAGTTGCGGCACTTCATGACTCGGGGCTGGTCGCAGTCCCGAGCGAGGTGATCAGTAGAGCTGTACAATCTGTTAGCCTGGTTTCTCATATTCACATATGTCCTTCCTCCGTTTTCAGACACTTACCCGCAGTTACGGCAGGTACGAGGCTCCCGCTGAGACTCGTTAGGGCAGTCCTTGGCAAAATGACCTTCTATAAGCCGTTAGCAAACACGGTCTATTATATTGGGGTCTTTCAGGTGGTCTTCTTACGTTCACCGCAGCGTCGGCACTCAACATCGGCAGCAGAACGGGGCTCAGTGCAATCCCTGGCCTGGTGATCTTCAGAACTGCAAGAAGTTAGCATTTACCATGTATAATGTGGCCAGGGAATCCAAAGACGACATACCCGCAGTTGCGGCACGCGAACTTATTCTTGCGAGGCATCGTGCAGTCTCGCATGCGATGTCCGACCTCGTCGCAGTTGCTGCATTTGATCTCAGCTCGGTCGGCAGTCGGGATCCGCTCAGATTTGCAGCCGCGTGCGGTGTGGCCCATTTCTGTGTCGTGGTCAGCATCTTCAATATCGAACGATAGATATATTGGCGTTGAACTTACCTCCACAGTTTCGGCACTTGGGAACGCCACGGTCATAGGGGAATCCAGCGTTCTGCAGGCGTTCAAGATTCTCTTCAGGAGTAGCTGGCCAGCGGTCTCTGAGATTGAATCGGTGGGCCTTGGGGCTGTAGTAAAATCCAACCACGTACTCGCGACCCAGTTGGCCCTGGAGATCGATCAGGCTGATGACGTCCTCGGAGGGTTTCTCCTATAATTGCGAACAGATGTTAGCTCGGTATGCTGGTACAAAAGATCTCTGTGACTCACGAGTCCAATAATGTAGATGTTGAAATTCTCGGCCTGCATTTTCTGTGCAATGGTCGCAAAGGTCTCGTCCGGGCAGGCCTTGGAGTACACTTGAAAAGCCTGTTGAGTTCATATTAGCACAAGCTCGTGTACTTTGTTTCCTGGTGTATCATACGTCGCGGAAATCCGTCATGTCTCGTGCGTCACTTGCAGCCTTCATCATAGCCCATGCTTCCCCGGGAAGCTTGTCGGGGACGTTGTTCAGGTTGAATTTGCGGTTTTCCTTGCAGTCCTTGGAGAGGTGACCTGTCAAATATGTCAGTATGACTCGATCACTTCTGTGGAAGTTCGATGAGGGTCTAGGTTTACCTTCGCCGCCGCAGTTTCTGCAGATGTCCACGGGTTTCTCGGGGCATGAGGCAGCAGGATGACCCTCCTGTCCGCACATCCGGCAGGTTCCCTTGAACACACGAGGGTGGGGGCAGTCCGACTTGTTGTGTCTGGCTCTCGAATTAGTATTCTTGATGACAGAGGTAGATATTTTCGTGAAATAAGATATACCCTTCTTCACCGCAGTTGAAGCAGGCCCCGACCAACTTGCGCGGCTGGGGACAATCGGCCTTGTTGTGGCTGTCATAAGCAGTGTCAGCATGTAGCTCAAACTGAAGATCTCCATGCTCGAAGAACTTACCCTTCTTCACCACAGTTGTAGCAAGTGCCCTCGGCACCGAGGCCGCCGTAAGTATCGTGTCCGCAGTAGGTGTCGTGTCTGCCGTAGCTATCGTGGCTGCCGTAAGAGCCGTGACCGCCATAAGAACCGGGGCCGCTGTCAGCATTGGGGCAGTTACGAGCGAAATGGTCGAGTTGGCCGCAGCTATTTTCTCATCAGTCAAAGGCACGCTCACTGAAAGGACATCGGTAGATGGATAACGTACATGCGGCAAGCCACATCGCCTCCTCCGGTAAACTTCCCATGGATAGTCTTCACCTCGTATTCATCGCCGGGGCCGTCTGAATACAGTTAGTTCCATCACGTTCAGGGTTTGCAACAGAACGAGGGGCTATCCATCAGACGCACTCGGAGAAGGCCAGCGATCATCCCCTGCGTCCTCTGGATTCGTTTTCCAGGAAGACATCGTGAAACAAAGCAAGCCCCCTCTCTGGAGGGCTCGAGACAAAGCTTGTTGACTAAAAAAGAAGTCAGTACGTTTTGTCGCGCCAGAAAATCTCAGAGTCGTCTTCTAGCCAGTAAGCCGCAATGTAAAAGACAGAAGGAGGGGGCGAGGAAAGTGGGAATCGAAGGTCAGAGGAGCGCGTCTCAACTTGGGCGAAACGCATCCTCTACCATCGACACAGTGGGTACAGCTGTCGAGGCAGACAGGAATGTTCAAGTGTACTTACCGTGAGAGTGTTTGTAGATGAAGGTGATGTACGGAGTCAAGGGTAAAGAAGAAAAGGTGGCAGAGGAGAGAAGGAAGAGAAAAGAGGGGGAAGAGATTGAGAGGTAGATTAAATAGGGTGGTCTGTTCTGCGAGCAGAGGCAACGCAGGAAGGTGCGCGGGTTGCGGCGTCCTCCCACTGATAGAAGGTTCCGGACCACCAGACGGCCAGGCCGCAATGAAGAGGCCTCCCAGATGGAACGGAGGCATCCACCTCAGTGTCCGCAATGTGGCCTGGGGAAGGCTGTCATGTAGTGGAGGACCCAAGGCCCTGTTCCCAGGTCAGGATACCACCATATACTCATCGGCGGAGTGGCATAGATACATAGATGGCGGTGTCACAAGCTCGTTTGACCATGACAGATTACAGCCAGAGACTTCATGGATTCTTAATGTCAATTTAAATGTATTGCTATCCTATAAAAACACTTTCAACATTTAGCAGATAAAATTTCTGGCATGAAGGTATGATTGTTGCCGTGACAGTACAGTATCGTGGTGTGAGCGCTATACTGTACCTAATCATTGAGAAACAATTCCCTATCACCGGAAAACCCTGCCCAGCAGGCCACCCGCAAGGTTGTTCACAATGCCACCGCCCAAGGCTCGATTGGCAAAAGTTGAAGCTTGGCTGAACTTGTCACACCGGGAGAACGCCACAGTGTTTGTGATGGTAAGGATAAGTGCAATCACTATATCAATTAGGGTGTGTCAGTATTCAAGGCTTCACTCGGCGACTTCTTGTGAGGTCTCTGGGAACAAAGGGCACTGACCAATCAAGCTCAACCAAATCACACCAACAAATCTCACAATGGCCAGGATGGCCAATGCAACCCACAGAACAGGTGTCACATATAGACTCAGCCAGAAGAATCGCTTGTCTGTGGCCGTGATTGTGCGGAGGTTGGGGTCAGACGACTCGAATACCCAATGCGAATCACCAGTGGTCGTGTTGACCTCGTTCCACCAGCGCAAGCCGACCAACCGGCGTCCAGCGATATTTTTCAGATAGTAAAAGTCGGCAGAGAGGAGGAGAAGCGTCAGAATGAAGACGAGGATGCTAGAGAAGCTTGTCAGCGGGGTGTTGTCTCGTGGTTATCGGCGGCCGACGACGCTAACGGCCGGGGTACTATACAAGTCTTTAATGAATAGCAAACCAAAGAGGTACATCATAAGGGCACCTGTAGACACAAATCAATTAGCGTAACATTCAACAGGTTCAAAGTAGGATAGGAGCACACACCAATTCGAATGCTCAAGAAGACAAGTAGCGTGATAGGGTGGGCACTGAGGCGCCAGTTCAGGTCTCCTTGCTGGCCTTGATCCATGTTGGACAACAGCGACCCGGTGGCTCCGAGGCTTCCGAAAGCACTGGTAATTGACTGGGGCCTTGCTGGTCGGGATGCGTTGCAAGCTGTTGTTGGAGAATCTCCCTGATGTGTTCACAACACGGCACAATGCTGGCGGTGTCGAGAGGCAGAATAGTTGGGTGGCACTGTCTGATTGGCTGCCAATGGTCCTCATGGGGCAAGGTGGGGACACGCATCATGACCGATTCTGGATTACTACAAAGCACGCCAGCTCGGACAAATTGGAGCAAGCCTTAGCTACTGATTGGTCGCGATTGTGCTCAGTCAGGCTCTAGGGATATCACTCGTGTGCTCAATATCTGTCTCTTCAACTAAAGCGTCAAGTCAGGTTATACTAAAAAGCGCATCAGTGCTGCAATTCCAGGCAATCTTATGAAAATATACTGGTGGAACAAGATTTATGAACCAACGAACTTATTGTTACACTGTATTAGTGTAATAAAATGTACAAAAAGTGACCTAAAGCATAATGAACTGACCGCAGCAGAAGCAATCAGAGGTGACTATAACACTTATCTTGACTGAAAACTATTACCTGCAAGGGAAGGTCTCTTTTGCAATGTATAGAGGAAAACAAGCACGCTGCAACACCTATCCCAATGCATTAGTGCAGTCTCGAGTTCACAACTAACCCGTATCAAATTGGGAGCACCAGACAGCCCTGTACTCTCATGGGTATGCCTATAATAACTCTAATACTCTACGGTGTTGTACTATATATGTGTAGTTCCAAGGTTCACAAGTGTAATATGCTGCAACAGGTACTACGAAGGATCGACCATCAGTTTTGCACAGAGGTCAGATAATTCTCCCAAAGTAACCATAATTTCGATTCTTAAGGGTGTAATCCAATAAGTCCCAAAAAGTCGAGCGATAGCACAGGTCATGACCATTTGGTTCAACGAAAGACTGGCTATGACATATGTGTAAGGAGAGGTGTGTTGTAAAAACCTAAAATGACGTGGAAAAGGTCCAGAAAAGATGGCCATTCTGCTTTCTCTTCTTGAAAGCATCTTTTCCATAGTTGAAATTTGCATTTCCAATAAGACAATCGTGCCACGTTTAAGCACCCCAGATCTTTGCCATCTCCAGGATGTCCTGGTCCATCTGCCAGTTGAGCTCGTCGATCTGGCGTTGGTAGAATTCTTCGTCGCCACCCTCGGCCATAACCATCGTCGCGGGGACCTTGTCGAGATAATCCTCCTTGTTGATGGCACCTGAGTTGACTGATGTCAGCGGGTCATGTCGCGATAGGAAGGTGAGAAGATGGGAAGATAGAACTCACTGTGGATGTTGACGACCGCACGCTTAGCACTCCACATGGCGTGATAGGCGTTGGTGCTGCCGCCCTTGGCATCACCAACGGCAAAGACGCCGCCCATACTGCTCTCCATGTTGTCTGCGACCTTGATCGAACTTCCGTCCATCTGCAAGTGGAGCTGCTTGTGCAGACTCGAGGTCTGCTTGGTGCTTGTGCTGTAAAGGATTCCGTTCGTGACAAATGTGGACGGGCTCCCGCTCTTGGTAATTTTATACTCGTCATCAGAAGGCTCTCCACCCTTGGCGGTTCGCTCAATCTTGGAGACAACGCCGTAGTAGACATCGATACCGTAGGTCTTTAAAGTCTTTTCCCATCCAGGCCATCTCGCCTCGGTCGCTGCTCTCTCAGCGTCATCGAGCTTAGTGTTAACGCTAGCGACGATTTTGATGTTGCTCGTCAACTTGCTCATTGCTAAGGCACTTGCAATGGCGCCGGGGAAATTACCGGGCTTAGAGATGATCGTCATCGCTCGGCCCTTGTAATCAAAGCCATCGCACCAGGGGCACCAGAAGAGGCCTCGTCCAAAAGCTTCGTCAAATCCGGTTATTTTGGGCATAATATCAGTAATACCCGTGGCCAGGATGACCTTTCGGACGTTGATCTTGCCCTCGTTCTCATCCCAGATCCGGAAGCCCTTTGTAAGAGGCTGGATGGCAGTGACCTTCAATCCGCTGGTCGCACGCTTGGAGTAGTCGGAGTAGTGCATATCGATCTGACCCCGAACAGCGATACGAAAGTCGAGTGGTCTCTTGCCTAGATCCAGTTAGAGATATCTCCTCCCAGTGACCGCGATAGGGGGTTGAAATACCGTCTTGGCCCAGCACATCGTGCATGTATCGGGTCTTGCCGTTGCGGTATTCGCCCGAGTCATACATGAGCGAGGTACGGGCAACTCGGCCCAGGGACATGGAAGCAGCCAGACCAGCAGGGCCACCGCCAATGATAGCGACATCGTAGTCGAAGTTAACAGGGTCGAAGTTATCGCATGATCGTGCGTTGGACGAGGTGAAGGTGAACGGCGCAATCTCGCCGGACTGGACTTCCGTCACGTTCAGCGTAAGATCGTCGTTCGAGAGTTCGTAGACGCCATCGCCTTCGGACAGAACCTTTTGAGGAAGGGTCAATGCGGAGGCGAGAGGCAGAGACAAAAGGCAGAAGCGCCACAATGAAGCCCGGAACTGCACCATCTTGGCAGCAGCTCGAAATCACAGAAGATGATTGTGAGCCGATGATGGATTCGAGTTTTGCTTGGAATTGGCATCGTATTTAAACACGAGCTCTCAGCCTTCGTCAAGTTGCTTGCGACAACTTCATGCATTGAAGTGGCACAATCTGCCATCGTAGGCCGCGTTCCACATTGATGCACCTGGTTTTCGACAATCCCTACTCTGGCGGGGAAACCGATGTTGTACGACAGTGTTAGTATATGTGAGGCGCCAGTATATACCGCACTGTGCAGGATCGCGCGCAGCTGAGCATTTCTGGGCAATGTGAGGCACCAGACCTCCGGCCTTCGGGCTTTTCTAGCGTGCTTGTAGATGTGAGAGCCCCTGGGAATTTTTGAGGCTCACAAGAGTATTTTCAACAGCGATTGATGTTGTCAATTCGCGGTAAAGTCTGTTCCATCCAATGTCATAATGCCGAGTCTCGCCTGCGCAGGAAGGCTCTGAAGAGTGGAGCTCTGTAGATCTATGCATCCCGGGTAACACAAGATCGATAGTCTGTCCAGCTCAGCCCGCCACAGATCCTTAGATTAACCCCGCATGTCGGCACCACCAGAATCGGTTCCCATAGGACAAAGTACCATGGGATATCTCATTACCGATTCTTTGACATCATGAGCGCGGGGAGGCTGGCGCCAGTCTATCAGTTTGATTAGCCCCTCACTTTGGGTAGTTTAAACCCCGTGCCGTGCGCATTCTTTTGCAATGCATGTTTTGGATGCATTGGCTGCGCTTGATTTTCATGATGTGCCAAGTCGAGTCCTTGCATCATTCATCCCTGATCATCGTCGATCATGTTCGATTGTCGTTGGCATGGTTGGCGAAGTTGAAAGTCGAGAGAAGAAACAGCAGAGATGTTTCAGCGCTGCTTGACGTATGCTGCCTTAAGGAAATTGTAGCATCTATCGACAGCCGTTAGGAAAGAATACCTCAGCGAGCCGCGTGCATATCATAGCTAGAATGCCCCTGAATATAGCCCACTAGGTAAACTGTCCTTGTTGGTCTGGATCCTGCCAGCGAGAACTCTAGGTGTGTAGCTGAATGCCATCACTCCGGCCATTATCGTCGCGCTCTTCTCCATAAGGAAATTGCAAACCCAAGACATGGCAAGAAAGATGTCGCCTCGAAGGGGCTCCCCGAAGGAAGGGTTCAAAAGTTGGGTAATCCGCGGCCCGCCACCTATATGCAGCTTTGGTTTGCAATGCAGCTTGTGTGGGCCTGATGTGGGTGCGAGACGAGAAGGAGCCAAGGCAGTAGCTTGAAGTGGTATTGGGAGGGAAGCAAAGAAGGAAGGTTGGGAGAAGGAGGCGGAAGTATGAGACCGCTGTGTGTCCAAGGTATTGCCCAGCAGCTGAACCCCCCTATCTACGCGACCACGATATCTACTACCTCTCCGGCTCTGTAAGTCTCAGGTGATTCTCAGTTTGAAAGGCATCCAAGATCCTAGAAGTTACATTGTGGTAGTATAGTTGCTGGAAAAGATGAAAACAACAAATAGGCTATACCCGGTCTACGAGCTCAGCATACAGCCGACTTGTAGTTACTCTACCGTAGGGCAGCAGAACCCCAGTACCCGAACAAAAATGAGATGTATCGGAGCTTTCCTGCATATTTAGTCTGTGTATTTTCTAGAAATATCCAATTAAAAAAGGAAACTTCAGAATTGCGTGACAATTCCCATCAATCCCATTGACATCACTGCCGAGCTCGAACCCCGTGGAGCCCTCGGCTGGCGTGGATCTTCTCCTCACAGCACCCAACGCGCTCTCGTGCCAACCAGAGCCACAGCAGAGTCTCACACAAGCATATATATTCAATCGGGCAAGCTGTCCGATACACACAATGGCCGCCCGCAATACCCTCCGGCGCTCCTTGCTCTATGGTAAGCTCCGCGCATCGCGTCTTCCCCGCATTCCAGGCCCGCGTCGCCAGCGAAACCCTAGCTCACCAGCCTCCACTTCACGCAGTCCCGGGCTCGTCCCAGCGCTTTCTCGACAAGTCTCGCTCGCTGGCAGCAGACTGCGTTGCCTATGACCTTGAGGATAGCGTCACTCCGCACATGAAGGCAGAGGCCCGCGGTCTGGTGCGGAGAGCGATCGACCAGCCCGCTCCAACGAATATCCGCGAGCGTGCTGTGCGAATCAACTCGGTGGACAGTGGATTGGCACTAGGCGATTTGACTGAAGTGGTGAGCAAGCTGGGAAATACGTACAGAAGCATCGTAATTCCCGTACTAACTACTCGACAGCTTCAATCCCCGAACCTCACCACGATCGTCATTCCCAAGGTCAACTCCGCCTCAGACCTCACCTTCGTCACAGACGTGGTCACACACACCCTTGCCCAGCAACCTGCGTCTGCAAACAGACCCCCAATCTCTCTCCTCGCCCTCGTTGAGTCCGCCAAGTCCCTCACAAACCTCACCCAAATCTGCGCCGCGTCTCCGCTGCTGCAAGGCCTCGTCTTTGCAGCCGAGGACTTCGCCCTCGACCTGAGTATCACGCGGACACCCTCGCTGACAGAATTCCTCTTCGCTCGCTCAGCAATCGCAACCGCGGCGCGGGCAGCGAATCTCCCCTCGACGATCGATCTCGTTTGTACGGCGTACAAGTCTGAGAGTCCGGATGGCTCGCCGCCTGCAACGTTGCAGGAGGAATGTCTTGATGGGCGTCGGTTGGGATTCAATGGCAAGCAGTGCATCCATCCGACGCAGGTGAAGGTTGCGAATGATATTTTTGGTCCGCAGGAGGAAGAGACGACATGGGCTGTTCGGTGTGTGATTGCTGATGAGAAGGCCGCGGCTGCGGGCCGGGGTGCGTGGACACTTGATGGGAAGATGATTGATGTGCCAGTTGCGGAGAAGGCCAGGGCTATTGTTAAGAAAGCCGAGGCTGTTGGGGTGGATGTAAAGGCATTGCGGGAGCAGTGGAAGCACCAGGAGCCTGAGTAGATAGATATAGAAAGAGCTTAGTGCTGGTACGCTTGGCAGATACACTTTAGGAATATATTGTTGTACATTTACAAATGTGATGGTTGAGTCTCATGCCTTGTTGAAATACTTTGGAGTTTTTGTTCTGTACTGACGCCTAAATGCTTCACATGAGAGTCAGATGGCCCGAGCTTATGCTTGTTGAAGCGCCGGTTATTCTATCAGACCATCCGGCAAGTCAGGAAACACCATGACCAGGGAATAGTGAACAAGAGCAGTATGGTTTATATGATTCAATGCGAATTGCCACTGCTGGGTTCGCAATACGGTCAAACAATGAGATAGCGGAGAGTCTCAAGTTCTGAAATGCATAGGGATGGGTATCATGCCGCAGCATCAAGGGCTGAAATCAAAATATCTCACCAAATCATTGACTCTGCGCTTCTACATCCTCCCGCTTCAGCAATTGGATTTTTCCCAGTGTGAGATTGCTCCCATTATCCGCTGTTGCTGACTCCTCCTCCGCCATACTCCTGGCCAGGGACTTGTCATAGCTGGTCGGGTCAATGCCTAAGATACCACCCACGTAGCCTCCACGTTCACCGGGGACGCTGAAGTCGCGGAACAGATAGCGCCACTCGTTGAGCCACGCCTTGACCGCCTTGCCGATTTTATCTTTTCCATTCTTGGAATGGTGACCAGTGCCTGTGATGGCGTAGACAACCCGCAGCCCTTGGCGAGCGTGCTTCAGGAGTATCTTTTCGAGATATTCAATAGCCTCTTCCGGGTGTAGACCGTGCAGGTCAACATAGAGCTCCTCTGAGGATTCGTCCAGGCCCGCCTGGTTCAAATGCTGGTTCCGCTCTTCATATAGCTGACGCGCAGCTTCTCGGTGGCAACGACGCATCGCATCATTTTCGGCCTGGCCTCGAAGCGAAAGTGCCTTTGCAGCCCGAGCATCATTTCGGTTCCAAGCCTGAGCGGCACTGATCAGATTGTTAGAAAAAAAAAAAAATTGAATCAAATTGCACTTAACCAGGGGATATACCTTTGCAGGAACTTGTTCCTAACAGTTCCATGGCGGATCGCCTCAGTGCGGTACTTGATGTATTGTTGATTGGCTCGAGCGCCAGTTTCCAGCCAAGGAATATTCTGGGGAGGTGGGATTGACTGGGCAGCGGCGCTGTTTTCGCGGCCCTTGGGGTCCTTGGCGTTCTTGGAGGCAGACTTTCCTTTGCTGGGGGCAGGCGATGGAGTCATGCGGACAACATCCGCCATCGAGGAGGGGATGTTCTCTTTGCTCATATCACGGCCATTGTGGCCACCTCGCTTACTATGATTCTTCTTGCCAGCATTCTTAGCACTGACGGCGGCTAGAGTTGGAAAGGCATCCGGGTCGTCGACAGATGGAGCAGTGGGGTTCAGCTCGCGATTCTGATGGCGACTCGTTGGACGTGAGTTTGGACGGCCCAGGCTATTCAGGCTGCCGTTTCGTCTTCCCATGCCGGGATGTAGCCCAGGAGGGATATTCTTATTTTGCAATCCGGAAAGATGTACTGGATACCGGCCACCATATGAACCAGTCCATTGGTCTTCGGCCGCTGACTGTAGTGGAGGGAAGGCATCCGAGCCATTGTCCATCTGGAAGGGAGAGCCTGTGGCTGGTGAGGCTGGGCGACTGCCACTGGCGACACTGAGATTGGAGATGAGAGCCGATGGATCGTGCGAAAACGGGCAGCCCTCGCCAGCCAGGCAATTGCCCATCACCCAATACTTGCACACATGACTAGTTAAGTCATGGCTGAAACGGCAATCCGCACGGAGGCATTGTCCAGTAGAAAGCCAATACTTGCACACCACGGGGCTGCGCGAGTGGCCGGACGGCGTAATCGGACGAACTTGCTCCATTGTCATAGATTTTCCCACGACAACTCGGCCGTCGTCACTTTGCTTGGCGAACGAGTCGGTCTCTGGGTCCTGTGAGAGAGCCGCAATAGTGGCACCGAGATCGTAACTATGGGCTTCGAGTGCTGCTTCGATTTCTTCATTTGACCGTCTGTCACCGAGGACAGTGCGCAGGATATCATGAGGGCTCATATCTGGGACAAATTCAGCTGCAGTAGCGCTCAAAGCCCCAGCAAAGCTCATGCCACCCGTCGAAGAGGTGGTGCTGTTTGCATCGTCGGCCACCAGCCATTCAACATTACTGTCGCTGCCGAAATCCCCATAGTAATCGGATATTTGACTTTGGTCAGAGAACTCATATGCGTTCAGATTTGGCGAGTGTGGGATGGGTTGCGCCAGCGCAAGGCGGGGCGATGGACGTGGAGAGGTAAACGGGGAGACGGTTGAGGAGAGCGGAGGTCGGGAGAATGCCCCGCGCGAGCTCTGCACCCACGAGGTACTTCCGGGGCTGGTCCCCAGATTCGAGTGCGGCGATAGCGGTGTCGACGACCGTGCCATCTGCCATGGCGCCGGGGAAGAGCGTCGTATCACCGTATGACGAGTCGGAGGAGGTGATGAATCGGGCAGCGAACGATTGCGATGCCGCCAGAGGATGTCCAGCACGGCGTTCTCTAACGGTGACCCTGACAGCGAGGTGTTGGCGCGCAGGAAGTCTTCGACCTTTTCAACCTGCTCTTCTTCATCCAGGGCCTGATCCTGAAGGATCTCCAGGCATTTTTCGAGGAGCTCTTCCGAGACCATGTTGTCGTGTGCAGAGTCGCGCGACGGGAAGGGGGATAAGCTGAAACGATCGCACCGAGGCGGAGCGAAGGAGGTGGCTGGTAATCAACGGTAGGCTTGAACGCAATACTAGGAGGGTCGATGATGTCGCGACCGAGAAGGATAGGATCGGGTTCAAATGGTTCTGTAGATCTGGGCGGGTGTCACAGTTCCAGGTCCATGTTCGTTGCTCTGATAAGTGACCAGCCAGGATTGCGGACGCGGGCGATAAAGGGGGAAGGGGGGAATCGAGGCGCAGGGAGGTAGGACGTCGCAAACAGAGCAGCAGAGGTTACATCTCAGCACTCATCGACGCGCGACTGCAGAACAGAAACCCAGGAGGACCCGACTCGAAAGGATGGTGCGCAAACAGAGAGGGGGAGGCGGAGAAAGGAGATCAACATCGGGTCGAACAACTAGATGGGCCTCGCTCCACCACGCAGTCGGCCATTGGGAGCAGCTCGCCCATCATTGTTGCGGCGACCGATCATCGTCAGAAAGAAGCAGGCAAAATAGCACAGCAAACGTTAAGAAAAGACATATAATCCAAGGTGCCTTTATTCTGATCCTGATGGATTTGCGCAATACCTCTGATCGACCGGGATAGGTACCATATACCAGTGCCAGTTGATCACACTGACTATTAGTGACAACTAGCAGGAGTACCTAGTACATTCAAGTTGTACTGTGATCCTCAGCCATGCAGCACCATAAGCACCCGTCGACCAATCCACCATCTGATATTTGAAGAAGAGGAAACATTCGTATAGTTGTATACACTTGAATTTCCTATTAGAGCAGCAATCTTATCAGCTGTCGATCCAGTCTTGGTCCAGCAGGCAAACGAGTTGGGCCCCCGGCGGATCCGCCTGGGGCCCAGAGACCAGCTTGCCCTCGAGTCCGACACACGCCTTGGCTTCTGCCTCACCCATCCACTCGGCCCTGATCGCGGGGCCTCTCCACATTCATTCTTTCTCTTTTGCATCAATCTCGACTCCGCACCTGCGGCGTGGTTCTCTTGTCCCGTTGTTTGCTCCCGCCTCCACAGCGCCGATCTCCAGCTCCCCCAGATCGATCCGATCCCTGTTCCAATTTCCGCTCTTCATACCCCAACTTCTTGCCCATCATGCCTGCGGACTATGAGTCCACGGCGCGGGCATTGGCTCTGTCGGACTCGCCGCCAGAGCCACTTCCAGAACCCCCTGATAGCGATGGACAGGCACAGGCGGCCTGGTCCGGCAGACGCGATTCCGCTGCCCGCTGGGCCAACAGCGGCGAAGCGGCCAGCTTTCGCGAGCGCACCATGAACCGTGTGAAGGAATACTATGGTAATATGAAGGATCGCTGGGAATCGATGACTCTCTGGCAAAAAATTGGTTTCTACGCCGCGTCGTTTGGCGTTGGTGCGCTGGGCATTGGCTTCATGATCTTGACCGGCAAGCTCTTCGTCTGGCTTGGCCCGGTCGCGAACAAATGGGAGCATTCCTTCCTGGTAGCGTTTGTGCTCTGGCTTTGTGTATTCTTCGTCTCATTCCCGCCATTGTTGGGCTGGTCGACCTTTGGCACCGTGGCGGGGTTTATTTTTGGCTTGTGGAAAGGGTAAGCTCACGCCCGCTGGACCCTGTTGGACCCTGACGTCTTTTTCCCGGACGGAAGAGCAAACCATCGCTAACTGTGCCCCCTCACCCTCAAGATGGATTCTGTACTCCACGGCGACCATTCTAGGCTCTACCGCCTCATTCTATGTATCCCGCACCGTGCTTTCGGGCTTTGTGAACCGGTTGATGGAACGCGACAAGCGGTTCGCGGCCCTGTCGCTCACCTTAAAATATGACGGGCTGAAGCTACTCTGCATGATTCGGCTGTGTCCCCTGCCTTATTCCATTTGCAATGGCGCGATTTCGACATTTCCCACCGTTCAACCCTTGATGTACGGTCTGGCCACGGCGATTATTACTCCGAAGCTGCTGGTGCCTGCGTTTGTCGGGAGTCGCCTGCGGCTGCTATCCGAGAAAGGCGAGGAAATGAGTGGGGGCTCTAAGGCCGTCAACATCATCAGTATTATCGTCACGGTGGCTGTTGGCATCTTCACCGGATACTATATCTACAACAGGTTCGTGTTTCCCCCTTCATACTTTGGTGGTTCAATTCTATCTCGCCGAACCATCAGATCGAACACAAAGATTAACGGTGGAATGCTCCCTCTTGCAGGACACTCGCCCGTGCGAAAGAGCTCGAGGAGAAAGAGCGCGCCGAAATCCGGCAGTCGCTCCAATCCGATCACGCAGCCCATCGTCCGCATCGCAGATTCTCTGACGACGACGATACCAACGAGGCTGCGAACATGCTTGCTCGGGACGAGGAGGAGCGCATCGGCTTCGAGCTGGACGACGACCTTGACCTCGCACTCGAGGAAGACAGTGAAAGCGATCAGTCGAAACCGTGGAAGAAGACCAACCGACGGTCATACCATGATGAGTTTACGGATAATGACTCGGATGAATATCCAGGCGTAGCCAATGAGGCGTATGGGCTGCACAACCACGTCGAGCGGAACGCCTAAAGTGGGATAGAAATCATATTTTGCATTATATTAGTTGGCATTGCACAATAGGACAATCAAGTACATTCCATGCTCTTGTACAGCGCGTTGTTTCCTGCATACACAACGAGTATTGAGGCGAGTATCTACCGAGAGTCGTTGGGCGACTCGTCGGGGCCGCCTACCGCAAGCGGACTGAGAAATACGCACCGCCCGAGGAATCGCGATTCAAGGCGGCCCAGTCCTCCTCTCCCTTCATCGCGCCACGCAATTGGGTTTCCTCGGTTTATGCCAGTCGGATTCTCAATCGCCAAGGGTTTGGCTGGGGGAGGCGACTGGTCCCGGTCTGTATGTTTCCCGTTATCCCCCTCTCCTCCGGTGCATGCAATATCTATCTCAGGTACTTGCGAAAAGAATCGAGAAAAAGACTGCAAACATGTCCAATATACCGCCTGTCTAACTTTTATAGTAGCTATGTTCGGTTCTACATCGCACCGAAACGCCTCTCAATTATCCTTTATACCCTGATAAGAGACATCATGAGTGAATATCGATGGCTGTGGTGACGCCGGATCTCGAGTTCGTGCGGGCTTGATATTCATTCACAAGTGTTGATTCACTGCCCCGCTGCCACCAACCTACGCCCATAAACATCTACCAGATTCAATAGTTGCATCCGATGTCTTCTTCCAATTTTCATCCCTCCGTCGTCCAGACGCCGCCTTCGTACAACTTTTCGTCGGTGAAAATGGGCGTCGCGGGATCAACCGAGGCAATCCAGGATCTGGATACTACTACTAGTAGTATCTCTGCGCAGTCTGGGGATCGGGGCAAGCAGACCCCAACTGATCATCTGACTGTGCAGAATGGTGTGCACACTTCTGATGGGATGGGGCAGGCGATGCCGGTGCAGGCTCCGGCAGAAGACCTGGAGCCACCTACCAAGCGGATTCGGACATCTCGTGCCGCCCTTGCTCGAATTCAGCCGTCGACCTCGATAGAAGACCAGAAAGATACATCTCATCTGGGTGCAATGCCGCTGACACCCATCTTCAACATCATGCATGGAATCAACAACACGCATGGAGAAATATCTGGGAGCAGCAGTACTCCCATCGAGTCTGCCGTGTCCATGTCCCTTACCTCGTCATACGAACCCTTAAAATCGCTTTCTCCACCCACTACTCCCGGTCGATCTACCTCTACCCCGGCCCACACTGCAGGTGTGAGTGTGCTGGATAGCGACAAGATCGATTTGTCCAAAGTTCGACCGCGATCCTCCATCCCATCACGACTTCCCCCATACGTCTACGGTCAACAATGTGTTGCCGCCGCATATGCATCTCGGCTCGATCCGTATGCATTGCACAGGAAGGAGCAGGAAGCACTGCAAGACCAACTCTGCCACGTGCACGTCACCATCTACCTAAACATCCGAAACGGGATTCTGCGACTGTGGACGGTGAATCCAATGGTTGGTGTCACCCGGGAGGAAGCTCTCGGGTGCGCAAAAGAATATCGATGGATGAACCTGGCCTCGTTCGCATATGAATGGTTGTCACGAAACGGATACATCAACTTCGGCTGCGTCGAGATCCCCATGCCTGCAGTGACCTTCAAACGCGGTCGACGCAAAGAAGGCCCCACCATCGTGGTAATCGGTGCTGGTGTAGGAGGACTTGGCTGTGCACGACAGCTTGAAGGCCTCTTTCATCACTATCGAGATACCGATGTGGTCCCGCGTGTCATTGTGCTAGAGGGCCGGCGACGAATTGGTGGCCGAGTCTACTCGCACCCACTGAAGAGCCTCAGATCCGAGATGCTACCACCCGGACTCACACCCAAAGCAGAAATGGGTGCACAGATCATTGTGGGGTTTGACCATGGCAATCCTCTGGACCAGATCGTGCGTGGGCAGCTAGCGCTCCACTATCACTTGCTACGAGACATCTCGACGATTTACGACGTCGATGGTGAACCGGTCCACGAAGTACAAGATGCCAGGGACGAAAGGCTGTACAACGACGTGCTAGACCGGACGGGTGCCTATCGAATCAAATCACTCGTCACTCCCACCGCGGAAGGTGATCGTGAGATGATCGATAATGGCCGTGAATCGACAGTGGATGATGGCCTCACTGTACGACAATACGAAGAGGCACGCGCCGCAGGAACGATCGATTTACTCGTCCCCACCAAAAAGGTTCGCCGACGTCGCGGTGTCGGGCACAAAACTGCAGACCTGCAGACAAATAATGAGGTCGCAGCAGAGTTGAGCCCTTCCAGGGAGCATCCTGCTGCTCTCACTTGTCAGGCCACGGGATGGAAACTGAATCCTGGCTGCTCCTCCCAAGACACGATTAACCTCGATTACATTGCCAGTGTTTCGAGGAAACAGACTCTCGGGGCCGTGATGGACGAAGGAGTGAAGCAGTATCAGCACATGCTCCCGTTGACTCCCAAAGACCTTCGACTTCTGAATTGGCATTTCGCCAACCTCGAGTATGCGAATGCAGCCAATGTCGCCAAGCTCAGCTTGTCGGGGTGGGACCAGGATATCGGTAACGAGTTCGAGGGCGAACACTCAACAGTCATCGGAGGTTACCAACAACTGCCATACGGACTGTATTCTCTACCGACAAAGCTCGATGTCCGCACCAACAAAATTGTGCAGAGAATCTCCTACGATGCAACCGGCTCTGGAAAGAGATCGGTGATTCATTGCAAGGACGGAGAAAAGTTCGTGGCAGACCATGTCGTGTACAGCGGCTCCCTTGGCACTCTCAAGCATAACACCGTTCAGTTCGACCCCCCTCTTCCCGAATGGAAAACCGGAGCAATCCGACGACTCGGCTTTGGTGTAATGAACAAGGTCGTTCTCGTCTTCGACAAGCCTTTCTGGGACACGGAGCGCGACATGTTCGGTCTTCTCCGAGAACCACCCAACCCCGACAGTCTCTTGCAAGAAGACTACGCTGCGAATCGCGGCCGATTCTATCTTTTCTGGAACTGCCTCAAAACCACGGGGCTGCCAGTTTTGATTGCCCTCATGGCAGGCGATGCCGCGCATCAAGCGGAAGTGACACCAGATGCTGAGACCATCGCCGAGGTCACCGGCCAGCTACGCAATGTCTTCAAACACACTGTCGTTCCCGACCCCCTCGAAACCATCATCACCCGTTGGGCTTCCGACCCATTCACAAAGGGCAGCTACTCCTATGTAGCTGCCGAGGCTCTGCCTAAAGACTACGATCTGATGGCGCGATCAGTTGGCAACCTGCATTTCGCAGGTGAAGCTACATGCGGCACACATCCCGCAACTGTCCACGGAGCCTACCTTTCCGGACTCCGTACAGCCTCAGATATCATCGAGTCTGTTATCGGGCCCATCGAGGTCCCCACACCACTCGTCCCAGAGAAGCAAAGCAACACCCACTCTCCAAACGACCCAAACACAGCCGTCGAGTCGAAACCCGAACCCACCCCCATACTCACCACTCCCTCCCGCGTCTCGACTGACAAACGCCGCCGCGAAGCCTACGACCAGGCAATGTGGACAGCCATCTATGCCGAAATCGGCCAGATGCCTCCCCGTCCACCGAAAGCCGGTCTGAACCCCTTCCTCCTATACCAGAAGGACTTTTGGGCGAAATGTCGCGATCAATGCGACGAGTCCCGCCGTGCATCGAGCAAGAACCCCGCCGCCAAAGCAGGCCGCGATGAGATTCGACATGCGCTGGGCCAGATGTGGCGCAATGCTGCACCGGCCGAGAAACAGCCATATCTCGAGCAGGTCGAAACGAACCGGCGCACAAATGATGAGTCCTGGGAGGCGTGGAAGGTTGTTGCTCTGGAGTGGGAGCGAAGGTCATACGAAGTGAAGGATCAGTGGTGCGCCGCTAATCCGTTTGACCAGTGGGAGGCACCTCCTGAGTAGTGCCGAATCAAGATCTCGACATTTGTATATACTAGTGGGGTAGATCGGTCTATGCTAGCTTGTTTCACGATCCTTACCACAATATTATTATTATTATATCATCATCATCATTACAACTCAAATTTCAAATGTACACAGCGTATTAGATGAAGCCAAAACAATCAGTGTTGCCTTCAGATTGTTTGCTGCTCGTGCTCAAAGATCCCTGTATTGATGGCACATCTTGCGCCTCGTTTGATATAGCACCTGCGTCACATTGTACAGGGGTAACCCCAATGTACTTTCATTTAAGATGTACTAGACTGTAGTCCTTTTAAGGCTACATCACTTCCTACGCTGACCAAATTGACATGGGGAATATCGTCTATTTCTATATCTATGGGCACCGAATCTCCACACAAGCTAGCCCGATCTATTGAAGCCAAGGACCGCTCGATCATCTCAGATTAACCCAGGACACCCGATATCAAAAAAAAAAAAAAAAAAAAAAGGAATGAAAAATATTTCGAACAATGTAGCAATAGCAAGTAAGGGAATCCGTCAACCATGAGAGAAAAGTGAAAAATGCACGCGAAATGGGGCATCGATTCGCAAACAAAACAATGTCTAGAAATGCACGCGCATTCTTTCTAAACGTGCTATTCTGCAGAACAAATCGAGATCATGAGGGTAGGAAACGTAGGTGAGGAATGGAGAACAAAGGGGAGGGGGGGGGACGTTATGAGAGTAGTATTTAGAGAGCAGGGTTGGACTTGTAGCCGTCGTTGGTCTCAACGGTGGGCTGGGCCTCACCAGCCTCGGCAATGAACTTTTCAGCGTCCAGAGCGGCAACACAGCCGGTTCCGGCACTGGTGATGGCCTGGCGGTAGCGCTTGTCCTGGACGTCACCGCAGGCGAAAACACCCTCGACGGAGGTGTAGCTAGTACCGGGCTGGGTGACGATGTAGCCATCCTCATCGAGCTTGACCTGCTCCTTGACCAGGGCGTTGGCGGGGTCGTGGCCAACAGCGTAGAACAGACCGTTGGCATCGACGATCTCCTCCTGGCCACTGACGACGTCCTTGACGCGGAGGTGGGTCATGAGACCGCCGGGCTTGCTCTCGCCGATGACCTCGGTGGCGACGGTGTTGAATCGGACAGTGCACTTGGGGTGGGCCAGAAGACGCTCAGCCATGACCTTGGAGGCACGGAGCTTGTCACGGCGGACAAGGACGGTGACATTGCTGCCGTACTTGGCCAGGAACATGGCCTCCTCGGCAGCGGAATCGCCACCACCGATCACGTAGAGGGGCTTGTTGCGGAAAATGGGGACAGCGCCATCGCAGACAGCGCAGGCAGAGATACCATTCTGCCAGTAGGTCTCCTCGCCGGGCAGGTTCAGACGGCGGGCGTTCGCACCGGTAGCGATGATGACGGCGTCGGCGGTGCGGACAGGCTCGCTACCGGGGGCATCGTTCCACTCAGTCCACATCTTGAAAGGACGCTGAGAGAGATCCAGCTTGGAGATGGTCTCGGTAATGATCTCGGTACCGAAGCGCTCGGATTGTTTGCGCATCTTGTCCATGAGCTCCTGGCCGCCGACACCGTCGGGGAAACCGGGGAAGTTCTCGACATCGGTGGTGGTGGTCAGCTGGCCACCGGCAGCAGTGCCGTTGGCGAGCATACCCTCATACAGGACGGGCTGGAGTTCGGCACGCGACAGATAAATGGCGGCCGTGTGGGCGGCGGGGCCCGATCCGATAACTGCAAAAGAGAAAAAAATTGTAAGCCTTTGAACACGCTCCGAATCAGGAGAGTTAAACGCCGAATTACTTACTGACAACCTTGGAGTGCACCATTCTGGCTGGATTTATGCAATTGACGCGCGCCGGCGTCGAGAAAGGGTTTGAAAAGACCGAGGAAGGAGGAGACTGTTGGTGGACGGTAGAGGCCGCGGCAGCAGTCAATCCGATGGATCGTAGGGCGGAGGGGAAACGACGGAAGGCGGAGGAAAACAGCTTGAAGGTGTTGCGTCGGGAAGAGGGGGAATATAAACGGGATCCTTTTTTTTTGGCTTAGAGGGGAAGTGGGGACTTTGATGATGAGATCAAGGAAGTTCGGTGTTTTTCTGCAAAACCATCAAATTAATCATTTGCCCGCGTCGAGGCCCCTCGCTTTCTAAGCACGCCCCACGTGACGAGGCCGAGACTCGCTGACGTAACGTGAATCACCTCACTTTCCGGCCGCGGTTCCGCCTCCGAAACTACTGGCATCCATTCCGTTCTCGTCCTATTCAAAGGAGAACCAGTCTGGATGAGACTGCTTTCTGCCCAGGGCAAGCTCCATGATGCGGTGACTGGACACCGTCGCCTTCCTCCGCCTCGGCTCGGGATCACGCCATCTGAGGCTCTCCCGAGGGCGGTCGAAGCTGGGTGGAGCCCTGGTTATGGTATCAGGGTACTTTTTTCTGATCAAAGATCCTGATTGATTACATCTGATAGGGCTGGAGCTCATTTCTAAGCTTCGAGTCTAGCCACCATCTGATAAGCAGGTGTCCCCAGTGCACGACACTACTATACTATTCATATATTATGAAAATGTTTTAACATAGTGCCAAGGTACCGTCCCTCTCCGCCAGGCCATGTTACCCTAATACATTTTCATGTGAAGTATATTGGTACTCCGACCATAATACTTTCAAATGAATGTAATGTGGTCACAACATTTGATCCATACAGTTCAGTTCAGACTTACTCGCCGCCAGATAAATCTTACATCTGATAATCCGTGAGAGTCGAGAAAAAGTCAAATTTGATTCGTAAATGAATTGCACCTTTGTGCAAATCGCAAAGTTTCGACTATCTTGGTATTCATCAAATCGTAAAGAGTGCCAAAGGGCGACTCTGTCGTAACTCATCATATTGTACAAAAATATCAACTCATCCAGCCCCTAAACATCTTCTTGCCCCGAGTTGGGGGCTGCCAGTGCTCCTCCTCGTCGTACTCGTCAATGGACGACTCATCGGCGAGGGCCTCAGCAGGTAGCCGCTGCGGCACCTCTCCCTCCGAATCTTCGTCACTCCCCGGGTACCCTTCATACTGGCGAGAGGCAGCAGCATTGGCACGAGTGTTGTTGACTGTGTCATCATCCTCGTTTTCTTCAGTATCCTCCTCACTTGTGCCCTCTCTCTCACCCTGCGCCTGGGCGGCCTTCTTGCGACGCGGCATATTGAGCCACTTGCGCCAGCCCTTGACAATGTGGGTAGGGGGCGGGTCATCATCATTGCCCACATATCGCAGGGCAGGAACGAGCAACTTGTACGGAACGGTAATACCCGATGGGTCGTACGGGTTCACTTCCATGTTCAAGGTGATGGCCAATCCGCCCTCAAGATCGACAAAGGCGCCAGCGCCATCATCGCCTTGTTTGGCAGATTTCCTGGCCTTCTCACTAAGGTTGGTCGGTCGACGGTGGAAGCGACCCGGTTGCGGCTCGGCAGGTGCTCCCGGAAAATAACTGTCACTCGTCTCGCGAGGACGGGGGAAAGAGGAATCGACGGCATCGACGCTGGCTCGACGATGGGGTGCATTGTCGTTTCGCCCAAGACTCATGTTTCGAGTGGGAGGCGGTCCCTTGGTAGACAGCCGACGTAGGAGACCGGGCTTAGGGTTTGCTCCTTTATCACCTCGGCCCAGAGACAGGGTACGTTGAAGTTTGCCAGGGCGAGGCTCCGAGGCCTCTGGCGTTTCCGGTTCGGGAGTACTCGATGGTGTTGATCCGGGAAGGTATTGCCGAATCGAACACCAGTTGCGCCGAGGAAGCAAGCGTTTGTTGTTGCGGGACTTTCCGTTCACGTCCTGCGTGAAGATCGGGATAACATCCTCATCCGTGTTGGAGTCCATGTGGTGTACCGTGTTACGCTTGTTGAGCGTATCCGCAATGATATCCGTCTCTGGCATATTGGCAATCGCAGAAGAGATAACATTTGGCATGTAACGGTAGTCTCGATCCTTGGCGACGTCGAGCTTGGGGTTGGAGTAAAATTGACCGATGGCAGCCAGATGAACATCGCCACTGCAAGATAAATTGTTAGAATAGGATGTCCAGGCGGGAGAAATGATCCAAGCTTACCTGAGGATGGTCACGCGGACGGACTTTTCGGCTGCAAGATCCTGCAAGTCTTCAACCAGCCAGGTCCGCTCTGACTTGAGATGCTTGCCCGCCCAGTGATCATCATACACCTCCACGTGGCCTCCGGATCGGTTGACTAGGCCACCGAGCATCCCTGCCTTGCCGATAGACTTGCGGCTATTCATGAAGTTCTTGAGCATGGCCTTTCGAGTCGGTTAGGTGATACGGTCAAACACAAAAGAAGCGATCTAGGTATACTTACTACACGAGGATAGGCGATCGGAACACTGGAGAGTACGACCAGGTGCTTGGTTTGGCCCTTGACAATCTCCTGATGACAGCGGTCCCAGATACGATCGCAGGTTGCTTCGGAAAGAACTTCATTACTCTGAGAATTAATTAGAAAATGTTGCGCCAAGCTGGAACAGTTATATCTTACCCTCCGTTCAGTTCGGCAATCCAGACCCAGCAGAACGACATCGCTTCCAAGAGACATGAACAAGTTGCGGCTTCTTTGTTCAATAAATGGGCCTTGCTGAGCACCCAGAAGCCAGCTTGGCTCATCGGCCTCGGTCTCCTCCGGAACACTGTGGTGCTGGAACAGTAAATAATACTTGAATGCAATCTTTCCGAGACCCGAGATGACTGCGCTCTGCATGAAATCGTCATGATATGAGCCAAATCCTTCGAAGATTTCGTGATCATTCCACATGTTGATCATCGGAATTTGAGAGTTGGCGAGAGAGAAAAGACCCTGCGAGAACCAGGCGGCATAGCGTTGCAGGTAGAACTCTTCAAGCTCAGCACGGAACTCGGGAGTCAACGGGGCACCGTATCTCTCCGCAGCATTCTTGATCTTGATCCATTCTTGGAAAAATGTCGACTCCGTGAAGATGGAGTCATTGAATATCTGGTCTCCACCACCAATCATCACATGGAACGGCCGTGTCTGGTGCTCGTTAAGGATATCTCGCCAAAGCGGATCGGGTCCACAGAAGCGGTTGGAGTCAACAGATGGGCCGAACCCGTTACCGCTGTGGAACATCATGTTCATCGGTTGACCCTCAGCAGGCACCCAGAATCCCAGTGCTGGTCCATGATTGATTCTGTACGCAATACGTTGCTGGGTCGGGGTAAGCTCGACCTCGAGGTTGAATCTCCAGAAAGTCACGTCTCTCGCGGAGTCAGCGTAAATGCGGACACCGGGAATATCGCGATATAGGCCGGCCGTTTCGCCATCCACAGAATTGATTCGGTTAGCAGGAATGGGTTGCTTGGATCCTTCGGGATTGTAGTCGATTTGACTTGGCGAGAGCTCATAGATGCCATCATCCGTCTCCACAGCAGACAGGTCAACTTCTTCTTCGAGGTGGTCAACTGGTTTCACGTAAAGCGGCCGTCCATCACGCCCAACCTTCATGAGACCAGCAGTTGGATCGATGTATTCTGGTGCCAGATGCTCACCGCTAATCTCAGCCGGTGGTGGGGGCAAAAGATCCATAGGCTGAGAGAAGAGCCTAAGTGTAGGTGGAGTGTCGTAAGAGGAACGAGTGTCTTTCGTGACGATCAGAACAGATCCTCGCCATATATCCTTTTCGAAAGTGCCAGCTGTACTGGTAGTGGTGACCTTTTTGATGCCAGTGTAGCGGAGAAGGGGACCGCATCGAAGGAACAACCGTGGCTCAAAGTTCTTGTGCGCAGTCACACCTAATTGCCATTATTAGGGCCCATAAACTTGACAATAGTGAGACTATACGGGATGTGTGCTTCTTACCTGTTAGTTTCTGAGCTGGTGTCTTGTAGTTCTTTGGAAGAGCTCTGCTCTTGCGACGGTTGGTTGTACCCCCGCCTTCCCACCATGCCTTGCTCCGATCCATATCAAGGCTTTGGAGATCAAAGTCAGTTGCGCTCAGTCTTGCGATAGGCGCATTCTTCCACTCAAAAATTGGCGGAGGCGTCGGTGGAGGTACATTGAACGAAACGGTTTGCTTCTTCTTGGAGTGAGATTCGACACTATCCTGTGCCGTTCGTGCAGCAGGGGGCGTCTCCAGTCTCTCGTCGCTCATTACCACATTCGGGACATGCCCAGAATTGCCTTGACTCACACTGCCCTTCTGAGAGTCATTCTCCGTGGACGTGTGCTCCCAGGATTTGCGGATAGGTGCCCAAGGAGCACGGTTTCTGTATGCGGGAACGGCGGCACTCTCGGGCTGTCGCGGTGCGGCGAGAGGCACATTAGGTGTAGGGTTGTCAAGAACAACATTCTTCCGCTCGCTCTTTCTGGGTGGACCGGGAGCTGCACGACTCTTTGTAGGTATGCTCTGCTCCACACTCGGCTGGGGAGGAGTGGCGGCAGCAGCAGCCGCTTCGGCCTTTTCGCGTTCGATCTTTTGACGAGCCATGCGCTCCCGGGCTCGCATCTCAGCCTCTTGCACTCGGGCTCGCTTTTTCTTCTTTGCTAATTCCAGTTAGAGTCACCTCTAGCTTTTGCAGCGGCGAACGGTCCGAAGCCCAGTCTTTTCGAGGAGCATGCGCCGATCGAGTGCTGCTATACCGCCTCGTCGAGGCCGGCATGCTTGCTTGTGCCGCAGGAACTTCCGGGGATGGCAGGCTGTCTTCCTTTGGTTGTGTTCCGGGGTCGGATTCATGAATATATTCAGTAGGCGGAAGGCCTCGAGGAGTGGTTGATTCGTCTGAGAGCCCGGGAGGGGCTTGCAGAGTGGTATTTCGTGTTGTGTAGTTTCCGTCATTGGCCGGCAAATCGCGAGCTCGTGCTGAGAAGGACCGGCCTGCTCGATCGGTGGACTTCGCAGTGGATGCGGTTTTGGACGCAGAGCGTTCGCGAGGGGCATCGGCAGTTGTATGCTCGTATGCGTCATCAAAGCCGTCCATGTCTTGCGGAACGCTAGGCACGGCCATGGAGGATCTGCGATATCCTGACGCCGTGCGCGCGCCGTTGGTGCCATTCGAACGGCCGCTACCATTTGCCATGTCGGGCGAGTCGCGAACCATGGCGGCGGCCATTCTCTATTCTTACCGCTTTAGCGAGAATCAGATCACACGGTCGATTCTTGCCGGGTGAAGGCGAAAGCGAAAGTGGATTGTTGTGATTGCCAGTGTAGATCCGGCTAGAGGGAGTCCCGTCAGTTTTGTTCATGCAGCCATTGCTTGGATTGAAGTTGGTCAGTTTTGGGGGAAGGAAAAATCAACATACCGTCAGTTTTCTAAAAGATTCCAGGGTCCTGAAGGTCTGGTGCGCGGTCGCGGTCGCGATCTCGCTCTGCCTGATGCCTAACGTGACGCAAGTTCACCACACCATCGCCCGAACGAGACCTAGTTGCGCCAGAGTTACCAGGGATTGGAACGCGGAGCAGAAAACGATAGAAATGAAGAATGCTGCGTCGGGAGTGGCCGAGACAGTGGAGGTGAAGAATGGGAGAATGGGATGGGGAGATGATGAGAGGAATGAGGAAGGAAAATCGGGAAGTCGCAGTATACTGCCGAAGTTGGTGGCTGGGATCTCCCAGCCTTCGCGCGGGGCCGTTGGGAGCGCTCTGACGGGACAACGTCTTGCCTAGCGGTGCCTGGTATGCCTACATGTGAAATTACTAGTAGTACTTGTCTAATCGTCGACAGATACTTTATTTTGTCGATTTATTTCCCACGTACCAACTCTACTCTGTATAGTCTGTATAGTGTTCGGCCGGAGTATAGATTGGGCCGGTGGAGTCGCGATCCAAAGACAGAATGGCCGGGCAACTTAATCCGCATGCAAGGACGCGCTCGCACTAGCACTTGCGACCCTTTGCGGTCAAGTCGGGAAAGGATGTGAGGTCTCGTACTTAACACGAGCTATACATAGATGCTGCTCGTACCTGGCCGTGTCGGGCGGTGATCAGCACTGCCATCTTACTGCTGCCTACTATTTTACTGGCAGAGTTCGGACCGTGCAGTACTCAGCGTTGGGGTACGTAAGCCAAGGCAAATCCGCGACCGTGGTCTCTTCCTATTCACGACCATTCCAACTTAGTCGACCTCTTTGTTTCCCCAAAGCCCGTCGAGCGATCGTGGACTCGGTGCTGGATCATCAGGGTCCCGTGTGTCTTGAGTTCGTCGGCCGCCCGACGATCCTCCTATTTCTCTCCTCCTGCTCGCCACTTCCTTCCGCACCTCCCCTCAACCTCCTTGGGCCACCTTTCCGTTTCGTGTAAAGGCCCTGGCTCCGTTCATGGCAGCGGTGCATCTGATATCCTCCTCGTCATCGTGAGAGCGAGTGTTTAAACCTCGCCTCAGCAACCTTCATCATGCGTGTCGCTGGCGGCATCGCCGTGGCGCTGAGCCTAGTCGGCGCGGCTTCCGCAAATGCCCACCCGCGCGCCATCGAATCCCGTGAATTCTTCGCCCTCCATATCGACGATTCTACCTCCCCGTCCTATATTGAACGTGCCCTCGGTGCCCGACATGAAGGCCAGATCGGAGAACTGGAGGGCCACCACACCTTCTCACTGCCCCGGGAGCAGAGTGACGACTTCAATGCCTTATTGGATGACCTCCGAGCTAAGCGCAAGCTGCGGCGACGGTCAGGCAACCCTATTGAAGCTCGAAGTGCAGACCCCCTCGATGGGATTCTGTGGTCAGAGAAGCTCGCGCGTCCCAGACAACGGTTACACAAGCGCATTCCGCCCCCAATCCCTGACGTCGCATCCCGATTCATAACCGAGAATGAAATGAAGACTCTCGAAACCCAGAGCCACATTATGTCGACCCTGGGCATCACCGACCCGATCTTCAAAGACCAGTGGCACCTTTTCAATGCCCTCCAGCCAGGTCATGATCTCAATGTCACGGGCGTCTGGCTGGACGGTGTCACGGGCAAAGGCGTCATTACAGCGGTGGTTGACGATGGTTTGGACATGTACAGCGAAGATTTGAAACCCAACTACTTTGCCGAGGGCTCGTGGGACTACAATAACAATTCCCCCGAACCCAAGCCCGTACTCGACGACGATAGACACGGTACTCGCTGCTCGGGAGAAATCGCCGCCTCCAAGAACGATGTGTGCGGCGTGGGCGTTGCGTATGACAGCAAGATCTCCGGCATTCGAATTCTGTCTGCGGCTATCTCTGATGAGGATGAAGCCGCCTCTATCAACTATAAATTTCAAGAGAACGACATCTACTCTTGCTCATGGGGACCTATGGATGATGGCCAGACCATGGATGCACCTGGCATGCTGATTAAGCGTGCAATGGTGAACGGCGTGCAGAAGGGTCGTGGTGGAAAGGGCTCGGTCTTTGTGTTTGCAGCCGGTAACGGTGCGACATACGATGATAACTGCAATTTCGACGGCTACACAAACAGCATCTACAGCGTGACAGTCGGCGCGATTGATCGATACGGAGATCACCCACCATACTCAGAGTCATGTTCTGCTCAGCTGGTGGTCGCATATAGTAGTGGAGGCCGCAGCGCAATCCACACCACAGATGTCGGTACAAACGAATGCTTCGCAGGACACGGTGGTACCTCTGCGGCCGGACCCCTTGCTGCCGGTTCAATCGCTCTGGCTCTCAGTGTGCGGCCCGATCTCACATGGCGCGATGTGCAATACCTGATGGTGGAGACCGCTGTTACCGTTCATGAGGATGACGGAAGCTGGCAGACACTTCCATCGGGCCGCAAATTCAGCCATGATTGGGGCTTTGGAAAGGTCGATACCTATGCGTTGGTCCAAAAGGCTCGAGACTGGGAGCTCGTGAAGCCGCAAGCATGGTACCACTCGCCTTGGCTGCGCGTTCACAATAACATTCCCCAAGGATCCCAGGGTCTGCTCAGTCGCTACATTGTTACTGGGGATCAGATGAAGGGTGCCAATTTTGCGCGCCTGGAGCATGTTACGGTGACGATGAATGTCAACCATACTCGTCGCGGTGACCTCAGCGTAGAATTGCGCAGTCCTGGCGGAGTGATCAGTCATTTGAGTGTTCCTCGCCGAAATGACGAAGAAAATGTTGGCTACGAAGACTGGACATTCATGACTGTTGCACACTGGTAAGTAGACTTAGCTTCTCTCATTTTTTTTTGCGTTTTTCCCTTTGGATCTGATGATTAACTCGACCATCAGGGGCGAGTCGCCTGTGGGTGAATGGTCAGTCATTGTCAAAGACACCGTTGTCAATGAGCATTCTGGCCAGTTTGTGGATTGGAGACTCAACCTTTGGGGCGAGGCCATTGATGGGACCGATCAGCCGCTCCACCCATTGCCTAACGATCACGACGATGACCATCCTTACGAGGAAGCTCATGTGGCAACAACCACAGTGCAGCCCGTACCGACCAAGACCAGCACTCCCACTCATCCAGACGATCAACACGACCGACCTGTCAACCAAAAGCCTCCCCAAGCGAGCGAGACGTTCCCAGCGGAGGAGTTGGACACGAGCAAACCTGCAGATGCCACCTCTCCCACTGCCTCTCCCACCTCTACGTCTTCCGCTATCTCCAACTATCTACCCTCATTTGGTGCCTCGAAGCGAACCCAAATTTGGATCTACGCATCTTTGGCGATGATCATTGTATTCTTCATCGGTCTCGGCGTCTACTTCCAGCTTCAGCGACAGAAACGTCGCCGCACCAACGCCCAGGATGACTATGAGTTCGAGATGATTGAAGACGAGGATGAAACGCATCCCATGACTGGAGGGGCCGGTCGGACTCAGCGCCGTGGCGGTGAGCTATATAACGCATTCGCAGGAGAGAGCGATGAAGAAGTCTTTAGTGAAGACGATGATGAGCCTTACCGGGATCGGTTAGCCAACATCTCCGAAAAGGATGACGAAGGCGAGGACGACTCCCCCGGCAGCCATCTCTTGTCCGAAAAGTGATAATTTGCTCTTGTATGATTCATTTCCTTGCATTGGGGTTGGATTATGGCATGTGTGGCATATCGGAACCATATCGAACTTCTGGGACATGACCGCATTTGTTGTTTGGATGGGCTTAGATGGGATCGGCTACCTGGCGTCCCATATACATACTGGTAGTATCAATCGCGTTTCGCGGAAGGAATGCGACCATGGGATTCTGTGCATATTGAAGAGGAGCCATAGAATCATGAAATAACAAAAATTCCAATCGACAGGAAGTTTTTTTGGATTCTGGATTTGTAAATGCTCGTTTTCCGCACGCCAGCACTCAAGTAAAAGTGTAGTACCCCAACTGGGCCCCTCCGATGACGATGGTGCCGCCCTCGGGACTCCGCCTTGCGATCATCAGCTTCCCACAGCTCCCCAGCTCCTCCCGTCTCCGCCCCCACCCCATTTTGGATTTGGCTGTCGCTCTCTGGACTACTTCTCACAACCATCGTGCTTCTATTCCTGCAGTCAACAAATCCAACAACAACACCGCCGGGTGACCACGGTTGACCGCCCCTTCCCCGCACGATGGAGCACCACGACGACTTCGACAGCGTCTCCTGGAAGCACGATCCAGAAAGCGATGCCTCTCGACCGACGACCTCCGGCACAGATGCGGAAGAGCCATCGTCATTTGACCATGATGCCAATGGCAAGCGAAGGATGAGCTCTGCTCACGAAGAACCCCAGGCCGGCTCGCTGGCCGACGCCGTGGACCTGGCTGGTATCGGAGACGGTGTGCTGGAGTGTCGTGTCGACACACCGCTGAAAGAAAACGATGGCACGAAAGACACATATATCTCATATCTCGTGACAACACATGTAAGTACCTTATTGTGACCCACCATTTCTTTCGAGATTTCAAGGAAATCGCATCGTGATAGGTGCCACTGCTGCCTGCCCGCTCCAGTATCCCCCAGGATTGTTGTCGACAGCCCACTTCTAACATCCAAACTTCTTAGACCGATTTTAAGTCATTCCAGAGGCCTGATTTCAGTGTACGGCGACGATTTACCGATTTCTATTTCCTGTACAAGACGCTCTACCGCGAATACCCAGCATGCGCGGTCCCGCCACTGCCGGACAAACACAAGATGGAGTACGTCCGAGGAGACCGGTTCGGCCCGGAGTTCACAACACGACGCGCCTGGTCGCTGCACCGTTTCCTCAAGCGCCTGACACTGCACCCCGTGCTCCGCCGAGCCCCCCTTCTCATCATCTTCCTGGAATCGCCTGACTGGAATGCCCATGTACGACTGCATAGCACGCGCACTACTACAAACACCAATACTGATGCTGCGGGCACTGGGATATTCGATAACTTCACCGACAGCTTCGTCAACGCCTTTACCAAGGTACACAAGCCAGACCGACGTTTCATTGAGGTCAAGGAGAAGGCCGATAAGTTGGATGAAGACCTTTCACATGTCGAAAAGACCGTGGCGCGGGTCGCGCGGCGAGAATCCGATTTGGAGACCGACTACACAGAGTTAGCGACGCAGTTCCGCAAGCTCGTTCCTCTTGAGCCAGCAGTAGAAATGCCATTGCAGGTATTCGCGGCATCCGTCGAAGAGACCGCGCGTGGAGTGCGGGGATTGAAGGATCACACCGATCAGAATTATCTGGGGTCGCTGCGCGACATGGAAGCCTACATCTTGTCTGTCAAAGCCCTTCTCAAAACACGAGAGCAGAAGCAGCTTGACTTCGAAGCTCTGGTGGACTATCGCAATAAAGCAGTGGCCGAGCGTGACACCCTCGCCGCTAATCCAGCAGCTTACTACGCATCCAATCCTCTCACCTCATCTCCGGCCTCTTTCATTCGCTCCAAAATGGAGGATATGCGCGGCGTCGACCACGAGCAATCCCGTCGCGAGCGGGTACGCAAGCTTGAGCTCCGGATTGATGAACTCACCCGTGAGGTTGAATCGGCAAAGACTACGTCGGAAATGTTCGATGAAGAAGTAGTGCGCGAGGTCGCTGATTTTGAGCGCATCAAGGCTGTGGAGTTCCGTGATTCCCTTGGAAGTTTTGCCGATTCGCATATCGAATTCTACCAGGGTGTTCTTTCAACATGGGAGCGCTTTATTGCAGAGATGGAGGGCGATGCCGACTTTGATCTGGATGCCGATCCAGTATTGGGAGCCCACTAGAGGAGGCCATGATTTTCGATCGCTTCAGCTGTAGCTTATTCCGATTTATTCGACTAGCTTGTCATTCCATTCCATAACCGCAATATGGCACTGTTGCTTTCTGCCGACACTATACTAGATTCGAAATCGTATGATTCGACAGCTGATGAGATTTTGGTAGTATGAGTTTATCTCAGTAGAGGCACTTTGGCACGAATACCTTGGGCAGTTTGCGCATTAGAAAATGTACCAAGATGCCTACAGTAAAGTAAATCGTGGAGAAGGAAAGCGAGCTATTATCAGACATGATGATCCCGACAACACTTCGCACCAAGACCTAATTGACTTGATGCTCTATGGTCCATTGCGATGATCATTGTTTGTACTGTTTGCACCGCGGACGTCCCCTCCCTCTTCCACGATCCTCAATCATCCGATTTCCCTCGTTCCAATCCTCAAGCACAATGCGCCCGATTTCGAGAGCCGCCCTGCGGCCGTATGTCTGCCCGTCATGCAGACATGGCGTTGGCGCTGGCCGGCGACGATTTGGCACCACAGGAAGCCAAGCTCCGGAAATCTACGATGTGGTTTGCGTCGGGGGTGGTCCGGCAGGCCTGGGACTTTTGGCAGCACTTCGTATGTCGTGATGCTGTTATTATTTGATTTCAAGATCTAAAGCTAATTTGTGCATTTCTGCAGGTGCTTCTCCCGTTACATCAAAGCTGAAGGTCGCCCTCGTTGAAAGCCAGGATCTCCGCAAAGCCCGCAGCTGGAATCTCGATTCGAGCCAGTTTTCCAACCGCGTTAGCAGCTTGACACCATCTTCCGTAGAATTCTTGCGCAATATTGGTGCGTGGGAGCATCTTGACACCGAGCGGGTGCAGGATTATCAAGACATGCAGGTGTGGGATGGCGAGACGGGATCGCGAATATCGTTTGACTGGTCTATGGAGACCTCTCCATTTGAAGAGATGCGCACAGTCGCCACAATGACAGAGAACGCCAATCTCGTGCGCGGCCTGCTCTCTCGCATTGAGGCCTCCGGTGACGAGAACCTGACTCTGTTCTCCAACACCACCGTTGCCTCTATCGAGAACGGATCCGACCTCCAGACCGAGGGACCCGATCTCTCCGCCTGGCCCGTCCTTTCCGTTGCGCCTACCGGCGCCGGAATGCAGTCGCAGTCGCCATCTCGCATTGCTGCCAGGCTTCTTATTGGTGCGGACGGGATCAACAGCCCTGTTCGCTCGTTCGCCGATATCAGCACACAGGGATGGGACTATAACCGGCACGGCGTTGTCGCAACCCTTGCCCTCGGTGAATCAGACAAACCTACATTCCCTGCCAATGCGCGCACAGCCTACCAGCGCTTCTTGCCCTCACTCGGCGGACCAATTGCTCTACTTCCCCTCCCGAACAACCATGCCACCCTCGTCTGGTCCACGACACCGGAAAACGCAGCCTACCTAAAATCCCTCCCAACCCCCGCCTTCCTGGCCATGGTCAACGCCGCTTTCCGCCTCTCCATGACCGATCTCAAATACATGATCAGCATGGAGCGTTCCTCCGACCAATTCTCCCACGAGGACGAACTTATCTGGCGCCTCCAGCACACCCCGCAAGAATTGCAGCCACCTTCCGCCATCGGCGTGCAAGAAGGAACCGTCGCTTCTTTCCCGCTTCGCTTCCGTCACGCCTCGCAGTATATTTCGCCGCGCGTCGCTCTGGTCGGAGACGCGGCACACGTTATCCACCCGCTCGCCGGACAAGGTCTGAACCTTGGCCTTGCAGATGTGGCTGCACTCTCGCGGACTATAGAGTACGCCGTGGCTCACGGCATGGATATTGGCGATCTGCTCACTCTCGAGCGCTACTCTTCCGAGCGGTATCTCCCTAATGCTAAGATTGGTGGTGCTTGTGATCTGCTGCATAAGATGTACACCATTCCCGGGCAAGGACCTATTACCTGGGCCCGGAGTCTGGGCTTGGATGTGATTGATCGGTTACCTTTTGTCAAGTCGTTCTTGATGAAGAATGCTGAGGGGTATTAGGCCTTTGTCTTGTATGGCTACACTGTATATGTAATTTCAATTTTGTTCAATATCAGCCAATATTTACTTGAAATCCTTTCATACAATGAATCCGTAGACGTACATTGTAGACTAGAGCACCATTCAAAGGTTTCGATCCACAGTGGATGTGATGTGATGTTAGCGCCATACTCTAACGATGCAGCTACCATAATGCAGTGAAGAGGGTTCAATGTGATGTACTGTCCGGAATGCAAGAGGGGGAATATATGAGGTGATCTATATTTTAGAGGGGGTAATGCTAGCCATGATCAGATGAGATATAATGGAATGAGAAAGGAAATGAAACGCCTGCTTCCGCACTTTTTTTTTGCTGGTTTAAACCTGCATACCCTGAAGTTGCTGTGCCAGGCTGACTTCGGAACCGGACTGCTTCTTCTCGAGACGGGCCTTGAGCTCTGGAATCAGAGACACAAGCTCGATATCGACGCCATCCTTCTCAGGGTGGCCATCGGGAAGCTTGAGACCAAGCTCCTTAATACGGACCTTACCCTCGGCCAACTCGCTCTCGCCGAGAATCAGGCCGAAGGGAATGCCGCCTTCCTCGGCAGCCTTGAATTGTTGCTGGAGCTTAGGCTTCAGCTTGTAGTTGAACTCGGCCTGATGAGACATTAGTGGGTTGCCTTTTGATGCAGAGATCAGAAGTTACGAAGTATTTACCTTAATGCCGGCGTCCCACAGCTTCTGGCACATCTCCATACGCTCCTTGAGCATACCGTTGAAGCCCTTACCACCGATGGCCATGACGTAGACGTCAACTTCACTCCGGCGGAGACCCTGAGCAGCCTGGTCACGCTCAAGACGGGCCTTGGTGATCGAGAAGATACGGTCGACACCGAATGAGACACCAACGCAAGGAATCTGAGCCTTGGGCAGGAACATACCCACGAGGTTGTCGTAACGACCACCGGCAGCGACACTGCCGACTCCAAGAGTAGGGTCGTTGGATCGGTCATCGTCCTCCGAAGTCTTCTTGTCCTTCTTGGAGGACTTCTGCACCTTCTGAGCCTCCGGGGCGTCAGACTGCACGGCGGGGGCAGAGCCCTCGGTGACGACCTCGTAAATAACACCAGTATAGTAATCCAGGCCACGGGCCAGAGACATATCGAAAGAGATCTTATCCAGCACACCAAATGCCTCCAAGTAGTCGATCATAAGACCCATATCGGTCAGACCGGCCTTGGCAGACTCGTTGGCGTTGAGGGTCTCGTCCTTCATGAGACGGTCGAGCAGCTCACGACCACCCTTGTGCATGACATATGTCTCAATGCGGTCCGCGACAGCACCGTCGAGACCCTTTTCATCAACCATCTCCTTGCGCACATCCGCCCATGGCATCTTATCCAGCTTGTCAACAGCACTGGAGATGGGCCGGATCTTGTCCTCCGGCACACCGCAAACAGCGAAGACACCGTCAAGGATCTTGCGGTGGTTGATCTTGATTGTATAACGGCCATTCCAACCTAGCTCCTCAAACACCTCGCTCACAATGCGCAGCACCTCCGCATCCGGGACCATAGGGTCAAAGGCACCGGCGATATCGAAGTCGCACTGATAGAACTCGCGCATGCGACCCTTGCTAACGGCAGGCTGGTCACGGCGGTAGACCTTGGCAATGTGGTAACGCTTGATGTTGCGGACGTCGGAGTTCATGGCGAGCCAGCGGGCGAAGGGGACGGTCAAATCGTAGCGCAAGGAGCAGATCTCGCCGCCCTGGTCCTGCAGGTCGTAGATGAGCTTGGAGTCCTCGCCATACTTGCCAGCCAGGATCTCGCGCAGCTCAAAGACGGGGGTATCGAGGGCAGTACCGCCGTGGCGCTTGAAGACGTCGGCGATGGTGGAAAAGATGCGGTCTCGGAGGAGGGCGTCGGAACCGGCCCAATCCTTGGTCCCCTTGGGGGTTTTGAGATTGAACGAGGTCTTATCCTTGCCCATTGTGTCGATCAGATCGGAGCGAGGGATTGACGAAAAGTATCGAGTGCGGCGGGGGTAGTTTTGATGGTGGGGGATGGTGGGGGCACGGAGACAAATTTGATTCGAGGTCGCACGCAGGCCTTGGGCAGGGACTGGGCAATGAGTCAGACGACAGGAAGCTGCACCGAGGTTATTCGCAATTGCTCGCCGTGTAGAGCGTAGAGTTCCAGCAAGGGACGGCATAAAAGGCACGCGATTCTGGGCAAGCAGCCAAGTGGTTGCCCGAAATGTTCTTTCGGGCCTTCTTTCCGCTTTCTAAAAGTCGTTCCGATAATTTATCCGGGCATAGAAGCACAGTCCAGACAGCGGCCGGCCTAGACATTAGCAGTGGAATATGAACTGCAATTTGCTTGTGAAGTAAATATGTGTAAATTTTAAGATAATTCAAGCATTACACGGTAGCACATAGGAGGGTAGTCAGGAATGCATTGTGCTATTAGGGCTGTACGAAGTGGCACACGTGAAGCCACCATTGACGATGCCTGCAGGGTGCTGATTATGTGAAGTTAATTCGACACTGGAATCTGAGAAGTTATCGTCTATAATTATGATTTAAACACTCCTGTGATGTATTCTTCAAATTTGCACTACCTAGGATCAAAAGGAATAGTCTGAAGCAGCGGGGACACTTCTATCGCGGGTATCTCGGTGTTGATAGAAGGTGAAAATAAGGTTGGTATCATTGAGCTGCCAGGAGCGCTTGGAAGGTGAAGTTCTGACCTACTACGAAGAGGAAAACAGTGTATACTGCCCTTTATGGCCGGCAACGCTGATGTTCTGACACTATTCGCCCGGCAATAAGTTAAACCGCAAGGGTAGAAGTCTAGACTTTACTCGTAGACATAGATCACGAGGACGGAGCCTTCTCAGGCAAGGGGAGACTTTCTTAGGTGAAAAGCTTAAGCCTTTTGTGGCTGTCAATGTCTGCGTCTAGACCAGGAAGGGTCTGATCTGTCTCCCAGCATCCTTCGTTACTATATTGTAGTACGCTCCTACAACCAAGCTGTAGACCCGCTCCTGATCAGCACTCGGTAGATCTCTCATCATATCCATGCTGCGTAATTACATCGGATAGTGGTGATGTGATACGCCCAGGAAATTCCTGTGAAACCTTAGGCGTCGGGGGTGGGGATGACATGCAGTGTACAAGAAGCTTGAGCATACTGAAGTCAAACTCAGCCACTGCAGCCGATCATTCCTGTTCTCTTCTTCAACTGATAGACCCGGGGCAGAGAATTCCACCTGTGATATCCAGGGACCATAGCTACAGACAAACCAGAAGACGAGAACTAGCGATGCCCCCATGAAAGCATTGACCGCAGGGTAATCTGGGATACGAATAGGTGGGGTGGCGAGTCATGTAGGGGCGGTCCATTTGGGAAGCATACCGCAGAATAATAGCTCATAGCCATAGCCGGACCCCCGGAAGCCCAAAAATGCCTCGGGATATTCAGGAAAGTGAGCGAGCAATGCGCCGAGTGTAAGAAAAGGGCGCGCGCGAGGCATGGAAACCTGATTCGACCGACAGATATGCTGACCGAAGCGGTTTCATGCAACGGTCCCAGTTTCTTGAATCGGGAGCGCCAAGCAACCACCGCCAATTCCGGGGCTTCCATCAAAGATAGCGCCTGTATTAGAAGTATACTCCATAAAATTTGTAGTCACCTTCCCATCGCGCTCCGCTCCAATGCGATTCGGTGGAGCACCCGCCGAGAGGATGGGCCATTGGGAGTCACAGCGGTTGGATTCCTGGAGTGCCGTCCCCACTATGATGTACTGTGTCCGTCCCTGCAACGGAGACGCTTGATAGAATGATATCTGCATCAGTGCAGCCTTGGCCGCCGCCTTGTCTGTGGCAGGAAAGCCCTGGGACCTCCAATGAACACGGGCGCCGCCCGATTCTGGCCCCCCAGCGCTGGGAAAGGGGGGGCGGCTGCTCACATTATTATGTTGGGGGTGGCATCTGGAGAGATTCTATCCCTGCGCATGGTTCCATGGAGTGGCGGATCTTAGGTACCTAATCTTCTCTCGACAAGCGCTGTTTAGTGCTCTGCGGGCTCTGCTGCACGCACTGGGCATGCATGACCAGGCTCCACGGGGGGTTTAGTGCGCGCCCGCCTGCGTCAATGTCAATAATAGGCTCCCTTGCGGGACCGCGTTATCGTACCATTGCCCGGGAGGTTGGCTTTTCGGAAAGTCGCCGCAGGAGCAGGAATACGCGGGGCAGGCCGCGCGGACCTCAGGCGGCCGCACCTGTGGGTTGATCACGGCGGATTCCTTGCATTTTGACCATGCTCAGATCTCTAATACCCCAGAAAGGGATGCATCATGCACCGGGATCGCGCTGGGCAGTGCGTGGGTGCCGGGCCATCCAGGACTCTCACCCCGGCAAGAGGGAAACGCGACTCCGCCGCCACCGAGGCATTCCCCACGCTGGAGACGATCATTGGGCGTTGTGGAACGCCATGCGAGGGGCGGACACATGGCCCGTGAGCGTCGTCTCGCGCGGGCCAATCGCCGGGCAACGGTCGCGGGTTTGTAGAGTTCATCGCACCCACCGTCGGCGCTGAGAAGCTGGCGGTGCCGGGTGAAATGAGGAGCACGTTCCATGGTCGTCGTGGGGGCTCCGCTGGGGGACATGGCCAGGACCAATGGTCGCAGCCGAGACTTCGTGAGGCCCTCAGAACCACTGTCGTCCCTCCGATACAGCCGGTCCGCACACTTTAGTTCCATCGTGGGAGGTTGCGCGCGTCGAGGAAAATCGGCGATTGGACCAGTACCTGCCTTAGGACTCCACGTGGCTCGTCGCAAAGTGCGGAGGGCCCTTCTTCTGGATGATTCGGTGCAGGCTGCGCGAAATCCCGAGCGGAGGGTGTTGGGAGTTCCAGGGCTGTGCCCAGGCATCGAATCTGAGTAAGGTGGAGGGTGAAGTAAGATAAGTCGGGGCGACTCCCGAAGAGCGCAAGACAACCTTCCATTCATCATTCCGCCCTGCGCCACATCACTGCTGCTCGCCCACACGTCCAGCGGCGGTTCCTGGCAGGTTTTAGCGTGCGGCCTCTCCCCCAACCGCCAGTGCTTTTCCCCGGACGCTCTCCGCCGAACGTTCCTGACCTTATTCTGCCCCGGCCCCAGCCTCGACCGCTGCCCCCCTCACGCCCCTCCCTTCCTTCCCCTTCGCTGCAACCTGCATTCGTCTTCTCCTATGTGTGCTCGCTCGCGCACCCGGTAATCCTCGTCTACTCCATGCAGTGGGCTGCGACCGACGCCGCGACTTGACCATCATGAAGGCGCTTTTCCATCGCCCCAAGACCAATGGGGTAAGCCCGCCCTTCCCTGCGAGCATCATCCCTCACGCGCGGTGGTACAGCAGAGCGTGTGCCCTCGTCGCGCTCGTGAGACCAATCCAGCTGAATGGCCATACTGACCTGTCCACTCGAATAGGCGAGCGCCCCTTCGCCCACCCCGGCGCCGGTCAAGAAGGAACCGCAGACTCCCCAGATGTCCCCGCTCGAGAAGAGGTTACAAGACATGGGTGCGATCCGCGGTGATGGAAGTGACAAGTTTTTCGGTATGGAAAACGTGAGTAGATCTCTTGTTATATTCCCGTTCAGTTTCGTCCCAGGGCATAGATCAGGTATACTGACCCTACGGGCCATTCGCCTGTCCAGTATGGCAATACGTGCTACTGCAATTCAATCCTCCAATGTCTCTACTACTCTGTCCCTTTCCGCGAAGCCGTGATCAACTACCCGCAACGCACCCCGGTCGAAAGTCTCGAAGCAGCCCTCGCCAAGAACCTCCGATTCCAGAACCCCAATGCACACCTCGAAGCCGAGGCCCTGGCGGCCAAGCAGAAGGCTACTGCTCCATCGCCGACATCACGGGGGGCCGGAGTTCCTCCCAACCAACCCCAAAAACCGGAGGACAAGGATTCACCGGAATATAAGAAGAAGGTCGCCCTGCAGACGATGCCGATTCTCGAAACCAAGAACAATGCCGCCAGTTATGGCATGTCGGAGTCGCTCTTCACTTCTCTTAAGGATATTTTCGAGTCGTTGGTCGGAAGTCAATCACGAACGGGAATTGTCCGGCCACAACAATTCCTAGATGTGCTTCGCCGCGAGAACGAAATGTTTCGGACTCCAATGCACCAGGATGCGCACGAGTTTTTGAATCTTTTGCTCAACGAGGTGGTTTCGAACGTCGAGGCCGAAGCCACAAAACAAAGCTTCGTGGAGAAGCCACTTCCACCCACCGAGAGTGCAGACTCACTGGGCATGTTGACGACCAGCACCGGCTCAAAATCACCGAATACAACGCGATGGGTGCATGAGTTGTTCGAGGGAACACTGACATCAGAAACAAAGTGTTTGACCTGTGAGAAGGTATCCCAGCGTGACGAAGTATTCTTGGATCTTTCTGTGGACCTGGAGCAGCACTCGTCTGTCACCTCGTGCCTCCGGAAGTTTTCAGCCGAGGAGATGCTCTGTGAACGAAATAAATTCCATTGCGACAACTGCGGTGGGCTCCAAGAGGCAGAAAAGCGAATGAAGATCAAGCGCCTGCCTCGGGTCTTAGCTCTGCACCTCAAGCGTTTCAAATATACGGAAGATCTTCAACGACTACAAAAGTTGTTCCACCGCGTCGTCTATCCTTACCATCTCCGTCTATTTAATACCACGGATGATGCCGAAGACCCGGATCGTCTCTACGAGTTATATGCGGTGGTTGTTCATATCGGCGGAGGCCCGTACCATGGCCACTACGTTGCCATCATTAAGACAGAGGATCGAGGTTGGTTGCTTTTTGATGATGAGCTGGTGGAGCCAGTGGACAAGAATTACGTGCGGAACTTCTTTGGAGACCGGCCAGGACTTGCATGCGCCTATGTGCTATTCTATCAGGAGACAACTCTCGAGGCCGTTCTTCGAGAGCAGGCCCAGGAGGACCAGGCCTCTTCGACTGCTGCATCGGACGTGGGAGATGCCGGAAAGACTAATGGATATCCCCTGAACTCGAACTTGCATCATGTGAACAGCGCATCTCAGTTGCCTTCGGAGGACCACGGCCGCTTCGTTCCTATCCACAGGACCTCAACAGCGCCCCAAATGATGCCCACTCACCACGAGGGCCCCGAACTCGAGCCCTCTTCAGCGCCTGCTGGAGCACCTGCCGTCCAACCTCCCCAACCACCGCTACCTCCAATTCCTGACGAACAACCGCCGCCTTTAAGCCCAAAGAAGAGTGACGTTGCCGCCAAGAAGGAGAAGGCACGTCTCAAGGCTGAAGAGAAGGAAAGGGAGGCACGTCTCAAAGCAGAAGAGAAAGAGCGGGAGAAGGCTGAGAAGAAAGGTCGCAAAGAGGCAGATCAGCAACGGCAACAGGCAGTGCAGCGCGAAGCCGAGGAGCTTCGAATTGCCATCGAACGAAGCAAGGCGGAATTGAATGATGTTGGACCTGAGAATGGCTCTCCTAAGAAGTCATTCAATTTCATCAAGCGCAGTAGCCGGAGTCTCAGCCAGCGCCTCAGCAAGGACAAAGAGCCTCGCATGTCTATGTCGGATCTGGCATCCCCGCCACTCCCCGAAACCCCCACCACTGAATCAGAGGCGGAACGGTCAGCAGTGCCTTCGAAAGATGCACCCAGTCCCAATATCTCGAATCCTAAGTTGCTCTCCCGCGCAGGCCCACCTCCGGTTAAGGAAAACAAGATCGAAAAGACTGGTCACACCCACCGCTGGCGATCACTCAGTTTCAAGAAAACGACATGAGTTCCAATTCTTTACTCCGGGCGATATTTTGAATCTTGCATGCCGGAACCTCATCGGGGTTCCAGAGATACCCTCGCAATCATGCACATATAAGCGCCATTTTGCTTCTGGACATAGCTTTTTCGTGATTTTCTCATCACATTTTCTAACGAACCGCACCCCTGCTATTCTGTCCCATTCTCCCGTGGCTAGGTTCTTCTATCGAACAGAACCACGAATGTGTCTTTCTAGACTCTTGGATCTTCTATCATGGCTGGTTTTCTTGCTTACGATTGCTTTTTGTCTTCATTGCTGCTGATTTTGTATTATCTGCGGCGGCATGATACCAACGCCAATGGGTTGTACCCCAGATGGTGCGGAAAGAGGCGTTCTATCTTAATCTTTTCTGAATGTTTTGCGATGCTGGCGAGCATGGAACTTGGGATCTATCCGGCGTTACTTTTTTCTTGCTTTGGATTTCGAGCCATCAGCGAATTTCCTATTTGATGCATGCCTTTATCAGCCTACTCTTCTCCAAATGCCCGTTGCATTTTCAATGTGGTAAGATCGTACTACTAGTAGCTTGTAACAATTTTTATGTCTTGCTTGTTTTGTCTTCACTAGTCATTTTCTAAGCCGGATGTACGATCTTAGGGAGGTGCAACAAGCCATGGCATGTACTCTCTTATGGCCATATAATCACACTATGGTTTGACCGCCACTACACCACTCTCTAATCCTATCAATGCCCCCATTCAAACGCCCAACCCACTCGACATGGGCCGGACGTGTAGCGCACACAACCTCCGCCAGCACTTACCCTGAGACTGTCGAGTCTGAGGGCTTTTTGCAACTGCAAAACCTACTAGGCCCTGGAGACATTTTGATCCTGCCATAATTCCCGGAACTGTTTGGATTACTTTCGTCAATGACCTTTGCTCGCGTTGTTTGAGAAGTTTGCAAGACTCCTTGACCTTTGCGCGAAAGACACCGACCTCGTTTGTTTGTCTCCAGTTCCTCGCCGCAAAGCTGCCTTCGAGCACATTCACAACATGTTGACGAGGATTTGGGACGATACACATGCAAAGTCGTTAATCATGGAAGGCCCAGGTGCCATAAACATCGAAGAAGAGGGTCCGGTCCCGTACGAGCCTCTTCTTGGCCAAATCTGGGGCGAAGGCTCAAATTCCCGCATTGCACGCATGGCACCAGGTGTCGTTATCAATTGTCCATGATTTTTTTAGTGGCTTTTTAAGAAGGCCGCGGATAACTGGTTCATTCGAGACATGAAGCGGAGTTTTGAGGTGGAAGAACGACGTCTTACAATCCTAGGACTATATCCAAGAATAATAGAGTCCGTTAGCCCCTGACTTCTTGTGATCAGTGATGGACTTCTTCCTACGTTCAAGGGCGTCTCAGATGACCTATTTGGATTGTTATTTGCGGAAGTAAACGATAGGAATCTACAGAACTATATTGGTCAGCACTATGCTAGCATCGATACGTCTACGATTCAAGTAGCACACACAAGCCGCAGAGGCGATTGAATTTATTCATCAAAAAGGTGTGATATACTCTGACCTTCGACCTGAGAACATTTTGTTACACACTGTCACCAGAAATGAGCTCGACCTTCTGCTCTGTGACTTTGGGGGGGTTCAACAAATAGAGAAGTAGATGGTCGGCATCTCCCTGACGCCGGATTTTTAATCCTTGCAATCCACCGGAATAGACGAAAAGCACGGAAATTTTCAGCCTCGGGTCCATCTACTACACGATAATGACTGGCAATTGGCCCTACAAGTCTCCAGGCTCTTTCAAGTCCATGGAGGAGAAGGAGAAATACCAAGAACTGGTTGACGATCTGTTTGCCTCCTGAAGGTACCCGCTGGTTGACGGCCTGGCAGCTGGGCCTGTCATACAACGGTGCTGAACAGGAGAATACATCGATTTGACGGCACTCATTGGAGACCAGCGTTGGCAGTTTGAGACTCTGGTGCGGTGAGTGTGAATGACTCGTCTTCAATGTGGAAGTTCAGACTACGCAATTCCTTTTCCAACAATCATCGGTATTCATTGATTTCGTTGGGACAAGAATAATGAGCATGTCTAGACTCCTTCGAGTATTAGTGAAGAACTCAATAATAGTCTCTGACATAACGACGAGATGCCTGTACATCATCAGAGAATCAGAAAATGCCTACGGCCATACAAGTATTGCCTGGACAATCCATGTTTCATAGAGCAGGGCTCGTTGCTACATGCAAGTACAAGATTATGGGCTCAGATCTGCGAGGAAGATATTCTAGCAGCGTCCGTCCTTTCCCCGCCTGCGAAACACACTTGGTCACGCAAAGCTTATTCTGTGAGAATGTTTGTTGACTCAGGTCCTAGGTTGTGAGGTTCGATTGCTAACATGGCGCTCTCTTGCGGAGCTCTGTAACAAGCTCAACCATTGTCGCGCGGCTAATGCTTTCCACTCACGCAGCAAGGTGAGCGTACAGAAGGTGATTGCGAAAACAACTCACTTCACTCCTCGAGGGATAAAGGCTTAGTCCGCTGGATCAAAGGCAGGGCCAAGAGATGGTTTTCACTGTTTCATCATTTCTTTTGGATTGAAGGTCACTGGGTATAAACAATGGGCCGAAGGCCGAAAGGGAGGATCAAGGAAAATCAGCATGGGCGGGCCTCAGTATGCTCGAGCCATGGCGGGCGACGTTTCCACCCCAAGAAACAAATCCAAAACTCCAAGTGAATTACTCGCGATCAATGAGTCGCCAAGTCGGTTTCCCCATCTTCGCTCCCTCTAAAATGTTTGCTCGTGAACGTCATGCCACCGGTAGCGGTGGCTGGAAAATTGTAGATCATGTATGGGACATTTGGGGTTCGCTCCAAGTGTTTGGAAAAAGGGATGACGGCGCAGGCGGCGAAGGTCTTAGAGGGGTGTGCACAGTACGACCGTCTTCCCCTGGTACTCGTTGCTTGGAAGGTAGGGTGGTAGAATGAGGAATCATCCAAGAATAAGCTCGTATACAATGATGATTGTGTTGATGACGATCAAGGGGACTGTCGAGGATGGCGGGTTAGCATAGGCGTCAAGAGTTGCGACGTTGATGCCTGCCCATTCTTCGCGCTCGAGACGCTAGGTTCTTCATGGAAGACCGCAAGCAAAATTCTACTGTAGAACAAAAAGCTCAATGGCAGAAAGCTGAACTTACTCCGCATGACTGTCCGCACGCTGGCAATCAAGTTAACCGACTTTGCCTTCACACTCGTGCTGTCGTAGGATGCGCCGAAGCCCGGCTCAGCTTGTGTGCGACCCCATCCGACTACATGATTCGCCCAAGTTAGTTATATCGCATGAGATGCCTTGAAGGTGGATAGGGGCGCGTTCGGAAGGGGGAAAGCGACGTACTGCGAGCGAGGAATCGGTCCTCGGAGAGGACGGCGATCGCGTTGATGATGAGGACAATGACTTGGGAGGGCGTTAGATGCAGTCACGAGCTTGGAACACGCATTGCTCACCGTAGACAAGCTTCCCAAGACCGAAGAGAAACATGGTGGGCGCGCGGAAGAGAGGGATCGAGGATGGCTGGGAGGTGAAGTGATAAGTGTGAGGTGCGGAAGCGCCAGATCTCCGGATCACCCTCCACCTTCTCCGATCCAATGCAGTCAACATGAGGAATGGTAAGTCCACGCGCCCACACAACCACCATCCAGTGCTAACTACCTTCTAGTAGCATTGTACGTCGTCGCGCTACTGCTCCCAACTCTCATTCTTTTTCATCTCGTCATTGCACCGTACACCAAAGTTGAGGAGTCGTTCCACATCCAGGCTACGCACGACATTCTGCTTCATGGTTTACCGGCCTGGAAGCCCAAATTCGATTTGAAATATGATCACTTCGCTTTTCCAGGGGCTGTTCCCCGATCTGCCGTCGGCGCATTATTGCTCGCAAAGCTATCAAAGCCCCTCGGAGTGCTGAGCGGAGCTATCAATCGACAGGTCTTGGGTAGGTGATACACCCCTCCTTGAACTCGGTAAAAAAAGAGGTCGAAACTAACGATATCTGCAGCTCGGTCTATTCTTGGTCTGTACAATGCGGCTTCTTTGGCTTATTTCGCTCATGGCCTCCAGCGTGGCTTCGGTAAGACAGTGGCCATGTGGTATCTGCTCTTCCAATGCAGCCAGTTCCATGTCATCTACTACGCATCTCGGCCCTTGTCGAACATGTTTGCATTCGGCATGACAACTGTCTCTCTACGACTGCTTCTTCCGGACTACACAATTCTGCGAGAAGATGCGCGCCGTCGGGCTCGCTTGTCCTTGATACTTCTCACTATCGCAGGGATAGTTTTCCGCTCCGAACTGGCACTGCTCGTGGCCACGCAGACCATCTTCCTGCTTGCAATGGGGCGAGTTCGCTTGTTCCAAGAAACCGTCTTTGCCGGACTGTTTAGTCTCTTCCTAGGTCTGCAGATCACCGTGGGAATAGATTCTGTTTTCTGGAATCGCTTCCCTCTCTGGCCGGAACTGGATGCATTCTTGTTCAACGTGGTTTCAGGCCAGTCTTCAGAATGGGGGACTTCACCGTGGTGGTTTTACTTCTTTAATGCGCTGCCACGACTTCTACTGAATCCACTTACCTACCTTCTCGCGATCCCTGTTGCTCTCCGTCAGCCAGCAACCCGTCAGCCGGCCATCTCGTTGCTTACACCAGCAGTGGCATTTATTGCGTTGTACAGCATTCAGCCACACAAGGAATGGCGCTTTATCATCTACACCATTCCAGCCTTCACCGCGGTTGCTGCTCTCGGCGCGTCGTACCTATGGAACCGCCGTTCACGCTCTGTCTTGGCTAGCATCGCATCTCGCCTTCTGGTACTATCTACCTTGGCCGCATTCCTGCTTTCGAATCTTGTCCTTCTCCCTGCATCCGCAGCGAACTACCCAGGCGCCCACGCACTAAATGCTCTCCATCGTCACCATGCTCAAACGGTTTCTGACGAGCTTGATGGCGCGTCAGTCTACCTGGGTAACCTTGCTTGTCAAACGGGCGTCACTCGCTTTCTACAGCAATCCCCTGGCCTGGGGTGGCATTACGACAAGACTGAGGACAAATCTCTTAAATTATCACACGCCTTTTGGAACCAGTTTGATTATGTTATTGTGGAGGCTTCATCGAATGCGGACTATAGGGATAATGATGAGACTCGACTACGGAAAATTCTCCAGGGAGCCGAGTGGGAAACTGTTGAGGTCATTGACGGATTTGCAGGCATTTCCATCTTGAGACCTGGTTCGCCTGCAAATGGAGCCGCTGAGCGGCGTCTGTTGTCCATTGTGGGTGGTGAAAATGCAGCAGATTTGTATGACCGTGTCCGCGACTCGGTTCGAAAGATCCTCTTGCGCGGTTGGTGGGCTGAACTAAAGATGCGACCCAAGTTGAAGGTATTGAAGCGAGCCCGAGACGGATGAGATAGCTTCGAGAGGTTTTAAAATCCAATCGATGGTGACCTTTATGGTGATATTTATCTGTTATGCGTAACCACGACCGCATTGGATGAAGCACTTAGTACCAAATCACTGCGTAAGAAACTGAATAGGGCGGAAACAAGACTCTACTACATTTGTGTACTGCCGAAATTTCTTTTACAAAGTGCAGAGCTCTGGAACCATACTTGTTTTCTCATTTCCTATACGTACAGATAGCACGCTCCAATCGGTGGCTTATTCCTTGGCAACTCGCAGTGCTCACTTTTACGGGGAGGAAATATGCAACACAGGAAATATAAGGGAGAAGAGTACAAGCCGTAGTAGACATTGCACAAAGGTGAAAAGAAAGGTACATGCAATAGGGTATTTATGTATCATGAATCCCTGCTCTGCCCAGGGGCAGACAGGTTGGAACTAAAAGGATAGCAGGACCCTACAACCCACCCGGAGGACCATCCAGGCGGGCCATGCGAGACTCCAATTCGCGAACCCAGGGCTCAACAGTTTCAACATTCGACCGCAGAGCTGCTTCACCCTGATTCATCTTCTCTTCAACAGCAGCGAGGCCTTCACGCCACTGTTCAATCTCAGATGTCATTTCAGCCTGACGTTTCTCCAGCTCGTTCAGAGAGTCAGCAGCGTGGGCCGCGCCGGCATGACAAGCGCGCAAAGAGCGCAGGCGTTCCAGGACAGAGGGCAATAATGGGTGAAGCGATTGAATAGTGGGAAGTGTCGCGTAGAGCGCTTGTATTTTCGCCGTTTGTTCATTATCCACCAAGTCGGAGCCGTCTTGTGTAGGAACACCATCCTCCGAACCCGAAGCACGTGCACCCTGAGAAGCCTTAGCTGCGTCAGCTGCACGTTTGCGAGCAGAGGCAAGGGCCTCGGCGTCTGTGGTCAACTTGCGGACTCTGGTGGACAGTGCTTCGAGGTGTGGGGTGGTCAGGCCTGGCAATGCAGCGCCTCCGGATGCTGGACTTCCACCCACCAGCAAACCAGTGAGCGCTGCTAGTCTGGACGTGAGTTGATCTAGAGCAGGGAGCACAGGTTGCAGTGCGGGCTCGTTGATGCCATCACCTACGAAAGGGTTCGATGAGCTTGAGATTCCCATTGAAGATTCAAGCAGTGCCAAGCGCCCCTCAAAGATTGCCGCATGGGAAAGAATGCCAGCTGAAGAGGTAGCTGCTTGGGCTGGTACAGCAGGAGCCGTATAGGTCGAACCCTCGGTTGGAGTCTGTTGTTTCTGTGAGTTGGTGCCCGGCGCAGCAGGTCCAGCCCCAGAGCCAATCTTTTGCGACAAAATCGCTGCCGCCGAGTAGGGCGTGCCCTGAGCGTTCCGCGACGAAGCATGCAGGTTATCCAGCGCCCGGCTCAACTCTGCCACGCCATCACCCAATTCCTTGTCAACCGGCTTCTGGGCTGTCTGACCTGCATCGCTCTCGGTGACCTCCTTGCCTTCTGCAGCCGACTGGTTGGCCATTTCCACTTTCAGGTCCTCAACTTCGCGCCGCAAGCGTGCCAGCCGTCGCTCGACCGATTCTTCCTCGCTATCGCTGAGGTCCCCAACCTCTTCGGTACCATCGTCACGTTTCCGTCGACGACGACTTTTGCTCTTGCTTCGGTATGCTTGGCGCTTCATTGAGATGCTGTCTGAGAAGTTCACGTCGCGGGCATCAACTGCGGCACCCATAAATGTCCTACGCGCGCTCTCCGCGTCGACGCCGTCGCGATCGATATCGGCACTGGAGCCGGGCTCGTCATGGTCGGAGTCTGTGCGAACTGTTGCAGTCTACATTTCAAAACGTTCTTAGTAATTTGCATCGTACCCGGAGTTGTCAATGCCGGACTTACAGGGACGGTGGAAGCTTCGTCGGTCAGGTCAGGGGTTTCGTAGATATCTGGAGCGGGGTCCTGGTGTACGGTGAGCAAGCGCAGTCAATGGTGCGGCCACGGAGACTTACCAAGTCTGGAAGACCGGCGTATTTCTTGTTGAAAGCCATGGCTGTGGAGGGTAGATGAGTCCGTCAACAACGGAGTGCTGGCCCGCCTTCCAGAGCTCCGATTAAACATTGCAGCCTCAGGCACAAAGCGGGTCCGCCGAGCAGCCAGGCAGACGCACCAACGTACCCGATGATGCCGATATGAATCAGCAAAGCACGTGTCAGCGCGGGCCTCGGGAAGTAACACATGCAAAGGCAGGCGCTACCAGCAACGGTATATAGGGAGACGATCGACCGGGCGACGTGATTACTGTCTCGCACACTTCTCTTAAGAGCCTGTTCTCTGCTCTCCGCTAACTCTGACCTTCAATTCGAACATCCGTACCTGTCGCGATACTTCATAGCACAATCCAGCTACCCCCCACCACCCCGCATTCCTATCTTCGGAACAATCAAGATGGCTGCCCCCGCCGATGTCACAATCAAGAACTTGAGCGGTCAATGGGTCATGGTGCGAAGAGGCCCGATGCCAAATGAACTTCCAGAGGCATGAGACTAACCAATTCTCTACACAACAGGACGCAACCCTGTCCAACCCCACCGACCCCATCCTAGCTCTGGTAAATGATCACTATGGACCCTCCTAAGTGCCTGAACCCATTTTAGGCTCCAAATTCAAAAAAGACATCTCGATTAACACATCAATAGCAAGGCATGAGCTGGTTCCTCCGCAAGGCCCTTCCTTATGCCACGGTCACTCTGCACGTGCACGAATATCCCGACTCTGCCAACCCCAAGGTGTACCACATCGACGTGGACCAGGTGATCACCGGCGGAATCTCTGGCAGCAAGGAGGCGCGCACATTGGACTGGACTTCCCGTGAGCACGTCGATAACATCTTTGGCACGCTCTCCGGCAAGTCGCGCCACTTCCGCGGTGCCAAAGGCGAGGACGGCAAGATTCGCCCGGCCGTCGAGGTTCAGACTAGCGTTGGCAAGCCCGAGGATGATGCCAAGGTGCAGAAGTTCCTGCGCGGCGAGATTCTGTCCGATGGATCCGCCAGCGATGGCTTCCTCGTCGATGAGGAGGGCGAGGAGTTCGGTGAGGGCGAGGGTCTGTACATGCAGAGCTTCGTGCAGAACAATGAGAATGGCTGGACTGCTGAGCAGGTAAGTGTTTCCCTCTGAAAGCTTTGATGAATTACAGCATTGGCTAATTCTGTTTAGATCTGGGGCTTTGAGCTCGTCGATGGTGAACGTCGCCACACTCGCCGTGTCGCGGTCACCAAGGCTGGCAAAGTTGAACTTGCTCGCCTGGTTTACACCTTCGAAGCGCGGCGCGCCGAGTAAGGGACAAAACCAAAGGAAAGGAGTATTTCGGGCTTTCAGCGTTGCTCTACAACCTGATATATGTCTAGAACAAACGGTGTTTCAGGTGCATTGCTTAATTCTGTCTTGCAGTAGAAAATTAAGTTACCAAGTAAACTTTAGTGTTTCTATATGGAAGCAGTAGTACTTCGAGATCTAGATCCATGTAAATGTGTATCAATTTCACCGAGTAGTATACACTGTTCGTTCAATGAACATGCGAAACTGAGAATTCCCAGAATGCTCAGAGTGTACTTTCATTGGGGTGAGCCCGTAGGCAGCATTTTGGTAACGAAAAAGGAAAATGGGGCATAATCATGACAGATAATGAGGGAAACAATGCAAAGATATATCAGGTTTTATTACGAGTGAGTGGGCATCACAACGTGGGCCTTGGTGCTAACGGCGTCCTCGGCCTTCCACAGGCTGGTCACAGTCTTCTGCTGGGTGTAGAACTGCAGACCGGGTTTGCCGTAGAAGGTGTTGGCACCGCCACCGGCGATACTCTTCTTGTTGCCGGTGAAAGAGAACATGGGAAGAGGAACAGGGATGGGCACGTTGATACCGAGCTGACCGGCCTCGATTTCCTTCTGGAACTTGGAAGCTGTGGGACCAGAGCGAGTGAAGATAGCAGCACCGTTACCGTACTCGTTGGCATTAATCAGGTTGATAGCATCATCCAGAGTCTCGACATTGAGGCAGACAAGGACGGGGCCGAAGATCTCCTCCTTGTAGCACTTCATGTCCGGAGTAACATTGGTGATGATGGTGGGGCCGACGAAGTTACCGTTGGGGTACTTCTCGGGCTTATAGCCACGGCCGTCAAGAAGAATGGTAGCACCCTCAGCTTCAGCGCTGGCAATGAGGTCTTCAATACGCTTCTTACTCTCGGGGCTGATGACAGGGCCCAGATCCGCACCCTCCTCGAAGCCACCGTTGACGCTGAGGGCCTTGGCGCGCTCAGCAATCTCGGGTAGCCATTCCTTAGTCTCTCCAACCATGACGGTGGTACTCAGGGCCATGCAGCGCTGACCAGCAGCACCGAAGGCAGCGCCAACAATAGCGTTCAGAGCCTGGTTCTTGTTGCAATCGGGCAGGACGGCGGCGTGGTTCTTGGCGCCCAGGTTGGCCTGAACACGCTTGCCATTGGCCGAGCCACGGGTGTAGATGTATTCACCAGCACGGTTGCTGCCGACAAAGCTGATAGCCTTGATGGCGGGCTCGTCAAGGATAAAGTCCACAGTGCGGGCAGAGCCGTGCACGATGTTGATGACACCGGGAGGGAAACCAGCCTCCTTGGCCAATTCGGCCAGGATCATAGCAGCACCGGGGTCACGCTCAGAAGGCTTCATGACCAGACAGTTACCGGTGATGGTGGCAATAGGTATGCACCAAAGGGGGATCATAGCGGGGAAGTCTAATTAAGAGTCAGCATTGCGATCAGATTACGATTCGATGTCCTCCTGGAACTTACTGAATGGGCAAATGGCAGCAACGACACCCAGAGGCTCGCGGTAGCTACGGGTCTCCATATCCTTAGCCACCTCCAGGACCTCACCGGGCATCTGAGTTGTGATGCCGCAGGCGGTCTCGGCAACCTGCAGACCACGTAGGACGTCACCACGTGCATCGGCGAAGGTCTTGCCCTGCTCCAAGGTGATAGATGCGGCCAATCGGTCCCAGTTCTCACGGATCAGGTTGGTGAACTTGAACATAATCTGCTGCTTTGCCATGATGCTGGTGGCCCTCCACGCGGGGAAGGCCTTCTCGGCCGACTTCACGGCAGCCTGCAACTCCTCATCGGTGCTCTGCGGTACCCGAGTCACAAGATTGTTGGTGGCAGGGTCATGCAGGTCAATCCAGGTGGTGGCTTTGGAAGTCGCAAACTCATTGTCGATGAAGTTGGTGGTATCAACGGGGTTGGCAATGGGTTGGTGGTCGGTCGGGTATTCGGTAGCCGTGGTTGCAGCCGAGGTAGTGGCAGGGGTAAGCTGCTTGGCCGTGGCGTGTAGCCTGCGAGCAGCAGACATTGCCGCAGGGGTAGAGACCAAGCTCTGGGAGCTCAGACGAGCAATTGGAGTCGCAGTGGTGAGAGATCGAGCCGATGCCGCTCCGGCGACGACGGGCGTGCGGGGAAGGGCGCGGAGAGCGGGGATAGTACGTGCGAGGGACCGGCGGGCGGCCATGGTGGAATGTACCTAGTTAGGGACTAAGATGGCTAACAGGGGGATGAGAAGGTCGAGCAGAAGAAGAAGGGAGAGTGGCAAGGTGGTACCTGTATATAAAGACCCATACCGCCGTGGTTACCCCAGGCCCGAGGTCAACCGCCCTACCGCCTTTCCCCAGTTTCTCCCCGATTTGCGAGTTCGGCTGCTGCGATAAGCTGGCCGCTCGGCGATGGTGGCCAATCACCGTCCTCTCAGCGCTCTTCCATATCGCCGAAGCTGGCCGCGATGGCAGCCTGAGGCGCTCTAGGCGTGCTTTAGGCAGGGCATTCCGAGGAAAAGTCCCATCGGAGATCTCCTGGCTCCACTTACTCTATATTGCTGGTAGGATGAGCAACCCCCAAGGAAGGAACAATATTAATAGTAGTAGCGAAAGCAAGCCATGTTCGAATTGGAAATAGGACGAAAATTGTAAACCTTGGCGGTACTGATCATGCTAAAATCCCGACTCGGTCGGTATGGCTTCTACATCCTGTTTGATCGGGAAGGTGGCCGTGGAAATCGGTCCAAGTATCCGAGATTTGATCACTCTCTATCATTGAGACGTCTTTGCTCCAGAATCGGACCCTTGGCCTATCTCCCATTTCCGGTTCACGAACTGAAGACTGGATATGCTATAACTGGATCCAAAAACAGCGTGTCGGTAAAATCAAGGTCTGACTTGGCCGCAACGATAGGATATTGTATCAAATAGGTCATTTTCCTGGATAGACTTTGTGGTCGTATTTAAACAAAAATTGGGATTGTTGATTGGGAATGAGATGAAAGAAGCATCGTTCTTTCGCCTCTCATGGCCCTCCGTTTTTCCTTTCTACTTTCTCTATCCTCCTAGCCTGAAGAAAAGGGAAAAAAATTTCCAAGGTCCATCTATGCTAGTGGACTCGGACTGCCCAATAGCCTCCCAAGGTTTCCAAATAACTCACAATATGAGACGAGTCAAGAATACGTGACCCTGAAGAATACAGCTTTTCCAACTTTGCTGCCCGAGCGTGCCTTTGTATGATGCTCAACTCTTACTAATACTATCACCTGTGAAAGAAGTCTGATTACTTCGGAATCATCGGTCCTGCCTTGTTCTATTTTCGAGCTTCTCACAACAAAGCGTGTAGTCTTATTCAATTGCTATATTTTCGACAAAGAGAAATCGGATGTGTTAATGGTTTCATGACTATAGCCTCGAAGATATATAATATATCACAATGCTTGAGGTGTGATCAAATGCATCAATGTACATTGGTGTTTCATTTTCCCACTTTCAAGACACGACAGCACTAATACACATATACTTGTTCTTTCGTACCAAACATGGCAAACAACCTTGGGACTACCAAAGTCCCTACTGCGGCACCTAGGCCTACAACGCAAGGGATTTTTGCCATTCCACTCATCAGCCAAAGGGTCATCAGCAATATCATAACGGAGCCAGCAGATCATGAGTCATTACATGGACTTACAAGCCTGTACCATTCAAATGCGGTGTTACAAGCCAGTATTAGAGCAGCATGGGGAGTGATAGAACGCGACAATGCACGCAGAATATACGCCCGGCACGACTGTAGCGGCTTCTACCAGATAAGGGAGAAGGTGCGAACGATTTGTTGGCAAGAACGGTTACAGAATCTGCACGCGGCGACGCCTACTGTGCCGATGAAGGGTGTGCTACACGCTATTCACCTGGACGAAATTGAGGAAGCCAAAGAGGGAGCAGAAGCTGCAGAGAACGGTAACCCTGTGCCCCCGTTCGAACATGGTATTGACAGTGTACCCGACCCTGCCGCTCAAAGCCGCGTGGTGGAAGATATCATCGGGGACGGCTGTACTCAGTGTTTCGATTTCCTCGTCCAGATGGATGTGATCTCTGTGAACGGATTCAGAATGAATAACAACACCAGTAGCTACAGCTACCTTCATCTTTCTACTAGCGGTCTACGGTTCCGGGCCACCACGCCCGCCAACCTTTGGGCTGCTCGACTCCATTTGACTCAATATATACTATTGCGTTCGTCCGCGACGGCCCTTGTCGCTCCGTCGAGAGTAACGCGATCTCAGCCCGAAGCACGCCAATTGAGTATCATGGGGAAAATAGACCGTGTAGATCACGACCTCTGGGGGATGTGGATCGATAGGGTACATGAGTTGGTAGTCGCCCCACCAGTCGGGGTGCCACCAGAGGCGATCCCGTATACTCCAAACGACATTGCTAATACAACAAACACGGCAGAATGGGAGACGATCGCATCCCACGTTACTTACAATCAATATGACAAGCTATTCGACTTGGGTGTCAATTATGCCCTGATGAACGTGCCCGGTAACACTGACTCGTTTTGGCACATGCTGCTTCGGCGTGACGCGGCGCTAGAGGACGAGACGACGAAGATTCTGATCAAGATGTTATCGAGACCATGCAACGGGCTGACGGACCTAACAAGGCCCCGCTTGCCCTTGACCTCGGTCAACGGTACGACCTTTGCTCCCGGTGACTGCAGCCCCTGGTTCTTTGCCATGTGGGATAAAAAACGGAAGTGGGCCAAGATCATCAGCCAGTCGCCATATGTCGACGCCACCAGTCCCAATTATCTCACCCGACCGAACGGGATAGGAGGCCCCCCTTATGCAGTGCTGACTGGACTGGCAGCTGTCCACCATTTTGACGAAGACGGAGTGCGAATGCTTCGGCAGTGGGTCCTCCGAGCATCCAGCGATTTAACCTACTACCGAGAATACGAACCTCTTTACGACATACTCGAATTTATCGTCGACGAACTAAGAGAAAGGTACAGGGCGATCGAGGCTTTGGGAATTGCACCGGCTGCAGAGAAACGACAGAAAACTGTGGCCAAGGCGGCGGCCGACAAAATGACTCGCATCATCCTGAATGAGAGTATCCGTGAGATCCGTCCAGATGAGACTCGAAGAGCAGGAGATGAGCACTACTATATGACGCTGAACGAGACACCAGCTTTCGCCAACTGGGTGAAACGCATGAATGCGCGGGGTGGTCTCATCCACAAGGATCACTTCATGGCCATGTGGACTAAGCCGACAGGGGTCAATACTCGGTCAACACGCGCGCATCCCTGGAACCCGGAAATGCTGATGGAAATGCAATAGATTTATTTTCTGGTGCCTGTACACTGTGTTCTGTTAATTAATTACGCTAGTAGATAGAATATTATTGAATATCATGTGAAACACTAGTCCTAGTACAAATTGTCGCACCTCTCAATAGTTAGTATGGAGAACTCAAAACATTCGTAATACTAATTGCCTCCTCTTGACGATTCGAGTAGGAATCAAGAACTGTTTGAATAGTATCCCCTGGCCACTTTCAATACTACTGCAAGAGATGAGTGTATTGCTTCTGCAATGCAGTTCATTAAATAAATGTATACAACAATATACTGATGTTGATGCTCCACTGCCAAGCCAGGGTCACGTGTATACTAGCACATTTAATCCACGTCCGCACCTTTTAATCCTTCGAGATACGTCGTATCCAGGGGCACTATACTGAGTGAACGTAGGCTACAGAAATGCCGTTTCCGCCGGACCTGGCGCCAGGAGAGACCGGAGTGCCATCCCGAGGCCCGTCATCCAAGGCTGAAGCTGCCGATATCTTGGAGTGGGGCCTTCTCGCCAGCTCAGCCCAAATTGGGATCGCAAGGCCATGCCATGACTAGCAAGATCTACCAAGCTCAGCGGGCCGTTCGTGGGACCCTTGCTCGCACTGTGACTGGTCGAAATTGAAAATGATCTGGTCGGCTCCAGACAGGCATTTTCATATTGAGATTTAGCGTACTCGCCTCATTCGCTCGGGTTTACCGGTACCACTGCAGGCACTGATTCTACAGGGTTGGCTGCCGAAAGCCAGTAACGGGTTGCCTTACTGGAGGGTGTGACGACGCTATTGATAGCGGAAGATATAGGATATTGTATACTTGCACGTACAAAATTTCTTCCTTGAGGGTATGGGTCAGAATTAGATCACCAAGAGTCTATTCAAGGTTCTGTTTTCCATGAACATGCCCACATGTACAAGGAAAGTACGCGTAATACCGGTCCTTAGAACCATATGTAACTAGTGTGCTCCTCGGCTTTAATGTTGACTTTGATTTTTCATTAGCTAAAACGCCGACCCATCCTGCGAAAACGTTCGCTTCATCAACAGACATCCGTGGAACCGCCTCAGTCTATTGTCCTCTGGCGCCATCTTATTTGATTGTTCTACCTACTCCATTATACGCTAGCGTATATTGCACTTGCCATCTGTTCCTAGCTTTTGATTGATTCTAGACTCTAGATAGTGGATATGGTATACGCGTGCTCTCGTGGGTCGTGAGGTGAAGGGACTGTTCCTAAGGTCTTGGCTGGAGGGTATCTCCGAATGTGTCATTTCTTTTTTTCTCTTCGGCCTAAGCTGGCCATGGGAGACCGAAGTAAAATGATCTATATAAGTAGCATAAAACCCTTCCACAGAGTCTCTGTTCACTTTGGTATTTGGAAATATGGTTGTCAAACCAGCTCTGTTGTGCCTTTTCTGTGCCACCGTGCCAGCTTTGGCGGCTTGCATATCAAGCAGCTCAGCTTACAATGCTGCTTCCAACATTGACGAATATTGCTTCTACACCATCTATACTACGCTTTCTGAATTCACCAACTTCACTGGCAGCGTGACGATCTCGTCAGACGGAGGAGGCAAAGGATCATCGGGATCAAGCAGTGGAGAGTCAGGGCATTCTTCATCGAGCTCATCTTCATCTTCAGATGGTTCATCTTCTTTAGATGAAAGCTCCTCAAACTCGACCGATTCTTCCCTTTCTTCGGGGGCCGGCAAGGTAACACCTCATGGAAACGAAGCCTCGTGAAACGCCATGGAGTTAAAGGCTCAGGTACACAATCCGTTCTATGCAACAGCACTGTGGAAGTAACCTCCATGTATGCTAGTCTCTACGCCTGGTGCTCGGAGACGAGTCTCAAGGCCGCCGTTCCGTACTGGGAGAGCCTCTACGAGCAAAATATCCTCACACTGATGGGCCTGGCTTCAATCAAAGAACGGATCACCGATGAGTATATTGCCACTCTGGATACTATAGATCCGGAGAGCAATAGTACGTCTATTTTAATCGACACACCCGTCATACTTCAGCCATGCATACTACAAAAGAGCCTATAAGTCCTATGTCAAACCACTACATCCCTTTCGTCCTCTGCAACCCCCCCCCCCCCCCCCCCCCCCCCCAAAAAAAAGAAATTTCACTGATACCAACCCAAGGTCACTCATGCCTACGCTATCGCCAAGGATAAGATTTTTTGGATGGGGGCTCTTGGAATACTGGGCAGGCATTCTGGCATTAGCCATGATGTTCAAGGCCTAGAGTGACTTCGTCAGCCGAAGGGATATTCGTGGTACTCATGACCCGGTAGCCCGTCTTGCTATACAAAGTGCTTCAAAAAAGTCGAACCCTTTTGGATCACTTGTTCATCCCTTCTGAACTCACTTCATGATTCCCACGACGTTCGCCCCGGTCTCGAACAAACATCAGCAGCTTTGGTGTCTCACGCTATTCCCAAGAGGATTGATTTGTTGTTGTCTTCGGCTTCTGGGCAGTCAGCATCATTCTAGGCTGTGTGAAATACAACAGTTTCTCGGGAAACATTGAGTATGGCTCCCACCGTCCAGAAATTTGATGCGCCTCGGCTAATCTTGTTTCTAGGACTACAGATCTTTTGAACAAAGCTGGCAGTACGCTTCTGATCGCATTGGAATCCTCTCATACACTTACCTCCCATTTCTTTGGCTTTTCAGCGGCTGGAACAATATTTTCCTTTTTTGTCACAGACCTCAATTTTCAGTCCTTCAACCCGTTCCATCGCTATGTTCCCTGGGTCTGCATGATCTATGCAGTGGTGCACTCTATCGACTACAGTGGGTCGTTTTCGCAGTCTATGGTGCGTCCACATTGGAAACTGAGACTGACCCTTGCTTATTTTTGGCCAGACGGAAGATATTGAAAAGCATGGCAGCAGCCGTACTGGTATTTTGGTGTTGTGGTAAGCAGCCATCTTCCCTGGGTCGAGATGCCTGCGTCTTTCAGTGCTAACCGGCATGTCAGGCTACTATTCTCATGTACTTCATGGTCGTCCAATCAATGACCTATGCCCGCCGTCGCTGGTACGAGAGCTTTATCATTATCCACGTCATTTTCGCTGTTGTCACCACTTATGCTCTGTTTCAGCACACCAGGTTCGACCGTACAGAGTGGAATGGTTATCCCTGGTCCCCAGTAGCCCTCTGGTGCTGCCATGGAAGCTAAGCCAACCGGGGCTGCTTCGATGGTTACCTGTGACAAGGTCCATTTCAGGCCAGGTCGGCCGAACGTTTGTGGAATCATTCTTGCGGAGGTGCAGGAGGCGAAGCAGAGCTCGATTAGTCTGACTGTGTTGACTTGTGGTCCGGCTCAGATGGCGGACGATTGCTGTGCTTCTGTGTATGAAGCGATGAAAAATGGTTTCCGTGGCATTGACTACTTTGAAGGGGCATTCGGGTGGTGAAACGATCGTCGAGATCGGGCCGCTTCGAGCAGGCACAATACACAAGTGTAGCCTCAGATCTGCGGGTCGACGTCGATGAAAAGTTAAATCGTGATGTGTTTGAAGCGGAAAAACACATCACGATTCTCGAAAAGTTATTTAGATCGTTCTGAGTAATGTGACTTTCATAGGAAGGAAAGTGTCTCGGGCTTCCATTCTGGAATATAGATCTCCTCCTAAGCTAAAAAAAAATATTGCTACAGTACTAGCCAACAAAGAATAGGGAATAGGGAATCAACGCGTGAAAATTGATGCTCAATGAGTTACATTTATGGGGCTTTCTTCAATTCACTCCGCTCCGCGCCTTTACTCGGCAGAGGATCGGGTGGTGCGCTTGGTGGCACCGCCCTTGCCGGTGTCGGCAGAGGAGCTGCTCGCCTCGGTGGCCTTCTCCTTGCCAGTGCCGGCGGGCTTCTTGCCCTTGTCCGCAGGAGCAGGGCTGCTGGAGCCAATGGCACCGACAATGATGAGGATGGAGGTCAGGAGCACAGTGATCAGGCCACCGGCCACCTCGGGCACAGTCTTGACGGCGTTGATGGGGTCCTCCTTGGCCAGGGTCACAAAGAAGTCGACCTTCTGGCGAACGAAAGTAACAGGGTCCTCCTGGAAGGAGACAGTGGGACCCTCGGCGGGCTTAGAGTCGGCCTTAGGCTTGGCAGCCTCCTCCTCGGCCTCTTCGATGGGGTACTTGACGTCAAAGGTCTCCTTGCGGAGAGCCTCGGCGTCCTCAACGGAGTGACCAACGTAGATGTTGTCGAACAGGATATCGTTCTGCATGGTCCAGATCTCGAAACCAATGGCGCCCATGGGCTCCAGGTTGGCGGGGGTCTTGTCCTCGAAGTAGGCAGGGTTGGCAATCTTGCGCGGGGCCCAAGGTCCCTTGTAGGCAGGGTTATCGATCAGAGGAGCGGACCACTTGCCCTTGTAATCGGGGTTCTTCTTCATGGGGCGAGTCCACTCGCCGCAACCAGAGACATCGGCACACTTGGGGTTGGGAACAGTGGGAGCGAGCCAGTCACCATCCTCCTCATCATCCCAGTCCTCGGGCTTCTCGGCCTCGGGGTCGGGGATGCTAGTGGGCTCGTCCTCAAGCCAGTCCTCGGGCTTCTCAGCCTCCTCATCCAGAATCTCGAAGGGAGCCTCCTCGTCCCAGTCCTCGGGCTTGGTAGCTTCAGGGTCGGGGATCTGAACATCATCGACCCAGTTGGCGGGCTTCTTGTCCTTTGGGTCGTCAATCTCCTTCTCAGGGTTGACGGGAGGGTTGAAGTCCTCCAGGAGGCTGCCCTCCTTGACGGATTCGCCGTTGACGAGGATCTCGAAAGTCTGATCGGGCTTGACGATCAGGGTGTAGAGGGAGGTGACCTTGTTGGTGCGGGCCACGGGGGGAGTCTTCAGGTGCTTCTCCTCATACTCGCCGGTCTTGGGGTTTTTGTGGCGGAAGATGAAGTGAACCTGGAGGATCGCAATCTCGTAAGAAACCGCCTGCAAACACGTGCGTGGGCACGGAACCAACGCATTGAGACAATACATACCTTGTTGGTGGCACCGCACTTGTCGGGACCGAACATGATCACGTAAGGAGTGGCGTTGGAGAACTCCTCCTGGTGCAGCTTCTTGTTCTCCTGAAGGAGCTTCAGGTAGGCACCACCGCAGACCAGAGAGTTCTGGGGCTTGACCTCATACTGCACAACGAGGGTCTTGCCCTTGTTGTCAATCTTCTTGGGGAACTTGGCGGAGATGGCGTGGTGAGCGGCAGCGTTCTTGACAACCAGACCCTTGTCGCCCTCAATGCCCTTGAAGACGGAGGGTTCCTCAACCGACCACTCGCCGACGTAGGCCCAGTCCTCCTCCGACTTGGGGTCGTCCTTCTTCGCGTGGGACGGCTGCCAGCGCTTCTCCCAGTCATCGGTGAACTGCTCCAGGAAGGGGGCCTTCAGAGCAGTAGGCTAAACAAAAATAATGTTAGCAGAGTTGGAAATGCGGGGAAGCAATGTGATCGAACTTACGGTGAAGGTGGGCCGATCAATGGCAGCAGCAGCATCAGGAGCAGCCTCCGCCTCCTCGGCATGGGCGTAGCCCATGAGGGAGGCCGAGGAGACCAGAGCCGTGAACGCAGCGTCGAAGCGCATAGTGAACAAAGCAGGGCGAATGAAAAGAAGCGCACAGCGGGGGGGGAAGGAGGATAGAGGAAGGAGAGGAGAAGCGGAGGTTTATATCTCCACGGTTGAAGAGAAGGTCCGCGAAGGTCCAGGTGGCCTCTTTGGAGACGCCCCGATCGGGACTAGCCCGCAGCGAGGAACATACTAGCATTCCCTGCAATGCGCGATGTTTCTTTTCCGGGGGAAATTACAGTGTCTGATATTCCGACGAGGTTTCTGCTATAATGTCGACTAGCGAATTACTATGCCAATGACCAGTATCCATCAATTGCGATGTTCTCCTTTCGGCTGGCTCCTGTCGCCGGTCATGCTACCGTGTATGACGCTTACTGGGGCCGTGTAATGCGCGGAGAATCTAAAAACATGGGAAATTCACAGTCATGGAATCTAGAAAGTTATTCAACACAAATCGAAAAAAAGAAACTTAAAAATTAAAAAAGCATTGCACTGAGACTGATATTGTTTAGGGCGTAGAAAAGAACCCCAGCAACAGAACGAGAAAACAGTGGGCGTCTCACGCAGCTTGGTTTCTACGTATTCAGAAACGAACATGCCATTGAGCTATCACAAAGAGCCTGAAGGTACGAAATAATCAGTTGAGTTTTGAAAATATGTAGCTGTAGTCGTTAAGCTACTCACTACTTATAGTATCCTAAAGGTAGTGGATTCGATACCTCGGGAAGATTCCCCGCTCGGCGCGAATTATTGGATTGCGCCATGGCGGCGTCGTTACACAGCGCTTCTACCGTCCAGATCAACCATCCGACGCCCCGGTCTTCGGTCTCGACACTGCGAATCCGATCGCCTTTCGCGGCCCATTGTCTTAGTTCTCCTTGCGAGCCCCCTTGTGAACTCCTTGACTCTGTCGGACCCGGTACATCTCTGATCCCAGCCCACCATGTGCTCCGCTGATCAGGCCGTTGCGCCCGTCACCAACAATGACCACCTGGTGCAGTCGTCCGACCCCGAGCACCCGGCAAATCTCATCCCCGAGCTCTGCCGCAAGTTTTACAACTGGGGTTGGGTCACTGGCACCGGCGGAGGTGTAAGTCTCTTTCCCGCGCCGGAGGCGCGATGGCAAAAGATCCAGGAAGGAAAAAAAACCTTCAGTTGCTGACACGTCCGATGTAGACCTCCATTCGTCACGGTGACCACATCTACATTGCCCCCTCCGGTGTTCAGAAGGAGCTCATGAAGTCCGAGAACATCTTCGTCATCCAATGGCCTACCCCCAAGTACCCCGCCACCGACCGCAACTATATCCGCAGGCCCCTCAAGCTGAACCCCTCCGCCTGCACTCCCCTCTTCCTCACTGCGTTTGAGCACGGTGCTGGCTGCTGTATTCACACCCATTCACAATGGGCCGTCCTGGTAACTCTGCTGGTGGAGCGGGAGAAGGGCCCCGACGCTTGCTTCGAGATTAGCAACATCGAGCAGATCAAGGGTATTCCCAAGGGCAAAGGCAAGGGCATGCTCGGATATCATGACACCCTGAGTATCCCCATTATCGACAACACCGCGTTTGAAGAAGACTTGACCAGTGGCCTGGAGGCCGCCATGAACAAGTACCCCGACGCCTATGCCGTGCTCGTTCGGAGACATGGAATGTAAGTCGAACCCGGATCTCATCTGGACATTGGTTCAATCTCGCTAATCATGATCGCAGCTATGTCTGGGGTGATAATGTCGCCAAGGCAAAGACCCAGTGCGAGTCGCTGGACTACCTCTTCCAGCTTGCCGTGGAGATGCACAAGCTGGGCCTTCCCTGGGTCAAATAAATCCAAAACAGAGCCATGATGACCACCCTCTATCTCTCTCTATTTTTTTTTTGGTGAAACAAGCAATGCGGGATGATTGGAAGGGTTTTGTATAGACTGGGGTCGATTTCGGGGACTTCCACGCGAATATGACGTGACGTATGAACGGTATCGCACACGAGCTGCTCTGTTTCTTTATATGTAGTGATTGTAGGAGAAATCCTCGCTCGAATGTGGACCACAGCGATGTTCGCCGTACCTGTGGACATTAGTTATGGGTTCTCAGCACAAATTTGAGTGTCAATGGGGCCCAGACGTGGGCGAATATGAGAGAAAGAAGAGGAGGAAAGCTGCCCCAGACCTTGGTGACGGGATCCCGTGAGTGACTAAGACCGCGGATCATCCTCCACCTCGACTGGCCAGCTTCCCACTCACAGCCCCCTCCCCTCCGAGCTTCGATTGAACCAACGTCCATGCGAGACTTCGGATCCAATTCTTGCTGATACCCTCGTCTTCGCTTTCTCAAACCAACCGGCAACAATGGACCTCGAAGCTGGTGACTCCCCGTGGGGTGGTAAGGCAGTCATGATAACACAGCTCTACTAATTGCGATCTAATCTGGCATACAGATGAGCCCTCGCGCTCGACCACTAGCCCGACGAACCCGACTTCTGATAATCCCGAAAGCTGTCAGTATCCCTCCAATACTTTCTAACCTTTATGGACCCCCCACTCACTCCTTGCAGCTCCCGTCCGGTCCGCACCGTCCACCAGCGCCGCCGAAGTCCGTACGCCAGGTCGCCGCGGTCCACGAGGAACACGCAAAATCAGCGCGCAAGCGACCCGGTTGGAAGCCGTCGATGATGCCGTCGACCCCCTGGGTCCGCTAGGAGAAGGCGCGGTCGAGACCAGTGCAACACCCACCGACGAGGCCCCGGCCCCTCCCCAGAAAGAAACGATTGCTGAGCGCAGTCCGCCGCCGCCTTCCACCTTCCCTCCAGCTTTTGGCGGAACTGGTATGCTCGAGTCGGGCAATTTAGAGGAAGATGGTGCCGGATTCCGAGGACCTCCGCCCGTACAACCACCCGCCGATCTGGAGGGCCCGAAGCGACAAACCCAGCCGAGTATGAGCGTTGAGCAGGCCGCGAAACCGATCTTCGAGATCAGCGTCGGAGATCCGCACAAAGTTGGAGATCTAACAAGTAGTCACATTGTGTACCAAGTTCGGACGAAGACAACATCTAAAGGATATCGCCAGCCTGAGTTCGCTGTCAGCCGTCGTTACCGTGATTTCCTTTGGCTCTATAACTCCCTGCACAACAACAACCCTGGAGTAGTCGTCGCTCCTCCACCCGAGAAGCAGGCCGTTGGTCGCTTTGATACAAACTTTGTCGAATCACGGAGAGCTGCTCTGGAGCGGATGCTGAACAAGATTGCGGGTCACCCAATACTTCAGCATGACGCAGATTTGAAGATCTTCCTTGAGAGCGAAGCCTTCAATGTCGATGTCAAGAACAAGGAAAATAGAGAGCCTGATCTGGGCCAAAGCAAGGGGATGTTGAGCTCCTTCGGTATCTCTGTTGGTGGAGGGGGCAAGTTTGTGGAGCATGATGATGTGAGTATGGCCCTTCAATTGATCGACTTCCCCAGCTAACGTTTTTGCAGTGGTTCCACGATCGTAAGATCTACCTGGACGCATTGGAGAACCAGCTGAAAGCACTAATGAAGTCCATGGATACTGTGGTTATGCAGCGTAAAGGGCTTGCTGAGGCCGCAGGCGAATTTTCCACCTCCCTTCATGCCCTTGCCGCCGTGGAGCTCTCCCCAGCCCTGTCCTCGCCTTTGGAGGGTCTTTCGGACCTTCAGTTGAGAATCCGCGAACTCTATGACCGCCAGGCGCAACAAGATGTCCTGACTTTGGGAATCACCATTGACGAGTATATTCGTTTAATTGGCAGTGTGAAGACTGCATTTTCTCAACGGCAGAAGGCCTTTCACAGCTGGCATGCAGCTGAGTCTGATCTACAGAAGCGCAAGAATACTCAGGACAAGCTTCTTCGACAGGGCAAGACGCAACAAGATCGCTTGAACCAAGTGAATGCAGACGTTGCCGATGCAGAACGTAAGGTCCACCAAACCCGCTTGCTGTTTGAGGATATGGGGCGTCTCATGCGCAATGAGTTGCAACGATTCGAGAAGGAGAAGGTGGAGGATTTCAAATCTGGCGTTGAGACGTTCTTGGAGAGTGCTGTTGAAGCTCAAAAAGAGGTAATAAATAAACCCATATTCTGCCTTGGTCTGACTTCCGCTTACATGTTCCTCGCAGTTGATTGAGCTTTGGGAAACTTTCCTTGTGCAACTGGATGCCGGCGAGGACGGTGTCCCATACTACGTGCCTCCTCCGGAGGGCGAGTCTGGCGAGACTGGTGTACATGACCCCGCCGCATCAACCGCTGAAACGGCACCAGTGGCCGAAGATAACGCATGATGAACCTTGACCTTCAAATTTTGGAACCGGATCATCCAATCTCAAATCCAATCCACAAAATATTCCAGCTGTCCTACATTTCACTGGAATTTTTACTTGTTCGGTCTTCCTCTCTCCCATACTGCAATCCAACGATGTCCCCAGCCAGCTACGGAGTTTCCCCCTTCCTGTCCCTTTCCGCTTTGTGTACCAGAATATCCTCCAATACCACACTTCACCTTTTCTAGTCGATACCAATATCTTGATTTATGGTCCTGTGCTATCAAGGGTTGTTGTCGCAGACGGCGTAGGATCTCGATCGGTCGTTTGCAGCAGAGGCATTTACGTGAAATAAGACTTCAGTGGGCGCTCGCCGAAACGAGTATATTACTAAAGCAGGTCATTTCCGCTTTGGTTACGCTGTATGAGAGCGCCAATCCAGCAAACCATGTCCTTCAAAGTTCCTAAAGAACATATCGGCTATGTCCCTGATTAGCATTCTCCCTTTTGAATATGGATTTGGAACTCACAATCTCAGGTTCTCTCTGTCGGTTAAGTCCATCTGGCTATTGTCGACGACACGGGCCACCCTGGTTCCCTCCGAATCAACCGTTTCAACGATTCCATTACCGACAACCTGGTCGGTAGCCTCGAGCCGATCGCGGCGCGTTTATTCTCACAGCTCAAATAGATTCTCAGGATTCCAATTATGGTCGAAGAGAGAATGCAAGCGACTTGTTTTGAAATGAGTAGAACTTCTCCCTTGTGGTCAACATATCACTAGTAAAATAATCCAAGTCGGTTTGTATCGGGGCTTTGTTCTTGTCTGCGTGAATTTTGATATAGAAGAATCCGAAATACTGACCTTCCACTGCGGCTGAAAGAGCTGAGGAGATATGAATTCCCAAGACCGTAACCAATGTGGTACAAGGCAATAAATGTTGTCTTCTTCGTATGTCCTGCGGTGGCATTTGCAGCCCAAATCATCACGACGGCATATGGTATTCCAACGGTATTGCGCACCCATATACCAGTGATGAGGCCCCAACGGTTTGACCATGGCAAAGCTGTTTCATTATCAGGGGCTATTTCTCACAAATTCCCAAGTGGATGAGTACCGAGTGGAAGAAGGCTGGAAAGGGCTCCGAGGATATAGGCAATCAATGATATCCATGCGCGAGAGTTCTATTCTCTTAGCCCAATTGCTCGCTTATTAGAAGTATTCGATCTTACCTTTGTATAGTAGAGAGCTGTTGCTGCCGAGATAAGAGAGAAGAAAGATACTATTCCCGACACACATCCCAGTAGTGTCGTTTGAAGAATTGTGAAACCGAATGAGTTGATTATCAGTGAATATTGATTGGTGATTCCGTTGGCCATCTCTTGTGACCAGGCGTGCAGAAAAAAGAGCCATGTTTTGGGGTCTCTCAGTCCTTCCACGAATCTTTCGAGTTTGAAACATTAGATCGATATCATTTGAGCTGAGCAAATATTGACACTCACTGGCACCGTTTGAAAAGCTTCTGCTCGATTCCCGAGTGGTGTTCTTTGATTCGCAGAATGACCTTGGCTCGCTCTTCGTAAGTCAAGAAATTCGCGTGAAGGGGACTGTCTGGGAAAAGGAAGTAGACAAAGTCTCCGAAAACGATGGTAAGACCACCGGTGATGACTGGTAAAGGAGTCAGCACTTGATGCTATGCAAGAAACACAGGAAACGAACCCATAAACTATCTCCATGGGGAGAGGCTGCCCGTTTCAATTCAAGTACGCCATATGAAAGCAACCCGGATGTAATAGTGCTCGCATTGCCAATTGACCACATAATGGGCATCATCACTGCCAGCTCTCCATAGGTAAAAAAAAACATCGACATTGATAGTAGGAATGCTGGCACTATGGATGCTTCAGCCACCCCGAGGAAGAAGCGCACCACAAACAAAGTGGCAAAACTACTGCATGGAATATGCAGCAAAGTAATTCCACCCCTATCTGACTGTTAATATAAATGGTGATGCGAGCAGAGGTAGGTGGGTTGGGCATACCATATGACCAAAGTGCCCGCTAGCCATTTGGCCACCGGAAACCTTTGCAATGCCCAATTCTGGGGCCATTCGGCCAACAGATAACCGAAGTAAAAATTTGAGAGTCAATTATACTGAGTTGAGTTTAGGTGTGCATCTTTCATAATCCCGAGGATGGCAGAGCTTCCCAGCTATTCCGTGACTGTTAGTGTGAAGTTGTGGTCTCCTTCATTATTTTATACATACTGTTTGCTTGTCCACATACATGAGATGATATCCGATGCACAGGAAAGGAAGAATCCGCCATAGGCATTTGTTTCGAATCTCCAGAGTTTCTTTGGGCGTTGGATCAGTGACTTGGATCTTGGAGAAGAGCTTGAAACTTTCGTCCGCGAACTGATCTGGAACCTTTGGGGCCACATTAATGTTGGTAACATTCTCGCTTTCCTCCTTGGCCAGGGAGGTTGCCTTGATGTCGCGGTTCACTGGTCCAGCAGCCATGACAAGAGAAGAAGTTAGTCTCAAATCAGCCGCAAAACAAGGAACGATTTGTGGAATAGTACCTGTCGAGAGAGTTCTCGCGGCTTCGTGAGGATTTTATCGAAAGTAAAATTTTTTATCCAAGCAAGATAGAAGGTATTGCGCAATGCGCTTCCAGGCCTTCGTCTTCATCATTTGCCGAAGAGGTTCCGCGACAGGTCGCATTATCTATTGGCGAATGTCCTCCGCAAAGCATGGTCGATACGGAAAGTACACACGCGCGGTGGGTTATTTTCTGAGTCTGAAGACGCAAAGAAGTGCCAAAAGCACGCGTCAAGTCGCCATGGCGGGGTTGCGTGGAAGCTGCACTGTTGGCGTGCTCGGTCCAGATAAAGACATATAGATATTTAACCTTTGCATCTACAACATCACCCACAAGGCCCGCATATACTGACCTTACCGAGCTACAATTGCATACGAGTATCTCAGCATGGCAGCAGAAGACAGATCCCTCCGGGTTCTCATCGCCGGTGCAGGAATCGCGGGCGTGGCAGCAGCCATCTCCTTGTCGCGAGTATCGTCCGCTGTCAGCCTAGACGTCCAGCTCTATGAACAGGCTCCCGAGCCCCTCGAAATCGGGGCAAGCATTGCGCTCAGTCCAAATGTATGGGCCTAACCTAGAATGGTATAACATTGTCTAATTGCTCGGTTTCTGAGCAGGGAATGCGCACTCTAGAGAAACTCGGTGTGCACAAAGCCTTGTCCGATGAGGTCGGCTACAGAGGTCCAAATGGAATCCCACAAATTTTTCGGTATATATGCTATCCCGGCTTTCGTTAAATTCTGCATTCAACTAATGAAAGACGGCCCTGGTAGGCACTGGAAGACCGACCAAGTCATCTCCGCGGACACGTACACCAACGTCCCGAATCCTCGCCACCGTACCACTCGCTTCCACCGCGGCCACTTGCATGCTGCGCTTTTCGAGCATGTTCCCAGTCGTTTTATACATCTAGGCAAAAGGCTTACCCGTGCGGAAGCTAATCAAAATGGTGTCACTCTTCATTTTGAGGACGGGAGTGAAGCTCACGGCGATATTTTGATTGGAGCCGATGGAATTTGTTCGGTTTGTGACCATCTCTCCATGCAGATTAAAGCACCTTACTAACCCCAGGTTTGCAGAAAGTAAGAAATCATTCGTTGCTGACTATAAGCTTCAGTTCAGCGGAAAGGTCTTCATGAGATCAACGTTCGATGACTCGTTGGTAGAAGGCAAAATCCCCAGTCTACCTACCGATTCTATGCACTGGGTATGACGCTATCTTCCTCGCTATTCAAGCAGGACCTAACAATAGCCATAGTGGGGTCCGTGCGACAACTTTTTTGCATCAAAACTTGGTATGTTTCTGAAAACCTGTGCAAGTATGCATCCTATTAGACTTCTACCTTATTCCAGGCAAGAATCAATATACTACGGTTGGAGCCTACGATGATCCCCGGACAGCAGAAAAATTTGAGAAAGGTATATCATGGGATCAAAGTGGAGATGTCAATTTCCTTCGGGGGAAATACAAGGTATGGTTTTCAAGACTACCGGACGATAGCCCCGACATTGACGAAATTAGAATTGGAATCCCACCGTCAGAGCTTTAACCGAGCTCACACCCTACACAAACCTATTTCCTAATTTTGCCGGAGACGCTCTCCCAACCTGGGTCTTTGCTTCCAGAGCCACTCTGATTGGAGACGCCGCACACGCTCATGGTGGTGCTTTTGCTGCCGGAGGCTCCTTGGCCCTGGATGACGCACTTGCTCTAGGTCTTGCCTTCAGACATGTGTTTAAGCCTTCCAATTCCGGTCAGCCCTTCTCGCTCGATGACATCAGAAAAGCACTGGGACTATACAGCAATACTAGACAGCCGCATACAGCCCGCCTTCTCCGGATTGTACACAATCAGATTGAAAAGAGAGGGGTCCAGTTCGATTCACCTGGAGAGGAAGATGCAGCATTGGTTACCAGGATGAGGAGTAGACCCAACACCGAAGGGCTTTCTGAGCATGATGTTGAAGCTGCGTTCGTAGCCGCTCTCGAGCAGACCGGGGCAGCAGAAGCTCCAGATCAATCGCAGGCTTTGAGAAGTACGGATGAGCGAGCAGACGAATCTAGGGTCACGATTCAACTAAAAGGCAGTAACCTGTAGACTTTCATGTTAATTTGCAGTGTGCAGATCGGCATTGAATGACAACCATAAGCCTTCACATTGTTCTAAGCTCAGAGAAATGATACTGTCTTTTGTTGTATCGTGTGTTCCTTAAGAGCGATGATTGCTGAGCGATATATAATGTTTTGACTGACTGACTGCGTGTACCAAGGAAACAATAAAGACGGCACTTCATAGGTTCACATTGAAACACTGGCATTTCCTGCATCGACATTCGTTTTGACACATATGAAAACTACTAGTAGAATTGGGATACCTTAACACTCGACAACAAATGAGAGCAGATTCAAAAGAGAACACCAGTTGGCATCCATGCATTGTCGCAGACATATATGTATATTATACAAGAACAAATGACACAGAAAGAAAAAGGAAACCCAACTCCCAGCCCATAAGCGGACCAAAATCACCTCTAGTCACACAAGATGCAACAATCCACCTTTCCAAACTTAATTCTTTTTCTTCCCAGATCCCTGGTTCTCCTCCTGCCCAAAGGAGCTAATCAAGTCCAGCAAATTATCCTCTTCCTCCTGCTCAGCCTGAGCCTGGGCACGAGCAGCCTCCTCCTTGGCCTTCGCATCCGCAGAGTCCTTCGGCGCAGCCTCAGCTGCCTCCGCGGGAGCGCTCGCGTCCCAGCTACGACCGAAACGCGCACGGAAGGCCGCCAGACGACCGGCCTCATCCTCTTCCACGTTCATCAATTTGCTGCTGGACGGGTTCCAGAGCAGCGAGTTGCGGGTATCACGGGTGGAGCGGTAGACGGGGGCAGGCGAGGTGGTACGGAGAGTAAAGGCGCTGCCGTCGGTCAGGGTGATGAGTTGGGTGAAGGTGTAGGGGCGCTTGGGACGGCGCAGAAGGGTGGCGTGACGGCATTGCGAGCAGATGAAGGTTGTGGCTTTGGATAGAGAGGTTGGGAGCCGGCTGGGGAGAATGGTGGTTGTTGTGCTCGGTATTGTGGCCGCGGTGCGGCGGAGAGAGGTGTGCATGGACATTGTGGTGGACGGTCGTGTCGAATGACACGGGCGGAGGTGGTAGATCGGAGGAGCAGCGGTCCTGAACGAGTATGCTGGGTGGACTTGGGCGCAATTGGAAAGCAGGGGAGGGAGGAGATGCGACAGGTTGATGCTATACAACTTCCGACGCAGAGAAATTATCGCGTGGTTAGTCAGCAAACGGGGATTTTCGCCGACAGTAACTCTTTCGCTGCGCACTCGCGCCGGTTTCTCGCAGTTGACTTTTTCGACATGAACTTGCAGTGAGCCACCAATTGATTTCTTCTTATCAAACTTGTGTTCTTGTTGGAGCACCCGGTGAGCGCTGCGACCGGTCCACCCTGCATAATGAAGCTATCACTCGCGCCAGTTGCGGCGCGGAGAGGATTCGGAGGTGAGCTCACGGCCAGATCTGCTCAAAATCTGGCCTGGAAATAGCTTACAGTGAGGCGCAGGAGTTTTTTACACATCATCATCGGCTTGCACATATTCTCGGTCGTCTTTTACTCGTCGATCTCAATATTCGCTATGCCGTCGACACCCCTCACGACGGAACCTTAGCAATACCACGGCCTTCCAAACCAGTACCTCCCCAAAGCCGAGCGAAGAGCCCCCTGCAAGCCAATCCAGAACATCTGCAACACACCTCCTGAACTTCCAAAACCTCAAATCCACACCCGCACCCTCAATATCCGAACATGTCCGCCTCCTCATGCGCCGAGTCCCGTACCCGGTCGCAATCATAACAGCAACAGATCCCAATGGACCGCCAGACACAACATCCTTCCGCGGAATGACCGTCTCCTCGTTTAATACCGTCACACTCTCTCCTCACCCCGTGATATCCTTCAATGTCCGCCGACCATCCGAGACCTTGAATGCGCTTCTAGCGTCCGGCCGGTTCCTCGTCCACCTCCTCGCACCCGGCCCCGCCACGTCCACCCTAGCCAGAGACTTCTCGAAAGGAAATACAACGTTAGCATCTATGCTGAGCGGTCATGGGGAATTCGAGTTTGGCGCTCTGAGTGTCGAACCCGAGCAGGGGTCATCAAAGCCGCTTCCTATACTCAGACGTCGAGCTCAGAGCTCGGAGAAAGAGGAGGTTGATTTCCCATTTGTCTTCGAGTGTACTCTGCATCCGAGCAAAATCGATGTACACGACCACTCGATTATACTGGGTACAGTTGTCCGAGCGATTGAGGGCTCAGATACCCGGCCTTCGGGCGAGCAGACCGGGGCTCAGGCCAGTCTCGATGAGCATTCGCCAGAGCACTTGTGTTTGACGTATGCCAACACTCGATTCTGGAAGATGGGCAGTGAATTATAAATAGAAGGTGCTGAATGATAGATTTGGTTAGACTTGAGGTGTGGCTGTACATATTTATATCTGTCGCTTCGGGCTCAATGACCCTCCTGTATATATAGAACACTAAAATAACTAGATCAACAAATCACTATATACATTGTAACAATCGTGAGATGAATCTACCCTTGATTACTGTCTAAATACTTTCATTTCTCATGCGGAATTAGAATCGTAATTAGAACTACATGGGATCTACGCGAGCACAGATATGAATATCGAACAAGCTTTTTGGTCTCCTAAGAATAGAACTGCTTTCCATCTAACTTCAACCTGGCCGAGTAAATGTCTATTCCCGCAGCACGGTACCGGTAGCTGCTTGTAATGCCAAGTCGAATTGGCTATCACAGGGCAACCCAGTGAGAAAGAACACTTAAACTGGGCGATGGGTAGATCATGCAAGGCGAACGATGATCCGTTGGGACGGACCAGGACGATAGAGGCAAAGACTCGGGCAAACCATTCGGAACACAGGTAACTGGGCAGTCGAACGAGGAGTCGATCAAGAGGTATGCTCATCTCGTTCCTCAGGAATCACAGGAGGGAAAAATCGGGATCTCTAATCGCGATTTGACCGGGGACTGCCACTACCACTCCAGCTACCGCCGCTACCACTGTCAGCTCCGCTGCCTCGACTCGCAGCCCGTTGAAAAGGGCTTGGAACTGGACGACCGCCTTGGAGAAAAACATTCTCGTTGGAGTTGGTACGCTGTTTGTCGGAAAGCAGCTCCGACAAGTCGATATGAACAGGAGGCATGCGTTGAGCGTCAAAGTACTCCGAACCATACTGGCTGCTGCGAGCGGAGCGGTTTGAGAAGGACCGATCGCGGTTGGTATCCGAAACGAAGTACGAGGCGCCAGTGCCAAGCGGAGAAGTCGGGAAATGCGGCATGAAAGCATCGTATACCGGGCTTGTCGGGTTTGACGAAGTGGCGTGAACAGGAGACGAAGAGGTTTGCAGAGGGCTGGACTTGGCAGGAGGGAAAGCGAGGCCTAGTAGAGCTCGACCATTCGGAGCAGAGGTTGTCGACACATTCAAGTTATTTTCGAGCAAAGGATTCGTGCCCGGCAGGTTGCCCTCAGGGGGTGAGAGGGCCGGATTCCAGGAGCATCTGTTGCTGTTGCTGCTGAATTGACTGTTCATAAGCAGATGCCTGCTGCCAAAGTTGGCTAGTGCGCAGTTGGAAGTCCTGGACAGCCTGAGAAATGCTGTTGAATTGCTCCTGGAAATTAAGCTCCATCTTGGCCTGATCTTGTTCCCGAGCAAACTGCTCGGCCGCACGACGCTCCCGCTCGTTCAGTCCTTGTGCATTGGCGGAGATGAGGCGTTCATACTGTTCGTTGACTCGAGTACGGCGGCCCTGAAGACGCTCGCGCTTCTGAACGGCCAGATTCAAATCCTGCTCGATGGAAGACAATTGCTGTGCGACTGCAATACGAGCCTGGGAGATTTCTTCCTTGGTAGAGTTGAAACGCTCCAGCTCCCGTTCGAATGCGGCCTTGTTTGCAGACCACTCCTTAAGCTCCTCTTCCGGCACATTCTCCATGTTATCCAGCTGCACCTCCAGAGCTGCAGTCGCCTCCTCTGTCTGCCGAATGTTTCGCTCAAGTTGCAGTGAACGCTGCTTTTGCCGATTTTCGTCCGTGCCGCTGTTAAGGCGATGGCTGAAGTTGTCTAGTTCCCTGCGGATTCTCGAGATCAGAAGTTTGTGGTCGTTTTTCGTCTTCTTGAGCCGAGCGCGTTTTTCGTTTAGCTTTGCCTCGGCATTGATGATGGAGTTCTTCAGTGTCGTGGTCGGGGAGGAGGGTCGATAGGGCGGCTGGGGTGGCGTGGGTACAGTAGAAACAGCTGCTGGATCGGTAAGTCTAGGAAACACCACCGAATGTCGTGGTTCAAACTCACCTTGTTCTGTGTCAGCTGCCGCGGGAGTCTTGACACTCATGGCACAGATTTCTTCGCCAGTATCGCAGCGAACGAAAGAGCAGGTGTAGGCGCAGTTAGGAGCAAGCCCAGAGATCTCGCCCCGCCATTGGACCGTATTCTGACCCTTTGAAGAATCCTTGACCTTGTAGATAGTCGCAGTCGCCCAAAGCGCCCCATTTACGCACACGTAGAACGGTTCCATCTGCCCATCCAAGCGATTGACTTCACAAGAGCCTGGCGCCACAGAGTCGTCGACAAGATCTCCAGCGGCGAACTTGATCGAAGAACTATCCACATCCGTGATTAATACCAGTCCGTCATCCAACGAAAAACCTTGAAGATCATCCTCGGCCATGGTGAGACCGCGAGTTGCTTTCGAGGAGGCGCGTGAGTGCTCATATTCTCGCATGACTGTAACCTTGGTACTGGCGAGTGCGGCCCAGAACGGTTGACGACTTCGAACTTGATTGGCTTGCCGCCTGCGCTTCTTCGCTGACGTGAAACGATCTTTTCCGTCCTTGATTTGACCATCTGGGCCATGGAGCGAAGATGAGAGGCTAGCGGCTGATTCCATAGCCGAGTCCTGTTGGGCCTGTGAGCCGGCCGAGGCCTCGGTATCACCACGTTTGCCGCCTTTCTGAGGGGTAGGGGACCGATTCTGAGCCATTACCCGTCGGACCATAGCGGTTCCTGCCTGTGCTAATATATGAACAGCGAGAAGGCTTCGGAGCCAACTCGGAGACGAGTGGGAATCGGAACGTCGGAATTCGACGGGTAGAAGATTCGAAAACTGAGAAAGAATGTCGGGATTGACGAGTTTGGTGGATGCGAGATGCCCGACTACATATTCCTGTACGCCCTTGCTACGGACGATATGAAGAAGTAGAACAATCCCCACACACAAAGCATTAACCCCGCCATTCTTCCCTGAGCCTCCGCCGCCCAGTGTGATGGCGACCTGTACATGGGCAAGATCGATTGCGAAATTCTGTGCCCATGCCCACATAAAGAGACCCCAGAAAAGAAGGCAGAAGCCATCCATCGCGATCATTGTTCCCAGAGAAGGTGTGCCGGCGGGACCTTGAAAGATATCGAAATTCGAGGATAGAGAGCCGGCGGCGCCACCACTCGGTGGCATGAACGTCAAGGATGCGAAGAGGAATTGGACCATGGTCAAGACCATCGGGGGTAGTTGGAGCAAGAAAATCAGAATGGCGATGGTATCGTACATGGGACACGACTTGAGAATGGTGGACGCAAGCTGGAGGGGATTGATCGACGCGTTGGAGCCGGAACGTTTTGAGGCACCATTACGAGCAACTGAGCCCGCGAGTCCGCCGTTGTGCGGCGCGGCACCGTTGGCCTGGCTGCAGTCCATTTCCACACTTCTGCCGTTACCATTCAGCATTCCGTGCCCATTCCCATCTGGCTTGGTTCCATCCGTCTCTTTGGCTGCGACCGCCGGGGAGGTGATCGCGGAGTCACTGGTGGAGCGGTTGGCGGACAGGTCGATGGGGACGGTGGCCGAACTGGCGGCGGCGCGGTTGGCGGGCGAAGCGTTCAGTTGGCCGGACGATTTCTGCTTGGTCACTTTCTTGCCGGGACCGACGAGACCATTGTCGTGTCGATTGCTTTGGTTTTTCCTACCCGCAGCGGATGAGCGTGGCATGGACGAGCAAGCCCGAAACCCAGGTCCGAGTCGGCTTGGCGGGTGACGGCCAAGGACTGGGACCAGGCAAGGAGCGGACGGGCGAGGTGTAGAAGAGGGGATATGTCCCGGGGGTTGAGGAATAAAAAGGAAATGTGAATGAGGGGGAGGGGAAAGAGAATGGAAGGGTGGTAATACGAGAAGGGGAAAGAAGTGAAAAGTGGTTGAAGGTCGAAGAATCGGCCGGCCTTACCGTACGGTACGCCGTCGATCATCGCGAATGCGGCAGGCGGCCCTAGCCGCTTTTACATACCCGTTTCTGAGGTACAGCCGCCTGTTACGATGCATTCTGCTGCCTACTAATCATTTGGCGATTCAAATTTGCTATGACATGAAATTTTGTAGAGCTCATAATGGCTTCTGACAGGTACTCTAACAGCATGCTTTCAAAATGTTGGTAATGGGGATCATTCTCAAAGCAGAAAAAATCCTGGTTTCGCTGGCGGTTTTCACTTTCTTTCGGGCCCGTTATGCACTCCGGATAGCTACGCTGGCCTCGCCAACTCAACCGTCGCCTGATCCATGATCTGCCAGCTTCGTCGGCTGCATCACACTTTCGCACCCCTCGGCATTTGCTTGCCCCTGCTCCCCAGAAATGCTCCAAAAATGGTCCCCCGCGTCTCCTCGCGCCGTCAAGCTTCAAGTTAACTGGCGGAGCCCAGCGGGACCTCGACAGGTCTTGCACCGATTGGGAAACCCTCTACCTCGTGCACAGGTTGAAACGGTTGTCGTCCACAAAGAATCAACTATCATCTATCAGACCGTCTGACGATCGACCGTTCCCTGGGCCGTCTGCTGCGGGGTCATCCTTGCGGCAGACCTGGGGCATGCATGGCAACACGAGTGCGTACGACCGTGCCGACATCATTGGGGGAGAAATGAGCAAGGCTGCAGATAGGAAACTGCACACTCGTCAGGCCCGACGAGCTATATCCCCAGAACGTGGGTTTCTCGGCATCGTTTCACCAGGTCTTCACATGCTCGGTTATCTCGTGCCTTGGGGAGGCTCCGCTGAGCCATGACCAACTCGAGTGATCCACCGTACATTTTCCAGGCCGGTGGAGCGAGAAGACGAAACATCCCCCGCGCAGGATGGGCAGATCGGGGCCGGTGTGCATTTCGCAGCCCACACACACACACACAAGCACGACGAAATCGATCAGGAGAAACCAATTTCGCGACATCGGCCATCGGCCCCTCTCGCACACCCCCCAAAGCGCATCAGGTGCTTGGCAAAGGTTTGCTCGTAGATCAGCCACCGATGCAGCAGGGATCGACGCTCCCGCCCCGGTCTTGGTGATGGCTTGACCACCATTCTGCATGCGCCGCACACCTCGTTCGCCAGAACGGTTGATCCCCCCGAGCGAGAAACAACATAACGTTCAGCCTGCGGGGGATTGTCCGTGGAATACCGGTCATCACGCAGTTCCGCTACAAGCTTTTGAGCCGTATCTCCTCTCCCGGGGCTTGACTTAGATCCGATAAAGGGTTCGACAAGGTTGCGTCGGTCGATCCTTCGTCTTTGGGCTGCCGGCCCCTCATTCTCGGCCTGATCGGGAAGATCTCCGGCCAGCTCGGCCACGGTTGCGATAGTACCGATACGACCGTCAGGTTGTTTTTCGATGACGGATCAAAGCAAAAATCGGTCGGAAATTCCCTGCATATCTGATGGCCACATTCCAAAACGTGAGCCAAAACGATGTGGAGGGTATGAATCAACTCTAGCGGTGTACTTCCAGAGCAAGGTACTGTATCTCCTCGCGTCATGGGATACTTGCTCACCACCAGCCCGTAATCCAAATATGCTTCATTTTCAAAGCAGGGATGATCGTGTCTGAGTATTTTAGGCTGCCGGATTTTAGTATTACTGGCCGGTCACGAAGACAGTATCTAAGGTATTTAGCACGTACCTTTTTTTAGTACCCGAGTAGTATAGGTCCTCACAGCTACCCTGAGGCAGGAAGTTCTTGGGTTATTATTGATATATTTCGCTATTTCAATCTTCCATAAGATCAAGTCGGTGCTTTCGTTCTTTTTTTATTGATTTCGAATGCTCAGACTGAGCTCAAACTACTGGTAATGGCTTGATTTTTAAATATTGTATTGAACTTTAACATAGTGACGCTGGAGACAAAACGAGTGCAATGAAATGGCAATTCTTTCCTGAGAAGCATCCGTAATCCTTCATGACCATGAATCAACGAGCTCAACATCAGGCAATGGCACGGGCCCCTTTAACGAAAATCTTGTCAATGCCGAAACAGGTGTGGTATGGTATAGTATTTGAGGCCAAAAAGCAACGGTATCCTCGTATTCCCAGTTTGCTTTATCGCGGTCGTAAACATTGCCATCGTCACCGGAGATATCAGCGTCATTATCAACCGTGGAGGTATTACTCGGATCTTCCTCCAGAGTAGGGTCGAGAGTAACAGGGTGAGACGTTGGCTGTGGGCGGCCAGGAGCGGCCACATTGCAATGGATGCATCTCTTTTCCTTTCGAGAAAAGGCAAGGAGAGCGAGTAATCATCCTGTACCTCTCCCGGACCATTGCGAATCATCTTTTGTACCTGGTACTGGGCGATGCTTCGGTGGTAATTGATAGATGAAATAATTGGTCCCTTATCAATTCGAATGTCAGACCCGATATAATACTTGCTGGACTCTGGATCTCGGAGCAATGATCCGATTTTGTTGAAGGTCGAAGATGCAAGCTTCGTTTGAATGGCGGCCACCTGCTTTCGGAACCTTTATCTTGCTCCGGGGTCCCATACTGATCAAGAGGCCCATCAAGGCTCCATAAGGTTTTGGGACACACTGCCTGGGACGTATTGCATCAAGATGTAAGGTGCGCCATTTTCATTCCGTCCTCAGTCATAATGATAGATCTCTGAAGCAGGAATCGAACTCCACTCTCTTCGTTGGACAATCAGCATCTCAAGTTCAATCCAAATGCCTTTGGGTTCTGGGGTCTTACTTCAAATAACTCATCCATGCTAACTCGAAAGACATTCTGCCCTGTACATCTCGGTATGGCTCTGTGGCATCTTCCAGGTCTTGCATTCGGAGACGGGCAATCCACGACATTCCATTCTCAAAGACGACTCGCCGGGCCATGTTGAAGTGCCCTACAGAGAACTTCTTTTCGAGAATAGATGGCGGTCCATGTCGATGCTTCGAGCATATTTCGGTCAGTTTCCCCCAATTGACCCCAGCCAGGAATTTCGTTCCGCGGACATGAAATTCGCTGTCATCCTCGTATTCATCGGGACCTAGCCATGCCTTGCTTCCCACCTCCAGGATCTTTGGCGCTTCAACAGCCATCTCTTGAAAAACTCACAAAGAGACCATACGAACACACCGTTTTGCGTTCCCTACTTCCAGGCTAGTTTGCTTGGCATGTAATTTGTGCAGTATAGGTCCTTCATTCCCAGGGACCCTTTTATCTCACAAGAAGCAAAGGACACTGGTAAAGCTGTCTGTTGATATGCCAAGGGCCGTCAACCTTTTACATACTACTCCATTCAGTCACATACCGGGTGTTGTTTTGTCTCGAGCAATGTCAAGGACAGTCATTGAGATCAAGCTCTTCTTGTCACGGCTATTAATCGATGTAGGTACGTACACTACTATTATAGTGATATATGGAGTCTTACAGAAAATATAAGTCACCTCGAGAGCTTGGTCTCCTCATCAGACCATTCGTAGAAACTGCACCATATTGTCAGGGCCCTTTACCGTTTATCTATACCGAAAATACTCTTCACAATGGCTGTCCTATCTGGTCCCCCTGTCTGTGTCCGCTATGTAAAAATACAACTTTGAGTGTCGGAAATGCACAAAGCCCGGTTCGAACCATTTGTCGAGATGTGCGCCGATAAGGAAGCCATACACGGTCCCTTCAGTTTGTACATGAAGACTTTGGAACACACAACCTGCTTGTCAACGAAATCTTCGAGATCTTCGCTCTCATTAATTTTGACGCCATTATTGCGGCACTAGTCGAGCTTCAGGCACAGTCTCCTATATTCACAGGAATGAATACGGAGATCCCGCTTCACGTTGACACCAGACCAGCAGTCCTGGATAGTATCGCAATGGAGAGGCCCAAAATGGAGGAATACAAACGCTTGATGCAGGAATGTGAAAAGGAGATAGCGCATTGCGTGAATCGACCCACCGCACCCGGAGCGTTGATGCTTTCACATGCCGCCGATATCGTGTACGGAATGACTTGTTACGATAAGTGCCTTCGTTCTAATCGAGGCTGGATGCGCAGCTAAGCCAAGCTATTTCGGCAAAACCTCATACGGGATTCCAAATAAAACAGAGCAAAGCAGTGCTTCCCACTAAACGGTGTCGAGGGTGATATCGGAGACTGGTTGCATGATTGCATTAGATTGAAAGATATGATGGAAATAAATATACATATTTGTTGCTATAGTAAGAGTCCCTGGAAGTAAGATAGCCAGTATCGTAACCTAGCAAGCGACAGGGAGAGCACCAAATGTGGCAGGTGCATCAAAGAGATCCAGTTCAGCAGTCCGGCGACGAGTCAAGCCATCGACGACCTCGCCATTGGCCTTGTTCCACTGGGGCAGCTCATCATGAGCAACAGTCACAACATCCTCGCCTGCATTCATTCGCGAAACAAGATCCGAGCTCTCCATGTTGCCGTTTCCGATGTTGTAGGTCCAGGACACCAGTGCAGCGTACTGGTTATCGTTCAAGGTAACTGGGTCTGCCAGAGCATTTGTGAGGGCATCTTGGTAGGTCTGCTCTCCATCAGCTACCTGGTATCCTTCAACTCAGAACGAAATAGCTACTATACTTACCACTAGGTCACCAGCCAGCAACTGGCTCGCAGACTCCTCGGTCAAAGGCTGGTTGGGAACTTCCGAGCAAGTCGAGTCGCCACACAAGTGACCATAGCCAATTGTTGGGTTGCCAAAGCCATCATCATAAACACTCGGCTCGAAAGACTCGAAGCTTTTGATCAGATTCAGGCCGTTTTCGTTGGTAGGCGGCCCAGTGCAGGCAATTGCCACGGCAGGGAGAGCGGCTAGGAAGAGTTTGAGAGACATATTGAGTACTAATGATCTTGTTTGTATATTGAGGTGGTTTTCGACTCTGCAGAATCTCTTCGTTCTTTATATCTTTCATTGCGACAGAGTTTCATCTTCCTTAGACATGTTCTGTTGAGTGTAACCTCCCATATTCAATATGATCAACACTGGAAATACGAGAAGAATTGGGGCCACGATGAAAAAGAGACTCACAAAGCACTGACAGCATCGCATCGCTGAAGGTCGAGCTGCGGGAGATGGAGATCGTCACGGAGATAGCACCGTTAGGTTCGGATCAGCGTTCTATAATTATCCACCTGCATCCGCGGTCCCGCAGTGTTGATACGGGGAAGACCTGATTTGGCGCTTCGATTAGAATGAAGGAGAATTTGCAGGATTTGTATTCTCCGATCATCCCTCCTGCGATTTTCATGTCCAAACAAGAAAGAACAATAGGGCACGATGGCTCGTGTTGGCGGTTGATCTTCGTGTTGCAATCCGGTTCCTGCATTCTTGGCTCAGCCTTGGGTGGATGGCCGGCAATACGAGCAAGTCCACTCTTCGCCCCAACATCCAAACTCTATCGATCAACTCCGCCAGGAATGCGTAAATGTATCACTGACTCGCGGTATGTTGACGACAGAACTGTCTTCTTGTTTCTCGCCTACCTAGCCATCATCCTGTTCTCAAGCCCTGCTCAGCGACTTGACGATTATCCACTTCCAATGAGTATTTTGATGGTCACAGGAGCCGAGCGGGCGAGAATGCATATTCTTCTTCCGGTCTTGCTTCTTCCGGGCCTTTTCGCTTCTCAAAATGGGAATTCCATTTATAAGAAGCGACTAACAGGCGAAGAACTAGATACCGGACACAGCTGGGGAATAGTAGTAACAGATCTGGGGATCCCCTATATCCTTAAAAACGGAGCCATCGGCTAGCTCTTCGGCGACACATTCAGCACACAATGGCTTGGAGTTTGGTCAAGATTAGCGGGCTCCGATTCCCGGTCGGCTGTACGCCCTTGCGACGATGGAACGGGGATAGAGGAGGTCTCCGTCATTCCGAACGACGGCTTCGGCTACCCGGAGACAAAGGAGCAGATCGTCTCCTATATGAGCATCAAGTCTTTGGATCCGTGGTCGACCAACTATGCCGGCTTAGCACACTCGAACGATGGAAATACCTTCACCAAGCTGGAAATCAAGTTTAAGAACAAGGATGACAACTCTGACCCGTTCCAGATGTGGACCATGCAGCGCGATGGAAACTAATCTATATCTTCTCTGTCCGTGCCGGCCGCCAGGAGGGACCGATGATGCTACAGCGTGTTCCCTGGGACAAAATGGCGGATCGGTCAGCCTATGAAGGCTGGGGATGGAATGGCAGTGACTGGGGTTGGGATAGGCCTTGCTCGCCCATTCTCGAGGGTACCTCTGGGAACCTTCAGTGCGGAAGTTGAGTGACGGAACATGGGCGATGGTCTATCTCAACCTTGGCGGTGTATAGCCAAACATTGTTTGACGGACAGCAGCTGGCCCAAACCAAGCATGATCCGATGAGACTGTCCAAGTGCCCTGGAACCAAGAGCCATCCCTCTACGATGGTTTTATTCATCCTCGGTCCACGTCGAAGGAGAATGACCTGCACATAATGGCGTCCAAGTGGTCCCACGGTGCAAATGGACACACTACGGCGTATCATGTGAGCCAATATGTTGGCACTTTGTAATAACAGTGTGCCCGTCAAATCCGTCTGTGTCTATAGTATCCAACAGTGCGAGTTTGGTTGAATTGATTATGTATTAGTAATTAAGTATTAGTTAAACATTCGATGTAGATGTAGACGTAAGTCGATACCTCGACATAGTGATCAATGGCAGTCGACCATAAATCCAGAGTGCAAAACTCCCCTTCACATTATCATGATCATTAAAACCGATGCCATCCAAGCAACGCTCATACCGGTGTCTTAATTGGCTCAATTGATGATAATCAAGCGCCTTCGAAAGCAGCTTTGGCTGCCGGTTTTTCGGCCTTCCGTTGAGTGTGACAAGCACTCGCCGCGACACACATCAGAATAAAATGGAATGTTCTGTAAATTAAATATCAGTAACAAATTCCGATCGTTACCCAAGCCAAAAAATCTCTTACATTTCCAGCAGCATCATTGAGCAACCAAAGACCTCTGCCCCGTACAACTGCTTATGGACACCAGTTTTGGAATACCCGTACCCACCGGCATGCCAATACCCAAGCTCTATCAGATAGAAGCAGATAGTAATGAGTTGAGCGACCCAGGCAATACAGTCAAATGCAATTGTAATGCCTGGATGAATGGCACAGTTGAAGATGAGGACCACGAGGAACTTTAGCGTTGACCAGGCAAAAGCGTAGGCAGCCTATTATGATTAGCTGCCAGCTTGAGCCCCACACACAGGCAGGAGTAATTTGGTTCCACTCACCGTTCCCAGGTTGATGTGCGACCAAGACGCACCAAGTCCGTCGGTAGATACCTCGCCAGCTCGATGCTGGGTATATGCCCAAGCAAAGCAGGCGATGGGAGCAATTGCGCTAACCATAGCCCCGAAGCGTAGGCTCAAGAACTTGAGCCATTTCTTCTGATGTTGGGGTATGACATCTGGGTGCCAACCAGAGTGGCCTTGTTCATAGTGGCTGGACATGATGGCGGAGTACACAAGAGCGGTCCTAGATTCAAATGCTCGAAAGCGTCAAACGCCACATCCCTTTGAAGACAGGAACGGATGCTGATTATATGCTTGATAAGTAGCCTCAACAGCCGAGGAACACTTCATCGTGCAGTGCGCATCACGCCTGATTTTAGTTAACACAGCCTCGGGGCCGGTGGCAACGCCAAGCACCCTGCTCGATTCCCCACCAATGAACCGGACGATCTTCTCCCCGCGGTGGGACTCTAGATTGTACAGGGTTCAAGGAGTGACCGATATGGATAATTAGGTTTCGACAGGCTCCTTCCAGTGTCATCAGGCGTCCTTCTCCTCGACTCCGCCATGATTGCTCGTTCTTGGCACTGCCTGGACTTGGCATTTTGAAGGGGCGGAACGAAATCCATCATTTCATTGGGCCGTCTAAAAGGAATTTCGATGAGGAAATGATCTCATCTCTATATATAGACATACAAAGTGTCTTGTCGAAAACCATTTAAGGTCGATAATGAATACACCACCCAAGGTACCCTTGCTGGTGATGGTTGAGGGATATTGGCATTAATCGTAGAAAAAGACACACGTTGACAAGTTCGACCGTTAGCGAATAAATATTGGACGCAGCGGCAGATATGCAATGAGCATGATATGCTAGGTGAGTCTGCAGAAACACGACGACTTGATGGGTATATCCGCCGTGGCCAAAGCAAGCCTCAGCTGAGGTTTCATAGTCCTCGCCTCGGCCGTTCTTTTCAGCTTCACCAAGCACTCATGAAGACCATGAAGAGCCCAGACGTTATTTGGGTGTCTCAGTGCGCGTGGAAGAGACTCGTCAATGCCAAGGTCCGCTGAATACACTGCCCGTGCTTCCTCCACTTGATCCTGTTCCAACAGCAATGCCCCCAACGCATGTCGAGCAGGTTGCATCCAGCCCCATGGCTCGTCGTAAGGAAGATTATCGTCTCGCTCTACTGCTGTACGGAGGTGAGCGAAAGCAATGTCGTAATCCCCGCAACGGTATGCGATCTCGCCATCCAGCATTGCTTCTGCGACGGTGAGGATATCGACACACGCATTATTAAAGATGGTTCGAGAAGAGGGGACTAGCTTCCTTGTTGACTGGAAGAGGTCCCTTTCTTTCTTTGCTTCGTCACCATGGCCCATTGCAGCATAAGCAACTCCCTTTGCGTAATGGGTCATCGCGGTCGTGGAGCAGTACAGTGTCTGATCAGCAGGAAGTTCGAGGGCGATGATTTCCTCCCAGCGGCCGAATCGAATCAAAGCATGCACACGGGTCGAAATGAATCCCTCAAGCCAGTCTGCCAATGGCGGGGACTCGACGCGAAGAAGATCCTCGGTGAGCGACTCAGCGAGCTCGGTTGCGGTTTCGATCGCAATCTTGGACTGGCCTCCTAGCATGGCGGAGTACATGCGGAAGTGATAGTCATGTGCGCGGTATAAATTATAGAAGTGTCCCAGAGGTTGATTTGCGAGGAATTTCTCATCGGCGCGGATGGCAGACGTATTAGATGCCACTGCTCTGCGGTAGTCACCGCACAGCACATCCAGGTGTGTCGGCATATGCTCGAGGTGACCTGCATCAGGCACCAGGCCCCGCAAGTTGTCCGCAATTGACAAAGCAATCTCTGGCGTTGGAGACATTTCCATCAGGTGGATATATAAATGCAAGAGACCGGGGTGTTCCAAGGCGTCGTCATTGTCCAAGGCCCGATCCAAGGCCTTCTTCACTTCGAGGGTTCGGGCGCCCGGTGTTGGCTTGCCAGTTCGCAATTCCCACAGGTTCCATGGAGTTAAATTCATCAGTGCATCGGCATAGAGAGCAAGGACGTCAAAATCACCAGGAAAGGATTTATATGCGGATTCCATTGCCGCAGCATATTGTTCGTTCCATTTCGCACAGTCGTCCACAGGCTCCTCTTGAGGATATCGATATTGCAGCGCATCAATGAGAGCCTTTTCGACTGGAGACGCAGAGGTTGCTTGCCTTTGAGCTTCTTTGACTGCTCCATGGGCTCGTGTCGTGGTCGTCGAGAGGTCTTCCCCATCGAATAGTTTCCACGGTTTGTTGTAGTTCGGCCCCAGCGCAAACGCAATACCCCAATACCCCATGGCACATGTCGGGTCATGGATCACACATTGTTCGAAGCATTGCGCAGACTCCTCGTGGTTGAAGGCGTAGGCCCAAATGAGACCGCGATTGAACCACTCTTGGGCATCGGGATTTGATGTGCTCACGGGCCGTTGGTAGGTTCCGAGATCGTAGTAATCCTCGGAGGAGGCCTGTTTTGCTGGCGCACGCGTCTGATGCCAGACTTTTGCCATATCATCCAATATCGTTGTTGTTGATGGGGTCGATTGAGCGTCTGGCCCGGTCGGAGGTCTCGTTGCCCGCGGGCAAAGTGGGGCTCGCGCCAGATGGCGTGGCCTCCGCCTGGATCGCAATGATAGGGATCATCCTTGTTCATAGTTGGGCATCGAGATCCTTGACGTCTGGTACAAAACGGGGGAAGCAATCTGGGTGTTTTCTAGCTGGCTCTGACGGGTCAGGCAATCGCTGGAAGTTGATGCCCCTTGCACTCAATCTTCCATCGCAGCGTTTCATGGCGACGGAATGCCCGGGCGCCGGTGACCTGTCAAGGGTCTCGTCGGGAATAATCTGAGGGGGCAGATGAGCTGGGTTCGTGTGGAAGATGTATTAATTGCTGGGATCGAAAGTATTCAAAGAGAGGACTCTCCTTGGAGGAGTACTCGCGTCGGATGTATAATTAACTAGTCAACCTGGATGCCTTGTATCCTCAGGCATCAAGGCCCACAACCCCACATGAGCAGATTTGAGCAGGCGCTCGTCCCACGTGACACGCGTAGATCGGCAGGACTAACCGCTTTTGTCAGTATATCTGCTCTTTCCCGCTCACCTTGGTGGCCGACCTTGTGGGTAATGCGGTGACCTACTGACCTATATAGCAGCAGACCGAAAGCAGGCTGTGTCCAGGAGATTTGTTCAACTTACTTCAATTCACCTGTGCAGTCTTGCAAACAGTCAACTCATATATCCTGCTACATTTTCCGTTTAGCGCCTTCCCTCGATATACCCCCAACATGTGCGGCGATACCAACCGACCCACCTTCGGAGGCACGATTGCAGTGTTATTCCCACAAGATAACCGCCTGTCTGCTGAGCGATCACTATCTTCGTCCCCAGAATCGGTCATATCTCAGTCAACTTCCTCATCAACTTCCTCTCTTTCTTCATACTCGCTGTTCTTCCGCGACACCAGCGATCGAAAGACCAAAGCCGTCTTCCGCATCGAAGACCTGGAGACCTATCAAGCTCTGAATAGCTGTGACAGTTTGGATATACGCATAGAGTAAGTGAAATTGTTCTTCGAATGTCAGAGTAAATCACATGCTAACCCGTGGCTCTAGAAAATATGGAGACCTCTCCACATCAAGCTCTTCCATAGCTCCTCTCCATCAGTTTCTACTAGATCTGTCCCAAAATAAGCATCTGAAGCCAGACCATCAACCGACGGAAATGGAGTTCGACTTGCCCGAACAGCTGGACCTGGGAGTATCGGAAAAAGGTGTTGTGGGAAGACAGGTTACGGTGCGCGAGTCCCAAGGATCCATCCTGGGAATAGGAATAGTTGGCTACAACTGAATGGCATCGGGATACAATGGCATCTATCTCAAATTCTTATGATTTAGTTTACGAATAGTGTGGATATGAGGGCCAGGATTTATTTGGGCATGCGTGAATCAATCGCAGCGTTACCATGAACTAATCCATAATTCATCCTGCAACTGAAACTGAAAGGGGTCGTTCAAGGCACGTCGGTTGATTTAGTTCCGAACGTTGCAAGGTCGCCGTGAGGCAATTCGTCGTCGATCGGCACCAGATTGATCGGTAAGAAGTCGCACAGCTTGGGGCTTTCAGAGCTTGACGTGGCCAATGCCGCCGGTGAATCGCTTCTCGGCTTCGGCCCAATTGATGACAAGCCAGATTTTCTCGACGTAGATGGCTTTCTTGTTCAGGTACTGGGGGTAATCTGTTAGCAGCATTTCGAGGCCCTCGATAGCTTCAATACACACTTGAATGTAATACGCATGCTCCCACATATCAATGCCGAAAATAGGGACAAATTCAGGGCCGACAGTGTCCTGGTCCTGAGTCGTGAGGATCGTCAAGGGGCCCTCAGGGCCACCCGAGCAGGCAAGCCATCCCCAACCGCTACCCTGGATGTCGAGCAATTTCTTGGAGAAGGTGCGCTTGAAGGCATCCACGGATCCGAATTGAGCGACGATAGCGTCCTTTAAGAGGGGGGCCACACGGTCCATGTCGTTCTTTTCATTGCCAGGCGGGGTGAGGTTCTCCCAGAAGAGGGAGTGATTGACGTGACCACCCCCGTGGAAGTTAATTTTTTGCTGCAGAGCGAACACAGCCTGGAAGTCATTGCGCGCGGTCGCCTCGGCGTTGGCGGCGAGAAGAGAGTTCAGGTTGTTGACGTAGGCTTGGTGATGTCCCGAGTGATGCAGTTCCATGATCTGCTTAGAGATCACGGGTTCCAGGGCCTACAAGATGTGAGCTGCGGGGTTTAGTTGAAGGGAACAGGAGATACTGACATCATAAGCATAAGGAAGCTGAGGAAGGGTCACAGGCTGAGCCATCTTGACGGAGGGGCAAGTCTCGAAAGTAAAACTGAATGGAAAAGTGGTGGTGGGAAAGGGAGAGGATGTAGTAGTGGGGAAGATCGTAGGCAGGTGAAAGAAACGATAATAATACTGGAGGTGGGGGGAAGGAACAATAAATACTGCCGGCAGTGGTTCACTTGGAAAAGATAGCGGTGTTGGAAGATAAAAGCACCCCCCAAGGTCCTTGCCTGGAGACCCCTCGTCTCGCCGTGGCCTGCCTCCACCAAGGTAGCCTGATCGAGCCATCAAACTTCCATGTGTTTCCGCGGCGTGTGGACATGCGCAGGCATCCTCTTCAAATGACTTGGCGTTGATTTGAAGGTGCGAGGAATTGAGCACATTTTAGATCCACCACGAGGCATGCCGAATCGCGTCACTCAGATGGGTCCTTTCTTACCCCATACTCCTACCACAGTTAAGCTACTACCTTACTAATATTTCTAATCTTTATTTGTACCTTCAGAACTCTGGAAGCGATTCTCTTGTGGGTTTTATCACAAATAAAGCTGCCACCCGCCGAAAATTCCTTGTTGTGTTGCAAGCCTGTCTTGAACTAAACTCAGTGTTGTTGATACTCGCCTTTCGACTTGCAGTACTATTCTTTCAATACAGATCCCGTACGCGGAAACCATGCTATACCTGTCATTTCCTCCCTCTCTTGTTTAAAAAACGACCCTAATACCTTTGGAATCTGTTGATCAGACATGTTGTCTACTAGGGCTGACGCCGCATCTGACCCCTGCGTCATACTGTAGCACGACTATAGGGAGATGCCAGCCATCACAAGGTCCCCAAAACCGCACAATAACCATTCATTGCACTCTCCTCCAGTGAGAACAATTCAATCAAATCTCAGTACCTTAACCTTATGCTCATGTCGTCTTGGAATGGAGATTACTAATCTCCGTTTTTGCGGGGTTTCGGCACCAGACGAGCCTCGGTCACTCGGCGCGGGTGTATATCTCCGGCTTAAGAGCCTATTCCCCCCAAACTTCTCCCTTTCAACTTTTGGATATACCAATCACCATGTCGGCCGCCGAGCAGGTTCAATTGAGCAATTTCTCTAACATCTTTTCCCTCGAAGGAAAAGTTGCCGTCGTCACCGGCGGTTCACGCGGCCTAGGATTGCACGCTGCTTCGGGGTAAGCTCTTCATTGAGCAATTCTCTGTGACACATTTACTTACAGACGGCAGTCTTCTACAAGCTGGCTGCTCCAAAGTCTACATCACCTCCCGCAAGAAGGATGCATGCGATGACGCCGTTGCCGCGCTGAACGCCTTGCCTTCCAAGCGATCTGGTGCTCAGGCCATCTCCGTTCCTGCCGATAGCTCCCGTATGGATGAGCTGGACCGGTTGGCTACTGAAATCGGCAAGACGACAGACCACGTTGACATCTTGTTCGCCAATGCCGGCGCCACCTGGGGAGAGAAGTTCGATACCCACCCGGAGAAGATGTTCTCCAAGGTGATGGATCTGAACGTGAAGAGTATTTTCTACACAATTCAGAAGTACGTCCACTCAGCAATTGTCACTTAGCATCTGAGCCAGGATACGTCGACCTAACACCATTCTAGGCTCGCCCCTCTCCTCGAGGCCAAGTCCACGCGCGAGGACCCTGCACGTGTGATTGTGACTGCCTCCGTGGCAGGCATTGGAATCGGTACTATCGGCGACAATGCCACACCGAGTTACTCTGCCTCCAAGGCCGCTGCTATTCATCTGGCTAAGAACCTTGCTGTGGAGCTGGGCCCGCGCCACATTCTGACCAACGCCATTGCACCTGGGTTCTTCCCCTCAAAGATGGCCAGTGGCTTGATTGAAAAGAAGGGCGGACTGAAGCAGCTCGAGGAGTACTCGCCCAACGGCCGATTGGGTCGTCCCGAGGATATTGCTGGCTTGGTTGTGTTCTTGTCTTCGCGGGCTTCAAGTCACTTGAACGGAGCAGTCATTGCAACCGATGGCGGTGCCGTTCTCAAGGGTAGACTATGATTTGTGTTTTGTTTTGTACAGCTTCAACCATCATGTGATAAGTTGTATTCGTGATATCAATGCATATGGCCAATTCCCAGTGGGATGTGGTTAGATTTGCTTCACAGTAGTGATATTTACAGCTTGATGGCCTGTGCAAAGATCAGTAGACAATTACAGCTTCGCGCTAACAGAACCACTATTCCCTTGCACAGCTCGATCAACAATCTCCATAGCTTGGAAGAGCTGGTAATCGTGTTGCTTGGGCGTAACTACCTGAACACTGAGCGGCGAATCCAGGTATACACGACGATCGACTGTTTTCTCGTTCCCTGATAAATGGAAATATTAGCATAGTTTCAGGACAAACGCTGGCTGGCCTCCGAACTTACACAGCTGACGGTTGGCCTTGTCCCAGCTGCCAAGAACAGGGGCGTCCATATTCCGACCAAGCTCGAGGTCCGATTCAACAAATGGTCGCACTGGCACTGTACCGGCAGGGTAATCCAGCAACACAAAGGTTGATGTGTAGCCAACAGCATTGTACCGATCCATCTGGGGGACAGGGTGCGGCGCAACAGGGCAAATAATGGCATCGACGCGACGGGCTTTGTTAGAAGAATGAAGAGTCCACATCTTGAGCATTTCCTTCTCGATCTCAGCACGCTGGGCTTGGAGCTGAGCAAGCTGCTCAATGCTCAAGTCCTTTCCGCGTTTCATACGGCCCTGTAGCCAGGGAATCAGTGATTCTCCCATGTTTTCAATCTTATCCAGCATGCTTGATCCATCATCAACGCCCATCAGACGACCCGCCAAGCCCTGACACTTCGGCAGGGCAGGTGGCAGAGGAATATCAACGACCTCGACACCCGGGGTGCGACGCAAATGACAGGCGACTTCATCCAGAACACGAGCGACCGGGGGCAAAGGCGTAACAAGACCATCGGTCTTCAAGATTCCAATAGTAAAGTTGCGGGGGGTGGCCAAGGACAGACCATAAGGAGCGGGCCAGAAACCAGGAATGCCATCCTCCCCGAACAGTTCGGCGCGCGGTACGATTTCGCCCATCACAGCGCCGAGATCCGCGACCGAGCGCGCGAGTGGACCAGCCACGGGCTGCAAAGAAATCCGGCCTTTACCTGGCAACTGACCACTCTCCTGTCCGCCATAAGGAACGCGACCGTTACTTGGCTTGAAGCCATAAATGCCTTGACACATCGCTGGCACGCGTATACTGCCTCCGATATCTGTGCCGAAGCCGACCATCGACCCGCGCATCGCGACCAGCGCGCCCTCTCCGCCAGTACTACCACCAGCTGTCCACTGACGATTCAGTGGGTTGAGTGTCCGACCGAACAGGTGGTTGCAGCTGTCAAGGGTCGCCAGGGTTTGGGGGATGTTCGTTTTCGCGATGACGATGGCGCCGAGGGATTGAAGCAGGTTCACCAGGTCGGCATTTTCCAGAGCTGGCTTGAACGCCAATGCCGAAAGCCCAATGCTAGAGTCGATCCCCTTGATGTTGAATGTATCCTTCATTGACACGGGTAGGCCATGCAACGGACCGACAGGTTGCCCCGTTTTCCGAAGGGTGTAGTCCAGTTCTTGTGCGCGGCGCAGAGCACGATCGAATAGGGGTTCTGTCAGGCAGCGTGTAAGCTGATGGGAAACGGCTGCTCTCTATCATTCCGAAAATTAGTCCGCTTGTAGTTCAAGGACGAGCGTGTGACTGGAAGTCTCACCTTGCAGAAAGCTCGGGTCACATCTTCCGCCTTCAACTTCCTCTCGGTCATGGCAGACACCAAGCCTCGCACATCATAGTTCTCGGTAATTTCCAGCTCCTTGGCTGTGAGAATGCCACAAGTGCGAGGGATATTCATCACATTGACGCGACCATATTGCTTTGGCCCCTCGGTGATCGACTCTGCAGGTGAAAGCATCCCCGCAGGAATGAGATGTGCGGGTAGTTGCCATTCCGCCGGGATGGCAGCAGCCAGCTCGGCTTGCTTGCGTTCGGCAATGGCCACGTATTGGGGCTGCGAAGATGCCATGATGCCTGACGAAGGGAAGTTGCGGGTTGCGGGAATGCAACTCTGAAATACGGCGGGTGCGGGGAGAAATGCGGAGGAAGAAACCTCGGCCCAGGCGGCACTGCCGATAAGGCTGTATTTGATCAAATGCTCATCTCGAATATATTGTACGCCAATCCACTCCGCCGACACCAAACGCCTAAATACACAGTCTACAATCTGCCTTTAGAAGCGCGAAACGTCCCGGCCAAATAGTCTGTTCAGCGTCCATCGAAATGCCACTCGGATCTTGTTACGCCAGCTGATGCTCATCGTGATGTATGCCGCGTTCCAAACCAGCCGAGCCATCCGTCCGGTAATTCCCTCGGGAAGATAGCTTTTGCGCTTGTTCACATCGTGCATGTCGTGTGGGATCTGCATCAATGCTTTTTCACTTCCGATGTAGGCCAAAGTTCCCATGTTACGAAATGAGAATGGAGGAGTCTGTGAGAGGTCGTTCTTGTTCAAATGCGAAGCGAGCCATTTGGCTTCCTGGAAAGTGGCTTGCGCTGTTGCCGGAGGCGCGCCAGTCTCGATCATGCAATTGTCGCCCAGTGCGAAAACATCTTTCAACACTGCTGAGTCGCCGGCTTCGTTTTGCAGCTGTACTCGGAGGTGACCGTCGACGAGCAGGGCGCCCGTCTTGGGGACTTTTTTAAAACTGCCAGGATTGTCCCGGGGTCGAGCTCGAGTCCATCTTGTATATGGAGTTCTCGGGGAAGTCTTTGACATCGTTGAACGACTGTCTGATAAACTTGGTCATGGCATTGCCCGTCGCCCATACACACATGCCAGTGCCAACCTCTCCCTCTTCCTCGGTAGTCAGGGTCAAGCAGCGCTTAGGGTCCATGTCATATGGTGGCGATGCGCCCGGTGGGCCCCAACGGAGGCCTTTGACGTGATGAGAGGTCTTGATGTTAATACCTTCGCTCCTCATAGTCTTCATCGCATACCGAGACAGCGATTCATCAAACATTGACAGCACTTTGGGCGCGACGTCATAGAGGCTGATTTTCGGAAGGCCTTGGAGAGCAGGGTAGAGCACCATCATATCCTTATAAATGAAATCACGTAGTGATGCTGCGAGCTCGGTACCCGTTGGTCCGGCGCCCACGATGGCGAAATGAAGCAGCCACTTCTTCATGTCTGGCATCGTCGTCGGCAAGACCGCTAGCTCAAAGCATTCGCGCACACGCCGTTTGACTCGCTTGGCGTCGCCGATATCCTTGAAGAACATGGCATTTTCTCTGACTCCCGGTGTGCCAAAGGTACGGCTGACAGCACCCACGGCGATAACCAGTTTATCGTATGGGACCTCAAATGTCTCGCCCTTTTCCCACTGGCGATGCTTCTGCATTGTGGCTTCGGGGCCATCATCGGTTTCCCTTTCATCCTCGTGTGTGCGCGGTGACTCGGTGACACCACTCTTGACCACTGTTGCTTCGCACAAAATCGTCTTCTTCTTCAGGTCCACTGCTCGCGCAGCAGCTTGGATGAAGTCGACTTTGGCACCTGGATCCCGGACTGGTTCGACAATACTGGAGAAATCGAGCGAGCCACTAGCGGCGTCGGTCAGAAGAGGCGTGAAAACGAAATACGACCGAGGCGAAACGACGATGGGCGAGAAAGTCTTGGGTGACAAGCGGCGCGAGAGGGTATATCCACCCCAGCCAGATCCGAGGATCACAACACGTTCTTTTTGGTCATCCGACAGAGAGGCTGCATTGGTGTGCTCAATAGATGTCGCGAGGCCCCGTTTGAGTGGTATCCATCTGGAAGAAGGAAGATGGGCGTTGGGATGTGTCAGGCCCGGCGCGCGGAGTGCGCGCACGGCACCCAATCGAGGTGGCATTATTCTTCTGGCTGGCGGAGATCAAGATATTACCAATGCATAGTCAGTGTTACTTTCGGGGGACCCTGAGGATTTTTAAAGTTCTAAACAGGAGCTGAGCTCTGAAGACTTTCGCTGACACATCCATGACTTCATCCTGAGATACGTTCTCATGGAAGGAACCGGATCGGGATCTCAGACGAACTCTTCCGCTGTGATCCACTGTAGTCCACTCGGTCTCGGATTATTGCTCTCCCGTGACCATCCTATCGACTTGGGTGTGTTCTTCTCCAGGCTTTTGACACCTCATGGGGAATCCCGGAACCCTTCGGGGCCATCGGTGAGGCGCGGGTTGCACGTGCCATGGGAGAACATCGGAACATTCAGGACTGCCATCCGATGGCTTTCAGCTGTATAGTATTGATATTTTCACATGGCAAAGTGTTCTGAAACCCTCTAGCAGATGAGCCTTGGATTGAAATACAGCATCGTTGGATGTCACGTGATTATTCTGCACGTTCCGGGTGAGCGTTGCCGAATCGGGAAGTATTCTCCACATGCGTCATCAGGCCACTCAGGTGCTTCAGGCATATTGGATCTACATAACTAGCTAGTTAGCTGACACCTGCCCTAAAGCATCTGCAGTGATCTTGCTGAGGTCAGAATGAATACTAGTCATATATTGTGCGAGATCACCGAAAGTGAAAAGGCTAAATCAAAGTGCAAAAATAGGAACAGAACCGACGCAAAGCGACATTCCATTTACAAAAGGGATGGAACATATCCCAAGATGGGAATTTGAAATAATTCAGCACAAGATCTTACTGTGAAGTCCTATCTGAATTGGTGAATACCGCCATGGTGCCCCATAACCTAAAATGCTTAGCGTGGCTTACGCCCAGAGACGGTTCGTGTGGCTGCTCGCCATATTCCAAATCACTTTCGTAGTGGGGCCTTGGCAACCGCAGCCTTCTACTCAGCCTCAGATGGGCGAACGGAAACCCTCAAAGAGGATTCTCTTATAAAGGCACTGTCTGGCATCTGATGATATGTGAATTCAAGCCTCGGAAGACTTGAATCCATACATCACGATCCCTTCAACTGCCGAAATCCGCTACGCAATCGGCAATATGCCCAACTCCACGACTTTATCAGAGCATCAATCACAAGGAGCGGGCCTGAGATTCCGACGAGCACATGCAAAATCTAGAAACGGCTGCTTGAGATGCAAACAGCAGCGCAAAAAGGTATGCCGAGACTCTCCGGGCAAATGGTCAGGTGTGCTGATCGAGTGGCCCAGTGCGATGAATTGAAGCCCAGCTGCTCCCGATGCGCCAAGCGCATGTATAATTGTCGCTACCAGAGCTCCCGACACGACTCTAGCCCAGTAGAGGAGCGCGATTCGGGCGATTTACCGATCAGTGAGCTCTATATCTCAACCACGACTCCTGATCCAATCGCATCGAATGCATATGGATCCTTTACACTGTCGAGCGACCGACTTTCGGTCCCCGACTCTTCGCCACATGGGTCTTCCCCAACCGCGCCATCGTTTTGCTCGTCAAGGTTCCCTGGGGATGAGGAAGCGTCAATAATGATGTCACATTCCCCCGGTACCCTCGACGCGACAGAGCTCGGTCTCCTAAGTCATTATCTCGCGCATACCAGTCAAACCATACCATTTGACGATCTCGATCTCTATGCTCTTTCCGTGGGCGTACCAAATATCGCATTCAACAGCAAGCCTGTTATGTCATCTTTGATAGCTTTGGCAGCAGCATGCAAGTCACACGACATAGTCAAACAGACTCGAATGCCTCTTGCAGACCAGACGTTAGTAGAGGTCCGCGAGTTGCTTACTCTTGCAGATCGTCATCATAGAACTTCTCTGCAACACATTCAAGATTCCGTGTCAAAATCAGATCGCTATGACGACATCTTATTGAATGCAGCTTTGATGGTCTTATATGCTTCTGCGAGTCATGCGATTCGCGTATGCCTTGCAGCCGCCGCGAAAAGAAGTGAGCTGTTGCTACCAAAGGATCTACTTCCGCAACACTCGCAGTGGATTTTATTCACCCGATCAGCACATACAGTGTCTATTGCGGTCTTGGACAACATTTCCAAGATCAGTATACATGGCGATGGCCTGGGCCAGATCATACATACACCTCCAGAGTCACCAGGAACAGTGCTATCGCCGCAGGATGGCCCGTCTGAAAAGACGAGGCGGCTCTTTCTTCCATTGGTTGCATCAACGTACAAACGAGCCTTCGAGAGTTTACGCAGAAAAACTAAAACGACCATCGCTCTTCTTGGCGAACGACGAGAAAATTCTATCTTCGGCGAACTGGAGCTCGACGCGTGCCTCAAGTCTTTACCAATACTCGACGAATGTGCATATACAGCTCTCACCACTGAGAAAAGTCATAAAATCTCGACTGATTTCCAACCGGATCCAAATTGTTCCGATGGTTCATCTAAAGTCTCGCCCTGGGTCGGAAGATACATGTCCAGCGTCACATCAATGCAATCGCCAAAAGCGCTTCGGCGAATCATCATGTCATTTCTGAATAAAGCCCCATCGGGATACCTAGAGCTCATTCAGTCAGTGCTCGACTCACCATTTGAGTCTCTGAACTTGGAATACCCACCAACATATGGCTCGCCTGGAGGCGAGACACCGGTACTCAATGAGACGCAACTGTTGGCGATGGACATATTTGCCCATTGGCTGGTCCTTGTCATGTTACTGGATGGCGTCTGGTGGATTGACGGTATTGGGCAGTGGGAACTTGGTCAGGTTGTGTCGATGATGAAGAAACAAGCCTCGTGTCAATTGTCGGCGAATACAGGGGAGACATGGTGGCCGGAGAGCATGCATCTGATTAAGCTAGAGCTTTCACCAAGTAGTTAAAAAGAATAAGTAGCTGAGAGGACTCTTCTTAAGTTTGAACGAATTGTATAGAGCTCCAAATATCCCTACCCTCTACGGAGTGTGAAAATATAACTGCAATAAGCTAATGTCAAGTATGAATTATACTTATGCAATGACGGTCCCTGTGTACTGAGAAACCCTACCTTGGGGGCATCCTGGATGTTGTAATTTATGAATGGAGACAACAGATCACATGACTTCCCGACAAGGGGGTCCTTCCTGATTAGGACAAAACTGGTCGTTCGGGTGTTCCGAGTCACGTGATCGGGTCTTGCTTGTTCCAGACCCAATTTCCATACGGTAAAGTCATGAAGGGTGCTCTTATCTGATGAAATGCTTACATGGATGTGGGGGCGAGAATCCATACACTCGCAGCATAATAACAAGATGCGCTATTATAACAACGCAGACAGATTTTCAGTTTCATCTTCACCCGTTTATAATCACGCACCTTCCAGGCACACGAAATCATTTCAACCCTCAAAAGGTCGTACGACTCACAATCACTTTTGCAGCTTCGTTGCCATGTCTTTCTGGACGAATGATCTCATTGCTTGCTGCCTCAAATTCTTTATACGACCACCAGCGTTCAGGGCCTCGACGAAATAACCACAATAGAATCACTACCATTCGATATCATATCAATAATACTCCATATTCTCGATTACCCCTCTCTCAAATCACTTTGTTGCCTCTCCCAGTGTTTTCGAGCTTGGACGCAACCCCTCCTTTTCAGGAAATTTCAATCAAGTTGTGACTTAGAAAAAACATAGGTCCGACTGCAAGCATTTGGGAATGCTCTCAAAGAACAACCGTCTCTTTATGGGGCGATTCGCATCATCAAAATCGCCAACTTTCCCCACGATATCCGTGACACCGCCCAAATTGCTTGTCTACCCGATTCAACACTCGCTGAAGCTCCAAATATTTGCAATCTTGCCATTCCAGTTCACAAACATACCTTCAAATCACTTCAGAATGCCGTATTCCCATGCCTTCAGACTTTTCAAGGCAGAGATTTTAGCAGCGGCTCAAAAAAAAAAAAGCTATGCCAATTGCGGCCGTTCATGCTTAGTCCAGCGTTATTGTCTATCTGTTTACATGGCCTCTACCAGGACAAGGCTTTCGAGTTACCTGGTAGGCTGAACCTCCGCGCCATCAGCTTTACGGAGAGTCATCTTACCTATGAAGCTATCCACAAACTTTTCGAGAATAGCCCATATTTGCGGTCTTTTCATTACACTGAAGCTGCAATATATAGGTTTCGAAAAGGAACCCACTTCACTCCAGCCCAGATCACCCAGGCTCTTCACTCTTCTAGGTGCAGCCTTGAAAGACTCATGTTAAGCATTCCTTGTGATAACGATTATGATTTTTTTGATGATGATACTGTTGCTTCTTGGGAGTCTGATGAGTGTATTGACACCAAGGATGTTGACACTGATCAGTACCTTGCTCCACTCACAGGCTTATCCTCTGATCAATATCTTGGCCCACTGACAAGCTTCTCCTCTTTAAGATATCTGTATGTGGACCAAAATCTTCTATCTCGTCTTTGCCCGATTGCCTAGAAGAGTTGATTCTTCGTTTGCGAGAGCCTCTCAGGGTGGATCTTCTTAGCCACTTGGCTCGCGCCAGTCATAAATTACTGTTGCTGAAATCAATTTTTTTTTTTCAGTATTGAAGATGATTGTATCGGTGAGCGAGATTGTCGTTTTATCTATTCATCGTGTGATATTGATTTCGAGACCGTTGGGGCTATTACATCTTGGTGCTTCATTGAACTGGTTTTCCCGATGTTAAAATAACTTTCCGCTGCGGTGAACGCTGGATTGCCACTCGCCCGTTATCCGCAGGCGTTCTGGCTGGGGAAGTTGAAATTTATACCCATTCGGCATCACCTTGGGTAAAGGGGCCGCTTCAGCGGGATGTGGGGCATCAAGATAGGAATGATCTTCAAGATCAGCTCTACACAGCATCTGTCGAGGATGAGAAAGCTTTGGCGAGCCAATCGACCGGAAGTAGATGGAACGCGATCGATGCCAGACAAATTGCAGAGGAGACAAGCTCCCATTTTCTATACCCAGCCCAGCGCTCTGCTCCATTATTAGCTTTTTTGTTTGTCGGCGTGTTGGTATACCGCACGAGCTTAGCATCTCTCTGCGGCTTATTGTTCAAGAAATTATCTTGATTATAGATATATTTACAGTGTACTATCTGTCCCCAAATGGGTGGCTTTCAGACTGGCGGTGCTCCGCACAGGATGCAAACTTTCGTCTCGCTGGGGAGATCCGGTGGGCGTTTGAAATCCGGTTGGATAAAAGTACACCCGGCTGCAGCGCATGAGTAACTCAATTTCTATGGAGCTGGTTGCTCGTTAGCTCGGATCCAGGTGCGGGGACATCAACTTCGAAGGAGGAACTGGATCCCTCGCAGTAGTTTCACAGTTTCACAGTTGACAGCTAAGTTATATTCAACGAAACAGAATCGATATCGCTCCTTTTTATCGCTAAAATCAACGCCTTTTCTCCTGCTTGTCGTCGAGCAAGCGAATAATCATCCTTCCCCTGCCAGATGTCTTGGCTTCAAGTGCGGAGATCCTCCGAAGGCTCGAACCTTCCGCTCTCCATGCCAAGCGCATCAACCAGAGAACACGCTTGAAGGCAACCCGAGAATAAGCCGTACATCAACAAAACTCAAAGACAATAATATCCCGCATGATACTGTCTCAGCTTGGCAATATCGTGTTATCATGGTTCCAAGACACCGGGCACATCTGGCACGCAGCCACAAAAGAACGCAAAGTTAATCAAGTAGGGGACCAAGCCAGAGATATAGCCTGTTGGCGGAGATTACTTCCCCATTCACGGACACGTCCTGTCCGTATGCCGCTTCATTCGAACTGGCTGCAGCCAAGCACGGATTGCGAGGCTGTGCACTCTTGGAAACTGGAGATCGACCAGTCCTCGGCCATACAGATTTCAAAAGCTCTTGGTTTTCTTGTCTTTCAACCTTCGACTCGGGGTTTCTCCTCCTTCTTGGAGACCTATTTCACCTGACATCGCATCGGAATCCTGACTCGTCGTACTTGCTAGATTCTGGGCATGGCAAGACTGGCCCGTACATGCCGTTCATTGGGTCTCCGTTGTCTGGTTTAGCTCTTGAGTTAAAACTCAGGTAAGCTGATATAACGGGACCCACGTTGGCAGGATGCGGGGTGACATATCCGGGGTAAGCCAGCTTTCCACGCGATATGCTGTGAAACTACCAGATCCACCACAGAGGCGAAATCATATAAAACCACCTGCCAGGTCGGACAAGATGAAGGAACAATTCAAGTTGAAGTCGCACTACATCCTACTGTCAGTCTCCCTCTGCAAACAATCTCGGTGCCATGACTGGAAACAAGATCTCCCCGGAGATTGATGACGAAAAGCCCGGTGTCTTGCATCGTGAAGACACCATCGACCAAGAGAAGCAGAAGCAGCTGAAGGATGTCGACTACTCTGGCGCGACCAAAAAGACCGATCCTGCTGAGATTCGTTTGGTCCGCAAGCTCGATTTGTGGATTATGCCTACTTTATGGCTGATGTACTGGCTGAACTACCTCGATCGTAATGCCATCGCTCTGGCACGGTTGAATGACCTTGAGGAAGATCTGAACCTCTCCTCATCCCAGTACCAGACCTGTGTTTCCATTCTCTTTGTCGGTTATATCGCTGGGCAGGTTCCTAGCAGTGAGTCTATCTGTCTCTAAACGCCTGACACTGTCTAACCACTAACTTTGTAATAGACATGTTGATCACGCGACTACGGCCTTCATACTACATGGCTGGTGCCATGGCCGCATGGGCTGTTGTTAGTGCGTTGACTGCGTTGGCTAAGGACTTCACCGGCCTTCTGCTAGTTCGCTTCTTCCTCGGTGTCACAGAAACACCATACTACCCCGGTGCCCTCTACATGCTCTCGATCTTCTACACACGCAAGGAGATCGCGACCCGCATTTCCATCCTCTACACCGGCAACATTCTCGCTACAGCTTTCGCCGGCCTTATTGCTGCCGGTATCTTCCACGGCATGGATGACCTCGCTGGCATCACCGGCTGGCAGTGGCTCTTCATTCTCCAGGGTGCCGTAACCTTCGTCGTAGCCATCTGCTCCGCCTTCGTGCTACCAGACGACCCTCTCCACACCCGCTGGCTCACCGAAGACGAACGGCAGCTCGCCCACGAGCGCATCGTCGCTGACACCGTCGGAGCCCGCCACCAAACCAGCACATTTAGCGGTGTCAAAGAAGCCGCAAAGGATCCCCGAGTCTGGCTCTTCGCTTTCATGCAGCACATGCATCTCGCAGCCAACGGCTTCAAGAACTTCTTCCCAACAGCTGTCGAAACCCTCGGCTTCAACACTACAATTACTCTAGTCCTCACATGCCCGCCTTATCTCATCGCCGGTATCATCTCTATATACTGGTCCTGGAATTCTGGCCGCATGAATGAGCGAACATGGCATATCACCTTTGCGAAGGCGGTTGCGATCTTCGGGTTCGTCCTTGGATGTGCGACTCTGAATACCGGTGCGAGGTATTTTGCCATGTGTGTCTTTGCGATTGGTACTTATGCTGGTATGTTACACTGATGGCTACTTTCTTTCTTTGTCTCTGGTTACTGATTTGCCGGAATAGTCAACTCAATCATCCTCGGTTGGGTCTCGAGTACCTGCGGTCAAACGAAGGAGAAGAAAGCTTCAGCTCTGGCTATCGTCAACACCTGTGCTAATATCTCGTTTATCTGGACTCCGGTATGTCTCCCTTTTCCTTCTCTTTTCATCCTTCGGAAAAGAGAGTTGGTCCTAACTGTGAGCAGTACCTCTGGCCATCCTCCGACGAACCACGCTACACAATCGCCATGTCATCCAGCGCCGCATTCTCGACTACCTGCGCGGCTTGTGCCTGGGCTATGAGGATCTGGCTGCAGCGCGCGAACCGCAAGATCCGCCAGAATAATGATGAGTCAGTTCTTTATTATGCTTACTAGGTTAAACCTGTGAGGTAGCTCTACTTGAACAAGTTTATTACATCTCATCATATCATTCATTTTCACCGACGGATGGACGGACAGACAGATGATGAAGGGTAGCTAGGGGTTGGATAAAGCTGAGGTTGAGGATTGGCTTTGGATGGTAGAAGATATGGCTTCATCAGAGGACGGACTAGAATTCCTATCAACGTGCGTAAATATCTCGGGAATTGTTACGGACACTACAGGATTTACTCGCGGCACTACACATTATGTAATCTTCGCATCACATGATCAATTTCGCCAAGCATCCTTACCATACATTACCACGGCAACTGCATTACTTACTACTGTAGCAACTACATTCTATCTATTACTACTATAAGAACACGTTATCTTCGAATTATCTAGTTCTTATAACCCTCTGCACTCGGTGCTCGTTCCGCTGCACGTGACCTGGGATCCAACCAAGCCAATGAGAGAGAGGCTTGGCGGAGAGGAGGGTGTGCGTTTCTCGCTGTGGTTTTGCTGTGACAACGTCGGCGTCGCGCATCCGTGGGGTTAGTAAACCCTTCCACTCCGTTCCTCCGTTTCAGGGCATTCACACACACACTCCTGTATCGTGATGCTCTGCATAAAGCAATCACTGAATCTCTCGGATTCATTCTGCGCCTACAAGTCAAACTCTACAGCCTTTTCGCTCCACAGCAACAAAGACATGAATTCTCGTTGATCAAAAAACATAGATTGATTCAGTCTATCAACTACTAGCAGCAAGCAACACCACATATTCCCTTCCGCCTTCTTCCTCGTGACTATGAAGCAGTTGGAAGCTCATATTGCCACTGAGGCACCCCTGCCCATAGCGTGAAAGAGTTGGTATCCATCTGGTAATACTCCTCTGGCCAGAAGCTCTCGAATGTAGACTCGACGCACCCACCCTTTGTTGCATGGCCTTGAAAGCGATCATCTATCCACTGCAGCCAAGTCTGCTTCCCCGCACTGATCGCAGAGAAATGGCCTGCGCCTGGAACCGTCACGAATTCAAGGTTATTGGGGAACTTCTTGCATGTCTCTTTCACGGTAGCATCGGTCGTGTTGTATTGTACCACTGGGTCTGCCGTTCCGTGAAATATAAGGAGCGGTCCTCTGAAGGTCATGTTTCCGGGATTCGCCAGGTCTTCGAAAGCTTCGACGGACCAGTTTTCTCTCCAGTCGAGACGCTTGACTGCCTCGTCCTGTGCGAATAGATAAGTTGTGACCATTTGAGAACCCTCCAGCTGGTTCAAGAGCTCTGTTCTTTTGACACCCAGTGGAGTGAGCCATTCGCTGAGGCGGAACGATGGAAAGATGTTGTCGAGGTCTTTGCCGATCCAAGATAACAGGTATCCCGGAGGTTGTGTAATGATATTTGTTGGTGGAGCGACTAGTATCGCGCCTAGGTAGTTCTTTGCGACGTCATCGAATTCGCTCTTTTCTTTGGCCAGGATTTCGGACAATCTCCAACCAACAGCACCCCCTGGCTGTGGCCCATGACAACATATTTAGCTGAAAGTTGCTCTGGAAAGGATTCCTGGGCAGCTCGCAAGGAATTCAAAGCATCCTGAGCCCCAGCTTTGCTAACAAAGTACTGATGCGGGATATGAGTCCCATCCCAAGAGGTATCCACTCCTAGGCCAGCATAGTCTGGGGCAACAACAGCGTACCCGGCTTCAGCCAGCGCGAAAGGAACGAAATTTTCGTAAAAGAGCGATCGATGAGTTGATGGTGCTCCATTAGCATAGAAACCTGAAGTTCCATGCGTCCATAATACAACAGGCACAGTTGAAGCAGAGGCATTTTCTCCGTTCTTCAACTTCTTTGCTTGGTATGGCCAGAGTATATACGCGGACGCTGGGATCATCGTGCCATTGGCGTTGGTTGTGCTATAAACGAAGCGTGACATTGCTGTCTTCGGTGGGAGAGCGAACGGCGTCAGATCAGTGAAATTCTGTAGCTTGATTGTCTTGCCGGGCTTCGTAGGCCATTGGTCCTTTGGTACATCGCGGACGTTGTAAAAGTCGTCCTCGTGTGCCCCGCCGTTGGCGAGGAGAGACCGATCGAAATTGATGATGGTATTGAGTGCTTTGCCATCTTTCGCTGTCAAGTTGCCCAATTCGAGCTGGGCGGGACTTAGCTCGAAGCTGGAGTTCCATCCGGTCGAATGTATTACGGGAGCTGCAATGCGGACTTGACTTGTGGCGAACTCCGCTCCGAGGATCAGGAGAATGAGAAGCGAGGCCATCTTTGATGCTGAAATTCAAAATAAACACTGGCAATCTGGTCTTCTCGAGATCGTTGGAAATTTTCCGAATGTCTATCCTGGTCGCGTCTCCATACCAGTGGTTTTATACTTTGCCTGGTACCCGGTCACCATGCCGGGACAGAAGACAAGATCCCAATTTATAGTCATCTTCCCCTGAATGAGTATGTTAGAAGAATTCTTGTGCTGGTTCAACGTTAGCAGGTCTTGCACAGAGTGAAGCGTACCGCAAGTTGTCGGGAAGGTGGCACAGCCTCGGATGTGGGATGTGGGGATACGCCCGTCGTATTCTGGAATACGCTCGCACCAGCCACTCACACGCCGTCCTCGTCCCTGCGGTCTCCACTTTTGGCTGACACGCATTTTAACTCAAAAGGCTACTCTTCCTTGAGGAAAGAGAACGACTACTAGGACTACTAGGCACCCTAATAATTGGCTCGCTGTGAACGCCTGACAAATTCCCCGGGATCGTCGTCTGCAACAATTTCCTCCCCCATTTCCACTCTCGACTTCAACGCTTCTGGGGACTCTTAGCAGCTGCGCCTCTGAACCGTGGCTTTTAGCAGCTGATCTGCGGTGTTCCACTGGCGCGGAGTTCCCCAGCATACCTGTCATGCCAACCTTGAAGTTGTTCGGGTCTGATTCTTGGCGGGGCTGAGGATGATGGTGGAGTTGAGCGTATTCGCAGGACATAGTCGTTTTGCTCGAGTGCATCTATGGATATTCCAAATTTCAGGGACCGTTATACTTTATATAAGGGCCCTCGCTCGAAGGCAGTTGAGCCCCGTCATTCATCATCAGGACAGAAATCACCAGCTCAATCGCATCTCCCACATTTCCCCACGGCTTTTAACACCAATCCATCATGCTTCTCGAGTCCACCCTCAGCTCTGCGCTTGCAGTCATTCTGACTCTTGCCCTCCCGGCGACGGCAGCAGCGCGGCCTTCGCCCGAGCGCGCAACGCCTAAACTCAGCCTGACGGCCCAGTTGCGGCTTGCAGACACGTGAGTCTCGACACAACCCAACTGGCAATTTCACCAATATAACCAACTCTCTTCAGTGCGGTTGATCGCTATAAGCTCCTCCCAAACGATGAGGACTTTATCTATGATTTCAACAAGAGCGCCTCCCCATTCGCCAACGCCCAGACGTTCCCAGCTTTAGTCGGTTCTGGTACCTCCTTGAGCGTCTCCGCACTGCCCGGTATCTCTCCAAGGACAAACTCACAAAATCCTTTTGGATGAATACTGATTCTTTCCACAGGTTGCGGCATGAGCTTCCTTCACCTCCACCCTCGCGCCACCGAACTCTTCGCCCTCACATCCGGCCGCGTCCACACCGAGATGGTCCCCGAGGGAAGCGTCCTCGATTCTGAAGGCAAACAACGAGTCATAAAGACCGATCTTACCCCCGGAATGATGACGATTTTCCCCGCCGGCTCGTTCCACACGCAGGTGAATCCCGATTGTGAACCTGCCGCCTTTGCGGCTGCCTTGACCTCCGAGGACTTTGGCTTTTCCTTCGTCGCAAACCAGACATATGCCTTGAGTGATGATGTGATTGCGGCGACTTTTGGCAAGAGCGTTGCGGGTGAAGATATTGATACCGTTAGGAATTCAATTCCCGGTGGCTTGCTTATTATGGTTGAGGAGTGTTTGAGCAAGTGTGGAAAGGAGAAGCGTCGGGTCTGAGTTGACTGCTTGTCATTTGCGGCTAGCACGTGAGGAATGCCCTGGTTTTTACGTTGTTCTTACATTTCATTTTAAATTTATTGGGTTGCCTTGGCAGTGGTCTTTTGATGTATATGTGGTCATGGAAAGCTGAGGATCGGGAATTATAGACAGAGAGATCGTTTGTTAGTAGATATTTCATCGAGTTCAGCCCCAAGTACTTGAAAATGCGCATTTCTGGCCATATTGATCGACCCGGCATGAAAAAGGACGACGACCTGCACAGGGCTTTGAGAGGAGTTGAGCGCGAGCGCGAGGTGGGCTACTTCTCTCGTGGGATGTTTTAGATGCCGGGGCACAATGCACGCCCTGTTTCGGTTGACGAGATCTCGGCGACTTTGGATGATGGAATCCTCATCGTCACTTTGCCGGCCCGACGACTCTGACTCGAAGGAGATTCCTGTCGAAAATTTCAATGCAGTTGATTGGCAGTCCATGGTTGAGATCGAGGACATTGATATGCCGGGGCTGGTTCCCTCCTCTTACAGTTTAGGCGATGAAGGGGATTGGAAGGTGGATCACCAGGAGGAGGGTGACTGGAAGAAGGGTAATTGTGAAGATGCTTATGACGAGGACCTATACAACGAGGAGGCTTGCAATGAGATAAACAACGAGTATTACGAGACGGATGAGTTTGTCAAAATCCCTGCGTCGTGAACATGGGTAGATCTTTAAAGGGGGATAGTAGGGTATCCCAGGGAGTTGGGGTTTGAATGTTTTGGCATTCGGGGCTGGATATTCAAAGTTGGATTTGAACTATGGGATTTGAAGAGATTCAAAAACCTTCACTATTTTGAATGTAACACAGTTAGAGCCCCTTTTTGCCAGACTCGTAAAGTAGTGATAGTTCAAGATATTGTATGGGTATCAAGTAGCAAGCCAACGCCTCTAGGATTCATTCAGTATGCATATTTCAAGCAAACAGGCCGCAAAATTCCGTAAAATATCGATAATATCCAGATTTCTCTTGGACTGACGTTTCACCTGGTCAATTGTGAATAGCGATCACGCCCCAGAAACCCACCGTCTCGGCCAAACCAACCACTCCCGAAACCCTGGGTGCAAATGCTTCTCAATATCCGCCAACACCTGCCGCCCAATACCATCAATATACCAAAACTTATCAACAAGCTGCATCAGCACGCAGTAATGCGCCAAAATCACCAAAGCAACGGGTTGATATGTCTTGAGGTCATCGTGGAAATGCTTGGAAAGCGGGTAGGCCCACATGAACACCATTCCCGTTTCTAAATGGGGTCCGGCGAGCTCGATCTGGCGGGTTGATATTTCGAAGAAGGTCATCGCTACTTTGTAGTTTTTTCGAGGGTCTAAATCTTCTTCGGTGGTTGGTGAGTCGGCGGGTGGATGGGGTTGCGGGAATGGGTATTCATCGACTAGTTGGTGGAGTCGTGATATTTGGTCCCATGTACCTGGTGGTAGTAATGATTGTGATACAAGGGCCGGGCTATTGTTTGATTATGTTGTCAGTCGGATCATTCAGATTCGAGGAGATGGATGAAGGGAATGGAGGAGCTCACCTCGGAATGAGTTTGTCATCCTCCAAAATGATGGAATTCACAAGAGGCGCCAGCTGGGTCTTCTGTAGTGATCGCAGGAACGGGCGCAAGATCTCTTGAAACCCTTTCACGCTCGCAAATAGCTCGACCATGTTGTAAATTGGATCAGGCCAACAATCAACACCCAGTCGGACTGGTACCATGGAAAGATGTACCGAGATCATCGAGGCGAAACAAAACACTGGTTGCCAGTTACTGGAGTCAATCGGGGCAGCAACGAGCTCACGGAACTCCTTCAGCCCTACGGCTAGATGGTGGGCCGCAGCTTTGGAATATTTCGTCTTCTGAGCAGAGTATAGATAGGCTTTGTGCAAGGCGGCAATAGCCAAAAGGCCATGCATCACATATTTGTTCACGTATCCCTCCATGGGGATGACCACACGCCAAACATGCCTCGCATCTTCACGCCAGGACATCGTGTTGGATGTCACCGAGCAAAAGTGATGCATTAACTCGAGGTCGAGGCTCCAGTCCTCCGCATTCTGGACGACATGGCCGGGTTTGCCAGGCAAGGCCTCAAGGAGATCCCAGCGATCTTCGGAATCAAGCCCGATATCTGTCGTCGTAATTCCCCAGGGGAAATTGCCTCTTGGCGTCGAGATACTTCCAGTGGTCATTTCCTGCGACGGACGGTAGACATGCGATTGATACTGCGGCTGCGACTGAGGGATCGGCGAGGCACTCGAGGTCGGTGTCCCGGTTCCTCTAACCGGGCCAACATAGCTGCATTGGATTGCATGTTTGACGCAATTGGTACATGGAAAACGTTCATCGCACTAAAAGAGACGTGTTAGATCGCGAAACGGCGGAAGCAAGCGGAATGCCGAGAAATACAAACCTTTAAGCGCCGCGACTTGCATTCGGGACAGCCATTCCGGGACTTGCGGTGCGACCTTCGCGGTCCCATGCTAGAATCTTATTGATAGCAAGCGTCGCTTGCGCGTGGAGGTCGGTCGAGTCCGGGGGACAAGGAGGAGATAAATGAACTCGAGTTCGGATACGACTGCGGATACGGACTCGAATGCGAGACCCACCGAGGAATACCCACTCCACGTTCAACAGGCTCGATCCAGTCATGGAAGCAGACAAGAAAGAAAATTTGTGCACAGCCGGAGAATTTCTATTTTGAGGATGTGATTCACAAGGAACTTCCTAACCTCTTCTGTTCTTCTGTCTGAAATGAGAAAGGTGTCCGAAGTCTCATAGAAATAAAGTCGTCGCCTTGCCAGGTGGATCCCAATCGAGATGGGACTTGGCCCGCTTAGGGTGGCTGTACGGTGTACGCCGTACTCTGCAATGGTTCATGGTGGCCATAAAACCCCGAACTCCCCCATGTTCCTAGGTGGGCAGTCCGTGGGAAAGAAGCAATAATGTTCGACCCTAATAATTTCTACGGCTACGTGCCCACTCTGGCTGGTGGCATCATCTTCACTCTTCTTTTCATCGCCACAACCGCCTATCACGCATTTCAACTGTCAAAAGCACGATGCTGGTATTTTATTCCCTTCGTGCTGGGAGGTATCTGTAAGCTTATCTTCAATGCAATAACATTCAGCTATCATTGGTGTGGTGTACTAACAATTTTGCTTCAGTTCAAATCATCGGATACATCTGCCGTCTCGTTGCCCGTAACCACCTCAACTCCGTCACTCTGTACGCCCTCCAATCCGTCCTCATCCTCCTCGCACCCCCTCTCTACGCCGCCTCCATCTACATGGTCCTGGGCCGCCTAATCACCTACCTCCACGCCGAATCCCTCAGTCTCGTCCGCGTAAACTGGATGACAAAGATCTTCGTCGCGGGCGACGTATTCTCATTCCTAATGCAATCCGCCGGCGGAGGGATGATGGCCACCGACGCGCGTGACACCGGCTCTAACATCGTCATCGGCGGCCTGGTCATTCAGCTGCTTTTCTTCGGTTTCTTCGTCGTCACCGCCGCCGTCTTCCATATTCGCATTACCAAGCAGCCCACCTCCAAGTCGCAGTCTGAGAAGGATCTGACTAGTGGACAGGGCTGGAAGCAGCGCAATTGGGTGACTATTCTGCTTGCGTTGTATGTTGTCAGTGCGCTGATCCTTATTCGGTCTATCTTCCGCTTGATTGAGTACAAGGGTGGGTTTGATGGGTATCTGATGACGCATGAGGTGTACATGTACATCTTCGATGCCTTTTTGATGTTCATTGCCATGGTGGCTATGAATGTTTACCACCCAGCTGTGATCTTGGGCGATGGGAAAGCTGGGAGAGCCCTGGCGTCGGCGTATTCGGAGGAAGTACCCATGTCAGCCGCGTGAACACACTGCATTGAGAACGTTGTTATAAATTCAGGTTATTATGAATTAGCTCATCAGATTTGCATATAGATATCCACGTTAGCAAAATTTCATTATATTTGACTCATTATCATACTTTAAATGGTACTTTTATTCCAAAATTTGACAAACATGACAATAAAAGACAAATCATATCTCATCTCATCATGAATAAGGTCGATAATCCGCACTCCTCCTAACGTCATAACTTGTCCTTATATTCCCATTCGCCAGTCCAGAATAAATCTCCGGCCGTCTCGAGGTACCAGTGCCCCTCGTAGAAACCGGCAATAAGCTATGTCCGTAATCCATTTCACCGCTCCGACGCGTCCGGGCGAGGCTGAGGATCTTCTCAATTTCCAGTGCCTGCAGCTGCCCGTCTCCGCGGTCGGTCGGGTGAGTCTGCTGCTGTCGACGGGACAGCCAATGTCGACTGTGTTGGGTGCCCATGCGGAAAAAGTCGCCGATGTCATCGACTGAAAGAGCGACGAGGATTAAGGGAATGGATATTGCGAAGCCCACACCGAATGTGTACTTTGACACGTATGCGAGGTTCAAATTGTCGAATTCTTTCATGTTGATGGTGAAGATTGAGGTGATAAATGAGAGGGGGAGGAAAATAATGGTGACAATAGTAAAGACCATGATCGTTTTGCTCTGACGGGTTGTGCCGGCAGCCTGGTCGCGAGCGAAGCGGGCTTCGAAGGCGTTGGCGTGTTTCTGTTTCAGATCCAGCAGGTCTGTGATGGAGTGGTAGATGCGTTCCGCTTGTTTGTCCATCCGATCGATATCTTTGAGATGCATGTCGATCATGCGCTGCTGATCTTTGAACCGCTTCTTGACTTCATACTGCGAGCGATGCTGCCCGTGGTAGATTTCACAGATCACTTCCTGGAAGTCTGCCAGGACATGTTTCTGATGTTCTAGGACCGTCCGGATCATGTTGAGCTCGTCGCGGATATCTTTAGTCTCGGCGAGCAGATCGGTCTCCTCGCCAATGTCGAGTAGTCGATCGACGAAGAGCGGTTGACCATCGTCGCAGTAATCTTCGATGTTACTGCAGGAGTTGTCGTCCTCCTTATTCCCATCGGCCGATTTCTGGGAGAAGGGATTCAGCTTGCGGTGGCTTTTCAGCCAGTCGGATGCTTGTGCTGAGGCATGATTGAAGCGGTTGAAGAGGAGTGTCTCTCGATCAGTGGCTATACCGATCGAGGACTCAAACATGTCCAGGAATTGATACTCGTCGTCGCCGAGGCGATGACGATCAAAAACACCGGAGCATCTGTTCGTGATAATGATTGCAAGGTCATACACCGACTTTACCGGATCACGGGTTTTGGAGTTAATGTCCTCGATGATGCCATCCAGAACATTCAGTGGGTCATTCTTCGGCTGTTCCCAGCGTTGAGGAAAGCTGGTGACAATAAGATTGGTTCCCAGAACCCACATCCACAACTGGTCAACCATAAAAATCTTGGGATCGGTTCCTGGACCTTCACGTCCAGGGCCCTTCGTTTGGTACCGGTACACGACCTGGTCCTGATCACGGCTGTGGGTATCGATGTTTGGATAGAAGAACTGATCCAGTGTCCGACGGACATGGAGGGAAGTTGTCGATGACGAGAGATGCGCATCGATCAGCATTTCGTCTCGAGTGCGAGTTCTTTTCATCGCACGTGGCTGGAGGTTCAGTAGTTCAGCGCGCTGAATGGCTTCCTGCATCCTTAGTCGTCGCTCTGCAGTCTCGAAATGCAGATACGGCATAAACACGCAGACATTGCATGCGGAGACCAGCCCATGATGATCCTTACACAGTGTCGACGCGGAGAGAGATGACCGTGCTTGCTTCTCGCTCATTCCCCATGGCGACTTGCTTTTTGACTCCATCTTGGGAGTACTGGGGTTACTGCCCGATTTGCCTCCCTTGCTCTTCTTGCCCTTCTTGCCGGTAGTCTCTGAGTCTTGGGAATAATGAGAATCGACCCGGTCCAGCTTCCCACCCGGTCCCCTCTGCTTGCGATTGATGACAGAGCTGTTATCCGCAATGCTGGAATGTCCAGCATCCGAATGCTGTTCTTCTTGTTTCTCTTCTTCTCTCCTTCGGAATATCGTTCGGGGTGTATGCTGACACAACGGCCGCATGAAATGTGAATGAATCTTCTGGCCTCGATGCTGGTAGTTTAAGGATTTCTCCAGGCCCTTGAAACCATCCACATCATGCGCCCCCTCCTCAATGAAACTTTTGGTCAGCAGGGCTTCGACCCAGGCCATATTGTTTGCTGGCAGGTGAATCCAGCGGAACTCAGTCGCACGACTATCAACTGGAACGGTCGTCACGGCTTGCTTGCGAGGGTTCTCAGCATCACGGCCATAGAGAAGATCATATACCGACATCCGCTTCACACGGTTCTCGTTGTGGAAGTTCCCAAAGTCAACCACTGTCGCGTCAAACGCCGCACTAGCATCTCGCACATCCTCTGAAAGTGACTCAACGTTATTGAACGGGGCCAGGAGAAGAACGATATCCTTCCGCTTGAACTGCGCCGCGCGCAGGAAGGGAGTGCTTCCAAAGTTATCGCGAACGCGCCGTTTCAAGTCTGGTCTCTCCAAAAGGCACTCCACGACTTCACGGTGACCTCCCTGGGCCGCCAGATGCAGTGGTGTCACACCGTTCAGAAGCTGGCTATTGATGTGAGCTCCGGCGCGCAAGAGAATCCGAACAATCTCCTCACATCCCTTGTCGCAGGCATTATGCAGAGGAGTCCAATTGCCATCACTACAAGCATTAACCGCTGCCTCATGCTGCAACAGCAACTGTACAATATCGGCGCGATCATGCGCCGCGGCGATATGCAACGCAGTCTTCCCCCGCAACTCGGTGGCATCAATCTGAGCTGGCGGTCCATCAGGCCTGGTTAGTAGCAACTCTGCCAGACGCCAATTGCCCGTCGCACACGCCCAATGTAAAGGCGTACGACCCAGCTCATCCCGACCCTCCACGCCATCAATCTGGCAATCGGTCCGCAGCAGCAGGGAAACAATCTCTTCTGTCCACCCCCACTGACGGTGTTTATCCGCCGCCAGATTATGCATTGCATTGCGCTTGCGATGATCGCGTGCATTCACATTCGCCCCACGAATAATTAACAACTGCAGGATATCGGCATGATTCCTCCACGCAGCCGTCATCAGCGCTGTCCGGCCCTCTTTATCGGTACTATCGGGCGACGCGCCGTGATCGAGGAGCAATCGCACAATCTGGTAATGGTCGCGCTCGACGGCGCGGAGCAGAGGTGAAAGGCGATTTCCCGTGACGTCCGTTTTGGCGCCCGCTTTCAGGAGGAATTCCGTTGCAGCGACGCTGCCTCGTTCAGCGCTGCGCATAACGCCCACGCGCAGGAAATTGTCGCCGAATTGTCCATATTCTTTCGCGAGTGTCAGGATCTTCTGTAGCGAGTCGATGTCGTCGTGTTCCGCGGCCCGCAGCAGACGCGGCTCCAGCCTTTCATGGCCGTCGCTCGTCATGCTCGAGGACCGAGGCATTGTAGGAGGTAAATCGAGATTTCGGGCTCGGTGGGTTTGAGGTGCACGTTAGTCCATTGCTTGTTTGTCCATTGCTTGTTTTGTGCTGAATGCTTGGTAATTTTTTTTTTTTTTTTTGGTCTTCGTCTTTGCCCTCGGAGCCCCCCGTAAGCACGGTGCGGGAAGTGGGCAGTGCAAAGGTTAAGATTTGGACGGAGACTAGAATATGAATGGAGCCACTTCGATGCGGGCTTCCATTAGATAGGAAAAGATCTGCAGCGAGCCTGGTCTATTCTTTCCGATGCTGGTCTGCTCCCTCAGGGTGGAATGGGAAGGCCCCATTGGAGAGCAGGGCGCGATGGCGGCTCAGCCTCGTATCGCCTCTTTTTTTTTTTTTTTTTTTGAGGGGGCGAATGTGCCGAGGAGGCCAAGATGATCGGTCTGCCGATCCCTGCATGGTCCCAGACATCGTATTCGAGTGAGAAAGACGTCAAATTGGACTGTCATGGTGGAGTGGCTTGAGATGAAAGGGAGAAAATTGTAGGAAACACTTTGTTGACAATTTGACTACTTGGGAAGAGGGTTCCATGGTTCAGCAGTACATTGGATACCCTTGGGTACACTCAATACACTGAGCACACAGAACCATGGAATTCTCTCTACAATACTTGGAACACCTAAGACAAACGTCAAATTTGAACAGACATACTGCATACACATAGGGATACTCGCATACTCATACACTCCATTATGCAGATATTAAATCTCTATTTTCTATGGGCCTCCGGTGGATGAGAGAAAAAAAAATTTACGAGAAGCAGGGGGAATCCAGCACAAAAAGAGAAAAGAAAAAAGAAAAATGGCCACTGGAAACAAAACAACGCAGTTCCTCCACCTCCGGAGATGCTGATGCTTGAGATGCTGCTAATTATGCTGAACCGGTGCTGTGCTCTCCATGCTCCCCCATGTGAATTAAATGGTTACTTTTGTCCACTTGACTGCCCTATGCATCACGCCGTCCCAACCCAATGAGGTAATCACATAATATGCGCCTATAAACAAAATCAAAAAGAAGAAGAATGAAAGATGGAATTCCGGGAGACCGGCGTAAAGGTCGAGAAACGGGACATCGTGAAGAAGACAGATATTTCGGAAAATTAGAAGATACGCCCCTAGCGCTTCTTCTTGTCCTTGTTAGGGACTTCTCGCAGGATGTCGTCAAAGCTCATGTTGGGGTTGAAGCGACTGATGGGGCGAGCAGGGGGCTCAATGGGCGCAATGCCGGCGGGCAGCGGCAGGGCTTCGAGGCCGGGATAGATGGAATGGCGATGCTCGGCCCGGTTCGCAGCACCCGGGGATCGGGTGCGTGGGATAGCGGGAGGCGGAGGAGTCAGACCACCAGGCGCTCCCATAAGGGAGGGAGGAGGCTGTGGGTCGGACGAGGAACCGGCCGAGGACTGCTGGGCTTGATAAGGAGAGGAGATGGACGACTCGTTCTCTTCGTAGCCAAAAGCATCGTCGACGATGGGTGGCTCGATGAGAGCGCCCGCTTCAGCCCACTGCTCGGCCAATTGCCAGCAGTGACTGCGGCGGTAGACACCTTCTACACCGTTGATCACAACATCCGAGGGAAGACTAACGACACCGGCACCACCAGCAACACCGAACCAGCTGCGGGCGGTCTTGGTGTCGTTCTGGATCCAGGGTGCACCACCACGAGGGGCAATGCACAGGAAGTACTCCACGCCCTGGGTGTAGGTGACATCGGGAACATCGACCGTCAACATGGGCAGAGATTGAATAACACAGTAGAGGAAAATCCACTGGCCACAGCGCATATCAGTCAGATCGTCCACGCTTTTGCCGTTGGCGCAGCGGCGCTCAAACTTCATGAACTCCTCAATAAATTGGGTGCTGCGGATGCTCTCTCGGGTATAAGAGCCCATCAAGACCGCGTTGATATCCGAGTTCTTGAGCTTCTTGCCACGCTGCTTGGCCTCCTTCTTCGCGTCCAGGGGCTTGCGGTGCAAGGGTTGGATGCTGGGCATCTGGGGAATATCGAATGGGATAGGCGGCAGCACGGGCGGTGTGCTGCGGTCGTATTCGCTGAGCACTTGGCGAACGGCACGTACGGTCACATCCTTGGGGTTTGTAGACTTGGAATCGCCACCAGCGCCGGAGGAATCGATCGTGCGAGTGGTGAGGTTTGTGCGGTCAACCAGCATATCGTAGAGATCGCAGAAGTCCTGGTACAGGTCGAGGAGAAGTTGGCGGTTGAGACCACTCTCTTCGAACTCGTTCTTCTTAGAACGGGCCTTGGGCGGCCAGGATCCGTATTTGGTGCGATAGAAGCTCATGGTGAAACGGCGGAACTCGAGGAAAGCGGCCTTCCAGGTTTTGAAGCGCACGATCTTGCTCTCCGCAGAGGTGGTCGAGTTAGCAAAACCAGAGAAGACGGAGGGGAAATCGAAGTCCTCGAGCTTGCTGTAGAGGCCTCGCAGACGCGAGTCCAGATCGATGAAACCACGCTCCAGGCGCTTCTGAGTGATAGGGTGGATAAAGGTGAATTTGGGGCTCCGGAGCTGTTTAATCTCGTCGAGCTTTCCAACGCCGTGAACAAAGCCCTCCACGTAGAGAGGGTAGTACCGCAATCGTTCACCGAGAACGATTGCCTCGATGGTCTTTTCGCGACTCTTGCGGACGTCGGCCAGACGTAGTTCGTCGCAGTAGTTACTAAAGCTTGAGGTCGCCGTTTCACCGAAGTTGGATCCGTCGAGGTTGGTGAACTCGAAGCGGGCGAGAAGAACTGCCACATCCATGAAGATACTGAACAGTGTGGCAGATTTCGGGGTCGCAATAAGCGACTGTCCCAGCAAAAAGGCGAACAGGTTGCGGAAGAGAAGTAGGGTCTCGGTGTCCTCTTGGGAAACGCGGGAAGAAGTGCTCGACACGTCACTGTTCAGCGGGATGGGGAGGTAAAGGTGCAGCTCCGGGACATCATCCGGAGCATCGTCCATGAACGCCATGCGCTGGCTGCCCGAGCTATCGTTGTCATTCTCCGCCAACCGGTCCTGCGGTGTCAGCGGGGGCGATATCGGGTTGCCAAGGGAGAGCGAACGGGTGGGTTGCTCGAGACCAGTGGTTTTGGCGTCATTGCCACGGCAGAGGTGGTTCAAAGACGGAGATTCTGCGAAGATGGTTGAATCGATCTTGAACGACGGCGGGCGGCCGGTGTTCTGAGGGAACAAGTACACGAAAGTATCGCCTTGTTCGTTCCACAACTCCGGGATCTACAGTGGGTTAGACGGTCAGCATCCCCCGTCGAAGGGATTAAGTTCTGATAAACTCTCTTCAAATTGCATGGGGATTGCAAGAACTTACCTGTTCACCTCTTGAGAGCGGACCGAGGTCATAAACGACCTTCTGATCCAGCCCCGCGATCCAGGCTCCTGGCAGCATCGGCGGGGGCACTCGCTTATCCATCGAACTTGCTCGCGACCGCGCGGCCATACCGGGCATCCAGCTGCGGCGTTTTGATGGGGTGCTGGGGCGAGAATCTGGTGCGGATCCGGGGATGGCTAGGCCGGCGGAACTGGTCGGTCGGCTCATCTCGCGACCGCGGCTTCGCGGGCGATCGACGGGCGAACTGGGGGCACTGCTGGCGAGATCATGGTTCACAGAGAGCAGCGAAGGCGGCGGTGGAAGATCGAAGGCTTCTGGAGGTGGGACGGTCCTGGGTTCGGCCGAGGAATACAAGGTGTTTGGGGTCGAGACATGGCGAGTTGGGCGGGAGCTGCTCCGACGGCGTCGATCCTGCGAGAAGTCGTTGGGCGAGTTGATGCCGGGTGATGGTGCAGGAGAGCCCGGGGCGTTCTGTTCCTTGTGGGAGCCCAGGGAGAAAAGAGAGGAGATGCGCTTCGCCGATTTAACGGGAGCCGACAACATCATTCCAGATGTTTAGGGGGGCGGAGGGAGGTGGGATGGTTGGATGGATAGAGAGAAAAGGAAGTGATTGAAGGTCACGGATGGGAGAAAGTACCGCGACGCATGGAAGGAGGGATTCTTCGAGGGAGTAGTTTTGCCAGGGGAGTCGCGGGAATGGATCGGCAGGAGGGAAGAATGGGAGGAGGGAATGAGGCAGTCTGACGGAAGATCCGGCGGAGAGCGATGGCGGGATCAGGGGGGCCGTTACTTCAGTCTTTGCACAAATTGTCCCCTCAGGTTTGCAAAGGGTTGGAAGTGTTTCAGGAGGAGATAGAGTTGGGTTGGCAATTGCCATATAAGATGCGACCGAGATTTTTTTTTTTTTTTCACTCCTGGCGCATTGGTGCTAGTCTGCGTACAAGAAGCTCGGAGCCTGACCTTCGATCCGGTTCCTTCGCATGCCAATAATAGCTCAGGTTCCCTGGCTGTGCATGTCTCGGTGGGACCCAGTTAAACCGGATCCTTTCGCCCCTCCGAACAGCGATTCTCAGTTGGTTACTTCTACCAACAGTTCAAGAGGCATATAATATTACTGTATTCTAATATATTCAGCGTTGATTCTTGGCTCGCTCGGGCGTTCGGTTCAGCTGGGGGCTATGGTATGCAGGCGTCAAAAAGGGAACCGGCGGATTGGCCTCCATAGTTCTCCCAGACGACTACTGAAATAGTACATCAGGTACTGCTCTGGCGGTCGCAGCTGTCGGCTTGACACATCAAAAATTCCCCAATCCGCCTGCCTCGCCGCCCGTCCGCCCAGGGGTTGCTAGGCTCCCACACTCCAATAGAGGTGCTGCAATATGCCACGCTTGCGACCGGGAGATTCCCGAGTGAACGAGACAGTTTGGGTCAATCTCTTGGCGATCATGCATGCATTGTATGTACGCGACTATGGGCAACATGTAGAAGTGGCTCGGAAGGCACCTCAGGTAAGTACACTACTGCTTACACACATAACAGGTATTAAGGTACAACACATTAATCCGAAGAATCCAGGTGAATGGGGGACTGGCAAGTACGGAGATTAGCCAACCCCTTAGCAACATTGTTAATAATGCATACATTTCAAAATTTATCCCAGGATCTGACCGTTGCTACCATGGGTACTATCTCCGTATGAATCTGCCCCTCATCCCCTCTGTGTTGTGGTTCCTGTGCCTGTTCGCTCTTGCTGGTTCGGCTCTCGCTTCCACACTTTGCCCGATCTCGGATCCGCCATTCAGACCACTTGTCCCAAACTGACGTTATCCCATCATCTCCTTGGACTCCATCTGCTCCATCCACGTACATACTTGCATCCTCACCATGACTGTGCCCACCGAACCCGTTGATCTGCTTACCGGCTGGCCCAACCCCGCGCTGCTCCCCGCCCCCGATCTGCTCCGCTCCGCCACGACGGTGCTGACCACACCCGCCATCGCCAATCCCGGCTTGCTGTATGGGCCCGATGAGGGTTATGAGCCTCTTCGTGTCCACGTCGCCAAGTGGTTGGGCGCTTTTTATCGCCCCCACCACTCGATTACGCCTCGCCGCATCTGCATCACCGGCGGGGCCAGCCAGAGCCTCGCTGGCATCCTTCAGGTCTTCACCGACCCCGTCTATACACGCAACATTTTCCAGGTCGACCCAACCTACCACCTGGCCGGCCGCATGTTCGACGATGCCGGCTTTGCCAGCAAGGTCCGCCGCGTCCCCGAGGACGACCAAGGCATCGATTTAGATTATCTGGAGAACGCGCTGCGGGCCGCCGAAGAAAAGGCCGTGGCCGAAAACAATACGGAACCGGTACTATCCGAATTTGATGAAATTTGATGACAGATGCACCTCCGCCATGCAGACTGCCGGATGATTCACCCTTGGCAAAAACGTCCGACTAACTCGTGCTGGCTCACCTACTTAGAAAATCAAGCCTCCGCGGCCTTGGCGAAAGATCTACAAGTATCTCATCTATGCCGTCCCCACCTTCTCCAACCCGGCCACCAAGATCATGTCCCTGGACCACCGCGAGCGCCTCGTTCGACTCGCGCGCCAGTATGATGCTCTGCTGGTGACGGACGACGTCTATGACATGCTGCAATGGTCAGCCAGCTCTGGCGGTAAGCTGATGGAGCCTGACCGCGCATGTGTCGCGCGGCTGGTCGACGTGGACGGCTATCTCGACGGTGGTCCCGTCGATGAATGGGGCCACGCAATTAGCAATGGTAGCTTCAGTAAGCTTCTCGGGCCTGGTGTCCGCACGGGATGGGTCGAGGGGTCGGAAAAAGTGGCCTTTGGAGCATCGCAGGTGTATGTATACCAGCCCTACTACAGAGTTGTCTTGGCACTACCCTGTACTGCCTCTTTCAAGAGCATGCAGATCTCCTTTCGACAACGTGTGTCAGCTGACGTGCGCATTTATTAACTTCTCCATTCTACTACGTCTACAGAGGGTCCTCTCGCTCCGGTGGTGCCCCCAGCCACTTCTGTTCCACCATCATCGATCAACTGCTGCCTACGGGTATTCTGGATAATCACATTCGCAATGTCTTGCAGCCGGCATACGCCGAACGGTATCACCTGCTTCTGTCGGCTGTCCAGGAGCACCTGGTCCCGCTTGGTGTAACCGTCGCGCAAGCCTCGACAACCGTCGCTGGCGGATATTTTATATGGATCACTTTACCCTCGCCGCTGCTCGCGGCAGCCGTTGTGGTGCGGGCGCAAAAGGAAGAGAACCTGCGCTTAGCTCCCGGTACCCAGTTCCAGGTGCAAGGAGACCCCGAGGTCGCGAACGACCGTTTCGCCAGCCACATCCGCCTGTGTTTCGCCTGGGCAGAGCCGCGTCACCTGACTGAGGGCGTGCGTAGACTCGCACGCGTCCTGAAGCGATCACTTGAGTAGATGAAGCTGTGTGGCTTTACGCCGTCGGAGGTGGGCGGACCGTGCCGGGCCACCGACCGGATGACGCGCGGCATCTCGCCGGGCAGTTTAGTGTAGGTAGAAACATTAATTGCATGCTAGAGTATATAGTGCCGGCGTGGCCGGAATAGCAGACACCGCATTTTGTGTAACTGATTTTGCCCTAGTGGCGCCACCGTGGGACAAATTTTACCTACTCAGGGTTTGGCGAGGTCGAGGTACTCACAATCGAATCGCCGAGGCAGACAAGTATATACCTACTCCAACACTAACTACTCGACACCACACAGCGCAATATATATTTCGGGGTTAATCGGCACAAAGTTCAAAACCTGACTTAGTCATCCGATGCAGGAAGAACCACGGAACAACTGTTTACTCCGAAATGTACAATTCAATGTTCTACCACAACCAGGGTACTCCCTACTCAACCACACAGAGGCACCCCCAAGGTCCTCACGACGGCGAGCAACTGCAGTGCGATAGATGATCGGATCAGCGCCCGTTGATTGGCCCGGCAGATGGGCCTCGCGGCGTCAGGCTAACCGTGGCCAGGCTGCGCTAACCCCGGCGGGTGCGGGTCGTCTCCTTCAGGGGCAAAGCTTGGCCGTGGACTTGACTCGCCCATGACTCGATCCCTCCGATGCTTCTGCTGTCAGGGCGGAATTCTACGAATGGAGGAACTCCGGCGGAATTCATACGAATTCGAATCGACGCGCTGTTCCGACCGCTGGGCCTTCGTCATGAGGCATTCCTTTCTCTCCGATGACCGCCCACGCCGGAATGTCCATCCATAACAACTTACCCCCCTGCCAACCACTGGCCACGGCGAGGTTCACCCGACCCAAGGCGACTGCGATGCGCCCATGGCGATACCCCGTCGCGCCTGAACGAGGCAAGATCGGAGTTGCGCAGCGACTCGCGCTACGGGGAATGGCGCTCGTTTCTCTCCCAGGGCCCAGACAAGCGCACACAGGTCGGTTCGACCCAGACTCGGTGATTTGAGATGTCTATCGGACTCATGGACCACGACCAAGGGGCTCCACCAAGGGCAGCCGGGGGGCAACGCGCGCTGCCTGTCCCCATGCCGAAGCATGTCGGCCGTCCCACACCCCGTACATGCTTGCCTAAGAGAGTGAGCCTGAGAAAAAACAACCGTCCAGCCCTGGAGGCCGCTGACGCGATGGCGCCCCTATTTTGCCCCTCCCTCTCTCCCATGCGACGAGAAAAATCCTAGATAAATGGAATGTATGATCCTGGTTTTGATCGCCGGCGATGGTATATAGCGCGTAGAGCCCCGATGGAGACCCGGTTTGGGACCCTTTTGCCCATTTACTTTGCTTCTGGCCACCCATTGGTCTCTCTCCCAGCCCCGTATCCTAAAAAGGTGCTTTGCTAGCGGCGCCCGTGGCCACTCCTGCTCATTTGCAAGAGCCTTGTTCTCGACCGTCGAGCGTCTGGCCGCGTGAATCTGCAACACCTTGCCCCAGCGATCGACTCGGCGAGCGTTTCATCCCCCGACCATCGCGTTTCAAGCGTCGCTGGCCATACGCCTGCGGGGCCCAGCGATTGGCGGAGACTGGTGGATAACAAGGCGTCGGGCCGTGTGATAGGCGCAGCGTGCAGACATCCAGGGACATCGCGGTCATTTTACGCAGCGGAACACAAGACAGTCCCATCGATACAACTATTGCCAGAGTCAGTCCACCCTCTTATTTATCGCCGGCAGCCGATCCATTTTCCGCCACTCGATCTGCTGCGTTTCATCTGTTTTTCTTTCTTTCCCATTGTTCGTTATTCTCCGGGGAAACCTGTCATTCACTTGTTGTCTCTTTGCCTCATTCACTCCTTTGAATTGGCATTCCCTGGTGGAAGCTGCTGCACATCCACTCTGCTGTAGTGGCAACCGCAACCCAGGCTGAAGCTGCCTTCCCAGTTTCACTGGCTATCAAAGAGCAGGTCTTCATTTTGCGCATTCGTCCGATCATTCTTTCCATTGTTTACACCACGCGTTTATCATTCACCATCTCATTTCCTCGCGACCGCTACTGGTATAAGCGCCGCCGGGAGAATTGAGATCTCTACTGCATCACATACCAGTACTGGTTACTGAACATTTCCTCATTCTTTAGGGCGACACTGAATCTTTGATTGCAAAATACTATTCGCTGCCGGTTCAGCGACTATTATCTCGAAAATGGCGATTTTCCAGACAACCATGATGGTCTTCTTGGCCCATATCATTTTCCTCCTCGGCCTGCCGACTGCACTCGTGGGCGCCGTGCCGGTGACTCCCAACGTCCCCGAACTTGCGCTTAATACTGTCTCGAAAGTGGCGGACTCTGTCACTGGCTCCAGCTCCGGGTTCTGGATGGCCGAAATCAAGCGACAGGGCACGTCGCCTTTCAACAGCAATGCCAACTACAAGGTTTTCCGCAACGTGAAGGACTTTGGCGCCAAGGGTATATTGTCCTGAATGTATTGATCAGAGAGCACGCTGACTTTGGATGATAGGTGATGGATCCACCGATGATACCGCTGCCATCAACAAGGCTATTTCCTCCGGAGGTCGCTGCGGAAAGGGTTGTGACTCGTCGACTATCACTCCCGCCCTGGTGTATTTCCCTCCTGGTACCTACCTGGTGTCTAAGCCTATTCAGCAGTTTTACTACACCCAGATTGTCGGTGATGCAGTTGAGCTCCCTGTTATCAAGGCCTCCGCTGCTTTCGCCGGCATGGCCGTAATTGACTCCGACCCGTATGAGGACAACGGTGACAACTGGTTCACCAACCAGAACAACTTCTTCCGCGGTATTCGTAACCTGGTTGTTGACCTCACTGCCATGCCCAAGGGCTCTGGCGCTGGTATCCACTGGCAGGTCGGTCAAGCTACCAGTCTGCAAAACATTCGCTTCGAGATGGTCAAGGGTGGCGGCGCTGCCAACAAGCAGCAGGGTATCTTCATGGACAATGGCTCCGGTGGTTTCATGACTGACCTCACCTTCAACGGCGGTAACTACGGAATGTTCCTGGGTAACCAGCAGTTCACCACCCGCAACCTGACTTTCAACGGCTGCCAGACTGCCATCTTCATGAACTGGAACTGGGCCTGGACCTTCAAGTCTCTCGATATCAACAACTGCGAAGTCGGTCTGAACATGTCTACCTCGCCCAGCAACCAGACTGTGGGTTCCGTTATGATGCTGGATAGCAAGCTCACCAACACTCCCACTGGTGTCGTCACTGCTTGGGACAAGGACAGCGTTCCGATCGGTGGTGGTACCCTCATCCTCGACAACGTTGACTTCTCCGGCTCCAAGATCGCTGTCACTGGCGCTAATGGTGACTCTATCCTCGAGGGTGGCTCTGTCGTCAAGAACTGGGTCCAGGGCAACACCTATTCGCCCAACTCGTCCGTTGGCAAGCGCGCCTACTCTCCCGACTTTTCGGACTCCGACCAAGAAGTTATCACTGTCGTCGAGACTGTGATGCACACTGTTAGTGCTTGTGCCGCTACCAATGGCGGAGCTGCCAGTACCCTCGCCACGAACGAAGCGCCTGCTCCCTCTTCATCTGCTTCGACCGAAGACAAGGTCACTCCTCTGCCTGCTGGCACTGACAGTGCTGACCGCACAGTCACCATCTCCTCGCCCTCGGTCTCTGGTCTTCCTGGCATGGACAACAGCTGGATATCTATCCTTCTTGGCTCCACTGGATCGTACGAGGGGCCTGTTTCCACTCCCGAGGCCGCTACCGATGCCAGTTCTGTTGTCGTTCCATCTGCCAACCAGGTTCCTGCCCAGCCCGATACCTCTGTCAGCCAGGTCCCTGTCGTTAGCCAGTCCACTGCTACTCCTGTCATTGTCCAGTCTACCGCTGGCTCTGGTTCTGGTTCAGGCTCTGGTTCTGGCTCCGGCTCCGGCTCTGGTTCTGGCTCTGGATCTGGCTCCGGCTCTGGTTCTGGTACTGAAACTTCGAGCTCCGTCATCTCTCAGGGCACCAGCTCTAGCTCTGGATCTGAATCCGGCTCTGGCTCCAGCAGTGGCTCCGGTACCTGCAGCTCTCACCAGGCCGTCTCTTCTGCTCGCATCCAGAGCACTATGAAGTCCTCTGGCATGCCCGAGGGTCTCCTTAACAATGGTGCTGTGTTCGAGCGGTCCAAGCCTCTGTACGAGAGCGTTCCTGCTTCCTCCTTCGTCAGTGTCAAGTCCGCTGGTGCCAAGGGTGATGGTTCCACCGATGATACCGAGGCCATCCAAAAGGTCCTGAACAGCGCCACCTCCGACCAGATTGTTTACTTCGACCACGGGGCATATGTCATCACCTCTACCCTCAAGATTCCCAAGAACATCCGCATCACTGGTGAGATCTGGCCTCAGCTCATGGCTCACGGTGCCAAGTTCTCGGACGCGAAGAACCCAGTTCCCTTCATCCAGGTTGGCGAGAAGGGCGAGACCGGCTCCGTCGAGATGAGCGACCTGATCATTACCACCAAGGGCCCCACTGCCGGCGCCATCCTCATGGAGTGGAACATTGCTGGCTCTTCTCAGGGCTCTGCCGGTCTGTGGGATGTCCACTTCCGCATTGGTGGTGCTGCCGGTACTGGTCTGCAGAGTGACAAGTGCAAGAAGACCCCCAAGAGCAAGACCACCCCCAAGGAGGAGTGCACTGCTGCCTTCATGCTGCTTCACGTTACCCAGAAGGCCAGTGGTTACTTCGAGAATAACTGGTTCTGGACCGCCGACCACGAGCTCGACCTTGATGACCACTCCCAGATCAACGTTTACACTGGCCGTGGTGTCCTCATTGAGTCCCAGAAGCCCGTCTGGCTGTGGGGTACCTCCTCTGAGCACCACCAGCTCTACAACTACCAGGTCTCGAGCGCCGAGAACGTCTTCATGGGCCTCATTCAGACTGAGACTCCTTACTATCAGTCCAACCCCACCGCTCTGGTACCTTACACCCCCCAGAAGTCCTGGAACGATCCCGACTTCTCATCCTGCATAACTGCGTCCTGCCGCAAGGCCTGGGGTCTCCGTGTCATGAACTCTTCGGATCTCTTCATCTACGGTGCTGGTCTTTACAGCTTCTTCGAGAACTACGGTCAATCCTGCCTCAACTCCGAGGATTGCCAAGAGAACATGGTCGAGGTGGACTGCTCCGACGTCCACATCTACGGTCTCAGCACCAAGGCCGCGGTCAACATGGTCACCTCTTCGGAGGGCAAGAGCATGGTTCCCGAGGCCGAGAACACGAGCAACTACTGCTCTACGATTGCTCTGTTCGAGCAGACGGTTTAAGGAGGTTTATTGAACTAGACCATTGATGCTTTCCTTGTTTTCGAATAATTACTTTCTATTTTCATCGTTCCTGTCTTGCCTATTTACGGCACTCTGGGTCCTGTATCCGGAGTCGAGGTTGTCTTTACACTTCATTTTTATTCTCCTTTTAGATTGTTCCGGGTTTGTTTTGGCAGTTCTGTGTGGATTAGCCACAAGAACTTTGATACCACCGGAATGATGTGATCAATAATAGATGTGTGTTCAATGCAACGAGGATATGCCATGAGTTCTAGTACTAAGGTTATCTTGTAGTGAACCCCCAGCAGTGCCGTGGACTAAGTCCTTTCCATCTTTGAATTTCTTCGAGACAATGAGCAGAGTGAATATCATGTGCTGTACTATCTATGGTAAAACTGTATAAAACTATATACGCCATTCAGCCAAATCAGAGTCCAAACCACTGCTCCAAAGCAGCCTTTGCAGCCTTCACATCAGACTGTGCATTACCATCAGCTACCCAGGCAACAATACCGTCCGGTCGAATCAACGAAGCACGCAGTCCACACTCCTCCTTTGCTTCAATGGCAAGATAATCAACCTTTTCTTCAAATCCACCCCGAACCAACTCCCGCAAAGCCTCATCACCTCCAAAATCCAAAAGTAACCCCCTCCCTCCTTCAAGTTTCTCCCCCAGCCTCGACCCACCTCCCAACTCAAAGTCAGGCGCACTGCACCCAACAAGCGGATGTGCATGCGCCTCCCCTTCGCCAAGGGTATACCGCTGCGAAAGGCCCCAGATACGATCAATAAACAGATTCGCCCCATCAGTCGTCTGAATCAAATCCTCCAACAATGCCCTCGTCGCCCTTCCAAACGGATCCGGCTTCAACGCCGTAACCTGAGATCTCGTCCAGTCAAGAACCCAGGCCGCAATGGGATGTCGTTCACTCTCATATGTGTCGAGCAGCGTCAAGTCTTCGGTTTCATATTCAGTTCGGGTCTGCGAGATCGTCGCCGCCAACTTCCACCCCAGATTCATTGCGTCGCCCAGTCCAACGTTCATACCCTGCGCACCGAGAGGCGAGTGGATGTGCGCTGCGTCGCCGGCGAGGAGAACGCGGCTCTTCCGGTAGGCTGTTGCTTGCATGGAACGGTCGGTGTAGGAGGAGGCGAGATGGACTTTTGTGATTTTCACGTCTGTACGGCCGATGGCTCGGTTGAGGACTTTTTGTAGGTGCTCTTGCGTGATATCCTGAGAGCGATCGTAGCTTGCGTCGTCGAATTCCAAGAGATGGAATGCGCCGTTCGGAACATTGATGTACATCCCCGTCTTGGAGACGTTGAAGCCAGGCTGTAATTTGTCGCGCCCTTCTAAATCGATATGTGTTGCATACCCCGTCAACTTGGCATCCGTGCCAACAAAGTCGAATCCGACTTCTTTCCGGACGGTACTTCGACCCCCATCACAGCCGACCAGCCATCGACCGCGGAATCGCTTCTGGTCTGTCTCAACACTGACACTCCTTTCATCCTGTGTAATCTCCTGCACAGACTGTCCTCTCAGAATAGTGACGCCCAGGCCCTCCGCCCTTTCCGTCAAGACCTTCTCGACCTGATCCATACTCGTCGGCCCCGGACTAAGCGCCGGACTGGGGAGTCTGTATTTCCAACGCCCCAGCTCCAAAAGATTGGCATTGATCTTCATGCCTGCAAAGTGGCCTCCGAATGTGAACCCGGGCTTTTTACCCTCGTACTGAGGCCGTTCATCAAGGTCGAAGAATTTGCCTAATAGGCCACGGCGGTAGAATGCCTCGACAGACTGGGTATTCATACCGCGCAGTCCGAGGGGCTGTACTTTCCATGGTGATTCTTGTTGTATACTTTGCTCCAGCACTAGGACTGAGATCTGGCGGAGGCCGAGTTCACAGGCGAGGAAGAGGCCGACGGGGCCTGCGCCGGCTATCACGATGTCGTATAGTTTTGTCATAGTTTCCCACCTTAGCGGGTGGCCGCGGGGATCCTTTGTACGCAGATAATGCGAACTATGGGACGGATGTGATATTAGGAGAAGAATGAAGATCAAATGAAAGGGTTGATGGTATATATTTGACAAATTTGAAAATGATAATGGAAGACTGGCAGGTCAAGCTTTATAGCGGACAGTCCGGCTCCACCAGGCGACTGCTCGGGTTTTGCAACCGCCCGAGCGGCCAGGGACGAAGAGGCTCGGGTGGAGCAATGTCCGACGGGTCTGAATTTCACCACGTTGCGGATGAAATGTTTGCGCGTTGAAGTTTATGAGGGGTAATATTGCTCTCATTGGCGTTTTGGGCACCTGGAACTTTTTACTGGAAAACCTTGGAACCCGGGTACGGGTTTGGGGCAATTCTGACATTTATTTTCATCTCGGCCTGAGAACCATCCGACGAATGAAGTGATTTGTATACAGAGCTCAATAGATGCAATGTAATGAATTGTCGAGGCGACGCTATACTGCCTGACGTCTAAGCAAGGAGTCCAACTCCAATATTATATGATATATGACAGAATCCAACCGATATCACAATACTGTATACTTTTAGAGCTCCTTCTTCAAGAAGTGCTCCGGTTTGTGAGTCGTCTCGTAGTCGACGTGCACGTACGCACGCTCAACATCCGGCAGAGACTCCAGTTTCATCTGCAGCTCCTCGGCAACATCGTGGGTCGCACGCAGGGACTCGTTGGCCTCCATGACGATGTCAACTTCGACCAGGAGACGGGGACCAGAGGTGTACGCCCGAACGGTGTCAATGGCCGTGATGAGAGGAGAGTGGGTCATGGCTGAGATAAGGTTAGTGGCTGTCTTTTGTGGGTGTGTTTTTAAAAAGCGGGCGGATCTTACAGATATAAGTGATGAGTTGCTGCATCTTGGTGTCGGCAGTGACACCGATCAACAGTTGGAACTCGCCATAGGCAGAGTGCAGCCACAGACCGCTGACAATGAGCGACAGAATAATGGCGCCCATAGGATCGATCCACCAGCGCACCTTACTACCCAGAATAGAGGTCATCACACCAATACCGTTGATAAGCAGGTCGTTGCGGTGATCCTCCCACAGAATGCGAATCTGCGAAACCTGGTTGCGCAGCGCGAAGCAGTAGATGAACAGGGCGAGTTTGGTGAAGAAGGCGACCGAGACGGCGATGACGGAAGGCAAGTGGAAGGCGGCAAGAAGGGTTTCCGAGCCCTCGACGATCTCGCGGATGGAGAAAGCGATAATAATTAAAGAAACAGCAGTCATCAGGCAGCAGAAGCAGATGTTACCGGCCGTTTCAATACGGGCCTTGCCGGCGGGGAACTTGCGCGGGTCAACACGGTTGACGGCCTTGTTACAAAGGAGAAGAGTCAAGTTGGACATGGGGTCGAAGATGGCGTCGGCCATGGTGGTGAACAAGGACAGCGAACCGGACGAAGCAGCACCGTAGACCTGAACAACACACAAGATGATGTTGGCGACGAAACTGGCGTACACGGCAATCTTATACTTTAGACTGTTCTCCTCGTTCAAATCGCGGGCCTCCCGCACATGCTCCTCAACGGGCTTGAGCATGCGCGCAATGTTCTCATTCTGGTTCTCGTAGAAGCCCTGTAGCTTGCGGGTGGTGAGGGCCTGCTTGCCCTTGTCGCCCGTGCTGCGGACCATCTCGAACACCTTCGGGGTCTTGCTGGGGGAGTCGCGCTTGCGGCCGGTATTGGGCTTGATTTGCCGGATCTCCTCCTCAGTCTTCAGCTTGGATGCCAGGTGGAACGGGTCGGTTTCCGGGGTATAGCGAGGCGGAGGCGAACCCTCCTCATCGGGGCCTCCATGACGGTGCTGGCTCATGTCCGTTTCATGTTCCAAGGCCGTGGAGGTGCCCTCGTTGTGCGAGCGCAGAGTCATTCTGTCGGAGGACCGGTGCGAGGGGTGGGGCGAGCTGCTATGGAAATGCTGGAAAGCATGTGGGTGGTTGGAAATGCTCTGACGTATATGTTCCTCCATGATGGGCGGCACCTCAAGGTATGTGTTCTCGAAGGTGGAATGGAGGAAGCAGCAAGGGGGAGGGAGAAACAATGAATGGGCGGCCGGTGAGGGCAAAAATCCCACGGGTCGACACCCGCCGGGGCTGTGCTTATCGATTAGCAAGTCTCCACACAATTTGATCCCATGGGAAACATTGCGACGGATCAGCTCGACGATCAGCACAAAAGAGCCACTCGGGCGAGCTGAGCGCCGCACGAGATGCCATTGACCATTGTACTGCCCGCTGGATTTTGTAGATTTTTCCCTTGACATCCAGACTCTTTCTCAAACGTTTAAGGCGGGCTGGAACTCCCGCTGAAACCAAACTGCAAGGAAAAAATGACTGGGGATCAGATTATGCAAGTGGGGCTGGCCGATCAGATATGTACAGGCCTGCCTGCACACTCGGCGTCTTGGTAATGCTTGTCTTGCGCAGGTACCGGATCATATCTCTACGAATTGCATGGAAGAAAAAAGTGTTCACCAAGAGGGGGGAAGATACCCCTGGCCAATAATAAAATTGATAATGACTGTCTAAACCGTTTTACATGACTCGGACTCCTGAGTTGTGGGGCTGTCGCTTGGCGGGGAGTCCCACTAGTTGCTGCTAACCAGATACTTGAAGATGGCTGAGATCCAGTCCACCATCTCCTGGGCATTACCAGTCGGGAGCGGCACGTTGGAGGCAGCAGAGCTAGCAGTGGCCTCGACAGAGCTGGGAGTCTGCGTCTGTACCTGCACGGAGGGCTCGGCGGACACGCGGGCCTGAGTGGCGAAAGTGGTAGTGGCGTACGACACAGGGGCAGCAGAGGAGGATGAAGAGGTCACTTCGGCAGCCGCGCTGGAACTGGAGCTAGATCCAGAAGAGCTAGAGCTGGAACCGGAGTTGGAGCTGGAGCTGGAGCTCGAACCAGAACCGCCAACAGTGAAGTCGACACAAGACTCGTAGGTCTGGTCGATCGACTCGGCGTACCAGTACCACTGTAGGACACAGTCACCGGCAGTGGTACACTGGTCACCCAGGTCCTCCGGGATTGTCACGCTGAAGTCGGTCTCGTCCTTGGTGACGCCGGTGGCAGTGGAGGCATAGACGGACCAGGAGATCAGAGGGCTACCAATGACCGAGTTGGAGGCAGTGTCAACGACAGAGACGTTGGCAACACCAGTGTGAGGGGCACGAATGTCCACGGTGAAGTCGACAGTCTCGCCAGCCTTGTAAGAGTAGACATTGTCCTTGTTGTCGGCAAACTTGTAGCCCTTGCACAGCCAGATATCACACGCGGCGGCCTTGTAGTCACTCTGGCCATTGGCAACCTGCAGCTCGCCCTGGATGTTGCCGTAGTTGTCGGACTCTTGGTTGATCTTGACTTGTTGGCCACAGGCCGACGCCATAGCGTCACCGGGCATACGGGCAGTTGGGCTGCTGACGAATCCATGGCCGTGGACCAGAGGGATGATACTGGCGATGGCGGCGAGGGGAGTGTACTGCTTCATTTTGGCGGAGAGAAATAATCCGTCTGAGACGAGAGAATGGAATGATCGGTAAACCGGTACCGTCGAATTGTATATAGCGAATGAAAGTGAAAGGCTTCACGGTCCCAGACCGGAGAAATGAAAGATAGCTCGAAGAGCGGAAAAAGAACGAGAAGTTCTAGAAAGAGGCCTGCTTGGTGTCTACAGAGCCAGCAGCGAGGGAACCAAGCCTGTTATATAGCAGGGGAGCCCCCTTTCTCTTCCCACTCGGACCTAGAGTCGATCTCAATCCTGTCAGAGCCCCATTAACCCCAGTGTCAATCAAGTTCAGACAGCCCAAAGTACCAAACACAGGGCATTTTGCCGCATTTGGAGCTGTCATTCGGGCAAAATGCACCTAGATGGGACTCTGAAACGGTTGACCCCCTCATGGAGATGTCCAAGGGACGGGGGCTCCTCCACCGGGGGTCGCGTGGTGAGACCGGCGATGTCCATAAAGTCTCAGGCTTTCGGGATGGTCTCCTCGGTCCATTTGCTTGTTGCGTGAACGAATTGCTGCCGGGACAAGGCCGAAGTTCTCCCTTAGGCGCATTTAGGGCCTGCCAAGGCCTGGTCCACGCGCCGAACAGGGGTATGGACGGTTTCAGATTGATAAGACCACCAGCCTGGTCGTGAATCATGTCAAATATGATTGCTGGATAATTCCGCGGAAGGTCTGGCTGGATCTGGATGCCAGGAACGTGGTTTGTGCAAGGAAGTGGTCCATGAGATGGTGGATGACATGGCAAGTGTCGGGGTTTAGAGACGCGTGGGTCCCGAGAATTGGATTCGGATACCTCGCCATTTTCAGCCACGGCCGATCCTCTTCAATCTACTTTGATAAGGGTTGTTAACATCCGAAGCCTTGCGGGTCGGTCCCTGAAATTATTGCCCTAGGAGGGCTAGTGATCTGCAGATTATATCGTGAAACGATACGTCATCTGCAGCCTTTCCCCGATATTTCTCTTTTCAGTGAACCACTGTCAGTGACCATAGTAATGTTACCTCTTTGGACACTTGTAGTCCATAACTCATCTTCTTCTGAATAGATCTGTGTATTTTTCGGCAGATCATGTGGAGGCCGCCATGTTGTGGCGTGGGTGCTGCAGGGTTCTCTCAGTTCGGATTTGTAATCAACCTCAACATCTCATAACCCACCTTACGGTAGGCAATGAAAGAGCTACTCGTATTTGAAACACCTCAAGCTTTCTGACACAGCGCACAATTAAGTTTCGACCAGGATTTCTGCTGTTTGAATACTACTATCTCCATGACCGGACACAGTGAGGCCCATCAAGGTATCCCACATCTTCAGGAATATGGTCTTAACTAGTATTTGAACTGACGTATACACCAGATGGAAACTTTCATTTCGTCTCAACTCAAAGCTCTAATGATCCCGCTTTGAAGTGCAAAGCTCGTTCACATGCTGTAGGGCACGGCCTTCGCAATAAAAGGAAACTGCAGCAAAATTCGAGCCAAAACTTTCGAATCTTCCATTTGGGAACTGATGATGGTCAAGGTCCTCTCGAAATACCAGTACTCTCTTCATCAGATTCGTTAGGCCCGTCAGATCCATTCCGAATGCTGGCTTTGGAATCACCAAAGCTACAAGCCTTGTTAAGTCGACGTGAGATCAATATGGACTTTCAAAAAACATTATCTGTCAACTGACTTGCATGATATATCAATACAGAGAGCTCTCGGCAACCCATGGAGCCAGTCTTCAGTGTTTTTGATGAGCTTGTACTCCCAAACTTTCGCCAAATTATTCGAAATGAAATCGACGACCACGCTCTCCTGAACGCCATTATGCTTACGTTTTCATTGCGCACGACATCGGGCCGTATCAACAGTGAATTTCTTGCGTATCAAAACGAGGTTTTGAGATCCATTCGTCAAAGGATGGACTCCCCTGAAAGTACCATTTCAGAGTCTACTTTAGGGACTATTGTGCTACTTGCTGGTGTAGAGGTTCGTATACTAAATTAGGCTCGTCTGCCAGGCACACGATAAAACTAAAGTTCAAAGATATAGGCTCAGCTTGGACTGCCTAGCCATGTACAGCTCCACATGGGCGCAGTTCACCAAATTTTGAATTTATGTCGGAAGAAAGGCATCTACTTAAGCGATAGCATCAAGCGCGCCATCTTCTGGTAAATAAATTGTGACCCACAGCCCCTTGACGCAGACTCTCATGAATCGTACAGGTCAGATTTGAATGCCTCGGTGATGACAGGATCTTGCCGGGTAGTTGATCACACGACCTTTTCCGAACTTCAGTGGAAAAGAGACCCTTTCACACCGAATTTCTTCATTTTACCGCCCGGGTTCCAGACCTATTCCCAGTATCTGGGGCGGAGCTTTTGTGAGGTGCTTAAGGATGTCTTTGCATTGCAATGTATTCGGGAATCAGGTGTTCCTGGTAGGGAAGACGCAATCTCAATGGCACACATTGATAACCACCACGCATCCATCCAGTCAAGGCTGTTAAGCCTACCGGGCCACTCATGCATATCGAAATGCTGCCATGTAGCAGCTTATTTATGCTCGACTATGCTGCGCTGCAAACTCTGGCGGACTTCGACCATTCCCGTGAGATTTATTTTCTTATATCCCATCATCCAATGCTAACCTCCGTGTGAGTAGTCCCACCTGTCACTACAACTACTTTGTGAGCTACAGCAAGCAACAAAAGCTTCTGTATTCGATGCTTCGCCAGATTTGTTGACCTGGCTCTTGCACATTGGTGGGGCTTTTGCCCCCGCAGGAGCCATACGATCAGGCTACATACAAATCTTGCATGCGAAATCCAGAAAAGGGCTGTATATATCATGGCCAGAGCTCCTTGGAATTCTCAAGCAATTTATCTGGTCAGATAAAGCATTTCTTATACAAGTAAAGACGTTTTGGGAAGAGACTGCTCTAGGTGAGCCTACACAATCGGCAAGATTCAGTATAACTGAGCTTTAAGCTCAAATTTCTTGTGATTTTCAGTTTTATTCATCCGAGGTCTCCATTTATCCGATCTTTGAAACTATCTCATACTCAAATCCATCCGATTCTACGATTCTCTACAATTTGGATTTGTAATCAATCTCACACCTCATAGCCTTATTTGGCTCACCCATTTTTTTTAAGTGGCTGTCACGTGGCACGGGGTGAAACATGACCTCCCAGCCTTTCCTTACAGCCGCAAGAACATCCCCTTCCCCCATATGTCCTCGATCCGAAGAGCAACACTTATTGTCTACCAACCATACTCTATACAATACTCAATGCCAGCCATGCCAGCCATGTCAGCCATGTCAGCCATGTCAGCCTCTGCTTCTCTATCTACAACTCCTGGCCTAGAATAAAAGTTGGACTGAGAAGATAGGGATTTCAGAGCCGAAGGGAAACCTTAGCCTAACAGTCACTCCCGGACTGTGGTCTATCATCTACACGACAGGAATTGGTGGATCAAAGTCACTTTTCATGGCACATTTTCCTCCTTTTCTCGCCATGCCGAGCCAGGACAAATCAAATCAAATCAAAACGCGAACGAGTGTGGAAATTCAAACCCGATTATTAATACCATGAAACGATTTAGTTTATTTCAAGCGAGTCAATACAATCCTCAATTTGTAATCAGCCCTTCATTGCGGAGGGTAAGGGAATGTTCGGATCTGAAGCCTCACCAATCCACCTACCGGTGGTGATTGGCTATATCACCATAGCCCAAACCATAAATGGTATAGTGTACTGACCATCCCATAACAGGAACCATCTCATTTCCTTTTTGAGAAGTAAGTTGAACGCCCAATAACCGATAGAAATGATGGCACCATGTCTATTTGAGGCCGAAGTATTGTCGAGAAGTCCATTGCAGCCATAAGCAAGCACCGAGAGCAGTGGTATAAATACCTAGACCTCCCACGAGGCCAAAAATCAACCAACTTTTTCATAATCTCTCAACAGAGGAACTAGCAATCAAACCTCTTCTCAATGCCTCAATCCCACCTCTTTACGCCTCTCAAAATAGGCAGAATGACAGTCCAACACCGCATCGGAATGGCACCCCTCACCCGCTTCCGCGCAACCAAAGATCGGACCCCAACAGAGCTGATGAAGGAATACTACATTCAACGCGCGGCGGTACCAGGCACTTTGATAATCACCGAGGGAGCCTTCATCTCCGCAGCCTGCGGCGGATTCCCGCACGCGCCCGGAATCTGGCGCGAAGACCAAATCACGGCTTGGCGAGCCATTACCGACGAGGTCCATCGCAAGGGATGTTTCATTTTCTGCCAGATATTCGTTATGGGCCGGGCCGCGGATCCAGATGTGTCAAGGGAAGAAGGGATTGAGATTGTCGGGCCCAGTGCGATTCCTATGTCGGGGGACGCACCGGTGCCTAGGGCAATGTCTCTCGACGAAATCAAGCAGACGGTTCGGGATTTCGTTGTTGCTTCGGAGAATGCTATTCGCGCGGGGTTCGATGGGGTTGAGATTCATGGTGCGAATGGGTACCTGCTGGACCAATTTATTCAAGATGTTAGTAACCAGCGCGAAGACGAGTACGGTGGGAGCGTGGAGAAGAGATCTCGGCTTCTGGACGAGGTGCTGGGTGCAGTTGTTAATGCCATCGGTTGCGAGCGGGTCGGACTTCGTCTGAGTCCCTGGAGTGAATTCCAGGGTATGAGGATGCAGGATCCTATACCCCAATTCACGAATGTGATCAAGCGGGCCAGTGAGGCGAAGATCGCATACCTCCACCTCGTGGAGTCGCGGATCTCGGGCGCCCATGATGCAGACGGTCATGACCGATTGGATTTCGCGTATGATCTCTGGGATGGTCCGCTTTTGGTTGCTGGTGGGTATGAGCCGGTGGAAGCGCGGGAGTTGGTGGATGTGAAGTTCCCCGGTAAGGATATTATGGTCATGTTTGGTCGGCATTTCATCTCGAATCCGGATCTCGTTTATCGGATGGAGAAGGATCTGGAGCTCAATGTGTACCAGAGGGAGACTTTTTACACTCTTGAGTCGAGGGTTGGGTATGCGGATTATTCTTTCAGCAAGGAGTATCTGGCCAGCCAGACAGCGGTCTAGCTTGAGTCGGCGCAGTGTTTAGAGGCCTAGAATTTAGTGTTGTGAATATCTTTTCATGTGCAGATTTGTTCTTTGGAAATTTCGTTCGGTAAAGTGTACTGGGTACACTGGCAATATAAGGTCAATTCAGTAAGTATGCGAACCAACTACTGCTGGAGGTATCACGAAGTATATATGCAAAACAGCAAGGCCAAAGAAAGACACAGCAAGAATCAGCTATCAGGAGTTGGGTCCCACGAGGGAAGGGGTATCATTTCAACCATTGGTGCAAGGTTAGTATAGATTGTCTGTACAATCAACGCTCCTGCTCTGCAGCCTGAAAGCGCACGCGGTCGCCTTGCGTAGAAGCACCATGAGCTCGGTTCCGTTCATGGTCCGACTCATGCGTGGCATAGTCATCGGCAAACGGGTTCTGCACTTCAAAGTCGGCTGAGTTATATTCATACCGCTCGGTATTGGCTCTCTGTCCGTTCGTGTTCGAGCGACCACCTGCACCCGACATCACCGTGTTGGGCAATTCAATCAGCGGGGAGGACGGTTGATCTGGTGACCTCTGCTGCGGAGGATCCGATGGGAGAGGGCGGTTGGTGCTTGCTGGCGGGGAGGGACTGTTCAGTTCGGAGGACGTGGGAGTGGTCGAGCCGCGAGCCTTGCGCGCCTTCAGCATGGCGCGCTGCTGTCCGGAGATCGCGACGGAGATTTCGTCGTTTGCCTCGATCAGAGTAAGAAGAGTATCCTCGTCCGGGGTCGGATTGGTGCAGTTGATGTAGCCTTGGAGGAGGCGCGACGAAGTTTGGCATCGGTCTACAAATTCCTTGATCAGGTCGTTTCCTTCGACCTCTGCGGGCGACGTGATTTGAACGAATTGGGTCAGGAGCTTCGCAGAGTTTTTCGCCTCCTCGATGCGCGCGGCCAGCTCGCCGGGGTCCGGGAGCTGGTTCTGTGGCGGACGAGCCTGCGGTCGAGGCGGGGGCATTGGTGCCATTGGGCTGTTGAAGCTGTTGGGCTGTGGCCATCGGTTGACCTATCAGTCAGATTGTTAGCAACTCCGACATCTCAGGCGCAATCAGCCGTGCTTTTGCATACCGCATTGCGCTCGCTCTTGACTTTCTCCTTCGCCCACATTGCCAGCAGTGGCTGCAAATCCTCGTCCATCGATCGGGCAGTCTCCAGTCCAGTCAAAAACTGGCGTAGGTAGTGCTGTACATGCCAGTCGCGTCCATATCGCAGGAGCTCCTTGATCACCGTGACGAACTTGCTGTCAAAGTTCTTGGTGAAGGTGTGGCCCGGGTTGTCGGTGAGAATGCGCATCAACATAATCGCATTGTATTGGACATGATTCGGCGTCTGGTTCGGAGTGGAGAGGTATTTGCGAATACGCACAGCGGCCTCCTTTGCGGCGGCGGGGCTCGATTCGGCGCTCTCGACGATCAGAGGGAGGTGAACGAATTCATTTCCTTGCTATACACAGAAATGCTCCGATCAGTGGCTGTGTCACAGGTGGTGGTTGTAGAGGGGCAGGCAGGTCGGCATACCGGGTTCTGTGGGCTGTTGCTCACTTCGCAAAAGGTTGTCTGGACGGCGCATGGTTAGAGCAAGGCAACGCGGGTGAGGGCGCGCAGTACACACCATTTCCCGAACCAAAATGCCTTCGGGCGACTCATCTGTCTGTTCGGGGCTGCTCGAGCTGGAGCCGGAGCCCACCGCTGTAGCGGTCAGCAAAGTATTGGGGGTGGGGGAGCGCATTTGCGACTCACTCGGGCGGCGGGCCAAGCTTTTGTTCAGGAACTTTTTCATGACGGGCGCAGGCGTCCAATGTCTGAGGAGAGAGGAGAGTTGGGGGGGAGAAGGGCAAACAGTGCCACACAGCGTGCGGATGGGGGCCAGAAAGCGACGGGGACCGGCCCCGGGTTTATTAGCAGCCTCGCGTTAGCGCGCAGGGTCCATGCAAGACGGCTTTTGCAGCCGAGCGTGGCAAATTCAGCACAAAAGGGGGAGTGGTGCAGGGTAGGGGTACGTAGACACGCCGCCACGCTCACGCACGAGCCGTGGGATGTTCCAACTTGAAGGTACTGCTCAGGTGCTGCCGATCCACGACTCCGTGAGTCAGCCAGATGAGGCTCTTTCCGCGTGTATTTCTACCAGCGATCAGCACAAATCTATACAGGAATGCCTAGGTAAAAAACTAGGTATTCTAGGTGATTTCCGGAAGTTTGGAAATAATTTTGAATTGAAATTATAGAGCTTCTTTCAAGTTGGTACCTAACATAGTATGCTCACATCGTAATGGCGCCTACCTTCAAAGCAACGCGTGGCTGAGCCCGCCAAGACCGAGCGCAGTTTGCAGCACTGGCAGTCGTCCACAGGCAGCAGTGTTCCTCCTATCACGAGGTATGCTCAGTGCGGTCTAGGGATAGGATGTGAGAGTACTATGGCAGTGTTAGATGTTGACAATATTGCATCGGAGTGGACTGGAAACCCTCAGTTGGACCCCCTCACTTATACTATATATATCTCTCTAGATGAGGTCATAGCGATCGCAATATGACACCTAGCAAACGCTACATTATTACCTATGAGCCATGTATACACAAGGACATCGTGCTTGCTGATGGATGACTGATGCTATGTATGAATAGTATATGAAAACAGCCCTGATTACAGAGATTACCCACCTTCCCCCTGATCATGACACCAAGTCTGGTATTACACTAATGTACTACACGAAGCTACTACATTAATTGTAGTATTACTCTCAAAATCATTGTATATCACATATTTTCGCCTCTAAGTCGAGACAAACCATCTACAATGGATATACTAGTGTAGTGTACTCCCTCAAGTACTCTTGCCTAGGTCACCTAAGGCAGCAATCCCTTACAACGCATCAGCCATCTCACCCAAAGTATCAAACCGCCAATCAAAGATCGGATCCTCCCGATTCCCCATCGTGGCTCCAGGGCGCACAATCCACACAGACTTGATCCCCGCCCTCCGCGCCGGCTGATGATCATGAAACTGGCTCTGAGCCGTCTGAAGTATCTGCCCAGGCGCAATACCAAACTCCTCCTGCACCGCACCCTTCATGTACTCAAAGTTCCGCGCATCCGGCTTGTAAGAGCCGATATCTTGGGCTGTGATGATCTTATCAAAGGGGAATCCCTGGAGACTGCCCGCGTTGGACTTGGCGAATGAGGCTCGGTCCACGTTGGACAGCACGACAAGCTTGTACTGCTTCGATAGTCTTTTCAGGGCTTCGACTGTATCCGGGAAGGCGGGCCAATGGCCTACTGATTCTCCAAAGGCACTGTTGGCTTCTTCGCTGGGCGTGGGGAGACCTAGGCGTGCGGCAAGGAGTGGGTGAACGGTGGCGAGCAGTTGCGAGTACGGCATGTCGGGGGTTAGCCGTTGCTGCTCGGCTTCGAGCTCGTGGTAGATGGTGAGCAGTTGCTCGCGGGTGAATTGGCCTTGGTTTGCCAGTAGGGGCTGGAGGGCGGCGAGAATTCCGCCTTCCCAGTCGATCAATGTCCCGTAGACATCGAAGCAGAGGAGACGGTAGTCGGTGAGATGCGTCATCTTGTATAGCTCTTGGATTGATGGAGGTAGGTGTGTAAGTTCGAGCAGCAACGTGCGTAGGGCGTTGATGGACTGGAATGCAATCTACAGCCCCGCACGTCTGCCACGCGTATCCCCGCTCGTGCTAATCGTGCTTGGCGTGGCGGTGCTATCGATGATTAGGACAATATTCATATCAAATGAAGTAGTTGCATGTACTACCGTATAGAATCGGTATTCCAAAGTCACCTGGAGTCAGATCAGTGCTGTTCAGTGTTTGGACTGTCTAAACCCAGTCATATGCCCATGGCTACGAACAGTTGTATGTTCTTGGCTACAATCTACATGAACTGAGCCTCGCGAATCGTAAAACGTATGCAATTAAAAGACGAGCATGACCGTTGTTCCAGCACGTTTCCAGACTTCCAGGCCTGGCCGACGCAAGTAACTACCGGACAAGACATCTGACAACCACAACTCATGCGAGAGCTCTTTAGAAGCAATACCAAGTGGCACAAGAGAAATCACAACAGAGAAGAAACCACGTTTGTATCATGATCGGACCGGGTATTACAGAAAACCGAAGTCCATCATTCCGGAGCCGCGCTGTTTAAACTTTTTATTTGGTTCTCCTCCGAGAGTTGTTGGTACCATGACCTTAAAAATCTTGTATGATCCGGTATCATTTCCGTTCCAACATACAGATGCGCAAGAACTCCGGCCAACCCGTTCCACCGCAATCCTTTTTCATTCCTAACGCGCACCACATCCCCTTAACCCGACGACTCGCTTAAGCCTCAATCAGGGCACGGCGGATCTGAGAGCCACGCTGACGGGAAGACAGGCGGGTAGCGACCTCCTTGGGGGCGGCCTTGGCGACCTCCTCATTGGCCTCGGTGAGGATCAGCTCGATGTGGCAGGGGTTGGTCATGTAGGGGTTGATCTGTATCAGAGATTAGAAGCGATTCTTTCAAAGCAGAAAATCCCGATGGGGAAACGTACACGACCGTGGGCACGGTAAGTGCGACGGCGGCCCTTGGGAGCCTGGTTAACCTGGATGCGCTTGACAACCAGAGCACCGGTGTCGAGTCCCTTGGTGTCGGCGTTGGCCTCGGCGTTCTTCAGAAGGTCGATGAGGTACTCGGCGGACTTGACGGGCCAGCGGGCCTTGGAGACACCGAACTGCTTGCCTGTAAACGGAGAATTATCAGTGGACTCGTTCAATATCGTAATTCCCACACTGAAAATTTCGAGCCCCCAACGGTGTCATCCCAATCGGATATGAAAACCCTCCTCAGTCCCAGCAATCAAATTCCAGCATTTCCACACATTGGCCGTCTTCATGGTGTTGATTGTGATTCCTCTTCCCTGATATCCAAAATTCCTTGACACCGTTGCGGTCCGTCCAAATCCAGCATGTAGAGAAACTTTGCGAAGGCCACTCACCCTGAGCAGTGCGACCAGTGGAGCCAGCATAGCGGCGCATGGGGATGGCCATGGACTTCTTGGTGACGTTCTCGAGGTAGGTGAGGGCCTTGTCGAGCTTCATGCCGTTGATGGCCTGAGCGGTCTCACGGGTGTTCTTGAAGCTGACACGGAGGTAAGAGCCCCGCGAGCGGGCGCTCTTGTCGTTAGGGATCTCCTGGGCGGCGTAACGGACCTGTAGAGCGTAGGGAAACAGTCGTCAGCAATCATGATCGTCGTCTTCTGCGGCGGTAGTGATGGCCGAGTCGGGCGCAGGCGGATAGATCGCTTGCCCATCAATTCGAAAATTCGAGATGGATTGGACAAGGAGAATGGACGCTCGAGAGTATTTTTGACGGCTCTGAAGACGGGGAAGGGCAGGACTCACCATCTTGAAGGAGTTGGCGAGGGGAAGTCGATGGTCCTCGGTGTCGGGTTGATGTTGTCGCTTTTCGTCTTCGGCCGCTAACACTTGAACACCAAGGTTGGTGCGGTTTTTTTCGCTCTTGGCGCGCTGGCCCTAAGCGAGCCCTAACGCTAGCCGTATGTGGTAGGTACGCTGGGAGTCGCACCTATCTGATTAGTCATCATGTCTTGCCGCATTTCTGCCGGAGGCGGAAAGGCACTTTAACTACGGTGGATGGAACCAATGAAGTGGAATTTAAGATGAACACTTATAGATGACTGAAATGCAATGCATTAATTATAATCTATTCTATTGTCAAGGCTGCCTACTTCCGCTCATCACTTCTGCTCCGGTACTTGGGTAATCAGCTCTCCCTTCTCGACAGCCAGTTTCAGGTTATCCAGCACCAGAATTTCCATCTCCTTCTGCGTCTCGTAGGTCATGGTGCCGATATGTGGCAACAACATCACTCGGGGGTTGTTGATCAGGCCTGGCTCGATTGCCGGCTCGTTCTCATAGACATCCAGACCAGCGGAGCGGACCTATCATGCTCCAGTCAGCGCAACACGACTTATTTGGTAATAAGAGGATGACATACCTTGCCGGAATCGATCGCTGCTACCAGCGCCTTCTCATTGATTAGAGCCCCACGTGCGGTGTTGACAATAACAACACCATCCTTCATCTTGCTAAATTCGGTGGCGCCGATGATGTGCCGGGTGGAAGCATTCAGAGCAAGATTCAAGCTCAAAACATCCGCGTTGGCCAGAAGTTCGTCGAACGAGACGTAGGTCGCGCCATCCTCCAGTTCTGGCGACAGGCGCGAGCGGTTGTGGTATTGAATCTTCATGCCGAACCCCCTGGCACGAGTAGCCATTTCCTATACCAAACGGATGAGTCAGCTATTTGTGTTGTATCTGGATAGGACTTTAGCTCTTACCCGTCCGATACCACCCATACCGAGAATACCGAGCACCTTGCCCTTGGGGTCATGACCCAGAGTCGTCTCACCGTGCCACTTTCCTGGTACGACATACCGTTCAGCTGCTTGCGCAATTTGAGCTGCAATCAGGGAAAGTATTACTCACCTGCCCGAAGAGCAGCCTGGGGCACGTAGGCCTGGCGCAGAGCACCGATCATCAAGAAAATACCCACGTCGGCGGTGGCATTGTTCACCGCAACTGGAGTGCTTGAAACGGCAATGTTATTTTGCGAGCAAGCGGAAACATCGATGTTATCATAGCCCGCTCCGTTGTGGCAGATGTACTTGACTGACTGCGGCAGCACTGCGATCAATTCGGCGTTGAAGGGACCGGTGTACTAGTGATGTCTCGTCAGCTGGATATGCACGGAGTTAACACTAGGCTATATAGCGACACGTACCTGATTAGAGGTATTGGAGCGGTAGATTGCGACTACGTCGTCGTACTGGCCTGCCTTGCAGTTTGCAATGAATTCTTCACGGGTGCCGCTGGGGAATTCCTATGCGCGGGTTAGCTACTTCGGCACAACTCCTCATCGCCGGGTACGTTCAGCCTACCTTGAGATTTAGAATGGACGAGAGGCTCTCCCACTCTTTGCGCGCATGTGTGATGCCTCCGATGAGAAGAGCCGATTGGGACGACATGTTGGAGATTCTGCGAAGCAATGAGCATGGCGCATGATGTCAGTGTGGAATGGCGCTCCTCATACCTAAACGATGATACTTCTCAAGAGGAGCTAGCGAAACAATCAAGAAGATGCGATTGAAAATTGAAGAAGATTGAGAGGAGAAAAAGGTATCGAGGGGTAGAGGGGAAGAAATTGGGAGTTGCCCCCCATTGTGACAGGTGGACGTGCGATTAGCTGGCGGAGCTCCGCGGTTTGCGACGCCCCCGCGGGAGGACCAGATTTGATAGTGGAGTCTGAGGGAGCACAATTCCGAGGGGGTTACTGCGCATTTACTCGCTTAAGACAGCGTGCTATGCTCATTAATATTCAAATTATTCAACCTTTTGACTTCAATTGAGCGCTATAGTCAGAATGAATTTCTTGCTCGCTACTACGATGCATAGTGCATGGTTTTCTGTCGCTGCACAGCTGTTGATGATACCCCCACGTCGGCAACTGAGACTGCCCGAACAGGCAGTTGCCGGACCAACTCCGTGTGGGGGAGGCGGCAATGCGGAATGAGGGGGATACAACTGCTCAGACGCCGAGTTGTGTTTAACTGCCACTGGGCTCGTCAGCCATTCTCCTCCTCACATCCCTCACATACTCCTCACACAATGGCAGAGACATCAGCAACAGCACTCGTCCTCCACGGCGCAAAGGATCTCCGCGTGGTAAGCAGCCTGAAAGCACTTGAACCAACTATAACAGCGATCTAACAGCCCCCCAGGAACAGCGCGCAGTCTCCGCCCCAACCGGCGCAGATGTCCAGGTCGCCGTGCAAGCAACAGGACTCTGTGGCTCCGACCTCCACTACTACTCCCACGGCCGCAATGGTGACTTCGTCGTGCGCGAGCCCATGTGTCTGGGCCACGAGTCCGCCGGCACCGTCACAGCCGTTGGCCCCGACGTGACCACCCTCAAAGTCGGCGATCGCGTCGCCCTCGAAGTCGGCCTGGCCTGCCGCAAGTGCGCCCTCTGCAAGCAGGGCCGCTACAACATCTGCAAGGCCATGCAATTCCGCAGCAGCGCGAAGATGTTCCCCCACCTCGACGGTACCCTCATGGAGCGCACCAACCACCCCGCCGACTTGTGCTATGCCCTCCCATCCAACGTCTCCGACGCAGGCGGTGCGCTCGTCGAGCCTCTGGCTGTATGTCTGCATGCGATCCGGCGATCGCGCCCCCCGACCAAGGACGAGGTGGCCCTGGCAAAGGGAACGGGCGAGGGCACCGCGGCTCTTGTCTTTGGTGCTGGCGCCATTGGACTCCTACTCGCGTCGTCGCTGGCGGCTGCCGAGAACTTCTCCACCATCATTGTAGCGGATATCGACGCTGCCCGTTTGAAAATCGCCGCCTCGCTCGGCCTCAAAACGACCCTCATCCCCCGCGGTGATCCCGCCAACCCGCCCCCTCCCAAGGATGCCCCGCACGCAGACCAGACTGCCTGGGCCCTGAAGAATGCCCAGAGCGTCGCGGCTACTCTTACCGAGGCCGCCAACGCAGCTGACGCATCTGAGGTCACTGGCTTCAGCCGCGTTTATGACTGCACCGGCGTGCCTGCATGCGTGCAGGCTGGTATCTATGCCAGCGCGCCGGGTGGTGTGCTGGTCCAGGTTGGCATGGGTAACCCTATCCAAACTCTGCCTGTTGGTGCAGCTGCGCTGCGTGAGGTGGATGTCATTGGTACTTTCCGCTACGACGGCCATGCCTACCCGGCTGCTATTGCGCTGCTGGCCAGTGGAAAGCTGGCGGCCACCGAGGAGAAGGTCGTGACGCACCGGGTTAGCTTGGAAGATGGTGCGCGCGCTTTCAACCTTGCTGGTGCGGGTGTTGATGAGGATGGTCATCCTGTGGTCAAGGTTATTATCGAAGGCAAGGCTCAGGCGGCGCGACTGTAGAGTAGAGGGTATTTTGTATTACCGAGGAGTTTTGTGATGACGTTGATGACTTGAAAATACCCATTGTGATGATGAGCGGTGCGGAGAAAATTCAGTACATATGATAGAATGAACATGATTTGCATACAGCACCACTATTTTCCTATTTACAATGCTTCTAGTACACTATTGTAAGAAAATTTGTAGGGAAAGCACCTATGGCACGTCCTGATTATTGACAAGAATTGATTTGCATTCAGTCATGATACATAAGCCTACAGTATGAAACATTTCATTTCAGCCCCCTGCCAGCAGGAGACTTTGGCCCGTCATATATCCAGTGGTCGCCAACATGGTAACGACATTTGCCGTCTCCTCGGGTGTGCCTAGACGTTGCAGCGGGATACCTGCCGCAACCTCAGGAATGGCCGCCGCGTTGGGGATCATGCCTGTGTCACCGATCATGGCAGGGGCGACATCATTGACGCTAATGTTATACTCGGCTAGGCGAGTGGAGAGGTTTTTCATCATGCCGGTGAGACCGCCCTTGGAAGCTGCGTAGTCTAGAAAAAGAATTAGAGGATGTCAGAGATAAGATGCCTAGAGCACCATTGGTGTCAAGAACTTACGGCATCCATTGATTCCACCACCGTAGGCAGCAATCGAGGACATGAAAATAATGCGTCCCCATTGCTGACTCTTCATATGCTCAACAACACCTTTCACCAGGATGAACGAAGCGCGAAGGTTGATATTTAGCGTGTAATCAAATTCCTCCAGGGTAATGTCCCATACATTGGGGAACCGTTTCCCATAACCGGCGTTCGAGACCAGAATGTCTGGTCGGTGGCCGTGCTGAGTATCGATTTGCTGGAACATGGCCTCGATCTGATCGGCATTTCCTACGTCGACCTGGTGAATTGAGATGCGGAGTTTGTTCTCCGCGTACTTGGTGCGGAGATCGATGACGAGTGCGTTCAACGGTTCCAAGTTGTTGGCATATGTCAACGCCAGGTGAACACCCTTTTGGGCGAGCTGGTGAGCGCATGCTGAGCCGATTCTGATCGTAATTCAGTCGCGTTAGCGCATGCTCACACTGAAAATTGCAATAACTCCCCTCGGAGCTATGGAATTAAGCTTACCCGCCCGATGCGCCGGTGATGAGGGCAAGTTTGCCTTGGATCTCGTTGAGGGACATTGCGTAGGGAGTCGACAAAGGCAGATTGTAGATAGAGAGAGATGACACTTTGTAATTCAAGAATGTAGAGGAGCTTTGAGCTTGTGGAGGTTCGCAGCGAGGCCTCGGTTACCCCTCGGTGGTCGGGGTGATCTCCGGGAGGAGCTCCGCAGCCCCGCAGCATTTGCCGCATGGGGGCGCAGATCGGCTTTTGAGTGTGACTCGGCTCAGCAAAATCCAACAAGACACTAGAACAGAAGATTGCTGCTCATATCTCCCAGCCAGGTTGATGGCTGCCACACCTGCGATCGGTCTTGGCCGGACTGATAAGGATCTTGGAAAGCATCTAAGCCGAGCAAACCACCCGAAATTTGATCGCCGGAGACGTAGTCACCCACAGCTTCCAAGTCCAGCCAGGAAAAATCGTTGGCAGGGCTGAAGTCCATGTAGGTGTTGTCTGTCACCGGGTTAGACAGAGCTGTCTGCATCGCGAAATCATTACTGCGAGGCGTTTCGGCAGTTGCATTTGCTGTAGATGTTTTGGTCTTCCAAAGCAATTCTAGCAAGCGAGAATAACGTGAACCGATGTCATCGTGGCCAGCGCTGGCCTGTCGTAGCACTTCAGTGGTTCGTGCAACTAGGCCTTGAACCTTCGCTTCTTCAGATGGGACCATCATGCCGAATGAGCGAGCCTTGTAGAGGAACACAGCCGAGTAGATGCCATACCTGGAATGGGATTAGCACTTGAATTTGGACTGGCTTAAATGAGAACTCACAAGTAGAAGCGCAAAGGCATGAAGTGCAAATATCGCTCTGGATCTACTGAGTCGACGAGGATAGTCAAATAGGCTTTTGCTGCGTCGACGGACTCGTAAATGAACCGAGAATCCTGCATCGACGCAACATTTTTGAAGGTACTTCGCAGCTGCTCTCTGTGCGACCTTCCATCATTCTTCGGCTTGACTAGTGACTGAGAGATTGCGGCCTGGAAGGCGAATGCGGTCGTATAGAGTCGTAGATACTCGTAGGACAGATCCAGTGTTGCGCGCATTGGCGGCGAGCCTATTTATTTGTTAGTTTCGACGTCGGGAGGAAAATGGAAAGAATAAACACACATTCAAGAGGACCCCATAAAGATTTCCATCGGAGAATCGCAAGTCGGAAGTCATCGACGTACTTAACATAGTCTCCCATCAACATCATTTGATTGCTGGTTCTCATTCCAGAGTACAACACTTCATGAACATTTCCATAGAGCTGAGTGAGATCCAACATCGCTTGGAAAATTTTCGAGTAATCTTCGTCGCCCTCTTTGGCCGGCTGTAGTGATGGGAAATCCTGGCTGACAAGGCCTGTCATTGGGCCCGGGCCACGAGACCAAAAAGCCCGGCCAATTCGCACCGAAATAAGGCGATCGGAGACATAGCAGCTAGCCCAAGCTAGTCGTCGGCGAGCCTCAGTAGCTTGGTCGCCATACGGGTCTCCTCGGAAAGACGTTCGATCCAGTCCGATGAAGTAGCCCGAGCGGAGAGCGAGGCCGACATGCATCCACGCAGCTCGATCCTCCTCTCCGCGTCCAACACGCTCAATACGAGGCCGTAGGCCCTGTGGCTCCCATTCTGCTAGAAGTAATAGAGCCTCAACGGCTTCCACGTCGCAGTCTGCTCCAGCGGCAATACCCGAGATCAGCTCGTGCATGTACTTCGAACAGTACTCATGGATCTCCGGTCTATCGACCAGATCCTTGGAAGCAATAGTGAGGACGGCGGTAAGCAGGTGTTTTTCGTTGGTTGCGAAGTCATCGAGAGCGGAACACTCAAAGTACTTGCGTGGGACCAGTGGGAGAAATGGATGGAAGTTCTCCGCATATCGTGTGACCAACTGCCAAACAGTTGCCGGGTCAAGAGACCGAGATTGAACTAGTCTATAAGCTCGGATACCACTGGCAGTATTCGAGGCATTGAAGTCTGAAATAACGCCGGTGCGCAGACCGTTGTACGTCGAAAATGTCCCGGACTCGGACCGGAGGCGCTCGGCGCGGCCCTCTGGCACGGCACTGGCAGTATCCTGGGTGGCGATTCCGGTCAGACATTGCCAGGCATCAGATGGATTTCGTGGAACTGAATCAATCGAGCCCTCGTCATCCTCGACGGCAACTGAGGAGGTGGCTGGGGGGTTAGGCGGCAGGAAGACGACCGGGCCAGGATAGGATGCAGATGGCGGTCGGCGGGCTTCAGAGCTATTCGGGCTAGCGGTTTCCTCCGAATCTTTGCTGGGCGATGGATTGGTCGTCGGGGTAAAGTTCTTGATCTTGTTCTTGCGAATGCGCCGGCCACCACGGTTTGAACCGCCGAGTATGCATTCGCGATGCTCACGGACACAGCGCTGGCAAGGCGGCTTGCCCGGGTTACTGCCGTTAGTGTCTCTATGCGCGGGATCAGCGGGAACTCACAGCTTGCAGATCGGGCATTGGAAGCTGAAAGGGAAGGGAGCTTACAAGTCACAGCGGGATTTGCGCTGTCTGCAGTGCAGGCATGCCCGCGAAACGCGCTTGACGACGTGGTCGGGCCGCTGAGGCTGAGAGGCCGCGACTTGCGACGGAGACTCCATATCGTTCGGCCCCTTGCGACGGTGATGGGTTACAATGACATTATTGCCGGGCAAGAAGAGGTAGAAAACAAAGGCCGAATGGTGACCCACAGAAAAGCAATGCGGAGGAGAGAGGAGAGGTCCTTACTCATCGCCACGTTGGGATTTGGGTTTGTGGGGAAGGGACTACATCCGGGTTCATTGTCTACAATCCTCTACAATTGATGATCTTTCTTTTGAACAGCAAAGTGTGTTTTATTGTAAGTGAATCAGGAATTCCTCTTTTTTATCTAGGGTATTTCGATCCTACAATACAGCAATCGTATGATTAATTCACACCCTCCTCAACTCCCCTCTCTTTGCGGCTCCTCTCAATAGCCGACGGCAACGGACTCGGCAACGGGCGCTGCCCGATCCAGCGTGACCCCGCGCGTGGGGGGACTGCCCTGTCGTCATGCGCGATATTATTATTATTTGGAGGGACGCAGGTCCGGTTTCTCTCCTTTTCTCCAAACACTCTCACAATGGCATCTGTGGCTTCTCTATTCTCCCTTAGCGGGCGCACCGCCCTTATCACCGGCGGCACTCGGGGCATTGGCCAGGCGATGGCCTTCGCGTTGGCCGAGGCCGGCGCCGATATCATTCTCGTCCAGCGCGACGAGTCCAACACCGCCACCAAAGACGAGATTATCAGTCGCCTGGGTCGCAAGGCTTGCATCCATGTCGCGGAACTGTCAGACCGCAAGTCGGTCAAGGAGATCATTCCTGCAGTGACGAGCCAAGGACTGAAGCCGGATATCCTCGTTACTTGCGCAGGTATCCAGCGCAGACACCCCAGTCACCAATTCCCTGATGAGGACTGGGACGAGGTAAGCAGCCTAGTTAAAGGGACCAGGCATGGAAAGATCCAGCGCTAACTCGGACATTCTCCGATGTAGGTTCTGGAAGTCAACCTTTCCTCGGTGTTCGTGCTGTGCCGTGAGTTCGGCGCCTACCTGCTGTCTCGCGATGAATCCGAATTCACGTCGGGCCGCCGGGGATCGATTATCAATGTGGCCTCGCTGCTCACTTTCCAGGGTGGCATCACCGTCCCTGCCTATGCTGCCTCGAAGGGAGGTATCGGTCAACTGACCAAGGCCCTGTCCAACGAGTGGATTTCCAAGGGCATCAATGTCAATGCTATTGCGCCCGGTTACATTGACACCGATATGAACGTTGCCCTTATTAATGACGCCAACCGCAACACCGGTATCATGGCGCGTATTCCGGCCGGTCGGTGGGGCAGGCCGGAGGATTTCAAGGGAGTGGTGGTTTTTTTGGCCAGCGGCGCCAGCAGCTATGTCTCGGGCGAAGTTATCACCGTGGATGGAGGCTGGATGGGCCGGTAAATTGGACCGAGGTACGAAGATAGGATATGTGTTTACGATATCTCATATCTGAACATTTGCACGAATTATGTACATAGAGAAGATTGCATGCCCCCAGTTGGCCCCGGCACAGGTAGATAATGGGAGTATGGAAAAAAATTGCTGCCTGAGAAATCAGGCTGAAATAGACATGCCTTTCCGCTTTATTCCTTCCACCATTCAACGTTTGCCTTTCACATTTTAGAGACTTGCCTCACTTCCATTCATCCATTGATGACCCTTAAGAATGGTATGACTATGGCATTGTGCACCTGCACTACTGCCAGTGTGGTCAAAGAAATCATACGATAGGGCTTGTTCAATTTCACCATGTGGCATCAGGGGTATCTCCACCCACCGCGTTGAGTCGGTCGGTTTCTAATAGACAAATGTGAAACCGCAAAGACAAAGCCAATGTTGACAGGCCCATCCGATCCCAGCTCACAGACCCCCTGCCAGCAAAAGTGGGTTCAGGCTGAGATGGCACCGCTGCTCGTCCCTGGGCGCTTCACCGGTCGCAGATCTGCAAGGATCCTCAGCTGCCCTGGCTGCCAGCCCCATGCGGCCAATCATCACACCGGTACCTGCGGTTTCTGGCGCCCCTGGAAACACCGGCGCTTGCTGGAGACAGGAGGAGGCATCCCGATAGGCCCAGCCGGCCTCTGACTCGCTCGCTCAATCCATCCAGAAATGAGCTCTAGGCCAAGCAGTGGCTGCAAAGTCGACCTGCCTCGGACATGGCGTGTCGACTGACATCGGCCACTAAATTTCTTCTTATTACTCTCTCCTGGCCACTGCAGGGAACACTCCTTTTTTTACTGGGGTGTTCGTCGCAGGTCTTTTCCGTTCGTTTCGTGTCCACCGGCTGGTTCCTCTTGTCTTGCATCTTCCCATAGATCTTAGAACCGTGCCATGCGTTGATCGCATAGACCCTTTTTCTTCTTTTTATCTTCTTTTCCTGTTACTTGTTTGGACCATCCGCCAATCTCTTCGTCCACATTCGCCATCTTCCTCGTTTTCTCTGCCTCGGTAGAAAAAACGTGCCGGACCGGATCTGCCTCCCTTGCTACATTCCCGAGCGCCTAGACGATGCCTGCAGGAGCAGTGTGCAACGAGAGATCTGTGTCCTGACGATCCCCGAATACTTTCCAGATTCCACAAAATCGACTGTTTGGGGTTTCCCTTTTTGCCTCTCGCCGACTCAAGCAAGGCAGCCCACTGGCGTACTGGGCCTCGGGCTTCATTCACTACCACCACATCAGAACAGAAGGACACACACCATGAGTCTTGACCAATAACCGTTTCCCTCAAGTCCATTCACTGCCAGTCAAAGTCTTTCCGATTGGCATTTGGTCGACCGTGATCTCATTTTCTTCCGCCCCAACGTCACAGTGCTCGATCGCATTCCCTTCGAGCCCCCCGCAACCAGCCACCCGACATCATATCAACATTCATGCATTACAAAAACTGACCTTCAGCGCTCGCTTTGCACCAACACAAGTCTACATCATCACGAATATCGTCGGTTCCGCCACAATCCCGTTGCTGTTTCCGACATTTGTCCCTCAGCAGGCTCTGGGGCAAATCAATGGCTGCATCCCAACCGCACATCGCGGCGCGAGGCTATGGCACAAATACGACATACATTTACGAATACTCCCGGGGGCTAGGAGGTGTGGATGTCCCCCGCGATGTCATTATCACTCGGATCATCTACTCCTCGGTCGTGATACTGGCTTTTGGTGTCTTCTGTGGGCGGATAGCGCAAATCAGCCATGCATTTCTCCGTCTGACCAGTTCTTTCACGGCAAACAGGAGGCAGCAGACTTTCTGGAGCCAGGAGCGATCGACATGGTGGGCCAACACAAAGAAATATCTGCTCTACGCTCCACTGGGTCGGAAGAGACACAACAGGGAGATCCAGCTATCCTCAGCGATTGGTATCGGCACATTACCATCCCGTTTCCAGACAATCTTGGTCACTCTCTACTTCGCCAGTCAGGTGGTGTATTGCCTGTTTTTGGACTACGCAGTCAACGAGAAAGCAGCTTTGATAGCGGAGCTCCGTGGACGCTCTGGGACGCTGGCCGTCCTTAATATGGTGCCACTGTTTCTCCTCGCAGCTCGCAATAACCCCCTGATCTCGATCTTACGTATTAGCTTTGATACGTACAATCTCCTTCATCGATGGCTTGGTCGTATCGTAGTGATCGAATCCCTCGTTCACACGGCTGCTTGGGCAGTCAATGCATGCGCAGAGCAAGACGTGACTGACATGCTTGCGCGTCTGAGAGATACACCATTCTTTAGCTGGGGCCTGCTGGGAACAGTGGCGATGCTCTTCCTCGGTCTGCACTCCCCGTCACCGATTCGCCATGCATTCTACGAGACCTTCCTTCATCTCCATCAACTCGCCGCCTTGCTCGCCTTCCTCGGTGTATACGCCCACCTCAATCTAGACAGCCTGCCCCAGCGAAGCTGGGCTCATGTCATCGCGGTCATCTGGCTGGTCGAGCGAAGCCTCCGCCTGTTCCGTCTAGTTTACCTCAACTTCTCGCCCAAACACGGCTCGACAAATATGACTGTTCAAGCTCTCTCGGGTGAAGCATGCCGAGTAACCTTCCACCTCCCCAAGCGCGTCGATATCAAGCCAGGTTGCCATGTCTACGCCTACATCCCCAGTGTGTCCTGGTGGATGTCACATCCATTCTCCATCGCTTGGTCCGAATCCAGCAGCAAGAGCAGCCCCTCGACCGCCATGGCGAAGCACATTCAAGACACCAAGACCAAGTCATCCCCACCCATAAGCCCCTCGACACTAGAAAAACAATCATTCGACCTGGACGCCTACCTCGAACCCGCCCACAACCCAACCCAAGTCTCCCTCATAATCGGCGCCCAGCAAGGCATGACCCGCCGTCTCTACAACATGGCCAACGCAAGCCCTCTCAAGACCCTTCAGCTACCCGGCTACATCGAAGGACCATACGGCTCACATCCGGCAAATGCAGCCAGCTACGGCACAGCAGTCCTTTTCTCTGCCGGTGCAGGCATCACCCACCACCTCCAATACACCCGCGACCTGGTACTCCGCGCCTCGACGTCCTGCGCTGCAACCCGCCGCGTTTACTTGATCTGGTCCGTCCGATCAACCGACCACCTCGCCTGGGTAAGCCAATGGATGGACGAGATCCTGCGTCTCCCGCAGCGCCGCGAGATCCTCGTCGTCAAACTATTCGTTTCAAAGCCACGACGTGCAGCAGACATCGTCTCCCCCTCTTCGACGGTCCAGATGCATTCTGGTCGGTGTCGGCCGGATGTTGTGCTAGACGAGATTCTCCCGGTGCGAGTCGGTGCGACGCTTGTTTCAGTGTGTGGGCCCGGTGCCTTTGCGGATGAAGTTAGAGCTGCGACAAGGGATAGAATTGGCAAGGGGGCTGTGGTGGATTTTGTGGAGGAGGCTTTTACGTGGTAGATTTTTTCTTGTCCTTGCGAATTTCCTGCCTTTTTCCACCTCGCTTCTTCTATCTTATTCAGTGTATCTTTTGCATTGGCGCTGGGGTCTTAGTAATGTCTATATTTTTATATCTCGAGATCAGTCAATCTATCTATTCCTATCAATGAACTGTTATTCAACGTAGTCGATAGTTGGGGAAATCAAGGTATTCACAATTGCTTGTATTGATGTATTCAGACTCTAGTCTAGGTAACGTTCTTTTTGCTCAACGCAGGAAAAGAGTATAAAAATCTATGTCTGGGAGAGGTCCGAATTGTAGAGAGCTCCAAAAGTCCAGAAGATGTGCAAGAAAAAGAAGAAGAGAATATTCACAAATATACAATATTAAGGCCGAGGAGAAGTGCCCTCAATTAGTTCTTGCTCCGGCTGCCCTTGGGCACACGAGCAAGCCAGTAAATGCCTACCGCAGCGGCAATGTTGAAAATAATGTACACCCACATGAAGCCAAAGTTGCGCCAAGCATCCTTGTAATAACTGCCCACCTGCGCAAGATAAGCATCGGTGCTGGAGATGGAGCAGAAGGAGCAGTTGGAAGTGGCCTCCTCGTTCTGGAGGTAGCCGCCATACTGGGACATGTATCGTTCCATGTATTGGAAGCAGGTCTGGCCGGAGGGCGGCTGAATGGAGAGGTACTCGACGGCACTGCATTCGGCTTTTGTACCTGATACACCGGTCGAAAGCATTGCAGAGACGAGATAGGTGAATGGCGAGAGACGGTACATGAAGATCCAGAAGCCGGGCATCTTCTCGGGAGTGGCGAGGACACCGCAGAAGATCAGGCAGAGGGAGAAGAGCAAGTTGGCCAGGTTACCACCTGTCTCGGCGAGTTCGATACCTGCGATAATCATGTGGGCGAAGGTCGAGGTAAAGAGAAGGAAGGTCCAGATGAGGAGGAACATCAGGGCGCCTCGCTCGTGGACTGCATCGTTAGGCTCAGCGTTACGGTATAGTCCAATTGGGTAGTACCAGCAGACGAAGATGAAGACGGCCATGAGAGTGTTCCAGGGAAGCTCGACGAGGATGTTGGCGGTCATGAAGGCCTTCCAAGAGTAGGTCTTCGAGGGACGCTCACGGACTTCGTAGAGAGATCGCTGGGTACAGAAGTGAGGCATGATTTGCTGGACCAGGTTACCAAAGATAGTCATCAGCATGAAAATACTGAACATCTGGTTCTGGAGACCTTGGGCGCTGTTCTTCGAGTGGAAGAAAGAGAAACCGATGTAGAGAGCAGTGAGGATGCAAAGAGCGGCCTTAGAATAGATATAAACCGGGGTGCGCCAGTACTGACTGAATACACGGACCAGACACTCCCAGAGTTGGACGGAGAAGGGCGCGGCGAATTCCTTGTAGTTGGCAGGGTCACTGGAAGACTCATCCACAGACTTCTGAGACAGTGTCGACTTCAAGTGCGCCAGGTGGTTGTGCACCTCCTTGCGCTCAGGACTCTCGCGCCAGACGGCGGGCCAGTCAATATCGCTGTGAGAACCAGGGGCAGCACCAATAACTTCCAGCATCCATTCAGCGGGGTTGGCCTCAACAGGCAGCTTAGGGGCACCGTTGCGTTCGAAGTAGCTTGAGAGAGTGGAGGACTTCTCGCCGATATCTCCGAAGTAAACGGTCTTACCACCCCTGGCAAGAAACAGAAGACGATCGAAACGCTGGAAAAGCATGGCCGAAGGCTGGTGGATAGTGCAGAGAATGGCCTGGCCGTGCTTGGTCAGGGTGTCGATGAGATCAAGAATTGACCATGAAGTCTGGGAGTCAAGACCGGAAGTAGGCTCGTCAAGGAAGAGAAGAAGCTGGGGTTTGGCAGCCAACTCAACACCGATAGTGAGACGCTTGCGCTGCTCGACGTTGAGACCTTCACCGGGAACACCGACGATGGCATCAGCGTAGGCTTCCATACCAAGGAGCTTGATAACCTCCTCAACATAGTCGAGCTTCTCTTGACGGGGGACATCGGCGGGTTGGCGAAGCTGGGCACTGAAGCGGAGAGCTTCACGGACGGTGGTGGTGTACAAGTGAAGATCCTGCTGCTGAACGTAACCAGTCTTACGCTGGAAAGACTGGTCGCGGAGACGTCCGTCAACAAGCATCTCACCAGAGACGACACCCATAGTGACACGAGTAGCAAGCACATCAAGCAGTGTGGTCTTTCCGGCACCAGACACACCCATCAGAGCAGTACAGGTACCAGGTTTGACCCAACCGTCAACGTGATCCAGAATACGGCGTTCTTCGTTCTTGATCTTAATGTCGTAGCACACGTCCTGCCAGTGGAAAACAGCAGTCTGACGCTGAATACCAGCAGTGACCTCCTGGCTGCTTGTCTCATCGGTCTTCTCAGCGGGGCTGACAGGTTGGGTGCCCTCAATATCATCCTCGGACTTCATGTTCTTGGGAGCGTGTCCACGGCGGAAAAGCAGAACTTCGCCCTTGGACTTGGACTCGGAGATGTACTCAGTTGCAATGAGGTAGGTAGCCATGAAGAAGATCATGAAAGCAAACATGATACCCAGGTTGCGCCACTTGTGGCTGTTGTAGTACTGGAAGCTGTCGTGGAGATAGTCGTCACCGAAAACATCACCCTGGCCAGCACGTGCACCCTTGGTGTTACAGACCTTGTTCGCAAGTGTAGGTCCGTAGAAAGGAACAAACGATTCATCCTTGCACGTGAACCAACGATTGTGAAACTCGTTCACCATGAGCGACTCGAAACCGTATCCAATCGGATCAATATAGTTCATCCATCGGGACCAGCCAAGCATGTTGGTGGGCGGGATGGTGAAGCCAGTGTAGATAACCAGACCCAGAATCAGGATAGCCGCAGGGACCAGAGCCTGGGAGAGGGTTCGCGAAGAGGCAGCGATAGTGCGGAAGATCATGGACATAGTCAAGGTAGTCACGAGAGAGAAGAGCAGGAAGGTGAAGAAGGCGCCAGGAGTGCGGCGGAGATTGGTCATGAAGTAGAGCGTCACGTTAAACGTCACCGTATTGAGCAGTTTGTATGGCATATCGCACAGCATCGAAGCGACGGCTTCGGTGAAGGGATGGTACATAGCGTAGCGTGCTTGCTTTTCAACAATGGGTCGTTGCGCGTAAAGGGTCAGAATCTGTGGTTTTGTTAGCGACACTATTCAGACTGTATGGGAATAAACTGCAGCATACCTCAAGTGCACTGGAGAAGGCGTTAAGGAGGACAGCAAAGAAAAGAAGAGCACCGCGAGAGTAGAAACTATCGGTGGTGGGTTGAAGGTTGAAGAAGACGGAGCCAATGATAAGAGCCATAATGAAGTTACCGATGAGTTGGGACAGGGTCAAGCTGGCATCGCCCTTGAGACGTTGGAAGCCACGAACCATGCAGAGGTTGATTTGCTGCATGACGGAGAGTGTATAGGGAGAGCGGACATGCTGGCTCTTGGCCTGCATAGCTCGGCGAGAATCGATGAACTTCTGCAGCGACTCACCACCAATGGGGTAGGTCTGGTCGTACTCCTCAATCTCCCTCATCAATTGCTTGTATGCTTCGCTAGTCTTCCAAGCCTCAGCAAACTCGTCAGGAGTACGAGGAACGCGGTCCTCGTAGCCCTTCTTAACAATGCGCTCCGAGGGGCTAGTGAGCGAAGTCAGGAAGTCGGCGGTAGTTTGACGCTCGGGGCATTCGAAGCCCATGTTGGTGAAGAACTCTTTAGCATCGCCGGTGTGGCCGAAGTAGATCTGTCGGCCTTCGTACAAAACGGTGACTTTGTCGAAGACATCGTAGGCGCTTTGAGAAGCCTGGTAGATAGCAACGGCACAGGTAGTACCGGAGTACTTAGACATCAAGTTCAGGGTCTTGCAGAACTCCAGGGCGTTGGCACTGTCCAGACCACGGGTACTGTTGTCCCAGCATTGCAGGGGGCTTCCGCAAAGAGTTGCCTCGGCGATCGAGACCCGTTTGCGCTCACCACCGGAGACACCACGCACAAAGTCGTTTCCAACACGGGTGTTAATAGTGTGCGAGAGACCCAGCATGGCCATAACGACGTCACGCATGTGCTCGGCGTGCTGCTCGCGAGTGACGTCCGGCAGACGGTTGCGGGGGGTACGCGCCAGAGCGGCGAATTTCAGAGTGTCGCCCACGGACAGCTGAGGGAAGTGCACATCGGTCTCGGCAGTGTAGATAGCTTCACCACGGAATTGGTTCTTCATCTTCTTGTCGGAAATACCCTGGTAGTTCATTGTGGACTTGTCGTCTTTGTGAATACCATTCATCTCGCCGGCCAGCGTCTTCAAGAGAGTCGAGCAACCGGAACCAGGACGACCCAGGACGACAAGCATCTCGCCACTCTTCACCAGTCCATCGAAATCACGTAGAATTTGAATCTTCTGCTTGCCGGAGCCGGTCATCATGCGGAACAGACCGCCAATTTGCAGAACAGAGTTGAACACATCCTTCTGGTAGTCCGTAGGGCTACCGTAGCCGTGGACACTGAGGTTGCGGAAAGAAACACCGGCCTGGCGTTGAGGATAGCGTTCGGGGTCACGAGAGGTGATAGCCAGCAGGTTCTTCATCCAATCGCGGGCTTTGAAGTTAGGGCTGTGCGGGTTCAGTGCGGAGTCCTCTTTCGCATCGAGGAAAGTGTTTTCGCCATCGACAAAGCGAGTAGATTCACGGGTCAGGTGCCGAGCGAGACGAGTGACCTCGGCTTCAACAGCCTCTTCGTCGCCAATTTCATTGGACTTTTCCAGCGCGGTTTCGTCGGTGCTCACGCTGGCAGCCGGGTCGTGGCGAAGCATCTCGCGCGAGACGGTCACCGATTCGGTGGTCGACTCGACGACATTGGGGTTAATTGTCCCCAGGAGCGACATAGTGAGGTCCTCCGATATTTGGGATATTATCGACTGTCGCGTCTAGTATTTGAAAGGGAAGGTGTGGGGCCCAGTCAGGAGTCGGTTAGGAAATGACCATCCAGTGGAGAGACGTTGTATCAAAGGCGGGTAGAGTATAAGAGAGGAGATCGAAGGATATGTGGGATGCAGATGGCGATTAAGAAATAAGGAATTAGAGTATCGAGGAATTTATGAAAGGGAAAAAACGAGCGCCAGGAGGCCACGATCCAGCGATCAAAGAAAATAAATATGCGGAGGGCCAAAAATGTCATTGCTGAAAAAATCGGGCCCGGGAACTATCCCAACTTCGCCTCCGAAAGGAAAGGTGGGCATCCGGCGATAAGCCACCGGAGACAGGAGCGACCGCGTGTATTGGATGCCTAACCGGTATTACCCTAGAGACCCTCGAGCATTGGGCCCTCCAATGGTACCGACCAGGCGAATTACCATCTGCGAATTTAGGCTAGTCCCCGGTTCTAGGCTTCGCCTGGCTCCAATGTGACAGGGGTCGGGATCCCCTCAGAGCCCAAGTGCTGCATATACGCAATCGGGGCTAGCTGTCAGTTCGAGTTGTGCTTGCATTACGGGAGTATGCGCGGCGGGCCCGATTGGCTGGGGGCGTATTCTTTTCAGGGTTCGAGAAGACCGAAAAGTGGGCCGGGAGCCCTGCATCCGAGCAGGCTGGCCAAACTGGCCCACGCGGAGCTCGATGGTTGTCTTCCCGCCGCGCTCTCGGATCGGCTCAACCCCATCCGAATGACTCAGCCGTTTCGTCCGTGTTTCATGCCCGCCTCATGGCGTTCGCCCGAACTATGCGGACGATCAATCTCGTTTCCCATACAGCTAGCTGCTTTCAGCTCTCAAAGCGATAGGCTGCATGTCAGATCTTGAAAGCTATGACCTGTCTGTTCGACGGAAGACGACTCGTAAAGAACGAACTATGTACCCTGGGCTGGGTAGGCGTCAACACTTGGCGGATACCTAACTTGCCGGGGCTAACCAAATTGGTTTAAATCTGCGAGTTGACCAGAGACATACAAATGCTCCACCCATAATAGTACATACCGTGGCCCAAAGGAGGGTAATGATGAGTAATGATGAGTACTAACTATGTACGTACTCCGTCCAAGGTAGACCCATTTAGACCACCTGCTGCGTATGTTGACGAGTCATTCTTACAAGGGCATCAAGGTGCCATGTGCAGCGCTCAAAATTCTGGACAATTCGTACAGGGTATCCCCTCGAGATCTTCTATGATGACGTAGCAACTTTCTCTCCCTCCTCTTCATCCTCCTCTTCCTCTTCCTCTTCTTCCTCGATCGGCTCCACCAGTAAATTGCCACCCCGGCCGATCTTATCGCGGATCGTCCCGCCCTCTTCAACCGCATATACGGCCCGGGGCATCGGCGACACCAATCGGAATCCATACTGATGCTCAAAGTCTTCAGGCTTGGTCACATCTGTTGGTCGTGACTCATCCTGCAGGACCTCATAGCACTCTACTACCGCATAAAGCTCCTCGATATTGGCATCAGGTGCAAACCGACGCATGATTCGCTCGCCAGAGGGCAAACGCACACTAATGCGCACCGCATCTTTTACATCAATGTCGGGCTCGGCGCCAAGGGACTGTGCTCGCCATTGCTTCCACTGAGCCAGATCGCGCAGCTTCTTTTCTTCGGCCGCCTGCCGGTCCGCGGCCTCTTGCTCCTCGCGTTGTCGTGCGGCCTCGGCTTCCCGGCGTTGACGTGCCCGTTCGCGATCAATAGCCAGTGACCGCTCGTATGCCGAATCTTGCTGTTCACGCAAGCTGCGAGAAGCCTGTTGCTCGGATCTGGTTGCGCGGATACGTTCCAAGGGTTCCTGGTTTGTGGTGATCGTCGTGCGAAGCCGGGTCACGAATTCGGACGGCGAGGTTGTTCCCGCAATGCGGCCAACCACCGACATAGCCGTCGAAGACACATTGGGGGTGTGGACAATCACCGCCGCGAAAGGGAACTTGGTACACTTCAGGGAGTTGGCCACTTGGTACGCTTCGGAGTCCTGAACGTTGCCGCCCCACACCAGAAGGTTGTTTTGCGGGTCGTTGATGAACTCCACGACCTCGGGTGCCAACAGGGTATCGCGCACCCAGCCACTCGTATCATCATGTTCGGGTGCGAGGAGCACGATCAACATAAAATTCAAGTCTCGGTGGGACTTCTCCAATGCCATATTATATCCATTTTCCAGGAAAGGAACCGAGTGCGATCCATATTCCTCCTCGAACTCGCGAATGAACCGGGCGGCAGTATCCTTCGGGCCTAGGGGTCGGCGGCCCGTCGTATTCAGCCGTGCTCCCTGTAGAGCTGGATTCGCGGTTGCGTTGAATAGGCGCGGGAGGAATGGAAACAAAGACCCAAAGAGGCGGAAAGAGCTGTACAAGAGTCGATACACCAAGTTGAAAGGCGTGAACAGTAGGGCAATAATTAAGGGTGGTCGATAACTCGGTTGGTCTTCAGGTTGTGTATCTACACGGGGCGCTGGGTCCGCTGAACGAGCAGCCGGCGAAAAATGTTCGGTGAGGTCATCCGACATCAGGTTCTGGGTTCGTCGGGCTGGTCGTACAGGAGGGGACTGTAGGGCCTCGCGAGCCTCCTCGAGTGGATCGGGGCCCTCGCCATCAAAGAACTTGGCGATCGCTATCTATACGGGGCGTTAGCATCCACGGAGTACAGCATTTGGAGGGAGGGAGGGGATCTGCTCACCTGGACATTCCATTGCGAACGGCGGAGTAGAGCAATGGCCTCGGCTGGTTCCTGGCCCGTTACAGCTGTGTGTGTCTCTAGCGCGGACCTCTCGGTGGGAGAGAGCTGGTCAATGTCGAGCTCGTCGGACATGGTGGCTGGATAGATGGGAGCTGTGAGCCGCGAGGGCCGAAAGGACATGTAAACTCCGAATGGGGTCACCGCCTACCCTACCGCCTGATCAATGATGCGGAGGCGTGTTGATCGCAGCCCCGCGGAACCGGCGAGCTGCTCACCACCCTAGATTATCGGTTAAAAAGTATGATATACAGAGCGTTGCACTTTTAAATTTTAATGGCCTTATCTTACCAACGCCCTGTCTGCTCAAGTTGGCTTCGGTTAAATGCACCAGAGGGGCTTAATAGTATTACGTCATCAGGGACCAGCATATTTCAGGCATACGATAAGCTTACCTTGACTACTTGCTTAGGGATCCTTGTAAATTCTTCACATCCATGAATAATAGACTATTCTCTGGGTTATTTTATTTCTGGTCCAGCTGAAAGTGAGGTGGTAAAACTCCGCCATAGCCCGCCTGTTGACTCTGGATAGTATGGCTGACCCAAACGGGAATAGTACCGGCTACGTGATTATATATCTTCCAGATAATACCATGAGTGCTAAGATAAGTGAAATTCCCTTTTCATGATTTCAGTTCTCCTTCACTTGTTCATCGCTTGAATCTAAATCATCACATCAGCGTGAAAATATCCACTCCATAAAATACCCGGATCATATTCCCCGTCTGCTATCTGCAGGCACACCACCGTGATCCGATCGCCAGCCTGACCGCCTGGTCCGTGCGCATCCCCCTTCACTCGAGTTCGCCTCGCCCCGCGTCCTTCTGGCCATCGGCTCTATCGCTTCCGATCTCGTCTTGGAGGGCGAAGCCGCACTAGGCCACTCATATTATTATCCGTGTGGTTACTTACCTTCTTAGTCTCGCTGCGTTCCTCGTGGCCTCTTCCGCAATTGACCCGCACTCGACGATCTCCAATACGCGCGGACGACACTTGGAGGAGCATCGGATCGCAGGGAATGTGGTTCCCTCTCGATCAACCCATTCACCTCATCTCCGTTTCCGTTTCAATGGAGATCCAGCTGCGCTGATCTGTTCGTAATCGTCGGTATCATCCGTCCTGAATGGCATCCTCTGGCAAACCGCCTTTGGATGACTCCCGTCGCACGATGGGGTCGCCAAAGATGAAGACTCGAGGTGAGTGTGGGCAAGTAGCCGTTCCGTGGATTCTACCTTGCAGACGGGAATGAGAAGATGAAATCGATCGGGCGGAGTGGTGCGCCGGATAGATCATGCTGACTCGGGAATTCCAAACAGAGAACGCTAAAGACACGCTATGCCGCAACGTGACAATATACGGTCGTTGCCGTTATGAAGACAAAGGTATTGTGGACCTCTTCTTCTGTGCGGCCGCAGGAGTTTCTGACGCAGAATTTGCCAACTTCCATAGGGTGCGCTTTCAATCACGATCCCCACAAGGTGAACTCGTCGTATCAGTCGGATAGGTTAGTCCAGCCCGCCGAGGCAATCGATCCCCATCCCAAGGACAAGTCAGAAGGCTAAATAGCTCCATACAGCAATAAGAAACGCTTCAATGTCGACTCACCAAGCTTCACCCCCTCCCTCTTATCCGGCAATGGCGCATCCGGTCCCAAGAAATCCACCACCATCTCCCCGAAAGCTGCCAATGCTGCTCCGTTTCAGCCTAGAACCACCGCCTCTCGTATGGCGTCCCCCGTACCGGTTCCAAGGACCCCGCTGACTGGCAAAGGCTCGAACACGAGTACCCCGCGACAAGAAGTAGGAACCCCCGATTGGACGATGGCAGAAGCGCAGGAGTTTGTTCCTCAGGGCTTTGAAGGCGCGCACATGGTAAGTCCAAGTTACCCTTTCTGTTTGTCGCGAGTGTTTGGCGCTGCTTCTGCGGATTGGAATTTGGCGGGGTATGTTCAAATAAGGCAGGAGCGCGTCGAGGTGCAGGTGGTTACCGGCGGCGGTGTCGCAACTTCGGGAGCCATGTATACATGACTCAGGTTGAGTCTTAAACTCTTAAGAGACCATGGACTCGCGTGCTTCACCAAACCACCACAGCCTGCACTCCGGCTCTAGTCCACCTGCTATCGCTAAAGGTCCTGCCACAATGATGGGCTCTTACCACACACGCTCTACCCGAAGCCTGAGTGCTCTGGCCGATGACTTTGATCCGCGGGAGCGACGCTTTATACCTCGCAGCTCCAGCCTCTGTTCCTTTCTGACCGAGAATGCTTCGCAGTCTCTTCAAGGCAATGGAAACGGCACAATCACACCCACTGGTGCCTTCGACCCATTTGTCACAGCCTCGGGTCCTCTTTCCGCCGCAGGAGCTGTTGGGCCTGTCTCTGCTAACCCATACTCCCACGACACTGCAGCTGCACTCGGCGGAGCAGCTTTTTTCACGAACCAAACGGGTTTTCAGCAACCGGTATGCTGAGGCGTTCGTAGATTCTTTTTTCGAGACCTTGCTGATTCCCTCCAGGTTCAATATCACCTTTACGCCCCGATCGGTCCTCACAACCAGAACACGCTTGGATATCAGCGGAATGTCCACGATCTCTTTCTCCCCAATGATTTCAGAGAAGAACTCCAGAAGAAGGCGGCGGCTACCCTGCAAACATTACCCAGTACGTTTGGTCATGCGACTGCCCGTTGATCAAACTATGCTAATTGGTTTTCAGATACACAATTGCCTGCTCAGGTCGACTACTTCCACTCCCTAGTCCCTTTGGACCTTAGCCACCAGAAGAACGCTGCTACTTTCGGATACCCAAGTTGGGTTTACAAAGCACAGTCGAGTAAAGACGGCAATTTCTATGCATTGCGGAGACTTGAGGGTGCGCAAACCTTTCAAGTCAAATCTGAGCCCGAGTTTGATGGTCACTAACTCCGATACAGGATTTCGCTTGACCAACGAAAAGGCCATTCGGTCTGTCCAAGCTTGGAAGCGGGTCTGCAGTGGAAGTGTTGTGACTGTGCATGATGCGTTCACCAGCCGGAGCTTCCAGGACAGCTCACTCATCTTCGTCACCGACTACCACCCCCTCTCCAAGACGCTCGCCGAGCAACATTTGGGTACTGGAAATCGCTTCCCGAACCGTCACGGCACACACATTACTGAGCAGGTCCTCTGGGGCTATATGACGCAGATCGCAAATGGCTTGAAAGCGATTCACTCGAACGGCCTCGCAGCACGAGTGTTGGAGTCCAGCAAGGTTTTGCTGACGGGCAGAAATCGTATCCGCATCAATGCATGTGCCATTCTGGATGTGGTCCAGTTCGACAATCAGAGAACGGTAGCCGACCTGCAGCGGCAGGACCTGGTCAACTTCGGGCAAATGATTGTCACTCTGGGTGCCAACTCGCCGAATGTCATGCACAACCCTGGCAAGGCAATGGAACACTTCACCCGCGCGTACAGCCCGCAGATGAAAAATTCCGTCTTTTGGCTTCTGAACTCATTGCAGAAAGACCAGGAACGAAATATCGATATTTTCATCACCGGAATCTCATCCCAGCTGATGTCGACCTTCGACTCGGCCCTCCACCTGGATGACCAGCTCACATCAGATCTGAGCCGCGAGCTTGAAAATGGGCGCCTCGTACGCCTGGTGACCAAATTGAACTTCGTCAATGAGCGACCAGAGTATGAACATGACCGCCAGTGGTCAGAGAATGGCGAGCGCTATTTCTTGAAGATTTTCCGGGACTACGTTTGGCATCAAGTGGATGCGCAGGGTGACCCTGTGGTCGACCTTGGACACGTGCTGACTTGTCTGAACAAGTTGGATGCAGGAACTGACGAGAAGATTACGTTGATCAGTCGTGATGAGCAAAGCTGCTTCATCGTTAGCTACAAGGAGATCAAGAAGGCACTCGAGTCCTCCTTCCAGGCGCTGATGAAGCCGACAAGAAGAATGCATTAAACGTCGCTGTGTCTTTTTTTCTGCGGGTGCGCTTGCACATGTGATTCACAGTTATGACGGTTCTTCTAGCTGTCTCCAACCTTATTCCCTTTTTTCGCCTTTACACGCACAGGATTTGATTGTATCGGAGGGAATGATGCCTTCTGATGGTATGTGTGGAAGTCTCATGGTCTCAATACATTTTGTTTGACCGAACAAGGGGCAGCGGACCATGCTGCCAGACTATCTCATGGAAATACAGACAGATAAAGAATGAAGAAACCTCAAATCTCATCCTGGCGCAAACTATTTTGATAAATACTCCGAGTCATACTCCAACGTCACGTGCTAACCACGTGCCCTTACTCACTCCATCACAGCTCCGCCCGGGGCATCCCCTTACATTCATCGAAACTATCTTTCAACGTTTCCATCGATATCTCTTCCAGACCATCTTTCTCACCAACATGAAGCTTCTTTGGCGGCACCAATACTTGGTCCAAAACATGTAAAACGCCATCCCGCGCCAAAACATCATGGACTCTGATCGTGTCAACCCCATTTATCCGCATGACAACAGACATACCAGGCCACGAAACATCGACGCTGAGCTTTCGATTTTTCAAAAGCGTCGTCAGTTTTATATGAACCGAAGCGCCTCTCTTACCGGATCCGAACTCGTACATGTGTCCATGCTGATCGTACAGGATGTCTGAATACAATGTGCGGTCCGGAACAAGGTGGTACCGCAGTAAGGCTTGCAGACATTTCTTGCCGCCCTCTGAGAAAAGGTACTCGTTTGCATGTGGTCCAAGACGATTGAAAGCAGCATTCGTCGGGGCGAATGTCGTGCCGCTGTGCTTAATGTCACCCGTCAGATGGTGAGCCAGCTCTGCCTTTTCAAGACCCAAGGCAAAGGTGCTGAAGTGATCTGGAAGGAGTCTGAGAATCGTGCTTGTGTTTGGTGGTGGGATTAGGGGCGTGTTGATCTGGTGGAGAATGCCATTGCTTCCAATCTGGAAGCGGTTAATCGCTTGCTTACGACTCTTAGGGGCTTGGATACCTACTATATCACCTGCAATGACCTCACTCGCCCCGTTCAATACGACCTGGCGCTGATGTCTGCTCGCCACAATGCGTTGTGGCATATTCTTACCCAAGCTGGTCTCATTCAGTGCCGTGGGCAGTGTCTGCTGATTCTTCACTCGACGAAAATCAAGCCTCTTCGGCAAGATGTGATACTGCAGAAGCTCATTGATGAACGAAGGCTGATGTCGACGGTCAAGGAGCCTGTCTATAGCACTGTTGGTCGGGGCCAAGAGGGTATAATTTCCCTCGCTGCTATTGAGCAGCGTGACCAAGTCGTCATGGTTCTTGAGGAGCTCGGCTAGTCGAAAGGTCTTTCGGCTCTCGTTGATGAGCTCCCAGAGCGTGTGGTTTTCCATGCAGAATCGCGGTGAAAGAAAGAAATGGGAGCAATGTCCCTCCCAGCTGTCGCGACCTCTGCCATCTCCAGGCCAGCCGTCATTGCCTCGTCCGCTATCACCACCGCGTCCAGGGCCTTCGGGGCAGCAACATCCCCTTCCTGGACCTCCATACCCAGGACCGCGACCATATCCTGGAAGACCACCGCCCCATCCAGGGTCACAGCGGCCTCCTCCAGGTCCTCCGCCCCCAGGCCATCCTCTACCACCTCCAGGGCCGCCTCCAGGACCGCCACCTCCTCCAGGACCACTTCCACCACCACCCCCTCTTCCTCCTCCGCCGGGGCTTCCTCCGCCACCCCCAGGTTCACTACCACCACCTCCGCCAGGTCCCCCACCACCAGGGCATCCAACTCCCCCGCCAGGTCCTCCCCCTCCTCCAGGACCGCTGCCACCTCCTCCACCAGGGCCACTTCCACCACCACCGGGCCATCCACCACCTCCACCGGGACTGCCTCCGCCTCCTCCAGGTCCACTGCCACCACCTCCTCCAGGACCTGGCCCGCCGGGTTCACCACCACCGGGCCATCCACCTCCGCCTGGACCACCTCCGTCACCGGGATCTTTTCCAGGCCAACCTCCACCGGGACCGCATCCAGGACTGCCACCATATCCTGGAGGACCACGATCAGGGGGACCGCCTCCCCAGCCAGGGCCATCACCATAACCTGGTCGACCACCGCCATAGCCTGGAGGACCGCGATCAGGAGGACCGCCTCCCCAGCCAGGGCCACCCCCATAACCTGGTCGACCACCGCCATAGCCTGGAGGACCGCGATCTGGAGGACCGCCTCCCCAGCCAGGGCCACCCCCATAACCTGGTCGACCACCGTCATAGCCCGGAGGACCGCGATCTGGAGGACCGCCTCCCCAGCCAGGGCCACCCCCATAACCTGGTCGACCACCGTCATAGCCTGGAGGACCGCGATCAGGGGGACCGCCTCCCCAGCCAGGGCCATCACCATAACCTGGTCGACCACCGTCATAGCCCGGAGGACCGCGATCAGGAGGACCGCCTCCCCAGCCAGGGCCACCCCCATAACCTGGTCGACCACCGCCATAGCCCGGAGGACCGCGATCAGGGGGACCGCCTCCCCAGCCAGGACCATCACCATATCCAGGGAGGCCACGTTCAGGAGGGCCACCGCCCCAGCCAGGGCCACGATCAGGAGGACCGCCACCCCAACTAGGATCTTCACGTGGATCCGGACCACCTCCTCTGTCAGGCCCTCTGTCTGCGTCTCCATAACCGGGATTCTCGCCATATCCCGGAACCCATTCCTTATCGGCTTCATACTGGGCAGCCTTCAACCCCCCATCCAAGCTCACATCAAGACCCAGCAAGCCCATCGCAACCTCCGTAGCCGGTTGATTGCTATTTTGAGATAGCTCGGTCATTCTCAGCCACCAAGAATCGACCTCGGTGTCTTCGTCTTGACCGGATTCATTGTTGGCAAGTAAACTAGCATCATCGGCCAAAACCTCTTGATCGGGAATAATCACAGCAGCGCATAGAGATGTCGCCGCGGACAGAAGTATGAACCGCATGACGACTGGTCGTGATTTGGAGACCGTCGTCGCATGAAATTCACCAAAAATAAGAAGAAAGCAGAGAGTAAGACGAGAAACAAGGCGCCGGGGCCCAGATCTATAGATCCCTTCCAGGCTAGTTCGAACATTGTCCCTCTCCTCTCCCATTTACCCCGTGTTTTAACGAGTGTTGCACTGCATCTTGTCCAACAGTCGCGGAGAGATAATGGATAACCGTAAATGGCCAAACCATAAAATCCGATGAGGTATTTGAGACGAGCCTGTGCTTGTGGCGAGTTGTACAGAGCACAGCTTTTGGATATACACGAGGCAATCACGATGCATAGTCCAATCATTTATCTTTTGATGAGTTATATTCCGAGGTGGATGTTGCAATTGGAAACACCGCGTGGAGAGTCCATCACCGGATCACACTTGTGATGCCTATCGTCGGTACCTTGGGGTCGACTTGCTTATTGCATATGTTGTGTACTTCAAGTTCAGTGCTGCGTGGATGAAGATTATTGGTTATATGCTAGCATTGTTATTCATAGAATCTAGCTTGTATTGTATTCATTCATTTGAGTTATTGAGGTATCTAAAAAAGGTAGAAAAAAAGGCAATAAATCAGTCGAGTCATTCACATCCAACTTCGCACTCGCAGCTCCCAGGATCTGCTTTGAAAGTCCCTTTATACATAAATCATCATGTAACATGGTAGCATGTCGTCATTTTTGGCTCTATTCGCGCGAAGAGTTTAATCGAGGTCAGGAATGGGCAACCCATTCACAATCTTGACCTTCCGGCCCAATTTGTCCAAGGCGACCTTGGAGTTGTATGCACGGAGCTTACTTGTCTCTGCATCGGAGACGAGGACAAAGTCATAGGTGAGCAGAGCCTGGCCCTCTGGTACACCGTACTTTTTGGCGAACTCGGGACCAACCTTGCCGATGTCGACTGTCAACGAGTCCTTGACACCGAAGACCGCGTCGGAGGTTTCGTAGGGGTCATTGCGGAGGTAGAGGGCACTGGACTGGTCAGCAGGATGTTCCGAAATAAATGTGAATCCGAGAAGAATGGAAGAACATACGTAATCAAATGGTCGTAACCCTCCTTCTCAAACATGAAATGCATATGCGACGGCCGATACGGGTGACGATGCAACTTCTTCAACAACCGGCCAACCGGTCCATCATGAGGGATCGGATACGGCACTGGAGTAATCGCCTTAAACCAGAAAATCCCCTCTTTATCCGAGCGCATAATACAGCGCCCATCGGGCCCCTCCCGCCCAGCATACTGCACATCATAGTGGCCTGATGAATCCGTCTCCCAGATATCTATCTTCACCCCCTCAATGGGCCGACCCTCGGTATCGCGCAAAGTACAAACGACCAGCAACGGCTCGCCCTTGGGATCGTGCGACATGGAGTCACCGGCGGGCATTTCCTCCGCGTCGTGCGTGTGGAAGGGGCCCAGCACGGTACCCTCGGTGGAACCGCGGGGTTTGGGGTGGTCGATGCTGTCGACGAGGATGGAGAGGCCCAGGACGTCGGACAGCAGGATGAATTCCTGCCGGACGTCTGTGCAGATCTGGCCGACTTCCGTGAGGAAGCGGAGGCCGGTCATCCATTCGTCGCTGCTCAGTCGGGTTTCGCGGGCGAAGTCGTGCAGGTGTGTGACGAGGCGCTCGAGGACGTATTTCATGCGCGCGTCCTCGCAAAGCGAATTGATCGTGATCACATTCTCCGTGATATTCTCCGCCGTGAGGTCTTTCATTGGCGGGATCTTGACGAGGGAGGGATCCATGGTGTGTGGGTTGAGGGTTGGATGTTGATTCTTCTCCAATTGCGCTCGATCTGTGGGTGCGGCCGGGGGAGAAGCGGAAGGAAGGGAATCCGGGGGCTCTGGTTTATATTCAAGTTTCCCAAGGTCGGGACTTGCGAGTGCGCCGCATTGCCGGTGGTGGGGGAGCTGGTTGCGGGTTTGCGAATTGCTGGAGCTGTGCAGTTCCCCGCAGAAGCTCCGCACCCACTCAGCGCGGCAGAATTACTACGAGGCCCGGGAATCCCCCACCGGATGTTTCGACATTTGGTCCGCGATTGTACATCACCGGTATTTGCAAATGTATTATGCTGTTAGTATACATATATGTGTATTTTGCGACATCTCATCATACCCCTCATTATCAGATGCCGTCAAGTATGGAAGAGAATATACCCGTTATGGCACGACACACGCGGAATGGATTCCTCACATTGGTCAGCATCTTATAAGCATGAGGCACGGTGGGGCGACGGTTGATGTATATCCGCAAAGCGACCTTAGGCTTTACCTAGTAGGTAACATACCAATGTATGTACTGCCGGAGCATGCAAGTCCGCTTCCTGGCAAAGTATCATGTGATGCCAAGCAAGCCCTGGAGATCGTCCATCTGAAGTATATCCGAAGAGATAAATCCGGGGTAAAGTGGAGTTGGCCCCAGGAGACGAAGATCGCCATTGCAGTATGATCAGACCACTACGCTGATATACGCTGATTCCGTAATAATTGAGTAAAAATATTCGAATAAACCGTGATCTCCAAAATGCAGAAAACATCAATCGTGGACGTGGTATGTACGCTGAAAGAGCCTCCAACCGATCCGATTTCGCCGTCGCTCGTGACTATACAACACAACAGAGACAAAAGGGAAAATATATACACATCAAGAAAAAAAATCCGGAGATCGTAGTCGGTGCAGACTATGCCTGCACCATCCACCGCTCACGTTCACGATCCGCGTCTTGGTCATTGTAAGCATTGTCACGATGAGGATGAGCAGTGCCATTTTCAGCAGGTCGCTCAACAGAACGCTCAGCAGGACGCTCCAGGCCAGCGCCAGCGCCGGCACCGCGCTCCTTTTCTTGAACGGCAGCCGCAACCCGAGCGTGATGATCAACGGTGTCGAGAATGGCCTGCATCAGCCGCTGATTGGCATCTGGATCTTCGTCGTCAGCATGTCGAGAGTGCCCATGCTGCGGCGGCAGTTGATGCTGCTGCGTACGACAACTGCCCTCTGTCTCACTCATAGCTCTCCGTGGGGAATTCCCTGGAGGAGGCACCCCCAATGAGGTACCTGAGCCGGGTGCGATATGAGGAGCACCAGGCGCAGACTCTCGACGGTTATGAAAATATTGCTGATCAAGGTAGGGCTCGGGACGGCGTTCTCGTTCACGCTCGGCCGACACCGGGTACTTAGGGGGAGATGTAAGGCCGTGAGGAGGCATGGAGGGAAACCGATCATCCTCGAATCCTTCGCGTGGCTCACGCGGCTCACGGTGCTCGCGCATTTCGCGCGTTTCGCGATTTTCACGAATCTCACGAACCTCTCGTGGCGCAGCTGGGTACCAATTGGTGGCTCGCAGCTCCTCTTCCTTGACATCCCTCCACGAGCACTTGGCGTGCTTCTTGGTGCAGCCCATGCACGCGGTCAGGTTCTTCAAGCAATCCATGTTGAGCCGGCGGCACCGATCACAGGGTGGGGTGACTCGCTCCCCACGCTGCAGCTCTTCCATGCGGGCCACCATCTCTAGCTTGAAGGGACCACCATCATCTTTCTCTTGGGGTGTAGTCTTTGGCGGTGGCAGCAACGACGACGGGGTGCTCGGAATGGCCACTGGGGTAGCGGAAGGGTTATGTTGGCTTTGCTCGGCTGGCTCCGATGCCCGTGGTCGAGGCCGAGGCAAGTGAGGAGTGATGGGGCCCGAGGCATCATCGTAGCCGCGCGCTTGACGATCGGCCGTGGTGAAGAATTTTTTCATCAACTCGGCTCGAGTGGTGGGTGAGGCGCCTTTGATCGAGGTCCCGTTGATAATCGTCACATTTTCTGTGTTGGAATGGGAAAACATGAATTGAGATGACAGCGGATTGTCCTCGGGCAGCTCCGTCTCAGGGCGGTTCACGTTGACGGCCACGAAGCCGGACGGAGAGGATTGAGAATTACCATTTGTTGCACCATGACCGTTGGAATCTCGCCAGGTATCTCCAGCCGCGCGCGATTGATTATGCAAAGAAGCGTCGTTTTCTCGACGGCTGACGATAGCGGTACGGCGGTTCTTCAGGCGGTAGCTCAGTTGACGGGCTCTAGCAGACACTGTGCATGGTTAGAAAATAATCACAACAGATCTGGAAGTGCGTAGCAATTAGTACTTACCCTGATCAGCCATCTGAATTATCTGTTGCAAATTCTTCTCCAGAATCTCCAAGGCACCCAGTTCCTTCTCCTCATCCTCGATGATCGGCTGTGGGGGAATCATCTTCTGGGGCATGCCCGAGGCGATCAGCACAAAGTCCTCCTCGCTGATCTCCACGCGACACTGCTTGGTATAGAACTGACAGACGCGCACGCCATTGCGGGACTTTTCCAAGTTGAACTGCTCGGGCTTGCTCTTGGCAAACTCGACCACATCCAACCAAGTCACCGTCGGACCATCCTTGCCATGCGACTTGATCACGCGTGGGGGTCCGTCGAACAAGCGCTCGAAGCGCTTAATCAAGATCGGGCCTAGCGGGCATGCGCCGAGGTTCCCAGCGATACTCTCGTGGCGCTGCAGCACCCCATCGTATTCGCCGACCAGGTGGATAATGGCGGGCATGCTATCATCGGGGGAGACCAGAGGGAGGTTATCGGGATACTGGCGGGCGAGATAATTGATCTGCAGGTGGTTGGCCTGCGTCTTCTGGACTTTGGACTGTGGCGGGTGGTCTGCGGTCGGGGACCGGGGCCGTTTGTTGGATGCCTCTGCGGGCGGAGCGTAGGACTCCATTGTTGGAATAGGGAGGGAAAGACCAGCGGGAGGAGACGTAGACGGGGTCGAGAGGGTGGTCGATCGATCAGGCTGAAAATTGGGGCCACGAGGGAGGCAATCACCAGTGGTGCGCGAGGGCGGCTGCGTCCAGGGCGAGAGCGGAGGACACGATGCGCGGAGATCGCAAAGACCGCTAGAAGAGTGGAAGGCGACGAACCATGAAGTGTGTCGGTAGATGGGGGAAGGGAAGGGAGTGACGGGAGAGAACGTGATTTAGGCTGCAGGTGAATGTACCTGAGTCTCCGAGCGCAGCGCGGCCAGTATGGGGCCGGCGCCGGCGGTACTTTCAAGTTGCTGGGCGGAAGAGCCCGGCGGGACTCCGCTACTCCGCTCGGGGGCGTCGGCCACGTCGATGTACAAGCTGTACGACGGTGGTTCGTACAATGGTATCGATAGCGACACTCAAATTTGTGGCTATATTCTGCAGACTGTAAAATATTCTCTACGACACTTGTTATCAAGAGTCGACTACAGTACTGACTACGATTAGCTCTGAAACAAGCCTTGCTGGTGGACACCTTCGGCGTGTGTTTTTCGCGGGTGCCTGTTCCGCCGGGCGGACGATGCCCTCCACTCCTCCCAGCGCAACTGTCACCGCCCCGAAAATCCCTCATAGCAGCCCAGCCTCGGTCCTGTCACCTGCCTACTCCCACTGCGGCTTGCGACTACTCCCACTCCTTTTCCACTCGCTTACCTCCTCGGGTGAACTCTTCCCCTCCTTTCCCGTTTAGCCGTGCCTTTTGCCATGTCTGAGCGAGGCTCCTTCCGTGGTGGTCGCGGGGGCCGCGGCGGCCGTCCCCAGCAGCAGAAAAGTGGCGGTGGTGGCGGTGCACAAGAGAAGCCCAAGAAGGAAAACATCCTTGACTTGAGCAAGTACATCGACAAGCAGCTCACTGTCAAGTTCAATGGCGGTCGTGAAGGTATTTCCCTATTACCGCTCTACAATTGGACTTTTTGAATTGTTCAAGGCTCTGATATATCGGAATACACCTGACTAACCATTCAACACAGCCACCGGCACGCTCAAGGGCTACGATCAGCTCATGAACCTCGTCCTCGACGACGTCAAGGAGACCATGCGCGGTAAGTATTCCCTGCAAGTAATGAGAAAGACTAGCCGCTCACTCCTTTCAGATGAGGAAGGCAACCAGACAACCCGCACCCTGGGTCTGATGGTGGCTCGTGGTACTCTGATCGTGCTGATCTCGCCCGCCGACGGAAGCGAGGAGATCCCCAACCCGTTTGTGCAGCCGGAGGAGTAAATGCTTTCTACAATTGCACGTACTGTCTCTCGAGCCTATCTCTAGAACTGGCAGTCGATGCGAGTTGCGCTCCCGTGGAGTTTCTTGGCCCCGCTCCCAATTACTGAAAAAAAGCTGCAATTATAATGAGTTCTGATTCCCTGGCGGTGGGGTCGATAATGCTCCTTGGGGGCTACGAAGGGAACGAATGCTATGCGATCTTTTCTTTTTTCTATTTCCCCCTACTTCATTTTTGGCCTTGATAGTGACCTGGTGTACTGCCGATAAGGTTGTCTGGCGCATATCGGTAGACCCAAATGGATGATTAGTTACTGAACCCTACATTAGTGTACAGTACTGTACGGAGTGGAGTAAGTCGCGGGGTGATGGCGAGAAGGTCACGATTGTGCGTGCCGTTTTGTTTAAAATCGTGACCCCAGGGTTCACCGCTTTAACATGGAGTCGCCCGGTTTCCGAATAAGGACTAGCCTCTGAGCTAAAACGATGTATCGCAAATTTAGAACACTACACGAGAGCTCGGCGCAACCACCATGAGTAAAAGGAAGATATAAGAGGAAGCCCCAAATATTCATCTCCAACGCTTTCATCATCCTCTATCGCTTCTCCGAAAAATTTATCGTCACTATGCCACCAAAGGGGAGCCGAAAGGCCGGGGTTAAGGTCGATTGGGACGATCTCGTTAATCAACCAGATGCTGAAATAAAAAGTGGTCATTCTGAATCCACAAAGCAGCATGTCAAGCATGTTTGGCTCAATTCTCAAAGATTCTTTCTCTCATTCACCTTGTTGTTACTGTTATTATTATTGTTTTTCGGCTGGCACTAAATTGTAGTCCTAGGTTTACGCAGCTACTTAACCCACCAGACTACAGATACTGGCTTGAAAATATCACGCTGAGAGTAATCGAGGGATTTCTTCTAGGGCTGCTGCGAATATTCGCCGAATATTCGCAATCCCCGAATTATTATGTAATCCTCCAGGATGATGAGGATGATGATGGTTGACTAATTAAGTATATGCTAGTTAGTTACTTGGTTACGTAGAGGGTTAAGGTAAGATTTCTATACTTGTAAGTCTTGTAGAGTAGGAATATAAGGAGTGTAGTAGATTCTACTGCTAGACTCATCTTACTTTTAGAAGTGCGTGTTTAAAGTAGTTATACAGATTTAGAGTAAGTACTTGAAGCTAGCATGTTATGGGTATATATATTACGGATATGCGGAGTTAAATTGAATTATCATTTATAGAACACCGGAGGAAACACTAGAAATTGAGACTGCTCTCTACATAGTTGTCCAGTCGAATCACTATTACTTATAGACATCATTCAACAACATTAAAACCCTCATCGTCTCTGCCTTCATAGAGTATCTCCGTACTCCAAGTACATCTCTTCCTGCATTGAACAATCTCTCAACCGAAACTTCGGAGGCTGGGATTGCTAGGTAATCTCTAGCAGCAGCAGCCATCCGAGGGTAGTCATGTTTATGAACCCTCCACCAATCACATAACCAGTTTGGATCTTCCATATCACTAGCATCAACCCGAGCACTGTCAAAATATCGATCAATATCAGATACTTGAGGCTTATCGTGAGGCTGTAGCCTTCGTAACATCCGGCTTCCAACTTTTTGCTTCTTGTGACTGGGCTCTGAGGGCTCTGCTATACTAAGTAGGTCTGAAGTCTCTGGATATTTGGAATAAAGGTCATCACGGAGAGATTGAAGAATCTCCCTGCTAGTGGCTTTATCTTCCAATTCGTATAGGAGGAGGTCTCCTTTCACACGAGGATCCAGAATCAGAGCAGTATAGTATGTATCAGAGATATCCATAAAAGTATAGTACTTCATATACTTCTTGATACTTTGCCTAACCGCACTTGCAATATCCTCATCAATGTCTGCAAAATCCTCCTTACGCTCCGCAGCATCATGTAGTAAACCATGAAGTTCATAATAGACCGGCACTGTGAGACTGATCTGGGGCCTTTTCTCTGAGACAAACAAGGTGAACTCATCGAATTTCGAGAGAATAGAGTGGATTTGTGAAAGTCGTTCCCAATCTTTTGTCGAGAAAGGTAGAAACTCTGTCTCGTAATGAATGAACTTCTCAAGCTGGTCCTTTGACTTAGAAGCATTAGTCTTTAGTCTTATTAAAGTATCGTTGAGTGCTAGTAGCTCACCTTTAGAGCGTCACTTATCATGCGGAAGGTAGAATTCCATCGTGTATCAACATCATATTGAATGAACTTTTCGGGAAGGTTCATACGCTTGCAATTGTTTTTCCACGCCTGTCTGCGTTGAGGACTTCGGTGGATCCAGATAGCCAGGATACGAAGCTTAGCGAGTGGTTCAAGTGTATGGAATGAGTGATGTTCCCCTCTATCAAGGTTATCACAGATAGAAGTGGCCTCTTCTGTATTACCAGACTTGAGAGCGGAAAGGATATCCTTCACGATCAGGTTGATAATATGCGCTAAACACCGCACATAGCTTCCTAGACCACAGAATAAGGTATTCGCTCCGGACTGCTGTAACTTTTCAAAGAGTTGTAGCACCATCCGCTCATTATTGCGAGCGTTATCACCAGTAATTGAGAGTAATTTGTGCTCAAGATTGAGTTCAATAAGTAATGTTTCAATAGCCGTAGCTAGATTCTCCCCACTGTGTGGTCCATGAAGCTCTGTAAACTCTAGGACTCTCTCACGATAATCAAATTCTTCTGTGAGCCAATGACCAATAACACCAAGGATTGGTAGGTGATTCTTGCTAGTCCAGACATCAAGAGATAAAGCAATTGTTTTGCACGTCGCCGCAAGCTCCTCTTTCAAGTTAGCGCGTTGTTGATCGAAATCTTCTAGGAGACGCTGTCGAAGGGTATGGCGAGAGGAAAAAGGGAGCGAAACCCCCGGTATATCCTTAAAGAGTTGCTGAAAGTCTGGTGATTCAATGACTGTGAAAGGCTGCTTACTGCTCACAACCCAGCGAAGAAGGTTCTTTTCAAGAATTTGTTGAATCGTGATATTTGCCTTACTGCCCCATAGGCTCAGAAGAGTAGATTTAGGTGTAGTAATCACTTGCTCAGGGCCATTAGGGGGTAAAATCCCATGTTTCTCCTTCAAATGGAGCCGAATATTAGTGGTAGAAGTCTGTCGCTTCGAATCTGTTGTAGACCAGTTGCATTTCTTCCCTGTGGCTTTATCAATAGCCGTACAACTGATTTCGCGATCGATGAGCCTCTTCTTTCTGCTTCTCTTTTCGATCCATTCGCTAGAGAACTCTCTAATATGAAGAAAACCCCATAACCAGTCGTTTTTCAGTGTTTTTAGGCGGGAAATTTGGGAACCAGTAGCTGGAGGAGGTAGTTGAGAGGCTGATTCTGAAGGTAACACTTCATCCAGAGAATCAAGATAAGAATCGGTGTCTGCAGTCACAACTGACAGATCAGACGTATGCGGTAGAGGCAGTAGGCTAAGCTCTTCTGGATGCTGAGCTATCGGATTCTCTATTAGGTTTGATAGCCAGTCTTCAGAGGGGGCTTCATCTTCATAGCCATCGTTTAGAGCAAGGTAATTCGGATGGTTCCCACGAGTCAGCATCTTGGGCGATAAATATCTCTGCAAAGAGTCAAGAATATAGCACGAATTGTACAGAAGAGTGATTTTGCATTGGGAGACTAGGAATTATTTTTTTTGCTCCACTATTCAACCTGCACGTGACATCTTGCGAATATTATTCGTATTCGCAGCCTATAGTGCGAATAATTATTCGCACACTTTTAGTATTGCGAATAAAACTGCGAATAATATTCGCAACAGCCCTAAAATTTTCTTCGTTGGTACCTTGATACGCACAACGTCACCTACCAGTCTGGTTTTGTTGAGTATCACGGTGGCTGAACCTTATGGCAGGGATTGGGAACAGATATATAAGAGGCATCTGGCCCCTGTAATAGATCACTCCAAAAAGTCAATCAATAAGATTCAATCAGACAATCACATATCTCACCAGGTTTCCTTGTTTTCGCACGATATCTCAGAATTTATTGGCGTGAAGAAATGAGTTGCCAATTTTCATATGAATTGTGAAGGAAGATGTCCATGGTATGTTCCTTGAAGGAAAACCGGCCCACTGATTAATCGTCCAGTTGGGGTGCACTTCACTTACCGACGAGTACGAGCTCGACATTCGTGGTAAAACTCAGCCACCAGTCAACGTCGATGACCTGTTGTTTACGGCATATCATCTCCTGGCTGTGTGTGACATAGCGTTTCCCACCTTTCGGACTTTATGTCAACTGAATACGCTGAAGAAAATGATGACCTCTACATCGGCAAGGCCTGGAACACTAGTCGAGTCATCCGGGTACATGAGGAGTAACGACCCCCTCAAATGGAAGGGCATTGAATTGTATGGTGAAGCACCCTGAAGAACCCAAGTCTCAGGTGTTTCTCATGAGGGTGCGACACCGACTCAACAATTCAAGAGGAATAAAGGTTAAGAGAAAACATCTCACCTGTTATGCGCTAATCAAAACAGGCCTATCTTCACATACACTGAGCGAAACGACAATTTGGGCCTTTGTGCCGGGGCTTGTGGTGGATGGCAGCCTTTTTTTCAGTTGTTTTACTGCCTGACCTCAAAAGTTGGAGTCTGATTGTGATGCGCTGGGTTAATTCTCGTCTATGCCAACCTGACAGGACTAAGCCCCGAACAATTCAGGAAAGCATTTGGAATATATCGAAAACTTGTTCAGCTGACCGAGGGTCCTATGTGCTTACCCCTCACCCTGTCCTAGATGCTTTTCCCTAGTTAGACTAAGTACTAGTAACGTTCGATTGGACGCAGGTTTATGAGCAGAGTTTGGAGGTTTAAGCAAATTCTTATGTATAATTTGCAAAAAAAAAAAGATATTTGCTTCAAATCGACTTCAGTTCAAAGGTGTATACCTATATAATGTCCATTCCAATCCCTAACTCTATATTCGCTGGCTTAGTTACCCTCGTATCGAATCAACAATGCTTCAACCCTATTCCATCTAGTCTAGTTGTTAAGAAGGAATCTACTTGCAGGGTATAAGGCCAGTCAATCAGGTAGGAGAAAGTGACCAAGTGGATTTACTCCAAGAGTGTTTCTTGGGGAGCTCGAAACCTACCCTTCACGGTTGACTTGATAAACATAACTTTGCTTAGGAATCAACAGGTGGGGTATACGAGATTTTGTAACCTGAAATTGCAAGTTCTTATGCAGTAGAACCCTTCAGCTAAGCCACGAATCCTCGGCGAGCTAGTGCCAAAACACCGCCTTTTCGCCTTGGGTCCTCAGTTCCCGTAAGGCCACAGGGCACCCCCATTTGGGAATAGCTTCATGTCTAGGAACCCCTTAACACTAGTAGACACTCGCGCACTCGGCACTCCACGGTATCACGAAGGTACAATAATACCTAGCAAACAAAGTTAATGTCCACAAATTTTTAGATAGTCAGCTAAGAAAAGCCAAGCACATACCGCGGGCAAGCCTCTGCCCTGAGTTACCATTGGTCTTCGAGCTTGGGTTGTTTCCTCTACCAAGATCATCTGCGCCTTCATGAATAACAATGGATCTCTGTTTACTCACGCGTAAGCCAACATAAAATGGGTTGTAACATTCCCAGACTCATACTCAGAGTAGTCCTCCTCCATCCGTCCGTCTCAGGCGTGCTTCTCGTCAAAGTTTTGAAGAAGCTTAGGAATTATGGGGATAGTCAATTCCAGAATCCAGTCTGCAGCTACACGGCTTGTAGTCGCCAGATCGAATTTAAAAAGGAGACTCCCGTGCAAAGTGCGTATGAATCTGTGTAAAATCAAAGATAGTACTAGTAGGTATCATCAAACATCCAACGCCGACACACGAATACGAAAAAAAAGACTGCACATAGTACTGGAAGCCCCTTAATCTCGCACGATCGCCTGCTCGATTTCCCCAGAGGCGAGCGGCCCCACCACCTCGCCAAAGTCACCATCCTCCCCGGCAGTAGCATCATCAGGCGGTGCCTGAGATCCACTATCCTTGAGCCGTCGGAGCCCTTCGCCGTCTTCCACCCACGGCCCCGCCTTCTCCATGCTATCGATGTACTCGACACCAATCCGCAAGTTGAGCCCGGCGCTCAGCGCACGCTCGATGCGAGCTTCGCGAGTTTCGGAGACGAGGGCGCGGAAGACGTGCACGAAGAAGCCGCCGAGAATGTCTACGCTCCAGTCCTCGGGGACGAGATCTAGAACCTCGCGGACGTCAAACCAGGCTGCAAATCGGGCGAGTAGATCGCTGGTGCGCTCGATGCGGTCTGTAAGGTCTTCAATGTGAAGAAATTCGTCGAGGAGGTGGCGGAAGAGGGTTGACTGGAGAGCTCGATCTGCGAGCTCAGGTTGGGCACCGCCAGACGATGTTGAGCTGCGAGGACCGCCGAAGAGACAGTATCGAACTGCAGAGTCATAATCCCCGAGTCCGTGTGTGAGAAGCCGGAGGGCGGCCTGGTGGTGCCCCTGTAGACCGTCGAGGATGATGCTTTCTGAGACAAGGTCGTTTTGGAAGGGTTCGATGCGCTCCAGCACATTTGTTATAGAGTATGTGATCCCGGAGGGCAGGGCAGTAGATGAGAATTGTGTACCCGATATGCCACTCAGCAGTTGTAGCAAGTGGAGGCGAGATTGCCACCACGGCTCCTTGGGTGTGTTCGCAGTGATGAAGTTCAAGTAGGTAGGTTTCGGTGGACGCAAAGCCCGGTAGGTAGAGTAGGAATCAGAGAGAGATGCCCGTGCAGCAGGGTCCGCCTCGAGGACTGAAAGGACCTCATCGAGGTAGTAGGAGATGAGGTCATCGGCGTATTGGGTATACTTGGAAGGGATTGTCAATCAAAATCTCGCTCATACGGACACTGATGTAAGAAACTTACGTGTTTAGCAAAGACCAGATGTTCCAGGTAGACTTGAACGGCATTGGGGGCTCGCTCTTTCAGCAGCTTAACCACATCTGCTGGCTCCAATCGCACTCGACTAGAGTTGTCTGCAAATACTTGGATACCCAGACCAGGATTTCGCCTCGCAAGCCAGGATCCATACTCCTCTACCAGCTGCACGTCCTTGATCTTCACCAAGTACTTTCGCATTTGCGCCTCGCAGCTAGCCGCACTGACTTCGCCGCCGGCATCTACCTCTCCATCTATAATCCTTCGCCAAGTCTTGAGCACATTGCGAGACTTCTTTTGGCTTTGGTATAGACGACTGAGGATGTAAAGTCGCTGGTACTGCTCCAAGAGTATCACCGCGCGGTCAAAGTTGCCTTTCCAGCCATCGACCAGTCGATTCAACTCTGTTCGTATCCTTGATGATGCGCGATGCTCTGCCTCCATCTGAGCATCTTGCTCGAGTAGTAGATGCAAAAGCGCAGCGTCCGTGCTATCCAGGACGTATGTTTCATCGGTAATGCTGCCATATCCTCTCTTCTGTTGCCACGAGAACAGGAAACGCTTGACCATGTTCAGAACAGCGCTGTGGATAGCTGCTGGTCCAGTTGATTGATCGCTAGATTTCTCAACTTGCTGGATATACTGCTCTGCGATGTCCGCCAAGCCGGCATGGATCCATATTCCCTGGGGCCCTTGTAGGACTTCGCATCTCAAGAGTGGAATAAAAAGCAAAGCTAGACGGGGGTCCAGGTTGCCATCCAAGATAACTTGCTCGGTGTTTTGTATCACCGCGTCTCCCCGGTGATCTGGATGCATGGAGAGAAGGTCTCCATACAACATCAAGCTTGCTTTTTGCTTGACATAATTCAGGCCAATGAATTCGGATTCAGTCTTGGGCTCCACATCCTGTATGGAATACATCAAATCAATGATTGCGCTCCGTCGTAAAAGAGTATGTCCACTAGCATCGGTCTGCTGTGCCATCCGCAGTGCATTTTCGAGTTGAATGACCAACGGATTTTTCACGAGGCGCCAGATTTGAGATCCAGACCATAATATGAGACTGCTTTGCAACTTCCCCAGCCCATGCGCGAATTTTGCTTCTTCATCATTGCGTTGGGTTTCCCAGTCCCGAGCAGCCCCGGATTCTCCCTTTTTGGAAGTTTCAGAGTCGGTCAATTCTTGGGTCTCAAAAAGTTCTTTCTCCTTCTGTAGCTGCTCAATCGTCGCTTGTGTCCTCGGGTCGGCCGTGGGGACATAGGAAGGCAGCACAGGGCTCTTAAACCGAGCCATGCGTAGAAGCTTTCCAACATCATCAAGTTCCAAGCGGCTCGGGCTGACGGTATGCTGGAAACCAACGGTGGATGAACTTGTGGCGACAGATGAAGGAATGTCTATCCATCTTTTTTGCCGCTCAAGCTCTGCGGGATCGTCATCCCACCGCTGGATCTCCAGCTGCGTACGTTGTTCGTCATTTTCTCCAACTTTGATGAGAGCGAGGATGAACTCTTCTTTGGAGCCTTCGGTTGGCTGAAGGGCTAGATCATCTTCGCCAGAGTCGATAACAACGGACTTGGGATATCGGTGGAAATTAATGGTTCCCCGTACAACCTCGCCATCCATATCAACAAACATCCCCACTCCTGGCTCCTTTTCTTCGGTTCCGGTCACAAGGAGGAACTCGGAAGGTGTGGGAGACACTACATGAGGCTGGAGCTGCTTTGAAACAGGTTGTTTTGGCAGAGGCGGGAGTGGCTTCAGGCTGTCGGGCGATGTAGATTGCTGATCACCTTCTTGGTTCTCTGCATCCGTTTGCTTCGAATTATCTTCTTCGCTCTCCTCGGAACTTGATCGTCGGGGCGTCCCAGTAGATGTGAATGGATCTGGTGTTCCCGAAGATGACCTCTCGTGCCGGGGAGTTTGCGCATGTGGTTGCAGCATCCCTACAAACGTGTTCAAGCTGCTACTCCTTCCATGGCCGTGAGGATCACCGGGAGGGGAGCTCGGATAGGATGAGGACGGCGATCGTTTCAGAGGAGTAGGCCTCTGCTGGATTTCCTCCACTCGCCCAGACTCGAAAACCTCACTTGAAGAAGAAATCGGGAATAGGGGAATCTTCTGCTGGTACTCCACTTCAAGAAGCGAGTATGAATGTGTGTCCGCTGCGCAGGCAATTGTCCCTCTGCGCGCGGCAACCAGGCAGCCGGGGAACTTGATGCTCTTGATCCGCCGCGCCTCTTCTCCTATCTGGACCAGCATTATTCGATCCTGCACCGCAATCATCACCACTGGGTTATCCCCGGACTCCTCATCTCGACTGAGATCCAATCCACCGATCCAGCTGCAGTGGTGGACCTTGGTGTTCCCGAATGCCGGGCTGAGCTCCGGCAACATATAGAACGTAACCGTGCCATTGCAGAGAACGCAGGCCTTGTTGACCGAGGCAAGTATGACGATTTGCCTGACACCTTGTCGGTCGAGGTCGGAGGGGATGCTTTGGAATGGTATAGGCAGCCGCGAAGCTAAGATGAAGGTAGGTTCATTGGAATCGTCGGAAGCTGGTGGGAGGCTGACAAAATGCAAGATCTCTGCTGCGGAGGTACCAATGTACAAGTTCTCCTCTGTTTTAAACTGGTCAGCCAAAATCTCACAAGCGATATCCGCGACATAGCGTGTTGTTGATAGCTTACCCCAGTACTCGACACAGGTGATGTAAACGTCCGAGCTGCTCTCGGTCGTCAGCGGTACGCTGTCGAAAAGCGAACGCAGCACGTAGGGCTCGGATCCGGGCGGACCAGTCCTGCGCCTCTTACGAGGACCGACTCCATCATCAGAAGCCATGATGGCTGGCTTGGTAGCGTATCCCCGCCAGCGTTGGAAACAGAGCAGCGGAAGGCGGTCAGCCGCTTGGGGCCAAAGCTTCAGGGGCCACTTAATCAGGAACGGCCGAGGCCAACGGCTGTCAGAACAGTACACAGATTCGCCTGCGGAGATCGGGGCAAAAGTCAGGTTTTCCTCCACAAAATCACGAACATTACGCGACTCTCCAATACTCAATTACCATTGGCATTATCTGCCATCATAAGTCGATTGCGTCTCGCAGCGAGCCTTATACATTGCGGAAGAACATCGGCCCGGGCCCGCCGCGTGTCCTGTTGCTCTCCGCGCGCACCTCCTTTGGTTGCGATCGAGTGTGGGGTGAACTGCGCAGACCTGGGTTGACGAGCATGGATTCCTTCGCCATTACAGAGGGCCTTGCAGCCCAGGAACGAGACCAGCCGGAACCAGCCAACAGCAAGCTGTCCGAAGAGACAAACAAGTTCCAGCGCGCTATTGCAGCCTGGCGAGGTAAAGACCCATTCGGCCTAGAATACAACCTCGTTGGAAGACATGTACTAAAATCTCAAACAGGAATTGACCTAGCCTCCACAATCGCCAAGCTCGATACGACCGCCTCAGATATTGTTGCGCAACAGCGGGATGCCCTCGTCCAGAGAAAGGATCTGGCCCAAAAGACCAAGGACTTCAAGAAACTGGAGGACGAAGCCAAACTCGCGGAGTATAAGGGACTGTTGAAGGCCTATCAGTCCTTTATCGACCTTTTGACCAACCAAGGAAAGGCGTCTTCGTCCTCGTTCCTACAACTCTACTCGTCTCTATCGGAGGCCCCGGATCCCTACCCACTTCTCGAAGCGTCCGTCGATTCTCTGGTCCTGTCAGAAGACACCGTTCCCAAACTGAGTTCCGAGCGCGACCAATTGCGGTCTTCAGTCGAGCGTCTTACAAGACAGCAAGAGGAGACCGAGAAGCGTCTCCAGGAAGAGCGTGCGGCCAGGAAGAAGCTCGAAGATAACCAAGAGACCCGAGCCAAGGAAATCGAATCTTCCTGGGAGGCAGTGCTGACGGAAAAGACCAACAATTGGGCCTCCAAAGAAAAGAGCTTAGAGGAAAAGGTGGACAACCAAGAACGTTTGATCAAGGAACTCAAGGCAAGCTACGAGGTTTCTCAGCGCCTGGTGGGAGATGATGAAAATGAGGACGCACGGAATGGTGCTACTGCGGCGGAATTGGAGCTCGTGTCTGCTGATTTGGAGAAAACAAGCTTGCGGCTGGCGGACGTGGAGGCTCGGAACGAGCAACTGCGACTAGAGCTGGCCCAGGCCGTTTCGCATTCCAATCCGGATCAGTCGACTGCTGTGGAGGATGATCCCGCGTATCAGCGTCTGCAATCGGAGAACTCCTCTTTGCTGAGGAAGCTGGATGCCGCGCGCTTTGATAAGGATTCAACACGACACTCGTGGGAGGCTAAGCTCCTCCAAGCCGAGAGAAATGCCACCAAGTCCGCCGCCGAGAGGGATGAGCTGCGCTCGCGTCTCGAGAAGGTTGCAGACTATGATGACATTCGCCGCGAACTGGAGATGATCAAGTCAATTGAATTTACAGCTGGTGATGACGAAGAGACTGATGAGACAACTGCGGAGGGCGATGCGACAGGAGCCAACGGGTCGTCAAAGACGAAAGAGAAGAATTCTCTAGAGCAGCTTTTGCTCGCCCGGAACAAAAAGTTGACGGATGATTTGGCAGTGCTGCGTGTATCAAGCCGTGATCTTCAGGGTCAGCTCGAGACCTTACGGGGCGAGCTTTCGACGACAAAGGAGGAGCTTGAGAAGTCTCGCGGTCTGTCCAGTACACTGGAAAACGACCTCCTTCAGGTGCAGCAAGAAGCAGCCAACGCCTTCCCATCCGGGGCTATGTCTGTTGCCGGTACCTACGCTTCCAGGTATCCGCACTCGTCTCGGCGTGGTGCTTCTTCGCCCACATCGTCCATTATCTCCGGGTTTGATCAGAGCACCGCTTCTGCAAACACAATGGATGCCATTCGTGCGGGAGAAGCGGTTGGAGGAGGCTCTGGTCTTCTGCCCATGATTCAAGCGCAGCGCGACCGCTTCAAGAAGAAGAACTCCGAGCTTGAAGAGGAATTGTCCAAGATGTATTCTACCGTGAAATCACTTCGGCAGGAGGTTGCGTCCCTTCAAAAGGACAACCTGGGTCTCTACGAAAAGACTCGTTATGTGTCGACATACAGCCGTGGTCAAGGAGCATCAACGTCTGCATCCTCGTTCGCAAACGCGCCCAGCTCAACATCCATTTACACCTCTTCGGAGACACCATCAGGCCTGTCCCTTGATCGGTACCAGTCTGCCTATGAGGCACGGATATCTCCTTTCGCTGCCTTCCGAGGCCGCGAATCGGCGCGCGCATACAAGCGCATGAATCTTCCCGAGCGCATCGTGTTCTCCCTCACTCGAATAATCATGGCCAATCGAACGAGTCGAAATCTGTTTGCGGGCTACTGCTTTGCGCTACACCTTTTGCTCTTCGTCATGCTCTACATGATGAGCACGGTGGAGATCGAGAAACACAGTGCTATGAGCGCTGTGGGTAGTGCAGCTGCAGCTGCATATGGCAACAGTGGCGGCGGGGTTGGCTCGGCGAGTAGTGGTGGTCAGCTGCATGGTGACGATTGGCAACAGGAGGGTTTCAACCAAGCAAGCTGAATCAAGTCCCTGAAGGGGGTCTGGTGATTCCAGTGCCCCTGCTTTTAGGGTTCAAGCGAAAACACCCATGTTTGATCTTGATAGCGAGCGCTTTCTTTTGGAGTTTCTACTGTGTTTCTACTACGGCCGATCATTGACATTCGGCGTTTTTGGGAATGAGCGGGCCCCCTCTGGCAGTGCTGAGCCCAGCTAGCTCTACATTTTTTGTTTTGGGGTTTTGTGTGTACAGTCCAGAGGCCTTACAGATGACTGATATTTGCATTCCGTGAAATATTTTTAGGTCCTATCGTCCACCAGACCAGTGTAGTATACTTGTAGCCTGTTTCAGCATGCACACGGCCCTCGAATGTTGATAGACTCGCTTGTTCTAGTCGAAAAAAGGCCGAGTGGTGTAGGCACTAAAAATATTGATCGGAAGCAAAAAGGAAACCAAAAGGTCCGAGGTGTGGAACGAACGTGGGACCTCACACTTTCCTAGGCCACTGGGCGAAAGTGAATCCAATTCTTCCTTCGACATGGGTTGTATTCAATCCAATTTGGATGTTGTTGATACATTGTGATTATTCATCCAAACTATGTAGATTGTTGTGGTTCGGATGCAAGCATACTCACTGGCTTGAGAGGATCAATTGAGACCAATTTTCGTCAATTGCCTCTACTAATTCATTCCATGATTATTGTTGAGTGATCACAAGTCGCAGCGACGTCAGTGCGAAGAAGTAGGGTGCGTTTTCAAGGTTCCTTGACGCTAGATATGGTAGATATATCTCCGCGGCATCACACTAATGTAGTCCATCGGTTAAAAGAGCCAGGATCAGAGATCGAAAGAAGGTAAATGTGGGTCGTGAATAGGGACAAAGATAGACAACATTCGTGAAAGTGGTTGGCTTGGAACAGACGTCGCCATCAGTGTAAGATGGCGTCAACTACGCGCTCGCCCACTGTAACGTGGTCCAGAAGGAGAAAATGGGGGCAAGCCACCCGTGTGGAGAGGGAGCTTTCTGAACGGTCACATTCCCCGCCCCCGTAGTGCCAGTTCACCGCTCACCACAACAACCTTACACGAGACGGTGGCTGCCCAGATTAGCCTGAAGAAATGGACATCCGCTACAGATCCTGCTCCAGCCTCCTCCAATGACATGTTCATTGTCAATCGAGCTAGCCCTGTCCCAACCGCCCTCGATCGGCCAGGGAGCCTGGACGAGAGTCTGCAGACTAACCCATCGGGGCAATCATCATGCACATCTAACCGCCCATCGTCGGCCGACTGTCCCGAGAAGATGGGATTTATTAATAGCCCGGAGAATAACCAGCCTTTCCTCAGATTGTGCTCCTTCAGCGAGCCGCCCAGTCACAAGCCCGCTGTTTGACTTAGCGCGACGCTCTCGTGACTTGGCCCAAGTGTTTTGGCAGCACCGGCGAATCGCAGGCCGTAGGGGCGTCCCCCCGCCAGTCTTGGGCGCCTCCCCGCGCCAATAAGCAGCCCTGGTGACCCCCAATCCCTGCTAGTTTCTACAGGATGCATCGATCACTTTTATTTTCGTATCCCGCATTGTTTCGAGTTAGAGGCCCTGTTACTATTTTGACAAGAAGGCAGGAAACGCCATGATTGCAATCAGCACCAAATCTATATGTATCCGGGCCTCCTGGTCGGATTCATCATCCTCATGTCAATCCCGCCTGTCGCTCCTTCCTCCTTTCTTTTCCCCCAACCTCCTTGTTTATACTAGCCTTGTTAACTGCCAGTACTGCTGAAGGCTCATCTACTCTTCCATTATCTCCTCTGACGACTGTCCTGAAGACAAACAACCCCTTCCTTGTCTATATACTACGATCCACCAACTATTCATTCTTCGAGACTCCCTCTCACCTTCCATCCTTCACAACAAAGCACACTATGCGCCTTCTACCGATTCTCCTCTCCTTGGTGGCAGCCTCAACGGCCGCCCCATCAAACTTCCTTGACGATGCATACGATTTCTCTGAAGATCTCGCCGGCTTCTATGGCAAAGTCAGCAAGTATATCAACCAACTGAAACAAAATTCAACACCGGGCGCTTTGGGATGCGACGTATCCAAGATTGCATTGCCAAGTTATGCATCTGGTCTACCGAGCTCGGATGGTTTGAGTCCACTGTATGTTGCACTTGGACGAGGAACACAGGTATGTACAGCGGCTCAGATCTCTTTCCATTTTAATAAATACTTGGTTGACTAACATGTAACAGAATTATACCTGTGCAGACAGCTCGGCAAACTCCGTTCCCGAGGCCGCTGGAGCAGTCGCGAACCTCTACAACGCCACTTGCATCGCAGCAAACCACCCAGACCTTCTGGAGATGCTTCCTGGGGTCGCCTATACGATCAGCCTGCCATCCAAGGATCTGGCACGATTCCCCCCGGCAAATATCCTATTGATGGGCCACCACTTCTTCTACGACTCAACCACCCCCGAGTTCAACCTGGATCTGCCGAACAAAAATTTCGGCATTGTGATGACCAAGAAGAAGGGCTCGATTGATGCCCCGTCGACGGCGAAGAAGGGCAAATATGGTGCTGTGTCTTGGCTATATCTCACCAACACCACCGGTACCGTTGGCAACTATGGAGAGGTCGCGGTGTATCGTGTTGACACAGCTTCCGGCTCTCCACCGGCAACCTGTGAGGGGCAGCCCAAAAACATTGAGATTGCCTACTCCGCCAACTATTATTTCTTCGGGAAATAATTGAGCACGTGATCCTTCAGTCTTTTTTTTGTACATAGATTATTTGCGTGGGTGGATGCGATTTGAACATTTGACTGGTCCGCTTTTATTCGTACTTGTTACATATTTTACCTCGCTCACGAGCGAGGAATGGAGCCAATATAGGATAATTTGACACATCAATACTCCGCACAATATTTCAGTAGCACCATCACAATCGCGACCTTCGGGGTCACGTCCCGTTGTCCAAGGATGTATCTACACAACTGGAGTATTCTCCATAATATCCACCTCAAAAGTAGGCTCTGGAAAAGTTTCTAAAGACGACATTTAGGTAGGGGCATAAACAAACATCTGTAGGGATCTATTACGTCGTGTAAAGTAGTGATGATACTCCTACCGCTGAAGGGCTCCCATAAACCACGTGATATAGCACGTGACATATTACCCACAAATTCCGCTAGCCAGTTTTCGACTAGCGCCATTCTGATTTTCTGAAAGATCCAGCAGGCGCAAAAAAATCTCGACCGTAGCAACGAGCAGCAACGGCCTTGACCCGCACGCGACAGAGCATCACCGGTCAACTGTACCAGCTGCTTGATTCAGTCATTCGGTTACTGTGTCGCATTTCAAACTTTTCAATCAACACTCTTTTCGAGTCGGTTTCCTCGCACTTTTCGATCGCACTCGGTTTGAGCATTCGCTAGCTCAACTCCCAACCTTTCCGACTCTCCAATTCAATTTCAACTCCTAAAAATTTACAAGAATGGGTTTCGCTCCTAGAGGCCGTGGTGGTCCCCCTCGTGGACGTGGTGGAGGTGATCGTGGTGGCCGCGGTGGTCGAGGTTTGTGCTCCCAACTATACAGACAGTCTGCTCCGAGGCATCGAGTCGGTTGCCAGGCTCTCAATCCCTCTGGATCACCCTACCTGCTGCTTCAATTCATCAGGAATCTAGTTCGCTAACAGGGCTTTTTCTCTAGGCGGTGGCTTCCGTGGTGGTGGTGACCGTGGCGGCCGCGGTGGTGGTCGCGGCGGTGGCCGTGGTGGCCGTGGTGCTCCCCGTGGTCGTGGTGGCCGCGGCGGTGGCCGTGGTGGTGCCGCTGGTGCCAAGGGCGGTGCTAAGGTCGTCATTGTAAGTGATGGGAACACAATGGACTTGAATCCAAAGTCATTGACTAACCACTTTTTTTCTGTAGGAGCCCCACCGTCACGGCGGTGTCTTTGTTGCCCACGGTGGTAAGGAGGATCTGCTGGTCACCAAGAATTTGACCCCCGGCGAGGCCGTGTATGGCGAGAAGCGCATCTCCGTCGAGGGCCCTGCCGGCGATGACGGTGCTGTTACCAAGATCGAGTACCGTGTGTGGAACCCCTTCCGTTCCAAGCTGGCTGCCGGTATCCTGGGTGGTCTCGACAACATCTACATGAAGCCTGGCAGCAAGGTCCTCTACATTGGTGGTGCCAGCGGAACTTCTGTCTCTCACGTCGCTGATATTGTTGGTCCTACCGGTAACGTCTACGCCGTTGAGTTCTCTCACCGCTCCGGTCGTGACCTGATTGGCATGGCCACCCACCGTACCAACGTAATTCCCATTGTTGAGGACGCTCGTCACCCCCTCCGTTACCGCATGCTCATCCCCATGGTCGATGTCATCTTCGCCGATGTTGCCCAGCCCGACCAGGCCCGCATCGTCGGCCTGAATGCCCACATGTTCCTGAAGGACCAGGGTGGTGTCCTTGTCTCCATCAAGGCCAACTGTATCGACAGTACCGCTGCCCCCGACGTTGTGTTCGCCAGTGAGATCCAGAAGATGCGTGGCGAGAAGATCAAGCCCAAGGAGCAACTGACTCTGGAGCCCTTCGAGCGTGATCACTGCATTGTCGGCGCCGTCTACAACCGCTCCTCATAAATGGGATTTTCTCATCTGGTCATGTCTAATCTGCTCATGTCTCCCAAACCTTTTCTTTATCAGTTCCATTTCACTTTTCCCCAAGGCGTCTAGTGTTGCACGATGAATTCACTGCTTTTTTATTCTCCCGTGATTGGTTTTCTTTATCCCTGTACAATTGCTTGCGTCACAAAATTTAGGTATCAGTCCGGGGAAAATGCACACATTGAAATGATGATTTGTTCGTGTAGGAGATACTCGAGGCAGTAGTAGTTCATACCGATTGTATTCACTACCAGCTCTAACTGAGCTTGGCCTGCGGGATATCTGCAGGCTCACTAACAAAAAGCCGACTGCAGCGACCTTCCCCAGGCTCTATCCTTGCAAAAGCAGTGTCAATGTCAGGCTAGGCACAGCTCTTGGAGCTCACGAGCAACTCGAAATGGAGAGCTTCTCAAGGTGAAGCCAAGGAGCTTTTCCACTGAACCTTTTGGTTATCCATGGTCATTTCCACCCGTCTCGGACTTCCCCCGCGTTCTTAGCATAACAGGCCGGCGGATCGGTTCTCGGATTTCTCACCGAGATCGAACACCCAACCACGTCCAACAACCAGGCTCGGAATTGGTGCGCGAGCAAAGTCCACGCCGTCGGCATATGATGGGGCATCTGATGATGAGGAACGTAGGGGAGCAGGTTAGGCTCGGCTGCGACCCCGCGGGGTGCAGGACGCCGACTATATAATGATCCTCGGGAGTCCCCGTGTTGCACGGTCTCATAATACCAGTTGAATAATCGCTCTCCGAACGGATCGTCCGTCGCTGCATTGTCTTTGCTGTCGATTCCCTCATAATCCTGTTTTGATATCCGAGCACTACTACACTCCCCAACTTGACGATGTCGATTCTCATCACCGGCGCAGGCGGATATGTTGGCCAAGAGTTGGCCGCTGGTCTTCTTGCCAGCACCCCAAAATCTACCACCGTGACCATCACCGACGTGGTCGAACCTGGCGTGCCAGAAGCCGCTGCACAATATGCCAACCGTTTGACTTGCGTTCGCGCCGATTTGACCTCGCCAAAGGAGGTTGATGAATTGATCAGTGGCTCTCGCCAATATGAGACCGTCTATCTATTGCACGGCATTATGTCCAGTGGCTCCGAGGCCAACTTCGAGCTGGGAATTAAAGTCAATCTCGACTCTACTCGATACATCCTGGACCGACTACGTGCCACCCAACCTGGCGTGAAGGTGGTCTTCACCTCATCACTGGCGGTTTACGGCCCAGCAGCCCCTGGGTTCCTGATCAACGAGAACAATTTCCCGCCGATCCCCTCGTCTTCCTACGGATCACAGAAGCTCATCATCGAGACACTCGTGAACGACTACTCTCGCCGCGGGTTCCTCGACGGACGTAGCGTGCGACTGCCTACAGTAACCGTCCGAGCCGGCAAACCCACCCAAGCCGCAAGCAGCTTCGCCAGCGATATCATCCGCGAGCCATTCCAGGGCAAGAAAGCTATCCTGCCCGTGGGCAAGGAGACCGAGATGTGGATCTGCTCGCCTCACACCATTGTCAAGAACTTGATGCACGCGCGGACGATTCCGAAGGAAGCATTTGGCGAGTCACGCTCCGTCAACCTACCGGGACTGAAAGTCAGTGTACAGGAGATGCTGGATGCACTGGAGCAGGTCGGTGGAAAGGAGCGACGAGCGCTGGTCGAAGAGAAGTACGATGCTGCCACCGATAAGATCGTGCAGTCGTGGACGCCTCAGTTCTCCAACGAGCGTGCATATAATCTCGGCTTTTCCGCAGATATTTCCATGCTGGAAAACATTAAGCAGTTTGCGAGTCGATTTGTATGATTTTAGGGGGTGGTCCCCAAGCGGGTTCGGGACGGGTCGGTAGCGGGTGAGGACAGCGACAGGCAAATTAATCGAGTAATTTGGGCAGAGCAGCTGCGAGGTCTGAGTCTGTAGACATGAGGACAAATCACAATACCAGCATCTTCCATCACAAATGTCGTCGATTCGTAGCAGTCGTCGCAGTCGTAGTCTGAAGGGACAGCAAGGAAGTTTTCGGGATGGAAAGGGCCTGGTTGAAATGCGGGTCATGTGATTGGCTGGCGAGCTGGGCGAACAATTTGACTTCCGAAGTTCCAACCTCAGGGCGACTCCAGCTCTTCTCTCCATCCCCCTTCCCCCTCCTACCCACCCTACCTCGTCCGCAATGGCTTCCCGCCGCTTGGCTTTCAACCTGAACCAGGCTCTTCGGAGCCGTGCGGCTCTCAAGTCCATCCAGCCCGTGAAGCGCGGTTTCGCCTCGCCGGTTGCGTTGCCGTCCACCACCCAGTCCACCACCCTCTCCAATGGCTTCACCGTACGCCCTGCCAACCCGACCAATTGCGTCGCGCCCTCGCTAATCCCTCGCAGATTGCCACCGACTACTCCCCGTGGGCTCAGACTTCCACCGTCGGCGTGTGGATTGATGCCGGTAGCCGGTCAGAGACTGACAAGACCAACGGAACCGCCCACTTCCTCGAGCACCTTGCCTTTAAGGTTCGACCCCGCGAAACCCCGACCACTGCGATATCAATTCTAACTCAATTCGCCTCATATAGGGTACCAACAAGCGCTCCCAGCACCAGCTGGAGCTGGAGATCGAGAACATGGGTGCTCACCTGAACGCCTACACCTCGGTATGGCCGGAAAACCCAATGCATGCCCTGACGATTCACCCGCAAAACCGCTAACAACCCCGTGCAGCGCGAAAACACCGTTTACTACGCCAAGTCCTTCAACGCCGATGTTCCCAAGGCCGTCGACATCCTTTCCGATATCCTCCAGAACTCCAAGCTCGAGTCCTCCGCCATTGAGCGCGAGCGCGACGTCATCCTGCGCGAGCAGGAGGAGGTTGACAAGCAGCTTGAGGAGGTCGTTTTCGACCACCTGCACGCCACCGCCTACCAGGGCCAGCCCCTCGGTCGCACCATTCTCGGCCCCAAGGAAAACATCCAGACTATCTCCCGGGAGAACCTGACCGACTACATTAAGACCAACTACACCGCTGACCGTATGGTCCTGGTCGGTGCTGGTGGTGTCCCCCACGAGCAGCTCGTCCGCCTCGCCGAGGAGCACTTCGGTGGCCTCCCCAGCAAGCCCCCTACCTCCGCCGCCGCTGCCCTCACCGCTGAGATGAAGCGCACCCCGGAGTTCATTGGCTCCGAGGTCCGTCTCCGTGACGACACCATCCCCTCTGCTCACATCGCTCTCGCCGTTGAGGGTGTCAGCTGGAAGGACGACGACTACTTCACTGCCCTCGTCACCCAGGCTATTGTCGGTAACTGGGACCGTGCTATGGGCCAGAGTCCCTTCCTGGGCAGCAAGCTCAGCTCTCACGTCAGTCACCACCACCTCGCCAACAGCTTCATGAGCTTCTCCACCAGCTACAGTGACACTGGGTATGTATATTCTGTTTCTAATGACTGATTTGCCTTGCACCGTGCTAATATAACCAATTATAGTCTGTGGGGTATCTACCTTGTTTCCGAGAACCTGACCAACCTCGACGACCTGATCCACTTCACCCTCCGTGAGTGGTCTCGCCTGTGCAACAGCGTCACCTCCGCCGAGGTTGAGCGTGCCAAGGCCCAGCTGAAGGCCTCCATCCTCCTGTCCCTGGACGGCACCACCGCTGTCGCCGAGGACATTGGTCGCCAGATCATCACCACCGGCCGCCGCCTCAGCCCCGAGGACATCGAGCGCGCCGTTGGCCAGATCACCGAGAAGGACGTTATGGACTTCGCCACTCGCAAGCTTTGGGACCAGGACGTCGCCATGAGCGCTGTTGGCAGCATCGAGGGTGTCCTCGATTACCAGCGCATCCGCAACGACATGTCTCGCAACCTGTCGTAAACTCCCCTTCCCGATTGCGAATTGAATAAAGCTTGCTGAGGCCTGGGCCTTGGTGGGCCTCGGTGGGTGTTGTTGTTTGAATGTACTATCAATCATTGCCTTGTTTGCGTGTGAAAATAGCAATTTAATTGCCTTGGTAGACTATATAGTCTGTCGTCCAGGGTGACGCAGACCGAGATATTTCCTTTGTCCAACGCGATTCTATATTGTCTCAATTAAACGTTTTAAATCTAAGTTTTCTTGTAGCTGAGCTTCTTCATCGATAAAAGAACATTGAAGAATATGCTAGCCGGCAGCAGCGGAACAAGCCTCAGGCCTTAGGTTCGTTCTGGTCCCGCGTGGCTTGGCTAGAGCAGCCCAAAAGAACGCCGCAGGGAGAAACGCACAAACTGGAGGCTGTCTTCTTCCCTTTCCCCTGAATTCAAACCAGTTCGACCTTTTGCTGAAGACTGAGAATGTTCTGAGAATCTTGATCGTTCTCGATCATTACTTGTTTGCTATTCCTCTAGTTGGGCCGTCAGCGCGATGTTCAACAAGCCCCCAAGAAACATCATCGAACTTCCTCAGGATCCGCGAATTCTCTCAGGTCAGAAATACCGGAGTTCTCTTTACCTTCTAGCACAGTCAGCACTATGGATCGGCTATGTTTACATTACCGCGCGCCTGTTGCTTCTATTGCTAGCCCCAATACGAACCTGGCAAATGTGGACAATGTTTCTTCTGGAGGCCTTTTTCATTCGTATGTCTTGAAGACCTGAAAACATTTGATCATTGCGAGCTTTTGCTGAACTGCCTGTAAAGATATGACTCGAAAAGAACAGCGATTGACAGTCAAGGCGACCCGAAGTGTAGAACAGGGTTCCCGCTCCCGACTGCGGCTTCAAGGGAATGTTGATCTACCTCATGTCGACATCCTTCTACCATGCTGCGGGGAGGAAATCAATGTGATTGTACAAACAGTCCAAGCGGCCTGTACCCTGAACTATCCCATCTCTCACTTCCGGGTCCTCGTACTTGATGATGGCGGATCAGAATCGTTGAAAACGGCCGTATCTGATTTGCAATCTCGATGGCCCCATCTGTATTACAACTCTCGTGGAAGACACTCAGGTCAAGTCTTTGCGAAATCAGGTAATCTGAACTACGCCTTGACAACTCTTCAAAGCAACTTCCAGTCTGAATTCTGTGCTGTTCTCGATGCTGATTCGATTCCGACGAGCGACTTCCTCAGGGCTACTCTGCCCCATCTACTCAAAGATCCAGAAGCAGCCCTGGTGTCAACACGGCAGTACTTTTCCAATCTCCCAAAGGGAGACCCACTATCCCAAGCGCGGGGGCATTTCTATACTTGTCAAAACTCTAAGCTTGACATTCTCGGGTGCGCGATTGATTCAGGCTCAGGGGCAGTCTTCAGACGACAGGCGATTGTGGACGTGGGCCTTTACCCGACGTACTCATTCTCCGAGGACTGGCAGTTGTCTTTGTTATTGTGCGGCAGAGGTTACAAAATCTTCCAGGTCGACGAACCTTTACAATTCGGCCTGGTCCCGACTTCTCTCGCTGGTCATATTGCTCAGAGAAAACGTTGGAATATCGGCCATGCCCAGCAGATACTTGGGATGATTTCCTCCCGAAACAGAAACATATCAGGTCATCTGCGACGGCTGATTGCCCTGAATGGTTTCGAAATCGTGTTTGAAGAATTGTGCTGCTTTTTGGCATTTGCTACCGTGCCATGGTTGTTTCTTTCTGGGGAAAGACTCATTCCTACACTGCAATATCCGGCGGCCTGCTTCCAACTGACGTTTGCATTGACTCAAATATTCTTTTCATGGGCTTATGAATTCTTGCAAGCTGCACACACGGGATTCAGAAGTACACCTTTCGGGTTTCTCGAAAACAAGTGGCTTTCAGGATGTGAGTGTGACTGAAACTTTTCACTTAAATTCGATATTAACCGGAAGTCTGAATAGCGAACATTTGTGGAATACTCCGATTTTATCTCATCTCAGCAAAGCCAAAAGGATCATTTGTTACTGGGAGCAGGCAAAATTCCTTCAATCACAGCAGCACCTCCTCAATGCTTTTGAAGATGTACCGTGACTTGTGGGACAACGGCATTTTATACAGCGTGATTTTACTTGTGGCAACCCTTTCCTCGATATTTCATTCTCTCGTGAGAATTTTCCAAGACGAAAATACCTTTACGTGGGCGTTGCAGACTGCTCTCTGGCCCCAGCTTATATACATCTGCTTTTTGAGTTTGAAAATCTACATGGTCCCGGTGAGATACATGATTGGCCCGCCACAATACCCAGAGCGAACACTTTTCTCAGCCGTCACTACGTCAGCCTCACCAGATACGATCATCAACTTGCCCCAAATGGAATCAGTGCAGTCTAGATTGGAAGGGCTTAGCAAAGCCGGCAAGGAAATCATGCATCAGGGAAGACGGATCGAAATTCGAAAGGAAACAGAGTTTTAGGCCGAGTCAAGCCACTCGACACCACGGCTTCACATTAAATCAAGGGAATTGATGCAGCCACACCCATTCTGCCTCAGATCACACCTTCTCCCTGATATTTTAGATACCTGCTAGTTCTTCACCTTGGTTGCCCTGGCTATTGGAGCAGAAAAATAAACTCTCTGCTCTTCGCGGAAAATTTATTCTAGTCTGAAGTCCATCCATTTGGCATTGTGATTGCACATCACTCTGTAAAGTTGCTAACCAGACAGCTGATCACGTAGTGACTGGGTAGATGACCAGGTAGCTAACCAGGTAGGTGACTGAGCAATGGTCTTGATAGCCTGGCATTATCAAGACCATAATTGAGGGGTATTCGGCGTCGAAATTGGCAGCATGTTTGATCAAGGTTCTAGTTCTGTATTATCTGAGCGAAGCCATGACGAGTGTGATCCGAGACAAGGGGGGCGTGGAAGCATCAATCTCCTAAATCAATTAAATCTCGTCAACATTGCTATTTACCGTAGATTGAATGTTTCCTCGAGGAACAAAAGGGAAAATGCTTGCATCGACGACTCTCAGATTCTGGGTACCACGAGAATGACCTCCCGCATGGCAGATATTGTGCGCGATACATTGACTTTTTCCAGTGAAGCGGACACCAGTAATTACCACATTCTGCTCCGTCTGATTGAACACCATCTTTTCAACGAATTCCTCTGTAAAAACTCGAAGGTTGGCCCTTTTCGGCTATCTCGGGGTTATAGTACGTCACACCGGCATGGCTTCGAGTCCTGGTAGTACCATGAATACTTCCGGGGTTACGGAAAGGCCCCTTTGAAAGCCCAGACATCGGATATCCAGTAAGTGGCTGCCCAAGGGTTCTCGAAAGCCTTCGGCCAGGCCGACAGAAGTGTTGGGAATAGTCTATCGCCAAAGGAAACCTGGAGCGGCCCTGACGTTCCCTGAATCACTTCATCCATATACCGGAGAGACAGCTGATCTCTGACTTCGGCAGAAGGTTATTGAAAGTCTGGGGCTTTCTGAGGTAGCCTGAGAGGGACACCCAATTCCAGCGTTCATTTCCTAATTTTTTCCACGATTCGAGATCTGTTTTGCTGGGTTAAATGATCATTCCCAGACTGATGGCAGAGGAACCGCCAAGTGTGCGGCCTTTCGGCTCAGCAAGGCATCTTCCATTCAAGCCTTCCTAGACATTCAGATGTCAATACTTAATGTCATAGGCGGAGGCTCGATCTTCTTCGGAGCGCAAAGAGGCGCACGGACGGTCTTTACCTGAGGAGAACTGGTAGTGCACCAGTCAAAGTCTGGATCTTCATATGTGGTTGGGCCCCAACCCGGCGCAAAGATTCGTGGATCATCAAGACGGTTGATATCTGCTTCGAGAACAAGACATCCTTTCAGGTAGTCTCGGTGCTTCTTTATTCATGATTTATAGCAAAGGGGGTTTCGGAGACTCCCTCGGGGCTCTCTAATTCCAGCAGAAACGGCGCTGTATGCCGGAGATGTCTTGACGCGTGATTATTTCGAAGGTCTGTGCGAAGTCTGGTCATTAGGTTTAGCATTCGAGGAATCAACGACCTTTTATGTTGATGTCTTGCTGCGATATTAAGGGGGTTCATATATCTTGACATGCTTTCTGAGACCAAAAAGTCTCATCAGTATAGGTCGGGTAAAGACATAGGCAATGCCGATTGCCAGTTTTCCGAAATAGATGTAGTCCCTGCCGCCTGAAGAATGCAGGCGGCAGGTTCCGACGTCTCGCGTCTGCAGAAATCGGGCAAGGCGGGCACCAATGAGAAAGAATTTGCAGTAGACAAGGACATTGTAGGGCATCTCGGACACCTTTTTAACTCGTGCATCGTGTTTTTTGTTCATTATGATCATGTATGGTATTATTTGATTTTAATTTTGACATGCTGGTTGAAGCAAACCTCGGCTTCTCGTATTTCTAGACCATGCGCTCCAGTTGGCGCAACAGACCGTTGGGTTCGGCAGTCGCTTGGTTGCAAATCTCATCCGCGCGTGCCTTGTCATCGCTGACAGAGTAAATGCGAAGCTCATCAGCGTTTCCAGAAGGCCGGATGTGCGCGACATCGCCATTTTCGAATGTGACGCGGACACCGTCGGTATAGTTCGTGCCTTTAATGTTGGAAAATCCAGCTTCGGCCGAGAAAACCTGCTGAAGTTCTTGACGAATCTGGGCGAGTTGTCGCGTTTCGCTTTCCGAAATACTCGCGCGGATCGGTTCGCCCTTCGAGTTCAGCGGAACCATGCTTTCGTCCTCATATTGACATCCATAGATTTCATTCTCCCCAGTGAGCGCTTGGCCCTTCAAAGGCGAAAACCGCTCGACAATCTTCGCACTCGTGGGCCGGGGAAAGTTGCGAATAACTGATGCTCGACTAAATCGGGCGGGCAAGGATTCGAAAAGACCGGAGACGGTTGTCTGGCGCTTGCGGGACGCAAAAAGAACGCTCAGAAGAGGAAGAACTGCATCGCGCGTAGGGAGTGCGGGAAGCTTTTTGCCGTCAATCTCGATATCGGAGCCAGTGAGGAAGCCGCCGTTGGCCTCCCAACCTAGAACGCGACTTCGGCCTGCCGAGGCAGCGTTCTGCATACCATCAATCACATAGGGGCTTCCAATTTTAGTTTTGGGTGCCAGGACGGCCGCGAGGGGCCCGCGGTCGATGGCATCGTTGGTGCTGATGGGCACGACGACGGCGTCAGCACCGAGGAAATCGGCGACAACCATGCCCAGAAGATCGCCGCTGAAAAAGCGGAGCTTGCCACCTTCGGGCGCTAGGAGGAGGGGGCGATCACTGTCACCGTCTGTGGAGATGACTGCATCGAAGGTCTGGCCGGTGCTATCGACAAGGCTTTGAACCGTGTCAAGTTGAGCCTGATCAATCGCCTCCGTATCGATGGGGACAAAGGTCTCACTGCGGCCTGCGGGAAGGACCTCGGCCCCAAGTGCCCGGAACAACTCGACGATAAGGTCTCGGCCGACAGCAGAGTGTTGGTAAACTAGCAACTTCATGCCTTCGAGGGTGTCACCCTTGAAGAAGTCAAGGTACCGCTGGATGTACTCGCTCTTTCCCTCGGGAACGGGAGTAACGAGGGTCGAAACGGGGTTCCGAAGCATGCCTTGCTCGTTGAAAAGAGATTCAGTGAACGGCTGCTCGATAATTGACTTCCGGACAACTTCAACAGACTCATTGATGGGCTTCTCATCCTTTTTCATCAGTTCGCCTTTGGAGGTGTTCAGCTTGTAGCCATTGCGATCGAAAGGAATATGGCTGCCTGTAACCATAATACTACCCTTCGCCCGTTGCAAAGCGAAGAGAGTCAGGGCAGGAGTGGGAATGGCACCGAGGCTAATCGGGTTCATCCCAGCGTCCCTCAAGGCCTGCTCCACTGCCTGGCAGAGGCCGCCGCGGCTCGGCTCGACATAGTGAATTGAGCTGGGGCGCAGATCATATGCGTAGTAGAAATCGTCGCCGACTTCAATACCACCATCAGCAGGCGACTTTGCCTGGAGGTAGCGCAGTTCGCCGAGAACATTAATGTAAATCTCCAGTTGAGTCAAATCGACGATCAAGCCACGTCGACCGCTTGTACCAAATTTGAGCGACTGGGGCTTATACGCAAGGTGGGCCCCAAGGGAGGTTTGAAGAGAATCGGTCGACATCTTGGACAATGTCGGATATCGCGATGCTTTGCTGATCGCCTCGGGGGAAGAAGAAAACGTGGAGGATGGTGGCAAAGCCGTTCCTGAGAGCCCCTCGCCCACCAAGGTCACTTGACCCACGCTTTCACCGCTTATTGGCCCCGCGGCGAACAGTCAGGGGCTGTCAAGTTGAATACTTGATTTTTTTTCGCCGAGTCTCTATAATTTTGTCTGAAAAATGAGATATCTCATGTCTAGTCTTTTCCGACCAAGACGCTACTCGAATGCTTGGAAGGCCGTGCTCAATCCTGCTGGGCGTAAAGCGGCGAGGGGCGAGTCCGAAACGGGATCACCCTACCATTGGAACCATGCTCCCGCTTTGATCAAATCTCTGCGACAGTTGAAATGCATTTTGGGCTCCGAATTGCCGGAAATTTGGTTTCTGTAAGGACAAATGCTAGACCAAAATTCGACAGTTACCATCTGTTCGAGCAATAACATAGCCTCGTTTCACAGCATACATCGTGCAGACGGGTTTCAATTCGCGAAGGTTCGGAGAACTATATCCCCTCGGAAGAGAGGGTACGTATAAATAAGCACCCCAAATCACCCATGGGAGGTTAGACCTTCGCTGTTTGTGAGCCGCTCGCATATCCGGATTTTACCGAATCTACGACTTTCGGTCTACTCTCATTGCTACCTCTCATTTGACAAGATGCCGGAACTCCCGACAAACCGATGGGGCATCGTAGTACTGCCCTGGGATGAGTTTCGATAATAGTAAGCTGACAGTCATACAAGCCAACGGCGCTTCGAGTGTCCAGAAGGGAGAAGACTTTGCGAAACGGCACTGTCCAAAGCAAAGCCCAAAAATCTATGCTCGTACAACAGAGTCTATTCCGACGCGACTGTTGACATTGTTTACATCGGCACGCCCTTTGGATATCATTACCGAGATTGTATGGATGCCATTAAGAAATGTTTTGTGCGAGACGTTGTTCACCATAAACGCGAAATAAGCAAAGGAGGTCTTTGCGGCAGCCAAAGAGAAGAAGGTTTACGTTGCAGAGGCAATGTGGCTACGTCACCGTCCTCTTGTCTAAGATCTCGATCGAACTTCGCACTTAAAAAAGTCATCGGCGAAGTCTTACGAGCATGCTCTAAATTTGCATCCGGACTCGGAGTTGACATTGCATCGTTGCCTCTCACGTCTCGGTACCGCGACCTCACAATGGGTGCGGGATCTTGCTCGATATCGGCAACTATTCACTGACGTGGATCACGCTGGTCCTGAAGGGTAACGCGGGAGAAGCCGCAAATTGGGGTAAGCCAAACACACGAAAGTGGTATCGAGATTACAACCAGTGCTATTCTTCAATGTATTCTTCAATACCCGTCGATGGGTCGGCAAGGGATTTCAACCAGTACAACTAAAACCTTGAATGCGCCGGGGGAGATCTTTGCCGTTATTCACGGAACCGATGGGTATGTCGAAGTCGAAGGCAGGATGCTTGCTGCGCCGGTTTCCTTTACTGTCTGGAAGAAACAGGGGGCGGAAACCCCAGATTGTTGCTCTTTCCCAAGGACAAACTTTCAAGCTCAAAAATATGAGTTCCCTGAACTCGGTCGTAGCTTTGTGTGGGAGGCTGAAAATACGGCCCTTGATGTACAGGCAGGCAATAAGGAAAGCAGCGTTACGCCTTAGGAAGAGACCATTTACATGATGGAGATCATGGACGAGGTCAGACGACAGGGACAAACAGTGTATCCCGGCGAGCGCGATCCTGTGGAGAATCAATAAAACGAATAGAACAAGTGTGTCTCTTCTTTTTCAAGGTTGTGTCAGCTATCATCATTATTAATCGTGAGTTTTTGTTCTTTGCCTGCTCATGATGCCGGTTTTGAAACTTGGTCTCAGTTTTTGTTCCGAATCGTAATTGGGACTACTGCAAGCTGCATCTTGTCTTTAGTGGGCTTTCCTAGCCCGAGAACGTAACACCTCGGTGAAGGAGAACTAGCGTCTATACCACATGGAATTACTACATCATCCATGCTCATGGCGGCTTCGGTAGGAGTACAACCCTGCATACTTTATCATCTAGACAACATTTGCATGCAGATTTGAATAAGAATAGCAAGATTAGAGTTTACTCTAGAGCATGATTTATGCACATCCTCGCACACTTCCGCGGCGCAAAGCCAAAGGAATTTTTTCGACAGCTGCATTGCGGTGGAGTCCTAGCAGTGAACGGGGCCCTTAAAGGGACACTGCGTCCCACTGAAGAGGACTAGTGAAACGGATTGCACAAATCGTGAGTTTAAAAATGGCAAAAACAGCCGAGGTCCACGGTTGGTCGGCTTTCGCGGTGTACTTCATGGGATGGAAAGAGAAAAATATACCCATCCCGCCCTGGGATGAATACTCATACTATGAGATAAAATAAGAAGCTCGAAGCGATAATTGCCATAGAGTACCAGTATGTTTCAACTGTACTTTTTCCAAATAGGCAAAAGTAGGCCCGTTACCGCCCTCCCTCAGCCCTCTACCAAGACTGGGAAGGGCGTCTGGCCTTACCGGAAACGGATAAAGGTAGAGAGCTGAGCATCTATTCGTCAGAAAAATAAGAATGTGCAGATCTTGATTCTGGGGCAGCCAAGCGGCAAAACTTAGTCGAACGGGACTGATATAGCTCAGGTCAGCTCGCAGGCCGGTCCTTCCCCAAAGACAGATTATCTCAGGTCATATTCTGCCCTGTACCCACTCAAGTGGACACCGCGCCAGCTCTGGTCCCCAAGGCGATGCGTCGTCAGAACTACGGGGACCATCCGGGGATCTCAGATGCAAGGCCGAACGGCCAAATCACCGATCAGCCATTGTATCGGCAAAGGCTCAGCTCGCTTAAAGGCTTTCGGGCCCATTCCGTGGCTTATTGGCTCCGTCGAGCCTGAAAATAACATCATGCCGGTTTTGGTATAGTACAATGTCCGTTTTGGGAGGAAAATAAAAGTAAATTCAGACTTTCATCCCCAATCTTTTAGTCCTGGTCATCCTGCATGATGGTATCATTCATAGTGGTTTAGGCAAGAGTCGATTCTGTTTGTTTTTGGGTTTTTGTGAGCCTGTAATTTTCTCTCAGTTGTTTAAGCTGGGATCACCGCGCAAAGGCGTCCTTGGCAAGTTCTCTAGTGTCTACATATTTGAGTGAAAAAAGAAAAGAAACATTAGGCTCATCTCGTGGTAGTCTTTACCCCTACCACGCATGGATTCACCCCGTCAGCCGCATGGGTGATGGTGGAGGGTCATCAAGGGACCAGTTCATAAGACAAGTATTACCAGAATGTGGGCTCAGCCACTAGCAGTGGCTCTCTTTAATTACCTCGCTAGCTTCTGAGCTTAGGGCTCTCATCCGATGAATAAAAGGGCATAGACGGCTCGTCGCTGAGTCAACAATTCTACTACCTTCTGATCTGCAGAGCCAATTGTTCGCTCTCTTTAATTCATTCCTATTGAGCTTCGACTTGTTTTTGTGGGTCAAACACGTATACCCTTCTTTGAACATCAAAAATGATGAGTAGGCGAGGTCGGAGACCCCGCCGGAATCAAGTCGGCCTACGATTCATCATCGCAGACCCCTCATCAAATGAGGGAAAGACAGATAACCTGCGCATAGTCAGGTCTCATGCAGGAAAATGGAGATGGTCTGAGTCTAGGAAAAGCAGACAGTGTGCGAATCGGCATACTATCTCGGACGACCTGCCGCCCTCTGGTGATGTGTCTGAAGACAAAGTGGATATCTCCGATAGCTACTCTTCGGATGATTCCCCTCCGGTCTCCAAAGACACTTCGCCAGATACAGACTATGAGCAATTCCCAGGTAGCTCAAAGCCAGACCCATCTGGAGCGACATATTCGAAGTTGCAGCCATCTAATGAGCCAGCCCCGGTATTGCCAGATCAAATCTGGGAGCCGAGACCACTAGATCCTTTCGTCTACGAAGCGGTGGATCTATATGGAGTTGCTCCCAATCTATTAGATCCTTTCCAATCACCTCGGCAAACCTCTTCATTGCCCTTGGGAATGGTGAGCAATGCAAACAAATATTGTTCGCGCCCGTCGCCTATATTTTGCTTCTCCGTTGACTCACTAACCCTATCCCAGCATTGTCGACTGTATGGCCTGGTCTCTTGCCTCCATCACCCAGTACCAATCACCCCGGTATACGTGCATGGTACATGAGCTCTGCCACCCACGCTGCACTTCATAGCACTATGCTATTTGGGTCATATTCACATAGACGAACCCTGTGGCTCATAAAGGGACAAGGCCATTTCAGCGAAGAAGATGCAAAAAGGCTAGCAACCTGCGAAGCCGATTCGATCATGAGAGTAAATCTGGCGATCCAAATCCCTGCCGAGGCGGTCACCGATTCTATCATCCTATGTGTTCTTTGCATGGCAACCAACAAAGTGGAGGCACCCATGTGGAAGCATGTCCAGGAGTCTGTTTTTCAGGCTCCGCTCCGATCCCTGCAGTGGCTTGATATCTATGGCCGCTTGTCCCCACACCTAATTCATCAAGCTGGTCTAGTGCAATTGATAAACCTTCGAGGTGGCTTGGAGAGGATAGAGCTTCCAGGACTGGCCGCCATTATTGCCTAGTAAGTTTATCTTCTCCCAGTCCAGAGGCCCACCAATTTCTGAAGGCTGGCTGACATTATCTCATAGCTCCAGTGTCCTTGGCGCCAGTAGATCCCTGTCTCGTCCAAGTTTCCCGTATATTTCGGTCCAGACTGGAGGCCATCTGATACTGCAAGACATTATAAACCCCCATACAGAGCGCTTCAGTTCCCCTCATATCCCACCCGAGATGCAAGATATCTTCCGCGCTCAGCTAACCTATGTCACCGAGATTGAAATGTATGAGGACGGCATACCGATATCAAGGGACGTGCTTTGCGACCATCGAAACCTGATTCAATGGCACATCATGTCCTTGATTCCATCAGGTCAGCTTGGATCATCTCACTCCGGGCTGTATCCTCTCTACGAAGCATCTCGACTTGCATTGATAATTTTTGGCGTCGGTGTCAGTTTCCCACTTCCACCGCAAAGCGCGCCATTGGTCACACTGGCTCGGATGCTGAAGCTGGAGCTTCAGTCATATCATCGTTCAGTCCAAGAGATTCCAATCTCGGCTGTCAGTTTATATACCTGGATCTTGATGCTTGGGTGCATTGCTGCGACTGGATCTGCGGAGCGGAAGTGGTATATCAATAGCATGGGGGCCCATGTCGTATTTTATGGGCCAATCACTTGGTATGAATTCAAGATAGAGCTCAAGTCAATCTTGTGGCTTGAGAGGGCATGTGACCAACCTGGAGAGTTGGTTTGGAATGAAGTGATGTGCCTCTAGGCTTTTGATGTCCTTGTTTGGATCGATTTAGCGAGTTTAGAGTACTTAATTAGAACACTCTCCTTTCGTCACTCTTTCCCATCAAATTGGTAGATCCGGATGAATATGGGCACAGCAAGAACCTGCCTGGGCTCTTTCCAAATCCTTCAGTACCACTCTTCTCCTCCGTCCTTTTTATTTCCCGGTTAGAGGGGAAGCTCGTGTTCGTACTTTGATCCTGCCGGTTCACCACGTACAGTCTCCAATGCGGAATATGCATGTCTCCTTTTTACTCTGCTCAACTGCATGAGCAGGTAATTGAGTCGAGAGCAAACAGCTATGAAGGATTGTTTTGAATAGAGAGAACTCCATAGTCCTCTAATCAATGATCATGCTACTGCTCGAGAAGTGTCGCTTCATGAAATCCATGTTGATTACTAGAGAGTACTAGCACTCAACTAACACCAAATCCAGCATCACGGGAGGATTTCTTTTAGCTCTTCTGAATGATCCTGGCCTGTATTCTGCCGCCTTTCGCCTCCCATTTGTTTCATGATCGATTCAGTCGCGACAGTCGATGAAGGACTCTGGAATCAACAGCTCGTCGAGGCCTCCTCGGTGCCCTACCTGGACCGGTCGGATATTTCCATTGAAGCAGACCTGACACAGCTTGTGCAGGGCATTCCACTATCGCATTTGACCCTGCGGGTTCGACAAATTAGACAGCTGCGACTTCGCGGGCCCGAGATCCGGAATCCAATGAAGGATTTGTCGCACCTCCGTCAGACGAGTTGTAGGTGGGCGTTGGAAGAGCAAAGGCAGAGCTTCCTGGACATTCCATTTTGCTCATGAAATCGTGGCAATTTTTTGGACAAACAAATCTGAGCGGCTTCCAGGTCGAGCGGCCCCATCCTTCGTAAGGGTGAGGGCCGCCGGATAAGTTTATGCGAGCCCCAAGGCAACATTGGCAACGTTGGAGGTTCCCCGATCGTTCGTCTTGGCTGATTGTGGCAGCCAATACAATATTTGGTGGGGGAACATGCGATCACCATGAGAATTAATTCGTGATATTTATGGTCATAAGAACATGGATGATAAATACATGCAGGGGAATCACGGCAAAACGAAACCATCAACACGTCGTACTAGGTACAGAAATTAAGCAGCCCCTCGGGGTATCTATAGTTTTCCTCCGACCAGGGGCTGTAGTGTAGGAGGGAACGGGTATTGAGCGTCAAAGTGGGCCAGCTCACTTCCATCGCCACTGTACCCGATATGATCACGATTGTCATCGATGATGCGCCCATACTCCAGAAGGAGCAGGTAAAGGTAGATATCCAGGTCCTCGTCGCGCAGCGCATGCTGGGCCCACTCTCGGCTTTGGGTGGCGACCACCTCGGCTTCAAAGTCGTGCTGGGGGGCCATGGAGCCATGAGGCAAGGAGGTATTTGCGGCTGCGGGAGACTCCAGCCCAATGAAGTAGGTCATGAGGGCATAAAGGTCTGTGAACCGGTTATCCATCGGGATAAAATGGCGCCAGGCGAAGAGGCGGGAGTCGTGCCACTCGCGGAAGATGGTTGCCTTGATGCCCAGCGATCTGCTCTGGTGGAAAGCGCGCCAGCGGCCAGAGAAACTGTGGCCATCGATGTCGACCAGGTACTTCGACTTGAATTGCTCGCTGAATGGCTTTTGGTCCTTGTAGGTCCATACACCTTCGTAGAAAGAGCAGTCGGGAATACATCCCCAGGCCTCGGTAAATCCGACATCGAAGTGAGATGCGGCAAAATCAGAAGGATGGTAGTCGGGCAAGAGCTGGTAGTGGTTCTTGTCGTCCTTGACAAGGATCGAAACGGTCTGGTTATTCATTTCCGTGGCATTGGTCATCTTCACAAACCGCTGACGATGCAAGCGGTGCCAATTGTCAGCGACTTGAACGCCGCCCGACGTGACACCACGCCACAACATCGAATCAACCCTGTTTTCCCATTCGTAGTCATTCTTGTTGTTGTAAAAATACCGCTCGTCCTTCAGGAAGTACATATTGGCCGGGAAAAGGATGTCATTGTTGACACTGACCTTGCACTCGCTGAAGACCGGAACGAGCTTCCTGGTGATCTTGTTACTGGACGCCGAGAAGAGAAAGCCATGTTTATCGCCGAGGACCGGTCCGACATTACAGAGGTCAGTGGAACCTGTGAAATTGGAGACAAAACCTCCAAAGCTGGACTTGTACAGCTTATCGGCATCTTCGGAATTCAACTTCTCGTTTCGCGCAGGCGATTCGGGCGGACAAGATTCCCGAGAGAAGTTCACGTATGGCTGGCCCGCCACAGAGAACCATCCCGGGTCGATTTCCTCATTGACGGTCGCATTCTCATCGTAGAAATGCGGCATATCCGAGGTGAACTGGTCCTGTGCGTCCCCGGGGAGGCTTCGGGTGCTTTCTTCAATTTTCAGGTAACTCTGGATATCCTCGTAGGTGGCCATGACCCGAGGTTGGTCCATGGTGTTCATCGCAACATCCATGTCGGGCAGGTATTTGGCGAGACGTCCCACCGACTGCGCGAGGGTTTCCGCTCGCCAGCCTCCCGACTTGGACACGACCTTTTGGTCCCGAATGCGCATGCCCGCGATGCTGTCACTTGTCTGCAGCCGGGCGGCCATCTGCCGGATTTCATCGGGTGGAATAGCCCAGAACGGTCGGAGATCATCGTGGATTTGTTGGAAGTCGTCTACATTGTAGACCTGGTTCTTTCTTGCAAACTGATACCATTCCTTGAAACCGGGTGGCGGATGACGTCCGTAAGTCGCACGGTAGCGGGCCACGGTCTGGGAGAAATTCGAAGAACGACCCTGATTGTACTGTTCCCACTGGCGATCGGCTTCCTTCATGAGCTGGCCGATCGGGTGTTGGTCGCGCGCAAATTCGCCCACGAGGTGGGGACGTGCGGGTCGGAGCAGCGACAGGCCCGGGATGCGGATGGTTGTTTCATCGACGGCGTGAGTGAGGAAGACGAGGTTCAAGAAACAAATCACGGTCGCAGCGCCGGCCAGATACAAGTAGATGGTCTTGCGCCGGCCGGCGAAGCTGGTGGCGCCAAGCATTCTGGAAGGAATCCCCTACCCTGGACGAGGGCCGGGCGCCAGACTGGGAGAGACTCCAGGGATGCAAGGGGGAGCGAAGGAGAGTCCACTGTACAGAGAGAGCGAAGAAAGGGCTATGAGACGCACATGGAGGGCGGAGGAGAGGAGTCGAGCAGAGCAGAGACACGAGGAGGAATGGAAGGCGGGCGGCCCCTAAAACCCAACGCCAACCTTCTCTCAAGGCTCGTTTGATTACTGGGCCCGCCTTTTGCCCTGCAGGCGGCACGCTCACGTTACTTCTTCCTCCGGCTTCCCACGGTTCATCGCCTCCAAGGCAACGGTGACGTCCCAGCTGGATGCCACTGCTCAACGCAACCCCGCCCAGCTCCATCTGCCGCGATTGATATTAATTCCATCTAAGACACACGAACGGGTCCCAAACGGTCGAGTCCCTGAGGCTCCACGCCGGCCTCGACGCTACCACTGCTAGTACCATTTTAGTTAGTAGCGAGCGAGGGCCTGGTTAACTAATAGCTGCTGGTTTGGTACGAGTTAGTCGGAATTGCGCCCACGGGACGAACACGCGGTGATTGGCGGGCCTGCGCCAAGACCTCTCGGCTCCGCTCCGCCGCGTTCCACGAATCATCTTTGATGGCCTCCAGCTTCCTCAGCTGCCCGCATTGCTGACCTTCAACGACATGGCCGCAAAGCGCCCCCGCGCTGCCTTCGAGGCCGACCAGGTGCAGCGGCCCCCCTATGTTTTCTACGGCACGCCCTTGCCTCCGCTCGATGCCGAGACGCGTGACGATGGCTCGTACGTCCCCGTGTGGAAACAGGAAGTGACCGATGAGCGGGGACGGAAGCGCCTGCATGGCGCCTTCACCGGTGGTTTCAGTGCTGGGTACGTTTAGTTCGACCGAGATGAGATTCATCGCGAGTCATCGCCTAACTTCTTTAGATACTTTAATACCGTCGGCTCCAAGGAAGGATGGACACCGGCGACGTTTGTATCCTCACGCCAGAACCGCGCCCGCGATGGGCAGCAGCAATCCCAACTACGACCGGAGGACTTTATGGATGAGGAAGACCTCAAAGATCAAGAAGAGTCGCGGAATCTACAGATGTCAGAAGGGTTCGCGGGGTTCGGCTCCACGGCCGGAGATGCCACTCGACGCGCCGGATTCATGGACCTAGTCAAGACGACCGGAGAAACAATGGGTGTCAAGCTGCTGAAACGGATGGGTTGGAAGGAAGGAGAGGGGATTGGGCCCAAGGTCCGCCGCAAGGCAAATCTCGGCGATGGCCTCAGTTCTGGTATAAATGCCTCGGAGAAAACATATCTCTTTGCACCAGAGGACCCAGCCATGATCGCCTTCATCCGCAAATCCGACTCCAAGGGTCTGGGCTTTGAAGGGGAGGCCCGGCTCAGTCCTCAAAACAACACCCAGGATGAGCCTGAAGAGACAGATTCGTTCTTCGGGGACCGTCTTGGAGACCAGAAGAAGTCCAACAAATCGTCCAAGACTAAACAATCCCGCCGTGGGGGCTTTGGTGTCGGCATCCTAAACGACACCGGGTCTGACGATGAAGACCCTTACTCCCTTGGGCCCCAAATTTCATACAATCGGACTCTCGGAGGTGATAAAAAGAAAAAGAAGAAAGGGATAGTCGAGGACAGAAAGCCCACCATCGCTTCTGCAAACCCTTTGCTGGGAGACAAACCCGTTTTCATCTCCAAGAAGGCTGCTGCCACTCGAGGTCCCGGTGGATTCAGGAAATGCCGTGATGGACGACTACCGCTGGACGGGTTCGTTCTCGCTGACAGTCTCTCGGGCCTGTCCATTTCAGAGAAAAAATACGAACCTCCTCAAATTCCTGAAGGCTGGAAGTCTGCTAAACAGCCCTCATCGGTCCAACGAGAGGCTCCGGGCCATGTTTCGACAGCTGATGCCGCCAAGGCGTCGACACTGGACCCGACGTCTCGAGCCGCTGCCCTGGGGGAGGCCCAGCTACCAGGAAAATCCGTCTTTGATTGGATGACCCCGGAGGCTCGCGAGCGGATCGTGAGGCTCACGGGAAATACCAATCTTCCCCCGGCCCTCAGTGAAAGAGCCCCGAAAGGCTACGAAGAAACCGAGACGCAGAAACAAAAATCCTTGTGGGATCTGGTTCCCAAGTTGGATAAGCAGACTGCCGTCCAAGCGTTGACTCGGGCCGTTGGCGGATGGATGCCCTATTCAGAAGACGAGGAGAAACGATCCCGTTACCGTACTTTCTTAGAGATTCGTGCGGAGATACGCAATACGCTCCCCGATCGACTGCCAGGATCCAGCACAAGCGACTGGGTCAACGAGATGCATGAGTTTGCGCGGGCTGCGGATGTCTTCAAGCCAATGTCTGCCATCATGGCGTCCCGGTTCACGTCAGCTTCCTCGGGGCCTAAGGTCGCCTCCGATGCGCCGGACTCGACCGACGATCCTCTCAGTCGACCGAGTGAGAAACCCGACAGTCCAGCCGTGGCAGCAGCCAAGATGGGTATGTTCGGGCCCATGACCCGAAGTACTCAACCTTTCTATCCAAGCCGTCTACTATGCAAGCGGTTTAATGTCAAACCACCCGCAAATGTCCAGCTAGACCCTGGAGAGGGGCCAGGCCTATCTGCTGGTGCTGGTGCTGGTGCTGGGGGTGGTCCCGGCATGCGCTTCCAGTCTGGCGGCTACCAGGCCGACACCAAGGCCAGGGAACTGATCTCGCAGGACGTGATGGATATGATCATGGAAGAATCAGGCCGCCAGCCTGCTGCTCCCAGCTCCGATGCCAGTGGACCAAATCAAGCCCCGGCCGCCACCTCAGCATCGGCACCGCCGCCAGTCGTCGAACTGGACCGCAACGATGCGCTGGAGGCTGAGCGACCGGGCGATGATGTTTTTAAAGCGATCTTTGGCAGTGACGACGAGGACGAAGAGTGAACTTACCCGGGCCACTGATTTAGCGACATGTATTTGTACACATAGTAAATACTACCCTAGGGAGTAGTAAGTTCACGAAACGACATTCCATAAACAGTTTGTATAAATGTGTATACATTAAGATAATAATCTGTATATGAGTAATTCGCCCGGTTTACACACCGTATGGGATGTGTTGTGTGACGGGCTGTGTATCGTCCAAGCGCAAAGTGATGCGCGAATCTTCTTGACATCATCAATGCTTGATTCGAGAGCTAAGCAGCGCAGCCCGGGGAATGTGCCTAACGTCGTGCCTGGACCCCCGGGCCTTTCCCTGTAGCTTCCCCTCTCGTCCCCTCTTCCTCCTCAACCTTGGTACCTCCGCCTTCACAACCTCGTCCTTTCAAAGAATTGCCGCTGAACATTCCTCCCACTTTCGGCCTCTCCTTCGAGCATTTTCCCCTCACCTTGGCCTATGGAGGGCCACCCTCGCGCGCAAAATGGTACGTTGATGATTTGTTTTTGAAAAGATCGAATGCCCCCATCCCACCGCCCGTCACACCACTCGCCCTTCTCCGCAGACTGCCGAATTCGGCTGCAGATGCAAGGAGGACCTCAGCTAACATCTCCACCTGGGACTGCATAGGGTTGCTGCGCGTCCGTATTGTCGCGTGAGACCAGCGAAGCTTCAGACCATCCCGAATCTACCAGCATCGAAGGTAGAGCACAGGCCCTTGCAACCGCCGCCCCCGAAACCCCGGCCGAGGCGACTGCAAGCCGCCGGACCTCGCGGACCGCCAACGTTGCCCTCAACGAACACTACAACGAGCCCGTGCGTCTGCATATCTGGAAGAGCAAGCGTCGCACCTGGACTCGTGGGCAGTTGGACCGTGAGCGCCGCGAGTTCTTCGAGACACGAGTGACTGGGCATGCGGAAGTATGGGCCGCGATCTCAACAGCTATCGAGTTGATGCGCGCCGGCGATCTGGTCACGGCGCAGAGCATCCTCGATGCCGCGGGTATCACTGTGCCTACCGGCGATCTCTGCCAGGGCTGCTACGACCAGCAGGGTGCCCTTTATCGCCTGCCGCAATGCATTGTCAGCGACCCGACAAACATGGTGCAAACTGATACGTCAACGGCCACTGAATCGCAAGATGCCATCGAGCAAGATGAAGATGAGGAGGCGCTTTCGGACGGCAAGCTCGCCACAGACGATGCATCGGGCGACGAATTAATCTCCGAGGACATGGAACGGCGCCGCGACGAGAAGGGCAAGACAAGTGAACGCGATCTCATCCGCGTTCGAGTTCGACTGAGCGACCGCGGTGGTCCGGATCTAGTCCTGATGATTGGCAAGGGCCAGAGCGTCGGTTTCTTGGCCCGCAAGGTGCGGCAGGAAGCAGAGGTAAGTTCTTACCCCGAAGTCTTTTCGAATTATTGTAAGGTCCTAATTAGTGTTGCTCCCTTTAGATTTCGAGCGTCCAGTCCGTTCGAATCGCATACCTTGGCTGCATGCTCAAGGAGCAGCAGTCGCTGCCCGACCAAGGCTGGGAACCTGGCCACATCGTCAATGCCTTTGTCGTTCCCCGCCGCGGATTCAACGAGTGATTTGAATCGGTGGCTCGATTTTCACATAGTGATGATCATGATTTCGCATTTCCCTCTCGGTCAAAATATGGATGGCTCCGGTTTGGAAATCACCTCTTTTTTACCACTCTCCCCCTTCTTTACTCATTTCCAGCGTTCGAGCGTTCCGTGATATTTTTTTGATTTTCTTTGAGATTTCTTGCAAAATACCCCGTCCTGTTTTTGTATCTGTCTGCAGGCCTTAAGCCCTCAGCTCGTTCCCGGCATGTCCATTGTCATCTTGCTATCTTTTGATGGACAGATCGATAATTGATATTTACGCAAGGGGTATGTACGTATTATTATCAATACGTTACCCTTATCACCATATGATACTATCATCAATTTGATGCCATGATTTGACGATTCAGTATCTCGAGTGCATGTTGCAGTGGCAGAACGGCCATAACGTCCAATATAAACCGTAGCTTACAGGGACGATGATGGCTTCCCATGTCGCTATTTCTAGCATTTTCGTGTCATGGGTTGTGAAATTAGCAAGCGCTGGAGGCTTGCAAAGCAACTGCAAAGATAATTTTAAGCCAAAAAAAAAAAATAATAAAAAGGAAAAAAAATTGCATCATCCGTGAATCGAACACGGGCCTCGTCGATGGCAACGACGAATTCTACCACTAGACCAATGATGCTAGTTCTTGTTTAGAAGATCCACTTTTGCTACTTTGATCCTTCCAGATCCACTCTTCAATGTCCCGAGTCAGTTTCAAGGTAACCACATGCGGTTGTGATTATTTCCACATGAAATGGTGAAGCTTTTCTGTATCCCATTGTCTGTTCTTCACGTCCACGACGTTGAGCTATCGAAATTTGGGTACAACTGCATGCCTAAGGGCATAGGAGCTCAGTAATATATATCTCACAACTCCAAATTTCACAATCTTGTCACTGGATTTGATCGGATACGGAAACATTTCGAAGACACATAATATTATTAGTTCGGAATAATTTCAAACATTAATGTAAAAAGATGCCCGAATGGGCAGTGCCCAGACTAAACAAGTCGACCATTGTCCGCTTCTTTTCCCTGGGGGGTTCTTCCAGACCGTCGCTTGAATGCGCGACACAGAAAGGTAGCGCAATGGCCAATACCACGTATCAATGAAGTGGGGTTGTAGTGTTTGACGCGGAACATGTAGTACATCAGCACAGTTCCGAAGATATTGAAACTAATGTAAGCCCAGCCAAGGCCGAAGTTGCGCCAGCGCTCGCTGTAGACTATAGGATTGAATTAGCACAAAGCCTCGTATGACAGCAAAGCTTGCCCCCGAGGGGTACTCACATATGTTGCTAGATGCCAGGTACTGATCGGCATTTGATAGCTGACAATACTGGCAATTCGCCGTGGCCGCAGGGTTATACAGCTGGCCACCAGCGGCAGTGACATACGGAGTCAAATATTCGCCACAGGTCAACCCACTCGGGGGATTGAAGACACTCATCTCGGCGTCGGCACAGTGAATTTGACGACCGTGCAAGCCAGTTGATGTGATACCAGCAATCAGGTAGGTCAGTGGAGAGACGCGGTACATGAAAATCCAGAAGCCGGGCAATGCACTGGGCGGCTGCATAACACCGTTGAATGTGAGAGTCATGATGAACATCAGCGTCGCGATTGTTCCACCAGTTTCCGCGTCGGGCAACGCAGAAATCACGAATGATGCGAATGTGGAGGTGAACATGTAGAACTGGACGACGAAAAGAAGCATGAGGCCTTGCCGATTTGGGGCCTGATTTGCTCCATATATCGGAAAGTAATAGCAGGCCCAGGCAATGACACCAACGAAAATCTGATATGGAATCTCGACAATGACATTGGCAACCAGAAACGCGGCCCAGGAATAGGCTTTGGAAGGTCTTTCGCGGACCTCGTAAAGGGAACGCTGGACGACGAACTTGGGCATGATCCTGATTAAAGATGTCAATTAGCTGGGGTTTAAATGTAGTCGAGATGGTTCACCTACTGTTGAACGAGAGTTGAAAAGATGGATGTCAACATGAATGCACTGAAGAGCACATCTTGAAAGCCCTGTAGTGAGCTGTCCGGCTTGAAAAAGGTGAATCCGATGAAGAGAGACGAGAGGGTACCCAGCATAATTTTCGCCCATACATAGGATGGCTCACGCCAAAACCCTTGAAATGAGCGATGTGTTACATAGCATAGCTGATACCAGAAGGGCATTGCATATTCACCCAGCTGACCCTCTTCTTGCTTGTTACCCGCAGATGCTCGTTCTTCGTGGATCCGATCGATCTCTGTTTGCACATCTTTCGCTTGCTGACTCTCATTCCAAACAAGAGACCAATCTTTAGAAGCTTTGCCTGAAGCACCGGCGCCGATGATTTCTAGCATGTATTCCGCAGGCTATATTGGTGTTATTATTAGAAAGACTCAAACTAGGACAAGGGAAACTCACATTTTCAGATGAGCCGCAAACTCGGGCCCCGTTACCCTCGAAGTAGTCTAGCAAAGTCCGAGATTGGTCTCCGATTTCTCCGAAGTAAACCGTCTTTCCTCCCTTTGCTAGAAACAACAGACGATCGAATTGCTGAAAAAGAAGAGCACTAGGTTGGTGAATCGTTGACAGAACTGCCTGACCATGTTCTGCGAGCTTTCGTAGAAAGGAGCAGATTGCCCAAGAACTTTGTGAATCAAGACCACTAGTAGGCTCATCCAGAAATATTAGTAGTGCTGGCTTGGCAGCCAGTTCGACACCGATAGTGAGAAGCTTTCTCTGCTCTACATTCAATCCCTCGCCGGGCGTTCCCACAATTGCATCGGCAAATTCTTGCATACCAAGCATGTCGATAACATCTTCAACGTACTCGTATTTCTCCTTTTTCGAGACGGTTTTGAGCTGCCGCAGCATGGCGCTGAACCGCAGGGCTTCTCTTACCGTCGTTGTCGGGAGATGGAGGTCCTGTTGCTGGACGTAGCCGGTCTTCCTTTGGAAACTTGCGTCAAGAGGGCTACCGTTCACAAGCATGTCGCCTGTAACAACACCGATCGAGACACGTTTGGCCAGTACATCAAGCAACGTAGTTTTTCCAGCGCCAGATACACCCATCAAAGCCGTGAGTGTGCCAGGCTTCACCCATCCCGAAACGTTATTGAGGAGCCGACGCTCGCCGCCTTTGACCGGGATATCGTAGCAGACGTTTCTCCAAGTAAAAATATCATGCTGAGATGGAATGGCAGAAGTATCTTGCTCTGTTTTTCGGGTTGGGCCCGCAGTTGCTCCTGATGCACTGGTATCGCCATTACCTCTTTCCAGATAGCGAAGATGGGCAGGTACATGACCTCGGCGGAACACCAAATATTCAGCGGTAGAAGAAGTCGAGGAGTTGAGCTCCGAGGCGATGAGATATAACGCCATGAAGAAGATCCAGAATCCAATCAGGATACCAAGATTCCTCCACTCGTGTGCATACGAGTAGGAATACTGAGTTTCGATATAGGCATCTCCAGAGACGGTTCTTTCTCCGGCAACTGCGCCACGAACAGCGCAGATGAAAGAATTGCCAGTCAGACTTGGATATCCAGGTATAAATTGAGAGCATTCAAACCGACGACCGTGAAACTCGTTCGCGATAAGAGCTTCGAAGGTGTAGAAGACTGGGTTGATCCAGCGAATCCAGCTGAACCATGGAATCTTCGACATTTCAGGCGCTGTAATCACGAAGCCGGTGTAGATGACTATAGCAAGGACGATCACCCCTGCCATGGACATTGCTTGTGCCAGGGTCTTTGTCGATGCGGCAAGAGTCCTGAAGATCCCAGACATTGCAAGTGTACTTAGAAACGTGAACAGGAAGAAGATAAAGAACTGAGAAGGCTCATAACGCTGTATAACCTGTTAGCAGGGCTCATTTTTAGTCGCCGTGTTCGTGTATTACTTACCAAACCAGCCAGGAAGTAGAAAATGATGTTGAATACCACAGCAGATACAAGCTTGACTGGAATATCCGAGACAATCCCTCCCAAGGCTTCAGTAAATGGATGGACAAAAGCATATGAGGCCTGCTTTTCAATGATTGGACGTTGGTCATAGAGCGAATTGATCTCCGTAATGCTGATCAAAGCATTCATGAGAACGGCAAAGAAAAGTGCGGCACCCTTGCTCTGGAAACCAGCAGACGCGTTTGGTGTTCCGAAGTAAATTGAACCGATAATGAGGGACATAACAATACGCCCAATAACTGTGGTCAGAGTCGACGGCTTATCGTTCCAGATACGCTGGTATGCTCGCTTCACACATAGTTTGACTTGCATGGGAATTGAAATGACGTAGGGACTCTTCGGTCGGACATGTTTTGCCTGTCGCAGTCTTTTTGTGGCACCGAAGTCCTTTTCAGCTTCTCCACCAACGGGATATTCCTCGCAGTATTCGGCAATGTCCTTCTTGAGTTGTTCGTAATGAGGGCTCTGTTTCCAATACATTTCGAACTCGTCAGGGGTGCGTGGGACCTTGTTATCCAACCCATCCCGAGCCTTTCGTTCTTGTGGATTTGTCACCGATGTTAGGAAGTCACCGACCGTCTGACGTGGCGGACAATCCCAGCCCATATCAATGAAGTATTCCTTGGCTTTGTTGCATGGACCGAAAAAGATCTCTCGGCCTTCGTAAAGTACGATGACCTTGTTGAAAACATCATAGATTGCCTGAGAAGCCTGGTAGATGGCAACAGCATGGCAGCTGCCAGTGAGGTTGGCCGAAACCCGTAGAGATTTGGCGAATTCCAATGCGCTTGCTGAATCCAAGCCTCTGGTACTGTTGTCCCAAGCACCAACAGGAGCTCCAGCCACTGTATCGTATTAATTAGTCTTACATAGTTGATACCTGTGAGTAGCATAAACAGGACTTACAGGCCATCTCAGCGATACTGTTCCGGGTTGTTAACTCGGATTCTCATGAAGTACCAGGCGCTGGTGACTTACCTGACACGCTTTCGTTCACCTCCCGAAACACCTCGGATATAGTCGTCCCCGACTGAACAATCATTAGCAAAGTGAGGGTATTTGCGTATACACATAACCTCGCGTACCTTTCGTGCTATAGGTATGGCTCAATCCCAGAACAGCCATGGCCACTTGGGTGATATGTTTGGCATAAGATGCGCGGCTGATACACTGAAGTCGATTCTCTGGAGTTCTGGCTGCGGCTGCAAACTCAAGAGTTTGGCCGACAGTGAGATGGGGAAAGTGACGGTCGACCTCTTGGTTGTAGAGTACTTCGCCCTACATTGAAATGAGAAATTAGCCAGGATCCGTCATTACTTGAGCAGTAAAAATCTTACCTTAAATTCCCTGTGCATCTTCTCCATGGGAATACCATTGTACTGGATATCAGACCCCTCGTCAACCTTCAGTCCATGTAATTCTCCCGAAAGAGACTTGAGAAAGGTTGAACAGCCGCTTCCGGGACGTCCAAGAACAATCAGAAGCTCTCCACTCTGAAGTACACCATCGAAATTGCGAAGGATTTGTTTCTGAGGGACCTTCTTTCCGAAAGATAGGTATTCTTGCGGCCGGAATGGAGCAAGAGGAACTGAGCCCACATTGTTTTGATACTGAAGAGCAGCACCCGAGCCGGAAATGTTGAGGTTTTGGAATACGACTCCAGTTGACTTGCGCAGGGACACTCCTTGTTTGTCCATGAGCTTCAGCATCATGCGGGCCCATTTGTAGTGGTCAAATTGATCGCTGGTCGGGTCCAGGACCGGATCACCCAACTCGACATTCTCCAGTGTATCCTTGCGTTCAATGCCTCCCATAGTTCCAACGCCCGAATCGGTTGCACGGTGCCGGGGAAAGTTGGATGCGATGCGAGTTAGCTCTTCACGGTCTTCGTCACGGATGTGCTCGAAGATTCTATTTTCCTCGGGCAGTGCCTCGGAGCTCGATCGTGATAAGCGCTCCGGCTCCTGAGAAGAAGCACTCGCCTCGGCGATCTCGTGGTCCTCATCGTGCTCGGCCATGGTGCATAGACAGGGATCTCGAGAGGCACACACCTGACTCAAGGGTTGAAGGATGGCGTTGCCGCATGCACGGGTGAAAATGAAGCAAAATACTCGGCAAACAACTACGGGGAAGAAATGAAACCTTCGACAGGTAATCTAATTGTAGCGTTGCAATTACATGCTAGTAGAAATCTGCAAGCGACCTTTCGCTGTGAAAAGTGTCCTGAGCCATAGCTAGCTACAATTGGGAGCAGGGAACTTCAATTGTCATTGGACCGTTGCCAGAGTGGTGATGTCAAGAGCGAGTGGGTTCTGAAGTAGTTAGCACCACGACGCCGCTGCCGCTGAGTCATCACATGGTTAACGATTTGCATCCGGTGGACACCTGAGGCATGAACCAAGGCGCTGAGCAAACAGTGCAAACCTGCTATCAGAAAAAATAATTTATCGCGGAGATCGACGCAGGCAGTTTAGACAAGCCTCGAGTACAATGGCGGACATTCAGAAGACTCCCTTTGTGAGGGACCTTGCCTCGAGCGGTATGGACACACCGATATGAATGCGCCTTCTGAAATCGCATTGCTAAACAGCTGATCTCTCCAGACCGGAAAATCCGCGACAAAGCCCTCGAGTCGCTCACTCTATTCCTGCGCAGTCGCAATGACTTGAGCGTTCTCGACCTTCTGAAGCTTTGGAAGGGTCTTTTCTTCTGTACGTATACTTGGAATCACCTCTCTGGGGTAAATTCCGCTCACAATGCTTCACTACACAGGCTTCTACCACTCTGATCGACCCCTCACGCAACAAGCCCTCGCCCGCGCCCTCTCTTATTCCCTCGTCCCATCTCTTCCTCATGCTACCCTCCATCGCTTCTTGCGCGCATTCTGGATTACCATCGGTCGTGACTTCCACTCTATTGACCGATTGCGACTGGACAAATACCTCTTCCTGATCCGTTGCTACGTCGGAGTCGCATTCCAAGTTTTAATCAAGGACAAAAAGAACTCGCCGAACGAAGATGGCAAGAAGCGAAAGAGAGAAGACTCTGGAAAGAAGGGTCGTGGCAAGAAGCAGAAGAAGCAGGAAGAGAGCGAGCCAGTTCAGGAAGAGGATGTCTCAGAGGAAGATGGCAAGTGGGCTGATCTCTCTGCCTACATCTCTATCATTGAAGATGGCCCCCTTTGCCCTGTCAACTTTGACCCTGATCAGCCTTCTGACGACCTGGACTTGGATTACGTTTCTATGCCCCATGGCCCAGACGGACTGCGTTATCATCTGGTGGATATCTGGATCGACGAATTGGAGAAGGTTCTTGAATTCGAAGGTGAAGGCGAGGAATCTGAAGAAGGAACACAGAACCGGAAGATTAAGGGTGATGTGCCCATGGAATTGATTCTGCGACCTCTGGAGAAGCTCCGTACCGAGAGCCCCTACAAGCCGGTTCGAACTCGGGCTACAGAAGCGCTGGAGGACGAGCGATTGGTGGAGTGGGGAATCCGTGCTCCGCAGACCAACGACGGCGACGAAGAGGACAGCGATGGCGAGTGGGGTGGTTTTGATGACTGAGGAATTTAGACCCTAAGGAACATTTATTTGTACAGCATTTTTATAGCGAAAACTGGACGGTATTGACAAAATGTAAAGTTATTTGGAAATCGTTGCTCTTGAGACGAACATAAATAGATCTGTTGAACGGAAAGAAATATCTTAGGGATGGATGATATGCCGCATGGCATAGAATATATTGGTTTCATCTACTAGAAGTGAATAATCCAGAACTGTACAGCTGGAACAGAGCATTGGCTGCGCGTAATCCGAGCAAGAGGCACCATTAAGCAGATCCCGTGGAAAACACACAACTGCTCTTTAAAAACAATAATACATCGAAGCGACGGATCTCTTGCATAAGGGTATCATGGAGGGATAGCAAAGGATCTAGGGCAAATTGGAGCGGACCAACGATGAGCTCAGTCGAAAACGCCGAAACGAACGTCGTACACAATCACCTTGGGCCTTCGGCCTCGTACATACGTCCCGACTTGGAGAGCACGGTGCCCAAGCCTTGGTGGATCTCACACTGGAGCGCCTCGAAGGGTACCTGCTCTCCGTCGATGCTGATATAGCCTTCCTTTTCGTGGGGCACTAGGCGGAAGGCCTTGGCTTTGCGAATGATCACGTCGGGCATATCGAAAAATCCGCCAGTCGAGATCTCGTTCATCATCTTGAGTGAGGTAGCGCGACTAACGGTACCATCAATCGTGACAATGTCCATCAATCCATCGTTTGGTAGAGAAGCGGGGAAAAAGTTGGTATCCTTGGACATGACTGCCATGTTACCCGCATAGAAGTTGCCCATATGCTCACCAGGCACAACTTCCCAGTCCTTGGGAACTTGATCCTGGACGGTTCCATATTGAAGCTCTGGTAGTGCTGGCGCTTCGCTTGCAGCCTCAAGTCGCAAGCGATCCGCCAAAGGATCCTCTTCCTGAGATATATAGGTCGAGTAGTGATCCTTGATGGCCTTTTTGTCGTTGATTTCGACCTTGATGGCCAGATCGCAGGGATATATCGTGCGCTGCATAAGACGAACCAAAAAGCCGTACGTGAACCGCTGTGCGCCCATCCATCGGATGTTATCGGTGCCCAGGTCTGATTCGGCGACGATTCCGAAGGACTGCGACAGGAAAGACAGAGTACGAGAGTTTTGCTGTGTGACCGAGACCAAGTCCAGAGGGGTACGCAATGCCTTCACAATTCCCAAAGCAGCAATTGATACGCTTCCTGTTCCAAGGCAGTTCCATGTCATGCCGTTGCCAGAGCCACAAGGAAGCAACGCAACTGCCACTTTGGCCAGCGCCTCCCGGCCATTGGATCGTTTGCCAAGTCCGTTGAAGACCTCGTATGGCAGACCGTCGCCTGAGCAACAGATGACGGCATCGTATGCGTCGAGATCGAGCTGCTCCGCGATTTCGATAGCGTGTCCCCGGTACTCGGTGTTTTGTACATCCACATGACAGCGGGCTGCTGCGAATACTGGCGCCGCATAAGTCTTGTACAAATTCGCGGCTGTCCCTTTTCCACCGAAAGGATTGACCAGGACTTTCAGTCGCTTCCTGCGTTGGGCAATACCGTATGCCAAATCTAGTAGATTTTGAACCCACGCCTCTGCAGCGGGCTTCTCTTTCTCGGCGATGGGATAATGAAGAGCGGTCACTTCAACATCGTTTTTGGTCGACGGCTGCGCATAGGTGATGACCAGACTGGACGGATTCACTTCGGCGTCAAGGATATTGTACAACGATACGGCATGTGTTGTCTTCGTCTTTGCTTCTAAAGAAATTGCGAAAAATCATTTAGCCTTATTGAGCAGATACGCCATCGAGAGATTGACTTTATCGAGATCGCCGGAGGGGGTGGAGGGACCCGGCTTACTCTTGCATAATCCGCAGCAACTCCGGTCCGGTTTGCGAGATGTGCGATCATCTTTTGTGTCTGTCAGCAATGCTCGATAATGCTGGGGGTTGGCATCTGGTAACGCTTACCCACGATCAGGAGAGAGTCGCTGCCAAGTGTGAGAGAAACCGCTTTGTCGACGAGGAGAGCCTGGTCGTGCTGCAGAGGTGTTTCCGGCTGGTCCGCAGCCGGATCAAGGGAGGACATTTTGGGCGCAAGTCCAGACAGATCAGCGCATGGCAGAGGGCAAGTAATGATGTGCGGAGGGACGGAGGGACGAAGAATCGTCCTAGGGGAGAGATTAAAGATAGCGTGGAGGGTCGAGGATCAACAGCCGCGGGTTCCGGTTCCTGGGGCTGCAGGTGGCCCCTGCACGCCTCAGATCTACGATGTAGTGCAACGGCATCTAAAGGCTCTCAAAAGGTCTCGGGGAAAAAGGCATTATTTCTATTCCACTACTCCGCGGCCTTGATACACAAGTCATAAAACAAATTTGTCTTGAGAAAATAAATGGAAAGCGAAAAGAAATGGGATGACCAGTAGAGGATCAGACGGGGGAAATAAAAGGAAACATCATTTAGACTGCAGCCCGCTGGAAAAAAAAAGTATTCGCAAAATTTCTACTCAGAATGCTGCCGCGGCCTTCAGGCCCTTCAAGGAGCCCAGACTCAAAGCCAGACCTTGGGAGCGGCTTCTGATCCGAACGAAGCCGGTAACGGGTCCATCATCACCCTCCTTTTCAATGCTCAAGTTGGCCAGAGCATCCTCGCCTAGAGAAGGAAAAAAAGTTAGTCATTCCAAGCAAAAAAAAAAAAAAAAAAAAAAAGGCTAGAGGGCATTAAGAATAGATAGTAACATACCGAATACACTCCGGGCATATAGGTTGGCGCTCAGGAAGCGGCAGTCACCTTTCAGCGACGCATCGGGGGTCAAGCAAGCCATGTTGGTGCTCTCCATCAGTTGCTTCAGGAATTCACGCAAGGTCTTGGCCTTGGAGTTGATATTGACCTTGTTCTCCCACTCAAACTCGGTCCACATGGTTCGGAATTGGGTCTCGGTGCAGTGGGCAGGCTGGATGTAATCCATAATATCGGCATGGATGTCGTTAAGGATAACCACGTGGGTCTCGGTGGAACTGGGGCCGTCGTAAACAATGTTTCCGAAGATGACACCAGTGTCAGTAGAAGACACCTTCACGGTGGCCTGGACATTCAAGAAGTCGCGAGGGCCCAGGTTGTGAGTGGACGGGCGCTCAACAACCTTAAGATCTCCCAGGGTAGCGAACTCAACAGAAAGGTTCTGCAGGGTCTCGGTGGTCTGGTTGACCAGCAACACATCGAGAACGATATCGAACTGGTGGACAGTAACGTAGGCTTCGGCGTAAACGGGGTCAGAGAATCCAGTGAGTTGAACAACACGGCTGAGCTTCGAAGCAGCGTTCTCAACGGTGGTGTCCCCGCCGGTGGCTTTGGCAAGATCAAGTTCGATCTCCTCGGCACCCTCAACAGTGTTCTTCTTGGTGAATTGCCGGATAGGAATGGCATCGTCAATCTGAACAGCAGTCTTGGCCTTCTCAACGGCCTCCTGAGCAGCACGCTTCTTATCCTCTACCTGAACCATAGCGCGGAATGCCTTGCGAGTATCCTCCAGGAAAGTAGTCTCAAGGTCCTTCTTTTCAGAGAACTCGGCCAGAGAGCGAACACAGGTCATAATACGGTCAACAGAATCCTCATCAATAGGAGCCTTCACAAATTGCGATTGGCCAACGCGCATGATAGAGATCATGATGAGCATGGCCTCGGCGCGCAGAGCGTTCGTGCGAGCGGCATCCTGGGATACCTCGGAGTGGCGCATGACGAGCTTGGTGAGAGTCGAAGAGAGGACAGTCGCCAAGTAGTAATCGCCATCCAGGATGAGTTGGCGAAGGGGTGGCTTCTGGGCTGCCTTCACGGCCTCGAGACGGGCGGCAGCGGCAGACTGGCTGGTAAGAGCGCTTTCGGTGGCGTATGTGCCATCAGCCAAGACTTTGCGGGATCCAGTGGGAGCATTTTTGGCACCATTTGCCTGCTCCTGGAGGAGCGCATTGTCTTCCGGGACTTCTTCAAGAAGTCGTTGCTCGGAGGCCAGGATAGGAATCTCACCAAGACTGGCTCGGATCTTCTTCCACGCCTCGCGGATATCCTTCTCCTCCAGAGAGTACTCTCCAACAACCCAGAGGACACCACGGTAGACCTTTCCAGCCCGAACCTCACTCAAAGTCGACACAAGGCGATCGACGATGGATCCGCGCAGATTAGGGAACTTCTCAACAACCTCTTTGACGAAAGAAATGACGTCCACAGCAGAATTGTTGTTAAAGTCGGCAATAAAGTCCATCAGCAGATCAACCACGCTGGCGGCGATTTCAGAGAACTTGATGGCGCAAGTGTGTATTGACTGCACCAGGAGCTGGCGATATTCATTGTTCTAGAAATGTGGTTAGATCTGTACTGAAACGCCCAATAATGGGTGGAGAAGAAATTACCTGCTCGTATTGCTCATCCACGGTCTTAGCGAGTTCCTTCTTAAGAAGCATGACGATTTCCTCGACATTCTTGCTTGATACCATCTCCAGAGCGATGCCAAGAGCCTTTCTCCGGACATCAATGTCGGGACTAGAGAGGACACGCAGAATTTCCATAGTCAGGTCATCCAGAACGCCCTCATTATGGATTCTCAGATGGTCCACACGGTCCAGCACAATGAGCTTAACATTGTTGTCGGCCTCCCGAATAGCGAGTTCGATCAGTTTGCCCGCGGCGGCTTTCACAGCAACGGGGTTGCTGGTCAGAGCAGTGAGGGATGTGGCGGCTTCATAAACGACAGTGCTGGTAGAAGCATCGAGAAGCTCGAGCATGAGTTTGAGATATCGCGACTGTTATCTGTTAGCGACCGAGCACAATTGATCTAGTTGCACAACGAACCTTGTTCTGGGGGTTCTGCACAGCATCCTTCCGTAGGAACTCGAGTTCTGCTAGCTGGAGAAGCTCATCGGTGTTGGGGATAGTGTCAAATGTTGTACGGAGGTATTCAAGCGCCTTCTGGTGGCTAATGGACATGAGAGCCGCGAAGGCATTACGCTTGCATGTGCCATCCGTTTCCGACTCGAGGAAGGTTTGAAGAAGCTCGGGGGCGTCGGGGATGAGAGACTCGGAATGTTGGAAGATAGAGGCAACGGCCCACACGGCGTTCTTGCGCACGTAGGCATGGCGGTGGTCGAGGCACGAGCGGGCCGAGGAAAGGAGGGGTTCGATAAGTTCGGGCTCACGCAGCTTACACAGGAATCGGAGAGTATTACCCCGGACGTACTCGTTGGGGTGCTGAAGGTCGTTTCGGATACCGTTGCTAGAAAGCAAGACGTGTTAGTCAATTGAAGTTGCTCGGGTGATGGCTGGCTGCGGTTCCTCCTTACCAGACCAAGATCATCTCCTGCTTCAGTTTGCCATTAGAGTCGAGCTTCGGGCAGATTTCGTAGTAGAAGTAGAGCAACTTCTTCAATGCCTTGCTCTTCGACGGCATAACAAAACGAATGATGTGCATCAGGATCTGGGGCATCGGGTCGCCGTTGAGCATGATCGTGATAATTGTCCGCATCGTCTCCAGTTTTGTCTCATCGGTGCCCTTTTCCAGCTGGAGTTTGAGCTCCTGCACAGTAGGCTGGTCCGCTGTATTGTCCAGGTGGACCAGACTGTATGCATTTTCGAGGAAGGACGCCATGGTGGTTGATCGAAAGCGACGGCCGGATCGAAGGGGAGCTGCAAGTTGTCAGTTCGGGGGATGTTTTGAACACCTCAGCGCACCCTAGGCACGCACCAGAAGAAATCTCCCGGGAACAGGAGGTCAGGCCAAGGTCAGTAATGCGCAATTAAAGTAATCCAACACCCCTCGCCAGCCTAAAAATCATCGGCGTGCTGGTTTGGATGCGCAATGTAGAGGGGGGTGGGAAGCATCAACCTGTCCCTTTGCGGGCCCCATCTGTGTGGATGACTAAGCCGACCACACTGCCCGCCGCCTTCACTTTCCCCGAAGCTCGCTCAGCGCCAATTCGTCAATTCGTCACCTCGACACGCGCGCAAACCGGCAGTCAATCTCACGCGCAAGCTTGTCAAGATGGCTGACAACGAAAACTTCTATGTCCGTTACTAGTAAGTACGATGCGCCCGGGCACAGATCGCCACGGTTGCTGACAATCTCACAGTTCAGGTCACTCGGGGCGTTTCGGCCATGAGTTCCTAGGTTAGTCTACGTCCACATTCCCATATCCACGATGAACGACCGGCATAAATAGATTGCTTACTATGGTCGCTCAGAATTCGATCTCCGCGTCCTCGAAGATGGCAGCTGCGCCGCTGTGCGCTATGCAAACAACTCCAACTACCGCAATGATTCGCTTATCCGCAAGGAAAGTGAGTGCCCACCTCCAACCCCGGAACAGCGCATCAAATAAACTGATAGGTGTGCAGTGTGTGTGAGCCAGGAGATTGTCAAGACGATGAAGAAAATCATCAAGCAAAGTGAAATCATGAAGTAAGCGGTCCAAAATGCTTGAGAGCTCTTCGGCTGTGGAACTATTGGACTGACCTCGCGTAGGGAGGACGATTCGAAGTGGCCGCAGAAGAACAAGGATGGTCGCCAGGAGCTGGAGATCCGCATGGGAGGCGAACAAATTTCGTTTGAGGTATGATATCCACTCTGAAATGACGGTCAAGAAATTTATTTTTCAATACTAACCGCGTTTGCCGCCCAGACCGCGAAGATCGGCTCGATGGTCGACGTCGTTGAATCAGAGGATCCTGAGGGTCTGCGAGTCTTCTATTACCTGGTTCAGGACCTCAAGGCCCTTGTTTTTTCCTTGATCTCATTGCACTTCAAGGTACGTCCGCTCCCGGAATATTCAACTGCGCCAGATTGGCAAGTGAGTGAACATACGCCAATGATTTTACGACAGATCAAACCCATCTAGGGGTAAGGCTGAGTGAGAAGGAGAAAAGAACTGGAGACACGAAATTTTCCTTTTATTCTGCGATACCGGGCGTTCAAGGCATTTTTCTAGGGAGAGCGAATTTATGATTTTCGTACTTGATATCTAGTTAGCACTGAACTCCATTGAGATAATGTGAAACTGGCTCGATTTTGCCACATTCGAAATTTGGGATAGTATTCAGTGGTTACCACTGAGCACATAGAGAGCCTTTTGTATAATTACTGGCATTCGCCGAGCGCGGCGGCTCGGCCTACGGGATTTTACTCGGAACAATTGCCAGCTGCATGTTCTTGATGCGTCAAGGGCTCGGGCGTTCCTGACGTAGAAACATGCCTCAGGCAGGAACGCCTCCCCCGCGCTCGCATGACCCCAGGCCAAATAGGCCGCCTCCCCCCGAATACAGACTTCTCACTTCCCTTCTCCTTCCTCTCCCCCTTCTTCCCTCTTCGATTCTTTCGTGGATTTACTTAGGCGCGTTTTGATTTGAACCGATGTCTACCCTCCTCCTCCCTTGATTCATCCTCAATGCCGACTCCGAGTGACAACCAGCCGACTTCGATCGCCGAGGTGATCTCCACTCGCACCTGTCCACCGGACCTTGATCGCATCTCAGCCTGGAGAGACTCGCCGGATTCCACCGGCTCGGCCAGCGATGCCCTCGAAGATATCCTCTCACCCTCGGGTGCTACTGCGCCGACCGTGCTGAGTCGGACCGATGAAGGAAGTGCGCTATTAGCGCCCGAGACGCTTAAAGTGGAGCAGAAGTTGTCTGCTCGTACGGACCTTGACATAGAGCGCGATAGATCTGTCTCACCAACGGATCCACGCGCCCGAGATTCGTCGTCGCCGGCGATGCCAACGTCGTCGCTGATGCGGTATGAGTTTTCAAACGTTCGGGTACGTATCACTCCGATCCGGTCAGCGAATGCGCCACTCAGCTAACCAACGCGACAGCTCCTACCAAACCATACCTCGTCGTTTCTTCGCTCCGGATGCCGGTTTGCCGGTACGCAGATGTCGGATAAACAAGTCTACAATGTCGATGTCGAGATCAAGCATGTGGACGTAGCCGAGTCCTATCTTTGCGGCTATCTGCGCATTCAAGGTGAGTCGTATCTGAGTGACCATGGATAATGAATCGCCATCTAACCGTTGACTATCTTCACAGGCCTCACTGAGGATCATCCTACTTTGACCACATTTTTCGAGGGAGAAATGATCGGTACCAAGCACAGTTTCATCACACGCAACGAAGAATGGGGCGCCAACGAAAAGACGGACATACACCACTGGTCTCGGTTTCCTGCCTGGAAACCGCTAGCTAAACAAGCGAAGAAGACCGACTTCACGCTGCGCAACTTCTCCCAGAATGAGCATGTCTTCATGCGGTGGAAAGAATACTTCCTCGTCCCGGACCACAGAGTGCGCACGATCTCCGGCGCTAGTTTCGAAGGATTCTATTACATCTGCTTCAACCAGATTCATGGAACCGTCAGTGGCGTGTACTTCCATGCAAAGAGTGAGCGGTAAGTTAATCGTTCTGGAACTCCTATCTAATTTCCGTCACTGACAATTCTTTTTCAGATTCCAGCAGCTTGAACTTAAGCATGTCGAAGATCGTGGATGTGCGCCAGCAGTCGAGTTCCGTTAAACCCGAACTTCGTTGCTTGCCCTTACCTGGCCATCACTATGGCCATTTACTCGTCTTTTCTACATGGAACACAACCTCCTTCCCACCTTTCCCTTTCATGCACCAGGCCGACCGGCGCCCCCTGGTGTCAATTATTTCGACTCTACAAGAAGATCATAATCTCTCTTCTCAACCAAGACCTTCATCACACAACTTTCCTCTGCTTAGCGAACTCCCGCAGTGCTAGGGGTTTGAAGCTTCCGATACCACAGATACCCAATTGGCAAAGCTCCGGCGAACCTTGCCACCTCATTTTCAAATTGTATTTCATGTCTCACGAACTCTCGATCTAGCCCAGGAACCGGCGTTTCTCTTCTGTGGTGATACGAATCTCTCTTTTCTTGAGAGATTTTGTTTTACCTTTTCTTTCTTCTCTATCGTTTTTATTATTGTCTACCGCCATCTAGTTCTGGATGTTAGTTGGAATACGTATGCCACGTGTAGTGTGGCTGTACTGCAGCAGACTTGGGCACATCCGATCCAGTAAATTCTATTGAATTTTCACATTACCGAAACCCCTCGTAGGTACACTTGAAATGTCAATCACTTGCATGTGCTCGATCATTCGTTGTACATTGACGTGTAAATCCGTACAAGTGTATTGTAGCTGTCTTTCGTCTTACAATTGGATGAACAATAATATACTCAGGTGCTCTAATCTTACCATGCAGCGGTCCAAGTATAGATAAAGTAATTCAACTTTGATGCATCACAACGTCAATTAATTCACTGAGACGCCTGCAATATGCAATAACACTCGCATCCAATTCTAGGGTAGTGTTGAGTGTCCCCACGAACAGCATTTGATTCTATTCTCAAGTAGGCCTGAACGGTGGACCGAATATTCACCAGTATGGTATAAGGGTTGAACTCGGCCTACGGTGTAATATAAGGTCTTACGAAAAGCCCTTCTGAAATAAAAAGTCACGCAGTGACGTAAGAAAAAACCATATTTGACGATTTTTTATATGCACGCAGTAATATCAAGCGCCAAACGAAACAGCGAAATACCCCTTTTTTCCTGTACTCAGAAGCATCATACATAAACAACCAATGCAAAGGACCAACACCGAAACATGAAAATCAAATGAACGAGAGTTCGCAACTCTCGAATATGCGAGTCATGGGAATGACAGAAATGTGGAGTCGTTAAACAAGAACAAGTAGCATAGGGGGGGTATCACATGCGATGCCGTCTGAGAGTGTATGAGTCGAGATCGAGCGAGTGTAGAGGAAGCAAAGTGGCGAGAGGAAAATGGCTCGCTTTTGAGATCAATGCCATACACATGGCATATAGAAAGGCGAATGAGTGAATAGAAGAAAGTGCAATCATGCCACGTAGGAGTTTTGACGGGTGGCAGAGCCAGAGGAGCTACTGTAGCCTCCAGTATCGCTGCCCGGAGTTGGAGGCTCCAGTACCACTTGTTGGCGGATGGAGACAATCCACTCGTGCTGAAGAAGCTCCGCAGCGGTGGGTCGTTTGACAGGGTCACATTCGAAGCAGCGGCTAAGGAAATCGATACCCTGGTCACTGAGTTGATCATGGGTCGGCAGTGATGGCTGATTGCCTTGAGCAATATTGTACATGATTGCCCATTCGTTATCCAGGGTGGACCATGGGCGACGGCCTGTGGCCATCTCGAGGATCACGCAGCCAAGAGACCAGATGTCCACGGCACCTTGGCGATTGACCAAGTTGGGGGAGTCGCCGCGGATGACTTCGGGCGACATGTACATCGGAGTTCCGGTGGTGGTCTTCTGGTTCTTGCCCCGGTTTTGAAGTTGGTCATTCTTGCCATTAGGACCGTCCATTGGAGCCACAGTGCGACCCGATCGAGCGATGATCTTGGCAGCGCCGAAGTCGACGTACTTGATGACTCCATTGTGATCAAGCAGAACATTCTCGGGCTTGATATCACGGTGGACAATGCCCGCTTGATGCAGATAAGCGAGACCCTCGAGGAGCTGAAGGGCATAAACCATGATGACAGTTTCATCTTCAACACGGCCATGCTCCAGCAAGCTAGCAAGAGAGCCGCCAGAGCAGTATTCCATGAAGATATAGACCTTGTCGCGATGGACTTCAATGCCGTGGTAGGAAACGATATTCGGATGATCCAGCACCTCAAGCACACCCATTTCATCGCGAATCTGCTGGGCAATCTTGGGGATCAACTGAGGATCTTGCAATCGAATCTCCTTGACCGCCATCAAGTAATTGCTGTCCAAATTGATAGCAACGTACACGGACCCGAAGGTTCCACCCCCAATGAACTGGCCTTGTTGCCAACGGAGAGTAACGTTGGTGGCAGAAGATGATAGCACGGTAAGGGACCTATCGGCCTCGTTAGAGCCTTCCAGCACTCTACCAAGGGCCTGCCGTTTGGCATCTTCCTCGACTCTCCGTTCTTCAATTTCCAGCACCCCGGCATACCATTGGTCGCGAACAAGCTTAGATGCCTCCTCATCGCTCAGAATACGACCGTGGCCAATTTTGCGGGCACCAGCACGTTCTTCCATGCGCTGCTTCTCGGCTTGAGCTGCCAGGGAAGATCGGGCACCCATAATATCGAAATGCGAAATAAGCAGCGACATGCAACCTGCCACCTTTGACCTGAGACGGCTAAATTGCTCCTCATTCAGAGACAAGAGGTGTCGGCTCGAGGTGATTGCCATGGCAAACTCAAGTGCAGCCACTGCCCATTTGAAAGTTTTTCGATCTGCCGCATCACACTCGTCGCAGATAAACGAAACCCAGTCAAGGGATAATTCCACCAGTCGTGCACTATTCATAGCACGTCTATTTGCATCAACATAATTGGAAGATCGTTTACCAAATTCAGTCGCAAATGCATAACAGGCCTGAACGAGTTCGTTGTTCTCCCAGGTTTTCTGGCGAAGTTGATCCTTGATCACAGCCACGCTATCCATAATGGCCATGGATAACTTGAAAGAGATCTTCTTGATCTTATTAAGTTCCACATTGACACGGCCAAGGTTGGCACGTTGCTCAATTGACATGTCCAGCTGGATCCCAGTAAGCTGCGTCAACTCCATTCTTGCGTTTTGGAGTCGTTCCTGCATGCCTTCGACAACGAGTCGAAGCTTACCGAGACGGACATCGGTTGGCTGTTCCAACATGTCCACATGCATTTCCTTACCACCCCATCCAAGGGGCTTCTCGGGCCGAATGACAAGGACATATGGGCTGTGAGATGAGTCTGTAGCGGAGCTGTCTTCGCGGAAAGATGTGGCAAGGATGGCTTGTATGTCGGCTGGACGATTCCACAAAGAATGATGTGCGATCAAGTAGACTCCTTTTTGACCAACCGAGCCTGGAGAAGTGACAAGGAAATGGTCGGATACCAACAGCGCCTCGAAAAATTCGTAGGCGATGTCAGCTGATAGATTATATTCGGTTGCGTTCTCGAACAGCTGACACAGGAACCTAGAAAATCGATACAGCTTCCGCTGCCGAATACGTGTCGAATCCAGGATACTCTTGTATCGTTTGTCCATATCTGTCACGGTCTCTTTGGGTCTGGGAACCAGTTCGCGTTCAAAATGGATCATGAGTCGTTGAAGTGATTTGGCAGTCAAGGCACTTTTCCTTTCATTAGTATGAGGTGTAGTGTTGGAAGTCAAAAAATACGTACCTGAACTGCTCTGCCACTTCGATGTCACCGCCATCAAGTTCCCGGCCAATCTCATAAGAGTATCCCCACTCTTGCTCAAGAATCTCAGCTTCCTTAAATGTGTTTTTATTGGCGTTGAGCTTCCAGTTCAAGAGGCGGAAATAGTATTTCATGGCATCCAGAACCACGGAGTCGAAGTTCTCGTCAACACAAGGTGGGAGATCCCAGCCAGGCTCAGGGCGTGAGATAGCCAGGTAAGTTTGCTTGATCTGAACCGCCACTCTCATCAAAATTTGGAATTGAGAGATCATTTGGTCCACTAGGATGGGGGATTGCTGTGCTGGATCCTTCATGTTCTTTGCGTAAGACAGACGCACACGAATGATCTCTTGAATCAATCGAGACGGGAAGTTGATCAATGTTAAGAGCTCCTCAATGTATGGAGGCAAGTGGCGAGCCGCAAAAGCTTCCGAATTTTCAATCAAGGTACTCTTCGCTTTCTCAATAACGGCGCCAATTCCGTTAAGCATACTGTGGTTACCCTGAAGCGTCTTCAGGCCGTCTTCCTTCATGATACGATCCAAAAACGAGGAGTCATCCGACAGTTCGCTCTTGTCGGACTTTTCCCTGGCTGCTGTGAAATCGAGGGCATCGTTACCCACCCAACTTTGAAGAACGGCAAGCTGAGTGTTGATAAGAGCGGTGATGTTGTGCCAGGCGAAAATTGCTGCACGGCTGGAGTAGAATTCTTCCGACGCAGCACGAGGGTTTGCTGTCTCCAATTCCTTGGACGTTGAGTAGAGAACCTCGCACGTCTCGACCTTTTCCACGACATCCTCGACTTGCTGCCGGGGTGGCTTGCCAATTTCAGCTTCGCCTTTGATTTGAAAGTTAATGATATCTTCGACAAGTGGTGCAATGTGGGAGCGAGCATCCTCAATCAGCTTCCACTGAAGTGGGATACTGCGACCGCATGTCCTTGATCTGACACCAAGCCAAAGGGCATGGCTCAGAGCGGCCGAGCGTTGGGATTCGGTCGAACCAATCAAACGCTGTTTTTCTTGCCTGACCACGTCGCCTTTCAAGACAGATGCAAGCATGGAGTGCCATTCGAGTCGTTCCTGATTCTTCGGGTGCTTGAGCTCCTCCATGCTCGGAAGGTTGTCGTCGGGCAGGAAGAGTTGGGTGTCGGGGTCGTAAGGGTCATCTTCATAAGGAGCTTCGGAGGACGGGGAGGGATCCTCCAGGTCAGCGTCGGCGACCATCATATTGGGAGACTGCGCGTCGCTAAAATGATGATGCCACGCTTGAGGGTTGGCCCGAATCCGCTGCACATATGCTTTTTCCTGGGCGCGATATTGCGCGTTTGGATCGCGTCGTGTGTTTCGCTTGCTTGAGGATGAGCGTTGGCGGTCGTTTTGGAGGCTGATGTACTGTGGCGGTCGACGTTGAGGGGCGTAAGTGTTGGAGGGGGTTCTCGCGGGACCAGACGGGCGTTGCGGTCGCAGATCGCCGGCCATCGCATGGGTGTCAGGCTTCTCGAGCACGGTAGAGGCCCCAACGCTAGACCCGCGTGGGCGGGTAGTGGGCGTGCTAGACCATGAGGACAAACTCGAGGTATGGGAGGGAGGAGAGGAAGTGATCGTGGTGGCCGGTGTCTGGACCTGCGGATCGAAGGATTCCCCAAAGGATGCGTTGGCCATCAGAGGGTACTGGGGAGGATATTCGTCCGAAGACCCCGAGCCATCCGAGTCATGGTTGGCGATGTCCGGGTGCTCCATGGTGGACCGAGGGCCGTGTGTGGGAAGCTGCAACGTGAGGATGGGGAAGCATCCGACCTCAACGTTGGCGGCAGCTTAGGCGATAGGGGCCGTGTGGCGGTGCCGGAGGCGCAACCAATGGGGTCGACTGCCGGCTGGGGCAACGGCCGAAAACCTGTCAGCCTCCCTTTTGGGCCTTTTGCACTGGCTCACCATTCAGCTGGTCGTGACAGGTCGCCTGCAGTGTTTCTCATTTTCAGCTGGTTGCGAATGCCAGTCACGTACGTGGCACCGAGTTACGCGTCTCGATTTATATTAATTTTGACATCCCCGTCCCTGGTCACGGGTGTTGATCACGCTGCCTAGACCAAGAGTTGGACCAACTTCACAGAATTTGGAACTGCCCGTGAGTTCTAATTTGACATACTCGGTTGAATACTCAGAAGTTTTAGAATATGCATGTTATACCTGAATTAAGTCGCTAAATCTTGAGACAACGATGGTCGTTAAACCGTACGCAGGTCCCAGGATATACCTCGTCAACTCGGGGGATAGTGTAACGGGTAAAACTGCGGAGCATATGAGCTGAACCTTAGGAATGCATCAAACTGGTTAAGGAGTATACCAGTTAGAGCAATAGCTTTGATGTACCGACTTTCTTTTCGCAATGAAGTGGTGTATATTGTGAAACTATTCGTCATTAATTCAGAGAATATGCTGCCTTCACCAATAGAGCCGCGTCTCTGTCAGACATGGATCTTTGCATATTCGTCTCTGCTATATACAAGGAGTACGACAGTTACTACTAAATTCGAATTGTCTTCCAGGCTTGCAACGTAAGCTCTGTCTGGCCTGGGAAGTCAATGAATCGTACACTGCTGAGACATGGGATATAATAAACAGATAAAGATACCATCAAACTCGTCCTGCAAAAGCAATGAAGCCAAGTGGATGATGAAAATTTCGCGAATGAATAAATTATTTATCCTTCAGTGTGTGTGGCGCAATGGAGCAAATTGCTAGGTAGTGTACCCTGCGCTAAGAAATAGGAGGAAAATCCTTCTCTCCTCACAGGTGCTGTTCACAAGTATTAAGGTCCCAACTTCACATACATAGCCCTCAGACCGAAAGACAACAAGAAAACCCACATACATTTAACAGTTCGTGTCCTGCCGAATTATGCATTCCGGAGGCGCCATGATATGCAGGTTGCCTTCGGATCTCCGACTGATAATAACAAGAGTGATCACTTGGCATTTTCTATCGTCATCAAATTAGGATTGTCAATGCTCAAGAAACCCCGCCTAATGGATGACCGCCAATTTTTTTCCCTTCTTTCCAACTCCGCCGTCGATCATTTGCCCTAGCCATTCACCAGATTGGTGGATCCTGGGAAACTCCCTAACCATGTAGATCAGTGGAGCTGAATGGAAATCGCGATCTAGACAATTGGTCCCTGCGAGTTTCTAGTGAGACCTTATTTAACGAAGAAAACAGCAATAGCCTGAAATTTATAGTTGGATTAACGGGCACTCATGTTCTAGCTTGGGAAGCCTTCATTCTTTCACAGAATTTCCAGTGAGAGTCTTCGGTTCCCCGGAATCACCCGCCATAGAAGCAGAGCAAGCATTTCATCAGATAGCAGACCAGATAAATCAAAAGTGTCATCAATGACTGATCGCTGCTACATATTGACGTAACCTGTTGAAGTCCATCGAGACCAAGACTGAGCCTCTGTACAGGTCTTTGTAGGGCCAATGCCAAGACTCATTTCGGGATGCCGAAGCAGCCTTTCAATAATCCCCGGCCAATGAGGGAGCCAGTGCTTATCTGGACTTGGCACTCCCCGGACCGCGTGGCTGCTGGCCAAGTTGCTGTCGCTCCATGCGTTCATCTCTTCGCGGTTGCACGGTACTCCGTATTCCGTACCTGCGCAGGGAGCTGCAGCCTCGGAGAAAGAGCCGTTTCCCATACATTCCTCGGAACCAAATGCGAGGGGGAGGACAATCATTGATTCTCTAAGCTTTGAGGCTATGATCCGCAGACGTGTATTGCATGCGTTCGCTTAATTCAGTATTTGTCGGGAGGGCTTTGAGTGTCCTTCTCATTAGGAATCAATTGTGTCAGAGGCGCCGGTCGAGGCAGTGGAAATGTCAGCCAAGAAATCGCAAGAAATTCAAATGAAGCCAAAAAAGACAAAATGAAGGAGCATGACGAATAATATCGGCGGCCCCTGGCGTAAGGGTGTTGTTGGATGACAGGTTGATAAGCCGCGTGAGAGGTCGAATATGGCGGCGCTGATTGGCTGTTCATTCTATGACAGATAAGAGCCCGTTGGATCATCGGTCCACTGACCCTATGTATTCAATGTACACATTGCGACCGGACAGCCTGATTGCCATTCAAAATCGCACAATAAGCAACAAAGAACAATGACAATAAATCAGTACAGAATAATTCCCGGGAAAAGCAGTGGCGATTTGTGTTGGCGTCCCAAAGAGGCAGCAGCAGTCCCGCGTACGGGCAGCTTCTGGGCCCAGATAAGGCCTGGCCGCTGATTGGCGCGCGGAGGGCATCATATCTACAGCCAGTGACAGCCGTCACTCGGGCTGGCCATCCGATGGTCCTTCACGGCATTCGTCGTATCGTCGGTAATCAAAGGCCTGGTTTCGATTATTCGCTACTGTCAGTCATTCAGTTTCACGCTATCGTCCGTGCTTCATCTCCCTGCTTATCACCACGCGAGGCCGAGTTGCGGACAACAGCAACGGAGCTTTCACTTGCAGCCTGCGGCTTCCCGTCCTGGTCTGAAAGCATGGAGATTCCTTCGAAGAATTAGAAATAATCATGGGCAACCAGTTAGAGAATTCATTTACCTAGCTCTAATAGAGATCGATTTGAGTGCCTTTCCAGGCCATGAACTATATAGCGGCCTGGGCAGACCCGTAATCCCCCGGCGCATAGGACCCATATTCTCTGGAAACACGCCCCAATCCGCTTTTATCCCGTACATGGCAGAACTGGGCACTCTTGGCCCCAGCTATCAGTCAGATTGGATAAATCATAATAGAAATCACCATGACCACCGGCTTGGTTCCCACTATCTGCGGCTAAGATTGATGGTTCCGATGCTCTTCTAGCGCGTTGTGGTGGAGACAAACCCCGTTTGATGTCCGGACGCTGCGTCGCTATTTAATTATCAGCTCATCCCTGCAGAAATGGATACATCAGCTGCTCCTTCCCCTTTACTCGGCCTGGACCATCGGGTTTAAAGCAATTGTCTCTCGTCGCCCGTGATTTCACTTCCGCACTAACATACCCAGCTGCCCTACGGCGGACGGAACTCGTCACACCACACTTATCCGAGGGCCAGTGAAACCCTGGGACTCCCTGGTCGGAATCGCCTACTGGCTTATCTTTCTCACTTCCCGTTACACTGACCCTCTCCATCGGGCTCCGCCATGTCTGCCTCTCCCGTTGAGTACAACGGCACCATCGCCAGTGGCGGTGACTCTCTGCACGACGACCTCAACATTTACTACAATGTATGTAACCACAGGAACCCATTCGTTGCTATCCAGAATTTTCTTGACTAACGATGACATGGCAGGCCGGTGATATTTCTTGGATCATTACTTCGTCAGCCCTGGTGCTGCTCATGATTCCAGGTGTTGGGTATGCGTTTTATTCGAAAGCCAGGCTGTTGGCGACAATATTTGCTAACTTCTACCGTCTAGGTTCTTCTACTCCGGTCTGGCCCGTCGCAAGTCTGCCCTGTCCCTCATTTGGCTCTCGATCATGTCGGTCGGCGTGGTTTCGTTCCAATGGTTCTTCTGGGGCTACTCGTTGGCCTTCTCGCATACTGCTGGCAAGTATATCGGTGATCTTTCCAACTTTGGTATGAAGGATGTCCTGGCTCAGCCATCTGTCGGCGGTGACAAGGTTCCCGATATCTTGTTCGCTATTTTCCAGGGCATGTTCGCCAGCATTACGTGAGTTCCCTCCAACCGGGATATTTTCCAATTTGACGAATGGACTAACACATAATCACCTAGCGTTGCGCTTGCTGTCGGTGCCATTGCTGAGCGTGGTCGCATGCTCCCCTGCATTGTCTTCATGTTTATCTGGACGACAATCATCTACGATCCCATTGCTTGCTGGACATGGAACCCCTCGGGCTGGGTTTACATCCTTGGTGGACTGGACTTTGCCGGTGGTACTCCCGTCCACATCGCCTCCGGATCTGCTGCTCTCGCGTACTCTTTGATGTTGGGAAAGCGTCGGGGCCACGGAACACACGAGCTTAACTACCGACCTCACAATGTCACTCACGTTGTCATCGGAACCGTCTTCCTCTGGGTTGGTTGGTTCGGTTTCAACGCCGGCTCAGCCCTTTCCGCCAACCTTCGTGCTGCCATGGCGGCTGTTGTTACCAACCTTGCTGCTGCCGTCGGGGGTGTTACCTGGTGCTTGATGGATTATCGTCTGGAGCGCAAGTGGTCCACTGTCGGCTTCTGTTCTGGTGTTATCGCTGGCCTGGTTGCCATCACTCCCGGATCTGGGTTCGTTACGCCCTGGGCTGCTTTTATTTTCGGCGTGGTGGGTGCCATTGCTTGCAACTACGCGACGAAGCTCAAGTTCCTGCTCCGGGTTGACGATGCCCTGGATATCTTCGCCGTCCACGGTATTGGTGGTCTTGTTGGCAACCTCCTTACTGGCCTCTTCGCTGCCGACTACATTGCACACTTGGACGGCTCGACCGAGATTGCTGGTGGCTGGATCAACCACAATTACATTCAATTGGGCTACCAGCTGGCTGACTCTGTCTCCGGCTTTGCCTACTCCTTCTTTGGCACTTGCATCATCTTGTTCATCCTTAATCTCATTCCCGGTCTAAGTCTTCGTGCTCCCGAGGAGGATGAGATCATGGGTATTGATGATGCCGAGATTGGCGAGTTTGCCTACGATTATGTCGAGGTCACCCGTGACATTCTCAACGGCGTTGAAGGCAGTGAGACTGGCTCCAAGCGCACGATTACTCCCACGGGCGAACACACCGCTACCATTGACACCAAGGCCTAATTTTATTCTCTTCAGTTTCTCTTTGGTTTCACTCTGGCATTCTTTAATACTTTAATTTCTTCTTTTTCGGCGGTTCATTTGTGCCATTCTTTCATGGAATTTCTCAAGATAACATCCTATTTCGTTACGCTTCATGCGCCCTAACAGATACCCAATCAAAAATGGAAAGCATAAAAACAAAAACAGTTCATATATTTTCTTGAGTCGCGGTTTCTGCAGAAGCATAGTACATCTAATACAGTACCTTGGGGTACATGGTTACTTCTTGTTGAAAAGCCTTACGTAAGCGTGCCTCTACAGGCCGCAGTCGCTGGCTGGCACCTGCCTGATGAAGGCGGCGACGGTGGGGAGCTCGGAGCTTCACCTGGCCAGCTCCCCGCCCCACGAACTCAACCCTGTTTTCTCCCCGTCCATGACAGCCAACGTTCAGTAATCACCACTGATCTGTCTTTCAGCCACCATCAAGATGTCTGCGCAGAGTCCCGAGACCGGCGGGAATGCGCGCAGCCTTCCTACCGATGAGTCCAAGTTCGACCGCGACCCGCGCATCTCATTCTCCAAACTCGATGGCAAATACATTCTGAAAACAGAGGATGGGCAGGAGTTTGTCTACGACGAAGCGATCAAGCGATGGGTTCATACGGTATATAACTTGCCAGTCACCAGTGTGCTTCGTGTCTATCGCGAATCGCGAGTTGCAATGAAGGCGGAAACCTTGGGTTCCGCATCCTTAGCGCATGGAACACTCACACCCCCTCTCTCTCTAGGTTGATGAGCAATTGCTCCGTCAGCAACAGGAAGCATACAAGGTTGCAGGCGTTGTCGATGAAAATATCGCGAACCCCCGCGATAAGAAGAAGCGCAAGAAGAAAGGCGACGTAAGTTGCCCGGTCCATTTGCAGTCCTTTTTCCGGGCTGGCGCTGACCACAAATCTTCTTTCCTTAGGCCAATGCATCGGACCCTAAGAATCCGAATGCCTCCAAAAATACCGCGGTTTTCGTTTCTGACCTCCCTCTGGATGCCAAGGTCGAGGAAATTGAAGAGGTCTTCTCAAAGGCCGGAGTGATCGCCGAGGAGATCGATAGCCAACGGCCACGAATCAAAATGTACACCGATGAAAATGGCAAATTCAAGGGCGAGGCACTGGTTGTGTATTTCCGACACGAATCAGTCCCACTTGCGATCACCCTGCTGGATGGCATAGAGCTCCGACCTTCACCGTCTTCAGTGCCACAACCGCAGCGTAACTACATTCGGGTGGAGACTGCCAGCTACAGTTACAAGAAAACTAAGAACCATGATGGCACGTCGCAGACCAATGCGCGAGACAAGAAAAAGATTATTGAGCGCACCCAGAAAATGAACAGGTGTGTTGTTTTCCTTCCTTTGCAATATTCTTTCACTGACGCTGCAGCAGCAAACTCGCCGACTGGGACGATGACGAACCCTCTGCATTGCCCGACACCAGCTCGAAGTTTGACAAGGTGATGATCTTAAAACACATGTTCACTTTGAAGGAAATCAAGGTCGGTCTATTCACCATGTCATGTTCCATGACTCTGATTTTGTGCTAACTGACACTTTCTTTCCAGGAGGATCCCGCCGCCATTTTGGACATCAAACAAGATGTCCGCGAAGAATGCGAAAATATTGCTGGCGATATGGGCGAAGTGACCAACGTGGTGCTCTATGACGAAGAACCGGATGGTGTCATCAGCGTTCGGTTTACCGACCCCGAGGCTGCCCGGGCATGTGTCGAGGTAGGCAATTCCTCGCATTCGATTACTTTGAATTCTAGCTAAACACGTTTCTTGCAGCGAATGAACGGCCGAATTTTCGCTGGCCTTCGAGTTTTGGCTTACATATCAGATGGAAGCGAGAAATTCAAGAAGACCAACGAGCGACGCGCTGCACTCGAGGACATGGCGGAGCGAGGACTCGACGCCAAAGTTGACAGCGAAGCGAAGCGACTGGATGAGTTCGGCGCATGGCTGGAGGGCTCCGATGCGGTGGAAAGCACGGCCAAGTAAAGGGAAAGCACAAATCATGTAAGAACACAACAACGGGAACGGATCTGAACTACCACTACAGGTTTGAAAACAACGGAAAACCAATTAAATATCCCTAGCAATAGGCCGACAAATGAACCTGTTACCAGATTGACTATCTGATTCTGAGAAATGCGCCCAAACAAGGTAAGTGAGTAATCATAGCTGGGATGGCGGACGTATATGGATTTCCAAGTGGGATTGGAATTGTTGTGCTTACTGAAGTTTTCTTTTCTTGTCATTTTAATTTTTGCTTTTATCAGGTGAGCTTATAGTTTACTTTGATAGCTCGCAAAATGTGCAATTCTTGTCAGCCTCCTCTTCAGGTATCATATACTGCCATTTGTATCCTTGTGCTAGTAGTCGGGCAAGTTGAAGGTGTATGCGTATTACTTAATTGTTATGGGCAAAGTGTGGTTCGCATCCGCGGGCGAACGCGGCTTGGTCCCGTGATGGCGCTATTCCCCTTCGGGTGAGGCCCCTCCCCCCTGAAGCGCCAAAGTTGTTGTTGATCCCCACGCACACACACCGCTCCAACTCTTCTCCTTTCCCATCTCCCTGGACTTCAGGTCGACCTCTTCCTTCATTTCTCCAGTCCTCTTTTACTAGTCCATCACCAACCTCTCTTACCACAATGCGTGAGATTGTACGTTCCTCCCCCGAATTCGACGCGTCTTTGTTGTCCTACCCCTGAACGGACCCCACTAGTTCAATCTGCTAACATGAGCTTTTTCCCAACATATAGGTCCACCTCCAGACCGGCCAGTGTGTACGTGCCCCTTCGAAGAATTCGACTTGTTGGATCGATGAGGATACAAATGGGCGAAATTTCATGAAACTAACGATTATGGCGGTATAGGGTAACCAAATTGGTGCCGCTTTCTGGTAAGTGCCACCAGACCCCAACAGAGCAATTGTTGAATATACGAGGCATTATACTAACCAATAAATAGGCAAACCATCGCCGGTGAGCACGGTCTCGATGGTGATGGCCAGTGAGTTCCCCTCGGCATGATTTTTGGATTCGAGAATGGCGGTCTAACGTTTTTGGGTAGCTACAACGGTTCTTCCGACCTCCAGCTGGAGCGTATGAACGTTTACTTCACCCACGTGAGTTTTACCCAACCTTTTTGGCTCACTACACGAACATGATCTGATTGTTTACTGTTCGAATAGGCTTCCGGTGACAAGTATGTTCCTCGTGCCGTTCTGGTCGACCTGGAGCCCGGTACCATGGACGCCGTCCGTGCCGGTCCCTTCGGCAAGCTTTTCCGCCCCGACAACTTCGTCTTCGGCCAATCTGGTGCTGGTAACAACTGGGCCAAGGGTCACTACACCGAGGGTGCCGAGCTCGTCGACCAGGTCGTCGATGTCGTCCGCCGGGAGGCCGAGGCTTGCGACTGCCTCCAGGGTTTCCAGATCACCCACTCCCTGGGTGGTGGTACCGGTGCCGGTATGGGTACGCTCCTGATCTCCAAGATCCGTGAGGAGTTCCCCGACCGCATGATGGCCACCTTCTCCGTCGTTCCCTCCCCCAAGGTCTCCGACACCGTTGTTGAGCCTTACAACGCCACCCTTTCCGTTCACCAGCTGGTTGAGCACTCCGATGAGACCTTCTGTATCGACAACGAGGTATAATATGACCCGACTTGATATGCTTGATATTGCCTTTTTGGGACTGGAAACTAATTATTCATAATTCTAGGCTCTGTACGACATCTGCATGCGCACCCTGAAGCTGTCTCAGCCCTCCTACGGCGACCTGAACCACCTCGTGTCCGCTGTGATGTCCGGTGTCACCACCTCCCTCCGTTTCCCCGGTCAGCTCAACTCCGATCTCCGCAAGCTGGCTGTCAACATGGTTCCCTTCCCTCGCCTGCACTTCTTCATGGTCGGCTTCGCTCCTTTGACCAGCCGTGGCGCCCACTCTTACCGCCAGGTCAGCGTCCCCGAGCTGACCCAGCAGATGTTCGACCCCAAGAACATGATGGCCGCCTCTGACTTCCGCAACGGTCGTTACCTCACCTGCTCTGCTCTGTTCCGCGGTAAGGTCTCCATGAAGGAGGTCGAGGACCAGATGCGCAGCATCCAGACCAAGAACCAGAGCTACTTCGTCGAGTGGATCCCCAACAACGTCCAGACCGCTCTGTGCTCTGTTCCTCCCCGCGGCCTCCGCATGTCTTCCACCTTCGTCGGTAACTCCACCTCCATCCAGGAGCTGTTCAAGCGTGTCGGTGACCAGTTCACTGCCATGTTCCGCCGCAAGGCTTTCTTGCACTGGTACACTGGTGAGGGTATGGACGAGATGGAGTTCACTGAGGCTGAGAGCAACATGAACGACCTGGTCTCCGAGTACCAGCAGTACCAGGACGCCTCCATCTCCGAGGGTGAGGAGGAGTACGGCGAGGAGGTCCCTCTCGAGGACGAGGTCTAAATGCCACTACCAAGTGCTGATCTCCGGCTTTGAGATTCGTTCGCAGTAATTCCCTTGCTAAGCCTACATTCTCTACCCTTCGCTTCTCGGGCCTCGGCCGCGAACCCCAGTATTTTGTTTGAGCGCTCTAATTTACCCTTTATCCTGTCTCTATTTTCCCGTCTGTCGGCCATGGGCGGTTAACGACCGTTCGGCTAGAATAGCAAGCACATACTGGAAAAGCAATTGACGAAATGATTCTATTCAAATCGGTTTTGGGCATTGTAGAACGTATTGATTTACGTAGAACCTTTTCCTATTGACCTTATGGTATCAATCTGCTACTGATATCGGTGTTCTTTTTGGGGCTCGTGTACATCTCCCGATGTAAATGTGCAATGTCCTACCAGACCTACGACCTGCACCGACCCCCATTTCACCGGCAGCAGCCCCATATCCTCATCTTCGTTTTCCCATTGAACCCCCGCATCCATCTCCCCATTTTCTCTATGATTCGCATCAAACGCAGGATGACACGCCGCAGCAATAGTAAAACTACAACTCCCGGCAACAGGCATGGCCGACTCAAACTTCCTAAAACTCAACCCAACAAGACAGAAGAACATGAAACTCCCGACAGCAATGGAACTAACGATTGCAACTGGCGAATAGCCACATGTCAGAAAGTCCTGGCCCCGCTGTCTCTCCATGTTAGGGCCATAAGCCTCAATTCCCACCATAAATAGACTCTGCGAGATAAGCCAGTGCAGCAGGGCCGAGACGCATATAAGCGGGGCCGCATAACGGTATGGCAGGGAGAGGAAATAATTGCTGCGCTGGGAGAGAGATGGGCTCCCCGAGACCCGGAGACCTTTCCGGCTGACGGCGTATCCGCTCCATTCAGCTGCAAAATTCATTGCCGTGAGGAGGCTGTTGAAGGCGAAGTAAAGGAATGAGAAGATTAGTTGTGGGGTGTTGGCTATTATGACGATAGGGATGAGCGTTTGAGGCCAGTGGTCGCCTTTTATAAGGGTGCTTGCGTTGATTTCGTTTAGGGTTGTTTTCCAGACGGTGGAGTGGGACTTTATTTGGGAGATGCCGTATAGCAGGAGGACGATGCAAGTGATGATTGCGAGGAGCCAGCTGTCAAGGTGTAAGCAGATAGACTTGTAAAGTTGTTACACTATGTGTACGGGGTTGTAGGCAAGGAACTCACAAGGATATACTAAATATCCATCGTCTTGCGGAGACAGCACTGCCCCAACGTTTGATTTTCCCATTGTAAACCCTCGGTTCGTGGGCCCTCGAGTGCAGTTTCCAGGATATGGATCTAGCCTCCTGGTAGGAGAGCAGACACCTACCCTTGGTATAAGGATCGGGCTGCCGCAGGAAAGAAGCAATTGCATCGCCGGTGGTGAGGATCGGAGCCTCTCTCATACCAAACCACATATAACACAAGATAACCGTTTTCACAAGGTTGAACCCAAGGATGACCATGGTCAATGGGAAAGAGTATTGTAACTTGCAGTACTGCCTCGCCTTCTCAGCAAGACAGTAGTCAACCTTCCACCCTCCACCCGACGAAGAACCACTTAACACGGTCCAATTATTATCCGCAATCTGAGATTGGATTGTGGGTAGGTATGTCACGCAATCTGAGCCCCAGTCATTCGGGCAAAGCCACCCATATGGATCTGCCTGTGGAGGCGCGAGATCCAGATACCGCTGGGGGCTGAACACGCCCTGTGTGGTGAGGTACACGTATGTGATAGGCGTGCTGACTTGCTCAGTGACCAGAAGAAGATTGCCATATTTTGTTTGAAAGGTCTGCGCGTATTCATTAACGCAGTCTGTTGGGTCGAGATGGCTGAGCGTGTCGTTTCCCGCGGATGACCAAAGCCTCTCAAATGCGTCCCACTTGTCTGTGTCTCGGCGTGGCACTTCCAGATTTGGCGAATATACTTTGCCGAGCTCTCCATGTCCCAGGAAAATCATGTAGGCTGTGACGGATGTTGTTGAGAAGATTGTGGAGTTGTAGCTTTTTTCGTTAGCAGGTGGCTAGACGATGACGAAGTACGGAGGCATATAATTCGTACACGAGATGGAAAGGGAGCGACGAGGCTGCTAGGCATATCCATAAAAGCGAGCGTCCCTTGGACACGCGAAACAGATTTCGAATGCTAGGCACTCCGATGTCGAGCCATTTCCCTTTTTGGTGGGCTCGGCCAATGTTTTGTCTTGTTGGTGCTGCTAGGCATTGCTAATGCCGATGTTAATCGCAAGACACGTAGCTCGAAAATATGATGAATGGTCTTGGTATATACCATCCCAAAATTACTGGCGCATAGCAAAGCCGTGCTCAGTATATTGATCAACAAATGTAATCCGATATCCAAATGTTGTACCTTCTCGCAGTTCCCTTCGTACAAGACCCCCGTCGTGTCATTTTGTCGATTATGGGCGATGGTATAAAGCATAAAGCAGAGATTGAAAAGAAAGACAATCACGCTTGTGATAAAGGCCAAGAATACCGTGAATCTCCAGCCCTGAAACCGGTCCCCACCTCGAAAGAGCCAGCTTTGCTGGGGCCGGTGTTCCCCGTTCTGGCCCGAGTCACTTTCCGAGCCCCTCTCTGAATATCGCCCCGATTGAAGTTCTGATGTACTTTGTAATAGGTGATCTGCACTTTGATGGTAAGGGGTTATCGGGATCAGCTCGGTGTCATGCTCAGCTGAGCCACTATCCCACATGGCGGATTGCAGGGTGTCGGGGAAGGGCATGGCGAGAGAACGAGGTCTCGGTCGAGGCTCGATAGGGGGTACTGTCCTTTTAACTGCATATAATGCGGGAACCTAAAATAAAATAATCGGCGCCAGGTGAGAGCCCTCGAATGGCAGAGGCTCAACGTGCCGCAGCAGCGTGGGGGCCGAAACCCTGAAGGTGCCCGGGCAAACACGAAGCCTGCAGGTTGCATCGCATGGGGCCCGTTGGCAAGCGCTTGAGCGATGTCTGCCGTGTACATCGCAATATGATGATACTATTGAGCATGAACCAGGCTACAATGAAGAAAACGCTCAATGGAGCAGTAACCTAAATAAGTTGCGAATGTCAGTCCCCTAGGACAAGAGCAACATTCACACCGCCTCTCCTGGAGACTGTTGCACAGTATCGCGAATACGATGCCAATATACCCAAGCACCTGACTAGACTAGAATATGAAACGTTTGTACAGACTCCTCAGTGGAAGGGACATTTGCCTGTCCGGAATTCCTTCAACTCTTCCATGGTCTCCTCCAACTGTTTCCTCCCCTTGCCTTCGAAATACTTAGGACCGACATCCTGAATATGATAGCCCGAAGGATAGTACTTCTCTCCCTCATCTCCAGGAACTGGCCGACCCAGCGCCCAAGTCAGCCATGCTTCGGGTCCCCAGCGGTTCCAAAAGGTCGGCTTGACATAATATGGTGCCGCCTCCCATTTGGTCAGGTAGAAACGGCCGTTCTCATCAGGCTCCTCGGTGAAAGAAGCATAGCGCAAGGCGTATGGCCTCGGAGGGGTCAAGTAACGGAGGATCAGCTTCCGAGTCGTAAGAAGTCCCGAGAAAAGAGAAGCAAAGAAAGGAGAGGGGGCGTCGTATCTGGTTCAACAGTTAGGATAAACAAAGGTCAACTGCGAGATCAGTCTTACAGCATTGCTTTTCGCAGTCGGTCATCCATCATGAACGAAACAAATTGCAGCCCGACAGGATGCAGGACCTTCGGAAGCATGTAAACCAATACCGCCGTGGTTTGATCTGCCGTCTCGCGATTCTTTTGATCAGGGACCATGCACTTCTCCTCATACGCTTCGCTCCAGACATCCAGTTCGTCCAGCCACTGAATACCATCTGTGAATCCCGCTGTCCCGGATGGTAGGACATCATAGCTAATACCCAGCGCATCGCCGACACTCTTCCAGAAAGTGCCAATAGCACAGCGCTCGAGATCACTCAGGGTGCGCCATTCGAACTTGTTGATAAATCGAATAGGCTGCAAAGCGAAGAGCGCAAGCGTATACAGCATGTCATCGTCCAGGATCTTTCCCGAGGCACGGTACCCGCTATGCAGAAAGCGCGTGCGGGCTAGCGAAATGTACGCCCGCTGCGAGGTCGGGCTATTCCCGACCATCTCCTGGACCAGAGCGCTGGTATCTGTGTAGCGCTTGAGCGAGGTTTCCGGGTTGGAGAACTGACTGGTCTTGGTGAGGAGGTGGGAGATGGATGGAATGCCGTAGGTCTTGTAGACGAGTCAGTCTTGATGATTCTGGCTCAAAGGCAATCAAGATCAAGCACTCACCCTGAACAGCGCGAACTGCAGCGACTTGATAAACATGAATGGGAACTCGAGCTGCGCGACGGTCTTTTGGATTTGGAAGGCATCCTCGTCGGTCATTTTGGCCATGTCCTCGCGGGTCTTATAGGGGTACTGCAGGTGCAGTCTGCGCAGACGACGATATCGCAGCGCGCTGGTGACAAGAGGGTATCCGACCAAGAGCCCCAGGGCGTAGGGGGTCCATTCTCGCGGCGATGAGTCCAGCAGCGCCTTCGCGAGCTCCGCGATGGGCTGCGCCGCGTCCAGAGTGTGATTCATGGCAGACGGGATGCGGTATTGAGGAACTTCAGGGTATCGCAAGGGGACCTAAGACTTGGTGAAGCGATCCGGCCGCTTTTGCATCCAACAACCGCCACGAGTGCGCCACGCAGTCCTTTATATAGTGGTGCATGAGCGGTCGCGGTGAAATCCACGAGACGTGATTGCTCGGGGCCCACTGCGATCGTCGAGCTTTGGCCTGTTCGAGTGTCTGCTGTACTCCATACACAACGCTAGTACTGCACCAGATTTGTAGGGTGCATGCACAGTATTGCGGTGGGTCAGGGGAGCTGTAGAGGATCGCTCACTGGCGCAGAAGATGCCCGACTAACCGAGGCAGAACTAGGCCGATCATCTGACCACGCCATTACATCCAGCCGTACATCTGTTTTTGTTCAAGCACCAGCAACTACCGAGAGCTCGGTAGGCGTGGCTGTTCATATTGAATACGGCTATACCCAAGGTGTTAAGAAATGTGCAGCATGTCCCCCAACTGCTTTTTACAAGATTTCCGCCACTTTCTCTATTTGATTTTAACTACTACACTTGTACAGCCCAGTTATGTACTCCGCCAGATTTGCGGGGATCGTCATGCCGCGGACCGGGGTTGAGGACCATCGGCTTCGGTTTCATATGCATCTTATACACGATCGCATACACAGCAGCTCGAACCAGCACATCCCTGGTCTAGCGCCCCACGAGGGATAGTTCGAGCAATCGCAGTCCCGGATACGCCATCGCGGCAAATCCAGCGCCCATCCACAGTCCGAGATCCGCTCCCCCGGTCAGATGGGCCACAACACCGGAATAGTACGCTTGGTCCTAGAAGCTTGTTAGTACCCTAGGGTGGAAACTGCAGCATATGATGACTGCCAAAGAGAACTCACCATCCCGAGGATCGCACCAGCCCATCCGATCAGGAAACTGACACCGGCCGCAATCCCCTTGGGCAACTTCTGTGGGTTGTTCCAGGCAGTCCAGTCATAACCACTCTTGCGGCGGAACAGCACGTCTTCTTCCACTACAATCGCAATCCAGATGACCACCCAGTATCCGATCAGTGGCAGGAAGCTCTTGAAGATCTGATACAATGAGTTGCGGCCGCCCATCGCGCACGCCGTATAGATGATTGTGCTGATGGTGGTAAAGACCGGCCGTGGAACTTTCTGAAAGAACCCGCCGAGCATCTGAAAGTTCATGCCCATCGAATACACGCCGGGGGTGTTGTTCGCAACCTGTGCCAGCACATTGATCACGGCGCAGAACTTGCCGAATCCTCCGAGGGAATCGTACGCCGTCATCAGCAGGCCGCCGGGGCTGGTGCCATACTTCACAGCGTATGTGGGTGAACTGACCATCACAGTGCCCATGCCAACACCAAGAAGGAGAGTGATCACCATCGCCTGCCCACCGCCGAGGACGGTCACGGCGAAGGTGCGCCAGCGCTTGACATGCGCTGGGTAGTAAACGTAGTAATCGGCAGCGAGCGGGGCCCATGAGAGGGCCACAGAGAGACACAATGAGAAGAAGGAAACTCGCTTGGCGTTCAGGATCAGCGGAGTACTTTCGACATAGGTGTTGAAGTCAAAACGGGGCCCTGCGGAGCCCAGCATAATACACAGCACCATCAATTGGGGGAGCCAGGCAAATCTGAGCCTCGTTAGAATCATTCCAGCCGAGCGATGTTTCGCAGAGTATATTTACCGTTCATAGATCTGGAAAATGCGCATTCCGAACATGGCCATGATCCAACTGATAAATGCGACAATGGCAATACCAACAAGGACGGAGAGATGCCCGCCAGACACCTTGGAGAGAATTTGGCCTCCGACAACACCGTTCACCATGCAGTAGCCCAGGTTAGTGAAGACATTGAGCAAGCAGCAGACTTTACTGGGATAGTATCCCATGAAGTACCGGGCTACAATCTGCCGGGTCCGTCAGTATATGCTCCAGACAAGTTGAACGAAGCAGTACTCACCAGAGTTCGATTTCCACTCCGCGGTCCCCAAGTGCTCATGTATCCCACGGTACATGATCCGACCAGATTTCCAAAAACCGCACACAACGCCGCGTCCTTGAATCTGAGGCCCAGCACAAGCGTTCCCATCGAGCCAACGATGATGTTGTTTGTAGCCAAAGCCATACTAAACCACATGAGCATCATATGCAATGTTGTCGATGCGGTTACCTGCTCGCGCTCCTCGGGAGGCACTCGTTCGATGCCTCGTGTCTCCACGTTCCTGAGGCTTGCGAGCCATCTTCGGTATCGTGGCTGCGGCTTGGTCTCGATTCCGGCATTCGCAGAGTCATTGTCCAGCTCGGATTGACTCAAACTGTCCAAGGATGGTGATCCATTCCCCTTTTCAATATCGCGTTTCTTCATTCTCGGGCTTCTTTTCGGAGATTCGGTACTGAATCAAAGTCGAGCACAAGGATAACCAAGTTCTCGGCCGAGCTGTGGATTGCCGACGATTGAGATAACCCAAATCCACAGGATTGCACTATGCCGAGGTAGATTACCTCGAGCACTGGCGTATGAATAGGCCCTCCAGTACGATCGACGACAGTACTCTGAGCAAGGTCGAAAAGATAAACAATATGGTGCTGAATATTGGAAATAAGATGAGAAAATGGGGCAGCCCAGGCCTGGTATCTAGGTAGATATAAGGCAGAACCCAAAACCCCAGCCTAGGGGAGCGCTCTGCAGCGTGGGACCTGACATCACCCTGTGTCGAGGCTGGGAGTGGTGTACCACCCGCACCTCTCGCACGCAGGCATTCCTCAGCAAACAAGGACCGGAAACCATCCAGGAAGCCCATCCGCGCTCCGAACCAATAAACACGTCGACCCCATCCCCAGCTCAACCATCGATCCCCGCCAGGAACCGGTCCGTAAAACCAGGATGGTCCAGGATGATCTAGGATGTGGAACATCAACCCGAGTAACAACCCCCGTCGATATCTAGGTCGACTTGGCACCGCCCGAACCTAATCGTGCCATTGCATCAGCCTCCTTCACTCGCCTCATGATGCCATCTCAACGAGGTTAGACCCTCATGACGGCGCCGCTGGAAAGCAGGAGCGAGAGAGCTCCGCGATCCTCCATCGCATGATCACCGCGCTCTTTCCCAAACGGGAAGCTCAGCATACCCTAAAGCTCCGAAAATGCGCTCACTGGAATGCTGCCCACGCAAGGAGACGTCTTCTGCGCTTCTATATGGCGATCAGCTTGGAGGGGATCACAGGAGGGAAAGGCTGATCTCTTACTACTTTAACGCTCCTTCTGCTCCTCCACCAACGGCATCCGCGAGCCCCGCCCTTTTCCTCCTGCTGATGATTCGCTCCGGTCGGCCTGTGCAAAGATACGTATGAAGGGGTGAATCACGGAGATGTGATCTGCTGTATTTGGCATCAGATTAGCGTCATTCATAGGGTCGAAGGACAAGCTTGCTCGGTTCCCCGCGGTGTCGCGCTCGCGTTCCGAGGATCCGGACGGTCACATTGGGGTTTTGGTGGATTAACCTCCGACATACGGATATTCATTATTATATCATTGGTCAATACAGATGCTTGCGTGACCCCCGAAAGACTCGGATGCTGCGAATTTGCTCCCAATAGCAGAATCATCCTCCCTATTCACGAGGTGCATGCGCTGGGGTTTGGAATCGCGGATACAACCCCCCCATCAATCCCTAACCCAAAGCAGGGCCAAGCTTTTCGAGGTCCTTCCTGACCCACATGTTCATCTGTTATGCGCATCGGCTCATACGAAACAAGTTCTGCACCTCTCCTGCATGCTCGGCGACACGCGGCCATTACTTCTCGCCAATTTCGAGAGCCGGCTTGATCTACCGGGTGATCGACTGCACATCATCATTAGCTTCTCGCCTCATGAGCTAAGTTCCTTCTTTCATTTGTCGGGTCACTCCGAATATGCTTATCTGTTATGTCTGTCCTACGAGCTCCACATGGAGGAATCGCCTTCATTTTTGCCTTGATCATGATTGTGGAGGCTGGAGTTTGAGTTGTTGGAAGAAGTTCCCGTGGAGCCCCATATACGATGTCCTATAGTGGCTCATTAATCTTTCCGTTCATACTTGGAATAAATGCTCATGATGGTCCAGTTGCTGGGTTGGCACATTATCCACGTGCTGGCTTGTATATGGGTCTTGAGGGTCAAGCTTTGCTACCTTAGGACCACAATTCAGTCACAATCACGTTTTCTCGTAGCCGAGATGCATAAATTCGCAATTCAAAATCTTGAGATTAAATTGATCATGCTGCCAAATCTACACATTTTAGGCGATCTTGTGTACCATCGGGATACTTTTGCGGCAGCTGGACCCACGGTTGGCATGGCGGATATTGAACATGTCCTTGGAACCTAGTTACCAAACTCGAGCTTGGCTTAGTAAATAAATGGCTATTCGATATGAAGCGCAAATACGCCAAAGTGATTGTGAAGGAGAACGCATCATTCCGCCAGACTGGCAAGCTTTCGTAATGTAATCTGTCATGCACACAGTGGTGCCTGATCTTGGTTACCGTCAGCTCACTGTTTGGCCACCCGGTCGGGCTTGAAGGCTCGGCCGCCCCTCGACTGTAGAGTCATTTCAATTTACTTTTCAGATTTGATTGAAATGAATTGATTCCATTGACTATTCAGAAGTGTTTCAATGATGAAGAAGCTCAGTTTTCACAGTGAGTAACTTCTTGGCACTATGCGTCAACATCCAAGTCGTAATTGCGTAGCTAGTACCATTTTGATAGTCGAGTCCAAGACGTTTCCAGAAAGGCAATGGGCACCTTAACAGTTAATTCATAACTAAATCGATTTTATGGCCCTCCTAAAGCTACTGTGATGGCGTTTATCCGTGTTTGCTGCTGGCTGAGTGTGGCTGGTGGTCGGCTAATTTGGTGAGGCTCGGCCGTATATGGCAGCCATCCCCAGAGAACATCGTCGAACTGCTCTGGAAAGAGCCGGCAGTCACCCACCGACTGAATCGCACAATGGTCGATCGCAGCGCCTGTATTTTATTCCACCTCCGTGATGCCTGTTCCTTTTCCCCGACCTCGCACTCCCCACCACCCCCCATAACCACCATCACGCGCACGTCGTTTTTTCGTTTTCTTCGACCAAAATGAAGAAAACCACCCAGGCAGCCCAGTACTGGAGTGCACTGGGAAAAATGAGCAGCTCCGAGCATGCGACCGTCGTCCGTACGCTTCTCAAGTCAATGGATGAAGCCAACATCCTCCACAAGCCCATGAAAATGGACGGCGTCCGCGCGGCCTTCGATGAAGGCATTCTCCTCAACATGCGGGAGATGCCTAGCACCGTGCAAGTCGCTTTCTTCAAAAATCCGACACAGTGCTTCGAGGCCCTGTACAAGATCGCCACGTTGATCAAGGGCACCTCCCAGGTGCGAAAGTACTACCTCGACACGGCCACACACCTCCTCCACGACGAAGAAATCGTCTTCATCTCCCCCGACTTCACCAGATGGACCGGTCTCCGCCTCTCAGACTTCCTCACCTACAAGTACGGCCTCCACAAGGATGGGGCCGTTGACGAGCGCCTTCTCGACTACGAGAAGTTTGTCCGAGCCCTCGTCAACGCTTGCGGGTACGACACCCGTCAGCACCACGTCTCCCTCTGGCACACCATGCCCACCTCGACGAACACCTACCCCGGCGACAACGAGCACAATGCCGTTACTGACGCCGAGTCCTGGGTCTCGGCCATGATCGAGGAGCAGAACCTCCTTCAGGACGAGAAGGCTCCACTCGAGTTCCACGTGGCCGAGCTCCACGGTGAGTAAATCGCAGGTCTTTCTGCAACGTTGTGGTGTTAGCTGACATGTATCCAGCGTTGTTCTTCGAATGGTTTTTCCGGTAGGCACTCGACCGGCTGATTCTGTAAAAGAGCAGGTAAAGATGGTTCATTTCGACTTTTTGAAGACATCTAGTGAAGATGTAATTTGCGTTGCGTATGTTGTTTCTCTTGTTTTTTTTTGTCTCTCCCTCTGTTCTTCTGTTGCTTTCTTTTTTTTATTGTTATGATACCAAATTTTTCTTTTTTTTTTTTTGTGTGTGTGTTTAACATTCTCCTGAAACGTAGGAGCAAGCGAACTACAGATCTAATCTTGCGTAGCAACACCCACAGTAGTTTACACAGTGTAGGTTCTTTCAACATTACTTTTATGACCTTTCCACATACAGCAAAAGGAATGCAAGCTTGGATCTTCAACGCCATACCCTACAATATAGCAGATGTGTTTAATCAATCTCAGCGTACCAAGAAATCTCTATGCTTCACCAAATTCTCACTGGAACCTCGTCATGGCAAGAGGATCAGTCAATTCACCACCCCTTCCCCGAACCCAGATATCAACCACCCTCGAAGCATCCTCCAAGTCCGAATCCACAACAAAGTACCACCCATAGAACGAACCTGTCACACAAGAATGATTGGGATAGATTTTAACCACCTGACCAACCGACAACGGCATCCCATCCTTCTTAGAATCCTCCCAAGCAATGATCGAGTGCTCCTGACTGATCCGCGCAACAAACAACCGATCCTTTCCGGACTTCGCCTCACCCTTCATCCTCCAGTTCGACAGATACCCCCAGCCAGGATAGCTCGGACAAGGCTCCCGGCCAAGCGCCAGTGTCCCGGCAGCAACAAGAGCCTCAGGTACATCCCGCTCGCCATCCTGGTAGACACTGCACACCTCCGCAACGACAGACATGGCAATCTCCTCTTCAAACGAGCCTGCACCCTGACGCGCATTCGTAGTAGCCTGCTGGATATCCAAGATAGGATAGTTACCAGCATGCAACTCAATCTTCACGCTGGCCTCATTCTGCTCAGCGCAAGGCTCCCGCAACAGCGCACGAAGCTCATCTGCCTCAGGTGAAGACGAGCCCTGCACAAGATTATGCGAAGACATGGCCTGCGGCGTCGCGCCGACACTAATAATCAATTCACGGTCCTTGGGCAGGAGCGGCAGCCACCTATTCAGCGCAATCTTGCAACCCTGGATCTCCCCGATGAGATACCTCATCGCCTCCTCGGCGGTGTTTGCATTATAGCTCAGGCTCGAGTGGGAGTACAGGCCAAGGAACTTAGCATGGCCCGCCTGCTCCGCTTCAGCCAGCTTTTCCAGCAGTCCATTCTTGTTCAGGGAAGCGGGAGGTAGACCCGCACGGTGATAGCCGGTATCAACCTTGACAAAGACGCAGGCGGGGAACTTCGCCTTGGCGGAGAAGTTCTGGAGGAATTGGATTTGGTCCGGGTGGTCGATCATCACCGCGACGCTATCCTCGCCGATTGCCGCGGCCAATTCCGCTAGCCGGGGAACGTGGGATGGGACTAGTGGGATGCCGTAGAGGATATTCGGGGACCGTCCGGCCCGCTTGAGGCCCGCCAGAAGCCCGATGAGGGTTTCGATTTCAAGCAAGGTTGAGGCGATGAATTTGGGAGTTTGATTCTCCTTGTCCAGTTGGAGTTTGGCGATTTCCAGCGTCTAGGCGGGGTCAGATTTCTTCATGTATGGATATTGATATGCCCTCCTGGGATATGTGTTTTACCTTGTGTGTCTTGACATGGGCTCTGAATTCAACGCCGAGAGTCTTGATCGTGCGGTTCATTCGCTCGCAGTTCCGGCGCACGATTGCTCGGTCAATAACTGCGGCTGGCTTGGGCAAATCGGCGATGTCCTCGCCAGCCCATCGCTGGAGTAATTCGGGCTGTGAGGGGAGGGCGAAGGCATTCGACGCCATTGCTGTATTTTCAAATGGTGATTGAGAGGTTGAGAGAAGAATAGAGGTCAGGTTGCGGGGAGTAGTGATGATATGGTGGAGCGGCGTTGATAACTGGCGCGGTTCGGTGCCGCGCTCCCGATTAGGACATGCGGTGGGGCCGGCAGTGCAATAGGGTTAAAAGTTCAGCCTGTACTACCAGCATCGTGTACCTCACCTAGTGTAGTGTATGTATGACTACTGCAGATTATAGAGGACTTCAATGTCGAGACAATGATGTTATATTGTGCGTAAGATAAATAACAGTTTGAATGAAAGGAACTTTGATGAAATCGAGGTATTATTTCCAATATAAATAGACGGCGGTACCGTTCCTGTATACGCCAATTCTCCAAGCGACAGCAAAGCAGCCCGATCCAGCCCCGGGAATGCAAAGGTGACATGCAAAGAGAGGAACATGTGCAGTCTATAGATTTTCAACGCACCGCGCCACAATCCTTTCCACAAACGAAACGAGAAAAGAAATGGGCTAGGTCACAAACAAAAGGGATTACAAAGGTGTACCCGAGACACGGAGAGTAGAACGACAAAAGAAGAGACCCAAACAGCGCGGCCGAGGGGATATAGAGTAAGGAAGGAGGGGATATAGAGTAAGGAAGGAAACACAAACGCCGTCCGTGGATATGCTTGTTTTTTGTTTTGTTTTGGGTGTCGGTATTTTTATGCCCGCGACTGGCTGTGGCTCGAGCGAGAGCGGTTCGACATTGAGCGACGACCTCGGCTGGAGGGAGCTCGCTCAGAGGGCGCTGGTGGTGCGTGCTCGAAGAATGGAGTCAAGTCCGGTTGCTGACTGGGAGGGTTCTTGGGATCGTGGGAATATTCGCCCAAGATCCGGTCATCGGCCGCGGTGTCAGGATGGATCTCAATTCCCGGCTGGTGATCCAGTCCACCGTGAGGGCCAGTGGGCGGGAAGGCGATAGAGTCGGCTTCATCATTACCGCGGTCAATAGGAGACCATCCGGCAATACTGCCCGCGACAATTCCAGCCATTGCCGCCGCGGGTCCAAATGTAGAGTTGGAGCGGGATCGAGTATTGCGGCGCGAGCGAGATTCGGGGGACGCGGGCTGAGGAGTCGGGCTTCCCTCGTCGCCATTGGGGGTAGGCGGAGCAGAGGATTCGCGCGAGCGCGAGCCGCTGCGAGATCGAGGTAATAATTCCTGAGGGTGTTGCAGCTTGTGGCGGATGTGGCGGAGACGACCACCACGGACAGACTTGATGAAAGCCAGCTGGTCGCGGATCTCTTCCAGTGCCGGGTTCCACTCATAGCGACGGTCTTCATCGGAGATCACCAGCTCAGGTCCTCCCTTCTTGTTGCGATGCCAGATGTGGGGGATGATTCGACTGACGAATTCGTCGGGGATGAGGCGGATGATCACTGCAATCGGTACAGAAATTGCGCCAAGTACAAGACTGACAGCCCATTGTGTTCCCTGGTCGAGACGTTTCACAGAGAAAGCCGCACCTCCCACGAAGATAATCAGAACCTGGCCTCCGATGATGATAAGCTGGATGCCGACGAACCACTTGTTGCGCCACACTCCCTCCATAATATTGAGTTTGTTATCAATTCGGCGAGAGCTGCAAAAATTGTTAGTTTTGTGAAATAGAAAATCATGGAAAACACCTACTTATACTGGTTGAAGATCTGCATGAAGACGAAAGTGTTGAAGACCACCGTCTGCATATGTTCTTCATTCCAGGGGAAGATGGATTTGCCGGCAAAGTTGAGAACGAATGTCACAACCAGTTGATAGATCGATTGTCCAATGATCATTTTCCACATTGTAAGGGTAATGAGTGGGGCCGCTTTGGACTCGGGTCTGCGATCGAGGACATATGGAGATGGGGGATCGGTAGCCAATGCAAGAGCGGCGAAAGTATCCATGATGAGGTTGACCCACAGCAGCTGGACTGCGCTGAGCACGGAGTCCCCACTGCTGCTGGCAACGGCCGAGACGAAGGTCAAGACCACAGCAGTGATGTTGACCGTAATCTGGAACTGAAGGAACTTCTTGACGGCGTCGCTGACAGTACGACCCCAGGCCATGGCCTTGACAATTGATGCAAAGTTGTCGTCCATCAAGATGATATCGGACGCCTCCTTGGCCACTTCAGTACCAGTAACACCCATGGCGAAGCCAACATCGGCATTCTTCAGAGCCTGCGCATCGTTGGTACCATCACCGGTGACAGCAACAGTCTCACCGAGCTTCTTCAGTTGGTTCACCAGGATCTTCTTGTCATCGGGGCTAGACCGCGCGATGACTTGAAGTCTGGGAATGATCTGGTTCATTTGTCGCGTGCTCAATTTCCGGAACTGCGGGCCTTCAATTGCAATTCCACCAGGAGTGTAGATACCACACTCGCCAGCAATGGCCTTGGCAGTCATGATATTGTCACCTGTTACCATTCGCACAAAGACACCGGCACGCTGGCAGGTGTGCACGGCCTCTGCGACTCCAGCTCGGACTGGATCCTGGATACCAAAGATGCCAAGAATAGACATGTCCTTGAAGATATCGTCAAAAGGAACGGTGTTCCGAGTTCCTGAGGCCGAAGCTCCACGGGGTGGCCATTGGTCAAATTCCCGGTAGACCAGAGCGATACACCGCAGGGAACGCGATGCGTATGTGACGATGGTGTTGTCCAGGGTAGAGCGGTTCTCCTCCGAAAGTGGGGATTCACTCAGAGTATCCGTCGGGTCGCGCACAATAGTTGAAGACTTGTTCATCAAGATCTCCGCAGCTCCCTTGACCAACACGCGGTATTTTCCATTTTCGAGCTGAACAACCACGCCCATGCATTTGCGACCGGAATCGAAGGGGTACATTTCAACAATCTTCGCGCTAGCTCGCTCCTCGCTCGGGGGTCCCATGCCGAGGTGTTCGCGTGCGAATGATAACAAAGCCGTCTCGGTCTTGGATCCGATAAAGGTCTTCACGCCATCTTGTTCACCTTCGAAAGCGGTGGAGTTGAGAGTGATGGACTTGAGCAGGAGGTCTTTAACCGACGACGAAAGCGTAGATACAAATTCGGAGGCAGAAACATCGCCTGACTGAGCAGCAGCCTGTCCCTTGTCTCCAAATCGCGAGGTGGTTCCCAGGGTGGCAGCAACAGCCGTCATCTTATTTTCGGTGAGGGTACCAGTCTTGTCGGAGCAGATGGTTGTCGCATTGCCCATAGTCTCACAAGCTTTGAGGAAGCGAACCAAGTTGTTATCCTTGATCATTCGTGTTGTAGCAAAGGCGAGAGCAAGTGTCACTGCTAAGGGTAGACCTTCAGGCACCGCCACGACCACAATCGTAACAGCGACGATGAAGATCTGCAGAAACGCTTGGCCCTTGGCATCGGCGCCGCCTTCAATCGACTTCAATCGGACGAGGAACTTGATAAAGAGGACCACGAACAAAAGCAGACCCGAAGCAAGACCTAGCTTGGCAATGTACTCGGCGAGTTTGTTCAGCTTGGTCTGCAACGGAGTGGTTTCGCCGTCCTCCTGGAGAGACATCATTGTCCGTCCATGCGTCGAGTGTATACCAGTGGCTGTGACGAGGAACGTACCGACACCCTCGGAGACCTTGGCGCCAGAGACAATGAACGGATCCATCTTCTTGAGGTCTTGGTGTTGCTCGATGGCTCGGTAAACGTCGTCTCCAGGGGTCTTTCGGAGTAGATCAGATTCACCAGTAGCGGAAGACTCGTCGCATGTCACACCGTGACCATCGATCAGAATGCCATCGACAGGAACCATATCGCCGGGCTCCATGTGCATGACGTCGCCAACCATGATATCGTGAATGGAGACCTCTGCTGTTTTACCGGATCGAATAACCTTGATCAACCGATTTTCTTTCTTCTTGTTGAGTTTGGCGAATTGTCGTTCCTTTTGCCAATCGTTCGAGGCACCAACCGTCACGACAATGATGATGGCAACCAAGATGGCAAGACCTTCAACCCATTCCACGCCAGGCTCATTGGGATCTGCTGGATGCAGTGACTGGGGGATACCGACAGCGAGAGAGATAGCGGCAGCGACTGTCAGCAGAATCAACACCTTATCGTTGAAAGCAATCCAGGCCAATTCCCAGATGGTCTTCAACTTTCTCTCTGGCAGTTTGTTATTTCCAAAGACTCGCCTGCGGTCGGAGAACTCCTCGGTCTCATTCGTCGCCGGCTTTCCATCAGCTGGCGGTGTAGGCGGCGGTCCAACAGGAGAAGCCGACTTGGGCATGGCATTCGATCCTACAGCCTCATCGAAAGCCACTGCTCCATCCAACGTGCTCTCATCGGTGCTCAGGCCACTTTGGACATCAGTCCGGAGCCCTTTCTCGAGGCCACGCAGTCCACCCAGTGCATGGAATGCAGCAAAGCTCTTCGGATTCAACAGCTTGTTCAGTTGACCCGGAGAAAAGGCAAAGCGGTTGTTCTCCACCTCGAACTCGTCTTCCCGGCCAGGATCTGGTGTCAACGCATCCTCGTTATCGACATTGGTATGCTTGGTCAGATCGGACTGTGAGTGCGAGTGATGGGATGCAGAGGGCACGAAAGTATCACCACCGTAAATGCTCGACGTTTGGCTGGTGTCTTCCGACTCGAGGGAATTGCCCCGGGACCGCGTCCCTGGCACGGACAGGAAGTTGGAATGCGACTCTGGCAGCTTGGTCTTGGGGGAAGAAATATTATGTGGCGATGTGGGCCGGTCGTGGTCTCGATCTCGAGCCTCGGAGGAGGCATTCGAGCGGATCGAAGCAGCAGATCGTCTATCTGTTGGGGAGACGCCACCATCATAGCTGGTCGTCCTGGTGTCGGGGTATTCGCCATTATTATGATTAAGATTATCCGTCGAGGCTTGCTCGGGATCGGACAGAACCTGGACTGGAGGTTCGCCAGTACTCGGGGAGTTCACGGCAGAGGTATCGATGGTGATGGTGGGAGCCCGCTCCCTCCGCAAGGGTGTCGTCGGTGTCTGGACGGGCTCGTCGGCCTCGCCCTCTCGTCGCGAATCGGACATGGAGGCGCGGGTTTACGCGAGCGGTACGTTAAACCGTCGTCGGGCTTTGCATGGATAGAGGGTCTGCGGGCCGTCGTGTGGGGAGACTTTGAAAGGTCGTCTATCGCGTCAGGTCGAATTAGGCTCGTAGATGAAACTGTACAGTGCCCGACAGCTCTTCCATGGGCGGTTCTTGCGGGAGAGGGTAGGATGACAGGAGGAGAGTCCACCGAAGGGGAAGACCAGAGCCGCGCCACACGATCGCAAGATTGACAGCGACGGACTTGACAACCCCTTTGCAGATCCACACTGGTCTCGATTGTTTTTCTTTGTACGCCCCAGTACAAGCCGTATCCGCTCGGGGACGGGGGTCCACTGCTGCACAGCCCCAGGGTGGATCGCCGGCCGCTCGACTTGTCACTCCTCGACGTGTTAACGAGCGCTGCGGGTACTGCTGGCGCAGAGGAGGAACTTGAGAATGACGATGAATTCGTGCGACAGCCGGGTGCGTGTCTCATTGACGACGAAGTGCAAGATTGCCGTTCGCGGACAACGCAGTTCAGGAAGGGCGGGCCTTTGCACTGCCTCGCTGGGATCCGCCAAGCCGGCGTCCGGGACCGCGGAGGCAGAGGCGAATAATACGCATTGCCACCATTGGTACCCTTTCCTCCCCGAGGGTACAGAGCGTGGAATAGGGGCCCTGTCGAGCGTTGGAGATGACGTCTCCAACACTTTAGCTGCTACGACTCAATCCGAGCTAAATTGTGTGCTTGGGTGCTCGATTCGACGGAGCCAACCGCAGTCTACCACTGCCTAGGGTACACAATATACTAGTAGGGCAGCACCGCCCGTCTCGGGCCTCTATACAGGGTCTGCGACAATACTGACTAGGTAATCCCGGCAGAGAGCGTGTCACCGACTCTGTGGCATCCCGGGGGTTGGGCTTGTCCACCACATATCTGATGACGCGGAGGGACGCTGTGGTAGAGGCCCAATTTGCTCGGAGAGTCGATGACATGTAGATTCTCAAAATCAAGAGCAGTACCCGCAACTTACACCGCCTACTAGTATACATACAGTCGTACCTAATGTATGTACTATACTATTATTTACAAGTCAATTAGAACAAACATACATTAGTCCGGGGCAACCCTCCTATCAGGCATCTAGTGGCGGCAACATCGCCTTCACAAGCTTCGCGTTTTGCTGGTATCGCCAATCAGCCCGGCCTGCTGCGCTGGGGACTATACTAGTACGTCGACCCTGCCACCATTCTTAGCCCGCAAATGGGATGCTCCATGGAGCCACCGTTGCATGTGCTTTGGCAATACAAACACCGCAGTGCTGCATTGCCCGTTTGACTCGCGCGTGGCACGAACGGACGATTTTGAAGCTATGTAGAAAATAATATACACCCTCTTTCTTTTCTATTTGACGAGGATTGCCATGCGCAACGTTGATGATGGCACCCTGGAGATCACATACTGGTCGTAGAGGCATTCATCTGATATATAGCGTCTCTGAGATGAAATCGACTTCGGGAGCAATATCACCACTTAATATATACTCCGTGCAGCCTCATGGTTGGCATTTTAACTACTCTCGTATTCTCGTATATCCCGCTCGTATCAACCCTCCCACTGCCTCACCTCCCACCTCACCACGCCAGAGACCTCCAGACCATCATGCCCGACGCAATCAGCGTATACGGCCTCACAGCCGTTTTCGCCTTGGCCACGGCCTTCCTCACCTCCACACCCGCCTACCCAAAGCCTCACCACGCACCCCTCCCCATCCCGGTCTCCCATGACTCCCATTCCTACCACCGCCCTCGCCCAACGCATCAACGCCTACGCCCCGAGCTCACCTTCCAGAACCCACCTACAACCATTCCCTCCGCGTCTATCATTACGGCCTCGCCATTGAAAGTACTGCTTCCCCGACTCCGCCGACTGGGACTTCACCGACGAGACATACTGACTCCCGTTGCATCCTCCACGGCATCGGCACGACGGACAAGAACCTCGCGCAGGACCCGCCTAAGCTTCGAGTTCTACGGCGGGTGCCCGGCGTTGGATATCCTGCAGACGGGTAGGTCGAATGGGACGACCGCACCGCGAGAGATCATCCGACATCAGGACCTGTGCGCCGTAGGCAAAATTACCGCGGTGGAACAATCGTTGCAGTTGGCGACGATCTTTGGTAGGTGGAACACTCCCCGGTGGAGATGGAAGCTTTCCCCGTCAAAGACTTTGCTGGAACCCTGGCCTACCCCTACCCCTACCCCTACCCTACTCTCAGTATACATGTGGACAACCCGGCGTCGCGATCACCACCATGACGATGACGATGCATCACCGGGGCAAGGGACGGGTTTCCCGCAATCAACCAAGTGCGACCTGATCTGCTCCAAAGTTTAACTTTTCCCGGTGGAGCAATATTATTTACTGGCAAAGGTACAAGCGATCGAGCTGTGAGGAGCCAATTGACTTCCCGTCAGGTCACAGACAACACCGGTGCATACACCGATCTCGTCCACCCAGACACCATCCAGGATTTGTCGGCGCATTTTCCGCGCCACCACTGGAGCCAGTGTTTTGCCGCGACGATCCATCGGGAGAATGGCCTGCAGGCCCTGGGCTCATACGACCGCCCTGGGCGAGGAGTTCCCCGCCAATGTGCTGGGGAACAAGCTCATGGAGCCATGTGAGTAGGAGTAATGTGAGTGATGAGGTGGTTACCTGGGTGACCACGGGGTTTAATTCGAGGTAAAATTGTTGTTGCTGCGGAGTACCGAGGCGGTATGCGTGGGTGGAGAGACACATTAATATTGATGGCTGACCTGAAAATTGACGTGAAACGAGGGATGAGCTAATTATTAAGAACTGCAGAATGATTGACATAGATTGAGAAAAAGTGGTGCAAGGATCCGTTGCATTGTAGATCCTCTTCACATCCTCTTCACTGACATGCTTATCCTGGAAATACCTAAACACATACAAAACAATATACCCTAGGTAATAACCTCGCCCTTGAAGCTCCATGTGGTTTGTATCCCTGATCAGTGCTCCTGCATGCTAATGTACACAGCCCATTTCCTATCCAATCTCATCTTGCTGAGAGGAGCATCACTTCTTCTGTGGCATGGCGGCATCGCCGTGCTCCGGGACGTTGACTCGCCACAAACCCAGCGTTTGGCCACTCTCTTTCACGACATCTTGTTTCGAGTTCGTAAAAACCATAGCTCGGCCCGCCAAGGCCAAGGAATCCATTAGTTCAGCCATGCGCTGCGCCTCAACGAAGCTGCGCGTCAAGTGCGGGATTTTCGCGACTAGCGTAGCCACAACCATGCACTGCGTGAGCAATTCGGGCTTCTCGAGCGTTTCGGCGGCGTAGTACAAGGCGGTATGGTAATCCAGGACCAATTCGGGAAGCAGGGTCCGACGGATATACGCATAGTCTTCTTCTTCCTCGGCTGATTCATTCGAATTAGTACAAGTACATCCAAAACACTGAGATGAAGGAAATGTAAAAGAGGAAACACTCACCAGTTTCGGCCGTGCCAGGCCAGTCAACCACCTCGACCGTTTGTCCCACACTGCTCTCCAGGGTGCCGAGGTATTCAGACAACTCATCGAACAGGTTTTTGACCGTGCCGGAATCTCGTCGGCGCTTAGTCCTGAAAGAAAGATTAGGTCGTGCTTGGCGCACCGTGTTAAAAGAAGATGATACGTACTTCGAAATCTGTTCGTAGAGGATGGCGAAATTCTCCCTGCTGTCAAAGCCAAGAGCTAGGTTCTCAAAGTTGTACATGAGAGTGGACTGTTGACTGGCACTGGAAGAATTGTTGACGGAAATGCCATTGCTGCCAGACAGGCTGCGTCGGTGGGCGCTGTTCTTGCGCGACTTGGCCGGGCTGGGGGGTGCACTTTTTTCTGCGACCAACTGATCCACATTCAGATCAGGGTACTCGAAGATATCGTATCCGAATGTCTCCTGGGAGATTTCAGGCAAGGGCATGCGCTGGCTGAGCTCCCGAGCAGCTGCCAATTTGCCCGCAATGAAAAATTTGCGGTACAGCCATCCTCCAAGTTTGCAGATCTTGCCCCATTGACCACCCACGTAGCGTAACCATTCGAGACTGCGGATCATGTTCTCATCTTCGTCTGCAATGGACACACCGATAATGTCTTTCTTGGGTGGGAGAATCTCGCGAGAGCCATCTGGCCGGCGCACCAATCTATGGTAGCCGGTGAGGCCACGCGAGTATTCGATAGAAGAAACTTTGGAGCTCAAATAAGCCCACTGAACATCCAGTACGGAGTCGATGTCCACACCGTATTTCTGAGCAAGGCGAACCTGTTCCTTTCGCTGCTTCGGGTGGAGAATGTCAATCAGAATCTTGGCATAGGCATCGTGAGACATCCCAGTAGGCATAAGTGACACATAGAGTGGGATGAGTTGGAACAAGCCTCGTGCTTCCAAGAGAGCGATGTACCCAGCGAGGACAACGGATGCGGTCTCAAGAAACTGGGTGTCAACGCGAGAATACCCTATGGACTGAACGACAAGATAGACGTGAGCCGACATTTTGATAGCCTCCTCATCCGACGCGGCGAGCAAGTAGGTATGGTCGACTTTCGAGCGAGCAATATCTGGAATGATAGAGGCTGTGCCATCGGCTTTGATAGCATATTCGGAAACTGCTTGAGCAAGCTGGGTGAAGTAGGAGTCGTAGCCCTTGCTCAAGATCGCAGCCTGAAGATTGCGGAAGGGGTTAGAGGCCTCGCCTCCAACACGCTCGTTGCCGCGCAGGTACTGGAAGAACTTCTGCAGGTCTGTATGTCCAGCAGGCTCTGGCGTGAATGCAACTGGGGTGTTGGGAGAATGGTTCAGCTTGCGCTGGAACTGCTTGCAGAATCCCTTATAGCGCGAGAGAACGACCCGGTTGAAGTAGACGTAAAGATAGTCATCCCAGCTGCTGCATACCTTGACGACGGAGTCGCTGTCGCCACAGAGCAGACCATACACTGCACGTTCGAAGTCGCCCGCCTTGGGGTTCTGCGCGAGAGCAAAGCAAGCTGCGCGCCATGAGTCTTGCGCGCGACTATTCATCAAGCGTGTCATTCCGTCGTCGACCGGGGTCCGCGTGTTAGCGGAATTCGATTCAAGGCTTGAGCCGCAAAGGCTGACAGCTCTCCAACCCTCGAGACGGTTTTCGGCCCATTCGCGAATCTGAGTCCAATCCTCGCCCTGTCGGAGCATTTTCCAGCAATTCATCCAAGTCGCGTGCTCATAGAACTCGTCTTGTGCTTGCAGATGTTGCTTTTGGCGAAGAAGAGCATCGGGGTCCAGTTGTGTAATAAGAGGTTTGTGGTCGTCAGTGGTCATCGACTGTGCCACGCCCGGGTCACTGGGCTCCAAAGGCTGAGGCCAGGCGCGCAACCGCTTGTGTCCCTTGATCGCTTCTTTGGTGTAGAGCCATCCATGGGTCCACAGTCCCTCGCCTCTTCCAGCCTGCGATTCCATCTCGCTGATGACCGCAGTGAGCTCATTGTCCTCTGCCTTAGCTGTCTCTTCTAGCCATTTCATAGCCACAACGCACTCGGTGGCATACTGATCGGCACCGAGAAACTGCTCCCAAACCTCGCGATCCGACGAGTAGCGGTGAAGGTTTTGAAAAGCCGTCTGCCGTCCCTCCTTGAAGCTGGCGCGGCTCGCAGGTTCGTCGACGCTGATGAGGTTGAGGAGCAGGCGCCAAGTATCGAGTTCCAAGTACAGACGTCGCAGTTCATCTTCCGATTTGGCATCTTCCGCTTCGCTTGATCGGAAGCCTTTCGTGCGCTTGAGCGCCTGTTGTTTCTCGTTTTCTTGGATCGCGTTTTTGGTGAGTTTGTGGTATTTGTCCACGAGATTGTATGCTGCTTGGATGTTGTGGAACTCGTCGTTAGAGTTCTTCTGCTTGAACTGGTCCAGCTCCTTCGCGAATGCCTCGATCTGTTTCGTGACACGGTCGGCGGTCCGGCGAAGGGGGTCGAAGGCTTCTTGCGCGCCGGCAGCGGTAAACAGCTGAGGAGAACCTGCAAGCTCGATCAGCCATGGTCATGCAATGATTGAGAAGAACAATATACAAACCTTGGGCCTTGCTAGTTATTCCCATGACGGACTTCAAGCTGGGCTCCAACACAGGGAAACCGGATCGAGGGTCCGAAGCTTCGTCGTCATCATCATCAAAACCATCTTCCTCCTCATCCATCTCTTCGTCCTCTTCACCCGTCTCCTCCTCCAGTTCTTCCTCATTGCCATAGCTTTCTTCGCCATCCATTGACTCGTCATCATCTTCGTCTTCTTCAATGCTGATGATTTCTGGTTCCTTGGGGTGCGGCTGAGCGACCTGGGAAGGGAAGTCTGTCAGTTGGGGCCAAAACCACAAGAGGGAAAAGAGCATTCATACCTGCGAGCGCAGATTCGCACTGCCCGAAGCTGCAGACCTGGCAGATCTGGTGAGCGGAGCCATGGCGAACAGCACTGGCGACGACACTCAAGAGTTGATGGGAGGAGGGAAATCGTGTTTGTCTCTTTTGGTTTTGGGGCGCGTTGGCTACTTACCAAAGCGGTTTAGCCCGTCGGCACGGGACCGCCAGGTATTTAAGGATTTCCACCGCCGAAATTTTTTTTCTTTTCCTCAAATGTCTTATAGGCAGTCATTAGAGTCTCGGAACGAAAGTTTTCAATATTCGTTCAGGTCCATGAGGCCTCTCTGCGTGCTCAAGATTGTCTTAGAGTGATCTCGCAGTCCTTCAATTAGTCTCGTTCTCTCTTACATGGGAGCTTAGTCTGCAAAGGGGCTGCGACATGCCATTGAGTTTCTCTTGAATTGGTACTCTTATCTACTACTCAATCGGTGGCAGTGACAGCGTCAAAGGGCCTATTTCTGGGACTCCGTGTTTCCTGCTGCCTCAGCACGCTGCTTCATCTTGAGCCGCAACAGGTGAGCCTTGGGACAGCTCACGACTGACGCCTGGTCTCCTTGCTGTTGGTAGAAGGCATTGCAGCATTCGTAGAGGGCATCGATCTGTGCCTGGCATTTATCCTCCTTGTACGAGTTTTTGGTCAGGCAATCTGGCCCGGGATTAGTCTGGGAAAAGAAATCTTTACAAAGGAATGGTACCTTGGATTGCGCACTGCCAAGTGTTAGCAGACTCCCAAAATGGTACAGGCTGTGAGGCAACATACGGCACGCGGGTGGCAGGGCGTCTCATGGGACAAGTCTTGCTTCAAATTCCCCTGCACTTCTCAGTTAATCATCTCGAAGCTGCAGGTGATGCAAGGAGCATACATACCATCTTAACAGTCTTCAGATTTCCTTGGGATTAATGCAAATTGTTGAAGCAAACTCGCAACAAAGGCAAGAACCTCATAGAAGCCTGCTTCCGCCGTGACGCAAAATAGATTCTCCGCCTTTGTGGGGCGAATCGCTCAGGCATTCTGCCGCCAATATCTCCCACCTCTCACCTCCCACTTAACTTGCCTTCTACAAATTCCTTCCTCCTCGCTGCTCGCCTTCGTATGCCGCATCACCCCATCTATTCCATAGCAGGGTCTTGCGCGATTGCTGACACTTGATTACAGTCATACACATTCTACACTCCAACCTTTTCATCAACCGCGCTCTACAGAAATCGGTAAGTCATGCCGCTGGACGCCAATGTGAGACGCGCCCGTTTAGCACAGCGCCGGCATGTCGAGGCGCTGTTTGCCAACCGGGAGCTAATCGAGGCAACAATGATTGCGACACATGAACTGCTTAAAACCTCTAACACTACGCAGCTTCCCGCAGACATCGCAGATACCGCAAATATGTCTGCTGAGCAGGATGGGTCAGCCGCTCCCTCGGAGCACCTCAACATCAAGGTTACCGACAACAACAATGAGGTGTTCTTCAAGATCAAACGCTCTACTCAACTGAAGAAGCTCATGGATGCTTTCTGCGATCGCCAGGGAAAGCAAATGTCCACCGTGCGCTTCCTGTTCGATGGAACCCGCGTTCGCCCCGAGGACACCCCAGATACCGTATGTGAATCGTGTGATCGGGATATAGGTGCAGAGTAATCGTGATTCTGACCTTTCATTTATTAGCTCGACATGGCCGATGGCGACACCCTTGAGGTCCACCAGGAGCAGATTGGTGGTTAAGCGCTGGACTCCTTCTTGCATAGCATGATGAACCGCCTTACACATATCACGGGGGATTTGCATCTGGGCAGGATGGGTCGGGATTTGTCGACGGTGCAATCTGGATCTCGGTTCATCGTGAGGAGTTTGCAGCTTGCGCTTTTTATGATTCAACGAATTTACAGAAATGGATGGGATACTTTCGTGCGATTTTCCATATTTCATTCATGGTAATACGTTCCGAAAAGGACATAAATCTTCACCTCTGGCAAGTTGCGTCGCGAGATCGCTGTAAGCCATGGCAATTGATATAGACAAACCAGCTATTGCTACTATTAAAACAGAGCAATTTGTTCGGAAGGATTGAATTTCGGGATCTAGAATCAACCAGTGGCCGAGCCATTTCCAACCAAGGAAAAGAGAGACCACGATCCTCAACATTAAGAACCCATTCTCCAGCAAAGGCATTCAGCGCCGAGTAGTCAGTCAGATATATACAATCAAAAATACATAGCAAGGTACAGCAAATCCCCAAAAGTCCACAGAAGACGAGAATCTAGTCTGTCCAGACAGAAGCTTTCAATCGCTCTTCCTCCTCCTTGGCCTTTGCCTGCTCCTCGCGCTCTCGATTCCGCCGCTTGATCTCCTGCTCCTTGACAGAGCGATCATAGGCGCGCTGCTCCTCCGTACGCTTTGGCGCCCGGACTCCCAATGCGCCAGCGATCAAGCGACCAGCAACGGCGGTCTGCTTCTCCGGTCGGCGGGTAGGATCGCGCTGCGGGGCAGCGGGGGAGCTTGCTCGTCCGGCAACCCAAGGGTTAGAAGTTTGCGGTGAGATAGGCGTAGGCGGAGGATCTAGAGGACCCTCAGCGCTGATGGTGGGAGAGAGAACCGACGGCGAAGGAGCTGCATCATCTTCTCGTGGCGTAGGCTCATCGTCGTCGGTGGCTACGTCTTCCCAAGAGTCTGCAACGGGCTTCGGGGCAGCCTTTTTAGGCTTGAGGACGGATGTAGGGGCACCGGCGGAGTTGTTCTTCCCTGCAGGTCGAGGGATGTCCTGAACTGGACCTTTCTTGCCAATGGATAGATCCCGCAAAGTTGATTGCAGCTCGGTGCGAGGGTCTGACATGGCACGCGAGGTGTTGTCTGGGCTGCAATGAGGGGACGACGTATGTAAAAAAGAGATCTGGTTGGCAATATGTCGGCCCCCAAGGAAAAGAACGAGTTGGACTAGAGAGGGTGAGAGCCTAAAAGGAAGACCGCAGGTAATGGCGTCAGAGGACTCGGCGCAACCCTGGTCGATCGTGGGGAAGGCGGGCCAGACCCGAAGTGGCCTCAGGTGTCACAGGCGCCCGAGGTGTCACCCACAAACCTGCACTCCTTGCTCAGGGTGCCAACCGGGAGCCTCGACAGGGCATGTTGTTCATGACCAAACGAACATTCCAGGAAAGGATCTGCTCTCGGGGATCTCCACCTGCGTCACTGTGAACTAAGAAAGGAATCGCGTGTTGACCCATGGACTACGGCTGATCCATAGGTCGTCAAAACTGCTGAATTGCTTCCGTATACGGGTCAAGCGGGGTAACTACGTTTGGGAATAGGAAATAGCTTTATCTATCACGAAATTTACACTCTATAACTCGGTGCGTATTTGATTTCGCGACTGGCCCTGCCACGCATTCTATTTTAAGAGATCCTGAAACACGTTGAGGAAATAGACTCACTTGTTGAATCAAGGTTCCTCCAATCGGGATCTTACCAAATTGTACCATCGCAGAAGAGCGTGGCCCTATAGCATAGCATACTCTATCTTTGGAAATATTCATTCAGACCACGGTGTTAACTTTATTCCAGGGTGTCTTTAGCTGCCGATTTGTCTCTCTAATTCCATATTCTTGGAATCAAGTCTCCTACTGAGTATGCCATGATTAAACATAATTTTAAGCAGATATACATTGGAAATTTCTAGTACATCCACTCGAAATATGCAGCCCTGGAGGCAGAATTACCTGCGACTACCGTGCCCATGATGAGTGCCTACCGGCAACGCATTATGGTACTTCAAGCCCTCTCCGTTAAAATGGGGCTCCGGCCGTGGACTGACTGTGATACGATGTATAATTCCGAGGATAAAGGCCATGATAATGAAGATATCACATTGGGTCTCATCGGGTAGTACAGCAGGTTGTTGGAGGCCAGAGCTAAAGGGCATTGATCTCGATTGGGATAGTAGGTATAATGGGGTTGAATAATTCATTAAAATTTAGGTATTACCTAATATAGCACATATGGCCGAGTGGTCTAAGGCGACAGACTCAAGATATGTATCTTACCTGTACAAGGTGGTATTCTGTTCCTCATCAGAGGGCGGGCGTTCGAATCGCCCTGTGTGCACATATTCTTTTTTTTTTTGCCCTTCACTTAGGTTTATCATCCTCCCAGTGTATGTTCTTTTCGGAAATTGGAATTCTAAATTTTTCGTCTTGGATCCCCGGCTGCGGTTAGGTCTAAGCGAGGGCAGATCGATTTACCCAGGCTTCCTACACAGCTTTCCAGAACATTCTTGATCAGAAGAATGAAAGTAGTTCTGTTCATTATCATTGATCGAACCTATAGTTCAATGAGTCTAGATGACTTCTATTCAAGCTATGTGCAGTAGTTCCACGCGTGTAAAAATTCATATCTCACTGAGCCAGCGAGATAATCTTCTTCGCCGCATCCTCGAATCCATCAAAAGCATGCAAAGGCAGACCACTTTCGGCAATCTTACAAGAAGTAAAGTTAGCAACTCTTGAACAGACCATGTTAGAAAAACATAGTCAAAACATACCATCTTCTGCCCAAGCTCCTCGTTAGTCCCACGCAGTCGCACCACAACGGGTACCTGCATATTCAGGTCCCGGAAAGCAAGGATGATACCCTCGGCGATCATGTCGCAGCGAGTCAATCCGCCAAAGATATTAACAAACACAGCCTTCACACGGGGATCGGAGCAGATAATTCGGAATGAAGACTTGACTGTCTCGGATGTAGCCTTGCCGCCGGTGTCGAGGAAGTTGGCGCAGTGGCCGCCATGGAAAGTAAGTGCGTCGACTGTGTTCATTGCGAGACCGGCTCCGTTGACTAGTGTGCCGATGCTGCCTTCGCCTTCAAGCCTGTTAGAGAATAGTGTTAGTAGATGGTGGAGTTTATGAGGGTTGGCTGCCATACTTGACGTAGACGATTCCATCTTTCTCAGCCTCAACTTCTTCCGGGGCTTCTTCAGCGGTGTTGCGCAGTTGGTGAATTTCCTCTTGACGACCGGAACTGCGGTAAGCGGCATCATCGAAGCCGAATCTTGCGCCGTGAACCTCCAGGCTTCCGTCAGCGGACATTCCAATCTGCGTCTCGAGCACAAATGCCTCTTTCTCCTTGAAAATATTCCACAATTCCTGGACCAAGGCGGAGAGTTCAGCTTGGGCTGAGACAGGAACGCCCATGTGCGAAGCTACTTCTGCAATGAGGGGACTTTGGTCGAAGCTGGATTGCGAGTAGCTGAAAGGGAATCGACGAGACTGAGAGGCGTCAAACTCGGTGGTTGGAGAGGCGACGATGCATGGTGAAAGAGCTGTACGGTCAACAGAGATGGAAATAGATGCGTCAGACTTGGAAGCAGATTCGTTGACTCGAACAGATTTCTCTTTCAAGATGTCGAATGCTTGGAACTGCTTGATATATAAGCCCCGCTTCTGCTGAACTGTCCTCTGAGCCGGGTTGACACGCCTCATGGTATGAAAGCCACGCTTCTGGGAGCCAGCCCCTGAAAAGGTCTACCGAATGATTAGAGTTTGCTCTTTAGAGAGTGTTATTTGTACCCACGTTTGCACCTGGCCGGCTAGTGCCACCCAGCAGAGTCCTCATACCCTCGCCAAACTTCTCTGGGTGGTTGACCATGACAGCACCAGCCCGCTCCAGCGCCTGATACTTTGTCTGCGCATCCGGCTCTCCCGGCGCAGCCCAAGCTCCAGCGTGTCCCATGATACGACCAGGAGGCGCTTCCAATCCACCAACCAGCGCCATGATGGGTCTATAGCATGTTAGCAAGCAGACTCATAGAAAGAAGAAGCTGAGAAAACATACTTAGGGCTAGCAGTCCGCCGGCGATAATCGCGAATCCATTCCGCAGCATCCATCTCCGCCGTACCACCAATCTCACCAACAAGAATGATACCTTGGGTATCGTCATCGTGCTCAAAGATCTTCAACGCATCGACGAAGTTGGTACCAGCCAACACATCACCCCCCATACTGATGCACAGACTCTGCCCAAGACCAGCTCGGGTCGTCGAAGCAACGGTCTCATAGCTCAGTGTTCCTGACTTGGCCACGATTCCGACTTTGCCAGGGGCAAAGCAGGGTAGGGGCTGGAAGCCGATACGACATTTTCCAATAGCGGAGATGATACCGGGGCAGTTTGCGCCGACGAGACGGGTCTTGGATTGGGTTTGCAGCATGGAGTGGATCTGTAGCTTGTGTTTAGCATGAGATACTAGTCAGGGGGTTGGCAGACTCACCCGAAGGATATCGTGAATCGGAACATGTTCAGCCACAGCTACGACCAGCGGAATCTCTGCCTCGATAGCTTCCTCAATGGCCTTTGCGGTCTGGTTACCGGGCACATAAATCGCCGAGGCATCCGGCTTAGCCATCTCCTGAGCCTGTCACGACGAAAACCACATCGAGTCAATTCCACAAGCTCACACACCAACCATCAACTCGATCAATACTCACCACCTTCACAGACGGGAAAACAGGAAGACCCAAATGTTCCCCCTCAACACCAGGCTTGACACCACCCACAATCTTCGTCCCCCATTTTAGCGACTCCTTCACATTTGCAGTCGCCTGTCGTCCTGCAAAGTACCTAAGTCAGCACTGCCTGCATCGGGGCTACACTCATCAAATCAATTGATATGCCAATATGAAAACCAAGAAAGAAACACTCACCAGTAAACCCCTGAAACAAAACCCTAGTATGAGCCCCAATCTTCAAATTGGGCAGTGTATCCGCATACCTCGCTGGACGCGGGGAAGTCGAGAACGACCTTACGCAGCGCGGCGCGCGTCTTGGCAGGCGCAGAGCCATGGGGATCGAACTGTGCTGAATTGTAGATTCTTTCTTGCGGGATAGATGCGAGATATGTGGGTTGATTTATATTCCCACTGGTGGTTTATCTGGCGTAGCCAATTCCTCAGCTAGTTTGCTCGATTGCTCGAGGTGTGAGGTTGGGGAAGTGGACATTAAGACGGCTATCTCTCCAAGTCGGCTATCCGGTCTCGGAGCTCCCCACATTTCACCGGCCGAGGCTGGAGCCTGAGGCAGAGACTGGGGAAGTGCCCTGTAGTTACCAGAGGCAATTTTGGAAAGGTCGTTGTAAAAAAACTGACAGTAATAACACTGCTGCCTCGGGAAGCGAATCGGCTCCCGGAACCCAGCCTGAGTTATAACCCACCCCTCCCCCCCCCGGGGCCGCCTTGAGCGACCCTGATCGCTCACCTCCAATTATAAAAGATAATTAATCTATTATCATAAATTTGTTAGATAACTTAAACTTAAGCTAACTCTCCTGTGTATAGTATTGTAGAGAGAATAGCCAGGTTGGTTGGTTCCTGGTGACTAAGTGGTGGGCAAGAGGCACTTAGGATAGAATAAGACACGTGCAGTTTCTGTTCTGTTCTGTTCGCGCCCAGGTATACTATAGGGGAAGGAGGTGCGTAATAGGCCCTTTATATGCTGAAGCTCGAATTCCTCTCTGCGTAGTTTCCTCATTCACTACTCTCGTGCTGTGCGTCCTGTTTACATTGCCTGTTGTGAAGGCCTACGGCCGGATTGATTCAATTGAGCGGTGCCAACATGCTGTTTATCTGAAGCTTGGAGAAGTTTAGAAATAAGGGGTGGCCAGCGGTGACTAAAAATCCTGGGGAGTTGATAGATCACATCGCACAGGCCAAGCCTGAGCAATAGATCGGGACCTGACCCGTTAAACTTTCTGTATCAATCGACCCTTCGGAATTTGGATTGGGGTCCATGTATTTGTATCCCAGAGACAGACGGTATCATCAAGGGAGCCAGAAGCCAGTATTTGGCCGAACTTTTTCTGGTGAGTCCCCGGCAGGGCTGTGCAGGCATGAAGCGGGTGTCTTCTGCTCCACCTCCCTAGCCACTTTTAAATGACTGAATTTCCAATTTCCACCCAATGAGCGATCAACGGACTCCAATTAGAGAGTCCTCCAGGGAAGTGGGCGACTAGGCTGCTGTCCGCCCGTAGCGGGTCGGGCAGATCGATCAGAGAGAGAGTCCAGAAATGTTCATTGCTGATTGATCGCCCCAGCAACCTTTGATCCCCGCCTCCACGAGCCAGTATTTCACATAGAGATCTTGCGTCACAGAGACCGATATCCTGATACTTCATAAGTGCGAACAATGGCCCTGTCGGGGGCGTGTGTACCTGTGTATGTACATGCAGGGTGTACCACTTTCGGAAAGCGAACTCAGAGCCTCGTCAAAGCCTGCCGTGGCCTAGTTGCCTCTCTCGTTGTTAGGCTTCCCTTGTACAGTATATGTAAAGGAAACTGTTCTGGCGTGCCTAGTGCGACACTGTTTCAGTTCCTCGATGTATGATGTGGGGTTGATATAATGGACCCGCTGTGGTGTCAATGCTCAGCGGCATGCCAAAGTGAACAGGTAGGGTGAAAGGTAAAGAAGACGAATCCGTTTCAACAACACGACTTGAGTACATCTGGAGAAAGTAAATAAACCCAGCAATTATTATTTCCTTTACCTAGTAGAGACATGTTGATATAATGAAGGACTTGGAGAATAATGCGATCGTCAGAAAAGTTGGAAGATCCCTCAGTTCACCGATCTTCGAGCAGATCTGCCGTGATCGTATTCCATTCTAGATCAGGGACGTTTTCCGAAGTACGGAGCACGATGGCCCACTTCTATTCGCTCGGAAGCTCGGACCTTCAGCTCTTTTGGCCGTAGAAGACACAGGGACGCGCGGTCAAAGCACCACAATAGTACCCTCTCTCGAAATCGACGGGAAACAACCGTTGAGCTCTCCCTCTCTCTTGGATGGGTTGCTCGATTAATGTTGGAACCTCCCCGGACCCTCTGTTCCTGATAGACCTCTCAACAGCTCACGCATGGTGGCTTCTCCTCATCCGCCAATGGGGTATGTAGAGGCGTGTCGATCACGGTCAGCCCATAGACAAACACGAGTGGCTTGCGTTCTTAGGTTACATTGAAAGTAGGAATACGTATTCAGCAACTATTGTTTGCCTACACATAGAGAGAGGTGAGATCCTGAGAGGTCTAATAAATCACGAGCTGAGCTGTGATCGGCACGCAGTTCGTATTCTTCTCATGGACAACAAGGTCTCATACTCGGGACAGAGGTCTATATAATGCATTGAATTCCCAGGCACTTTAGAAAGTTTCCAGGATACCACACTTTAGTTTAAGTTCAAAGTCTACCAATTTTAAAACATTCCCAGCCTTCAATCACTTCAATATGAAGGTAACGAACAATCCGAACTTGTCATAAGATATTGACCGCTAACAGCCACACTTCAGTACACTGCTCTCTTAGCCCTCGTTGCCTTGGTCCCTGCCACCCTTGCTGGGCCCGCTCCTGCTGCCGAACCACTGGAAGCTCGAGCCCTCGATAGCATTGTAAGCCAAAGTCCTTGATAACTTAAGTACATCTCACGATATCTAACGTGAGAGATAGTTCGAGAAACGGGCCTGTGGCGCTACTAGTTGCGTTTGCAACGGCGTTCAGGGGCAGTTTTGCGGTGATCAATTGGTCAATTCAGCCTGCCTCGATAGTCATGTCTACGAATGCCAGGCCGGAACCGGAAAGGCTTGCGACTATGGAGTCAGAGATTCTTGTGCCCAATGTGGCAAGCTGAGCTGCTGAAGGACCGACACGGGCGGTGCCATACGGTGGTGTCAAAAGACTGATGCCTAGAATCTTGGTCACTTACCCACTTCCGGATCATCACCACCCTCGTTTCCATTACCATGATTGATGCATCGGAATTTTCACTCTTTATATCATAAATGCGCCGTTATCTGAACCAGTAGGAGGACCATCAATCTCAATTATGCTCTGGTGCAATTTCCAATGGCTAAGGCGTTATAAATCTGCGTAGCCCAACCATATGTAAGAGAAGATAGAAGCCGCTGTGACGAAACGGTCTCGCGGGGTAGAATCAAGATGAAAAGTTACCTTGCTGATGACACCAACGTACCTGCCTCACAACGGACCCAACCCGAATATGGATTGGTCGGGCCAAGCTGCCACCGTGGGGTTCTGAGAATCTGATAGCCTCACAATTCCTATAAAACCGATCAAAACGAGAGAATGTTCAAACAGGTATGCTACAAACGAACACATTAGAATCTACTAACCACCTCTCTTAGATCCTTCTACAAAGCGCCTCGCAGGGCGACTTGCGGGTCTCTCTCTTACTTTGGCTACTGCCGGGACATGTCTTCAGCATAGCACCCTCACTTTTGAACGCTACCTTTAAGAGTACGAGAAATGCTGGAACATTGACCCGCACCGACCCTTATAGCTCAAGGAGTACCAGGAGCACACATTATACACAACCTGGGATTTGTCATACTCTCGCCTAGAAAGGGAAGACCCAGTCGTGACGAAATTACTCAAATCATTGGCCCACTTCGATAACCAGAAAATCTGGCACGAGCTTTTTTATGCCGGACTTACCAGTAGTTATCCTGAGTGGCTTCGTGAAGTGATCACAGATACCGTGAGATTCAATGAAGCGATGGGAATTCTGACCGAATACTCTTTCCTGGAAATTCATCCGAGGTTTGAGTCATAGAGCCTACATAACTGCGTGCGAGACTGGACATTAGCAGCACTCAATAAGGACATCGACATAAAACTCGGATCCGAGTACCCAAGGCAGCCATAGCCTGACAGTATTTCAGTATGAATAGCTTCATAAATAGAAAGTATTTCGCTCCAACTATTACAAAGACTAAAAAGTCTCATTCAAGTTCATATCTAGATCCCATCCTGTAGGATCTTTCTACTTCTAGTACTCATTGAGATGGAGCTTCTTCCCAACAAACTTCTTCCTCTCCGTCTTCTCACCCCGCTGTTCCCGCTCCGCATTAATGTCCTTCAACGCGTGAAGCAGCATACCGGCATCGAAGAATCCATCTATAATAAGTCAGTATTGTCCAAAGATACCCTTGGATAATAAAGAGTAGTTAGAAGGAAAAAACTTACATCCGCCCATTCCATCATCCTCAATCTCCCCACTGTCCGTTGTCGTGGTAGGCGTATCAGCGCCACCTGCACCAGGACGAACAATGCGGCCCCGACGACCCGAATCAGTCTGCAGCCGCTCGGCCAGAGCCTCTGTTTCACGCGCCCGACTCGTTCGGGGGCTCGTCGTCTTGCGGTTCGTCGCGCGGAGGAGCTTTCGAATTTCCAGCAGGTATGATTCAAGGGTATGCATCAGACGAGCCGTTTGTCTGTGCTTTGAGGAAGCGCAGAACGAGATGGACTCATCCTTGATAATGTATCCAATACCGAAACCATCCGCAGAGGTAGGGCCGAATCCGAAGTGACGCAGACATGGGTTACCGCAATTCGATGTGGAGAGAATGGTGTTGTTGATCTTATCCCAGCCGGCATCACTGAAGATCGCTGGTGTCGGGGGCACGGCAGAGCGGATTCCTCGGAAGTTGCTGCTGTTCGGTGACGAGAAGCCGTCTTCCGAGGGCTGAGAAAGCGGGGGTGACTCGATTTCACCGGGACTGGAATATCCGCCTGCGGAGCTGGAGTCTTGGAAGAGACCTTCGTCGAATGAACGTTGCCAGAGGCAGTAAAGGGCGTAGAGGTGACGGTCTTGACCCTGACCCTTAGAGCATTCTTTTGTGATAGCGGTGTGGCGCTGAGTTGCTGCGCGAAGAGCATCGATCTTCGCTTCCGCGGGGTTCTCGCCCCAGAAGGTCTTGACGAAATCCAGGACCTCAGGAGTGACGGTACGCACTGCTTCGGTACGGCCGTGCAAAAAGAATTTCGTCATGGCAGGTTCATAGGTGTTCTCGACTCGGCCATAGAGACCGTAGTACGCTGCTTGGAACGCCATTTGCACAAAGGCATCGGGAGAAAAGCCCATGGAGGTGATGAAGTTCTTGCCAAATCCTTCAAAGTCGAGCACTTGGAATTCATGTTGGTAGAGGAGGTCGGAGAGGTGGGATTCGGCGAAGCGGAGGGCGATGTTGAGTTCGGGTGTCATGTCCCACTCGAGCTTGCGGGGGGTAGTGCTCACGTTGCCGAAGCTACGGGGGTCACGCTTGGCCGGGTCCGGACTGGTGGTTGTCCAGAGACTTGGAGCTTGCCCATTGATAGTTTTGGCGAATCGGAGAATTGTGTCGGTGTAGACGTCGCTGGCGAAACGCAACACGGTATGTCCGTCGACACCAGTATGCTCGAAGTTGATACCCGCACTGCCATTATTGCAGACGATGATCTGCAGCTTGTCGTACCAGCGGTTAGTGCATGTGCCTACTTGGACACCCTTGATCACCTCACTGGTGCCGCAAAGCATATTGGCGCAAAGCTCGGCGGTGTTCGAGGGCTCCGTGTCGTCGAGACACAGCATGAACAGGGCTGTGTCCACAATGTTCAGGCATTCGGCATTGTTGGACCGCGGGTCCTTGGTCATGATATCACGCAGTCCGGACCACACCTTCCGGTTTTCCGTGCTGAGAACACCCAAAGCACCCTTGGCAGCCTCCTGGACAGGAGTCTGTGCCGCGTCCTCGATAATCACATGGAGATTCAGCGAAATGTCCTTCTCCGTCATAATCAAGTCGCTGTTGTCGTCGAGGACATCAAACCAGTAGAATTGTCCACGGCACATCACGACAACGTGCTTGGCCGCTGGATCCTGGCTGATCACGCAGCCATTGTCGGTTGGCAGACGAGCTGTGCCAAACAGTCGAGAATACTGGTACATGCAGAGCGGCGTTCCGCGCACAGTATCCGGCGGCAGTTCCTCTCTGCGCACTGCGCGAACGAACGAAAGAGCCGACACGACCAGCGAGGCAGCTCGTGTCACCTGGTGGTTGCGGGCCGGAGTGGGATCATCTTCCAACAAGAAGAAAGGGTTCAGGTTCAAGACCACTGGGTTGTCGAAGTTCAAGTATGAGTCATACCAGAATTGCTCAATGAAACTGGTTTTCGACGAGGCATAGTTCTTGAGTCTCTCCTGCAGGAGCGGTCCATCGGTCTTCAAAAACTCCTTCACGGCGGCCTTGGAATCCTCGTGTTCGCGCGGCGTCTGGAGCGCAGCAAGCACATCGAGATGGCGTTTGCAAGTGTCTTCCAGCTCGGGGATCGGGAGTTTCGGGAGTGACTCTTGGTTAGCGAAAGTCAGGCCCTGTTGGCTGGGCTTGTGCTGGACCGGTTCGCCGCCGGCATGCTCGGTCGGTTTCATAACCGTATGGGTCTGGGGCTGCTCCATCGCATCCCCCAGTGGTTTAGGGGCAGTGAAAGTGCGGACTGCCATCGATGAATAAGACATGGCGTTAGTAAAAATTTTATCCCAATCAAGCGTAGCGGCTGGCAAGGCAAGTAGGGATTGAGAGGAGTCGCAGAGCGGTGCGGTAGAAGTAGTGGCAGTCTTGAAGGCAGTAGGATGGCATTGAGGCTACCTCATGGAGGGAAGAATAGTACCACGTAAAGATGGGAGGACAGGGCAAGAGTAGAAAGTGAGGGAGGAAAGAAAGAAGTACAGCAACCGGGGGGGAAAAAGCTCTATAAAGGACTCTGCAGAAAGCAGAGCAATCACCCCCTTCGCCCCGCCATGGGACTGTGGAACCGCCTCGGGTTGAAGGGAGGCGCCCACGGGGAAATGGACTTACATTTGATCAATGGAAAAATGGCGGGATGTGGGTTGGCAGCACGGGGGGAGGTGGTAGCGCCGGGGGAACGGATGAGGCCTGGAAACGTTAGCTAATTTCAGACCGGCGAGGGATCCCTGCCCGACCGAACCGATGTGAGTATGCAAGTGCAATCCAAAGCCGATCAGAGGAAAAGCCAGAACACCGGCAGTTTGAATCGAGACCTGGAGGAGGTTCGGATTGTTGGACAGAAGATGGTGGCGATGAGGTCACGGCCAACGGTCCCAAGAGCAAGCTTGGCTTGGGGGAAGCTCAGCCGACCTTAATCGGATGGAGCTTAGTTACCTTGAGACCGTCAGAAGATTCACTTAGTAAGCTGGTCTGTCAGATGGGAATGACCGTGTCTGGTGAACGGTAAGACGGCACGGAGCAAGTGCTCGGGTCGGGATCGGGGAAAGAACGAGCCAGGCTACGATAGGATAGTGGGATGCATATTGCGACGTCTGCGAACACCGTGACTGCAAGGTCTTACCCTAGCTTAGGCTTAGGGTAAGGCGTGGAGAAATGACGTTCGGGCGAAGGGAGGTGCGGGGGAGCTACGTGCACGTGACCTGAGGAAACAAGCAAGGGTCATCTCGCATTTGGAGTACATCACATTGGGCCGTATTCTTTTTTATCCACAGTAAGGGGCCATTGAGGAAAAAACGCTAGGAGACACCAAGTCAAAATATTCACAATTGAAACGGGGAACCTGCATGTCCCTCTCCCGGGGGGAATGTAAACAACAGGTGACCTCCGGCGTACATACAGGATACCCCCGGAGGAGACCAAGAGGGCCAACACCGTTGGTTGCTCCGAGGGGAGGTGACCCGATGCCGAACCCCACCCGGCAGAGTTCCGGGCGAATCGGATTGGACATGCAAGTGTAGAAGAAGAAGACAAGAAAAAAATAATAATAAAATGACAAGACCCCAACATATGCAATTCGGTCAGGGAGGTTGCAGAGCAAATGCAATTCAATCGGGAGTTCCGCAGAACCAAGGGCTAGACTCTCTTTCTGTTTCTCTCCTCATCGATCGATTGGTTCCCTCCCTGGCGCAGAAGCTCCAACGGAGGGCTTCTTAGGCAGTGTAGGTCGCCTGGTTCTGGGGTTGCAGGACGTTGTCGCCATATTCGCCGTCGTAGTTACCGGGAGGCGAGTAGTTGCAGACGGTGAAGGGAAGGGCGGATCCGGAGTCGACGTTGCCCAAGCTGTCGCACATGACAGTGGCGCAACCAACGTGGGTGGTGCTCTTCCAGACAATCTGGGAGAAGTGACCCCACTTCTCGAAGAGAGACATGTCGGGGCTGGCGGCACCGTAGGGAGTCGGGAAGTAGCCGATCTCGTCGTTGTACATCAGGTTGGAGATCATCTGGCCGATCTCAGCGGCCTTGACACCGTAGCCAATGTTTTGGCCGTAAGAAATGCTTCCAATGGAACTGTAAAAAAAAAAAAAAGTCATGTTAGCATGCTGTCGAATGTCATCAATTGCGGTCGCAATTGTTCAAAGAATACTTACGTATCGTGCTCATAGACACAGCGAGCGGCCAGGGTGTGAGCAGTGGACTCGAGCTCGGAATCCCAGTCGAGCGAGGAAGCCGAGTGGTTGCTGCGGTGAACATTGTGGTTGTACAGGATAGCCTGCTGGTAAGAGTTGGTGGCCGAGGAGCCAGAGCTGGTCGAGGCGGGAGCCGAGGTCGAGGACGACGAAGAGGTTTGCATGGTCGACGAGGCCTCGAGGGTGGAGGTCCAGGCCGTGGAGAAGTACTCGGTGGTCGCGGCCTGGGGCGGGGGGCCTGGGTGGTGGCCGGCTCGGGCAGGGGGACAACCTCGGTCGACTTCTTGGACAACTCGGTGGTATCGGCGACAGGGGCGGGGGTCTCAGTAGTCGAGGTCGAGACAGTGGTGTCGGCGGCCTGGATCTGCTGAACCGGGGTGACGGTCTCAGTAACGGCGGGCGCAGTAACGGTCTTGGTAACAGTGACGGTGGTCCAGTCGGTCACGTAAACACGCTTCTCGTAGGCGTTGACGGCTCCTGCTGCCAGGGCAGCGAGGAACAGGGATGAGCGCATGGCGAGTCGAGTTCACAGATCACAGAAACTTTAGGAAGTACTTCGTAGTCTTGGAATTGGGTTGGACGAAGAGGAACTTCCCCAGGAAGTTCGCGCTGGCAGTCGGGGCGGTCCACGCAGATCGACTGTCGTGGACAAAAGAGTGTCGAGGACGCTTTGGATAAGGAATGACAGGCCGGAACACCTCTTCTCTCAAGGAGGGAAGAAAGAGATGGACGGCGGGATAGCGGTTGGGGAAGCGTGAAGAGGGGAAGGAGGGCGGGCAGCGCGAAGTAAATGTAGAAAGGGGAGGCAAGGCAGGGCCGGGGCGGGTGGGGCCGTGCGATCCCAAGTCAATTTGCAATTTGCAGGCAATCTTGGTTTAATCAAAGTGATGATTGCCAGGGGTGGAGGCGAGATGGATCGGTTCAGGGCTGAGGCGAGAATTATGATGAGTGTTCCAATCCTCTCGTGAGAGCCGCCGGCCGTACTTATTGCATTCGAGGGTGCATCTCCAACCTCCGCGACTCACGGCACATACCAGACAGGCCTGCCCGCCACACGCAGGCGTGGGACATTCTACTTCTACATTCCAACACGTCTCCGACCAGCGTCCCATTGGCTGGCCAGGGCTGGCGATGTTTCCTCAAAGGCTGGGCGCAATGGAGAGTCCTTTGCCCTACTACGGTCTCTGAGGGTGCAATTCTCCGGGCGCCTGGCCACCACATCGAGACCATTCGGGTGATAGTTGCCCCTGGGCGGATCTTCAACACGACTCCACTAGCGCTGCTGCTCTCTCCATTTAGGGGCACACTAGCTGCCGCGCGTACCAGGATGGACCATGTGAGTGAAAACTCGGGAAAAGCCAGAAATACACAAACATCGACGATAGCAGTGTCCAGGCCCGGTGAAACGGGGTTCGAGATCTGTCTGGGACACGCAGATGAGGATGGGATCGAATGGATCGCATCACATCGTATCGTCAGGGGCTTCCCTCTGGAGCCTGTCCCTTGCCATGGTTTCAGACCGTCCCGGCGCCAATGAGGGTCACCCGGGGAGATTACCCACCGCAACGGCGGCGCCACTAGGAAACTTGGCTTTGGGCTGGCCACGCAGACTGGCCCATCTTCGCTCTGGGACTGGCTCCGGGCTGTCCGCCTGCACGGCCCTGTTTTTCACATTGATTACGGGAGGGTCCCCCGGACACTGCGGCTGCTGCACCCTCTGTTTCACCATCGCAGCCCCAAAATGAGCCGAGACACAGTTGATCCCGCGTGTCAGGATAGCCGATCGATGACGATTCCATCCAGGAACTACAGGAACCCAACCTGGGGAAGATCCTACGATGGTACACAACGTGCAGAGACATCGGATGGATCCCTGGCGGACTAACGAATCCATCGAATCCGCAAATTCAGAGACACGGCGATCGTCCCACTGATGTGCTTTGGGTCTGGAAATTGGGCGTTGCTGATCCGGACCTGGCTCCGTCCTTGGCTCACGGCCATCGGTGGGCATGACATCGGCCATCACACTAGGCATGACAAGTGTCCACTGGCTCCCGGCAACGAACGACGGTGAACGGGAATGGCCAGACTTTTACGATCATGTCCGCTAGTCAGGAACCCGGGACCAGCGCCCCAGTGCTACTCTTGTGCCCTTGTATAACGTCCCCTGGAACCTCCGGGAACCATGAATCGAACAGGGCATCTAATATCCTGCGGTCGTTGCACAATGAACAGTCCATTTCAAGTGCGATATAAACTCAATGTACATCCATGGATAGTACCCCGGAGATTTCTGCAAGCCCAGTTTCCGAAGAGTCTCAAACATCCCGGCGTCAACTCCGACACAGATTGCCCCCATGTTATCGCCCAAGTCCACGACTCCACCCTGAGGGCGCCATAAGATCACCGTAGTTGTAGTATAATGTCATTACAAAGATCAAAACAAAAGAGATTTTCTGCTCTAGAGATCCACCGTTCGACACCGTCCGTTCTCACATACCAACAGATAATTCTTCGGCGGGTCAGCCGCGTCTAGATCCTTGTACAGCGGATTGCGTCCCTTCAACCAGAAGGACTGGTTACCCACAAAGTCCTTCCGATGCGAGGGTCGCACATCGACGAGCGATGCCACGACAGTCGACGAGCAGAAGCCGGTCCCGGCCTCGGATCGGACACGTCGTGCGACCAGGTCACGCGCTGCCACGGGCTCGTCGCGCCGTCCGAGGAGACTGTCGCCGCGTGGGACAGGGTCGTGGGTAATGTCCGAAGTGCCAAAGACCCCGGTGATTGTCCGCGTCCCAATCTGAAGGCCCACGATCACATCCAGAAGCCCCACGAACAGGAAGGGATGCTGCATGATTTCGACGGCGAACGAGTTGCAGGTCTGGCGCGCAAGGGTCCGGTAACTATCGTCGTCCAGCAAGGCGGCCAGGCGCAGCAGATTACGGGCGATCACGCCGTTGACAGATGGCGTCGCAGACTCCGTGCCGGTCTTCAAGCGGAAGAGTGGGCCGGGCATGCCAGGGGTCATACTTGCAGGTGTGTTATAGTAGCCAGCGGGCGTGGATCCGGTCTTGGCGAGGAAGTTATCGTTAAGGTATTCTGCGGCCCGCGTCAGTTACTTTATCCTCCGAAGCAAGGGAGGGTATTTTGGGGGGAAGGCGAGCTTTCTTACTTTGCAATCGCTCGGCGAATTGAAGATAGCTGTCATCAAATGTCGCCTCGTACATGTCCAGCAGACCGCTGGCCAGGTAGGCGTAGTCGTCGGCAAGGCCCGGGGTGTCACCGCGGCTGCCATCACGATAGATGCGCCAAAGTCTCCCTTCGGCCTTGTCGAAGAGATTTTCCTTGATGAAGCTGATGGCACGTGCCCCCGCTTCGCGACATTGGAGAGCCTTGGAGCTTTCGATCTCTTCGAATAGGACGCTGCACTTGGCGAGCGCGCCAATCGCCAATCCATTCCAGCCCACTATGATCTTGTCGTCAAGATCGGGCCGTCCGCGAGTCTTCTCGCGGTAGTCATGGAGCTTCTGCTTCCCGCCCTTGATGATCTTTACCACTTCCTCTTCACTCAGGCCGAATTCCTTGGCCAATTTGCTCGGCGTGGCGCGGATGGACAGCACATTCTGGTTCATGAATTCGTCGTGTGGGTCGTATTCAGCCGCAACGTTCCCGTCGGGCAGCACACCCCAATGGCGAGCGCAGACGGGCGCATCTCGCGGGCCGAGAACTTGAGTGAGCTCCTTCAAGGACCACACATAGAAGGCACCTTCTCGCTTTTCCGTATCGTTCGGGCTGGGGAAACTGTCGGCATCCTCTGACGAGAAGAATCCTCCCGTCGGAGATTGCAAGGGCTCACTCGTCAAATAAGCAGCAAGATCATAGACAGCACCGAGCAGTTCCGGGTCATGGGTTAACCGGAATGCGTCCACGTAGGTATCCAACAGCTGCGCTTGGTCGTGCAACATCTTTTCGAAATGAGGCAGGCTCCAGTCGGTCGTCACACTATACCGTGAGAAGCCATGGCCAATGTGATCCCGAATACCACCTCGGGCCATGTTCACCAGAGTAGTAACCGCCATGGCCGTCGCCTTTTCACATTCCTCCTGGCCAACTATATCCGTGACCTGGCTAGGGTATGCACCAAGACGAAGCAGGAACGTGAGGTTCGAAGGTGTGGGGAATTTCGGGGCGCGGCCAAATCCGCCATTAATGGAATCGTATCGGGATGCGAAATGTTGGTAGGCCTCTTCCAACAACTCGATATCGAGATCCTCGTCATCGTCTCGTTCCTCATGTTGCGAGTGTGTTCCCTCCTCCGCAAACTCTCGAAGCTGTTTGGTGATATCCTTGGCACTCTCCAAGCAGCGCTGTTGTTGTGTCTGCCAGACGTCTCTTAGCTTTTCAAGAATCTCCACGAAGCCGGTCGTATCCGGGCCCAGCAACGTCGTCGAATTGGGACCGGGCCAGTATGTGCCGCCAAAGACAGGCTCTAGAGCGGGGGTGAGGAAGACGTTCAAAGGCCAACCGCCGGAGCCAGTGGTAGCTTGAACGTAGTTCATATAAATATCATCGATATCCGGTCGCTCTTCTCGATCCACTTTGATCGGAATAAAGGACTCGTTAAGGATAGCGGCCACCTCTGGTGACATGAATGACTCCTTTTCCATGACATGGCACCCTGCACGTCGTTAGTCGATGTCCTCTAGTAGATAACGATAAACCTGGGCGAGAGGTCGCATACAGTGACAGGCCGAATAACCAATACTGAGGAAAATCATGCGATTGTACTTCTTGGCGAGATTAATCGCCTCGGTGTCCCAAAGCTGCCACGCCACCGGGTTGTTCATATGCCCGCGCACCTACGACCCATTAGTGAGGGTTCCTCGAGAGCCGACAGGATGGTCAATCTCACATAAGGCGATTTGCTCTGCGCGAGCCGGTTGACCAACTTGGGCCCCGCATCTGGGATATCGTGCTGCGACTGCATGCTGGACGGAGCCGTTGTTGGGAAGTCGGAAGTCGGAGAAAGATGGAGAGTCTCCAGACGGTACGGAGGTCGGAGGAGTCTGTACTAACGGAACCCAGTATAGGAAGTCCCGGGCTAATACTACCCCACGGTCAGTCAAACTAAACCAGGGTCTGGGCCAATACACAGGGGAGAATTCAGGACGATGTCGCACAGAAGGGGGGGGCGAAGGACCGGAAGGTGGGGGAGCGCGACTTGGCCTCGGGGCATGGGTGATCGGCCCTGTGCGTCATCGATGCATCAGGGTGGTCACGTGGACCGCCCAGGTCCAGCACTGTTTTTAGGATCTATAGTTGAGCAACAGCAAAGGAGACGAGGGGAATTAATAAACCATGAGTATCTTTGCATCACGATACACAATCGTATATGTACACTTGTGGTGTGGGTATCAATCAATCGTCTTATCATCGCCCATCAACTCGGCCAGCTCACGCTCTTCTTCCTCTGTGAGCATTGTCTCCGCCTTGGGTTCGGGCTCTTCAGCCGGGCTTTTCTGGGCCAATTCCACAGCCTTTTGCAGGTCGCTTGGTCGCAAAGACCATTGGCGGACTGTTCCATCGATGGCCACGCTAACGACGGTCGATCCAACCAGAACAAGCCCAGTAACTTCTTCGAAATGGCCTGAGAAGGTGTGGTGCAGTTCCCCAGTCTAAAGCGATCAGTATCCATTCGCGCAATTGATCTTGAAAAATAGAGAGAAGGGATAACAAGAGACACTTACAGATCTGTTCCACACTCGAACTTCCTCATCGCGACAGGCCGTCACAACCCAGCCGCCCGCCTCGTAAACCAAAACGTCTCGCACAAAATCGGGGTGCTCCAGACTGAGATTGGGCTTCCACCCGTCCGCACGCACAAGACACTTGGCCGTCTTATCTGCAGAAGCAGTCCAAAGATCACCGTCCTGATCGAAAAAGAGCTTGTATACACTAGTGTCATGCGGGAGAAGGGGTTCTCCGTCGTCTCCACCACCGAAGATCTTGAATTGGCGGATTTCTCGGTCACTGCCCGCACTAAACACGATAGCCTGGGCGTCTTCGACCTCGGGGTCAACATTGAGGTCCTGGATACCTCGGGCATGGCCCTTAAAGGTCTCGGTTCGCTGGCCAGTCGAAAGATTGAAAACTAAGACTTGAGCATCCGCGCCACCGGTGATCAGCAGATCTTGCCCTTGAAGTCTGGCGCTAACCACTGATTTCACAAAATCGCTATGGCCCTCATATCTCTGCCGGGGTTCTGCCGAGGCTACATTCCAGCTCCACACGGTCTTGTCCCAGCAGCCGGCAAACAACAGCTTCCCATCAGGGCTGAGACAAAGACTTGTCAATGGAGCCGCAGGGCCTTTGAATATAGCGGTGGTCTCTCCTGTCTATAAGAAATTGTAAGCATCATCTGCGAGACTTTGTGGGGACATTGTGGTTGGGTTGGGCGACGACTTTCGCAGTCAACCCCTCCGGAGCTGCGTCACATACCTCCAGGACGATCCTCCTCACTATACCACTGCTCTGGGCGACATAGATGGACCCAGGACGTGATGGATCTGCACGAACGGCCAAGATCTTGCTCTGTAGTCTGATGGGGTTGCCATTGGTGTTCTGTGATTTGGCGTCTTTCCGCTGCTGCTCATCCAGCGCAGCACTATAGTCGGGCGCAATCCATCAGCGGAAGAGCCAAAATATGTATCGAGCGGGGAGGTCAAGCTCACGAGGTCTGGAAAAAATGGTCACGATTTGAGGAGGTCGTCATGGTCGCCAATTGTCCCAGGGCCTGGTCTCGGTTACCCCCCAAATGTGCCCCTCGAGTTGGATATCTCACCGATCCACCGGCGGCCGTCCGCACAACCAAAAACTGCTAACCGAGCTTCTGCAGTCCGCCGTAGCCCGCACCCACCAAAACCAACTGATTTTGCTTCTTCCCTCTTCCTTTTTCCTTCTCACCCTACTCCTCCCCTTTCTCCACGCTTTTCCCCCCTTTGTTCCTTTTCAGTTCTTCTCTTGCGCGGTTCCGCGCTTCGTGCGAACATGGATATGAACCATTTGATAGGGTCAGTGTGACAGTGTGATGGTCTGAAAGGGTTTGTGCGGCTGAGCTGGAGTTAACACCTGGCAGTCAGCGTTTCAACCTGATCTCAAAGAGCGACATCCGGTAAGTGTCCCTTCACGTCTACCCCCCGCCCCCCCTTATGATACCTCGTCGCTAACTGTCGCTAGCTATGTCGGCACCTTGCATGACATCAATGCCGAAGAGTCCACGATCTCCCTTGAAAATGTGAAGTCGTTTGGTACCGAGCGCCGCCGAGGCAACCCGGAAGAAGAGGTCCCGCCGTCGGCCAACATTTTTGAATACATCGTTTTCCGCGGTAGCGACGTCAAGGATATCAGCATGGCAGAAGAGAATGGCCCCCCAGTCTCGGAAGACCCCGTCGTTGGCTCGGTAAGTTTCACTGACCTCACTTGCAATCTCATAAGCGTTCCTCTTCCTTCCCTTGGCGAAATGCTTCTCTGCTTTCGCCACGGTCGGACGCCTGATCAAATGATGAACCATTTCGGATGTGAAAACAGACCTGTTCTGAATAGCGCAAAAACCGTGTGGATATTTCCGTTGCCTTCCTTCTGATTGATCACCGACCTCCCCTTCTTATCTCTGCCTCAATTGAATGTCTCGGTTGAATCACATTGCTAACTTGCAACAAAGCAGAACATGCCTCAGCCTGGTCCCGGTCCAGCTCCCGAGGCTGGAGCTAGTGCTGCTGCAGGTACCCCCGGTCTTGCTCCTCAACAACCCCAGCTCGCTCAGCAAATTCCTCCCGGCTATCCCCCGCAACCTCAATTCCAACAAGGTTTTTATCCTCCCTATGGACGTGGTTTCCCCCCTGCTCCATTCCCTGGCCCTGGTGGTTCCGCTGGCCCCGCTGGATTCCCCAATCCCAACATGCCGCCGTATGGACCGCCCCAGGGATGGTATCCTCCCCCCGGCCATGGTTTCCCACAAGGTCCCGGCCAATTCCCACCCCATGTGCCCATTGGACCCCCAGGTCACCAGCCACCGCCTCAGCAGCAGCGACCTGGACCTCCCGCGGCTCCCACTGGTCCTAGCGCTACCTCGGAACTTCCTTCGGGAGACAATGCGACACCTGCGGCCCGGAACGCTCCTACTCCGCCAGTCGAGTCAAAGCCTTCCGTGACCGAAGCAATTCAAGGATCTGTTCCCCAGGCCGCGCCTGTGCACCCTGCTCAGAGAAACGGCCGGGCCATGCCGGCCATTCCCATCGCTGCTCCTCGGCCCGTTGCCTCTATTCCTACCGCTCCTGCTGCCGCAACCCAGGGGGGGGCGCACACTGACGCGACCGCTGCCGCTGCCAATGCCGTTGCCGCCGCCATGGCTAAACTTCCTCAGCCTGGTGCCCAACAGAAGCCAGGTCAAGCTGACCCTTCCGTTGATGCCATTACTCGGCAGGTGAATGATATGCGTCCATACGATGGAACTCATGCCCCTCGCGGTGCCCATCACCACCCCCGTGGTGGACGCGGAGGTGCCCGCAACCAACATAAGAAGATTGAAATCCCCAAATCGGATTATGACTTCGAGACTGCAAATGCCAAGTTCAACAAGCAGGATCTTGTGAAGGAAGCCATCGCTACTGGCTCCCCCGCTGCCGAGGCCGAGTCTCACGAACTCCATACGCATGAGGAAGTTGATGATTCCGCGCACAATACCTACAACCGCACTGCTTCTTTCTTCGACAACATTTCGAGCGAGGCTCGTGATCGTGAGGAGAACGCTGCTGCCCGCGTGGGCGGTCGCGAGTGGCGTGGCCAAGAGGAACAGCGCAACATTGAGACTTTCGGTCAAGGTAGCGTTGATGGCTACCGTGGTCGCGGCCGCGGCCGTGGACGTGGCTATGGCCGTGGCCGTGGTTACGGTCGGGGTTATGGTGGACGTGGTCGCGGTGGCATGCGTGGTGGACGTGCCTCTTCGCAGTCCACTGGCATTCCTTCCCAAGTCTAAGCGAATGGAGCCATTGTTATCCGCACGTCCCACGTCACGACCGATACGTTTACGTTACACTTTTTTCTGTTTTTCTATATCTCCAGGGGCGTCCAAAGCTATGAATGATACGAATGCTTTAGTTTGTCTTTTGTCTTCGGCGCAATGGGAACGAAACATGGATTGGGCATTCTGGGATGGCAATATGATTCTTCTTACGCGACTTGCAACTAAGGTGGTGTTTTTTATTGTCTTTTTCTGCCTGGGTGTTCTGTTTTGTTGCCTTTTTTTTTGTCACGCATACCCCCTCTCAGCGTTATTCCTGCCAAGTTTTTGGGTGGAATTTTCACCCCCCGTGTGGTCGTGTTCCAAATTGACACACGGGGGTTTACGATACGCACATTGTCTTTGTTTTCGACGCTCAGGCATGTGAATGTACCATAACCATGACGTGCGGAGATGACTCCGATCAATCAAACGGAAAAAGAAGACCTTTTCAGGTCTCAAACAATTCACAAACAGTAGTTGTGTCTCGTATCTGTCTTTGTTATTTGTCTTTGTATTAGCAGCTTTTGGCACTGTCCGTCAAGCTTTTTTCAGCTCGGTTCTAGCATTTGGCAGGATGTGAATCCTTGTCTGCCACACGAAGCTGTTGGTAACCTAACTCTGCACCTGACCCGCTTAGGTTAGTTTCCTGTAGCAACTGCCGAAGTTGACAGGCATTTGTAATCTGGTCACTCGAATCTTCGAAGCAAGGTCTTTCCCTGTTTTGTATTGTTAAGCAAGCCAGCTCCCGTGGCATCGTTGGGGAGCAGATGTGGATAAGGTCTCCTCCGTTGCTTCCGGGCACTCAATAAATGCAAGCCACCATACTTATCCGGGGACAGTCTCACTATCAAAGAGTCTTCAGATCATGGATTTTGATACAGATCAGATTACACTTCGTCATCGTATATGGTTTACCCGGCACTTGGCTTCTCTTCAGCCGTCGATGCATGGAGAAAGATACCCGCGAAACCTCGGGTAATCCCCTCGTCTCAATTCCTGCAGCAGTGCAATATCCTCGGCAGAAACTCTCTTCAGCGAGGCCCGTCGCGATCCCCGCACTCCACCTTCAACCCACTCGATCCATAAAAACGACGAACCGGCTACGTTAGCCTACCCGACGTCTCCGTATTTGGCTGAATTGCTCGCCGGTGAGGACAAGTAAAGCGTATATATTAAGCGAACATGTCACGAAACTCCTCCGCTCGACTCTCTGCCATCTCAAAACATCTGGAGACGAAGGAATCCGATATGACTAAGACTCAAGCTCCACAGCAATTGCCCTGGGATCCTAATTCTACTCACTTCCCCTCGCATAATGAGCTTCCCACTTTGCCAGATGCCCCCGAGGGTGCGGCTTGGGTCTGGGGCAAGGATGATCAGGTTGGCACACCATGGGGTAGTGGGCTTGTGTGGTGTCTCTATTGCGCTTGTGCTAAGGAAATTGGGAACAGCTTGGACGGTTGAACCTCCTGACGCCCCAGCGAGTCAAGGCCTCGGCTGGCGAGATCAATACTGGGGACATGGTCCGACTGGAGTGAGTATCTTTAGTTATGTCGAATGTATACTCTGGCCAAGGGGTTTGCTGACGCTCCTGAAACAGCCTCCCTTTGAATGTGCCCGCCACACCTGCATTTGGCCGTGAAGTCTTCCAGCATAATATCAAGCCCATCATCCCAGACATGGGATACGATGATACCTACACCATGAACACGCAGAGCAGCACGCAGTGGGATGGTTTCCGCCACGTACGGCCACCAAACTCAAAGACAAAGGCTTATCAATATATCTGACCTGCTGACTTTCTCACCCAGTTCTGCCACGTCCCCACCAAGTCTTTCTACAACGGAGTATGTTTTATGATCCTCATCCTGGCATTGCCCCAACTAATGAAACGGTATAGGCCAAGAGCACCGACTTTGTGGGCGAAAATGCCAATCTTCGCTGCAGCATTCACCACTGGGCAGACCACGGCATTGCCGGCCGAGGCGTGTTGCTAGATTACTACCACTTCGCCCTCGCCAACAATAAGCCATACAACCCATACACAGCCCACGCCATCTCCTTTGCCGACCTACAAGCCTGCGGCACGGCTCAAGGCCTCGACATCCGACCCAAGTCTCAGGGAGGCGACATTCGCCCCGGTGATATTCTCCTCGTCCGCTCCGGGTTCGTGCAGGAGTACTACAAGCTCACACCCAACGAGCGACACGCAGCCGCCACGCGCCAGGACCTTGAATTCGCAGGCCTTTCCCGCGAAAAACCCGTTCGTGACTGGCTGCACGACTGCTATTTTGCCGCAGCGGTTGGTGACTCGCCTACCTTCGAAGTGTGGCCTCCGCCAGGCTTTGGGGCGGACCATGTTAGTTTGCACCAGAGTATGCTGTCGCTTTGGGGCTGCCCGATTGGGGAGATGTGGGATTTGGAGAAGTTGGCTGCTAAGTGTCGGGAGATTGGGAAGTGGACTTTCTTTATGACGAGTGCGCCTGCGAATATGCCTGGTATGTGGTTTGCTGCTTCGTATGGTGTCTTTAGTTGCTGACAAGTTTATAGGTGGTGTTGGTTCGCATGCCAATGCAACTGCTATTCTGTAGATTCTCGTGGGAATTTGTACATGAATGTACATACCTACAGTATACTGACTGCATTAGTGAGATCATTAGAAAACACTGAGTATTCTCGCTTATGTTTTTATCACACCTAAGCGAACCTGGCTGGCCGACTCCTCTCAGAGAACAAGAAGCAGGGCCAAGTGATGTAGCTTAAAAGCAAGGGCTTCTGTGGGAGGTTTAGCAACCTTCTGGGTGAGACAAGTACTTTTTATGATGAGTATCATGATATGTGTTCTTGCTCGAGTTCCTGAAGGGATTATGTCAAGCCAAGACCCAAGAGAAGCGACGCTTGGACTCTAGGATGTCACAGACGAAGCGATACACTGTGAAATGTCTCGCTCTGACCCCTCGGGGAAACCACGGATATATGATCAAATTCTATAAAGTATAATTCCGGCATGTGGAGAATCCTGCCAGGCACCGTCCAAACCCGATCACTTCACACCCCATCTATGACCCTGAAGTCAGTGATGTGGGGCCTGTCGCCGATATTGGGGTTGCACTGTAATTCTCATGTCCTCTGTCAAATATTTCTGCCTTTGATGGATTCGATGGGTGATCAAGTCGCACATTTCAATATCCTATCAAAGCAGGCCATGCCACTGCGGCTGGGGCTTCAACTGTGGCGACTGTTTGATGGATAAGGTTCTCGGTTCTTCATTCCCGCTGTAGTACCCCAGCCTTTACCTAGGTATAGTACAGGACTATGAGGATACAGTAGTATCTCTTCGGTGAGCGAAACGGTGTGCGGACAGATTCCGGGCATTTGATCTGGGGTTGTGGGGAAGCCATGTGCAGTCCCACCGAGTCCCAAGTGTGGGAGAAAACCTGGAGTGCAGCATGGGGGTACGCCGGCCCAAGCATCTTGGGACCTCCTCGGGAGGGCCTGCCCAATCCATTCCTTGGCGAGGAGACGCGCCAATGAACAGCCCCCGACCTGAAATGGTTGGGATCTCATCCAGCGAGCGTGCATGACTTGTCTAACAGAGTTTCTTCGCGCGGCGACACCCGCGTCAACCACCCTCCGGCTAAACCCCGGACATGTTTCCCCCCACTGATGCGCAATGGAGGATGCCCTTTTTGCTCCTGATGTCGCATCGGGCCGACTCATGGTCTACGTTCAGGGCATTATATGGAGCTGGCTGTCTCTTGTCGCAAGCCTGAATGGACGAGCCAAGCCATGGGGTACTACTTCTGCTGCAGTGACGGCAGTGCCGTCGGTCCGACCTGGTCAAGATGCCTCTTCTTGGCCGAGTTCAAGTTCCCCAGAACCATGGCGTTGACCCCAGGCTAAGAGACGATAGGGTCCACTCCGGGGATGTGCGAGGAAAGAATGTCGAGCGGAGCGTCATTTCTCTAGATTCTTTTCCCGGGCACAGGTCTTTGGCTCCGAGAGAGGAGGTATTTGAAGCCTTCATGTCCCTTAACTTGCTCGCTATCGAATCCATATCTCTTTTGCAGGAATATTTGCAAGATGAAGTTTTACGCTGTTGGGATTGCCACTGCGCTGCAGTTGGTGTCCCAGGCTTCGGCACAGGATGGGAATCCCAGCCCTTCTGATCTCGAGAATTACTGGTCTTATGGCCGCTCAGAGCCAGTATCAAATACACGTGAGCCCTTGCCTGCCTACCCAGAGACTCATGCCTCGTCAAGACTAACGTTACTTCTACGATAGCTGTTGCAAAGGGCCTTGGCGATTGGGCCGATGCCTATGCGAAAGCCCGACACCTCGTCTCCCAAATGACCGACGAAGAGAAGAACAACGTCACATACGGACACGAATCGACAACCACTGGCTGCTCAGGCGTTTCTGGTAGTGTTCCCCGATTGGGATTCCCCGGGATATGCTTTCAAGATGCTGGCAATGGCGTTCGCGCTGCTGACATGGTCAACTCATACCCTGCCGGCATCCACGTTGGTGCATCTTGGAACAAAGAGCTTGCCCATTCACGCGCAGAACACATGGGCGCAGAGTTCAAGAGGAAAGGTGCAAATGTGGCACTGGGACCCGTTGTAGGGCCGGCAGGCAGACTTGCTTCGGGGGGTCGCAACTGGGAGGGATTTGGAAGCGACCCTTACCTCTCAGGAGCCCTTGCCGCCGAGTCTGTCCGTGGCCTGCAAGAGAATGTCATTGCGTGCGTCAAGCATCTCATTGCCAACGAACAAGAGACTAGTCGCAACACTCCCCAGTTGTTGAAAGACTCTCATAACCAGTCTGTCTCATCGAACGTCGATGATAAGACCATGCATGAGCTGTATCTCTGGGGTTTCCAAGACACTGTCAAGGCAGGCGCTGGATCGGTGATGTGCAGCTACAATCGCATCAACAACAGCTATGGTTGCCAGAATAGCAAAGTCATGAACGGACTACTCAAGGGAGAGCTCGGTTTCCAGGGCTTCGTGGTCTCGGATTGGACTGGACAGCAGACCGGTATTGCCAGTGCCAATGCGGGTCTGGACATTGCTATGCCAGACTCTCAATTCTGGGAGAACAATACCTTGGTCATCGCTACTCGCAACGGCTCAGTGCCACAATTCCGACTTGATGATATGGCAACGCGTATTCTTGCGTCGTGGTACAAACTTGCTGAAATCCCGAACCCTGGCCATGGCATCCCAAAGAGCCTGCTGGCACCTCACAAGCAAGTTGATGCCCGTGATCCCAAGTCAAAGAAGGTTATCTTGCAGTCAGCAGTCGAGGGTCATGTTTTGGTCAAGAACACCAACGGCGCACTGCCCCTTCAGAAACCCAAGTTCCTGTCGCTCTTTGGATACGACGCTGTTCCTCCTACTCTGAATACTATGGATGACAGCTCGCTTGGAGGCTGGGCTCTGGGTCTTCAAACTGCCCTGACCTACCCCAATGGTAGCTCAGTGAGTAATGTTACGGAGCAGGCTATGTTCCTGTCAAGTACAGACCCTACCAACCGTGGCCCAGGTGTCGCCTTCAACGGCACTCTCTATGCTGGAGGCGGCTCTGGCGCCAGCACACCAGCCTACATAGATGCTCCTCTCCATGCCTTTCAGCGCCAGGCCTACGATGACGACACCTTCCTGGCTTGGGACCTGGCCTCATTGAACCCCTTCGTGAACCCTGCCAGCGACGCCTGTCTCGTCTTCATCAACGAAGCATCATCCGAGGGCTGGGACCGACCTTATCTGGCAGACCCATCGTCCGACCAGCTCGTCAAGAATGTTGCCGCCAAGTGCCCGAACACAATGGTGGTCATCCACAATGCGGGTCTGCGCCTTGTCGACGAGTGGATTGAGAACCCCAACATAACGGCCGTTCTGTATGCTCATGTCCCGGGCCAGGATAGTGGACGGGCGCTGGTGGAGGTCATGTATGGCAAGCAGTCGCCTTCTGGTCGACTGCCGTATACTGTTGCCCGCAAGGCGTCTGATTACAAGGGGCTCCTTGAGCCCGTTGTCGCGTCTGGTACAATGGATGAATTTTACCCCCAGTCGAATTTCTCTGAAGGCGTTTACATCGACTACAAGGCCTTTATCCAGAACGACATTCAGCCGCGCTTCGAGTTCGGTTATGGATTGACATACTCGAACTTCTCTTACTCCGACCTTGAATCTGGCGTCAGCTCTAGCACCGATCTGGGGTACCTCCCTAGTGGTGTGAACATGACAATCGCGGAAGGTGGATATGAGGCACTCTGGGATGTCGTTGCTAGAGTGAATTTCACCGTTCAGAACACTGGCAAAATTTCCGCTGCAGAGGTTGCTCAGCTCTATGTTGGTATTCCCGGAGGTCCTCCGAAGGTGCTCCGTGGATTTGAGAAGAAGATGATTGAGTCTGGGAAAGAGGAACATTATTCGTTTGACCTGACGCGCCGCGACCTGAGTCACTGGGATGTGGAGAAGCAGGCCTGGGGACTTCAGGCTGGCAAGTATTCCATTTACGTGGGCAAGAGTGTTCTCGATATCCAGCTGCATGGAACCTTGGATCTCTCCTAGGCTCTGGCAACCAATTCAGAATGCTTTTTGCCTTCAAATCAAAGTGGCTATTGATAGGATCAGAAGAGAGAGTTATAGACACGATAAAATACAGACCGATTTTCCAGAATTTCCAAACAAACTCCAATGACTTTAGTCGAAGGACACCATGACAGCCTCACTGTCTGGAATACTCACGACAGCCTTGCCGCCAAAGAACTGAAGAGTATCCTGCTGACGACCATGGGGGAAATGCCCTCTACCCAGGTCAATATTATGAGTCCACTGCTCTCCAGCCCAGGTAACATTATCATCGAGACCACCGAGATCAAGTCCCATACCCCGTGAACCATTTTCCGCCTGCATCCTCTTCACAGTCCCCGACTGAGTCAAAGTCATATCGCCAGTGTCCAGTGTGATCTCGACTTGTCCTCTAGGAGTACCCATCTTGGGATACCACTCCTTCAAATTGACCAACGCAATACGCTGGATCCGCCCAGTCTGCAGATCATACATCGCGTACGCACTGAAAAGATCCGGTTGGCCAGGCACCTCGATCTCGATCACTCGACCAAGCGAGCCACCCTCGCCCACAAAGTCAGCGACGTAAGGCGCAGAAATGAAGATCGCATGCACAGCCGCATCACTTGTTGTCTTCGAAGCCGAGTTATCAGGAATCCAGAATGAGTGCGTCGCCACAGGTCGGAAGGTATTGGATACACGCTTGACGCCGTGCGACATGGCCTTGAGGTGGAAGTCGACTGCCCAGAGAGCGGCGCCAAAGCCCGCAGCGAAGCGCACTGGCTCTTCGCCGATGACTGAGCCGGTCTCGGAGATTACGAAGTCGATTTTGTCGTCGCTGTTGTGGATGTATTTGATGTTTTCTTCGATGCCCGGGAATCGTCTCGAGATTGCTGTGTGGTTCATAAGGAGTGCTGCAAAAACAATGGGGTCAGTTTTACATCTCAGCGAAGGTGACTGGGGGGACTGACCTTGAATATTATCGTCGGTTCCTTCTCCTGGATGCTCAATCTGGTAATAATGCTGGGCTGCGTATTTGCCGAGTCCGTTCTTGTTGAGATTGTCTCTGAGAAGGTTGGTTCTGAATTTGTCAGAGGCATCGCTCGGATTGAGGCGACTTAAAGGCTGTTTGAAGACTCACATTCCCCAGGTTCCCACATCACGCTTGATGACTGAGTTTGGTATATCGCCCAGTTCGAAAATTCGACGGCTCTCATTTTTGAGGCCTAGGTCGTCGATGATCTTCTTCTCAAGAAGCAGAGCGCGGGAGATGTACTTCTCGAGTCCGTATGCATAATAATCCGGCTCATTTCCAAGGGCAATACCAGTAATCCTGTCATGGCCGAGTGTCTCTGCGGCATGTCGAACATAATCCATCGACTCTCTGATCCAATCTTCCGATTCCTTTTTCGGGTTGATAGGCGCTTGAAAGGTCATGTGTGTCCCCTCAAATCTTTTGAATGCATTGAAATAGCTCGGTCCGAGTACGAATGTGTTTTCACTCGAGAATGGACAGCCCTTGGCACCTTGACACACTGCCGCTTCTGATTGAGACTCCCGGAATTGAACGAGATCGCCTGATGTACCCCCAATTCGGAGGACGAGCGGCTTGCTCATTCGGGAGTTAATTGAGTGGACCAGATTTTCTGAGAAATCATTCTCGAAATGGTTAAAGAAAGCCGTTTCGAAGCCGAAGCTGAAGAAGTCTGCTGGGACTTCCATGGAGGCATCGGGGGCTGTGGGTTGAATTTGGAGTGTATAATGTGGGGGTAAGTCTGCGAGCGCGAGTGAAGAAACGGCTAAAAGAGTAGTCGATAATGATAAGGGCAGCATTTTGGAAATAACGAGTGGCGATTCTGCAAGACGACGGTTATGGCAGACGAAAGCCTGTACTTGTAGGCCGCCAGGGGATGCATTCTCCCTGATTCTCCACTGACAACTTGCACATGCAGAGCCCTGATAAATCCCTGAATCCATAGTTAGACCCATATCAAGCAAAGGGGTCCAGATGACCCGCACATGTCTCAATTGGCAAAAGCTTGGGGGCCTTGGGGTGGACAAGCAGTATATCTATTACTTCATCCTCTTTCACGTTAGTTACAAATGCACTGCGAATGAAATTGGTGCATCCAAATTTAAAGATTCAAGTAGTCCTAGTTCATCACTGATTCCACAATTATAATAATACTAATGGACCTTGGCATATGAGTAGGCGCATCAGCCGACATCTCCGTACTATGTTTACATCCCTGAGGGCACAGTTGGGCCCAAATGGAAAGTTGCGAGGGATCACACTGCAGCAGGCTACAGCAAATCAACTGGAGAGCTCTTGGCGACCTTCGGTGGGACTCATCATAAGGTCGTCTCAGTGATAAGCAATGAAGTCCACTTGGCACTACTTACAGTATTGATTGTATTGTTGTTGATGACTGGGGGGTGGAGAGTGGACCCTCCTTCCTCCCGTCGCCCTCGGACGATTTGCAGCCCTGCGACTCAACTCAGGAGACCAGCAAATGCGGCCCTGTGACCTCCAACAGCCCCGGGGCCTGGATATCGCACCGTTCTATTTCGGTTCAGCGAAATCTATTTTTGAATTCTGGTGGCAGTGAAGAATACTGCGACCATGGACACCACAATGCAGAATGCAAGTCTTCTCAGACCACCTCCACGCACCACAGCCGAGAGCAAAGACAAGGCTGTGGGTATCATTAAGCCTACGAACGCGTGTGCACCTTAATTACTGGCGGGGCGATCCCGCTCGATTTTCATGACAAACGACGTCGATCTCTTGACAGGCATCAACCAGCACTAGCCAAGATAACTGGTGAACGACGTCACCGGATAAGGGGGAACTCAGGAGTGATATGCATCGCCCTATCACAAGGCCTTTTTCCACACAATCGGAGGCCTCGAATTCCTTAGAACCAAAGCCCGAACCCGACGATCAGGTCGAGGGCTGCCAAGAGGAAGAAAATCGTGCCGAATCTGGTTGGTATTACACAGACATGACACGTTCTTCGCCGCTCGGTACGAAGAAACGCGTCTCGATATACGAAGTACACGCTCACTTTACGTTATGATTAACACAAAGAAGGTAGGTTAGGAAGATTTATTCGTGAAAGTGAAGGTGACGGTTGCCCCTACAGTAAAATGCCTTCAATAATGACCGACTTATCGACGATTTGTCAGGGGAGATATGCGGCTGCGCGGATCGAGGCCTTCGACCACCCACGCATGATATGAAATGCCACTTTTCGCTGAGAGAGACGAACTTGGAAGGGAGGCACGTGTCAGATATCTTAACTGTTTAAACATGAGATACGTTGCCACACAAGATCCGCTGACGTCGTGAATACCATTTGACTTGATGGATGTGGTAAACATCACGACAAAGCAAGAAAAAGCAACAGTCTTATCGAACCTTCTTTAACACATTCCTCAATTCTGGAATATGTCATTCCTGAAAAGAATTCTCGAAATTCCAGCTCCGGATCTCATTCTGCGACGAAACCCAATCCATATCTCAAGATGCCTTTCGCAAGCCTTCCAATGGAGATTTGGCTCATGATAAAATCAATGATCGGTCTTCCTGGAATAAGCAGGCTGGCTAGACTAAATTCGCAATTTCATTCAGTCTTCAATCATGCACTGTATTCTTTTGATGCCAAGAATCTTGACAGTGCCTCATTGATTTGGGCCATCCATAATGATCGACATGCAACTGCTCAACTTTCAATCCATCATGGACCCGAAGACCTCCTGAAAAATAATCAAGATTTTTGAGTTTGGCAATCAAGGCTCAGAATAGCGACATCGTTCAGCTTTTTCTTGAAAATGGCGCGGATCCAAACACCCACTTCGTGATCAATAAGAATCGTTCCACAACAAAAGGTTATGTGTCTGAAACACAAACGATCATGACTCACCTACTTCCTTTATACACTACAGTGATCCTGCAAGATTATCAGCTATGCGGACTTCTGCTAGAAAATGGTGCAGATCCAAACAAACTTTTCATGCATGAGAATATCATAACAGTCTATCAAACTCTGGACGATGAGACATGACATTTTCCCAATTGCTTCAGAGAAATACGGGCCCCGCTACACGGCAGTAGCTCAACGATATTTCGCACTGAGCGAGCTGTTGTTGAAGAATGGTGCAGATCCAAACATTCTCATGGATGACAAAGAGGCCAGAAAGCCCCGCTACACGTTGCCGTATTAAATGAGGATCACGAATTGGTCAAGCTCTTAATCAAGTGTGGTGCCGACCCAAACTGCTTGCTTTGAAGACCCGAGATCAGTCTTAATCATGGGCACTCCCCCGAATCGGGATTCCATTTGAGCCGGAGTGTCCCAGAGCTTGATCGTTCCGCAAACATAGCAACACCACTCCGGCTTGCTGCGGAGTATGGTTGCATAGAAATGGCCATGACTTTAATTGAGAATGGTGCCAGCGTCCAAGATTCTGGTATCCCGGATTATTCAATCCTACGAGATTAATTGAAATCCTTCCAGATCGATTCTGGAGAGGAAATGTCCAATTGACAAAAAATTAAAATCCAAACTAGTGAAAATGCTCCTTGATCTTGGACTTGACCCTAATGCGCCCCCGAAAAATGCTGACCCTCCATTAGTTACTGCTGCAAAGCACGGCTACGATGAGATTTTTAGTGATTTGCTGGAGTTCGGTGCAAACATAAATGGTGGGAGTGTCTATACCCGCACTCCCTTGAGCTACCTCGTCCTACGAGGCCGTTGCGTTATGGTACGTCTGTTATTAGTTCGTGGGGCAAATGTCAATGCAGTTGATGCAGATGACTGCACGACGTTACACTCCGCCGTAAAATGCGCACTTGCCTCCAGCCATCTTATTTCTCGAGAATTGCTTGAGAGAGGCGCCGATCCCAATGCAGCGGACGCAGATGGAAACACGGCATTGCATTTCCTCGCGAGATATACCCGCAAGCACAGCCAGCATACTAGTATCATTCAAGAACTGGTCAAGAAAGGCGCCAACGTGCTTAGTCGCAACTCACGGCTGGAAAGCCCCGTTTTCTCGGCAGTGAGATACAATTGCTATGAAAAGGCGAAGTATCTCCTCTGTCAAGGAGCCTGTATTCATCACACGGATCTAGATGGGAACACAGTATTACACGTTGTTGCAAGGACAGGCCGAAATGGTAACATGGCATTTGCCGGGTATTTGCTCAGAATGGGCCATCCAATAGGTCCTGTGAACAATTCGGGTGACAGTCCACTAGTTATCTACCGCGGTCAACAAAGGAAATACACCCTTCGCTCGGTTCCCCATTCAGCATGGAGCGGACCCGGACAGGCAGAGAGCCGATGGAAAATCTTTACGCACATTTGTCAAGGAGTATAAGAAGTCAAACGTGGGCCCGAATAGGACTAGCCGAGGAAGAATCAAAATCCCCTCCCATATGAAGGTCCTGTTCAAGGATGTCAAGCCAGTTGAGAGCGGCACTTGCGATACTGCGTCGGGGAATGTGACAGACATGCACCAGTGTACCACTATAGCTTGAGATATGAGGAGCAATCTGAAGAACTCCTTTTGCTTTGATTGATTCTGGGGTCGATGAATAACTACTAGTAGTCGACTACCTGCGCCGTTTCTGCTACTATTCAAAGCATCACTACAAACCTCATCACACCTGAGAACGAACAAAATCTATTCAAATACCCCACAAAACACCCAAAACTCCAGGGTATTGATCGTAACATCGTGACAATCCGTCGGAAATGACAAAAAGTCAATAGGAATAACAAGAAACGCTCAAAGACCATCACCATTCCGGTCAATCCAAGCCAGTCCAGACACCGCGCAATGCAAAATATCATTGCCAGTCCACTCGAGTCAAACCAGTTCATACACCACGCAATACACAGCAAAAATCACAGCAACACTCAAAAGATATCATCCGGCCAAGGGTACTCCAAATTTGCAAGCTGTTGATTCTGAACAGATGGAGATGGAGGTGACAACGCCGTCGCAAGGTTCTTGCCTGGACTCTGCTTCTTTGCAGGCAACTGAGTCACTTTGGCTGCATTTGGTAGAAGTTCCTTGGGTAGTGGCGGAACAGGTGGGATATCAGAGTCCTGCCATCGTCTCTTCCGGGGACTGCCCTTGCTTGGCGAAGAGTGTGGAGTTCGATCCGGGTCGAGGTGTAGATGCGGCTGGAGATAAAATGAACGGTGGACTTCACTCTTAGCTGGCGGGGGCGAAGGCGAGAGCCAGTTGTCGAGGCCAGCATTGTCTGAGCTGAGGAAGGCACTCGTGCCGGTGTTGGCGCTGGGTGATACAGAGCGAAGATTTGAACGACCCGGTTGGTTGCGGAGAGGAGGTGGGGATCCTACGGCCTTGGTGGTTGGTGAGCGGTTTAAGCCGGCAGGAGATTTTCGGGGCTGAATAGATGGGGACCGTTTGTTGTTGAGACTTGCTTCTTGTGTGACTGGGTGGTCCAGGTGTCGCTTGCGCTCGACCGAGCCGGGGCTGTCGCCCATGTCGAATTTCGGCCACTTCGCTTGTCGGGGTGGGCTGAGGAGGCCGGAGTCGATCAGGTGTTTGTATTCGGATGAGAGGGCGTCGTCGAGATCAGTGCGGTGCGTCGGGCTGGACTGAGGAAGGATCCGACTAGCGACTGGTTCAGGAACTGGGGACGACTTCCTTTTGCGGGAAAAGCTTTCCTTACCCATGGAAGATGGCCGCGAATCTCTCGACCGTCTTTTCGGGGACTTGGCCGCAGACGGGCTTGAGAGAGGTCCCTGGTCCTCGATCGATAGGCTTGCTCGGCCCTCCACGGACGGTAGAGCTGTCAATGGCCCCAACTCGGGCTCGGGGGATTCGGAAATCGTCGCTTGTTGATCCAAGAGTCGTTCAGATGGCAAGGTTGGGAGTGCGCCGGGGACGAATTTCCGAGGATAGCTTCCAGGGTCCATGTCGACACTCATAGACTTGCGTTCAGGTGTCGGCGCGGGCAGTCGTTCCTCGTTTCCACTCAATTGACGAAGCTCGCGGCGGGCACGATCAAGTTTGTCTTCGAGATTGCTGACTTTCTTGAGAAGCTTGGCCTGGCGGGAGATCTCCCTGCGTGACTTTTGCTTGCGAAGACCGTGGTTGTCGAATGATTCTTCAGATGAGCGCTCTGCACATGCCGATGGGACAGTGGTGGTCGTTTCTTGAGACTTGATAAACGGAAGTCCCAGAGATGTAGCCTTCCGAATGTCCTGGAAAGACGAGCGTTTGGAAGCCTTGGATGTCGAACGAGAGGGAGTAGGAGCTGTATTCTCGTTCGTGCCGATCGATGGGCTGACTGAGCTCTCAATCGGGCCACCATATCCCATCTTTTCCAAGATGGCGTTGAACGTTTGGTCCGCATTGGTCTGGTCGACATTCTGGCTTTGCAGATAGGAACCCTTGTTGGTGCCCTTGTAGCCAGCCTTCTTCAGTTCCGCATATGCTAGCTCCGCCTGGGTGAGAGCATCGGATGGAGGCTGGGCCTTGTTGTTTTGTTCGTGCTCGGGCGAGCTCTTGTTCCAGCCGCCAAAAGGATTGAATGCCGATGCAATGGCCTTGCCAAAGCGGAAGATTCCCGAGGAACGGTTGTTCGAGCTATTTCGCTTGCTCTCATGCATGAAAATACTGGGTGGTTTCTCGCTGACGCTATCACTCATCGTAGCCTCTACGAAACGCGATCGCCGACCAAGCCGGTTGCGCGGACTGTTAGAGGCTGCAGCGCTGTGTCGACCGCGCAAAGAAGCGGCTGAGGTGCGAGGTGAAGCTCGTGGCGATGCCTTGAAATGGGCTCCGATGCTTGATCCGAGACTACCGTTTCCATTGCGCCCGTTGCGGCGTGTATCATGTCCGTAGTCTGCGGCTTCCTCGGGCAAAGGCCAATCGTTGGAACGGCGGCGTTTGGACTTGGCCGATGGCGACTTCAAATCCTCCATCTCTGGTTCGTCTGCATCGTCGAAACGGCCCGATTCGTCCGAGCTCCAGTCGTAGTCGATGTCATCGGAGCTGCTGCGCAGGTGCTTGCGCGAGGTGCGCTGATCGGCGGGGTTCGAGTCGACCTCCATTTGGACGGGATCGTTGGTTGCGTCCTGTTCGAGGTTCGACGCAGAGTTAGACGCATTTTCCTCTTTTATCGCTTTCCCTGCGATCCAGGATCGTCCCCTGGATGCGACGTGAGCAAGGGAGCTCACCTTTGCGCCCGGAGTGTCCTTCATTCTCCCTGCCTACTTCCCGCGCCCTTGAAGCGGAAAGGTACAGAGTCAGATTAAGCGGGAGATAACAAACACCATGGGAGCCGATAAAGCAATCGAATCAGAGTGCGGCCGCAGTATCTGTGGTGAAGCGGGTTGGGGGAAAAAGACTGGTATTTGAGGCGATGGGGAGAAGTCGGATTTGTTTACATACTCCGCACTTGCCCAGGGGGGAAGTTTGTTGTGGTTGCGGGTACCGCACTTAACCTACTGCACGACCTACGCTTCATGTTTTGTATAGAAACAATTATTCAGAACATCCCATTTCGAATGTTCTGCAAGATTGCATCCACTATTGACATACTATTGTCCTGGCTCCCCGGAGGAGGCAGAATGTAGGCATTGAAGGGATTTCACGCCCCGTTTCGTCCTTGCGGGGCAGATCGATCAATCTGGAACTAGGATTCCTCGTGTCTCAGGCGAACATGTGCCCCCGGAGGAGGAATGAGATACAGCCGTTATTCAATCAATTGGTTGCAATATCTTCAATTTATTGCCTTTGGTACTAGTAGTAGTAGCTATGGAAAATTTCAGGAAAGGGGCTAAATTTACGCGGACAGGACGAAGAGACTTCAAGTTATCGATTTGGACAAATGCTAGGTATCAAGGAGATGCCACAAAACGCCGGTAAAGAACAGATTAAGCAACAGGCTATCGGAAAACAGGAGATAGCAGCCCCGTAGAGAACAAGGGAAATCCAGCATCGAAACGTCTCTCCTATGCACTATCATAATATACCAATCCCACCACCCAGGGCAAGGATTGCAGGGGCACAATTGCACAATCACAAAATGAGTCGAGAAAACCAACACTGCCAATCCTTTTCAACCGCCGGAAGAGAAAATGAAAACAGGTTCAGGGTAAAAAGAGAGTGGTGCCAGGCGAGGAGAGAGAATCCCTGCTAATCCATGCTGGTCCTTCTACCACAGCCCTTTGGGTATATAGGGTAGGGATGGAATTCTACCAACGTATACGTGGCAGGGCCTGTGGAGAGGAGATGGAGAGACGAAAAGGCCTCAGGTTTCTCTCTCTTGTCGTGGCAAATGAGAGTCCGAGGGAGAGGAGCAGTAAGATGCAGAGGTCCAGGAATGAATGCGCAGAAGACGGATCATCAGATCAGGGGAATAAGTGAACAAAATCCAAAAAACCCATAAACCAGCCGGAGTTCCCACGCAATTAGTTGAGAGACAGAAACAAAAGGCTTCCTGGAAGCGGACGTAACGACACAATGCATCAAGGTATCTAGGCACGAGGCAAGGGAAGGTCAAAAAAGAGGGAAATGAATTCATGTACAAAAAGTGCAAGGATCTGGGGTGAAAGATGAGAGGTCCTCCCACACCAGCTCAATTGATCAGACCAGACTCCCCAAAAATGGAGGTCATAGGCCAATCCGTAAAGAAAGAATTGAAGAGGCCATGTCATTTATTGAGTCGCAGGCGGCGCCTTCAGCACCATCCTACCGTTGGCACGTTTGTATGCCATCTCAATGCCATACTCGGCCATCAAGGCAGCACGACTCTCGGCAGAGAAGTCGCGATAGGCGCTTGACGTATAAGTCTCATTGTCAGGCCGCATGCCATTCTGCATCGAGCGCTCATCCAGACCGAAGGAGTCTTCGTGAGTGCGTTTGCCGGACGTGTGTCCAGTATGGTACAGCATTCGCTTCCCGGAGACGGAATCGTAGCCTGGACTAGGCGTGCAGTGCTCAATCGAAGGCTGCACGAACTCACTTGACATGGTCTTGATAGACGGAGGCGGCAGTGCAGCTGGAACGGGAGCCGGGGTCTCGGAACGAGGCAATAAGTTTGCCGGAATGGAGTATGGGTTCAACGGATCCGCAGGGTTCATATCCACATAAGGCGGTGCTTTGGGTGTATCCATGCGATATGATGTCATATTATTCTTCGGATAGCCGCCTGTTCGTTCCGACATGGGGGGTCCCATGGGATAACCTGCTGGTGTCGATTCATACTCCGACGCAATTGATGGATGACGAATGTTGGCATATGTAGTGTGAGGCGAATACATTCCTGGAGGCGCGACCGGCGGCGGAGTGGGAGGCATGTGAGGATTGGGATATTGCGTTGGCGTCGAACCGAAAGAGAGGTGTGATTGATAGCTGGGAGTGGTTTCATGCTGCATGGGAGCGGGTGGCATCGGCCGCTGGAAGGTCGGCGGTTGAGGACATTGGAATCCATAATCGGGTGCAGACGGCCGTCGTTGAATCTCGGGTCCAAATCCGTATGGCGAAGCCATTGCGCTGCCGTTGCTATTTGACCGTGGCCGCTCCACCGAGTTTGTGACATATCGATCCGGTGTTGAGTATCGATCGGATCGTGCATATACAGCCGCTCTTTCCTCGTCGAAATCGTACTCCTCCTCTCGCTTGTCACCACGACGCCTCATCCGAACATCACGGCGAATGCGGACGCGGCATCCTTGCTCAGCAATGATACGGCTCAGGGAGGTGCTAGTAGCCAGACCGGGGAACTTCTTCGCGCTATATACCGTAAAGGGCACTGACTTGACATCGAGGCGGAAATGCAGGAATGCTTGCGGGGTGCCGGGGTTGGCGTTGGATCGACTGACTTGGTTAGGAAGCGGCAGGTTCGAGTCCTTGTCGGCATCCTTGGCTTCCTTGATCTCTTCGTATAGGTGGAAGCTCAAACGGTAACGACCCTCGTGGCGAACAGACAAATCCGGGAAAATGAAATAACCAGCCTGCGAAGGGCGATCGAGGTACGCAACACCGGCGACCGGCACACCAGTTAGTACAGGGCACGACGGCGGACCAGCCACTCGGCCGTGAGCGAGAGGACGGGCAGTCTCCAACGTCGCATATAGGAAGAAATTGGCATTGTAGGCAAAAGTGATATCGGTTTTCTGGGCTTCATTGCCGGGTTCGGATTGGAAGATTCGCAGTTCAACGACGGGTGGTGGGTCAACAGGACGACGGTCGGCCGATGCTTTTGATCCCAAGTCAGTAAACACCGTCCCATGGACGACGATTTGGACGAAACCCTGAAAACTCCCGAGGGGGCCGAGAAGTGTTGATGATCTTACATTTGGCACCGGCACCGCAGGCTCTCGCACGCTCCGGTTGTTGCATCACGCTCAATTTATAGGTGATTTGTTTGCCCTCGCGCGTGAGGCGACTGACGGAGTGTTCCGTCTCATTATGGGGCGGCATGATGGGATGTCTGGCTGCCATGGTGGCGGAGATCGAATCGTCGCCGTCTTTATTCTATATGGACGAGCAGCAGCATCAGCAAATGTGGAATGCAAGTCGGAGTTTGTTGATTTTGAGTGGCGTGGCTGGATCTAGATCGAAGAATCGGCGGTCGCGCGACGTACATTCGATGAATCCTCGCTATGTTCTTATATTCTGGTGACTCCTGAGCGATTCCCGACGACGGCCAGGCGGGTCGAGATTCGGGATCGCTCGTCGTTCCTCCTGGGGAAACTCTGGGGCGCCCGTGAGGGAGGGACGATGGGGGTCGACCCTTGCTGGTGAACGTTCGGTCGCAACAGGTGTCAGGGCTGATGCATGCGGACTTGGGAGGAAAATGGGAGGAGAAAGGCGACCGGGGCCCAAGACGAGGGTGAACACACAGCACAAGGGGGGGGTGGGAAGGAAGACGAGAGGGGGGATGGATGAGTTGGTGACAACGGGAGTACGGGGGGCTGCTATGGGCCGGCGCGGCATGGGCGAAGTAACTGCTCGGTACAGCCGCAGGCGGCATCCGTACCTTGGATACCTGAGATACCACAGATACTTGCGAGACTTGCGCGGTTACCAAGGGCATACCGATGGGCCCTGTACGGTACCGCCGGTACGCGGTACAGTATGGTTTGGTACTGCCCTGGGTACGAACTCGCTCCTTCTTGGTTCTCTTTCTCCGCAGCGACCCAAAATCAGGAATGTCTGGATTTGCGATGGCCCAGAGGGCACGACATGGCCTGCGTCGAATAGAGAAACGCAGCATCCCATTACTTCCTACAGGTAGGACCTACGAGGTCTTGACCGGCACCCATCATCACCCGTGTGAAGACCATACAAATACCAGACACGATCGGCAGTCTCAAGCTTCCTCGATCTTGACTAGCGGGCCTGCTAGTCCGCCTGGCTAGGGCTCCTTCGTGGTATTCCCGCCATCGACGTATTTCGATAATCCGCCTTCGATTGGGCATTTCGAAATTTCCCCGGGAACTCGCGCTCATCCTCCCCTAAACGATCCAAGCCCGGTTCCCGGCCTGTGGTCTTGGGACTGGGCTCGTAGATCCTGGCGGATCCGGTTTCTTTGCTTTTGCTTCGCCCAGCATCGCCAGAATGAAGGACTCCGTACCTCTGCAGCCCTCAGGCGATCCGCCCGTGCGTCTCACACCGATTGCTGGACCGTGCTACCCACGGACATTCCTTGTGGTCGCAAGCCATGGAAATTTTGCCGACTCCACGTTACTCGGCGTGTGTTGACTCCTGGTTAACAATCCCAGCCCAGCGGACCGGGCAGCCTTCTTTGCTCTTGCCAGTCTGTCTGCCATTGCTCTTGATCCTCTGATCATCACCTGCGTCATGTTGGCGAGTCCACCTTCAGCTCCCTACATACACACCGGCACTACACACATGCCGACTGTATGAAGGTCCTGCGTCGGAGCCAGCCCAGGAGACCAACGACCCTCTGCTGACGTGGTGCAGACACCATGGCATTAGGGCCAATACCACCGTATTTCAGTGATTGTTTTTTTTTCTCTTGCAGAACCAACGCCCAACTGTTCGGCCTTATTGGACCCGGTGGGTTTCAACCCGATCGGAACAAGCAAAGAAACAGCAGCCAGGTTTAAACATAAAAAGAAGGTTCTGATCCGCCAGAGATGTGATCTGGAAACATGGCGCCCGCGAAGCTTGCTCCGTAACCATGGGAATGCCTGCCGTTTGGGAAACGACCGGTCCTTCGACGGGTCCCTGTCAGAAGAAACTGAGGGTCTTTCCGGAGGGACCCCCAATCGATCCCTCCCAATCGCAGTGCCTTGGCAGAAGGGGCTCCATCCAACCATACGCCTTGTGGTAGGAGTCTGTTCGCAATGCCCGCAGCCCCGGCCAATCCGACCGTCGTGGGCGGGCCTTTCATGCGGTAAATTATTACCTTTCGGTACTTTAGGGTCGCCAACTGTGTACTAGTCGTACATATGTTTCCTGATCTGCGAATCCTTCGTTCGCCAACCTGCATCATCGCGTCCGGTCGTCCCGTTCCTATTGGTGGATCCGAGTGACTTTGCATAACTGGCCGCAGTGATTCGCCCGCTGGCCCGATTCCACATGCTGGCCGCGCGAAAGATGAGGTATCACTCGAGCACCGCTTGAAGAATGCCCTTGCCTGCGTCTACGCCCACTCACTTTTCTGGCTGTAAAGGTCAACCGAGATCCGACAGTGCAAAAATTCAGATTCTATTCTTATGTGTCCTGCTGTCCAGACCTGTCCATTGGTATTTACAATTGGTTTTAAAGTGTCCCGCGAATCCATACATACAGCATGTATCATTGTCTGTTTATCAATCCCCCACACGGTCCGCACCGAAATAGCAGCCACCGCCCCATCCGGAACCGACTGTTTCATTCACGCCCTTTTCGAGAGTCGATGCATCAATCTCGGCGCAGCGACTGTTCACAGGGAAAGCACGGGGACCAGGACTGCAGGGCTAATTTTGGCGCGCACAGAAATGCCAGTGGGAGTGGGAGCATCAACAGTCTCTTTTCAGAGTACTTTGCCGCATTTATGCTTTTACTTTATTGCTTTTTGACATGTAGTGTGTGTGGGGCCCATTTTTTTTCATCATATTTTCATCACCATCCACATCTCCCCACCCGTACGGTACAAAGTACTGTATGTTCTTTCGTACAGCTGTACATCACCGGATACCCTACTCCGTACCCTAGGGCACAATTGTACTCCTCTTTAATCCTGCACGGTATTCACCCGATGGGTTCTTCCCGTGCAACGAGGCCAATCGCAGCCTCCCGGGAAGTCGGGGCCACGAACTAGAGAGTTGCGACTCCATTGAAAAAGTCGATCTGGAGTCGTGGTTGTCTATCTGGTCACAAATTTTGACTTCACCATCGAGCGTCAGCCTTGTCTATGTTTGCTGTACAGACACGATTCATGACCAGAGTTAGTGCGTATGCATTAGTGTGTAGCCACTCGCCATGTACTGTCGTAGTCCTCACGTAAAAAGCATCTACACGCAAGGTACGGTGAAGCCGAGCCTGACTCGACAGCCAAGCTTCGTCTGTTCGGTGATGCAGAGGGATGCACTGCACCGCGACCGGCCGAAACCTGGGCCAAGGATCACAGACCCTACCCTAAAAATGTCAAGTAGTGTAATGTATATCCAATTCAATTCATACCAACGACTACAATGGCCTGACCCATCAGCCGAGCGGCCAGCTTCCGATGCACAACATCGGGCCAGGGGTCAGGACCCTGTTTGTGTTGTGCGTTCTTTTTTACTTACTCCGTTTGGAGTCTACGCTCTGTCGATCGACCAGGGTACGGTTACTCGCGTTTTTGGGCTTGGAAGAAACCGAGACCGAAACTTGCGCCAACGGCGAGTTGCCGTGACTATCACGAAGGGGGTTAGTAAGGCGCTTTTCCTCCCGTGCTACTCTGTTGCAATCCATTGAAAGTTAGCCCACAGGATTTGGATCGTCCATTCCAGAAGGATTCGCTGGGGAGTCAGGGGTTTCGCCGAGGATGTTATTCCATGCCCCTCGTCAAGGCTCCAAGCCTGTCTACGGCCTCCAGCTCGCTAGTCAACCGCCACTGACGACACCATCGCCTTTCTCCAGTCGTTCTTGATCTTTGCAGGCGGAAACCCCTGCAATATCTGGATGCGCTATAATCAGAAACTTGTTTGCCTGCTCATCTCTTCGGGTTGACAAGCAGACTACTGTTCCGTAGTTTCGAATGCCACCTTATCCCAAGGTTGTCCTCGACAACATGGAGTAATTAACGCCGGCCCCAAGACCCCTGGCGATGATTCCAAGGTCTGTTGCCCCATTCGCCAGGGATCTGCACCCGGCAGAGAGCGACGGTCATGTGCATCACCTCATCTTCGAATCAGAACAGCCCTATGTGAGATCATGGAGCCATCGCACGCAACCCATGCTCCACGTTCAACGCTCGCCGTGAATCACCCGTCGTCCATGGCTCATCGCCCAACGACTATCCCTATCTCCCCTCACGGACCCATGCAACTGCATGTATTAAATTATCTACGTGGACGGGTCGCTTAGTCCAGGTCGGGCCGCGAGAAAGAGCAAAACCCGCCCAATCACCACTTTCATCTGAATGTTGGATGTCGCAGCTGAACTGATTCAACAGAACATATGCTACCTTTCACAGCCACTAAATATATAGAGTACTACATACCTATCATACATTATGTAGACGAGTCGAGATGATCCGCCTGCCTACATGATCCCAAGTGTATACGACGTACATTTGCTGAGATCACCAATATCGAGTCCATCACCAGTCATCGTGAATGGAGTAGGTTCCGGGCACTTTTCTCCAGATGGAGACAGGTGTTGCATCTACCCTGGATGCCCCGTCTCTTCACACTAGACTAGGTAGAAATGCACTAGACTCGGTACTGACCGCTAAACACTAGTCACGTATCATTCCCACGTGGTTGATCGCTCTGGTGAAACGCTGGTTTGTCGCGATCATTTACCCACGACAGGATGGGGAAGGAGGAACACTTGATAGCCTTCAGTACTGAGTGTTACCATTAAATAGGTACGTAGAGTATACTGTGTATGTGTGTATGTCTCGAAGCAACGTGACCTCAGTTTATCAGAGACAGATCAACAGTTACGTGGCTGTACATGCGAGCCGCACCTCCCGCTAGTCAGCACAACAAGCCAATACGCTTCCTATACCGTAATACAGTAATACGGCAATGAACCCCGAGCCCCCCGACTTCCCCGATGAACCCAACCACCTTACGCCCGAAGGGTGCTGTTAACTGCCACTGCCACGACGTGCTGATTCCTCCGATCGACACCCTTACCCACCTGCCCAACCCAGCACCCCTCTCAACGACAGTCGACCATCGAGTGTAACAGAGCAAAACATGATCGTCTGATCCGCACGTTACCATGATCGACCACACACCCCGACCTGTCATTCTGTCATCCTGCTCTGCCTCGGAAGCCTCCCGCAACAGGTAGGAGACGCGGTCAAGTATTCGAGCACGCCCACGCAAGGACCAACGGCTGGCAGACATGACACGGCAAGACACGCATTGCATAGATGCTCCCCATGCAACAAGCCCACCGTGCGAAACAGGTCTAGTCTGCAGCAGACACAAGCAGAGAGACATGGCCGCGAGGCTGGACATTTAGAAGCCTAGCCAGGTTCAAATTTTCACCTTCCCCTCCGGGACAAGTCTGCACGACAGGGCCCATCGTGTCCCTTCCATGCCAAGCTCCGTCAGCCCGTCCCGCTGTCATGGCGCGGGGTCGCGTCGTTCAGCACTGGGGACGTTTAGGCTCCGCATGGCCTGCGTGGGTGTGCTCGATCTGATTCCACCTTGGCTAGGTACAATCAAAGGCAGTTGTGTCGTGGTGCTCCGTATTATTCCGAGTAGGATTACTATTGATCCTTCTATACTCCAGGATTTCTAGACCCATTGCCGTGTTCAGATAGGATTCACCCGTTGAGCGAGAATGGACTCGTGCTGCATGATGCCAAGCATGAAATCGCCCCATATTCACTGCCTCGAGCAAAAATTTGGAATCAAATTCAGGGGAGGGGGCCACGCTAGATTCTGCTAGATTCTGGAATCGTTAGGCTGTAATTTGGGAATGGATGGTTGCAACGCTTTGAGGGAATCTATTGCAGTAGAGGTTTCATGATTCTCACACGCAACTTTCCGTGATCGAGTTCGAGCACAAGGTCATGGACAGGGTTCCACATAGGGTGTTCCACATCTTATCAGACAACACTTTCTTACGCCACAACGCTAGGTAACGGTAAATTTGGCGCCGAAAACGGCTACACTTGGCGCCATTCTAAGCGTCCTTTAACCAGAATATTAGTCATTGAACTCCCACGTGATCTTTTTCGGCCCACTGTGAGGCCTAAAGAGGTTTTAAGGGCAAGTACTGGCTCATGCACTTTTGTTCAGTAGCTTTGTGATACTGGCATTTAAAACCCTTTCAGCCTTGAATAGTTCACCATATATAAGTGTAACTCTCAACCAATTAGATAGACATGCAGAACGGGGAACGAATAGCTTACTAGATATCACTGGACTTGTCAGACAAACGCATAAGAAGCCGTGGATGAGGCAGAATGACACCCCTGAGGCTAATACCGCTCGTCACTTTTTACCTATGTCCGTTGTTGTTAACCGTCTATTATTAACCGTTATTGGATTATTGATAATCGATCATTGTTGACTTTTCGTTCACAATTCCTTTCAAAAAGTCTTAAACGAACCTATAGAATAGACGATAGAATATCAATATGCTTCCTTAATGCGGAAGCTTCTTGAACATAGCGCCGCGTATTTCCCTGCTAAGCTCAGCCCAGCCTACAGATGCAGATCATTTAATCTTCGGATCAGGGTCCAGGTGTAGTGACCCCCTCAGATCCGTTGAGTTTCTCCCTTAGAGGTGCTTTGTAGCTCCCGAAACATCTAGGTACGCTTTCTAGGATCTTTTCGAGCAAGGCTACACTCCCAAGCCACGCGCTCTCACACTTCCATAGGGCTAACCTAAATTTTCATGCCCAGAAGTGGACAGAAATGCCTATGAAATCCGAAAAGAAAAACTAGAAGCGCCTCCCCTAGAAATCGCTCTGGGAATACAAGCACGGATAGTTGGCCAAGACCGGTAGGGTCAAATGAGTCAACGACCAGTCATTATTATATAGTAAGTATGACCGAGGCTGAAATAGGAGTGTTTCTCACTAAAAATTGGTCTGTAAAAGAATCATTCGGAAAGGGGTAGGGAGCGAAGTCAGACTCGCTAGAGTGTAATTGCATCCCTATTATCAAGTAAAGGAGTTTTAGGCAAATCAGCAAGTCGACATCGCTCAATCTTAATATGAAACATGGTTGATGCCAAAACAGAGAGCGCCATTTCGGAAATTAAGGCTTGAAGAGCGGAATTTTGGATCACGGGTTCTGCTAAGTTTGGGCCGTTTGATGCATCTGGCTGGTTTAGAAGAGAAAGGAACATTAAAGGACCGTTTTATTTCCTTTCTTCTTTCTCTAGCTTCGCTACCTTCGTGGAATATACAGGATTTTTACAAATTCCTCTTGGCACGTAACACATCACACATACGTGCCTTGGATTGCATAAATTGCATCTTTGAGTCTCTCTTTCTGCCGCTCTTATATAAAACTAACGTTCTGCACGGGAACAGCTCCACTCTCTTATCGGGAGCCATTCATGGTGAATATTATACTGTGAGGAGAATTCTGGGTCATCGCGATGCTTATTAACTGCTCTTCACGGGACCTAGTGTCCCTCCTCAAAGCCACATATGTCCAAATTCACAGACGTATTATCTACCCTAGCGCCAGTTAAATCTCAATGGTATCAGCATCAATCTCGCGAGCGTTGATTTTGAATTGATCACTCAACCGCGTAATCATCACCTTGAGCTCGGCAAGCTCGCTAAATAGCCCATAAAGCCGTGCTCTAAGACCACACCCTGCCCCTATCATCCTCAGTGTGACAAAGGCCTAGTCTCTGGGAAAAGAGTGCATTCCGCAGCGAATACTGAGATTAGAGAGGAGAGAGAAGGGAGAAGTGCTAGAGCTACGGTGCTTGCCGTAATACCCCGCCAATCAGATCGCTCAAAATTAATATATCTATCTACATACAGTTTCCCAGCGTCACAATTGGTTCATAGATAACAGTCAAATGTAGGTGATCAATACTTGAACGGTCGAGTCTGACTAATAGGATTCGCTTTTAGACAACTACTTCTTCCTTCCGTCAAGTTCGCGCGTTCAAATTCCTCACGCTTTAAAAAGTCTGAGGCATTATTTTCAATCCATGGCCGCCAATATCCAATGCGGATATAATCCGCCTTAGAATCCTCACAATCACCTTTCTTAGTATCATAGTCGAGCTCTAGAGAAGAATGATATCCTGGTGCGTAAAAGTAGCTTAAAATCCACGAAACGGTATACTCATCGAACCCAGCCACATGGACCGCGTAATTGCTCGTCTCTATCCAACTGCCCAGGGTCCAAGTACACATTAGCACCCCAGAAAGTCCAAAGCGCTATTGAACCAAAAGAATGTCATTTTTCGAGAAAATCCCAAGCTTCGTATAGAGCGAACGACAATTTAAAACTTGCGTACTGCATACGTAGATGGGGATCCACGTCGAGAAAGCGCAAGAATATTTTAGTTTGAGTCGTTCCGTTCGACAGAATCGCGCCAATAGCGATGACTTGTGATATTTGAGCCACAGATGCTACAGCCTCATCACTTGCGGTCCAATTTTGGCTCGCCAATATAACATGGTGCCACAATTGCATGCAACATCCAATGGGTGGGTAGAGTAGGACAGCGTATGTGTTGGGATCCAAGGTTAAGGCATATTTCGAAGATTCCCTTCGCATGATCGGCATTGAAGTGGTGAAGGAGAAGAATAGCGACTGTCGAGAAGCACTGTTTTGGAAGCACCGGATCATCGAAATGGAAAATGGATTTGGGATGGTAAGCACCAAAAGTCGACACTCGTTTGATGAAACTCAAAGCCCAAGCCTTCACAGAGCAACTCAGGTGGTGGTGACAAACGTTTTCAAGATAAATCATGGGCTAAAGAGTCTCCAAATGAACGGCTGATGGACGAAGCGATGAATGAAGAGGATGGCTTTCCAGGCAAAAGCCTCAAGGAAAGCCATACTGCCAGTTTTCCAGTTGCCACGGGCACTACATTAGGAGAGACACTAAATGAAACAGAGGGCCGGGAATCTTTAATTACGACCTCGAGGTACATCCATTGTTCGTCGTGGTGCTGCTTTGCGTGCTGCGTCATGATCTTGCTGCGCCACTCGACTGTATGTTTGATGCATCAGGTTAGGGGTAGAACTACGTCTTCTAATGTTGTGATTGCTCTTCTTATGGTCGCAACTTGGTGTCTCTACACTAATCATTGGATAAGGAGAATTAAGATATTTTGGCTTCGCCACATGTAGTCTTCATCACATGTGACGGATCGTATTCATAGTGTTGCTCTGTGGTACCTTACTATGTATGAGCTGCACTAGGATATATTTCCTGGCACCTAGGTATGGTGCATGGTATCATCACGTTGTTATAAGACACCGCGTTATGGTATATCTCGGACATCCTAACATAAAAAGACTCGATGAAATGATAACAGCGAAATATATTGCGCGATTTGAAAAAAATTGCGGCTATACCTTAGTTGAACTCGGACGTATACGATTCCGCCGCATTTGCTGACTGCGCGGTGATTGGCGGTGACGGCATCTCGAAGAACCGCGACGGCGGGAGCTCGCAGTCTGCGCCGCCTCTCCTTCCTATGGATCTGCTATCAGTCCTGCCTCACTTCGTGACAAGGCCATATGCACACATCATTCCCCCGCTCGAGCGAGGCAAAATCACCACCGTCGACCTGATCACCCTCGACACTCTCGAGATCGCGAAACGCGCCCATGTCCCCCCGGCAGACGTCAGGCGGCTCGCCGCAAGCATTGTCGATGCTCTCCACTCCGATATTGGTTTAGAAAGGGCACAAAAGGATGCAGACACTATAGGAGGAGGCGAGCCCAGCTCGAGTATAAATACAAAGGCAGATAATGTCGGCCTGGGTCCCGCGACCAAGCTTGACACGTCCAGATGGAACACCATAACCACCCTGGACCCCGCATTGGATGCGCTCCTGGGCGGTGGCATCCCAACGGGATATGTCACAGAGGTAACAGGGGAGAGGTATGCGGACAACCCCCAAGGTTAGCGGGCGAGAGCTTGTGCTGACACGGAGTTTCATCATGCAGCGGAAGCGGGAAGACGCAGTTCCTACTGAGTCTCCTACTCGCCGTCCAACTGGCCAAGCCGAAGGGCCTGGAAAAACGCGCTATCTACGTCTCGACCGAGCACCCGCTAGCGACGAACCGTATATCCCAATTGTTGGAGTGTCAGCCATATCTCCTGAATCTCTCAGCCGACGAGAAGCCGTCCCTTGGGAACATCCTGTCCATCAATGCTATGGATCTGGAAACGCAGGATCATATCATGAACTTTCAGGTTCCAGTCGCTATATCCCGGTACAACGTTGGACTGGTGGTCATCGATTCTATCACATCCAACTACCGTGCCGAACGCAACTCAAATAATATGCTCGCGCTCTCCGCACGATCGACCGAGCTCGCCAAATTGGGCCAAATGCTTCGCAACTTGGCCGCCAAAGAAAACATTGCTATTGTGTTGGCAAACCAGGTCTCTGATCGGTTCGAACAGGAATCCATTGGAGGCGGTCCTGCATCACGAACAGGATTTCCGTCCATCTTGAATCAGAACGCTACTTTGACGGCGCGTGAGTCTCCTATTCCTCGAAACAGGATCAGTGCCCTGGACCAGCAGTTTTCTTCCAGCCAAGCTCCCTCTTCCTCTCCCATATCTCAATCACCCTACCATGCCCCGGATGACGAACGATTTGACGGATCGTATCTCATTGAAAATTTTGCCCGAAATGAAATCCTCAGCTTGCTGCACCAAGAGCGATTTTTTACTGGCTGGGGTGACGGCTTTTTCCCGGACAAGGCGCCCAAAACCCCCGCCCTTGGGTTCTTTTGGTCGACACAGATCTCAGGTCGTATTGCCTTGAAAAAAGAGACGCATTCTGTGATTGTCCCGTGGGATAGCGCATATCCAGTATCGACACCCCAAGAACAAACGGGCTCTCAGTTCCGTACCGAGGCAGCACAGTTGCAAAAACCAAAACTCACCGACTCACCCGCTGACGAAGCCAGCAAGGTAGAGACAGAACCTGCATCGAGGGCCCTCAATGGATCCGAGAAGTCATCAAACGTGCTCGAAAAGCAAAAAAGCTTGCAAACGCACATGCCGGCTCCAAATCCACCAGAGCAGGTCACGAGGCGAACCATGAAGCTTGTTTTTGCTCCTTGGGCAAGCGGTCGACTTGAGTCTGATAGTGAGAATGGGATTCACTCCCTCCGCAGACGAGACTACGAGGTTGAATTTGAGATATACAAAGGTGGGCTACGTTCTGTTGGCCCAGACGAATGAATGGCGAGAAATTTGTGAGACAATTATTTGCATATACCACAGCAATGATTTGAAGCGTGAATTATTACAGTGCTGAACGACACTCGCTATTTACAATATGAAGGTGTAAATTCGAAAAAGTAATAAATGCCAGCCTCGCTCAAGCCTTCCCCATTCCTTCGAATTTGTCAATCATGCATCTTTAAGGACCGGCGAACCTTTGAAGCTAAGAATGAGACTGGCTCATCATCAGAATCCGTCTCCGTTTTTGGCTCAGTCTTCTCCGAGCTCATGCATGTAGAAGCTGAGACTCTGAAGTTCCTCGCTGGGGGAGAAGGGGAGCCGAGTTTGGAAGATTCGCGGCGCTTCTTCTCGTCGGATCCAGCTTTTCTCGGCGGAGTAGAACATGGAGACGACCGACAACGCGGGCAGCGAAGGTAGATCGCCGAGGCTGGTTCGGGCAAAGTTACGTTTCGTTTCAAATTGCCTTGGCTGTTGTATGGGTGGGTTTTGACGAACTCAGTCCATTTCTCCAGACTTGCCAGAAGTGTCTCCTTATCGATCTGGAACCACTCTTTATGCGACGAATGTTTTCCCTGGCATACAAGATCACAGCGTACATGAGAGAATTCCGCATGGATGAGTTTTTCCACCCGATGGGCGTTGTAAATAAATGCTGTTTTGACCTCTTCCATATCCGGATAGCAGACCTTGTGATCCTTGAAACGTTGCTGCTTGGGATCGGGCTGTGTGTAACCAACTTTGAACAGTCCTGGAAAGCTCGGAGACGAGCAGATATAGACATGTCCATACACCTTGTCCAATGTCCCAAGTGGCTGCTCCACCTTTTGAGTTACCGTCTTGGCTATCTCTTCCTCGCTCCTGTCAGGAGTCGGAAAAGTTCGTGTTGCTGGTGGTGGTTGCGCAGGCAGAGAAGCATTTTCAGCCGAGTAACTGTCTGGGAGCTCAATGTAGCTGGAGATATCTATGATTCCATTGAGCGAAACATCATTTTCACCAGGGTGGCAAGCATCCACTTGGACAGAAATGCAACCCTTCCCAGAATTGTGCTCCTTGTACCACTGCTCCTTGGCTTCAACAGCATACTTCGCGTGGCTGCTACAAATGACAAATTTTGCAAGCTCTCCAAAAACCTCAAACGATGGAGTAGCGCTTTTGGAAACAGTGACAAGAAGAGATTTTGCAAAGTCGCGATTTTGTCGACTGATGTGGCGTTTGCACGAGCTGTTTCCAGGTTTGATGTATACGCATTGAGCAATGCGGGACTCACTATGAGTCCAATTATGCAATTGGGAAAAAGAGCAGAACATGACGGCTGGAGCGCTCATGGTGATCCAGAAGACCGAGAAGGAGACGCAGTTCAAAATGACTCGAATATGAATCCAGGATCGGAAAATTCTGGGCTGTTTAAATAAGCCTCAGGGCGGGAGGCTCCGCGCACGGCCATTATGCACGAGATATCACACAAGAGGCGATACCATCTCCGAAATATTGGCGTGAGCTACACGCCAGCCTCATGGCCGAGACTATTTGACAAGGGTATACATCGTGATAAATTATGATTGGAACCGGCGGAGGGATAAGATCTCTAGTTCGTAGAACTCGGGCTAGTTCCTACGATTTCGGAAGGTACACCGGGAAGAACCTGCATTGGTCTCGCGTCTAGACAGGGATTCTGAGAAGCTTTAGCAAAGGTACGTTTCAGGTGATTTGGGGGCCAGCTAGCTTAGAAGCACAGATGGAACCACACTATCCTAAACATTTGGAGTATTGTGCAGCATAAGATGTCCCGTTCCAGCGAAGATTAAAGGTATAGATGAGTTCGAGTTGGGATTGGGAAAGGGTAGGGTATATGCGGCCAATCCTGAAGAGCCTTCAAGTTTACCAACCCGATAGGGATGTCGAATAAGCTGAAGATCGGTGCTCAGAACGAGGCGCATTTTAAATTAATTTCAGTTTCATAGTCCGAGTCGTAAACTAAGAGGAGCTTGAGGTATGACTGGCTATTCACATTCACATAAAACGGCAGTCTTGACCCTCTAGTATAGACGGGGCATTGAGGCAAATCTCGCCCACTGTGGTTACCCAATCTCGCCCACTGTGATTACCCATTTAGCTGTATTCATCTACCAGTATTCATCTGCTCAGTTTTCTTCTTAATAGTGTACTCACTTCCACATAACAGCGTTGTACCCTGAAGTCCGTAAAGAAAGGCAGTTCCCTATGGGGAATAGTCCATCTTTTTCTGTAAATTCGCTGCGTGAGCTAGAGCAACTGCCGAGTCACGGTCTTAGAGACTATGTGCAACCTAAATGTGCTCTCATTAAACGGGGAAAGTGCTCGTTTATGAGATGCAGGATTCTGAAAGGGAGTTAGACCTGGCTTGGCTTGATTGCTGCAGTCTTTTCTGGGCTGTTTCGTGGGGGCCACAGCTACACACAGTGCACGAAGGCCCCATGTATGGTCGATCACATTCAACAAAGACAATTTGAAGAGAAACTACGGACGTGACATGGCTTAGTATACTCAGACAAGGCCCATCTATGAGTAGCCAGCCTTGTTCCTCCGCGGGATCCAGACTCAGGAAGCTTAGCGCTGACAACCAAAATGGCAGCGCCCGCCCCCCCCCCCCCCCCCCTCCCCCCCCCCGTCGGGTTTATCACCGCCGCCAGCTCAAGCTGTGGCTACCAAGTCGCCTACGCTGCTCTTCAAAAAGGGGACCATGTCATCGCTACAGCTCGTGACCCCACGAAAATCCAACGCCTCGAAAAGGAAGGCGCATACAATCTCGCTTTCGATGTGCCGACTCTTTCACCGAAATCTAAAAGCTTGCCCAGCACGCCTTTAGCAAATATGGCCGAATCGACTACCTGATAAACGCTGCAGGCTACATTCTCGAAGGTGCAGTGGAGGAAGTTACCCCCGACGAGGCTCAACGCCACTACAACGTTATCGTCTTCGGCACGACCAACACGATACGCGCATTCGTCCCGCTGAGGAAAGATTAATCATTCCCAGCTCCTGGTCGTCCCCGTGCGGCGATTGCCACTTTAGGAAGCCTTGGTCCGTGGCAAGGCGGTCAAAAGCCTGCATGTCATCTCTAGCAGAGTCACTTCGGCCCGAGCTAGAGCCCGTTGAGATTGCCGTGACTGTAGTCGAACCGGGATAACTCCGGACGGGGTTCTTGAAGCTCCGAGCGAAAATACCGGCCAAGACACAGATGTCTGCATATGAAGATGAGAAGACTCCCTCCGGTCAAGTACGAAACGCGCTCGATGCTGTGAATGGGAAGCAGCCCGGTGATGTCATGAAGGACGCGAAACACTGATGTATTGACGGCATCAAGAGTCGCAGAGGGTAAATTCTTGCCAGAGAGGATCGTTTTGGGTAGTGACTGCGAGAGCATTATCAAGGACTAGTCAAAATACTTTGGACCCGCTGAAGGAGTGGGATCCTATTGCAAGAACGACAGACTATGAACAGTGATGGAAAGCATTCTATAGATATATGAACCACCACAGACGTGTCTATAAGGGACCTTTGGAATAAAATCTCCTGGAAATGAGAATGAAACTAATGTCTCGACAACATTTGTGGGGTTGAGTCGAGATCCATTCGTATTCACTGTAGCTAAAGCCTATTCCGTCTGCACCGGTTGCAGGCTTGGAGCCTGCATTGTCGACACTCGAAAATGTAATGCGGCAAATAGTGATAGCATTCTTCACAGAGATGGGGACCACGTATGCATCTCCATCTAGCATGCCCGCACTCGTGGGTTTCTCTAAGTTCTTCAACTGTTCTTGCGACCAAGGCATCTCGAGAAGTTCGGGCATGCGCTAACGAACCTGGCGGGACCCTATTTGGCCTTTCATTTTCATCTCCTGGTCGGGCTTCCGGAGTTCCCACTCGAGGCTCATCAATATCCGGTGGAGGAGCTTCGCGGTCGATTACTTGATATGCGCGTGCAAGGAGACGGTGCTCATTCCATTGATCACACGTGCAAGTCTTCCACACCTCGCCACAATTGTAACAAAATTGGACTCCACATGGACAACTATTTTTAATATACCGTCAGGTGTCAGAATAATGAAAGAGAGGGAAAGGGATACAGACGTCATATGGTTGCAGCCATGATTCAATTCCACCATTCGCCAACATGAATAACACCGTTGCCATCCATTTTCTTGTGCAGTCGACAATAGCTGTTGCATACCAATATCGTCAGGGCAATCGCCTGTATGTGCTCGCCCTTTGCAGTTTGTACAGGTCGTGCGCTTGCAGTTGGGACATGTGGCTACCTCGCCGTCAATATGAGATTGGCCGATGAAAGTAGAACATTCCGGGTTGTAGCAGTACGTTCTGTTGGGAGTTTCAAATTCAATTTTCTTCGTCTCGTATTGCTGGACTAGCTCTGATTTGAGAAATATGCGAGCCACGTTCAGTTTTATGGGTTGTCTGCAGCATCGTGGAGGAAAAAGGGACTCATCCGCCATTGAAGCCTTGAAGAGTTCTTCCAGACAGGAACGACAATATTCGTGCTGACAGGGAACACGCGCCACATCAACAAAATGTGTTTCTTCTCTGCAAACGACGCATTGATGCCTTCGTGGTCGTGACTGATGGCGTCGTCGAGCTCCCCAAGCAGATGATTCAGCTTGTTCGGTCTCGCTGTCTGTCGCGTCTATGTCCTGATAATCTTTCAAGCCGGACACGTACAGGAGCTGTAGTTTTGTGAGGGTCTCATCGTCTAATACCGCAGTTTCCGATTCGACACCGTCGGGAGACACAGCAAATCCAGCACTCTCCAAGTGACATGCGATATGTCGGTCTTTCGACGCGCGCTCTTCTTCAAGTTGGCTCTCGGCCACAACGTGCCCATCAGTCTCAACTGCGGCTGCGAAACTCATGGCCATCCGTCGGTCCCCAAAATATTGGGAAACAGTCTCCAGCTCCTCATTTTGTAAACGAAATGCCAGTTCTTCATCGGTAGGCTCTCGGGATTTGCTTTTGGAGGTTTCGGAATAGAGTTCGACGTCTTGGATTTGCAGTTGAACAATCAAATCAGCTGTAGGTTGATCGATTTCTGCTCCGAGAACACAGGCCATTGTCGCTACTTGATGAGTACTGCTTGGGTAGTAGGAGAGAAGCTATTCCAGCGTAAGTTGAAGAAAATTCGTTGAGCATTTGAATATTAGTAGTTTGTCAAGAAGGTCCCGTGGCAGTTATGATGCAGATGCCTTTCCGTACCACTACCGCATTATGATCATTTGATGTTGTTCGTTTGTTCGTTTTGGCGCCTAGAAAGAAGCAATCATGGGCCGATCCCGCTGCTCACAAGGCAAGCTCCAACACCTATTTGCTTTGCCGATGATATTCAGCGACACGGCACTTAGGTTAAGATTGCATATATGACACTATTGAAGGTAACGAGGGTGCTATTGAGTGAAGGAGGCTCCTCTATCTAGATAAGCTACTTGGCTGTCATATGACTGCGGCCGTTTGTAGGCAGGGCGTCAATAGAACCGAAATAGCACTTTGAACCTATTGAGAATCGACTTGCGGGACAGCGAATCTCATTATCTATGCATATTTGCGGAGCCAACTAGATCCCCATACTTCAATGTGTTCATCGTTGCCGCATATTGATCAGCACCGGGTGATACTGTCAATATCATGGATGAGTGAGCATCATTCGATGCCTCAAAATGCTCGCGCAGCACCATCGTCAATGGCGAGGACCGGTACGGAATTCGCGGCTGAGCAAGTGACCTGGCTCGAATGACTTCCTTCAGGGCGAGAAGATCTGTGTTAATTTGCTTCCCTTGCTGCTTTTCTTGAGCAGACTGCTTGGGCCCAGTTCCAGCTGAATGTGACAGAAATTCGGCACCGGCTAAGTCCACAAAAACTATCTTCCCACCGATGCATTCATGTGTGCGAGCAATCTCCGTGAAAATCTCAAACTCATGCCCTTCTGCCTCCTTCACGCGGGCTTCGAACTTGGCCTTCTGTGCCTCCGCAGCATCAACGCGCTCCTGGTTTAATTGATAATCGGGATTTGGGATGTATTTCCCATCATCAGACAGGATGATTGCGCGAGAATTTTCCACGATATACACATCAGCCGTATGTTTCCCAACAGGAACGAGTTCCGATTGTCGCTTTACCACTGTATCACGCGCATCAATAAAATCTTTGGTGATGATCTCCATCTCGACAATCGCATGAGCCCGCGAACTTTGGTCGTGGACAGTTGACGTCGCAGTATTGCGGTGCTTCAGGCCCACCTTCAGCCCCCGCTTTAGGTCTTCGAAGCTCCAGCATGCCCTGGTAGCAATTGGTCGGACTCTGACTTGCCCATTCGCTAGCATTTCCATTTGCCCGCGAATATGAACCTTTCGATCTGGGCCCTCGCGGACGAAGCATTCGTTTCGATTATTGAGAAGATCGAAGGCGGCTGTTCTTGCGTAACTCGTACGCGCGAAGACCAATACCGAATCGGTAGTTGCTGTCTCGTGTGTTGATTTCATCAAGCTTGGAGGCAAGTTGACGAGCGGATGCTAAGCAAAGGCCAAATCCGTCATCATGTTCAAATTCGTATCCGATCATGTTATGTGTTTTGCCGCTACCGGAATTCCCATAGGCAAAAAAATTGCAGCATTTGCCCTGGAGCACCTCTGGAATGATTGGTGCAACGATGCGATCGTATACCATGTCATTCCTCTCATTGGGCTCAATGATGCCATCGAACGAGAAGCCGCTCTTCCAGGACCGTTCACGGCTTGAAAGACCTTGAGCTTGGGAAGACGCGACGACCGCGATGCGAGATTGGTGATTATCGGGATGCTGGTCAGATTTACGAGTAATCTCCCCTTGAGATTCGAATGGCCTGAGAGGTCGCCATCTTGTCCATACTTTGAATGATTTCATTGTTCCTTGAGCCATCGAGGTTGTGGAGAGAGTTCTGTCAGAAGGATCTCGCCTCCCGCAAAAACAGGGCCATATTATGTTGTCTTGGCAACAAACAGTGTCGGCGAATACGAGACAACAGTTGCATCGCGTCTGTAGGATAAATAGATGAATTCATTTCAGACTCGTATAGTTCGATCAATGGACATGGTTCAATAAGAAATTCAATTATGCAAAGATAAAAAGATTGGATTGAACTACATTGCCCTATGTTCCATACAACTAAATAGTAGCAGGCGGGAAAGCATCCATTTCTCCAGTCACTACTAGGAGGCCCCATATCATACCAAAATTTTCATGAATTGACCGAGATCTCTAAAGGAAACGACCAAGACAAATATCTGAAACCGCCTAACCTTTGGAGTGGTAGATAGCCGCCTCGCATCCCCGCCCGGCTAATCTTAACGTTAGCGGACTTCGCGCGAGGCGGCGGGGAGCCAAGCGGTGCACGCCGGCTATTCTTATACCTTAGCGAATATCGCGCATCCATAAACCATATTTCAGAGTCAGAGATTCTCCGCTCGCAGATCTACGACCTCCTTCGAAGAGAATAGTCCATCGCAAGTTGATTCGCAGTGAGCGTTTGATTACTAGAGGGGGCGGGGCGCTTCCTTGTCACTGAGGTTATAAATTGCGAGGAGCCGCAGCCCTCTTTCAGATTCATTATTCTCGACAATTAGCCAGGAGTACTAGCCAGGCATACTAGTGGATCGATATTCACGGAATTATCCAAGCTGTCCTTGTCAAGATGTCGACTATCCACCCGTTTGACCCCCTCACTCCAAGGGAAATCGCAAAGGTAAGGCGGCTCGTGGACAGGTTCCATTCTACATTATCGTTCTGACATGGGCATGGCAGGCTGCAATAATCACCAAGAGGGAGTTCCATGGAACAAACCTGAACTTCCGAGTGATCACCCTCAAAGAGCCGCCCAAGGGGGAGATGATCCCTTTCCTTGAGAAAGAGCATCAAGGCCAGCCTCCAACACCGCGCCCAAGCCGTGCTGCCCGTGTCCAGGTCATCGCCAGAGGACCATCGGGATCCAACGATTTGATCGAAATTATTGTCGATTTGGACAATGACTCTGTACTCGAGAAGAAGCCCCTCTTGGGAAAGCATTCGTATATCGATTCTGCTTACATGCAGGCCGTTGAAAAGGCCTGCAGGGCCGATTCGAGAGTCCAAGCTGAAATTCAGAAGCTCAAACTTCCACCGGGCGCCACGGTTGTCATTGAAGCATGGGCTTACGCTACAGATGGGATGAACGATATGAGCGAGCGTACCACCATGGTAAGCAATCTTTCTCTAGGAAGGAGTCTTCACTCGACCTTTTAATCTAACAACTTCAACAGTGCTGGTTCTATATGCGCCTGCTCGAAAACGAAGACGCAAACTACTACGCCTACCCCCTCGATATCTGTGCCGAAGTATCCGAGAAACTCGAGGTCACCAAGATTTACTACCTCCCCTCCTCCGAGAACGAACGAGTCCGCGAGAATGCCCAGCCCTACGATGACCGCAAGATCCACTCACCCGAGCTGAGCGAGTACCATCCCTCTCTTCGCCCAGAACCCCGTACAACCACCAAGCCATACCAAGTCATCCAGCCCGAAGGCCCATCTTTTAAGGTCGACGGGAACCACCTAAGCTGGGAAAAGTGGACTATGCGCGTAGGTTTTAACTACCGCGAGGGCCTGACCCTCCACGACCTCCGATACGACGGCCGAAACCTCTTCTACCGACTCTCTCTATCAGAGATGTTTGTGCCATACGGGGATCCCCGATCTCCATACCCGCGCAAAGCAGCCTTCGACCTAGGCAACGACGGCGCCGGCATCAACGCGAACAACCTCCAACTAGGCTGCGACTGCTTGGGTTTGATCAAATACTTCGACGGCTGGCACAATACAGCCTCCGGAGAACCGCTTAAGCTTCCCAATGTAGTCTGCTGCCACGAACAAGACGATGGCATCCTCTGGAAACACACGAACTTCCGCACGCAAAATGCGGTAGTGACTCGCTCACGCATCCTCGTCTTGCAAACTATCATCACGGTGAGCAATTACGAATATATCTTCGCCTTTCATTTTGGGCAGGATGCATCGATTCACTACGAAGTGCGTGCTACGGGGATCCTCTCCACGGCTCCGATTAATATCGGCGACAAAGTCGGCTATGGGACGGTCGTTGCACCGGGCGTGCTTGCTCCATACCACCAACACCTTTTCTCATTGCGCATCGACCCTGCCATTGACGGGATGGCCAACTCCCTGCAAGTCGAGGAGTCGCACGCCATGCCCGTTAACAACCCAAATATCCACAATCCATCTGGCGTAGGCTACTCGACCAAGTCGCAGATCATCACAGAAGAAAGCGGACACGACCTCGACCATTCAAAGAACCGTACCTTCAAAATTATCAACGAGAACAAAACCAATCCGATCACCGGGACTCCAGTTGGCTTCAAGCTGCTGCCGTGCTATAGTCAACTCCTCCTTGCACATGGGGACTCGTATCACGCGAAACGCTCTGAATTCGGACAGCACGCTGTATGGGTAACGCGGTACGAAGATGATGAGTTATTCCCCGCTGGTCGATACACGATGCAGTCGATGGGTGGCGAGGGCATTGCTTCTGCAATTGAGCGACGGAAGCAGGAGGGGACGTCTTGGGTTCGAAATGAAGATATCGTCGTCTGGCATACGTTCGGATCGACGCATAATCCGCGCATTGAAGATTGGCCGGTTATGCCGGTGGAGAAAATGGTTGTTGGGTTGAAGCCGGTTAATTTCTTCCTGGGGAATCCGGGGCTGGACGTGGCTGTGTCGACGCAGGAGAAAAACCGGAGTGTTTTGGTGGAGGGTGGTTCGGCGAAGGATTGCTGTCGGTTGTAGATATAGTAGATTAGTAGTCTTTTACATTTGCTATCTAGTGGAATAATCATGGATGATATATTGATGCTGGATGAGTTCGTACTAAGAGATGAATAGTACTTGTAAATGTACTAAGAATACTAAGAAATACTCACCAATGACCGGCTGGGAATCTCCAACCGGGTGGTGGCGGAAGGGCGACTGCCTGATTTGCAATGGGTTAGTTTCGGGAGAGGCTACCCCGCAAAATCCAACGGCTATCCTGTTTTCGTCCCACGTCACCAGCTGCTTCCTTATTTCCCGGTTTTGTGGTCCTTTCTGCCTCCTCAACTACTCCGGGCTGCCAGCCTCCCTAACTAATCACATACAACTACACCAACAGCGACAGCTTCAACTACAGAAGCAAAGGACGTTCAAGAGAACTCAAATGTCTAGATTCACTCGTGGTCTCATATCACCGCGTCTGTCCAAACAGACCGGAAAAAAAAAAAACAAAACTATCTTCGCTCGAAACAAATGCCAACACCAGAACATGGGAACCGAGAATTTTAGCCCGTCTCTCATCATGGAGAGCCACGGACGAGAGCCAGTGACGAAGAAGAACACCATGGTATGAATGCGCTCGAGATTAATCACAACGACAGGTGGCCAAGGCACAGGAAACGAGAGAGGTCTATAAGAGAGTAAGATCAAGATCAACCAGCAAGCTGCATCGTCTCTCTAAAGAGGAATATCCCCAACAGGGCAATCAAAAGACAGATCGAAAACTTCTCCGAATCTAATAAGAACGTGAGAAAGAAAAGATAATCGATCGACATATCATCCCCGCCTCTATGTTCTTGCCAGATCTCATCGAATGTGTGTGTGTGCGCCAGCATGTATACGCAAATTATCAAACAAATGGACGCAGAAGAAAAAGCATTCCCAATGAACTCTTTTCTCTGTGTCTATTTGGCCAGCTTGGCGGGGGGAACACCGATACCGTTGGTGTTGCGGTAGAAGAGAACACCCTGGCTCTCACCCTTGGCACCCTCGGTCGGCTCAACCCAGTGGCACACACGGGCGCTGGTCCACAGGGCCTTGAAGAAGCCGGTCCAGCCAGTCTGGGCCTCGGTACGGTAGTGGTTACCCATGACGCCCTTGATGGCCTCGCTGGCCTCGTCGGCGTTGTAGAAGGGGATGTTGCTGACATAGTGGTGCAGCACATGAGTCTCGATGATGCCGTGGAAGATGTGACGGCCGACGAAGCCGAAGTCACGGTCGATAGTGGCGGCGGCACCGCGGGCAAAGTTCCACACCTCGGGCTGGTAGTGAGGGAGGGTGGGGTCAGTGTGCTGCAGGAAGGTGATGGCAACTTTAAAAGGTATGTTAAAATGTGTCCCCTGTATATAGAAATGATGTTCAAAAAACTTACCGAGCCAGTGGTTCACCCACAGGTACGGGATACCGTACCAGACCAACAGGTTAAGCCAGCCATAGGTGGAGCCGACATAGTACAGAACGGAGCCGGTGATGAAGAGACCGAGGTCAGACAGAGCGATCAACTTGGCGTCCCGGGCCTCGTACAGAGGGCTGGAGGGATTGAAGTGGTTGACACCGCCGAACCAGCCGTTGGCCTTGCCCTTACCGCGGCCTTCGGGCTGCTTGGAATGGTTGTTGTGGCCGGTGACGTTGGTGATCAGGTACATGGGCCAGCCGAACAGCTGCTGGAGTAGCAGGTTGGAGGCAGTCAGAATGGGGGTCTCCTCCATCAGCTCGCTGAGCTCGTGCAGGGTGCGACCAACACGGCTGGCATACTGCTCACGGGTCTTGGGAACGAACACCATGTCACGGGCAATGTTACCTGTGGCCTTGTGGTGCTTGCCGTGGGAGATCTTCCACGAGAAGTAGGGGACCAGCAGAGCCGAGTGGCAGACCCAGCCAACAGTGTCGTTCAGCACCTTGGAGGGGGAGAAGGCTTGGTGACCGCACTCGTGGGCCAGCACCCAGACACCGGTACCGACCAAACCCTGAACGACGGTGTACAGGGTCCAGAGGGCAACACGAACGGGCATGAGCGGGACATACTCCGGGGTGACATAGTTGTGGAAGAGGTAGAAGACGGAGGCCAGGATGGCAATGTCGCGGAAGACATAGTACAAGCTGGTGATGGCGGAGCGATGGAAGCAGTGGGCGGGAATGGCATCGCGGATCTGCTTGATGGTGAAGTCGGGGATCTTGAACTCATTGCCATAGGTGTCGAGCATCTTGGAGTGCTCCTGCTCCGAGGCCATGGAGGACAGCGAGGTCGACGAGGGCGACTGGCGCGGGCTATCAAAGGGCGAGGCCGAAACCGAGCTGGCTGAGGAGTCGGTCGTGGGGGCGTTGCGATTCAGCGCAACGCGCTTCGGAAGGGCCGTGGACGACATGGTAAATATATCGGATATCGATGTTGACCGAGCTTATCCTTCCTTCTTTTTGCTCTATTATGTGACGAATTGCCGAGCCAAAACGAAAAACCGGAAGGCGAGAATAGTCGAGGGAACAGAGAGGGTTTCTCTAGGAAAGAAAAGCCCAATGCGAGTCTCTAAGTCCAGCAGGTCAGATTCAGTCCTCGATTAGAGCATTCGGGGACTCCGACGACACTCACGAGGATAGGAGCAAGGCCCTAGCGGGTTGAGTTTTTGCTTGTGGTTACACAAGGCAGGGTTCTCGTGAAGGAGAGAAGCGGTGGGCGGAGAGGGGATAAAAGCAGATCCTGACACTCAGGGACCCCCGAAAATGCTCAGAAATAAAAACCGACGATCAGCTCTTCCGAGGACGAAAGGGAGGCAAACGCTGAAAGGGTCAAAGAACCAGGTCCAAAAAGAAAAAATAAAAGGGACCCGTGGGCCGTGGATGGTGGAATTTGCAACACGCGCCACGGCTAGTACATACTCAGTAGGTGTGGTTGACATGCTTGCGGGAGCGGCCCAAGGTTGACCAGCGGAGAGAAGTGCAAATTTACCATACCATACCACCTTCAATAGGGAAGTGCGCCCTCCACTTCGTTTGACTTTTGTTGGTTTCGCGCTGCATGAACTCCTCTTCAGCTCCGGCCGATCTTTACACCTCCACTTCACACAGCAGATCGGTCGACGCCACCGCTGCATTTTGCACCGGATTCCGACTCACGACCACGGGGATTGTTTCCTCCATTCCGTCCAATTAAAGATGGAAAAATACCAGGACTGTACTGACCCACGGGTGGTTCTTCAGCTCGCGCCACCGCCCAGGCGCTGCTTTGCCCCATTGGGTGCTCAACATTTTTCTGCGGGGAGGCGACTGATAATCTTTCGATCATCGTATGTGACAGATGGAAGGAGACTCAGGGGAACATCGGAGAGACCGTGTATATCCAAATACACAATTATAACAGGAGTATTTGAGAATGCCTTTAAATACTCCTGCAGGTCTATCTGGTATTCCCAAGTGCTTATCTCAAACGACCACAACGAACTACAGTAACAAGTACCCGCCTCGCAGCCGAATTCACATGGGGGTCGCAGCAGCCGATCTCGATCGACCTCGGCGGGTCATTTTCGTGCGCGCCCCGACGTGCTATACCCTCACGCGTATTGGACAGTGGCGAGCGAGGGACCGGTGGCGATTCAATGGTTGGCATGCGCAAGGCATGTGATGCCATGCTGACGGATAAGGGCGCGCGACGCCAGACCGTGAGCCGAGGGCGAAAGGCGAAAGGCGAAAGGCGGTTGGGATGAACCGATCCGTCTTTCACCGCGAGATCGGAGCAGGGGATACCTGGGGATACCTCTGCCTCTAGTCGCAGAAGCAGAGTGGCACCGGGGCCTGGCAGGCGGAGTGGGGAGGGTAAGTAGCCTGAGGTACCGACCCTATACTTCCCACCTTGGGCTAGTGCACCGTGGACTGCTTGTTGGGCGGGCGGGACCCGCTCCAGTTTTGTTGAGGCCGCGCCCCGCCAATCATGCCGGCTCCACTCGTCTTTTTGCAAAACGATCCAGACCTCAAGACCCTTACACTGGAGTAGTTTTTAGGGTACACCACGTAAGGATAGGCTCGGTAGGGCTCAGCATGTGGGGAACAAGTATAGCAGGCCGACTTGAATTTATTTTAATATTTTAATAACAGGTCGGTTGGCCGGGTTCTGTAGACCATCTGTACACTGTAATATACAGTGTATGAAAAGACCGCTGAACAGAGTTCGTCATTCGTAGATCTATATACACTATCGTGTAGCAGTACAGCCATATTCATTACATGGCCGTCATTTTATACTATGAAGCCATCCTATGGCCATTCCATTGTTCAATCATTGAACGATTAATGATTAGTGCACCTCCGCACGTCGCTCCGAATCGACAAGCCACGACGACCCCCGGTGCCCGAGGCACTGAGACTAACTGTCGTCTTGCGAAGATCCGGCAGCACCAGCACCGTCTCCCCATGATTACGATAGTCCACCTCACAGGGAATGGCGTGTCGCTGCGCCGGAGCCCCGGGAACCCCTCCTGGGGCCGGATCAGATGTCGCAGGCGGAGAAGTCGGGGTGGGTGTCTGGGATGGCGCGTAGGTGCGAATCTCAAGTCCAGGCAGGAGAAGATGGCCAGGCTTCTGGGGCAGCAAAAGCACCGTGAACCGGGTGGTTTCACCTTCGCGAATGAGGAAATTGCCTCGGCGCCGGCCACCCAACAGCCAGAGCTCGGGGTTGGCGTGGAGTTCGTACGAGCATTCGAGAGGCTGCCCGGCCAGTTCCTGGCTTGTTGGGGAGCACCAACGGCGTGTGTGGCGGAGACACAGCTCGGCGGTGATCATCTGGCCCACGGCCGCGTGGGTGGTTCCAGATTCACTGGTTTGGGCACCAGGCTGGAGCTGCAACTCGGCCGTATGTACCACTTGGATCTCCGGAATGTCGACGGGGATCACGATACTCCGGGTGGGGATGGAGGGCTGCGAGGGCAGCCGGATGATTGGGTTGTTCTGTTATCAAAGCAGGTTAATACATGGAGTCCAAGAAAAAAGCAAAGGGTTCCACCAAGGGCGTAGCAAATCAACGTACCTCGTGCCATACCGTGAGCCATTCGTGCAGTTCCTCCGTGCGTCCCTTCAATGCAGCCAACAAATCATCCCAACGGACACTGCGGTACGGGGGCATTTGAACTTCCCGAATGAGGCCAATGACTTCCATGTCAGCGGTGGAGAGCTGACCACGAACGCTGCCAACCATATGCGATGTCAGCAACGAGGCATACTGGCTAAACGGACTAGACTCGAGCGCAGAGCCAAACTGTTTCTCAATCGCATCGAGACTTTCATCGTCCACACAGGTAAAGTCAACCCGAAGACGAAGACTGCGCTTTCCGGTCGGGGAGGCCGTGGCTGATTTCCCGACAGGGCGGATCTTGTACAGCAGGGAAGCAGGTTGCTTGGGGAAGACATCTAGCGCCACGGGGCCGGTGATACTGGACTGCACGTCATAGGCCTCGGAGCTGGGAAGACTGCAGTTTGTGATGCGCAGTGGAATCAACATGGCGGGGCTGATAGTGAAACGCGAGAACAGCAATTCATCCTTGAAAATGTCCTGCACGTTGACCGATATGGGGAGCGTGGCAACAACACTATGCACTGTCGAAAAAGCAAATCGACCCTGTGCCGTTTCATACCCGACCTCTGCCCGTGCAGATAGTGTGGTGTATGCTTCTTCCACAGTGTAAGGGATCCGGAGTCGCACAAATGACTTAGGAGGCAAGTAGGTAAACTCGATGACCCCAGAGTCATTGTTGGCCACCACTTCAAGCTCACCCTCCACCACTTCGGTCTCCGCTATCCGCAGGCGCAGGCCGGCCGTGGCTGGTCGCACGCGAATGGTACCGGACTTGATGTCATTTCGTCCGCTCTCGAGTTCCAGCTCTAGCGTACGCATGGCTTCCAGATTGATCAGGTGGGGTGACACCACCTTCGCTTGCAGTCCACTCGGCGCAGGATAACAGAAGATGTATGGCCGTCGGTCCGTCTCCTCTGCATCCTCGGTCTCCCGGAAGCCAACCGGAAGACCCGAGTGCTGTCCGCTGTTGAATGTGAAAAGGAGATTGCCGGACTTCATCTCGAGTCGATCGACAATATACTTGCCTTGAAGTGTAGTCTGAGATAGATATTAGCGTTGCACATTGGAATACAGCGAATGGAATTACATACCGGAGAATCAATGAGAATCTTGGTCATCGACGATTTGATCGTGAAATTGGCCGATCCTTCGATCCAGTGCTCAGTGTTCTGAGACGCGCTGGCGCTGACAAGTCGGACTTTGACGGAGTCGATATCAACCTGAGGACCAAGCAGGTACCTCAAGGAAAGCTGGATCTGGAACCCATCCTTATCATCGTACAATCGAACAGCTGGGTCGACTTGTAGATCTGCGAAGAAATCCAGCAAGGACGCCGTGACGTCTTTTTGCAGATCACTGACTCCCTTGAAGAGGTCAGCAACGTACCCGGAAAGCTGCTCCTGCTGAACGATGGAAATTGGAGCAGCCGAGGACTTTTGCCGCAGAGACAGCTTAGATTGCGAATACGCAGCAAATTTGGCGAGAAGCTTGAGCATCATCCGAACATAGTCTTCGTTACGCTTGAGCTCCTTCAGACACCGAGAGTAGAGCTCAAGCATGGTTCCTTCCAGGACCACCCAGAGTTTACTTCCGTAGAAAGGAGCCATTTGGTGGAAGTAGGAGGCTGCAGCCTCGTAATCGCCTTGTCGGAAGCGAAGAATGGCAATGTCTGCCAATGCCATTTCAGCCGAGTTGGCTCGATTGGCAACAATATGATGACGGATGATGTGGTCCGTAAGCTCCTCATATACTGTCAAATATGTCTCTCTGGAAACCAATGCCGCTCTGAGTGTAGAAAGCTCTACGCCAACGAGTGATGACTTTTGGGGCTGAGAACCATTTTTCTCATTGCCATCGTCCAAAGAGACATCTGCGAGGCCATTAGAGCCACAGCTATCATCGAAGAGTAGACCAAGGCTGTTCCACTTTTCAGCCCAGCCACGGCGGCGAGCGATCTCCTCAAGAGATTGCCGTGCCAGAAGCAGCAGCTCCCCTCGCGCGGATGCCAGTTGCTCTGAGCCGGTTTTCTGTGTTGGAGGAGAAGCAGGCTTGGGATGATCCAAGGTTGAGCGCCTTTGAAGCAGGCCGATTGATTCAGACATGTCCTGGGTTACCGGACGGGGAGGACGACCGCCGGATGATTGAATCAATGAACTGGACCTACGAGGAACGTCATTGCGATTCTCCGGTCCTGGGGGAATGGGATTCGAAGGCTCGTTGCCCCGAGTCACTGCTTGAATGGGTGACTCCGGCAAGCTCAGAGCTGAGGTGAAAGTTTGATCCAGAATTTGCAGAGCTGCCGAATATGCCCAGTTAGAAACAAAATTGCTGATGGTGTCCGCTTTGGCAACGTTTTCCACTTCGGCAAGTCCATAGTCCAGGCCGTAGCGAAGGGTGCGTGCAGCCAGACTGATGAATTCAGTGGATCTCTGACAAATCTCCGAAAGCAAGATCAGATCCTCTGGTTTTTTCTCACGCGTCGCCGGTTCCGTCCCAGCCAGAGATGGAGCTCTTGCAGCACGCAGCAGTAAAGTAAGCTGGCGAGAGAAGATGTAGGTGCGGAAGTCGAAGATGGAAATATCGCTAGCCAAGATCATTTCTCGGTATGGAAATTTGTTGGAGCTCAGAGGAAAGTCCTCCGTTTGAATTTCCAGCGACGGGCCTTTCTCGTTGCCTTCGTCCGTCGATGCGCCTGCTTCCAGGGCCTTTTTGGCAGCTTCCACCCAGCTCTTGCTAGAGTTCAAAAGAGTATTGCCATGCTGTTCTCCACTGCCTTCAAGTTGGTCGCGAATAGCGGCATCCAACCCAACAGACAATTCATCATATCCCACTAATGCATCGTCGAACAATCCCACATTCTCGAATCCCCGCGCAAGACCCTCTTTCAAGATAAAGAATGTGCAGAAGTTCCACCCGGGGAGACTCCGCTGCGCATCCTTTTCCTTGATGTCTTCCTCATACTGGGCCACGCGAAGATCGAAAGATGCCAGAATGCCATTCTTCATTTTATCAATTAGGTCCTCAAGCTGCTCGGCCAATTCAGGGGATTTTGGGTTTCCTTGCTTCGGGAGTCGCAATTGCGCTACACGGTCGACTGCTGTCTTGGAGGATCCGTTGAAGTCGGCCTTGACTTTCTCGAGTACAGTCGTCGTGCTTCGTCCCCATTTTGAGGTGGGCGCAGGCGCCTTCTCAGCACCTTCACCGTCTTGTACGACATGTAGGATGAGCCATTCGAATGCATCGTGCTTTTCCTGGCTGCTTCCGGTCGATTGACCCGTACTTGACGCTCCCTGCGCTTTGATCCATTCCCGTAGGGTCTTGCGCGCGGTTGCCTTGTAGGTATCGTTGTCGTCGCAACGGAGGAGGTAGACCTTTAGGTATGGCGTCTGTCGCAGACCGGGGATCTGATGCCGGCGATGCGGCACAGCTCCGGCGCCTTCGCTAGACGATTTTCGTTCACTCGGCTCATTCCGGGCGGGCGCAAATCCGATCCGGAGAGACTCAATCGATCGAACGGGGCGAGTGGGCGATTTCCAGTGGAGATTCTTCAGGGGGAGCTTCGACTCGACAACGGGCTGGACCAGAGGAAATAGTCCAGATGGGTCCGTGTACTCGACTGCACATTGAACAAGTAAGGCGTTAGCAGACTAGCCGGGACAAGCTCGGGGTGTTGAGGGCCATCGTGGTGGATGTCGCACCGGTCACATTGCTCGACGCTGCCTTGGAAGGGTCCATGATTCCCGGGCGCAATTCGGGAGTCAGCCAATGGCACTTAGATCATGCCGCTTCGAGGACCACAAGCTGCTGGGAATTCCGCGAGAGGTGTTGTTGACTTGGCTGTCGCGGGGCGGTGTTTGGGAGACTCCCCGTCGCTCTTGAGGGTCACGGGCCGCAGCTTGGCACTCCGCCCGCTGGACCGCCTATACTCCCCTCTACAGTTGGGTATCGTACTACCTTCTCGTCTCGTTGACCGCCAGCTTGTGTTCGTGGACAGCATTCTGAGCAATTCAATCAAGTCTGGAGATCAAAGATCGTTGGGTTTCCATGCAGGTAGGTCTACATGCCCTTTCCCTCTCCGTCCACTGGCAGGTGGTCGTGTGGCAACCCTTCATTGAACTAACCCGTCTAAAGTGGCCATCGCAAAGAATAAGAGGCCAATCCTCATACTTTGGCTGAATCACAGATGACACAAAATTGCAGGCCGGTCACAAGGCCTCCCATAATTCAAACTCTGGTGAGTTAGTTTGGGCTTGGCCTGCCAGTATCAGATCCCTTTCCTTGTCAGCATTGTTGCACCAGCCAATAGCCAAACAATTACAGACTTCTGATCAGCTGAAAATCCAACCCAGCCTACTTGAATTGCTGGAGCTCGCTATCTGAGACTCCGTGTCAAGGCATGAGACAAAACATTCCCAAATCTGACAAGTGGCAGTGCGCCGCCCTTACTTGGTCGTGAAGCATCTGGGGCTTTAGCCTCCGTTCGTTTCAGGGGCACGAAAATATTTCCCCGCAAGGAGACTTCAATTCAGTGTTTTCTTGAGGTGAAACGCGCGAATTAAATGCCAATGGTATCCTGTGAGCCCTTAGTTGCAAGAATGACCAGTTGCCCACCACAGCCCCTTTTTCGAACAAGTCCGCACTACCAGGCAAATAGTGAATAATTGTAACAACAATCGAAACGGAAGATAAGACGCGGCGAGATAAGGTGCTCAATAATCGGCAAGCAGCATGCAGCGCTCGAAATTGGGTCAGCCTCCCCAGCGAATGTACGCCAAGCCACTCAATGCAAGATCTAGGTTCAATGATCGGCGGCGATCACCCTTCCCAATGAATTCCACATTCTGTCATCGCGCGTCTCCCGCGTTCCACCTGGAGCCCCTGGGGTCAATATACACGGGGGGCGTGGTCCTACATAGTGAGTGGTCCCGTTCACAATTTTTCCTCATGTAGCCATGGCGGCCACTTCAGTCATCATCTACACGTGAAGCAGAGAGAAGCGTTGAGAGGCCTGACAGCCATGTCTAGCAGCATTCAGTTCGCAGAGCCGCCCATCTCCAAGAAACAGGTGCCGGAGCGCATTGGGAGGGAACGGGCCAACACTGCGGAAAACGAAAAGGGGTCGGCACCCCGAACACTCTCCCCCGGCAGCGAAATCGTCTATCCGGTGGGATGGAGACTGAGGCTCAATATCATAGGGTAGGGATCATGATCGACGAGGCCCCATTGAGGTTGCTGTCAGTGGATGACGGAAACTAATTCATGAATCGGTGCTAGGCTCTTGATTGGGTTCTTCCTCTCCAATTTGGATGTCACCATCGTGAGCTCATCTTTGACGAGTATCACGGATAGTCTGGAGGGCTTCGAGAAGAGGAGTTGGATCATTACTGGTTATTTGGCCACCTACACAGGTATGATCCCGAAAGCTACTCTTGAATAATTCGTTTCTTTTTTCTTTTCCATACGTGACATCGTGCTAATATGGGGCTTGACTGCAGGGTCTATGGCAATATGGGCTAAGGGTAGTGATATAATTGGGAGAAAACACGCGACGATCGCGTCTCTTGTGATTCTGTTGGCATTCTCCATTGGATGCGGGCTCGCCCAGACAGTTGACCAACTGTAAGACCTGAGTAGTTGGTTTCATGTCCATGCATTCAAAAGCTGACGTTGACCACAGGATCATATTCCGAGCGTTGCAGGGAATAGGCGGCGCCGGTGTTTACGCACTGGCGATACTATGCATCTACGAAATAGCCCCCAAAGCAAAGCTTCCATTCTACAGTGGATTGATGTCATTTTGTCTTGCTCTTGCATCTTTGATCGGTCCGATCATTGGGGGCGCGCTTGCACAAAACTCACAATGGAGATGGGTTTTCCTCATCAAGTATGTGGGCACTTAGTGTCGAGCTAACTGGACTATCCCCACTAATTGATAATTTCTAGTGCTCCGTTATGCGCAGTCGCAATCATCATTATCATGGCTGCGATGCCCACGAACTTCGGTCTCGATCAACACATGCCGTCGCTCAGAACACGAGCATCGTATCGCTCTTTTGTCAATCTGGATCTTGTGGGGTCATTCCTCATGCTCACAGGCTCCTTTTTGATTGTCGCCGTCTTGAATGAAGTAAATCTGGCGTTCGCATGGTCTTCCAGAAGTGCGGTTGCTCTCCTGGTGCTTACTGGTATCTCATGGATTGCCTTTTTCTGTTGGGAATGGCATCTCTCAGATTTCCCGAAACAGGACCCCATATTCCCTAAGCGCTGGCTTTTTGATCGGGCTTGGATGGGTATCTTGATGTGGGTGGGAACGCAATATCATTCACGAGAGCCTTGCGCTAACAGGTTGTTTCTAGCTCCTCGTTTGTTGCTGGGGTAGTATACAACGTGGTTTTGGTATATGTTCCACAACAGGCGCAGCTGCTATTGGATAAGTCGCCCCTCGATGCTGGCATCTATCTGATCGGGTACTCGGCCGTTGCAGCCATCGCAGCAGGCCTCGTCAATATCGCCAGCTCTCATGGCCGTGTTCCATTTGTTTATTCCCTACTTGTCGGATGTACGGTACATACAGTGGGAGTCGGACTCCTTTCCACAATCGCCACTTCAAAGGGGTTCCATGCGACAGATATCGTGTACGAAGCTATTGCAGGAGCAGGACTGGGAATCACAATGGGCATTCTGGTGTTGGCACCGCCATACATTGTCGAAGACCGAGATCTCAGTATGTTTCCTTCCTGGTCGCGCCGTCCACAACTGAACACCCAGAATACTAACGCATAATGCACCATAATAGCAATCGCCACTGGATTTGTTGTTCAAGTTCGGCTCCTCGGAGGCGCCATCGGCCTGGCTATTGCATCCAACATTCTGAACGGCCGTCTCGCACACCATCTGCGGGGCATCCTGACACCGCATGAATTGCACCTATTTCTCGAAAATGTGGAGTCGATAAAGGCAGTATCTTCTCATCTTCAGGATGAAGTCAAAGACGTTTTTGCCGCCAGCTACAGCACACAGCTGAGGGTAATGATCGGGTTTGCAGCCGCGCAGCTACCAGCAGTACTTCTTCTTATCAAGTCTGGGCGTCAACTTGCGGCGAGGAAAACACGAACGAACAGTAATCTTGGGCAATAATTCCTGCTTTCCTGCACGATCGCAGCGTAAGCCCTGTTCCTTGATAAATGGAGCACGGGGAGTTCATGTGAAATCAATATCATAGGCCATTGAACGCATTATCAGATTTTTCTCGCAAGGTATACAAACGACATAATGTTTTATAGTAGTTATTGGAGTAATTATTGGAGTAATTATCAGGTCTCACTCGATTAGAATCAAGTCTGCCTGCAGTATCCATCTAATCGCTGCGCCTACCGGCCCAATTAGCTTGGGACGGGTCTGATCCAAATCGGGTTATGTATACGAAAACGATATTCCTCCAAATTTATCAGCTTTAGATGCATTCTGCAACAATAACAGGGAAAAGATACGAGTACGAATGCTTCAGTAAAATTTCATCGCTGCCTAAGAAGGAAGATGTTTATAAAGGGCGTCGCTGAAAGGTCTTTGCAATCCACTCCTCAGTCTTTGCTTTCTCCTACAGAGCAACATATCGCTGCACCGTTCGAATCTTGACATCGAGTTTCACATTCAGTTTTCATCTTAGCCCAAAAAAAACCATATTAACTACCTCACACGACAAAATGGGTCTTTCACTTGCCAATCTCACCAAATCTCACCTTCACAAGATCATCGGCGGTGGAGTCCTGATTATCTTCATCTTGGTTATTGCACGACTAGCCGTCAAAGGCACACCTGCATCGAGAACTAATACATGGGGCATTGCAGTGGTAAGTAGCTATCTACAATATTTCCGATCATTACAGCTCAAGTTGGTTAATCGGTTTTAATACAGTGTGTCAAGTCGGGTGTCTTTCTCGCCTATCAGCTCCTCACAGCTCATTTTGAACGCCTCAAACGATGGGCGAGCACAAAAGCGAACATGATTTTAAACATCATTGATACTGTCTTCTGGTTCGCACTATTTATCATTACGATCCTGGGTACGATGGGAGCCCTCAGCGAAGCTAGTCGGGCGCTGGGTGGGATTATAGCCACGTTGACCGTCCCTTTATTGTGAGTTATAGGTAGTCAGGTGCTTCTTTGAGTGTCCTTTTTACTTGTCAAAGATAAGCGCTAACTTCTTTTCGTCTCCAGTTGCCTCGACGCTTATTTATCCTATATTTGCATTTGCGAAAGACGGCACTTTAAGAAGTACGGATCTGTCCGTGAAGACAGCCTACCCAAATCTGCCTGCTGAAGAAGCATGAAGAGTCATTTTGATAGAACTTGGCCCATTAAATACACTAGCGTTATGTCCAGCGTCTATTGTTTGAAAATTTCTCTAAACTCATAATGCGAACTCATATATGCTCACCCTTCAGTACCCAGCAGCATTGGGTAGCTCAGCAGGAGTGTCGTCCCGGTACTTGTTAGTGATCAATCCACTGAACGATGGGGACCACTCCACACGCGGAGTAAGAGGCTCCAAATCCCACAGCTCAGAGACAAACTTGAGGATGGAAGTGTGGGTATAGTCGTTCGTGTTCGCTTTGTGCTCAATGGCACCTTTCTCGACCCACGGAGAGATCAACATGGTGGGAACACGGATTCCCAGACGGTCAAACTTGAAGGTATAGTTCGAGTCGCCGGTGCCCTTTTTGGACGGCTGCTCTTCCCAGGTAAGATCGTCGCCCGCGGGCACGCCAGTGGGGGGAGCGACGTGATCGGCAAAGCCGCCATGCTCATCCCAGGTGACAATGAAGAGAGTCTCGTTCCATTGAGGGGAGTTGCGGATTGCCTCGTAGATGCCCTTCATGAAGTTCTCGCCCATGTTGATCGGGGATTTCGGGTGCATGGACATGTACTCGCAGCATTCGGGGTTGATCCAGGTGAATTGGGGCAGCTTGCCTTCCTTTGCATCCGAGTAGAATTGCGAGATAGGGAAGACGTTGGTCTTATCCTTGCCGTTTTCCTTGGTCCAGCTATAGAACATCGAGTCGGGGGCAAAGGGTGAGCTGACGGTGGTGGTGTTCTCGTAGTTGATCCAGGAAATGTTGTTCTCAGACAGCTGCTGGAAGATCGACTTCTGGGGCAGTGTCGAGTCGTAGAAAGGACTGGTGTTACCGCCCTCGCCGTGCGAGGTGCCCGAAGTCAAGTAGGCGCGGTTGGGGTCTGTCGGACCGGGGATAGAGGCGAACCAGCGGTCGAAAAGAACGAAGTTCTCGGCCATGGCGTTGGTCACTGGCACCTGGTCGGGAGTATAGTAGTTGATCACTTCGGCCGCTTCCAGCATCTTCCCCTCCAGAGTGTAATAGGTAGCCTGCTCGGTGACGAAGCCCTCCATGGTCGACTCATCCCCATCCTCGGGGTAGTATTTGCCAAACACCTGCATGTTGCCGCCCCAAATGGTGTGATCGGGGTCGTCTTTGGCAATGTTGTTGGCAATGGGCTTGCCGCAGACCTGCTTACCATGGGGCTCCGAAATGTTGGCCGGGTTGCAGAAGGGAGTATCGCGGCCGACCAGTCCATCGATGTCATCGCTGTAGGTGAGACCGCCGACGAGGGTGTCAAACGACCGATTCTCCTGCACAAGCACGACAACGTTCTTGATGTTTTTCAAGGGCGATTGCTGCGGGGCCGCGGTGGCCCCCAGGCCAAGTCCAAGGGTGAGCAGAGCAAGCGACGGGACCATGTTGACGGTGCGGTGGAAGTCGCGAGGAATCTGGACGACGGAGACGCGACCTCTTTCCTATTTATCGCGTCTCCGTCGACCACACTTCGCACGGAGCCTCGCAGAGTAATTCTGCTCCGAGTCAGATCCGAGGTGGGCTTCATCCATGGACATTGGCCTGTTTCTCCCCTGGGACCCCCGCAGGATCGCTGATCGAGCCATCCCTAAGGGTTGCGATTGGCCCTGGGCACCATCGGTTCCTGATCGTCGTCTGCCCAGCACAGCTTTGGAAAGTCCTGCCCCAGCCTTGTAACCTCGCAGCCTGGTCCGCCATGCAACCTGCCCCTCTTTGCTCGTCTCTGCGTCTGTTTTGGATCGTGACATCGCGCGTATCGTCGACGTCCCCACTCTGTGCTTAATTGGCTTCATAAGCTGTGCATGTCCGGATGGTCGACAGGCGATTTCGCCGGGAAATACAGACTGCATAAAGCACTTGCACTGGGTCCACGCGGTCCGCGGAACCGCGATGACCCACTGGCCTTCCGGAAAACCTCGGTGATTGGCGGAGGAACGTTGCATCTGTCTTGATTGTTAATGGTGGCCTCGTGGGGACGAAGCAGGGAAAATGGCTCCGAGTCTACAGAGCTTAGCTGCAACGGCTGGAATTGGCTATGGGCAGATCATCCAGCCTTGAACATGAGGCTGAGGTGTTGTGAAGAACAACCAGGGGTTCTTGCGAGTCATGTGTTCAATTAATGTTCTATTTTCAAACCAACATCGCAAGATCGCATTCTCTTACTGTAGAGAGTTTAAATCAAATGGGGTATGGTATGTGGTGTCGAGGCTGAAACAGAATGAACCGATCGAAGGTAAGATCTCTAAATCTTCGATCGGGGTTTCACAAATAGAGTCTCGCCAGTCGAAAGAATTCGCTCCTCGGCATCGCATATCCGACCTTTCAGTTTCCATTTCCGATCCTCGATGCACTCTTCCAGTTGTCCATAGACAACAATTGCCCCAGGGGTATATACGGGACGTACAAACCCAGTGTTCAAGTATGCCGTGAAAGAGCCCGAAACTCCATCCGGGCTCCTGGCATTGACAAGAAAGCCCAAGCACTCATCCAGCAGTGTCGCTACCATACCTCCATGAAGAATACCTGGATGTCCATTCATATCGCTGCCTAGAATGAAAAATATGCGAACCTCTTCGATGTTTTGAGTGGCCAGAGCAGAAGCGGCGGGTTTCAAGGTTATTTGTGGGGCCGGTCGTCGAACCTGACGAAGACACGCCGGTAAGGTCGAGTTTGATTTAAGAGTCACAGCAGTAAGGCTATCCTCGGATGAGGTCTTCGGATCTCGGGCTCCATATGGAACTGTGATGAAAGATTCATCTTTGAGCAATTCCGAGATCCAGGGGATCGATTGGAAATGGGCAGCATCATCTATATCCATCTTTGGACACCAGATCAAGAGTCGCGCACCGAGACCAGCAGGGATGCAAAATAGTGTGGCTGCCGACGTTTCCTTGTGACTGCAGAGATGTGGTGGAAACAATATGCGGAGAGGGGTTGCACGGGTTTATGCGGGGAAGCCGCTTTGGGCCTCGGAAAGCAGAGAAAACACTCGATCGGGAAGTGTACTACTCTCAGGTACTAGTGCTAGTAGTACTAGGTGTCTCTAGTACTAACTAGTTTAAACTAAATTCATTGGAGTGCATTCCAAATGGGAATTGGTACAACCGTACCCCTTTTGCCTCGGACCACAACCCCACCTGAACTTTCAGGTATCTGCTAGTTCTTCCAATCGGATACACCGGTGATCCGAGTAGAAAAATGAACCTTCTGCTCTATTGGAAAAAATTATTCTAGCTCGAAGCCCATACATTTGGCATCATGATAGCATATGACTATCCAGGATAGCTATCCAGGCAGCTGATCATGTAAGTAACTGGGTTATGACTAGGTAGTTGACGAGATAGGTGACTGAGCAATGAAATTGGTAGCAGTAGGTAGAATAAAGGTTTCTGGTTATCAAGACCATGAAAGAGGTAGCATTTAGCGTTGAAAATGGCATCACCGAGTCCCGAATCATCTGAGTACAGCCAAGACAGGGGTGTGGTTTGAGACAAAGGGGGTGTGGAAGCATTACCTGCCCAGAAAATGATTTTACGAGTTTTTTTTCATCAGGGCCAAGATAGAATGGGTAAAACACCGAAGGAGTAAAGCAAAGAGAAAAATAAATATGGTACGCTCTTCTCATTCATGGGGGTTTCACGTTAACTCGCAGCAGCGGTCAAAGGTGGCTCGCTCACCTGCTCCGTCGTGGTGTCGACCTTTTCATTCGTGACAGGTGCCTGTGTCTCTGTCGCAGCGGGCGCCTTCACAGGAGGGTAGAAATCGACTTTGCCATTGCTTTGAATGACTCCAGTCCGATCTAAAAGGGAACGAGCACGGATGTAGGGGTCAAGAGTCCAGTAGTTCTCGCGGAGCTTTTTGATCACTTCCTCACGACGTTTCAGGGAAGTATCGTCCTTGGGGTTGGCAATCAGATTGCTAGTAAAGGTGAATAGCTCGCCTCCTAGCTTTTCTCTCTCGGCAAGAAGTGTACTCCGTGTCTCGGTGTCAAGGAGCCTCGCATTCTCGCTTGCCTCGGGTTCGATGTACTTGTAGTCCCAATCCTCCTTGCCGCCAAGCTCCTTGATGATTTGGTCCTCTGGAATTATTTGCTCAAGATCCTTGGCGCCGCTGATGAAGTGGACCTTTGCAGCAACGACAGGGTCAAGAATTCCTCGGATGAGCTTCCAAAATCCTGAAAATAGTATCAAGCATGTCAGTTCTAGTAGGTGGAAGGTCAAGAGTAATTGTGTGACATACCAGAGAAAATCCAGGGAGCATTGTAGAAGATCATCGCTCCCAGGGACTCGGGATAGCTCTCTTGGAAGATGTCAATAATGAACTTGACAGGTGGGAAATCCTGAGAATTGTTAGAATCCTGTTTTGGTAAGTTTCAAGAGACGGATATAGTAAGCTCACCCAGTTAGAGAGACTGAAAGAGGTGAGGTCAAACACAATGGTCTATAGGTAAGTTGCGTTAGCTTAGGCAAACATAGCAGCATCGAGCGATGCTTCTGAAATCATCAAAACTGACCATAGTCTCTACTGGAGGTACCTGCAAGAAACGAACAGTCTCGATGCAGTGAATAATGTAGTCGTTCAGGCCCTTTTTGGTTGCCGTGCTCGGATCATGCAGCCGCACTCTGACCACACAAATAGGCCGGTCATATTTATCCTTGCCATGGAAAAAGCCCTTGCCGGTATATGCCTGAAGCATGAATCCCTCACCATCTTTCTTCTCGTCCGAGTTATCGGTCAATTTTGACTTTTCAAAGTTGTGTCCTTCGCCTTTCAACATTACTTCTTCATCGACTTTGAACTCATTCACACGCCAGTCCAGGGCGGCAATGAACTTAATCCAGGCCTTGGGCACATCCCATTTCTCGGCACGCAGAAAGCGCAAAAGCAGCGCATCGGGATGGTCTTGCTTGAGAACAGTGAGATAAGTCGATCGCAACCGATCGCCGGATAATTTCAATAACAGTGCATTGATGCTTTTGAGCTCGTTGGGGCCCGCGTCTAATTCTTTCAAGGAGGAGAGAAATTGCGCAGGAATCGCAGCCGTTTCGTTCTCGGTGGGTTGGGTTGGTGCTCGACTTAGAGAGAATAATCTTGGGCGTAGTTGCGCTGAGCCATTAGAGTGCGCCGATTCATTCGAGCCAGTCGTCGGGGCTGAGATGTTAGCACCCCAAGATTGCATGAGAATTTTCCAGAAGTTTCGCAGTTTGACCTCTTGGGTGGACGTGAGGTTGCCGACATAGCCGGTCTCGGTGGCACTCGCCATGTTGATATTGATTCCCAGGTCGATTTGGGGCGCAATGACGATGTGTGCAGAGCAAAGGGAAGGATTGTTCAGATTTGAACAAGCGGGGGCTTTTTGAAGGGCTGAGATCTCTCGATCTACATCGCCCCCACGTGAGACGGCTTTGAATCGTCACTCTGTCTCCTCTTTCATAATAGCCGGCCTCGGCATGGTCGACGGAAGCTAGACACAGGAGGAGGGGTAGCTGCAGGTTTGGGCTAAATAGCGTTGACGCCGAGCTGAAAGTTGCTGCATTAAACTGGCAAACGCGAACCTTAACCTCACACCTACCACGACGAAGTGTACCGATTGTTAATACACATCTTGTCGGGGAGAGCTCAACATCCGAACTCCCCTCAAGGCCCATGGAGGTCTCATGTCAGCGTGGCTTGGGGGCCATGCACATAAGATCACACCAACCATGCAGGGTCGAAAGGGGGAGGGAGTCTCGGGGGCCGATCGGCATGATGCAGCTTCTCAAGCCGAAAGCAAACCGACGCTCTCCTTCTCCGATCACGCATGTGAACCTCGAAGATAGCGGAGGTTAAATACCTCCACACCAAGAGACTTTCAGTCGGAGAGGAATGACTCGTGGTCCTCCGCACCCCACATGCTCTTTAAAGTTGTAAGGCGCATCGTCATCGGGTGGGGCAAACATGCCTAATTTCCCGGCAGCGGATGGTCGCGCGTGGCGGTCTAGATGATGGCTTTTCCATATGCTTCAGAGGTGTTGCGCTAATTCTCGTGACGAGAAATCTAGGAAAAGGCAAATGAACAATGGATGAATGTGAAGGAAGAGTGACCCTGATCTGGTCACTCCTGATGCCTGAGGCATCTGGTTGCAGCCTTATGCACTGACAGTCAAGCCTAGGATTCTATGATGGAGATTCCATTGCCCTGCTATATCAGGATACGATTAAAGACAAGAACACTAATTTGCCACACAGGCCTCACATTCGCACGACAGTGCTCCGAATACTAGGAGTGCGGAGCAACCTCGTCGTGCCACTTCAGATATTCCATGCAATACATGAAGACAGGACCAAACGTGCCAGTGATAACGTCATACTGTGCCAGTCATTGTGTAAAAAGACTGGGAAAGGATTCAGGGGTATGTGAGGCTGCGAAGCGGGACAGAGTTGATGTCTGATCTCCAGTCGAGTCGACAGGGATGTGTGAAGGTACCCCACCTCATTGGCCCATCTTCTGCGACTGAACACAGATCTTTAACGATTAGAAAACTCGATACAAGATCTATGAGCACCCGGGTGCTATTTGAGGTGCTCTAGTGACGCGTTTGTGCATTAAAGCAGAGAATGGGGTGAAGGGGCCAACCACCCCTGAATTTCAGCCTCATCGAATACGAGCCTACTGGAAAGGGTACAAACTGTCCATAATAATGGCTTGCGCGCCTAAGAGTTCTAGAAATCTCTTTCATGATTTTCTCTCTAACTAGCTGGGTTTCTCGATGAGCAACCATGAGTCTAGTCGACGAAGCTCTAGAGTTTCTCCGTCCAAAATCTTCTCAGCCCTACTGCGAACCCAATCCTCTGTGTAACCGTACAGACACCAATTTTGTGTCCTGGCAGTACTCGGGATCCTGGCGCGATACCTTCAGCATTCTATGGAGCTGTCTCGCAACACTATTTTCATGTGCTTGGACTATCCTCGCCCTCAACATTCCCCGCAAGAAGCGACAGTTCCTTTCGCAAAATTATTCGTAAGGTGAAATGGCTAGTTATTACGCTTGCTTTTCCAGAACCATCACAATGGTTGCTCTAATCGATCTGTGGAGAGCGAAAGAGACTTGCAAGGAGATCAAAAATATCAAGAAACCAAACTCCGAAATATGGACGATGAGACACGGCTTCTTCGCAAATATGGGCGGATACCTTACAGTGTCTAAGGGCCAAGACCTGTTTCCCTTGACTGGAGATACACTTCTGATTCTAGTCGAGAACGGACTTATCGATATTCCAGACACGCCAGAGAATGAGATCCAAGACAAAGGCAAGTATGGCAACTTTGTGCAATCATTTGCCCTACTGCAGTTGCTCTGGAGGTCCATCAGGCTGCATGTAGCCTCCGTGCCAGTTATGCTGAGTCATCTATGTACATGTAGTTCCCTCTCACAAGGCCTTCTATGTCTCTCGATTCAGTCGGTTGGGTTGCCATGGCGAATTGGATGACAGATTTGACAACCTTCCGTCGTAGTAGAGAACACTGTTGAAAGTGTATGTCCTACCAGTCCCGTGAGGGAGTGGGTCTGAGCCATACCCGATCAGGAAGTGCGAAAGGCGCGGCAGATCAGTCTGATTAGTCATGCGGGCGTGACCAGGGTTTGGCTGGCGATGGTCACAACTGAATCTTCTAACCTTCCAATTTCCTCGTTCTCAAAGGGACTGGATATTGATTCCGCATATTTTTCTCAGTGACATGTTTGTTTATTAACATGACCGACGATGTAACATCCAACCACGAGCCCGTTGTCGATGCCTTCCAACTGCATCGATTGCGGGGCAATGAATACCTCGAAGCCGAGCCATATATATCAGACGATGTGTGAGTAGTGGATGAACTCGACGTTCACCAATAGAACGTCTAACCGTATATACAGATTCCTCGCCCAGTCGTTTGTGACCTCGGGCTTCTCAGACGAGCCTATCTTCAATCATCCAGGACATCCGGACCACACCAGTTCAGTCCACGGAGATACCGAGATTCCTAACTCATTGGAAAAGGATTCTGAAGGAGGAAGTATTTTCGAGAATCTACTCCACCAGTTTGACTTGGTCGACGATGGGATCGACCCGGCATTTAGCTTTTCGGCAACAAGCTCACTCGACTCCTACCAAATGAGCGAATTTGATGCAGCAGGACAAGAAATACCGATTCAAAACACGAGTGCATCACTTTCATTCCCTGACAGCTTTGATTTAAGCACCCAAGCCTTCCTCGACGGTACCAATCCCGAAGCGTTGTCGCTGAGTCCTATGGACCGGTGGAGGAATTCACCACCGGAGATGGAAGCTGCGCATTTGACCGACATCATGAATTCCGTCGCTCAAAGCAATAACACCGAGTCTCCATCTTTACAAAGATTGGCCAGTAATGCCTCGATTTCCCAACGACGCAAGCAGCGCCATCGACCGCCAACACCATCCATCGCTGCCTCCGAGTCAAGTGCTTCTAGCAGCTCCGCCTCTTCTGTCCACAGCTTTGGATCAAATCACTCAGGATCATTTGGAAAGTTCTATGTGGGCAAATCAACACGTCGGCGACGCCGGAACCCGCGAAAGAATTCCCCGACATCGCAAATCTGGGCCAAAAAGCAACCTCAGCAACGGCCGTTTCAATGTACCTTCTGTACGGACACATTCAAATCCAAACATGACTGGACGAGACATGAGAAGACCCTCCATTTATCATTGGAAAGCTGGGTCTGCGCCCCTTTCGGACCGATATACCAAGATGAAATCTCTCATCTGGACCGCTGCGTGTTTTGCGATATCGAGTCGCCATCCGAGGAGCACATCCAGGGACATCGGTATAAGGAGTGTCAGGACAAGCCAGTAGCTCTTCGGACTTTCTATCGAAAAGACCACCTCTCTCAGCATCTGCGCCTAGTGCATAGCTCGGAAAACGCCGTGGCCGGCATCGCAAAATGGAAATCAGAAGTCACGCACATCAATTCAAGGTGTGGCTTTTGCTCACAAACATTTACCCTCTGGTCCGACCGAAATGACCATCTTGCAGCACATTTTCGACAAGGCACCCTTATCAAAGAATGGAAAGGCTGTAGAGGACTCGATCCGGCAGTGGCACTCGCTGTTGACAATGCCATGCCCCCGTACCTGATCGGTATCGAATCCACAGGTATCGATCCGTTTAGCGCCAGTCGTCGGAAAGGCACATGTAGGAATGTATCAGAAATCCAATCCGTTGAAAGTGCAGTCGCAACCGCGGAGGATATACGACCGACCCCGTTTGAGCAATTGACGGAGCATTTGATCCGATTTGTTCGAGAAAAGCAGGAGTTCGGGATCCCCATCACAGATGAGGCAATACAGCAAGAAGCGCGAGTCTTCGTTTACGGTGAGGATGATCCGTGGAATCAAACTGCAGCAGATAGTCCGGACTGGCTGAGCTTCTTCAAGGATGGGATGGGCCTAGGCTCTGCATGCGTTATGAATGTGGATGCTGCCCACCATCCCAACCCGATCTTTCACCTTCCGTGGGACATCAATACAGGCGAATGGAGAGATGCCGAGGAATTAGGCAGTGGCTGTGGTTTGAATTCCATCGTCTCTGCTGAGTCCTGGAAGCCTTGGGGCTGGCAGAGCCCGGAGTGTTTGGCGGAGTTCCGCAGATTCAATCGTGACTCAGGTGCATGTCCCAACACGTCGAAAAATACGGCATGTTTGTTTGCACAGCCATCAGAGGCACATACGAGTACAGGATTATAAGAGAAATGAATAAAATAATGATAATGAATCAATGCAATACATTAATGCCAGCGATGGCGGATATAGATTCTTCCAAGCCCGCATTTCCCCGCAATGGATCGTTGGTAGTAAAGAATGAATGAGTAGTATCTGATTATCTCATTTTCTCCTCCATCGAACCATCTATGTAGTAAGGACGCGTGGAGCTACTAGTGTAATAGTCTTGATTATGACCATGAGTCAGATCAACAGCCCCCCACACGTGACGGTTCCCCTCACCACGGCCGCCTGCCCGCTTTGTAATTACCAACTCCTCGTTCCTCAATAGATTTGCATTGCATCAGAAACTCGGCATCTATTCCAGCTGTAGCAACATACAGCCTCCACCCCCAAAATAATGACGGAAAAGTTCTCCAGCGCCGAAGAGGCCGCACGAGCCCAAAGCCTTCTCGAGGCCCAAAATAAAGCCGTGGCTCTATTCGAAGAAATCGAAAAACAACTACTGCGTCCGGGCATCAGCGAGAAACAACTGAACCAAGAAATCTATGATCTCGGCGAGCAAATCGGTGTCCGCTCTCACTGGCATAAACGGGTTATCCGAAGCGGCCCAAACACACTAAGTCCCTTCTTGGAGAACCCGCCAGACCGAATAATCGAGGCGGACGACATCCTCGTCGTCGACCTGGGTCCTGTCTTCGAGGCGTGGGAGGCTGATTTCGGCCGGACCTATGTCCTCGGCAATGATCCGCACAAGATCCGGCTGCGGGATGCGCTCGAGCCGATTTGGTATAAGGTCAAAAAGCTGTATTGGGAGAGGCCTGATATGACCGGTGAAGAGTTGTACGATATTGCTTGTGCTGAGGCTGAGAAGGAAGGGTTCAAATTTGGTGCGGACTTGGCGGGACATATTGTTGGGTCGTTCCCTCATGAGCGGATTCCGCAGGATAAGATCAAGCTTTATGTGAAGAAGGGGAATTCAGAGAAGATCAGTTCGGTTGGGAAGGATGGTCATAAGCGGCATTGGATTTTGGAGATTCATCTTCATGATCCTGTTCATGGATTTGGTGGCTTCTATGAACAGCTGATGACTATTCATTAAGCGTGATCATACACAAGTGGATTTTTCAAGATGAACACTTTCGAGCGCTGCAGTGCAGCTGATATACTACTAGAAATCAGGAACTCGAATTGATCAAAGTAGCTTCAATATTTATCTATGCCTAACTAAAGAGGCTAGTGTGCCTCGCAAGCTGAAATGTATGTATAGTCGTAGCCAGTCATTATACGCAGATCCAAATGGAAACAAAAATTCTCAACATGAAAAGTGTGCTGTAGAGTGAGGTCACGCTCAGGGAAAAAAAAAAAAAAAAAAAAACTCCGGGTCTGCCAATTATCAGACCGAGAACGGAAAAAAAAAGGAGAAACAACAAAAGAAAAGATTCTAGATGCCCAATTCCACAGCCCGCTGTGTGTAGCGAGCCTTCACAAATTCAAAGCCGTCCGTAACGCCTTGCCAAATACCGGGCACATAATTCCGCATCCAAGCACAAATAACCAATAGCAGCAGAGGAATCTGTAAAAGTTAGTGCGAGTGCATTACATAGTAGGAAGATATCATGACTTACCCAAATAAAGTAGAGATTGCGGTCACTACCCAACCCCTTCATGCGGCGAGCTTGGTGCTCACGCAGGTGCTTCTGCTGTTCGCGAGAGATGACCTTACGCCCAATTGTGATGTCCTTGAGATCATCCTTGGCTGTATGGGCAGGCTCCGCCATAGCAGTAGCCGTCGAGGTCAAGGTCGAGGCCGACGCAGAAGTAGAGGCGACATTGCTTTGCGCCTCGAAGTGTTGGTCTAGGGCTGCCTCAGTAGCGGCACGAAGAAGAGCAGTCTTCTTCATTTCCGCAGCCTCGCCCTCCTCGTTCTGCTGCTGGTGCGGGTACAATTCGTCGTACGAAGGCGGCTGGGTTTGGGTCGGAGAGGCGTTGCCCTTCAGATAGTCCCACCATCCGTCTCCCCGAGTTGCCGGCCGGTGAGGCACCAGGTTCGTGATGCGGCGCATCATCTGGTTCGCCTGGTAGTCCGGCAAAGCGGGCATTGGAGGCAGCGCGGGCATGTTGGGGAAGGCATTGGCAACACTCTGCTGGAACTGATGAATCTGCGCAGTCAAATGGTTCTGCCAGGCGACAATGGCTGCCGGTGGTGAGAAACCACGAGTATCGGGTGTTGCAGGCTGTTCACCAACGTCCACAACCGGGGGAATGGCATCTTGGTGCATGCTAGATCGGCGGGACGAGCTGAAGAATACCGGGGCGTCGGAATCTTCGCTGTCCAGCTCTTCAGAGTCATCCAGATCCTCAGAGTCATCAACAGCATGACCCAGTGACCCAGATGCTGATGAAACCTCCCAAAGAGAGCTGAGGGAGGCAGAGCTGCTGTGTCTCCGGCGGGAGGAAAGAGAGCCAACGCTGCGAGCCCGGTAGTGGCGAGACGGAAGCAAGGCAGCTTGGTGTGCGGGAAGAGTGGTTGCCAGGTCCGCGGGCGTAAATCCGCGCACACTGCGAGCATTGGCATTAGCTCCAATCAATCGGAGTCGGTGGACAATATGAGCATGGCCATGAAGAGCTGCAAGATGCATGGGAGCATTGCCAGTGCTATCCTGAATGTCAGGGTTGGCACCACGGGCCAACAGTCCGGCAACAAATCGAGTCAGGCCCAAGGAGGCCGCAAAATGCAGAAGGGTCTGGCCAGTCGTGCTGCGAGAGTTGTAACGAGGCAATCGTGGGCTATCGTCCAAGTCGATGTATTCCAGGTAAGTCAGCATCTTGGAGTCGAGATCGCTGAGTTTTCCTTGAGCCTCCATCCCTGGCACCTGGCGCTGGTGACCACCAGAAGAGCCACCGCCTTGCAGATCCTTCTGCACGTTGAGGAATGCATTCGGGTCGCTTCCCATGATCTGCTGAGCAGTTTGGAAGGCATCTGCTTGACTACCAAGCTTTTGTCCCAGGATGTTCAGCGCTAGACGATACATTTGGAGCTCACGGTCATCCACGTATCTGAAAAACAGTTGCTGCTTGGGCATAAGAGGTTGGACCTGCTGCACTTGCCCAAACGTTGGGTGTTCGTGTTTGAAGACCACCGACACCAACCCTGGCTGGAGAGCCGGAGGTGTCAAGCAGTTCAGACACTTGTCACCCCAGAAGGTGGTTGTGGTTGCGAGGGTATCGCCAAAGACAACCTCCATTCCGGGGTAGAAACCACTTCCCAACAATGTAACCTCCGTGCCTCCTGTAATTGAGCCCTCCGCTGGTACAAGCTTGTGGATCACCGAGGGTAGCCGGGTAGGAGCCTGGGAAACAGACGGCCAGACTTGGTTGGCAGGAGTACCACCCAGCGCAAGCGCGAGGTTCTGATCCTGGAAACCATTCCGCCCAGAGCCACCTGGTGTGCCGGGGCGACTAGGTTGTGCCGAATTTGGAGCAGAGCCCAGCGATTGCTGAGCAAGACTATCCAAGCTTTGCCGTTGAGCGGGCGTAGGATTGAAGAAAGGGTTGTTGTCAGTGCTCTGATTGGGAGTTGGCGGCCCATTTCCGTATTGTCCAGACATGGACGATGGGGTGACGAACGGCCGTTCCGTCGGCGAAGCATATCCTCGAGCCGCCGCAAGCTGGGCGGCATTGGTCATTGCTGAACTCGATGACTGGGGTGTCTCAAGTCGAGTCATGGTCAACTCCGACGGCAGTCGTCCTGAACTGCTGTGCTTCCGTCGTTTTGTCTGGGGACCTGGGAAGTCCGTCGGCGAGGCCTGTCGAGACAGGCTGCGGGGAGTCTGCGAGCTAGAGGGACCGCCATTCGGCTGTGGAGCAGCGAATGAACTAGGCGTAAGCTGATAATGCGAGCTGAATCTTTGCTGGAGACCCTGCAAATCTGTGGGTGACTGAGGAGAAGCAAAGGCACCATTTGCGCCTTGGCCCTCACCATTCGACCCTGACGAGAAAACCCCAACGCCCGGCAGCTGTGTGCCGTCGGGAAGCGACGGTGAGGGGCCAGTCGATGCAGGTGCTGATGGTGCTTGCGTTTTGTGGTCATCAGTGATCATGATCGAGTTTGTGATCGCTTGGGCCACCACGTTGTTCTGGTAATCCTTGACTGTGAAGATGACCTGAAAACCAAGCTTCTCATTCTGATGACGGCAGTAGCAGGCGATTCGCATCGGCAGCTCCACTTGCATCGACCCTGGCGGCGCGGGCGGCATGTCGCCATAATTGGCAGATGCTTTCTTCGGTGGTTCTGTCCATTCCTTGATTTCACTTGTGTTAAAAACTATCACCCTCTTCTCCTCGTCCTTTTGGAACAATTCGTCCTCTTCCGGTTTCCGCTGCTTCTTCCGAGACGCACGCTTGCGTTCTCTTTGAATACATCCGGCACAAATCTTCACGTCACCACCGTCCAACGGTCGTTCTTCGTCGTTAGGGTTCACTCCCGAGTGATATCTGTCGCTCCTTGTGCGGGCAAAGGCGCGCTTTAGCTTTTCCCGGTCTTGCATCGCACTTGTGCAGACCAGACTTGTGTAGAGCTGGAGGACTTCGGGGGTGGGTTCAGTGGAGGGAGGGGCGAGGAATTTAAGTTTCGAGATGGTGTGCGATGGCAGGCGCAACTTCTTTACGCCGGCCGGCAGCGGAGAGAGCGTCAATCGGATCGGGATTTGAGTTTCGACGCGCGATTTGAGCGAGGTCGGGTGGACGGTCAGCACGGGCTGCACTGAATTGGTGGAATCCGTCTGTGCCGGGGACGAGGCAAAATTGACCGGGAAGGTATAGGAGTTGGGTGACCCAAATCGCATATTTGGTGACATGGAGTTCAGTGGAGACTGTCCGTTCATGTTAATGCCTCCAAAACTCTCTTCCAAGAGCGACGAGGGCGACTGCCCACCCCATTGCGGGGCGGATAGCCTTTCATTGCCGTTGCTGAAGACTCCCGAAAAGGGCGATTGCTCCTTCATACCAAAAGCAAAAAGCGGCGATCCTGGCGCATGGGCCTTTGTCAAATGTTAGTTCGAGGGCTCGTGTCAGAGGCCACCACGTTTCAAACCCAAGCTGACTCACCGAGGGTACTGCCGCGGCACCGTTTTGGACCGGGGCTGCCGGTGCAGCCGAGGGACTCCAGATCTGCGATTGCGAATGATTTTGATGGGAATTTGGCAGAGGCAGGTTTTCGGTCTTGAGTGGGCTCGGACTGCTGGCAGCGCTCTCAAAGTCAAATGCCGCGTCCATCGCCTTATTGCTCGTCTCGAGGTCGGGGTCCATGGAGAACCCACCATCCATAGGGAAAGAAGGCTCGATGTTGAACGGAGACTCTTCTTTGACCGACGACAGCTCTGGACGCATCCAATCTTCTGTTTGGTAGCCAACTGATGTCTGCGGGTTGTCGCTGTGGGCGACGGAGTTGGTGGAAGCGATCGAGGCATGACGTAAGTGGTTTCGTGGAGATTCCGAGGAGGAACTGCGACTGGAGGCTTCAGGCGACTCGGCAGGGGATTCGGCGGCCAGGACTGGTTGTTGTCTCAGCGGGTGTTGGTCTTGGTAATGCTTCGAGGACTCCGGGGCGCCATTCGGGCGGGAGTTGGTCACCCGGGCAAACAAATCGTCGAAATCGCCCCCAGCCGATTGGGAGGGAATGTCGAGTTTGGTCGGGTCGAGAAAATCCATGTTGGCGTTGTGGAAGGCGGACTCCATCTCGTCGTCCATGATGACAGGGTCAAGGGCAGGGAAAGTGGGAGAAGAGGGAGCCTCGGACAGTCCCATGCTTCGTGATCCCTCCTTTATTCGACGAATCGAGACCACGGGAGGGGAATGCGACCAGCTGGCCTTGCGCGGAGTCAACGGTGGCCGGGCTCGTTGTCGCGTGGGAGTTGTTGGGAATCGGCGGGCACAGGGCTGTCAGCGGCGGAAGTGAGCGGATGGGAAGTTGTCAGGCAACAGAGAGATAAACGGGAGGACCAGGACCTGCCTGCAATGACCATGGCTTCCAGGAACGGAGAGGGCAGGCGGATGGAGGTTTGGGGGAGGACGAAAGTGACTGCCTTGTGGAGTCGAGAAAGGAGAGCGGGAAAAGTGTGAGCGCCGATCCAGACCGGCAGAACTCAACCACTCACAATGCGCTTGTCTCGAAACTTCGACAGATAGGACGTGGTGCCTCGCGGGGGTAGTATATCTTCATAAAGAATACAAAGTATATAAAAGTACTGCTGATACTATATAGTATTTTTAACCACTGCTTTTTACTGCTCTGCTGAGTAGTAATCTCTACTAGTATTCTGTCGTATGTAATACGGTGTGTCCCGTCATTCGCTTTGGTCTCATTCGTTCCCGGTTGCACGCCTTCGCTTTCAGGCAGTCTGCATCGCAGGACGACTCAGCGCATCGTCTCGACGCCAGCAACCGAGGAACGAACACAATGCGAAAACCTGATGCTACGGGGAGATCGACCGTCTGTCCCACGCCAGCCAACCCTCGTGCTGGCGCGCCAACGAGGCGGTCGCCGACCCACGATGTACCCGTATCTCGCCTGGGGATGATCCTCGCCCTCCATTTCCCCAAAGCCCCTCGCGGTGTCGCCCGCGGATCTAACCCCGTCGCACAGCGACTAATATGGACTCGGTATCGGGCGCATGCAGCCCATTGCGATGATGACGAGCACGGGCTATCTGTCAGATACGAAAGCCCTGTGTCACCCCGGTCGCCGTTGGTGCCACTATCGTCCAAGGCTTGAGCGACACGATGTCGAGATAGCATTTGGCCGATCCAGGATCCCATACGCCCGTCCAGCGACTCAGGAGAGCTCATTGCTAGATCTGGGAGCTGATCTCCCACCACGAGTTGTCCGCATGGAGTGCAAGTTGAAGCTATGGTCTTTCACTCTCGGCCCCAGTGGCGATCTCCCCCCATCCCCAATCACCCCAATGCCTCGCGGTGTGCGACATGTATCTGCATCAATTGGCCTGGACGCCGATGCCGGATTTCCGCCACCGCGCATCGTCCTGGGCTAAACTTTCCGTACATATTTTCTCCAGCAAAACTCAAATGGCCAAAGTCAATCGATCACCAGGGCCTGTCGGTAGAAGTCGGTATCGGCTACACCTGTCGGCTCTGCCAGCGCAACCAGAGATATATATCCCACCTCCGATCGAGGCCCCTGGGAGCTTACCGTGACTGCAGCCCGACTCACCGTACATACTACTAGTAGTGTGTCTAATGGTCGTCTTGAACGATCTAGGGCAATGCAGCCCCGCCGTCCCTCGCCGATTGCGCAGCCTCACACACGCAGGGTCAGTGCTATGCGGCGTCATCTAGCGTAGGATGTCGTTCTCTAGCTACAGGATCTGGATCTTCCGGTGGCGGCATGAAGCTGGCCGGCCCTGTCATATTCCCCTGGAAAGAGGGAATGTCTCTGATGGAATTAATGCGTTGCCACCATTCGCACACCAAGAGTCTTGGGGGGCCGCTCGACTTCGGAGATGTTGACAATTGTATCCATAGATTGAAAGGATGTGCACCGTGCAAGGCTAGTTCTCAAGCCGCGAAGGGCTAGCCGGGCTGGCTCGCGGGGTGGATATGCTGGGCTCCGCTCTGCACGGCGTGCCGAGCCCCCGAGCGTTTCAGAATAATTCTCCGGATACGCGCCAGACCTGCTGCCCCCTTCCAATTCCAGCAAGGACGATACTAACTGGAAGTGATCAATATTAACTCCGTGCCCAGGGCAAGGCGCATCGAACAGGTGCCATGACCTCAGCGCCTGTGAGCATGGCCCGGTGGCTGCAGGAGCACCGTCAAAGGGGCCAAAAGGTTCTCTCAGGCTAAAACAAAGCTCGAGTCTATGCGTACTTTGGCGACGACCTGCCGCCGATCCGGCACTCAGAATGACACTGACAAGTTTGACAGCCAGCTAATGCCCGTTTGTGTATCGCCGCTGACACTTCCGAGACACACGGTTTGCTCCAGACTCCCAAACACCCATCTCAACGAGGATCGAGGATCGGTCACGCCACATGGTTCTGGCCGATGCCCTCCCAAGTGTTCTTCTGATTCATCAAGCCCTTCGGATCTCCACCCGTACTTGTCAACCAAGCTTTTTGCATCCTGGAAAGTGAATGAACGAAATTTCTCCGAACGAGCAGGAGCTGGGACAGATTCTTGGCAAAGCGACAAGTGGATGATGGTCGACGAAGGCGCGAGTGATGACATATTTCGTTGCATGCAGGGACCATCTGTCAACAACCAATCCGAAGCAGCCGGACTGGAGGGGTGAAACTCCAGCCGTCGCAGACAGCCGCCCAGAGATCGACAGACACCGTCTAGTGGTTTGACCGAGCCCCAGACACATCCCAAGGGCACGCATAGCTTAATTAATTTATTCCCTGCCAGGACACCCGGCGGTTTGGAGACAAGACTGTTCATCTATCTCCTACCTCGGGCCACTGCCCTTTTGGTCGCGGGAGATTCTCCACCTATGACCGGTCCGGCAAGACCGTGGGAACTGGCGAGACTGACAGAAACAACTTCTTCGAATTAAGGGGTCTCGGCTTATACAGATCTGGCGTGGATGTGGAGTCGGTGGTATGGCTGTCGGTTCCCAAAGGAGCTATGATGCCGGCCGAGGATGACCGTCGAGCAGGATATAAAGATGCGAAATCATGGCCATGATGCCGTTCTTCTTTTCTTCAACCAGTCTTTCCACGTTCCATTCTTTCTTCAAAGGTCTAGTACCTTTCCGTTCTCTTTCCCGGGTCGATTTCATTGATTGAAATCCCCATTTCCATTCTTTTTCCTCGACCTCGCTCTTTTTGCGGTCCCAATTTCGACAACGCTGTGCGTTCGATATCACACCGACTGAAAAAATGTCTGTTTCCAAAATTGCTGGAGCCATCCTCGGATCAGCTGCCCTGGTGGCTGGTCACGGTTACGTGTCCGGAGCTGTCGTTGACGGCACCTACTACGGTGGATTCATCGTCGACACCTACAACTACGAGACCGACTTCCCCGACACCATCGGTTGGTCTGAGGATGCCACCGATCTCGGCTTCGTCGACGGCTCTTCCTACTCGAGCAGCGACATCATCTGCCACAAGGATGCTTCCCCTGGCAAGATCTCCGCCTCCGTCAAGGCCGGTGGCAGCGTTGAGCTGCAGTGGACTGACTGGCCTGAGAGCCACCACGGTCCCGTCATCACCTACCTTGCCAACTGCAACGGTGACTGCGCTTCCGTGGACAAGACTTCCCTCAAGTTCTTCAAGATCGACGAGGGTGGTCTCATCGATGACAGCAACGTCCCCGGCACCTGGGCCTCCGACAACCTGATCAGCAACAACAACAGTCGCACCATCACCATCCCCAGCAGCATCGAGTCTGGAAACTATGTTCTCCGTCACGAGATCATTGCCCTGCACTCCGCTGGCAACGCCAATGGCGCCCAGAACTACCCCCAGTGCCTGAACCTCAAGGTCACCGATGGCGGCAGTGACTCTCCCGAGGGCACTCTGGGTACCGCTCTGTACAAGAACACCGACCCCGGCATCAAGGTCAACATCTACCAGTCCATGAGCAGCTACACCATCCCCGGTCCTGCCCTGTACACTGGAGCATCCTCCGGCTCTGGCTCCTCCGGCTCGACCACCACTGCCGCCACCGTTGCTCCTGTTCCCACCAGCAGCGCTACTCCCGTTAGTGCTTCCCCGTCTCGCTCCCCATCCAGCACTCCCCTGCGCAGCACCCCGCTTCCTCCGTCCTACAGCGCCACCCTGGTGCCCACTCCCTCCAGCCAGCCCCAGGCCTCGCAGCCTGCCGGCGAGCAGAACCCGCCCAGCGGAGCTCCTTCCGACGTTCCCACCGCTACCGAGACTGCCGCTGCTCAGGTTACTGACCAGTCCTCTTTCCAGACTCCCAGCGCTCAGGGCGCGGATACCGTGACCGTCACCGCCAGCGCGGGAGGCCAGTCCCAGCAGAGCGCCAGTCCCAGCTCTGGCAGCTCTAGCTCTGGCTCCTCGGACCCCTCGGACTCCTCCAGCTCTGGTTCCACCGGCTCCTCCGATTCCTCCTCCAGCAGCTCCTACAACTCCAGCGACTGGACCTCCTACCTGAACTCCCTGTCCGCTGAGCAGTTCGTCAACCTGCTCCGCCAGACCGTCAAGTGGCTCGTCACCGACAAGAAGCACGCCCGTGACCTGTCCAACTAAATTTCCAATTAAAAGTAGCCAGTGGTTTGTGCGCTCTTAGTCTGAGGATAGTGCATTCTGCTGGTCCATTCAATCTTCTTTTTCTTGGCCTGGATCGGGTATTTGGGTCTATTCTTGGGGGAGCGGGTTTTCTGAGGATGTCTTGTAACATTAGCGTGTTACACCTTTTCTTTTCTTTCCTCGTCTTCTTTTTCTCTTTCCCTATATATACATATAGGAATGAGGGGCCTGGAGTTTTTCTGGGGTACCCCTTTTTTTATATTTCTTCATGAATGGAATTTGTTAGACTGCTCTCATTAATGCTCTCTTCTCTTAGTTCACATAGGATTTGTAACCTTTCAACCATGTGTATCATTTCAAATCTAGTAGTCGCTTGGTCTAGCAAATGTCTTGGCAATTGATTTAACCAGGATATCAGGACAGTCATTTCAAAACCGGTGCTATAATGTGTGGTAGGTTTGGTATTAGTGTCAGATTCTATCCTGATTCCTGTCGCAAAGCTAGTACAGCCTGACTGAATACATTGTACACTACAGTCATACAAGAGCCTATAGCGGAAAGTAAACCAGTGTAGTATAGTCAATACCAGCACCGACAACGTGAAGGTGGTATCGAAACTTTTCATGAAATGTTCCTCGATTTTAGGTATGTAAATGGTATCGACGATTGGATTACCCTTGGTCGGGACTATTTCTTCTTCTTGGTCTTGTCAACCAATTCAATCCACTGGCTCTTCAGACCCCGTCGCACAAGAGCAGTGTCCACAGCCTTCCGTTGATCACCCTGAACCAAGACCTCCATGATGCCCTTCGCAGCCCCAGAAGCCTGCGCCACACTAGTGCTACTGGCACATTTCTTTTGCAGCTCCTCCGCCAGAAGGTTAGGGATGATACCGAAAACTTCCAGGTTGCTAACTTTGGTCATAACCTTGTTACCGGAACGCTTCTCAATGGTGACGAGGGCCTTAGGCGTGGCGCCGGCCTTGGGCTTGACTTCTGAAAGAGTTTGACCAGGTTTCAGAATGGCATAGTGAGGCTGTACTAGGGTGCGGTCTTCCTGAATGCGCTTGAGGAGACCGTCGCGGGTGGTCTTGCCACGCTTGAGTGTGCCTTGATCCTCAGCAGAAGAGGACGTGAAAATGGTGTTCGCTAAGAAAGGGTTGAGATCGATGATGCGGCGGTTTTCTTTGGAGATGAGAGGCGGGTCTTGGCATTGAAGGTATTGATCCAACTGAGTGGACAATTCGGGGTATTTGTAGAAATTCTTCGGGTCGCTCGCTGAAAGAGCTGGGAAGATGGTGGGTACCAGCTTGGCTGTGGGTCGATAGAGAGTCTGGACGGTGAGTGTTTGTCCAACAGATGGGTCAGAACCATCATTTGCGGCTGGCTTCTTGCCATCTGAAGCTGCCGACTTGTTGGCGTTGTCAAGTGCATTCTTAGACGGGAGCTTGTAAGGCACAAATCGCTCCACCCGGTGATCGTCAAAGTCAACATCCCAGACGTAGGTCTCTTGGTTACTTCGGTCTTTGGCTTTGACAAGTTGAAGCTTGTCCAGGTGCTTGATAAATTTTTTGACATTTTTCCAGCTGGTTTTCTTGATGTTGTAAAATTGAACTTGTTGGGGGTGGTAGATCGGAAGATATGGTGTGACAAGGTTGGAGATCAGAATAGAAGGCGAGACCGGCAGAGTCAAACCATGATTTGTGGCTGACGGGTTGTCCTGCTTGAGTTTGTAAAGCGAATAGACAAAGGCGTTGACAAAGGCTTCATCGATTTCTTCATCTTGTCAGTATACTTCATCCAGCCATGGTGACTTTGATGAGAAGAAAGCTCACCCTTGGCAGTAGGCTCCTTCACATCCACAGCAGGTTCATCCACGGGAGCTGGGGTTTCGCCCTCGACTTCGTCCATGTTATCATTGGCGGTATCCTCTTTCTCTCCTAGTGTCAGCTCATCGACACCCTCCTCTAATTCATCTGTCTCCTCTTCGTCCCATCCCTCGATGTACTCAGGAGGTGGGCGACCCGGTCGCGATGAAGAGCTCCACGCCCACAATTCATCACCTTCCCATTGCAGACCTCGAATCGCATGGCCCTTCGTGCCCTGGACCTCACCAAGTGTAGAGACATCAATCTCACAAATACCAACGAAGAGAGGAACAGTGTGGCTATTCAGGCTTGCAACAGCTACTACAGAGCCCTTGGTAGCCCGGGGATCGAAGGGAGGATCATTTGCTATTCCCGGGGTCATCAGATCGGCTCCACCATGAAGCTTCCGCATGACCATCTCCGGGGTGTGTAGCAGAGGGACAATATCCGGGTTATGCCATAGCGTGTACACGGTGGGGTAGAGCTTTTTGTCGGATCCAGGGCCATGTTCCACCTTAAACCAGAGCACGCGTTCGTCCTCTCCAGGATGAGCGCCAACGTAGACAACACCCTGCACCTCACGCAGATCGGGGCCTGCTGTTGTTGTGAAGCGTGCAGTCAGAGAGTTCTCTGGAAGAAGAGCACTTCGGATCGAGGAAAGGTTTGGTGCCTGGGGAGCTGTTTTGGCAGCTGGATCTGGGTTTGTTTCGGCGGGACTCGAAGGGATGGAAATTCTGTAATCGCTGATGATTTGGTCGGCAATTTTCCTCCGGTCGGAAGACCTCAGAGGAGAAAGGTTTTTAATCTAGCGCAATGCAGGGTCAACAAGGCCGTTCTGTACTTGCCACGATTTCGAGAGAGCAGGGACCTATAGCTCCATGGAGGGGTAGTGCGGGGGAAAAAAGGCCTACCGTAGGCTTCTTTTTGAACATCGTGAGAGGGAGGAACGCTCCTGCTCACAGTCAAAAGAAGAAAAGATAACACCTCACTTGTCTGAAGCTATCGAAATCGCAAGTACAGGCAGTTGGCTCGAGGTGAGGAAGAAAACAAGCAGCAGTCGAGTCGGTAGATGATGTTCCGGCAAAATTGTCCGCCTTCTCCACATCATCCAATTAAGCTGGGCGGTATGACTGCACGGGGAAGGTTCTCTCAGAGCAAGTGCGACAACAGTCATACGTACTTAGTAATAAAGCCGATGATAGAAACAATAGAATAAAATCAGATTGAAACTAATCGCTGCCCTGGAATTTGAACATATTTCGCTTTTGCCATCGCCACTAAATCCCCGTATATCACGTTTCCACTCCCCCGGACATCTGCTCTTTCTATAAAATGATACACTTTATGAGAAAAGGCATCAGTACCCTTAATCATCATTCCGCCCATGAGTCATCCTCAATGATTTACAAGGTTGTTTGAAAATCGCCCTGAGATGCCAGCCGGCCGATGCATCGGACATTTCCCGACGTCACCCCCGCATCGTCCCGCCAACTTCTATCTAAGCCTCCCACGTCTCCCTACAGCTTAAACAAGCCCATACCTCATTATGCCTGTCTATCACGTTGGTAAGTTTAGGCCTCCCACTTATTCATATTCAACCCAATCGCCAAAGCTTGACCATCCCCAGCCTGGAAACCCGTTGCCTAGCAGTGACATGGTCGGAAAGCTGACCGAAGTCCCAGTACTCTTCCGCCTGAAGGCCGGAGTCTCCCAGGTTCAATTGGCAACCTGGTCCGAAAAGGCCAGGGGAATGGTTGGACAAATTCCTGGTCAGTTCGCCTTCATATGAGATCTATGAATATGTACTAGCTTGGAACAAGTATTGATGCACGAGTCAGGCCTCGTGTCGTTGCAAGCGAACCAACCGTTGCCCATTTCGATACCCCGCGCAAAGGGATTTGATATGGGTCTCGTGGCCGTTTTGGAGAAGGCCGAGGATGTGGTGACATACGCTACGCACCCAGCTCACTTGGAGTAAGTTGTCGCGCTCGCGAAATACAGCTGGAGACTCCCTGTTTTACATGATTTGCTAAACTGACGCGCGGCAGAGTCCACAAGATGAGAGAGGAGCTGTGTGAGGATACACTAGCCTATGATTTGGAGTTCTAACGGCTTAGTATGCCGTCGGTATCCTTTGTCCGGAGTGCCTGGATCTTTGTTCGATGTGAGAAGATTCCTCGAGATTGAAATAATGGCTGGAAATTCGTCCGGCTCCTGTTGAAGACTGTCCGAATCCTCCTGTCGATGATTTATGGAAAATGTCAAGAATCACGAATATTCCGAGCAGTGACTGAATCTTTGAGATCTACGAATGCATGAAATTCTGAATGCAAGAGTATGGCAGGTAATCATGCATGTATCATAACGCCAAGAGGGCCGATTTCTCCCCTATGTAAACTGTCAAAACAGATGCCGTCCGTTCCAAGACTTTTGAAGTTCCGATGCCCAGTGAGAAAAAAGAAAAGCAAAAATACACGTAACCGTGCCAGTCGATTTACTCCTTGGAGTCCACCTTCTTGGCGGGGTGGTCGTTGCTCGCCTCCTCATCGCGCGCGCGCTTCTGACCAGCAGACTCGGAGTCATCGGCGGTGCTCTTCACCACGGGAACGCCACTAGGATCGCAAAAATTAGTCTTGAGTTCATTGCGGTGCTTTCCAAGAGTGATCACTTACCGAGAATCCTTGTTGGCCTTGAACCCATTCTTCTTATCCTCATCCCGGCGCTCGCGCCAGTCACGGTCATTGCGAGGAGCGCCACCACGACCACGGCCACGTCCACCGCGGCCACCACGACCGCCACGGTTACCCCCGCGGAAGCGCTCACCGTTAGCCTGAACCTTGCCAGAGTTGATGTCCGCCACCTTCTCATCGCAGTATTCCTTCTTGCTCTTGATGAGCAGCTCCCGGTCATGGAACTTGGGCTTGGGGTCAAGGGCCAAGAACGCCTTCTGCTTCTCCTCGCTCTCGAACTCGACGAAAACGCTGCCCTTGAAGATCTTATCGGGGACACTGCGACGAAGACGGACGGACTTGACAGGGCCGTAGGGCTCGAAGAAAGCCTCGATGTCGAGTTGAGTGGTGGCCTCCTCCTCACCAAATCCGCAGAAGCCCTTGGCGTAGATGCTGCGGGCCATAGCCTTGTCCTCGTAGACCTTCTGAAGATCCTGGCTGTGCACCTTCACATCCTGAGACAGAGGAACCTTGCGCTTCACAGCGGTGTTGTCATCGGTCAGCTCCAGAGTCTCGGAGGTCTTAAGTGCCTCGACAATGGCGCTGAAGGGTTGGAAGCGGCGCATGCGCTTGAAGGAGTGCAGCAGCTCCAAGGGGACGGGGTGGTTCTCGCTGCCGCCGACCTTGGTAAAGAGGAACTTGTCCATGGGCAGGTTGGAGTCGGAGAAATAGAACTCAACCTGAGAAGTAATCGCATTAGTTTCAGTGAAAGCTCGCTTCTGCTTCTATTGGTTCAGTTTCTTACCTGCTTGCGGATCTGAACGGGGTCGTCGGTCTCCTTCTGCTGGGAAGGATCGAACTTTGAACCGGTGGCGCGAGGACGGTAACCTCGCGAGTCGCGCTGCTCTGACTTCTCTTGAGTTTCCGACTTCTCGCCGAGCTTGGCGGCCTCAGCGACAATGCGCGCCTCTTCGGCGTCCTCCTTGCTAGCCTCCGCGGGGACGGCGTCCTCGCCCTTGAGCTCGGACAGGACATCCTTCACATCTTGCTCAGCCTGGGCGTTGTTGGTGGGCTTCTGCTCGTCGGACATGGTTGCGGTAGAAAATATGCGACAAAGGACCAAGCTGGATTTGCGAGTCCGAAAGTGAGGACGCGAAGATGACTCGGCGGAATGTCTCAACGAACGCAAGAAGGATCAGGTCACAGAATCGGAATCTGGTGACGAGATGTAGCTTGGGAGTAGCCAGAGAGATTGAAAAAGATAAGTCACCGGCCGTGAAAGTCTTCCTCCAAATGATCGCGCGCTCGGCGACGAGTGAATTTTTTTGGAGCGCGGGAGCTCCACTAATGCCTGAGGCCACAAGACTAGCCCAGAATCAGTTAGCGTCCATAGAGTGGGATCCAGTTCGACACATGGCGTCTATACCCTACACCAGGGTAACTTATTATAGGTGATGGTACACATGAAGGTACACATGAAGCCGCTCAGTAATTAGAGTAGATGTGTTTATGATAAATCTAAAATACAAAGCTGCATCTTGCTATTCTTAATGAAACGGACAAATCGACGATACCAAGCTTATGAGGAGCTTCGCACACGTGCCTGGCAAATGGCAGGCGCCAAAAAGTCGAATGTTGTGCCTGCCGCTGGCACTTCTGCTCAGATGCGACACCCCCGTGGGCAGGGGAACACCTCTGCCTGATTCCTCTAAAACTAACCTCATCTTACCAACACCGCTTCCAATTCTTCCCCTGCAGTTTTTATCTGTACGACATTCCGGGTACTTACATACGCCGACATCTACAAACGATACTGTCCTGGGTTCACCAACCTCCGGTGCTCTGATCGCGACAAGGCTCTTTCAGCAATATTCCTCTACTCTGCATCTCTCAAGCACATTCCGCCGCGAACCAATTCTACCCCGGTACGGTCCGAAGAAACAGGCTGTGGCATATCGAGCACATGGTTTGCGACATATGAAAGTTTGTCAATGCTGCTCTCGTACATATTGCTTCAGAATCGACAGCTGAAGACAAAATGAGTGCCTCTCGGGACTACATGCCGGATCCGAAATGGGAGACCAAGGATGCATGTTCCACCCTGTTTCTCTCTGAACTCGATATCGGCCGCTGACTCTGCGCAACAGATAATCTACCTTTCGATCGTTGGACCTCTTATGCTGGCAGCTGCTTTTGAATGGGTTCTCTGGCTCGGAGCTTTTATCTACTGCCTTATCAAAGTTTACCACAAGGCCGATCACTGGAGCATCAAGGCTCTCGCAGTCGTGATGCTCTTTCTCTTTTCAATCCTGCGGTAAGATCAACCCGACTGGAATTAGCGAGATTCATATGAAAGCTAAAATTTTGTTTGCCGGTTGGCAGATTATCCTTCTTACCCGTCATGGTGGTCACTCTCCCGCTACCGCCTCAAATCAGCCGACACATCCCCGAGACCATGGCGTCAGTTTTCCAGTGGTTCGCCTTCTGGTCCTTCTCCGTTTTGCTGATCGGTCCGTGGCTTCTCTGTGTGTACCAGCTCGTGACCAGTTCCCTTGGGCGAAAGAAGAGAATCAAGGAGATCTTGAATGATCACACCGCCCCGAAAACGGTTGTCGTGATGCCGGTATATAAGGAGGAGCCTGAAGTCCTGATCAAAGCCATTAACTCGGTCGTCGACTGTGACTACCCGGCAGCGTGCATTCATGTCTTCCTCTCCTGGGATGGGTATGTCGTTGACGAGTCGTATCTCCGTGTGACTCGACATTTCGGTCTGATGATGGATTCCAAGGACTATCCCCCGAGCGTGGATTTCGCATACAAGGGAGCTCGTGTCACCGTGTCTCGTTTCCCACATGGTGGCAAACGACACTGCCAGAAACAAACATTCAAGCTGATTGAAAAAGTTTATGCGAAGTATCTCAAACGCCATGACGACTTGTTTGTGCTATTCATCGATTCCGATTGCATCCTCGACCGGCTCTGTCTACAGAATTTCATGTACGATATGGAATTGAAGCCTGGGAGCAAGCACAGCATGTTGGCTATGACAGGTATCATCACCTCTACCACGGAGAAGAATTCTCTGATCACTGTTCTCCAAGACATGGAATATCTCCACGGCCAGCTGTTTGAGCGCTCGGTTGAATCGGGGTGTGGAGCCGTGACCTGTCTGCCCGGGGCACTGACAATTCTGCGTTTCTCTGCCTTTCGCAAGATGGCAAAATACTATTTTTCCGACAAAGCTGAGCAATGTGAGGATCTTTTCGACTTCGGAAAATGCCATCTCGGAGAGGACCGGTGGCTCACGCACCTGTTCATGATCGGTGCTAAGCGACCATATCAAATTCAGCTGTGCACTGGGGCCTTTTGCAAAACCGAAGCCGTCCAGACATTTAGTAGCTTGCTAAAACAACGGCGCCGTTGGTTCCTGGGGTTCATTACCAATGAAGTTTGCATGATCACGGACGTGAGACTCTGGGTACGTTATCCGCTGCTATGTGTCGTTCGGTTCTTACAGAACACCATCCGGACCACAGCATTGCTTTTCTTCATCATGGTAATCGCCCTTATCACCACATCGAAGAAACCAGATGAACTCCCGGTGGGATTTATGGGCGTTTCCCTTAGCTTGAACTATCTGCTCATGTTCTATTTCGGCCTTCGACTCAGGCGATACAAAGCATGGTTGTATCCATTGATGTTCGTTATGAATCCCTTCTTCAACTGGCTCTACATGGTCTATGGGATCTTCACAGCCGGGCAGCGCACCTGGGGTGGGCCACGGGCTGATGCAGCCACGGCCGATGACCATACCACTCCTGCAGAGGCAGTTGAGCTGGCGCGTGAAAAAGGTGATGACCTGAATGTCGATGTCGATACCTTCCGTCACAGCACGAGTATTGTCCGCCGGCGATCAGTGCCCATTCGGCCTTCCGATCACATCGTCGGTCGATTCACTCCCTCGGAGCAGCTTCTTGATGGTTATTATCTGGGTACAAATGAGATCGGACGTGCTCGAGCGCACTTGCCGGCTCCTGACCCTAATGATGCCCCGCTACCCAATGTTCCACGATTCCACGTCCCTGGCCAATATCGCGATTCTACGGAATCTATTTACACCGAATCTTCCGGTAGCGAATCCAACGTGGTCTTGCTGCCGCATACCATGGACAACCTGATGGATGCAGACGATCAATGCAAACTGACTTATGCACGTCGTCGATATCAGGCAGCCGCCGGCATACCGATCATGGGCGCTTCCGAGCAGACTGAAGCATGGCCCACCGTGCTCGAGCCCAGCCAAGATGATACCCCGGAGGCTGCCGGTTTCCACGCTGTTACCACTTTTCCGGAAGCCCATCATTCCCAGCATGAAAATCAGGTTCCTCTGGAAACGATCCAGGTGGCCGAGCAACAAGGGCTACCACAGTGAATTGCAAGTACCTTAGGGTACCCACGAGCGTCTCTGTTTCCTTTAGAGAAGTATCTGGTGAGATGGTCTGGACAGTGATGTTATGCCCTGACGTCAGTTTGCTTCGTTTCCACTTGTTTTTTTCTTTTTCTTTTTTTCTTTACCCTCGTGCCTTGTTCAATATAGGTTTCTCATGCCTTATTCTTATGATGTGTCATACCGGATCTCGCTAACAAGGGTGACAACACTACTAGTCTGGAATAGAACGGATATTCTAGATGTGAGTAATAATTCATTTCCCTTCCGGCTCTCATGCGTCCATGCCTTGTGCCTATCTTGGCCCAGGGCCAGCCACCAACCACCAACCAGCCATTTCCGCCCAGCAACATAGTGGATCCATATTACGTAATACCCCACTGAGGCGGTGAATCTGATTTTTTTCTGCCGTAGCCCCTCGGCGTAAAGGCGGTCAAGACGGTGAGGCCGAAGGGTGTGGCAGCCGCTGGAAGGTTCGATGAGTCGGCGCACAGTCAGGTTGCGAACACCCTATATAGGCACCTCTTTTTTGTAAGAAGGAATGTATTCATAAAATATAATTATCTTTCTTTACTCACCGCTACGTTCACTTCAGACACCTTTTTTGGGGCCGTAACTGGAATATTTGTTCATCTAACGCCGCCGTCCCGCTCCTCCAATCGCATTAGTGGAGTGGCGTGCAAATTGTTCTCCCCTCCAAACTTCTCTTCCCTCTCGACTCTCCCTCCACCCTCCTTTTCTCTTCCCCTCTCAGATACCCCCATATTCCCCGCCTACAATGTCTGTTGTCGGTATTGATCTCGGTGCGCAGAGCACCAAGATTGGTGTTGCCCGTAACAAGGGCATCGATATTGTGCGTATCTCCCTCCCCCGGCGAAGGCCCAGCCTCATCCTATTCTCCCTTCCCCTCACCTCGCCTTCCAGGGTCCATCCTGGAACTATAAGGATCGCGATGAATTGAAACTGACCGTGCTCCTTTCACCCCTTCATAGATCACCAACGAGGTTTCCAACCGTCAGACCCCGTAAGTATTTTCTCGCCCGAAGCGGCCCGACGTCATTCATATCAGATTTTGTAAGCTAACTATTTTCCTTTGATCAACAGGTCTATGGTTGGATTCAACAACCGCAGCAGACACATCGGTGAAGCCGCCAAGACACAAGAGACCTCCAACCTCAAGAACACCGTCGCTTCGCTCAAGCGCCTTGTCGGCCGCGCCTTCAACGACCCCGATGTTGAACTCGAGCAGAAGTTCAACACCGCCAACATCTGTGACGTGAATGGCCTGGCCGGTGTTGAGGTCCAATACCTCGGCAAGAAGGAGAAGTTCACTGCGACCCAGCTGGTCGCCATGTTCCTGACCAAGATCAAGGACATCACCTCCAAGGAGCTCGGTCTGCCCGTGTCCGATGTGACCATCAGCGTTCCTGCCTGGTTCACCGATGTTCAGCGCCGCGCGATGATCGATGCCGCCGACATTGCTGGTCTCAATGCCCTGCGCCTCGTCAACGACACCACTGCCACCGCTCTCGGCTACGGTATCACCAAGCTCGACCTGCCCGGTCCCGAGGAGAAGCCCCGCCGTGTGGCTTTCGTCGACATCGGTTACAGTGACTACACTGTTTCCATTGTTGAGTTCCGCAAGGGTGAACTCAACGTCAAGTCAACCGCTTATGACCGTCACTTCGGTGGTCGTGACTTCGACTACGCTCTGACTGAGCACTTCGCCGAGGAGTTCAAGGAGAAATTCAAGATTGATATCCGTACCCACCCCAAGGCCTGGTCCCGTACCCTCGCCGCGGCCGAGAAGCTCAAGAAGGTTCTGTCCGCCAACCCCCAGGCTCCCATGAGCATCGAGTCCCTGATGGAGGATACCGATGTGCGTGCCATGGTCAAGCGCGAGGAGCTCGAGGAGATGGTTCGCCCTCTTCTGAACCGTGTCACTGTTCCTCTGGAGCAGGCCCTCGCAGAGGCTAAGCTGAAGCCCGAGGACATTGACTTCGTTGAGATGGTTGGTGGCTGCACTCGTGTCCCCGCTATCAAGGATACTATCTCCAAGTTCTTCGGCAAGAACCTGTCCTTCACCCTGAACCAGGATGAGGCTATTGCCCGTGGTTGCGCTTTCTGCTGTGCTACCCTCTCCCCCGTTTTTCGTGTCCGTGACTTCGCCATCCACGACATTGTCAACTACCCTATCGACTTCACCTGGGAGCAGTCTCCTGATATCCCCGATGAGGATACCAGCCTCACTGTCTTCAGCCGTGGCAACGTCATGCCTTCTACCAAGATTCTTACCTTCTACCGCAAGCAGCCCTTCGACCTTGAGGCTCGCTACTCTCAGACTGACATGCTGCCCGGCAAGATCAACCCCTGGATTGGTCGCTTCTCTGTCAAGGGCGTCAAGGCCGATGCCAATGATGACTTCATGATCTGCAAGCTGAAGGCCCGTCTTAACCTGCACGGTATCCTGAACGTCGAGTCTGGTTACTACGTTGAGGACATGGAGGTTGAGGAGCCTGTCAACGAGGATGGTGAGAAGAGCGGCGATGTAAGTTTGATTCTGATAATTGTCCTTTCGTGTCTAATTCTCATTTACTAACGTTTTTACTAGGCTATGGACACGAACGGTGACGAGCAGCCCAAGAAGACCCGTAAGGTCAAGAAGCAGGTCCGCAAGGGTGACCTGCCCATCAGCGCCGGCACTGGCGGCATCGACGAGGCCACCAAGGCCGCCCTCCACGAGCGCGAGAACACCATGTACATGGAGGACAAGCTCGTTGCCGAGACCGATGAGAAGAAGAACGAGCTCGAGGCTTCCATCTACGAGCTCCGTGACAAGATCGACGGCGTCTACTCCGAGTTCGCCAGCGACGAAGAGAAGGAGAAGCTGCGGGCCAAGCTTATGGACATTGAGGACTGGCTGTACGAGGAGGGCGACGACACCACCAAGTCCGTCTACGTCTCCAAGCAGGATGAGATTCGCTTCATCGTTGGTCCCATCATCGGCCGCTACCAGGAGAAGGTCGAGGCTGAGCGCGAGGCTCTCCGCAAGGCCGAAGAGGAGGCCGCCGCCAAGAAGCGCGCCGAGGTTGAGGCCATGAAGAAGGCTCAGGAGGACCTCCGCAAGGCCGAGGAGGAGCACAAGAAGAAGCTCGCCGCTGAGCAGGGTGATGCCGAGATGAAGGATGCCCCCGCTGAGGGTGAGGCCGCCGAGGGCCAGGCCGAGGACAAGCAGTAGATTGAAAAACTGTCTTCTCGCCTCTGAGGCTATTTCAAGGTGACGGGAATCTTCACACCCGCACTGAATGATGGAGCGGGCGGAGCCCGCATGATGACGAAAAGGACTAAGAGACGTTTACGCAACTAGACACGATCGACTTGGTTGATCAAATTTTTTTTTGTTTTAATGGCAAACAGTTATGATGTAGATCGTTCTCCATGAATAGATGAATTCAACCTGATACAAGGCTTGCTTCGATCAGTAATTCAACGTTCAACTTGCCGCAGGTGTCCTAGCTTCGAATGAACGATGCTATATTGCAGCCCCTATACGAGCTAATATGACAAGGCTCCCTGCAACCAGGGTTGCTCATGTGGTGAAATACCTGATATTTGATGTTTCGTGTCGTTCAGATGATCTTCGATGGCAATAAACCAATCTAATACATCTGTCTCCCTCATCTGAATCGGTTGGAAAAATATGAAGACAGCTGAGACCGAAATGCCGCCAGCACCAAGCCAAAGGACCTCAGGCGTCCCTTCTGTAATATACTTCTGGCCTGTTATGGGCGCCACAATGTGATACCGGTAATTCGTCCTAAGCAAGAGAACATTCCGCTTGCGCTGGCGCGATACGTCGTATTGATTATCTCCGGCGCGGAGGCGTATAACACAGCATCGAAATACTGTGTTGTGACTGTCAGTAGACCTAGATTCATCGTAAACGTCTGTCAATATTGCGCTATGAGCTTACCGTTTGCATGATGTGCTCGAGGGCATTGAGGCAGACATAATCAGCGGTATTCTTGACCTGGGTATACATAGCCATTGAGAATCCCTGCAGCGTAGCAGAGGTCAGCAAGGACCATTTCCGACCAATTAGCGGAAACTGGGTCGAGAAAAGTGCGAAGATGGCACCGATGATTCCGATGAGGTTAGATGTAGATGTATTGGCAATAGGTTCATATGACGTTTCCTCCGCATTTTGACATTGTTGCGAGGCAATACGATGGGTAAGAGATGAGCCTGCTAAGATGAAGGACCAGTAACCGCCCTTTTTCATTAGAACCCGAGATTAAGTCCTATGTGGAATTAGAGGGTCTCACCTTGTATCCGATGGCGAGGAGAGTGAAGGTGAAGCACTCGAGCTTGCAGAGGAACAAGCGATGAAGAAACTTGAAGATCTTTAGTAACTTGGCGGCGACATCTCAGAGGGCTGGCTCGAATCAGCATCCGAATAGATCTGGTGGAAAATCTCCTATTGTGAGCGTAGGCATAGGAGCCTTTTTGAATTCAGCAATCTTGTGCAGCACGACGATAGCATCTTGTTCATGGCCCTTGCTAATCAAGAACTTGAGCGATCCATGAAACTTGAAGATAAGGTGTCAACAAATGTAATGAGATCAATAATTTTGTCTTCGTATCGCCAACCCATATTGCTCGAGATCATGCAGCGTTCATCGCCGGGACCGACACCGGCAGCATCGCAGGCTGGCAGCTCAACATCGCATCGATATTTGAGAGCGGTACCGTAGGCAATGGCAGAGGCAACGATGAGGCCGACCGGCTACCACATACCCAAGAGGGCGACGAGAAAACGACGATTTTGCGGGAGCAACTCGAGAGTGATGACTGCGTCGATGGGGATATTGCCGCCCAGGCCGATGGAAGAGAGGAAGTTGATTCCGCAGATTGCGGCGTAGTTATATTTGCTCGCAGCCTCAAAGTGTGTTTCTCAGAATATCGGAGAGGGAGAGCAGGACAAGGGACGAACTAGAAGCATCCTATAGATAGACGTAATCAGGCACTTGAGGTTGAATGTCCACTTGCTGCCAATGATGTCGGTGATGATGCCGAATGAAAACCCGCCGATCCTGCGCCATCATTGACAAGCTCTTCGGCTTTCCAACGGTATGTAAGTTGGAACTCGCGCAAGACGAGCATTCAAACACGTGAAGTTCAACCCTTGCCTACTCGACGGAACGTCCACTTCTTGACTGCCGGTTTACCGCGATGTAAGCCTACATCTCAGTTCTCCACCGCGACACCTACAACACAGCCGTTGCCATCGGCCCGACACCCTAGGCCCAAGCAAGGTCGAGAAATATGTAAATCCACAAAGCATCCAGATACACTGCTGATATCTTCCAAAGCCGAGTTTATCGTCTCCCTGGGTCTATTAGCAAGCATTTCAGTAGTGATACTGTCTGCATACCCATTGATAAGAGCGGCCTTGCGTTCAAAAGGTGACATTCCATGTGTCGTAGTGTCTTCGATATTATCTCCCAAAAGTCACATGGTCTTGAACTGGAGTCATATTCTCACGGCCTTCCGAAAATGTGATTCTAGCCTTGCTACTTCCCCGGCCAGACATGTCTGCATTCTACCTAATGTGCAACTATGTTCCTTGCTCAGTCCCATATCTGGTCATCTACATGATCCCCACGTGGTCAGCCGTCTGACTTACTTCTCTTGAAACTTCATGTACTGCGACTAGTCTCCTGGATTTCCGTCGCATGTCAACGTCCGTGTGGAGAGCATGGTGATCGGCATAGATAGTGCGCTCCGCCCGCGCTCCTGATTGGTCGATCGCGAAGCATCTCGAGGACGACACAGTCATCACCTTGGCACAGATGTGACCAGAAGAGGCTATGTTCGATTGTATATACTTTTCTAATGATCTATATGATGTCCAACCTCGAAGCTCTTTATCTTCATGAGACTGGCAAATCAGCCATTTGATGTTTCCGGACATTTGGAAGAATATATTCTCTATTATGGGATGAAGTGGTGAAACCGACGACCAATGATGCAACCAATGTAATTGTACCTACGCAGTCCATCTTGATATGACACAGGGTCTTCACCGTTCAGATGGAGATACTGCTAGCAGTAAAATTGTAGACGTTCATATTTCCGCTTAGTAAGCAAAACGGTGGGAGCGAGTAGGTGAAACCCGAGGACAACAGTTTGAAAGAGTGTAGATCGGCTGTGTGACCTGGATAACTTTAATTGCTCGTGCATCCTGCTGTGAGCCAAGGCGATTCACTCAGACAAGACCGATCTCGATAGAAATATCCATTATGATAGGCTGGGACTCGGCGTGCATGACAGCCCCAAGAAATGAGGCCTCGCGGTAACCACGGGTCGAGACAAGCAGCAAGATACGTTCGGAGCCTCGTATTCGTTCCCATGAAATCCCTGTTGGGTCACTCTAAGCTTCGGAGGGAAGCTAGTTTGCGGGGGCTCGCTCACCGTCTCTTGAATTAATTTAATTAGCACCCTCAGGTATAGATCTCGTGGTGCTGCCTGGCGTACAATTGTAGGTAATCAAAGGGCGGCCCGATCGGGCAAAGCATCGCGTGCTCGGGACGGACGGTGGCCGACAGCACATCAACCCATGCCTGCAACCCTGTCACACCCGCCGTTTTCTTTGGCAGGGGGGCTTGGCAAAGCCGCCAAGCACGCAACTGGTCCCCTCCAGGGTCCTCTCGTCCTAGCGCTGTCTGGCAGGCTCAAACGCTCGGCAAGGAGGACGCGAGTGTGTCCGTGCCGGGGCTGCCGAATGCAATTGTGTCCCCTGAGCCCCTATCGGGCCCCATCGAAGGGCTCTCGAAGGACCAGGAACGGAACCACTTGTGGGACTAACACCCCCTAGGGCCCCGGATAGTTCCTGACGGGTCTTGACATCACGACTCCAATGGAACAAACGAGCACGCGGGCATGCTGATGCTGACGGGCACGCGACCTGCTGCAGCGACGAATCGAGACGTGTGAGGCGTTCTCTTAGCCTTCCCCGGATCATCGCATTCGCATTCCCTAGCTGGGCCTGCCCCATTGGCGGGATGTGGCCATCACAGCATGCCGGCGCCAACCCTGCCCTCCGCGCTCCCCCTTTCACTCCCTTGGCACATCCGACCCATCGCTCTGTTAGGTCTCGGTGGGGGTTCTATCCGGCCTAATCCGCCCCGCTCCAACTGGATTTCGCTGGATTTCAACTGGAGAGATTCGGCTCTTCCATTTATCTCCGGTTGATCGATGCCCGTGGTGCTTCTGCGGAGTCAGTCCTTTTTTTTTTTCCCTGCTCCTTGTAGGATCCCCTCTTGTCTTTCCAAGTCGACTCCTTTCTCTCCTCCTTCGCCTTTCATCATACCGATTTCATTTTCTCTCCCATCTCTCCCCCTTGTACTATATCCACTCTCGCCGGTGCGCACGGCACGGCGAATATAATCCCTTCAATATAAAGCAGTATATGCTAGACGACTCGCCCACCCACCGGATTTGGATCCCTGACCTCGAGGACTCCACGACCCGACCCCAACGAGACTCCAGCATGCGAACTGGACCGTGCCCAACTGCAGACGTCGTGACCTTTTGAAACACCGAGGACCGGTTTCCCCTCACGAAGATGCAGTGGCGGGTGCTGGCCGCCGTGCCTGCTTTCTGGTCGGTTGTGACCTTTGCGCTCCCCAGTGGCAGTCCTCGGAGTGAAAGCGAAGCGGGAGCCAGCCAGCCCGTCGTCCAGACCGATCCCACCCTCGAAGACCCTTTGTGGTTAAACTACGGACTCAATGCATCTGCCGAATACAAATACTTCCATGAACCGGGTCGCGACGACATTCTCGGCCACTATGACTCGCGCTATTTCAAGGAGCCCGTGAGCGACTCCGAGCGCGCAGAGACTCTCACGCATATGATCCGCGCCTATCTGAACTTCTTCAACGAAAAGGAACTGGAAACGTGGATCGCGCATGGGACCTTACTCGGCTGGTGGTGGAATGGAAAAGTGAGACATTACACCCCATTTCAAGCCGACCAAAAGAAAAGAAGATCAAGGACAAAGAAACTAATTCGTACCGTCGCAATATTCAGATCCTCCCTTGGGACTGGGACATGGATACTCAAGTCCCGGACACCACCCTCGCCTACCTCGGAGACCATTTCAACCAAACCATTGTCGAATACACCACCCCCGATAGTCCCATCATCCGCCAGTATCTTCTCGACATTAACCCTTGGTCCCGTCAGCGTGAGCGCGGACAAGGCCATAACATCATCGACGCGCGCTGGATCGATATCCACACCGGCCTATATATCGATATCACGGGTCTCAGCAGATTGGAGCTAGAGGACCATCCGGATATCTGGCAGTGTAAAAACTTCCACAAATATCGTCTTATCGATCTGTACCCGCTGCGCCGGACATACTTCGAGGGAGTTCCCGCCAAAGTTCCTTTTGCGTACGACCAGGTCTTGATGGAGGAGTACTCCGATAAGGCACTGACCTCGACTGAATTTCACAAGTGAGTTCGATCCGTGTTGGCGCAACGAAGAGACTTAGTACAGCGCATACTGACTTCAGTTAGCCACACCTGGTTCCCCGAATTGGCGGAATGGGTTTCGGATAAAGACGTCGCCGACATGACTGTTACATTGTCGGACGGAAGAATTTACGATTGATCTCGGATCTCTCAGCATCATTTTCATTTCATTTCTCTGTTTATATTCTTTGGGGCTATTCGGCCTGTCTTTTTTCTTACCTTCTTGCCGAGCTTGGGGAATTTCTCGTGCCTTCTTTCTTTGGACATTGGCTTACTCCGGTTTCTTTTGCATTTGAAAAGGCTTGGTGTCTGGTATCATTGTTTCTTATTGCATATTTCGCGTGGAAAAGGAGTTGGGTTGGACATGGTGTATTTACCTTTTGTGGCGTCTTCAAACTGAATGACAATCATCAATGAGATTCATTCCGAATATCATAGCTACCCTTGGACTTTATCTGGCAAAAGTACATCTGACACCACACTACGGTAAGTCAGCGCGTCACGACTACTAGTAATGTGGCCTGCTTCCTTGCCACTTTGCTACCAGACTCTTCTCTCAGATACATTCATTTGTATGGCTGACACTTTTTCGGTCGCCTCAGGCATCAATCTCTTATCTCCGTGCTGACAAACTATCTAATCGCCGTGGAACCCGCTCGAATTCGCCTCGGCGCATGTCTATTCGGGCTCCGCCAATATATCAAGTTGGCTTTCGCATTCTCTACTTTGCATATACCCTTGCATCTTCCGTCATTCTCGAGAAAATTTCGTGATGGAGTCCGATATGGACCTCACTGTGCACCATCAAGGCACAGCGCACGCCTTCTCTTTTCCGAGCTCCGCAACACTCGAAGACCTCTCCGCAGCAATCGAAACGACGCTGAACATCCCAACCACCAACCAGAAACTCCTGATCGCGCCAAAGCCAGGGATGCAAAAAGCCCCCTTCCCACCGACCCGCCTAGACACGATCCTCCAACTCTCATCCCCAAAGTTCAAGATAACTCTCCTCGGCACACCCACCCAAGCAATCGCAGACCTAAACCACCAAGCGGAAACCAACCGTCGGCGCGAAGAAGCCCGAGCCGCAGCCCTCGCCTCCGCACGACGCAATAAATCCAAAGCCTCCGCACGACCAAGCAACACAGTCGCCACACTCTCCTCAACAAGCAACTCCTACACCTTCCACCGACTCCTCCCACTCTCCTACCTCCCACGTCCCGAACGCTCCCTCGACTTCCTCAAGCGCCTGCGCGATGACCCAGGTATCCGCGCCGCGATGGCAAAACACCAGTTTTCCGTCCCCCTCCTCACAGAAATGAACCCGGCCGAACATACCTCCGGTGACCACCAAGGCGTCTCACGGACGCTGGGACTCAACCGCAACCGAGGTGAGGTAATTGAGCTCCGTCTGCGCACAGATGCATATGATGGATACCGTGATTACCGAACAATCCGCAAAACGCTCTGCCATGAGCTCGCGCACTGCGTGTTCGGGGATCACGATCGTGATTTTTGGAACTTGACCTCGCAGATTGAGAAGGAGGTTGACGCGGCGGATTATAATGCGGGTGGGAGACGGTTGACGGATCAGGAGTTTTATAATCCTGGGGATTGGGAGCAGGCGCAGGATCAGGAGGTTGATGAGTGTGGGTGGACTGGCGGGGAGTTTGTACTTGGTGGTTTGGGGCAGGGGTCGTCTTCAGCTTCTGCTTCGGGGGTTGAGTCTAGGCGAGAGATCCTTGCGCGCGCGGCTGAGGAGAGGATGAAGAAAGAGGCGAGGAAGGAGAAGCAGGATGATGCGGCGTAATTTGGGCCGTTTATGAGAGACATAAATAATGAGCTATGGTTGCATTGCATTACATTACATTTACTACGATTTCTCCCGCTATCAAATAAACCAATGTGAACCTTGTGCAAACAGTCATATATAATCAATTTGTTTGTTCTAATAGGACAAGAGAGTCATTCCATATTTACAGCTGTTCGTTGACAAAGAGACCAGCCATGCCCTGACCAGTACCAATGCACATGCTAGTAACGAGAACCTTCTTCTTCGTCCGGCGAGCCTCGCTCAGAATGGTAGCAATCTGGCGGGCACCAGTAGCACCTAGCGGATGGCCAATAGCAATAGCACCACCGCGCGGGTTGACCTTCGCATGGTCCAAGCCAAGGGTGTTAACACAGTAAACAGCCATGGAGGCAAAAGCCTCGTTAATCTCGTAGATATCAATATCATTCTTGTCAAGCTGGAACTTGTTCAACAGCTTGGGGATGGCGGCAGTGGGTCCAATTCCCATGACGCGGGGCGGGACACCAGCAACGGTGGCACCGCAGAACTTGGCCAGGATGGGCTGGTTGAGCTCGATGGCCTTGGAGCGGCGCATCAGGAGAACGGAGGCAGCTGTGTCGATGTTAGGATCCAGTTACAAACATGATTTGACAAAAGAAAAGAAACCAAACTTACCGCCATCAGTAACCTGGCTGGAGTTACCACCGGTAGACTTATCACCAAACTGAGGGAAAGCAGGGCGAATCTTAGCCAGCGACTCATAAGTAGTTCCATAACGAACACCATCATCGCGGTTCAGAGTAACCTGGTGGACCTCCCCAGTCTTAGGATCCTTGACCTTAACCGAGATAGGCGCAATCTCATCATCAAACCAGCCCGCCTTCTGCGCCGCCTCCGCACGACGGAAAGACTCAGCAGCATAGCGATCCTGCTGCTCACGCGAGATACCAAAGTCCTTACCGACGTTCTCGGAAGTCTGACCCATGGGCTGCATGCAGTCCGCCGACTCCTGGTTCCGCAGAACCTCCTCGTTGAACGGCTTCTCGAGACGGTCGCCAGCAGCGGACATCAGCTCCGCGCCAAGCGCGATACCGACATCGATGGCACCGAGCGAGATTTGGTTCGCGATATCCTGCACGGCCTTCAGGCCGGAAGAGCAGAAGCGGTTGACGGATGAGGCACCTGCGGTGTGCGGGATGCCAGCGGCCAGGGCGGCGGCGCGGACCATGTAGGCGGCTTTGCCTTCGCCGACCTGTAGATGTGTGAGACGATTGATTCTTTTATTTTAGACATTGGGATACTCACATTTCCCAGGCACACATCCTCGACCAGGGCGGGGTCGATCTTAGAACGGGCCAGGGTCTCCTTCAGCAGAGCGTAGACCATGTAATCCAGCTCGGTATCCTTGAAACCACCCTTGCGGGCCTTAGTCAGGGGCGTGCGCAGAGACAGGGTAATCACGACATCATCAGGGTTCTTCTGGGTGCTTTTTGAACCGATTGTCAGCTTGGTCGGGGTGAGAGTCGATTGCAGGGGAGCTTACATGGCGTTCAGTCCGGTGTTAGCACCGGGCTTGAGGTGGCTCAGCAGCGAGCTCAGACGGTCCGCGGCCATTGCGAAGTGTAAAAGTGAAGGCTGTGAGATATATTTTATCAGTGGAAATGTTCCAGTGCTCTTTTCAGTCGCAGCTTTCACGAGTTGCTGGATGTTTGAAGTTTTCGGAGTTGTTGCGGGGAAGCTCCATGTGGCGGATAACGGGGGTGGGGATGCGCATCTGGGATGATCGTGATGGCATAGGTGAATCAACAATGACTTACGGAAGAGTAAAAGTACACCTGTGGTTCAGGAAAAGGAAATGAGGGCGTGGAGGACGAGGGGGGTGAAGAGGAAGAGAGAAGATGAAGTAGGGACTCCGCTTTAAGCTTCCCCGAAACTGCCGAGGCTCTTTTGACGCTGCGCCCGCGAGCCGGCCGCGTACCTGGTACCTCCGCATCCGCCGGTGTAACCCGCCAACTTCAAGTATCCGCTACTCCTGTCGGAAGTTTAAACTGATTTGGTATCTAATTTCGAAGTAACTCGGCCTAGGCTTGAGTTTGGAGGGACTTTTTAGCTCGGGGACTCGGGCAATTATCTACGCTCGTTGCGCATCAAATATGGATGATTATACATCAATCCGCAATCACATTCTGAAGCAAAAATGACTAATTCTCTACACCTATCAATCCCCCATTTACCAGGGTACAACGCCATTCTCACCAGTGTGTCGCCGTATCACCACCAGCTGACAGAGTTGCTAGCCGAACAATGTTTACCGCTGATTCCGAGGCAGGCCGTCCATTACCATGCGAGAAACTCGTGGCTGTCAAGTTCGGAGACGAAGCATTCACTTTCCATTCCTTGCCCTCGAATTTTGATGCATAGTGAAGGGTCAGAAAGTTGAGCGCTGCCTTGCTACTGCGATAGATGGGGAATGAAGGTCTCGACCACTTTTCCCACTCAGGATCATTCTTGTCGACTCGAAGGCCCATAGACCCCGGGTGGGATGAGACGAAGACGATGCGTGGTGGCTTAGCAAGTGCTTTTTCAGGCAAAGGTGTGCAGGCCTCAGTAACCATGGCGGCACCGAAAAGGTTGACCTCATAAGCCTCCTGATAGAGCTTGCGCATCATGGCCAGATCAGGCCTGGATTTCTCCAAGTGGTGATCGACTTGAGCCGGTAGTTTGGAGATCTCAGAATTTCCGTCTTCTTTGGACTCCTGCGGTGCTATTTCAGCGGCCTTGGCCTGTTCAACCTGCTTGAAATACAAGTCAAGTTCATTGTTGATGCCTGAATTGTTGACAAGTATGTCGAGTCGGCCATACTTCGAGGCAATATAGTCGACTGCTTTCTCGATGGAAGTATCGTCAGTCACATTGATAGTCTCAGCTTCCACGAGAGCAACGTTCTGGGTAGTTTGGTGTAGGATCTCGTAGAGGTCGAGAGAATGACAGAGATAAGCACTTGGTTGCTGGCTCTTCATAGGAACTAACTGGGCAATATGAACTTGTAGATTTCATTTGACAGACCGGATTCATAAACAACAAATAACAGTAGGATAGCCTCGAGGGGTAGTGTCCTGTCGGGGATAGCGCCCTTAAGTCCGGCCTAGCTTTCCTGAAAGGAACAGCAGATCCCAAAGGGGAAACTTTCATGGAAATAAATCATGCAGCGCGATTCCACTGCGGAGTGAACGTGTTTTACTCTGCTATTTAACATTAAGACAACCTAAGATTCTTTACCATAAGATTGAGCCGAAGAAATTGAAGAAAACGTGATTGATGTTGATTTGTCCAAGTCCCAGGACAATCAAATTTGCATCAAATCTCAGGGGATAATGAAGTCATCCTGAGGAAAGCTATGGTTAATTTTGACCAGAAATTTGCAAAATATGACAGTATCAGCCGGGCACCATGCGCCAAAGTCCCTGAGTCAAAAAAAAAAAAAAATAAAATAAAACAAAGACCGTCACCCACGCCATTCCTACTGTTCGCGCCTAACTCCCTCCGTACCCGGCATTTGCTGTCCTTAGATCAGAAAATCGTGGGTGCAAATGCTGGCTTGACTGTCTGCTTCGCTGCCCACTTCGGACCAGCCGGTAGGAGTAGCAACACCACCAACGGAGTATCTGCCCAAGTCGCTAAGGGTTCCATCAGACGATGCGTCGACGTCCTCAACATGGCCGGAGCTGCCGGTAGTGGATGGGGCCGACGAAAGCGGAGCTCGGAACAGGTTCGCATGTTCATCGTAGTCCAGTGGCATTTCGCCAAGCAAGTCTTGCTGGTGGCCGGTGTTCGACACTGGGTTAGGATGGGCATAGTAAACTTCATCATTATCCTCGGAGCGGCTTGATGCGGAAAAGGAAACAGGGGTTTGAGCCCTGATCGGAGAATCTGTGAATGGGTCAAACAGGACCTCATCAGGCGTTTGGGTGGTAGGCGTAAACTGCACAACTGACTCCGAGGAATGGTTCGAGGTGACCTCAGAGGAAGTATCAAGATGAGCAGCCTGGCCTGTCTTGTCCCCGCGGTAGAGAGCCTGAGCAGCACCGGTATCGATTCCCGTAGAAGTGCCAACAGTATCAGTCTCCTTGGCCTCATGATCATCAACCACGCGAAGGTTTCCGTTCTTGTCTACAAGCGAGTCGAAGCTGCTGAGCGGGTTTCCGGAGTCCTTTGACTGGCAATGGAGTTCAAGTAAGGTAGCACGTCGCATAATCTCTGCACGAGCAATACGGCGGCGTTCCTCGGCAGCTTCACCAGTCTCCTCGGTCATCGAAATGTCCTCACGAACGGGGTCACGCGGTTCGATACCATCGCCCAGGTTGTGGAGAGCCAAGGCGATCTTGCGGCGAGAAGTAATCATCCATTCTTGAAACTGAGGCGACCGGTAAACTGCGACACCCGCAGCAACCAGGACGGACACCGTCACAATTATTCCTGGTGGTTGAGCTTCAGCCATGCCATTCCGTTTGGCGGCTCCGGTGGACACCGATAAGAACGGATCCACCACCCGATGGGTCGGTTTGAGCATTCCAAGATGAGGGTATATGGTACTGACCTTTTGCCACAGGGGCCGGCATGGTGACGATTAATCTGTTGCTGCTGGATTCGTCTCCGATTTGATCCCCCCTAGCGAAGAAAGAAAAGGGGAGAGAGATGGGATCCGGGAAACGCGCGGATGATGCCTGGAGTCTTACATAACCCCGCGCCTGCCGAAGTGACTTATGGCCCCAGGCCGCCCGGCGTCCACTGCCTGCTGAAGGTTGGTTTCGATTAAGACACCCGCGTACGATCTTTTTACACATCTCCCGGGGGTAACATGAGGATGCTGTAATATTTTGGCAACCAAGTTCCGATACATAATATTTTTTTTCTGGAGAGTCTGAGCTACTACCTACTACATTTGACCGGGTGATCTGTGAAATTCAGTTTAGAATGGGCGCCTACTTTAATGATTCATGTTTTACGAGCAAGAATGAACGCTTGGCTTAACAAGCACAATTAAATACATATTCTACTTAGAGCCCACACTGCTATCGCCCAAAACAAACTACTACAATTGGTATGTAGCAGGATGCCTACTGTATGCGTACTTTCTACTCAGCGTATAGGCCGTTGGAGATTGTGCGGCCGTTAGTCATCCCCCGCGGCCAAAAACACACCGCTTTTAGCGTGTCCCCGCGCGTCTTTGGGCTTCAATCGGAGCTGCAAACATTTTGATAGCGATAGTGTTCGTTTCCCAGTCCACTCGGGAAATTCGAGCTCTCATCAAGATGTCTCGTCAATCAGCCCAACCCCAGCGGCCTCTGACCCTCACAGAGGAGCTGGAAAAATTGGAACAATCTATCACTTTGACTCTGCAAGGTATGTGAGTGGTAAACAAATTGCCGGAGAAAGATACTGACTCTCACGTTTGCCCGCAGAGATCGACCACAATTTCAGCCAAGCCCATCGAATCGTGACCACGAGTATCCTACCTCTGGTGGAACAATACACGGAGCATTCTCAAGATGTTTGGCAGGGCGCCAAGGTGAGCACAAACAATAAGGGGGCATAGGAATTGTCTCCTGCACTACCATTGCTATAAATGCTGACCGGATACCCAGTTCTGGAAACAATTCTTCGAGGCGAGCGCAAATGTGTCCCTTTCCGGCTATGAGGAACGTCCCGAGGGCGACGAGACGGTTCAAGAACCCACCGCGACGGAGGAAGAGATCTCCGCCGATATCACCCAGAGTACCAGCATGGACGAGCCAGATCAATCCTACGAAACGCCTTCATCACGCGGTCCGGATGCGCCCCAGGGCCATGGAGAAGACGTTGATCTCACGGGCCTCATGATTTCCTCGCACAGCACACCGCGGGCACCGGCTCAACAACAAGGCGAAGATGACATGACGATCTCTTCGATCGAACATTCCTCGTCCTATGAAAATCTCAGGAAGCAGATCAACCAGGATCAACCGCCATTTGATATGCCCGACTCGTCGACTCTGCCTTCGACCCCAGGACGCCAGCCTTTCTTCCCGCCCGATGCCAACTCTGTGACCCCAATGTCCTCCCCGTTCATCCCGCCAGCCTCGTCAACAAAGTACCAGTCCGCTTCGCGGGACAACCGATACCAGAAACCCTCAGACCCCGTTCTGCATCAGGTGCTCGACAAAACCTACCGCGTTCAAGCAACCCCCCTGGGCAAGGGATACCGCAGTGCAGGTGGGGGAGCCGATGCTCGCTCCAAATTCACCGTCACCCCAAAGGCTGCCGCTTCCTCATCCCGACCTGCGTACGACGACTCTCCTATATCGAGCCCTGAACCTGAGGCCCCACAGCTACACTCCGAGATCTTTGATTCGCCCATAATGGGGGTCAAAGCGACTCCTGGAACGAACCGCAAGCGTCGCACTAGCAGCAATCGCCTCCGTGGCACTCCAAAGCCCGGTACAAGTGTCTTGACTCCTGCTAAGAAGGGTAGCCATACTCCAGTGTGGGATAGCGACGATGATTTGGATGACGATAACTTTGGACCTAGCCCTCCCAAGACGATGCAATTCCATATTCCCCAGAGCCGGTTGATGAAAACACCGGGTAAGTTGCTCAACAAGAACAATATGCGGAAACTAGCTAACATCCTTATCTCTCACAGCTAAGGAAGCTTCTAAGCGCATCGTTACTGATCTCTTGGCGACTGCCGGTGCAGACGATATTACTGATGACATTGACGATGAACACAGCCCAAGAGTTATTCGGCGATCTGAAACACTGGAGGACGATACTTTTTAGAGAGCAGATTGACCTGCCAGATTATTTTGTCGGCGATGTCATGGAATTGATGTTTTCCATGTATCTGTTCCAATGAATGAATATAGAGAATCATATACCCGTATTTCTATATGCTGTGATGTGTTGCTCAGGTAATACTCCAACAACTGTTATCAGGATAGAACCATTTGTTTTCTTATTCGAATCTCACATATGATCTGGCTGCTTCTGGTTGGTTGCTGTTCATTGCGAATTGATGATCGGCCCTCAAATGGAAGGTTCGGTCCCAAGCCCCGTCACTCGGTCCCGAACGAAGGACGCCTTGCCCGATTGTTTCAATTTATAAAGGCCTTCGAACACCAGTCCCTTCAGGAAATCATTCAAACCTAGCGTGCTTGTCTCATTCTACCCATCCAACTTTTCTTCAAAGATGACTCTTCCTGTTCTGATCAGCGGTGCTGGTCTGGGTGGTGTCTGTCTTGCCCAAGCTCTCAAGAACAACATCCCCTTCAAGATATTTGAGCGGTTTGGCCGAGGAAATATTGGCGCCCAGGGCTACCGACTCAGAATAACCACACATTGTGTCAGCGCAATGGAGGAGGCCCTCACGCCAGAAATGTTCTCCTTGTTCGGAAAGACTTGTGCCAGCATCCCAAAGCTCGGTGTGAAAATCAAGCGAGACGGGTCATCAACAGCACCATTTGGTCTGTCACCAGGAGCACCCGGAGGGAGATCTTATACGGTTGATCGCAGTGTGTTTCGCGAAGCGTTGTTGACCGGCCTCGAGGAGAACACTCTCTTCGATAATTGCCTCAAGAGCTTTACATAACATGTAGACCGTATCACCGCCTCATTTGCAGACTGGACCACAGAAGACGACGCTCTTTTAGTCGGTTTAGATGGTGTTCGATCCACTGTACGCAAACAATACATTCCCGACTTCAAAGGACTTAATACCGGCAAGCGCATCGTCTTCGGAGGAGCCCTTTCACTCCGGAGTTTCTGGCCAGATTGCCCGAGGAATACTGCGAAGGAATGAGCCTCGTTACAAACGAAGACGCCGAATCTCAGCCTGTGCTGATGTTTGAATCCATCACTTTTCCAAACGCAGGCGAAGTCTCAACACTGTAACTACCGGATCCATACATGTACTGGGTTCTTGTCGCCCACCGCTCCAAGAGTCCATCCTCCGACCAAAAATCATGGCCCCCATCTTCCACGGAGGCAGCCGAACTTGCAACCCAGCTCATCAGCTCCTGGAACCCATATACACGGACTATCTTCGAGATGTCAGATGTGAGCCAAACATCCATCCGCTCACTGCTGTCTGCGGTCCCGGCAATGCCACCATGGAGACCGTCATCTCGAGTCACTCTGCTCGACGACGCAGCTCATGTTATGCCCCCCACTGGAGCCATGGGAGCCAATACTGCTCTGCGAGATGCGGCTGATCTGGCACGCCAGGTTGTTGCTGCTGGTGGTGCTCGAAATGTGAGTAGGGAGGTCATTGGATCCTATGAGTCAGGTATGAGAGATTTCGTCAAGATGGCTATAGAGATGAGCTGGAGGGGTGGTATGAGGAGCTTTGGACTTAGGCCCAGTGGAGGAATATGAGCCGATATCCATGTAAACTACTATGGCGACAGAAAGACGCCCTGTTGTTGATGTGACTTATTCTTACGTCCATAATGACAGCCATTCCGATCGCAAAAATGGTCGACGTGGTGAATCATTCGGCACCAGTTAATCCCTGGGATGACCATGTTTCGAACCTGCTGACTTGGCACTTTCTACTTTCGCGCTGGGGTGTCGGAGCCCGTCTTTCTTCTCTTCTGTGGAAGCTCACTCGCACTGGTTCTTCTACTCTGCTCCACTCGTCACAATTCAATACAATTGACACGCAAAAGAATCAGTGATTTGCAATATTTGAAATGGAGTAATTTCACAGCAAAGAAGGAATAATCCTTCATTCGCTCTGAGGTCGCACAATTACTCGATATAACGATCTTGTCGTGAAGTCGGGCGATCTTCGCTCCCACGAAGCACCATCATTTCGTTTCATTGCGTCGAAAACAACAATACTCGTACCCAAAGTCCATGACATCCATTATAAATATAAGAAGGTCGAGGCTATTGTAATGGACTACATACCTGGTAAGCGACTGATTAAATCGTGGGATACTTTAAGACTCATCAGAGGTTCTTCAATGTCGACGAGCTTCGTTCCTACATGAGCCAACTCTGCGAGTTAAAAGGCGACCATATCGGACCAATCGACCATAGTAAGTCTATAATTGGCAATATTGCATCGATTGAAGGCGGTCCATTCGATTCTGAACAGCAATTCAACAAGTTTATCCTGAGAGATCTCGTCAAGACAGCACCAGACCTACTGCGGCATTATGCCAAATTTACACTTATAGATAAAGATAAGTTAGGTAGTTTTTACTCATTCTGATTTCGTCTCGCGGAATATTCTTGTCGAAGGAGGTCGTGTCACGGTTCATCCTTGGCTGGGAATATGCCGGCTGGTGCCCGGAGCACTGGGGATATATTCAGGCGCTTCGGCATATGAAACCGATGCCTGACTAGCCTGATTATCTGCAACGGATTCTTCCATCCCGATTCGAAAGAGATTACATAGGCATGTCCTTCCTAGCTCGCGTCATGAGCCACTATCTACGGATACCATGTGGTCATTTGGGATGAGAACCAACGAAGTAAGACAGCGACACGGTACTTCTGTTCAATTGCACACTATTTTGCAGCAAGGGTGGGATCGTGGAACCTTCTGGTGCTCTTTAGCACTCAACTCTCCCATGGCTTTGTTTGGAATCTTCTACGATCATATCCAACCACACTTTTCCCGGTCTCATAAGAACGAAGAAGCGTTCTGGTCGAACACGATGCGGTATTTGACGTTTTATGCGCTCGGATTTCTTGACGAAAAGGTTAAAGACAAGGAGTAATACGACAATCGCCTGCGGGAAGCATTTACGGGGCATCCCGGTTCAGCCATGTGCTCGTCTGAATAAAAAGCGCGGGTCAGGTTTTCCCGCTTTGCTTCCTAAGACCCTTCCATTTCCTCCTCTTTGGCTTTCCTTGCTGCAGTATCAAGAGATTAAATTACATTTTTGGCTCTGTCTGCCTTCACAGCTTCTGCTGAGGACAGCTGTTTCAGGGTCTTGGGATTTGTCTTGATAGTGAGCTTTGCTTCCTCAATTTGTCGGTCATAGCTGGAGTCGGAGTGCCGGTCCCCCATTCTTTTGATCTCTTATTTTTGAAATCAAGAAACTGGCTTAATCAAGCGTTAAAAAATTGCTGAAAGAGAAGCTTTCATTGCATTGTATCGGAGAAGATCTGCTGAAGATCACTTGATATCTTGTTTGATTTTCTGTATGCCGACCAACCTAACCTAGTTGGGGGCTATGTTAATTTTAGTTGCTCTCGTTGCCTGAAGAGGACACGTGGTCAGCCGGGAGATGGAGGGTTAAAGAAAGTAGCGGGTTTCATTCAGGTGAAGCTTGCAAAGTCGAGTTCTTAGAGAGAAGAGGGCGCTAAAGACAATAGGGCACAATCCTGTGCTAGAAAATTGCGACAGCAAAAGGCCAAGATTACTGCGGTAAGTACAGCGGTCTTCCTGCTGTCTTCCTGTACAATACGTAGCTGGCTCCTCTTGTCAATAACATGATTGGAGAACAAATGAAACAAAAACCCACTCACGGTGACTATTAGGCATTTAATAGCGAATGAAAAAGGGTAAGAGGCCCAAACACCATATCATACGTGGCAGTAACACTCCGCGCGCTATTTCTGCAGGTCGTTATCCTGCACTTACTCTTTCATCACTTCTCACATCTATGCGAGAGAAGGGGCGCCTATTCTTGTACAACAAGGAACATCTACACAATAGAATTCTATATTATATGGAGAAGCGCGTACCAGATGTCTTGGGTTTAGCATTTACAAAATATTGCATTACACACTTGCGTAATTCTTGATTTCTAAATTCCTGCTCTGCTTTTCAAAGCAGCGATGGAGATTTCTCTTCAAGGGCTCTTCACAAATGCTTCCGAGGCTGGCGGTAAAGTCTCCGCTGATATCTTTGGCACCTGACTGCTCAGGCATTCTACGCGGAAGCTGGACTATCCATCCAAACAGCGGCCTTGGTTCTCCTTGGAGTACCTCCTTTACCACAAGCAACAGCTCCTTTGTTCTCAGGACCAAATCGTTCGCAGCTCCCAGAAGCTCTCTGGCCTTCAGTAGAACATCCTTCACAGTTAGAATTAGCTCCACCATCTCCACCAGAACTTTCAGTATTTCTCCCAAGTAGTTAAATACTCCAGTAGGGGAAATATAGCAAAGGTGATTGACATCCTCATCAAGAGAGACATCCCGTGGGCGAAGGAAAGTATCAGGATCTAAACCAAGATCTAGAGCGAGATCTAAGATGAGTCAGTAAACATGTGTAACCAGGTGATCCGCCAACCCCTGGGTTCACTGCAAGGCGATCTCCCCATTCAACCATACACCCCCAGTCCTGCGAACATGGTACACACTGCTCGCACTTTTCTGTTCACAGACATTGCGTCTACGTCACACGCTCACCGTACAGGGGTCCGAAATCAACAACGACACCCGGTAAATATAGGCAACGAATCATGCGCAGATTCAGAGAACAGCTGAGCGCCTTGGACGGGCGAGGCAGACTTCACGGAGAATTGAGCGAGGCGCTGTATGTCGGTGAAAGGAGGTGGCGGAGCTTTTGGCGATTCTGATCAATAGCGAAAATGCGTCAACTGCAAAGAGCAGGGAAGAGAATGCAAAGCAATTTGGAGGCTGTTGGATCGAGAGGGGACGAGGAGGGCGCGCATATACACCCACGCACGGGTGCGCATAGGGACACCGGACGCTAAACCAAGAGGATAAAAATTTAAACCCGAATAGGCTCCACCGTAGTGGTCCGATATGGTGATATGGTGTATCTCTGCAATCATGAGGGGAAAGGTACCTTACGCTGAGTCACTTGCTGATCTTGTAGGAAACTTGCACTTTCTTTACTGTGCACGATGCTATATAAATCTTCTACAACTGCGACCGTCCTTTAAAAAGGGCAGGCCTCCCTCAACCTTGCCACGGCCGTTGTTTTCAATAAAGATTGGCAGGCAAAAAGTACGATATAAACTATTCCATGGTACATTTCATACAGTCGGTAGCGAGTTCCTTTGTGCCATAACCATAGAGAAAGTATACGCCAAACCCACTACTTAAATATGTCAGGATGGAGCAATAATCTTCGAAAGGAGGGTATTTTTTATTCTTGCAGAACTTGGGCGAAATCACCTTCAGAGTATGGCTACATGGCGGCGACGTAGTGTAGTATAATTGCTTTTGAGCATGGGCGATCCATTACAAGCCGGCTGGCCACTAGGCATGCTGACGGAGGGTTTGGTGGAGCCAAAGTTGGTCTAGAATCTAAATTGGGGAATACTCCGGACTGGGACTGTTCGGACCTGGATCCTGTTTACGGTCCTGAGTCAATTGTAGCGGCAGATACTCACATTTGCCACGCCAGTTAGGAGAGGGTTCCAGATGCCGATCATCGCGAAATCCGCTCCAGGTCTAGTCAGCCAGCCCGCCCGATTCCAGCCCTTTGTCAACCCTCCGAATGCATGAAACCAGGGGCGCGTCGGCTCATTTCGCTCAATTTCTTCTGCTAAGTAATGCAAAAAGAAGGGCCACACTAGTGGGGCCTTGTTTAGGTCAAAAATAAATTAAACGATTCATCCGGCGCTGCGCGGTTCTCGTCGAGGCATCTTCCCAGCGCTGTCTCCCGCAGGTCACTGTAAGTGTCCATGGTGGGCTGAGCGGGCAGATGTTGAATGGTAGGTGCGCCTAAAAGTTCCACGGCAGCCGAAATCGAGTTTTAGAAGGGCAGGAGGTCCGGCAGAAGAAAATAGTATTTGCTCATTGCCAATATGTCGGGAATGTGGGCCGGGCTATAACCTTTGAACATCATGCGAATCATCCGTTTTGCCTCAAAGCTCTTCAGCCGTGAGAATACTCTGGATGGTAGCTCATTTGCGGAAGATAGGTGACCATGTTTCTCTCTAACTGCGTCTCGTAGGTGGGCCGAAGAGAATGATGAGAGGACTGCGAGTTGATCGAGTGTGTCCTCGATCTCTTCCAGAGTTAGCCCTGAACCGACTCTAGGTTCGCTGTCTGTTATGGCCATCACTCGCTCCACAGACGCCACGAAGTCTAGTTGGCCACTGGATTGAAGTGATTGAAGCTCCACCATTCGAGATGACCCCAAGGCCTTGTGCGCGTTGGATAATGTTTTCGAGTTGCCGCTCCTTCAGTCCGAAGACTCGGTCCGGCCTTCGTCCGGCAAAGAGGCATGACAAAAACGCAATGGCTCCAGTGCCCTGCCTTCGAATGGCGGAACTGTGCTTGCTGAACCAGGCAGGGATGATGCTAGTATCGCTGCCGGGGAGCCTGACAGTATTCAATGGTCCTCCTGAACTTTTCTCGAGTCTCACTAGGAGCTCACAGCGGAAGCTGAAAGGAAAAGCCATGTTGCAACCAAAGACAGGAGCCGTTAATTGAGGTCTGTCCCTAGCCTCTCGTATGTACGAGCGCAGTAGGGAGCTCAAATAGCATTCAGCGTTCATAGACGGGTTTATCAGCCGTTTATGTAGCTGGTCCAGGCAGACAGCCTATGGGCAGTTGTTCCTAGCTCCTCTAGGCTACTGCCTGCTTAGCAGACTGCCAGACCGCAGCCATCGGTTGTTCGTTGCCTCCCATACTAGATTGTAGGTTCCAGTCTCATCACTGTCACACGCTTCAAAGAACCCTGGACGTAAGCTCATCAAATTCGTCGCAGACTTCAACACTGCTAGCAAGGCTAGGTCATAAATCCTTCATCTCCCATACCATTGGTCCGTCGCTCATGCGCAGTGTTGCCTGGTAGAGCTCAAAGTACGGTTTCGCGTCAGACTCTCGTGGACATCCCGCTTTCTTCCTAGAGACGCCTTTAGAGTGCCTAGCGGTTTGTGATATCGGCGGCGACGATCGTTCCGCCGACCATGAATCGCTTTCTTCGCGGTGTTTTGCCGGTACACCAGTGTTGGTCACGGCGTGTAGGGAAATTCTGTCGGGGGCCCGCTATCGTGGATGCGTTTAGGGGTGATTGTGCAGACTGTCGCTCGATACCGAAATCCGCGGCAGTCGGATCCATCTCCACTGCAGGTACATGTGGCTTGACGGCGCCTCAGATGGCGCTACCTCTCCCGGGGTCGTCACGGTCTGACGAGAAAGCCACCCGGTTACCGTCAGGAGGTTACGCCGGGCTGGTATCCTTGGCTTGCTCTGTTGTGATATGTCGTATCGTAACGGAATCAATTCCTAACCTCACGGAATTGCCAGCTTTGATTGGAAATCAATCTGGAGGTTGCATGTGTATATAAACCCTCAAGTTTTCTGTCCAGAAGAAAAATAAGTAATCTTCCTCTGAATTACAACATGCCCAGATGTGAGAGGGCGGGCTGAGCCCGGCTCAGAGGCTGAGACCACCCAAAGCGTCGACGTAGCGTTTTTGCCTTTGGGAAGGACTCCGCTTGCAGGGCTCGTAAGCACAAATGGGCAAAGACTTGTACCAGTCGCTGGGCTTGTAGAACCACGGTCCATTATTCGCTAGCAGTGCTGGGACCCAGCGCGTGGGAATTATAGGTACCTAGCGTTATCAGTAACGTAGTTCCCAAGCGAGTGACGCACCCCACCAAAAATCAAGTCCCGACGCGTCCCCACTATCTTCAACAACCCACCATGCCACCAAAACACGCCCAATCAAGCCATGATTCGGCTAATCATGAGGACCGAATCTTATTAGCTGTTAAGTCTTTTCAAAGCGGCCAATTTCCTAGTCTTCGCGCTGCAGCCAAGACATATAACGTATCTGAGGCTACAGTCCGCCGCCGATGTGTGGGCCAGTCTTCTCGCGCGGATACACGCGCTAATAGTCATAAATTGACTAAGTTCGAAGAAGAATCGCTTGTATAGTGGATACTCTCAATGGATTCACGCGGTGCAGCGCCCAGGCCCTCAAGTGTGAGAGAAATGGCGAATATTCTAATTGCCGACCGTGAAAACACAACCTCCCCCCAACCAACAGTTGGAAAAAACTGGGCATCAAATTCTATCAATCGCCAAAAAGAGCTGCAAACATGCTTCTCAAGACGCTATGACTATCAACGTGCTCAAAATGAGAACCCAAAGGTCTTACGTGAGTAGTTTAAAACCTTCAAAATGTGACCAATAAGAACGGCATCCAATCAGATGATATCTACAACTTTGATGAGACTGGATTCGCGATGGGCCTTATTTCAGCATAAAAGTTGGTTACTCGAGCCGAGTATTATGGTCGTCAGGCAGTTCTACAGCCGGGAAATCGAGAATGGGTGACTGTTATAGAGTCAATCAGTGCGGCTGGTTTTGCTCTCCCACCATGCATAATTTTTAAAGCCAAAAACCACAACATTAGTTGGCTTGATGGCCTTCCAAAGGACTGGCGAATCGAAGTCTCTCCAAATGGCTGGACTTCAGACGAAATCAGTACCAGATGGCTTCAAAATCTATTCATCCCATTCACCTCAACTCGGATGAAAGGAACATATCGCCTTCTGATCCTTGATGGCCATGGTAGCCATCTTACGCCTCATTTCGACCGAATCTGTGCTGAAAACTTAATTATCCCACTCTGCATGCCAGCGCATTCAACCTCTAGATATTGGATGTTTTGCTGTTCTTAAGCGTGCCTATGATCGTCTGATTACCAATCAGGCACGGCTAGGATTCAACCATATTGATAAGCTAGATTTCCTAGCAAGTTATCCTCAGGCACGAGAAGAGACTTTTACTCACTTCGACCTTCTAGCCGATCGAGTCAATTCAGCCCTAAAACACCGAAAACGGTCACTTAACTACAAAACAGTTTTCTTCACTCAAAAAACTACTTAAAAAACAATCGAGAAGCTCCTCATCAAAGAGTGTCCTAGATCAGATTATCAAGGGCTACTGTGTCTCAATGCATACCAACATGCTACAAGCTCAGAGAATTGCTGGTTTACGGGCTGCGAATGAGAAGAAACGGCAAAGGCGAGCAAGGACGAGTCGTCTCGTTCGATGCGAACAGTGTATTACAGTTGGAGAGGGCTTGCGACTACCAGTGCAGCCAGTGCAGCCAGTTGAACCTGTTGAACAGCCTCCGCCCGCGCCGGTTGAATCGCCTATTTTGCCACCCCACCAGCCAAACGTGCACCCCGGAGATGTAGCGGCTGCAATAAGATTGGCCATTCAATTACCCGGTGCCCTAGTCGATAGTTTTTGAATTTAATAGTGTTTTTGGTGGTTTAATATCATTTTAAAAACGTAGGGGTAGGCGGTGTGCGTCACTCGCTTGGGAACTATGTTAGCAAGTTTAGACCCAATTAGTCACCTGTCGTCCCATTCCACTGCGTTGTCACGACGTCGACGTTATTGGCCAGTGGCCGTTTACATGCGAGACCCTGGTCCATAACATCATGAAATATATTGTTATAGCTGTGAAGCTGTTGTATTAGAAGAACTACTCTAGAAGCCAACTATTTATAGGACTCTCCGCACACACAAGCTGCCCGCCCAAATTGGTGCACAGCAATGTGCTAATCAACGAAAGCTAAAAGTGGATGATATTAGTGGCGGAATTTGCCATCATGCATATACTTGCTCAGCCAGAAGCAACTATTTCTTAGCGAACCGGCTTTTGCCTCTAATAAGTTTGCCATATCGGAAAAAGAGGAACGGAAACGGTATCATGGCAACGGTGAGAAACGCCAACAATGATGACGCCCATTGGTATCCTAATCCTTCAAACATGTGCTCGCCGAAAAGCGGGAATACGGCTACAGTCTCAGATTAGCCTTATGCTGCAAAACCAAAGTCATGGCATTTTACTGCCTTCACATACGTACCGGCAAAAATGCATCGGATGAAGCCATTTGCGGCCATGGCGCTCGCTGCGTACGTTGGATAAGCGTCAACCTTGTGCAAGTTCTGTCAGTTGTGCCTTTCAAAAGACAAATTCAAAAAAAGAATTTGTAGTAGTCCAGATAACTTACAAGAAAACCGAAAATAGAGGTAAACAGCAACAATGCCCTAGTTTGGTGTCACCACGTCAGCTTTTAAACCTTTTCCTCTTACACTTCAATAGTTTGTACTTACCCAAATCCAAAGACGGTAGAGCCTATGATAGGAGCAATCCAGTGCACCCAGGGGAATGTTGTCCATCCAAACATGAACATGCCAACAGGCACAATCAGAGAGCCTACCATAGCAGCAGGAAGCCGGAACTCGGGCTCGCTAGCACCTTGGATACCCGTCTCTCGTTCTTTCTTGTGCACAAGACGGTTTCGCGCATTGTTCCAAACCGGATTCATGAAAACAGCCAGGATCATGCCAAGACCAATTCCTAGGAAGGATAGACCGACTTGCCACAAGTTGAAACCATGATTGTTGACAAAGACCAGCGGGAAAGCGTCGAAAAATAAGTAAAGAATACCATGCAAGAGTGCTGCAAAAATGCAGAGGCAGAAACACATGGGTTCAAGGATGAGAAGCTGGAATGGTCGGAGTAAGGAGTTGCCAATTGCGTGGGCAACAGACCGGTGCGCTCTTTCCATAGGAGCAAACCATTCGTTGTTTGTCTCTTTTCGAAGCTTTCTCGCCTTGTTTCGTAATAGAACAGGATCTAGCTCATGTTAGATTGGAACAGGACTTGAAGAATTATGGCCATAAACTTACGAAACGTCTCAGGAACAAGAAAGACGATTGCCAGCCACAAAACAAAAGACCAAATGATTAAAACGTAGTACGTCCATCGCCAATCGAGATAAGAACAGATCAAACCGCCAATCAGGGGACCCAGACTGGGTCCGATAAATGGCGACACTGAGAAGACAGAAATCGGGTGTTGTAGTTGCGCCCTGTCGAAGAGATCGTGAATGGTGCCTCCAGCCACGGCGAGGAAAGCGCTGCCAGCGAAGCCGTCGAGGAAACGGAAAACGAGAATCACCCCAATGTTCTTGGCGACGGCCTGTGGTATAATGAAAATAACATAGATCGTCCAGGAAATGACGTAAATGGGTCGCCGACCGTAAAACTCGCTGAGGGGGCCAAGAGCCATAGGACCGAAACTGATACCGAGAACGAATAGGGAAAGACCAAGAATAGACACTATTCTTGAGTTGCCCAGCTCTGCTTCCATCTGTTGGTATGTCGCGGTGTAGATGGAACTAGCGCATGTCCTGAATATGTTGTGTTAGCTTGGGCCAGTTGCTTTGATCGTCCGTAACTTACATGCACAGACTGACAAAACAAATAACAAGAACGATGCGCCACTTTTTCAAGGAGCTGTAGCTACGAGGGCATAGGGGATCCGCATCACCGCCCTCCCAGCCGACCTCGTAACTCTCTTTTTCCATGCTCGGTGGGCTCTGGGCTTTTTGGTCTGCCGGTGCGATAACCGGAGTCGAGGTCTTGCTGTTGTCGTCCAGCGACTGCATTTCGCTGTCTTTGCTTTGCTCTTCCATGATTTCGCGAGATCAGTTTGCTCGATCGATTTTGGCTAGTATGGAAGTAGCCACCACAGCGCTGGGAAGATGCCACGACGAGAACCGCGCAGCGCCGGATGAATCGTTTAATTTATTTTTGACCTAAACAAGGCCCCACTAGTGTGGCCCTTCTTTTTGCATTACTTAGCAGAAGAAATTGAGCGAAATGAGCCGACGCGCCCCTGGTTTCATGCATTCGGAGGGTTGACAAAGGGCTGGAATCGGGCGGGCTGGCTGACTAGACCTGGAGCGGATTTCGCGATGATCGGCATCTGGAACCCTCTCCTAACTGGCGTGGCAAATGTGAGTATCTGCCGCTACAATTGACTCAAGACCGTAAACAGGATCCAGGTCCGAACAGTCCCAGTCCGGAGTATTCCCCAATTTAGATTCTAGACCAACTTTGGCTCCACCAAACCCTCCGTCAGCATGCCTAGTGGCCAGCCGGCTTGTAATGGATCGCCCATGCTCAAAAGCAATTATACTACACTACGTCGCCGCCATGTAGCCATACTCTGAAGGTGATTTCGCCCAAGTTCTGCAAGAATAGACAAACAGCATTCATTCTATCATTACCTTTTGGTCAAAATCAACCCAACATGGCTGCCACGACTATGGAACGCGGCTATCACAACACATCATCGTCATACGTCCTCCCCAATGAGTGCGATTTTTTAAGACCCATGCTGAATTGAGCCCTTCACTAATATATGCTATGTAGCGCCATTGAGCAGGATCGACTCGATGCGCAAGCCGATGCCATTGTGGCCATGATTGGTGGTGCTCCGTTTTTGGCGTACAACCGTCATCTCACAAACGCCTCCAAGGCAGTCGATATTGGCTGCGGAACTGGTGTTGCAACCCTTCAACTGGCTGCTCTGCTTCCCAACGCAAACGTGGTCGGTGTTGACATTACTCCCATTCCCGCACCTGCACTTGCTGCTGCCTCGCCCAAACTGCAATGGGAGACTGGTAATATTCTAGATGTGGACATGGAGAAGCAGACGGACAGCCTCAGCCGTGGCGCATTGGCACCAAACACTATTGGCTACTTCTTTGGACGCATGTTGTTCCTGGGTATCAACGACTGGCGCAAGTACTTCCAGGTTGCCAGCCTCATGCTTCAGGACCAAGGCATCATAGAGCATCAGGACCTGGATTGGAAGTTCTATCGTGTCGGCACAGACGAATGCCTCAGCGATAACTGGAAATGGTACGCCCGGCTCATGGAAGCCGTCAAGAAGGCCGGTCTATCCGAAATTTCCGGATCCAATGCGGCCTCTCTCATGGAGACGGCTGGACTGAAAGTTATTGAAACTCGGAAGTTTGAGTTTTCGTTTGTCCCGTCGGCCAAGACTCCCAACAGTCAAGCAATGGGTCGATACGTGCAAGCGAAGCTGATGCCAAACTATCCAGAGCTGATGCGAAAACTACTGGGGTCGCTGAACATTGCCAACGACGAAGTGGAACAGCTCATCCGCGATGCTTTAAGAGACCTGTCATCTGAGGAAGGAATTCATCAGAAATACACTGTCACTATTGCAAAGAAAGCATGAAGCAGGTTCAATTGTCTTGTTCAATCTGGATCAGGAGAGTAGTAGTGCATGCTGAGCTTTCTTCTGGATAGAAAGGACAGCCAGTCAACGCCAATGTTTATCATGATTTATGTTTATTTTCTCAGACAGTTTTTATAAGGACAGAATACTCCAAAGTTGGAATTCACCAACGCAAAGTTAGAAAACCCCAGTCAAATACTCCCAGAGCAACAGAGAAAGGCAATACTATTAGATGATATATAGAACTGTTATTTTCCTGCTCATCAGCCTATACCGTCACGGGACAAGATGAGATCAACTCAAGAGATAATGTTGCTATATTGCGAGAATACTAAGTGGAAGAGGAAATAGAGACGTACAGGCGCGTGGACGCGTGGACGTGTTAAGTGCTATTACCCTCCGGTCTACTACCCTGCCACTCCGGACAGTCCCGTCAAATAAACGTTTTGTGATGCCGACTACTTTTCGGGCTGGCTGATAAATGGCACAGCATTCAAATAAATGACCAGTTTTCATGTTACTTTACTTAGTACCTGCGTTGGTCCTGATGCCAGTAGTATTCTATGCATGTTTTATTTGCTAGTTCTCATCATTCTAAATCTGCTTGTTATATTGCTTGTATGTGGTGGGCCACACGCCATTCTTGCCAGGCGAGAGGATACCCTTTGGATCAAGTGCATCCTTAATCTTCTCGCTTAGCTTCATGTGCGCACTATCGTTAAAATTGTAAGTGCCCGCGACCTGATCCATCAGCGCCAGATGGGCACGGTACTCTCCCCATCCACGATCCGCCGCTTCCTGAATCAGAAGCTTGATGAGCTCGTGTGCGCGAGTGCGCATCTCGGGGTCCTCTCGATCGAAGAGGATGCAAACAATGTGATGGATCTCGCGCACACCAACAAGGAACGCGCCGAGGAAATCAAAACCAAACTCCTCGCTGCGACGGCGCGTCAGCTCGTATTGAGCCTCGGCATCGTCTCCAGTGAGCTTGGCGATGGGCGCAAAGAAGAGATGCCCACCATTTGGCAGCCACGATACCCAGTCCAATTCAGTTATAGACGGGATTCCCACAAATGTATTCTTTCTCGTTTGCAGCGCCTTGTCGTGAGGCCGGTCCTCGGGGAAGTAGAACTTGGCACCCGGGATCTGGCTGAAGGCGCTTTTAATGACCTTCCAGAGAGCTTCGCGCACCTCTGGCGGTCCGTACATGCAGCCGTAAAAGTTCCAGCGGCCAAGGCCTAGCTTCTCAGCAATGGCATCAAGATCAGCACCCGTTAGAAGCTCCTTGGAATTGGTATAAGAGCTGCGAGTCCCCTAGTTTCTTTAGTTAGATTTGGCCCGTACGGTTTGGCGTAAAATGTGCTACATACCTCCATAGCCGCGCTGACAAGGATATTGTCCAGCTTTGGCACGTTCTGGATAACCATGGAAACTCGCAGGGGCCGCATGATCTCGACAATGCGATTCAGATCATCATCTCGGGGAAAGGTGATCATGTACGTCTGCGAGCCACCCGGGTTGGGCATGAGCCAAACGCCCATCTTTGTTACAATTCCCATGTTGGATTGAGAAAAGATTCCATCGTGATGCGGGCCAAAACCGTAGTTAAACAGTTGCCAGCACTCATTCGGCTCTTGCTCGTGGGGCGGCGCGTTCTTGTCTGCTTTTGGGTTGGGCAAAGCACCCATGCCCGTTCTTACCAATGATCCGTCGGGAAGAACAACTTCCAAACCGCAGTGCATCATCCTTGATGAGTCAGCTATTTCTTCTTGAAGACCCAAGACCGCCCAAAACAATTAAGGGAGCAAAAAGGCAAACATTCTTACCAGTGATCTCCGTAAGGAGTATAACCAATGCCTCTCTCCATAGTGTTACCAATGACAGAGCCGCCGCCCAAGTCAGGACAATCGGCCCAGACCTTGTCTCGCAGATCATGGTCAACAAGGTATTGGTGCAGGTCAAAGAAAGAAACACCGGGCTCAACAAGAGCATAAGCACTATCCGCGTCTACTTTGAGCACTTTGTTCATGTTTTTGCCCATGTCAAGACCGATGCTGCCGGGTACACGAGGAGCAGCACCTCCATACCCAAGGTTTCTACCCATGGAGAATGGCCAGACAGGTATTTCCATCTCATTGGCAAGGCGCATGATGTCCTGGACACCAGGAACATCCTTGGGAGCGACAGTGCATGAGTGGAGGAACGCCTTCTTTTCCAAGATGTGGAACATGTCATGCATCTTGGAGCGGTCCATATAATCTTGCTGCTGGAGCTGGTCATCACCAGCCACAACAACAACATTTTCGTCACCAACAATTGCGCTGGCACGGCGCAGGAACTCATGAAACTTGGCTGAAGAAGTGTTTGGTGGCAACGAAATGGGTTCAGGATGAGTAGGGGTAGCCTGCCCCTGCTCTGCACCATTCGTGTTCGACATGATTTATAGACGTTGATATCTTGACTAGAGTGTCCAGTCAACACAGCCAAATTCTCTTCCTTTTGCAGGATTCAAGTATATAAGTATGAACTTGAAGAGCATCACGCAAACAAGCTGGCTCGATAATGGTTAGCAGCGGGCTAAAGAAAACCCACCGAGTGCTCCCCCACTAAAGGATTGGCATGTGACTGAAACAAAACGCGCCTCGGAGACATATGGGGCTGACTGAGCTCCCGAACTGGTGGAACGGGGCGCCGCTGCCATCCGAGCCTGATGTCGGCCCTAGCGCAACGGGATTGACCCACATTCGGCCCTTACCGAGAGATTCCTCCAAGTAAGACTCTCTTTTCGCTAGATATTATCTATCCGACGTGCAGGTACCCGCAAAATCCACCGTGATGTCGAAAACTGCTTCTTCATGATATGTGGCGGATGCAACGTATCATTTTCAGCGTCAACACGCAGTACAGAAACAAAACGTACTTTGTTGGTAGCTGAGCATCTCCGCAATTTCTATCCTGCATAAGGCATCGGTTACATCCGCATGAGACATGCACATATTTGCCCCAAAGTTTTACAACAACAAGGGTCCTCATTTAATTTGTAGTATAAATACAGTCTGCTTAAGCTGGACTATGAGAAGCCTATTCAGGCACTATTAGTTCCCCCACTGGATAAAATAGGACGCCAAAAAAACAAACTGGTGTAACCATGACCCCTGTGGCAATTATTACTGGTGCCTGCTCCGGCATTGGGCTTGCCATGTCCAAGGAGCTCATCCATCGCGGCTACAAGGTGTTCATGGGCGACATCAACCCCCAAGGTGGCGAGGTGGTTGATGCCTTGGCACCCCCTTCCGGTGCCCCTGCACCTACATTCGTCCGCGGAAACGTTGCTTCCTTCGAAGACCAAGCCAGTCTCTTCGAAGCTGCCTATTCCTTCGCCCAGCACATTGACGTCTTCCTGGCCAATGCAGGCGTGGACGACAGAGAAGATCTTCTCGCCGAGCCTGTCGATCCAACTTTCACCGCCAAGCCAACACCGTACAATGCAGCCACTGCCGAAATCAATCTAGGCGCTGTTCTTCAGGGCTTCAAGCTCATGGTGCACTATAGTCGCCGTGCCCAATACGATGCAAAGGTCGCAGGCTCCGCGCCTCCCCCACTTGGCCGCATGGTTGTCACTTCATCGACATTCGGACTATACCCATTTCCCACGAACCCAGTCTATGCCGCCACCAAACACGCCACAAGGGGACTTGTCCAGAGCCTGGGCCGCCGCGCTGAGCAGGAAGCAAATTTCACGCTGAACGCCATCCTGCCGGCTTTTGTGCCCACGCGTTTAGCCCCCGAGGGACTGGTGGCCCAGATCAGAGACAGAGGCTACATCACGTCCATGGAGACTGTTGTGAAGGCGCTGGGTTTGTTCCTGGGCGAGACTGCGGAGCTGCCGGATCACGTCCAGAGAATCGAGCTTCCTGGTGCTGCAGCGGGTGATGGGCCTCTTACTGGAGAATGTGCGGAAGTTAGCATGGCTGAAATTTACTTGCGCGGATCTGTTCCGTTTGCGAATGACAGCCAACGATGGTTTTCGGAGGATCCAGATGGCCTTTGGTGGGACGGGTATCAGCAGAAGAGAGCGGCAGATAGAAAGTGAAAACTAGCTACACTGCTTTCTAACTAGCTCGCAATGTATTCCTGTTCAAGGCCATTATGTAATTGTTAGGGGCGTTCACTGTTCGTGTTTGACGTGGCTTGATATGAGCAAGAGCTGAAACTCACTCGAACGCCTTTACTTGTTCTGGCAGTCCGTAGCGGTAACAGTGTATGGTATACGTTCGAGGCTCTGCCTGGAACGATCCTCCCAGTCGAGGCACCGCAAAATATCCCGAGCATAGCCCTATCTATAATTATTGGTCCGAAGGTGCCTGTCAAAATAACGGGCACGGGGTGGAGACGTTCGCCGCAGACGACGCTTGCTATTATTAGCCATATATAATCTCCAAATTTTCTCGGTGGGATTTGCCGCTTCTGGCCCAATACTTACCATTCGCTTTCAACAAGAAAATCATTAACTTTCAACAAAGACAATGATAGAGACGAACTTCGCCTTCGTTTTGCCGGCAGCGGCTCTCTTGTGCTTCCTTCTGCGGGAAGTCTGGAAACAGCATATACACTTGCAGTCCCTCAGAAGTAGCGCTAGAGAGACCTGTTTCCGGACCCGGCTCGATTCACTGAGGTCTCGTAGAGGTCAAAATGAAGCCGTCGACGTTCTGCTGAACCTTATCGAGCAAGATGGTGCCGGTCAGTGGCCACCGCTTGTTGTATATGACGATTGGCCGTCAGCTCTCCAGCCATATAAAGACATATACCACGAGGTGGTGCCACAACTTTCTTCTTCTAGTCCACTTCTTGATGATGATACTCTCATGGCCCGTCGTGAGTCGTTTCGGTCTCACATGCGTGAGCTTTTGAAAGAGCGGATAGATTTGCTCGAGGTGGAAAGGCTGTTGAACGCGGCCGAAGCCGGCAACTGGACGAGCCTCCGCCGTGAGCAGCTGAATGGTGTTTATTGTGCGGTTGCTGTTTTAAGACATGCGTACAGGTAAGTTGCAATCACTTTTTCGGGGGCAAGATGACTTGAAAGGCTCTTTTGCTAAAGCGGTTGGTGATAAGATGGGCAACCATCCCCGTCGTAAAAATCGCACAAGCCGAGACCGTGATAGACTTTCCCGTCGAACTTGATAGTGCTTGGGCCCCGCTTCAACGACATTTTGGCTGCGCCGCAGAAAGCGGAAACAATACGGCAAATGTATTGTATAACTTCACCCCTGATGGCAACCGGGTGTTTAAGATCAACATTGGCCAGTCAGATGAGATTGTATCGTCCGAAGAGGCATTCTTCCGCATGTTCTACGACATTGAAGCCTTGGTATGGAATTACGACCTGGTACTACATGGTGTTGTTTTGATTACTAATTATGAAAGTAGGCGCGTATTGTCTATATTGACATGGTTGAGGCGATTGTGGCATTTGAGGAGAACCGAAAAGCAGACTCTCTGCGACGCCTCCAACAACTCAAACCCAAGTTGGACAAGATCTATCAACTTTTCTATGACGGCCTGGTTGATGCCAAGGTATCCCGTAAAGTTTGGCTGAGCTACTGCCAAGGCTTTCAGGGTTGGGGTGTTGGCCGGGTTATCGATGGCCGCCATGTCAAGTATGACGGTCTATCAGGAAACCATGTTCTCATCTTTCAAGCAATCGATGCTTTCTTTGGCATGGAACGCTATCTTATCGACGAGAACATGACCCGCTACATCCCGGTCCGCCAGCGCGAGTTTACGAGCGTCTTGAGGCGGCACTCTATCCGCGCCCAGATTGAAAAAGGGGAAGATGAAGAGATTCGGGCGGAGATAGGCAAGCTTGTGCAGGCCATGAGAGTAAGTTCATTACCATACACCATTCCATCCTCATAGCCTGTTCCGCTGACACTGTGTCCAAAGGTCTTCCGCGCGGCACACAGGACACGAGTAATCCCATACCTGAAGCAGCCAGCGCCAGAGAGACTAATAATGACGGCGGGCAAATCCGTTTTGGAGAACGAGGACACAAACGGACTTGCAGACGCCTTGGCCCCGCTGAACAAGATGATGACGACTAGACTGCAGGAGACTGTCTAGGTGTTGTCTGAGATGAACTGCCAGAAAAATAGACGATACGGAAGTGGCAAGCTGTGAAAGGAAACTAGACTTTGGATTGTAATAAAAACCCACATGTTGATTTCTTTTCCGCGAAAGGTCAAGGATGTTCGCACAGAGCTTGCACTACACAACCCACCTAGCTTAGCAGGCTGTTATTGATTTTAGTTGTACACCGCTGCATCTACCCTAAAAAATCATGATTCATTCATCTACTGTAGAAATGTCTAGACGTTTGCTTGCTCTCAGTAAGACAGAAACAGGGGCAAGGCCGAGGTCGATCTTGCATCAAAGGATGGCTCGCAAAGTGAAAAAAAATGCTTACCGAACCCAAGTATACCTAAAACTATGGACAATTTGAAAACATCGCGTTCGTAAAATCGTACTGCACACTCACCTTGTTTTCTTGGCGACGCTCTCATTTATATACTGGAAAATGCCATCTTCTCGTCGCTGCAACTCCCGCTGGGCCATTTTTGTTAGAATCTCAATGGTGTCGCCGCGGCCCGTCTCTCCAGCACGGTTCCCGGTACGGTTCGATGCCGGACTCTCGTCGGTGTCCAGGTCCATGGAGCAGCGTGGGGCTGCCGTGTGCTTCACGAACTGCCGGAGCGACTCGCGGAGATTCTGGGCCGTCTGGGAGACGAGCTGCAGGTGGATTTCGGCGGCCGACTTTCTTGATACTTGCAGCCGGATGCCTCCAATGTTGATTTGCGGGGCTTCTTCGGGTGACGCAGCCCGCTGCTGTCGCTGCTGCAGCATCGCGGTGGGAGAGCCTGTGTCTCGCAGCTCGTGTCGCAGCTTCTCCATGGCAAATTCATAGGCCTCGAGAAGATAGCTGTAGCAGCCCAGTATGAGCAGAGACGTCATACCGTGGCACTTGGCAATCGGCACCGGCGGGTAGCACAGCCCATTCTCCTTGAGGCGCTGAAGTATCTCGGTCATCTCGGCGTTAAGCCTGTAGATGACCTCCATGTCGTCGGTCATGCTGAAGGACACGGCGAGCGACTCGGAGAGGGCGATGAGCTCGGTGTTTATAACTACGAGCCTGCTGTGCAGGCTCTCGCTCTTGAGCGAAGCGGCGGTAGAAGGCGCCTCGCTGCTGGAATGGGCGTCATGGTGTGTGCCGCTGCTGGAGCGGTGAGCGCTGCCGCCCCCGAGGGCGAGAACAAGTCGGCGGCAGCATTTGAGCTTGCGGTTGATGCCGTACGCGAGCCACTGTGTATCGCCTCATCGATGGGCAAATGAGGCTGCCCGTAGTCGTCTAGCAAGGGCTGGTGGTCCCACAAGTAGGCGGCAGTGTTCTCGTCGGAGGGGAGGTTGCTGAAGAGGTCTAGGCTGCAAGCGGCAGACGGAGGCAGGGTGATGAATGGTTCGTCTACTGTGTCATGTCTGTCAGCTTCCATGCCAAGTACCTATGATGCAAGGGCAATTAAGAAGAGCAAGGTTCGCGACATACTGCTCATGGCTGGAGTTGGGCGTTGGCTGGACGAGCTTGACTGGCCTGTCCCGCGACCGAGCGGACGGCCGGCCTGGCCGCGCGGACTGTAGTTGCAGACTGCGCCTGATCGTAAGCACTTGTGGCACTGGTTGGACGACGCATCCTTGGTGCACCGCGTTTTGGCGGCGTAACAACGATCGCAGGTGGATCGAATAAGGCTCATGCTAGCGTTTTTGGTGGTATCGCTTCAACGCTGGTAGAAAAGCTGGTCGACCATGAAAAGCAGGCGTCTTCCGGTTGCGAATTTGCCAGCCCTCTGGTTGCGACGCAAGACTGTGCAGGTAGTAGGTACAAGGAGAATACGAAATGGAACAAACTGCCTTGCCTGGTCTGACTCGAGGAACCGATTAGTATTGGCGCTTGGTCAAGGAAAAAGAAGGGAACAAGAGAATATGAATGTCAAAGCAGGAGCAGCGAACAAAACATTTCTTCTCTCGGCTGGCGACGAGAATCGGACAGCGGCCTACAGGGGCCAAAACGGTAGCCTGGTTTGTAGCGTATGGAGTGACTACGGTGCTACATTAGTGCAGAATTTTAAAACTACTTTTAGGCGATTTTGTAGTTTTTGTAAAATTTACACTAATGTAGCACCGTACGTGACTCGTGATGCTGCATCTCAGCAGGGGCCAGGAGCCGCAGTGGAGAGAGCTCGAGGGCCAAAAAAGACCTAGTTCTTCAGCTTGTAATGAATCTGCCACCGTAGTTCCCAGCGTAATCGTAGAAACACAGTCGTCAATCTCCGAGCCTGACCTATACCGCAACTTAAGTTTTAAGCCGAGCCGCCAGAGCAGCCATACGAAATCTCAATATATGCTGTATTCACAGGCAGCTACTGGGTAGCGGACTGGGTACTGGGGGACTGGAACTGGGTACTTGGTTTCAGTCGCTCTAATAGTGCCAAGTCGCTAGCTGGTTACGGTGACATCTTGTGGGCGCTCCGGGCTAACGACCTTGGGGTCCAAACTCGCAAGCCACAATCGTGATCTTTCCGCACATCTACATCTCTGTCTGTGGCGTCGTCTCACTTTTCCTTCGGCTCGCCTTTAGCTAGAGGAGTGGCACTATCCCTACCAGTAATAGCAAACATTGCTACTCGGTGCCAACTTTTACTAAGGCACTGTGTTTTGCCGACCTAATAGCGCTTAGACTGCGGCAGAGCCATGGCTAGCCGCGGTTAACCAAAACCAAACCCTCCTCCTAACCGCCCGCAGTGCAGGCGGCTGTGGTTAGCAAGGTGTTAACCGCAAGAAAGCCATGGTTAGTTTGCGGGGCTGCAAATACTGCAAACATGTGATTCTCTTGGCGACTACAAAAACAAAAATATCCAAATTACTCACTAAGTATATGTTACTGAGCGAATCTGAACGATCACTGAGCGGTCATGATTGGTCACTGTGCGATCAATGAGCGTTAGTCATTCCTCACATGGCCCCACTGACCTGATCATTGAGTCTGAGCCTGTGCTGATATCTACTCAGTGAGCCTGAACCTGAGCGCCCTCATAAAAGCGGCGGCAGCCGAGACAGGAAAGCCCCACCCGCCAGACATTATCTGGTCTATATTGCTGCATATACCCGGACGTTATGCGTTTTGGCTTCCGACACCAAATGAGTTGGAAGTGAGACAAAAGGTTAGCGCGCGCGTGCACATTGAGGAGCGTGATTCTTTTATCTTCTAGCGTTGGAAGCTCAAGTAACAAATTCTATCTCAATTATCACTTTAGCGCCCGTTTTAACTGCGGGAGAATGTGTCAATCATTAATCAGGGGTGATTGAATCGATACCCGGGCACAATGCCCACAATCGAAGCTTACACTTACTATATACGTAAACGCCCGAACCGGTGTTCTGGTTTGTTTTGAGGTTGTCGATAATACAAAGTGCTCAGCCAAAGCTCAAACCAACATCGACCTATATTACGCTGTCACCAGCTGCTACTTTTAATGAGAAGCCTTTCCGGACACCGAATTAATGTTTGGGTTCTCCCATCACGACATGCTAGATGCAGCTAATGCAGAAGCGGCTCTTCCAGGCTGTCACTCCTACATGGGTGTTTGAACTACAATTGACTATGCTCGGGGACGAACTATCCAGGAGGAATATCACAAGTAACCAGCACGATAAAATCATTCGAAAGCCTCTTGTCGAAGAGTGATATCATGGCATATTTTGAGATGATATGTGTGCTCCTTGCTTATGCCTTGAATGCAGTGGCAGTGCTGAAACCGAACAAGCAAGTCCGACATAACGCGGCTCGAAAAGCGTCTATGATCGATACCTTGAATTTGTCTATGCGCGATTATTTTTATTTTTTATGTATTGCCAATTCACCTCCGGGAATGCGGCAAGTACTATCTGACTCATCTGTCGTTTCTTTCTATCTTTATTCTTTTCTTTCCTGGTTACGTCGGGCGTTCGGGATTGATCGGGATAGATGATATGGGCTTGGGCATGTCACAACAGTCGCATTTGACAGATTCTGGCCCTGGAAAATGAATAAGCATTTCGGAGATCCGCGCTAGAAAACTGTCGAAGCCAGTTAGAAGGCGTGTATTATGATCTCTCGCGAATGCCCCGGTTTTTCGCATCGCGTTCCTGGGGATTCTGAGCGCTGAGCGAGATCCCGCCGAGCGGCACCCGAGCTTCTCCCGGCGGAAAGCCCAGCAGATCCCGCAGGTCACGTCATGCTTTCGGTCTCTCGGCCTTTGCTCTACGTCGGACGATAAAAACGACTTCCTCTTTTCTTCTTCCACCCCATCCACACGTCACACACCGCATATCACCATGAAGCTTCTCACTAAGGAAGAGGAGGCTGCTCACTACAGGTACGATTGACTTTCCTCGCCCAACAACCCCCCGAAGAGCTTGACATAGCTCTCCCAATTCGCATCATGCCATACCAAGGTACTGACAAATCTCCGCGACACAGCTCCGTCGTCAAGGGCGGAACCTTCGGCGGCCTGATCGGTCTGGCCGGTGGTGCAGCCGGTGTCCTCCTCGCCGCTCGACGATACCACACAATCCGCAACCTGACTCTGCCCATGAAGGCTTTCCTGGTGACTTCCTCCGGTACCTTCGTGGGTATTGTGGCGGCCGATCACGCATCGCGCAACTTCGAGGCGCAGAACAACGCCGAAAAGCAATGGTACGAGAACCGTGAAGAGCGTCTGCGCGCCGAGGAACTGCGCGGCCTGACCTTCACCGACCGCGCTGTTGCCTTTGCCCGCCGCGAAAAGTACAAGATCGTCGGCGCCACCTGGATCGCCTCCATGGTCGGCTCTTTCGTCCTGGTCGGCCGCAACCCTTATCTGTCCGGTCAGCAGAAGATCGTCCAGGCTCGTGTCTATGCCCAGGGTCTGACCCTTGGTGTTCTGTGCGCCTCGGCTGCATTCGAGATCTCGGATCAGCGCCGGGGTCGTGGTCTACTTGATGCTGCTAAGAAGAGCAAGGAGCAGGCCAAAAGGGAGGCCGCTGAGTCTCAGCCCGCACGCCATCAGAACCAGGAGGAGGGCGATCTGTGGAAAGACATGGTTGCTGCTGAGGAACAACGCCTCAAGTTGAAGCACCAGTCCCTGTACCAGAAGCAAGGTGAGGCGCATGCGGAGGAAAATCAAGAGGCCGGCGAGAAGAAGCCTTCTGAGTCTGACTCTGAAAAGAACAAGGAGGAAGAGAAGGATCAGCCGAAGGAAGACGCGAAGGCTGAGAAAGCCCCTGCTGAGGGTGAGAAGAAGCAGGCTTAAATTATGCCTCCCTTGGTCGTATTGGACCTGCCCCGAGGGACATTCCACTGCACAAAATTACCTCAACCTCTTATCACCAACTCCGTCATGTTCCGAGCTGACATTGACCTCGCCTTTCTTTCGTCCTGGGAACATCATGGAATCACCATAGACCGCGAGACGGGAAACTGTTCCTTTTCCAAGAGGCTGGACCATTTGGATATTCCTTCTGTCCATTCCTCGTACATATTGCATCGGCGTTATATCTTTTTTCTTTTCTCTCTTTGTTATGTCTCAAGGTTTCATGCTACCCAAAAGTCTAGTATATATGGTTGTGTATGATACTTCGAGGCGGTTTGGGTAATCTCTCTGCTCTAATGAATGAACTGTCCATGTTTACCAAACATTGATCCCCACTATCGAATCCATTTTCCAATGGTGTTTCTAAGAAGAAGGATGCGAAAAATTGCTCATGCGTAATGAGCTCATTGAAAACTCCATTCCCATTGGTAATTTCGGAACTGGTCTCTATGAAAGTTATCCTGCATCCAAATTGCCATATTCATTTTCTCCTAGGATTGCCGTTCTTTTTCTTTCTAGTTTGGTGGTACTCACACTTCATCATCATACTCGGCCTGCTCGCCCTCGTCCTCTTCGCTGTAGTACTCGCCACTGATCAGACCCAGCACATCTTGAAGTCATTCAAAGGTACAGTAGTCCTTTGCAAGATCGACCAGTTCCTTCAACCTCAGAGAACGGTGTTCCTCCCGTCTGCCATTCTTGACGGCATCTCTTTCCTCATCTGACATGGTAGAGACGATTTCCCACATTGCGTCTACCATATTGCTTTGGTTTCCAAAATTCTTCTGTACCTCGTGGCGCAGTGTGTCATTGGAAGAGAGCGCGATACTCTTGCCGATCTTTTGCAGAACAGAGAGACCGTTGAGATTGGTCTTGGGGATTTGCAAGCCGCATTGTTTCACGATTTTAAGGTCATGTTCAGTTTCAGCCACCACGGCGAACGCCACATCATATTGCGCTGAGCCCCGCATGCCGCGAGTGTGGTTGATCGATCTCCAGATACTGCTGACGTAGTGGTCGAATGAAACCATGCGGTTCCCCTCCTTTTAGCGGACCTGCTCTGCGGCGTCTTCGAAGACTCCGCTATGTCGGCATCTTTGGTCGCTGCCTGTACGAGAAACGTGTTTAGGTCATTTCGGCTGATCAGCGAGACGTCTGCATGCAGCTGCTCGACGGTTCTCTTCTGTTTTGCCGGAGAAGCCTGGGTTTCGTGGTCATCGACGGTGTTGGCACGCGCACACTTGACGACCTTGGCCATGGTGGTGTAGATTTGTCGTTGTGGTTGGGGTGAAGATTCATGTAACTTCCTCTCTGTTCAGAGAGTATTTCATCTAGTATTGGAGAATGAATAAATGAGTATACAGTACCGTATAGAGAAATCCAGACCCTTAGAACCCCAAAGATATCAAGACCTGTGGCGAGACGTGTCCATCGTAGATCAGAATACTATTATGTTCGTCTGTCATGTAATCGAATAATAGATAGCCCCCGGTGGCGCACCGATAGAACATCGACCGCGGAATTCTCGTTTCTCTCGTTTCTCCACCATCCGCACTTGCTATGGCTCGTCTGCTGAACTGCATTCCGTGGTCGCAGAGGCATGTAGGATTTTCCGAAAACACACCTCGCATATCTCGAAAATAGGCAGAATCTCAACAGCTAGAGCAGGCATATTTAATACGGACGATGACCATCGCTTTCTTATTGTAAGGCGAACATGGCTATTTATTGGTACGGCGGCCACAATGAAGGCAGCGAGGCGGGTTTCGAAGTGCAGGATGATTCATTCAAGGATTGGCAAATGTCAAGGCTTGACCGTCCATTCCTAAGAGAGAGCACCTGTTCAACGACGTTGAGTAGTTAGATGGGTGAATTTCACGCCGTTAGCGGACACCAGCGTCATCAAAATGCATGGAAAAATGATGGTGGGGGAAAGTGTTGGCCTCACACAAATAAGGCTCTTTCGGCACTTCTCAGATATTGAGAATGGATTCAACGGCTGAACATCTTCGGAGAGAATAATAGAAGAAAAATAAAGATAAGGCAAATAAGAATAGAACGCAAACTCCCTGAAACCAGAACCCTTCCCTATACGAGCTGGCGCCAAAAAATGAATAATACAAGATAACATAAGAAGCAGCTTTCAAAGGCATAAAACAAATCATGTAAATTGGATCAATGACGTGACGCCTTGCGTGCCGCATTTTGTCGGGCCTGCATTTTGCGGAAGCGATCCTCGCCGCTAGCTCCCAGAGGTCGTGCAAACCGGCCTGGCTGCACCTCTCCTGTCTGTACAGGAACAATGTTGTAGCTGACTGGGGTACGGTCGACACGGGCACGGTTGGCCAGACGAGGCGGAAGCATCTCGCGAGCACGAGCTTCAGCCTCAACAGCTGCAGCGGAAGGCTGCTGGAGAGTACGTCTGTTGAGTCTCCTGTTTCAAAGTTAGTTAGCAGTGAACAAACATGCCTATCATATAAGGTAGATACGTACGAAGGGTCGAATACAGCTTGCTGGAAGACACGCTTGGAGTAGTCGTCGCTGCGCTGCAAGATGGGCCGGGTCCATTCGGCCAGCAGCTTCTCCGCCGTTTCTTTGATGGAACGTTCGGTGCGCTTGCTCTTTGTGTAGAAAACAACGACCTTGCCAATTCCGCTTGCAATCAGGGCATCTTTTTTGATCGGAAGGCGGGTCAGAGCATTAAGAAGATCACGCTGAATATTGAAGGCTGGCATCGAGCCGTCGTCGAGAGGTTCAAGAAAGAATTTCACACCTTCGAGGAGGTTAATATCAGGGTCGACCAAACTGCTCTGGTACTGAGTGCGGTTCAGCATCGCCAGAACCTCCGGGAGGAGCTTCAATTTGTGCATGGCGGGCTTGCCCTCTCCGCGGCTTATAGCATCCATCTGGGCGGCGTGGGTCATGCGCTGACGCATCTGCTCGATTGTTTTATCGGCCATGGCTTCGAGGTCCTGACATCATAGTTAGCATCGAAACAATAAGGGTGCAATTGTCTTGATTGTCCACGCACAATGCCATCCTGCTTGCGAGCTCTCCTCTTGGTAGGTCTCATGGCTTCGTCCATTTTACGATCAAGAGCCCTCTTGCGACGCTCGGCGGGGTCCATAGTTTCGTCATCGGTATCAGGTTCCTTCGTCTTGTTCTTCGCCGCCCTGCGTCGGGGTGAACCGTCTTCGACAACCTCTGATTGCTGCCCACGACGCTTCTTCTCTCGACGACCTTCCTTGTGGCGCTTGGGACGGCCTTCACCCTCCTCACGCTTGCGCTTGTGACGACCGATCAGTCTCAAGTTCTCCTCATCGATAGCTAGCTGGGGACGGTCCTCAACATCGACATTTTCGGGGTCAAAGTCCTCGAATTGGGCCTCGTCGACTTCGGATAGTAGAGACTCATCGTCTGAGATTGCGGCTTCGTTATCGTCATCCGCTCCACCGGGTTGATCGTCCTGGTTTTCATCATCGCCGGCGGGCTCTGCTGGCTTCTCGTTTGCGTCATCGCCAGCAATCGGGGTCGCGACCTTTCCATCGCGATCGGGGAGGCAGCAGCCGGCGAACCGGGAGCGTGTTCGGGAGAGGCAGACATGGTTGGTTTGAGAGGTGTGAAGATCAAGGATGACGACGAAAGAGCTCGGAGTGTTGGCGAGATTGGGAGGTGATTAAATAGATTTTATCAAGAGAGCGCGAGAGCGCGTAGTGGATGGGTTCAGGTTGAGGTCTCTCGGCAAGATGAGCAGGCGCGCGCCAGGCCAGCAGTGAATGACAGCAGTACCTGCACAATATGTGTATAAAGAGGATTCGGATTATTGGAAAGCCTTCCGACAAGGCAGGGGACGTAGAGTGAGGTAATCGAGGGACGCAGAGGCAAAACCCAAGAGGCGGAAATCAAAGGAGCGACCACTTGGTCTGTGCTCCCGTGATTTCTTCCCCAACCGCTGGAGAACTTCCGCTTCACTTCAAACAACTCATCCACCCTATTTGACATCCCTTTACACAACCACAAACAGCAAAATGTTCGCTCCGGGTAAGTTTTACGACTTGGCGCGCTTCGCTCGATATCGAAAATGACCACAAACTGATGATCGATTTCCGACAGGCCAAGAACAAATCTCTAAGGAGGAGATCAAGGTTCGCTTCGCCGCATTCCGCTTTCGCCCTTTGCTACTGATCGATATCTAATAACTTTTTCTAGGCTGGTGAGGTTGAGGCTTGCCAGACCATCAAGATGGCCGTCCTCGGCGGTGTCATGCTCTACCTCTGTGAGTGAAACCCTTCGATGACATCCGCCCTGCCCTTTGTACTCGGCCAAAGGCAGTGGATGGAGTTATTTGGAAATTTCTATTTGGGACATCAATCTGACTAACTTGCAACAGCTCCCTTCGCCATCGACTTCGCTAAGAAGTTCCTCTAAAAGAATCGACCATCATGCTACCAACTATCTTCTGGCTGTTATGAGCACCTGGTCATATTGGACAATGGAACGAATCAACCTTTCGCATTTGGTTCTAGGTTGAATGCAAAATAGTTTTTGAGCATTTCACAGGTCAGAATGACCGTGAAATTCTTGAATCTATTTGCTGAGCCCGTGACTGGATGATGTATTATTATTATTGTACATGCCTGCTTTTCTCGGATTTTTCGGATATAGAGGTCAATGGAAAATACGACTGTGGCAGGGTGCCACTCGGATTACTCAAAAACTCAAACTTGAATCTTGCAACGTGGTGTACGTGCTTGAGATCTTGATTGATTCAGATAATGCATGATAAATCCACTCCACCTTTAAACGCCTGTGCTCCATGCCCTTGAATACTTGTCCCGCAGATACAAAGAAAGACGCGAAATGTCAAAAGCCAGGTGTTGAGATCAGTTGCCGTTAAGCTTCTGCGCCTCATCGAATTCCTTCTTGACCGATCCGAGCTCCTTCTGAAGGTGCTGGATCTGAGCGTGATAATCGTCAAGGATCTACAACAGATCATTAGCATACAAACAGACCATAGAGAATGAATGGGCTGCAACGAACCTTCTTCGCCGTCTTCAGAGTCTGTTCGTCAAGCTCATCGTCCCCGTTCAAGTTCGTATTCGCACCCACGCGCTCCATCTCGGCCTGAAGGCGCTTGCCGTGCTCATGAATAGCCAACATGCGAGCCCAGATCTCCTCAGAACGGCCACTGACAGAAGGATCAAAGACTGAGCGCTCCAATTGATTCAGCTTCTTCTTTAGCTCCTCCTCCGCATCGTCCATGGCGTAGCCTCGGTTACGCAAGACCTGAGTCTTGGCCGCAAGAGCAAGGCACCGCTTGCTCAGCACCATGTGCTTGCGGCGGCAGTCGGCAATCTTGACAGAGATCTTGAGGTCGTGGCGTGATAGCATATCCGTTAAGCAGTTGTTGATTTCGTGGAGGCGGCGTTGCATCATTGCGAGGAAGTCTTTCTGGCGCTGAGCACGCTTGCCAAGCTCCCAGAAGCCCTTCACAAGCACGGGGACGTAGCCCGGGTCGGGTCGCTTGCGCAAAGCCTCCTCCCATTTCGTTTCGTCATCCTCGGGGCCGGGTTGATAGAACGGCGCGGTATCCTCGCCAACGTTATTGTAGAGGTATGAGCGGAACGGGGAGGAGCGACTTCCCGCATTCCATTTCTCCACGACAATCTCCAGTTGCATAGGTACAGTTCGGTGAACTAAGATATAGCAGGTGGCTCGATTAAAAAATTTATTCCAATGAAAAGGATTGTTCACCCACTTACCTCCGGTGATAGCACGGCCAGGAGACCACAAGCTTGACGACAGGGATTGTTGTTGCTGAGCCTGGGGTGTGGCCATGGTGGTCTGTCCGAACTGCGACTGCTGGTTTTGTTGCGTCTGCTGCTGTTGTCCTCCAAGTGTAGATCCGCCAAATAGACCGCCCTGTTGCTGCTGAGGCTGCGACTGCTGCTGCGTGCTGGCGGCGAGGCCAAATAGGCCACCACCAGTCGAAGGCTGTTGAGCAGGCTGTTGAGTTGAGGTTTGTCCAAAAAGCCCACCAGATTGGGCTGGCTGGGTTGGTTGCCCAAGACCGCCGCCCAGTAAGCCACCAGCAGGCTTCGCGGTGCTCTGTCCAAATAGGCCCCCAGATTGTTGCGGTTGCTGAGTTTGAGCAGTTGTAGAGGATCCGAACAGGCCACCTCCCGAGGTATTTTGTTGCTGATTCTGTGTCGCGCCGCCGAACAGTCCTCCTCCCGAAGCAGGTTGGGCGCTGGTAGTCGTACTGGTGCCGAACAGACTAGGCTTCGGTGCTGTGTTACTCGCGGTGCCTCCAAAGAGACCGCCGGAAGAGGCAGTCTGGTTCTGGGGTTGGCCGAAGAGAGACATTGTTAATGTCGCAATTGGGCGCGAAACGATGCCGGAAAAAATCCAGGATCAGCTCCGATTTGGAGGGGTGCCGGTGGAATTGGTAAGGTAACTTGTGAAATACGATATGGAATGATTGTTGGCGACTTCGGGTCAGATTCGCATCTTCCGGCACGGGGAGAGATGGTGGTTGGGGAAAGCGACCTGGAAGGTGGGAGCTCACAAGAAGAAGCGTCGGAGCTGCGGTTTGTTTAGGTCACGTGATAAACATTCACTTTGGGTCACGGAACTTGGCAGAGATGGACCGATTTTGGGGTAAAATGCTTGTAGCTGTGCAATGAGTGAGACAGTATGGCTTTGAAAAGTATAACTGAACAGTTTCAATGATTTCCACTTGCTATTACCATGATTGACCTCGGATTGAGTGACTCTCGTAGTTACTATGCGACGTCCTGCAATAATCTGCTTATCTCAGCAGCGCCTCTCCGCCAATCAGCGCCAGGCCAAAGAAACCGACCTTTCCATCCACCGCAACCCGCAGCTCCAAGTCCCTCTCGTTCCCCAATTGACACCTCCCACCTCCCACTTCGCGTCGTTCCGACTACCAACCGTCACAATGGCTCAGAGAGACCCTCGGTAAGCACTCGCAACTCTCTCCGACTCGGACCCGAAGGCCCAGCAGTCCCGCCGCAAAGAGAAAGTCCCTCACTAACCCCATCCCTCGGCGCACAGGTTCAACCAGCAAGTCCTCGTGGACACCACGCCCATGCCGGACCACATTCCCAAGGTGGACGAGCTAGGCACTACCTCTGCTCCCTTGTTCAGCGCGGCTTACTTCATCGGCGAGCGCTGCAAGGCGTACAACGATGATTTCATGAAGTGCAAGGACGAGTCCAACGGCCGCGGAGCGATCGACTGCTTGAAGGAGGGTCGCAAGGTTACCCGTTGCGCCGCCAGTGTGTATGTGGCCACCTGAGATTTCGCGATCTGTTCTTTCCTTTGGGAAAATTCTCGCGAAAGATGGATCGATACCGAGGACCGGACTGACACCCGTCACAGCATTAAGGATATCAACACCCACTGCCTGCAGGAGTTCAAGGCCCACTGGGAGTGCCTTGAGAACAACAACCACTACCTCTTCGAGTGCCGCAAGCCCGAGATGGCCCTGAACAAGTGTGTCTTCGACAAGCTGGTACGTTGAATAGTCCACTTCCTCGGCACAACCGAGGTGCTAGATACGCGATGGATTGATTGCTAACATCTCTTGTCTATTTGCAGGGTATCGAGAAGAAGATCCCTGATACCCCCGAAGGCCAGGTCCCGGTCCACCTGCGTCCCAAACAGAAGTACGCTATCTACCCGGGTCGGCAGTACTAAAAAGAAATTTGGACGGTTGGACGTTCCTATTTCACCCTTCTCACCACATTTTTCTTATATCCGCGATCCTCCCTTATGTAACGTGCCGTTTAGGGCCGCGGCTTTTCTTTCCTCCGTTTGGATGCGCAATTGGGCCCTGTGTCTCATCTATGTCTTGTCTCTGTCTGGTGTATGTTTTGTGTAAATATCTATTGGCATCAGGAATGGTTACATGATTTCTGCTTAATCGGTGTATCTTATTACCACTGTTTTGGTCGTTGCTCTGTGTGGGGTACTATACAGCCCTTAAGAAGGTAAAAGGTGAAATTTCTGGTCGCCAAAAACCAATCTGTAAACTGTGCAAGCACGAATTCCAGCTTCTTTCGTAGTCTGTACGCGTCTACGGTATAGGCCAAGTCCTGTACCAGGCCATTAGATGCCTCGTGTGCTGGCGTTTGCCCTCGACGACCACAACGTTGACCTCGGTCTCCTCGGCCGCGCCATACCAAACAGCAAAATCAGGGCTGACAACAAGTTTGTAGCAGTTGTTTCTACTAATGCTCCACTGAATTTCTGGATTGTTTCTAGGCCCGAGCTGACACTCAAGATTTGACATTGCGAGGGAATGTATTTTCTGAAGCCGCCTATGTCTTCCTTGATGTACTCTTGACAGAGCCCATAGATATCGGCATCATTCTCAGGATGTTCTTCCCGAGCTCGATGGCAGAGCTTACGGAAATATTCTGCCCAGGTACCTGACATATTACCAGTTGCTTAAAGTGACGGTAGTTACTAGGACTTTATAGCTGTGAGAATCAGGGATATAGATACCTCCTACCTCTGGTTTCTTAGAAGAGAGAATATTTTCAAGGCCTGCGTGGGAATCTATGGGAGTCAAAAGACAATAATTTATCCAATGATATGTGGTCATAAGAGGCTACGGGATCAGTACAAGTACCATGTGATAAGTCAGGGCAGGTCTAATCAAGATGAGAACCATTCAGCATCTATAACTCGAAAATGCGACGTCCAGTCCCTGTCATCACTAGTCTTGAATTCACCAAACCACCCTGCATCGAACTTAACCAAGGTCCAGTTATATAGCCGTATCATACACCCCAATCAAGAGAAGAGAACCAAGGAAAGAGAAAAAGACGAAGCTCCATAGCCTCAATTGTAAACCCCATATGTACTTGACAAAAGAAAAATGTATGTAACAAAACTCCAACAGAAATGAACAGGGCGGAGTTAGTTCAGAGAGAAAAAGAAAGAATGCAAGCCGGCCGTAACAGAGCAAATTAGTAATATTAAAATGCAAGGGTTCGGAGGTAGGCAAAAGAAGTCATGGATGAAAGCTCGACGCAAGACAGCCATAATAACAATCAACCACTCAAGGAAGAAGAGGAGCCTGGCCAACACGACGAAGAAGCTTAAACCGGCCCAGCCGTGCCTTAAGCTCCGACCACCCGGAACGTAATTTATCTTCCACACGCCGATCACCATGCATCCGCATCCAGATGAGCAGAACGCCCAAAAGGGCCAGGTCCCAGATAATCTGGCGAGTGACCGTCCATAGAATCCACTTCAGCCAAGCCCAGATTCCGGACCGTCGTCGATTCGCTAGCGTGCGGACCTCCATCTGTTCGCGGACGGCTGCAATCTCCGCGGTCATCTTGGTCAAGGCCTGCTCGACGCGGCGGCGCCATCGGCTATTTCTTGGAGAAGAGGGATCGTGTGAGTCTCTGCGGTGGTGGGCGTTACTTTCTAGGTCGCCACTGCCACTCGCTATGGAGTGTTGGTTGAGGCGGTGTTGATGATGGGAGCGGTCGTCGCCGTGTGAGGCGGTGCGGTCCATCCCGGTGCCTGTGCCGGTGTGGGAGCTGGCATGGTCTTGGTCTTCGTAGAGGCTGTCACGAGCTTCTTCGTACTCTTCGTCCTCGTCGTCATCGTCGTCATCTATTACTTGCTCTTCAACATCATCTGTTGAGCGCCGCCTCCGGCGACGATAGTATTCGTCTTCCTCGGGTTGGCTCATGGGACTGAGGACGCGGAGTCGAGAGCCATTTCCATCGTCGGCTCGGATATTTGGCCGCTCGTATTGCTCTGATGATTGTGCTAGTCGGCCACCTATGCTGCCGTATGCGCTGCCTTTGTGGCGTGATAAAGGCGGGACGCCGACGGCATTTAGTGGACCTGATGAGGAAGATGAGGAGGCGTTGTATTTGATTTGATCCCAAACAAATTCGAGTTCGGAGACTAGCTCGCGTGCTTCGGGCGTTTGTGATGCGTAAGTATGCATTGTATCGATCAGGGTTCCGATATAGCGGCGTTTGGCTTCGGTGCGCGAGATGCCGCGCTGGGCGTACCAGGCATCCCTATTCATGTGGAAAAGGCATTGTCAGAGTTTGCGAACTTTGTTCTGTTGTCCTGAAGATGACTCGATGGTGCATCGTGATAGATGAGCCCAATGACATACCACTTCTCGCACTCCGCGTGCACCTCTGGAGTATTCCCAATCGGACGATCCATAACACCTTCAACGTCCCCCTCTAACAGTATCGTGTAAGCCAAAGCGGTCGATCAAATACATCCAGCTCCACTCATGGGCTTCACTCACCCATGCTCTGTTTATACAAGCCATAAAGCTTCAACCGCTCCGCCGCCGGCGGGCGCGCGGTCCCGGTCCGGGGAATCCTCTTGACGGTATTCAAGGCATGGACGAAGACGCGATCTGCAGGACGAAAGAGGCGTCAACAATCCGGAAGATATCCACAATAACCACAACTATCCAACCAAACTTGCAGGAGCACACCCACCTACAGAGTCCGACATGCTGGTGCAAGAAGAAGCAGTCCGGTTATCTGCCCTGTCTTCATGGAAGCGGGGTGGGGCATCGGCTGGCGTGGAGGAACCGCATGGAGAGCAAAGGACGCAGAAAGGGCGGAAGACACGGGGGTTCGCGATCAGATGGTAGGGGGGAATTCGGACGGACGAGGTCGTTGGGGGGTCGCCAGGCTAATTCCGAGATTAGTCTCCCCTTCGTTCGGGAAAGCAATGGGTTCCCGGTCAGGCACGCGACGAACTCTGCGCGAGTCGGAGGCAGATGCGATCGAGGCGGACGGGTGGATGGGGGGATTTCCAAAATGCGGAGAGTGTCTGGAGTCGAGGAGGCCGTGGGCGTCGAGAAGTGGCGTGTTGATTGCTTCTCCGATAGCCGCGGTCCAGTTGGAGATCGTCAGGGCACTTGTGATTCTGCCCAACGTTTGCAGGTGCGACGTATCATATGCAAACCGGGTCTACTTTAATTCTATTTGCGCTTCTAAATGCATCATGTTATGGGAAAGAAATACATTAGATATAATCAGATCGAATCTCAGCTACTGTACATGTATGCAGGGCATCTAGGTCGGGGTCTTCTTCATCTCCGCAGTCTCCGACAACTTGCGCTCCGGATCCACCGCAGCGCCCGTCATAATGCCCGTCGCGGCTGCAGCTTCCTCCTTGCTGACTGGAGGACCGGTGAAGTGCTTGCGTGCATATGCAAAGTACCACACGATACTAATGAACGCGAAGCCGGCGAACACCACGCTCGCGTAGTTCATGGACGACGGGTCGACGGGCAATGTATAGGGCATGCAGAACAGCACCACGGCCAACACAATCCAGCAGATGGTGATCGCATTGACAATGAATCCGAACGGACCCAGGGAAAAGGATGAGCGCTTCACGTCCTGGCGACCGCGGAGCATTGAAATGAGAATCGGCAGGCCATACGAGGTGGACAGACAGATGGTGGCCACACCCGTGAACGAGTTGAAGGCCGCCGTCGAACCGAAGTAGATCAATCCCAGCAGCGCATCGACCGCGGCCGAGAGGATGATAGCCCAAACCGGCACATCCAGCTTCTTGTTGACCCGGCGCCACAGCTTGAATCCGGGAATGGCACCATCACGCGCAAAGGCATAGGTGCAGCGACTGGCCGCAGTCAAAGACCCGATACCAGCAAACATCATGATTCCCAGAATCAAGAAGAGCAGACCGAAGCCACCGCTCGCGGAGCCAGTCGCCATCTTGAACACGGTTCCAATCGGCTGTCCGCTCGCGACATTGCGCAAGGCATCGATGTCCTCGGGCAGCACGAACAGGACGGGGATCAGGTAGAGCAGACCCGTGATGCCGGCTGCGACGACGGACAACACGATCGCCTTGGGGACTTCGCGGTGTGGGTTCTGGACTTCCTCGCACATGGCCGCTACCATGCCGTACCCTGTTAGCGTGTATGCCGCCTGCAGCAAGCCAACGAAAAATGCCCAGCCCTCGGGCCATCCACTCTGCGACGCATCATATTCCGCAAATACAAATTCGCCAGTCCGCAGGTTCTTGGCCATAGTCAGGAGGGTAATGAGGATAATGATCACGCTCGCAGCGGTCCAGAAGATGCAGATTTTGTTAATGAGGTCGAGATACCGCGAAAAAAAGACATTGACTAGGACGCAGACCAGCAGCACGGCCCAGAACATCAGAACAGTCTGCCATTCATTGGCGACAAAGTCCTCGTTCCACAGTGTGATGGCACTGAGGATCAGTTGACCACCACCAAAGATGATACTGAGCGTGACGGTCCAATTGCCGACGAGGGTCAACCAGCCGTCGATAAAGGACATCAACGGGGCCCAGCGACGAGTCGAGAGCATGGCGCTCCAGTAGTAAACACCGCCAGCGGTAGGATAGACGGCGCAGATCTCGGCGAGGGAAGAGGCGATCGCGATGGAGATGAGGGTGACAAATACCCAGCCCCAGATGATGGTGACTGACAAGCCATCGTCGAGTGTGATATATAGGGTAGTGCTGAGGCCGTACGGCGCGGCCATAATGGCGAAGGAAAGGCCCAGGATACTGAGCATGCTGAGATTTCGAGGCAGCTCGGACTTGTAGCCCAAGGCGGCCAGCGCCTCGTCGGCGTTGCCGTCGACAGAGTTGCGCATGGTGGATTGGATGGAGACAATTAAATCTGGGGAAGTAGCATAGAGACTAGGACGTATTTAAGCCGATGCAGTGGACGAAGGTGCAGGAGGCAAAGGTCAACCCCGCATGATAAACGTGGATGCATCGCGGTCCGAGACCGCGGAAACTTTCATATTCCAATCGGGGGCGACGCCAGGCACGGCCGCTTTTGGGGTGAGACACCGCTTATCAGCAACCCGCGGTTCCGGTTTCGTGGTCCGGCTCGAACTGGGGGCTGTGACTAAACAATAGGGGGCTGATAAGCTATCCAGGGTCTTCGGCACCCTGAAGATAGACAAGCCTGTCAGAACACGCCTACGAGAGGGTCGAGTGTGTCCTCCATGGCCCGCCGACTCAGGAAAAAGGTCGCGTGGTGGAGTCTCCCGTCGCTGGAGGCTCCAGTCCAGCCGGGCACTAGAAAAAATCATTCAGCAAGGCTGCTGCAAGCAGGCGGAGCAGGCTACAATTGATACTAATTTAAACCCCAAGAGAGGGTCAGGGAAAGCTTGGTCCATAAAAAATTTGTTAGGTTTCATTTGTTTTTTTTTTCTTGCTTGTAGTTCACATCGAGTCACCCGTGGTGACGGCTGCCACATCAGATTTGCCGCCTCGACTCCGGGGGAGAAGAGGCGCAAAGAGAATGAGCGCCAGGAAGGAGACAGTAATCAAGAGCACAATGGGGATGGCAAGCTCGGGCCAGAGGGAACAAGCGCCGAGTGTGTGCAAGGGGGGTATCAAAATAAAAAACAGGGGAAACGTCCAGTCTTTGAAAAGAATTTTTTTCTTGTTTGGAGTATCTAGTTGGACAGGGGGTATGGTGATCGGGATCGTGGAGCGGGCGAAAGTAGGCCCTAGAGATCGAAAGGTGAGGAGTATATGGGGGTGCGGGCGAGTTAAAAGGGTGAAGGGGTAAAGGACGAGATGAGGTTGATGGGGGAGGGGATAGGCTTTTGGTTGGAGATGCACAAAAATCAGTCGAACGCCAGTCAACGGTTTGGGTTCCGGTAGAAAACGAAAGCGTTCGGATCGAGATTCGCAGAGAGGGGGAGGAGACGCGGAGAGTTTTGGTGGAGGAATTTCAGGTAAAGTAGGAAGGGGGAAACAGTGAAAAACAGAAAAAAAGAGACACGCTGAGTCGTAACCAGCCAGCTAGCGTGAAACTCCAGAAATCATAACACAATGAGAACATAACCCGTAGTAGAGGAACGATCGTAAATCGAAGTCGGGAAAGGGAACAAAAAAACGCCCAGTCATGCAGTCGTGGTCCGGTGAAGTCGTTACATGAGATGCAGTATAATCGCAAGGCAAAACGAGGAGGGATACAGAGAACGGTCGGACAGATGAGAAACAGTGCGGACGGCTATGGGCTCAAGCCGGCGCAAAGATCCTCGGCCGTATCGAAACCGAAGCCAGCCATATCGACCGAGTGCAGAGAACCGGGCCCTTTGCCCAAGGAGATGTCAGAGGAGGCGTAGTCATGCTTCAGGCGCTCATGGGGCCCGAAGAACGGTCGATTCTCTTCGTTGGGCGTGTTGCCGTCGCCGGCGGCCCACGGCCCGTTCTGCCAGAAACGGGTGTTGGCCTGTTGATCACCAAACAGATCGTGATGATCGGGGTGGGGATCGGGGCCGTGGATAGGGAAGTCACCCGGCGACTGGAGCCGCAGATGGGATCTACCAAAGCTGGAACATGGAGAGTCTGCATGCAAGGGAAGATCGAGGCCTGATATCGGTGGGTCTTCAACGGTGGTGATGTCAATCGTCGGGTTTTCGGTCTGCTGCGCGAGCGCCGTTGACAGTCGGAGATTGGAGGCCGTGGAGCTGTGTCGGCTGTGGCTGGCCGATCGGTCAATGGCCCGTTGCACGTAGCTGCCACATGTCTTCATGATCTTGTCCTTGTCGGCCTGGGACAGACTGGCGAAGAAACCATTGGCGAGCGACTCCTTGGGCGGCTCGTCCGCGGAGGGAATCAGCTCATATGTCTTCTTGGCGTATTCCGAGAGTCCAGACGGCATGTTGTACGGGGACTGATAGACGTTGGGGGCTAGAGCCCGCTGTTGGTCGAGGAAAGCATACTTTCCCGGCATCTTGGCCGCGGCGATGCTCCCTCTGTCGACAGTCTCCTGCTTGACGCCCTCCGACTCCTTCTTCTGGATCACATCCAATCGCTCGCGGTGGCTGACAAGCGAGAATCGAAGCATCTGAAGTAGTCGAGTCACCTCTTCCGACCTCATGTTGAGGGTTTGGGGCGGTAGTAAGGTCCCGTCAGCAGCCCGCGGCTGCACCCGCTGCTGGGCCATGGCCAACTCGAGCTTCTCCAAGCCGGTCGCTGGAGGGATCGAGCCCATCGGGCCCAGCAGGGTCTCTACCACCAATTCCGGGCTGACGATCGTGTACCCGGCGAAGACATTGGCATGATCGGTGATCTGAGCCAGACGACGCCGGGCGATGAGTTCACGGACGTTGGCAAAGGTATTGGTGGAAGGGAGGTGGTGCTGCTGCTGTATTTGCGATTTGGCGATCGAAGGATAGGGGGCATGGCGGGCGGATTGATTCGGCAGGGTACGAAAGGCCGACGGCATCGCAGGACCAGCAGCAGCAGCACCGGCAGCAGGGGCAGGGGGAGGGGGAGGGGCAAGGTGCTGCAGGGAGGCAGAAGAGGAGGGCGGTCGGGATGACAGGTGAGGGGTGTCGGCGTTCAGGAAGGAGTGTTTATGTTGTAGCTGCGGTCGGTGTTGGGCGTAAAGATTTTGCTGGAAAGGAGGGGCAGGGGCGGTGGGAGCATAATGGAAGAGATGGTGGGGGGAGATCTTCGATGCACGAGCAGCACCAGCCACGCCAAGCGACTTGACGACGTCCAGGAAATTGGCCCGCGGGTTGTGGACGGGCACGCTAGGGTTGTGCGTATACTGTGCCCTATTTTCGGTGGACTGCGCGCCCAAATAATACCAAATCTGCTCTGGTCTGTCGATGCTCACCGTAACCGGTGGGGCTAATTGATTCCTAGCTGCATCCACCGTCTCGAATTCGGCCCAGTGATAGGGAGCTTTCTCGTCGCAGAATGCACTGCCTGCAACCGGCACGGCGGCTTCGTAGTCCTTTCGCTGTTCGGGCTTTCGCACCAAGTGGGCCGGGAGGGGTTGAATTCCCGGCGCAAGGGGTGCGTAATTACTCTTGCGGATGACCAGCATCCAGCGGTAGGGCATTTCAATCACATCTCTATTGACATTTATCAGTATTCGATCATCAGGTGATTCCAAGCCTCGGCCGGTTCCAAGGTCGGGCCTTGCTTGGGTCGGGAGGTTCGGGGAGAAGGGGGAAACAGGGGAAAATCCCCCCGAGGTGGGGTTGGAGGAGGGGAGGGGCAGTTTTGGAGAGTTTTTGGAACAAACATGATTCACAAAAACGTCAAGATAGTTTCACTTACCCTCGTGGCAGAACCTTCACCAGCAGCGTTCGCTCTTCCGGGCGGTTCTGGAGCACAATGGCTCCATTGATTTCCTTGTCGGCTTGGAATTGGATCAGTTCACCGGAGTTCAGGCGGCGAGCGGCCTCAATCACACGACGATCCAAATCAGACGATTCTCCCAGCAATCCGGCCGGGCGCTTCTGGCGGTGGAATTTACATTTCAGATCCACATTCGGCAGTGCGTATTGCTCGCCGTCGTCGGCGATCACGGCAATGGAACCATGTTCGACCTGAACACCGGCCAAGAGAGCGCATGTCGCATGGTAGGCGCGAGTACATTTGCCGAAATTGCATTGGAAGCAGGCACCGTGGACTTCGCGACAGAAAAGACACTTCAGACCGAGTCGCGCCTTGGGAATCAGGCCAATGTCGCACACCACTTCATTACCGGCCGCATCCCGCAAAATCGTGGTCTCCTCGATAAACGAAGCACAACGGCGATGCGCGTGGCCCTTGCCATCTTCCGTGGGTAACAGATCCTCGTAGTCAAGATCGTTCGGGCAGAGCAAGCACGGAAACACCCGCGGGCCTTCCTGGTGGATCTTGGATCGTTTGGTCCTCGGCCCGTCGCCCGTGATCTTCCGCTTTCGACCACGGGTGGAGGATGCCTTTTCAGGCACGCTGCGCGGAGGTGTCAGAAGATCCGAAGCCCCTTCGAATCCGTCCAACTCGCTCTCGAAGTCGCCGTAGTACTCGGGCGTGGCTTCACCACGGAGCTTGCGTTCAATCTCGTCCACATCGATCCAAACGCTGTCGGCCTCACAATGGCACTTCTTGGCGATCCGGCCGTAGTCCAGCCATCTCTCGGTTGCGAAATTGACCGACTCGGCACAATTGTACCCGATATTGTACCCAGAGTGGTATCCGTAAGGGAAAGTGATGACAAACTCCCCTTCGTAGTGGACCAGGCGGTTCACAGTGATTCCATATTGAGATTTCAGCAGACTGGGAGAGACGAGGTAGGTCTTGTGGCGGAGGAATTGATCGCAGTTTTTGGCGTCGCTAGACCAGATGCTGCGCATCGCAGCCTCAAACTTGGGAGCATCATCTTGCGAGATGCTGTACCACTGCTTTGGGGCTCCGAAGTGGATGTAGTTGATACTGTAGAGATCCACGTCTTCCAGATGCCAGGCAAATGTAGCCTTCCACATACCCAGATACAGGTATGCGGTGTTGACACCGGGTACTTTCTGACCGAGAACATCGAGCAGATTGGGCAACTTGGCAACATTCCAAGATTCGATCGAGTCGTCGAAGAGCGAGCCGGGCATGTCTGCACCGTACAGGGGATTGCTGAACATGAGCGACTTCCAGTATGCGGTCTCGAGCTCATCGCATCGATCGGCGGTGTAGTCTTCGTTGTCGTGGATGCGGTAGTCGAATGCCTTAAAAGCTTCTTCGTCGACATGGTCCACTGTCTCACCCCGGTTGTTCTTTCGTCGAGATGTCACGGACTTAGGCTGCCGGCCCTTGGGTTTGGTGGCGGGCAGCGATTCTCCTTCGCTCAGTTCCTCGCTTTTAGGCTCTACGGGAATGGATTCGGGAGACACAGGAGTCGGGGGGCCCTCGGGCTTAGTCTTATCAGCGTCGTCGGGTGCATGCTCTTCTTTGACCTTGGCTTGGTTTCCGCGCTTAGCAGGTCGTCCGGGGCGGCGCTTCTGACTCTCCGGGCGGCTAGATTGGGCTCGTGGGGTAGGAGCCGCGCGATTTGCTCGCTCTTGGTTTCGACGTCTCTCGCCACGGCGGGCTGGCGGTTGGTGATTGCTTTCCTCGCATAGGGCCTTCCATTGAGGCAGATTGTAGGAACGTTGACGTTCAATGTTTGCTTGCGTGTATGTGCCGTGCGAGCCATGGAATTCTTGCATGATGGGGTTTTTCACTCGGATCGACTTGACAGCCTCGTCAAGCGGCGAAAGTGACTCGCTCCTATATGATGTTCAGCTACGGTATTTTTGATAGATTCATATGTCCACGACTCACCATTCTTTTGGAGGGACCACTTTCACAATTCCAGCTTGCATTCCATACTTATCAATCTTGTTGATAAACTTTTGGAAGTCTCGGAATTGATCCATTGTCTGTAATCTCGGTGTTAGCTTTAGTCCAAGAAAATTCTCAAGTCCCGCGACTTTTGAGTATTAATAACTGCAAAGCAGTTTAACTCTTCCAGCAGCACAGGCCCCCTCTTTCAGAATGGTGTTTCCACATACTGGTTTGAAAACAGGGATTTTTCCGCCGCCATAGTAATGGTCAGGCTCGATGTCCTCTTCCACCTGTTCCTCTGGCTCTTCTTGTTTGATAGCAGGCTCTTCATGGGTCGCTGCAGGCTTGGAGTCCAACTCGAGGTCCGATAGCTCGGAAGGAACCCCTTCTGGGACATCCTTCTTTCCGTTGGCGCTGTGGGGAGGAGTGATAGACGCCGAATCAACAACTGGGCCGCCCGCTAGCGGGTCTGGGTGCGTTCGATCAAGGGTTGCCGCCATATTGAATGACCGGGGGTAGGGGGCTTGTCGGCGAATGTGGTTTGATATCGGGGTGCCGTCGTCGAATGGAGCGACCGCTTTTCGACGGCAAAGATTGGTTCCCAGCGGTCGGGGGAAAGGTATTATGTCGGGCAGTCGAGGCAAGGGTTTCGAGTCTCGATTGGGAGAAGGGTTCGGTAGTTGATCAAGCTTTCAGGCGAAGGAGCGGTGGTGTGTACACCCGGTGAGATGTACCACAGGCAATGGTTCGATAAGCTGTGTTTCGGAGACACTTTCTTCCCCTGAAGTCGGAAAAAGAGAAAGACGTTTAGCTAAGAACAAAATTCACAATGCAAGCCAATCGACTTTCAGTGCGATGGGATTTTAAGCGTCACAGGGGGAGAAAGTGAATGAACAGGGAGTTGCAAGGAACGAGTGAAGCAGCGCAATAGCACGCTAGGCTAGATTCGCCCCATGGAAGAAGGATGAGGAAGAAGGAGGGTGGGCCAATCATGCAGGTGACGGAACGCCAGTGGAGCGAGGGCACGATGGCCTGACACTGGGAGGCAGGGGCAGGTGGGATCAGGGCGAAGAGTGAATGGGCTTGGGGCTTCAGGCTAATCACAGCGTCTGCCAGGGCACTGAGTGGGAATTCAGTCCGATCAGAGCGGGAAAAGGTGGACTGGTCTCGTAGCGCCTTGGGGGAGCCGCGAAGTGGACTGGTGTATGAAACTGTAAACCCATCCGGTGTCGGACAGGCTAATGAGTGTTTCCCTGAGTCTCACCAGTCCTGGGCCATGAAACGCATTGCGGTGATGACAGAAAACAACAAACGATCTGAGCACAATGGCACTTACCAGTTTCACGAGGGTTGCAGCTTGTCTCGCAGCTTTGCGACAGTCGAAACTGATTGCAATGGTTGCTGAGCTTGGTCCACGTTCACAGGGCGTGTAGTCACGTGCGGCACGTGATGTACTTGGGCGGTTACAATCTCGTATGGTAAAAACGGTAACGGTGGCCCGTTGTGATGGGCATTAGCACTTGCCGAGCGTCTCATCTGTGGTAAACAATACAAGGGGGCTGTGCGCAGCTCTCGGATACCGCCGGAGCCGAGCGAGGGCCTCTTGGCGCGATCCCTGGATTTGAGGATGTGATGTGATCTCACCACGCACGGACTCGCCCGGGCCCCAAGCTCAAATCTGCGATATGCGTGCGCTGCACATCTGATAGCACGGGTACATACCTTAGGGTACAGTACTTTATCCCTACAGGTGTTCACGGTAGGAAATCGCATACGCGCGTTCATTGCCATTCCAGTTGCTGTCTTTGACGACTTCTTAACAAAACATTAAGAACTCCTAGCTAAACTGCTTACAATATTACGTTTTCGAAAGATAAGATCTAGCACCATCTCCCCGTCCTCACTCGCGCATATTGGTATGCGCTCTTCCCCATAGGCTCCCCAGCCCCTTCCGAAGACCTCAGGCACATCCGTGACCTTTCGAGCAACAAACGGCACCCTGTAGCCCGCACAAGGAAAGTATGCTTCTCCTTCAAAGCTAGCAAATTTCTCATCCTGGAAATCGATGGTTCCGTCGAATGCGTCGAATCTGAGCGGGCCATTTACCTCACGGCAACTAAGCTTTAGCAGATAGTTGCGGGGCGTTGCTGCCTCGAGCTTCTCTGAATTCTGTGTTGCATGCGATTCTTGCGCCTTTCTCTTAGAATCTGGCTGAGGGCTTTCTTCGTTCAAATCATCGTCGTCGTCAATTCCAGAGTCGTTGCCATTGGCAGCGTCATTGGTATCTGAAGCGTCATCGTCAACTGGAGCATCACTCGACGTCGTTTCATCCTCGTGATCAAGTTGAGAACAATAGTCAACTAGAGCAAGTTCCTCGGCACAAATGATAATTGCGCCCCTCCACAATCCCAAATTCAAAAGTGCTCATAAAAATTCCAGGCGTATCCATGTCGTAAATTCTAGGACAGAAATCACCCGTCCGTATTGGCAAATTGTTGTGATGATTTTTTCAAATTTTTCGCAATCAACGATATAGCTGCCAACTGGTGTCAGCCCGTCAAGAGATTCGGCTTGACTTTCTGGTGAGAAATTGTGTTGAGGTAGTCTATGTGCTTTTTCTCCCAGGCCTCTCTTCGCTCTACCTCTTCGTCGTTGATCTATTTGTGCTCCAGGGCGGCGTGTCATCGGCTTCCTTTCTCACAGCCGCAGCATTCCAGCTCAAGTATATGGCCTGGGTGTTTGTGCCGAAGGCCCTTTCATGATGTAGGCATGTAATCTTGCGAGCACCCTCGATGAATTTCCAACGACGGTATACGCTTAATTTAGACAAAGAAATACCGATGACCATGGTGGTCTTCGTGGGGTCCGCCTTTCCATAAGGCAGGAAGTACATGTCAATATACCACTCTGTGTCTTCAGACAAGCGCTCAGGAGTGAGTGAGCTCAGCCTTTCCCATGCATCTCATGTTGCAACTTGAAAATATGATCACATACCTGATCGCATTCCCCTTCTTTACTTTCTTCAGCTGTGCATTCGGTCCATTGCGAGAATACGATGTCTCTGACCCTCCCAATTGCACACCCATCACGGGCGGAGTTATGATGACCGTACAATGCTTTTCGCGCTTCGGGTGTCTGCTTGGATTGGAACATACGGCAGAGGACGGAACCTTCGATTCTCTCCATGGGAAAAGAACACTCGGTCATAAAACGACCAGATATGGAGATGAACCCATCACGCCGCATGTCAGCCGGGATTGAAATGGTTTCCTTATCGCGTCATGCTGAGCTCTTGGTAATTTGCTGAGGTATTCCCTTAGACATTTCCTTCCCAGGCTGTAAAAATAGATGTGGTCAGTCTGTTATCGGTTTGCCTGCAGAGGTGGTTCCCCACGTCCACAGGGCGACCGGTGGGACTAGGGCAGTATAAAGTCATGGCGATGGCACCTACGTATACTTTCTTCTGGGCCGTTTAATTTCTTTGGTGTCCGCGTCAGATGATATAGTATGAGGGAGGTGGTATCTGTTGAACCAGCTCTCCCACTCAAGTTTCTCTTGCGGGGTCTAGTTGTTTTCATGGATCCGAAGTCGGATGCTGACGTCAACCCACATAGCCCTAGTTACTGTATCAGTGGGAAGGAAAGATCTATATGATAGATTATTCGATGCAAAGCAATGGCTGCAAAACCAGTAGGAAGCTCTCCATACATTCACACAAGTAGAAACATCATCTTCTGAAAGGCCCATTCTATTGCTATGATTAGTTGATAATTACATCCATTCCTGGTGTAGTTTATCGTCTAGGTTAATGTAACCATCCACGACGGCCAGTCCCCGCAGCCTCTCCTGTTCAATTCTGTCCCAGGTCCATTCCTCAGAATCCCATGAGTCGGAATTGGCAGCCTTTTGTTCTTCGAGAACCTCTCGCTTCGGAATATCTTCATCATTCATTTTGAGCACCTCGCGCACCAGAGATCCATCAACACCAGTGGAGGTGATACCTTCGCCGCTAGCAGGGGTCCCAATTGCAGAGACTTCGGCAGATGAGTCGGTCGGTGCCTCCTTGGTCTGGCTCCCTGGTGGAGGCGCGGGGAGGAATCCACCAAGGCGGAGGATCCGCTCTGGGGCGACAGTCAAACGACCCTTCTTGACAACGTACTTGCTCAGAGCAGTGGCCAATATTTGCTTCTCACCACCAGGACGGCTAGCGGGACGCATGAAGCAGGTGAGGATGTACATCCATTTCTTGTCCCAGGAGATCACCTTGGAGTGCATCTCATACAGCTCGAAGGGCTTGATCTCGCGTTTGAAACTGCAGAAGACAGATCCAAGCACGATGAGAACGGGCTTCTTCTTGGGGGCATGCTTCCCTTCGGCCTGAGCTGCAGCGGCAAATTCCTTATCTAGCTCTTTGCTGACCAGGCCAACGCCGGGACTGTAAAGTCGGCTCACGAGTGCCGTACGCGACACATCCAGGTCGGTGAAATATGTGCTGTTCGATTTGTGTAGATTATAGTCTGTCTCCAGCAATGGTGTTCGCGAAGTGACTCGGACTGGCACAAAGACTGGGTGTGTCGGCTGGCCTTGTGCATCCAGAATGGCCTTCCCCTTTGGGAAGAAGGGAGCACTAGGCTTCAAACGCAAATTGGTCGCAAAGTGGTACAGAATGCGGAACTGTATCTTTCGGTCAGCATCTCGGACAGCGTCGGACAGTTAGGAGACCCTATATGCCCGCCAAACCCAATTTCGACAAGCATGATAGAGACACCTTGCGGGCCTCACTTACATGCCAGACGAATGGGAGACTCTTCAAGTTGATAAATGCCAAAATCAAGGCCAGTGTCCTCCAGGACGCTAGTGGTCCTGCGGCCGACAGCAAGTCGCGCATGCTTTCAACACGGAGCGCTGCCGGTATGGACATGGTGGTTTGTCGCGAAAGATAAGAGACGAACAGTCGGCTTGGCAGTAAGGGCAAGGAGTGGCGTTGCAAGGATGTGAGACTGCAATCAGAGTGGCTCCCGGAGACTATTGTCCAGCCCAATAGCACGGCTGATAGGACAAGAACAAGGGTATAGTTCCACTCAGCAACTACCTCATGGTCTTCTTAAGGGGTTGACACGGGCTGCCCGGACTCGACTTGAACTTTTTTAAGGAGCGACAGATGATGGTACAAGGAGTGCAAGGAAGCGCGATGAAGTCACGATGGATCTCGATAAGACTCCGGGCCGATCAGTCATGTCAGCCCCGTCACGATCGTGATTTTGTTGGGACTGGGGACCGAGGTCCACACGTGATGCTGACTCATACCATCCAACTAACTAACTATAGTTAGCTAGTTAAGTCGGTACCGCTTTAGACCCAATCACCTGGACGAATCATAGATACCTTGTCATCTGCATTGGTTATGTTCGTTCTCTCACAAATTTGTATGCGACCGAGCATGACTAAGACTCTTGGCTAAGTTACAATGATACAAACTGACCATCCCTTACAATACTGATTCTCCACTGATACCGACACTAACTAGTGAAGAGGGGAACGCTCGATGGCAGCACGCGCTGAGACGTGCGGGTCGATTCAGCAGAAAACCACCACAAAATACTCGCTTAGCTGTCAGGAAATAGCGAGAAACACAAATGTAGGGGTCAGGTCGGGGAGGTGTAAGGTGTATTCTAGAACTAGCTATCCGGCCACTGTATACTGTATACTGCCTGCTATGTCACATAGTCTGGATGGCACCCACGTAGTAGGGGAGGGGGGTCCCCCCACTACACTAGTTAGTTAGTTAACTAGTTATTAGTTATGGGGATAAACACAACATGCCTAATGTGCAGGCTCCAGTCCCATGTCTAATCTAATGCTTAATTCATTCCTTCGGGTTCTCTAAGTATGTCAAGATCGCCCTCGCACGTAAAAAACATTCCGAGGCATGGACCGTGGATTGAGGTACGTTCATAACTAGTGCGCTGTGATTATATATGTTTTCTACAAGTGTCGAAGAGCAATTTCACCCCTTCACATCTTTTCGTTTTCCCACATTAATCTGAAAGGGATCATCGAACCTGACCAGAAAAGAAAAACGGCATAGGCAAATTTATTCAGGATCACAATGAATCGACCCGAACGAGATATATCTTCTCGATATCCCTGGACAAAAATTTGAACTAGACGGGCACCGAGTGGACCACAATTGATCACATGAGTTGTCGACAGGGTTCCTAATTGAGCTAGCCCCATTGCATCTTGATGTGGTATTGAGAACCGTTCATGCAAGCGACTGCTTCATTTATTCGAATTGTCAGATCACCTCGCATCAGAAAGAAAGGAAAAATGAAGAAGCAACGAGGCCCTCGGATCGCCTCGAATAGATCACCTGACTCCCGCGTTTCGGCCCCATCTTGGAGGCTTTGCGACAGCATCGACGCGGCTTGAGCTTCTACACCTCACAATCTCCTACATCAAACAACCTCCCAAAAGGAGCTCCAAATACGAGAATCCCTTTTTACAACACGAATCAAGCATACCTCACAAAACGCAAGACCGAGACCTTGTTCTCTTGTCTTGTTTTTCACGACTCTCCAGCCACTCAGCCTCAGGCTAGCGTCATTGATAAAAATTCCCCACCTTCACAATGGCTGTTCAACCTCAACCCGGAGGCAAAGACATTCTTACTCTGCCCTCTGGGCGCACCCTCGCATGGACCGTATACGGTGATGACCAAACAAACGACCAACAAGAGCCTCCGGCCGCCATCTTCTACTTCCATGGCTATCCCGGCTGCTCCAGTGAAGCAATCCTGATCGAGCCCGAATACCTGAAGCAGCGCAATGTTCGTGTGGTTGCCATCGACCGACCCGGCTTTGGAAACTCAACACACTACTCTGATCGCCGCATCCTCGACTGGCCAAAGGATGTTCTTGCCGTCGCTGACCACCTGAAAATTCACCATTTTCATGTCCTGGGTGTCTCAGGCGGCGGGCCGTATGCCCTTGCTTGCGCTCACAGCATCCCCCGCATCAACGGTGATGCGCTCGACGAAGCATCGAATGGGCGTCTTCTGGGCGTAGCAGTAATGTGTGGTGCGTATCCCTTCACGTTGAATGCGAAAGGGATGCTGCCTGAATTGAGAGCGCTGCTCACTGCCGGTGCCTGGCTACCGCGATTAGCTACAGGCGGGATGCTAGACTGGGTAATGGGACGTCCTGCAAGGGATCCAGACCCCAAGGTGCTGGAAAAGACGCTGGACACAGCCATGATGAAACGACCCGGCACTGAGAAAGCGGCATGGATCAAACCTTATATTAGAGCTGCGGCGATAGACTCTATCCGAGGCGCATTTCGGAATGGCGGTGCAGGATCGGCGACAGAGTTGATGCTTCTAAATGACTGGGGATTTGATCTCGAAGATGTGGAAGGGAGAGGCATTCGGTTATGGCATGGGAAGCTCGATCGCAATTCGCCGTTCAGTATGGCGGAGCAAGCGGCTGAAATGCTGCCTGGGACTGAGACGCATTTTTTTGATGAGAACGGTCATCTGGACATGGGATTTCATGTGGGAGAGATTCTCGACAATCTCCTCGGCAAGGGAGATGATTCTAGCGATGCCGACGAGACTAACAGAGTCAACGCCCTAAGAGAAACTGACGAGCCCCAAAAGACCGACGAACCTCAAGAAGCCGACAAGTCCAATAAGCCCGAAGAAAACGACAAGGTTAATGAATCCAAAGAGACCGAAGAGTCCCAGGGGACAGACGAATCTACAAAGGCCGACAAGGGCAAGGAGTCCAGAGGGGCGGACGAGTCCACAGAAACTGACAAGGCTAATGAGCCCAAAGACGCCAACCAGCCCAAGGATGCCAGCGAGTGAGACACTCGGCACGGTGAATTCAATTTCTGCACATGAGTAATCTTCCATCATATTTTGACATATTAGTCTACCTAAACCTCTTCATATGATACGATCTTAGTCTCCACCACCACTTGTTGATCTGGTCCTGTATACTGGTAGTTGAGTACGCCATGACTTGGATCTTCCAATAGATCCAAAGAAGACTCAACCACTTTTGCCCGTGGTTGAGGTCCAGATGGCGCGCGGGCGGCCTCAAGGTCAATTCGTCTTACTTGTTTCATGAGTACAAGACTAGCGACTTCGAAGAAGAAAGTTGAGGCTCTAGGCAACCAAGTTCTTCCCTGAATGTTCCTATTAACGATGTGGGGTCCAGATGCCCGAGTGGTTGAGGGACTGAAACGTGATGTACTAATTGCGCTCGGTGATGTAGATCCCAGGCGACAAAGATTTCTGGCATTCAATTAACAGCACGAATAATGATTGAGATAAATAAACCTGATTTCCCCTTGCCGCCTGCCTACATAGATTTCAATGAGCCCAGCGCATTTTGCATCATTGCTGATAATCTTTTTCAAGATTGAAAAGTCTATGAACAATGGACCATTTCAAGCCTTCTTCTGCCAAGGTCGACCAGCACTTTCAGGCAAATGAGGCGTCAAAAACTCCTTAAGATAATCCTTCTTACCCAGCGGCACGCCCTTTCCCCTCAAAATAGCATACGCAATAGTAAGATGGAAGAAAATATTCGGAATAATGAAAGCAGCCGAATATCCCCAATTAGACATCTCGGTGTTCAGCGGACCAATAGTCGTCGCCTCAACCTTTTCAGCGACCCTGTTAACAATTCCCTTGTCTTCCGCGTCGAGAATCTTCAGGATGGTCGCAATGCGCTCATGCATTTCTTCGTAGGAGGACAAGTTGTCCTCGAAGTTGGCTGCTTCGCGGCCTGTCAGTCTTGCGACCATTTGCTCCGTCAGTTTTGAGGAGATGTGGATTTGGTACGTCAAGGGGTACATGTCTTCGGCCAGGCGAGCGGTCGGGAAAGTTGCGGCGTCGGGGTGTTTCTCGGCTTCATGAAGGATGTGGTCCATTGTTTTGAAGGCGCTCAGGGCCGGGACGATGGTTGCATCGTAGAAAGTGAAGGAGGACATGGTTGGGTGTTGGTAGATTGATAGCCAGCTGTGGGCTCCTCAAGAAGGGTGTTGTTTATTGAATAAAGTGATAAAGAGATTTATCGTGACCAGGACTGGGTGTGTGTATCTTTCTTTGATGAAGGGCAGCTCAGTATTTAAGTCATTTCTCAAATAGCTGGCCTCAGATCGTCGACTTTCTATTGACCCGAAGTCCGTCGCTCAACAGGAATTCGGAGACTTGATGCAGCAGCGATCCCCCGAATATCATTGGCTCCGATTCCCAGTCGGCCCGCATAAGCACTTGAAGTTCCATTTCACGTTGTGATACCCCGCCAGAGGACCCCGTAGAACCACCCGAACTCGTATGTGTTTACTAATCATAAAATATCATGAGAATTGATCTCAACAACAATGAATCAGATGAAAACCTTTCGATTCAAATTAGCATTCAATTTCAACTGGTCAAGTCGCTTAAATTACAATCTTAGTGCAATATTACATCTCGTCAATGTCGGGCTCATGCTCAGCCTCGAGTGCTTCGTCTCGAGCTGTTGTTTGCTTTTTTGGTCTTCCCTGTGCTTCCTTGCCCCAGAGACTATCGTAGATATCTGCTTTGTGCTGCTCAGTTGTTCCCTGTGTCATGACCTCATTATCAGAGACGTTCCCCTAAAGTTTAGTACCAAGTTGACTGACCTTGTCACTGGCAGCAGCGGCTGTTTGACGCGGCTCTAGGAGGTCTGGCTGCAACGGAGACGATTCGTAGTCATCAGGGAATGTGGTGGTGACGAAAACTAGAGATGAGTGTTAGAACGCAGACTTTCAGATAAGGAAAAAGATAACATGCATTCTTCGTTGCCCTTGGTGTCTGGACGGGCCTTCTCGCTGACAGAGGCCCGCGCTAATCTGGTGATGTGGAAGGCCGATGGCCTGGTGAGCTGGTGTTTGATCAGAGCTCGGTACATTCTGTATTCAGATTCAATCGATTAAGCCGTCAAGTGTGGTCATTCTCAAAGAGAGGCGATAACACCCTCGGTAGCTTGACGAGCCATATAAAGGAGCTCCGGGGGCCAGTCGGATCATAATGATGTCAATCATATGACCATTCCCGATGAGACGGGGGAGACTCTAATGGCATTCGGTGGCATCAGGCGAATTTCCAGTCCTCAAGGTCCTTGTCTAGCCACGCGGGAGCGCATTGGTTCAATCGATTCGGTGTGGGTGTGGAGGTGGCGACCTCAACACAGCCGCTCCATGGTTCCGTCCAGCAACTGAGCGGTCGTGTGACAGTGGCCAGGGATCTAGATCGAGACGTTGGTAGATGATTTTGAATTAATTTCCATGCAGGCAGATCGAATCTGAAGATGATCTATATGTACAAAACTCCAATCCTCTGGCCCAAAGCGAGTGTATCGTTAAATCCCATATGTCCTTGAATGCGCCGTGCAAAATAAACGATAGTCCACAATGGACAATGCTATGAATCCCAATCCATAGCTCTCATCAGCAGGAAGGTTTCGACACTCAGTCCTCTTTGGACCTTCTTGCCGTTCTCTTCGGTGAAAAACTCGGGCTCGAAGTCGCTTGCCTTGGCCCATTCTTGAATTAACCGGCGCCAGTAGCATACTTCAGCGGCCTGCGTGAGGTAGCGTTCGCGGAACGTCTTCACGTTATTATCGGCGATGCGCTTCGCTTCTCGGTCGTGCTTGCGCAGCCATTTCATTTTACTCTCGAGGTCTGACCAATCACGCTCGACCTCGACGAAGTTCTGCTCGGACCCTGACGATCGCAGGAGATGGTAGTGGTGCTGGATCCAGTCTAGTCTATGCGAGACGATCACGCTGCGGCACATCTGTAGGTACTTCAGACGGCCGGAAGAGGAGGTTCGTTCTGCATGAGCGAGATATTTATAGTCGCAATATTCTGGCATCGTTTTGTAGTCGCTGTGCATGCTCTGCTGACCATCCTGATCCAGCGATTTGACATCCGCCCACGGTTTCTTCTCCGTCACACTGAGTAAGTTATTGCGGATCTCATGGTCGAGTTTGGAAGTGCCCCGCCATAATAGCTTGTCGGTCTTCTGGGTCCAGTTCATGCCTTCTCTCTCAGCGCGCTCGACATCGAGGAGGATCTCCTTGGTTGATGCGGCCTTGATCTCGGGCCAGGACCAGAATCCAAAATCCGGCATGAGCCAGACCAATTCATCTTCGGGGCGGCGGGCGTAGCCCCACTGCGCGGTATCATCGATACGGTCGTCGGTGTTGAAAGCGAATTCGATGTTGGGGAGAGGTTCGGGAGAAGTGAGGATGGCCCGGTTGAGGGCGGAAAGCGTCGCGATCTCACGCGACCACACGGCGCCTTCTTTTGCAATTACATAAAGCTAGATACAACTGGGTCAGACCAGATTTATTGCTTTCCACCGATTGCACTCCGGTCAGCGTACCTGTTGGTCGTGAATCATAGCACGGATATATCCATTTCGGGGCGAAATCGAGTCAATCTCGCCGAGGGTGATCGGCCGGTCGGCGCGCACAACGCCGGCACGTTCGAGATCGGCAAACAGATCGGGGAAAGCGAGATCGCATTCGCCCTGGGTGAGAAGGAGGCTGTCGTGATCGCGCGCATAATTCCAGGCGCCGTCGAAGCGATGCTGGCCATGCGGCTGGGTGAGGGGCGTTCGCGCGGGCTGGACGCGAGACCGCGGACGGGGACTGATGTAGAAGAAGAAGCTCAGGACGAGTAGGAAGCACGGCACAGCCACCAGCAGTGGGCGTTTGACAAGCAGCATTCTTCCATCCGGGCCCTAGCGACGGAGGTCTATTCGGGACATGCTGGGAGATGGGAAAATCAGGGAGAAAAGCGGCGCGGCGTGCCTATTTTAGGGGGCCCGTCCAGGACCCTTGGGGCTCTTCGGGGGAGCCTTGTGCTGGCTCCACTGGAGTTGTCGTGGGGGCTGAAAACGGGGAAGATCGAGTGGCGCAGGGCACGCTCGTGATGGCATTCTGGGGAAGCCCTAAGCGATGGCGTGTCGCAGTGCAGATGCGGAGAGCTCCTGCCAGGTGCAGGGTGGTCAGCGAGCAGTCAGATCATGATGCCGATGAGCCTGCGACGAGCTCACGATGGAGAGAACAGCCCGGGATCCTCGTGGGCGACCAGCCAAGATATCAACCAGCGGTCAAGTCCGATGGACCGGATAGGTCTCGGCCCCATAACGAGGGAGCATTGCTGAAGTCACCATACCGAGGGGAGTAGTGACTCGGAGTAGTCTATCGTAGATAATCATGGTCGAGCCTGAGAGCCACAACGCCCCACCGCGGGCGGTGCATCGCCCGTTCGACTGAAGATGAGCAGTACTTAAAGTATAGTAAGAGTATAGATCCAGTAGATAATAGCATTTGATGCCTATATAGGCAACCGGATTCTCATGAGTGGGTTTGTAAGTAGGACAGTCCCCTCCAAGGTAATAAACGGGATTTGACTTGATCGTATTCATCTATTCATGGATTTCAAATGAATACAATGCAACTCTCTAGGACTGCCGGGGCTCCTGTGGGAACATGACCATGCTGAACTGGGGCTGCCACATTCGAGTGGATTCCCTTGTGAAAATCCACATCATCAATATGTTCGAATAGAAGCCAAAGGTGGCCCTCCAAGCGTTGATGCTAGATATGGCTTGCGTCAATGCATGTCGTCTCAATTTCCCCTCATTTGAGCGACGACGAACCAAGTAGAAGATCCGAGTTTCCACGACAAACACGAGCGTCTCGATGATGCTGTGGATGACTAGAGACGAGCCCGTCGGACCGTAGCAAACAGTCTCATCAGATCCAAAGTAATTCAGCTTTAGCCAGCATGGCCTGATGTAGAGGAGCCAGAGGGCGATGCAAAGCAGCATCGCTCGGTTGTATCTAGTCAAACGATAAGAATCTTGTATCTAGTCAAAAGATACGTATCCAACTCGGGTTGATGGGCTGGTGGCATCGCGAATAGCGTACGTTTGATTTATCTGGCGCCATAATCCGAGTGCATGAAGCAAAGTCGGATGGGTTCGGTTCCCCGGCTGTTGTGTGGCAGCATTGGCCGCGTATTTTGCATCGTCCATAGTGTACAATGTAAGGCAAATTGTAGTATTCACAGTTGGAAGTAGTAATGACGGCTCGAATTTAGAAACAACCGCACCTAGGTAGCGGTGAGGTTTTATGTGTAGCCCCCATTTCGCCATGGGGGCTACACTGATCTTGAGGCCGCATTGATTCATACTACTATTTATAAACATTCACCAAGGCTAAGTGGACCTGCACAGCCATGTCTAACTCTTTGAAAGCCAGTTTAAGCGCAATAAAACGTCATGGTAGTGTATATTGCCAAATACAATTCATAGCTATGTGAGGGACCAGACGGTGTACTCTAGAAAATCGCCATGCAATTTGGCGGACTCGAAACTCCCCGCTTGCAATTCAACGGACTACTCGAAATAAAGAAACTCCACCGACCCAACCGCTTGCACGTCGCCGCCAACTCCTCCAAATCAAACATCTCCCCAATCGGCACACCCCAGCCAGCCAGCAGATGGTGGTGCAGATCATGTTCCGGCGAGCGAGCTGGGAAGACCTCGAAACTAACAGCATCAGACGCAACCGCTGCAAAGTGATTATCCCACATAAAGCGCAGGACCCGCTCGCTCTGCTCGATGCCCGCATGCTGAGGCATCGATTGCTCGCTGTACGCCTTTCGCTCCGCGGCCGACATCGCCGCCCATGTTCCCGGCAGACCAACGCGTAGGAAGAAGATATCACCGTGCTGGAAGGTGATGTTGCATTCGCGGGCGATCTCGAGCACCTCGTCGAGGGAGATAGTTTGGCGAGTGAGCGCGTTTACGCTGATGCCTTTCTTCTCAGCGTAGGAGACGTAGTCGATTAGCACGCCGCGACCAGCGATGCCTTTCTTCGCCCAGTGCCCGATGCCGATGCGCGGGGAGTCGGTGTCTTTGATTTCTTCAGCTGTGGTGCCGCCGTAGAAAACTCGACGCTCAGGGTTCTCTGGTGTCGGGTATGGTGCATTGTGGTGACGGAGACCGTCCCATTGAGACGATTGTTGCGGGTTGAAATGATACTCGTCGTCGAAGGCGTGGCCTTCGGCCACCCACTTAATGCGGTGTTCAAAGGGCTTGCGGCCGAATCCTGGAGTTATCGCATAGTTCATAAGTACAAGTTTTTCTTCAATTGATCCCTCTTCCCCCTTACACTGCGACTGTTCGGGTGAAACCTACCTGGAGGACTCAAGTTCTCAATATCCCAGTTCAGACACACACGCTCGCCCGTTTGGATCTGTGTGCGCGCCGCATCTGCCACAACTTCCTTCGTAAGCAAACGTAGCATTCCGAGACCCTCGTCCTCCGACCCCGCAGGCGCAGGCCAGAACCGGCGCTTCTCGGGGAGATCGTCGAACTTGGGGAGAGCTGCTGCGGGGTTGGCCATGTTGGTAATCGGTCGAGGGAAATGCAGAGGCGCTGCAGGTTCGAGCAGTTTCAAGCTGGAATACAGACTGGTGTGACGAACAGCTGTCGACTGCAGAGCACACGGCTAAATAGGCCTGTGTTCCCCCACGAAGTCGGAGCAAGTCCGTTGACGTGGATATGACCCCGCAGCCCACCCACGAGGAAAGAGTGGGATGTGCACCCTCGGGGCTCCACCAGCGCAATCAAGCTCACGCCAGGACGAGGTTACCGTGGTAGTTGCAGATATATAGATCCAAGCCCCACATGAGAGACAGCAGGAGAAAAGTCGGGATATGATGATAGCAATGAACCGTTTTATTACACTTGCAAGAGTTATGCCGAGAAATCAATGCCGACGCTTTGATATAACATCTACTCTGCACAAAACAAACACGGCATGGTCCGCACAGGAGCAGCCTTTCCATAGAAGAGATATAGAATTTACAAGTCATCCAGGTCGTCGTTGGTCTTTGAGCCGCGGCTGGGCATGTCAGACATCTCATACTCCTCCTTGCGGCGGGAGGAGCCAGCTCGGTCCGCAGACATCGCCATGGCTTGTCGACCAGTATCTGAAGACTCGAGGAACTCGCGCAGGCGACGCTTGCCTTCTTCGAGGGCTTGCTGTGATGCCGCCTCGGTCATCTTCATGATGGGGCCCCACAGATTAAGCTGATAGGTGACGTAGGCGCCAACGGCACACACAAAGAGCAGGAAGAAATAGGCCGGGTTGCGAAGAACTGCGGAGAAATCGTGTTAGATGATCAGATAGATAAAAGCCTCCGGGTGAATAAAAGAACTTACCAGCAACAATCTCGTTCCATCCCAAGGCCAGCAAAATACCGTAGAAATACAAGGGCACCTGGGTCATACCGCCGATGGCGCTCCGCTTGGCCTCAACGTAGACGCCGTCGGCAGCCTTTTTAAAGCGAACAGTGAGCTCTTGGCGCTTAGAATCTCCCAGGATAGTCATCTCTTCCTCCAGGCTCTTGCCTTCGTCTTCGTCGACACCACCGATAGGAGAAAGGTCCTCTTCGTCGGCCGGGGTGGCCGAGCTGGGGGTATGGCCCACCCAGCGGTCAAGCGGAGGCACTGCAGAGGTTTCCGCAAGACGGAATCGGGAGAGGAGAGGGATCAAAGTGAGAGTAGACTCTCGCGCGCGCGTGTAGATACCCTCAATGTCGTCTGTGGGACGCCAGATGCGTGGCACGCCAGCCTCGTCATACCGGAACTTGTCTTCAAAATTCTCCCGTAGCTTCAGAAGCAGGTTGCCTTCAATCATTTCCTCGTCAATCTTTGCACGGAGAACTCCCCAGGACTTGCGGCGTAGACGCCACAGACCGACATCGACCTCTTCCAGGCTGGCATCGAAGCTGCTAGCTCGGTCCGTAAATCTCCGCTCGGCATCTAACACCGTCTCCACAAAGACACTCCAAATCCGATCCCAGAAAGCCTTCTCAGTGGGCTTCTCGCCGTCCTCGGGAGCACCGCCACCGGCACGGCCAGAGCCAAGACCGTTGAACTCAAGTCCCACGGATTCAGCCAGACGAGACTGCACCCAGCGCTCAACGCGGGTGGCCAGGCGGCGCATTTCATCCCGTCGAAGACGAGCGCTGACCTCAGCCAATTCTTTCTCGTACAGTCTCAGCTCTTGCTTGTAGTTGCTCCACGAGACGTTCTCCACCACGGTTGTACGAGCAACCTCCTCGAACTTCTCCAGCGAAATCTTGGTCTCCTCCTTCACAATCTCCGCGAAGTCATAGCCACCGCCCTTCTTCTGGCCAGACTTGACGGCGTTCGTGACTGCGTCACTGAAATCGCGGATTCCAGACTTGTGTGCAGCCGAGATCTGGCCGTGGAAGAGAGCTTTCAGACGAGTATCAACCTTGCCTTCCAGCTCAGCCTTTTTGCGCTGGTAAACACCCTTGTGGTATCGGCTAGCTTCGGTCTCAAAGCCCTTAAGGGTTTTGGAGCGTGCAGATCGCATGGCTGCACCCAGACCGCCGAGAACCTCGGGGGCTCCCAAACGCACTGCCTCGGTTTGCTTGTTTTCGAATGCGACAATGGCTTCGTCAAATCCAATCATGACCTCACGCAAGATCTCGTCGCAACGGAATTGGGCAAGCAGTTCTTGCTGGGTGGGCAGGTCCAGGTCCTTGTTGTTGACAATCTGATCCCAGATACCCTCCGCATAGTGCGAGAAACCATCTGCAGGAATACGACGGTGATATTCTGGGAGGAAAACGCCACCTTCCGAGAATTCGCCTTTTAACGCGTCTCTCTTGGGATCACGGTGACCTTCGCGGAAACGCAGTCCCAGCTTCTTAGCCTCGGCAACAAATTGGTCTGGCTGGTAGCCCTTATGCGGGAGCCCATAGAACTGGAAGTCAAAGTAATCATGGATCGTAGATTTCTCCAGTCCAGCCGGTTTGGAAATTGTATCCCAGAGGCGGGAAAGATCTTCCAATAGAGTCTTCTGGAGGTTCTTAAGCGGAGTAGTACCGATGTAGTCTCGAATGACGAAGAAAAGTAGGGATCGGTGGGTGGTACTAGAAAGCGATTAGCACTCCGCGCACGTCAAGGTAGTAGAGGACATTGACATACTTCTTATCCTTCAGGAATAATTGCAGGTTCACTTCAAACACAGTCTTCAGCAATCCCATGTTGGCACCCTGGTACAACCCCACTTGATGCTCCCAGATGTTGACAATGAGGACCTCACTGGTCGCAAGAGCAAACAGAGCACTTTTACGCTCAAAGTCCTGGTCCTCGCCTCTTTCGCGACCATCCGTACCTTCCACGTCCATCACCAGGATATTGTCCGCCATGCGCGAGCCGTCGCCTGCGGATGCATCGCCCTGCTTCTTATTCTTCGACAGCCAGATACCTTTAGTGGTTTGCCTCCGCTCCAGTTCCGACATCACCGAGAATTGTGTGCCGAAGAGCTGGTTGAGGAGGGTGGACTTTCCGGTGGACTGCGATCCAAACACGGAGATGAGGTGATAGTTGAAGCCGGCGGGAGTAACATCTTCGAGCGAGAGGTACTTGGATAGGTTGGCACTGGAGAGACAACTGTCAGTAACAGGATCAAAGGCCTCCGCCGGCCGCGAGCTCCTGAATCTTGCAGCACGGGCGCAACGAGCAAGGTGTCGCCATACTTGAACTCCTTATCCTCATCGATCACTTGCACGCCATGCTCGTAGGAGGCCGCGTTGCCTTCGGCGCCGACAGTCGCAAAGTGGCCGTTTGCCATGACAGGAGGTGCTGTAGGGGTTCTTCCCAGTCCCGACGGACGTTCAGTCATTGTGGTGGTTATCGCTCCCTGGGGTGGTGGTGGGGACAGATCACCGTGAAAGTGGCGAGAACAGGGAGGGCGGGAACTTGGAGGAGGCTGGAAGGAGAGATGTGGATCATGCACTCGGAAGCGATGAAGCTGAAATCCAAAACTCTGCACTGGCCAATCTGGGTGATCACAAGGCCCGTTGCACGAGGATCGAATGGTCCGAGGTCGATGGTTGCTGGGGAAAAACACGTCTTACATAACCCCTGCATGATTGCCCGTTGGAGCGTACCGTTGAGTTGGCGGCACGCTGCACTACCCCGGGTATACCGAGGCCATCTATACAGCGGGACCGCATGCGAATACACCCCTGATCGCCACATTTCAATCAGACTCGACGGAAAATGCCTTGGGGATGGTTCCTATTTCTCAAAAAGACTTCCTTGGATACAAATATTATGCAGCGAAATTACAGGGTACGCTCTATTCAAACCAGTTCAGGTTCCAGCCATGATCAAGGCCGAGGTCGATATTCGGAGCCGGCCACGTAAACTGACCAAAATCATCAAACAGTCCGGTAAATGCGTTTATTTCCGGACCTGCAAATGCCGATGTTGACATTATGTCGCCCGGTAGCGCTTGTAGAGGAGGATCTGTTCCATTTGCACTGGAGATCGGAGGTTTGCCAACAACAGTGCTCGACTGTGTGTCAGACACACCTTCGAGATCAGAAAGTGGGGGGGTATACAGCTGATTTGGCGAGTGTTTGTTTGGCTGGGGTTCTGATGATTGACCGTTTGTAATGCCATCATGTTGCTCTTTTCGAAGATTGTTCTGCAGCCTCGAAAACTTAGCTCCGGCACCCACGGTAATGGTCCCAAAGTAGGGCACCGTGATCTGGCAGGTCGCCAAGCTCGTCCATTCTCTCTTTTCCGATCTCGTTCGGAAGATTTCACCAAGAATGTTGGCGGACTCTGCGGCCACAGAGCCGCCTTTTTCGTTTTTCGCTTGGTGAAGAATCTCAACAACATCACCAACTAATTTCCAGTCTTCTTCGTCTTGTTCTTGGCTATACTCTGGAGATTCGTCGGAATAGCCATGCAGATGGACGATAAGAATCATTCCCATTGTGAAAGCCAGGAAATCAATCATCTTGCAAAGATAAGATCGCGTGATAGCTCGCAGTACCTTATAGAGGACGAGTCCCTCTCGCGCAGATTGGATGGCCATTCGATGAGAGTAAGCAAAACGCGGATCAAGAGGATACTTCAGCATGAATGGTAGATGTAGAAGAGCTCGCAGCACTTTTGGCATGAACTGCAGAGGAACTCGTTCATAAAATTGTTCATTTGCTTCACCCGGGCCAAGTTCGATGCCAAAGAAGCTACTCGGCATAGCGTTCCATGCCTCCTCAAGCTCTTTGTCGAGCTCCAGTGTGTACTCAAGACACATCTCGGATGGATTTTGATTGCGGTCGACCATATGTCCGCAAATGACACCAATACGTAGTAGATACTTTTCTGCTGGAGACTTCATGCTGCCCATCTTTTGCCGATGTTCAACCTGAGGTAAGAAGTATGCTTCAGAGACCCCGTATGGCAGTCCAAGAATAAGACTGAGCGATCGATCCGAGCAATTCAGGGTGCACCAAATTTTCAATCGTCGCTCGAAAAGTGTGTCCTTTGGACGAGGCGTTCGAGTTGACAGATGCATTCCGGCTAAATGCGCAAATTCAATGGCTCTGCGGGTCACCAACCACGCCTTGCGAAGACGGCCTTCGTTAAGATGGAATTTGGCCAGGAGCATTTGGCATTCGATTCCCGGGAGTGTTGCGGCGAAATCGTCATCACGGACTACCAGGCGGTCCACGGTTCCTGTTAAACGGCTCGTGAACTCTTCGGGGTCGATTGGTACATTCAAACTGTCGAAATCGAAGTCCGGCGGGGATTGGATCACACTCATGGAAAGGCAGACGAGGGCCTTTCCTATGTCGGCCGGGGCCACGCGGCCTTCGCAGGATTCCAATTTCCGACTCATGATGAATTGGATTTCAGGGAAGCTTTCTTCCCAAACACACCAAAGTTTTGAGCCTTCATTTATAATCTTCCAAACATCTTTCTGTGGAGGAAGTAAGGATAAAAGCTCGGCTCGGACGGCTCGAGCTTTGGGTGACATGTCTTTAACCCCGGTGAATTGATCATTACTGGATGGGTCTTCTTGGCGACTGAGGAGATAGTTATCAAAGAGTTGCAGAACTGGGGCGTTCTGAATCTGGATGCTAGAAGGGCCAAGTTTGTCCGACTCAACCAAAACAGGAGTCATATCTGTGGCTGAGAGATTCCCAGCTATAAACAATTCACAAGTGTTAGCACCCGCCGACATAGATCTCTCGGAAAGTGACACCCCGATAAAGCCTTCATAATCAAGCATCCGTGGCCCATCACTTACCAGGGGAGCTAGAAGCAGTGCTTTGTTGGTCCAATCGTTTAACCAATCCTTGCACAACATTCTCCAAGTGGGCCACACGCTCCCGGAGACTATAGCGTTGCTCTCCTTGCCCTGAACCAGGCTGCATGCTTATGTCATCATCATGATGCTCCTGGTCAATACATTTCGAGCCTCGCAGGCGGCATTCATTGCAAACGTCAGGGTGATCAGCGGTGTAAGTACAGCGGATCTTCCGGCGGCGACCTATATCTAAGTCAGGGAAGGCCAAGAGTTGACGCGCATTCTGGAACTTACATTCGATGCAGCTCTTGGTCCCCTTCCGCATCCTCTTACGAGGTGGGCCATTTGAATCCGCCCAAGTGCTCATGCTGGCTCTGATAACCTGGATTATGGGGTCAAAATTGCCCAGTTATACTCAGCCTTAGCAGCCACAAACAGCCACTATTTCACACGGTGGAGTGTGCAGGCAGAAGGTCACTTGTGTCCCCGACTGTTTGCCCGTTCTTCCTGTTGCTTTCGTAGAGAAGATGAAGGAGACGGAGGATTTTTCGGAGGAAACTATTGACAAGGCAGCAAGCCTTTCGAGATCATATTCTCGGGGGCGCACCTCGTTGCTTACTCTGAAGGTGCGTGGTAATAAGTCCGCATGTGAGGTATGTATATTTTCAAGAGTCGCTGGCAGCGGGCGTTCGCACATGGAATTAAGACAAAAATGAAGAAATGTTTCAACATAGAGAATTAATATATTCGTGACTAATATATTATCATACATGGACCAGATGAATGACCTTCATTCAAGAGACACTGGTTCGTGTACTTCGACAACACATGCACCAATGTATCGATGTGCCTGGGGTTTGACTGCCTACGATGAAAGTCCGCTCATTTGGTCAAATAGTATACACCTGTCTTGGCCTTCTTGCTTCTTTAGAGAGCTCTTAACTGTACTCTCATCTTGAAAAGGGGTTTAACGCTAACAATTGCTTTCAGACGGGGATCAAGCGAGTACAAGATGTTGTGCTGACTGAGCAATGGACACGAAGTTTCGGCTGAAAAACCACGCACAACGGAGCCGGTTGGTCCGGAAAAGCGCCATTCGTCCGTAAATTTCGGCCGAGCGACCGACGTATTCGTATTTGTCGCATACATGCACCATATAGTATATGGTAGAAAGTTGATAGCAGACCGATCAGCACACCCTGCACCCATTTCGTTATGGTGTGCGATGAAAATTCGCGGGGTAATTCACCGATTACAAGTCTTACATGAAACTTTGCTGAAGATTGGGTACGGCCTGGGAGATGAATTGTAAATTTTTATTTTGAATACATTTCCACGGGGTGAGGGGAGAAGATACAACAGGCTACATCTCCAATAGAGAAGAAGTACATGAACAAGATTCAAGCGAAAACTCCGGTTTACCCCCGGAACCTTTGTGCTGATCGATGATTCCCGCGCTGTTAAAAATAGGTGGCAGACAAACAAGAAAGGAAAAGGGTGTCATAATACAAGGTCGAACAGGGATCTTCTGTCCGATAATTATTTAAGGGAGAGAAGAAAGTCCTTACTCAACCACACGGGTGATCAGACCAGTGGCAACGGTGCGGCCACCCTCACGGATGTTGAAGCGCTGACCGGCCTCGGCAGCGACGGGACGGTGAGTCTGGAGAACCATCTCGACGTTGTCACCGGGCTGGACGCGGCGGGACTGATCCTCGTCGGGGAAGGTAAGATCACCAGGCTCATCAGCGGTGCGGAGGTAGACCTGAGGGCGGTAGTTGGTGCCGAAACCAGTGCGGCGACCACCCTCAGCCTCAGTCAGGACATACATGGAGACCAGGAACTTCTGGGCGGCCTTGGTGCTGCCGGGGACGGCAACAACCATACCACGGCGGATGTCCTCACGGCGGATACCACGGAGCAGCAGACCGGAGTTGTCACCAGCGCGAGACTCATCACAGGACTTCTTGAAGGTCTCGATATCGGTGACCTTGGTCTTAATGGGGGCCTCAGAGCCACCAACAATCTCAACCTCAGTATCCTTCTTCAGGAGACCGCGCTCGACACGGCCGGAAACGACAGTACCACGACCAGGAATGGAGAAAACCTCCTCAATGGACATGAGGAAAGGCTTGTCCATGTCACGCTCGGGGGTGGGGATCCAAGTGTCGACGGCGTTCATGAGCTCGTCAATGCGCTCGGTACCGATCTCAGGGCGGCGGTCCTCAAGGGCGCAAAGGGCAGAACCGAAGACGATAGGGGTCTCCTCACCCTCGAAGCCGTAGGTGGAGAGCAGCTCGCGCATCTCAAGCTCGACGAGCTCAAGCATCTCGGGGTCCTCAACAGCGTCGACCTTGTTGACGAAAACAACGATCTTCTGGACACCGACCTGGCGGGCAAGCAGCAAGTGCTCACGGGTCTGGGGCCTGTTAGATAGCAAATGTTAGCACGAAATTCTGGCCTGCAGATTGAACAATCTAGTCCATACATCTGACCGTCGGAGGCAGCGACGACAACGATAGCGCCATCCATGTTGGCGGCACCAGTAATCATGTTCTTAATGTAATCGGCGTGACCGGGGCAGTCGACGTGAGCGTAGTGGCGCGAGTCGGTCTGGAACTCAATGTGGGCGGAAGAGATGGTGATACCACGCTTGCGCTCCTCAGGAGCCTTATCAATGGCACCATATTCGAGGAAGCTGGCCAGACCCTTGGAGGCCTGGTGCTTGGTGATGGCGGCAGTCAGGGTGGTCTATGGATAGAGGAATGGTTAAGACACATGAAAATCAGGGGAATGAAGAGAGGATGCATCTCACCTTGCCGTGATCGACGTGACCGATGGTACCAATGTTAACATGGGGCTTGGTACGCTCGAAAGCAGTGGCCAGACCACGAACAGCCAGCTTGTCGCTGGCGAAGACATGGTGAACGGGATTGACGGCGCGTGGGCGCAGCAGGGAAGACCGGCTGGTGCGCGCCAGCAGGTTAATGGAACGGGAGATGCTCGACATCTTTGCGGAAAAGTAAGCCAATAAGGACCAAGGAGCAAAAGCGATGGAAGCAGGAATCACGAAGGTCGAACTTCGGGGGAGAATCAACACCCAATTTTTCCGAGCCAGGAGCGCTTAGTCATGATCGGGCCAATCAGCGACCGCGAATTGCGGAGGTCCGGCTGTCAGCGTGTTCAGACTCAGAACATGACTTACACATGAGCTATCCTATCAATTATCCTAGAGATTGAACCCTTGTCAATTGTATGAGAACATTATTTTGGGCCTGATTGTTCGTTTACGAAATGTGACTTGTAGCCAGTACAAAAGACTCTGAGATCCTAGCCAGTAGATGATGCTACTATCTGTCCAACATTTCGGGAGTGTATATAAAGCCAAGTTGAGGGCTTCGAAAATGCTTCATGCCCTGTAGCTGTTTTACTAATATGATAGAGTCCTTATAGATTATATTGATCATCTCGCAATCCCACGTTGTCTCAGGAAAATAGAGCCACCTCAGTTTTCCTTGGTCACTGTGAGAATAACATGTTTGCCTGGCTCGCCCTCCATAGCTTTGGTCTGGGTGGCGCCAGCCTCTCGGACAGTGTTTAATACTGTCTGCATGACATTCTTGATTTCCTCCACTGTGGCCGGTCGTTTGTGCTTCTTGCGGGTCAGGACGACCTCCACCTTTCGACCCTTCTCCAAAAAGGTTGCCAGCTGTTTCAAGCGGTGCTGCAGGTCGTGGGCATCAATAGCCCAGTTTAACTCAATTTGTTTGGCAGACTGAGCAGCTGCCTTGGCCGCCTTGGCCTTGGCCTTCTCGTTTTCCTTATGCTCCTTCTTGTTGAAGACCTTGCAGACGGGAGGTTTGCCGGGGCCACCTCCCGGGGCCACCTGGACACAGAAAAATTTGTTGCGATCAATCGAAGCTAGGACATCCGAAAGTCTTTTTGGGTCCTCAAGGTTTCCCTCTTCATTGACCAACTGTACCCACGGAGATCGAATCAACTCGTCTTTAATAAGGCTTGAGGCAGGCGTGGTAGCTTTCGGGAGGGCAAAACGCCGGGAAAGTTGAAAGTATCGCAATTGTGAGCCATTAAATAATAGGCTGGGTTGCCTAAAGCCAGCTCTTGGTGTGTGGATGGGTGTAAGAAAGATCTGGCGAAGGGCGTGCGTAGTCGACACGAGACCGCGGATGTGCTTCATGTTCACGGTTGGGGCTAAAGAGGAGCAGGATGGCGGGAAACGGTGGGCTGGCTTTATCGACCAAAGCTAAATAGGTCGGTCAAAGATCGCGAGAGAGGTGTGGCCGACCTGTAGTGAAAGGCGGCCGCGGAAGAGGAGTCGGGGAGGTGCTCTGGGCTCATGTATGGGGAAGCCGGATCGAGTAAGGCCTACGCCACATCTGCGCCACAACCCAGCCCTGAGTCTCCTTTCCAAAGATTATTCTCCCCTGTCTTCCTCTCTCCAATTTCCCATCCCGCATTGCATTCCTGGAGTCGGTTTTCTCGCAGGATCAATGTCGCTTCGTCTTTTCTTTCCCTTTCCTTAAACCCTCACGATCGTTAACCCTCGCGTTGGTGGACATTTCGCCACCTGTCATTCCTCCGCTTATCTTTCGAGATTGCTCGTATGTCGACTGGAGTCGACAACCACCAACTCTCTAATTTTCCAATTTTGAACTCGGTAGCCCGTCAACGCTCTGTTTCACAGAGCCACGGATCTCTGTTTCCGCAATCCGTTGAATCCAATCCAACGCCTGACAAACAATCCGCCAAAATGGTTTCGCAAAGCCAAAGATCGCGATGGTTAAAGACCGGTGCCATTGTCGGCTTCGTTTTCATGGTTCTCTTGTGGCTGTCGCCCTCGAAACCCTCGTCTTATTCCGGCTACACTCAGGGTATGCATTATCCATTCATCGTGTACAAATCAAACCAACAACTAGGCTAACCACATTTCTCTCTCTTTTTAGAACAATCCCCTTCAGCCGCTGGCATTGAGACCAAGTGCACGAAGCCTCACGATTCATCGAAGCCTTTGATTCAGTATGCGCTCATGATCGACGCCGGTAGCACTGGTTCTCGTATCCACGTCTACCGTTTCAACAATTGCGGCCCGACTCCAGAACTCGAGAACGAGGTATTTGAGCAGACGGCGAAGAAGGACGGTGGCTCCGGTCTTAGCTCCTACAAGGAGGATGCCGAAGGCGCTGCGAAGAGTCTGGATCCTCTCATGGAGGTCGCCATGGCAAGCGTGCCGGCCGAGTACAAGTCCTGCACTCCAATTGCTGTTAAGGCTACTGCTGGTCTGCGTCTCCTGGGTGCTGAGATGAGCAAGAACATTTTGGAGGCCGTGCGCAACCGCCTTGAGACTGTCTGGCCGTTCCCCGTGGTTTCTCGCGAAAAGGGTGGTGTTGAGATCATGGACGGTTCGGATGAGGGTGTCTATGCCTGGATCACAACCAATTATCTTCTTGGCAAGATCGGTGGTCCCGACGAGACCCCAACTGCTGCTATCTTTGACCTTGGTGGTGGCTCAACTCAGATTGTGTTCCAGCCTACCTTTGAGCAGAGCAAGGCTGGTGGTATGCCCGAGCGCTTGGCTGAGGGCGACCACAAGTACGAGTTGAAGTTCGGTGGCCGGGAGTTTGATCTTTACCAGCACTCTCACCTTGGATACGGTCTGATGTCCGCTCGCGAGGCTATGAACCGCGTGGTTTTGGAAGCCATGTTCGCGAACAACCAGAAGGATCTGTCCTGGCTTAAGCGCCCTATCTCCAACCCTTGTATCCAGCCCGACATGGAGAAGGAGGTCACCGTCAAGCTCCCCGCGGAGCACCCTCTCGGACCTGAGGTTACCGTCACTATGGCCGGCCCGAAGGATGCCACCGCCGCTCCCCAGTGCCGTGCTATCGCTGAGAAGATCCTGAAGAAGGAGGCTGAGTGCAAACTGGCACCCTGCTCTTTCAACGGTGTTCACCAGCCTTCCCTCGAGAAGACCTTCTCCCGTGAGGATGTGTACATCTTCTCCTACTTCTTCGACCGCACCGAGCCTCTGGGCATGCCTTCATCGTTCACTCTCGATGAGCTGCACAAGCTCACTTCCACTGTTTGCGGTGGTGAGGATAGTTGGGGTGTCTTTGCCGGTGTGGAGAATGCTCTTGTTGAACTCCGCGACCGTCCTGACTGGTGCATGGATCTCAACTTCATTATGGGTCTCTTGCACACTGGTTACGAGATGCCTCTGTCTCGTGAGGTCAAGATTGCCAAGAAGATCAAGGGCAACGAGCTGGGCTGGTGCCTTGGAGCAAGGTAAGACAATTTCAACTCAGGCCGATATATTTGAACAAACATGCTAACTCGTTCCCATAGCTTGCCTCTCTTGAGCCAGGAGTCTGGCTGGACCTGCCGCATCAAGGAAGTTTCCTAAACCCTGAACCGGAATCAGGGTTGCCTTATATCAAATTTTAATCATATGGTTCGGCCATAGCACTTGATGGGTCCATGCATATAAATATACTAGACACTCGACATGTTTGTTTTTCTCTACAATTCTTTATCGGTGTCATTATCTAGACTTGTTTTTGGAGGGTTTGGCGGGTATTGTTGCAAAAATGTACGAATCTTCATGTCTTCCAGAGTTTCCATTTAACGCCTTGTAAACCTGCCATGATACGGGATTCCCATTGTGATGCTGGATGCATATATAATATCGATGCATTAAATCATGATGCGAGCGGAATATGTGAGTTCACCTTTATTCCGCCATTTCTTCGATCGAGGGTTTCTCTGTGTCCGGCTTCTTTCCCCCCATTAGCTTGTCCATAACATTAGAGTCTCCCGTCGCCTTGGATTTGTTCGCTTCTTCGCAATCCTCGTCGGCAATGTCCTCATCGTCACTTTCCTCGCTGCTCGAGGAATCTTCTCCATCGGCGCGTTTTTCCTTGAGAACTCCCAGTCCAAGATTCTAACAGAAGCAGAAGCAGTCAGTAAATGAAAGTACGAAGGTAAAAATTGGAAATTGGGACTCGGCATACCATCTCAATGTAATCTTTCCCATCTCCTTCCACGGCATCCAACAGCAAATCGCTTCCTCTCCCGGCAGCAATCTCTTTTTCTAGATCCTCATTGGCCTCCTTCATCTTGGGCAAAAAAGCAGACAACCGCGCCATTAGATCTGAACCGCCTTCCATGCGGTGTATTTGCGGCTTTGGGCGACCAGGCACATTGGGTATTGAGGATCCGTCGGCGGAGGCTGTACTTGCGGGAGCGGGCTTTGTGTCGACTCGCATCTCACCATCGTCTGATTCCTCGACGTCACTCTCTTCTGAGGAGGAGCCAGAGGACGAGGTGTAGTCGTCATCGTCGAGAACTTCTGTCCGCACGCGCGGGTCATCCTCAGCGTTAGGGGCGGTAGATTGCATTTTCAATTTCTTTAAACTCCGCGCAAGGTCTAGTTCCTCAGAAACAGTTCGATGGGTTCAACTGGTTCCAAGTAAGCTCGGTAGCCCAAGTAAGCTCGGTAGGCGTTTGGATTCGGTGTCGCGGAGTTGATTCTGAGCGACCAGAAGAGTTGCTGTTCACCAGCGGGCGATGGGGGCCGTGACGACTCGAGGCTTTTGGAACTAAATATAGTTTCAGTTCGTATTCTGCTCCACGTTCGTGCTGATCGTCGAATTGTGCAGTTAAAATGTTCAAGTCGTTGAGTTAGAAAAAAGTCGAGCGCGGGCTGGTTCAACTTTTTGGGTGGAGCAGGAACGATAGCGATAAGGCGGGCACTATCAAAATCAGACTGAATGGCCCCAGCCTCAGCGTAAGCAGTCTTAGGTACCGCAAGCATCACTAGTGTAAGTACTTGATATATTCAACCATAGGTACTTCGCATAATGATAGCATCTAGATATTTCAAGATAGTTGGAATTAGAGGAATCCGACTTTGCATATGTGGTATTCAAGCTCTCCAGAACTCTAAAATCCTTAATTATACAGTAATATTACATGCAAGCAAGTCCAAGTCCCTCACCTGCTATGACTTCTTCTGCGACGGCTTCTGCTTCGACTTCTCCGCCGGCTGCGACTTCGTCGACGACTGCGGCTTCTCCGTCTGCTATGACTCCGTCGTCGGATAGGGCTTGGACTACGACGACGAGCTCGACGTTCCTCAGGTTCCTTGGCAGGCGGTTTCGTGGATGACTCGGCTTCTCCTTCCTTGCCTGTCTCTCGAGAACGATCCATTTCTCGCTCAGACGCAGGCATGTATCGGTCAATGTCTCCACCCCTTGCTCTTGAATCGCGTTCCGGAGATCGAACCCGACGTCTTGGAGACTTGCTGCGGTTGCTAGTCGATGGCACATAGCGATCGATGTCTAGAGAACCGGGGCCAGGGGACGGACGCCTGGTGCGCGATGCACGGCGAGATCGTGACCGTCTGCGCGCTATGGATCTCGAGCGCGAGCGTGGCTGGTCGCGATCTCGGTCACGGTCTCGACCACGAGACCGTGAACGTCGACGGGGCGGGGATTGGGAATATCGACTGCGGCGAGAGCGATGATCATCACGGTCATGATCTCTTTCTCTACTTCTGTCTCGACTGCGATCATGCCGCCGGCGGTCATAATCACGATCGCGAGATCGAGAGCGTGGTCGATCTCGCTCACGTCGGCCAGTTGATCGGCTGCGACTGCGACGGCTTGGCCGCCAGCTTCGTTCATCACGGTCTCGATCACGGAAGTCGCGGTACCCACGACGTTCTTCCACATCGCGATCCCGAGACCTGACAGATGCGGCTCTAGACCGATCCCGGCGATGATCCGGGTCGTAATGAGATCCACGCCGCCGGCGAGAACGACTGCGGCTTCGACTTCGCTCTCGGGCTGAATGCCGAGGTCGATCCGTTATTGAACCGCGGCGTCGAGAATCTCGAGATGGGCTAGCCGCTCGTGTTGAGGCTGACTTCGACTCATGGGAGGACTTGGCTTGAGAAGTGGATGCGGGTCCTGGCTTGAGTCCATTTTCAATGGCTTCCGCCTCTTCAAAGTCGAACTCCGGTTTCTGTCGTGCCTTTGCGGCGAGTTCTTCGCCTTCTTTCAAAAGCATTTGCAAAGCGGCCTCCTCCAGTGCCTTTTCATCGATTGGCGCTGCAGGTACCGGTGCCGGTGCCGGTGTTGGGTCTGTGGAAGTGTGCAACTTATCTTGTCTCGCATCCCAGCTTCGCGGTGACCGATCACGAAAGCGATCACGATCTCTCGTCCGGCTCCGGTCTCGATCCCTATCGCGGTATCTTTCTCGCTCTTCGCGTCGTCGTCGCTCATATCGCTCGTCTCGTTCCCTTTCCCGCTGCTCGTCAAGAGCCCGCTGCTCTTCGCGCATGCGCTCGCGCTCGGCCCTTCGCTGGTCGTCGATTTCTCTTCTTCGGGCTCGTTCTTCGTCATCTTTTTGACGTTCAAGTTCTCGCTTTTTCCGTAGTTCCTCGGCCCGGATACGCTTCTTCTCATCCTCGATTTCCCTTTGTTTGCGCAATTCTTCGCGGTAGACTGCATCTCGCTCGTCTCGCTTTCCTTTGACATAGGCCGCATAATCTTCGTCTGTTTTGCTGCCCGCTTGTTCCTCGTTGGCAGCTGCCTCTTCTCCAATTTCTTGGCGACGGATTGCACGCACTGAATCTAAGATCGATTCCAGGTGCTGCGATGCCAGTCGATCGATAGACTCCTCCACGTTTTTGTAGACGTCACCGCGGTCGACTGCGCCCTCGATAAGTGTCGCGGCTTTTCTTCTTTCTCGTGAAAGGTGCGCCGGCTCGCGTTCGATCTCAGACTCGGCTAACGCAATCAGTTGTTCGACGAACATTTTCTTGGGTTCCTGCATGGAGCATTAGCGACGCCAGGGTAAGAGGTTTTCAGTGATATCGTACGCCATCATTGAAGCTAGCCCAGATCTGCTTTCGGATGCTGTCAAATCCGCCCTTCTTTTTGAACGAGTGCAGGAGTTTGTCAATCGCGGCATGTTGCGCCGCGGACAGAGGAAGGTCCTCGGCCTTGAACTTCTTGCGCTTCAGATTGTCAATCTCGATCGCCGGTCTCTTGATGCCCGATTGCGCATCCTCCATAGCCTCGGAAGCCATTATGATTTGTGGAAAGGGACCAAGGAAGGCTTTCTGGCGCCCTTCGGTCTTGTGGCAGTCGCGTGCAAACGATAAGGCGATAACTGACCCGGTCGCCGTCGAGCGGGAGATAGTTGTTCCGTGCTTGGGAACTGCGGGCACCTGATTTGCTTTGACTTCACTCCTGCCGCCCGATACGACTCCAGGACCCGACCCCATTCATTCCAGCCGTGGACCTCCAGCGGCGACCGCTTAGCCTCACGACATTCACTCGTCTTGTCGGAATTCGCCGGTCTACCTCAATTACTCCTATCCGCCTCCGTCCGAACCACAGTCATGGTCCACAAAGTGCTCTTCTGGAGCGGCTTCGGTACGTGACAGCCCCCTCAAAACGCCTCAATCCCCACCCACATCTCGACAATAGTCGACCATATCGCAAGTCAAAAGTACTTTACAATGGATCTTGAGCTAACGTTGTTGCGTTCTGTACAGGCATCGCCGTCCGCCTTTGGCAACTCGGGATCGAGATGCGCCCCATGTTCTGCAAGGAAGCCCTCTGGGCTTACCCTTTCTTCGCCGGTGTTGGTGGAAGCTTCGGTTATTGGCTCCAGGGTGTTGAGAACAGACAACTCAAGATGCTCGCACAGCGCCGGGAGGCTATCCTTGAGAAGCGCCGACGGAGGGACGAGCGGGAAGGCATCTCCAAGGTTGAGGAGGGTGCCGTCCTGGCATCTTCTTCATAATTTATCGAGCAATTGGGCTAAGAGCGATTTCTTTTATTACATGTACCAAAATTCGGCGGTTTGATATCGGCATCCAGGTTCTCGCGAACGATGTATTCGGCAGCGATATATGCCGTGGAATATGAACAAGATATTTTTCTCTCCTGTTTTCCAAAACCATACTATTAACATTTCCCCCTTTCTTTTCAATTGGCCAATTAAGCCATAATCGAAGCTTACTTCTCATTCCTCTACTCACTATCCGTCTTCGGAACGAGATACGCCTTTAACACAGCTCCTACAGAGTGAACGAATTCACGCGCAAAAACACTTGGATTTGTTATTGTACATGGTATTGGATGTATTGGCACATAGTTCCTCAAAGAACTAAAACTCCGGCACGTCCACGCAAGTATTTAGGTTTTCTCGATAGTGAATTGGAGAGAGACCTCCCATTTCTGACCCCCAGTACCATAGCCCCCTCCAAGTCGGTTTCGAATCAAGCTTGAAATCTTCTCTCTGAGTCTAGCGACATTATCATCAGTCCCAGAAACTCGAAGCTTCAAGTTGGCCATACAGAGTCCGTAGTGGACTTGCCAGAACCGCGCATCATCAACACCAAACACTGAGGGGTCCGATTCAATGTCCTTAATCACATCGGATACACCCCGGCCCGAATACGACATGAGGAGCATCGAGCCCAGTGCTTTCACCAAATGAACTCCAAGGACACACATTGAGATAGCAATGGTGCCAGACAAAAGCTTATCGAGCCAGTCATAGATTCGAATTGACACCAGAGGTAGCAACAACAAAAGTGTAGAGCACGAAAGGGTCAAAAAGTGGGAGGGGTTACTTAAGACTGACGGCAAAGACTCAATGTATGCAAAGCGCATTGCTTTTCCAATACGAGCATGGTTCTTGAGGCCAATGGCCGATACCAAGGTCGAGGAAATAGCTAAGACGGCTGTCAAGTCCACGCTTCCCAGAGACACCCGGTCATGGTCATGAGAGTGATGAGGTTCATGGCCAGACTTCTCCAGGAAATGCTGCAGATTGTGGGAAATCAAGTCAAGTCCCATGAACAAAAGTAGCACACACATTGCAAACCCAGCTAGAACCTCTGTCCGCTCCAGCCCAAACGGGTGACGAATGCTTGACCTTTTCCAGACCTCAAAATTGCTCAGAACATCCACGGCAACGCACACAAGCGCACCCAAGGAATCAAAGAGGATCAAATGAGACAAAGCAGTCATTGCCAAAGACCCGTGCGCCATCCAAAGTGTATAAGCAGCCACGAACATGTGGCAGACACTCCACCAGAATCGTGTTTTCTGATCCTTGGACATACTTGCACGACACTCTTTCAAAGTTGGAATGGGAAGGGAATTTGGCAGAGCCAAGGGTGCGCGAGGAGGAGGTTCGAGGAAGATCTGGTGCGAGATGCTACTGTGCTTGTATTTGTGACCGCGGCGCTGTCCGATATTCTGGATCCCGCCGAATATTTTAGCATTTATTCCGGTACACCATGAATTCCGATTTACTCACCGATTTCACCACTGGGCTCTTGGCCATGACCGTTGTATTGAAATTGAATGGCCCAGCGGGGGGCGAATCGCTTGAACCATTTTTCGATGGCGAAACCGCGTCTGCAGCTCTAGTACTCAAATTGAATGAAGATTTGGTAGGACTGAGGCGATCCGCGTTCATTGGATCTAGTGTATTCGTTCGGGGGAATGATTCCTTCAGTGGTGACAGTGAATCGCGATTGACCGATACTCCTAGTCCTGGGATCATTCGGGGAACATGTTGATCTCGGCCGTCGTCCGACGGCGGTGTCGGCGTGCGCGGTGGGATCGGTAGAGGGAGATTTGAGGCCATCATCGTGAAAAGAATGGTGACTACCGTTCCGTGACGAGGAACAGAGCCGATGGTCTCGTGGGGGTTCTTGAGCGAAACTCCGGGGATGACCCTCAAGTCAGGAGATAGTTAGGTTAACGTTGGCTGCCTGGCAGATCGGGTGTCGAACAGAGCGGAAGGGGCGGGGGCCGAGGGGGCCTCGACCGCGTGTCGAGTACATCATCCACTGCGACCCGCAGCTTGCCCGCAACTACCACTACTCGTCATTCATTGTTCTCTCTTCGTGATTGCGTGGTACTTTAAAAGTCACGCCGTGCCCACCTCGCTTGCCTGTGCCCCTGCAATGCTCACCATCTCTTCCTAAGGAGGCCGATGCCCACCCCCGGCGTCCATGGATAACCGCGGTTCCTTTTTCTTCTTCCTGCTGATCTTCTACCTCCTTCTCAGCTCGCAGTCGCGTCCTCCACTGATCGATGAGGATCGGCAGCGACAGAGGGAGCTCGATCGAGAGCGGCATGCGATCCGGTTACTGAACGAGTCGTATTATGGGGACTTTGATCCAGTGGCGGATCATTGGCTTCCTATCTCGGGACTACGGAAGAACGATACCTATGCTTGGGAGCTGTTTTCGAACGTTCAAAGCCGTGTTCGCAATCAACTTCAGTCCGTGTTATCCAATGCCGGTCTCGAGCCTTCAATCGGCCGGATCGATTCCAACGCATCTTCTCCGTTGAATCTTACCAGGTTGTTTCTCCCGGTATACCGCAATACCACGGGCAAGCTACGCGGAGAATGGGTCCGTCGCACAGATTTACAGCGCACCACACCTCTGAACATAACCGCCATCGCGCAAGAACACGAATACTTCACTCATGAATTCAGCTCGAATATCACGGGGAGCGGGGGCACATTCCATTTCGATCTAGAGGAAGGTTCCGGCGAGGAGATCCGCGTTGGAGATGGTCTTGCTCGCGAAATTAGAGCGAGCTTGACGGTTGAGAGTGAGGACTCCTGGGGTAGCACCTGGTATGCCTCACTGTTTGGTGTACACTTCCCGGAATCAGGTGGGATTATTTTGAGTACATCGAGCGAGAAGTTTGGTGGCATATTCTCTTTGCCGCACTTTGCTCTCTCTGCGGATACTTATGAGCTGTCCCATCGGCTTTTGCTCCAGTCACTCTCCGATACCATGTCGGAGAAGGAAGATCGCCCTCCGACACTCTTTCCGTGGTCGTCACTTGCAGGTACCGAGCAAATGGAGTTTCCTGCGCCAAAATGCGAGCACATTATCTTCTTGCAACAGCATCCTGTGACAGTCGATGATACTGTTGCAGATCGGCTGCTCTTGGAGCGGATCGAGAGGGAACTAAGGTATCCCACGGGAGCACCTATTCCAAAGCCCCCTCTTATGAAAATGTCTGCCGTGATCTTCTCTCCGGATTGTGGATATATCCTCGAAACAAAGGGCGCACCCGAATTTCCGCCCTCGGATGCGCTGTATTTATGCGGGCCAAAGTACGAGGAATACAGTAAATATGCTTCTCGCCTCGTTTTTGTCGTGTCCGGGGTCTTTGTCGCACAAATCAGTCTGCTGCTACGTCAGATCAAAGAAGCATCGACACCTTCCACACGAAGCCGGGTTAGCTTTTATACCATTGCATTAATGGCGTTTGGAGATGCTTTCATTCTCACATTCATCCTCTGGGAGCTCTATGCAGCTGTTTCCTACTTGGTTTTGGCAACAGCTTGCTTCTTGGTCTTCCTCTCTGTCAGTTACATCGGGATGAAGTTCATGATGGAGATCTGGGCTGTCCAGGAGCCGGAGCGCCGTGAAGAAGATCGACCATCCAATCCACCGGCCCCTACAACACGCCCTGGAACTCTTCCACCTCCTGCGACTGCCGCGGTGCGGGACTCCAGTGCAACACCCATCATATTGACGCCGGACCAAGACCCCACTGACGATGATATGGAACCGGAGCCGGCGCCTGCCAATCGAACCACTCCGCCTTCACCTAGACAGATGCGTGCAGATGTGGGTGCTATGTATGCCCGATTCTATCTCGCGTTGTTTGGGATGCTCATTCTGTCGATTTGGGCTTTCCTTCTACCCAGGCGTCTAGGGGATATTTATGCCCGGCTTTTGGCATCGGTCTACCTCTCATTCTGGGTCCCGCAAATTTACCGCAACGTGATGCGTAATTGCCGTAAGGCTCTGCGATGGGATTTCGTTGTCGGTCAGAGTATTCTCCGCCTGTTCCCTTTCCTCTACTTCCTCACGGCTAGTGAAAATGTGCTTTTTATCCGGCCTGACTGGACCACCGCATTTTCGATGGCTGGATGGATGTGGATTCAAGCTTGGGTGCTTGCTAGTCAAGACATCCTGGGCCCGCGCTTCTTTGTTCCACGGGGATGGGCGCCACCCGCATATGATTACCATCCAATCTTGCGAGATCATGCTAGTCCCGATGATGATCTCGAGGCAGGCGGCGTTCTGTCTATCGAATCACTTCGAGCTGACAAGCAGGATCTGGTCGATGCCAAGGATGAGGATAAGCAACGATCCAAGGATCGCAAGCGGGTGATGTTCGACTGTGCCATTTGCATGCAGGATATCGAGGTCCCCGTGCTTCCCGCGCTTACTTCTGCCGGCGGAAGTAGCGTGACTGACGGGGCTACGAGCCTCTTGAGTCGTCGCGCATACATGGTAACTCCTTGTCGACATATCTTCCACACTGCCTGCTTGGAGAGTTGGATGAGGCTCCGTCTGCAGTGTCCGATTTGCCGTGAATCCATTCCCCCTGTGTAGAACTCAGTCGATATCATTAAATGTCGATACCCCTTCCTGAATATGTACCATAGGCAATAAACTGAACGAATTTTATGCCATGTCAGTCCAACCAAACTCCATTCCTCACTCTGTATTGCATAACGACCAAGGTTCCCATGCAATTCAGTCTCATGACGTCGCCAGACTGCACCTCTGTTGCTTGCTCGAAACTTCGGGCGAACACTGGAGAATTGATACTGACAAGGTGGTGTGAGACATGAGGATATTCCCTTTCGAGTTGGTTTCACACCAGTTCAAGCTCTCTGTATACTGCATCTTCCGCCCTATACCTTGTCGGAGTTAGGGAGGTACAATTTTAGGTAGGAATAGTCAGGACTGGCTTTCGCTTGCTCCGCGCGGTCCGTGCCGGCATCAGCCCAAGGCTTGTCAGGTGCCCCGAGGAGTTCGCCCGATTTGCGTTCGGCTAAGCACTTCTGCTCTTCAACCCCATGTTTCGCCACTCGTTTCTGCAGCTTAGCTCCTCGTTCTCGTACGGAGCGGCACTCGGCTCGCATGGAAAATCGGAGCGACTGCGCCACGCCACACTCATTGCGGTGCTGGACTGGTGAGGGTTCTCCCGGAAGCTCGGGGAGAGTTACTCGCTATCGAGCTAACTTGTCGATCTGCATCAATTCCTGATATTGGTCTATGCCGCCAAGGCGCGCATGTCTCAGAGCCTTTCGAGAGCATGGGCATGCAAACCGGATATTTCTCAGATATAAAATACACGATGTTACCTACCCAATGCTTCTATCTCCATCAATATCCTCAACGAATTCTATATAATAGCACAGCGTCTTCTTCTCATCTTTCTCAGTATAAGACAAAGCCTATCTCCGCACACCTTCCGCTACCATGAAGACTATCGCCATCGTGTCTTCCCTGCTGCTCCTTGGAGCGGCTGCTGCCCAGGAGATTCAGTCGAAGCCCTTCCACCTCGTTCTCCAGTCTGCCAACAATACATACAATGGCCAGAAGCTCGCCGCCTGTCACTCCGGTGCCGCCATTGAGTCGCTCTGTCTGGCCGGCAACACCGGCTCTGAGATCTACCTCAACACCACGAAGGACAGTCTCCCATCAAGGGCATGAAGCCTTCCGGAACACTCGTTTGGAACCTGCCCATTGGCGGAGATGGTACGTATTGTTCATGACGTTTCTGCTAGAAGCATTATCTCTAACACTTGCGATAGAGTCTTTTGTTGAGTCTGAGCCCATGAGCTTCTATGTCGACCCGTCTACCAACCTGGCCATGCCCATGTTCCAGCCTTCTTATGACCAGCAACAGGTTATGTTCGACAAGGAGGATCTGATGGGAATCTACAGCTACCTTGGCGACACCATCACTCCTCCCACGGATGACAAGGTCAGGGTTCTGAAGAACTGGTACCTTTGCGAGACCAATTATTCCGCCTATACCTACCGCACCTTGGCCTGGGTTCTGGGTAACGGCAAGGCCAAGCCTCAGAACCCCAGCTGCGTCAAGGTCCAGGTACATCGCAGGTTTGTCCAGTAATTGCGCTGAGCCGGAGTTGACTAGTGAGAGGGGGGTAATAACGGTGCATCGCCAGGTTACTTTGAGGATATCATGGCATGTTGGGCCGAGATGACTGTATATGATTCCTACAACACAATATTGCATTAATATGACATACTATTCGCATTTGCATCATCATACTATTGATCTGAATTGACCAAGAAATATCCAGAGCCAAATTAGTCTAATTCTATACAAGCTAGAAAGCACGAACGTGAGCCCTATCAAGCAAAGCTCACCTAGGTAATCCCAACTGGCATTCTAGTGTTGCATGCTCAGAATTATAGTACATCTATTCAAATTCCTAATCTAGTAGTATCGTGGTTGAATTAGTCTGAATGAGTTCGTTCCATTCCACTGAGCTTTTTGCGATCAATTGATGTCAGGTGCAAGAATCAAACAGGATGGTCGAGAATTCTGGCTGATTCTATACCTTGTATAAACCACCAACGGCGCACTCGCAGTCTAGTCTAGGTTGTTGTAACTTTTGGATCGCTGAACGCAGGGCAGAGCCGTGGAGGGCCCAGCCCATTTCTATGCATTTTTGTTGAAAACATCTCTCTGTTAGGTCCGATATAATATCACAGGGCAGCGTTAGAAATTAAAAATAACGAGCATCCGCTTATCAAGACGAGTCGTCCTGTCTCTAAATCCAATATAACATATATCATCTACCAAGACTTTGTATTTAAGCATCAATGGTCTCCTTGTAGGCAGCCTCGTCCAGCAGCGACTCGAGCTCGGCCGGGTCAGCGACCTCGATCTCAGCAATCCAGCCCTCGCCCTCGGGGCTGGCGTTGATGGTCTTGGCGTTGTCCTCCAGAACGGCGTTGCCGCGAATGACCTTTCCGGCGACTGGGGAGAGCACATCGGAGGCGGACTTGACGGACTCGACAGCACCAACGGGCTCGCCAGCACCAACCTCAAGCTCCGCCTCAGGGAGCTCGACGAAGACGACGTCACCCAGGGAGTTGGCGGCGTACGCGGTGATACCAATCTTGGCTGTAGGAGTGTTCATGGTCAGCGACGCTGTCGGGCTGGTTTACATGTCGGCAACGGGCCCGAATTCCCTGATATTAAGAATTGCCCGGGATATGTGATAACTCACCAGTCTTGCTGCCATCGGCGAGCTCAATCCATTCGTGCGACTCGGTGAACTTCTTCAACTGAGCTGTGGTTTCCAATGATGACGTCGTTAGTAACTAATCGCCGCAACAACCTCTGAGGAAGCTCAATTAAGCCATCGCAACACGGGCGCATGCCCAATTCCACCTTGCGATGTCTCCGAGGACCCCTTTGGCCAGGTTGGAGGGCAAGATCACTCACACAGAGGGCTCTGGGAGAAGCCCCGGGTTCCCCGCGGGAAGCGGAAAGCAGGCGCAGTGCAGCAAGCAGGGGAGGAAGGCTTCTGGGCAAGAGCCCGGCAAGCAAAGGGGCGGATAGTGCGAGCAATGGAGGCCATTGTGTAAGATATGTGAAGAGGATTGAAGAGTTGAGAGGTGGAGGGGAGAAGTTGAGAGTTTAAGAAGGGAAGAGCACGGCGGGTCATGGTTCCCCGGCGGAGTTGCTGCGCCGATAAGAGTTGGTGCCAAGACTTCGCGATAAGCTCCGACCTCGATTGTTGGATTTTGCGTCGTCACGCTTGGACTCTTTCGTCAAGTCAATATCGGGCCTCACACCCCACCCGCCGATGAAATGTTGTACGAGCTGATTGCTATTGTATGTTCCCGACCCTTTCGGAATCATTGACCGTGACTTGGGACGGATTACTGACGTGCGCGCTTCTCCTGACAGGTCCGCCCGGGCAGCCTCAACGAGGTTCGCGAGTATGTGACAAGATGAAACCACCTATATGCCTAATATGCCATCTAACTCAGCTGCCTTACAGAATTGCCCGTAATGCCGGTGCCCAGGTCATCCGTTCCGGAGGTGTCGTCCGCGGATACACCAACTGGGGCGTCTTCCGTCTGCCCAAGGTCACCACCAAGCACCAGGCTCGCTACAGCGAGGGCCACCATTTCATCATGCGATTCGACTCCTCCGGTCCCGTCCAGACTTCTATCCGCCGCACCCTCGGTCTCGATCCCCGTATGATCAACTTCTCCGTCGTCAAGCTGGGCGACAAGCTCGAGGAAATTAAGGATGTCGAGGGCCACGTTCAATGGAACAAAATCCGGAATATCGTCGATTCCCTTCCGCCGGCATCGAACTGAAGAAGAAGAATTATTCGACTAGGCTGTTGTCATCATATTTTTGGGAATCGGGGCTGATCTTTAGCATTATATTGTTTCGTTTTTTTTTCTTTCTTGTATCATTATGGCATGGGAAATTGGGCATGACCACCCAGCACTGTCAGCACGACCGGCGCAACTTGTATCAAACTACAATACCAATCTACGTTCACCCGCTCAACCTTAGTTTCCGAATTTGATAATGCCTCGCCTCTGACTTGTCCAATGGAAAGGGGGTAGCCACGTGACTCCCCCGCGGATACCGAGGTTCCCCAGTTCCCCGTTCCTGCCCCATGTTTTCAAAGTCCATACTTTTTCGTCGCTAGCGACTCTTCAAAAGCGTGAATGAATTCCGACTTGGGTACTTCGTCCAGCTTGCAACATGTCATCCCCGCGCGAACCGTCAGACCTTGATCCGGATGAGCTAACTTCCCCGCTGTCATTCGTGGAGTTGATGGGCTTGGAACGACTGGAGGACGCGACGGAGTCCCACGCGAGTACTCTTGAGCCAGAAAAATTTGAGAGGTTCCGCTCGTTAGCAGCCCCTTTTCCTCCGGGCGAGGGAACGCGTTCATTCGGAGGACATGTGTATGCCCAGTCCGCATACGCGGCTTCGAAGACTGTTGGGAAAGGCTTTGTGATTCATGTAAGTATCACTCCTTCTGGTTGGAATCCGAGAGGCTCGTAGAACTGATTCCGGGCGTAGGATATGACCGGTACTTTTATACTGGCTGGCCGGCTTGATATCCCGTATATATACACTGTCCGGCATGTTCGAGATGGCTTCGTGTACTGTACAAGGACAGTTGATGCCCGGCAGGATGGTAAAATCATGTTCTCTTGCCTCTGCTCGTTTAAGCGCGATGAGAATCAGCGAACATTTCATCATCAACCTCTCCCTGTCCAGGAGAGGTTTCAATCGGTGCTGGCGGGGAAACGACCTGAGGATCAGCCCGTCAGCCCTAGTGTTGATGCGGACTGGTGGATTGACACTGTCCAACAAGGGAATATCGTTGAGCGCGAGTTTCCCGGTCTTGATGTTCGGAAAATAGACATGAAGGACTATAACAAGACTCGGTCTATCCAAGAGCGACCCGAGAGCTATCGTCAGTTGACCCAGTACCGTTTGAAGGGACTACCGGAAGAAGACCCGAAAGCAACACTCGCTCAGATTAAAGAGAGGCACCTGACCGGGGAGTATGATAATCTATATGCTTGTGCGCATATGTACTCCAGTGATAAGAACTCTCTCCTTTTGATCCCACGTTCACTTGGTATCAAGCACTGGGCAGAAATGGCGAGCCTTACCTTGACGGTCATCATTCACCAGCATAGCGAGGCATTGAGAATGATTGATTGGGATGAGACATCTAGCCAGGACTCCAGCCCCTCTATGAGATGGTTTATACAGGAGGGTTGGACACCCCAATCGGCAGAGAACAGAGCTGTGCATGAAAGTCATCTTTGGGCTCCAGACGGCACGCTGATTGCGACTTCAATACAGGACAGCATGCTCCGGCTGCGAAAACTTGGTCGCTCCGGGAATTTGTGAGTTGCTCTTTTGTATATATTTGGCAGCTTGCCTCATTCGTATAGATTTAGATTCAGATTCGGTTTTTATAGACAGAAATCCCTCATAATTGGGAGCATGGACATTGTGTTTGTTCGATTTCGTCACGTTTATACCGTTGCAGTATTGCTAGGATCTCGACCGTCTAGTGATGGAAATATATTATTGCACACGTTGCACCAGTATGTACTTCCATGCTGCTTCTACGACGGGTGCTCAAATATGGGACGAATGCAATTGTAGCTTTGGATCGCATCCACGCATCAGAATTTTCACACACAAATTGATGAAAAATAGGAATGAGAGCGAGCACCTCGAGATTACAAGAAAATAGGTCAAAAAATGGCAAAAAAAGTTATGACAAGAGTGGGATTCGAACCCACGCCCCCTTGCGGAGATCAGGAAATTGATGTTAAGGTAGACCTTAACCTGACGCCTTGGACCAACTCGGCCATCTTGCCAGTGCTTATTAATTTTCGGATTTTGTGCCATAGAATTCACTATGAAATTGTTATGAAGCTGATCAGTACAAGGAGCAATCGAACGCCCGAATCTACTACAGGCCAGCAACAAAGATGTGTACTGTAATATCACTTTTCTCCGCGTCCTGCTTGGTATTGAAAAATCTCTTTATTCCCATATGAATCCATCTCCTCAGGGCCCTTATCACTAACTAGCTTGGCGACCCCAGCCACCACTAGAAAGCACCATTTGTCGCACATTTGGGCATGGTTTCAATCACATTCTCAACCACCCGTCCGGCACTCCTCGCCAAGCTGTTGCTGGAACAGCTTCCGGGCTCTGGTACTTTTATGGGTGTTAACATGTTGGTAATGAGCATTGTTTTTGATTGAACGCAACCCATTTTCAATGGGGTTCAAACCAGGCGAATAAGGTTGGTTATCCGCTCCTTCGATCCTTCCTGGACCTTCTAGTTCCGCCCGCCTACATCGTCTCACAAGTTGTGAATGGGTTTTTGATTCACACGTACCGCGCGATACGTGAATGAATTACGGACACTGGAAGGCAAGAATTGAGAAAAAGGACAACCAACATCATTCGCCTGATTTTAACACTATTTATAATGCGTGGGTTTCAATCAGATGCAATGTCTATGGCCTACAATGACCTACACTGCGACAAAAAGTTACCCGAAAGACCTTGTCAAGTCATGGATTGGACCGGTTTGACAGGGCCATGCCACTATATAGGCACGTCCTACTAAAGGAGCACACATATATAAAATTTCTGGAAACCTTCCCTGGTTGATTTGTACCAGTATTATCACAAATTTCCTGTGGCCAAAGCGCATCATATAAATGCATCTGAGACTCGAAGGCCATACTTGCCCCAGTAGGATAGTTTGAGCGGGATATACCCGGGTCACGTGCCGACATGACGTTACTATCGATAAGCAGTTAGCCATTCTGGGCGTGATTTCCAAATTAGAACGGCTCTCCTCACATGATCCAATTTTCTCCCCATCTTCCGTGCATCTCATCAAGCAGAGCGCACCCTCTTGCTCTCTGAGGCAATAGTGCCTTTCGCAGGCTTCATGGTTCATCATGGCCGGCGGCAAACCCCCCTCTGGAGCGCAAGACACTGCTATTTGTTTTCATCCATGGTTTCAAGGTACGGCTGCCAATGTACATTCCGCAGATGCTGAATGCTCTTTGCATATTCCATTCGAGGAAAGAGCCGTGGGAATACCATGACTTGAAATCGCTAACGATTGAATTATTTGGAGTTAGGGTGATGATGATACATTTGCTAGGTTTCCTGGAGACCTTCGCACGCTTCTCACATCTAGAGTCTCTGGTCTCGATGTGAAGCTGGCAATTTACCCAAAGTATGAGACCAAAGGGGATCTCAAGGAATGCGTCGCAAGACTCAGAGATTGGTAAGTATCGCTTTTCTCTTCATCAAACGTTCTGGGTCTTACACATTTTGCAGGCTACAGAACACGGTGATTGACATTGAGGTCGAAAATGGAACTCCATCGCCGACGGTTGACCCATCTGTTCATGTCTTCCTTATTGGACACTCTATGGGAGGCATACTCGCTGCCGAAGCGCTGCTGCTATTAGCCAATGAGCAACCCATTCGCCGAAAGACGGACGAGAAAGGGGAGCCAGAAGAACCGTCCATCGTCGAGCCTGGCACCTTTATGTTTCCTCATATACAAGGAGTACTTGCCTTCGACACCCCATTTCTGGGGATCGCACCCGGCGTGGTCTCATATGGAGCTGAAGAGCAATATCGCAATGCCACCACCGCTTACAATGCGTTCAATGAAGTTGCAGGGATATTTGGCTACGGGAAGAACGCTGGATCTGCAAAAGCATCCAATGCTGCCGACGCAGGCCCCGCAGCTGATACGGCAAAGACTCTTCCTCCTACCGCGGATGCTGCCGCAGCTCCTGCCTGGCAACGATGGGGAAAGTATGCCATGTATGCCGGTGCCGCCGGTGCCGTCGCCGCTGGAGGTGCGGCAGCCTTGTATTCTCAGCGACAGAACCTGTCCGCGGGCGTGAACTGGGTATCGTCGCATCTGGAGTTCGTGGGTTGTCTTGCGCGGCAATCTGATTTGCGACAGCGCCTCGAAGGGTTGAATAGAGTAGAGAGGGACCGAGACATTCGATGCGTCAACTTCTTCACCTGCCTTGGAGACGGTGCCTCCTCACTTGTGCAGAATGCACAGCCGGGTAAGACCTCATTCAGTCAAAAAATCATCCGATCAAATCACAGAACCTTCTGTACGCTCCCACCGGAGGTTGAGCATGGCGAGCAGAATGAACAAACGCGCCAGCCTGGGCTGTACTGGTCCAAAGCCACCAACAATCGGGCTTCAGATGAGATCAAGGCCCATGTCACCATGTTTCTCGCTAAAGACAACCCTGCCTACCTGACACTGGTTCGCGACGCAGGAAAAGCCATCATTGGGATGATTGATGAGGGCTGGCGATGCTCTAGATCGGGGCATGTCGATGGGGATCAGGGCACTGGCCAGCAGTCTGCGGGTGATGAATCCACGGACAGCGACATTGTGGTCATCGAGTGAAGGATTGACAGAATATACTTCCAGCCTGACCGTTAAGAGCGTTTGCAAAATGCAAAATTTTCCACCCTCTCCACACTAGTGATTTTCCTAACCTTGAAAATGTTCCGTGGAAAGATTGGAAGGTTCTTCTCCACGCTGCCAACCCCTGATCGGCACGCTCGATTTGCGATTTAGACTTTCGACCGCGTGTACCGCAATGTACGGAGTACAACCGCACGTCCTCGCTTCCGATGACAGCCCGAGAGGACTCGGCACAAAGTCAACCACCCCCCGGTAGAACTATCTAGTAAAAACCCTCGCCGGCGGGGCGCTTTGCCAACCCTCCCCCCAGTCCGCATGCATGTTCACCCGCTCCAGCGTCAGCGCCCCCTTTCCCATCGAGGAAACCAAGCCCGGAAGCCAAACTGGGCAGGGACATCAAAACGAAGGTGGACCTTAGCAGCCTTGATCGTTGCACTTGTTTCAGCCTCTGGATGCGTCGATCCTTCGAGCCGTGCGAGCGCGCGATTCCTTCACAGTGCCGCGATGCCGGATTGTTGCGTCAAGGGCAGTTACGCCGATCGAATGGAGAATAGACCCTAGATTGCTTTTCGATGCCATAGGCGATGTCTCAGTTGACGAATGCCGTGCAGCGGACACGTACCTCCCAGCAGGATTTGAGAGGGCCAGCTCGGCCGACTTGCCATGGACGAGCAACCCCGAGGGCTCGAGACTGGGTGTTTTTGCCGCAAATGATCCCGGGGAGGGGGGGGTGGGTGCGTTCAAGCCGCAGGGACGGGGCAGACCCCCCTCCCCCCCTCCCCTCTGATAATCAGCTCGAGTAGTAGTATTAGAAACAACGGCCGAGAGAATTGATGTCCAAACGACTATTATTGAATTGAACAAAGTACATACATACACAATGAAGAATCGCTGATAATGCTATTAATAATGAGGAGACGTAGCCGAAAGATCGACAGCCGGATCGGGATTTGGTTTGTCCCCATTTCGATCGCTCGGATATTGAGAAAGCACCGGCCATGATGGTGAGTTTATCATGTCATGCTGTTTCACATGCAAAAGAAGCCCATCTGATGCTGCGCCAAGGCCCCCTAAAAGTAAACTAGATGTAACAGAGAAGAGGCAAGAGTATCATCAAAGCAATGGTCACATATACAGAACTCGAACGCGAAACGACTAGTAATTGTGTTGGCCGTAAGTTGATTGCCGTTGGTGATACATGCTGCCCGCATATTCCGAGTTGTTGTCGTGGTAAACGGTCTGTCGGCGATCCTCTTCCGGAAGAAGCTCTTTGACTTCCCAGGTGTTGGGCTTCACCCCGACGGAGAATTCCAAATCCTCCTTGGTGATCGAATCCCAGAACTAGTAATTCTATTAGTACCTCGAACCTAGGCACCGCCACGGAGTTACGTTGACTTACCTTGTAGACCATCATCACCGCGAGCAGGTTGCAGAAGGTAGCGAAGAAGACACCATCCAGATAGTGCTGCACGTTGTTGCAGATGGTATCACTAAAGGCATAGAGAAGCACCTGACCGATGATGAAGACCAACACGCCAAAGCAGATGTGACCTAGGGGCCAGCGCTCATCCAGAGTATTCACAACCAGCAGGAGTTGCATGACGACATAGACAGCGACCGAGATAGCATTGAGAAGATAGAGCACCACAAACAGTCCGACCGTGTTCTCCGGCCCCAGTCCACCCCATGACTTGAAAGTCAGCAGGGAGATCACGAATGTCATAGCAAACATGATCGCCGAGGTGATTCGAATCAGCCAAACCGAAAGAGCCGTGCCATCCTCGTACAGCTGAAAGCCCACGAAGCCGTTGACCAGCAAACAGGTGCACAGAGCTGATATCAAACCGCTTTGAACTGCCACGAAGTAGGGAAATGGGCCAGATCGCGGAGGAACAACGCCTGCGTCGATAATGAGTGAGCAGATAGTGAGAGCTAGGAAGATGTAGAAGAAGGTGATGATCTCCTTGCGGCCTGTAAGTATAGAGTACCGAGTGGTTAGCGGATGTTTTCTTTTCAAACTTTTGATTCAACTTTCCACCGGGTGAGACGAACCGACAGCAGTGAACTTCGATCTGATATGTAGGATCATAATTACGGTCATAGCCAGTGCAATGATGTGCATGAACGAGGCGGCACCTTCGAAGATGATAGTATTGGCGACCTCAATGTTCCGCGCATAGCAGTTCGAGATGATCCCGGTGGACCCGGAAATGGACGACGGCGGGCCCACGAGGGAGCACAAAGGCAGCGGCACCTTTTCGCATATCGAATCGAAGTCGCCGAACCCCATGATGCCTGATGGTGATGTCGTTGAGCGGTGCGACAACAAACAGTGGGATTTCCCGTTGTGGTGGGCGGTCACAAAGCGAAAGGATGGGCGGCTGTCTCCACAACGACGGAGGGTGGAACGGTGGGGAGAGCGAGTGACGATGAGCGAGGGGCTCGAACTGGACGACCTGGAATGGGTTTCTCTCTTCCTCCCCGAACGAGCCGACTTCTGCGGTCAGTATTTTGAGCGAACGTGGTGACCAAGGCAGGGTCACTTGGTGGTCGTTGTGCATAACCAGACTCTCAATCAGCGAGGGGGCAAAGGGTCACGGGGTCGTCCAGCGGCCGGCGCTGTTTTTCCGTTCCCATTTTGGGTTTAGCCTCACATCGCAAGTCCCTTCCCCGGCTGCTGAGTCAACTAGCCACGTGATTCGGCTCCGAGCTCGGCCCGGACGATCAGCAACCGCCCACCGAGTACCATCCCACTGCGACTTTGCACGCTTTGCACCCCGACGACATAGTCGACATACTCGGATGCAGAGCCAATACTGCCCACTGGGGTGGTCTTTACCTCGGGAGTGCAGTACCTCGGCGCCGTTTGTTCTGACCGAAGGTGTGTGACCTGAGGCGGTACCCGAGGCGGAGCTACCGGCAAGTTACTTGGGACTATCTTTTTTTCTGCTGGCTCCACAATCCGATAAACTTGGGGCTTGGGACCAGAATCGCGCCGCCCCGTATCGTGCCCCGGTGCGCGCCATTGGAGCTAAACAGCCCGCGGCACCACTCGAGACAAAGACAATGGGACCACCTGCTCGTGGGCCCCGAGGCTTCTGTGGTCCCCTTCACAGGAAGATTTCGGCATGTGGATAATCCTGCGCTCAAACGTTACTGGCATGTCGCACCATCTCGTGTTGGCTCGTTTACTCGAACTTTCGATGCCCCATCCCGATGCCCATCGTGTGTTTCCTAGCGCATGAGTTGACACGTTGAAGATCCCAGCCACTGGTTAGACAAGCATCCACTTCGGCTCCAACCTCCACGACGCAACCCCAATGGTTGACGGGTCCCATCCGAACACCGAAACCCTTTCGAGTGCCGGGGGCTTTTTCGTCACGCAGTGGACCTGCCACGAAGAAACGGCCTGGTGACCAACCCCACCCAGGAAGGCGAAGGACAAGAAGGAAGAAAAAATCCCACGAGCTTCATCAGCGAGTTCAAAGACAGGATCCCCAGTGGAGAAAATTAGAATGGAGCACTTTTCTTTCCGATCTGGAGACTGGAGAGTGCCGAACAAAGCTCAAACCTGGCAAACTTTGTTTGATTCGTGGAGTCGCAGACGCGGCACAGACAAGACTTTGCCATACACAGAGATCGAAGGCCGAATTTAGTCCTGCGCCCATCAACGCTACTACCCTGAACGACCCTAATTGTCACTTGGAACGTCTGCAGTTTCTCGTCCCCCCTCCCTGCCAACATCAATTTTTTCTGCGTACCGAGTACAGGTACCATTGGTACTTTTGAATGGCTCTTTTTTTTTTTTTTTTTTTTTTTTAATTGAGTGGTCCATGACTCGAACTGACCACGTAGTACTTTTCCTAATTTTTTTTCCTCCTTCCCATTCCCCCGGCTCCCCTGCCGGCCCAAGTGTTAATCCATGTTGCAATGATGCCATTATTATAGGACCCATCATCGGATAACACCTAGCACCATCGGAAGGGTTTCAAGGTGGGACAGAGGCTGAGGTCGAAGATCCAGTTTTCATTTTTCATTTATTTTCCACCATTTTTTGGGGCCACCCTCCATCTTCCGCTTCCGTCTATAACGGTTAGTGTTTGGTTGGAGCCTGCTGTCTGTCCCGAATGCCCAACGCGTCGTGTCCCCAGCCAGGTTGCCCAGCCCCGGTGGGCATTGTTACAATGAATTGTCACAGGACAAGGCAGACGAGCATCGGCTGCTCGTCTGACGTCTCCATTGTACCCATTGTATAGGGACTGAGAGAGCAAAGGGCGGATTGTGCAATTAACCTCCGACGGACAAACTCCCCGTGGTGACAGCTCCCGGCGACGTAGTGTTTCCTGCATAAGCAACCTGACTAGCGCCACGTGTGGGTGGAAGAAGCATCAACGGCTGCGAGGAACCGATGTCGATCTCCCATCTACCCGATGGACAAGATACGGCAGTGATGGGGTTTCGTCATCGGAAGGGGGATGGTCAGGGAAGGGGCTGATCCCTGATAATCTTGGAATAATTTCCGCCTTTGTGCCCGTTCTCAACGGTCATCCAGAGATTCAAGGCAATTTTTGGGAATTGATTTTTTTGATTCGTTTTCTTTGATTTCCTTCCTGCAGGACCCGCTCATTGACAAGGGTTATCTTTTAGGGGTGTGTTGACAGGGGTGGTGGAGGGTGGGGGCCCAGAAAAAGCTACTGTGCAGAATTTACTACGTACTGTAGATACTGCCTCTTACCAGCAAAGATCAGATGTGGAATTATGGAGTAAATTTCGTCTCAGACATCGTTTGTGATTGACGACACTGTGTGTCCCCAGTCCCTTTTTCTTTCCTCGCCTTCCCACCTGAGGTGGTTAACATCCGCATTCTTCGTTCTCTTTCTTTTTTTTACAGCTGTCGGACATTCCCCCTCCGCCGCCACGCCTCTTAAGTCCACCATTACGTCCAATATCGGTCGAGGCCTGCCGTGGTACTTCATTGCCCTTCCATCGTCTTTTCATTCCTCTGGAATGAGTAACCTGATCTGACGGTTTACCCTCTCGCCCATCTCGCTCCTACCCTCGATGGGATCAAAATGTGCAACTACTTCAAAAACTACTATATCTATAGCGGATGCCAGAACCCCGCCGCCCATTTCATCCGAACCTCCTTGGACGGCTGCAAAGACGGCCACTGCCCCGAAAGTCCACACGACCGATTTATCGTGGTCGTAGGAAAATGCCTCCTCTGCTGCACCACACGATGAACCATTTTTTTCAAAAAAAAAAAAAAAAAGTGAACACTCGTGAAGACGACTCCAACGAAAAGCATTTTTTTTTGTTGACCCAATTTTTCGCGTCATTTGCCTTTTTATTATCAATCGGGCGTTTGACCTCCACTTCTCCATTTTCTGTGCCCGGCCCGCCGTTCCATTTACGAACAATCACCAGGAGGAACTATGATTCGGCCACAGCCGACTCTCTTCAAGCAATCCACCAAGACCCGCGCTGCCGATCCGACAATGGGCTCGTTCAATTTGGAATCGATTATTCGTCAGCGTGGCCCTGATCGACCTTTTTTTTTTTAATATATTTATATTTTAATATTTTTTCTAGCGGGTGTGCTGGGATTGTTTAGGTGTGCTTTTGGGGCGGAGGGGGGGCACCCATTTTAAACTTTGTGCCCTGGAGGATTTCTACATTCGCCGATACTCCGGAAGTATTGGCATTACACATGCCCCTGGTCTTTGATTGTGTTCCGAGCGTCGGGAGTTGGGAGCACCATGGCCCTGTGTCTTTCTATTTTTTTGGCTGTCGAGTCATCTTGTTGGTCTCTGCTGTCTCTGCTGTTTGAGTTGACTCTTTTCATTTTTGGCGTTTAATGGGGCTGTGAGCGCGCTAGACATACTTTGCTGGTTTTCGGGCCCTGGTACCAATACCACGGAATGAGTTATTGTTTTTATATTTTTCTGGAAACCATGCCCTGCGTGTGTATCTACCATCTGCATTCTCTTGGCACCTTCGGGGCCCCCTTTTGTACGATTACGACCTCACTTGCATGACGTTATTTGTATTCCCGTCATTGTTTTGTCCCAACCTCTCCGATGCCGCATCGTCACATGCGATCTATGACCAGCACACCATACAAACGAGGGGTTTGACGGGCTCTCGGACCCGAATACCCACCACGAGGGAAGCGCGCCGTTATGAAGTGTCGATTAAGGCCTGGGTCTAGGGGGTGTGTGCCGCACGGACAACGTGGTTCTACTCTTCCCCCATGGAATCCCGTTATCCAGCTGTGCAGAGCGGCCAAGAGGTGGGAGGGGGACGGGGCCCAGCACAGTAGCATGATGACAGCCCTATCTTCGGCAAAAAAAAAAAAAAAAAAAAAAGGTTCGCCTGTCCAGTCCGCATCTCCATGCTGAGCAAGGTCGGTCCCCAATCTGGAGAAGGAGAAGAAGTAGGCCGCAGAGGAGGAGTTTCCCCGGCCAAAGTCCGTGCTTCAGTAGCGATGGCGCGCGCATTGCAGTTGTGGAGTAAAGAGGGGCGGGGGAGGGTGCATTGTATCTCTGTGGCCTTTTTTTCTTGTTCTTTTCTTGTTCCTCTCTTGTTGAAAGATAACTGCGCTGATCCTAGCAGACAAAGAAATTGGAGTGAGAGAAATAAAATGGGAAAAATCCCAGCCGAAATTTTAGAAAAAGACAAATTAAATTAAGACCAGGGAATGCCTCGAGCCACGTCCGAATCGCTGGGAATCCACGCAATCACCGTGCGCTTCGGAACCGACTCGTTGAAACGAAGCTTCACTGTGGTGCGCCCCCTACAGGGATAATTCGTTCTCGTCGATTGTATCTGCTCGGAGGAATTGAGCCAGTTCGAAACCGTGCTTGAGTGCGGGCTCCGTCCGATAGTTGCTCCTTTGGTGGATCCTGGAGGAATACTGGGGACGGAGTGGTTGACGGATAATGCGTCGAAGTCACCGGACCTCGTAACTGAGGGGACCCTCAGGCAGGGTAGGGTACATTAGGATACCCCTAAGGTACCCTAAGGGCCTCAGGTAGGGTAAGGTAGAAGTACACCGGCATAACTCGTAACTTTAATGCTGCCGGGCCGGCGTCGAGAGCCCTCCGCCGGCACAGTCGCCATGATGCAATCAGAGGGGCTGGGGATTTAAGGGGGGTGGAAGGGAAACCGATTTAGGCCAGAGACGGGCCAGGGTGGGCAACTTTAGGGCTTGGAGCATCCGAAGGGCCCGCGGCTGCGGATAGTAGATTGGCAAGGCCAGACAGCCAGCCAGGCCCGCTGGCCAAGGGCAAAAGGCAGAGAGCGGGCCAAAGGGGGCGCGGAGGGCTCTGGAAGAACACTAGACTAGTGTACGCTCGGTAGGTGCTCCGAGGCCCGTCCATGGTGGAGTGATCAAGTGCCGGATAGGGTGAGGCAATGTCTGGAACACTAACTCCCTCCCAGAATCCAGATGGCGCTAGACGCAGGCCTTAGCCTGGGAACGGTGCGCAGTCCGTTCGGACCGCGCTGCGCACACACATGCAGATTCTTGCTTCGATTATTTTCCGGAAGACGCGCTTTTATCTAGCTTCTTCTTCCGCATTAGGGGATACCATAAGGGACGCATCTACTCCATCCGCCAGCATGAAACTGCACCTCGGCGGGTCATGGCGCGGGAAACGAGTCTCGCATCAAGAAACCATGACGCCGGAGAGACTTGGATGAGAACGTGAGGATGGTTACTATGCCCAGAGGAGAAATTGTAGGAATGGCTCCAGTGGCTGGTCGGATTTGTGGGAATTGAGACTGCGTGCCGTGTCGGGCGCTCATTGGGACCTGAAGTAATACTAGGAGATACTACTAGGACTACCAGTCGAGTAGGTTGTTGATATGAATACTTTGGTCAGGGCCCCTGGTCTCGGGAGTAAAGTGCTGCCGGCAGAACCCTCGAGTACCGGCTAGGAACCGTGGAACGTAGTGACATGGCGTCCCGTACTAGGGTTCTTTTGCTGGTTTCTGAAGATTATCATAGACGGGGCAATGCCACCGTCTAGATCGGGTAATCTCCATGCACGCCGATCTTTCAATTGACAAGCCGCGCCCAGACAGCTGCAGGCCTGTTCGAATCCGAGCAGCTGTGCATGGAGCACGTACAATCGGTTGTATTGCCACACCCCGCGCCGACTGGCAAAAGTTCCTGCATGGACTCACGATCTCGACCCGCAGTGTATTCTGTACATCGGCGTTCTTTATCTCCGCCCCAACGGATCTGTTGAGGCTTTCACATGCCTCCCTGCGCACCCTCCCGCGGCCGTCATCACAGAGCAGACCCTCGCAATGACATGGCCTGACAAGGACAAGGACCTTGGTGGCGCGAGAAATGGGGCAATGTCGTGGAGGGGCTCGAGGCTGGAGGAGCCGGGTCGAGTATACTACACTGCGACCTATGAGAGGGAGGTCGAGAACTCCGTCCGCCCCTCTCATTTCAACGGTTGAGCCACGGACAGGGGCCTTCCTCCAGCTGCTAGTCTAGACCCGGCGGACGGAGCTTAGGTGTTCATCCGAAGCCGACAATTCGTGATAAGCAAATGAAATTGACAACGTGTTCATTTCCAGGTGGCTTGGCCTCGTTCGTGGCCCAACGAGGCGAGTTCACCATGTTCGACGGAGTTCTAGATATTCTTTCCCAGTACTGCGTCCGCCCCAATTATTCATCTAGACCATGCTTACTTCATTGTCCGATAATGGAAACTTTATCGCATGGGGAAATTCCAGATAGGATTAAGCTTAAGGCCGTGAGATCGGATGATGATGATGTCTGTGGTATTGGCATTGCTCACTTCCTTGAATTTCGGCCAGTACTTCTTTCGCTTTCATATGCAGACTCAGAAAGCAAACATCAAACCGTTGAACCTACCGAGGGGATTCCGCCAGGTAACTCCGTCGATAGCCAATTTCCTGGCACCTACCTAGGTAGGCCGTACCTAGGTAGGCCGTACCTAGGCATATCCAATGGAGGTATTTTTCTTGGCTTGACTCCCTATCCCATCGTATGACCCCCATGTGCAATTATCCATTCCATTTGAGTAAGTTGACTCCGTTCGACGCAATGAACAGGTCCGCGATGGGATCTTTAACCGCCCGGCCGATCCCAGCACACGGTCTGTGCGGAAATTGAGCTTTCGGGTGGAGAACCGAAGCCACACCCGCAATTCGAGGGGCAACTGGGGCAATTGGGGGGCCAGATGTACGGAGACCCAAGACTTGGTAACTCCAGTTGTAGATCAGGCACCGACAGCCGAAAACAGGAAAAGCAGGCCAGCGCGAATCGCACGCCGCACAAAGAAAAAAGCAGACTGATCGGCGCAGGATGAAGTTTGTAACCGTGGTACAATTCTAGGCCATGGCAGTTGACGCCAGCGGGCAACAACAAATCCCCTTCACGTGCCCTCGCCTTCGCCTGCACACGCGCATTATAATAGCCGAGCCGGCAAATCGCAAATCCCGGAGGAACTGGTTTTTCCTTCAATTCTTTTCCGATCGCGATTTGAAACTGCAGTATGGTATCAGAATGCGGCTAATCCCGCCAGATCTCCACTGATATGCCCGTCTGCCACAACAAATTACCAAAGTGCCAATATCAAAAAAAAACATGAAACGTTCATGCATGGAATGTTTGCCCTCCACAAGCGAGCCCGGGCATGCTCCGTGCCGATGATAGAAATGACCAGTGCAAGACGCTGGAGACTAACTCCAGAAAAGTCTTTGTCGGCCCCCGGAAAATGAGCCCAATCGATGACAGACTCCGGCAGTGCATGTTTGCGATAGGGGATCACCGGCTCTCAAACCGCGCCCCGACTCACTAGCCGACGTCACTGGTTGCAGTACCGAGTGAGATGCATTGTCGATCTATTTCCACTTGGCGTTTCACCTCCAGCCGGTGGGGGTGCGTTCATGCAGGGTTCTCGTCCAGGTTTGTTGCGCGTACAGCTTATATTTCCGGAACGGGATCTGATCGCACGACCTGGCCAAGTGGTTTGTTTGGACCGGACAGGCTCTCAGCTCTCAGTCTGCCGTGTGATGACGGCCGATATCACACGCCCAAGGCTGGTTGATGCAGGAAGATGTGGGGTGGAGCAACAGCACTATATTAGTTATTATGTTACAGGAATTGTTCCAGCCAATGTCTGGCTGTCAGTGAGGTCGTCTTAATTAACCGCCGCCGATCCACCTCAAAAGCGTACCTCTGGCCGGACTGCAATGCGCTTGGGCGAGTATCTTGGCGGCAGGGTAGTATAGCGAGGACAGGGCTTCCGTGATAACTTGGTTGGAAAAGAAAGTCCCGATAGGTCGCCGAGGCGAAGGCTCAAACTCGACGATGCGCGTTTGCGACCTGATGACGACGTCTCCGGCTCGTCAGTGGTCGAGGGCCGTGACAGGTGACCTGGTGGAGGCGGCGGTGTACAGGAGACGGTGATCAGACTGTGCAAGTAGTGGAATGACTCTTCTTCCACCAGTTGCGTGTCGGCGGCATTTCCGATGGTGGTGGATTGCGTGGTGGTCGTTGTCACGAGGGACCGTGAAGACGATCGCTTGGACCGCAACGTTGTAGTGGCAGACGATCGGCCGACACTTGCAGCGAGGGCGGCGAGCTGGCTGACCATGAAATCGGTGTCGCTGCAGCAGGGCACGTCTCGCTTTGGAGTGGCTGTTGGATGGGTGGAAGAGGGCGGAGGCATGTCGTTGGCCCATTCTGCCGCGGTGGTAGAATCCCGTTTCAACTGACAACGTCGGGCGATAAAGGTCCGAACGAGGGACCAGGGATTGCAGTCTCGATGAAATAGCGGAGACAGCATATTGATGGAGGGCAGTGCTACACTAAAGAATTGTAAATATCCAATGAGCAAAAGTCACGATATCTGGGGGTCTTCACATCCAACCTACCATATGTCCACAATTTGATATCTCACGGTATTCCACCTAAGACTGTAGCGCTAAAGGCGTATGTCAAACAATTAAACGCCGTGTTCTAGTTGAATTTATTCCGAATTCCTCGAAAATCCGCCTCAATCAGGACATTATATACTCCACTCAGCCCCCTAAATGTCATCCTCATTCTTATATTCGACACTTTCACGAAACCAAAACAAGGGTTCATTTTCATCCGCCCAGCCCAACAACCCTGGTAGTATGAATCCGAAAAAAGATAAAAAACTAAACCAAGTCCCCATTCAAATCCAACCAAGCCCCGAACACCGGGAAATTTCCAGGAACCCAGAACCGACCTTGGTACCACGATCAAATATCGCCTCAGACCACTAAATCGGGGAAATGCACACGGCAACCCACCTCAGCCTCCGACATCGACCTTGAAAAGCGAACGTGCCCTTTCCATCAATGCTGACTGCATCTGCATATGCAGGTGTCCCTCGCCGGAACAGAGAAGTTTATATTCTGCGAAAGGTCATATGCGCCCTGTCGCTCCGTTGACAAACGCGGTGCGCCACGGATCCCCGGCCGCGCTTGCGGCGATAGTTTTCGCGCCGTCATCGACCCGGCCCGTTTGTGGGTCATGGGGTTTGATGGGGCTTTGACAATTGGGATGGTTATGGGTGGGGTCAGGGCATTGGGGCTGGTTTGCAATTTGGCTGGGGTTTGAGATTGGGATATGTAGAGATCCGCTGCTGGGTCTAAGTGCCGATGCGGCTTGTGCTGCTCGAGTAGAAGTAAGCAAACGGGAGATACTAGATATTGGTATGAAAGGGGAAGGATATAGTGTAGTTCTCGAGATGATTGGTATTGGTAGTCAATGAGTTCAAAGTTTCCCGATCATATGACATCGGGTTGAATTCAGTAACCTTGCTTTAAAAAAAAAAAAAAAAAAAAAAAAAAAAAAAAAAAATAAACATATGGATTGGTATGCCTGTGTAATTCATAAGGTCATAGCGCATGCTTGTGCAACGCAAATGGCCGAACCCTGATCATGGCTGCTAAATCACTCGGCCTTGGGGTTGCGAACCATGCAGTAAAGCTGTCATGGCCACGAAGGGTCATTCGTTAGCAATGTCTCACAGCAGGACGAACCTAATCACGAACACGTACCATACAAGCATCATCCCCATCGCGACACTCCATCTCACTCTTCATTTCAAACCCAATCCGCTCGTAGATCTGCACATTCGGCACGTTTTTCGAGCTCTCCAGATAGCACTTGACCCCCTCTTCATCCGCACGCTTCGTAATCGTCTCGAAGAGGAGTTTCCCGATCCCCCTTCCCTGCGCCTCGGGGCTGACAGCCACGATATTGCAGAAATAGTATCCACGGGGGTCATCCCAGATCTGGGATTGTGCTTCTTGCTGGCGCTCCTTCCAGATCCAATATCGGTTCGTGCGTAGCCCGCCATGGCCGAGATATCGCACGTTGTTGAGAAACTGGCCGAAGGAAAGTACCCAGCCTTGGTACCACGCATACCAGCTCTCTGGCTGCGATGCGTCATGCGGTGCCATCCAACAGGAGACTCCGAGGATAGGGAATGACTCTGAAGAGTCCTTTTCCGCGGTCTCTTTGGCTACCTGGAAAATTGCGTTGTTGATGCCCCATCGGCAGCGAGCAGCGAGCGAGTCATGGTTTCGTTGCTTGTTGAACTGTGCAGGGCTCTCCCAGATCTCCGCAAGTCGATGTCCATGATCGACCGCGTCATGGGGAGACTCAATGTTAGCAAGGTAGGCTTGAGGGATACCTCTTAAAAGTTCTATCCGGAATGGAGGATTGTGCATACCGTCTCCGCATCGAACACCCACTTGAAATACGGATCGTCTGCGAAGGCCTGCTGGATGACTTGGATCGCACCGGGGATATCGGCCTCGGTCAAATCAACGATTTCGATCGCCATGATGGATCTGTTCTTGGACCAGTAGCGGATCAATCAAGTTGTGTCGATCTGGTTGGTGATTGAATCGGTATCGCAACCCCGCAGCATCAAAGCAGTGAGAAGCCGAGAGGTCAAAGTCGGTGAGAGCTCAGGGAACGAGTTTCAAGAGTCCACCTCTTTAGGTGTGATTGATCAACGTGACTATATCCTGAGTTCAGATTCAGGTCGCTCAAAACTTGCAAGACCTAATTGTTGGACTACTCACCGGAAAACTCCTCGATCTGGGCCGAATGAAGGAGTCTAGCACAAGGCCTTTGTCGTCAACCGGGAAATGTTGAACAGAGTGTTCAGGCGATGATTGGAAATTTCAAAGCTTCAGTCAAAGTGCGAGGTCGAGGTTGTTGACGAGGAATGAGGAGCAGGCAGCTGTTACTGGGAACTTGGGTCATGACAGTATGTGGGGATGCTCTAAACCGGGGAAGGCAGCTGGAAGCGGACCGCGCTGCTTTGTGATATCTTATCGCCGCCAAGAAGCCAACCTTGGGAAGCAGCGTGGGTGAGTTCGATGGTGTTACGGAGCAGCAAGGAAAATCGAAGGACCAACGCCTTTTCTAACATAATTTTAGGTGGCATGGCAATGAGCTATAAGTGACTGAATAAATGGAAAAAAATGAAACCGTGTGAACTAGACATATATAGAAGACCTTTGGCGCGGAGTGCACCAACCGTACTATTTGCTCATTTTGAGAACGATGCAGAAATATATCAAGGAATACACATATGTATGTAGAACCTTGCAGCACATGACACCCTCACGCCTTTTGCCAAATGATATGAAGAGCAGAGTAATCCGAACCGGACCCAATGTGCCGACCAAACTTAGCCCACTCCAAACACACTTGTAACCAAATTCAGAAAATGACCGTAGAATCTATAAAACGCTTGCGAAGAAAACGAAAAAAAAAAAAAAAAGACCTCCTACACCGTTGCCGGTATGAAAAATCGTAACTTCATGGCTCAGATATCGTGAGATGGGAATCGACCGCACTATACTGTTCAGGAGAATAGTTCATGACGCGGTGAAATCGTCCAGTCGCACCCATTCCCGTGGTACATCCATGCTGCGATTGACACGTCCGCCCGGGGTGAGAGGCACGTCGACACGGCCTCGGCCTCGATCGTCGTCATCTTGGTCCTCGTAGAATGAAAGCCGGGAGAAGTAGTCCTCCAGCACGGCCTCGCGCTCAGCATTTCCAACAATCGTGGTGTACTCCGGGGGGGAGTAACGAGAGGTGGCGGTGGAGGAACGTCTTCAAAGGCCGGAGGAGCAAACGAGGGCGTTCGGAGAAGATGCATGGGACGGGGGTTGGGGTTGGGTGGCTCGCGCTCATTGTTAGGCTCGCGAGCCAAGTGAGCCTGGGGTGGACGGGCGAGACCACCAGAACCATTCGTAAAGCTTCGAGAAACAGCACGGCCTGGGCCAATCGAGGCGCGCCGACCGAGGTTGGGATTCGTAGAAGAATCTTCCCGATCGGAACCGGATTGACCTGCGGTGTATTCTCGTGTTGCCAGGGGTGCTCCGGGGCAGCCGCATTCAAACTCCTGTGCGGGTGGTTCTGGTTCGGCCGCTGGATTCGTATATGCCGGGAGGTAAATATTTGCCTGAGTAGCCTTGCAAGAGAGAATGTGGAAGGGCGAATCAATGGAAATTTCAAAATGTCTGCGTTTTGTAGGATCTCTCTCGTCGACCTTTGAGAGACGAAGAACAATCTGTATTGAAATTATCATGTAAGTTTCATAACTATCAACATGAAGACACAATGAGCGACTTACCTTGATCCAATGATTGATTTGAATGTTCTCGTAGGTCGTGTCAAAGTGCAGACGCTGCGCTTCATCTCGATTCCTCATTTCGTGGCAGCTCGGTAATTGAACACTGAATTCCATTTCCGTGGGCCCAACACCACTTTCACTCGAGAGATTACCCAGCAAGTTTGTTCGGGACCGATCCACGATTTCCTCTCCTCGAGCCGCGGCCGCACGGTGATCCCAGTCAATACCACCACCTGCCGTGACACGCATCGAGCTACCGGGGTAGGTACTGGTACTGGCGGATTCGGCGCGCTTTTCGAACAGGAGAACCTTCTTCGCGGGCTGTAGTCGATGCACGCTCTTGTCTGCGGTCCAATGTTGGATGTTCTCAGTCACATAGACCTTGATTCGATGGCATTCCACTTTTGCGAGCGGCGTCAGTTTGAACGCGACGGGGATTTGAGACCCCAGAGGGAAAGATTTCCCGGATATTACAATATCATAATGAAGTTGGTCCTCCCAATTTCGCGAAATCGCAATCGGTTCGACCTGTTCCAATGACCCTTCGGCTGGGGTGCGGATGACGGGAATCTCCATCGTGCCGAGCAGGTTAGGCCGGAATGCGCCGGATCGCTCGACAATCGCCTCCAAATCGTATTTCACGAATCCCAAGTCGGTTTTGATCGTTTCCGGGAGAGAGCCGTCGATTGGGAACTCAAAACTATATAGATAATCGCCAACAGGGAACATTCGGTAGTTGCGCTGTTGCTGAGCTTGAAGACTCGGCGGAGTATCGTTTCGACTAAAGCTTCGCGAATGACCACGGGTAGTCTGTACTGAAAGACGCTTAGGGTCTCGTGCGGTGGTCGGGCCAAGGTTGGTGGTAGAGCCGCTCTTGGAGAAGAGTTCGCGGGTCGTTGCGGATACAACGTCCTTCCCCGGGCCGGGGAAATAGGTTTGGCATGCTGGTAGTAATGTGCGCCATAATCATTCTGCATCAAGGCCGTATCACCATGGTTGAAATATACAACACCGTGGGTGAAAAGATCTTTTTTATCGTGGAAATGAATCTTCTTGGGCGGGATGCCATCGGGCCAGTCAGTTTGGGCGTGGCCGCGGAACTGTATCGAGATCTTCTTGATCTTAACACTCTTGGTGACTTTGAGGTGTATTTGACCCCGTAGAATCGCCGATTTCTTCGAGCTCGGGTCATGTTGGTCGTAACCCTGCAGATAAAGAACCGGTTCTGTCAAGGCAATGCCGACGGTCAGTCCGCTCCCCGTTGCGACGATCTTCTCATTACGAAGCGGTGGGAACGGCGTGCTCAGCTGGGGCACTGTGCTGGCAGCGTCAGCCACCGGCCGGGGCAGGAGCTCCGTCGCCATCGGGGACTCTGTGTTCATATCCCTCCTCTCGGTCTCTTCGGGAACGTGGTGTGGCCCCTCGGAAGAGACAATGATCTCGGAAACCGGCCGAGGGCCACCAGCACCGCTACAGCGCGGATTTATACGTCGCGGGGGCGCGGGGGACTGAATTCCCGACGACCGTAAGCGAAGGAATCGCTTCGCGTTTTCACGTGGGCCCGCCAGCTTTTTGAGGATGGAACCGCGACGGGTTTGCTTGGGGAACTGCTCTTCAACCGCGTTGAGGCAGACCGAACGGCGTCGGATCGACCGGGTCCGAATGAGGCTAGCGAGCGATAACGAAGGTATAGCGAAGTAATCGGACGGAGAGGTGTCAATAGATCCCGACCGCGATGAAACCTGCGGGGGATAATGTGAGCGGCCATCATCGTGAGTTTCCGCGGCGCATAGTGGATCAAAAGGAAGATGTTGGAAAGGAAGATTCGGCCGCTGGGTGCTTTATTCTTTCCTTCTTTTATTTTTTTTTCTGCTCTCCTTTCTTTTGCCCCTCTCGCACACAGAGTTTCTGACAGACTCTCGCGGTGTATGCCACGGAAGACTGCGAACCACTGGCGTGTCTGGTCGCAAAAGTGCCAGGAATGCGGGGGGAGAGAGGGGGTTTGGGCCAGGGCCAGATGTTTTTCAAGGGAAAACCAACGACGCGACCAGACGACCGGACGGACAAGGGGGGGGATAGAATCGGCAGGGAGGGCGACACAGAGTGTATACTTACCGTGGCCTTTAATGGGGGTGTGGTTGCTTCTTTTGATCCCTTGTGCTCCCCCTTCAATTCGCGACAACGCAAGGAGCACACCGATCTTTGCAGGAGAGATGGAATCCTCGGGGCGCTGACTTCATAAGCACGGGTCCTCCACTCCGGTGATCATCGCCGCGCAGATCCTTTGGGCAGCGCGCAGGATTGGCTGCGGGGTGACTAAATTGTGGTTCCTAGCAGCTTTTTGCGCGTTGACTCTCCGTAATGTGGCGCTCACCGATGACCGGGGCGTTCTTGGAGGGGATTTGGAGGAGGCAGTGCGGGTGTCGGACAAAAAAAAGATGATTGGGAGCATATGCAAGATGAAACAGGGGGATGCGAAGTCCTCATAGAAGAAGGGTCCACTTAATGGAGGAAGAAGTCTGGAAGAGGGACTGGAACCCGGATCGATGATGACATGATATCGACGAGATCCGCTTTGCCGGCAATCCGGGCCAGTGGTGACTAACCATCTAGAATTGTATGGACAGAACTACAACGGGGTCCACGGAGCCAGAGGGAGAGAGTAAAAAATTACTGTATGATTGAGATGTCGAGTGGAGACCTTCTGGCCCCCGTCACGACGCCAAATCTCCATGTGCACCGATTCTGGGGCGGACGGCTCCTTGCAATGTCTCAGCATTCTTGGTGCGCTACGCTCCAATACCTTCAGGACAAGACACTGTCGCCTGCGGCCATGTATGCGGCCACGTACAAGAGAGATAAGACAATGGCACGTAATCTGTCGTGTGCTGTCTCAACTCGGCATCTCAGCTCGTTTATGGCAAACGAGTAGGATATACGGATGCCCGGCACTGCTTCCCTGTTCGCCTCCGCCAAAGCCGAGACTCGGGTGTGGGGATAGCGCGTCCATCGGGAAAAGACTGAGAAGGCAGAAGGCTGTGAACAAGGCGTCGCACACGAGGAACTGCTGCCTCATTACCACAGCCACGAAGCATGGAGCGCGGAGCACAGAACACGCCGTAAAAACTAGGAGTAGGGAATAATGATTCTTTCCCTCGTGCTAGTACCACCCAAAGCACGCAGATTCGAGAGGTCGCCGCCAGGGACGCTGGGGGAGCATCCACCAGCGGTGTCTAATGGCGGGCCCTGATTTTCTGAGTTTGCTGCACGAGCCATGCCCAAACCCCCTTCTCTCCCCAGGTACAAACCGGATGGCGATCGCCATCTGAATGGCCGGTGTGTGGTCCCGCAGACATGAGATTGGAGTAGAAGCATCTGGCACTGACGGCACCGATGGGACGAGACGGCGACCAAGCAGGGGAGATCTGCGTCTGCACCGATTATCTCTGCTCTGGTCAGATGTTCGTGCTGGACTCGTTCCAGTTCCAGTTTCTCTTTTTGCGCGGATGTTCTGGCGGGTCCGAGCGATGACAGCTGGGCGATGACCTCATGAGGGCCGGACTTGACCCGGTGTAAACGCGTCCTCTGGGGCCCGCCTCATAGGGCCGTCTTTCTTGACGCGGTGATGGTGTTCCCGGGTCCCTGGTCCGTTGGAGAAAGCTTTGAGAGGGTTGGGAGCATCTATGTAAAGGTGAGGCATATGCTCGTTCTGTCCGTGCCTCCCGCGGGCCGCCTGCCCTGCTTTTCTTGAACGGGCCAGCCCTACTCTAACTCCGAACTAGCACTAAGCCCTCTGGTCCATGGCCTCTGCTCTCGTTCCCGTAGTTGTCTACTCCTACATCATTTCTATCTCTGCCTGTTTAATGCCGAGGCCTGCCCATCGGCCTCTTCACAAGTGTTAAGGCTAAAAATTATTTTTTTTTGGTCTCTGATGACCGATGACATGTTTGGGCGATGGAGTCGCACAATCAACTTCTGTGCTACCAACCTCCCTCGGGAGCAGCATCGACGTGACAGGTCACGAACGAAACCCCCCTTCTTTGGGGAAATGCATCAGTTTCCAGAAGGCCGTGGATGCCTCGTCCAGCCTCCGAATCGATCATCAAGGAATGGAAACTGAATGGCGGGAGCAGCCTAAGCGTACAGCAACAAGTCGTGCATCTCAGGTGGCCGCGACGGGCAGATGATCCAGCGACTCTAGAGATCAAAAGGCTGGAAGCAAGATTTACTAAAGAGGTCTCGGTGCGATACATCCATTGGCCTAGAGCCGGAGGCAGGACGCTATGCTCAGTAGATCCAGTTAGTGCTACTAGTGCCGACTGCAGGTGCATGTAGATCATAGGAGATTATCCGCCCCCCCTCCACCGCAATGTATTCTCCGGTACATAGATTGTGAGGGATAGGAGTGCAATGGTTCGTAGGGTAATAGTGTACAATTTTTGCGACCCACTGTTGGTATCCTATGGGATGACTGGTATCTGGAATTTTGTCTCGTGTTTCGTTCGCTCAGCTGAACCAGTTGTCATCCAGCTCGCTGATGTTCATCAAACTATCTCCCTCCAACTGATTGAGGTCTCCAGTGCCCTCACCGAAATTCTCCGTTTCCATAAACAAGTCGTCGAAGCTGGATTCTCCAGGCATGATATCGTCCGTTCCAGTACCTTGCTCAGGGAACATGTTGGCATCGCCGTCGGTCTTTTGCAGCTCCATGTCGAACGCACCCCCGCCAGCAGGAGCCGGAACCGTATTCGTATTATCCGCCGGCAATGAAGCATTCGGCTTGTCGGCGCCGGTGGCAGGTGTGTTGCCAAAGGTCGTTCCGGAGAGGAAGGCTTGGTTGCCCATATCGTCATTGCCAAAGTCAAGATTAAGGTCGAAAGAATTAGAGCCCCCCGTGTCATTGAGAACCGAGTCAAAGTTGAGCCCCTCGCCCCCATTCATTTCTTGATCGGGAGATGCAGTTGTGCCGGGATGCTTCTGCTCTTCTTTCACTGCCACATTCTCGGTCGCTTGGGGTTCTGGCACGGCTGCGGTGGGCGCTAGCGGCTTTGCTGCAGTACCTTCTTCCTTCTTCGCTTCGACCTTTTCGGGGCTTTCAGCCTTCTCGGCAGGTGGTGGTTGCACCTGGGCTGCACTGTTCAGGCCCACATCCTTCATAACTTCATCCTCCGCGGGTTGCGGCACCGCCTCTCGCGCCTTGATAGCTTCATAATCCTTTTCCAGGAATGCTTTGGCGATAAACTGTGACACGTTAGGGGGTCGTTCTTCCAAAAGAAACGCTATAGCCCATGATGCTTTGGATGCGCCCAATGCGACTACGTAATCGCTCCGAGCATCCAATCGGACTCACAATCTGCTGAGAGAGGTTGTCCAGCGCCAGCTGGAAGCTCTCATAATGCATCGGGATGGATCGCTGCAGGTGCGTGCTCGACGGCACCGAGCCGTTCTTTTTGAATAGCCGCCCGGTATCCAGAAGCTGGCCGGGGGTGTTAGCGCCAGCTTGAAGTAAATCTCTTTGGGAAGACGGGCGTACCGTTCGCTCCACCAGCGCGGACAGCTCCGCCAGGGAGTCGGGGTTGGAGAAATTCGCAGTCGCCATGGTGTAGGCGCAGAGGCGGTAGCAGCGGAGCCGAACACAGTCGCGAAGAGCCGACCCTCAGGCGCTGAATGAAACAAGGGGAAGCACAGAGGCGGTACTTGGGCGATGGTTGTACACGGGGCAGCTAAGCCCGTTGGAGTTAGCCAGCTCCCCCCACCCCTAGCCGCTTAACTCTCCCTTACAACTTCTCTTTCCCATCTGCTTCTCGTTTTTTTCCTTGTTGTTCGTCGCGGCTCGAAGCGACTCCAGTGCTAGTGCGTGTGTGTTTCATTTTTCTTGCGTTTCTTCGCTCCTCTCGGTGCTTTGATCTTTGATCTCTCCCGGCCCAGCGCTTCTTCGCTGTCCTCTTCCACCTGCTCCCCCCAACCATCTCGACACGAACCAAGAACGACGATCGAACAACCACCGTGCCCCTCCAACTCCTCAGTGCCTTTAACCGTCTCGCGGTCCTTCGTCAACCCTGACAAAGTTCTTCGATCGCCGTTACCTGCCTCCGTCCGCTCAGTTTTCGCCGGTGCCTGCTTTGTTTGGATCGTGCAAGCTTGGTCTTTGATTAGACTTGCCCATCCAGACCACCCCGCAGCCCCCTTTGATTTGAACATAAAGTCTCCTTTGTCGGCTGCAGTTACATCACTGTAGTCTTTTTGGGCTGTCGCTTCATATTCTTATCGCCGTCTTTGTGGAACCCCCGTCATCGTCGCGGCTTGGCCCAGGTACTATTTTGCATCGGTCGGCCACTACTTCACTCATTCTCCTCGATCGCTTTCCTACCCTAAATTCGTCTCCCGCCCATACACGATGGCCGAAAACGCGTCTACTTCGACTCCTGCTTCCCTGCCGGCGGCACCCCAGCCTGCTGCTGGTGCTCAGAACCAGCAGTATGATGCTGCCCAGGGTAATGGCCAGACCAACCCGTCCCACATGCCTCCCCCGCCGCGGCCTCCTGTGATCATCCCGCAGAATACTAACCCCATTCCGACTGCGATAACCTCGCCCATGTCCGGAAACATGATGTCTCCGACCAGCGCTGGTGGTTACGTTCGCCGCGCCGCTCCCGAACCCAACAAGAGAGCTCTCTACGTCGGTGGCCTCGACCCGCGGGTCACGGAGGATATTCTCAAGCAGATTTTTGAGACCACTGGCCACGTGGTCAGCGTCAAAATCATTCCGGACAAGAATGTAAGTACACGAGTGAGATCCGAATCCCACAGCCTTTCCCCTGAGACTCGCTCAATATGGCATACCTGCCATTTGCGAATCGCAAGGGCCTGCGTTGAATGGGCCACATATATTTCTGTGCTGACTGGAACTAATCACTATAGCAGTTTAACAGCAAGGGGTACAACTACGGCTTTGTTGAGTTCGATGACCCCGGTGCGGCTGAGCGGGCTATGCAGACCCTGAATGGGCGCCGCATTCACCAGTCGGTAAGTTCTCATTGTTTTATTTGCTTCCCCTTGATGCAACTCCTGACCGCTTGATTGGTATTGCAGGAAATCCGGGTGAACTGGGCCTATCAGTCCAACAACACTAACAAAGAGGACACCTCCAACCATTTCCACATCTTCGTCGGTGACCTGAGCAACGAGGTCAACGATGATGTCTTGCTTCAGGCCTTCTCCGCGTTTGGTTCGGTTTCGGAAGCCCGTGTGATGTGGGATATGAAGACTGGACGTTCGCGTGGATATGGGTTCGTCGCCTTCCGCGAGCGCCAGGATGCCGATAAGGCGTTAAACGCAATGGATGGCGAGTGGCTGGGCTCTCGTGCCATCCGCTGCAACTGGGCCAACCAGAAGGGCCAGCCCTCCATCTCTCAACAACAAGCTATGGCCGCCATGGGCATGACCCCGACCACCCCCTTCGGCCACCACCACTTCCCTACCCAGGGCATCCAGAGCTACGATATGGTCGTCCAGCAAACGCCGCAGTGGCAAACTACCTGCTACGTTGGTAATCTGACGCCTTACACGTCTCAGAATGACCTCGTGCCGCTGTTCCAAAACTTTGGTTATGTTCTCGAGACTCGTCTGCAGGCTGACCGAGGCTTCGCCTTCGTCAAGATGGATTCGCACGAAAATGCCGCTATGGCTATCTGCCAGCTGAATGCCTACAACGTCAACGGTCGCCCTCTCAAGTGCAGCGTACGTGCCAACCCAGCGTTGTTTTTGTCTTACCCCAACGTCCAGAATTCAACACTAACTGCTATACTATAGTGGGGCAAGGACCGCCCCCCAACCGGCCAGTTCGACAACTTCTCTCCCCAGCAAGGCACCGCTGCCTTTCCTAACAGCCCCGGCTTCTTCCCTCAGTATGGCGGTCCCGCGAACCCCATGAGCCAAGGTATGTCCTCATCTCCACGAACTCCTCGACGAAAACGCACTAACCGCCGGCGGCCAGGTCCTGCACCTGCTGGTCGAGGCTGGGATCAGGGTGCGAACAACTTTGGCGGCCCCGCCATGCCTGCTCAGGGATTCCCCCAGGGTAATGCTGCAGGCTACGGCCGTGGCCAGCCGATGTCCCCGTCTGGTAACTGGGATCAGTCCAACAACAACTTCAATGGAGCCTACCAGGCGTAGATATCTCCTTGAATGGCACGCTGGAAGCTATACTTGCTGTTATAGCTGAGTGAGGCCAGGCGCAACTGTTTGATACCGGCTGTCAATTGGCTGAATCATTCCGACCTCGCCAGTTTCAACTTTACCTTACCCCTTTCGTTATCACACCCATCCCCCCTCTTATTTCTGATTTATTGTTGAAATTGTATTTCCAAGTGGATTTCCTGAGCGATCAAACTGCTTTTCTCTGAATGGAATTTGTGTGTTGTGCACCGAATACCCCAAGTCCACTTTGCTGGTTCGATATTTTGCCCTTTTGGAGTGTGCGAGCACCCTTTTCAAGCCCCTTTTCCTGGATGTTTGATTCTTGTTCAGTGCCCCCGAAAATAAAAGCGATTTCCCTACTCTCTTTCTATGCTTCTTTGGCCCTTCGGCCTGTTCTTGTGGATTCCTTTTGCTTAGCTTCCATTGCATTTCCCCAGTACATGTATTGTGCTATACCGAATTTGCTTCTTGTCTTTTCTTTTTCTTTATAGGCCCATCATATTCACTTTGTTTGAGATTGCTTCTTTCATCGTTACTCAAAAGATGATTGTTTCTTTCATTTCTTCACGGGTTCTTTCTCGGTTTACAATTTGGCTGATGGAGAAATGTTCTTTTTATTGCCTCTGAAGTATTCGTATATGCCCGTTATGAATCTCCTTCGTCGTGCTTGACACCATCGGTTCTTGCGATCTTTTCCTATTTCATGCCTGCTGGCGTTCTAGCCGATATACCAATTTGCCTTTTTAGCCGTGCTATTTTTCTTAGCCCCCTTCGACCTTGTCTTTTGTCGCTCTAGATTTGTTGGCTGACGACTTTCTTGTCCCACCTGCTTCCCCCTATGCTTTTATGCACGGTGCCCGATGATTGCAGTTGGTGTTACCAGTATCAGTAAGTAGCCAGATCTATCACGTTCGCAATGGACAATACCAAAATTTGCTTCAAATTTGCCATCTAGTAGTTGTAAAGCAGCTTAGTATTTAATTTTCAGCAATTTTTGGTCTTTTGTGTAGTCTCAAAAGAGGTGCTGATGAATGGCTGTTGTACAAGTAGTATGATGTTTATGCCTGAGGCCAACATAAGCTCCAGTTGCCGCGTCCCCGTACCCACTTCGTCAATCCGACATATCAGAATAAACCACAGCGCCAGGGCAGTCGACTTCCACCCGATCTGCACTTACCAATGCTGGGCGACTGAATGCCGGAGAGCTGATGCCCCAGCTCACTCTTCTATCTGCGCCAATGGACGATGGCGAAAGCAGCAAGGCGGAGTTCGCAGCGGTCGACGGACCACCCAATCGCGCGCGGTCAGGAAGCGCAAACAGCGGACACAAGCGAAGCCTCTCGGGCTCACTCCTCTCGCGACTTTCCTTTCTCCGCATGAGCCAAGCGACACAATCGGAATCTGGAACACAAAGCATGGAACAAGACGGCGACAGCGAGGACATCGCGTCCTCCTCGATAACCGCCGAGAGGACGGCTTCTGGCAAGGCCATGTCGGCCGTTATACAGCAGCAGCGACGGACACGACGACGGAGGGGCTCCTTGCGCAAGACGGCGCTTCTCGGGACGCGACTCGAATCGAGGGATAAGCGGGCGGCGGCGAGGTCTGCAGAGGTTATTCGAGGGGAGTCCGTTCGACACCATACGGACGATGTTCCGCGCTCGTTACGGGAGCAAACGTCGCCTACGGACGATTTCAATGCGGCGAGTGGTAGCTTCGATGACGATGGCGCACCAGCGCAGCCTAGTTGGTTCAGCACAAATACGGCGCAGAAGATCATTCGCTCCTCTGTTGCGCGCCGTCGGCAGGGATTGCCGGCACACAACAATATGCTTGGTGAAGAGACGGGCACAGACGATGAGGAACTCATGTCTTTCCCCCGCATGAGCGCAAACAGTTCCTCGGTTGGCCCTGGTGGCACCAACAAGAATGCTTCGACATCGGCACTACACATACCTACTCAATCCTCGGGCTCCGAGTCATATGGTTACCCTCTTTCAACGGATGCAGCTTACCGGCCTGTGCATCGCAAGTCGTCGCCTTTGGCAACTCACTCAGTTGAGATGAAGAGCAACTCGGACATATCGTGGGACTACTCGGAAACGGAGTGGTGGGGCTGGATTATTCTCATTGTGACATGGCTGGTATTTGTCGTGGGAATGGGGAGCTGCTTCGAGGTTTGGAGTTGGGCATGGGATGTTGGCGAGACGCCGTATGCGCCGCCCGAGCTGGAGGATGATCCCACTTTGCCAATTGTTGGATATTATCCTGCATTGATTATTCTCACTGCTGTCATGTCCTGGGTCTGGGTGGTTGTGGCATGGGTCGGCATGAAGTACTTTAAGCATGCTAATATATCAGGCGACGATAGCTGATTTGGGTAGGCTATGTGTTATTTTCGTATAGTATTAAGATACCAGACATTTTTATGTTTAATTTCAATTCTCGTTAGAAAGATCAGAGTTCATTTCCTGAGAACGTGGGTAGCGTAAGTGTAAATTATAAAATACCAGCATCCAAGGCACTTTTGTTATGCCTGATAGCAACAGTGTCCGTATGAGAGTACCTTAGTATTCGTTCTTGGACGTATGTAATGGTTCACAAGTGTTCGTTACGGGAGAGCGGTACTGCGGCAGTACTCATGCAATATTCGCTCGAACTGATTTCAGGTAAGAGTCGGGCGTAGTACGGCAGGCGACGAAGTGAATGAACGGGTTGTAGTGAGTGAAGGCAGTACGGCGCCAGGCAGCACCCCCCATCCAAGAACCACACCATTCTCTCCTTTTTTTTTGCATCCTTCTTCTCTCCTGATTCCTCATCCTTCTCCGTCTGTTCTTCGACCTTAGCTTCCGGCGGCTGTCGAATGCGAACTCAAGCAGCAACGCATTAACATTCTGGGTTCTACTCTACCCGGGAGGTGTGCTTTGCATCCTTCAACAGCAAACACTCACTCACTCTCTTTCATTCTCTTCTACCTGTCCCTCACCCTCTCTTTCTCCATCTCTCCCTCGCTGTCTTCTCTCTCCCCCTCCCACTTCCCTCGCTCTCTTCCACCTCGCTCTCTTCCACCTCGCTCTCTTCCTCTATTTCTCTATCTTCTCTCCCTCCCTCTTCTCTCCCTCCTTCTTCCATTCTGGAACTTTTACCGTCGGCAGTCGCCGGACTCGAATTCGAGCAGCAACACATACACATGCTAGGTATTCACGCAGCCTGTGAGGCAAGGGCTTTAAGAGCGACCCAGCTGCCTCAAGGAACGTACCATCAACTGACAGTCAAATGAGTTCCCTCGTTCCCTTTCCCCCCTGCTCAATTGTAATTTCAACATGGATAATCTTAAATGGCACTCGCTGAAGACCGTCGGGCCTGACGCTTCCTATGACAGCACCTCGATCAATCTGAGAGCATCTTATTTTCTACATTCTGTTGCTTTCCTCTGTTCCGATCTACTGAAACTAACTAACGAGTGAGGGCAGGCTTTATACTTGGATTGTGAGCTTTGGGCTTTAAAATCGACCGGATTGTCTTGAAAAATATTTCCTCGGGGTAAGAATCCCCGACAAACAGCCACATGGCATCTCTGAATTCCTTCTTCCCTCCCCTTCCTCCCCCTGCTCAAGATGAAAAAAGAATACATGTCTCTTTCATTCTTATAGCATTCGCTGATTACCCCTGGGTTTGATGCTGGAAGCCTATGACGCCAAAACTTGTCTGAGAGCATTACCATTTTATCTTTCGCTATTCTCCTCCATATTTATCTACCCGATGGCTAATAAATGTGGGTGGACAGCAACGCACATGATTCCTATGCCCGAATCATGGGTCGTGAGTTTCATATGGACTGGGCTGTCTCAGCTATATCGCCTCAAGGTAAGAATCCCTGACAGACAGCCATATGGTTTCTTTGGGTTTCTTTTTCCCTGCAAAGGAATGATGATTTTTAGGTAAGTTTCTGAAGGTACTCGCTGAAGGCCCTCGGGTCTGACGCTAGGACCGATGACGCCAAAAATTTTCTGAGAGCATGGCCTCTTTTTCTTGCTTTGTTCCACTCTACTTTTATCTACCGATGGCTAACAAGTGCGGACAAATTTTTGCATATATCAAATGTCTGGGCTTCATGTGGACTGGACTATCTCGGACTAGATTGCTTCAAGTTATGTATCCCGAGCAAGCCTCCATGTGGCCCTTCTCTGATCCTTCCTCCCTGATCAAGATGACAAGATATGTTTCTCTTTCCTACCGGCACTCGTCGAGGTCCCTCCTGGTGTGATACCGAGAGCTTATGACAGAAAATTTCCCTATCTGAGAGCAGGTCATTTTCGTTCTTCATTATTTCACCCTTCTTTTAACTACTGAAGATGGGTAACAAGTGAAGATAAACAGTGACACATGCCAATCTCATACTTTACTAGCGAGTTGTGAGTTTCAAACTGGAATTTTTCAGGGTATTTATTAGTATGCGTCCCACGCAGACAGCCATATGCCTCCCGAGACCCATTCTTCTTATGCAGGATGACTACTACACTTTCTCATGACACCCGCTGATTTCCTTCGGGTCTGACGCTGGGCGCAGATGACGAATAGCTATGTCTGAGAGCACTGCCTTTTCATATTTTATGGTTTCTCTCTATCTCCCTTGACATCTACTGATATCTCAGCAAGTTGAAGGCCGCTGTCTCAAATGCTGTCTACCTCTATTAGGTCAATTTTTATTTCGTTCTTGTTAGAATTCACATTACTTTGCGTTCTTGATTCATATTGACTATTTCAACCAAAACTCCGACGACTCCGCTCACAGCGTTAGGTATCATTCGACTGCATAGGTACTGCCATCCGAAACCTTGACAAACATCAACAAGACGCTTATGCTTTTCATGCTCAAATTATATCCCTTCAATAAAGCCTTTGATCAGTGTGTTACCGCGCAAGCTGAGACGTGGCCTGACCGGGGCACATCCAGTACAACCCCGTTGCTGCCGCCGACGGCACTGGGTCCGTAGGTTTCGGTATCTGGCGGTGGGACCGTCGTGGCTGGTGCAGTACTGACCAGACCCTTGGAGCTGGCGTAACAGGACGATCTGTCGTGATTAAGGTCTTCGCTATAGAACTCGTCTAGAATGGGGTGCAGCATAACGGTCTGCTTGTGAATGGTGACCACCGAATTGGCTGGCACCGAAACCCAGTTGTCTGCAAAAACGTAAGTATTCAATTTCACAAGTTTCAATGAGAGTCGAGAAATTGACAAGGGGATCTCACGTCGTTCGAAAGTGATAGGTTCGCTTGCCACCAACACAATATCAGCCCCCTTGTCATGGCGCTCCATTTTAAAATGACCCTTCGTCTTGCCCTCTTTCCACTTCGTCCCAGACGAGAAGTATAAACTAGCAGGCTCGTCGGTCTTGCTGCTAATATACCGCGTGCAAACCACAGTATGGCCGTCCGTCACAGCAAAATTGAGAAGACTCCTGGTCTCCAAATTGGATACGTTGTGCTTCTGAGGAACCTCTTTCACAAGCTCATTGATCTTTGCAATTGTTTTCATCATGACGCGTCGCAAAACGGCCTGGCCAAAACCCTCCGGTCCTGGATCCGAGCTTGGATCCACGCCTTCTTTCTCAAGAAGATCAAGGAACAGCGCAAAAGACCACTCGCTGTCGGTGCCGCCCTTAACGCCCAAGTACCACTTGTCGGCCAATGAGTCGGCCAAGGGTCGCTTGATGTACTGGAATCCACCGATACCACCGTTGTGCATCCACATGAGAGTCTGGTGCTGGAATGGGTGGCAGTTGTTGTCGGCCAAAGCACCCTCAGTGGTGGCACGCACATGTGCGAAGATCAGGTTGGAGCAGGTCTTGGAAGCTAGGCGTTCTAGGTTCTCGCAGTTCCAAGCTGGAAGCGTTGATGTGAAGATGCAGGGCTCGGGACCAAGTTTAGGGTCAGTGTAGAATCCTACACCAAATCCATCGCCATTGACAGGCCGCCGATTATCCTAGAGTTAGAAGTCAGCTAGGTGATTTCCTTTTTCTGCTGGCACTTTAGGCCATAGAAAGCTGAAATGGCGGGGACATACCAATCGTAACCTAGAGTCATATGACTGAGTAAGAATAGAATGACTTGGTTCCGTGACAAGTTTGCTGAGGCGAATCTCGTTAAGCCCCTTGTAGATCTGAAGATGTGTCTGTTAGTCGTTGATCACCAATGCACTTGGGCTTGACTCACCAGAAATCGGCACATATTGGCCGTTGATTAGGCTCGCTGGACTATATGAAGGCAATCAAATGGTCAGATATCTATGAGGTGTATCCTGAGCGCAAGTTCAGTGTAGCTCGAGCGGTCGCTGAAGCCCAAGTGTCCCAAATTGTTTGAGCTGACAATCCGATGTTGGGCGTTGAAGATGAAGCGTCACCGACTATCGGCAAGGACGCAGATACCCAGTCAAGCCAACCACAACTTGGCAATTTCAAACCACCAAAGCACCGAAATCGAGAACAGTCGAAATGATAACTCGAGAATTATTCAAGAAGCGAAAAAAAACCCCCTTAGACCAAGACGCACTCACTTCCCTTGCACAGCACGTCATTGTGATCCACGTGACTGCGGGCTACGGCGGGCGAAGCGGCCACTTGCGCGGGTCACGTTGATGTCAGTGCCGAGCATCTTCCACTTTACTCTTCTTCGTCTTGCATGAGAAGCAACAACAGCCATGAGCGGGAGAATCCTCTCCCATCGACTCGCCCCGCTGGTGCGGAACGGTGTGGCCCGCAGCTTTCATAACGCAGGCTCGAGGACAGGAGGCCTACTGCGCGCCAACGGTGGCGCCGCTTTGAGGGGACGCGCATGGCCGATAGGCGCGAGTGCTATCCACAATGTGCCAGCCGTCCGAGCCTTCTCGTTTGGACGAATTCTACCGAAGCTTGCCCTCAAGCTTTTCCGGATTCCAGCGATGTTTGGAGGAGCTACGGTCGCAGGCTTGGCTTACTTCCAATATCAAGCAACCCGTACGTGACTCGATCCATGTTTCATTTCTTTTTTTTGAGAGATACGCTTCCTAACGATCGTTCTCTAGAGGCTGGAAATTATGCAATCGATCTGTTCAGAAACGCCGGAGAGACAGCAAGCAACACAGCATCGAGCTTATTCCAGGGTCTTCAGGATGTGGCCGAACAAACACAACGCGGATGGAACAAGACGACTGAGGAAGTCGCAGTCCCCGATTGGCTACAGAAGATCCTCCGACTCGACGAAGAATCTCAGTCCGGAGGCTCAGGTGGAGGCAAAGAACCACAAGAGGGTCGAGCAGTGGTGGGAGGAGCTGCTGTCACCGGTGCAGCTTTTGGCTATGATCAGTCGAATGAGGACGATTCCCGGGGCGAGAAAGAGGTCGCCGAGGATGATCAGATGATGTTGTTGACTCGCAAAATGATTGAGATCCGGAACATCCTTCAGTCCGTCGGTCAATCAGGCACTCTCACACTCCCCTCTATCGTCGTCATTGGATCACAATCTTCCGGCAAGAGCTCAGTCCTGGAAGCTATTGTGGGCCACGAGTTCCTGCCCAAGGGTTCCAACATGGTCACCCGGCGACCGATCGAGCTCACGCTGGTCAACACACCGAATGCGCAGGCGGAATACGGTGAATTCCCAGCTCTGGGACTCGGCAAAATTACCGATTTCTCCTCCATTCAGCGCACCCTGACGGATCTCAATCTCGCTGTTCCGGAGAAGGACTGTGTTTCGGATGATCCCATCCAGCTGACAATTCATTCGCCCAACGTTCCGGATCTGTCTATGATCGACCTACCTGGTTATATCCAGGTCGCGGGACACGATCAGCCTCCAGAGTTGAAGCAGAAGATCGCAGACCTCTGTGACAAGTACATTCAAGCACCAAACATCATTTTGGCTATCTCGGCGGCCGATGTCGATCTTGCAAACTCGACCGCTCTGAGATCCAGTCGTCGTGTGGACCCCCGAGGAGAGCGCACAATTGGTGTCATCACTAAAATGGACCTTGTCGCCCCTGAGCGAGGCCATGACGTTCTATCCGACAAGAAGTATCCTCTTCGACTGGGCTACGTTGGTGTTGTTAGCCGAGTTCCCCAGACGACAGCCCTGTTTTCCCGAGGCTCTGGAAATATCACAAGTGCCATTCTCAAGAATGAGAACGCTTACTTTTCGGCCCATCCGGCTGAGTTTGGTGCTCATTCGGAAACCTCCGTGGGTGTATCTACGCTGCGCAAGAAATTGATGCATGTCCTTGAGCAGACCATGGCATCGAGCTTGTCAGGCACCAGGGATGCCATCAGCCAGGAACTGGAAGAGGCAACCTACGAGTTCAAGGTGCAATACAACGATCGGCCTTTGAGTGCGGAGTCCTACTTAGCCGAGAGTCTCGACAGCTTCAAGCATTCTTTCAAAGCATTTGCCGAAGGCTTCGGTCGACCGCAGGTCCGGGAGATGCTTAAGGCCGAGCTCGACCAGCGCGTCATGGATATTCTAGCCCAGCGTTATTGGAACAAACCAGTAGATGACCTGGATCCCCCATTGGCAGAAATCGACCCTTTGAAGGACCTGCCTAAGGCTGACCCTGAGTCACTATTCTGGCACCGCAAACTAGATGCGTCCAGCTCTTCCTTGACAAAGCTTGGAATCGGCCGACTCGCCACCACCGTGGTTGCCAACGCCCTTCAAAACCATGTGGAGTCGCTCCTGGCATCTTCCACTTTCGCTTCTCACCCGGGAGCACACAAGCAGATCACCGATGCCTGCAATAGTATCCTGAATGAGCGATTTTTCAGTACTAGTGACCAGGTAGAGAACTGCATCAAGCCTTATAAGTTCGAAATCGAGGTTGAAGACTCCGAGTGGTCCAAGGGAAGAGAAAACGTTAGCAAAGTTCTCAAGGGAGAGCTTAAGGCATGCGAGTCCGCCATCAAGCACACAGAAGATCTCGTTGGGAAACGAAAGCTCAAGGATGTGATGGCATTCATCGACAAGGTGCGGAAGGGTGACGTAGTATTGGAGGGCGACGGTTCTGGTGGCGCCGGCGGCTTCAGTTCGGCCCTGCTTGAGAGAGGTAAGTCACATGCTTTGATTTCAAAATTTGTTCTGAATACTAAACTAATTCGCTTTGTAGGACGCGAAGGTGTCTTTCTCCGTGACCGAGCCGATCTCATCAGGATGAGAATGATGGCTGTTCGATCCAAGCAGTGCGCCACGCAAAAGAACAAATATTACTGCCCCGAAGTCTTCCTCGACGTCGTCGCAGACAAGCTCACCTCGACAGCTGTGCTGTTCCTCAACGTCGAGCTGCTCTCTGAATTCTACTACAACTTCCCGCGTGAGTTGGATATGCGCCTCGGCCGACACCTCTCAGACGCCGAGATCGAGCGCTTCGCCCGTGAGGATCCTCGAGTACGTCGTCACTTGGACATTATTCGCAAGAAAGAGTTGCTCGAGCTGGCACTGCAGAAGATCGAGGGTATTAGACAGCTGGATGGCCGCAGCATTCACCGAAACTCCGACCGTGCGCAAGTTGCAAAGGAGACTCGCAGCCGCTGGAATATCTTCTAAGGATGATCTGTTCGACCTAACCCCTACCCCTTGCACACATCCCTTGTCTGGTACCTCGTTCAACGCCCTACTTGTAATCTTTGATACCTTTCTGTCGTCTCAATATTCCCCCTCTTTTCTGGTTTTGGATAATATCCTAGGTTTCTTTTCTCCGCTCTACCTGGAATGTCCATGCCTTTAGATAAGTTGCCTTTTGTACATACACCCGGAGTCGAAACCAATCTTCTCAGATAAATTATCGAGTTCAATATGTTTCTCGAAGTTGAAGGATCTGGGTCCATGTCCCGTATTGACTTTCTGTGTCGTATATTCCCGGGTGAAGTCATGTCCTTGGTATTGCACCTCATTCATAAGTGATATCAAACTGCAGGAACGCCATTCTCCAGGCAAAAATACAATCCCAAAGAAGAAAAAGAAAATTGCTGAGGCTGTGAAACAACAGAGAAATATTCGTGCTGAGATAGCGCACATGCTGGCCGAGATGAATTATCATCTGAGTCGGCAGCTTAGGCACTTTCCATCTCATAAGTTTTATTTCGAAGATCAGCGGGCTCTTTTGAGCCCTCTCGTTTTGGCGGTGAATAAGGCTGATATTCGCCATCGATCCGAGCAGAGCGAGAGCGGACGTTAACTGATGCGTCTGAGACCGAATGTGAGCCATCTGGAACTTCAAACCTTCAGACTGATCACTCTTCATACCTGGTAATTCATATACTTGTTGTGAATTAGAACTCGATGTTGGATGGAAGTAGCTTCCGGGTAACTCCGCAGCCACATCTCCTTTCTGTTCTGTTTCGTGCTGCGAGGGTGTCGAAACGTAGCTCCCTGTTCGTCGCTTAGACAATGATCCCCACCGTGGGTGTTCGATCCATCGTGGTTGCTCAGTCATAGATTGGTTTGATGATGTTGACATCCGATCTGTCTCTAGCCGTGGTGACTGTAGAGATGACTGTAACAGATGCGAGCTGGAAGGGTTGGCAGGGTTGACGGTCTTCAGTTTCCCATCCTCCATGAAAGCCTGTAAGACTCCTGCATCAAGAAGCTCGGCTTTCTTAATCAGACGATCCACCAGTACTTTTGAGGCTGCTTTCATCTGGCTCTTCACATAGGACACGAGCGTCAGGTTGCATTCGATCTGAATATCCTCTCGTAAATAAAGTCCGTTTTCCGGTTCCCCGTCGACGCGGAACTCCTTAGGCAGACGAGGCTCGTTAGGCTGATTCCCTCCGATGCGCCATTTGCTCCGGATATCGATTCCCATGGGCACGAAGGTGTGTGTCTGTAGACCCCATGAGGTGTTATGGAAACACCCCTTGAAGCTGATCTTGCCTGATCCCAGCTTGCCGAGGCCGGGCACGTACTGCACTCGCTCGGTGATCTCATACCACGTGGAATAATATTCATCTGCGGCAGCGTCTCTGGGCGCCTTTATCGGTCGATATGATAGCACAAGCGGGTTGAGTGTAATTATCTCGCCGTGGCTGTGTAAGATGTCCAGGGCCAACTGGCGGGGCACGCAAGACGGGATAGGCGTGATGTTGATATATGATTCTTTTTTGCGCATCATCTTGCTTGTTGAAAATATATTTACAGGTGTATATCTTTTTCAGTGTGCAGATAGGCCGTTAATGTAGCTAACGCTCGAGGTGTAAGGTGATGGAGATTGTCATCTCGCATTGCAGCGGCCCCTCGTATTCACTCACCTGCTTACGGCAGAAGCCTAGAAATGTATATTTAACTAGTCCCCGCCATAAGATTGCTCACCGCTGCCTTCACCGCCAAGATATTGGTACTTACTACTGGTAGTACACTCAAATGTATTCTAGCACTCTCGAGTGGTTTTCTGAAGTTCATTGACTTTCCTAATAGAGGTTCTCTAACCTCTTTACATCCTTTGATTTTTCTGCAACTAGGCACTTCATTTATTCTTACAAAATATTTCATTTCTCTGAGATTCCACTAACAAGACGGTAATAGATCTTGGGCTTACCATGTGGTACTACGGACATGCCGTTACTATGGCAATTTTAATATAGAGAACTGACCGCAGCCCAGCTATCCAGCCAGGGAACACGATCGAACCTTCTCTCAAAGTGCGCAGTCATGAAGAGACCTATCATCTGGGCGTTAAATATCTCTTTTCTCAAGCAAGAAGAGAGCGGCCTCTCACGTCAGCTTTGAAATTCAGCCCTAAGTAGTTATAGGGTTGGGCTCCTTTCCTCAGAGAATGAGCTCGACGTGGCTGTGGGGCTGGGATTGTGGCTTGAGTGAGCTCTATAGAGTTCTTGTTGAGAAGAGAGATCTTCTGAAGCAGGAGGTGGGGGGTTTCGAGATTTCAGTCACAGGTACAGCAAAGGCCCATTCAAAAGTTAGTTCAAGTAGAAAAACTCCGTTCTCTGAGGCGCAGAAATGATTTTTCTCTATGAACAGAGTTGAGGCTATGGTTCGATCTCCTCTTAACACCAAGTTTCCTCGTAATGGGGACGGGGCTTCAATGTATACTATGCACGTGTTGTGCTGCGCCATCTGTTGTCATAAGGTGGCTGGAAAACTGGATGTTAGATGCTGGATGAGCATTCAAGAATGTGAAATATCTCAGTATGAACTTGTCAATAATTAGTGGCCTTCGGTTTTGGCCGGCGGTCATTTCCCAGATGGTCTGCATCAAACTAAAATGGCACATCACACAGCCTCTACTAAATGACAATTGAAGATTACCATTAAACAAAATCATTGGCTTGGTACAAGCTTTAGACCACGATCCCAGACCCAGTCTATCTATTCCATAGCGTACAACCCAAGAAAAAAGAAGCTGAAACTGATAAATGAAAAGGGAGTGCGAATTAATGCTTTTTCCTCTCCGGTCCCAGCACAAGCGGGCCTGTCGGAACAAAACGACCTCGGTTCGCACCAATGCGACGAGGGAAAGTATACACGGGAGAGATGAATGGCACAGGCCGAAATCAACTAAGGGTACCAATGGCAGGTCATCAAAATCGAGAAACGGGTAGTGGATATGTCTATCACAGGAACAAAAAGAAAATAAAATAACCAAGTGTTTAACAAAGTGGCATGGGGCGTGGCGTTTCAAAATGTGTCGGTGAAATGGACACGGGGGAGGATTCTGTCCGGTTTGAAGAGAGGTAGAAGATAAGGTGGTCGGCTGTATGTTACAGACGGGGGAGGGGTTTGACATGGCTTGCATGCACAGTGTTTACTCGCGAGAGACATCACGGCCAAACAGGCGGGCCTTGATCCAGTCGACGGCGACCAGAACACGGTTGCGGGCTGTTAACGAGGTTAGGGTATTGCAAAGAACACTCTTCGAAGCAAAGGGAACTTACTGCTGAAACACATGCTCAGGTAGGCACTGCGCCAGAAGAGGTAGGTCAGGGTACCACCGCTGGCAATGTTACCAGACAGCCAGGAAATATCGGCAACAGCACGCTCCTTGCCAATGTAGGCCAGACTACCCTGGTGGGAGTACTGGAAGGGTCCGATCTGCTTGGTGCGGCGCAGCTGCTTCTGGCGTTCGCGGATCTCGTCGAGGATCTCGTTGCGCTCGTCGTTGGACTTAGCCTGGGACTGGGTGTTGGACAGGTGCTGGAGCTCCTTCTCGATGGCGTCGGTCTTGGCCATGGTGTTGAACAGGCGGGCCAGGAAGGCACCCTCCTGGCCGGCAACCTGGGCAGTGGGAGCATAGTTGGTGATGGCGCAGTCGCCAACGGCCCAGATGTTCTCGGCACCGTTCACGACGAGGTATTCGTTGACAGCAAGACCGCGGCGGGAGTTCTTCTGGGCGGGGATCTGATCCATCAGGTCACGGATCACGGGGCGAACAGCGTTACCGGTGGCCCAGACGAGTAGACCGTAGGGGATAGTCTCAATAGCCTTGGTTCCGTCGGGATTGGTCACCTCAGCCTCGATGTACTTGTCGGTGACATTCTTGACCATGGTCTTGGTGCGGATGGTGATCTCCTCCTCCTTGAAGGTCGATTCGGTGTAGTCAATCAGTTGCTTCGAAAACATGGGCAGAACGTTGGGCAGAGCCTCGACGAGAGTGACGTGGAAGTTGTCCTGAATCTCGGGAATCCACTTCTTCAAGTCATCGTTGAAGAAGTCCTGCAGCTCACCAGCGAACTCGACACCAGTGGGGCCACCACCGACCACAACCATGTGCAGCAGGCGCTTAACCTCGTCGGGAGTCTGATCCTTGAACATGGCAGTTTCGACACAGTCCATAACACGCTTACGAATGTTCTGAGCATCGTTAACCTCCTTCAGGAAGCACGAGTTCTCGCGAACACCGGGGATACCTGAGCATGATCCGTTAGTTTCCCGGTTGAATTCGGATAGAGAGGAGGTTGCCTACCAAAAGTAGCGTTCTCGGCACCAACACCGATAACCAGCATATCGAAGGGGACCTCGGTGTGCGAGATGTCACCCTTGATCTCGGAGTCATCACTGATGTACACGACGCGCTTCTCGTAGTCGATCTTGGTCGCCTCGGCTTCAAAGAACTTGACTGTGGCCTTCTTCTGACGGAGAATGTTGCGAATGGGCTCCATGATCGAGCGGTGCTCGATCAGACCGGTGGTACATGATGGCAGCAGGGGAGTGAACAGGAAGTAGTTACGGGGCGAGACGACAATGACGTTGTAGTTTTCGGTATCGAGTTTCTTGAGCAGGGAGACGGAGCCCCAACCGGTTCCTACGGGAGCGAAGGGATTAGCAATTGAGCTTGGGAAGCTCTTGGGCGCGACTGTATCATACCGAGAATGACCAGGGTCTTCTTCTCAGGGTCGGGCTCGATCTGCTCCTCGGGGTGACGCAGAGAGTAGATACTGTAGGCGAGGGCGCCGGTCAGACCCAGACCGGTGAGCCAGGTCAGACGCCAGGACCAGCGCAGGGCCCGGAAACGCTTCTTGGGCTTGGGAGCGGGCGAGGGCGAGGGCGCGGCGTCGGCGTAGCCGCGACGAGCCACGCGCGAGACGGACTGGACGCTGTTGGCGCGGATTGGCTTCGCGCGGAGAGCCTGGGAGGCCGAGGTCGAGATCGACCGGCGCGACAGCGAGGACAGCTGCATGATCGACCGAGACGCCATCGAGCGCATCGCTGGTGTGCCAGCCATGACGGAGGAGCCCAAGTCAGATGGGGATGGAGATGGGGATGAGGAGGAGAAAGCAGAGCAGAGCAGAGTCACAAGTCGAAAACCAAAAATCTTTGATAAGGCGATTGCGTTGCTGTTTCGGGCGAATCGGTGTGCCCGCCGGGTCCCAAGGGGGCGCGGTACATCTGCGCCCGCGCCTTTTTGTATGGCGTGCGGAGGTACCTCCCCGGCCCAGCGGAGCTGCTCTCGCACATGCGGTGCTACAATTACGCTAGATTCACAGAAAAATGCTTAATGCACGGCGCTACATCAATTGGACTCGTCGCAGGGTGCAATTGTCCGTAACCGCGCTTTGAGTGACCATTGCTCTGTACTCCGTCTCGAGTCGAGCGGGATCAGCGGGGAGCTACGGCATTCGGGACCCAGTTTTAATTTTTTTTTTCTGCGGCAAAATGGCCGCGAAAAACGAGAAGGGAAAAAAATTGGAGACGTGAGGGGAGCTCCCGGTGAGGAGAAATTAACCGCTGAGGAGATAAGCGTGGCTGATTCTGTCTCCAATTTATTTCTGTCAGTATAATTCTCCTAATACTCCTCATGGAGGCAGGCATGTCTCCCTTAGGGTACTCTGCATGTGACCCCCTATATACTCCGTCTGTGACACCATTGGCATCTTCTCCTTTCCTGAAAGACCCCTTCCCCCCATTCGCCCCGAAATCATCCGACGTGCGGCTCCGAGATATATCGTGGGCTCGATAGCTCTCCTCGCATGGGCTTGGACTTTGGGGCGTAGCCCAGCCCTATACCTGAGGGACGGCAGAATCTGGGGAAGCCATCCCTGGTCCACTTCCACCCACGGCCCCAATTTCACCCCCCTCAAGCCCCTACCCGAGCTGCTCGAGGCTATCGGCGAGACTCGGCGCGAGTCTAGGAGTACTGAAGCCCCAGCAGCCCCTAGCAGTCATCAGCCCCTCGAGCCCCAGCTTCGGCTAGCTGTCACCTGATGACGTAGACGTAGCGCGGAAGATTCGCCATTGGAGGGTGGAGGATGGAGAGGCTCTGGGCGGTTTCTAGAATGGTTCACCGACTGGCTAATCCATAGCTCAATCTTCATCGTCGGTTGGAACGGGCAAGTCGCGGCCGAATGTCTCTACATAGGATTCCATTGTACCTATGTATGGAAATACTCCCTATTTACCTAGGTGGGTAGAAAAGGGGTTGTCGAAAAGGTGTCACACATCACAGTCAGCCCGATTCGTGAGCACCCCTTTGTGTAATGATTCTAATGCGTAATGACTCCTTTTTTTCACGATGATCATTGCATCTCCGTCTGCACTTAAGAAGTCATTCTATGTATCGCGTGCCAGTGTTGACCGTTGATCAGAATCGAGCTCGACGGAGCATTTCGTTCCGAACAGGTACCTACTGCAAGGCACTAGATGGAACCTGTGGTAGTCGCGCGATTCCATCTGTAGCCGGACCCAACATCATGGGACAATCAAGCTCCGCAACATCGCGGCCAACTCGGGCTGATCTATCCCAGTGGCATTGACTAAGTAAATAATGACTACAGGGAATGAGATGAATACCAATTACGGAAGCTCTTCAACTACTTCTTTTCTTTTGCCATTCCACCTCACGACTGCATGAGTTGACTCCGGCTTACTGTACACAGACGTTTCTATTTGTATTCGCACATGAATGTACATATACCGATCGACGAATTAAATCGACACCCCCAATGCCAACGTGGCTGGTAGATCCCTTCCATGCGCGTTGGATTTTCTCCTGAAGATCATACGCACTAAACACGGCCGACCGCCCATGTTTCCAAGAAAAGATCCAGGGACGGCTTATCTGATTCATCTGATCTCCTCTGATCCATCTGAGTTCAGAAATAAAATACACGCTGTCGAAATTTCGACACTACTATTATAATCTCTCCAACGCAGCCCTTTCTTTGGTTGGTAGGTACCAAATTAGGCGGATCTATGAAGGGGTCAGGACGAGAGCCTTCTTGTCTCCACACCGTTGTCATTGGGCAACCCCGTGTAGTCTGCATTGTTTCGCCTGGGGTTGACTGAAAAAACAGGTCACGGACTATAAATGGTTGTTTGGATTGTGATATCCTACCTAGGTATAGAAACATCCGTTCAGAAATAGTTTTCAAGTTGATTACGTTCAGAAATCCACTTGCATTCTCATGGAAACCTCATAATCAGAGTAGTATATCTAATATTTTGCCCCTGCTTAGTTGTTTCTTAGGCCGTGGTCGGCAGTAACGATTGGCCTCAAACTATTTTCACAAATATGAAGGTGGAGAATTTTGAATACATATGATGGCCAAGTACAGATTGCAGTACTACAGGTCTTGTATCATTTCAGAGTCCAGTTGCTCTGCTTTTAACCGGTTAGCGGCCATTGGTATTCCAGGCATGCCAGAAGCTTGGAACTACCAGAACGCTAAATCTGAGCTTTGAAATCATTGCCTTCATCAAGTAAATAATCACTGATAACAAAGTTGTATGACAATCGCATATCCAAAAAGCTATTTATACATATATAATGCTCAAAACCGAAGACAATAGGAAACATTTCTAGATGCTCTCAACCCAAGTTCCAAATCACAGAGAACAAGGCTACCAAAGTCTGTTCTCCGGCAGAACCTTCTCCTTCTTGACACCAGCAGTCGACTTACGCTCCTCAGGCGAACGGAAGAACAACGAAGGACCCTCCATAGGCTTAAGAAGGTGACTGAGGTAACCACGGTGGGCAGGATCGCGGTAATACTCGATATCGCGACGACGAGTCGGGTCCGGGAGACGGTAACGGAAGCCGACAGCCTTCATTATCGCCGACTCGGAGACGTCCTCGGTCAAGTTGTCCGCCTTGAGCAGGTCCTTGGAGCCGCTCTCAGCGGACCAGGCCATGGACACGAACGGATGCGACTCCATGCGCAGGATGTTTTCGATCGCCTTGCGGGTGTAGTAGCGGGTTGTCACGGAGCCGCCGGTGGCCTCGATGGCCTCGATGGCGGAGGCGGAGGCACGCGAGACGACGAGGTGGATGGGTTGCTTCAGAGCGGAGTCGGTGCCGCCCAGGAGCTTGACGCCTTCTTTTGCTTGGTGGATGCAGCGCGAGTGTGTCAGTTCGCGGATTGTGATGGGCCGCGCGGGATCGATGCGGCCTTGGTCGATCCATTCTTGGATGCGGGATAGATTCACGGGGGCCATTTCCTTGGCGAATCTGGTTGGTGTTAGAGATACTTTTGTATAAAATAGTGTGATGTCTCTCTCATCGAGCAACTGAAAATTCGAGGACATGCGTAGAGGGCCAGAAAGACGTACACATTCGGGGCTCCGCGTTCACCGTGAACAACAATATCGGGTGTTTGACCACCATTGAAGCCAGCCGGGACCTTTCCATGCTGCTTCTGACCCTTGTGACCACGACCGGAGGTCTTACCCTTGCCGGAAGCCGGACCACGACCTCGTCGGATGCGCTTGTTGTAGGCGGAGGGATTGTCGGAGAGGGACGAGAGAATATGCGCGCCGCGGGCTTTGCTGGAATTGGGGCGTGAGGAAAGCCAGTGATGAAGCCTGGGTAAATGGCTTGGCGATGAATTGTTGAAGCTGCATAGGCAGCCCCATCAGTCGTGGAGTCATGGTGTCGATGGGCTGGCGAAGTTGTTGGCCGACCCCGTCCGGCCGCTCGAGATCTTTGATGCGGCGGAGAAATGTCGGGCCGGCAGCGACAAGTGCGCATGGCCTACTTATGCACAGAACGGCATTACTCCTGGTTCGATCAAGGTGCTTTTTTAATGCTGTTGTCAATGGAAATGCAAGAATTTTTTTTTTCTGTAATCCCTGAAAGGAAGTTTTACAATGGAGCAGATAGTATAGTATGTGGTAAAAATCTAAAATCTTCATCTTTGCGAGGCCTAATGTCTGCAAAAAAATAAACGCCTGTTATGCGAATGCGACTGCGGCGATGTCCCAGTTGCCCACGAGTTAAAAAAAATAAGCCAAAGATTTAAAAATGCCGTAAAAGCCATCCTGCCACCCGAGTGTGGAGGTGAGCCATAAACCCTTCTAGTCTGGTAAAACGCCGGACAAAATGCTGATGGTTCTGTACATGAAGCCAGGAAAATAAAAATGATCAAGATAAAAAGATATACAGTGAAGGACAAGGACTTTCATAAGAGTTCGTCGTAGCGCGGTTAAGTCGTCAGAAACAGATGCAAGGAAATTAGCCGGTGTAAGGCTGCGAGGGCGGGAAGTAGGGTTGGAAGGGCCCCTGGCTCCATGCATCGTGTTGAATATAGGGCAGCAATCCCGTCTTGCGATCGGCCGATGTCTTCCCCAGCGGTTGATAGTGCATGTGGTCGAATGGAACACTGCGTTGCGGCTGGAGAGACGAGGTCGGGGGCGGGATCAGCAAGGTGTTGACGGAGCGCACCGGGCGGTAGGGGGAGTTTCGGTTCTCGAGAAAGTAGGACGGAGAGAGGTGGTTTTGTGGGGTGTGGACCGAGTAGGCAGAGACAGCAGGCGAGACTGTACCAGCCGATACACCGTAGGGGCCCTGGGGGTGACGTCCTAGCTCAGGAAGCGAAGGCCCGTTGTACATTCCCGATGGTACAGACGAGACGCCAGCAGGCGGCAATTGCTGAGCCCAGTTCTGAGTCCGATTGTATACAGGAGGCATCAGAGCAGGAAGTTGCGACATGGCGGTAAGGGGAAGATGTTGAGACATCGGGTTGGAGGAAGACGGTAGGTTAGGAGGTGGAAGACGTGAAACGGAGCCAGCCATCGATGCATGACCGACGGGGGCAGAGGTAGGAGTCATGGGCGGCAAAGTCGGCATACCAACCATCGTCGTCGGCACTGTCAAGGCAGGAGCCGGAAGGGTAGTCGTCCGAGCAACCCGTTTCGTAGGATGCAGCTCATTGTCCTCATCCCGGCTGCGCTTGCGAGAATTCTGAGGAGTCTGGTCGAGAGACGATGGGGTAGGGTAGGGCAGTCCAGGGACTGGCATGTACCAGTTTGGCTGCGAGTTCGGTCGAAGCACATCACCTGGAGGAGAGGGCAACTTGGAGGAGGGCGACTGGGGCTGGAGACGCGGCGGCGAGAGACGCAACACGGGGGCGTCGGTCTCGAGAGGCAGCTGCGAAGCCCTGTTGAAAAATTCGCCAAACAGGCTCAGCTTAGTGTGCCAGCGAGCCCATTCGGCCTCGGAGGCGAAGAGGTCGTATCGGATGTTGCTGAGGAATTCAACCTCCATAATGTGGATCTCTTGCACCGCGATGCCCGAGACCTCGGCCCACGTCTTATTGGTGTAGGTGTTATCGTCGAGAACTGCAATGAGTCAGTATTCGTTCAGCGAATCAGACAGCCCGTATTGCGGGCGGTAAAGCGATAAGCCGACACTTACACTTATTGCCAAGCATCAACGCAACCGTCATGAGGCGGAATTCACTGCCCTTCTTGCCCTTGACGCTTGCATTGAACTTCTTCAAGCGATAGATGAACAGCAGGGCCAGTAAAATCACGTTCTGGCTGACCTGTGTAGTCGACAAAATCGTAGCAACCCATTTTTGGAATCCGGCAGCCGGGGCGGCTTCGGGGACAAGTGACGGGACTGGCTGTCGTCGGTCTTCGATAGCTTGTAGCTTGGAAGTCTTCTCGAACCAAAATAGACAGGTCATCTGTGTAAAGAGTACTCAGTTAGGACATTTGAATCGCAATTCAGCATGGAAGCCCGTAATATCTTACCTGAGCAGCAAACTCGGCCAGACTGCCCTTGGTGTTGTTAATGGACGAAGGGATCCGTAGTTGCGAGCCTCCAGATGTCCCTGATGACTTCTTTTGCGCCGGTTCCGAGGCGGGAGCTTCCTTCACGGGGGCGGGTTGACTGTGCGGCTTCATGGCCGCCATCATCGAAGAGGAAATCGAGTCGAAATTAGGACGGGGATGGCTGTACATGTGGGAAGGGAGGCCGTGAGTCTTCCCTCCATAGCTCATGGATGGAACCGCATTGTAAGTCAACCCGGTCATGTCGCTGGGCGGGGTTGGAAGACCGTCCCGAAAGGGAGCAGTCCAGGAGGATCCCGAGGGCTCGAAAGTCGGCTTGCGGTGGGAGGTGTCCTTGGCGGTGAGGTCTGTTGTCGGAGTGATAGAGCCCGAAATCAAGGCAGATCGAGAATTCCACGTTGGGGGAGACATAGGGACTGGTGCGATGTAAATTCAAGGCCCCGCCGACACATGGGAAACGGTAGAGAGGTGGAAAGCGTTGGAGAATATCAAAGAAAATGCAGGCCGAGGACACTCAGTGGCCCATTATTCCACGGATAGTGCCTTCCTGGGTTGTTTCGTTGACGGATGTTCGAAAGGTGGTTGATTCTGGAGGGTTGTTGTTGCCGGAAGTGAATCTGCCGCTTTGTCGAATCTCCGACGCAATTGTATAGCGGCAACGAACGGGAACGTGAGCAAGCGGTCGCTTTGTCGGGGTGAGCGATTCACGCAAGAGAGAACAATCGTTCTAGATTGGTGAAGGCGAAAAGTATTAAGAAGTTCTTCACTCCAGAGGGGCAAAGAATGATGTATATGGAAAGGGCCAAGCCAGGCCCATAGATTCGAGAGACAGGCGAACTAAACCAGACTAGAGGGAACCGCCCATCTAAGAGTGGCACCGAAAGTAAATTCGCAAATAAAAATGGGGAAAATCAAAAAGCGACTTCCCAAAGGAACCTTCACGGCTAAGCGGGAAATAAAATAAAAAAAATGAGGAATAATGAAGGATGAAGTCAAGGCATCATCTCCATCCTTTTACCGCAGAAGATCAAGTCCACTAAAGGGAGAGGAGCCAGGGTAGGTTGACCCATCCGGAGAAAGCATGAGCGGCCATTCGGGACAGAGTTTGACCCGGACGCAGGTCCAAAGGGTTGATCCTCCTTTCTGGGCTCGTTTGGGTTCCGGTTTGGTCAATCTAGAATTGATTGTCTCTGGGAGGGAGAAGTGGGAAAAAATAATTTAATTAAAATAATAACGATAAAAAAGGGAATGGAAATACCGGTTGATGTCAGAGCCACCAGGGGTGGTTGGGGGGTCACAAGTGGATGCAGGGCCTAGAAAGGGTAGGTCGCAGAGTAATGTTTACGGAGGTCACTGGTCCCGGCCGCAGAAACAGCCCTAGGCGGAGCAGGGCGGAGGGATACTGAGTATGGCGTAGCGTGGGTGGAAAGGGGGGGAAGGTGAAGACACGAAAGGAAGCGGGCGGAAAATGGGTGGTCAAAAAAAAAAAAAAAAAAAAAAAAAAGGCCGAAAAAAAAATGAAAATGAAAACCGGAAAAAGGAAAGGATGGGACAGGATCAGAACTATCGGAGGACAGATCCAAGACCTTACTGGGGGTTCCAGGACCCATATCAGATCCAATAATAAGACGGGTTTAGCGTGTTGCAACCGTCGGCCCAATGCCTGTGCGAGTTTAAATTACGCAAGCTCGGTACCCAGGTATCCGGGATACCACTTCGTTACCCTAGGTAGCCTAATACGGACGAGAGCCCAGAGAACGGTCCCAGTCGCACCCTAAGTATGCGCAAGTATGTATGCCTCCGTGCCGACTACAAAAAAGGGTTAAAGGGGCATCGTCTGTCAAAGCTATCTAGGGCAAGAGAGGTGGCTGATCATTTTATGTATAGACCGAAAGAGATATGGGTCAGAATGAAGAGAATAAATCGATTGGACCGAATGAATCGACATCAAATAAAGGAGTTTGCAAGCAACGTCGGGGAGGCTCATGAAAGGGCTATGGATACTGTAGGTGCAGTGGCATGTACGACGATTACGAGAGCGTACGATAGTCCAGCTGGGCAGGAGGGACTACCAACATCGTGGAGACTGCAGCGAGCAAGGCCAACCGAAAAAGAACGGGTCAGCCTCACCAGTTGCCTGCTCACAGACGAAGTGACTAGCAGAACGACGCAGGCGACATGAATCTTGGGCAATGGGCAGCAAGCGGATCCCAGGGGGGCAAAACCTTACCTAGTGTGACGGTAATAATGAAGGGAGAAGGCGGCAGGGATGGGAATCGGACGCCTCGCAGCTGCCGATCGGCGTACGAGGTATGTAACCGGCATGTAAGGACGGGCAATGCTGAATCAGCTGCATCGTATTCCGCTGGGAGAGGGGAGCCACCACACTCCCACAGGCTGCCACTGGCACACTCTGCCACTACCGCTGCTGGTCCTCGGAGCCCACTGCGACGACGGCGACTAGGCTCGCGCGGCCCCGGGCCTCTTCGCCCCAATCAAATCGGCCTAGCCGGATCCCATCCCAGCTTCTGGCGGAATGCCAGGATGGAAGGCTCCACCCGACTCAATGCTCGTCTCGTTCTGCTGCTGCTCGTTGAATCCGAGCCACCCGCCTTCGGTGGCTGAGAGTCCCGTGAGAAGCGCGCCATGACTGGCTCCGGTCCGTGTGCGCCAGGCCTGCCTGTCCATGGTTGGTCTCTTTCCGACCGTCCCCTCCACCCCGAGGCTAAACCCACTGGCAGGCGCTCACCAGGTCGAACGCAGTACGGAAGTCTTCCAAAATGCCATCATGACACCGTTACCCTACAGGTGACTAATCGCGTACCCCCCGGAGATCGTCCGTGATTGGGTCTCCTCGTTCTCGTCTCCCATCCTTGCCAGTACGAACTTGAAATGTGCTTGCCCACTGGTGCTTTGCGTTTGGTGGTTTGTCGTGGTTTTGGCCTTCGGAGGCTGGATCCTGCGTTTTCCGACCGCGGTCTCTGCATTCCTTCCTTCCTTTCATCCATCTCCATATCAGCGATCGCCAATTTTTTTTCATCTTAGACGCCTCCCCTAGTCCGTTCTAGGGGCTCCTCATTTTTTGCTTTGAACCTTCCGGGTCCTTCGGGCGTTGGTCGGACACTCGGATGATAGTCCTTTCTTTCGCCTCGGTAGCGCTCCCCTTCCGTATCTGCATTTTTCTTTTTTTGCTTTGGAGTTGGGGTTTTTGCTTTGAGAAGGGTGCATTTCCTTGTTTTTGTTTTTTAATTTTTAATCCAGGTGTCCGGTCTAGCCTTCGGGGGTAAGATTTCAGGAGAAGTTCCGCGCGGACCAATTTGATAGTTCAGGTAAAGCCCCCCTATGGAGTACGGAACGCGACACGGCCGCAGGCATCGTTCATTCGCCCGTTCGTCATGCAACCTCCGGTCTGCACTGGCGCTGCCACTGACACTGAAGCGCCCTGCGAAACCGTCCTTTTGCCATTGCCTCCTGGCTCGGTGCATGACTTGTCCTCGGCGGTGGCTCCCCCTTGGTGAGAGCCCATTGAACTATCGACTCCAACTTTCGTGCTGCACGTCCGGTAGGGTGTTGCACCTGTGATCCATCCGGATGTGCTCTGTAGATCGATCCCGTGTACTCCGTGAGCCGTGAGCCGTGAGCCCGCGGAGGCCACGGCGACGAAGTCTGAGGCTTGTCTCTCTTTACGTGGCTTTACGTGGATCGGGGCAGATTAAAAAAAAACCCCTGTCGACCTGCGTATAATAATGGAGACTCCATAGTAGAGAGTATACTACTGTGTCGTGCTTCCAGTGCACGACTACCGTGGATCTATCCCAATTGGGAAGCCCAGATATATTCGACGCGCAGACGCGGAGTGCACGCGCCGCGCGGTGATAGGCAATCCCAGTACCATGTCACGAACCACTCTGGTACACCTGATGCAGGCGAAAGGACTTTTCGTTTTCAGGTGGAGGGTGCAGGGTGGACATTCGTCACGCCACCAGTTCAACGACCTGAAACTCGCCAAAGGGCTGGAGACGATCAAAGGCCTTGACCCTGGGTCATCTTGGCGGGTACAAATCACGTTTTCGAGATTGTCATCCCAGCAGCTGAAGACTGGGTACGGCCCAAAGTCGGCGGGTGGAGAAGGCCTCGCTCTGTGTGGTGGAGGACTCGTAAGTGTCCACTTTTTCCGAGCCACCGCCACGGGGTGGGTTTTGCTCCTTCGTCTCTTCGTTTCGGTCTTTCCAGAACCCCAGATGGAGGGGGGAGGGAAGAAAGACGGTGGAGCCCGTGGGTGGAAAGCACAGGCAGAAAGCTCCCTGGACAGCCGATCTCTTGCGATCCTTCCTTGACTCGTCACAGTCATACAACCCTCTCTCGCTTGGGTCTTGCATGGGGCCCTTTTCTCAGCCTTCCCCGGCTGTCGTTGCTCGGGACCTTTCCTTTTTGCCTTTGCCCGATCTACACGCTGACTTCAGAATTTCCCCTAATCAACCACCCACCCCCAGCCCGGGCCAACCACCCTCCCCGTGGACCACTCGCACGTCCTCCTCTGTGGGGGCAATCGAAAAAAAAGAAAAGAAAAGAAAAGAAAATACCCCAAAATAATCATGACCCAAGATCACTGTTCCCAAATGGATCCCCCCCTCTTGCGCGCGCGCACGTTGCCACCGACAACTAGTGATCCCGGTTGCGGCGGAGCGTCGACAGTCACCGCCGGTGCATGGCACAGAAAATTGAATCCCAACATCATCCGAGCAAATTATTGTGCTCCACACGGAGCGTAGTAATGGGAAATATTTACCGCCCCCCCTCTTTTTCCTTTCTGACTTGCAGGTGTGGGAGTTTTACCGTGTACGGTGCTACCTGCAGACGTCGACTTCGTCACAGGGACGCATCATGGAATCTCAGGGATTCTGGAGGGGATCGGGATGTGATTCGATTTGGATCGTAATGCTTCCTCAACCTTGGAAGTCTCATGAAAGATTATTGGGGTCTATCGGACGTGGTTAGAGAGAACAACGCTCGTAGTACTTACGACAGTATATTGATTACTCCGGAGCACACACTATTCAGTTACTAACTGAAGGTACGGATGATCGTTGCCTCGCTCTCACAGACGGGTTCGACACTCGACTATTGGCGCATGCAGTTTGACCGCGACCGCCATGGTCGTGAACCTCCGCCATCGGCACCCGTTGCATTAAACTAGAAGGCCCCTTTCATATGCACGCGGAAAGGTCCGCCTATCATGGAAGTCATCCGAACCCGATTCATCGTCCACTCCTATCCACTATCACGGCTGGGCAAGCAGCAATCTAACGACACTCTACCCAATTCCTGGACTCCAGGCAAGACATACGGCAGACTCCACAGAACTTGCGTGACCCCCCCCTCGGGGCGATGATTGGCGTTGCAACAGAGTTTCGGTTCTCAGAGCACTGCCTGCTGGTACATCATAGTGAATTGCCGAGTACTTACCTACGGAATATACTATCGGGAGATACATGGGGTACATCACACCCGGAGTGTTCCATACATGCGACCGGATATATACACTATGGTATGTCGTTACTCCAGCTGGTAACCGATCAGCAACCCTCGAACCGGATTACTCCGTGTATCCTGTAAATATTGGAAATGCATCGATATTGTCATGGACAACGGTATTTACTTTCTGCGTGCTCCAGCTGCTCCGCCGTAACCTTGGACCAGGTCAATTACACAGCACACCGCGACCCGGGCGGGGCGGGGCTCCGAGCCCGTTCAGACGCCGCCGGCATCAATTTCCCATTGCTCTGGGGCAATTGAGGGGTGCAACGAGCGTAATCTGTCTCATGCGTCAGATTTTTACGTTTTTGCCTTTGACATTTCCTGCGCCAGTTCGATGAGGGTTTTTGCTTGCCTGCTGGGTTTCCCAGTAAGGCTCCTTGCATGCTTCCTCGTCCTCGCGGCTGGGCGCCGAATGCTCGGGAAGCAACCAACTATCTACGCAACGCACTGGCAGTACAGTTTTAGACCAATATACCAAGCATCCGATACTGCAATGTGAAAAAAGTACTACAGTTGGACGTGCATGCGATCGTATACATGACCTCACTAAACTCCGGACCCTCACCTCGGTAAGAAAACAGCATATCTACTTCCAATACGACCTATACTCCATTAATGTACACTGCCCTAGTTCAGGTATGTTCCATGTCAGACCGATGCCTGCGGGACAACCAGTGTTGCGCCTGCTGCACCCACACAGTGTGTAGGAGTACGGTGTACATATTATTACATACGCATGTGTGTGATATAGACCCATCATCGATATCACAGCCCGAGGTTGTTTCGCCCCATACAAACTCATTGGAGCACCGCAACGCAACGCGACGGGGGTGCGAACGAATTAGTCGAGGCAGCGGTTTTGCTGCGCCAACAAAGCTACGACGTCGGTGGGGATGAGGATGGGCGGTTGCGATGGGATTCCTAGCGTCATTCCTCGCAAGCCCTCGCCTTCGTCCACAAACTTCTAGCGTAGTGTGGCCGTCACAGAGTCGAGTCGAGCGCGCGGCCCCAAAAAAAGAAGATCGGCCCTGCCCCTCGTTTACTGGTCCCATCTCTGCGAGACAGGGCCTGGTGCACTACCAGTGTGGATGACCAGGGCTGGGAGCCCACACCCCTTTTCGAGGCCTCCGCCGGCAGGGGGTAAATGGTCAATGGTCAACTGACATGGTTGTGTGGGCGATCGTGAGGCGATACATGCAAATCGTTTGGGTTTGGGGTTGGGCTATCAGGGTTCTACAGGTACAGCTACTAGTCCCCTGAATGCTTTCAGGGAGCCACTGGGGCCCAATCTTAGAAGCAATTTGATTGACGTCGTTCTTTGAGGGGGCCGTGTCTGACCAACCCAGGCTAGGTACTTTGGTCCTCTGCGATGGTAGGTGGTTCAATTACCAGGCCCCCGGTCAGCCTCCTGATGTTCGAGTCACGGTGAGCAGGGTTCGAGACAAAAGTGCCGGAATGACGGGTCACCCAGGGGATGCAGTATACCATCCCGCTGAGGGTCACCGTACATCACCAGCGAGAGGTTCCAGACAGGCCTCAGCCAGCCGCCGGAGCCAGGCAAATTGCGTCTCAATCAAAGAAAGCACATGTTCCATGTCTGCGGATTAGCCACGCCTTGTGGTGAGTCGTGTAGTGCAGAACGGATGATTTGATATTATTCTGAAATCAGGTCTGAACCCCCTCCATGGCGATCTGACACATCAGAGCCTCGTGTGCTGTTTGGGTTTGTGTGCGCCCCATGGGAGGTGCTGGAGATTTCTTGTGGTCGTTCTTTGCCTCCCGGGTCGTGCATGGAGTCATCGCGTCGATGATCACACTCATTATTGAAAGAGAAGTATGTGTGTTGGGATTACCGGGTACGGGTCGAGCGGGCAGCACGCCCATTACGTAGTTTCGTCAGTGGTGTCTCAGCCCGTCTAAGATTAGCCTCGAGTCAAAAATGCACAATGGAGGCCTTGGAGACGCCAGAGTCTAGACTCTTCTCCGGATCGCGGCGTGCAGCGTGTTCTCTGGTTCTGTGCTGGGACGGGGATGATCATCCCAGCTGTCCGCTGCAATTGATTACCTTTGCACCCTAGCACTAAGGCACTCGGGTCCATACGACAGGAAATGAATCCACGAAATTTTATTTTTTTGCCAGTGCATTCGTCTACCTGCAACCGCCGATGCCGACGGTGGAGTCGCCCACGCGTGTTCAAGTCACGACGAGGCAGGATCACATTCCCGCCTCCGTCCACATCCGGTATCGCCGCCACTTCACCTTGTGCTGCTACCGAAGCGGATCGGTTCCGCCTATGGGAAATACGCCCGGATGATTTCACGCATGCCAGGTACAGTCCCGAGGCTGCTGGCTACATTTCCAACCGAGCTTGGGAATGTCGTCGATAGCGGATAAAGGAACGCCAATACGGCATTATCAACGATCATCGATCCGGATGCATGTACACCGTCGTATCCAGCCCACAGACTCTGGACACAACCGTCGCCCAGCACTTCAAACTAACCAGGTGGAAATTATATCCCCGTCACGGCCGTTTGCCGATTGTCCATCAAATGAGTCAACCACCAACTCAGTTACCGGTGGCGGTAGCACCGCAATCCAGCCACGACTCGTCCCAAAGGGTTACTTTAACCACTCTGTCATCCGGAGTTGGAGGCGAAAAGGCAAAATACAGCGAACGATGTTGGAGCAAGCATATGTCACCACCGTTTCAAGGGGGCAGATCTCGATCGTTGAGCTCACACCCCCATTCCCGGTCCCAGACGAATGGCCGCCCGATCCCATCCACCAGGAAACGGCGTTTCCACGAAGAAAACGCCCCAGCGCGAAATGTAGAGGCGCAAGGGAAATTAAAAAACGGAAACGGGAGGGCCAAAATTCCAACCCGAGTCTGAGCCTCCAATCAAGCCGTCTACCCCGGACGCGCTGGAGTTGCGTTCCAGCCGGATCCCGATTTCACTTCCAAATATGGGAGGCTTGCGCGATGGTCGAGCTCGTGCCATCCTTGCCTCATCGGGCTGCCTCCTTTGTTTTGACCGCGATGCTTCACACTAGTCAGTCCTACCGTCCGTGGACCTTGGATCATATCAAGCTTGGTCTGCTGAACGATTTGAGGGGGGTGGCTGATGACGGATCTGGTCGTCTCGTTTTGCGCCGTCGCCCCAAGGCGTTTATTAATAAGACCAGGATGAGATGACTGTTCCATGGCAGACTAACGCCTTCGGCGTAACTGCTTTGCTAAAAGTACCGTCTCCTAAACAAGCTAGAGTGGCCTGTATTCAATGGTCCCCCGGCAACCGCGCGTTGCTTCAATGCGATCGGCGTTGTCTCTTCGCCTTTCCGGATTGTGATCTGGTCATCCGGGGACCATTTGCAAATCCATCATCGACCAGAATCCTCGGTTTCTTTGTTCTGGCGTCCCTGAGGTCGTCACCGGACAAATTTGCGACCGGGTGAATGAGGCAGATCGGCCTCCTTTTCTTTGGTCGGTGGTGCGGTGGTGGCTGGCTGACGTGCGTCTGCCTGGGAGGTTTTGCTTGTTGTGGGTGTGGAACGTGTCTGACGGACTGCCGAGTTGCTTTGCTGCCTGCCTTTGCCTAGGGTACGTGCTGGAGGCTGAATGCGCGCATTGCTGATGGACAGGAAACGACGACATCGCCCCTTCACCTGGCTCGGCGTGGGACTCATCACTCTTGCGGCACTCGAACTATTACCTCGATCCTGCTCAACGTTGAGAGGCCGCTGCATTCGTGAGAATAAATTCTCCTCCATCCCGTATACCAGCCAGCCCGATTACAATACATGTTTCACCGAGCAACGAGGAAGCCGGGGCAACGATGTCCGGGCTCTTGCAACCTGGTCTGTTTGCCGAGTTATCAGGTCATCTTGTGCAGCTTACCGTTGAAGAGCAGGCCTTTACCCCGGATCCCTGATGACGTTGTTGAACATCAAGTTCGATAACCTCGCGCACCTTGATTACTGGCAATCTCATCAGACGAGGTCGTTTGTGACAGCTGGTCGACTCCGATTCGTTTGTGTCGGCTTACAGGTCGGATTCAAAGCATTTGGCTTTGGTAGTAATGACCGTGGAACTCATCTTGAACTGGTGGTGTGTGAGCGTGGGATCTGCGTGACAACCAGCAAAGCTTGGGGTATGATGCTATCTCGTAGTCTCAAAGCACCATGTCATGATTCCGCCGAGGTAAGTGGTAGGCCCTCGATATTCCGACGTAGACTACTTTTTCCAATAAATTGAATTCGTCTGCATGCACCAAATACGTGGAACACAGTATCCAACTTCCCCAAGTCCAGCTCCGCCTCAATCCCAATCATCCGCTTCGAGGCCTCCGTAGACCTACCACGTACGTACCTCCAATGCACCCGTCACACAAACAAACGCACCATCGCCCAGCATAAGCGACGCAAACCCCAACCAGCAAAAAAGGATCCTCTTTGCTCATTACAGTCGCAGTCTCGCAAAGCAGCCCTGTCCCACACGCACTGAACCGGGCTCGCCGAAAATCGCGGGGGAACTCCCTCCGGCGCAATGCACCCAAGTCTCGATTTGTAAGGTCAGTTCGGTCCATCTTCGTTTCCTAGGTAGGTGCTGGGGCAAGCTACCGTCTCCCCCGCCTGCCTTGCTTAGATGCTTCAAGTGTTGCATGCACGGCTAGAGCCTTCGGACCGTTCTATTCGGAACTGGGCTAGTCTGCTTGTCGGGGGGTATATGATACATCACAGGCGGAGGGTTCTGGTGCATTGTGTGCACGATTCATGTAGGGCGGTGGATTCACGGACTTGGGTTGATATAATGGGGTGATCTGTCAATCTGAAGCAGGATGTGAGGATAATGTGGGCTGTGGTTTTATCACAATGGACCTTGCAGTATGCGTGCGGAATAAGTAGTGTTGGCGACTGACCGTAGGTGACCGGGTAGATGGCCAAGTACAAGATCGAACAAGTGACCGAAGAAGGGATGGGAATAATCAGAAGAGTCTTCGGAGTAGTAGCAGAAGCACGAGTAGTAATCAATGTCGAAATCGACATCGTCACATATTCCACCTCAGAAAGGATTCGAGACAACAATTAAGACGTTAGGGAAAGACAAGAGATAAAGAAGGTATGGTTTTAGCAATACATTTTGTTGAATTTCTTTTCTTTCATTTTTCCAGGCAGGAATCTGTAGCTGGAAGAAAAGACTTTAATTTTGAGCAGAATCAGGATATCAGCAAAGCTCGGTACATCCGCGTAGAGTACATTCGTTCAAGTGACGAGAAATTGAAGTAATTCAAAACGCAAAACGCCCTGCCAAGTGTCCCGCATATAACTCATTAATCCATCCGTCGTGCCAAACCAAAAGCTCAAAATGCAAAGGATAGGGAATATCAAGAGATTTAAAATCATAAAACTGCAAAAGAAAAAACGTCACTGCAAAAGAATGGGTATCATAGTGACCAAGCAATGACAAAAAAATGACCCAAAACACCAGCGCTGGAGTAGGGAGAGCGCCGGTAACACAAAAGCAAAGCGAATCATAAGAGGGAAATTTGTCCAACTGCATTTCAAAGCAGTCCGTGTCAACAAAATGTGTCGGAAACATTCATAGTCACCACACAGAGTCCGGGGAGTTTTCCTCGGCGGTCTGGGCGACCTCGCGGAGCCAGGCACATTCTAAGACGTCGCGGATGGTCCATCGCTTATCAACGTCCATCTCCAGGCACCCCTTAACCAATTCGAGGGCGTCACGACGATCCTGGCGCAAGAATTCATCGGCCACCTTACCGATCACAGCATCGTGATTCCATGTACCGCTGAGGATATTGGCTTGGATACGAGGGGCGAAGGAATCTTGGAAGGGACGAGAGCCAACGATAACAGTGAACACGATCACGCCAAAGGCCCAGATATCGACCGATGGGTGGATAACACCGCTGGTGGATTGAAGTAATTCAGGAGACGCATACTCCAGGCTACCTGCAACACTGGTACTGGAGCCTGCGGGGCCCATTTGCTTGGGGGAGGTCGATCGGCAACCTCGTCATAAGGATCAGGAGAGTCACCGCCGTTATGAATCGTCATCCACTCCGCCATACCAAAGTCACAGAGGACCAGATTCGAGGAGATGGAGCCGTCGGGTGCTTCAACGGGATCAAGCAAACAGTTCTCCAGCTTGATGTCACGGTGCACAACACGGGCGTCTTCGTGAAGATAGCGGATGGCGCTTGCAAGTTGGTAGGTGTATTTCTTCGCAAGCTGAGTGTTGAGGCCCTTTCGATTCTGGCGGACCAAGTCGAACAGCGTACCACCGATGGCGAGCTTGGTGAAGCAGAAGGTCGCGAAATCCGTCTCATAGACGGAGTCCAAAGTCAAGACATGAGGGTGACTGAGATATCGCCACACCCGAACCTCGTGGTCGAATTCGGCTTGCACGTCCTCATTCTCCTTCTCGCTCCGGCCCGCTACATGCTTCTTCACGATCTTAACTGCAAGTCGTTTGGGCTCGTTATACTCCTCAACCTTATATGCCTCCTTCACAACACTGAAGCCGCCAAAGCCAATCTGTTTTCCAAGAACATAGTCTGTTCCCACCATTTGGCCTTCATCGTCCGGCTGGGTGACTGGCTCTTCCCGGCCAGAGGACCACATGGACAAAAACATGCTCGCTGGCGATTTGCCGCTAGAAAGGGTGGAACGTCGAGAACTGTGCCGCGTGGTATTTCGCAAACTGCCGCTACGGTCCAGCGTAGAGCTGCGCTTGCTTCCAAAGGGTGTCATATGACCCCCCGACCAGGAGGAACTACGGTCCTCAGGGGACGCCAATGACTGAGTTGGCGACGTGATGTAGAGGGGTGACAGCATCACATCTTTGTTCTCGGGTGGAGTCCGGATTTCATCGCCTGGTGATGCAGTTGAAAGCGAGGTGAGTGAAGTCGGTTGTTCGAGTTCGGTCGTTGCAATCGACGCGCCATCTTCTGAAGGAATGAAAGGGCGTGGACGGGAAGCTCCGGTCGGGATGCCACGCTGGTCTGGCGACCGCTTGTTCTCCCAGCCCCAAGGTTGGGCCTTCGGATCGACGGGGCCTTCATCTTGAGTGAGAGCGTTCCGGAGACCAGAGGTCCGGGACTCGAACTTTTGCGGGGGGGGATTCTTGGCGTCGCCTTTCACGAGAGGCTCTTCCAGAGGGCGCTGCAGACCGGAGTCGAGAGAGACTTTGGGGTTGAAGCTGATGGATGGACGGCGCTTGTTCAAGTAGTCATCAAGCGGGGAGCCGGGAATATCATCTGGCTTGTGGGGGAACTCCTCGGCCTCGTCCGCTGGACGGCCATCCGGGCGGGGTACGGAGATGGGAGGCGTAGCTGAATGCAAATCACTGTAGAGACTGCGGTCTTCATTAGTATCGCCGCGGCGCGCGTTGTAGTCATGATTGTTGGTGCGGTCGCTCTCGATACCATCACCACCCGTCGTCGATCTCCCCCTCCCCTCGTCTTCATCAGGCCATCCTGATTGTTTCTCACGGAACGATGTTTCAATCCTCAAGCCCGCTACCCCGTGTCTCTCCGGGTGCGCCATGCCCTTGATGAGAGCGCGGTGTAGGACGTCGTTTTGAAAAGCGAGCCTTCCACAGGCTCGCGGTCGGGCTGCAAAAGCACTCCGACGTATTTTTTTTCGAATGTTTCAAATCGTGAAGTCGGTCGCTGTCGGACGTGGGGCGATAACCGTTTAAGAAGTGGGGACGGCGCGTTCTTGGATCGCGGGGTCAGACAATGGCGATGTCATCAGATGAAGTGTGGCAGAGGTGAATTTGAGGATATGCGAGGATGTTTTAACGTGGAGGGTACGAAGCAGAGTGAGGTCAGAGGGAAACGCAAAAAGAGAGATTGGTCCGTCGGAACCTACCGGAGTCCACCTGGGCGCAGTTCGGGTGAGTTCGGGCATATCAGCTGATCGACCGCCCTGCGCCCCAGACCGGCAGCCCCTTGAAGACGCCCATAGGCAGTATACAACTGCAACTGCAACTGCAGAGCAACGCTGCATGTCTGAGGTGCGGCATCCCGCCGGTGTACCGTCTTGGCAGCTCCAGGGCTGCGAACGAGTCTTGGGAGCGGGACGATCTTGGGGCTGCGTCAAGTTCTTAAGTGGTTGAGCTCCGAAGACTGCGAAGAGATATATATTGTGGTTGTTGTCTAGCGCAGGCAATGACGTAGAACGATGAGAATCGGAGGGCATGATACCACGAAACGGAAAATCAACACCAATATTAATGAATTAATTCACATTGTTCCAAATGTCAAATTTATCATTTGCTAACCCCGGGGTCTCTACAATGCCAATTACAGTAGACTAGGACACCGGCTTGCTTGCACTACATACACTGTGTAGAGCAAGTCGAGCACTACCTACCCAGCTAGGTCACTCTACCACGCTAACGTAGCAGATTTTCTCTGGCGGGTGTGGTTTTTCCATCTGCACCACACTGGTGCAGTGTGAGCTGTCGCCGCTTTATGTAGTGATGGCTTGGGCACTCAGACTAACCTAGGCTCACTGAGCCGTCACTTAAATTTTGAGGACTATTTCACGGACCGGCATCTTTCTATTCTTGTTTCCCCAAGATCCTTTCTAAGACGATGTCTGGTGCGAGAGGCTTTTCCCGCCTAAAGGGAAAACTGCTTACCTTGCTCTAGACGACAGCGCCTTCGCAGGCTACCGATGGGCCTATTTTACTTTCATCGCAAATAAAAGTCTGCGTCCAAGGGTCCAGAGCTATACCGACTCAATAAAGTAAGAAACGCTCAATGAGTACGCGGCCAGTTGGCGGAACGGAAAAGGGTGCAAACTGTTTTAGACATGTCCGGGTTGTTGAATTTGACGATAGTGTGCGTTGGATCGCTCGATTGCGAATGTAGCCCCTATCGGGCAACCAAGCCGGAACTGCCATTACCAAGCATACCATGAGCAACGAATACAAAACGATTCTGCTCGTCAAGCAAAAGACAAATATCCTGGTTCCTAGCGTTCATGCCATGGAGCTCAGTCCCGAGAACGCAGTAAACGCGCATTTTATGTTAATGGACTTCTTGAGGGGCAATGGCGGCATGGATATTGGTATGGAGATTCTGAATGGCAACAAAAACCACGTCTTTGGGAAAATAGCGGAAAGCTAGGTACTCAGCATCGTCTACTCACATTCACCTGAGCTGAAGGCCTTTTAATCCTAAACTCTCACGTCTCAAATAGAGCTGTCGAGGGTACAGCTACCAAAAATTAGAACCATTATTCACAGGAACAATAACGGCTTATTTGAACAAGGGCTTTTACTAGGAATAGGGGGCCTATTCGAAACGGCCACTAAATTCTTCTAGGAGTGGGCAGAGATAGTTAATTTTGGACTATCTGGTGCAAAGCTGAGAGAAGCAGCGGGCTCGATGGTAGATTAGCTCTCTTTCTCTGCATCTGCCTTCAGATCCTTAATCAAAGCTCTCGCTGGCAAACCTTCCATTCAGGACAAGAGCCCCTTTCTATTATGCTACAGTGATTTCGGGCATGATAACATGGTTTTCGATGACAACTATACTTTATTGGGTGTTATCGACTAGGAAGCTGCTTTTGCAAGGCCGTGGTAAATTTTTAGCGAGTTTCTATTAAATTTGTGGATAGTACCGCCTGATATGGATGCACCTTGGAATTACGATAAACGGGAGCCTAAAAGATGCGGAAAGTGCACGAAGGCACGCTGACAGATAAATATATATCGCTGCGGGGGTGGAAAAGGAGAGAAAGATGAATCTGCCTAGAGGATACTTACTGTCTTTCAATGGCATTATAATCTTCCCACAGGTAAGTAGCGACCGCCATGAGATCATATGAGAGGGGAAAGCCTGTTTGGTACGCAAGAGTGGTTGAGAAATTCAACGCAGATCGCTCGTGCTGAAGTATCGTTCTTCTTCCCCTGATATTCTTGTTTCCCGAGTTTCTTCCGTTGGGGCTATTCAGTCTTCTTTTTCCATAAATAGTAAGCTGCAGAAAGGGCCAAAAGATGCACTTGACCTGTTGAATATAAAAATCTCTTCCTGCGTATTCTTTCCACACAATTGTGACATCACGTTGGAAGAAGCAAAGGCAGAGAGAAATATATTGCCAAAAACGGTCCCCGCAACTCTAAATCTTACTTTACCCCTGTTCAAGGAGATACAGCGTTATTTTAATGAGATTAAGAGGGCTTTTACTAGGGGTAGTATATGATAATTTATTAAAGTACTTTTAGTCAGACTACCTACCCACTCCCACATAAGCAGCACTTAGAGAGCAAATTAGACCGATGATATCAAGCTCACTATCCAAGAGCCGCTCATAGGGATCACGTGATGATCACTGATCTGCTCCTACCTAGGTAGCACTCGGAGATGTGCTCAGATCTAGTCAGAGAAAAAAGCGGCGCTCACTGAACACTAAAACGGAAGAGGAACGCCAAGATCTTGCTGTCTAGGTAGTAAGTAATATATTGTTGCACAGGCAGTCAATTTTATAATTAAAAAAACCTGACTGCATTTCGAATTAAATGAATCAGGGTGAAATTGCAAAGGTGTCTTGCTGACTTGGGGGATACAATTGGGATCGGCGCGAATCAAGGGACTTGACGCGACCAAGTTGGAAATACCACAACAACTGCATGCAACACCAAGCAACCGATCCCCATCCTGCTAGGGGCCACGCCTTAAGAGCTCACCCACCCTAGCAACGCCCTCCCAAACCCATGAAAATGTACCATATTCTAGTATACTAATCCTTGACTGTATAGATAGCCAAGGCCCTAAGCCCTAACCCGATCGGGTCACCTTCAGGGGCTTCGCAAACCCCTGATTAATCAGTTAGCCGCGCGCAAGGGGCGCTTGTTTGGCCGCAACCTCCTTTTGGCTCCAGGTCTGGGGGGGATGCTTAGTCGAGACTCCGGACACTCAAACCTCAAACAGTCCTTTCCTTTCTTCCTCGATGTCGCTCTGGCAGTAATTCAGTTCTCCGCCCCCGTTGCCTTCGCTCTGCGACTTGAAGTGCAGCCCCACCTTTGTCTAAGGCGCAGTCTTTCTTTTACGGACCGACCTTGTCTCAAGAGACTCCGTGGGGAAATTCAATCGCGCGCCCCTCGATCTTGACACTGGCCACGGGGATTTATTTTTTTTTTCTGCACTCCATTATTTTTCCGCCCTCATCGCGCCGAGTAGCGCTGGTTCAACAACAACAGTCTCGATCACTCCTTGCCCCGATTTCTCGTGCCCACCCCATCTCCGCCTCACCGCCGATTCCGCGTTCCCTTGATCCTGCAATATGACGAGGCCTCAGATGATACGAGCAGGTGTGTCCCTTGGAGACTTGTACAGCGCATAAAATGCTGTCCCGTCCCATGTACTGTGCTGACCGCGGAATGCCGCAGACACTCTAGACCTCCAAGACCATGATACCCCGTCCGCGAAAGATCACACAAAACAACCCGAAACACCAGCTCCGCTCGGGGGCGGCCGGCCTGCCCCCCACCAGGAATTGTCCATTCGCCACGCGGATGAAGATACGAAAGCGGAAATAAGGGGCGGTTCCAGCGCGAACGACCCTCAAACGTATGGGGATGGTGACGAAACGGATGAGGACATAGGGCCGAATGGACGCTATGACCATGAAGATAGCGACTTAGCCGATGGTGAAAGCGACGATCTTCTCGATGATGATCTGATGGACAAAATCTCCAGTTCTCCCTCGATTGATGACGGTGGGTTATACCCGCAAGGCCATTGCGTGAGAGTATCGCAGCTAATTGGAAACAGAGGACATCGACTTCGAATTTGTGTACGCTCTTCATAACTTCGTCGCCACCGTCGATGGACAGGCAAATGCCGCAAAGGGTGATACCATGGTACTGTTGGATGATAGCAACAGCTACTGGTGGTTGGTTCGTGTGGTCAAAGACGGCAGCATCGGTAAGCACAAAGCCACCGGCATTCATTGACGTGGCTAACATATATTCGCAAGGTTACCTCCCTGCTGAGCACATCGAAACGCCCACCGAACGACTTGCTCGACTCAACAAACACCGGAATGTGGATGTAAGTGTGGAGTTGATCGGCCACCCCTGTGACCTGAATATGCGCTGATATAGATACAGCTTTCCGCCACTATGCTTGGTGACAACAACGAGAAATCCAAGAATCCTCTGAAGAAGGCCATGCGCCGCCGGAACGCAAAGACCGTTAACTTTGCCGCCCCGACGTACATCGAGGCGTCGGACGTTGAGTACTCAACAGACGATGACTCCGAACACGGTGACTTTTTCAACGATGACGAGACCGTGGAATCGGAGGAAGGCGATGCTCAGGAGCAGACAGAAGACATCGTCGTGGAACCTCTTCGACCCAAGGGTCAAAGGAGAAGCCTGCAGAGCAGGCAGAGGATGAGGGTTGGCAAGTCAAGGCAGAACCTACATCCGAGCCACGCCGTTCGAGCGAGGAATTTTTCGATCCGGAAGGTAAGATCCCATCTGCGATTGACCTGCTGTTACTGCGCTGGAAGCTTCAAGATATTGACGTAAGAACAGAACCTACAGTCAGTAGATCCAGAAATGGCACTGTGCGGAACACGGATTCTTTCTTCAAAGATGATACTGCCGAACCAAAGAAGATTTCACTTACACCTAGGTTGCTGAGCGACGAATCCAATAGCAACGGCAGCAACAATGTTCTTGCTGAATGGAAAGAGGTAAGTCGACCATCATATCATGACTTCAACATGATGCTCAGAAGTCTAACATTTGAAAAGCCTCGTGGAAGCCTGGAAAGTCTCGAGAGCAAAAATTCCTCAGGAGATAAGCCCAAGGACGAAAAGAAACGTAAAGACAAGAAACCGGGTATGCTCAGCGGATTGTTCAAACGGAAGGATAAAAAGGGCAAGTCCATCGATGATTATGACGAGGCCGAAAGGTCTCCGTTAGATTCATCTTCTCGAGCTTCGCCGCAACCGAAGACTTCCTCAGAGTCCTTGTCACCAGAGCAACGGCTTGCAAAGCCGCAGAGACAGACTAGCAACAAGCTGCAGAAGCAGCCACCGGCCACGATGTCCCCCACGAAGGCTGAAGGCCACTCTGCGATGGAGGCGACTGAAGAACTGAACCAGCCCAGCCAGTCCATCCGACGCGTGGCGTCGCAAGAATCTGGCAATGCGGAGGAGACCCGAGGAATGGTCACCTCGCCGGTCAGCCAGCCAAGCCCTTCGAAGGAATCATTCGCAACTGCTACCGAATCCCGAGAGAAGCTGGCATCTCCGGTCAATCTGCAGTCCAGTGAATCTCAATGGAGAGGGCCGTACGAGTCCAAGTCCAAGGTGCAGCCATCTGTGGTATCCCCGCCCCAAAAGCTGATGCCCAGAGTGGTCACCGACTACGACCGAGCAATGGGGGTGGAATCCCCTGTTGATGTCTCTCCTGTCGGAGAGCATATTCCTATTGCCGCACCGGGACTTACGGCAGATGCCGGGCCACGGGCGCATTCTGCATCACCTTCATCTCCCCCGTCGTCTCCTGAAGCCTACGTCCACGACCTGAAGGGCAGCGAGACTACCCCAGGCTCAGTGGACACCCTCTCAGTGGACACACCCACTTGGAGTGACGCCAGCTTACGAACCTACCTGGACGATGAAAACGACATTCGCGACCTATTCATTATTGTCCATGACAAATCCAATATTCCCCCGGCCGGTTCTGACCACCCGGTCACCGGTCGTCTTTTCAAAGAAGAGAGCAAGCGCCTCAAAGAGATGAACAATCAGCTCGATGAGATGCTTGTGAACTGGATGTCCCAACGCGGGAGACAGCCCAGGACTGCTTGATTCCCTCCGCTGTATATCTCTCTCCCTTTCAATGTATCTGGATATATCCAAGGGCCGGCCGAGTCGTTCTGGAAATTGGAAATACCTGCCAGACGTTTGTGCTGGGCACATCAGCTCTGACTGGCCCTGCTACATTCTTTCACTTCTTTTTTTACTTCTTTCCTTCCTGCAACTTTATACTTCTCGATTTCCCTTTCTTGCGCCTTGATGCCCCACGGATACATTTTGATGTGTTTTGTTTTGCCTGCCTTGATTCTTTGCCAAGGAGCGACCTGTGATTATTCCATGTCCCTTTGCGTTGGATCATCTGTCCATTACTTTTTTGATTTTCGCCGGAATACCCCGAGTCGTCCGAGTCTTAACACTTTTTTTTTCCGACTGTTTTTCTATTCTTCGCTCATCTGAAGAACATGACGTATGGCAATACAACAGTCTTCAAGTCTTTCACTGATCACCTTCCGTTGCCTTGTAAAATAAGATGGGGATGACCCCTCCATTAGACGCCTAGCGCAGCAGACCTGCGGCGATGATTGGAGGCAGGCGCATTCCAGAGTTCCTGTGCGGCGGAGGGTCGTGCGGGCAGGTCAGCCGCACCATGATGTAGTCACTGTATGTATGGTTGTCTGACGGCCGTCGGCTCAACTGACCGAGTCTATAAGAGATCTCGCGCCCATTCCGCTTTCACACTCTTTCCTCAACCACTCGCAATCATGGCGGATCCTTACAACCCTTATTCGTCATACCAGTCGCCAACCCCGGGCGGGGTGAGCTACTACCCTCCGGACGATCAATCTCACCAGCAAGCAGCATATCCATACCCGCAGCAGCATCCACAACAGTATCAGGAGCAGCCGCCGTTTGGAACCACTGAATATGGAAGCGCACCACCACCGGACCCAAACTACACTTACGCTCCGCAGCCGAGCCCATACCACCTCGCACCGGACGGATATCAGAACAATGCATCGGACAGAAGTTACACGCCGGTAGGACAGCCAGATTACCTCGGCCCCGTCAGCGCTCCAGGAATGCCACCCCAGGGTACTGGGAAGGTGCCTGAGAATATGGGATACTAGTGAGTGAATCCAAATTTCGCAAACGGCGGTTGGAACATCATCGAACTTACCTGCTTTCTAGTGACGGACATCCTGCCGACCAGCCAAGATACACTCCCTCGCACAGCCCGCAGCCCCCTCCCGTGTACGTCTCTGAGGCGGACAAAGAGCATACCTCGAAGGATGGAAACCCTCCCGGAAACGAAGAAGCAGGTCTGGAGGGCGACCGCGGTCTGGGAAGCTCGCTTGCCGGGGGAGCGGCGGGTTACTACTTTGGACATAAAAGGGACCATGGACTTCTGGGCGCGATTGGTGGTGCTATTCTCGGGAACTTCCTTGAGGACAAGGTGAAGGATCATCGACGGAACTCGAACGCGTCTTCCTCTTCGCATGGCCATCATGGACATGGTCATCATCACCACCACCATCATCATCGGCATAGTCGGAGCCGCAGCCATTCTCGACACCGCGGAGAAGACGATTACTGAAAGAACTTACCAAAGGCTTATGGAATAGAGGCGACGATGGTTTTGCGTGATGATTCATGACTTTATTTTTTTATGACGTTTGATATTCCTTCATCAGTGTTTCGATGCGGCTAAGCACCAATGGCTTGGTAGCATTTTCTTAGAATGGCCAAGAGGATCGGCGAGTATCGTTAGTTTTTCTGGGACTTTGTAATGAACGACACCTTACCAAGACAAGATACAGATTTATATGACCACGAATGATGATCATGATTTACATTATGGACTTTCGTACAATTTGCTTTTTCATTGGACTGCATCTTACCCCTTATTCGCAAGGTACCCAACGGACTTGGGCTCACACTCTCATCACACAATGGATCCTTCAGGAACCGGTTTTGGCGACTGACTTGGCCTTGGACAAGAACAAATGGTCGTCACAGTAAGACCGACTCTGGGCCTGTTGGAACGTGAAAATTCTGTACTGCTCGTATTCAAGCCACAACCGCCCAGGCACCTCGTATGATTCCCACCAGACCCGCACTTGCAGAACCGTCGAACAGAGTCTTTTGAACAATTTACAGATAAATGAAGAAAGGCACAGAGATGGGAATATTCTGATTTATTGATAGTAAAGAGTGAACGTGCCGTAACTAACTGCCGTTTCAGGGAAGATTCGGTATCTGACAATTGGCTAGTTCCTCGCTGACGGGTCTCCCAAACCTAATCTGAGCTTCGACCGAGCAATTTTCCCGATCAGCACGGTTGCGTGTCTGAAATAATCTTCAAAGGACCCCAGACGATCTGGTCCAGAAGCCCCTTTCCTGCAAATACGAGAAGAGTGGGAGCCCTATCTGCCGCCAGTCCCATTCCGGGGTCAACTCTCGGCCCGTTGTCTCCAATCGCCTCGTGCCTGGAAGGCTGAAGAGGTTTCTCAGGTCGATCGGTGGCCCTGGTTGGCTTGAAGTGAGCAAGAGGAGGCTTGGACCCTACATCTCGGAGGAGTTCCATCTCGACTAGTACGATCAAGGATTTGCTAATGCTCTCGCTTAACACTGCGAGTTAGGTTTGGTGGATTTAATACGAGCAAGCCATGTTCTTCTGTTTCCCGTCGGGGTTGAAATTGGGTTCTATGTAGAAGTCCCGCTGGGGCTGAAGACGTTGAAGACCCTTAAATTGGCGCAGAGGCCCTGGTTCAAGTGAGGTTTGGTTTGAGACTTGAGTTCATTCGTTTATACCCTCGCTTCACTTGATTTTCGATACATACTTTTATTATTCCCCGACAATTATAATACCTACCTTTCTTTACTCGACATGCATTCCAAGACCTTGGCTCTGCTGTGCCTCTCGGCCTCTGTCCTGGCCACTGCGGAGCTGGAGAAGAAACAGTATGGGGACTCATATGGCAGCGGCTCGGATGACTACTACAACAGTCTCATGAGTGACCTCAACAGTCTGTACGTACCTTGTCTGAGACCACATCGAGTTTGATGTATCGAACGTAGATACAGTCATCAATTTTTATCTAACAAGGACATCATGACAGGGCCACCGATACCGAATACCTTAACTATCTGACCGACTTGCCGACCGACTACTTGTCGGACTACAGCGACTTACCTACCGACTACCTGACCGATTACAGCCAATACCTGACTGACTTGCCCAGCGCAACCAACACGCTGCACGCGGGCGGCCCGGACGAGACTACTGGCACCGGCGGCTTCGACATGCCTTCCATGACCTCCTCTCCCGACATCCCCAACTTCAGCGGCGACGTGCCCCCGGCATCCATCGAGTCGGTTCTCATCACCGCCGTGCCGGCGTCCTACCTGTCACAGTTGGCCATCCCGTCTGCGCGATCGTCCATCTTCAGCGAGATTGCCAATGGTCACTACCCCCAATGGTACGAGGATCTCCCCAGCAGTGTCAAGAGCTGGGTGTCGGAGCACTATGAACCCACTGGATTGGGGGAGCACGCGGGTGGCCCCAACTCGGCGCCTTCGTCGGGCGTTGTGGCGTCGGGTCTGCTGGCTGCGGCGGGTGTGTTTGCCCTGGCGGTGTTGCTGTGAGATATTAGTGCAGTATCAAGTTGGGGGGGGGGAGGGGTGTGTCGTGTGCTTAGTATCTGGTAGTTGATAATGGACATTAGTACAATCGAGGTGATCTTCTGGGTTATCGTGGGGTATTATTCACCCCATCAATAAGCAATCCCCCATCCAATCAGCGCGAGATCGCTGCGGGCCAAACCGGGCCCATCTGGACATCGCTGATTGGTCCAGATGATGTTATCGCGTGAGTCAAGCCGGGCTGCCTCACGATTGGCGGAGTGTGGCTGAGGGTCGATGCTTCGCTGGCAAACGCAGTCAAGGCACGCATGCCCAGCACTGCCGCATTCGGCACTGCGCTCCACTGATAAGCTCAGCTGAGCGCGAGGGATGACTCGGCCTCCTTCCTTCACTCCGGGGTACACTTACACTTAGAACTCCCCCTCTAATCCTCTTCATTCATTCATCCTTTCGGTCCCGCCTGATCACTCCCCGCGCCCTCTACTCCGCGTTTTGAGTAACAGTGACAAGAGCCTCCGCAACCTTCCTGCTGAAAGACGAGACGAGAGACCAGCATTACCCCGGATTATGCCTCCTCCGCTTTTACACCAGCTCCTCGCCGGATCTCTGCCCGACCACTGCGAACCGACCTCGCCCTTCCTCACCGCGATCTCCTCACACCTCCACATCTGCCTCCCCACTCCTCTCGCGCTGATCTCCTCCGTTCTCGGCTCGTTCAGCATCGTTTCCTGGCTCTTCGCCCAGCTGCCCCAGATTTACAAGAACTACCAGCTTCAATCCACCTCCGGCTTGTCGATTTTCTTTCTTATCATCTGGTGTCTAGGCGATGCAAGCAACCTGATCGGGGCCCTCTTCACCCGCCAGGCCGGATGGCAAGTGGTAGTCGCCAGTTACTACGTCTGCGTTGATATCGCCCTCGTCGTTCAGTTCTTCTGGTATACACACTATAAACCAAGTCGATATAGAGAGTACGATGAACTCCCACGCTTGCACGATTCCGCCGATCCCGCAGCTGGCCTGCGAGAAGGTGTCCATTTGTCCGGCAACAATGCCGTGCACCAGTCCCCCGCACCGGTCAACATGGCCTCCAAGAGATCCGAGGTCCACGACATGGGCGTGCAAACCGGCTCAACGCTAAACTCCCCAGCCGGCCGCACACACTCATACACGAACGAGAAGACCAACTCTCCGCGCCGCTCCGTCCGAGTCGCCAGCAGCGCCTCCAGCCCTCCCTTCGCGCTTCCCCGCACCATTCTCATTGCCTCGCTGCTCTGCGCAGTCGTTGCAAACGCAAGTCCTACCCATGCAAAGTCCGCGCCGCATCCACCCATCTCCCACGCCCCAAGCGAAACCGTTCTCGAGATCGTCGGTCGCATCTTCTCCTGGATGTCGACATTGCTCTACCTCGGTTCGCGCCCACCACAGCTCTTCAAGAACTACCGCCGCAAGAGTACGGAGGGTCTTTCTCCGCTGCTGTTCATGGCTGCTTTTTGTGGGAATCTCTTCTACTCTAGCTCTCTGCTGACGAATCCGAACGCCTGGTCCGATTTCGAACCCTACGGCGGCGGCGGATGGGCCGATGACCATGGCAACGATCGTCTGGAATGGGTTGGACGCTCAATCCCTTTCTTCCTGGGTGCGTTCGGTGTTCTGTTCCTTGACGGCTTTATGGGCGTGCAGTTCCTCATGTATGGCCCTCGCGACGATGAGAGCTTTATTGGCGAAGACGAGGATCCCAAGCGTGGCCGGAGCAAGTGGCGCCGGGTACATGGCTGGATGCGTGGATGGATTCCATCCACATCGCCGCAGCGCGGAGAGCGTGAGCATGTTACTGCTGTTAGCTCGCAGGAGGGCCAGGCCCTTCTTGGTAATGACCGGGGACGATATGGTACTGTCTAATTGCACGTACTCTACTTTCTTGTATGGGATGGGTATCTGAAATACCTGTCTGCATCTTGGCATTTGTTTTTGGTTTCTCCCATCCTACCCTCAAGACCGAGGGTAGGCATGATACATTCACGATTTCATGACCCTGACTTTTCTGTCTGATTCATCATCGCATTGAGCCGTTGTAATTCTTGTTCCTTTTGGTCTCTCATATTGGAATAAGGCTTTGGCCATTCCGTACATCTCATCTCGAGTTCACTCTGATCTCACATTGGCGTTTCGGTTTTACTACAGGGTCGGGTTGGGGGCGGATAGATAGAGGGATTGAGACTACTGTACCTACACTGGTATAGACCATTTTCTGGTTTCTGGTTTTCGTTTGCACATCAACAGTTGGGTTGTTTGGTGTATAGTATGCACATACAGCAACTGAATTGACATTGGAGCTACCATTACATCCTCCTTTTGACATCTCTTACATGCTTAATTAGAATGCAGGTCAAACCCGCCAATTTCGACATGAACTCACATACTACCTTCAGAATATTCTTGGTATTTCAACTCACCTTATACCTGGTACTTAATATCTTACCGGGTTAGGTTACCACCTGGTCATCTGCTGAACGGCATCCAGAGCAGACAAACCATTTCTTCATCCTTCAACCCGGTGCAACGAACCATCGATGGCCATTTCGCAGTCGAATGAGCCAACCCTTTGTGCAACGTCCTCTTGTCCGATGAATGATGTTCCTCGTCATTCAACATCTGTCCATGACGAACTAGGCGGGGGGCGGAAAAACGCGCGGAAGAAGCAGCACGAGAATCTCAAAGCCATCTTGCTTCGGTGAATGATATTCCCAAATTCCCGACAGAGTCTGAGAAACCAAGAGCCGGGCTCCAGATATTCCTGATGACCCTTCATTCCGCTTTCAGGAACCACCAAATCATACCCAACTAGGATCAGACTGTTGATTGAGAGCAGGTCTACCTTTTCCTCTCGCAAAATTGATGAAGGTGGAGTTTTCGAAAACTCGCATTCTATGACATGCGGGCTGGACCTGGGCTTAAGCCCGGCTCCCTTTCCCCCTTCTCACTCTCCCTGCTCTATCTGTCTTGCTTAATTCTCTGGTTACACTTGAGGAACCTCATGTTTGGAGGAACACCAACAATTCTTCGGCCCCAACACGTGAGACGCCACAGACGCCCACAGACACAGACGATGCTGCCTTCTTAATGATGTCGAATGGGAAAACTGGCCAATATTGGATTGATTCAACGTTTGTCATCATATATTGATGCCCCAGGAGGTTCAAGCTCGGCTTCCCTGCCACATTCGGAGTAATTGGCAGACACCAGGACGCGCAACAAGAGAAGTGTCTTTCAAGGCAGATGCTGCAAACGAATACTGGGCAGTCAAGCAGGCTCCAGAACATGCATACAAAACCGCATATAATTGCGGCTTCGGCCAATATTGCTACCTGCGCATAGGGCAGACCAACAACGCCACTCCACCAAACCTATTCCTGATTGGTTCGGTTTTCGAATACTCAACCGGCCGATCGTTTACACTGCTCTCGCCGTAGTCGACTACTCGCTACTGCCCCAGCGCTTTGTGCATGGACACCAAGATCCTCCATCTCGCTGAGCTCGCGACGCAGGTCGTCAATTTCACCCAATCCGAGTTTGGATCACCTGACTCTGATCTCTTGGCAAGAGCACATTACGTTCTTGCCCGCTTCCCACTGTTATCACCATTACCGCGCCATTCCGACCCATACCCCACTGATTGGCCAATCCATGCTCCTTCCTTTCGAAGGGCGAAGAAGGACTTTCTCAAGAAAGTCGACTCACTGACGAACTGGTTGCTCGATCAACCCACATCGTCAGTCCCTACGCAGGCAGATTTGTCTGTCCCAGCGTCACCTACCCCAGTGACGCCTGTGCTAGCGACTTCCGCTTCAACAACATCTCTTCTAGTAACTCCACCAGAGGCCCATTGACGGGTGCCCCGGGAGTCTACGCACGTCTGAGACGCAAGGACCTTATTACGGGCCCAATTTCATCCCCGCATCAGAATCTGCAACAGGAAAATGACACATTCAATACGGAAGAAAAAAAATCAACGACATAACGGGGCTGCCAAAGCCTATTGATAGTGCATACCCTGGGTATACCAGCAGAGTCTTCACCGATGAGGATATTTGTGTATCGAAGAAGATAATTCGTCCTATACGGATTTGAATTTACGTGGACAGAAAACGCAGGGTCTTGGCCTCGCTGATGAGATCATTTCATATATCCAGCATGAAGACTTATCCTCTTGCTCGGTGTCAGTTTGGACACGAAGGTCAAGCTAAGCACCATCTCCATGGATAACCGGGTCGAGGGAGAGAGTGATGCAATTGTGAATACCCTGGGATATGCCGCTCAATCACTCGTATTTTAATTGCGCGCACCACAAGAGATCAATTATCTACCCACGATACTGACAGTCTCTCACAATGTTGCTTCAACTAATCACTATAGCCACCACTTTCTTCGCGGATGGCTGGACTCTCTTTAAGCCTACTTGAATTCCGTGAACCTGAGCCTAGTGTAATGATATGGACAATCAACAAATCATCTAATTATAAACAATTTACTTCGAAAGAGGTCAACAGGTATCAACCCGCCAACCAAACCAGCCCAAAGCGAGGTCAAACGTATTGTGTACACGTGTTGTATGTCTCACAAAGCCCAGTCCAATCGATCCAAGAACGCCTGTGAATATGAGCGAAAGCGAAGACGACGGAAAACTGCAAGCAATCGGTTCTCCATGCATTACCCACCACCTACCCAGGAATACTAATGGTACTCGAGGTAGTAACAGGAACAGCGATGAAGAGCATGACAACGAGCCAGCAAAGAGAAACAAATCAAACAGCCAGCCTGACCCATTGATGCAAGTTTGAGACCGGGAAAGCGGTATTAGGCAATATTCTAAGCAATATAAAAGTGACAGAGAAAAGAAGATAGGACTTAAAGGGGCAGTTCAAAGCAGGGGAAAAAAACCGAAGGGTTTTTTTCCCTCAATGAAACCGAAAGAAGATCAATATGAGAAAACGGGGGCATATTCATTCGTTGCTTGTTCGAATAATTCATGACCGGTTTTGTTTCTTTTCTTCTTGGACTCCTTTGGCACTCTCATAGCTATTCTCGGTATCAATGTGAAAAACTTCCTGCTGCACCTGTGCCAAAACATTTGACTGTAGTCGCGGAACCAACATTGAAGTAAACCCGAGAAGAGAGAAACAGGAAAGGAGGACACATGGAAGTCAAAAGACCGCGACACGGCGTGACCAGCACCAACCGGGCTCGTGCAATCAACTCCAACCGAAAGGCTCAAACCCATAATGCATCAAGTTTCAAGGCAGCATCACGTAACCGTAACGGAGAAGAGAGAAAGGAGAAAATGTCAAGTTCAATACAGGGGTGACTTGACATCCTGGACACCGCGACGGATGACATCCTCAATGCGCCACCGCGGAGGAGTCATTTGTGTTGAGCGCTTGCGGTGCCACTCCTTCTCCATCTCGGGGGAGGAGCCATCTCCTCGTTAGGAGGCATGGCGCCACCGGCGATACCGGTGGAGAACTTGAGTTGGAGAACGTTGCCAATCTCATCGCAGGCAGTCAGAACCCGGTCCAGGTCTTCCTTGGTGTGGGCAGCCGAGACACAGAAACGAGCACGGGAGGAGACCAGTGGGGTGGCCGGATAACCGACAACCACAACCGAGATCTTGCGCCGCAGCATCTCGTGCGAGAAAGCAGGCATTTTGGCCGGGTTGAAGAGAAGAACAGGAATGATGGGAGAATCATCATGGCCATACACTATAAAGCCAAGGCGCTTCAACCCGAGGCGGAGGTACCGCGAGTTGAAGGCCAATCGCTGCAATCGCTCCTCGCCCTGGCCAGGGACGAGCTCGCCGTTGATAATGCGAAGCGCAGAGGAGATTTGCATGAGAACAGCTGGAGCGGGTGATTCACCATAGAAGATACCGGAATTGGTGGCCCGAAGCTTGTCGATCATGGACTTATCAGCCGCAATGTAACCACCGTTGGCACCGAAGGATTTGGTGAGAGTACCCATGAGAACATCGACTTCAGAGGTGTCAATGCTGAAGTAGTCACACACACCACGGCCCTGAGGTCCGATGGCGCCAATAGAGTGGGCTTCATCGACGAAGAGGTTGAACTTGTAGCGGTGCTTGAGAGCGACAAGACCAGGCAGGTTGCACATGGAGCCCTCCATAGAGTAGAGTCCTTCCACAACAACCAGAATCTTCTTCCAGGGTCGGTGAGTGCGGGGCTGACCTTGAGAGATGGCCTCACGCAGCTTGAGCTCCAGATCCTTCATGTCATTGTGCTTGAACATAGCAATCGAGGCACCAGAGAGACGAGCACCAAAGCGAATGGAGGCGTGGTTCAGTTCATCAGAAATGAGCAGATCACCTTTGCCAACGAGTGCCGGGAAGACATTGGCATTGGTACCGAAACCCATCGAAAAGACCATGGACGCCTCCTTGCGCACAAATCTAGCAATCAAATCCTCCACTTCGATGTGCAGATCTTGGGTACCGGTTTCCGCGCGGGTGCTGGGGGTCGCAATTCCGTATTTGCGGACAGAGTCCTCCGCGATGTCGGCGCAAGGTCCCTCCGATTGGGCAAACCCCAGGTAATTGTACGAACTTAGGTTCAGAGTATCCGTGGTGGTGCCAGTCAGGTAGAAGTGCTGGTTATGGTCGTCGGTCGCCCGGTCAATCAGGGTGATGGTTCGTCCGGGGACACCGGTCACGGGGCGCTCGAAGCAGTCGTTGATGCGCAGCTTGAGACGGCGCACATAGAAGTTATCGAAATCGCTGTTGAGGGCACCGTAGCCGTTGCGGGGCTTCAGGTGTCGGTAGTTTTCCTCGCGGAAACGCTTGCCGAAGAAATCGCGGACATGTCCGAAAGCAATTAGGATTAGGTAGCTGATATAAGTCGTAAGCAGGTAATAATACGGCGGCTCGTCCATCACCGGCTCCGGGAAGACACCGCCAGGGTGTCGACTCGAGTACCGGTGGGAGGGGTGACCGATGGGGCCGAATTGGGCGTGTTGCTTGGCCTGCCGGCGGGCCTCCTCAGGGGTCGGAGGCTGAAAGAGCGTGGTAGACATCTCGTCCATGTTCTGGTTATCGGCGGTGGCCGTGGACAGGGAGATCGTCGGTAGGGACAGTGATGCCGAGCTAATCGGCGGAGCGGTGTTAGGATTCCCAATGGCCAACTGTGGAGCCGCCTGTGTAGGTTGAGGCTCGGCCTTGGATTTCGGAGAGACCGAGAACAATTGGGACAGGCGATTAGATTTGACCGAGGGCGCCTTGATGGCGATACCGCCCTTTCCCGAGGAAGGAGAAAAGGACGGCGAGTTGGAAGTGTCGTTGGAGGAGGAGGTGCTGCTAAACCGACGAGGCATCGCAGAGGGAAGCCGCGATTGAACTTGGTTCGACGAGCAGGGGCGCGGCGTGAGTTCACGCGTCCGGACAGACGATCGAGGCAGGGACTACCCACAGGGGTAGGTGGATAGTAGAATCGGTGTAGGAAAGGAAGGAATCAACCCAGCGTCGAGACTCTCTTTCTCAGTCTGACGGTCCGAGCTTCGTTTTTTAGTCCGACAACAACCGGAGGCCAAATCTGAATGATGCCGAAAGATCGTCAGCTGGGATCGGTCTCAATGGGGTTCAGCGGTCGATTTGTCGGGGTTGGAGAAGCGGCGGTCGGGTCGAGGATGACAAGAACGAAGTTGGCCCGAGGAAAAATTGCAGGAAAAGACGTACCTCCAGGTGACAATTGTCGTGGCAGGCGGGATCCGAAGACCTCCGGGCAGGGCTTAGAAAATTGTGGCTTCGCACGTGGAATGGGGGCGAAGGAAAAAAGGAGAACAAGGGGCGGGGGAGGCCCAACGTTTAGGAACAGAATACCCGTCTCCGTCCCGCGCGCGAAACAGATCTTGAAGTCGGGATGTCGTTCGATTTGGGGGAAGGAGGGGAGGAGGAAGGGGGAGATTCGATGGAGCAGGTAAATAACGCCTGTACTGCGTATAGCCATCATGCACCAGGTCCACCACCTGGTATTGCATTCGGAACATGGACGATACCGGCAATACCAGGCGTCCGAGGAGCGAGCCCCGTAATTTACAATAGAAATACAGTCGAGACTTTTTCTTCGCCGGGGCCCACCAGCGGGTTCTGGTCTGCCAGGGCAGAATTACAGATGCATCATGCATCCCCACCGCTGCTGCACGGGATAACTGCTGCTTTTTGCAACATAGGATTTCCGGTGGGGAAGGGCAAACCGCATAGGAGTCGACATGACTGGGGCCCATGCTGCCTAGAGTCGATCGATCGACATGTCATGTCCCTTAGATACTAGTCAGTGGAAATGCTGTAGGGTACCTATAACTAGCGGGCACTGCCTATGAGAGTGTCGTCCAATACTGGGGGTGGCCCTGGAACCCAAAAACGAGGTCAAACAGGATGGTGGCCGAAAGGGCGCTGCGATGATGTCGAGATAACCAGATGGTCATGCTACGTGGGGGGTACCTTACAACAGATGAAAACGGTCGAGGTCGAGATCAGAGAGGTCCAGTGTGCCGACTACCCCTGAGGGTCCTGTACAATACTAGTTAGTAGTAGCTGTAGTTACCTGGAAGCACGTGGCCTGAGGCAGAGATGTCACCCAACTTCCGCATTCCGCATCGGAGGGTCGCAGCAAGTAGAAGAGCCCTTCGGTAATAAGACGTGGGGGAAAAGTGTTGTAGAAGCGTTGAAGATTTAGATTCTGGGAACCTCTCCCTTTCACCAGACGGGCTCTCTGCTGTTAGTTATAGGCACCTGCTGGTACTTGATCGTTCTGGCGGCTCCGTCTTCAAACTACCCGCAGCCGCGGAGGCGGCAAGCATACCCGATCTATTCCGCCCCGCGATCCCTTGTTGGCCGCTTGGGGCATCCAATTGTGCGACTTGCCTCTGACCTGCTCGCATCTGCTTGCATTGAGTTCCACTCCTGCACGGTCAATCCCGGCCCAAAAAACCCAGATTTGCCCCCAGCGATATACAACTTGGGAAGACTTTGACCTCGTGACACTCCCGGCGGCCCATCTGATCTCCCCCTGGATCCGAAATACCCAGGGTGACCGCAGAAAACTATCGCTGGTCATTTCTTGCCTTCTGTCTTACGTCCGATTTCACTCGTCTCTCTCCGATTATTCATTGGGATTCATTTGGCCTTATTGGGACCCGCCAATTGAAGCAATCATGCCGCACATCGACGAGACGATGACCCCAGAGGTGAAGGAGCTGTGGCGTCCTTCAATCCCCGAAGCAACCCAAATTTATGACTTTATGACCAAGGTGAACAAAAAGTATGAGCTGTCGTTGTCTGATTATGAGGGTCTCTGGAAATGGAGTGTTTCCGAGCCGGCCAAATTCTGGGAAGAGATCTGGCACTATACACATATCAGGGCTCATGAGCCATACAAGAATGTAAGTTCCGGATTGCAACTACATTAGGTATGGCAAAGGCACCAGTTCCTAATGGCAACCATAGGTCATGGAATCCAAGCAAGCCATGTTCCCCCGGCCTGCATTCTTTGAAGGGAGCACGCTGAATTTCGCCGAGAATCTCCTCTATCCAGCTGCCAATCCCGATGAGAATTCAATTGCAATCATCGGGGCCACAGAGGCTGATCGCGAGTTCATCTCCTGGAAAGAGCTGCGAGAGCGTGTTCGCCAGTGTGCAAATGCCTTGAAAGAGGCAGGCCTGCAGACTGGTGACCGCGTGGCGGGGTTTGTGGGTAACAATGCTACTACAGTCGTGGCTATGCTGGCTGCGACATCCATCGGTGCTTTCTGGACCGGAGTGTCTCCAGATACCGGGGTGCATGCTGTTCTAGAGCGACTGAAGCAGATCCAACCCAAGATCCTATTCGCAGACAATGCCTCGCTCTACAACGGCAAGATTCACCGCTCGCACGCCAAGGTGCGCGAGATCGTGTCCGAACTGCCTGATTTAGAGCGATTGATCCTTATTGAAACAGCTAAGTCTCTCGACTTTGATATCCGAGAGGTCCGTCCTCAAAATGGACAGGCAGTCACCTTGGAGCAGTTTCTGTCTGCTGTTCAAAATCAAGCGGCACCGCTCCAGTTTACCAGCTTGAAGCCCGAGCATCCAGTTTATATTCTCTACTCTTCGGGCACTACTGGTGCACCAAAGCCCATCGTACACGGCTCCTTGGGCACACTTCTGCAGCACAAGAAGGAGCATCTTCTGCACTGCGAGATTCGGCCAGGTGATCGGCTCTTTTACTTTACTACGACAACGTGGATGATGTGGCACTGGCTCGTTTCTGGTCTGGCCAGTGGTGCTACGATTGTGTTGTACGATGGCTCGCCATTCCGCCCATTCGATGTCGAAGGTGGAAACGGAGAGATGGCTATGCCTCGTCTCATCGATGAGCTGCAAATCACCCACTTTGGTACCTCGGCGAAGTACCTCTCTATCCTCGAGCAGGCCGCCCTCAATCCAAGCAAACATCAGCATCGTCCCGTGAGTCTCAAGACTATGAAGGCCATCTTCAGCACTGGCTCCCCACTGGCCCCTTCGACTTTCGAGTACATTTACTCGTCCATTCACCCCGATATCATGCTGGGCTCTATCACGGGCGGCACAGACATTTTGTCCCTGTTCTGCTCTTGCTGTCCAATCTTGCCTGTCTACACAGGCGAAATTCAATGTCGTTCCCTTGGCATGGCCGTTTCGGTGTTTGACCATGCCGGCAAGGATATTAGCGCCTCGGGCGAGCCAGGAGACCTGGTTTGCACAACTCCCTTCCCAGCACAGCCTGTTATGTTTTGGCCTCCGGGCCCGGCTGGCCTGGAGAAATACCGAAAGAGCTATTTCGACGTATTTGGGCCTTCGGTCTGGCACCACGGAGACTTTGTGTGCCTGAATCCACAGACTGGTGGAGTGGTCATGTTGGGCCGCAGTGACGGCGTGCTGAAGCCATCTGGAGTTCGATTCGGAAGTGCAGAGATCTATAATATCTTACTGAAGCACTTCGCCGACGAGGTTGAAGATTCCCTATGTGTTGGACGGAGGCGAGAGGGCATTGACACGGATGAGACCGTGGTTCTCTTCGTGAGACTCGCTCCTGGCAGTACTACTGACGTGAAGGAGCTTTCGTCGCGGATTCAATCAGTGATCCGCAAGGAATTGAGTCCACGTCACGTTCCTGGTGTCATCGACGTCTGTCCAGAAATCCCAGTCACCTCCAATGGTAAGAAGGTTGAGAATGCGGTCAAGCAGATCCTGTGTGGACTAAACATCAAGATCGGGGCCAGCGTTGCTAATGCTTCTTGTCTTGAATGGTATCGCAACTGGGTATCTGAAAACCCATGATCGTGTTGATTGATTTGGATTCAAGATTGCAATGTGGACAAGGAAATTATGCGGCGGCTACGGTGTTTGAACTTAATGTCATCATCCTAGTTCTAGACTATGGTACTTGATCAGCAACCATTAATGAAAAATCTTTAGAATAGTGCCTTTGAGTTTTCTGCGTAATTTAAAATGCTAACAAGGGCTTATTACAATTAATCTCAGCTTGTTATAGGCATTGGAGTCGATTATCATCGTTCAAATCATGCCACGGATTATCTAATCGAATTCGGCGCAGTTCTCCGGAATCGATTCTTCGCCGCGCTGAACTTCCGACCTCCGCAAGATCTGAAACCAAAGCGTGCAAAACGCATAGTTTTTGATTCCGTTGGAACCTTCACGCGTGTCGGATCAAATCAATCATGCGCCGCTCTGCATTGCGGGCCCTCGAGTCCGCGAGGCCCATCGCCCGAGCTCCTCGCTCGGTGTCGAGGAGCTTTGCTACCCTTAATGATTCCGCCAAGGTAAGAGACCTATGAACATCCCCGTTCATCCCTCTGACCTCTAACAAAAGTTCTCGTTGGATTTCAACAGGATCCATCCGACCTTGATCAGATTACCACACTCCCGAACGGAATTCGCGTCGCCACCGAGTCATTACCGGGTCCCTTCTCAGGCGTCGGAGTCTACGTCGATGCCGGCTCTCGCTACGAAGATTCCAGCCTGCGCGGAGTCAGTCATATCATGGATCGCCTAGCATTCAAATCGACGAAGCAACGTTCCGGAGATGAGATGTTGGAGGTCCTTGAGGCTTTGGGAGGCAACATCCAGTGCGCCTCCTCGCGAGAGTCATTGATGTACCAGTCTGCCAGCTTCAACTCGGCGGTCCCGACCACCCTGGGTTTGCTGGCAGAGACAATTCGGGATCCTCTCATTACCGATGAAGAGGTACTTCAGCAACTTGCGACCGCGGAGTATGAGATTGGTGAGATCTGGGCAAAGCCGGAACTCATCCTGCCGGAGCTGGTCCATATGACTGCTTACCAAGATAACACACTGGGCAACCCTCTGCTTTGCCCCGCCGAGAGACTGGGCGAAATCAACAAGGCTACTGTCGAAAAGTACCGAGAGGTCTTCTATAATCCGGATCGAATGGTGGTGGCGTTCGCTGGAGTCCCTCATGCGGAGGCCGTCAAACTCACCGAACAATACTTTGGCGACATGCAGGCGAGAGACATTACCAAGGGTCCTGTCCTGTCCGGATCCGGTATTGATTCTACCCTTTCCGACTCCCACGCTGCGGCGAAGGAGGGTCAGATCCCGACCGTTCCTCAATTCACGGCCACGTCGACTGTGACCAGCCCTGCCGCGTCGCAAAACACGAACTCCTCGTTCCTTTCGAAGCTTCCTTTCCTCAAGAAACTCTCCACTTCCTCACAGAAAAATGCCGTCGTCGAGCCTCTTGACCCATCTCTTATCGAGCCTTCGACATTGGATCTCCGCCGACCCGCTCACTATACCGGAGGTTTCATTGCCCTCCCCGGATTCCGCCACCCGCCAACCCGATGCTCCCCCGGCTGAGCCACATTCACCTCGCTTTTGAGGCGCTCCCTATCTCTTCTCCGGATATCTACGCTCTTGCTACTCTCCAGACCCTGCTGGGTGGCGGTGGCTCCTTCTCGGCTGGCGGCCCCGGAAAGGGCATGTACTCCCGGCTTTATACCAACGTGCTAAACCAGCACGGCTGGGTTGAAAGCTGCATTGCTTTCAACCATAGCTATACCGACAGCGGTATCTTCGGTATCTCTGCCTCCTGCAGCCCGACTCGGACTACGGAGATGCTCGAGGTGATGTGCCGCGAGCTGCAGTCTCTTACCTTGGACAATGGATACTCTGCTCTGCAGACACAGGAGGTCAACCGCGCAAAGAACCAACTGCGTTCTTCGCTGCTCATGAACCTTGAGTCTCGCATGGTGGAACTCGAAGACCTTGGACGTCAGGTCCAGGTGCACGGCCGCAACGTCGGCGTCCGCGAGATGTGCGAGCAGATTGAAGCCTTGACTGTTGAAGATCTCCGCCGTGTGGCCCGTCACGTTTTCGGTGGCCACGTCCAGAACAACGGCCAGGGTACTGGCAAGCCAACAGTTGTCCTGCAAGAGGGCGAGCTGGAAGGATATAAACCTCGGTCTTTCCCCTGGGAGGAAATCCAGGAGCGCATCTCTCGGTGGAAGCTTGGCCGGAGGTAAATAAATTATTTCGCTTGCGAGTAGAAATGAAATGCCGGGCACTCTCCATGAGGATGTGCTCACATGCGTGTTGTAGATGGAATTAATGGGCAGCATCTGCATTGGGAGGCAATGTGTACAATAGACTCTGGCCAATATGACTCTGTAAAATATCAATTTTCGTTCCTCACTCCGATCGGTTTTCCTTACCCTGGGTAATTAAATCTACGTACTTATGAAGTTCTATTGATGCTATGTTGGCAGGGGCGGCTTCGGCGGGTCCAAGCTCCACGCCGCTTTTGCCCGGCAAAAAAGTCGGACCCGAACTCGCGCTCCGTTCTCCCATCATTCACCTCTTATCCCCCATTCACCCCATTCTATCAACCCCATTCACATCCGCCAAAATGGTCAAGCTTCACGAGGTCGAGGACGAGCACTTCAGCACTGAGAAGCCCCAGCCAAGCAAGAACGATGCTCTGCTGGTCTCCGATGACGAGGATGAGGACTACAGTGACACCGGTAAGTGTTTGACGCCTCTTGCTCCTTTATCGCGAACACACCCTCTTCTCGGTGCATCGATCGACAATTCCCATCGCACTTGAGATACAAACTCCCACCACGCATCATCATCATATCTCCGCGCCCCCCAACGCCCGACGTTGCCGACAATCGTGGTCACCCGCGACAACCTTCAGCACGCGGGCCTTCAGCACGCGGGAACGATGAGCATCATCTTCGATCTAGAGAAAGCAACTCTGACAAAGTCTTCTCAAAATACAGATTCGGAAATCTCCGAGACCGAGGAGGATGCCGAGCTCGATGAGGAGTCCTTCTACGAGCGTCTCTCCGCCCTGAAAGACATGATCCCGCCATCCGCGCGCCGCACCGTCAACAACTCCGTCTCTTCGCTCACATCCTTCACCAAGGCCAGTCTGTCCTTCAGCGGCAAGGCTCTTTGGATTATCAGCACCAGCGCCTTCCTGATCGGTGTCCCCTGGGCTCTGGCCTACGCCGAGGAGGAGCAGTACATCCAGATGGAGCGCGAGCAGGGCATGATTAAGGGTGCCAACGAGGTACGTTTCCCCTACCGATCCCTACAGCCCCGCCAGTTTCCCCAGCCCGGCCGACCCTTGCTTGACTTGGCCAAGCTTTGATGTGGCTTCCATCAATCTTGCGATTCGAACATGGCCATCTTGTCGTTTTGAAGATCTATTATCTCAGAACAACTTGATTTGATTGTCTCGTTTCGTAGTGTGGGTGGGGCCGCAATTTCTTTTCTGCGGGAAATTAGATCTGACTTCAGTTACTGACGATATTTTGATCAATAGATGCTCACCCCCGGCGCCGAGCCCGAGAAGAAGGAGGCCCAACCCACTCTGTAAATTAATACCACCCCAGAAAATGGGCAAAGGACCGAATGACTCGCCCGCCAACATTTCAAAAGATTTGGGATTGGCGCGAATATCGAGTAAGAGCCTCGGAATATGTCATCGAGTCATTCAATTCCGAAATGGCTGCCCCGTTTTCTCTTTATTGCTTCCTTGATGTCTTCTTCCAGAAATTTTGGCTCTGGCAGCTTATGCATGCATGTATTTGTACAATCACAATCATCTTCTCAATGTCTTCAATCTACCCACCTCTTGTCTCCGCCTTTTTCTTTTTTCAACTGCCTGTCTTACAAATTATGACTTGGGATGACTGCTTTCACGCATGCGAACTCCTACACTAGTATACTTTGCTGGGTATACCGGAGTGGTAAATCTGCTAATACACCAAAGTAGAATGTACCGGAAGGTGGACTATCGCAGCCGATAAACCAAATTTTATTAAATCAGAGCACCCCCCAGATGGCCTCCAGGTGAAAATGCTTGCGATTTGACCAATTGTCGACTCTACGCCACTCAGTGGACCATCTAGATCGGTGCAGGTGCCAGGACGATCGCGGCAGTATGCGACACTCACTAGGCCCTGCTGCGAATGGGCCGAGAGCATTTCCAATTATGATGCCAAACGTAATGTCTAAAGACTATTAGGCTATAGGATTTCGTTTGAACTGCAATTTAGGAAACCCTCGAAATGCTAATACATGTGACTATGTCAATAAGTGTATTGGGGGTGGGGTCCCAAGGGAAGGGTAAGAGCGGACGCCTCGCAACTTCCTCGCATGATTCGCATCTATACAAGTCACGTGAGCAACACCTCGCCATTTGTACACACTTCCTTTAACAGAACTTTCCAGTTGCAGGTCTCCTTTCGCTTAGCACGGCTTTGGCAGCAATCCCCCAGAGCGCGGAGGATCTCGATTGCCAAGCATGTCTGAATCCGTCTTCTTTCACCTCCTCTCCTTCAGCGTTTCTCGTCCCGACCCCATCCTGGTGCAGTTCATTGCATCCCGATTAGGATCACCGGTCCCATCATCATTACCACGATGACTACCATCTCACCGGAACGCTCAGCTCTCTTTCCTCTACCCCCGAATCCCCCTCCCCCTCTCCGGCGACCGACCACTCCCCGCCGTGACCTGCAAGCGCTCTGCGCGGTCCACCCCCGAGGTAGTCACAACTGCCTCGGAGGACGAGAATCGCGCAGTAGCTACTGCACCGCCGAAGCGGCTACGGCATGAAGAGAGCCGCCGCAGTAGCCAAGGTAAGCTGAATTTGGTTATGGGGTGATACTTAGTAGTAGTACCCTCGTCTCACTCTCTGCTTGTAGTGGCACTGTCAACTCGACCCCGGCGCAGCCCTGGACCCGAAAAGTTGGATCCGAGAAGTCCAAGCACGCAGCAGCCCTAGAAGCGCTGCGTCGACGCCGTGCCCGGGTCAACAATGGATCAGATGCTTCCCAGGAAGAGGGCGCTGATGCCAACCCGGAAGACGTCGAGGACGTCGACTACCGCGGGACAAATCTCGACAAGTAAGAAAGTGTCTTTGTCGTTGAGGACGGTAGCGACGCTGGTGAGGATGCCCGTCTTCCGACAATGTTCTCCCGGGCCGCCTACAAGGAAGTGAGGGAATATTTCCGAGATGTTGTTGAATATCTAATCAACAACATCATCAATCCGGATTTCCCTCGCTCACTTGAGCGGTACCGCTTGGCCTTCGAGAAGCTTGATGGCCAAACCAAGGGCCCAACAAGGGCCCAGTTCATGTCGATAATGTGGGTGCGTGATTTCCGCAACGCGCTCTGTGCCCGGCCCACAATCGGCATCAAGGTCGTTGACGAGGACATGCCGAGGGAGGAGCATCCTTTGTGTGGTGCGTGGCCTGAGGTCCGGACGCACGTTGCCTCGTTCTCGGCCAGACTGTTCGGAGAGCCCTATCTCCTGGACACTCTGGAGCCTCTTGGCAACGTCCCCGAGACCGATCGGGAGGGGAGGATCTTACCCCAGGCCAACAGGCGCATCTATCCTAGGCGGTAAGTTTCCGCTTCCCTGTGTGGATTTTTGTAAGAAGCAGTGTCCTGATACCTCTATAGTTCATGCAAGATGAACGCCAAGCAGGCCCACACCCTCCTGCACTGGAGCTATGACTTGAACCAGCCGGTGATCTCCTACCTCGTGGCCCAAGCCACATGAAAGAGGAGGATATAGCCCGCCGGGGAGAGATGAGTGCGGAGAAAAAGGCCAAGAATGCCTCTCGCGTGCTCGAGGAGATGGACGAGGGTGAGATGTGGGTGCTCTGGCGCCAATTCGAACGGGTGATGACCCAAGCCCGTGGCCACTTCGTCCTCCGCAAGCGTGAAGAGGAAGTCGGAAACTGATCCTCTTCTTACGGAGGACGAAGTGGAATCTGATCTTTATCGAAAGATGAAGACTCTCTGTACGATAGGAATGATGTTATGACATGACGAGCATAATGCGACCATCTCCCTGGAGGATTTGATAATGAGCAGGTGTAAGGTCACTGTAGCCGATCAAATGACCCTCAATCGTCTTTGATCTATGTAGCTTTTCCCGTACTTTGCTTGTCTTCGGCCTCATAACATGCTCAAGGTCAACTCCAGTATACTCTTTACGTCACATTTTGTAAGGGGAAAGGGGCCGGCCTTGCAACCCAATGGCTGTTGAGTGAACGATCTAACCTTCGACGAGCTCTGGATGTCCGTCTCAAAAGATGTGATATGACCAACGGAGGTGGAAGGGAAGAGTATGCGAGAATAGAAGTATTTGCTTCTAAGTTGAGCTTCTCTGCTTTTTCATGTTCAACACGGATGCCAGATCTGTTAATGCCCTCATAAGTGCAGTGTGCTGCAATGATTGAATGAATATATGGTATCTCACTTTTTGCTCACCGAAGACCAAGAAATTAATACAAATACGTATCAGTAACACCACTGCATTTCAAAAAAAACCTGCTCTGTATATACTCGGACAATCCTCTTATTCCTGTCGTCTGCTGAAGGCCGTTGCTAGCCTTCTCTCTTGATACTTACCCTTCATCTACTAGTCTTTAGCCTTCGTTCTTGGATTCTTAAGAGCCGCTGCCACCCTGCGTTTCCTCATTAGCGTGAGTACAGTTTACGCTACTGTCTATGAGCACTATGATGCTCTCAAGCTCTAAGCCAGAACTGATACGCTAACGTCACACGGGTCCGCACAAGGTCGATGGTCCCGGCAACTGCGAATCATCTCTTCGTTCGAGCTCCCTCGACATCACGTAGCTCTCAAGACATAGCTAGCTCCTCGCAGCATCGCTGACCGATCATCTCACTGGTTTCGCTCTTTGGGCGGCCCGGTCAGCCCCTTGGGTGTCACAACTGGCTCAACTGGGCTGTTTGCTGGAAAAGGGCACGAGACTCTTCGCCCGAAAAAGTGTAAAAAGGCGAGGAAACGTCTTTGAAAGAAAACATAAACCTCTAGCACATGTTACTGCCGGATTGAGAAACCTCTTAACTTAAAAATAGTAGTGGTTCGTCGGTGGAGAGCGCAGGCACCAAGACTCCAGCAGCAGGCCTCTCTTCGCTTCGCCCAAACAAGTATTCCCCATTCAGACTGAGCCTTGGATCGCGTACTTTGTTCGCCTTTAGCCTGTTTACCTCCCTCGCCTGGGTTGATTGGTGGAGTCGACATTCTCCCAGCGGCCGTCCGATGTGGCGCTGATTCGTGGAAATGGCGACGCCAGGGCTGTCGGCGGGACAAAATATCCTCGAACCCCAGATCAGCGTTACCCCAGGTCTTTCGCAGGCCATCCACGACCGCGAGGCCAATCAGCAGGGGGTCCCACGAGGCCCGCTTGACCGTGTCGAGATGGGCTCCGCAGTCCCCACCACTCAGCGATCCGCGCGACGACAGGGCTGCTGCTATCAAACTGCACATGGTGCTTAGCGGGTCTGGGGGTCAATTACGCCAGCTGCCGATGATTGGTGCTGTGTTCGCTACCTGCCTAGCGGCGTTGGGAGCTGCTTTTGCCCCAGAAATGGCCATGGCTGACGGGGGCACTATATATCTGCGGAAACACCTCCGCTTGTTTGCCTTCCCTGGAAATTGGAAATCTGTGGGTTGTTGATTTCTGAAATCTTTTGAGGGTTGTCCTATCCCGTACTGGCCCTGTACTGCACCATAACCAGAGACTTCTCACGTTGTCGCAAGGAATTGCCTGACTCTGGTTTGGATTGACATTGTCATTGTTCTCACGGTTGATCCGTTCTTGTCGCATTATGGGTGCCTTAATGAGCTCGAAGCGAGCCTACAATTGGTACGACGAGCAAATCCAAGGCCTAGATGTGTGGATTTTGCGTGCTGACTTCTGATAATAAACAGGTTCATCTCGCTTGTGGCGGCAGCATGCATGGTGCTATACGGTTACGATGCCTCCGTATTCAACTCAGTCCAGGGCTCGAAGAACTGGATGGCCTATTTCAACGAGCCTAACTCGGCTACAATCGGTTCTATTAACACAGCCTACACAGTCGGTGCTATCTTCGGAGGTTTCTTCCTGGGTGGTCCCACCGCTGATTACTTTGGCCGGAAAGTAGGAATGGGAGCCGGTTGCGTTCTCGTCATCATCGCTACTTTCATGCAGACCTTTGGGCCTCGCCACAACCTCGCTTGCTTCCTTGCTGGACGCTGCATCATTGGTATTGGCCAGGGTGTTGCTTTGAGTATGTCCTCCATGAATTTTCATTACGTAGATAAAATGGCTAACGAATAGAATCTATGTAGCCTCGGGTCCGATTTACATCGGTGAACTGGCACCGGCCGAGATTCGTGGAAAGATCATGACCTTCTGGCAGATGTTCTACTCTGTTGGATCATTCATCTGCTTCTGGATCAACTTTGCCTGCACCAAGAATGTTCCGAAACTGGGCGAATGGGACTGGAAGCTGGTAGTCATCTTCCAGCTTATGGTGCCTGTTATCATCCTTGCTCTTCTTCCGACTATCCCCGGTAGTCCTCGTTGGTGAGTTGAAAATATCTCTCATATACTGTCTGATGAATGCTAACTTGTACCAGGTTCATCCAACGTGGAAACAACATCGAGAAAGCCCGCGCCGCCCTCCGCCGAGTCCGTGACACCGAAGAGGAAGTGGAGGACGAACTCCTGCACATCCGCGAAGCTATCGAGTATGAGAAGGAAGCCATCTCCGGCAACTACAGTGCCTTGTGGAAGGACAAGTCCCTGCGCAAGCGCATGATTCTTGCACTTATCCTCAACGCCGGTCAGCAAATCACTGGCCAGGGCTCGCTCAACTCGTACTCGACCAAGATCTACCAGAAGGTTTTCACCAGCGACAGCCAGATTGCGCTCATCAACGCGCTTAATGCCACATTTGGTATCCTGTTTACACTGAACGCGGTGTGGATCATCGATCGCTTTGGACGGAAGTTCCTCCTGATTGTCGGTGGTATTGGCATGGGTATTTGCATGGTGATTGTTGCTAGCGTCGAAACACAAACACCGGTCTTAGAGGGAGGAGCCAAGTCCGAGCCTGTTGGAATCTCAATCGTTTTCCTCTTGTTCTTATTCATCTTCTTCTGTGAGTATTCGCTGCATGCATCTGCACGACTCTGACTAACAACCACCAGACAAACCATCATGGGGAGCCACCGTCTGGATCTGGACATCGGAAATCTTCTCCATGAACGTCCGCGCCCAGGCCGTGGGCATGGCGTCGCAGACCCAGAACGTCGCCAACACCATCTTCCAGCAGTTCTTCCCCATCTTCCTGGACAACTGTGGCTTTTACGCTTTCTACATGTTCGCCGGCATCAACTTCCTGCTGGCGGTCTTTGTCTTCTTCTGGATTCCCGAGACTAAGAAGGTTACTCTTGAGGAAATCGATGCGCTGTTCGGTGGCGCTAACCACGTTGTCCAAGGCGAGGAAGTTCTCGCCCAGCACAAGGGCATCCAGCCCCGTGAGACTACAGAGAAGCCTGGGTCTGTGACCGTTGAGAATGTTGCGACTCGATGACGGCAAAAAAAGACCCGAGAGAACTTGTTCTATTGTATTGATGAGAGCTGGGTCTTTTGTGCATTTGGAATCCTCCGGGATTTGCTTCTCATATATTATGGCCGAGTGATAGTTTTTAATGCAGGCGTGTCGAGCACGCTTTCTACCAGAAAGGTTTCAAGAGCTTTTGATTGTTCATGCATGAGCCTTTGCTATATACAGTATATATACTTTCAAGATCGTTAGATGCCTTCAGCGGCCAACGCTTCGGCTTTGGAGGTGCTGTTGGGGTCCAGGTAAGGCCTCTCGCCAATACCAACTGCACGGTGACCGTACCGATCACCAAGGCCTTCGTAGTCGAAAGTAGCAGTGTGGAATGCAGACCGATTGTCCCAGATAGCGATATCGTGCTCGTTCCTCCACTTGAATCGCGCTTGGAGATCGTGGTTCTCGAGAATGGTGTTGTAGAATTTCTTCAGAAGCTCATCGGACTCATCTGGGCTGAGCTCGTTGATTTGCTTGGGGAAGGGACCAACAGCATAGATACTCTTCCACCCAGTAACAGGGTTGGTGCGCACGATAGGATGCACAGAGGCCAAATCCGACCCGACGTTCAACGGGCTCCCCCGGGGCTCAGTGTAGACTTTGACATTGACAGGATCCATCTCAGCCGCCTTGAGGAAACCCGAGCCAACATATTTCGCCGTGAGTCCCTCGAAGAATTTCTGATAAGCAGGCGAGAACCGATCGTAGAGGTCGTAGCCCGATGCCCAGAGCGTGTCACCACCCGAGCTGGGAAGCTGCGTGAGTCGGAGAGAGGTATAATCGGCCGGGGCACCCTCGAATTGGATATCTGAGTGCCATTGCGCCGAGTCATAGCGGCGCTTGTTGGGCTGGTTCTCGTGGCGGAACATCTTCTTGCGCTGGATCGAGCTGATGGTGCTGACTTGAGCGTCGTTGACACCGAATTCACTCGTGTTGTTGAGGACGGGGTGGATGTGGAGGGCTGAGTCGACGGGCTTGCCAGACAGCTGGCCCAGACGGTGGACGAGTTTCTTTTGGAGTTCGTCGGTGAGGTTGGTCTGCGCCCGGAAGAAGACGACTCCTCGTTGCGAGACTGGTAGCGAGGGTTAGCTTGGACCTCGCGAATGTGTGAGGACGGGCTGGCAGGGCTAACTGGTGATAGCAAGGTCGCGAACCAGCTCGTCCGCATTTGGGGCATTCAACAGGTCGTCAACAATGTTGACATTGTGGAACTCGCGACCAATGGCCGGGGTGGTCTCTTCGAACGAGAACTTGTCCAATGCGCCGCTGAGCTGCAATGGAGCCGGATAGCTGGAGCCGCTGCTTGGTGCAGGGCGCAGAGGAATCGAAGAGTCTTGGATACCAGGAGCCATTTGGGCAATGGGGTTGAGTGTTGAGCGCGGAGGAAGACAGCAAGACTCTGATGTGCAATTGGGGATCGCACCCATTTATGTCCACCATGCAATCCCCGTCATCCGCGATCAAAGCACGCAATTCCAAGCAGTGGTTACACCTTTGCCGCGAAGAGACCGGTGGGACTGATTATCAGGAATGTGCGGGGTATCTGATCCACGTTTCTGGTGTACCTTAAGGTGTATACCGGATGTCGGGGATGTCGGCAGTTGATCGCAGTCCACCTACACTTTTCTCCTTGGGTAATACAACACCCACTCAAATACTCAACTAAATTAAATGCTAGTCTAAAATCAGAATTTTATCTATGTCATCAGATAACCCCACGTACAATGCGTACGCTGCCGCATATGCAGGCGCAGGTAAATCGTTGCCGACGAAGCGGGCGATCACGAAATCCGACAGCCAAATCACACCTCCCTCCGATGATGACGCGGTCTGGCCTGAATGCCGATTTCTCGGGTGATCGCCGCGTCCACGGAACGCCTCGCGAGTTATCCAAGGTGTCCAGACCTGTCTGATTCTCACGTCGCCGATCTCTTGATTTTGTATCGCGAGACCTGCGATCCATCGCTCAGCCCGACTGCCACCGACTCGAGCTCGTACCCGAACACCCACGGCAGCGCTACGAAGCGGAGTGTGTAGTACACGACTCCAAGGGCCAGGATCGCCAGTGCGACCACTGGCGAAAGATAGTACGGCAAACTGGTGCTTCCTTTTCCATTGGCGGGTGGCACGAACGGCATCACTAGGAGGAACTACATCAGAGTCAGCGCGTGGCCCGGTCGGGCGAGGGAATCGACAATCGACACCACTTACGATGTTACTGGCCAGGTAGAAGACCAGAATCGCCCAGGGGACTCGGAACTTCGATTGGAAACCTTCGTCCTTCGAGACGCGCAGCTTGATCAGCCCGATTGTCACGAATGTCAAGAGGAACACGGTCGGATACGTTCCCAGCCCGACGACGAAGTCGAAGGCATCGCCTGCCGGCGGAGCGCAGATGAGGATGAACGTGATTATCAGATGAATTGCCAGTACGCAGATGGGTGTTTTGAATGGTCGATTCTGCATCACAATATCCGGGAACGGAGTGATGCCATCCTTGGCTAGTTCTTGGAGAACTCGCGCTGTCGAAGTCAGTCATTGTTCAAGCAAGGCGGGAGCGTGCGCAACAACATACAAACCGTGAATGCCACACTGAGCAGATGACCGATGGCAGAGATCGCGACGAGAGCTGGAAGGGCCTTGACAGCTGCAGAATGACCAAAGACGTTGTCGAAAAGAGAGGCAGCGATGGTTAGATCGGAGCTCAGAAATTCCTCGCGCGAGACACCGGCGAACTGATCGTTCTTCGTTAGTCACTGCAGCCGGGTCTGCAAATGAGATACGTACATATGCAATGTTCGCGAGGACATACAGTACTGTCACCAAGCCCATGGCAGTGGGAAGAGCAATCCGCAGCGTTCGCTGGGGATTTTTGACCTCGGACAGGACCTGCACATTCAGTCAGCCAGTGAACGATATATGGAACGCTTGCTGCACTTACCGCGTTCAGGTTATCATAGCCTTGAAAAGAAAAGATTGCATCGAGAAGTGCTGTGCCAATGTTATATCCACTGTTCGAGGTGCCTTGAAACGAGGTGGATGCCGAAAGATTGTGCGGATTCGGCACTCGGAGATGGCCTCCGAGCGCAGCAAATCCAGTGCAAACAATGAAAAAGAGAGTTAACAGCTTCACAATACTCAAGGAATCCTGCAGTCCTCTTCCAAGTCGCGGCGCCACTGTATGAATACCCACAGCAAATGATACGGCCCCGATAGCCAATCCCCTCAACTTCCAAGTCATCGAATCCACCGCCGCAGCTTTGAGTATGTAGGATGAAGCCGTAATGGCATTGCTGGCCGAGGTTTCTACAATAGAGGTGAGAATGAAACTTCATGGTCGGCCAGAATGGAAAACTCACGAAGAATAGCACAGTAGAAAAGGTATACGCAGGTCATCAAGAGCTTTGGCGAATAACACCGTTCCAGATAGACCTTCATACCCCCAGACCTCGGAATCCTGCTACCAAACTCCAGCAGTACCATGGCACCACATGTCGAGATAATCCCCGCGATGACCCAGAGAACCAGGGATAGCCCAGGGCTCCCGGCGAGCTTAAAGATGGAGGTGGGTGTGGAGAAAATTCTATATCGGATCAGTATTCGTACCTGCCAAAGCTCGGGTAAGGAGGCTTACGAACCCTGCACCCACGATCTTATTCACGATCAGCGATATCGCGCCTAGAATACCGATCCTACGCTCTTGGAGGATATGCGCCTCTCGGACATGCAGGCTGGTATTATGGCTGCTGGTTGAGCCATCGTCACTGCCAAAGCTATCTGCCGGGTAAGAGTCTGATTGGTCAGTACTTCTAAGTAAAAGATGGGACGAGATTCTCACTTGTGGTCGATCGTTGGTCTTTCGACATGGCGGGCGGAATTTTCTCCCCTCATCTCACCGGCGAAGAGACTTTTAAAGGCCGCTACATAAGTTCATGCGCGTTCGAGCCTGAAGATGACAATTATCTAGCACGAATGTCGTGATCATCCTATACCTGGTATATGCACGCGCCAGGCGTAAAACAATTTCGTCATCTGTCGCCATTTAACGCCTCGATGGAATGATGCTGCCCCCACTTGATGCACCTAGTGAGCGCGCCTGGTGAGCTTGGTGAGTGTGCAGTAACCAGAATTGTGCGTGTCGGAAACAATAGAATACAAGATTAAGGTTGTTGTGTCTGGCAGGGCTGCGCGAAGAATATGAGGCTGAAATCCATTGATATTGAGGAACCCAGGGCTGTCACATTGCGATCTGTCTCTACAGTGTATGCTATACGGCATCAAAATCGAAAGTCAATCTAGAATCTGTTCTCAGATGCTTGCCCATGACATATTCCACAAGCATACATTTATGGAATTGATGCACTTTGCAGCGATCTCACAATATTAATCTGTCCTGAAAAAGAGAGTTTTCACGAAGATCTACTACGTCAAGTGTACTTGTACACGTATTTCTTTTCAAAAGTGTAAAAATGCATAAACTTCGCAGACCGTATATCTAAGACATTTCCGAGTCCTTCATCGATGGAGTGGACCCTTTTGTGGGGTTTTTAGTTGAAGGGCGACCAAGCATGAGTTGGATGAAAGAAAACCCAAACCCTCCAGCTCATTTTGATGGCCATTTGACTTCTTCGGACAAATTCATTCGTGTTTCTACATTCGAAGATACCTCCATACTAAAAACGACTTTCGGCATATCATGTCGCCCCTCTAGCTAGTACCAAAGCTCATACAAGGGTATTATTTGGCCCCTGGTAAGGTTGCACTCATTCCTCTTGGCTACCCGCTGCCAAGCCACGCTTCTCAGCACTCGTTAAATAAGTAGGTACAGATCAGCAGAACTACTCGATTTGATCTCAGCCCTATCCACTTTGTCCACCAGGAGGTATGACTTGCGATACAATATTGAATGCAAAGTCTGTGCTTTTGTTCCATCTGAACATCCGAGCAGGTGCGGTCATTCTCAACAGACTTAAGACCATGCGCCAAGACGCTAGGAAGAGTCGCCGCCTTGGAATCAACAATAGTAGGGCTTGAGGAACACCCAAGTTTGCGAGATTGGACCCTCGGCTACACTAGAATGTAACTGGGAATTGAGTAAGCGAGAAAACAAAAATACGCTGCCCGGCGCCCTCCATACAGCTCATTGACTGATTTATTCCTCTATCTTTCTTCGATATATTTGAAAGAGCCTGCAACATCATGGGATTAAAGAAGCGTATTCTGTTTTCTTTACTCGTTGGCATAGCACAGGTCTCTGTGGCTGGATCCATCGACTACTTTGAGGATGCCTCGGTTTGTGCGGATCCAAATGGCCTAGCCAAGTGCTATGACGGTGAAAATACGAGATACGTCGAATGCATCAATGAAAGCTGCCCGAATAGTCTTACTTGCCTCGCGGCTTGCGATGGTGATGAGAGGTGTATATCTCAAAAATGCCCGAGTGATGACGCTGACTGCATTTATAATTGTGCATGCAAAAGAGCTGGACATGAAATCAGTTGCCTCGCATCTAGCTGCTGGAATCAGGTATGTTGTCACAACATGTCTGCCATTAGACCTTATTAACCTGGGGTTTCAAGATCTACTCTTGTGAATATCAAAAGGCTGCCAATGATCTCATTCAACTTTGTGAGAAGCCGCACCTCGACGACATTCCCTTCTGGCCACCCCCGGATAATGCGCCCGGAGGATGCTCCTGCAATATCGCGAAAATCTTCAAGCAGCAGATCCAAGTATCAGACCAGTTGACGAAATGCGGGAACAACAAGACCAACATCGACAAGATTGGAGACGATGTAAATGATAGCATAGACTATTCTCGGGCCTGCATTTGCTGTGCAGAAAGCGCCATGATGTCAAAGTATGTGCCATCTAATCATCCACAACAGATATGCAGAAGAGTGCTAAAGCTTCACATAGGATCTATGATACATGTCCGAATACTGAACCTTCGATTATTGGTGCCGACAACTGGTTCGGAAAATTCTTTGAGCAAAACCAATGGGCTCAATGTGGTGAATACCTCGACAAGCATGATTGTGCAGGAGATTTGGGATATGGGGCCAAGGACGCTGGTGATACTCACAGATTCTATAAGCCTGGTCAGTTCCCGCAGAGTGGCGCTGAGACTCTATCCAACACCAAAGGTATTATCTCTACGCCCATTGGCAGGGAGGCCACATTTACATGGACATATGGTTCAGATGTATACACTGTCACTGCTACGACGGGTCCTGTCACGGAGACGATTAGTAGCTCAAGTGCTAGTGCTACTGCTACTGAGACCAGGACCGAAACCAGCCGTAACGAGACTTTAAGCACAGCTGCGAGCACAGCTGCGACCAGTACGCAGACTGGGATCGGCAACCCTGTCAGCGTTCCGTCTTTGGGACCCATCGCTCTTTCTGGCGCTCTGGCTTTGATATTCGCATGATGGAGTTGACTTGTTGACTTCGAGCGACAATGTATTCTATTGTAGTGGGGAGACCCCCTCCCCTACTACATGGGTGCCATCCATGTTATGTGACATAGCCGGCAGTATACGGTGGCCGGATAGCTAGTTCTAGAATACACCTTCTTACACCTCCCCGACCTGACCCCTACATTTGGGATTCTCGCTATTTCCTGATTGCTACGCGTGTGTTTTGTGGTGGTTTTTCTGCTGAATCGACCCGCACGTCTCAGCGCGTGCTGCCATCGAGCGTTCCCCTCTTCACTATATAGTACGTTTGATACCTTCAGAGCACGCCCAATTACAAATGCCACACGTGGCGATACTTTCCCCACTTTCAAGATCCCAACCCAGCGTAATATTTTAGAGAGATGACAACGCAGATCTCTGTAACACAACCAAGCTCGTCGTGAGTGGGGCTTATGTCGTGAATAAGAGCGAATGGCCGCGATCTGATTTACTATCCGTCTACATGATGTGGGACATGGCGCGATCACACGCGATCTAGCGCTCTTGGTAAGCGGTTAACCGAAGCAACGCAGTCAATAAATACCAAAGCCTCCGACTACCGACCTTCCCTCTCTGCAAACCGAGTCGTCAAGTCTATCCAAAATAGTCCGACATGTCTGCTGTTAAAACAATTACCCGCCCCACCCAGCCCGACATCGAATATCATCCCGATTTCGCGAAATACCAAGAGCGGACTCGTCTTCGCCTCGAAGCCGGGAATCTGCAGGCTAGTGTTCCGGCGGGCTTCCCGACTAAGCTTGAGTCTTCGCTTGTGTGGGAGGGGAAGGATGTTGAGCAGCGAAATGATTGGATCTACCAACTGAGCGCCAGTCAGCTTGATGAGATTAATGCTGCACTGAAGAGCTTCAAATGTGAGACTTTCCCACTGAGAAACGAGCCAAGTTTTGTTTTAATCTTTTTAGCCCTTGGTAAGCCCTCCGGATATATCAACCAGTCCACGTTCCCTCTGCCAAACCTTCATCCTATCCTACGAGATCTTTCCAAGGAGATCCATAGCGGCCGGGGCTTCTTCGTCCTCCGGGGTCTGCGCGTCGATGAATATTCGCGAGAAGATAATATCATCATCTATACTGGTGTCTCTTCTCATATCGGCAGCATTCGTGGACGCCAGCAGGATACACGCTTGCAAAATGGAACTTCCCCGGTGATCTCTCATATCAAGGACATCAGCAATACCGTCGACAAAGAAAAGATCGGTGCGCCCTCTAATACTGCTGATAAGCAAGTCTTCCACACTGATGCTGGTGATATTATCTCTCTGCTCTGTCTGAGTCCTGCTGCAGAGGGTGGTGAGAGTTATATCTCCAGCAGTTGGAATGTGTATAACATCCTCGCAAAGGAGAGGCCTGACTTGATTCATACACTATCTCAGGATTGGCCGGTTGACGGGTGAGATCTTCTATCTTCTCGCAGATCTGTTCAGAGCTAAATGATTCAGGTTCAACAACCCGAACAAACCATACACTCTCAGACCTCTTTTGTACCACCAGCCGGCTACAGCAAACACCCCCGAGCGTGTACTTATCCAGTATGCCCGACGTTACTTTACAGGCTTTAAGGCCCAGCCTCGATCAACTGATATTCCCCCTATCACCGAGGCGCAGGCCGAAGCGCTCGACGCATTGCATTTTTTAGCAGAGAAGCACAGAGCCTCCTTGGGCTTCCACAAGGGTGATGTACAATATGTCAACAACCTCAGCATTTTCCATGCTCGAAACGGATTCAAAGACGGGCCTGGAAAAGAGTATGTCTCCTTGTCTAGACCTTTTTTCAAGCCGCCGCTAACCATTGCAGACGACACCTGCTCCGGCTCTGGTTGCGAGACCCAGAAAATGCCTGGGATACACCCAAGCCGCTTCAGCACCGCTGGGATACAGTTTACAAGGATGTCACGGAGGATGAACAGGTCTTTCCTCTAGAGCCGACTCTTCGGAAGAATGTCGGCTCCTAGATGGCGGCTCGGAAATCATCTTATCTAGCCTTTAGTGCAACAGCACTGGTATCACTCTCTAGTTGATCAAAATGGTCCGTCCTCGATGCTGATCTCACCCGAAAGAGTATTCCTATCATCGCCGAGACACGGTCGATCATAAGGGGAAGCGGGGTAGGTCGGGGAGTCCGCAGGCATGTGCGATTTAGCCAGAATGGAAATCAAATACTTTGCATGACACTTGCTGCTCCTCCAAGACACAAAAGAGGCGTTCTGAGCGGAAACCTCCCGCCCAAATCCCAAACCCCTTACTCTCAAACCGGATCTCAGGATACCTGATTGGCTTTGAACTCTATACTTTAATTTCATTTTATGCAGTCGTAAGGTCACTCACCCGCAAATGATTGGAAATTGACTCAGATTTTTAAAGATTTCTGTCGCCACCTATCTGCCTGCAGACGGCTACATATCGCCCTCGTTGTGGAAAGCATAGATCTGACTCTGCATTCGACCAGTCCAGATTTTCCTTGGCGTCTTGGACGCTGCCTTCACAGCGGAATATGAGCCCGCGATTTGTGCGGGGGAAGCTGATCTACTGTAACTCTGCGTGCCCCATGGTTCCGCAGCTCACTGCTGCCCGAGGTTGTATTTAATGTCTCTCGGCCGGATTCAGTTGCATATTTCGAGATCAACTTTCTTGTCGCTGTGGGTTGAGGAAAATTGCACAATTGATGACAAGCTCGTGCTCGTTTCGCAGTAGTCGTCCACTCTACTCGCCTCCCCACCGAGAATGCGATCGATGAAAATGCGGCTTTCCGATGAAATAATCGAGAATGAGGTGCTTGGGACGGTGAAATCGGAGCAACCAATACCGGTACTCGACCCTGTCGCCGAGAAACGACTGCTTTGGAAGCTCGATATCCACATCGTTCCAGTCTTGACACTCCTATTCCTGCTTGCCTTCCTTGATCGGATCAATATCGGAAATGCTCGACTGCAGGGTCTCGAAGAGGATCTGAATATGAAAGGGCACGACTATAATATCGCTCTGTTTATCTTTTTCATCCCGTACATCTTGTTTGAGGTGCCTTGTAACCTCATCCTGAAGAAAGTGGCTCCGTCATGGTGGATTAGTGGGTTAATGACTGCATGGGGTATGTCCTATTCATTCTAACCAATTCGAATGACCGAAGTATCCTAACTTGGACTAGGAATCGTCACTGTCTGTCAAGGAGTCACGCAAAGCTTCGGCGGATTAGTGGCTTGCCGCTTTCTGCTGGGTGTTTTCGAAGCTGGCTTCATGCCTGGTAAGATGGAATTCTGATGATATTTTCATGTTTTTGCTAACTGTATCAGGCTGTGTCTACCTGATTGCCATGTACTACAAGCGATATGAGCTGCAGTGGCGTCTGAATGTCTACTTCAGTGCCAGTATCATGGCCGGTGCGGTCAGCGGGGTATGCTATCCTCATTCTACCCTTGGTCTGAGTTAACAATCGCTAAGCGATTGCAATATAGCTCCTTGCCTATGCCATTGCGAATATGGCCGGAATCGGAGGATACAATGGCTGGCGATGGATTTTCATCATCGAAGGTCTTGCCACGATCGTCGCAGCCATCGCCTCCAAATTCCTGATTGTCGACTGGCCTGAGACGGCAAAATTCCTGAGCGAAGACGAGCGAGCCCTGCTTCTTCTTCGTTTGAAAGGAGATCGCGGTGAGGCTCGGATGGATCGACTGGATGGGCCCGCGCGGAAGCGCATCCTCGGCGATATCAAGATCTGGCTCGGGTTTGTTGCACAGAGTGTCTTCTCGGTGATGAATAGGAATTCTGACTATCCTGTAGTCCGATGATGTATTTCGGCATCGTCAATGGCGGATACGCGACGTCGTTCTTCACCCCGACCATTCTGAAGCAGCTCGGCTGGACGGCAGTGCGAGCACAGGTGATGAGCATCCCAATCTATGTCGTCGCAACGGTGGTTTCACTCTGCGTTGCTCTCGCCAGCGACAAGCTTCGCCATCGGTTCGCTTTCACCATCGCCGGTTGTCTGGTTGCCACGGTCGGATTCGTGATGCTGCTATGCCAGGAGTCGATTCCGCGAGGCGCGCGATATTTTGCCCTTTACGCCGTCACCTGTGGCGGGTATATGACACAGCCCATTCTTCTGGGATGGATCAGCAACAACATGGCCGGCCACTATAAGCAATCGGTTGCTTCTGCAATGCAGGTTGGTATTGGTAATGCGGGTGGGCTGGTTGCGAGCAATATCTTCTTTGACTCAGAGGCTCCTCTCTACCCGACTGGCTACGGGGTTAGTTTGGGCATGGTGTGGATATGTGGGCTCGCTTGCATTATTTGCTTTTTCTGGATTCGTCGTGAAAATAGGTTGCGCGATGAGGGAAAGCGCGATGATCGATATCGACTGCCCGAGGATGAGTTGAGCAATCTGGGTGATGATCATCCATCTTTTAGGTACACATCATGATGATAGCAACAGCAGGGCTGCACGCTCAATGACGACTTGGTTGAATTTTATATAGACCTGAATCATGTCCCAGTTGTAGAAAATCACTCTTGGTACACTCCAAGCCCCACAGGCAAAAGCTGTGCAGTACGAATGAGCCAGCACAACGTGGAGAGTATCCACATCGCGTAGGTATCACACAGAGTACAGCAATAGCTGCCTGACCTGTCTGCAAATCCCAGACGGTTATAGCTGCTCATTTTTACCCATGGCAGTATGTTTGTCCGATATGGAAGCCGGGGACGATCACGTTTCGAAAAATCCCGATCCCTGTCCTCATTGGCCGATGGGTTGACACGATGACGATTGAAGCTCTCAATATATGACCTGCCAAGCCCTGAGTGGAATATTGATCCCGCGCCAAGCAGTCATTGGAAGATGTAGCCTCAAAGCCGCCAAAGTGGCAAACATAATATGCCGATCCGGGGTGGCAGGGGTCCTACCTCCAGGCACTACCACAGGTACTGCCCAGCTCCAGGGGTCTGTTCAATCGGAATCATTGTCATTCCGCGCAGTATCAGTGAGTACGACGGAGAAAATTCCGTCGAAGGCTGTCTTGTTACCGTTCGTGTTCTGGAATGTAGATCTCAATAGATGCGTATGCTGTATACTGTATACCATAGGCCAAAGGCGTTGGGTACGTATATCCTGCAGGAGTATCCGGGGAGACGCGATCTGCTATAGCTCACAAAGGGAACAGCCCTGGTGCGGTCGTCGCATGTCTCGTCTGACCGGCCGACCAAAAAGGCCCTGCAGGTGAAGATCCTCCAGCCTTCTCCATACTCCATGTATAAACATAGCAGTGTTCACCGCCAGCTGGGAAGACGCGCAGTTTGGATTGGCATGATACTGCCGAGATGACGTAAAGCCGCCTGACACGCTTTGGCGATTCCACGTTCGACCACATGGTGGCACTCGCACTCCCAAGTCTCTCGAGCCCTGGAACGCCTGCCACTGCTACCGCGCCCGTGAACGGATGTCCCCAGCAACTAATGCAGGCTAACGTCTTCTACCCTACAGACGAGATCCAATTAGCCTGTGTGAGCCCCGCGCGTCCCGCGGAGATGCTTTTCAGGGCTGGGCCCGAGACCCAATTCCCAATTCCTTGATCGACCGGCCTACTTAATCAGGGCTCTTCCCCTTTCCACCCTGCTCCTCGGCGTCGCAATTTCAGCAGACACCACTTGGACCGATTGAGTGATCGCAAGACTCTCTTTCTCTCTACGCTCCCACCATGTCCGGAACACGCTCCTCACCCAACAAAACCAATCTATCTATCACTTCAGAACAACCATGGAAGGTCGATACCCCCTTTGGCCCGCCGGAGGTACCCCGATCATTTCCTAACGGCGGCATTCGGCGGTTGCGCGACACGCTCTCCAAGCTGTCGCCGACTGCGCTGGCTGAGAAGGAGGAATTGCGCAAGAAGAATCAGTACAAGATCCCCCTGACGCACCGGAACGTCGACAACTTCGTGAACGAGCAGGAAGTGAACGAGGCCTGCACACCCAATCAGCACACCCCAGAGATTCAGGTGGCCGAATGGCTCGAACACGTTTCTTGAGCCCGCCATGTCAATGCAGTGCGAGAGTGCTAGCGAGTGGCTCTGAACTCTCGCCGATAGCGAGAAGTCCGGTTCGTGGCCGGTCATGGGTTGAACCCGGCTCCACCATCGCGCTTGGACGTGCTTGAGTTCGACTAGCCCTTTTCTCGACGTTTCTTCGCAGCGCCCCCGCACGATCGGCCTCGCCAGATTAGTCGTTCCCGGCTTTCTTTCCCTGTCGCACGACTGAATCGCCTCCTCCTGTCAAACTAGTTTGGCTCCAGACCTGGTCAAAGCATCGTCGCACCCCTTTCTCTTGGCGGGGACGTCATGGCGCAAGACGGATTCGATTCGGTATGCATGTCGAGATGGAGGATGCTGATGCTGGTGACCATGTCAAGGTAAGTTGGAACAAAGTTCCCTTTTCCTGTCCGTCGTACCGGAACTCATGCAAGCCATAGTCAAAGGCGCCGGTACTATTGTCTGCATGGTCGTACATAGTACACTGCCTGCCCGTGTCTTCCGGATATACTTGGATGCCCACTCGTATAGTTTGTGGCGATCGACGCTACCTTAGCGGGGGCTTGGCATTCCTCGTATTTCCGGTCAAGTGAATCCAGCGATGAAGCCGACATCTTCCCTGCTCAAATTCAAGGCCACTCGGTTACACTCGTCGTTCTGATCCTGTCCCATCGCCCGTTGAGGCTCTGTCACGGGCGGATTGAAGATGGGACCGCAGCAATCAGCCTCTAGTAGAGCGCACATCTTAATATGCGACTAAAAATTTCGCAATAATCTAGAATATTTATTTGCATGCATAATGAATAAGATACCTTTTATTTTTTACCTTCTATCTCCTATTGTTACGTTTTGGTATGTTGGCAGAGTCGATGGTGTGCCGGCAGGATTTCCCCGCCGCGGGGTCGATCTGCACCAGTCCCATGATGGGCATCGGCTCAACACTTACTACCTCACCATGCCAGTGAGAGTCAGCGCCAACCACACCCAACACCGATAGCAAGACGGCAAGACGGCAGCAGGGAGCATGTCACCCAAAAAAGTAGCCATCATCGGTCAGTCTTCAACCGGGCACCAGGCCTAGACCCGCCCATACTGATAACGACCAGGAGCCGGCCCATCCGGTCTGGTGACGGCAAAGACCCTGCTGCACAACTTCCCACATGGAACATTCGCTCCAGTGGTTTTTGATAGTCGCCAGGAAATCGGCGGTCTCTGGCCTTCCCCGGCCCGCGCAAAGGCCCGAGACGCGAAGGCGCATGACCCTGTGTCGCTGGATCCGTGGATGCGCACCAATCTGAGCCGGCTCACGGTTGCTTTTTCCGATCTTTCGTGGGAGTCAGTTATTGATGATGGCAATCTGCCTATGTTCCCGCAGGCTCGGCAGGTTGGACTGTACTTGGCGACTTATGCACAGCGCTATATTCCCACAGAGGCTCTCCGACTGGGAAGTCGTGTGAAGCGGACAGAGAGAATTGTAAGGGCGCACTCTCCGACTCAGTGGAGGGTCTCGTGGACGCAGAGTGGGTACGTTTGTGACTATTGAGCTCACGGCGATGTTTATATTGACGTGATCAGATCAAACAATCTTCACAACGTCGAACAAGGCCCCGCAAATCACGAGCAATCAGAGGACTTTGATTACCTTGTCGTGGCATCTGGCTATTTTGCTCGCCCTTACATCCCAGACATCCCAGGGCTAGCACACTTCCAAGGACGAATTGTCCATAGTTCGGCCCTTCGCAAAGGCCATGACGAAGCAAAGGACAACGACCTCGCTCGGGGTAACATTGCGGTTCTCGGAGGTAGTATGTCTGGCGTTGAAGCTGCATCCGCATTTGCGCTCCATCGCTCCTCCAGACATGAGTGCAAGGATACGGCAAAAGCTGCCTTAAAAGACCCCGCAGACCGCGCAATCTACCACATATCCTCCCGGCCATTTTGGACTTTGCCGACCTACCTTCCACAGAAGGCGTCATCAAATGAGGGAGTCGCGTTTCTTCCCCTTGACTTGGCAATGTACGACTTGGATCGCCGGCCTCCAGGCACGAGGGATTACACCATTGGGCCTATTCCAGAAGAAAAGGCAGCCACGACAAATGTATACTTTCAATCGATGCTCGGCAATGAATACGAGAACCTCGCACACGTGCATCTAGATAACCCACAACAAAGATCTCGTCCTCCTTGGGTAGCAATTGGGAACGACTATGCTGGGTATGTTCAGTCAGGCACGATCAAACCCATGATGGGTCGGACGGTATCCATACACCCAGGCCCCGATGCAACACTGGCATCAGTGAGGATCGAGACCGCCAACGGTGAATCGAAGTTACTCGAAAACGTCTCTTCGATCGTGATGGCCACCGGATTTACCCCATTCGAGTCCCTATCATTCCTCCCCGTCGACGTCTTATCTGCATTAGAATATACCACGGACGACTCATTTCTTCCACTCGTTCTAGACCAGGGCGGCACGCTCCGTTCCGAGATCCCAGACGTAGGCTTCGTCGGATACTATCGTGGTCCGTACTGGGGAGTCATGGAGATGCAAGCGAGGTTTCTCGGCAAGACATGGACACAGACCAAGGATGCGTCTCCAACGACAGAGCCCCAGAGATCGAGTATACGTCTTCTGAGACAGCCGTCTACGGAGCCTAGACGCGGTCAATTTCCGATGGGCGATTATGTCGGGCTCATGGAAACATTTGCCAAGGTTCTTGGGATCAGACGGACAGATCTTTCAGATGGAGATGGAGGATCTGGACCTGTTGTTCCTGCTCGCTATGTTTTTGACGAGACTTCAGCTACATCCGAAGAAAAGGATGCAAGGAATAAAGAGATTCAAACTACTTTGAGCTCCCTGCGAGGAATCTTCAATAGCCGGGTACTTGGTATTTCAGACTCAGATTCTCAGTCAGCCACATATCTGGCTATTTTCAGAGCTCTACATGGAAGGTGGATATCAACGACGACTCGGCGGGATTTTGTCGGCGAAATATATGGGGCTGTGGCTTTTGATCCGAGGTATCCATCAGACCCTGCATATGACAGGGAGTATGTTTGTGAGGAGCGCCTTGACTCGGAGTCTGCCGGCAGCGGAGCGACTCCACTCAGCCCTACTTTGACAATCTGGCGTCTGTCAGAAGCAGGAGGTGACAGCGGCTCTTTCGTTCAGATATCTCCCATGGACTTTGCGTTGTCCCAGGATCATCGCCAGCTGAGATTCTCCTCCCAGGAGATCGGCAGTGACAGAACCACCTCAGATACCTCCAGAATAGACCTTGCTGGTGCCCGTCCACCCGTGTTCAGTCTGAATGACAGTCAATACGAATACACGTTCTGGTTTGATGGAGTCTCCATCTCTAGCTGGGAACGGTCTCGTATCAACAATGAATCAGACCCAATCGATTCCACCACGCGGACAGTGTACACCAGAATCTAGAGCATCCCATGCTGCACTCGAGTGCTCTTGGCGAACTCGAATACACGAAGCTACGTTATCATATCGCAATCCAACTCGACTCTTGGTAGATTTCTTGAACAAGCAACTCGAGGAGCCCCTGTTGTCTCTCTGCAGAGCCTCGGTTCCAGACTTGCCCCTGTTGGTGAGCCAGGCCTAAATGGGAAGGTAAATCATGAAGAAAAACTCATTTAAAGTTTGCCTTGACAGACGCTGCCGCGTTAGCAACATGGGCTAGCCTCACATCAGCCCGGCAAATCTGCCCCGCGAATCACTGATCAGCGATGCATAATGCTGATCGAACACTGAGAGACCAAATTGCTCCAAACGCGCCATCATTTGATTCGCTTCCAGACCTCCGGAGAAAGTTCGCTTCGCCTGTGGCCATACACAGTTGTCGCGGAGCCTCTCACGATCGTCGGCTCCGACCGAGTGGCGACGGCAGCCCGATGCACACCCGCGAACCAGGGTTCATGCTCACAACTGAACAAAATAGGGTAGAGAGCCAAACTCCCGGTCGCAGTGTTGCATTTTTCTGGCTGCTGGCCAATCGATGCCACTGGGATTCTTGAGCCTGGCCTGCTCTAGTATGGGGTAGATTTCTGGGCGGGCTCGGAACAGCCCGAAGCGAACCCGGCTGCTGTCCGATGTGTGGCTCGGCCGAGGCCGAGGCTGTATATCCTTAATTCCTCCCAATGAGAGATCGGGGTGGCTGGTGTCTATATAAGGGGCGCTTGACCAATTCCAACGTTCACATCAAGATCAAAGTCAAGGGTATGGTTCACCCTGGGCTTGACAAGAGCACTCGCAGTACTCACGACATAGCCCATCTAACCCTCCTCATCTATACATCTCCACTACCACTGAACTGTACTGTTTGTTGAAGACAAACACTCCTTTGCAATGGCAAAGCGCAGTGCATCTGCCGAAACACTGCCACCACTGAATCTCGACCCAGTCTCCGAATGGCGCGCCTGGCAAGCCCTCTCAGTCTACTTCACGGTGCTGCTAAACCGCCAAATCCGCCGCCGCTGGCTCCTCGAACACAAATGCATGGAAAACGTTCCCATCGCCAAACACTTCCGCCCCTTCATCTTCCTCGAGCCAGTCCCAACCCTCCACAAACCACGCATCCCAAATCCAAACCAACCGAACATCAAAAACGACGACAAATACAACTCCTATAACACCGCTGCCCTCGAGACACTCAAGACAAAAGTGCACCTCCTCCGCGCACGCGTGGAAAAGGGCAAAGAACTCGCCTCGGAAATCGAACGCCGCATGCAAGACCCGACTGTCCAATTCCCAACGCACTTTTGCCACACCTGCGTGATGGGCGGCGACCAGGCCGATGTCCTCCTCACCAAGTGCGGGCATCGCGTATGCAAGACTTGCCTTTCATTTGGGGCTGATGCGAATGGCGTGTATGAATGCAGTATCTGTTTTGCGCCGACTTCGTTCGTGGCGAGGTCGCCGCTCGGTCCGCAGCGGTCTTGTTCGGAGCAGATCTCGAGTGTGTCGGAGAGGTTTGTGTCCAGGGGTAAGTCGCGCTTGTGGTCGCCTCTTGCGTTTCGGGGGTAGGATGTATTTGACTGGTTTCTAGGGTGATTATTGGGTGGGTTCAAGGTTTTTGTACCTTGCTGTGTGGCAATGGTCTTGGTTTGCATGGCACTGTCTGTGTCTCTACTTTCAGCTTTGTTTTCATCTTATAGCGGCATTTGCATTTATATGAATCAATGAACCAATGGATCGTTTCAGACATCTTGGTCAACCGTAAATGCCTGGAATTATAGATTTTACTCATCTATCTGTCGCGTTGTGATGATATCGTGCAGTTGTTCTGCATTTAGTCAACACATTCTAATCATACTTGACCTGATTGATGACAGAATATACAATGTAAATTGTAGATTCTAATCTAACCTCACTATACAAGTCTCCACAGAACAAAAACAAAATTCAAATATCGCAATCTAGAAACGTCTAAGGAACTAGAGCGACAATGGTGACATCGAGACATGAATACATCAAGCCATGGTCCGGCCACCCACCAATTTCACCAGACAGAAACGCCTTCTTCCGGTGCCATCGCCGAAAATGATATCACAAAGCAAGCGTGGGGATCCGTATAATTGTGGGGGAGAGGGAGATGAGAAGACATTATACAGGAAAAATAAGTATGCAAACCCTGCCGGCTGTATCGCCGGCTACCCAAAAATCAGACATGCATGAGAACAGGGAGATATAAGAGGAAGGAACCAAGGGGAGGGCGATGGGTATCTAGACATGACGGGGTCATCCGTTCCGGTTGTGATTTTATGGAAGGATGGAAGATTATAAAGGTTTATCTTCATCGATCCTCGGCGTGCTCCCCGTCGTCAATCACCATCGACACATCCTTAACGGGATGTAGCAGCATCGGAGGCAGACACATGCGGCCCTCGCCAGCCAGTTCTTGTTGCTCGCCACCATCATTGTCGACACGCAGGCCGAGCCAGCGACGCCAGAGGTTGGGCGAGAAGCCGGCAGAGTAGAACCAGGTGGTACCCCGGAAGTTGTGCTCGCGATCACCGAAGATTGATGTGCGGGCTCCGCCAGAGGCACCATTGCGGCCAGCATTGAAGACGGATTCCAGGTAGCGAGTGGGCCATCGTCGGTCAATGTAGACAGCGTGTGGGACGTAAACGGCCTTGAATCCGTGGTGAAGAGCTGTGGACGCGGGCCACATCTCAGAGAACATGCTGTGGCGCTTGAGACTGCACTCGCGGTGCATAGTGGTGAGGAGCTTGCGAGAGATGCGCGATGCGGTGATGATCGCGGTACGGCGTGGGGGCATGCCGTTCTCTTTGTTGTAGCCAGTGACATCGTCCCGGAGCAGCCAGGTGGTGCCCTCGGGATCGTACAGGGGGTTGAAAACGATCAGATCGGCGTCTTCGCCAACACCCCACGTGTATTGGTCCTTCTCCATGGTGGTAGGTGGGATACCCTCGCCTTCAACCTCGAAGATATCACGCTCATCGGGACGCTCAGGACCCCAGACGGGCTTGTCACCTTGCTGATGATTCATGATGCTACCGGGTCGTTCTCCATCGGCGCCAGCTTTCACCGGGGTCCACATGTTATTCGGACTGTTGGTGCCGCTCTCTGTCTGCACACGAACGGTGTGACGGAAGTCATCCCAGGATCCGTGAACGGAGGGGACATAGAATCGGGCATTTCGTTCCCAGAGACCCTTGCGCGGTTGCTGCTTGGCCCACTCCGCGACCTTATCGAAGAGGTGGTACCAGTGACCGGTGTAGCGGGCATCCATTTCCCAGTTCCAGAAATAGTCGTATTCGGGGTGTTGGAAGGCGAAGTATTGCATGGGCATGTATGTACTGCGGTAGACGCCGTGAATGGGCAATCCACGAGTCAATGTCTCCTCCAAAGCAGGATACATCAAGGCCATCTGTTGCTCCGACCAGAGTGTTCCCATGCCGCGGAACTCCTCAGGCAATGCATCGTTCAAAACACGCTGATAAGTTTCATCGTCGGACCAAATCTGAAGATCGGGGTTCTTGACATGGATGAGGAAGTGAATGGTGTACTCGCCACCAGAAAGGAGCGACAACTCCGAGATCACGGAGCGCAAGTACATAATGTCCTCCGGGGTATAACGGAAGTCGTGCCATGTTCGGATAACCACAGCCGTTTTCGATAAACGTTCCGAGCCAACCTGAGGCTCAGACTTGCGGTTATCCTCGATAGTCGGAATCTTCACATTCGGAACACCAACAGGCATCGAAACAAACTTGTTCAGGCGCGGCTCGGGCAGCTCATTGAAGCGGTGGCGGTTAGCAGCATGACAGCGGTTCTGCGCACCAGCCCAATCCACACCTCGGAAGTCCACTGGGGGGATATCCTCCCAAATGCGCTCGGCGCCGTCGCGGTGACCCTCGAGACCAGCACCAATGCCACCTTTTTTCACTCCGTATCCCAATCCGTATGGGCCAAGACGGCCAAATCGATCAAAGCACATATCGTCTCGGATTCCCAGCATCGAGTTCGATCCCATAACCGGGTCTGGGAATCCTTCGGGGACACCGGGGAAAGACTGCACGTACGGTACCCTGATTTTGTTGTCTGGATCCAAGAAGCATTCGCGCTTCTCTCCGTATCTCTTGATGTATTCGGGAGAGTTGTAATCGGGGTAGGGATTGAATACAGAGCTGGTCAGCGACGGCTTCAGATCCCTAGTCTTCAGGTGGTTCTCTTCCTGCTCGCCAGTCTCGTCCCGCGGCAGCGCGAGGCCTTCCGCACCATCACCGGGGTATTCAGGGACATTATCCTTGCGCGAGACCAGTTTTGACAGGCCCCCTTGGTAGCGGCTGAGCATTGGGAAGCTCTCCCATTGTGGCGGTTTATTCGAGACGACCTTGGGCAGTTCGACCGACACCTGCGATACGGACGAGGAAATCGTAAACCGGAAGAGGGTGAGGATGAAGCAAACGAGCGCGGCGAAAAGGGCAAAACAGAGCCATCGCATTATTCGCTGGGGCACACGAAAGCCCACGCCCGCCTGAGCACGACGCAGACCCGCGCCACTCATCATGGGCCGGTACGATGTGGAGGAGTGTTCGGGACCGGCAGAGTCGTCGCTGTCGGACTCGTCGCTATCGGAGTCATCGCTGCGGCGATGATGGCGGTACGGGTGACGGCCAATAGGTTGTTTCTCGACATCGCTATCGTGTGTTCGCGAGCTATAGGGCGAGGGTTTGTTGTAGGCGGCGGATGATCTCCTCGCCTGGACGGTCATGTTGCCGGGGCAGTCGTCAACATTGACCGGAGAAGAAGCGACAGAGGACTGCGACAATTCAACAACGCATCTGTCGGATACTCACGCACTCAAAATAGAAGCGGGAGCCAAAATAGCGGGCGTTGAAAAGGGGGTGGAGGAGGAGGGCAGCACGCGATGGTCGGTGGCAGATCGTCGGCCTGGCAATCGGGGGCGGCCGTGGATTGTTGGCGTTCTTCCCGCCGGAGCAGGTCTGCAAAACCAGGACCAACGCCACTTGTGTATATACTTCTAGGCAGGGAGTGGTAAAATAAAATACAAAACACCAGCAGCCGAGGTGAAGGGAAAAAAAAAACTAATGGGCTCGGCGCATCAAATGCCAAGGCCAGGGGAAAAAGAAAGAAAATGAGGGGATTACGCATGTTGTGCTAAATTTGGCTGCAGATGATCGCTCTTTTGTTTGTCGACTATCACCAACATGACTACCGGACCCTAGGTCAGGGGACAATGGGACTGTCAGACGTACCTAGGGTGTGGGATGAGGTAGGATTCGAGAAATCACCGTTCCATACGTATACATAACTAGGGTCTGTGGGACGGGCTCGAATCTATCGAGAATGAGGAATTGATACTGAACGATACCATGCAAATCAAAAGGAGAAACCAGCAATTTTGACGTGGCGCCAGAGAGAAAGAACAAATGAGGCTAATAGCATAGCGAAGAGAAATAGAGCCATGGAGAGCACACACAAAGCACCGGTAGCAAACCCCCTGCTCCCGAGGGGGCCAATGTCCATCCAGCATTGGCCTCGCGAAGAACTCCCGCCATAATCATCAATCCATCATTTGCAGATTTCCCGTGGTATTTCTCTTGCTCTGCTACATACACACTCCTCCCCATCACAATTTGGTATTATACGCGCTTAATCGCGGTTCGTTTTCCGGAGAGTGTCGGCGAGCCACTCCAGACCCTCGTACAGGCCGTCACCGGTGGTGGCGCAGGTAGATTGGATGAACTGTAGGGGATACTGTTAGCGGGGGAAGAACGTCGCGAGAGCAGAGGAAAGCAATGCACTTACCCAAGCGCGGCGGGTCAGGCTCTGGAGGCCAAGTTGCTGGGTGATCTCGGCAGGGCTCATGGCGTTCTAGGTAGTCGCGAGATCATGAATTAGTATATCTGTCACCCATGCACTCGCCCCCTCTCACGTGCGCAGTTTCATCGCAGTTCAGAGAGGGCAGCGGCGATGCGGAAATGTCGAGTCAACTTACGGGCAAATCTTGCTTGTTGGCGAACACCAGGAGCAGGGCGTCCCGGAGCTCGTCCTCGTTCAGCATGCGCTGCAACTCCTCACGGGCCTCGACAATACGGTCCCGATCGTTGCTGTCAACCACGAAGATGATACCCTGGGTGTTCTGGAAGTAGTGGCGCCACAGAGGACGGATCTTGTCCTGACCACCAACATCCCACACGGTGAACTGGATGTTCTTGTACTCGACGGTCTCGACGTTGAATCCTATGAGATTTGGCCATGTCAGCAACTCCGTGTCTCTCTGTCGGAATCCCCGCGACGGTCGGCGGTGCGACCCGGGTACTGCTGTGATGCTCCGCGGCAGTCGAGCAGTGAGTCGCCGTCGGAGGGGATTGGATAGGCTAGGCGGACTGACCGATCGTGGGGATGGTGGTGACGATTTCACCGAGCTTCAGCTTGTAAAGGATGGTGGTCTTTCCGGCAGCGTCAAGACCGACCATCAGAATACGCATCTCCTTGCGACCCCATAGTCTGTCGAACAGCCGGGAGAATGTGATACCCATGTTGGCGGAGTCTCGAACCTGAGTGGGTTGACGGGGTCAGTTTGGGGTGTTCAGGGAGGGAAAGGCGGAGGGGAAGTGGAAAACGTGTTGTGGACAATCAATTAGGGGGGGACCTTCGCCCACCGCCGGAAGGGATGATCGTCGTCACGTCGGGCCTTGGGGCTCTTACCGGGTGGTGGATGGATGGGTTGGGAGTGAGTGCACGGGGTGGAAGGTGGGAGGGAGGGAGAGAAGAGAACGTCGAGGGTATTCGAGATGGGGAGGTTGATTACAGAGGCTGAGCATTGGCAGGCTGTTTTTTTGTTTGGAATACCGCAATACCGCCTGGCCGGCGGCGGTGGGCGCAGTCTCGGTCACCCGTAAACGTGATTTGGAACTGGAAACTCCCCAGCGATGCTATCTAGTGCTGCCTGGCGACGTCTATACTACACATTCGTCCTGATACAGTCGCCGGCGAGCGTGCCTTGGCCGTGTGGGCAAGAGGACACCGTGTTTGTCCGTATGTGAAATACCGGAGGCGAAAGGGTCGCCCCAGGGCCAAACCGAGCATCGACCCTCCCATTTCTCGACCCAGATCTGGACGCCTGGCGCGCCCCGCTGATAGGCCCGCGCCTTTATCAGCCCCATCGTGCTGGCAAGAAACGAAGAGACGCTGGGTGGGACATGCCAATCCACCAGTCCACCGCCGCGTCATGACACTATCTCGCCCAGGCGATCACGTCGCTCTCCGTCGCGACATCCCCATCCGCTGCCGTGAATTGCGGAAGAACGTCTTGACTAGAGACCGGTAGATCGTCTTCCCTTCCACCGTATCGCTGGCCACGCCGAAAATTGTCAATACGATAATCGACACAAAGAGAATCACCCCAAAGGCCGCCCAATATTGCACCTTGGTGTAGCCGCCCTTAACACCCTGCAATTCCGTCGAGAAATACGCAGTCATGAGACTGACGGGCAAGAACAAGATGGTGGCCTTGGCGAGTAATATGGTGATGCGTGTCAACTTCTCAACCGCCTGAGAGTCTTTGAGTGCGATTAGGTTGAAGTTCTGGATGGGGTCAGCAGGGCGTTCTCAAAAGGCCACGGGGCATAGTCCTCGCAGGCAGACGCAGAAGGACTGAAATGACATACCAGGAACGTCAAAGATTCTTTTTCAGTCAGACACGTTTCGATCTCGCTCAAACAGTATAGATTGATGCGGTCCGCCAACCGCTCGAATCGAGCCACCGCCGCCGAACTCAACAGCACCCCAACGGGCTTGTCGCTCGTGGAAGGGAAACTGCCATTAGTCGCCAGACTCCCCTGTCGCATATCGGAAAATTCGTCTCCAAATGTCGTTCCAAAGGATACCGGGGGCGGATGGGACAAACGGGTTTCGTCACGCAACAGTCGCTGCCGCTGCAGCACACGTCGCATGATGAGCTCGTAGCTCTGGTATAAGCGCTTGAGTACGCCGAGTCGTCGACCGAGCCAGTGTAGCTCATTTATCAGGTCTACCACTGGACGATCAAGCATAGACCCACGCTGGAGACCGGATCAGTCTATACCTGTGCCTGAGACCCGGCCTCGAAAGTACAAGGAAACTTACCAGCTCTTCCAGGACAACACCATACTTATGTTCTCGTCTGGCTATCAGCCCGAAACTCGACACCCAGTCGTCAAAGATATAGTAGAAGAGAAGACTTGGACCGTCCTCTTGCTTGATATTTGCTTGGTCTGGTCCGACGTCGTTGAAATGTCGTACTCGGATCGTCACTAACGAGTCGCTCTCCGTCATGCTCAGGTGCTGACGGGATACCCCTGCGAAGATGAACCGAGTGTTCCTGCGTACAATATCGAGGATTTTAAACTGGTCTGGCTGCAATATGCCATGCTGTCGAGGGAACGGATTTTCCTGCATTGAAATAACCGTGCCTACAGGGTTTAGCAAGAAGTCCTTCCGGGTTAACCTCGCTGGGGACAGTCATCGCTTACCATCATCACACAGAATCAACCAAGACCACAGTCGCCTGCCTTCTGGGAGGTCTTTGCCATTGTTCAGCTCGCCTTTGGGCAGCCCAGAAGCTGCAAACAAGGTATTATATCCAATGCACGTATCTGAAGAGCGTCAGTTCTGTATCTATTTCTGGAATGCAAGGCCAACCCCACATACATCGAGGACCATAGTCTGTAGATGAAAAATGCCAGATCTGATCGGTGACCTGCGCAAACGTAAGGTGTTCAAAAGACGGAGTGTCGTTTGACTCCTTCTCTGAACTATCTTTGGTAATATAGGCGTTTTCAATGTCGTCAATTTCATGTGATGAGGACGGGTCAAAGTCGCGCGAATGAGAGTGTCGCGTTTTGGTGATAGCGGCTGCTTCAGGGCGAGGAAGTACTGGCTCCGTGCACATCATCCCCTGTAGTCGCTCGGAGACTCCGTATTGCGTTGTGATTGCCTGTCGATTTGAGGCTCAGTTGAAGGGTCATTCCTAAATCAAATATAGGAGGAATCAACCTACCTTGACTGTCTCTTTCTGTTCTTCCGGTGCCCAGATATTACTATGGCCGGTTAGTATTCGCAGTTCATCATACTGTTGCATGCACAATCGAGGGTATATCTTACATCCATCTCGTGCCAAAGAATTTGGCTCGCTTGTTTATCTCGTCAGCCTCCCATTCAACGTCGACGCAGCCAGGCCTGACTTACCGGTCTCCTCAGCAAGAGCTTTATCTCATCCGTCTCCACATTCGTCGCGCAAAACGCATCCTCATTCCCGAAATCCAGCACGAAATTATGCGTCGTCGGACTCTCCAACAGCTTCATAGATTGCGCGAAATTGGCCTTGTTGTCTATATCGTGAAACCGATCCTTGAGCGAGCCCCGATCCGTTGTAAAGCTAGCATAATAATCCTCGGGGCTGAGCAGGTCCCGCGCATAGATGTGCTCGGCCATGGCGAAGCGATGAAAAGGCGATTCTGCGGAACAATTAAACTGCCTGTTTCGCTCAGCCTGGGGGCTGCAAGCAACGAGCTCGTGTTCCTGCGGGGGCCGTTCGCGCGTCAACGGAGTGGGGAAGAAAAGGGAGTATGGGATTCGGCACGCACCGAGTTCGGGAGTGTTTAAAGATATGTGACAGTTACGAACTTCGGCGGCGATTAGAGCAAATAAATACAAACCTTCACGCGAGCTCCCGAAACGCCGATCCGAAAAGGGGCAAGTGACCAGTCGATGCTGACCTTGCCGCCGGTCACGCCTAAGCGCTGGGATCAGCTGCAGCCCCCGCGACCAGCAGTTTCATCTTGCACCGCCCCAATATTTAGCTTGCGATCGGTAGGATTGCCACTGTGCTTGGTCGAAGCTTGACGTGGGGTGTCACCCGGGCTGCGGATTTGGCATGCTAGAAGGGCTGTGTATATGGGTCAGATGGAGGGTGGACTATGACGAAGGGAACCCTATGACTCTCAATTTTGACTGCATAACGTCAAGTATTGCATGAATTTTATATTAAAAGCGGATCTGCGGTCGGATGGGGCTTGAATTTGACCCTATTTTACGATAGAGGCAGTTCTTTTGCAGAATGATTCGACAGTCTTGCTGGGTCGAATATGACTCGGGCGTTTTGAGCCGAGCGCGCTGGTAATCTTTAGATTTTTCTATTTTTACCTTCACAGTACACAACGATTTTTATGCGCTCAGGTAATTCGGCTCAAATAAAACCATATGGCTAACTGATGTTATTGCCTGTATCGGTCTGAATGATCATAAGTGCTAGTATTTAGTGTCAGTAGGCACCCTTTGGCCAAGAAAAATATATAATGTCCCACCCAATATTTACCATATGGTCGCTCAATAGTTGAGCCTCCAACTATTATGGCGACATCGATAATCCTACAGGAAGGCATCTATCTCGAGGAAAATAACACCAGGTGAGTCACTTTGTCCTTGTCTGCTTGGACGCATACAATTGTACTTGTGGGCCAATCAAACATACATTTCACTAGCCCCAGATAGGCAAGGTTCCTTGCACGTGATGTGAATTACATGCCTTACTATTTGGCAAGGCTGTCCCGACAGTAAGATTATCCACAACAGCCGTCTTGAATGGTTGACTAAATACTTCAAGTCAACAACACCGGCATCTAGACAAGCCTCAGACACAATGTCATCTGAGATGAAGAATGTCCTACGGCTTCTTCCTCCAAAACCGTATACAAGTTTGTATTTGTTCTTTCTGGCACCAATGTCATGCTAATCTGGAGCAGATATCCTGGCTTGACGTTACTTAGAAGCCACAAACTTCAATTACTATGTTCTCTACCCACCTATCTCTTCCGATGACTATGCAGCTTGGTGGCCAGATCGCGCAAGCGGCAACCCATTTACCCCCATAACTTACTTGTCTGCTTATTCGTGTCTGCACCTGTTCAGCACAGTACCTCGATCCCGAGATCCAAAACAAGCTCGAATCTGAATTGGGCGAGTGTGTGCAAAGTATCTCAGAGAACTATTACCATGCTGCCAGACTGCTAAGCGATACCATTATCCCTGGGAAAGGAGGCTTCGCACAGATTCAGCAACTATTCCTCACAGCAGCGTGGTTCAAGTCCGTATCTCTGTTTGTTGAGTCATGGCACTCTCTGGGCTCTTGCACCCATGAGGCGCAAGAACTGGATATGCACAAAAAGCTCCAGAAACCGGAATTTTCCGAGTTCGACATAGAGACGAGAAGACGACTATGGTGTCATATGTCTAGCCTGGTAAATACTCCCCCTGTCTGTGCAGTTACAATCAAATTGACTATAATAGTTATCTTGCCCCATTATCAATAATCAATCGTATTGCTCACGAGCTACCGGATATGCATCTTGAAACTTCTGGCCCCATAATCGGCCGTCTTTTCCCGGTATCTCACATCACAGTCCAATGCAAGCTAGGGAAAATCACCACACGAGTACCGGCAACTATGGGAGGCACAACCGAAGGCTCCCAGGCCGACTCCATAAAGTCAGACATAGAGAAGTGGAAAGCTTCTCTACCTCCGGCGTGCCAAAGAGCAGATTCGGACACGCAGATCTACGTGCCTCTTCAACGTCGTCAGTTACACACCATAGGGTACATGGCAATGCTGCTGCCATTCAAAACATTGTAGCCAAAACTTTCGACTCCAAAAGTTCCGAATTAGACCGCTCCCGGCGGAAGACTGCGGTAGAGACAGCTGATGGAAGTCTCTCACCATCTTTTGGACCATATCTTTCCGATACACGCCAAATTTCATCTCGTTACGTTTGTGATGTTCGGCACTGCGGCATTCCCCTGCTCTGCTATCATTCACGACAAAGAACGCAGTCTTCCTCAACGAGACGATGTTGTCCAGGCAATTAACCTCGTCTGCTCTTTCATGGGTCAGCTCGCCTCGATCACCAAATCACCCAGTCCCCATGAAACTTGCCAGGAGCCTATCAGGGCCAATCAAAAAGAGCAATCACGCCGAATGGTTCCAAATGGCGACATTTTGAATGTCGATGCAAGTCCTCCTGAACCGTCGTATGGATCGGATCCTCTTTTGCACACAGATACAATTTGACTGGAGTCGTTGTTGTCATCTATGGATTCAATGCTAGCCAATGATATGTTCTTACCTGCCTCGCTGGAATTTCCTATGACGGGCATGGAGACACCTTTTATTATGGGCGTTGGTGATTTCTCGAATGTGAATGTTGATCAGTTTGATCAGATTTGGGACTGGCAAAATCTGGATCTAGCCCTTCTGCCATCTTTTGAAGTTCCTACATAGCGGTCGATCTACAATGTCACCAAAGCAGTGAAGCCACATTCAAATCCACTTTTTTACTCTCAGCTACGTCTAGTATACACTGGAAGGTTTTCTCACTATCCACTTTACCTTTTTCCACATACCACATTCACTCTCCACATCGCATCATTACCTCCTCACTTAGCCAGAACACAACTGCATCCACACTTTCTCTACCGAGGTACGATCTACGCCTGAAATGAGCTCAAACAACCCTTTCTTGAGCGTAAGACTTCTACCCTAGCTGAGCTATCAGACGGTCACATGTGACATCATTCACGCGCAGACAGATTCATCAGGAGAGCCAATGCCCCGACCTTGGGCAGGCCGGACGGCCACCTAGTACCAGGAAATGTCTCTACAAGATTTGGGACCAGAAATACTCTTCTCTAAATGATTTGGAAGCTAATTTTGTTCGCTTGCATTATAAAAGCCTCGAACCAGATGGGAAGATACTAGGACGGCATATGGAAGTTTCCCATGGAGGGATGAGATGGTTGACGAGCTTATAGCCCAAAGCCAGGAAGAGGACCTGCGGTTTATCACCATCAAACAAAAAGCTCAGCTCCAGCTAAAAGAACTTGAAGATATGGTTATTAGGGTCTTCATCACTGAGCTCGGAGCCCAAGATAAGCAGCGGACTCAGCAGGTCAACAACACCCAGCAACAAGCTGACCGTCACTCGAGGGAATCGCTTCCGCAATCAGCACGGGCGTTACAATGGTAACGTTTGGACATCCCGTACACTAGAAGAGAGTTGAGGAGTTGAGTAAGAATCTGGGGGCATCATTTTGTTCGTTCTTCCTTCATTTCATTTCTTTTTTGGGTTGGTTGACTCATGCCTGAGAATTTACGTGCATGGGTTAAGCCATGTAATACCATCCAAGAAAAGCCATGAAATGAATTGCAGGTCTGTTGGGTGAAAAAGAATCAAGAAAATAGAAATAAAAGTCGAATTCGTGCTTTGTATATGAAGAGCCACCGTATCTTCTGATACGAAGCGAGTATGGCTCAAGGCGGTCCGAAGACCCCGGGGCCAACCGCAAGGCTAGGAGCTGGTAGCTAAATGCGCCTGTGAACTCTGAGTCACAATTTCCCCCAAGCACTTTCTAGAGCGCTGCGAAAGAAATCCCCCAAGTCACCTACTTGTCAATACTCTCAAAAATATCAGATCAAAGAATCGGAAAAAAGCAAGTAGGATAACTACAACCTTCGAAGCGACTCAATTCAATGGCTGCCCCGCACCACACATCAGGACTAATCGTCCCCGTTCCTCAATCAGCCCGATCCCAAACAGACTTGGATGGTATTGTGAACAGATATAAAGATCTCAGGTTGCTCGGCCTCAAAGTCGATCCAAAGGCCTTTTCTTCCATTTACGAGGAAGAATCCAAGTTCCCGTACGAAACATGGCGATCTCGGGTCGTGAATCCAATAGGCAGAACCTTCGTTGCGCTGGAACCCGATACAAGAGAAGGTATCAAAACAGAGAATAGTGAGCATCTGGAAACGGCGAGCATCGATCCCCCGGTTCAGCAACTGCTCGAAAAAGAGTGGCTGGGTATTGTCACTCTCGTGGGGCCGGTGCCATTCTCCGAACAGAGTGAAAGCGCGACCACAGTCCATGCTAAACTGCACCTTGCCTTCATCAAGGACCAGACATATCAGATCCCAGTATCGGATTCAGAAGAGGTAGATCTGAAGGGGGTTCATGCTGCGTACTTGCTTGTGGGAATGTTTGTCTTGCCAAAGGCTCGCAGAAGAGGCCTGGCCGCTCAGTTGGTCAACACAGCCATCGAACATGCACGCTGCGAAAGCCGTGAAAAAAAAGCATACAAGACTGGCATTTCGGTCCAGGTATCACCAAGCAACATTGCCGCGCAGGGTCTTTACGAACGAATGGGTTTCCATTTGAGTGAAAAGGCTATAGTATTGAACAGCCGGCGCGGAGGCACGGAACACGTGGTGGGTCTGGAGATGGAAATTGACCTGAGGGAGACCTAACAGTGGCTTTATTTCTCCTCGGAGATAATAGGATAGAGCTTTGTTTTTTACTCCTGTGTTTGTTGGATACTAAGTAACTACGTACCTGCAAAAGCCGCGAGCACGTGATCTAAATCCCAAACAGGTGGCGGGATGAGTAAGCATTCGTTATAGGGCACCGCTAATCCTAACTAGGACTAGCGGAACACCACAACCCACAAGCGGAGAAATTCGCGGCTACTTTTTCTTCTCTCCAAGACGTTCGACGCAGAGCCATACCAAAGAAAATTCCCTTTGGAAGACTGTCGCCATCATGTCGAAGATCACAGTCGGTAAGCTCTGCCTCACGCTCCCTCATTGATCACAAGAACCTTCCCTAATACTTTCGCAGCCGGAGTGCGCCAGAATGTCCAGCAGCTGCTGGAATACTCCCTCAACGAGAAGAAGCGTAACTTCCTCGAGACCGTTGAGCTTCAGATCGGTCTGAAGAACTATGACCCCCAGCGTGACAAGCGTTTCTCTGGCACCATCAAGCTGCCCAACCTGCCCCGCCCTGGCATGAGCATCTGGTTCGTTTTACCTCGCCGCACGCCGTCCTCGGTCCGTCTCTACATGGAATGAATTTGCTGACTTGGGGATGATAGTATTCTTGGTGACCAGCACGATCTTGACCGTGCTAAGCACCACGGACTCGACGCCATGAGCGTTGATGACCTGAAGAAGCTCAACAAGAACAAGAAGCTCATCAAGAAGCTTGCTCGCAAGTACGATGCCTTCCTTGCTTCCGAGGCTCTGATCAAGCAGATCCCCCGTCTCTTGGGTCCCGGTCTGTCCAAGGGTAAGTCTTGCGCGCACCGCTCAATACAATATATTTTGTCCTGTGATCAATCGCTAACTCTTTCACAGCTGGAAAGTTCCCCACCCCCGTCTCCCACGCCGAGGACCTCCAGAACAAGGTCAACGATGTCAAGTCTACCATCAAGTTCCAGCTGAAGAAGGTTCTGTGCCTTGGTGTCGCCGTCGGTCACGTCAACCTGACCGAGGATGAGCTCGTTGCCAACCTGATGCTCGCCATCAACTACCTCGTCTCCCTGCTGAAGAAGGGCTGGCAGAACGTTGGCAGCCTTGTCATCAAGGCTTCCATGTCTCCCCCCAAGCGTCTCTACTAGATGCTCTGTCGCTTCATTGCGCCGGTGTATTCTATAAGGCCAGACAAAAGAGGGTGCCATAGTTTCATGACCAAAATAAAAAATGAACTCATGATTCCGGTCTCAATTATATCTCGAACAGTATCAAAGTATCGTAGAAAAATGCGTAAAAATTTGTCAACTCCATATATAATTGTGTACATTCCCAATGGTGATTTTGATGCGGCCAACTTTTGAGCTCGATCTTATAGTACATATCCCATTGCGAGCTCTATTCCATGCCCGCCATCAACTCAGTCTTATCCAATATCATACCACGCATACCGATAAACTCGCGCAGACTTTCCCATTCCTCTCCTACTTCCTCACCACGCATGTAGGGGTCCTTGAAGCCCCATGCGACAGCAACTTTATCCATAGCAGCGCGCTCCTCCTCCCGTAGCCAGCGCTGACGCAAGGGAATGCCTGACAACCAGGTCACACGCTCCATCTGATCGTTGGCGGTAGTGATTGCCAAAATTCCCATGGAAGACGTCCCACCAACATATGCCAAGGACGCAGCAAAGGCAATTCCTGTTGCGGTGCTAGGGTCCATAGTATTCTGAATTGTGGCTGCCCATGAGGCGAGAGCGTAACATGCCATAGGGGCCGCGGCCAGTCCACCCAAAGGAACACCGGCCTTCTTGAATACCTTAGCACGGTGGAAAGCGGGTGCGCAGAAGGTGTTGTCGATGATGGCCAAGACCAGAGAAAGATTCTTTTGCGAAATAGCCACATCTAGGGCCATATTTGCCAGGTCTGCAGGGATTGCACTGTTGACGCTCTTGGGGCTCGCCTTGAGGAATTTCGGGGGTGCACTGTTCTCCTCGGGCACAGGCTTGTTGGCGAAGAGGTGGAAGACCTCGGGGAAATGCTCTGCCCGTCGCAGCAGCGTTTGTGTCTTGGTGTAGCTTTCCAGCGCCTCTTCATTGATAAAGACCTTCTCGTCCTTCACTATTTCTGTAGCAATGCGCGAGAGTTCATCAGCGAGACGTGGGTCTGGAATTGAGGTGCCGTCTCTAGCAACCTGTCCCTTCTTCTCTTCCAAATCCAGTAGTGACGAGATCGCATTTCCTTCGTCATTCGTCGGGGTCTTTTCCGGTTGGTCATGCTCACTCAGAACAAGAGACTGTGCGATATTCTCGCATTTCGCAAGCAACTTTGTCACTGTTTCGTTGGCGGGGACTCGGTCTGCATTACGCATGGCCTCTGCTGCCTGTACAACCTCCTCGATGGCTACTTCTCGAGTGGATGACATGGAAGCATAGCGGTGCGTGGATAATAGTGGCGCTCTGGTAGTTGGCCGCACGCTACGCCTTTGTGACTGCAGCGCAAGACCGCGAGTCGAAGCGCGACTTCCGGAAGCGATTGGGGATCGGGCGATGGGTAGCGCACGGCGTTGGGCAGCGTTGGAGAATTGGCAGAATTGGCAGACTGGGCGCTGCAGCCTGGAGCCAGGGGCTTGAAGGGTGACTCGCTTCATGACGAATGACGTTGGGGAGGAGGATGGTAGTTCCAGGCGGCCTTTTTTTCGACCAGCGAGGCTCAAGGCGGAGAGGCCGGGGGTGCTGGGCATGTCCACAGCCCCAGAATCCCTCTGACGTCTTAGCTTCTGCCATGCACCTCCTTGTGGTCAAGGAGCACACCACGCTGGACACACTCGACATCTTCATAAAGCAGGTATCATTTACTCGAACGTCTTGCTCCTCAACACGCTCTCGCTACCATGCCTCCTCCCCCTCCTCCCCCTCCGCCGCCGCCGCCCGGGGGGCTAGGTGGCCCTCCCCCGCCTCCCCCAGCGAACCTACCAAATAGACCATCGAAAGGGGAGGTGAAAGATCGGGTATGTTTTCGATGATACTGCATCTATACCGGTGCCTATCAATCTCCGCCCTGAGAACACTTTTCACTAATTCTGGTCCAGGGTGCGCTCTTATCTGATATTCACAAAGGCACGCGGTTGAAAAAGACAGTCACCAATGATCGATCGGCCCCAGTGCTTGCAAAGACTGGGGGAGGTTCTGGAGGACCATCTGTTGGTGCTGCGCCACCAGTACCTGGGGCCATGAAGCCTCCCGCGGGACTTGCACCCCCAGTTCCGTCGCCGGCAGCCTCAAGCAGACTACGAAGCAACAGTGAAGGCGTATCAGGAACGGAGGGAGGGGCTGCAGGCCCAGCCGCTCAATTGGGCGGCCTTTTCGCCGGTGGAATGCCTAAGCTACGCAGTCGCGGTGGAGTTGATACTGGCGCCAATCGACAAGACTCATCGTATATGTCTGATTTAGAAAGCACGCGACCACCTGCTGCTGCACCCCCTAAACCTCCAACAGCTCCCAAGCCGCCTGGTGCCCGACCTCCTCCCCCTCCCCCATCAACAGAGTCCCCACCAGCACCTCCGATAAACCCGTTGGTTGCTGGATTAAAGAAGCCTCCCCCGCGGCCTGCCTCGAGACCATCCTCCAACGTCTCTTCAGCATCTACAAAGACCGCCCCCGAAGCTCCTCCTCCACGAGCTCCTCCGCCACCTCCCGGGGGTCTTAGAGCGCCGCCAGCTCCGCCGCCTCCTGCATCTCGAAAACCGTCCGGTCCGCCACCACCTCCCCCGGCTGTCTCAAGCCCAGCATTCCCTCCTCCTCCTCCTCCATCTGCTCCCGCTGTCGGACGAGCTCCTCCGCCACCACCAGCGCCGCCTGGACGACCAACTCCTCCACGACCTGGTGCAGCTCCCTCAATTGCCGCTCAAGCTGCCCGAACCGCTCTGGGTGGTACCAGTTCCCCATCAGCACCACCCCCTCCTCCTCCAGCATCTGCACCTGCAGCTCCGCCTCCTCCTCCTCCACCTGCCTCGGCCCCGGCTTTACCCTCAGCTGAGCCACCATCTCGACCTTCTCCCGTTCCGTCACGCCCTGCTTCTCAAGAACCGCATGCTGCGTTGGATCCCAGCGCCTATACACTCACCAACGGCGGATCGCATCCTGCGTATAACTCACGAAGCTCCTCGACGTATGGCTCAGTCCGAATAGATGACCCTCGATTCAAGTTCCAGGGCGATGGTTTGCTCCCCAAGCCTCGACCATTTACTGGTGGGGAGCGCAGATACCGTGCTGGACGGGGCAGCAGTGTGCCATTAGATTTGAGAGCCCTGAGTGGCTAATGCGAGTGCATAGGACATTGCGGGCGATATAATGCACACATAGTGAATTGTTTTACATTATACATAACGCATTGGTATCCGAGCATCCAATATACCACTGATTCCTACTATCCGTGTTCCTAAGTCTATGATTTGTGTATTTTGTACACTGTACCATTTCCGACCACTCAATGGGTCTCCCACTCCCGCTGAAACGGGTTGCTCAGTAAGCGGACAAAATGGGGTTTTTGGTGAGGCGTGGAAATGCTCAAGTCATTTCTCGTTGAAGGGGCATATAGTAGTAATATTAGTATACACAAAATCTGGGGAAACCTAATCGCGTCTTAATTCGTAAAGGCTGTCAAAATAAATGCGCATAACATATTGAGCAACAAGGATATGATAAGTGCTAGAGTGCAGGAAAAGCATTGACTTATATACTATACCTTGAAGTAATATAGGTTAGCGGGGATGTACTTGAAGCTCATCATAACACGTGATCAACGTCAATCCACGCAAACACCCGCGAGGACTCCAAGACCGACACCATCCCACGCGAACTTCGCCAATTGAACCCAATACGACAATTAGGCCGTGACTGCGACTGCCGTGACCCGAATTTCTGTTGCGCGAACCCCTTGCACTCTCTTCGACCAATCAATACCGCTCGGAGCTAGTGTCAGCAATCCAACTCAACCGAGGACTTCATTGAGCTCTCATCCGCTCGCTCGCCCAGGAATTCCCAACTTCTCCATTTCGGCACCGTCCACGTTTTTAATCCGGCTATCCGCGAACATTTCGGCTCCTTATTTTCGACCGGAACTCACAGTCTAAGGGAGGTGTGCGGGCCTTGGGGTCGAGAAAGAGCTGCCATATCGTGCGGGAAGCTGCGGAGACTATTATTGTCTGTCACCAATTCGCCGGCGAGCCTGCTGCTTCAGCTCACTTGACGGACATCAGATCTTGTGTCTACTGCCTTTGACACTAAAAGACGATCCCATTTCCAGTGTCCAATCTCGCCTACCATGTCGCTTCACCAATACGTCAATAGTAAGTCCTCTACTGTGCCCCGGCCACACCACTACTGATGGATATTTATTAATGCTATTCTGCTCTACCAGAGAGAATCCTCATTCTCACCGTGGATGGACGTACACTACTCGGTAACCTTCTTTCGACAGATCAACTTACCAACCTGGTCCTGACTGATACCGTGGAGCGCATTATTCGCACCCCCGATGACGACGAGCCTTCCACGGAGGTTGAGCATGGTCTCTATTTGATCAGAGGTGATAACGTGGTGGTTTGCGGCGAGGTAGACGAGAAGATTGACCGTGATATCGACTGGTCCAAGGTGAAGGGCGAAGTGATTCGGGACACGAAGAATGCATGAGCAAGCAGTACAGGATACGCTTCCTTTTCATGGCTGAAAGTTTGGGCGTTAGGGAGCTTGCTGATTTTGTTCTTTTCCTTTTTTCCCGTGCACATGAAAGATTTTGGGGGGGGGGGTGATGATGGCTTTGCACCGGATGTTTTCGGGCAGTGTCAGTGGACTGCCACGCTGACAATTGAAATCGCGCCCATTATCAGACTGGACCAGGCCCTCTGCATTCCTCTCAGTCCAGTCTCTATCATCTTTGCTTTCCGATTGCCAGATATGTGCTGTGCAACGCGATGGCGATACCCCTTGCCTGCTCAATGATGCAATGGGTCCCGAGACATCCTTTGACGGCTTCATATGTGGACCCTTTGTGTTGTCTAAAGTTCGGCCGGGTGGCTGTTGACCGCACGGGGATCACCAACGCATACTTGGGCATGAGCCTGGGTGGCCGCATATCTACGAATCTCGCAGTGGCGGGGTTGACTGTGGTTAAACCTGTCCTCGGGCCCATCACTGCCTAGAGCGCTCTTGCGTTGGAGCGGGGCAAGAGGATTTCTGCCATCTAAGTAATAATACCACTCAAAGAATATCTTGCATCATCTACTTGTTACTTGTAATCTCCAGTCTTGGCACGACCTTTTAAAGATTTCCCAAGGCCCGCTTCCGGCTGGCGTTCCGCAGGCACCCACGGAAAATAGTACAGGATGTACATGTTACGAACCTTAGGAACCCAACCAGCAAGGCTGAGCAGTTGCGGTGACGGAAATGTAGGGGTCGCGATCCGGAGCCCCCTCTCTCCGCGTACAGCCCTGTTGCCCGATCGCATCGTACAGTAGCGCGCCAGGGGACTTGGCGTTCTATTGTTGTTGGGATGCGGTCAGCGCGGAGGTATGCAGGACGCGGGACAAATCCAGAATATGAGGAATCCAAAAGGACCAGGCGAAAGTCAAAGTGAAAGATCAGAGACATCGATTTTCTAGTTACGATTCAGTTAAAAAGGGCTGCCAGAAGCGACCGCGTCGAGTGGTAATCTGGTATCTCAGGCCGGGCTTATTCTTAGTCAGGCAGGTCCCTGGGAGTCCAAGACTTAGGCAGAAGGACCCGTCCCTGCCGCTGTGACACTCGCCGCCCCATTTCCCCCTCAACTCCTGACCCCCGTTTCATCCGTTCTCTCCCTCACTCTCTCCCCTCTCTCACCTTCTCTCCCTCCGCTGGCCGTTGGGAATTGCACTCGTCGAGCAATCCTCCCGCTATTCCTACCCCTGATCCGCGCCGCTCCACACCAGCCCTTCATGTGGACTCTATTATCACGGAACACAAAACCAATACCGGTTCAGATCGAACAGTTCTCCCGGGCATACTGCCAGTTCTGAGCGCGTGTCTGAACACTTCTGGATATCAGGGAAAGAATTCATAAAAGGTCAAAAAAAAAAAAAGAAAGAAAGAAAGAAAGCAGGGTCTCCCCTCCCCCGCGCCAGCCATGTGGCTATACCGGGGTGCGCAGTCGGCTGTCTTCTACTACGCCACCTGCACCCCTTGTGCGGAGAGTTTTGACCGGCGCAAACGAAAGAAGGATGCGGTACGGACACAGCGTCTCCGGGAAAAATGCGACCTCGAGATTGTCACCGACCAACCCCGACCCTTCCCCCAACCGACTGCATTCAGCACCAATGAAGGCTGGAACCAGGAAATCGCCTTGGGTCCCGGACCTCCAGCCCGGCGAGGCGGACACCGCAATATGCCTCGAACGGATAGTTGGAATACGGATCAGAGTTCGCAATTGAAGAAGGACAAGAGTGGCGGCTTGATACACCCCATCGCCGAACGGTGGAAGCGATACCAGCGCGAGGACGAGCCACTCTGGGGCCAGGAAGTACGCGGGTCGTCAATTGGCTTCTCCGGACGTGGTCGCGCCGACCAAGAAGAACCCTCGAAGTATTACATCGCCCGCGCACCCCCTATCAACGATCTTCACCCGCCGATCGTAAGTGGGCCAATCAGCCGCGCCGACACCCGCTGGATGCTTCAACCGCCGCCCAGCGCAAAAGTAATGGCCGGAAAGGAACGCTTCGACACTTCCCCGCGCGACAGTATGGGTGGATTCACCCGTGATCGTACTTCCCGTATGTCTCGCCATGGCGCCATCACTGAAGAGCGTCGCTCCGGCGATGGCATCATCGACGAGGTGGTTGAACAGCAGTTGCCGCGTCAACCATCACAATCCCTGGTGCGCGGACTCTCCGAGAGCACCAGCCGCGAGAACCTCGATAACCCCCCTTATTCTCGATCAAATTCCATGTCCTCCTTGGCCAACTCGGATGACCAGTCCTTCAGTGCGTCGTGGAAGCACCCAGATACGCCTGCGACTCGCCCGGTCTCCAAATCCACCGAAGACAGCGGGAAGGCGTATACCCGCCCTCAAATTTCCAAAACCCTCTCCATGATGCAGCGAGGGGACAAACAAAAGTTCCACTGTTTGCAGGTTGAAATCAACGACGATTCCCGCGACGAATTTGGACTTGGCCAATTAGAACGCATTCACCCGTGGCGCTGGAGCATGGATATCTAACGGCCTGCACCTCCTATCCTCCCTCTCTATAACCAACTTATTACCTCGACACCTTTTTTTTGCGCCTTATTATTCCTTCTTGACCTTCTTCCTGACACCGAGTTTATTCCATGGGCTTCCAGGCGTTTTGAGCAAAAAGAGCAGCAAGCGTTCTTGTTCTTCACCATTTTCTTCTTTTCATTCTCGCCTACAACACCGCCCACATCAACGCGACATTCTTCCAACTTGGGAAAGAGAGGCATGGCTGGTCCAAGCCCCCAAGCGATCAATGAACAAAAGTGCCAATCAGCTTCAACGCGAACGGACCGCGCGGGCTACGTTCAAGCGACAATGCTATACTCACCTACATCATTCCTTGCCACTTCACCTCCTTTTCCTTTCCCTGTTATTTGCCACTTGAATTTTGGTTTCTTAAGCATCCTCAGGTCATTATTAGACCCTTTTGCTGATTCAGTTCCTCTTTTGTCCTTCTCAACACCCTCCTTGACTATCCTTATACACCTTTCTCTTCTTGTACCATAATACCTCCACTGTTCCGGTTACATACATAGCGCATACATAGCATGATGAATTATTGGATTTTGGAACTCCTTTTGTTTCTGTCGGTGTATCTCTATGAGTGTCATAGTTCATTGTAGAACATATATCAATTCCCATTGACTACACAATCTTGGAAACCGGCTGCTCGGATCAGTGTTCATGTGTTTAGATCAAATGCACGACAGATCTCCACCATGTAATGTATGGATAAATCTTGACTATCAATGTGATGTACCACACGGTGCGCTACCACGTGTCGGTGCTTCAGCATGTGACCAAAGACATAACACTGCAATGTGTGAATCACATTTGCAGCCAAATGATGCGCAACGATCTGACCCACACATTGTACAAACATTACATCACTCCAATACAGGGTCCTGCGCGAATTTGAGAATCTCGAGACTCCGAGTCAGTCGTGGTACCCCACAAAATTCAACTCCAGATCTACCACGTAAATCTTTGTTGATCCGAGCACTGACAGCAACCGACCATGGCTCAGACCATATTTGGCATAACCGAGCTTCAAACCTTATGAAAACACGTGAAAACACCTGGACCTAGGCATTTGATCTACAAGAAATCTCTTGTCAAACCCAAACTCGATCAAAGTCGATCTACTCATGACTTCAATGCAACTTGTCATTCGTGATATATAAAAAAAAAAAATAGAGAAAACCCTTTTGAAATCATCGCATGCACAAGACATGTCTTTGTGCGATCGGAAAAAGAACTTGGAAAAAAAGGAAACCAAAATGGCCGGGAAACAGGATTCGAGAATCCTTCATGGCATGTATAGAGAGCTGGGGCGATGGCCGGGGAAAGAAACGAGAAGACAATTTAGAGGCGAGGGCACAAGACGAGCGTGCGCTTGAAGAAGAAAGGTTGATCTTGATGGTTCTTTGCGTACCTAATTCGGAAACAGGAAATGAACTGAAATTTGCCGTATTCTTACCCCCGTAGGAGAATAAATCTGGCGAAAAGGCGGAGATGTATTTTGCGAGGGAAGATTCGAACCGGCGGCTTTGCCCCAGATGTCCACCCTTTCCATTTCCTGTCTGCTGTGCAGTTGACTGCGAGAACCACTGGCAATAAAGAGAAGCGGGCCATCTTGCTCTACTCGACTCTAGTAGACCTTCTTCTTCTCGTCCATGCTCAGTTGACCGGGGCCCATGTTGACCAGGAGAAGCAGCCCACCACTGAAACAAAGTTAGTAAACCTTCAAATGAATGGAAAGTGGGTGCACGTACACAATTGACAGAATCTGGAAGAAGTCGTACTTGGCAAAGTCCTTGTGCGGGTGGTGAGGGTGGAGCTAGTTGCAATAGTCAGTCAAATGAACAAAAGAAATGAAACGGGAATTCAATAGTGGCGCAGATCTTACCGTCCAGAAGTTGTTGACCAGCACATTGAACACGCTCAGCAGAACCACCAGGATAATAGCACTCCACTTGGCCTTGAAGCCAACGATGACCATAACACACGCGACCAGACCGAAGCCGCTGACCAGGAAACGCCAGAAGTTCCACTCGCCAGCAAAGACGAATCCCACGAACAGGAAGATCAGCAGAACACGTCCAGCGAGCTGCACGTACATTTTGCGGTCCTTCTCGTCAAGCTGGGGCAGACCAGCGGGGACGAACTTCTTGCGAACCCAGGAGTCGGACAGCACCATGAGGAGGCCACCAACGACACTCAGGTTGCGGAGGAAGAAGTTCAAATCGAAAATAAGACCGTATCCAAGACCCTGAGTGATAACCACTCCCAATAACCCAGCCACAGCATATTCGGTGTGCTTGCGGGCAATCACTAGGGTCGAACAGATGGACATGGCGATCACATTGGCAATCAGGAAAAGGTGCGTAATACCCCACGGAACTAGATTGAGAGAAACCGAATTAGCCAAAGCTTTGTTTATCTGGCTCGTAGAAGCCACTGGGGTTGTTGGCTGAGCTCCCTCCTGCCTCGGCTGCCAGTGCGGAAGCGGGTGCGGGCAGAGTGGGAGCTAGGGTCAAGGTGTGCAAGGGCATCGTACTATTCCGGAAATCACGAAGGTAGAGAAGCTGGTCGCCCCATTGTGTGAGAATGCGCAATGAGTCCTCGATAAAGGTTACCACAATAAGGAAACGTCCGATCGCGGGCAAGTACCTGTGTCGCCAAAAAGAACACCGTGTCAGTGCATGCCTGAAGATCCCTTGTTTTGGGGTTGGGGTCGGGAAAGTCCATCAGTGGGCGTGTAGCAGGAGCAGCCGGCGCCGCCACAAGCTGGATTGGAGGATCGGAATTGCACGTACGGCTTCACGGGGTCGGCCATGGTGTCGAGCCAGTCTTCGATCTTGCTGGTCTGCTCGCGGATCGCATCCAGCGGGCTGGGGTCGCTGGCGGCATCTGCGCTGCCGGGACCGCCGAACGGGTTCTGGTGGCCGAGGTTGTAGCCCGCGGTGCCACGGATCTGGGCCATGGCTGACGAGGGAGAAGGACGGGTGGAAATTTGTGAGAAGACGATAGTGGAGGAGTTCGAGGTTGGAGGGAAGGAGGATGTAAATACCGGGTGGAGCCGTATACAAAGCGGCCTCTTCAGGCCACGCTGCCCGGAACTTGGCGCTAGTCCGCTTCGGGTATGGTGACGATAGAGGTGTTCACCCTGGAACGGACGGCGACGCAGGTATTTATAGTTGCTAGAGCACTCAATTTTGAGTGCATGGATGAATTGGAATTTTTACAAGGCAAGGAGTTGATAGTAGATTTGTTTGGATTCGATGTTTCCATTGGAAGAACAGAAAAAAAGTACATGTTGAGCTACAAACAAAGGCCCAATGGTTTTGTTTCTCGCGTCCCCTCTGAATGGGGCTCGCATTTTGCGCGCGTTGTCTCTTCTCCCTGCAAAAGAGAGAAGGATGCTGGTATTATGGGGACACTCCCGAAACGCCAAAGCCAAATCAAGAGGGAAATAATACATACAGGTCAAGGGGAAGAAAGAATTGGCACGTGGACGGGGTGCGGGGTGGATGGGGTAAGAAAAAGGAAATCAAGCAGCCCAGTCCGAGTCCAGCGGGTGGCCCTTGACGGTGGAATCCAAAATCCCCTGGATGTGAGTCTGCTTGATGGTGACACGAGGCTCAACGGGGGCGGGGGCGGCAGGGGCGGGCTTGGACTCGGAGGCGCTGGCTTCACTGACGCTCTCCTCCGCCTTGCCAGCCTTCTTGTTGGCACCTTTCTTGTTGTGCTTACCAACCTGGGTCCAGGCGCCCTCTTCCTTGGCCAGGCGCTCTTGCTCCTGCTCGGAAGGAAGGTCCTGGGTCCAGCTGTTGGAAGCCGGGGTGGCCTCAAAGGTGTCGAGGAGCTGCACCGGGGCGGGACGGGGAGCTGGGGAGGAAGTAGGCTTGGAGGCCCCGTTGGTGGCCTGCTTCCAGGCGTTGGTGGGCGCAGCGGGCACCTTAGACTCGGCCGCCTCACGGGCCTGCTGAGCGCCCTTGCGCTGCTTGGCCTCCATCTGCACACGGAGCTTCTCATCCTCGCGGGCCTGCAGCTTCTCAGCCTCCCGCTTCTGGCGGTGCTGGCGCTGCTTCTTAGTCTCCGCGGGCTTGAAGGGCTGGGGCTTCTCCTTCTTGGGCTCGGGCTCGACGTTGCCAGTGACACGGAGGACCGATGCGCCTGGGGCGGGGGCCTCCAGCATGTCGGAGACGTATCCGGCGGAGGGCACGGTGGCATTGACCTGGGGAGAGACAGCCGGGGACAGATCGTCGTCGGCTTCGGCGCCGGTGGTGGAAGAGGCGTGAGAACCGCCCTCGAGCTTGTTGGCCTTCTTCGCCTTCTTCTTCTGGCTCTTGCTGGTGGGGGCGGCAGCCTGGGAGGTGCCGTTCTTCATGGCAGCCAGGCGGCGAGCCATTTCCTTCCGGTCGATATCCTCATCGGGCTTCTCATCCTCGGTGGTCGGAGGAGAAACGACAGTCTTGACTTCGGTCTTCTTCACGGAAGCGGCCTCGGGGGCCTTTGTCTTGCGCTTGGGCTTCTTGGGAGCGGGCTGGGCCTTTTCGACGGTGGACTGCACGACGGGTTTGACTTTCGGGGCGGAGCCGTTGGTGTAATACCATCCGAGACCACCTGCCACGACCAGCAGGATGGCCCAGCTCAGATAGGGGTTCATTGTCAAGGGAACTATGCAGGATTCGGGTTAGATCTTGCCACAATCTGTTGTTGCTTCTCCATTCATCGGTTTTCTCCAGGTGAGACGTACTGTTGAAGGGTGTGGCTTTTGAAGGCAAAGCGAACCAAAAAAAGTTGAAGAGTTAGGATCGATCCGTCCAAGGATCAGCAGGTTCAGGGGTAGGACAGCTGTGCACGCGCACAATCAAGTCGGCACGCGCAACTGTGAGACGAATTGGTCGTACACAAAGACGGAGGTCGAAGAGATGTTCGGGAGGGGGGATGAGGTTTAGAGGGATAAACCACGCATCGATGGTGTCGGGAAGGTTGTGGACGGAGTCGGGTCTGTCCAAAGTGACCTCAATTCGTTTTCCTCAGGGTGAGGGTGAGTGAGCCAACGCAAATGCTGAGAGCACAACCACGATGTGGTGATGGGATGATGCGTCGTCGACGGGTTGTCCGGGGTGGGCGCAATGGGGGGCGCTCGGACGTTGAAGTCAAAGAGACGACGCAGAGTAGGATGCTCAACAGGAAGTTGGCATGGGCGAAGCCGCACGTAAACGAAGGAAAGAAAGAAGCACTCGCGCAAAGGAAAGTCGAGACAGGAGAAGAGGAGAAAAGGACACCTGGGAATCTCCGGTACGATACGGGGTGTAATACCATGACCGGTACACGGGCAAACCATCCAGTGCACCACATTACACCAACATCCGACCCTGCTTTCCTGGGAGGGGCCTTGAGAGATGCAGTCGACCTGACTCGGTTTATACATGCATCCGATTCAATTGTTTGATTCGTTTTCCCTATCACTGGATAATCCACCCCCGGTTGCTATGACCGACATGCCTTCGCCCTCCGACCGAACTATCGAATCTCGCGGTAACGAGAATACAGGGCCAGACTCCTGGGGCTCGTAAGTGGAGAGAGCTACAAATGGGGGGTGCGCGAACAGGCCACGTCTCCTCCACCCTGTCTCATTTCCCTCGTCCACCATCTTTAGCGTGTGACTGGTAGCAAGGACATCCGCAGCCAGCCTCTTGGGAGGTGGTTCTCGAACACTCGCGTCGATCCGGCCTGCTGGGCGCGATCTGGGCACTCCTTGCAGCCGCCCTCACGCCCGCCACGAGGAACCGGAAGCGAAAGCCGGGCCAGTCGCCAGAATGCCGGCCGATCGTCGTGGTAGACCTTGCGTCAATGTACAGTACAGTACAGGAGTATGAGTAGACATCGAATCCAATGAGAATAGATATCCCAGGTGTAATTCAAGGTAGTTCACATGCCATATCAAATATCATTTACTCTACAGTCGATCCCCATGCACGATGGGTCAATCGCTGTGAATTTGACCAGTAGACAGCGCAGACTCCAAAAATGCTGACTGAGGCGGGCGAGATGGCGGGGCCAAGCCGCCGAGGCTATCATGATCCTTCCCATCCAAGTTGCAAAGCTCCAACTTACATCATATCCACCTTCAACGTTCAACATGGCCAGAAGAATCATTATCGATACCGATCCAGTAGACAACCCCTCTTTTTTTTAATATATAGGTATATCTTTTAAAGAAAGAAACTTACAAAAATCAGGGTATCGATGACATCCTCGCGCTGCTGCTGGCTCTGTCCGCCAAGCCAGAAGAAGTTGAATTGCTGCTGATTTCGTTGACTTTTGGCAACATCGAAGTGCAAAAGTGAGCATCCGCCGATGTCGTCTACCAGAGACGTACCGTATTGACCGTCATCGCCAGCTGTCTTCGCAATGTCGTCTCTATGTTCCACATCCTCGAGCGCGAGACGCAGTGGCGCCGCGAGAACGGACGCTCCGAGGGCTTCGGCACGATGCGCGCATTCCGCCCTGTCGTGGCCGTCGGCGCGCAAGATCCTCTGGAGGACCAGAAGATGCTCGCTGACTACTTCCGTGAGTGCTTGGACCATGACCCCGCTATATCCACGAAGTACTTTTTGACTGACATTACCCCGCAGATGGCACCGACGGACTCGGAGGCATCCATGCTAGCGTATGTCCATATATTCCTCAGACCGCGCATCTTCCGCGGAGGAATGATTCCAGCTGATAAGAATGCATAGCACCCACATCTGGCCCCCAGCCAAGCTTGGGAGCATCTGTTTGACCCGGCAACAGATCCCAATGGCATTCAATCCGTTCGCACGGGTGGTGACCTGGGAGATCATTCGTTCATCCCGTCCAAGCTGCCGGCGTACAAGGAGATCCTCCGTGCGCTACGAGAGAATGAGCCAGACTCTGTGACCCTGGTGGCTGTTGGGCCTCTGACGAATCTAGCTCTGGCGGCCGCAGAGGATCCCGGAGACTTTCCTCCGCGTGAAGGAGGTCGTCGTCATGGGCGGTGCTGTCAATGAACCCGGTAACGTTAGTCACATTCGCAAACACCCCGCAGACCCATATCCAAATCTTAACCAAGTTGAAAACTTGCAGGTTACGCCGGTGGGAGAATTCAACGCCTACGCAGATGCTTTCGCCGCTGCCCGGGTCTTTGCTCTGACATCGCCTAACCCGAACTCAACCTTACCCCCCCTCCACCACTTCCCAACTGCCCCCGTACCCAGCTAAAATGAGCAAGCAATTGACTTTGCGCCTTTTCCCGCTCGATATTACCCTGCGCCACAACATCTCCCGGGGCCAGTTCCGCAAGGCCGTCACCCCACTTCTCGAGAAGGGCTCCCCTCTCGCAGAATGGGTCAATGCTTTTATGGGTCATACCTTCCGCACCCTGGAACGTCTGCACCCAGGCCATGTTGGTGACGATGCCCAACTGAGCTTGCACGATCCTGTCTGCGTTTGGTATGCATTGACATCCGAGGATCCTCATTGGGCCCCGGCGCCCAACTCGCCCGAGGATATCCGGATCGAGACCACTGGCCAGTGGACTCGCGGTATGTGCGTCGTCGACCATCGTAACCGCCACCGGATTGAAGGCGACGAGGAGAGCTCCAGCGACCATGGCCTGTGGCTGAGTGCCCGAGCTGGCAACCGTATCTATCGGATGGATAAGTCGCCAGCTGAGTCTAACTTTGGCCAGGTCATCATCGATAAGCTATTTGGTTAGACCTGAGTGTTATAGAATAGACGATATAAATGCCATTAAATAAATAGAATTGAATATCGTGAGGGAAGTAGCAATTTTTGACTATGACAGGGCCCAAAGCAGGTTACGGCCCGAGGAGATGCCGAGATCATCCCATGCTGCCGACTGTCTCCGTCTCTGTCTCGCTGTTCAAATGTAGTACATGTAAATCCACAATCGGTTATCTACATAAAGGGATTCTCAGCATGAGGGTCTTATTTTGGGATAGTTCTCGTGCCAACTATCTGTGCATTGGTTTTAGATTGCCAGAGTGTTGCGGGTGAGGCGATTGGCTTCGTATATCTCGAAAGGGCTGTGAAGCTATTTGTGTCTGGGGACAAATAGGGGTGAATTCACATCTTTCCCCCACTTAATACGATATCACTACTACCATAGGTGGGGAAGTCGACTTTGAAGTATTGGTGGGTACGGCTCGACTCTGGAATCATTCCTCAATACTGACTTTACCTCCAGGGTTGGTGCCCTTTCAGATTGCACATCATGCTATTGGCGGTAAAATATCTCAACTGCCACTTTACAGTATTTTTCTGAAACATAGACCATGAATAATGCAACATCCTACGTGAATTGATGTAATCATGATGAGCCAAGAGTGCCAGGGGAAGCTCAAGCGGCCCCAGAATCGCGCCGTGGGCTCCATCTGGCCAGCGCTCCTGTCATATGGTATGGGGTCCATTTCAGCCAGGCGCGTCGCTAAGCATAGTGTGGAATCTAGCCAAGGATATCTTTGAGCTCTTGCGAGTGACTTGATTGGTCCGTCATAGAGTTATCTACGCGGCTTGGAATGTAGACGCGGGACCGCGTTGACCTAACAGGTCACGTCTACAATCATTTCTTCATAATATTCACGCGAGCTCGGGTGTATAAATGGCTGCATATTGTCCAGTTCATTTCATATTCGCTCAACTTTCCATCATATACTTTTCCAGCCTCTGAAAAATGAATGGTTAAGCTGATGCGTCGCGGTTTGGGACTCGCCGCCTCGGACTGGAATGTGGAATGCCGTACCCTAGGGATCGGCCTCGCCGCCTACTATACAGCAAACTTGATTGTAACACTACACAATCCAGGAGGCTTTTTTTAGTTGGTCGACGAATTGAAGACCAGCCACCCACAGGCTTTTCATCGCAGGGGTGGATTATATAAAAGCGATGACCCCAGGGGGTGAACTCATCGATCAATCCACACCTCTATCATCCACATTACCAACCGATCTTCTACCAAGCTTTGGCCCCAGTGTCAATCCCCCTTGCCAATCGAGATCTACCTTGTCTTTATTCCTACCCGTTCACCATGCAAATCACCAACCTCCTCGGCCTCTGCCTTCTGGCCATGACTGCCAGCGCGGCTGCCATGCCCCGATTCGCCGGCCCTTACCACGGCGAACGCATCTCGGTGCATGTGCCTACCAATGCCACTACTCCCCACAATGCCACGACCACCGGAATCAGGGGAAAGGCGCCACTGTCGACCGGTCTGTCGAAGGCGAAGAACGGAACTGGCCGTAACCAGCCGGCGCATGCTTCGCACAGCCCACAAAAGGCCGATATCCCGTTGAACTCGAACATCCCGAACCACATCAAGCACATCAATCACTGCCATGAACTGTGCTCGTTGGAGTCGCAGACTTGCACGATTGCCATGCCCGATGAGGATGAGTACTGGTAAGTTTGACGATCAATTTGAGCTGAGTGAGAGAGCAGTAACTAATTTGTGGCACAGCTCCAAAACGTATAAGCAGTGCATTGCTAAGTGCCATCCGTCGGACTTCGAGTGAGGACGATATAAAATGATCAATATTCTTGTGAAAAGCGAAAAGTGATTGCAAAAATTGTGCTGGATCTGGCTATGTGTATCATGTGTGGGTCGTTCTAGCTTTAGTGATATAGTCCTCGGAATTGTAACTTGCCGAACCTCAATACAACGAATGTGAATTTTTGGACCACGTGCCATTGGAGTTATCGAGAAAAATGAATAAATCACAAAAAGAGATAAATAGACCAAATCGGGCGATGTGCGGTACACAATGGGAAGGAGGGGCCAGTGGCCCGACACAAGTTGGATAAGGTTGCGCAGGCGATCGACATCTGCAACCCTGAAGTGGTAGTGCCGGGAGTGACCAGGTCGATGGCCGATGATGCCACCGGGAAGAAACCGGGGCCCTGCTGCCCCACGGTGGACATGTGATGCCCCCGGAATTGACTGGAAATTGAGAAGCCAACAGCGATGGGACGTGCAGCGAGGGGCACACTTGTCCACTTGCCCGCTCCAAACGAGGGGGCAGGCCGGCGAGTCCAGGGCGCACGTGCTGGGCTGCCCTGGAGGTGACTGCGATGGTCTGTCGACAGTGAGGTATCTTCACGTAAAGAAGAGTATGGGGGAGTACTTGGGAGAGCAACCTGGAAGGAGAATGGCCCTGATAAGCTCAGCGATCCACCAGCCAGCCAGCAAATGCCCGTTGCTCCCTGCGGCACGCCCCCCGCCACCCCGCCAATGAGCAGCCGCGATTGCGGCTCGTGGGCAGCGCAGCACGCGACACTTTGCGATGTGAAGGTCCCAAGCCCGCATACATACAAGGGGCAGACGCCGCCCTGGCACTGTCTCTTCAACTTCTGTGCAAATTTTACTCCCCTGCCCTTGCGGAATATGACTATGTCTCGCTCGCGATTCCCTCCCACGCCCGCTATGTCCGGCGAATTCATCATCAAAGACCAGCCCATCGACGGCACCGATGTCTTCGCGCTTCCTCCCGCGGCTCTAAGTCCCGCCAAGGATGACTCGGCCAGTCGACGCTCCTCTCGCTCGGATCCTACTTATGTGCCTGCTTCGCCAACGTCGCCCGATCTGGTTGCTCGAGGCCGCAATAATACTATCACTAATACTTCCCGAACGGGAACGGCCACCAAGCGGCCACTGGAGGATTTTGATCTACCGCCGCCTCCCACTAGGACACGCAAAATCATCCAGATGAAACCCAAGTCTCCGGCAACCTCAGCCAAGTCCCCCGCGAAGCCGAAGGAGAACGGCAAACCCTCCAGTCAGCCGTCCGAGCCGGCTGCCAATGGCGCCTCGGCATCCAAGAAGAAACAGCCGAGTGCCACAAGTGCCGCCGGCCGCAAGATTGCTCGCAAGACCGCCCACAGCCTGATCGAGAGGCGCCGTCGTTCCAAGATGAATGAGGAATTCGGTACATTGAAGGATATGATTCCAGCCTGTCGAGGACAAGAGATGCACAAGCTGGCCATTCTTCAGGTATGTTGCCTAAGAACCTCTTTATATGAATGGCATTCACTAACAGTGCTCTACAGGCTAGCATTGACTATGTCAACTACTTGGAGCAAATCATCCAGGATCTGAAGACTGACGGCAAGACTCACACCGCTGCTCCACCTTCTCCGACATCCCCAGAGTTCATCGTCGATGGAGGTGGAGATACGGTTCACGAGTCAACCCCGCGCCCGCCATCTTCCACATACTCCTATTCGGCCTCCGCATCGCCTGAAATCTTACCACCCAGTGGTCAAATTTCGGATGTCTCGCCTTCTTTCTCCCCTCGCACTCGCCTCCCCTCTGTGCACACCATCCCTGATGTTCCCTCTATCCTCCCCAGCCCTGCCCTGGGTCCATCCTATGCGTCAATGGATAAGATCCAAGAGCTCCAGTGTATCGACCACGAGGCTTCGGCTGCCTTGATGATGCTGACTCGGGATCGCCGAGGTACTGCCGACTCCATCAACGAGCAATTTTCCACCAGCACTGCCTTTGGTTCTTCTTCTGAGGGAGCGCAAACATCGCATGATGCAAAGCGGAGAAAGGGTATGAGTGTACGCGACCTCCTTATCTCGTGATCTGAAAATTTGTTCTTTTTGGTTTCCCCTGTTGGATGGTGCTCCTGGTGTTTTAAGGGCGGCGGCGGCGGCTAATAATGAGCGTTCTGTGTTCGATTTTTGCAAAACTTTGGTGCTGTTTTTACCATGATCTGAGTTCCTCTTGCGCAAATTGTTGGTGTACTGTAATTGTTCAATATTTGATTGTCTCATGTACAGAATGACCCCACTGCAAATAATGTTCGCAATGCACAAAATGGAAAGCTTACCCTAGAGTTAAACTCATGCAAGTGCATTTCATTTATGGGACCCGAATACCCAATTCACAAAATGTGCTATGTAGAAGAACTTGAGCTTTCAAAAACACCATGTAGAGACTGTCGTCAGCGCGTATGAGGCAGTATACACTGGCACCAGCAGTTGTAGAGCTGGCCCCACTGATTCGCTTTGATTGGTGGAGCTTCGGGGTTTAGTCAAACGCCGAACGACCGAACCCAACTTGATGACTTCCACACCGACATCATTTCTTACAAGCAAACACTCTGGCTTAATTAAAGAAGATATTTTCGCATGCTATAAGCTGGCCTGTAAGTGCTGATGACGATGGAGAGTTTCCGTCGCTACAACGTGGAGCGATCATGTCTGCGCTGCCACGAGCGCAAAGTCCGATGCGACAAAGGCTCACCATGTAACAAATGTGTTCGTCTCGGCGAGGTCTGCGAATACCCAGGACCACGGAGAGTCAAGCGGCGGCCACCAAAGACAAAAGTCACTGATGTTGTGGCTCGTTTGGAACAGCTCGAACGATCGATTGCGACACTAGCTGGGAACTCGTCAGCAGTACAGACCCGACGACAGCAACCGCAGCAGCCGCTTCCCAGCGCTGGGCCTACATCGGTGCCAACTGCGGCTCAGCGGAATGATATCGGGACAGCATCAAGTCATCGTTCACCCCGGGAATCGCAGCCAAACCATGGATTTTTGGTGAAAGATGGTGCTTATATCGATGAGCCCTTTTTGTCCCGAGTATTGGAGAAAGAGCAAGAGCTGCAGTCTGCGATGGGGACACCGAGTACTGAGTCCGGGGGCTCAGGGAAGCCGTCCCCGCTCAAAGTGGACGGAATAATCACCAATCCGCTTTTGACCGAAGTGGATTTCAAGGCTCTCTGTCCAGATCGGTACCAGGCGACTCTGCTCTGGCAGACCTTCTTGAGCCGTGTTGAGCCGGTTATCAAAGTACTTCATATCCCCACAACGCAGCCCCGTATCTTTGCCGCGATAAATCGACCCGAAAGCGTTCGGCCGGACGTTCATTGCCTCCTTTTCGCTGTCTTCTTTGGTGCCACGACAGCCATGTTATCTGATGACCCTATGAATGAGCTTGTTCGTGCGGATCTGCGTCGATATCAACAGGGTATCGAGCTGAGTATTTATAACTCGTCCTTTCTGGACTCACCTACGCTATCTTCATTACAAGCAATGTCGATATACCTGGTAAGATGTGCATAATCTACATTGCTCTTCTTTGTGTCTGACATTTACCACTCAGACATGTCTGCGCTACAGCAACAGTGGCAGATCTGGATTTACATTGCGCGGTCTTACAATCCGCGCAGCGCAATCTATTGGCCTGCACCGCGACGGAGAAAACTTCAAACTATCACCTCTAGAATGCGAGATTCGTCGTCGCATTTGGTGGGTTCTGTACTCAACCGATGCCCGCATGGCCGAGGACCACGGTATTCTTGTGGCGGAACAAGAATACGGAAGCGACACCAACTTGCCTTCAAATATCGACGACCAAAATATAAGCGAAAAGACAACCCAGCCCGTCGAATCCAAGAAGCGATGGTCAGAGATGTCATTCATGCTGATTATCAACGAAATCAATCGAATGTGGGCTCCGATTTCCCGATCCACAGACAACTCACCCGATGGAGCTCAATCAACTCGATTACTGAATCAACTCAAAGATCGCCTGCACGAACGATTCATCCAACATGCCGATATGGACATCCCAATCCAACGACAAGGCGCAATGCTTGCCCAGGTACTTGTCGCCAAAGCCGAAGTGCACATGCGACAAAAAGTCCTCCAAATCCAAGGTGCGGCCTCCTCCACCGTTGATACAGATGCTACGGATGAGCTCCTCGCTATGGCCGTTCAGGCCTTGGATCTTGGTCTTGAGATGTATACCGACGAGTTACTCCGCGGATTCCGCTGGCTCACTTCAACCTACACCCAATTTCATCTTCTTACGTACATCCTTTGGCACCTTTGCGTGTACCCAGCCGGCCCGCACAATCAAGCAGCCTGGCACGGTGTCAATCGGCATTTCGACTTGGCAGAAAATGATCCCTCCTGGCCGGACCCGGGCCCAAAATGGCCGATGCTGAAACAGCTTCGGGCCAAGGCACTGAAAGTTCGACATGCGCATATTGCTGCTACGTCGAACGATCAAGCTGCGGATTATGAAAACAACATGCAGTTTGACGTGGGCGGTTTACCCAATGAGGCGCTTTTGAATATGGATAATTGGGATTTGAACTGGCTCGACTTTCCGGATTGGAATTATTTGGCACAGAGTATTGCTATCATGGGGCAAGATAGTCATTGATTGGCTTACACTGTATAATATTCGAGCGTGATGAAACCGACAACGACACGAATAAACAAATTCTGGGACTGAGAATGAGGCAGTATTGAACGCCTCCAAAAATGCTATTTTTGGAATCTTTGGAAAGCGGGCCGCTCCGCAGACTGAGCAAGTTAAAGTGGGGGCGATTCAGAGGAGGGGCAGACCCAACCTCCGCTCACCATCTCAAACAATAGCACAAAGGGATCGTCAGCCCAGGAAAATGCGGAATCTATGAATCATTTAACATGGTGGAAGTCCTCGGAACCGTCGCGGCAGCTATCCAAGTCGCCGAGCTGGGCGCCCGCCTCTCAGTGAAGCTATGCACCTTCGCGCATAAGTTCAAGAACGCCAACAAGGCGCTGCGGAGCCTATCCAATGACGTCGCACTCACATGTAGTGTGCTCCGTCAATTGAGTGAGAGTCTGGGCCAGGATGACCTGGTCTCACTCTACTCCCCCGACGCGTTCGCTACGGCTCAGGATGTGTTGGAAGAATGTGAGAAGGTCTTCAAGGATCTTGAAGGCGAAATCGAGCAGCACCAGCCGGATGCATCTCCGGCAAATTCCCGGATGGAAAGAGCGACTCGAAAAATTCGGTTCCTCATGAACGAACCCCGTCTGGATTCGGTTGCGGGTAACCTGGAGCGATTGAAGTCGACTATGCTTCTGATGCTCAATGTCATCATATACGCCGGGCAATTGCGAAGGTACGATGAAATCCTTTTGGCCTGATTGGAGAAATGTCTCTAAATATCGAACAGTCGGCGTGAGGTCAGCGAAGCCCAAGAGCAACGCGAGCTTTTGCAAATGCTGACCATGGAAAAAGTTGAGAGCGAAAGGAAATTCGAACAGTTGACAGCATCAATCCAGTTCATTAGTTTGAATGTACAGAGCAATCAGACAGGACCAGTCAGCGTGGTCCAAAATCACAACAGAGTCAACGATGAGCTTCAGCACTATTACGACATGGCGAAAGCTATCATCGGAAACATTGATAAGGCACAGCAGTTTCTGGATACGAGCCGATACCAGAGAGTCAAAGATGGATTTATCAAGCTGCATTTGGCTGAAGCAAGCCGGTTCAATCAGACATATGGAGCGAGAGCCTGGGAGCTTTTCTCTCAACTGGGAATTACTCAGGTGCGCGACAGCTATTATCCTAGCTTGTCTCTGCTTGAGATGAACACTAACGTGTATCGCACAAAAGCCAAAACTCAGATCGTCGCCAATGGGGACACTGGAGCCCCAGCATCCACATTATTTCAATCCGACCAATCCAAGAAAGAGAAGTAGGGCCATGAATGATGACAGGGTGCCCATTTCACCGCAACTTCCAGCGGTATTCGAGACAGCGCCCAGTGCATTCCCGCAAGGTCCTGCTCCGCACCAGACCTTTGGCGACTCAAGTGTGCCTGATGTGGTATGTTAAGGCTATCTTGAGCATCGCACGGCAGACATGGAATCTTACAATGAATTTTTAGAGCGCCTTCAATGACCTTAGTGCGTCGAATAACCCGGACATATTGGAAAGCTTTGATTTTGAAACTTTCCTCAACACCGACGGCGATGAAGCTGGATTTAACTTCGGTCTAAACTTGCCATTTGCCCCAGAGGAAGCTCCCAAAGTGGAAGACACATCACCCGAAAATCCGGACGTTTGGATCTTGAGGTGGACCACATTGGAGAAAACGGAGCTGCATCACTTAGATCCAATCGATGCGCCTGGATTATGAGAGCCTCGAAGCATCCTGTATCCCTGAAATTCTATATGTGAGAAGCACTTGCTTTTCAATCCGCATAACTTGAATTGAGAATCGGGGGAACAAATTTTTCCTAGATTTACTAAAAAATAACTGACAGCAATCAATAAATATATAGGAAACATTGAGGAATCAAGGTAGTGATTCAAAATTAGAGCCCGAAACAAATACGTATTATGTAGAGATCACTAATTAAATATGCTCGGTAACGTCCGAAACGTCGGAACCAGATGTCTATATTACCGCAATATATGCAAATGCAGATTTCCAAGGAATTGCAGGCTTGAAAGCACAACACAAACAGACTCATAAAATCGTAACCTTAGATAATAAGGCTTCCGTTTACACCTCCTCGGGTGTTCTGGTCCCACTGGAGGACTTCATCAGATCTTCCTCCAGCAGTCGTTGGCAGAAGGGGCTTGTCTTCCGAATCCAAGGACCGAAATAGAGTAGTGCAAATGGGATAGGAATGCAGACTAAGCTAGCAAACCCAAGAACGGATGTTCCCCACGAGACCCCAAGCTTTGCATAAAGAGGATCGGCGGCAAGCGGGAATAAAGCTCCTGCGACACTCCGCATAATGACTGATGAGGCTAACGCACTGGCGGAGTAGATGCGGTATGCGTCAGTGACGTAGGTGAGTAGAGAGATGAAGATGGTCTGGTAACCCATTCCGAAGATCAAGCCCGAGAGCACGGGTACGATCCAGTGAATGGATTGCTTTGCCGACCAAGCCAGCCAGAAGAGACTGATGGTTAGGCATGGACCTGCGACACACGACAATGGTAGTCGATGATACTCGGGGCTGGATGCCCAGCGCTTTCCAAGCTTTTTAGCCTTATCGTAGAGGGCGTCGTAGTAGAGAGCAAAAATGCAGGAGGATGCGGCACCGATACCCACTAAACAACGTTAGCCTTAGGTATTTCGACAAGTCAAAATGCCCATCAATAGACATACTCGGAATGTATGTAAGGGATGTCATTGCGACGTCGAAGTGGTAGGTGTCTTTGCGGAGTAAGTATTGCTCGAGAAAAAGGGTGCTGTGGTAGGACATACTCTCGAAGATGATGGGATATGCCTGGAAGTAGAAAAACACCATGCTCCAGGCAAGGGAGATGAAAATAGCAGTGAATAGGATGATAGGCTCAAAAATAAGCATGGTGAGAGGCCGTGTGATGGTTTGGATAAGAGTGAAAGCGCCGTCGGACTTGAGCTCCTGTGGAGCGAGATACCGGTCGGACTCGGTCGCTTTTCTCAAGGTCTTGGCTTTTTTTCTCAACAACACAGGAGAAAAAGTTTCTTTTGAGAAAGTTAGTCGACGATTCTCATCATGTGCGTGGGGCTGGGTTCCACCATACCGGAGAAGAAGAGAAGTCCTATCCAAGTGACCCCACTCAGGATCAAGTCAATGCGAAAGGTCCAGCGCCAGCCATACCTAACGGAGCATCCTGAGATGATAGGACCAATTATAGGACCGAAGCTTGTGGCCTACATAGTATAACGTTAAATTGCTGCATCTGAGGTGATGATAAACAGTATGCCATACCGACATATACATCGCCATCGCCCGACCTCGAGTTCGCAGGTCTGAGAACATATCGGCATAAACACCTCCAACGACAGTCTGAGGTGCAGCAGCCATCGTGCCACAGATCACTCGAAATATCAAAAGCGATGTCCAATTAGGTGCCAAGGCGCAACCCAGTGTTCCGAGACAGAAAACAGTAAAAGTCCAAAAGATAACCGGTCTACGCCCAATAGTCTCGCTAAGTGGGCTGAAGACAAGTGGTCCGATGCAGTATCCAATCAGGAAGATTGCTGTTGGTAGGACCTTTTGGCCGTCGTCTGACAGGTTGAAGTCCTGCATGATAGTGGGGACTGCATTGCTAGGTAGGGATGATGATATGCCGCTATTGAGCACAACAATCAGTCCGATAACACCGTTGTAAATCTTCTTATTCTATCCGAGGAAACAGTTAGTAACAAGGACGATTCAATATATTGTACATCACACAGATAGCCACGCGTACAAGAGACCAATGGTTTGGGTTCGATTTTGAGTCCGGAGAGAACTCGACAAGTATTTCTTGTGTAGGCAAATCAACTAGTGAATAGTCCTCATCCTTTCTCAAGTCTGCCTTAGACATTTTCGAGCCGATTTCCTTTTCATTCGAGGTCGGCTTTTTATCTGTGAAAAATGTTAGGACATAACACGGACTAAAGACAAGGAGGACAGGTCGTACCGGAAGAAGAATTAATTATGAGAGATGATAAAGACCGGCCTGTATCCATATCTATTCTCTGGACTAAAAATCAAGTACAAAACAAAGAAGAAGAAATGAGCGTGGATCAAGTCAATTGTCAAGTGTCCCTGAAAGGTGGGAACCGCGCACTATATAGCATCGATTTCTGGTCAGGCACCAACCCAGGGGACATACAGTGGAGAAAAAATCTCTTCTGCGGCCCTGAGTCACGGCACCGAGATTTTGTGACCATGCGTAATGTTCCAAACTATTATGTTTGCGTTCTTAGCAACGATCCAATTAAGACTGCGCTATACAAAATTTGAAGCAAGTGGGCCGGCCCCGAACCGGCCCCGGCCCTTAGGGCACACCCGGCCCCGGCCAAGACCCGGTCTCCTGACGGGCGCCTCCGAAGCCTAGATCTCCCGCTGTTGTCCACTACGAGAATGTAATCATCACACCCCTGTTGTGGAGCGTGATTTCAGATGATTGTGACATTTGTATACTACTGTGTGGCGGCCCAAAACCTCTTTGGTCTACCGCGTGCCTCTCGACATGCCTGGCTCGGATTATCAATTGTGGACCAACGATGTAGATCAAATAAAGTCCGAATCGATTAAACGTCATCCCTGTGCAAATCAAATGGGTATATTGATTAATGTTCTATCCTTTTACTGCGGCAAAGACGGCATCACGGGCAAGAAGTCAAAAATATCGTTTTGGCCTTCTTCAAAAAGACCAAAAGAGTCCGCGATTGAATTTGACATGGTCCAATTGGGCGCTTCCATTGTGTCTGGCAGCCTTGGGGGAGGCGGTCTAGTCGTGGCAGCTGCATCATTACTCGGCAGTGGGGCTAGATTCGGGACTTTCTCGTTCGGAATAGATGTGCCGGTTCTGTAGCGAGGGTCATCCAGTGCCACATGAGGGGGATTCTGCATGGAACTGTCGGGCCCCCTGTCGAAAGGCAAGGACCCATCGCCTTGCTCGGAAACATTTGGTCCCTCGGCGCTGCCGTGGCTCCTCGGACGCTGACTAGCAATAATTGCTCGTGCGTAGTTCACGAATATGGAGACGGTACGGTGGATGTCCGGGTAAGGTGGCTGCTTAAGAAAATCGCAGATCATTTCTGCTCTTCCCAGGAGAATATCTTGGTCGATCATATTTGGACGCCAGCGTGCAATCCGAAGTGCAAAGGTCGCTGTTCATAGGTGAGTATGTCTGCCCATATCAAAACCTGGCCGCGGCATAACTTACTGACAAAGGCAATTGTCAGAGCAGGGTATGTGGGGGCCCATGGCAGCTGACATCTGTAGGCCGGCTCGTTGATCAAGAATGCCATCTGATCCATGATAGTGGTGACTAATGACTGCCACAAGTTCAGCACATCCTGGTCTATTGTTTCGATGTCGGAGTTTTGCGTTCTGGGCTGCAACTTCTGGATACGAGCCAGCGACGCACATAGCACAAATATCCTAGCGTACAGAAGCATAAGTTTCAGGCTGCTTCGCTGGAAAGCTCCGGCGTGGAACCCGTTGTCTAAAATGGACAATTAGAAATCTCGCGTCTCATAATCTTTCCTCCCCGAGATCTTTCCACCCCGGAAGCGCTTACTCATATGGATTTCGTCCCATGTAGTCCACCAACTCTGTAACCTTGTCATTATAGCTGGCAGCTCTGATGAAACAATATCACAAATGTTACCGCAATTCTCGATCACCATGCGAGAGTTCCCTGTAATGCAATCAGTCAAGAACCTAAATTGCAAAGGACAACAGGTAGGCACTGACCTCGGAGTTGATGAAGCTCAACGATACACACTGTTCGCATATCCGAGGGAAGTGATAATGGATAGTCAAGAAACCTGCGTAGCTTCATTATATCCACCTCACCGATGCGTGACTTGCGGCCTGTTCCAGAAGCTACATCCAGTTCCAAAGTAAAACTGATGAGCCACGTTCGCGTTTCCCAGACCAGCTGACGGTCTGCCATTGAAGCAGACAGCGAACTTCTTGGAACATTTTCTTGGGATAGTAACCGGTCCAGTGACTTTTCTAGACCCGAATCCAATGCAGTACGTAATATAAGAGCTGTGGAAAACCAGGTTTTCTCCGAGTATGCAGCAAGTAGAATCATTCCTTGGACAGTCTCGAGCTTCGTGGGGCGTTCGAAAAAGCTATCTTCGGCCAATCTCTGCGCTTCGTCTTGCAAGACACGTTGCATGTGCGTATCAGTTCGTAGATCCACGACAGCGCGACTAGCGAGGTAAATGATCACAGTGAAGCAAAATAGTGAACGTGACCGGACGGAGTCGAATGTGTCCCGGATCGGGTCGAAAAGACCCAAGAAGTTCTTCATGCCACCGGTAAATCTACAGAATCAAAAGGTAAGTCTTTTGCTTGAGGGTTAGAGGTGTCTCGAATTAGTTGCGTGCGTACCGTTCATACATGACTCTCGCACGCTCTTCTGTAACGATACCCCTCGCAATAATGTCGCCTCGAGGGTCTCCACTGGATGAATGTTCCATGAATATCTTGAAGATCAGTCAGTAACGCCCATCAATCCGAACGGTAAAATGGCTGCCACTTACATCATCTGAGCCGAGCAAGTTGACAGACATAGAATGAACAGCTGAGACCGGTGCAATCATATCGTTGGGGCTCAATTGCTGTGACTCGGGACCATGATGATCTGCTGTTTGAGATCGTCTTGGTTCTCTGAAAGCAGATGACTCCGGCAGCGAGTCAATAGAGGCATCGAAAGACGCATCCTGTCCGGTTACCGGAGAGTATTCACGCTCCCCTGAGATTGGAGTATGAAAGCCGCTTCGATGATCTAGCGGAGTTGCTACCGCAGAAGTACTATATCTGAATGGTTCAGCTGGATGCTTACCCGACGAAGTGCATGGACTTACCGTGCTGGTGTGGCTGTTTTTCTCCGGCGTTCGTTGCGTCTTCGGGTATCTTCAATTGGATCAAGAATGCAGTCACGTCCTGTTGAGCTACAGCGGAAGCAAGGGACCTGATTTCGTGCGTCGCAACGCATCTTCTGCCGGCGGCACCACCGACATGCTTTAAAGAACCGGACCGGAATATTCTCCGCCCGGAAGACAATCTCCGAGCCTCTCTCACTCATGGTTTTGTTTCCGGCTGTTACAACTGGCCGCGAGCAGCAGAACAGTATTCAGTTTCTTGCGCCGAGTCCGAGTACGTCAATCATTTGGCACTGAGTATGGCGGGCCAACGGCGTCATCCGGACCATTCGCACTGGCGGGGAAAGGGCATACCGGTCACGTGAATCGGACACCGGTTCTCACCCGAAATAAGAAAGCGCGTCTGTATCACGTGACAGAAATACTTTGCCTTGCAGCCTCAGAAACAGGGCACTAATTCTTGGGCCATCGAGCCAGACAAGCGCAGATGACTTGATACTGCATGCTACCTCTGTTTCACCATTGTTGTCAGGGGCATGTGGTTGTCCTAAACCCAGAACAGGGTGGCTTCCGCCTTCCTCTATTGCCCTGAATCTGCCTCGTGAGATGCAGAAGCGAGACTGCAAAATGGGGGCTGTGGGGGCCAGGCTAAGTACCCGTCGAGGTTTGGATTGGCCTGAAGGGCTGTGTATCAAAAAACGTGCCTTGGATAACTGCCCGTCAATCTTCCCAGATTTTGAGAGTCCATGCGGTTCTCCAGGGTATAATCGCATCGCCTCTTTGGTGGTACAGAAATTTGCGAACTTTCAGCTAAACAAGAGTCGTGTAGATGTCAAGCCGTTCCGGCATGCGGCTCTGAGCTTGACCGAAGCGCTTGGAGGTTTGGCTGTGGAACCAAAACAGTCTGCATGATTGGCCATATTGTTGGCATGGATGTGTTATAGCAAATGATGACTCTCGGCCATGTTTTGGCCCCTTTGGCCCCAACTTAGCGTCAACGGGCTCTTGACTGTAAACCCGGCTATTTTGTAAGGCTGTGCAGGCAAGCTCTTATTGAGACGCTCCACAATTTGAATGTGATGGAATCAATTAGCTGCGGTCCCCGCAGCTGCCTTTTTCTTTTTTGTTCATACAACTACTCACTCCATTCATCATACAATCATCAAGTCTTTCAAAATGCAGATTGCTGGCTGGATCACCCGTTTTCTCCAAGTCAGCTTCATCCTTGTCTTCGGATACTGACTTAGAAGCTCACCCAAAGTCTTAGGTTTTATTCTCGATCGTTGTCCTCGCCTTATCGATTTCACTTGCCAGGCAACAATACTATGGCAAAGTTCCATCTCAAACTAGCTATGCCGCTTTTACCGGGGCCCTGGGTATAGTAGCTGCGATAGTTGGTTTTGCTTCCTTGTTCAACGATCGCCTCAAGGGCGTCATCACATGGGTTCTTGACGGTGTCACTGCAATTGCTCTTTTGGCTGCTGGTATAGTGTGTTATCCTTCTATAGACAGATGGCATTGTGATACAAGTTATACTGACCGCATTTCGTATTAGGCTTATGCCGTGTCTCTTCGTGGTACTAACTGCAAGGACGAGTCAACCGATGGAAACACCTGGGATAACCCGTTAATTAGCGGAGGCTGTTACTACCATGACGATGGCACGAAGACCTGTCGCGACGGTCACGTCGTGAAACAGCGTTGCAATCGCGCCACGGCTGATGCTGCATTTATGTTCCTTGCATGCATTGCTTGTATTTGCGCTCTTGTCGTCTCGTTCCTCACTCGCCACCGCTAGGCATTGGGAAAGACGCAGAAAGGTCGAAAGCTATTGCCATGGTCAAGAAAGGGAATCCATGTATTGTTCAAACGAACAGTGCGGTTTTTTTTTTTTTTTTTTTGGTCTGATTTCATACCAAAAGACTATATGACGCTCGCCGCAACACGATCCGATATAATTATGAGGAAATGAAGTTTCACTATTTTCAACCAAGAAATATATTCTTCCTTGAATAACAATGCCAGACCACATTGAATGCATGGCACCGTGAGTATTCTTTTGTTATCTCTCTCATTGGCGCAGTGCTTCTCCAAATACAAGCAAATGGCCTGGCACTCCAACTTGGACCGCCTTGCTACCCACCATAAGGATCCACACATACCACCATACCAGTAAGCCATAATGAGTAAAGCACGAGAATCTTTCGGCCTGAGCAAAGTCTTGAAATGGGGCTTAATAAAATTCAAGAACACTAGGTAATCCTTCATCGTTGCCTGTGTGCATTTGACCGGAAGCAATCTGGTCAAAATAGATACAGCCGGATAGGGATTGTGTTCGTCGGCGTCTGGCTCATCGAGGTGACACAATCCAACGAAATCACGCGGAATTTGCTCCACTTGAATCAAGGACGACTCAGTGGTTAATATGGCATACTCATCAGCCATGCGATGGAATATACTTCCGGGGCGAAGAGGATTGGTAGCTTCCTAAAGGGCCATTTTGCCTTGTGTCAGATTAAGCCATGACAGGTCAGTAGCATCGGCGGGTTTTAATGGCCAAGCTTCATTCGGTGTCGACGCTTCGATTGAAGTTATGCTGGCAATCCCTAACATGGCAGCAGATGCCCATAGAGCATCACGATCTTGAGGTCGAATTGGAGATGATAATTTTTTGATCTCGCAAAGCAGCTTCTCTCGACCAATGATAAGACTCAGCCAAGGGTCGCTTTTCGTCGTTCGATGAGTTTGATAGAAATCGATCATGTGTTGCCGTGATGACTTCATAATGTGCATGAGAAATGGGTTCTATAGATGATGAGACTCGCACATCAATAGAAGCACAGAAAAACAGAAACAAACCTCTAGCGCAACTTTCACAACTCCCCTTTGTAGACTTCAATTGACCGAACGGGTGTAAAGGTATGTGCTGTATGGTTTTGGAATCGACTGAGACGCACTATGTCTTCCATGTCCAGCTGAAATGACTCGCGGCCATCGCCTACCGTAATCGTAGGCAATAAGTATGTATCAAGGTCGGATAGCCTTGAATTATAGACCACTTGACCACGAGAACTCTCCAACTGGGTTGTATGCGTCTGCTCTCGGGCTACTTGGACATCTGAACCAACCGGTAGGCTGTAATTACATGCGACACCATAGCATACGCATTTTTCGCGTTGGGGCTTAGCTTGATTACGCTTAAAGTATTGGAACCAACAAGCCCCTAGTGATCACTGTGGGTAGATTAATCTTGCCTATGGGTGAATTGGCCGACGAAGATGCGGTTGTCGATCTCACATCGCCATCTAATGGCCGTGATATCTCAGAACAAGAAGTGGATGCACTCGCATCCGTACGTGCCTCATCAGTCCGACTCGCTCCCACCGTTCATGGGCCGGGAGACTACAGTTTCACCTACATGCTCGCGCAATTGCCCGTGAAAGGGGAGTCTCTGCATGTGCTGGCGAAGGCATCAACCGCTGGCCTGCAGTGCATCGCCTTGATGCTGCTCGTCTCTATCGCCTGACTCTGGAGAAGGGCGTCGCAGGCGCAAGGTATCACGCGGTGGCCGAGGAAGAAATTCCTATGAAGGATATTGCGGAAGCCCTTGGTCGCGGTCTAAATCTTCCAATCGTGTCGAAGACATCGGAAGAGGCTCCTGCGCATTTCAACAGCTTCATGGCTTTCGCTGCTAGTGCGGATAATCCCACTTCTAGCTAGAAGGCCCGAAAGACACTCGGATGGGTGCAGACCCACCCGACTCTTCTTGAAGACATCAACTCGGGCATTTAAACTGACGATGCTAGTACAAAAGCGAACGTATCTGTTTGAAATAGAAAAAGATAAATATACAACCAACCACGTTGTTCCGCCGTAATCTCCGCTTATCGCCACCGTCACTCTCTGTGCAAATGTAGGTTAAGGCCACCAATCTCCGCAAGGGCATTCACGAGGACTGGGGTGGTTGGGTAAGACCTATAGAAGGATTTAAATTCATTATGACACACAATTTTAACTTGCAACTAGGAGCCTCTACAAGTCTGCACAAGTAAGTCGCAAATTTGGATCTTTGTTATCATCTTGTCTAGTCTATCTGATATCTCTAGTTAGTAATGCCATTCTGCATTTTCGTTCAAATCTTAGTGGCTCTCTCCTGATGGCGAGTGCCCTTCGACAGTCCAGTCTCAACCGCTTTGATTTGAAGTGCCAGGAACTTGGAGTAGATTCGGCAAAGCGCCAGGTTTCCACCAAAGTACCAGAAACCAGGATGGCCGCTGGGACGCCACATCTGAATGAAATTAACACATGCCTAGAAATGCAATCCATGGAGAGGCCATTCACTTACCGCACGAAGCTCTCCCTCGTTGTCCAAGTCCCATACATCGGAGCACCGGTCTGCGACCTTGTCACCCAGCACCTTCCGAACAGTCGTCCGCATATTATCATATCCAGTGGCCAAGACAACAATATCAGCAGGAAGCAAACTTCCATCAGCCAGCTTCAACTCACGCAAACCGAATCCATCGATACCGCGTGGGCTATGCTTGACCTTGATCTTGTCGTCGGCAATAAGCTTGCTACATCCCACGTCAATGTAATATCCTCCGCCAGCGGTATAGTAAGCACGGGCGATACCGGCGCCATCTTGACCAAAGTCAAGTTGGAAACCAGCACGGCGCAGACCATCCAGGGTCTCTTTTTCGGCCTCCGCAAAGCGCTTGGTTCCATGCACGGCCAAGGCGAACTGAACAGGGAATGGCAGGCTCTCTGAGACAATATCGCATTCTTCAGTTGGGGGACTATATGAAATCAAAATATTAGCAAACCCATCTCCAGCATAGGGTGGGGCCATCTGAAGCATACCCGTCATCCTCATGCAATCCTTCGTGCATCATGAAAACACCCTTGTCGGCTGTGATGACATAGGTACCGCTGCGCTGCAGCATAGTGACCTCTGCACCATTCTCATAGTAATTCTGAGCTATATCATGGCCACTGTTACCGGTCCCCACAACGACCACTTTCTTACCACGAGCGTTCAACTCGGCTGCGTCACGATGTTGGCTTCCGTGATAGACGGTACCCTGAAAAGAGCTCTGGCCAGGGAAGGTCGGAATTCGAGGCTCGCCCGAGTGTCCAGTGCACCACACAACATGGCGGGGACGCAATGTGCGCTGAGAACCGTTGCCGCGAGTTACGGCAACATTCCATTGGCCAGTGGCATCACTGTATTCGGCCGAGGCGACAGAAGTTCTTGTCCAGACATTCAATTCCATAATGTTTGCGTAAGCTTCGAACCAATCACCTAGCTTATCTTTAGGAGTGAACTGCGGCCAGTTCTGAGGGAAGGGAAGGTAAGCCATGTGGGTGAACTCAGCGGGATCGTGAGTAACCAGAGTCTATCAGGGACAGCTGTTAGCTCGAGCTCTTTCATGTCGATATGGAATAGCAAGATCGCTAGCTCACCCGGTAACGCTTGCGCCAGTTATCGCCAACCCGCTCGTGCTTGTCCACAATCAGGCAAGACAGTCCAAGGTTTTGAAGACGGGCGCCCATGTTCAAGCCAGCTTGGCCTAAAAATCCAACATATTAGCATACTCTGTGCATGCCTTCTCAAATCAAGACAAGGTCACTTACCAGCTCCAACAACCAGAACGGTAGGCTCCGCATCCGAGAATTCCTTCTGTCGCTCTCTCCGCTCAATCCAAGTTCCGCAGGCCAATCCGCCGGGCATAGACTCGGTTGTGCCCTCCGGCCGCCTTTTTCCCAGAGGTTCCTCTACTCCCTTCAGCGCCTGGAGTGAGGTGTAAATGGCATATGCCTTCCAGCGACCATCGGCGGCCTGTGTCAAGCGTAGCATGCCCGTTCCGGTACCGGCAGCCGTTTCAAAGAAAAACATACTCGAAACCCAGCTAAGGCCTTTCACAACCTGATCCCATTTAGGCGTGAATTTCCCCTTATCCTGAAGCCGGAAGTTCGATAGCGCAGAGGCACCCTGGCGCTTGCGGAGGAAGTCTTGGATCTCGGTCAACGTGTGAAGGGTACGCATATCCCAATCCAGGGCGAGCATGTCGCGCCACCATGACTCTTGGTGGAATAGATTTCCCAAATCAATGCTATCGGCGTGAGCCAGTTGGATTTGAAGGTTTGTAAGCCATTGTTGGGCGATGGCATGTGGCTCGGAGGGGGAGCTGGAGGGTGTCGTAGGGAGCTGGATAACGTGCGGGTTCCCGCCCGTCAATGTTGTCGCCATAATGTAAGAGAGTCAAGGGAAACACTCGTCAAAGGTCAAATACTGGAAAGGTTTTGACGACAGCTCCAGCTCACTTTAATAAATGGTAGGTTTCGGCAGTCTGCAGGGCGGATCCGCAAAAATAGGCATTCTCCCATTGTACCGAGCGCGGCCCTTTTCCCTCAGGGCAATTCAACCGAGCCTGGAACACGGAGGGCAACGTGGGGAAACAAACATCACTCCACGACGGAGCCGCCGACATTCGTTGCACGCCTGTCGACACGCGCGCAGTTCTCCCCGGGCTGCGGGGGACTTCGGAGTAAAACCGACCGAAGTGCGGGGGGCAACTCTTCCGAGGTCCCGAACAGGGCATTCAAGCGCTCGGCTCGCTAGTTGTTCCTTTTCTGGAATGCCGCTTCTCTGGAGGAATTGAGTACCTTAGGATGAGGTCTTGGCTGAGGTAAAAATAGCTACCAAGGTCGGTAGCTATAACCACTGAGGTGGGCCGGGTTCGCCTGGACATTTACCGTATGCCATCAGGGACCAAAAGCCCAAGCTGGTATTTGGACCTATTGCGGGAAAAATCCTTCAAGAACTCCGTTTTCATTATCTAAGAATTGATATCCTCATAAATGCATTATATTGTAGATAGGGTAAATCAGGTTTCCAGCGACTGATGAATCACGCTCGTCCGGTATGTCTCGCTGCACTGCACGAGCTCATCATGAGTGCCTTGCTCAACACAGCGACCATCTTCGATGAGGTAGATGCAATCTGCTCGGTGAATAGTGTTAAGCCGATGCGCGATAGCGACGATAGTCGTGCGACCGGCGAGAGTAGCAAGCGCGTCTTGGATTCGTTTCTCCGACTCCACATCCAGAGCACTTGTAGACTCATCCAATAGCAGCATGCGTGGCCGACGAACCAGAGCTCGGGCAATCGAAAGTCGCTGCCGCTGTCCGCCTGAGAACTGTTTACCGTCACGACTGCATGGTGTTTGGTAACCTTGTGGTAGGGCTTCAATCACCTCGTGGATGTTGGCCATCCGGCATGCTTCTTCGATTTCTTCTTGTGTGGGGTCGTGACCTGGTCGTGCACCTAGGCCGATATTGAACGCTACAGTTCCTTCGAATAGCACGTTCTCCTGGGGGACGAGAGCAATATCATCACGGAATGCCGTGCCTAGCTGCCGTGTGACATTGACGCCGTCGACGATCACAGCACCCGACTCTGGTCGGTAGAATCTCTCCAGCATGGCAAATGTTGTAGATTTTCCTGAACCACTCGGCCCAACAAGCGCACAAAACTGGCCTGCTTTGATCTTGAGGCTCAACCCGCGGAGAACAGGTTGGCCTGGTCGTGACGGGTATTCGAAGTGTATGTTCTGTAGCTCGGCACCAACACCAGTCATTGTCGGCGGCGCACCAGGAGAGCTGATAGACCGCTGCTCGGGGTGGACTGCCTCTGGGTCCGGAATTTTCTCATCAAGCAGAAACAACTCGCTGCTTTGAATTTTTCCAGAGACGTCGGGGTTCAATTCTTCGTCGGCAGAGCGAGTAGTGAGCAGCTCGGCAATGTTGGTGGCAGCCACGCCCGCCTTCGAGATATCCGGCGCAAGAGCAAACATCTGTCCACACGATTGAGTACTAAACAGGAGTGCAGGCAGGACGATGAAGAATTGCACCTGGGTGTAGCTGCCGTTTGTGATCTGCTTAGATCCCCACCAGTATGCCAGGGCATAAACGAGATTGCTAATACTGAAAGCCGTGGCGAGGAAGACATTGCCGAACGCAATTGAGTGAAGAGTCTCACGATACGGGGCTTTCAAAGCCCTTTCATAGACCGCATAGGATTGCTTTTCAAGTGAGAATGCCGAGACAGCGCGAATGTTATCAACGGCTTCCACAGTGACAGCAGTTGCTTGTGCAAATGCCTTTTGATGCCTTTCGGCAAAGCGAGCTTGCGTTCGTAGCTTCATCATACCAGCCAACAGCAGAACGGGGATAGTTGGGAGGAGAACAATGGCAATTTTCCATGCAAAGACAAATGACACGACCAGTCCGGCAACCAAGTTCACCGCTGTGGCGAGCAAAAGTCCGATCGTTGTACCGGTAATGCTACCAAGGGCAGTTGCGTCGCCGGTAATGTAGGTGAGAAGAGTTCCCGGTGTCCGATCTTCCATTCCATGCCACGGAATTGTCTGACCCAGCAGGGAACGCAGCGACAAGACCCGAATTCGGTACAAGATCTTATCGGCTGCCCATCCGAAAGCACAGCCGCCCACCACGTTGGCAAAAAACTCGATCAGTGCCATGATGAAAAAAAGTAGTCCATATAAGTGACCACCGTGTCTGATGCCATCTGCGCCGATGCATGGGCTCAAGCTACCAACAGTATGACCGAAAATAACAGCCTCTGCAGTATAGCTTGCTCCAATGATAAATGACATGCCAAGTCCGAGCAGAACGTATTGCAGGTTGGGACGGAGTAAAGAGAATGTAAATTTCGTGGTGAACCAGCCGGAGCGCTTGGGACTTTTCCGCTGCTTTTTTTCTTTCTTCTCACGCTTTTTCCGCCCCTTCTCTGTTTCTTTTTCGTTCCATTTTCCATCTGCAGAGGTAGGCACGGACTCCTCTGTGATGTCGGCTCCATGTACTTCGAGTGTTTTCAAAACGTCTTTTGCATCAGCAGAAAGTGCCTCAGTTGTTGTTGACTCTCTTGCTTGGCGGATAGGATCCGAATTGGCTGAGACAGCTGGGCTTAATTTACCAAGGTTCTGCAGGCGAACCATGTCCGCATAAGGGCCACCACGCGCAACCAATTCAGCATGGGTGCCCTCCTCAACGACTCGTCCCTTCTGTACTAGAATGATTTTGTGGGCGTCTTTCGCAGTAGATAGACGGTGGGCGATTGAAACCATGGTAATGCGCTCAGCGACCTTTGCCAACGCATCTTGAATCAAGCGTTCACTGGTTGAGTCTAGAGCAGCTGTCGCCTCGTCAAGAATAAGTAGCGCGGGATCACGCACAAGGGCTCGAGCTAGGGCAATTCGCTGCTTCTGGCCACCACTCATCTGGCTACCGGAGGATCCTGCACTGGTAGCAAAGCCATGAGGGAGCGCTTCAATGAACACAAGCGCATTCGAGCTGGCTGCGGCTTGTCGGACCAGCTTCACAATTTCAGCGACCTTAGGGTCGAATTCCTCGAGAGCTTTCTTTTCAGTCAAGCCTGTGCGCATCTTTTCCGCTAGCTCGGCAAGACTCGAGTCGAGAATGAAAGGAGCAAGTTCCTGGTGGCTTTCAGACGAGGAGGTAACCAAGCCATAAGCAATGTTTTCCAAAATTGACCGATCCAGCAACGATGGCTCTTGTTGGACAAATCCAATATTCCCTCTGAGATATCGCACATTGAGGTCGCGGAAATTCCGGCCCCCGATCGAAATATCTCCGGATGCAGGGTCGTAGAATCTTTCCAGAAGTGCCACGATGGTCGATTTTCCACCCCCAGAAGGGCCGACAATGGCGGTATGCTTTCGTGGTGGAATGGCAAAATTGGTTCCCTGGAGGATGGGGACTTCCGGTCGAGACGGATAGGTGAAGTGCACATCACGAAACGTGATATCCTCTGAATCAAATGGAGCTGACTTATCTCCCGAGTCATCTGTTCCATCAATCTGTGACTTGCGATTGATGACTGCCAGTAGTCTATCGGCTGCGCCAGTCGCCGCCGCAAAAACGTGAACAAATGGGGCGACTTGACTGAGGATGAAGGAAGCGTCGATGAGAACGAAGATAACAGTGTAGACAGCACCGACTGATGTTCCGGAGCCCCCGGATTCAACTGAGTCCGCAATTAATCGAGAACCTTCCCAGAAAGCTAAAGCGTTGGCGCTGTAGGCAATGAAATACAGCAGACCGAGTTGTGCCGCATGACTTCCTGCCTTCTTGAGAGCGTCCATGCGTGAACCAGCGAGGTGTTCGGCATACAGTTTCTCCAGACGATCGTTGGAATTGAAGGCATGTACCAGTGTGAGATGTGACAGACTGGATGAAGCAATTGAAGTGGCGACATTGACGTGCTCTGAGATCCGACCTGCGTATTTCTTGATGTAGTAGCCCCCGACATACGACATGAAGAAATAGCATGGAACCACAGATACCAGCATGCCAGCTATTTGAGGTACTTTGATAAATGCGACGATGTACGAAGTGACAAAGTAGGAAACCGTAGAGACGACCAATCCCACCTTCTCTGACGTCCCAGATTGTATCACCCCGATATCGCTGACGAGTCGAGATACGACATCTCCCGCCGGGAGTCCTTCGATATAGCCCGTCTCTTGTCGGATAACACTTTCGAAGTATCTTCGGCGATATCTCCTAGCAATCCGCTCGCTGATATAGCTCCAGCAGCTGCAATGGATGTAGATGAAGCAAAAGTTGGCGATAGTGATGTAGATCACGTATAACACCTTCTGCCGTACTCCATCAGACACATCTGAGTTGACGGAGTCGGATGAAGAGCAAGTGGCGGTATTGAGATCGTTGACCAGCTCACCGAAGACGATACCCAGGAGCGGGAACGGTATACCCGCGGCAATGGAGAAGAAGAAACCGGCGAGGATCAGGCAGACGTCGGTCCGGGTGTAGTCGAGGGAGAAGAGGAGCCGAGTGTAGGCAAAGAACTTGCCAATGCCATCTTTCGTGGGCACGCACTTTTTCATATACCTGGCCTGGGAAGCTCGTTGGTTAATTTGTTGTCACACGCGGAGTAGTTCTCATCGGGTAAGTTTACCGTCTGTGCCCGTTTCCCTTCTTGAGCTCGAACGGACTCATTTGTGAGCCCCATGGTTTCTTCAGAGTATCGTTGATTTTCTCGATTCCTTCAGTAGAAAACTCTCCACGCCACTGTTGGGTGGGGGGATGATGTGGGCGCAGGTCGTGATGCCCGGTTAGTATAGTTCGGCCGTACTCATCGCAAGCGGGAATTGCGTTGAAAAGAAAAGAAAAATCTGTCAGGACATCACGACACTCGAGAAAAGGGGGGCAGTAGCCAAGAAAATGCGCAGCTACAAGCAAAGACGAAAAGAAAAAATGCCGCGAGTGGCTCCGGGTGCCGCCCATGGACCCTGACGCGATGAGAATGCCGGGGGGAATTGACAAAAGTGGAGCCCGGTTCGAAACGCCAACCATGCCGTCCACGCCAATACGACCCAAGAAGCTGCACCTCCCTCGCAGAGGGTCTGGGATCCAGGGGATCCAGCCAAGCGGAGAAAAGAAAAATCGACACCGCTCCACTGGCGATGATCGATTACCGCTCGCAGTGACACACGCACCCTGTTCATTGTTGCTGCTTTCACGGCTCGCGCAGAAGGCGCCACTTGAAAAGCCAACCGTTTGATGTGGTTACCGAGGATCTTGACGCTGCCAATGATCGAGGGCCGTCGCGTGGGCCCTACATGGCAGGGGCCTCGTGGAGATCCACTGCTGCATCAGATAATCTCGTGAAGAAAGATTTTGCTTCCACCATACGCAATCCGGAAGGCTGTGGGCGAGCCAGCGAGGCCCGGGACCCTTGGTGTCTCCATGCCGATCGCGCGAGAAATCGGGGCCAAGTTCCCCCCGGTGAGGTGCGCAAGCAAAACCGCGCCGCGGTCGTCTTCTCGCCAAGAAACCTTCCCAAACTCTGTGGCCACCAGCCAAAAACACAATTTTATCTGATGGCCGAAACATCTAATCTGATCGATTGATAACTCCATGCTCAAACAACTTAGAAAAAATTGCTGTCCGGTCGATCCTAAGAGGTCAGGTCTACCAGGTCATCCGGTCATTTCCTTTCCTCAAGTGGGACCAAGATGGTTCATCGCGACCGTGCGGGCTTCCAAGGGCTCCCGGGGGCCGGCGGGTAGGTATCCCGCGGAAATCCCGCCCTCGCCGCGTTTGCCTGTGGAATGGCTAGGCGTGTTATAAAACAAGAGTATTCTGGTATATGCTTATACAGTGACACAGCAAAAGTTTGGACACCCCTTCTAATACCGCCTTCCTGAAGTAGCGCTACCGCCCAGTATTTTCGGTTTTTTATTGGTAGAGAACTGACAGGCAGAATTAGGGGTGTTCAAACTTTTGCTGTCTCACTGTACATGCATAGCAGGAACGAATAACCCCTGATCTACTTGTCGATCGTCGAATCTGTTGTGTCTCGGTTGGCACCCGAAGGTGGATCATTGGTCGTCAGTCCCGGGTCAGGAGATACCGGGATGCACTAACCGATTGAACCCCAATCTTGGTCAGATTGACAGGGACAAGTGCAGAACCAGACAGGCGGTGCATTCTCGGGCATGAGCAATCTGCATGAGTGAAAAGGGGTACTATTAAAAGCAAGTTCTTGGTTTCTGTATCCCACCGATGTTGAAACAAGGGCTGATCTCTATGTCGGTGACCAGGCCACAGTCATTCGTCAACTAGAAACTATTGCAGTAAAATGGCCCCATAGCTGCTAGAGGTCTCTTTCATTTATAACCAGGTGCAGAAACTTGCTAAACGGGTCCGAGGTCGCTTTCCCTCAAGACGCAAATCTGTCCCTCGCGACGTCACAAGATTATATCGCTGTCTTGCGATTTCTTGGTTTCAAATCCTTGTCTGTCATCCCCTGGTTCATGCATCTCAAATGCTCTTTTGGGTCTCCACAGTCATTCGCTATGTGTTATTCTATTTGTCAGTGCCTATTTATGGTTCGAAATACATCAGGATACCATTACGTTTATCACCGCTATCCTAGTCTCAAGGACAGACTGTCCATGCATGACCAGAGGGATTCTGGAAATCCTGTTGATGAGATCCAAGCAAATATCACCAAATGAGGCTAGCGTCGACCCAATGTTCTACATGTTTCTGTGTAGCACCTGTGAGCTTTCTCGAATGAAAGATCTTATACAGTGTGAAACAACCTGCTTATTAGAGCCTCGGTTGAATATTACATGATTAATTGAGAGAATTCTGATGTCCCCCACCACTATCAATCAATTTAAGCCCTGCATCACCGCGATCATAGATTAATTAACGTAAAAGAAATCTATTCAAAGCGTGGTGCGAACATGGAATGTTGATTCGCAATCGCCTCCAAACGGGAAAGGTTACACCTGATATGGGCGGCGCCATCGATTCTTGGCAATATCGTACCATTTACTGCCTAAGAGTAGTATATTAAAACGACGAGCATCAGCAGGGTGAGATCTAGCAGTCATTGCTCATTTGCTCATCTTTTGCGCGTCTCAGTTGTCCACACGGGGTTGTCTTGACATTATACAGCCTTTTTCAGACGGCCGCTTCCGCGCTTTTTCCCCGCCGATAAGGCCTTCCACCAAGACCTTCGCGCACCGCTTCTCGAAACACGCAGGCATCAAAGTGATTTCCGACGTATTTTTATTTTTGAAATGGCCTTGATTGTTCGCAGACAATTGAGGATTATGGACGGACATCTTCGAAATATCCATGTTAGTAATTCCTCGGAAAGGAATAGGAGTTTGGGAAATCTCATGGTAGGTGCATTCGAGATAGCCGTTGTGCATGACTGACACCTGGGCAGGACTCACCGTTCTGTCGTGGAATCCGTGAGCCGTGAGGCTGAACCTTGAAAGCGGGGTCGACCACCCACTCTTCCCATCAAATACATTTTGCAATCTCGGTCGTCTCCCGCATAACTCTCGCGCCAGCATTAATATCACCAGAGGCTGGAAATGAATAACCTTCAACCACATCACGGCAAAGGCATCGGGTCGCAACAGCTCGTTCTTACTCTTCTCATCCCCTGTGTCTATCTCGTTTACCACCACGTCCTCTTCCCACTATTTCGACGCGATCTCCGCACCATCCCAGGCCCATTTCTTGCCAAGATAACGGACCTGTATCGCCTCTTCATAGTCCGCACCGGATCCGCCCACGAGTATCACATCCGTCTACATGAGCGGCATGGCCCTTTCGTTCGCCTTGGACCCAACAACGTCTCCGTCGGCTCTCCGGCCGCGATACCCGTTCTCTATAATGCACGCACTCGCTTCCCCAAATCCGATTTCTACCCTGTGATGGGAAACGTCGCTCGTGGGAAGGTCGTCCCTACCATCTTCTCCACGTTAGACGAATCTGTTCACGAGTCGATGAAGCGACCTATTGCGCAGGTGTATGCGATGACGAGTCTTCAGACTTATGAGCCACTGGTTGAGAGCACCGAGACTTTATTCTTCAGAAAATTGGAGAAGCTCGTAGAAGAGGAGAGATCTTTTGATCTTGGAACTTGGCTGCATTGGTTTGCGACAGATGTGATCATGGAGATCACTTTTGGGAAAAGGGTGGGGTTCCTAGAGAGAGAAGAAGATGTAGATGGCATATTAGCAACGATTGAAAAGAGATTTTGGTACGTCGCTGTGGTAAGCAATGCCCCATCTCTTGATATCAGCAGAAGTTTCTGTTGCATCCATTTGTTGGAAAGTCTACTGATGAAAAGATCCATTAAACAGACTGGCCAACTGCCCTGGCTGGATAAATTGTTTCATAAGAATTCTCTTATCACCTTTCTCTCGGGCCTTTGGTGGAAGCAGAAAATCTCCCCGGTCCTCAGGTTCACTCTTGACCAAATAGAGGAACGGAAAAGGGCACGCCAGGGAAATCCTGAAAAGAAAGGCCAAGAGCGAGATTTCCTATCTCGGTTCCTTGACATTCAGGATGGCCGCCCAGATATCCCTGACTTGTAAGATACCACACAGAGTTCTTCCCCTTCACGTCTAACCTCAGGCTTTAGTTGGATAATATCTTGGTGCCAACAAAATGTCCAAGCCGGTTCCGAATCCACGGCAATTACACTAACTTCAGTGATATATCACCTCCTCAAAACCCCGGATTCCATGCAAATGCTGCTTGCAGAGCTAAATAATGCAAACCTTCCATCACCAATTCCCTGGGATATGGCCCATAAGCTTCCATGCCTTGACTCTTGCATTAAGGAGGCCTTGAGAATGACCCCGGCCATTGGTATCCCGTTGGAGCGGGTCGCTCCACCGGAAGGTATAGAGTTGTCTGGCAAGTATTTCGAACCTGGAACGGTCCTTGGAGTGAATGCATGGGTTGTGCATAGAGATCAGCAGGTATTTGGAGTCGATGCTGCTTCTTGGAGGCCGGAGCGGTGGATCGAGGCAGGTCCAGATGCAAGGAAGGCCATGGAGCGAGCACTATTTGCCGTAAGTTTTGTCGACAGATTATCTCGAATGCTTTACGTTGCTTGGAAGGTCCTGGCATTGACATTGTTACACTAGTTCGGAGGGGGATCAAGAGTCTGCCTTGGGAAGAATATTTCCTACCTGGAAATGTACAAAGTTATCCCTGAACTGCTCACAAGATTCAAGGTTTGTTACTTCCGGTTCAACCGCTTCGATCTGTCGGTTCATACTTATGATCCAACCCCGATACAGTTCGAGCTCACAAACCCACGAAGAGAATGGTCGGTGAAAAACGGCTTCTTTACGTATACGAAGGGTGTCGAAGTCAAAATTCAGAAAAGAACGAGTTCGGATTGACATTGAGGGATACTCCTAGTAGTAATCAAACAGATAACCCCTTGCGCACAGAGAATCACTAGATACAAAGGCCTGTAAACTTTTCATATGTACGATACCCCCGGAACACAACGACACCGACCCGCTGTAAATAGGAAATACATGCGAAGACAGGAAACAAGCCCACAAAAATAACAACGGAGGGAAAAATGAACTATGTGCATTATCTTCTCCAAAAGTATCCAAATGCCGCGTTAGCTTCACTGGGATCGGCGGGCCATGAAGTAGGTGAGCAAGTTGAGCGAGCCTTCCCCGGCCGGCTGTGTGAGCTTCTGCACGCGTTCAAGCCCGAACTTCAGGTTCAGAAGAGTGCACAGCTCAGTGGCCTGCTTGCGCACCCCTGGACGGCAGTGGTTAAGTTGCTGGCTGACCACAGCTCCCACGCTGGCGAGAACCTCATCGGTAATCTCGTAAGAAGCTTGCGCAAGTGCCTGATGCATGACAAAAAGTCCCAAGATGATTGATCGGTAGGCTCCTTCGCAATTAGCATCATCCCCAAGATCTAACCCTTGCAGCACACCATTGATAGAAGTTGGGGCCGGGATCAAGGAGACCAACTGCTCGGCCACCTCCTCCAGGCAAGTGACAAAGTGTGAGTTTGACTCGTAGTGCCGACGGGCTCGGATGAGAGCTGCCATGGCAGGGATATCGTACTCATGGAAAAGGTCATTGGTTCGGATGAGCATTGAACGAATCGTAGCCAGTATCTGGGTCTTCACATCGTGGTCCTTGCGATTGATGGGTGCAGCTTCGAGCTCATTCAACAAAGCCCCGAGGATTGCGAAATAGTCTTGCTGTTGAGAAATAAGCTCCTCGCCGTGGTATTGGAAGAGTCCTTGGAGTTTCCGATATCCAGAAATGTCCATGTTCTTTGTTCCAATTCGACTGAGCGCCTTGGGAAGCATCTCCTTGGCATTAGCAGGGTCCTTCGAGCGAGGGCTTGGGCTGCGGTGCCGTTCTGCCCATTTACGGCTGCGACGCAGAGTTTCCTCTCCTGTAGATTGAGCCAGAGATTCGTAGGAGCGTTGCCTTGAATCCACACTTCTAGCTGTCGATTCATTCAGTGGTACCTCCTCCAGAGCACCGGGCTTGGCTGCCGATCGAGGAGTAACTGCATACTCTGGGACTTTACTAGGCAAGGACGCATTCTCGCTGTTGGAACTCTTTTCAGTCATGGCTTCTCTGAGAGGCTCTTGTGGCAGCGCAGGGCTTAAGCCCGCGCCCTGTCCAGAAGGTACGATGTGGAGACGATTTCTTGAAGGTGAGGGGCTGCCTCGAAGAGGTGTCCTCTGAACTGAGGACTGGAAGTGGTTCTCATTGACCATGGTTTCCTTGGTCGCACTCCGGCGAGGAGTCAATCCGATAGATGGATTCTTAGTCGGGGTTTCCAAGGCCGCTGGAGTGTGCGTCGTGGTATCGTCGCCCGACTTCTGTCCATCGGCGGCATGGCGTGGTGTTCTCACAGTGGATCTAGCGGGTGATCTCACAGGTGACTGCCGTGGCGTGAAATTTTCGACAGGTGCAATATCGGGCGTCTCGGTTCCAGCAGCAACGGGAGTGTCGGGGTCTTCATAGATGACCATCTCATCGGGCTGGGTCTTTGGGACAGGCTCCGAGTCTGATTCCGGGCCTGGGTGATGGAGTGGCACAGCGGAACCCAGGTTGGGGGTTTCTGGAGAAGGCTGAATGGCAGGCTCTTCGTCTAGCGAGAGGTGCTGCGGCTCCCCGATATGCCCGGAGACATCCTCTGAGTAAGGCTCGAAGTTCTGCTGGTTGGAAAGTGGCGGATGTGAGGTTGATAGCGGCGGGCTTTCCAACACAATGGGATTTGGCGAGGTTTGTTCTTCCGATGCAGTCGCTGAATCACCATGGGAATTCTGCAGCAGGTTTTGATGCGCCATGCTGTCATCAGAATCGCTACGCACACGACTAGCCACCCCAAGGTCTCCATGGGACTTGGATTTGGAAAGGTCCAGCTTCTTGGGTTTCCCTCTTGTTGTCCCAGTCTGTCCAGCCTCATGAGGTCGAAGTCGAGGAGCGCTGATTGGCTTCGATGAAGGTGTCGACGCTTTAGATCTCACTGATCTTGGGGAGCTAGCTGGCGGCTTGCTGGATGACTGGGCTGCTCTAGAGCTCGGCCGAGTTGCATAAGGATCTGCCGTTGCAGGGCGGCTCAGTTCAGCACGTCGTGGTTTCATTGCTGGTCGCATGGGCGCAGAAGACAAGGATGATAGAGGTGCGCCGGTAGGGACCGTTCTTGCTGTAGACTTAGTCTGTTCTGGTGCCTTAGTTTCGGTGAAAGTGGGCTGAGCAGACTCTGGGCGAGATGGCATGTTGGCTTTCCTCTTGGCTGCAATGGCTTCTTTCAGAGCCGAACGACCAGCTCCGGGGCCACTAGCACCTTTTCCAGAGGATGCGGGTCCCCTTTGCGTCGCGTTCGGGTTGGATGGGTCTTTTTCCAACAAGTTACGTGACTTAGAATCGAGATCAGACAAGATAATATTTGCCCGGTCCGGCCATACGCCAAAGAAAGTCCAAAAGGTGCTGCGGTTTGCCTCTCGTACTCCCGGATTGGCGTCGCCAAGTCCCTTTTTGAGAGACTTCTCGATCAGATCCAAGCCGCCACCATGCTCAAGTGTGCTTTTTTGATGGGCCTGGCGAGAAATCAAGGTCCGAAGCCATCCGGCGGCACAAAGGCGTAGCTGCAAATTCTTGTCCTGCGATGCCCAATGAACATGCTGAAGAATACGGATATTGAATGTCACATTGCCAATGACGGCGTCGACAGTCGTTTGGCCATTTTGTGCCGCGATCTTCTTCAAAGATCCACACAATTTAATCAGGTTCTGCATCATGATCTCTACCATCCCGTCAATTTTGGGACCGCAGACCTGAGCAAGATCCTGGATCAAGAGGCAGCCAGCAGTGCACAACGTGGTTCTCAGGGAATTGGCAACCTTGAAAATTCCATCCAGCAGGGCCTTCACACCATGCAAGAAAGCCTGGCTGAAGTCATGGGGCGCATTGCCACGAGTCATTCTCCGAAGGAGGATGACACTCTTCTCACGCTTCATCCAATTGTCTTCAGATTCTTTCCCATCAAACCAATACATCATATCGCGCACCGTATCTTCAACGTCCCGAGACGATGACACTAAATATGGCTCAACGCCATCCTCGTCTGAAGGATTGTTTTGGACAACAGGTGCCTCAGCTGGGGTCTTAGGTCGGCTGGGGGCTCTGCCGGGGCAGGAGTCGATCGATCCTGGCGGCCTCTCGATGATCCCGGTCGGTTTCTAGTAGTCTCGCGGTCTATTCGGCTGTTAGAAGCGTCTATCGCAATTGTATAGGATGCAATTCGGGAAAACTGACCTTCGTCGTGCATGTCAACAGCATGTGAGCGAGAAGACATAACGGAGATCGGACGTTCGGCACGAGAGATAGGTCGAGCTGAGCTCTCTGGCTCTCCTGGTCCGAGTCCGATGCTTGAAAGGATCGCATTGGCAATAGATTTCCTCACGCCACGAGCAATGAGCTGTTTTTGTAGATCTGATTTGGCTCTCGCAGAGCCATTTCTGAGTCAAGTTAGGATCAGTTGTAAATGAAATGACGAATTTATCTTACTTGAATAATTCCACAACGACCGATCTGGCCGTGTCTCGAACGGCGCTGTCGGCATCCTCTAAACACGCGACCAGCGATGGTACGTACTGGCGGAACAGCAAGCCGTGGTTCTTTGTCATCTGCGATTTTATATGTTAGACGTCTAATCAGATATCGAGGTGCGAAGAAACGTACAGTGGACAGCCAGAGCATGCTCATCTCCTTGGCTCTGGGGTTTTTACCCACGAGAGCGCACTGAAGCACATAGTATTCGGATTCTTCGCTGGAGTGCGACCAAAGTTCCGTGAATATGGACGCCGATTGAGCGCGCACACGCTCCTTGTGGTCTCCCAGTCGCTCCAAAAGTAATGGGTAGAAATTCCGCGCCTGGCTGAGAATCCATTGCTGTTGGTCTTGAATCGACAGGCGCTTCAGGAAATGACCCAATGTGGAAAAGCCTGCGCTGCAAACCGAGTAGTGTTGAGAGTTTATGGCAAGCCGCAGGGTATCAAAAATGGTTACGATCGCGCCTTCGGGGACATTTTTCTGTTTTATATCGGATTTGATGGCGGTCAGATGGGCGACTCGGGAGTCAATCGAAACGTTGGGGTTTTTGAAGACCGCCAAGAGTTCTGCAGCCTTTGCCTCCATTTTGGCGCCGATGAGAGGATAGATTCTTGTGTCACAGACGAATCATAAGAGGCACCACCTGTGACGGCGTAGCAGGTGCAGCCCAGTCCGGTTTGAGGGGAAGACGCTTGCAATGAGATCCGGCAGCGAGCACGAGGGGTCCAATCAAGTCGCGCGACACTGTTTGTTTCGAAATACTAGTCCAATGTCTTAATCAGTGAGTTAAACTGAGTATTGACAAGCATGGATCAACAGGAGGTGTGTCCGCGGACGGGAGAGATCCGTGGTGTTCGGGATGCGACCACGGCGGAGCGACACAGCGGAGATTTGGCAGGTATGCGCCAAACAGGAGAATCAAGGAAAGCGCAGTAAGGAGACTGGTGGGAAAGCACTTACCAGTGGTTTTTGAGATGGGGGGGTCTGAAGCACGGGCACGAACAGTGAACTGGTGGACGGCTTAGTGGGATGTTTGGAGATAGGGAGAGTCAGACTTCCCACTTAGGGAAAACAAGGGGCGATAAGCGCGGATAAGCGCGACTCCACTGATGCGCCCTGGCAAAGGGAGTCAACGTCAAGGGGCCTGCTTTGAAGGTGACCTGGTTCAAGGGAAACCAGGAGAAATAATCAAGGAGATGTACTTTCTGTGAATCCAATAACAGCAGCAGCAGAGTGTTGGGAAGGGTTCAACCGTGGTTGGGTGCAGAACCAGCCCAATCGCCGAATCGTTGTTTTGTTTGTGGCGGTCGCAAAGGGCAACCACCACGGCGTCATAGATCGCTTGCACCCACAAAAATACAGGGAAAAGGCTAGATGATTCTCTTACATTAATCAGTATTGTTTGTAATGCAATATGCATTTTCGAGAAAGAGACCTATCCTATCGACCTCTCACATTGGCCCAAGCTGGTCTTTGGTACTATTAATTGGGTCTGGTCAGATGATTACACAATGGCCTTGGGAAATCAGACGAATTTGGTAATTCGAGAACACATGAAATGATTTTGAGCTAGTGATCTTGACGGCGCACTTCATGTGACCGGTACATTGCTAGTTGTGCTATCACATCGGCTGGCGTCGAGATAATTGCCATTGAAGTTGTAGGTGTCGACCTGCACTATCACAGGTCTCTCCTATATACATCCACCACATGTGATGTGACTCAACGCTGGTAATGTCCTCCACTATGGGTGCGGTAGATCAAATACCTCACACTTTCAGCATCGAAAGACCGACCAACCGAGAACACCCACGCCGACTTTGGAAGCTAATTTCCTGTTAATCGAACGGTGAGATCGACGAACCGATGGGTGGAGGCTGAGTGGAGCGGGCGCCTGGTCAGCTCCCCACCTTCCGCAGCGTCGGCGGCGTGTAGAGTCGATCGTGTCTCAGCATCGACACAGCCTCGCAACGATTCGATCAAGAAAAATCGGCTTGGACAGCAGGTCCGGATCCCTCGCACATATATACCCCCGTATATCTTTTATAAGATCATCCATCGGCAGGAGGTCATGACTGAACTGACCATGACAACCACTCCAGCCCCCGCTCCCTCCGCCGCCCCCAAGGCCAATCTGGAGGTCGATGTAGAAGCCACTCAGCAGGAGGTACAAGATGAGAAGCGCCCAAAACAAGGCCAGAGCGGCAAGCTGTTGCGACCAAAGCTGCGTCTTCATGTCGAGGAGCTGCGCCATCAGTCGTCAATCTCGTTCTTCAATTTCGTCCCCGATGTGACTGCGACTCTAGATACTGCCCTCGACAACATCGTCAGATATCTATACACATCTCCCGAACGGGGTTCAACAGAGTCGCACACGAAAAACAGCCCGATATGGCCACCTTTTGATCCCTCAATCCCGGCCACGCGTTCTGTCACACTCTTCCTCCGCGACTTCGGTGGTGTCGCTTATACGACCGGAACCGAGCTTGACAATGACCACAAGGAAATGCATCTCTCGCTTCCGTATGTCAAGCATTGCACGACGCTCGCAGACCCCCCTAGAGAATTGGTTGGAGTCCTCACTCATGAACTGGTACATTGCTACCAGCACACCGCACCACCAAAAACCGATCAGGACTCCAAGAAGATCCCCCACCCTCCAGGAGGCTTGATAGAGGGTATTGCGGATTTTGTCCGCCTGAAGGCACATTTGGATCCACCGCACTGGAAGAAGCCGCATTCGGCATCTGAACGGGCGTCAAACTGGGATGCCGGGTATCAGCACACTGCGTACTTTTTGGCGTGGATTGAGGATGTCTGGGTGGGCGAGGGTGCTATTGGCATGCTGAATGATCGATTGCTGAGAGTTGGATATGTCGGAGAAGAGAAAGACGAAGTGAACTCCGACCAAGCAGGATTCTGGAAGGGTTTGTTTGGCATGGAGGTTGCAGAATTATGGGATGCATATGGTCGATATCTTGATGTTAGCCATGAGACTGCTAATGACAAGAAGGCGTGCGGCAATTGGGAGGATGAGATTCTCAATGCGGCTTGAAGCAGAGCCCACTCGTGTTTAACCCTAAGTTCCAAGATCCTCTTACTTTAAGCAGGCGGCGTTATTGCTGTATCAGATAAATGAGAAGAAAGTCTGTGAAATGGGTTTATTCTTGTAGTACATGTAATAATAGGGGCACTTCTATACACCAGTGCCGAGACCGATAGCCTCGGTGGACCCTCATTTTGACCAATTCCTAGCTTGGGAGAGGGTCGTAGCTAGACATAAAAGACACAATGCGATGGGGGGAAGGGAACAAAGAAATCAAGGAAAATTCCAAGAAAAAGAAGACATCAAATGAATCGAGGAATCAAAATTCCCATACTGTACAGTATCTCCAGTCATGCAAAAGACAGGAAAAAAAAGGCTCTTTTCCCTGACCTGCCTCCCATGCGAAACCATAGCACCGGAGAATGTGGAAAAGTAGAACAATAAAAAGACATGAAAGAATATGGCATTCCGCACATTCAGTGGAGATGGGGTTCTCCCGCCTAGATTAGACGATCACCTCGCCCACGTCGACGTGAGCAGGCTTCCATGGCGCAGCACCCTCCTCTTCCATGGAGCTGGGAACGCGCGGGTTGAGAGGGCTATACAGGTACCATCCCTTCAGAGCAGCGAGAGCAGCACGCTCACGGGCCTCAGCCAGGCTGGCGCCAGCGCCCTCGCCCAGCTTGTCCTGACCAGAGAAGACGCCAACCACAAAAACGGGGTGTCTGCTCTTCCGACCGGTTTCACTGACAATCTTGGCAACGGGAGGCTCGAAGTTCTCGCGCGCACATAGCCGGGCGAGATCGCGGGCGGGCTGGGAGAAGTTGAACAGCTCGGAGATGTTGAGGTGCCGGGAGAGAATGTGTTGCTCGAAGAACCGCTTTGCAGCGGGTCGTCCAGCATGTAGGTAGATCGCACCCATGACGGCGCGGACGAAGGTGGCACTGGCCATCTCAGTTGTGACTCCCTCATTCGAGGCCGCAGAACCCTTGATCGCGTCGCCAAACTCGTCGTCATAGAAGATTTTGGAGGATACAGTCATCCTCCAACCCTTCTGAGCGGCATAAGGCCTTGGTGATTGCAGCTGGGAAACTTCATCCACCTTGGTTCCGGGGTCGATCCTCTTGAACTGCAGCAGACCAGGGTCGACCTCACCACCAGGCACAGTAGCCCAATCAACACCCCATTCTTTCGTCATCGCGGCGAGAGTTTTGGGCCCGACATATGCATACATAGCAGCGAATATAACGCTCAAAGGCAAACGGGGATAGTTGCAAAGAAGGTGCTCGGAGGTATAGTGGGTAAGGAGGTCGTGACCAAGAGTGGCCAGCGCTTCATTGTTGAAATCGGCATTGCGGTCCGCGGATGCATCGACCAATGTACGCGCGAGGGTTTGGACGGGTAATCGAGAAGGGAGGTACAGTCGAGCGTGGAGGGCGGCGAGTTTGGGGGACTTGATCGCGGCGTCGACCGGAGGAGAGGGATATTGCAGTTGCGTCTTTCGCTTGTGAACACGTCGGACGTGACGCATCATCCCAGGGTCTCCAATATCGACATGTTCAACGTCATCTGGGATAGAAGTCTCGGATTGAAGCGGAGAAGCAGTCGATTGAAGTCGCAATCCAGTAGAGTAGAGTTGTTGATGCAGCCGACTACCAGCCCGAGCCCGCGGCGAAAGGACTGAACTGCTCCATCGTTGGAGCTGCAGCCTCTTCATCTGGGCGAATATGAATTAAAAAGGCGGTAAAAAGTCGAAAGAAAACAACAGACTACGCTGCGTTAATGGGATAGGGAATCGAGTCGAGCGGCCAATTCACGGGGAGAGAAAAGAGAAATTGTCGGCAGTCACGGGATTTGATGGTCGTGTGAACTGACGCTATTCCTATTAAGGTGCTAGTGGCTTGGCATTAGACCTTCGAGCGACGGCAACTTCGGCTTCAGCCCGCTTTGCGAGATCAGTCCAGCCTTTCCCTCTTTACGTCTCCACAACTCTTTCAATTGCATCTTGATCACAATGGGTGGAGGTGGAAAGATCCCGTGCGTCTGAAAAAATACCACCGTGAATTAGCGACGAATTCTGACCGATCTTGCTGCGCAGGTACCCCAAGGAAGTCTGGTCCCCCGCGGGTGGTTGGTACGCCCAGCCGGCCAACTGGAGGGCCAACACTGCCATCATGGGCGCCTTCGTTGTTGGAATTGCTGCCGTTGCTTTTAGCATCAGTGCCGACCGCGAGCACCGCGACAAGATGCCCGAGCCTGGCCGATTCTTCCCTAGCCGATAGTCAGTCTTTTCCGCCCATGCATGCCCTGACAAACCACATGCTGACCCTGGTGTTTTTCATTTCTAGCTGGAGCCGACAGATCCGGGAGCACGAGAAGCAGCAGACTGCCCAGACCCCTCAATAGGCGAGATTCTGAGTCTTGGACGGCAGTTGGTGGAGGATTCCCAGCGTGAAGGAACATTTTCTTCCAATGTTTTTACTATCATTTCATCATTTCCTGGATGTACGACAATAGAGGGGCGTTCCCCAATCAACCATTGATCAATTGGTCAACAGGTGTCTCTGGGGAGACTCCTCCAATGTCCTAAATAATCGCTGCGTGTACAGGCGGACCCGTTCCGTGAATTCAGACTGATTCCACAATTCCTTGCCATCGCTTGCCTCAGATATTTGCGGGACACCAATCTGCTCTACCACAAAGCCCGCTGCGACAGTGGCGCAGATGAGTGCCATAGGCAGATCTTGACGCTCGCCCCAGGAGACCATTCCTTCTTTCCATGCCTTGGACTGTGACAGGATGGACTCTATAACTCTGAAGGGTTCGCGGCCAACGGTCACCATTCCTTGAGCTAGTGCACCCAGGAATGAGTTGCCTGCACCTGTAGGATCAAGTACAAGACTGGCACTTGAAGTATCGGGTTGATGATAGGCCGGTAGCCAGATTTCCTGCGCCCTGGAGTAGGCGTAGCTCCCTTCTTTCCCTGCCCGAATAACCAGACAGCCATCTCCAGTAGGTCCAATGCCGGATGCAATGATCCGCTTCACCAGTCGCCGGCTTTCTTTGCTTTCCGTGCTCCATCCAGGCTGCTCGAACATCATACCCAGCTCGAGATGATTGGGACTGACCACATCCACCACACGGTTAGCCGCGAAGAACTTTTCTTGTTCTTCTGGAGTACAAAGGTCGGGCACTGGCTCCCAAACAAAGATAGGTCGTTCCGGGGCATGTTCTGTCGAATAAACTTGGCCTGCATGTCGGAGCTTATCACGCCGGTTGAGGATATCGTCTACAATAGATATACAACGCGATGGTGAGCAGACCATGTGGAAAGTCCGTGACCAGACCTGGGTATCTGAAAGCATATGAGGCTCCAGCCTTAGTTTAGGAGTAAGGTACTTGAAATCTAGAGTCTTGGTGAGCCACGCGCATTTCCCTTAAGGCAACGAAAAAGAACTTGAATGTACCTCGCTTCTCATTTGGATGATAACCATTCCAGGCCTTCGTGGTCAGTCGGCTATGATCTTCTCGAATCACACAATCCGTGCCCCATGACTGGATCGCTGCCAGAGTCTCAGGTGGGAAGTCGGATCCAACATCGACAATCCAGCTGACTGCTCGTCCATGCGCCGAGCCTGCCACCAAGCGGGCACCTACAACAGCAAACGAGGCAGCACCTCCGAGAACATTCTTGACGCCTGGTTTTGAGCCGCCAAAGTCAATGTCATCTGGCTCGGCGGATCTTGTTAGCCTACGGCGTGGCGGGGTTCGGATGATTGGAATTGAGCATACCGAGAATAAACATTCCCAAAGTGCAGAAGTCGACTTGGCCCGGCTGGGCTGATGCATCTTGATTGTCCCCCATGGCTCATTAGTAGCAATAACCACACAGGAGCTAATGGCCAAAGAACAGCGTATGAAGAGGGTCTATCAAATTCATCGGTGAAAGTTGGGTTACGCAAAGTCTGTAATTGAAATACCAAAAATACCTCGCAACGTCATCGGGCGCCGTATCCACCGGCGTAACGTACCGTTGCGGGTCGCAGCTCCTGAGGTTGACAGCTCCAGGTCCCGTTCAACCTTCCAACTTTCCCTCCATCTGCTGCTCTGAGGATTGCCAGGACACGCCGCAATTAAGCACTGTCCGATCAACTCCAATAATCCTCCCAATCTCAGGGCACCTTTCTCTCAGCGAATACCACTCCCTCTGCTCCTTCGACAACGTGTTGCCTGCCATGGCGAGCGGAAGCCACATGCATAATTTCACCACCCTCATCAAGCGGTACGTTCACCTCCTAGCAGTACTTGGGATATAGAGATTGGATCTGAATGGCAGTTTCATGTCGTCTGAACTGTACCAAGTATACCTTAACAGATGTGACTGACCCAGCCCTGGACAGGCTCGAGGCTGCCACCTCACGCTTAGAGGATATGGCCATGTCCCTAGATGACCCAAACGTCTCATCGAAGGGCATGAATGGTGCTGCTACCGCGGCGCCTGCGACTCCAGAACCACCCAAGCCCACACCTCCCCCTCCGGCAGCCCCTGCTGCGCCCCAGATCCCACTCCAGATCCAAGACTTCGATGCATTGATCAAAGGAGACGTCCAGAACTTTGTGAAGCTGGGCGAGAAGATTGGAGGCCTGGTGGAAGAACAGGTAGGCTTGCAAGCGCATATCATACGCTCCGTGTGGTTACTGACAGGCGCCTAGTCCAAAGCCGTTCTGCAAGCATTCGTTGCCGAGCGCACATACCTTTTCGTCACGACGAAGGCGAAGAAGCCCGAGCCCCAGCCTATCGAGCTGATGACAGACCTTCACAAGGCTTCTGACAGCATCAACAACATCCGGGAATCGAACCGTGCCTCTCCGCTGTTCAACCACCTGAGTGCTGTTGCGGAGGGAATCGTTGCGCTTGGTTGGTTCTTCGAGACTAAGCCGGCGGCTTTTGTCGAGGAAATGATTGGTGGAATCCAGTACTACGGAAACAAGGTTCTGAAGGAGTACAAAGAGAAGTAGGTTTCTCTGGCCTTGTCGGCAGCGAACATGCAAAATTGACACATGGACAGGGACTCAACACACGTCGAGTACATCCAAGCATACTACCAAAACTTCAAGGGTCTTTCTGCCTTCCTCAAGAAGCATTATCCCACTGGCTTGACCTGGAACAATGAGTCCGGTGTGGATGCACTGGAGGCTCTCAAGCAGATCAAGGGCGGCCCTGTCCCGGCCGGCGCTGGCGCCGTTCCTCCTCCCCCTCCCCCTCCTGTCCCATCTCTGAACGTTCCTGGTGGCGGCGCTCCTCCACCTCCGCCTCCTCCAGGCATTCCTCCGGCTCCGGCCCCGAGTGCCCCCGCTCCAGACATGTCTGCTGTCTTCGATCAGCTCAACCAAGGCGAGCAGATCACCGCTGGTCTGCGCAAGGTTGACAAGTCGGAGATGACCCACAAGAACCCGAGCCTTCGCGCAGGCTCTACTGCCCCGGAAGGCTCGAGCGCCGTCCGGGGTAAGTCTCCCGCACCCAACAAGAAGCCCAAGCCCGAGAGCATGCGTGCTCGCAAGCCCCCGCGCAAGGATCTGGAGGGCACCAAGTGGCTAGTTGAGAACTTCGAGGGCTCTGATGAAATCATTGAGATCCCTGCTCAGAAGAACCACTCAATTCTCATCTCACGCTGCAACAAGTGCATCATCAAGGTCCCCAACAAGGCCAATGCTATTGCCATTGACAACTGTACTGGCCTTTCCATTATTGTTGACTCTCTGGTGAGCAGCCTGGATGTCATCAAGTCGCCCAAATTTGCTCTGCAGATCGATGGTGTCGTCCCCACTGTCCTTCTGGACCAGGTCGATGGTGCTGCTGTTTACCTCGGTCAGCAAAGCCTTGCTACCGAGATCTTCACTAGCAAGTCTACTGCTGTCAACATCATGCTTCCTCCTAAGGAGGGAACTGACGACGATACCAAGGAGTGCCCAATTCCTGAGCAGTTCAAGAGCTACGTCAAGGATGGTGTGCTTGTCAGCGAGATTGTCGAGCATGCTGGCTGAAACTGTGCATTTCCATCTTCGCGGTTTTGATATTTTGAAGCCTTGCCTTGATCTCGGTTGTAGGACTGTTCATCTCCCTTCTTAGTAGAACTGCGTTTCCCAACCTTTTTTTTTTTTTTTTTTTAAATTATTTAGTGCTGTACCTAGCGCCTTTTGTAGATATACACTACAAGAATACAGATTCACTGTTTTCTTCTAGCTTGGTCTATTTGTAAGCTACAGGATTGAAAAATAGGAACTTGTCTTATGATGGTTCTGATATTTAGGATTGGATGATAGTACTCAGACGAAATGAATATTCACAGGAAGAAAAGCGATGGAGAGCAGATATTGGAAGAGACCATGCCCTTCGACTCTGGATCGACTCGAGGTACTAACCTGCGGTCTGTGCAGGTGAAATTGACAACACCAACTTGAAAAAGGAACAGGATTGAGAGGCTGCACTTAAAAACATTTGGGGCGATGCTGGGACCGAAAAAAGAGGGTATAACGCGTCTGAAGACCCATGCGCCTGGCACCTTGAACTGAAATAGAAAAACCGAAATGGGCAGACAAGCACGTAGCTGCAAAAACAAGCATTTTCGAACAGCCATGTGGAAGCCTGTGATATGTGAATTTGTGGGAAGTGAAGTCCAGCACACCCACAATTCTCTGTGCTTATTTGCAGAACGGACAAAGAGTGAAGAAAAAAAAAAAAAAAGAGGGAGAGGGAGATGGGAACGAAGATTATCACACTGGAATTGCCAGACCAGGGTAAAATTTCCAGATTTAGCAGAATTTCCTGACAGTCCTAGTGCTGCGATAGATTCCAGGGACGAAAGCGCGAATCGGGGCTAGGATCTCATCAAGCTCAATGATTCCCAAGCTGCTCTTGTCTCTGGACATCCAAGCTACGCAGCCTCTTGGCCAGCAAACTCTCACCAGTATCAGGGCCGCTTGGACTGGGGAGGTAGGGAAATCCCCCATACCCAACATCTCCCCTATTGAGCTTGCTGTACATGGTGGCGTCAGACTCAGAAGATAGAGCTTCAATTTGTTCTTCTGAGCTCAGATGTGTAGGAACGCCACTCGGTAAGGTGGTAGACGGACGCAGAGAAGGGATGAAGCCTTGGCCAACACTACGCCTGCGTGAAGCTTTTTCGAAAGCCAGCCGGGCACCACTCGAAGACGAAAGAGCGGATTCACGTGGCTTGTATGGACTATACCGCGGATCCGGTAGCTGAATCTCATTGCGCAATTTCTCTTTTCCATCTGGAACGCGGTTTGCAAATACCACTCGGATACTTGAATGAAGATAAAAGCGGCCACGGGATGGACAACAAATGTTGAGGTGGATGAGATAGCGAAGGGTCGGCTTGTCCTGAGGATCTTCAGTGTGGTTCAAGGATGCTTCAGGACGATCGGTTCCGTAGTTCTTTCGCGCACTCAGTGGCATGTCAATGACAGGCCCTGCTGAATAACTGCGCTGCCGAATAAAGGTCTTGGTCCCGGGCTCCATGTCTTCCAGATCATAGGGCACAAGAAAAAGCTTGACAGCAGTCTTGTTGGGGTTCTTGATTATAATTTGCAATTGACCTTGCTGGGGTATTCGGTAGCATCCACCTGGTGGGCTTTTAGGAGATTCCGACCGGCGATTCTTCTTCTCCTGGCGGCGTTGGCTCTCTGCGTTGGGGTGGACGACACGGTGGTCGTCTGACGTGGTTCCCTGCTGGGATTTGATCGGACTGATATGCCGCCTACGACGCCGGGATGGGCTTGGGTCCTCTTTGGAGAGAGAATTTTCCAAGTCGATCTGACCGACGTAAGGACTCGGGCTATCATCTGAAATTGATCGTCCACATCCAGACGTAGGGTAACTGTAGAAGAAAGCCGGAAATGGGACCGTCACATGAGGAGGGCACTTCAGGCGGCCTTTGCATTTGCCTTTTCCGAGGACACCTATCTGAGCAGTGAAATCCAGCGGCTTCGATGGGTTCATGGACATTCGACCACGTAGAATGGACTCTTCATAGGATCCTACCATCGGTGCATGTGGTTTAGGAGAAACATCGGATGCAAAAGATGGTCTTCGTGCTCGATTTGTATGTGTTGGTGACGCAGATGCCAGTTGCAGACTATAGCCTGAAGTCAAAGACCTGCGAGGAGGCGAACGAGGTTGACTATAGAAGGTATGATGCTGGTCTAACAAGTAAGGGCCGCTCATATTGACGTTATTTGTAGCTGGGGAGGACCCTTCCAACTGTCGAAATGTCTCTGGGGGTAGCGTTCGGCGCCGACTAGCCTTCTCCAAAAGTGTTGACTCGGCGGGACCCGCCCGTGGAGAGAAATCCAGATCAGTGTTGTTTGCCTGATACACTAACGGGCTTGTAGGCGCCTTAAGAACGTAGCTGGAGGAAAATGAACCCAGGGACGGCGCTCTAGAACGGGCTCCAAACATAGCCTGCGGCTCGCGGTGCTCATCGAATGTACCATGGTGTCGTCGGGGAGTTGCAAAAGTCGACGCACTATACCACGGTGTTGTAGGGGAAGTCCCCAGAGCTGGAAATGCAGAAGCTGGACTTCGCTCAGCAAAGCGCCCAGCAAAAGGAGTCTGGGGGGATTGCGGGCTCTCCTGAGATATGCCTTCTCTAAAATCGCCCGAGTGCAACGCAGAACGGGGTCTCTGGATGTCGGCCGGTGATCCCAGGTCCTCTGTTTGTTGGCCATCTTCGGAGTGTCCTGTAGCGGGCTCTCCTACTTGTTGGTCTTCCCAAGATTCCTCCAGGGAGCCGCGAGACAGCGATCGTTCACCGCTGTTACTTGTCTGTGACTTGAATCTCAGTTAGCAATCATATGATTTTGTGAGAGTAAAATAAAATGAGACCTAGGGGGTATCATGGTATTGAACTAGGGGCTCCAAAGGTTCACCAACCGTGCACTGGCGCCTCCAGGGCGATGACTCTTTGATTCGATCTATGAGTTCCTGGCGCTCGTTGGTCCACATCTTGGCCGGACTTGGGGCTGGAGATGCTGACTCCAGAGTTATATCAGATAGCCCTGCTCTGTTGCGTTCGTAAATATTTCCTTCGGACGAAAATGACTGGTATTGGGGAAATGACTGGTATTGGGGGGACCCTGTGGCCGGCTGCTGGTGGTCTTCTTGTTCATCTTTAGACCTCTGGCTCTGGCGCCGGCGATCAGGGTCGTGAAATATCGGCATTGTGGCGATAGAGCACAGACTATGAGGTCTGAAACGCGCACCCGGACATTGCAGGGGGTTGCCGACGTGGCGAGCAAGTTCGAAACAGGAACCGTCACTGCCGCGGTGGGGTTGTTCGTTGGAATGCGGTGTGAGCAGATGAGTATGTCGTCCGTGGTTCCGCCGCAGTGGTTGGCCAGGAAGAGCGCGGTAAGTACTAGGATTGCTATGTTTGTACGGCGCTACAAAGGGAGCGCGGGTTGGATCAGACGAAAGGCCGGAGGCAGGATCCGGGAGGAACGAGGTTGAAAGTAGGTCGATCTGCCCTTCGAGTCCCGGCGGATCATGTCATCTCGTGGGTCCAGATGATTCATCGGGCGCCCAAGCGTTTTCGGAGGGCCTGATCCGGCGGGAAGCCTGTGACACAGTTGGTACGGCGGTTGGAGATTACACCAGATGGAGGCAAAGACTACAGATCATGAAAGCCAGCCAAACTACTTTTTGCAAGTCGAGGGAGGAGGTTAGGCGTCGCGGTGCTGCTGGTGGGTTCCAGACCGGCGCCCGTTGACGGGGCTCGGACGCCGATCGCCGCCCTTTTTTTTTCTTCTCCGCGCAACCATCACTGCGCAACACAACACCCCCAACACAACGCAGCATGGCCCCTAAGCGATCGCGCGACGCCGAGAACGGCCCCGGGCACCGAACAGAACAACCGGAGAAGAAGCGCAAGGGCTTCAGTGTTGGCCCAGCCAACCTCCCAGACGGCACATATCGTCGCAAGAGTAAGTGGCCTTTGCCCTCGCCTTCTGTGCCTGCTGTCCGATGAATTAACCGAACTAACTCGATTGTCTACAGCTCAAAAGATCAAGACTGATCTGATCCAAAAGGCCAAAGTGAAAAAGGCATACGCCAAGATCAAGGCTGAAGAAAATGCGGCTGGAAAGCGCAAATTCATCTACGATACATACCGCGAGGAAGATGGCGCAACAAAGGACGACGACAACGGAGAGTCCCCCGAACTTCACCCGGATCGCGTGGCCATGTTGAACAAGCCGTCCCCGGAGCCTGCGCCAAAGCCAAAGCCAGAGCGACGCCCCAAAGACAAAGACGGCAAGAGAAGAGAGCGCAAGCCGAAGCCATCAGCTTTTGCCAAGGAGATCGAGATTGCTGAGCAGCGGAAACGGGCCGCCGAGGCGCGCAGGAAGGAGCGGGAGGCTAAGCAGAAAGATCGAGAGGATATGGCACGCGCAAAGCGCCCCGACCAGTTTGGCAAGCGCAGATTGGGCAGAGAGAGCAAGGTGCTACTGAGTCGGGTGCAGCGCATGGTTGGTTAGCTATGGGAATATGCGCCTGGAAATTGGACCGGAAGAAAAGGCTATACTAATAGTCATATTTATGATACCCAGTTTTTATTACTGAACCCCCATCGTGAGCGGCCTTGATTGAGGACAACATCTGTGAATATTCGTAAGATATGCTTTCTTAACAAAAAATGAACTATTAATGTTTAATCTAATCCAATGCTATGTTGCGGTTGATGATTTCGACCCAGTTCCGCCGCCACTACGGGACTTCCTGAAGCAGGCGAATTCTCCCTTCGTACGGTCTCTCAGTCGCTTCAACACCACTCTCATCTCGCCCAGTTCAGCCTGGAGTTTGATGCGAGCTTCGTTTGTAGTCCGGCGATCCAGTTCCACGTAAATCTGGCTTTGGATGTTGGATGCTTCCTCAGTCGAATACTGGGAGAGTGTTTGGGCAATGAACTCGGTATCCAACGTGGCTTGCATCAAAGCAGGGAGCGAGAAAGAAGACCGAGAGCTGAACGCATTGAGCAGAGACGAAGAAACCTGTACCAAGAGATGCGTAAGGATGGTCGCCAGCAAAGAGGATGGGGCATTTGGTGAAGAGCGACTGGAAGTCGACGACATCGTAGAAGGTACGGTGGTCGAGATCTCCGTGTGCACCAGCACCAAGGTCAGCATGGTGTTGTACACGTAAGGCCGGACCTGCTCCGGTCGGTCGGTCGAGGGGACCCAGTCGGCAGAAGTGATGCCTTTTTGGATTGTGTCATCAAGTGCAGCGATAGTGGGCTTAGTATATGACTGGAATAGTCGATCCTCAATCTGGCTGAGGACATCCCGAACTGTCTTGCCTTCCTCGGTCAACTTGACCGAAAATGACGTCTCGAAGTTGGCGATCAACTGAGGGACATATTCGGCCTGGAGAGCCTTGAGATTCGAGAGTGTGAGAAGGATGCGCACATTCTGGCGTAGGATGTTAGTATAAATCCCTGATAGTTTTCCTGGGGTTTCTTGGGAACACTTGCCCTGTTTGAAGAGTCCACCGAATCAGCAGTGAGGACAGACAAAGCAGCATCAATTGCCTGGCTAGTCATTACTGGTCTGGAAATAACCCATTCGTTCTCCTCATCAGAAGCGGTCAGGCGTTCGGCATTTTCGACCAGGCCACTGAGTGCTTTGTAGACACTCGATACAAACTGCGCGCGCACCATCTGAAGCATTTTCGCAGGTGGTTGGGTAACAACATCAACCGATCCGGACTTTGTGGCAGCCTCAGAGACATACAAGATTTTTTGCATACCTCCGAGGATGGCACCTTCGTAGGCCACAAACAAACCCGGCATTTTCGTCAGGTCTCGTTTGACCGGGTCACGCGTCCAGTCCTCCAGCAACTTGCAAACTTCGGCATCCTTACTCCAAGCGGAGCATGCCACACGTGTCGAACGTTCTCGAGAGACGCTCATAAGAGACTTCAAAAGATCGTGAGTGGATCCTGCAGTGCCCACGGGACGTAATGCTGCCATCTCGCTAGCGGCGGTGCCAACAATAGCAAGGAACTTGCTCAAGTAATGCACTCCACTAAGGGAGTTTGAATGAGGAGGCCAGAAAGCAAAGTCTTCCCAATACTCTCCTCGTTTCGGAACTGGAATGGGGAGGTTCTTGGGGTCTAGCTTAAACCGAGATTCGGTGGGAGTGACTCCTCTGGATGCTGGGCTAGTAGGACTTGGCGGAATAGGAGATGAGAGAAGGGAGATATCTTCGGTAGGAGACTCATTGAAGATAGAGAAAACATTTTCTCGAATGAGATTCACCAGTTCTACAACGCCCTTCTCGAGCTCCTCCACGTTCTCGAGGGTAAGTCGGTGGTGCTTGCGGCTCTCACCTTCGAACCCAACAGGGAGGAGTCTTTGCCGGCTACCATCAATGAAGGACTGGGTAACTTCCCAATAGTCAAGAACCTCGCCAAGTAACCCACTTTGCGAGGACAGAAGACGGGTAAGGAATGCTTGGACACAATCCCAAAGCTCAATGACGTGGTCCGAGTCCAGCCTTTCTGGGAATTCAGATGCGCCCTCGCGAGGGGCCAAGCGAAGATAAGATGCGGTGACCTGAGCAGTTGGCGCCTCCCCGTTGGCAAGTCGCCGTCGCAAGATCTCAATCTCGACTTTGCAGCGCTCACAGAATGACGTGATCTTTAACTTGAGGAATTCATAGCGGCTGTGAAGCCATGTCCAAATAGGATTGTTTTCGACGCCGAGTTCAAGCAAAGCTCCGATCAATTCCATATGCTCTTCTACGGGACCCGCAGCTGTGCTGGTAGGAGAGATTGTCGGTGCGTCGCCGAGTCGTCTCCAAAGATCCCGCTTGAAGGCTTGAATTTGTTGATCCACGTCTATCCACATTCTCCCCATGGCCAAAATTGTATGCGCTTCGTGATCGGCCAGTTGTCGGTGCGTGCTGGATGCCTGCTCCACGATATTCTTCGCCCTATTCGCCAATGTCCGGGCCTTGGTGTATTGTTCGAAAACAGAGTCGTAGTCGCGTTGTTGAATAGATTTGGATAGATGACTTCCAATTTCGTATACATCGCGATGTTTCTCCATGGAGTCCACAACAGACTTGAGCATCTGCTCTCGATCACGACCTCCGAGGGCGGGCCCCCACACTTCCTCTGCCTTGACGGAAGCTTCGACCAAGGGGCCACGGATTCCTTTCATACCAAACTCACTCTCTTTTGTGAGTGCATTCTTCCGAGTCCCCGTCGTTGCCGTGGTAAGGGCAGGGGATGGTCCACGCTGCTGACCTGAGTAGCTTCGGAAGTGTCCCGACCGGCGGGCAGATAGCGTTTGTTCCTTCGTGGTTCCCTGATCTCTCATTTCTGTGTATACACTGTCGATGGTGGCTTTCGCACGAACGAAGCGCTCAAAATTGGCCTCAACCAGTACCTTCAAGGACGCGGACTTCTGATCGATGGAATTCGACAGGTGGTCGAGGCCATCAATCAGCGATTCGATCGAGTCGGAGTGGTGTGCTTGAGAGAGAAAGAGGGCGGGCGAGAATGAGGTCGATGAAAGCAGAAACCGTGATCGCTTACCCCCTTCGTCCTCCAGGCGCAGCCCTCTCTGCTTCAGAATGCGCAAGACGCTATCGCCAGCTCCCAGAGGATCAGGTTCGTCGTTCTGAGCATTGTCTCTTCCATCTTTCCCCCGGCGAGATCCAAAGTTACTCCTCCAATCACTTGGCGTACGTTCTAAAGCGAAGTATCGCGATTTGCGAGGGCGCGATTTGGTTCGTTGGACAGGTTCCTCGTCGGACTGGTCGGCTTCATCCAGCGCTGCCGGCCACTCTTCTGGAAATTCCGAGGGGAGGTTGTAGTGACTGGCGACATCAAGGTCGGACATTATGGCCAGAGGCCCGGTGCACCGGTCTGAATTGGACTTTTGGTCGAATCGAGCTCGATTTAGGGTCTTGGGAGCTTGCAGGAGAGCTCTCGGAATGGGGAATTGGGGACGTTAATGGGCCGCTGGCAGGTTGCGGGGCGGTGTACGGCGAGACCGGCCTGCTGTTGACTGCCAGTGCCGAGTGGTACTCGTAGTGTCTTTAGATGGCAACAACTATTACTATTCAAATTGAATTGCCTTTAAATGCATCTGGGGCCCTGTTAACTGCCTAGGTACTCGCAGGAATTTAGTTTCCTCGATACTATAATAATGTATCCCCAAGCCTTGGAAGTGGTGGTCAATTGAGTTCATGCGCATACATTCACTCCGGGCCTCACGAACTGTGATTCAATACTCCCAGGCTACCCTGGGGTACAATTGTAGATTCAAGATAAGATATTGTACACCACTCAAGGTACCCTAAGGTAGCTGGTGTCTAGATTCTGATTATCAAAACTGGAATGTATTGGGTCAAACTGCCTTAGGCTATTACGAATTTCTGCAGTGCATCCTCGTGACTGTGGCTCCTGCCTAGGGGTGAAGTATAAAGGGGGCGTCGATTCACCAATTCTCCTGTTCACGAGTGCTCGTTGGATAAGGTATGCTCCTGACCACGTGTGACGAGCCTCGAGCATCTTAGGATAAGTATCCATAGTAATAAATTTTGTTCTTTTTTTGGCCCACGGACCAAATATCTTCGGTGCATACTTACACACCAAAAGCAACAGTTTTCCAAACCCAAGGTGCTCTAAATACGTGTTTCGTCTGACCCTACTTTACGATGATGACGACTGGCCATCCGACTCATCAGCTCGAACTCACCAGGCTTTGTTTCATGTACCGGCAGTGTTTGCTCTGGTGGCGGCGACCTACCATGAGATGGATATTCGGTTTAGGCTTTTCATTGATTCTACCTAGTATGTAGCAAGCGAGAGGTAAGTTTATGTTTGCAAAAATGAACGACTGACGAGTCATGCAGCACCTAATGGAGCCCAAGTGACTCCACGCATCCAAAGGAGATTTTCAAAGGCTCTGAGCACGCTGCTGAACAAAGTAGAAATTGATTGGATATCCCGAGGCAAACAGCTACCCCTGTCCTTTCTGTACACATGTAAGCAGGTGAAGATGCATATGCATGCGAATATAGGCTAGCAAAAGCAAAAATTTCGGGGCGATGAACAGCCCCGCCCTCTTGGCTATGTGAGCCTTTGCCAGCGAAGGTGAAATATCCCTCACAGTGCAGGGTCCCAAAGGAATAGTGGATAGCCCCCAAGCCTAGATCCCGGGTACATGAGGCTCTCGATGCGATGAGAATCAGCATCAACACCCTAGAGTTTCCTAGAGTTGCTCCCTGAGGACATAGATTGATAAAGACACGAGCTAGGTAGCTCTCGTGCAGGGAGTGGCAGTCGGTCCAAAGGGCAGTGAGTGGACTCGGGTAGCCGGGGACATCAAACCACCAATGCGGTCTGCGACCCGGTCGGATCGGGGCGGCGCCGAGAAACTCGATTCTTTCCCTTCTCTCCTCTCCTCCTTCCCTTTCCCCCCACCATCAATTCCTCTGACCCTCACACCCGACGGGATCTGTTCACGATGCTTGCCGCCAGAAACTTCTCTGCTGCTCGCCAGTGCCTGCGGTCTGTCCGTGTGGCTCCCAGCTTCGTGGCCCCCGTGTCGCAGGTACGTGCTACCCAACCCCCTCTGTCCACCATCCCCCTACCATTGAAGAAACGCCCAATTGAACTAACCCTTGGCCTTTTTTCTAGATCCGTGGCTTCGCTGCCCCCGCTGATGATGCTGTCGCCAAGTTCAAGGGCCAGAAGGGCTCCGATGTACGTGACACTACCACCAATCTCGTTTTTTCCTCTGGGCCGGCGCCAACCGCGCAAAACCCGTCGCGGCCGAAACTCCCGCACTGAATACCAAAACGCAATCGCCAAGATACTGACATGCTTTTTACTTGGATGACAGGGCAAGTACACTGTTACTCTGATCGAGGGTGACGGTATTGGTCCTGAGATCTCTCAGTCCGTGAAGGACATTTTCGAGGCCGCCAAGGTAACGATCCGTCGCACACTTGAACCCGCTGTACAAACGCGATACTAAGCCAATCCTAGGCCCCCGTCAAGTGGGAGCCCGTTGATGTCACCCCCATCCTGAAGGACGGCAAGACCGCCATCCCCGATGATGCCATCAAGAGTGTCCAGAAGAACTACGTCGCCCTAAAGGGTCCCCTGGCTGTAGGTTTCAACGCAATTCTCCGTCGCGTCGAATCGCCATACTGATTGCTCTTTCTATAGACCCCCGTCGGCAAAGGCCACGTCTCCCTGAACTTGACTCTGCGCCGCACTTTCAACCTGTTCGCCAACGTCCGTCCCTGCCGCTCCATTGCCGGCTACAAGACCCCCTACGATGGTGTCGACACTGTCCTGATCCGTGAGAACACCGAGGGTGAATACTCCGGCATCGAGCACGTCGTTGTCGACGGTGTTGTCCAGAGCATCAAGCTCATCACCAAGGAGGCCTCCGAGCGCGTCCTGCGTTTCGCCTTCCAGTACGCCGAGTCCATCAACAAGAAGAAGGTCCGCGTCGTGCACAAGGCCACCATTATGAAGATGTCCGACGGTCTGTTCCTCAACACTGCCCGTGACATCGCCAAGGACTTCCCCGGTGTTGAGTTCGACGCTGAGCTGCTGGACAACTCGTGCCTGAAGATCGTCACCGACCCCACCCCTTACAACGACAAGGTCCTTGTCATGCCCAACCTGTACGGTGACATCCTGTCCGACATGTGCGCCGGTCTGATCGGTGGTCTCGGTCTGACCCCCTCCGGTAACATTGGTGACGAGTGCTCCATCTTCGAGGCTGTCCACGGTTCCGCCCCCGATATCGCCGGCAAGGGTCTTGCCAACCCTACCGCTCTTCTTCTGAGCAGTATCATGATGCTGCAGCACATGGGTCTCCACGACCACGCTGCTCGCATCCAGAAGGCTACCTTCGACACCCTGGCTGAGGGCAAGGTACGTTATATCGCTATTCTCCTCGAACCGGACTAAATCGGTACTAACAATTATATATAGTCCCTCACTGGCGACCTTGGTGGCAATGCTAAGACCCACGAGTACGCCGAGGCAATTATGAAGCGCCTGTAAACTTGTCGCTACTCGGAATTTCTGTACTATGACCCTTTGATCTATTTCTCTTTGTACCCTCGAACGACATTAGACTTCCTATAGCGATCGAAATATACCTACTTTTGTACCTAGGTAGTCACACCTACTTTGTTCGTGCATATACTTCGAATGATTTTCAATCGGGATATCATTCCGCAAATGTTGTGGTTTCAAGATACATGGCTCCAATACTAATACATGGCCTCAATACTAATACACGAAACCACCAACATGTTAAATACAAAAATAGATCACCAAACGCCAACCGATGGCGCCAAAGGGATATCAAAGCTCAAGAAATGACTGGATGTGGCAGGAAATCTTTAATCCTGGAATCAGCGGCGACGGGCAGTCCGGCGCGTTCCCGTGTTCGTGGAGGTTTTCTTTTCCTTCTGCTTAAACCGCGAAGTCTGTGCTCGAGTGCTGCGCGATCCACCCTTACTCTCACTGTCATCTTCGTCGCCGTCGCTTTCCTTCATACCTCCGTCCGAACCCTCCTCGGCCTCGTCCTCTTCGTTTGCCTCGCCCTCACCTTCGTCATTAGCAGCCGACTCTTCACCAGACTCGGCGTCATCATCATCAGAAGGTTTTCCTTGACTGTCAGTTCCGATTTCCACCTGCAGTCTGGTCGATCGCGTCTCTCGTCCAGCTTGGCGCGTGCCGCGATTAGACTTGCGACCTCGGGACGGAGCAGGAGAGGAGCGCGGTTCTGACGGGCGACCGTGTCATTAAGTGAATCATAGTATGAGAGTAATGAGACTTACCATCAGTATCTGCCACAGTACTTCCCCGTCGAGACTCAGGGTGGGGGCTGATAGGTGAAGATGAGCCCTCCAGCGCGAGACGTCTCTCGAACATCATGTCTCCGTATTCATCGTAGGGTGGTTCGTATGAACAGAATCTCTCGCTCGGTTGGTCTTCGTCGTCATTGGCGTCACCTTTGATGAGTGCGTTCTCCTGGCGAGCGATAAAGGTGAGCAAGACTGAATCAGGGCAGCAAGATCTGTGACAGTTACGGCTTACCCGTTCGTCAAGAGCTTCCAGATTGTACAATGTGCCGAGTTTCTTCCAGATTCCAGGGATCCGCATATGTTCCGCATTTGCTGGTGCATATCCTTGGCTCTTCAGGTATTCGTAGATCGCAATCATGCGGAAATGCTTGTGTACACCTGAGATGGGCCGAGATTGGTGATCAGTTTCAATCTGCCTGTAGCGACGTGACGTAGGTTCAATGCAACTCACCAACCGGCTTCCACTTGATAACCGCCTTCAACAATGCCGTCTCTTGCTCATCTGTCCATGGGTCGCTAAGCAAATCGTATTCAGGTTCATCAGGTTTCGCGACGCTGTCGCTGGAACCGGGGGTTTCCGCGCTGGAATTCGCCGCGGTATCCTCCGGTGGCGTGGTCGAATGCGCGCGCTTGGCCTTCTTGCGAGGAGGCATTGCGCCGGTGGGGGAGGAGAATTGGGAAATGGGTAGAGGGTTGGAGGAAGAGAGCGCAGTGCGGAGTGAGCTAACGGTCGTCGCGCGAGTTTCTGTTATCGGCGGTGGTCTGTGCACGATAGCGAGGCGTATCGCGGGACTGAGGCGACGTGCCCAAAACACGTCCGATCCTTTGACAGTCGCAGGTGTCTATGCTGGCTATGGGCTCACAATGGATTCAGGCGACTCCGAGCCCGATGCTTTCTCAACTGAGAGCCTCTGGCGGCTTTCACGGTTCAGCATAGAGGTTTTACAACCCCTGGAGTCACTTCCATGGAACGCGGACTTGCCAGGTACGTTTGCCGCCCAAACGATAACTTTTCCAAACTTTGAATTGACGTGTTTCTTCCCAAAAAGCGATTCCAAAGGCTTGCTTTCAAGGGGTCCCCGAGCCAAACGAGCAGGTTGACCCGATATGGAAGCTCAATCTTTTCCCGAATGACCTCGAGCACCGAGAGCTCGTGGATTCGATTATCGACCCCTCAATCGACAACCTGTCGGATACCCCAAGTGATCTACTACCTAATACAATTAAGGAGGATAATATTTGGTCGTTGAGTCTTCTCCAGGAGGAACCTGGATATTTTGCTCCGCTGAAATCCTGGGAGAAATACCAGGACCGCGCATTTAAAGAACCAGTTTCGGCATATTTCAGCGAGTCAGGTGCTAAGGGTTTCGATGCGGTCCTTTCACGTCAAGGAATCCAGAAGGGGCAGGTTACACCAAACCGTATGGCTCGAGAGGATGTCTTTATCCGTTCATTGCTCCGCCTGGGATTAGGATGGAGTTCTTGGTTCTTCAGTTACAACCAAAAGACAAAGCTATTCGAAAAGTCAGTGGCAAACATGCGTGTTTCAGGATTGTCATCCCTGGCTTTGGATGGTGTTATATCAGAGGTACTGCATTGCGGGACACTTATGCAGTGGGTGCGAGCCTTTGCCAAAAATTCCTCGACCAAGTCTAAGGATTTGTCCGCTTTGTTCACCTTGCGCGGTACAATCGCGGTCATTGTCTACAATCTTGAAAAGCAAATTCTGTCTCAGTGCAGAAATATCGTCTCGGCTTTACAAGTTTCCACGCTTTTTCGTCGATGCCGAGACCTACTGGGAGTTTTGGCCGAAATTGTTCATAATGCAGAGAAGGCAACGTCAGAAGCGGAGGTCATCTCAAATGTTATGGAACAAGCGGCACAATTTTCGCACACGTATGGTTGGATGGAGAATTTACTACACGAGATGGTGGTTCAGATCACCCTCCCCTGGTTCGGTTTCATCGAAGGTTGGATTGGCCTTCGGCCAGCTGAAGCGGCCCTGGATGAACTGATTGCCAGCGGAAGATCATTCGTTCAACTCGAGCGCCATAATGACCCCAACAAGTTCCGGGACCAACCGACGCATGTCGAATACACTTATAGGCAGAACAACATGCCTTCATTCGTACCCTTCGATCAAGCAGAGTCAATTTTCGAAAGTGGAAGAAGTCTGCGACTCCTCAAGAAATCACATCCATACCACCCGCTCGCCAGACACGATGTTCTTGACCGAGCTGGTAGGCTGCGATTGCATTGTGCGACTACCTGGGCAGACATCGAGCGCATCCAGAGAAACGCCGATGAATATGAAACAAGGCTTCGGGCCGAAATTTTGAAATATCACCGTGGCGAATCACTGATTCAGCCGATGGATAATGGTGCCAGCCCTGAAGACACCGACGTTCTCGGCGAAAAAATAACCAAAGAGACATTTGAGATGTTTGATATTGACGATGAAAAACACATCTCTGGATCTGCCATGGATCGAGCTGCGCTTGCGAATGAGAATGTCGACCGGATGCTTCAAAATGCTAGAGACTTCGACTCCGACCCATTCAATCCTGGCAGTCAATTTGGACCAGAACTGGCATCCGCACTTTATTTGTCACTAGCCCCGGTGATCTCTTCCCAGGCTCAGCTGATCGATTTTTCATGCCTCCATCACCTCTTCAAAGAACACAGGCTCCGCCACCATCTGGATCTCCAATGGCGCTTCCAGTTGCTAGGTGACGGCTCATTTACCACACGCCTTACAAACTCTCTTTTCGACCCGGAAATGGAGAGCGGAGAGCGTAAAGCAGGCGTAGTACGGAGTGGAGTGCATACCGGATTGCGACTCGGCAGTCGTGACACCTGGCCGCCAGCTAGCTCGGAATTGCGGCTTGTTCTAATGGGCCTCTTGGGCGACTGTTACTTCGGCGACGTTAAGCCAGATAGTGATACCGCAAAGCAAAGCGAAAACGAACTCCCTGGTGGACTCAGCTTTGGAATTCGAGAATTGTCTCCTGAGGAAATCAAGCGATGCCAGAACCCGAATGCGATCGAGGCATTGGACTTCCTCCGCCTTCAGTACAAACCACCCGAGGCCCTGGAAGTCCTCATAACGCCGCAGTCTCTGAAGAAATACGATCGACTCTTCAATCAATTACTTCGCCTTCTCCGGATCCTATCGGTTGTCAAGGGTCTCATTCGCGACTCAACCAGCCGGAATTCTATTGCGGGAGACATACGGAATGTATTTCAGAGATTCCGAGTTGACGCCCAGTTTTTTGTTCTCGCAATATGCGACTACTGCTTCCATATCGGCATTGGCTCCATTTGGATTCGTTTCCAAGAGACACTTTCCAAAATCGAGCGTTGTCTTGATCGTGGAGATGCTGACGGCACGATTGAAGCTGCTCATTCCGTCACCCGCCTCCGTTATTTCCACGAGGACATCCTGGATCAAATGCTGTTCGCTCTATTCTTGAGCAAGCGTCATGCGCCGGCTGCAAAGCTGCTTGACAGCATTTTTAGCACCATTCTTGCATTCGGTCCACTCTCAAAAGCCGATGGAACGAACGGAGTCCGTCATGAAAACGAAGCCGCTGTACACGACCTGTACAGGGTCTTCAGGAAACACACGTCGGCCTTCGTTGGTTATCTGCGAAGTTTGGATACCGGGAAAGCCTCCTCGAAGTCGATGGCAAAATCTGGAGCATCGTTCTCTTTACAAAATGAGCCAACTAGTGTTTTTGAGCACCTCCGAGTGAAATTGGAGATGAGGGACTATTACTGATTCTGATGGAAGACTTGAGCATGCATCAGCTGCATATGAACTTTCATGATTAACGACTCATCAAATGAACATTAACATCTTTGTCTCTATCACAACCAATTCCATTGATATACCCATTCCATTACTCTGTGCATTGTCTGTACAAAAAAGAACCAAAAACCTATTTCGTGGTCACACCGTCTAAGAAATGAAACAGACGAAGGACTTTAGAAGAAATGCAAGTCCGACTCCTTCCAGCCCTGCTCAAGAAGAATCTTCTTCGCAGACTTCTCCAGCGCTCCAGGTCCACACAGAAGAACCATACTTGCTTCTTCGGGGGCAGCGAACTCCTTGATGAGGTCTTCTGAGATACGGCCACGGCGACCCTGCCAAGTATCGGATGACTTGGACAGGGTATGCACAACAGTGCATTTCTCTTGGTCCAGTGCAACATAAGCATCAAGCTCCGCTCGACAAAGGATATCCTCTTCCAAACGATTGCCATCCAGTACCACACACTTCGTGGGATCTTGCGTGTCTTGCATGACAGCCCGTAGGACTTGGAAAACAGGTGTGATACCTGTTCCACCGCAAATCATCTTGAAAGAACGAAGATGCCGTTCTTTGCCGCTGATAAGGACTCGTCCGTTGCCGAGATACTCGAATCGGCCTGTTGGTCCCTTGCAGTCAATTGGAGCCCCGAGAGGAAGTTTGTCCAGAGCCATAGTCATCTTCCCGCCGGGGATATCTGTGGTCGGGAAATAGATTTTCACGAGCAGCTCCATTCGTCCTTCCATGTTTGTTTCAGATATTGGCGTGTAAGAGCGGATGATAGCTTCATTTTTATTTTCTGGGTCCTGGACTTTGATCATCAGGTGTTGGCCGATTGGCAAGCCCAGAGTTTGCCTTTCATGCTCTAGCTGGAAGACGAATATTCGAGTATCCCATGACACGTCGTTTTTCTCAATCAAAGTCATGCGTGACCATGCCCTTGACTGCAGGAAGTGAGGACGGGGCTCAGTGGAGGTTGTCGTAGAAGCATTGTTCAAGGCTTCCAATGATGCTTTATCTAATGTGCCAATGTGGTAGTCCGGCATCATCTTTTTCGCAGTTTCGCTGTCTGTGATGGGAGTTAGAGCTTGACTCTTGTCGAATGCCAGTGCTTGAGACTTACGAATCGCATGGAAATCCTCCGTGACGTCGAGTCCAGCAGAGGAGGTTATACTGATTGCTCCTCCAGGGTGGCCCTCGAGGAATCCAGTGCCATCATAAACCTCACCATCAACAACAAACCAAGGCTTCTCAGCGTGGCGGTTGGCCTGTAACTCCTCCAGATCGATCTGCCGATTGACACCTTCCTTCTTCATGTTGATCTTCTGTACAGGCTCCGGCTCCACAGGCTCTTCGCCTTCATGCCTCTCGCCCCAATTACCATTGAGCAGGTCTCCACCCGCCTTCTTGGCCTTTTCCATCCATCCTCCAGCTTTGGCGGGATGTGTGGGGTGCTCAAATTTCAAGGAATTGCCTTCCTTTGTGATGGTCACGCGGAACCAGGGGTTGTTCATCATCCCCAACACAGACCAGTACATATCGCGCGGTTGGGCTGTCAATGCTTCGTCCATGGCCCGAACGAGTAATGCATCGCTATTTTCTAGGTCTGAGATGGGTATGTCTAATGACCAGAATGACCAGCAGAAGCAGGTTTCCCGCTGCCACATGTCGACTTTGCCGCCAAAGAGGTGGCCTTCCCATTCTCGATATTTGTCTTCTGCGTATTCGATATCGGCGAGTCGCCATGCTAGAGTGGAGGAGGCTGTCAGTCTCTGTATTTGAATTCACGTTGACTTGTGGACACATACATTTGCCTTTGTCCAGCGATATCTCGACTCGGGTGATCCGTCGACCGCCGCCTGCATATGCATAGCCTCTTGCAGTATAGGTTGTTCCTGCGGTCGCCAGATCCAACACTTCTTCGTGTTCCGGGTATGCCGCGACAGAATTAACATTAAGATCATAGATCGCATATCGCTCGTCTGTCCACCATTTCCTGTCCTGGGCAGACATTTCTGGAGACACCATCGTCCTAGTCATAAGTCAGTATTCTGCTCAAGATTGCTCTTTTCCACGGTGGTACTCACGGCAATACGCGATTATCATTGATATGATACCAATTGTCACTGGGAGCATCCGTGATGATCAATTTCTTCAGCCACTTGACACTGCGGCCACCAATTTGACCCGGCACCACGGCCCGCAACGGACGTCCATGGTCCGGCCGGAGAGGTTCTCCATTCATCTTGTGGGCTAGCATGATCCCCTTGTTATAATCCATCGCCCAGTTTAGTTTCACCGATGTTCCATAGAAACCATTTGGCTGTGACCGTTAGCCTCCGAGATCAGACCGAGTCTTGCGAGCTGAGGGTTGAATATACCAATTTATCGGCCCCTTCCATACAGACATACTTTGCCCGACGGAATGGTTTTGCGGAGCGTATCAAATCTGCCATCATGGGTCCCGTGAATAGGGCTGTTGATAATCCTGCTGGGCCCCATGAGAATCCCTTGGATTTTCTGACTGTGTTTTGCTCTTTTCGTCGGTTGCCTGCACAGACGAGAGTGATGGGCGCTGTGATCTGGTCATATTTCTGTAGGATCTCTCGGAAGCTCAGAACAAATGGATTTTCGACTAGTCTGAATTTCATGTTAGTCTTGAATGAGTGAGATTGGAAGCAGGATCGTTGTTCAGGCCTCACCCTTCAATGCTCAGCTCCCAGTCCGGGATATCGTCATCATGCACTTGCGGTACGGGCCCATGATTTCGGACATAAAATAACTCAGGCGAGGTCAGAAACCCTGTAAATGTCAGCGTGGGGTTGTTTTTCTCTCGATGATGAATCCGATCACCTTCTTTATACAATGCTGTGAGAGGCGGCTCCACATTGAACGGATGCACACCCGTTAACCGAATCAATCGTGGATCTCGGGGTACATGGCTATCCGGAGTGCCCTTGTCAACATCTAGGATGGTGGTCGGATTGACGGAGGGAGGAGGTAGGGGGAAATTCGGCTCTTCTGGGGTCGGCAAATCATGAAATTTGACGCTTGCACCCTTGAATGGGAACTTTGCGGCGTCGAAACTCGTCTCGGTGAGCGTCGCCATGACGATGATGGGCAATTGTGTCTAGTACGACTACTCAAAATCAAACATTTGACAACACGATTCGAAATCAGAAAACTCGAGTCGATTTCAGGCCGAAATTCGGTCGTTCCTGACATGGTATACTTCGGGTGAGGCAGGGTCGTCGCCTCGCTCGAACCCAGGGTCAGCATCTCCGCGGGCCCGCCACGGGGAAGATGCCTGACGTGAACACATCACTATGAATAATGACAAAGGGCAAAGGCGCAATTGGGGGAACCTAACCGGGTGGAGTCCACTTCGTAGCCGATGGTTGATTGTGAGGCCGGCCTTATCTTGCAGTCTCGTCGGCCTATCAGCATCCGCCTGTTTTTATCTCTGGCAGCAGCCACTCACAGCCCGCCTTTGCGACTGACTAGTAAACGATAGCGGGATCTCCGCGGAAGATAATCGTGTACCTTACTACTGTACTTTGTAAGCTCTAGGCGATGAAGGCGCTTATCGTACGATCATCCTATTTCTCCCGTGTGTAACTCAATGCAGGACGTGTCGTGGCGAACGGTGGCGATCGGTGGATTTCTCATTTTTCTTAAAACTAATCAGAGGGGCCGTAATTCGTAGTATGCTAGTTGTACTCCTCACCTTTCATCTATCGCAGCCATGCCGGTGCTAGACGGGCTTCGACATGGCGAGCCGGTTGACGGCAGCGTAAGCGCCGATTTCAACCCCAATGATGCCGAACGACAGAAAATCGTCATTGTAGGACTGGGCATGGTGGCCATTTCTCTGATGTATGCAACATGCTCCTCTCTGTCTCTCTTTAGTGGGTTCAATGCTAATAACGGTCACAGTGAGAAAATCATCAAACAGGACACGGCTCGCCGATTTGATATTGTGGTGATCGGCGAGGAGAACCATGTCGCGTATAACCGCGTGGGGCTCTCGTCATACTTCGAGCACCGCAAGATCGAGGATCTCTACCTCAACCCCAAGGAATGGGTTAGTATACTACTAAGTACACCTTATATGATCTTCGTGTGCTAACATTGATATACTCGATTAGTACGCATCTTTCAAAGAGCGAGAATTCGACCACCATCTCAACACCCGCGTCACCGGTATCGACCCGAGCAGCAAGACCGTGAACACCTCCACTGGCGGTACCATTTCCTATGACACCCTCGTTCTCGCTACTGGCTCAGATGCCGTTCTCCCCACCCACACCCCCGGCCACGATGCCAAAGGAATTTTCGTCTACCGCACGATCGACGACTTGGAGCGACTCATCGACTTCGCTGCCAAACACAAAGGTGAAACTGCAGTCACAGTCGGTGGGGGGCTACTGGGACTCGAGGCCGCCAAGGCCATGACTGACCTGGAAGACTTTGGGAATGTGAAGCTCATTGATCGCAATAAGTGGGTGCTGGCGCGACAGCTGGATGGCGACGCAGGGTCGTTGGTCACTCGCAAGATTCGCGAATTAGGCCTTGACGTGCTCCATCAGAAGCGGGTTGCGGTCGTCAACACAGACGCAGACAATAATGTGACGGGCATAACCTTTGAAGATGGGCAACGTATTGATTGTTGCTGTATCTGCTTTGCCGTAAGTCTGGTCTCAATATGTCTTGGGAACTTTTCAGTTGCTGATCAACATTTCTAGATTGGCGTGAAGCCCAGAGATGAGCTAGGTCCATCGGCTGGAATCCAATCTGCCGAGCGAGGAGGCTTTGTCATCGACGAGAGGTTCGCTCATACAACTTCCCCCATCCATTTTCCTGTTCTGACCAACTTAGTCTCCGAACTTCGATTCCAGACATCTACGCCGTGGGCGAGTGTGCAAGCTGGGAGAACCAGACATTCGGCATCATCGCTCCCGGCATTGAGATGGCGGATGTACTCGCCTACAATCTCACAAACCCCGACAAGGAACCCCGGAGCTTCACAAGGCCGGATCTCAGCACAAAATTGAAGCTCCTCGGGGTCGATGTCGCCTCCTTTGGAGACTTCTTTGCCGATCGCGATGGCCCGAAGTTTCTCCCGGGGAACCGTCCATCTCTGACAGGCTCGAGCACAGATGAAAATGATCCGCCGGTCAAGGCTTTGACTTATAAAGACCCTTTCGGTGGAGTATACAAGAAGTACCTTTTCACTATGGATGGGAAATTCCTGCTTGGAGGAATGATGATCGGAGATACGAGGGATTACCTCAAGTTGAACCAAATGGTCAAGGCTCAGAAGGAGCTGGAGGTTCCACCCAGCCAGTTGATTCTTGGGGCGCAGAAGGATGGCGAAGAGAATGCCGACGATCTGTAAGATTCGCTACGCTAAAGGCACCAGAATTTGTCTCTAACAAGTCAACAGTGATGACAGCACTCAAATCTGCTCCTGTCACAACGTGACAAAGGGCGACGTAGTCGACAATGTCAAAAATGGGACCTGCAAGACCATCGGCGAGGTTAAGTCCTGTACCAAAGCAGGAACTGGCTGTGGTGGCTGTATGCCCCTGGTTCAGTCAATCTTCAACAAGACCATGCTTGAAATGGGTCAAGAGGTGTCGAATCACTGTAAGTTGTGTCTGCCAGGGATCACAGCCGAACATGACTAACAGATTAAACACAGTGTGCATGCATATCCCGTACTCGCGCGCAGATCTCTACAATGTCATTGCCGTAAAGCAGTTGAAGACATTCGTTGAAGTGATGCAAGTGGCTGGTAACAACCCCGATTCCCTAGGATGTGAGACTTGCAAACCCGCAATTGGTTCCATCCTCTCAAGTCAATTCAACCCTCATGTCATGGACAAGGGATACAACGACCTGCAAGACACAAATGACAAATTCCTCGCCAACATTCAAAGAAACGGCACATTCTCCGTGGTTCCTCGTGTACCCGGTGGAGAAATCACTGCCGACAAACTCATCGCAATCGGTTCGGTCGCAAAGAAATACGGACTATACTGCAAGATCACCGGCGCCCAAAGAATTGACATGTTTGGCGCAAAGAAGCAAGATCTTTTGTATATTTGGCAGGAACTTGTAGATGCAGGCATGGAGAGTGGCCATGCTTATGCGAAGGCACTTCGTGCAATCAAGGTATGTTGTACAGCTTGCTTACAGTCACACGAGAAGCTTTAGCTGACTTGGCTACTTTACAGAGTTGCGTCGGTACCACCTGGTGTCGCTTCGGCATTGGTGACAGTGTCGGCATGGCCATCCGGCTTGAGGAGCGATACAAGAGTGTACGGGCACCGCACAAATTCAAGGCCGCCGTTTCTGGCTGCGTTCGAGAATGCGCTGAGGCTCAGAACAAAGAGTTTGTCCATCAGATCTCCTCTCTCCTCAATTCCTACTAACAATAAAAACCAGCTTCGGTCTGATCGCCACAGAAAAGGGCTTCAACATCTTCGTCGGAGGCAACGGAGGAGCCAAACCACGACACTCCGAGCTTCTCGTAACAGATGTCCCGGTGGAGATGGTCATCCCCATCATCGACCGCTACCTCATCTTCTACATCCGAACTGCCGACAAACTACAACGAACAGCCAGATGGATTGAGAACCTCCCAGGTGGTATCAATTACCTGCGAGAGATAATTATCGACGACAAGCTTGGCATCTGCGCCGACATGGAGCGACAAATGCAAGAGCTTGTCGGCGGCTATTTCTGCGAGTGGACAGAGACACTCAACAATCCTAAGCGACGCAAGGCTTTCCAGCAATTCGCCAATACAGACGAGACGGTTGATACAGTGGAGGTCGTTCAAGAACGGTCTCAACAGCGGCCGACATACTGGCCGAAGGACTCTGCGCAGGAGGATTTCAAGGGCCATGAATGGTCCAGCCTCTCGTGGCAGCCTGTCGTCCGATCAGATCACTTTTCCGATGAGCCGCCGCAGGTTTCCTCTGCAAACGTGAAGCGTGGAGATACACAGCTTGCTGTGTTCAAGATCAAGGGAAAGTTCTACGCCACGCAGCAAATGTGCCCTCATAAGCGGGCCTTTGTATTATCAGACGGCTTGATTGGAGACGATGATGCGGGTAAATACTGGGTGTCATGTCCATATCACAAGCGGAACTTTGAGCTCAATGGAGAGCAGGCTGGACGATGCTCGAATGACGAGAGCATGAATATCGCTACCTTCCCAGTGGAGGAGAGGGACGATGGATGGATCTACCTCAAGTTGCCACCTGTTGAAGAGCTGGATGCTGTTTTAGGTACGAAGAAGTGGAAGGTTAAGGAAGGAGAAGCCCCAGATCCGTTCCACAAAATGGATAAAAGGTATAAGGGGATGAGGGGGAAGAAGGTTGCTAATGGCGAGGGTTTGAGTCAATCAGCGGCCCAGCCGGCAAAGAGCATTGACTGGTGATTCTACAATACGTAAAGGGCGGAGCATTGGAGTTCAGCAAGGGGTGTATTCGAATGCATCGATTTTCTGGTCTGTTATACCGTAATTCATTTAACTAAACAATAGGAGTGGTTGTATAACTCGAATGAATGAATGAATATGTGACAAAAAGAAAAAAAAACCAAGAGTACAGTTTAGAGCTCAATACAGCATAGTACCTATAGGGAGCGCGTAAAAGTGAAAAGATATGATCCTATCAATAGCTACAGACTTCAGTGTTGAAAGATGAAAGTACTTCGAGATAGGAATGACTTCCACCGCCTGTAGGTATGCAAGGGCCAAAGACCTCGAAAATTAGATGCATAATAGCTAGACGAGGTCGCTAAATGAACATATTGTAATGGAAAATGTAGTTACGAGAGATTCCTGCAGATATTTTTCTGTTTCACTGCAGAACAGCTTGTCCTCGGGAACTCCAGGTCGCCATAACCCGGAAAATCGCGAGAATCAAGCGCCCATTCCGACAAAAATCATTATTATCGAGATCACGCACATCCCATTCACTGCTTTTTCCTGGTCTAGACCGTAGCCAAGAGAAACCACGACATCGCCACCGCTGCGTGGATCTGACCGAACTGTCGCGATATTCGGACAACCGTCGACCGGGTCGAACAGACGAACACGGAGCAGATGGCGCCGTTTAAGATATTTCCGCGGAGTTCAGATCGACCTGGCAGACCCAGTTGGGCACATTTTGCCTCATTGTCCGATCCACAGTTGCTTTGAAGGAGGAAAGCGCGAACTCCCTTCCTATCTCAGGCCGCGGCACGTCCAATGAGAGGCGGGCGGTTTATCAACGACCCTGCTGCCAACTTTGGAACAGTCCAACTCAACCAGAGATCCACACCGGCACTGACCCAGAATTGACCCGGCACTTGTGCGGACCTGGCCCAATTACTGCAGATGTGATCCGCGGAGTTATTCAACTCTGCGCTTATCGCCTCTTCATCAGCTGGGCATCGCATCCGACTCGGCTCTCATAGGCTCCCCAGACATAGCCTACCTGCCTTATCGCGATGATCACCCTGTCCCCAGATGAATGGTGAGAATCTACAGGCAAGCCAAGCCTGGGAGTGGCTATTCACTGCCAGGGACTGCAAGAACAGCCATTTTCGTCGAATCAGCTTGCTCGGATATCCATCGACATGGTGCTTTTTCCCCTTGGCCAATTTATCATCGTCCTCGTGGAATCTACGATATTCCCCGGCTTGTCAGGGCCTTAATCGATATCTGATGTGGGTTATGGCCTCATGTGTCATAATGAGATCTTCGCTCTATACGAATCGAGATACAATCCTCATCATATATGTCTATATAGATGAGCTGTTCGCCTTCGTCGGTCTGTTGTTCGATATCAAATTAGTTCAAAGACCCTGGATACCTCGATCACCGGGACATCACGAACATCATTTCCATCTAGCCGACCTGTCGATCCAGTCTATCACATCAAAACCGTTGAATAACGGCAATGGCGGCCAACTTTGGCAAGCTTCTCTTTTCGTCTCCAGAGATCCACCCCGCAACTCGGAAAGCGAAGTCCATTCCCGTCCTCAACCCGTTTGATCAATATGGCCGGGTGTTTTTCTTCTCTTGGTTGGGGTTCATGGTCGCATTTCTCTCGTGGTATGCATTTCCACCATTGGTAAGTCAGCCCAATCACCACCATGATGATGACCGGGGTCACTAAAAGGTACATGCTCTAGCTATCCGTCACCATCAAAGAGGACCTGAATATGACAGAGGAGGAAATTGCGAACTCTAACATTGTCGCACTCCTCGCTACCTTTCTCGTTCGATTTGTTGCCGGGCCACTCTGCGATCGCTTCGGTCCACGGCTGGTTTTCGTGGGCCTGCTGCTCTGCGGATCCATCCCAACCGCGATGGCCGGCCTCGTTACCAACCCCAATGGCCTGATAGCATTGCGATTCTTTGTGGGAATTCTAGGTGGGACTTTTGTTCCCTGCCAGGTGTGGTGCACCGGATTCTTCGACAAGAAGATCGTTGGCACCGCCAACTCGCTGGCCGCAGGCTGGGGCAACGCCGGTGGAGGAATCACCTAGTAAGTCCTTCGATTCAACAATGTTTGATGATGCATCTTCTAACCTATCTGTCTTAGTTTCATCATGCCCGCCCTCTACGACTCCCTCGTTGCCTCGCGTGGCCTGGCCCCCCACAAAGCCTGGCGCGTCGCCTACATCGTCCCCTTCATTATTATCGCTGCCGTGGCACTCGGAATGCTTTTCCTCTGCGAGGACACACCGACCGGCAAATGGTCAGATCGACACCTTTGGTCCAAGGAAACTCCTGCCGCTAGCTCTCCCGCTTCGATCTACGATGGAAATATTGTCGACCTCAATCAGAGCTTCCCATCGAGCGGCCTCACCAGCGGCCTCACCAGCCCACCGTCGATGTATGACGCCATCGACGTGGAGAAGAAAGGTACACAAACCCCTCAAATAGTCGACAAGGATGCCTCCGGTCTGGGACAAATTGGTACTCTCAAACGAGAGACCGTCGTCGCTCTCTCGCACAAAGATACTGTCCGTGTCGCCTTCAGTCTCACCACGCTGGCCGTGGCAATCCCGTACGCCTGCTCGTTCGGATCCGAGCTGGCAATCAATTCAATCCTCGGAACATACTACTCAGAAAGATTCCCATCCATGGGTCAAACAGAGTCCGGTCAATGGGCCGCAATGTTCGGACTGCTCAATGTGGTCTGTCGCCCCGCGGGTGGATTCTTTGGAGACCTGATCTACCGCAGCACGGGAAGCATCTGGTCGAAAAAGCTCCTTCTCACTTTCCTCGGTCTTTCCATGGGCGCTTTCCAGCTGGCTATCGGTCTTTCCAACCCAAGCAGTCAGTCCACCATGTTCGGACTCATGGCGGGGCTGGCTTTCTTCCTCGAGGCATGCAATGGCGCCAACTTTGCTGTTGTCCCGCATGTGCATCCCTATGCCAACGGAGTTGTTTCTGGTGTTGTGGGCGGACTCGGAAACTTGGGAGGCATTGTTTTTGCTATTGTCTTTAGATACAACGGTTCGCAATATGGGCGATCTATGTGGATCATCGGTGTGATTTCTCTGGCGGCGAATTTGGCTGTCAGCTGGGTTCGTCCTGTTTCCAAGAATCCGCTGTTTGAAACATGAGAAGTTGTTAGGTCACGATAAAATAGTACTAATTATGAATTGAATTTATCTTAGAGTTGCATGTTTCAAATTCGCAAATTTTTAGGGCTTAATTTGTCGTCTGCCCATCGGCATCCCGATACGTAGAATGAGCACGGGCGTCGGGTTAGCGCACACCGAGGACGGGGTAATGGTCCGGCGAGAACGAGGGGCTCCAGGCAAGAATGTGGGGAAGCCCCGGCTCCTCTTCGACAATTGTAGCTTCTTTTTATTTCAATATTGATTTTTCTTCGACTTTGTTACAACATTCGAGCTGTTCATTTCAACCTTCGTCAAACCTTTCTTGCATCTTTGCCTCCCAGGTCCCACACAAACACAAATCCAGTCATCGGCAGTTCAAGAAACGCTCTCTCCACATAAAAACGCTCGAAATGGCTCCGGTCCGCCGCATTGCTCAAATAGTTCATCTCAAGCCCTCGGCTGTAGCTGCTTACAAGGAATGCCATGCCAATGTCTGGCCAGAGGTACTGCAGCAAATCAAGGATTGCAACATCAAGGACTGTATGTCAGGAAACACCGAAGCAAAAATAGCTGACACTAAATTCGCCCTCCCCTAGACTCAATCTTCTTCGACAATGACCGCACTCTATTCGCTACTTTCAAGTACGTCGGCACGGATTTCGAAGGCGATATGGAGCGGATGCGAGCAAACCCCAAAGTGAGAGAATGGTGGGCTATGACCGATGGGATGCAGGTAGGTTCCGGATTCCAATCGCCTTTCTTTACGGTTATTGTTCAAGGGGCTAAATTCTGGCGTGCTGTAGGAGAGTCCTATCCCTGGCGCTGTGAGCAGTGCCGACGGACCTGGGTGGTGGAAGGTGTTGGACGAGGTGTTTTACAACGAGTAGATTCAGATTTCATTTGTGACGGTATCAATCGAAATCAGCTACATCATTTCCATTTTGCCTACATTCATATTTTGAATGTATGGTGAGTCCTCTATTGTCTGGCACCATAAGAATCACTCCTGCTTTCTTCACCAGTGGGTTGCCATTTCGAAATCATTCTTTTCCGAGAAATGCATCGATCCTCTTCTGCTTGTCATTATGAGGACAATCCTCGAAGATGCTCCATATGATCAATATTCCGAACGCGCAAAATCAATTTGTAAGAGGGGGCGTTGCATGTAGCAGCGAAGGTCTGGGTTTGAGCGGTGGTGCCTGGGGGCATTTGACCAAGCGCTGTAAATTCCGGTGTCTGTGAAAGAGAATGAGGCTGCTGCGGTGATTGAGAAATTACCGGATGCGGCTGGATAGACAACTCCAAATATCCTGAAGTTGGCCACGATGGCATCTCGCGACATTTCAGGCCGTCGTAGCGCCGAAGGATTTCCGGCTGGATGAACACACGGTTAGGGCCGAATAGATCAAGGAGACACTCCCACAGCGCCTGGAGGAAAGATCCGTGGCAATCTATGGTTATCGTGTACCGCGATGTTTCGTAATTGGCAAACAGAGGAATGATATGATGGTACAGAAACGAAGTGATACGCTTAACGGTTGAGGACGAGCACGAATCGCTTCCACTGGATCTCCAAACGGTCATGTCGGCAAGAGGGAGAGTCACACTAGACGCAGGACTCTGCACGCTTCCAGTGGGATATGATGATGAATACGGCGAGTGGGCCGTGGCTCTTGGACAGGATCAAGGCTGCACGAGATGATGCTGGACGAACAAGGAACAAGCTAGGGCGACCATGCGGAAGCGGAGACCTGATTCGGCCCCGGAGTCCAGGCACCAAAGTATTGAGGTATTTTTCTCGTAGCCCTGGAATGAAGTTGGGCGCTGCGGGTGTTCCATTGGAGGCTGCAGGTTGGCGGCTGCAAATCCCTTCTGCCGTACGACGAACGCGAATGAGGTCCGATGAGAATACAGTGCTGAACTGAACTGATGTCGAGACAAAATGATCCGCGAGGCGCCGAATCTGAGCCATTCCGTGGTTTGTGATGTCCGGGTCCAATTTGCCCGGCCTGTTCAGGATCAAGTATGGGAAAATGGTATGCATATACCACCCCATGGGACGCACGTTCCCTAGTCGTACTCACCAGGGTTTAGGGTCCAGGGCCTCAGCATGCCGAATAAGGTAAAGCTTCATCTTGTTAGTCCGATACCTCCCCTTGCGTCAGCAAAGGGAGGGAAGATGGGTTAGTGATGCGTTGGACCATCGTATGCCAGTAATATCTGCGATGCAACTTGCAAGGTGAGGCGAGGAGCCGGTGACGCGTTGTGCGTTTGTATCAAGACCGCTGCGGTCACGTGCCCCGGCTTGACAGGTGAGCATGGCAGAACTCGAATGGTGGCAGCGCAATGGAGAGGGCTACTACGGTCTAGATTCCCGGCTACGATGCACATTGCCAGAGTGGACATATGGAGAAGCGCTTTGAGGGAACAATGAGATTGCTTGGACATTTGGAGCAATTAGAACAGTGGAAAGAAAATTGCCTTGTGTGAACACCGAACTAATAGCTCCCATAAAACCCTTTAGAAAACGTAACAAAAGTGGTATGTGCCATGACCCATCAATCTACATGCATCAGAAAATAAAACCGACTGGCAAAGCCAATTCCCTCATATAATTTTTGTTGGAAACTTTTTGAGCTTTAACAGCGAACCGAAGGACTCATCAGGATTAACAGACCAGTCACTTAAGCAGCAAGCTCGCGGATCTTCTCCTGGACGCGAGCCTTGCGCTGGGCGTGAGTGAGCTTGTTGACCTTGTACTTCTTGGACTCGGCCTTCCACTCCTCCTTGGTCTTCTTGGAGCCAGCATCCTCGTCCTTCTTGAAGGGGTCCTCACGGATGGCCTTGTGGGCCTCCTGGTAGATCTCCTCGAGGTCACCAGCGTCAACCTCGTCCTCGACGTACTTGGCGAACTGGGACTTGAAGCGCTCCTCATCCTCATCGGCGAGGGTCTCCATGTACTCAGAGACGTGGCCACCGAAGATGTAGTTGCGGAGGGTCTCGGCGTCGAGCTCCTCGGACTCAATGTCGTAACCGGGGAAGCGGCGCTCGGAGTGGGGGATGAAGATACCACCGTCGGAGGCACCCTTCATGGCACCGAAGACACGGTTACCGCTGGAGGTGCGAACGAGACCAACATCAAGGAAGGCCTTGAAGGGGCGGCGCTCGCCGTTGTCGGACTCAACAGCCTCGGTGAGGGTGTACTCGCCGTCGGCCTCCTCGACACCGGTGAAATCCTTGTCCAGACCCAGCTTGACGAGGGTGCGGCGGGCCAGGAGAAGACCGGTGGCGTAGGCGGCAGCCCAGTTGGTCAGACCCTGGTTGATACCGTAGCGCTTCAGCTCGTGGGCGTAGGCGGAAGCGAAGACCTTGTCGCCGGAGATCTCAGAGTACACGATCTGAGTGACGATGTCGCGGTTGGTGAAACGGACGACCATGCGGTACTTGGGGGCGTTGTACTGTTTTCGGGTGTTAGTATACTGTCAGATCCCAACAGCATCAAGGACAAATAACTCACCTTGTTCTTGGCCTGAGTGATCAGAGCCTTACGGGCCTTGTAGTCGGTCTTACCCTCACGGCGGCGGCGGTACTTAGTCTGGTAACGACTGTGGGAAACGTTAGCACTCGACCTCAGGAAAACAAAGGTGTCAGGGAATTTTTTTTTCCAACTTACCTGAAGTAGGCATCGTTCTTGACAGTCTTGGTGAAAGGCTGGCAGAAGAAAATCACGAGTCAGCAATTTGCGCTTCAGAATATGTCGTCCGAAGCATCTTGCAGGGACCCGGCTCCGAACGAGGCGGAGAGGAAAAAAAAAAATTTATAAATCCATCGCAGATAGGCGTTTTCAGCCAACTGCGATAACAATCACACTCACCATTTTAGCGGTTGTCGGGTGCTGAAGCCTGAGGTCGACGGTTGGAAAAAAGAACAGAAGGAAAATGTGTGCGGCGACTTTGTGGGGGATTTCGCTTAGCGGGGATGCAGCCGCCCAGAAGTGCGGTCGGCGACGAGGGTCGGCGACGGCTGAAGGACGGCAATTTGCAGGGTGGGCCACCACCACATCAACACTGTCTACACTGAGTACTCCACGGTACTCAATTTGAACGGGCGGCAAGAATTGTAGAAAATATGTGAAGCATTATTTCAACCGGAATTCATTGGTTCTCTATAGTAATCGACAGATCCGAGATTCCCATCCACACTGTGTTCGATGCAGCAACCTCAGAGGCGTGCCTTATCCACGTCATCTAACAGTTGAAGACCAGTGATCTTCTCCAACTCTTTAACAGTATCCCGGGTCTTACCGAGTGTTACTTTCACGGTACGCAGCCCAGCCCGTTTTCCAGCCTTCAAGTTCTCGCCAATGTCGTCGAAAAAAACAATGTCCGAGGGCTTGACCCCTTCGAGTCCACGCTTCTTGGCCAGGGCATTCATTTCTTGAATTGCAACTTCGTAGATTTTGGGGTCAGGTTTGCGAAGCCCCGTATGTGCCGACGAAATGAAAAAGTCAAATTGCGATCGAACTCCTGTCTCATCCTTGTTGTAAGGATGTCCTTCGGGGAACTTGGTCGTATTTGACAGAGCACCCATGAGGAATTTCCCCGATGCTCTCAGTTTCTGCAGAGCGGGGAACATGTATGGGTCTGGTGTCCGAGATATCCTCATCATCTCCCAGAAGAGCCACTCCGCATCCACCTCTGGAAGCGGGGTGGTGGTGGTTGGGCCGCTCAGCCCTTTCTTTTGTCGCTGTTGCTCGTGGAACTGCTTCCACAGAGTCGGATGACGCAGATCTTTGTTGAACGCGGCGAAGAAGTCGGCATCCATCTTGATCTCACCTCGTTCAATCTTGTGCCAGGCACCGTTGGGCGATGTCCGCGAGATGCTGAAATTCACCCATCCGGGCGGAATATTCTGCGAAATCTCATAATCCAGGATGGCTTGAAATGGCGAAACGACCTATAGTCATAGTCAATAACCACACTGCAGGTTTGAGGTTTCGAGCTCGGTATTGACTTACACAAACGCCGCCAATGTCGAAAAGGAGGCCGATCGGCCGCTGGTTGTCTGCCATGCTAAAATGAGAACAGTTTCCTCGATGTTGAAGTAACGAATGTGTTTCGGCTAGACCGAAAATTGCGCTGATAACTGGACGTAGTTATTCGTGTCAGGGCTTTGCGATGAGATGATATATGTTTCAATGTGACCCGATCTCCATTTGCCGAGGTAGTTAGCTGTAGGGCGGTTCGAGACCGAGGAACTATTTAACGCTTTAACATCGTACTATCATAGCCAAGATCAGCCACACGTAGATGATATTTCACGATTCAAAATTTGGATATATATATTTTTTTGTGCCCGCAAGACGTTTGAACCTGATAAATAATGCCAGTGAGATGCCCTCGGTCGATTCGAGCTCAAAGGGCGATGATCACGTGACTACATCGATAAGAAAGGTGGGTGGCGATAAGCCCATCGACCCTCCGCGCTTGGACGCGTTTGGCCGTGACGCTTTTGGGAACCACATGAAGCATCTTTGACGCGGCTGGAACGATGGACTCAACACGAACAATCACTGAGTTGAAGTCGGCATTTATCCGCAGCCAGGTGCGCATCATCTCCGAGAGCCTTGAGCTGCCAGAAGATTGGCAAAACTATGCAGTGGAGACGGACGAGGGGGAGCTGAGTGGAAAGGTGATTGAAGATGTGCTATACAAAGGTACCACCCTGAATTTTCCACCTCTGGTGATATTACAAGACTAGACCATCTTTATTTACTACGGACAGAACTAACTCATGATATAGTAAATGCGGCCGCGAAACAACACAACCGCGTTGTCTATTCATCACAAGCGATCCACCATGTGGCTAGTCAAATTGCCAGCCTGTACTGGTCTACAGTCAGCCAAGAGACTCAAAATACGGCGACCTTTTCAAAAGGCATATGTCAATCGACGGATCTGTCGAAGCATGGGTAAGACTCGCACCTGAGGCTTTGCCTTGGTTGAAGCACATTTATTAAAATTATACCAGGAACATCGTCAAATTACCCTTGGAACTGGAGGCTCAAGACGTAACTGAGGAGCAGAATGAAAGGTCAGCCCCCACAAATATCCGACTGTTCTCCTTTGGGGTTGAAGTTCCATCCGCCTGACACTGCTGTTGTACAGATACCAGGAGCTTCGGAAGCGACTTGCCAGCCTCGACGAGCAGCGCCAGCAGCGAAAACGGCGCCTTGATCAACTTAACCATCTGCGGCGCCTCCTCGAGCCGTTCCAAGAGCCAAGGAGTGATATCCAACCAAACCTGGTTACAAGCGATGGGGAGCTCGTGCAGGAATTGGAGAAAATGAGAATGCTCGTAGCGCGGGTCGGCGGACGGATAGCACAACAGAAGAAACGCAAGAGTCCGCCAGAGAACGGGGAATACCTGCTTCCTGGGTCGGAGCGGAGACTGGAGGCCCTGTTGCACACGGGGGTATGACTTTTACGACATGAATTGCAAGCTTGAGAACATTTTATCATGGTTTCCAATGATCCTGGTCCATGCGACATAATTGTCGGAACATAGCACTGCATCTCCGTAAGCTATTAATCCTGCAGTAAAGTCTTCTCCGAAGGGAGAGACTTGGGTTGTCGTTGTCGTACCTCTGGCGGATTTCACGCTGGGCTAGAATCCAATCAGCCATAAATAGAGTCGGGCTTGCTAAATGCAATAGCATGCTGTCCCGCTCATGCAGGCACGCCAGAATTCTTTTTCTGGCTAGATGCTGGCTTTGCGTAAACGCCCTGCTAATGTTCGAGTACTGTGTACATCACTAGGGGAAAGCGGTCGAAAAACGGGATTACAGCGGGAAGACATTACTACGACGCAGATACCCCAGTAGGCGCTGACCTACGCTAAGGCACGGTGTAGCCTAAGGCACCTTGGGGTATGGTGCTCATAGTACTGGGGTGCGGTCGTAAGAAGGCAGGTGGGAAGTTGCGCGGTCCATGGAATTAGGCAGGAGCGATTCCCATTCAATTGAGGGAACTTTTGCTGGTTCCTGTCTTCTCCGTCATCCATTACACTTACACCCACCCTGCAACGATGGAGTCGGACACGGATGAAGCGAAAGAAGGTTCGTACAGTTCTAAGATGCTCACTCCTGACAACTCCCTAACTGAAGCCCAGCTTGGATGAGCCCTCTCAACAGGATGCGGCGCCTGGTCGGGCTGGAGCAGCGTAGCCACAGCAGCGGCGGCTCCAGCAGCAGCAGCGTGCGCTTCGGCGGTGGCCCCGAGGAGGAGGCTAGCCCGATCGGGGATGGTGTGCCGGCCAACAACCACAGCGACATTCTCCAGTCAACCTCTCCGTGCAACGACAATTCAGTGCTCGAGTTCTTTTCCCAGCTTCCAGATTGCGCCGCCATCATCGAGGGTGACGCAACCGCCGCCGCTTCCAAGGCACCTTTCACGCGTGGGCACCGCCGTCGTTCTACCCACGTTACTCGCCGTGACCTTGAGAAGTTTCAAAAGGAGGTCTTGGGCGTAGAGAACCACGCCTCCTGGTACGAAGAGGAAAACGGCACCTCGCGCCCGATCAACCCTTACGACCCGCAGCTCGAAGATCTCAACCGTGCGTTTGCGGCCGCGAACGAGTCGATGAACACTACCACGGGAATGACGGGCAACGGTTCCGCGTCGGGCATGTTTTCGGGTTACGCGGATAACTCTCCTGGCAACTCCACCATGGGCAGTGTGCCTCGACAGTCCATGTCGCCTGCACTCTCTCACCCGTCGGCTCAGGTCAACGGAGGTGGGATGGGAGCTATCGCCTCCGGAATGCCCATGAACGCGGGGCACCAGATGGACCTCCATCATCTGTACGAGATGGTGCTGGAATTGAGCGATGTGCTCAAGAACAACCGTGAAGTGACCAAGAACATTGTCTCCAGTGCGGAGGAAATCATGGTAGGCAACCGGCCCCCACGCAACCCCCATCGAGAGGCATCCGATGCTAACAATTGAATGCAATAGAAACACGGTTCGTCTGAGGATGCCAGCCCAGCGATGCAGCGGGTTAATGGTGAAATCTCCGGTGCGTGCTTTCAATTTACCTTTATTGCCAACTTTTCCAATTACTAACTTGGCGGTAGCCGCCCGGATCACAGAACTCGAACGCGCCCTCGCCAAAGAAAAACGCCAGGTCGAAGAACTTAAGCGCGAACAGGTCGAGAACACCAAGCTCATCGGCGAATACGAAGCAGGCGTGGGAACAATGGTTGAGCAGATCCGTAACTACTGCCAAAGCAACAACATGCAGTACCTGGCTCAGAAGAACAACTACAACCAACTGCTGCAGGCCGAACGCGACGCGCATCTGGAGAGCCGGCTTGACCGCGACTACTGGCACACACAAACAATGAAATGCGCCGAGATGATTCGTACTGCCTACCGGCTCCGGGCCGAAGAGGAAGAGCTTCCCGTGCGCATCGTGGCCGGTTTGCAGAACGAGGTTCGCGCCTATCGCAACGCCCTGGGGATGGAACCGGAACTCCCCGAGGAGGAGTTTGGTTGGGAAATCCTGAAGGATATCCCCGGCTTAGAATGAAGGGCAAGTGAAGCGAACTCGAATCGGGCCCTGCGGGTTCTCACGGCGTGATGACTTGATTTTGCGTGGATTTCTCCCTTTGCGAAGGGTGTTTCGTGTTGCATAGTACTCGGCGGCGTTTTTCCATTTTGTGCCGGTGTTATTCCCCCCTTTGTCTTTTTTTCTGTATTTACTGGGAGGCGTTCATGGCGGGGTTGTGTACTTTTTTTTTGCCCCCGGTTTGTGCAGATACCCGGAATTTCTGTGTTACCATCGGTGCAGCAGGCATGGAATCCGTTGACGTTGACGATTCCAGCCTGACCGCAAATAATTCATTAAATGGCCACTGCCCGCCACTGCCCGACCGCTGGCCATGCTCGATCTTATAGGACTTCGTAGAGTGTGCATACTTACATCCTACAGAGTAAGATGCAAGTAGGCTAGTTCCACCCCAAGGTCATTTCTCGCCGTCATTTGTCGGTGTGTTGTCCGCGGTGGCCACAGTGGCACTTTTGCCCCAACTAAAAGCCACTAGCGCCCCCCAGTCGCAAAGGCTAAGCTGTGGACTCGAAATCCCCACGACCCCAATTCGACGACCCAAATGTCCGTCGCTTCACGAGACCAATTTGCTCCCCCCGGTCACGGAGTTGCTCAGCACTCCCCGTAAGATGCCACACTCGATCTGCCAGTAAGAGAACGTGTATACCACATCACGTGCCGTAGTGGAGCCCCTTTTTGGCTGTCTGCGCCTTTACTTTTGGGTGCGGCGATTATGTCATGTCCGATGCTTAATCTTCCACATCCGGTTGCCTCCTGGGCAAGTTCCTTTCGTTTCTTTTTCTCGTAGATTGATCACCTCCCCAAATAATCCCTCGTCTGAAATACCCTTCACAGCATGCATTCGGCTCGACATACCTTCATGGTGAGACGTCTCCGCTGTCACCTCTAACGGCGCATGCTCCACCGGTACACTTTACGCGGAACGATTTCCCCTCGGGCGCTGAGCTGAACTACCGATAGTCGCATCCGCCATCTTCGTCTGCCGTCGACAGGGAATTGGTCTTGCCTTTGTCCACCTATCGACATCCGTAGGGAGTGGGGGATCAACCAATTATGCGTCATCCGATCTAGGCCTGTCCAGTCATTCGACCTACTTTCCGCGCCACACAGTGGTCACTTAGTCGACGAGGGCCGCCTACCCCGGTCATCTCTCTACCACAGGAATACGAGCGAGGAGGATTCAGAAAATGGAGGGCGTCCAGACGGTAGATGTGAGCTGGCTCCATCACTCGCAGAAAGGTAAGTTCTTGACTCTTGGGGCTTCTTTAGGAGCCGTATGCAAGGCCGCTCTCGGACCGACCACCGCGGAAGACAGTTCGCCATGCCGCCTAACAGAGACGTCGGATTTAAGCAGTGACTGACTATGTCGCTCATCTAGATCATCTTTCCCGTACCAAATCCGTGTCGTCTGCCCTCAGCGATAAGTCGGCCGCCGAGAAGGAGTCGGCGACGACATCGAAACCACACCGAAGATCGCGATCGAATAGTAGCCCCGCCCGCCCGCCATCGTCAGGCTCCCCCGTACCAAAACGTGAACCCGAGAATACTCCGCCCAATGCCGAAGAGAAAGAGAAGCCACAGGCGACGGAGAAGAATGCGGAACAGAAACCCCCGTCTACCCCATCTCCCGCATCACAGAAGAGTGCCCCCAAACCGGTCGGCGGGCGGAGGAACTCATGGATCTCTAGCTTGAGCTCGAAATTCTCTTCCGGATCGACACCACCGTCGCAGTCAAGTCTGAAGGGCTCTCCAGTGAGCCCCAAGACCACCTCCCCTCTGGATACCCACAACCCCTTCGGGGCGGCCTATTCGCCCAAGGACAAGGAAGACGAGTCGAAGGATGAGCCTGGCCCGTTTACTTCATCGTCACCGAAGGGCCCTTCATTCCTCCACAATGCATTGCGTAAGTTCTCATCTAGTTCGGGAGGACTACCCAAGCTGCCGCCAAACGGAGTCAGTTGCCCTCGCCGCGTAATGAACTTGGATCCGAATCGAGAACGCTGCAAGATTGCCGAATTGAACCAGTCGAAGCTGCATCGGGTAGCTTTTTGCGTGGACGTGGAGATTGCGGGGGTTTCCCACCGAGATACCGACGAAGATGCTCCTCCCACAAATCAACTACGCCAACCTTTACCAGAATCACACCGCCAGAAGAGCAAAAAGGCGGAGATGAAAGACAAAGGGAAAGAGGAAGCTGATGCGCTTAAGGATCCTCAAGCTGCAGTGGCTGAAAAAGAGACACCAGCTCCACCGTCAGCTCAGGATACTGCTGGTGCTGTTCCGAGTCCATCGGCGCCTGCCCAAGCAAGCAGTAGTCCTCCAGATGCCCAGCCTCCTGCCACCGAAACCAACGATTCCAGCTCGAAGCCCGCAACAGATGCCAAGCCCAGCGAAGGGAAGGACCCATCAAGAAAGGCAGAGAAGAAGAAGCGGTCCGAAGAAGAGCGAAAAGAGCGAAAAGAACGTAAGCGGAGACAGGCTGTCGCAAATGGCTCAATTCCCTTACAATTATCCGCAGAGATGGACGAGGATGATGAACCTCGTCCACCGGCAACCGGTACCTCTCGCTCCAAGACTCAAAGTCATCCCACGACGGATCCCGTCCGCATCTACCGACGTTGCTGTCAGCTACGCGAGACCCCCGTGCTCAAGCGAGTGGTTGATGAGATATCTTCGCCATCCTCTACTCTGGCAGAATCCCCTGGTACTGTCGCGGCTCTGGACCTCAGCAACTTCCCAATGACGACGCAAGATATTGCAACATTTAGTGACTGGCTTGCCGTTGTCCCTGTCCGCAAGCTCATCCTTGAGAACTGTGCGTTGACTGATGAGTCCATAAGGTCTATCCTTGCAGGACTTCTTACCACGAAGACTGTTGAGCAAATGCGCTACCGGAGGAGACGATCCAGGAGAACTGACTCACCGGCTGCCAATGACGAAAGTCACGGCGTGGTGGAGAAGCTTTCTCTAAAGGGCAATTTCAAGATTGGCCGGGAAGGATGGCGACATATCGGCTTGTTCGTTCATCTATCCAAGTCCTTGAAAGCAATCGATTTATCAGGCATTCCTTTCCCGAAATGCCGAGCTACGTCTGATGGGTCAACTGGTCAGGGCCAGCCTCAGTTAACTAACCCTGATGTTTGCAATGTTTTCGCCAAGGCTCTCGCAGAACGCTTCAATGGTGACCACCTGGAGGAGCTGCTGATGACCGAGTGCAAGCCTTCTGTTGAACAGGTGAAGAGTATCTGCGATGCAGCAACCAAGATGGGGCTTCGCCGGCTAGGCTTCGCAAACAATGACCTAAACAGGGAGAGCCTGGGTCATGTCATTGAGTACCTCAAGATTGGCCAATGCGAAGGCCTGGATTTGGGAGGGAACCTCATCAAAGATGACCTCGATCTCCTTACAGAAGCAATTGAGCCAGAGATGCCGCTTTATGCGCTTAGTTTGGCCGACTGTTCTTTGAACCCATCCGTGATTTCCCCACTACTCCAGGCTCTTACCCGGCTCCACAATCTGCGCTTCATCGACTTCTCCCATAACAGAGACCTTTTCTCGATGCAGCCCAACTCTCTCGGTCTATTCCGACGCTTCCTCCCCAAGATGCCATCTCTCAAGCGAATTCATCTCGCCGATGTTGCTCTCACCCCGGACAATGTTATTGGTCTTGCTGAGGTTCTTCCCGAATGTCCAAGCCTCTGTCATTTGAGCATTCTTGAAAACCCTCGAATTGCTTCATTGGCTTCTGCTATGGATCCAGAGGTTCAGGAAGAAGCTTGTGCGGTATATGCCTCTATGCTTGCTGCTGTCCGCGTGTCGCGGACGATCATCGCAGTCGATATCGAAATTCCGTCTGCAGAGAATAATGAAGTTGTTAAGGCTCTGGCATCCCAGATTGTGGCTTACTCACTCCGCAATCTTGAAGGCGGTGCTATCGCGGAAGAGCTTTCGGAAACAATTACCTCGCCTCTGACTAAAGATGTTCCTGTGCCAGAGATCTTGCAACATATTGTGGGACACGCTGGTGCGAATGGGACGGAGGAAATCGCCGGCGATGATGAGGATGAACCGGCTCCAGATGAGGACTATGTCATGGGTGGTACGGGTGTTGTAAAGGCCTTGGGTGTCTGTCTCGGCAACCTGGACCAGCATGGCAGTGACGCTCTGGGTGATCACTCCCTGCCTGCAAGTGGCACTACAACCCCCCGACGTCCCAAGTCCCGAGGTGTTGTCACCAAGAGACCACGAGACATGTCGAAAAATCTGTTAGAGTCCGCACGCAACATTCGCACCCGAATTCAGTCGGCCCTCGTGCGCGAGGACCGTGCTGGCAATGACGCGAACTACAGTACGTTTTTTCTTGTATTGATGCAGTGGGGGTTTTCAATCACTAACATTGGCCCAGGACGCCTCCAATTTCTGGACTTTACTTTACATAAGATGATTCAGCGCTTTGAAGACGAGTATCCGGAAACTCGCCTCCCTCAGGTTGCTCCTACGTCCGCCGCACCCGAGACCAGCTCCCAGCACTCGGGCGAAGGTGTCAGTGCTCCAGGTGCTCCAGGCAGCAACCTGAACAGCAGTATGATCGATAACGAAACTGCTGTCGATGATGAAGAAACAGACCAATACGCCATTCATCTATCTCGAACAAGTTCGATGACTTCTTTACACGCTCGTGCCATGACTTCAGAAGAGGGTCATGTCCACCGTCTGGGCCAGAACCTCAGACGCGACTTCCTCAACCCTGATATTGGTGACAGGGAAGGCGACGAAGACGACGATTCCCGTCTTGTCGCTCTTCGAGAGAAGCTCGAACGTCTACACGAGCAGCAATCCCAGTCACCATTTGACAGCGCCCATGCTGAAGAAGCCTTCGAAAAGCTCGGTAATACCGTCGATGAACTCTGGGCAGCCCAGCGACAAGATGCTGAAGGCTTTGAGAAATTCAAGCAGTCGCAGATCGCCGCTCAAATCAACAGTGGTCTTCGTTTGGCTTCGTCTGTTCCTTCGCAAAACAAGTCGACGGCAACGAAGGACGACGCTGAAAGCAAGTCGCCGCCATCCTAAACTTCTCCTGCAGAACACTCTCATATTTTCCTTTATTTGCGTTTTGCCTCTATTCCAAGCGCAATTGTTGTATATATTCTGATATTTTCCATCTTTACCTGTCTGTCACCTGGTACAGCTTCCCACCATCCCTTGTTCGCTTGGCCGCATGTATTTCAGTGTTAGCCATCGGTCTGTATATATTGCCCTGTTTCCGGTGTAGCTATCCGTTCATCTTATGAAGTATTTGAATGATATGTATTTAGTTTGATCCAGTTGACTTTTGTTTGAGCTATATGAGTTTTAATCTTGCGATATGCCATTTTTGTGGTTTGAACTAGCCTCATTTCAACGAAAATGACTAGTAGGCCAAGGAAACAGAAAAATCTAGTGTTATATAGAAAAGCATGATTGCAGGGCCGTCTGGGTAGCAGAAGGGCGCTGAAAATAGGGCGGGTTAGTAACGGGCGATGTTCCTCGGTTGAACTTCCCCAGAAAACTGGGGGTTTCACATGTCAAGGGCTCCGTCACCCCGACTCCACTCCAACTCTCCAACTCCTCTTCACGCTTTCATTCTTCCACCCTCACTTTTGCCTACGGTCATGCCCATCCGCGATTCCGGCTGAATAGTCGATCGTGTCGCCATGGCCGCCCAGTCAAAGCTGCTGCCGCCCGACCGTTCCGTCAAACAGATCCTCTCCAGCCTCACCTCCCTCTACCTCCGACACCGTACCCGTATCTCCCGCGCTGTGTACCTTGCCCTCTTCGCTGCGCTTGCCAAGCGAATACATAATGCCATATCCGAGCAGAAGGCTGCATCGCAGCAGATAGAGCTGCGGAGGCGACAGCCCGGCACCAGCAGTCTCGGCGATGAGGAGCAGCCGCGGAAGAAGCGGGTGGAAATCAACCGGGAATTCTTCAAACACCTATTTCGTCTCTTGAAGATTGTAATCCCTGGATGGCGCAGCAAAGAGCTCCGGCTCCTGGTGAGCCATAGTGTCTTCCTCGTGCTGCGAACGTTGCTCAGCCTGTATGTCGCCGAGTTGGACGGCCGGCTGGTGAGCAACCTCGTGCGGGGCAAGGGGAAGGACTTCTTGTTGGGCCTGGTGTGGTGGATGATTGTTGCAATACCCGCAACCTTTACAAACTCTATGGTAAGTTATCGGGGACAGGTTCGCCCCGTTCGGTGGGTTTGCGACCGTGGAAAAGCCGGTTCCTAACGCGTTTGTTATTAGCTTTCTTACCACCAATGCAAACTTGCCTTGAGCTACCGGAAACGCTTGACCGACTATATACATGACAAATACCTCTCTAATATGACATTCTACGCCATCTCCGCTTTGGACGATCGGATTAAGAACCCCGATCAGCTTGTCACGGTGGATGTGTCGCGGTTCTCCGATAGCTTGGCCGAGCTCTACTCCAACCTCGCCAAGCCGATCCTCGACATGTGCATCTATAACTATTCCCTATCAAAGAATGTTGGTGGGGAAGGATTGTTCATCATGAGCTTGCTTGTGCAGCTATCTGCTAATGTCATGCGCATGCTGACACCTCCGTTCGGCAAATACGTCGCTGATGAGGCCAGACTTGAGGGTGAATTCCGCTTCCTCCACTCAAGGCTCATCGACTACAGCGAGGAAGTTGCTCTCTATCACGGTCATGAGGCCGAAAAGGATACCTTGGACAAGGGTTACTTCACCCTTATCAAGCATGTAAACCGCATTTTGCGCCGGAGACTTTACCATGGTTTCATGGAGGACTTTGTTATCAAGTACTTCTGGGGCGCTCTTGGGTTGGTTCTCTGCAGTCTACCCGTTTTCTTTAAGATTCCCGGTCAAGTTACACAGACTATGGGGGATCGCACCGAAAGCTTTGTCACAAATCGACGGATGTTGCTTTCCTCGTCGGATGCCTTTGGCCGTCTGATGTTCTCTTACAAGGAGATCTCCGAGCTGGCCGGCTTCACTTCTCGTGTCTCGTCTCTGCTTGAGGTCATGGACGACTTGGTCGCTGGACGATTCGAGAAGAAGTTGGTCTCATCTGCATCTACCGAGGAAAACGCCGCTGTTCTCTCTGGTCGCGGCGAGGTCATGGAAAGCGACTCAATCGAGTTTATTGATGTTCCGATCGTATCACCAAACGGCGACGTTCTTGTTCGTAAGCTGTCATTCACCGTGAACCCGGGCGACCACCTCCTGATTGTCGGACCGAATGGATGTGGCAAGTCCTCTCTTTTCCGCATTCTGGGTGGACTCTGGCCAGTCTACGGAGGCTCGGTGAAGAAACCTCGCTTCGAAGACATTTTCTACATCCCGCAGCGACCCTATTTGTCCCGTGGGACTCTTCGACAGCAGGTCATCTATCCCGATGGCGTGCGCGAGATGCGTGCCAAGGGCGTGACTGATGCTGACCTACATGAGGTTCTCTCCGTGGTTGAGATTGCATCTGTTGTCAACCGACCTGGCGGCTGGGACGCCGAGGAGGAATGGCGGGACGTACTGTCGGGTGGTCTGCAGCAGCGCATTGCCATGGCCCGGCTCTTCTATCACCGCCCCAAGTTCGCCATTCTGGATGAGTGTACCTCTTCGGTCACCTTGGAGATCGAGAAGGTCATGTACGAGACGGCCAAGAAACTTGGTATCACGTTGATGACCGTCTCGCACCGACGCAGTCTCTGGAAATACCACCAGAAGATTCTGCAATTTGATGGCCAGGGCAGTTACATTTTCACAGGGCTCGACTGGGAGCGACGATTGAAACTGGAAGAGTATGTATCCCCCGCGACCCCTTTTACTTTCGTAGGCTTTGGAACTATACTGACTCGGATCCCGTTTCCCTCACAGTGAAAAAGACGAACTCGAGCTCCAACTGCGGGCCGTTCCTGAATTGCAGCGTCGAGTGGCTGAACTGACAGCAACGTAGCCGCAGGACGACCTTTCACTCTATTGTATGTTAGCGCAATGAACTGTATGATGTGCCTGTCTATGATCGCATTTGCCACCGCCGTTCCCCGCCCAGCCAATCCTGGCCGGCGCTCGGCATCGGAATCGCGCTTCCCCATTTTCCCTCGGGTGTTCGGATCTGAAAGCGCAAATTCGCCAATCACGTCGCGCGATTTCGGCAGTGGCACCGATGGATTTTCCGAGGCCGACCATTTGGAGTTGCGATGGAGGTGGACCTGCGCTAGCACTTGTCTTAAATGTCTTTCTCTCCACCACGTTCGACCCACTATGATATCGTGTCCTCCTACGTCATAGAGCGAGACCGTATCTTGTTCTTGTTTGCCACGGCATCCCTTTTTCCTTAGAAGTGAAATCGTCTGAAGATGGTCTTTCTTTCCATTCTCTCTGTATTTACCACACATCTCCCCGTTTAAATTAAGCATTTCCCACGGTAGACTGTGCAAACAATATGACCAACGGCAATATGAAGCCTACTCAACCCACCCCGCCTCAAAAAAGAAAGATTATCATCTTCTCTGGTATGCATTGTCGCCTGTCCTCGAGACTAGGGTCCAGGCTATAGACCCTAGGCTCCCTGAGACCAATAGAGAACACGCGATAACTAACATCTTGATTCAATAGACTTCGACGGCACAATTTGCATGCAGGACACCGGCCACATCCTGGTGGACGCGCACGGTTGCGGCGCAATTGCCCGCGAGAAGCTCGAGGAGCAAATGAAGTCCGGATCGCGAACCTTCCGCGATGTTTCCGAGGAAATGTGGGCATCTCTCCACGTTCCTTTCGACGACGGCTTCGTTCTCATGGAAAAGAGTATCGAAATAGACCCCGGGTTCAAGGAATTCCACCAATATTGCGTCGAGAACGGATTTCCCTTCAACGTGATCAGTGCCGGATTGAAGCCGATTCTGCGACGAGTCCTCGATACCTTCTTAGGCGAGAAAGAGGTATGTACTGCACTGCCAATATCTATTCGTTTCCTCGCTAACTTACTCCCCCAAGTCCTCCTCAATCGACATCGTCGCCAACGACGCCGAAATTCCCCCAGACGGCTCACAATGGAAGCCCATCTGGCGCCACGACTCCGTCCAGGGCCACGACAAGGACGTCTCCGTAAACGAAGCGCGCCTCCAAGCCCAAGCCGAGTGCGAGCCCGACGAGATGCCCCTAATCATCTTCATCGGCGATGGTGTCTCCGACCTTGCCGCTGCCCGCGAAGCAGACGTCCTTTTCGCCCGCCACGGCCTCCGTCTCGAGCAGCACTGCCAGGAGCACAATATCCCTTACATCCCCTTCACGACCTTCTCCGACATCAAGCGTGAGATCGAGAAGATCTCCAAGGAGGACCAGAAGAAGACCGGTGGAGTCGGCAAGCCTGTGCGCTACAACCCGCGCGCCAACATGTGGCGTCGTATTTCGAGCAAGGAGGCTGTGCCCACGCTGATGGCTGCTGCTACGCCTTCGAATGAGGAGAAGATGTTCCTCTGGCCGGAGACTTTCTCCGACTATAAGCCCAAAACTATCCAAGAGGACCAGGAGCCTACAGCGGCTTGATTTTAGCAATGGGCTATTTCTGACGGTGTTACCATGCATGTGGTTTAGATTTCGTTATGTTTAATCATGATCCGTGCACGATATTGGTGTTGGGTCCTTTGGTACCTCGGTCATGATTTCGCTTTGTGTCTGCGTTCAGCCCTCTTTATCCTTCTGAGCTCCGAAGCATTTTATACCATATTAGACAGTTAAGTGATGCATGTCAAAGGTTATTTAATGCTGAAGGGAGAGCCTTCAATTTGTGAAATGGTGTCTGATCGGACGTATTCTCCTAAACGTAGACCAATAAAGCTATAATTCAACCATTAATGTACTGACAAGCATCATCATAAATAGACAAATGAATTCAGGCTATAGAAAATGACGCGAAATCGATTAATAAATGCAAACATAAACACGACTGAAAGTCAGTGACTGAAAATCAGTAAATGCAGACCCATCTCAGACAACTCAATCCTTCACGGCCAGCGGCTCAACATTCCAGATACTGTCGGCATACTCGTTGATCACCCGGTCAGTCGAGAAGAACCCCATCCGAGCAACACTGGTGATCGACTTGGCCAGCCACTCCTCCTTGTTCAAGAACGCCTCGTCGACCATCTCGTGCGTGGTCACGTAGGAGTGGAAGTCATCGGACACGAGATAGTAGTCTCCATGCTCCTCGATGGAAGCCATCAAAGCGGCGAAGTCCCCGGCGTCACCGAACATGTTGTCCTTGATAGCTTTGAAGACCTTGGCCAGGGCTGGGTCGAGCTGGAAATCACCGTAGAAATGGCGATGGCGGAGATCTTCCACGTCTTCGGCCAGGTTGCCGAAGAGGAAGATGTTCTGGTCGCCAATCTCGCGAGTGATTTCGATCTGTGATTTCGAAGTTAGCTGAGTGTGTTTTTGTGGTTTTGAGGGTAGATATTTACGTTTGCTCCGTCGCATGTTCCGATGATCAAACCGCCATTCATCACGAACTTCATGTTACTCGTACCACTGCCCTCGGTACCAGCGGTGGAAATGTGTTCGCTAATATCCGAAGCCGGGCAGATGATCTCGGCCTTGCTCACGTTGTAATCCTCTATGAAGATGACCTTGAGAAGATCACCGACGTCGGTGTCGTTGTTCACCACAGCTGCCACCTTGTTGATAAGGTGGATGATGGACTTGGCCATCCAGTAGCCCGGAGCTGCTTTGCCGCCAAAGATCGAAACTCGAGGGATAACCTTCTTGCGCTCCTCGTTTGACATTCCCTTGATCTTCAGGTAGCGATGGATCACTCCGAAGATGTTGAGCTGCTGTCGCTTGTACTCGTGAATACGCTTCACCTGCACATCAAACAGAGACTCAGGGTTCACAGAGTATCCAGTTGTATCCTTGATGAGCTTCGCCAGTCGAAGCTTGTTTTTGGTCTTGATCTCCGCCCACTCGCGTCGGAACTCCTTGTCATCGACAAATGCCTCCAGTTTGTCCAGAAGAGTGAGATCAGTCAAGAACTCGTGACCTCCGAGCTTTTGCGCGATAAGGCTCGAGAGAGCCGGGTTAGCCTGGTGCAGCCAGCGACGGGGAGTGACTCCATTAGTGACATTGGTGAAGCGGTCGGGTCCGTAGATCTCGACAAAATCCTTGAAAAGAGTCGTCTTGAGAAGGTCGGAGTGTAGCTCGGCGACACCGTTCACCTTGTGAGAACCAATAATGGCCAGGTATGCCATCCGCACCATCTTGGGGTGGGATTCTTCAATAATCGAGACCCGTGCAAGCATGTCTCGGTCGTTGGGGAAGCGCTTTTCCACGGACTGCAAGAAGAACAGATTGATATCGTAGATGATCTGCAGGTGTCGGGGAAGCAGGTTCTGCATCAGTGGGACAGACCACTTCTCCAATGCCTCGGGCAGAACCGTATGGTTGGTGTACCCGAAGGTCTTGGTCACGATACCCCAGGCCTCATCCCATTCAAGGCCCTCGATATCAATGAGAATTCGTTGCATTTCCACGATGGCAAGGGTGGGGTGGGTGTCATTCAGCTGGATAGCCACTTGGTCGGGGAACTCGCTCCAAGCTCTCTTGGTCTTCTTGAAACGGCGTACGATATCGTACAGCGACGCAGCGCACCAGAAGTACTGCTGCTTCAGTCGGAGTTCCTTTCCTCGCTCCAAGTTATCGTTGGGATACAGGACCGCAGAGATGGTCTCTGCGTTCTGCTGGTCTGCGACGGCACTCTCATAGTCTCCAGCGTTGAATTTCTGGAAGTCGAACTCCCCGCTGCTTGCCTTGCTAGACCACAGGCGGAGGTTGTTGGTAGTCTTGGTGCCATAGCCAGGAATCGGCACATCGTATGCCACAGCTTGGACAATCTCTCCATCCTCCCAAGAGTGACCAATTTTGCCATTTTCATCCTGGTATTTCTTCACGGAGCCATAGAACTGGATGTCGACAGTGATTTCATGACGGGGGAATTCCCAAGGGTTGTTGTCAAGCCAGTAGTCCGGAATCTCCATCTGGTATCCATTGACAATTTCCTGCTTGAAAATACCGTAGCGGTAGCGCAGTCCGTATCCCCAGGCTGGGTAGTTCAGGGTGGCCAAGCTGTCAAGGAAACAGGCAGCCAAACGGCCGAGGCCACCGTTGCCCAGTGCCGCATCGTGTTCCTGGCTGATGACATCTTCAATGCGGAATCCAAGATCTCTGAGGCCCTCTAATCACTGTGTTAGTATTTCTTTCGTTCAATTGGTTTTGCGGTGATACTCACCACGGGCAGCATCTTTCATGCCAACATTGAGCATAGCATTGTCGAGGGCGCGGCCCATCAGGAACTCAAGGGAGAGGTCTAGAAGAATTCATTAGATACTTAGCGCAAGGCTGTTTGGTTTGTTTGGATGACATACAGTAGACCCGCTTCTGGTCGGTAAATGTCTGGCGCTGTTGAGTCTTGTTCCATTCGATGATCAGACGATCCCGAAACGCGAGCGCGGTTCCCGAGTAGGCGGCCCTGTAGAATGAAGTATGAGCAATTGGCGATGTCCGGTTGACGTTGGTAAATTGATACAATAGGGGAGGCTACTCACAGCTCATCGCAATTGTAGAGAGATCGGGCGAGCGTGGTTTCGATGTGACGGACGAGCTCTTTCTGTGTGACCATTAGCTTGGGCTCGAATACCATCAGCCAATCGAACGAACCTCGAACTCCTCCTTGTTCGTGAACTCCTTGGCAGACTATCGTAGAGATCGAATGTTAGTATGAGTTTTCGAGAGATAGCTCGTCTTCCTTCGCTGGTCTGGCATACATGTTTGCGCCATCTGTAGAGAGCTGGTTAGCTGATTTTACTCCGATCCAGGCGACGAACAAAGAGACTTACGCCTCTCGCAACGGCTCCGGGATGCTAGCTTCGACATTCTTGATCTCCGCGGGACCAAAGCCCGTGAACGTACGCTTATGCTTGGGACGACTGAAGCCAGGCCCAACAGGACCCTGGAGGTCGGCAATGGGAGCTCCGACGGAGGGTCTGCGTTCGCGGCGTTCGGTCGACATGGTGATTCAGCTTTCAAAAACAGAGCAGAGTGGAAGCTGAGCAGCTGCGAAGCTGGGGAGCAAAGAGGAGTAGAAGTAAAAGAGGGGAGGGAGCTGCAGGCGCCGGGCCAGTGACACCAGTGGCGGGAGTGCAGGAAGACTGGAAGAGCAGGCGAGTACGACACCCGACAGCCCGTCCGAGCGAACATCGCCCGATCCGGACAGACGACGATAAGTGCAGTGGTGTCATTTGAGGAGTTATTTCGTCAATACCCTGCAAATAACTGTTCCCTATCTTGAAGTACTACACCTACTACTCTACTGCTACTACTCATACTACTGCACCAGGATAGAACAGCATTCAAGTGGGGAAGCTGGAGGATCGACGCTCGAGCCAACAACGTGCATATCGTCCGTGCATCTCTCCACTCTCTCGTCTGTTCTTCTCATCAAATTGTCTGTCTTCCCTGTACGTTGCTCCCTCTGCTTCCCAGCTGCAACTCCTCCATCTCTCCGGTCGCATCAGCCCACCATGGCTGCCGTCTTCTGCACCACCGGATACGCCCACTCTCCACCCCGCAACCCCTCACTCGGCGCATAGAATCGAACTGTGTCCACGGTTAGCTGCGCTGCTGACACCTCGAGGGTCCTCTGCATCTGCGCGACTTACGCGTGAGCGAAAAATCCCCGCCGCCCCGGGGAGCTGGCAGCCAGCTATTATGCATACCCGTCAGCCACCGTTATCGTCATACTACCGCCTAGTGCCCTGGGCAGTCTCCGTGCCATCATCCCCCAAGCTAATCTGAGACATCACCGGGCCGAGAGTCACTTACTTGGAAGTCCAATTCTTCGGTGGCTCCACATCTGCCGGCTGGAGCAGGATCTCAAAGCTGCCGTCCTTTTGCTCGCCCTGCTGACCCCCATAGACGCGCTCGCCATCGGGATAGGTCAAATTGGACCGGTCGCTCAGCGCATACCGATTGAGCGGGTTCTCCACGAGAAACTGCTTCGCATTGTAGGCCGTCAAGCTCCAGAATCCAAACTCGGCGAGCTCGGGCTTGCTGGGGAACCGGAAGAGATACGCCTCCTTGGGCCCGAGATGCATCGTTCGTCCGCCCTTGTCAGAACTATACGACGGGTAGAGAGCCTCGGAGGCCGTCAACGCTAGGTACCCCCTGTACGCGATGAATTGTCGCATGAGATAGTTCTCGCCGTAGTCGCCTTGCGCTTGCGAGCTCGTTTGGACCCACTCGTGTCCGAGAGAGACTAGGTTCGCGGGCTGTTTGGCGGCCTTGGCCATGTTGGCGAGTGAAGCGGCGTAGGCCCGGGTCAGGTTCTGACCAGTGGGCGGCTCGTAGGTTCCCTCGTGGAAATTGATCCCTGCCCTCTCCAGCATGCGATTGACTCGGTTGAGATCCGAGATATTGCGTGGCGGGTTGTTGGGGGTGATGCGGGCTGTCAATTGCATGATCTTGGTGGCGGGATCCGATGAGATGGATGAGTTCAGCAGGGGAATGGTTAATGGTGCTTGACGATGGCCCTCGTGTCTTGAGCGGGAGTGCTTGGGGATTCGTCGTATGTTACTCTTATCTTGGAAAGCATGGATCTTTTCCAGATCCCCGTTGGTGCCCTTGACAGCATATCGTGGGAGCAAGATACCATATGGTGTGGGTGCGGTAACTATGCCCTCTGCACCATGGCATTCGCCTGAACTTATCTTTTTTTGCTTGACCAATTCCGTACAGAGCTCAACACCGGGCTTGCTGTCGGTCGTATATCGTACGAGATACTTCCCAGCAGTGCTGTTGTGTACACTTCCCAAATTGACATAGTTGTTGGCATACCTAAAGAAGCGAAAGTAAGTAAACCTTCGAGTTCAGTGGTAAAGATTCTCACATACGCGTCGTAGAAGGGAAAGACCCAATACCGGTCATTGACGACCGGGACATCCACCAGAAGGTCGTGGTGCGTCAAATCGAGAATGGACATGGAGTATAAGGTGTCCACATTCGGCCGCACAACATCTTGGAAATCGGACGTCGCGAGTTGTCTCTTATGCATGAACCGGTTCGTCCCATTGGCTGTTTCAATAGTCGGCACAGCAAACTGAACAAATGGCATTAAAGGGTAACCATACTGCAAGGCTCGTCGTCAGAATGGGACCTGCATTGGGAACAGTGGATATCCTTAGCTATGGACGATGCGCACAGTAAGAGTGAACTCGGTGGCTTCATCTATACGAGGCGATAACCGCAGGCTGCTGGCACTGGCCGCAACCCCAAAAGCCACGCAAATTGATGATGCCTTCATCTTGTGCTCCTGAATGTGGAGTTGTTTAGATGCAGCTTGCTATTGCTGTTGACTCTTCCCCTCGTTATATAGATGGTGCTTTCCTGGACCGAGGCACCATTCCGGGTATACAATTGATCGCTCGAATAAAACGCGCGCAATCGATGCAACATGGGCCCCTGATCGCCATCAACATTGGCCCACTTTGCCGACTCCCCTCTCCTCCAAAATTTACTCGGACTCTAAAACGCTCCGATCAATTTGCAGTAAGGGATGCGGTGCATACTCATTCGAGAAACTGCCGAGGAGCTTGTTTGCTGCCTCCTTGTGAAGGCTATTTTTCAAAAGGTTCTCCACATTTCACGATTGTTGCTATGACTTCTTTGGCTTCATTCTACTCTTACGAAAAATAATCTCAGTGTCATCGGAGCATAAATTATTAATATCAAACATGATGGTGGCTTTTTCATTCGTAGAATAAGATGCTCCATGGTGGTGGGCAATAATGATGTTCTATTATTATTATGGGAAAGCCTGAATTACCTCTTCTCGCAGAAGATTCAGAGGCCTTTATGAACCTAGACTTATACTAAACTAGATTATGTTTGAAGAGTCTTACATCCTCAATCTCCTTCGGTGCTCTGTCGGAATGAAATTCGGGATTCGCCGGAGTCCCCGCCGCAGAGATTAAACTTTGACAGATCAACTGCCGATGATTGAACTAGGAACATTACACGAGAAATCTCAACCCAAATCAGCTAGAAGAATTCAAGAGGCGCGTCAAATGTCTCAAGAGCTAATAAGATACCTGTACCTGAGCGGATCTCAGGTAAAATTAGTAATGATATCGAACCAAACCTGTGGTAGCTGCAAACCCTTCATAAAACCCTTACCAAGACCGAGACCGTCTATGCAAGCGAACAAGACAAAGAACCAAAAGAGACCAAAAAAAAATTTCGATCAACTTTCCGCTGAAGAGCCAGAGTACAAAGCAGTGTAGGAAAAGCATCATATGCATAAAGCGCTTGGAATCGCGGGTTGTAGAGAACTAGACGACAATATTCGAGCATGACCGAGGGCCATAGTAGATACCTAAGGTATGGCTGGAAGGAATCACAAAAAGAGCAAGATCCGCCATGTATGCATCCGATAAAAGGCTGAAAAGAAATAAGACACAGTTGTGAAAAAATCCGGATTCCGGATCGCATAATGTACGGATAAGGCCAATGACGATGTTCAAGGATTTTGAGGCGAGGGAATCCAGAGTAGAGCAGGAACCTCGTGAAGATCCCTGCCGACTTTTTAGGTTGAAGAGAACCCTCTCGTGTAGGGTTGAAATTGGGGCAGGGAATTCAACATTCAGAGTTGGGTCCCAGAGCCTAGTAGATTCCACTGTTGGGTTGGAGGGGGATGCTGGATACCTTCGAGATACCGCAAGGGGGGTATCACCTAACCAGCGCCTGGGGAAATTCCAAGAGAGAAAGGTGCGCCTTTTAACGCCAGCAGCTGATCCAAATATAAGAGCGAAAACAATTGAATGTCGAAATGGGTATGTTTGACCATGGGAGGGTTGGACGGGAGAGTCCTTGGGAGAAAATTGGGAATCGAAGTGGCAGTGGCAAGAATTCTAGCTATTGCGGGGAGATGTCGTGAGAGATGTGGTGGTTATGGTGCGAGAACGGGGGCGATACGATTAGAGCAATGGCCCTGCTCACAGAATTCTCGAGTCCTTCGGACCATTTTGAAGAATGGTTTTCGCAGCGGTCAAAACGGCTTGCTCACAGAATTCCCGAGTCCTTCAGAGCGTTTTGAAGAATGGTTTCCTTGACCGCTGCGAAAACAAGTCGAATATTTGAAGTGTCCGTTGCTTGGGTCAGGCTGCAAAGAGTCGATACGTTAGCATAGGCCATCCCCAATGCTGCGCAGTTAATCAAGTACGGTACTTACTGTGGATACAGGTTCAGGTGCGCTCGATTCACCTGATTAAATCGCCAAAGCAGGTACTTTGCTGCTCGAGCCACATCATTGCCGCCAGCGTAATCTGGAAAATAAGTGCTCAATGGAGAGCGAGGAAGTTTTTGCCGGAAGAGATCGACCTTGTTAAGGAAGAGAATAATGCTCGTCCGCATAAACCATCGCGAATTGACGACGGAGTCGAAGAGGACTAAACTTTCCATCATGCGGTTCTGATTCTGTTAGTCTTGTGCTGGGGGATGATCCAAGTCCAAAGGGGGATCTACCTGATTGCTCTCTTCCAACAGTGTCTGGTCGTATTCACTCAAAGCGACACAAAAAATGATAGAGGTAACGTTTTCGAAACAATGGATCCACTTCTTGCGCTCGCTGCGCTGGCCGCCCACATCGAACATGCTGCAAATTGGGTCAGCGGAATTCTAGCTTTTAAGCCGATACCACCTGCGTCTGTCAACGTACTGAATGCTCAATTGGCCCATCGTGAATCGTGTTTCGTAGATACCAGTGGTTTTTGTTCTTGCTCGGAGTACATCGGAAACATTGGGAGTGTAGTCTGTTGCCGTTATTCGCTTGGCCTCGTCGAAGAAACTGTGATAGGGGTCAGCATCTCGTCCTATCTCTCTGGAGATGGGTATCGAATTGGTATACTTACTATGGTGCCGAGTCCATTAGATAGAACTCATTCTGGCGCTCGAGAACAGTTGATGTGCACGGGTCATTCCACAGATATGTGATCGCATCCCCCACTTTGGGATCAAGTGGCGTATTGGGGTCCGGGTCGACGTGATAATCTTCCAGAAAAGATATGTAGTCTTGAACCTTCTGGCTGGAGGGCTCGAGGGAGAACAGGTGGTATGCTTCAATGAGAGCCTTGGCGCAGTCCAGAAGGTTTTTGAACACGGTCAACCGGTACAAGGCCAGCTCTTCGACGGTGTAACCATTCTGGTGGATAATTTTCATCTGCTTGACGATTGTGGATTTCCCGCTCTCGCCGGAACCTGTGGTAAATTATAAGCTGATGTTTTCCGAGGACGCGCCCAAAACGTCCCAGTTCGACTTACCAAGTAGCAGGATCTTGCATTCCCTGCGTAACCGTCTGGAGTCTTCCTCAAGCCTCCGATCGATCATCTGACTTCTCTTCTTCTGTTCCACATCCCCCGCGTTCTCGGTACTAAAACACATCCCCATGATTGCCGGGTGGGTTCATCCAACTCCCAAACCAGCAGGGAACAGGACCGGGTGCGCCGCGCGCAAAAGCGATCGGGGTTAGCCGGACGGGACGGCCACAGCCTTCACTAAGTTCCGAAGACAGCCACCCGCCACGCACGAGAGAACGAGTGTCGGCGCAACCGGAGCAGGGCAAGAGGGTCGGATGGGCGTTGCGACGAGTGGGATTTCGCAATGGTTGAGATCGAGGGTGAGGTTGAAAGGCGGGGAGGGCGAGTTTGAGAGCGCAAGATGAGCGGGAAAGGGTTGAGTGAGGTGAGGTCACGACGAAAGCCGGTCGCAAGATTGGCCGTAAGAAGGGCAGTGAGGAGGTCAGCTTTGGCGGAGCAAAGAGGATGTCGGTGCGACCATCGTCACTGGGGGAGTGGAGATGCCAGAAGAGCGGGTTACGGGGGGGGGGCAAAGAAGCGTGTACGGGCCCGGGCTGACTGGGACTGCCGGCTGGTTTTACGCCTGCGTTTGGCGGCGTACCGTACGTGAGCGACTTTTTCGCCCGCCCCAGCCAAACTTGGGTACTACAACCATACAGCCCCCGTACAGGTCATACAGTGACCTGAGGCCAAGTAATTACGAGGTGCTTTGAACTGGCAAAGTTTTCCGTCTCTTGGGGCCAAAGGTAATTTTGCGGTGTTTTCGTTTTCAACCTAACAGCTGGGGCCATGACGGCAGAACGGGCAATTTCTTCCCCCGGGTTAAAGAATGACCCTCTGTGCGATCATGGTACCTGGCCTCGTGCCCGATGCGATGCGGCTGCTCAGCGCCAGGTTACTTAATATTAAAGGTGGCAGTACCCTGCTTCGCAGCAGCAGGAACGGAGGGAGTGCTCCGACGAGCCTTTTCAGATCTCGGTGTATCTCCAAGGCCAACCAACCCACCGGAGCTGTGGTGGAGAGTCATGACGTCGGCCTCAGGCAGCGGGGTTCACGTGCCTCCCCACGTTCTGCAGAAACATAGCGTCCATCCGGGGTGCCAGGTTGCCTAATCAATGTGCTATAGTTACGAGAACAATAGCACTTGGGGATCATAATGCCATCTGGTGCGTCTGGGTTAGCTAAGCGAAACAATGTGTTAACCCATCCATTGTAGAGTGGCCAAGGTGCGGTGTAGACAACACGATCGGGATGGACAGGGATACACGATATATTTCCGAGATCTACTCCTTCCCCCTCTTCCATGTCATCCGTATACTATTACATAGTGTAGTAACCACCGATGGAGGTACTAGTTGTACGTAGTCGCCCCGACACTGTATGATCAGTGTTAGTGGTTGGGTGCACCAGTGTGTGAACCACCCTCAAACCCCTCCGGGCGCACGACATGCGGCCCCGTCCTTTCCCAGAAGGGAAATGCCTTTGTTGCTCGTCGCGTGGCTCTTTTGTTTCACATGTCTCAGTGCTGCTGCCCCGTGCGAACCCGCCTCACCGTTTGGCAGCGTTGGGATTCTTGGTTCCTAAGGTTCAATTACATATCCTGCCACCGTAACCCAGGCGTTTCCACAGTAGTCACAGCGTTGCTCCATGTCCGATCTCAATTCAATCGACGATCGATGCTGCATCTCGGACTATTCCCCTGTAAACATGCCTGCCGGCGAGGACCTCCAAGTCTAGGCCTCTCCCCCCCCCCCCCCTTGCAACGTCCGGCTCTGATATCCGACGCTGCGCGACCGGTGCAAGGCAGACCCGTCGACCTTAGGGAACAGTCGTGTAGGGATTGTTCTATCGCCAAGAAGCTCAAGTTCGCGGTTTCGCAAGGCGAATGACAGCCGCACAACGCAGCAGGTGTGCTGGGAGCGGGCTAAGCGCGGGTTATTCGCGATCTACCATCCGCCTTCCCAGTTTTTATCGTCTTCGATGGTACCTTGGGGTACCGACAAGGGTACTGGCAGCCTTAGATAAACATAGATCCCCTCTAGCTGTTTTGAGGTTATTCCTAGTAGGATCCTATATGCCACTAAATTACTACAGCGTGAGGCCGCCTTCCTGGAGGCTCCCATTCACGAACTCTCAGCCTGACAAAACTGTCGTGGTTCCCGGGCAATGGACCCGGTCTAGACAGGGCGCCGCATGGTAGGTGGAGGCCGCTCCTAGGTCGGGGCACACAACGCCGCAGTCAACACCCTTGATGGGCAGTGGGAAATGCCCGGGAGTACAGCAGTAGACATCATACGGAGGAGTACCGTCAGGTAGCGGAATAGCTCCCTAATGATAATTGAGCCGGAAACGATTGGAGTACAAAGCAGCCCTGACCCTCGCTGAGTCATCCGCGCAGATACAAGAACGATGACGTTCGCGACCGCCAGGCAGGTTTTCACCGCGCAGAGGCAGAGAGCCCTTTCCCCACACCCTTTCCAAGGCCCCTCTTCGGCGTCAACCCCCTTCATCCTTTCCAGCATTGCTTTTGCTCCGATTTGCGTCCTCCTCAAAAGTTCCTTTTTCCCGCAATCATGGCGGAATTCGTGCGGTCCCAGATCTTCGGCACCACCTTCGAGATCACCAGTCGGTATGTTGACCTCACCCCGCTCGTTTGGATCGGATCGACTAACCTGTGCTCTTTTTTCAACCAGGTACTCGGACTTGCAGCCGGTGGGCATGGGAGCCTTCGGGCTCGTCTGGTAAGCTCGTTCCTGTCAACATGGCTCACGCGCTGGCCATCCCGGCCCACAGCTAATGCCCTCTGCCTTCCGATAGCTCGGCGCGCGACCAATTGACCGGCCAGCCTGTCGCGGTCAAGAAGATTATGAAACCGTTCAGCACTCCGGTTCTGTCCAAGCGCACCTACCGTGAACTGAAGCTCCTGAAGCATCTTCGCCATGAAAACGTAGGTTTTCCTGAATACGAGCCCTTTGCGCCAGATTCCGTACTGAACGCCTTCGCAGATCATCAGCCTCAGCGATATCTTCATCTCTCCCCTGGAAGACATGTATGTCGCACGTCATATGCCCCGACAACGACACATAAACTAATTGCTATAGTTACTTCGTCACTGAGCTTCTGGGTACCGACCTCCACCGACTCCTTACTTCTCGCCCTCTCGAAAAGCAGTTCATCCAGTACTTCCTCTACCAAATTCTCGTGAGTACCCTTGAGTCCATTGGCATCTCCCGACATAAATCGAAGTATCGATTACTTGCAGATATCGTTTTACTGACCGAGTGTAGCGTGGATTGAAATATGTCCACTCCGCCGGTGTTGTCCACCGTGATTTGAAGCCCAGCAACATCCTGATCAACGAAAACTGCGACCTGAAAATCTGCGATTTTGGTCTCGCCCGTATCCAGGACCCACAGATGACCGGCTACGTCTCAACAAGATACTACCGGGCCCCCGAGATCATGCTCACGTGGCAGAAGTACGACGTTGAGGTGGACATCTGGAGTGCGGGCTGCATCTTCGCCGAGATGCTGGAGGGCAAGCCGCTCTTCCCCGGAAAGGACCATGTCAACCAATTTTCGATCATCACTGAGCTGCTGGGTACTCCGCCCGACGATGTGATCCAGACCATCTGCAGCGAAAACGTAAGTTATTGTTTTACCCCCGAATTGCTCGTTTCGAGCGACAAACCCCGATGATCTTGGTTAATTCTCTCTTGGATTTAGACCCTCCGGTTCGTCAAGTCCCTTCCGAAGCGTGAGCGCCAACCCCTGGCGAATAAATTCAAAAATGCCGATGCCGATGGTTCGTGACTTGATTTCCCGCATGCCCCACTCCTTCCGGTGCATCTTCTGACAAATCTTTCAGCCATCGATCTGCTCGAGCGCATGTTGGTATTCGACCCCAAGAAGCGAATCCGGGCCGGAGAAGCGCTGGCGCATGAATATCTGGCCCCTTATCATGACCCCACCGACGAGCCGGTCGCACAAGAGAAGTTTGACTGGTCGTTCAATGATGCCGACCTGCCCGTGGACACTTGGAAAATCATGATGTGGGTGCGGCTTATATGCACGGGTGAAATACGTTACTGACACTACTTTTCTCAACAGGTACTCGGAAATTCTCGATTTCCACAACATCGACCAAGGCAACGAGGCCGGCCAGGCTCTGGTCGCGGGTCCGGTGCAGGGCAACCCTCCCCAGGCTTACGCATGAATCCCATAAAACGACCCATAATTCTACATTTTTGCTGCACTTGTATTTTTTTTTTTTTTTTTGTTCTCTCGGGATTCTCCCCCACCCTTTTTTTGGTTTCAGTTTCCTCCCAGTGGGCTGCAGAGCCCAAATCCTACATCTTCCAAAGGCTTTTTTACTGGGAAGCTTTGCAAAGTGGGCGTGTTCGTCTTTTCCGTTGGCCTTCTGAAAGCCAATTGTCCATAGCTAGTTCGGCGTCGTTAAGAATCGGCTGGTGATCAGGGGATTTCCTTTTTCTTGTTATTTGCAATCATATCTGGGGCTGAGCATTTCCCAAGATTCCGCGCGGGCGTACCTGTTAGTATGTGTACCTAGACCGGAAATAGAAAGGCGGCTATGACGATCAACCGCGGGGCCCTCAATGTAAGCACACCGCCCGCAATCAACACGTGAGCGATCGCATATCGAAATCCCCTGCAAGTCAAACGGCTCCAGTCTTCTTGCGCTCATGTTTCATGGCGACAATTCGGCCTGGCTGTGGAGAACCCCCGAACCCTTGCATCCGCCTTCTTGTAATCCTTTCCCGCTTTTCCCCGCAACTCCCATGGCTGTCCAACATAAACAAGACCCGATTGTGCTGGTGATCGATTTCCACCATGCGCGGTGAGTCGTCCAACCATAGCGAGCGCCACACCCATTTGACCAGTGTCCTGGACTGGTCGGGAGTGCGCCGATCGGTGACTGTAGCTAATGTGACCTGCAGGGGCCCGGAAATCGAACACTGTATTGCCGACGAGGGCACGAACCCAGCTATCGAGAATGACTGGTCACTATTACCATTCATGGCCCTATCTGACGGCGCACACCTGTATGGAACACCCCTTAGCTCAGCAATGCTCTCTGCAGCAGGAGTGATGGCTCTCTACTCTGTGGAGACTGTCCCATACTGCTGGTCCGGACTTGGGAGATCAGTGGACTGATATGCTGGAATTCTTTTGGTTCTAGTTCAACCGAGGAGTTCTCCTATTTCACACTACGCCGCAAGGAAATGTCAGAGATCCCCGAAACTTCACTCTTCGGTATCGCCTGTTCGCGCCAGATCGATTCCAAGCTCCTCCTGAACCGGCCGCCGGATGTGACTCGATCTACAGTGCAAAAGGCGGTTGTCGTGGTCACAGATAGTCCGCAGCGGGTTGGGCAGTTGCGCGAGAAGCTTTCCGTTGTCACATCTGCTTGGTTTGCCCAGCGGTAAGTTGGACATATTTACTGCGGACCTAGGAGTCTCTTTTCCCCGCAGGAGAGCTGATATTTTCGAAACGGACCGAGGCAATGAGCTAACTGTGAGATTAATAAATAGTGACTTCTCGGATATTGATATTCTGAAGGTGAGCGGATCTATACACCAAGGCTGGGATTGAGCAGCAGACTTATCGATACTATAGAAATTTCGCGAGGGCCTGGTCATTAGTTTGATGAATGATGAGGCAAAAGACCAGAACTTAGGTCAGTATCTGTGTCACTCCGTTGCAGCATTTATACTGACTCCTGGGATAGGTCTTTCTCTGAGAGAGATGATTCATGAATTCAAATACCAGACATTGGTTCTCTTCAAGGCATTGCTATTGCAGCCGAAGGTAAAGTCAACACTGGATTTGCTCTGATCAGTGTATTCTGACAATCATATCAAGATGCTCTTCTTTGGTACCCGTTGCGAGCGATTATGCATGCTCCAGTTTTCTCTCATTTCCTTGATACCCGGACTCATCAATAACCTGGAAGACTGCGCGGATCCTTCATTCGATAGCTATGCGCAAAGCGTTGAGAAGCCGACATCCCTGAAGACTAGTGATCGCAGCTCTTGTAAGATCGAACCCAGATGACTTATTTCTGGACTTTGTACTGACGCTCCGTAGTGCTGGCCTACATGGGTTTGCCATTGCAGATTTTTGGAAAGGTGTGTTTTGTCCCTGGACCGAATGTATGCATCCGGGGTCTAATCAAATATTTAGGGAAGCATGTTTGGGCCCTATACTCCTCTCCAACAGCTGGACCTGTTGGCTGATGACGGTACCAAATCATATGTTGTGGGATCTACAAATTCATTGCTTCTGCAGCAAAAAGATCGCTACAGTGATATTCTCATTAACGTGGGTAACCCGGTTTTCTCTTATTCCGACGAAGAATCTAACACAGATAATGATCTAGCTTGATGAAGATAGTATCAGTATCTCGTCTCTGAATCTACGCAACGCTTTAACCCTCTCCACAGCTGACAGACGTTGGATCGATCTTCTTACACAAATTGTCAACGATACATGGGATGATGCTCACCCTTCACGCCCAAAAACCCTCGGATTCATGGGGTCTGAGGAATTTATCCGTCTGCAATTCGAAGAGTATCTGTTGGCACTACTCTCGAGCATGAAATATCACGAGGAGCTTACTCAGTGTTCCTCTGGTGAATCGCCCCACCGAAGCAGAGCCCAGTTGCAAAACTTCAACATCGAAGGTGACCCTGCTCTTGATTTCAATGCAGAGTTTTTGGCTCAGTGGCAGAAAACCTCCAACTATGCGCTCTTCTCCCGTCTCACTTCGGATGCACTCTTGTTCTCCATCACTGAACCTCGACACCCTAGTGCTGGTGGATTGACCGTAGAAGACATTCAACGTCGTCTATCCCAGCAGGTAGCTGATCTCCACCTCGATGAACGCGTCCGTGAGGGCCGGGAAGCCCTCGGTCGACACTTTGCGACGGGCCAAAAGAAGGTCAGCGCGGCATACAACAGGTTCTGGTCCGACATTGAGACCATGCGCGAGGCCCAGAAGAAACGCAACGAAGAAAAGGCAACACAATCACAGCGCGCCTCAATCGACACTCCAGCTTCTCCATCGCAAGGCTCCATCGATGACTCTACTTCCGAAACATCCGGATCCTGGTTTGGAGGTCGCCCAAGGGGCTCAATTGACGTTTCTCAAGCGCAAGCTTCCGTGGGCCAAGCAGGCCAAAAAGCGAGCGCATACTTCAGCTCATGGGGCTCCTGGGCCAGCGAGAAACGGCGCGAGTGGCAGGAGAAGCGCACCTCCTCCCCGAGTCCAAATCCAGCCGTGACAGCGTCCCCATCGACGCCATCTCTCCCCGTCGTCGCCGAAACTGTCGAGTCTGACCGTGGCCGCCGTCGTTCCATGCAGCGACATAGTGAAGATGCTGAGGGCCTGTCGCGCAGTTTAAGCCGTAGAAAGCGATGGAGTAATATCCTCCTGCGTCGCGATAGCGGTGAATTCAAGCGTGATGATACCTCTGATGTCCCCTATCCAAAGTCTCCACTTTCCCAGGGATTCCCAGCCCACGAGCCTGAAACTGAGTTCAAACATTCGGAAACCGACGAAGAGATCCCTGAGACTCAACCTGCCGATGCAGACGGTTTTACTAGTGTCTCGCTCACTCCTAGGGAAGGACTTTGCGTGGACTTGAACCCGGGTGAAAACACGAATCATGATAGTGAGGCGAAAACAATCGACACGCAGCCGGATGACTCGGTAACGGCGCTGCCTACCAAGGATGAAACGCCTTCCGAGGCCACCAAAGATGTTAGCAAATAAGGAAGACCACCTTTTCGCCGAGATTGACGTCTTTATCCTTCTGGTCCCCTTTACTTTCATTTGTCTTGTATTTTAGGTCCTTGGCATTGTAGCGCGGCATACCCATTTTGGAACATATTCTTCAATTGTTTCCTCTTTTCACTTAATGATGGTTATTTTGCGGAGATCGCACCTGTGCATATAATAAACTCAAGGTGGTCCCTGAGTGGATTCGGTATATTTCTGCATCGTGGTTCAGGAAATCTCGCACCTCAGCGACCACATATAGGTACTTAGAACACGGAAATAGACGTTGAATGCATACTTCCCAGATAGTATTACGAGAAGATTCGCGGCACCAGGATAGCACTGCATTAAAAAAAAAAAGGATCTAAAGATAATCTACTACACCAGTCTTAACATCATAAGGCGACGAAGAAAGACGTTGGGAAGACTTGGTAGGACAGGACACATACATATGTCAACTTCCGTATAGTATCCGACCAATTGGAGATATCAATGACTCTGTATTTCCATTACCCCTATTCACGCTTTTTATGGTCCAATTTAGTTACATAAGCAATGCCGTCGGATCATCCATAGACCCGGTTCCATGCAGTATTCGTAAGGTAATGCCGACAACATACCTAAAGTGTCATGATTGAATGGCCTGAGTTACACTACAATAACAGTGCATGGCTCTCGCAGTCAGTTCTATACTGGAAGATGCGGCCAGGGTGGTGAAAACAATCCGGATTATCATTGGTCTGTCGTCTCTGCGCTATGATGAAAAATGGAAAAGATTAAACACAACATGGATCGTTCTTGTACTCCGCGCTTGTAGTATTCCCGCAAAGCTAAAAAATTCCCGATTCCCTGACCAAGTCGATTCATCCTTGACCTAGTTCCGTTGAAACTGTGAGGGTAGGAAGAAATACGCAATGAGGGCGATACATACCAGAGACGAACCCAGGGCAACACCGGAAGAACGAAAAGTAAAGCGAATCCACAAAAGTGGGGGTTTGGTGATGTGATGAGATAGGGGGAAGAAAGAGCAAGGATTTGATGAATAGTGGAGCTTTTTAGGCAATGTAAGAAATCTCATCCCCATCAAGACGTTCGATGTAATCCTTCTCCATCAAAGCTTCGATGTTCTTCTTGATATCGGGAATCTTGGGCGGGAAGCGCGACTTTACTTGGTGAATTACTTCTTGAACAAGCTGAACGTGCTTCATCTTCTTCCGGGACTTCATGATGCGGACGATAGCGGACTAAAAGAGGGGGAAAGTGTCAAATGGTTAGATTCGAAAAGGTATGTTGACTGGTTAGAAGGGACTCACCTGCAAGAGAAGCTTTCGGTCTTCCTCGATAGTCTTGTGGGTATCGTCCGTTTCAACCTTTTGCTCCGACTTGATTCCGACATTGAGGTTGACTTTGATTTTCTTGTTTTTGAAGTTGTAGTTGAGGCTGAATGTGGTGCCAGGTCCGGGCTTGGCGCCATCCGGGCTGGGAAGGAGCACCTTCGCCTTCAGGAGGATGCCGAGGTTGGCGTCGAGAACTTCAGGACTGAGAGCAGTTGCTTTCTGGATATCCGGGTAAGACACGGTGTCGGTCTCATTGAACAGCAGCAAGATGCCCATCTGATATGTGGAGACCTGGAATGTGTAAGGGAACTTCGTGTTCTTGATGTAGTTCGCCTTGACTTCTCCCTTGCATAGCTGCCACAGCCATGTCAGCTTGCGACCATTATGCTTCCCGAAGTAATATTGCTGGAATCGCTCGCAGGTTTTGTTGATCTCCATGGGGGCGTTGAAGGGCGAGCTTGGAGGTTGGAGAGGCCAAAAGCCGGTTCCCAGAATCTGAAAGTGCGAATCAACCATCCGTTTCCGCTCCTCGTCATCGTAGGTCTTCTCTTGATGATCCTTGTAGCCAGAGTTAAGATCCTTAGAGAGCTGGATATCTTGGAACATGCGCTGCAACTTGTTTGTATATTCGAAACCACATGCTTCCTTGAGCTTGCTGATCATACTGGTCTCCGCATCGTCAGATACCGAGCTGACGTGGACCAGGCGTTTTGCCAGCATCTTGGAATAGAACTTTTGAAAAACATCCTTGTCCTCGATGTACTTGAAAACGGTCATGATCTGCACCAGCATCTCTTCAAGCTCAGACTCCTCGGCAGCCTTAGACCCCTTCTTCAACAAGCCATCGGTATACTTGGCGAGAAGCTCGGGGGAGCGAGTGGTGGACGTCAAGCAGAAGCAATTCCGGTTGACGAACTCTCGGCAAGCATTATCGAGAGAACGCACGAACTCAGACTCACCCTTGAAAGCCTCGTCGACTAAGTTCTGATACCGGGAATGAACCTGAAGCAGCGCATCCACGTAGAGCTTAGGCTCGAAGTTATCACTTTCGGAACGGACCTTCTCAACTGCAGCCAAGCCAGCTCGTCTCACGTGGTTTTCAAATGTGGAGCGCAGAGGATCCAGGCCGTCTTGAATGCAGGATAGAAGGCGGTACATCCGAGCGAGGTCGTCCTGGCGTTCGTTATCCAGGAGAACCTGGAATTCATCACGGAGCACACCGGAGTGGGCAGTGACGAGGACCTCCAGGCAGGTATCTGTAAGGCTTTTGGTAACATCAGGGTGCAAGTAAAGGCCCACACGATCCTTCTCCTCTGCAAGTCGAGCCTCCGCTTTCTTCATGTATTCCACGACACTATTTTCCGCCACAAACTGACGGGACTCGTTCTCGTAGTAGGATTTCGTGGCGGCAATGAATGGTTTCTGGAAGTAGTGTCGGTAGACCTCGAGGGTAGACTTCTTGCTGTCGTTTTCGTCCAGACCCAAAGACACAAAGGAATCGACGATGTTCTTGATTTGTGACTGCTCGATAGTCTCACCATTACGCTGCTTCTCAATCAGGTTCAGAACGGCATCCATCACCTTCTCGTGCACATGCTCGAAGAAATCGTCTTTCCACTTGACCAGGTGCAAAGTGTAGACATCGTAAACATTCTTTTTTCCCTCGTCGATCTCACGCTTGACCCAGTGGCGGTTGAGGTAGCTGAACAAGTGGTTGACGTATTTGGCTCCAGTGGTGTAGCGGGACCATTCGCGGATGTAGAAGGCCAGGAGTGCTTCTTCAGTGTGGCTCTGGGATTCCTCGCGTACCGAGGCAAGATGGCGCGAGAGATAGTGTCCCAATAGCCTGTAGAGTTCCTCGCCCAGTAAGTGCGCTAGAAGTTTACTATCAATTAGCATGGCATCCAGGGCCAACCGCTCAGTATGATGGAACAACGAACCTCCACGGTGAGCCTGCAGGCCTTGGCTGCTGGAGACTGCTTTCTGAGAGGTACAGAAATTGTGGACGGCCCTGTAGATAGACTGTTAGTCGGGTGTCACGAAATGGCGGTGGCAGGCATACGTGTAGAGAGCCATGTACTGAAGAGTGATCCGAGCGTTAGCCTTGGTTCAATAGAATGATTGGAATTTCCCCGTGCATGCAGGGCCACTTACAGTCTTCATGTCCACTCCTTCCTCCAGCTTCGTCATAACGCTATCGATTCCGGTCTCCAAGAACGACCACCTAAAAGGAAGTCAGCCCTGGTCTAATTTCTACTGGGTATGTTTGATCCATCTCTAACTCACGTTTCGTCGAGGTCGTCCTTGTGAGGCGTTTGTGGCATTGGCGCCATGGTGTCAAGAGAGATGTTGGATGGTCGTGCAGGGGGAGCGAGTTGGATCCTAGTGGATAGAGATCAATGGTCAGCTCGAGACATGTGATATCGGAGGGGATATTGTGTTCCGTACGCGGAAAAAGAGGCCAAGCGCTTGCAGGAGAGTGAAGCACTTCAAGCCGGAGATGGGTGTATTGTCACGAGTCACGTCGCGAGTGGTCACTGCCAAGGTTGGCAGCCCTCTTGTCTTTGCACAGGTGACGTTAGATCGTTAGAATTGCAGTATCAGAAAAAAGAAAGGAAGCCGCCCTGGAAACAGCGAAAGAAGATGAGCGATCAGGCAGAAGAGCGTGGCGGCAAGATGAGGCTGAGTGGATGGCGGACGTGGGGATGGCCATTCGGAGAAGGCGGTAAGCGACGGTCTGGATGGGCGGTCAGAGGAGCTTGCCTAGCTCGTCGTTCTCGCCGCGCTTTGCTCTGGGTTTTGGCCAAGAGAAATGTATTGTTCCTACTCAGATGATATTCTTCCCAGGCACATGGTCTAATTGCTTCATGTCACTACAGGCTACTAGGATTTCCATGAGCATCGTCCAAATACATACCTCCACACCTATCAAAGGGGATCCCCGCACCCTTGTTCTCTGGTTTGTTCTTAAGTCTCGGGATCAAATACTTTCATTTTCCAAACGTACCCTATATGTGATATATATACAGAGAAGGAGATATCTTGATTGTTCAGAATAAAAAGGTCAGCAACATTCTAGAGCATTGCAGATAGTATAAAGCAGCCTGAGGCATCACGACCCCAAACGCGGGATTCTGAATCAGCAGACCATAAATGACGTCACTCTGTCTTGTGAACAAAACCACGCTTCCGATTCCAGACCAATACCGCCAAATGATTAGATTGTCACTATGACCTTCAATCTACTCTCGGAAGTTCAAGTAACTCGGCGCCAGATCCCCTCGTGGAAGCTCATCCCCAACACGGGAATTCAAGGATACCCGCTCATCATATACCATGGCGCTTTCGACGCCACATCCGCCGAACTAGAAGATCATCTGGAAGCGGTAGGGGAAGTCATGCCCCAATGGACATACACCATGTACAGCCAAACCCATTTCCACTCTACCACCCACGAGGTGCTGGGCGTTGTGGCGGGTCGCGCGCGGCTTTGCTTTGGAGGCGAGGAAAACCCGCAACGGTTCGAGCCGACAGTTGAAAGCGGGGATTTGATCATAGTCCCTGCTGGTGTCGGCCACCGATTGTTGGAGGACGAGGGCAAGCAACCTTTCAGGATGGTTGGCTCATATCCACATGACAGACAATGGGATATGTGCTATGGTCGACCGGGTGAAGAAGAGAGAGTTAAGCGCATCCAGAACTTGCCATGGTTTCATCGCGATCCTTTGTATGGGGACAGTGGTTTGGATCTGTTTGCATAGCCCACTGAAAAGGACTGAGCGATGCGCCTTCAAAGAACACTTGCAATTAATAAAACAAAGTCTAATGGGAATCATATGCCGTATCCTAGGGTAACAGTCATACGTGTAATGTAAAATTCAGTGCCTCACTCTCTCAACAAGCCTAAGGTAAGGTTAGTCAGTATCGGGTGAGAATAGCAATCATTGGGGTAAATGGGGAATTTACCGGAGAACACTGATGCAGAATGTCATCAACCAGGCAAGCAATGCTATCAATAGAACCGATGCCAGGGCTTTTTGCCGGACACAGATCCTGTCATTGCGAGGATCCAGCTCCTGGTTGATTTCTGCTTCCCGACACGACCCCGTCACCTCCGATAGAGAGGCGAATGCCAGGCTGAGATTCGCGGAGTCGAAAACAATAAAGACCAAATCGAGCAGAATAAGCCGGGCTTTGGCGGAAGGCGAGCGCAGTCCTAGTGGCTTAGAGGTATATTCGTCAAATGTTATATAGACGAGATATACCAGGGCCACGGCGTCGACAATGATGGCCATCAGCGCTGACGGCCCTTGCGGGTGATGTCCTTCATCCGAGAGATGCTGAATGGATCCGCCCAAGGCCAGGGCGGAGAGTGAGAAACACCATACAGTCAGACGTAGAATAAGAGGCACAATTGGGCTCTTGAGGAGAGTATTATGGAAGCGCTTGAACCAGATCTCCCGGCGATTTTTGGTGTGCAACGGATACTCTGGGCTGTCCCCCTCAAGGTCTTTTCCCCGCCATGGTTCCATATAGCTGCCATGGTTCTCAAGCATCCATTCCGGAGTCACCTCTTGGATCTCTCTGCCATATTCTCGGGGGTACTGGATGGTTCGCGTGAAGGATTTCCAGCGTGATTCGCGTTCGGCGGACGGGGAGCGATCTTCGTCGAGGAAGAGCTGTTCTTGCGAGGGGGTATATTGATGCCTGGCTGTTGCATGAGGGGAGTGGTTATGCTGAGCGACAAAGACATCGTTCGGCTGAGAAGGCAGGAGACGGTCGGCTGCTGTAGCGTCTTGTCCTCCGTCGTCGGGCGTTTCGACCGAGCGGATCCAAGCTTTGACAGGGTATCATTAGTATTGTTGTGGGATTGAAGGATGCTGGGATCAATAAGGCGGCTGACATACCAGGCAAGGTCCTTAACGTAAAATGCTGAGTTCGCATGGTCCCCTCTATCTGCCCATCTGGGTTTCGTGAAGTGGTGGCTGGTGACTCGTAAGCGCCATTGCGCAGAGCTGAGGCATGAGTATCGATGCTCAGGAAGCTTGAAGATGTGGGCGCAGTCGGGGACGCGAGACCCGAGGGAACCTTTTCAGATAGCTTTTCGTTGATGACTCGCCCTGGAGCGTCGGGCTTGGAGCTCTGCGTATCCATGGCAGGCTGTGTAGAGAGGGACTCGGAGAGGGCGGAAGGCGTCAATTCACAGTCTGCATATCCGAGCCTACTGATTGCAGGTGGACCCAAGACAACTTTCCAATTCAGGGCCAGTATAATCCAAAACTGGGGCTGGGTGGGAGCTTTGCGGTGCAAGGATGGAGACGCTGGTTTATCTCCGAGGCCAAAACGAGTTCACGGGCGCGGAATGACGTCTCCCCTGCTTACCTTTCTCCCCGTGTGCCGTCGGTTGGCTTTCCTCCTCGATCACCCTTCAAGGCCCTTTGGCGCGCACATAAGGGCATGAGCTGAGTGATATCTCGTCAATTCCCGGTCTTGTCTCGTCTCCTGCAATAATTGCTTTTCGACTGCGAATTCCGACCCCCCTCACACGCGGCAATGCGCCTCTTTTTGATCCCCATCTCGACTCGGCGGGCGTTGATTTATGCGAGACCGCTACGAAGAGACATCCCCAAGGAGCTGTCGCTGTTCGATCGGGTGACTACCAAAGCAGCCCAGACCTGGGCCGAGTGGGAAGAAGCAGAGAACGGCTGGAAGAAACACCTGGTGACTTGGGGTAATAAGGTCCAGCAACGGATTCCGTTTGAAGAATGGGGGCTCAAGAGCATCCCGTCGCTCACTTCTCAGCGGCGGATAAATGAGGAGCATGGAAGCAAAAAGATTGAGCTCCTCTATCCCGGTAACTCGGTGCACTTGGACAAGATACCTGCGATCCTGCATACCATCGCGACGGAAAGACAGGAGTTTCATCGGAAGAAGATGTTGTGGAGCTTCGGCATCGCACCTATCACAGCGCCCTTGGGATTGATCCCAGTGTGAGTGTTTACAACATGATTATCTTTTGGAGGAGCGCAGAACGTTAATTGGCTTGGGGTGCACAGAATCCCTAATATTCCTTTCTTCTACCTGGCCTACAGAGGATGGTCCCACTGGCGCGGTTGGTTGAAACTTTTTTTGACTCGATTCCAAGGCGGAAAGGCTAACAATACCACCTTATAGCGCTGAATGGCTCGCGTCATTTGGAATTTCTCGTTGACAAGAAGCTTCTCAATCCCATCTCTCTTCCAGCATTGGAGCGGCTGTACGCCAAACGGGCAGCACATGCGCTCGATGACACGCCGGCTGATACACCAGGTAATGAAATGGCTGAAGACATGGAGCAAAGCGACGACCGCGTGCTTCTGAAGATGTCTGACGCGAAGAAGCTGGCATCTATATTGGAAGCACCGGAGTTGGCGCTGGAAGCTGAACGGGCCATTGTCCAAGTAAGCGAACAGCTGGAAGCCAAAAAGAAAAAGAATCAAGATTACAACTCATCAAATGAGAAGAAGAACTCATGAGTTGATTCTTGATGGTAGAAATGGCGTTTGTGTTGTTGTGTTTGACAGGCTGAAGCCACCTGATAGAAACTCTCATCTTCGTACAAATGTTTTAATACTCATGTATCATAAATGAATTATGCAGAGCAAGTTCTCTAAATACACTAGGACCCTTACCCCAAATGATCTTCCTGTTCTGAACTCAACTCATGTCTACTGCCCAAGAAGCTTGCCTGAAGTTGAGTTTTCTGATGGATGGGTTGGTAGTAAGGGAGGGGCTCCGGCGGAATTAATCGCCTGTATTAACGAAAAGAGACTTTGGAATAGTGCCATGATAAAAATGGTAGACTTGGAATCTCGCGAGCTTTCTCTAGCTGAGGAGCGCTTTCTATTGGTGTTGTCCGGCAATGAAATCCGCCGGTCTTTCGGCCACCGTGTAGATACAAACCTGCAAATGTGCCGATATAGTAGTCGGAAGCACACTCGCATCGACTACTCGTAGGCCTTTAATGCCATAAGCTCGCAATTCGGTGTCCACAACCTTTCCCATGGCACAGCGGCCGCCTGGGTGGAAGAAGGTAATCCCCATGCGCCGAACACGGGCATCCAACTCCTCGTCAGTGGAATCAATACGAATTGAAATCCTTCAGGTGGAACCTCACAATCCAGGATATCCTTCAGGGCCTCCGTCTCGGTATAGACGCGGAGGGCTGTTTTCATACCAGCTCGCGTCACCACCCGATCTATCTCAGTGGCGTAGTAGTTTGGATCAACAACAGGGGAATCCAGTGGGTTCTCTGAAGCCAGAGACTCTTCCTCGTGAGGTCGGGAGCATGCCAAAAACCATTGACGTAAGATGCGCTCCGTCCATAGGAACGTCCATTCCGGCAACGGCTGCACCGGCCGGGAGGTAAAGGCATTTTGCGGGTCTAGAAGATATTTGCTGGATTCGTCTGCACCATCAATGGCCCTTCGGATTGTTGCAGAATCTAGACCATCCAATATCATCCAGTCGATAGGGAGGCCTAGTCCCATGGCTGGATTGCTGAGCAGCGTGCTCATAAGCAATCCATGCTCACGGCTCTTCAGTTTCCAGACCACAGGCACGGCGAGATGATCATGGAAATTGCGACCGACTTCTGGAGAATCAACCAGCTGCACAATGCTGTGTTTCTGTAGCTCACTAGCTGGTCCGATACCGGACAGAAGGAAGATTTGTGGACTGTGATAGACACCGCAGGAGAGAATAACTTCTTTCTCGGCGAACACCCGCCGGCCATCTTCTAGCTCAGCGCCATTCGGCGTCTTCAGAAACAATAATTCTGGTGACGCGAGCTTTTGTCGCAATATCAACACCCTTGATGTTATAGATTCGGTGGGTAAACTGCCTGCGTCCTTGGTTGTAGTTTTCAACCCGCTCAGAGAGGCCGAGGGGATTGCCGCTGTGGGAATCAGGATTGTAAGGAATGCCAATGCTTTCCCAAGCGGCTCGCATTGGTTCCCGCAGCGGATATTTACGATCAGGATGGCTTTCTGAAACCGAAGCCGTATGGATCACACCTGTGCCACTTTCGCGCGATGAAGCTTTGCGCCTCGTCTAGGTTCGCGCTTCGAGACTCCGTCTTAAGGAAGTAGGGAAGGAGCAGATTGTAGCTCCATCGATCATCCCCAACGATGGCTGCCCATCGGTCATAGTCCACTTTTGCACCTCTTGTCCAAGAGCCATAGTTGATCGGCGGACCGCCACTGAGAGCTTTCCCCCGGGGCCTGGTAGCGAGGGCATCCGTCGAGATTTGTTTGCGGGACGGTCCTTAAGTCCCAATCAAGCTCGGAATGGTGAAGCCGGACTCCAGCCAAAGGTTTGCCAGTAAGTGGATGGTTGATTTGATCTTCGCCGGCTTCGATCAGTAGGATCGACGCCGAAGGGAGTTTCTGCTTCAGGCGGGATGCAATAGTGCACCCAGCCAGACCACCACCGGCGATGACGTAGTCGTACGATGAGGGGTCCATAGCCGAGTTCATTCAAATGCTAGAATTATCAGAATTGTTGGTCTCGTCCAAGAATAAAGGAAACTCCTGATAGTTTATAGGTAGACTTGGGTCTTTTCGCCCCGTTTTGTTTGGTCTTCCCAAAGCTTGGAACATCCGCGGCCTTGTCGGAGACAACTAATAAAATAAGTCAGAAAGTGCCAAAAATGAGTCGTAATGAGTCGTCTATGGTGAGATTCGAACCGTTAATGCATGTATTTTCGGTCATTGGCACCCGGAGTTGGTCGTAAGCCCCAGAGTGTCCCACGCAAGGCTATCCATTGCCGCGGATTACCAGCTCGTATACTCTAATGATAAGTCAGATCAAAACTGAGACGAGTGATTTGTGTGCATTCTGACGGGAAATGCGACGGTACCCTATAGGTGCCCTGGACCTGGGGTGGGATTAATTGTGTTGTTGCGGGTGCCGCGGAGTAAACAACGATGACCTCTGGGTCTTCCAAAGGCGAAGGCGGACAGCGGGTCTCAGTCCCCCCAACTCCGTCGGATGCTCCCTGTCGCTCCACCTCCCTCTCATCAACAGTCACCATGTCGTCCAAGAAGATCGAGCAGTGGGAGATCGAGCGGTATTGGGAGATTTTTGCGTCGCTCGCGAATGGCCAGCCCCGCTTGAATAGCTCTCAGGCTGCCTCCGTGCTGCGCAACAGTCGGCTGCGCGATGACCAGCTCGAGAAGGTCTGGGACATTGCCGATGTCGACGGCGATGGAGAGCTCGATTTCGAGGAGTTCTGCGTCGCAATGCGCCTGGTATTCGACCTGGTCAATGGCGTGTGTATCCCACCTCACCATCCCCCGCCCCACGGAGCACCTCGTACTGACGCGACGGGACGCTTGGGAAACAGGAACTACAAGAAGTCCCCCACGCACTGCCCGACTGGCTTGTTCCAGAATCCAAATCACACCTTGTTCATGCCACACGGGCACTAAGCGGTCGCCCTGAGCAATTCGAGCGGATAGATGACGAAGATGATTCCCTGGGTCTCAAGGATGGCTTTGAGTGGTACATGAAGCCGGCCGACAAGGCCAAGTATGAGGAGATCTACAGTGCCAACCGCAACCCCCGCGGCCAGACTACCTGTAAGTACTCGAGGTAGCAGCTGCGAGGCCGTGATCTTGCTGACAGCGGTATATAGTTGAATCCCTACAACCTCTCTACGACTCCCTGGACGTCCCCGACACCGATGTCCGCTCCGCATGGAACCTCGTCAACCCCTCCGTCGCACCCGCAATCAACAAAGATGCCACTCTCGCCTTCCTGCACATCCTTAACTACCGACACGAGGGATACCGCATCCCACGTGCCATTCCTGCATCCCTGCGAGCCTCCTTCGAGAGCAATCAAATCGACTATCAAATTGACAATGCACCAGCCCAGCGTTGGGGTACCGAAGGAAATGTCGAAACAAGGAGCGGGCGCAAGGCCAAGTTCGGAGATAGCTATCTCAGCCGATTGGGCGTTGGTGGCAAAGGCTCATACCAGCCCAAGGGCACAGACTTCAGCGAAACCGTCCAAGACGAGGAGTGGGAGAAGGTCCGCTTGCGCCGAGAGCTGGCAGAGATCGAGGCCAAATTAAGCTCCGCCAACCAGGCTTCCGATAACCGACGCGATCAGCCCCGCAACGATGGCCGGCCCAACTGGGTTCTGATTAAGAAAGAAGCACTTCAGCTGTTGGAATATAAGGAGCGCGAGCTTCGGGAGCTGCGGGAAGGTGTTGGTCGGTCGAAAGATGGACAGGACCTGGAGCGTTTGAGGGAAGATGTCAAGACCGTTGGAGATCAGGTTGAAGGACTAAAGGCTCATTTGGCTCAGCGCAAGGAGACTCTTGCCGACCTGCGCCAGCAGATCGAAGAGGAGAGGTCTCGCCGATAAGCGGTCGCCTGATGCCCTTGAATCGGCGTTTCTCCCCCTTTTCCTTTCCCTGGATCATGTTGATTGCATCTTTGCTCTCTTTTCTATGTATAGCCATATTCCTGGTAGGAGCTGCAGGCGCTCAAATGGATTTTATTTATGTATGGTCAAGAAGTCTGTAAACACCTCTATTGTACAGAACGATGTAGGACGCCACCAGCTAAAGCGGACATTCGAAATCCAGCAAAAAAGCAGAAAAATGTGACGAGAAGACGGTCACCACCCGTAATAGCACAAAATTTCATATCCAGTGCACTCAACGCCATGTAGAGGAAGTCAACAATCATTGACTCGTGCGGGGAAACGCCCCTTCCCAGAGAGGCCCCCCAAAGAATTATGTAGTCTACGCCATGAGGGTCTCACCACCGTCGCGCTTGGTCTCCACGGCCACAAATGCGTGCCCGGTTTTATCCAAGCCCTTCTCGGCCCGCAAATAGGCCTCCTCGCTACGATCAGTCAAGACCGCAAGTTCATCGTCTGAGAGAATTGATTGGTCATTCAGCTCGAAACGCTCAAATTCATCCTCCCCGAGAGCCTGGCGCAGGTCTTCGAGCTCATGCGCGTTGGCACTGGTGTCAAGCAGAGAACGGAATTTCCCCTTTTGAATGACGAGACGTTCAAGACGGCGCTTGGAGTCTGCTTTTTCAAGCAGAGTTTGTTCGACAGTGCCCTTGGTTGCAATTCGGTACACGATCACAGGTTTCTTTTGACCGATACGGTGAGCACGGTCCTGGGCTTGGAGATCTTGTTGAGGGTTCCAGTCCGAATCGAACAGAATCACTGTGTCTGCGGCTGTAAGGTTGATACCCTGTCCGCCGGCACGAGTGCTGAGAAGAAAGATCTTATGAGACTTGGTGGTATTGAATGCCTTGATTTGCTCCTGCCGATCGGCCTGGCTCATGGCTCCGTCGATCCGACAGCAGGGCCAGGATCGCAGATGCGTGGCCCATTCTTCGATGATACTCAACTGAGTCTTAAATTGAGAGAAGATCAGGACTTTATGTCCCTTCTTCAAGAGAGTGGGAACTAGGCGGTCCAGAAGAAGCATCTTTCCAGAAGCCGATACAAGCGACTCGTCTACCTCCGAGGACTCATCAGTCCACGGCCAGTAGAAGTTGTGCGGAGAATTGCAAGCTAACCGAGCCTGCAAGACAGGGTTTTGCATCTTTTTCTGCGAGATTTCCTTCTCTGTGAAACAGGTTAGCATACGTTTTGGGGAACAGAGGTGGATCTGAACGCACTCGCAAGTTTCATTGTCTCGACTCTTGCATTCTCCTCAAGTTCCGTATCGCTTGGCTCATTTTCCTCTTCTTCAATCTCGATTCCCTGATCCAGCAGGCGCAGTCTTTTGTCGAATTCCCTGTCACCCATCTCCTTGTAGCTTTGTGGGCCTCGACGTCGGCGACTAGAGCTGATAGTGTTGGTGCTGGCACTGATGCCACTACTAGGAGTGGCAGATTCGCTAGAGCGCATGCTCTTGTTAGGAGTATCGGGCTCGCTGCTCTCACGCCGTCGCTTTCGGCTCGAAGATCGAGAAAGCGTTGGGTTCTTTGCAGTCAAGCGCTCCAGGGCCTTTGTTTCAAGGTACTGTCGACCAGTCCCACTGAGGATCTCCCGATAGAGTTCCTTTTGCTCGGATGTGAGGGGTGCGTACAGAATGTACTCCCGCTTCTTCGGAAGGTCGGTCTCAACGTCTGTCTTAACGCGTCGGAGGAGGAATGGTTTCAAGATGGAATGCATAGTAGAGACAATATTGCGTTTCCTACGCTCCACGACCTCTGCCTGTCCGTTGTCATCCAAGACAGAAGAAAAATCAAACCAGCTCTCAAAACTGTTTAGATCATTGAACACTTCGGGAAGAAGGAAGTGTAACAATGACCACAGCTCAGAGATATTGTTCTGCAGCGGCGTACCGGTAATCAGCAGCCGGTTGGCAGAGTTGTAAGTCATGAGCTCCTTGATAAGGCGGCTGTTCATGTTTTTCAGGCGGTGTCCCTCATCCTAGAGATTTGATTAGCAAATTCACGGTGAGTTTAGCCATAAGGAGGACATACCACAATGATGTATCTCCATTGGTACTTCCCGAGAAATTTCCGGTCATTCATACATATCTCATACGAAGTGCAGATGATGGGAAAGTCCATATCTCCTTGCTTGCGCATTTGCATGTGCTTACTTCGCAGCGACGCACGCTCAGCCTTGGACCCATGATAAAGAACGGTATTAAGGCTAGGACACCATCTGTTAAATTCGTCCACCCAGTTACTCACGGTACTGAGGGGCGCGGAGATCAGGAAAGGACCAGAGACTTTGTTCTGCTTTAAGAACGCAATCATTGAGATGGCTTGGACTGTTTTACCCAGTCCCATCTCGTCCGCAAGAATCCCGCAGAGGCCGTTCATCCACAAGGTCTTCAGCCATTCGAGGCCCTCAAGCTGGTATGTCCGCATCTTGCCACCAGTCACTAGTGTCGGCTGTCGAGTAGCAACCAACTCTTGTTCACCGAGAGCCGTTGGCTTGGACTCGTATTCATTCGCTGCCTGCTCCAGGGCTTCCTTTACGGTAGGATTATCCTCCTTGACCTCCACCTCAGCCTTTTGAAAGTAGCTCGAGATAGTATTGACACCCGCAGTGCTCTTTCTCGGGCGTCCCCTCCTCTTTGGTGCTGGAGCCTCGGCGCCCGTTGAGTTATCTTCCACTGGCAGGTCCACTCCGGAAGTTCGATTTCTCGTCGCACGCCGGGTGCTTGTTTCCTTGTGTGGCTTGGCTTGTTTGTCTTCGGCCGCAGCTTGTTGGCGTTTGATGGCCTGCTGCCGAGCTTCCTCCTGTTGTTTCTTCATTTTGTCCGACATGATGGCGACAAATACCTATATTGTACCCGCTGTTAGAGAGTGGTCGCAGCAGACAGGGTAGATAGTAGCAGGAATGGCTAACCGAACTGGTCTTTAGCAAATTAATCAAGGCCTTGGCCTTGTTGTCCATACCCTCAGTATCCTCGGTTTCATTCTCGGCCGATTGACCCTGTACTTCGTTTCTCTCGTTTTCCGAGACTGCTTTCGTTTCGGCGCTCGTGAGTTCGGTCATCGGGGAGGAAGGTATGGTTGACTCTGGTTGGAGAGTACCGGCGCGGGAGTCAGTCGCTGTGACTGTCGGAGATTCTATGGCCGACATTGTGGCTATAAGAGTTGCTTGCAAGCTCTAGGAACACAGCTGGAAATGTGTTCACTATGCGAACAAGATGTTAAGAGACCGCGGAGGTCATAGAACGTCACTCCCAGGGATGAGCAGTCTCATCCAAATCAGGATTAGGCGAGCTTTGTTGGCTGTGGTCTGGTGGAGAAGGCGTTCTTAAAGGACAGCAATCCGGGAATTTCGAGTATCACCGCCAACTTGATACCTCGAAGACTTCACAGCCGTGTTGTGGATTCTGGTGCATCCAGCAGGAGAAGCCTCTCGGCGCGCCGCCGTCGCGGATTTTCGCGTCGGCGCACAGACCACGTTTAGATTGGCGGATGCCGATCGATCGGGAAGGCCGCCATGTCATGTGCTTTAGAAATAATTCAGTGATACCCTAACCCTACAACTTATGTACTCTGGCATGCGTAAATCTGAGGGACAAGTAGGCGCATTATAATCGATACACAGGAAAGAGATCCATAGCTTGATAGATAGATGTCGTTGGTTACTTTACCTTCAAGTTACCTTGTTCAACCATACATGCATGATCCCTGCGCAAATCCACAGTAGACTCAAACAGATGTCCACAATAGATTATGTGTACCTTAAGGTAACTTGACAGCATGGATCGCACATAGATCCGGTCCTGCTTCAGTATTGTGGTGTATTCCTCAACATCTTGCACAGTTCAGATCTTCACATCTTGCATCCTTGGGTTCGTCAGTGTCTGAACTCGCTCAGTTCAGATCTTCACAAGCTGTGGTTTTTGTCGTTTGGATCGTCGCGACAGTTCGTATCGAGGTTTAGAGATTCGTCCATCCAGTCATTACACTCAAGATATTCGGCGCGGACTTCATTCGAAACCTCTTGGCCAGTGCATTCCTGCGGTGCTTGGTTGCGTTTCGCGTTAAACGTATCCTGACACTTCTTAAGGAATCGATCAAAGCCGAAGTGTTCAGCAAAGGTATCATTCAAGACAACTTGATAATTTGAATCTCTTTGGCTCGCGCGAAGCTTGTGATCCTCGATGATATCTCTTGCGAAGTTGCTTAGGTCATTCAAATGGGTGGGAAAATTTTCGGCACTCGTGGGTGATTTGTCAACAGGTGCTTCGACAGGAATTTTGTTGAGAGCAATTTTATTGACAGGAACTTCGTTAACAGGAACTTCGCTGAGTTCATTCGTGCCTTGAAGTTTCTTCTCAGGCTGCTTTTCAGCTGCCTTTCGCTTCTGGGCATATTCGGCTCTTGCCTGTGCAATTTGCCGTTCATATCGCGCCTGAGATTCAGCAGGGCTCAAAGACCAGAACCCACCCAAAGATCGCTGGAGCGGGCCAGAGCAGGACTCGGTGTTGTCGTGGCCCCCACTGCGTGGCGGCTTGGATGGAGTGCTCTCGTAGTCGCTCTCGTGGTCGCTCTGGAAGTCGCTCTGGAAGTCGCTCTGGAAGTCGCTCTGGAAGTCGCTCTGAAGGTTAATCAAGAGAAGAGGCATGTGCTTCTTTGCTGCCTTGATTTTTTTCTTTTGCTTCCGAGTATTTTTTCCAATGATCACCAGCTCGTCGAACGATTGATCACGGTAGCCCAAAGATACCCCTCCGTGAGAATCGCGGGTGCTTTCCTGTGGGTTCGAAAACTTACCTCGGACAGTCTCCCTCCGATCCTCATCCAGCTGATACGCAGATACATAGAGATCATTTGCGAGGGATGGCAGGTCAGGGGAGGAAGACGTGTCACTAGATGAAGAATCAGGAAAGAATACTGGCTTCTTCGGTCCATCATCGTGGGGCGCATTATCATGGGGCGAATGCCAATTTGGCATCCGGTGAAACCACTCAAAGATACCATGGATCTGGGATGTAAGATAGGGAGCATTACGAGCTTGTTCAGCCATAAAAATTTCCCATTTACCAGCCAGGCTTGGATTCAGATTGCGCTTCCGGAGATACTGTCTGGCCACCATCAAATCTCCATGACGGCAGAACTCGAGCTTTGGGACCGCGTCTTGCAAGCTGGGCTTGTGTGTGATTTCTTGGACTCGACGAAGAACCGGTTGATAAGGGACTTCCTGATTCTTCAAACGAGCGTCATCAAAGTCCAACAAATACCCCAGCTGATGCGCTCTCATCTTAGCCAGATGTTTGTCTTCCCTGGCAACTTGTCGTTTGCGTGAGCCCCGATAGTAAGCAAGCTTGTTACGCTCGTCATGCATAAGACCGAACTTGTCACCCATCACCTCCCACTGACAGTTATTGGTAGCGCAAAAGTTATCGCAGATCTCCAACTGGAGTGTGGGAGACACGTCGCTCCAGGCTGGATCCTCCATCTATAGCAAGCGTACGTTAGAATCAAGTCCAAGTAAGTCATCGCTTTCATGAAAGCACCGGAGTTTTAAACAAAGGCTGTGCAGGCTCACCGTTTCTCTGAAAACCGTCTGGCGAGCCATCAGCTCTTCATCACTGTCCGAAATGCTGAGGTTGTCTGTAAGATCATGATCGGCGTCGCTTGCCGACATTCTCGACATATTGTTCTCATAGATTGGATTGGATTGGCAGTTACTCGCTCCCCAGTTCACAGTGGTCGGCTTCTGAGACTCACGAACCCTTCGATTGAACGGGGTCTCGAGGTCAGACCAGTCAGAATTTGGGTATGTTGTGGGTGCCAAAGTCGGGTCATACTCGATGAAATTTCGTCGAGGAATCGCTCTGGCTCTCCGAGGTCGATTTACTGGAGTAGGATCTGTTGTATCACTAGATCTGGGTTGCTCCCTGGCCGTGTGCATAGATGTTAGGAGATTTTTCACGGGCACTGGCGTTGCGAAATCGGATTCGCCATACCTGTTCGGCACCTTAATCTGACGACGAAGCTGTCGGCCGCTAGACATTTTGAATGTTTTCTGAACTAGCAAGATTGGTTTGTTGCGTCGGTCTTCCTCTCGGTAAGTGTAGGACACGGATAGACACGCCGGGTCCGTAGGTTACGGATGCGGCTCGAAATTGTGGTCTTGACAGCGAAGATAGAGGAATAATTGCTGGAAACCTTTTGTTGTCGTAACCTGGTCAGGGCCGAGGCCGTGGAAGAAAGATCAACAGTCAGCGCAGATAGGACGTAGGAGCGCACCTGAGTACGAGGCCACAAAACAACTCCCCACAAGCAGGGTGTCTGAGGACTGGCTCTGGGGGGTTCTTGACAGATGGTAAACAGATAGGAAATAGTAAGGCTCTTGGAGCTGGAAGAGATGCCTGATGGCAGTGTTGGGGTAATGGAAGAGTAGGGGATGTTCGATGGGTTGATAAAGTAAAGGAGCGGGGGTGGACGTAGGACGGAAAAGGGCGAGAGGAGAAATGAATTTAGAAACATGGGAGACCAGGCAGGGTATTGCTGCCTGTTGCCTTGAAACTGAGGAAGAGCGCGAAAAAAGAAAGGAAGGTGCGAAGGTGCGAAAGCGAGAGAAGGTGGGCGGGTTTTGGTACTACTGAGTACTCGGGAAACAGCAGAACAAAATGAACGAAACTTCGAAGGGTCTTCATCAGCTGTAAAGTTACTGTCTTTTTGTGTTTTCTTAGTGGGTTGGGAGGCTATACAGTTGTATTCAGTCGTAGCTTGTTTGGACTATGAAGCCCTTATTTGTAAGGCGGAGTTCCGGTTTCTGCGCTCTCACCGAAGCTACCGAGGCAGACGCAAGTTATCCAACAAAGCTAGCGACAAGGTAACTGGCGAGAAAAAGGCGTGTCTAAGATTAGTACCTATTTAACTAGTCTAGAAAGCCAAAGCAAACGGAGGTTAGATGGGTATTTCCGCAATAGCATATGGACCCTAATACGCCGTCATAGCGAAATGGAATGTCGCAACGAAGATTCTCCAGGCTTGCGTGTAAATAGATACATGCTCGAGGACCGAATCATAATAATTACTCTGGGAATTAATACGATCGGTAATCTTCCTGCGTCCGCAAACAGGCACTCGACCAGCGTTTAGCCAAACCAGAACATGCCGCTAGAATCCCACTCTATGCCACCCGATCTTGAAAAGGCGCAATCGGTTTACGCTCCAGAAGCGAGCCAACGTCGTCATCAACATCCATTTCACCGTTATCCATCTCCATCTCTTCATATTGGCGATCCGCAAAGCTTCGTTTCTTCGCCAGGAGGACTGGAGGTACAGGTGGAGGGGCAAGTGTTGCTGCACTAGCTTGACTGTGTGACCGCTTGGCTTGTTCGACATCACGCTTGGCTGCCAGAATAGATTCAAATGCAAGCAAAATGCGCTTCATCGGGTCTTCAATTGAGACGCAGAAACGGTGCTGCTGGACCATCCGTGCCGCATGTACCGTATCCACGTTGAGCATGGCCATGACATAAGCGATGATTACACCAGCAGAACGCTCATTGCCCGACTCACAGAATACGAGGACTTTCCGTTTCTGAGACGGGTTGATTTGGGTGTGTTGTGTCCCGTTCCGATCCAGATCTACCCCCGCAAGGTGGTCATTGATGCGCCGAATTGCGTGTGGGAATGCGGAGATCAGCTCTTGGTTGTCGAGAACATCGATCGTATCAACCTGGATGCCGAGATCTGCAGCAGCTTTGTCGCCGGAGACTAGACGCGCATTGGCCGAGTGGGTATTCCGAACTCCGAGGAGGAGTGTAAATCCATGAGCGCGAAGAGAGTCTCGATCACGTAGGCAAGACGATGGGCCCAAGGCGAGAAATGGGAAAACAAACTGTAGCTCGCGGCGCATATCGTATTTCCATTGCGAGTGCGTGAAGCGGCGCGTGAAACCATCAAGCTGGGCAAGGCTGAAAAATCCGGGGCAAATGAAATCACCTTCGGTAAACTGATGGGTGCTGGGGTTGAAGACCTTCGCATCAACCACAACGGTCTCTTTGTCATTGTCCTCTTCGTTTGCGGCCAGGAAGTATCCTAACGCAGAGCTTAGACCGATGCCTTGACCTGGCCCACTTCCATGGTGCCTCGGAATTGACGTGTATTCCTGGGTGCGAACATACTGGTCTTGCCAGTTCTGCGTCTGCGCCCCAGTCGTTGGAGGGGCTCCCGACATGGTGGTTTGAATGTTAAGGAAGGATGTCACGAAGAAGCACGAAGCAGTTTGGAGGGATGAGAGATGCAATCGAGACCAAGATTCTGCGGGCACTTCTCATTTCCAGTTGGCACGTGCGCGGCTTCCATACAGCGTCTTGAAAGTAGAAGGAACGACCGGTCAAAGGCAACCAGCCATTGCCCGCCGCGTTGGCACTGCTCAACACTGAGCTCCCGCTTTCCGTCTGTCTTTCCACCGCAAGCACGGGATCAATTGCTGGTTCGAATGGATCAGTCCGCCTTCAATGCCAGTGGGGATGCGAGTGTTTCGCAGGCTGTGAGGGGAGGTTGGATTTAGGTCGATCGTGGCTTAGGTAAGTCGCGTAGATCCCGGCGTCATCCATGGTCCACTCACGACGAGCAGTAAACGAATTCTCCGAGGTGGCATATGCCAATTCTCATGCTAATTATTTGGCCTGTTGGAATTTCCTATAGTCTAATGTTGACAAGAAGGCAAAGGACTTGGATTAGTTGTTTCGAAGATTCATGATCCTTCGAGTCTGAGAAATTATACATCTGCACACGGCAGAACCTCGGAAGACATCCTACCTAGGTAGAGCCCTCGATTGTGAGGCACCAAGCATGATAACTCACTTCCAACCGTGCGAGGTGCAATATCAAACTAGTTTGTGATATTATCAGATGGTGATATCGCGAACGAAGTATTATTTACGAGCACATTTAGCTATGGTTATCAGGGGGGTTGACAGTGGTTCTTGGATTGCCATTTCTTTCTTTCTCCCCACCTCCCGACAACCTCCAAATCTCGATTTTATCGAATTATGATGGTTAAAGGAATCTTCCACTGCTGAAACCTCCTGTGGAAATAAAATCGGGGGCGTATACGTGCACGTCTTACTAGAGATATCCAATATCACACTACGCCAGTGTAGTAACACTACCCATTACTATATGAGTATTTGAGTATCAATACCTAGTGTGATATGCTGCGTAGAGCCCTAGCTCACGTGCTCCCATATCGCGCCCATTGCAATCGCATTAGTAATAGGATGCGTTAGAGACACAGCTTTGGGCGTCACATTTAGAGCGATTTCAGATTACACTAGTGTACACTATGTATGATGATATATACGCGCTTCCAGATTTTGATTAGATTCGCAATCCCACGGTGTCTTTCGTTGATAGAATAACGTTTTATATCATGATTTATTGGGGACTATGTGAGGGATGAGCTACCTGGTAGACACTGGAATCGAAAGCTTGCGTCTCCTATCCTGCAGGGACTCTGACATAGCGTAGGACATATTTCCCGAAAATTTGCATCTGATCTAACAAGAACGCGAAAATTAGGCTTTGAAGCCTTCCAAGATTGGAAGAAGTAGACTCAGATACTGAAGAGCCTTCCTGGAGGCTATACAATCTCAATAAAAGTGGTTTAGCACAATCTTGGTCAGCAGCATTCAAGCCGGCACAAGCAAAACCAAGACACCATGATCGCGTAACACCTCGGATAGAAGGAGTGCATGATTGCAAATCAACGAGGGCCTCAAATCTCTAGTAGACTCCATATAATCCCCAGCCACTTAGTTCTGGACCGAGTCGCGACTCAGCCCGTCCCCAACAAACCCACCGTCCGAGCACAGCGGCGACCAAATCCATCTGAATTGCGCACCCGATCAGGCATTTGCACCACACCGTCATCATAACGCAGCCTTGGCCCCATTTCCTCTTGTAGATTCCGTCGGGAATGACAGGCGGAGTTTCTCCTCCTAGCACCGTGCCGGTGCTTCCTAGCGTCTTGCCTCCAAGCGGAGTCACGATGACTTTGATGTTTGTCAGCGCGGATGCACCTCGCCCGTCATGAGTCACTCGTATTCCGAGGAGGCCGGACGGTAGCCTCGTTGAATCGGAAGTTTCTGGAGTAAGCCCGAGTTCGAGGTGAGGCTACGGATTGTTCGTAAAGAAACGGGTCCGCAGAGAATGGGGGCCAGATACCTGAGGTTCTCAGGTTGGTTGCCTGGGCCCCTCCATGAGGTGTGGCTGGGTGTTTTGATTGCCTGATTCTGCCTGATGATCCGCCAAAGTATGCAACGCGACTATTGAAAACTCATGAACAGCAACAAAAATTCAAATTATCTCATTAGATACACGTAGAAAAATTTTCAAGGTGCAAAGGCAAAGTGTGACTGGCACAACTTGGGCCAGTCTTGGGATCCATATTTTCGATTTAGAATTTTTAGGGAAATAAATACTAGCTACTAGCATAGAGCTGTTGAAGCCACGATCGGCAGGAATAGAAACAAGCGTTGGAAATGACGAGATTATGACAGGATAATAAAGATTGAACAGCAACGTACACCTGGGTATATGAGGCCACCCAAAATTGGCAACCTCCACTGCAAAAGCTGGAGCAAGAACACCGCTTGACCCCTCGGGTGTCAAGTACAAACAAAACGCCATGATCCGCATCGACATTTGCTGGTCGCATTAGCGAAACCAGCTATTCGCCGAACCCAGATGCAGGAGGGGGAGAGGAATGAATATAGAAAACCAAAGGCAAGACCCTAATTCCTCTTTCCTTGCTTGGGTGAACGCCTGCAGAATGCGACAAAAGAAACGAACAAACACAGAGAAGACTTTGGCAACTAAGGATTAAACTGGAGGGGCGGCGGCCTGTGGAATAGGAGGGATGGTTTGCGAGAGAGGCTGTGACTCAGGCTCCGGAGCCTGGGTGAGTGATTGCTGGAGGCCAGCCACCACCCGCTCGAGTTCCTCCAGCCGCTTGTCCTTCTCCTGAACCTCGCGGCGGAGACGCTTTAGCTCATTGTGCATATCGACGCCGGTCTCCTCGGTCTCCGGCATATCTCCGTTGGGGGAGTCATGCTTGCGCTTGATTCCGGTGGCGGGAAGAGAGTTGGAACGAATGCCCTCGAGTTCATTGGCGCGATCCCAAGCCATGTCCGCCATGATGGAAGGACCGTCGTCAGTGTGCATGTGGCGGCGGCGAAGATGTTCTCGCAGGTTCTCCTGACGTGTGAAACCATTTCCTGTGCTGCGGTTACAATCGCCATACGGACACATTAACGGTTTTTTCGCATCAGTGTTCTTCTTATGAACTTCACGCTGGTGCCGCAGGAGACCGCCTGAGTAGGTAAAACCTTGGATCTTGTCGCAGCCAGGCTCGAAGCATTTGTAAGGGCGGTCATGTTTATCCATGTGTTTGCTACCATAGGGTTAGCATTTGTTGGGACCACAATCTTGACGCGGTCTAGGACGGGGCAATTATACGTACTTCCATTCACACGGACGGCGAAATGTTGGAGGGGCGGCCTGGCAGTCGGGGTGGTCGCAGTATATCTGGCCTTCACTGTTCTTGGGAGGATCGCGGTCGCGTCGAACGGACAGGCGCGGGCGCGTTCCCTCGATGTGGTGGAATCCGGCCGGCGAGGCGAGTTGTTCGTTCATTCTGGCAATTGAGGACAAAGACTCTTGGGCAGAGGCAAGGACGGAAGCAGCAGTTGCACCGTGCGGAGCTTCACTTCGCGGGCTAGGATAGTCAGATCCGTCTCCCATATCGCGTGTCGACCCCACACTAAGAGAGGGGATGGTGGATGGAGTGAGGGATACCGGCAAGACGCGTCAACCGATGACTCAATAAACCACTTGGGGGAGGCTCAAGAGAAGAAAAGAGCGATGGAAGGCGTTCGAAGAGGCGGAACTCGTCAAATCAATAAATTGGCGCAAAGTAGGCCGATGGGGAGAGGGTGATATTCGAAGGATATGATGGATTCAAAAGTGCCAAATTTTTCAGGTAGCAAGGCAAACATCCCTGGGCGGCCTGGTATTTAAATACGGTTGCTTGCGTAAGGACCCGCCACTGTGGCACCGGAACTGTGGCGCAGTCAGCGCGCGCTTCTCTCGGTCTTTCGCGGAGTTGCCGAGTAGCTGAAGCGCATGCAAGCTGCAGATTCTTTCTGCAGCAGAAATATTCTATCTACGTGCAGGTTCCTTGATGGGGGGGGGGTTGAGTTGGTTTTGTAATGTTTCTCCACCACGGGCTTGCTCCCCAACCTGATGCGTGTGGCAACGACGAGGACGCAATGACTCACACTAGCTAGCCGAGCAACCCAGCGGTGTCCGGTCTGGTACCAATAAGAAGACAATCATCTGCTGGACTTGGGCCTACAGCAACCGGTTGTCAGGCAGCCATCTCCCGGCGGAACCGTTGCAGGACCAGGCGATCAGATGCAAGATCGCCACGCGTCTGACGAATCCGAGAGGCATCGAAGCTTGCAGGTGTACTTCATGGAATCCGGCCAGGGCTGTGGCGGTGTGAGTCACGGGACCATACACATAACCAGTCTGTCAGGCATGGAATCACGTGGAACGTTAAGCGCGAGCAGGGTTGGCACCCGAAGCATTAGGCACCCACCATTTGGTCCCCCAATGGCCCGAAGGGTCCTATCCTAAGCTGGACGAGTTATACACTGATTCCGACGGCAGCCAGAATGCATGCGGATCTCATGGCTATGCATTCTAAACATAGTGGCCAAGCGCATCTATATTTCTTGTTTCTGCTGCGCAGTGGATACACATTTTCTGGTGTCCAAAGGATACGTACCTTAGGGTAGGCTCCAAAATTCATCGCCACTTGCAGGGCTCTAGGTGCATGGCACGGAATATCATGATCGACTACCGAATACACCAATCCCATACAAGGGGAGAGACATCAAAGCTTCAGCTCGTCGCGTCCGAATCCCTGGGAGTGGTCCACCACCCATCGAACCTCTTCCGCCACAACATCCGGCCTGATCAAATGAACGTTATGGCCACAGTCAGGGAGATACACGAGATGGGTATTCGATGAGAGCTTCAGCTGCTCTTCCTTGAGATCCCGGTCAATCAATGGCCACCGGTCCAGGAGGGTTCGAAACGCCTGTCTCTGTTCAATCGTCCCATTGCCTGCCTCGACTCCCGCCTCGTAGAGGCGCTCGTAGTCCCGGGCACTCTCACAGCGAATCACGCTCACAGGGCGGTTTCCCATCGCCTGAGTCTGAAACTGCTTCTTCTCCGCAAGCGTTCGACAAACAGATCCGAGCAAATCAGCCTCCGCCTGGGCAGCGACAGCGCCTCGCGAGATATCGATGGCACGTTCTCTCCACCTGTCTCGCGATAGTTTTGCATCCACTCGTAGCCCAGTCACCTGCGCCACTTTCAGATCGCCTAAAACAGCATTGATATCGGGGTCCGGGAGACGAAAATAGTCACACTGTCGCTCAGTGGAACCGTCAAGGAGCACAATACCGAGGACGTCATCGTCATGCAAGTGGAGATACTCTCGGGCAACGATGGCCCCGTAGGAGTGAGCAACTAGAACCAGAGGAGGATTGAGCTTCAGTGCTTCCAGAAGGCTGTGTAGTTCCTCTGCAGCAGTAACGGCCGTCGATCTCTGCGGGGAAGCCGAAGGACCCGGCTCACTACGACCGAGTCCGGATCGATCGTATAGTAGGACGCGATAGAAGGGAGTTACTAGCGGTGAGAGGGCTGTGTAGGAGGTCGTAACATCACCAGCGCCGGCGATAACGATGACCAATGGGTCTTGCGGCTTGCGGGGTGGCCCGTCAATAGAGGTGTAAAGACTATGCGTGCCGATGGAGATCAGCGAGGATCCAATATCGATTGCCCAGTTTGGGGGCGGTGCTGCCATGGTGATTCTCCTGGGTGTTCCTGGTTTGAGTTGCGTATACATGCAGTAGGTCCAGATAAAGCGGGGCAGAGTCTAGCCCTAAAGGCGCGGGTCAAGACATGGGGGCCGTTGATCGATGATCCTCAGCCACCCCGCGATTTCTAGGCCACCGCATATGCTAAATTAGGAATCCCACAAATCTTCACTCCAGCGAAAGTAAAGAGTCCAGACAAATTTTAGAGTACCTGTGATTGTTCAATAATCCCAACTAGCAGATAACAGAAACTGATCCTACGTAAGCTTAATAGACAGAGGCGGACGCAAGGCAGACTTTGAGATCTGCCAGTGGTCTGCGCAAATACTATGGAATCAGGTTCTACTGTGATGGAGGGCAAATTGAAAACAAAGTCACGCCGTTCTCGATTGCAAATGGGTGTTAGCAAGCTAGCTGTCTATCTAAACATAGAGAGCTAGAACAACCGAGTCAGGGAGTAGAGCGAATCCCAAAAGCGGCCCGTGAAATCGCTACCGTGCTAATTTGCGAATCGGCAGGGGACAATCGCTTCTTCAGGAATGGGTCCTGAGTGGAATTCGGCAAGTCAATACCAGTTGCCCCGAGCCCACCAACTGCCATGCAAGGTAACCTATGCCATGGCGACAATGATGATACCATAATGGTAGGAACCAAGGGGCACTGCTATCGAACAGATGATCGCTAGATCTGAGCTAGCAGGTAAAAAAATTCGAACACTCCGAGAGGAGTGGAGCGGAAGAGCCTTCATCCCACCGATGTAGATTCTAGATCGGCATACAGGAAAAGGACGGGCAAAAATCTGCTGGAAGTAACTCTGACATTTTATGCGAGACCATTCCCCAAGTTGATAAGAGCGGGCCAGCCTGTTGGAGGTGCCCCAGAGACACAATGACGTTGAGATTTATTCAGTCGTAGTTACCGCCGACCTGGCTAGCAAAGGCAGTGGAAACACTGCGGGCATCGTCATCGTCATGAACATTGAGACCCGGACGAGTCACGCGGATACTGGCAGAGCTGCCGCCGAAAATGCTGCCGTTGTCCGGAATACCGGTGCGATATGGCTCACGACCTCCAGACTCCACGTAGCGCTTGAGACGGTCGGACTGACTGAGACTAGGTTGCTTGCTCATGTCATTGATGCTCAAGCCCGCAAGGCTGACTCCACCCTGATCGGTGCTTCGTCCGTCAATAATGCTGCCAGTAACATCGGATTCAGTAGCGGCAACAGATTCCCCAGCAACACTTGGGGCTCCCTTTGTCCGACTACCATTGGCTCGGCGGTTGCCCGAGAGCGATGGCCACTGATCAGCAAAATTTTGGAACATAGGAGGATATCCGGAAGGCAGGCCGACCCCACCACCCACAGCAGACGAATGAACCGAGGAAACGTCATCCGGGATGTAGCCGACAACCGAGCCCGAATCGTGGTACTCATTGCGTTGGCCGTTACGACCGTTCATGGCGCCGTTGTTTGCATTGGAAGCGTGATTGAAAGGCATCTGGAAGCGCTGGGGTCCTCGGTAGGCCTGTCTGGGCCGGCTGAATTGGATGAGAGATTCTTGCAAATTCGAAAGAGGTCCTTCGACGAGGCAGTGCTGCTCCTTGAAGTGCTGCAAAAGGCTGTTCCACAAAGGGTGCTTGCTAAGAACCTTCGGGTTGCCGACAATAACCAAACCATATCGAGCTCGAGTAAGGGCGACGTTGAGACGACGAGGGTCACTTAAGAAACCAATACCCTGGTGATCGTTGGAGCGCACGCAAGAAAGAATAATGTAGTCTTTCTCTCGACCTTGAAATGCATCGACCGAAGCGACTTCGATTTCCTTGTAATGCTCTTTCTTGAATGTTCCGTTGGCCTGCATGGAGCTCACGATATAGCTCCGCTGTCCTTCGTATGGGGTTATGATACCGATGCCATCCGGCTGGATGCCTGCCTTGAAGAAGCGAGTGACAATCTTTTCAACATTGGTTGCCTCAGTGCGGTTGAGGTACGAAGTTCCCGACGCTGAAATCTCCTCGTTGCCCAAATTCGACCAGAACATCATAGGGTTGTCCATCATGGGCCACGGGAAGTCGACATCACGGCGAAGGCGGTCATGAATGGTGATACCGTTCTGTAGCGATCCCTCATAGAACATGTTGGAGGGGAATTCGGAAAGACATGGATGCATACGGTACTGAACATTAAGGCGGATAGGAGAGCAGCCCAAGATAACAAGGCGTTCAAAGAGAGACTGATTGAGTCCGGCCTTCGCGGCCTTCTTGTTCATGATAACAGGACCAAGCTGCTGATGATCACCGACTAAAACGACTTGCTTACAGCCAAGAATCAATGGGATCATGCACTCGGGCTCAGCGGACTGGGTCGACTCATCGATCAAGACGGTGCGGAACTTGAATTTGGCCAGGCGGGGATCTCCAGCACCAACACAAGTGCAACAGATGACATCTGCATTGTTGAGAATTTCCCGCTCGGCCGAGCGAGTCAACTGCTTCAACCGTTTTTCATCCTGACTGGAAAGCTCTCCCAGCTCCGCCTTCAGCTGGTTCAATTTGGCCAATTCGATGTTGGTATCATTCAAGCGCACTTGCTCATGCAAGGATAGGAAACCAACAGGGGATTCCACATCCTCTCGAGATTTGGCAGTAACTCGCACGGTCTTGAGACCGGTTAAATGAATGCGCTCACAAAGCTGGTCGACGGCAACGTTGGACGGTGCACAGACCAGCACTGTGCCTCCGTTGTTCTTGGCAAGGTGGTAGATAATGGTGGCTGAAGTCACAGTCTTACCAGTTCCAGGAGGGCCTTGAATCAGACTCAATGGCCGCTGCAGTACGCTCTTAACGGCATTGATTTGACTGCCGTTCAGGTCTGGCAGACCCGGCACACTGAATTTCTTGGGAATCTGTGGCTTCATTGGAGCGGCCGCGACCTCATGGCCAAGAAGACGGTGGAAAATGTAACCCGAAACGCTCATCTCGTCCACGGCGAAAGTCTTCATGGCAAGCTGCATGCGGTCAAATGAGGTCGACTTCCAGACATAGTCGACCTTGAAGTTGTGTGTGCATTCAGTGGGCACGGACTTGTGCTCACCCTTGGAGCGCAATTCAATAGTAACCTCATCAGACTGATTGTTCGGAATCTTGACCACGTAGCCAACCCCTTCCCACTTGGAGCGTAATTCACCGGTGTACTTCAAACGCATCTCATCACCGACTGCAAGCTTCACATCACCGAGTTCAAGTTTAGGCAGGACGAAACTCGCCAGATGCTTGTTGTTAAGACCAAGATCCCAACGCACAATCAGGCCATCCTGAGACTGGGACTCCTTCAACTTGCGATCATAATCAGCCTCGATTTTGACAAGAGGGCCGAAAATGTTTTGGTACTGGAAGGCATCATCGTAGCGCAACAAGACTGGTGCGGGTTCATCGTCGACAGCGGTAGCCTTCTCAAGATCATCAAGAGTGGCCTTTGAGTTCTCTTTCCACATTTCCTCCAGTTTCGCAATGAGCTGCGGGCTAAGGTGGCGAGCCCGGAGCTGTTCCTGATCAGTGGGCGCACCCACGAGCCACGGTAAGAATGAGCGGTCCTCAATGAGTGGCTGCCAGCGCGACGTATCCCAGTTCATATCCTTCGACGAGGGCATTGCCGCACATGGCTGACGGCAAAGGAGAACCACCACGGTGTCTGACTTCGCGGGAATGAACCCGAGCAGGAAAACATTCTTGGTACCGCAGTTGTAGCATTCGAGAATGGTATCGCCAAGCGAAGAGGCCGGATGAAGCTGCACTTCCTTATGGCGGGCGCGAACAAGGTGGTTGACGATATGGGAAGAGGAGGTGTTGCCGCGAGCACTGCAGAACCACTTATTGCAGGAGAGACACTTTACCACACTGCTCGGATTGTGGATGCCACAGTAACTAGAAACGAAGTAATTGTCAGCTCTTCAGATCTTACAAAGTATCCGGGCTACTAGGCATAGAACTCACGCGCATGCATGAGCAGGAAGCTCCTTCTCTTCCTCGGCCTGGCCTTTCTGGTTTGGATTAGGCGGGCCATCAACGGTGCTCTCCAAGTCATCCTCCTCCAGAATGTCTGATCCTTCGTCCTCATCGTCGTGCAAGCGCGGTCGGGCTCTGCCAAGGGCGGCCGCGCGATAGTCATCAACCTGGGAATCGTCTGCCAGGCCCGGATGGTAGGTCTCCATGGTGGATCCTAGATTCGAAGTAGGCCCAGGCCGAAGGGGGTTCGAAAGAAGACGAAATCAGTGTGGGTGTAACATGCGCGTGAAGCCTTAGAGGTCTCGGCGTCGTAGGAAATGAGCGTAGAGGACGGTCCGACGGTCCAGTGCAATTCTTAAGGGCCGCTCCGATTGTGTGCTGTCCGAGGGGTAAAGGAACGGGGGTCCTGAAGATCGCACTGAGGTGAGCAAAGCCCAACCCAAATCAGAGGAATGATACTGACAGCAAGCGTAGCTCTTGATCCCGACAAGAGAGCGTGGAAAAGTCTGGGTGGACAAAAACCGCCTCCGCATCTGCTATCCGGATTGTATCAGTGGGATCCCACTACGGCGGGCGATATGGGCCATTCACGCAGCCCCGGAGTTTGGCAAAAAAAAGTTGCCCGCCTTCGATCTTCGAAGATCATCCAAGTTTTCGCCGCAAACCCTTTCACAAGATGCTGGTACGTACTTCGCGCTGTCTGTCAGACGAACAGAATTCTAAAACTTACTCATACTATAGCGTCGTCAAGCTCGTGAGCGCCGTGATTATCTCTATCGGAGAGCGCTCTTGCTCCGCGACGCCTCTATCGCCGAAAAGCGAGCTCAGCTCAAGGCTTCTTTGGCCTCTGGAAAACCCCTAGACCCGGCAATTGCCAACGATAAGGCCTTGCGAGAAGATTTCAAATACGATGAATCCAAGGGCGAGGATGGTGAGGTGGATATCGACGACGAATATGCTTTGACATCGGGCGTCATTGACCCTCGCCCGCTTGTTACAACATCACGCTCGCCCTCTGCTCGCCTCGGTGCCTTCGCTAAAGAGATCCGACTTCTCCTTCCGACCGCTATCCGTCTGAACCGTGGAAACCTTGTTCTTCCCGACCTGGTCTCGAGCGCAACCTCTGCATCTCTGACCGATATGATTCTTCTGCATGAGCACCGTGGTACACCTACCGCCCTTACTGTTTCGCATCTCCCTCATGGTCCGACGGCCAGTTTCTCGCTACATAACGTGGTCCTCCGTGCGGATATCCCAAATTCTGCTCGTGGTACTGTTTCAGAGAGCTACCCTCACCTGGTCTTCGAGGGCTTCACTACCAAGCTGGGTGCCCGCGTTGTTCAGATCTTGAAACACCTTTTCCCTCCCCGTGAGCCCGGAAAGGTCGGCAACCGCGTTGTCACCTTCGTGAACAAGGAGGATAGCATCGAGGTGCGACACCACGTCTTTGTCAAGACGGGATATCGTGACGTTGAGCTCGCCGAAGTCGGGCCGCGCATGACCATGCGACTCTTCGAGATCCGGGGTGGTACCCTTGAGAAGGGCTCGAGTGGCGACATTGAATGGGCTTTGACACAATACACAAGAACCAGCAGGAAGAAGGACTACCTGTAAATGACCCACAGGTTTGCATCATGGTACAGGCTGCCGGTGTGGAGAAATGGGGTTTACGATTTCTTTTTTTCATGGCAAAATATTGATCTTTTAATGGCGCACTGGTGTCGATGGCTACCCAAAAGGCTTCTGTATAGCCCAGTTCATGTATTTTATACCTTTTCATCTTCATATCAATCCTTTGTGAGAAGATCCCGGTACGACGAGGGAAAGCAATTCTCTAGCGTTAACCATAAAATGTCACCGACTGAACAGTCTCTACTAGTAATCAAGTCGTAGGTTCTAAAGTAATTGAGCATCTGACGTGCAACATCGTTGTACTTCACTGGGGTCCTTGCATTTTGCTTGGTGTGTGCTAACGGGGCAGGGTTGAAATTGACATTAGGATGTACCATGACCCCTTGCAAAGCTTCGAATCCCAAAAAAAAAAACAGCAGCGGAAACTTGGATATAAGAACCAGAGAACCCCAATAACCAAAAACAAACGAAGTCACCCGTGAAGCTCGGTTTCTTCCTCTGTTGAATCCATAGTACCATGCTGGTGAGCTCGAATTTAAGGCCGCATGTTTTCAATTCTCCTTGCCATTCTCTCCTCTTGTTTCGGCTGTCCTGTTGTTGAAAATGGGGTAATCCGACCCTTCAGCAAGAAGTGTTTGTAGTAAAGCGCGATTTTTCGCCAGCATCTCGGACTGGTCATCCGCACCTGTCGAGTCCTCCTTAGCCACAGCATCCACAGGGCGATCGAACGACGCATTGCTGCCGCCGCAGGAGCCTCCAGATTCGTTGGTGTCAGCTTGCTCTGGGACGCTTTTGAGGTAATCAGTGAAGAGGTTAGAATGAGATTCCAAAGAGAACCAACCCTCGTGGGGAGGCAATGGCTGGTTTTCATCGTTGGTTTTCGGGGGCGGCAGCTTCCCATCAGCTCGATCACACCATTCCTTGCCTGTTTTCTCTTTGAAAAACTTCGCGAAGGCACTCATGGCGAAACCAACACTCTTATGCGCTGGAGCTAAAAGCTCCACTGTCGATTTCCCGACCCGGCTATATTTCACGTAAGCACCGTAAGTGGGAGATCTGGCCGAAGATTGAATGATCTGTATCTCATATCAGAAATCCATATGGCCTGTATAGGCCAGGTGTTGTTACGACTTACTGCCAGCTGATACTTCTCTCGAGAGCGTGGAGGATTGCAAATTCGTGTGAGAAGGGCTTTCCAGACCTCTTGCGTGTTGGAGTCTTTGTAGACACGACCTTCTCCTGCTTCTTCTGGTTAGCTTGAGCTGTAGTGAACAGGGGGAGATTGAAATGGCCCGAAGCGACATACCACGGCTCGGTCCAATAGATCTCTTGGTGACTTTCCTCTTGTTTTTAGGGAACGGATCTCCTAAGCCATGGTTAGCAGTAGGTTCATGAGTTTGGCATGGGAGAACATATACGTACGTATGTTTCTCTTGGGCCGTGAAGGGGACCCAGCCTTTGTTGTAGTCCTTTGCGCCCCCTGCTCGGCTGATTTGAAAAGGTAGGGGGTCTCCGGCAGTGGCCGACGAGTCTTGGTCCATAGCGAATGCTTAAGCCAGCTGAGGCTCACAATCTTGATCTTTCCGAGGTCCTTGGCTGCTTTCACTGTCTAATGTATGAGCTCACTGAGAAGGCAAAAGGTAATAAGACGGTTTTATTGTTCATACCTGCATCGACATCGTTTTCGTATGCTTCTTTTGTGGCAATAAGATGAGTTGTGCTGTTGTCAACCTTCCTGAGGTAAGTGCCGCCATGGGCTTGTACCCACTGGGGTATTTTTGCACCATCCTCCAGATTGCCAACTGAGCAGAGCCTAACATTCCGGAAAGATTGGACCATGTTGTCCGTGAGAAGTGAACTGTGGCTGGTGACTGGATGGCGTTTGGTCTTAGGAGGGAACGAGTCAGTTAGGTGAGCAGAGCTTGATCTTTCGTATCGAGACCCCTTCAAGACTTGGTGGTAGGCTGAAGGTTTCTGCTCGAATGCAATTGGCGTATAATCGCTATACTTGAGCTGGATCTGAAGAGGCGTGGCGCTGTGACCTTATGTGTTTCTCTCAGTGGATGGCGTTAGGTTGAAGCATGTGATACGGGCGAGGTGACAAGACAAACTTTAGAGCCATGTGATATGTCTCAATATACTGACAGGAAAAATACTCTGTGATTCTTTTGATGACCGAGTAACGTGGTATCGGAATGAGATATAACGTCAGTTGAGCCACCAATCGCAAGCGTCCAGCTACCATCGCGATTTTGGAAGAGTGTTCTCTGTCTGTCTAGTCAGCCCGAAAGAATAGTTTATCTGCAATGATATGATGCATTTGGATGGTCCTTGGCTTAGAAAGTGTATAGTGATGATCACATGAAGGGGATATAACTCTTTAGCTGTCAGGCAACCCAGTTCAGGTGGGCAATAACGCTTTAGTCTATAGGTGTGTCGGGCTTCTGTGGCCTTGGAGAAAATATGTGAAACATGTAAGTTCAGTCGTAATTCCTAAAAAAGGACGGTATTAGTAGTATACCCCATGCACTCTTCCTGGACGCTCCCCAAGATGTGAAGTGTTGGAGCAATGAGAGCTGTACTTCGGCGTTGGTCAGCAATGGTTGGCATCTATGAACAGATGTTTTCTCTTCGACTTCGAGTGAGTGATGCAGATATTGTGTCAAGCCAAGTGCGTGGTTTCGAACAGAACTGTTACACTTCCGTTGTTGCGTAGAAATAGAGGACGTTGGGCTCGGGCGAGGAGTCGAGTGCAGGATTTGTGGAGTACCTCATCAAGGGAGGCACGATGCCGTGGAGGGGATGGCCGGAAGTGAATCCATCGGGCCCAACAAGGGGAATCGAACTTGTAGAGAGAATTCCAACACTAGGTATTACACTAGTGTATCACACCCTTCGGCAATGATGAAAACATCGGATTTGTCACATGTTACACACTGCATCCACACTTGAGCCAACACCGTCGACAATGACCGTTATATATTTGGAAAATGATGCCGAATTTCTATTTACACCGTGAAAACTGACAAGATATTTCAGTAAGGTGAGAAATGAAGTCACCCTACAAGCTCATAAATAAAACCATAAAATCTCCGAAAATTCTGCGTGAATCATGAGGAAACACTTTTGGCGGCCTGAACGAAGGCTCTGATCTTGCTCAAATCCTGTGAGCCATTCGTTTCGACCCCGGAGCTGACATCCAATCCCACCACATTAGCTCCTGACTTGCCTAGCTTATTGACGGTGTCAATGACATTTTCAGGTTTTAAACCACCAGCAAGGATGACTCGCAGCCCTTCATCACTGTCAAGGGCCTTCTGAACGCCCGTCTCTGCTAGAAGTTCACCAGACCCGCCGGAACCAGAATCCAGCAACGGCAGCGTATGGTATGCCCGACGTGCAATACCGATGTCACCTGGCGCAAATTTGCGAATCACGGGGACAGGAATCAAGCTCGCCCATTCCAAAGGCTCCGAGCCATGAAGCTGAACAACGTCGAGCCCCAGCTTTTGCTGTTGAGAAAGAACGTATGACAAAGGTTGATTCATGAATACACCGACAAGTAGGGCTCGGGATGGGTGACGCAGCACATTGACAGAATTCTCAAACCATTCTGACGAAGTCGCCTTCGATACTTGCTGAGACTCAACTCCAGGTCGGGGCGTAGACTTTACGACTTGAGAGATGCGTAGAGCCACATCATCCGGGACCAGTCTTGACCTTCCGTGGACCATGATAATGCCAATTAAATCCGCGCCGGCTTCGATGGCGGCTTTGGCAGCCTCCTCTGATCGTGTGCCACAGATCTTTACCAAGGGTGCCTTAGGCGATGTCGAAGCCTTGCCGGAGGATCCACCAAGAAGTTGTGCTACGAAAGCCGAGGTATCGGCAGCGCGCATCAGAGCTTCACCCACGAGGATAGCCTTGACTCCATCCTTCTTATATGCCTCAACATCCTTGGGGCCTGTGATTCCACTGAGGGCACAGACGATGGTGCTTTCCGGCACTTGGTCCATGAGGCGACTTGTAGTGCCGAGATCAACCTCAAAGCTGGTCAGATCTCTGTTGTTGACACCAATCACCTGGGATCCTAGGTCCACAGCGATCTTCATCTCCTCGGGCGTGTTGACTTCGACAAGAGGCTCCATTCCGAGGCTGCGAGAGTAGTTGTATAAACGTGTGAGAAGATCGGTGCTGAGCATCTTCACAATCAGTAGAACGGTATCAGCGCCAGCGAGGCGCGCCTCGAGAATTTGGTATTCATCAAAGATGAATTCCTTTCGTAGAATGGCTGGTCGGTTGGTGAATCCTTCTAAGCTCTGGCGGACTGCACGGAGATCGTCAATGGTACCCTTGAACCACTCAGGCTCGGTCAGCACAGAGATGACGCTGGCACCAGCCTTAGCGTAGTCGCGTGCTTGGGCAGGCGCGCACACATCGGCCGAAATTATACCCTTGGAGGGAGAAGCTCGCTTGATCTCTGCCATAAGGGACAGGGGATAATCCGACTGCCTCAAACGATCTGGGAAAGAAATTTGCGGGGGCGCAATGTTCAAATCGTAAGCAGCCTGGAGGGCTTCCGGCCGCGATGCATGAATTTTCTTCTGCTCTTCAACGGCATTTCTGCGATGAGCGTAGATCTTCTCCAGGATAGAGATCTTCTTCTCGGTAGGAGCAGCGGGCTGAGCCGGGGCGCTAGCTGGAGCAGTCGCAACCTTCTTGTTTCCACTCCAGGTGCCTGAATTGAGCTTGAGGAAGTTCCTGAACATCATTCGTCCATATTCCGTCAAAATGCTCTCCGGGTGAAACTGCACACCCTCCACCGCAAGCTCCTTGTGCCTCACACCCATGATAACGCTGTTCCCGCTACCGTTCTCCAATTCGGCCCAGGAAGACACCTCCATGCAGTCCGGAATAGTCGAATGGGTTCCAGCAAGCGAGTGATAACGAGTGACCGAAAGGATCGTAGGTAGGCCTTCATAGACACCCTTGGCATCGTGCTTCAACACAGAAGTCTTGCCGTGGAGAATTTCGCCCGTCACATCAACCTTGCCACCAAACGATTGGATAATACATTGCTGGCCCATGCATACACCAAAGATGGGAATCTTTCCACTGAAATATTTGATGGCAGCATTGCTGATACCGGCGTCGTTTGAGGGTGCCCGGGCCCGGGGCTGATCACCAGTTGCGTCGGCTTCTTTGCGACCAAGTCCTCCACGGTAACTTCGTCATTGCGAAAGACGGTGACGGTTGCCCCTTCAAGCACCAAGTATTGGTAGACGTTCCAAGTAAAAGAGTCGTAATTGTCAATCAGAATGACATTGGAGGCGCTATCCAGGCGGGCAGCTTTGGTGGGATGGTGGGGGGAATGGTCGACAAGATCCGCCATGGCTGTGGGTGGTCGCGGGGGATGGCGTGAGGGGGTTTGAGGGTGTCGGTGGGTCCTGGAGGACACGAAAAGAATACGCCTCGCACAAATTGGTCAGCTCGTCCTGTGTATTCGCCACGAAGCACAAGGATTGAGGCCAGCGGAGTGACTCAAAAAGTCCGGCGAGATGGCAAGGCCTCACCGCCTGGCACTAGTCCCGGATAGGTAATGCGGATTGTTGACCGTCGCGCGGTGAATAAAGGTGAATATTCTGCTGGAGCTTCCCGAAGCTATCATAAGCTACCTTGCGGTCCGCACTACCTTTTCCCTCTCCCCTCCTTCTCTACTGGCTTGTTCGGTCTTATGATGATCTGATTGCCTTGCCAAATGGCTCCCATTCCGGAGGCCTATTTCCCGTCCCTGGACAAGTGCTTCTCCGGGGACGCTCAGCTCTTGTAAGGCTCCCGTCTACTCTCTGCGACTCGCGCTTGATACTGATCATTGATAGGTCCTGGAAGAGAGCCTTTCTCTACACAAACGACGCCGAAGGTCACACTGACAATGGAGATAACATCGCCGCCTTCCTTTCACACCCCGAAAGTATCCAGCAGCTATCACAAAGTCTGAATCCGTTCTGCCGCCCTTCCACTAAATCGAAATCCGAATTCGAGTCCAAAACCTCCGCTGTTCATGTCGAAACAAACTCTACCAATTCCTTCGATTTGAAGGAGATCAAAGCTGACGCGCAATGGCTCAGTAAGACCGCCGACATCGACGAGGTCACGGCTCTGCGCATCGTTATCCTTGAACGGCAGGACCGCCCCGCGGCGCGTCTAACCGCGAATTTCTCCTCTGAAGAAGCCGCGAGCCTAGCAAGTGCGACAGGTACTGATAACCTGCGAGTTTCGGTGGCTGGGCCCAACCTAGCGAACATTTGCAGCAGGGCTCAAACCGACCAAAATTCGTCCTCGTTCGACACGGAGAAGGATCGTCGGTTGCGACTGCGAAGCGTTTACATCTCTGAACGTGCTCATGTCTTGAAGACTTTCCGCAAGCTGCTTGTGCTCTCTCTGCATGACCTTGCAGGTGATTCAGTCATCTCTGGCGGCCGTGACGGAGCGCGCAAGCTTGCCTTGTTCAAGCTAGGCGTGACCATCTTCAAAGAGAAATCGAGCGGAGATGGACTGAAGCAGTTCCTGGAGGAGTGTATTACCGGCATCCGAACCCGCCTGAAGGACGTGACCGCAAATGACGGCTGGCTAGGAGTTTCCGAGAGCAGCCGGGAAGTTGAGGATACTTGGAAGACAACTTTGGTTGAAGAGCTGGTACACATCCTGCAGATTATGTTCCATCAGCTTCATGCATCAGGAGAGGTTCCTTCTGGGGCCATGCTCGAGTCCTGGCTAGAACTTATGGCTGAATATGGCTTCTTGGAATCGTTGCAAGTGGTAAGTTCTGGATATCTTCATGGTCTTATATTTGATGATACTAACGATCATTATAGCCTTGCGAAAATCCGGTTGAGGTGCTACTGCCTCTTCAGTCTTTCGTGTCTCTGACTACACTGGCTTTCCTGAAGGTTTCCCTCGTGGTCCCGTCTGTTCTGGAAAGAACTAAGCCCAAGGTCATTTCGCCTGGCCAAGATGCTTACTTTCTCTCGAAAGATAGAATTGCTAAGATCACTGAAATCCTGCTGGGTGCTTGCGAGATGCGAGTGACTGCCGCCAATCCAGCTGCATTTTCATGGGGATTGGTTCTTTTGCTGTTGCAAAATCTAGCCTCAGAGGATAAGAACGTTCGAGAGCTGGAACAACTCAACAGTGCCGTGAAATCTTTCCAGACGGATACCCTCAATGCGGGCCCCTCTCGGGATTCAGAGCAATCTTTGTACGAAGATCTCATTGACTGCGCTCGGCCACCTCACATGAACGAAGAAGACGATCCTCTCCTGATCTTGACTTCCGAGCAAGTCAAAGATTTGGCCTTCAGCACTATCATCACATTGTCCTCCAAGGCAGGATCTATGTCCGCGATTGACGACGGGTTAACCTATCGATGGGCCCGTTTGGCTCTCCTTGACTTGATCCGAGCTACCATTTTGTACATGGACTACTCGCCAGAAATCGTCGAGTCGGTGCTGGCAATCCTCAATGGCACACGGAATGCTTCGTCCTTGGATTCAACGTACTCACTCAGCCCCGCCAGCGACCCAAAGTCGGTATTTTCAAAGGACAGTCTCTTCATGAATAACATCTTCCGCACTTCTCGCTCTCGTTTCCCATTCGAAACGATCCCATTCTTGAAGCTCTGCCGCGCCTTGGTCAGCCCCCACTCTGTTAATGAGGATGGCTTGCCGGAAGTAGTCGAAGAGCTGGAAAACACCAGCACATTTACTCAACTTGTTCCCCCGAATTTCCAGGGCTATGAGACCATTCGCGAGGACGAAAATGCCAATTTTGTCTCCTTGACTCAATCTCTGCCAATGTTTGAGTCATCCCGAAACCGTCTTCCGGGCAACGAGACAGGTAATGCTTTGATTGTGTATGGGTCGTCGGAAATTCCATCTTCAACTATTGGGCAAGTCGTCTCCGAATCAAGACCGGCTGTCATAATGTGGCAGCATGAGTACTCGTGCTTGAGCTTTCTAGGAAGTTGGCTCGAGGAATGGAGTGGGAGCGGTGGATACTCGGATGGATGGGATCCTGAGTGCGGCGCCGAGATTATCGGGCTTTTGGCCGACTTGGTCACAAGCTCACAGGACATTCGTGCCCACGACTCCCCCGGGACGAGTGCCAAGAGGATTCTTGAATTGGCCAGTGACGGACTATCACGTCAAGGTGATATTATCTCGGTGGTCTTGGATATCTTTGAGCGGAATCTGCAGAATGTCGGTTCTCAGGGAGACCCAGTGAAGGCATTGGAACCAATTATGGCTTGCATGCAGTTTGTCAAAGGAGTCCTTCATGTCCTTCCCAACAGGATCTGGCCATTTTTGAGCCGTAGCAGCTTCATTGGATCGGATTGCAAAGGTGGAGTTTTGACTGCAATTATTTCTGCTGTCGAGATTCCTGCTGGTGAATATCCCTTCCTTCTCAGCTGTCTCCAGTTATTCGAAGCAACTGTCGACGATGCCGCATCTCGTGCAGTACTGCGCAAGTGTCCTGGCAGTGTCACAGGCAAATCAACGATCGCATCGGACTGGAGCGCAGGCATTCCGTCCCATGTCATGCGAACCATCATGCTGAACTTCACACGAACAATGGTCGAGATTTTCAATGTCAGCGGCAACTGGCGATTCAACTTCCCCGAGCAACAATTTACGATCAGCTCCAGGCTGGCTACTGTCTTCGATCGTATCCTTTACCTCACCTATGGAATCAATGACTCCGCAAAACTTGAGTCAAAAGTCACTGGCGTGTTTTCTGGATCTGCAGCCTATATCCTGGACATGCTACGACCTCGCTCAACTACTGACTTACCTTTCAATGCGATACTTCGACTGATCTCGGCCGGCCTTGAAACCCCAGCTACTATTCACCTCCGATACCTTGATCTACTTGTCAGCCAGGTTACTTCCACTTTGAACCTTAGTATTAAGCTTGTGCAAGCGGCACGACTTTCTGGGAAGCCAGCATCGCTTCTGGAGGAGCAACTCTTCAAGGCGACACCTGTTCTCACCAAACTTTATGCACTCCATGATGCTTATCGGCTACCAGTCGTGTCTCTCCTGGATACTTTGGTGATCAGTTCTTCTTCGGATGCTGACAAGGAACCTCCATCTCTTGTTGGACACCTCGGCGCAGAGTCGGCTTGTCTATTCCTTGATGTACTGTCCCAACTCGACAGATCTCTCAATGACAAGCAGTTGCTGCTTTCTATATGGCATTTGTTGTCGACCTTTGTTAGCAAGCGTCAGCAATGGCTGGCAGTTTTCATTCTCACCGGGAAATCACCTCGACAAACATTGAAGAAATCCGACAATGCCGGAGGTCCGAAAATGAGAAGCACGCCGTTCCTGCAAATTGCACTAGACAAACTTGCACATATCGAGGCAGAAGACCCCCAAGTGGCCTTGTCGTTACTCGAGTTCGTTTCTCATGCGCAAGAAAATTGGCCATGGGCCACTCCGCACTTGCAAAAGCACACTGAATTCTTCAACGGCATATTGCACTATGTTTCTAAACTGAGAATCTCTTCCATGCCAGTGACCGAGCAAATTTTCGCAACTCGAATCGCTTCGGTCGTCACCGACATCTGTGCTGTCTACTTGTTCCCATTCAAGGAATTACTCAAGGGATCACCTAACGCTGACAGGGAAACCAAAGAGCGTGGGAAAAAGTTCTTCACTGATCTGATTCCGCTAGTGCAATGGCTGAGCAAGGATGCTGTGGAAGTTTCGGCGTATAACGCTTCCTTGCATGCAAATTTGAAGAAGAACTTCGAAATGCGGTATGCCGGCTGCAAATTGACCGATTTCAAGAGGTCAGCGCTTGAAACCCATACGCTGGGGCGTGATTACTATTACGATCTAGCGATGGGACAAAGTTTGTTGTCTTACGACTTTGCTTGGGCTGGAAACCGGAAACAAGGCTTTTCTGAGGAGTTTGAGCGAGCTAATATCAACTTGTCGCTCGTCGAAGCGCAAATTGTAAGTCTGCCAACCCTTATAATGGATGTTATAAATTTGATCTAACTTTTCGCAGACTCTTCTCAACAGCTGGAAATTCTTTGCCGTTGAGCATTGCCACGATTTCATGGAGGCCGGAGCAGGGCAAACATTCCAGGTACTGGTAGCAGAGGTGGCACAAAAGTGCCTGGAAGCCAACAGCCGACCCGTTCCTCCCGAGGCTATTTTCGACCGGATTCAGCAGGTACGAGTCGATTTCGCTCAGGCGCTGACCCAGTGTCTGGTGGAGAAGGGATCACGAGGAGCCGAAGTCTTCCACTTACTGGAAGTCGTCTGGAAAGCCCTGCGCTCCCGTCATACAACCTACGAAGCCGCCCTGATCGGTGATGACACGGAATATTACCGGTCTCTCCTCAATGTGTTGTTTTTGGCTCTCCAGTTCCACGTGGATGCGCCTGCGGGCCAAAATGAACCGGAGGTCCTCCGCAAGGTCGCAAAGGTGTCGTCCGACATCCCCGTGGTCGTGGATGTTGTCAAGGTCGTGGTTGCGCAAGGTTTCAAGTCCCTCACATCATATCTCCACGATGAGCCAGATAAGTGCACGCCAAAGGACTTTGCCATCATCATCGCCATTCTCCAGACTTGTCTGCAGGTCAAGGACGCAGACCGGCTCTACGAGTTCATCACGTACCACATTCAAGACAACGACACTGTCCGCCATGCGACTACTTTGTTTTCATGGGCAGATCAGCTTGCAATTGCCGGCGATCCAGTCTACGGCGAAGTCAGTCTCTCATTCCTCGTCAAGCTGTCCACCCTCCCCATGTTGGCTGAGCACCTGGCCGTGGAGGGAGTACTGATGAGACTGTCAACGTGCCGTCTCACCAATTTCCTTCAGAGGCCGAAAGGATGCGGACCGTTCGACTCCGTCCCTCGACTTTACACAATCTGGACCAGCGGGTTCCTTCCCTTGTGCCTGAACCTGCTTTTCAGTGTCAACCGCGCCGCGCCCGAGGTGTCTGCCTTCCTGAACCAGTTCGAAGGTCAGCTTAACCGTGCTGCGGAGACTTTCTCCCATGGCCACAAGACCCCGCAGTCCCAGTGGATCAGCCTTAGCATGGCTTCGGAGGCATATTCGCTGGCCCTGATTTCCGTGGCTCTGGACCGTTTCCGCCAGGCCGGCCCTAGTGCTGGTCTGGACCCGCAAGCCATCCAGGACCTCAAGTGGGACAAGTCGCATGTCAAGGACGACATCAGCGAATTGCTCAGTCGTCGCCCGTACCTTCGCGGCCGTATCGTCGCGACGAATGACAAGGAGACTGAAATGTCCCGACAGCCACCGCTGCACAAGAAGCACGAGGCGGAGAACCGGTTGGAGGAGAAAATCGTGATTGAATTGGAGGAGGTGCTGGCCTGCCTTAACCTGGGCGAGGATTGATGATACTCATGTGATGTCTCTACTTACAGCCTTTTTTTTTTGTTTGCTTGCGATTTTTTGGTTTGTGCCTGGCCAGGGTTTGGGGGTGTAGCAGATCAGCGTATCGGAGATCCAAGATTTTCTGCATCGAGTCATTTGTGGTGTTTTCTAGATTAAGCTAGGTGAATTGTTGCATAGCACCAGTTAATGTGCAGAGTCAATGATGTATTCGTAGATCGTCTTGGTGACTGTCAAGTCACCCATACGCTAGTATAATGTAGGCACTAATCGTGGAATTATGCTGGGCCGAGTATTGGGTATCTACGTATCAAACATGACCCTTTGAGAACTACTTCTACCTTTTGGGTAGGGGTCAAACACGTCATGCCAAGCTTTGACGCCTGGCATAGTTTACTGGGGTTTGTTGCCCACCATCAGATGCTTATCGCAAACCTAAATCTAAACCTTGAGATTGTTGTGCGAATAAAAAATAGGAATAACAAAAGGCATCTCCTAGAAATAAATGGGTAGTTGAGTACTACATACTAACTAGCTGTCGGTTGAAAAGCGGAGAGCTGTAGGAACGAGGCAGGTCCTGGATCACTGCAGCTGCAGCGTTGTACTGGTATGCAGCCGCAGATCTCGATCAAGTCACACGATATATACCGATGGGTATACATCAGTTAATCTTTATAACTTCTCTGTAGCTGAATCCCTCAAGATTATTGTAGGTGAGCCTACCATGGATTGCACACCGTTTATCCGAGGTAGTGCCGGTCACCTCGGATCCCCCGCATGCATAACCGATTTATGCGGGGGAGGTCCCCGAGGCTCCCTACTGATTTGACAAGGCTGTATGGTTATGTGGCTATTTGGTATGATCCAGGGGCTGGACCTAAAAACCGAATGACGAATGAACCATTCATCAATTGTCCTTCTCCTCATCCTATCTCCATCCCATCCTCGATCCATCCTTGTCCCAACCAGGGAATCTTTAGACCACCATGCCATATAAATCTCGCTGGAGCATCGACGTCCCGAACACCCACCTTGCTTCACTCCTGCTCACTTCCCCCACAGCTCCCCTGTCGCAAACACATCGATGCTTTACTGAAGCCGCCCGCCCGGACACGCACTACTTCACGACCCATGACTTCCGACTTTGGAGCCAGCGGTTCGCCGCAGGACTGCACAAGTCGGGCCTCAAGCCTGGTGATCGGGTACTACTCTTCTCTGGAAACGACATCTTCTTTCCCGTCGTCTTCATGGGCAGCATCATGGCGGGCGCCATTTTCACGGGCGCCAACCCGACTTATGTAGCCCGCGAACTGGCCTTCCAGCTCCAGGACAGCGGAGCAACGTACCTGATCTGCGCCGGAGCTGTATTAGACACGGGCATCGAGGCAGCGAAACTGGCGGGCTTAAGCCGAGACCGAGTCTTCATCTTTGACAATGCGATCTATGAAGGTCAGGGCCAACCGTCGAAGGGCTGTCGGTATTGGGGGGAGCTGGTGGCAAGTCCCGAGGAAGGACGCGGCTTCGCATGGGAGGAATTGAACACACCTGAAAAGGCAAATACCACCCTTGTGCTGAATTATTCCAGCGGGACAACGGGCCGACCCAAGGGCGTGGAAATCACGCATAAAAACTATTGCGCCAATATGTTGCAGTATACGCACCTGGCCAGTTTGCATCCGGATTACGCCCAGAAGCTAACTCGGGCGCGCTGGCTGTGTTTCTTGCCACTGTATCATGCAATGGCGCAGAATATATTCATTGCGGCTGCGTTGTATCGCCAGACGCCTGTGTATATGATGCCAAAATTTGATTTTGTCAAGATGTTGGAGTATACGCAGAAGTTTCGCGTGACGGATCTGATTCTCGTGCCGCCGGTTGTAGTTTTGCTGGCCAAACATCCGGCTGTGAAGAACTATGATCTGAGTAGCGTCGAGTCTGTGGGTAGCGGCGCCGCGCCGCTCGGGCGAGAAGTTTGTGTGGAGGTGGAGAAGTTGTGGCCGGAAGGCAAAATTAACATCAAGCAGGGGTGGGGGATGACCGAGTCAGTTTTGAATTTCCTTTTCCCCGTCTCTATGTCTTTCCCAAGACTTTTCTCCCGGGATGTTATGCATTGAACGTGGGAGTATCTGCGGGGGTGAAGAACTGTATAATTGCCTTGCGGACAATGCTAATGGCTGTACAGGGCAACCTGCTCCATCCTCGGATGGGATCCGAGAGAGAAGAGTCATTCAGCCTCAGTGGGGGAGCCTAATGCCAACTGTGAAGCCAAGATTGTAGGCGAGGATGGTATCACCGAAGTTTCTGGACGCAACCAACGCGGTGAGTTGTTGGTCCGCGGACAAAACGTCATGAAGGGATATTGGCGCAACCACGAGGCAACCCTGCAGACCAAGACTGAGGATGAGTGGCTTCGGACAGGCGACATTGCCTATGTGGATGACCAGGGCAAGTTCCATGTTGTGGACCGAATGAAGGTACGTCATATCGCGCCAAATTAGAGAAATCATATCAAATCGAGGTGTCAAATCCCGGAGGGGCACTGACAGAACCCCGCAGGAGTTGATCAAGGTCAAGGGCAACCAGGTGGCCCCGGCTGAACTGGAGGCCCTGCTGTTGGAGCATCCAGCCGTAGCAGATGTGGCCGTCGTGGGCGCCGTGATGTGAGTACTTTTGTTCCTCAGTTTTTCCTTTCTTTATTTTCTTATTGTTTTTCTCTATCACACTTCCTCTCGACTGTGTGCAACACGAAGCTAGCTTTATTTTTGTGATGGACACTGACTGGCGACAGCAACAACGACGAGCGGCCTCGCGCATACGTGGTCCTCAAGCCTGGGCAGTCTGCGACGGCGGACGAGATCGTCCGGTTCATGGACGGTAAGGTCTCCGCCATCAAGCGGATCACCGGCGGGGTCATGTTCCTCGAGGCAATTCCGAAGAACCCATCGGGGAAGATCCTACGCGAAGCGCTGCGCGAGCAAGCCCAGACAGAGCTGAAGCAAGGTGCCACAGCCAAACTCTAGCCGCCCGACTGAAATTTCTGTTGAATGTTGGACGTGGAATTGCTTTTGCTGTGGTTCGTGAGTGGATTCTGGATTTTGTTGTATTCTGTATATGTTGTATGTAGGGCAGAAAGTGAGAATAGATGGCGATGCCGCCTCAAATTTCATTGTATTACCGGATCCCTGTAGATATCACGGCGATCCTCGCGGGGATCCGTGGCCCCGGAAACGCGGGCCAGAGGCGAAAGCAGCAAAGCACGATAGCCGAGCGCAGTACTGGGCGGGCTGATTCGCTGGAAGGAACCGGGCTAGCCAGTCTTAGCACTGTTAGCGCGAGACAGTCCAGCTGGAGCTGAGAACGCCCGATCACGATCGGGCACATCGCTCGGTGTGAGAGGGCGCGGGGCGCTTCATCGACTCATCATTAGGATCGACGCGATATTTTTCTCCGCAACCATGGCCGTGGATACGGGTCGCGCATCCCTGTGCTGATTTGAGGGCGAGCTGCAGCGTAGGAACTCTCGAGACGCCCGCCAGAGTGGAGGGCCAGACCGCAGATCTTCGACTTCCCTGCGTGGCGCCTCGATGCTGCAGCTGAAATCGCTCGTGGCTGGCCGGCCGGTAGCTGGGCATGCCCTTGACACTAGCGTAGTGTCTTTTCTTTTCGATCCACCGGTCAAGAGAGTGCGCGCAGGCAGATGCAGATGCAAGCAGTGGGGCAGTAGTCGCTTGTTGGCGGGTTAGAGTTGGAGGCGGGAGTTGGAGTGGAAGTGGAAGCGAGAAGGACTCTGTCGAGGTCACACCCGCTGCAAAGCCTCGTTTGTTTTTGGAGCCTTCACTTTGACTTTCTGATGGATCACAGCGTTGGATATGCTTATCCGGAGGAACTCGCGCATCTTTAGAGATGATCCTACATTAAATGGAATTCGTGCGAACCATCGTGTCACCTCCATGCCGGGGGTATCCTCGACGCCATCTCTCTATAGATCCAACAGCAATGTGCCCCGCCATCGCTGTCTCTCGCTTTCGCCGTCGATCTCTTTGTCCTCAGGCCACCCGGTAAGCTAAGCCTCTTTATATTGATTCCTTCGCCCGTACGTCGTAGTCGTTCTCAAACTATTCCGTCTCCCCGACTGCTGTTCTGTGTTCTATAGGGGTCTATCAAGACCAGGCCACCACGGCTCCAGCAGCAATCCAGCCGTCGAGAAGAGAAACAAAGTCGTGAACTTGCTCCCACAATATTCAGCGTGGACCTTCTTTTTCACATCTTCCTCGGTATTTCTTCTGGGGATAGACCAGGAGGACTGCTATCCCGCAAAGACATTTCCAACCGCAATGATCACGGCGGGACAAGTATACGCATCTCGGCTCTTACCGACTGTGTCCTCGTGGACATTTTACACCAACGCCGTCCTGTTCAGTGCAGTCGTCACCAGTATATTCATCCTCCTACTGGCCGTACATCATCTGAGGCGGCACTGCAAATCCCCCGCCGTTGCTACAGAACAGACAGACCAGTGGTCCCAGCTGTCCAACATGGAAAAGTCCAAATCTGCGGACAACTCAACCTCGCCGCCGGCCACCTCAGCCTGCGATGTCCTCAAGCCATTATCGCAGAATGGCAATTTCCCAAGCAGCGGGGCCGTGGCGGCCAGAGCCCGCGAGCAGATGCAAAATGGTGGGAAATCATCTCCGTCCGGCTCCCCTGCGGCCGCCACGCAGCCTCGATCTGAGACGGCAGGTGATTCGACGGGTCCTGTGCAGAAACGCAGTGAGTCGGTGCAGCAAATGCGTGAGGTGGATGTCAATGGCGTCCGAACGTGGCGACGGCTGGTCGTGGAGTATAGTTAGCGGCATTTGCCTCCCATGATTGTTTTGCTTGTGTCATGTTTTAGCCCGGTGGCCTTTTGTGCTTTTTTTTTTTTTATTTCTTCGCTTCTGTTCTTGTGTTACAGTGATTCTGCATCTATCATTTTTAGTCACTCCTTTCTGTCCACGCTGTTTCCATATGGGGTGTTTTCTGTTATTTGCGAGTTTTTTTGTGTACGCTTCAACTTTGAAGGCGGAATTTATATTGCTGAGTCAGCAGATATCGGCCCGGTGGCATCTTCCAACTTGAGCAATCCAACTTGAATCTCTGCATCCCTAGCAATTTCCACACTTCCAAGGTTTTCCCAGCATGGCTGTAACTGAATTTCCCTCAGCGGGAGAATCACCCGACCTCACCCTCCTGAATGTCGCCCGTCTCTTCACCCGCCTCGAGCACAATCTCGTCTCCCCAGGTGCGGAGCTCCGCACCCTGCGCCGGTCAGAGTTCCAGCGCATGCGAGTGACCAAGGTAAGATACATCGCTGTGGCCGGTCTATCTGTTGGCCCTCCTGATCATATAACCCCCTGTCAGACCAAACTCCCCCACTAGATCTAATCGTAAAGTGATACAGAATGTCGAGTACGCCCGAATCCTCCTCTCGCAACTCGAACGCTCGCTCCCGCAATTGAAGCAACCGGATCGCCGACACGAAGCGCAGGCGGAAATTGCGCGCGATAGACAGCTCCTTAAGCGAATGCAAACTATCCTTGACGAAGTGGACAGTCGTGCCGATGATAATGACGAAGCGGAGGACGATGTAGACGACGAGTGGAAGGAGCTATTCTCCAAACCCATCGTGGAGAAAGTTGTATCATCTGCGGACACAACCTCGAAATCACAGCCGCGAGTTCAAATAAACGAAACCGACACCAACTCCACAAACGCACCCACTACCACTACGGCAACCGCAACAGCTACCTTCACTCCCACCCCCACCCCATCAATAGAGCCAAACTCTACCCTTCGCAACCGAAACACAACAACTTCATCCCCGAAACAATCTACCGGACACACCACTGGAAGCAATTATGGACAGGACATGAATGCCTCCACCGAAAAGGCGCTCGACAACGACCGCTCCGAGCAAGAAGACCTCACCGGTTCTCTGGTCTCGATGGCCACTCAATTAAAAGCCCAGTCCAAGTCATTCCAAAGCACACTGGAAAGCGAGAAGGATGCACTGGAGCGCGCCGCTCTAGGAATGGACAAGACTTCGTCGACGATGGAGGCGGCGGGGAAGCGGATGGGGATGTTGACGCGCATGTCGGAGGGAAAAGGATGGTGGGGGCGGATGATGCTCTATGCGTGGATCTTTGCGTTGTGGATTGTCGCTATCTTAATTGTTTTTGTTGGGCCCAAGTTGAGGTTTTGAGCGAGATGTGAATTGTTGTTTGGTTTGCGTTAAGATACCCTGGATGCTTGTATCCAACCATCGGAATGAGAATGAGAATGATTTGAATATTACCATTCATCACTATCAATATCGATCAAACGGCGCCTGCAAATTCAAGGACGTATTGCGTCGAGATGAAACCGTCACGGTGGGACTGGGATTCGGAATTTAATGCCCGACGATCAGGCAGTTCCTTAATTTCAAGTATGATGACACAGGCCAGGCTACTCGAACAGATGAAGTCGGAAACCCGATAATTGAATTCCTGTCTGACTATAACCCAACGACCGAGGCATGACACATGAGAACAGACATGATAATTCCGTGTATCCTGTCATTTCCCCGTGCCCATTGCCCGGCTGGTTGCGCAAGGCTTCCAACGGACGCGAGACCAAGGAAACGATGAGGGAGACGGTATGGTTACATACAAAAACAACGAAGAGAAATGGGGGAGGTGGCAACCACAAGAGATGATAGGATATCCAGCATTCAAATCAGACACAAGGGAAAATGGGGAAAAAAATGGAGAAAGGAAAAAAAGAGGAAAAAAGGGTCAATAAGTCAGGGCGCCACGCGGATTAAGGTGGAGCCATGGTGGGAAAAATGGTCCTGTTTGGCGCTATCGAGAAGCAGGAACAGGGTAAAAGAAAAGAACCGGCTAGAGATCGTGTCAAAGGCGAGCGCAATTAGAAAAGACACACTGAAGAAATGAAGAAAGAGAAAATGTTCAACGCCGGAATCTGGAACGAGGCTTTTGATCACAATCCTGGCGAGATCCGATTACAAGCCGAAGGAAAAACACATGCGATCTAATTTCAACACACTGCGACACCGGGGAATTGGTAGTTCATTAGATCAAGCCGCAGAGACGAAGGTTCTCTTGGATGATGATATCTATTTGGGTGTTTGATTAGTAAATGGACCATCGACTTGTGAATTGTATCCAAAATGACAACTTACCGTTGACAGCAGCCATGACGAACCGGATCTGTGTGGTGTCGGTGGCGCAGGTGAAGTGAGTGTAGATCTGCTTTTGTTCGGCCTGGTTCAGAGAAACGAAGCGGTTGAGGATGTAGTCGCAGGCAGCAGCGTAGTCGGCACCGCCCTCGTAGTCGGGGAAGTAGTTCTTCATCGGGCTGACGGGAAGCTTCTCCTTGAAACGATCGATCTTGTTGAGGAAGAGAATGATAGAGGTCTTGACGAACCAACGGGAGTTGCAGATGGAGTCGAACAGAGTCAAGGCTTCTTGCATACGGTTGACAGTCTCGTCCTCGAATAGTAGCTGGTCGTACTCAGAGATGGCGACCAAGAACAGAATAGTAGTGACATTTTCGAAGCAGTGGATCCACTTCTTTCGCTCCGAACGCTGACCACCGACATCGAACATGCGGTAGGTCAAATCGCCAATGATGAAGGTGGTCTCGGTGATACCGGTAGTCTTAACACGGGAGCGAAGGACATCCTGGTCGGTGGGAAGGTAGTCGGGCTGGGCAATGCGGTCAATGGCATCGAAGTAGCTGGTAAAATAAAAGTTAGCAATTGATTCTGCGCGACACGGATATGTAACCCGTGGTCTTCAGGGCTTTCACTCACTATTTGGCAGAGTCGTTCAGCTGGTATTCACGCGAGCGCTTGAAGCACTCCTGAACACCGGTGTCACGCCACAGAGCGCCAATGGCATTGCCGACCTCGGGCGGGATGCTATCACCTTCGATCTGGGCGGGCTGCATGAAGATGGTCTGGACGTGGTACTCGTTGCGCGCATCCTCCAGCGGCAGCTCCAGGGACTCCATGGCCTCGAGAATGACCCGCATCGATTGGACGGTGTTGCTGTAAATAATTTCTTTGAAGGATTCGCGCTCGTCGCGTGAGTAGCCGCCTTCGTGGATGAGCTTCATCTGCTTCAGAATCGTGGACTTGCCCGACTCTCCAGCACCTGCACACAATGGTTGTCAGCTATTCCAAGTCCTCCAAGTAGCTTCTTGGGCATATCGCATATAGGCGACCGGGGTCATACCGAGCAGCAGCATCTTAATCTCGTTCCGTTGCATCATTTTGTCGCGTTTGAGCTGGTTCTCAATCTCCTCGTTCCGCGCCTTCCCCTCCTTGTCCTCGGTACTCATACCACAACCCATGATGGCGGTATTTGGTGGATGTGTGTGTTTGTGCGGAAGGTGCGAACGATTGTGTGGTAAAAAGCCGGTTGGAATTATAGGGCCCGGGTTCGATTGCAGGGACTGGTCAGGGTCGCGCAAGGTCAGCAGGAAATTCCTCGAAAGAAAAGAAACAGTGATCGCATCGATGGTAGTCGGGGACTTCGCGAAGGTGGTACAAGCCGCAGAGAACCGACGTTTCAGGATGGAATCGTGTTGACGCAAGGGTGAAACCAAACGGGTCGGAGCACGAGCCTGGTAAAAGGGGGAAGGATCAGGACACACCTGGAGAGAAACCCGAAGCTCAAGGAAAGGAGCGATTAGAGGTGGTGTACAGGAAAAGGAAAAAGGAACTGAACAGACGCCCGAACCAGCTGAGAGAGAAGGGGAGGTTTAAGGTAAGGGGGGGAACGAGGAGGGGGGAAATTGGAAGTTTCAGCAGGGAAAGGGGATACGGCGGTAATACCGCGTGGTCCGCGGAGAGGCCCGCGTGCTGGAGGGATGTGACGCTGCCGTGACTGTATCGTTACCACAGGTGATTCCAGCACCTCTGGGGCCGTAGCGGGCCCTGATTGGCGGTGGAGGAATGGGTCTGTATTTCGCGCGGGCGAATCAGCGCGTGTCGATGGGAGCCCCTTTTACTGGGTCTTTGTGTTCGGTTGACCCGACTTCATCACTGGGAAACACCGCAGGGTATGTATACCCCAGTCGATATGCCGGGGATGAGATCACTGGTGCTGGGATGCATGCATGAACAATCCGTCGGACCCGATGGTCGAGCTGCTGGGCACCCGAGCAAATCGACCAGAACGCGATTGCCAATATCTCGACGACATCTGGTACCTGGCAGAATCATCTCAGGAGGATCTACATGTGGGGTCCCAATACACTAATGGTTATTGTCCGACACGGTCTCCATTTTTGAGGGCAATCATCTTACGGGCACAACTCTGCTGCTCTGCTTCAGCCTGTATGTTTTCTCCTGTTGCAGATTGCAGACTGACCATGGCTGTTGGATCCCCGCCCGAGCTGACCGTTGTGCTCCAACCTACTGATCGACTTCCTTGCTTCTCTTTCTTACTTTTTTCTTTTCGCGCGTCTCGGCCCCGACGCATCAGAAATTGCGGCTGCCTCAGCCTGGAACACTGCTCAACGGCAGATCTCACCGTCGCACCGGAATCAGCAGAGGCCACAGGCTGGCGACTGGTACCGTCCAGTCTGGGACCGCTCCCGCTTCCTATAGATGGGACTCACAGTCTCTCCACAAGGTGGCGTCAAGCCGGCCGTTGCAAAACCTGTTGCTCCATCGGTCTGAAAGGCAACTCCACAAACTGGAGTCGGAGAAGCTACGAGAGGTACACTCGAGGCGTAGTCGGGCCTGAGTACCCTCGGGTATTCCACAGGGTACGCCATTGTGGACTGGCTCAGGTACCTGCCGATCCGTCGGGGAGGAAGGCCAGCTCCTCTAATCTCGTGGGCCGACTGGCCGGGATTTCCAAGCAAGGCGGGTCTGCATGATGGTCCCAGTAAGCAGGTATGATGATGATTACATGGCGAGCGGTACATGTACCGATGGTAAGCAATCGTACAGCGCACATGGCGGGTTTCACATGGCCCCTGAGCTGATGGAATTTCTGGAATTTCTACTGCTGGAGCACGCTATCGGGGCCCGACCCACCGTCTAGTGCTTCTAGCCTTCTATTTGCCGCACGCTATCCCCTCTCCTGGGCCTCCCTTCGGTATACCACATGGAGTGCGACGCAAAGTTAGGGTCCCCTCATGCATCGTCACATTGCGTAGGGATGGTCGCCTGCAGCAGCTCGACTGCTACATATCCTGGGTGTACCAGTATACTCCGTAAACCGTACATAGAAAGTCCCTCGCAAGTACTTCCTTAGGATACTCTGATATACATAGACCATTGCCAGGTCGATTTCTTTTTTCCGCGTCAGGAGACCGGGGTCTTGCACTGCCGGTCTAGTCGGTCTGATGCTGGAACAAATACCCGCCAGAGCGATTACTGCTTACGGGTCCAGATCTAATAGGAAGTCGGATCAACACTGCAACCACTGCTTTGTTCCTAGTCGTGCATGTCAGAACGAGCCAACGAACCATCCTTTCATGATTACTTTCTTACTCTCTTTGACGTTCTCTTGATCTAGAATTCTTTCAAATATTCTCCGCCCCAGCGATTTGTTTGACGCTCGTCCCTCCACGCAAGCACGGAGTATACTGCTGGGACCCTAGAGCTCCGGAGTAGTTGCATCATCCCCACCCAGTGGGTAATACCATGAAGCTAATCCCCGCCTAGCTTGTCCAACTCGATCTATGTACAACTATATTACTTCTATCCATGGTCACGAAATAGGTGGTTTCTCAGACGTCTCTCCTGTCTTGTCAGCTACCCGTCAATCCTCACGTCAAGATTGACAGCTTATTCTCCGAAGACCTGACCGGCGTTTCATTCTATTTGGTCAATCGACCGCTTTCATATTTTCTAGATTTCTCAGGGTGCTTGTGATGTACAAAGTACTAATATAGTAGTGCGTCATTGGTCTTCCCCTTCGATGGCCCTATCTGAGTGTCCAGGGAACCCGCCATAGTGCACATTGCGTACGCAAATCCCACTCCACTCTCGTCCTCGACAATGCAAGTATCTCAAATCATCATGAAGCATAGACAGTGATGCCATATGGCGGGTATTTAGGTATTCAGGAATTTAGGTATTCAGGAATTTAGGTATTTAGGTGGGAGATGGATAGGCAAAGTCTCGGCTCCACCATCTTCAATAGCGCAAAGTCTATTGCTATCCGCGATTAAAATGATCGGGTCAAGGGAACTCCGACCTGGATACTGCTGACTCCGTTGATCTTCCAGCGTTTGAGCTCCATTTCTCCTGAATTGCACGGCCAACCATAACATGACGTGGCTGGCTTGGGCTGGCCACATAATTGAGGATGGTGTTTCAAGTGTCGGCGAATTCAGATCTGATCAGGAGGTGTCGATCTGATCGGCTGCATTCTACCATGAATTGGGGTTCGATATTGATGCTGCTCGAATCGCACCTCGCCATTTGCCTGGAATTACCGGACGATATTACTACTACAGATTTATCGGTTACTAACTATGTAACTATAGTTAGTTAGTTATACGGCATCTGTCCTTAGTAAATAGATCGGGCTGATCCATGGAACCTCCGATCGCGGGCGCATCGAAGCTGGATCTGATTTGATTTTTTGATTTTTCGGGAGACTGATGGCCCCGTCCCCACTTCTTCACCCTGCAACCCGCGCAGTTCGCAACGTCCCAACTTCAAAAACATCCTACCATGTCACACGAAATGTCCCACCTGGGCCCGCGGGGTAGGTCGCTCCGCAATCGCAGCCTGAAACGCTCACAGACTCACCATCTTCAGCCTTCAACCACGACCAGAGCGGCGACGCCGAGGCCGAGTACGATCGCCTCCGCGATCTCGCGCGCCAGGAGGCCTCCAAGCGCGGCGATTGCTTCCACCGCGTACGTCGCGTACCTTTTTTTGTTTCTGTTTCTATCGTACGCGCGCCATTGTGCTCATGTGCTGACTGCGCTTAGTCCAAGGAAGCCTACTCCAATGGCGATGGCGCCGCCGCCAAAGAGCTCTCCGAACAGGGTAAGGCCCACGGCCGCAAGATGGAGGAATATAACCGGCAGGCGTCGCAGTTCATCTTCCGCGAAAACAATGCGGATGGTCGTGTAGCGGCGGATACTATCGATCTGCATGGGCAGTTCGTCGAGGAGGCGGAGGAGATCCTGGAAGAGCGCATCAAGTATGCGAAGGCTCACGGACAGAGCCACCTCCACGTGTACGTTTCTACCTCCAATTCCGGCTTTTATCTTATAGTGGACATGTTGGAACGGAAGGCATTGGTACTGACATTACTCTAGTATCGTTGGCAAGGGCAACCACTCCGCCGGACACGTGCAGAAGATCAAGCCTCGCGTCGAGCAGGTCTGCCGCGAACTCGGCCTGCAGTACGCCACCGAAGATAATGCCGGTCGCATCTACGTCAATCTCACCGGCGGAGAGGCTGTCATGCCGTCCTACCCCTCCCACCAGGCACCGCACCACGGTGGATACCCCGGGCAGCAACAAGGACACCAGCAACACCAGCAGCCTCAGCAGCAGGACGAGATTGAGCAGGTGGTTAACGCCGTCTTGCCCAAGGTCATGCGCAAACTGGAGAAGGCTTGCTGTGTGGTTATGTAGAAGGTAGCCAATCCTTCGTTCACGCTTCATTTTTGAAATCTTGGAGGTGTTATTGGGGCTTTTATATAGACGCATGACCCGTGGTCTATAGATTTGATCATGGCGATGTGATTTAATGTCTTTTACATGATGTTATGATTCGTGATTATGGAATCAAAATTCATAGCGGATGCTCACTGGCAGTCCACTACAATGGACATCATAAATGATCATGAATCAGAAATATTCTGTATCGGTTTGATCACAACAGTAAACTTATATCAAGTAGTACGAGGCGTACCAAGGTAGATCGGCTAATGATGTGTCAAAATATCAGAATATGCCAAATTTATCGTTCGTAAGTGTTTACATCGCTTAGCACCAACTATCCAGTACCAACTTGAAACAACTTGAGATGGGTATATCAAAAGTGCCAAAACTCCACCTGTCACCAAATGTGAAAAGAACAAAAGTTCAAAAAAAAAGAGCCGCCATATCTTGCCCACAGCAACCAACGAGTAGGTTATTGTGTCTCATCTGACAAGGTGGAGTCCACAATCTTGTACAAAACAGCGCGCACCATTTCTCCATCACCGGCATTATTGATCTGGGGCGTCGCATCGATCATCTCGATCAGGGTCAAGGCGCGATCACGTAGTTCCCGAACAAATTGACGCGTATGCGCAAAGCTGCCCGTACTCTGCATGTACTGCACGGCGTAGCGCTTGACCTCGTCATCTTGGGTTTTCTGCTTGAGGATGCTGAGCAGCTGATGGTTGCCAGGATTCGAGCGAATACTATGAATTATGGGAAAAGAGAATTTCCCTTCCGTCAGATCCTCGCAGAGCCCTTTATTGTGGGTGTATGCAGTATTCGAAAGATTGAGGTAGTCGTCGCAGATCTGGAAGATCAATCCCATGACGTTCACCAGGCTGACACAGTCCTTGCCCGTTGTGCTCTCCGCTTGCATAAGCTTTACAGCTAAACGGAAGAGGCCGCCAGTCTTGTTGCCCACCATTTCGAGGTACTCGTCTTCCGTGGGGCAAGTGAGAGTATCCCGCCAGAAAAGGTCCATGCCTTGGCCACGGTGCAGGTTCAGAAGCTCCTTCACGTATATGTCGATGGCGGCCGGGTTATTCAGTTGTTGAATTTCTTGTAGGGCGAGAAAGTAGACGTAGTTGGCGGAGTTGATGGTCTGCGCGGTGCCAAAGATGTTGTGGGCGACGGGGATTCCACGGCGGAGAACGGAGTTGTCTTCGACGTCGTCGATTCTGCAGGTGGTTAGCGGGGAATTATATTATGATGGGATCGGGAGAGAAGAAAAGTTTACTGACAAGAGGGACGCCGTGTGTAGCATTGTGACCACCTTGGTGATAATCGCCAAACTCTCGGGTGGGACCTGGAGCCAGGAATTAAACGCCTGGATGAGTTGCTTGCGCACATCCTTGCCCGGATGCTGGTGCATGTAGTCGTAGGGTCCTATGAGGATCTTCTCGTTCTTGGATGACCATGTCCCGTCCTTGTACTTGGTGCCATCCACGCTGGATTTGTTGCGCTTGTGTTTCAGCCTCGACGATATGCCGTTGCCTGTCGCCTCGCTGTCGGCGACCGACTTTCGGTGCCGGTGTGAGGGCGGGCTCGCCGGGCCATTTGAGGCATTCGCAGAGCTTGTCCTGGGCGGAATCGGACTGGGCGGCTGGAAAGAGGAGCTCATTTTGTCCCAAGGCTGCCCGTGGTGATGAGGGGAAGATTTGGAGGGGTGGAGGGGTGCGGAGAGAGCAGATGACATCAGCTCCGACTTGCAGCCACTTGGGAGGCTGAGTCACGCCCCAGCGAGGCCGTGCGAGTGTCAAATTGACGCTGGCATTTTTCGCACTCGGTCGCATCGCAGGAGTTTGTATTTTTCGACCATCTTTGGGTTTCTATGGTATCTCCCGTAGTACACTGCAGCTTGCCTCTGCGTACCTGGACAGGATCGATGACTAATCGGGCATAGTGTGTTCAAATTGGGACTGAAGGAAGGGGGAGCAAGCAGGTCCGAAGGGATGTGAAGGGATGTGATAGTGATGGAGATGCAGATAATAATCGAGATGTGGTCCAGCAATAGTACTAGCTAGGAGGACTGAGAGCGAAAGAACCGACCGAGCGAACGCAAAGCACAGATTGTCCCTAGCAACGAGACAAAAGAGTGTGTTTACAAGTGGTAGCAAGACAGCCCTGCGATGGACTATATGTATCCACCGGCTATAGGTGGTTGGGCCCAGCGCCGATAAGAACAAAAGAGCCTCTGGGGTTGAAGAAACAAAACCGGTTTTGGGGCTGTCAGAAAAGAATAACGTTCCTGACGCCCCAGCTGTTCCCAGTGCGTCCCAGGGTTCCTTGCTGCGCCGGGGAGGGAAGTGGTGGGGTCGTCCGGGGCAACCGCGCCGTATTTACTTTATTTACGCATCTGACCTCATCGCCCACACGGACCACTTCGGCGATCCCGATTTTCTGATTTGATATAAGACATGCCCGATTTTCTCAGCTGAACCGCACAGCTGCTCTCGCTGCCGGGCCAGCTTGGTTTTTATTCCTCTTTGTATCTCTTACCGAATCCCCCAGTTCACGCCTCATGGAGACTCTGTTGGCCCATTCTTTCGACTATCTTTCCTCCTACGAGCCCAGCAAGGTCCGGAAAGGCCTGCGCCAGGTCGAGGGCCTGCTGGCCCAAATATGCCTCTCCAAATCCAAGTCCCCGAAATCTCCGACCGACCGTCGGAGATCCTGTCTGGCCGTCGAAGCCCAGCCAGTGCCCAAGGCGCTGACCGATCTGCACGATGATCCGGCATTCAGGGAATTTTTCAAACTGCAAGAGGGTTTTCAATGGAATGGTGCGCAATTCGCAAATGGCTTCCTTCGTCTCATTCTGTGAAAACACCGTCAGCTAATCTTTTTGGTCTTTTGTTTATAGTGGCTATGCGTCTAGTATCATGTCTCGAGCATCTACTGGGCCGCGGCAGCAATGGTACAAATGATATGCTCATCGTTTGCACTCTCGATCTCATCCAAGGAGCGCTCCTCCTCCACCCATCTTCGCGCACGCTTTTCGCCCGCGAAATCTACATGAACCTCCTCCTCGACCTGCTCGACCCGATCAACTGCCCAGCCATCCAATCCGCAACCCTTCTAACCCTCGTCACGGCTCTACTGGAGTGCCCGGCCAACACCCGCACATTTGAAGATCTCGACGGCCTGCTCACCGTGACATCGCTGTTTAAGCAACGCGCCACCTCCCGTGAGGTCAAACTCAAACTCGTCGAGTTCCTCTATTTCTATCTCATGCCTGAAACCCCGATCCTGGGACCCGGTGTCGCCAGTCCGCCGGGGCTGCAGCGCAGCCCTAGCAAGCTCTCGTCGCGCCCGCACTCGCAACACTCACATGCCCCTGCTGCAGCAGGCAAGATGGCCCGCGATACACGTACAACGGATGAGAAGCAGGCTCTGCTCGGTCGCTATTTAAACAATGTTGAGGACCTGGTGGAGGATCTCAAAGAAACCGCTCCGTTTGGGGCAACGGTATACTGAACGAATTACATGGCGATGATCGATTTCCGCCGTCACGACAGAATGTGACACGGCCGCATTGATATGGTTGAGCTTGTGTTTGCTGCTTCTTTTTATCTTCTCCTTAGCCTTGCTCTCCGTTCCTCCATTGTTATCTTCGATTCCTCATGAGCTTTTATGTCCCGTCCGGTACGGCGTGATTATTTGGTCAAGACTGATGCTTGTCTCCCGCTTCCAAAATTTTTTTTGTTCTTGTCGACCTTTTCTTCTTTTCTCTGCCCTTTTTTCTCCTTTTCCTTATTCCCTTCCTTGTTTCCTACGTGCTTTTTGCTCTCCTGTTTCCTCCATCCAATTCTGGAATTGTGTCGATCTCCTCTCGGGCCCCGAGTCCCGTTTTCCTTGTGTCCTTAATGGCGGCATGATCGTGTGACGATTCTTCTCTGTGACTATATCACTCAAATACTACGAATTTGAACTCCTTCCTACATCTGCACGTAGAAAAACTAAAGAAAAGAAAGAAGCATGACTAGCAAGGCCGATTCATAAGCGGGTGACCAAGCTTCTCCTTTAGCAGGTAGCCAAGCCCCGGACTGATTAAGCTTATCTTGCTTTCCCGCAAAAAGTACAATGTACATAATATGTACCAGGCGACAGGGAATAGTGCCACAGCAACATCCCGGCGGCTTTTGTTTCGGATTTTATTCGCTTCTAGTGCTTCGAGACCATATGCAATGCATGGGGTGGGGACACTAATGACTGAAGCGAGAAACTATATAATATCTCCACTTCCCCGTGCCTCACAATTGTTTGACAATATATAGTCCAGTTTCAGAACATTTATAATTGATTTCTAAATTGCAAACGACAAATATTTGCTAAGCTCGCAATACTGTCCAAGGAGTGCGATCGGTATTGCAATTTACGTCCGAAATTTACTGTCCAGGTTGTTCTACAAATCAGAGATGAGTTTTCCAAACAGCCACGGTGTAGATATTTTGTCAATCATGCAATGCACCGATTTATTAACTCAATGAGCATAGAATTGGAATTCATCAAGACCGCGTACTGATGCCACCATGGGTAGAGACAAAGCTTTTTGAGCAACCTTCACCTCCAGAAGTGCTGGGCCGAGAGTTTCTAGCGGCCACTGAAATCTATTGTCCGCGTCATCGATCCTAGAGCAACTTTCGGCATGAATTTCCATTGCGCGAGCGGCTTCCACGAAATCTGGGTTGAGATTGTTACTATGACAGAATCTTTTGTTGAAATAGACTGTCTGAAGATGTGTCACCATTCCTTGCTCTTCGTTGTTTAGAAGGACGACTTTCACGTCAATACCAAATTGGCTTGCTGTAAGCAACTCGCTGATAGTCATGTTGAAAGATGCATCCTCGTCAATGTCGATCACAAGAGCATTCGGACGAGCAATTTTCGCGCCAATCGCTGCGGATAGCCCATATCCCATCGTACCAAGTCCTCCAGATGTGATCATTGTTTTTGGTTGTCTCCAACGAAAATGCTGGGAAGCCCACATTTGGTGCTGACCGACACCGGTAGTAATAATTGTACGCTCTTTGAGAGGTTCCACAGCATCACTAAGTCGTTCAATAAACACCTGAGGCAAGATCATCTCGTTGCCACTTTGGTTGAATGCTTGGAATGGATATATTTCTTTCCATGCCTGAATTTGCGAGAGCCACTCAGGTCGTTTGGTCACTTTAGTCAAAGGTAACAGAAGCTCAAGGCTCTCTGCGCAATCACCTATCACCGGTATAGTGGCTTCTACCACTTTGTTGACATTTTTGGGAGAGACCTCGAAGTGTCAATTCCACCGCAACCCTGGCCTACTGCAAGTCGGGCTTTAGGAGCAAATTTTGGGATATTCCCAGTTACCCGATCGTATAACCTGGCTCCTAGTGCCAGAATGAGATCCGCATTTTGGATTGCCATTTTCGCATATCCAGATCCGTGTAGACCTAGCATGTGTAGAGTCATAGGATCCCTCTCACCAAAAGCCCCGAGCCTCTGCAGACTAGTTGTCACAGGAATTGATGACTTGTAGCTAGCTGTTTTAAGAGCAGAGCCTTCTGGGGAGATGCAAGTATGCCTTGTCCAGCCATATCACAGGATTTCGGGAGACATTGATAAGGTTCGCAGCCTGTTTAATCGACTTGAGCTGCTCTTCTCGTTGAGCATCGCTAACCGCAATCGTGGTAAGGGTACGATTTCGAGAACGAGATCACATGGGAGCCGACTCGGGAGCTGTGGATAGGATGCCCGCAGTCACATCCAGCGGTAGTTCCACGAGAACTGGACCCTGCCGACCACTGGTTGCGATTTCAGAAGCCTCATCCATTTTTTGTGTGAGCTCCGCTGTCTTGCGCGCGCTGGCATTCCATTCTGTGCAGGGGCTGGGACATTGATGGAACGTCCGCTTCCTGAAAGCCATCCTTCCCAATATTACCCGTGCTTTCCTGGCCACAGAAGACAACCATCGGGGTACCGTCAGCAAGGGCATCCACCATCGGCGTGATGAGATTGGTCGCGCCGGGCCCAGATGTAACCAGTAAAACTCCAGGGTTCCCAGTCACTCGCGCAAACCCCTGAGCCATGTGTCCACCACCTTGTTCATGTCGAGGAAGTGTGAAACCGAAGTCTTTCGCTCGGTAGATCGCGTCGAACATCGGGAGGACGCAGCCGCCGGGATAGCCAACTGTGTTGGAAAGCCATAGCGTTAGACGAGAATTAACAGCAAACAGATTGGGTTCAGAACATACAAATATGATGGACGTCGTGCCGAATCATCAGTTCATGAAAGATTTGCCCGCCGGTCTTACCAATATGCCTGTAGAAAACTAGAATCAGTAACCAGATCTCCGTAATTGAGGGAATGACTGAGGACTCAGCTGTAACTGACGAAATCCGTCACCTGTTGGAACGTCGGACTGCCCGCTTACCCAGAATGCCAAATCGTTGTCGCATGACTCCTGCCATGGGGTTGTGCGACTCCGAAGAGAGACCGGGATCCTCTCCTCTCGACCCTCCAAGCAAAAAATAGTGTTCCGGAGGAATGAAAGTCCTAATATGGGCGTAAGGAACTCGCAGAAGCAAATTTGGAAGGCGAAATATATATTGTACCCATTAATAGGCGTCTCGGCCGTAGATGACTCGTCCATCGACGAAATTGGCATCGACTCGCAATTCCCACAGCAGAATCGGCACCGACGAAGGGCGAGAGATTTCCACCGAAATCTTTCTTGATCATTCATCAACCCTATATTTCTCTCGTGAGTCGATGTGAGTCCGCGCAGATGGCACGATTCGAAGGTCAAACGTAGTTCTGATACTCGATGTTCCACATTTAGATATAACAAAAGCTATCCAGATTAGATAATGAATATTCGGAATGGAGTTGAGGTCTTCGATTATAATTTAGACGGACAGAGTACACATGTTTTTGAGTTGACATTAAGGAGCTATGTAGTTCGGATGTAATGGTATGAAGCGAGATACAATGGGTGCTCATAAATCCATGGAATGGAGGCTCTTTTGAACCAACTCCACTCTTTAGACGTTAAGCTTAGAGAAGTTCAACCGACCATTTTCCGGGGAGTCACTTCAGCCCCTCCGATATCGCTTTCCAGGGATAGCAGTCAATCGCCGAACAACCAAGTGGTTTGGGATAGCTGTCAGTCGCCGAATCACCAGCGTAGTCGGCCCAAGAGCAGCGTCGCCAGCCCAGCAACATTTACCATAACGCCAGGTTCAGAGAACAGACCAGGGGCAATACTCACAAAGAGTACTCCAGAATATTCCGCTGGGCGAGAAGGAACTGCAATTCATAGTGTGGTGCAGTCTAGAAAACCGGACTGCCGGCCTGGCTCGTCTTCTCCGTCATCTACAGATGTCCCAAATTTTTTTTTTCCCCCAAAAGTCGGACTGGTAAGCGCGCAAGAATGGTCAGAATTACCTTTGGCTCGGCTGGCTGCAATTCCTCGTTCATTCAGCTCCAGATGCAATAATTGAAGTAACTTGACTGGGATTTACGTAAACTTTTCTTTGGGCTTTAGTAAAACCAAAAAGAAACTGACTTCTTATCAATTTCGACTCGACAGACAGTATATGAAATGATTATCCCGCTCATGGGATGAATAATATGCGAGATTATATGCCGGTAGAAGCTTTGACGAACTTGGACGCCCGAAAAATTGTCACCAACTCTGAGTCCTCTTTGGAGTTCTAGGAGTTCTATTCAGGAGTCTATATACTATCATCCTTGCTTCTAGGTCGCGATGTATACGTCTATAATGAATCGAGATATCTATTTCTATATGTATTCAATGATTTCAAAGTATCCTTAGAGAACGCCGTTGCTAGTAGCCATGACAGCCGTTTTTCTGGCCTGCAGGACATCGATAATGAAGTTCTGAGTGACTTCAATACCGCAGCTGGGACGTATAAGGCCATCATAAACACCCGAATTCTCGCGCTCCTCTTTTGAGATACCCCCGGGTCATGCCTGCAGGTACTTCGCACAGAGATGCAACCTCGCCCAATGATTCGGTCGAAGTAAAAGTTTTAGTGTTCTTACAGAGTGCGTATGCTGCTTGACGCCCACCCTTTAGACGGAAACTCAACATACGTCCACCCATGACGTCTCGGTGCTGCTTCATTGCAATATTCCGCTGGGGTAGAAGTCGATACCTGGGTATCGAACGGAAATGATGTTCTCAGAGGTCTCTAGCGCAAAGGCAATGGCGGTAGCACTCTTAGTAGCGGCTTGAGATCGAAGATGGAGAGTCTCCAAGCCGCAGTGTGCCTGCCAGCAGTCGAACGCAGATGGGACAGCTCCAATCGCGTTCTGTTTCTGCTTTCAATTGTTCCTTTAATTCAAGCAACGCCCATTATCACATCCTATCGCAATTTCAGATTAACGAAAATATCACCAATCACGTAGAATGAACACAATACGCACCGATTGTCCGTTGATGCATTTGGTGGCCGAATGAACAACAATATCAGCACCATGTGAAAGTGGACTTTGAACGTAGAGACAGCAAAAAGTGTTGTCGACAACTAGAGAAAGCCCATGGGAGTGGGCAATGGAGGCAGCCTTTTGAAGTTCCACAAGACCGAGGGTTGCGTTTGACAGTGTCTCAACCCAGACAAGCTTGGTTTTACCAGGTCTAATCATCATCTCCAGATCATTTTGAAGGGAAGCAGTGAATAATACCTCGATGCCGTGGGTGCTGGCCACCTTGGTGAACTAGCGATGAGTTTCACCGTATACACCAGAAAACCGATACGACGTGAGAACCAATAGGCAAGGACTGCAGAATGACGGTGGTCGTAGAAGATGCCGGTGAGAAAGCTATAGCGCATCTTGCATACTCCAGTGCCACGGACGCAGCTTCAAAATTATCGCTAATAGGGAGTCAGCGACGAATTTACAAGAGCACTTTTCCATACTGACCGGTTAGGGTTGGCACTTCGGGTATACACATAAGCCCGAACATGCTTACCAACACAACTTTGCGGAAGGTAGTAGAAAGAGAGATCTAATTCCTGTCAGCTAGGTTGACGACATGGGCATCATGGGGTCACGAAAAGAGGTGCACTTACTGCAGGAATCACCGCACTTGTCGTCTGATCATGAGGCGAGCCTGCATGCACGGGCTGAGTTGAGAAGCAGCTGGCATTGTGGTCAGTGCCAGTGGTGGCGAAATTTTCTATTTGAAATATTCTCAGTCGTATCAATCAGGTTTCAGAAATTGCCTTGGGATAACGAATTTCGAGCCTGAAGTGGCCTTTAAATATCGCAGTTCACTGTCTATGGCGGAGACAATTGCGATGATATCCGAGAAGCCAGGCCCATCATCAGTTTGTTTATCCAATTATTTAACCCAAAGCCTGAGATTCCAGAGCGGGGTAACTGCGACGATGGTTGAGAACCTAGAGTCATCAGTAATGGTTCATCGCTCCTTTCCTACATTACTTTTTGAGGGGCGTTTTGTTGATTTCGCCCGATTCTAGTTCAATCGGCGACTCGGAAAAGAATCGGAATTCCGGCTGCAACTCATCCTACACCGCCAATCAAAGCCGTTTTATCTGATTTTCGCCAATCATCATGTTCCAAGATCAGGAGTACTGGCAGCTGTGGAGGTCCTCTCCAGCCTTCTCACGCGATTTCCCCCGCTTTTCAACGTAAATATAGGTTAGAGCTCCTACACTTTAAGGCAAGAAAAGGATCGCCACCCCACAATATAAAACAACCGCGTGCCATTACATTCCTGGTGTTCGTTTGCTTCCTCACTATTGGGGGAGATTTCTACTGAGCTGTCCTCTTTTCAACAACTTCTAATTTATCCCAAGTATGGGCTACGACTGCGAAAAGATGGCCGAAGTCCCTCCAGACCATGACGGAATGGGGGTGTCTGGAAATGAGTGTTCAGAACAGAAGGGGGAGGTCACTCCCATCAACACTAATCACTTGGCTAGAAACCTGTCTGCAAGGCAGGTCTCAATGATTGCCATTGGGGGGACAATCGGTACTGGGTTGTTCTTAGGTACCGGGAAAGCCATTGCCACTGGAGGTCCAGCCTCCACACTTCTTGCATACGCCATCTGCGGATTCATCATTTTCCTCACTATGCTTTGCTTGGGTGAAATGGCAGCTTTCATCCCTGTTTCTGGATCATTCTGTACATTCGCTGGGTAAACCTTCATACCCTAGCCGACAGTGTGCTCTGCTAATTTGATTTTGATTAATTTCTAGTCGCTTTGTGGATGATTCCCTTTCTTTTGCCCTGACATGGAACTATTGGTTCAACGACGCTGTTTCAACAGCAACAGATCTACTCGCACTGCAAATTCTGTTTCAATACTGGACAGACAACTTCCCAAGCTGGGCTATTAGTCTGATATTCCTCATCCTCGTTCTCGCATGTAATCTTGCCCCTGTTGGAGTTTATGGTGAAGTGAGTGAGCCATCGCAACTGCTCATTCGATGATGTCTAACCATGAACCCCCAGGTTTCATACTGGTTAAGCTTACTCAAAGTGGCCACTATTATTGTAAGTATGAAAAGGTTTCAGCCGATCTTTTCCTTAATCTAACATAAGCTGCAGGTTTTTATCATCGTTGGAATTGTTGTAAATTGCGGCGGGAACCAGGGCCACCGATATATCGGCGATCAATACTGGCACGTTGGCGAAGCACCCTTCGTGGGTGGAATTGGAGGATTCGCCTCCGTCTTTGTTACTGCATCTTTTGCATAGTGAGTTCAAGATATAAACACGATATTTCAAGGCTAATAAATGCCCTTTTCCTCGTATAAGCGGAGGCACCGAGTCGATCGCTATTACTGCGGGAGAAACCAAAGACCCCGCAAAGACTCTGCCGCGAGTCGTCCGCAACGTATTCTGGCGCATCCTGCTGTTTTATGTCCTATCTATTATCATTATCGGGTTCAATGTTCCATACAATCATGCGGGTCTCTCCGACGGTTCCACCAACTCCAGTCCATTTACTATTGTATTTGTTCAGGCTGGCAGTACCATTGCGGGAAGTTTCATTAACGCAGTCATCTTCACTAGCGCCATATCTGCATCTAATCATGCCCTCTTCGTCGGCTCACGACTATTATACACACTTGCCATCAGCGGACATGCACCGCGATTCTTTGGCCACGTCAACCGTTTTCAGGTGCCTTGGGTCGCAGTTGTGGGAACACTTGTTATAAGTATTCTTTGTTTCGGGGCGAGCTATATAGGACAAGGCCGATTGTGGGTTTGGTTGCAGAAGTAAGTTCTCTACCCAGGTGACATTCGATTTTCTTTTCATGAAGCTAAACGACTATACCAGTATTGTCGGCGTCTCAAACCAAGTGTCCTGGGTAATTATTGGTGTAGCCTCGCTCCGCTTCAGAGCTGGGATTCGCAAACAAAATATTGAGCAACTGTTGCCATACAAGAACTGGACCTACCCATGGGGTCCGATCTTCACAGTCGGGTTGAACACGCTTCTGATTTTGGTTCAGGGCTGGACAAGCTTCAGTCCGAGTTTTAATGTGGTCGACTTTGTCTCCTTTTATCTGGAAATCCCAATCTTGATTTTCATGCTCATTGGATGGAAACTCATCAAGAAGACCAAAATGGTGAAGACGTGTGACATGGATTTTATCACTGATCGATATGATACAGTGATCGACTCCAATGAAGCAGGAGCTCCTAGGGACTCCGAGAATCAAGGAATTACTACAAACCCAAGAAAAAACAGACTACTCGGGACACTGAAGCGATATGGCATGTATCTCTGTTTCTAGGACTATTAGTTGAATGTATCTAGTTTGTGAAGGGTGCAATGGCGGGGTTCTCTTCTGATGACCCTACTGAAGTCATTATAATGAACTTACCTGAAGATTGACGTACTATCCTAGAGCGAAACGAAGCACTGGTCTATACTATATACTTCTAGTAATGACTAGTAGGGGTGCACACGAATAAGGATTTTGGTTATTCGTATTCGTCAATTTTCCTCAACTCATTATTCGTATTCGACTGGCTATTTTCGTGACTTTATTCGTATTCGATTCGTAATTATTCGTAATTTCCGCCAAGACTAACTTACCCATACTGTAATAGAGACCCACCGCCCATCTAACGATGCTCAACGCGTCGCGTGATTGTTTACACTGCAGATACACGACCATAATTTCGTTTTCTACGCACTTCTTTCCTATCAGTCAACTATCAGGACAAATTTCTCGCGCTACGAATGGACGAGTCCACGGAGTCACAGCGCAAACGGCCATACAGGTCTCAGCGAATCAATTACTGTGCGCTCAATGATGGCATCGACGAGGAGGCTCCACCAGAAGACCGCATTATTGAGATCCCTCCTTCGAAAAGGGCACGCAGTAGCGTTGAACCGATTACTCCTGATGACTCTGCAAGCCAATTAAGCCGGGCTCGAAGTCCACTCGTGGCGATCTGCTCCCAAAATGAACTGACTGCGGAGGCGTTGCCTGACGTGGTCAGTATCTCCAATGAATCTGGCCTTTCTCGAAGAAAGATGCAGAATCAAGCTCTCTGGGCACATTTCGACTGTTCCCCGCTACCGGGAAGGATGTGGTGGCCAAAAAGGGGAAAGGGCCCAATCAACGACCGGGAGGTGCGCTGCAAGAGATGCAATTGGAAAACGACAGATTCTACAAGGGCAACATCAACATCCAATATGATGTTCCATCTCTCTAAACATGGTATTATCCTAAGTGGCCCTGAAAACAGTTCGGAGGACGACAGAAGCAGCATAAAACAGCCGTCAGTTAGCAGCTTCTTCCAGAAGCGGACTGAGGAGCAGAGAGCAAAGGTCCTGGAGCAAAACCTGGTTCGGTGGGTGGTTATAGACGACATGGCATTTGACGCCATAGAATCGCCCCCCTTCCAACAGATCTTCCAGGACTTGGGTGTTTCACTCCCTTTCGCATCTCGCATGACAATGGCTCGTCGAATCGATCGTGATTTCGACAATTGTCGGGAGCAGTTGATTGAAGAGCTAGAGCAGACGTGCCAAACGATCTCTCTTTCGCTAGACGCTTGGACGAGCAAGAATTCAAAAGCCATGTTCGGGGTTGTTGGCCACTGGTTGACAGTGGATTTTCAGTACCGAGAGCGGGTTCTTGAATTTACGGAACTCCACGGCATTCATAGCGGAGAGAACATGGCAGAAATTCTTCAGACGCTTCTCACAGAACTTCGAATCGAACACAAGCTCCTCGCGATCACAGCAGACAATGCCACAAGCAATGAGCGCTTGCTATCGGAATTATATCTCAATCTCACCGAGAAATTTCAAGCCATGTACGGAGCCGTGAGTGCTGCAAGAGCCCTACGATTTCAAGGAGTGGATAGTTATATTCGCTGCACTGCGCATGTGCTCAATCTGATTGTCAGCGATATACTCGTCATGTTGCAAGCAGGGGACCACGCGTCGGCGAATGCAGCTTGTGATCTCATGCAGGAAAACAAAGAGATTGGCCCGCAATCACCGTTGGCTCGCCTTCGGATTATGGCGCTTTGGATTGCAAGAACCCCGCAGCGGAAGCAGCAGTGGAAGATCATCTGCCAGAGCAATGGGCTCAAGGACAAGTTCATCGAGTACGACGTGGATACACGGTGGAATTCGACACACCGAATGCTCCGAGACGCCCTGAACGCGAAGCAGCAAATCAAGAAATGGATCCACCATCAGTTAGATTTTCCACCCTTCAGTGCTGAGGATTGGGATCGTCTCCAACAAATTGAGGGCTTCTTAGCCAGGTTTGAGGAGTTCACCCTCACTGTTTCCAAGCGTCAACCGCAAATTACCTTAGCCATCCCCATTTACTATGAACTGCACGATCTGTTGCATGATGCTGCGTCTAGGGAGGAGAATTCTCGGATCTGCACCTGGAGATTTCTGCTGCTGCTGCTGCGGGCTTGAAAAAGTTCCAAAAATACTACAACCTGATGGATGGACAAGACGCCTATTATGTCGCCCTAGTGCTTGATCCGCGATTTAAAACGCTCTTGCTAGACAGAGATCTAGGCAAGCTCACAGCACCCCAAGTTGTCACGCACATCAAAGAACTACTGCATGATCAATATCCATTGGCAGTCGACTCGTCGGCAAAGCCCTCTAAGGAGCAGCCGAGCCTGAAGAAGAGCATAGAGGCCCGTTTACTTCAGAAGCTGCAACCTAAGAAGAAACATTCATCTGACATTGACCGGTACTTTGAGGATGACGTCGTCACGATAAATGAGTCGATTTCACAGGACAAGAATTGGCTTTTATCGTGGTGGAGAGCACAGAGGAACGAATACCCACAGCTAGCTACTGCTGCACGAGACTATCTGGCCATTCCTGCATCATCAGTGTCGGTGGAGAGACTATTCAACAAGGGACGAGATTTACTGGGTGTCAGGAGAAACACCTTGAGCGCGGAGACTATGCGGCGGTTGATGTTGTTACGAGATATATATCTCTCTGAGGAATATTAATCACACGTGATTTTTACGAATAATTTACGAATAAGACACATTTTATTCGTACGGATATTATATAAGCGACGATGCTTATTCGTATTCGTAAAATTTTACGGTATTCGTACGAATATTCGTAAAGTGATTATTCGTGTGCACCCCTAATGACTAGTATTTAGTAGTGAAACGCGCTCCTATCGGTCGCCCTATGTTCGCCATCCTCGAGGCTGTTTGCACTGCTTGCATGGTGACTGGTCACCTGACATCCCATTCCGCTTTCCTTTTGCTTCGGTCATTTCTCCCCCCTTCCATCTCTCTAACTAGATGACACCCAACACGAGACTATTCGTCCCATTCTCTTGTTCCTTCCGTTTACACAGTTCTCAGACACCCATCCACTAAAACTCTAAGGAGCCACCGTCACATTGAACGCCGACTCGGTGGCCAATGAATTCTGCCTTCCTCTATACCCCACTACCTTTGCCAGCTCAAGATTTAATTTATACGGGTTAAGCATTGCAAATGGTCCTACGATTCATTCATCGGTACATAGCCCTTTGTCAAATTTGGTCACTCAATTTTAGCAATTATCAGCCATTTTGGCCTACCCATGGTTATGCGGCGTTTCCTATAATCAAATAATATACGTATATTTGATCTTAGTCGGAAATTTATGTATCTAAGTGTCATAGAATGGACGAAAAACCTTTTATCAATGCCGAGTATGTTCATTAGGGGATCCGTGAAGCGGGAACTAGGTATAAGTCGAGGTCCGGAGTTGAATCGGCGAATGGTCACCGAGACGCATGACTAGCCCAGATACACCGACAGAGGGTCCAGTCAACCTAAACTGCGGGGCTTGTATTTAACAAAGCTTTCGTATTTCGAACTCACGGGATTGATCATTCTCATTGCATTCCGATTCACACTATGACTGCCCATCGACCACCTTGTCTTGTTAGCGACGTCCTAGCCGCACCAGAGGAACGTTTACCGTCCCATGACAGAGTATCGCGAGGACAATCAGGAGAGGAAACTTGATTCGGGCATAGGAGCCTATAGGGATGAGAGGTAATGAATGAACGACTGAAAAGCAACAGCATGGGCCACTAATGCTGAGATCGAACTGCTAGGCCGAGAATATTTTACACCAAAACGGCAATCTCAACCACGAATACTTGCCTATTCGTGGCCATGATTTATTTCTCAGCGCCGCTCAGAAACTCATTTCAGGCCAAAATAGCCCAGCAATACGCGAAAAAAGAGTCAGTGACTTCTTCGTTTGACGCATGTGTTTACTTTCCTTTCCAGTTTCGGATTGATTCAGTATGCTAAAAGAAAACCAAGCGTGCTCTGTCCAAACGGTGTCTGGAACAAGTGCAGTCCATCTAGGGGCTATTTTTCTGTTCCCTTCGGCACTTAGTGACCGAAGGTATTTATTTTCGACCCAACCTGGCCGAATAATTATTAAATCTTCACACAGGCGGGGTTTTCTGTTCAGGAATACCCATATTATTCTGCGACGACCAAGAGTCTGAATATTGATGCCATAATTTCCGTTTTGAAAGGAGCCCCGGCGGGTTCTGTGGTTATGCTTCAAGTCCGCGTCCATAACCCAACGGAAATCGACCCATCACAAGAAGAATGGAAGAGAATTGCTGAAGTCATGCAAGTGTGTGGCCATTTGGCGTCCTTCGACTGTGCTACCAGGGATTCGCCTCCGGTCATCTCCATCGAGATTCTTGAGCCGTTACTTCGTCGAGCAGGGATTCGAGTGCTGCATCGCGCAATCTTTTGCGAAGAATCTCGGCCGCTAAGGTGAACGCGTTGGTGCCATTTACTTTATCTGTGCCCTTTGGTGTGGATTCATCCCATCTCTCTACTCGAATCTCCAGTCAGCTTGCAGTGATAACAGAGAGCCGAAATTTCGAACCCTATGCCTACGCGTCTCGGATTGCAAGCCCTGTTCTCAACAGTGAGGAACTTTTGCCGCGTGGCAGCTGGATCTTCGCGTCATGAGGAGTCGTTTGTCAAATATTCGACACCAAATTCGGTCGCAACTGAAGGCTCATGGAACGCCTGGCCTCTGGGGGTTTTTGTCTACTCAGATCGGCATGTTCAGCTACACTGGGATGTCGAGGCCGCAAATTCAAAAGCTGAAGGAAAAGTGGCACATCTACTTGATAGGTCATTATCATTTCTCTCATCAAAGACATTTGGGTTGCTAATTGACGACAATTGCAGACAGAAAACGGGCGCATGTCGGAGGCAGGTCTCAACCCACACAGCAACGAATACTTCATTCATGCTGTCGATGATGCTGTTCGCACCGCTACCTAACCCTTCACCTCTTATTAGCTTTCTGCAAACAAAGTGATGCCTCTACAATACCAAAAAGAAACCATTTCAATCCATGGATAAAAATATAGATTGTTTTCTAATCTGACAGAAGATGCGCAAGAGTGGTGAGAGATTTCTAAGGGTATCATCGTTTCGTCGTAAATCGTATGCAAGATCAAACGAGGAAAGAAAGGATTTGTAAATGGGAAGATTTGAAGAAGAAAGATCGCTCATGTATGTCTGGAGCAGATAATCTATCGTTCTCTCGTTCTCTTTTTCTTTCCTTCCTTTTCGCAGAAGATTACATCATGGATGTCTGCAGTGTGCGCGGACTCAGGCAATGGGTGTCCACATTTTCCAACACCGGGATGCGAGATGTGTGACCGTCTGCAGCACCCGAGGCTTGTTGCTGATGGAATGGGGCATTATCATTCAACTCTGGCGGATACATTTCATCCGATAGCAGATCATAAGGGCCAGGTTGTGCTTGTCCCGCAGCAGAATTGTTTTGCCCCATCGACTGGGGGAGGAATGATTGCATCGACATGCCGGTGTGGCCGCTGTGAGTAAGGCAACCAACACAGCTGCAGTCGCTACCGCATTGACAACTGCCTGTTACGTCCGAACAAGCAGACGGGATCTGAACAGGATATTCCAGAGTGTAGTATTCAGATGAAGGCATCAGCTGTTGGTTCACATGGTGATCCGGGTAAGATTCGATATGATGATGATTTTGCGGAACGTAATAGGACGGCGGGATTGAAATAGCACTGCCACTGTTGGCACTGGGCTGGTATGCCGGTGTCATGGAATCGGGAGTTTTTTCGTATCCATTCAATGTCATCATGGCACCCATCTCCTGCACATGTTGACGGGTTGTGTTATTGAACGGGTGGACTGCACAGCCAAGGCATTGGCATCCGTCTCCACACTCGCAATCATTATTCGAATCGGCAGACGTATTCCCAGGGGTATAGGCAGGGGTTTGAGAGGTTGGGGTGAAGGACATAGAGGTTTGGCTGTGGGGTGTTTCTAGTCCATTCATCTGCCCGAATGGAAACTGGTTCCCGTGCGTCCCAAACGCCGGCATGAATGGCCCCTGCATAGGAGCTGTAGCATTTTGCCAAGGTGCCTGAGATGTAGAGTATTGCGTATAGGGAGCACCACTCCAAGAAGCAGGCTGAGATGGTTGGTAGGTGGAGTAGGTAGGGTAGATAGGGTATTCGGGCATCTGAGTGCTAGGAGCTGCTGGCTGTGAGGCAGACCCGCCGCCACAGCAAGAGCCCCCACCATTCTGTGCCACTAGAGGAGGTTGGTGTTCTGCTTGAGGTTTCTTGGAGCAGCAGTTAGACTGGCTCGTCTGCGGGAGTTGCCACAGGCTGTAGCCACATGAATCGGAGCTTGGCCCTTCTTCGACCTTGACATTATTTGGCATAGCGTCTAGGTCCGGTCTGTTTTCAAGGGCTTTGGCTACTCTTTCTGATGCATATTGCACGGTTTCGTTCTTTCTCGAAGCCTTTTGGACCTTCCATTGATTGTTGCTCGCCGGTGATGATGATGGTGTAGGGTGTGATCGAGAACCCTGGGCTGAATCATGCTTGTCTCCACCCTCTAATAGCTTAACGGGGCGGCAGAGACAGGAGGAACCTGGTTATGGATGAGCTAAGTCATCTAGAGAGCTAAGGCGTACACTTACCTTTGGGGATTCGAACCATCACGGCATATGTCTTTTGGCAGCTGCAGGTTCCCTTGACATGTGGACATTTTGATAGCGGGCGTCCCGCCTTGGGCACTTTCATCATGATTCTTTCGAAGTGGTCGCATTTCGAAGACCGGTGACCACGGATACATGGTTCGCTGTTTGGTTACAATTGTCGTTAGTCGACAACATATGACATTGCGGGCCGCAAAGAGCCTCACCAAGACCATTTCACGCCTTCTTCGTCGTAAGGCATTTTAGGACGAGAGATTGATATAGAGATCAAACAACAGATATAGAGAAGGAGGATCCCAGCGAATATTCGGCAGGTTGAATCGGGATTTACATCCAGAGCAGATGCGTCTCGAGCGTTTGAGAGACGGAGGTGGTTCGATGTTGAAAGAAGGACAAAGTTGGACGGAAGCGCGACTGCCCTCTGTTGTCGTCGTCGTTGTTGTTCCCGCTCACAGAAAAAAGCTAATTAAAAGTGATGCGACAGGACAGTATCCATCAGTGTCGCGGTCGCTCAGACAGACTTGGTCGTTCGAGTTGTTCCGGGAATGAAGTGTATGCGACACAACGGAGGGCGGGGCGAAGCGGAATGTCGGGGTTAGGAGAGAAAAGGTCGCCGATGGATGGGACACGGGACCTGAGAGCTGGGCCGGAACGACCGGTGACGACAGGGCGACAAAACACTTGAAAAGAGAGGATCCGTCCAGAACCAGAAGAATCAATCCCGCGAGAAAAGGCAGGCGATGCGGGGAGCTCGGCTTAGTCAGATTCTGTGGGCTCGTGCTGGCTTGGCGTGTCGAGTGGGTTGACGTCGCGGCCGAGGCCGTTCCTTGATACCTCCGAGATCTTCACGTCGCAATGCCTCCAACGCCCAGTGAGGGCCAAACCAAGGCCAGCAGTCCTGGCGGTGCCTCTTCTTTCTTTACCGTGCCCCCTCCCATCAAGAAGCTCTTCGACAAGTTTCCATTGGCCACGTATCCTGCCAACGATCTGCCGCAACGGTCTCCAACACGACAACACGAAAACCAGCTGTTTGTCTTCAGCAACGCTGCTGCCGCGCGCCGTGGACGGCCCTCTTTCAATCCGCAGTGTCTAAAGTGGCAGGTGAGTGTGGGCTCCAGCAAACAGTCAACGCTGCGGAGGAAGCAGTCTTGAGCGATCGTACTGATGTTTCTTTGCTACCAGGCGTACCTGAAATTTGTCGGAATCGACTTCGAAGTGACCCCCTCAAATAACCATGCTTCACCAACGGGCTCTTTGCCTTTCCTCATTCCAGCCCAACCAGTCGAGATAGCGGATGCCATCCCGTCGCATAAGTTGCAGAAATGGGCGATTGAACAAGTTCACTGCGAGGAGGAGCAGCAATTAAATCTGCGGTTCGAGGTATACGCGTCACTCTTGGACCACCGGATACGCAATGCATGGGTGAGTGACTTTTTTTTTTTTTTTAAAAAAAAAAAAAAAAAGCGAAACCCCCAACCCTGTGGCAGGAACTACCAGGTTGACACAAACTAGTTGTACATGCTGTATCTGAACGACCACAACTTCGAGGCCGTGGCCCAACGTCTGTATGTCGAGCCGGCCACCTCAAACACAATTGTCCGTACTGCCCTTGCGGTGCAGTTGAAGCAGGCAGCTCGTGATGAACTTCTTCGAACATCAAAATACATCGACGTCGCTGATTTAGAAGGTGATGCCGTGAATGCTTTCGAGGCACTCTCCTCTTTATTGGGCGATGACGACCACTTCTTCGGACGGCCGAACCCTGGACTTTTCGATGCCAGCGTGTTTGCATACACACATCTCATCTTGGATGAAGGAATGGGATGGAAGCAGAATCGATTGGCGCCGCTCCTCCGTGAGCATCAAAACCTTGTGCAACACCGAGAAAAACTACTGCGATTTTTCGCGTGAATCACGCCAACACTTAACTCAAATAATGCAAGATTCATCAATGCATTGTGGGATATCATGTCTAGCTAGAGGCCAGTGTAAGAATATAGGAGTATTTGTACATAACCAGGCACCGAAGTATGCAATAAAATCAAGACAAAAATGCTTATGACGAATTGCCGGATCAAGCCATGTTCCACTTGCCGAACTTGACATAGTCGTCATAGAGCGATTTGAACACAGCTCGGGCCGAGACATCCAGCTGGGAATTCAGGGAGCGCAAAGTCTCCTTCGACATCACGTCGAGCACAGCGTAGAAACCAGGCATAAGCGCATCCTTGATATTTGGAACCAGGGCGCCTTGCAGAGAGTTTTGCGCGTACTTCATAACAATGTACTTGAGATATTGACCCGCGATGCTCTTTACCTTCTTAGTTTCATCGGTAAGAGCCTCGCGTGAGGAACCAGGCTGAACGCGAAGGACGGCGGACAAGGTCGGGTCACACAGTGTGGTAAGAAGGCGAGTGAAATGCGTAGCATGGAAAACATCGAGCTGAGCCAGCCAGAAAGGCTGTGAGATACTCGACTTAACACGAGCGGAGCGGGGGCGCTTGCGAGACCGCGCGAATAGACAGCCCAACAGCCGACCCATGGCATTGTTCACCAGGTGGAAGCGGCCACCGATCTTGATACGCTGAAGACCCAGAACAGTGCCCAGCAGGCGGCACAGACGGGAGAAAATTGTAGGGGCGTATTTAGGCGAGATATGTGGGCCGTCGGAAGAGGCTGCGGCCGTGATGGAGGCCAGGATGGAATCGATATTTGATTGGGAAAGGCAGCGGGAGTGAACTCGGAGGAGTAAGGTCAGACATTCTGTTGCGAAGCAGAACTGCTCGACCGAAGTGCATTGCACGATGGTTTCAGCCAAAGTTGTAGAGAGCGAAGACAGTTCACGAGCCACGGCATTCTCCTTATCTTCCACGCCAGAAATACTTGCGACAGCGAGGTACACAACGAGTAGTCGGTATCCAGAATTCTCTTCTCTCAGACCGGACACGCATAGTTCCTGAATAATCTTGCCACTAAGCTCGGCGGGCATAGAACGGAAGCGCTCGGTAGTGGCGCGGATAAAGAGCTGCTGATCCTCGGCATAGAGCGACCGGAGGGTCAGAGTCTCGGCAGCGCGAAGCACCGGTTCTGTAATGCTCTTCTCTGGCCCCTTGGTTGCAAGGAGGCGTCGGCGGATCAATCGAGAAGGGCCCGAGTCCACCGACATCTCCATGTAATGTTCAATCTTCGTCAAGAACTTCTCGACCTCGATATTGTTCTGTGCCATGTCCTCAAAGTCTTCGAGGGCATCGATCGTCTTGATCAGGGTGATAGTCTCCTCCAGTTTTTGCTTCCTGCATTGATCCTTGACGGATTTCATTTCCGCCAATACCAAGCCAAACACCCGTTGACGGCAGGAGGCCAGTTCATCTTCAGAATAAGCCTTGTGTAGCTTGCTGCGATGCACCCAGAGTTCCGACAAAGAAAGACGAAGGAGGAAGCACGCCATGGAATCACGGTCAATTTGACGCAACTTGGAGGACTGCTTGGAGACTCTAGCAAATAGTGTCTTGAACGACTTGACCCGTTCATCCTCGGACAGCACCAAAAGCTTGGAGATTATCGCGCGATGCAAGCGTCGGAAGGACTTCATGATCTGAAGATCGAGTTCAGTGCCCTCCAAAGTAATTGCTCGGGCTGCGGTCCAGATGGGCTCCCAGTCCCCGGTTACCGCAGCATCGCTTTTGGGCATAGCTGCCAGCTTTGCCATCATTGTCAGGAGTCCGACTGTCACCTCAGGGGAACTGTCCTGCTGAAGAATCACATTGTGCAACTTGTCCAAGAGCACGGTTCGTAGGCCTCGGGTGATGGAGGATGCAGGGATTCGCTGCAAACTCTCCATGCAGAGACGGCGGTTCGGAGACTCATTCTCGATGCTCTTGTTCAAGAGAAGTGCCAAGTCGGGCACGATGACTTGGACACCCAGCAGATACTCGTGACAGACCATACTAGCCCACATTTGAAGGAATCGCGCATCATCGGAAGTTGCTTCTAGAGGCAGCTGGGAAGGACGATATTGAGCTGCGGCCAGCGAGAGGAGATGCTCGAAGAGACGTGAGCGTGTCTCAGCCTTGATCTGCTTCCAGATTTGTGGAGCTCTCTGGTTGGCGAGAATGTAGGCAAACGCCAGATTTGCTGAAGATCTTAAGGTTTCCACTCGGCCATTCCACGGCGCTTTCATCGATTTCTGAGCATCATCAGGCGAGATCGAGACCACAAAGTCCGTTACTTTATCGGAGATAACAGCAAATGTTTCCAGTTGCTCTTTGGTTGGCTTGTCCTTGATAGCCGCCAAAACAAAACGGTATGCCTCCCAAGACTCCAGATGAGCGAGAGGGATGTCCTTGTGCTTTTTATGATTGCGCTGGATGACCTTTGACGCAATTTCGACTAGAGAATTAGTTGCTTGGGCGAATGGACTATCGGCGGATTCCAGTTTGTTTTGAAAAACATTGAGCAGGAATCGCCACAGTCTCCATCGCCAGTGAAGGACCTGCTTCGAGGAAAGGGTGGCACGCAGGAACTCAAGGAAGCTAGACAGCACAGTTTCCGATTCAGGAAAATCCAGAGCCTTCTCTCTGAAGCTGGCTTCCATTATGACAAATTTTGCGTACGATTGGGACGATTCGGAGACCTTCCCATTAGAGTCTCTGATGGTCTCGGCAGCGGTATGCATCTGGGCCGCAACATTTGAGGCAGTAGGCGAAGTCTTCATCAAATCACTATAGGTGTCACACAGGTCATCGTCTTCCCATACGGAAAAGTATGGCAAATCCGCATTTCGGGAACGAGCCTCTTCCAGGATGATCAACTGATTGTGCCACACTTCCATGAAGGTGGGAAGATCTCTTGCGGTTGCAAAACCGCGGAGAAGCGGAATAACAATATTGTTCTTGACAAGTTTGTATTCGTCCTTCTTCGAGTCATTTTCGCGCCATTGAAGCATGATCTTGTCAAGCAACGCATCCAGAAGCATTCGGGAGTCACGCAATCCAGAGTTGGGCATGAAGACATCTACCCCCAAGCTGATCATTAGAGCGGTGACATCCCACTCGACTCCTTTCAGGCCTTTGTGGAAAAGACCCGTGTAGCGAGTATGCGTAAGGATGGTGTGAAGGGTGAGGCCAACGTCTCGGTCCAGAGCTACACGAAGAAGCTGTTCCAACACTGAAACGAAACGAGATGAGTAGCATTCGGGCTCATCATCTTTTGTTGCGTCATAGGCCAGCTCTGCAACAGACACAAACAAGGTCTCCAACCATGGAACTTCGACTGTTTGCCTTCGGAAGTCATATCTAGGGACTGCACGAACGGCATTATCGAAGAGTTCGGGGAGCAACTCGATAGACTTCCATGCAGCGCAGGCAGATTCATGGTTGCCGTTGCTCTCAGCTTGGGGGGTCATAGAGAGCTCCCGAATGATCGGCCTGAAAGTATCGGTCACTGGTTGCACACAGTTCCAGTTCGGGTTGGACTCCTTGGAATAATCGATTCCGGTGCCACCTCGGGCATAAAAGGCCGCCCGAGCCGGCAGTAGTACGTGTACAGCAAGAATGCGCTCAATGGAGTGAAGAAGGTGAGCCCTCTCATCGGTATCCAGTTTGATGGAACGTAGGCAGAGCTGAAGTCTGAGCGCATAGGCGAAGCAGGACTGCGCAAAGCAATCGTTGCTTGCTTTATGATCCTTATCGTCTTGGCCATACGACCTCAGCTCCCACATTTCAAGCATTGCCGGGAGCACATACAGCATGTGCTGAAGATCCGTCGTCTTTCGAGCGTGAGAAAATTGCGTGATAGCCACGGCTGACAGCTGGAACGACTGGCCCAGCAGCCGTGCAACGACCTCCGGTTCGCCTCTCAACGCCAGCTTCAGGAGCGAATGGGCATTTTCGTCGGAAGTCAGTGTGAGCTGAGTCAACGTCACAATACCGTAGAGGCAGTCCAGCGCACGAATGAACGTGAGAAAGCAGGATGCGGGGTTCTGCGGCTGTTCGTCAAGGTCCATGGCATCGGTATCATTCCCCTCGTTTCTCTTGCGCTTTGTCCCATGAGATCCCCGACCGTCATTCGCAGGTGGAGAGCTGGCCAAAGTTTGGCTTGAGTCCGACTCAGGACTCGAAATGGGAACGCCGCCGCCAGACGTTACCGAGATATCTGCTTCCAGGTCCGCCACTGTATCACAGAGTACGGAGAGGAATCTTTGGTCTTTGAGGATCGTGGCCAGGTTCCTAGCCGAGACACGATCAATGACCTGTCGCAGAAGAAGGAACGAGTTGGGGTCGACGCGGAAGTTCTTTCCATTCCTGAGTTTCTTCAACAACCATCGGAGCACCCACTCCTCCTTCGGCGCGGCCTTGCCTTGTGCCTGGGCGATCCGATGCGTCTCTGGGTGGCTCTCACACAGTTTCAGGTCGACACCGAGAATTTGCGCTGCATTGTGTAGTTGCGTGGTCGGAGCGTCGCTGCCTTTCTCGAGGCGGAGGAGCGCCTCTTGCGACGAGCTCGGGGGCTGTTCCATCTTGCGTTAAAACTGGCCACAAAACGTGGGTGTGGCATTAGGTATAGACACACTTACCTCCGCAAGCTGAGGCATCGCGAAAACCAGTCTGTTTTAACTATGTGGAGGTCGGCTTACTCGAGAGGAAAAAAAGTTGACCAAAAGAGAAAAAACGGTCAAATGCCCGGCCGACCGCCTTTCGTAGTTGCCCGACTGATTCACTCCTCCCGAACTCCTTGCACTCCTCATTCCCGCCACGTTCACCCTCCTCCCACCCGCCATTCACTACCGGTGAGCTTTCGCATTAGCTGGAAAATACTCGTGGTACCTAAGACTGATTCCCTCCGCGCTCGTCAGTTCGCAATGGCCGATTCCAGCGAGACCCGGGTCGCGCGGGCGACCAAGCCCGTTAGCGAAGCCCTGCTTAACGAGAAGGTAGGAACCGTCCTGTGAAGAGCCCTCTCAAGCTTCGAACTGCAGGCGTCCAACTCGAGCGAGCCTTCAATCCACTGGTCGTCCCATGCTCGAAGTGAATCGATCGCAATTTGAAGCCCCCCGGGCAGAATCGGAAACGTAGGCTAATTGTTGCAACGCGATAGTGGGACCGCGCCATTTCCTCCATGATCATCAAGTCCTCTCTCGGTTTGTCCTTCGGTGTCGTTTTCTCGGTTCTGCTGTTCAAGCGGAGGGCCTGGCCTGCGTGGGTTGGTCTCGGTTTCGGTGCTGGTCGTGCCTGGGAGGAGTCCGATGGTATGTTTACCTCTACATGACTCCTATGTTTGGAGCGACCGGTTGGAGCTGGACAAGCTCTGCAAACCTGTTTCATTGGGTTCTCTTCCACTCTGGATCTTCCGTTTCCATGGATTTCGCACCTGGTGGGGTGCACCTCCACGTTTGGATGGAGATGGAGGTCTCGGGATCCGAGTCCGGACCGAGAGCTCGGGTCTAGTTGCAGAGCTTGTCTTGCCGAGCCATTTTCGCCGTACTCATCCCTCGGGGTCGTTCATGGGCTAATTGATTGATAGCTTCCTTCCGCCGCGGCGATTCGCCCGTCAGAGACCTTCTTCACCGGTAGAGGTTCACGGCTTCCTCATGTGTACGATACTCTGTACAGAAATCGAGAGATTGGAGCCCGGGGTTATTAGAAAGAAGAGAAATTCCTAGAATGGTTTCCGTCTCGCTCTCTGTGGGATGCCCGAGGGTATCCTGCGTCTTCCTTCCCTTTAGCAGTCTTTTGTATCTCCTTGACCCCATTGAATCGAAACTCCTAAATGGTACATGTTGCCCCAAATTGTGAAGTGTACCGCGTATGCCGCCCAGCGTAGACATTCGCGTGGATAATTTAAGCATAAATCGGCAGGTCGTTTAGGCACAAAGGAATCAATGGGACGGATGTAAACCAATGTCAATTAGTTTCTAATGGCAATACGTCTGAATAATCGAGGCGCGATAGATAACTATGGGCGCTCTCCCCGGACTACTAGTATAGACCACGTGACCCAATCCATTACTCGATCTCATCGAGTCAAGGGAATCGTCGGGCGTCCTCCAATGATAATCGGAATTAGCCAGCTGCTGCACCTCGTCCGATGATTAGATAGGTCCCCCGAGGTTCGCCAATCATCAGCCCGGCTGCGATTCTTGCGGAGAGGGTGGAGCTCCCGCGGTGGCCGTCCGCACCCGCTTATCAGCGATGCTGGCAAGCGTGACTGCGGTGTATTAGGGGACCCCGTAGAGGGTCTGGGCGATAGCGTCCCTGCGAGGACTTGACTTTGCACATGGCGGAGCCTACCACGCCACTGTCAGGGATCGGCTCGCTCGGTGGATGCTGATTGCCTCCTTATCGCGCCACGCCCATGCGCTCCGAGCTCGAACAGGGATTGCGACCGCTGGACTGGGCCCAGCATGCGACGGCCATGCGGACTCATTATATCATTGCCCCCATCGTTGGGGTCATTCTAGACGGTCCTTTTTCCTTTTCAGAAGCTCTTTTCCGGATTCCTTGACATATATCTTGTACATATATCGACTCCGGGCCCCGTGTTCATCCTTGTACATACTTCTTCCATCGACCCCGGACACGATGTCGAAGCTCAAATGGATTCTCGACAAGGTGACGGTGGCCAACGAGCCCGGGCTCACCAGTGCCCAGTTGATGCTCACAAATGATGACTTGCGGCCAGGTGAGAATCATAGCTGGAGCTGAGCGGGCCTATCTCGCGTTGCCGATGCTCTCTTTTCCTTGTTCCTCTACACTTCCCGTCAGATGGGATAAACCTGTCATCACTGTCCCGGACCGCTTCATCCCACCTTCCTATTCCGTCGATGAAAAAGCTTCGAGACCTCGGACAAAGACAAGTCAGGCTGACCGGTGCGAATCGATGATCCATCTATACAGTCGAACCAGAACGCCGCCAATGGAGATGGCTGAACTATATTGCATTTTGGATTGCGGATTCTCTGAACATTGTGAGTCTTCTAGAGGCGCTAACCTTAGCCGATAATGGTCGCTAACAATAACTGACTTTAGAACACCTGGATGATCTCATCTTCCATGATTGTTGATGGCCTCTCATGGTGGCAGTCGTGGATTTGCGTCTGGATCGGATATTTTATCGCCGCAGCCTTCGTTTGCCTGACAGGTCGCATTGGTGCTGTCTACCACATCTCGTTTCCCGTCACAGTACGGGCATCGTTTGGAATATGGGGATCTTTCTGGCCCGTCATTAACCGGGTGGTCATGGCCATCATCTGGTACGGTGTCCAGGGCTACATTGGAGGTATGCATATCTCCAAACACTATCACATGTCGAATAGACATACATGGATACTGACAGCAATTTCTTCATAGGCGAGTGTGTCACCCTGATGATCGAGGCCATCTGGCCTAGCTACAGGAATCTGCACAACGGCCTTTCCGCCAGTGCCGGCGTCGACACCAAGGGCTTCCTCAGTTTCTTCCTCTTCTGGCTCCTTTCCCTGCCGGCCCTGTGGTTCCCGGTGCACAAAGTGCGCCATCTGTTCACTGTCAAGGCAATTTACTCGCCCATTGCCGCCATCGCTTTCTTTGCCTGGGCTATTGAGCGGGCTAATGGCATTGGTCCCATCATCCACCAGCCTAACACCGTCCACGGAAGCGCCCTGGGATGGGCAATTGTCAAGGCCATCATGACATGCATCGGTAACTTCGCCGCTCTCATCATGAATGATCCTGATTTTTCTCGGTTTGCCAAAACACCAAAGGACGCTTTGTGGTCTCAGCTGTTGACAATCCCTATCGGATTCGGTGTAACCTCGTTCATCGGTATTATCGTGTCTTCATCTTCCTCGGTGATCTTCAACACCGACCCTGTCTGGAACCCACTTGACCTTCTCGGCATGTTCCTGAACGGAGCTAGCTCTGGCCAACGTTTCGGTATCTTCATCATCGCGACTGGATTCGCACTTGCTCAGTTGGGAACCAACATCTCTGCCAACTCAGTCTCTGCTGGAACGGATCTGACGGCTCTTCTGCCTCGTTACCTCAACATTCGTCGTGGCAGCTATATCTGTGCCGCTATCGGTCTGGCTATGTGCCCAGTAAGTTTTCTCAACCCTTGTGCGACTTTATCAAAGCTCAGACGCTAAACTGCCCCAGTGGAACCTCGTTGTCTCCTCAAATCAGTTCACCACCTACCTGTCCGCTTACTCCCTTTTCCTCTCCGCCATTGCCGGTGTCATGATCTGCGATTACTATATCGTTCGCCGCGGCTACCTCGATATCAAGGCCTTGTACAGCGCCAAAAAATCAGACCCCTACTACTACACGCTCGGATTCTCCTGGCGCGCCTACGCATCCTATTTTGCTGGAATTCTCATCAACATCGTTGGTTTCGCCGGCGCAGTGGGACGTGAAGTTCCCGTCGGCGCACAGTACATCTACAACATCAATTACTTCTCCGGAGTCATCGTCTCCGGCGGCATGTACTGGATCCTGACGAAGATCTTCCCTGTTCCTGCTGCCAGCGAGACCTGGAACGAAGTCGATATTGACATCGACGAGTTCCAGGTTGCTTATGGACAGGAAATCAGCGACGAGGAGAACCAGGGATACGGGGAACGAAGATCCATCTCGGATTCTTTGCCACCCGACGATCAAAAGGGCTTGACCGCGGCGTCGAAGAAGGTCTGAAGTGTTTTCTGTGATTCTTAAGGAAATTGTTTTTGGCGATACTTTTTTTAGTGTACATTCTATTTCTTGGGGATGGTTATGGATACCCGTACATTCTCCAGTGATGAGAACTGGACTCGATATGTGCAGTACTGGAATCTGTCATTTGACAGGATATGATGAGACGAATCTTCTTAATCTGATTATTTTGAGACGGATAGCTCGCTCGGCGAAGCTCCAACAGTCCACGCTCCGGATCGGAACTGTCATTTTAAGATATTAAAACTTAAGACCTGGCCTTCGGAAAAGTCGGGATTCGGAGAAAATAATCGATCTGCTGTATTGATGGCCAGATTTTCATCCATTTAAAATGATATTAGATACTAAACTTTAACTATGACGAGTGGGTAAGATGTAAAGAAAAAAGTATGGTATCCGTTGCGACCCAGCGCGTCATCTCGTCATCTAGTATTAACACATAATATGAAGAGGGGACGAAGGTCAAGAAGTAGAGAATGGAGACATTGAGGTATTAAACGACAGACAAGTAGGCGATAACCCGCACCCACGAAATTTCCTTCGCCATCGCAATGAAAAAGCTCAAGAGATGGGAAGCTATATAAGCAAAGTCAAAAGTAACATGGCTATGCAAAAATCAAACGAAAGCAGGAAAAATAAAATATGTTCTCCTTTCTCCAAGACCAAATGCGAATGGTTATTCCCTGAATAAGTGCCCTTCATGCTCGTAAGATGCTTGATAAAAGCGCACAAAAAGAAAAAAGCGTGATGAGTAGCGCTCCGGTGAACCAGCCACGATGATCTTTCCCAGTGTGAGACTCCCGCAAATGCGATGGTTGAGTGGCCGTTCCGCCGAAACAAGATGTTTCCCAAGCCCGAATAATCAAATTGAAATCGACAAAAACAAACATTGAACACCCTAGCCCCGAAATTTAAAAAACAAGTCCCAATGTGAGGTGGAGAACAAGGAAACAAATGACAGAAAAGATATACACACAGTTGCTAACATAACAAGGGGGTATCGCTGCGACGGGTATAGCAATGGCAAGAACAGAACTTCCTCATGATGAAACGAATGTCATCAAATGCAAGAAAAGAAGAATGCCACGGCATCGTGGCCGAAGATGGAATGGAAAATGTAGGTGGAGTCTACCGGCCAGAACCAGCACAGGTCTCGGTAGATGTTGTATGAGGAAGCCCTCTTGATAAGCCCCATTAGGGCACGAATGAAGAGGTAGAAGCAGTGGAGACTGTCGGTGTGAGGTTGGGAGAGCTATCCTTCTCATCTGGACTGGGAGGATCGCTGCGCTCCGTAGCCTGGTCCTTCTCGCGGTCGGTAGACGAGGATCGCTTGAAGACCGTCTGGCCAATCTGTCGCAAGATGCCCAGGCGCTCGGCACGGAGCTCTTCGATTCCCAGTCGCTGACAAGGGACAGGATCCTCCTTCGAGATTCGGCAGAACAAGGTTGAGAACAGGTACTGATCACCACTACCATCATACAGAGGCAGGTAGCGGTAGCCCTGAGACAGACTAGTGAGCTTGGCAGTAAAAGTGGCCAGCTGCACAGAGTTGTTGTTTCCAGCGCTGCGTCCATCCAAGGAGCTCCAAACAGTCCAGCGGACGAAGACCAGATCTGGGTACTTGGTCTCAAGAGAAAGCTTGAAGCGATCATTGAAAACCGGACTGTAGCCATTGCTCTGCTCGATCTTGGTGCGTCGACGATGAGGATATCCAATACCAGACATGCCGCTGCGAGCAGAAGCATCCATACCACCCTCGCCGAATGCGACGCTCTGGCCACGGTCATCGGCACTGAACATCTCAATCTCGACATAAGGATTGATGTTATCCTCAGGGCCAATGGAGCGAGGACGAGGAAGCTGTTGAGCCGAAATAACATCCACGGAGAACTTGACCATCTGGCGCTCGGTCTTGCGCTTCTGATTTTCGTTGTCTGGTGCAGGAAGACGAAGACTGTCGGGCTTGAGGACATAGCCGGTACGGTCGCTGCCAGCCGCGAACATGGCTTGGTTCATCTGCATGCCAATGTCGTAGGTCTGCCAGTTCAAGGCGGCCATCTGGACACCGCGGCGCCAGAACTTGTTCGGGTCGAAATTGGAAGAGCGAAGACGGAACCCAGAAGGATAAACGCGAGTGAGGTACTTGCGGTTGTGAGATTCCAAAGCAACCTTGTTATCATGGGTTTGGCAGATGCTCTCGAACGACCGCTCCGCGAATGAGTAAACGTGGTTGTACTTTCGGCTTTCAGGGGAGCTGAAGCTGTGCCACTTATAGCCACGAGAGTACACCCCCAGGTCCGACAGAGGCTTGGTGATCTTGCTCTTTTGGCGGCGTCGCTTCTTCTTCTCGTTGTGGGCAGAGATGAGCGCACCGTCGCTATCCTCCGTGGCGCTGCTCATGCTCGTCGCAGTGAGGGAGCGTCGGTCTTGAGATATCAGAGGGCCGATACTGTCCTGAGTAGTACCGATCGAAGGTGGGCTAGACAAGGACGAAATCGGAGTGGCGAGAGATATTTCGGGGGAGGAGTAGGGCGAACAAATGGAGAGCTGGCACTGCGCTTGCGGCCATGGGTGCCCACAGTGCTCACTGAGTCCTGGCGAGGATTTCCAGAGGTTTCGTCACAGGTCTTGACCTTGACCAGGATGCGACCCTTCAGCTCTTCTGGCGATGGAAGGATAAAGCAGTTGGTCATCAAGGGTTCGAGGATGAGCTGCTCCTTGAAGGTATCTTTCATGATCTTGACCATTGCCAGTTGCTGCTCCGGGTTGCAATGCACCTCAAGAGAAAGGATCAGAGGGAAGTCGCATGAAATGAAAGCATAACGATTGATGACCGTGATGCAATCAGCGAATAAGACGCTTGTGGTCATAGTACGTCCGTGCGACACGATTGGTCGCCCGTCTGTACCATCCCAGCAGTCGATCTCTACACAACGACACCCTTGCTGCAGAGCGCTGATGTATGCCTCGGTGCTCGAAGCACCGGCAACTTGGCGGCCAAGCAGGTAAGTGTTGTGCGAGCTGGAAATGAAATACTCATTCAATGGTCGGTCAAATCGCGACTTAGGAGGACGGGATGCGTAGATGCCGTTGCTAGGCGATGCCAGGAAGGAGGAGAAGGTATTGAGGTTCATGCGAGGTGGAGGCGAAGGGACGCTGACGTCCGAAGCGTCAGAGGGAACGCGAGGCTTGGATCTGCGAGCAAACTTCTCAAAGAGGGCAACCCATTGAGCTCGGTCGGTGTCAATGTCTTCCTGTTGCTCATCGCGGAGGAAGGCTAGGAACTCATTCAGAGTGAGACCCATCTTCGAGTCCTCCGCGTGTGCCTTGAAGACCTCTTTGACATCCTTTCGCTCCTTCAGGCGCGTGAGGAAGTCTTTAAATTCGGAGTAATTCAACTTGCCATTACGACCGGCGTCGGCCTTGGTGAACTGAGCCCGGAGCATGTTCTTCGAACAGTTGATATGCAAACTGCGACAGACACTCTCAATGGCACCGAAGTCAAGGCTTTGCTCCTCGCCCGGACGTGGTCCTTGCGGGAACAATCTCGACGTCTCGCGTTGCCAGTGGGCCTGTAGAACACCTTCACTTTGACCCGAAGCGGCCAGTCCGGCCATGAGGCCGATGCGATAGCGAGAAATGTGCTCAAGGGTGGTGACCCACAAGTCGAGGATGTGGTCGTTAGGGGCAATCAGGTGCAAGGTCTTGACTGCACGGCCTTTGAAACGCTCCGAATCCGCAATGACAATGGTGAACCAACGACCCTCCAGGTCTTCGGGAACCTGGTGCTCTTCACGATAGTTGCGCGCATCAGCACCAACTCGGATTTGCTTGATGTCGTCGATGTAGAAACGCTTTGCGGGGTTGGAGGGGTCCCAAAAGACCTTCGCGGAATCCAAATCCAAGAAGAACCGGACCTGCTTGCGGCGTTTCTTTGTCACCTTGGTCAAAACCGTTCCCCGTTGAACAGCGGAGTCCACCTTTGGCGCGACAGCAACGGCGGAGCCCCCAACGACTTCGCGAGCTGACATCATGCGACTTTCACTGCGCAGGCTAGACGGCTCGGAGCCAGCCCATGCGCCAAGTCCATCCAAAGCTTCACTAGTTTCGTCCTCGTTGCTCGAATCGAGCGCGTTGTCCCGAGGCGGTTGGGTGCTAGTCTTGCTGTCACTGCGTCGGCGCATGATGACTGGACCGCAGCTGCGGTCTCGCTTGTCGTTTTGAGTGGCGGATTGTCTTCGTCTGGTAAGCTTGTTGGCAGCCCCTCGTGATATCCGACGCATTAGACCCGGCGCCTTGGGAGGAGCGGTAGGGTCAGTGATGCCAGGTGTTTCAGGAACTGCCATCATTGACTCGCCAAGCTCAAGAGGTGCAGGTGTCGGAAGCGGATTGATTCGACCACGAGGTCCCTCACTGGCAGGTTGGAGAGGAGTACCAGCGGGCGTGAAGGCATTCGGTGTCCCGGGACCAGGGCAGGCCGAGAGCGGAAGGGAGGTAGGAGAAGCGGTAAAAGAAGGCGCAGAGGGAGGAGTCGGATGAGAAGGTAAAGAGGTGACAACATTGTGTAGTGATGTTGAGCGGGGAAAAGAGGTTGAAAGTTTTAAACTGGCTTGGGTATCGGCGTCCAGAGCCGGAGGTGATGTTGCCGTAGCGTAGGCCATGGCGGCTACTCTGTTATCAGACCTGGCAGCGCAGCTGTCGATAGGTGTAATGAAGTTGTAGTCTTCCGTGAACCGTGCCAAATTCCGAGTCACCTGGACTCTTTTAAATGACGAATCGGTAACAGAACAGGGAACCAGCCAGCCGTTCAAGGTTTTGCAGGGGCCCTTATTTGGAAAGGAATCCGGGCCAGAAGAAGCAAAGTGGAATAGGCTCGACACAGTAAGAAAGATGATGATTCAGCCACGTCCTCAGCAGAAATGATCCGGTGTTGAACTCTGCATCTTGGCCTGGCTGGAATGCAATGCGGAGAGCCCTGCCGGAGAGCGCCTCACGGAGAAAAGCCGAGGAAAGGGAAGAGGACAGCTGAGGGAATCAAAGCACAAGTCCCTGATAACAATTGCGACGGGCAGTGGCCCCGTGCAAGATGACCGGCTTCTACCACGAGGGTGAGAGCGTCCGGCCAATGCTAATTACTGGTCTGGTAGACGTCACAGTAGGGAACTCAGCGGGGAGGGATGGATCGCCAGCTTGCAAGGTTCCGGTCCGCAGGTCTGACTTCCTTCTTTCGGAACCGAGCTGATTCTCTGAACAGCCTCCCAATGATACCAATGCTACCCCTCTTTTTCTGCCTGTCGATCTGCCGGTCCGTGGGGAAAGCTGCTGCCCTGCACAAGAGAGGGGCGTTGCGATATGGGCCAATTGATCGCGCAACCGGAGTGGACGAACCAGGGAGGGACGCGGTGCCGTGGTCGGTAGGGACGAGTGGAGAGAGCGAGCGTAAGTCAAAGGCCGTATGCGCAGCGCATGCGGGCTCACTCCTCGGGAGTTCAGCAAGAGCCCCAACGGAGTCGTAGTCGCGTGGTCAAACCGGTGGCGGCAGCGCGAGCAAGGGCCGGGGAGAGGAAAAGAAAGACAAAAAGATGGCCAGGGTATTATTCCAAGTGTAGTAATTCCGACGATCGATTGGTCGCGATTGGAGACTAGCGATGCAGCGGACGATGGGAGTTCCCGTACAGGACGTGCAGGGAACCTTTTTGCGGCGCAAGCTGGAGTGCGGAGGGCAAATGCGATGGGAGAATCGGAAATTGCGACACTTGCCAACGCAGTGGATGCAGGCGATCCAAAGGGGAAATGGGCGAGCAATCGGCCACTGGACCGAAGCAGAGGGACTCGCTGATGTTGGATTTGGTGATTTAGTGCCGTTTAGGAACGTCGCTGTGAGCTGATCCGCCTTTGCTGCACGGTTACGTGGTGGCCACTAGGAGGACGATAGGGTAGGGTTTTGCGAACTGGGTGCGGCAGCGGAAATCGTGATGATCATGCGATGAGGATGAGACCGGATCCTGCTGGAGGTTCGCGCGTTAAAAAGGGAAAGATATCGAGAGGGGTGTGAGGGAAAGAAGGGGGGCGGATGAAAAATAATTAAATCAATGAATCAATCCCAGCGATTCCGCCAGGTTGGAATTGAAGCTGGAGTGGACCGGTAACGATGTGACCATACCTTGAGTTCAGACCCACCGGTAATACGGTATTTTTGGGAGGCACGTGGGATACAAAGCCGTACTGATGTACGACGAAGCACGAGATGCGGTACCTGCCAGCGGTACTAGTACCTGAGGTACGGGGAGAAGGGGGATTGATGAACCGAGAAATAAAAAAAAACGATAAAGAGGTGCGAGCAGAGGATGTGAGTGTTTGAAATAGAGAATCCCTTTCAGCCTACTGTTGACAGTAGACCAAGCAGTCGCAGTGGTAGTAGATCAAATGATTTGATATCAAAGGGGGAAAGAGTATCAAAGAAGGAGACCAGAATGAACAAAGTCCAGGACAAGAGCCAGGTCAAGGAAGCGGGAGGGAAAAGCGTGTCTATGTATAGCCCGCAGGATGAGGCTTAGAGTGCATCAGACGCAGACACAACAAGGGATCTCAGCCGGGGAATGGGGCCAAAGGGAGACGACGCAATTAAATAAGACGGAAGACGACAGCGCATAGCAACCAAGGCGAGGTAATTTCCTACGGTATCAGGTATGAGGGATCGAGGGTACAGTGCGACCTCCCCAGCAAAAGGGAGGGCGGTCTACCCAGCCGGTCGTGCCTATCAGCTTACAGGGCTACATCTTGGGTAGGATATGGGATGACGATGTGGAATGACTGCACGCCCACCCACGATGGGCAGATCTCGCAGCCCGATGTCATTGGCCGATCCCTTATTTCCTGGGGAATGCCATCGGCCAAACGGGGGGCCGATCGGTGTTTCAGATGTGAGAAGCCCGGCAACAGAAAATAATCATGACGCTGATACCAGATTGGTAACTCTAGGGGAAGACGCCTGTCTCCCAAAAAAGGGGGGAGGGAAAACGGGGATGACGGGGTATGGGGACAGTGGGATTTGGGGGAGCGGTCACTCTACTGTACACATGGGTCATAGGTAATAATGTCCCCTTTGCATCAGACAGGAAGGACGGGAGCTGGCGACGACGGAGCATTTCCAGTGGAGACCAGTAGGCAGTCTATTCCATTCAGACTTCCATAGTCTGACGCCTATCTGCCGGGCTCCAGTTCCCCCACACTGGCCATATTTTGAGTCGCTTCTTCCCCTGAAAAATTGTCTGGCGAGTACTCCGTGGCACACTCCGCGCGAGCACCGGCGAGCGCGTCGGATGTCTTAGTCGGTGGGCAGCTGAAGAGGCGCGACAGTATTGTCGCATACCTGGCCTTGTATCGAGGCCCACATCGCCGTCATTCTTACCTCTCTCATGTATTTTGCAACACCGACACGCTGGTCCCGGGGGAGAATTTGCGGAGCCTTCGGATTCTTGCGTTTTGATCTCGCGGTCGGAGACGACTCCATACGTCGAATGAACCTTCCACCCTTTCCCCATCCGGGTAGGAGTCTAATCCCTGTGGCTGGCGATCGGTAGGGTATCCTTCAGGGCTATCCCAGGGTTGTTCAACAGTCGGGTGTCCTCTCTTGTTGCCCAACTGGCCACCCGGGGGAACTGCCAGAGGGAAATTCGTTTGTGTGTGTGTGTGTGTGTGTGTGCCACAGACGGTCGATCACGATGCACATCATCATTCCCTCCTATTCGACCCAGTCGCGTAGTGGGGGAAAGAGGGGGAGGGGGCAAGTGGTCCGACGTCAGGCCCATACACCGCAAAGAGCGTCAAGCCCAGTGCTGTAGGGCATGGAGCCGTGGAGGGCGAGATAAGAATAGTGGCACCACACCGTCATTTCTGATTTTTTGATTCGATTTTCCGGAGAACAGCCAGCGGTTCGATCGTGGTGAGGCTGGGGCGTGGCAGTGAAACGTTTGGGCGGTGCAGATGGAGACCAGTGGATCCCCGCAGACCAGGATCGCCGGATGCTGGAGCGTTTGAGAGTTTGCAAGAGCCCTCCGACGAACCGTCGGTGGAGTGCCCCTCCCTGGCAACTTGTTCACCGCGTAAAACCAACTAAAACACCAGCAAACACCGCGTGAAGCGGTCGGGCGAGGGGAGTTTTGCTGCTCAATTCGCAGCACCGCGAACTGGACCTTCGGAAGACGGTGAAAAAAAAGACGCGATCCACCTCGGCTCCTTTTCGCGAGGCGGGGGTCTTCAGCGCATCATCCTGTACCTGCGGTCTTGCGTGCATGCATCCTTTCGTGTCGGTGATACAGGCGATCCCGAAATGCGACAAGCCGCCAGGTGCAGCGTCGAGCGCGATCAGAACTCTGCGGGGTCGTCAACCCCGCGTTACTTGATGCGCTGGCGATGCCGTGCTGCTCAGTTTTCCCTGATTTTGGTCCGTTGGTCTCTGGTGTTGTCGGGCTCAGGACCGATATTCGCAGATGACTGCCACCGTTGCGGTGCAGCTCGGACAGCACGTGCCTCGACAGGGCCGTCGTCCCGTCTCCGACTAATCTGTATGTACCCCATTCCAGTCTGATCCCCTATTGTACAAGTGTAGTCTGTTACCTAGGTCGATACATCCCTCCCTGAGAAGGGCATGTACCCCGTAGGACGACCCATGGCTTGCCAACTCACCACCCAACGCCGGTGATCTGGTAACTCGACACGGTAAGAATACGACTGCCTAACTCTGGTGTCGTCCCTAACCTCCGAGGGACCTAGTCCTACAATGAGTCACGTTGCACGCCAATTCCAAACCCGGCCTTGCTGACCGTTTTTGCTTTCCGGTCGATCCGTGCGCTATCGTGTAGAGCGGCTGTGGCGGGTTGTCCCTCGATAACGTGAGGATATATCATTAGATGTGCGGAGGAGTATCGAGGACGACCCCGACGCCACGCTATCAGCACAGCATCACGATCTGCTCCCCTTGGCGGGCATGCAGTCGCGTGTCTGACATCTTATCTCGTCATGGCATTGCCAGCTCTTTACTCATGACCCGTGGCTGGGGCCAGGGTCCCGCGCCCTGACACTCGACTTACAGAAAGGCGACGGTAATCTCGCGTGCTCGGGAGGGTCAGAGCATCTGCAGACCGCCCCCCTATCGTGGCCTCTCCAGTATTGGCCTGGAGAGCCAGTCAGCGATGTGCGGGATCCGACTCGGACGACGGTCGGCGACAATCCCGTTGATCGCGGGAGAAAGAGGGCACGGCGGGTGGGTTCGATGCCCCAAATCCAGTCTCAGATTGGAGCCCACTCCCATTCAGCGCCAATTTGGACCCCGCGGGTCATGCAGTGACGTGCCCGGCGAGCTTTCAACTAGAGCTAGAGTGGGAGCTTGGGCTCTCGTGACCTCATCGTCGGGATGCTGCTGTCATGTCGCAGGCGTCTGGGATGGCGGGCTTGGATATTTTCTTTTTTTACCATCGCAACATACATGACTCAAAGGGGGATAGTCGAGATGTTTTAGAAGTGATTCCTTCCAAGGTTCTTGGGTTCTTCCATTGGCTTGGGTGGGGGGAGTTAACGTTGCGCTGTTGAGAACGGGGGGCCCCACTCTGACAGTCGTTCCTTCCCAGAATACCATACCTCCATAACACAGATACGCTCGGTACCGTATTTACCCGCCCCGGAAATGGTGGAAAAGGCACTCCCCCGTCAACGCGAACAACCCTAGGGTACGTCGGAAGGTCTACGTATTCATGCCCCAACGCGGCATTGCCCACCAGATGCGATCCTGATTTTCATGGGACCTATCGTACGATCATTGACCCTGGACATCCATTACGCGACTCTATACCTGGGCAATAGGATAATGTGGCACAAGAGCAAGGTAAAGTCAAACCACAATCTTCAGCAACCTCAGGCCCAAGGTCATCCTATGGGATAGGAGAACAGCGAGAGCCACAATTTCACAAGCTTGTCTGTCCCCAACCTAGGTGCCCGGAGACTATTCCCTGGTGGCACCGACATGTCAGTAAGACAATCTCGCAGCCGCTCCTTGCTACGATCAGCAGCCCTAAATTCTTCCCCGCTTTTCTCTGGCCCTACAGGACGGGATGTGCCCGACCAAACAAGCAAGCCCAGCAAATTAATAATTTTCAATCTAACCCATCCATTTTCGAGCCCGTAGAGCCCCTTTGTTAGGCGATTTCGGCGAGGCTCACGCGGACGGCCCTGAACAAGGCACAGTACCAAGTGCGTAGTTCCCGACATTACATTGCTCTGGTCTGTTCAACTCGGAAAAGTATTGGTGGGATGTGCTCAGTCGACTTGACGATCCATGGGAGCGACACGAGGAAGCGCTCCCCGAACAGCGACACCGCGACACAGCGCGCGCACATGTCGTCAAAATGGCCGTGGATACACCTTGGATGACATCATGAAGACGGTCCCATTGCAGCAGTGCGTTGAATAATACCCCGAAGACATCGATTACCAGACGCCAGAATACCGAAAATACCATCTGGTATCATCGGACAGTACTGCAGGTATGGCTGAATGTGAGATGGTCACCGTATTACGCACCACCAGACTGCCGGGCCCGCAAGGCGAATGAAAAGGGGATCGCACACTTACGGCAGCCTTAGCGTCCTACTGTACCTGCTACTATCCCTGACGAAGTAATACTACTCACATCGACCACACTAGCAGGGTGCCATTCACCGTTGAAACTCAGGGGCGTCTGCTCCGAGCCACCGGATTGACTCCAGGAAGGCAAATTAACATGGCCACACTCGCCATGATTCGATCCGATCCAATATGATCTTCAGGAGAGAAGGGGGAGATTGTCTCCATTCAAGATGGGCTACCCACTTGTCCCGCCTCGGAATGAGCGATCAGATGTTCTCTCCCAGGCAATTTTCCAGACGCTTCCTCGCTCCAGTCCCATACAGACTGTAGGGTACCGTACTCGTAGTACTCGGGATGGGATCGCCCTGCGGAGTATTGACCGCACGGTCAAATTACACTGCGAAACCCAGCAGCATGGAACCGTTGCGCCTCCTGTCACGGCGTGCTGGGATACACTGACCTTCCCAAGTTGGGCATGCTACTTCAGGGCGGTAGCAGCCCTAATGCATGCACTCGACAGCCGCAACCCGGCCAGCGTCACGGTGTCTTGGCCCTCTCTCGTAGTCGAGGTATCGCAGTTCCTCGTCTTCCTCATTTCCCTGATTTTCCAGATTGTCTCGGGGAGGGCCGGCCATTCCCACTAATCCGCCGGTTTCTAGTATGCAGCAGTTGACGCATTACTGCTAGTATCCTCCGCTGAACTGCTCTCCACGCAAACCAAAGCGGAAACTGGAAACCGCAATGCGCTCCCCTCTCAAACAACCCACCGACACGTCCTAACACCCCAGTCTGTCTCATCCTGCAGCCACCCTCGGCTCAGCCCCCCTTCAGATCCTTCGATGCATCTTCGATGCTCGATGCTTAATATACACCCGTGTTCTGCGACCCCACCAGACAACCCTCTCATGCAAGAGAGTCATTCTGTCATCCTCGGGCCCCCCCTTCTACGAATGCAGTCGCCCGTCCCGTCTCTGGTGGTCGCAGCTTAGACGTCTAATATCGTGGCGTGGCTGAAGAGGGCCAGGCCGGATTGCAACTTTGGAGACGACTTTGTTGCTTAGGGACCTCTCCAGTCCCCGACGTGTGACTGCAGCGAAACCCTCCTCGTCTCTCCTTTGCCAGGTCTCTGGTGCGACGCTTCAAGGGAGGACGCAGGGAGGACGCAGATGGTTCGCACCGATATAGTGTAACCAGCAGTAGCTTGCGACGCCTCTCAGTCCCGTTCACGATGACGATCACCTTTCTACATAGCATGCAATGTCAGTGTTCTTCCGATGTGGGATGATTTCTCTAGCGGGGTTCCTTCACCGCTGTATGTTGGCATCAGGATGAGCTTGCCTTGCGGTGAATGACGGTGTTCGAATTGTATTGCTGCTGCCGACATCTGTTCATTTCGAGATACCCGCATGAGGAACGGCTTGTGCGTCCGTCAGGCAACCATTCGGCAATGAGAAGTACAACCTTGAGGAAACTGGAAGGTCATGCGACCTGGACAGGGTTCTTCCGACCTCCCACAATGATATGAGCTCCATACATCTGAAATCAACTCTATCGCCGAGCGAATACAGGGGAAACAACGCAGGTCCACACCGTGTGACCAGACGGGCGACCCTCTTGAACGGACACTGTGCTTCGCCTATACCGGATCCTCTCTGGGCATCTCTGACATGATTCGACTTGGTCAGATTGAACTGCATGGCCCCGCAGCGGAACCGTGGCGCAGATATCAGGGCTGAGGTAGGAGCTCCATCGTCACCCGACTAGGGACGACTGCCACCAGGTCCAGAGAGATTGATCCATCAAACCCGCAGCCGTGAACTGAGAAGCGGCTCTTCCGGCTTCGGTACATACTATTGTTTTACACATTCGGAATACTTGGTGGATCTTGTTAGGGCTGTACCTGCGAGCTCTGGTAAGCTGCCTCCAAGTGCATCCATCTCAGCCTCAACCGCGATATTCGTTTCAGCTGACGAAACGCGTTGCAACGGCGCGCGACGGTGCGCAACTGTGCTCGGCCGATCGTTCCAGCCAAACTTTCTTCTGCCGTCTTCAAATACTCGGTCTCGACCGCGAACAAAGGAGGTGGGAGGTTTCAAGGCATGGGGGAAATGTGCGACGTTTCAATTTCCGAGCCGCGCGCGCGACGACTCGAGACCATTCGAACAACTGATTAACTTGAAGCAACAGAGTCGCGCGGATCGACTGAACTAACCGTATCTTTGGGATTATTTACCGTGTACCATTCGGCCACTGCAGTTGGCCCCCGTACAGCCCACGCCACCCAATCGGTGGCCCTGGGGGCCTAGGTTGGACCCATCGTGGATCTGGGGCTGAAAAAAGCTGAGCACCCTCAACCCGCACCCACTCGAATTTACGCTGTGGACAACGTGGCTTCCAGAATTCCTATCGAAAAGATGTCGGCCTTGCGCGCCGTTACGTCTTACGTGCAGCGTCGGGCCTGGCGCTATCTGATAAGTGGATTGTTGGATGCGTTGGCAATGTCCATGTCCAACCTTTCCCCCTCACGCCAGCTGAGGCTTGAGTCCTTGTTTTTATGATCGCAATAGCAATATCCTAATTTTGGTCATCGTGCGTGCTCGCATCGCCCATTGCGCACTCTCGGCCTGAAATGAAGGACCGCGGGACGATCGGATAGCCTCAGCCCGTTGCCAACCTTCGCCTCTCCTGCCGGCTTGGCAGTCTCGCTGTCCCGACGATGAGACACACAGCAGGGCACCTTGGTGGAGCTCGCCTGCTTGACAAGTTCTCCAGTGAATCCCGGGTCCAACGGAGCTCTCTCAAACACGGCATTTAATCGCCCAGGATGCCTCCGATCGCTATTCTTAGTATCGGTTCTTGGTCAACCCTGTCAATCTGGATGGCATGCATAAAAGAATTCGCAGCACAGAACAAGGATTAACGGCTTCTGAAACGCGCGATCCGGCACTTCGGGACAACCGGCATGAACCGTTGGCTGGGACGATGTCTCGCGCAAATTACGCCAGTGGGATGCAGAGAAGATTTTGATGTAGAGGAAACACTAGTCGAAGATCGAATAGAATGCCTAAGGTAGGTGATCTCTAGAGATTGCATCGTATGGAACAGATGTGACCCTCTCAAAATTGCAAAATTGGACCCCTCGCCAACTAAGATTAAATATTATAATCAAAGCAAAGTAAAAAAAAATCCTCGTGTTCCCCTGACCTCAGCTCGATTCGCTCCACTTTTCATATCGTTATCTGGAACCCGCGGCCCCAATTTATGCGAAACATCGCATCGAGATCCCGCCTCGACCAGCCGGGGTTGGCTGGGATAAACGACCTACCAAGGTGAGACTTGATCTGGTCTCGGATCCCGCCGGTAAAGAAAATCCCAGATGGACGGGAGAATAGGGATCAGGAAGCGAGCTCCATACCCAATACCCAGGTAAAGAGGGAAAGATTACGGGCTGTGTGCGGTACTCCGGGGAAGCCGGCTGTCTTAGCTGTCAGTCGGGGCTCGCTTGCTTCTCGCTACCAGAGGTGTCGCGCGAAGGTACAATACGTATTACCGTTTACCTCCTAACGAGTAGTCTGGGTGGAGGAGCCGGAATACGATGGAGCCGTGGTTGCGGGGGTTGGGGCGATCCATGAGGGTCGAGATCTTGACGGTGATGGCTGCTGACAGCTGGTATAGATGCTGAAATGAATGTGAGCGAGTGTAAAAGTGCTTTTCGTTCTTGGTGGTAGTTGGCAGTATATACTACAAACGTAGACATATCAGTTTCATGCGGAGGGCGGCTGTACCTTCCGCCGGTCCCTGGCTTCCCCTCAGCATCAGCACCGCCAGAGGTCTGCGGGGAACATCCAGCCGCCGTGAATAACGATGGACTTTGCAGCTCCAGTCAACAGCGCATTTACAAAGGCGTTGCCCAAGGTTGAGGTATTTCGCATTTCAATATTTAGAGGATACCAAGCTGATCAAGTCTAGCTACACGCTCACCTGAGCGGCAGTATCAGCCGTCAATGCCTTCACGAAATATGGGAGCGAAAGAAAGCAAAAGATCTCAGCTTCTCCATTGAGGATCCCTTAGTCCTAATGCCTCCAGGCAAGGTCGACTATACGCTCCAAACGTAAGGCAGCCGATGCCTTGAAGCCTGAATTTATAACGAATGACTGACACACCAGCATAGCTTTTTCCAAGTCTTCTCGAAGCTGATATACCAACTATGCAACGACCTCGAAAGCCTCGCCTATGCCGTAAATTCTGTACTAGAAGACTTTCTGAATGACGGAGTCCGCTATCTAGAACTCCGAACAATCCCCCGACCATCCTCAGAAGCAAACATAACCCGAGAAGGATACCTATCAACAATCCTCAACACAATCGACGCTTTCAAAGCCCGAACCCAACAAATGTCCGTCTACCTTATCCTCGCTCTAGACCGTGGAAATACAACACCGACCGAAGCCAACGAAATCATCGACCTCGCAATCGCCAACAAGACGCGCGGGGTTGTCGGCGTCGACCTCTGCGGGAACCCGACGCAGGGCGACGTCACCCTCTACGCGGACGTCTTCGCCCGCGCAAAGCTCCATGGATTGGGGCTTACGCTGCATTTTGCCGAGACGCCTGCTTCTGGCACTCCCTATGAGCTGGCCGCGTTGCTTTCTTTCCGGCCTGATCGGCTTGGGCATGTTATTCATGTTCCCGAGGAGGTTAAGCGGGAGATTGCACGCCGGCGCCTTGGGCTGGAACTGTGCATGTCTTGTAATGTGCACGCGCGGTTGATTGAGGGGGATTTCTTGGATCACCATTTTGGGGAGTGGAGGCATACAGATTGTCCCATTGCGTTGTGTGTAAGTTCACAATTTTGTTGTTTCTTTTTGCTGGCCCTTGATTTACTTCAAAGACAATGACGTCCTCGAGATGGAGTTTCTGACTGATACGCAGACGGACGACGTGGGATTTTTTTGTAGTCCTGTTTCAAACGAGTATCTTCTCGCCGCACAGCACTTTGGGCTTGGTCGTGCTGGATTACTGGATATCGCACAAAGGTCGATACAGTCGATTTTTGGAGGAGAGCAAGAAAAGGAAAGACTGAAGCTGATATTGGGTGAATTTTCTCAGGGCCAAGTAGAAGTTCGCAGCTAGGGGTGCGATTGCATCAATACTGACAAGAAAAATCATACTATATCATAAGTAGACACTCAAAAGGAGCCCGAAAGTGTTATACTAGATACAATCAGGAAGACGAAAGGTCCCCGAGCTTGTCACAATCTCGGGGCAATTGCCCTAAGCTCCACGTCGTGTGCACCTAGACATCGGCTCTAAGCGACCACCCAACATTCTAACATCCATCTATAGATCAACACGCTCCTTGAGAACATCTACCACTTTCTCCTGAAAGTCAACTGCCAAGGTTGGTCCTTCAGTACCTCGGAAGTCTCCTTTCAGGCAGGCAAGCACAGCTTTAGTATAACCCATGCCCATCTCTTTCGGCAATCCTTGAATTGCCAATGCCATCAAATCCTCAACAACCTTCTTCGGCCGCGGCAACCGTCCATTACTTTTTGCTTCTTTGATCTTAGCCTCCATCAACCGGGACAATGTCACCCACAGGCCAATTTCCAGTAGGACCACACCCAGGGCATAGATGTCGTGCAGACGGGTGAACTGCTGGTTTGGATGACCCTGTCGATTCGGATGACGATACAGATTCGGCTCCACCTCGAAATCCGCACGCATATCTGTGCCCTGTTGGACAGAGCGTGCATATCCCCAATCACTCAGGTATGAAATGACTTTGTTCCCATCAATGGGTGTTAAGAGGCGATGTTTGTAGAGCCCCGACGCGCTGATACCCGATGGCGTTTCGAGGAAGAGAAGAATGCCTCTGCTCCAGATATTCTTGTGCACCCAGGCTGAGGCGTGGATGTTGGAGACTGTCATAGCGAGACTGTGCGCCATGTTGAAGCGATCATTGAGGGTGGGCCTCTTCAAGGGACGTTTGTTCGTACTGTCCGTGGCGTTGATGAAGGCATGTAGAGTGGTGAGTGTAGCCCCAGTTGCAGCATCGGACGGAGGAAGCTTGTAGAGGAAGACACTTCGCTCTTCGGCAGGCTGGTCGATGAATCCAAGGCACTCTAACGCGTAGATCTTAGGTTGATCAAGGGTATCTGCTGATTTTTCGTTGAAGGTGGTATTATGAAGCAGCCAGGCAAGGTTGCGAAGGGGCTCTTTGAGCTCGTCGACTTCGTCTTTTTCCAGATCATCGCGTTTGAGCATACTTTCATACTCGTGGTACTCGATGATCACTTGAGTTGGTTCGCAGTTTGGCCGAGTCCATTTTCCCAGTTGGAATCCCCCTGTTGGCTTGCCTTCCTCGGCAATAGTGCCGGGCAGACTCTGGTAGTCATCTGGAGCCTTAGCTTCGACCAACATCCGACGCTTCATAACTGGCTCCAGACCACTGCTTTTCAACCCTTGTTGATCACTTTGAGCCAACCTGGCCAGCGTTTCCTGCGACATGTGCTGCATAATATTGCGAAGATCCTCCGACCACTTGGTATACGCCTCCAGGATACGATACAGCTTCTGCTTGTCGAAGAGCGACCAGTCACAACCCTTGATCTTGAGAAGTTTGGCCTTTCTTTTTGCTCGCTCCAGGAGAGACTCCTTCTCGCCGGCAACTTCCGGCTTCATAGTGTATTCCTCATCCACGAGATCATATTTAGCAGCCACAGTCCGGTACTCGGCCAAGGTTTTGTACATCTGGACCAGCAGATCTTCCACCGTGTCGATGATAAAAGGGTCTGCTTTCCCTGGCATCATGAGCCCATTTTCAGGATGGAAAAACATGCGTTTAAAAAACAGCAGGGTAGATAGCTGGAGGTTCAGTTTGAGTCGGATTTCGGCCCGATCATCGTCGAAGGCTTCAACGTCGGAGACGACGCCTTGGATGAAGACGGTCACTTGGTAGATCTGGGTAATGACTGTGACTGCTGTTCCGTAGACGTCCATTGTGTGTTTTGAAGACAGGAAGATGAGACGAAGGAAATGTCAGACAACTGGAGGAGGGGCTGAAGATTGGGTTCCCAGTCAGCACTAAGTACCAAGTGGGATAAGGTCGAATAGGCGTGGTCTAAGTCTTAATTGAAGAGCCCCGCACACCTTTGCGGACATGAGAATCCCAGGTTTATTTTGGTCTATCTTCATATCAGTAAACTTGCGGGCTAGACGAAGGAAATGGCCGATCTTTCCGCCTACGATGATATCCTCAACTCCCTCGACGATGACAACTACTATTCCTTAGATGAGAACAGCCTCTCACCCACTTTTCAAGTCTGGTCCAATTCCACCGACGTCGAGGAAATCGATATCGAAAGCCTGAATCTGTCTTCCGACTCCAGTTCCTCTTGGATCGACCCGCTCGAGTCGGCCATCACCGCCACCCGCAACGGTTCCGCCCCTGTCCTCAGCACCCTCTCTCAGTTCACTGCAATCCTGTCGCAAACCGGAGTCCACGGCCCTCGTCTTCTCAAAGCTACAAAACTCTCTGCCAGAGCGACGAAGATTGGCTCTGGCACCCAGTTTACCGTCTTCAAGGACCCTCTGTTCCAAGGAGAAGTCATCAAACGCGTCAATGTCCCCCTTTCCAGTCGAGCAGAGCAGCGCTTTGCGGCGAGCGTGGATTATCGCCTCCAGCTACGCACATTAGGACTTGAGGTTTTATCGCTTTGTAATCCGATCCTGCGTGCGCACCCCAATGTCACTAGCCTGCTGGCATGGGGGTTCGATTTCCCATTCGCAGATATGGCTGTGCCTGTTTTGTTCATGGAGGAAGCGATGATGCCGCTAGGCGGCTTCCTGGGTGCTGAAAAGAGGACTGTGGATGTGAGATACCAGCTTGCGTTGGATGTTGCCAATGGACTGGAGGCTTTGCATAACCTCAAGATCGTACATGGAGATGTCAAGCCGGATAATGTGCTCGTGTTTGTTGGCCCAGGCGACAAAGTACCTTTCAGAGCAAAATTGAGCGATTTTGGGGTCTGTGTTGATTTGGAGGCGCCCGATGGAAAATTTACACTCAGTGATTATCGTGGCACTCCTGCTTGGCTGGCCCCTGAGGTGATCGATGGGGACATCTCGCGATTCGGTGCGTTTTCGCCAGAAATGATGTTCAGATTCGATGCGTATAGCTTTGGCATGGTGTTGTTGTCAATCTTCACTCGTGACGGACTGCCCCTTGCCCTGGATGAGAATCACGATGGGATCGCAGATCAAGTTTCGACGTTACTCAACGGTCGGAAAGACATCTCGCCCTCTGTACGCATGGAGATTCGCAAAGCAATCTTGAGATTATTGTCCGAGGACCCCAGAGAACGCCCGTTGCCGAAATCAGATTTGCTCAAAACAGATGAACCGGCATATGCATCCTGGTATGTTCGACGTCCGCTTCTTTCTGCATAATGTCGACTGACCATTCGACCCCAGGATTTCATCTATTCAAATAGGTGCCACGAATACCCACACTGGAATAATTGACCCGGTCTACAACAAAGGGCCCCTATTCTGGTATCGACTCAACGAGAGCATTCGCACAGAGCTGGAGAAACAACACGCTCTCAGCAAAGAGGAAAATGCCCCTCCGTTTTCAGGGGACGTGCTTTTTGGTATCGCGCAGACTGTTACGGGGGAAAAGCCGAGGTATCTCGATCGCCTATTGACCTTTTTGGGTGATTCTGCCAGAGCGGGATTTTCGCCTGCTAGAGCCGTGTATGCGCAGATCATGGAGGCTCATGGCCAAGCGCCCGAGTTTAGTCAGGAGATTCTGGACGAATGGATGCTGCAAACAGTTTCTGAGGGATACCTTTTCGCCAAACCAGGTCGATTGACGCATGAATTGGAAGAGGCAAGGGGTACATTCAGGAAGCGTGGTGGCTTCTGTTCGGATCCATTTTTGGGGAAGAAAGAAGTCAAGGCAGCGGTAACCAGGGAAGAAGTCTTGGATTGGAAGGCCGAAAAAGGAAGTATTGTCGATCGCAAGGGAAATACAATTCTTCATTCTGCTGCTGCTTTCGGGGCGATTGATGCGGTACAGGTATTGCTGGATGATGCATGCATGGCAGTCGATATAAAGAACGAGAATGGCGAGACGCCACTATACAAGGCATTCCAGGCGGGACATGCTGAAGTGATCGAAGCCCTTCTTGATCATGGTGCCGATGCGTCTTGCAGAACTCAGGATCATACAACCCCCTTGCATTGGCTTTTTATGATCACAGATAATTCAATCCCTCGGGTATTGAAACGAATGATCGAGGGAGGTGCAAACATTGATACTGCAATTCAGCCTGTGACCAAGGAGAACAGCGGCGGGTACCCGGAAAAGATCCAGATCCTTCATTAGTATGTTGATCTTTCCTTCTGGACTAAGAACCTTGCTAACATCAATTTGAACAGTCCCTTTGAACTGCCACACGGAACACCACTCCACTGGGCGTGCTTCTTCCGCAACTTGGACGCTGTGGATGCTCTTCTTACCTCTGGAGCAAATATCAACTCATTTTACCACGACAGCGACGCATCAACGACTCCGCTTGCATTGACTGCCTACTATGGTGAGCCTGAGATTGTGAGGTATCTTATATCTCGAGGTGCAGATGGTACCTTGATTGATTCTACTGGGCGGAATACACTGCACGCGATCACAAAATATTTTCCTAGTCGACATGGCTATCTGCCTCGCCAGTGGCACTCTTGGATTCGCCACGGAACTTGGGAAAACCACCTGGAACAGCTTTCGGACATGGTCAACTGTTTAATTCGGGCTGGGGCGGACATCAACCTCAAAGACAAGGCATATCCACCCCTGACGCCTATTGCTGCAGCGGCCGATCTGGGAGTCTGGAATGGGGGCATGATATGTGCTCTTCTGGAGGCTGGTGCTGATTTGAAAGAGTCGATTCTGTCAGCTGGAGATACCGTCCTGCACAGCTGGGCTTCTGTCGTGGGACCGCGTTTGGATTACCCTAATTCATATCTGTCGACTTTGAAAAGGATAGCCCAAGCTATGCCAAACATCAACATCCCCAACAAATTCGAGGAGGACACCGCGTTGCATTTGCTGACGACAACATATCACCCAGAGGATGAGTTCGAGGCTGCATGTGATGTCCTACTTCAGAATTGCCCTCCCGCGAACATCGATGCAAAGACTCGCCAGGGCACCACTCCACTCTCCATAGCTTTGGAGACAGATCTTGATCCCGTACGACGCGGCCGCTTCTTGCTCGATAAAGGCGCCGACCCACTCATCGTCAACGATAGAGGAAGGGACATCTTCTTTTCGATCGCCAATAATGCCGTCCTCAGTGACCAAATCACCCATGAGCTCATCCAGCACTTCCTCCGCAGCTTCGGTCCTGACGTCCAAAAGGCTTACGAAGAACACTTTCTCTTAAATCCCAACAGCCACGACACCATTTTTGCAGCCGCAGCTCGTGCAAAGCCAATGACGTTGACTCTTCTACTTTCTTTCGGTCTCACGAGAGGTATAAATAAGCTTGACAATACCATTTCCCCGCCCCGGACAGCCTTAGACCACGCCCTCCACGCCGCTGAAATCAGCCGCCGAGCCCACATTACCGGGCTAGCATCATACAAACTCGGCCCCCCACGAACAAATGCCCTCAACCAGAATCTTGTCTATGATGAGAGACAAGGACCACCGTCGCGTGCGGCGGAAGCTTACAAGAGCTTCCCGGAGGTTATACGGATCTTGCGTGATGCCGGGGCCAAGCGGAGGTGTGAGTTGGAGGGCAACTCAAAGGGTGATTATATTGAACAGCCGGGAGACTGGGATCAAGAAGAGCTTCAGGGGTATGGCTTTACGAAAGAGTCACAGCCGAATGCTGAGACATGGAAAGACCTGTATGATCTGGCTATGTATGGCAGTGGGTGGAGTTGGTTAGGCCTGCTGACGGGGGAACGAAGGCGATGAAATGGGTCTCGACGTATCTGAGCGCATGAATGGATCTTCAAGGCGATTTTGAATTTCAATTGAAGCACCGGAGATTCTATATAGATTAAATCAAATCGACAGTTGATATTGTTCACCCGAAGCTGAATCCTGGAATATGCGGAAATGCCATCTTTCATATACAAATCACGGCACAGCAAACCACGCCATGGGCTCAAGCAACAACCCCCGAGACTGCTCAATCAGAGATGAATAGGGTTGATGAATATCATCTGTGGCTTTGGCTCACAGGGGAAGGGTCCACTTCGTGGCCGGTGGCGTCTGGGGGCCAGAGTTTCTCCTCGCTCTTACGAAAACTCCCATTGGGAAGCACCTCCAGTTGCTTATGCTTGATCTGAAGGAAGCCGACTCGGGTGGATGTTCTTAATAAGGGTTTTGTTTCAAGACAGGGGGTGGTGACTGTCAGCATCGGCGATTGTGCTGATCCTTGGCCTTGTCTGGGTGGCTTTCACGATGCGGCTCCACACTGGGCCTTTTGCACAGCGTTGACCTGATTTTTATTTGTTGAAGATACACTGTGTACTCTCAAACCGCCCGTAAGCATGTCAAAGATCGTCGATATCTCTTACGAAGCATGTCCGATTTTGCAGCTTCCATTGCCGACGTTGGCTGTGGATGGCCAAAAAGACAAATATGTTTTTTAAATGCCTGGGAGCTCGCAGTAATTGGACTCGACTCAGAACTGTCAACTTTGTCGATCATTTTACATTCGCTCACACATTTGTGCCAATTTGTCACTCTTTTACAATGCGCTTTGATTCTTCTGGGCGAGCCTTATGGCTCGTCTTGGTATCCCTGTGGATAGTGGCTACGATTGTTCCACAAGCCTCAGCATCCGATGAGGTGCAAAGGATGATACTCATAAGGAACCTTCGTTTGGGATCTAGCAGTTCTTCAAACACCAGTAGCCCTCATGGCTCGTCCACAGCGAGGCCGAACGCACTGACCGTCATTCCATCTTTTACCAGCACCCCAGGAAGCTCCTCGCCAACCTCTTCAATCGTTCCTGGATCATCTACTCCAAGCACGCTGAGCTCTCCCTCCATTTCATCTATTTCTACTCAGTCCCCGTCAGTCCCTTCGAGTTCGCTCTCGACTCTACTGAATACACCGCCGACTCCGTTGCATACCCCGTCAAGCTGTAGTGACACTTCGCTCAAACCAACATCAAAACCTGGATCCAGCACGATATCCCAGAGTAGTAACTCGCCATCATCATCGCCATTATCGTCACCTTCCGGGAGCCCCTCCTCGACGCCCAGTCTGTCGAATCTCTCGAGCGGTGCCACGACTCCATCCTCATCAGGCAACACTGTGGTTCCAGTCAGCTCGACGACTATGATCACCGGCCCAAGCACAACCATCACTAGCGTTGTTGTCTCATCTTCGTCTATTCCATTCCCTATCACTCTCAATACAGACAGCCCTCAAGCTACTTCGAGCGTCAGTTCCTTGCAGAACGAGATCTCGGCGACACTTATTCCTCTTCTTTTCAATTTGATCGACACACCGGACAAGGACAAGAAGCAAGATGTTATTGACGAGCTTGATAAAGTGGAGCTAGAAGCCAAGGTAAGCAAAGAGACTCAAAAGGCATTCATGGGATCCGAATTCACTTACTCTCTTTTCAGAACCTGCTTAACAAGATTGATCCAAAATCGGAAGGGTCATCTGGTTCATGCAGTGGCGGTGGGAATATCATCTCTGACATGGTTAGTACCATTACTTGCATTGATTGTGGTCTCAGAAAAGTCAAGTCCGAAATTGAAAATGGCGTCGATGACGACTTTTCCAACTTGGACGATATCAAAGATACAGTTTCCGATATACATGACCTGACGGATGAGTCTGATGATCGTAATTCTTCCTCCGGAATCCTCGTCAGAATCATCGTCATCGTCATGTTCGTCTTCGACAACTACTGAGGACATCTACGTGGGATGTTCTGCTGTTTCGGCTCCTGGTCGTAAACGACAAGCCGCGTCTTCTTGCACAACATCTACCGAGACCGTTACTGGATGTGATATCTCGGCATTTACGACAACCACCACTTCCTCCTGCTCTGAAATGGAAACCATCACGAACTGCAATGTTGTATGCCCAACCACCGCTGTTGCCAAGTCTCATTTGGTTGGACGCGCCTCTGAGACAACTAGTTGTAGTACTACTTGTTCTACAGAGACCGGATGCAGCACCAGAGGATCCAATTCGACTAGCTGGAGCACGACTACAAAAACGCCGACTAGTAGTTCCCCAGGAGCTATTGGGCAGTGTGGAGCGGGATGCTCATCGTGCATGTCACTGTCTACTCCAACAGCCAGCGCTGCTGCCAAGAGGGACTTAAACATTGCCAAACGTACTCTCACAACACCCCAAGACCCTCCATACAATGGTGACACTGGTTCATTCCTGGTTGCTCAATACGTCTGGGCGGAATGGGTGCCTCTTGGATCTGGCGAGGGGTCAGTCCCCACGGCGTTGTACCATGAGCTCAAGAACGAGAAGTACGACATGGCCGTACAAGGTCTCTACGGCTGTACCTCAGTGGTCGTTGTATCAGAGAAGGCCGTATATATGTCCCATTTCTGGGAAGTCCCTGGATTCAGCCATGGTAACTGGGGTATTGGAAGCCAGGAGCGCTTTGAACAGGAGGTCCTGATCCCCCTGGCAAACGGTGGTGGAGCAATCCCCGGACTTCGACAATACGCAGGTCCCAATGGTGCATTCGCTCGCCAATACCGACCGGCATAATATATCGTCCGTCCTGACAGCTCAGGCCGGTCGGAATATGACAAGGCATATGACAAGAAAGTCGATCAGATCGTGGAGAAGGTGAAGAATATTCTCGGGGTCAGCACTCCTCCTATTCCCATCACATATACCCGCACTGGAGGTACCGACTACTTCACTCCCCAGGGCAAGGTTCTCTTCCAATATGACCCAGTTCAGTCGCGTCAAGCTACGGATTCTTGTTCTATCCAGCAAGCCATGCAACGCATCTGGGTTGAAAATAAGCCTCGTTATGTCCATCAAATGTACTGGGTTGCATATGACGATCAGAAGGTTGCTCAGTCGGGCAACCAGAAGCGAGACTGTCCAGCCGATTCGACCCCCGGTGGGCAGGTTCCTCTGTCTTCTGGACTTGGGGTTAGCCCCACCAGTTTCAGTTACTCTCCCTCTAGTATCAACCTACCAAGCAGCACCCTGGCATCGACACCACGTCCTTCTCCTACTTCATCGCCGACTAGTTCGACACCCGACCAGTTCTCGACTCCTACCCCTCCTCCAACATCAACAACCGTACCAGCTACCACAACGGAGCCAATGCCGACTATAGAGCAGACCACAAGCTCCGATCCACCAACTACGACTGCCGATTCTAGGACAACAACCTCCGAATCTCCGTCACCTACCGCACAGCTTGTAGTCGCCTATGTCGTTGACGGATACTACAATAACTGGAGCGTATATACACCAGATATTGATGATGACAGCCCTGGCTGGTGTGACGGAAGTGCTGGGGAATGGGATGCCAGTGGCGATATCTCGCTAAAGGACGTCCCATACCCTGATGGTGACAATGACTTTGACTTTGATGTAGATGACAAGAGTGGTTGTTCCTATTCTTCTGACTCGGATGAGGGCGCGGGGACACTGAGCTGTCCTGATTTCTCGGAAGATGTGCAGTGTACTGAGTACGGCGACCAGAGCGAGCAGGACTGCTATGATGTCGCGGCCGCGATGATGGTTGTGCCCAAGGTTCTGTGCCAGTGGGGCTAGTAGAACGCATGGCCTTTTATCCTCTGGCATGGCATCGGCAAATATTTGGCTTTCCTCTTATTGAGTCAGTCCCCGAGGATGTTTCTTAGATCATTGTTCATCTATGTCAAACATGATGGTTTTTGCTAAATAGAACGTACTAAGGGCCCTTTTTGTATGCCATGCCATCATGCTAGTCTAGAGTGATGCGACCGACCTTCAATCATCTATTGTAGCAGTGTAACTCTTTCAATAGTGATGCTTAGTATCTCCTGCTTGTAAAAGTGTTTGGAACATCGACTGGACGAGGCTGAAGTATAAGTGGGGCGCCTTCCCGATCGGGTTTCCGACGTGGAGCCGCGGCAGCGCCAAACAGCGCCAACGCCGCCGACTGCAGCCATCGCGCCGCCAATCTTCTGCGCGCTTGCCAACTTCAGTGCCCGCCCAGCTTGTGAAAGCGTCATACCCGCGTTCACTGTTTCTATTCGCTTTTGAGATTTCACCAGATGCCATAACCGACTCAAGGCTAGGCGGTCTGGTTTTTTCGAGCGACAGTACCTGAGAGTATTTAAAGAGGTACCTTGCAGCATCCAACGTCTTCCTTCTCCCATCAACTTCCTCGGAACTCAATCTTATCACACATTCTCACTTCGCCATTGATCTTCATGTGATCACAACCGACACTTGACTATCTCAGCCTCTCCCATCGAATTCAAAATATCGTCATGGCCTCCACCGGGGCCCTTCCGCAAACTCTCAAGTCCATCACCGCTACCAAGATCAATGAGCTTTCCAAACAACGCGTACTTTTCGACAAGCGCAAGGAAGAGATACTTGCAGCTGCAACTGCAGCCACAGACCTACGCACCCGAGTGCGCACTCTTCTTGATGGGCTTTCACGCCTGAAAGGATACCCCAAAGATGCACTTGACAAAGATGACTTGGACCTTGATGCTGACTCGTCGGCCGATGAATTTGATGATGTGGATGTCAAGACACCCGGCATGGGTCAGCTGCACTGGGCTGATCATACAAACATTCGCCGCTTCCTTCTCCAGGGTCGATATGACGCCTCAATCTCAGATACCACTTTGCAGCGATGGATCGCCCAGCTGGAAAACGAACTCCGCTATCTCGAGCTCAAGCATGAACATGCGTCCTTTTACAGCAAGTTAGTCACCGAGTGGCTGACACAGTTAGACGGACAGCCGGCCACTCCTACCGAACACACTGGCGAGACTGATTCAAAAAAGTCTGACGTTGGCTTCGAGAGCGTGGGCCGCGCTGAGATGCACGAGCAAAGAATGCAATGGGAGTCGCTGGTCTTCACAACTGCGAACCATGTCGACGAGTCCTCGATACGATCCTACCTTGATGGCTTGTTCCTCAAAGACGAGTTGACGAAGCAAGCACTCAAAAAACTTCGCGAGAGCCTTCAGAGCTTTGGGAACGAATTCTCCACCCAAGGGGATTGGTTAGATGTTGATGAGCTTCAATGGGTTTCAAAAGCACTGATGAAGACCGACCTGCTCAGCAATGAGAAGTCGGCAATCCTCAAAGAATTCATGCGCAACAAAGAGGTCACCCAAGAAGTGGCCGACGTGCTCAACATGCGACTCGCGTCTCTGGACAGTTGGATCTGGGGTGAAGACGGCATCCCCATCGAAATGCGTCGACAGCTGAATGGAAAATATCGTGTGTACATGGATGAAGACCTCCTTGACAGCCTCATGTTGCAATACCTCGGAACCAAATGGGCCATCAAACTGCGATCGGTGTTCACGAAATTTTTGGAGTCGCACGCATGGTGCCCTATTCAAGAAAAGATCCCAGAGGAGCACAAAGAGCGACGTAAATATTTCTTGGGAACTACATCACCCCCTGGGTCAAGCTCAATCAATAAACTGCGAAGTGAAACATACCGACAGGAGTACTTTATGAGTCAGTTACCCGATTCCGCCGAGGAGGGCGCTCGAAACTACGACGACAACACTGAGTATAAGAGTGCTTTGGACAAGAAGCATTCACTTCTTCATCGACTTATCACGGAATCTCTCATCCAAAAGAACCTAAGAGGCGAGTTCGCCGCAATCCGATCTGATTACAAATGGTTTGGCCCATCCCTACCCCATGCCACCACTCTCACGGTCTTGGAGTACTTTGGCGTCCCGCAGATGTGGCTGAGCTTCTTCAAGGCGTTTCTTGAGGCCCCTATGAGATTCGTGCAAGATGGCCCAGAGGCTCAATCGCGGGTTCGCAAGCGAGGAATCCCTATGAGTCATACTTTATCAGACTGCTTTGGCGAATCAGTCCTTTTTTGCATGGATTATGCCATCAACCAGGCCACGGATGGTGATATCTTGTATCGGCTGCACGATGACTTCTGGTTCTGGGGATCCCAGAAGGACTGCGAACAAGCTTGGAAAGCCATGGCCAATTTTGCCGACGTGATGGGGCTGGAGTTCAATGAAGAAAAGACCGGAACCGTCCAAATGGGCGAAGGATCTAGAAGCGAGACTCTTCCTGTCGGTGATATTCGTTGGGGCTTCTTGATCCTAGATGCCAAGCAGGGTAGATTCATTATCGATCAGGAACAGGTGGATCGCCACATTGAAGAGCTTGGACGCCAGCTCTCCTCTTGCAAGAGTGTTTTTGAATGGGTTCAGGCATGGAATGGATACTTCGGGCGTTTCTTTATCAATAACTTTGCCAAGCCTGCTCTATGCTTCGGGCGAGATCACATCGACATGGCGGTCTCGACACTCAGCCGTATTGAAGAGGCTTTGTTCAACAAGCCATCCGAAAAGAATATGCAGGCAAAGGGTGGGGTAACCATGTATCTACGGGCCGTAATTGCGGAGCGCTTCGATGTCCACGATCTACCCGAAGGGTTCTTCTACTACCCGGTTGAGCTTGGTGGTCTCGAGCTGCTGAACCCGTTTGTCCGTCTGCTCTCCATGCGTGAAAACATCAATCGAACACCGCAAAAGACACTGGAAAAAGCGATTCTGGCAGACGAGGAAAGGTACCAGAGATACAAGGAAAAGTTCGAAAAGGAAGGCTCTCAAAGTGGAACGATCCTTCGTGGCTCCGATGACTTGCCATTGCCTTTTCCGTCTCTGGATGAGTTCATACGATATCCCGAAACTTTCAGCGTCAGCTATTATACCGCTTACCGGAATTTGATTGCTGTGCCCAGTGAGATGGATGTTTCGCCCACTGGCAGTTTCACCAAAAACCAGACTGGACTCGCTGGCAAGATAAACAAGTCAGGTAGGGTCGGACCTTCCTGGAGCCAGATGACCCCATACTGGAGATGGGTGGCAGAGCTTTACCACGACGAGATGGTGCGAACCTATGGAAGCTTGGCGGCGGTCAATCGCGAGTTCATGCCGCTTGGAGTTGTAAAGACTTTGAAGGAAGGGCGTTTCAGGTGGCAGGGCTAAGGTAGAGAAAGGATGAGCATTGAGCTTTGATTTCCGTCAATCCCATCACAAGTTTATCTTTAACATCTTGGATCTTTCCCACTCCCACCCTTCAACTATGCGAAGTGAGATATCCTTATACATTTTCATATGGTTCGTACTATTTACAAGGAGCGTGCCTGTCTCGACACGGTCCCGAGGTCATGGTCACTTACAAGTTGTCCCCAACCTGGAGTTCAACTATTTCCCAGTATGTCCTTTAGCAGGTGTATCCTAGAGGGGCCATTTTAAGAATTGAGCTGTGTTTAAATGTGTACTTTATTCAATTCAACCAATAACAATAATATCTATAGATCAACAATCAAAAGATCTGTTGTTCTCTGGAATCAGAGAATGCCTCCAAACTTGGAATAGAGCCAGCTAAACCATCGAAGATTGTATAGCTGCATGATATAGACACTTTCGGTGATAACAAAAATGACAAAATACAACTGCGCCCAAGTCCAACGAACAGTCCCTTCCCTTTTCCAAGGCGCATCGAGAGTCCGCACGTACTCCTGCCAAAGATCCTCGACCTTCATTCCGGTGACTGTTTCCCACGTCCCAAACGAGCAGCCGTAAGCACCATCACACTCCTTGGCACCGTCGTCTGCATAGCCAGCGTGCCAAATCTGACCCATTAGTTTTGGAACCGTGTCTTTGTCGAGAGAGTTCTCCAGCCATTCGAGGAAATAGGCTGTCTGATACTTGGTATTACCCCAGTCAGGATTTTGGGGCAGCTGATCTGGCGAGGATGGGCGCTGCCAGTTCAGTCTTTCAAGACCGGACTTGACCACAACATAATCTGAAATGCCCTCTAGAAGACCCTTGGGTGCAGATAATGGCACAGGGAGCCTCGGAACCCCTTCTGTTTTCCCAAGCAACCAGAAGTCCCAAAATCCGGACGAATGTTGCAGCAGATCCAGGTCTAGCCCCGACTTAGGCCTATAACATTGAAAGATGAGTGCTACCTCATATGTGAATGTTGCTAGAGCCTCGCGCCATAGTGTCCTTGGGGAGACTGAGGTCCACACAATGCCGCGATGTGGAAGCTTTATGGTAATCTTCCTGTGGTCATTTTCACCCTCTGTGCCCATGCTCATAATGTCGGAAAGTCCAGATTCATGGATCATTGAGTACCCCCCAACATCAACGTCGACAAAAGTCACAAGGGGATACGTGACCACGTCCGGATAATGGGCTGCCATTGGTGCAATCAGATATTTTATGATGCTCCTCATCATATCTGGAATTTCATTATCAAAGTTGGGAAGCATCTCTCTGCAAGGGCCATCCCCCCAGACGCAGGTGACAGTAAACGCCACAACTCGAGGACCACTGGTTGCCAGCTCGAAAGTTGCATTCCGCGCAATATAGGGACCACTTTTGGACCATAAAACCTTTCCCGTTCCAGAAGAAGTCACATTATTAGGATTCTGGGCCTTATTGACACTCTTTTGGGCTTCCCGGTAAGCCTCTCGCTCTTGAGACATCTGCTCAGCCATCTTGGTAAAAGACTGTTTTTGGGCGTGATATCTCGCAGACTGGGCACTTGTGACCGTCATTCTGTCGGACTCCCATACCTCAGAGTGGCGCTTTCTGATCATACTGGTCCAAACCTTTGCGTAGTTTAATTTAATGCGCCAAGAGTTATCAATATAGTCGGATGGATGGCCGCCTTCCTTGGATGCTCTGCGTAAGGCCAAGTTACTTTGCCATTCCTCGATTTGACTAGATATAGTAGGTTTGGACCAGAAGGCTTCGGTTCCAAAAATTAATTTTGAAAATTCTTTGCCAGGTCTCCAGTTCCTATCATGAAAAAAATCTGGCGAATGGTCGCCGGGTTTTTTGGATCGATCTCCATCTTTGGGTGCGGTTGTGAGAGTGTGTGTATCGCCTGTTCCAGGGAACACTGAGGCGGTTTTAGCGGGAGAATCGACCGATTCTGACGGTTCAGAGTTGGACTTATTTGCCCTCGAAGGTAAGCTTGTCATTGTTTGGCCTGTTTCTGTTGATGTGCAGAGTGCGATAGCCAGGAAATATAGCAAGGCCAAAAGCGCTGGTTGATGAAGTTGAAAGATTTGCATTTTTGTCTGGTCTCTGAGCTGTTCTCGGGACCTGCAAGTATCAATAGCTAATATATCTCATAGTTCTTAGTATCGTTTTCTGGTGACTGAGGAAGAGGCCAGCCCCTCAGCTTCTGGGTTTCGAGGCAATTTATCCCCAAGAGTCTCTGGTTTAAAGTCCTGGGTATGAGTTTGTTTCACTCAACAAAGACAGAGTCTGTAGATTGATCAATATAGACGGTTCATAATAATAGAAAATAGACAACAAAGAACGAGGCGACTCCTTTGGCATGAAGGCCAACAAAGACTCATATTCAACATCCTCTGAAAGCGTGGCGTTTTTGGAAAAAAGAAAATAGGGCTGATCTGTCTCTCGATCAACTTTTCGAGTCGAGTACCATCTAACATGGTGGCTCGTTCAAAGAAGTATTTCGTGGGTGAGGCTTAATCAACAAAGCAAATTTGAGTAACATGATACCGAGTACAATTGCACGGCAACCTGAGACAAACAATGTCTTTGTCATATTCAAGATAAAACCAACGCCCTCCCCCTGTTTTATATGTACTCGGCAAAACTACGTTGACAGAAGGGCAGGGCCTTTGGAACTTGGAATTGCCGAAAATTCTTGGAAGAACGTAGTAGTATCACTGCTTGCTGTTATTAAGTAAATGCAGGAACGCCAACATTGGAACTAGATAATTCTAGTTAGGGAAAATAGCTGTTACGCAACGTGGGTGGTGCAGATACTAAGTCCCCCGTTGCAAATATTGACCACCTGGGTCGAGTACCCGTACTAGTTTGTCGATCGAGGTGTGGTCGCGTGTCGTCTCCATCCTGTGGCACCAAGTCACTTGCTTTTGCAAGCCGGCTGCTGTTATTTCGTAGAGGAACTCACCGCCGACCTGTCTGCTGTCCCCGCCTTTGGTCGCCAAGCCACTCGGGATCTGCTTCAAGCCTTGGATGATTGATTCTCCGATGATGCGCAGCATACTCTTGCGAATGTATTCGGGCTTTGAGCCAAGGGCCAAGGTGTTTGTCATTCCGAGGTCGTCGTACAGCTTTCGCGTCGGATCAGCATACATCGGGAATGGGCATTCGGTATGAGTCGCATAAAACTCAATCAAGCCCGGATCGCCACAGCCGATGACGACGATTGATGTGCTCGTGGGGAGCCGGGCGAGGTCGTCTGGCTTTATGGCTTGCGACAAAGAGATCAAGAATTCTTGGCAACTCTGTAGAGAACATGTTATGATAAAGAGCCCAAATATTTGATCTTTTGACTCAAATTATCCTTTGAGTTCGATGGACGGGGATTTGAGAGGCTTACACCGCAGAAGAAATGCCGAACAAAGATAATCAGCACGCGTTGTGCTGTATCAGGACCCTGGTAAAGACTCTTGAACGGGTGCGCGTTGCCCTCGCGATCCAACACCTGATAATTCTCGACTTTCTGGCAAGCCTCCGGGGATGGCAACGCATCATTTCCGGTGCGCTCGTTGTTTTTATCATCTGCGGCATGGGCACTCTCGTTGGCTGGCGCAGCGACCGTTGCGATCTGGGAGTCGTCTTTCGTGGTTGCGGATGCTGGGACGGACCTTGTCTCTTGATCGGTGGCCATGTCGGTGCAGAGCTTCTCTGGCATCCTGTTGGGGATTTGAGGAAGGACCAGGCCCGAGTGGGGAGAAGCTGTGCGGTTGATCGTCAGCCCAAGCGGTGGTCAGTGTGGAGCGGGGCGGGAACCTTATCCTCGCGGGGCAAACGATACATGGTAAAAATCATGAACCAGCTGGGTTTCAAGATGGAGATGGCTCTCCTCCAACAGAGCTGTATTAATTGGTAATCTGCCTGAGACTGCTCTCCCCAACTATAGTCCCGTCCAAGTGAACCATGTGAGGTTTAGGGCCGAAATCGACAGTATGGTCGCGTCTAGATCGCTACTCCTGACACTTTACAGGCAGACTTTACAGGCAGAGCTTTCTTAGAGTAGCTGCGACTGTAAATAGCTGGATCCTTTCATAGATATTAATATTATCACACTTGTACCTCAGTCCAGGGTTCAACTGCAAAAGCGATATGCAGCCTACCACAACTATATATCAATGTACGTACAAGTGTTGTGTACCACTTCTTAAACGAACTTGGAGCCTCGTTGGGACCTGCAGTGGCCTCATAGCCGTTGTTTTTGAATTGCTGCCCTCATGGCGCGCAACTTCGGAACCGTTGTGATGCTTCTGCAAAGTCCAGGACAGCCTCCACCGTCTTAGCTCGCGAAGCAGTGCCTCGTGTATCTCTCACTCCTTCTCCAGGTCCTCCTAGTATAGTAGGGTTGACACGCTGTTGAACGCGCCGCCAACTTTCTCCCGGAGCTCTCGGCGCAGGTGTCTGAGCTCAGGCAGTCCAGGAGGACGTGGGTCACACTTTCCCGCTCGCCGCAAACGCACTGGTCGTCGTCGCGAAAACGGAAAATCTTGGCATATGTCGATAACCAGCTGTGTCCCATTCGCAACTGCGTTAGTAGGTACGCTCGGTTGCGCGGCAGAGATCCGTAGAGCCGTCTCGTGTACTTGGCCGGCAGTGTCCTGTCGATCTTTCGAAGGTGGCCGCCGTTCCGAGACTCCTTCCATTCCCTTTCCCATTGGGTGTAGATGCCTTTGCTGATGTGGGCCCTCTCGCGCGACAGTAAGGGGGAAAACGAATGGTTTGGCCCGGTATGGCAGCCTCTTTGGCTAACTGATCCGCTGTCTCGTTCCCAGGGTCGTTGTAGTGCCCGGATATCCACTGTAAACTAATCGCGATGCCGTGGGTCTTGGTATTCGTGGCTGCCCGGAGGATAGTATGGATGATCTGCTGCCCGGACCTGTTCCCAGGGCTAAGGATTGTTTGCAACGCCGACAAACTATCGCTGAGGATGGCTGCGGATTTCACCCGTGTACCAGTTGACCAACGCTGGAGGGCACTCTTGTTGACGATGTTGATTGCGTATAAGACTCGGATTAGTTCAGCGGCATGCACTGACCATCGGTCGGCAGGTCCGACCTGGATTTGTAGACTTTCGGTTGTTTCCAGTGAATCGTTGAGCGCTGTGGCTGCGACGCCGAGGTGACCTTGGCGTCCCGAGGTGTCGGAGTAGACAATGACATCCGTCATGGACCTTGCTACCTCCGCTCGTTCCATTGCGATCTCTCTGTCGGGTTCGATCTCGATCTTCGAGAAGGCCTCGGTTCGCCATGGGGGAGTGGGGTTGGATCGATCATTTCCAGTTCGTGTAATCCAACTACTCTTGCAAAGCAGCGGCCTATCAGCAAATAATACCATTAGAGAGCTTGAGAGCAATCCAGGTATTGAGATACCCGATATATAGAGTCTATTGATGATGCTAATATATGTAGATACTCTGGCCCTTGCGAACCGTCTAGATGGACTACCATTGGCCATTGTCATCGCCGGGGCCTTAATGCGTGAAACTGGAACCAGCATTACTGAGTACTACAGTATTACCAAGAATCTTGGTCCGACCTACAGCTACAATCGAATCCTGGACGTCAGTACCAGCAAGGTAATATGCTGCAAACATGGGTAATCTCATATCATGAGATTCAGAAGAGGGACCCGAACGCAGAGAGCTTCTACAGCTACTTGCTCACTGATAATCGAGATATCTGGTACGAACTAGTAAGGAGTGGTTGTCACAGCTCAAATGTCCCTGCTTGGCTTAAAAAGACCGTTTCGAGCGAACTCACATTCAAAATCGGTGTAAAGACTCTTATCGGATTCTCTCTTCTTGAAGCTAAGGAACAAGCGGGAAGCTATGCGATGCACCCAGTGGTACAAGACTGGTGTATCCACCTTGCCAAAACAGACAAAAATGTGGATTCCATCCAGCTGGATGGACTGGCACTGATATCTGTTGGATACATTGTCCCTAGTTCAAAGGAGAGGAATTATTCCGCCCTTCAGCAACGACTTCTTCCACACGCGAATTATGTACGTCATAGGAGTTGGTCAGGCGACAATATTGCGATATCGGGAGCATTTCTTGGTTTAGGGGATCTCTACTCCGATCAGGGCGAGCTAAAAGAGGCAGGGAAGATGTACTGGCGAGCATTGGCGGGTAGGGAGGCGGCCCTAGGTCCAGATAATGCTGCCACGCTTGACACAGTCCACGGCCTAGGGTATCTCTACAGATACCAGGGAAAGCTGAAGGAGGCTGAGGAGATGTACCAGCGAGCACTGGCAGGCTACGAAAGGGCCCTGGGCCCAGATCATCCATCCACCCTCAACACAGCTAACAACCTTGGTCTTTTCTACTCCGATCAGGGGAAGCTTAAGGAGGCAAAGGAGATGTGCCAGCGAGCGCTAGAAGGCACAGAGAAGACCCTAGGCCCAGATCATACTGCTACTCTCCGCACAGTCCACGGCCTTGGCTTAGTCTGCTCTGATCAAGTGAGGTTTAAGGAAGCAGAGGAGATGTATCAGCGAGCACTAGCGGGTTATGAAAAGGCCCTAGGCCCAGATCATACATCCACTCTTGACGCAGCCCACGGCCTTGGCCTAGTCTACTCTGATCAAGGGAAGTTTAAGGAGGCTGAAGAAATGTACCAGCGAGTACTGACAGGCAAAGAGCAGGCCCTGGATCCAGGTTATAACAGGACCCGGCGACTTGCAGAAAGGTTAAATGCCTTGAAAATCGCAAATGGAAAGTAGTATGTATCCCACCTTCCCTGTAGGAGATAATTATTTATTTTTGTATATTCTTGGGGTGGGTTCAGGAATATTTTTATGTTCGAGGCAAAAAGCCAGTTGGCTAAATGGTCAGGTGGAAAGCATCCAACAAATTCATATTTTGTATTTTCTAATCTCTATTGACTGATAGGTTAGAAGAGATCGGGGAAGATCAGACATTGCGGAATAACTGTCTAAATTGTGTGACCAGATCTCTCAGAAACAAGGCATGACGTAGCTCGCCTAGTCATAATTGGAGACCCACTATGGTCCATGGGATTCCACGGACTCCCGTATGTAGAGTGTAGTTTTACATAGCTATGTACAGTACCATACAAGCTGCATTTTACGGTGTCCCTCAATTTAAGGCGACCTGCTCATTAATTGATCCGCGCTAGGGACTTGGCAATGGATCCAGAATATAGTCGTCAAGTGTGTAGTGGTCAACTCGATTTCGAGAATGACTGTGTGTTCAAAGTTCTGTATGTTCCTGGGGGTATGGCGGAATGACTTCATAGGCTCGAGCTTTCTTACAAGACAACGATCAAAAAGTTCAAGCAGCGACGGCCGCTCAAGTCTCTGCGGGACACGTCGAGTAAATAGTATATATATTCCAGATCCTTTTATTCTGCCTCATCTCCCTATACCCTTTCTCTTTCGTTCTCACCCTTTGCGCCTCGTCTTCCTGGCGTGTTCCCAAAATGGCTTAGTGCATCAAGCAGCACCGTTGACTTACCTCCGTAGCCCGCAGCGGCGATGAGGTCAACGGCAATATCCATTTTAACTTAGCACAGCCTCGCTGGCCGAGCCAAGTTGAGGAAAGTACTCACCCGGACAGCCAAAGGGCCTATCTTCAGTTAAGCCTAAACCGGACGGATACTCAACGTTAAAATAACAAATTGCTTAGTACCAAGCGAATGTCCCCATTAAGGACTCGGAGGTTTAGCTTCAGGTCCATAAGAACGGTATCTGCGGCGCTGGAACTTGTCTTCACTTTCTCTTTCATATCCACCTCAAAAATCCTGATTTCGATATCAAATTCGCTCAATAACAGCGTCAATTCTGAATCCCATCTGAAGGATACTAAAAGTTACACCAGCCAACAATCAGCCATACATACATTCAGTCTCATTTCAGATCTACATAATCATATTGCATTGGGGAAAGCGGCCATGGCCTCCACTACTACCTACTACGATCAGTCTTCAGACTATAACTGGCTTGATGCCATTTTGAAGAACAAGTCATTTTGCGACCCACGGTGTGTACAATAAAGCCCTTGTCTTAGCTATTTCCCATTCTGATATACTGCTAGAACATTCGAGGTTCACCAGTGCTTTGTCACCACGCAGGTGCCTCGCAAATCCTCTTCTCGACCACGGACATTCAACCGAGAAGTCCTGGTCCACACCCCTCCGGAAAATCGGACGAGATCCGTGTCAGAATGGGTAGCCGATAGTGCACCTAGCTGGAGAGAGGAAAAGCCGGAACAAGCTCCCTCCATCAACTCCACCGACAATGAGGATGTCGCTTCTATCACCTCGTCGACTGTCTGCTCCTCCCCCGACGAGGACATCCCGACATTCTCTCAACTGGAGGCATTCCCACCTTACCCCTAAACAGAGAGCTGGCAACTCTCTGTTTGAATTACGAAACCAAATATGCCGCCCAGGAGGTCCAGTCGACGTGTTCAACCTCGAAACGAGCCCGATCTTAGTTGACAATGACAGTATATCTCCCCAACTGCCCTCCATGACCTTGTCGTCATCAAACACCACTTCCTCCTTAAAGAATGAGGGATGCACAACAAAGATCGGCAAACTGGTTGCCGGAAAGATACGACAAGCGGCAGCTCTGGGTGCAAAGACCTGTCAAAAGATGAAAAGGAAATTAACTCTCTAAGCGGCTGCTCCGATGCGCGCCATACAGATTGAGATACATATATCCCTCCAATTTTTTCAAATCACAATGTTTTCAAGATTTTACATGCATGTGATGCCTATCATTACCATTTTTTCTGTTGTTTGTGATTTTCATTTAGCACATTAGTGATACCCGGGTATTTTAACTGGTGTAATCATTACGATCCCCATGATTGATTCAGGAAAGATTTGTCACATTACTCATGTTCATTTTGGGGTTACTGTTGATTGTATCCGAGCTCTCAGGGCCTTTTTGATATTATATTTCCATATTTGTCCATGACCATGTCAATTTTTCCTTATCTGATTTTGTAAATGAACCTGTTCAACCGCCATCCAAGAAAGTACTCGTCCTCGAGGTATAGTCAATCTGTCGAGCAGGCAGAGTAAAAGGCGTACTGTAGTTTACACAACCCAAAGAGACGAATTGAGGATATTCACTTCCAACAGAGACTTGGTAAAAGCCCCAATACAACGGATCGCAATACGGGCAATTTTATCACCGTCTCCCGCATTAGGATCGAAAGAGCAAATTGTGAGTGATTTCGGGACCACCTTCTTTGGTAGTAATCCCATACATGCCACAAGCTCGTCTTCGAATAGTCCTCCCGGTGATGGATAGTCATTTATTTTTCCACAAGACTCGTCCAAGACATCGAGGTCAAGATGAACCAACGCCGGACTGTAAGAACGCTCGTCGAGTTGGGCGTTCAGTTCTTTTAAGAAGTCGACTTTCTTTGCGCTGTTGCCCCATACTGCGCGCATCCCAGCCTCAATGACTCGTTGCCTCTGGACCTGGGACTGATCGCGCAGTCCGCAGTAGAGAAAGCGCTCGTAAGAAAATGGTTGATATCCCGGAACCGTCTTCATGAGCGTCTTCCAGCTTTCTCCGCGAAGCATCGAAAGACCCATGGCATCGAGATATCCGTTCTCATGAACGTCAGGTGAATCAAGATCATCATGAGCATCAAAATACAGAAATGCGAGGTCCTTGGTTTGGAGCCCGCAGGCTGCCGCTGCACTAGCCATGCAATTACCCGATAAAATGAGCGGGAAGCTGTTCTTCTTGACGGCCGCAGTAACGGCTAGAGAAATGCGTCGCATCACCTCGAAGCTTCGCCCAATTTCTCCTTCGAAATTATCAACCGGTTCGATTTCAGATATTTCGACTTGGATACCAAGCTTTCGGAGTTCGTCAACGGCTCCCAGGGAGAGTATGCGGTGTGGTCCGTTGCCGACGCGGTGATCGCGCAGGCCCACATGATATGGTGAAAATATTATCGTGATAGAGGTGGACATGGTTGTATTTAATTCGGAGATGGAATCTGAGCCTGGTTTGTTGCAATGTGATTTTTTGGGAGCTCCCAACCCTATGACGACGGGGTTGTAGAGCTTTCTTATAAAACGGGGGCGCTCTTGGAGGTGTTGGAGATGGAGGTGTTGGAGATGGAGGCGTTGGAGGTGTGGAGAACATCTGTCTGGGCTATATATTTTCATAGTGCACCAAATCATTTTATTATAGAACCACACTATCAGAAAGAAAAGTAGGGGTGTCTTCTACTTGCTGGGGGATTTTGGTAATTACTAGTAACCTGCAAGTTGCAACAAGCACGCAGCTCCCAAAGTGCGAGCATGTCGGCCTACCATTGCCAGTAGTAGTCATAATAGCTGACTCAAAACGATGATACAACTTGACAATATCACTAGAGTCATTCTGGCTACATCCAGTATACTCAAAAAGCTTACCTAAATAGCCAAGTAGTTTATCGATTTTCTGTTAGTGTTTGAAAGACTAGGCTGAAGGACATGTTAAAATGTCTTGTACCTGGAATCCTCTGGGAAATACTACATGGACCGAGCCATGTGGTTTGAGCGTCATTATTTATTCTCGATCTTAAAATTTTTCAATTATATAGAGTACATTCTGTCGACTCCAGCAACAATTACTTTGTCTCCATGGTCTTTCGTCGCGATTTAAAAATACCTACTCAATGCAAAACGCAAACACTTCAGAGCCCGAGCGTCCGTCGGGATTGATGGAAGCACTCAGAATAGCGGAAGAGTCAACATCAGAGCAACATGAATAGTTAATATCGAGAAGAAACTTTATTTTTACTTACGTTTTGCCTCTTCTGTAGGTTCTCTATGCTTAATAGAGCACTGTCATCCCGTGCATGAATGGAATTTTAATCCGAAGTATTAAAAAGTGTATTTTTGGAAAATTCTGGTGGTTTCTTTTTCAATTGTCCTTTTTGGAGAGACTATAACTACCATTTTCTATATTCGTATGTCTATTTCTTAGATGAAGCTAATTTCATAGCTTCACTTGTTCTCAAGTCGATGGGGGACAGCTCGCCATAGTAAGGCGGTCGGGCCACCTGCCCTCGGCTGAGTTGCCCGCTCCGCGATTATGCCAGCAATGGTCATTTGCGGCCAGCAACATTAATCAACACTCCCCCCCATTCCCCCCAATCCTCAACCACATTGACGTCAAAATGGATCCATTCTCAGCAGAGGGGGTAAGTCCATGAAATGCCATTGACAGCCTCCATTCAGCACACTCATCATCTCCCCAGAGCTCCTCAACATCCACAATGCCTTCCACTCCGGCCAATACCAGAACGTGATCGACTTCGACACCGCCGCCCTGTCGTCCGAGAACCAGCTTCCTGCGCGCGTCCTCAAGCTCCGCTCCCAGATTGCACTTGGCCAGACTGACGAGGTCCTGGCCGCCGTCTCCAGTGAAGAGGATACGCCCGATCTCGCCGCCACCAAGGCCCTTGCTCAGCAGGCCGCGGGCAAGACCGACGCCGCTTTGCAGTTGGCCCAGGATCTCGCTGAGAACAACCCCGACAATGGATCCGTGCAGGTACTTTGTGGGACTGTCCTCCAGGCCCAGGGATACAATGAGGAGGCATTGGCTTTGCTGTCCAAGCACCAGGGTAACCTTGAGGCGTGAGTCTTTCGCAATCACAATCGCAATCGGGTGGTCCAGTTACTAACTACTCGATGCGTGTTTTTTAGTGTCTCCCTGGTCGTCCAGATCTATCTGCAACAGAACCGTTCCGACCTTGCGCTGAAGGAGGTCCAGACTGCCAAGCGCTGGGCCCAGGACTCACTCCTCATCAACTTGGCCGAGTCATGGGTCGGTCTGCGCGTTGTACGTATTTACCACACCCGGGAATTGATGTGAACACATCGCTAACCTCTTTCTTTTTGGGATAGGGTGGTGAGAAGTACCAGTCTGCGTTCTATGTCTACGAAGAGCTCGCCTCCGGCCCCAGCACCTCCGCCCCTCTGTCCATTGTCGGCCAGGCCGTCGCCGAAATTCACCTCGGTCGCCTGCCCGAGGCCGAAGCCGCCCTGAATGCCGCTCTTGAGAAATATCCCTCCGACACCGAGTTGATTGCCAACTCCATTGTGCTGAACGTGCTGGCAGGAAAGCCCTCCGAGGATCTGGAGTCGTATGTACAAACCGTTAATTGATCGGCCGAGCAACACAAAACTAACACGTTGCACAGAATTCTCCAGCAAACCGAGCCCTCGCACGCCCTCCTTGCCGATATCCAAGAAAAGAGTGCTCTATTCGATACTGCGGCGGCCAAGTACTCTCCTAAGGTCTCGTCCTAGGGTGTGCAACGGATACGGGAATTGTTGGAAACTTTGCTTTAATCCTTTTTCTTGCCAAGCCAGTTATTTACAGCCGGATTCTTGATATCCTGCTTCATTATGAATTGACACGACCACTTCCTACGTGCAACTGTTGAGTCTTCATTACCACTACTGCGTCACTCAGAATAGTTCAATAGTCAGCGTTGAATATACGCCACGCTAGGCCAAACTAGATGAATATGGCCAGTCAATCCTTATAATCAGAGCCATACCCGAAACGACCTTTGGATAACTCTTAAGAAGATGCTCGATGCTTCAACTACAGACGAGAGGCAATCCACTGCCGCAACTCTCTTCCTGTTGGCGTTCCCTCCGGTCCAGGGTTGCCGAAGAATGGCATGTCATGGCTCTCGTCGGCTCCAACGATCAACGTAGTGTTGGGAAAGACGGACTAAGAAAAGTTAGTTGGCTGCGAATGTCTTTCAAAGGACTTCGTCAGTGTCAGAATCGTGCATACCTTAACTTTTTTCGCGAACGATTCGATCGGCGACAACAGAATCTCATCCGAGCCCGCCAGAATCAGAATTCGCTCTGTTTTCACATCTGCCCACCACTCAACCGGAGCCCGATCAGGCTCACTCCAAGGATCATGATCCTTCCCACCAATATAGGTAGCCGACCACTCGTTTAGTACGCGCTCAGTGACGAAATCTTTGTAGGCATTTTCCTTGAATGACGGCCAGTCAGTGCTGAAATTGACCCATGGCGCGAAGCCGAACACGCCCGCCAGCGGGGTGGATACTGAGATCGGGTCGATTTCAGGGTGTGGATGAGACAGATGCAGCAGCACGGCCATGGCCAGGTTGCCTCCTGCGGAGTCACCACCGACGATTATGTTCGATGGAGAGCGACCGGTGTCATTGAGGATGTACCGCAATGCTTCAGCCGCCTGGCGCAGCTGGGTCGGATAGGTGCCATAGGGGGCTTGGGTATATCGCGGGAAGAAGACGGCGATATCATGACCGTTGTCGTTCACCACCTTCAAGAGATCGAGCAAGAATTCGAAGTGGCCAGAGACAGCAGCTAGAACAAAGCCGCCTCCTGTTTAAGGTGAGTGGCTGGAGATTAGCTTCCGTCTTGTGCAAGGATTTCATCTCGATTGCGGTTACACCGGCCGGGGAGCTAAGATCCCAGTCGACGATTGACATAGAGCTGCACATACCGTGATAGTAAATGACCACGTTCTTTGCGTTCTTGTTGCCCAGCCAATAGCCGTCAGTGCCATGCGGCAAAGACATGACCTCGGGCTGCAAGCCTCGTTTCTCCATCGCCATCTTGTAGATCTCTGGCGTTGGGGGACTCAGATACCTGTGCAGTCATCTTTGTTAGCCCTCTTCTTCTGTATCCAAGCCTAGCCTGGGGTAATATCTTCAGGTGGCCAACAAAACGAGAGAAAAACGCACTGGACCTGGCGAGCCGAAAACCGATCAACCATTGTTCTGATAGCTGTCGCGAGTAGATGGGTTTTGTATGCCTTTGGGCTACTCTTTCCCCGGAACACACCGGTGATGGCAGCGTATAGCACGTTGACAAACAAATTGAGCTGACCAAGGCGAGCATCGGTACGCTCCCAAAAGCCCAGTTCGGGCACCATGGGGTCCTTTCTGGTGTCGGCCATGATTCTTCGGTAGTTGTATATATCAGGAATGGGAGATTGAGCTCTGGCAATGCAGAAAGGTGAGGGGGCCGGGAGCTGCCGAGTTGAAGTCACTTTGAGCTGAGGGATCCCTAGATGCGCGCTGCGGAGTCCCCGCTCTGCCATGCCGATCTGATCCTTAGCCTCGGCTCGCCCGGTGGGGCCGGCCTGCGATGCCGAACTTTACACGCTTCGTGATGGATGTGCTGGGCACAACTTGTCAGAGAACTTCATGGCGATTGCTACGTTGCTCAGATTTAAAGGAAACTAATAGAAAGGACTATGAAGGAAGTCCAATCGCCGTCATTGATTCATGCAATGTCATTGTGGGAGCGTTTGGCAGGGCGTCTCACAGATTCGCACTCGGGCTAGCACGTTCTGTTTCAATATTCCCGAATTAGAAATGATAGGATTTAGTGACCATTGACCATGTCCTCCTTACCGTCCAGTTCGCAGAACGCCTTGAACGTTGTGAAGACATCATCCTCGCCTTCTCCGCTGCCGGTGTTCTGGATGATGCACTCGGCAGTCGCGCCAACGAAGAACACGTAGCCCTCGCGCACTTCCTCGGTCTTGTTGCCAACAGTAATTGTGCCATTTCCACGAGTACAGATAATGATACTGGGTCCCTCGATAGGGTCGAATGTGGCCTTGGCGCCAGTTCGTTTCAGGTCGGTCTTGACAACACTGAACTCCTCGATTGGCGGATCATACAGCATAGACTCGGAGGCGCTAGAGTACGCCGTTGCATTCAAGACAGCATACGGATAGTCCTTTGGCTGCAGCTTCTGCTCCTCGATAGGGGCGTAGGAGTAGGTCAACATCTTGGTCAGGGTATCCACATCCTTGAACTTCGGGGTGAAACCGGCGCGGACGACGTTATCAGACGAGGCCATGCACTCGATGATGTCGCCCGAGACATAAGCGTGGATGTCGTCCGCCTTGAGGAACATAGCTTCGCCGGGCTCGAGCTTGATGAAGTTGAGGAAGAAGAAAACAAACGAGCCAATGTCGTGGGGGAACTGTTGGTCCAGTCGCTCGATGATCGAGGCCAGCTCGACCGGGTTGGTCGGGTTGGTCTCGACCTCACCGGAAATAGTACCGAAGCTCTCTGGTGAGTTCTTTGCAAGAGCGACGAGCTCCTTGCAAGCAGTCTCGATGTTTTCGGGGGAAGACTCCATCAGGGTGGTGAACAACGAGCGCAACGCATCCTTATTCTTCTGAACAACATCCATGACGTCTGAATCCTCATTGCCCTTGACAGCCTGCTCGAACTGGCTGGCGGCCTGGTCGCCAACAAGCTTGCGAAGAGGCTCAATAGCCTGAAGGAAGTGGCTGATCTCGGCGAGGGGACGGAAGCCGCAAAGTCCTTCGAATGGGGTGACGGCAATAGTCATCTCGGGCTTGTGGTTGTCATCTAAAGATAGCAATTCCTGCCATTAGCACCTGACACGAATATTGCTCTTATCTGATGTCCTTCGCATACCCGGATAGTTTCTAGGATCCCGTGCATGGAGCTGCTCGGCCAGCTTCTTGTTGGGGTGGGCTTGGATGCTCAGCGCCTTGCGAATGGAGAGTACCTTGAAAAGAAAAGGCAGTCGGCTGCCATAACGCTCGCTGATTTCCGTCGACAGAAGAGCTTGATTGTCTTGGACGAGATCGAGGAGGGAGCGCTGAGTCTCGACATCTTTCGAAGGCAGAGAGGGGTGGGTGCCCATCCACAGCTATAGCCTTGGTCAGCGCCTACTGTCTCATTCAAGGAAAAAGCTCGGTTTGTGGTTTGGATTTACCTCTGCGTAGGGCTTCTCCGCCTCCACCGCGAAGTCCGGGGCAGCTGTGGTGGCCGCATATCGGGCTGCTGCAGACTCTTGGCCTACCTTGCCTATGACGGAGATGAGTGCGGGGCATTCAACAGTAGTGAAGCAGACCTACCCCAGTCGTAGCTGTTAACGCCTATTCAGATAGATTAGTAAAGGCACAGAGTCATATACAGAGAACCAGACATACCGCATTGTAGCCGAAGCAAAGGAATCTGCATCTTGGAGAGATTTGTTGCCGGGAAGAATGAGGGGCGCGTCGGCAGTTTTCTATTACACAGAATCTCCACGCCAAGACTCCCGGTGAGGACACATCCAGGGTCCGGGGTGGTTTTTAATCAGACAACGCACCTGCCCTTCTGGGATTATTTCCTTTTTCGCTCTCTCTAATTTTTATCTGAACTCATAAGCGAATAAAAACAGCCGCAGCCGGACGGATCTCCTCATAGCAACTCCGAGTCTGCACAATCCCGAACCGGTCCGATTGCCGCTTCTGGTGTTGCCAATCAATGCCTTGAGAGATTCCCGCATTAGACAATGCTACCCCCAATTAAATGGCCTGTTGATAGTCGAATTTTAGTATATATGGACTACGCAGCAAGAATAATCAAATTAAATTGTGATCCGTAGATTATCATAGTACTGAGCAACCCTAATACATTCAGTCCGTATTTACTAAATTCCGTGACGGCCGCCATGGTAGGCGCGCGCCTAGCGCCGACCGCCTTTGGCTTATCAACGCGCGACGAACGGCGGGATCTCGATCAGCTTCCCCCAGCTTCGTCGTCAATTCCCCAGATCCCACTCCCACCCTCTGTGGTGTCCACTCTTGAGCCAGCCAAATCTGGTGAATCTGACACTCGCTTTCTTCAACATGTCCCGCAATCGCCCTCGGCCCCGCGACAATGGACTTGGCAACAATGAAGAGATGGAGCTATGGACCCGGATCTGCCAGGACATTCGCAAGTCCAAAGAGAAATTCGACCAGCAGGCATCTCTCTCTGCTCAAATCACGACACGGGTAGACAAGATTACTCGTGACGGAAATAGTAAGTTATGCTCGGCCGCATCTTGCCTTGATTAGGTACCCTACGCGTATCGCAATGCTTTGCGCGGAAGGCGCGAACCATCCCTGTGGTTAGCTGACACTTGACCTTTGAAGGGCCAATGATATCCGAGCATGACCAGCTTGATACATGGCTGCGGCAGAGCCAGAAACTCAGTGAGGAGGAGCGATCTATCATGCAGGACGAGCCATGCGACGTCATCAAGAACCTCGAGCTACTCACCGCGCTCCGTAAAGCCTCCGAAGCAGAGGCTCCCCCGAACCGATCCAATGCCCTCTCTAAGTCTCGCAAGAAGAGGCAAGATATTGAGGGCTCGGCTACCGACTCTCCCGGTGCTTCGGGTGCAGACAAGTCCAGCCGCTCCAAGGGCGGTGTTCCACGCAGCACCAGTGTTTCGAGCAACCAGGCGCGCGAGGGCCGCGGCGATGGAGTGGCAGTGAAGGTTGAAGAAGGTATGGAAGGTACCAAAGGAACTGTGGCCGAGCGCAGTGGGCTTCTTGTTGTTGGGGCCCAGGTTGTCTTCAAGCACAACAAAAACAAGCAAGGCGTGGAGGGTGAGGGCATTCAATGCATCATCAAGAACATTTCAGGCGATGGCCATAAAAAGCGGTATGATACTATGGCACGGTATTTATTTCAAAAAACTAACTTCGGGATACCAGTTGGTATGATGTCCAAGATCCCGAGCCCAATGAGAATGGTGAGCAGGGTGCTGTCTACAAAACTACCGCCTCGTCTCTCATTCCAATTCCGCAAGTGAGCTCTTCTTCCTTGCCGCAGTTTACCGTTGGGAAGCAGGTCCTCGCGCGGTACCCCGACACCACCACTTTCTATCGAGCCGAGGTGATGGGCTCGAAGAAGGATGTCTACCGCCTCAAGTTCGAGGGCGAGGAAGACGACAAGGAGATGGAGGTTGACCGGCGCTATGTTCTGGATATTCCCAACAAATAGTCTGGCTGATAGCCACGTTCCCACGATCTTGTTCTTGGTCTGCTTTGATACCCTTTAGCGAGGCGCTACTTCGGAGTTTTGAGGGGGTTTGTCGCCATGTGGATAGGCCAACATTCCTTTTATTGGTGATCAGCACAACCATCCTGGGGTGTACGATTTGGAAATGATATTAGGTGTCAGTATTTAACTGTCCAGCTCTCAGTTGTAGTCTCGCATTTTCCTCCAAATGTTCACATGTACCTCCGCGCTTATCGCATAAGCGATGGAAGCTGCTAGAGTAAGCACTGACAACGCGATGAGTCAGCCCCGCCGCCCCTCATGCCGGTGCCGAGGAAAGGATAATTGACGCCATGGAGTCTCGGTGCCGTGATTAATTCCGAATTTTCCCCCAAATGCCTGTCTCCTGTCCGATCTCTAAGCCAGGACAGTCCAACGAATATCCACGTCGTATTTATACTACTCTCCGCTTCGTTGCCGACCGTCGCAATGGCGGACCTCCCGGCGCATGCCTCGCCCAAACTTCCCCCGCAATCCCACCCTCCCACGAGCAGCGGACCAGATGCCTTACCAGACGATGCGAGCCAAGGCAGTGGCATTACAACAGGTCAACAGACTCCGGCCCTTCCTAATTCACTTTTGTCGCCTGCTTTCACCCCGCCTGCAACGCCTGGGGGCACATTAAACTTGACCTCGAATCCGACTAAAGCCCTCCACGAAAGCCAAGCTGCGAGTATTCGACACCAAGGAGAACATACCAAAGCACCTAAATTGCTGTCACAGCTTCCGCAAGTGGAATGTATTGTGCGAGCGCGAATTCCGACGACAAATGGTGCGGAGATGTTCCTACACCTCTATCATAACGACATGGATAATAAGGAGCACTTGGCCATTGTGTTCGGTAACAAGATCCGCAGTCAAAGCTTGGATCGCGTGTATCCCGGGGAGACCGAGATGGACCGCATGATCCGCGGCGCATACGTGGGCAAATTGCACCCGGGCCGGGTCAGCAGTTGGTTTGATGACGAGAAGAATGCCGAATCGCAATCAGAAGGTCAGACAAAAGTCGAGCCACCACTGGTCCGAATCCACTCCGAGTGCTATACCGGTGAGACGGCATGGTCAGCTCGATGCGATTGTGGTGAACAACTGGACGAAGCCGCACGATTGATGTCTTTCCCGGTTGAAGACTTGTCGTCCGATGCACCCCCAGAAGCCCAATCTCTCAGATCTCATTCTGCGGGAGGTGTTATCATCTATTTGCGACAGGAGGGCCGAGGAATTGGATTGGGAGAGAAGCTGAAGGCATACAATCTTCAGGACTTGGGCTCTGACACCGTCGAGGCCAACCTTCTGCTGCGGCATCCTGCGGATGCCCGCAGCTATGGATTGGCGACAGCCATGCTGATGGATCTCGGATGTGGCGCGGATGTGAACCCGGATGGCGTTCGCTTGCTCACAAATAACCCCGATAAGGTCCGCGCCATTGAGGGTCCCAATCGGGAAGTGCTGGTCAAGGAAAGAGTCCCGATGATTCCCCTTGCCTGGCGCACTGGTGGACAACGGGGAATCAAAAGCTCTGAGATTGAGGGTTACCTGAAGACTAAGGTGAGTACTATGCCCTGTCCCTGTACTGGGCTATGACCATGCTAAACCGAGTTTGACAGATTTCAAAAATGGGCCACATGATCCAATAACATATTTCGGCCCCCTATTGCACGGCTATGTCCCTGTCTTTCCCTTCGTCCATTGTATTTGCTTCCTACGGGAAGGGTATTTTGTGATATGTCTTCCATGTATTGGAAAGTGCAACACCCTTGTACACGATCGACATGACCTGTCTTTTCTTCTTGCATATTTTTTGGGGGTTGATCGCGACGTTTTCTGTACATGATCATTATTTTCTGCGCACTTCCATTGCGGCGATGCTGTTTCGAGTCTCCGAGGTGGACATCACAGTTTGGTCTTTTTGTGCAAATGCCTTTGTGCTGCTATATATAGTCCTTCGGGATCAATGGAGTTTGGATGGCTTCTTTCGGGAGTGGAGCTTGCTGCCCATTGTACAGTCCGATCGGTACTGCTTAGATCATGGCGCGGTGGTTGTCGATCCAACACTGCAGTCTTACATTGCACTAGTGCATGGCGTGCTGATTGAATTACTGTGGCAGTGCCTGCAGGACGCCAACACTGAAGAGTGCAGCCGAGTACAATTGTAGCAGCAACACGGGAATGCACGACGGACCATTCGTCACCTCCGCCTTGCAAGTCTACCCGCCGCACTGGAACAAGGCCTTATCCTCGACCCACCCACGCCAATGCTGTGCTGATTCCTTTCACGTCCTCTCCTGAGCCAGCTGCTCTCTCTCCCCTCCGCCCTTGGATGGCTGTTATCAATCTCTAGCGCGCGTGTACGGCCATGGCCAGCCGCGCTCCGGGCGACAGCGATTATGCGCCCTCGCCGGCTATTGAATCGGCGATCGAAGGCCACTCACAGCAACCCATCTTCGCCAAATCCGAAGACTCGCCCGTCCCCTCGCGCTCGGTCTCGTTGGATGCCGAGTCTCTCATCCCCGACAATAATGACAATAATGGAACGACCACCGCTGGACGGAAGCGCAAATTAAACAGCACGTCATCGCGAGGCGTCGCCAATCTCACCCCCGATCAATTGGCGAAGAAACGTGCCAATGACCGACAAGCCCAGCGTGCGATTCGCGAGCGCACGAAGACCCATATCGAGGCGTTGGAACAGCAAGTGAGAGACCTGGCGTCACAGAAGCCCGTCCTGGATCTGCAAGCAGCCATGCAGCACAATGAGCGTATTCGGTCGGAGAATCGAGAGCTTCGCCAGAGCTTCAAGGCGGTGATGGACATTATACAGCCCTTGCTAGCACGTCCAGAATCCACAGGTAATCTTGTGACCCAGTACAGCACCCTTGAAGAAGCTAGACTGACAGGGGTAGACCTGCCGGCCGTCGTCTGCCAACCGAGATCAGTCCCACCCCAGACCACTTCGTCCCCCTTTCCCGATACCGATCACTTAACACCAAACCCCCAATCGGCCCTCCCGGGAGATAAATCATATGAAGGATCGGTGGCCAGCCTGGACACACCTTCACCCACGCACTCCGCTCCGACCCTGGGGAGTCGGCGCAACAGTGCCAATGGAGGCACCCAATCGACCTCGTTTCGATCCGCATTGGACAACCAGCGCCACAACACCGCCCACGGCTTAGACCTCGGCTTGGAGGAACGACTTGGCTTCAATTTTCTGCTCGATCCGTCCCAGAATATTCCCAAAGTCGACCGGCTCCGGCGCAGTAATTCAGAGAACTTCCGCAGCTCACAACCTAATCTACAATCCCCTCTTTACCTACAACCACTCAACCACCCAGCCGAGCAGGGACCCCCGGCATTCGCGACGCCAATCAGAAACACTGGGCCCACTTGTACACTGGACAGCATCTTGCTAGACTTCCTTCACAACAGGCAGCGGGAAGCCGCACAGGGCATCCCGCGACAGAAGCTCGTCGGACCACCATACCCCAGCGTATCATCGCTATTAAATCCAGAGAAGAGTGTATATTCGCATCCGGTATCAAAAGTATTCACGGACATTCTACGAACCTTCCCAGATATCTCGTCCCTGCCCGAGCAGGTGGCCGTGCTCTACACAATGTTTCTCCTCATGCGTTGGCAGATCTATCCGACGCAGGAGAATTATGACCGACTACCAGAATGGCTCACGCCACGTCCCACGCAGCTTCTCTCTCCACATCCTGCCTGGATGGACTATGTTCCTTGGCCCCGAATGCGTGATCGGCTTGCCACATCCCACCAAGACTACCCATTCGAAAATTGGTTCATTCCTTTCACTCGAGGCTTGTCTGTGAATTGGCCTTACGAGGCCACTGACTGTCTTTTATCAGCGGGTGACTCGGAAGAGTTGCTTATAAACCCTGTATTTGAACGGCACATGCGCAATCTGACGAACTGGTCGCTAGGTCCAATGTTTGCGGAAGCCTATCCGAACTTGGTCGATACTACGCAAATTAGGCCCGAAGTCAAGCAAGGGAAAGCTGCGTTATAGACCCAACCTCACTTGGCAATGATTTTCGTCTTTCACCGGTATTCATTGGACTGCAAATCTGTATTTTTTTTAAATTTGTTTTTAATATGCTGGGTATATACTTCATTATTCACATTACATGGTCAATTCAGGGTAGTAGAGGACCACCAGATCAGAACATTTCTGATTGTCCAAAGGAAGGATCATTTGCAAGAGATACTATTACTTCATATATTGGCATTTATTCGGACTACTCTACTGCTTACGGCTCTTCTCATTCCAGAACTCGAGTCCAGACTGCTGGCGGATGGTACCGTACATCGAGCTGCTGTCCAAACACTCACCAGCATATTCCCTGGCGGCTTCCATGTTGTCGCGAGCCAGCGCAAGACCAGGAAGGTTGGCACCGTATTCCTGAGCCATATCCATCGCGTGCTTCGCGTCCTTGATGGCCAGCGAGACACCGAATCCGGGACGCGAATCCAGAGGCGGGGCATAGGCACCAGTCGTCAGTCTGCCGGAGTTAGATTGAGTGCTAGATTTCTTAATCAGATATGGCATGATACATACCTCTTGGAGTAACCACCAGCAACAGGACCAAAAGCCTCACCAATCAGCTCTTCCATGGGGCCAGTTCCGAGTCCAGTCTTCTCCGCAAAGACCTGGGCCTCACCAACAGCTTCCATCAGGTTCACAGTAACAATATTTCTATCAACGGTTAACCAACGTCATAATGGGAGAGCTGATGTTCAGGTCTAGTGGTGCGACATACCCGGCAATCTTCAGCAAAGAAGACTTGGTCGGATCCTCTCCACATTCGATCACGCGTCGACCCATGATATCCTGAATCAGAGGCTTCACGACATCCGTCGCATCCTTGGGACCGCCAATTGCAAAGACCAGCTTTCCATCAACAGCGATAGGGTTTCCGCCAAAGACAGGTGCCGAGACGAAGGCCGCATTTCGGTCCTTCAGAGCAGCGGCCGCGGAGCTCACTGTGTCAGGGTGAACGGTTGAGCAGTCTACGAAGATCTTGTCTTTGAGCGTGTGGCCCGATCCAAGTGCTGAATTTACCAGGTTCTCAAGAACCGAGTCATTGGAGACCTGCTCAGACGATTAGTTCTCGGGACACTTCGGGAGCAAATGGAAGCCTTCTCCCTAACTCGCGACCTGCTCGCGGGCCATTGAAGGTACATACCATCGTGAAGATGATCTTGCTATGAGCCACTAGGTCATTGAATCCCGGCACGGCAATCCCGCCGAGGGACTGCAGCGGTTGGCCGCGCGACATGGTGCGGTTAGTGTACAGGAGGCTCAAGGCCTTCTTGCCGGCCAGGTGCCGCTGCAGGTTGTTGGCCATGGCAAGGCCCATGGAGCCAAGGCCATACTGTGGTGAGCTTTAGTTTCGCTCGTCTTGGGAGAGAGTCAACGAGGTCGGGCCTTACCCAGCCAATTTGAGTCATGATGTTGGTATGTACTGCCCGTATCGGGAAAGGATGCGGGTTATTGGGTGTTGTTGATCGTCCGATAACGAGTTTGATAACGAGACTGGAAGATCGACTTGCGAAAACGAAGTCAAAGTCACTCTATTACCTGATGCAATTGTTTCAATGGCCAATTGCTCAAGTTCAAGTGATTTTTGCCCGTTTAATAACGTCGCAAAGGGGAGGGGCAACGCGGTTTCCCGAGGGGAATCGGAGTCGGCCGATAGCAGAGGTTTCTTCCTACTACCATGTGGTCCTCGGTACTAAAAAGGCTAAAAGGTATCTGTAGCTCATATGCGGGGTGATAATATCGTGGGGAAGCCCTCATGGCCGAGTCTAACTATTCAATTCGTGGTTCCTGGTTGGTGAGAAAATCCGAGTGTGTGTTGGTGGCCTGCCGATTGTGATATTGACCTGAATATAGGAACAAATCAGCCAACCCCTCTTCAGTCCGGTCCTGCAATCAGTATGAGGCTTGGATACACCTTCTCGGCCCTCCAACTGTCTCATTAAAGCTCGTAAGACTCTTGACAAGAGAGCAGTGACTGATGCAGTCACGTCATGTAATGGCTGCGGCTCGCCCAGCAAATTGCGGAGAGCCATGCGGGTACGGTACGGTCACGTAAGTAACGATGATGATGGCGGTTACCTCACGTACCTCACTAGGCACTTACCGACATCAACTCCTCCCCCCGCGCTCAACTCACCTCCAATTCCGCGCTTCCTGGAAGTCCGTGCATAAGATCCTGTTCGACAGCACTTGACTTCCTTACCCTCTATCATGGCGGAAATGCCCATTGGTACCTGTTCCCTTCCCCTAAAGCCGACCGCGTGTCCACACCCCCAGTTCCCAAGCTAACAGGCCGCAGTCCTCGACGGAGGAACCGGTTTCCTCAAGGTCGGCTATGCCGCCCAGGTATGTCGCATATGACCATTCGACGATTGATTTCCTCTCACACTCACCTCCTGCGCCAGAACTTCCCAGAGCACCAGTTCCCCTCGATAGTGGGGCGGCCCATCCTGCGGACGGAGGAGCAGTCCGGCGACATTGTGGTGAAGGATATCATGTGCGGTGATGAAGCCGCTGCTGCCCGTTCAATGCTTCAGATCAGCTACCCGGTACGTCGATGCCCGACGAGCACTCTAGCCATCGCCTTCCCTACCCCGCCCTCTCCGCAGAAACGTGTTGTTAATGTTGGTCCCTTGCTGGGATGTTTTAGATGGAGAATGGTATCGTTAAGAAGTGGGATGATATGCAACATCTGTGGAACTACACCTTTTACGACAAGATGAAGATCGACCCTACCGGCCGCAAGATTCTCCTCACCGAGCCCCCGATGAACCCGCTCAAGAACCGCGAGCAAATGACGGAGGTCATGCTGGAGGGATACAACTTCGGAGGCGTCTATGTGGCGATTCAGGCGGTGCTGGCACTGTACGCGCAGGGTATGGAGCGAATTCGACCGGATACACAGTTGGAAGATAGGAAAATGCTAACGACTGGGCTTCAGGTCTCAGCAGTGGGGTTGTTGTCGACTCCGGTGACGGTGTGACGCACGTTATTCCCGTGTATGAGTCCACCGTGCTCAACCACCACATTCGCCGCCTCGACGTTGCCGGCCGCGATGTCACTCGCAACCTCATCGCCCTCCTCCTGCGCCGCGGTTATGCGTTGAACCGAACCGCCGATTTCGAGACCGTGCGCCAGATCAAGGAGAAGCTCTGCTACGTCTCCTACGACCTCGAGCTTGACAAGCAGCTGTCTGAGGACACCACTGTCCTTGTCGAGTCCTACACCCTCCCCGATGGACGTGTAATCCGTGTCGGCAGCGAGCGTTTCGAGGCCGCCGAGTGTCTCTTCCAGCCTCACCTGGTTGATGTTGACCAGCCTGGTATCGCTGAACTGCTCTTCAACACCATCCAAGGCACCGATGTCGATATTCGATCTAGTCTATACAAGGCTATTGTGCTCTCCGGTGGTAGCAGCATGTACCCCGGTCTGCCTTCGCGGTTGGAGAAGGAGCTGAAGCAGCTTTGGCTCACCCGAGTTCTGGGCGGCAACCCGGAACGTCTGAACGTATGTTTAGGAAATATCCCCGAAAGAAGATATGCCGTAGCTCACATCTTTGCAGAAATTCAAGGTCCGCATCGAAGACCCTCCTCGACGGAGGCACATGGTCTTCCTAGGTGGTGCCGTGCTTGCCAACCTGGTGAGTGATATTCTTTCCCCCGTTCTAGAGCACCAGACTAATTTCTTCCTAGATTGCCGACAAGGACGACATGTGGGTATCCAAGCAGGAGTGGCAGGAACAGGGTGCGCGCGCCCTGGCGAAGCTCGGCCCACGATAATGCGATTGTACTTAGGCGGTTCTAACTGTGGTCTCCTTTCTATTCTTTCTGGTCTTGTCTTGCTTCGCACCATTCCGCATTTCCTGCAAGCCGTGCTGTCCTGCTTCTTCTTCCATGTTTTTTTTTTTTGTCCCCCATGACCCACCTTGTCGATATCCTTTCCATTGTTTTCCGTATCTTACTGCCTCCTCTATATTGTGCCTAGACTGGTCTGGTGCGGGTGGAACTGGGGCCAATGACATAAAAGAAACATTCCTATCGACATTTTTTTCGATCTCTCGATTTCTACTAGTCAGAAGCTCTTTATGGAAAACTTTGGAATTTTTAGAACGTAAAACGCATTTCTAGATCAAATGACAGGAATAAGGTCTGGCTGGTCAGATATGGCCCCCAACTATCAAGCCACCTGGTGGGGTTGCCGCGGTTGCAACCACAACAACACTTCTCAAAGTTACCCCCCAACACTTGCCCAATTCGAGGAAGTTCCGAGCGGACGACGAAATATATTCGAAAGGTTCCAATTACAGAGGACGAAAATATCATGATAGATCCGAACTACTCATGGCCTCTGGTCCTTTTGACTGACTTGGACGAAAGCTGCCAAACGAGACTCATCGATAACACAAGATCAACTATTGCAAAAGATATCCAATGTCATTCAAAATTCTACTTCGGCGAAGACAGTCAGCTCGAAATCACAGAGGACAAGGTCAACATCCAAACATGGACTCCGCCTAAACGACTCCTTGAGTCCATAGCGCAGCAAGGCCCCAACAGAGACAGCCAGGCCAACATTCATGCTCTTGCGGTGCTTGCACACCGATCCGGTCGATCAAGAATTATCGTCGCTGATGAAATGACCAAACGCCAGCTCCTTGGAGCTCCGTTTCGCAACGAAGGGTTGGAGACTAAAGTGGTAACGGTAGTGGCTGTCTCCACTCGCCTAGTGCCACCAACGAACGAGCTTTATGTCTATGCTCGACGCTCGTTCTGCTTCCATGAAGGACCAGTTTACCGCTTCACGTCTACTCTTGATTGGGAAACACGGGAGCCTCATAATGACGATCAGGTCATTGACTTCAAGTCGTTTGCTACTAGCTGGGGACCTCTCTGGGAGCATCTAAATGAAGATCAACTAGGGAAGCAAGAAGGCTTGTTGCTCCGTGACCCGGACAATGGGGTTTTCGCTGCCAACACCGGGACTATTCTTGGCTGGGAACGCTACATTAACGCAGTTCATACCGCCTTGAAACCGCACCTACCCACGGAACTCGTGGATGAGATCAGGAAACAGGTGGACAACTTCGAAATCAGCATGCCAGCATGGGATTCTCCTCCCAGCGAGAAGCATATGGTCATATTTATTCTCTTCGACGCCACGGCTGACGAACTTGCCAATATACATTCGGAAATACAGAAAGCTATTCCAGCTTCCTTCCAGGGAAATAAGCGACGCATCATGAACACAGATCCTAATGGCACCTCCGACTATCTGATGACAACTTACAAGAGGATACCTCACATGACGTTCGAATTGATTCCGTGGCAACGACACCACATGTTCAGCCGAAGAGACCTTGCAGCCTTCTGGAGTGAATACCGTCTCTGGGATGCTAGATGTGTGGCGAGAGAAGATAGTTTTCCTTTTCTGTATCTCACTAGTCCCTATGAGAGCATCGACTCAGCTCTGTTCGGCGCCATGATATGCGAGAATGAAGAAAGAAATGATGCGATGGCATTATTGACAGGAAGACTAAAGCTGGGAAGCATCTGCAGATCTATGCACAGGTGTGGAGATATTCGCTGGTTCGATGCCACGGACTTGGAACCCAGTGATGTTGATCGCGGTTTGGGTTACGAAGAGAAGTTGCGTCACCCCGATCAGCCTTTCTATTGTGATTTTTCAGTCTGGGAACCAGCTATTTTCGAGTATCGCACGTACCCGATATTCTTGCTCACGCATCAACTGAGCGAGGAAGATATCAAAAGGATTCAGCAAGAAATGCGTGTGGAAGTTGATGCGCATGAAGATCCTGATCACTGGGACCCGGATCATCCAAACCGTGCCGTTATTATACCTTGGAAAAATGGCGAAGGGAGCCAGGTCGACGGCAAAGTGAAGGATATCTGGGACATTGTCCGGAATATTTGCACCTACCCAACGATCTCGCGAGCTCTGGACATCGAAATTGTCTGTTTGGACCGCCAGTCTGCCGTCGACTCAACAGTCCTCGTTGTGAGAACCACGCAGTATTTTGTGGACCCGTTTCATCCGCTACTCAAACACCTCCCATACCCACGCCTTCCGGGGTTCGAATATACTCGCGTACCCGCACGTTTAGCAGGGTTCATGATGAGAACTATTTTGAGGGACGAAGATGAAGCTCCAGGCTACCAGTGGTCAACTTACTTCCGACCGGGTTGGCCGGGGCCTGAGGAATTCCCTGAGGCCTATGAAGGACTAGAACAATTGGTCGGTGAGAATTCTTTCCCTTGATAGATATAGGGGTACATGAATGTCATCCAACGTAGATTCTGCTCAGCGGTGACTAAAATAGGAACATAAACATACAAATGCAAGGAAAGAGATTTGATAAGCAATCTGCACCTTGCAGTCATCACAACAACACTGTATAAGGGGGGAACAGAACATCACACCGAAATTGTGTTACACATCGCGAAGTTATCTTGGGAATCTTGTCTTTTGGTGTCTGCGTAGACATATAATTCTTCAGGGCCCGAACAAAAAGAAAAATACCCCGTGATGTAACTTCAGAAGGAAAATAAAACAATCGTCCCAAAAATTCCAAATGAATATGTAGCAGTGCTAAGCGCATCCAAAAGAGCTATGCATCAAGTATCATGAAGAAACGAAGAAACCGCACTTGATAAACCGAAGAGGGAGGGATGGTATATTATTCGTCATATGACTGGACTGAGTCTACCTACCGTTCAATGGCACCCGGTGAAACCGCCAGGATGACCGCGAACGCCGCGACGATCAGCGCCATAGCCACTGCCGCTGTAAGAGCAACACTTCCTCTGCTAGCAGGGAACTTGCCCCGCACGATCCAGTACTGACTTTCAAAGTAGCGGTGAAATCCAACAATTAGGATGAGAATGGCAACACCAATAAAGGTAGAACCGAGGGGCTTTCCGACACTGCGAAGTCGGGAGGAGTCACGAGATGAGGGTGTTGAAGCTAGATCGAGCATGTTCGGAGACATAAGAGGGGGGATAATCGCAGCATTATTATGAAAGCCGTTCGTATCTGTGGTTGCGGTAGCGCTGTTGAGTCGGAAGAGTTGGGTGACGGCGATGCCGATAGAGGCAAAGGCTAGAGAAGTACGCATCCAGGCGAGAAAGGTTCGCTCTACAGGAACAGTCAGATTGATCTATCAGGTGATATCGGAAAAGAAGGGGCTACCATACCAAGTGCAAGGTGATCGCGTGCTACACTGCCTTTGTTTTCCAGCTCTAGGGAGCCGTATCGATCGACGATTTGGCTATACCATGAACGATGCGGCTCGGTGGGCGGCTCTGTCCTGTTACTCCGCGTGCGACTGGCGTCATTCGCGCCTGTGCTGAGACCCGAAGGCCCCTGGTCGCCTTTCCCCGAATCGGCTGGGTCGCCCTGGGGATTTGATGTCGCGGTGGCTTGGTAGTTGCGCGTCAAGGCACCCGACCCGTTGATCGGGGTTGACTCGTTGGAGGGTCTCGTCTGCTGCAAGCCGGCATAAGTTCGGGATGGAACGCTCGAGTGGGACCGGCTGCTACCGGCCGAAGATGACAGGCCCGAATCGACATGCGTAGGTGAGCGTGACGAAGAATATCTGATATCGCGGGCTCCGGCAGCGTTGCTGGGACCTGTCGGAGTCGTCGCCGATGAGTCGAAAGCGTTCATGATGGCGTGCTCATCCCCTAGCTGGTCACTTGGGGACACGGTCCAATCGCCAGGCCGCGAGGGGCAGGGCTCCTGCACAACAAAAATTGCCGGGAGCCGCGAAGGAGGGTTGAAGAGCCTTCAAGAATGTGAGGGCTTAGAGAATGAAGTCGTTGATGTCAGGCTGGTGAGAATGGGCATGTTCGTCCCTTGGAATTTCTTTTGCTGGCGGTGTTCACCCCTCCCTCATTCAGCTGCGCCCATCATGTGGTCTGCACGGTGTGTGACGAGGGAAAGGCGCCACGGAGGATCGGTCGATCGCTAGTCCGGGGAAGGAGGTGATCACATGCTCCACAGCGCTAGCACCCATCTAGGCAATATTGCATCATGTCTATTCCGTTCACAGCAGGCGGTGTCCCAAGGTCCCTTTTCTGCCGTGATGCCGCGATCGACCTTCGACTGTTATTTATCATTGTCCTCCCCTCCCTCACGTCTTTTATCAGCAAAATGGCGTCGACATCGGCTAGCTCGAGACCCGGAAAGGTCGACCTCTCTCAAAAGTTATCAGAGTTGCGGTCAAGCACGAATCGCCGATCCCATGCCGCATCTGCCCGAGATCCGAATCCAACAACCCCTCCTTTGCCTGCGCCGCCAGACCTCTCCACCCACCAATATTCCCGCCCTGTTCGCCGTATCCTATCACCGAAAGACCACGAATTGTTCTCATCTTCGCCCACCTACAATATCATCTTGGCATTCATCTTTGGCCTCTCCGATTCAGTACGGGGTCGGGCTATCACTGACCTGAAGGGCCCCTTGGCTGACGCCATCTCGAAAATTACCCAAATAGTGGGGCAGATACGGTCATTGCTGGAGAAATGTCCGCCAGAGGACCAGGGTGGGTCGCGGTTCGGTAATCCTGCATTTCGCGCATTGTTCGATGAGGTCGCCACGCAGAGCACGTCCTGGCATCGGCAAATCCTCGGTCTCACAGACGCCGCCGCCATCGATGAGGCATCGACATACCTAGTCAACTCGCTCGGTTCTCGAGACCGTATTGACTATGGATCCGGCCACGAGTTGAACTTTATGATGTGGTTGCTATCGCTCTACCAGCTAGGAAAGCTTCCGGCGAGCGAGTTTCCGGCCGTAGTGTTCAAGGTGTATCTGGAATACTTGCATCTCATGCGTGATGTCCAGTCAACTTATTACCTGGAGCCTGCCGGTTCCCACGGAGTCTGGGGTCTGGACGACTATCACTTCCTGCCATTTCTGTTCGGTGCCAGCCAGCTGGTAGACCACCCCTACGTGACGCCGTTGGGAATTCACAACACTGCCATGTTGGACGAGGAAGGTGACAAGTACATCTACCTCGATCAAGTGCGTTGGGTGGACAGCGTAAAGACGGTCAAGGGTCTCCGCTGGCACAGTCCCATGCTCGATGATATTTCGGGCGCCAAAAACTGGTTCAAGGTCGAAAGTGGCATGAAGAAGATGTTTGTCAAAGAGGTCCTTGGAAAGCTGCCTATCATGCAGCATTTCCTTTTCGGTAGCCTCCTGCCTGCTGCTGAGGGTATGAGCGAGCTCTCTGAAGGAGATACGGGCGAGGAGCACGAACATGATCATGCGCACGACCACCCCCACGGATACGCCGCACATACCGATTACTTTGGTGACTGCTGTGGTATCAAGGTACCCAGCACGGTTGCCGCGGGCGCAGAAATGCGCAAGCGGATGGGTGGATCGGGACTTCGTCCGATCCCCTTCGATTAGAGGCTCAAGTTCACTAGTATAGAATCAAAGCAGCCTAGAAAACCCCTCACGTAATGAGCAATGACATACAAAAATTATGAGATCAATTGAAAGTGAACTGAATGGACAACTTTTATGTTAGATGACCTTTCATAGATTTGGCACACAATGACCCAATTTTCAGCCATCGTTACCATACATCGTTTTACTCTACTAACATGCTGAATTTCTTGGCCTTTTTCGTCATTGGCCTACCAAGGGCACTTCTATGTAGCGAATTTCCTTCAATGAGGCGGTTAGACTTGGACTCACTAAATGTTCAGTCCGGCCTCAGACTCAGTAGCCATCTAAGTATTGAGCACTCAGCCCAAACCGAGTCCATACCCAAATGAGCACTCGGTCTCACATAACTTTACATATAGAGAACGATTTCTGATGGCCAGAGACAAACCTTAATTTCTAGAGGCTAGAAATGCTTCTTTCAATCCGGCGACCGCACCAAGCCTCACCGCTTCTGTGGTCCATGCGTGGATGGGTTATAAAGCGAGATGGCCTGGATGAGCTGCTTGTGTTTACTTGGTATTTTAACAACTTTCAACCATAATCAAGCCTCGTATCGTCATGGTAGCTCAAATACAGAGAGATAAAAAGACTGATTGATATCAATGGAGAAGTGAACCGAGTAGTCCTAGATGCCCAGAAAGACAATGATTCGATCCGCTTCCTTGGTGAACTACCCACAGAAAAGTTGAATTACGAGGGCTATTTGGCTTCGACATGTGAGACTATCAGCAGCTTTGTCTATTTTTGGTATGGCAAAGCGAACTTGCAGCTAACTCGACGTACCTATTTTGCCCTTGACTTCAACAATGACAAGTATGATTATGACAATGCTCACATTCAGAAATTTGTTCTACCTGTGTATCTGTTACATCTATCTCGAAAAAAAGGCTCCTGGAGTACATTCCGACACAGGCGCGAGGACTTCTCGTTTGCCAAGAGAATTGCGGAATTACACGAAGGAAATGGGCGAAAACCAACTCCTTTCCTTGAAGATCACATCAAAGGCGTGGAACACGATAACCCACGGAATCTTCAAGCCTCATTTGGAACCCTGGAATAATGTTCGAGGAATAAATGGGCCCGATCGTGACGATTTTGTCTTCAGTATGGTAATCACGCGTTCGTCGTTCCTGGGAACTGATATGTACTCTGCAGCCATTAGGAACTTGCTAGGGTTGTTGTACCGAGCCCGTCTTTGTAGTAGCCTACCTAGGTTTCAAGAATACAATTTGAGGCGGTCATCTAAGTTCTCTCTTGGTGGCTGCCGTAGTAAAATAGGTGCCAAAGTGAATATTACCGGTGCCTGGAACTACTCTAGGTAGCAGCAGTTAGTGAATCGAGGTAGTAGGTCACTGGCAGTTGCCTCAACACCTCTATACATATGCCCCACCGTTGAACTGCACTCGCAACCCAAGTTCTTCCACTGCCATCTACCCCTGCGCCAGCAGATCATCAAAGTTCCTTCCAACTCTCAGCATCCAGCGCCAGAGATCCACGTCCCCACACCGCCACTACCAACCCGCAGGAACTTCGGTTCCATCTCTTTCCCTCGCGTCCTCGCTCCGACACAGCGAGGAAAAGTCACGCGGCGGCAAAGATCCACTCCGAAAAAGCCACTCCTCATTCCCCTCTTACTCCGCACGCGCAAACACCACACCATTCATTACCCCCCACGTCCAATCGCCATGGCGGACGAGTTCAAGCCCGGCCGGCTCAGACTGAAGGGTGTGGACACCGGTCGGGTCGAGAAGAAAAAGAAGAAGAAGGCGTTGAAGAAAGAGAAGAAGGACGACGCGAAGACCCAGGACCCTGCCGAAGGTCCTGGCGACAAGCAGGGTGAGGAGGCGCCTAGCTCGCCTAAGCCTGGCCAGGAGGAGAAGGTCGAGCCTCGTCGTTATCTGACCAAGGCTCAAATTGAGTTCGAGAAGCGAAAGCGTGAGCGAGTATGTGTCTATCTACCTGCTTTCTCGTTTTTTGGGTGTCGTGTCGATGGCGTGACGGTGATGTGCTCTAACTTGGCTGCAGGAGCTCGAGAAGGCCCGCCGCGGCGAATACAAGTCGCACAAGCAGAAGGTGCAGGAGTTCAATGAGGGGCTCAGCCGCCTGAGCGAGCACCACGACATGTAAGTCCCCATGCTCCTCATTTGATCTGTTGCGCAGGTATTAACTTCTACAAAGGCCGAAGATCGGACCCGGCTGAGGGGGGGATAGAGGACGACATGCCCGGGGAGAGAGGAGGAACGGGCCAATATCTGTAACACTATTCTTATCAGGGGTTTAGGAGTTTGCTAATATTACGAAATGAATCATTCTTAACTCAAAGCGGTGGTATATTCATAGAATTCCAGATTGGCTAAAAGAAGTAAATGCCCCTGGGAGTCCCGTAGGATCTCTATGAAGCGGCCCGAAAGAACAAGAACAAAGCAAGGCAAATCGATGACATGCCAGGGGAATGCAAGACAAGTCCAGGAAGAAGCAGAATCCCAGTCAGGAAGTGATGAAAACGCCGTGTAGATGGGGGTTAAACGGAGCAGAAAGAAAATACCCTCCCAACAAGTAAAAGAGAAATAAAAGAGAAACCCGTAGTCCATCGAGTTGATCGAGACCAGTAGTAGAGATACCGACTCGATCAGAATGGGAAGCAAAAACACCACGCTAAAATCAACCGGCTGAATGGCGACGGCCACCAGGAATCACGTTGGAGACCACGTTGCACCCAGCGGCGAAAGAAGGGATCGCATCGTATCTTGTCCCCGAGGAATAGGGATAGCAACACATGTGCAGGTGGACGGTGCGAGCCAGAGACCCCAGAGACGAGGAGAGGTCAAAAGAGTCCATCCTCATACGCCCTTGACCACGACCGTCCGCTCGCTATTCAGCTTGTCGGCATTGCGAGCGTGCGACTCCTTTTTGCAGTCTTCCAGGCCGCTGCAGGAGTGGGCCTCGAGCATGCGGTGCTTAGAGCAGAAGTGGCCGTGGCAGAAGCTACAGTCGCCGACAATGCGCTGGGCGGCCTCCTTGCACTCCTTGAAGTTGCAACGTGGCTTACGGGGAGCCATGATTATTTCGGGGTTGGTTGAGGCTGAGTGAAATGGATCGGCACAGAGGGCGGTTGCTGAGGTCACTGGTATGACGCTTTCAACGGGTCGAGTGGCTTGAGATAAGCGCCGGAAGGAAGACGACGACGAGGAGAGTGGAGGCAAGTGTGAATAGGCACAGGCGAACGAGTGTGCCGAATTCGAGAGGACCCCAGAGCACGATGTGAGGTTGACGGAGTTGTGAGGAGAGCGAGGAGAGAAAGGGTGGAGAGATTGACCCTGGGGGCTGGACTGCGGAGGTATGAGCGTTGGGTTGGGGAAGGAGGCGTCGCGCAACAGGAGCAGTTGACGTAGGAGGAAAGTAGGAAAGAGTAATAAAGGGGCGCACTCACGGGGCCGGACACTTATATAGGAAGATCGGAACGGGCGGGAGAAGGAAAGTCAAAAGGAGGAATTGAATGGAAAGGGCTGAGTCAGTTGAGGCGTGGAGAGTGACGGAATCAGCCATCGCATGGAGGCGAGCGGGTCTCCCAGAAAGTTCGATAGGCTAGCCCCTTTACCCGGTGGCGGACTCATCCTAACTGCAGACTATTCACAGAAGAGACTATATAGTCTAAGGATCTAGTTGATCGGACTTCAACAAGCTCATCGAATGCATTACTGATTAACGATACTTGTATCACTACTCTACCACCAGTTACTCAGTTACTCTTACAACTCCTATACTCCGATCAGTACTAGTCCTCAGCACACCCACGGGACCGTCTGACCAGGTCCCGCTCAGTTGACTCGCTTCACGTGAGAACTATATTGCCTTGTAATTTTAACTGTCCAGACACAGCCGCAGAACCAGACGACGGTCTCGAAGCAGGTTGGTCCTCTTAGTGGTGGTTCCACCTAGCATAGCGTGCCACTGGGTCGTGGTATGGGTGGCGAAGGAGTTCGGCTCGAGTACCGTCCACGAGAATCACCATCCTGATCCTCGCAAGCACGTCCTCAACGTCCCACGACTCCTGCGGTGAGCTGGACTCAGACCCCAAGCTATGGCCGCGCTGGCTGCAGTGTGAATTGGACGAGTCTCCCGGCCAATGCGCTCTACCCTCCGGCACCAGCACGATGATCCGACAACTAGTCGGCATACTCAAGGCCAGGGCCATGAGACCGTGACCACGTAGGTCGCTCGCAGGACTAGTGCGGCCCAGCGCAGCTCGGGTCCTCCGTCCTGATCGGCTCCAGGACCAAAAGTAAGGTGCAAAGGGACTAGGGCCGATCTCGCCGCCCAACGGTACTTCCGGTAGGGCAACCACCTCGCAAGGCGGAGAGGGGAGAACAGCACGGCGAACACGCCGATTCTCCTGTCCCCTGCTATCCTACTGTAGGTATACATACTACTACTTACAGCTCTCTCCCCTTTGCGATGGCCTGCAGCCTAGGCTCATATCCAGCCCCATGCCATTCCCATGCTCCACTGCAGAAACCGGCCCGTTGCAACTGCCCGGCGGGTCGGAATCCACTTTCAACTGCTTGTCCGCCTACGTGTTCCCGGCCTTTGAATGCGCTGGCATTTGCCCATCATCTACGAGTGGGAAAGGAATTGGTTGGATCTTGGATGCATTGGGTACATGTAAAACCCACAAATGAGCTGCCCTAGGGTAAAACAAAGAAGACACAAAAAAGAAAAAACGCCGGTGGCCCTGCGCACGCACCCGGTTTATGCGCCCGAACCCCTTGCCCTGCCAAAGCAAATTGAAAAAAAATGACAAGAAGAAATGGAGACGTCACTGTAGACACGCAGTTTCAGTTCATACCGCGGCCTCCTTCTCCTTGCCGGCATCGGGATCCAAGTAGTCTGGCCGCTCGGCAGCCTCGTATTCGCCGATCAGGTCCATGACCACGGACCGCGCCTCGTCGAATTCCGTCAGGTCCTCCGAGAATGCCGAGGACTTCTTGTACGGTTCCAAGAAGGCATTGCGCTTGCGCAGACGGTCGTACTGCTGGATAATGCGTTTGAACAGGGTTGCGACGGACGTGTGGTTCGCGAGCATCAGTCCACTGACTCGGTTGGTATGCTGCAGATAAGGTGACTTCTTGGTGAGCGCCACCTGAATGCTGGCAGGTCCCCATGGGATAAAGGAGGCCAGGCGACGTTCGCGGATACGGAGCAGGGACTTGTGCACATCCGTGGGGTCGGCCTCGCCCTGGATGATGTTGAGAATGCTGATATAGCAGCTGGATTTGGTAGGGTTAATCGACACCATGCGATTCTTGGGCTGCAACAGGCGACGCATTACATCCAGCACCGTAGTTTTGCGCACCGTCTTCGCCTGCTCGACATTGTCGCCGGTGAATGGGGTATACGACGGGAGCAGGAAGTGGCTGCGTGGCGTCGGGATCAGCGAAGCAATGATGCCCGCCAGGTCATTGTGCATGTAACCAGGGTATCGAAGAGTGGTGGTAGACGCCGACATCACCGTTGAAACCTGCAGATCTTAGCTTGCGAACTCAAAAATGTTTCGCTTCGCGCGTGATTGCCACTTACCAGCTGGTTCGTTTGGTGGAAAGAAGGTTCTTGCACGTGAAGTCGATCAGCCACAATTCTTGAAAGAGCACCATTGTCCAAAACGACCTATTCAATGATTTAGCCATGTTTCTCGAGCTCATTTGTCCAAATTCGAACATACCACTGAGTCCGCATCCTGAGTCAAACGCTGCATGGCGAGTAAACTGTTGTAAGGGTTGACAACAATATCCGAATGCAAATCCGGGAAGACAGAGTAGGTCTGGATCAACTTCTTGGGGAACCTATCGTTCATCCGTTCCAGGATGAAACTGCCAAGTCCGGATCCTGTGCCTCCTGCGATTGAATGCAACAGCATGAAACCCTATAGGCATGTCAGTTCAAAGTTCAAACTTGGGACTGCCATAAGTACGATTCGGCTGCTGGGCCCTACCTCTAGCGAATCACTGCCGTCCGCCTCTCGGTCGATCATATCAAAAATCTCCTCCTGCACGCCTTCTCCCGCCGCATATCCAAGACCCCAGTTGTTTCCGGCGCCGACGCCTTGTTGACCGATGAAGAAGTTCTCAGGGTTGTAGATGTTTTTGTAAGGACCGGTTTGGATGCCATTGAGAACCTGTTCAGAGCTCAGTAATCGTTTCTATAGGGACAGTCGCGGGTATGGAAATGTCGTACTCTGGGTTCTAGGTCGAGAAGAATCGCTCGAGGAATGTATCTGGTGTCGTCACTCTGTTTGGGTCCTATCAGCTTCCATCCGTGTGGCCAGTCGCACAATTGCTAGGATCAATAGCAGAGCTCTTCTCTACTTACTTGGTAGAAGAAAACATCTTTGCGATCTCCACCCTCGGTCGCAAAATCCTCAAGGTTTCCGTCTTGGTTGATTCCGTGCTCTTGACACAGCTGCTGCCAGAATTGACTGCCGACTGGGAAGAATTGTTAGTAACCCGATCGCAGTTCTCTTCATGTCTTCTCGATTCCTAATATATGACTCGCTCAGCTCAAGCAAGTCGCTGGCTGCGATGCGGAGAGGTCGATCGAGAATGGAGGAGAGTCACATACCGCTGTTGCCGCACTGGCCGGCTTGAATCGTGATGATTTCCCTGAATTTGAGGTCTCAGTCAGTTTCATAGATTCTCCTGGAGCTTCACAACGCATTTCCAGCTATATGGGCACATACCGAGGCATCGTTGTCCACGGGCGATGTCGAGGGGGAAGTGGTTCACACGCGTAGCGCGTTGGGCGCGGGGAACATTTTGGCCGGGTGTCGACACCTCAGGCAGTAATTCAGGTTGGACATCAACACTGTCCGCAAACAGGCACAACTGGGTAATAAAATAGGGCAGCCTCTAATTTAAAGCTTATTTATATCATTACTTTGAGGTTGAAATTCTTGATCAATATGAAGTCTTTCTCAGCTGGTGGATCATTCAAAAAATGGAGCTCGCTGCTATCATATGCTTTCTATACTAGGCTGAGGTCGAAGACCGTGGCTTCATACCTAACACATTAGGTCCACATCAAAACCCGGCCTTGCACGCGGTCACCAAGTTCCCGGCACCAGCAACAACACCATCGACAATCCGTACCCTAGAGCCCTCAGTTGCCCCATACGCCTGAATGCAGCCCTCCCTGACGGCTTCCTCCATGCCTGCCATACCGGCACAGCCAAGACAGACTGCGCGGACAGGACTGGGTGCGTTCAGAAGTAGTCGCTGTGTAGCTTCGATAATCTTCTTCCTCACTTTACCCGGCGCCGTTGTGTGGAGCTCGACGGCAGTCAGTCCAGTGGTCTCGGTGCCTGCGAAACGCCCAGAAGACGGGAGCCCTGACCCAACTAGCATATCTGTAACCGCCTTGTTGAGCTCATCTTTCCAAGCACTTCCTGTTGTGACGATGCCAAATGTATCGTCAGCTTGTTTCTTTTGTAAGGCACCAGGTGTCGCAAAGTCAAATCCACTGATCAGAGACAGAGAAGCTGTGACGCTCGCCTCAAAAATGCCGGTCACATATTTTGTTCTTTGAGAAGTGGTGGACTGCTCTGTATCCTTGATCCTCTGGCGCAGCATACCCACAAGCGGATGGGCGGAGTAGCATGCCACCAAAAACCCATCGTATTGCGCAACCTTTTCTAGAACCGAAGAGCAATTCAGTGCCGATTGCGCCGATTCCTCGCCGTTGTTGATGCTGGCAATTGGCTCGCAAACACGACCATCGAGGATCAATGTTTCGTTGGGTGCGGTGAAGTAGTCAAATTGAACATCGGAGTGGTTGAGGCGCTGGAGGATGGGCTTCAGGGCCTCCGTCATATGTGTGGAGGTATTGGGGTTGATAACCAGAATCCGGAATGGACCTTCGCCCTGGAAAGTGGCCATGGTGACGAAGATCTCCCGAGTTGAGCGAAGAATTGAAATGGAGATCTTTGGTGTGTCTCGAAGGAAACTATTAAATAGCTTAACATTGAAGATGCGGTCGGTTCCGATGTCGCGCAGGTGTAAGTCCCCGCCGTTATCGACAATCGGGCCCCTCCGCAACCCCCGCGCTTCCTTCAAAGCCCACGATCACTGCCTAGGAATCCCTACAGCCGCCTATTCGCCATGCCTCTTGTCGCGCAGAACCCTCTGCCCCGGATCATCCTCGGGCTAATGACCTTTGGCCCCAGCGAGGCCAAGGGCGCCCGTATCACCTCCCTCGACGAGTACAATCGCTGTCTGGACTACTTCCAGCAACAGGGATTCAACGAGGTCGACACTGCTCGGATCTACGTTGATGGAGAACAGGAAGCTTTCACTGCCAAAACAAACTGGCAGCAGCGCGGCCTGACCCTTGCAACCAAGTGGTACCCCCCAGGAAGCCGGCGGGCATAAGCCGGCTGTCGTGCGCGAGAAGCTCGAGCTGTCCCTGAAGGAACTTGGCGCCAATCAGGTCGACATTTTCTACCTGCACGCGCCAGATCGCTCCGTTCCTTTCGCCGAAACTCTGGAGGCTGTCAACGAGCTTCATAAGGAGGGCAAGTTCGTTCAGCTGGGTCTGAGCAACTATACGGCCTTTGAGGTCGCGGAGATCGTCACCCTCTGCAATGAGCGCGGCTGGGTGCGCCCGACTATCTTCCAGGCCATGTATAATGCTATTAGTAGGTTTTCATCTCCGTCTGTGAAGTCTGTGTCTCAGCTTGTTTGGCTAATCTTGCTATCCGATCGATAGCTCGCAATATTGAAGTTGAGCTAGTCCACGCCTGCCGACGCTACGGCCTGGACATTGTCATTTATAACCCTCTTGCCGGTGGTCTCTTCTCCGGGAAATACAAGACCTCCGAGGTCCCCACAGATGGCAGGTTCGGCAGCAACAGCTCCACTGGAAACGACTATCGCAATCGCTACTTCAAGGATACCAACTTCGAGGCTCTGAGCATCATCGAGCCTGTCGTCAAGAAGCATGGTCTTACCCTTGTGGAGACAGCTCTGCGCTGGGTCCGTCATCACTCGATGCTGAAAATGGACAACGGCGGTCGAGATGGTGTGCTGCTCGGTGTTAGTAGCTTTGGGCAGCTTGAGACTAATCTCGAAGACCTGCAGAAGGGTCCGCTCCCCGAGGAGGTGGTGGACGTTCTTGACAAGGCTTGGTTGGTTTCCAAGCCGTATGCCGCTAACTATTGGCATCTTGATTTAAAGTACACTTATGATACTCAGGAAGCTCTGTTCAAGCCCAAATCTAAGGCGTAGGGCTACTGAGTGTAAATAGCAGTGAAATCTGAGATTTACCCATAGTGTACAGGCATGAATTTATATATATCAACATTTCAAGGCACGATGACTTATGAGATCAGATGTTTATCGTACTGTACATGTGATGTACCGGTGCAAGGTTGAATGACGTGTTATAGCCTCAAGAACATTGCACCGGGCACAATGTGATCCATCATATATATATCTCAAGCGACAAACCCACAGTCGGTGATCAGCTATATATTCATTTGTTTGCTCACACCAATAGCTAGAACGGTTGTTAAGGTAGTAAAGTGGACTGTCCGTCATCAAGTTTCTTTGACTAAATTAATCACCAGATGCCTGGCCAAGTGGTTCCCAGCTGCTAAATTTGGTCATCTGCCTTGGACGCCTGAGACAGCACTGCCAAAATCCCAGGGCGACAGACGCTAATCCATTTACGGACTAGCGTACCAAAGGCTGTCCCTGGACACTGGCGGTGGCATGTCACGTGGAGCCCACCCGCCCGAAGCAGCCAAGGGCGGAGACATGACGAAGGCGTCCATTGCTCGGGGTATCGTGTGCGTCCCCGGTTCCTCCCAGTTTAATCTCCGTTTCCCTCGTGTCGGATTTGTCTCACCTGAACATTTTGTGAAATACTTCACCTCAACGCCAACTCCTTACACGCCCTGTCTGCCTGGACCCGATCGAATCGTTATTACGTGGCCGCAGCCGCCGCCCCATCAAACGTCCTCCCGACCTCTCAAAGTTTCCCGATCGCATGCGGTCAGGGGCAAATATTGGGGTTCAAGTCACAAAGTTGACCTTTGGGAGCTGGTCTCACGACATTAGCTGTCAACTCGGCACTCAGTGTGCGACCTGAATGACCGGAATTCCAGCGACGTCTCCAGTTCTTATCTGTTATCGTTAAACGCAAGGGCAATCGGGTGGCTGGATACATTCTTGATTGCTCTAAAGATCGCTTCGATCTGATCTTCGTGTCTCCAAAGCGCCAAATAGGCTCATCCGGGAGCTCAACGTCACTGTGGCTTCGGATAACATCGAGCTTGGTGGAAACCGGCTACAATCCAACGCGGACCCGGGACGCTGTTCCCACGATTCAAACGACGACGACATGGTTGTCAACCGCCCCCCGCTTCATCGCCCAACAGATGGCCGATCCCAGCAGCCGCTACTAAAGGATGATCGTGAACCGAGATTTTCGCGATCTAGTTTCGGCAATGGTGATGCAGAGGGTCGGCCCATGTTGCACCATCACACCCGTCGACCAACCATCCGGAGTAAAAGCCCGGAATACGACGCCGCCCAAGCGACTCGCAAAAAGTACATGATTGCATTGGGATTTCTTCTCCTCAGCTTGGCAAGCTTCGTCGTTCAGACAGAAACCGCCGTATACATCCAGCATGATTTGCATTGGGATAAACCATATTGCATGCTGTAAGTTTGAGGACCTGATGCGACGACCACCCCACCAAGCACCAACTTAACCCCATGCACCTACCACTCGCTGGTACGTTTTCTGGACCGCAGCTAACCATATCTATTTTGCCCATGCAGCTACATCACTCACGGTTCCTGGGCGTTACTATGGCCGGTCCAGCTCATGATCCTACGAATCCAGAAACGTAAGATGTCATGGGAAGCATTCTGGCGCCGCCATGTCTTTCTTCTGAAGACCACCGCCCAGATGGTAGAGAACCAGGAGGTCCACCTCTCCTCGCGCGCTTCCTACCGTTCGCCGATCCCATACATGCTCAAAACTACTGCTTTCGTCACCACCGCCCTTACAATTGCGGGAGGGTCATGGTACGTCGCTGTCAACCTGACCACGGCCAGTGATTTGACGGCCATCTACAATTGCTCGGCCTTCTTCGCCTATGCCTTCTCCATTCCTCTCCTCAAGGAGAAGCTGCGGTTTGACAAGGTCTTTGCGGTGGGTGTCGCCATTGTCGGTGTTCTTGTAGTTGCTTACGGAGACCGACCGGAAAAGAAGGTCTCGAAAGGAGGAACAATGAAGGATGACCAGGAAGCTCAAAACCGGCTTCTGGGCAACCTGGTAATTGGTATCGGAAGCGTTTTGTACGGCCTCTACGAGGTGTTGTATAAGCGCTTTGCTTGTCCCCCGGAGGGTACCAGCCCCGGCCGTGGCACTATTTTTGCCAACACCTTTGGTAGTTTGATCGGCTGCTTCACACTCTTGGTCCTATGGATCCCCTTGCCTTTCCTCCACTATCTTGGCTGGGAGACCTTCCGATTCCCCACTGGCGAAGCGGGATGGATGCTCCTCATCTCGATTACGGCTAATGCCAGTAAGTTATCCAGACTCAGAATCTATCAAGCCTGGGATGATACTAACTTCGGCTCAGCATTCTCCGGCTCATTCCTGGTGCTCATTTCCTTGACCTCACCTGTCCTCTCATCTGTCGCCGCCCTCCTAACGATTTTCCTCGTCGCCATCGTTGATTGGTTCCGCACCGGACAGCCACTGTCATTTGCAGCCATTATTGGCGGCATCTTGATCATGATCGCCTTTTTCCTCTTGAGTTGGAGCACTTACAGAGAGATGAACGAGGAGCGCAGAAAGCACCTCGAGAATGACCAGGTAGAGTCAGACAGCGACGAATAGAGCAAGATCATTCGTGAGCTTTTTCACTTGTCTTGTAAATTGTTCTGTTATATTAGCGATTCACTTGTTTCCGGTTTTACATTTATACAGCAATGGTACTGTACATGAGTTTGCATTGATAAACCGAGTGTTTTTCCCTCGTCAATATTCCTAATCAAGTCATTAAATCTGCTCCCTACAACTTATTGCGAACTGTTGATCAGCCGAAGGTTTCTGTCAGCGACTGTTGTCGAATCATACCCAGGTGCATGATCACTGGAAAGACGTACTTTGCTGAATTGCATCTACCTCTTCCAAAGAGAGCGCACTTCTTTCTAAATTTGCGTATCAACCTTATCGTCCCGAGAAGAGATGGAAAAAAAGCCTTTTGGGGCTATTAAGAGGTTGTTCATTCATATCGAACTGGCAGAGATTCGATGCGCAAACAATTGATATTAGACACAATTGAGAGTATAACCGAGTCACCTAATGTAGTATTCCGTCGAATACTCATGCGGATTGGTATGACCAGGACTTTTACCACCTTTACCACTCACAGGCATATTATCGCTTCCGGTTGGACAGAACCATCAATCTTCTCACGGCTTTACTGTGGGAAGACAGGATGCTCCTCGCATTGTGATGCGCCAATCGCCTATTTTGCCTTAGCTGGGTTTCGGTTTCGGCTGTGTGGATTCCATGACAAGGTGGCCATGTGCAGGATGATGAAGTGACACATGTTTTGAAGCTCCACATCATCCGTATGTATAATGAGGAATGTCCCGTGCCGGAGAAGATTGTGATGACTGAAACAAGGTACCATTTCGCGATATACGGGTTTAAGTGGATTCTTCTGCATGAAAGCAAAAGCCGACGTGAGTGTTGTCTGTGGCGATGGGTCGTCAGGCACAGAGTGATGGACTATGCTATAGGGGGCCAAAGTCTTGCTCCATGCTTGAATCATGCTGCAGACAGACTGAAGTATGGTTAGGTTAGAGTGAGACGCCAAGGCAGTCCGGTGTTAGAAAGTGTCAAGAATAGCCTCTTGGTGATAATGTTATTTTCCCTGACGTCTCCACTATCATGCACCCACCTCGATACGAAGGACATTGTGTGCATTGTACATATTTCCGAGCCGGATCCGCGATAATTTCTGCAGCGATCGGGTCTCGGGAGGGAGATTTCGGCACATCCTTCCACTCGAGTCTGAGTCCGGACGAGGTCGAAAAGTTTGACGGTGGCCTCCTTCCCAAACGGGCGAGCAAAGCGACAAACTCTGTCCCAATTGATATCATGACTGGTCCCTGGGCGCTCTATTGTCCCAAATTGGGGATGGAATTCGGCTGGACTGCTGGACAGGGCTTCGCTCCACAAAACTGGCCGTGGACCCCCCGGGAGAGCATCCATGGTCCCGTTCGGCATCCCGGAGGAACCGCAGCACGAGCGGAGTCTCGGACACGGAAAAGGCACACATCAACTCCCGATTCAGATATGGCCCGGGCTGACGAGGCACTGCAACGTGAATGATTGGGGGTGGCGATTGCATTATTGGCCGCGAATCAGATCCATCTGAATTGCACTAGTACGCGTATCGCTGGGTTTCATCATCGTACAAGTACATAAGGGGGTTGCGGCCTGAGGCAGATAGACTCTGATAGGCCAAAACCATATTGCAACCGCGTAGAACCCTCCGGTTTCTTTGTCTGCTACACCGCAAGAGGAACTGACGACAATGCAACCCGTCAATTCAAGCATTACGCTAAATCTCGCACTTGCCGGGAAGGGCCCCATCTATTGAATGGTTTGAGATTGAATATTGAAGAGGCGCAGGCGATTGCTGCAAGCCGGATCTTCCGTTGCCGCCCCAATTGGCTTCACGACGATCCGCCCCACGCCCAAGATTCGCTGCGCGGGCGAACCCACATGTAATTTGCATGGCTGCCGCTGCTGTCATTGGCCCCTGTCAAAGCACTCGTTTCCCTCGGACGCCAGGGGGCGCAGTGGGAGGGTTTCAATGTCTCAGTGCCTTGGGCGCGATGGCGCGCAGGGAGTCCTTCAGCTGTCTTCAATGAATCAACCCCCTTCTCCGCCATCCATTTGGCGCTAAGACTGCCACTATTTATATCTGATCTCACTGGCTGCCAAGTCGTTGATGGAGACTACCTGCGCAAAAAGGCAACTGGCAATCTCCGGGTGAAGGGTCGTGGTTGTTCGCTCCACCGTAGACTGTTCTCAACTCCTCCAACAATGGTCGCCCTGCGCGTATCTCCACCACGATCGCAATCAAACCGACAGACAGGCGCCACGCAAGAAGCACGGTCAACGCTGAAGGAGTCGACGACACCTTTCGGCTCCTCTCTCCCCCTGTGACTTGCATGTCTTCCCTGCCTCCTTCCCCCAGCGTGGCGTTCGCAAGACCCACTGCACCAAGCGAGATTTGCCCGACAGGTCTCGCAGCTTTAGACTCATTGGTGCCTGCAACCCACTTTTTCTCCGGATGCGTGTGCCTGTTCATTGGCAGGTCGACTTGGACCCCAGGATCCTCCTATGTTCGGACACCGTACGGCCCCATCGGTTATGGTGCTAATGTACACGAACTGCTTGACTTGTGTTGGCCCGCAGCCCTGGAGTGTCGTATCCAAGTGGCAACCGAAGTCATGACGTCCTCTATTTTGAGGCCAGCCTCTCCACTCCACCTTTGGGAGTGGAGGGAAATCGTTGGACCCGTCCACATTCCTAAGGAAGGCTTCTCCAAACGTTCTTTTCTGACAGTCCGATCTGGGCCCGGCATGGCTTGCATGGAATGCGCGAACTGTCAGCGTTTGCCAACCGTAGTTCTCTGTGCCGAGTCAAGGGCGGATCGGATGACCCCTTCCCTAGGACGCAAGTGCGGCAGTGGCACTAGTAGTCAAGGCGAGAGGAGGTGTAACCAGGAAACGTAAAAGGACGGAGGGCGGTAATAATGCGTGCAGGCTCCCAATCTCCCGTCTCCCGTATCGCCCCCTGGGCCCGTCCCCATTGGCCGCTGCGGGTAATTACCGTGTACGGTATCAAACCCCTCGGCCTTTTGTTATTCTCTCTCTTCTCTTCCAACCCATCCATCTACGACTCTCCTCGCCCTCGCACCCAACCTCTCTGGCCCTCGTCGTGGCCGTCCGTTCCTTAATCCCGCCTTTTCGCCATCATTTCGCTCGCCTCGATTTCTGCCTGGTGCGGAAGGATCCGATGACCCTTGTTCGTGGTAATTAGCAAAGACCTCCAGATTCTCAAGACTTTCCAATCGACGCAGGGAAGTCGAACGGTCTGGAGGTCTTGGTGTCTATCGGGATCTTGTCGACCGCATCTTATCTCGCTTTTGCTTGTCCTTTTTCTTGTTGAATTCTTTACTGCACAGCATTGATGGCTTCGATTTCTCTTCCCCCGCAGCCACGATCGGGCTTCTCTCAGCATTTCGACTCTCCTTCTGCCTCAGATACCGATTCCAATCGTCGCTTAACGATGCCTCCGCTGCCAAACCCACCGTTTGTCTTCCCTGCTCGAGACCCGGACGCTGCCGACGAGTCCCAGTCGGAAATGGAGCGCCAAACACCGCCCGCTCTCCCATCGTTTTCATTCAACCCCGGGGCGGGCCAGTCTTTGCAGCCTGCGCCACCACCGAATCTTCGTGGTGGGGGACATCGACGACGGCCAAGCGAATTCGTGGGAGGTGATCAATTGGTGACACCACCAGAGACAGGGGTTACTGGGGACAAGCGGGAAGAACCTTCCTCTCCGACACAACCGAGCGCTCCGTCGGGACCTCCACCTGGACGAGGCCCTGGACGACGACATCACGCGCATCGTCGCTCGGCCGCGGTGTCCGGTGTCGACCTGAACGCTATTCAGAAAGCATTGGGGTCCAACCCAGCTGCGCCAAGCGCTCCTACTACCCCTGGAGATCGGACTTTTGATACCGGGCTTGAGGATAATAAACGGCCGCTTTCCTATTCCGCGACCAGCCTTGGCCGTCCGACGCCTCCAGCATCCCCTCAATTTTCACCGGTTCCACCAGTTCCTCCCGTTCCACCTGTTCCTCCAGTTCCGAGCGCCATTCACATTGAACCTGCCCCAGGCACCGATAATGAAGATAGTGTACGGCCGTCGACTGCAGTATCGCAGGAGGCCTATCCGAGCCCTGCAGCTGTCAGATTCGAGTCTTCTGATAATCTTGCGCCCGTCGACTATGTGCCCGTGCCGAAACGCACGTCCAAGCCGCGGCCGAAAACTGCCGACGCTTCTTTGGCATTCGATTTGATGCAGAGTCAAAACGTCCCCGAAGTTCCATCAGTTAAGCGTTCGAAGTCTACAGGGCATTCGCGCTCTCGCAAGAGTGTATCAGCCGGTCATCTCGATGCCCTAGCGCATGAGGACGCGCACTCCACTGACACGTCTCGCCCTTCATGCTCAGACGATGGATCCGAATCGTCAAGCGATACAGAACATGAAGGGGATGCCCACCCAACCAAGAAGTCACGGTCAAAGAAGAAACAGAAGCGCGTTCGATCCTGGGCTGGCTCCCTTTTGACTCGAGGCAAAGGAAAACGCCATGCTAAGCCAGAAAACGAGAAGTCCGAGAAGGCCGACAAATCCGAAAAGAAAGAAAAGCCAACTCTCAGCTCTCCACTTATGCGGACCAACTCGGATATTGGGTCGGTTATGGAAGTTGATTTTGATAATGACGATGTGGTTGTTATTCGAACCCCAACCACCGCTGATGCCCCAGTTTCAGCCGCGGAACGTGATGAAGACATTCCTCCTGTGCCTGCCGTTTCTCTCGAATCCTCATGGAAACCCCGAAGCTTCTATGAACAGACTGCGCAAGACGAAGTGCTGAGTAGCCCAATCATCGACCTTGATGCCGCCCTTGGCCCCTTCAACACCCCTGACATGCGCCCCGCCAAAGGGGGTCCCAGCAAGTTTTCCGTGGCAACTCAACGCATGTACAGTGGTGGACGCCGTGGTGAATTTGTCGGCCCGGAAATGCGGTATCATCGCCGTGCAGAGAGTGCCCCGATTATGGCACCGTTTGACCGCAGCGCTTTGAGTAATCCTCGTTTAGGAGGCGCAACAGGAGTGGAAACTCCCGACGTTTTCTACGAGGAGGAAGAGGATGCGTTCTTAGCAGCCAATCAATCACCCAGGAACGAACCTGTTACTCGCGAGAGCGCCCCTGCATTCTCGTCTTCAGAGGACGACAAGGAATCCTTGAAGAGTGATGACACTGGCGACACTCTAACTCGGGCACCTGAGCCTGCACATGAAGCTACCCCGGAGCCGAAATTGGAACCTGTGTCGACATCTGCACCTGTATTTGCACCCGAGCCCCTTTCCGCACCTGGCTCTCCCCGACACAAGGGTCTTGGAATTCAGTCCTCTGAGGAGGTCGCGAACCCTAAGAATGCACCTGCTCCTATTGCCCGAACCGGAAGACAACCTCTGCACAGCGCCAACCCCTTTGGGCCACCTCGCAGTCCGGTAGAGATCTTGAGATCGGAAGAATCTGTGACTCGAGCGCCGTGTCCTCCCAGTCCCGATGTCTCGCCTGGCTTTCTGGCTGTTGACAAACGACCGGCCACATCTCCTCACGAACTTCCTCCTAGCATTCCTCCATTCTCTCTGTCAGCTGGTGTTTCGCCCTCGGATTCATCTTTCCCATCGCCCGATGCTCCCCGATCTTTTAATGATCGTAATTTCTCGAGTCACTCCTACCACAATCTCCCTACGTCAGATTACTACAATTATGCTTCCGTTGAAGATGTTCCATCTCTCACCAGCAGTGCTTCGACAATGACCAACACCATGAACCGCTTCTCTGCTTCATTTTTCCCTCGAGCTCGCTTGTCGACTGACCGAGCCGCGTCCTTCTCCGCTACTGTTCACCGACGTAGCAGTCAGGCCAACGCATCCAAGAGATCTAGCTTGGCTAGCCTTTCCAAGCTAGTTGGTGGACCGCACTCCGAGCGAAGCAAACTTTACCAAGAAGAGAAGCCGCCGGGCGATTCTTCCGAAAAGTCCAAAAAGAAGGGCCGCCGCCTCAGCAGACTGATGCATTTCTGGAAATTGAAGGACAAGGAGAAGACAAGTACCGAAGCGGCCGCACCCCTTGAACGCCCGCGCTGAAGAGTACATGTCTTTCTCTCTGACCTCGATGCATTTATTTTGATTTCATGGCGCAACACTTCGGCATAGCGATATCCTGTCTGAGTCTTCTGCTTTTCTCAGCATCTCTCATCTCTCATCCTCTCATCCTCGTTCTTCGCCCATTCGGCTGCCTGGGCTCTCTCCCGATCGGTCTGTACATATTATGGCACCGGATTTCCTGTGGATTTTTATTCTTCTTACATGCTCCTGTTCATTCTTGTCCGTTCGGCGGTTACTCTGCCCCTCTGTCTCTTGGCAGACGTTTTTCATTACGAATCTCTTTACTTCCAGATGCCCTCTCCTGACATCTGAGTACGACATGCTGTCACTTTTCCTGTCTATCGTTCATGTACCCGGCGTGAATGACGCACGGCTTGATTGACTTTCTCTACGATCGCTGTCCTCTTGTGGACCTCTCCTTTATTTACCTATTATTTCGTTTATCTTTGTGGTGGGTAGCTTGGAATAACATTCTTCCCCTGGATCTCAGCCGGGGTTCTCTTCTTTTCATGATACTATTGATCTTTTGTTAGTGTGGATGTATTTAGTTCTGTTGTAGTGGCAATTTGACTTGATAAGCTACGATAAGCCAAAAGTTTCCGGGATTTCGACTCCAACTCAATTGTAACCTCCACCCCGCCGCTCCGCAAAATTCGCGCCTCAACGTCTCAGCTCCTACTAGGGCTCATTACGCAAATAAATTACAGATACCCTTTTTTGAACTGGACGAAAATGCCCTCTCTGAAACAAGGGGACCGCAAAATGGCCTCCAAACCCAAACCCCAACGAACCCGCCAGACCGCGAAACAGCCCATTAGCAAACCCAGCAATAAAGACGAGCAATCGCCGATCGATTTCACCGCTACAATTCCTCTATCCATACAACAGCTTCTGCTAGATGTCTTCAGAACAGCTCTCCTCCCTGCACACCCCACCCCGACCTCCGAGGACGCAACCACAACCGCATCCGCAAACCTAGATACCAAAACCCTGATCCAGACCATCAAGTCTCATTTATACCAGCGCGACTTTGATTCCGCATTCACAGAGGCTGGGGAAGATCTCTTGCGAGCCTACGCCTTGCGATGGAGCGCGGCACGCGCTTTGGGATATGCGGGACTTTTCAAGGCTGTCCTTAGATGGATGCGAGAACCGGAGTTTAGCTCTGACGATCAAGACGCACAACGGACAAGGATGAATACTCGCACAAGAGTTGTTTGCATTGGGGGTGGCGCTGGTGCCGAGATCGCTGCGCTTGCTGCTGCGTGGCGGAGTCTTGATTTCGGGATCGAAGCCGTCGAGACCTTGAAAGAGCAAATTGCGGGTGTCTCTTTGGACGAGAAGGAAGTTGAGGCTGGAACCTTGGCAGAAAAGTCCCCACAAGCGGTATCATCTCAACTTTCTGTTGCGGCGATCGATATTGCGGATTGGTCGAGTGTTGTTTCAAGGCTCGAGAAGGGAATTGCGTCGTCTGCCGTCCCAGCGCCGAAAAGCTCGCCGTATCAACCGCCACTTGTACCAGCTGATTTAGAAAGTGGCGGATTTTCTGTTTCATTCCAGAGAGCTGATGTTCTCGGTGTCTCGGAGTCGGACTTGAAAGACGTTCTTTTGGAACCGGGCTCGACTCCTGCAGAGTCACCCTCGCTTCTTGTGACGCTCATGTTTACTTTGAATGAGCTCTTCTCGACATCCATGGCCAAAACTACTGGGCTTTTGCTGCGCATAACCGAGCTACTACCCCCGAAAGCGGTGCTACTAGTGGTTGATAGCCCAGGCAGCTACTCGACCCTGAAAATGGGGAAGGGTAAAGATGGAGCTCCACAAGAAAGAAAATACCCTATGAAGTTCCTCCTTGATCATACATTGCTCTCCGTGGCAGAAAAAAAGTGGGAGAGAGTATACACCCAAGATTCACGATGGTGGAGACGTGATGCAGCGCGGTTGCGGTATGACGTTGGCGAGGGCGCCGGCTTGGAGGATATGCGATTCCAAGTGCATGTCTACCGTCGACTATAAAGTTGGAAAAGAGGACCTGAGAGTGTCGTCCATATACGAGTAGATTGTACAGTGGTGCAATGGAAATGGTTCCGATATGGAGTAGAGGTATTGGTATTGCTACAGTTCAGAAAAAAAAAATCAAGATGGACATAAGTAAAGCCCATTTGTCGCGCCGCAGGGAACATGCAAAGCTGGAATAGGCACCCTCGGATACGCGGACTGGCGATTAAATGGTACAGTTCTCGAGTGAGCCTTCCAGAAACGAGAAAATTGGGCGCCGCCGAACACCGCCCTTCAAATCCTTATCATATCCTCCTCATTGATGATCTATTTTAACTCCGTAGACCAAGCAAGAGGCTGGTGCTCTTGCCGCCCTCCTTGCCCTCGCCACCAGGCAGATATGTGACGTTGGGGTTGTTGGACAGAGTCTGGGCAATCTCACGGCTGGCATCAATGCGACGGATCTCAATGAGACCGCTTCCAGCCTTGGCGACGGCCTTGCTGATGATATCGGCACTCTCGGCTTCACCCTCGGCGCGAATAACGTTGGCCTGACGCTCCTGCTCGGCACGCTCGACGATGAATCGTGCCCGCTCAGCGTCCTGCTGGGCGATCTGCTTCTGCTCGACGGCACGGGTGAACTCCTTGCCGAAGGTCATGTGGGTGATGGAGACATCCTCCAGGGCGATGTTGAACTGCGAGGCACGCTTCAGGAGATCGGTACGGATGCGGTTCGAGACGGCTTCACGTTGTGTGATAAGCTCGGCGGCGTCGAACTGGGCGACGATGGCCTTGAGGACTTCGTTACCGATGGAAGGGAGAACACGCTCATCGTAATCGGTACCATATGACTATTGTCATTGAAAGATGTGTTAATTTCCGAGGTCATGATTTGCTGCATCGGTATAGCTCTTTCTTACCTGGTAGATCTGCGGCAGCTTCGGGACGTCCGGACGGTGCAGCACACGTAGTGTCAAGCTGACCATCTGCAAATCCTTACTTCCGGTTGTCGTGGAGATGTTGCGAGGCTTTGTTCGCACGTCGTAGACAATAGCACGTTGCAACCAGGGGACCAGGAAGTGGGTGCCTTCATTCACGACGGACTCCTGCACACCGGACAAGCGGTCGAAAATGACGGCGCGGGTGCCGCCGCGGACATCGTAGATGGAGGCGTTGAAGAGGATCGCACCGGCGGCGACGGGGCCGGCCAGCCGGTAGATATTGTAGAGGGCGTTGGCCATGGCGATGTTGGAGGAGGTGTGGGGGGATGAGAGACTGCGTGAGCTGCGGTCGTCGGTTTGCTGGCGGGCTTTTCCCAGCACCCGATCGGGTTTAGCGTGGCAGCGCTCCAACTTCGCCCGACTTCGTCTCCCGCCCTTTGCAACCTTTGCAACCACCACTTCCTGCGCTTTTCCCCAACTCCTTCTCCGCGAGATCTCGATCTTTTCACAATGGGTGGTTCTGTCGATCCTAAGAACGGCCAGTGAGTGCTTGTCCCCTGCTCCTTGCCGACGATCGAGTGCTGTCCGGCTGCACCCGCTTGGTCGGTCGCCTCGGGAGTGATCCTATCTGGGATGCTCTAGCTGCGCCAATGGCTTGCTATGGGGTCTTGATGTGTTGAATCCGTGAACTAACAGATTTTTTTAGTTTCATTGGCAACTGGGGCGAGTTCGGTACGTTCGCAATGACCCTGTCTACCTAGAATCCCCGATTACGCAGAACCCGAGATACCATGACTTCGAAACTCCCGAGGAGATGACGATGAATTGGGACTCGAGTAGCATCAATCAGACATATATATCTCACCGTACATTCACAACTGACACTTGAATTTCTGCAGGCTGCCCGACTCCCCAGCGCATTGCCACCTACTCCTTGTCCTCCAACCGCCAGCGCCCCTTAGCTGGTGCCTTCCACGCCGCCATCTTCAACACCTTCCGTCGTTTCCGTCACCAGGTCCTCTACGTTGTGCCTCCCTTCGTCATTGCCTACGCTGCCATGAACTGGGCCGTCGAGCGGTAAGATCCCTCGGTCCCCAAGAGCGAATGATTGTGCGTGCAGCACGGTGCGAATCTCTGTACTAACGTTGGTTCCTGCAGCAACGAGTACCTGCAGTCCAAGCCCGGCCGTATGCTTGAGGGTGGTGACGAGTAAACTCGTTTCTATTTATATTTGTCGTTTTCCACGGAATTGAGGGGAAAATATCAGGAATTGGGTTATGCCGGAAGTCGCGCGATAGAGTCCGGCGCAGCTGTATCCTCTGTACAGTAGAAAGCAATCGACCATTTGGCTTTTCCTTTGTCCCTGAGTGCCTCGTGTATGTTCATCTCGTAGATCCTCGACGATGCAGCCAGGTCAGCATGAATGCGACAGCCTCGATTGGCTGCCAGCGCCAGCGCCGCGGCGGCTGCAGCGAAACCCACTGGGCACCCACCGTGTGCGACGGCCGGCTGGCGACTGCAGTGTATCAGTCACAAGACAAAAGCAAACACACGCCCGCAGCGCAGCGCAGCCCACCGACAGGCGCCTGGTCCCGCCCGAACGTCAATTGCGCTGCTTTTCTGTTACATATCGCGTGCAAGGCGATAGGCAGCTGGACGTGTGCCCGCCCACAGTCTCCACCCGAGCCGAAGAAGCAAAATTTCGCCCAAAGCAGCCAAACTTCCGCCGTCCTCTTTTCCTCTTCGCATGCTGCGCTCTCTTCTTCCTTCCTTACGTCCCTCCCTGCCTTTTTTCCGCCGTCGTCTTTCCACCGTCACCATGAGCGAGATCACCCACCCCACTATCCAGGGTATGTTCCTTCGTCTCTCCGGATCAATCCTCCTGCCCATCTGGCAGCTACCCCGCCGCGACCCCTCCATCCCGGAGGTTCCACGAGCCATTGAGAACCCGCTGGCCATCAACACCCCGCTAACCCCCATTGATCGCAGATGGCTGGTTCTCCGAGAAGTCATCCATGTGGCCCGGCCAGGCCATGAGCCTGAAGGTCAACCAGGTCCTGCACCACGAGACGTCCAAGTACCAGGACGTCCTCGTCTTCGAGAGCAGCGACTACGGCACCGTCCTCGTCCTGGACAACGTGATCCAGTGCACCGAGCGCGATGAGTTCTCCTACCAGGAGATGATCACCCACCTTGCCATGAACTCGCACCCCAACCCCAAGAAGGTGCTCGTTATCGGCGGTGGTGACGGTGGTGTCCTCCGTGAGGTTGTCAAGCACGAGTCCGTCGAGGAGGCCATCCTCTGCGACATCGACGAGGCTGTCATCCGTCTCTCCAAGAAGTACCTGCCTGGCATGTCCATTGGTTTCCAGCACCCCAACGCTACCACCCACGTTGGCGACGGCTTTGAGTTCCTCAAGAGCCACAAGAACGAGTTCGACGTCATCATCACCGACTCCTCCGACCCTGAGGGCCCCGCCGAGAGCCTTTTCCAGAAGCCTTACTTCGAGCTTCTCAACGACGCCCTGCGCGATGGCGGTGTCATCACCACCCAAGGTTGTTCGTCGCCTTTCTTTTGTGTCGTCTCGTTCCATGTTGCCCAATCCCCATCCTTCTCCACACCCCCAAATATCTTCTACATCCCCATCTCTCTTTTTTCTTTCTTTTTTTTTTTTTTTTTTTTTTTGATTTGATTTTCTTAGAAAGAAACCCTGGCTAACCTTTTCGCACCACCCCGCAACCAACCCGCTTTACGGGCTCGGTTTTGCGGAACAGTGCCTTCTGCCTCACAGCCGAGAACCAATGGCTTCACCTCTCGCTCATCGCCGACCTGAAGAAGTCCTGCAAGGAGGTCTTCCCCGTCGCCGAGTACGCTTACACTACCATCCCCACCTACCCCTCCGGCCAGATCGGCTTCATGGTCTGCTGCAAGGACGCCAACCGCAACGTCAAGGAGCCCGTTCGCTCCTGGTCCCGCGAGGAGGAGGAGCGTCTCTGCCGTTACTACAACCAGGACATCCACCGCGCCAGCTTTGTCCTGCCCAACTTCGCCCGCAAGGCGCTGAGCAACTAAATGGCTGCATCTAAGATGTCTTCTTGCTGCGAAAAAGTTCGGGTTATGATTTAGATCATGATATCATGATGAATGAAAATCTTTTCGTAATGATTTTTTTGTGCTCGTGTTGTGCATATAAGTAGTACTCTCAAAATAGGATGAAGACACCCTTTGGAACCGAGAAATCCAGGTATTATTCAACCAACAAATTAGACGCAGTCAACAGGCACTCCCCTTATCAGTGTCTACTCCAATGCATCCCAGCATTGCTTCTGCATCTCAATCACACCACGAAGCATAACCTCTTTCTTGGTCCGCGTATCATCCGAAGTAGAAGGTCCATACGCCTCCTCCGTCTGACGAATAACGTCCTCCTTCCACTTCTCGTTCTCACCAACCTCAACACCATTCTGCCTTCCCGCCTCTGTAGAAATATCAATTTGACCCAACTGACCCCATACATCCTTCATGGTCGGCGCCAATTTCTGCAAGAAAGCACCAATCCCGCCCTCCCCACCACCAGCATGATAGCTCTCAAAAACACCACTACCAGCCCAGCGAGGACCAAGGCTAGCCGTGACGAGAGTATCCAGATCCCGCACCGAAACAACACCTTCACCAACAAGGTAGGAGGCCTCTCGTAAGAGCGCAAACGCAAGTCTATTCCCCACGAACCCGGGAATCTCTTTATGCAGGACGACGGGTCGATAGTGCTGCACGAAGCTGCCGTGTTCTTGCGAGGAGCCGGGTAGCTTGGATGGACCCGGGACAGTCTTCAAATATCCCTTGACGAAGTCTACCCTGTCGGGTGCAGTTTGTGGTCCTGGGACAATTTCCACGAGGGGTATTAGATGCGGCGGGTTGAATGGATGCGCGACGACTAGTCTCTCTGCCACGCCGGATGGACATCCTTCTGCCTGTACCGAGGCTGCGATTCCGGAGGAACTGCTCCAGAGATGTGCGGTTGCGTCGGCATGTTGCGCGACTTCTTTCCAGAGAGCTTGCTTGGAGTCTGTTCGTTCGGGGCTTTGCTCTTGGATGATTGTTGCGGTTTGAACTGCTTCGCGGAGGGTTGGGACTATTTTAAACCGGGAGGTAGAGATTAAATGGTCAATTGCATCAGTAGAGGTGTCAGGCACAGACGATGGGTCGAGAAAGGCCGGAAGTTGGGCGCGGAGCTGGGATTCGAAGTCGGGGCGTGGGTCGTAGATTGTAACGCGGGTGTCAGGGCGTCGGAGGTGCAGGGCGATCATTGACAGACCAATTGTTCCTGCACCTAGAACGGCAATGTGGTGATGGTATTCAGCCATAGTTGAGGTGGTTGGAAAATAAGAGTGGAGGTTTCGAGAGTTAGGAGGTCGTGCCTCGGGAGTTCACATAGTGGGGAATGCGGGGATCGGAAGTATACGCTTGGGAAGCTCCTCCGCACTCAATATGATCGACTTGAAAGCTGCAAGGGGGTATATCAACTGCTAGCCGAGAATACTGAATCATGATATCCTTTTCATATTCACAAATGGCAAAATCAAAATATTGGCCTGCTACATATCTCATGCTATTCATAGTTATGCACTATCGAATTTGGTTGTGAAGCGTGACGGGATAAACCTCCGTTTTTTTATTAAGGGAATCGATGCATTGTGAATTGCCCGAACTCGACGGCTTCAGGATCACATGGTAGTATTTCTAATGTCATATATACGGCGGATTGAAATCGACAGACATCGCTCTATTGCATTCTTAAATATTGAGTCTAGGGACTGTCGCGCCTTAACTATAAAACTATAACATTTTGACATATCTCGTTCCTTACAGGATCTGCTGGAAAGCACGGTTGATGGGGGAGCGCACCGAGTGACCCTTGTAGAAGTCGATGGTGGCGATGGCGCGCTTGGAGATACCAGCGGGGGTGAACTCGAATTTCTGCAGAGCGTCAGTGGTAAGTCACAAATGTTAATAAGGGGTGATACACATACCTCGTACACCTGCTTGTAGGGGCCGGAGGCACCGAAGCGGTTGAGACCGAACTGCTCGTGAGAGTAGCGCTCCCAACCCATGGTGGAGCAGGCCTCGACGGACAGGACGGGGATGCCGTCGGGGAGGACCTGGAGGCGGTACTCCTTGGACTGGGAGTCGAAGACCTCGAAGCAAGGAACAGAGACGACACGGGCAGCAACGCCGTGGTTCTTCTGGAGGTACTCAGCGGCCTCGATACAGATGCTGACCTCGGAACCGGTGGAGATGAGGGTAACAGCGGCATTGGGTGTGTCGACAGCGACGTAACCACCCTTGATACCGTTCTCAATGGTGGAGTTCTCGAGCTGGGGCAGGTTCTGGCGGGTCAGGGCCAGGATGGAGGGAGTGTGCTTGGAGGTCAGAGCCATGTAGTAGGCAGCGCTGGTCTCGTTGCCGTCGGCAGGGCGCCAGACCATGCAGTTGGGCAGGGCGCGGAAGTGAGCCAGAGTCTCAATAGGCTGGTGAGTAGGACCGTCCTCACCCAGACCAATGGAGTCGTGGGTAGCGACGTGGATGACACGGACGCGGGACAGGGCCGACAGACGGACGGCACCGGCGGCGTAGGAGACGAAGTTCAGGAAGGTACCACCGGCGGGGATAACGGTACCGTAGGCGGCCAGACCGTTCATGACAGCGGCCATGGCGTGCTCACGGACACCGTAGCGGAGGTAGCGGCCAGACCACTCACCAATGCCATACTCGGGGGCTGGAAGTCGACGGCGTTCTTCCAGCGGGTGTTGTTGGAGCCAGTCAGGTCAGCAGAGCCGGACAGCAGCTCAGGGACGACATCGTGGATCTTCTCGAGGACGGCCTCGGACAGCTTGCGGGAAGCGACAGCGGAGTCGGAAGCCTTGTAGGTGGGGAGGCTCTTCTCCCAGCCCTCCGGCAGCTTGCCAGAGAGACGGCGGGCGAGGTCAGCACCCTCGGTGGGGTGAGCTTGCTGGTACTTCTGGAAAAGCTGGTTCCACTCCTGCTCCTTAGCGGCACCGTCGGCGGAGTGCTTGTGGTAGAGGTCGTAGACCTGCTGGGGAACGACGAAGCTCTGGTTGGGGTCGAAGCCGAAGAGGCTCTTGACGTGCTGGGCGTCGTCGGCCTTGAGGGGGTTACCGTGAACACCGCCAGTACCGGCCAGCTTGGAGCCGAAACCGATGGTGGTGGTCAGCTTGATGACGGAGGGCTTGTCAGTGACCTGCTGGCACTTGCGGATAGCGGCCTCAATGCCCTCGAGGTCGTTGTCACCGTCCTTGACCCACTCGGTGTGCCAGCCGTAGGCCTCAAAGCGCTTCATGACATCCTCAGTGAAGGCGCACTTAGTGTCACCATCTAGGGACTAGCGTTAGCATTGATCGCGTCCTACCCCGGGTATAGTCGGGCTGATCCTCACCAATGGAAATGTGGTTGTCGTCATAGATAGCAATGAGGTTGCCCAGCTTCAAGTGACCGGCCATGGAGGCAGCCTCGGAGGCAATACCCTCCATAGCACAGCCATCGCCGAAGAAGGTGTAGGTGTAGTTGTTGAAGAGCTCGTAGCCGGGCTTGTTGTAGACACCGGCAGAGTGAGCCTGGGCAATGGCCAAACCGACAGCGTTGGAGAAACCCTGGCCAAGAGGACCAGTGGTGACCTCAATACCGGGGGTATCGTGAGCCTCGGGGTGACCGGGGGTGATGCTGTCGAGTTGCTGCGGGGCACAGAATCAGCCAGGTATTCTCTGAGTGGAGTAGCGCTACAAAAAGAGGGTGCAGAGGGTTGCAGGACATACACGGAAGTTCTTCAGGTCGTCCATAGTGAGCTCGTAGCCGAAGAGGTGCAGCAGAGCATACTGCAGCATGCAGCCGTGGCCGTTGCTGCCCGAGCGCACGATGTTAGTGTTGGTCTATTTCCTAGATGCAGCATTGGAAGCGGCCGGGGAGCGGCGGAGTAGCCATTGCGCCCCCCACGCCTCAAAATCCACGGAAAAGGAGACATACGAGAGAACGAAACGGTCGCGGTTGACCCAGTCGGGGTTCTTGGGGTTGAAGTTCATGAACTTGTTGAACAGAACGTGGGACACGGGGGCCATGCCCATGGGGGCACCGGGGTGGCCCGAGTTGGCCTTGGAGGTGGCATCAACCTGTGGTAGACGCGGTCAGCACCGCTCGAGCTTCAATTCAGCATGGCAATGCCGCCAATGCTTATCGGAGAGGAGGTGCCCTCGAGCCTCAAGGCCTCTCTCTCGGGGAGAACGTACCGCGAGAACACGGATGGTGTTGATGGCCAACTGGTCCAGATCAGAATAACCCATGATGGCAGATTCTGGCGAGAAAATTAGCAGGGACACCGCGACGAGGACTGCGAATGACACATACTTTTTCAGAGTCAAGGGAGATGAGGAGGGAAGAGAATGAGGGAGGAGGGGGACGTATTTGTTGGTGGGGTATGATGGAATGGTGGGGCGGCCGCCGTCTCCCCCTCCAACACCGCAGCAGCACTGTGCTCCGGACACCTCCAAGCCCAATCGTGCATTTCTCTTGCTCCACGAGTGTTCGGCCGCCGACTGGAGGTCGCCGACATTGCGAGAGCCCGCTACAATTCCAGGAATGGCTATCCTACTGACTATACTTCAGACTTTCATGATCCCGGCGGCGAGCGCTGACTCAGCCAGGGGCACTACGAGCAGCTTCATCGACTCTACAACACATTGGACTGCTCGAGGACAAGACAGAATGACGAGGAATTCAACAGCTGGATACTGCCGGTTCTCCCAACCGTTGGCCCTGCGATGCCCACACGGTTCTACACCGGGAGCCGCCCGGAGGACGTTGCTCCGGCCCTGCAGCGAAATTAGCCGACCCCATTCCCTCTGCTCACTGTACCATCGGTCCTAGTACTAAGCGCCCCCAGTCTTTCGTGGGATGGAAATGGGTTCACGATGTTCCCATTCGGGTTTCCCTAATTGGGCCAATCCGATTTGATGCTGCAGAGCAGTCGCTGCAGACCACGAGAAAATCCTGCAACTCCACCGTGGCGTTGGGCCACCCTCGACCTCTCGGTGTGCCAGAAACAGCGTAGCCGCGCTGACTCATCGCCCCTGCGGGATCTATACAATTGTACACTTAGGCGGGCACATAGCAATACAGACGCGATGAGACAGAAGATGCACAGACGAGATTGTTTATAGATGCGAGCTATGCTAATGGCTCTCGTGGGGGATGTCGGCCACTCTTGTGCAACCGCTGCTTCAGCTTTGACTCAGATGCTTCTCAGCTTCGAGGCTAAAGGGTCACGCGAATAGCTTTCCATCTGCAGGACTCGAGGAAGCTCCCTGAAAGCGCCATGCTTAAAGTCATACAAGCACCCAGAATGGTAAGCAGTGGCTTCGTACTAACTAGTTTCGTCCGACCCCGGGTTCGAGACCACCGTCTTCACATCCTGCTCTCATAATCATTGTACGATCGAGTGGGGAACGGAGTGGAACAGCCCGGGTTTTGAAAGTGCCCCTTTCGGAAAATATTATCCATCAATGCAGCAACTCAACGGAGGATTGCCCGATAGCCCTATGTAGATAATGTTACAAACAGAACGGTCATCGGCATAAAAGCGTGAGACACTAGAAGCCCCGCCCGAATATCGCGTGGTGGTCTATGAACATATCAGAATCGAGACTTGTAGGAGACTCTGCACACTCCAGATCTTTTCGGCAAAACTTCTCAGCCCTTGCTCGGGTATCACTAAGTTTCTCTCCAGGGGCTGATGAGGAGGACGGCTAATGACCTTGTCGAAGGGTAGATCCAGCTGTGTAGTAGCCGTAGTTGTGCCATTCTTGTAGGACTCTCAGGTAACAGATGTCGGGTTATCCGTTCGAGATAACTTGAGGATTACAGTACAACGCGATGTGAGAAGGAATGACCTTGTAACAACACCATATCCTCAGGGGACAAGTTCCCATCGTTGGAAGATGACCTCGGGGCTTTCGTGGTTAATGCTGATCGTTACCACACGTACAGCGAGCAAGTTGTAGCGCAGATGCTGAAAATCCTACTTCAAGCACAAAATTCAGTCTTGCATTTGTCGAAGCTGGAGCACAGGAGCAGTCGGCTTCCTTTGTCCAGTTCCCACCGTAACTGTTGCCGAACCGCAAGGCATCACATTATGATAAACATTCATCGCACTCAGGTCGAGAGAGATTAGAAAATCAAATGATCTTATTACATGTTGATGTGCAGGAATTGACGTGATTATCTCATTTCTGTATTGATAAAGAATAGACAGTATTTGCTTGTTCGCGACCCGATCATCACTTAGCTTGGAAGATTGCTCCGGGGGCACAGACGTGTAGACGAGGTACTGATCCCGAGTTTGGTTTTACTCAAGCGCTTGTCTACAGCGCTCTAAGGACTTTTATAAGCCCTCGCTGGTGGTAAATGGTTGCTGTTTCACTCCCTTCGCTAGTTACGTAAGAGGATCCTCAGATTCGGACTCAACTGATGAGAACTCGGAAGATGAAGACTGAGACCCGTTCGTGGATTGTAGGAAGTCTATGTTGGCGAGAAGGGAGGGTAATAAGTGAGAGGAAAGTGAGGAAGGGAGAGGTGATTTGAGGCAACCACGACTTATAAACCGACCTAGGAAGAGTAGTAGGGTCTTCTTTTTTTTTGGCTGGTGGTTGTTTTGATCACTGCAACTATTTAGCCGGGAGGTGATTTGACGGCGTATGGGTGCTCGATGTAAGGTTATAGCGGCCAAAGGTCACTTTCCAATTCAGTAGGGGTGGATGCATGGGTTATAGAGACTCGTACCTCATCCTGACCACCCTACTAACAGTCACTAGAATTAGAACAGTCGCTCACGCAATCTTCTGAACAGTCATCTGAACATTCTCCTAATCTTGCACCGTCGAGTTTTGAAAAAGTGATATGGATATGGAATCAGGGTGCTGGCCTTGCCATCAATCGAAAATCAGGGCACCAACATGGGCGAAAGAAGGAAAGTGAGCTCTGGTCATTATAACAATACCCTCTATAGGGGCGTTCACCCAGAAAGGCAAAGTAGACCAGATATGGTAATTCACAGGTCTCGATATTACGGGGTCATTACGGGGTCAAAAGTGACTTGAGTCAGCATGCAGAGTTCGATTTTAATGCAGCTGTGACCGCATATACCTCACTAGTGCACCCTAGGGTACTATTTAACTATGTACGACAGCGGTCAGCTGGTCACACTGCCACTGTAGCCTTGCGGACAAAAGGATTATAAAGATGCACATAGCACCCCTGACGACCAAGATCCCCAATAATCTTCTCTGGATCAGTAAACTGCTATCCCGAGATGACCATGACCCAGGAGACTGAGGCCGTTGAGTCGCAGACCGATGTGTAAGTTAGCTTTGAGAATTACATATGTCCTATTAGGCTAACCTTCTGAAATCAGCCTCATCATCGGCGCGGGGCCTTCCGGCTTGATGGCCGCCTACTGGATGGCTGTCTGCGGTGTACGAGCCCGGATTATCGACAAGAAGGGAACAAAGGTCTTTACGGGCCAGGCTGATGGACTGCGCCCGAGAACCCTGGAGCTGTTTGATAGCATGGGCTTCCAGCATCGTGTCATTCACGAGGGACATGTAGCTGTCGAAGCAAATTTTTGGGTCCGTTTTTTCTCGTACATTCAGATCCAAGCTGACCAGATGAAAGGTTCCTGATGAAAATGGCAAACTGACTCGACAAGGGCCCCATTGTAGCCCCAAAATTAACGAGTCAAACCATTACAACATGCTTCTAAATCAAGGGCGCATCGAGCGGTTTGTGATTGATACGATCCACAAATATTCAGATCTCGAGGTAGAAAGAGGTGTCATCGCCGAGTCTTTTGAATACGACGAAACCCTTGAGGATAATCCGGATGCGTATCCGATCACGGTTAAGCTGCGAACTCTCAGTGACGAAGAGGCGAATCCTGCCCATCTCACCACAAATGGATCTGGTCCTCCCACGGCCTTCACCAATGGAATGGGCCGGGGAAGTCTGCTTCCAGATGACTGGGAGGAGTTAATACAGAAGAGCCGAGCCCGACAAGCCAAGACAGAGATTGTAAAGGCAAAATATATCATCGGCTGCGATGGGGCTCACAGTTGGACGAGGAAGCAGGTGAATATCCCTTTGGAGGGGTCAATGACAGAACATATATGGTGAGCTCAGACACCGCTTGGCACTTTCGCTTGCCGTGAGAAATACATCGGTGCAGCCCAGAAGAGAACTAATCGTCCACAACAGGGGCGTAATTGATGTCGTTCCACTCACAAACTTCCGTAAGGCATCTAATCGCATCGTCTCATCCGAAGACAAGCTAATCCACCGAGCAAACCAGCGGACATCCGTCGTCTGGGAACGATCACTCACTCGTCAGGAACGATCCTCGTCATCCCCCGCGAAAGAAGAATGGTCCGCCTCTATGTCCCCGTTCAAATCGTAGACGCCTCGACAAACGGCCGCTTCGACCGCTCAACGATCACCCTAGAGATGATAAAAGCCCGCGTCCAAGCCATCATGAGCCCTTTCACCTTCGACTTCCAGGTTTGTGATTGGTGGACGGCATATCAAGTCGGACAGCGCGTTGCGCCGACTTTCAACAAGGGTACTCGGATTTTCCTGGCTGGTGACGCGGTCCACACGCATTCGCCCAAGGTAGGACTGGGGATGAACATGAGTATGCAGGATGGATTCAATATCGGGTGGAAAGTCGCGATGGTGGCAGTTGGCGCTGCCAATCCTGCAATTCTGAACACGTACACGGCTGAGCGACACCCGCTCGCGGAAATGCTGCTGGAGTTCGATCGGCTCTGGTCAGGCGAATTCACGGAGACGAGTACGAATGGGACCACGAAGGCGGACAAGGCGGATCGAATGGTCGATGTGGTGGAGAGTTTCATGGATTTTGCGGACGGGTTGAAGGCGTATTACCCGAACAGCTCGCTCGTCTGGAAGGTTTCGGAGGAAGAAGGACCGGCGGCAGCACGCAATCTGATCCCCGGCGAGCGAATCCCTCCGATGAAGTTGCGTAACCAGGCAGAAGGAAATTCGAAATGGACGACACGACTGTTTGAAAGTGATGGGCCCTTCCGAATTATTATCCTCGCGGGCGATGTGCGGGTTGAGGCGCAGCAGGAGCGGGTTGCGGCTCTTGCGAGGATTCTAGAAGGCGAGGATAAGACCAAAGTCTCTCCTTTATGTCGCTACATGTCTATCCCTGGGCGTGAGAGTCTGATCGAGATTGTGACTATCCACAGTGCTCCCTGGGAGGAGGTGGAATTCTTTGATTTTCCCGAGATTCTACGTCCATTCGACCCTGTCATGGGCTGGGGATATGAGAATATCTGGTGTGATGCGTCTGCGACCTGGGATCCTTACTGCCAGGGCAAGGGTTATGAGAAATGGGGTGTGGATAGATTACGTGGCGCAATGTTGGTTCTTCGACCAGATCAGTATATCGGGTGGTCTGGAGAATTGGAAGAGGTGGACGATATGACTGCCTACTTGGACGGTGTACTGATCAAGGTGCCAACACCTGAGTTATAATGACGGAAACGAGAGCGACGGTAGAAATAGAATCGAATATTGAACCCCTAATCCTGACCTCCAATCGAAAAACTTCTGCATAAAGACAACACTAAAAAAGGAATTAAAATACACCAACAGCGCTCGCATTCACGCACTGGCTCCTCGGACTAGATTAAGCCTGTGGCTGAGTATCCGGGATCGTGGGCACTTCTTCACGAATACCACCCGTCGGCTCAACGTGAGCCGAAGAGCCGGCACCTTCGCCCTTGTCAAACGAGCCCCGAATAACATTCGGATCAGCCGGGAACTGGAACTTGGAGCTTTGCCACGGCTTGACCTTCATGAGGTACATGGTATCTATCTCCTCCAAAGTGCGGCCTTGTCCCTCAATAACAGCGAAGTAGACCAGACCCGCAGCGAGGAAAAGGCACCCAGCAAAGACATATCCAAAACGGAAGTCAATCGCACTCACAATAAACGGTGTGAAGAAAGCTAGAAGGAAGTTCCACAGCCAGTTTGAGGCGGTTGCGAGAGACATGGCGCGTGCACGGTACTGCGAGGGATACAGCTCTGCGATGATCGTCCACACCATTGGACCCCAGGTACTTGCGAAGCCGAGGATGAAGAGACAGGCGAAGACAACCATGGCTACACCGGCGGACTTCGTTTGCTCGGGATTATCCTGGTTGAGGGAGAAGTGGCCCACAGAAGCGAAAATCATGAAACAGACGAACATCCACAGGGCACCTGCGATGAGGGATCGGCGTCGACCGTAGTGTTCGATCAGGTACAGGCCAAGGAATGTTGTTCCGAAGTTGACGCCTCCCAAAATCATTTGGGTGACGTAGCTGTTTTGAATACCAGCGCCCTTGAAGACAACCGTCCCATAGTAGAAGAAGTAGTTGGCGCCCGTCAGTTGCTGCAGAGCCTGGAGGGTGACACCCACAGCGACGCGGTAGGACATGGTCTTGGCTTTGAAAAGCTGCACCCAGGTGACTTGGCCATTGCGGACTTCTTCATCGTATTTCTGTTTGATCTCTTCGAATTCGATCTTGAGTGCACGGTGGTTTTTTGGGATGCCATATATCTTTGCCAGCGTGTTTATAGATTTTTCAACTTTTCCGTGGCGGTAGTCATATCGAGGACTTTCGGGGAAGAGAGCCATACCGAGGCCGAGAATTAGAGCCCAAATGTAGGTCACTCCCATCGGAATTCTCCATGAACTGGTATCGGTATTGGCCTCGGTTCCAAAGTTAATGCAGTTTGCGACGAAAATTCCGAGTGTGATAAACAACTGATATGTACTGGGAAGTGTCAGTATAAGACTGAAACCATCCCTTTCTGTTATTTCAAGCTTTCAAACGTACCTGATCAAAGAGCCTCGAATGTGCCTGGGTCCAGACTCTGCTTGATACATTGGAACAAGCAAGGACAATGCCCCCACACCAAGACCTGCAACCCAACGGCCCATGGCGACTTGGTACCATTTTCCGGAGGGAGATGAGATTTGGATAGTGATACCAACACAAAGGATCACACACCATCCACTGATGGACCACTTTCGTCCGATACGATCAGCAATAGGTGCGGCGATTAAAGCTCCAATAAGGGTGCCGACAGACAACTATGAGAAGTATTGTCAGTATTGATCTACACCTAATCAAATGCGAAAGTCAAATTAACTCACCAGTCCCACAATAAGGCCCGAGCGCGCATTGCTAAAATGATAAGTTCCATCGGCCCCAAGCTGACCATAACGTTCCAGAAAGTTTTTCATCTCCAGGAATCCAGAAATCTGACCAGTATCGTAACCGAACAGGAAGCCACCCATGGATACAAAAAGACCCATGACAGTGGAGCGCCAGGTGAGCAGAGGAATAGGTGTATCGACAACATCACTAGGTCCTTTCTCGCGATCAGCCGTGGAGACAGATTCACCCACGGATGCTCTCTGGAGTTCGCTGTCGGCATATAGATCCTGCGGTCGTTTCTGGAACATGTTCTTGAACATGATGGCGGTAGACGAGACAGGCCCTCAGGGAAACCTGTTAGGTTGCTTTATCCCCTAGTTGCTATTCTTTAGAAGACACAAGTGGTATCAAATTACCGACTTTCGAAAGATGCAGAAAGATGCACTTTAATACCTCAACCTGCCGACCAACAGAGGACCAGGAGCCAGTACCACGAAAAGACATGCAAGCGGCTGCACAGACTTGAACGTCATAGTTTTGCTTGGAACTTGGTCTCTTCTTGGATAGTGTATCGGCCCATTCGACAGATCGGGAAGGTGATGACTCGTTGATTACTCGCTATGCGAGCCGACGCCACAGCCCGGGAGAGCGCTCCGTTCAACGCGCGATAATCTGGGGAAGTGGGGAATCGCATTTGGCAGGTCTGAGAGAGGTCTGCCTATATTGTGCATTCCATCCATGGTTGCACGCATGACACCCACGAATTTGAAGGGACTAGACCTTGGGACCACGAGTAGGGGTGGCGCGGAAGCGTGGGTGCCTCGTGATGAGGAACTCCAGTGGCGATTTTCATGTCATTTTCGGGTGAGGATAGGAACTGTTTGTACAGGTCGTTTTGTCAGCCATCAAGATCGGGTCTTGCTTCGGAGGAGGGGTTTGGGTCGGGGGGTCGGGGGGTGGAGAGTTGGTTTCGGGGCGCTCGTCCGGTGGTTCCTATCTCTGATGCGACCCGTTCTGGAAAAGGTTCCATGGATGTGCTGGAACTGCATCAGTGTCGACTGAGTCGGCTGCCCCGAGGCGAGGATCAACCACTAGGGCTGTGCCAGACCAGTTGGTGGCTGTGGAAAAGATGGAAAAGTGTATAAGGTCGTATGAAAATGTGCATTGTAAATATAAAATTGTAATATATCCAAAAGAAAGTAGATATCAAGCACCGAATCCAATAGAACAATAAAAAAAACGCCTAGGTATCATCATATCGCAAAATATCAATCATCCAATCCTCCATTAACGAATGACATCCAAATAATAAACGTACGTATAGCGATCAGACGGCCAGCCGCCGATCCCAGCCATTAACTAGGGCAAATTCGTCGATCCCGTCCTCGGCCGGCATGGGGAGTGCCTGGAAGGGATCCATCAAGCCGATATCATCCGGGCGCACCGAAGTATCAGCGAAGGAATTAAAGTGGGTTTCCTCGGCGCTGCCCATGCTTTCGCCGGAGTAGCTCATGACGCTCTGTGCGGCATGTTCCTGCGTCGAAGCCAAATCACCACTGCTTGCTGACCATGCCTCGGGGGACAGGTCTTGCAAGTCGGTAGCAGGAGGGGGAATCGACAATGTTCCATCCTCTTGTTTTTGCGCATACTCGGCCGTAATCGAGGCGAATGGGCCAGAGTCTTCGCCGCACTCTTTGCCACCATAGATGCCGGTGAAGATGTTCGAGTATCCTCGGTCCATATCGCTTAGCACGTATTCCCAGTCGGCCATGGTGATGGCCCCATTGGTAGTATCGGATGGCGTAGAGGAAGGCATTACGCGTGGGTAGTCATAACCCATGGTTGAAGAGATCAGTCGAGGATCCGACCCAAGATCCAGCGAGGCACGTCCATGATCAGCAGGGAAATGGGACGCATTGTACTGGTCTTGATGAGAGGGAGGGAGGCTTGACCAGCTCGGAGATCGAAGAGACTGGACCCCAAGCGGAGGGGTCGCGCCCGATATGGTGTTGCGTCGAGAAACAGCTGCTTGTTTCTCCGACTGTTCGCGGGTAGCGTTGGGTGAGAGGCGAGACTTGAGAGACTGCAAATGCTTCTTTGGGAACTTCGACGGCTTATGGGCAGGGGCAACCATTTCCTGAGGTTGTTTGCCCGAGGGCGCCTGCTTGGCAGTATCAAGGAAAACCAAAGTGCTAGCAAGGGAATTAAACTCTGAAGCAGCCGCAGATGACTCTAATTCGAGCTGCTCCACGACATTCGCGAGCAGCTTCTGGCTCTCCTTGACCAGCTTGCTGTCTCGCTTCAGGCCCAGAGTTTGCCAAAGAAGACCCAGTCCAGAAAGGAAGACCAGTTCCTTCCGGTTGATGCTGATAGAAAGACAAAGTCGTCGCTCATCGAGCAGCTGGAGGATCTGGATGATGTGCTTAGAGGAATCGGACATGGCCAAAATAGACGGAGAGCGCAAGTTCTCTTCCGCGTAGCAGACAGCCGGGCGGTGAATCAATGACCGAATGAAGTAGTATACAAGAGACTTTGGGCCATGTTAGCATCATGTATCAAAAGCTGAAGGGCTTTTTCCTGGCACTTACCAAAAGCGGAGATCTGCTGCTGGTGACATTCGTGCTGGGTTTATCCTGAGAGAACTCTAGACGAAGGTGGGCCGGCAACGTAAGGAGCCAGTCGTCCAGTTGCGCCGACACTACACGCATCTTGGAAACGTACATATCGTAACCAGATCGCAAGGGAAAGATATCCTCCAAGGTCTTGTTGAGAATCCTCGATGCACTGAAAAGCGCAAGGGCACTTGAGATACGAGTAGACTCGCCGGGAAGAGTTGGCAGAAAGCCGTTTTCCGTCACATTCTCGTCGTCCACATCAACAGGATACTCAGTCTGAATATCACTCTCGCGCAATAGGACAGGCAGTCCAGTGAGAGCCGAACAGAGTCTGCATTTGTCAGAAGACTGAACTAAGAACGGAGAGAAGAGGTTAACATACCGATCCAAAGTATATTGGCACCAGAACACCTTCTTGCGAGATTCTGCCTCGAGTATGTTGGTGGTCACATTTTCCCTGGCTCTCATATAGTGCCAGCTGATGGCAGATGTCCACAGCCAAGGCTCGGTAGCGAAGGAGACTACGGTAATCCCCCTTGGTCATGCAGTACATTTGAGCCAGAACGAAGCATTGCAGGCCGCCGATCGAGCTTTCTCCCATAAGAGAATCAAGAGCGCCGGTCCAGTTCTCTTCGAAGAAAGTGGGGTCTTGATTGGTTCTCGACTGTATTTTAATTAGTATAACCTCTGGTGTGCCAGGTACGGTCAGAAACTCACGCTCGCAGAGAGTGCCGCGATCCCGAAGATCAGATTCAACTGAATTATGGCGTGCACATCTTGTTTTAAAGAATCCGAGCCGTTCAAAAATTGCTCGTATGCTTTCAGAATGGTCGGGCGATGGACGACGGGATACAAGGAAGCCCACTCCTGGAAGAATATGTTGATGAGTTGGTCCGACACCAAGCGCGGGGGTGTCTTGACGACTTGCTGGGAAGAGCCCCGGGAGACGGGAGTTGACAGTTTGGTCAAGGCTGTCGTGGGGATCTTCTTGGTCACCTTCTCCTGGCTGGCCAGCTTATCGGTGAATACATCTATTCTGTGTAAGTCTTCTGATTTTATCTTCTACCCCAGAAATAGGTAAGATGGTAGGTAGTATCACATACCAGCAAAACCCTGGGTGCTTGAAAGAGCGGTATAAGGGTTCTCAGGGGACGGTTTTAATTTAGATCGCGCAACATGCACCACTCCCTCTGCCGCTTCAGAACTAGGCGACTTATTACTCGGCGCAGAGGCCGAGGGAGACCGAATCGAGGCGGCTCTCTGCGACGGGGGTGAAAAGGAATGTATGCGGGAGAGCACGTCGATCTTCTCGTCCTTCTCATCCAACAGATTCTTCAGATCCTTGACTTCGCCTTCCAGGGCTCGCACCCGTTCCTCCAAGGACTCGGTGTAGCCACGAGGGAAGGCCCTCCGGCTGAGCTTATCACTTGTTCGACATTCGAAACCGACGTTGGCGCATTGGGAGCAACAGGGGCGGACGCCGTCGCAGCGGATCTTCTTGCTTCGACATCGGTCACAGGCCTGGGCGATCCGGCTTTGGGACCCGGTGCCACCGACCTTGATCACTTTCATGGGCAAGATACCAGGCATTTCGCGTTAGGCAGGCGGGCACATCGGCCGCCGCGGTAGAAGGTTGAAGTGTGTTCGAAACGGGTGTTCGTCTGGGGTCGTCTGGGGTCGTCTGGGGTGCGGAAAAAATCGAGACTTCCCACTGGGGTAGCAACAGACTGGTCGAGATTCGCGAGATTCGAATATGGGGACAGGAGGGATGGGGGTTTTTGAAAGGAGTAAGGCGAATTTAGGAGGGGGATCGCAGGCTGAGTCAGGCCGGTGGGCCAATCCAGTGATGCGCGGGTGAATGTGGAGTAAGAATCGTTCAGCACGTAGCATTTCCCTTTCGGTGCACTTTTCGGATGGGTCCCATTCGCCAGCATCGCTGGCTCATCGCGGTTCAATCGCCATCGTCTCCGTTATTTTCCTGGACTGCACTTCTCCAGACTCTGGATCAGAGTCTGAGAAATCCCCGATCAGAGTCTGGGATCCTCCCCGAGTGCCCCAGACTCCACACTGCCGCGCGCCTTGGTCGCGGGTTGTGACGTCTACGTGGTCCCGTGTCAACTTACCACGAATACAGCGAATACAGGCAGCTAGTATGGCGTCCTAATAAGGTGTACCGGCCTGTGATACGAATGCCAGAGCGAATGAAACCGCCCGCCCCTTTAAACTCTGTTACAGCCGTCGAACAGGCGAGTCATAACGAAGTCATCGGGACCTCGAATCCGCACTGCGGAGGTGCGGCATCGCTGCCGCACCCGCATTCCTCCCCGGCCGAGGTTTCTCTTTTGAATTATTCTTGATTTGCCTGAGCAGCTCAGGCTCTGGTACGGCTACATGTCGTCAAGGAGCACAGAAAACAAAGATGACGATCAGCGTGGCTCCATGGTTCAAAGTCGTCTCGGTGCAGCATGTAAGATCAATAGTATGATGGTAGTTTGGGGTAGCCTCGACTCAAAAAAGGGGAGGGTTGATCCGGGGATTGTCACACGCCTGCAGCCGTCTCATTCCTTGTCTCCGGTTCTCGGCGCAATCTGCAGAGTCGGCTTCCCCCAAGGTTTCCAGTCCTGCCCGACTCTGTCAGTAGTTCCAGCGAGGCGGTGTCGGGGTGGCAAGGGACCCGTTCGACGTACGGGGGATCAACTGCGGGGGATCCCGGGGGTTTTCGACCGCCAGCCTGGTAACCCCCGTCCTCGTCCAGATGGGCCCTGGGGAAATCGCAAGCCAATTGTGGCCAGCGGATTAGAACTCATCAGAGCCATCGGGAAGGCCGGGACGGCTAGGTCTCAGGACCGCCTAGATTTTGTGGCTCCGAAAGACTTCCGAATGGGCAATCCGATCTGGGGGAACACGGAATTTCGAAGGATCTCCCCTGCGAGTTTTGTCCGAGAGAATCGCGAGCATGCTGAACCATGGATGATATGCGCCCCACGCCAATCCACATCGGCGTCCGCTGTAACTGGTCTCGATGGCAAGGTAAGGAGCTGGGGTACCTCCCCCACGGCGCTGCTGCAGGGTCCGCTGGCGTTCAGATGTTGCCTAGTCCGTCCAATATCACTGCCGTCATGCGCATCCGAGTTAACTCATGTTGTTACCCTGGTACAAGTGGACACTATAGATACATCGAGGAAGATGCTCTCGAACAAGATCAATGCCCTGCTTGCAGCGATCTGGATGGCTGATGGAGAGCGGTGCTTCCTTGGTTGCCCCGCGCGAGGCATTGGCACAAACTGGTAATCACTGGAGACTCCGCAGAGGAACCTGAAGGTGAAACCTCCCATGCCGTGCAGATCGCCTCAGAATCCCCCTACCGGAAGTATGAAGATGGCCCAGCCCGATGAATTCATGGCTCACGTCACAGCAAATGTCGATCACCCCTGATTGGCATACGCTTTTATACCTTGTCTTGTCACTTCCACCATCTTCGTGGGCGCGGCTTCTCCGCATGCTAAATAGTGGGAGGCTAGATGAAACGCTATTGATGTGGGTATGTAGCTTTTCTGGGGAAGATCCCGGGACCGTTCTCGTGATTAATTCCTATTTGTATCGTTCTCTCTGTATTCATAGCTATGTCATGAAAAATCATCCACCTCATCTGCTTGCGATTGCTGTGCGAGGTAGGCTGTCACAGCGTCCGACTCCATGAGCTGGGTTTTCTGGTCGCATTTGTTAGTATGTACAGGATGTACCAGAGTGGTTCAAGGACAAGTGGGGACAAGATGAGGCCATCGGAGTAACAAGGGACAAACAAAATGTAGACTTACCTGTTCCATGAGGTCTGCAACCGACTTTTCAAGCAGCTCTGCTTCGAGCCTTCGGAGTCGAGCAACCAGGTTGAAGATATCAGGTCGGAAGAGGGCTTGGAATATCGCCTCGTTCTCTTGCAGGTTTGCCAACACATCTTCCGTCTCTTGCAGTAGAGCAAGTTGTGTTTCAATCCTTTCCAGCAACAGAACGACTGCTCGAAGTTGGAAAATGTCCCAAGAAGGATCAGATACGAGAAGCTCTCGAAGATGATGGGGTGACTCTAGCTTCGTGCCCTTCCAAATGGCTTCCAACTCCATTGCTCCATCGGTGGTCTGCGCAACCCGGATATGAAGACCATCTTCTTCGTTCACACACGCCATCCAGATAAGAGGGCTCTCCCAGGTGATTTTTGATGACGAGTTGATGTCAGAGGCAGTAGACAGACGAATTCCGGGTGCTTCGCGACAGAACATAGTCTTGACGTCTCCCAAGGGGTCGTCCATTGGCATCGTCATGTCCAAAAGCACCTGCTTGGCCTCGGCTCTATTGCTCTCAAGGAAACCATATGAAAAAACCATCTCCGATGCTGGCTTCTCATCGCCGTACCTGGGAAAGGAAGTTGTCAGATGTTGCCCAACTCGATCAGCTATTTGGAACGACTCACGATATCGTCACCTCATCACCGGGTTGGAGAGACTTTCCCCAGCGGAGCTGCAAGACTGCATTGTGTTCTGAATTTGCCTCGTACAATGCTTTCACATCCGGTTCCGAGACATGGTTCGCCATATCAATACAGGGCACCATTGCATGTCCTCTCCCAGGCAAATCCACCATGCGGGATCGATATGCCGCATCGACATACTTCCAATCATCTTCGGTGAGCTTGTCTAGGCCCTCTCCCCACCAGCAATCTTGGCACCATTCGATATTTTCAGTGGATTCTCGAAGGCGAGAGAATTCGCGCTCGAGCGAGGACGTTTTGGCCTCCACAGCAGCTGCAAGTGAGGTTCCTCTCAGCAGTTGCTGTTCCTCGCCACTGTAGGACGTCGGCAGCGGGAAACTGGGCGGAAAGAATTTGACGTAGTCAGTCCAAGCGTTAGAAACCCCGATCATGCGTTTCACTCCAGGGCTAGAATGTGTGATTTGAATCAGAAGAAATATCATAATGGCACCCCGTGCGGTCTGGCTATCGTCAGCGACTGTCTTGCTAAATGCCGTGAGACTGGAGAAGGAACATACTCTACCGAAGTCGCCAACGGCTTCAAGCACCTCCCGAAGACATTGGTCAGACTTGGACTGGGCGTGCACAGTTTCCAGAGAAAGAACCAGCTCTGGTGGGATTTGAAGCAGAACCTGAGGAAGGGAATCGCTTTCATCGCTGGTCTTGTTTTCGATCGCTACAATCGCATTTCCCTTGTCTGTATCGTTCTCCGAAGAGCTGAGATTCTGGAAAGCGACTCCATTTGTGACGATTCCATTAAGCTTGGCCCAGGCTGGTAAGGACTGCAACGGAAGATATTCCCGTCTCATGGCGTTGGAGAGCGACCGGGCCTGCCGGACTGTGGCTGTGGCTGTTATATGAACGCGCGGGGCTATCGTATGATCCGCGATATTTGTGGAATTCTGTGACAACCCTTAGCAGAGGCAGCTGTTTATCGGTAATGCTCGATTTCAAAACGTTGAGATGGTAGTTCAAGCTTGCGGTGCCCACGTTCGCGGCGTAGGTACAGCGCTAGTCCCGATTGGGTATGAACTTCCAATGCAACCCTCAACCGCTACAAGGCCATATAGTTCGGCAGCATTTGGCCACAATCCATGCAATCGTAGTTGAGATATGTAGAGAAGCTGCTGTCAATTACTCAGCATCACTAACATCTCAGAGTCGATGGATTACTGGTCCCAAGGTTGTCTGGGATGATTGCCGCATTAAGACGTCATAACCCAAAGTTGGTATTTCATTAGGTCACGAAAGCCGATCACCTGTAAATGATTTAAAAGTCTTCAATTCGAAGATTTGAAATTTTCAACTTGCTAAAATCCCTCCCATACACTTGTATCACAGCAGAGCGTATCATCCGTGATGTTGAGGATTAGAAGTGTATGTGCAGCGTCTGGTCTCCGTATCATGCATGCGCTGCAAGCTGGTACAAGATCTACAACACACTCAACATTCATTTCACCATACACTAGCATTCGAAAGTACATCCATTCGAGCGGAAAGAAGGACGAGCCTCGAGATCATTCGGTCAACCGTGCAAACCGGGGGAAGATAGGCGACAAGGACGACCTAGCGGCGGAAGCGGCATCCAAGGGGATGAAGGAGAGAGAGGCCAACGAATGGATTGCGGATGACACCAAGTCTGGGGCAACAACAGAAAGAGGCGGTAGCAAGCACGCAAAAAAGGCTAAAAAGGAGCATCCGGCAGCGCCAGAGCCCATCATTGGGATGAATGATGAGCGAGCTCAAGTGAGTTCTTCCTCTCCTGGCCTATCCTATCCAACATAGAGCTGGTCAATTCCTATCTATAGCCGTACTGACAAGTATCCTCCATCAAGAAAGGAAACTGATTATGCGAGCCGTCTGATGAATTTTGATATTCTCGGGTTGTGTCGCTCGTGGCATTTTGGTCTACTTGGCACTCTAATCCGTGGAACCAATGTCGCATTGGCCAGGTGGCATGCCCGTTGATAATCTTTTGCGTTCTAAAACTGTACATATAGGGTATATGGCATGTTTTACCGACCAACCTTGAATGATAAGATCTGTCAAAAAAGACGTTAGCATCGCACGCGTAACGGGAAGCACTTGAGCACTTACATCGTGTTTCCCGACTGCAACAATATCATCCTCGGAAACTCGGGTACCACCAATGCCTTCAATATAGGAGATAGGCACGTCTCCCATGACCTTTCGAGCAACATCGCCCACTGTGCTGTTTCTGCTTGGTGTCAGTAAGGTCCCCATAATTATTAAGCACCGCGTCACGTCACTTACTTCTTGACCAAGACACAATCGCGGAACGCGGCTGTCCCGGCTCCAGAGTTGAATGTCTGGAGGTTTCTTACTGGGAAAACTGGCACAAGGCCCAAAAGCTCAGCAGCTCGAGACAGACATTGTGTTACACCGGTCGAACCGAATCGGTAGAGCACCATGTCCTTCAAGTTTTCCACGCGGCTGTTTTAAGTGTGGTTAGTATGAGCTATCACACATTCTTGAGTACTGAAAACTTACGTCTTCAGCTTTTCATCCATCTCCTTTAGGCCTCCGCCATCTGGCTCGCCCATTTCAATCAGATCTTCCCGCGTGTCCACAAATTCGCTACCCTCAATGTACTTGACATAGCCCTGTTTGGCTAGTCGTCGGAGGAAGACTTCTGATATGGCTGAGCAGAGTACAATGCTCTGGGGATCTTGCATCTTGGCGATCTTGCTGACATTCTATATCGTTTGAGTCAGCAAATCTGTGCGTCATTCATCTCATCAAGGAAGAAACACACCTTATCAGCATCGGGGTGGTCAATCTTGTTCAAAGCGTATACTGTGGGGAATTTTTCGTTGATGAAGGTCTTCACCACAAGCTCGACAGTCTCGTTAGACCACTCCTCGAGAGGTTCCTTCAGAGCAAGCTTATCTAAACAACGTGCGACAACGGAGTGAGTACTTCCGTATCCTGAGAATTGACCTTGTAATGTGTCGACAGGGTTCGCCTCTGGTTTTAACGTAAGTATATTTCGAGACCAAGCTCCCAGAAGCAATATACTGACTCGTTGCGGTATGTCTCCGCTTGATAGATCCCCTAAATGCGTTAGTCAGCATGTTGTATCCTGAGTTTCCTGCCATTCTTCTGGACTGACCATTTTTCCATCAAATTTCCGAGAACCCAGCGGACAATCTCTCCATAAAGCCACTCAATGTCCACGGAGGGGTCGTATCCGCGAGTCGCCTTGCCCTCCGCATCAGTGGTACCACTTACATCAACCACGTGAATCAGAGCATCAGCATGTCGCAGGTCATCCAAGAATTTGTTTCCCAGTCCGCGACCCTGGTGCGCTCCAGGCACAAGACCGGCAACATCTAGCAATTCAATGGGAACGGAGCGTCGTCCCTCATGACATCCACCATAGTTGGGCTGGCATCTGTCGGAGACACCGTGTCTGGCGCAAGCACATTCGATTTGAAGATATCCAATAGCGCGCTGGGGGTCAATGGTCGTGAAGCTGGCGGGCGTCAGCCGTTAGCGCAAGGCTCGTTCGATTAGGTGGGTGTTCATCTCCGACGCCAGAGGATCAGAACGTACGGGAAGTTGCCTGTCCAGAGTGATTCAGATTAGCCATGTGATCCATTGCGCAAAATTTCAACGAAATCCACTCACCGACTTTGGAAGTGGCATCCGTCAAGCTGTTCAATGTCGTGGACTTTCCACTGGATGGCTGTGCCCCTCCCTGGTTAGCGGGGTCGCGGTTTGGGGATGAAGTTGACGGACCTTGCCCACTAGCCCAATCAAAGGATCACGGGGCATCTTATAAGTTCCCGACCACCGAAAATAGCGAATCAGCGAAGAACAGCCAGCTTTTGTCGGTCTGCACAAGGCAGCGACTTGGTCTCGGAGATGCGATAAGAAACATTTTCTGCCGTTTCAGAAGGGCAGGCGGTGGCCTGTAGTACAGACACCATGATGGATCTGCATTGGCGCTGCAGTTATGCAACGCGATTTTTGTAAAAAAGTCTAGATGAAGTTGAATCCAATATGATTGAATTGAATTGTAAGTGCATGAAGGGGTATAGGTCCCATCATTTGACCTGAACCCAGTTTCGTCTTATCAGTAACCCGATCGGTGAGTCTATTTTGGTAGCGATCCAGTTCTAGCCTTTCCTGGCAATTGAAGGAGAAAAATATCGACAGGCTCTCTACCAGTCTACTTTTACTACTGCCGAGTAAGAGATACCATAGTCGTGAGAATTGCTGGACGAGAGGGTACATTGGTTCGCCGAGTCAGGCAATATTTAGACCGAGCGGGTCGGTCGAAATATTGGCTGGTAAGTCAACCGTGAAGAACGCCGGGGCGCTAGTCGAACTACGCCAACAAGATACAGTCGAAGATGCTCAAAAACACAGCATGCATGCGAAACATGCCCAGGGCAGACTGGTGATAAATTTACTCTTCTATAGAAATTTCTGATTCGCCAGTCAAGTTCTGACAAGACCCAGAGATTGCCAGGGACATGTGACACTGCGTCCCCAGGTAGATTGTTTTGCCACCGATAGCACGCCTGTGCTATGACGCTTGTAGCCCACATTCTGTACTCGTCGCTTGCGATGTCCATATCGAACCGGGTTCGTGGGGAAGCTGGCCAGGATCCCTGGCCTGATCATATGTCGTCATCCTAGCAAACGTCACAGCCGCCGTACTTTGTTCTAGAAATGCTCTCAGAAGCTATAAGAGTCTGGACATGACTACTTGCCACTTGGTTGTTTAAGTATATTCCCACTCCGAAGCAACTGTCCTTTAATCACAACCTTCCCAACAATCCTTCGACCAATCTCTTCAACATGTCTGAGCAGACCTACCACACCACCCGCCAGGACCTACGCAAGGAAGAGGCCCGTCTCGCCCAGCAGCACGGTGGACGAGTTCCTGCCGATTCCGATGTTTCCCAGATGAAGGTGAGCAAGTGAATCTCGCATCCGAGCCATTAAATTTGTGCTAACATCTTCCCACCGATTCAGTCCATCATCGATCAGAACACCAACAAACCCGAGCAGATTGAAAAGACCAAGGCCAACCTGCCCCTACCCGAGGACCCCCCAGTTGCGAGTGACTGGAACTCCGCCGACCAGCGTACTGTCAACGTCGGCTCCGGCCGCTTCCAGGGCCCGACCTCTGGTGACGAAAGTTTGGCTGGAAACACCACTGCTAGCAGCAGCGTCCGCGTGGATGGTGCTGAGCTACACCAAAACACCGGCCCCGGCAAGAATCTCGGTCGCCAGGGTGTCGAGGGTCTGAACAGACTTCCTTCCGATGCCACTACCCGTTAAAGCCGTTGTACCCGTTAAAAAGTCGTTGTAATGGACTACGATATCCATTTTGTGTATGATAGTCATTTTACGGAGTCATGAGCGAATGAATAATTCCTAGCATTTTTTCCGTAAAGTTTCAATTTTTGACTTTTAGAACGTAAATTACAGCCATACGTAGCAGCGAGACCATAATTTTGGTAGCCAATCAGTCCTTGAATGCTTCAATTGGATGTTGGTGATATCATCCTTTTACCGTTTGTGGAAGCGTCTTATTATTGCGTCTCCTATCCAACGTAGTGACTTCGAAACGAAACACCTGATAAAGCAATCAATAAATCATTGAATTTCTAAAAGTTGTCTCTTAAACTTGAAAACACACAAATTGATCTCCAACGCTGCCATGCCAGTAAGGCTTGAATTGCCTATTTGGGTGATGTTCCTGTTTGCAGTGTTTGCATGGGGTTATGTCGATTTGACGTCAACTACCAACTTGAACATGTGCCATGCCTCGCCATCTGCCCAGTTTTGCGGCTGGACTCTCACAAAACCCAAGTCTCCACGATGAAATAGACATGTGGGGACGAGGCCCTCTCTGATCGTGAATTCTTTGCTCATTTGCTGTGGTTAAAGCCACCAGAGACGCACCTGCTCCACCGTCCCTTGTCTCGATGTCTCCAGTCCGCCACCGGGAACGTCTCGCTCGCAAGACTGCTGACGTGACTACTCCTACAGTTGGCCGAGATGCAGACCGTCTTGGATGCTGGCCTTTGATAACCTGGAGAACATCGTAAGTCTGACATCATCTATCGTGAAATCACGATCTCTCTTGTTACGAGCCCGTCGCCTACTATGTGTTCATACTTTGCAGGTCTCGCACAAGGTATATAGCTCTGCCTTTGTATCCAATATTCATTCTACATCAATTTAAAAATCCTGCTACCTTTCATTCACATATCTCACCGTCAAACCTTATCTTCGCAATCTTTTCTACACATATACACCATCACAATGGATCTCCAGGGAACTCCTCTTCCTCACGGCCCCCGCAGCACCAAGGTCACCAACGACCCTCTTGCCTCTCAGCAGCCCATTGAGGAGCCATCAGGCCCTGTCCCCAACGATTCTCTCGCTGCTCAGTCCGTCCGACAGGGCGGTGCTTTCTCTGAGAACCGTGGCGCCCAGCCTTCCTCTCACGTTAACATGAAGAACACCCCTTCAGGCACCACTGAGCTCCCTCCTGCTCCTGTTGGTGGTCTTCGTGAGGACCGCCAGCGTCAAGAGAAATACCCTGAGGCCCTCGGCGGCCAGGGTGACTTCCCTGGCACTCACGTTAGCGGCTACGCCGGTGGCCCGACCGCTGCTAAGCAGCAGATGGGCATGACCGACAACTCTCGCGCCAGTAGCAGCAGCCAGTACAATGCTGGCCAGGCGCCCTCCTACGTTGCCGACGTGACCGATGGTTACCAGCACAGCAAGCCCGACGGCCGCAACATCACAGAGGGTGACTTCCACTCTGCCGGAAAGAATGCCAGCTTCAACTCCGACATTGGCACCAGTGATGACCCTGGCCGTGCTGGACTAAACAAGTTCCAGCAGAACAACGCTAAGAGCGCCTACAACGCTGGCCGTCCCACCCAGTCTGACGTTGGCAGCCAGCACCCCTTCGAGGCTCTGGATGAGCAGCGCGCTTAAACAAGGGCTCCTGTTTTTACCCTTTCAATGCTTTCTTAATTTTTTTTTTTTTGGAGCGAGCAAGCGGTTTTACGATCTTCCTAGCTCTGGTTTAGGGCTGAAGTAACTATGGATCATGGTGCATGGTTATTATGATGTACAATAGATTTATACAAATTTCAAAAGCACCATGACTTCTAGAATCCTCCTCATTCGGCCGTAGCCCATGTATTCACAAGTATCCCGGTCTTACTCTGGCTCCGTGTTCCAAGGCTGTTTTCAGTGGATGCGATAATCATCCTCTGCCTCTGACCCCGAGTCCGAGCAGCTCGACAGTAGAGAAGCGTCTTCGCCATGGTCATCTTCTTGATCAGAGGGCCCTGGAATGACGAGTAGCTCTAGAGGCATCTTTGACATTTCTCTAGGCTCGCGAGAGTGAGAGTCATGTTCCTCCCGGCTATTTTCATCTTGCGATTGCACAGGCTCCCGTGTCGACTCTCTCTCATTCCACAAATAATTGCCGAACTCCACCAGCCCAATCGTCAAAATCGCAATCCAGACCATACCCAAAAGGACTATCACCGTCGTGAAGACCCCCGGCAATGGAAACGAAGAGAAAGATACCGGTGCAAATTTCAAGAAAGGAAATGAGACCCGGTAGGAGAAGAACGAGATATATTGACCGGTGGAGAGTCTCAATGAGGAGTCAGAGTAGTATGCGGTTTCGTGTCTGTGAATTGCGCTGAATTGTGTCTTCGGGTGTCGTAGTATTTCGCCATATTTCTTATTTCCCAGCTTGGCGGCCTCAACGGGTTCATAGTTGGTTTTCTCTTCCTCCTTGTAGTCTTGGTGCGGCTGAACGGACGCAGGTGAAACTGGAATAAGGACCGCTACCTTTGAACTGTCTTCAAAATCTTCCCGGATATAGAGACGGCCTGGAAGTTCTTTTTCTAGTGACGATTTGCCATTGCTAAATGTAGGTTTCATAGAATGCTATGCAGAGTAAGCTTTCAAGAACAAGTCGTCAACGGAGAGCAGTCTGACCTGTTTCAATTCGGCCTGTGCTGACCACAGAGTCGAGTAGCCTCTTTCTTTCGTAAAGGTCTTCCATACACCTCGATCTTTGGGATCTGCAACTTCGCGAATTTTGGTCCATTGCGATATTCGGACGGGATAGGATAGGACGGGATGTACAAGTGCCAAAAGAAACGCAGCCACGGTCCAGCATAGTGGGCGGACCATTTTTCTCGTAATGCGATCGAAGCGATGATAGGGTAGGCTGTATGCGTTAATGCGGCGATATATCAATTATGCGGATTAGGATGATCGTTGCATGAATGAGTAGGCTCAGAACATGAAAGAAAGCAAAAAAGAAAAGAGACAGCTCGCATCTTCGGGCGACGAGGACGTTCCCTTATATGGCTATTTGAGGCAGGGCAGCAGGGGCACTCCCCGCAAGGGCCGCAGCTCTGAACCAGAAAGATACCGCGTACGACCTACCAAAGGTTCACGCCTAGGGGTGGGAAATGGGATCCTGAATCAAGGAGGGGCAGCGCAGCAGATCCGTGTACCTGGCAAGTCAGATTGGCCGTCCATATTGATTTCTCATTGGCTCTATTTAATCTCAACTGTGTCGCGGTATGTAGTTGTCCCCCTTGTTGGACTGTTTAAGAACTGAAGGGATTGATCAGATTGATCAGCCTGGAATGATAGCGCCACTGGCCTGATAGTTCGGGTCCAACGCAAGGCCGATCGCCTAGGCCCGACACTAATGATTATCAGTGCGGATTCCGCGATTTGAACCGTTCGCGACTGTTGATTCCCGATCGCTTTTGTCAGAGATGGTCGGTAGTACTGATACTGTGAAGGGTGGGTTTACTCTTTGCTCAATCCCTGAAGATGAGGCAAGCTCAATTGCGACTTGCTGGCCGTGTAACCGTGACCTCGCGCAACCAAGGCGGCGAGAGTAGCTCTACGCCTACGCAATGTCAACCTGTACTACTACAAGGCCTGCTTCGTCGCATCGCGATCGACATAACTGCGGCAAGCGCTAATGTGGAGGCCGATCAAAACACTCGAAGATCGAAGCACGGGCAGGCCGCAGATGGCGCACATGGAATGTCATCCACATTGACATCAAGATCGCATGGAGGCCCGCTCGGAAACAATGTCATGTACTTAGAAATCTGGAAATGGATGCATGGGGTGATTTCTCATTGGGAGTTCTTCCTGCCTTTTTCATACACCGTTGATAGAACGCCGAACTGCAGTAGAGCAAAGATGGTAAAGAAAATAAAATAGAAACCCAAAGGCCGGACCCCCAAAGACAATGCACAGTCCTATCAGACAAGAACGAATACCTGTACATGAAAGTGAACCCACTAGCAATCAAAAACGTGGGAAAGCGGAAAAGGTGGATCAAAAGACTGTGGTCTAAACAGTCACCTTCTCGCCCTCCTTCTTCGCAAGCTTGACCAACTCTTCGAAGACCTTGCTGAAATCTTCACCGGCGCTCTCATCAATCTTCTTGCTCTTGCCAGCGACCTGGGGGGTCACCATCACGACACTAGTCGGGCGCTTGGTAGCGGCGGAGGCACCGAGCTCAGCGCGGGAGGTTACGAAAACATAGGGGATGCCGTGGTCCTCGCACAGAACGGGGATGTGGGAGATAACGTCCATGGGAGAGATGTCGGCAGCAAGGATAACAACACCGGTGGGGATCTCGACGGCTTCGTTGGGGGCCGGGATTTTAGACTTGCGGAGGGCCTTGACGACCTCCTTAACACCGCGCTTGAGGGATTTGTTGACAGCAGCTATAAGGTAGGAGGTACGTCAGTAAGTCTATGGGATGGTATCCGGGGCACTGTGCGGCAAGACACTACGAGCATCGCAATGTGCCACACAGTCATTGAGGCAATTGCACCAACGCCGTTCGGCGCGAAACGAGCAGAATTGCAGGGATTGCGGGGGAGATTGGTGAACGTACCCTTCTTGACGCTCTTCAGTACCTTCTTGGCCTGCTTATCCTCAACCAGAGGGTTGGCGAAAGGCACAACAGCACCGACAGGGCGGTCGATGGCCATGGCATCGTCCTCAACATCGGCTGCACCGGCGGCGGCGGCCTGATCCAGGCCATCGAGGACCTGGGAAGTGATCTCCTTCTCTACCGCATCGGCGAGAGCGGTCTTATCCTTCTTGTCCTTCTTTTCCTTCTTGGGCTTGGAGACGCCGTCCTTCTCCGATCGCTTCTCCTTCTTCTCGGCGCGCTTCTTCTCCTTTTCGACCTTGTCCTTGCCCATGATTTCGGTTTCAAGAAAAACAGGGGGCGAGAGGGGTTGGAGTGAGTTTGCGGTGGTGTGCAGAGTGAAAAGTGCCTTCGAAATAATTTCTTTAAAATTTTGACACTAGTCCCTATCCGGTAGCTCTGGGCTGATGACTAAGACCCAAACATGGCCTGCGGGTTGCGCCGTTGATCAAAGGCACGAAGCTGTCTCCACGAACCAGTTCCGCGACTTCTGACACACAAGTGAGCTGCTGCTACTCGACGGGCTCGAATCAATCGGCTCGCGAGTGAGCATAAATTCGTGACACCATTCGCGCACACCGCACTCGGCAACTTACACGAAACACGCATGGACTCCAGCCAGACGACGCGACCAGCATCCCAGCTGGTTGCTGGATTTGCCTCGCCTTCGACCCCGGCGAGTGCGAGGAGATCGTTCAGACGCTCCGTTAACCCCGTCCATCCCCATCCCCAACCACAACAACCATTACATGGTAAGGAAGCGCCCTTGGGCAAATGACGGTACGATGCGACAGTGAGCTGATAGCATGCAGATGCGGAGAAAGATGAATTGCGGGTGCAAGTGAGCACTCTCAAATACGAACTAGAGAATATCAAACAGGAGCAAGAGCTGCAACTCCTGCAGCATGAGAAAGAGACCCGGGAGATTCAAGTCAAAGCAGATGCAGACTTCAGGAAAGCGCAGGTATGCGTTCGTCGTGAAGGATCCGCCATAATAACTCGCTAATTATCGACTATTCTGCAGGCAGCCGAAACCGCAAGCAATCGTGCTATCCATAAGAGCGATACCCTGGCAAAGGAATTGAAAGAAGCGCAAGAGTTGGCCCTTACAGAGAAAACGAGCCTCGAGCGCAAAATCAGAACTCTACAAGACGAAAAGCAAAACTTGCAGGAGGAGCTCGATGATTCGCAAGCGCAGTTATCTGACCACGAGCGGCAATTTAAATATCAGATAAATGAGCTGGAAACCGTTCGGGCATCGCTTCAGAAGACCATCGAGGAGCTTCAAGCCGATCTTCAAGCGGCTCGCAATTCCCAACAAAGCACCCAAGATAAACTGAACCAACGCGAATCCGAAGTGGCGGAGCTTGAATCCGAAAACATTCGCCTTAAGTCAGAGGGAACCGATGTCGAGGAATTAGCTGTTCTAAAGCGGGAACTTTCTGACCAGGTCAGCCACATTCGTGAATTGGAGTCGACAAATCGAGAACAGGGGGCCGAACTCCAATATTTGCGAAAAGTCCAGAAGAATGTCGAGGTGGTTCAAGAGCAAAAGAGATCGCTCGAGAATCAATTGATGGCGATGAGGAACCTGGAGGCTGAACTGGGCACCTTGCAAATTCAGAAGCAGGTCCTCGAAGATGAACGACAGTCCTGGAATAGTCTGCTTCAAGATAGTGATGGGTCTACCGATCTCGATTCCCCGGAGGCGGTAGTGAAGGCACTCGTCCAGGAGCGGATTGAAACGGCAACTCTGGTTGATCGACTTGGCAGCATCGACGCGCAGTCTTTGGAGAAAGATGAAGCGATCAAAGCCCTTGAGAACGAGAAGTCAACCCTCCGTCAAGAAATCGAAAAGCTGCGCACTGCAGCCACTACAGCTGGTTCCGCTGGAACACCCACAGCAGCTGAAGTCCGAGTTCGCTCGCGATTGGAGCGACAACGTGTTCTGGCAATTAAGGAAGTGGAATATCTCCGTGCCCAGCTCAAGACTTTCGACGAAGAGGAATTGACCATGAACGAAGAGAAAAGCTTCGACGAACAAAAAGCCGAGCAGATCGCGCAGCTTCAGAAAATTGTGGACGAGTATCGCGGTGAACTTCAAAAAGCACACGAGGAACTCTCCAAGAGAGAGGAACCACCGCCTCAGGATGAGAATCAGGCTCGCGGTACCAAGCGCCCCCTGTCTTCAACCGAGAATGATGGCGAGAGCGAGCGACTTGCAGTCCTCACCCGGAAGAACCGCAAACTGCAGGATTCACTCTCTAAATCCGAGCAGGCCATGACCCTCTCGCGCAAGGAGCTGGAGGCAGCGAAATCTCAGATCAAGTCTCTCAAATCCAAATCTCGTACACGCATCCTTGAGCTGCGAGATAATCCCACTGCCGAGACTGAGAAGATCAAAATGTCCACGTTGACAAGCCTCCGCTCAGAGAACCAGGCGCTTCTCGCTCAGCTTCGCGGCGAAAACGCTGGAGTGAAATCGATTCCTGTCAGCACACTTGAAAGCCTCAAACTTGAGATGCAAGACATGGACCGTGTCATTGCCGACAAGGAGAAGCGTATGCGCCGTCTCAAAGAAATATGGACAGCCAAGTCCTCCGAATTCCGTGAAGCCGTGGCCTCTTTGCTTGGTTTCAAGCTCGACTTCCTTCCGAACGGTCGTGTACGAGTTACTTCCATGTTCCATCTTTCCTCCGCATACCGCCATGGTGATGGCGATGATCCCTCTAATTCCCGCGGTGCCGGCAGTATGGGCAACGGCGAAGAGAATTCTATTGTCTTTGATGGTGAAAATGGCACCATGAAGATATCCGGCGGACCTAACAGTCTCTTCGCCATGGAGATAAAGCACTTGATCAAGTTCTGGGTCGAAGAAAGGAAGGACATCCCCTGCTTCCTGGCCGCTATGACTTTAGACTTCTACGATAAGACAACCAGAGCGGCTAGGATGTAATAGGGTTGATGGTCTCTTTCCTCGATACTCTTTCTACGAGTGACCGTGAATGTGTGCCCTTGCATCACCCTTTCTTTTATTAAATTATCTCCTTCTGTGCATGATTCCCCGGCGCTTGAATATTTTGTGCCATGTTTTTCTCACATGAACCCACTCGTGCGTCCATGCTTACAATATCAGTAACGAAGCGCATGTTAGATCTTTTTATTTCGAGAAGCAAAATATACTTGAATGGTTCTCTTCAAAGGTCTGTACATTGAGACTGCTTGTAGTAGTCAACCCAAGACATCAACAACTCGATGCCTTACGACCAGCGCCGAACAGCATCCAGCAAATCCAGATGAGCCTTCCGGTCACCAGTTCTTTTCAATGCTTCCTCAAAGAAATCCGGTCCAATTCGCTCACTGAAAAGTAAGACACTGGCCCAAACCAAATCAGCATAGCTCACAGTGCTTCCCAATAAGTAAGGTCCCTCATTCTGCTTCAACAGAGCGGTCACCTCACGAAGAACCGGCTCCGCCTGGTTCCACGCCTTCTCTCCACCCTGAGTTTTCTCCAGCTCCTCCACAGGCATTCCGCAGAACTCATGCCGAGTCTTGTACCAATAGTCGAGACTCGCGTCGTTGAGAATACGTTTTGGGACCTGGTTCAGAAAGATTGGCTTGATGGCACCCATGTACCGACCCCACAGGTTTTGGACTTGCTGGAGGTAATCTGAATCCATGTGCAGCGATGGTTGCGGATGCTCAGTTTCAATGTATTCTGCGATCTTGCCCGAGTCCATCAAGTACTTCCCGTCGGGGCAGATGACGGCTGGGATTGTATAAGCGAAGCCTGACATATTGGGCGGGAGACTAAACGATGAAAATTGGTTTAGTCAATTTCCTCCGATATCTAGAAAACTTCAGAGAACATACTGCTTCTCCAATTCGGGCTTGATGTCCGGATATTCAAGCTGAGAATAGGAAATCCATCAGTAGCCGTCATCATAATTCCCTTGTCAACCTACCCATTCAGTTCGGTAATCAATCCCTTTGAAGTTAAAGAGCAGACGGGCTAGAATACGATGTCAGCTATTAAGTGGCCAGGTCCCCTGAGCATCTTCATCGCCGTGACTCACTTTTCCAAGGGTTGGGCGTCCATGTCGAGCATGGCGGCCTGCTCGGGAGATCGTAGAGCACGTACTGGCTGGCGGACATAGTGCAAGCACGTTTTTCGCAAGTCGTGAATATACAATTGATTTTTTGATAGAATAATTCCAATCAATTAAAGATGCAGGGCAACTGAGGGGCGCGGATTATCAAGGCGGGGCGAAATTCGGCCGATCATCCCTGGTGAGTAATATTCCCCCAAATGTCGCCGAAGCATCGCCGTCCCACTTTTGATGTCGGCGATATCAAATCCCGAACAGACACCGAACTGAACGTCATTTTGGAGTTGAACGGGGACTGATCACTTTGCTACTACACACTATATTGGGCCGATTGCAGGTAAATAAATTTCAGGACAATAATAGATTACTAACCAGGCGTGTTGATAACCTGTATCCAAAGTACAATCATATATTCTGCGTTACTTCATGGATATGTTGGTATTTAATCGTAGACTGCAGCGTGCATCCCTTGGCGGATGCGCAAAGAACACTTACACTAGCCATAATTTAGGAAATGCCCGAGGTAATAGTCTATGTAGAATGGTTAAACAAGGAAAAGAAATCCCATTCAAAACTGGACAATATTCAGTCATCGCAGCGTACATACGAGATTGAAATGTCTAGTTACAAACAAACTTACAAAAGAAAAGGAGACAAAAAGGCGCTATTTGCAAGGAACGGAAAACTGGGGGTGAGAGGCATAAACGAATAGGAAAAAGAAAACATAATCATCCTCAGCCTTTCTCCTTCATCTTGTACTCAGTCTACTCGAAACCAGACAGACATCAAAACAAGCTTTGGAACAGGGTATACACGGACAAGAAAGTCTGAGGGGCCATGCAAAGCTCATTTAAGCAGCAACGTACTTCCCACCAACGAGCTTGCGAACCGTCGGAACTTCCTGCCAGGATGTAGAAAAAGCAGGGCTCGGTGCCTCGGCATCGGAGAAAGGATCGGACTCTTTCAGTGCAGCGTCCGAGCTAGCACGACTAATGCCCAACCTGGAGCCGGTCTCGACGGTGCGAAGCTCAAACTTGGCCTCCACGTTGCCCTTGCGAGGGCCGGGAGTGGAAGTAGCAAAGCGTACAAGGAACTTGCCCTCTTCCCCAGCACCGGGTGGCTTTACCTCTAGCTCGGGGATCTTCCAGGTGACGGTGGAAGTTTTGCGGCGGAAGGTGGCGCCTGAGTTCGGGTGCATGACGGCGCTAGTCGCATGGGCGACTGACTCACGTGGCTGCTTGGTGGCTTCGTCTTCGGCAGCAGTGTCCAAAGACACGGTGAGGACGACATTCTTGAGAGTAATGGGTCCCCCAGATTGCGAGATAAAGGCAGGGTTCAGGGAATAGAAGATGATAGCACTGGCTTGGAACTCTTGCAAGTTCCAAGCTGGTTTAAAGATTACCGGGCAGTAGGCCGATGGGTTCGTAAGATCCAAGTGCACTTGGTACTTGAAGGCAACGGTGGGAATCGGTCGGGAAATACTGCCCAGCTGAATATCGTACTCGCCGCGTTTCTCATCTGTCGCGTCCTTGGTGACTTCTTGGACAAAGTGCGGATTGGCAGCAACCTTTTCCAACACTGGGAAATTGTCGAGACGGATGCGTGAGATATCCGTTGGAATGCCTGCGGTAGCATTATGGGCTAATGCCAACTCTCCCACCACCATTGACTTTGTTACGCTGCCCTCAGAAAACCATGCACTGACAGTCTCAATGATAGATGCATTCAGACCGGATTCATGAAGCTCAGGGTGAATAGTCGGCGCGGGGCCGTGGACAGTATGTCCTGAGCGAACGGACGTAGTGTCCGACATGGCATGGTCTTCTGTCGCAGTACTAGGAGACGGGGCATGCTTAATTGGAGAAGACGGTGCATATAATTCTGGCGCGGCCTGGGTTGTTGCCAATTCGTTAGAGGGATTCGGAACAAATACCGTGTTCCGCACATCTCGTCGGCCGCGAATAGTGCCTGCGTTTCGCCGCATCGGAGCTCGCTGTAAGAAGATTGTTAGACCTGGTCTATTATCAAGAAAGGCGATGCACCATGACTTGCCATGCGGAGAGTGTTCGCCATATCATCCATGGCCTGCTTGGCTTGGCTCTCATCTTCAAAGATAGGCTGATCACGAATTGTGAGGTTCATGCCAGAGTCCTCCAATCTATAAATATTCTCTCGTTAGTAACTCGTTAATTATAGAAACACGTCCCGATTTCACATACCCAGATGCTTCCCTCTGTGCGCGAGTTATCTCATCGATGGTAGAAGGTCGCTCAGTGAATCCCTCGGAATCAATATGGCCCTGAACATCTGGTCAGTAAAAATAAGCACGGCAGCCTAAGAGCTAATGCATACCTGAGTGGTGCCATTGCTAACAAGTCCAGCTTGACCCTCCGGTGGGTTGCCATTCGTATGACCTGGCTCCGGCTGGGAGATTGGTGTAGGGACGATGGCTTCTGACACGGTGCGATCTTGTGAAACACTTGGGTTGCGCGCGGATTCCTCAGTCAGGGACGTTCCCGGACGTTCCGCCGATGCAGTGGTTGGAGGAGATTCAGGGATTTGCATATCTCTCGAAGACTCACTTCGCTTGAAGGGAGCGAAGGGACTTCGATGTTTCTTCTCTGACTTTCTTTCATAGCTTCCAGCAGATGGCCCAATCACACTCTTGCGGCGGTTCATGACCGTTCCGAGGCGCCTCAGGCCACCCAAGGGGGTGTTTCGAGGATGCGGCTCCGGGGCTGAAAAGCAAGATCCAAATATGTCAGTCGCGAATGAGAGGTCCTTGGATGGTCGGGCGTACTTACCGGGAGGTGTCTGAACAGCCACAGGCGTCTCCGATCTCGAAGTAGGTGTTTGCATCGCCTCCGAGCGCTGGCTGGCCGCATCGTCTTGGATTGATGGAGGAGGTTCAAGGGGCTCAGCCACCGGGGGTGTTGAGACTGTACCTGGGGTGGCAGGAGCCACAGGAGGGGTCTCCGCCTGAGAGGGCTGTCTCCGGGATGTCACCGGCGAGAGAGGCATCCTGGTGCCAGCATGTTTGGCAGCGAATGTCTTGATTTCGTCTGCTGTCTCGACGTTCAGAAGAACATTCAGACAGCTCTCCGCAGCTTGCCGACCGCGCTCGACTTGATCCACTTCGTGCGTCTCGAGTTGGGTGAGAACATCACGAAGGTGGTTCAGTCGGCCTTCATCAGCAGCCTGAAGTTGCTCGAATACATAGGGGGCACGAGATTCCCATTGCTGTTGAATTTCATCCGCCTCAGCCACCGCGCTGGCCAACCTGTCTGCGCCTTTGGTGCCTTTGCTCTTAGCCTTGTCCACCTTCTTCTGCGCAGTCTCGACGTTCTTGGCTAGCCCGGCCAGATTGTTCTGAATTCCAGGCATTGATTGCATGTCGCGATTTTTGGTGCTGTATTCCCTCAAGGGCCGTTCCACATCCTCCTCAATCTTTGTCGCAAGGGTCTCGTGCGACACGGCGAGGGCTTCGGTGGCGTTGATGATGCGCTGCCAGGGAATTTGGAAGATTCTATATAACAATCAGTATTCCGAATTGTCGCCGACAAATCGACAGCGTTCTCCCTGAAATGTCTCAACCTACCCAAGTGCAGCGCCATTGTCCAGTTGGGGGCGATGCGCTAGCTTGCGCAAGCTCTGGGCGTATACTTCTTCGAGACGACGGCGTTCCTAGTAACCACCTAGTTAGCGCTAGTCCACGCATCTTCCAGGAATGTGAAGTCGAACGGTGCCTGGCAAGAGCGAGGTATGGGTCGGCATACCTGGAGGAAGTCCGCGATATCCGCATGGATTCTGTTGATAATTCGAATGCGATCATTGAGGATGGTGGTAGCCTGGCTGGGTTGCAGAGTAGCCTGATCAATGGAAGAGCATTTCGAAGTCAGCGGCCATTGTTGTTGGACAAGCTAGAGCTCAGTGAGCCCAAGGAGACAAGCATACCAGCAATGCCGGGTACTCCTGCCGAGAGAGTTCCATGGTGCTTCAATCAGGTCTCTATACGGCGCAACAAGCGCATGCTCAGACGAAAGACAGCGCGCAGGGAAGAAGACGGTGCGGGGGATTCAATGATTGCCGGAATCACAGGGTGTCGCCGAGGGCGGCCATGGGGATGGAATGACGACGGGAAGGGCTGCTTGGCGACGGGCGCCAATCAGCGCAGCGCACCCCCGTGACTCTTGGACCCCAGTTTCTGCGGTCACATGACATCATATCTGGTGTTTGCACGGTTTGTCTCTGCTCTCGTTTCATCGTGTTGCGGTTGCTGTTGCGGATTACCCTAGTAGGATTATTGTTGCCGCCACTGCCACTGCCATCGCAGTGAAGTCAACTACGATGGACTGGAGGAAGGACCTTGGATTCACAGATCGCCTGAAGGCCATTCAGTCTCTGTTCGTCGTCAATTGCCACCCAAGTGCCTTCGTTGTGTGCTGATTGTCGTTTCTCATCGCTATCTAGTACAACCGCCTATCAACAGACGTCTTCGCCGGCCGCTTTCGCCGAGGCTCAAGTGCAGGCCAGGCGAGAGGAGACGGAGTTCTACAATCAAGCTAATTCCAAGGTGTGTCAGATTTGCCCCTGACACAGTCGAAAATTGACGCGCTCATTCCCGGTTTCAGGGAGAATATAGTCGCATGTGCCAACAGGCCGTCGATGCGGCTGAGACGACTAATTTTGCGACGCCGACCATCACCAGCTCGGACCAAATACAAGATGACACCCAGGAGCCAGAACTGTCATCAGAGCCAACAGTAGGCGAGAAGTTTGGTCCGTACACATCGTGTTTCCATCATTTTGATGGCCTCCATTCGACCATCTATAAATCAACAGCCGAAGATGGCACCGTGCGAGCCATCAAGATCACCATCCCGCGTCTTATGACGGCTCCTCATGACGCTCCGCGGGAGGCTCGATTACTGCGAGAAGCACACAATGATCGGGTCATTCCTTTAATCGAGACCTTCACTCTGGGCGGAGGCCGCCTGGTGCTGGTCTTTCCCTTCCTGCGGTATGATTTCGAGCACTTGATGCGGCGAGATATGGTTACCGCTACTCAGACACGAAACATTTTGCGCGATTTATTCCAGGCCCTTGATCACATTCACAAGCTCGGAATCATCCACCGGGACATCAAGCCCTCTAATATCCTAATGGACTCGCCAAATGGGCCGGCGTACCTAGCCGACTTTGGGATTTCTTGGAAGGAAGGAGACTCGGGCTCCGAGCCGTCAGACCAGAAGATCACAGATGTCGGGACCACTTGCTACCGGCCCCCCGAGGTTTTATTCGGTTATAGGGGGTACGGAACAGCACTGGATCAGTGGGCCGCAGGATGCGTCGTCGCAGAGGCAATCACGGTCGGTCACGGGCAGTTGTTTGAGCCCGGGCCCTTGGGAAGTGATCTGTCGCTCATTTTCTCGATCTTCAAGACTTTAGGAACGCCAAATGAGCACAGTTGGTCGGTCAGTATAGTCGAAAAAAAGAAACCACCAAGAAGACTGGAACGCTGACGGGGAATATATAGGAGGTTGTTCAGTTACCCGACTGGGGTAAGGTTGAGTTCCAGTCGTTCCCAGCGCAATCCTGGGACGAGATCCTGCCGGGCTCCTCATCTAACGGGCGGGATCTGGCAAGTCATTTGGTTTGTTATGAGAGCCGCCAACGGTTTTCCGCTGAAGAGGTAAGCGACCGCGAGTCCAATGGCTTACCATGGGACGGAGGTTAATTTCGTCAGGCCCTCCGACATCCATATTTCTCCACACATTAATTTATGAACGACTTGAAACTTCATCTCAGCCACAATTTTGTGGCCTGTAACCGTGCATCAGCCTCGGAGGGCAACAAGGAGCGCCTCACGCAGGCATGCAGGCGGGACGGCGGTATGGTGGTATGGCTGCCATCAGGTGGCGGCCCCCGAAGACCACAGTCGACAGATGTTACGATGGAACCCCAGCATAACCGGGCATAAATATAGCCACCATACGACTCAGGCTAGGAATGATGGGTGCCGATGATAACCCAGCCGAGCATGGTGCCATCCTAGGGCTTGATTGAGGGTCATTTCGGCAGCCCTGTGGATGAATGTGATGGAGGGTGAAGGGCCCCACGCATGATCGTGGATTGGGACAATTGGAGGGTTCGGGGCAATCGGAGATTACGGCTGCCAGGTACGGGGCAAATGAACGTTGCAGGAAGGTGAAACCACCACGCCAAGCTGGGCGATGGAGTCTGTGCCCCGCGGGTGCAGGGTTCTTAGCGAAGCACCAGATGGGGGCCATGCGGTAGGGTCCGGCTATTCGGGAACACAAGTTGTTAATGTACAATACAACCATGCTGAGAGTTGGATAGCCAGATCGCTATGGAATGCATTGCGCGATCCGATTCTAGATCACGATGAGACACATTCCCGATGGATCAAATTTCAGGCCTCGCAGCCGTGGATCGTCAAGAAATGCAGCAAAGTAGAAAAAGTAGAACGACCACGGCGGGTCTCGACCACCTCGTATTGGGCCTCATCTTCCGTGACACAATTACCAGGTACCGTCATTTACGAGCCACTCCTGACACACAGCGCCTCCGATCCCGCCCAGATCCGGCTAGCAGTGCGCCTGTAATACGCCCGAATACCGGGTCAGGGTCCCCCATCGATCTGCTCGTTTGCTCGTGGGAAACTGGAAACTCACGCCTGGACAGTCTTTGGTTGGGGGCCTACGCTCGACGTCTTTCCTTCTCACACCCTCCCTTTACGGCCTGGAAGTCGTTGTCCCTTCTTTTCTCTCGACTGGTTATCGTGCGGTGCTCGATCTCCGGTTGTCCATTCTTTCTATCCACATTCCACATAACGCGGTGGGCTTACTTACCACAGACGCGGTGCTCGGAATCGTCCGACTCGCGTTGGAATCCTGGCCTGGACCTGAGATTCTAATCAGGACCGATTGTTGCTTTATCACCACCCGACCGCTTTGCGACACCTGGGCAGCAACACCGTCATTCAAAATGGTGCACGGGCATGCACATCACAACATCCACCGCCCCGCGCAGGTCCTCGAGGCGCGGGCACTGGACGAGTCTCTGGAGGAGCGAGGCTTTGGCGACGATATCGTCTACGTTTACAAGACTATTTCGCATGACTTCGATGATGCGGTGGGAGGTTTCAAGACCATGGTGAACGGCGGCGGCGACAACAATAGCGACACTGATACGGCGACTGCGACGAACAATAAGAACGCCAACGTGGGTGTCGGTCCTGCTGTGGCTGCGACTCGTACTTCGACCTCGGAAAATACCGACAAGGCCACCAATACGGAGAAGGCAACTGCCAAAGAAACCAAGCACACGGAGAACAATACCGAGACCAATACTGAGAAGAACAACACTCAGAAGAACACTCAAATCGAAAGCACTACTACGGAAACCGCCAAGAACCAGCCCGAGGCCACCAAAATCACCGAGGTCAATACTACTACTCAGACTAACGCCGAGGCGCACAAGACGGCGTCCTCTTTCGTGACTTCTGCCAGTAACGCGGCTGATACGAGCAAGGATATCAATGCTTTAGCAGCAACCTCGACGCCATCGGCCACGGACTCCGCCGCCTCTGCCTCCTCAACTACGAGCGCTGCCTCTGCGGGTATGTCTTCGGGTGCCAAAGCCGGTATCGCCATCGGTGTAATCTTTGGTGTTGGCGTGCTTGCCGCCCTGATCTTCTTCTTTATCCGCAAGAAGAAGAGCAAGGAGCTTGCCGAGCCGATGGACGAGAAGGCATTCAGCCTTCCACCCCCTCCGCCGGTGAAGCCCTCGACTCCTTCGACTCCTCCTGTGTTGAATGTTCGCCCGATTACCCAATTCGCCCCTGATCTGAGCAACAGCTCCTCCTTCAACCCGGCCACTACCACCGCAGCTGGAGCGGCCGGCGCAGCTATGGGTGCAGGAGCAGCGAATTCGCGCAATTTGACTGGCAACTCGCCACCTCCTACTCCGCCCAAGTCGGCTACTAGCAGCCAGAACCCATTCAATGACCCCGTGAATCCCTTCAGCCCGGTCGACCAGGCGCACCCCGCCGGTACCTCGAGCTCGGCTGTTGCCGTAGGTGTTACGGGTGCTGCTGCCGTTGACGCCGCGGCTGTTGCATCCCACGAATCTGCTGGTGGTCAAGCAGGCCGCCCTGCTTCGGCTGAGTCGGATGCTCAACATGCTCCTGGTTCTTCTCCAAGCCCTGTTAGCATCGATGGCGAATCAGGTTCATCCGCGGCAATGGCTGCTGCTGGTGGAGCTGCCGCAATGGGCGCAGTCGCAGGCGCCGAGGCTGGACCAGCGAACAATGTTCACCGTGTGCAAATGGACTTCACCCCCTCGATGGAAGACGAATTGGGTCTTCGCATCGGTACCTTGGTGCGAATGCTTCATGAGTATGATGATGGATGGGTGAGTTGCATTTTTTAATATCAGCTAACGTGAAGGCAATTACTAACCCCTGTTTTAGGCTCTGTGTGTACGCCTTGATCGTTCCCAGCAAGGAGTGGCTCCACGGTCTTGCCTGTCTGCACACCCTGTGAAGCCTCGTGCACGTCCGCCTCCGGGTGGACCTGGCCCTCGCGGCCCGCCTATGGGTCCTAACGGCCGTATGCCTCCTCCCGGACGGTTCTACCCTGGTGACGGTCGCCCTCGATCCCCCGGCGGTCCTGGCTTTGCCGGTCCGACCCCCCGCGCTCCTTACCCAGGCCATTCTATGTCTCCCTCTGGATTCCCCGTCCCTCGTTCAATGTCCCCTGGACCTCGACCTATGTCGCCGGGCCCACGCTCCATGTCCCCAGGACCCAGTGGACGACCTGGTCCGCGTTCCATGTCCCCCGGCCCCTCAATTCGACCAGTCCCTCGCTCCATGAGCCCGGGACCTTACGGTCCTCCTGGCATGCAGCGTCCCGCGATGCCTGCCGCCCAGCGCCAACGCAGCAACAGTGCCGGCAACATTTCTCTGCCTCCCGTCGGCGCCACTCTCGCTCCTAAGCCCAGTCCTCTGGCTGCGGAGCCCCCCGCCCCGGCACCTACAGGTGATCTCCCGGCCATTCCAACTTCAGCGCCGCCTTCGAGCTCTCCCACCGGATCCATCAGCAGAAAACCTGTTGCTACCCAGGAGGCATAGATGTGAAACTCGTCAATATGCCTGAGTCTTCATACGCCCCGCAGAACAAAGACATCGCAATGTCTTGACAATTGTCCCCGCTGGACGGAAACGAGCCTGCTAGTACGACTCCGTAACGAACGAAATTCCTATCCTTTACATACCACTGCCATTTATTCAGCATCTTGTACCACAATCCTTTTATCACCTGCGAGTTCCCCTTGCCTCCGGTGGCTTCCTGGCATCCGATCTAATCATGTCTTGAAGTCGATTGCACCTATTTGTTTCTCCTGCCCCATCCCCTTTCTCTTCATCTATTACTTTTCTCCTACTTGAAATATGTTTGTTCATCTTCCTAGTATCTTTATGGATGGATCGTTATTGCGAATGACTCGGTGATGAGTCAAATACCCTGGACCTGTAACATTTTGTGTGATCTCCTAGTCCATATCAAATTTAGATATTAAATCATACAACCCTATTCAATTACACAACACCAAACTCAATGTCTATTTACCCCAGATATCATCACTTTGAATTAACAATAAAGACAGACCGAGAAGCTATAGAGTACCTCGTCTATAGTGCATTGTATGCTACCCGAAAAACTATAGAGTACCTCGTCTATAGTGCATTGTATGCTACCCGAAAAATGAAAATGTGTTCCCGAAAAATGCTTTCGATGCAAATGCCTTCATACAGTCAAAGCAACCAATCAAAGGTGAGGGACCTTCCCACTTGCAAGGAGCAAGTTCACAATACTCATGATACCTTCACCCAAAATCAGACCAGAGGCCAGGACAACAACTGTCGAAGACGCCGCATCCGCCTTCTCAGCCGCCTGGATAGTAGACGCAGTCTGGTCTCGGACAGAGCGTCCCTCGACATTAGTAGAGTCGCCAGCAGCATCAACAGATCCGGCAGAACCGGGGCGACGGTTTGACGGCGCCGCGTGCTTCCGAGACCACCACCAAGCAATGACACCGCCAATGGCTCGCGCAAGGGTAAAGGAAGGAACATTGAATATACCTACAGCAACGGCAATGCCACCGGGGATCCAGGATCTCCAAGCCGGGGGCTGATCATTTTGCGCAAAAGTAGGAGAGGCACCTGCAATACGCAGTGCGGTAAGAGCCACCCAAACAAAGCCCGCGATAAGGGACGCCTGCCACGCCATATCGGGGAGACCTTGACCTGTCACGAGACGAGCTGTGAAGATCCAGACATACGCCGTGGGTGTCTGGAACATCTCGCCAGGAATCTCGTAGACGTTGACATACATCTTGTATACGGCTGTGGAAAGCACAGCGCCGACAAGACTGCCAATCATTTGGCCGTAGAATTGAGCTTTGGGGCTAGCGCCGAGCAGGTGGCCTGTTTTGAGATCTTGCATCATGTCGCCTGCTTGGAGAGCACCCGATTCGGAGACGGCACCCGCTAAAAGATTCGTCACGAGTGCCGTTCGGCGAGAGAAACGGGATGAGGGTGTTGCGAGAGAGAAGAGAAGTTGGGTCAATTTGCTGATCCCGGATACTGGGTTCAGGTCTGTTTCGCCTAGAGCTCGGACGCCCATGATGGAAAGTACGACGGCGAGAAGTGTGGCGAGGGTAGATAAGGCTGGGGATATGATCTCGCCGAAGGCGAAATGCATACAGACGACGTTCAATATCAGGGTCAGCGGCAGCAGAATCACGACCGTGCGGGTGGAAATAAGTTGGGAAGGTGGAGCATCCTCATCCTCGCTCGTGGCTTTCACGAAGTGGCCATTATGCGATTCATGATCCTCCATTGCCACCGACTGCCGGTCAGAGTCCAACGCAGAGTAATTGATATACGAATGCTGGTGAGATTCAGAAGAGTGGAGTCTCAATGAAATCCATCGGCCGAGTCGAGATGATCGAAATAGCGCTATCCATCTTGGAGCGCGATTTACCAATGGCTTTGCAACTAGCCATCCGAGGCTAATGAGCGAGTCTGCAAGCATGATTGCCAACGAAACCCATACGATCCAGGCTTTGCTCCCGTCCTCCCAGCTGTCTACTGCGCCGGGCGCCCATCCGCGAGCTTTCGCCAGCGGTGAGAGAATGCCCCAGCCCAAGACAGCGCCAAAAAGCATGTGCATGCACGTGGAAGGTCCCATGATAATACCTTGGCCGATATAGGCAGGCGACGGATTGAGAGTCCAAAGCCAACTACGGGCCAGGGTCACCCCGAATAATGGGATATCCCGGACCAAAGGCACAAAATAGGAGAAAAGCGTCTAATAAGATCAGTAAGAATTCTTTTTTTTTAACAGTTTCTCTGAGATTGAAACTCACATATACACCGGACACCACGAAGGCACCTATCAGCAAACGCATCTTTGATCGCCACTCCTCCTTGTCTTCCGTCTGATCCTCGGTATCGGTGTTCTTGAGCAGAAGATCCTGTTCTTGCTCTTCATGCGGCTGTGCAGGAGCTCGGATTTGATCGGCCGGTTCACTGTTTCGCAGCTGGGTTGGCACAGGCGTCTTCTCATTCTTGCCCGCGCCGTGCAAGACCCGTAGCATCAGGGCCGAAGCGGTGCCACTCGGAAAACGCAGCTTCTCTCGTACGATAACTTCCTTTCGCAACGGAACTGCGAATACCACACCGAACAAACAGACTCCCAAGCTCCAAATCACCAATTTCCAGAAGCCCAGTCTGAGAGGGCCACCCTCCCCGTCCCCGCCATCACCCTTCGGCCCATCTTCGCCGTCCTTCAGCAGGAACTCGAGAGCAGGGATGACACCCACAAATCCGCACCCAAGCGGCATCGTTCCCACAGCTCCAGCCACGGTCTGGATCAAGACATTCTCAATCGGCGTGAACGGGAACGACAGGTGTTTCGAAAGGACCTTGAAGACCGAGAATCCGATCAAGGCCGACGGCATGGCCATTGTGCTGATCCATCCTGTCTGTAGACCAAAGTATGTGTTCGAAAAGGTAATCAGGGCGCCGATAACGAGGCCGACGATGAGCGAGCGGGGAGTGAAGCTCTGTGCGGAGGTGATCGGACTTCGCGTGTTCGGCACCGCATCGTCGAGGGAGTCTGCCAGCTCGTCTGGTGATGACGGCCGGTTTGCCGTATGGTGCAGGGGCTCGGAGGCATCGCCTGCCATGCTGAGAGTCTGGTAATTCATCGGCCCAGCAGATCCGTCATGGGGAGTGTTTGCCGGCGGAGCGAAGGCGTGATAGTCCCCCCGGGCGCGATAAGATCACCTGACGTCACCCGCTCCAAGCAAGGCACCAGAACTAACTTGAAGGTAGGGTCTGAAGTAAAAACTGTTCTTTTGATTTTGATGTAAAAAATAATTTCTATTATTCTAGATAGTCATAAAAACTAGGCATGAGCGGTGTGATGGTGCCCCTTGCGCTATTCTTCGCTAGGAGTACAGAACGTGACCTTGGGGCATTGGGACGAGTCTATTGGATGGCTAGAGGGGCTGAATCGAATTATAGGATCAGATAAGAACAGTCGGGTTTAATTGCAAGATCAGATAATACAAGTGACCAAGTTATATTCTGGACCTTCTACGACATCTCAAGCAACTGGTGCAATTAGTCAATACCAATATATTAAGTTCAGGTAGGTAAAGTTGGAGCTTATAAGTCGAGAGGCTAAACTGAACTGATTGCATTCCTCGTAAAAATGCTTTGTTTTATCCCAAGTGCGACCATGAAATCATAGCCTGGGAATAGCATCGAACAAGACATGAGACCGCATCGATCGGTTATCTCCGCCAGGCAGCTTGACAGGCCCCACTTGACAAATGGAAACCGGGGATAAATATGGATGCGCCAGGCAGAGTGTACCCTAAGGCAGTAAGTCCATCCTGGTCGACACACTTTCCGTGACTCATTTGCCGCAAGAGGGATAGTGTATGTGTGTAGCAAACCCCCACCATAAACCCCATCCTGCCCTATGTAGGGAAGAATTTAATTGCCACTGATGTACCAAGATGCTCAGCTTAACCTCATCCATCCCGTCTACGCGCACTTTTAGCTCTCTTTACCCCTCTTGACGGGTCCGACCACCACAGTAGAGCCATGGAGTCTGCACCAACCATTCACATCGCGCTCTTCACGTCGACCGAGCTGCTAACGCAGCCGTGGCTGTCAGATCTGACCCGGATGATCAACGCGAGCTATCTTGTCATGCACACGGATAAGACCCGGTTCTCAGAAGACAAAATAAGGCTCCGATCCGACTCTTGTCTCACCGAAGAGCTGGGTCCAGATGGCTTCACGGCGGTGGCATTCGCCTCTGGAGAACCTGACTCTCCCGCCGAAGTGGTCGGGACTGCAAGCATGAAGTTATGGAAAGACGACGGATTGTGGCGGCCACACGATGATGACTTCAGCGACGATTCGACAGAAGAGCTAGTTAACGATCAAGTTGAAGAAATCTTTCGTGGACATGCTTGTCCTGGAGACTACGAGCTTACAGTCGTCGCCATTCCACCGAACCCTCGTTTCCGCGGGAAAGGTATCGCTGGCCGTTTGATCAGGGTGTGTGAAGAAGAACTCATCCGACGTCGAAAGTTGAGTGGGAAAGACGACACACCCGCACGAATTATGATCCGAGTAGCCAAGGAAAACTCTGGTGAATACTGGTTGAAGCAGGGGTTTGTTACAGTTGGCAGTCAGAGGTGTCCCGAGGGCTTCTGGGACTCGGCAGAAGCGTTTACGATGTGGGCAATGATTCGTGAATTGGGCACCAAGTAGATATGACAAAGTATAAACGGTGGATATAATTATATGCTAGCAATGTTTCATTTCGGTTTATACATGAAATGGCTATAATGGAATCAGGTGAAATCATCAACTACCATCTCGGCATCATCCCCTTACTTGGAGCCATTTGTTTTGGCTCCCTCCGGGGTCACCTTCACTTTGCCGCCGGCTTCAAGAACACCGGACCGATCAATGAGCGCCCGCGCCCGAATATAAGGGTCCAGCTTCCAGTAGTTCTGTCGGAAGTCCTCGATAATCGTGTTTCGTCGAGACTTGATCTCTTCGATATTACCAGTATCCTCTTTATAATCCGCATATGTGGTAGCGGAGATCCATGCAGCTGTAGCGGCGAGCATCTTGATGCCAATCATCAAACGCTCGTACATGATGGCATCGCCTTTTTCGGTATCTTTCATGACCTCGTTCTCATTGCACTTGGGCTCGATGTACTCGTACTCCCAGTTCTCGTCTCCGCGGAGCTCTTTGGGGATCTGGTTGCGGGAGATGTACTTGTCTAGGTCGCTGACGGATTTGGTGAAGTGTACTTTCGAAGCCACGACAGGGTCCATCCAGCCGTGGATGAGCTTCCAGATACCTGGGGGGTGTGAGTATTTGACAGTTGAAAAATTAGAAGGTATTTGTACTCACCTGAGAAGATCCAGGGTGCGTTATGAATTAACAACTGTCCAAGCGACTCCGGGTAGTTGGCTTCGAAGCATTTGATGATAAACTTCACTGGTTGGTATTCCTATTGAAGCGAACGGTCAGTCCGATGCTCGGGGTTTCATAGTGGGAGACACATACCATGTTTGACAAGCCAAATCCGGTCATATCGAAGACAATTGTCTATAGAATGGTCAGTATCAATCTCATCCGTATCTTGTAATAGCCATTGACTTACACCTGTCTCGATTGGAGGAACCACGATCAATCGAGTTGACTCGATGACATGAACAATGTATCGTTCAAGAGTCTCCTCACTTTGAGCTCCAGGCTTGTGGATCTTGACTCGTACGTAATTGACTGGTCGTCCCTGTCTATCAAACCCATGTAGGAAACTCTTGCCTGTCTTTAGTTGATGGATAAAGTCGTGGCCCTCTTTCTTCTCTTTGGCAGAGAGCTTGTCATTGCGGGATTGCTCGAGGGCATGCAGCTCTCCCTTGGGCAAGATATCATCATCGACCTCCATCTGTTTCCTCCAGAGAATATTTGTGGCCAGCATGGAGAATGCCTTTCCGACATCCCATTTCCTGGCGCGTAGGAAGCGTAGCAGCAAGCTGTCGGGGTGTTCCTGCTTGGCCATTTTCAGAATGGCGAAGCACATATCCTGAGGCGTCATCTTGGACAGGATTTGCTCCATTGAGTTGATTTCGGATTCACTGACACCGGATTTCCGCAGTTGATCGAAGACAACGGAGAAATGCTCAGGCGAGACCTTTCGGGTGGCCATTTCGGTCTTGATATTTTTCTGGGCGTCATCGTTCATGAGCTCGTCTACCTTGTCGAGTGACTTTTGCTCTTTGTTATCGCCATTGGTCTCATCAGTTGCGCTGGTATAATTTGTGCCATTGGTACCGTTTAACTTGTGGGCATCTTTATCGTCTTCTCCCTTGAGTGCACTAAGAATTGCATCCACTGTGGGTTCCTTCACTCTTTCGAAAGCCCCGAATAGCTTGCTGGGTGGGCCCTTGGGAAGAGGGACTTCATATACCGCCGACAACACAGAGGAGATTGAGGTGAAAAGCATAATCCACAATTCTCGCAGCTTCGCGTCCTGGGCGGACGTGAGGTTGTGGACATACCCGGTCGAGGTATCGGGTGTGATAGTCATGGTGTGCAAACTTTGAAATAGTATACAGGACAATGTTCGATTTCTCGATTGTAATCAGGAAAATCGGCGTTTAAATATTGCGGGCACCCCGGTGTCATCAAAATTGCAGCTTCCCAAAGGCTGTCTCATATTTGAGCGATCCACATGAACGAAACGGGTTCAAATTAGGGCTGCCTCGGCCAGCCCCTCTTGATCGAGATCACAGGGGCAGTCGGGGCCAGCTACCTCGGTGTTAGTCCCAGTGGATCGCCCGTTAGCGCCCGGGACATGGCTCCCCTTGGCCGTGCACGCGAACCGATTGTTCGAATCCCTGTTGGCCCCGGGGAATTCCCCCTAGCGAGGTGGAGAACCCCGTGATTGCGATGCGGGGATGTGGTACGTGCATCAACGCCGGTCGTCTTTCCTGCGGCACTGTTCTTAGGCATGTCTCTGGCTCTATGACTGACCTGAAGAAGTGTTTGTCAGTTGTCCCAACATATGAAACTCGCCAGGTCTGGCCGTCACGGGCAGCCGCCATCGCCGTCGGTAAATCGCTGTGGGGAATGCTGCTCGCCAATCAAATCGCACCGAGTCTCGATTATCAATAAGGCATCATGCCTTCTCGTAGTTCCAGAAGCACTATCAGACGTTCCGAGTCATGAACTCAGTCAGCGTAATGATCATTTCAGGTGAATGACTACCTCGCATCATCCTGGTGCAGGGGTCGTAGATAAAGCAGAAGCCGTTATGGTTGGCATTTTAAACTTGCAGAGAATCGCAGACAATAACAGTTGACCGTTCAAAGTCGAAAATATGTCAGAAGAGTGAGAGTTGCTTAGGCTGAAGTTCTCAGGGGAGAGGAAAAAGAGGTTGGGATGACAGCAATCATGCCATGCCCATCCCACGTGACAGTTACCTGAAAGATCGGATGGAACATACTACGTCGGATGAAAACATTGCAAATCGCTTTAGACTTGCAAGAAAACCTCATTAATTCCAATCGACTCGTAAATTATTCAAGATGTTCTAAGCTATTATACCCCATCATTATCATCGTTACCAACTTATACCTCCCACCCTTCCAACTTGGTCAACTTCAGATGCATGCCTTCAATCGGCTGGCTGGTAAGGGTTCCGCCAAAAGTGATCTTCTGTCCCGGATCCTTCATCTGAAGCTGGAACTGTCCGAATAGTCCTGCAACGGCGCATCTGAACTCGGCCTTGGCAAAATCCTTCCCAATGCACGCACGCGATCCATGAAGGAAAGTAATCTGGGCGAGATTCGTAGACGCGCCACCGTGTTTGTTAGGCGACTGCTTTCCAGTCTCGGGGTCTGTATCGATCCATCTTTCTGGGAGAAAATGGTCCGCATTTTCGCCCCAGAATTCGAAGCTGCGGTTGACGGCCTGCGGGCAGAGCGCGACAGTTGTGCCTTTGGGAATTTTCTTTCCGGCAATTGTTGTCTCACGGATCGCTTCACGGCCTGTCATGGGGACTGTCGGGTAGAGGCGGAGGACTTCTTGACAGACGCCGTTAAGGTAGGGCATTCCTTCGAGGACTTGCCAGGAGACGGAGGCGTTGAGGGAGGGAATTGTTCCGCGAATTTCCTGACGCAGCTTGTCTTGGATGTGTGGCTGGATGCTCAACTGGTAGCAGCACCAGGTGAGAGCGCCTGCAGTAGTCTCGTGCTAGGTAATAACAATAATCATGTTAGCATAACTATGTCGAAGTCGGGGAAAATCAAGATGGAGGTATATACCCCAGCCGCCAGGATCGTGAGCATTTGGTCAATCAGCTCATCGTCAGTAAACTCCCCGCCTCGCATCATCGTGCCGAGAATATCGCCTTCAACATTTTTGTCCTGATTCTTTTCCAAGGCAAGCTGCTGCCTTTTCTCACGCAAAATGTCGTGGAATACCGCTCGCAGATATTTGACCTTTCGTGGAAGGACAATGTTTGCCTTGCAAGGGATGCTGCTCACGAGCCACTGAGGCAGCACAAGCGACACAGCAAAAAGGAGCAACAGGTCAGCAGATGGCTTCAAAATGGCATTATAGTTCTGTGACACCGGATCGTTTTCGTTCTCGAGGGATTGGAAGTCCCGGCCGATGGCCGCAGGGCCAATAATGTCCAAGGTCAAGCGACTGAGATTGACAAAACGGATCAGTTTTGATACCACAGTCAAGAGACACAAGACTCGGATGATGATACTTACTTTGCCCAGCCTTGGATCTCCACAAAGCCTGCCTGCCCTGATTTTTCGCCCGGTGCCGGGTCAAGCTTGATCGCCTTCTCCACCTCCGAAAGGAAGAGCTGAGTCTTGCTCCACATCAGGGGGTACATGCTGCGAATGTTTTTGATCGTGAACGCAGGAGTGACAGCCTTACGCTGTGCACGATGAGCGTCTCCTTCCGAAAGAATGAGGCCATATCCAAGCCCACGAGCAAGGAATGCTCTGGCACCAGGAGGCTTGACAAAGTCGTAGCTGTTTGTATGCAAGACGTCCATTAGGGCGCGGTGGTTGGTCGCGATAAGGAAGCTGAAGTTCAGAGCCTCTCGGAAGTGAATCAGGCCTTCATTTGGGATAGTTCGTAGCCAGTCGACGGCGATTTTGCCGCGAGGATGACGCAGAAATACTTTTGCGCCAATTAAAGGGCCCTAGAGTAATGTCAATACATTATATAACCATCAACCATGTGTATATCGAGCGCATTCGCACATGAACTGTAGGAAGATGTCTCAGTGGATTGAGAAAGAATGGCCATATGAAGATATTCCATATGGCCATCAAGACAAAATTAGCCCCCAGGGCATAGAGGAAAATGGTGGCTGGTCGCTCGGTGGTGATGCCGGTAGCCATAATTAGAAGAGTCTCAACAACAGTGGGAGGGACTAAGAGCACGAGGTGCTCTTTAGCAGTGGACATTTTGCGAGATTTCAGCAGATAATATATTTCTTTCGTGCGACTTGAAGCTCTCCTCTATTTACCGTACTATGTACTTCGACCGGGCGAGATTTATACGATCCAACGCCATCACATGCGGCTTCTGAGATCCTGTCATGATGTATTGTTTGAGTTTGTGAGTAGAAACATAAACTCTGGCCAGGCAGATTCATTATTGTTGGAATCATTCAATGTGTCACTGGGTAAACACCAACAACATACTACGTTAAGGTGTGGTACTAGCGAGACTCACATGAAGAGCGCCAAGCAGGACGATCGAATAATGCGGGGAACGTCATTAGCGCGTCCCAACAGTTTTGGGAGGGCTGCCAATACAGTCGCGCCAGGGACTCCGGAGTCAAGCGAGGTGGAACGGTAATCACATGGGCACGTCCTGCTTGCCCTATTGGGCATGCAGAGCGAACAGACGCAAGAGCCAGTGGGAGGCGTGTGGACTTCCCCGGTAAGGAAGCCCACCTGTCCATCTGCGCATTGAGCCCCGATCTGAAGGCTCCGCGGCTGCCATTGTACTTAAACGGACCCCTCCTACGAACAACTACTTCCAGGCAGCATCCTTTGTCTTCATGAGACAGCCTGATGAGCGTTCGAGATCTTCATCCCAACAGAATCTAGACAGCAATGAATCATCCGCTATTACGAAGTCTACTACAAACCTCACTCTGACGGAGCAAGTGTATGAGTTCCCTGGCGCTTTTTGCTGAGCCTCGGGGAAATCGGTCGAGATCTACGAATCTCAATCGCAAGATCCCTGATCTTCGATGTTGCCAGACCTAACTTGGCTACCGTTCTCTGTCGCGCAAGGGGCTCTCCCATCTAAGCAAACCACCTTTGAGGGGAAAATCGACGTGACCCACGATGGACTGCCCAGAAAATCGTTTTTATAACGACAGACGGCGGTGAAAGTCGAGTACTGTACCTGCAGAGACTGGCAGTGTTTGGATATTGCCCGTTAGAGTATGTGATGTGCAGTGCAGTGCAGAGTATGTCTGGTGTGACGCTGGCCCATCAGGATGCGTGCCGGCGACCCTCGTGTTTCATTAAAGGATCCTGTCGTCCATTCCTCAGCATTTCCGATGCAGGACAATCCTCGTTTGCTCTGCAAGTCTCTCTCCGATCACCGCATTCCAGTCCTTTTGCCCAACCCGCCCTCGCAGTGCCTGCATTCCATCCGGGCCAAGCTGGATTCTCACTGGCCTAGGGCGATGTTTACTCGACCCAGATGTTTGGTGCGTGTCGAGACGCCCTGGCAGAGTCTACTTAAATGAGATGGGCTTGGAGAGTTCCTGAAGGAATTTGTTCGACGCTATCCGACAAACGACAACCCGGCCTTCCGACGACGCCCTCGCAGAACCGTCAAATCTCCCAGCAAGATGCACTTCTCCAAGGTAAATGCCACATCCAAAATCGAAATATCGGCCTGATGCTGATCGCAACAGACCCTCACTTCCGTGGCCGCCCTGGCCCTCGGCGCCCACGCTGGCTTGCCCGTGGCGAGCGTTGAGTTTCAATCCTGGGAGTCCTGCGATGTTGGCGCCCCGGCCGTTGGCGAGCCCAAGTTCAAGACCGACGCCACCGCGACCCCATTGACTTGTGACAAGGCTCTCGTCAACCGTGACTGGAGTATCGACTTCTACTCCTTCAAGGCCCACCTCGACACCAAGGATGCCCTGCTGTGCAGTGGCGTGACTGTCTGGAACGACGACTCCTGCTCTGGCGAACCCGTGTACTTCCTGCCCTTCCACGGCGAGCCCGTCGCGCAGGGCCAGTGCCTGCCCGACATCCTCGACCCGGGCTATGTCTCCTTCAAGCTGGAGTGCTTCGGCCATGGCGGTCCTGGCGGTCCTGGCGGCCACTAGATGCATTCCCCTGTACAATCGGGCGCGGGCCCGATGAACACACGATTCTTCTCGTATCCTGTTTCATTAATATCCTGTACTTCATACCTCAATTTAATTCCACAGGGGAGGGATTGTTCTCCCTTGGTGTCGAAGCAATCTCCTGACGTTCTGATGATGGCGAGATGGGTAAGAGTAGTAGTGTAAGGACCCGCCTTCCCCGCCCTCCCAGCAATTCCTTCCGCTCAACCTGACGTGTCACCAACACGCCCATCAGAACCTCCATCCTCCCCACTTTGTATGATCAGCTGGCCTGCACCATCTACCATCCAGCTTCAGCTCCAGCTCCATCTCCAGCTCCCCCTGATCTCCACACGGCGATCATGGCGGGTCGATCGGGCTCGCCCCGACGTATGGTTCCGTGGCTGTACGATCTGGTCCTGTGGCTCTTTACCTGGGCTCTGGATCTGTTCTTCCGCGAGATCTACCCTCGTGGTGCCTGGCGCATCCCTGAGAAAGGCCCAGTTCTGATCGTAGCCGCCCCGCATGCGAACCAGTTCGTGGATTCGGCGATTTTGATGCACCTCCTCAAGTCGCAGGCAAAGCGGCGGGTCTCGTTCCTCATCGCGCAGAAATCTATGAATGAACCCTACATCGGAACTCTCGCATCATGCATGGGAGCTCTTCCGGTCGTTCGGTCGATGGATCTGGCCAAACCCGGCAAAGGTACCATCTACCTGGCCGAACCTGACAACGACCCGGCTTTGGTTTATGGTATTGAGACCGACTTTACTCAGCCCGAGTACATGGTTGGTGGCCAGCTCACGATCAAGGGTCCCGATGGGCCTCAAACAGCATCAATTAAAGAAATCATTGGGCCGAGCTCTCTTCGACTGAAGAAGGCATTCGCCTCCCGACCCATTTACGAATCAGATCGCAAAGGCGCCACTTTCAAGATCGCTCCCCATGTTGACCAGCACGAGATGTTCGACGCCGTCTACAAAGAACTCCACCAGGGCGGATGTATTGGCATCTTCCCCGAAGGTGGCAGTCATGATCGCTCCAATTTGTTGCCCCTGAAGGCAGGCGCTGCCCTTATGTCGCTTGGCGCATTGGCGCAGGATCCCGACTGCGGGTTGTCCATTGTTCCCTGCGGTATGAACTATTTTCATGCACACAAATTCCGCTCCCGGGGCGTGATCGAATTTGGCAGACCCATCCACGTGCACCCTGATCAAATCGAAGCTTTCAAGGCTGGAGGCACCAGCAAACGCAATGCCGTCGGCTCTCTACTCGAAACTATCTACGAGGGTCTCGAAGCCGTCACGCAAATCAGCCCGGATCATGAAACGCTCATTCTTGTTCAATCGACGAGAAAACTCTACAACCCTATCAGCAAAAAAATTCCCCTCCCTTTGGTCATCGAATTCAATCGTCGATTGCTCAAGGGCTACGAAAAGTACCATGATGAACCTCGGATCCAAGGCCTTAGAAAGGCCGTGAAAGATTACAACAGGCGCCTCGAATCACTTGGAGTCAAGGATCATCAGGTGGAGTGGGGCAATGTCGAGGAGAAGCCATGGTGGCTGACCTTTATCACCCTCATTTACCGCCTTTGCAAGCTTGTTGTTTTGAGTGTCGGTGTCCTTCCGGGTGTTTTGCTGTTCTGGCCGGTCTTTGTCACCACCAAAGTTATCTCGGAGCAAAAGAGACGCAAAGCACTCGCAGGCTCCGTGGTCAAATTACAAGGCCGTGATGTGATGAGTACTTGGAAGATCCTTGTCGCTATGGGACTGGCGCCCACCCTCTACGCTTACTATACAGTCATTGTGACGCTCTGGCTCCGTTATAATCGCCTTGATGGCTACTATACACAATCAGTGCCCTGGTGGATGGTTGCTAGGACCTACGTTCCCGATTTTGTTCCCCTTGGGGCATTTGCCGTGGGCTTCTATACCCATATGATCTTCGTCAGCTTTGCTGCACTTCGATTTGGAGAAATTGGCATGGACATCATCAAATCTCTCATGCCGCTTCTCGTGGCTTTGGATCCGCTGGCTTCTTCGTCGCTGGCCGACTTGAGAAATCATCGCGAAGCCCTTTCTGAGCAAGTTACGGAAACCATCAATGATCTTGGATTCGGCATCCTTCCCGACGTCGATGCCGAAATCCCCACCGATCCTTATAAAGCGGATGCTTATCAATCTTTCCTCAAGAGCATGCCTCCGAGTGAGGCAGCAAGTCGGGACCGCAGCCGGAGCAGATCCACTGGTCCTGCTGCTGCCCCTGTTATGAAAGGACTGAGCACTATCAGCTCGGAGGGTGATCTGGAAGAAATTGATCGGAAGATCCATACTATTAAGAACAGAGGGCGGCGCTCGAATACCGTTAGCGGGTTTGAGACTGGAGAGTCAATCCTGAAGTACAAGCCCCGCCCTCAGGAGAATACGGATGAGAAGAAGAAGAAATGATTTCGTCTTATGGAAGCAACTCAGCAAAGCCTTTTGTGTCAGAATACCCTTGTGAATACTGAATGTACCAATGACCTCAGACAGTCACCGAGCACCCTTGCACATTACATGGCGACTTCATACTCTCATCATCGGTCGTAGAGACAACAAGATTCAGATAGCCGGGGTCCACCAGCCAACTGACACAATTACTCCACGATCTTCTTTCGATCTAGCCTTCTCAGAGGCTGTCCGCCATGCTCTGGAATGCTCAAAGCGCGCTAGCATGCCACGTCCAGCAATCAGCTCCTTCCCGCGATCCAGGATCGACAGGGAAACGCCTTTTCGGGTCCTGGAATGTGGGATTTGGTCTCCTACTGGCGCCTGTGCAGATTGCTTCACATCCTCCCGCCACCGAGTATGACGCAGAAGGCCATTCTTACTGCCTTGGGACTTGCTAAACGCGTTTCACCTCCTCTCGTCGCCATGCTGTTCATTCTTACCCGCCATACTTATTATGCTAAACTCAATTGAAAGGCGTATATAAGGAGTGAGACAGCCCTAAGTCGTTTATCTTCCACTATCACTCACTCCATACAATTGTATTGGGATCTCAGACATCCTATCAAGCATCCAATCAAAGGGATCTACATCTCATCCCGCCCTTCACCATGCATTCCTCCCTCCCAACCTTGTTGCTCCTCTCCACCCCAATCCACGCCAACACCATCGCCCGAGTTTGGACACATTTCTACCCAAGCTGTCCCGGCGAACCCTTCTCGAACCTCGACACATACGAGAACTACGAAGAAACCGTACCAGCCGAAGAAATCACCGTTGGCAGCTGCGCCAACATCGGCGTCCCCTCCTACGAACACAACCTCGTCAGCGCCATCTCCGTAGACGCGGAGCTCATCTCCCACGAGAAAGGCCACCCCTACCCACCAGAAGGCGGACCAAACTGCAACATCACCGTACACGAAGTCCCAGAATGTGTCGACCCGCCCCTCATCACGAAAGCCCTCCAAAACGGCGTCGAAGTCAGCGGATGCGAACCACGTCAATTCGCAGCCTACAGCGAAGTCTGGGTGCAGCTGGTCTGCGAGAGCAAGGGTTTTGAGTCCCTGCAGGTTTCAGGAGACGATGCACCCCGTCTGGATAAGACGGCTTCAACGCACAATGTGAACAATATCCAAACTCCTGGCTCGGACTCGAACTCTTGGTCCATGGCGCAGGAGCAACACTCTGAACGTCGACCTGAGGATGAGAGTCGGGTCAATGAAGCTGGGCATTCTCAGAGCGACCAGGTCGTTCACGATATTATGATGCTGATCCAAGAGAAGCAGTCGCATGTTGCGGATGATAAGCATAATGCGACTAAGCACCAAATTCACACTCCTCACGCGAAGCTGAATCAGAAGAATGCCAATGCTACTGCTCCTGCAAACCGCACTGTTATGTCGAGGAGGAAGCTGTCTGTGCTGCGCAACCGTGCTCGTCTTTATTAAAAGCAGAGCACTTGATTGATTGTACTTTTGAGCGTTTTGGACATTGAAAAAAATACTTGGCTAGGTGAGACTTGTATATGAATCGAATGAATCAGAATTGATACCAATTGACAACAATTGCGAGAATCGAGCCATGTATACACTACGTAGAAATATTAGATCTGAAGTATTTCGTGACCAGTGTGATTCCCATGAAGACCAAGTAAGAAAGCATTGAATGCCTAAACGCTTCATAAATGCACATTTAAACCACAGAAGAAAAACCAGAATGTTGAGAATACATAAACCAACGTTCCTATCTTAGAACCCAAAGCTATCCAGCAAGGAATTTGCATCAGGTTCATGGAACATGGTCGGGGGAGGTTTCGGTTTCTGCGCAGGTTGCTGTTGGGAATCATCAATGGCAGAAGTATCCTTGCCATCAACAGCACCATTTGCATCAGTAATGCGGACCGGCATGTCAGCAACAACAAGACTGCTCCGCCGGCGAAGCAACTTCCGGTAATCGACCCCGTTCTCGTCGAGTTCGAGGGCGGGCTGGGATTGTAGTGTCTTGTAGGTGGGAGGGGTGCCCAGGAACTCCCAGTGGCGCACCAGGTCTAGGGCGAGGAGGTCGCAGCCCATGCGGTCGTAAAGTCGGGCGTTGCGGAGGACGAAGTCCCATTCTTCACGCGGGTGGACTTGTGAGGCACCCTTGAGAGTTTGGAGGGTTTTCTCACGGAGTTGGTGGTACAGGACGACCAAGGCGGGATCGTTGGAGAGATATGATTTTGATTGGAGAGTGCCTCGTCCGGGACTACCGGGGGAGGCTGGTGTGGGTGAGAGAAGAGTCTCGACCGGTGACTATATGTGCATTAGTAGACAAATCAAGGAGTGGAGAGAATGGTATGCTTACGATGAGTGCCCGCACTGCCATATCTCGTCGTCCAAGCATCCAGAAAGCCCACGAGGCCATCCACCTATTGCCTTCTGCGGCAGCCTCGGGGAGAAGTTTTTCTTCTAGAAGTTCCTTTAACACGGGTCCGTTGTCCCCCTCGTAGGCTCTGGTGATTGTAATAGCAAGCTGGATATCACCCATTTGGTTGGCGACGACATTGGCGCCATCGCGCAGGTGATCAGCAAGCAGGAAAAAGGCAGCGGCATATTCTGATATTAAGGTCAGTTACATTGCCATATGGAGCGTTCAAAGTGAGTGAAAAAAAAAAAAAAAAAAAAAAAAAAAGACTTACCAAATCGCCGCTTTCCAAGCAGCGCATATGCGTTCTTCAATGCAGATGTCTTCCATCTGGCTTCCTTGAAGTCGTTTGCCAGTAGTCGCGAGGTGGCATTTTGCTCACGATGCCAGTGGGCAATGCGCCAAAGACCTTGGAGGATGTTCTTCTTCCCGAGAGCAAGGTAGTAAAGCGTGCAGTCAATCGGATTCCTTTCCTCGGTCTTGGTATATTCGCTTCGGGCAACGATTTCAAGTTGCGCTCTCTATAGCATTGGTCAGTTGGTGATCTAATTGCTTTGAATAGGGGTCATGCGTACCAGCGCGGTCAGATCAGATAACCACATGAAAATGCCACTTTCCCGAGCGGCCTTCCATGTCATCTTGCCATTGAATTGGCGCGAGGCAAGGTCCGTCAAGATGTCCTGGCTGCCGCTGTGGAAGGCCCAGACAATCTCTCTCCAAGAGACTCGGTCCTTATTTGCCACGCCTTGGCTCTTTCGCAGCATGTGCTGTCGGAAAAAAAGGAAGTAGCGGGCTGCATTGTCATCCATTGAGCGTCGGTGCTTCTCAACCATTGCAACACATTCAATCGTGTCAACGAGGCGGAATTGCTCTTGGCTGGACAACCGAGGTAGTGCCACTCGTGAAAGGTTCTCATTCAATATCGATGCGATGTTCTCATCGACAACAGAGGATAGCTCTTCCTCCAGGGCGGCGTCAATGAACGAAGACCGCATTTCTTTGGGAGAATATGGCTGGGATATCTGCGCGCACATTGGTTAACATTTGGCAAAGGGTAATAGCAATGTATGTGAAACATCAATAAGACATACGCTGATCTCTTCGTAGAAGTTTTCTGCTGGCAACTCCAGGAAGCCGTCCAGATCGTCACCTTCGTTGTAAAACTTCAGTTTCCGGTGGAGATTCATCAAAATGGAATGGACCAAGCTAGTCTTGCCAGCAAGGATGCATTGTGCCAGGAATTGTGGGTGGAAGACAGGGAGAGGACCATTCAACCGGCTGACGACATCGTAGATGTCAACAGCTGGGAGCCCCCGAGATGGGATACGAAGCTCAGAGACAAGTCGGTCGGCAACATCGACATCCTTGTCATACACAAATAGCTGGTTACCAGCGCCAATAACTAGGTGGCCATTTGTGAGCCAGCAAGAGTCACCAATTGGGTGAGGGGTGAGGTCACGAATCCAGATTTCTCGAATTTGAGTCCACGAAGGCCGGGAATCGAGGTAGTCGTAGCGTAGCTGAGATAACAGCACAACTTTATGAGGGAAACCCACAGCAAGAATTGATTGCATATCCGGGGTCGAGGTCCAGTCAAGGTCCCGGATGACATCATGCTGGGCAAAATGTTCTTCGAACTCCAGCTGGGCATTGTTGGTATCCCAGATGGTCAAGTGGGTTCGATCCTGGTCCACAAGCGCGGCTTTGCGAATAGAGCTTCCACTAGCCAGCGACGGATTCTCAATGCCGGTATCCACGGTGGATTTCAGTAGCCACTCAACCTTGGCATTTTCTCTATCCACCTTCGCTGTCCATGTTCGTACAACACCGCTGTGGGTGTAAGAAAGGGCAATGTCAGGGGAGAAAGAGTCAAAGAAGCCAGAGGCTTCGACTTTGGGTCCTGCGGGATCAACAGGGAGAATGTAAGCCAGATCTTCCTTCAAGCCCATGTCAAACTCGCAAAGTTTTTGCAGTTGACATGTTGGGTTTGCTTGATCTGACCCCAAGCCTCCCTGTCCACTCCACCGAATTTCCCAAGCGATTCCATGCATATCTGCAGCAATGGTTGCCACGTAGGCCTGACCTGGACTTGCATCTGGGGTGGGAAGTGGAAGCACGCACAAAGGCTTGCTTGAGAGTGTAAAAGGTAAGGATGCAATTTTCTTCGCGTGGTAGGAACTAAAATCCCACAATGAAACACCGTTGTGGTGGAGGTTGACAAGAAAGTGTCCATTTTCGATCACACATGTTCGGTGAATGTGTTCTTCGGAGAATAGTGTGCTCTTGTGTATGAGCATGGATCCATCTTGTCGCCGCCTTTGCTTCCAGATCATAGCTTTGTTCTCGTCTGTGCGTGAAACAAGCGTGTCTCCAAGAGCATTGCGAACGATTTTCTTGACAGGAGCGGTATGTCCTGACCAAGATGATTTGGGGACTATGCGCTTTGGTCGAGGAGCTGGATCAAACAAGACATCGACCTGGGAGTCCCACCACTCAATGCGGCCGTCGAAGTGATGAAGAACAATACTGAGTTTGTCATCTGCAACATTGCTCTGGAACATGCATATTTGGGCATAATCTTCCTCGGGCATCAGATTCGACATGAAGCCAAAATCAAGACCTTCGACATGCAGAATGTTGAAAACACTCATGTTGGTCTTAGCTTTGGAACCGACATCTTCCAGAGCCCAGGCAGACATGTGTCCTTGGCCGTCGATTACCACGCAAATTTCCGGACTATTTTTGGCAACTTCGATAATATGCTCCAAAGCATGATTCTCCTTGTTGCCAGTGTTGCGTTCAACAGCACGCTCTGTTGCGGCACAGAAATCGCGACTGTCCAGAATGAAGCCATATCGTCTCTGTAAGACTTGGTCCACGTTCGTAGCTTCCCGCGGTTGGACAGAGAGGTTCATGTCGATGTCTGTCCAGAATTGTAACGGCGAGAGGGCATGGTGATCCATCGCAGCCCATACTCGGATCTTATTATCCGCACACAGAGTATACAGGACATTTTCCATATACTGCCCTCGGTGGTGAGGTAGTCGCCAATGAACTCCAGTAATGATGTTTGGATGAGGGAGGTATGAAACCTCGAATCGTACCTCATCGCCGAACGCTAGTCGTCTCCATACTTTCGCTAGGCGATCGTAGAGACCCACTGTTACAATCAAAGCGGCGTCTGGGGAGAACTGGGCGTATTTTACAGGAGTCGCGAGCTTGTTTTTCCATGCGCGGCGCGGGTTGTCGTTCACGAACCACAAAGCGAGGTGGGAGTTGCCTACCAGGAGCTCATTCTCGGAACCCCACGACAGGGTATAGATCGGCTCGTCATCGTCTTCGGCGCGGAAGGTATAGGCAAGGGACCACTGGCGCACAGAAGTGTATCAGTATTCAGTTCTAGTCTTCTCCATGACAGGCGTCCGCGGGGAACTGCTTGGCAGAATGGATTGCGGGATGCGCACCTTGAGCGTCTCGCCCTGAATTCCGTACGGCTGGTACACAAAGACATCCGCGCCGCCACACACGGCGATCTTTCCCGACTCTTCATCAAAGGCTACGGCCTGTAGGGTATCGGTATCATCGACGTAGATCGTTTGGAGGAGCGTTTGCGGGCCGCCGAGGATGACCAGCGCATGGCCGGAGATGTACGCCTGTTGGGAGCGCGTGGGCCCGAGTCAGCAAATGAGAACATCAGAAGAATAATGCGAGCTGTAGAGCAGGCTCAAGTATCGAATCGTACAATCACACGAAGTCCATCCCACAGCGCAGTGCTGAAGGACTGGAGCTTGGCTGGGGGTCTCCCCGGCAGTACCGCTCGCATGGGGGTAGATAGGAGGGGGTGAACGCTCGTTACGCACGAAGCTTTACACCATTGCCGGATCGAGGAGGCGAAGGGAGGGCTTCAGGGGTGAGTGAGATTGAGGGCGGAGGGCGGAAAGAGGAGGAAGTTCAATTCGTAGGATGCGATCAGGTGCGGCGATGCTGAGCTGGTGACGCGCAGGGCGGTCGATTACGGGCTCCACTTGGCATCTATCTACTCCCCTTATTCCCACGCACTACTACTACGTATCTCACTATACTTGAATGCATTCGACCCATTCAATCTGTCTACTCTTTGGTCACCGCTCGTTTCTGACAAGCTGCCCATAGTAGTATTCGTCCTCGTCACAATCGAACTCTTCTTCGCCCTCAATTTCGTTCTCCAGATCGCTCTCTTCGGCAAGACTCTCAGAGTATTCATCGGCCCAGCCACCCACGTTCGCTTTGGTCCTCTAATTGGACCCGGGAAAAGCAGTACGTGGGGAGTCTCATTGTCATTTCCATATCTGCGCCAGCATAGTGTCATTTCGGAGCAGGCCTATGCGTTCGGGGCAAATCATTACTATAAAACAGAGCTCGAGTCTGTTGCTAGCCTGGCTGCCAATGGCCTTCCTGGGCCTCCGGTACCAGTACAGAGGCGAATATGTGTTTTCTGGCTTTGGGGGTGGAGGGAGAAGATCTTATCGCCCAAAGGACTCCAGTCCGTCTCGAAGACTTGTAGTCACAGCATGTGGTCGACCATTCAACCAGACACTGGATGCCGTGCTTCCTTTTGATACGCAGCTAACTGGCCAGCGATTTGAACCCACGCCATCCCCTGGGGGATTTCGTCTAGATTCTTACTTCCCACATAGACTTGAAAGATGCTTGTATAGGCCCATCTCGCGAATTTTCTGGAGGCATGGTCATGGGCTATCTTTCGTGAAATCTTTCAAAGCTACAACACTCCAAGTAACCTCTCGGCCACAATATTTGCATCGGCCTCTATATTTTGCACCCTCAACATTGACGAAGTTGGCCTCTGTGTCCATCTACTCTTCCGGTGGTCTCTTCGGGAATTTTCGAATCTTATCGCGTTGTTGGTTAACGCAGGCTTCGGCATGGCCTTTCAACTGGATTATCCGACCAGAGTCGCTCGAAGTTTCAATGCTTGCATTTGGTTTTGGATTGCACAAGATTCCCACCTTGGTAGATTTGGAGTGCACCTCTTCTCTCCGCTCCCCCCTCCCTAGAATTTCGTTCGCGTTTGCTTAGTCATTTCGCTGAATGATCGATGGCTGGTAGACTTGGGGATAAATGGGCGACAAAAAGTCAGAGTTGGAGATAGAAAAAGGATAGTATCTGGAAGCTGGGAAGTTCAACAAACCTTCGGATCGAGTATTCGTCGAGTGAGAGGTTCGCTCTGAGGTAAGAAAGCCAGCTGCAGGGAGCTTGGGCCGGTGTGATAGATTGAGGGAGGAGCGAGCGAAAGCTGAGTGCAAACAGATTAATGTAGGTACTGGTCTCTGGGTCTACAGGATTTTCCACCTACTCATTTGGAAAATGGCGATGTTGAATTTAGCACGACATTGTTCTTAAAGGTCATCTTCACTACTCAGGTATCTATCACAATCGGCAGAGTGCAACAACGGCACCCCTCTTGGTACACGTTGTCTATGCTAGTACCAGTGACATCCTTGGATACAAGTTATTTGATAAGTATCAAATCAAGACAGAAAATTTTTATTGAGCCTCTAGCATTTCCCTCTTATATATACCTGTTGCGGACACGAATATGTTGAAGTCCAGTGTACACACCACGCGTGGACCATTACTCCAAGCGCATGTATTTCGCGGGGCAGATACCAATACGACCGAGACCATTGTCCGAGTCTGCCAGAAGGTTTAATAAAGTCGAGAAAACTTTATACAGCACAGTTATCATCATATTCAAGGTGTTTCATTTGCAGACAGCACACTAATATCGTCCGTGAATTAAACCAGAAAAGAAATCCCTCCAGCTCCTCATATGTTACACCGGCTATGCATAGTGTGCAAAGGCTTGAACGCAAGCATCGCAGAGACAGGAAATGGTATAGTGGTTGTTGATGTACAGGAACTTCGAAGACATAAACCCGGGAGAATGTCGTCATACATTGATCAAGAACTAGGGTCGTCGATTTGCCGATCTGCGGCCGTCCGTAGGAGACTCGGGGAGCTCCTCGTCCACAAATCGGACACTGGTTCCCATTGAACTTCGGCGGCCCGTGCGAGGCCGCAGGGAGGAGGTTGTTTGAGCAGCAGGATTTGAAGCCCGGAGAAGTCGACTGGCGAAAGGAGTATGAAGGGGCGTAGCGGGAGTGGTGGAAATTTGTGCAAGGGCCCGAGCTCGAGCAGCTCGTTTGGATGGCGAGGACATATAGCTTGGTGTGGCCAACGGGCTCGCGGAGACCGGCTCTTGCGAGACTGTCGTGAATTCACTCATCTTGAAAGGTGTTTCCGATGGATTTTGATACCAGGGGTCAAACAAGGCAGATCCCGGACGACTGCCACCCTCAAAGCTCGAGAAACGGGCAGGCGTCAAGGCGGGTCCTGCGGAATCGCGAGCCTCGAGCTTGATACGAGCTTCGTCGACCCAGTGGCGGAAATGATTTCTGGAGTGCTTTCGAAGATTCCTTTCTCGCATTGCGTCTGCGGTCTCGACCGTGCTTCTCATCTGGAAAATGCGGAGACTCAATTTGCGGAGAGAGGCACCTGCTTGACGGAGCATATGAGATCGATATACCGAGTCCGCCTGGTCTTCCATCTCACGGCGAATGACAAACTCCTCTGACATCTGTATCAACTGATGGAAGGCAATTTGGCCGAAATAATGCATGTCGGCCTCTCGGTAGTCAGAGAACCTTTTGATCATTTGACCATGCCAACGCGAGAAAATGTCCGACGCCATCCGAAGCAACTTGGATCGATTCACATTCTCTGCTTGTTGTTCCATATCCATGATTACTCTAGTTTCGGAAGACCAACTAGTCAATGCTTTAGATGCCATGTTGACCTTAATCTTTCGCCGAACCATCGCATATGCTTCTTTCCGTCGCCGCTTGGAAGAATCGAGTGTAGCCTGATGCCAACGTTTCATGGATCTTTTCATCAAAAAATAAAACTCGGCATCAGAAGCCCAACCTTCCATCTTGACTATCTGTTCATGCTTCGACTTCCAAGCCATGAGCGACTCTTGTGCGAGGCGCGGGACATAAAACTCAAAAGCTGCATAGTCTCGCTCGCGCTGAACTGCAAGCTGATCCCGCCAGATGGCAAATTTAGATTTCACCAAGTCTTCAGCGCGATGATCCTCGTGAGTCTCTGCATGGAATAATAGACGTGTGTAGGTATCTCTCGTATTCGTCACAAAACGAGAAAAAATCTGGCGCTTGATACGTCGTTCACGAATCCTGCGCATGAGTTGAAATCTTTCCATCAGAATCCATTTGTATATGGTCTCCATTTTCAGTCGTTCGTCAATCCGTGCTTGCAGAGCAAGGCAACGCAAGGTATCATTCCAGGATGTCCATGTATTGCGCTGGAGTCTGAGTTGGTCCATCTCCTCTGCTTGATGCGCCATGCGTGCTTTTGAGATCCATTGCGTGAGAGCGATTCTCAAGATCCTGGTGTCCACCATATCGCACACCTGAGAAGCAGCAGGAGCTAGCTGAGATTGGATTTTCCATTCAACGAAGTTCTCTCTCAAAGCATGATGGTGATCGATGGACTCGGCTTGTTGGTGGGCTAGCGTAATGGTTTTTGATCTCTGGGACCATGCTTGGAACACAGATGATAGAGCAGACCGTCTGTTATGAGCAGCGATCTCGTGATCACGCTCTCGATTGGTTCGAAAGTTGCGAAGCCAGTAAAGAAGGGAGCGCCGTTTGAGTCGATGGTCGTACCATTCGGGGGCACGACGATCACAGAAACACCAAAACCATTGCCAATATGAGGCATACCGAATGTTGTTGTTGTGAATTGCTACTGCGTGATCTTCGGCTGCCTTCAGATCTGTGATTTTTTTGCGCCACATATTGAATGGCTTTTGCAGAGCAAACCGCTGCGCCTTCAGCTCGTTGACTGCCGTTATCTCACGCCACGCATTGAAGTATTTGACACTCAAAATATGACGTCGAGCCGCAGACGTCCGGGCAACCTCTTCGGATGTAAGCTGGGCCCAGTGGGTGAAGGCTTTCGTCATCAGGTACAAATCCCGGGCTCGACTAGCGCGCTCATCCAGATGCTTGAAGAAACGTTCGGTTCTGGCGGTGTGACGCTTATCTTGAATAATCCCCCGCCATGGTTCAAATGCTTGCCGAAGCAGAGTACTTCGGTCATGATTGACAGCAACGACTTCCCTCTGCTGACGAATATGTCGCGCTTGAAAGGTCCCTTTGAACCATTGCGAAAGAATCCGACGACAAAGAGGCCGTAGTCTATACATATTGAACGTCGACGCATCTCGAAGCAGGTCCGAGAGTTGCGGGCGATACAGTAGCTCAGGCGGTGCCTCTGGTTTCTCGAAAGAGTCATGTTCTGTGGTCTGAGAAGCAGCGGATCTAGATTGATCTGACTCGGAACTGTCCGCTGAGCTCATTGAAGGCGAACGCTGGCGCTTTGACACAGCTGTCAGTCTCGTAGAACGATCATTATGAACAGCCGAGCGAGCGGCGACTCCGTTCGCCAATGGAGCTTCCTGCTTTTCTGTCTTTTTATTTCTGGCCGAGTCGAGCCGGCTAATCAGACGCTGACCAACTTCCAAGAATTGGGAAATCAACTCCGTGCGATCAGGTGATTTGTTAATATTGGGTTGAGCTTTCGGCCTAGGCGATAGCTTAGGCGCTGCGAAATCGGGTTTCCCAGTCTGAAGTCGTGACATTGATGAACGAGAGCTCGGCCGCTCGACAAAGCTTCTCTGGGTTATGTCTTCGCCGATGTCGATGGTAGTGTTGAATGAAGCGCGTCTCCGCGGAGTTGTTGCAGCTCCATTCACTTGGGGAACCTCAGCGCGTGCGCCATTGTCGCCGTGCTCGCCAGTTTGACTGTATGCACTATCAACCGAGTGATGCCCCGTCTCGAGTGTTTCGTTGAATCCCGTAGAGCCCTCCTCACCCAGCTCAATCACGATTCCCAACTGCTGGAGCGCATTCTCGAATTTGTCGAAGAGGGTCGGCCCATGCACGTCTTTGCTTCCCATCTTGAACAGAAACCGCAAGCATGCATGGCCCGGGTCCGCATCGGCGTCATGCTCGCGGATAACCTCATCGTATGCTGCGAAAAGTGCGCGGAATGGTAGGCGATCGACTTGGGGCTGGCCCTCAGCGCGAATGACGACTTGGTAAAGGAATCCGACATCTGGATTGCAAACAGCTATTAATCTCCTAGAATTCAGGCCCGAAAATATAAACGCAATTCCTTACCATCGTCTGAGAGGGGCGAGTTCTCTTCGGTAGGGGCGCGTCGCTGTGAGGATATCGGAGGCATCGAAAATTCGCGACTCAAGGCGCGCTTGTCGCATCTGGGTCATAAAGACGACGGACCAAATGAATCATCGCGAAGGCGGGTATGTCCCAGCCATAAGACCCTAAGCGCAGGAACCAGTCTGCGATAGAAGCAAACGGAGCCAGCAAAGATATCGAGATTCAATCGAGCGACATGGACTGCAATTCCGGGTTGTTTTGGTGGTCGCGACAGAAACATGTCTCGCGATCACGTGATGTTACGTAACATTCCCGGCGTTGTCGACGCCAGCATACGACTCTATCCCATCGCACCTCCACTTTGTCTGGTTTTTCCGCTGGTTTTCCTACGAACTCGGGCCCGAGTGGATATTCCAGCCAAAATGCCCACGAAGACAAGGCCTGTCGAGAAGTTTGCTAAAGCCACCGCACAGTGCTCCGTTGAGGTGTGTAGAATGTCTACCTATGGCACATTGAACGAAAGAACTGACAAATTGATGCAGGCAGCGGCATATGGCAAGTGCGTAGTCGCAGATTACAACGCAGTGCATAAGGATATGTGCGCCAAAGAGTTTATGAGGCTCAAGGACTGCTTCCTGGTACGATAAACCCCCACATTTCACGTTCCAATATTGTTATTGCAACATTCGTTCGGCCCACTAACTGTTGCGTAGGCTGCATCTAAAAAAAGTTAAATCCATTCAGCCAGCAATGGCTTGGGCAACGAATTAAAAATAGGAGTTAGGCACATCAAGTGCAAGTTTACAGAACGCCGTCTGTCTTAGGGCACAAATGGGTTATCGATTTGCATGTTTTCGAAGCATTTGTACAATATTACCTAAGATCTTGAAACTGGTTCAAAATAATGATTCATAACAGATGCATTTCGCCAGACATTCAAAATGTAGACTAGTCTATCTACATGTAAGTTTCTGCTCTTTATACTCTCTATTTTCTCCAGTTCTACCGTAATCACCTCAGAGATTTGACTTCTCTTAGAGTGAGAGCTTGGCCAGACGAAGTAGGAATTTGGCATTTTGCACCTCCTGCTCTTCTTGAGCGATGGTACCCTCCTCATCAGCAGCACCGGCAGACTCACGCTCTTCGAGTGGGCGTCGCACCGCCTTTTCGATGGCCGAAGCCTGCGTCTTGAAAGCCTCGCGCAATCCAACGTTATCAGGATCGCTAAGCACAACATATTCCATCTTCACGTCGTCAGTGGGCTGCAATCCAGCAGATTTTCTGAGACGCTGAAGACGGTTGATGATCTCACGGCCCAACGCCGAGCTGGCCAGTTCAGGGTAGAGGTTGACATCGAGAATAGTCATGACATCGGAATCAGTGTTGGTCTCCATGCCGGAAGTGCCAGCATCATCCTTGATGCCTCGCTTGACCACCAGATCACCCTCCACCAACTCAATACCATCAACCAGGATCTTCTTGTTGGTGATGTACCCCTTCACATCATCGCTCGAAAGAGACGGAAGCGCCTTCTTGACCTTCTGGACGTCCTTTTTCAATTTTTTGCCCAAAGTGGGCCAATCAGCGTTGGCGCTGTACTGCACATTGTACTTGTCCTCATCAGTCGAGAGGACAAGTTCCAAGACGTTCAATTCCTCCTGAATATACGACTCGAGCGATTTGACATCGTCCAGATACTGTTGATCCTTGTGAATCAAAACAAGAGTCTTGAGAGGGGTCTTGAGACCGATGGATCGGCGCTCGCGAGAGATACGGCCAAGCTCGATGACCTTCTGCATACGGGCGACGCGACGCTCCACAACCTCGTCGAAAAGCTCCTGGCGCACTTCAGGGAAGGGAAGGAAGTGGACACAACGGCTGTCCCCAGTGCGCGACTCGGAGGGAATGTGAGGAAGGAGACTCAAATAGATCTTGTCGGTCAGGAACGGTGTGAAAGGAGCAAGTCCCCGAACCAATGTGTAAATGACCTCAAACAGGGTGTTCAGAGCATGGAGAGTGTCCTCGACTCCATTGGCTCCCTTCAAGCGTTGCCTGTTAAACCGGATGTACCAGTTCGTAGTCTTTAGAAGAGTTAGCGCGGGCGCATATTCATGAAACAAAACTCAGTATACCACATACCTGGTCAATCATCTCGAGCAACCGGGGAACAACGGTGTACAAACGGTAGCCAGCCATTTCTTGGTTGACAAACATGAGAAGGCTTTGGCAACTTGCCAGGATCCACCGATCCATTACATTGGTGTTGGTAGATTCCGCCTTTGCATCGAACATGAACTCAATGTTGGAGGTCTTCTTCAGCAAAGCAATCTGGCCCTCCAAAAACTTGTAACTGTTCCACAAAGGCAGAAGCACTTTGCTAACAATTTCTTTGACGCCAGACTCCTGGAAGCGCAGAGGCTCGGCGCGAACAACAGGAGAGTTTATCAGGTAGAGGCGCAGAGCATCCGAGCCATAACTGTTCATGATCAAAGAAGGATCAGGGTAGTTAGAAAGCCTCTTAGACATCTTCTTACCGTCCGAAGCGAGCACGATTCTGTAATCAAGTCAGTAGGGGTCGAAATCATGTTAGGATCTTAGACACTTACCCATTTACAACACAGTTCTTAAAAGGGAGCTTGCCAAACAAGTGGGTGCCAAGAACAGTCAGAGTATAGAACCAACCACGGGTCTGGTCCAGGCCCTCGGCGATAAAGTCACCCGGGAAACTCTTCTCGAATTGCTCCTTGTTCTCGAAGGGGTAGTGTTGAGAGGCGTACGGCATGCTACCAGACTCAAACCAACAGTCGAAGATCTCAGGCACACGGCGGAGAACGCCCTTGCCCCTTTTGCTGGGAATCGTAATATGATCCACCTTGTCACGGTGGATATCAGTCAGCTCGTCCGAGCAGCCTGATAGCTCCTTGAGCTCGGCAATCGAACCGACTGCAACGATTTCCTCAAAATCGTCGGAGACCCAGATTGGCAAAGGAGTACTGTTTGAATTAGCATTTGAGTTTGAAGCGTAAAAAGGGAAATAAAAGAATCGCTTACCCCCAGAAGCGATTTCGGGAAATGTTCCAATCGCGGGCATTCCTGATCCAACTAGCAAACCTCCGATCCTTCACGAAAGACGGGACCCAGTGGGATTTTTCAATTCCCTCAAGCATCTGGGGAATGATAGGGGTGATTTTCACGAACCATGAAGGCACAGCACGGTAGATCAGGGGGTGTCAGAGCGCCAGCAGAATGGGTAACTGTGAGTTATCTGGCTGTCAACGAGGAGACGACCGTTGGCCTTCAGGTGTTTGATGATAGCCTTGTCAGCAGCCTTGACATGTTGACCGGCAAAGTCTCGAATTTCGGAAGTATAAGTTCCATCAGCCGAGACGGGGTTGGGAGGAGGACGATTTTCATCGATCACACCGTGCTCAACGCCGACGCGGTAATCGTCCTCACCGAAGGCAGGGGCCTGGTGAACAAGACCAACACCATCCTCGGCAGTGACGTAGTTGTCGTTCAGAATACGGAAGCCGTAATCCTTGAACTCTTCGTAGAAGTAGTCAAAGAGGGGCTCGTATTTCCATCCAAGCATGCCAGAGCCCTTGATACGTTCAACAATCTTGAATTTGGCCTTCTTCGGGTCTTTGTAGATGGTCCGAAGCAAGGACTCAAGCAAGATGTAGTGCTTAGAGGTTGCCTCGTCGTAGATTTTGATGTACTCGAAGTCCGGGTGAACACAGACGCCCGTGTTCATCGGGAGGGTCCACGGGGTAGTGGTCCAGATAATGAAACATGTATCAGTCTGACCCACGATAGGGAAAGTGACGACAATTGCGGGGTCTTGGACATCCTTGTAGTTCTGCTGCGCTTCGAAGTTACTGAGCGGCGTGGCAAGGGCAGTCGAGTAGGGCATAACACGGTAGCCACGGTACACCATTCCCTTGTCAAACAGCTCCTTGAAGACCCACCAAACCGATTCCATGAACGTAGGGTGCATCGTTTTGTAGTCATTGTCGAAGTCAACCCAACGGCCTAAACGCTCAATGGTTTTTCGCCAGTCAGTGGCGAACTTCATGACGATAGACTTGCATTCCGCGTTATATTGCTCAATCCCAATCTTTTCGACCGCTTGCAGACCGGACATGCCAAGCTTCTTGTCGATCTCGTACTCAATGGGCACTCCGTGGGTGTCCCAGCCGAATCGTCGCTCGACGTGGTATCCTTTCATGGACCAGTAACGGGGGATCACCTTAATCACACAGTCAGTATCTTCTATAAGTTGAAACCAGTCTATTGTGAGATTCCTCGCGTACATCTTTAATCGTCGACGCTAGTAGGTGGCCATAATGGGGAAGACCAGTTGCGAACGGTGGACCGTCACTAAAGGACCAAACGGGTCGATCGGCGGCTTGTGACAGAGCGACCTGGGTTTTGAAGGCATCAATCTCTCTCCACCGCTGGATAACCAGCTCCTCCTCGGCGGGGAAGTCGATAGACATGGTAGTGGTGCAAATGATTTGCGGGGAGTAAAAGAACGAGGGGCAAGATGAAAAGAAACCGTGAGTCACCCCACTACTTTTTCTGCCGGTGCGCCCTGCGCGAATGATTCCCAGTCTTTCACCGCCTTCCAATTTTCGCCGATCGAACTACATGCGTACATACTCGTACCCTAGGGTTAGTAGGTGCCACTATAGTAGAAGATGAATCCTTGCAGTCTTAGCTACGGCGGATACAACTGGAAAGTTCAAGTGAGTAGAGCGAGACTCTCTGGTTGTGGATAATAGCAAAGAGAAACTCGGGATTTGCAAGCTGTATTCGACAATGTACATGGATCGAACAAAGTGCTCTCTACTCCTCGTTCTCGTCATCTTCATCTTCACCGTCCTCGTCCTCTGAAATCTCTTGCCCAAGGTCCTTGAGACGTTTCTAAAAGCTGTTAGTAGGTGGATTTTACTGGGAGTATGGGGACAAGCAGGCTTACCTTGTCCTCGGTTCGTTTGGCTTCCAGGTCACCGAACACAATCAGCAAATCATCCAACTCCGACTGAGTGGCTTGGCGAGCGTCCTCTTTCTCCTTGGCCTCGGACTGAGCCTTTTCAAGTTGGGCCTGGGCGTCTTTCAGGGCATCAGCCACTTTTTGGGCCTGCGACTCAATCTCTTGGGCTTTGCGTTCCGCTTCTGTGGTGCGCGCCTCGAGAGCAGACATCTTCGACGAGAAACCTTCATTGGTGGTTTCAAGGTCCTTGGTAGATTGTTGCTTTGCCTTCTCATAATCCAGTCGCAATGTCTCAATGGTTTTCTTGAGATCATCGGTTTCTGATGCTTGCTGACCCTTCGCGGACTCGAGGACTTGGTTTGATTTCTGCTGGGCTTTGTCAAGGTCCGATCGCAATGCTTCAATGGTCTTTTTAAGATCAGCAGTCTCGGATTCTTGCTGTCCCTTTGCTGTTTCCAGACTTTGGGTAGCGTTATTCTTCTCCTTGTCAAGATCTGCTTGCAAAGATTTCACTTCCTTCTGGAGCCTATCTGCTTCGGAGTCTTGCTGTTTTTTTGCCGCTTCAAGCTCCTTGGCGTCATACTGGGCTTTATCAACCTCTGATCGAAGCTTTTCAATAGTCTTCTTGAGATCAGCCGTTTCCGCACCATACTGCCCCTTAGCAGCTTCAAGACTCTCAGTGGACTTTTGAACCCGGTTCAGTTCAGATTGCAAAGTCTCCCGTGCCTTCTTGAGATCAGCGGTCTCGGCCTCGTGTTCGGACTTGACTGTGGAAAGCTGCGACTCCAATATCTCAATCGAAGCCTTCAGGCCAGCAATCTCGGTTTCGTGCTGACCCTTACTTGATGATAAGGTAGATTCAAAGTCCTGAAGCTTTTGGTGGAGGTCTGAAACCTGCCCCGCATGGCTTTCTTTGGACTGGCTGATAGTCGTCTCTAGTTCATGGATGACACTCTTCAAGCCGGAAACCTCGGACGCATGTTGTTCGCGAACCTTTGAAAGCTCTGCTTCCAGCTGATCGATTTTCTTTTGCAAGCCAGCAACCTCCTGAACATGATGCGATTTAACCTTCGCGCTCTTTCTTTCATAATCGGCTGAGGCCTCCTTCAGCTGGTTGTCGATGGCACGCAGCTGTTCGCTATGTTGCCTGAGTAGCTCATTCTTCGACTGTTTATGCTGTTCGTCCAACTGTGAAAGCTCCTGCGCGTGGGAGTATCGAAGAGATTGCTGGGATTGCTGAGCCTTGGAGACCTCCACAGAGCCCGATTCTTTTGTCTTTCTGTGATCTGATTGCTCTTGTTCTAGCTTGCGTTGAACATTTACAAGGTCAGATTCCAGTTTCTGAAGAGTCTGACTCCGATCCTCGAGTTCCGCGCGCAAGCTATCCACAAGTTCACGAGAGACACCTTTCTCGACACCGTTGGCAACAACCGAGATCTCAAATCCTGGCTCGCGATCGATGGCTCGGAGCAGTCGACTGAAATTATCCTTCAGGAACTCGACAAAAGAGCGATCGAAGAACACCTCCGGGAGTCCACCATCAGTCTGCCCGACAGAGGTCTGTGGTAGGACTTCAAAATCACGGACCAAGGGACATTCCCGCAACTTAGTAATCTTGTCGATATATTGCTCTCTTCCAAGTTGTTCAAGAAGTAGCTTATGCAATGTGACTCGAGGTATAGGGGAATCCTTCGTCGAGAATTCATAGATGATACCAAGTAGAACTGTGCAGAGACCAGGCACCAGTTTGCTAGGCACTCTTGGGTGTTTGATTTCTTGCAAGAGGGTCTGGATACTGCTGCCCTCTCCCAGGAGATCATTCACGACGTCTGGGTCCTCGAAAAGCCAGCCACAAAGCAACATCAGGTAGCCAACAGTAATGCGTTCATCGTCACCACGCTGCAATCCCGTGATTAGATTTCCTACCACGGTTTGTACGCTCGTAACAACTTCCTCGCCACTCTCAGCATCGCCCTCAGTCACCTTCATGGCCGTGGCTTTTGCCTCGTGGTCATCAAAAAGAAGATGGAACATCAAAACGGAAGCCATCCAAACTTGATAAGGATCGGCATTTCCTCGGGACTCGGGTACCGTAAGCAACACGGATAAAATATTGGGAATTCGATCTTGTCCGCTGATGTGTCCATCGATTGCACGTCGGAGCACGTGCATGCGGATTCCAGGATGGTGAGCGAAGAACGCTTCCATGCATTCGCAAGCCGCGAGCCGGGCATCCAGCATACTGTTTGGTGACGGCTGGAGGCTCAACTTCAAGAAAGCTTCAATAACATTGATCCGTTCGGGCTCTGCATGGCCATTGGCGGCTTTGGCGTCCTGTACACGAGATCCCCATGAGACCTCGATATCTCCAAATCTCTCTTGTAGTGGCGAATTTCCTCTAATCAGATCGGCACATGTGGAGAGAGCCTGGATGATGTTAGCGAGACCTATGGAGAAGCTATCCTTCAAGCGCTTACCTTAGATGTAACGTTCACATTGAACTTCTGACCGAATGCAATGCTTAGGACTTGCTCTGTCACGCCATTTTGCCAAAATGCGGTTTGGTTGGCGGGTGTTCCCACACCACCTCGCACCAGGAAGAGCTGAATTATCGCCAGCAATCCCCAGACGTTCTTGTCTCGATGAATGAGGGCCCATTGAGGCGCAGGTTCTTCACCTTCTGTTTCTTGCTCGCAGTCAGAGAGAAGTTTCGTCAGTTTCTTCACACAGCCAGTCTCGCGAAAAAAAGACTGGTTTGAAACGTTGAACCTCAGTAGGTGAGCGAGCAAAGAAAGGCAGTCCTCGACGACTTCTGTTCCATGTGTCAAGGCACCCTCTGCTTCGATCAGCGAGAACAGTATTTCGAATGCATTTTCGAATGCCACCAACTTCTGCAGCTCTTCTGAGGCGGGCGTCAGGACGATGAGGAGAAGGAGGGCCTCTGTCCGAAATGAGTTGTTAGCTCAGCGCCTTACAAGGTCATATGTCATAATGCAATGAGAGCCATACCGTTTCGGACTGGTTCCCTAGTGTCTGTAAGGACATTTACCAATCTTGAAATTCCCAATGGGGCCGTGAAGATACACTCTTGTGTCCGCTCGGGTCGGGCGCTACTGATATGGGACATCAATTGCAGGGAGTATAGGCGAGAATAAAAGTCCCGGGTTTCGAGGAGATCAAGTAGGATCGTGATGTTATCTTGTCGCTGTACCACTCTTAGCTCGGTCGTTGATCAGAATGAACGAGGGAGGACGTACCTGAGTGAACTCATCCGCCAGCCAAAGAGCGATTTCATCTGATGCTTCGGGCTGCCATGACAGTCAGTCAATGCCTCATGAAAACTCTCCCCTCAAAGTCACGTACACTATTCTCATCGGGCGTGAATAGCATCAACAGAGTTTCAAGAACCACCTTGGTGGTGTCAACATCCTCGCCATCATTGCGGAGACTGCTGATCAAAGATCGCAATCCTCCAGAGGCTACCGACGCAGGGTAGAGCTTCGCAAAGCTTCGCAGTCCTTGAATTGCCGCCCGCCGATCCTCCAACAGGGTTGCGCTCTGCAGCCTACTGCTGAGCACATCGATTGTGTCCGTAGCCGTTTGTTTGGCCGGAGCTTGCGACTCAAGAATTCGAAACATCGCAGCTAAATCGTAATCTCATGATCACCGCCGGCCGAGGGCGCAGAAATCATCAAGCATCGAAGGGAGGGAAATTGCAGAGGAAGGTGGACGCCCCGAGGGCCAAACTGATTGCAGTAGTCAAGCTGTCCTCCCGCGGCTGCCCAAGGGGGTAAAGGCCGGGAGCGCTGAGCGGCCGACCGCCCGGAAATATTTCACCTTCGCCGCAGAGACTTCCGAACTTTCGCAACCCGCAACCTGCCCCGCGACTTCCTAAACGCGGTTGCAATAATCTCCTCTATCTGTTTGAACTGATCTCGCCCCCTCGTCGAAGGGCGCTACCCTTTCGAAACCCGAATCCGCGCGATTTCTGCGACCTCCGGACACTGGAACTGCGCGTCGGCTGCCCATCATCTGCAAGGTGCCGCATTCGAGCACTGCCAAATCCACGAGCCGTAACGCCTGACCGTCTGTCGCATCGCCAATATGGGTGTCCCCGCGCTTTTCCGATGGCTGTCCAATAAATACCCGAAGATCATCTCCGCCGTGATTGAGGAGTTCCCGCAGGTGGTAGATGGCGACGAAATCCCGATCGATGCTACGCGCGCGAACCCGAATGGCGAGGAGATGGATAACCTCTATCTGGATATGAACGGAATCGTCCACCCGTGTACCCATCCCGAGGGCCGCCCGCCGCCCGCCAATGAGCAGGAAATGATGCTGGAGATCTTCAAGTACACTGATCGCGTGGTCAACATGGTTCGCCCAAGAAAGCTTCTCATGATCGCTATCGGTATGTGCATCTTCACTTCTGTATGCTTCGCGCCCAAGAAGCATGCAGCTTAATATTTGCGACGAGTGATAATTGCTAACATACTTTTTCTGCCGCAGATGGTGTTGCTCCCCGCGCCAAGATGAACCAGCAGCGCGCGCGTCGTTTCCGCTCTGCCCAAGAAGCACGAGAAAATGATGAGAAGAAGGAGGAGCTTCAGAAGATGCTCGCTAAGCAGCAAGCGAAAAAGGGTGGAGATGCGGTCATCCAGGAGGAAGTGATTCAGAAAACTTGGGATAGCAACGTCATCACACCTGGAACTCCCTTCATGGATATTCTCGCCGCCTCACTGCGTTACTGGATTGCTTACAAGCTGAACACTGACCCTGCTTGGGAAAAGGTAAGAATTGACGTGTCTTACCCCTCAAGTGAATCGACATTCTGACAGGCCTAGATGAAAATCATCATCTCTGATGCTACCGTTCCTGGAGAAGGAGAGCACAAGATCATGGAATTTGTGCGCTCGCAACGCGCATCGCCGGAACACGACCCTAACACACGTCACGTTTTCTACGGTCTGGTAAGTTTCACGCATCATATTGCGAGCTTGTGTCGATAGGATCCTAATAGATATACCAGGATGCCGATCTTATCATGTTGGGCTTGGCAACTCACGAGCCCCATTTCCGCATTCTGCGTGAGGATGTCTTTGCTCAACAATCGAAGCCTCGGACATGTCACCTCTGCGGACAGGTTGGACACAAGGCCGAGGAATGCACGGGCAAGGCGAAGGAAAAGAGCGGAGAATTTGACGAGAAGCAACATGCGGCACCATTGAAGCCTTTTATCTGGCTTCATGTTTCGGTCCTCAGAGAATACCTGGCTGCCGAAATGCATGTTCCGAACCAACCGTTCCCGTTCGACCTCGAGCGGGCGCTCGATGACTGGGTCTTCATGTGTTTCTTCGTCGGAAACGATTTCCTGCCTCACTTGCCCTCTTTGGATATCCGTGACAATGGTATCGACACGCTGATCGCTATTTGGCGTGACAACATCCCAGCCATGGGAGGCTATCTCACCCAAGATGGACACGTTGACCTGAAGCGGGCCCAGCTCATCCTCCAGGGCCTGGCAAAACAAGAGGATGGTATCTTCCGACGTCGTCGACAAGCGGAAGAAAGAAGAGCCGCCAACGAGAAACGGCGCAAGGAGCAGGAACAAGCTCGAAACGAAGAACGTGCCCGGAAGCGCAGACGTAGCTCTCCAGCCTACGACAATGCTCCCAGCAACCGGTCTCGTGGTGGTGGCCCACCTGCCGACGGACCTCCGCCAGGCCTGGAATTGATTACTCCTAGTCGGGGACATTTGTCTAAGGAGAACAGAGAGCTGACACACAGTATGGTCGTTAACCGGGGCAATGTTTACCGTGCCAACATGGAGAACAAAAGTGCCGCTGCTGTGATGAAGAGCAAACTCATGGGCGGCGCATCGGAGGCATCGGCAGCCAACGAGACTCCAGCTACTGCGGAAACCGAAGATGCATCGAACGGCGGTATCGAACCAACGTCTCCCTCCGTCCTTGGAAAGAGAAAAGCGGCCGAGGCCGCAACTGACCAGAATGGGGAGACTGGAACTCCTGGCAGGGACTCACCTCCACCGGCTCCTCCAAAGAAGAAGGAGGATGAGCTTCCGGAAGACACTGTTCGCCTCTGGGAGCCTGGCTATGCCGATCGCTACTATGAGCAAAAGTTCGGTGTCGACCCCGAGGACCATGAGTTCCGCCACAAGGTTGCTCGTGCCTATGCGGAAGGTCTTGCTTGGGTTCTCCTCTACTATTTCCAGGGCTGTCCTTCGTGGACTTGGTATTACCCGTACCACTACGCGCCCTTCGCCTCGGACTTTGTGGATATTTGCGACATGGAGGTTAACTTTGACAAGGGCAAGCCTTTCAAGCCGTTTGAACAGCTCATGGGTGTATTGCCCGCATCCTCTAACCACGCCTTGCCGGAGGTTTTCCACGATCTCATGAGCGACCCGAAGAGCGAAATCATTGATTTCTACCCCGAGGATTTTCCCCTGGATCTGAACGGCAAAAAGTTCGCTTGGCAGGGGGTTATTTTGCTTCCTTTCATTGATGAGAAGCGCCTTCTTGCCGCCATGGAGAAGAAATATCCCCTCCTCACAGAGGATGAACAGGCCCGTAACACTCATGGTACGGAGGTTCTTTTGCTGTCGGAGCAGCACCCGCTCTATCAAGACCTTGTTGGCAACTTTTACTCGAAGAAACAAGGCCCCCCAGAGCTCAAATTGAACATGCGGGTGAGCGAAGGCTTGGCTGGTTCAGTGGAGCGTAGTGAAACCTACATCCCCCATGGCTCACTCGTTTCTAATCTGGAGGAGTATGGTATGCCGAGCCTTGATGACGATCGCTCTCTCACGTAAGTCCTCCCCTCGAACCCGGCCTGAATTGAGTGCTAACTGATGCGTAGTGTCAATTACACCCTTCCTAAGTCTACTCACATCCACAAGTCCATGCTTCTCCGAGGCGTCAAGTTCGCGACCCCTATGCTGAACGATAGCGATGTGCGCTCCGTGAAGGGCCGGGCTCAGAATTCTGGTCGTTCCTTCGGTGGTGCGCCATTAAACGGAAGAGGCCGTGGTGGACGTATTGACTACCAATCAGACCGTGGTTCCGGCGGTCGTCCAAACCCGTTTGCTGCGCATCTTGATCCGCGTTTCATGGCCGGTCCTCCGGGTGCTGGTGGCATGCCAGCAATGCCTCACGGATGGGTCCCTCCTGGATCAGGCCCTAATGACTACTACAGAGGACCGCCTCCTCCCCCACGCGGCGGTGGTAATCAATATCCACCCCGCCAGGGCTATCATCAAAATCAGTATGGCAGCTATGGTCAGGGCAACCGGGGCCGCGGAGGCTACCGTGGAGGAAGAGGGTACGGTGGTCAAAACCGTGGTGGTGGAAGCTACGGCCAATACTAGTGGAAGAACATTATCGTTCTTTCTTCCACAAGGTACTTGTGCCCTGCAAGTACTGTTTCCAAAGTAACCCTTTTTCTGTCGACACGGGCATTGTCGCAAAGGGACGGCGTTCTCGGGGAATAGTGGCGTTGATTTAATTTTCACGATGTAAAAATTGGATTCACAAGACTATCGGAGTCTTTGCTTATCTGGCATTTCTTTTTCTTCGGTAGTACCCTCGTACGTCTTCTTCTGTAATGTAGGAATAAAGATCATACAGATCATACTATTAGTAGTATGAAGGTTATCGTAGTCTTCAAGTCGCTACAACGTACTATTCGTTCGTAGTTTGTAGAACACAAGTATATATTACTATTAATCAAAATATCCAATTTTCACCCTATGGTGAATACTATCAGCAGTTACTCAGTGCCAATTGATTCATGCGAGGGATAGTCAATAGCAGCAATCCGCCCGTCAGACCACCCTGGGGGCACTGTATGAGGTATCACAAAGCAAAAGGAAAGACCAAATGATCGGCCGTGGGAAATAAATAGTTGCCGTGCGAGTGGCCGCGCCGGCTTTGACTCACCGAAGGCGGTCAGATGAAACTGCCGCGAGATCGGAGGGGAAGAATTATTGAGTCAGTTGTGCTCCAAGCATCTTCCTGGCTGGCCGCAGATTGCCAGGTCTTCCGCTGACTCCCGGTGCAGATTTCCCAGGTATGTTCGATTTTCCACCTTTGCGGCTGAGAGATGGCTCTCGATCTCCCCGTGCGCCTTGCGTCGCTAGCTTTGTGGGGAGGAAATCAGCCAGACTCCCCGGGACCCCTCCACCACTAAAACAGTAGTACTAAGAGAGACAGAATGAATTGAGCAGGAAATCCGAATTGCACATAAACAGAACCCTCTATTCCTGTCCATCATCATGACCGAACCCACCAAGATCAGCATCTTGGGCCGGGAGAGCATCGTTGCTGATTTTGGCCTGTGGCGCAACTATGTCGCCCAGGACCTGATCACTAACTTGCCCTCCACGACCTATGTCCTGATTACCGATACCAACCTAGGATCAATCTATACTCCCAGCTTCCAGAAAGCATTCGATACCGCTGTTGCCTCCGTCTCTCCCGTCCCCCGCCTCTTGGTCTACCATGCCGCCCCTGGTGAGAGCTCGAAGTCTCGCCAGACAAAAGCCGACATTGAGGATTGGATGCTGAGCCAGAGCCCCCCATGTGGCCGAGATACCATCATCATCGCTCTAGGCGGCGGCGTTATTGGTGATTTGACTGGTTTCATTGCGGCGACTTACATGCGTGGGGTCAGCTATGTCCAAGTCCCCACCACTCTCCTCGCTATGGTAGATTCCTCAATTGGAGGCAAGACCGCCATTGACACGCCGCTGGGCAAGAACTTGATCGGTGCCATCTGGCAGCCGTCAAGGATCTACATTGACCTCGAATTTTTGGAGACGCTTCCCGTGCGCGAGTTTATCAATGGCATGGCCGAGGTCATCAAAACCGCTGCAATCTCAAGCGAGGAGGAATTCACTGCGCTCGAGGATAATGCGGATTTGATTCTGAATGCCGTTCGCAGCAGCCCTCGGGCCGGCCAAGGCCGCTTTGATGGCATTCGTGATATTTTGAAGGCCAGGATTCTGGCATCTGCTCGCCACAAGGCCTTCGTCGTCTCCGCCGACGAAAGGGAAGGTGGTCTCCGCAACCTCCTGAACTGGGGACACTCTATTGGTCATGCAATTGAGGCCATCCTCACTCCGCAAATCCTCCACGGCGAGTGCGTTGCCATTGGTATGGTCAAGGAGGCCGAGCTGGCCCGCCACCTGGGCATCCTGAAAGGTGTTGCCGTCGCCCGTGTTGTTAAGTGCATTTCGGCATACGGCCTGCCTACATCTATGAAGGACTCTCGGGTTCGGAAATTGACTGCCGATAAGCATTGCTCTGTGGATCAATTGCTTTTCAACATGGCCCTGGACAAGAAGAACGATGGCCCCAAGAAGAAAATCGTTCTTTTGTCGGCGATTGGACGCACCTATGAGCCCAAGGCCAGTGTCGTTGCGAATGAGGATATTGGTGTCGTCCTGGCACCCAGTGTCGAGGTCCACCCCGGCGTTCCAAAGACACTGAATGTGACCTGCGCACCTCCCGGATCTAAGAGTATTTCGAATCGCGCGCTTGTTCTAGCTGCGCTGGGTTCTGGTACTTGCCGTATTAAGAACCTCTTGCACTCTGATGACACCGAAGTTATGTTGAACGCTCTGGAGCGACTGGGAGCGGCAACTTTTTCTTGGGAGGAAGAGGGCGAAGTCCTTGTCGTTAATGGCATGGGAGGCAAGATCACTGCTAGCCCCACGCCTCTGTACCTCGGTAACGCTGGAACTGCTTCCAGATTCTTAACCACTGTGGCCACTCTCGCTACACCAAGCACGGTTGACTCGAGCGTTCTGACTGGTAACAACCGGATGAAGCAAAGACCCATTGGTGACCTTGTCGATGCTCTGACCGTCAATGGAGCTAGTGTCGAGTACATGGAGCGCAAGGGCAGTCTGCCCCTCAACATTGGAGCTTCTGGTGGCTTTGCTGGAGGCAGTATCAACCTTGCTGCGAAGGTTTCTTCCCAGTATGTCTCTTCCTTGCTGATGTGTGCTCCCTATGCCAAGGAGCCTGTTACTCTGAAACTGGTTGGTGGCAAACCCATCTCCCAGCCCTACATTGATATGACCACCGCCATGATGCGTTCTTTCGGTATCGATGTGCAAAAGTCGACTACCGAGGAACACACCTACCATATTCCTCAGGGCCACTACGTTAACCCTGCTGAATATGTTGTCGAGAGTGATGCAAGCTCTGCCACCTACCCTCTGGCTATTGCGGCCATCAGCGGCACTACTTGCACTGTTCCCAACATTGGCTCGAAATCTCTTCAGGGCGATGCTCGCTTTGCTGTTGATGTTCTCAGGCCGATGGGCTGCACGGTTGAGCAAACTGATTTCTCTACCACAGTTACTGGTCCTTCCAGCGGTATTCTTCGGCCCTTGCCCAATGTGGACATGGAACCCATGACAGATGCTTTTCTCACTGCTTCCGTCCTCGCGGCTGTTGCCCGTGGCGATGGCTCCAACCACACCACCCGCATCTACGGAATCGCCAACCAGCGTGTCAAGGAGTGCAACCGAATCAAGGCCATGAAGGATGAGCTCGCCAAGTTTGGTGTTGTTTGCCGGGAACATGACGATGGTCTTGAGATTGATGGTATTGAGCGATCTACCCTGCGTCAGCCCTCCGGCGGTATCTTCTGCTATGATGACCACCGCGTTGCTTTCAGCTTCAGCGTTCTTTCGCTCGTGACTCCCCAACCCACCCTCATCCTCGAAAAGGAGTGTGTCGGCAAGACATGGCCCGGATGGTGGGATTCCATGAAGCAGCTCTTCGGTGTTAAGCTTGATGGCAAGGAGCTGAGCGAGGCGGAGCTCGTCACCTCCAGCCAGGAGGAGAAGGTCAGCGCGTCGGTCTTCATCATTGGCATGCGCGGAGCCGGTAAGACTACGGCCGGTAACTGGGTCGCGAAGAGTCTCGACCGTCCCTTCATTGATCTCGATATTGAACTCGAAAAGACTGAAGGGATTTCCATCCCGGATATGATCAAGCAGCGTGGCTGGCAAGGATTCCGCGATGCCGAGCTGGCTCTACTTCAACGCACCATGCAAGACCGACCCATCGGCTACGTCTTCGCCTGTGGTGGTGGTGTCGTTGAGATTCCTGAGGCCCGCAAGCTGCTTTCCGACTATCACAAGAACAAGGGCAACGTGCTCCTCATTATGCGTGATATCAAACAGGTGATGGAGTTCTTGCAAATCGATAATACCCGACCTGCCTATGTGGAAGATATGATGGGCGTGTGGCTGCGCCGCAAGCCTTGGTTCCAGGAATGCAGCAACATCCAATACTATAGCCAACATTCCAACAACACAGAGCTTGCACTCGCCTCAGAAGACTTCGAGCGCTTCATGCATGCTGTCACCGGCCGACAGGACAGCCTCGGTGTGATCAAGAAGAAGAAGCACTCTTTCTTCGTCTCATTGACTCTGCCCGACCTGCGTCAATGTGGAGATATTCTGAGCGAGGCTAGCATCGGATCTGATGCGGTGGAGCTTCGTGTTGATCTCTTGCAGGATCCCGCATCGGATAGTGACATTCCTTCTGTCGATTATGTTGCTGAGCAAATGTCTTTCCTCCGCCGCCGCGTCTCTCTTCCCATTATCTTCACCATCCGCACCAAGAGCCAGGGCGGTCGTTTCCCCGACGATGCTTACGAAGCTGCTACTCAGCTCTACCGTCTGGCGTTCCGCTCCGGATGCGAATTTGTCGATCTCGAGATCGCTTTCCCTGATGAGATGCTCCGTTCCGTCTCCGAGATGAAGGGTCACTCGAAGATCATTGCCTCCCACCACGACCCCCAGGGCACCCTTTCATGGGCCAACATGTCCTGGATCCCATCTTACAACCGTGCTCTGGAATACGGTGATATCATCAAGCTGGTTGGTGTCGCTAGTAGCCTGGATGACAACACTGCCCTGCGCAAGTTCAAGACTTGGGCGGAGCAGGCCCACGATATCCCGTTGATTGCCATCAACATGGGTGATAACGGTCAGCTCAGCCGTATCTTGAATGGTTTCATGACTCCTGTCTCTCACCCTAGTCTGCCTTTCAAGGCTGCGCCCGGTCAACTTTCCGCGACTGAGATCCGCCGGGGTCTCTCGCTGATGGGTGAGATCAAGGCTAAGAAGTTTGCCATATTCGGCTCGCCTGTGGCAGCTTCGCGCTCCCCTGCCCTTCACAACACCCTCTTTGGCGAAATGGGTCTTCCTCACAATTACGGACGCTTCGAGACCACCAACGTTGAAGATGTCAAGGACTTCATCCACTCTCCCGACTTCGGTGGTGCCTCCGTGACAATCCCTCTGAAGCTGGACATCATGCCTCTCCTCGATGAGGTTGCTCAGGAGGCCGAGATCATTGGCGCCGTCAACACCATTGTTCCAGTGGCTAATGGCGACGCTGCCCCGCGTCTGGTCGGCTACAACACCGACTGGCAGGGAATGGTCCAGTGCCTGCGCAACGAGGGTGTCTACGGCTCCAACGGCACCGAGAGCGCTGTGGTCGTTGGTGGTGGTGGCACCGCTCGCGCTGCCATCTACGCCCTCCACCACATGGGCTTCTCCCCTGTCTACGTGATCGGTCGCACCACTAGCAAGCTCGAGGGCATGGTCTCCACCTTCCCGACCAGCTACAACATCCGCATTGTGGACGGCAGTAGCCAGCTGGACACCGTGCCCCAGGTTGCTATTGGTACAATTCCCGCTGACAAGCCTATCGACCCTACTATGCGGGAAACGCTCTGCCAGATGTTTGAACGTGCCCAGCAGATTGACGGTACTCTCATTGGCAAATCCGTTGAGGGCAAGTCACCCCGTGTTCTTCTCGAGATGGCGTACAAGCCTTCAGTGACGGCACTTATGCAGCTGGCTTCCGACGCGGGCTGGAAGACCATTCCTGGTCTGGAAGTTCTTGTTGGCCAGGGTGTCAACCAGGTATGTTTTCGGATGATTAGCTTTGGGGAATACATGTACTAACTTGAGAACAGTTCATCCACTGGACCGGAATTACTCCTCTGTACCACGTCGCCAGGGTAGGTCTTCTCTGGACTACAAGTCTCTCTCTGTCCCCCATCATCGAATTTTCATCTAACACAACTCTACAGGATGCTGTCATGGGTGCTGAATCCGCATAAGCGAGTCGATTTTGCTTCTTTTGATCTTTAATGCGATTTCGTTTGTTTGAAACGACTCTCCTACCGGATATGAAAAGTTCCTTCTTTCGGTTTCCTCCGTCCTTTTACGTTTGAATGATGCGCAGATTTCTATTCATACATACTTCCAATACATAGCATTGACTTTGGGACCTGTGTGCCTTATTTGTTGTAGTATTTGTTTGGGATCAGTCAGCGAGTGGGTGGTCTTGAGTGGAGAAAACTCGTCGACTAGATTTTCCGCCGCCCGCTCGTCAATCATCGAACCTTCTTGTATACATTATTGGCCAGGTATATATATATCATTTTTAAAGATTCGAAGAAGTGAAAAATAAGCTCATAATTGTTGCACTGTCGCTCTGAAGAAGGGTATTTGTACATCCAGATTGCATTACTGGCAATTGCCCACGAGATTTTTTCTCATGGTTTTTTCCAATGGAGATTCATGCTTCCACGCCCCATTTGTCTCAGACCCTAACCCCGTCATCGCTTCACTCAGATAATACAGAACTAGAACCTTGATCAAATAATATGGTGCCAATTTCGACGCCACACACCCCCTCGGGTATAGTTTTGATAACCGCCAGGTTCATTGCCACGTCACCTATCTGGTCAGCTACTTGGTCACCCACCCAGTCACCTACGTGATCAGCTGTTTGGATAGCTATTCTAGCGAGCGACGGGCCATGCAAAATGAATGAAGTCGGGCATAATTCTCCCCCATATAGCAGAAAGTCCATTTTTCGACTCGCATAGCCAGGACATCCAAGCCGAAGAACTAGCAGATACCCTGAAAGGTCAGGGAGGGGGTGTGTTCTAAGACAGAAGGGGTGTGACTGTATCAATTCCCTTTCCAATAAACAAAATAAAATTAGGAGATTCCATCAGACAGAAAATAGAAATTCCCTACCAATTAATTAGAATCCACGCTTTGACCGATGAGCCCGCTCATTCGGTACATCGTAGATGTTGTTTGTTTCCACTGTGGTCTCAATCTCCGTCTGTGTGAAGATCTTACCGTCGGGGATGATGATTCGCTCCTCACTCGAGTTGTCGTTGATGGTCGCGCCAATCTGCGTACCCAATCCTTCGTCCTTACCGTTCATTGTGCCCAGGGTGATATGGTTGGGGTCAGTCACCTTGGTGAAGCCTGAGCCATACTTCCGAGCATCAGTGTTACCGGACCAAGGACCGTATTTCCTGCCACTGCTGTACTCGCCAATGAAGCGGGGCAAGAAGCGGGAGGCAATGGCCTTGAAGGATGGGATTGAGGCGGCGAAGATACCGACGTTGGTTTCGATGACGGACCAGTACATGGCACCGCTGATGGCGTAGGTGTAGTCGTCGGACGTAAGCATTGCGGGGATGTATGTGATTCGAATGATGGACGAGACACAAGCACTATGGTAGATAGCTGTTAGGCCAGGTCCAATCGAGAAAGGGGCTTTCTGAAACACTTACAAAAGACCAAGGCAGAGGATGAAGCCCAGGGCAATCTTCTGTTTGCGAGGCATTTGAAGCTTCAGAATGACACGGATCGGCAGAGTGTAGGTCAGAACATCAGTTAAGATGTTCAACGCGGCATTGCAAAGGTAGAAGACGTTGATGTTGACACAGGTGCCGGGACCTGTGGCTGTCCAGGCCTTGCTGATGGTCTGACATTGGAATGCAGCGACAAGAACGAAGGAACCGGCCTGGGCTGTAATGACGGCCATCATGACCCAAGAAATCCGAGTCAAGGTACGGTCTCCCAGGCGAGTGTAGAACCATAGGACGGAGGTTTTGACAAAACCGAGAGTTGCGAGGTAGAACATTGAACTCAGCCAGACAGCCTGTAAAGATAAGGTGAGCGATGTTCCAGAGATACGGGAAAGAGAAGATCATACAAATGAGTAGGTTATGAGTTTGGTCTGATCGGCGTATTTGACGTGTTGACCGAGGCCATTATTAACCGCTATAGTTTCAGTTGGTCAGTCTCCAGTTCTTAGCGATAGAATAAAGCGCAGGTACTCACCAACGATTGTGGCAGCAATGAATGCCCATGATAGCAACTGTTGTTGTCAGCTTATGCTTGTCTTCGAGTGGTTCAGCTGGGCCTTACAGAAGCGCCAATGATGAGATCTACAACTAAGTTAGCATAAATCCAATAGAGCGAATTATAGCTGGAGTGCAACTCACAGTCATCGGCACCCATATTTCCCAGGACGTAGACGCGTGCAAATAACCGAAGACTCAAGACCAGAAAAGTCAAGATGGCAAATGCAACGCAAATGCCGACGACCACCGGGCTTTGAGACCCATGGTCGCTTGAAATTCCCATAATGAATCAGATAAAAACGAGTGTATGCGACAAGGAACCGGCAAGCCAATTGAATGATGTCGTCCAGGTCGTGAGAAGGTGGCTGGAAGTATATCCAATTCACGCCTTTCCTGAAAATGTCACCAGGACAAGAAGAAAGGCCAGAAAGCGCATAAAAAAAAAATCAAAATAAGAAAACAAACAGAGAGACGGGAGAGAGAAAAAGGTTTCCAAGCGCATGCACCACCGTTCGCCTTTATTCAAAGTGGCACATGCCCTAAGGGGTCCTGGTTCCGCTGCAAAACGTCCGCTGCATGCTAGTCACTACATGGCGCATGTTCCTAGCAGCTTCTAGATCCACCGTACCCCAAAAACGTCGCCGCCAGAAGGCGTCCAGGCGTGTGGGGATTGGCAAGATTTTACCTAAAGAGAGAAGCGCAGCCAGACGGCCCAGAGCTGATGTGAGCCTTTCCTGGTTGCAGGCCGCTGATCAACAGGGTTAATGTCCGCCTTTCCGGCTTTGAGGGTCGAGGTCCTTCTGGGAATCGTACCCAGCAGCAGGCCCCATCCAAATTGCTTCTTTCGAGGCCTGTAATTAGCCTTGCAGACGCGGAGATGTAGCCTGCATGCCCCGTGCCTAGCAAATGCAGCCGCAGATGGGACTTGTGCTAGGTCCACCGTGCTGAGCATGGATCACTCAGGCCTTCTCGTTTTCGCTCTTTGTGTGGATTCAAACACCCGAACTCTCAAATCAGGGGTGAACGGGAGTCGGGGGGAGGCAGGGAAAAAGGAGTATGTGGGACAAAAGGATGCTCAACGTCTCGTATACTGTCGATTGGAGAATTCAGGTCACAGAGTGGAGACTTTCCAAAAAAGTAATATGGTATATTAAATCTCCTTTCACGGTCTGCTTCGTGCAATGATACATATTCGACTTGGTTCTACGCATGGCGGTGGATTTTAGGGGATTGTAGAGGCAAAGACCAAAGTACATCGGAAGTGCAGATGTACATACAATAGAAATCGGGAAATCGGTACAGGCGTGGGTCTAGGGAATCCACCGAACAGGAATTTCCGATCGCCTGGCCTGTGTGATGCGAGTATGAAATTTTTCAGTTTTCTCCTCATTTTGTTTTGACCGCGTGTGATTTGGTTTGCCTGGTTCAGTTTTCATCCCAAGGGAGATCGCTATTCGCGACGACAACCTCCACGCTGCCTTAAACTTCGAAGTGACAGATGTCTCGGCAAGTTTAATGCAGTTGGTGTCTCGCAAAAGTGGCGACCAAGGTTTAGGTCCGACCAGGATATCGTGAGGGGAGGCTGTGATCACCGCAGCCGGCGTTTCAGCCGATCCCGGGATCTCTGCCACTGGATTCGCGATGTGCCGAACAGCGAGAAGCAAAATCTAGCAGTAAGCAGCCAGGCACGACCCGCTCGAGGCGCTATCTCCAAGCCAACTTGGATCTGCACACCCCATCCCTTCCCGACCCGTCCTTCGCAGAACCACGGGCTCCACCAGCGGGGCTTTCCGATGGTCGTCGCCATTCGGCCGCGTCAGTTCTAAGCGAGACTGAGCTAGAGAAGGCCGTCGCTGCGATTCATGCATGCCCAAAAAAAGGGGGGGGAAGGAGATCGAGGCTCGTGAGATGCGACTTGATATCCATGGGCTGGAGGCCGGGGAACAACCAACAATTCCATTGTTTCACCGCTGCCACGACGTGCAGAAAAAGAATGGAGAAATGACAGGGGGCAAAAAAAAGAGGAAGAAGGCCTCGTGCATGCAACTACGGCCGAGCGTGGTGGAGAACTGGCAGTCGAGACATCTTGACCTCCAGCATGAGGCGCGCCATTGTATTCGACTCGCATGCGATCTTTCGCAGCCCAAGAGAATGCCAGGGTGCATTGTTCTCCTCCAGCCCATCTCGTGAACAGATTCATTGGGCGATCCGGAAGTGCGGACCTCGGTCCATCGATCACCGTTATTGATCTGCGCTCGCTCAGTAAAGGACAGCCTCACGGGATCGAATGAGGGCGCCCGTTATTCCAACCGTCTTGGCTTCCATTCAGGAGACAAGGGCATTGCGTACAAACTATAGCATATAGCTGGCGTATAAACGAAACCGACGCAGGCGATTATCGAATAGTCATGCTTGGAAAATACTTGGAAAACAATGGACCTTCGAGAAGGCAGCAGCCAGACCGAGTCAGACGCGTTCCAGCAGGGTCCACCTGCCTTGTCATGGCCTTTCTAAAAAGGAAATTGGACGGTCGCAATGGCAATAGCAGTGGATACGGAACATGATATCCATCGATGAAGTGCCAGGTTTCCGGTCGACGGGGCGTCTCTCCAAGAGCACCAGGTCCGAGGGCATCGCTATCGCGCATAAACCATCCCCGAGGCCCCGTTCCATTCTGGTACACGAAATTCACGATTCTCGATCCAGGAACGAGTTGATACATCACTTGAGAATCGAGATTGCACATCGACATGGCCCTATTCATCATCTATCACTAGCACATTAGTCCATCGCAACGGTTGTCGGGCCGCTTGATGATGTGCTCCCCGCACATCGTTTTGATTAAAAGCAATCTAGGTGAAGAACACGTTCGGGGTCAGCAGCCGGTGGATTCATCAGATTTGGGACTGAATCTTTGCGAAGCTCGATGGTGGAGCAGGAGCTGTGGTGGAAGGAGGTCCACCGGAGCCCTAGCCTGACACTTGACTGCGCTCCACACCGCCCTGGGCAAATGAGGACAGTCCTGACAGCGGAGAATGACTCTCGTCAACACTACCGAAGAGAACGACTGACGCTAGGGTGCAGCACTCGGGTCTGCTCGTTCTAGGCAAATGGAGAACCAGCATTCCGCCGATCCCCGTCGCGCAACGGTGCCCGCTGTCCGGGAAAGGCTCCGCATATCCCCCTTTCATAAGTACACGCTCGACCGGGATCACGACTGACAGCTCGGGCCTTATCCTCCATCCGATGGACGATCGTTGCCCCTTCAGACAGGCGCAGACGCAAGAGTCTGGCGTCGTCAATGTCTATGTCTTTCAAAATCATGTCGAGATACCCACATAAGCTATTCTGGTGCTTTGTTTGCACCGTAAAAAGGGCCCGTTGAATTGCATCTCCACCCCATTGTGGCACCGATGCTCGTAGTGCTCGAGCTAAGGAGAAGGGCGGGATCCTCTTGAAAGCAACAAAACATCCTCGACCGGGACCTCGCTGGCGATCCTGTCTGCCATTAGGCCCAGTGAGGCCTAGACTTGCCCCGAACTGTTAGTAAAAGCACTTGGACTCCTGCCACGGGTGGATTGCCCAATTGCCCACTCTATCCACGGTGGTTCGACACTGGCTCGTTGGCCAATGGCCTCGTCTCCTTTGTCATTCAGAGGGATGGCGCTGGAAGGAGATGGGGAGGGGGTCAACTCCGCCGTTTATTTTGGGGCCTCCTCTGCCCCTCCGTGACCAATTTTTTACCATTTGCCAGATGCAGTGCATTTGAACTCGAAAGAGACAGAGTCAGCATAATGGGTCTCGCGGAGAGTGTGCTGTCACGGGTGACAGTCACCAATGTGTTTCTCGGTCTTGTTGCCTACATCATCTTCAAAATTGTTTATCAGATCGTCTACTACCGGTTCTTCCACCCGTTGTCGGTTTTCCCCGGTCCTTTTTGGGCGTCTGTGACGCGACTATGGATTGCGAAGCAGAACCTGGCTGAGACCGAATACTTGACTGTTTATGATCTGTCCAAGAAATATGGTAGGGAATCTCGTGCGTGATGAAAACCAACCTGCATTTGAAAAATAACAATTGGCTTCCTATCAGGTCCCGTCGTTCGCATTACTCCTACCCTGCTACTAGTCAACGACCACTCCAAGCTCCCCGAAGTCTACCACCGCAATGTCGACAAGACCGGTCACTATATTACTGGCAGTTTCGGCGAAACGGGAAAGTCTGTTCAACATGAGATCCCACAAGACGCACGCCGTGTTCCGCAAGCACATTGCGGGGCCTGTAAGTACTATTATTACGATCTAGAAGCCTATATGTAAAACGTGGGCTGACAACGAATGCAGTACAGCTTCACCAACATCAAGGGCATGGAACCCTTGATTGATGCGCGGATCAAAGAATGGAGCAACAAGATCGACGATACTTTCGTCAAGTCTGGCGAAGCTTTCGACTTTTCCTGGTGGGCGGTCTACATGGCCTACGACATCATCAGTGAAATCGGTTTCGGCGCTCCCTTCGGCTTCATTAAGAAGGGCGAGGATATCGGCGGTCTCATTCAGGGCTTCCACGATGGCCTCCCTGCTTTCGGCCTACTTGCGCGTTTACACCCCTTCACCTCCTGGATGAAGACTACCTTCATGAAGAAGTACCTTGTGGCCACCCCAGAAGACAACTCGGGCATCGGTATTCTTATGCGATTCCGTGACCGTCTCATCAAGGAACGCGTCGAAGATGTCAACAGCGGCAAACCATTGAACCGTGTCGACCTTCTCCAAAGGCTCATCGAGGCTCGTACTGAGGACGGCAAGCCCCTCGACCTGGAATATATCCGCGCAGAAGTCCTCCTGGTCCTCCTCGCCGGAGCCGATACCACCGGAACCGCTTTTCAAGCCTTAATCCAGTTCCTCTTGTCCCACCTCGAATCCTACGACCGGATGATGGAGGAGATTGACAATGCCTCGCGCAAGGGTCTTCTCTCCGAAATCCCCCAGTACGACGAGGTTCTCGAGCACCTGCCCTTCTTTGTGGGTTGCGTCAAAGAAACGATGCGTCTCTGTCCCTCCGCCCCCAACATTTTCCCCCGCTATGTTCCCGAGCCCGGCCTGGAGCTGTATGGAAAGTTTGCGCCACCTGGTACTGAAATCTCCTGCAACCCTTACATTGTGCACCGTGACCCGGCTCTGTACGGCGAGGATGCCGAGGAGTTCCGTCCTGAGCGCTGGTTGGATGCTGAGAAGGTCAAGCTGTACAACAAGTATAACTTTGCTTTTGGATATGGCTCGCGTGTGTGTCTGGGCCGTGATATTGCTATGATGGAGCTGTTTAAGGGTCCCCTCCAATTCTTCCGTCAATACAAGCCCGAACCTGTGAGAGGAAAGCCTGAGGCCAAGTTTGTGGTCAAGGGTGGTGTTGGCTACTGGCGGGATGTGTGGCTGACCATCTCGAAGCGGCCCCAAGTGAAGGCCGAATAAGTGATGGAGATTTTCAAGTACATATTACCTTTATTTTCTGTAATTAAGACGTTCAAAATGCCTCTCCATATCTGCGTTGGCCACCGAAGCAGACATAACTTAGAGAACAAATCTTTCCCCGTACCCTCCTTCTGTAGTGAAAATGTACAACCCCCTTGAACATGTCAGAGGTCCTCCTGCGCTCCGTTTGTACACCAGGTTCGTTCTTTTTCCTACCAGTACTCATCCCAACGACCACAAATCTTGGCCACTGTCTGATCCTAATGGGTATCACCATAAACAGGGTAGATGAAGCTAGCATCCAAGCTTTACCTGAACGACTATTAGCCAAATTTTTCGAAATCAGCAGTCCTGTCATTTGATACGATTGCCATGAACCTGCCGCTCGTATCATTGGAGAGACAATAGCTTCCACTCCAGCCCCAGATAAGACGAGTTATATCGCTATTGCAGGTACAGTGGCTCAAAACGTTGCTCGGTTCTGTGCACCTAGTGCAGCCTTTGATAGAGAGTTCATGACACTAGCAAGAGACACATATGAAATTCATCCTTCACTGTAGGGAACGTAAGAGCAACCCATTCATATACAAATGGATCTTGGTGCAAGCGTCACCTTATCCATCTCCCAGTGCGAAATTTAGGGCAACAGCAACTCCAATGTCTTATACCAGATTTTGCAGGGTCTTGCGAAGTATGTCCAACCCTGTGGAGGGCCCTCAATTATTTGTTTCCTTAATACTGATTCCTTAGATTCTCTGCGATGAGCTAGACCAGAGCGACCGGTATAAAACCATGGAACACATCCACGACTCTCCACTCGTACTGATCTATCCCAGGAGCTCCAAAATCTCCCCAAGGCCTTACCCAAACGTTGCTATGCTAGGATAAAATCCACGAGCACCCGCAGCTTCTACTCGGTCTAAACCACCCGCAATGCGGAACCACTCCGAACCTCGGGATATGAACAACTATGTCAACCCGAGTAGAGGAGCCATCACTGGAATATTTGACTGGCGTAATGCCACCATTGATCTGTTTGTACTGTCACTTTAGGGCCTTGAGGTTCTTTCAGGTACATTGGGCTCATTCGACTGGCACTTTCACGTACGTCACCGCTATGTGAGATCTGTCTTTCGTGGTACTCTGTATAATACTGAAACTATAGCTTCAGATGCTCAAAAAAATAGTAGTTAATTTTGGGGGAATTGTGGCAATCGTCCAGGTGTACGGTTTCAAGAAAGGTGTGCCGCTAGATGCAGGAGACCCGGACTTTTCGATCCTTAAGTCTTGACTTCTACTGCAAATTGATTTTTACAAAGATTGCTGTTCCTAACGGTGTATGAGCTTCATGGAGGGAAGGAAATACAGAATGTCGACTACTACCTCATCCACCATCGAAGACACGTTTGTCTCGGGGGGAGGCTGATCAGGGAAATCACTGGAGACACCCAATCTTTGCGATCATCTTTCTAATCGACATAGTCAAGGATGTCTATTGGATATGCTAAACGAGTAATTTTAAATTGAATTTGGGTAAACTGACGTTTAAGTGCTTGGACAATAACCAAGATCAGTATTAATATAATAATCTCTGCTGCTGGAAGCCTTATCTCTTACGGTTTATGATTGCAAAGTCTCTTGACGTGAGTAGAGCATGTCATGTATGTAATGTCACTACATGATGTTTGACGCTCTTTTTCATTTAGAACTACAGCTACAGCCACATCTGATAATGTTCTACAAACATCTTTCTTGATCATTCTTGATCATTCTCTCTGCCGCTTTTCTCATCGCCATGGTTGTAAATTCGCCCTGCATTTCATTAGTCGATGACAATTGTCAACAAAACTACGGTGAAGACATTGAAGTCAGCCATCCCTTCTAAAAATAGCGAGAGCAGTGCAAGTGACACACTTGCGCAACCCATTCCGCAAGCACGACCTGCCACATGCCAGCCACGCAACACACCTCTGGAGACTCCACATGTTGTACCACCCACTAAACTCAAAAACGGCATACAGTGTATTCTTGTAAATATGAGTCAGCATCCGCACCGCCACATACCATTGTACCACGCCGTACCATATCGTACCGCAGAGGCCGATAATTCCATTATCGATAAACGGACATGCCGTACCAACGGAATACACAGAACAATGCGAACCCATTTGAATCGTCTAAAGCAAGCCACCAAATCCACAGTGGAGAATACACCGCACAAATTTGCTCCACCACTTCGAAAGCTGACAACCCACCGCCAAAACCCAATTTCACATTTCCATGACTCGCACTGCAGTACTCAATTTAGGAGGGGCTGTGAGAAAGGCAGCGCACTGGCGAGATGATGCCCATCGCTCCCCACTGCTCCCCACCATTATTTGATACGAACCCCAACCCCCACCTAGGGTAGCTCCAGCTCCTATTCCACTGGAAGTGATAGGAACGAAACGGAAACACCGTGCTGGTGCGGGTCAACATGTGGTGAACTTGGGCAGTACATGTGTGTACTTGCTTGTCAGATATCTTAAGCAATATCCGTCTCCACACTCCACGTACACCTTTCTCCGCAGGGACTGCTACACTTCCACTAAGTACCCGAGGGCCCTAAGTAGGGCTCTACTATGTACTCGCACTAGCTCGGTGTAGAAGCTATCTCCGCTGTAGCTGTACGAATGGAGCGACCAGGCTAACCGTGAACGAAAAAGACCAAGCATAGAAGACCTGACTAATAAAATTCAATTGCTCTTCCCACCAAATCGCCGATCGCATCAGGTCAGAATCGCGTCAGCAATAATCCTCTGCCGCACGAATGACGCATCCCGATAGGTTAACATGAAAACACACGGAGATCAAGCGATCGGCAGTGGAGGGAGGGTTGAGAGGGAGGGTAAAGTACCCATCCAATATCCATCCGGTGAGGGTGTACAATCTCCATATGTACATCCAGCAACGTACCGATGTACCACTGATGTACACCTGCACTTAAAAAGGCGAGCAGTGGAGCTTGTAACTGGCTGAAACAGCCCTGCCTATCGGATCGTGGAGGGCAAAAGGGATAGGAGGCCCGTTTACTGAACTCGAACACGAGAATGGAACGTCGGCCCCATTTCCCCCCCCCCCCCCCCCCCTGTCTCCCAGTATGTTAGATTTGGCATTGGGGCTCCCCCGTCCGCTTCGTATGGGATGATACGATGCGGGATGGGATGGTTGGCTGCAGGGCCTAGCAGGGATGAAAGGTCCGTCCTTTCGTCAAGTAGCAAAGGAAGCAAGCTGGCGGGGAAATCTGGTTGGTGCCAGCCAGTGAAGGTCTGGCGATTGTCCTTTTGGACTTGGGAGGGACGGCGTTCCTTTGTGGTGGCTTTTTTCGGTGGTGCCCGTTGTTCCGCGGGCGGCTAGGGTGGGGGATCGATGCAGGTGCCGGGATTGCTTAAAATGTACAAGGGTGCATTCATCTACATGCTGGGGAGTGGGGAATGCTGGTTACATGATGAGAGGGATGGGGGTGAAACTGAGGGGTCAAGGGTTCAAGGCTCAAGACTCAAACTGAATGGAATTGAGAGGGTTCAGTCTGATCTACTGTAGAGAAGTTGTTTGTTTGGCAATTTTTGTTCACCATCTAATAATAAGTAATAGTCGGGTAAGTATACAACCCTTCAAGCCCATAATGTACAGCTTTTTTTCCATATTATACAGTAAGCCATGCTGTACTGAAGCCATGTACAACACCGTACCCGCAAACAATCAAAGGAAGCACCAACCAATGCAAAAGCAACACATGCAAACAAGACATCATCGCGTCAATCGTACAAGGGGAAGATGATAATAATACAGCATAAGCATAGGGTTCGTAACAGACATGAAAGAATCCGCAAGCGAGGAAAAGGCTCCTAACAGCCCCATAACACACAGATACTCGTGTTTTTGTTTTTCTTGTTCCTTTGAATGGATCATAAAAGATGCGCCAGGATCCAACATGGATCCAATGGCGCCAAGATACCCACACACGTCAGGGAGGTAGGGGGGTTGTCCACATAGGAAAGGTGGGTGCGTCATCCTGCGTTGCGGGACCGATCGTCGACGTACATTCGACGTCAGCAGAAGGGCAGGAGCTCGCCGGGGGAATGACGTCAGTGGTGTAATCGTTCAGGCCACAAGGCCACAATCCCGGGGATCCGCGAGTCCCGAAACGGGAGTAGACACCGACGATCTCAGACCAATGTGGGGCCATTCTCGATTAGGGTGTCCATGATGTCATCGAGTAAAAAAGGTTTCCGTCATCGTGATGATCCGTAGAAAGCTGTGGACATGCTTCAGTCCCGGCCGCGGCGACGCTGCTTGCCAGGCCAGTCCACCTCAGGGTGGACCACGCGCATGTGCCGGGTGAGAGCATCATTGCGGCTGAAGGTCTTCTCCTCAGTGCACAGATGGCAGCGCACCTTGAGCTTGCGGGCATTGTGGATCGTATCCTCGTGGCGGGTCAAATCGTAGGGCCGCGAGAAGATGGAATTGCAAGGCTTGCCCGTAGACGGGTTGATGCGCTCGCACTTGTGGGGGCCCGCCTGCGAATTGCGGAGCGAAGTATCGCGGGTAATCAAGTGGCCGCCGGGCGTAGTCTGACGGTGTGCCTCGCGCTTGTGTCGCTGAAGCTTGGTTGGGGACTCGAATCGGAGGGTGCAGCCGTGATAGGTACAGGTGTAGGTGCCCGCATCCGAAGTAGTGTTGCTCGGGCGACTAATTGTATCCGAGACTGGCAGCTTGGGCTGCGCCTGCGGGGTCAGGTCTGCGGACGAGTGCATGTCGCTGCCATTCGATTCCAGACGAGGGAGCCCTGAATACTCGGGCGCCTGCTGCAGAATATTTTGCGCCGGGCGCTGGGTCTGCATGGCGAACGAGAACGGGGGCTGGGAAACCGCAGCGTACTGGCTGGGAAATGCCTCCATCGAAGTTATGGGCTGCGTGGACCGCATCGAGCCACTGTCTCGTCGCAACCCCAGAGCATCGCCCAGGTTAAAGTCGGCCTGCTGCGGTGGGAACAAGGGTGCCATCGCGGCATCCTCGCCTTCATTGAAATCCAAGACCGCATCCTTGGGGGACATGGTCTTGAGATCGGTCTGGGTCTGAGGAGCCAAGCTCATGCCGTTCTGACTCATGGGGACGCTGGTCGCCATCTGCGACTGCAAAGTCGATGGGTTCAGGTCGCCGGCGAATGGCGAGCTGGTGCGGAAGGGCGATCGCTCACGCTTCATGCTCATGGCGGGAGATCCGGAGCGGGCAGACATGTGGCCCTGGTTAGCAGCCTGCAACCGATCGGCGATCGTGTTGCGCTGAGCCATCATGTTCTGGCCCATCGGCTTGCTCATCGGGGCGGCCATGACGGTAGGGTTGTAAAGCTCGTCCTGGTAGATGTCGGAGATAGTTCGGTCCAGCTTAGGAATTCCAATCGGCATGGCACCGTTGTTGGGGTATTCTGGAAGTTGGTCGAATTGTAAGTAATCATTCATCCACTGGTCAAAATCAGGATATCGGGTCTCACCATTGGGCATCGCCTTCGACTCGTCAAATTCGTCGAGGTTGGTCTGGGGAGTCACCGGAGAGTTGTGACTCACGGTCGAGACCGAGGGCGCCAGCGAGTGCGAGTATTCGCTCTGCTGTTGCTGCGGGGGTGATGAGTGGTGCTTCTGCTGCTGGTCCAGGATCGCCTTTCTCATCGCAGACTCGGCTTCAAAGGTACTACCATCGTGGGTCGATGGGTCGTAGTTCTGGAAGGGGGCTGCCAGAAAGGAGTTCTGGACGGGTGTTTGCACGGGAGTCGGCAGCGGCTTGGACGAGCTGTTCGATCGGCGGTGGGTGTGGTTTGGTGAGATGGGCTGCCCCGAAGGCGCAGACCGTGAGGATGCTGAGCTGGGCGAGGCCTTCTGTGGGAATGGCATGCGCGCCGGGCTCAGCAGCTGCAGGTTGCTGTCCCAACCCTGGTTGCCGGCGGCGATGGGCTGTGAGGCCAACATGGACGTATAGTATTGTGGGTATTGTGAGTAGTATTGTTGTGAAGGCGAGTCGGCGCCTTGGATGTCAAAAGACGGGTTGTAGGAGGAAGCCGGGGTCATCGAAGGAGCCCCGAAAGACTGGCTGTCGGCCGTCGTAGGATGGTAGGGGATGGAGAAGGTCGGCGAAGAGAAGGTGGGCGAGGAAGGCGCGGAAGAAGGCGGGGAGGCGAACTGAGGCTGGTATTGAAATGGTGGTTGCAAGCACGACTGTTGGTACTGCAGAGAGTTCTCGGCCAGCTCTGGCGGGTATTGATCGTCTTGTATGATGATGTCTTCTGAGTTGTACGGATCGGTGATGAGACCCTTACGTGGGTACATAAGCATTATGCGTTCACGTCGGGGACGTCAGCAGGTGGAGAGAGATCGAGTTCGCCACCTGGGGATGGCGAGCTTTTTATAGTGGTTAAATCCCGACGGGTCAAGATCCGAGAGATCCCTGGGAGCGGGTTGTGGCCGTGCTGCGAAATGTGGTTCGCTGGGTGAAGAGTCTGGAAACGTCGAGAGGCTCGTCGTCGATGTATGGGCCGGGTGAACCTTATTGAGGGTCGGTCTGGATGGGATGTCAGAGTCTGGTTCTGGAGGATGACTCGATCGGGGGATAAGGCTCACTTGATTTATATGAGCAGGTTTGTTTTGTTGGGGAGGGGAGAGAGACTAATGATTGAGTAATCCAAGTATAATGGGGAGAAGCTCGGTGAAGTATGGCGGACGTGGGTTTTAAAAGCGCTTGGGGCCCCATGACGTTAGGCGTCGCTCGACGGAGGCCCCGAAATCTTTCGGTATTACGGCCGATCCGGTGCATGCACCATGCCCGATTTGGGCCTAGTGGTATGGTCACTTACGGCTGCGATACGCGTCGACGGTACACTTTGGCCGACCCACTGATCTGCTGGGCCGGCGGTGCCGTCTGTGCTGCCCTCTGCCTCTCTGCTCCTTGCATGCCCCCTCGACGGTGGATTTGTGGCTGGCAGGAAAAAAGCCACATACCCACCAGAGCAAATCACGACAGACGGATCGTCTATACAATTCCATTGGACTGGAGATGGTAGCAGATGTTCCCCGAAAACAAATCGAAATTCTGTCTGCCTGTGACAAAGAGTCATCCCGGATTACTCCCACTCCATTAGTTACAAATGACGGCGTATGACTATTTTCTTTCCTGTACTAGCGAGGCTTAGCTCCATTCCCAAGACACGCTATCGGACGAGAGGGTAGAATTTCCCATATCGCTTAGCAATCGGGTTATGTTTTTGGCCTGCATATTCCGGGTCATATCTCGAACTAGTCTCGATCGCAGCTCCAATTTTAGGACCCAGAAGACTCGACAGGGCTGAGCCACACCTTGTTTTGGGCCGTTAGGCCGCGTGACTCAGGAAAATTCCCCCCATTCTTTTCTTATGCCGAGGTACCTTCCCCAATGCGGACTAGCCCGTCCTCCCACAGTCTGCACTAGCCACGTCGTGCTCAGCCACCATGTGGCACCCAGCCCATCGGGATTTACCCTGCATTCCAATCTCTGGGGTAGCCGCCGGGTTAGGCAGGTCGCGGGCAGCGATGGGTTGTTGGGGTATCGATCGCGTACGGCCGATTGCGGTAACGAGCAGGTTCGAGGGGTTTCGTCGGCTACGCAGTACGTGGAATGAATGCCATCGTGGTCAGCTGACCCATGGCATGAGCACCAGGTGGCTTTTTGAGTCATGCTGATTAGCGGATGCGCGGATACGCGGATGCCCTCGTGGTGTCTTGGAGCCTCGCCGGAGCCGCCCTACTTTCCCCTAGTGGGAGGGAATGGTGAGACCATCGGCTACACACGACTTTTCTGGGGTTGCGACCCAAGGTTCGCACCTATTGGGTCACATGGACATTCTGCGCGATGGAGTGATCATGGCCTGTTGATCGTGTTGTTTACTACTCGTACAGTCGTATACAGTCGTCGTGACTAACGACTAGTAGCAATGACTACGATAACCGGCGGTATGACTGCTTCCACATGAAAGAATACCATGCATAATCATGACCCCGATGTTTGTAAACAATGATCCTCGTTTAGGCTTGACTCAGAAACGGCAGGGCTGTACCGAAGCGAAAATTCTTTCGCGGATCCCTGCCAACGGATTGACAGCTAGTGCAGCTAGCGTCGGTTTGTCTGAAGCGCATCGCGTGGCCGCTGGTTAGCATTGGAGGGTTGCTAGCGGCCTTTCTGTATTCCGCTATGCACCTTAGGGTGCTAAAGTAGGAGTAGTGCCGTATCTGATCGGGCGGGTTCCGACCGGGGAAGGCCGGAGCAGTGGCAATGCCGACCGGAGATACTGATCGTTAGGTGCGAACACCGCGTGATGCAGGCAGAAAGCGAACACCAGAAAGAACTAGAACCAACGCAACTACTTTGGAATCCTGGCGCAGGTCCTCGGAGAAATGCAGAGAAATGCACAACATGCACATTCAAGTTCATTGTTGGTGGCCGGCTTTGGCGCTCGGGAGGCCGAGACGGGTCCGGGGTCCCGTGTCAACCGAACAGTCTGGACCACCACTCTATCCTTAGGCCCAGATTCCAGACCCTGCTACGACTGCCCCGGTCTCCTTGCGACAATGGTGAGTTGCAGTAGGGTCGGTTCGCTGGACATGCTTGGCATTCTTCTGTGCGGCCGAGTGTTATTCTTGGATCGCAGCCAGACAACGTGGCCTCGTCCGGGGAAGTGGCAATTTCTGGCTGCTCTGGCCCACACTCTTTATCCTATTGTAGACAATAACAATGCACTGGTCATTAACACGGGGTTCGACTGGATGTCTGTGTCCCGCGACGCAATATACCACGTCTGCCCAGCGCTGCGCACCAGCGCTACGGTAGCAACCACGCGAATCCGACCTTCTTGATGGGGCGCATCATCACCACGACGCTTAGTCCCCTGCGGGAAGAAATTTTCACCCTAGTTGTCCAGAGAGTAGAGCGTGTCAGCACCTTAACAAAATCGGAGTGCCGAGTGCCCTGGCAGTCCTGCAGAGCAGAATTAGAACAGCGCTAATGCATGCTGAAATTTTTTTCGATGCAAATGATTGGCCGCACAGCCACAACACCTGTCTCTGCAGCGCTGGTATGGCGGATACACCGGCGCATACCGCTAGTAACACGCCCAGAAGCCGCTAAGAGTTTCGAGAATCCTTCTAGCGCCGGCAACTCGGCACCGGGATTCTCCGTGGCATCCTGCCCAGCTGCCCAGCAGGCCTGCGAGGAAAATTCTATCCAGAGGTTGTTGCATCAAGGGTCACGGGGGTAGGAGGACTGCACTCCGCGGAACCCTGTGGTCCGAGTTGGCCCGATGGTGTGCTGCGTTGTGGTTGAGCCCATCCCGAGTAAATCAGCCAAAACTAGCCTCGGTGTATACATCTGCGGTAGTCAGTATTCGCTGGGAAATGCATCCCGCCTATCTCAGCTCTTTGTGGTTATTTTTCATTTTTCATTTTTTTGCCATAAATTTCTGATCGAAGGGTCGTTCATGTGAAAGGGGGAAAGGCCTTTTGGAACACTGATCTGCATGGGACGAATCTGTGACAACGCAAGGGGCCCAGAATGCGCAGTGCCGTTGCCTGTCAACGTGAAGGGCTGCACGGTCAAATCATGCTGCCTCGAGACCCATCTCCTGTCCGGACTGTACAGCCATCAAACTGACAGAGAATGCATCGCGTATCCACCGATCTTCGCAGGCTCGAGTCCCGTACCGCTTCATCGGGCAATTCCATTCGACGGTAAACCCAACCGGGTTGCGTGTCCCAACCGGCTTCAGCACAACCGCCAGCTGAGTTCAGCCCGGGGTGCTCCCAATCAGATACACTCACCCAATAGCGAGGCATAGATTGGTTGCGGATGTCCTGATAGTTTTAGCTCGGTCGAGGTGGCGTCGTCTGGCTCGTGCGAGTTCGTGCCGGATCCTAAGTCTCCGTGTAACGCGGTGATCGTCGTAACACTGTTTACTCGGCGCGATATGAGCTGTCAACGGAGTCTGAGACACTGGACGTCTTTTGTACATGTCCCGTATGTTGTTTCCACTTGCGTTCGAGCTAGTTTTGGGATTACATGATCAGATCGTGCTATACAGTATGTTTCAGTTACCATCTTGCGACGTGTCCAAGACGGAGAGATCAATCAAATGGCTGAATTACTGGAGAGTAATGAAGAATGACTCCCGGATGAGGGCATCAGGGGAGATTCGACACCTGAAAATCCTCAAAATTGGGTTACCTGCCAGTGCTTGTGATTACTTGGAGCAGCGAGTCCACGAGCATGATCTCCCGTATTATTCAAAGGATAAAATCAACGTTATCTGCACTTCAAATGCCTATGTATACCCTAGTCTGTAACAATGAAACCCTGATTATAGTTAAAGTAGCTTTAATTACGCACCAACCCTACCCAGCACTGGGCTTCAACCGGATCGCCAACGCCTCCCCCACAGAACCACCAGATCTCCTCGCCCGAATGCCCGCCTCCATAACCGCCTTCATCTCCTCACTCCCCATGAGAAACGCATGCTCCGCCGCGCTCCCCCAGGACCCTCTGGCTTCGGGATCCGCCCCACGCTCCAGCAGCCACTGCACCCGCTCCACGGCGCCAGCCATAACCGCATACATGATCGGATGGTGCGCTACCAACTCCGTCTCCCCTTTCTGGTTGACGTCAGCCCCTTGCGCAAGCAATATCTCCATGATTGGTATCCTGTCCGTGTACGCTTCTGCCCTAGGCGGACCACGGGGATCTATCGGCAAGGCGCCGGCCGCGTAGTGCAGCGGATACCCGAAGCGGATGTGCGCACCAGCGTCGAAGAGCATGCATACGGTTTCCAGATCCCCTTTTGCGCAGGCGGATTCCAGTGCGGCGCATGAATCGTAGCCTAGTTTGTCGTTTGCGGCGGAGCCGTGTCGCTCCATGCCGAAATTCGGGTTGGCGCCTTTGCCCAGGAACCAGCGGACCAGTGCGGTGTTGGTGACGACTTTCGGGAGGAGCGGTGCCCCGTTCGTCCCTGGGTGGTGGGGGTTCCAGCCGTAGGAAGAGAGCAGTTTGAAGAGGTCGATTTGATGGTGTGCTGGGGCGGCGAGAATCTTCTCGGCCGTGGACCGGGTGATGGGGGCGCCGAGTGAAAGTAGGTATTGGGCGACTTCGATATTAGATGCGGAGAGGGCAGTTTCCAGGCCGAAGTTTAGAGCTTTGGGGGAGTGGGATGTTGATGAGAGGATGGACTCGACTGCTGCGGCGGTTCCTATCTGGCAGGCGGATTGAAAGGTGATGATGCGATGTTTTTGGTCGGAGATGGAAGGTGCTGGGTTGGCGGTATGATTGCCTTGATGGTTCACGGGTGTTCTGATATCTTGTTGCAGTTGCATATCTCGTATGTTGTTGTTGTCCCCGCTTGGTTCGGTTGGATCTCCATTTGCTCGTTGCCTAGCGGCCATCGCTTGTAGGGCCCGTTGCTGTGCCTCGATCATACGTAGACGTTGAAGCTGTTGCTGATACTGTGCGGCACTTTGCATATTGGCCATCCCGCTCATTTCGTGCCTCGATCTGGTGGGCACAGATCAGAGGCGATTATTGGATTATGGGTGTTTTCTCGGACTTTTGTATTGTGCGACCGGCCACTAGCCTTGCCCCCTGAACAGGACAGATTTCTCTAGGTGCGCTCGCGTCAGACTCGGGGAGTTTCTCAGCGAAAGTCTTGTCAGATTTGGTAGATTGTATGCGATAGAGTTATTTATGGGAGGAAAATCGAAATAGATGTGTCGTATGGATGAACATCTCAAGTTGAACAGTAGACTGTGCGACAAACAAGGCAGCAAAGAGCCGCAGCTAGCAGCCTGAAACATCAGGCCATTTGGTCTCGTGCGCCCCAGCAAAAGTTTTTGGGCCATCCCTTATCTTTAAAGAGGTCAGATTTCTTATAATTTTGATTTGGGCTATTCTATGCTTGGTGATTTACTGGCTTGAACGTGATCGGTCTCGTTTATTGACATTTGGTTGGATAAGATAGTGGAAGCGCAACCTGTTGTATATGTTCCATAATCCGAAACCCCTACATCCTTAAAGTGCTAGAAGTAGGAAGTGAAAGAAAAATATAGATAATGACAACAGAAATGGTATCGTATTTGAACAGCTTATCTGCTAGGTCCTGACATCATAACTCATTCATTTATTAGAAAAAACCAATGATATCCACAGCAACCTAGTCCTTCTTTTCCTCGAGCCCTCTCGAGTCTCTAGACGTTCTCACTGGGAGCTCAAAAGCCTGTGGACTTGTATCCATCTCATGGACCTCCGGCCGCTGCGAACCCAATTCAACCTTTCGGCCACTGTTGCGGAATATCGCCCTTGAAAATCGCGCGGATATCGGATCTGGCGGAGCTTCTGGAATACCAGGATGTCGGTTTGCGGCTTTTCGTTTCCGCCTTCGTATAATCAACACATAGATAAGTCCGGCTACAAGTACTGCAGCCCCAGCAACAGATCCGATTGCGGCGCCGGCGATTGTTCCGCCGCTCATGTGTGAACCCGAGTCGGATCCACTGTCCCCCAGCTGGCTGAAGTAGGTTGTGACTTTTTCGTTGCTGAATCCCGTTGCGGGCTCGGTGAGGGTGGCATTTCCCATTGCGCTGTCGCAGTGTCAGTCTCGCTGCGGATTATTTGGGGGATTAGGAGGCAATCTCACCTGCCACCAATGACATCGGTGATCTTAGATGGAAGTGTGTACGCGCCGGCATGGTAATTGAAAACCTTGCCCCATTTTGAGTTATTCAGGTTGAGTATAGCGACGCTTCGATATTCCCAATCACATCCTTGTGTGATATTTTCGTACCTGGCCCCGCCCACGGTCAACATCTGCGAGTTCCCAACGACATGGCAACTATGTGCGTAACGAGGAGGAGGCTCCTTCCATGAGTTTGATCCATGTGAATGAGGGAATGGAGAGGACATAGGTCTGATCATAGGTATCCTTCTCGCCTTTTCCGCCGTATAGGTATATGTTGTGGCTCGAGTTGTCCGGTGCCGATACTGTAACTAGGCAAAAGTCTGTTCGCGGGGCTGGGATATCACCGGTCGTGGTTTGCGTGTACCACGTTCCATCTGAGTTACCACCATCAATGGATGCGATGTCGAGGAAATCAACACTATCGAATGGTACCTGCAGTGACGCTGGATGTGAGTTAATAGCACCTTCCAATCTCGAGTTCGAGGTACTCACATATGTTCCCATGTCTGACAAGGCACTGTTGGTAACCGGTTTCGTCACTCCACCCATTGACACCAGAATTCCCTCGGTCCCAATTTTTGGCAAGTAAACTAACCCGCCCATCGCTCGAGGGTAGTTGTTCAGGGACGATGTGGACAAATTCTTCGCTTCTTGTGTCGTTGTATTGAGAACAATGAGACCGGGCACGTATGTTCGGAAATCTTCATAATACTGATAGTCAGGTGACGAGCCATTGTCGAGGAATCCGTTCAGGTAGAATGCCATTCCTCGACCAGTCGCCTCTGCATATGCGCCTCCAGCTGGTCGAAATGGTACATCCAGCGAGACGTCGAATTGATTCCAGGTATGCCCGGTTGGGTCGACAGACCAGAGCGAGTATGTGGGAGCAGTCGAAAACATAAATCCTGGGAAGGTCTGGTTGGCATATGAAACAGTCCCACCGTACATGTAGACATTAGAGTCGTCTTGCGCTCCGGCATAGAGCGCTCCTCGGATGTTGGACGGAGGGAGGGCCCCGGTCTCTGAATTGACGGTCTTGTTCACTGCAGTGACAGTGATGTTTGTGTCCCAGTTCCAGGATCCATTCATAGGAACCATCACCATGTACGTATCTAGGTAGACAATCAATCAGTTCCGGTGTACGTCCGATGCTCGATTTTGAAAACGCACTGAGTCCGAGAATGGGGTCTCCCTGTTCTGGGTTGCCATGGTTGTTGTATGGAATGAATACCTCAATGCCTCCGTCGATGTAGAGGACATCGTCCTTCACGACAGCTGCGACAGTTAGACTCGCTTCGTGGACTCACGACTCTGCATAGTTTTGAGAGGAGATTCACGAACACTGATGCCATAACCTCTGGCAGAAGTTCTTGATCGGGTCGATACTTAACGTGGAGGAATTCGATGCCCCGATAGCCCCGTCTGAGAAGATGAGGACTGTCGCAATGAACCACCACATTGTTGCATCTTCGGAGGAGCAAACTGGAGGAAGCCGATCAAAATCACCACATCCAATTTGAACAGTTAGACGCAATGCGGGTCATATCCGGGGCCCTGAGCAAATTATAACGATATTCAAGCAAGCCAGACTCCCTCCGGCCTTGCGACCTTTTGGGCCCGGCCCCGAGAAGTGAAATACCGGGCAACCAGTCAGACGGGGCCGCGATCTGTTCGGCTCGCGAGCTGCATCCGCCGCTGGTTAGCGTGACCTCCGTCGTACATCAGATCCACTGTAGCCTGCGGCCCGGTGATGGATTGGTTTGCGTCTATGTGCAATAAGGTGTACGGATAAAATTGTCGGTTAAAAGGCCCTAACCCATAATATACTATAGTTGAGAGACCGTCGAGTCTAGCATGTTCGGCGGCGTACCAATTCGTGAGCGAGGAAAATGAAAATAAAGATGAAAATTTGTCTTCCACGCTAATGTCCATCTGTTCGACTTTTTCTCAGCCACCGGGGTGGTTCTATCGGTGATTGGTTGCTTAGTTACATCAACAATCTGCGTGGTGATCCGATGTCGCTGAGGAGTAACTGCAATAAGCGATCGGCATCTCGATGCATGGTGGCTGCTGGGACTGTCCATAGCGTATGCACACTGTCGGGTCGCTCGTCGTGACCATTCATTGAAGCTCCTGAGGGGCAGTCTGGGGCTTGTCGTTGCGGCACGGCAGTAATGACCCCTCGGCGGAATTGCGAGATGGCCGTCCTCTGCCCTCCAGTATGGTTCTGGTGTGTTTGCCTTACCCGGTGCTCTGCGGCGGCGTCTACATTTTGCGACCCAGCGCCCAGTGCCCGGTTTGATTTAGGTATTATCGCCCGGGTCTGCGCTTGAAACACCACGTTGGAGTCCGAATTAGCCCCAGCGTTCACATATCGGAGTCTCGTGAAAGTTTTTCCGTTGAGGAGCTGTGGGTTGTACTGCGGATCGTGGGTGCTCAAATCATCCTAATTCTGGCGAGATTTTGGGACAGGCTTGCACTAGCGAGTCATAGCTGCACACACATGCAGCCCTTGTCTTCCAGCCAGCACGATAGCGTCTTGGTCTAGGGGAACCGTTCTTGCACGTGCATGTGGCTCGCTCTGATTCGATGGGTCGTCAGAATGGTCGCTGATTGATATTGTTCTGCTGGGGGCAAGGGTTCACAGTATATCGAAACAGCCAGCAATAATAACAAGCCCAGCCCAATGCTTTCCCCTCGGTCTTGCCGGCAGGGGGCGCATGATGCATTCAGCCCAATCGTTTCCATGCGCTTCCAACTACTTTCATCTCATGGAGGGTGTCATTTTATTGTGGCTTTGGGCCGTGTTTTGTCTTAGTGCGCACTGGTGATTTGCCGGAGTGCGGTCGGCGAGTCCGGCCTGGGCGAGCGCGATAAGGTGGACATTCGGTGACATGGCGTTGCCGGCGATGGGGGTTCTCTATTGCAGATAGAGCTGCGGGAGGGGGGAAGGGGGGAGGATGTGACATCGATCCCAGCTTCTCTCCGCTCTTGTTCGAGGCGTGGTTTGAAGTGTTTTTTTACTTCGGTGTGACAGACTGCTTCGGCCATTTCCCATCATAGGAACCGTCGTAGTATTTTAGTATATGTAACCCTAATTTTTCGCAACGAATCTTTCTCGTCAGGGTAACCTAGTGGCTTATTCGGGATCTAAAAAACAAGTGCTTCCGGTTCGATTTCGTCAACCATCGTCTTCTCGGACCACTGATCATACCAACATCTGGTAGTGGCGACAGGAATACAATGCAAAATAATAATTTTGCTGTTATTTTTTTACATTTAGCTGTTGGAATTATCTCCTTGTGATGATTTTTGAACATTTGGTTTTAATCATGCTTGTTACATTGATGGTGATATATATTTGTAGTGTAACACACCACCATCTTTCCAGAGAAACCCAACATCAGACCCAATCATTTTGAACGATGATCAAACACAACAAGATCTCGCCCGGGACATAAACTACTACCTAAAAATCATTGAATTGAATTACCAGCTTGCTCATTCGCGTAAAAATGCGTTGAAGATCAGGAAGCGATATTCGAAGTACATGGGCTGCGATACTGCCAGACAACAACAGACGGGGACCAACATTCATGGATTGAAATCGCGCCTGAGCCAACACAGCCAAAAGTAATTACGTTCAAGAATAGAAGCCTGTAGGAATTATCATATTTGTTAATAAGTATCATTTTATCAAGAACTACTACTGGACTTTCATTTCATCTGATCAACACCGAGGGGTGTGCGACTGGTCCCGGGAACGCGGGTAAGCTCACGGCCCAACGACCAAAGCACCGGAGACATCGCGACGCGTCATAAACACGACACATCACAACACATCGCCACAAACGCGCAGACAAACAACGCAGATACTGGCCGAAAAGTAGAAGACTGCTAAAACTTCAACCAGAACCAAGTTCCACAGATTTACAAGGACAAGATGCGTATTTCAAAATTGTATTCGTATCGGATCACACCTCGTTTCGAGTGTGTCACTTCCACCTAAAGTGGTGCCAGCCATATTGTAAGAAGGCCGCTATGATACAGGAAAGCTCAGAGAAGCGAACACTGTAGTGGACGCAAAAGTGGTAGTCGTTGTAAAGAAAAGCAAACCCAAGACCCATGACGATTGTTAAAAAATCAGATAAACACCCCAACGTCCCGTCGTACCGTGAACCCGGAAAATAGAAAGCAAAAAGACGCGTTTAGCCGCCGAAACCGTAGAGGGTACCTGGGAATGGTCAGCAAGAAATACAAGAAAACAAGAGGCGGAAGAAACATACGGCCCTGGCGCTTGAGAGCGTAGACAACGTCGAGGGAGGTGACGGTCTTGCGCTTGGCGTGCTCAGTGTAGGTGACAGCATCACGGATGACACCCTCGAGGAAGGTCTTGAGGACACCACGGGTCTCCTCGTAGATCATGGCGGAGATACGCTTGACACCACCACGGCGGGCGAGACGGCGAATGGCGGGCTTGGTGATACCCTGGATGTTGTCGCGCAAGATCTTGCGGTGACGCTTGGCGCCACCCTTGCCGAGACCCTTGCCACCCTTTCCACCTGTTGAAACGCGTGAGATGGATGTGCCGATGTGAAGCTGGAGCGGGGGAAACCCGCTGGGGGGAGACAACTTACGGCCAGACATGATGAATTAGTGTGAAGGTAAATAAAAGGTTGGTTGAAAAAGTGGGTAAAAGACTTGTGTTGTCGACGAGAGATGGAGAAGAGAAGAAAAGTCTGAGACGAAAGGATATTTGTATTGTATCGGGGTGGACGGCCAGGGATCAGTCGGCAGGCGCAGAATCACGCGCTAGTGAGCGGATCCACCAATCAGCGCACCGTGATCCGAGGCATTGGTGTGATCTGCCGGATGCCCCAGGCTGGGGCGGTGAACCATGATTGATGCTGGGCAATCTGGCAGGCCCTTTCTGATCGGCCACATGCCATTGATGATCGGAGGAAAAATCAGGGGGCATTCCGGGCAGTGGCACGACCGGCTCGAATAGCGAGATCAACGATCCAGCCTCCCTAGCGACGAGGATCAGAAGCAAAGGGGATGGCATTCTACACTTCTGATCCTAGTCGCTGATTGGTTGCTGGCGGGAGACTCGCTTAGCATAAAATCAATGAGTAATCTGGCCAATCAAGGCGCTGATCTGAACATCCATTTTGCCTGTGGAAGTTGCGTCCTGCGCCCGCCTTGCTGCTCCACACGGTGATTCGCCCAACCGCCCTTCCAGATCACTCCCCCCCGGTGCCTCCCTACAAATAGTACTCTTCCCCCACCCGTCTCACTTCCCTTCTTCATCCACTCTCGCCAACTCACTTCGACACTCCATCCCTTTCCATCAAAAATCATCAAAGATGGCTCGTACCAAGCAGACTGCCCGTAAGTTACCCTTCCTCTTATCTTCCCTTGCCCTCCACTGGTGCCCACTCTTCCCCAGTCGAGGTGACTGGCCCGTCTGCCACCCTCACTGCCTGGAGAGAGGGGTTCTTTTGACGCGACGCGTCCAGCATCCCACAACATCACGCTAACAACCTAAACAGGTAAGTCCACTGGTGGCAAGGCCCCCCGTAAGCAGCTTGCCTCCAAGGCTGCTCGCAAGGCCGCCCCCTCCACCGGCGGTGTCAAGAAGCCCCACCGCTACAAGCCCGGTAAGTGACACCAACATCGTCGTGGTCTCGTCGTCGATTCATACTGACAGTCAATCATAGGTACCGTCGCTCTCCGTGAGATTCGTCGCTACCAGAAGTCCACTGAGCTGCTCATCCGCAAGCTCCCCTTCCAGCGTCTGGTCCGTGAGATCGCCCAGGACTTCAAGTCCGATCTCCGCTTCCAGTCCTCCGCCATCGGTGCCCTCCAGGAGTCCGTTGAGGCCTACCTGGTCTCCCTGTTCGAGGACACCAACCTGTGTGCCATCCACGCCAAGCGTGTCACCATCCAGTCCAAGGACATCCAGCTGGCCCGCCGCCTCCGTGGCGAGCGCTCTTAAATGCCCTAATCCTCGGCATTGAGGGTGGCTGATTTCTGGCTTCACACTTCTGGGAAGGCGATACGGGGTTTCTGATTTCATTTTTATTCACGACTGGCGATAACATGATGGGTTTTGCTTTCCAATATTCCTGGGTTTCGGAATCGGGTTGTTTCTGAACTTTGCTTTTATTTTATGCGCGGATCAATTCTACTGCCAACCCCTTCAATGCGGGCAATGGTTCAGTCATGGGCATGTACATTAGGAAATTCCATCTCATGACATAGACGCTGAAATGCGATCTTCTATGAACAACCCAGTCCATGTCGCAAGACTCGTGTAGTTCCCCTTCCGCCTGTAGAATTCGAGTCGCAGCCTACCTTGAAGTACCTTCCGAGGGATCTCTTCGACGTGTTGTTACGATAATCATGGCTAGCGTGTTTTCAGGTCTCCACAGTCGCGTTTGGGTGAAGCCGGCCCCGACCGTGTTGAGATCGTGAGATCGCGACCGTGGCCGCAGTTCGAAGCCCATGTCAGGAGACTGTTGATGTCTTTCACAGTGGCCACTAATTTAGGAGCGCTACTCGTAGTATCACCCCTCTGATTTTCGGGTATACCGTGAGACCTATTCTAGTAACCTTGGAGCCTTTCAACGAGTCCTCTCCAAGCTACCCCGTGTACTTTGACTAGAGTGGACCAGTTCCCCTGAAACCATACAAGCCAGGAAAACTCCTATGCAATGAACCTCTTTGCAACGCCATCACCTCTACTCAAGAAACAAGCAACAGATATACTCAAAACCATACATTTTGGAGTGAAACGCCCGGCATCCCGTAGACAGGACGATGAGCGGCATCGAGGATCAGATTCTGGCGGGGCTCTGCAGTGCGACCGTGTTGGAATGCACGGCCAGGGCAACCGGCGTCGCACGATTTTGTAGGCTGATCAGGGTTCTTACGACAAGAGTCTACTGCTGGGTTTCATCTAGATTCGGGTTTTTGATACCACCGCTCTCTTCGGACTGTCGTGAAGCTCTCCGGACGCGGCTCCTTGTGCCTGAACCTCCCTGCCTGGCTGCATCTGCCAACTCCACGGCGGACGTCACCGGAACCACTTGTGTGGCCTGAGGCACCATTACAGAGAACACATTCTTTGATCCTGCATGCTACACTTTCTTTTAGACAAGGAAACTTTCATGTAAGAATGTATAGGAGAAGAGAATTATGATAGTATGCATTTTACTCCATATCATTTTGATTGCAAACGGGGATCATGACTTTCTTTCGTCTGCATGCGAGTGGGGCGGGAGGGGCAATATGGGAGAACCCCCAAACGGTTTCTGCCTGATAATCGAGGCACCAAAGGTGAAAAAAGGCAGAAACAAATCCCAGCCTGCACAAATTGATGTGGGAGGTTTGGTCACCTCCTTCGACGGTTCTCAAGAATTTTCGCCACCTACCCAGGCTGTGGCGTCACCGAGCCGCGGTTGCGCCTGTCCCCGGCTTTGTATTCTGACTCACTGCCATGAGAGACCGCTGATTCCGGTTCTGGTGTAGATCCGGGTCATTTTCTTTTGTGTGATACGCAGAAAACTGGCTATTTGAGGCAAGTGGCGCTGTGGGAGTACCGATAATGAGCGTTTCACAATATCGTCGCTTTGGGGCTCCAGGCTCGTCACCTGATCTCGAAGGCGGTTTCGGGCAGCATTTGATTCGGTGTGTTCCTTGAGGGCTTCAGTTCTGATGTTATTTGCACATGGGATTGGTGGAATTCCTTCCGCTCTTGAAATGGTAGCCTGATTCTACTCGGGGCATAGAGTACGTGGATGTGCAAGTAACTGTACACCTTGGATCGAAATCAGTTTCACCACTTGGACATGGAGATTCTTTCTCGAACCCTATGATGGCACACGCTAATCTTTATCCCGCTTGGCCTTGTTTCAGGTGTCGAATATTGAAAGATAGTATCATGCGGGCTCACATTAATACATTACATGAAACGCGTTTACACTTCCTCCTGCTACGTCGTTGCCCCTTACGGCACGCTCCCTACTCTTGCGTCATCTTTCTTCTTATATTTGGTAGCAGCGCTTGTCGAGTGGTATACATAGTCAATTTTCATTGCTTTATGCTCTCTCAGGTACAGGATGGATCGAAATTAGTTTCACCACTTGCACACTTGAGGTTCTTTCCCGAACCCTGGTTAGAAGCACACTAATCTGTATTTCGCTTAGCTGAATTCAAAGGTCGAATTGTACCGAGTGACGCCATCATGCGAGGTTTATCTAATAAATCATATGAATTACCAGAACCAATGATACTGCTATTAGCCTGTTTCTCAGATTATTCTTTAGTAATCCTCATTCCAACGGGTTTTTAGTATATATAGAATTTAGAGACGATAATGGAAACTTTTAGACCCCACTCAACAAAGAGAACTTGGTTAGGCGGTGTTTCTCCTCCAGATGACCTTCAGCGGCCCAAATATCAATCACACCCAGGAAAAGTCCGGCTCGCACAGCGCCCCTCTCTGGAACGGGTTCAACCTTAATGCAACGCACACCTGGTTTATTCGGCCTACTTTCCAAATCCGAGATCGGAAAGTAAAGCATTGACGAAGGTTCTAAGACATCGACGGGCAGCACGCGAATGTATCCGAATCCATCGTCAGTAGGAACCTGCTCATAATCCCGATAGAGCGCGGTGCTGTTCTTCCTAAGTTGTAACATGGCAAACGGCGCCCCAGTCTCTGTTTGAATATGGATGGCGTCCGTCCTGTTCTCAGAAGGAGGACCTACCCAAGACAGTCTAGGGAGACCTTGCTTCCAGTGGACGTCGAAGAAAATCCCCAGGGGCAGGTACATGCCGTCGGCCAGTCGTGTGTGCCATGCATGTGCCGCAATGTCCTTGTTATCCTCACTAAGGCCTGCCACTAGCAGTAGAGACCACTTGTGCTTTTTCAGCAGGTGCCCAAAGAAGGTGATCTTTACCTGCTCCATCTTTTTTCCGTCGTCATACGGGGGGTAGGAATTGTGTCTATCCCCAGCGCTCCCAGTAACGCCCAGCACTCGTCCTCCTTGACCCCGTAGAACCGTGATTTCTTGCCGGCTAGGATGTACAGCGGCGAGCTCTTGGTGTATGCAATTAACCCTGAGCGCACAAGAGAGGACAAGAACATGGCAAGCTTTTTGTAGTTCTCTTTGGAGTGACGGATGAACTGGACCACTTCATCATAATCACCACCATCATGCACCTCGCTAATCTTCATAAAAGCCGCAGCAATTCGGATCGCAAACGTTGTCAGCCCGGCAGTAAGGTCGATAACAGAGGCGTACCCGTCGTTGTGTATGAATCGATCATCTCTCAATGCCTCACCTGTGTGATCTAGCAGAATACCTTCGCTTAGAAGAACCCCCTCTTGTAGTGTCCATCCAGAGCTTAGCCAATGCTCTTTCTCTTGCGCGACTCTGACGAGATTTTCAAGCTCCAAAATATATTTTTCAAGGTTATCCTTTGGCACCTCGTTCTTCAGTAACAGCTTGACCGCCGAGTTTTCGCCCCACGTCGTGGAATGAAGCCATACAAGGCTCTTCTTCGCCCCAGCGTAAATAGCCCTGTATTTCATTGTACTCAGCATCCTGGTCATGAGCCGGGGAGGGCAAGCAAGATGAAAACACTTACATCTGTTTGCCGACCTCTTCCCTTTTGGCCTTTTCGTGGTCGGGCGTCAGGGACCGTCCCTGAGGGACACACATCCAATCCCACCAAACATAGCGGAGATGCATGCTTTCAACTACTCGTCGAGCTAGCTCTACAGGCATGTTCTCCACAGTGGGCACCGACCAGTGTAGGTTATCTGGGACGCCAACAGCAGGCTTATCCCAGTCAGCCCACCGACCCCAGGTGTAGGACATGATGCCGTAGCCGTCGCGTTGCACCTCCTTATAGACATCACCATAATCACAGATTTTCCACCGTTCGGTGTCAAGTAGCCACTTTGGGTGAGCAGGTTCGTTTTCGGGGATAGTTGCGGGCACCCAGAGATGGTAGCGGCTTAGGTTTGAAGGTGGTATAGTCGTGCCCATTTTATAGAATTTTCAATAATATCCCTAAGAAGGGCAAATTCGCTTTCACCGGCAGGCGGACTAAACCGTCAAGGTTTGTTGGAGAAATCTTTCCGGTTGATTTGGAACCGATTTCTAGTTATTTTTCTATGTCAAATCTGAACATATTCCGCTTCAAGCTTGGGACTTCACGTACCTGTCACCCACCCCGCGATTACAGTGGGAAATCTCAGAATTGGGCTCCTGATACTCAAGAGCGCAACTATGCCGGTCACCTGTATGGCCAATTCTTTCTGATTTCAAGCCTGTTCGCTCCTCTGGTAAATTTGGAACAGGATCCCCGCTCGTCCGTGGCGTGTCATATGAGTTCTCAGCACGCGCTCTGCTTAAAAGTAAGGTACTAGGTTATTTTAAAAGTAGTATTCTGATATTTTTGATGATGGGGGTATAAATAGTTAATACTGTGCCAACGTATATCTCCATCTTGGTTGCATCATGACGCTTTGAACTATCTGTCACCTACGTCACCAATACTATCCAAATAGCCTACCTAACAAGTCACCCAGTTGGAGGTCAATGCTACTTTCTCATGCTCCGCCGGGTGCTTTGCATCGAAGTTCTGCAGTGGCCGCTAGGAGATCACTTACGTCACCACTAAATCCGGGGCTTTCCCGCAAAAATCTCATTAGGACAGATATAAAGGGTACTAATACTCGATAATTGCGTCAGGGTCGGATCAGGCTGGTCTATATTGTTTCTCGCATGTTATCAACAATTATGGGCCAACAAATTTCGTCTGCTATTGACAGTATCCAAAACGACACCGAGAAGCAGCAGTTGGCCAATGATGCCTTAAACCAGATGCAGGAGCTGGGACACCAGCAGGTTAATTCGTTTATGAATGATGTTACGTGAGTCATAGCTGACCAGCTCGATATATGAATTACTTTCGAACGAGATACTTATGTCTTCGAAACCCCGTCAGGAACAACGCAGTCAACGCCAAGCTGATTCCTGTTGGCCAGATCCTCCACCAGGAGTCTATTGTTCGGTGCAGCATCTCGACCAAGCCGTCGGACATTGGCCAGGAGATTACCAAGTCGTTTGGCCTCTTTGTCAAGGGAGATCTGGCTAATGCCATTGGCACTGTTGTCAAGGACGGCTTAGACGCGCTTATCGGTTCATACGAAGGCAACCGGTCAGAAAGGACCAGCTAGTATGTCACTCACTCCCAGGCCCACTTGAGGGCTACGATCAGTGACCTGTCAAACTAACAGCAGATGACAAAGTACCATCACGACTGGAAGTCTCGGGGGGATCCAACGCGTTGACATTCGGATGTTTGCCTGGAAGTACACTTCAAAGCAACTAGTAAATATCGCCAAGGATATGCTTGCTGTGGCAGTCATTATCTCGTCCGTGGACCCCAAGCAGGTGACACCATTTTCCATTCGATCGTTGGTTCAGGAGCAATACGGGAATATGCCAGTTGATAAGCAGCAGGCAGTATTGAAGACCATTTTAGACGCAAGGAAGGAAGCCCGCGATTTAGGGGACTAGGTCAATGCTGGTATTTCCCTTTTAAACTGAGTGGCCAAGCGTATTTCATACAAACTTTGGTATATTATTTGCCATGGGCGCATCGGTCTGTCATATTTACCGCGCGTATAGGTGTCGGTAGCGAGTAAAGTGAACGTGGGTTTTTAATTATTACGATTGCTTAAGACCGAGCGGGGTAGACCTCTGCAAACGGGCTTTGTGAGCCTGACCTTCTGATCGCGGCCCGGCTCGCCGCGGATCCACAGGCCTGATACCTAAGGCCCGGCACGGCTCACGAATAAGGTGTGGATGTCCGCGGATATCCAATATGGATTTTCTTGGCAACATAATTATTACACTTAACCCATTTCGGCATGTACAAATTGGATGATTCAGCTTACTATTTTAGTTAACTAACGTAATCCCTAAGCGAGTGAGTCACCCAAGCGAGTGAGTCAGAAATCGCGATCGTGCCCCACCGCGTCAACTTCCTCACTTCAACAACCTACCATGCCTCCAATTCGCAGTCAATATTCAAGAAATTCTGTTGAGCAAGAGGGTAGGATTCAGCTCGCGATAAAAGCTCATCAGAACAAAGAAATTCCATCGATTCGCGAAGCTGCGCGCCGATTTCAAGTACCTCATGCAACTCTTCAACGTCGATGCAATGGCCAACCCTTTCGCGTCGAAACGCGCGCCAACAATCATAAATTGACTGCAAATGAGGAGAAATCGCTCCTAGAGTGGATTCTCTCTATGGATGCGCGTGGATCAGCTCCCCGACCTAGCATGGTGAGGAATATGGCCAATATTCTCTTAGCAGAGCGCAGTTGTCAGACTGTTGGACGCGATTGGCCTACCAACTACATTAAGCGCCATCCTCAGCTCAAAAGCCGCTATTCTCGTCGATACGACTATCAGAGAGCAAAATGCGAAGATCCAAGAGTTATCCAACCTTGGTTCGACCTTGTACGACGCACGATCGATGAGAATGGTATCCAACCGGAGGATATCTATAATTTTGATGAAACTGGCTTCGCGATGGGCCTTATAGCTACTGCTAAAGTGGTTACAAGAGCTGAATACTACGGTCGGAGGTCAGTTCTACAGCCAGGGACTCGCGAATGGGTCACATCGATCGAATGTGTGAATTCAACAGGCTTCGTGCTCCCGCCGACGATTATCTTTAAAGCGAAAACCTATCACTACGAAGCTTGGTACGACGACCTACCGAATAGTTGGCGAATCGAAACCAGTGATAATGGCTGGACTACAGACGCAATTGGCCTACGATGGCTAGAAAAGGTATTTATCCCTACAACTAGTAGTCATACTAGGGGTAAATATCGACTACTAGTCCTCGATGGCCACGGAAGTCATTTAACCCCCCATTTTGATCGATTATGCTGTCAAAACGACATCATTCCAATTTGTATGCCTGCGCATTCGTCACATCTACTACAGCCTTTAGATATAGGCTGTTTTGCCCCCCTAAAGCGAGCATATGGGGGGATGATTGAGGCTAAAGCGCGATGCAATATAAACCATATCGACAAGCTTGATTTCCTTGCAGCATTCCCTAAGGCCCGCGCAGATGCTTTTAAACCAGAGACTATTCAAAATGCATTCGCTGCAGCTGGTTTAGTACCATATGATCCAGGCCAGGTCATTTCAAAGCTCGATATCCAACTTCAGACACCTACCCCCATAGGTAGTCGACCAGGGAGCCAATCGAGCGCATGGAGCCCTAAAACGCCAGCAAATCTCAAACAATTAAATCGACAAGCTTCATCAATCAAGGCATTCCTTAGAAAACGCTCACAAAGCCATCCAACGCCTACGAATACCGCTATTGATAAGCTCCTTAAGGGCTATCAGTCATCATTGCATTCCAACGCAATCCTTCTACAGGAAAATCGCGATTTACGGGCTGCAAATGAGACACAAAAGCAAAAGCGCAAGAAATCAACAAAGCGCATTGCTCGATCAGAAGGATTTTCGACTCAGGAGGCCAGGGAGGCTTTTAATAATCCAAACCAGGCTATTGAAGCTCCTATTGCACCCCCCGCGGAACCAACAACCTCAACTTCCCAGCCAATCAGACGCGCTCCACCGCGATGCAGCGACTGCAATCAAGTAGGGCATAAAAGAACGCACTGCCCTAATAGGTCTAACAGGTAGAAATTTGAAATTAACGGCGTTGGTGGTTTAATAAATTGGTTTAAAATAAGAGTAGTTGGTTTTCTGACTCACTCGCTTGGGTGACTCACTCGCTTAGGGATTACGTTAACTAACTAACATACGTCCGTTTTAGTTAACATAATTTGAAAATCTCTCAGATATTTTGATACTGAGTAGCGAGGTGCCCGATTTCAAATGTAATGTGCGGCCTGAGTGATCGCCAACGGCATAAACTCTAGCACGGCTACTAACTGTAGACTTTCTTGACTATCCCCTGTTTGTTGAAGTTTTTTCCGGAGAAGCTCCAACGCCTCAGACCTTTGCATCGGTTTCACATCAACTAGATCATCATGATCGACTAGCTTTAATGCGATCTCTCTGATCCGACTCATAATAATCATAGATCCATTTTGGCTTCAAGGAACGTATTCCAATAGCGGTTTTGTCGACGGAGTCATTGGGCCTTTCGTCGGGTCTCCCTTCTCTACTCCTCGAATGGAGCATAGGAACTTGTCATCATCGGCATTGTCAAGTATACAAATCCATTTCCCTTTGTTCTCATCCCGAAGCCAGTCCTCGACCAGTTTAAATATGTTAACCTTTGGATCCTGACGACCTGTTATTTTTTAATTGGTCTGAGATATCCCAAAAACTTTGCTCGAATCTAGCTTCGTTATTCGTATGAATCCAGAAAACCCAGGTTGCTGGCGATTCGGATCGGACCTGGTACGAGTACTTGATGGCAAGTTGTGATTTCCTTCAAGTTGTGAGCAACGAACAACGTATTGGTCCCTCTACACTCACCCAGCTCCACCGAGGCCGACCAACGCTATTCTCGACCCAGGCACTGAGTTTTCCTCACGAATTCGATGAAGTAGAGGGTTGCGACTGACGAATTCTGGATCGCGCGGGAATGGGACAGTCGATAGAGGACTAGGTGGGGTTTCTGGTCGCTCTGGTGTGGGCAGCGGTCATTAGTAAGTCGGCCTTTCGATCATGTGCGGTTCCTGACTCACCCGGCAGGGGATGGAATTCGGCGTTGATCGATCCATGGTTGTCTCCGATCTGAAGCCCATGATTGTTGCCACAGAAAGATTTCGATGCCATGATTGAGTGAATTCGCGTCGTACGGATTCCATTCGAAGCGCCGTGGTCTTCTCCCCAGTTCAAGCAGGACAAGGCGAATTCCCCTTCTGTTTGCCTTGTTTGCAGGATCAACGTTCTAGAAGCCATCGAGACCATACAAACTTATAAGGATGCTATTTTTACGCTGTCATTTAAAATCGTACTGGAATACTGCCAAGAAAGGGGTTCGGGGGTAGATAACCGTAATAGGTATAGCGAAGTTTCAAAAGAGGGTTCGAGAAAGAATCTCTGTGTGTTGGTGGTGAATCTGATTTCGATCCACCCTGTATGATTTCTTATATCCGGAGTTCAATTCTGGTCTGATGCTAGACCTTTGACGTCAAACGCACCAAGAGCCCAGTCTAGAGGTGGCCTCCATCCAGAACCCAGAGTCCTGTGAATCGCAATCAGCACACGCTGCCCCCAAGATGAAATCCACCAAACCCATCTCAAGCGGTGGAGCAAAACACAGTAATGTGCCAATATGAGCAACGTAAACGGGTGACGCTGCAGCAGTTGATGATGGAACCAAGATGGAAGATCACAAATCCACATAAAGGCCCACAAAATGGACTCCGTGCCACCATCTACATTGCCGAAAAGATTCTCGAGTCGCCTGATGACTTTATGAAAGGCTCCGCGCTCTTCCTCGGGCATGTGGCTGGCGTTGATATCGTAGAGGGCGGAAATCGCCGGGCGAGAAGATTCTGATCCTCCGGTGCTGGTTTCTTCCATTTATGTCAATTGGCCAATTTCGTCGGACTTGCTCCCTGTTAAAAGAGGTGTGGAGAAGTTCATCATTGATCTTGCGAGTGTGGTGATCTGGATTATCTCGTCGAGTGGATCGGACGACTTGGGCGTTGAAGCCGGGACGGCGAGCGGGAAGGCGAACGCGAAGCTGATCAATAGACTGGAGAATGCGAAGCTCCCAATGACTTGTTCCTGGGCTTTCAGCTCGCTCGTACATGTGAATGAGTTGATGGCTTTGCTTTGATGGTATTCAGCGGCTTTGATGTACTTCGCGGAGCTGTGTCCGGCATAGGTAGGCTTTGTCCAGAGCCAAGATCCAGAGGCACTGTAGTGACATGTATCTCTGCGATCTGCACACTTGGTACAGGTTGGTTGTTTCTCATCGCACTGGATCAATGTTAGTGGAGCTGCGCAGTGTCTGTCCCACCCAGGGAGTTTCAAGTTGAATACCTTCACACTCCTACGCTTGCATTATAGACATCCATGATGTGAGTTGCGTGAACCCTTACGGCGAGGCATGTGCGTAAGGTAGCCCCCATAACACTATGCGTACGAATAATTGCGATTGAGGGACTTGTGATGTATCGAAGACTTGCGCCGAAGTACAACGAGTGCTTCAAAGTTTTCTTCACGGGAGAAGGGTGCTCGAAGGCGGTCTGGTCTAACAGCTGGATCAAGAAGTATTACCAAGCGTACTACTAGAGAAGTGAAGTGCACAGCTAGTAATCAGTTAAATGCTTCGTGATGAAGGTTTCCCCGAAAATCGAATGTCCGTGCCCCGACCTTGTCGGGGCCCACCATTTTATGATGGGCTGCTTCGTCGACGCATCTACGGCCATTCCAATGATTAATCACAGGGGAAATGGAAAAATTATTACGGACACGTAAATAAGTGTAGGATTGTATCTTAAGTCGAATCGCCGGCGATGCGGTCATATCATTAGGTTAATTCAGTAGTCGGAGAGCGAGGAGAGAAAGAGTCACTGAAGGACTGAGCACGCAGATGACCAAAAAAATGACCAGGACAGATTTTTTTTTAATTTTTTTAATTTTTTAAAAAAAAGGTCAGTTGAAAAATGTGACGTACCTCACGCTCTAGAAGAATCTCGTGTGCTGCGAAATTCGTTCGCTCGGTGTGGATAGGTGCTGCCCGGTGCGCTTTTAGATCCAATTGCCCTACTCAACCTCCAATCTACCGGCGATACCACTTTCGGGTAACACAATTGGCTCGCACCTTTTTCTGGACCTGGAAAATTCAGTAGAGTAAAGCTTCGCTGGTCGGGGGGCCTTGAAGAGCAAGCAATCAAATATCAGTCATGCATATTCAACAAGTTGTATGGTGTATGAGCTGAGGTCCATCATACATCCAGGAACATAGATGTCCACAGGTATGACCCGATCACAGCCTCGAAGAACGGAGTAGCTGTAGTGGTAATGTCCACCGCCATTTGCACAGCTACCCATACTGATCACGTATCGCGGTTCGGGCATCTGGTCGTAGCACTGTCGCATTGCAGGAGCCATCTTGTTCGTAACGGTGCCGGCGACAATCATCAGGTCCGCCTGTCTGGGAGAGGCTCGGAACATGAGGCCCAGGCGATACATGTCGTATCGGGGACCAGCCATGTGCATCATCTCGATGGCGCAGCAGGCAAGGCCAAAGGTCAGAGGGTACGTGGAGCCGGCGCGGCCCCAGTTAATAACCTTGTCGAGGGTTATGCTGAGAATTAGTTAGTTCTCTGGAATGAAAACATTAAGCTGAGAAACAAACACAGCACATTCGGCCAGTTTAGATGGTGATCCTTCGCTGGGTAGGGAGACTTCGACTCGGAGCTTTCCACCTGCAGTCAGGGAATGCTTTTGTTGTCGGGCTTGTATGGCGACTTGTTGCGCGATAGATGGCGGGTAAGGTGACAGTCGAGGACTTGGTTGAATGGAGACATTGTTAGTTTTTCTCTCCGATGAATTTGGTGCTGTGGCTTTGGCACCAACAGAGACGAGTAAATGCCAGTGGTATCATGGCCCTTGGCCGGGCGGCCAGAGGTGACAATGACAGCATCTGTAGAAGGAAGGGACTTCAGAATCGGGTTGGAGAAAGATAAGAGTGGCTAGGGAGGAGAACTCGGATTCACGTAGCTGCTGAATTCTCTTTTTCTGGACGACGTACTTGCCTAGAAGGCCGTGCCTGCCTCGAACGATCGTACAGATCAGTGATGGTCCTGTCGGGTATACCTTACGATTACGCCACAAATACAACAATACACCATATATTGACCACCCCTCAAAGGTAGGAGTTACGAGAATTACCGCTAGTTTCCGTAAATGGTTCACTACTATTGCCATCTCTCCATACAGCACGAACTTGCGACGGTCACGTACAGTGAGCAAAAGTTTGAACACCCCTAACTCTGCCAGTCAGGTCTCCACCAATAAAAAACCGAAAATACTGGGCGGTAGCGCTACTTCAGGAAGGCGGTATTAGAAGGGGTGTCCCAACTTTTGCTGTGTCACTGTATTGATCTCTGGTTAAACAATACAAACTCATCCAGTTGTTGTACATACCTCTTTGCATTAATCGATTCAGCAGATGGACTCGGGTTGAGGGTATCAGATCCCCCCAGTCTCCAAATACAATGGGCGCGTACCTCGGGTGCTGGTCCATCCGGAAAACTACATGGGTCCCTTCGAAAATCTGTCTGAAAAACAAAACGACAGCGCCGATTCCTCGGATAGCCGGGTCACTCACCAGTCGATCCACATCCAGCGCGGAAACCTTGAATAGTTTCATATTCGGTAACATTCCACGCTTGGAGCCCTCGGATGCTCCCACGACATACGATTCGACAGAAGACTTGCAGCAAGTGATGTGAAAAGACTCGAGGGAAGGTGGGAAGGTAATTTCTGCGGGTAAAAATGCTTGTTGGATGGTGATGCTCCGGAGACGAGAAAAATCCGCGAATGCCCTGTGGTAAAGCCGGAAACTTGTGCCAGTTTCTAGTGCGTTCACGATATCCTGCGGAGGAAACTGGAGGTCAAGATGTTCAAGGGTTTCACGGTGCAGGTCATTGGCTAAGGTGACCGCATGCGTTGCATGGAATTTCTTCGATCGGCGGAGACGATGGCGCTCCAGCCCGTGGGCAAAAGGGACCAGGGAGAACTTGTTGTATGTGAATGATTTTAGCCCTTTGCACGCTTTCATGATCCGGTCAAGGGCGCCACGGTCCAGTTTGCAAAGTCTGAAATGCAGCTCATTCAGTGCTGGCAATTCAGCCGGGCAGGCAGCCGGGAAACTGGAGTTGATCAGAAACCCCTTTGTGAACCTCGCATAGGAAAGGTTTGGGAGAGACAGAAATTTGTAGTACGGCAAGATGTTGTAGCACTCACCATATTCCATTTCCTCGGTTTCGACGCAGAAGGCTCTGAGGCCTGACAAAAATGACGGGTCCCGGTCTAACAAAGTAAGAAATGGTTCTCTCCACACTCCTCCCATTGGTAGAGCCAACTGCTGGAGATGTGGGCACCCGTACGCCAGGAGTGCGGCGATCTTTGGGTAGTCACTCTGGCTGGTGTTGTCAAGATTCCAATCTGCCCCGATGCCGTCGATCATCTGGTGGAGAAGAAGGTTATTCGCGACAGAATGTCGTTCCAAAGGCCAGTTTGCGTCGAAAAGGTTACTCGCGAAAGGCCGGAAAATTATCGATCGCACATGATTTGAGAGGTGCGGATAGCGATAAATAGTCGCTGTAAATTCGACGAGCTTGCAACCACCGAATGCGTCGATGCGGCGAGCATCGACTTGGAGGACAAAATCACGGAAGAGAAGAGGCTGGGCCAGGTTGCGGAAGTAGCCCGAGACTGGGCAGAGGTTGAGAAGGGTGGTTCGAGAGGGGACGGAGCTGCTTGGGTCAGAAATCAGGACTTTCGGGTCAGTCGGTGCAGCAGCCAGAGCCAGGATCCGCCCTAGGATCTCTGGCGGGAGGGTTTGAATGTGAGCCATTAGGATCTGAAGCCAGGAGGGTAAGGTGATGACTGAAGAGATAAAAGGGGATGGAAGATGGGTGCGGGACAGCTTTTAGTGTTGGAAAGGAAGGGGATGATGGAGAAGAAGAAAGACAAAAGAATTCCCTGGCAGGGTTGTCACCTGTTTACCTCTGTCGCGCCGCTTGCTACTTTCCTTCTATTTTCTATTTCACCACCTTTCCTCTTCTCTTTTGGAGATGGCGGGCGAAACAAGATTCCCCCCCCCCAAAAAAAAAAAAGACCATTATACTATCTAGTAGTTGGCACTCAGACTGATCACAGTTGGCCATGCTGTATACTGGGGTCGGTTACATATATTTTGCGGGGTGTAGATGGCAGAAGACCCGCACCGGCACACCCACACTGATGCACATAACACCTCATGGGAGCCGTGTGAGAAGCAGAAGGGACCATACCGCAACAAGTAGAGTGGCACAATAATGAGTCTGATTCAAGCATGTACATCAAGCTGATATACGGACTGACCCATGAATTTAACAAGGCTTGCATCGGGATTCCGCCGACCCACTCTGTCGGTATGCCGGTCAACTGATGTGCTGCGCAAATTTCCTGGCATGACTCACTTTAGAAAAAAAAAAACTCACATTGCCAAGATCCATCGGGAATAAAATGATCGATTACGTACGGCCTAGAGCTCAAGAGAGCAGCACTGCATGTTGAAGCCCGGGCTCCGAATCCACTTGGTTGGCCTAATCGCTGGCCCCTGGCTGTGCCACCTGGCAACGGCTGTGGCCCATGCACCGAGATCTAAACCGAACCATGAACTGTAAATCTGATTATGCAGGAAAAGGGTGCCTAGTCGTCAAGGTATTCCTTATTTGGGTTGGTGACCAAGCCACTGAGCCCGTGGCTAATCAGCTCACTACGCTCGTAAGAAATACCTATGGATAAGACAGCTCCGTACCCAGAGAGTACCCTACCCTAGGGTCGAATTCAATTCATGCAGTGAGCATAAAGTGAAACGTGATTGATCGGCACGCTTTCCATCCAGTATGTCTTTCGGTATGCTTGATTAATCATGATTACAATTGTAGAAACGAGTTTCAAGCAGGGCCTTCACGAGTGCCAAGCCTTGTTTCAGGCATTCCGCCAATCACAAGCGTGCCGAGTATCCGGCGCACAAACCAACGTGGCCTTATGCCGTGTATAATTCAGTCACGTGGTCGCCGTTTTCATCCTGCCAACCGGAAGTTTTGCTCCATTTCGCATGGCCATCTTGCGGGGTGGCTGCATCCGAGCAGCAGCAAGAGCACCGTGGGGGCACTCGGTGGATGCAACGAGCAGCGAATGTTCGGGAATCCCGTAGTGCCGTTTGTCAGCCCAGTATGGCCCGATGTCAACTGATGATTCTATAGCATACCGAATTGTCGGAGTGCATGCCCTGAAAGGATGGAACCCCGGTTCGGGACCTGGTGACCCAGTTTTCCTGGGCAAGCTTGGTCCTGTTCCATGGCGGAATTAGTGACAGCCCGTGTTTTTCGCTGCTGGGGCGGTTTATTCCTGCAATATGCACAACTTATGTATGCTAATACCTGTCGGCGGCCTACGTCCGGGCTGGGTTTTTGGGGCCAACAAAAGAGAGAGAGAAAAAAAGCGCCACCAGGTCCAGAACCTGACTCGGAATCGGGATTGGAATTATTAAAAGGGGCCACCCCCAGCAGCTACAACGAAGCTCGGAGTTCTTTTTTACTTCAATAATCCTAATCATCGCCACGGGCAAGATACCGCTCCCGCTACACCAAACCACCCTTCCTCAATCCGGTATCGACCTCCACCCATCGGGTCTCCCCGCAAACGGTACATACACCGGGTCTCTAAATTCCTCAAAAACACACCCCTACCCCGCCGCGTATTCGCCTTTTCTTTGATCGCCTGCGTCCATCAATTACTGCACATTCGCACCGAGTGTCAACCTCTCATTCGCAGTCACCACCACAAAATCAGTCTGCCAGTCATGGCGGGCGATGACAAGAATCACGTATCTGAAAAGATCGAGTCCTCCGCGCCGACCAAAATCTCCTACTTCCGTCTCGTCTTCGACCAAGGCGTCGTCACCCAACAGATTATTGACCACCCGTACCCGGGCTCAGGAACTGACGATGACCCATATGCCGTGACATGGATCCCCGATGATCCCCGTAATCCGATGAATTTTAGCGAGGTCAAGAAGTGGACTTTCACAATGCTGGTCGCCATTGCCACGCTTGCTGTCGCATTGGTCTCCTCTGCCTACACTGGTGGTGTTGCTGAGATTGAAGCCGAATTCAATATCGGCAGTGAAGTCGCCACTCTGGGTGTCTCGCTATTCGTTTTGGGCTTTGCAGTACGTCACTCTTCAAAAATGCGCCATGTTGCACGCATGAGCTGCTATTGGTCTGGATTGTATAAAGAAAAAGCATTTGACTGACTTGCCTTAGATTGGACCGTTGCTTTGGGCTCCGCTTTCCGAACTTTTTGGCCGGCAAATTCTATTCACCACGACATACTGCGCCCTGACTGCTTTCAACGCTGGCTGCGCCGGATCTAAGAATGCCTGGACTCTTATCATTCTCCGTTTCTTCGCCGGTGCTTTTGGATCCTCCCCTCTGACCAATGCTGGAGGTGTCATTGCCGACATGTTCCCCGCGAAGCAAAGAGGTGTCGCAATGAGTCTCTTCGCCGCTGCGCCGTTCCTTGGACCCGTCCTGGGCCCTATCATCGGTGGTTTCCTGGGCATGAACGCCGGCTGGAAGTGGGTGATGGGCTTCCTCGCTGCGTTTGCAGGTGCTGTCTGGATTATGGGCTCTCTGCTGATTCCCGAGACATATGCGCCTGTGCTGCTCCGCCGTCGCGCTGAGAAGCTTTCCAAGCTCTCTGGCAAGATCTATCGCAGCAAGATCGATATTGACCAGGGCAAGGTTTCTCTCAAGGAATCCTTCAAGATTGCTCTATCTCGCCCCTGGATTCTGCTCTTCCGCGAACCTATTGTGTTCTTGCTGTCCCTCTACATGGCTATTGTATACGGGACTCTGTACATGATGTTTGCCGCCTTCCCTATTGTCTACCAGGTCAACCGTGGCTGGAACCAGGGTATTGGCGGTCTGGCCTTCTTGGGTATCATGGTTGGCATGCTGATTGCCGTGGTTTATACTCTCTGGGACAACAAGCGCTACATCAACACCCAAGAGAAGCATGATGGCTTTGCACCCCCCGAAGCCCGCCTGCCACCTACCATGATCGCCTCTATCGCTATCCCCATCGGTCTCTTCTGGTTTGCGTGGACCAACTACCCCTCGATCCACTTCATGGCCAGTATCGCAGCTGGTGTGCCTTTCGGTTTTGGCATGGTTCTGGTCTTCTTGGGTATCATGAACTACCTGATTGACGCCTACACGATCTTTGCTGCCTCCGTCTTGGCCGCCAACAGTGTCCTGCGTTCCTGCTTCGGTGCCGCCTTCCCTCTGTTCACCACCTACATGTACGAAAACCTGGGTATCCATTGGGCGTCTTCGATCCCCGCCTTCTTGGCTCTAGCCTGCGTGCCTTTCCCCTTCCTGTTCTACAAGTACGGCGCCGCCATTCGCAAGCGCTGCAAGTTCGCCGCCCAGTCCGACGCCTTCATGCGCAAGATCCAGGAACAAGCTACCACGACCGTCGATGTCGAGGAGGAAGAGGAGACCAAGTACGATCGCACTGAAGCTCCTGGCCCGGTCGAGTCTCTCTCCAGCGAATCTTCCTCCCACATAAACGAGATCCCCGCAACCGAGCGCATTCGCAGCCGTGCTCACTCCCTTGCGTCCACCCGCACTGCGGGCTCGCTGCATCGTGTGCCGACTTACGAAGGCAACCCGTACGATGTTGACCGAGTCAACACTCGGGAGTCCTTCAAGAACTAAGCGGTCTCACTTTCCTCTAATTACCTCATACCCTGACGCTTATACACGCGCCCCCTCATAATCATAGTCTCTATTCCCCGCTACCCCTATCACACAAAAAAGCCTATTTGCATTTGGCGGCATGTTTGTTGATTTGCATTTTCTTGATCTTTATACCCTGATACTCCCCAGACAGGGACGATATTACGCACTTACGGGTCTCATTATTTGCATATAGATATGGAGTCGGTGTTGGATATGGGCCGCATAATTGAATGATTTTTACATGACTTGTGCTGTACATCTTCGTAGATTTAATCTCAATTTTTAGACCAGCAGATGCCATCATAGAGTACGTGCCGGTGTATTCTCCCCGTGCTCTTCTACAATATATTTGGACTGTTTGCATGTGGAGGAACAAGCCTGTGTGGATCGGAGTTAGTCTTAAGTCGGAGAATCACGGCATTCGCCCTGGCCGAGTGCCGAGCCTATCAATGAGGAAGGCACTTCCTGCACGCGACCTGACTTTCAATCCCTCCCATTTCCTTTTCGGCCATCGTTTCCTGTCGCCAGGTCGCTGTCGCTTTTTAAGACGAGATTCGAAGATCGAGTGTTTCCTACGTCCACCGCTCACTCGGACAGACCAGCCGATTATCGCTACTTTCCCTCGTTATCGCCACGATCGGACTCGGCCCCCAGCTCCGAGCCCCTCGCCGTGCATCTGCTTATTTTTTTTTGCTCGGATACGCTCGCCCACAACAAATGCGCCTGTTTGAGCACCGGACATGAGACTTTTCCAGAAGGGGCTCGGCGTGAAGGGCGTGACGTTCGCGACCCGACCGCGACCGATTGCCCCCAATGTTCGAAGTCCGCTACGCCAGGTGCGACAGCCCCGACGATGCAACTCCTCTACCCCTGAACGACCGCCGGCGCAGAGCAAGCCTGCTGAAACTGGATCGCCGAATACAAATGCCTCTGCCAAACCCTCGGAGCCGCCCTCTTCCTCCGCGACGCCCCAGGCGCCCAATACGGCTGCGGCGGCGGCCGGTGCGGCGACTACGCCCACCGCTGCTAATGCCGTTGCGCGCCCCCGGGGATTCCGCGAAATCATCAAGGCTGGGCCTCTGGGCCGCATGGGGAGGTGGTATACTCGGGCGCAGGAGCGAAAACCGTATACCGTCCAGCTGTGGAGTTCGATTGTGATATACCTGTGTGGAGACTTGAGCGCACAGCTGTTGTTCCCGGAGCAGAAATCCGCAAAGAAAGACCAGGATGAGTCTAAGACAGTACCTGGGGAAGAGAGTGAAGAAGAGAAGGAGCAGGGCTTCGGATCTACATATGACCCTTGGAGGACAGTCCGGCACTTGATCGTGGGAGCTGGATCAAGTATCCCGTCATATAACTGGTGAGTCAAGCCCGTAGCCAGGCACGGTTACACTTGCGTGGAGCTATCGTCAATGTTCTGATGACTGACTGTTGTATCCAGGTTCTGGTTCCTCCACAACAACTTCAACTTTGCATCCAAGTTCCTCTCGATCTTGACTAAGGTCACTGTTCAGCAGATGTGCTTCACGCCCGTCTTCAATACCTACTTCTTTAGCGTGCACTCTCTCCTTGGAGGTGCCACTTTCGAAGAAACCTGGGAGCGACTCAAGAAGGCTCTCCCTGTCAGCGTGACCAACAGCGTCAAGCTCTGGCCTGCTGTCACTGCATTCAGTCTGCTCTACGTGCCGCCACAGTTCCGGAACGTCTTTTCGGGTGTCATCGCTGTTGGCTGGCAAACCTATCTGAGCTGGTTGAATCAAAAGGCTAAACATGAGGTTGAGACGGCTGAGCTTGCAGCTGCGGCTCAAGAGAGCTCGGCGCCGGGATCAGCGAATTCTCAAATGATCACTGCAGCGGGAACTGCATGAATAACTACTTGTATATTTCCTTGGTTCACATTATCGGGGTTTCCTTGGGGCAATTTGTATAGATTTCATGCCCGGCGTTTGGTAACATTTGGAGCGATGTGATGCATGATTTGGCCGATGTCAATACTACATTAGACAATAGACATAGATTTCTTTCTCATCCCATGTTCAACTTGACGATGGCAACTCATTAAATCTCGAACTCGCCTTCTTAGATTGCCTGTTGTCCAATGACCGCCTCCGGATTCCCAACCGGGTGATCTTCGATGACGCACGGCGCGTCGGCCGCTCTAACTTCCGCATGCCACTCAGGACATGAGCCCCCTCGATTGTCGCAGGCATGTCCTGCTCACCCGTGCCGCGGCCTGAACCTGACTCCAGTGACTACGGAACGGACTTCACCGAAGAAGAGGACGAACTGTTAAACGAGCTACTAGCCGCGGCTGACGCGCAACACGCGCCCGTTCGCTCCGATGCCATCTCAACCTCGACCTCGACTCCGAATTTTGCAGTGCCAACAACCGAAAACGCGAATATTGTCACTACACCGGAACTTCCAGTTCCTGGATCCCTACAACCAGCGATCTACGCGGCACTTGTCGCAGACATCGAGGATGGCATTGAGGGTCCCTCGAGTCCTCGGCTACCAAAGGTGCTGCCCCGGGAAAACCCTCGTTCGCCATGGAAGCAGGCCAGTCAGCGGCAGTGGTTTGGTTCGCGGGGTGCAGGGAGTTATTTGGGATGCCCAAGTCCGGGCCCAAGCAACAGCAACAGGTCCAGTCCGTTTGGTATGATATCATACGATTTCTTTGCGTTGTCCAGGGATGTTGAACCCAGACTGACAATTCTTATCCGAAGCGTTTAGTGGAACATCCCAATTCATCTGAAGGTCGAGAACGAGAGCGAGAACGCAGTGCTGGACGTGAGCTAGCATGGACGCAGGAAGCACAAGCCGCTCCGATGGTGGATTCCAGGACGCCTGTTGAGCGGTTCAGACATAAACCGAACAAGGCCTTCTCTGTGACGGACCTTGTGTCGCCTGCGTGGTGTGAATTGCAGTACTGGTATACCTTGACCAAGCACGGGAGGAAGAGAAGGACTTCGGCTATGAAAAAGGGAAGCGTGGTACACAAGTCCCTGGAAGACGAGCTATATACCACCGTGCCTGTGGAAATTACGACGAAAGAAGATGCCTGGGCACTCAGGATCTGGAATGTGATCCAGGGTTTGCGGTTGCTTCGTGAATATGGCGTTACTCGCGAGCTTGAGGTCTGGGGCCTTATTGATGGCGAGGTGGTCAATGGAGTGATTGACCAGCTGTCTTACAAGTGCCCCGACTCTGAGCTTGAAAAAACAGCTGCGGGATTCTATGAGGATGCGGCAGCGTCGCGAGTGGCTTCACCTGAGTATCAGATGTCTTTGTCTGATTTTTTGCTTTCTTCTTCTCAGGGTGGGAGAAGGCTTTCGGATATAGCCGATATTGAGCATGTGGAGGAATCTCCTCCTGTTGACGAAGAATCGATGGCAGTATTTGGTTTGCCACGGATATACATGACAGACGTGAAAACCAAGGCAAATGGATCAGCTCCTACAGTGAAGAGCACATCTTTCCGACCGACGCTATTGCAATTGCAGCTCTACTACCACATGCTCAATCGTCTCATAACGAGTGACGACGTCAATATCGATGTGCTTGCGACACGTTATGATTTCGATTCCGAACGACCGTTTACCGAACCCTTCATATCCGAGGTTGGCTGCCTGAACAATGAATTCTTCGACGCCGATTCCTCCGAAGAACCAATTCTGGATGACTTGCCTGACCCAGACGATGCTGGCAGAAGGTCATCCGGATCTCCGTCGGCATCTAGACCTCCGAAGTCCAGCCAGGAATCAACCGACATTCTCGTGACCCATAGAAACCTTTCTAGCCTCTGGGGCTACATGAAAAAACAGCTTCGTTTCACATTCCTTCATTCGCCCTCTCCGAACTCATCCTCCGTCGCGCCATCTATCCCTTCGCATAGCCAGCCAAAAATGCTGGAAGAATACCATACTCTCCTTTCTCCTGTTTTGACAGCTCGATATGTCTCCTCAACCCCTACCTCCGATCTCCAACCTCGACATATCGGAAGTAGGTCGTTTCTCTTTGATCCTGACCACATGAAGTCCTACATCACCGAGCAAATGGAGTGGTGGCGCGGCCAGCGTGATCCTCGCGGTGTCAATGTTGTTGAGGCGTGGAAATGCCGCATCTGCGAATTTAACGATGAGTGCACCTGGAGACAGGAGCGAGCGATGGAGTACGCGAGACGAAACACCAGATGGAGAAGCAGTGCCTCGGCGGATATTTGAGGACACACCGAGGGTTTCTACCTTCATGGCAGTCCTATAATTTGCATAGAATATTACATGGCGTTGCGGACACAGACATTATAGCGCGCAAAAACATTAACACCGTTGAATACAAGGCCTAGATCACTCCTCAAAGAGGATATTTCCGCACCTCATCCTCTTTCTCCACCTCCAGTCCATTGGCAACCTGTTCCTGATGCTTCTGGTCCAAGTACTCCAACAGAACCTCCGCATACTTCTCCTTCCCCTTATATCTAGACACATCATCCCCCCAACTCCTAATAGCCGACGCCAGACGCCCGGGCACATAGGGTTCCTTGACAATCGCGGTAATGGGCTCAAAATACGTCCGAATCGTGAATATAACAGCCCCAGACCTAGGCAACCTTCTCAAAGACTGTCTCTCAGAGCGGAAGAAATGATTTTCAATCGCCTTATTTTTCTCCGCCGTATTCCACGACACTGTCTCCGCATCCTCGGGCCCAATACTATGCGACCACGGCAGACTATCGTCCACCTGGATGAAGTAGTTGTTTCGGAGAACAGGTTCCTCAGGCTTCAATCGACGGAAGAAGTTCATCATGCCCTTTTCCAGTTTCTCCTTGTATTGCGGTACGTCGCCGGAGGTATGGATGTCGGAGAGTCGCATCCCGAATTTGTCGCTTAGTCGCCAGAATCCGGCGAGGAGGATTGCGCCGGCTAAGAGGTAGTATTCGCCGTCTGCGCGCTCGATCATGACGGCTAGGTCGTCTTGGACGAGTCGGGCTGCTGTTGCCATTGGGTCTTCTGGGAGGGGCCGTTGGGTTATGTTGAAGGTTTCGTTGGTGACTTTGTTGGCTATTCCTGTCGGGGTCTTTTCGAACATTGCTGGGTAGCGCTCTGGCAGGTAGGTGCATCTGTTTAATGTGTGGTAAGTCTGATTGTATAGGGTGAGTGGGTGGAAGTGTCATGTCGTGGTACTTACAGTTCTTCCAGTAGTTCGATGGCGCCGTCCATTGCCTCTGGTGCTGTGCCGAAGCATTTTTCACCGCGCTGCTCTATTCTTTTCTTCTTGTCGGCATGGTATTTGAGGTAGTGGTTGTCTAGTTCTGTATGATAGGTTAGATGTGAGCATATGCTCGAACAAGTAGTGTCGATAGGGAAGAACTCACCGATCCACTCGTCCCATTTCATACTCCTCAATCCTAGAGTCACAAAGTATTTTCTACACTGATAGTTAGCTGGATATCGCATATACATGATCAATTATTGACTCACGGTCCATAACGGAACGGTCGATAGGGAATAGGCTTGGTGTTGTGGACGTCCCAGTCCGTGTATGGTGCTGCAATGGGCCTCTTGAAAGTAGATGAAGTCCATTCTACCAGATATTGTTAGATTGATCGACTGGATCTCGTTTGATGAATGAAGTGTCACCTACCTCCAGGTTTCCTGGTCACCTTCTCTCTAACGCCTGGTCGCGGGGCTGGTTTCTCTAGGTCGGGAGAGGAGGGCCTTGTCGGTTTGCTGAAGTATGTGATCCATTTCCGAGAGAGGAGGACGACAAGACAGGCAAGTATGTTGATGGCTAGAAAGGCGCCGACGAGGTCTTTTGTTGGTAAGAGGGATATTAGGAATGTTCCCCGAGGGGACTCGACCGCCGGCATGGTCTCTCGGTACCAGGGCTGTATACAGATACGAAGATGTGAAATGAGTGTTTTTTCAAGTTGTATCGTGAGAATGTGAGAATTGTGTGATATGCCAGTAATGCTAAGATGTGAAGATGGACAGACAGATAGATTGATAAAGACGTCAATGCTGAAAGCAAGTCGAGGTTACGTAGTATAACGATAGGCCAGCAACCCTTATTGAGCCGTGTCACACCCCAAGCCCCAAGCAGATTGGCGCCTCGAGACGCTGGCTCTCTGTAGAATGCCTTTCCTGTTAGTTCGATGCGAGCCGATCATCTATCTAACAATCATGCTAACGTAACGTGGCTGATCTGCTATGAAATCGCGGGGAAACCCAAGAGGGGATCCCCCTCTCTGACCTGTTTCGAGCCGTTGGATCCGAGGCCGCAGGGAAGCAGAGAGAGCCTATCGCGATGGGGCCTCACATCCCATAGGATGGCTTGTTTTGCGGGGATGTGCTTATCATCTGCCTCGCCGAGATTACTCTTGTACTTGGTCCGTATCCAGGGGGATTTCTTCTCCCGATCGGGTAAGGCGAGTCTTCACTGCAAGGTTTCCTAGTCTTACTCCGGATTCTCCGATGCGAGAGGGCTACACAGATATTGCCACACGGGCACGGAATAATAAAAAGGGGTTGATTTTGGTGGAGTTGCACACCTATTGCTATGTACAACACTAGACACTGCTTGCGCCGGTCCGTCGTTGGAGAAGGCAGTATTCGCCCCATTTGCGCTGGAACTGTTCCGGGACAAAAGGCAGATTAGGTGTCCAGATGAGCCGTCCCAGTAAGCCGGTTTGAGATGCATCCAGGAAACGGGAGCAAGAGAGCTTTTCCCACTCCGATCCTTTCAGAATATAGTGAGGTTCCAGCTTGGTCTCTTCGCGGCCAGGGAAGTAAGAGTCGACCAGGAAAGAGCATGTAGAGATATCAATCTATTCATTCAGATCAGTCTCAGGAACAAAGGTAACGGGCTGAACAATTACGCGCAACTCACATATTTGTTGGGATCTTCCTCATTCAGATCGTTCATCCCCGACGGGATTTGCGAGGCTCCCTCCAGCCGCGCAAGGGCACTTTGGGCATCAGGGAACTCGCCTGGAAGAAGACCGTCGAATTCGCTCCGGATGAACTTGGCTCGCATACCGTGCGGAAGGAAGTAAGAGGATGGGAAGCGATACCATTCCTTGCCGAAGCATACGGAATCACCAGCATGGGCAATACCAACTTGCTGCAAAGGCTGGAACACCTTCAAAGGAGCGTTGTATGCCGTCGCCATACCCAAGATACGCAGCATGCCCGCATTGAAGGCTACCAAGATGACCGACATGACAGCAGCAAGCTTCAGTTTTGCTGGCACGCGGCCGACGATCTCTTTCGGGTTGTTCGATCCGAGATAAGAGAGAATGATGTGGAATGCAAGAGCTGCATCAAGAGCGATGAAGGGATATACCGGGTACATGAAGCGCTCTTCCTTGTGTGCCTGCAGAGTAAAGATGCCGAACCACATGTAAAAGGGTGCGACCAGAGTGACGGAGTGCAGTAAGGTCTGCACAGAGGTGGTGTGGGACCGGAACAAGGCCTGGCAGATGAGAAGGGGGCCAGAGAGCAGCGCCAACACAAACCAGATATTGAAATTCAAGAGGAGATTCCGGATGTAAAAGGTCCACGGCTCAGTGCCAAAAATCTCGGGGCCTCGACCCTGGCCTCCGAAAACATTGTAGGCGACGATGTTCCATGGAACAAGAGCAATCTTGCGGAAGAAAGCGTAGTCGACTGCCATTTCAAGGCCCTGTTATTTGTCTCAGTATTGATACAAAAGCTGAGTACAACTTCACATCCGGCACTTACCGCGATCGCAAGACATCTGAGAGCTCCGTCGAAGATCATATAAAAGAGAGAACCCAGGGAGCCAGCAAAGAAACAAATGACGATTTCCTCTGCAATCAGAGGCAGGATGAGAGCTCCTGCGAACGGCCATCCGATAATTGCACCGAGTCCAAACCACATGATTCCCTGCGCGGTCTTCGGACCATTCTTGTAGTCCAGGAACGCGGTAAGACCTAACATCGACGTGTACATGGTGAAGGAGGACGGCAGAAATGCAGCTGATGCATGGAACATGCCGGGACTGAAGACAGCGATCATCAGGAAGATGAGGCCGATGCGAGGATTGAGGGCTCGGCAGATGGAGGAATACAATCGAGTCTGGCAGGCCGCGCAAACTATGGCCAGGAACACCCGGATAGTATAGAACTCAGCAGACTTGCTGCTGACGAAGAACGATCCTACTTTCCCAACCAAAGCGTGAAGCGACACGTAGAGCCAGCTTCGGATCGAGTATACTGGAGAATACTCCCATGTCTGGAGTCCGTATCCATGGTCCAGGTAATGCGCCGGCTCCCAGAAGTTGAAGACTTCATCGCAGTCCTGAATCGGGGCGAATGCTGCCGCAAGGATATTGGAAATGAGGCATAGGTAGAGCGTGACGTTTAGAGGGAGGTAGAACGGCGGAGGTGGGGGGCTAGCAAAACTCGTGTTAGGGGAATGCCAGGTCAATTTGCCTATTTCGGAGTATACATACTGTGCCTTTGTCTTAGACGTGTGCCCCGAAGAAGGACCGTCGGCTCCAGCCATCTTCCAGTGGTCTTTGAGCGTCTTCTTGTGTTCTCGCAGGGCTGCCAGTCCGGAGAGGGTGGGCGATAAGGCGATAAGGAGCTCTTTCCGGCGACCGCGACGGCAACTTTGGCAGATCCACAAAAAAGTTCCCGCTCGTACTTTTCTTTTGTTTCTCTTGTCGGTTCACTCAGTTTTCCCTACAGTCCAACAGGATTTCTCTCACGTCGAGATGAGTGACCATCCCAAACCCTGGACCGAGGCTGCGCCTCCCAGCCCCGGTCGCCCGACCAAAAAACCCTGCACGATCGATACGCCACCCCACCATTCCGCGATGGACGATAACGATTTCTACGACACACCCGCGACCACGGTGTACCATCCGGTCCAGACGACTGACGAGAGCACTGCTCCTACGAGTGCTCCCATGAGTGCGCCGGGTGTGCCTACGACTCAAGTTCATTCTCCCGTCAACGACACTCTTCGTCTCCCGGGCTTATACCTGATCGATAACCCCAACCCTCAGCAAGCCCAGCCAAGCGAGCCATTCACGACGAAGCAAAAGACAGAGACTCCAACCGTTTACTCCGAGACAGGTGAAACGAGCACCAAGGCAGAAGAAGGTAGCACAATGGCTAAGGCAGCGGATCCCGTAACCGTGCTAGCCAAGCAAGAAGCCAATGATGAGAGCTCTGCAATCCGTACAAACCCTGGGGATACGATGGAGGTTGATCAGAAACCTGAAGTTAGCCCTAATGTTGCGGACGATGGGATGATAGAGCGAGCCGACAATGAGAATGAGGAAGAGGAGGAACATCCTGAGTGGGAGGTCGACTCGTCTCCGTACGAGTCCTCCTCCTCCAGCTCATCGGACTCGGATGACAGCAGCGATGATAGTGACGATGGAGATTATCCAATTCTAACTGCCGAGGAACAGGCTCGTATCTTGATTCAGGCTGAGGCCGGATCCGATGACGAAGGAGAAGGCAAGGGTAAATCGGGTGGATATATGCGTTCAGCCAACGAGACCGCGCAGGATGCTCTGCCCATCCCAGACATCACGATTACTCCTGAAATGCCCATCACGTATCTGGGAAAGGTCTTGACGGTCTTGGAAAATGCAGTCCTTGTCGAAGCCAACACCTCGGGAGAATTCTCAGTTCTTGAGTCGGGCTCATTGCTCTGTTCCGAAGATCGCAAGGTTCTGGGAGTCGTGACTGAGACCCTGGGCAGAGTCGAGAGACCTCTGTACACTGTCATGTACTCGACAGCGGCTGAGGCAAAAGAGAGGGGAATGGAAAAGGACCTGGCTATCTATTACGTTCCCTCTCACTCCACCTTCGTCTTCACACAGCCTCTGAAGGGCCTCAAGGGCAGTGATGCGTCAAACTTCCACGATGAGGAGGTCGCCGAGGATGAGATGGAATTCTCGGATGATGAAGCAGAGGCCGAATACAAGAAGAAATTGAAGCAGAAGCGACAGGAAAGAAAGGACGCGAAGGATGGTGGCGCTGGACGCAACAAAAGAGGCCCGGCAGGTCCCTCCAAGCTGAGCCGCACCGAACTCAACTACGACGACGGAGGAGGCGAGGATGGCTACACCCCTCTCGCCCGTCCGCAGAACCTCCATGAGATGATGGGAGCTCGTGAAGCACCTGTCGAAAGTAGCGAGCGTGGTCCTGCACACCGCGGTGGCAGAGGTCGCGGCCGTGGCTCTGATCGTGGTCGAGGTGGTCGGGGCCGCGGTGGAGGTCGTCGAGGCTCTTTCGAGCGTGATCAGGACCGTCGGCCTCGCAGCCAACATGGAGGTAGCTCGCAGCACGCTCCCCCTGCGGCCGCTCACCCCCAGCCTGCTGGATACACCCAGCCGACTTATCCTCCCCAGCAGTCTCCCTACGCGATGCCGCCACCCTATGCGCAATACCAGCAGTATGCTCCGCAGCAGCAACCCCAGTTTGGCCAAGGCGCGGCTCCGGCTCAATACCCTTTCCAATTTCCCCTCCAGCAGCCTTTTGTTCAGCCGAATGCCTTCCAGGGAATCCCCGCCGGTGCGCATGTCAACCCTGCTCTCTTGGCTGCACTGCAGCAGCAGCAGCAGCAGCAGCAGCAGTACCAGCAGTACCAGCAGTACCAGCAATACCAGCAACCCCAGCAACCCCAACAGGCTCAGCACCAGAACCCAGCCTTGAACTTTGACCAGGTCAAAGCCCAGCTGGAGATTTTGCGCAACTTGAACAACAACCAGGGACCGCCTCCTTCCTGATCGAGCTCGACATTTTTCGTTCCGATATGATCTCAATACCGGACTGTTGCATCGAGAGCGGCGTTAATTGGGTTACGGTTGGGTTTAGATCAATTGAATGTTTGTGTACAATTATCTTATCTGGCGCGCTTGTGGGTCATTAACGGAGTATTGTAATTGAGGTATGAATGCATGAATTGTGTAGAGTACATATTTGTTGCATCAAGGTGTTTTGAAAACAAATTTGAAGTAGAACATGATCAGTTGGTATCGCTCGTTATTAGCAATGGCGGGTATAGCTATGCCTAGTCTGCCATATAAGGACGAAATGGATTGAATGCTGGCATCTTAAAACTCAGCAGGCTTGGCACTCTTTGCCAGAGCCCAGAAATTCTCCATCTTCGAGCGAGTGAGAACTTCCTTCGCAGCAGAATCTGATTCGCAAACTCTGGCCCCAAGCCATTTCCGGAAAGCACGGTTTTTGGCCTGCCCCTCCCATAAAAGTGTGCATGTATTGTCGCTGAAGTCTCGTGGTTCACCCTTGTCATTTTCCGTGGACAACCACAGTGGCTGGCCTTCGGACTTTTCAGAAGTCGTTGGGCCGGGATTGTCGGTCCAATCAATTCGGTTTAGCATGAGCTTGCGGTAATTGTTGATAGAGTGCTTGCCACCCTCGACAATCACCAGATTCAACTTCGGGTGCATTACACAAATGCCAGTAAGGGCATTCTGTTCGGCGTTCTTGCTGATCTTAAAACGATTCCGACCGCTGGCGAGATTGTCAATTTTATACACTGAAACGTAAATACCCAGTGAGGCATCTGCCTCCTGCTGGGTTGCCAGTTTCTCACGCCGTTGATCTTTAGTCAACTTGCGCTCCTCGTTCATCGTTTCGTGCTGTTCTTTACGGTCTGCGATCTCCCGAGTCACACGAGCCTCAACGGCCGTAGGGTCTTTGACAGCTTGTTCACCCAACACCCGCATGAGATTGGACTTCTTCACCTTCGGAGGTGGCGCGGGCTCGAGACCCAGTCGGATCTTTGCTTGCTGTTCCTTCAAATCGGCCATACGTCGCTGTCGACGAATCTTCGCTTGCTCCTTCGGCGTCAGGAACATCGGTTTCTGTGTAGGTTGGTGCTTTTCCTGAGGCGGCTCGAGAAGTACAGGGTGTTGGACATAACGCGTGATGATAGTATCGGCAGTGTCGACTTTGGTGTTGGCAGCATCCTCGATGGCAGAGTAATCACCACTGCTGACCAGACCTTCGTCCCACCACTCAATGGCAGGTGGCGCAGGAACAAGATATGATTTCTCCACGTCACGATCTTCGTCTATTCCGGCTTGTCGAGCTTTCTCGGCAATTCTCTTTTTCATAGCCTCCAACTGCGCCTGTCGTCGGAGAGCGGCAGCCTGTTGAACATATTTACCTTTCTGATTGAAGACAAGCTGTCGCGAAACACGTGGCTTGGCGAGAGTAGCCTTGGGACCAAGACTAGGATCAAAGTATGGGTTGCTCTTGATCTCTTCAATAGAAGGACCGGACAGATCCAGCCGAGCTTTGTTACCACGCTGGAAGGTAGATCCTGGAGTATCTCGACGGTTCCCCGCCTTACCCTGCTGGCCGCCCTTCCCTCCGCGAGAATCTGATGTAGTATCGGCAAGCAATGCGGGATGAAGACCGACATCCAAACCACCGCGGCCCTTGGTAAGGCTCTCGTCGTCGAACGCCGGTGGTTGGGGCGGTGCGGGAGCACTAGGTCGTTGGTGGGAGGGGGCATTGGCCCTGCTGGTAGCTGCGGCCACTCGAGCCTTCATTTGTTCCAATTTCGACATCGCGGGACTGAGAGCTGGAGGTGTTGGGCTAGGACTGGACTGCGCAGGAGGTGGTGTTTGCACCGCACCGCCGCGTGCTGCTGCCAAGCGCGCGCGCACAGCTTCAGCCTTTGCTCTCGCCTCCGCCACCATCTTCTCGATATCCACCTTGTTCGAAGTAGCGCCGCTTTGGCCGGGTGCTGGCGATCCATTGTTGGAGCGGGTCCTTTTTTGCGAACTGCTATCGTCCTCAGCGGGATGAGGTCGCTTCAGCGCGTTGCCGGACGAGTCCGCCATGGCGATGTGAGCGTAACCGCGCAGGATCACCGAGCAACGGAGGACGGAAAGCGAAAGAAAGTGGGAAAATTCGAGGTCGGCGCAGTCTCAACCATGACAAACTTGACAGCTGAGCTGCGCGGATCCTACCGGGTGAGCGGTGAAGTGGGGCAGAAAAAAAGTTGCTCTAAAAGTTTCATTTGTTCCGCATCGGCGACTCTTCGAGGCCCTCGACTTCGCACGGCCAGCGTTTTCTGTCGCTCCAGGAGCTACAGGACACAATGGCGACTTTTTCGCGCCCGATCGCTTCGGGCATTACCGGGGTCGATTTTACAGTTTACTCTGAAGAAGAGATCAAAAAGCTGTCGGTGAAAAGAATCCACAATACTCCGACCTTGGATTCTTTTAACAACCCGGTTCCTGGCGGTCTCTATGACCCTGCTATGGGAGCATGGGGTGACCATGTGTAAGTCTGAGCCTCTCGATTGCTTCTGGATCCTTCGACATTGAAAACTAACCGAGCATTCTGCAACTTATAGCTGTTCAACCTGCCGCCTGAACTCATGGTCTTGCACTGGCCACGCCGGTCACATTGAGCTCCCTGTGCCTGTTTACAATGTCACTTTCTTCGATCACATCTATCGCTTGCTTCGGGCGCAATGTATCTACTGTCATCGCCTGCAAATGTCCCGCGCAAATGTCAACTTGTACACCTGCAAGCTGCGCCTGCTGCAGTATGGGTTGACCGAGGAAGTCGCCAACCTCGATGCAATTGGGGCTTCGAAAAGCAGCAAGGCTACTAAGCTTGCGCCCGGAGAGGAAAAGACAGCCTCTGACTCGGAGGACGAGGACGATGAGTCTATCATGGAAAAGCGGACCGCATATGTCAACCGCTGCATCAAGGAAGCCAAGAAAGATGGCAAGCTGGATGGCTTGATGGCAGGCGCAAAGAACCCAATTGCTGCTGAGCACAGAAAGGCATTGGTCAAGACTTTCCTGAAGGATATCAACGGGAACCGCAAGTGCCACAACTGCAGCGGGTATGTTCTGCGCATCTTTTCCTACGCAATAATTCCCATCGACTGACAATCTGCTATAGTATTACCCCCTCTTACCGAAAAGATCGCTACAACAAAATCTTCCGAAAGGGTTTAACCGAAAAGTCGAAGCTCGCTATGTTGGCCGGTGGATTCCAGGCCCCTAACAGCCTGGTTATTCTTGATCAGGAGAACAAATCTGCATCCAAGCAGAATGGTACTGATACTGCTGTTTCTGAAGTCCATGGGGCGGAGGAAGAGATTCGCCGTGGCGAAGCTGTCGCGAAGCAGACAACAACAGGCGAATCCGGCCAGGAATTTGTGACTTCTTCCGAAGCTTACAGCGCCTTGCGGCTTCTTTTCCAAAAGGATGGTGAAGTTCTGCAGCTCGTGTATAACTCCCGGCCTGTGCCCAAGGGCGTCAAGGTGGTCTCTGCCGACATGTTCTTTATTAAGAGCATTCTGGTTCCTCCCAACAAATACCGCCCAGCTGCCGCCCAGGGTGCTGGTGAAATCATGGAGGCCATGCAAAATGCTCCGCTCAACGGTATACTCAAGCAGTGTGACCTTGTCAACCAGATCAGCAAGGAGATTCAAAATGAGGACGAAAAGACTCTCTCTCGCGTAAGAAACTATGGCGACCTTCTTCAGGCGATCGTCACGCTTCAAGACCAGGTCAACGGTCTGATCGACCGTGAGCGCACTTCCGTGACTGGCGGCGGTATTGCAGCCTTGCCAAATGGTATCAAGCAACTTCTTGAGAAGAAAGAGGGTCTGTTCCGAAAGAACATGATGGGAAAACGTGTCAACTTTGCTGCTCGTTCCGTCATTTCGCCCGACCCCAATCTGGAAACCAATGAGATCGGTGTTCCTCTTGTCTTCGCCAAGAAGCTCACCTTCCCTGAGCCCGTCACGAATCACAACTTCTGGGAGATGAAGGAGGCTGTCATCAACGGTCCTGACAAGTATCCCGGTGCTGCTGCGATTGAAAATGAGAACGGCCAAGTCGTCAACCTGAAGTTCAAGAGTCTGGATGAGCGTACGGCTCTCGCGAACCAGCTGCTTGCCCCCTCAAATTGGCGCCTGAAGGGATCGCGAAACAAGAAAGTCTACCGTCATCTTACTTCGGGAGACTACGTTCTGATGAACCGACAGCCCACTCTCCACAAGCCGTCAATCATGGGTCACAAGGCTCGTGTCCTTCCCAACGAACGAACAATTCGAATGCATTACGCCAATTGTAACACCTACAATGCTGATTTCGATGGTGATGAGATGAACATGCATTTCCCGCAGAATGAGCTCGCCCAAGCAGAGGCGAGAATGCTTGCAGATGCCGATCATCAGTATCTGGTTGCTACCTCTGGCAAGCCTCTGAGAGGGTTGATTCAGGATCATATCTCAATGGGTGTTTGGTTCACCTGCCGTGATACTTTCTTCGACGAGGAGGATTATCACCAGCTGCTCTACAACTGTCTTCGCCCCGAATTTTCCAACACGGTCGGGGATCGCATCCAAACAGTGGAGCCTGCGTTCATCCGGCCCAAGCCTCTGTGGACCGGCAAACAAATCATTACGACCATTTTGAAGAACATTCAGCCTCCAGGGCGGGCAGGTCTCAACCTCAAGGGCAAATCTTCAACTCCCGGCGATCGATGGGGCGCGGGCAACGAGGAAGGTGCCGTCATCTTCAAGGACGGTGAATTCCTGTGCGGTATCCTTGACAAGAAACAGCTTGGTCCTTCCGATGGTGGTATCATTGATGCTGTGCACGAGGTTTACGGTCACACTATTGCTGGAAAGTTGATCAGTATTCTCGGACGCCTGTTCACACGTTACCTGAACATGCGGGCGTTCACTTGTGGTATTGATGATCTTCGATTAACCAAGGAAGGTGATCGCATCCGTAAAGAGAAGCTGAGCACTGCTCCCCAGATGGGTCGTGAAGTTGCCCTGAAGTATGTTACTCTGGACCAGACTACTGTGCAGGATCAAGATGCCGAGTTGAACCGTCGTTTGGAGGAGGTTCTTCGCGATGATGACAAACAGGGTGGTCTGGATAGTGTCTCCACTGCTAGGAACGCTAAACTCTCCTCTGAAATCACCAACGCCTGTCTGCCGGCTGGTCTTGCCAAGCCTTTCCCTTGGAACCAGATGCAGTCAATGACCATTACCGGAGCCAAGGGGTCGGGTGTCAATGCCAACCTCATTTCCTGCAATCTTGGCCAGCAGGTTCTGGAAGGTCGTCGTGTCCCGCTGATGATTAGCGGTAAAACCTTGCCGTCTTTCCGTGCGTTTGAGACGCATCCTATTGCCGGTGGTTACGTCTGTGGTCGTTTTTTGACTGGAATTAAGCCGCAAGAATATTATTTCCATGCCATGGCCGGTCGTGAAGGTTTGATTGATACTGCTGTCAAGACCTCTCGTTCCGGTTACTTGCAACGTTGCTTGATCAAGGGCATGGAGGGTCTCAGAGCCGAGTATGACTCTTCGGTCCGTGAAGCTTCTGATGGTTCCATCGTCCAGTTCCTGTACGGAGAGGATGGCCTAGATATCACTAAGCAGGTTCATCTAAAGGATTTCGGATTCCTTGCTCAGAACCACCTGTCAATTTCGAAGCAAGTCCAGGCAGACGATTTCCACAGTCTGGCGAAGGAGGACGTGACTAGCTGGCACAAGGATGCGATGAGGGCAATTCGCAAAAGCGGAAAAATTGATGCCATGGATCCTGTTCTGGCTCGCTATCACCCTGGTGGTAACTTGGGTAGTACATCCGAGGCATTTGCCCAAGCCCTCAAGAAGGTATGGATAAACTTGGTATTCCGAAAAGCTTTTCCATTAACTGGTACTAATACATCTTGCAGTATACCGACGACAACCCGGATGCTCTTTTCAAGGATAAGAAGAAGGATATTGCTGGTACCATCGGAAAGAAGACTTTTGATGTTCTCATGAACATGAAGTACATGAAGTCTATCATCGACCCTGGTGAGGCCGTTGGTATTATGGCCGGTCAGTCGGTCGGTGAGCCGTCGACACAGATGACTTTGAACACTTTCCACTTGGCTGGTCACTCCGCAAAGAACGTGACGCTCGGTATTCCTCGACTGCGTGAAATTGTCATGACTGCAAGCGCCAACATCATGACGCCTACTATGACATTAATGTTGAACGAAGAAATGACCAACTCGGACTCGGAGCAATTCGCCAAGGCCATCAGCAAGCTCAACATTGCTGAGGTTGTGGACAAGGTGCAGGTCAGAGAGCGAATCGGCGCGGGTATTGGCTACGCCAAGGCTAAGATCTACGACATCGAAATTACCTTCTTCCCTCCTGAGGAGTACTGTAAGGAATATGCTATCGAGACCAAGGATGTGCAGAATGGCCTGCAGAACAAGTTCATTCCTCGATTGGTCAAACTGACTCGGACTGAGTTGAAGAAGCGTAAGGATGACAAGACTGGCAAGAAGAGCTCTACCGCCCAGCCTGAGATCGGTGTTTCCGTCGGTCGAGTTGCTGATGGGCCTAGCGGTCCAGATCGCGAGACTCAGCCAGGAGATGACGATGACGACGAGGACCAGGATGATGCCAAGCGAGCTCGTGGCAACACGAACAAGAGCAACCAGGTCTCTTACGATGGACCTGATGATGATGAGCAGAATATCATCAACCGTCAAGACTCCCCTGACTTGGAAGATGATCAAATGGAAGGCGCTCAGCCTCGAGCTACCGGCGACGTCGAAATGGAAGACAGTGACTCTGACTCTGACTCCGACGAAGAGAACAACACGCGTGAGGAAGATGTCAAGGGCAAATTCGTTGAGATCACCAAGTTCAAGTTCGATCCTAAGAAGGGCGGCTCGTGCACGATCCAGCTGCAATATGATATCGAGACCCCCAAGCTTCTGCTCCTACCTCTGGTCGAGCAAGCTGCTCACACTGCGGTCATCCAGTCCATCCCCGGTCTTGGTGACTGTGTTTTCGTCGAAGCCGATGAGATCAAGGGTGATCCTGCCAGCGTTCTCACCGACGGTGTCAACCTGCTTGCTATGCGCGACTACCAGGATATCATCAAGCCTCACTCGATCTACACCAACTCCATCCATGACATGCTGAATCTCTACGGTGTCGAGGCTGCGCGCGCCACCATCATTCGTGAAATGGACGCCGTTTTCAAGGGTCACAGTATCTCCGTTGACAACCGTCATCTGAACTTGATTGGTGATGTGATGACTCAAAGTGGTGGTTTCAAGGCCTTCAGCCGTAACGGCCTGGTCAAGGACTCTACCTCACCCTTCTCTCGGATGTCCTTCGAGACTACTGTTGGTGCTCTGAAGGATGCCGTGCTCGAGAGAGACTGGGATAACCTTAAGGGCCCGAGTAGCAGAATCGTCGTTGGTCGCTCCGGTACTATTGGTACTGGCGCCTTCGATGTTCTCGCTCCTGTAGCATAGTCGCGTCGTTCTCCGGAGTTGCCTCGCATTGTGGTTTTTTATTTCTTATCAGATGTACATTTCCTTCCTTGCGATCCTACTGTATCTTGTTTTACTTTGCCGTCTTGATGTGTCGATGATATGGAGTTTTCTGTTCAGCGGAACACAAAAAGTGCCATTCCCTGTTCATATAAGCATTTGAGTCAAATAAAAATTCACTTATTATTATTGTCTACTTTCCAATAGTATTTTGCCATATTTGTGTCGAGGTTCGAGCTCGAAAGGCACATTGCACGTGTCCGAGGAAGGTGAAGAAAGACCATGTTTTGTCTACAAAACGTGAAGGTCCTAGCAAAAATTTCCTTTTTTTTTTTTTTTTTTTCATAATTTCATATCCAAAGCAGCAGTTATATGAGCCAGGTAGATCTATCTCTGTGATAATGGTCCGGTGCAATTCAAGCATAGTAACCGCAGAAACAATTAGATCATATAGCGGAAACCGACAGCAAGTTGAGCAGGTGTTGGGCCATTTCGGCCCATGTCTAGACCACGATCAAGCTTGCTATTCTGACGCCTCAGATAGAAGCGCGTAATGGTCGCCAGTATGATGGCCAAGCCGGAGGCGGCTAGGTTGACCAGAAAGGCAGCAAGATACCGCGGCTCGGAATAGTAGAGATAAGAAGCCCATACTATCAGACCATGTCAGCGAGAGCAAGGGCAGCAAGACTGAATGTAATATGAACGTACTGTTTGGAGTGTTACAGATCGCATTGATCAAAGCGATTGCCGAGGCACGCTTTATTGAAGGCTGCGACAGCGTGCTGGTTATCCAGGACAAAACGACAATGGCTGCCGCATAGAAAGATCCTGGCATTAACATCATCGCAACATCTAGATACGAGTGATGGTGAGTTGTCTTTCGATTGCAAAAAAGCCTGATTTATGACTTACAGCGTGCTGCCGTGTTGAGTGTAGAGACAGCAATTATATTAGCCACTAGGCAGACAGCCATTGGGCAGACGATGTGCAGGTAACGCTCTTGTTTCTATTGTTTATTAGCCAGCTCACAGCCATTTTAGGTGCAATGGTTGCTACCACATACCCTATCAGAGTGAAAACCATTGATAATCATCGCAATCACGCAGAGGACATAGGGTGGCTGTATGTCGCCAATATCAGTTTATGCTATCTTGATATCAGGGGGTGGAAAAAGAAAAAGAAAAAGAAAAAAAAAAAAAACCAACCGCAGTGAGACCATAGGTCTTGTTTCGAGAGTATCCGAGAGTGGCCACAACCGAGGGAAAGAAGTTAGTCACAGCTCCAGCAATGTAGATCTTTCAGATTAGCACATGAGATGAAACAATTATAGGACCAAATGGATAATATGAAAACATACAGAATAAAGTATGCCCATGAAAAGCCAGGTTTTGAGATCGGTCACAGCCATGACAACACCCTTCATGGCACTTGCCTCATCGGCATTATCCTGCTGGCCTTGATCTTCCTCGAAACTCCATAGGAGATACTCATGCTCAAGTTTGGTGAATCCGCTGAGAGATTTCAATGAGTTGGGTAGGATAAAAACAAGGATAATGGCAAGGCCAATGGTGGCAATTCCCTCGACTAGGAAAAGCTATACATTTGACTTTAGTAAGCAAGTAGTGTAGATTTTTGGGAGGAAAAGCAACTCACCCATCTCCAGCCTTCCAGACCATGTTTTCCATCCAGTTTCAAAATCGCAACAGCAAATAGGCCTCCAAATGCATTGCCAAGTTGAGAGCCAGAGTAAAGAATAGCTGTCCGCAGCGCGAACTGTTTTTTTGTGTAGAACAAAGACAGATAAAAAAGAGCACCAGGGAAGAACACAGCTTCCACGAATCCAAGGAAGAAACGGGAGGCCATGAGGCCGGAAAAGTTGTGAACAGCGGCCGTGCAAGCTGAGAGGACACCCCATAGGCCCATCGAGAAACAAATGTAGACGCCAGGGAGCTTGATTTTTCCCACCACAACGTTGGATGGGACCTGCATTAGAACTAGTGTAGAGAACGAGCAGAGTTAGTGTCAGGCTGATCTTATTGCTTCCAGAATCGCTCACGTACTGTAGCCAACGAACAAGATGCTGACACAGGTCTGGTATTGTACATCCGTCATCTTCAGATCCTGTTCGATATCGGCCAATTTGGCCGCGGCGATATTCTGACGGTCCAGGTAGTTCATGATATACATAACCACCATGCACGGCATGATTTGGGCATCCAGTTTGAATGTTGCTCGACGTTTCACTTTGGAGAGCTCAGCCTCCGGTAGATTAGCCAACGAGGGTGGCATCGCCAGAACAGCCGATGGACCCTTCTCATCGACAACATTCTCCACCTCTTTCAACTCCCTGCTTTCTTTGTTAGTCATGAAGAGGGTCGAGAGCCAAGATCTTGCCAATGAGCGATAATGTTTTAGTGTCTATTCCGAAAGCTGGAGAGTATTCCAGTTTTATAGTAATCACCCCCATGCCAGACCAAGCCCGCTAGACCAAAACCTTCTCCAAAACACGCGAAGAGTGCAGGGACGAGGTGCGGGGAAGAGAAAGAACGCAGCGATGAGCCACATGCCTGAGAATAGACCATCCTGATTCGAGCAAGGCCGCCTGGCGTCTGCCAGTAAATTTGAAGGTTTGCGAAGCTAGAACACTTGCGGGGGTGCCAAGGCTGGGGTCAACCCAGAGAAGCGTGGGGGTGCTTGTTGAAATTCTGGGGTTTCCAAGAGCCATCGCATTGTCCGGCCGCTGCGGTGCTGCGGGTCGGCACGGGGGCGTGGGGGTTGATGATGGCTACCTGCCTGTGCTGACATTCAAAGCAGCCATCTTCGTGTATTTTAAGGCGACCCTAACTTCATTTTGTCTGGAAGACAAATTGTTATGACTTTTGATATTTGAGACTATCTGACTTGATTGCTGGGACCCGCATGTAAATTCCCGCCTTTGTTCATAGAAACACCATCCATGCTATCCATATCATATCTTCATCCCCAGTCCAAAACGCCTCCGACTTTTAATACACAGCCTGAAATTGCGCCAATATTTACCTTGAAATTGGAAAAACAAAGGAAAGAAAAAGAAAAAGAAGAAGAGAAAGGGTGAACAAAGCCAGAACTTGCCGAGTGGGCTACTGCGCATCGAGCATCATCATGTCTTGTTCGATATCGTCGTCGAAATCATTGTCGACGACCTCCACAGTGGATGTCATGAGACCATCCATCTTAGAATAACCATTCGTGAGGTTCTCATGCATGGCGCGGTTTTCTTCCTCCTTCCGCTTTGCCTCATGGCGTTCTATATCCGCCAAGCTCCAGGTTGAAATTCCTTCCTGGTCCTTGGCCTTGAAAGGCTGTGCCATGGTGCGCAAGAAGTTCTTGGCATTCGACACTGCCATATCGGTACTGAGGTTCGTTTCACTATCCAGCATAGCCTGGTTGATCCACTTGGGAAGCTGGGGACGTTTCCGCTCGAATCGGCGATCGGCCAGCACCATGACTCCGTAGTCATCCTTACCACGCAACACACGACCTAGACACTGTGCCGCGTGCCGCATGGCGTCGAAGGAGAGGAAATCGTTCTCCCGGATGCGGTAATTCTCGCGCAAGAATTCAAGACGGGCTTTCAGAATGCGAGATTCGGTGTATTGGAACGGTACACCGATGCACAGCACTGCACGGCCATAGTGGTGGTCAAAATCAATACCTTCAGATACCTTTCCACGCGCGACACAAAACAGGATTGCTCCACGGCCATTGCAACAGGCTGTTCTGTACGTTTCCAACGCGAGAGAGGATTCTTGGGCATCGGGTGTTTCGACCATAATGAGTTTGTAGTTCCAGATCTGGTCCAAAATACCCATTCCCTGCCACATACTGATGATGGACTCCATGTAGAGATAGGAAGGAAAGAAAACGACAACACCGTCGGGAGTTACACGAGCGAACTCCGTGACAAGAGTACCGTAGTTTCGCACCACACCCGGGTCATTGCGGATGCCGAATGATGACGAAACTTGGGCCTGATCGGAGCCTCGCGTGACAATCATAGGTAGGAAAGACCGTCTTGCTAGGGTCATGCTATAGGATTCCTGCATGACAGCATTGAATCCCAGCATTTTAGGATACATCTCCAGTGGAGACAACGTTCCAGATGTGATGATGACAGAGCTGAAGCGATCGAAAACGGGCTTGATCGCAATTGCGGCATCTAAGCAAGTAAAATGGAGAATGGGGTTTGGAACCGTGGCTGCTTCGGACTCGAATGGCTCGAGAATGAGAACGAATCCTTTGTCATATGTCGCAACCAGAGTTGCAAATGTGGCGACTTCTTGAAGCGGCTGGTAGTCTTCAATATTGATCAGTTCCAGGGTTCGTACGAGCGAGGTCAAGCGCTCCGCGCAGAACCTCAACGGTTTGCGTTCAATGTAGGTGAGATCTTTCAAGTGAGTTAGGAAAGAAGGGGGTGTCTCCGAAATAGTATGAGTCACTTTCATTCGAGTCTTGAGATACTCGATGAATCTCTTCAAGAAACTGATGAAGTGCTCAGCCCGGCGGATGTTTCCCGGGACTGCTTCCTTCAGCAAATCGTCCGGCAACACGGGATTCGAGATGAACTGATCTTCCTCCCGAGCCTGCTCTGCTTGCTGCAACCCCTCCACGAGTTTAGAGTATTCGCTCTGGAGCTTTTCTGCATCCGAGCTCTTCATTTCGTCGATCTTGCGCTCAAGATTGTTTGCCCCACGGGTGGCCTTGCGGAGAGAATCTTCGCTCAGGTCGATGCTGAGCGACTCGATGCAGACGTTGTCGATATTGTGTGCTTCGTCAAAAACGACGATGCAGTCTTTGGAAAGTTCTCGTGAAACTCGTTCGGCGATTTTTGGATCGAGGAGGTAGTGGTAGGAGTAAATGATAATGTTGCACCAAGGCATCTGCACGTTTGGAATTAGTACTCAACTACTGTGTGAATTTGAACGCGGTGAAACGCATACCATTCGACGCGCAGAAAAGTAAGGACATTGCTTGTGTTCCTCTCCATACTTCAACAAATCATCGAGGGTAAAGACGCCCGGAGGTACTAGATTGTGCGGCTCGAGCAGATCAAGATTCTAAATTCAAGCTGGTTAGAATAAGCCAACAGGGGTCGCGGATAATTTCGCACGTACTTCATGGTAGATGCAAAGATCCACATCTTCACCGCGCTCCTTCTTTTCTTTGACGAAGCCTGCTGTCAAACTCCTGCACCTCGCGTCGACCACGGTACCGCTCTTTTCCCGCTTCACAGAAGGATGCAGACACAGATTTTTTCGACTGGTCAATCCTAGCGCGCGGAACTCCTCCTCATATCCCAATTCCTGCGACCGATGCTTCATGAGCTCTTTCAACTCCGCCAGCGCTTTCTCGATCTCGGACATGGTTCGCGAGCAGTAAATGAGCTTTCGGTGTTCCGGATAATGCTGCTGGTATGCGACAATCAATGAGAGAAGCGATACGGTCTTGCCGGTTCCTGAAGGCATCTCCAGTACGCAGTGACCCCCGGCATCGAGGGTCTTCTTGAGATCGCACATGTATGCATACTGTTCGGGGTAAATTCGAGGGTACGGGAACAGCACCGGAAGGTCACTAATGATCAAGGAGCCAAGGTTAGCAGCGACGACTCGCAGATGCGTCGCGTAGAGATGAGAGGTGACTTACTCAATGAAGAACTTCATCTTGGCTGATGTTCCCAGCGGCCGACCGAGAAGCACGAAGCAAGAAAGAAGATGGGGAGACAGCTTTGGATCTTTACCTCATCGGGACAGCAACGGCCTACGTCATGTGACTGCCTTATCGGGACGCCGCCCGCACTGGATCCAATAACGCTTTCTGGATTCCTCAATTACAACAATTGCGACTCGGGACAATACGTGATTTCGTGCGTGCCTTCGGTCTCGAAAAAATTATTCATTCGGCATCTGCCCCGCCCTTTCACCAGCCGGTGTCGCACTGGGAGCACCCTCAAATATCCCCCGCTGTGCCCGCTGACCTCATACCCCACATGAGCAAAAAGTTCAAGTCGCAGGCGTCCAGCAGTCGCGCAGCTGCGGGCGCCTTTGGGTCGTTTAGTGGATTCTCGGGTGCCTTTAACGGAGATGGCCGGGAGCCGTCTGCACTTACATATATTGCCGAACCACCGGACTTGTCTCGCATCTCAGAGCAGCAGATAGTCATTGCTTTCAAGAACTTGCTGAAGAAAGATGACATTACGCGGACCAAGGCGTTGGAGGAGCTTAAGGAGCATGTGTCCTCAGTGGAGGTAAATGATGGAACACTTGATGATGGCTTTTTAGCAGCATGGGTATGTAGAGAAATATTCCGGCCATACCCAGACCCCAATTTAACGGAATTCAGGTCAAAATATACCCACGATTGTCCATTGATTTGTCCAGGCGGGTACGACAGATGGCGCATACCATTCAAGGCTCAATCACTGGCCTCGTCGGCAAGAGAATTGCGCCATATCTGCCCAAGGTCATTGGTGCTTGGGTGGCTGGCATTTACGACATCGACAAAATAGTGCACCGCTCCGCATTAGAATCTTTCATCAGTGTCTTCTCGACCCAAGACAAGCGAAATAACGTATGGAAGATCTACCAGAGCTCCATCTTGGACTTTGCAGACGACGTCCTTCTTCATCAAACACCCCTTACATTGAGCGACGAGCGAACAGTCAAGCGAGATGATGCAGAAGCAAAATATGCACGCGTGGTGGGGGCTGGACTGCTTCTTTTCAATCGAATTCTAGGTATCTCGGGACCGAATTTCCCATGTAGGCTTTTGTGATCTGACATTTCTGAGCAGGCGACTCCTCTGACGAGGATCTTCAAAAAAATCTCGCCGAAATTGAGCTTTTGCTTGGCAGTAGGTCTATATGGTGCTTTTGCAACCACGATGACCCGTTTGTCCGCCGATCTGTTTACATCTTGATGCGGACGGCAGTATCTAGAGAGCCTGGCTGGCTTGATTGGAAGCTCCTCAGCTCTGCTGTCATTGGAAAGTCTTTGTCCATCTCGCAGCTCGGCTCCGCTTCTGACCTATCTGAAACTATTCTACTTCTGACTTCGTCCAGACCTCAGGTCTGGACGAAGGACTTCACAGGAAAGACCTCCGCATCGAAAAGACTCCGTCAATACATCCAGAAAGGCTCACAGGGTGGCACCGGAAAATTCTGGTCCAACCTTGACCAGTTGATCCGAACCGTTCCTCGAGAGGTTCTCGCAGGAGCCGACAAAACATGTACCGATGATACGGTCAAAGTCTCTAGCGTCACTGCCCTCACAGAAGCATTCCAAGAGGGCCTCAATTCAAGGGAAGAGCCGCGCCAAAATCTCTTTACTGGCTGGAAATCCTACATCGAGGTTGGACTATGGCTTGCGAGCCTTTTGCCGGAAGAAGAACGTTCTGAGCTTATTCAGATGAGACTGTCACCCATTATAACGCATTACGTCCAGCCGAATCCCGATTTAACCCAATGGTCTCTTCCTTCTCAGTCAACCGAGCATCTCTGCATTGACCTTCTCTCTGCCCTGGTTGGTCACGGACAATACCAGGAAATAAAGACTTTGTGGGCAGATCTGTCGAAAGCCCTGCTTGAAGCCGTGAAACTATCGTCCCCAGAGCAATCCAAAGATTTCCGATCATCACAGGACGCAATCTGTGAGCAGTCGAAACGCTTTTTTATCCTCGAACCCTCGGTTCTCTCGCGAGCTATGGAAGCCAACCGCGAGGCTCAGCTGAAGGAGATTTTTGAGAAGTCAAATATGGCTCTTCTTGACGATTGTCTGCAAGTCTTGCGCTCTCGAAATGGGAAGCCTTACGGAGCCGCTGGGGTTGTGGAGGAATGTATTCGCCGGGTGCCTTCCATCGCCAAGAGATCTCAGGAACTTCTAGAGTTCGTCCAGAACGATGCACCCGAGCTTTTGTTCTCTCCCTCAGGTGACCGTCTCATTGCAATTATTCTGGCGTGCCGACAATGGGAAGGATTCTCCTCTAGCTTTGAGATAGTTATTGAACGAGCTTTGGGGCTTGAGCCTGAGCAATCGAACGCTCATGTTCTCCAGAGTCTTTTGTCTACACTTGACTTCAACGAGATTGGAGACCAGGCCAAGCTTTCTTCTCTGGTCATGCGAGCTTTGAATAAAGCGTGCAGAGGAAGCGCTGCTCACTGGCCGATTGTCGCCGCAGTCCTCCGGAATCAAACTTCTTGGAATGTCATGCTGAACCAAATCTTCATGTCGATCATCGGTTCATTATCCCAAGAAGAACGCATTTTCGCTGCCCTCCATGGCCTATCCCACCTTGGGCGGACTGTCCCTGCTGCTGTGCGAGAGTTTCAAGGTGGTGTAGATGGTTCGAAGCTGATCGGGAAGTTGCTATACCTTTCCGAATCTGCTTCGGAAGAAATAGCAGGTCTCGCTGAGTCTCTGATGAAGACTTTCAAAGAAATTACCGTTGGTGACACAAGTACGAAGTCAAAGATTGAGGTTCTCAATGATGGGTTCACTGCTGCGAAGGAGGAGTCCCTGACGTGAGTGATCTAGAGCTTATATCTTTTCTTATTGAACACATCCACTGACACTTAATAGAATTGATTCGCTCTTTGCTATTGCCGAAGAGTTGCTTCCGAGTCTTCAAAGTGAAGCGAAGTACACCATCAAAGACATTCTACCCTCTCAATCTGCCTGGGAGGACGCCATGGCCCCATTCCTTCAATTGCCTCCCCGCCCGTCAACAGCAATTACAAGCCCACTCGCCGGAATTACCCACTTGGTCCAGCGCGACCTGTCCGATTCATTCAAGGAACTGCGGCTAAGTATTGGCCGGGACTCATCTCGCTGTTCTACCGCATTCCGGCTCGCAAGCTTTACCATTAGGGTTTTGTCTTTGTTCCCTGTTACTCAGCATATGGAGAAGGAAGATCTAGAGACATTGTTCTATTTTGTTCCACTGGCTGTGCAGCTGATCGATGACGACCTGAGCATTGAAAACTCTAATGGTATTTCAGGGCTAGAGTTGGCTGACCAGCGCGAGGAGTACCTTGAAATCGTTTTCAAGGGACAAAGGGTGATCAGTGACTGGATTCACGCGAAACATACTACCAGCTATGCGCCCGATGTCACACTTTCCTCATCATTCCTCTCTTTCTGGGAAAATAAGCTGGAAGGGTTGAATGGAACCTCACCGCTTGACTATCGAATCGGAGAAGCATTTGCCACGATGATGGGCTCCGTGGAGACAGTGGGAACATCCAAGTCCACTGATCAGATTGCAAAGATTTGCAGAGAGGCACGCACCGCCAATGGTATCCGCTCGGCGTCATGGTTTGTCGTTCTGAGAAGCTCCATACTATCGAACCCGGTCGGAAACAGAGTTTGCAACGAACTGGTTGCTGAATCGACTGGACTTAAACCGCAAGACCCTTCTCCCGACGGTAAGCCCCTCCATGATACTCTATTACGTTTAGTCCTGCTAACGAACTTTAGGATTACGCAAACTGGCACTGCTCAATATCCTTCTGTCTGGGGAGGAGGACATTATTTCAACAATTCCAACTCAGCGTCTGGTGTTCCTTACCAAGCATCTCGTTGAATGTCTCCAGTCTGATCTGCAATCTTTTGGACTAAGGGCTGAAATCATGAAGGCGCTGGCATTTGTTCTTTCAGGTCTTGTTGAGATCTATGGATCCCACTGGGAGGATAGTATGACCACCTTGAGCAAGGTTTTCAAGAAGACGAATGGTGGTGAAGAAGGCCTCCCGTTGCTAGTGTCATCTTTCAGGTTGTTTGCCCGTTTGAAGTCTATGGCAGATGGTGAAAGCAACGATGATCTCCAAGATGCCTGGCTCGAGCGACGAGTTGGCCTATTCAACGAGTTAGCTTCTACCATCGGAAAGTTTGGTAAGTGTCTTCCTATCTCTGAGAAACTTTTAGCATATGTCCAAGGAGCTGACCCGGATCAGATTCTTCGACCACTTTCCACCAGCCTCGGGATGTGGCTGTTGATCTCCTACGACGTCTGATTATCTCCATCCCAATTGAAAAGTTGGAAGATATCAGCGAGGTCTTCTGTCTTTTGACTGCCCACAGTCGTGCTGTTCAGCGAACTGCTTACACCATCCTTCACCGCTACATCCCTTACTCTCAGGAACAGGTCTCATTCGACGTGGCATTGTCTAAGTCTGCGGTCAGTCTGCCCGACGAGCTTGTATCCCTTCTACTCGAAACACCATCGATGCAAATGGTCTCCGCGTCATACGGCGACGACAAGATGTGGACCAGTGTGAGGTCCTACCTCCTTAGCTGGAAGGTGGTCTTTGACCACTTCTCCAATGCAGTATGTCGTAGCTCTTCCCCCAAAACCCTTGGAATATACTGACCTGTGTCCCAGTCACTTCCCGTTCAAGAATACTACGCGGAGAACATTAAGGAGAACGACGTTTTGATTCCGCTCCTTGAATTTACCTTCGATTTCCTACAGAAGGCACACGGCAAGATCATCGACCCTTCCAAGTTCGATATTCAGAACTTCGAGCCCGACGAGTCTGAGAATGCCGAGAAAGAGACGCAGTGGCTACTAGTCCACTTGTACTACCTGTGTCTCAGATATCTTTCCAACAGGACCAAGAACTGGTGGATTGACACAAAGAAGCGCGTCAAGGGACCTGTGGAGGCCTGGACCGAGAGATACGTGAGTGGAATTATCAATAGGCTCTACCAACTATTGACAAAGCTTTACTAACTCCTGACCAGATTTCACCTATTGTGGCCGGAGATTCTCTCAAGGGTGTCGAAGATTGGAATTCCACTCAAGACCCCAATGAGGAACGTGCACTAGAAGTGAAGATTGTGCCGAAGACGACCGAGATCATTGCTAGCATCCCGGTGGACGAGGAGTCTCCTCCTGTCTCGATATCCCTTTCTCTTCCTCCGGCATACCCGCTGCACCCTGCACTGGTCGTCGGTCGCAGCCGGGTACTTGTGGATGAGAAGAAGTGGAAGAGCTGGCTGCTCACAATTCAAGGCGTCATCATGTTTGCTAATGGCAATCTCGTTGACGGCCTGCTGGCATTCCGACGGAATGTCCAAGGTGCGCTAAAGGGCCAAAGCGAGTGCGCTATTTGCTATTCCGTCATTTCGACCGATATGCAGACCCCCAACAAGCGTTGCGCGACCTGCAAGAACGCCTTCCACTCCGTCTGTCTGTTCCGCTGGTTCAAGAGCAGCAACCAGAGCACTTGCCCGCTGTGCCGGAACAACTTTGTTTATGTCTGAACGTGTAAAATAAAATAGACGATAGATGTGGAATGATCAAAATGAACGCGACATGACTCATGTCCATCCCTGTCAATTTCAATTATCAAGCTCATCTGACACAGCTAGGACGCCATGGCGTTCTCTCATCGGCCGTTTCCTTGGGGCCTGGTATGAAGCCGATGCTGGAAGGCTGTGTGGGGGGCGCTATCTACGCTTGTCGAACCTACGGCTTTCTCACCGGTGATGAATTACAAGTCGAATTAGCTGTAGGATTTGGCCAAGAATGCTTGTATCGTGCTAAGCACCGGTCCGCGTATATCTCCTGCTCCCCCCGTCTGACCCCGGATTCTCCACCCAAGGCCTGGTTCTCTCGAGAGCTGACGTTTTACCCCAGGCGTTTATATGTGTTGACCCCATGGTCTTCGGAGTTTTGCCCGTACAGATTCCTCCATTGAACAGAAAGCAGAGAAATGTAGCTAGGGAAGTGTCGCATGCTAGGCAATGGAAGGAGGACGCCGCGGAGGAACCACATGAGGGCCAAACTCCAAATTTGAGCCAAGCTCTTTGCCCACGCTTCTGGATCTCGGACGTTACAGATCACTTTTGCGTCGGGGTATATTTCGAGCAGTTCCGGAACGAGTTGTGAGCAGGGCGCGTCGGTGACAGCAGTGTAGCCGTTCAGCCGATGTCTCATAAGGCGTTTCGTCGTTTCCCGAGCCTGAGGATCTCCTTTCGCCCAGTATTGGAGGATTTTGGTCCACGATTTGATCTCGATGGGAGGCCCCATTGAGATTTGTGCTCCGTCATGATAGGTAGGGCTGTCGAGGAGAACTTCTAGAGCCGCCCTGAATGATGACGTGCCCGTGCGTGGGAGACCTGCTCCAATGACTTGGCACGCCTGGATTCGGGACTGAGGCGTTTTGGCCCATGATGTGTCTGTCAGCTCTTCAATCAAGGATAAATTAAAGGTGTAAGTCTTCAGAGTTTGAACGAAAAGCTCGGGGCTCTAAATAGACTCGCGCTGATCGAGACTTTTTGGCCCTCAGCATTCGCCAGCCTTGTATTGCTCTTCTGTTGGGCATTGGTCCCAGTCAGCCGTAGGCAACGCCTCTGCGCATAATGTCTCCCATATAGATTAGGTCTCATCTAGTGCAGTCCGCCGGAGCCGAACAATTTGCAAATAAGACCTCTTTTGGTCAAAGCAAGGCATGGTATCGAGGAGCACAGATTCCGAGACCGGAGCATAGGTCGAGGGTGTGTCAGGTGCAGAAGGACAGTCAATATGAAAGCCTTCTTTTTTTCAAGCTCAGGTAGAGCTACCGATCATCTTGGGAATCTGCGAGGGATGAATACTGCTTGTGCCATGATAGATACCTGATACCTGCCTTGAGGTAAGGAAGTGTCGAAGGGGAAGGCCGCGGGGACGCGGGGCATTTCCCCACCACGCCCAAGCTCCAAGCTTCCTCCACTCAACTCTCCCATGGCCGCCCCTCAGATTCCCAACCTCAACACCCTCCGTCGAGGCCGAGGTCGTGGCCGCGGAGGCCGTGCTACTGACAGCGGCCATGACACGCGACCAGCAGGCAAGGACCACGTGGTGCAGGGCACCGACAACGACGCCAGCGTCTCCCGTCTGAGCGCGGTCGAGCTGGGATACCTGCAGGATCCCTACGCGACAATACTGACACCTGCGGGGTCTGCGACACGGAGATTCCCAATTATCAACAGGGGTATGCTATTCCACAGCTTCTCGCAGCAAGAAGGATGGGAAAAACTGACTGGGGCTACCCAACAGGAACCTACGTTCGAACGACTGCAATTGATCACCTTGTTGCGCGTTTCTTGGGCGCGCACACACCAAACAAGGACCAGAGCCAGCGGAAACAAATTATCTCGCTGGGGGCGGGCTCCGATACGCGTGTTTTCCGGATCCTCTCTCGAAACCCGTCCGACCTCGTCTACCATGAAATCGATTTCGCAGTCAACACATCCTCGAAAGTCCGGGCGATCCGATCAACACCGCGACTTCAACAGGCACTGGGCATTGACAAACCCGACGCCGAAGTGACCGTTTCAGAAACAGGCGACGCACTACACACTCCAACCTACCATCTCCACGCCGTCGACCTGCGGTCACTCTCGAAGGACAGCGACTTCTCCGCAATACTTCCCGGCGTAGACCGGGGTCTACCAACTTTGTTGATTTCGGAATGCTGTCTAATCTACCTCTCGCCCACTGAAGCAGCACAAGTGGTCGCTTTCTTTACTGAACACCTGTTTGCACCTGCGGGAGGTAACGGAGATGACAAACAAACCACCGCTCCGCTCGGACTGGTGTTGTACGAGCCTATTCGCCCAGATGACGCCTTTGGCCGAACCATGGTATCCAACCTGGCGACACGGGGCATTCAACTCCAAACGCTACATAAATATGCCTCGTTGGAGGCGCAGCGGAACCGATTGAAGGAACAGGGGCTTGGAAGCGGCCAAGCAGTCGCTGATATCGAGTTCATATGGAAGCATTGGGTGAGCGAAGAGGAGAAGGAGCGGGTTTCTGGTCTTGAAATGCTGGATGAGGTGGAGGAGTGGCAGCTCCTGGCTCGGCACTATTGCATTGCTTGGGCTTGGAGAAATGGAGATAACCCTTCGATCTATAAGGGATGGGCGACATTGGAAGCCCAGCCAGGCAACTGATACAAATGATACCAATTTGAAATACGTACAATGCGGTCCATTACAGGCTCCAGGCCATCATAGTGGAACACTAATTCAGAGATTAATATAAAGGTATTACGATTTCATAGCCGAGAAGGCGTACCGCGGGGAAGTGAGCTTTTATTTCAGGAAATTTGGTAATACCAATACGAATCAAGCATCTCAACCCTTCGGTCACGCTTTGAATCGTACCAGTAGGCAAGAAAACACACGAACATGCAGATTACCCGTCTTTTTCACAATATTGTTACAATTGTATTGGTGATAAAAGCGGTGGCCACTAAGCAGCCTGAGGGAAACAGACATGCGACTGAAGTGAATATAAACAAATATCGACGACCAAGGTATTTTCAGATAAATTCAACTGCATATTTGCACAGAAATACACCTCCTGCAAACCCACAGCTAGTTCTTCTTCTGCAGGGCCACATCCAGTGCAGGGATCTCGACACCAACGACAACACCCTTAGTGTCCAGTGTGAAAATGAACTCATCCAGTCCGTGGTCAGCATACTGGTACTTATCCACATCCATCCACGAGACACATGTCGGAGTCCCACTGTCAGCCAACTCAGTAACATCCTGGAAGACAGCACGAAAAGCCTCTTTGGAACCAGTGCTGGTCTTCTCAACCAGACGCGTCGGGTAAAGATGGATGCTCAGTTCAACCGCATGACCATAACCAAGCAGCGGCGCCAACGTCTCGCGGAAATTCTTACCCTTGCTCACAAAGTCCTCGATATAGAGACCCCACCCCAGATTCTTCTTTCCTTCGATAGAGATGGAAGTGTTCGAGAAACCAGAGCTGGCGTACTTCCCGCCGTAGTTGCCGAGAGCCTGCTTCAGAGCGATCTTTTGAATGGCTTCCAATACATCCGACATGAAATCGGCGTGGGTATTCAGATCGGCGTGCTTCTTGGTGTCCGCGGAGAGAATGGCATAGCCGATTCCCATGTCCGGCACCATGCCCAGATACGAGCTGTACAGGCCTTCGTTGTCGCCCTCGTTGCTGAGGATGGTGTAGATGTCTACCATGGGCGACTTATTGGGATACTCGCCGCCGTGGTAGATGGTGAATGGATAGCCGACGGCGTTCGCCTTATTCGAGGTGTCGGTAGCTGGCTTCAGCCAGCGGTTGGTCTGAGCGGAGGGAAGGAGGGTGGAGTTGACGATGGCTTTACCGGCGGAGGCGAGGTTCTCCAGGCTGGTGAACATGGAGGTTGAACTATATCACGATGCAGACTATGTTAGTCCGAGGCTGCAATTTTGATGGGATCCGATATTTCAACTGACGCCTCAGTTCCAGGTAATTGGGCCGACCAGCCACTAGCCTTTTGACCGACAGGAATGACACCCTTGGAGGCATCCTTAGGGGCGAAGATGGTCGTCTCGGTCAGTCCGAGTGGCTTGAGAATCTTGCTCTGGATTGACTTTTCGAAGCTCTCGCCCGTAATGCGCTCGTCAATATATCCCAGAAGCTGGAATGCCATGTTGGAATAGATAGGGGTCAGGCCAGATGGGGCAACGGGTGCACGCTTTGCCAGCTGCTGAATGAATTCTAGAGGAAAAATTAGCCGCTGAAATATAAAGTATTGTCGATGAAGGGAGGGATCCTACCACTCTGACTGCATTTCGAGTCACCGCAGCAAGGCCGGTGGAAAGACGCGTGTTGTGGGAAGCCGGTCTTCTGGGTATCCCATTGCAAAGTCAAGTCACTCGAGCAGTCTATCAAGCAGTTGTTAGCAGACCTCCACACACGAATTCTTCAACGCAGACTCACAATCCCGGGGAAGACCACTCATGTGGCTGGCAAGCTGGCCGACAGTGACATCTTTCCATTGAACCTGGCCAAGACTGTCGGTGGTAGATCCATTGGTCAATTCAGGGAGATATTTGATGACGGGGTCGTTGAAGATTCGATCGCCCTCGCCCAGAAGAAGACTCCAGATCGTAAAGGCCTCGGTCAGCCCGCCCATGCGGTAAATACTGTCCTTGGTCACGTTCTGGAATTGTCCAGTGCTCTTCTTGTACTCGGGTGCCGTCCAGTGGTACTCCCAGAAGAAAGGCTGGTCCTCATCGTTGCCCTCGTTTGCGGAGAACAGCGCAATGCTAACGGTGGTGGTGTTGGACGTGACCGGGCCATTTTCACTGTTACCCGTTCGCATCAAATTATCGAACTTCCTAGTGAGGTTTTTCAGTGCAGCGGAAAGGTCTGCATCCTCAGTGTCGAGCGTGAAAGAAGGATAGGTGGGACCGAGGAGTTGGCAAGGAGTAAACGAGAGTGCCGAAGAGAACAGCAAAAAGAGAGGCGTCGAGCGAAAGATAGACGATGCCATATTGGAGGCAGAAATTGTAAATAATTAACTGTTTTATGTTCTACTCGTCAACTATCGTCTTGGACTATTGCACGCCTTATATACGATTTGGTCGGTCGAGAGTGTATACGTCGGCTCGGTGATCCACGATGGCGCGGATAGCCTCGCGCGCGGGTCGGACATGGAGATAAACGGCCCCCAACACTGCCACTTCTTCACCATCTGAGCTCAATCCGATCCCGAACCCATAATGACTAGTTGCAGCCTTTAGGGTACCAACAGGGCCGAATTGAGCCTTGGGTACGAAACTAAATGGTCCTTTTGACACCACTAGGCTCAGTCGACTAGTTCCGAGCCTACCATTAGATACTACCTGATCACGATGTATGCCAAATGTAACCTTCTAATTTAATTTAGATCCAGCTATTCATGACTTGCTCTACAGAGGTATTCAGGAGGAAATCATCCGGTAGTCGGTAATCCTCCATAAACACAAGCATCTCGTCCTGCGGCAATTGCCACTCAACGGAATCCGGTTCTTGAAATGTAATCCCAGGGTTTGAGACAAACTGAGTACTAGCCTCCATAGATCTGTCAAAGTAAATACCGCTGCTCGGAGTATCATCTTTCTTACCCCTCTCGAGCCGACTCTGTATCTGGACGATCCGTTTCCTGAAATCGCAAAATACATCTCGATCTCCGTTGTGGTCGACATTAGGTGTCGACAAGGCTCCCACCCGCTGCCGGAGCTGTGTCAAGGTTCGAAGAAATGCTGCTATGTTCTCAGGGTCCTCTGAGGCAGCTGTATGCCGGTATCCAATGAGCATGGCAAAGGCCATTTGAATCCATTGCGTATTAGTGAAGCCCAATTCCGATGCGGGTGGGAGTGAAGTATAGATGCCGATGATTGATTCGGCGGCGTTGACGGCCGCGCAGGATAGTTCCTCTCTCCAGCGTTGGGAAATAGATCCTCCGAAAGGGGATCTAGGTTGTTCGTCGGTTAGGCCGAGGGCGAGCTGGTAGAGACAGAGTCCTGTTGCGTGGAAATGGAATGCGAGGAATGCTGGATATCAATGAGATTGACATTCGGATGATTTCCTGAGCAGGCTTGGAAGACTCACAGCTATCAAAGAGGTTGAATGGTAGTCGCTTGTGAAAGTTTGAGAGGTCGTTCTTGACATTTGTCACGTAGAGCTCGGCGCCTGATCCGGGTCTCACCAGTTCCTCTCCATGGTCTGCTGATAGTCGGTCTATTTTTTCGGCGATATGCTGTAGTTGCACGATATGCGTGATGTATTTGTCGTGAGGATACTCATTATCCTGGTGCAGAGACTGGCAGCAGATTTCGATGTATGTCACGTAGGGAAAAGTAGAATATTTCTGCAGAAGGATGGCAATCCTATATCCCAATTAGTCCGATTGCGTCGGTGTGAAGATTTGCTTGGCACCGGTTCACGTACGAAGAGGATAAGTAGTAACAACCTATGATCGCTCTCTTCTCATCATTGCCCCATGATGGCCGATCATAGACGTCTCGGTTTGGTGGCCCATCAGGCTGGAAACTGAGTCCAGTCTTCCATGTTCTGGTCTGCGGTGCCCGGTCCAGCCGTAGCTCGATAATGAGACTTATTGCGAGTTGGAGATACTGAGTGTAGCGGTGAGGCTTTGTATGGTAGTGCGACCTGTCACATAGTTAAGATATCAAATGAACGCGGGAATGTCGTTTAGAGATGCAGTGATTTACCATGCCAAGAATACCAGCAGCCCTTGCAACAAGTCAAAGGAGATCTCTCCATTAAGGATCATGCGGGAAGAAACGGCTTTTTTGACTTCGGCTCCGAGTGACCGCTGCAGCGGCATATTCTCGTAAGAAGCCGCGGAAAGGACAGCAAGAAACAAGAATGGTTTGTCCTGGCGCAGCTGGTGGGCTGATACATCTGGCGGTATAACAACGAACGGAAAATGTGGAGTCATAACGGTCCTGAAGGCATCCAGGTAGCTCTGTGCTGTCTCCATGCTGAGGAACCCTTGGTCGACGACATCTCTGCTGCCATCCTCATCATCGGCAATGGAGACACTGCGCGTACTGGTCTCTCGTTCTGATTGGACTTTGGATATATCTGCCGAAGCGGCTCGGTCGGTCAAGAGCTCTTTGACTCGGGACTCAAGGGCTTCAATCCTTCTACGAGAGAATGAATCGCATATTCCACTGCAGCTAGTTCCCAAGGGATACCAGTACTTACCGGTCTTTTTGGAATCCATGAAATCGCCGTCCCGTCTGTCGGTAGATACATTCTCGGCCAAGGCGGAGACATCTGTCGATCCGTGAGTCCTACATCTATGGGCCGCGACCAAAGCATCAGATATCACAGAAATGGCCATACCGATTACAGACGTGCGGGTTGTCCACATTGCGAATACAGCGAACTTTGGAATTTGCGCAACTCTGACAAGTTCTCGAAACGGTAGCCATCTTCGACGCTAGTTGGTGATCAAATGCGGGGGTTTCCGTCGGCCGATTCAATATCTCGTAGAAAGATCTCCGAAGAGATTCATGCACCGACTACTGGAATGACAGCAGCCTGGACATTTGAACGACCTCGACATATTGAGACGAGGCTGTGCAGAACATGCTTACTGTCTCAATGTCGCTGACTAACACTACGCTTGTCCCATTCCAGCCCACTGTGCTTGGCAGGCGTGAGGCTGTATGCACCTTCAGCCTTGGGTTCGGGTTCTGTCTGTTTTCTTAGGATCGGTCTGCATCGTTGGGACATCTTGGTTATCGGTTCAGCCTGAATTTAATCATAGAATTAGTATGAATAATGTGGCCATACATTCAGCTCTAGTCAATGAATTTGGCCCCGAAGGCTTGGCCGGTCGAGGCTGTCGGTATTTGGGCAGGATTTGGCAAAGGCGGTGCCGATGCCGACCTGATTTTTGATTTAATCGATCACGGCCTCACGCATCATCGATGCTAACATCGTTTTCGATGGACCGTTGAGGTGTAAGAGGGACAAGGCTGATGTACGCACATGGTACATGTTCTAGTCAGGCGGGTCGCCTACCGACATCGGAGTCCAGCATTGCATCTCATGAGAAGTGTTGAAAGGTAGAAGTGAAAGATCTCTGCTCCGGTGGTATCTATTGTGTCGCTGCTTGCCAGATCTCACATGAGTTAGTTAAGGGCATATGTAGTCTGCCGGAGCAATTTCTGATCAACACTCCTAGTGCTTGTAGTAGCAATGTTGAAACGGTACAAGGGACGATTTGTAAAGAAGGACGTTTCAGATCCGTTGATATCGATCTGAAAGAAGGGCAGGCCAAGCTTTGACCAAGCCCATGTCCTCCACGCAACGGCCATCAGGGGAGATGCGATATGTCTTGGCGAGGCGGAATCAAAGCCTCCACAGCAACAAGGCGTCGGCCGGCCACGACCAGCACAGGCGCGAGCCCTGTGTGCCGCTCGTATGGTCTGTTGCGTCCGGAATTCACAGCCGATGGGTCGTTGGAGCAGAGAGATCAGTCCATTGGTTGTAATCCGCCGTTAGGGCAGAAAAATCCATCGCGATCAACAGGCCCAGACCGCGGCGACCGCGACACACTGGTGGATTTGATTAGGATGGGCGACCTGAAGAGGCATCCTGTTTGGGTCACGGATGATCTCAGGTTGCCGGTTGCCGGTTGCCGCCATGTTCATGGTGCTTGTGTGTTTGGGGGATGTTTGATAGGGGGTGGGGAGCGTTCTTCGAGGGATTCGAATCGGATAGTACCTAAAAGTTGAGGAGCTTCAGGAGCTTCAGGAGCTTCAGCATGCAGCAGCCCTATCGTCGCATATGCAGGAACAGGCTCAAACGCCATCCTCCCATGCTCTGATGCAAAGCGAAGGGTTCGATCCACTGCGGTTTGTGCTGGCGGGAGATGAGGCTGCCGGCGGATCCACCGCCAAGCAGGAACTGCCGGGGAAGGTAGCATGATTGGGGCAGTTACCTGCTGCCCCTGACCCAAACCCAGCACTAACCACCTTAGGGCCCTCTAGTTCCTCCACCTCACCAGCAGCTAACCGACTAGCGTGCTGGTCAGGGGCAGCGCATTGCGCGGTGCCCCAAACTTTGGCAGGCTGAAATGGATCCCCCAAGTCGCCCAGATTGCCTGATCAGGAATCGTTTCCAGGGAAAGACCGTCGAGGGGGCCATTCAGGGTCTGTAGGCGCCGGGCCCCCATCCACTACCATTGGAGTCCCTGCAAGCGGTTTGGGGGCAATCATGCTAGCCAGGGCTGCTGCGCAGTTGGCCGGTCGTGGCCTGGTCCCTTTTCTTTGCCGTGCCCGCTGTTGACCTTTCTCTCTCTTCGACCTCATTCTCTGCGAGCTTCTTGTGTCCAACGGCCTCAGGCCATATTCCATTCGTTTCCTTTCCGAGTTAATTAACTCCAGTCATTCGCTCATTCACAATCCTTCCGACACAATGAAGTTTGAGATCTCTTCGTCCCGCGCGGCTGCGCTCGTCGCCCTCATTGCGAGCGTCGAGGCCGCTCGTCATGGCCATCACCACGCCCACCGCCACGAACCTAGCTCGGAGAACGTCACCATCGAGAAGCGTGGCGGCCAGTGCCAGTTCCCCAGCGATGCAGGCCTCGTTCCCGTCACCCCCAACGAGCAGAACGCTGGCTGGGCCATGAGCCCCGACCAGCCTTGCAAGCCCGGCAACTACTGCCCCTACGCCTGTCCCTCTGGTCAGGTCTCCATGCAGTGGGATCCCAAGGCTACGTCCTACAGCTACCCCATGTCCATGGTAAGTGCACGTCGATCCTCCACCTGTCATATGGCAGGGATATGCATACTATATGCAAGGGACCCGGTTCTGACATGTCATCTATAGAACGGTGGTCTGTACTGTAACGAGAATGGCGAGATCGAGAAGCCCTTCCCCAACAAGCCTTACTGTGAGGATGGCACTGGTGTCATCAAGGCCAAGAACAAGGCCGGTAAGGCCGTGTCCTTCTGTCAGACCGTCCTGCCCGGAAACGAGGCCATGATCATCCCCACCCTGGTCGAATCGATCAGCACTCTCGCCGTCCCGGGTCAGTCTTACTGGTGCGAGACCGCTGCCCAGTACTACATCAACGCCCCTGGTGTCACTGCCGAGGAGGGTTGTGTCTGGGGTACCAACGCCAACCCCGTCGGTAACTGGTCTCCTTACACCGCCGGTGCCAACACCGTCGCCAACGGAGACACCTACCTCAAGATCGGCTGGAACCCTATCTACCTGGAGCCGACCACTCCCTTCCGCAATGTCAAGCCTACCTTCGGTATCGAGATTGAGTGTGAGGATGGCAAGTGCAACGGCATGCCCTGCAAGATCGATCCCTCCACTATGGGCATCAACGAGATGCTCGGTCCTGCCGTTGGTCAGGGTGCCGGTGGTGCTACTGGCTGTACTGTGACTGTCCCCAAGGGTTCCACTGCTCACATTGTTGTCTGGGAACTGGACGGCAGCAGCGGTGATGGCAGCTCCTCCGAGACCATCTCCGTCTCCACCAGCACCGCTACCCCAACCTCGTCCTCGACCAGCACCAGCACTCCCACCCCGACTCCTACCACCACGGAGACTCCCACCGAGACCTCCACCTCTACTTCGACTCCTACTTCCACCCCGACTAGCACCCCCACTTCCACCTCGACTCCTACCCCCACCTCGCCATCGACCTCGACTGTCACCCCCCACCTCCATTGTGAATCCCTCCAGCAGCAGCAGCAGCAGCAGCATGCTGCCCAAGTCGAGCCCCTCGATGAGCTACACCTACCGCCCCCATGTCTTCACCGGTAGCGCTGAGATCATGGGTGCCTCTGCAACTACCGGGGCTGCTTCCTCGTCTGCCACTGGCTCTGCCTCTCCGGGTGCCAACAGTGCTTCCAGCACTGCTGTCTCCATGATGAGCATGGTCTTTGGTGCCGCGGCTGCCATGGTCATGAACTTCTAGATCAGTCTCAGCTGGCTAGATTCTTCTGCAGAAAGGGTTTCCCCATGTATAGATGACTTGGGAAATATCCGCAGACTCTGTGTCGGTGGAACTCCGACAATAGGACATGCACACTATTCACTTCTAATTTTTCCCTATTGCTTACAATTCTGCATTGTTCAACCAGAACGCCACTTCACACTTATGACGACATCAACGTTGCCATCTTCTATTTTTACACCTTACGACTTATATACCTTTGGCTCCTCAGCAACTGGCTTTTCTTGTTAGCTTCTTGGATATCCAATTTTCCTCGTTTTGATATGCATTGGGTTATTTTATTTGGGTTCCTAATTCGACGACCGGGGAATGTTCTTTGAGTTGAGCGAGTTTGGATGGATCTTTTTTGGACTGGACATAGGAAAATGGGCTTTGCAAATCTACCTTTACTACCTCGACTTCCTCTTCTTCGGTGCATGTCTTGCCAGGAGGAGTTTCTCCGCGCAGAAGTCCTTGTAGATTCTTAACCTTCTCGTTTGGCCTGTATACTACAAGTACTGAAATCTGGCACATATTATCTTATTTGTTCGAGCCACTAAGTAATCTTTAATTTAATATTTACCCTGAGGTAGTATGTATGTGCCATTAATATTCTCTTGTGCAGTATGGTGGTTGACAGTCGTATGCTAGCCTTTGAGCTCGCGCCATGATATGCTTTACTGTGTTATTTATACCCGGCAGAAATGATCGCTTCTAACGCCATTTTCCATGATGCCTCCATTCCATATAGAATGCCAGCATTCTTTCAAATCAATCTCTTCGTCATCTCAATGATTCAACTCCTCAACCGGAATAATCATATCAGGTCTCCTAGCTGCAACAGCCAGTCCATTGATGTTCCGTTGCCGGACCTCGCGCATGTATTTTCTCTGTTCAAAAGGAATGTCGTGGTTGTTCTCGTCGTCGAGGCCGTGATACATTGTCCAGATACCGAAGCCGATGAGCACCACGGCTACACAGCCGACGATGATGACAAAGACGTAGAGAGAAAAGCGAGAGGAGCCCGAGTCACGCTTGAGGAGGGAGGTTGTGGCGCTCATTGTGGTGTCCCAGGGTGCCATTGTGAAAGATCTGATAAATTCTGTATGACTGTAGCCATTGTTAGTTGAGTTCATTGTATTGTCGAGGTGATCAGGTCATGATGTACCTTTTTCACGTAAATTGAGTAGGATAGTAGGGGAATGGCTCTTTCTGGTACAAAGAATGTACGATATATCCCCGAAAAGCAAAGGTTAAGGGCTCAACCAGAGAAGTAGGTAGAGCTTGACGCTGAGAAAAAGGTGATGCAAACGAGGCGGACCAGATAAATATAAGGATTCGATTCGGGGGCCATCCATCAAATGCTAGTTTCCATCACCAGCGGCCCCAAAGATAGGAACCGGGCAAGTGAAACATGCAAAGCACAACCAGCATGCCAACCAGACTAAGAGCTGGTGCCTACCCGAAAAGGGAATCGCACCTTTTTAGTCTGCGCCCATGATGTCAGAAACCGAGCGGGCCAATCGTAGCCCATTTTTGAATATAGTGGGTCATCCGTTGAGGCCTCTGGTTGGCTGCTTAAATGAGTGCTTTTGCTGGAGAGCTGACAGTCGGCCCCAATTGCAGCCTTTATTTATGCTAACTCCATCCTGACTTATCGCGTGTGCTTTTTCTGGGTCACATTCGTAGCATGGCGAGATCTGTCCCTCATTTTTGTGCTTCATTTTCCTTTTACCCCGTCCGACGTCCTGCCCGATATCGGACTTATCCGGACTTGGTACGCAGTTTGCTAATCCTGTGCTGTATGTACTGCCAGTGGGTATCCCATCCTGAGGTACCCACCGCTTAAGTCTAATAATACCTTCCGGGAGGATCGTCCAACGAGGATCTCGGCGAAAAGACTCCATAGTCCTTGGTGCACAGACCTCATATGCGAATGCGACTCCCACTATCCGAGCAGTGAGAAAGCAATTGCCATCCATTGAATTTTGTTTTATCTTTGTTAGTCTATTGGTATAATACTCCAAAGCTGATGCTTCTTGAGAAAGATATCGTGTCTCCTGCATCCAGTGGTTAGGCCAAATGGACAGCTCACTTGAATCCTGCCTCGCCAAGTCGCCACACCAGGTTCTTCAATAATTCTCTTATGCGATACCTAGCTTCAATTTATGTTACATACGGGCTGTTTTAAACGTGCTTAAACGAACCCTAAAGTTCCGTCTTTGGTGGTGTATTCAACGTCAGGGCCGAGATGCTCGGGACGAATGGTCCGGCGACAAAAGGCGACGAAAATTACGAGCCTATTGCACCATTGTCGTCGGATATACGCATAGTTTAAACATAAATCTACCAGATACTAGCGTTAACTGATCTTATACATTGTCTCCGGACAATTTTTCGTTCATTCTTGTCGCAATAGGCCAGCGAATTCTAGTACCTATACCTATGGATACCGCAGGATTCGGGAGCGAGATTTCATCGCACAACACCCTTAATCGACTACACTAAATTTGCGTATAAACTCAATCCAGCAGTTTTTGCATGCAAGTTCAATTTTGCAAATTTTGCAACTGCGTCCCCTAAGTTTCTTCAACAATGGGGAGAGGATGAATCCATTTGAGTCATGGATCCGAGATTCCTTAGTCAGCACGACGACCGCCCGCGCCCTTCGACGAAGAGTAATCTCAGCTTGCCACTACTCCCCGCCATGCTCGCCATGGATGCAGCAGTCGATCGGTCATGCTACACTTGTCGCAACCGGCGTATCCAATGCGACCAGACCGGTGTGCCGTGCGCCAAGTGCACGAAGGCCGGCCTGGAATGCTTCGATAAACGGCCGTTCCGATGGGTCAAAGGCGTGGCGATCCGCGGCAGGATGCAGGGCGTATCCTACGATGGCAATAAGCCTGCGAAGAGCTCTGCGAATGGTCAATTGGCTGTGGTGAAGACGAATGCTACCCGTCGGGGCCAGCGCAAAAAGAGTGGTATGTACACGTGAAGAAAAGAATTTATTGTGGGAATTGGAAGTTGATCGAGCTGACTGCGATATAGATACTTTTGATATTACAACGCCTTTGCCTTTTTTGATGCAAGATCCATCAAAATATATGTTGGATCAAAAGTCGCAATATTATGTCGACTATTGTAAGAGCGAGGGAAAATTTATTGATGGTCAAATATGCTGACCATATCTTCACAGTTAATGACCGAATATGCAAGCTTTTCATTGTATACGACAGCGACAGAAACCCATTCAGAGGTCTGATCCCTCTAGGCTACCAAGACCCAGTCCTCATGAAGGCACTTCTTGCACTTGCAGCCCGCCACCATGTCAACACTGGCCAATCTTTCCAACTGACCGAGTTACCGGCCGCGTCTTCGTTCCAGCAGGCCAATGCAAACAGAGACGCTCTGTCCTTCAAACAACAGGCTATAGAAGCATTGACTCACGCCCTCGGTGACCCCATTCGGTCTAAAAAGGACACCACCGTGGCCAGCATATTTCTCTTGATTTTCCTGGACCTTCTTGAATCTGGCAGTGATGGCTGGAATTTTCATCTGGAAGGTGCTAAGAATTTGATTGCATCGACTTATCTACATCCCGATTGCAAGGCGAGCATCAATGATGGACCAGGTCAGACGGTTCAGGAGATTCGGAAGTTCATCACCAAACAGCTACATTTGTGAGTTCCGACATGTTTTTCCTGGTCTAACTACTGACTTTCTGGGTAGCATCGAGACTCTTGGATCGGCATATCTACGCCCAAAACTCTTATCCCAAGATTCAAAATTTGACCCACAAACGATGCAATGTCAAGAATCTACCGAATCTACCGAAACGTCGTTTCTCGGATGCCCAGAATTCCTCTTAACTGTGATCCAATCTCTTTCCATGCAAAGAGATGGCCTTGCGGAGGCAGAGTGGCCACTCGATCCCACCACCCTTCAAACCCATTTGAAATCCACGACATCATTGGTCGAGGCAATCCGCGGCTTTGACAGCTACGCCTGGGCCTCGAATCTAAAGCAATCGCGACAGTCGTCACCGCAGGAGATTATCAGTCTATGCAACTTGTCAGAGTCATACAAGCTCGGCGCGTCTCTCTATGCGCGTCGCATCATTAGCGCCTTAAATGGGGAGTCGACCGAGCTGGATGGTCTGGTCACCGAGCTCTTGGGCGTGATTGACTCGTTGAAGAATGACTCAGCAATATTTAAGTGTATACTCTGGCCAATGTTCGTCGCTGGTTTGGAGTGTCAGTGGCAAGCTCAGAGGGATTTTCTCGTCGGATGTATCGAGAAATTTTGGGATATCACCAACTGTTTGAATGCTGTGAATGCTGCGAAGGCTTTGCAGGAGTATTGGCAAAAGCAAGACTTGGCTGGAGAATCTCGGCCGCAGTGGATTTTTAGCATTGGAAGCTTGGGCCGGGACTGGCTTTGGGTTTAGCTGTACGATATGATACGAATTATGACTTTATTTCACGACCACACTCTGCGACCGATTCTCGAATATTGATTATTGCCCGTTAATCACCAACTTGAATGCTTGCAACAGATCACTTCTCAGATCATCCCAGTTTTCCAGACCCACACTGACTCGCAGCAACTTGCGATCCACCTTGGAATCCGACAGTGCCCGCCATTCAATGAGAGATTCCACACCACCTAGACTCGTGGCATGCTGGAAGAAATTCAACTTGGTCGGTAGCAACTTAGCAGATTCTTCGTTCTGCAAAACAATTGAGAAAACAGGACCGAACCCATTCGGCATCTGCTTCTCCAACCACGCTTCTTTCTGTAGACTGGCATGGTAGATCTTCTGAACAACAGTCTGGATGATCGCCTCCTCACTACCAGGAGTCGGAGCAGAGACATGCATGGCGTCGTCAAGCCACGAGACAATCTTCGCGCAATTCTGACTAGCACGCTGCACCCGAACCTCAAGAGTCCGCAGGCTGCGAAGACCCAACCATCCTTCCAGATTGCCAATATTGTTTCCCAGCGCCACCCGATCCTCGTACAATTGCTTCAACCAATCCTCTCTTTGCACCGCAAGGACACCACATAGCATATCACTGTGGCCTCCAAAATACTTCGAGCCAGAGTGGAATACAATATCGGCTCCCCACAAGAACGGATCCTGCAGTCCTGGAGGACCGAACGTGCTGTCGACGATCAGGTATGCGCCACGGGAGTGTGCCTTTTCGGCATATTCTTTGATGTTGAAGGCCAGTCCGAGAGGATTGACAGGCGTTTCGAGGAGAATTACATCTCCCTTGCCTAGCGTCTCGACCGGACAGTCAAGACTGGTCTTCTGCAAACCTGAAAGGCGCGAAATGACCGAAATGACTTCATGGCTGCCATGGTAGCCCTCGCCCACAGAGATCCGGCGTGGATTAAGAAGGGTCAGGGCCGCGTAAAGTGCAGCGAGACCACTTGCATAGCTCACTGCGTGACCCTTCAGGAGAGTGGAGAGCACCGCTTCGAATCGAGTTGCGTTTGGTGCAAATTCGCGAGAGTATACGTAGTTCTTGCCGTTGAACTCGGCCTGGTGACTAAGTCAGACTTGCGGTCGCATGAGAAATGATAGAACTTTCTATACATACCACCGGGTCTTCTGACGGGACGAGCTGATTTGGATCCTTTGGATATCGGAAGGTGGTGGAGAGGTGGATCGGGGGTGCGACGTCAGTCACCAAGTTCAAGCGGTCATCGGCATGCAGCGCCTGGGTGGCAGGATGGGCGTTTTTCACGGGTGCCATTGTCTCGCGTCGGTGTGGGTATTCAAAGATGAAAGTCAGACCGCAGTGTTTATATAAATCTTCGGGTTGAGCATCGTCTGGTTAGTCATTGACGGAGTATACCCTCTATGTATGCATGGCAATGCCCCACTCCCGTCAAGTTCCTAATCCGGCATGCTATCACCGCTTCCTATTGGCCGAACCACTGCTCTCCCGGCCAGTTCAATCGTGAAAAGGCGATAAACGACTCATTTGGGCGCTCCACCAGCTGCAAATCTCCTCCTTTTTGCCTGCTGTGGTTTAGACAGAAAGAATCGTGCAGGACGTGGCCACACGTTGCGCACAATGCCAGCGGCAGGGCGTGCGATATCCACCACCAGTTGTTCGCATCGGCGACAAGAGCCAACAATAGTCCCGCATTGCCATCCGCTAATCGAAAGCACCGCGATTGGTCTGTTCCGCAGATGTGCTCTCTATCTAATGACTAGTTAACTAGGTAGTAGTACTAAGCATATCGCGGGAAAAAGGAACAGGACATATAAAGGCCCGATTGACTCTCAGGCACCGGCGGGGATCCTCACACAACAATATCTCACTCTCACACTCTTGTGATACTCGCAAAACAATCATGTATCTCCGAGCCGTCCACGCAGAGAATTCGATCAAGGCTCTGTTGGAGTTCATCAAGGAAAATCCTCTGGGTGTCCTCACCACCGCTATTTCCTCATCCTCCTACCCGTTCCTCCAATCCAGCCACATCCCCTGGGTTCTGGATACATACAGCGATGACCCCGACGTACCTGTAAAAGGCCGATTGCGCGGCCACATGGCGCGCCAAAACCCGCACTCCAAAGCCTTGATGGAAGCCTGCGCCGCTTCGTCCACCGGCAAACTCCAGCAGGACGTGATGATACTCTTCACGGCGCAGCATCATCACTATGTGACGCCCAAGTTCTATACCGAGACGAAACCCGCCACGGGGAAAGTCGTGCCGACCTGGAACTACGCTGCGGCGCAGGTCTACGGCAAGGCGACGATCTACTATGACTCGGCTGCGGCAGAGACGTCTTCGTACCTTCAGCAGCAGATTCATGATTTGTCGGAGATGTGCGAGACTTCGATGATGGGTCATACGGGTCAAGAAGGGAAGCCCGGGCCGTGGAAGGTGGCTGATGCGCCGGAGCGGTATATTGATATCATGACGAAGAATATTATTGGCATCGAGGTGTCGATTGAGAGTATTGGGGGCAAGTTTAAGATGTCACAGGAAATGGGAAATGGTGATCGTCAGGGCATTATTGAGGGCTTCGATAATCTGAACTCGGATGTTGGGACGCATATTTCGGAGCTGGTGAAGGAGCGTGGGGAGATGAAAGATGCTCCCAAGGATAAATCATGACTTTGTTAGGAGTTAATTTTTGGAAAATTAATATTTCGATCTCAAAAGACTCAATTGTGGATGTCTGCTAGAATGCATACTTTACGGTATGTGGAGCGACAGTATTATTTTTGCTCCCTTCATCTGCAATAGAACAGGCTGAATGTCTTTGTTCTGCGATCCCGGTGGGTACCAAGAGTGTCATTTGGCAGCTGTTTGGAGCCATCGGGCGATTACCGCATCCCCCGCCTCCCCTCGACATTCCGTTGTCAACCACGCCCGCCCTCCAAGATGCCTCCCTCGGCGCAAACTGTGAGTGCCTTTTATGCCTCTTTACTAACCGGACTTCTTGCATACACCCTGCACCTCTTCATCAGCCCCAAACTCGCTGCCTGGAGCTTACCCCGCACTGCGATCCCCCATGTGGTGCTGCGTAGTTCCATTCTACACAGCATCCCTAGGCCAGTATAATTTCAATTGCAAGTGACAAAATCTAACTCGATGGATCAAAAGACCCGCTTGGTATCCAACCTCCGACTCCTCATACCCCGTCTCCGCCTCCTCCAGAAGAAAGACACCGCTTCCTCCGTCGTCCAACGTCGCGAACTCTCCCAGCTCCTCAGCGAAGGCCGCGAATCGTCGGCGCGTATTCGGGTCGAAAATGTCATCGCTACCGATATTGCCATCGAGGTGATGGAGATGGTCGAGCTGTACTGCGAACTGTTGCTGGCGCGCGCCAACGTCCTCGATCAGCTCGCTTTCGGGGAGAAAGGGAGTCGCGCACGGCTGCGCGCGAAGGAATTATACAAGAAGCAAAACCATCCACAAGCTGGGTCGGCAGGAGCAAAGCTAGCGGAAAGTTCAGGGTCCCGGTTTGGCTTCTCCTGGCTAGGGGCATCGCAAAAGAAGGAGACCAGTGTCGCGGCAAATGACTCTAGTGAAGCGCTGAGCGATGAGGAGAACACATATATGGACACAGCACTGGACGAAGCAGCCGTCGCCATCTTCTACGCTTGGCATCGCTTCCCGCACGAACTGCGCGAACTCACCATGCTTCGCAACATGCTCGGCGAGCGATATGGCAAGGAGTTCATGACATTGGCACAGGAGAATAAGCTGGATTCCGTCAAGGTGCCCGATCGACTTCAGAAGTCACTGCGTGTCCGTCCACCTGGGCAGGACTTGGTGGAACTCTACTTGCGCGAGATCGCAAAGGCATATGGCGTCGCATGGCCGGCTGGGGAAAGGCAAGAAGATCTAGGAAGTGCACCTCCTGAGTTCGTGGACGAGACTCGAGACGACGGTGACGACGGCCAACGGGGCGATCTGCCTGCCACCCCGAATAAGCCGCGTGCAGGCGCTACCGAGGCTAGACGAGCTTCGGATGCCAGTGAGCTCAACAAGGCGACACCTCCGCGCGGTCTTGCAGCTGGTCGCAGTCCTGTCAGCGTTGCTCCGCCTGCACCGAGGACGGATAATCCCAATCCTCGCGTCAAGGTGCCCGGGTCGGAAGAAACTGGTCCTGTGAAGGCGGCCGATACATCAGGGCCACAAGGGAAGAGCAATGGAAATGGGATACCAGAGTTGGACGAGTTGACGCGGAGGTTTGCGGACCTCAAGAGAAAGCCTTGACGCTGCCGCTTCCCGACGAAATCTGTTCGAATACACTCACACTCTGTGCTCGTTGAGCTGCATTTGGGAAAGCCATATCTTTATTCTACGGACTTGACCACTTGATCACCTGCATTGCTGCTGTAGAAGCTTGCAGCTGGGAGAAAAAATCGGTTCTCCGCATGGTCTCCCCTTTTTTGACCGCTTGACTGCACATGTACATTCTCGTAGGGCGTTTTGTCATCATCTAGCCTGGCGCTTGCTAGTTTGGGTTTTAAATTGAACTTGGCGGTTTCTATGCGCAAGACGTCTTCGCTAGCGACCGATGGTTTTCTAGTCGAAGTCGATCCTGTGAGTCGAGGACCAACGTATGGGTGTGAAGTGTCCGTGTTGAATCGAGATTAGTAGATCTCGATCGTGCAGAAGAGGGGCGATCTGGGATCGATATATATCCAAACTTAAACCAAACCTGGCGATCGTTCGGCAGTGGGAGATCCCATTTGGGGACTCATATCATGATCATTCCATCCTCTCTATATCAGCAAATAAAATACATGCACATCCATCACTCCTCGCCGGGGCTGGCTGCAGGCGTCAAGGCACTTGTGCTGCCGCGCGGGCCGTTAGACTAAAAGCGGGACCGAACCCAACGCGGGAAAACCAGACCCCCAATCCGATGCATCTCACGACAACACGAGCTCCCCTGAGCATGTCGAAATCCTAATATGACCGCGTGCCTCGCTCTCTCTTCGATTCCCACCCGCGCGACTCTCCTTCCGACCTACTAAATCCTCGACCCTTCTAAAAAGACCCGAGTTTCTCCTCCCTCCGATCCCGAACCCTCGCGCCAAAAAACACATGCCGGTGTACATGCTACACGGATTCCGCTGGCCTCGCGGAGGCTTCACGGGGATCCGCGTCTACGTCGTCTTGCATAACCTTGAAGAAGCCGCCGCCGAATATATCCAGCAACCTCTCACGTCCGAGCTGATCGCCGAGTCGTTTCAGAAGACCCAGCCGGATTTGGTGTCGCGATTGCCGGAGCTGCGCTTTATTGAGCAGTATGATCCTGCCGATGAGACGAGTAATACTGTGAGTCAGGAGTTTGCGTATGTTGGGGCGAAGGTTGTTGTTTTTCCGGATGGGGGTGGGCTGGCGCCTGCGCCTGGGGCTGGGCCCGGTTTGAATATTGAAGATGTGGTCGAGCAAGGGTCTGGCTTGTCGGCTGATGAAACGAAGGCATTGGAGGAATTGCGAGATCGCCTGGCCCCTGGTGAGAAGATTGGTTGGTTTATGGTTTACAATGGGGACCCGGAACGGTACTATCCTTCCTCGGAGGATGAGGAGGACGAGGAGGAATATGAAGATGAGGATAATTATGCGGATGAGAAGTCGGAGGCTCCGTCGCAGGCTGCAACCGAGCCAGGTACGCCACAGAGTTATACGGTACGTTCTTTCCAGAGTCTTGGAGTCTGTGGCAGGGGTACTAATCTCTGTTCAAGGCTCGTCTGACGAGGCTCTTTCACCGCATGAGCTCTTAAACAAAACCCTCCTACGCGGAGTCACTCCACCTACACCATTTATAACGGTCTCCTGTTTGAGCGAAAACAAGAAAGCGCTCTTGCGCCACAGCTCAGCCAGAGCAAAGCTTTACGAATTTCCACGCCTTATGCCCGTCAAGACTCCGAGAGAGCCATGTGCCAATATTTGATAAAATTGTATGCGCCAGCTAAAAATATTCGCATTTGTTCCCTTTTCTCCTCTACGCGACAATATTCCCACCGGTCGTCCAATCCAAAATAAGGTAGCAACTTCGATCGTATTTGTAGGCAATCCACTAAACCCCGCAAATGCAGGTTCTCCGCTGTGCGTCCTGCAGAGCCGATAGAGGCTCATAAGCGGTGAGCGGGGGCAGTATATCGGCGAGGGAGCTTCGATAACGGCAGCCGCGGAGAATCCCCAAGCTGCGCCCCGAATACCACACCGCGGGGTCCGACTGATGCAGTCCAGGTAAAATCCCTGGTAGACAAAATGGTCCTCTCCTTTATTATCGTCCAGAATCGCCAGTGAGTGTCTCCTGACCCGCCCCGGAAGGCCTGCGATGCTGATGAGCGGTATAGGGGCAAAACGCGCCTTGCGAAGTGGTACGCTCCGTATAGTGTGAGTACAGCTATGCTTCTATCTACAGGGGGATACATACTAATTGCGATGCAGGACGAAGAAAAAGTCAAGCTAAAGGGCGAGGTTCGTGCCGCTACGTGATGTCTCCCGGCGAGACCATGCCCGCTGCAGCAGCGCAACGCAACGAACTGACGAGTGCAGGTCCATCGCCTTGTCGCGCCGAGAGATCAGAAATACCAATCGAATTTCGTCGAGTTCCGCCGCAGTACAAAGATTGTTTATCGTCGGTATGCGGGGTTGTTCTTCTGCGTCTGTGTCGATGCCAATGACAACGAGCTGGCCTACTTGGAGGCTATCCATTTCTTCGTCGAGGTGCTGGATCAATTCTTTGGGAATGTCTGCGAGCTTGATCTCGTTTTCAACTTCTACAAGGTGCGTGGGGTTCCTCAGGGTTCTGAACTGGGTCTCGAGACTGAGGTCGAGGCTAGAATTGAGATTCAAATTTGGAGCCTAAGTCTCGGGGCCTACTCTTCCATATCATATAATGACCCCAGAGTTAGTATTTGTACTAATGCTGTGTGATCAGGTCTACGCAATCCTGGATGAGGTCTTTCTCGCAGGCGAGATTGAAGAAACGAGTAAGCAAGTGGTGCTGACGCGACTGGAACACTTGGATAAACTGGAGTGAGGGCCGGAGGGACGCAGCAGTTCAGACCGGCTTGCGATTCTGATACTACCAATATGCATTAGCAAGTCATTTGCGTGGCGTTTCGGGGTCTGGGTGTGAGAGTGGATAAGAATATTCAATCCCATCTGAATTTGATCATTGTCTAGTTCACTGCAGTCAGCAACTTACTCCTAGTAGTTTTTCTTGGGGCCCTACCTATTGCACTCTGCACGAGTGCGGTAGTCCCCTTTAGGTGAGGTTGCACTTTGTCATGATATCCGCCATCGAGATGCGATATGCCATCATTCGGGACCCCGATGTCGAAATTCAGAGCCAATCTCTCGTAGGGCAGAGACCTGCGCCAAGGCCAGCAGCGGTGTCGCTCGTATTGTTGCCCCGAAGCTCTCGCCGGGACCCTGACGTGCAGGGTCGGATTCAGGGTCTGTATACTCGGGGCCCGCAGGCTCCCGCATTCTGAACTGCCGAAAAACACTGCCGTCTGCACCTGTTTAGCGGGGACAGAACGCCATGCCCAACGAGAATCAATGGTTGCGCTCGCGATAAGATCTGAATGCTTATTTCAACATCGGAGGGTCCATCGCGCCGTTTGCCCTAATTTCCCGTGAGGTGATCGTGCTCATCGATGGCGAACGCACGCCATTCTGGTCTTGGCGCTGCTCATATATTCAGCCCTTTCGCTACTTGGGAAGGAAATGGTCTTAAGACCCTGAGACCCTGTTGTCTCATGTGCTCTGGGCTCGATTTGATACCGGCCCTCTTGCATTCTGAAGCTGGCTATGAAAGCGGCCAGTGGATGACGATGATGCTCAATACTCATACTCACTACACACTAGTCACACTCAGCCCTACGGTCTACAGCATAACGACCACCACCGCCACTGCCCCCGGCAACTGGTCCCCGTCCATTCCCGCCCACCCTTCAGCGCCCACAGACCATCGTTCGTGGGAGGATCCGACTGCTTAACCCAAAGTACTCCCACGTCGACAATACATGGGACCTTCACCGAATCTCACCGACCTCCTGAGATGGATTACCCACCTGCTAAATCCCTCAGCTGTATAGGGACGATCAATGCAAAAAGCATCGGACACTAACGAGGACTGGCTTTCTCCAGCAGGGCACCAGCAGGGCAATTTCCGAAAAAAACGCAAAAGACCTCGTTCCCAGCGTGGACGGCGCGACATCCGCGACGGATGCGGACCAATCCTCAGGGAACACAGCCCTTCGCAGGCCCCTCTGATCGGTGGAATAGTTCCAGGAGCGGTTGATGATCGGGCGACGGTATATTGGATTTCTTGGCATGTGGAACTCGTGCCGCCTTGGTCTCGACCATGAGCCTCGTCAACTTCAACTCAATCAATTCGCGGAGCAGGTGGAGCAGGGAGCGCCACTCCTCGTATGCGAACTCGGCATTGGTTCCATGAGCCAGGTTTGCTCGTGTGTGCCCCTGGATCCACAAGATGGCGATCGGCTATTCTGAAGGTGGGAGGACGGGCAGCCGACGGACGGCCACGGATGGTCCCCTTTCTGTTGCTGCCGGAGATGTTTGTGGCTGCCCAATCGAATCGATGACACGCCCAGATGTGCTCGGAAGGCCGGGGAGCACGGTGCGACACTACCTGAGGGTAACATACACTGTACTTGTACTGGATGGCACGGGCACGGTGTGAACCACGCAGTGCACCGTTTCAGAAATGCGCATTCTCCACCCCGCCGAGTGTACGCGTTGACCTGAGGCGACTGGGTCCAATGAGGGTTACCAGGGGCACGGATCGTCGTCAACAGCCGGCTCCTTGGCTGATCTGCGTCAAACGGACTGAGTCTTGTTCTGAGATACAGTACCATGTGCCCACTCGAACACCCGCACAGGTGGAAATGGAAAAACGGAAGGTGTCCATAGTCCTCGTGTGGGCGAAACGCCGGGCATACGCGGTTCGAGGCTTGGCATACCGGTAATTACGGGATGTGACGGTTTCTGCGGCCTCTCCCGACTCCACACCCCCTGACTATCCCTCCCTGCGTCAGCCTGTGACGTATTGGGTTCTGCGCCGCATTGTCAACGTGGACGTTGCAATATCGCCATTTGCCGGTTATGCAGACTCAGAACAGAGAATATGGAACATGAAGTATGAGAATGGAACCAATTCAATGGAAATTTACACAGCCGCACCCCTACCAGAGAATCTACTATCTCACGACTAATGGGAAACTCAACAGGCGACTGACCAGGAAAGGATTGACAGCTCGGCCAAGCCCAGCGTGGATGTGGAAACATCGCCACTCGCGGGGGCAAAATGCCTTGCGAACAGTGCTCGAGCGGTTCCTCAGTCATGATTGGCCAGCCCTCTGACAGATGCCCACCGCCTCGAGTTATCGCAACCTCAGATCAGAAGAGCGACGGTATTTTTTCACCTTTTTTTTTTTTTTTAATTTCCACCCCTTATCGTCTCCATATCAACCCTGGAGTCCCTCCCCCTTCTAGACTTTTTCGAAAGTCTTGTCCTTTCTTTATATACATATACCCACTCGTCCCTGCACATCACTCTTTTCTTTTCCTCTCTACTCCCGTAATCCTTCCCTCCATCTCCATAATTCACATACCGCCATCATGTCTCTCGCTCTCTCCGACAACCTGGCTCCTCAGCCGATGACCGATGTCTTCACCTCGGACACCAACATTGACCGCCGCAAGTGCCACCGCACTGTGCCCATGAAGGTGCTGGCTCTGGGTGTTGGCCGTACCGGTACTGCCTGTGAGTGGATATCCTCCAATTGGCGCATCTAGAAAGTCAAGCGCAAGGAGATGGGAAGTATGAGACTGACTCGCGATCGCTAGCTCTCCGCAAGGCCCTCGAGCGCCTGGGCTACGGCAAGTGCTACCACATGATGTGCGCCAGTGTTGAGAACCCGCCGGACTGCCTGATGTGGCACGATGCCCTGAACGCCAAGTACAAGGGCGAGGGCGAGTTCGGCCGCAAGGAATGGGACCAGCTTCTGGGTGACTGCCAGGCCGTGTGCGACTGGCCTGCCTGCGCTTTTGCTAAGGAGCTCATCGAGGCCTACCCCAACGCAAAGGTCATCCTGACCACCCGTGATGTCGACCCGTGGCACGCGTACGTCTGCTCTTTCCCGCAATGTCTCTGATTCCAAATTGAAGAAACAAATGAGCTAACTTCCATATAGTTCCGTCATGAAGACCGTCTACTGGCGTGTCAGCGACCCCGAGCACAAGTTCGTCTCGAACTTCAGCTGGGCCGCCGGAATGTACTATCCCATGCTCAACAAGTTCTTCGAGACTTTCTTCCGTGGTGACTTCCCCGGTAAGGGGAAACAGGTCTACAACGAGCACGTTGCCGAGGTTCGCAGCTTGGTGCCTCCGGAGCGTCTGCTGGAGTACAACATCAACGACGGCTGGGGTCCACTGTGCGAGTTCCTCGGCGAGGAGACTCCCGACACCCCCTTCCCTCGCGGTAACGACATGGCCGACTTCTACAAGCGATGCAGTACCCGCAACCGCCACCAGATGATGAACGCTGCCCTCCAGGCCCTCACCATGGGTGGTACCCTTCTGGCCACTGGCCTCGCTGCCACCATGGCCTGGAAGCGCTTCGTGAAATAGATGAAGTGCGGGACAGCTCCTTGCATTCTTTTTGTTTGTTCTCTTTGCATTCCTGAGCTGGCCCCACAGTGTGTGCAGGCGCCGCTAGCGGGGGCAGCTCACGGTGGTCCATATTCCCAGAATTTTGTCTTCAACTGGCCACTGGTGATTTTTTATAATATCCCTTTTCCCTTTTTTATGCTGCACAGTTCCAACTGAATTGGGAACGAAGCTACGGTGCATTTTGATAATTCTTTTTGGTACATATATTTGTCCTGGAAAACATCGGATCTTGAATTTTCTTCTCATTAATTTTTCTTTTGCATCATTCTTTGCATTCTGTATGCAAGCCACCACGAAACAAACATCCCCAGAAGAATGGACCCTGTTTAGCACGTCATTCAAAGGGAGAATCAGCCCTGAATTCTGGCCCTGCCTGGACGCAGGGGAGCAAGCTCTCCAGTCAACGGACAGATATCGTCCAATCCTGTTGTCGAAAATTGTTCTTTCATGGCGCACATGGAGTGAGATGAATACCAAAAAAAGAATCAATGTCTTGCAATCTGCATCTCCAAAATACATACATCCGTAATACTACAAACATAGGATGTTCACGCGTGTAGTTAATCTCAGATCTCCGCCAGACAAACCGGAGCCAAGACACCTCCAGTGTTTAGTCAGGCCACCTAAGCATCTTCCAGCTCCAGCAATCGTTCTCCCACCGATCACAGCCTGGGCCGTGCCGAGGGTGCTTTCCGATGCAACGAGGGGGCCAGAGGGGCCCCTTCGTACTCGTACGAAGGCGACACTCAAGGAGATTGCTTGGCTGGACTAGCGTCTTGGCAGGTAAGCCACACGCTAGGGTAATTAATCGTTGGGCGCGATGGGGAAAGGTACGTGCTAGGAATAGTGCTAGTATGTGGATTGGCACCGGGCCAGTGTTCCCCGTCGCCCCTCAGGCGTTCTCGTTCAAATCAAATCTCGAAACTGCTTTTGCGTTCTCTTTGGCTGTGGGCTAGTACGTGGTTGGCTTGCGTGGGAAGCCAGCCGCGCCGCAAAGGATTTGGCGTTTCTTGGCTTGGCCAGGGGCCATCGTCGTGGAGGGTGACGCATGCGGTTTAACATTGACGAAAATGCGATTGTGCTCTTTGGTTCGAGTGTTCAAGTCAAAACCGACCCTCAGATATACCTGACCCGTGCAAATGATAAAGCAGACGCGCTTATCGGGAGAAAGTTTCCTGGCTCCCATGACGTTTGAAGATCGGTGACTCTCGCGGTTCAGTTCAGTGGTTCCATCTGATCGCAGAGTCAATCAGGTTTTTTTTTTCTGCTCTTGGCTTGGACCCTGGCGCCGTTTGCGGGTGAGTGCCAGAAGTGGTTGGAAAGATCCTCATCCAGAGTGTATTTTATCCCATTACATAGGCCGAAGCAATACTCCGTCGACGTTTGGTCTTAAGTCTCTCCTTTGAGAGATTCAGAGCAGGAATCCTGCCTCTAGTCCAGCCACAGTGTATGCACTTCTTATGCATGGTAGTAGAGCTCGGCCTAGATTTGGCCTAATGGAGGGGAGTTTTCGCTGCCGTCGACGGTGGTATTCATTGTATGGGCCCGTACAGAATTGTATTGAAGTTGTAACGACACTAGTCTGCAAGAGGGAGGGCGACCAGCTACACCAGCCACACGCACGTGGCTGTTTCCCCGATTGAGGTGTGGCGAGTCGGATTCGTCAGGCGTGGCCGCGTTGCGAATCGACGCAAGGCTCCCATCGATAGTAGAGATCGGAAGAATACCTTCAGGTATGTCGACATCAGATCATCCGTCTTATAGCTCTCCACACCCTTTGACTTTTGACTGCAGAGAGACGGCCCCTGAGTTTGTAGGCGGTGCACAGCTCTGGCCTCCCCCTGGTTTCTGTTTAGCCGCGCAGGTATGACGCGGCCCAGCCAATTTACCGTACCATACGTTTTCATCCACCCCGAACCCGACGAGGTGCAAACCGCAAACCCTGTTCGAGTTGAGGGCCCCATTGTCGTAGACCCTGTTGAACCCTATCTATGCGAATGCGATTAACCCACGAGGCCGCACAGGCAATCCGATCTCGTTTCCATCCGATCCCCGCTGGCATTACCCGGGCTTGGCAGCAAGCAGACTTGCTTCAACTCTAAATGCTTAACCCTTTCTTTCCGGGGCCGCTGGGTGGCCAGTCCCCCGTGGGTTTCACCTTCATCGATGGGCAGTGCCCAATGAGGTTGCAGATCCGCATGGCGAGTGGAGCTGTGGTTCTCCGCTGGAGTGACAGCAGTGGAGCGGACTCGTACTCTTTCCCCCTCTGCATTAAGGGCCCGCGAATTCCTCCTTGCATGCCTTCGTCTCTTTCTACCCCTTCTGAAAGTCGTTCGCCATTCCTCCTGGGAGTGATGTGAAGAGGAGGATCCCATGGTCGCCACTACTCGCTCGTTAGGGAGGCCCTGCTCCCTCCCCATACTGCTGGGTCTGCTGCTATGCGCCGCTCATGCAGTCGCGCAGCAGACAGCCTTTTATAAGTCGGTTCGTGGTCGCCCTTCAGTTATGCGTGCTTGTGGATCGCGCAATCCCTCGGAGCCTTTTTCATGATTTCTGCGTCGCGCGAAATATCCTCCTATCAAACTAACCCGTGCGTCCGTCTTGCAGCGACCGGACATCTACCCTCCCCTCTTTTCCATTGAGAAAAGCGATCCCGAGAAGCTGAGCCCCGGATACATCTTTATTACACCCTACGAGGTCGATAATCCCGGCCCGTATATCTTTGACAACGATGGAGTATGTGCGCCAATTGATTCGAGCTGCGTCCCAAACTTGCCACCATTAGCGCATCGAGACTGACCGCGGGGTTTCGCATATTTAGGAGCTAGTATGGAGCGGCTGGGGTACCTCGGGGCCCGGCAATGCCCATGGCATGCACGTCTGCCAGTATAAGGGCGCCGATCACCTGTGCCTGTTTCAGGGCAACCAGCAGAAAGGATACTGTCGCGGACATGGCCTGATCTTGGATAACAGCTATCGCATCGTGCGGTCTGTACAGCCCGGTGGCGGAATGGCCTCCAGCGACATGCACGAGTTTCTTCCGATTAACGACGGTAAAACCGCGCTCATGACGGTCTACCAACAACGTCAATTTGACATGACGCCGTGGAACATCAAGACCGGTGTTGGTTGGTTGATGGAGAGTGTGTTCCAGGAAGTCGACGTGGAGACCAGCAAGGTGCTTTTTGAATGGCGTTCGCTGGACCATGTCGACCCGTCCAACAGTTACACATGGCCGCGGCACACGGATACCTCGGGAACGGGGTTGAACGTTCATGAGCCGTGGGATTATTTCCATATCAACTCGATCGACAAGAACAAGGATGGCGACTACCTGATCTCGTCGCGCCATACGTGCGCCATTTATAAGATTTCTGGAAAGGATGGATCTGTTGTTTGGCGACTGCATGGGTCTCAGCCAACGTTCCGGAATATCAACTTTAGCTTCTCGCAGCAGCACGATGCGCGCTGGTTGTTCGAGAACGCTACCCACTCGGTCGTTTCTCTTTATAATAACGGGTATAATGGCTTCAATCAGACACACTCCTACTCCGGGGGTATGATCATCCTCATCGATCATGTGGAGAACACCGCTCTTCAGCTTCACGATTACAAACCCCATATCAGTGACTTGGTCAGCTCGAGCCAAGGAAACTTGCAGCTCCTGCCGAACAAGAACGTTTTCATGGGATGGGGCAATAACCCCTATGTGTCCGAACATGATGAAGAAGGAAATCTGGTGCTCTGGGCCCACGTCTCTGGCAACGACTTGATGAACTACCGTGCCCAGAAGTTCGAGTGGGAGGGCAACCCCACGGATTCCCCTGCTCTCTGGGCCTATTCTCGAACCCCCGAACCTTTCTCTCCCACCACCTTCTACGTGAGCTGGAATGGTGCCACTCGCGTCCAAAGTTGGCGCTTCTTCGGCGCCCAGAACATGACTGGGCCCTGGACCTACTTGGACCAGGTCAACAAGACCGGCTTTGAGACCGAATACACCAACGCCAGCTTCTATGTCTGGACCCGAGCTGAGGCCGTCGATAAGAACGGTGTTGTTTTGGGCAAGTCCGAGCAGAGGTATACCTTCGTTCCATCACCCGAGCTGCGCGACTTCTGTCAAGACGAAACATGTCTTGATGCGCCCGGATTTGGATTCCCGGGCGAGGATCTCGCTGAACCTCTCATCCCGCCTGCGGGCGTGAATACCGTGCCGTGGGTTGATCCAGAGCACGACGGTGCCATCTGGACCTACCCTTCAGGCTTCCCTCATACAACAGGTGCTATGGTTTATCCCGCGAAGTGGAGTACACGCAGTAAGCGAACCCCCTCTTCCCCTCGTATTTTCTTATAGATCCATCTCTATTTCCCTTTGCCGATGTCCTCATTGCTGTGCTGACCAGTTCACTCTAGCTCTTCTTATTTGGGGTGTCGTTGCTCTTGCCTGTTGCCCAGCTCTTATTGGAGTCTACTTCGTCTATCGCCGTCATCAACGGCGTCAACTACAACGGCTGGACCGGTTGGATGGCGATGCAGATGCGGACTCATCGGAGCCGCTGAACGGGTTCTCCGAGCGGAAATCTCCACTGGAAACAGCCGCTCTTCCCTGGTGGAATTGGCGGCGGTGGACCACCGCAGCTGAGACGCATTATTTCCCGCTCGTAGATCGCAGTCCACTGGGGCGCGAACGCGAGCGTGAGCGGAGTGAATAGCGCCCCTCTTTTGTTTATTTTTTTTTTCGTCTCTCCATATTCCGAGGTATTCCCACTTTTGCATTGCTTGGCCAGCTCATCTTTGTTTTCATATTGTCTCATCTTCCGACACATACATATCTCCCATCGCATGGACTCCCCTCGGGCTCTCACAGTGCACGATGACGCTCTTGTTAGAATGCGATCTTTACCGAAATACGAATACCCGAGATACCTAAAGCCGAGCTACCCGGCGCTGCTGCATTTGGTGCGTTCACCCAGCCAATCCTCGCGTTGCCGCCGTAGTTCGTATAGCCATAGCCGTACGCGTCCTTGCGCCGCGCACGATATTTTCCTATGTGCTATGGCTTGCGTTGGCCCCGGCGACATAAGGTGGTTCAGGGAGTAATCAGTCCAGATCGAATAGAGTCGTGACAGCCTCATTGGTCCGCAGGGGCCCGTCGGAGAGCCCACGGGGATCTGAATCCCTGATCATCCATGCTCTTTCCGTCGGGCGCTGCATGTAGAGGGAAAGTGGTCAAGGCAGAGAAGTAAGCTTTCCGTAACGCTCAACAAAGGCTTTTTGGCTCTAAATTTTTCCTTTTTTTTTTGGCATTTCTAATTAGAAGGTTCTTGGCAACGGATAGCCCCTGGTTATGTTGATTGCCCGACTGCTTCACTGTAGCTGATACATCACGGATGGTCCTGAAACGCAGGGGAACTGTCTCAAGCTGGGACGTCCGTGTAGGAGCGCCGGAGTAAAAACGCTCTTTGACATCAGAGAACAGAGATTGCAGAAGATCTTCGCCGGATGAGGCAGGAATCAATTGCCTCTCCAGGATTGAGCGAGAATCTCCTAGTTCGGTACTATCATGTTTATCAGGGGACTTGCACTCGCCAGTCCCCGTGGGCGTCGGGGTGGCTGAGCAGCGTGGATGGATCTTGATCGTCATTTAATCTTATTAGATGACACTGGCAAGATCCTCGTCACCCAGACACGCTCATTCTGTTTGTGCTGCGTCGTCTGTCGTGCGTACACGGTGGCCACATCGTCGTCATTCGTCAGTGGCTGACTCCCTCGCTGCTGTTCTGATGCATCTCTAGGTCGATGGTCGAGCTGAGAAGGCTTCCTAATCTCCTCTGGGGCCGGCGCTAAGCCCGCTACGCCGGGCTTCTTACGTAGATAACGATGACCGGAACCGGGACAGCGAAGGCGAAGGGCCGCCACCACGGTTCGTCTCGTTGCCAAGACGCTGCTAGTCGAGTTACGGGGAGGTGGAGGAAGTGGAGGAGGTGGAGGAGGTGGACTCGGTCGGCCAGAAGCAGCGAGGAAGAAGAGAGAAAGCAGTGGGGCGGCGTCGCAAGCCCGGCTGTCGTGTCGATCGTACATTACATACGGTATCCAGTACCGATTAGCGCGTAACAGGAGCGTTCCGGATGAGGTAGGTGATACGAGGTACATCTATGCATACACCCAAAGGTACCAAGGATGTGAGAGAGGTTGCATTGAAGGATCATACTGCTGGTGGTGATGGATCGATTGTATCTCAGAATGAGGCTCCAGAAGAGAGCGATTCGCGCATCTTCATGCCCCCAAGAACATACTCGCAGAATCGTTGATCGAATGTATAGAGTTCCAGCACCAAGTGGAACCGCAATTAAGTACAGAAAGCATGGTCGATTCCAGACCCCTTCATCTACTGGGTACAAATTGTACTCGGTAATAACAGAATAACAAAACGCAGGATGATCCAAGGCCGCTGGACGCGCCTGACCTCGCCCTTCCTCCTTCCGTACTCCTCTCTTTCTCCTCCTCTCCAAAACTAAAAAGTCTCATCCCTAGGGAGCCAATTATAACCGCCAGAACGCGCAAAATTACCAGTGAAACGCCCCAGCGCAACCGCTCCCACCGTGCCTGACGTCGGCGATTCCCACTTTGACCCCCTCTGCCGGTCCTGTCCCGGCTTACATACACATTCCTCCATGCCTGCCAGGTCCCAGCACCAACCCCATAAAACGAACAATGCCCGCCACGCGCGTACGACTTCCTGGTCGAGTGGCTATAACCATCTAACCCAGGGATCCGGCAACGTGGGCGAATCGTCCGACTCTCAACCCCCTCGCCGCCGCCGCGAGTCCAACATCTCCCTCGCCAGCGTCGACGAGGCCCCCTCCACTCCTGACTCCTCCGGCCCCGATGCCCCCGACATGATCAGGAATACCTCCATGGATCTGGACGTCCGCAAGAGCGCGCACCATGTGCGCTCCCGCTCCCAGAGCCAGGCGCAGGTCGTGGCTCTGCAGGAGTCGGAAATCCCGGCTCATCCTCCCGTCCACGCTCGTCCCGCCCCCGTCACCTGGATGTCCTTGCCGCGGAAGGGTCAATTGGCTCTGCTCGGTCTCTGCCGCGTCTTCGACTTCCTCCAGATCGCCTCGCTGCAGGCCTACATGTTCTACCAGCTGAAATCCTTCGACGAGAACCTCTCCGATTCTGACGTCGCGACCCAGGCCGGTATCCTCCAGGGCGCCTTTACCGCCGCCCAGTTCGCGACGGCCATTCCCTGGGGTCGCGTGGCCGATGCCGAATGGGGTGGTCGCCGCTTTGTGCTGCTGGTCGGCCTGGTGGGAACCGCCGTCTCGTGTCTGGGTGTGGCCTTTTCGACCTCCTTTGCGCAGGCCGTCTTTTGGCGGTCGTTTGGTGGCGCCATTAATGGTACCGTCGGTATTATTCGGACAATGATTGCGGAAAACGTGAAGGAAAAGAAATACCACTCGCGTGCGTTCTTGATTCTGCCTATTGGCTTCAACGTCGCTTCTCTGTTCGGACCTGGTAAGTTAGACACCTGTTTTTGTCACCATGTTCGCTAGGTAAAGCTGGATATTGACCGCAACTAGTAATGGGTGGTATGCTGGCCGATCCCGTCAAGAGCTACCCACGCTTATTCGGCCCCAACTCCTCCTTTGGCGGCGAGAATGGCGTGCAATGGCTTGAGAAGTACCCGTACTCTCTGCCCATGCTAGCCAACTTCTTCTTCCTGGGCACCTGCGCGTGCTTGGTTGGCTATGGCCTGGAGGAGACCCTTCTTGCTTGCAAGGGCAAGCCGGGCATTGGCTCATTTATCATGAAGTTCAGCGCGCGCACCGTGCGAAGCGTTGTCGGAACGTCCTCGCCCATCTACTCGAGACTTCCGTTCCGCGACTACGACGAGGATGGCCCTCTGCTCAGCAGTACTCTGGACCGCTCCGAAAGCTACGAGCTCGAGGAGAAGGCTCGCCCCGTCCGTGTCAAGCGCGTTTTGCCGTTCCGCAGAATCTGGACCAAGAACGTCTGGTGCACGCTTCTGGCCCAGGCTTTCTTCGATTTCCAGATGGGTGCTTTCAACAACCTTTGGCTGCTTTTCTTGTCTACCCCCAGATACGATCCCAATGACCCCGCTGCCCCGGTCCAAAACCTTCCCTTCAGCTTCACCGGTGGTCTGGGCATGCTTCCTCAGAGTGTTGGTTTCGCGACCGCCATTCTGGGTGTCATTGGCATGTTCCTTCAGTTCACCATCTACCCCTCCATCAACGGACGACTGGGCACAGCCAAGAGCTACCAGTACTTTCTCTCTCTCTTCCCGCTGGCATATGCTCTGGCACCCTATATCTCGCTGGCTCCGTCTACCATCCCGCCACCTGGACAGGCCAACGGCCCTTGGGTTTGGTTGTGGATTATTATTGTCCTCTTCCTGCAGGTGACGGCCCGAACCTTCACCCTCCCGACCTCAATTATCCTCTTGAACAACTGCTCTCCGCATCCCTCCGTCCTCGGCACGATCCACGGTATCGGACAGTCTGTCTCGTCAGCTTTCCGAACCATTGGCCCCATTTTCTCAGGCGCCTGGTATGGTTACGGTCTGGACATTGGCATGGTCGGCTTCGCCTGGTGGCTTGTTGCCCTGGTGTCCGTCTTTGGCTGTGCCGCTGCCGTCTTTGTGTACGAGGGCTCTGGTCATGAGGTCCTTCTTCCTGGAGAGGAGGACGAGTACCAAGAGCACTGAATGTGATGTGTGACGTTTTTGTTCTCTTCGTTTGAACTGTATATTGCTTCGACCTCCTTTTGCATGTCATCTGGTGTCTGTCTGGTGGGCTGTTTTATTGATTTCATTTGCCTTTACCTTCGGTGGGGACAGCTTGGTTTCTCCAACCGGAGAATCATGCTTTGCCTCCTCGCAGCGGATAGAGGTCAGGGATCTTCATGCATTTAGACCTATACCTTTTGTCTTGCTTGCTTGTTTGCCATATTGTCTTGGATACCATCTCTTTGTGGGCATTATTATTATTATCTCCGCATGGCATTTTTGTGTCTTGCTTTCAATGTTGCGGCGTTCTGTACTCCTGTTTCATTTGTCTTTACATTTCGACCTATCAACCGAGCTGGTGATGGGGCAGTATGGCATCTTGGGCCATAAAATATAGAGATTCCGTCAGTCTGACTGGTGGTAACCATTCAGGCGGATGCATTTTCATGGGTTGTCTTTTTGAATGGACTGAACCCTCTTTTGCTATATCCAAGTCATAATAGACCATTTCAGTTCTACTCTTCCAATCATTGCCAACACATTTAAATAATATCTTCTGTATCTTCATCAATTGTGACATCTAAACTTGGACTTCGTTAATCTATACAAACAGGGCAGCTCATCATGAAGAAGCCCCATAGTACTTCTGATAACTAGCATCAAAAGTCTTCCCATCAACAGCAAACTGCCGAATATAATCCCGCTCAAGATCATGCGTCCTCCGACCCAGAAGAACAAGACTGTGCAGCGGCGCGCCCATCTCAACTGTACTCAATTCCTCCAATGTACCAACAACAAGCTTCTGATCGGGGGCACCAACGCGCGCCGCACCAACCGCAAGACTATCCGGCTTGTAAACACCCTCCTGCCTCGTCTCCTCGGTCTCAAGAAGCTGCGACGCACACTGCGCAACGGTCATGTAGCGCGGGGGCTCGAAGATGCGGCGGCCGCGAGCCAGGTTCTCCATTGATTGTTCCTTCACCTTGATATCGAGCAAGACGAGCGTGTGCAGACCGATCTGGACGTTCTCGCGGACCTTGTCATAGAAGGACGAGGGCTTCCAGTTCTCAGTGAAGAAGACCATGCTGACTGTTTGACCGAAGTTGTAGAGCTGCAGACCGGTGCAGCCGATTCCGGACATGATGGAGGCGTTGGGGACGACGTTTGTCTGGATGCCGAGTTCGCGGGCGCGGAGAACAAGGTCGGTGTGGGTTGTTGCGCTGTTCATTGTCAGTATTGTACTCCTTGTCCACATGAGAAACTCAAAGAAGAGTGAAGCAAAAGGTATGACATACCCGAATGGATCTCCAACAACGAGAAAAGCAATGTCCGCCTTATCGGCGCCAGCGAGAATGTCATCGCTGCCGCTCTCGACGAGCTCGCGGTCGGCTTCGATGACGGGACGGCCATAGAACTCTTCCTATAGAGTGAAAGGGGGATGAGTTAGCAAGATTGGTCCATCTAGAAAAGTCCATTGCTACTGAGCAATGGGAGAATGGTATCGGTGATCCCACGCACAAGCTTCGCCTTGTCCACCAGCAGAATGGCCGTATAGGCCTCCAGATAGACCCGCTCCGCCTTCTTCACAATCTCCAGTCCGCGGACAGTAATGTCCTTCTCATCGGCGAGGCCCAGGCCTACAAGGTGCAGCATGTTGGGCAATTGGGAAGCAAAATTGCAGTAATTGGTGTGCAATGTATTCGTCTGAGGTGGAAATAATTGCATACCCCGCGGCAGAATCCCACCGCCTCGGGTCGCCGTCGATGACCGCCCAGCCGGAAAAAGGAAAACTCCGCTTATCGCGTATCGCTTGAGCAATCAGTTGAACCTCCCCCCGGACTCCAGGTACCGACCGTCTCTTTCTTCACCGAGACCTTCAAGGGCCCTGTCCTCATTCGCAACGTGGCAGTGATCGGAGACTGCTTTACTGACTTTGCGCGCGTGCCATTCACACGTCGGAGTCGTCACAATGAGCTCCGATCGCCAGCCGAAGTATCGGCAGGAGATCCAGCAGGTAAGTTCATCAAATCCATTCCATCTAGTTTCATAGGTAGGGTTCTGTCTCTTCGGTCCCTCGAGGCCTCCGTCTCCTAACACTTGGTCATGCTTGGTGCTGTCCTATTGTCGATCATGCATGCTTTGGGAGAACCCAAAGGTCTCCAATTCCAGGGCGCCTTGTGTCCTAGGTTAGATCTTGAAGCTCTTTCTCGGTGGAAGCTGGGGGATCTCTTCCGGAATGCGTCATGGCCAAAATTGCTGCGTCTATATACAAAATGAAACGACCCTTGTCCTCATGCGCATGATCCCCATGACATGCGTATCGATACGACTTTCAACGTTCCATATATGGGTGGCCGAAGAGGTTGAAGCCGTGCTTGCTAGCATCGAGATGAAGTCAATCCGTGGCGTTGCTTGCGGAATAGGAAACTGCGTCCACGGCCGAGGCGATCTGCCCACCACAAGGCGCCCGCCGTACCTACCTTCTAGTAGGTTCTGTCTACTGGGCGTAGGGGCCTACCGCGCTTTGTTTATGTCCACCATCGCGTTCGCCAATTATTCTTCCTCTTGCATCCTCTCGCCTTCGTTACGCGCGTATCCAAAAAACCGTCCACGCCAGAGGATATTGACTCGCTGCCGCATTGTTATCTTCCAAGGACCGACCCCAAACTGCACACTCTTGCAGTATCGGTCCTCCACCCTTCTGCTTCGCTTCTTTCTCCTCGCCCTCAGAGAGCATTGTGGACACCACACAACTCTACGCCTCTTCCAATTTCGTTCAAGTCAAATTACGCTGTAATTTGCCCCTCCCTTTCGCTCTCTGAGAGAAGTAATTCAGCACCTGAAACGAGCTTCGAATCTTCAACGCCGATTTCCGCAAGATCGCCTGCTTTCACAATGTCATCTCACGCTCCGAGCGAAGGTGAAAATGTGGGCCACCGTTATCTCACTGGCTTCACCCTGCACCTTCGACCCAGGGACGCTGCGCAGCCCGAAGGTAAGGACCACTTGGCCCAGTCCATTGAAAGCGATGATACCACTGCTTGGATTAGCGACTCGGAAGATTTAACCACTGGCAGTGACTTCGACACTCTCAAGCCCCTTCGAACCTCCCGTGAATTGAGCCCCGAAAACGAAGAGGCCGCAATTTACATTGCGACTTATGAGGACTGGCTCAATACTTTGAGTTGTGACGACCCTGCAATCAAATCGGACCGCCGCCTCCCTTTTCCTTCCCCTCCTGTCGATGACAGCAAATCTGATCTGGATGACGGCCAAGGCGACCTGAGCGACTCCCAAGGCGACTCGGATGATTCGCAAAGCGACCCGGATGGCTCCAAACGTGATCCGGATTATGCCATGAGTGAGAATGAATCCGAGGGAGCTGAGCCGGAGGGCCGCCTGTACTCGGGTGATCTTGAGCTGGTTAAGAAATGCAACGAATTCATGGAAGGCTGTGACATCAGGGAAATCTCCAAGCATGACCCCAAGAAAATCTTCAAGGATGACCCCAAGGATGACCTCAAGAAAGAGACTACCGAGACCAAAGACACCGAAGAGATTGGAGACCTTTGTCAAGTATTTGTTGCTTACCATTTTAACCGGCAGATGATGTTTGTCTCAGGTGAAACTGCCGAACCATCTATTGAAACAACTTCCTTAATTGAAGACATCACTCGACAACAAGTCATCGAAATTGTCCGTCCAGATATTACCTAACGTTTGAATGCCAATTACTAACAGGATTTCAAGCTCACGCGCAGCACCGCCTTGGCCACTCGCCGAGGCTCGAAAACTATCTCGACAGATGATTTGATTTTCCTCATTCGGCACGACAAGGCAAAGGTCTCCCGCCTTCAAACATTCTTGTCCTGGAAAGATGTTCGAAAGAACGTCAAGGACTCTGACGACAAGGGAGGGGCTGATACCGCCGAGTTTGCAGCCGACGATGCGGCCGGTGTCGTTGCCGGCCCGAGTGATGTGGCCTCTAAGCCCAAGAACAAGCGCGCCAAGATCGGCCTTGCTTGGGATGTGAACAGCTTCTTTTCAGTGCAGGTGCCCGAGCGTGAGGATGAGGAAGACGAAGAGGAGGAAGAACAAAACTATGCTACTCTTCAGCGTCTGGCCGCTGCCGATGAGCGCACCAGGCACATGACTAAGGAGGAGTACGTCTTCTGGTCCGAGTGTCGTCAGGCCTCATTCACCTACCGAAAGAGCAAGCGTTTTCGCGAATGGGCCGGCTTCGGCATCGTGACCGAGTCCAAACCAAATGACGACATTGTCGATATTCTGGGTTTCTTGACCTTTGAGATTGTCCAGACCTTGACTGAGGAGGCTTTGAAGGTCAAACTACGCGAAGACCACGAACGCAACCGTGGCGGCGGCGACAACGCTGGTGACAATTCCAAGAAGCGCAAGCGCGAGACCGGCCTTTTCGATCCCCCGGAGGAGGGCCGCACGCCTATCGAGCCACGTCACATTCGCGAAGCCTATCGCAAATTGCAGGCCATCCCTCAGAAGTCGATCGCTATGCTTCTTCACAATGGGCGCATCCCTGCTCGTCTACCCCTTCGATTGGTTAGTATACTTACGTCACCTACATCCACATGTCTGAGTTGTTTGACTGACGGACGCTTTTCTAGATTTAATCTCGGCTTTTTCTTTCTTGCTCAGGAAGTACGGTGTACGGTGTTTCTAGCGACGTATCAAGCGCCAAGTTTGATAAATGATACCCAAGGTTTCGGGAAATGTTCAGTTATGGGTGGAATGTGAGCTTCGAACATATATTTAATCACCATGCACCCGGAAGCCTCCTTTGTCGGTGTTTTCATGATTTTTGTCATATCCTTACGCGTTGTCTTGTCTTTTTAATTCGCTACTTCCCAAGCGATGTGAAGGAAGTGGAATTCGAGATATCGGTCATCTCTACCAGTGTTTTCTATCTTGATGTGTTGTCTTATCTTCTTGATTCGCTATCTAGCCAGGCGATATGAAGTTTATGTACAACTGAAGATATTGAAACTCAAGTGATCAAACTATTCCATTCCTTTCCAGAAGATATTCACATGAGTATCGTAGAAACATCGCCGAATGTTCCGTCAAAGTATTATCTCATGCAATCATAAAACGTAAGTTGGGCATTTAGTTCGGGTGAGATTTGCGCCCTATAGATCATTAGTATCAAAGCCGTGAAGTTACATCGACAACGGGCTACTTACACTCAGCCAGCTCTTCCAGACTCAATTCCCGGATGCTGTTGATGGCAGGGACATTGCCTTGAACGGCACCCTTCACCGTATCGACCGCACGACCCAGCAGTCCCTTCCGGGAAACAACGTGAGTTGCCAGCTTCGCCTCGAGCTTGATCACACCAATACGGGGGTCGGAGGGCGAACCATCGTGCACTCCATCGCCCATGTCACCCAGCCATGCCTTCAATGCCGGCGAGTAGTACTTCGCAACAACAGAGGGGTCGGAAATGATGGAGGCGGTTCCGGAGATTGACGCCCAGGCGCCGTTCACGGGGTCCAGGAAGGACATGTTCGTTTCTTGAGGGTGGAGGGTGAGGTCCATTGTCTTTCCGGAGAAGAGGTTGGTGTGGAAGATGAGGTCGATGCCGCCATTTTCCTGCCACATGTGTAGTTAGTATAGCGCTATTTTATAGCAGAAGAGCAGTAGGTTCTTGTGTATATACCTTTCCGGCGAGAGCCATGCAGCGCGAGGTGAGGAATTCTCCCTCGGATTGCTTCGTCGTCAACATGCCGAACTTGACTTCAGAGATAAAGTCGACCAGCTCCTCGATCTTCTGGGGGAGAGGAGGGTCCTCGAAGTTCTGAGTCTTGTACGGGTCCACGGCGTGGTTGCCCGTGGCGGTGTTGATGGTTGCGTCGGCAGACATGTTGAAATTTCGTATTAAGATTCGTAAATCCAAAGAATTGGCGTAGAGGAATGGTGAGTACCCTGGGTTTATATAGTAATGTAGTTGGGGAACAACCAACTGCCTGTTTGCGCGGGCAACGTCGTTGTGACGTCAGCGATTGGATCCGGATCAGGGCTGCTTGAATGACTTCGGCATCTCCACTAGATGCAATTGGTGGTACAGCTCTTGGCTGATATGTGATCTGATTTGCGATCGCGAGCGCCCGTTGTGTGCTTGACTTCCTCGGGGTTGAGGTCTGACGGAGAGCTGATATCCCGATTTGGACTGGTGATCCTCCACGTACATACGACAAGAACACGCCAACCAAACTGATGCTCATAAGTTCCAAGAATGTGTGATTGCTCTCCACAGGAGCTCCAGGATTGTTGCAAGAGTAACGACAAGAAGAGCTATACAGAGGTAAGATTAGCCGTCGAATGATCGAGACACAAACAAGGATAGGCTCACCTTCACGACCCCAAACAGCCAACCCTTGCATAACCTTCCCTCGCCTTTGCATATGCAACCATGAATAGACAATATCAACCTGACATGTCCGACCTTCCACAACTGAGCAGCCACCTGGCCAACGTCGACACTCGAGATGCAATCGCCTGCGTTCCATTATGCGCCGAATACGCCAGTTACAGAATGCTTCATCTGTTCGGAAGGAGCATTTCTCCATGGGGCATTCAAGCTTGCGCTCAAAGCGTTCAACGAGCCAGTCAACTTTAAGGTGGACTCCTGTGTAGACCACTGAGTAGAAATGGCGACAAGTGTGTTTCAAAGCGAGGGCGTCGGGGTAACTCAGGTGCTGTGCGACTTGCATGCGTAGCTCTGTCGGAAGATCCATCAAGGAGAGGCGAGGCACAGTATTAAGATTATTCGTACTGCACTGCTCCATCTTGAAGCTGACGTGGTTGGAATTCCGATTTGAGAGCTTCCTTGTCGTTCCTAGCTGTGGTCTTTGCATTCGTACTTGTATTCAGCGACGAAAATGGCTGCCTGAACTGGTTTATTATACTTTGTCTATCTTGGGAGCCCCAAGGAAGCATGAAGTAGGATACCATGTTGCGAAACGTGTCGTTCTTTCAGTGGCTGCTTCGATATGAGAGTAGCTGCCTGGCCGTGTAGATCGATGCTGACGGAGGGGCTGTGATCTGAAACATGCAGCCTCAGTCACGCCTCTTGTGACCCTTCAGCAAGACGCTCTGGTCCTAATTTTTGTAGTCATAACAGCCAGGCTATAGAGGTCAAAATGTCCCATAACAGCTAGGCTATAGAGTTCAAAATGTCTAACCTCAGCCTCCATCAGCAGAGCTAGACAGGTGTACCTCTGGTAGAGCTGGGAGCTTGTTGCGGCTCCGCAACCGTGCTTACTAAGTCCGCCACTTGAAGCTCCGAACCTCGAGACCAAGAACCTGCACTTTTCACCACTCCAAATACCACCACACAACCTCCACCATGTCTCAGTCCAATCCTCCAGATGGCAGATCCTCTGATGTTGTGCAAGCCAAAAGCTGGGACCGAGAAGAATACGCCAAAAAGGCCGCCGACGATGAAGCCAAGCGCAAAGCCGAAGGCAAAGCCCGCTACGAAGCCAAACTGCTCGGCAAGAAATATCATGCGCCCGTCGACTACGATTCGCTAGAGGCGACAACCGCCCGCAAAGAGCGACTAAATGTGTCGTCGATGGTCGGCAAGACGACGATTGTGCCTGCGGGCGCGTCGATGGGGAAGAAGGGAAAAGGCGCTGGATTCTACTGCACGGACTGTGACCTCACCTTCAAGGATAATATTCAGTTTGTGGAGCATCTGAATAGCAAGCAGCATTTGATTGCGACGGGCCAGAGCGGTGATGTTGTTCGCGCTGGTGTTACTGAGGTGCGGGATCGGTTGCGGATGCTGTCGCATCGGAAGAGAGTTAGGGATGAGGAGGAGCGCAGGGCGTGGCAGTTGGATCTTGGGGCGAGACTTAAAGAGCGGGAGGAACAGGATGCGAAGGAGCGAGAAGAGAAGAGACGCAGGAGAAATGAGAAGCGGAGAAAGGGTGGTGTTAAGCAAGAAGATAGCTGGGAAGGGCGATTGGGCATTATTGCCTAAGGGGGCATTTATGTTCTCGTGTGCATTTTGTCCCGCAGTCTTCTTATGATACCCATGGCGTTTTGGGAATTGTTACCTTATTTTATCTTTCCACACTGTACGATGTGTCATGAAACAGCATTGGTATTGGCATTGGCAACCGAAAACATGTGAAATATTCAGATCATGAATCTTCCTCCCCGAACACCAGACTCCACGCAAGAAAATATGTTGTCAAACATGTAAAAAGAACCATAAAACACCACATGATGGTCATTCAATCAATCCATACACTCGATGGCCTCCAGTCGTCGCATAGCTCGACTGCCCTCCTGCTCGAACTGGCTGACGAGACGCTCGCACTCCCGCTTCAAGCGTTCCTCACCATTCTTCGCATTCCACATAATCCATTGTTCAACACTCATCTTCTTTTCAGGACTGGTCAGGCCATTCTTGAGGCCGTTGAAGAGTCCGGAGAGGTCACCATTTTCTTTGTCGCTAGCATCTCCATATAGAAGCTCATCGATATCCACTGGAGTCCACGGGTGTCCTGAGGCAGGGAAGCCGGCGTTAGGATTGCGCTTGGAAGGAGATGGAGTGGCAGCTGGAAGTGCGGTTCGAGCCTTGGGCTGCTTAGGGGTGGATGATAGAGGTGGACGAGATGCTGATGGTCGTGATGAAGGGGGGCGGTTCTCAGCATCGGATGATTGGGGAGACATGGACGGAGTGCTCTGCTGAGGAGGCAGAGGCGACACTGCTCTGTTGGAGGAATTTGATGCCCGCTGAGCCTTACTGGTTCGTTCTTCCTTGGCCCGGGAGTTTTGTGACTCGTTGAAGGACTCGGCGAGGTGCTCCTCTTGAGGAATATCACTGTAGCGCTTGGCTGTCTTCGGAGGAACAGGCGTCTTTTCGTGTCGTGACGCTGGCGAGGAGGGGTGAGGAGGTTGAATCATCTCAACCTGATCATCGTCAATATCCCCTGGGGTTGCAAACTCTTCGTCCATATCTGCGGACGGAGAGCGGATGTCATGCTGATCATCAACTGACACTGCCTCAAGCTTGGGGGTGGGCTCGCGCTCAAGCTCAAGCTCAGATTCAGGCTCAGCTTCAGGTTCGGCTTCTAACTCTGGCTCTGGTTTGGGCTCGTCTTGAACCTCAGGCTCCGGCTCAAATTCGGGTTCAATTTCTGGCTCATGAACGGGAGAAGGTTCCTTCATGGCCTTCCTAGACTTCTTTAGTTTCTCATCCTTCTTCCTAGAAGACTTCTTAGTCGCAGGTTTCTCCTCAGATTCTTCCTCGGGCTTTGAATGAGACTCGGCCTTCTGGTTGACGATTTCGACGGAGACAAATGAGTCGTGATGCTCATGCTCCGACTTGTCATCTGCAACTGACTTGGGTTCTGTGGACTCTCGCGAAACGTGCTTCTCGGCCTTGGCTTCTTGCTTCTTGCTTTTCTTGGTGCTCTTTTCTTTCTTTTTAGAGGACTTGCCAGACTTGGTCTTTGTGGTTGGCTCCTCAGTCCCGTCCTCCTCGGGGGCGTCGATGTCCACGGAAGGTTCAACTTGATGCTGAGGTTTTTCTACTTGAGTCTCGACTTCTTGAGGAGCAGCCTCCTGAGGAGGTTCAGATGATTTAGCAGTAGCCTTGGACTTTTTGCTTGTCTTGAACCTTTTCAAAGCGCGAGGTGCGGGCTCAGGTTCAGGTTCAGGCTCTGGCTCTTGCTCCGGTCCCAGTTTGGCTTCCGGTTCAGGCATATTCTCAGGGAGCTGCTCCGCAGGCTCGTGAGCTTCAGCTTCAAGACCAGCCTCGATGGCTGCATCTAACTCCGAGTCACGAGGCAGACGTTCCTTGGATGTCGTTTTGGATGAAGCGGACGCGTCCGAGGCAATGCGAGTTTTCGAGGTTGTCTTTTTAGAGCCCTTGCGACTCTTCTTGGTCTCCTTCCCTCGGGGCTCTTCCGCGGCTTCTGTATCATGCATGTCATAGACTTGTTGCTCGTAGTCGTAATTCCGTGAAACGCTGCTGCTTCGTGCCCTAGTATTGCGACGTTTTGAGGGCGGCTCTGCAGCTGGAGAATGTTCTCGCCCTTGAATAACAACTGGCTCTGGTTCCTCACGGCTGATTTCCTCGCTAACGCGTTTCTTCCCTCGTCCTCCACGTTTGGGTTTCGGTGGTTCGGGTTCAGCCTCAGGTTTAGGCTGCGCGATGTCCATACTGTCAACATCCATCTGGCTTTCAGACTCCATATCTTCCTTCTTGCTCTTTGCGCTCTTTCCCTTGCTCTTAGTTCCCTTCTTCGTACTTTTCGGCTTGGAAGTCGACTGTGACATCATGCTTTGATCCATCTCATCCATATCGATATCCATATCGGCGTCAATTTCGGGGGCTTCAGATGCAGTGGTGGTAACGGACTGGGTCGAAAGACGAGAAGAGGTTTTGGAAGTGCGGGATTTCTTGCCTCGAGTTCCCTTTCCCTTCTTGCCGGGAGGGTTCGCGAATACAAAGAAAGAACAGTCGGAGGAGCGGCGGTAATGTTCATCACTGGGATTGTTAGGTGAATGTTCGTACAAGAAAAAGCGAAGGGAAACTCACTAAGGGTCATCTTTGGGCTCCCAGCCGTCTAGAGACAGTTTACAATAGGCACAGCTGGCCAAGTCGTCGCTCTCGTCATTCGGGCAGAAATACCACCCACTCTCAACCATCTAGCACGAAATGTCAGAATTGCATCTATAATACGCAGGATGGGGTACTTGCCTTCTCTGACTGACAGACCCATCCTTTCTTGCCATCATGGGGCCACGAGGTCCCGAATGTCGAGATGCGCGCCTGGGTGATACGTTCGCTGGTTGGATCCTCGATTTTCGCAGGGTTGGAACTACTTTGTTGAATGTCCATCATTATGGCCCATCCACAATTCGGCGAGTGTTTGAGATGCTCCGTGATGGGGTTATCGTCTTCTTCCCATCCGTCCAATGCGCGGTTGCAGTGAAAGCATGTTGTGTTATCGGGGTTGCTCTCGTAGGGTTTGTAGTAGAAGCCCGCATGCGCCAACTAGAGTGATATCGCGTTAGAAACATGTCTCTCCGATTGTGGGCAATGAAGCGGTAGTACCTCAGCCGGCGATGGACTATCGTGAGGCCATGCGATCGCATTGGGGCCTTTGGTGTTCGAAGATCTCCGCTTTTCCGGCCGAAGCACGATGTCGAAGCTAGCCAGGCGGGCTGAAAAGGTGTCCATTTCAGTGCCCATAATTTCAGAGTGCCCTGAGGGACAGGTAGTCCCAGAAAAAAGGTCAAAAACCGGCCGTGGGCGTCGTGGTGGGCGAGGTTGTGGTTGTTGATGCGGTCCGTTTGGTGTGTTTACTCCCAACGGCTCCCCGTTGTTATGCGGCACGCGTGTGCACGTGATCAGTATGACTAAGCCGAGGCGACGTCAGTCCCGAATGGTGTCGGACCGACGCCAGCGTGGGACGCTTCGCAATCCCTCCTCCTCCTCGCCATTGATTCCTGCAGAGCTCTCTCCATGCTGCAGAAATTAGTGCGACTGAATCTCTCCATTTGAGCCGCGCGCTCCGTTCTTTTACGACCTCCGAGTCGCCGACCTGCAACCATGCGCCCGACTGTAAGTTCCCGAGTTTCGGAACGATGAGCCCGAGGCGAGTTTCATGCTGACGATGGCCTCTCGTTCAAGACGGTCGTCCCTCGGAGCGCGGCCTTGCGGCCCCTCTGGCCGTCTCAAGCTCACGCATCCCGTCTTCCATGGATGCCCGCGTCGGTCCGCTATGTTTCTATCGATAATCGCTCAACCTCCGACTCTTACTCCAACCGATCGTCACTATCCTTTCCTTCCTCCTCCAACCTACTGTACAATGTGCCATCCGGGCTATCTACTTCTGCCAAGCCATTCTCAACATCGTCGTCATTATCCGATGCCGATTGGGACCACAACCCCAATCTCTCTATTTCAAACTTTTCCGAACTGCCATCGAAGGATTTCGGCGTCAATCAACACATGATCATAAACCAGGAGTTCAAGGAAGCTCTGCGCCAGATTCTTTGGCAATTCAGGGCACCCATCCGATATGCATTCGCCTATGGCTCAGGTGTCTTCACTCAGACTGGAGCAGCCTCCCCTATCTCTACGCACCCATCGGCACCGGCAGCGATCAAGAATATGCAGCAGGGCTCTGGCAAGATGATTGATTTCATTTTTGGCGTTTCATACTCCCAACATTGGCACTCTTTGAACCTCGGTCAACATCGCGACCATTACTCCGGATTAGGCTCACTTGGATCATACATGGTGTCTCAAGTCCAAGACCGGTTCGGCGCTGGGGTTTACTTCAACACCCATATCACGGTAAACGGAACCTTGATCAAGTACGGCGTGGTAAACCTGGACACATTATGCACGGATCTCACACAATGGAACACACTTTACCTCGCAGGTCGATTGCATAAGCCGGTCAAGATTCTTCGCGATCACCCCAAGGTGCGCCTGGCCAATCAGATGAATCTGCTTTCTGCTCTTCGTGTGGCTTTGCTGCTTCTCCCCGAGCGATTCAGCGAATTCGAGCTTTACAGCACTATCGCCGGTATCAGTTACATGGGCGACTTGCGCATGGTTCTCCCAGCGGAAGATCCTGGTAAAGTGCGCAACATTGTCTCTGGGCAGATGGCACACTTCCGCAGACTATATGCACCGCTCATCGAAAACCTTCCCAATGTGACCTTCAAGGATCCTCGCTGCAGCCAGAGTGACTGGATCGATGACCCGGATGCTATATTGGCCATGGCGCAGGATATGGACCCCGTCAAGCGCGGAAACATGGTCCGTCGGCTGCCAGACTCGTTCCGTGAGAAGGTTTATTTCCAGTACCAGTCGCGCTATGGGATTCCTCGGGCTGAATTCAACAAGATGATGGCGGAAAACAATGATAACCAGGAGATCGTCCGACGACCCCAGGGTGGTCCATTCGAACGACGGATTGCTAGCGATACAAATCTTCAAGAGGAGGTGTCAACTTCGATCATGAAGACAATTCGCTGGCCAAGTACTGTCCAGACCATCAAGGGACCTCTCACCGCTGGCGTACGCAAGAGCTGGAACTATCTCATGGAGAAGCGCGAGAAACACAAGAAGTCTCAAGCCCAATTGAAGCATCTCGCGCAAGCGACTCCCCCACCTCCGGCTGAAAAGGGAGACACAAAGAAAGACTAAGTTTCAACATGTACACACTTCAGCATAGGACTATGAGCCCCACGTGGGTATGCAGGCATCTGGAGGCGTTGCTGGCATTGTTATGTATTCTACCAGTGTATCTGGCGACTTTGCATCTGCAAAACAAAATACCAAATTCACATATTCAACGAATCAAGTGCCCATTCGTATTGAAACTTGAGGTTTTAATCGTGTACCAACCCAGGGAATTGTTCAACTTGATCCTAGAATCCTTTATCGGCATCTCACCGTTGGACTCTGATTATCATAGTTATCCCAACTTCGTCGACCGCATCGCCAAAGTACCGACCAGACCGGAAGTTGAAACGATGAGTTCACGATTTCGTGCTCATGTATCTTGGGATGTTAAGCATACCTCCAATGCAAATTTGCTTTCACGACATGCTGCACTCCACGGATATAGTTTTGGACCTGAGAATCTATTTCCGGACCCCAGCTCGGTAGTTATGCCAGTCCCAGATACCAATCGCGATAGCGGGCATCGAGCATTTGAACGATATGGTCGAATGCTTCTTGGGCCGCCATGCTCGAGTCCCTGCAAACTGCTACCTGATTGTGCGGCACGCCCTCTCGCTGATAGTGGTCAGACATTAACACGGGATCGAAGAGATGGGAATTTGGGAACACGGTACCACTTCTTTGCAGTAAGAGAGAATGACATTTTGTCCGTGTGAATCGATTAGCGGAAACCCAACAAGCACTGTGATAGTTTACAGCTCACATCACAACAAAGCCAATACCAATCCGAATAATTTCCTGAATACTTCGACACTCAAAGTCTTCATCGGGAAGGTTTAGCCGGTGAGCATATCTGGAAGCAGGACCGTATCAGCAACAAAATTGAAACGAAATAGAAGACTATGGTAAGGTGCCTTGTCACTCACTCCACAAGAGGAAAGATCGGAGATACACCCGCAGACCCTCGACGCAAACCCCAGACTTCTTCTAACGATGGATGTTGACCTAGAGATGAGATCTCGACCTGGCTGATTGCGCCATGTGCATAATAAACCATCGCTTCAGAAAACCGGCGGAGGACACCTATTCAAGTGTGTTACTAGGAACTTTCTTTCCTCGATTCGGTGCTAACTTGCCTTTGGAGATTTCTGTTAAGCAGTCAGTATCGTCGTAAGGGGCGTTTATTTACAGAATGGATGGTGGATTTTGTGTTCATACCTTGAAAACACATCCACACTGAATGAACCACCTCGATAAGGGGGTTTTCATCTCCAGCTAATTTCCCTCCTTGAAGCAGAATAGGAGACGGTCAATCATATTATGACCTCCCTTTTGATCATCCCGGAATATGCCGTTGTCGAACACTGGAGAAGCGATTAGAGCTGAGAAGTCGAAGTATTATGGCCGTTGAACTGATTGTCGTCGAAAGAAAACACCTATTTTGCACATTATCAGCTTGAAATTTCCCAACTGGATCAATCCTGAGACCCCAGAGCACCACTTACCCAGTTTCCCCAGTCAAAGCATGCTCGGAGCTCTTCTGGCTCAGATTCTGGTACGGAGATGGAAATGAAATATGCAAAGTCCGTCTTGGTGGTGATTCGCTTCATTCGCTTGTCGAAAGCACATGTCCTAGGCTGTCAGAATCTTGTCACAGAATGGGTGAGGCAATCCTATTTTCATATCCATTTTCCCGATTTGCCTTTCAATATTCGATAATATGGATTGACAGTCGGCGCCTCCGAAAGAGTAAGGACGGAAAGACTCGGTAGACAAAGAGTGAGACATGAGATCTGGTCCCTCGGGCTTTCGTCAGTCTTCACTGTTCCCTTGATTACACATAGAACATGGGGACCAGTGTAATCGACGCCGAAAATGACAGCCTCTGGCGCCAGAAACAGCCGCCTTTCCACCCGTATCTTCGGACGGCGAAGCTGCCGCTTGACCCGCCCGCTGCGCTGTACCGCCCCCTATTCTGCACCCAACAATATGGGTATGGGAATATCTGCTGCAGCGGGGCACCCCGGAGCGAATCAGATCCCAACCACCTGCGCTGAACGGAGCGGAACTTAGTTGCCCACCCGTCGGCGAGAAAAATAGTCACGTGAAGGCCCTGCCACGGGCCGAACTACAGTACTACACCTATGGAATACCACTGTATGGAGTATATTATACCCCAAAGCTAAGTGACGGTAAATCGGGAGCCGAGAAATGGCTACCTTCATCGCCATTATTTCCAGCTTCCTTTTTATGAAGGCCTTAGTCATCACAGTCCCTCTCTAATTCCGCTCGACCTACAGTAGATGCTGTTACACAGTAGAAGGAGCTTCCACACTTCTCTCATGTACGTAGGAGTTGATAGATAGTGAGCACTCTGGTTGGTCAGGTTGGAAGAGTGAGGAGGCCTGAGGCCACAGCATGACGAGAAAACCTCGGGGTTTTCTCCCACCACTCTTCTCTCTCCAACCTCGATATTCGCTGCGAATGCACTCTTTTCTCGAAGACTAGGCTTGTGTCACAGATGCTAAGTTATTTTCTAGAGGCTATTCGCAACTTGAAAGAAATACATTCTTAACCGAGACAACAAGGCTGGAGAGAAAAATAAAGGAAGGGAGAAAGGTGACCCAGGCGAAGCAACAATATTATCATACAGAGGCCCGTGATAGTCAAGTAATGTTATAAATTGAACATGCATCAGCATAAACACGTGAGATATCAGCAATCCAGGCCGAATATAATATGAGACCCTGGCTCGAGTCTCGAGCAGCCACTCACCTTCCCAGAACCTTTTCGAATCAACACGTCCATCATGAGTATAACATCATCTTCCATGAGGTCAGCCACTTAGTGGCCAATGACAATATCAGAATCGAGATGACTTATAGGAGACCCTGCTCACTCCAGATATCCTCAGCAAAAGTTCTCAGCTCTTGCGCAGGTATCACCAAGTCTCTCTCCAGGGGCTGGTGGGGAGGACGGCCAACAACCTTGCCAAAGGGCAGATCCAGCTGTGTAATAGTCGTAGTCGTGCTAGTTGTGCCCATCGTGCAGGACTCCCCGGTAACAGATGTCGTGTTGTTCATTCGTGATAAATTGATAAATGCAGTACGCCGGGCTAAAGGAGGGGATGATCTTGTAAGTCTTGTAAGGACGCCATATTCTCGGGGAACAAGTTCCCATCGGTGCAAGATGATTTCAGGATGCTCGCTATTAATGCTAATCGTAACCACGAGTTTCACAGATGAGGAGTAAGTCTCAAGCCAACCGCGCGCATCAAGAGCAAGTTGTCGCGCAGACTCTGACAATCCTACTTCCACCACAAAACTCAGCCTTGCATTTGTTGAAGCCGGAGCCCAGCAGCAGTCAGCCTCCTTTTTCCAATTTCCAACCGTAACTGTTGTTGAACCGAAAGGCCTCACGTCACGATGGACGTTCATCGCACGCAGCTCGAGAGAAATCAGTGAATCAAATGATCTTATTGCAAGTTCGTGTGCAGCATTCGGCATGACTTTCGCGATCAAGATCCCCGTTTCTGCATTGAAAAAGAATCGGCTGTACTTGCTTGTTCGCGACCGATCATCACTCAGTCTGGATGATTGCGCCGGGGGGACAGACGTGAAGATGAGGTACTGATCCCGAGTTTGGTCTTGCTGAAGCGCTCGTTGACGGCGTTCTAAGGACTTTGTTAAGCTCTCTTTGGTGGTGAATGGCTGCTGCTTCACTTCCTTCGCCAGTTGCGCAAGAGGGTCCTCAGGCTCGGGTTCAACTGACGAAAACTCAGAAGGTGAGGGCTCAGAAGATGAAGACTGAGACGCGTTTGAGGTGGATCGAAGGAAGTCCATGGTTGGTGAGAAGGTAGGGTGGGAAATGAGAAGGAAGTAAGAAGGCAGGTAGGTAGCTGTGCCTAGTAACGCCTACCGCCAGAGGTGGGGGCCGCTACTAGGCACTGCTAAAATAGGCACTCGCGACTGATAAAAAGAGGAAGGCGGTAAAATCCCATTTTTGCCCATGGTTGTTTTGCTCGTGACGTGACGGCGTATTGGGGCGCTAACCCATAATCGGCAAAACTAACCGTATATAGTAATTCACAGGTCCCGATATTACACAACTGGTAACGCGCGCTTCGCAAGCTTCGCACGCTGATGCCCTGAAACGAAGTGATGAAGGGAGTGAAAATAGCGGTAAAATATGGATAAGAAGACGAGATGGTAAGGAGATATATAAAAGTTTGTAGAGTCACATTGTGATTGGCTGTAGAGTTTCAGGAAATGCATCCCAGAAAGTTTATATATGTAGCATGTGTGACGTCTGTGATCAGGTGGGGAATCCCTTGTACCATCCTAGTAGTCTATCTCATCACGGCAAGAACCAAACGGTTATTCTTGAGCCTCGTCATCTAACCATGTCGCTTTGTCCAGTTCGTGTTGAATTCAATTGTGAATATACTCTCCACACACTCTCTTTCACTCATGATCTTCCTCGAAGCCTTATCCCAGTCGACTCCAGGGTCATTATGAAGGACTGCGAGTACACAGTTCTGCTTGAGCGTGCAGTATTACCGATCCTCAACGAGCATGAGGTTGTGTGTCGAGCAGCATCAAGTCCTCTGTGTGGGGTTTGCGGTTCCGTCACGACGCAAATACTACAAACGCCTATATCCATTATTCAAGATGCAGATCATCCGTTTCTTTCGGTGTGGGTCCATTCTCTCTGTGATAAAGCAGAATGCGAAGGACAGACGAAGGAGGATATGGACAGTATCATGGGCAAGCTGAGACGGCAACTTTCAGATGAAATGCGTTCGGAAGCGAAGACTTGTAAAATGTGTGGGAAGGCAGTGGGCCTGAAAAGATGTGCCCGATGCAAGGCGGTAGCTTATTGCGGAACCGAGCATCAGAGGGTGGATTGGAAGATACACAAGAAGTTCTGCGTATCAGTGGATCGGGAAGGTGACTAGGAATGGTGTGCGATTTATTGGTCGGGTTTGCTATATGTCGGTGCGACCGTTTCTTACACGGGTTTGAAGGAATTCATTCTGGTCTCTCATCTGCTTGGGATTTATTATGAACCTCCCTTCGTTTATCCCCCTCCCAGGCGGCCATTGTTTGTTTCTCCAGTTCCTGCAGCCTTTGGATTTCACTAAGCAATCGCGGATCGGGTCCGAATTGTAGGTCCTTCATGTCAAGCCTCTGCAGAAGATGAAGGCCTTCGGAAGACCGAAGCCTGGATAGCTGGACGTATGTTGAGCAGAACTTTCTGTGACGATCGAGGCCCCGGATGGTCGGATCGTCTTTGAGATCGAGAATGGCAGACGCGAGAGTTGATCCTTGGACTTTGTAGTCATCTGCGCGAAGTCGTATATTTCCTGGGCCTGTGGACTTCGTGCGGGTGTGGATCGCGGGATATATATAGATTCTCTGATTCCTCAAGCGTGCAAATTTTTCCATTTGAATTCGATTCACCATATGTCGAATGGAGTTCCGTTTGACAACGGTCATGGCACCTTCCAGTTGCGGATCAGCTAAGGAAGTGATAGCTTTGCTGTTCAAGAAGGACAGGTCATTACTCGTCAATGAGCTAGAGCGAGCACGCAACAAGAAGTCTCGGAAAGACAGGTCTTCGGTTTGTCTCATCTGCTCGTCCAAGATGATTACCTGCGTGAACTGATGCCAGAGAAGTTGGCCGATTTTGTCTTCATCTTTGTTCAATCGAGGGACCCTCCAAAGTGCAGGCCCGCGAACTGGTGAAAACTGGAAAAAGTCACCTACGAAGATGACAATGGGGAGACCGCCAAAAAATTCCGGGGAGTTCCGGTCCAGGGACTTAGCCATTTTACAGTGATTGTTAATCATGCTGAGCATGGTCAGATCCATCATGCTTACTTCGTCGACGATCATTATCGTTTTACGCTCCCACAGTCTCTTTATTCGAGATCTTGTGGTTGAAGTAGCTCGGGAGCGATCGATCGATATGCCTAAAGACGTGTGGTAGGTATTTCCGCCAATATTGTCTGCTGCAGCGCCAGTCGGTGCTGTGAGAATTACCTCCTTTTTACGATGGAGCAGATCCATGGGGCTATTTTAGCGATAACTGTGCTCACTGACGATTGGAAGATAGTTGAAAGAATCGAATGCGAGACAGCTTCGAAGGTATTGCCGTGAGCAGTTTAGTTTTCTCTAACTCCAAGCAATCAACCAGTGTGATGCCATTGGCACTTCGCACCGGCTAGTCTTCGGTTCGAGATAGAAGTTTTCAAGTCGCCACTAGTTTCGTCTCGCGAAATGTGAACTAGTGTCCATTCATCGTACCAAGGAAGACTCGGCAGGGACTGAACAGGGAATGAAAGTGTATCTCTGTCGAAAGGTTTTAGGAGATATGATGAGATATTTGACTGAATTTCCGATTCGAAGTCGATATTCACTTTCAAAAGAATCGTCATCATCCACTTCCATGGACAGGACGACCGGATGCATTGGCAGGTCTCTGGAGACATATTCGCTGATGGATCCCTTTCTATGGTTGAGAATTGGGCTTATAATATATGCTTTGGACTTTCTTTCACCGCCGCGGTGCCTCCTCGTTTTCTATTTTCAGAGGAGAACTGCTAGTAGGATACTCTGTTGTCTCAGAGATCAACATTCTTCGGTTTCACATTATTATTGGGAATACCGATCGGGGGATTCTTCGCAACCAGTTAGCTTAGTGCAGCGGCTGGGCAGGTCAATAAAATCTTCTAGACCCGGCCTCAGTCCCAGCGTCAAAGATTCGCCGCAATTTGTCCAATCATTTCAGCCACGTATATATCTCAGCGGTTAGAGTGACCTAAGCATGTACTTTGTACCTTACGATTGGAGAACTCGGCAGGTGGTCAGCATTGTTAAGCGATTACTTGAAACACAGAAACTACGCGTCTTCGGTGGATCTTTAATTAGTTCGGGCGTCTTTTCTTTCTAATTCTGGAAGAGACGGGGTTGAATTGGCAATCAATGACGGTCAAGATCAGGCCCTCGTCGGGCGTATCGCCGGTATTAATTTTTCATCCTCATCTCAGCCTAGGGGAGCAGCCAGCCTCAACACTCTCAAGCGCTTCCTGAGTCAACAGGAGCCGCGGCCACGTTTGGCCAGGCAAATATAAATTGTTCGTTTGGAGAGTCCTCTACACAGCACGGCATCGAATTTGAATCAATCTTTTCCTTTGTTGCACCAGCGATCGTGAAAAGTTCGCCTCTACTACCACCATATAAGTTCCAAGTGAGCTCTCTTCTCTGCATTAGTTGCTATTATCGATTATCAGCGGAGATGCAGTTAGTTGGCTGCTATATGTTGCTTATTCTCTGGAAGTTTATGTCGCGAGTCAGTTTGTTCAAATTTGAGATCTAGATCGATCAAGGGGTCAGGAATGGCCTGCGCGGGTCCGATATATCGGCCGCTAGTCTGCGCCCTTCGTTGAGTCATATACAGGAGAACTGAGGAGTGTTTAAAGACTTGTTCATTATTATCAATTTTAATATTTGATTGCAATTTTCTGCATCGATCCGTCTCAACTGTCAGTACTCCAATATACTTCTAGTATAGAGTGGAATTGCTCCGATTGACTCTGAGTCATCCGCCTTTCACCTCCGATTCCCCGCCGAACCCCACCAACTTTTGCGTCGTAACATTCCTCAACTCCCCAGCACATCGCCATGGCTTCGCGAACATCACCATTCGACCTGTCGAAATGTGCGCGACCGAATATTCTGCAATTGCAGCCGTACCGGTGCGCCAGAGAGTATGTCGTCCATTCCCCGCACTGCGTTCGGGATCCCCGCTCATGAATCAGTGACTACAAAGATGACGGAACAAACGTGCTTCTCGACGCCAATGAGAATGCCTACGGTCCAGGACTGGCCCTGAACAGCGAAGGAGCATTGCAAGCTTCCGAGACGGGCAATGCGACAGGCGCCTCGAAGCCTGAGATCGACTTCCTTGGCCTGAACCGATACCCCGATCCGTGAGTGACCAGCGTGGACGACAGCAAAGGGGCAGCCAGGAATGAGGACATGCTGACCACCAATGGCTTATGAAGTCACCAGATCGAACTTAAGCAGCTGTTCTGCAATCTCCGCAATACCCATCACCACACACCCAAGACCCTCAAGCCCGAGAACCTTTTTGTCGGCGTTGGATCAGACGAGGCGATCGACGCGCTGCTTCGATGCTTCTGCGTGCCCGGCAAGGACAAGATACTCACCTGCCCGCCTACCTACGGAATGTACAGCGTGAGCGCACAGGTCAATGACGTCGCGATCGTTAAGGTGCCTTTGGACGTTTCCAATGGCTTCCACCTGCAGCCCGAGAAGGTCAATGAGGCCCTCTCGGCCGATCCTTCTATTAAGCTGGCCTATATCTGCTCGCCGGGCAACCCCACCGCCAACCTGATCCGCAAAGACGACATCCGCAAGGTGCTGGAACACCCGACCTGGAACGGTGTCGTGGTAGTCGACGAGGCCTATATTGATTTCGCCGAGGAAGGATCCAGTCTGGCCGAGTGGGTCAACGAGTGGCCCAACTTGGTCGTCATGCAGACACTGAGCAAGGCTTTCGGCCTGGCGGGTATTCGCCTCGGTGTCGCATATACCAGCTACGAGATCGCGCGGTTGTTGAATAGCCTGAAGGCACCCTACAATATCTCCAGCCCTACCAGTGCTTTGGCTTCGGCCGCACTCACTGCACCCAATATGGCCGTGATGCGCACTTATCGCGACCAGATCATCGCGCAGCGCAATCGGCTGCTACGGGAGCTACCACAGATCCCTGGTGTAGGCCGGTTCCTAGGTGGCTCGGACGCGAACTTCTTACTGGTCGAGATGCTGGATGTTGAGGGCCGCCCGAGTAACGTTACCGCACTGGCGACCTATGAGGCGATGGCGGAGAAGCGTGGTGTGGTGGTGCGGTTCCGTGGTAAGGAGCACGGCTGTGAAGGCTGTCTCCGTATCACCGTCGGTACGGAGGCCGAGGTGACCAAGTTCCTGCAAGAGCTGCGTGTAGTCCTGTCCGGACTGCGTGCGGGTTCTGGCATCCAATCGCTTCGGGACGAAGACGAGCGGGAGGAGGCGGCGGCGGAGGTGGTGGCATAGATACCGGATTGGACATGATTGAACGCCACCTGATAGTCACTGCAGTTTTATGTGTTTATATGATGGCACGATACGTTCCTAGGTCGCTACCACATAGTTTCATCGACGATAAAAAAAGATAGATATTTTATGAGAACGAACCATTTTTCTTAGATACGGTGAACTATCCGGGGCATTCTTCTAAATCTTGAAATACGTTATTTTTCCAAGGGAAGCTTTGCAACGGCAACACATGTGCGGCACTATTCAAATTGTTAGGACATGATGCAGTGATTGAGAATATCCCGTTTTTCATTTGAAGTCGAAGGTTGGTATTCTTACCGGCTTGGCTTGGTCTTTCGTATGTTCCTTATTAACCTTCGCATAGTGATCTATGTTGGAAATGAAAATGGTAACTTTGACAGCCTTGGTTAGATCACTCTTGGCTACTTCGAGAACCTGATCAAGATTTCGAAGTGCTTGCACCTTTGAAGCAAACAGTAAATATCAGTTGGACGTTCCGGATTAGAATGGAAATTTTGACTTCTCTGACAGTTCTGTCTAACGCATCACCAGGAACAAAGCTACCAGTCTTCGGATCAATACCAAGGCTACCGGAGCAGTAAACCATTCAATTACAGATGATTCCTTGGGATATTAAAGGGCTCGGAGCAGGGGCGTCTTTGTTGAGAACGGCGACTTTCGCGGGGACATGTTGGAATAAGTTTATAAATTACTTGTAGAGAATTTGGATAAGTTGAGTCACTGATCAATGTGCATTTTTAGAAGAGAAAGGTGCAGTTTGGCTATATACGAATATCTAATTGGGGCGTCCATCAAGTCGAGGATGGTTGTTTGCTCATAGAAACGTAGTGAAGCCACTGGTGCAGGGGACTTTGATTGGTTCGGCATTGATTCCTTTTAAAGAAAGGCAATTGACAGCCTGAAGACAAGAAAAGGCGAATACTATCTGGTAATGAATGTGTACATAGTTCAGTTAGTCTGTTATCTTCGAGATTCAAGAGAACGGCTTGAAAAATTACTGTTGCGATTGTTAAATGCTTAAAAACCTGAGACATACAATCCCATGTTAGTAGGCTTTTCAGATGATTGTTCAGTTGATCGTTCAAAAGACTACTTGGGCGACTGCTTTGATGACTGCTAAATAGGGTGGTCAGGTTGAGGTGCAGATCTCTATACTCCAGGTGTCAAACCTGACTGAAAATTGGACAGTGAGCCCTGGCCACTATACCCTTCAGTAGTTTGTCTTTTTTTGTTCATCCTACTTATTACCAGTTATTTTGAATAGACAGGTTTGTCTTCATATCTCCTTCTATCTGTTTGCAGAATTGACAAGGAAGACAAACCTGTCGATTCGAAATATTCTAATAATAAGTATATGAGGTTCTTATCTAGTTCAACATGAGCTTCGTATCGGTTTTTCTTGCAAGATGTCGCCACAAGCTTGTTTTATGAACAACGGTCGAAGGACCCTCCGCCCAAACCTCCTGAAGCAGGCGAATACCAGTACTCATAGATCCAATTGCATTCGGTTCGACTTGTGCATACCAGATTTTGAATCGTTTCTGAAGAAGAGGATCAAAGGCTTCACTTGCTGCAATGAAGGCCGGCCAATATAGAGGAGACGCTGAAACCTGCCACTCGGCCTTGATACGTTCGACAGCTTCGATACAGTCCATCACCTCCGAGACAAAGGGCTTCAGATAGCGACATCCTAGTAATCTGATATTCTGCGCGAAGAAAATTATTATGGCTTTGTGGAAAGCCTGGGTCATGTTATGAATGATATTAGGATTTGCCACAGGGCCAGAGATGACATCCACGGGTGTGGGGTCCGCATGCCAGTCCATGATGCTCGTTTCCAGAGCATCACATCTATCTGCCAGCGGAGCGGGAATTTGTGTATCTCCAGACTTTTCCCGGGCGTCGAAAACCTCATTGATGAGCTTGGTCGTCTGAGCCAAAAAGATCAGCAGAGTTTTTGGTATGGCATATATGTTTTCATAGGTGCCCGCCTGCTTAAGATCATAGGAGCTAGTAAATGGTGATGTTGCAATTTCGGTGGTATTAATGAACTCAGATGCATCGGATGGAGACGACGGGGACACCGCGTGCCATCTCTGTGGGGGGGATGTCGAAGCCGAAGGAGTGTGGATTGCTGTACTGTCGTAGATAGTCTTCAGGAAGAAGTAAATCCGATGTAGAGCATGTGCTTTGTTTGAGTAATGAGATTTCCATTTCGCGGTCTCCATAATTAGCCTAGAAGCACCCTCTAGGTGAAGACCGCAGCATGAAGTATCTCCCGACATTATCTACGAAACATGCAGATTAGCATCTTCCGTCTCAGGCCATGAGAGGTACAAAAAAACTCACATTTATGGAAACCATGGATAGCATAGTCGCCAAGAACTCCTTGTACTTTGGCCGTTCTTGGGATTCGAACCTTGCGTTAACCGACTCATTCAACAGATTCAGGGCAGTACCATGATAATGCATAGCCTCCTTTTCCCATTTAGTGGCTTCTTCTATCTGAGAACGAGACCTCATGTGCTTTGATAAGTAGAAAGCACTGATAGACAGCAATGTGTTCCTCAAGGCCGATCTTATTTGTGAGGTAGAGCCGTGGACTGCCATTTCGCCAGCACTTTGAAGCACTCGGGGCAGATGAAAAGTCTTCCAAGGGCTCTTGGGGCTATACAGAACGGGAAATATGTGGACCACCCTCGTTGTATAGTAGTGCATCAACAACCGCTCATTGCTGGTGAGCATTACCGGAGAAAGCGATCGTGGAATGACGGGACTAAGATCCATGCTGCCAAAACTGTGCCGGGGGCTCTTATTTCCATCATTGTTTTGAAAGGCGAAGTTGCTAATCTGACTCAATTGTACCAGGTCCAAGTTTTGGTCGCCAGGTGTGAGGTCGAGAGTCTGTTCAAAGGGGTGAATGAAAGGACGATCGACTGCGTATAGCTGTTCCATGAAAGGAGGATCGGTCGACGGAGCTAGGGTTTCAGTACCCGGCTGACAAGCTTCGGATATTCCGCCGAAGCTGATATTTTGGGCATCGCGCGATGGTGTGTGAGAGCGAACGACGCCTTGCACAGGAGCAGGAGCTCGAGCGACAGCTGGCTGTTCATGGTGCAATTCATGATATCCAGCTTTTGTTGAGTCAAAAACGCCAAAACCCCCAATGAAGCTTGAGGATGTATTCTCGGTGCCCTGCCCACTGAGATGCCCCGGATTGAGCGCATCGATGGCGACTAAGATCTCATCCACTTGACAGGAAAGAGGTGGGTCTTAATTATTAGCTGCGCGGTCCGGAAACAATTCTCTTCATTGAGACCCAGGAGAACAAGGGACACTCACCAGAGATAATTCGGCTTCTGAAAGATCTGATCGGATGTGACAGTGAAGGATCATTCGATAATGATTGGCGATGGCCCTCTAGGCCAGTATCGGGGACCATCCAGTGAAGGCGGACGTCATAGCCCTCACAGGACACGCCTTTCTGGATGCATTGCTTGCAAGCCGGGTGTCGCTCATCGCATTTCACCTTGCGTGCTCGACAGGTCCAACATCCTGTGAATGTTTTGTTGTGTTTGCGCGGCCGGGTGGCTGATTGGAGGGAATGAACAGGCATCGATACCGGCCGGTGAAGGAGTGACGGGTCAAGCTCGGCCGATGGGTTAGCAAGATCAGATAGGGTTCTAAGAAGAAGAAGAAGAAGAAGAAGGAAAGAGAAAGCGAGAGCCAATACCTTTGTGTCCAAGTATGAGAAGAACGCAGGCTGAAATGAGGGGAAGTGGAGTCGCTCAGCGGGGGCGCAATCGACCAAGCCAAATGACGAGGGTCTGATTTGAGGTGTTTTATCTCCACTATCTTGGGGTATCTAAGGTTAAAGCATAGCGGCCCTCAAGTACTGGCACTTACTATGAATAGATTTTCTGGAACCTTCTTGGAAAGAACGACATTGAACTAGCAGGTTCTGTATTCTTGTATTCCGACTAGCTCAATGCCCTAGTGTGGCTCCAAATCTTTTCTCCGAATCTTTTCTAGAGCCAGAACTCTCTACGATACTGTCTTGTCGATGCCGTAGGTCTATCCATTGCGTTGAGTTCAATTCAAGTGCGGCGTAAGGCAATGACAGGCAAGATCTTACATTACCTTTGAATTGGAAGCTCTTCCTCACCTGCGTGGTTCAATAATCTAAACTAATGCTGTTGATAAATGCGCCCATCGTGTATATAAATGCATCCGAGTCGTAGAGAGATAGTAGAAATGTAATGCTCGACGGGTATAACAGATATTTCATTCAAATTATCAAAACTAGAGTGATGCTCTGTGAACTACGTTGAGATTACCCTTCATGACCGTTTTCACGTTGAGATAGACCCTGATGCCGTACTTGTTTCCCTCTCGACCAAGTCCAGAATGCTTGATACCAACCAAAACTAAAGCATTGTTAGCAATTTGAAATGTCAACCTATGAACAAATAAATCCAATTTACGGAGCGGGTGCGTCGGCCATGACACCCGTGTTGACGGCAACCATTCCAAAAAAGCCGCTTTTCACCCGGGAGGCACGATCGACATCCTGCATAAAGATATAAGATGCAAGCAAGTCCCACGTCGCAATAGTTGGCGATGTTGATGGCTTATTTTTCGGTATCAAAGGAAAATGTCGGTGCTATGGGACCGAAGATCCTCCTCTTGCATTATTCGGATGCTGGAGGTGACGTTTGTTAGATTTGTGGGCTCGATAAAATCCGAGCCTATATCATCAATTGTAGGGTTAGCAGCCACGCGGATACTTGTAGGTTATCAAAGGTTTTGGATATCGCGTCAAAGCATGACATACCAATGTTGTTGCGTCCTCCCTCCGGCCTCAATTGTAGCTCACGACTTTACGGCATCTGGAATTAGGCCCTCGACAGGATCGGCAGCGGCAGCGGCAGCAGTGACAAGTGGACCGTGAGGCGTGATGATGTCAAACCCAGGCCCTGCTCGGAATCCAGCCACGATAGTCTTGATATTTCGAACAAACTTATTGTAAATTCTCTTTTGCACAAAAATACGATTAGAACAGACACACGTCTGTCCCGACGACTTAACCTTGCTTGCAATTGCACCTACAACCGCAAGATCAAGGTCTGCGTCATCAAAGACAATGAAAGGGCATTCCCACCCAGTTCGAGGCTGAGTTTCTTGAGTGTGTTGCTGGAGTGATTCATCAGAATTTTTCCGACACGATTTGGGCCCGTGAAGGAGATCTTGCGAACAGTGTCAGGTGGACAGCGCTTGACCGATCTCGGCGGTATTCTCCAGGGCGGAGATACTGTTGACGGCTCCCTTAGGGATATCTACTCTTTCTCCGAAAATCAAGAGAGCATTGGATGTGAATGGGGTTCTCGCCTGCTGTTTTGACGACCGCCGTACAGCCTACTGCAAGAGCAGGACCGAGCTAGAGAGTGATCATCGCGGCGGGAAAGTTCCACCTGAGTATTCAGATCGCTTAAACAGAGAATAGAGGAGCCCATAGCTGTTACATACGGTGTAATGAGGCCAACACAACGCCGATGGGCGCTGTGAGGACGGACACTTGGAAACCAGGCTGGCTGTGAGGAATTACATCTCCATAGGCACGAGGAGCTTCTTTAGCAAACCATTTGAGAAAGCTGGCAGCAAAGAGGACTTCCCTTCTAGTGTCAGGTCCTGTCTTCCCATTTCCCCATGTAATCAATGTGGCCAAGTCCTCCTTGTTATCTATCACCAACTCATACTATCGTCACAGAATTCCGCGACTGGTCCTGTCCAGTGCGCGAGCGCCAGGCAGGAAGCGCACGACCTGCCTGGCGAATCGCTGTCTTTGCATCTTGCGTACCGGATTCTGGGCTTGATCCGATTAGAGCACCACTAGCAGGATCTAAAACAGGAGGTAGGTTGGTATGTGAATTACAGATGGCTGTATATGCCTCTTACCTTAGACTTTGAACTCCTTGCCAGATGACGAGTTAAACCATTGACCCTCGATATAGTTCTTGTTGGCAAAGAGTGACTGGTCGCTGAGCTTTGGTACTGAGGAGGCCATTGTGTTGAATCTGCCTTATCAGAATAGAAATCCTATCATGGTACTTGTTCCGATCCTCGGTAGGCTAGATCTGGACCGCCGTTATTATAAACAATTTTCTTTTCGACGAGCATGTTTCAAGCCAATCATCGCAGCAATGAATCACGATCCTCCATTGCTGGTATTTTCCAGATGACTTCAGCTGCGTCGCTGCAGAGGAGTGGAATGTGTCCCCGCCAGGTAGGTGACTGCGGGCATGATCCTCGGGTCCACAGTATCATTCTGGTTCTGGAGAGATAAAGCGAGTGTTGTCAGACGGATGCAGGAGCTTCGGGAAGGCAATGGCGGAGATATGCCCGCTGGGGCTGTCGCTCACTCGGAGGGGGTTGTCGGCTGCGAGGAAAGGCTGAGCGGGAGCAACCCCACCCGACGACAGTGGACCTTACCCAACATTAGCATCCACCTCCCTCAGGGTACTTCGAGCCCCGCTTGGAGCAGGTGGAGAACAGCAGCTCATTCAGACTCGACTGTAGGATCTACATCGAACCACGATAGACAGTCCAGGCATGTCAGCGGCCAATGGGCCAATTGGTACGCCAGGCCAAAGTAGCAGACAGACATGCATCCACTTATATAAAAACAGCCCTTGGAAGCCGCATATACTCCGCCCCAGCCTTCGGACCAAATTGCAATTGCCTCCTCTCTGTCTTGCGAGATCAAATTAGCTGTCACAGAATGCCAAAAACCATCGAGACTGTGAACCTATCCCACACCTACGGCCTCTACCACGGACCAGCAACGATCTCCAGCGGAAAGGTTCTCCACATCTCCGGTCAGCCTGGAAACACCAAGGAAGGACATGTCCCCAAGGACTATGAGTCTCAGATTCACCTCTGTCTTTTCAACCTGCGTAAGCTGATTATCGCTGCCGGGGCCAACATTAAAGACATCGCCAAGCTCAACGTCTACATCGTCGACTATGATGCCAAGAACCGCAAGCATGTGCGTCCAATCCAACGGTTTTATGGAGAGCACCGACCGGCCCAGACCCTCATCCCCGTGCCCAAGCTAGCAGTCCCCGACTGGCTGATTGAGATCGACGCCATCATCGCCCTTCCCGAACGACCTCCGATTCCTCCAGCCTTCCCTGCCGCGACAGAAAGTGCTGATGTTGTGATCATAGGGGCTGGACTTGCCGGACTTTCTGCGGCACTCGAAGTAATTCGATCGGGTCTTTCATGTGTTATACTGGAGGCTCGAGATCGTGTTGGTGGAAAGACGTGGAGCCAGCAAACCTCTGACGGAAGGGGTGTCATCGATGTCGGTGCTGCGTGGATCAACGACACAAATCAGAGCAGAATCTGGACAATTGCAAAGCGGTATGGCGCTGAGATCATCGTGCAAAACACCCAGGGAAAAGCGATTCTGGAGAACTACGATGGGGAAGTTTCCTCGTTCGGATATGGTGAGGTGCCGAATGTAAGTGCTTGCCTGTACTCTCCAAAGTATTCTAGGTAGATACTGACTGCATTTGCGATGACTAGTTCGATGAAGCGACACGGAAGAATGTTACAGAAATTCGGGACATGTGTGAGGCTGAATGCCAGGAGCTGGATACTTGGCGCCCCCAGAACACCTGTCTTGACGCCCTGACCTTCGAAGCCTATATCCGTTCCCGAGGGGCCAGCGAAGCAGCAATGGGCACTGCAACTGTGTGGACACGCGCGATGCTGGGTGTTGAGCCTTCCGAAATCTCCGCACTTTATTTCCTGAATTACTGCAAGTCTGGTGGTGGCCTTCTCAACATGCGATCAGACCGCAAAGATGGTGGTCAGTATCTTCGGGTCCGCGGAGGAACGCAGACTCTATCCAAGGGTCTTGCCTCGTCTCTCCCGGAGGGAGTCCTCCATCTCGACAGTCCAGTCCAGTCAATCGTGCAAGAGCAGGATCGGTCCATTAAGGTCCAGGCTGGTGGCATTGTCTATTCTGCAGCCAAGGTGATCACGACCGTCCCTGGTCCAGCTCTCAAGAACATTTCGTTCTACCCGCCACTTCCTCCTGCTAAGCGGGCATGGACTGAATCACTCTACTATGGATACTATACCAAGGCTATGATGGAATTTAAATCCCCTTTCTGGGTTGAACGCGGATTCTGCGGTCTGGCCAATTCATTCATCGGCCCGGCAGGCGTTATCCGGGATAGTTGCATCCCCCAGGATAATAAGTACGTTCTAACCTGTTTTATGGGTGGTGAATCTGGTCGTGCCTGGGCCACCTTGTCGACACCCGGGCGTGAGAAAGCTCTTCTAAAGCAAATTAGCAAGCTCTACGGTGTCGCAAACGTGGAAGAGCAGTTCTTGAGGATGACTGCCCATGAGTGGGTTCACGACGAGTACGCGGGCCTGGGTTGTCCTTGCACTACTCTACCACCGGGTATTCTTGATACTCTCGGTGGTGATGGCCTCCGTTCGCCGGTTGGAAACTTGCACTTTGCTGGTACAGAGACTGCTGGGGAGTGGAAAGGCTATATGGAGGGGGCGGTTCGTAGTGGTGAGCGAGCGGCTGCGGAGGTTGTTAAGGACCTCCAGGCGCCCATCACTGCCCGACTTTGATTTTATTGAAGTTTGAAAATTTTGCAATAATGTTACAAGCTAGACATCGGATACAAAAGTGTTGCCAATTTGAGGTGTAGATAGCAAGAATAAAGATCGCTACTGGATTACATTTCCACAGGACTACTTGACCCAGACTCATACAAAGATGTAGGTTCCAGATTTGCATTCTCTTCCTAAGTCACGAAACTAGTAATCTCAATTGCGTTGGCCCTTATTGACTATATCGCATCACATATTTTACGACACTGATCAGCACTGGTCGCACTCTGACTTCGCTCCACTATGTTCTTGGACGGCGCACTCCAACAAGTCGGGGGATCGGAGATGGGGTAGTGGGACGGCGATAAGGCTACGGCAGGCCGGCCCTAGTCCGCAGAGGGCAGTCAATTCCGACGAGGAATCAGAGAGCGAAAGTGGATCAGTCCAGTCGTCCCTCTGGACGTGCATGGCGGGGCATACCTAATCACCGAGATCGATCACCTCGGCTACGCTGAGAGCTCCCGAGCGTTTCGTACTGGAGAGGCAGGTATCCTCGAGAGCTTCCAGCGAGATCGGTAGAGCTATATGTGTAGAGCTATATGAACTGCCTCGCCGGCCGAAATTGAATTTCAACCATCACCTGTCCGCCTAACCCTCATTTCCATCGCGTCACTCACAGTCAAACATGGATTCACAGTCCAGCATGGAAAAGGCCAGGGTCCTGGTCGTCGGTACGGGCGGTATCGGCACAGTCTCGGCCTACTCCTTGGAGAAGGGTGGCCAGGCCAAGGTGACAGCTGTGATGCGCTCAAACTATACCGCCGCCGTCGAGAATGGCATTGATATCGACTCGGTTCAATACGGCCAGGTCAAGGCCTGGAAGCCAACAGCCAGTGCGTTCCCATGTGTGCATTATTCGATTTCCGCTAACTCTGCTACAGTTGTAAATGCCGTCCCCGACGTATCCAAGGGCGATGTCCCATCCTTCGACTACATCATCGTGACAACCAAAAATATCCCCGATGTACCTCCCACGGTCGAAGACCTCATTGCCCCCGCCGTGACGCCCGAAAGGACCGCCATCGTCCTTTCTCAAAACGGCATTAACATCGAGAAGCCTCTCATCCCGCGCTTCCCCACCAACCCCCTGATTAGCAGTGTCGCATACACTGGCGCGACTGAAACTGCTCTCGCAAAAATATACCACGATGATGATGATTGTCAGAAGATTGGGGCTTTCGCAAACCCCCAAGTCCCGATGGAGGTGGCGGAAGGGGCAGCAAAGCGATACGTGCAAATGTACAACCCGGACGGCAAGCTTGATGTCCTTTATGTACCGGAAGTCGACAAGGTGCGGTGGCGCAAAATCGCATACAATGGTTCGATGAATCCGGTCGCCTCCATCTTGAGTATGGATGTTCCAACCATGAAAATGAGTCGTCATATCATCGACGACTTGATTGTACCTATCGTCGAGGAGGTTCGGGCTATTGCTGCAGCAAATGGAGTTACGCTCCAGCCCGATTTGATGTATGCAGTCACACACCAGGATCCAAATGATACGGGATTCAAGCCGAGTATGTGCCAGGACTTTGAAAAGAGAAATCTTATGGAGATTGAGAACCTTGTTGGCGAGCCAATACGCGAGGCGGAAAAGGCAGGCGTTCCTGCTCCGACGCTGAAGATTGTTTATGCTATTATGAAGGGGTTGCAGGCGAAGATTAAGGCGGAAAAGGGAATATGGAAGCCCGCATTTGAGCCTGGGAACCCATGGGAGTAGAGAAGCCGGCGTACTTTCTAAATTCTTCTTGGCAACATACGATTTCCCATAAGTTTTGCAATAAATCTGGCAATTTGATATGGTAGTGGCGGAGACAAGACACTCGAATACTTCAAGCAGTACAAAATATAATGAAGAGAAAGGGGGTATACCCAGCGCTGCTCATCAGTATACTCTGATAGAGTCTGAGCGGATAAGTCGAGCCTGCGCAATGTATTCAAGAGACAAGTCCAAACCCCCTAAGTCCTGGTTCTATTGATGGTTTATGGCACCGAGATCGACATATCAAGTAGTAATGTTGCTTTCCCAAACTCAGTAGAGGCCGACTCAATCACACGTTATTTCAGGAGGTTGCATCTACTATATCTACTAGCGACCAGGGCAGTGTGTACTCATTCTCATTGCGGGGAAGAGGAAGCGGCGCCTTCTGCCTAGCATAGCTTTCCCCACAGCTCTCGGTTTGTCTTTCCTCCAAGACTCGTAGCCCTGATACCCCTCCGTCTGGATAGGGACCTTTTCCATTATGGTATTGCTGATACAGGCTGACGACATGCTAACTTCCGTCGATCATGACTGTCTTTTAATTTTCAGAAGAGGGAAAAAGAAGCGAGCACAAGAGAAGCGGCATCATCGAGCGAGACCAGACTCCAGACGCTTGCCTTTCCAGATTACCGAACGCCCTTCATTTGAAATAGTCGAATTTCGCTATTTACGCACTTTTAACTGGCTTCGATAATTGTTTCTGAGTGTGGTGTGATGGTCTGATCTGATAATCGCCGTCCGAACATTTTCAAATTGACCACAAATAAATGATCTTCGATCTCAAGACACCCCGACAGCAACCTCTCCATCACAGTATTGATACAGAGATTACGATGAACCATGTCCCCCTGTGCCTCTCAAACCGTTGAATGCCAGCCTGAGGCAACGAAACAGTCTCTCGAAGCCGTCGACGAGAATACTGTCGAGCAAGCCCCCCAGGCCCTTGCCGTTGCCACAGGTGGCTACCTATTCCCAGGGATTCCCAAAATAAGCGACCCTTACAAGAAGCGACAATGGCAGCTCGAGCACATGGCTGGTGCATTTAGAGTGTTCGCTAGGAAGGGATTCACAGAAGGAACAAGTGGACACATCAGTGTTCGCGATAATATTGATACGAACACATTCTGGATTAATCCGTAAGTTCAATAATCCAAGGTTCGAGGAAAGACCAAGAAGAGGCATATAACTAATATTGACGAAGTATGGGAAAGCACTTCGGCATGCTGAAAGCAAGTGACATGGTGCATATCAACGAAGAAGGCCAGGTTATCGGTGGCAACAAGGTTGCCATCAACGCTGCTGGATTCATCATCCACAGCGCTATTCACCGTGCGCGTCCCGACGTCAACGCTGCATGCCATATGCACTCGCCTGCCGGAAAGGCCTGGGCGACATTTGGTCGGCCAGTTGATATCATCAACCAAGATTCTTGTAACTTCTACGGCACCCAGGCGGTATACAATGACTTTGGTGGTGTTGTCCTCGGCGCTGAAGAAGGGCAAAGGATTGTGGAGGCCCTTGGAGATAAGGGTAAGGTGATGTTCCTACAGAACCATGGTCTTCTGACTACTGGCGGGACTGTTGATGAGGCTGCGTTCCTCTTCACTTGTCTTGAGCGCACCTGTGAGGTTCAGCTCGTGGTTGAAGCTACTGGACTTAAGAAGAACTTTATCAGTGAGAAGGCAGCTAAACTTACCGCTGAGTCGAATGCCGACCCTGTAAGTTTTCTGTTTGATTTCCCTCAGAATGCAAACTTATAGCATATTTCTAGGAAGTACTTTACACCGAATTTCAGCCAGATTTCGAGTATGAAATATGGAAGTCTAACGGGGAATTGTGTAAGGGGGAGTAGAATACTGGTAGTAGGGGATTAGTCTCCGATTGTGTCCTTGTTACCGACTCTCATTAACAGGTTTCCTTCGCAATATCTATACTTAACGCTCTGTGTGGCCCACTCGAATAGGTCAAAGGATGCTTCCTGCTGAAACAACGAAGTCATATAGTGCCTTTTCTAATGAACAGTAAATAACCAAAACGAGTGCGAACTTGTGTTGAGCCGAAATGGGAAAGACTAATTGTGAAGATTTTCGAAGGTCATTTAGTGATTTGTAACTGTACGTCGGTGGACGTCGGTGGACGTAACTAATAGTGGTTTCAGCATACCCTGTCGGGCTATAATTCACACTATGCGATAGTAGATGAGCCTTGTATTTGTCTTTGAAAAACAATTCTAGTCCTTGATTAAGCAATGGTATTTTCTCTCGATAAATAGTAACTAAGAGCTGGAATTGTCTGCACATGCCAAGGGCCCCGTAGCTCCCCCAGCCTTGAGGGAGTTGATGATCGAAATAATTGAGCCGTAAGTGCCACCGACGGTCAAAAGCATTCCAACAACAATCAAGAGAACGTTCCAGCATGCCAGATAACCCATATCCAATTCTGTCAGTCGATTTCCAGTTGTCGTAAAACCACATGCAACCAGCTAACTGGTAAGCCAAAGTAAATCCCAAAGAGCGCCAATTAGAGAAACGAGACCATTAAAGACTGGAATTGCCTTTGCAAAGGAGGGATTGTTTGTGATCTTGTAGTCTGAGGACCATCCTGGTGGAGCAATTGACGGTCCGCCTTACGCGCCAACAGCAATAGTCACAATGAAGACTGGAGCGGTGTATTAGTATATGGTATGGATGCTAGAGGTAGGGGCTGAGTATGTACCGACCAGCTGAGAGAATGCAGGTCAGACCAATTCATGCTACCCAGGTCATCCGGGCTAGAGTGCGAATACTGCCAAAGCTGAATCCAATTATGGCAGATACAACGACAAAGACAGCGATGCAGGCAGCATGGTCTGAGACTGCGTTCAGGCCAATCGATATACCCAGGATGCCGGAACCGCCATTGAATATCCAATCTTTCAGAGATTACTATGATGTCTCTCAAAGACAGTGTGTATGAGCGGAATCACTTACAAAGCCAGAAGATAGCTTCATACAGCTCCCGTCCAGGTCTTCCAAACATCAACCCCGCTGCATCATCTATGCCGTACACCTCCTGGTGCTTCAGGTTGAAGATGCCGACCACGTAACTGGTCCAGATTGCTATTTCTGTCACCACACAGAGTAGAATGGACCCTGGCACCACCATTAGCGTATGAAAAACGGAAGTGATAGAAAGTCCAGGCCGATCTGGGTCTTGAGCATCAAGGCAGTGGTGCCCAGCCACCCAACCTGACATACAGTTGTCAAGCCCACGTTTCCCAGAAAGTACCAAGGAAAGGGTCAGATGAATCACACTGCGATACTTAGGCCCGTCTTGCGTGAGCTCGCCAAACACGGCATCATAGGCAGAGCTACCTTTCAAGTCTCCGGCTTGGACATTTGTAAACTGTGCAGGAGTCTCTTTGTGATACCCATCTCTGTCGAGACTTTCGTCGTCTTTTTGTCCATATTGATCGAGAAATCGAGACTTGAGTTTTAATATTCTTAGAATCTGGCTCCTCGTACGGAATCAAGGACCATTGGAATGGAATGCAGAGGCTTATAGCCTTCTCCAGACTGGGTGGCTTATCCGCCATCCCCGCAAAACAATCTGAACGCGGATTGCGATGATAGAGTTATAGTATCTCAACTTGCAAAGGGAGGTCGACGTTTAAGCTGCCATATTGCAGGCAAAGAGACGCATCAATACTTTTCCCATGGTTCACTGTGGCGATTCTGGCCAATCAGGACGGATTCCAGGAATGAAGCTTATCCTTCGAGCTGCTAACCCGTTCCGTTAATCTGCCTCGTTTCGGAATGCTCCCATGTGACTCGGAGGTCCTACGGATGAAGAAGGCTATCCCGATATCTTTGATCCTGGCAAATAGTACATTTGGGAAAGGATTAAACGAAAATAGAAGAAGGGATCTCGGCTTGGTTCCAAAACCCATGTCTTTTGGTACAGCACCTTGACTGCACCAGAGAGAGCATCTAATGTATGAGGTGCATTTTGGATTTTCAAAATAATGTGTTGTATGATAGGCCCTACCTAGGGAAAGCGCAGCAATGTGTTCTTGTCATGACATATTTCCACGCAGACACCGAATACATCACGACCGGCATGGATGTAACAATTGCGAACTTTGAAATCATGACAGAACCTCAGAAAACACTCGAAGAGTTTGTCCTGTATTTGGCCAAGCACCGCCCTTGATTCTATTCATCCTCCGCAGGCCGATCGAATGCTTGGTCTCGGTTGCAGCTACTCGATTTCATGAGATGAGCTGCCAAACAACCTTAAAAACCAGGCGATGATGCAGAGTTTAAGCTAGAGCATTTCTGATAAATCGCTCATCCTCATCAACCCAGTTATTCCTTGGAATTTTAGCATACTTTCCAGCAAGGTGGCTAATCCAAAGCCTCACTTTGACGCCTTCGGACCCTTTTCTTCAACTCTTGACAGAGTAGGGATATTATCTCAAAATCGTCAAACCTTTTCTGTACGGATAAAGTTGTCTGATTTCAACACCATTGTTGCAAACAAATGAACGATCAGAGCATTCAGACGTCGAAAGAATATCGACAAGATGATCTGGATGTCGTTGAATGGATGGCGACAACAATGAAGACACCTGCGAAATCAGTGGGAGTGGCGGAGAAGACAAGGAAGGCAGCAAGGAATCAAAGGACTGCACCGATGTATGCACGACATGCTTTGGAGAAAGAACGCCTCCAGGAAGAAGTCGGAACGCACCTTGCAGAGAGGCAAGTTGCAGGCCTGACAATTCAGGCCTGCAACGGGCCCACCCCGAGGTACCTTCGTCCATGTGGAGATTAGGTACGATAGGACGTACGCTCCCACAGCAACGCCAAGGGTGCATGGCGTGTCGAAGGAATAACAGTATATATCGAGGTTGCAGTGGCTCGAACTGTACTAGAATGGCATAGGGTGGGTAGAGTGTTGCGCGATGTAAGTGATGGGGGTGGGCGCTATCAGTGATCCTCAGGCAGGGGACCACATGTGCTGTCCTGTTTGCGCGAAAAGTATACAAGATACTCTCATCCTCTGCTCTGGGAGTCTGGGGTAGGGCGTACCGAGGGGTAACGACCACAGACCGCGTCCCAGGAGGACGCCGCCCACGTGGAGTCGTCAGGATTTGCCGTTTCCTCCCGTCTTCGAGGGAATGTATGGGACTGCAGGTATTGACTTCGCCTCCCGCACACTTCAATCTGACCTCGCAACCCCCCTAAGACCCGGGCCGCCCACCGGTGGCCAATAACACCGCGATGGCAAGATCCTCGGCGTCCTCGAGACGGTCCCCTGATTGCTCGACATCCCCAAGCGAAGGCCAAAGCTTCCGGACTCCGGTGGCCCGCACCCGTCACCGCTAATCGAATGAGGCGTGATACATCGCGGTCTGTCGTCTTTGCAATGGGGTGTCAGCTTTGGTGTGATGAAGAGGCTGCTCCGTCGCACCTGGCGGCTGGTCAAATCGACTCTGGCGAACGCCAGCGGGTCCAGCAACGCGCCGCAGATTAGCGGGCCCATTGTCACTGGCTCTGCCCCGACTGGCGGGCCCGCCGTTATCACTGAGCTTTCTGACTTTCGGATCCTTGTTCGCCCTCGCCGTGGCTCTTATGTAGCCTCCGAGACCGACCGATCCAGGGCTGCTCCAAGGATGCCCCATCTTCCCCTCTCTCCGAGTTTCCCTGAAAGTGAACTCCGGGAAACACCATCCTAGCATTCATCGCGATCCCGCTTCTTCCAATCTTCAGTATACCCCGACCCCATCGCTACGACGATCACTACTACGACCGTAGTTGCTGGGTGTTAGCGGCTCCCCCCGATCGCCCAGAGGACCCTCCCCCACACTTGCCAGCCTCACGTGCGACATGTAAACCGCGCGACAGCATCACCAGCCTCTTGCGGAGAACTGGATTTCTCGACGATTTCACGCCCCTCTGCGGAGGTGGTCCAACGTGGGCTCATGGCAACATCTACCACGGCCTCGCGAGGCCTGTACCCCCAGATCCTGCCCGAATACGAGTCGCGCGACCAGATCAATCCAACGTTGATGATGAGCTGGTGGGCCACGGCTTTCTCGCTGGCCATCATCATCGTCCGCCTCTGTGGCCGATATGTCCGCATCGAGAGGTTTTTTCCCGAAGACAAGATCATGATGATTAGCGTGATCCCACTGACCATTCGGATGGTGCTGGTGCATTTTGTCTTGATCTGGGGCACCAACAACAGCCAATTGGGCCATCTGACAACGGAGGAAATCTCGAGAAGGCAAATGGGAAGTAAATTGGTACTTGCGGCTCGAATCTTCTATGCCATCTTGTGAGACAACTCTCCCGACCGCCACCAATCAGTACCATGAATCCTGTTACTCACACATCGGCAGCATCTGGACAGCGAAACTCACCGTCTGCGAATTCCTGAAGCGTGTCACCGGAATGGTCTGGCGTCGGTCCATCGCCATATTCCTCCGCTTTATCCATTTCTTCCTCGTATCGACCCTCATCGCCGTCATCATTGCGACGCTGGCGGAATGCCAGCCTTTCGAGAATTACTGGCAGGTCATTCCCGACCCTGGTCCCAGATGTCGCAGCGGATATGCCAACCTCATCACAATGGGTACATGCGATGTCATTACAGATCTTCTTCTCATTGCCTTCCCTGTCCCAATTATCATGATGGCACACATTCCTCTCAAACGCAAGCTTGCTCTTGCCGTGCTTTTCTGCCTCTCCCTCATTCTCGTCGCCATCACCTGCTACCGCGTGCCGTCCGTCATCGAGCATTCCGGCTCACAACAGTATCGCTCCCTGATCGCATCATTCGAGATCCTCGCTGCGACGGCCGTCTCCAACATGCTTGTGATTGGCTCATTCGTTCGCGATCGCGGCGTCAAGAAGCTCAAGTACAAACGTGACCAAGGATCTGCCTCCGTTAGCGAAAGCATGGATACCAGTAATGTCCGTCGCAACACCGTCATGCAGCATCAATGGGGCAGTGATCGTGATCTCGCCGCAGACCTCGGCATCAGACTTGATCCCAAGCTATACTCGTCAGTTCCATCAGGGGCATTTCCGGTCCCCGTTCCTCCCGTCCCTCTCCTTGTCGCTCGCACAGGACCTCTTGACCCATCTTGGTCCTTCCACCAGGGCCGACCGTCAGACGATCACGCCTCGACGACAGACAGTCTCGACATCAAAGTTAGCCCACGCGAGTACATACAAACCAACCAGTCACCGCGCGAGAGAACTCCAACATCACCATCAACACTTTCATCACGTGCTGTCTCTTTCTTCGATGTCGGCGGCTTGCTGAACCACGAAGACGCCGATGTACAGCCCGATCCTCGCGTCCGTCCACACACCGTTGTCGCCACCAACCCTTCCTCTAACGGCATAGAAATGCAGCGACATCGTCGTGGGAGCCGCGCTTTCCTGGAAGATCTTGGTGTCATAGCACCTCGCACAACTCGTTCGGCTCTACCGAGAGCTTCCACCTCGCCAGCGGGGTCGAGTTCCATAACACATACCCTCCCCCCTTACCGAGTCTCCCCCGACGTCTCTCTTGATATCGGCGTTGAACTGCGCGATGTCAGCGGACTAATATCGAGACACGCCCCCTCGCACCCCCCTCCCCTCTCCTGACCCATGTCACCTAATACCCTTGACATGACCGAATACGAGAACCTTTGGCAACTCATCTGCGTCTATCTAAGACTATCAGCGTTTTGGCTTCTACGATTCTTGTATTATTTCATGCCTTCATACCCCTATTGTGCCCCATCATTCCGAACCTGTACTTTCCCCTAATTTGTTTAGCGCTGGCGTTGGAGGTGTTCACGAACTATTCGGCGGCCTTCACCAAGGCGGGTGAGATTTAGATGCTCACCCTGGCGCAGGATGTCTTTACCGTTTGACACTGTACATTTCCGTAATATGAGATAACCAGGAACATAAGTATTGATATATGCATTTCAAGCTGGATCCGCAAACACAACAGAGCAACCTAGATTATCTTTGGTAAAAGTCGCACAGATTTCTTTCTCCTCGTAGACTAATGAAACTCCGCCTGTACGCCACGCTGCCCACAACAAGAATGGGAATTGCTTTTTTCGTTTTGTGTTTGATGGGCAGGCAAAGAAAAAAGAAAACTCCGTGTCCTGATCCGGGCCCATTATCTCTCCCCCTCACGGAGGTGCTGCCTGCGCCCAGAGCAGTCGGGTGCGAGAAACAAAGAAGCGCATCGGAAAGGACTTAATGCGCAGTGGGGTATGGGTTCCCTCCGACCCCAATCAGTTTTATCGATGTGTGTTTTCGGACATGGACGAAGAGAAAGAGAACGTCAAGCGTACGGGCATAATGGCACCGCGTGCTGCTCGTAAAATGAATCATCGTGCCTTCTCAGATCACCCAGCGGTAAGAGGCGTAGCGACCAGCGGTCTCGGACTTGCGGATAATCTTCACAACCTGACCCCGGCGCAGACCCAGGTAACGCGACACGGGGTCGGAAACCTGCATGCGCGGCAGCTGCGACTCCTTGAGTCGATAACGCTCAAGCAGGCGGCTCTTCTCCTCGGGGCTGAGCAGGACGTGCTTAGGGACGAGCTCGTGGCGGGTGATGTTGACTAGCAAATCCTGTTCTTGGAAGTGCTCGCAGAAGCGGCCGGGGACACTGGAGAGGAGACGGACGGCGGAGGGGGAGATGGGGGTTTGTGTGATAAAGACACCGGTGTGAAAGTTGCTCTCGTCGACGATGTGGTTGAATTGGCGCACCTGCTTGGTACCGACGCCCGAGGCGTCGGGGCAGAAGTCGACATAGATGGTGCCGCAGTCCGCTTGGGGGTTCGGGTTCGACTTGCTGGGCAGTGGCGTGTACTTGACCTTCATGTCCTCGGTGGGCCGGGCCTGGATTTTCATCTTGCTGCGACTGTAGCGGAGACATGTGTAAGCTTGGGTAATATTTATTTTCAACATGGGTGATCAGGCCATTGGAGGATTGGCGAGCGTCGCGCATCGCGTTTCACGCTAATTATGCTCAAGGAAAAGAGATGGGAAGCTTAGGGAGCTCGGGGAATGCGCACTCAGGATATCCCATCGGGTCGGAGTATTTCATGCGAAAGACATCCAGAGAGATTGTCAGCTCCTCCTCGGACACCTCATAGCCCTAGAAGCACGCACATATTTGTCAGTCACAGTTGCGAAAGAGGAACTACCTGCCAAGCAGACAAGAATTTTAGTCGGGGTTAAACTGGGGATTGAAAAACTCACTCGGTCCGCGAGCATCTCATAGACGGTTCGGAAGGTGCGCCAAAGCCGAGTGGTCTCCTTCTCCGCCTCCTGGCTGTGCGCCGCGATATCGCCGTCCATGATTGATTCGGATGCAGGAGGTTGCGAAAGGGAGACGGCGAGAAGGGAATTCCAACAAGTTATAGGGCGGTGCCGGTGGGAGGAGCAGTGAAATGCGGGAGCAGTAGTGAATACCGAAAAATCGGCGGGAACATTCTGCCAGGCCACCACCACGTTTGGGAAAGCGGAGAAACCTCTCGAACCGTTTTTATTATTCGAAACATTTCCCCATCTCCCCTTTCCCCTCTTGGGCGCTTTCTCTTCTTCTTTCTCCCCTCCCACCCTTTCATTTCCTTGCGCAATTATTTTTTGCAATGGCTACCGACGCCCCCGTGGAGCCCCGGGTTAAGCCCACCAAGCCCGATGAGGACGCCTACAAGAAGAGCCTCGCTGAGGCCGAGAAGGAGCATACTGCTGTCCAGGAGAAGCTGGTAAGTTTCACTTCTCTCTCGGCCCCAATTGCGGGCTCGCATCATGGATGCGGCCCTGGCGACTGCCGGTCGACTTCCTCGGGCTCGACGACGTGGACGACCACGTCTCAAGTCTTCGACGATCTGTGACTAAGTCCGCGCAAATAGAACGAAATCGTGACCAAGATCCAAAATGCCACCCCGAACAACAAGGACAGCCCTGTTTCCAAGAAGCAGCAGGAGCTCCGCACCGAATTGGCCTCCATCCGCCAGAAACAGTCCGGCTTCAAGTCCTCCCGCACCAGCATCCAGGAGAAGATCAACGCCCTCGAATCCACCCTTAAGGCCCGCATTGCGGAGCAGAACAACTCCCGCGGCAAGATGGCCTTCAAGAATGTCGACGAGATCGACCGTGAAATCTCCCGCCTTGAAAAGCAAGTCGACTCTGGTACCCTCCGCCTCGTTGATGAGCGCAAGGCTCTCTCCGACATCTCGACCATGCGCAAGCAGCGCAAGGGCTTCGCCGCTTTGGAGGACTCCCAGAAGGGCATCAACGACCTGAAGGCTCAGATTTCCGAGGTCCGTAAGACCCTCGACAACCCCGAGGCCAAGGCCCTCAGCGACCGCTACTCTGTGATCCAGAAGGAGCTCGATGCCATCAAGGCCGAGCAGGACGGCGTTTACAAGAACCTCAACTCCCTCCGCGATGAGCGCACCAAGCTGCGCAACGAGAAGCAGGAGAAGTACCTCGCTATCAAGACTATCAAGGACAACCACTTCAGTGCCCGCCGTGCCTACAAGCAGTACGAAGATGAGGCCTGGCGTGTGCGCCGTGAACGCCAGCAGGCCGAGCGTGATGCCTACGAGCGCGAGAAGCGCAAGAAGGTTGCCGACAAGAAACTCGAGGAGGCTTCTGCCCCCGCTTACGCCGACGAGATCCTCACTGCTCAGGGTCTGATCCGCCACTTCGACCCCGCCTACAACTTTACTTCCCTTGGCCTTGATGACAAGAAGCAGGAAGGCGCCAACTTCCGTGCTGGTGTTGGCCGTACCGTTGACGACTCCGGTATCAAGGGCATGAAGGTCGTCAAGAAGGAAGACGAGGACTACTTCGCCCCGGCCGCTACCAAGAAGGGCAAGAAGGGCAAGAAGGGTGGTGCCGCCGCTACGGAGACCAAATTCAACATGAACGTTGGCATCATCGAGGACTTCGCCAAGGTGAAGATCGATCCTCCTATGAACCAGTCGGATGTTCCCGCCGTGGTTGAGAAGCTCGCCGCCAAGATCGGCGAGTGGAAGAAGAACCAGGCCTCCAAGACGGAGGAGGTAAGTTACAACCCTTCATTTCCTCTCGCCATTCTCAGCAGTCTTTAACATCCCTCCCCCACTCAGAACATCCAGAAGGCCAAGGCGGAGATCACCCGCCTTGAGGAAGAGGAGGCGAAGATCGACGCCTCTGGCCGCGCTACCGACGCGGGCAAGAAGCCCGCGAAGGCCAATGGCGCTCCGACCGCCGGGGCCGAGCTCGCCCAGGAGAAGGACGGTGCGGCCGATGCGGCCGACGAGCTGAAGAAGTCGTCGTTGGAGGACGCCGCCTAGATGGCGGGCGTCGGTGATTTTTTTCCTCCTAAAATATGTGAACGGAAAGTGACGGAATTTGACTTTCCTACCATACATAACAACCTGTGCAGCGTAGCATTTGCCTAGCCTTCTCACTTTCTGCCTTCACTATTTATCTAGCACATGTACATTTAATCTGAGTTGCATACCCTAGGGTACATGGACGGTGATCCCAAAAGTCTAAATCAATATCTCAATTCTGGTGACCAGACTACATCTGTGGAGGCGCATACTAGCAATTGGGAGGAGTATGCTTCGATTTCCGGATTAGGCAAGACCTTGCTTTTGAATTTACTCGCTTGAAATCATTTCCGCATATTTGTACCTGGCTTTGCTCTGTCAACTATACGTGGGCCATAGAGAGATTTACCGAGCCATTACATAGCCACCGTACTTTCATTCAAACGTTTGTTTATCGTGAGCCATTGAAGGTGTCGGGAAATTCATGCGCCGGAGAAAGAAAAGGGCCAAACCCTCGTATTCGAGTCAATACTGAAAGACCATGACCGCCAATTTAACCGGAACGCCATTAATATCCACAGTTCACTCCGCCACGTCGCTCTTCGAATCCACATCACCTTGATGGGCACTATCCCCCAAGTTAGCAGAAGATAAATTCTACAAGACAAGGAATTACTCACAACCAAGCATGGGTCTTCGTTCCCGGAACCACGTATAGTCCCCAGAACGGTTCCCTCCCCTGGCGATGTTATCAAGTCTCAGTACATAGCGGGCCCCCCATGATATGCGTTGTACTCACGCAGTGATAAAGCTTGATATGCGAGCGAATTCGAACTCCCATGCCAACCTGTTCAGAGTTGGCTCCCGGATCGATCTTCCTGTAAAACATTGTTAGCTAATGTGATTTCTCCATTTTGATCAACGCTACTTACGGTCGGTATTCGCACAGTGGGCATAGCAAAGCACAGCGAGGAATTGCCTAAAATGGTGAATGATCAGTACGAGAGGCTCTGTGATCAGGGAATTGTAGTGTCTCACAATTGGACCAGTTCGTGGGAAGACATTGTATCGACGGTCATATTGGTGGTCGGGGCAGCGACAAATCCATTTGGACCTGTATTCATGAGTCTCAAGTCCGACTATGCCCGTCACGTGCATGATCCATGCATACTGAAGCTTCTGGTCCTCCTCCTTCGGATAGAATGAGTCTCGCTCCGAGCTGGCACCACTCTCCGCTTTGACCGGCATTGGTGTTGGGAGCTTAGGAAGGCCTGGGATATGAGGGAATTTGTCGGCGAGTGGCTGCTCGGGGGTGGCAGGGCGTGGGGCGATGGAGCGTGGATTGACTCGACTTGGCGTGTCGGGGCGCGAGATATCGGAGCATGTGCTGTCGGGCGATGTCGCTGGAGACGGAGTTCCACCGCGGAGCTCGGGCGACTCGAAGAGCGACTCGCAGTGCTGGAGAAGCTCTAGATAAAGCTGTCGTTGATCGGGGGTAAGAGGTTCGAGAGCTGATGGCTCAGACGGGGGACTATCTGCGTCAGGCATGGTGTGTTGAGGATTTGATGATCTTGATCGGACTGGTTGAGGAGGTAAAAATGTTGTTAGAGGCAAGGACGACTTATGTTGAAATGAGTACATTCATTATCGCTGGCCTGTGGTTCGGAATGAGCACGTGCAATATTGATGGAAATGAGAGGAAGAAATGGGAATTGAGAGAAGCGAGTTCAGCTGCAGTGAATCGTTGCTCTCTATCAAAAGATGCGATACCTGGAAGCACATGTCGACGAACATCTTGTGCCAGCTTGCAACAGGATTAATTGCGTGTCCTAGCAACCATGATTTCCCCAGGAAAGTTGACACTCTACTAGTATCCAGCCTTGAACGAAACTGAAGGTATCGAATATCTTTGAATGGAATCATTCGACTTCACACATAGTGAAACAATTTCGCTACCCTCAGGTACCCTTAGGCAGTGAATGCTTGTTTTCGCTATTTGCAGCTCTCGCCAATATTGGTCCTAACTATCGGTAAAAGATTATAGTGGTTGTACCTAAATAGCAGGGTGCCTTTCTACGAACAGTACCAATGTACGTCTTTACTTGTAGTGAAATGAGGCTCAAGTTGTAGGTTTCCTGCGTCCCATTGGCTCGACTCAGTTCGCATGGTTGGCTGGGCAACCGGCGGCTCAGCAGCCTGAGCCTCCAATCAACGCTCACCGGAGTCTGCTCAGCAACCTTCAAGTTCACTTGTGCTGTTCCCATGGGTGGCTTATGTCCCTGGAGTCATGTCGGTACAGCCAACTATAAGTGGATACTGTCACAACCACGAGACGTCGAGGTTCTCCGCAGCTGAATTCTCGAACGTGATCGGCAGCCGCCGATCGATCGCTCTGACCATCGAATCGGACGATCCATGGACTATCGAGTGCCACCGCTGCATATTCTCCATCATACTGCCGATGTGGATATTCAAGTGGGCTCTTGGACCTATTCAGGTTTACTTACGCGAGGTCAATGTGAAATGAAAAGTTCCACGATCTGCAGCTGTTGCAACCTCAGAATTCAGCCCCAAGAATATCAGGCACGGCCAAGGCATTTTTCCTGGATATATTTAGCAAGCCGCTCGCCCCGCAAGATGTCTTATTTCAAACATCGTCAAAATCTCACTTGGCAGTGAGTTATCTCCCTCCCCTTCGTGCCCATACTTGTGCTTACGCATGGCTAACCGTTGAACAAGCCATGCATCTCCCTCACTTCCTTCCGCTTGCTGTAGCCATTGTCTGAGCCAGAAGCACAACAGTCGACATTTAGGTACCCACAAGCAAGAGACCAAGCAACGAAATGTGAGGGCTTAACATGAAGACGCTACCTGTACTCGAGTGACTGCACAAAGTACATACAATGCAAACTCAACGAGGACGAGGAAACAGCAAAACCGACACTTCAAACTTGCACTGATGTATTGTAGAATAACAATGAGAAGGCTTGTGACTGGCCAAGCTCTTCGACGTGCAGTGATATGACCGAAGTCCCTGAGGAGGAGCTAGAAGGAGCTATTCTGCCATCTGACGGAGTTATCAACTCTGCCGTTAGCTGTACCGAGGCCCAAGAGTCCCAAGGCTGCATGGGTTCTAGTGGTGAGGCTATTGAATGCATCTATGCGAATTCGGATAGCCCAAAATCGTATATCCAGTGCAATGATGGTATTGCCTACACTTTTTAGTGTAAGGCTGGGGAGTACAAGGATGCTATAAAGGCATGTGAGGAATGATATGACCGTGGTGTAGCTGTTTGGGTGCATCTTAGCTGAAAAGGTAGCCCAGAAAATATCATTCGGCCAGAATTATGGTCTCATACGAATATTATTCATCGATTCTCTGATGTTGCTGCCTTTTATACGGCAGGCTAAGTATTTATTCTCTCTGTATTTAGCCGTCTGAGTGCTATGAGCGAGTTTTTGTACGCAGTATGCGATAGCCATGCTCAGCCACAGAGGTGATGATTCACTGCATTGCCACCACCAGGCCATGACTCCTGCATAGGCACAAAATGAATAAAAAAATCGTCGCCGTCAAAATGTGTCTACCTAGTGATCCATGGATGGTGTGCAGAACACCTCGGCCCGATGACTCAGCCCCCCGCTGCGCCACTCTCCGCAGGAGTGGGAACCGCGCGTCGTCGACTGAATTTATACCAAAGCCATCGCATTCGTATTGGATCTTCTTGGTCCGGCTTGGCTTCTCCCCAGCGTCTTTCTCGTCGCGCAGACTTTTCTTCTCCTTCATCTGACACCGACCCAGCGCACTACTATCCTCATCCGCAACATCCCACATCCTCCTCAACCCGCAGATTATCGCAATCAACCGACGGATCCACCTCCACAAGGCTCGAAGATGTCCTACAACAAGCCGGTTCGTGCACCCACGCTAGCCCCCAAATCTGCTCTATACCATTCCTTCGGGCACCAGTCCTCTGCTAACACCTTCACAGACCAGTCCACCCCCTTCCTACCAGGCCCCGGCCTATTCCGGCAACTTCCACCAGAACGCATCGAGTCCGAGTCCTGGCGCGGCGCAGGATTACTACAGTAGCCCACAGCCCCAGGGCGGTTACTACCAGCAGCCCTATGGTCCCCAGCAAGGCTACGGATACCCGCAACAACAGGGTGGTTACTACGGACAGGGTCCGATGCAATATCCTCAGCAGCAAGGGTATCCGCCCCAGCAGTACCAGCAGCGAGGCCACCACAGCGGCGGCGGATCCGGCGCCGGTGGCATCTGTGCCGGTATTATGGCTGCTTTGGCATGCTGCTGCTGCTTGGACATCCTCTTCTAAAGGACCGGCTGTTGACACGATGACTCCGTAATCTAACTCAAACTTCATTGAGGAGAGAATCGCGATCGCTTCGATACACATGACCTTTCCTGAAGCTGGGACAGCATGCGTTCTGGCCGAGGGGATTTGGAACGACTGGGATCTGGCTCTGGTGCCGGCTATTTCTGATATTGGGTTCTTTTCTCAACCGGCGTTTCCGAGACCTCTACCTGGTTCTCCTGGATATCAGGCGTGGGGACCTAGCCTGTGTTTGAGATGGCCGTAGGTGGTCTTATCTGCTTTCTTTTTCTTGTTTCTTTGCGTTCGTACATATCCTCATATTCGTTATCATCGGCGCAAGAACAGGACGCGGCGTTGGGCTCTGCGAGTGGACCTGGGTTATCACTTTCCTTTTGTACAATTGACCACACTTTTCACTACTGAATGCTTATAATCATCTTATTAGCATAGTGTGTCCAGCTTTCTGTATAGTTGTAGATGCATGGGCCTGACGACGTAGTGGAAGTAGTCATATCCATACGCAAAGTGGTTCATTAAAACTTTTGAAAAGGAACCAAATGGCTTCGTGATATACAATAATGACATACGGACATAAGCGTGACACATAGATAACGTAGGTCTCAAGTCGCAAAAGAAAGGGTATCGCAATGGAGAATCGAAGACACGTCCCAGCAATGGGTAACGTGAAAAAACTAAGACATAAGCACTGGCAGAGATTCACCGATACCGACTTCCCTGCGAGCTCCCACCCCCATAAGCCAAAGGATCAACAGACCGATACCCACGCCCCCCTCTCCTAGGCGGAGGCGAAGCAGACGAAACAGCCGAAGACTCCTCTTCAAAAACCTCAACCACATCCCGATCATCTGTCGTCGTAGTACCAGTCGTCGACTCCTCCACAACAATTCGATCCCCATGCGACGGCGGCCGCCGATAACTCCTCGGCCGACTCCCACGCTCCTCTACAACCTCGATCATATCACTGCGTCGCGAAGAGCCCGGGCGCCGACTGCGAACAACCACCTCCTCGTCGACCGTGGAACTTGAACCGCCGCGCGCTATACCGCCGGGGTTCAGGGCGAGGAATGTGAGGTAGAGAATGATAACCACGCCGCCAACGCTGCCCAGGACGATTCCGGCGACTGTGCCGGGTGGTGGGCTGGAGTCGAGGCCGCCGTACGATGCCGGGATGGAGACGGTTGTATAGCGCGCTGAGAGCTCGGTGGAGAGGTACGCGGATGATCGTTTTCCGAGGAGGGCATTCGCGGGAGGTTCCTCAATTGTGTTGAGGTTGCCTGCGGGCAGAGGGAAGTCGTCCATTGTGTCTTTGGGTGTTTGTTTTGCGATTGTGCTGATTGTGGTGTGGACGGCGTCAGCGTGGGTCGCGGGTTCCACGAGTACTTTTGTGCGAGGCGCAAGGTGCGAGACGCTCTCGTGGAGCTGGGATGTTTCACTGAGAGTGCGGTGACATGGGTTCGTTTGAGGAGGGTGAGAAAACTGGAGGGGATAAAAGTTGTGTGAGATGCGACTTCCTGGGGCTGGCTGGTGGCTGGGGATCTGCGGAGTGGTGGAGCCGTGTGGAGCTGACATCCGGCCAAACCTTGGGAACAATATAAATTTTACCATGTTTAGATAGGCTTAACTATTGAATTCCCGTCTAAATGCTACACTTAATGGCATGATGAAAAGGAAAAAATAAATGCAATTCTGGTAGTGATTGGGGACATATGTTGGTGTGTGTAAGTTTCAACTCGTCAGTACTTGGTCCCAAGATGTGGTGAAGTCTGTAGATAATATATTTGATTTATTATGCTTGCTCCTGACGAGTACCTACAGATTAATTCCCTAACTATCCTTAGTAGGCCCCCTTGCGTTGCTTGTACTTGGGCTGATCAACAGCCTTGACTTCACCGAACGAAGTGAGAACCGGGGTAGTGTGGATCAACTCCAGCGAGTCAAGCTTCGCACCAGCTTCCTCCTGGGCCCACAGACTCAATGCAAGCCAGTTGGTACCACGGTAGTTCAGGATACCCTCAGGGACAGGGAAGCTCGTCTGGGGTCCGATGTTGTTGACATACTTTCCATAGTGGTAGCCATTGACCCAAAGCTGGGCGCGGTAAGCAGTAGGGGGTGCAGTGGTGTTACCAAAGTTGAAGTACAGCGGGACGTCCCAGCCCTTTGGCAGATCTAGATCGAAGCTGGTACTGTAGAAGCGAATACCAGGCTTTGACAGACCTGTGAATGGGCTGCTAGAGTCCCAGTTCTTAGTTGGAGGCTGCGGCTGGTGGAAGCCCTGGCGCTCGGCGTAGAGTCCACCTTCGTTCAGCGGACCGCGAATGATATCCTGGTAGTCTTCGCCGCCCAGGTTGCCGGTCAGCTTCCAGGTCACGTCGGAGGCTTCGTGGCCGGAAAGGCTGTATTCGAGAATCCCTCGAGGGTTCTTCATTTCCTCCTGGCCGACGATCCAGTTCTCGTCCAGACCCATGTTGTCGACGACCACGGTGATGACATATGTCTTGCCCGACTTAAGAGAAGGCAAGGTGTAAGTTGCGTTGGAGTCTCGGTCTGCGTCGATTCCAACCCAAGAACCGACGTAGGTCTCGTTGATCCACACGGAGCTGCCGAATGCCGAGCTGCCCTGGGTGTGAGCGAAGAAATTCTTCTCGTCGCCGTTTGCGACGAAGTAACCACGGTAGATCAGAGCACCAGTGTGGAAGCCATAATCAGAAGAGTATAGCGAGGTAGGAGTCTTGAGAGGATTGGCGCTGTTGTTGGTGTAGTCATGGTCGGCCAAAGTCCAGGCAGAGTCGTCATACGAGTTCTTGATTTCGGGCAGAGTATCAATAGACTTCCACTTCAAGCCCTTCAGGCTCGGCAGATTGATCTTGGGAGCCGAATATTCGACGCTGGTGGACCAGATGCCGTTCTTGTCAACCTTTATCTGCGACTTCTTGCCGTTGATCACCAGGTTCTTGGCCTTCGCAGGAGCACCAATAACCTCAATCGGAGTGGTCGCATTGAAATCGGCTGAGATATGGAGGTCGCTGCCTTCAACGTATGCTGTGCGGACGAGGTAGCCTGCCTTGACAATGATGGACGAAGCTACGCTCTCCTCAGTGCTGTATTCCTGAGCCTTGCCCGACGATGGGACCTGGGGCACCCAGTAGTTATAGGCAGAGTTTCGGTCTAGTACCACACGTTAGTCAATGTGCAATCGGAGGCTCTGGCTCTAGACTTACCAAGAAGTAGGACCTTTAGGTCGCCAACCTTGATGATACGGCGAGTGGATGATACATCCCATCCAATGACCACAGAGTTGTTCTTCTTCTTGATGGTAACTCCAGATGAGGAACCTTCAACAACCGAAGCGTCAGTCTCACCAGAGACTGCAAGCTCGTGGTGCTCCTTGGGACCGCCATAGAGAACAAGGACCTTTTCGTTGCCAAACTTCTTCCAAGTGAAAACTTCAGCCGTGGAATACAAAATGTTAGTACCAGCGACGTTGTAGTCACTGACATGGATCTTCGAGTCACGGCCACTAAGAGTCAGGCTGCCACCGAGCTGAGGAATCGTCAGACGACCGGCACTGGTGGGGAGTCTAAGCTTGTAGTCAACTGAGTCTCGGGATGAGTAGTCAGTGTGTCGGACCACAAAGAAAGATGAAGCAGTGCTGTTGCTGCCAAGCAAGGGAGTGACGGTCAGATCAGCTGTGTTGGTATAGGTCTTAGTGGTCGCATTTCCAGGGGTGGCCACCAAGTACGACGGAGAAACCTTGGCAAAGTTACCGAGAAGCTTCAGTTCGCTATATTTCTCTCGGGTCACATTCCGAGTCTCGGAGATGGGGGACCCGTAGTCGTAGGAGGTGTATCCACCGGGATGGCCCAGGTTACCCCAGTTGGTACCGCCAAAGATCTGTTCCATCAGCATCTCGAACGAGGTTCGACATAAGGAAATTTCACGTACCATGTAAAGATTGAAGAATGCAACACCGAAACTGAAGTCGTTCTTGTAGAACACTCTCTCAAATTCGTGGTTCAGAAGATCAGCACAGGCATCAAAACCGTTACCTCCCCATGGGTCAAAGGCACCACCTTGGAACTGCAATATGTTAGACAATGACAGGGCTTGACAAGGCTGGTAAACCTACCTCAACCAGCGAATATGGGGTCGACGGGCTCTGGAGCAGATGTTCAGTGCGGAAGTTGGTAGGCAGATTTCCACTTGGCCAGACGGTGGGATTAGCACAATCAAAACCCAGAGGATAGCCGTCGTGGCCATAGATGTCCACCTCGCCTTCACCCGTTCCAGGTGCGTTGTGACCGCCAGCATAGGCATCGTTGCTCATCAAAGGCACCACGATTCCCGCATTACGGGCCTGGTCCTCGACATACTGCATGTAGGGACCATCGGGGAAGTTGTCCACTCCGCAGCAAGCACCAGAGTACTCGTTTTCCGGCTGGTAAAGAATGACGGGTCCACCTTCCGTGATCTGTGCCTTGGCAATGGTAGCGGCGACATTGGAAATATAGCTGAGTCATGGTTTTAGTAGCTGCGTCATTTGGAGTGGAGGTGATTTCGTACTTATCAGTGGACTTCAGGTAGGCTTCGTCGCTGGTGCGCAGGGTGCCATTGACGCGCTGCAGCCAGCCGGGGAAACCACCACCAGAAACCTCCGCATTAATGTAAGGACCAGGACGAGCCAGCAGATAGATTCCAGCCTCCTTGGCAGCCTCAAAGAATGGCTCAAGGGCGAAAATCCCATCGGCGCGGTACTCGCCAGGCTTGCCCTCCAGGAGAGCCCAATCAATGTAGAACGAAACACCATTGAAGCCCATAGCCTTGATCTTCTGGAGAATATCGAGCCATAGAGACGGAACAGGAAGTCTGTTTCCAAGCCGTGTTAGATATAGGTAGCTTCATTTTTGCGTTCGAACTGCGCAGTAAAGGTACTTACCGGAAGGGATGGAATTCACCGCTGAAAACCATCAGTCTCTCGCCATTGATGAAGAGCGAGTGCTCATCCCATGTCACCTAGATTATTTGCATCAGTAGGCTGATTGGCAATCAAAATGATGGCCAGACTTACATGTTTCTGCAAAAGAGCCCGCTTCACAGGGTCCGGGTGCTCAGTGATGGTAAGACCATCCACCTTGTGCCTCAAAGCACCAGCAGCCTGAGCAGCCAGTGCAGCCACGGCCCAAGTAGATGAGAGCTTCATGGCGACCAGAGTCGAGCGCACAGGTCTGTGGAAAATGCGACTCGCAATTGAGAGCTACCTGGCTCACACGCCAGGATCGTCGTCCACTAATATATAGTCGTATTGGGTAGCTGATCGACAGGCGAATCAAACAGAATCGGGCATCATACCAGAAACCCCGAGCAAACGGAATCGCGTCATGGTGCTGGACTCATCGACAGGGGCGGGGTGTCGGCTAGAGCTCCGTCGGTTGCATGGCTGGTGCATGCACGTTACAGGGAAGAAGGCAACAATGCGGAGAGGGCGAAGACTAGGGTAGGAAGGCGGACCGAAGATCCCCAGCTTGCGCCCTCATCCCCGCCGGGCAGGGGCCCACCGCCGCAATTTTTCCGCTTATCGTATGGTCGATGCTGGGGTTCGGCCCGAATTGCGGTTGATTTGGTGGGTTTGGTGGGTTTTCTTTAAGTGCGTTTGCCGAGTTGATCGTTTATATTCCGAGTCTGCTGGTAGTAGAAAGAGCGCTAGCATTTTAACGACGACAGTAGGAAGACAAGATACCCTAGGATAGCTGGAATGTTCATACCTCGGAATAATTTAGTCCGGTGCATCATCCCACGGACCTGGCGGAAGCTGGGGCCTGCAGTGGTAATTACAAGTTAATCTAAGCTACTGCAAATGGCTGCGGGGCAAGGCAGCAGCAGAGCCAGTATTCGAACGCCATTGTTTGATGCAGAGCAACTTGAATTTAACCGGCCTACTACTCACTCCACTGCCGACGATTCCCCGAGAGGATCTTATGACGCAGATCCCTCGAACAGCTCGGCTGCGACAATGCCGATGTGACCCCAAGGTCCTACCCCGGGAGAAAGTGTATTCGGAAGGCATAATTCCATCATTGTTGCTTTTCAGTACATTCGGTGAGCCATCGGTTCCACTCAATGACCTCTAGACAAACATTCATATAGATTATTAAACAGTGGTGTTAAAACGGTCTTCCTCATCGCCCGCCTTGGTGTAGGTTTCACGCGCATTGGTGTGTTCCTGCTCAACTTCACCCAGCTGAGCGCTCTCGTTCTGCACCGCGGCATCCTCCGCCGCAGCGGTGGACTGGAGCGCTACAGCGGGAGACGTGGGCTTCTTCAGGGTGGTGTTGATAAGCGGAGTGTCGTCGTTGAAAATACGCAGCAGCATAGCACGCCGCTCCTCCTTGGGAAGCATGAGGTTCAGGGAGTGGAGAGATCGCCAAAGAGGCAGCACCATGCGCTCACTGTCGGTAGAAGTTAGAACATAACGATAACCCCAGAACGTCTATTAGAAGGGAATGAAACTTACGGGAGACCATCTTCCTGGCCGGTGGGCTCAACGTGCAGAATACTACAGCCCATGGGAATGTCCTTGACTTGCTCGCCAATTTCGCCCAGGCTCTTCCAACCATCATCGTTGACCTTGGGGAACATCTCCACCAGAAGCTTGCGCAGAGTCTCGCGCTTGGTCAGAGTAACAGAGCGAGAAGGCCCCAGCCAAGGCTCGATGATCGGAAGACCATCTGTTTGGATACGCCAGCGGCAGACATTGTCACGCTGAGCGTCCTGCTTCACAAACATCTTCACACCACAGTGCACGAACTTCATGCCGGAGCCCTCATTGCTTTGGAGGATGTCTCGTGCCAGTGCACTGGTGTAGTAGACAGTGCGGGTAGGGAGACCTTCGGCATTGCGCACCATCCATCGGTCTCGTGGGAATCGCTCGGAAAGCTCGTAGAAGTTGTAGATAGGTTGCAGTTCCTCGTGGTTAGGATCCAAGTACTTGTAAGGGTCTTCCTGGTGGCCGCCCTTCTTCTTCACAGGCTGTTCCAGAGGAGCCGGTGCAGGCTGTGCGGGAGTTGCGCCAGATGCAGGGGTTGCAGCAGATGCGGGGGTTGCACCAGATGCAGAAGCATTGCTCTCCGAAACCTCGACGACCAAAGGCGCGGGCTTGTGGATTGGACGGTCACCAATCAGCACCTCGGAACCATCCTCGAGTTTAGCTCGCTTGGCAGGAAGTTCCTCCTCAAAGTCATCCGCGTTGCGCTTAGTGGGGGACTCCGGGTTGGAAGCATCCAGGGTGACTGAGTAAGGCGGCTGGTGGGAGGCCTCGGCGACAGTCGCGTTTTTTGCAGCCTCTTCAGCAGCCTCCTGGTCCGGGACCACGAGATCATCTAGTGCCTCGAGCTTCTTGTATGGCTCGCTGGTCTCATTCTTCCGGGCATCAAGCTCATCGGTAAGAGCAGCGACGGAGGCCTTAGGGATGATGTTGGCAGTGTTTTCGGGCTTAGCGCGAATCTCGTGTTTCTTCTCAAGAACTGTGATGAAGAAGCCACCGGTGTCTTGGTGGTGGGGATAGACACGCATGCAGTGCTCGAGGGGCAAGTCTTCACCGCCAGTGGGAGGGAACATGCCCTCGGCAAGACGGGCAAGACCGTCGGTGCCTTCTTTCTCCTTATGCTCCTCGATCTCCTTCCAGGAGTTCCAGATGCGACCCTCGCGGTCCATGACCTTCCAATCCTTCATTCCGGGAGCGCGCTTCAAACCAGGCAACTCCTTGCTGCAGTCAATGATCTTGACGTTAACCGATCCACCACAGCGTTCAATGGCGCTGGCGATGACAGCCTCATTCTCAACAGGGTTCAAACTGCAAGTGGAGTAGACCACACGTCCACCAACCTTCAGCATCTGAAGGGCACGGACCAAGATGCGAGCCTGGGTAACGTAGAGGCCAAGAGCATTGGCAGGGTTCCAGTCCTTCCAGACGCTGACGTTCTTTCGGGGAGTTCCATCACCAGAGCAAGGAACATCGGCAAGAATGCGGTCGAACTTCAGGTAACGGTTCATCTGGCGCTTGCCCTCCTCGGCGGGAAGAGGCGGCAGCTTGATAGACGGGTACATCGTGGCATCGTGGTTCGTGACAATGAGGTTCGGCGAGCTGAGACGTTTCAATTGGTGGATAAGCATGTGAGCGCGCTTGTAGTCGGCGTCGTTGCAGATCAGCAGGCCAGTGGTGCGGCCGTCGTCGTTCAGACCCTCGGGCCCCAATGGCTCGGGTCCAGCAGTGCCCTCGCGCACCTTCTTGCCAACCTCCAAAATGGATTCTTCCTCGCCGGTGTGAAGCAGCTCCATCAACTGAGCAGACTTGCTACCGGGAGCAGCGCACATGTCGAGCACAGTCATGCCAGGGCGAGCGTCGATAAGAAGAGGTGGGATCATGCTAACGACTTCTTGGCGACTGATGTTTCCGACGTCGGTCTCAGCCACGAGGAATTTCTGGAACGAGGAGAAGGGGGCGAATCGTCGAATGACCTGCTTGGGAGTGGTCATGGCCCAGGCAAGCTGGTCTGGGTACCAATCGACCGGGCGTGGGGGCTCGACGAATTCACCCTCATACTTGATCGAGGTGATTTCGGGAATGTAGAAATTTTTGAGACGCTCCTGCACGGCAAGCGCATGTCTGAATAGGGGGATGATGGTAAGTATAGTCCGGGGTGCCGTGAATCTCGATGCGCGATCGGGATGCGAAATGGTGTGCACACTCACCCACGAGAGCCAGTGAAACGGAAGCTGTTGGGCAGGTCCCTTCGGATCGCAGCCCAGAACTCCTCCTTCTCGGACTCGGGTACAATGGCCAGCTCATTGTAGTAGCGCTCGAGCTTCTCGTTGGTCCTGGGAATGTCCTGCCAGTTGGAGCGCGAGCGGCCGTCGCCGCCGCCGCCTCGACCACCGCGGTTGAACTGCAGATCAGAACGTGTTAGCGAACCATTGACAACAACCTGATCATATTTAACCACCCGCGCATACCTTTCTGCCGCCGCGTTTTCCCATTGTGAGAGCTGCTTTGCGGATCATGCAGTCAAAATTGCCGCCAAAAAAAAGCCGAAGAAGGTTGACTTAGTCATCCTAGGTGGGGCGAATGGATTCTGCATGTCTTGGCCGTTTAGCTCTGGACTGTGATAAGACCAGTCATGTGGTATGGACATTATGGCCATTTAGAGCTGTTGCAATGGAATATTTAGTCATGGGCCCGTAAGTATCGGTTTTTGCATACTTGTGATGCTACGTAAAAAAGCGGAGTTCGAATGCTGTGAGGTATATTATCTCCAAGTACAATCAAGATTAATGTCCACATCACATTTGTACCAAATACATTCTTCGACTTCTATCGTTGAATCAGTGATATCACATCTTCAGTATTTGACACTAAAAACCAAAACCCCCCGAATTGATGATGAGGCGGTATAAATTGTGTTTCAAATTCATATGGCATTATGAAACACGAACACTGACAAGTTTGGACGAAGGCGTTAGATCAACCAGATGAGTCGATCACGGGTTAGACAGCACCACCATATTACCTGCCTGCGGTCATACATTGTCCCACTTCCAGGGTACTGCTCCCAAAGTCTGGCAGTTTTAGCGTGATAAAACGTCTCTTCGACCCAGAAAGTATTGATCTCATCATCGTAGTCGTCGGGACTCCAGTAGGTCAGGAGTAATGCAACTTGAGTCAGAATAACATGGTCATCCTGGGGTTGTTGTTGATACAAGATCTGAGATTTGTCAGTATCGTGATAGTTGCAAGGACTTTGAGCGAGTAGAGAGTACCTTGGCTTGCTCGATGAGGACCTTTTGGCCCTGGGTTATGGATTTGTATGGGCTTCTCAAAGCCATGATTCTTCAAGATACTGCGACAGAGTTTAGCTGTGCGATCCGTTACAAGAGGTATAATGATACGCTCACACTGAAAGCAACAAAAAGCTTAGACCGAAAAAGAGCCGCGTTGATGCCATCTGGTACACTGGATCCGCGAGGCGAAGAGAAATATGCACTGCAAAATTCGTATTCGTCGACGACGGGACAAAGTGGGTGAACTTTGAGGAAGTAAAGACGGATGAGCTCGTCTTGAAGACAACGTGGAAGTGGCTTTGAAAATTTTCGATCATCCAAGATGGCTGCCGTAGATGTCGATCGCATTTGAACTTGCTCCCCGGCCAGGATTCATTTAATAATGCCGCAAATTGGGCCTACGTTATTTCTTGATCGTGTCGATGGGACGAAAGTCGACGGCAACCTGCCAATACTTTGGGAAAAACAAAATTGGATGAATCTGGAATATCTTTATCTCGGCACGAAAGATCATTGACTATCATATGCGAGGGGCATGGGGATAAAAGCCAGACAAATCGCAAGTCTGAGCACATTCTCCCCTCACTGCACGGAAAACAAGATGGGTCCGGGGATTTCCTACTGCTGCACGAGTAGCACGGCCCCAGTCGGTGTAGACTAGCCGCGCCGGCTCTGGTTTCTGGCCGAAAACTGACTCGCTCATGACTGCAAGTCGAATTATGCTGTTTCTCCTGAGCTCAGATGCTCCACTCGAGGATTCCTAAAGGTCTACTGTTTACTAATCACCTATCTAGAAACGACTGACATCGTCAAAAATTCGTCCAAAGTGTAATCATCTGGAGATTTCTCCTATAAATGTATAGATTCACCAGTACGCAGATGATGAACGGCGTAATACACTTTCATCGGACAAGAATACCCTAAAAAAAAGGGATGCAACTTATGTACCAAAAATTTTTATGCACGAACGCGGTTGTTTCGAGCAACATGGCGACGCAGATGTGAGAACTCTCTACACTTCTTGGTCGCAGAAATAGCCAAACCCTCAGAAACCCCGGCAGTGCATTGTGTGCCTGCAGCAACGCTTTGAGAAGCGTCCCACTCGCCATTCACGCAGCGTTGGAAGGCAGTGCCTCCATTGCAGTACCAGTATCCTTCCTGGCTGCAAGAGCCGCTCAAGACACCGGAGGTTGACGTGGCAGTGGGCGTATTTGCGGACGAGGTGGCATCGGTGGTAACGACGACAACAGCCTCGGACGCTTGCGCGGACTCGGAGGGCTCGGCGCGAGAGGTAGTTGCTAGCGTCGTCGGCCCGGAGGCGGTTTCGTCAGCAGCAGTGGACTGAGCAGAAGTCGCCGTGATCGCAGCTTCTGAAGCTGTCACAGAACTGCCAGCGGTATAGAGAGCCGGACCAGGAATGGTGTAGGAGCTCAAGGTGTTCCAGATATTGACGTAGATACCTGGGTCCGTGTCTTTGTAGAGGGCCGTTCCCAGTGTTCCACTGGGTCTCGCGGTGCCGCTGCCAGTCACCTTCAGGTTGATACACTGAGGATAGTTCTGTGCACCATCCTTGTTCTCAGCGCTGTGGAGAGCAATAATCTCGTGGCGGAGAACGTAGTTTCCAGCCTCGAGACCGGATGGGATGGTCATCGTGCGACTATAGCTATCCTTGATGAGCTGGTCGGTAGCCCAAGTTCCGGGAATGGAGGAATCACTGATAAGACTACCGGCATCAAACTTGAAGAACTCCAGCGTGGTCTTGTCCACGTCAGCGCAGTCGCCATCGCATTTGGCGAGGTAGCTGATGACGGGACCGTGATGATCTTCCGGCCAAGTGCTCCAGGTCATCTTGACCGAGCCGCCTGGAGCAACTGGAGCAGAAAGAGCTCCGGGAGCGGAGCCGCGGTGACAGATGATGTCGGACTCAGCGTAGTCGGCGGGAGAAACATAGCCGTCGTCGGTAGCAGTGGTGGACCAGGCGATGAGGTCGGGTGGATTGGACTCGTAGTAGTAGGTATCAACAAGATACCCGCCATAGGCCTTTCCGTCCACCTCAATACTCGTCACATAGCCATGGCCTGCGACCAGCGCAGCCGAGGTAAGAAGAAAACTCGCTGGCTTCGAAAGAAGCATGTTGAACGATGAAATAGTACGCACAGCGCAAGTGTTGTAAGGAGAGACAAGAACAGAAACTTCAGTCAACGAAGCTCAAAGAGAGGAAGGGAATGAATGAAGAGGCGAAGCTGCAGAAGAAGTGTTTGCCCGAAGATAGGCGCCGGACGAGCATCTATATAAATATCCCTGCATCCTCGGCGATGCCCCATTGTCGCCCCCTCAATCCCTTTATCTCGGCAATCAAGAGCCTGACCTCGACCCTCAAACGCGCCTTCCGACATAATTATTCCAATCGCGAAGGGAAGGACGGAATGTGGATAGTACATGGCCCTTGTTTTGAATAGCAGTGTGAGGATTCTGATCTCGCCACAATAAGATCCGTCGACAGCGGTTCCTTTCTTTTTTGGATTGATCGATGGCGTGTTTCACCATTGTTTGCGACCCGTGCTTAGCCTTAGTATAATATCTCCGCTATGAACGTTCTTTGTCGTAAAAATAACACGAAGGTCTCGGTCGCGTGCATCAAGGTCGATGACAAGGTGATGAGACACGTTATCTTCGAGCTGGGCGATTAAAAACTCCGCAGACATTTTTATACACGAGGAATCCAACCAGTTATGGGAGAAGAAGTTGGCGCGCGGTTTTCCGTGGCGCTATGAAGTTCATCACAATGGCGGGGGACATGAAACAAGCCAACGGCTAAGCGAGATCGGCACTCGAGACACCTCCATTGTTTGCCCGCGGCTTCAGCGAGTCTTCGGCACTTGCATCTGAGATAAATTAAAGCTGGCGATGCGTCGAGAAGGACACCAGATGGCGAGGCGAAAGATTTGGGGAGGGAAAGAGGGCGTTGTTCCATCACATCGGGATGGGGTTGGGTGGGGCCGGTTAGCAAGTCCCCAGGCGAGCCCGACGAGGCTGGCTCAAATCTGCTGAAGGCTGCGGCTGCACTATTTTCCTTCAGAAATTGATCCCGATGCTTTTTTTTGCTGGTCCCGTCCGTCTACCGTTTCGATGTATAGAAGATTCTGAAGATGCGCGGTCGGCATGAAGGCAAAAGTGTTGCTGTCTCGTTCGTTCACTCCTCTCCCCGTCTCTTCTCCGCAGGGTTCATTTGAGTTACACTCCCAGATATCGGTCATACTATTTGAACTTGGGCTGTAGTTAGCACATCGGGTAGCTTCGATTCGCCGCTAGGGTTAATGAGGGCTTCCCAATGATAGTGGAAAATAGAATCCATCCGTGGACTTTCCCAACCACAGAACGCTCTTAATCCTGACAAGAGCGTCGGTACTATCTTCAATATGCAGAGAGATTGCCATAGCCCGCGCTGCCTCCGTGAACCATCCGTAATATGCCGTTCCCACCGAAGCTATCATGCCAACTGCAAGAAACCATACAGTTAGTGTCCCGCATCCTTGGGAAATATTTTCAAGACGCTGGAGGTTTCGCATGAATTTTGCGATGGTGGAATCAAGGATCACTGCGTGCGTGTAGTATGTTGGTCCTTGCACAGAAAACATGTAGATTACGAGGGCATATTGAAGACACTGTGTCGTGACAGACGAATACGTGTCAAATTCCTCGTGGGATGACGATAAAAGACGATGAACGACGAAGCATGTGAGGTCATGTAGTTGCGTCGCTGTGAAGGGCACTCGCCGGGTCCTTTCAAAGACGTTGCGAAGACGAATGAATATGTTCATTACTTCATAATCAACAACGACATTGACATCGATAACTTCGTTCGTATTATTATTTGGTGTGGCAACTGATTCGATCTGCCATTCGGAAATGGGAGGTATACCATCTCCCATTCCAGCGTCGTCTTGAGTCTCAAACTGTGGATGACCCATGACAAGTAGCGATACCCTTCGATGTACATTAGCACAGCCGATAGTTACAGGCTGTATGTGTGTCTTACCAGCTGACCATTCTCGCGGTGAGGGGGCTGGTTTGCCTTACTGAGCTGATGCCTCCCCTCAGATCCACCAGCCGCTTCACCCCTTCGATATGTATTTTGCTAGTTTCGTAGTTGCCCTTGCCAAACTGCATGCAACGGAGTGTCAGTGACTGAACAGCAATTGAGATACTAAGTTAACGCGAGGACAGCGAGAACTCACTTCGATAGTTGCTAAAGTAATGACGGAATTGATAGTCCCATCTTGTACAGCAAGCGATGTATTCCCGATTTTCCGGCGTAGCAGAGAGACCGAATCGGCCATGAGAATCTCCGAGCTCTGGAATCCTTTCTGGGCTGAGCGCTCCTCGTCAAGACAGGCGGTTTGCAGTGAGACATGGAACAAAGCCGGGTCCCCTAACGCCAAGGGCCACCATGAGACGAGGAACGGATTCGAAGTGGTACTCAGGTCAAGCGGATAGTATTGGAATGCGATTTTGTGGAGAACTGAATTGTATTAGCTTGGCCTCGGTCGACGCCGTGCTTTGGAGATAGGCTCACAGCTATAAATCAGGCGTTGTACTTGCTCTCGGGGAAGCCTCGTCGGGGGATACGAATCGAACGGGTCAAAAGAACCAAATCTGTAACTGTCTAATGTGCTGGATCCATTTGACAGTCCTATCAATGCACCATTGCATGACCCGGTAGCTACCGGCGGCGCCGAGGGCTCATTCGCATACACACAGAGAACTTTGCGCTTGATGCAGCGAGAGCAGCGTGGCGTGCGAAGGTCGCAGCGGTGCTTGAGCTTTGCACAGGCCGCGCAGGACCGTCGAAGGGTTCGCATTTTGACAATCGCCAGATGGCGAGATTGAAAGGAAGTAAACCGTGCCATCGCGAGGCGGTGGAGCCGGGACCGCGCGAGTCACAGCGCTGTGATTCTCAGCGCACGCTAGACCCAAATTGGACTAGACTCCGACTCGGACAAGACACTCGGAGTCTAGTCCCGATGTGGTAATCCGTATAGATCAGACGAGCAGCCTGCGTACCTGAGCTATAAAGCAGCCGCAGCTGCAATTTTATAGACAAGAGAGAGCTGAGTGACATAAAAAAAGGTCGGAATTTATGATGAAGATGCTCAATACTTCTAGCACTCTACCCGATTTGGAAGAGACAAGCCCATTCAGCCATGGCGACCCAAAGGGAACTGTTGCGGCCCATCTTTCCCATTGGACTCTCTGGCAATACATAGCGACATTTACCATTGGTGTGATTCTGTATGATCAGGGTAAATGAGATCTCATCAGTCCCATGTGTTGTGCGGCCTGTGACTAACGTTACGAGTAGTCATGTACATCAAACGGAAAGGCTCGATCGCTGGGCCGAGATTCAAAATCCCTCTCATTGGGCCTTTTCTTCAGGCTATCGATCCCAAATTCGAGGGATACCTCGCACAGTGGGCTAGTGGCCCTCTAAGTTGTGTTTCTGTCTTCCACAAGTATGACGTTTCTCCGGTTGTCCGTCAAGATTGCGGTCGCGATCTAACGTTTAAACTTGCAGATTCGTCGTTCTAGCCTCCGACCGAGATATCGCACACAAAGTCTTCAAGTCACCATCCTACGCCGAGCCGTGCATTGTGCCAATTGCGAAGGACTTGCTGGGCCCCAAGGCATGGGTTTTCTTGCAAGGCAAAGCGCACGCCGAGTATCGGAGGGGGCTCACACCACTGTTCACCAACAAAGCGATCGCTACCTATCTCCCTGTACAGGAACGGGTCTTGAAAAAGTACTTCGATAAATTTGTCGCAGTTAGCCAAACGAAAAACTTCCAGCCAATGGCATTCATGCCTCTATTCCGCGAAATCAATTGTGCCCTTTCATGCCGCACTTTCTTCGGTGACTACATCTCCCAAGACGCGGTAAAAAAGATCGCAAAAGATTTTTACCTTGTGACGGCCGCGATGGAGCTGGTAAATATCCCTCTTTCCATCTACATTCCTTTCACCAAGCCTTGGCTCGGGAAGCGAACAGCTGACGCCGTCCACGCCGAGTTCGCGAAATGTGCTGCGGCATGCAAAGCGAACATGGCAACTGGTGCAACCCCGACCTGCATTGTGGACCACTGGGTAATTCACATGATGGAATCCAAGCGATACCGAGAGAAAATAGCCGCCGGGGGAACAGACGAAGAGAAGCCGACAAACCTCATCCGAGAATTCACCAACGAAGAGATTGGCGAGACGTTATTCACCTTTCTTTTTGCATCTCAAGATGCGTCCAGCAGCGCTACAACATGGCTCTTTCAAGTTCTCGCCCAAAGACCCGACGTACTCCATCGACTGCGTGAAGAGAACTTGGCTGCTCGGGGTGGGGACAGAAACAAACCCTTTGATCTCCCAATGCTCGAATCACTCACATACACCAACGCGGTGATCAAAGAACTTCTACGCCACCGACCCCCGGTTATCTTTGTTCCGTATCTCGCAACCAAGGACTTCCCCGTCACGTCAAACTACACAGTACCGAAGGGCTCCATGATTATCCCTTCTTGTTATCCGGCCTTGCACGACCCTAACGCCTATCCAGATCCGGATTCTTTTGATCCTGATCGCTGGGTTACTGGTGATGCTGAGTCAAAAACCAAGAACTGGCTGGTCTTTGGCACTGGACCACATGACTGTCTGGCACGAAGATATGTGCCGCTATCTATGGCGGGCATGATCGGAAAGGCGGCACTGGATTTGGATTGGAAGCACCACCCCACGGAAAAGTCGGAGGAGATCAAGGTTTTCGCTACGTTATTTCCGATGGTAAGTCCTCACTCGCTATTAAATTCTGTCCTTCTGTTCAGTTTCTGAACTTAGCTAATTCTTACAGGATGGGTGTCAACTAGTTTTCTCGAAGCGTGTTTGATAATAATCTCCAAAACTTTAGATCAGACATCATATCAATTTCTCGATCTTATTGATACAGCCTAGCTGCACTACCGGGCTAACAAATAATCTAAGAACAAAACCCTATTTGGTGTTAATTCACGTCTTTGACATGTTGTGGTCTCCCTTGCAATGTGATTGCGGACAAAAGATGGCATACTACAGGCCATAGTTCATAACCAAGTACCCTTATTGTGGTCAAATCTCCAAGCGAATGATATTTGCCTTTAATGAGACTCGACTCGGGAAATTTTGCTCTGATTTTAGACCGAGTCCAAAAAAGGATAAATTTTCTTTGGTTTCTTCATCCGCCTTTATTTTGGCTAGAAGTCGAGGTCAATAATAGAATGCTTTCTCTTTGTCCGTAGATGCCTTTTCCTGATTTCCTTAATTTATTTAATGGGCCTACTTAGGCACTTTTGCCAGCTATGATTTCACCCAAATCGAATAATATTTCTACAAAAAGATATGTTAGGCTCATTACTTACTAACTCAAAATGCTCAAGACAGCTCAAAACCAACACAAAATCTATCGTTTTAACGAGTTGAATCTCAACATGTCCTATGTAAGCACATGGCAGCCTGTCCCTCCTCCGCCTCGACCCGCAAGACAGTATCGGTGGAAAAACACGGACAGTAATCCAATCACAGTGCTTCCAATTGGCTGGAATGCCGAGGAATATGATCTTGATGCTGAGTATGTTACCAGAGGCCTTTTACATGTTTCAAACATTATGCAAGCATTACATATGACACTAACAATATATACATAGGGACTTAGATGCGCAGATTGAAAGATGCCGCGAAAGGATTGAGGACAATATCTTACCGCACATTTTTGAGCGAAAACTGGATACATTTCTGATAAGAAAAACGGAGAGAGAGTAAGCCACTCAGATTCAAATCCTCATTCTGCTCTTACTAATTACATACCTTGTAGGACTGCGATGATGATATACCCAGGACTTGCCTGGGAAGTTTTGGAACGTATACAAAACCTCGAGGAGATCGGAGCCACATTACTTCAAGACGGCGACGAGTATGCTCTTCTTCCTACTATTTCAGCTATCATTCAGGCTTATAAAACTGGGACAATCGGCTGGTACCCGGGACTTGTCACGTATTGGTACAACGGAGCTCAGATCTCTCAGCCCAGGCCTTTTGATTGGGATGAATATGGCTGTATTAGTTCGCATTGCCTGGGTGGAATTGTTTCTTTCTGGGTCGAAGGGGTGAGCTATGTCAGTACTTTCGCATTATGCTCTTATTAAAAAATTTACTCTTATTAGGCTTTAAATGTGAACAATCCGCGCGTGATGCGTGTCAGAACCTATGGAACACATCCTTCGTTGCCAAATTCATATCAGACGAATGTGAGTTTAAAGTCCTTTACACTTTCAGATAAAGCAGCCATATTAATAGAAAGTTATTCGCCGTTTCTTAGGTTGAAATGTCCATTGCACTCACCTCGCATTCACGACAAAATTCAATCGGGCCGCATATCGATTTGAGCTTTATAGATGACACTGGAAGTGACTACATGTGTATCTATCAAAGTGATATTGAAGACTTGGTCATCTATTCTTCGAATAATCAACACAGTGTATATGTACCTTTGATCAATATAACATCGGTGTGGATGCCTGACGGAACACGGAAGCAGTATCCCACCAAAGCGGTTTGGGTGAACGTCCACAATGTCCAGGAAAAAACGGCGATGTCCAGCTGGGATCGAATTCAATGCATTATTTGGGACCAGGGATCGGGTCATCCCAGAATCAATGGTCCTTGGCTTCGACATAAATTCTATACTCTTACACAACCGGATGGATCGGGCGAGATGGTGATCGCCAATGCCAAGAGCGGATTGACAAGTAGGAATGCGAGACTAACGGCAGCAGCACCAATGTCAATGGAAGACAGATTCCTTCCTCCCCAATTTACTGGTGAGGCATAATATTACATTCGTGGATTATGTGTTCGTTCTTTGCACTCAGCAGGATATTCTGGAATTTTTAATTACACTATGTCCATCATAGAGTTCCAATATAAGGCGTTAGCAATTACCTCAATTGTTGGGAAAGATATCTCCAGTCGTAAGGTCTTTTATAGTGAGCACACTAGTGTAACCATCCTTTCGATATTATCCTGGATTCCTCTCTATGACAATACTCAAATCATGGATTGCACCAACCTTAATTGAAGAGATTCCAATTGCCCATGGTAATATATTGAAAATGATTCATTGCCTGCCAGCTGCATAGTTTACTCTCAAGTGCTTGGGGTGTTGTTTACTCACATTTACAAAATCTGGAAGCCTTTCTATTACTCATATTTTGGACTGTGATGCATGGATTGGATATCGTATAGGAATATAAATGATCCATTACGATTAGTCCCTTATAATTGCAAATTTTGATTTCGCAAAGGTCTATGGATTTGAACTTAAGTTATACATGAGAGCGTCTACCATGAAGATGACGGCGGATACCCCGACTGACCCTCCTCGCGGGATTCTTATCGCTCTTTTCATACACGCTCAACGCCAAGCTTCCACCGCAAGTCTGAGAGTCGGAGGATCCGGAGGAGGCAGTCTCCCCTTGGCCCCATCCAGTAGGTGGGTTGTTTCCTGGAAGCTTTCCAAGCACGCCGGAAATTGCCTCCGGTACGAGATTTGCGATGTTGCAGCTTTTGGACGAGTCGTTGATTGTACCGGCATCGGCGCACTTGTCCATTCCCAAGACTCCAGCGTCACAGTTATTGATTATTTTCTGTAGGATGCTTTCATCCCAACCAGAAAACTATGGGATTTATTAGTAGGGTTCTTCTTTTCTTTGGTTGCATCGGAAGAGACTTACAAAGTCGCCGTGGAGGGAAGAGCCTGTGCAGTCACCATTAGCCAAGATAAAAGGCTGTGAGCCTTTCCCTTGTTCCCACATATCCACGAAGAGGGGCGTATTCCAGTAAACTTTGTAGAAGATATGCGGAACATGGATCCATTCTTTCGGGCAATTAGCTTTACCGCTGGGCGAATCCTTGCTGCTTGGGAATACCATGTTGTTCTTGTAGTCGGTCAACCCGGCTTCTGGGTTGTAACAAGATGGGGAGTGAATGTCAGCACGCAGCGGAGATGCATAGCCGTCGCAGTTCATGTGCGGGAACCCCACGCCAGCTCCCTGGTTGCTTGGATCCTGTATTCCGACCCCGTGGAGTCCGTCGGAATCAGTGGGGTATGAAGGAGGTTCGTAGGAACTGCGCGGGCATGTCCACTGGACCGGTTGAATGGTACCCTGGTTCGTATACAAGACATTTTCTGCTCCGCCCGGGGGTGGTGTTCGAAGACTGTTGTCTCCACTGACCATCCGAAGCCCAACAGGGAAAGGTTTTGTCTCGTCGTCGGTCGCTTCGAAACTATTCATTTTGTCAGTCAACGAGGATAGCTTTCAATTTCGGTGTTTATTGTCCTTACAAGTAGTAGATGTTCATGTAGAACATCGGAACTGAAATGAAGCTTCCGTTGATTAGGGTCCAATAGTTGCTCTTGTCTGCGTCGACCAGGGAAGAAGTACAACCTGAGTCTAAAGACTTCTTTCCCCATTGTCAAATTAAAGTTGCTTCCACCCTGGATTGCATGCACATGGTTAGCCGCGGTGCTCGGATCAACAATCGGGTCCATACGGCCCTCTGTCAGCGGGCCTTGACCATAGAAGTGATTCACAGCAAAAGTTTGAAAGTCCTTCGCGTACGCAGCAGAAAAGGCTACCACCAACCAGATGTTCTGCAGTATGGAAACGCATTTTTTCAATATTTCTCGAGACAAACTGTTTCGAAGCGAAAAATGGGGGTTAGCCGATCCGGTCGGCGCCAAAGAAAGTGAGAAAGAGATATCCGAAGAATGAGTGGATTCGAGTAGCCAGTCTCGATGTTGGAAGGAGTGAAAGTTTGTGAAGGAAAACGTAAAGAGGACAGGGTATTTTTCAAAGTTATATTTTGGAATCCAGACGCGTCGCATCTCAAACAAATGACACTCGGTATACAGTTTCCTTTGACGAGAGGCGTTCGGTATCCCGGGGTATGCATTTTCAGGGTCCAGGCTCCACACCTGTCAGAAGCAGTAGAGCGCAAACGCCTGGCCAATTTGAGATGTCGATTCAGTGCCGCCCTTTTCGGCTAAGCGCGCCTGGCATGTTTCAGCCTAATGAAGTTGAACAAAGATCCCTGACAACCCTTTTTTGGGAACTGCTCTTCTTGCACTCTGGAGCATCGAGCATTCTCATGGTATACGGCGGAAGGCTCATAAGTAATATCGAAGGAAATCGCTGGCTGCATCGTGAAGTGGTGCCCAGGTGGGTCATTTTGAGAACCCAGGAAGTTGGTCCAAGGTCAAAGTCAGGTCCCTCCATGTCTTCTCGATTTTGCCTGTTTTTGTTCACTGTGCCATGGAGATGATCTTCTCCTTGTCTTCCCCAGAGTTCAGGCTTTCGTTGGATTGTGTCCAACAATTACTGTGTGTTAACGTTCTTTGTCGGAAGAGATATATGTAGATTCCATTTCATCTTCTGGAGGAAAGTCATAAAACAATGGATAGAAATTGGATGAATATTGCTGCAATCCCATCCAGGTTGTCTTAGGCCCATTCCAATCACCAAATGTCAAGGAGCACTTGTGGTCCGAGGTACAAAGGGCGTCGCTGTATCAAGTGATCTCCTGCATTTATCGGAGCCTTTCTGTAGCAGAGTGTCCTAAATTCTCAAGGTGTGAATAAATTTGGTAATTCTAGAAAACAATGTCTTTCAATGTTCAAATCCAATCCGCAGACAACCGTTCAAATCTCTGAAATCGCCTCTGAGGATCCCGATTCCATCCCTCCTAACGTCCTCCACTAGATCCTTGACCTTAGGTGCGATCTTCTCCGGCGTAAATCCAAAGTGCTCATATATTTCCTTGGAGGGAAGGCTCTTCCCAAAGCTATTCATTGATACCGAGGCATCAGCATAGCGCTCCCATCCGTTGGACGGGAAGGCCTCGATAACAACGGTCGGTTTCCCGGCACGAGGCTTCAATACCGACTGCTTGTACTCCCGGGACTGCTGCTCGAACAGCCTAGTACAAGGGAAAGAAACAACCCGTGCCCTAATGCCATAATCTCTAAGAAGCAATCCTCGAGTCTGCATTGTGAAGCACATCTCAGACCCGACGCCGATCAAAGTCACATCGAAATCATCACCCTCTGCCTCATTGAAGACATATGCGCCTTTCAATGTTCCCTCTCGCGAGGAGTATTGAGGGTACTGAGTCAGGCTCTGTCGGGAGAGTGAGATAATGGTGGGTGTTTCGGTCGCCTGGATGGCGGCAATGTAGGAGCCGGCTACTTCTTCAGCGTCACAGGGCCGAATGTAAAGGGTGTTAGGCAAGGCGCGGTAGAGGGCCGCAACGGCTATGGGCTGGTGCGTGGGGCCATTTTCGCCAACGCCGATACTGTCGTGGGTAGCGATATGGATTTGCTGAAGACCTTGAAGCGCTGCCATGCGGACAGCGGCAGCGGCGTATAGATGGAACACGAAGTATGTGCTTGTCATGGGGATGAATGTTCCTTTGTTGAAGGCGGCAAGTCCGTTGGTTATGGCACACATCGCGTGTTCGCGAATACCGTAGTGGATATATCGACCACTGTAGTTCCCGTTTAGGCCACAGGCAGTTCGGAGACCAGGCTGGTTTTATATTAGTAGCGTGTCTCAAGCCAGAAAGAAAAAGCATCGATTACTGACAGATTGGAAGTCGACCTTGTTTTTGTAGGCAACATTGCACGACGGAGTAAGGTCCGCCGTGCCAACCAAAAATGAATTGATTCTCTCGCCAAGAGCGTTGGTCACGACGCCAGCTGATTTTCGAGAGGCCGTAGGCGCAATGGGTTGATCCTCCTTGCGGGGAATACATTTGGTCCAGTCTTCAGGCAATTTCCCTGCGACGCGGAGTGTAAATTCGGCCGCCAGTGCAGGGTCTCTCTCACGATACCTTTCCAAGGCCACCTGCCAACCCACTTCGTGGGCCTTGCCACGACCTGGAATATCGGCGAAGAAGTCGTAAACATCTTGGGGAATATGGAAGTGTTGATTAGGGTCGAGGCCGAATGACCTCTTGACGTTAGCCACTTCATCAACTCCGAGAGCAGCTCCGTGTACGTCGGCAGTACCGGCAATTGCAGATCCGAAGCCGATCGTGGTGCGGATGTTAATAAAGGTGGGCTTGTCGCTTGATCGGGCGGCAACAAGGCTGTTAACGACAGCTGTGCTGTGTCAGTAGACCTATCATTAAAAACGTCAAGTGTGCCGGATACATACCGGCAACGTCTGAGTCTCCGTTATACACGTCTACCACATTGAAGCCAGTAGCCCGCATCTTCATATTGACATCCTCAGTATTGGCAACATCTGCAGTTCCATCACACGTCACTGAGTTGTTGTCGAAAATCACACAGAGATTATTCAACTTCCAGTGACCAGCGAGCGAGAGCGCCTCGAGACCGACACCTTCCTGAAGGCAAGCATCACCGACCATGCACCAGGTCATATTATTCACCAACTCGTAGCCGGGCTTGTTGTACGTCGCAGCGAGGTTCTTGGTGGCCATGGCAAGACCAACGGCATTCGCAAGACCCTGGCCGAGTGGCCCAGTTGTGACCTCTATGCCCTCATTCTCGATTTCGGGATGGCCGGGGCACACGGAGTCGATTCTCGCGGAGTGATAGGATTTGAGCTGCTCGAGTGTCATGCTGTTGACGCCGACGAGGTGCATGAAGAGATACTGCCATAGGCAGGCATGGCCTGCCATAATTTCACTTCTGTTAGATGCCGCTTGGCTTTTCAGGAAAACCATGAGGAGTGTGTAGAGGACTTACCATTCGAAAGAACAAAGCGGTCTCGGTTGAAGTAGTTGCAATTCCTTGGGGAGTACTTCATCACATACTTGTATAGAGCAATTCCAATAGCAGCCATGCCCATGGGTGATCTGCGACATGGTTCAGTCAGCGTTACCTTGCAAACGAGCGCGTTCCTGAAGAGGGGCCAGCTTACCCAGCATGGCCCTCGCCGTATTGCTGGCATAGGTCAGCAATGAAGGCTCGAAAGACATTCATGACCCGCTGGTGTCTCTCTGGACTCTCCAATTTGAGCCCAGCAACAGCAGCCCCATTGCCATTAGCTGAGAACGTCTTGACCGGGAGGTTCTCAATGGGCTTCTCGAGGAGTTCCAGCGCAGGTGCCATTATGAGAAGCTCAGTGCAAATTTAAAGCACCAAAATAACAATATAGGAATCACGATCGATCTCAGCGGGCTGTAGCTGTCCGTTAAAAGCAGCATAGTCGAGCCAGTCGCCAACTCTTATAGCCGAGACAATGGTTCACGATTGCGTGCCCGAGAATACCTGCTCGTGCCATAGCCAGCAGACGTAAGGGATCGAGACGAAGTCATGGGTACGGGATTTGACTGTGGCAATCGTGGAAGTTCGAGTCTAGAGAGAGGTGTCTGCTAGCTGCGCAAACAAGCCGCGGTCGGGGAATGGGAGGGAGTCGCTCGCTTCGAGACCACTGGGCCCTCGAAACGAGCGCCGATCGGCAGTACCTTCCCACCAGCCGATTCAGAATGAGGATCGAAACATGGGGCTATCTTCTTGGGTGTGGGTGGAACGAGGGCAAAGTCACGGGGTTGTGCTTGGTGGTGAGAGAAGAGGAAACGAGGGGGTCTGCAAGAAGTCAGTATGAGGAGGCATCTGACCCGGCAGCTCCGTGGCTTGTCAAGCATAGTCAGTACTGCGAATATATCTGGCAACCTCTTTTTCTTACAGTCCCAGATTATTGTTCTAGAGAGAGGAAACTGATTTTCTGATTTTCCCAAGCTCAAACCATCACTGAGATATCGAATATCAGCAAACATCTCTCACATTGATTCAGCATAATTTTCCACCGATTTTGCAGCTTTGACATCTATAAAAAAGGTCTTGGGTAGCCCAGGCCAAAATTAATACTTTTCGCCATTACCCGGAATCAAACCTGTGCTGTCGCCCAATCAGGCAAAGTGCCTTCAGGTACTGTCATTGCATGCTCTTTAGCATCACCAGTTTCAACACAAAATATCTCTTTAATATTCGAGTCAAGGAGTAAAAAAATGTCATAGATCAAAAGAAAAGAAGGGCATGGGCACTGTCCCGGATCTGCAAAGTTCTCCCATCCACTAGCCTCTAGATCCTACAGATCACGCCGCCCGTCCCACCTGTGCCGCAACCCTGTTACATCCAGCTACCAGGCCGCAAGAGAGGACGCAGACCATACGCAGTCCTGGATAGTGACCGCGTCCGTATCTAGTGGTGGAGTTGCCAACTCGACCACTGGAGCTTTTGGCGAAAAAAGCTGGCGAAAAAATCCCACTTATTTTAAAATAAAAGGTAGCTCTGAACGTCTCTTCGCTTTTTATCGATATATAAATCGTCATCAAACGGCTCTAATATCGATCGATATGTAAAAGTCTGAATTGGGAGTTGATGTATGTCTTTCTGTGGACCTAGAGTCATTGGATGGTTTTAAACAGCCCAAGATGCTACTCGATCCGGAAGTCTGTTGAAACCAGAGACGAATAGACTGAGAACATCGAGACAATTTGAATGATGAATTAAATTATGGATCGTAATGTACCTTGATAATAATGTTTTGATTTCTAGAGTAATCTGTAAATTTTCTGAACTGTCCTTTGAAGTTTTCCTGAATTTCTTCTATATCTCTATATTAGATGGCCATCCTCACTACAAACCGGCCATTTTCAATCGGGAATTGCTCGACAAGGAGCGGCGGGGTCTACGAAGCTGCAAAAAAGCTTATTTGATAGCCAAATTGGCCGGAGAACGTCTTGCGTTTTATACAAGATCATAAAATTCACCCGGCACCGTAGCGCCAGGCTATAAATATAAAGGTCAGCCCTGGGAACGATGCGGCGTGAGGCTATCGCCAATCATCTGCCAAACCTCATCGCGAGGGATGTTGATGCCTACGGCATTAATGTGTAACCCTAAATCCGCTTAGTTACTAAGCCTTTCTTTTGGTGGTCGCTGCCTTCAAGGCGACCTGTCCCATTCGGCGGGCAGGTGCGGGGACATCTCTGCGAAATGGAACGCTATGGGCCGGTTTTGAACCGGGGACTCGCTGCAATGCAGCTAGGGCTGTTAACGATACGATATCGGCACTGTTTTCCCATATCGTCAATCTGCTTCCCTTGTGTAGTCCTAAGTTTTACTGTTGCCGTACTATGTGGCTGGATATTTATATATTTAACGTTTGCTCTCCCGTCCTATCAAATAACTCTGCTATTGCACAATACATGTCTAATCCTTTCTAAGTTGCTTCCATTCCTCTGCGCATACGGATATATATATTTACTTCATTGGCTTTTCCTGCCAACATACTATCATATTACCTGTTCTATTCTATGGCTACCCCTTCCTTCTTCCGTTATGCTGTATAGCAGAATATCCAGAGGCCATAAGGGTTCAACCCTATTTTATGGTTCAACTCTATTATTACACGCGTCTGAGAGACTGGGACGCGTGCCCCGACCTCTTCTTCGTTGACAGTGAAGCTCTTCCAAAACTAGCCAACTCCACATAAGACTCTTCAACCCTGGTTCTACTGAACCACAGGGTCCATATCGACAGTGAGCTGCGATCAGCAAGTCGTATTCAACCGCACTGGGTCAGTAGCCCGGTGTATACCGCACAAATATGTACCCGGCAGAAACGCCTCAACTACCGAGTTCTGAATGACGAGAGCGATGGAGAGTCTTTTCCCGAGGATCAAACCGACCAATCAAGCGAACCAAGCGAGCCGCCGAGCAATCTCACACGTACTCTCCCAACCTGTCAAAAAGACGCGGTGATTCTCGCCAACATACCAGATTGCGAGCTCCTACCTTCCGAGTCTGTGTCGCAAGTGCTAGTATCCCAAGAGAGCTCACCAGATACTGGTACTTCAATCACAAGCCACGTATCCTCTCGATGCTCCAAACGGCCAGCGCCTGCTACAGAGTGGGTCTGGGGGTAATTCGAGACTACAGCCGTTGATTGTCCATGGGTTATCAAGAGGACCAACAAGAGGCGCTGGTCGACCGAGAGATTTGCTGTATGCACGTAGATAAAAGAACGGGAACACGCTGTGACTGGCATACGTCAGATTCGCAGAGGTAAATCACAACCAGCAACATGAAAACCCACTTGGCAAAGCATGGCATATACTGCCCGACCTCCAGTACACAGCCAGCGAAGAAGGGACCAGACATTCGGAGTTTTATGGGTGGTAAACAGAGTCTCATCCATCAAGAGGTCTTGGAAAGGAATGCCATTCGCTGGATCGTGACTGATATAAAAGCCTTCACCACTGTCAAGTCTCCAGAGTTTCAGCAAATGTTCCGAGACATTCTTGGGATTGAGCCTCCATTCACTTCTCACCGCACCTTGCGGGATCGAATCATCCAAGAGTTCGTCATACAGCGCACCAACCTGAAGAATGAGCTGACTTTTACTTGCAAAACCATTGCCTTATCACAGGATATCTGGACAAGCCAGAATCATTTTCCTATTTTAGGGATAATTGGTCATTGACTGACTGACGAATTTGAGTACCGCGAGATTACTCGAGTTCACCGAACTCTAGGGCATTCATAGTGGAGAAAATCTGGCAATTGCAGTGGAAAATATGCTTATTGAGTTGAGTCTCGAGGACAAGCTCATTTCCATTACAGGCGACAACGCCAGTAACAACGAGGCCATGGCATCGGAGTTATACTTCTTTCTTTCCGACCGACCTAGGGTGGAAGACGCCATGCTAGCACCACTCTATCGAGGTCTTGACAGCTACATCCGCTGCCTGGCTCATGTCCTCAATCTGATTGTGAAAGATATCCTCCGTAACCTGGGGTCAGGGATGGTGGAAGGAGCGCAAGTTGCCTGTGACTGTTTACAGACTGGTAACTCGATCACCGATAACTCCGCAATAGGGAGATTACGGGTCCTCGCTCTTTGGATTAACCGAAGTCCTCAGCGCCGACAGAAATGGAAGGAGATTTGCAGACTCAACAACCGTCCAGACAAATTCGTTGCGTACGATGTTACGACACGACGGAACTCGACATTTCGCATGGTCGATGATGGCTTGAAGTCAAGGCAACAAGTCAACAAGTTCCTACACCTTCAGGACGAACTCCCGTCGTTCACTCTCCAAGATTGGTCACGGCTGGAACAGATTCACACAGTACTCCACAATTTCAATGAGCTTACTTTGTTCATTTCGAAACGAAATCCACAAATCAGCCTCGCAGTCCCGATTTACTATGAGCTACACGAATTGCTCGATGACGTGCCAGAGGGCAATGGTGACTTCGCAAAACTGGATCGAGATATCATAGCTGCAGTGAAAGAAGGGATGAAGAAATACAAAAAGTACTATTCCATTATGGATGACTGCGATACCTACTACACTGCCCTCGTCTTGGATCCCCGAGTCAAAGGTGAAATGGTCTTACGGGAACTTCAAGATGGCAATGCAGGGACAATGATTATGGAAACGATCCGCACCAATCTACATCAGGTATACGCGGCTAGTAACCTGGAGCATGATGCCGCTGCATCAAAATCGTCTTCCCTGCAGCATAGTGATGTGGAGTCTAGAATGCTGAAGAAGTTGCAGGCGCGAGATCCACAGCTCTCAGATATTGATAAGTACTTCGACACCCCTCCGATCAGCGTCGCAAATACCACCGGCCAGAACTGGCTCTGTAATTGGTGGAAGATGCACAAGGGCAAGCATCCGCGGATGGCAGAAGCAGCCAGGGACTATCTAGCGATTCCTGCTTCTGAAGTTGCTGTTGAGAGAGTCTTTAGTACAGCGAGGGATGTACTAGGCATCCGAAGATATTCTTTGAAAGGGGATACCTTAAGAATGCTGATGTTGATTCGCGATGGGTATAAGTGGTAGCGGTCAAGGGATGTGGTCAAATTATGCCATCGCGATATTCCCGTTCTGCATTCATTAAGTGTCAAATAAAACTGCTGTTCGACGAAAGCCCGTTCGCTCTCTAGATGATTTTAAAGGAAAAATGTGCCGATGCCGATACGATATGACGATATCGTGAGTGGTGATATCTCAAATTTGAAGCCCGCCGATATCGTACCGGCAATCGGCATCGACAAATTCAAAAGCAGCTGATATCGTATCGTCAATATCGGTATATCGGCAATATCGTCAACAGCCCTAAATGCAGCAGCCGTTTTATCAACTGTGCCACTTCCCCCGCCGCCGCCGGGGGGGGGGGCGCTAGTTATTATGAGGCCCCAAACCAAAATTATATCCCGTCCTCATCAACATACACAGCAGGTGAATCACGTGCGAAGAGCCGCACCCGCTGACTAAGTAGATCTCAGGTGTACCGCCCAATCACAAGGGCAGGGGCATGCAGGCCCTGTCAGTGCATTAGTGCGTTCGGGGCATGTCGGCCGTTGCAGCGACCTCCGGCGACGCTGCATCCTCGACCATTTCGACCGCGCTGGCGCCGGCCTTCGCTTCCGGCACATCAGCATCCCCGCGCGCAACTCGATCGTTCATGATTTCCGCCAGCGTCTTTCTCGATAGCGGACCAATTAACCACGTCGCATTCGTTTCGAACAAGACATCAGTGTCCTCGAGAGCGGCGTTGTAGGTTTCCGGGACTACACCCAGATGTTTCAGCGCTGTGTTCCAAACTTCCAAACTTGAGCAATTTAGCACTTGTCGCTTGGACAGGGACTTACCAAGGAAGTATATCATCGGGATGAAGCATAGGATCGTGCATGCCCACAGGATGTAGGTGCCATACTTGATGCGCGAGATGAGCACTGGAGAGATCATGACTACAAAAAAGTTGCAAAGCCAGAAGAAACCAGTGGATATAGCGACGGACTTGCCGCGCGTCTGCAAAGGTGTCAATTCGACAGGCAACAGAAACGCAAGACCGTTGGTACCGATCGCATAGACGGTATTAAAAATGCTGAGAAGGTCAGAAAGAGCAAAATTCCCCAGACTAGGGTCACGCACAAGATGAAAACTATCGATACGAAGCCGCACATCTTGTCTTCCGGATATGCGACCGTGACGGCGATGACGATTATGCTGATACACTGCCTGACCGGCCCGGAAAGCAGCAGACGCCAACGCCCGAGTCTGTCGATGAGCGGAATCAGAATGAAACTTGCGAATCCAGAATTCGAGTCCGACGAAGCCGGAGATGAGCAGACTCATCTGGAGAGATAATTCCAGGGTATTCTGGAAGATAATCGGCCCGATCTCGGAAGCGTGGTCAGACAAGTTGTCAAAACTATACCCTGACACGTGCCTGGCAGGTCGAAGTAGTATGTGATGAGGTTGACGCTCTTGAGCTGATACATGCACATTACAATTGCAGACAGGGCAAGTTACTGGAAGAAACGGGGCTTGCCCTGGGTGAAGATTGCTAACCACCGGGAATCGGTCTCCAAATCTTCCTGCAGTGTCTTCTCGATCATAGACAAGACGGTGCGCTGGAGCAGCACAGGCTGGTCAGCATATTTGTTGCTAACAAAGATTGTCACCTTGGGTGAAAAAAACAATTTCCTCTGCGCGTGCAGCAGGATCTCCTTCCAGCGATAATATGTCGACGACGTCGCTCACCTCCGCCACTTTTCCGTTACGAATCAAAACTCGAGGCGAATCTATGTTATCGACGATATTGATGGGATTATTATTTGCGACCGACTCATGCGACACGGAACGGGATTGCCTACCGGGAAGGAATAGTGCAAGAATGATTGTTAACCGAAAATGCAGATTGCAGCCCCAGTGGCAGCCTCCAGGTCCAGTCATTCTCACCAGTGACAGGCGAGGCCGCGAGGCCGTAGCCAACCCAATATGCCAAGGTAATCCCGAACTGGGGTTACTAGTATTTTCGCCGAGACGACATTGCAGTTGAGGCAGATTGATGTCTACTTACAAGGTTTATGTTGAGCTGCCACATGACAGCTCGACCTCTACTCTTGGCGCGAGAGCATTCTCCATTCCAAGTTGGCAGTACAGCTGCCATGTCATTGCCGAAGCTAGCTGTAATCAATGAGATTCAATTTCTGTACCTGGCAGCGAGGGTGGTTATCCCACCGATGATACGACCCACGATCAGCTGGGCCAGCTCAAAAGATGATGCTTGGAGAACGGCACCGATGATAATGATCAGCTCTCCCAGCATGACAGCGAGACTGCGGCCAAACTGGTCGCCGCTTATTATGACCGTCAAGGCACCGGGCCGCGCATCTAGCTCGTACACAGCGACCTGTACACGTCAGTATCAGATTTTCGACAAAGAGCGCCTTCTTGGGTGACACTTTCTTGGAATCGTCATGTTCTGCGTATACGCAGTACTTCTCATCAGAATTTAACTCACCCAATACCACATATCGCTATAATCAAATACTCAATCCATGCCGACGGAGCTCCTCTGCCTCTCAAGTGTTCGGTGAGGGACGAGTAGGGCTTCGTAAAAGTTTCATCTCCTGCTGTCGAAAATGGCTTGCCAAGCGGTTTCTGGGGGACTTTAGTCTCGCTTGCTGTTAAGTCGAGGAAGGAAAGCTGGCCGAGTAATCACAACAAGTCTTGGCAAGGGCTTTAATATATCGCCCCTCGCTGGTGATGCAGGAAGCTTCGAAAACCGGGGTAGCTTCTATTTCCCCGGATTGTTGGTACTGTTCCTGACCCAATTTTTGGGTCATCCCCTGATGTTGGCATCGCGTCGGGACCACTGTGGATTATCATTTACCCCCTGTCCGGTCGCTCGGATGCCCAAATTGATAGCGCGAAGTAGGATACGATTTGATCTACAACTATCACCAGTACTTGGTTGGCTAAGTCTCACTACGCTTCATCTCCGCTTGAGTTATTTTGCAGGGCATTGCAGGGCGAAATCGACAGCCTCCCCGCACAGTTTCGGGAATGAATCTAGACTGACCCGACCGCAAATAATGCCTTTCATGTCCGTTTGCCTTCGATACGACTACCTGTCTCTGCGACTCCCTTTGATATGCTCCCCGAGCAAAATGATTCGCGTGGCGGGCAGCTCCACCTGGCCCTCGACGCGATACCGCTTCCGCCAATCATGCGGGGTTTGCCGGGGTTGCGAGGGCGGGAAGTGGCGACGATGGAATTGCGGAGAGAGCTTTCCATTGAATTGACCCCAAAGCATGACAGCTGGCTAACCACATCAAAGCCGAACGTGGACCTGAAAGACTTAGCCTTATATATCCTGGATGAAGGGGTGACACATAAACAACCCGGATCCATGGAATGAACGCTCAGTCAACCCCAGCGTTTTTCCATCCTCGCCCCTTTCATATTCGGGCCTCTTAATAAGTCATCATGAATCCAGCTGACGTTGAAGGCCAACTGAAGGAGGGCTTCTCTCATGAGATTGAGAATGTGAATGCCGCTGACGCGGTATCGTTTACTCCAGAGGAAGAGAAGGCGTTGGTGAGGAGAATTGACCTCGCTCTCCTGCCTACTATTTGGGTCATGTATCTTTTGTCATATCTGGACAGAACTAAGTGAGTACAAGTATACACACTTTGCCTTGCGGTTAGCTACTCTATGAAGATGCTAACTAGTGCTATGTACAGTATCGGCAATGCGAAAATCTCTGGCATGGAGGTAGATCTCAGCCTGACATCTAATGAATACTCAATCGCCCTGGTCGTCTTTTTCGTCGGATACGTGGTATTTGAAGTACCCAGCAAGTACGAAGCTCTAGAACCAATGCTCAGCCCCAGAACATTATCATTGACTATCCTTCCTCAAGCCTTGCTCTGGGCCGATCCCGACCCTCCATCTTCCTCCCATCCATCATGGTACTCTGGGGCGCTTTGACCTGTGTTATGGCTGTCATCAACAGCTTCACCCATCTAGTTGTGCTTAGAGTGATCCTAGGATGCGTCGAGGCTGGGTTCGCTCCTGGTGTTCTCCTCCTTCTGTCATCGTGGTACAAACAAACAGAACAGTCGAAACGATTCGGTGTTTTCATCTCCGCCGCTGTGCTATCGGGCGCCTTTGGTGGCCTTATTGCCGCCGGCATTGTGGATGGACTTGAGGGCGTTCACGGCATTCGTGGTTGGCGCTGGCTTTTCATTATTGAAGGCGCCGCCACTGTCGGCGTCGCTCTCATCTCTCTTTTTATCCTTCCTGATTTTCCCGCAACGTCGCGGAAGCTTTCTGAACGTGAGAAGCACATTGCTGTGGCACGCCTTGCCACTGAAAATGTTTCTGCTACCACTGAAGATACTCAGCATCTGAGTAACTTGGGTGCTTGTAAGGTGGCTTGTCAAGATTATCGAACCTGGGCGTTCATCATTGGGTATATGGTTCGTTAACCCCTGAGCTTGCTCCAACTTATCTTTCAGAATATTTTTGAATGTTTCTTTTAGCCTCACTAACGATTTCTATTTATATAGGTCATCGTCGGCTCGAGTACCTTGACCTACTTCTACCCGACCCTTGTAGAAGGACTTTTCGGAACCGCTTCCACCAAGACGGTCAACCTGTTGACTGTTCCAATCTACGGTGTGGCATTTGTCGCCACAGGCATCACATCGTACTGCAGCGACAAGGTCCCTACCTGGCGTGGATTGATTATCGCCGGTTGGCTGACCTTTTCTCTAGTATGTTCGATCATTGTTTGCACTGTATATAACTTCACAGCTCGCTATGTCCTGCTAGTGCTTATGGCAGCTGGTCTTTGGTCTACCAACGGTGGCACACTGGCTTATGCATCTTCTGCATTTGCGGGGATGCATCCTCATGCTCGAGGCGTTGCTTTGGCCATGGTCAATGCGCTGGGTAACCTGGCACAGATTTATGGGTCGGTATGTATCTCACGAATTGCTTGCCCATGTTTCACGGTCTTGCTGACCTAGCTCGTGCAGTACCTATTTCCGAAGGATGATAGACCTGAGTATATTATGGGGTTCTCTGTGATTTCTGCGATGTTGGCAGTTGGCGTCATTGTCTTTTTATTTTTGCATATCTGGTTTCGCCGACGTGTGCGGTCGGGTATCATTCAGCAGTGATACTTTGCTGCTGAGCATTGACGAAAGATATCACAGTATCAAATGATGAATTGCATATTGGCCAAATTTTATACTACATGAGGAAGCAACTTTGTCTGATTTCACGTCGGTTCAATGTCTTCTTGGATAAAAAATACCTGAAATGAACAATAAATACACGCACCGATTACTCTCGGCAACATACAATGGCAACTATCATCCATTTCCAGCATGACTTTCGAGCATATTATCTGGTCCACATGACAAACTCATGCGATTAGATCACTGAAAGCGATTTTTGAGTACTAGAGTTCAAGCCCTTTTCGGACAGAGACAAGGGGCCAATGAAGCCTTCTCTGACATACATCAAGAAGGTTCAAAAGTGTGACTCGCTCATGTGGACGGTGGATGCACATTGCTGCTGTTCGAAATTAGCACCGCACAAAAAAGCAGCGGCTCAAAGGACAACATACCTCCAACTAAGCAGTTCAGAGAAACAATGTTTGCGCCAAAGTCGTCTTCTTCAACGGATCGTGCAATTCCGCAGATTGTTTCTATGGAGACCGCCAGCATATTTTGCGCTGCTTGATAGCCTTCAATATCGCGAGAGGTTGGATGGTGCAAGGTAACAAGAATTACTGCGAGACTATGAATTTGAAGAGCTGCGGCATAAGACGGCGGATTTACCCATATCGATGGAAATAACTCGCCTTTAGTCGTCATAGGTAGAGGGCAATATTCTGGCGGCAATGCATTATGCCATTGGTGAAGCAAGTGAAGAAGCTCATTCCCCCGGTCCATACGGCGCGTCGGGTCCTGCTCTTGCTCTTCTTTTGAGACATAGTTGATACATTGCCCAAGGAGGTAATAAACACGCGACGCGAGCTCTGAGCTAGTGAGACAGTTGAGCGACTTTTTCGGTCTCCAGCCACCGTAGACTCGACGTCGTTCCCGAAGAGCGATCCAAATATCTTGTTGAAACCAAGCCCTCCAGACGGCCGACCGCAGCCCTCCAGACTCCACGTCGTTGTCTTGAAACCGTTGGAACAAGAATACCCCCTTGATGTGTCCTTCCCAGTTTTCGTTTGACCCGTCAATCATTTCATAGGTGCTGATGAGGATGGAGGTCACAATCAGATCCAAGCTGCGCGTACAAGACTGTGATTGCATTGTCTTGTTGAGGTAATGGAGGGACTCGGTGTAATATCTGACAGCAAGATTGCAGGAAGGGGTATTACCCCGATCCCTCGCAACGCCATTGTTTGCAGTTGACCGGCAAGTAAATCCTTCTTCTCCTTTCACCAGAGATAGGTGGCGTGCAGAAAGGGCCAGCAAAGCCTTCATCAAGCCCAAATTCCGAAGTGCCATGTGTGGAACGGTTTTTGCAAAATGAATTTCTGGATCATGGAAATCGATCCATTTACTTATTACTCGCACAAAATGGCTGAAAAGATGATACTCTAAGTCCGAAAGAGGAATCGAGAACTCCGGTACCCAAGAAGAGGTCATTTCTGTCCCGGCTGGCGCTCCATTGGGCGTTTGCGGCGCATATGGCTGGTCAATTTCCATGTTTCGGAAAGTAGCAGTCTGAAGGCTTTCCCGTTCACTAAGGTTTTGAGGGTTGGAGCTGGATCTACTTGGTACATCCCCTTTAGCTCGGTTCCAGTCGCGAGAGAATCGTGAGGATGGGAAATCCGTAGCCAGAAGCTCAAACCATTTCAAGGGCGCAGACCGTGAATCGGAGGAACACTCGACACTCGGCGAGGATGCGGAACTACTGGGCGACGTAGGAGTGAGTATTGCCGCATCCTGTGTTCTCGTGCGAGGACTTTCGTGCTGACCAAGCTGTTGATCTTGGTGGGAATCTTGGTGGGAATCTTGGCTATACACGCAAGATCGCTTCCCAATCGCGCAGGGACCACATTGTGGACGAGCCTGACAGTGTTAGACATATGGAACGAGAAACTTATTCCCCTGGCGCACCGAAGAGCACATACCTCATCGCACTTCACATGGCGACGCCTGCAAACGAGGCTATAGCTGTGTCAGAGCCATGAATGTCTCAATCTCAGGCGAGGAACGATGGAATATACCAACCAACCAGTAGTAGCGCGAAGGCCGCGTGATCGAGATTTGCGACTCTGATGACTTCTCTTCGACTCTACCATCGCGCACGGGGGAGGAAGAAAGACACATTGGCCTCCACGGAGAGACGAACTATCCCACGAAACATCAGAAGAGCGCAGAAACGACGACAAATGCCAAGGAAGCGAGCACTGCATCAATCTGCCGTTAGTAAACCATAGCTGCCAGTTGTATCCAGAGAGAGCATAGCTCATAGCAGGACTCCATCTCGCTTGATTCCCGCATCACAAAGGTCGGTGTTAACAAAGAAACGTGGTCTAGAAACGTCCCGTCGTGGCCCTCGACGCGAGCGCCATCCGACCCACCCGCCTAGCAGAACGCACCTGGCAGCACAGCCATCGCTCGTGGGATTGTTCGCTTCGACAGCCTTTTCACAATTGTGGTTGGTCGGCTGCACTGATAGACCTATCTCCTGCGACGGTGGATGCGGAGACATGTGTGATTTTTGAAATCTTTCATTTGTCACTGCATCTGCGGGACTTGAGTCCGTCAAGCACGGTGGTTTGCGATATCGGGGTCATTTGGGAGCAGAAAAGGCCATGGCAGTCTTAAAAAGGCATCCTTTCAATTTCAGGGTCTGCCAACTCTCCAATTCTCCTAAAATTTTGCCGTTCAAAGACAAAGCACATCATCAACTATGCCTCCGAGTATACACGATCCCATCGCGGCAAACCCGGCCATGAGTAGCAACCGCAACGACGGCAACGCAGCAACAGCATCTCGAGAAATCTCTGGTTCAGCTTCCACTTTTCTTGATACCCAGCCGGGCCCAGATCACGACTGGAAGATCACGTTGAAAGACAAAGTCATCGCTATCACAGGTGCAAACAGGGGTATCGGTCTGGCTCTCGCAGAGGTCTGTCTAGCAAACGACGCAGAAGCCGTCTTTAGCCTGGACGTGTTCGAGCCTGGCGAAGAGTTCATCGCACTAAAAAATGCCAACCCGAAGCGTCTATCCTACGTCCATTGCGACGTCACATCCGAGGAGAGTGTTAGCTCCGCAATCGACGCCGTGATCGCAGCACGAGGTGCCATCCACGGCTTCATTGCAAATGCCGGCATGACCAAGCATCAACCAGCGTTCGACTTCAGCCGCGCTCAGATAGACCAGCTATTCAACCTCAACGTGTTTGGGGCATACTTCTGCGCCACTGCTGTCGCTCGCCGGTTTATTGAGCTGGGCATCAAGGGATCCATCGTCTTCACTGCTTCCATGACGTCCTATCGCCCCAATCGTGCGGCGCCTTCAGCCCCATATGGAGCTACCAAGGGCGCGGTGCGGAATATGACACACACATTGGCGATGGAGTGGGCCAAGCATGGGATTCGCGTTAACTCGATTTCGCCTGGCTTCATCAAGACTGCCATGACATACTTTGTGGACCAAGCACCGGACTGGGATCTGAAGATGCAATATTATGGAGGCATGCCGCGCTTAGCAGATCCCAAGGAGCTCGGTGGAGCTTATGTGTACCTGCTCTCCGATGGTGCTTCGTATACGACCGGCATTGATATTCCGGTTGCCGGTATTGTTGGCGCGTGGTAAGGAAATCTGTACACGATCATGTTGAAACAGTGTGACGGATACGCATACGAGGCATATTTTAGGAAACAGAAAGAAGGATTGTCTTGAAAGTACATTATATTCATACAAGTCTCATGAATATGCTCACTTGGGCTGCGCTTAGTAAATTTAGAGGCTGCCTATGAGACGAGGAAAACAATGACAAGCTTATGGGCCCCTTTCTTCTACTTCATACCCAGTGTGCTTTTCCCAACATTTCATTCCTGCCATACTTGTTTAAGTCGAGCAACGAGTCCCTTGGGGGGAAACTTGCTGATTCTCAGCATGTTATTCAAAGTACGCAGTAGCTCATCTCTCATCTCAGGCGATCGAACAAACTGGCCAACTTATATTTCGTTAGAAAGAACAGTATAATCGAAATGACACTTACCTCCAAACAAAGCCTGTACGTTCACAAAAGCCATGGCAGACTCATGTTCCTGACATGCATTGGCAATGCCGCAAACCGTCTTGACACTCTCAGCAAGCTGTTTATCACGTTGCAAGTAAGCACCGAGCCCTCCCATCGTGGGCTGGCTCAGCAGAACAATCGCGCGTGCAAAATGGTACATTTGCATCGCACCGGCGTGATTTGGTGGGTGGATCCATATAGGCGGGCATGCAACCGACGAGCCAGGACTCGTGGCGAAGGTAACTGGCTGGTAGGAAGCAGGGAGAACACGATTCCATTCGTCAAGTGCGCGCAGGAGTCGGTCGCCCTGCTCGATTCTATCTCTTGGGTCTTGATTTGGCGACATGTCACCTGCGGCGGCATATGCCACGCATTTTCCACAAATATAAACAATTCTTGTTGCGATCTCATCGGGGTTTAAGTCCTCGAGTTTTTTCTTAGCACGCCAGAAGGTAAGTGTTGGTCGTCCTGCCTGGAAAGCCGCCCAGATATCCTGTCGGAGCCAAGCCCACCACACGGCTTGCCTAAACCCATCAACAGACTCGCCGTCATTGTCTTGGGATCGCTGAATCCAGAAAGAGCCTCGCAAATGCTGTTCCCAGACACCACTGGTCGAGATGCTGTCAGCATCGAACATCTCGTACGTGCTTATCATGGTAGCTGTTGCCAAAATTTCATGTGAGTCGGCATAGGAGGGGTAGAGGAGTGTCTGCGAGAGATATTGGAGCGTTTCGTAGTAGTACTGAGTGGCCATGTGTGCCGGATCAGTGTCTGACTCTGACGGAAGGCCAGCACCTGTTGGTAGCGAAGATGGTGTATTCATATTTGGGGCTGCAGGGTCGCCTGGTACATCTTCACCGGACACATTATGAAGACCAAGGGACATATGTTTTGCCCCAACAGCAAGGATCGACTTCAAGAGCCCAATATTTCGAAGTGCAAGATGAGGCACGACGTTACTGAAATGCCGAGAGGGATCAAACAGGTCCAGGATTGGGCCCACAACTTCAATGTAGTAGCGAAAGAACTTAACGTCGATCGCCGATAGCTTTATCCGATCTGCTGTGTTCCAGGGCTCGGACATCTGTTGATATTCCAGCAAAGGAGCTTCGCGTCCACCTTCTCGCTCTTCCGGCGTGTTCCGCTGCTGATTAGTCTGCCTCCTGGCTTGCCCAGGTTGAGTCTCGGAGCTTTCGCGGGTTGGTGACTGCCTTCTAGACAGGGCGATTTCGGGGAATCTCCATCTTGAATCGTCCGCTGATGTTTCCTTCTGTCGTTGGATATTGATGATGGCATCTCGTGCTAGCAAGTCGTACCATTCAAAGGGGGAGATGTTGAGCAGAGATATCTGGTTTAGTGAAAATGGAGACGCTGCGAGCCCTGAGTCTAGACTGGCCACTCTTTGGTCAGTCGCTTCGCCCTGGCAGTTTTGCTGTGGCGTCTCTGTCAAGGTGTTTGTATGCAGTAGTCCAGAGGCTTCAACAGGGCCTGAGGTAGCCTGGGCATGAAAGTAGGGTGCGGTCCCAATATTCGACCGCTGCTCCTGTATAGCCCCTGAACTGCTGGTGCCGTTCTCCCCGTGACGCCCTTCCTCCACACAATTCTCTGTATTCGACGGCGTCCTTGGGGTCCCATGTTCGGCCCCGGCTCTGTTGGCCTGGTGCTGGTCGGCGACCTGGGCAGCAGCTACCTGCGAAGCATCGTCGGCATACCGGCAGAGTCGGTCGGACTTGGAGCATCGTAAACAAGTGGGTCTGACATCATCGCACTTCACACGTCTCTCCCTGCATGTAAGGCTGCTCTGGGTTAGCGAGGTCGGGTTCGCCTAATGTCCACTCGAGATTGACTGCGCTGGTTTTCCGCCTACCATCCTGTCTTGGTTCTCAGGCCGCGAGCCCGAGATGGTCTAATTCGGCGGCGCCGATTCGCCGTGGCGCTGCCTCCAGTCGCTGGCGTTCGTCGCGCGGTGCTGGGAGTGTCCATGGAGGCGGCATGGGTGGTTTCGCCTCGAGGGCGCCGTCCGTTAAGTATTGTTTTTCCCCGCATCCGGCCGACCCACTCACGACAAAAGCCATGCCGTTTCATTCGATTCGAGCCCAATCTGCAGCATGATCAGACGGACGAAGCAGACGATTGCTACGCAAATGAATTTAACGATCACAAGGCGATGATTGAAAGGGAGTGGACATTGTTGATATGACGCTTCACGATACTTTCGGCACTCAGCGGTTTAAGAGACGTCCTCTCACTCTCCGCGATTCTAATTATCCGCATTGACCAAATCCATTTTGGCACACAATGGAACCCGAGCTCAAAGTTGCCATCATTATCAATTCTGATTCCACCTCCGAGGACCTTGCTTTTAACCACACGGCTGGGGATCTCGTGTCTATTTTGTCCAGGGAAGGGAACTGGGGACCACCAGCAGTTCGCCTTATCACGGACGATGTACGCCAAATACAGCGAGCAGTTTGCGATTACACCGATGGCCCTGACTGGCAGAACCTGGTTTTGCTAGTCCAGGGGACAGATTCAACGACCGATGATCCTCTGCCTAAGGTGAGTGCCTGGTTCCTGGCGCCATCGTCAGCCTACCGGATCTCATGTGCTGATGATATTACCATCTCTACCATCCCAGGCTGTCGCTCCCTTAATTTTTCGCTATATCTCAGGCCTTTCGTGAGTGAAGCATTTAGATTACTCGCTTCCGTACACGGGCTAATTTTCTACAAAATCGTCTAGAAAGTGCATGATGGCCGAGTCATCGACTCTAGCATCCACATCCTGTGAGATAAAAGCACCCCTTTAAACCGACCCCTCCGCCATACGCACCTCAGCTCATTTCAATTCGGATATAGTTGCAACACTACCAATCTCTGGTGTTCGCGGCAAATCTTTGATTCTCGCTCTACCAGGGCCCCCTCGAAACGTTACCCGGAATCTCGAAGCAGTTGTAAAGCTCCTCCATGCATGCTTGCAAACCTCTGGAGCTCGCCTGAGTTCCTTTGCCGAACATCCCCGACTTCAACCTCGATCAAATTCCCGCCATCACCACAATCATCACCATCGTCATGGTCTCATCTCCACTGTTCGGCCTGGCAAGGATTATCACACGTTACCACACCCTATGCTCTCCGTGCAGGAAGCACTCCGCAGAATCAGCGAGCAAACATGTGCTCCTGTTGTGATCAAGTCCCCAATAACGACTTCTATTATTGGCTCAATTGTTGCCGAGGATGTCTACGCTGCAGAGGTGGTGCCAGAAAGTCGCATTAGCAAATTCAATGCCAACGCCAACATCGAAGTTGAAAACAGAGCTCTCAGTAGGCATCATAAGGACCATGTTGAGATACCGGTGGATAGCGAAATTGCGCTGCGTTCTCGCATTTTTGCTCGCGGTGATCTCATCTCCGCGACCAGTGGTGACATTGGCCTGCTTGCTGCGGCAGGAATCCGAAGAGTCAAAGTGTTCAAGAAGCCGCGAGTGGGTGTCCTCAGTATTGGTGATGAGCTTATGCAGCAGTCGGATACCTGCGATAATGTTGACGACCGGATCCTTGACTCGAATCGCCTAGCCATTTTATCCTGTCTAAAATCCTGGGATTTTGAGACCGTGGATCTTGGAATCGTACGTGGATCTGGGCAATCCTTATATGAACTTTTTCATGCGTCCTCTGGCATCGATGTGACGGTGATTACCGGTAGCAGGTATGAAGCCGAGCTCGATCTTAAGCTCGCGATCGAACGCTCGCTCGGCGGGACTGTCCTCTTTGATCGAGTTTCTATCAAACCCGGCGAGCAGACAACCTTCGCGACAGTATCCACGAAGACTTCTTGGGGCATCCAAGAGGAATTCACGTCGAGACTCATCTTTTCCCTACCTGGAAGCCTGGATTCGGCCTTGGTTGCCCTCAATATTTTCGTCTTACCCTCCCTCAATCAGCTTTCTGGTGCCTGCGAGGGCTATAATCCTCTATTTAAAATGCCCTTGATGCCACCGCGGCTAGGTCTGCCTCGCGTTGCTGTGGTTCTGACACATTACATCCCTCTTGATCATGAAGTGACCGAGTATCATCGCGCTGTGGTTACGGGATCTCGCTCTGATGGCCGGTTGTATGCCACTATCATTGGCGCTGGGCGGTCCATAGGCCAGCAGTGCTCGTATCCGGGAGGTACTGCCGAAGCCAACGCCCTAGTTGTTCTCCAGCCGGGACGGGGCGTCGGGATCAAGGGCGAGATAGTGGAGGCATTGATGATGGGTCCTATCTCCGGCTCAGATACTCGAATTATCTGTTAAATTTTCATGTTTTCTATTACCAACCAGTCTCTAAATCTAGATTCAGTGTAGACATTGAACTTTCTCCAAGGACATTCTCCTGCACGAAAATCTCAACTTTGAGCTATCTGCTTGTGCAGACATGTGCAGCTATTTTCCACGTGCTGTAATTCCCAACCATGAAGGATCACTGAGTATACCTTCATTCCTAGTACCTGGTGAGTGACCTATCAGAGTGATGGTAATCCAGATGCACATGCATAGACGAGTCGATATACCACAGGAAAACATCTCTATAGAGGAATCGGACCAATTGGGGCGATGATCTTCAGTATCGGGCAATTGCAGGCAGCTCCATACTAGAGAGATGTTCTAGATGGTTCTTTGGCTACGTTGCCGCAGTGGATCGTCGGGTAGGATACAGATGCCCCGCGCCCAACCTGTGAGAAAAAATCTCATTACCCCGCCACGACCGCGGCAACGGCGCAAAACAAACATCTGACCATCGTGCAATTAGTTACAGTCCTTGGAAATTAGTAAAGATCATTATTTGGTCATGAAACTTTTGCATTTTTTCATCAGACCAGCCAATTATTGGGCCAGGTTCTAGGTTCGTAACTAGGGGTTCCTAAGACATCAAATATTCCATCATCACGCCATTTCTACGTTAGCCGACTGCTCCATTTACAGCTTCTGCATGGCAGCAACGTCGGTGGACTGGACGTGGTCCTCGTCATCCTCGATCTGAGCCTGGAGCTCATCGGTGGAGACCTTGTCGTCCTCGACGACCAGGTTGATCTGGAGCTTCTTGATACCGAAGCCAACGGCAACGAACTTGGAAGCACCCCAGACCAGACCCTCCATCTCGATGGCACGGACGTTGGCCTCAAGCTCCTCAAGGTTGGTCTCATCATCTGCGATGATTTGTTAGCAAAACAGCCCGGTGGCTAGCCAGAAAAGATAATACATACCCCAGGGCTTCACCTCCAGGGTGACCAGGGACTTGGCGACGGGCTTGGGCTTAGCGGCCTTCTTGGCCTTGTACTCCTCAAGACGCTTGTTGCGCTCAGCAACAACGGAGGCATCCTCCTCCTCGGAGTCGGAGCCGAAAAGGTCCTCCTCGTCGTCCTCGGGCTTGTCCTTGGGGTTGGCAGAGGCCTCCGGAGCCCTCCGGGCCGTAGGCAGTGAAAGCCTTGGAGGCGTCACCGGGGAGGGTGGAGAACTCGCTCTCGTAGGAGGCGATGTGCTTGTACCAGCGGGCGACGTGGGGGTACTTCTCAGCGTCGGGGGCAGCGGTGAAGGCCTTGAAGGTCACGACATCAGCCTGGCTGGGGGAGTTGCTATCAAGAACAGTCAGTTGATGTTCCACAAGATACATTGGCGATTCACAATGCAGGAATAAGCGCAATCGGGATCAGAGACGCGATTTCTCGCAATTGGATGTAGTCTTATAGCGGGGTCTTAATCCGCCTCCTAAACACGGACCAATTTCTTCTCATCATAAAAAGCAAGGCAAACAAGATCCAAGATCCAAGTAAGGGATGTAACCAAGGGACAATAGCAAAACAACAGAACATCGAGCGAAAGGGGAGAGTAGCTTACCCAACGACGTAGCTGCGGGTAGAGAGGTAGTTGTTGGCCACTGGGGGGCGACAGTCAGTTCACGTTCCATCATTAGGTGGCGGTGGTATGCGTACGAGACAGGCCGGCATCAGAGACGAAGTCGGTGAAACCCATTGTGAACGAAGGTGGTTGTGGTGGAAGGAATAAGGGGGGAAAGAAAATAGTGGGAGACGCCGAGGGGTAGAATTTTCTTAAATTGGCGGGCGCCGGCTGGCCGGGCCGGATCAATGTGTGCCCGCTTCGTGACGGAGCTGGTGGGCGACTGCTCAGAGCTTCCGCCACTCACAGCCGGCGCGGTGGAGCTTTCGAGAAGCATCGTGGTGCCTCCGTCGTCGGGCTATTTAATACTGGCGCAATAGTCCTCCCCCAGCCTGCAAACCCCCCTGGCACCATGGCGGCGAGACTCTCCCTGACCAGCCGTGCGCGGCTACTGCGACCTCCCAACCTCCCACGGCCCCGATCCCTGACCGCAAGCTCGCGCGCCTCAGTACTTCCCCGGACCCCGGGTATCCTTGCGCCCGCGGCCAGACTCACGCCAATCGCCACTGTACGCCATTATGCCAATGGCCGACCTCATCCTCCGGGCGGTACGCACCGCATGAATATGAGTGGTGAGGAGGAGAAGGCTGCTCTCGAAAAATACGGTGTGGACCTGACAGCTAAGGCGAAAGCTGGAAAGCTCGACCCGGTCATCGGCCGCGACGCGGAGATCCATCGAACGATCCAAGTCCTGTCTCGACGTACCAAGAACAACCCGGTTTTGATCGGTGCAGCTGGTACGGGTAAAACAGCAGTTCTGGAAGGCTTAGCGCAGCGCATTGTGCAAGGCGATGTCCCCGAGAGCGTCAAGAACAAGAAGGTGATCTCGCTGGATCTGGGCTCGCTCATTGCAGGTGCGAAGTTCCGTGGTGACTTCGAGGAACGTCTGAAAGCGGTCCTGAAAGAAGTCGAGGACGCACAAGGCGGTGTCATTCTCTTCATCGATGAGCTCCACACTCTACTAGGACTGGGCAAAGCGGAGGGCAGTATCGATGCGAGCAATCTACTCAAGCCTGCTCTTTCCCGTGGTGAACTACAATGCTGCGGTGCTACCACTCTCAATGAATACCGATTGATCGAAAAGGATGTGGCTTTGGCTCGCAGATTCCAACCCATCCAAGTAGGCGAGCCGTCTGTTGCATCGACCATCTCCATCTTGCGTGGTATCAAGAACAAGTATGAGGTGCACCACGGTGTTCGGATTACGGACGGCGCCCTCGTTGCTGCCGCCACGTATAGTAACCGTTATATTACCGATCGATTCCTCCCCGACAAGGCAATCGACCTCGTCGACGAAGCTGCCTCAGCACTCCGCCTGCAGCAAGAATCGAAACCCGATGCGATTCGCGAACTTGAGCGTGACATCACCACTATTCAGATTGAGCTTGAGTCGCTGCGCAAAGAAACCGACGTGAGCAGTCGCGAGCGACGCGAAAAACTCCAGGAAGAATTGAAGACCAAGCAGGAGGAAGTCGGCAAATTGACCGAAGTTTGGGAAAAGGAGAAGGCGGAGATCGACTGTATAAAAAATACGAAGGAAGAGCTTGAGCGTGCACGCTTCGAGCTCGAGAAGGCACAGCGTGATGGCAGCTTTGCCAGAGCTGGAGAACTTCGATACTCCATTATTCCTGGGCTTGAAGCGAAGCTTCCCAAGGACGGCGCAGAACAAGATTCTGAATCACAGACCCTGATCCACGACTCAGTCACTCCCGACGATATTGGCAACGTGGTCTCTCGTACCACAGGCATCCCGGTCAACAAACTGATGGCTGGTGAGGTCGAGAAACTGATCCACATGGAGGATACCCTCCGGAAGTCGGTTCGTGGACAGGACGAGGCTCTTGCGGCGGTTGCCAATGCTGTCCGGATGCAAAGGGCCGGTCTCAGCGGTGAGAACCGTCCTCTGGCGTCCTTCATGTTCCTTGGGCCGACTGGTGTCGGTAAGACCGAACTTTGCAAGAAAATGGCAGAGTTCCTCTTCTCTACTGAGCAAGCCGTCGTGCGATTTGATATGAGCGAGTTCCAAGAAAAACATACCATCAGTCGTCTCATCGGCTCTCCTGCCGGTTACGTCGGCTACGACGATGCTGGTCAGCTCACTGAGGCTGTTCGGCGAAAGCCTTACGCAGTCCTTCTCTTCGATGAGTTTGAAAAGGCTCACCGGGACATTTCAGCCCTGCTGTTGCAGGTCCTTGATGAAGGTTTCCTCACAGATGCCCAAGGCCATAAGGTCGACTTCAGAAACACTTTGATTGTCTTGACCTCCAACCTTGGTGCCGACATTCTCGTGGGTGCCGACCCCTTGCATTCCTACAAGGACACAGGCGACCCCGAGGTTCCAGCGGATATCAAAAAGGCAGTGTTGGACGTTGTCCAGGGCGCCTACCCACCTGAGTTCCTCAACCGGATGGACGAATTTATCATCTTCAAGCGTCTCTCTCGGGAAGCGCTGCGTGATATTGTCGACATTAGAATCAGGGAACTCCAGGGACGCCTTGATAGCCGTCGCATGACCTTGCAGGTGGATAATGAGATCAAGGATTGGTTGTGCGAGCGAGGCTACGATCCTCGATTCGGTGCTCGCCCTCTCAACCGTCTGATCGCGAAGGAGATCGGTAACCGACTGGCCGACAAAATCATCCGTGGTGAAGTCGTTTCTGGACAGACTGCTCGTGTTTCTCTCAATGCGGATAAGTCTTCGTTGGAGGTCACTGTCGATGAGACTGAAAACAACGCATGATTGAAATTATTTGCGATGGTGTTTTATATGGGCATATCTTTTCTGGTCGCATTTAACGATTGTCTTTTTCTCACGAACTATGTATCATTATCTCCCATCTATTGTACAATAATGAAATTCCACTTTGCATGCCGCTGTCCTCTTCCTACACTGTAGGCTTGTCCCGTGATGCTCTAACGTGACCCCTGTAGCCGGCCTGGAGTCTGCCTTCACCACCTTCTTCCGACGTCCCTCCAAGTTCGAATTTGTCGCCCAGTTCCACCAAAATGCGGTCATCTCAGAAACGAAAGAGATCGCCAGGCGCTCCTCGTCGGCCTCCGATCACGCCCCGTACCTATGGGTCGAGGCCCGCTCCCACACCGTATGCTTGCACCAGAGCATTCTACGATCTAGAACGCGAACCATCCAGCGGCAGACAGTTCCAGACTCCATTTCCGACCGAGTCTCAGCCCGAAATAGATGACTCCCAGAATCACACTGACGACGACCTGAACCATGTCATCGCCGCTATCGATATGAAAGACTATGGGACGGTGGGTTGCGCATACTACTCCGCGGTGGAGGAAAAGGTCTACATCTTAGGAGATTGCCATTCTGGGGAAACGGGAACCGTGGAGGCTTGTAAGTTCGCCTGATATTTGTGCCTTCACATTCTTCCAGGTTGCTGACGGGATCATTGGAAGTGATATCCCAAATCAGGCCGACCGTTATACTCCTACCTCCTCGAGTTGATATTCCGGGTTTGCTCGACCACAACCAAAATTTCGCCCAAGAGACAGGTAGATTTTTTGCTTGGATGCTTTACTCACACTGGTGAATCTGATCGCTTTAACCTAGACCTCTCCTCCTATCTTCCGTACCAGGTCGATGTCCGCCCCTCGCAAGAATTCAGTGTCACCAATGCAAAGAATAGATTGGTCACCCTCGACATTTCGTCCGCTCATGAGGACCGACTACGTTTCCTCGTGCCTCAAAGCGGTATATCTGGTCCCGAAGGATTAGATACGGAGGATATGGGGTTTACCCTTCGCGAGGGTCGACTCCTTCACATTTCCAGCTCTATCGATACAGATAACCCGGTGTCAGTTGGGTGTGCCGGAGCTGTTCTCGCCAATTTACAGCGACGCAGAGCTACCGGGAAAAGCATGGATCCCATCGGCCCCACGGACCAGTGTCCATTTCTTGTGAAGCACCTCGAGATGTTTAGCTTGAAGAAAACGATGCAAGTTATCGCCCGTCAGTGATTCGGCATCGCGAGCAGATGAACTAACTAGACCGTGGACTAGGCTGATGGGCAGCAATACGTTTCAATCCCTTCAGATTATCCAGTCTGAATCTCATCCGAACTTTTTCAACCAAGGGCCGGGCACAAAGTCACCTTCCAGCAAGGAAGGACTTTCCATTTTTGGCCTTTTTCAGCGCTTCGCGAACACTCCTCAGGGTAGAGCCAAGCTGAAGCAAATCTTCTTCCGGCCAAGTGTGGACCTCGATATCATTCGACAACGGCATGACTTCATCGGCGTTTTCTCGCGACCAGACAACATGGGTCTTCTAGAAAAGATGACCAAAGCATTGAAGCATATCAAGAATTTGCGTCCTGTGATGACCAATCTTCACAAGGGAATCAGTACTGGAAGTGCGAAGATCACTGGCTTCAAAACCACGGTCTGGGCAAGCCTGCTCGCTGTATGGCTCCTCCTTGTCTGTTCATGTGTGCAGATCTAATTTATTTATGAAGTTTGCGTTCTATTCAATCGACATCCACGACTCTCTGCGTGAGGCTTCCGGGGCTAATCTCCCCCTGCGGGCAAAAGTTTGAAACTCATCTCACCCCTGTCCTCGCTAAGTACTAACTCATTAAAGGCACTCCAAATATTCGAAGCAGCGCAGCTATACAGAGTGGGCCGAATGATTCAAGAGATTGTCAGCGAGCCCCGATTATTGATTGATTTGATGCAGCAGCTAACCTGTTCCAGGTTGACATTGACAATTCCGAAGAACAAGGGAGAACGGTAGTCAAACAAGGTCTTGATCGAGAGCTCGATATGATGAAAGATCGATATGACGGACTCAATAGTCTCTTGAAGCATGTTGCCATCGACATTGCCATGACCATCCCGGAAGATATGGAAATCGATGTCAACGTGATCTACTTTCCTCAGCTCGGCTTCAATATTGCCATTCCCCTGAATGATCGAGAACAACCCACATACTCCGGCACCGATGACTGGGAGCTTGTTTTCACCACTGAAAACAGGGCCTACTTCAAGGACTTTCGGATGAGAGAACTGGATGAGAAGCTCGGAGATATCTATGGGCTCATTTGCGGTAAGAATACATTTACCGTATGCTTTACAGTCCTTTACGCTGATAGTCATCTCTATCACAGAGAAAGAGATTGAAATTGTGTACGATCTCGCGCAGAGAGTGCTGCAGTACGAAGACATGCTTATTGAAGCATCTGATGTTTGTGGAGATCTGGACAGGTACGGCGTCGCGGTCTCGATAACTTTCCGAGCAATTTGGAGCTCATCATTCGTGTAGCCTCCTAGCTTTCACACAGTCAGCCAGCTTTTATAAGCTAACACGACCGCGCATGGTACCAGAAAATATCATCAAGATCAAGAGTGGCCGGTAATAACCCTCCCAATTAGTTCGCTACTTCAATTGCTGATACCCGAAAGACATCTGCTGCAAGAGATGACTGTTTCGTCTTACGTGCCGAATGACACCTTGCTTTTTGGTGGCAGAGAGGAGGTGGACCACGACCAAGCTCCCTCGCAGGCGGGCCTTGCTCCCAGCATGATTTTGCTCACAGGACCGAACTATTCAGGCAAGAGTGTCTATATGAAGCAAGTCGCTCTCATCCTTTATCTCGCGCAGATTGGGAGGTTTGTTTGACTCTTTCGTGTGACTCAAGTTCTGCCACTAATTCTTGGTAGCTTTGTTCCTGCAGATAGCGCAGAGCTTGGCATCACTGACAAAATCTTGACCAAGATCAACACCCAAGAAAGTGTCTCTAAAGTAAGACAAATAACGCAGCCTTTTACACAACAAAGACACTGATCAAACTCCAGTTACAGAGCACTTTCATGAGCGATTTGCAACAGATTTCTCTTTGTCTCAAGCAGGTTTCTGGGCGAAGTCTGGTCCTCATCGACGAGTTTGGCAAAGGGACGGATGGGAATGGTAAGTCGAGACTCGTCAGTCCTCTTCAATTTTTTTAATTAACTGTGAAATCTTACTGATCCTTTGAATAGATGGCATCGGACTTGCTTGCGGAATTTTGGACCATCTCTTAAATCTGGAAGATGCTCCAAAGGTCATCGCGGCCACGCATTTTCATGAAATTTTCGAGCACAACTTTTTGGCCCCACGCCCGAGACTACAACTGGGTCATATGGAAGTGAAAGTCTGCGACGAGTATCGAGAAGCAGAGGACCAGGTTACATACCTTTACAAGTACGCCCTTTTGTCCTGATATTTCCTCGATTGAGAATCAGAGAGGCTGATAAATGATGCAGTTTTCGCCCGGGCCGCAGCAGCAAGAGCTTTGGCACGATGTACGATCTCTTTCTTGACCCACAATACATCTTGGTTCAAGGAATTTCTAATGGATCACAGATGTGCTGCAATTAACGGCATCGATGCGGCCATTGTCGCCCGTGCGGACGAGATTGCCTCGCTCGCAGCCCGGGGTGAGAACCTGATCGCGGCATGCGCCATTCTACCTCGTGAAGAAACAACAGTACTTCGGCAAGCGGTATGATAGTTTTGGTCCAAGTTAGTAGTTGAATGACTGAATGCTGACTTCTCGGCAGGACTCACTGGCGAGAAGGTTCCTTGAACTAGATCTGTCGAATCAGGAAGGGTCTCGGTTGAACACGAAGACGATGCTGACAGATTTATTCAAGAGTTCGGACTAAGACTGGATGGGAGAGTTACCTGAAGGTGCTTTGCCTAAAAATATGCCTTACACCCCACGTCTTATTTCTTATTTGCCTGCGCCACGTTACGCTAACATTCTTAATTGGTCCGGGGCATAATGCTACTTCCCCGTCGATCTATACTCTTCCCAGCACGCTACTATCAACCCTCTCCACTCTGCCTTCCCCAAGTACCACGCACTGGGGGATCGAGAGTCTGGGGGCCGAATTACACGAGTTTATCCCGGTCTACCCCGGTCAGGTCAGGTGTGATGACTTGGACGCGGCGACTGCGGCCTGCGGCTGACGATAAAATGCCCTGAACTTTGTACCTCTTTCGCTATGAGAGCTTCGCGATTCAATGAATCTTCGTATTCTTTCATTTCCGCTCTTTGGTCTAGATTCCATCACTTATTCCCAGCCCATTGATGATCCGGGGTCTTTCCTCTGCCCCGCATGTCGCAATCGCAGATGTCAGAACTCGTGAAGGACGCCAGGCTACCTACCAAGCTCGACCCCGAACATACCATCCACACGTTTCTGGAATCCAGTCACGTTTCAGGCCGTCGTGCACGTCGTCGAGAACGAGAGGAGATATGGCAAAAAAAGAGATACCTGGGTATTGGCGTGTTTGGGACCGTCTCGTTGGAGGAGTGCGTGTCCGATAGCGGGAGTAGGCTGCGGGCTGTCAGGGAAGTGCGCAGAATCACGCAGGACGCAACACCTATCGACTTCAACCGAGAGCTAGAAGCAATTGCCAAGCTTTCTCAGCAAAAGGTAGCAAATCTCCGGTCTCATTTTCGCCGAGCATGCTCCGTTGATATGACTTTTAGTACGATGGCTGCTTCGTCAAATCGTCTGGATGGTTCGAAAGCTCAGAATCGCTTTACATTTCGATGGAATACATTCCGGCTGGGGACCTTCAAAGATACATTGCGCAGCCATTCCCTGAGCGAGAAGCTCAGCACATCACACTGCAGTTGCTGGAGGGTCTTGATTTTATGCATAGCAATGGATTCCACCACGGTGATCTTCAACCCAAGGTATGCTCTCAATAATGTAGATCCGCTTACTATAGCAAGGCTAACGGTTGCTCTTTCTTCTCCCCAGAATATCTTTGTCCTTTCTCCCGGGCCAGAATGGTGGGTCAAGATTGGTGACTTTGGAATCGCCAAGCGGGTCATGAAAGGATTGACGGGACGACAATCATTTAATGGGACACCAGCTTTCAGTGCACCAGAGCTTTACGAGCATATTTGGGCGCCTTACGAATCAAAGCAACTGGACAATACGGAATTCTGTCCTGCGGTCGACCTCTGGTCAATTGGGGTCATCAGCTACTACTTCTTCACAGGACAACTGCCATTTTCCCGGCAAAGTGATCTCCTCGGTTACTACAGGGGTGAAAAAGAACTACCATTGACCTTCCTAGTACAAGTTCATGCAAGTCCAGAAGCATTAGAATTTTTGAAGGCTGTTCTTGCACGAAATCCGTCCGATCGTTTACCTGCGCGAGACGCTTTGGACCATGCTTGGCTAATGCCTTTGCAACAAGACTCGGAGGCAGAAGACCAAACTGAACTGTCGAATCCAGTCGAAGCAAATCATACATTTCAAATGATCCCAAGTCCATTACACGTTCAAAAACCCGAGATTTTCCAGACTTCGCAAGATGTCTTGGTCCCGGGAACGATTGATTTGACGGCTTCGCAACAACAAAAGAAACCTTCTGAAGACAAACCCCCACAATTACCAATACCACTCTCACAATGCCTTGGATTTGATGGCGACACGTACAAACAAATAGTCAATAATCACGTCTCTGGCGCAAGCCCATCCATCAACGAGCATCCCGATTTGCGGAATGAAGCCTCTACCACACAATCACACACCAGCGAGTCTCAGCACAGCGAGACTCATCGTTCAGAATACACCCGACAGCTCTCCTCGGCCGCCACAACATATTTGCCTACGGACACTCTACAGGGATATACACGGCGAAGATCTGACGCGGCACCGATACCAATCACAGATTTGAATCACCGGACAGCCGATTCGAACGGCCATCGGGTCGCGAAACCGGAGAGTACCCATTCCAGTATCAAAAGCCACGATCGCCTGTCAAAAAGAATTCGCCGGGCTTCGAAAGACATCGTACCAAAACGTCGCCGCTCACAAGATTCAACATCCCCGAAGGAGACTGAAAGTCCGATGTCGCCGAAGTCACCAAACAGGTACCTACATCCCATTTTATTCGCGGTATCCTAGTTTGAGTTAACATGACTTAGCACTACTTCTGGAAGTAAAAAGACAAAGTCTCATATTGTGGAAATTCCCGGTCGTCCGCAATTCGCTGAAGGGCTGCCCATGTTTCCCATGCGGTCCAAGAAGGCTTAAGGGAAGATTTGTTTTGATATTGCTAGTATCATAGCTCAAGAAACTCGTCCGTTTCAATGTGATCCGTCATGCACTATGATACATTGCCTTAAGAAGCGTATATTCCTATTGATTTCTTATGATAGTTTGTAAAAAGAGTGGACATTGAAATGGTGAAATTGAAGGTTATATACATAAATGCCTGTATCTTCCATGAACACGGTAGACGCCAGAAATGACCAAATACATCCATAAATTTTATACCCGGGCCTATCAGAGCTTGACCGACTTGACCAAATTCTTCTTGATACCCGTAAGCTCACCACCATAGCCACCACGGCTCTCACCGCCCTTGTAGATCTGCTTGATACTGCCAAGCTTCTTCTTCTTGTCGTCATACTTCTTTCTCTTCTTGACACGCGGGTTACGGGAATCCTTACTCCGCTTCGGCGTAAGACCCTTGTTCTTCTCGATCTGATATGTGATCGCACGCTTGCCATCGGGTCCAATCTCCTCCTGCACCTCGACGTGGCCACCCTCGGCAGCCGCAGCGGCATATGCATCCGCGCGCGCCTTCTTGTCGTCCTTGCGTGACTTGTTTCGGGCAGCGACCATATCGTAGTATTCGTCTTCGTCGGTGCCGGATTCGTTACCCTTCCGGAGTTCATTGCGCACACGTAGGTCCTCCTCATCACTGTCACCACCCAATTCTTCGCCAATGTCGGGTTTCTCACGACCACGTTTCTCGGCCTCGGCGTTAAGTCGGGCCTGGCGATCCCGCAGACGCTCGCGGTAAGGGATATCTGCATCACCACCTGCTTCAACACCGGCATTCTGCCGCTTGTTGGCCTTCTGAGCCAGCTGCGAGGTGTAGAAACGAAGGGAACGCTTCTGCTTAGCCTTTTCTTCGGCCTCGCGAGCTGTCAGGGCACCCTCATCACCGAAGTCGGAATCGTCGTCGTCCTTGGAAGGCTTCTTAGTCTTCTTGGTCTTGCGCTTCTGAGCAGGCTGGGTGACCAGGTCGTCAAGGTCAGCCAGACCAGCCTCAGTCTCGCGGAGACGCTCGGCACGACGGGCCTCGGCCTCGGCTCGGGCTTCCAGAGTAGCCCGTTCGGCCTTGCTCAGCTTCTTCGATTTGGCGGCCTCCTTGGCCTTGGTAGCCTGCTTCTGGGCCTTTGCGGACTCCGTCTTGGTAGTAGGCTCAGCCACCTCAGGCTCTTCAATCATCTCAACAACCTCTGGGGCCTGGACGTTTTTGACCTTGTCCCAAAGCTTGCGGAATTTAACAAGAGATCCCATAACGGGATGTTGTCGGAGTTCGGCAGGGGACATAGAGACGCTGCCGCTTGTCCCATCCGAAGATGAAGCCAAGAGCATAAAGTACATGCCGATAGTACCCAGGTATGCGGACAAAGCACGCAGTTTGATTACCGCCACGGGAGCCGGCTGGGGTTCATCCGCGTCTTGGTTGTTGGTTTTCTTGGCTTTCGATGCCTCTTCCTCTAGTTCCTTGTAAGTGGCTTGCAAGTCGCGGAAATTCTTAGCCAAAGGCTCGAATTCGGGGTATCGTGACTTGAGAATCTTCAACTTTTCTTCGGTTCCCATGTCCTCGGTGATTTCAAGCTGGGGGAGCACTTCAGTAACGTCTCCAGCATTCTCGGCTTCGTCGTCCTTGGTGTCCGCCCACTCAGACTCGTCAAACCCGAAATCAGCCTCTTCCATGGCCTGGAGTTGCTTCTGTTGTAGTCGCTTGGCTTCTTGCTCTTCTTCGAGAGCGTCGTTTTCGGTCTCGATCTGGTCGGCATTATAGAGATCCTTCTTTGATGAACCCCAGGCTGCAATTCCGTCCTCCTCCTCGTCCGAGTCGGCCCCGTCCTTTCGCTTCGGCTGACCCATATCATCGTAATCATCCTCGTAGTCTTCTTCGCCTTCGAGGTCGCCTTCGTCCTCATCTTCATCAACGGATTCGTAGCCCAGAATTTCTTCGTCGGAAGGTTGAAACATATCCTCTGTGATCAATTGTCAGAACCATATCTCATGTAGCGCATCGTTCTGAATCCATTGGCATACCTTGCTCGGCTAGTCTCCGCCGGCGCTTCGCATCTGGCGCCTCATCCAGGAAGATGTGATCCCGGCCAGTCTGGAAGTCGTCTTCCGAATCGTCGAAACGCTCCTCAATATCGAACTTTGTGCGCGCAGGGGCTTCGCTCTTGGTCGCCGGGCGACCGCCGGCCTTTCTCTTTTTTAGCCATGGTGAACTTGGGCGTCTCAGCTGATCTGCTTTTGCGAGAGACCGCCGACAAAATAATTTTTTTGGAGACCGCACTCACCGCCTGGAGGCGCTAACCCCAAAGTGGTGTTTTTGTCTGGTTTGCATTTCGTGAAAGATCAAGACGTAATAAATACAGGAATGACTGGTTAAGCGTGTTGTAATATAGTTTTCTGAAAACCATACCCACGCCGTCAACCATCGCACCTGCCATCGACAGAAACCACCCAAAGGCAAGCGCCCGCAATTCCCCTTTTTCCCTCGCGCTGTTTGTTTTATCCTTCTTCCCCATGCCTCAGGTGCCCCCATTCCACTCTTTATCCAACCTGTCCACCCCAACTCTGGGAATATCAGTACTTGTCTGCACAATCCTCGCCTATACGGTTGCCAAGATGTTCGGATTCGGACGAAAGAACGAGTTCCCCGTTGAGGGTCGCGTGAGTACAGCCCCTGGCCTTCTGCAAGCTCTGGCTAACCTCGATCGATCAGGTTGTGGTCATCACCGGTGGCTCCGATGGCATGGGTCGAGCCGTTGCTGCGAACTTGGCTGGACGAGGTGCACATGTCGTTGTTGTCGCACGTAGGGTCTCTAAGCTGCAGAGCACTGTCGAAGAGATGCGGGTTCGTATTGATCTCATGTTCTTTTGATGGTTTCATTGACTCACTGTCTCTCTAGCACAAAGCCCTGAACAGTATGAAGCAGCGCTTCTTCTACATCAGTGCCGACCTCACGGATCCCGCTGAGTGTGACCGAGTGATTGCTGAAGTTACGGGTTGGAACTACGGTTCTGCTCCCGACATTGTTTGGTGCTGCGCCGGCTTCTGCCACCCCGGCTTTTTCACCGATGTTCCGATTTCAGTTCAACGACAGCAGATGGATACCGTCTACTGGACTGCCGCCAATACGGCCCATTCAACTCTCCGAAACTGGCTGGCTCCTGTGCCGCCCAGCGGTCAGATGAAGAACCCTCGCCGCCACCTCATCTTCACTTGCTCCACGCTTGCGTTTACTCCCATTGCCGGTTATGGACCTTACTCGCCTGCGAAGGCTGCCATTCGTTCCCTGTCTGACACTCTCAGCCAGGAGATCGAGATGTACAACGGAGCTTACACTCAGCGTCACCGCAACAGCGCTCCGGCTGCTGATGTCAAGATCCACACCATTTTCCCCATGGGCATTCTTAGTGCTGGCTTCGACAACGAGCAAAAGATCAAGCCCGAGCTCACCAAGATGCTCGAGGAGGCCGACAAGCCTCAGACCCCCGAGGAAGTTGCGCAGATCTCCATCAGCGCTCTAGAACGCGGCGAATATCTGATCACCACTATGTTTGTCGGCAATGTTATGAAGGGAACCGCACTCGGACCCAGTCCTCGCAACGCGCCCGTTGGCGACACCGTGCTCAGCTGGCTGAGCAACCTGGTGTTCCTTCAGGTTATCCCTGACCTCCGCAACAAGGCCTTCAACTGGGGCAAGACCAACGGCCTTCCCCACCCTGAGTGCCCCGGTCGAGACGAGATGGAGTGCCAGACACCCCAGTCCTAAGTCACCCTAGCCCTCTTTTTTCTCATCCAGTGACCATGCAGTGATTTGTATTATACCCTCGATGTTGTCGCTGAGGCGTCGTTACATTCGTTTGGCCTGATCGATCCCTGCTCGTTTTCCAGATCCCGATCAGAGTGATTCATTATTAGTAATAAATTGATCTTGCGTTCTTTTTTCGAATTGCGAGCCCTGAGTAGAACCCCATCGTAGCATTGGCGATCCCCGACGCTGGAATGCGGGCGCCGGATCGGCGCGACGTATGTTACGTCACCACCGCGTTCCCTGCCACTTTAATTTCCTGCGGCTCCCCGCCACCTGACGACAGCAAAACCTGACAGCCCTCGATCTCGCTCTCAGACGACTCGAGTATGATACCCTGACATCGGCCGGCACTTGTCTATATCCAGAGTGTGCGCCAGGTCGGTCGCGGCGCAAATTCTCACCGCAGCACCGGCCCACTCCGCGTGATCCAAGCGACCTCACCCTCCAACTGAGAACTTTGTTTGTCGGAACAGGCCCATTGTTTGATTTCTTTGTGGCCTCGACCAATCCGCCACGATGCTTGACGCCCTGTTCTCGATCCCCTTCCTGTCCCTCATTCTAGTTCCGGTGGTGTCATCGTACAGCACCAGTCTCAACCTCCTCTTCTTCTATATGACATGGACGACCCTCGTACTATCGCATCCCCCGCTCCGTGTAGAGCTTTTCGGTACCGCGGCCGTCCGAATATTATTCTTCGCGCTACCCTCGCTCCTCTTCTTCCTGTTCGACGTTCTCACTCCATCTGCGGCGGTGGTTATTAAGGCCCAGGGCGAGAGCGGTCTTCCTGGGGGCAAAAGGCGGCGCAACATTCGGCTCAAGGAGTTCAAGGTCGCGGGATGGGCATTTTTCAATGTATGCCTCGGTATCGCTGCTCAGGCGGCCATCGAGACATTGCTGGTTCGAGGACTGGGCTGGCGCAGTGCTATAAGGGTCTCGATGAAGCTACCCATGCCGTGGGAGATGGTTAAGGACATGCTTCGTGGGCTATTGGGTCGAGAGGTACGGAACTTCCTTTGCAAGAGAGCCTTGGCCTCCGAGCGCAATGCTAACATTTATCCCGATAGATTCTTACCTACGTCCTGCATCGTTACATCCTACATCATTCCAGATCTTCGATTCTCGCATCGCGCCATAGATCCTGGTTCCACAGCCTCGACAGCCCCTACCCGTTGACTGCGCACTACGATCACCCGCTCGCCTACCTAGTCGGCAGATTTCTTCCGACCTATATTCTGGCTATGTTCTTCCGCTTTCACATGCTCACCTACATGATGTATTTGACATTTATTTCCCTCGAAGAGACATTCGTCTACTCCGGATACACAGTCATGCCGACAACCTTTTTCCTAGGCGGAATTGCGCGTCGCACGGAGATGCATTTGATCACCGATGGCGAAGGCAATTTTGGGCCTTGGGGCGTTCTGGATTGGGTCTGCGGAACGACGGTTGGCGACTCGAATATCGAGGACGATCTCGTCGATGAGCTAGAAGAGCATGAGGTTGATGAGAAGGTGAGGAAAGCTCTGGAGGCTTCGAAGCGAAAGATTAGGGAGGGGACTTTGCGGAGAAATACGGGTGCGCCGCGGAGTTCACGCAGGAAAATCGGCAATGCATGATTTTATGAGGGCATGATTTATGAGTATTTAAGTTTATGTACAATGGTCATTAAAATACTTCGGTTTTGGAGAGTGAACAACTTTTACTCGGTTGTTGTTAGTGGCTTTGACTTATAGAAATGTACTGACGTGTAGGTGTAGAGCTATAGATGCATCACATTCAGGGATATATAACTGGGACCGAAACTCTGGGACAGTATCGTGAGGGTCATGATTTGAATGTCAAATTCTTTCATTTCAATTATACTCTCGAGGGAAAGAATCATGTATACCATAGGCACTGCAATTTATATTAATCACTGCACATGTCCCGGGATAGATAAATTTTAGGGTTGAGGAACTTCCAAGAAGGGCGGTGGGCCCAAATAGTCGATCTGCCCCGGACCGATTACGTCGTTACCGCACAATGGCGATTTGCCCAGTAATTAGTATAGATCTAGGCCATATAACATACATTACGCAGAAAGTCGAAACTCGTCTATAGAATGTACCCGTTTTTGGATTGCCGCTGAACCTGGGAATTGGAACTGTATGTCATACTGAACATAAAAGAAACCAGCGAGATTTCTCTCGCTGGGGCGAGGGTATTTTTAATTTTTTTGCTTGGATTTTTTCACATCACGGCTTGGTCCCCCCTTCTGCGGAGAGAAGGGAGTCATGCGGAACCGGCCACGCGCGAAGGAAAGGGATGTCTTGAAACAAGAAGAACAGCCGGACGTCCGAATTAAACCGCAGATCCTAAAAAAGCGAAAAGCATGTGTAGACGGAACTCTCCGTATGGAGTTACATGATTCGTGAAATCCAATCCTCCGTCACGCGATGGGAATGCCGATTTGCAATCGAGCCGCCCCTCGTTGAAAGATGAGTCCTCCCAAACTATCTACCGAACCCGCGGCCGCCGCTTCGCACTTTTTTACCACTTCATCTCGTGGGGCTTGTCACCGTTGCGGAGGCTGAAGGTGGAGGCGAGGTAGGAGCTCAGGAACTCCTCCTTCTTGATGGAGCTGAGGATGGACTGGTCGACGGCCTTCTGGTCGGCGGCACGGGCGGAGGCAACAACCTTCTTCTGTAGAGAGCGAAAATCGCATGTTAGTTTTCTGTTTTAACCGTATTCGATTTTTGCGGACTACAATCGAAACGCACCTGGGGCTTCTCGCCCTGCTTGAAGAAAGCCTCCTCGGTCTTCTTCTCGGCCTTCTTCTCCTTGGTGAAGTACTCAGGAGCGGAGATCTTCTCAATGGCCTTGGCGTCAACACCGGAAACGTCAACGCGCTTGGAGGTGGCGATCACGTAGCGGGCGTTGACACGGCGGAGGGGAACACCGTTGATCTTGAAGGGACCAGTGACGAGGAGGACACCCTGCTCGAGGTGCTTGAGGAGGATGACACGCTTGCCACGGAAGCGGCCAGCGAGGAGGATCAGAACGGTACCGGGCTGGAGGCTCTCGCGGACCTTAGCGGGACGCAGAGTCTTGCGGACCTGTAGATGAAATCCAACGGTTAGAATCTCGAAATTCGAAACAAATAACACGGCGACTCTGTGATTCGCGCGTTCGGAAATGCGAGCATGGTCGTTGCTCCCCAGATGGATGCGACTTTGTTGTGCGATATCGAAAACGGTTCAAATTCCACCGATCGCCACTGATTGTGTTCAAATGTGTCGCCAGTTTTCCACGGGCTCAATTCAAACAAACTCGACACCATTGTCGCATCCATCCAGATCGAACGACGCATGCCCGTATTCCTCCTCTGTTCCTCCATGTATTTCCCAGGGTATACTGACTTTCTTGGGCTGCGACTCGTCGTCCACGGGGTACCACTTCTGGGCCTTCTGGGCCGGGGCAGGCACAGTCCGCTGGCCCTTTCCAAACTGCTTCGTCTGGCCGTCCGACATGGTGACGAAGATGTGGTGTAGGTGGTTGTCGGGTTGGGGGGTTGGTGTTGGAGGTTGATGTGCGGACTTGCGGGTGGAGTCCAGTAAGAGGGTTTGTGGGAAGAACAAGCCCTATCTCACGTGATACGGGTTAGCCGAACCGATGGCGCTGAGTCATCGCCCTCGAGTGCCGGTGGGCCCAGCCACCAGTGATAGATGGGCTCTCCATAATTAGTATTCTTAATCATCAAAGATGGCTAGGACAAGAGCGATAAGGTTACCTAGGTCCACTCGTGTGAATGCCTCGTGAGTTGGACCTGGTGTCGTTGACAACCCGCAATTTAGCACCCACAGCTGGTAAAATCGACATAGATGCCGATCATGCTTGAACAAGAAGTACGACAACAATTGTGACAGAATTCAGACAGGACTACTAGTCTTTTGCGCTACAATAAATATTTTATTGATTAATTATGCTCTCTGGACTGTTCAATTTCATACGAATTAAGTATACAGTTGTCCTTCGCATTGCTTCCTCGAATATTCATTCGTCCGAATGCCCTGTCTCTCTGAGTTCGGGATACTCAGGCAGCTTCCAGTCTCCGTCTCTCTCCTTTGAAAACCGCGAGACTATCTGGGGGATGCGAAGAAAGCAAAGGAGCCTCAAGATGAATTGCATAATTGCAATGCCCCACCAAGACTCTGGAATCGCCAACCGCAGCAAGAAAATGTTGATATCTTGGACTTCATCCACAAATGGCCGGAAAATCTTATCATAGTTCACAAAAGCCTTCGAAATATCTCCTCGGTGTCGATTGATCTCACCAGCTAGGACATAAGCACCGACCAGGCTTCCGGTTGTGCCCATGCCACTGAAAGGAGAGGGGCAACTTGACGCATCGCCAAGCAGAACCACTCGGCCCTTGTACCAGGTATCTGTGTGTACTTGCACGACCTCCTGGCAGTACCAGTTCTCCGTGCTCTTCATACCCTCCAGGAATCGGCTAGCTTGCCATTGTGCATCATGAAACCTTTGGGTCCAGAACTCTTTCTGCTTTTCAGCCGGTGCTCGGGGAACACTCGATAGTTCGGGGGAATCATCTTTCAGGAAAAAGTAGACTTGAGTCTGAGTCAAACTATGAGTTCGGCGCATGATCATCCGACCACCAGGTGTAATGTAGCTTCTGCGAATGTTGTCGTCTCCTTCCTCGCGGGGAATGGACCAGTATGCCATGTGGATACCGAGCCGTCGATAAGGGTCCGGGGCATCAGGTGGCAGAATCGCCTTTCGAATGCGCGACCCTTGACCATCTGCCCCGACTAGGAGGTCATAAGTGTCAGATGAGCCATCGGAGAAATAAGCGGTAACGGAATTGTCGTCTTGGGTGAAGTGGTCAACCGTTTTACCGAATATATATTTGGCATTGTCTTTTGTTGCTTGGAACAAAATGCGCACGAGATCCCCGCGCATAATCTCATACTCCGACGTGAGGCTTTGTGTCCCCTTGCCAGTCTTGTTGGCCATGACGGTGGCTTTGACATTTCCATTGAAATCCACAAAAGACACTCCAGCCTCGTCGACTAGGCTGCGGCGGATAGTATCATCGAGACCCATGCGCCTGACCACTTCAATCCCTTGGCCACGTAGATCAATTTGAGCCCCGGTCGCCCTCAGGGCAGGAAAACGTTCGACAATGGTGACGTGATGACCAGTCCGGGCCAGCCAGTAAGCCAGCGCGGGCCCAGCGCAACCACCGCCACAGATGAGAACTTTGAGCGGAGGCATCGAAAGAAGAAGCTCGATAGTGCCAAAATGCAGTTTATATGATTTATGAAGTGATGGAATTAACGTGATCACATCCAGTCGTAATTCCTGAAACAATCTGAATGCAGAGAGCAACCTTAGACACAAGGCTGGCTGGTGGTAACTACATATATATATTCGTATCAACACTCCCACAGGTGGCCGGCATATTGCGGGGTTTACGGACAAGCCAAAAAGCCGAAGATTGAGCCGCATCATGACCGAACAGTTCAGTGATATCAGAATCCAACTCTGAATACTGGAAAGATCAATTGTAAAAGTACTTGAATTCGACGTCTAAGAATGTGAATCCCAACGGTGGATACTGTGATCGTTGGTGATCGCTTCCTGAACCGGAGATGTCGCCTGAGCTTCTGCCTTGACACCTTGCATACCAGGCCACAAACTACGGTTGTCGACACAGTCGCGGGGCGCAGGTCAGCTGCTCAGCACAAACAACCAGGAACTGACGTATCCTCTGAAGCTTCTCTCCGCAATCTCGCCCACCACCTTCACCTACTTTTTTTCATCCACCTGGAGTGGGCCAATCCAACCATCCGAATCACAACAGTTGCTGGTTGGCACAATACAAGTTTTGCCCGCCATGTCGATAGCTCCCATCATCACCTTCAAAGCAGGTATTTGCGATCTCGATGTAGGTGTTAGACCTGCCGTGGCAAGCTTCGTTGCCCTGGCTCCTTTACCGCAGAGACCTCGAACTAACCATTGCTCATCTAGAGCTCTACCTCGCCCCCTAGCGTGAAGCCCAAATCTACCCCGGGCTACATCTATCTCTACTCCGAAGATGACTTGATGCACTTTTGCTGGCGCTCCCGCAGCGCTCCCATTGACGAGCCCGAACTCGATTTGATGATGATCCCGCAAGACGGAAGCTTCACTCCCTACAAGCCCTCTGGCAAATCTACCAATGGTCGCATCTTCACTCTGAAGTTCTCGTCTAGCTCCCAACGTTACCTGTTCTGGATGCAGTCTCAGTCTCAACACGAGAATGGTGACCCCAGCTGGTTCAGTCCTCGGGATCTGAAACTCGGAGAGATTGTTCATGTGTTGTTGCAGGGAGAGGAGGTTGATGTGGAACATGAGATCGCCACCCTTCCTCAACGACCCTCTGGCGGCGACGACGACGAGACCATGGAGGACGTGGAAGGTACCGACCATGACCTGAGCCATAACCACGGTGGAAGCAGTGGTGGAGCTGGACCGGATGCTACGGGTGGCGATGTTCGGGAAGAGGGCCAAGAGTCGCGAGAAGGCGGCGCCGATGGTGGACGAGCGTAGGTATATTATCCTTCCCTAGCTGAATTGGAACTGAAGATCTGACCCGACCTTTCTTGTAGCGCTAACGCTGGCTCGGATCCATCGTCAGTCGTCCAAGATTTTTTGCGGTCTCTGGGCGGCCAACGCCAGTCCCAGTCTCAGGACCCTGAACGACCATCTACGACCCTGCAAGAACTTCTGACTCCCCCGACTACGCTTCCTTTTATTGAGAGTGCCGATACCACCACCGCCGACCACCTCCTCAGTTTCCTGCCGCCGGCATTGCTACTGCTGGCCCAGGGCAATGCCGAGGCTGCGGAGGCGGACACGGACCCCGATCTGACCCAGGCGGCCCTGTTATCTCTCGATCTCCCTCAGAAAAAGGACATCCTGCGCAAGGTGCTCCGATCGCCACAGTTTATGCAAAGTTTGGGTAGTCTCACCGTTGCCCTCCGGGATGGCGGGCTTCCCAGCATCAGTGAGGCTCTCCAGGTCCCCGTGGCCAACGGCGGATTTATGCGACGAGGCGGCGTACCGCTCGGCGGGGGTGATGCAGTGGATGCGTTCCTAGATGGCGTTCGGCAACATGTCAAGGGAGACCAGTCGGGCGAGATGGAGACGGATTAAAATACATGAAATACACTACTTAGTATTACCGTAGGACCTGAAATATGTAGCAATGCATTTTGTTTTGCACTATTTTTGGAACTGCACCCCACCAGGCAACACTTTTTTAACCAGCGTCAGCGTCAGCGTCAAATATACTGGGCCTGGCCTTTGTAGGGCTGGAATCCAGCCTCTTAGCAATCTATGGGCCTGCATGGGGTCAGCAAGGAGGACCGTAGCGACCGGGGCGAACGCTGCGTCGAGATGCGCAGAAGTAATGATAGACGATCACCGCATTCCTGGTTACGAACGCCTTCCGATTCCCGCAGACGCGGCCAATCACCACATGCGGGCGCCAACTCCGCTTTAGTTCGACTGGGGGCTTTTGGCGTCCTTCAGCTGCGGCCCCAATTGCGACTTGGCCCTCTCGATTTCGAAGCTGGCTTGGCCTCCTCACCTTCTGCTCACTCCTCGCCAACCTCCTCCTCTCACGAACCTCCCCCCTCATCGAACTCGTTGCGCGTCCGTGGCGCGTCTCCCGACTCTCCAGCGTTGCACAGCCTGCGATGTCTGCGATTCGATAATCCTTAATATTGCCTGACGATGGCACCGAATAGCCATAATCCTGGCGATCATGACAGCCCCTCCTCGAGCCAGATCCCACTGCAGGATCTCTCGAGGCCAGATGGCCCCGCAGAGGAGCGCGGTAGAGGTCGCGCCAACAGCGCGGGGGCGGGATCTTTTCACGACGGTCCCTGTTGAGGACGGGGTCACGGAGGCAGCAGTACCATAGCGTGTCAGAGGAATCACCGATTGACACGGTGTACGCGAGCAGGAATCCATTCCGGGTTCCCCCTGATGCGCGCGATGAGGAGGCTGACCACCACGATCTCGGGGAACTTGCTCAAGCAATGTCGTTCGGCCTAAGCTTCGACGAGCCGTATTCGCGATCTTCATTATCAGGCCCCTCGGCTATGCACGGTTACCACGATGGCCTCGACAATGTGCCTTTGGATGAGTACCCTTCTCACGAACCCGACTTTCACCCACCTCCGACGGACGCGGAGGACGATACCGCACGATTGACGGATCCTCGATGGCTACAACCGATCAGTGGCGTCTCCGCTTCGGACAGGGAGAGGCGTCTCAGCGATGCCGATTCCGCAGGCGGCTCCCGGCTCGGTGACGATCTACCTCATCTAGAGGAGGGTCTGGGACGTGGGAGTGGGAATAGTGCTAGATCTCGGTCCTTATCGCCTTCTTCAGCTTCCGGAGGAGCTCTACAGCGTGCAAGCTCGATGGTCAAATCAATGTCGCAACGTGTGGTCAACCTGAGTAATGAACCTGAAGTCGTCCAACAGTCGATCGAAAGGGAGGAGTCGAATAAGAACGCAAGGATGGATGGGCCTCCAATACTCCCCGCAATGATGGACATTGGGAATGAGCCTGGTGCAGAAGCCCAACGAGCGAGAGAGAAGCGGAACTCGTCCAGAATGTGGAAACATCGAAACAACCCATTCCGAGGCAGGTCACTCGGGATTCTGGGTCCGAATAATCCGCTCCGCCTCTGGCTGTGCGATATCCTCGTTCATCCGTTCATGGAACCCTTTGTGCTGGTCATCATCATCATCCAGACCATTCTACTCATTGTGGAATCCTCCAAGTCAGTGTTCAACCGAACCCCCGCTGTGCGATGGGCCTCTACTCCCTTGGATTGGGTATTCCTCCTCATCTTTTTCATCTATACCCTCGAAATTTCGGCGAAAATTCTGGTTTCTGGTTTTATTTTCAACCCGTCGGAATACAGTACTCTGAATCGGTCACTAGGCATCCGGAAAGCGGTTGCAGAGAAGGGCAGGAACCTCATTACTCCTCACCGACAGATGACCGCCAAAAAAGTGTCATTTGTACAGTCAGAACCCCAGTCATCCATCATTCGCACATTTACCGGAATGAATGGATTGGATGCCGATTCATATGACGATCCTCTGCACAAGCGCCGTGTCAGACTTGCACATCGAGCATTTCTGCGACATTCGTTTAATCGACTGGACTTCGTGGCTATCATTGCCTTTTGGATTTCCTTTTTTCTTTCCCTGGAGGGGTGGAGAAAGCTCATCAGTTGTACATTTTTAAGATGCTGAGTTGTCTTCGAATTCTGCGTCTTCTCGCCCTCACAAATGGCACTTCTGTAAGTACCCTACCATCAAGCGAGCTTTACCGAGCTTGCTGGCTGACTATACTAGGTAATTTTACGGAGTTTGAAACGGGCTGCACCTCTTCTAGTTCATGTTGCATTTCTCATCGGCTTTTTCTGGCTGCTTTTCGCCATTGTCGGCATCCAAAGCTTCAAGTCGAGTTTCAGGAGAAATTGTGTCTGGGTTGATCCAGAGAATCAGTCGAACTTCACCCAAAATGATCCTTACGGTTCCTTACAATTTTGCGGAGGGTATCTCGACAATGTCACAAACGAGAAAAGGCCATGGATCAACACCTTGAGCAATCCTGCACAGTCTCCCAGGGCGAAAGGGTACATATGCCCCAAAGGCTCCCTCTGCATCGAAGGCGACAACCCTTACAATGGAACCATGAGCTTTGACAACATTGTGCAATCGCTAGAACTGGTTTTTGTAATCATGAGCTCTAATACCTTTACCGATCTGCTCTATTACACCACCGACAGTGACTACCTCGCGGCAGCTCTTTTCTTTGCTTGTGGCTTGGTTCTCCTGGGTCTCTGGCTCGTCAATTTGCTGGTTGCGGTCATTACCCACTCTTTCCAAGTTATCCGAGAAGAGAGCAAACGAAGTGCTTTCGCGGTTCAACAGATCGATGAGGTTGAAGACGGGGATGCCTCAAATCGCAGAATCAGCGGACTAAAGCTACTTTATGACAAGACTTATTGGCTTTGGATTCTCATCATAATCGTTGATCTCGTCATACAGGCCTTGAGGAGCAACACTATGTCTGAAGATCGACGTATCTTCATTGATACCTCAGAGACTATCTTCACGCTCATCTTCCTTGTAGAAATTGTCCTCCGATTTGCCTCGGACTGGCGCGTTTTCCATCGGAGCCGTCGCAATTGGTTCGATACCTTCCTTGTCGTCATTACATGCATCATCCAGATACCCGTGATCCATCAATCTGGTCGTCCTTACACCGTTCTCACGCTCTTCCAAATATTGCGGGTGTACCGTGTTGTCCTTGCGTTCCCAGTCACAAGAAAGCTGATCATGATTGTTTTCCGCAACGTCGTCGGTCTGCTCAACCTGATCTTCTTCTTGTTCCTGATCACATTTTTGGCGGCCATTTTCGCGACCCAACTTTTCCGCAGCCAAATTCCCCCGAACAACCCAGATGGAGACTCCATTAGCATCACATTTGCTGATATCTATAACTCTTTCCTTGGAATGTATCAAATCCTGTCGAGTGAAAACTGGACAGAGATTCTGTACGACGCCACCGCTTACACCGTCAATTTCAATACTGGATGGATTTCGGCCGCGTTCTTCATTCTGTGGTTCATTGTCGCTAACTTCATCATCTTGAACATGTTCATTGCTGTCATTCAAGAGAGTTTCGATGTCTCTGAGGACGAGAAGCGACTGCAACAGGTTCGAGCATTTTTGGAGCAGAGAAACACTTCGGGAGCGGCCCAAAGCAATCTGGCGCTTTCAAAGATCCTCCGACTGGGCCGGGACAACGACCGTTACAAGGACCCACTCGACCACGCCCCTGCAGCGCTGGAAATGTTGTTGAAAGACGCCGTTGTTCGTGAATTCCTCAACGAGGAGGATGGAGACGAAAAAGCGGAAGGAGAAGGTGGACAGGGACCGAGAAATCCCCGCAGAGCCAGTGGAGTCCATGATGAGACAGCAGCGGAAGCTGTCCAGCCAGGCGCACTTTCGCGGTTATGGACCAGGGTCACTTCTCTGGTTATGGGCCGGGAGCCGAACCCATTCTATGCCAAGCTTCAATTTTCTCGGGCATACGAAGACCTCGATCCCAGGACTATGGCCAAAGAGGTGGTGTCGGCAGAAGCGGCGAGAAAGAAAGCCCAGCGAGAGTATCTTGTGAAACACCCGAACTACAACAAATCGTTGTACATGTTTCATCCAACCCACCCCGTTCGCAGGCTCTGTCAGCGGATCGTGGGACCTGGACGTGGCCACCAGCGCGTCGAGGGTGTGGACCCGTACAAACCCCTGTGGTATTCTTTCTCGGCATTTATCTATGCTGCGATTGTGGCCATGGTACTGCTCGCCTGTATCACCACACCGCTGTACCAGCGAGAATATTTCCGCACGAATCGCAATTGGTTCGTCTACACAGATATGAGCTTTGCCATTGTGTTCACCTTCGAGGCCGCTATCAAGGTCATCGCCGATGGATTTTTCTGGACCCCAAATGCGTACTTCCGCAGCTCATGGGGCTTCATTGACGGAGTTGTGTTACTCACACTTTGGATCAATGTCGGCGGTTCGTTGCAGAAGGACTGGAGCGTGTCTAGAGGAATTGGTGCCTTCAAGGCACTGCGTGCCCTGCGACTTTTAAACGTCAGTGATAATGCCAAAGACACTTTCCACTCGGTCATCATCGTCGGTGGTTGGAAAGTCATTTCCGCCGCAGCTGTTTCGATGAGTTTCCTGATACCTTTCGCAATTTACGGCGTCAACCTGTTCAATGGGCAGATGGTGTCATGCAACGACGATGATTTCTCTGGCAGCCTGACTGACTGCGTCAACGAATATGCCAGCTCGCCGTACAACTGGGATGTACTTGCCCCACGAGTCGCAACAAACCCTTACTACGACTTTGATAACTTCGGTGATTCGTTGTTCATTCTTTTCCAGATTGTATCTCAAGAAGGCTGGGTCGACGTTCAGAGCAGCGCCATGCAAATCACCGGTGTCGGTACCCAACCAGAAGATGGAGCTGCACCGGAGAATGGATTGTTCTTCGTTGTCTTCAACTTGCTTGGAGCAGTGTTCGTCTTGACCTTGTTTGTGTCTGTTTTCATGCGTAACTACACAGAACAAACTGGTGTGGCCTTCCTGACTGCTGAACAACGTTCATGGTTAGAATTGCGGAAGCTGTTGCGACAGATCTCGCCGTCCAAGCGGTCATTCAGTGAGAGGAGCGCGAAATGGCGGCGATGGTGCTACCGAATTGCGGTCAAAAAGCATGGACGATGGGCACGTTTCGTGACTTGTATTCTTGTTATACATTTGCTGCTCCTGGTTCTGGAATACTACCCCGAGCCGCTGTGGTGGGAGCAAACCCGAGGTAAGTAATTATCATTTCTACCTACTATTACTGGCCCAGGGCTCTTACTAACTGATTTTGACAAGCCATTTTGTTTTTTATCTTCATGTTCGTTTACCTAGCAAACGTGCTGATTCGCTTGCTTGGTCTTGGATGGCACCGATTCAGCCGCAGCTCCTGGGATTTGTACTCCATCCTGGCTGTTCCTGGCGCCTTTGTCACGACGATCTTGGATATTTCTTACCAAACACAAGTGGTACTGGAATTAAACAAGCTGTTTCTGGTCGCCATCACGTTGCTGCTTATCCCACGCAATAATCAGCTTGACCAGCTCTTCAAGACCGCCGCAGCTAGTCTACCTGTGATTGGAAACCTGCTCGCCACCTGGTTCGTCCTGTTCCTGGTGTTTGGCATTGCCATGAACCAAGCTTTCGGCCTTACCAAGTTCGGCGGCAACGAGGACCACAACATCAATTTCCGAGACTTGCCGAAATCTCTGATTCTGCTCTTCCGGTGCAGTTGTGGAGAGGGATGGAATGAGATTATGGAGGACTTTGCCACCATGGTTCCTCCTGTCTGCACCTACAACTCCAATTTCTTTGACGACGACTGCGGTAGCGCCGCTTGGGCCCGCTCTCTCTTCATCGCTTGGAATTTGATCAGTATGTACATCTTTGTTTCGCTGTTCGTGTCCCTCATTTTCGAGAGTTTCTCGTACGTCTATCAGCGAAGCAGTGGACTGTACGCCCTGAGCCGTGAGGAGATTCGCCGTTTCAAACAGGCTTGGGCCACCTATGACCCAGATGGATCGGGTTTCATCTCCAAGGAACAATTCCCGCGTCTGCTTGGAGAACTGACTGGTATCTTTGCCATGCGGGTCTACGACGGCGAGTTCACCGTTGGCGCTATTCTGGAACAGTGTCGATCTACACCTCGGGATTCGGTGCATTCGCTGCACAGCTCGCTTCCTATGCGATCTCGGGAGACATTGAGCCTCCGGGACTCCTTGAATCCTTTGCAACCGCCCGACCTTGCAGAAGGAATTGATATCGAGAAGCTTTCTCGGATTGTCGACCGCATCCCAGTGGATATCATCCGCGAGCGGCGCCAGCGCCTCAACACCTTCTATGAGGAAGTCCTCGTTTCGGCAGACCCAGACCGTGGCATCTCATTCCACCAGTGTCTGATGATCCTTGCTCATTACAATGTCATCAGCGACAGCAAGAGCTTACGCCTGGAAGAATTCTTGCGCCGCCGCGCGCGCCTTCAACGCGTTCAGGAGGCCGTCCGCCGCAATACTGTCATTGGCTTCTTCGACACGCTGTACTGGTCTCGTGAATTCCGGCGGGCCGTCGAGCGCAAGAAGTCCAGTCGCATGACGGACATTCCCCAATTTTCTGTCCCGGAGATTTTCGTCGATGAAGGCGACGAGTCCGAGGAGGTGCCCACGGGCGTCATGACACCGCAAACCCAGCCGGACCCCGAGTCTCCGTTCGCCCCTATGCTCTCGCCGACGTCCACCTCCCACCGACGGGCCGAGTCGAGTCCCACTGGTCGCCGCACCGATCTCCCTCGTCTGGACACCAGCCTCACGGGCCGATCGTCTGGCGCCAGCACGCCGACCGAGTGGGCTAGTTTTAGTCCCGCGCGCACCCCGCGTCGCATGTATGGCGAGCGGTTATCTTTCGATATAGATGAGCGTCGCGACTCGGCGACATCTTCCTCGGCCAGCGGAGACCAGTCCCGCCAGAACAGCGCGATGAGCGTGCGGGATGTCATGAACTCGCTGGATAACTCCGCCTGGGGTGAGAGTATCCGGCGAAGCTTCACCCAACGGCGGTCGGGTGATCGATCTGCTGAATAGATCCTTTTTTTTTTACCTTTTCTCCTTTGTGTCGACGGATATGCGCTGATGTCTCCACGAGAGACGAATCTTTTTGAATATATGAGAACGAGAGGGGGAGGCTTGCTTACTTTTACGCTTTTTTCCTTGCACATTTTTTTGCGTCCTCACATGATATGACATCTCGAGGGGCATTCTGTTCATTTCCTTTATCATTTTGGCTCCTAGTACTGTTATTGTTTTCTCCTATGCTGTACACTACCACTACCCTCCTTGATCCTGGCATCCGGAGCATCTTGCATAGCAGCGGCGCGGGCTACCAATTCGTCATGGTTATTATTTTTCAATTTCGTCAAGAGAATGTGGCGTGTACATTGACTATCGATCGAAACGTTCCCGTACTCCACCGGGGGGCGCTGAAACAGTGGGTCCGCTATTGGCCTGCGTAGGTGATGTAGATCCAGGCCGACGGAATCGGGCGAGGGGGAGTGAGGACGTGGGGTCGATCAACAACGCAATTGGCGTGGGACAAAGGGTTTATCAATAGCGACCGGATTCGGAAAGTCAGGCGTGTTGGACGCTGTGTATCTTTGCGTGCCTGACTTGCGGGGGGCCCAGCAGGGCAGGCAATTGTGAGGGCATTACCGGATGCGGCAATCTAGGCACTTTCCCGCATGCGTCGGCATTGTCTCAAACTCCCTGCAGCGCGGTCCTTGCAGTGGCCTTAATTATATCCTACAAAAGTTCGCTGCCCCCGTGTTCCACGAATTCATTTTTATTTCTCTTCCATCTGGACACCATTAAAAGGGCGCGTGCAATGGAGGTATCCCCATACTAGGCGGGCATTCCATCCAAACAAGCAAACAAGCAAACACCCACAGAGACAAACCGCCGCGATGCATCATTTCATCTCGCCCTTCCCCTCTCTCTCGCGCCGTCATCGCCAGACGAGCGATACGTCCAGCCCGCCGAGTTCACGAACAACCTCGCCGCCGGCATCGCCCACCTCCCTCCACCGGCATTTCTCCCAAGCCTCGCCCAACCACCCTTTCCACCTCCCCTTCCACCCGCACAACAGCAACTCGAAGAGCGACGCCGACTCCAACCACCATGACCATGATCATGACCATGTCTGCACGGGCAGGGCCAACTCCCCATCACATCCCCACTGCGGGGTGAGCATCCTGCCCTGTGCTGTCCTGCGCGGCCGATCCTCACTGATGGTCCTCCGCCGCCGCCCCTCCGCCGTCGACATGGCCTTGAGCGAGGAACGGTCCCGCTGTAACGGAGACGCGATCGAGCGAAAGGGACTTGACCTGATGGAGCCGCGACCGGTCGATATGGAGCTGCATGCGCAGCGCAGTTTGCAACCGAGCTCTGCACCGCGGGCCAGCCTGGGAGAGAGCCGCGAGGCGTCGGTGCAGCAGCCACGATTTGTCATGGGGGGCATCTTCGAGGTGATGGAGGGGCGGGCCTAGGCGGTCCTGTCATTTCAATTTCGATGCGTCGGATCTGCATACGTTTGGGGTTTGGAGTTGGCATCGTTTCATTGTTGTTTCATTTCGGGATGGGTCCGCGGGGTTTGTATAGTTTGGAGTTCTGATGAAAATACAGGGGACTGCGGTATTGATGTATAGTTTTCTTAACAGTATACGGGCTCTCTTACTACGTGATAGAAGAATATTTGTTCTATCGATTTCACAGAGGAAAATATAGAGGGTGATTTTTCGTGTGTTTTTGATTTATCATTGGATTTGAATCATCACTGGAGTTGGCACCTCGCGAGGGGGTGAAATACAAGTCATATCTGGCATTACTCATACACAAATCTGGACTCGGACAAGTACAGGTGACAGTGCTGAAGAGGACACTTAAGTGTGCCCAGGAAGAAAAGAAAGAAAGAAAGAAATATATATATATATATATATATATATAAACATAGGGGCGCCATCGTGATTCGTGATAGGGAAACAAAAACGTATCGCTAAAGGATGCCACTTGACTCCCGGGCTATGCAATGTATCAAAAACCAAGCCAGAACGGAACGCCTTCAGGATGGGAAAATAAGGCGAATGAAAAACCAGAACGCAGGTATGCGTCGCAGAGGCACAATGCCTGTGGACGCGCAGGATGGCTGACATCTTCGAGACCTCACTCGTCCTCCCCGCTATCTGAACCCCGGCGATATGCACGGCGGTCCTGCAGTCCCTTCTCCTTGCGTGCATTCGGCCAGAGCTGGCCACGGCACTGCTTCTCGCCGCAGAGACACGGGGAGAGCATCCTCATCCTTCTTCTGCTTCTTATCCCAGTTGGGATTGTAGTCGAAAGTGAGTTCGGTTCCAGGGGGAATATCGCGTGTCGCAAAGAAACCGAGGTAATAGAGACGATCATCGCCATGGTCGATGGAAACCGGGACGATTTTGCAATTCGGATTACACGAGTGGTTCATGAAGCGCGTGGGGGAGCCGAATTTCTGACCATCGATGACATACATCTCGCGCGTCTCGCTTTCCTGCGTCGCCCAGTCCAGACCGAAAAGATCGGATTCCTCGGTGGCTGTCTCACGGAGATCGGACTCTTTCTGGGTGAGAACCTCGCCGAGGTAGCAGTCAATGAAGTCTCCTACGCGGATGGGTTCCATGGAGCGGAGGCCTGGGATGTTAGAAAACCCATTTAGTCGAGGGCCCGAAGAGAGAGCTAGAGGTCTAGAAGAACGACTCACCGAAACCACGGTTTCCGGTATCGAAAATATCCAGGCTGAACTTGCGTCCGCGCTGAATCACGTTCATCCAGCAATTGCCTTTGCAAGAGCATCGGTAGTTGCACTCGTAGATCATCGAGTGTTCTTTAACATATTCCTGACTCAGAGCTGTGCGGTTCTGCAGATATGGCGCAGCTGCCTCATCGGAACCTACCTCTGTGTCCTGGCAATCGCACTTGCCAGGTACACAGTTACCGTCTGGACATCCACAGCCGGCATTGAACTCGTTCGGAGCACGCTCAACACCCTTCTTCAAGACGTAGTCACGGAGGAAACCAAAGTTCGAAGCGAGCATTGGCAGCTTCTCATCCGTAATACTGAAAGTGATTGCAGGTCCGTCCGCCTGAAGGCGTCGCAGGTCCCGCACGAGAGAAGGACGCAGAATATCCTGCAAAGGTGAAAGAGTCGAAGAAAGGGTGTCATTGGCATCAGAATCTGCGGCAATGGAGACACCGCCGCGCTTGGTGTTCTTGGCATAGTAATAGCGTCGACTGGAAGCTTGCGTTCGCTGCTCGGACTTGATAGGGAAATAGCGCTCGCTGATTCCGAGGAATTGGTCGGCCTTGGCGAATTTGTTTAGAGCCAGCGAGGGCGAGGGGACCATAACGGTAACGTTTTGAGTGCTAGAAGGACTTCCCGCCTCGCTGGGAGTCCTGAGCTGCGTGGAAGTCGAACGACGTTTGGGGCGATATGGAGGCTCGGAATCAGTGCTATTCTTATCATCCTCAGTCTTGTTGGGTGTCTTCCGCTTTATAGGCACCGTGGCGTCTGGAACGACCAGAGTTGACGAGAAAGTGCCCATGGGAGACTTTGCTTGAGGGCTCTTTTCAATAGACTTGGACTGCGAAGCGGTAGAGTTAATAATCGATCCAATCCCGTTACATAGGAATGTGTACATGGCTCGGACCGAATGCTCTGATTCAGATATGAGAAACCACTCGTGCGTGAAAGGCGCAGTGCGCATGTACAAACGCCGACCAAAACCAAGAGAATAAGATGATAGAAAGGATAAAACACGAGTAGTCGGAAGTGACTTGCAACATGGCAAGTCAATTGAGAACAAAAGGTGACTCAGGAATGCCAAGAAGAGTAGGAATAGGATAGTCTGGGTTGGTGACGATCCCTAGTAGATGAGGGCAGGATAGGTAAGAAGGGAGGGAAACATAAACATAATGAGAACAAAACACTTACTAGCACATCCTCCACCGCAGTATCCATCTCGGTGTCACTTAGGGTCAGATCAATGACGGCCTCGGCGCTAAGCATGGCCTGCGGTAGGCCCCGGGGAGGCGGCTCAAACCCCATTTCCCGGGCGCCGCCTTAGCGGGACGGCCACTCTCAGAGAGAGATCGGAACACTTAGTGGGGCAAACAGGGTCAGGAACGCGTCTAAACGCACGGAATAAGTGTCGAATCTCGAAAACTTCAAAGAAACAGACCTGCTTCTTCCGTGAAGTAGTTGAGTAAACAGTCCTAGCCTCCTAGGAAGCCGCGGAAACAAAGCCAAATTCGAAATTCGGGGGTTCAGTTATCCTTAGCAAGTTAGAAGGAAAGCGCGTGTCGAGACAAAGAAAAGTAGTCCGAGGGGGTGGGGGGAGAGAAGGGAGGCTGAATAGCTTTAGTTTAGTTAGATTGGGGAGAGGATGTGGATGGAAAAGAGCCGTACAGGAGACGCGGAGCCTGGGAAAGGCGCGAGCGGATCGGTGCTTTGGGGAATGTTAAGGATAGAGGGACTTCGAGGGACCTCATTAAAGGTTAGGGAGACGCCAGGCGACGGGCGCCGCCGGCGGTGACAGTTGAAACTTAGGGGCAATAAGTTGCTTAGTAATCATACTATACAGATCTATCGTACCTAACGAGGGCCTCTTGGGGGCGAGGGATCGATTTTAGACCCAAGAGGATGCTAAAAGCGTGAAAATCGGTGGTATATGACCGAGAGAGCTCAAAATAAGGACTAAACCCCACCTTCCCCAGGTCTGAGTCTGGGGGGTGGCCGAGCTGATTTGAGCTGGCAGCTTATAAGTGGCAGTGTGTAGGGAGGGGGATTTCTTTTGCGGCGTAGAATGCGTTTCTGGCACTGGAAAGCACTTCGGATTGCGGGAACCCCATATAGTGTTCAAGAGCGACTGACACTCCCATTCTTGGGAGTTAAATATTCATATAAGTATAAACAGAAAGTCCTAGGAATGATCAGTCGATCCATATATTTTATAAGAAAATCCAGTAGCTTTGTCAGGTTTTATGTCTCCTGGGGATTTCGGGGCTGTTCTTTGTCTCTTGTCTTGGCGCCCCATAACGGACATCCAATGAGAGGCCCCAACCCCCGTAATTTGACGACTAAGCACATCTTGTCTCAAAGAAACAATATGTTGAAATGGCCACTTAAATTGTGCCTGATGAGGTCTTATTGTATAGAATATTTAAGATAAGTGGAATTCCTCGACGGAGTTTGCAGAACGTGGATGTCGAAGAAAGATGCGCTACGGTTGGTCGAGCCGCCCTGGACACGGAGCATATCAGATCACGTGACCATATACCTGGCACATCGATTTTTCGAATTGTGCCTTGAAAGTTGAGGGAAAGAGCAGGAGCTCCTAGCTGTGTAGAAGCCCGGCTCTCTTTCAATTTGCAACATCGGTGGTAGGTCGCGAAGCTGATCTGGCAGCGGGGAGTGTACACCAATTAGGAGATACATTGCCGCCGCTTTATGAGGAGGCTCTGAATAGGAGCCATCACATAACCGTGACTCCTATAATGACTTACAGAAGTATACGTGGCCCTAGAAGTAGCCCAAGGAGGCCACTCTACGAATAGGAAAAGACTAGATATATAAGGACACTTATTCACGCTTCACTGTTCGATATGAAGCCAAACATCCTACAAGTAGGGGAGCTCTTCAGACTGACCTACTTGGCGCACTCGACTGGCGCACCATTGCAAGCATCTTGAAGACCCAAACCCGCAGTAAGGCGTGGCATCGAACGGTTGCGGACCGCTTAGAGACTCAGCATACTAGGCAAGTATCGCCCAGGAAACCTCATCACACCGCGCTCAGTCAAGAGCGCGTAACATTAGGTCGCCTTTCCAGCTGCATTGATTAATCTATCCATCGCAGTCTTAGTTGCCGTCTTCTTTCAGAGCCGAAAGCAAGACTCGTTGCTTTAGAAATCATCTATGCTGCCTTATGAAGATCAGAATTGCTGTTGAATGCGAAGCGCAATGCCCTGAATGTATTGAGCGATAGTCTAGTCCGGGCTATCCTGGATTATGGACTTGCAAAAAAAGAAAATTAATATCTTCTGAATGAATATATATCGCCAATTTGGCGTAGCAGATGGCCTCACCCAGGTTTTAGGAAGCCCACTAAGTGCTTCCTGAGCCAAATATATTTTCTAAATTCAGGTTCAAATATTTCACACCCAATCTTTGTGAAGCCAAGACCGGGGAACCTGAGGCCCGATCAGATAACGGAGTCTTAACCGTCCACCTGCCCACTTAATTGACAAGCCAAGACCCCGACCTGACAAAAAAGGCCTAGCCCTCTCACTATGCTGGTTTAGGACTACAGGGGACTACATCAGGGGGATCGGCATCCGAGCACGCCTTTGAGATAAACCATCCAGAGTTTCGCGTCCCATTCCTAATTCCAGACATGATCTTGATACGTGTTGGCATTATTCTGTATGTCTGGTAAGAGGAGAAACGCCTTCCTTGGATCGTCGTTGATGTCGGGACCGCCATTCCCGTCTGTGGTATCTTTATGCTAGCCCAGGGCATGCTGGCTTACCTGCTTGACGAGTTCAAGTACGCAACTTCAGCAAATACGGCCCGCTCGTATGTTATCTAAAGTTTTTGGATTTCCTTTACTACCTTCGCACTGGAGATATATGCGTCTCTGGGGTACGGCTGGGAAAATAGCGTGCTAGGATTTACCTTCGTCGCAGTCGGTCTGCCCATTCTTGTCGACTTGTGGGTATATGGACCCCACTTGAGAACTATTGGACGAACTGAGTAGATGCGGTGGCTTGCCTTTTGAGGGAGAGGAGTGAGGGACCTCTGTTTAACTTAGATATCCTGTTAGTGTACCAGGATGCGAAAGCACAGAGATAATAAGGAAAGAAACCAGACCGTTTCAACCATCGGAGGCATAGGTGGCTCCCTGGTGGACTGACGATATGCCAAGAATATGAGGTTATCGTAGAATGTGAGTGCCTACTGGAAGTAAACGCTTCAGGCAATATTTTCGTATTCGTGTATGACCGGGTGAGCACCCGGGCATATAACCAGATTCAACAGCAGAGCGACCCGAGTCCGAAGTTTCCACATGTACTGGCATAGAGCAATGATCGTCAATAAAGATACCAAAGCCTAAAAGATCTGCAGTATTCATTCCAGGGTTGAAATAACCCAAGTGTTACCAGGCAAACGCCGAGAGGTCTCTCAGTTGCAGAAGACGAGTACGAGACCCACACATCCTCTTTTCTCATGCGCGATCTATATTTGGGAACATTTAAACAGATCCAAATTATTTCAGAATCCTCTCCTTATAATTTTGAATATGGGCCACTGGAAAATTCCCTGAGGGCTATAAAGCAGTAGCAGCCCCTCCAATAGATCGGGTGGTCAACTGGCGAAACCGAATGCAGAATCACACCTAACAATGCTTGGACTTCTCTACAAACCACTATTGTGTGGCTTGCTACTTACAACCTCGGCACTTGCAACACAAGACTGCAAAATCTCTCCTAATGACTCGACCTGGCCCTCCCCGGAGAAATGGCATGCACTCAACCAGACCATCGAAGGAGTCCTCATCAAGACTGCCCCCGCAGCCTCCTCATGCTACCCCGGCAACCCATTCGAATCGACGGCCAACTGCACAGAGGTAAAAAACCACTGGTCATGGGCCTCATACCACTCAAGCTGGCCAGAGAGCATCGACTATCCGATCTATGCGAACAACTCATGCGTCCCTCCCGGTACAAGTGGATATACAAAGGATCGGGGTTGTGAGATTGGCGGCCTGCCACAGTACGTAGTCAACGCCACGACCGAAAATCAGATTGCCGATGCAATGAAATGGGCTTCGAAGAGAAATATTCGCATTGTGATCAAGGGAACTGGTCACGATTTAAACGGTCGGTCAGTACCAACTTAAGAAAAAAATGGTAGATCTAACCGCTAACCTTTACCAGGGCTACCGGCGCCTTTTCCCTCTCCATCTGGACACACAACTTCAAACAAACCCGGCACCATGCAGCGTGGCCAGTCCCTGGTACCGATGCCACGGCGGACGTACTGGTTCTTGGAAGCGGCAATACTTGGGGCTCTGCGAACCTTGCAGCACACAAAGTGAACCGAGCTGTGGTGGGTGGTGAGGATTCTACAGTTGGTATCGGTGGGTTGATCCAGAATGGTGGCCACGGGTGGCTCTCGAGCCATTACGGTCTTGCATCAGATCAAATCTATCAAGTTACTGTGATAACCACTGACGGCCGTCGGCTCGTCGCTAACGCTGTTCAGAACCAGGACCTTTTTTGGGCTGTTCGTGGCGGCGGTGGGGGCCAATTTGGAGTGGTTACCGAATTCATTCTCAAGACACATCCCGTTCCAACAAATATGGTGACTGGCGGTCTAACCTTCTATGCTGCTCATCAGGATAAGGCCAGCGAGAAAGCATCGTGGACTGCGTTTGCCGAGACGGCTGCCCTTATCCCTGAGATTATGGACTCCGGTCTCACTGGTACTGTGATGGGATTGACAAAGGAACAGGCCGTGGCTCTTGCTGGTCTGAAGCAGGCGGTTCCAGGTGTCGTAGGGTCGGTCAGTCTCACTGGCTACAACACAACCACTCAGGCAATGGACAAGACAATCAGGAACCTTGCAGCCCGCATCAACAAGACTGTTCCCGGCAGCAGCCTAAACTTTAACATTACCGCGCCAACATCTGGAAACTTTTGGACTCCTTCCGGCACTAGTACCAACGCAGGCGGAGGCGGCATAATGTCCAGCCGTCTTCTGGGCCAACGAGAACTATCAGAAATTCCCCGAGAAGATCTAATATCGTTCCTGCAGAGAATGCTCGTCTCACAAGCATCAACCGGCTCCATGCTTCTTTTCGGCTTACAAGCCGGACTCGGACCAGCAAGCGTTCCAGAAGATATGCGAGGAAGTGCCCTCCCAGCCTGGCGCAAGGCTTACGCCCACGTCATGACATACGGAGCCTCTATCAACGCAACGGGTGACCCGAGTGAAAGTCTGAGAGAAGGTGCAGAATGGTATGAGACGGTCAAAGAGCCTATCTGGAGAGAATGGGCCCCGGAGAGTGGTGCTTATATGAATGAGGGTAACCCTTTCAGCTCGACTTGGAAGCATGATTTCTACGGCGAGAACTATGATCGATTACTTGAGATTAAGCGCAAGTACGATCCCAGTGAAAGCTTGTTTATCTGGAGTGGTCTTGGTAGTGATAACTGGAACTATGATCTCAGGAGTGGGTTGTTGTGTCGAGTCAATGGGACTTCAGCTTGATGTCTTAGATAATGCAGTTCCTTGCTGTAGTGTATTCTCGAATATGAAGAATTGAACTCTCGGCTTCATTACTAGTCATGTACTCCCCAGAAAACACGCACACATTCTAAACTTGGCGGTTTTGTGGGGAGCGCTAACCGGATTCGGTAGTTCTAACCCAGTTCCTCTCGCCTCTGCAACCTTCTTCCTTCCCCGCGATCGGCTTCGCTCACCGACAGACGCAGTCAACGACGAGGATCCGCAATCGCTGCAATCGAAGTGTGATTCTACGAGTCAGACGAAGCCCATGAGCCCATCTACAGCCGGGGATACAGGCTGAGCTCGACGATCCCGAGGCGGATGCGCGACATGCAAGGCAAAGAAAGTATGTACGGGTTGGCGTTCGGAGAGGGACTTCTCGCTGAGGCAATCCAGCTGAAATGCGATGAACAAAGGCCGGGATGTCGCATGTGCGTGAAAATGGGCTATGTCAGCCCGGATAATCAACGGCCGCTGCGGTTGTCAACGAAGCATGAGCGACAGTTCAAAACCTGCATCCCTGAAAAGAGCCAATCTCACACGCCCACCACATCCTTCTTCCTAACCACCTGCATAGACTCCCACATAAATGGACTCTTCGCCCGAATCTCCCTTCCCCCAAACAAATAGAAAAACGGCACAACAGAGAACGCCAACGCAACAAAAGCCAACGTCGTACTCGCCCACTGAAACCCCAAATTCGAATATATATCCTCAGTAGCGAGAGGCAGCAATCCTGCAGATGTATTCTCCCCCATCTCAATAATCGCAATAATACTGCTGGCATACTTGCAATACGCATCAACAGCATGATCCGAAATCCCATTTCGCGACAACAATACTCCCGGCCCCAACCATAGCCAGCCCGATCGCAGGCGCAATCCACAGAACTGAGGGATATGAAGTCCACGCGTAGATGAACATACCGCCGCACATACCGACCATACCACCCACGAAGGCGAGGTAGATAGAGTCTTACCTCCGGAATCGGAGAGCCTGGTTTCTCCTTGTTTCGCGAAGAGGGGAGGAGCAGTTCTACTTGGTCCATCTACGACGGTGGGTCATCGGAAAGGACCCGACAGCCAGATTCTGCGAGGAATACCAATCTATTCTATTGTGCGTCTGTTAGGAATGAATCTACATTATAAAAAAGTTACATGTGTCAAGCCTAGGAACAGGGCATTTTGGCGTGGATAGCATTCAAACAAAAAAAGCCAAGGATACCCTACAATGTACAACGCCTTTCGGAATCCCGCAATAGAAAAGTAAAGGGAAAGCAAACTCGAATAAAGGCTCAGGGGCAATGCCTTTGAATAATTATTCACTCAAGTCTAATGTTCGTGAAGACTTTGGTAGAGTGGGATGTCCGTCCGGAATGGGTGGAAATGCTGATCTGGAGGACACAAACGTACCCTACTAAGAGTACCTCACTCAGTGCCAAAGGTACCAGTAGGAGCAATAGACTGAAACGATGGGGCTAATGGACGGGGAAAGTGTGCGACGGTCGCTGACATGCAAGTTTATTGGCAGTGGAATCATGTGTTCGTGCGGATACGTCGTGGAATGTACCCGGTGCGAGTGTGATGGACATGGTGATGAGGTTGAGGCCTCGTTGATGCGGCGGAGGTGGGGTGAAGGGATTCGATAGTGCTCATCTCTTTCAATAGATATCGCTTGTTTCTTCTGCTGATTTCAATCGCTGATTGTATGATGTGGGTGTTGGGCGGATCACAGGCGCAAGGCATCAAGTATCTTCTTGGCCATCTCTCGGTACTGCCACATGCCACCGGAGACCTTTTTGAACTGAATACCGTGCAGGGAGAACAGAGGCACCTTGACAATGAGAATCTCAAAGCGCAAGACGAGGTTCTCTCCCGTGTCGCTCTGGACTCGGGTTGTGGTTTCGCCAACAACGCGCTCGCCAACAGCGGCGCCACCGGAGGGTTGATCGTGAGCAACGTACTCGTCGGACGCATCCGAGTTGGTCGTGAAGCTGCGATCGGGCTGGCCTTGGGTACGACGTGAAAGCTTCGCATGGCCGGTGCGGCTGTCGTCGCGGCTATCATCGTGACCGAGGAGACCACCGAAGCTGATCCGGCGTCGGTGGGAGACTTGGCCCTGTCGGTCAGGGCTAGGCGGGCCAACATCGACCACTTTGTCGAGGTCGATGCTCGGGGCGTGGCGGCAGCTGAAGCCGCCCTTGATTTCAACGTATTCGACTGCGAGTTGCTTGAGAACGCGAATAATATCGGCCCGGATGACGGGCAGAGGCTTGCTGCTGGTGGTCGACACACTGAAGAGACCCTTGAGGTAGACAGGCTTGGACAGATCCTCGCCTTCATTGGCACTTTCGAGTGCGGTGCCTGCGCCAGAGATATCTGCATCGGTCTCCTCCGGCACGTTGGCCTCTCGGGCAGCCTCGCGTCGAGCCCGGCGGGCTTGGATGCTCTCTCGGCGGGCGTGACCAAGAGACATCGTGCGTGCGGTGTGGGTGCGAGGGCCAGTTTTCAAACCAGCCTGGTCGCTCTGGCTATTAGGTCCGAATTGGTCGGATCCACTCGTCGAAGGAGGCTGACCAGCGTCCAGCGCATCAGCATCGCTTCTCCGGGCCCTGCGAGGTCGGTAGTCGGCAGAGTTTACGCTGGTAGAGCGGCCCAGGAATTTGGACTGCGAGGATTGCTGCGAACCGGGAGCAGCGAGCAGGTCCTGCTGGGGCTGGCCAACATCGGGAGGGAGAGGACCTGCCATCTCGGGACGTCGCGTTCGGCGCACGCTGAATCCACGGTGCATTGGAGATGCAGAGTCGGCAGGGGGTTGGACATTCAGAGTAGGTGTGTTGGGAGTGCTGATACGCTCCCGTTCGATATCGCGGGTGCGATCCTTGGCCCTGCGAGTGCTGAAGCGCCGTAAAATACCAGCAGCAGCGCTCGACTTCTTGGGAGTACCAGGCTGCACCACATTTGGCACTGCATGGGCAGAGGGGGAATGTGAGTGGAGGTTCTTCATGCCCTCGGTCACTTCCTCCTCGCCATGGGTTCGGGCTCGGGGTCGAGACCGGCGGCCAGTGTCCTTCTCTCCCGGGAGCTGGTACTGGTTGGTGTGAGCAGCCGCGGGGGCTGCGACTGCAGGCAACAGTTCTTCGCCGGCGGGTTTGCCGAGACCCAGAGCACCAGGGCGAGACTCGGTTCGCTCTCGGTCAATCTTCTCCTTCACCAGATGGTAGACTGATACGAGGGGACTATAGGCATTGAGAGGGTCATTGCCCAGCTGCACGGCCTCAGCTGAAGGTGCGGAAAGAGTGTCACGGCTCGCGGCAGAGTTGCGTCGCTTGTAGAAGTCGAAAACGCCGCGCTTCTTTTCGGCCTGGTTGAGCACAGGCTGCTCGCGGTAGTTAAGCCGTACTGCATGCTGGTATTCCTCCGACTCAATCACCTTGATCAGTTGGTCCTGGATGTAGTCTGGAGGACCGAAATCAAACCCAGTCATCTTCCCGATGACATCCTGATCCAACGGGAGCTGCAAAGGCTCCCGGTGGGCAAGATGGTTCTCAGGGGGCGCATTAAACCCCTTGTTCATCCAGGGATGATTCATGATTTCGCTAAGGGGTGCACGCTGCTTGGGGTCTGTGACCAGCATGCGAGAAATGATGTGGCGACACTCTATAGAGAGAATGATTAGGAGGGGTTGCGATGGCAGAGAAAGCTAAAGGGGTCAATGGGTTTACAATACTTACCAGTGGTGAGGCCAGGAGGGTATTCTACAACACCCTTCTTGATTTTTGCATGCAACTGAGGCATACTCTGGTCATCGAAAGGAACCTTGCCACAAACCAGAACGTAAAGAACAATTCCGAAACTCCACACATCGACCTCGGGTCCGGTGTACTGTCTGGCTTGAAGCAACTCAGGAGCGGCGAAGTAAAGACTGCCGCAGAAGGTCTTCAAGAGACTTCTCGGTGAGAAGAGATTGCTGAGGCCGAAATCGATGATCTTGATATCACCAGTCTTACTGATTAAAATATTCTCGATCTTCAGGTCTCGGTGGACAATGCTGTTGCGGTGGCAATAATCGAGCGCACTCGCGATCTGACGGGCGAACTTGCGAGCCTGCTTCTCCTTCAACTTGCCGTGGGAGATGATGTAGTCCAGCATCTGACCCCCATTGACATACTCGAACAACATGTACCAATGGTATGTCGTGCGCACCACATCGCGCATGCCGCAGATGTACGGGTGGCTCACGAGACTGACAATGGCCGCCTCACGCGCAGTACGAATTTCCTTCGAACGGTCCGCGCGTTCGGTGTCGCGGCTGTTTCGATGCTCTTCGGTCGAGAGTCTGGGGACGATCTTGACGGCAACCTGCGACCGCAATTAGAATCAAACCATTCTTTGATCTCATACTGAGTTACAATTATGAGGGGGTCCTTACCTGTTCTCCGGTTTCCATATTCTTGGCTAGCTTGACCTTGCCCATGCTCCCCGCACCGATGGTCTTCCCGAGCGCCCATTGGCCCGTGGGTGTGGTGATCGTAGTTCGGCGTCTGGGTTGTGCGCCGGACGAGGTCGAGGTGCTCTGCGGCGCGGTCGCATGCGACGAAGATTCAACAGAGCGGTCGGGCGCCGCGGTCCTCGCCGTGTCCATGCTCTCCCGCTTGTGAGCATGCGTAGAGTGGTTTCTGGAGTGTCGTCGGGTGGGTTCGGTCCGGGTGGCCGTCGAGGGACGCTCTTGCGAGCGCTCGGAGGAGTGATCGCGGCGAGAGGGCATTCTGGCGACATTGGAGGTTTCAAAGTCCCGACGGGCAATGCTTTCCAGCTGTGCGGTGTTGGAGGGCGGACGACGGTCGTGCGAGGGGGTCTTGGAGTGTGAATAGTGTGCTTGGTGAGGGGGCTGGGAGTCGTTGGACGATCGGACCGCCACACTTCGCGTGCGATGAGGCAGCTCGGATTGGGCCGCCCTGGATGGGCGCGAAGAGGTTGAGTGGCTGCGAACGACCGTCGATGGGTTCGCGGGGGCCGACATTGCGGCGGTTGGGCTGGGGATACGGACGGGCGGTACTGTGGGTTGGGCTTGGACTGGCGGGGGCTCAGTGGAGGTTGAAGCGGTCAAGGTCCACGACCAGGTCGTCGATCAGGAGCGAAAGAAGCCACAGGGCCCGGCGAGCGCATCCAGGAGTCGAGCGAGGGCGAGCGAAACGGGATGGGGAGGGCAGGGAGTGATGAGGGGGGGATGGAGAAGGGAAGATGCTAGGAGGCGGAGACCGTTTAAGCCGACGCAACTCCAGCAACTCGCAACTTGCAGGGGCCGCTGCAGCCCGGAGAGGCGCACCATGGGAGTTCGTATTTGATCTCATTTCTTTCTTATCATGCAGTGCTCTGGTTAAGCTTTTTCACACTGCCTACTTACAAAATCTCGCGTGTCCCGTCCAGCCTAAGTACATTACTATATGGTATATTGTATGGTTGGCATGACATAATGCCAGGCACGCGTGGAGATGAACTTTGTCGCCTCGCCAAACCGAGGACGACGCAAACTCTGTTGGACCTACAACATCAGGTGGGCGAGATGAGTACAAGCAAAGCAAGTTCTATTTCACGTGCTGGATTGCGGCTGTCAACGTCAAGCTATAAATATCAATGCTTAACGGCAGACCCAAACATCGGCTCAACACAGCCTCTACACGATCCACCAAACCCCTGGAACTGTCTCGGTCCCAGCCACCGGCCATTCACCACCGACCAAATGGACATACCTAGGGCAAAAACCGATACATCGCATCCCGCGGCCCAGCCAACCCCGAAATCCCCAGCCGGCCACAAAACACGACATCCCGAGCCAACCTACCCGGCGGATCCCACACCGTCTCCGCAACACTCCCCCGCGGACGCGAAACACCACACCCCGTCTCATCACGATCACAAAAAAGGACCAAATTCGCCTCTTGACCCTCCCAGAGCATGAGGCTCTGTTCCAGCTCCGCCAGCCCAATCGCGGCACGGGCCCGCGTCGACACACACTCGTACAACAGTTCGGTGTCGGTCCGAGTCCCGGCCTGGTAGACACCCACGCCCAGACACGCCAGCTGGAGCGGATCGGCGCTGCCCCACGGCGTGAAGGCGTTGCCGAGATTGTTCATGCCCAGCACGCCGTCGAGGCCGTATCGGCGGATGAGTTCGGGGATTTGCAGGGTGCCGCGTGCGAGGTGTTGGGTGTCGGGTTGGTGTGGGGGTGAGGCCATGTATAGATCGCTGGTGGGTAGGCCGACGAAACTAACGGGAACGTCGTGGGTGTGGATGAGTTGGGCTAATTTTTGCCATTCGGAGGAAGTGAAGAGGGTCATGCGGGTGCAGTGGCCCAGCATTACTTGGTTGCGGGTCGAGTGGGTGTTCCAGCCGCGTTGGATGAGGGTGTTCAAGACATACCACATCAAGGCTTCTTTTTCGGTGTCGAGATGGTAATCTAGGTGGAAGTCGAGGTGTTTGTCGAGCTGGAGGGCCCGGTCGACTGCCCAGTCGATGTTCTTCTTCGCGGCCTCGAGACTTGTTTCGACATAGGGTGTTGTCCCGATCACGTCGATTTGGGGGTATTTCTCGAGGGCCTGTTCCATTAGACGGGTATTCTCGTCTCCGTAGTCGGTCGAGAAGATCGGATCTTGCGCGAAGCAGACAATTTGCATTTCGCAGGCGTTGTGCCATTGTTTCTTCAGCGTCACGGCTGCTTCCACACACTTCAATCCCACGGTATGATCTACTTCGACGAAGGCTCGCATGGCCGTCACGCCTGCGGAGACCGACTCGGCGAGCAGCCATTCCCCTCGTCTGAGGAGGTCCGGGAGAGTAAAGTCCTGCTTGGCTGCTGCGGTGAGCGATAAGGCTTCCTGGAACGAGCCTGTTAATGGTAGTCGATGTGCATTTCTGGGTTCGTTGTGGATGAAAGCTTTGTCCAGATGGATGTGTGGGTGTGTTAAAGAGGGTAGAGCTAGCGCAGGCTGTGAGGTGCGTTGCGAAGAAGAGTGTGTGTCGTGCGGGGTGATGGATTTGATGATGCCATGCGGCGAGTCTGGGGGGTAGTCGAAACTGATATCCCAAGTGGACGAGGAGTTGGCTAGCCTGACTCCGCGTATACTGGCGAGTTTCTCGCTAAGATTTGGAGGTGGCATTTTTTATATACGCAGACAAAAGTGACTTGTCTGAGGTCTGGCATATTGTTGCAAGGTTGCAGTAAGATGTACTAGCGTGGGCTTTAGTACTCCGCAGTTCGTAGATTGCGGTGGGGAAATACGGGCCCTAAATCAGCACGATCGCAGAAGCTGATAAGGAAGAAAACGAAGCAGACAATCATGAAGGTCTACGAATAAAAATAAATTTTTAGTCAAACAGATTGGAATTAAAAACTCATGCTAATTCGTGTGCTGCATTCTGGCATCAATTACATATCACATCTCATGCATAGCCATCAAACACCCTCGACCGAGGCATGCCACTAGTACAAGGACTAGTTCTTACCAAACGGCCAAGTCCAGTTCCGAATATGCTCAGGATCAACTCCATTCTCATACGCCTCCATCTTACCGGCCATCCGGGCATTAATCAGTTTCTCCCTTACACTGGAGGCAGTATTACCGAGGGAAGGAATCAAATCAATCGCATCAATAGCGAGACTATACCGATCGGTACCATTGCGCATCGCCAACTCAAACGGCGTATCGATATTGCCCTTCTCCTTGTATCCTCGCACATGCAGATGGTGCTGGCCGGGCCGCTTGTAGGTCAGACGATGGATGAGCCACGGGTACGAGTGGAAGTTGAAGATGATCGGCTTGTTATCGGTGAAGACGGCCTTCCACTGTCTATCTGGCATCCCGTGGGGGTGGTGGATGCCAGAAATGAGTCGGAAGAGGTCAATGACGTTCACGAAGCGGATTTTCAGAGTGGGCAGGTTCTCGCGAAGGAGCGCGGTGGCGGCGAGGGCTTCGTGGGTCGAGACGTCGCCGCAGGAGGCGATGACAATGTCGGGTTCGCTGCCTTGGTCGTTGCTGGCCCAGTCCCAGATTCCCAGGCCCTTGGTGCAGTGGGCTATGGCTTCGTCTATGTTGAGAAATTGGATGTGGTCTTGCTTGTCGGCCACGACGACGTTCACGTAGTTCACGCTGCGGAGGCAGTGGTCCATGACGGAGAGGAGAGTGTTGCCGTCTGGCGGGAGATAAATGCGGACTACCTCGGGGCTCTTGTTGGCGACGACATCGAGGAAGCCAGGGTCTTGGTGGGTGAATCCGTTGTGGTCTTGTCGCCAGACGGTGGCGGTGATGAGAATGTTGAGCGAGGCGACCTTAGCGCGCCATTCGACTTCCAGGCACTTTTCGATCCATTTGCAGTGCTGGTTGACCATCGAGTCGATGACATGGACGAAGGGCTCGTAGCTGTTGAGTAGACCGTGACGTCCAGACAGAATATAGCCTTCCAGCCATCCCTCGCAGGTGTGCTCGCTGAGAATCTCCATGACACGACCGTCGGGGGAAAGGTTGCCGCCGTCTTTATCTTCCTCGAAGTAGTCTCCCATCCAGACCTTCTTACCAGCCTTGTAGACCTCGGCAAGCTTATTGGATTCAGTTTCGTCAGGACCGAAAAGACGGAAATTGTTCATATTCCTGCCGACAACATCGCGCAGGAACTTCGCCATATTGGCCATGCCACCCTTGATAGTCTTTCCACAGACAATGTCCTTGAAACCATACTCGCGGAAATCATTCATGATAAGCGGCTTGCGCAGGAGACCACCATTCCCGACAGGGTTGGCACTCATCCTGAAGTTGCCGGTCGGAGCAAGTTCTCGCAATTCCGGGATCAGTTTGCCATTTGCGTCGAAGAGAGTCTCGGGCTTATAGCCTCGCATCCAGTTCTCCAGAACCTTGAGATGAGCGGAGTTGGTCAGGACGTCGGTGATTGGGATCTGATGCGCCCGCCAGTAGCCCTCGAGAAGCTTGCCATCGACGTCTCGGGGGGCTGTCCATCCCTTAGGAGAACGAAGGACAATCATGGGCCAGCGGGGACGGAATGGCTTCTTCGATGAGCGAGCCTGCTGCTGATACTCTCTGATCTCTTGAACACATTTCTCCAGGGTGGCTGCCATGGCCTGATGCATGGTATCCAGATCGCTGCCCTCAACGAAGTAAGGCTTCCAGCCGTAGCCGGCCATGAGCGCGGTCAGCTCCTCGTGGCTGATACGTGCGAGGACTGTAGGGTTGTTGATTTTGTAGCCATTGAGATGAAGAACCGGCAGCACCGCTCCGTCGACGACCGGGTTGAGGAACTTGGTGCTGTGCCAGCTTGTCGCGAGCGGACCAGTCTCGGACTCGCCATCACCGACCATGGTCAGGGTAATCAGATTGGGATTGTCGAAGACGGTACCGAAGGCATGCGAGATCGAGTAGCCCAGCTCACCACCCTCGTGGATACTGCCCGGGGTTTCGGGGGTGGCGTGACTGCCAATGCCACCGGGGAAGGAGAATTGCTTGAAGAATTTCTGCATGCCCTCGGCATCCTCGCTCTTGTCAGGGTATACTTCTGAGTAGACGCCTTCCAGATATGACTGGGAAATGATTCCGGGGGCGCCATGGCCAGGTCCCGACACGAAGAGTACATTGAGGTCGTATTTCTTGATCAGGCGGTTCATATGGAGCCAGGTAAACGATTGACCGGCGTCGGATCCCCAGTGGCCCAGCAAACGGGCTTTAAGGTGCTTCGGTTCCAACGGCTCCTTGAGCAGCGGGTTGTCGCGGAGATACAGCATGCCCAGACAAAGGTATAGACTGGCGCGGAAGTAGGCGTTCATCTTGCGGACTTCCTCGGCACTAAGAGGCTTGCCTTGCACGGTCGAGCGAGCTTCTCCGTAGGCGGAAATGCTCTTACCCTCCTGCGACGCCATGGTGGGCTGTGATGGAATCGTTGTAGTGATGAAGAGTGCCTTGAAGGAGGTGTCACGGAGTTTCGAGCGGGGAATTGATGGAAGAAGAGAGGGGTGAGCTGTCACGGATGAACGCAGAAGTGGGGTTTTAAAGAAACGACGTTGTCGTGCAACAAACGTATGAGTGGGCTGACACTTGCGTCTGCGTGGTGACCGACCGTGGTGCAGTCAATGACGTGTAGGCAATCGATGAACGCACCACCACATCCACCTTTCCACCCATGACTCATACAAGATCTTGCTGACAACTTGATTAATATCAAGGCAGTTCCTGAAAGATCTCGGATTGTGCCTGCCACTTTATCTTTATATACAATTATCGAGATTGGCGTTCCTGTGGCTTTCCGCGGCATCCGGATCGGAGTATTTACCCTCGCATTGATTCCCCCGCGGTTTCCGCTCAGTCCCTTCCTACAATAAGTTGGTATTTTTAGTACTTTGCTTGCTAATTTGACCAAGTCGCGAACATGGGGTAGTGAGCTCGTCTTCACGTGCCTTGAAAAACACCTGACAAGTATACATCCACGTGGCGATCATTGATCTACATACAGAGTTCGCAGTCTAGGACCCACTCACTCTACGGCATACCAAACTAGACCCTTCGAATTTCCCAGGTAGGCAGGTGCCTTTCAATTTATGTAAGTCTGCTAGGACAGAAATTGGTGATCCGCTGGTCTCGTTGCTTCATCTATGCTATAGCTCAAACATGCATATCGACATTTTACTCTTTTCGCTCACATTTAAGCCTTCGGCCGCTCAGGAAGATCCTGCTCATGGGGAGCTTGGCCCTGGGCCTGAGCACCGGGGTGACGGGAGCCCTTGTTCTTGACCTTCTTAACCTTCTTCTCCTTCTCCACGGGCGGGTAGGCCCTCAGGGTAATCTCCTGCCACTCGGCGTCGGCCTGGTAGGCTTCTTGGATGGATGTCATCAAACCGGTCAGTGCCGCTGTGACACCGGCCTTGAGTAGTTGCGGGGTCAACTATGGCAGAGTTAGTATGATTCTGCTGTTTGGAATTGTTGGGAGAAAGGGTAACGTACAACATCGTTGCGGTAGTCCTCCTTGAGCTTCTCAATGTCAGTGTAGACGAGGGGCTCGGCGTCCTTGCGCTCCACGACGAACTCCTTCTTGCCCTTCAGGTCGGACGCAGGGAGGAAGGTGAATTCTACCATGGCGATCAGACCGTTCTCCTCGACCACCTTCGGGGCGGCTTCCGCTTTGCCTGGGAATTGTTAGCAGTGAGCGCGAATGAATAAGCATGGACAAAAAACTTACGGATCTTCTTGGTGATAGCCTCGGGAGAGTCCAGGAGGTCAATCTTGCTAGCTATTCAAGGATCTGTCAGTGGTCTGCTTGTCAAAAGAAGCAATTCGGGGTCATTACCTTCGTCGCTAGAGCTCATCTTGGCGTTGTTGAGGCCAGGTACCATTTTGTTAAGCAGGTCTTGGGATTTGTTAGTAAGATTTTACTAGACAGAAAATGCGGATTGTACTCACGTGCACGCTACATAATAAGAAAATCAGGTCAGCGAGATATTCAAAAGTCGGATACTGGTGGTCTTACCTTGCGGTGTCCAATTTTGGGCGCCCACTCGACCGCAGCGGCAAAAAGCTTGCGCTGGTCCATACCGCCAAGCTCGGCATCAACCTTGAGATACTAGGGGGCCATTAATATGTTTGTCTCAGGGCATCAAAATTAAGATTCAAGACTTACTTCTTCGTCCAGAACCTGGAGAATAGGGTAAAGGAGACCACTCAATGGCGCGTTTGAGGACTGCTTCACAACCTCGGCACCGGCCTTTTTGGCTAAATTACGAGAAAAGAAAAGAATTAGCGAATTAATACATGGTGGAATGTTTAGCGCGCAGCGCGCAAGGCTTGCCATGCTTACCATCATGCTCGCTGACCAGCGAGGACAGCTTGTAGACATCAAACACATATTCGGGACTCTTTTGGTACGAAGATCCGAGGACGAACTCCAACTTCTCAGTCGAGACACCGACGGCCTGCAGCAGAGCGGTGATCACCTTGCGGTAGTACTGTGCGCGGTTGTTGACGAGCTCGATGGGGGCCTTCAGGTCTGTTTAATGTATGCATGAGCCGGGTGTTCTCCACTCGCATTGTACGTCTATACTCACTGTCCAGGAAGGCGTGGACGTCAGCCAGCAGAATAACCACCTCGCAGCCCGCAGCCAGTAGTTGTGCGATCTTGATAGCAGGGACCTATCCAACGAATTGTCAGTTGAAAAACGTTCCGAGGCGAGTCAGGCTCATCATTCGCATTATTCAATGGATCGGATCGAGGTTGATCATACAAGATATCCGGTGTGAGGACGTCCGGTGGTGGCAGTACCCCAGCTGAATTTATTATTAGCATATGATCAAAGACCGAGAAGGAAGGGCACGAGCCGTACTAGACGCGGGGATTGCGGCCTTCGGCAAGAATCTGCTCAATGATCTCGGGGTTCATCATCTCCGCAAGGTTCTCATTGATCTATCCCATGGGATACAATATCAGCACAATGTCTCCGATCAAAATATTCCAATCCTCAACGTACCAGATCGAAGCGCCCTTGGGCGTTCGCATCGAGAGGGGTTGCGCTCATGTTGATGGTGGCGTGCGGTCGGCTTGCGAAAGGGGGAGCAGCGATTGAACGGGAATCAGATGAGATGCGGTACTTTTCGAGGTCGGCCAAGTAATTCGGGCACCACAGTCACAGTCGAATTCAGTTGAGAGACTCGTACGACGCAAAGGCTTGACTCATATCATCCCCCACCATTTCAGCGGGGGTTTTTCTTTTCTGCCGCGCCGCTGCCAATGCGGAAGGCGGTCGTGGAAGGAGCCAGCGGACGCTTTTCCGCCCTCCGAGTGGAACTTCCGAGCCGGCCTTCGTCGACAACTGAGCGGAGCTACAACAGCGTCATCACACACCTCTTTCGTTCTTCCGGCTCGATCGGGGAATCACGCCCAATTGGACTCAAGATGAGCTTCCTCTCCAAGCTGGTCACATTATTCGGTTTAGTCCTGCTGGCGCACGCGTATGTTCCTGGAACGCCCAACACTACAACAGCATGAACACTGGGAAATCGGAGTCAGCAGCTAACACACTCCTCTGCAGAGGCTACTCCGCCCACGAACACACGGTGCTCTTCAGCAGCACGCGCCTCGCCCTCCCCCCATGATATCATCGTCGAGACCCTGGCGGCGGTGGTTGTCGTCTCCGTCGGACTGGTGCTGGGCGCGGAGAAACTCAAGCCGATCAGCTGGCGCGACTGGGCGGGCGAGATTGAACGGGATGGCGGTGCGCGGAATCCGTATCTGAGTCTGGAGGAGCGATATGGGTTCTGGGATATTCGGGTAAGACTATCCCCTCGCACCACGAGCTTAGCTGGGCTGGCTGGGCTGGTCTGGCATTGTGATCGCGACCATAATTGTTTATCTTACTAACTGGATCTACAGGCCAAGCGAAAGGAGTTTGCGGAATGGATGCGAGGCCAGGATATGGTGGCCAAGCAGTGATGGTGATATTGGAGCATCCTGCGTGGTTTCTTGTACAATATGCTTGCTGCGAGGAACCTCAATTGATATATTTGAATCAACCTTTGCTGCGGCTTTAATCCCGATCGCAGGGTGATTGGACACCTCCAAGTATGCTGTTTCCAAGCCAGACGCACCTAGGAGGTACCTCAAATACCATATTCGCCAAGGCATAAGGCATACCGTCGAACGGCGCTGGACACGAATACGAACAGAGTAGAACCCCAAGATCCAAATGATGCCAAACACCAATCAATATTCGCGACGTGCAGGAGATCTACCGAGCATCCTACAGTGCATGCAGCGTACATCGATGGCTACACCTACATGTACATCCACCGCTCGGGGAGACGCCCCCGGCAAGGATCTCGCCCGTCAGCGATCCACATTGCTTATTTCCTCCTGCCATCGCTCCGGGAGCAGGCTCCGGGGGCAGTGCCGCAACTGCGCCTCATGCGGTCTGCACATAACACAGGCACAAGTGTAGGGTCAAGCCCCATCAGAAGGTGCCGGGATGGGCCTATTTCGTCTCGGTACTTCTCGCACGCGAGAGGTACTACCTTCATTCACAAGTGTTGTGGCATCATGCTGTAGCTCGACCGCACATGAGCTCTTCCCTGTCTCGGGCCCGGTGCACAGGCTACGCGTCGCGGGTGACACATGACGGACGTTCGAGGTAAACGGGCGGGCCTTTGGCCCTGCAGGGACTCGGTAGCTGGGTGTCTCCCTGACGCCACGCCACCGATCGGGTGCTAATTTTTGTAAAGTAGAGGACTTTGTTGTATCGATTGATGACGATAAATATTCCCTGGGAAATTTCGTGACCTTTCCACATCAAATTTTCTGGTGTGATTCTCTAGACTTGAAGTAGTGATCAATGTGAAAGTATCACAGGCGTGTTCAGGTGCATTCAATGTAATGTAGACAGTATGGCCAAGGGCCACAGTATTATGATAAAATGTACCCTCATTAGTGTAACTCACAGGTGCTAACGTAGACTTAAAAAAGTCAGACTGCCGCGTGGATCATCACATTATCCGAACAATACATTCTGGCATCCGCGATGGAAATTCGTAGAATATCGGCTTCTGATTCCGCGCGCCATCGTCTAGGAATCGAAACTACTAGAATTCGGGCATCTCCATCTCTGGTACAGTGTACTATTGTTAGGCTCTTGGCAATGTCGAACTCTGCGATTGCCGGACTTGCAGTGGTCGCAAGTGGATGTTCCGCGAGAGACACACTAACACTTAGTCGACGCCCCACCGTCCGTGTGATGCCTCTACCTAGTGTACTCAGGTAGGCCTGGGCCTCGGTGGGGGTGTCTTTATTGCTGGAATGGTTTGTTTTGTCTCGTCCGTCGGCCACAACACCGAAGCCTTGCATGCGGCCACACAATCTTCAAATAACCAAACGCCATCTCCAGCTGCCAGCCGATCTTTCCCGTCCACAATGTGATGTCTCAGCCGCCGATCCCTCGAGTGTGAGCCTCTTTCGCCTCTTCCGCCTCTTCGCCTCTTTGCCTCTCCGCCTGTCTCACCCGCAACTTTCCTCTGGAGCGAACGGGAGCAGGCCGAGTGGATCGGGCAGGGCCGAAGCAGCCCGTGGATCGAAATGGGATTCGTAGGCCTCCACGCGGTCCGCCAAGACGATCCCCCAGAGTACATTAGTGTATACAACAGTCCATTTAGTCCACACAGCAATGTAGCCCTGCCATGCCTGCCTGGTCTATCCTGGACAGCGGCAAAGCCCCCCCCCTGCCAGTGTTGTCACTCTTTATTCGCATCCGGGATCTAGAGAGAAAGAGGGAAAGGGGCTCCGACAACGCCACCCCCGGCCACGAAACGCACCGCGATGGCGTCCGCCGAATAGATGGCTGGGTGGGGCGCTGCTAATCTTGGAGCACCCAGCAAATACGAAGGTGCCAACCAGCAAGTGCCCTAGGGTAGAAGAAAAGATAGGACCTTAAGAGACCTTGGGTTGTGTCATGTTGAGCTTACGCATCGACGCAGCACGGCAGCCGGTGTGACCCAACCAAAATAGAACGCTTGACCTTGCAGATCCAGCGCCGCGCTAGCCTGCATCCGAAGAGGCTGCATCGCGACTGGTCCGTTGGCGAGGCCCAAGGCCGAAGTCCAATTCAGGGCTGATGCAGGCTTCGGTGTGTTTCCCTGGACAACCCCGTGTTATAACCCCCCGTGCCCGCCTCATCACGCTCTTGCCTTCTCTTTTTCTCCTCCACACTTTCGTTCAGCATCCTCCATCTACATCCACCTCACCCTCTCACCTTCTTCCCACCAATTTCAATTCGTCGACTACATTCGTTCACAATGCGTGCCTCCGTCGTCTTCGCCGCCCTCTCTGCCTTCGCTCTGCAGGGCGCCATGGCCCAAGTAAGCCTTCACTCGAGCTAATCAACAAACAACGCAGTTCATGGAAATCCATCAGCTAACTTCAGTGCTAGGAGAGCAACCCGGCCACTCAGTACCTGACAGAGACCAACTCCAACGGTGTCGTGACCGGCCAGCCTGATGCCGTCACCTCGCAGCCCACCGTCGTCACCAGCCAGCCCGCCGTCGTGACCTCCCAGGAGCCTGCCGCCAGCATCCCCGCTGGTCTCTCCTCCGTGCCCTCCGGTGCCTCCCCTACTGGCAGCACCACTGGCAGCGGCTCGGCCTCGGGCAGCGGTAGCCGTACCCTGTCCACTGCCACTCGCAGCGCCAGCAAGTCCACTTCCACTGGCACCTCCACCGAGACTAGCACCGACTCCTCTTCCAAGACCACTGGTACCTCGACCAGCACTGCCAGCGGCAACAGCTCTTCTTCCACCGGTGCCGCCGCCACTGCTGGCCCCGCTGGCCTCGGCCTCGTTGCCGGTGTTGCCCTGGCTGCTTTCGCCCTGTAAGGAGTGAAAAGCCAGCCTCTGATCTAGTCTTCTCAGCTGCAACAGAACCTCATCTCCTGCAAATATCTTTACAATATGGGAGTTCTGAAGTGGTGGACGGATCGTCTTGTTTCTGTTTCTTGAATTGACAGCGGACTCAGCTTATCACTGAGTCAGGACGAGGGATATGAAAAATGCGAGCGAGATTTTCTTTTCTTCCTTTCCTTTGATACTTACTTAATCATGGGGGACATGTAATCCATATCTGGGACCCTGGTTACTTTGATGTTTTCTATTCTTGCGTGCGGATCGGATAGCATATCCACGGCACAGCCGTTTCCCACTCCTTCGATGATGTTATTACTTTGATGGGCATGACTAGCTTAATTCACAGCAAATAATCCAGTCTTCGAGACATTCTGATTCCAAACTGAGTTCTCGCCTTCCCTTCCTGTGTAAACAGTCAATTTTGTTGGATTGGATAGAGCACCGAGATTAGGTTGTTTCAATCCCTGCCGGAGCTGTCGCATGAACTCCAAGTGCATGAGATACATTCATCTCATATGGCCTCTCATGCGTGCGCTGCTTCAATCATGAACTTAGAGGACTTGGACGGACCTTGGTAATGTGGGGAACTGGATTTGTGACATATCCAACTGCCAACTATGTGCTGGGATATAGTTCGAGGAATCTACTAGAACACACGCGATCCCGATTAGGAAATCTAATTAAACCGACGCGTCGCGGACGCGTGGCCTAATCGGGACTAGTGGGTCCAGCTGCCAAAACCCACTCGCTGATCCCCCGCGGTTTGTACCCGTGGTGACAACCCGTCGTCACCGTCGGTATCGTGAGAAATAGTTAAGTACTGGTTCGATAAGTCTCTTAACCCCCCCGTGAATAATAATTCGATCCAGGCTGCCAACATTCACCCTGAAATCGCTGCGCAAAATCGCAAACAGCGGCGCTGTCGGCAGACGTCGCCGAGCTGCTTCGCGATCTCTTCCCGAATTACATCCTGCAGTCCGGCAAACGGAGCTATCGAGAGATTTTCCGAAGCTACGTAGAAATCTTCAGGAGCTTCGCGCACCTTCTCCACTGATGACAAAGAGAACCAGGAGCCAGTCACTGACGCTGGAAACAAGGACATACCCAATATGCAAGCCAAGAAGCTGGGTCCCGCCCTTCGCCCACCTGCCGAAACGCCTCAGCCTGCCAAGCCTTTGTCTACCTCCACCAAGAGCCCCAAGGTGTCCAAGAATACTGGAGCCAAAGAGCCCGCGAACTTGAATTCATCGGCTGTAGGCTGCTGGAAATGCTGTGGATTCGGTTTGCTGATCTCGACTTGGACAACTGGTACTGGTGCTTGGACACCTGTCGACAATTTCGACATTTATTTTTTGACTTGTGCTTGAAGTCATGGTTTGTTATTTGAATGCGATTAGATACCCCCGGCGCTTTGAAATTAATTTTATGGATTTTTTGGGGATTTTTTGGACCGGATCTAGCACTTACAGTAATATTCAAAAACAAATTTACCCCCTACACTCTTCGACATTAACTCCCAAGCCCTAATGTAAAACACGTTAATCAGAATAGGGTTTAGGCGTCGATCCTCCAGTTTCTAGAATAGATCTTGTATCTTACATAAAGTATTAAAACAATAGTTAGTTACCCGCTGTATTATACATGAAATTGTTGTACACGAATGCTTTTGCCTGATTCTCCAGTAAAACGATTCTTCCTCTCGCCATGATTAGACTCACAATATGGCTCCCAGATTTCCCTCCTCAAGTTGCATCTCATCCGTGATATGATCGAGAGCCAGTCACTTATCACATCTCAAATGGCCGAAGAAGCCGAGTGCAGCAAAGTCACGATAATAAATGTTCGCAAAAATATTGGGGCAGTTCGGAAGCGTCCACGCGCCCCCAACTCGAATAGGCTGGAGACCGACAATTACCCCCGCTAATGATCGAAGTGCTTTGTGATCACCTATCTGCAAAGCCAGTTCTGTACCTCGACGAGATGGTCGTTTTCCTCTGGGATGAGTTCCACACTATGATTACGGCCTCAAGAATCAGAAGAGCCCTGATAGCTAAAGGTTGGTCAAAAAGACGGCCCGACAGCATGCTAGAGAGCGAATCGCGGATTTGCGAAAATTATATCTACACAATTTATCGGAGTTCTAGTCGTATTACCTTGTTTATGTGGATGAGTCTGGATGCGATAAGAGAGTCTGGTTTAGGCGGACGGGCTGATCATGGTCACTAACCTTAGTGTGGCGCCGTTGTAGGTATCACAGTTCCGTCGTGACAAGCTATACCAGATACTAGAGCGTACACCCAGGATGGTGTCCTACTTTCGCGTGTTTTCCGCGGTGCAATAGCTGCCATTATATTCGAAGATTTTTTATTTCAGCTGCTTCAGTATTGCGGAAGATGGTCAGACCCTAAATAGTTGTTATGGTCATAGATAATGCCCTATTTCATCACTTGGAATGGGTCTCGCAGATGTGCGAGGACGCGGGAGTGAAACTAGTCTATCTACCACCCTATTCGCCGGACTTGAATCCGATCGAGAAATTCTTTGCTGAGCTAAAAGCCTTCATTAAACGTAATTGGAGTTACTTTGAAGCGGATCCTGATCAAGGTTTTTGATGTCTTTCTTATATGGTATATTGACGTTGTCGGAACAAGGCAAGAAAGTGCCAAGGCCATTTACGACATGCAGGCTTAAAAGGTCGAAGAACTCATAGGATTCTAGGCATGGTCTTAGTTAAGGAGCTTGAATCAAGTATGGCGTGAAAGTAGTTGCTCCCCAGCGTTTCGTACGCGACATTGGTATTTGGGTGAAACGAAGTGGAGATTTCACTTCCCGTGAGAATTCTAGTAATTCGGTTTACTAGCAATAGAGCGAAAACAAAATAGCCTCCACGGGCATATATCCTGTGTTTGTCTGTCGGAATGGTTGTAAAAAGATTTAAGATGCCGGTTACTGTACCTGCCCAATACTAGCTCAATTCTAAGTCGCATCTGAACTACTCTTGGTTCCTGGGATTAATTCGGCAGAGCATACGATAATCGTACAATCAGGTTTCATAAATTTTTTGCCTTGAAGTATCGTGCCGAAATTATTCTGTCGAAATTATGCTTGATATCCACTCAAACGCTTCATAGATTGGGCGGCAGATCTATCTCGAGTAGGCGGTATATGAGAGTACTTGAGTGGTTTTATTACTATCTAAAAGCCACTGTAAAAACTGCGAGAAAAGCCTTGACAACCAGAAGCGGGAATGGTTGGCATTCGGACCGAGGGAAGGCGGCGAGGAGTGCCGAGAGGCTATGGTCACGTTGTCGGCGTCCTAAAGGCGTTTAGCGTGTCGGCGTCCGGAAAGAGCCTAGTTTGTGGAAACATTCAAAGCTTCTTTATGGGAAGGGATAAGGGATAAATGCACACTTCCCAGGTAGAAGTAGACTAGCACTTTTTTATTTATTCAAATTCATCGCATCACAATGAAGATGAGCAACTGCAGTGAATCATCGCCTCCACCACCATCGGCGAGCACTAACATCAGCTCTTCGAGCACGTCCTTGAACGAAATTGAACAAGACTGCAGTTTGACTTTTCCAGACGGTGGCTGGCGCGCATGGGGCGTTGTTCTTGGTTCCTGGTGTGCGATGGTGCCGTCTTTTGGGCTTATGAATACGATTGGTGTGTTTGAAGCTTGGCTAGCGGGTCATCAGTTAAAAGACTATTCGAAAGCTTCCATTGGCTGGATATTTAGTCTATACATGTTTTTCCTTTATTTTGGAAGCATACAAATTGGTAAGAGTCTTGGCAGAAATATTTGAGACTCTTTTTAAAGTTAACGTGTAGCAGGACCTATCTTTGATGCGCATGGACTAAAGCCTTTACTGATTCCCGGGTGTGTCGGTCTTGTCGGATCATTGATGGTCTTCAGCGTGGCAGAAGGTGCGTGTATTCCCAGAGTCGAGCTTGCTTCGTCAAATCTAATGATCCTCATTAAATTAGAATATTATCAATTCATACTGGGGTTTAGTGTCCTTGGTGGTATCTCTTCGTCCATGGTTTTTACCCCTAGCGTAGGATGCATAGCTCATTGGTTTCTTCGGCGTCGCGCTTTGGCTACGGGAATAGCGGCGACTGCTGGAGGAATCGGAGGTATTATATTTCCTGTTTTGATCTCCAATCTCGCTGGAAGTCTAGGCTTCCCATGGGCCATTCGAATCGTTGGATTTATCAGTGTTGCATTCTGTGTTCTCTCCGTGGCGCTTTTGAGGACCAGAGCACCCTTTTTGAATCCGGTACAGAAAGGAAAGGTAGATATCAGATCTTTGAGTGAACTGCGCTTCTCATTGTTGACGGCTGCCATCGTTTTAATCGATTTCGCCCTACTGATTCCGTTAACTTATTTGCCGTCCTATGCTCAATCTCGCGGCCTGGGCGATTCTCTTGCATACAACCTATCATCTATCTTGAATGCGGCGTCTATTTTCGGGCGGATTGTCCCTGGATATTTTGCTGACCGATTTGGGCGTTTCAATGTGATGATAATTACAACATTCGCCTGTTCAGTGATTACTTTCGCTCTCTGGCTTCCATCCCAGTCCAATCACGCGGCCATATTGGCGTATGCCGTGCTTTTCGGATTTTGGAGTGGTTCTGCAATTAGCCTCTCCCCAGTTTGTGTTGCGCAAATTTCCAAAACCGAAGAATTCGGAAAGCGCTATGGTACAACCTATTTTCTGGTCAGTTTAGGCACCCTTGTTGCCATTCCAGTGGCCGGTGAACTTTTAAAGGTCCAGCAACCAAGTGGGGGGCTGGATAATTATTTCGGTTTGATAATTCTTTGTGGGCTGGTTTACTCCTGTGCATGTCTCTTTTTCATTTTGTCCAGAGGCGTGAGCGGTGGTTGGGGGTTTAAAGTTTTCTAGTGATTAATATGGGTTGCGGTTCTTTGCGTAAAATATGAGAAAGGCGATGACTACGGCGAGATTGCGGAGTTATGTGTCCTCAAAGAAGCTTTTTTCGAATATTGCTATAGCTTCGCTTTATATCCTCCACTTACAGGCCTGCGTACCGGAATTGTCTCTCTGCACTTTCCTCTTGGACCCAAGACATCAGAACACCATTTGAGAATTTCATCAAATTCCTGGCCCAAAATCTCTTAGTAGGATTACCAATTGTACCAGACGAAGGTATTGAGCTTACAGAACTCCTCAATGGAATTTAGGAGAATAGGGCAAGAAATCTAGAAGCTTCACACCTACTTCTGGGTACATTTTTAATTCGACCTGAGTGATGAAAGGATGCGTTGTTAGTGGTCGCCTGTATATCGTTTTAGTATTTGTTATAGACCTCACCCTCACCTTTTTCACTTGAGAGTGCTTCCCCCCGAACTGGATCTACCCAACAATATGGGCCTGAGGAGCAAGTCGTGGAGGCGCATCGCATCAAGTTATAGACACTGCGCCAGAGTGGTTTGTGTCTAGAAGCATGCTCCTCCGCATCGAGCTAAGCGAGTCTTTCCTCAAGCATTCCTTTTGTGACATAAGCTTTTCCTCTTTTCTCCCCTTTTCAACCCGCAGCAAGGGGAGAGTGACGATCGTCTACGTAGTTAAAGCTGATCTTCAGCGTGGGTTCTTTGCCACAGGAGAACAGCCTTGACCACATTACAATGCCGGTAGTTATCATCAAACTGTTTAGTCAGATCGCTCTGAGTTCGACTATCTACCCTGACGATGATGACAGTGTCGTCAGCTCTCACCCGACGGTTTCGGGCAATTTTTCGTCCTAGGAATTTCTCTAACTTTTTCTCTAGGGTGAGCTGCCAGAAGGCACTTAGGGCTAGAACGACGTCTTCCTCTGTGTCCCTTGCCACCCCATGATATTGACTGTTACTCGTCACTCTATACGATAGTGGATACAGACCGGTGGGTCCTGGTCGTATACCTGTCCTTCCTATTTGGGTATCTGGAGCAGCCTAAGAGCGTTTGGCTGTGACTAGTTCTCAAGCGCAATAGATGGGGAGGGCTGTGGTCGGACTGTGTTGTGTAAGGACTACTAAGGAATCTAGACGTTAGAGCATACTGCGAGCCATATTCCCATGGTCCGGGCTCTTGGGGCTGAGATGGAACATCATTGTGATATAGACTTTGTGTCGTATCTACAAAATTATATTCCTTGGAAGGCCCATGTCAGCATCTCGGGAACCCCAGCTTGGATGTACGCCGGCAATGAATGAGCATCGCAGCCGATGAATCAAGTATGGGGATAATAGGCATTCTGGCTTACTAGGCTTATTCCACAGTGAAGCTACCGCAAAGGTTCCGGAACCAGGCAGCGTAGAGTTGCAATTCTATATCCAGACCTGCTAGACACTCTCAGCAAGACCCCCGCCTACAAGCATTGAAAAGCAAGAGTTAACACAGGGCTACACGAGTGTACAGAATACGGAAACCAGTAATGTAAATACCTGGATTAATGAACTTCCTAGAACTATCGAGCGACAATCTTCCCCTCAAGTCTCTCCATAATCACATTCGACCACGGAATCCCGAATGAGTCTGAAACCGCAAACCATTGAATCCTGGAATAGGAAAGAAAACGAGACCGAGAAACCTGGTACGAGCTAAAGCACATTGCACGAACGTTTTCTCTTTGGAAGACTCAGATTCTCAGAAAGGAGACAAAACAACCGCTGCTCAACGTGTAATCAGAAGAATAAGTGTACGAGCCCCTTTGCACGACGGGAAAAAAGAGGTGAAAAAGAATTTGCGGGTGAATTCGAATAGCCACCGATCAAAAGGAAAATACTAGAATATCGGGGAATTTCCTTTTTAGAGTCCCCGATAATAATATGTCCGATCCGCGTGCTGGGGTGAGGATTATGTTCGTGGGTGTGGTCAAACTGAGAGAAGGTTGACGACAACCCAGAGAATCTGCAGGATACGCATGCAATGAATATTTCCCAAGGAGAAGATAACCACCTATGAGACCACCCTTACAAAGCGTAAGGGTTGACAGACCGAACCGTGAGGCATCTTCAAAGCACACTAAGTTAGTAACCAAGCCCCTATTGCTAGTTCAGAGGTCAGAATAAATAACTTACGGAGGACTCTTGCTCAGGTCAGTCTTGAGAATGATGGGAACGCGAGTCATCTCGGTAACATCCTGGATGAAGTCGCCATTCTCCTCTCTCAGCTTGAACGACTTGAGGTACTTCTCCTTGTTAGTCAGCTTGTTCTCAGGAGCATCGCTGGTGCTCGAGGCGATCTTGGGGTCAGAGCGAGTGCGGTGAGGTCCCTGCTGGAGGTGGCCGTTGCGAGTGGGCGACGGCGGCATGCTCTGGGTCGACCGGTCAGCCGAGTTCAAGGAGACGCCAGCATCCTGTTCAGTCACCTCGTCAACATCCTCGTCATCGTCATCGAAAAGGGCATCAACATCGTCCGCAGACATGGTGCCAGTCTCGGTCTGCTTGCGCATTGCCTCGTCACGCTCACGGGCACGCTCCTTGGCGGCCTCGGCCTCGCGGGCAGCGGCAGCCGCCTGGGCAGCACGAGAGTTGGCGGGCTTGGGTCGCTCATCTTCGGGGATGTAAGCAGACGAGGGGACACCCTTCTCCCAGTAGAGCTCAAGCACACGCGAATCCTTGCGGAACTCGGCCTTCTTGAGAGGCAGCTGGTCACAGTGCACACGCTTCTCAAAGCCGTACTCAGGAATGAGGACATCGAAGGCGGACTCATAAACGCAAAGAACAATACCCTCGCTGATGAGGTCGCCACCAATCTCATGAGCCTTTCGGTCCATGTTGCGGCAGGCCTCGATGTGGACGCTCTGCTCCTGGGCATTGTGGGCCGAATCCTTCTTGTTGTTGCACAGATCGGCGGTCTTGGTCAACGACTCCACATCATCAGTGAACTCAATGGCACCCTCAGAGAGGACAGACTCAAGTTGACGGTGCACAAGCACATCGGCGTAGCGGCGAGAGGGGTTGGTGAAGTGGGTGTACACAGGCACATTGAAGGTGTAGTGCTGGCGCTGCTCGTCAGCAGGGCCAGGTCCAACGAAGTACTTGGCACGCTGCATAGCCTTGGCAAGCAGGGTTTCCATTCCCTGTAGACCTAGTTAGTAAATGCGTTGGGAAATCGAGAAATGTTGCGATTGTATGTTTTCACGAACCTTGCGGAGGTCAACATCGGACACCTTGCAGAGAGTGCTCTGCAGGCTTCCGCTGCTAGAAGAATCGAAATCGTATCCAAGGCGGTTCATTCTCTCGACGAACAGGGTGAGACGGCGAGAGTTGGGAGATGGCTGGCGACGAAGGAAAGCCTTCTCAGGCATGGCATTAGCCAGCTTACGGGCAACGAAGTAGTTGGCCTGGCGGCTAAGCTCCTCGACGAGCTCGTGGGCCGGGCTGGAGTCGAAGATGTTGTACTCGACGGGCACGTTCTCATCGTCAAGCTGCTGAAGCAGACGCAGAGAAGGAACGTTGGCCACCCTGTTTCCGAAGCGGGCATCCCGGAACTTGTTGGCAACGGCACTCAGAAGTTGGACATGCTCAGTGGAGACGCTGGATCCAGTCGAGCTGGACTTGCCAGTGATCACAGCGTTGGCATCGTCGTAGCTGAAACGGCCTGCGCTCTTAACAATACCCTTGCCAATCCATACGTCATCATCAATGGCACCGGTCTCGGGGTTGGCATGGAAGACAACGCTGACGGTAAGGCGGTCCTGGTCCGGAAGCAGAGAGCAAAGCTCACTGGAGACCCGAGATGGGAGCATGTTCATAACACGATCCACTAGGTAAACAGCAGTGCCTCGCTTCTTGGCCTCACGGTCCACCAGGGAGTTACCCTTGACAAAGTGGGCAATGTCGGCAACGTGGACACCAATCTCGACCTTGCCATCAGCAAGCTTCTTGACGTGGAACGCATCCTCAAGAGCCTTGGTGTTCTCGGGGTCAATGGTGAAGATGGTCTCTTCACGGAAGTCACGTCGTGAACCCAGAGCTTCGCCCTCGTTGGCGACGGTCCAGCCCTCCCAACCAATGCTCTTGATGACGGCATCAGAGAAGTCATCAGAGCCAAAGTTGTTATCGCGGAGAAGAGCATCAGTCTCAACCCGCAGATCACCCATCTCTCCAAGTTGCTCCACGAGAGTACCGAAGGGGTGCAGAGAGGTAATGGGCCAGCGCTTGATGGAAGCGACAAAGATACGGTTGGCGTAGTCCTGGTGCTTTTCCACGAAATCACGGGGAGCCTGCTCGGTGGGGATAGCGATCAGAGGCACACGTTTATCGGTAGGCTTGAACCAGACAATCTTGGGCTTGTCCTGGTGACGATCCTGGTGGCGGCCGTGAGCGCCATCTCTGGCCTGTCGCTCGGCCTCTTGCTTCTCCTTGGTGGCTTGGCTGCTGGGGCGAAGCAGACCCAGGGTGCCAGAGAACATCTGACCCGCAATACGCTCAATGACAGCAACAACGTGACCGGCATAGAGAGGCTTTTGCTCGTCACTGATCTCGTCCTCCTCGACAAGGAGGAGGCTCTGGCCCTCAACCTCGACGTCGTCATTCTTCTTTTGAGTCGGACGCTGACGGAGACTACCACGGCGGCGGATGCTTCCATCCGGGCCAACCTCCTGTCGGTCACCATTGGAATCGGATCGACCCAGCTTGTCATTGCCAGCGTTGCTTCCGGAACGGGCATCCGTAATATCCTTACGCTTCTTTTTCTCTTCTTTCTCCTTCTTCTGAGACCAGACCTCATCGACATCCAGGAGTTCAATGGCGACAAAGTCACCCTCCAAAGCGCGGTTACGGTCCTTGCTACCGCAAATGAAAATGTCGGCGTCCAGATCCGGAGTAGTCACGTATGCGTCGGAACGGTTCTTCTTGTTCACGCGCAGGACACCAGCCACCAGTTGTCCGTTGCTGATAAGAGCGGGCAGGTTTGCCTGAGGAAGGTAAGGAGTGAAGAGGGTCTTACGCTGCTGCTGCTGTTGCTGCTGTTGCTGCTGAACAGACAGCTGCGGCGGGGCGTGCTGGCTGGCCTGGAGACCACCGGCATTTTGCTGCTGAATAGCCTGAAGCTGGGCAAGCTGGAGCGGATTCAATTGCTGGCCACCAGGGAACATCTGGGGCTGGGCCATCATCATCTGGCCCTGAGGCAGCTGAATAAGCTGGGGTTGACCAGGGTACTGGAACTGGCCGATGGAGCCCATCGACTGGTTCATCGAGCCACGCGAGCGGTGGCCGGGTTGGAAACCGCCCTGCTGCTGCTGGCGTTGGTCCTGGCCCTGGTTCTGGTTGTTTGGCTGGCGCCAGTTGCTATCAAAGTTTCGGGATCCCGAACGAGCGTGACCGCCGGGCTGACTGCCTCGGCGCTGGTTGTCGGCTGAACCGCCATCGCTTGGTGCGGGGAATTGGAAGCCACCGGCACCGCGTCCAGAGACGGAGCCTCGGTTGCCACCAATAGCCATCGACTGGCTTCGACCATGACCACCAGCGCGCATGTTGCCAGCGCGCTGCAGACCGAGACCCTGGGGGGCAGGAGAGGTACTCGAGCCGGGCTTGTCATCAGGACCTGCCTGGCTGTCCGAGCCGGACGCGTCAGGGGCGGGGGCGGGGAATTGGAAACCGGAAGCGGTTCTCTTCTGCTGAGCAAGCTCTGCGGCCTTCTTGGCTTCCGGCAGAGCGAGAGAGTGACGACGCTGATGTCCGCCACCGGGGGACCTCCGCGGCCGCGACCGTGGGTGTTCTCATTCTTCTGGTTGTTGTGACCCTGCTGGTTGAACTCTGCGTATCCCGAGGCTCCAGATGACGGGGCAGGAGGTGGGCCCATGGCAAGCCCAGGAAGAGCGGATTGATTGCGACGGTGGGAGGGTTGAGGAGCGTTCATGGGGACATTCAGTTGCTGTCCCTGCTGCTGTTGCTGCGGGAATTGAAAGGCGTTGACTTGGGGAGATACACCACCCATGTTGCCACCTTGTTGGAAAGGGTTGACTTGGCCTAATTGCTGCGGCTGCAACAAGCCCATGTTAACGTACTGTTGGTGTGTGGCCGCAATCTGTTGTTGTTGCTGCTGGAGCAGCTCGATTTGTTGCTGAATGGCCAATTGTTCCACTTTAAACGACAAGAATGTTAGTTTCACACGTCATACAGCAATGGAAGCAGTGAGGCGGGGGATGAGGGGGGATCACGTACTCATCAAAGGAGTAAGCTCAGAGGGACTTCTCCGGTGAGCGATATGGAGCTTGCGTCCAGCGGGGCCGGGCACCCCGGACTGGCCGCCTTGTTGATCCATGATCCTGGACAAGGTAACCGGCTATCACTGTAGAGTATGATGCGAGATGGTAGAGTGGATCCGGAAGCAGGAGTGACTGGCGTTGCCTTCGAAGGCAATCGAACCGAGTAATTCAGATCGCAAACCGGTCGCAAATGTTGGGATATGTGCGGACGCGAGTTTCGACACAAGAATGGCGGTGAGATATGCTGCAAGCAAGAGAAAGAATGGATTAGCAACGGTGAAAAGGCGACGGATGGCGGGAGGTAAACAAGGGAAAACAACACAACCCGCGAGTTGGGAGGGCGATTTGTCGAGGTGGGGGGATTAGAAAGGGAAGGAGCAAAAGTGGAAGTACACCGAGCGGGCAGTCGCGAGGATTGAAACGAGTTCTATCGCGGACGGCGACCGCATCAAAGCCTGAGCCTTTCAGGGAAGGCAGGAGGGGAAGGGGCAGAGGCTAGGACGGCCGCGACGGGCAACCAACGCCGCAAATGCATAGCTTGTTTGATGGATCGGTGGGCGACCTCATAAAAACAAAAACCCAAGGCCATCTTAAATGAGATGGGATGCCCTTACCTGCAAGAGGAACTACTGAAGAGCTCCGAGCCCTAGCATTCCAAAATGACGTCTGCGCTTTGTTCAAACGTGGGATGAAATTTGCCAGAAGCCAGCGAAGCGGTGACGCGGGATGACACCAGGTTGCTGAGGGGAATGGACAATCCAGCCAATTGCACGCTCAATGCACCTGGATTCGATGAGCCCGAGGACCAAATGAAAGGAACGAGGCTCGCTCGATTCGAGATTAGGTGTTGAAAGGACCGAGGCGGCGGATGAAGTTCCGATGCTGAGGGGCGCACGGCGACGACAACCGGGGTACGAAAAGGCGTCTGGTGGAATCGAATGGTATCCTCGATCGAGAACCGGTGGGATCGGACTCGAGACGGCGACGCAGGAAGCTTGCGGGAGGAGCTGGCTGGGTCGCGAGGAAACCCGGATTGCAAGAAACGGGCAGATGTGGTTGCACGTCCTCGAAGAGAATGACAACTAGAGCTGATGGGGGGATAGAAGCGACGATGCACGCATCGACCGAATCGATCAGAAGGAACGATGGAAGGGAAGAGAGAGAGATGGGAAGGGAGCAAGAGGGAGGAGGGGGAAAGGAGAAGAAAGAGGTGATGATGGGATCCATACAAAGCGGGTGTGGGGAGAGGTACGGAAAAGGGATGGCTCGTATGGTCATGACAATACAATAGTGACACTCGCCAGATCGCCCCCTCAAGCTGGGATGACGTTGGTAAATACCCTGTCCTACCCACCGCAAACACCGTCCCCCAAGGCGGATACTGTGGATGATCTCCATTGCTCCCGACCACCTCATCATTAACCTGTTGCAGCCATCACCTAAAGGCCGTCTATTTCGAGGATCGGATCGCGATGAGTACGTCCTACAGAAGCTGCCAGCTGCGTGGGGGATATTACTACGGGCTATCTGGCTGTGATCAGGATCACCCCCCTCAGTCATGGAGTGCATGCTAAGAAGTAGGGTAATGTGTTGGCGGCGTTAGGGCCATCAAGCTGGAGCAACAGACTCTCGCGCTAAGAGGAGGATTGGTCCGAGAACCTGCGACAAGGTATTAATGGCGTTTTGCCCGGGCAGCCGTGACTCCATCGCTCAGGAGGCCTGGTGGACGGGTGGACCATCTCGGCGATTTTGTCGATATCCCCTGTAGAGAATACCTAGAGGAGCTATTCGGAATAGGCAGCATAAGTCGATGATGCTCACAATGATGCAAAGAGAACCAGAGTTGCTCTCCGGGCGCGGGTCCGGCTGACTCATCCGTAATTTATTTTTCCCAGCGCGTACTTTCAATTCGAGTGTCGAGGGTGCGCCGTGATGCCCGAGTAAACATTGCTCGGCCCATTCGACCTCCATTCTCTCAATTTATAGCTGGAGGAGAGAAGTAAGATTGTTCCGCTACTTGATGCCGTGTCATTGCTGCCACGAGTGCGACTGGCCGAGACGCGCAGCCCACTTGTGCTAGCAGCACCATGCTAACCATCGGCACCTCTATCGCAACAGCTTCCAGTCCTCCTCCCCACCACCTCTCGTTGTCTCGCTGCACTATTCAAAGACGAATATACAATTGCGCTCCCGTCTTCACTGACTGGCGAGCGTGCTCCGGAGATTCTGCCTAAACCACCGCAGCAGGTCTCCCGCCTCCACTCCATTCACTTCGAAGCTCCAGTCACTCTTCAACAGAAGGAAGCCGAGTACATAATGTCCCTGGCGTGTCTTTCCATGCGCTGAATCTCACTTCTTAAACTCCCATCCGAACGAGGCGCCGTGACTCCTCGATACTACCCATACCACCCTGCTCGCACCTCAACCCATACTTCTCAGACTTGTATCGGCCGCTCGAGTTCTCCTTCCCCCGATAACTGTCGCCTTCGTGACAACTCTTCACAAACTTCACGCTCGAAATGACGCCCACCAAAAAACCGCTCGAAAGGACCCCCACCAAATACCCGCTCGAAACGACGACCAAATACCGTGTCCACCTCCCCAAGTGGAACTATGACAACCCGTCGAAGCAACTGATGCTGGATTTGGCTGCGGAACTCGAGAAAGTCAAAATTTTCAACGAGGACCTCAAGAAGGTCCACGCATACGAGCTCAAGCTCAAGTTTGAAAGGCTTGAGGAAATCGACCGTCAGAAGGCAGCCATCCACAATGCTGCCCTGGATGAGGTCGAAGCCCACCATGATCGGATTCGTGCAGAGGCCGAGGCCCTCCTAGCAGAGCACTATCGGGCCGAAGAAGAGGAGCGCAAACGCAAAGAGGAAGAGGCCCGCAAGGAGAAGGAGCGCATCGAACGCGAGGAAGCTGAGAAGCGTCGCCGCGAGCAAGAAGAGGCTGCGCGCCTCGAAGCAGAGCGACAAGCCAAGGTAGCTGCCGAGAAGAAGGCCGCAGAAGAGGCCGAACAAGCTCGCAAGGCCGCACAGGAGGAGAAGGAACGTCAGGAGAAGGCGAAGCGCGAGGAGCTTGAGGCTGCCAAGCGCAAGGAAGCAGAAGAGATTCGGAAGGCCAAAGAAGAGGCTGACCGTCAAGCCCACGCCGAGCAACAGAAGAAGGTAGGTGGTGGCGCTCTAACATCGGAGGAAATCAAAGCCCACGAGCGCTACTTGCAAATCCATAAGGATCTGAAAGAATTCCGGGCTTCGATTCGTGATTTCGGCAAACAGAACCAAGCCGTTAAGAACGCCACTGGTGACATGCGCCGTGCCATCAAGAAGTGCATCGGACAACTACGCGACGGAAAAGGTGCAAACCAGCAACAGGTACGTCCCAGTATCCAGATCAAAGGCTCGAGTCTCTCGTTCAACGTTAACGAATGTAATCAAACAAAGACTCGGGCGATCCGGGATCAGCTGGAGAAGATTCTCACTGTCCAAGGGCCTACTGTCGACCTTCGTCGATTCATCGCCTTCCCCCCTGCACAAATTGCCAGCACTGAACAAAATGTTCCAGCTCTGCTGATCTACGGTCTCAACATCTTTGCAAAGGCCTTGGTTTCCGGCCTCATCAACGAGGCGGCCCTGCATCCCACCCACGCAGAGCCCATCGGAATCCTGGCCGCCCAGATTTTCTCTATGGACCAGTTCTCCTATCAGAAAATCCCCATGTCCGACATCCTCTGGGCTAAATTCCGCGCCGTCTGCCCAGCCTTGTGGGGCTTCAATGGTAACAGCAAAACCGAGGAGGGTCGCCGTGCACTGGGCTGGCGCCGGGTAGAGCAAGGTGGGCCGTACATTAAGGAACAGGAACACCTGGACCGGATGACAGCTCTTGGAGCTGGCTTTGCCGCCATCACTCTTCGCAATTTCGGCAAAACCCCGCGAGACAACCCGTTCCCTAACACCATCTTCTGGTCCTCCATCCGCAAGCTTCTGCACATTCCCCCCTCGGAGCTTTCGGATACTCATGTCATGCTCATCAAGGCGATGCTTCAGAACTCGGGAGAGCGCATTATCGGTTTTTGGGGGGTTTTGGGCACGTGGATTCTGCGCAAAGCGGTCATCGACTTGCCTGCGCAGCTTCCACAAACTATGGCGGTCCACCAGTTGCGTCTCCTCCAGGATACATATCGGGATGATCGGAAGATGATTTTCTGAGGATCTTTTTCCACTCGTGGCAATGATGGCGTTGGGGGATCTGGCACAAGGATTTTTAGTTTCTCAAGGCGTCAATTTAGCTCTTTGCGGCGGCCAATGGGTTCTGGCCCATTTACTTTTATTCTTATTCATTCCAAAGATGAAACCCTACCTAGGTACGACTTCACGCTCTAGAAGTGGGACATTTCTGCTGCCTTCGATTGGCTGCTACTAGGGGTTTAAGAATAACTGTAGGTTTTTCTCCTTAGTAGTATAAATGCTCCTCTCCCTTTTTTCTCTTCTTACCTCTTCACATATCTCCTTTAAACATCATATCGCTCGGCTAAGAACTTCTGATGAAGCGCTTTTGAGACGTCTCACAAGATTTTGCTATGTATCCGTTACCTCCCCAGGGATATCGCCCCCTTTCCCAGTCCAAGGCCAGTGAAAGCATTGCCACCTCCGTCACCTGCGAAGCGACCTACACAATTGATAGAATTCATTGCTAGAAATGAAAGCCTCTTTACGCTGGCTCAGGTCAGATACAGGAATAAGCTTCCAGAAAGGCTCGACCTTCCCATTACGTCGCGAAACTGAAGTGTTCGGTTGCACTGTGAGCGGCGGAAATGGAGAATTGTGGAGGGCTCACCACTCACCATGAATCATTCTGAGTCAGCGTGAGCAGGTCGATCTACACCACTGCACCGAGCTCGATAGTACGAAGCAATTCATCCCAATTCTTGTTTAAATTGGCAAGCCACGTACTTTGGGTGCAGGAATCACACCACATTCTCTACACTCTCACAAGATTGCACCTATAGCCACTGGAAGAGTCCCTTCAATCTCTACCCCATCATTCACCATGTCAAGCACCTCCACTTCGCCCCGCCCACTCGTCTTCTACGACATCCTCATGGGAAAAGGGTACAGCGGCCCGAATCCCTGGAAAACCCGCGCAGCCCTCAACTTCAAGCACCTCCCCTACACAACCACCTGGGTACCACTGCCGGAGATTGCCAAGGTCCGGAAGGGTCTAGGTGTCCCCGCCTGTCGCAAGTTCGCCGACGGCTCCGACTTCTATACACTCCCCATCATCGAAGATCCCAACACCAACTCCAGGCTCGGAGATTCCTTTGATATCGTCTCCTATCTTCAAAAGCAGTATCCCGACGCCGGAGACGGCGATCTTCTCCCGGCCCAGACGCTGGATTTCACCTTCTCACAGGATGGCATCCTCATCCCGCTGTCAGAGCAGGGGGGGGTGAATTCCATGAGTACGCGAAATTCAACATGAATGTGGATGCAGCATTCACTGCTCATGTTGTGCTGTGTGCGCAAGGCACGCGATTTGATCCCGCCACGGCCGAGGCCACCAAGGCGGAATTTGCTCGGCGTGCGGGTATGTCCTCCTGGGATGATTTTACGGTACCTGCGGAGGTCCGGGTGAAGACGCTAGAATCATTTGAAAAGGCCCTTGGGGAATTGGGAAAGCTTTTCCTGAAAGATCCGAGTGGTCCGTTCGTGCTTGGGCCGAGAGCTAGCTATGCGGATATCATTGTTGGGGCGTGGCTTAATTTGATGCGTGCTACCCTACCGGATGATGAGTGGCAGCAGGTTAGGAGCTGGCATGGAGGTATTTTCGGACAGCTTTATGATGGATTGCAGAAGTATGCGGAGATTAAATAAGTTTTACTCAGCAGCCGGCTGTTGATGTGGAATGGATCAGTGCTGTTGAAAGGCGTCTTCGCTTTTTAAGGGCAGGAATCCAGTTTTTGCTAAAATGTATTATGAAAAACGAGAGTGATGTCCACGAAAATGAATCAGAATTTCTTCAATTATCATGATCCTCGGTCACCTGGTCGTCATAATGCAGCATACGGCCGTGACAAAATGCCTTTCTCTATACGAGCGGCGGGTGTATACATATCGAGCCTAGGGCCTGAGTCAAGCAGCAACAGAAAATCGGCCCCCACTAAGATTCTACGAGGGATACACATGTACTGGGAAGCGCACCTAGGACACAAGATTCTATCTCTTTACGACCAAAAGATTTATGGCATCCGCGACACAGCTCCTCCGCCTCTTACACCGACCTCGAGGCACCCTCCGACTCGGCTGGGTCCCGGTCCAACTCCCTCCACTTTCCCGGATCGCACCTTTCTACGATCGACTGGCACATTCCAGGTCATTGCCCTTGCAAGGTTCAGCTTTTTCGACTCGCCCGGCACTGTTCAATACAGAAAGGTCCAGAGATGGGAAATCCCAGTCTCGACCCGCCCCGGAAAAGGCAGAGTCAGAAAACGTGGACCCGTTCAGTACTCCGTCGGTCACTCTAGAGTCTCTGGGCATTGGGAGGAGGATGAAGATGTTCTTGTTTGCTGTGCTTTGTATCTTTGGGATGATTGAGACGTGGTTCTGGTGCAAGGCTATTTGGGTTTGGTGGAAAGGAGTTGGTGAAAAGGAGAATGACGCTTGATAGGATTGAAGTGGGACTTAAGAGTCTCGATCATCTCTTCATGTATTTTTTGTCAAATCTTTCCTCCAATTTCGATGATAACAATAGAAATCTCGACGGTGCTATTATGTTTACTCGTATGGCAGACATAGAATACAAAGACTCTTCTACATCATGTTGCCGCCATGGTGGCAACCGGTTATGTCACTGCAGTCAGCCATTATATGATGGTGCATAAAACCCTACCTGAGGTATTTCCAGATATATCTTGGCAGACCCAACACACAAGTCGTGAGATAATCTCCAGTCCCCCAAAATACCGGAGTAGGCAGGTGAACAGCAATCCTCGGTGCACCGAGCCTGGCGGACACTTGGCAGGCCCGCAAGGGACCAGCCGGATGAGTGCCGCAGCGGCGAACCCAAGGGATATTTTCTAGAAGCACAGGCGAGTCTTCATCGCCTAGACCCGGACGAACCACGAATAAACAATCTCAGGAACCTGCTCGTGGTGGCTGTCTTGTCCGGAGCTGGAATGGGACGGGTGAATCGGGGAAGCCGGGGCGGATTCGCAGGAAATAGAGGGCCTAGAATACTCTTAACCATTCGACCAGTTCCCTGGTCTACTCCACCATTATTGTCGTCCAGGGATCGGGTGTATCTGGACAAGTGACAATGGGCCGCAGTGACATCACGACTGATCGGGCCTAGGGGCTCAGTTCTGGCGACAATGGCAGCAATTGGGGCGCGAAAGAGGTTGCTTTTGTTGTTGATGTTGATTTTGATGTTTGCACCCACAGATGCAACCACGATCATGATTTCTGCAGCCTGCACAATATTAGCAACCGTCGCGAGAATCAATAATGTCTGGGGAAGAAGTGGAGTTGGTCGAGACCCTTGAGCCCAATGTTTCATGCACGGGTCGATGCCGCCACCCCATTGGCTCTGCGATCTGCTGCGCACCCACCGTGACCGGACGCAAACCCTCCAGAAAGGCGGATGCTCCAGGGGAGGCGTTCTGGAGTTCCTCCTCCACTTCTGACTTTTCCCTTTAATAACATTCCTTTGCCGCTCCTTTATTCTGCTTCTTTCTTTGCATTCCTGTCACTCTCTTGATATCTGACGAGGTTCGACACTCTCTCCGAACCATCATGCGTGTTTCTAGCATCCTACCTTTCGTGCTGGCCGCCGTCCCGGCCGTCTCGGCCAGAGGCACTTTGGGTTTCTCTCTGGGTGACAAGAACCCCGATGGAACTTGCAAGTCCACCAGCGACTATGAGTCCGACTTCGAGAACCTGAAGGACCTGTCCACGCTGGTCCGTACCTACTCCGGCACCGAGTGCGACACTCCCCAAAACATTCTCCCTGCCGCGAAGAACAAGGGCTTCAAGGTCGTTCTGGGTATCTGGTAAGCTCTCCCCAGCTGTCAACTCGTATTTGGTTTCTCGTCTTAACCCGTTTGTTTCCTGTCTTGTAGGGTCGGATCCCAGGACAAGAGCGATATGAGCACCAATGAACCCTCGTTCACCAAGGACTTCGCCGCCCTGAAGAAGGCCATCCCCGGCTACGAGAGCGTTGTCGAGGCCATCACCGTCGGCTCCGAGACCCTCTACCGCGGGGATCTGACCGGTCCTCAGCTCCACAACTACATTAGCACCGTTGGCAAGCAGTTCCCCAGCATCACTGTTGGTACTGCCGACTCCTGGAACAAGTTCGCCGACGGCACCGCCGACGACCTCTTCATTACCGACACCGATGACAACCCCATGGTTACCTACGTCCTGGCCAACGCCTTCGCCTACTGGCAGGGCACTGTCGCCGACCAGGCCTACAAGACCTACTTCGATGACATGTCCGGCGCCATGACCCACATCCAGAAGGTTGCCGGTAACAACGCCGACAAGATCCGTGTGATCAACGGCGAGACTGGCTGGCCCACCGGTAAACCCAGCCCATTGACAATTCTGAAGAATGTGGTGTACTGACGTTATTTTTTTTTTTTTTTTAGATGGTGGCTCCGACTATGAGGCCGCTAAGGCTGGCACCAAGAATGCTGAGAAGTTCTGGAAGACCGGTGTGTGCGGAATGCTGGCCTGGGGCGTCGATCTCTTCTACTTCGAGGCCTACGATGAGTCCTGGAAGCCCGACAGCACCGGCGACAACGGCAAGGCTATGAACGAGAAGCACTGGGGTCTGTACACCGCCGACCGCAAGAGCAAGTTCGACACTTCCTGCCCGAAATAAGCGACGGGCCCTCCGCTCTGCTGTGTTGGTAGATCCACTTGCCCTTTTTTTTTTTCCTGTACTATTTTTTGAACTCAATCTGTGAATTTGTGAATCTCGGGTCACGTATAGACGATTTGGGCGATCCGAGCTGAATGAAAATACCTAGTTGCTGGCATTTTACATGTTCTGTATGCAACGTGAGAAAAAGTAGCGCCCCGCCGAAGGTACCTTGGGCATAGGGTTGTACGATGACTGCAGACTTGGCCTGACGTGTCCGGTTGAGCAAGAGAGCAAACAACCATTGGGGTGTCATATGTAGGTCTAGTATATGGTACCTAGTACCTAATCACCCTAAGGAAATGCACTAGCATGTATGTACCTACGTGACTTATACCGACTGGCCGAGTTGGGCATCCCCACGTCCAAGTAACGTCGCGGGGATTATGTCATCATTTAGGCGTGGGAGAACCACGGTACGTCTACCCCTGAATGCGTCTCTCCACGAACCGCGATTCTTTGTTTACTCGCGCCTCGACGCGAAATTGCTCGTAACCACCAGCACCAGGTGTATACCATCTGTCGGTCATACATCAGGAATGTCGGCCACCGCGCAAGGGAGTGGATCTGTGGAGGAGCCGAGACGAGTCGGCCTCGAAGCGAATCCCTTCTCTGTTCGGGGGGCCGGGGTACCTGCGCAGGCAAGGGGACCCAGTCCAAGCTGTTCCGTAGAAGACATGTGCGGGTGGGCACCGCCATAAAAGGAGTCAAATGGGTAAAATGAGTAAAATGGGCTAAGTGGCTCCGGGAGTACTGGTACCTGGTAGCGCCCCCTATTTGTGGGCGCTCGGCGGTACTGGTACCTCACCCCCGACGATCCAACCCGAACCGTGACGTGACCTAACCACACCTTTTTTCCTCCCCTTTCCACACCTTGCGTGTCCGCGACCAGTCTGTGATCTCTCTGCTCAACTCTCGTCCGGTGCGATTCGCTCTCTCACCGCCAATCACTCGGTAATTTGCGTGGTATTCGGTTCCCATTCCATGCGTCAACATTCTGGACGATAAGCGGAGCGGCAAGCAAGTGCTTGCTGCAGGAGTCGACACGGAAGGTGAGTACATACTTGCTTCGTCTCCCCCCGCCATCTCGCTGGAGATGTCTTGGATCAGTCGAGGTGCTGGGTTGTCTCGCGTCGTATTTTCTTCGGCGTGGCATTGAGTCTCCCTGATCCGCGTCCGCCACGCGATTTCACTCCCCTGTGCTCCCAATTCATTCGCAACCCCTCCGCCCCAGAAAAAAGGTTAGCCCTACGGTATGCTAATCGTCCCATGTTGGATGGACGATTAGATCTAGATCACTCCGTCTCTTCCGCCAGTTCGGCGTCTTCTCCACCGTTCCACCCCAACGACGCGCGCATCGGGCGTGACAATTCGCGTCTGGCACCGTCGCTGCTTTTGTCTTCTCCGTCCTCTGGAGACTCGAGCCCTTCGAGCGCTGGATCTCCGTCCCAGAAACATTCCCCACGGAGCATCACCCTCGAACCGCCGCCACTGCCTTTCTTTCCCACCAATAACCGGAGGACAGTGGAATCTCTGACGGCCTCGCCCGAGAATCAGAGAGCGGAAAGCAGTGTCTACTATACCACTGCCTGGGGGTCTCCGTATGCGGCACCCAGTACCCGACGACTGTCCTTGACCTTAAGCCAATACGCCGGCATCGATCCCGGATCCGGGGCCATTTCACCCGCCTCGTCGGTCGCCAATAACGCCGAGCTTCGTCGAGCAAGTGTCGCAGATAATTCGGGGGACTTTGACGATCAAAACGAAGGTGGCAAGTCCATTCGCGACTTCACCCAGGACTGGATCAATCAATATCTCTCCGGTCAACCGAGAACCGAGCGGAGTAACTGGTTAAGCGACGACTCCGGAAGCGAGGCGCCATCGTTTTTCACAGCGCCCAATCACCTTGCGGACGACCTATCGGACGATTGGCTCGGCTTGGAGGACGATATCCGTGATAACGATCTTCTGAAAACACCGACCTTGTCCGATTTTGTGGGGCGAAGAGCTGCTGCTCGCGCGAAAGGAAAGAAGAACTCACATAAGCGCACGGATACTTTACGCCAGGAGGACTTTTGGGGTTTCGCGTACGATAAAGAAACGTCAAAGCACATCATGTCGGATTCCAAAGAATCTCAGCTTCCTGCGGAGGTGACTTCACCGGCCGAGAAGCCGTTGCCTCCTCCCCCATCAACCACCGTGGACGAAAATGCGAAGTCCGGTCCTGTAGAGGAGTTGAAACCTGATACTATCAATAGGCCCGCCGCCCAGACTCCCCGGCGGAGAAAGAAGCTCAATTGGCGCGGGAAAGCGTGCATAATCGAGTTCCCGGCAGATGACAAGCGTGGTACAGAAGCATCGGGATTCAAGCTTTTGACCCGCGCCGACGTCGAGGCTCGCGTTAAGAAATGGCATGACGATGGGTATGATACCCGCGGATTCACCATTGGCGACTCCGACGATCCATCTGGACCAACAGATCTGGGCGGTTTGAGCCGTGCCTTGTACCCCGACCCGGCCGAATTGTGGGAGGAGACGAGGGGACACAGAGCGCACGTTCAGTTCCCGGACAAGGCCGTGTGGGATAACTATGTGAACGAGTTGCAAGAAGCGAAGCTCCGAGCTCTTGGTGTGGACCTTGGTCCCCCTGAGCCTCAACCCTCCCTTTCACCCGCGCCGACGTCTATGAACCCATCTCAAACACCTTTCCCCGGTTTGGTTGGGTCTCCGCCAATTCCTACCACCTCGGCTGGAAGCAATCCCATGGCTCCAATGCATCCTTTCTCACCTCACTTTGGTCAGTCCACCGGAACCACAAGCGGCGGAATCGGATCTTTGGCATCGCCTGCTTCGCAGTTTAGCGTGCAGACTCCGTTCATGGGCATGGATCAGAATATGATACCTGGCTATCCCTTCCAATTCCAGCCTACGCCTCCAGCACAGGGTACTATGACCCCCCAGAGTCTCATCAATCTCCGCCAAGCGAGCGGAACTGGTGGTCCTGGAGCCCTGCACAACTTCAACTCTATCATGTCACCAGTCTCGCCGTTCAATGAGCAAGGCGGCTTCCAAGGTGCATTCGATGGCAAGGATGACTTTGATGGGCGATTCGCCAACCTGGGTCCTGAAGAACCTCCCTATCAGACTCCTCAAACTCCCGTCAATGCTCCTGATCACTTCCATACTTCGAATGTCGAGATTGCACACCCGACACCCCGTGGTCATGGCCACAACTTAAGTGAGACTCTCCAGAGAGGATTGGAGCAAATGAACCACTCCGACTACCACCTGGAGCAATCGGTTGAACGCCATTTGGAGGAGGATGACCGCGATGCGGCCCACCACTCACTGAAAGCGTCTCGTTGGGGCTTGCCGGAGCATGACCAACATCAGATGCATGATACCTCCCGCCATCCTTCACATGCTTTCGCCCAGCAACCTCACCAGTTCTACCACGATCAGTTCGGCCACGATGACAACCACGAAGGCTCTGATATCGACACCAACCCCAGCCTGGCCGGGACGCCTCATACTCGTGGTGTTCTGCCGGATCACCGCCCCTGGCATGACTCGAAGCCTAGCCACGAGTCATTTGGCAATCAATCTAAACTCTCGGTCTCGTCTTTGAACGTGGAAGCCAAGGAGTTTGACCCAACTGCCTCGTTCGGATCCCAGCCTGCACCATTCGTTAACAACGCCTTCCAGTTCGGTGGAATGAACCAAGGCTTCGGATTTGCTCCCCCTCTTGCACCTTTTGCTCCTTCCGGTTCTATCAATCAACATGTGGAGCACAACCCTGAGCCAAAGCCCAGCTCATTTAAGTTCTCCGCTGCCTCGTTCAATGTGGACGCGCCCGTCTTCAACCCTGGCGGTAGCATCAACTCCACTACTTCCGAACAACCAGCTCCCCAACGGACGAAGATATTCGGTGATATCGACCTCAATGAAATCGCCAAGCCTCCCAAACAGTCGAAAGCGATCCCCATCGTCCGACCCGATGAGACCGAGCCTGAGAAGAATGAAGACGAGGAAGTGGAGACCATGGATGCTGATGGTGGTCGACCAATTCCCACTGATCGTCACAAGCGTGCTCGTCGTGGCATTGGCCATGCTGAGGGTGAGGCCCGTTATAGCATCTCCACTCACCCCTTGGGTGATGCCGGTAATGCCCAGGCGTCCAGCACACTCCAGTCCGTTGCTGAAGGCAAGGAGAATGCCTTCCCCGATGATAAGCCCGCTGAACACAGCGAAGCTGAGACTTGGACACTATTCGATTACAAAACCGAAGGTGGTGCTAACAGATCTCACACCGCGTCTCCCGTCCAGGCTGGATCTACTGAGGAGGCCAAGGAAAATGTCAAGCAGCCCGAGCGCAAGCGATCCGCGGATGATCTCCTGGATTCCGGCTCGAAGCCTTCCGGCCATGGTCCTTCTGATTCGAAGGGCTCCGCGAAGAGCAGCATGTTATCGGCAACGGCCAAGCCTTTCGAGTTCAAGCCTGCTGTTCCTAGCTTCACTCCTACTTCTGTGCCGCCATCAAGCTTTGCAGAGCAAGCGCCTGTCGAGCCGAAACCCGTCGAGAAGAAGAAGCCCACTGGTGGTCTCATTGCTTCTCGCTTTGCTACTTCTAGCCCACCGAAGCCCCAGTCTCTGACTGTGCCTGAGCCGGAGAAGACACCTGTGCGTCAACAACACAGGGGATTCAACTTGGAGTCTGCAGATGAGTCTCCCGATGATGATGAGCTCAACGCCATTATGGACCAGCTCAATGACGACTCTGATGTTGGTGTCATGCGCCAAACCACCCCTCTGCCACGCCAGCAGATCTCGGAGTCTGTGGGAGGTCCCACCAAGGAGCGACAATTTGGACCTGCAGAGGGCCGCAGCGAAGCCCCCAGTCCCAGCCCAGGAGGTGGACCGAAGACTCACAAGCTCGACATCCCCGGTTCTGATATCGACGCCCAAAGCAATATCACCTTCTCCCCTCAGAAAAGCATGGTCTCCCGTCTTCAGTCGCCTGTTCGCCAGCTTATTACCGAGAATGACCATGTCAGTGACTGGGATGACATGATCTCTTCTGGCGAGGACGAGAAGTTCTTCAACCGTAACCGCTTCTTCGATCGCCGCATCAACGACCTGGTTGGCTCTGCCATCGACGATCGTCTCGGCCCCATGGAGCGGGCTTTGGCTGTTATTCAGACATCTGTGGCTACCATCGCTTCGGGATCTGCTAGCAGAAGAGCTTTGCGCAGTGCCTCTGGTGATATTGAAGACAGTGATGCCGATGATGAAGATGATGGCGAAGAGCATGAGGGTTCTGGTCGGGCCCGTTCGCCTCACCACATGCGGGATCGCAAGCTGGAGATGCTGAAGAGTGTTGTCATGGAAGCTCTTCTTACTCACGACCTGCCCCAGCGTAATGTGCAGCACTCCAGCCACAGTGAGATGGCACAGCTGAAGGAAAGCATCGCTGAATTGCAAGCCCTCACTATCAAGAAGCTTGCTCAGGACCCGGTTGGTGACATGCGTGAGATTCTTGAGGAGAACCTCATAAAACACCTTGCCCAACAAACTCCTCGCCTGTCTGAGGCCGAGGAGATCGGTGCTGACAGTCTCATGATGCAAATCGATGGTCTCAAGAGCATGCTCCGCGTCGCCGACGAGCGTGCCGAGTCTGAGTACAAGGCCCGCCGTGAGGCCTCAGACTCTGTCATCGAGCTTCAGCGTCTGCTCAAGATTGCTGAAGAGGATGCTGCTCGCCACAGCGCAGCTGCTGAGGATGCTGAGGCTCGCTTCCTCCAGTTCAAGGAAGAGAAGATTCCCCACCTAGAGAAGATGCAGTTCCGCACTGAGTCTCTCAGTGAAGAGAGCGAGACTCTCAAGGTCACTATTGCCGAGCTTTCCTCCAAGAACATTGCCCTTGAGGGGACTCTCGACGAGTACCGCGTTTCCAGTGACCACTTCCGTCGCCAGTTGGAGACCACCAAGGATGAGAACAGGTCTCTTCATGAGACTGTTGATCACCTGCGGACTCGGATTGAGGATAGCATGGCCGCTCGCCAGAACCTCACTGAGAAGTTCGACCGTCTTCAGAATGATATGGTGACTTTGACTTCTGAGGTCACCACTGAGCAGGCCAACTGGCGGAGGAAGGAGGAGGAGCAAGCTTCCAAGTACAACGAGCTTCGTGCATCCAATGCTCGCGAGATCAAGCTGCGTGAGCAGCTCGAGGAGGAAGTTGCCGAGCTGGCTAAGCAGGAGCGAGAGACCTCTAAGGTCAAGTTCCTCCATGAGCAGTCGCAGCAGGAGAACTTCAAGCTCGAGGAGACTATTGCCAACCTGCGTGCCGAGAACCATAACTTGCAGCTGACCGCTGCTCGCTTCGAGCGTGAATTCAATGAGGCCCGTGAGAGCAGCCGCATGGAGATCCAGCGGACCCGCACCTCGATGGAGGCCGATTTGGAAGCTTCTAACAGCCAAGTCAACATTGTTCGTGCTGAGCTCGAGGCCCAAGTTATCCGTTACCAGAGCCAGCTAGAGAGTGTTCGTATGGATGCGGATACTTCCCGTGAGCGCTACGAGATGCTCCTGGAGGAAGCCAAGGAGACCAAGGCTGCCGCTCTGGCTGCTGCGAAGGAGTCCCGCGAGCTTGCACTTGAGGATCAGCGCAAGACGCACGAGCGTGTACTCAATGATCTTCGTGAACGCCACGGCCGTGCCCTGCACAACTCTTCCGAAGATAAGACCCGCAGTGAAGCGTACATGCAGGACCGTCTTGCTCTCTCCGACGACAAGGTCAAGCATTTGCAAGACCGTGTCCACCACCTCGAGGAGAAGCTTGAGATCGCCCAATCTGCTGCCCGTGCTGCCGCCGAAGCCGCCAAGGGCAAGGCACCGGCTTCGTTCTCTGCACCCGCGCCCTCAGCCTCCAGACACGTCTCCTCGCCTTCGATGTCCTTCAACAAGGGATCCAACGAGCCCGAGAAGATCTCCCCGCAGGCCTTGCGCGAGTCCATCTTCGTCCTTCAGGATCAGCTCCAGCAACGCGAGACTCGCATCGAGGAGCTTGAGCAAGAAGTAGCCTCAGTGGACAAAGACGCCCCCAACAAAATCAAGGAAAAGGATACCGAGATTAACTGGCTCCGCGAGCTTCTGGGCGTTCGCATCGACGATCTGCAGGATATCATCAAGACCGTCTCTCAGCCGAACTTCAACCAGCACGCCGTCCGCGATGCCGCTATTCGCTTGAAGGCCAACCTCCAAATGCAGCAGCAGGAGCGTGAGCGCGCCATGTCCGGTCAGAGTCTGGCTCTCCCATCCATCTCTGATATCGCCGCGTCTCCCCGTGCACTTCCCCTCGCCGCTGCCGCTGCTTGGGGCAACTGGCGCAAGGGCCGTGAGGCTGCCAATGGCTCTGAGCAGACCCCGTCCAAGTCCAGCAATGCCGGTACTTTCCTCTCTGGACTCCTGACTCCACCAAGCTCGCATGTTCGTCAGAACGCGCCTCACACAAGTGGTCCCGGACGTACTTCCTATGAGACTCGGCCTCTGAGAGGTATCAATTCAACGCCTCGCCGTGGCTCGACCCGTCAGGAAGTCCCCATCACTGAACCACCCAAGACCCCTCCCCTCATGCGCCGCTCGAGCTACGATCACGACGCCGAGCCCGGTAACTACGAAGAGACCAGCTTTGCGGATGACATCGAGAGCACCGTCGACGGCATGGTCTCCGCTTCGCCAAAGGATGTCAGCGAGGGACCATTTGGTCCGCACATCTCTCACGCCGAGCATGAAGCAGCTTCCGAAGAGGATGCGGCGGACGATACGGCGACAGAAACAGGCGTCGAGGTCTCGGAGTAATCCACATCCCAAAAACTTCCCTTTCTTAGACTGAATATCATTCCCCTCTTTCAATCTCGTCCTGCGATTTCCATGGTTGTCTTCAAAGCGTTTACCCCCTCGAAAATGGTGATACACTCGACAGTGTATTTGCTTTCACGTCACTCTTTCTCTCCTATCTACATTTCTTTCCTCAGATCTGTGATTTGTGATGTCCTTTCGGATTTGATACCACCCTGTTTTGAAGTTTTGTCTGGCATTCATTTTTTGCATATTACCCCTGTATCCATCACCCTGTACATTTGAATCCTCTACCTTACCTCTTCATGTCTCATCGTTTTTCTACCTACATATTAATCAACACGCTGACGCTCTTTATTTTCTTGTGATATTATTGTGGTTTTATACCTTTTACACCTTTGAGAATTATGATATTGATTGAATGCTTCTGTCAACCGAGCTTAATTTTTTTCAGAGTATGCTTGGTGGTGTTCTCGGTGTTCATAATGTCACGCTTGAAATGGTGGATCCAGGGCTTAGAACGGCCATAGATCGGTCCACGGTGCCATGAGGTCTCGTTCCATGTCCTACACAGCAATACAAATACTGAAGTCTAAATCTACCCTACTCTACGATATGTGAATACTATGAATATCTAGATTTACGCGTCGAATCTCATACTGAATGTACTGAATACGACAGAGCCGAGTTCACATGATATTTGTCCGGATGAGGGTGATGATATATTTCGTTGCGACAGCCAGTGCATCACGCCACAATTCCAATGTCAAGTGATGCTGAATATGGGACGCCATTAGCCGGAATTGATCACAGTCGGCGACAAGATCAAGTTAGAACTAAGTTCAAACCCGAATTTCATTGCACTGATATACTTAAAGGTCTGCCACTGGGTACTCGGCCTGTATACACGCTGTTTACGCGGGTGGTCCGAGCGTCTCCACTTGACACCTTGCGCCTCCCTCAAAGTTGCGAGACTGACGAGACTCCCCCCAACAATTGAATCGCCCTCCTTCGCCAGCCATCGATACCTCCCGGAATCTATTGCTCGCTGATTTCGGAACCCGGGACATCCTTCGACATGCGCTTCTCCGCCGCCACCCTCCTCGTTTCAGCACTGGGATGGTTCTCCGCCGCGACCGCACACACCATCCAGCTCAAGGCTCACTCGCGCGAATGCTTCCACGAGTCGCTGCACAAGGATGATTTGATGACCGTGACGTTCCAAGTGGGAGATCGGGAGTTTGGAGGTAGTGGGAATCTGGAGATTGATTTCTGGGTATGTGTTTGGTTCCCCCGTTTCTCGATGTGTTCGGGGCGGGACTCGCGGTTGGGTTCAGGGATCGATACACTGGGATGTGGACTGCTAGCTGGTCACATTGTGAATGGATCGATTGCTGGATCAAGGCCTTCTCTGCTGAGAAAATCCGGTGCTGACTTTGCTCTACTCTAGGTCGAGGACCCCCTTCGCAACCGCCAGTACTACAAGCAAGCCATCTCCAACGAGGACTACTCCTTCACCGCGCAATCCGACGGCAAGTACAACTACTGCTTCAGTAATGAGGGCTGGACCTCGAACTCGAAGGAGGTTTCTTTTAACGTCCACGGAATCGTCTATGTGCCCGAGTCGGAGATGTCGCAAGACCCGCTCGAGGCTGAAGGTAAGACTGCCAGTGGAGCTGCGATATAACTGCAAAGAGCCAAGGCTGATCATATTGCAATTGAATAGTTCGCAAACTTTCCGACAATCTCGCACAGGTTCGCGACGAGCAGGGGTACATTGTGGTTCGCGAACGTGTCCACCGGAATACCGCCGAGAGCACCAACGGCCGTGTGAAGTGGTGGAGCATCTTCCAGCTGGCTGTGGTTATTGGCGAGGGGATTTTCCAGGTGTGGTGGCTGAAGCGCTTTTTCGAGGTGAGTCGCACAAGATGCTACCCTGGCCCGTTCCCTCAATGCTGCTTGGACAATCAACTAACTTGCTATGTGACATCTAGGTCAAGCGTGTCGTCTAAACCTCTCGACTCTTTCGGGTTTTCACGCCTTCTCCTTTTGAAAAGAAATATGAACCGCGTTGCTGAGCGAATGATCCCGGTCTCCGTGTGGATATCGGAAATGGGATCGCGTATGTAGTGTCTTGGTCGACATGGATCAGGCCATTATAGGCATTTTTTCTCATGTTCACCATTTTCTTGACGCCATGGTGTTATGCAAGCAAACATTTTCCGATAGCCTAATAAATCTGTACCACCAACGCCCGGGCGACCTTGAGGGACGTAGATGTATACATCACTAACACTGGCTGTAGCCAGCTCCGCGACAAATACCAGGCACGAATCACAGCACCAGACTAGACCCAACAGGTCACGGCCAAGTCCGACTGGGCTGTCTCTGTCCCGAAAAAGGGCTCATATTGCAGAGTGCAGCACTATGAGTGGTTTCCCTGGCGCCTCCCAAGGTTGACTCCTGCGTACACTCCCAACGGGGCAGTGCCCCAACGAAGGTACCTTACACTGCGCCAGCCCCGCATCGGACCACGACTACGCCAACTTGTCGTGCTTGACTGGTACTTTTGCTTGATTGCTTTTTTTCCTCGATGTGTCTCTGCATGCAAGGAGCATTATATATTGATGCTCTCCTCGAAAGAACCCAACCTCCCTGGAACATCCCCGATCGAAGACAGGCGCGCCTTACATGACGGAATCGGGAATCGACATGGCTCTGCTCGAGGAGCACTGGCAGGACCAGCCCCGAAACCACAGTGTCCATGAACTGGAGCCCCTGGGTATCGAAACGAGTGACCCGCTCTTCCACGTTTGCTGGCGACGACAGTCGTGCTCGTACTGCCTGGCCGGCGACGTTGCCTGCAGCTGGTGCGCGACAGTATGTGCCACCACCACCACCACCACCTCCACCTCCTCCGCCTCCTCCGCCTCGATATCGATTTGATTGTTGTTACTTTTCGTGCTGGCCCGGATCGCGTTACATTATTCCCTGAGGGTCCTTCGAAGCACATTCTCCTCGAACTGCGTTTCACGCCCTCCCTTGCATTCCCACGCCCCATTCCGCTGTTTCAAGCCTTTGCCCCCATCGACCCCTCCCAACCCCCCTCTCCATCATCCGGTAAGACGCGTCTGATCATACCAGATCTGTCACGCTCTTTAACGGGTTTGCCATTATTGCAGACTGTTCATGAATCATGGGCTAATGCCGCGCTTAGTCATCCGCCTGCGTGCCTAATTCCGCACACCTGCCCATCCTAGCTCCGATTCATGCCACGCAGATCTGCCCACTGGGCTCGAAGGAGCGATGGGAGCTGCGGGCGTTACCGTTTGGGTGTAATGTCAGTACCATGACTTTCTTGTCGGTGGTGGTGGCGGTGGTAGGGACCGTCGCCCTGGCTGGGATCGGATTCGCGGTCTATTGGTTGGTCAGGGCAATGCGCCAACGATGGAAGGAGGCCGATAATGAGCAGCTTAGCGAGGCACAGCCCTCCTGGTGGGAGGAACTGCTCATGTATGGCGCCCTCGGATCTCTGGCTACGTTGTTCCTGGGCCAAGGCCAAGACCAGCAGGAGCAGGGACAGCCATCCACACAGTCCCTGGCCGATGAAGCACAGGATGATGGGGAGACGAGGCCATTGCTAGAGGATATGTGATACGGGCTTTTCTGTGACGATGTGATGATAATGATCAAAAGTATTTAGACTTGCTGGACACTGTTCAAGATATCATTTATATGATGTGTAACTGCAGTGGAATGATATCGGTTCCGGATACATGGTGTATGTTGACATGACATGAACAGAGAAGAGAAGAGCACATTCAAGGTTACGCCGCCTCGACGGCGTCCATCTGCTCGCGCACAAATCTAGCCAAGTCGTCCACCGTCTTCTTCACCCGGGGGATCATGTGCCCACCCCCGTGATCGTACAGCTCAGCGGTGTCGGGTTCGCACATGTTGTACAACACCATCGATCCATCTAGGAACGGGTCCTGCGCCCCGATGATATGGCACGTCGGGATACTGATCAGGGGATCGGCATCCTCCTCGCCGACCATGATGTTGCCCTTGTTCGGCTCCAGGGGCGGCCACCCACTGAAAAAGAGCGCGAACTTGAGACGAGGGATGCGGCCCTGCGACTTGCGACGCCGTTCCTCCTCGATGAGAAGCGATGCGGCGATCTGGCCGCCCTCGGAATAGCCGATGACGGCATCGATCTCGAGGTCTTCGTCAATGATTCCAATCAAGCGCTCCAGCACGGGCTCAATATTGCTCCAGATGGGATTGTTGGCCATCTTGATCGCCTCTCTCATGGACTCTTCCGCCGAGTCGCGCTTGGGGAAGTCACTCATGTTGAATTTGCCCAAATCGCCTTTGCTGGCCTGGCAAAAGGCGAAATATGGCGGCGGCCCGAAGAAGGCAGCATGCTCTTCAGGCGGTTGCACCTGAATTTCGCCCTGGACGAATTTGAATGTGGCATCGCCAGTTTCGAGAAGAGAAGTGGTAAACGGCCCTGGACCCACCAGCGGATGCTCCCGTTAGTATATCGACGAGACCGTGGGACTGATGTGGTCTATCAACTCACCGAGCTGAGCTGTAAAACCCTTATGATGCACGAGTGGTCAGCGCTGAGCTAGTATGAAATAAACTAACACCTTCACGTGTGAGAACAGAACTAATGGAACATAGAACATACCTTCGCACTGCAGTATGCCCCCGGCAAGCACAGAAATTTCATCGCGGCGACCTTCGAAGAGTCCAAAGCTCCAAAATGTGTGATTCAAGGCAGGTCAGCTATGTAATAATAAAGAAAACCGCGTACAATCATACAATCACCAATTATGCACGAAAAAAGCTTAGTGTCGTTGGATGCAGTCCAGCCCGCGGCCCTTGCAAGGAACCAGGCAGAGGGCCCTCCTTCTGTCCTTGACCTGGAATGCACCCTCACGGAAGCAAGGGCCCACAACAGCAACAACAAGGCGCGAGAGGAGCGTTGCCCAAGAATGGGGTGTGATGTGATCAGATCCTAACGATCCAGATCTGCAGTGCTCGAGACATACTGGGAAACTAACGAGGGATTCGATGCCCTTCTGCAGATTGAACCGCGCGGGACGAGCTACTATATTTGTACCGCGTCATCAAGGGAAGAAGGCATGGACCCTCCGATCCACCTATCATTGAACAATGTCTCATTAATCCCCCGGCTGAACAGCATCCGCCGGCCAACGATCGGCAGTCACGCAGTTGATGGTTATGCAAGGGCGCCCCCATTACTCCATAACAAGCCCTATCTGGAACTATCCCGCCCCCGAAGGGCCTGCCTACACTGCCTGCCTTTTGTGTCGTGTCTCGCCACATAGGATACAGTGAAAGAATCTCATGGCTTCCTTGTGAGCATACAATCTTTCGTTTCCAACACAACCTCCGACTCATCTTTCCGCCCACTCTTTGCCACTCCTTTTTCGTTTCTTTTGTCAACAAGCGGCCGCAACATATCGGTCGTGGAGGGTACATACGTTTGATCTGTGCATATCCAGAGAAGATTATCATCCTCGCCCATTATGCATTTGGAACCGCCTAATGGCACGGGAAGCCCAGTGCTCAACGAGGGCATCGCGCACCCGCAACCAGAGGAGGAAGTCGTAGGCGACCCCCCAAAGAAGTTGGCCATTATCGGCATGGCCTGTCGTCTTCCGGGACAGGTAACGACCCCAGACGAACTGTGGGATCTCTGCTCGCGAGCCCGAAGCGCCTGGTCGCCGGTGCCAAAAAGCCGATTCAACGCCGATTCCTTCTACCATCCGAACCCCGATCGACCAGGCTCCTTCAACCCCACCGGAGCGCATTTTCTGCACGAAGATGTCGGGCTATTCGATGCGCCGTTCTTCAATATAACCCTCCAAGAGGCACGCTCGATGGATCCGCAACATCGCATTATGTTGGAATGTGTGTATGAAGCACTGGAAAATGCAGGCGTGTCGAACCACTCGATTACGGGAAAGAAGGTGGGCGTTTTTGCGGGGGCTTCGTTTCCGGATTATGAAGTGAACAACACGAAGGATGCCGACTCTATTCCTATTTACGATTGTACTGGGACGGCTGTTGCGTTGCAGTCGAACCGCATTTCTCACTACTTCAATCTTAACGGCCCGAGTATGACGATTGATACGGCGTGCTCTTCGAGTTTGTCGGCTCTGCATCTGGCGGCGCAAAGTATTCGGAATGGGGAATGTTCGATGGCGATTGTGGGAGGATGTCATTTGAATCTTGTTCCCGAAATGTTTATTTCTATGACCCGGTCGAGGTAAGATTGCCTGAGATTTCTGAGACTCGGATTATATAGAGACACGCAATGACGAGAGTCCAAAATGCTAACATCAAGAGAAACATAGATTGCTTGCAGACTCCGGAAAATCATACGCCTTTGATCAGAGAGGGAGTGGATTTGGCCGTGGCGAAGGTGCGGGCGTCATCGTTTTAAAGAGTCTGGAAGACGCAGAAGCTGCTCAAGATGCTATCCGGTCAGTGATCGTGAACACTGGAATCAATCAAGACGGTCGTACACGAGGTATTGCGATGCCAAACGGAGATGCCCAGGAAGCATTGATTAGGCAGGTCTATAAGGAGGCGCAAGTGGACCCCGCGATGACTGGATTCGTTGAAGCCCACGGCACTGGTACGAAAGTGGGAGATCCACTTGAGGCTACTGCTTTGAATGCTGTGTTTGGAAAGGGACGCACAGCCAAGCAGCCTCTTTTGATTGGTTCCATTAAATCGAACTTGGGCCATTTGGAAGGCTCCAGTGGTATAGTCGCTGTCATCAAAACTGCTTTGATGCTGGAGCGCGGATTCGTTTTGCCGAATTGCAACTACGACAAGTCTAATGAAGAGATTCCTATGGATAAATGGCATATGAAGGTAAGAAATGATGCCAACTCGTTGATAGAAGTCGCTGCTAAGACCATCTAAGGTTCCCAAAAATTGCAGCCCTGGCCTCGGGGGAAGAACTACGCTAGCGTGAACAACTTTGGCTTTGGCGGGACCAATGCACACGTTGTCTTGGAGCGCGCACCCCGACATACAGGTGAAGGCATCCAGAATACAGATCCACTCAAGCGCAAGGTCTTTATTGCGTCTGGCCACGACAAGAAAGCTGCCCTGGATTGTATTCATCGATTGGCGACTTACATGGATCTGAACCCATTCATCTTCAACGACAGCCTCATGGACAATATGGCCTACACACTGGGTCAACGGCGAAGCTTCCACCCATGGCGTGTGGCTGTAGCAGCCTCGCATAACGCAGACTTGAGCGCCTCCTGGGCGAAAATCCCGGAGCCTGTTCGGTCTTCTAAGGAGCCCAGCATTGGTTTTGTGTTTACCGGACAGGGCGCGCAATGGCATGGAATGGGCAAGGAATTGTTGCATACATATCCCGTCTTTGAGAAGACCATGAAAGCTGTGGATGCTAGTTTAAAAACACTTGGTGGGACTTTCTCGATTATTGGTATGCTCCATCCGAACTCCAGTCCATGTTTATGAAATCCTCTTTTCTAACGAACTCGATATAGATGAGCTTCTCCTCGAAGACCCGGCTGCAAGCAAAATTTCCGCCGCATATATGAGCCAGCCGGCTTGTACAGCAGTCCAACTGGCTCTGGTGGATCTCCTGTCCTCATGGGGTGTTCGACCCAAGGCAGTCGTGGGTCACTCCAGTGGAGAGATTGCCGCCGCATACGCAGCAGGCATCCTGACATTGGACGAGTGTGTTCGTGTGGCGTACTGTCGAGGTGTTGCAGCAAACATCGTGGCCAATGATGAATCTGTCCACGGCGCCATGTTGGCTGTTGGTGCCCATGCCGGCGATATCCAGCAGATCCTAGATGCCATGCGAGGCAAGCGAGCTGTCATTGCCTGCGAAAACAGCGATACCAGCGTTACTCTTTCTGGAGACAAGGACGTCATTTCCAGCTTGCAAGAGGCTTTGGACAAGGAAGGGATCTTTACCCGTATGCTGCACGTCGATGTCGCATATCACTCCCATCACATGCAGCGGGTCTCTCAACAGTACAGCTCTCTACTGGGCAAGATTGCACCTCGCCCCTCTCGCGTTCCTTTCCACTCCACTGTCCATGGCAAGCTTGTCCCGGGTAGCACTTTGGATACATCATATTGGGTTCAGAATCTGGTCTCACGCGTTGAATTTGTTAAGGGAGTGCGAAGCTTGCTTGATACTGAACAGCCAACAGGACAGATTGATACTCTGGTCGAAATCGGTCCTCATCCTGCGCTCCAAACACCTACCAAGGACATCGTTAGCAACTATGCTCCCAACCGCACCATGCAATTTGAACATACTCTCAAGCGCAAGATGGACGCTATCGGAGCGGTTCAGCAACTTGCCATGTCTCTCTTCACTCACGGCATGATGACCCTGGACTTCCAGGAGATAAATTTCCCGAACCTCGACCGGAGCCCAAGGAAACCTGCTCTCATCACCAACCTTCCCAAGTACCCCTGGAACCACACAGAAAGATACTGGATCAACCCACGCATGAGCGATAACATCTACCACGCCAAGTTTCCACGAAGTGACATCCTCGGCAAGCTTACAATCGAGAACGTGGACTTTGAGCCTCGATGGAGGAATTTGATTCGGGCAGATGATAACCCATGGATCCGCCAGCATCGAGTTCATGAAAGTAACGTGTATCCCATGACTGGATTCCTTGCCATGGCTATGGAAGCTATCTCTCAACAAGCGCAACTCCACCACCTGGTTCCTGGCAAGATCGAGCTGCGCGATATCTTCATCAACCGTGTCCTCGCAATCCCTGATAATACAACTGTGGAAACCATGCTCAGCCTGCGGCCTGTTCGGCCCGAGGCTCCTGGAAGAGCTGTGCTCGGCTGGCACGAGTTCAAGGTCTTTTCCTGGGCCGAAGGACGGGGCTGGGATCAGCATGTCAGCGGTTTTGTGATGGTACAGGAATCCAAGGACGCAAACCCCGTTAGTGGGTCAAGAGAGCAAACGGAGACTATGCAGCAGCTGGCAGAGAATGTGGTAGACTTTGATGCTTCTTGCAAGCTCTCGATCAACACCAAGACTCTTTACGAAAATATCTCGAGCGGCGGTATTCATTACGGTCCACTCTTCCAAGGCCTGACGAATATTTTGGTCAATGACACGAAACAGGCCATGGCTACCATCGAGGTCCCGGACACGCGAAAGTGCATGCCGAATGAATATGAAACCGAGTGCATCATCCACCCCGTGACGCTCGACTTGTGCTCTCAAGCCATGTGGGTGCTTGGCGGATTTGGCATGCCAGGACCCCATACCACCTGTGTGCCTTCGCATGTTAAGCACGTCTCTGTTTCTCTGGACTCAAACCTCGGACACGGTGCCACTCTACAGCTGTATGGCTCTCATTCCGGAATCGAGACATCCAACAACAGAATATTTGCTACTACCTCTGAGAACCCTTCGAAGATCGCTGTCGAGATTGATGGAATTACCCTGGTCCCTATCTCAAACGACATCAAAGGATCTAAGGACAATACGGCAAACCAGATCTGCTACAAGCTCCACTGGGAGCCCTGCTTTGAACTTCTGTCAGAAGACACCTACCGCCAACTTTCACGATCCAATCTTGGTGATGATGGGAAGGGTAGCGAGAGAATGCACCAACTTGATCGCGTCGCAGAATATTGGCTGCGTCGAATGCTGCGCGCTGTCCCTGAAGAGCAGATTTCTTCTCTTGAAGGCCACCACCAGCGATTCTACCGCTGGGCTCAACAGACCTGCCGTGACGCAGGAATGGCCGAAGATCTTTCTGCCGAGGTCATTGATCAGACGCGCAATGTTAACGGAGCTGGTGAATTTAACTGCAAGGTTGGCGAGTTGCTGCCCCAAATCCTTCGCGGTGAAGTTGATGCTTTGACGATCATGCTCGAAGAGGATCTATTGAGCAAATATTACCAGGATCTTGACGGTCTTCGGGAGGCTTATGCCAACGCGTCTGTCTGTATTGATAAGATTGCTCATCAGAACTGCAACATGAACATTCTCGAGATTGGTGCAGGAACTGGAGGTGCGACAATGCCGATTTTGAAGAGCCTTGGTGGCAATGAGCCTGGATCGACTCCCCGTTTCGGCCACTATACTTACACCGATATCTCGCCTGGGTTCTTCGAGAAGGCGAAGTCGCGATTTGAAGATTGGAGTCACTTGATGACTTACCAGACCCTCGATGTTTCTCTCGATCCGGTCAGCCAAGGCTTCGCTCTTGGATCCTATGATTTGGTGGTTGCTTGCAATGTTCTTCACGCTACCCCGCAGATCAATGAGACGATGGCCAACATTAGATCGCTGCTCAAGCCTGGTGGTAAAGTTATGTTGATTGAAGAGACCGCTTCCAAGCCGAGGCACTTCCCCTTCGCACTGCTGCCAGGATGGTGGCTTGCCAGCGATGAAGTCCGTCCGGATGGACCTCTCCTGACACGCCATGGCTGGAACGATGTTATGAAGGCAAATGATTTCACCGGTGTTGACCTCTGCGTTGAGGAGTATCCTGGAGCTTCTTTCCAGTCAGGCTGCTTGATGATGTCGACTGCCAACGGTCCTGTATCTGGACCTGTCAACTCTGGAGACATGGTCATCATTGGCCCAGACACTATTGGAAGCTTGTCTCTGCTGAGTCTCGAAGCCGGATTGACTGAAGCCACCGGAGTGAAGCCAGCAGCCGTATCAGACCTCAGCTCCGTGGATGTTACCGGGAAATGGTGCATCTTCCTTGGTGGCATGGACCAGTCGGTACTCTCCCATCTCACTCCGAAGAAATTCGAAGAGTTCCAGCGTCTCATGAGCCGCGCACGAGGTCTTCTCTGGGTTATCCGTCACACCAAATCTAATCCTGAGTCTCTTGGTGCCAACATGGTGGTCGGCCTCGCCCGCACCCTTCGATCAGAAAGCGGCGTGCCCTTCGCAACCCTCGATCTTGGTGAGAAGGGGAGCATGTCCGATGCCCAAGCTGTCGATCATATGCTGAAGGTATTCAAGAGTGTCTTCTGCCAAAAGTCGCAGCTGATGCAAAACGACATGGAATTTGTTGTTCGCGACGGGCATGTTTGTGTTCCTCGTCTTGTCGACAACCACGCCCTCAACATCAGCGTCCAGCAAGAAACAGCCGATGCACCCCCAGCCCTGCAGCCTTTCAAACAGAAGGATCGCCCGCTCAGACTGACAGCTGGCGAGAGCCGGACTCTGGACGAAATATACTTCACTGACGACGAGGCTCGCAATGATCCCCTGCCCGATGACTATGTTGAGATCCGAGTTACTTGCACCGGTCTGAACTTCCGCGATGTTCTTATGGCTATGGGGCAACTTCGTGGTGACAAGCTTGGACAGGAGTGCAGTGGTGTTGTTTCCAAGGTTGGCTCGGCTGTTACCAACTTTGCTACTGGCGACCGAGTCTGCGCGATGTCCCCTGGCTCGCTGGCATCGTACACTCGTTGCCCGGCATCCTGCGCATGGGTCATCCCGGATGATATGTCGTTCGAGACTGCAGCTTCCATCCCCGCCGTTTTCTGTACAGCTTACTACTCTCTCATCGACCTGGGGCATTTGGAACAGGACGAGAGTGTTCTCATTCACGCGGCAGCTGGTGGTGTCGGTCAAGCCGCTATAATCATAGCCCAGAATATCGGCGCCAGGATCTTCGCGACAGTCGGTAGTCTCGAGAAGAAGAAGTTCTTGATGGAAACATATCACCTCAAAGACGAACAGATCTTCTTCAGCCGTGATACCTCTTTCGCGGAGGGTATTCGTCGTGCGACAGGCGGAGATGGCGTGGATGTTGCCCTCAACTCGCTCAGCGGTGACGCTTTGCAGGCTACATTCGAGTGCATCGCGCCTTTTGGTCGATTCATCGAGCTCGGAAAGCGAGACATTACGACAAACTCTCGTTTGGAAATGTCCCACTTCAACCAGAACGTTTCGTTCTCTTCGGTCGATCTGGGAATTGTGCGAGAGAAACGCCCCAAACTGTGCAAGCGACTACTCCGTAACGCTTTCAACATCTTCGTTGACTCGCGGGCGCACTTGCGCTGGCCTGTAACTACCCTTCCGATTTCGGATGTCGAAGCTGGGTTCCGTGCTTTGCAGGGTGGACAGGTCATTGGCAAGATGGTGGTCTCTATCACGGATGATTCCAAGGTCAAGGTATGCTCAACAAAAGAACTTGAATATGAGACATCGCTGACACGTGTAAAGGTTCATCCCGCTCGCAAGGAAGAGAAGCTGCTCAGTCCTGACGCGACTTATGTTGTGGTTGGTGGTACTAGCGGTATTGGTCTTGACATTGCCAGCTGGATGCCACAGAAGGGAGCTCGTCATATAGTGCTCGTCTCTCGGAGTGGTGCTTCAACTGAGCTTGCCCAGAAAACGATCCATGACCTCATCCAGGATGGAGTCACTGTCGAGGTTTGCCGCTGTGATGTTTCCAGCAAGGAGAGTGTGGAGCAGAATCTGGCTCCTCCTCTTACCCGACTACCCCCTGTTAAGGGTGTGGTATATGGTGCCATGGTCCTTCGCGTCAGTACCTTGTCCGCCTGATAATTATGGAACCTCACTAACAATGGGAATAGGACATGCTTTTCGAAAAGCAGAGCTTCGATGACTACGAATTTGTCATGAAGCCCCGAGTACACGGAATCTGGAACCTGCAAAACACCCTGCAAAGCCTTAGCAAAGATAGTCTCGACTTCTTCGTCACATTATCTTCCGCAGCCAGTTTCGTCGGCAACATGGGCCAAGCAGCATATGCAGCCAGCGGAACCTTCATGGCGGCATTGGCCCAGTATTCCGAATCCTCTAACATTCCTTGCACAACCATCGACCTCCCCGTCGTCCGAGGCATCGGCTACCTCTCTGACGACCAAAAACGCGAACAAATCTCCTCCCAACTCGGCACTGAGTCCGTCTGCGCAACCGAAATCCGCGGCCTTGTCGCAGCAGCCATCCGCAAAGAAATGCTTGACACCTGCGCCGGCCACTGCGTTGTCGGCTTCGACGGCGTGAAGAAATACCCCGCCAGCGAACAACCATTCTGGGTAAACGACACCAAGCTCTCGCATCTTCTCCGCGTATCCACCCTCGCGGGCGCAGGCGAGGCCGATGCCGTCCAAACAAACAAGGAGATCTCACCCGCCTCCGCAATCAAACAATCTCGCGAATTTGAGAGTGCCCAGGCTGTGACGGTGACTGCATTGACGCATAAGATTTCTAATATTCTGATGCGTCCGCTGGAAGATATGGATCCTTCAGCGCCTATTTCGGTTTACGGATTGGATTCCCTCGTGGCTATTGAGATTCGGAACTGGATTACCAGGGAGTTAGAGGCTAATATGCAGATTCTAGAAATTCTCACGAGTGATTCGTTGCCTGCGCTTGCTGAGCATATTTTGAGAAAGTCGGGCATTTTGACACCCGAGTTGAAGTCGGAGTGGGGTTTGGATGTGGCTGAGGTGCGGAATGGGATGGAGTAGTTTTTTTTGTGTACTGTATTTTGGAATTTTCTGTATTTGATTTGCATCGCACAAATTTGAATTTTCGGTCTCTTGAATTTCTTCTATTTGTCTAAAATCTAGCTGCGAGTTGGGACACCAAGACCCTGTTGTAGAATAGTAGATCCTGTTGGCAGCTCTAGATGTGAGGTATAGTCGATGACCAGTCGATCGTTGTGTAAGACTCAGCAGGTAGGGCTCTCAACGATGTAAACATGAGCACGAGATTACCCCATCGAGCTATAGAGTATATGAAGCACAGGATTGTGAAGACAATCGTTTGAGGAACGGTGATGAGGGAAATTGAAAGATCGGCCTTTTTCTTACCGTCGGATGCACGTAGAAGTTCGTATAGTACCAAGACCACAACGAGATAGATGAGTACGGGCGAGACAAATGCCACCAAAGAAAACACCCGCCAGACCACTTGTTCGGCTTTGGTGGGGAAATCCGAGTTCCAACTAGGCAAATTAGTTGTTATTCTCATCAGTGGAATTTCGGTAGTTGGAGGCTTACGCAGCGACTCAAAAGTGGTGTATGTGAAAATTTGCTCAATTGAACCTCGTAAAAAATCATCGTTCAGATCTCTGTTGGGCGGCTGTGGTGGCTCTTTATCAAGGGGATGCGAGCCAGGCTGTTCACTGGCTTTTTCTTCATCAGGTTGTTCTTCACCTCCAGTTCTCTGTAATGCAGCCTGAGGCAAATGTAGCAATCTAGTCTGGTTATTCTGATATTCCTGCATCTTATCCCGACCAGCCTTGAGTCCAATGGGTGTCACGATCTCCACCAGGAAGAAAAAAAAGAATTTCAGGGCAGCCCAGACAGGAGACTCTTCGTCGTGATTGGCGTTGCCATGTCTTTCGGTTTATGCCACCACAGCGCATAAGTGATTACGGCTGAGGCGATATATGTAACTGTCGAGATCTCTAACGGGGAAATGGGTAGGTCATACTCTCCGCGCAATGATGTTGCATGTCATCCACAGGTTCTGAAGGAGGGTAAATGCCTTGGCTAAGGAATCTACTTTCGCTCGATCCCTTATCTCGCGTATTCTCAGATGGGAGCGTTTGACAATGCCTGTTTCGATGAGAGGAACCACATTCCCAGGATGGACAGGGTATGTCCAGTCGTCTTTGGTTTGCAATAGAACGCCATTCATGCATAGACAGAATCCGTACATAGTCCTCCAGCGCTTCATTTGCGATAACTGTGACACGGAATCTGACTCAGAACCCTGACCGGTTCCCTGATCAGGCTCCTGAACGGGCTCTGTTTGAGGTTCGATCCGTTCTTTGGACTGATTTCCATCCAGCTCGGTGTTCGCGTATGGGTCAGCATTACCAATTCTACTTGCTTTGCTAGAACGACGAGACTCATCGCACCGTTCACCAAGAGCATCAAAAGCAGCATTGCATCTATTTGCCACGGAATTCGCGCTAAAAAAGATCCTCAATCGCCTTTGCTCTCATTATCTCCGGGGCCAGAATTGCAAGTATCCAGCCAAGCAATTTGTAGAAGAGCCACATGCCTTTACTCTCATCTCGGTCTGGAGCCGAACGATGCAGTGCAGTCATGTCCAGTTACTGGCGAGGATTGTCGAAAGACATGCCCAGAGAATGTCCCAGCTTGAGCGATTATTGTCATCGAGCTGCCAGCCTTCTACACCGTGTAGTTTGATTGGCCGACCCATCGCTGTGCGCAACCCAGAACCAGGAGTAGAGAGAAGATTGGCGCGTGCAGTGTGGTATGCGACAACATCGCATCTCATGTCAGAAAAGTAAAAGCAAAGTCTTCGAGATGCGAAGAGAGAAGTGGGGTTAGGCTGAGATGCTGACGGTCTCAGCCGCACGGTCGAACAGGGGCTCCAAGCCCAGAGCAGATAATAGTTGGCGACATGTACATGCAGGGTACCTTTGACAGCTCGATTTTCATCATTATGCAGAACGCGGGTTTTTGAAGGTGAGATAGATATTGGATATGTACAGGACAACACAATTGTCTCCCAGGGCTGACAAAAACTCCACCAGACACTTATATGCGGCTTCTGTCGCTGGCCCACTGACCAGGAAAATAAAACCGATCTCGAAGAATTAAACCCCGAACATGCCCATAAGAGAAAGTCGGCTGTGCTATTGTCGTCTCATTATCATTCAATCCTCATCCCCACTCAAATGGTATATTGCGCCAACTAGAAAACGTTCGACGGGGCAGTCCGTTGAGTGCAGTCAAACGGTTCATCAATGAACCAGGTGCCGTGTTGTGAATCGTAGACAATCGGATAACTCGACTTTTGGCTGCAGAGTCTGTCGATCTGAGACTGATTCCCAGAGCTGATGGTGAACCAGTAAAGGTTGGTATCATGGCTGATCCGCTCGCACTTGTAGAAGAAACCAATGACGCCATTACCAAATACATCGCTGCGGAAGTCGGTCGAGAGCTTCTTGTTCAAGTTGATGTTCTCGCAGTCCTCGTGCATCCCCTGCACGCTTGTCACGTTGGCCTGCTTGGTGGTGTATCCTCTGGCCGTGTGCGTGCCGTTGGCCGACCAGGTGAACGTGGGTAGCTGGACCGTTTTGGCGACCTGGGTCAACAATAAGCTATTCGCTGTGCCCATGGCGGAACACTCAGTGGCCACGGCGAGGAGGCCCAGTGCTCCGAGGAGCATGCCACGCGGGGAAAAGAAAGTCGACTTCATTTTGGGGGATTGGAGGAGTGTGGCTGTTCACGATGCATGCAGGGGAAATCAGTATCCGGGGATCTTTAACGGCTTTATAAGTTATTGAATCCTTCCAGCCCCCTTCCACTTTATTTTTCGAGAGTATAGCATTGTCCAATGGTGGTGGGCGAGAGGCATTCACGATGATGTAAGAGCTGCAAGTGGAGGGCGCAGGCGCGGTTATGCTCGCCAGATGCGGCCGCGTGGAGACGCCCGCCCGTGATCGCCCGCGAGCTGCCCCGAACGGGATGGCGGGAGGCTCGGTTCTCCACGCATGGACTTGCTTTGTTTTTCTCCGCGATTCCCCAGATTTCACCACCGCGGCATCTCTCCGATGCTTGGCTAGAGTCAAGGTCGTATTTGGTGCCAGATACGACATTTGACTCTACCAAAAGCATGCTCTCACCATTTTGTTCACTCCATGGTCTCTACCTGACTCTTACGTCCGGTCAGCTACTCGACTCTCTAATTGACCAACCGTCCATTCCCGTATGTGATTAATCGTCGCTTCACTTTCCTTACACGAAACTGCCTCATGACTGAAGACCAAACATGTTAAAGTTTGTTTGTGATGTTTGCAGTGGTTGGAGTGGACTGACCTTCATCTTCTGCAGTTCTCACTCCTTAATTCTATCTCTTTCCTTCACCAGCTATTCAAGCACGCAGGTTCTTGATGCATGCCATCACCTCTTCATCCTCAAATATTCCTGGTCACAAATACCCGACGAGATAAAACTCCCTCTAGATCTCCTTAAGGACACCAAGACAGCCGAGGAAGCCTTCAACAAAGTCGCCCAGATCTGCGATGGCCATTGACGACGCAAGGCTAACCGCGAAGCGAAACGGACAGAAGGTGAAACGACACCGATACCCACGGCTCTGTGTGATCCCAGTTGTTCACCCCCATCTCGAAACCTGTGGTGAAAGAGTCACAATCTAGCCAGATATTGAACCGTTAAATATGGGAGAGATCCGTTACTTCTGCTTCTTGAGGTCATTTCCGAGTATGCTCTTGGACCTCCACTCTTGTTGAAAAGGGTCTAAAAGACCAAGAAATGCTAAAATTATCCCAGTTGGCCCGACCGGGGTATATGGCCGGGAGAACCCCCTCAATGAAACCAAAAGATCGAAAACATGCCTGAAACGGACATGACTGTCCATCGCATGCATACTGACATATCCAAACGTCGCTCCTTGCCTTGCATGGATACACATCGCAAGAGTTGGTATGACAGGAGGAAATACCCATATAATGGAAGGGCTGGTATGATCTAATAGTGTCAGCCGTTGTGGGCAGCAAAAACCCAATGGCTACCGAAGCCAAGATTTACAGTCTGGCACCTCAGGTCTAGCTCTCCCGCTCTTCCATCCACAGATCTACTTGACAAGCTAATAATCTGGGTCCGTGACTAGCTTCAAATGCCGGGGGTAACCCAAGAGATAAATGCTTTCTGTCCTCGTGGGCCGACGGCCGTCTTTATGGTTCCGATGGGACTAACTACGGTTCTACCTCTGGGTCTGTTCGGTCCCAACTTCCCGTTTGGCGTGGCCCCCACATTTTACTATGCAACCGAGCCTTGCCACCATTGTTGCAGGGGGTCGAAGTCTGTGATTTTGGTAAAGTATATAAGCGAATGTAGCTCATTATTCCAAAAGGAATTTTGGTGAGAATAGCTTGAAGCATGTTTAACTAGCAGCGCAGACTGGCAAAGGGGACAAGTTAAGTCTTGCTGAAGATCGTTCCTTGCCAAGACTGTCAATATTCAGACACCATTACTGAGAGATGGTAGATAGGGATTCAATACTCCATTGTAGCCAATGCTAGACAATTTTACGTTCTTCTATAATTTGATATCTCTTACGCCTCGTGGAGCAGATAGATCTGGCGTCCGCCTCAGCCGCAGCGATACAGACCCTGACAAGCAATTCACACCGAAGATCGCGCAGTGACCAATCAGGACAGCAACCATTATCACAGCCCCTGACCAGCGAACAAGCTTTCACGAACCGCCCGTGACACCACGTCTCTAAAGGCTGTCCGCATGCGGAGGCTTATCGCGTGGACTCAGCGGAAGCGGCAAAAACGCGGAGACCTCCGACAAACCCTATTCAGCCTCCAAAGCATAACCACCGCCAGTATATCCATATAAGGGGAGACATGGAGATCTCCGATCTTAGATTCTGCTCTCATTCCTTCTCGATAACGCTGATATGGGAGTTGGCATATAACAACAACAACAACAACAACAACAACAACAACAACAAATTGACGGGTTGTTCAACGGTTCGATCTCGAAAGATGTGAAAATTTTGGGAACAAGCACACGATGACTCTGTCACCACGAAATTCGGAGGCCGACGCCGGCCCCCGGCTGCTCAGGGATATCTGGGCGCTGACGGCCGTGGCGAGCGTGATTTTGATATTGAGGATCATTGCGAAATTGAGAATCGGGAAATTTGCGGTGGATGATCTGCTTATGACTTTTGCACTGGTCAGCTCCTTTCCTTTTTCCTACGTCATTACATGAGATGAGATGGTGCGGCATTGACTTGTTCCATTCATTGTTTGTTGCTGCCCGGACCTAACTCGTGATTTTCACTCAGTTCTCGGCTTTAGTCGGATCGACCTTGCTCACGATCGCCATCAAGAATGGATTCGGTCGGCGAGTGGTGGATATCAATAGGCCCAAGGTGCCGGAGATCATCATGTATGATTACCTAGCGCAGACATTCGGTCTTGCGGGTGGGACGTTGGGTCGAATGTCGTTCATCATCTTCATTGCGGGATTGCTTGTCCAGAGATGGTCGCAGAAGGTTGCGCTGTGGGTACTGGCTCTCTTGCAAGTGATTGTCAACACGGTGTTTGTTATTATCATCTTTGCGCAGTGTCCTAGCCACACGTCGGCGATTTGGGATAACTCGGGGAAGAACAAGTGCTGGGATTTGCGAGTGCAGACCTATTATGGATATTTCCAGGGAGGTGTGTTCGAGTTTCTATTTGGGCTGTTAAAATCGTCATGCACTAACGGTGGGTCGACAGCGTTCAACTCAGCCACTGACCTATACCTTGCCGTATTCTCGACCTATATCTTCTGGAACCTGAACTTAAAACTGCGAGTGAAGTTGGGACTGGTCACACTATTGGGGATGGGGATATTGTATGCCTTTCTCCCCTTGTCCTAGATACAGTGGAATCGAAGCTAACCCAGCCTCAACCCAGTGCCATGGCCGCAGCAATCGTCAAAACCGTCGAAACCCACGTCCTCGGAACCTCCAGCGACCCGACCACCGCAACTGTCAACTACGACTGCTGGCTCTACATCGAAACCTATCTCGTCATAATCACCGCGTCTATCCCCTGTATTCGGTCTCTGCTAAGATCGATGAAGAGTCGCAAACTCAACAGCGGACACACGCATGAGCTTAGCTCTAGATATGTGGTCGGATCAGGACATAAGGCCAGGGCGCGAAGGCGTGAGTCGTCACTCGATGGGAAGAGAATAATCAACGTTTCGGAGGGAAATGTAACTCAGGATAATATTGAGCGGGGAGATGGTCAGTATGAGGCTCCTGAGTCCCGGCAGTCAAGGGAGTCGGTGGTTATGTGCGTGTGAATATATTCTGCGCACTTTCATTTATGATCTAATAAAACAAAATTGCATTTCTTTTGATACAATTCAATAGCATCAGAAATGAGAACCGCGCAGGTACTGGCAGATATCGGCTGCGGCAGATCACGCTCATCGATCCGCCCCGTGATAGAAAAAGATCGCTCCACGCCGAGTTGATGCCCCTATTGCGGAATCTCTCAACGGATCGGCACCACCAAGCCATACAGGAGCTGCTTATATGCAGCTATATAGCCAGCATAATGTCTGCCAGGTGGGACTTTCCTGTCTCGGCTGCCGCCGCTTTTATTAGGGCGCTCAGGCTCAGTGATCAGAAGTTGCTTAGCATGAAAGGTCACCTGACGGAGGGGCATGGCGGTGAGCCTTGACTTCGCCTTGTGCTTTACGATTTCCACTATACCAAGCTACCTAAACCTATCTCACTAAAACTATGACTTCTACGACCTCTATTAGTGGCTCAAACTCTGGACTTCAGGTAGTGCGGAACTATGGCCCTATCACTGCACAGTTTAATCCCACAACTGGTAGGTTCAGACGAACTCATGCTAGGTGGCTATGCATTAATTGCATTTTCCTGTCTCAGAGCAATTTGAAACGTCGGCAAACAGAGCCTGCCTACGGGATTTGCAGACGACCAATCCTCTCCACGACAAGTGCCGTATCGAGGCAGACAAGGGTGGACTACTAAAGGACGCGTACAACTGGATCCTCGACCATGCTGATTTTAAACGATGGCGCGATGAGCAACAGAGTCAACTGCTCTGGATCAAAGGGGACCCTGGAAAGGGTAAAACAATGCTCTTGTGTGGAATCATCGATGAGCTGACTAAGTCTGCTCCTAACAGCACTACTATCTCCTATTTTCTCTGCCAGGCCACAGACGCACGGATAAACCACGCCACTGCGGTCCTTCGCGGCCTGATCCTTATGCTGGTTGACCAGCAGCCATCCCTCATCTCCTATGTACGGCGACAGTACGACAAGGCTGGGAAGCAGATCTTTGAAAATGTTAATGCGTGGGAAGCTTTGTCTGAAATCTTCACTGGTATTCTCGAGGACCCGCTGTTACAGACCACCTATTTAATTATCGATGCGCTCGACGAATGTACTGCGGATCGAAATCGACTTCTTGACCTTGTTGCCCTGAAATCATCAGCATACCCACATATCAAATGGATCGTCTCGAGCCGTAACTTGCCAGCCATTGAAGAGAGTCTTGACGCTGGGACTCAAAAAACCAATCTCTGGCTGGAATTGAATGAAAAATCGGTGGCTGACGCTGTCGCCATCTTTATCAACCACAAGGTCCAGGAATTGACAGAAAAGAAGAAATATAACAAAGAAGTCCGTCATGCTGTTTCCCAACACTTGTTGTCAAACGCACATGGTACCTTCCTCTGGGTGGCCTTGGTTTGCGAGAAACTGGCCGACGTCCCGAAGAGAAATGTTCGGAAGAAGTTAGAAGAATTCCCTTCTGGCCTTGAGAAGCTTTATGAGCGAATGTTCGATCAAATTAGCGAGTCAAATGATGCTGAACTCTGCAAATCCCTTCTCGGCATCATCACCACTGTTTATCGCCCTATTACATTGGACGAATTAGCGTCTTGCATTGACTTACCTGAAGAGGTCGTGGACGATTCGGATCTAAGAGAGATTATAGGACTTTGTGGCTCTTTCCTGACGCTCCGAGAACGCACAATCACTCTAGTTCATCAGTCAGCCAAGGACTTTCTGCTTCGAACGGCAGTTTATGAGATTTTTCCTGACGGAGAAGACATAGTACACTATTCTATATTTTCAAAGTCGTTGCAGGCTATTTCCAGGACGCTACAACGCGATATCTACAACCTAGTCTCCCCTGGATGTCCCATCGACCAGGTTAGCCAGCCAAATCCAGACCCACTAACCGCAATACGGTATGCGTGTGTCTACTGGATTGATCACCTTAACAGGTGCTCTCCAAGCAAAACCGTGATCGAAGACCTCCAGAACGGTGGCTTAATCAGTATCTTCTTCCAAAATAACTACCTTCATTGGCTCGAGGCTCTTAGCCTATTGAGAAGCGTATCAGAGGGAGTAGCTTCGATGCTGAGGCTCCAGGGATTGCTGAAGGTATGTTTCAAGAAGTGCGATCACGGAAATGTTTTAACATGCTGATTTAGACAACAACGGAAAACTCCCACCTAATCAATAGAGTTCAAGATGCTTGCCGATTTATCCTATACCTTAAAATAGCGATTGAGAATCATCCACTTCAAGTGTACGCTTCAGGCCTAATTTTTAGCCCGACCGGGAGCATAACAAGAATTCAATTTGAAACAGAAGATCCACCATGGATAATTAGGAAACCGAGAATGGAAGAAGGTTGGAGCGCCTGCCTACAGACCCTCGAGGACCACAGCGACAGAGTCAACTCGGTCGTCTTCTCCCATGATTCTAAGCTTCTCGCCTCGGCTTCAGACGATCGCACCGTCAAGGTGTGGGATTCCGGCAGTGGCCAGTGCCTACGAACCCTCAAGGGACATAGCGACTGGGTCAGCTCGGTCGCCTTCTCCCATGATTCTAAGTTCCTAGCGTCGGCTTCATATGATGGCACCGTCAAGATGTGGGATGCTGGCAGCGGCCAGTGCCTCCTGAATGTCCAGGGCCATAGTGGTATAGTCTACTCGGTCGTCTTCTCCCATGATTCTAAAAACCTCGCCTTCGCTGTATACGATCTCACCGTTCACGTGTGGGATGTCGGGAGCGGCCAGTGCCTACAGACCCTCAAAGGCCATAGCCACTTAGTCAGATCGGTCTCCTTCTCCCATGATTCCAAGCTCCTCGCCTCAGCTTCAGACGATCGCACCGTCAATGTGTGGGATGCCAGCAGCGGCCAGTTCCTACAGGCCCTTGAAAGCCATAGTAACTTGGTCCACTCAGTCACCTTCTCCTATAATTCTAGGCTCCTCACATCGGCTTCAGACGATGGCGCCATCAAGGTGTGGGATGCTGACAGCGGTCAGTGCCTCCTGACTCTCCAGGGCCATCGCGATTCGGTTAACTCGGTCGCTTTCTCCTGTGATTCCAATCTCCTCGCCTCGGCTTCATACGATAGTAACGTCAATGTGTGGGACGCTGGCAGCGGCCAGTGCCTCCTGACCCTCGAGGGCCATAGCGACAGGGTCAACTTAGTTACCTTCTCCCATAATTCTATACTCCTCACCTCGGTTTCACTCGATGGCGCCATCAAGGTGTGGGATACTGGCAGCGGCCAGTGCCTACAAACCCTCGAAGGACATAGCCACCGGGTCAAATCGGTCGCCTTCTCCCATGATTCTAAGCTCCTCGCATCGGCTTCATATGATGGCACCGTCAAGATGTGGGATGCTTGCACCGGCCAGTGCCTCCTGACCCTCGAGGGCCATAGTAGCATGGTTAACTCGGTCATTTTCTCTTATGATTCCAATCTCCTCGCTTCGGCTTCATACGATAGCACTATCATTATATGGGATGCCTGCAGCGGCCAGTGCCTACAGATCCTCCAGGGCCATAGCAGCTCAGTCAACTCGGTCGCCTTCTCCCATGATTCCACACTCCTCGCCTCAGCTTCAGACGATTGCACTGTCAAGGTGTGGGATGCCGACAGCAGCCAGTGCCTACACACCCTCATTGTTAAAGGAGTTACTGTGAAATCATTCGACAATACCAACACACATCTTGAAACTGATATAGGTAATATTTGTTTATCTTCAGTACCGACCTACAGCGTTCCCTTCGTGCCAAAATTTAAAGGATATAGTATAAGTTCCGATGGTACATGGATTACTTGGAACTCTGAGAACCTACTATGGTTACCACCGAAGTATCGCCCAAGTACTTCTGCTGTGTCACAATCGACAATATGTCTCGGCTGCTCTTCGGGACGAGTGCTATTGTTCACTTTTGATTCCTCTAGACTAGTCGGTGCTGGGCACTACATTCCTTTTTAGATAGAGCATATATTCCAGAATGTCATCTTTTGCACACTTATTATATTTGAGATCTCTTTGCAAAGAAGCCATAAGGGCGCTGATGGATTTAGAGGACAATATGTTGCCGCCCTCATGCTTCACTATTGGATTCCATTCAATATCTACGGAGTACAATATGACGAACAGAGAGAGGGGTCAAATACCACTAGGACACTTCGGGAAAGGCTTGTTCATCGTTCGTCCAATTTCCCTTAGTTAGTTAATGTGGTTACACAACATGCCACAGTTCAACAAGGGAGCCCCCTGAGATCGCTCAACCGATCTTAACAACCTTCAATCTATCATCTGATTCTATTGGATATCTTCAGTACTAGCCAGTACATCAATTCCTCATCCTGATTATCTTCACCTAATTTTTGACGCGGCTGGATACAGTGAACACCCAACAATATATTACGCAAGACGAAATCTAGCCAAAGAGGTCAAAAGTAAGGTATCCTAATATTAATTCCTGAAAATAGTCTGGTTACCGACGCTTGACACAGAAAGGCATGGCTTCACACAAGTCTCCTAAATTCTAGCACGACGAGATCCAAAAATATTTCAGGAGCACTACTAAGCCCACTGCTCCTCTATCGATACAGTCTCAGCTGTGCTCGATGAGGAAGTTCAAACAAAACACATTGAGTACTTCTAAGGCTACGGCTAATTTTGTGAGCCGGGCTTGCCTCTTGAATTGCCTACTTATATGAAGGAGAGTATTATGATGTTACCCAAAATGGTGGAAATGAGAGCAGACATCCAAATTGCTAAAGAACGTAATGATTAAGAGAACCTTCAGGCTATAAACCAGAAATATAGTGACGCATTATCTCGGCAACGTCGAGCTGACAAAGAAATACTAAGATTCATAGATACAGGCGAAAAGAGATCAAAATATTCTGAATCGCGGAAAGGGGACGCCTGTACACGTGGTACGGGAAATTTGCACACGTGCTCAATACCTGATCATATCAGACCTTACACGCATCGTAACGGCCATGTCTTTTACAACTGAGCTGACCTTTGAAGAGAAACTTCTTTTGTGGAGGACCTCTATACCCTATGCTCCCGAAAAAAAGGATATTATTAATCTTCCTAATAAACAGCTAATTGAGAGAGTCTTTGCCCCGCAACGGCTGCCAATATAAGATTAAACAGTGAGTCGCTGTTATTCTACAATAACACAGCTTCTGATACAGACCGTCACAGCCTTGCGAAAGGTGAGAGAAGCGCCCACAGTCATGAATGCATTCGACGTGAGACAGGACTCGTCCTTCGAGTTCCTGAATCGGGGCTACGATTTCGCTACGAGTGTATAAAATAGTTTCTGTTACACCGGGTATTCTACATAGCAGAATCACGGGGCCCGGATAATGTTCCTTACGGAATCCGAGGGGTTTTGCGGATAGCTTCTGTCATCGAAATACTGGTACACCCCCATTGGCTTGCAATGCATTGAGATCCAAGTGAATGCCGACAATACTTACCATGCCGAACACCCACACCCACCCCGATCCGACATGCATCGCAGAATACACTCCCCCAGGTTCACGTCAAAAGCTCGGCAGAATCTTGAACCACCCGCGCTCCAATGACAGCTCGTTAGGGTAAAGGCGAATTATGCAGCAAACTCGACTAAACAATTGTGGCTATCGGCAATTGACTCTCTCGCCGTCGACGGCATTTGACTCTCTAGAGTAGTATCAGTGGGCAGATCGGCAGTAAACCCCATATTAGCTCGGCTGTGAGAACTTGAACGTGGGATTTGCACTTTTCGAGAAGCATCGTCATACATCTGCTTCGTTCATCGTTCAGAATGATAGAGCAGATTCCCCGGCTTTTATGGACACTGGAAAACAGGCCAACCGGGGCCGACGGACGGACAAGGCTGAGTTTTTCCGTGAATCAGACTCCGTCGCGGGCATCCCGCGTGGCTGTCGCCCGCCGAAGCATGGCGTGGTCCGTGCAAGCTCCTGCAACCAGGCCAATCATGGCGGCTGCATGAGCGGCCTCATGCGATGGGCGCATGGGTGGTTAAGCTGGGGTAGCGCGTGACTGGACGGAAATTGGGCGCCCCCCGTTCATCCCCGCGCCCCCCGCCGAATTTCCCCAATTCGTCCCCGTCTTCCCTGGTTGCGTTCCACTGCCGAGTGTACCCCTGGACACTCCAGAGGGTCTAGGACACCCTCGGTGGTGCTAGGGCGTGCTAGGGCAGGCCAGGATGCGGACGTCACGGCGTCGCACGGGAGGCGTGCCGCCAGATCGTGCTGATGCTTAGCATTAGCCGAGTACGTGAGTCGGAGCTCCACTGATACCGTTGCAGAGAAGTACCGGGCCCGAATATAAAAGACCTGCCCCAGAATTTGAGGGGCTTGAAGTGGACGCTATCACTTTCCCCGGTTGCATTTCAGGGAGAAAACCATCACCTGTGAAGTTTCTCACACCACCGCCGCCATGGTGAAGGGTCATTTTATGAAGAATTACCGGGTGTATATCCTCACCTCGGTGGCCTATTTGGGCTCTCTCCTCTTTGGTATGTCCTCCACGTCTCGCACTTGCTGGTGTGGGTGCTAATTAACTGTCCCAGGATATGACACGGGTGTGATGGGCTCGGTCCTGGCCCTCGACAGTTTCAAGAAGGATTTCGGACTGCCGACAGGAAAGGGTGGATTTGCCGACGACAAGAATGCATCCGTCTCTTCGAATGTGGTCAGTCTGCTGACCGCAGGCTGCTTCTTCGGCTCCATCTTCGCTGCGTACATCAATGACCGGATCGGCCGTCGCTATTCACTCATGCTCTTCTCCGTGGTCTTCTTAATCGGAGCGGCCATCCAGGTCGGCGCGCACCACGCCATCGGCCAGATCTATGGCGGTCGTGTCATTGCCGGTCTGGGCATCGGTGGTATGTCCAGCATCACGCCGGTCTTCGTCAGCGAGAACTGTCCTCCCGAGCAACGTGGTCGCATTGCCGGACTTTTCCAGGAGTTCCTCGTTATTGGCAGTACCTTTGCCTACTGGCTGGACTATGGCGTGGCCTTGCGGATTCCCGAGGGGACGAGCCAGTGGCGTATCCCTGTTGCGATCCAGCTGATTCCGGGCGGATTGATGCTGATCGGATTATTCTTCCTGAAGGAGTCTCCGCGTTGGCTGATGAAGCAGGGCCGTCAGGACGAGGCTCTTGCTTCTTTGGCGTATATCCGCAATGAGTCCGTCGACAACGATGACGTCCGCAAGGAAATTGCGGAGATTCACGCCGCCATTGAGGAAGAGACGACCGCTACCGAGGGCGTTACTTGGCGGGAGTGCTTAACCAAGAGCAACCGATACCGATTCTTTCTGGCCTTCGTCATGATGTTCTGGCAGCAGTTCTCCGGCACCAACAGTATTGGATACTACGCACCTCAGATCTTTGCGTCGGTCGGTGTCAGCTCCACCAATACCTCACTTTTTGCTACTGGTGTCTACGGAACTGTCAAGGTCGTCGCCACGGCCATTTTCCTTCTCATTGGTATCGACCGCTGGGGCCGAAAGTACAGTATGATGGGCGGCGCGGCCTGGATGGCCATAATGATGTTCATTATCGGCGCTGTCCTGGCGACGAACCCGCCAGACGAGGGCTCCACGACCGTCTCTCCAGCATCGACTGCCATGATCGCCATGATCTATCTCTATGTCATTGGATACTCCTTCTCCTGGGGCCCGACTCCATGGGTATATCTGGGCGAGGTATGTACTATTCAACATTACTCTCATATACATCTACTCATACAGACTAGATCTTCCCCACCCGCCTCCGCTCCTACGGTGTCGGCCTCGGAGCCGCAACGCAGTGGCTGTTCAACTTTGTCATTACCGAGATTACCCCTCGCGCCATCAACTCGATCAAATGGAAGACCTTCATTATGTTCGGTGCTTTCTGTACCGGCATGGGTATCTTTGTCACAATCTTCATCAAGGAGACCAAGGGCAAGACGCTTGAGGAAATGGATTTGGTATTTGGTGCTGTGGATGAGGAGCAGAGACAGGCGGATGTCGAGACTACTCTCCACAAGACTAATTTCGGGCATGCCGAGCATGCTGAGGAGCGACAGGGCTCGACTTCTAGATAAGCACTGGCAGATTATTCAGTGCGATGCTTTGATGATTGTGCTAGATACCTTTCTCGGGTTAGACTTGGGGACTAGATAAGGATACACAAGGAGATCAATATAACCATACCTCCACTATAGTCTTGCAATTTTAAGCGCCGTATCCTACTGCCCGATTCCTAGCATTTACCTGATCAGATACCTGGTCACTCGTGTAGTTGAGACCCTGAATTGAGGTACAAGTGTGATGATCATTCTCTAGCTATTGCGAGTAGGCGCAGCTATCTGTAGTTACAGTAGCTGCCTTTTGCCTAGAGTGGTGGTGGCAGCCTAGCAGGCTGCCACTCCAATATGATAATATCTATGTATAACGTGACCTGACCTGGGATCCAACTCGTGTGATTGGATGCTGGCGATTTTTCCAATAATCAGTGCCCACGACACAAAAGAAAATTATAACGCAGCATAGGGTATCATTCATCTCAAAATAAAAAATCAACATATAACACATCCACGCGATATACTCAAGAAACAGAAACAGGCGCCGCCTCCAACCAAGCCCACTCAACTCCAACTCGGCCCAGGTCAATCTCCGCCACCTTCTCAAAAACAGCCTCCGTAACATCCAGATCCGTCTCCTTACATCCAACACAGCGATCAACAACCTTCACATCAACACTCCTCCCATCCCGTCTAAGTCGAAGTTTCATCCCACATAGCGGATTCTCATTCGGATTCGAGCCCGTCGACGCAGCATCGAATAATACATGCGAGACGGCGCAGATGAAATCCGAGTCTGTGTTGGTGTACCCGCAAGAACCCAAAGCTGGGTTGTAGTACGTCAGATCGCCAGAGTAAGGACCGCCATTGGAAGTGGGCAGGGCGAATTTTTGGGTGGAGTTTCTGGTTCATGGTGTCAACTTGAGAATTGAAAGTATACCCAGGATGACCACTTACTTTTTGCGCAGCGAAAGTCCCACCGCGAGGCCGACGATCAATGCCAGCAAACATGTGATCCCAATCGCGGCAATAATGAAAAAGTTGCGCTTCTTCCGTCGGGACGCGTAGCGGTACCAGTCGAGATGGATTAGCCATGTCCCGAATTTCGATGGTGACTTTGCACCGGGGGCTGGCGCAGTCTTGGTCGCATCGGCGGCGATCGCAGTCTCTACCGCTGGCGTCGGTAAAGGCTTGCGCTTTGGCATGGCCGACCAGGACCCTGAGTCCGGGCCATTGTGAGCAGGTGCTTGGTCGCGGGTCGCGTTGTCGCTGATCGGGGAGACGGGGGATTCAGGGTCCACGGTGGGGTGGGTGGGTTTTTCTGGGGCTCGCATTGTCCGCGATTCATGGGGGTCTTCTTGGCGGGAAGAAAGTAGATAGAGTCAAAGTCAGCGATCGCGGCTGCGAGGGGTACTTGGCGCACGCATGGTGATGGTGATGGGAGGTGGGGTGAAGAGGATGCTTGTCGGGGTCGTTGTTTCAGGGGTCGGGGCTAGTGAGGCTGGTTGGAAAAATGCCATCGCACTTAAGCCTTAATGAGCTAGTGGTGCATCAAATAGTGCAGATAGAATAAAGTCACGTGCAGGCGTATATAACGTTATTAACAAGTAAACAGCCACAATGCCTCGCGAACTCCCATCTGGACATCCCGAAATACCTCAGTAAACACATCTTTCTTAGTCAGGAAAGAGCTATTCTCTGTATTACAACGGATGGCTCTAACAACCAGACCTCTTTTTTTTTCCGCCTATTTTGATGCACTATCTTTAATTAGGGGTGAAGTAACACTACACATAAGGTTGAGACGGTGAATGGGAGGACAGAAACGGCCACTTTTGACGCCGTTTTAGGCCGCTCGCTCACCGTCGGCGGTCTTGGCGTCACGTGCACTAAAGCCCACGGCCGGTTTGATTTACTGCCACCCGTGTCTCGCGTTGGCCGTGCCTGGTTCCTGGGCACGTCGTTCCAGCCCCATTCGTGCTGCAGGCGCCTCAGGGCCCCTTGTCCGCTCACTCGTCACCTCCACCCCCCTCCCTGGCGGAGCGAGGGAGCCAAAAGTGGCTCCTCTGTCGGAAAGCCTTCCTTCTCTGGGTTTCTATAAATATCGACTGCCATGGCCCCCGATCGATTCACCTCGTCTCTACAGCAGTCTTCTCACTAGTCCCGGGTTGATCTTTTAAGGGCTCTCCTTGTCACTTAAGCGCGAACATTGTTCAGCCCCATCTATACTCTCTTCTTGCGACTCGTCTTCGTTCCTCTGTTTATTCTCTGGCTCTAGGGCGTTCGGTCGCTATGCCTCCTGCCCCACACTCAGTCCTGTCCGACGATGAGAGTGACGCCAGCTTAGACTTACGCGTGATATTCTCGAATAACGCCTCCGACACTGAATTCTCTGCCACACCTAGCGACCTCGAATCTAGCAGCGAATCTGAGTCTGAGTCGGAGGGGGAGTCTTAGGATGATGTGGACCTTCCCAACGAAGATGAACAACTCTCGCCGGAGTACTTTCTCTAGGACGCTGAGTCTCTGGATGTGTCTTAGCTCCGGCAGAAGCGCTATAGTCTAAAAACGTAGGAGAGATTGGATGAGACGCAAGATCTTTGGGAAGAGTGAGTTATGGCTAGAGCGTGTTGCTTACGCTACTAAACTCACTGATTGTTCTAGGTTCTGTAAAGGCATAAAGCGTGATCTAGTCGAATGTTTATCCTAACTCTCTGATACCGAAACGATGGTGCGCTTCCTGAAGGCTTTCTTCTCGTGGTGCTGTAGGCGGCGATGTGGGAAAGATGACTGTCGTAACCCGGGATTAAAGTATAAATCCTCACTTGAATTGTTATAGAATTGGTGGCATCTTATAAGGCTGAGGTTAGACACGAACTAAGCAAAGATATTTAGGTGAAAATCCGCAATGTGAGTTATCTAGTGCGGTAGGAAATAATCAAATCTGACTGACCACCCACAGGTGCTTACGATAGAATCCGGCAGCATATTTTGAGGATAGAAGGAACTATAATGTCGCTAGTGTTAATACGGGCCTTGAAGCAGTAAGTCCCCTAATCTTTAGCTGAATATTCTAAGAAAGGGTATGCTTCAAGGTTTTGACTGCCCTCTCCTTGAAATTCCTGGGCCATAGCCTGGGAATTGAGGAAGCCAAGGTAGATACATGTAACACAGACTTCTGCCAGAACGGCATGTGCCCTTAGGTCAGTAATAGATCTTTCGCAAGTCAGGCCAGAAAAGATGGTCCGAGGTGATCCAGAACTCGCAAGAAGAAATTCCCTGGCAGTCTCACGGAAAAGGTAGATGTTGTCATGACAGATGGAAACGAATAACCCACACCAACTTCTAAGGCGTGACCCGAATCCTCCTCATCCTCCAAATCAAGGTCGTGAGTAGACTTAAAAGTGATATCAACATTCAATGCAATGTTTATTTCAGAAAGTGTTACAACGTTCGGCTCGCTGCCAAAATAATACATAGAGCCTTCTGAGCCAGCGGGTCTTTTTTGGACCTGCTTAGAATTCGCTCACAAGCCTTATATAGATATTTGGGCAGCGATTGAATGGCGGAGTCGACCACCTTGGGTGTGTTTTTGAAAGTTTCTATAGTCAGGAAATCGAAAACGAGGTGTATCCAAAGGCAAGTGCGGTGCAGAATTTCGAGTAATCTTGTTTCTAGATGACTTTTGACGTTTTCGGGAAGCCTTTTTTCTCGTGCTAACTGCTTGACTCGATATCGAATGACGTGATTGATTTCTCGACTGATGTTTTCTGACTCCTCTTCTCCTGGTATACGGATATAAGAGTATGAATCCCGCAAACTGGTGAACTTGCATACGATCCTTTCATATGGACGGCTCGTTAAAAAGGTACTTTAACATGTTCCGGCCAGAGCGATTGCCGCGAAATTGAACCTCCATATTCCGTATCAGATCCTCAAAATCGGAGTCAACGCATTCATCTAGGGCATCAAGGACGATACTTATAGATACTGCACGTGGATCACCAACTGCATTTCTCATGATGTTCCAGAGCGACTTCGTCGAATTAATAAGAATTTGCCCGTAATTCGGAAATTCTTCCATGGCATGTTCTATAAAACATGATTTCTGGGAGAATAGTTGATGAAGTAGAGCACAAAGCACTTGACGAATTGTGTTCTGATCCTGTTTTGAAGAATAAATCGCAGATTTATACTGAGCGTGGCAGTCCTTCGTCAATGAGATATTTGGCCAAAACGGATTTTCCACAGCCCGGGTCAGCAGAGACCAATAAGGGCCCCGAGTCCCTTTCTAACTACTTTTGAGAGTTATAGTGGGTTAGGAACCAGGGGTATATGCTGTTATGTAAAAGGCCTTTTGTCAAAATGTACAGGAAAACTTCAGAGATAACTAGCACGTGAGGAATCCGCACACCCAGGGAAATGTGCTTCTCTTTCATGTACTGTGGTTCTTAGCTACCATTCAAGCACGTAGCTTACCACCAGCCTACTGATTATCATTTACACGGGGTTCAGCATGTTCTCGTTCTTATGGTACTTTTAAGTCCTCTTGTCCTCTCGTAGTATGAGAGAAAATCAATTCTTTCCTAATAGACGCTGGATTCACTTCCTCGGACAGAAGCTGTTTGATTGGTGGCAAAAGGATAATACATTCATTATGTTGTATCTTATAATGTAAAAGAAATACGCCAGCGGTATATTATAATATAAATTGTGAATATCTTATGAGAAGAACGCCAAACAGAGATAAATTAAACATAGCAACTGCAACCCACATATCTCGAACCCAGAAAGGTATTCATGATACTCATTCAAGCATCGGTAGCCGAGGCTATTCAAAGGTCATGAACGACTACAAAAGGAAGAAAAATCCAAAGTCGTCCGGGATTGGGTCAGGGTTTATCCGAAAGCCCCCCACCAGTTCGCGAGTTACATCCGAGAATCCAGGCCCATTCCGGTCTCCATCTTCTCCATTTTAGAATCACGGAACATATTGAATGTCGATTTGACGTCTCGGAAGAACTCCCCTGGGTTAAACAATGCTAGCCAAGCATAAATTCCCAAGGGACCACCCTGATAGCGATTTACACGGGGGCTGCCGGTCTCACTGTCAACGACAGCAAAGTACTGCAGATTGCTAGTACATTTGACGTTTAATGTTGTATATGGCTTGATGGAATAGGCGTAGTAGAATAAAAATGCAAATGGGACCACTTGCAGGCAAATAATCAGGGTAGGTATGCCGATAATGGTGTCTGCATAGCTCAGGGTAGCAGAAGGCTTAAGGGTGCCAGTGGAGTCAAGAATTATAAATATAATCTGTTATTTGTCAGGGTTTCGTCACTCTTTAGGTTAAAAAGAGGTAAATCTTTCTGACCTGCTCTAAGAACTCAAGACCAACAATCATCTTAAATGCCAAGAGCTTCATCATTGGCTTGTGTTCTTCCATATAAGATTTAAGGTTGCCGTGGAACCTGAGGATATTTATCATTGCCATAGCAAGTGATATAATCCCAATGATTGTGATCTATCTAAAGTGTTAGATACGTTGTCAAAAACTTGAATACACTGGATATACTTACCCATAAGTGAGCAAAATACACTTTTTTTCCTTGAAGGCAGTAAAGTCCCTGTGCTTGCGTAATGCTTTGAGCTATAGCAAGGATAAATGTAACAATGGGATACTGCAGAACGAAAAACCAGGTAGACTGCAAGTACACAAAGTCAGTTGAATCTCTTGCTATTATATCAATTTCAGATAACTAACCTTCAACCATGACAGCCCATCTGTTGTTTTGGTTGTGCTAAATCTCTTTGGAATTCTCAAAGATGCAAAGAACTCAGCTCTGTGTTGGTCTTTTGGCACAACAAAATCGCAGAGCAACATGAGAAACCAATACAATGCAACCCCTTGGAAAACTTTTGTCCATCCAGTCAGATAGACATATGCGTTGGGAAAGCATACTGAAAGCAATGAATAGATCGTATATAATGGGAATAATGTAGCAATTCTCATAATCCTTGAATTGACTTCTGTCAGTATCTTCCATGATTTTGTCACTTCAAGATAAGGCTTATGGAACGAACTTAAGCTGTTGATTTGAATTACTTAGGTGCATTGCATGCCGAGCCATAACCATGAAGATCACCAAACAAGTGATACCCGTGCAAGCGCCAGAGAGTATCATATTAAAGTGGTGAAAGGTGAAGTCACCGACAAAGGTTTTAGATGCATCTAGTTGGGGCAAATTAGTTTATTGGGTTCGAAAGACCATTGAAGTTGAATTGCGCACCAGGGGTCAGATATGACGGCATCGGGCAAGTTGTATTGGCCTTCCCGCCATCGCGACGGTGAAAGAACTCGGCTGTCCCCATTCTGAGCCTCGATACTCTAGACAAACTTGGTTTGGTAAAAATTCTGTGAAGGTGAGGCCTCAGTAGAAGTATGAATTAGTCCTGAATAAGAACTATTGAAAGGTGAGCCGGTTGTATAATGATTTGAAGACAACAGAGAGATAGACCTTGTTTTATATGCCTATGAACAACTGCGGACTGAAATTGCATAGCCCCATTGAGTCTACGCCTCGCTGTTGATTTTAGGATATGATGTACTTCGAATACTCCTCAAAAGAAGGTCAACTGCAGCTGGACGTCATCAGCCCTAGATAAGGAAGAAGATGCGAGGGAAGATTCTGAAATCCACCGATTCTATTGAATGATACACGCTGCCCTTCAGTGGGGGCGATCGAAGGTAGACAATGCGGCCGCAACTCGCTCATTCTGATTGGTCAAACATTGCAGTTACTTAAAGGGGCTAGTGCGAGCGGGAACACAGCCTAAACCCTTAGCTAATCACGTTTCACCAATCACATCCCTGACACTTTCAGCCCTAAGTGGTTGTGATCAACCAGATAGCATCTGGCATACTCTTCTCGGCAAGCAAATGCAGATCAGTCTTCTAGGTACATACAGTCAGTGACTTCTCTCGCACTGCTACGTAACCAGAGCCTGCTCGGTGGGGCCGTGCTCGGTGGGGCCGCTTGGGGGCCACGATCATGTTCATTCCAATAATCCTCGAGCAAGTCAAGGGCGCAGACGGGGATTCTCACAAATCGGTGCTCGAGGTCGATGTTGGTAGCTAAGATATACATAACAGAGATTTGGTTGATGTTAGCAGTGAACTCAAATGTCGATTGTGTCCAATTGGCATCCTTGGCTATTTCGAGCAATGTGAAGTCATACTTCGACAAAAGTTTCATCGTCAGCTCCCTTAATTCTGCTGGTGTGGACAGCGCCATCCTTGAAATAAGGAAATCCGAAGATCCATGCCGTGTGCCCCTCACACACTCTGACCGTATCGTCTTCCAGATCCATATCAGGCAGCCCCAAATCTCCCAATATCAACCGATACCTTGGTGATAATGGTATCCTGCTTTGTCCATAGATATCTCATAGCGGAAGACCACATAGAACTCTGCATTCCTGTAGTCATGTTGTAGTTCGTATTACCATCATCTGTTAGGTCGGCAGCAAATCCGCCGCCGATCAATATTTGTGCGAGGTTGCCTGGGGTGGTAATTAGGATTATATTGTAAATATTAATCATAGCCTCTAATCACTTAGATTATCTCTTTTTTATAAGCTTTCTTTATTAACTAATCGCAACCGCAAATTTTTGGTTTTGGTCTTCAACCTAAGACCGCAACCAAAACCGTGCCGTAGTCTACTCAGATCATACAAATGACGCGCAAAAACTAAAGCGAGCAGGCTTCGAGAAACCGAGAACACATATAAAACCTTCCTATATCATACCCCTACAGTTCCCGATCGACACGAAAGTCCGGCAGTGGCTGAGCCTGCAGCTGAGCCACCAGACCTCCGGCGGCCAGGGATCCCATAGCCACCGCCGGGGTAACGGCCTTTAACGGAGTAGCACAATCACCGACAGCAAACACTCCAGGCACACTGGTCTCATGGAAGGGCGGTGTGGTCTGGATATCACCTCCTTCGGTCATGGTCAAGGCCAGCTGCTTCACAAACGGTCCGTTCACCTCTGTCTGGGGGTTGAACACCTGCAAGCCCGTGGACAAAAATTGGTTAGCAGGGAGAGAATCTTTCATGTTTTCAAGGATGAAACGCTTACCAGGAAGCCTTCTGTTTTCGACTTGTCAGTCTCGTCAAAATGAACAATAACGGTCTTAGCAATGTCGCCCTTTTCGAATCGTGTGATGGGTCGTGCATCAAATTTCAGCCACGAGGTAGCATTAGAGGATGCCTCCGCAGCCTTTTGGATCTCGTTCACCAACTGCTCATTGCCGTTCGTATAGACAGTGACAGACTCGGAGAGCCGCCGGGCCATCCGAGCCAAATGCAGGGCGCGCGGAGGGTTCGCGATAGGCCCCATAGCGAGGACACCGACGGTCTCCTGGCCTCGTTCTTCGTAGCCGTCGCAGAAGAGACAATGGTAGATGCCATTTGCCCAGCACTCCGAGTATCCTTCAATGTCGAGCGGAACGTCTCGAACGCCGGTCGCAAGCACGACCTTGCGGCCATACCAGAGCTGGCCTTGGGCGTCCTGCGCCTCGAAGAGCTGCTGAGCCTCGATCTGTTTGATGGTATCAATGGTGCTGTTCTGAAATTGAATGGTCGAGTATCGGTTGGTCAAGTCGGCGCGAGCTGCGGCTCGGAGCTCCGCCGGGTTTCGGTGGTCCCATCCAAGGACATTGTGCATGTGTTGCGTCTTCGCATTGCGATAAACGTCGGAGTTGAAGACGACTGCCGTGTGCAGCTGGCGAGCGAGTCCGGTCGCGGTCGAAAGACCAGATGGACCCGCTCCAATGATGAGCACGTCGAAGAGGAGCGCTCCGTTCGATAGCAGCTTTCCGTTCGCCATAATGAGGGCTCGATGTGCTCTGTCTGTGGCAGTGGATGGAGGTTAGTAAGTTGATGAAAGCACCCGGAACAATGAAAAATAAAAAAGAGAGAGAAGAATATATAGGTCAACGGTGCCTCCTTACGTTCGAAGCTGGGGTTGCCTGTCTATTTATGTCCTCCAAGAATAGCTCGGAGACATTTATTCGGCAACCGAAAATGTTTCCGCGTTATGGGCCCAATCATCAGGCAAGCGATGCATAAGACGTAAGCGGGGGTATATTCGGAGAATTCAGATAGATTACATATGAAGCCATGAATGAGCTGATCTGAGAATTGAAATTTCGCTTCATAGAGAGACGAGCCCTGAAGCATTCGGGTAACTAACATTTCGCCGCCATGGACACCTCAGTCTACCTCCACCAGTACCCGAGAACTGCGGTTGCGGCCTCGTTTTTTGAATTGGCCTGCTATACTGGGTATATCGACTTTTTTTGCAAAAGAAAAAGAGTCTCAAAGCACTGGACTTGCCGGTCCTGCAAAGCGTTGGCGATCAAGACATTGTGAAAACACTGGAGGAGGGCCATGCTAAGGTACATTCTCCCCCTCTCTCTCTCTTTCTATAGAATACTCATAATTACCAATTACCAAAGTATCCCGACAATCCTTTCGCACTGGGGGTGCCAGGGTAACAGTTAGTTATTCTTCCCGTCTCTGAAATTGACACCGTTAAACCCTTTCCGGAGACCCAGCTGTCCATCAAGAAGCACCACTACGACCAATTCCTTGTGGAATACTCATACACGGGCACTGAGGCCAATGAATTCGACGACGCGATGAGATATATTCTAGTCCGCAACACTCCGGCTGGGTTGGCCTCCCTTACGGCCGAGATCGACTATGCCATGGCGACTGTGCTCCAGCTCGCGCCCAATTCCTGGACCCGACTGAAACCGCAGTCGATCATGCCCAAGGTTGCCACGATCCTGTCTGGCCACGCCTTTGTCGGGCTGCCGCTCAGTCAAGAAGAAGATTGGATCGAGTCGAACGTCAATTACACTCAGGACGTCTCTCGCGTCTTGATGGTTTTACGCTTCTACCCGCACTGGATTCGACCGTTGGTGGCGCCGTTTCTGCGCGAGGTCAAGGCCCGCGTGCAGTCCAAAGCGCTCATCGGCAGGAAGATTGAAAAAATATCTCGCGATCGAGAGCAGCAGAAGCCGTCCTCCACAAAAGAGAAGATCCCTGGTGGGGACATGATCGCCTGGTTTGAGTCGCAGTATCAGGGGAAACCAGCCACGGCCAAGCAGCTCACGCGCGATCAACTGCTTGCCACAGTAAATTATAAAGATGGCGCTATGAGAAATCCGGAATAAGACATTGTTCCAATCTTGTGGCAGTTGGTACTTCTGTAAGGGCGCATACGTTCCATTTTTGGAAGGGCATCCCTTATTTTACACGAAACGCTCCTTTGGGATGGATTCTTTAGGCTTGAATTGAAGAGTCACGTCAACTTAAATACTACATATCCCCATAACCAACACTCGGTAGATAATAAATCTGTTAAAATTGTAAATTTCTGGATTGATGAAGGATCCAAGAAGAAAGGACACATCAACCTGGGATACAGAATGATATTTTGTCAAAGAAATCCTATTGTCCTTCGAAGCAGGAACAAGGAGACATGTCTACACATCACCATACGTCAGGGCTCTGCCATGGCCGACTTTTCCTTGCTTTTCACGCTCTTCCAACCCGTGCCAAAAGACAGCAGGGTGGCAAGGCCCGCCAAGACGATCGAGACTATAAAACAGTCCTGCAGACCGGACACATACGCTTCGAGAATTACCTGTAGCTCATGGCCGCTGAATGTGGCTTGCAGCTCGGTTGCACCAACCGACGTGATGAACGCGGCACTGATGTTGGATAGGTTGTGCTGCACCTCTTGGACCAGCTTGTTGGCGAAGGCAGCCTGACCGGCCTGAACAAAGATGGCACCCCCCATGCACTGGAAGAAGAGGATGATGGCCGAGATGGTGGAGATATCCTGGACGGTGACGACCGCCTGACTGGCCATCATGGGTACTTGGATGGAGCAGCCGATACCAATGCCCGCCATAGCCTGGTATCCAATCCATGCGCCGGGGCCGGAGTTGAGATCCAGGGTGTAGAGCAAGCCACTAGCGACGGTGGTGAGGACACCGCCGAAAGTCAACAGAGGCATGTAATAGCCAATGAGGCCAAGCACGGCACCTGAGAGCGTGGCGAAGAGACCGTCTCCCAGGACCAGTGGCAGAGTGCGCACGCCCGAATCTGAGGCGGACACATGCTTGACGGCCTGGAAGTAGGTCGGCAGGTAGTACAACAACAAGTAAAACGATCCCGAGAAGAAAAACGTGAAGAGACAGGAAAAGAGAATCGTCTGGCTTTTGAGCAAGCGCGGTGGGATCATGGCCTTGTCTTGTAGCCAGAATTCGTTAATGACGAAGGCGATGAGCAGCACGCCAAACCCGACCAGAGTTCCCACAACATCAGCACTTTTCCAGGCTTTGGCCGTTCCACCCCACTGCAGGGCCAGCAGGAAGCAGAGAATGGCGCCGAGCAACAGAACAATACCAGACGCGTCCATCTGCGTCAGGACCTCTTTGAGTAGGACATTTTGCGCGCGGGCCTGCGGTGGTGCCTTGAAGAAGAGCACAATCAGCCCGACAGCGAGCCCGCCAATGGGTAGATTGATCCAGAAACACCATCTCCAGGTGGTTTTTGACGTAAAAGCACCACCGATTAGGGGTCCTGCCACGGCGGCAGCAGCTAAGCTGGCCCCAATAGCGCCTGTCATGGCTGCGCGGCGCTCTGGGCGGACGGAAAAGGCGAGGATGGTGTAGGCACCTGAGGAGATTCCGGCGGCGCCGATGCCGGCAATGGCTCGGCCGACGATCAGGGTGACGGAGTTGCGGGCAACAGCGCAAATCAACGATCCGACCTCAAATAGTAGGGCGGCAACGACAAAGCCTAGCTTCAGGGAGAAATAGCGGTAGACCTTGCCCCAGGTGCCTTGGAAGGAGGCGAGCGTGAGAAAGAAGGCCGATCCATACCACCCGATATCCGCCACTGTGTGGAATTCGTCGGTAATTCTGGGAATCGCGGTCGAGACAATGGTGGTATCGAGTGAGATGAGAAAGATGGCGGCCAGCAGGCCGCCCATGATGACTGTTAGAGCAAATCCGGACGGATAGTGCATCTCCTCTGCTGGGGCCGGGTCATGGCCCATGATTGACCCGTTGGGAGAGCTATCTAGCTCGGGCTTGGGCTCTTCGCTGGAAGGTTTGAGCATTTTGAAGTGATGATCTAGCAAAACGATAGAGAAGATTCAATTGGCGATAGGCAAGGGTGCGAGCAGCGCTGTTGGGGGGTGAAGATGCACATCTATATGTCTAGCGTCCTCGGAGACATGGAGACTTTCATGCATACAGTCTTCACCTTCTTAGCGAAGAATCCCTTCTGGTTTCCGCATTACTTGTCAGCAGGGGACCGGGCTTATGGCTTGATCATTGAATGATTGATCAGTCGACCCTGCTGCGCTAGAAGGCTATGCTGATTGAGAGTGGAAGGTATACCCTAATACCTGTAGTAGTACTCCTGTACGGATGACTAGTCGACAAGGGCAAACTTTAGGGTCTTCATTTCCAATTTAGACACGTCTGGCCAATGCGGATCTCTGCTGAAAGAAAATCTGCTCATCTCGCTCCGTTTGCAGCATGATCCCCTCTGATTTGGCGTGGCATCAAATGTCTCCGTTAAGTGTCCGACGCCTACTACTACTACTGCTACTGCTACTATTGGGTATATTACACACGGGAGCAGGACCCACTCACGACTTTTTGTCCGTACACCCCATATAAATCCGCTATAGGCGGCGGCAGCCACCTGTCCCGCTATTCCAAGTTTATCGGGCCGATTAGATCGTCTCCCCACGTCCTTATCGCTCCCGCACGGGGGTTAGCGACCACCCGCTTCACATATATACCGGATAGATCAATTCAGAAAGGAAAGGTAAGTATTCCCCAATCTATTAATCAACCCCACTCAGCTTCCTCCGCGAGGCAAAATGCCGGCGAAGCGCAGCGAGCGCGGAGGGAACGGGTCCGACGATGCGTCTGGCCATCCCGCTCCCGATGCAGCTCTCGCTCTACCTACCACGAGGTCAGGCCTAGTTCGCCAGGTGCCAGTGACCGTGGCGGGTGAAGACGAGAATGATGCAGGCGGAAGTCGGATAGAGGCTTTCACTGGGTCAGATAAAAAGGGTCGGAGCAGCCCCCTACCGAATTTCAAATGCTGCTGCGGCCAAACAACGAACTGATGATTCTTGTTGATCGCATGTCAGAAGCATACGCAAGACTGACGGCGATCACCACCGAGAACGCATCGTACCTCTGGGAGTTAGAAGAATCACGAAATGAGGTCCACGAACTGCAAAAGGGAATTTCCAGTCTGAAAGAGCTCGTCCAGTCTCTGTCAACGAATGCTTCTACTACACCACCCAGGACACATGTCAGCAGTCCAGGGCGAAGCTGGGCATCCATTGTTTCGCAATCATCGTTAGCGTCGTCTAACACTCGAGCGGCGCATACCGAAACGGGCCTCCCTGCTGTGATACTAGATCTATGCTCTGCTAGAGAGGAGACCAAGACTCTGGTGGACGGCCCCACACAGATGCGAGAGAAGATCCGTACAGCACTTCAAGGTGAGACGACGACGGTGAGTGTCGACATCGTGGGGGTAAAGCCTACCTCGCAGACTACTGTGAAGATCTTCGTCGACTCAGAGGAAAGCGTTGCGAATCTCCGCCAGGCAACACACTGGCTGAACACCTTGCCGGGGGCTAAGCGGTTGGGCGAACAGTGGTTCCCTATCAAGTTGAATGACGTTCAGAAGACAATAGTTTTTGTAGCATCGGGTGCGCAACGGGAGGACTTCGCAAGAACCCTCCAAGATGAGAATAGAGTCGGGGAGATTAAAAAGATCATTTGGCTAAGCGGAAAGAAAACGTTACGGATCTATGGCAATCTACCTCTCCCGCCAAGCAGACGCAGAAGCCCTGCTCAACCGTTGTATCGTCCACGTGCGGGGGAAAGCGACTTTCTCGGACAGGTTTTATGAGCGACAGCGACCACTGCGGTGCCGCAAATGTCAACTATATAACCACAAAGAAGACCGGTGCCCAAACTCAGAAGCATCGGGCATTGAGCATTGGCTGGGAATTATTGAGAGTTGGCGAAGGAGAGGGGGGTTATGAAGGGTATCGTGGTGCGATAGCCAGCTCTACTTTTTGAGGGATTTGGGTGTAAACCCAGCTACACATGGCACTGCTTTGTGATGATCAGACGCATAAAGTTGGGATGTATATCATGAGGCGTTGTGCTACACTTCGCGGGCTCAGGATTACCCAAACTCGAGCCTATCCAGGGCAGCCGCAAGCTTAGCTGAATGGTGGCCAGTATGAATGGAGCGGGTTTATTCCAACTTTAACAATAAACCCCCTGTGTCAATAATTCCTAGAATACCCAATTCGTCTGATCATGTGCATCCCCACATCATTTTGGCACGGGTCGCGCTTAAACAGGCCTCCCCGCAAAGGCTTGGCTCCACCGCAACAAACTCTCAACTTCGGAATTCTGCCCTTTCCCGATCGCAATTCACCCCAACACTTGCATCGTCGGCACCGGGCTCGACAAACATTCCGCGGACCCTGCTGATCACATTCAATCGGCCATGTCGAGCGATCGCAATCGCGCCTGCCCCTGAGATCGACCCTTCCATCCCGTAGCTGCAGGCAAGCGCAACGCGCGCCAACCGCCGACATGGCGTCCCGCACCAGTTCGCAGTCGAGCGACTCGTCTGCGCCACCGCTTTCGCGACGAGATACGCAGGCGACTAGTAAAGAGAGGAGAGGACTGCGAGGTCTGCTGAAGAGGGTGTGGCTGAAGTCCGGGCTTGACCAACCGACTATCTTGTTGATGCTTAAGTGAGGCCCCCGCAGCCGCGCGGGAAAGGGTTGTACCTGGGGTAGAACTTGCTAACCACTTTTGCAGGGGCGGTGTTGCACCAACAATCGCGGTATCCATGTAAGCATACCGACCTTGTTTCTGCTGGTGTCGCACCGATCTGACGCTCGTATAGTTACCAAGCCACAGATGTAGCCGAAGAATACACCACACTCGGGTACCTCGTCGCAATTGTCTCGATCCTAGGCTTCTCGATTATGCCTCGAGCCAAATTCATCCAGATGTTGATCTTTGATATCCTGGCAGTCTGCGTCGCAGCATGCTTCGCCTTGCTGATGATGTACTCGAGCGTCAAGGCCCGCCAGCACACGATGGACAGTACTTCCGCGGATTCCTACAACTCATCTGCTTCAGCAGTCAGCGGTGTCTGGCTATTCTTCCAAATCTGGCTGGTTCACACTGTCCGTGCGAAGTATCCCCAGTTTCAATTCCCAGTCATCATCTACGCCATCTTCGCGAATGTGTCTTCAGTCTATGCGCCGCAGATGACCTCCATGGCGGCAGCAATCAGTCTGGTTGGACGCCTGATCCGAACTTTCCTCACCGGCCTGGCCATCTCGACTGCTGTTTCGCTCTTGATCCTCCCAATGACGTCGCGTAAAGCCGTCTTCAAGCAAATGGGTGGCTATATCGGGACGCTCCGGTCAGCATTGGGTGCCCATGCGGCGTATTTCGAGACCCTCGAGAAGGAGGACATGTTTGGTCGTGCGGATACCTACGATGACACGCGAGAGAAGTTCGGAGATAAGGGGAAAGTGTACAGTCCCGAGGCGGAAGCGATCCGTGGTGCCATTCGGCAGATCACTGATGTTCACGCCAAACTCCACGGCGACCTGTCGTTCGCCAAGAGAGAGTTTGCTTTCGGAAAGCTTGGCCCCGATGATATACAGAGGATTTTCCGGCATCTGCGCCAGATCATGATTCCAGTTGTGGGATTGAGTTTCGTAGTGGATATTTTCCAAAGATTGTCGGATTATAACAGATGGAACACGCCAATCGACCCCAATGCCGAGCCGATTCCGCAAGATGTTCGTGAGCGTGTTGTGCACGATTGGAATGATATTATGAAGGCGGTTCATGATCCTTTCGCTACAATGATTCAAACAATTGACGAGGGACTTCAGCACACCGCATATGTGTTTAGACTGGCCAAGCCGCCCAAACGCACTGCGATGGCATCCTCATCGAACGATTCCAACCAAGAGGCAAAGGACATTGAAGCCTCCGCCCAGAATACCGCACCCGGTGAGAAAGAGTTTACAGAACATTTCCAGAAGAAGCTGGGTGAATTTCGAAGCGCCAAGCGGATTGCCCTGGAGACTTGGGCAGAAGATAAAGGCATCAATCTGCCTCCTGACTTCTTCGACCATCCATCATCTGTCGACAGCCTGAAAGGTGACTTTTTTGACGCTTCAGCTTCACATCAAGATCGAAGCCGTCGACAGCTATATCTGTTTCTATACGTACGTATCACCTAAACATCCCGGTTCTGCTCCAATGCTAAGGAATTGTTAGATGGAGCAATTGCTCTACTCAACCGGACAAACTGTTCTAGAATTCGTCCAATATGCCGATGAGATCGCCGAAAAGGGAAAAATGTCTCGCACCCGTTTAATTATACCTGGAGCCAAGCGTTCATGGAAATGGGCCAAGACCTTCCTCAAAACCTATGATCACCACGAAGAAGACAATATGGGCGATGTACACACTCATAACAACATGCTTGAACTGGGCGAAGCGTATCGACACCGCAAAGATCCCGAGCACCTGCCTCCAGATACCTGGTTCCAGAAAGTCGGGGACAGAATCCGTGTCTTCCCCTGGCTTCTCCGGTCATTCGAATCCAAGTACGGATTCCGGGTGGCATGTGCTACCATGACCATCGCCATAATAGCCTACCTGCACGATACCCAAACATTCTTTACCAAACAGCGCCTTGTATGGGCCATGATCATGGTAAACCTTAGCATGTCTCCGACATCAGGACAGAGTATTTTCAGCTTCGTGCTTCGAATTGCAGGTACCACCATCGCCATGGTAGCCAGTCTGCTCATTTGGTACATACCAGACCAAAAAACGCCCGGCGTGATCGTCCTTCTTTTTCTATTCATTTCCTGCGCATTCTACATTCCAATCAAAATGTTTCGCTTCCGAGTCATAGGCATCATCAGCATCGTCACCACAACAATGATCATCGGATACGAACTCCAAGTCCGAAAAGTCGGCGAGAAAGTCGCCACCTCAAATGGACAGCCAATCTACCCTATCTACCTCCTTGCTCCCTACCGACTGGCAACCGTCAGTGGGGGTATTGCGGTGGCGTTCATCTGGACGTTTTTCCCGTACCCGATCTCGGAACATTCGGCCCTCCGGCAGAGCCTGGGGGCGTCACTGTATCTTCTTGCGAACTACTATTCCATCATTCATGAGACGCTCTCTGCTCGAATGCGCGGTGATGAGGGCGATCTCAACCTCAAGACTTCTGCTGGTCGCAAACTCGAGAAAGCCCGGCACAAGGTCTTCTCAAAGCAGATGCTCATGCTGAATGGACTGCGGACCTACTCCGAGTTCCTCCGCTGGGAAGTCCCGATTGGCGGTAGATTTCCAAAGAAGCAGTACGATTCTATCATCGTCTGTGTCGAAAAGTAGGTGCCATATCTCCCCATATCTGTCGTTGCGATCATTAACATTTCCTTCAGTATTGTGAGCTACCTGAGTTTACTCGGATATGCCTCCGACACATTGATGCGTCTAAGCGAAGACGACGACGAAACAAACTCTATCTGGATGCACGACTTCCGTCGCGTTGTAGGGCACGCTAAGGTTACAACCCACGAAGTTACTTCCCTGCTTTGTCTCCTTTCGGCTAGTATCACCAACCGCCAGCCCCTCCCTCCTTACCTGAAGACACCGCGGCCATATAGTTTTTCGAAGCGCCTGGAGGCGCTGAATAAGGATATCCTTAGTATCAAGCACATTGCCGAGCCGGGCTTTGCTGCGTTTGCTGTCTTGCAGATTTCGACCAGGTGTATCGTTGGTGATGTGGAGCGGCTGATGAAGTAAGTTTGTCTCTGTCGGTTCTAGAAGCGGGGTTGCTAATTCTGGTCGCCACAGGCATGTCAAGGGTCTGGTGGGCGAGTTGGACTTCTCATTCCATGCTGTTAGTACGATGGACCCCAGGATTGCCGAGTCTAGGATGACGTCGCGGGCGCCGTCGAGAGCGACCTCGCCGGTTAGGGGGGCGTCGCAGATCAGTTTGCACGAGACGCAGGCTGCAGATCGTCAGAAGATGGATTGAACTTGAGGAGATTTGGAAGTCTTGTAAATAGTGTCCTTCCCGCACATATGCTCTCATGAGCTGCACATAGTAAAGTTTCTGGTGTTTGCATTGATCGATATTTTCTGACCGTCCTCATTCTTCTCAGTTTATTTGGGAATATTCCTGATACCATTTACACCTTGCAAGAGGGAAGGTGGTAATTTTGCCCTTCTAAAACCTGATACCATAGATCAGTCAGTCAATACATAGCCTCAAAGTCTGGCAAGTGGTGCAGACTCTACTAGTTCCTCTTTCTACTTTGGGATACCAATGCGAGTGGGACCAACAAGAGCGCATGAAAAGCGGACTCAGAGTATGACCCGCCACATTTTATGCCATTTTCCCCGGGATAAATGGACCTTCCCCGCCTATTCCGTGTTGAGTATCCGGGGGCCTCGGCAGGCTTCAATCACAAGTCTGGATGATCCCCCGCGTTAGAGGAGATTTAGCGAACCCAACATTTCAACACGGTCCCTGCGTTTTCACGCTCGTTTCTGATTTGTCTGGAAATCCTCGTGTTTACTGGAAATCCCCCTGCTGGGCCTTGTGTGGCGATCATGATCTCACATGCTGGAGCTGCGTAAACCATCCACACGCACAGATATAAGAACACCTGATCTGTCCCAGTCGTACCTGATTGATGTGATATGACAGTGTCGTATTTTCAAAATGTCGACACAGGAAATAGCCGCCAAGCGAAATCCCGCCGACTCCATGGTGTCCACCTGGCGCCATGATCGATCCCAGTGGAGTTTCTGGCACTGGATGATCGAGCTACTCGGTCTACATCTCATCGACCTGAACGGCGAAGTCCCCGTCTTCTCGAAGAAACAGAAGATCCCCGCCGTCCGAGAATGGACTCTCCATCTCTGGATTCTCTTGCACGCCGCGATCCCACTGGCCATCCACCACGCCTACACCGTCTACACAGGCCAAAACCTGAACCTCCTCGCCGCATTCGCACTATACTCGTCCGCATTTAAGCTAAATGGTATCCATGAAATGCACATCATGCGCCGACTGGGCCAGGTATACGGCTTCCTAGATGGCGACAAGCACCCTCGCGACGAAATCCCCGACGTGGGCGTCGGAAAAGTCATCCGCGAATTAATCTCAACCTCCACATTCCGGATGATAATGGCCATTTACCTGACCTACCAACCTGCCGAAACACCCTCAACCATGTCCTATAAATGGCTCCCGCTGGAAATCGGCATCTACAGCATAACAGTCGACTTCTGGTTCTACTGGTACCACCGCCTGATGCACTCAACAGGACCATTATGGAAATTCCACCGCCGCCACCACCTCACAAAGCACCCAAACCCGCTGCTTTCTGCGTACGCAGACCACGAGCAGGAATTCATGGATATCACCGGCATCCCGCTGCTGGCATACGGGACGATGAAGGCCATGGGTCTACCGATGGGATTCTATGAGTGGTGGGTTTGTTTCCAGTACATCGCGTTCTCAGAATTCATTGGGCATAGTGGGTTGAGGATTCATGGGGGTGCGCCGTCGACGCTCAACTGGTTGTTGGAGATCTTTGATGCGGAGTTGGTTATTGAAGACCATGATTTGCATCATCGGTATGGCTGGCGGAAGAGTCATAACTATGGGAAGCAGACGAGACTTTGGGATCGAGTTTTTGGGACTTGTCATGAGCGCATTGAGAGTGTGAAGGATAATGTTGATTATACAAATCGGGTTACGATGCCGCTGATCTGAGTCATTGAGGTGGGTGTTGGATCTTTGGTGCAAGTAGCGGGTAGAGATGAATTTATGAGCAATGATTGAATGAATTTGAGTATTCACATATTTGATCTGTCCTTGGTATAAGGCAGCTGAGATTTAGAGGTTGTCATGCATGTGTAGTGGGAATGTATGTGTAACAGTGGAATGTAATTGGATCATCAAGCAGGCCTCGGTTGACGGAAGTAATTCGAGCCCGGCTGTATGTTGCCAAGGAGAGGACTGAGTCGATTTGATACAAAGTGGTCCTTTTTCTAGACACGGCGACTAGAATTAAAACCGCAGATATCCGCATTTCATACTTGCAGCAAGTACTCATGCCCAAGTCCCTATTAATGATGCCATCAGCGAGAACCCCACATACCATATTTCTCCGCACTTCATAAGCCATATACCCTCTTGATTCCCTCTCCAACAACTTCAAGGATCCCAAGCAATATGTCAAACATTACTTTCGACCCCACAACCCTCTCCCAAAGCACCAACAAAACAGTCATAATAACCGGCGCAGCACGGGGCATCGGCGCCGCAACCGCAAAGCTCTTCAACCAACACGGCGCAAACGTCGTCCTAGCAGACCTATCCCAATTTCGCGCAGCCGCAGAAAACCTCATAAACTCTGAATTCGCACATCCAGAGCGCGCAATCTTCGTAACGGGTAGTATCGTCAACTGGGCCGAGCTGACGGCATGCTTCAAGACGGCGATTCAGAAATTCGGAAGCCTTGATGTCGTCGTTGCGAATGCGGGGATTATGGAGTCGAGACCTGTGCTGGATCTGAGCGTTGACAAGGATGGGGAGTTGAGGGAGGATGAGGAGGCGGGGAGTGTTATTGATGTTAATCTTAAGGGGACTTTGAATAGTATAATACCCTCAACCCAGACTAAGATTTCGGAGTTTCTAATGTGTAGTATTACAGCACTCCGACTCGCCCTTTTCCATATGACAAAAAATCCCGATGTAAGCCACGACACACCTAAATCAATACTCCTCGTCGGCTCGACATCCAGTTACTTCGGCGGAACCGGCGTGACGGCCTACGTCGCCTCGAAGCATGGCATCCTCGGCCTCCTGCGCGCATCGCAGTCCGAAGCGCGCGAGTTGGGCGTGAGGATCAACGCCGTTGCGCCGTTCTTCACGCCGACGTATGTCACGGCCGGATTTGCGGCGCAGTGGCGCGAGAGCGGGTTGGAAGAGAACACACCCGAGCTCGTGGCGGAGACTATTGCGCTAGTTTCGCTGGATGAGGGGAGGAGCGGGGAGTGTGTGCTGGTTGCTGGGAGGTATTTGAGAGAATTGGAGGGATCAAGGATGAGGCTTCTTCCGGATTGGGTTGGAGAGGATGTGGCGAATTTCATGGCGAGAGCTATGCGGTTCTTTGTTAGTATTGGAGGGTATGTTTTGCCCAAGAAATACTAGTATATCAGAGGGTAAAATACTGAAGGGAGGTAAGAGAGGATAGGATGGTATTGAGTGCCGATATGGGTAGGGTTGGTGGTATGTACAGAAAGGAAAACAACCCAATGCACGCAAAACAAAAAGCCTCTCCAAGAAAAGCAAGCCCAAAGAAAGAAGTGACGCTCTCATAAGCTTTTCTATATCATAACACCATATTAAATCGGATTCATCATGGTCACATTCGGCACCGCAGGCTGCACCGGCGCCAGGGCCTCGGCACTCCCACTAACGGGCGTGGACTTTGTCACCGGGACCGGAGACACCGTCGTCGGGACACTCGTGTCCAGATGCGAAGGACTGCGACTGCTTCGGCTTCGGGAATAGTCTCCTTGTGAGATACTGCTGCCCGCCGTACTACTCCCAGGCTTTCCGCTTCGTTTCACCATTTTGCCTAGAACGCCGACGATCTCGGCGGCGTCTTCGAAGCTTTCATCATCCATGCCTTCTTGGGCATTGTAGACGTCTGCAATGGCATGTTTGGCGAGCCGTCGGCAGGCGATGGGGTCCTGTAGGCAGTCGTAGAGGTAAGCGGCGTATTCCAGTTTCACGGAGAGGCGGAGGGGATGTGAGCCTGGGAGGAGTTTGTCGGCTAGCAGTGCGGCATGGTTGAAGCATGCTGTTGCTGTCGCGGTGTAGTCAAGTGGAGGAAGGAGGAAAGATGTGGCGGGTTGGGGTGGTTGGACCGGGGCAAGGCCCGGAGGTATGGATGTTTTTGTCGGTTCAGGAGAGGGTTTCATGCCTAGTGCGGCGATAGATTCGGAGCCGTAGATTGAGTCGTACTTTTTGCTTGAAGGCGGCTTCACGTCTGGCGGCTGGATGACGGGGCGATTGTGGAAGAGGACGAAGATGTGGTAGAATGATGCGCGAAGTTTGTAGGAGAGGACCTTCAGTTCGACGAAGCGGGATACCATTGGCAGGATATAGCCCTCTAATATCAAGAGTCCTTCTCTTGAGAGCCATATGATGTGGTAGTACAACTGCAGCGATTTGGTTTCGCGGGTGGTGTCGAGTCGGCGTAGTCGGCGTGCTCGGAGGAGTTTCTTCGACAGCATCACGGATAGACCGAGGATTTTATATAGCATGGCCGAGAGGAGCGGGTTTTCGAGGGCCATGACGGCCGCGAAATTGCCCAGGGCCTTCTGGTCTACTTCGGAGGAGGCCATCCATAAAACGAGGGACGCGGAGGCTGCGGCGTCGAAGGTGTCAGTCAGTTGTTGATCGGCGAATGGATTTGAGATGCGAATCCTCGGAGGCATTGCGGGGCGGCATGTTGGGGGATGCACGATTAAAGGCATCGTTCACAAAATATGGGAGAGTGCGAAAGAGACGAAAGTGAGGAATATAAAGACGAGAAGAGACGAGAAGGGACGAGAAGGAAGTGTGACTACCCCAAGGTACCAGAAGTAGTAAGAACTCACCTGGCGCGCAAACAAACCCGAGACTCAAACGCAGCGGCTGCACATCCGAGCGCGTAGACGATCGTGGCGCAATCTGACTGATCTCGAAGTGCAATCTCGAGCGACTCGATCGTTCTGCAGTGTTTCGTGCCTAAATTGTCCCAAGCTGATTCTTCCCGCAAGTCGCAAGTTCTCTCACTCTATGCCCAGCTTCAGTCTACACTCGTTCCCACAATTACTTCACAACCGCCGCGCGGTATCCCAATCTCCAATATTCGAAGGTGTCGCGGTGCGTCGCAAGACCTCTCCTCGTGTCACTCGTTCCACGACAGACCGCGTCAAGTCGCCGATCAATCGCTTGTGCGGTGCAAGAACTTCCGGCTTCCGTTTCCCGTTTCGCACAAGATCTCCTCCTGCAGAGCTAGCAACGCAAGGCACAGTCAATGTCAGCGGGTTGCTCGTGGATTCGCAGACCGTCCGAACGCATCGTGTGGCAGATGGAGGGAAAAGAAGTATCGAGGTGACGCTTTGGATCGCGACGCAATTACTTGCCAACGCACCCCGTTCTGTGCGGGGAAGATTCGGGCAAACGGGGAGGGGCGCGGAGATCGTCGAAGCTGTCGAAGTTCGTTATTTCCCCGAATGGACCCGTCGGAGTACCTTAGAGTAGGAATCAGAGTCAAGGGTTGGGGGCAAATATTGCAGCTGTGGGCAATTGCCCGAGATTTAAGGGAAGATGCAAGGCAGGGTGTCGTGCCCCCTGATATGACGCAGGGAGCGGCCTCGGGCTCAGGCTTTCTTAGGGTATCCGAGTGCCTCAGAAGGGCTTATCGGTATCGATAATTTACGTCCATGCCCTTACCCAAGGTAGCTGAGGGCACGTAAATACAGCAATACAAGTCAATCCGGGCCCACCGAAACGTGCCCAACCACACCGCTGTCGAACTCATTCCAAACTTTTATACTATATGTATCACTTACCTCAAGGAGCGAGTTGACGTATCTATGATCCAAATATTCGACCATTTTCACACAGCAGATGAGAGCAGTTTGGGGGGAGCCTTGCTAGGGTAGCCAGCCCAGTGGCAACTCCAACCCGCGCGTCTCCAGCCCCAGCCTCAATGGCGCGACGCTTCGCTGTCTTGCAGCCACCCTGCATGCGCCGGCCAGTGAGTGTCTGGCCATCTGAGCCGCCTCGCTCGACGGAGTATAGGGATTCGAGGGTTGCGCTACGTGGCAGCTTCATGGCCATGGCCAATTGGCGTGCCAGCGCATGGCCCGGGGGCCTGGTCAGGAATTGTCATGGCATTGGTATTGGCAATGGAAGGAATCAAGATAGGGCCGATTCCTTTTGTTGCTCTGTTCGAATGAAATGAATTTTCAATCGAAGCACGGACTGCCACGCTGGCAGTGGCTTGGGCTCGCTGTTTCGGTACCTGATGCCCTAGTGCATCGTATTGGGTACTGCGTACTGGGGGGGTATCGAGTACGCTGTGCCCATCGCAGATGCTGATGCAGTTCAGATGGTAATCGATCGAGCACTGCAGTTGTAGCCAGCCAGAATTCAGCAGCATAAGTGAGTTTGTTGAGAGCCCACGATACATCAACACGTGTAGGTGTACCGGGGGTGCAGTACTGTCGAGAGGGGCGGAGGCGTACCGAGACAGGGCGGGCGGGTACACCGCCAGAATGACGAATGACATCTTCACTCAACACAGCAACTATACACACTAGTGTAAATATTCAAGTGGGAGTAATCATTCATTCCATTTTAGTATCGAACAAAAATCTCGAATATCAAGACAACGCTATTTACAACTCTAATAGAACACCAAAGTATATGCGAACCAGACACAGTCCGGCGGAATGCAACCTGTATCAATGTGCCAATGTACTAGTAGTATCAATGCAATTCGATGGCGGACCGGGTGTCGCGCCGTTGAGCAAGTCTCCCATCAAGGGATAAACTCGTATTTAATGGACCAAGTTCATCTCGTCCAGTTCATCCACGTCGACATACCCGGCGAACGCCCGCTCGACGAACGCCCGCCACGCCTCGTTGACCTTGACCTTTTTCTTATTCGAAATGTCGCCGTCTTGGCCGATGCGGATGGCGAGCTCGAGGAAGCTCCGAACTGTCAGGTCTTTCAGTCCGTAGACCTCGTCACTGGTGGTATATTCCACTTCGAACTCGACACGCGGGTCTTCGTTTTTGTTACACTGCATCTCTTCATCGATGCGGGTCAGGTTGGCGAAGTACTGGGTGTAACCCAGCAGGGACAGGGCCTGGTTCGAGTATGCGGGGCCCGGAGGCGCCGTTGAGGATGGCGGCCGGGGCAGTTCGAAGCTGGGGCCCTTCTTCTTCTTCTTGCCCTTTTTGTTCTTCTTTCTCTTCACCTGGGCGTCCGCCGCGGGAGAAACGTAGACTTCAGAGTCGGAAGGCAGGTCCGTCTGCCCCTCTACAGATTCAAGACCAACCTGTTCCAACCCGGTGAGGTTGTACTCGATCATGCGCAAGGTCGGGAAGTAATTCGGCACCAAACTGGGCGAGACCAATGACACACTGTAGCGCTCGGCCCACTGACCTCCAATCTTCTTCAAGTACTTGCGCATTTTCTTCTCGCGTTTCTTCTCCTTCTTGCCCTGCGTCTCGGTCAGACTGTCTAGGCGCTCGAAGAATCCCTTGGGCGGAGTGGGCAGGTCCGCCCACTGCTTTCGCAGCGAGCCCAGATAGTTCGTCTTCGACATGGCCGAGACGGTGCCACCGCCAGATGTCTTGGACAGCTCATCGACGTCCGCGTCGTGGCTGTCTTGCAACATGAAATGATCAACATTCATGTGCCCGTAGAGGCTGGCCACGACGATATCGCGATACCGATCCATCCAGAACGTATACTTTTGCCAGCAAGTCTCGTCCCAGTTGGTCTTTTCCTCCGAGCGCGCAGGCGCAACGTGACCCATGATGATGGCCTTCATACCCCGACTGCGCAGAATCTGCAACTGCACGCGCAACCACTCCATGTGTTCATAGCCTGGTTCCGATTTGGCCTTGCACCCGTCCACGGCACTGTTCGACTCATAAAAGTACATGGTGTTGAGGCTGATGACGGCCAACTTGCCCGGTATCACCTCGCTGATGAACCAGCCACCTTCGACGAAACTGTGACGCTGGTCCTCGGGTATAAAAGCATTCCAGACATTGGCAAATTTTTTGGTCCACCGGTTCGGGCCAGTGCGAAAGATGTTATGTGGGAGGATATCGTTGTTGCCGAAGGTGGGGACGACGGGGACGGAGAGTTGCGCGACGCCGTTGGAATGGGAAGGTTTGCGCGTGCCGAATAAATCGATCCATTTCTGGGCCATGTACTGGTTCATCTCGACGATCTCATCCAAGTTCCGCGGAATCTCCTCGTCATTGTCGTGGCGGACTGAATCGCCGGTCCAGATCACGAAGTCGATGTCATCCTTGATGTTTTCCTCGATCCAGCGGAAAGTCTCGTTCACCAGCGTGAGGGGCGAGTCGCACTGCGAGCCCTCCTGCCCAAAGTATCCGGCCTCGCCTTTTCCGTGGTGGCACGAGTCATCTTCGAGTGAGGAGCCGGCCTTGTAGTACCGGTCGGGGTGGAAATCTAATCACACGGTGCACTTGTCAATTTCGAGATTGTCACGCGATCAATCGCAACTTCCCGGCAGGTGTTCGCGACATACCGGTAATGTGTAGAAAGCGACCGCGCAGGCCCTGGGACGAGGCGCCCGACAATGCGCCCAACGGCGTTTGGGGTGCCAAATCGTGAATGACGGCCGTGCCATCCGACGGGGCTAGCGGTTGTTGCTCGAAAGGCACAGCCGCAGCTGCGCCGATGAAGAGGCCCAGTAGGGACAGCATGTTGCGCCCGGTGGTCAACGCTGCATGTGTACCGCAGGAGGAGAAGTTCTGTTGACGCCGAACTGCAGCGATTTTTTTGGGCCAATCTTATCGCGGGTCACGTCTCTCCCCGCCAACACGGATCCGTTTGCTTAGTCAGGGTGAGAGACGCCTGTCAATCCGAGATTCCAGGGGGATTTTGCAGCAGATGTAGAGGCAGAAAAATAAGTGTAATTGAAAAAGAGAATGTTCTGGAGTGCGCAGAAGATCAACCAAGTGGCAGACGACAACACCCCGCCGTGTAGGGATTGCGGGCGAAAGTCCCCGGATCGACGCGCGAGGCCAATAACGAAGCCGGCGGTCTACACGTGCAGGGACCTTGCGGATCGGGCATGTCCGCATTTGCTGCTGATTTACCAGCTCAACCGTTGTTGTTACTAGATGGCTTCAATGTCCCTACTAACCTAGTTATCATCTAACTTTACTAGGCTGACTAGTGAACACTAGTATCGCAACTTTTCTTCGTGGCCAGGATGGCCAGGATGTCCAGCTCGTGTGGCGCCTCAGGCATCAAACTCAAAAGTTAAGGTTATTTTGCACGAACGCACACTAGATACGGGAGTAGACTGAGGGTATCGTATTTCCAGTTCTAGTTTCTCGTCTGATCAAAGGTACTTCGGAAGGACACACGTGCTTCCTATTCATTATCACACTTTATTATCAGTACTCAAAAGACTACCGCCACTTTGAACTGCTGCTAAAAAGAATTCCGATCCCAGTCTCAATCCATATTCCACAAGGAGAAGAACAAAGTCATCATAATCAAACATCATCTTCAATCTTCTCAGTAACAGTACCATCTTGCTGCACCACAACCTTATCCAGGTTTTTCGACGCCTTGACCGGGTTTGGCTGCTGATACACCCACTCAAGCTCCTCGAGCGTCCGACCCTGAGACTCAACACAGAGGAAGTACCAGCATACAACCTCGAACAAATCCCAGCCAACAAAGATCCAGAAGTAGTTCGTCGAGATATTGCCTAGACCAATCGGCGACGCAAACTGACTGATGAAACTGATCGAGCTAACCATGAATCCCGACAGCGCCAGACCCTTGGCACGGGTGGTAGTTTCCAAAGCTTCAGCGGGGACGACTCCCTGCAGCGGGGTGTAGGTGAAGGAGAAAACCACGTTGAAGAGGTAGTAGAATGCCAGCGCGGCCTGACCCTTGGTGTGGCTGATTGTGCCGGTTTGGGCAATAGGAAGCGAGATGGCGGCGTTAATGGCCATGGTAATGGCGCAGGCGAAGGTACCATAGATCAGCACTGGTCGACGAGGCATCTTGTCAGTCAAGCACACTGCGGTTCCGGCGGCGATCGCGGAGACGATGGAGTTGATCAAGTTGAGGAGGAGCTGGGTCGAGCTAGACTTGTATTTGAGGATATCATAGATAGTCGAGTTGAAGTATCCAAGACCGTTGCCGGACCACTGTCCAAAGACGGAGATCATGATCACCTGGGCAAAACGCCAGCGGCCGCTGTGGGTGGTGACGAAGGGTCGGTCTGTATGACCAGACATCAGTTACCGTTTCTAGGCAGTTGGTGCAGAGAGAACTTACAGTCCCACCATCTCTTATCGATACCATCCATGCGAATGCCCTCCTTCATTTCCTCGAGCTCAAGACGAACCAGGCGGGCATTGGGGTCACCATTACCGTGGTACTTAACCAGGAAGGCAGCAGCCTCCTCCTCGCGACCCTGGGTAAGGAGCCAACGGGGTGACTCGGGGATGAACCAGACGAAGAAGATAACCAGGACACAGGCGAAGCATTGCAGGATAAACGGGATGCGCCATTGGTAGTTGTTTCCGATGTAGTTCGTTCCGTAGGTAATCGCAGCGGCCGGGATACTGCCACCGAACCAACCGCAGTTGTAGAAGCCTGTAGAGAGTCAGCTTTGTTTGTAGCGAGTATAGATAGGGGGATGGCTGACCGACGGCACGTCCACGCCAGTGTGGGGGAGAGATCTCAACTGCATAGGCGGGAGCAGACACAACCATGATCTGGATTCCGACACCAAGAATGAAGCGACCGACGACAAACTGGGCCAAGGTCATGGCGGTTGAGATGATGATTGATCCGATGATGATGACCCAGGCACCCACGAACATGCACTTGCGTCGGCCGAATCTGTCGGAGATGACGGCGCTGAATGGTGTCGCGACAATGGATCCACTAAGGTGAGATCACATTGCGTTAGGATCGGTGTTTGCATCGTGGGTTCTGAGGAGTCACACTTACACAGTATAGAGAGAAGTGACAACAGAAACCTTCGGACCTGTCAATCCGGCTTTGAAGACCTCTTGCCAGTGGTCCATTGCAAGAACAGATCCCATCAGCGATCCTGGGATACATTGTCAGCATGGAAGTCCCCGTCACAGTCGACATCTCGAGTTCAAAATCGGCATGGAAATCGAGACCGGAACAATTATCCCAATGCATGGAATGACCTACCATCATAACCGTTTGCACAAGCGCAGAGAAAAGACACAAATATACAGACTATATTTTTCCAGGCATTTTTAGCTGGAACTCACTGCATTGGACTGGTCGGGAAACCCACAGTACAGATGGATGGATGTCTTGCTCCATCGCTCGATTTTAGTCTCCTCAATAGCAGCGAACAGTTCGGCCTTGAAAGGAAACAGCGTGAGTATAAACGATGTCTGCGGAAAACACTTGACGAGAAACTCACGTTGCGGACTTCCTTCGTCTTCGCACCCTCGCGCTTGGCAGTCTCGCCGTACCCAGCAATGACCTGAGGAGTATCATCCACAACGGTCGAGATACCATGCACCTCCTCCTGAGCCTTTTGGTCCGACATGTCGTCCGATCCGATGTTAATATCGCAAAGATCCCAGTTATGATCGTCGTGAAGCAGCACGGGAACTCCTGTGGTGGGACAACATTCGACTCTTATAAGACACGAGCCAACATGTGTACTGAATCATGGTTTGAGTAAAGAGTCCAAAAAGCCTCAAATTAATTTTCGTTTCTTCTTTGGGAAACGCTAGTCGAGCCATGCGGTTCCCCGGAAGGCGACTTTGCCTTGTGACCCCAGGCCCCCTGGATCCAGCACTGCAGCAGACGACCAGACGACGCCCGGCTGGTGGCGCGCACGAGCTGCTCCGTATCCTTATTGGAATCGGCGTGTTCTCCAGTGAGACCCTCCATTCTCCACGGCGATGGATGAGTCCACCGTCATCCGAAAAGATTCAGGACTTGCTTTCGCGCAATGGATGCTCGGGATGCTCGGCCCTACATCCCGTTCGCACGACGAGGAATTTTGATCTACCCCGTTCGCTTTGGTAGGGTTTATGCTTTCAAATGTTTGAGCGTGGATTATTGGCCCATTTGGCCTCTTCATTTCGATTAGTTTTAGCTGGTATCTGATTTACGCCCAATACCAGATCACCATCTGAATTCTCCTAGCCTTGCATAGAACTAGGCTAGACTGTGTAGTTTCATGTCCGTTCTTAGCTGCTGATCTGCACCCTGTGCCCCTCTAGGCCCGCAGAGCCCTCGATTTTATTATGAAATATAAGATCAGAAGTTTCCACGAGTAAGGAAAGATTTCTCAACCGCGGCTTCTAGCCCTCGATCTGTCGCCTCCTATTCTGTGCTGTCGACTATGACTGTGCGCTCATCGAGCGTGGAGGGCCGTAACTAGCGCGGAGCAGCCCTCCGTGCTGAATGCTCCACGGGGGCCATCCCCCACAAAATGCTAACCTTGTTCCAGAGTCTCAGCTCACCTCAGCTTTATGGAAGCCACCTCGCTTTTATCAGAATCGGCCCGAACGATCCATGGCCCCAGAGGCAAATATCGGGAGTGCCACGAAAACCTACAGCCCGATCATCTAACTCGTCGGCTCGAGACATCCTATCCATCCCATCCCGAGGCGGAGTATGTTCTCACAGCCCCGGAATCGGAGATTGACGGATTGGTAAGGCAAGTCTAGGCGAGGGCAGAATTAATTGAAGGGGTCCTGCAGGACCCAAATGACAAGCAAGCCTAACAATGGGCCTCAAACCCGACCGAGGCCCGGAAGGCGGGAAACACTGGCTAGCATGCCTGTCCCCAGACAGTGCTAAGCAGCCCGCCTGTTCTTGGCAAGCATGCTCATTTGCCTTTTGGGATGGGAGAGCGCCACTGCCAAGGTCGTTTGGTATGTGTCCAAGTCGTTGCGCTCGGGTCAGGTTTTCTTGTATTTCATTGACGCTCCTCTTGCTTGTGACTGCCGTGGGTTATTATACTTTGGTAAGGCGCGTGTATAACTTTCTATTTCAGGGTCGAGTCTGGGGATCTAGTGGGTTCTCGGATTCGATGTCCGAGGGGGTGGCTTGCTTGACGAGATGAGAGCTAACGGGGGTTGACTTGGACTGGTTTCTGCGAACGGGAAGTCTCTGAGCTCACTCGAGGTGCAGTGTTCATTCCAGTGTCGACGACTATCAATTGTTTGCTGGCGAGGGGAACTTAACATGTCAAGTTTGCTGGAAGTGATGCATTTGCTAATTCCGCATTTTGATATGGGTCGGTGTGTTGTCGGAGTAAATGCATGAACTTATTCATGTTCGAGAATTTTTTCTTGACCTCACTATCCTTCATGGTGATTTATTCTTTCCGGTTTGAAGTTCTTGCTTCTGCGTGCGATCGTTTTCATCACAGATGTCACCTGACCGGCAGCCCATCAGGTATCGACGTGTTGCTGGCCTGACAAACCAGGCCATAACATCTTTGTCTTTCGATACAGGCGTCGCCTACATGTATTCCTTCTCATTTTTGATTCCCTGGATACAATCCATGTCCTGACGCACCCTCGTTCCATTTCGCGATACCATCTTCGTGGTTCCTCTGGCCTGAGAGGGAGGGTCTTTCTCTCCGAGCACACTTCACCAATGCCCAGGTATTCCAGACTTGGCCTCGAAAATTCCGACACAAGTGCGGCTGCCATACAGAGCATTGAGCATTTTGCAAGCTCCCACACATGCTGATTATCTTCAAGGCAGTTGGAATTTGGGTAAAAATAGAGCAGCTCAGTTTGCAGCCCCCAAACTCCGCCTCGCACTTGTGGGTCCTGTCGTGGCACTGACCCGGCCAGGCCCCTGATGCTTGGGGCCGAATTGACGATGCGACGAACCAAACCACATGCTTGCGCTATAATAGCCGCGAGCCTCGCAACTCAGTTTTTATTCGCTTCTCTTCTCCATTGTAATGTTGACCGAGGCCACGGCTACTACGATTTTTGTCACTGGATCATTTCCATCACAAATACGACGACGATGTGACAGACCACCTTACAGAAACGCGAAAAAAGCTCTAGGCTTTTGAGAAACATAATCCCCCGCAGCATTCTTTTCAATGGCGCGCGACACAGCGCGCGAGATATGGGAGCGCATTCAGCGTCTTCTTTTCTGGCGCCAGTACTCCAGCGTATCCCGCGACAAACAGGAGGCCGAGTCAACCGCAGTCGATAGCAGGAGACCCCCGCTTTCCTTTTCCTTTTTCCTGGGCTCCAAGGTCCACTCACAATTGAAGACAGAGCCTCAAGTGGAAGAAGACAATGTTGTTTTGGCGGAGCGACAATCAAACGATGATATCACTGCCCTGACGGACGATTTGATGCGACCTCGAAAACGTAAATGGATTGATGGTGTTTATCTCTGTGCTCAAGGGTCGGCGGTCTTCCTCCTCATAAATCTCGTCTTCATTTCCGTTGCGGCTGGACTGGCTGGCAAATTCCCGGACCAGCGAGAATTCGCCAACGGGTCGGTCATTTACGAAGGAAATTGTGCGTTGACTAAGAGATGGTCGATTGCGCTCCACCTGGTCATCAACATTCTGAGCACTTGTATCCTTGCTGCGAGCAACTATTGCATGCAAACGCTCGTTGCTCCCAACAGAGAGGATCTCGACAAGGTCCACGCTCAGCGCAAATGGCTCGACATTGGATGTGCGAGTGTTCGCAATCTGTTTGCTATCGGGCACTGCCGATTTGGTCTTTGGGTGATGCTCCTACTCACAGCTACCCCTTTCCATTTGTTGTGAGTATTCCAGATGGCGATTTACGACAATGGCTAATTGGTGCGAAAAGGTATAACTCCATCCTCTTTGACGATTTAGCTATGGATGAATTCGGATACATGATCGCCCCCTCGGACCTAAGCCCCGACAATATTCGGAACTTGACCACGCCACGGTTGAACAAGTGCTTTCAATATTCACAATATCAAATGATATCTGATGGTTTTGAAGGGCCACCTACCCCGGACACCCCAGTCGCTTCGCTTACGACCAACTCCAGGACAGCCAATGGTCTCGACTGGCAAAACTTTGTTTCTATCATCGAAGGTGCGAGATACAAGCAAATCAGCTCTGAGAAGTGTGTCGGATACCTGGACCAGTCGAATCCTGTTGGTATCAAGTCATTAGTCGCACTAGCGACGGATCTTTCTGTTCAGGATGGGGCAGAGAAGGCATTCTTGACAACGGATATCTCAGTGGGCATAGACGGCGTTGTTGCATCACAGGAATTCCCTTCAAGCCACAAAATATCGGGGTATCCCATGTTTGAGGGAGATAGAGATACATGCGGCTCCAGTGAGGAGAAAGACCATGTCTTCAGTGGATGTCTTGAGATTCCAGCCGATGGTCATTGCAAATTGATGTACAGCCCACCCATTTGCATCGTGATAATGTTGAGTGCGTTTGTTAAGGTGATCGCGATGTTCTTCGCCGCCCGAGTCACAACTCTTCGATCTACTCCTCTTCTCACAACAGGCGATGCCGTGGCCTCTTTCGTTGCAGAGCCAGATCAAACTACTGCCGGGATGTGCTGGCTATCTCGATCTGCTGTCAAACGCGGAGACTGGAAACGACTCAATCCACCCGCACAGAATAGTCAGACCTATGAAGATCAATCTCAGACAGCCATTCCCAAACCACTCTCGGGGCGTCAATTTTGGATACAGGTTCCTGGTGTTACGAGATGGCTCATAACCATCATCATGTAAGTTCAGTGTTGAATCAGTCGTCTTTTATTTTGAAGCTCCAACAAACTGACAAATGCGTAAAGATGTCTTGGATTTATCGCTGCCGGTGCGTATCTCGTGCAGAGAAGCGTCGTCACCGGTAGCTGGACCGCCTATGAAAATGGATACCTTTCACAAGCTCTTCTTCAACAATGGTGGAATAATATTGCATCAGGGGTATCTCTGGACATCGACGCTCCCGGACTCAAGTTGTCAACGTTGGCCTCGGTGGTCGTCGCCAATACCCCCCAGCTTGCTCTCACCATCAGCTACTACTGCTACAACAACGTGTTGACTGGCATGCTAGCAGCGGCGGAGTATAGTTCCTACGGTCAATCCAGCAAACCACTCCGAGTGACCTGGCCTGTCAACGGCAGCAAGCAGAAATCCACCTATTGGCTCAGCATTCCATACCAATACGCCATTCCCATCCTGATCATCTTCTCGATTCTTCACTGGCTGGTTTCGCAAAGCATATTCTACACCATCCTCACGCCTTACAACACGGAGGGCCAACCTGACTATTCGAATCAGGTCACCGCGTTGCAGTATTCGCCGTTGCCACTTTTCGTGGCAGTTTTAGTGGGCGGTCTCATGGTGTTAATTCTCGTCGGGCTGTCACTCCGAAAATTCAAATCCAACATACCATTAGCGGGCTCCTGCAGCGCTGCCATTAGTGCCTCTTGCCACCCACCGCATGACGAGAGTTTGGATACCGCGATTCTTGGCCACGTTGAGTGGGGTGAGGTTGTCGGGTCCCCAGATTGGGCAGTTGGACATTCCGGGTATGAGAATCAGTGGGGCCATTGCAGTTTTAGCTCATTGGATACGCGGAGACCTTCGAGAGCGAAGCTTTATGCTTAAATAAATACTTAAATTATGTTCATTCTTATCAAGATCGAATCACAATCACATCAACTCAGACTGTCTACACGCCGAGGAACATACCCAAAATCAGGTATAGCACAATGATAAAAGTGCTTCCCGAGGTCACGCGAGCTAGTCCAGCGGCATTCTTCGCATCATTATCGACATTCAACGAGTTGTTTCCAAAACCAACTGTCCGCAACCATGTCGGGGACGACGAGTTCATATCCAGCACATCTGAGTGTAGCTCATCCAAAGACCCACTAAAGTGCAGTTCGAAACTACCCAAAGCAGCTTGGCTGACAACTGGCGATTCTAGGTATTTTCTCTTTAGATATACCTCTGAGCTGAATTTACCGGTCAGGGTCAAATTAGCCGTATGGTCGTCGAACGAGGCATTCATCTGCGGGAATCTGAAATCCGACCAATTGTGTGTATTATACCAAATTCCGGTCTCCAGCAGAATTCTGTAATCACCGGTCTGTGTAGTGGAGTTACAAGCTGGCATGCTGAAGTTTGTCAGAATTTCTGTTGAATCATGTTTCCAGGCCCAGCTGCTGTGGACGAGGCCGGATAGATCGAAAGCGGATGAGTTTTTCGCGAGGGTCATATTGAAAGAATCGTAGACAGTCGTGCGATTGTTGAATTGAGGCCTTCTTGAGTTAGCTAAAACTAGCATTTGACGCGACCGACGAAAGCAGTGATTATTGACTCACTTAGCAGAAAACAAAGGCCATTGTAATGTGCCCCAATAGGTATCATCCATAAGCCATGTAGAATTTGGCCAGGAGAAGTCGGGTGGAAACATGTTCAGTACCATGTTGATCAGGTTTGAGCCATTATTATAGGTCCCGCGCTCTGCAATGGACAAAACCGAGTCCCATGTGGTGATCGAGGTGTAGTTGGTCAGATTCTCGCACAGCGGCAGCCAGGCGCTACTACCGGTTTCCGGAGTCAACTTGAGTTCTGTGGTGCCATTGTAGTACCTTCAGGATTCAGTTAGTGTGTGTTCGCTAGCAGATATTCAGACACATACGATCCGACCCAAGAATAAAATCGGTTCAGGCCAGTGACATTTCGTGGGTGAAAGTTGTCCAGTGGGCTGTAGTCCGGATCGTCTTCGGCCCAGGCGCTGACTGCAAGACCAGCAAGGAGGCAGGCACGAAGGCCTGATTGGGTATGCATCCTGGGGTGCCAAGAAAGAGGAATTAGTGTAGGATTTAGGACTACAAATTGGTTTGAAAGGGCACCTTAGAGCTTTTGAATGATCCGTATGGCTGAGGCCCGAGGTTCTCCAGGCGCTAATTCTAGCGTTGTTTGGAACTGGATGGATTGGGATACGGTACACTAAGATGCGCTAAGAAATTACGGGGCTTGGGATGACCTGCAACCCTGCCCTGGGCTAGCTAGCAATTGGGAATTGGCCTGTCGCATGAGCTGCCTCCGTTCAGCAGACAAGAATAAAGCTTTCAGAGAACCGTGATCAGAGAACCGTGATCAGCATTGAACGGGTAGATCCTTTACCTGTTCGCTGGGCTCAGAGAAGCAATGGCGTGGGGCTGCTCTGGCCTTCGGCGGTCTTCCAGGGACCCATGGGACACTCAAGAGAGAAGAAGAATAGTTTAGGAGCAAGTAAAGGAATTTCGAAGCAGGGCGGTGGCGGGTCCTTGGCGGGCGCTGGGGTTGGGGCGGCGGCGCCGGTGCGGAGCCCTCGGAGGATTGACAAAAACACCGCTAAAGTCTTGGGAGCCCTCGTTGTGCCAACGCTATTTGTTTTGCGCAGGGTCTGTTGCTCATTTCTAGGCAGCACCCGTGACATCGCATCCAGAGAATCCTTGCCAAGACTTTACTTTGCGTCCTCAACCAATCGGTAGTTATGAGAGGAACAAAGTCGATGTTGTGGGGCCTAAAACCCTTAGAGACACGATGCAAGTAGAAATCGATTGCAAATTTGCGTGATCTTGTACCGAAAGCTTAAAGCTCTGCTTTGCGCTCTGAGCTTTCTAACCCAGCACAGATGTTATGGGGAAGTCGGTAGAATAATTGAGTCTCTGTCATCCAATAGATATCATTGTGACCGTCTTTACCTGGGACCAGCGCCAAGTCTTTTTCCTGGCATTCACCTCGTGGTGTTTAGTGGAGTTTAAGCTGAAACACTACTCTTGAGCCCATTCTTTTATTCTCCTGCAACATATGCAAACTGGCATCTTCAGATGCTGTCACATGACATCGTGGATGGTCTATAGTCCACTGGCATCGAACGTGAGTGTCCGCCAACCTGTTACTTCGGCCGATTTTGGTTCGGCGTCTGGGTACTATCGAAGGTAAAAGCGCCTGAAGTATCAACTATGTAGAGAGTTTAATTGCATCGCGGTGTACGGGCGTGTGGTCTCATTCTCGGACAGGACACCTGAACATAATGAGGCTCAAATTTGTAGTTCGCTCGAAGGTTTGCTCAGATATATATTTCACGAGAAAATAGCACCAACAAACGGCACAAATAAAATGTGCATCTGTCAAAGTTTCAAATGATCCTCCGAATGAAAGAATCTGGATTGATTTCGCAAGCTCGCGAGTTTTATACACACACACACAATTTATTAACGCCCGGCGGCTAAGCCGAAAGGGCAACTATCGCTGATCTACTATACATGTCATAATATATACAGTACTGTGTCTCTTTAGAGCCCATACATAAAACCTTGCCATATATGTCATTTCCATCAAGCAGTGTCGCAGCGGATCCTCGTGGGTTAGTAATTTTGTTAGTAGGCTGGCTTGAAGGCGCTTCTCCAAGTGTTCAACATCCTATCTTCGGCAGTTGAAGCGCGTCTACCATCTGTAGCACGAGGTGGTTGGTGAGTTAGATCGGCGAAAGGGCGGTGATTTACGTTCGTCGGCATGGTTAGGTGGCCTCGAGTCGGCCCGTGGCGATGGTGAATCGTATTGAGGCCCGTACCGCCTCTAAGTTCGGCGTCCACTTCTGATCATCGGAAGGCGACTTTCCACCTAGGAAGAAGGATATATTTCCTCGGTGAGTGTTGGTACATTGTAGTAGTTCCGTCCGGTGCGCCGTCCACTTTTGACATCGAAAGAGGAAGTGCTCCACGTTCTCTCTCGCTTGTCCACACGCACACTGGTCCGTGTCTGCTACTTTGATTCGATAAAGATATCCATTGAGTCTTGCCATGCCGGTTCGGAGTTGAGCCAGCACGCTCGCTTCTTTCCACGATAATCGGTCATACAGCTGCCGGGTGTGTTTGCCTGGGAGTGCTGCATCAACTCCAAGTACTGATTTGTATTCCTAAGCTAAGCAAGCCAGATAATACATTGTAGAGGTGGCAGCATGTCTACCTACATAGTCCCTCCACCTTGCGTCACCTTCGATCCTTTTCCGCATCCTTCACGGGGCACAGCCAGTTCCGCAAGTCAATACCAGTTTGCACCTTAAGCCTACTTCCATAGCAGCCCTAAAGACTCCATCCTCGATGGCCATCTTCAGTATCCTATTCTCTCAGTAGACCGACACGCGCGTCCGTCCTCTCGAGCCATATAGAAAGTGTCGTAACTGCAGTCCGCCCACCCAGTCTTCCGTCGCTTCCATTATATGCTGCGCCCCACAGGTTGTCAAATCTGTTTCGCGCTACCTTGCAAGATCGCTCTAACAAGGCCGACCGTGTCTCGCAGGAGTTCGTCCAGTTGTATCCTCTCTGTACCCAGAACAGCCAAGCAACACAGTGTTGTCCCTCCTACTAACCAAAGTACCTCGTCGTTCTCTGTGTGGGTTCAAGCATGCTGGGTCGTGCTGTGTTGTTTGCGTTTTTGTGTTTGACTCTGTCGTTTCTGTATCCTCAGACCCAGCGATATCCTCCTTTCAGCAGAGCAGCCCGAGAGCACCCCAAGGGTGTCCTATCCCACGACCCTAGTGTTCACTGATTGTAGGATCGGTTTCGCGGTCGTGTGTCGGGTGGTTTTCAAATCGTTCCCTTGTCGCCTGTGCGTGGGGTCAGGGCCCCTGACCCCTGAGCTCTCGCTCTAGCCATGGCCCTAGCCAGCGGACAGTGCTGGCCGGTGGTGACTCTTCTTAGCTCTGCAAATACCATCCAGGCATGGTATTCACAGGTTCCCAGCCGGCACCACGGGGAGGTGAGAGTCGTCGCCGGCCGAGTTTTATACAGTATTTCCCGAAAACGGTGTCACCACCTGTAATTTTCGTTGTTTTCTGGACCCCAATGCCAAGAAACTCAACTATTTTAGGAATAATCAAAATAATTTGTCCGGTTTAGGCCTTGCACTGTGAATTACCGGATCATCATATTAGCATTGCCGACTGTTCATTACCTGTCAAAGCGTGACACCTGCTACCGCATTGCCCCGCGTCGACATTCCCAATTAGACCTCGCCACGACCCGAGGGTGACCCTGACCACGCAGGTTTTAGGGTCGTAAGGTTAGACCCTGAAATGGGGTCAGGCTAGGGCCATAAAAGTCGCGAACCTACCCTCAGGGTCGTCAAACAAGGCAAACATTGCCAAGTCACGCGGAGCATAAGTTATGTAGATTTTGGCTGTATTTTTGAGTATCTCACTTACAGTATTTAGAGGAGTAGTTTCTTAATTTGGCAATGTAGAATGAATTAAATTAAAACAAATCAAACTAATGAATCAACCGAAAAGAATGCCCGAATCTCGAATTACATATTCGACGTTTCATACCCATCTAGCAACCTTGAACGCTTACGGACTCTGCCTGACACTCGGTGCTGTATCTCTGGCAGAGGTATTGCTTCCGACTCTTGACCATCGTCTTCCTCCTCATCACCTCTCACATAGTCAGTTATATTGCTTATACGTCTTTTGCCGAGTGCTTTTGCGGACGGACCCTGGGCAGCCTGCGAGGTTGGTAGGGTCTGCGAGATAGCTCGGGGCTGGGACCTGGCTCGGAGCTGTGTCGTAGACGCTTCATCCTCTTCATTGTCGCTGATTGGATCAACAGCGAGTTGCTGCTGTGTTCTCTCTTCCTTTACAGCCTGTATCTCCTGAGCCGAAAGATATTCAGAAAGCATTATTCGCTCCTCTTCATGAATCTCAAACTGTGATGTAGACATATACATCATAAGATCTGAGATTGTTTGAGGTTGAAGAGAGCCTCGACGATAATGACAGATATCTCGTGCAGAGTTAAAAAGCCGCTCTACTCCTGCACCACTAGCTGGGATAGAGAGCACATCGCGAGCAAGCCTCGCCATCGTAGGGAAATTATCTTGATGATCTCTCCACCAGGTCAGAGGCTGGGCATTTGTGACTATATCTAAAGGACAAGTCAGTAATTGCTCAAATAGGGATCAAGAGATACTTACTGCTATCAAGATACCTTGTAAGCTCATCTGACTGTGCTGGCTGTGAAATTTGAGACTGCTGTGACTCATCTAGAGCACAAGCTAAATCAAATTCATCCTAATAACTTCTTTCCAGACATACGAAACCGTGCTTCAGCAGAACGTCGGAAAAGAAAGTCGCATATGCCCTACAAGCCTAGCAATCCGTATGATTCAATTGAAATATCTACATCGCTTATGGGGCCGCCTCCGCGTCCTGGTTCAGATATCAATTCAGATTCAATTTCAATATCTGATACACAAACTATTCAATCATCTCGCTCTCGCTCATGCTCAACTCGCTCACTATCAATCCAGCCACAGTTGACTGAGTTAGCTGAGCTACAAAAAGAAGAGGAACGGCTCCAGCAAGAGATCGAATTGATAGAACGACGTGAACGGATTCAGAAGCTAAGGCAACGGCTAGATTCATTGCGTTAAATAGTTCTCTGTACATAGGAATAGCATATGTTTTGCATATCTAAAACATTCATTTCATTGAGTATGTGTACGCTGATTGCATATTGTTCTGAGATGTAAAACATTGAAGTCGTCAATCATTATCATGACGAAAAACGGATCACTTACCCTCTCAAAATGTGCATAATATATATCCTAATTCGGAGGACTAACAGCGTAAAGGCCCAGCTAAGGAGAAGCAGGTGCAAAAGCACTATCATCAGCACTATCACCACCTCCGGTACCTTCTCTGTCGCTATCACTATCTCCATTACCGTCGCCATCTCTATTTCCATCTTCATTACCGTTATCATCGGAGATATACTCCTCCTCGCTAGAGTCGTCAGGGGTAGTACTCATGCCGTCGGCCACATGCAGCTGAGTGGGGGTCATAAATGGAACGGGGTTCGGAGGAGGGTTTTGTCCGCGCTGCATATGATTGGCATATGGTTGGCGTATTAACAAAATAATGTTAACTTACGCGTCTGCTACGTCCGCCACTAGTAGGTGTGACGGGTTGCTGCTCGCGATGGTAATTAGAACCGTATCCCTGGCGCCAGTAGCGGTCATGTCGGCTAGAACAATCAGATATGTTAGCTATATGCTTAAGTTCTGCATACAGAATTCTTACGCAATATTAGTCAGGTTATCAGCGTAGTGGCCAATCGGGCCGGCCGCTGGGCCGCGGCCTGGTTCGTTCATGAAAACATCCTGACTCCACTGCCCACTGCGAACATAGTTGACAAGAGTATTCTGACCCTCGACACGCTCTTCACGTGATATAGGTTTGCGGTCAGGATTAACAACTACAGTGTTCATTGGTTAGCATAACTCTCACATATGTGAAGAAAAAAATGCCTACAGCAGCCGGTATGCACCTGACGCATATGCCGACGAAAGTCGGGCTGCGACTCAAATGTTTGGCCGCACTGGTGCACGGGTGGGTTCTCCACCACTGGGCAAACTAGAGTGTTTATTTTAGATAGCCGAAGACGTGGGTTTGGAGGCATATCAGTCGGGTTAGCCAGATCAGCAGCGGTGATCTGATACCGAGGGTTGCCAGGTGGGCTGTATGCCAGGCCACGGGCTTCCAGTTTGGGTTAGGGTCAATAATAGGGCCTGCATATGATCAGCATATGTTTTCCGAGGTCAACAAAACAACAAACCATGGTGGTAACCAAACACTAGGTGTGGGTTCATAGCAGTCTCTACACCATCTGCCTCAAAGAACGCGCGAGGTAGTTGGTGGACTTTAAAGGTGGCGAAACTTGTGTGATCAGCCATTTCAACATAAGCAAATAATATGTGAGCAATATGTCAAAAGCGAGCGAGACAATGTGTGGAGAGTTATGCAAAATAAAGATAGGGAGGGTAGGAGAGAGAGCTTGTTGAGTGTATGTTGTGTATATATATATCACAGGCTTTGTTTACATTTACTAGGCATAACTGCCCAAAATAGGTGGCAGGCTCTATGAAAGGAAAGCGCAGTAGTGAATTCCGCTATTGAGCCTCCTCCTTTGTTTGAAAACAATGGCTGCAAACCTTGGCTGCGATATGCTCATGATATGTAGAAAAACTTGAGTGCAGTAAATTGAGGTTATTGTTCAGGTATACAATTAGCGTATATTAGTCAATGGAGAACAGGGTCTTATAAGCCAATTAAATTAGCCGTAGCCGGCTTACGTGTACCTGGCAAGGGCCAAAAGTTTTTGGCCCTTGCTCCAAACTTTTGGCCCTTGCTCCACTATAAAGCTGAGCGAGGGCCAAAATCCGGAACATTAATATTCCGGCCTAGTGGGGCGGTCACGTTATTTTTTGACACTCGTTCTACCAGAACCCGGCACGAGACCCACCCACAGCGGCCACGGCACGTGTGGGCGGGGAGGACCACGGCTGTGGCTTAATCTCGGCGATCTTCATGCAAGCGGACGCGAGACTTAAGATGCATGTGTTCCAAACAGGAAGGTAAGGTATGACTGACAAATCCAATTGTTCTCCTCAATCTGATCCGAACCAATCATGGTCGAGCGGGGATTGACTCGTTTTGAAATTCGCGCGCGATTTAGTTCGACCTTTGAAGCACACAGGCTCCTTTCTTTACCAGACCATTACGTCGTAGAGGGTTGTGTAAAAGTGCCAGAAGCTGGAGTGGAAGATGGCATGATGTTCTGATCTGGCGACCTGGAAGATGTGTGTTAGAAACGACCTAGGAACATCCGTACGTCCTAACAAGCGCCCTCAATGTTCCTTACAAAGGAATCAATAGAACAATGGCTGAACATGTATGGCGTGAAAGATCAACAGGATATTATGTATTTGCTAAACACGCCCATTAGGGTTGGAATCTACTAATAGCTTCGTCAGAAGAGGGACCAGTTCGCCAAAGTCTTCCCCTATATTTCAACGTAATTTACAATCACTGTCACGCATCTAATACAAGATGAACGTCTATAACTCCATTTCTGATCCCACAAAAACCTATTATGCTGAATATATCAATGTACAGCTAAGAGTAAGGCACTATGTCTGACCTGAACACCCCGCTTGAGCGTTAGGGTACGTAGCACTAGGTCTATAGGTCCACAAATTCACAAACTTGTAGTACTAGGTATATTCGACTGCCAGCTCGTAAAAGGAGGCTATAATTAGGTGATTGTCCCTCCCACTAAAAGCTATTTAAGTACTGGGTCTTCATAAATTTCAAAGGGCAAGTGAAACGGAATAACGAAAACCTGCCGTGAACGGGATTATTATTGCGTAGTGTTGCTGTACAGTCTTGACCGGGAGGAAGACTTTGGTACCAAGACCGCTACAAAAGTGGAGGAAGAGCGGGCCTCCGTTCAGCTCACCACCTCCCTACTCAGCCTTTGCCTATCGTTTCCCTCTGCGCTGATGGGCGGAGATGCCTTCAGCTTCAGTGGGTGCCACTAATCACTGTGGGCAAACCTGTTCATCCCGTCACCCCCACCCTCCCCACCTAGACCCATCATACTAACGCAACTCCCTTAGACGAGGCAACGCATGGGGAGGATCCGGTCATTCAGCCCTCCCTTTTTTGCACGGAGTTCGCCGGGACGATTGCCGAGATTTGAAATCACCGATCCCAGATCAACTCAGCTTCATCGATACCTTCGCCCCTGAGAAAGTCTGTACAGCTATCTGGTGATCCTGAACGAGGCCGTAGGTGCCTTCGTCACCCGTGCACGGTTGCATCCTTCGTGCCAACCAAAAGGATTCTTCCAGGGAGATCGATCTCGGGAGGAGCGGGAGGAGCGGGGGCTAATGGATCTGTTGCGTCAGGGATCCTACATAGTTCATGGCCCTCATCGATCGGCAATGGCTGGCAAGGTCCCAGACACTTAACCCCGCGCGGTGATGGATTCTGCTCGCACACACGCCAGTTACCATGCCAAACGATCGACAATTCGTCCATAAGTTAGCATTATCCAATTTTCCATCCCTTCAGCCTCCTCCATTGGCTACCGTCATCCTGGCATAAAGCTCCTTCCACTCCCCGCACTGCAGGCCATGACAGAAAATGCCAAAGTGGCCGGCCAGCCATCATGAGTGCACAGCCGCGGAGACTAGAAAAGCCATACGAAGCCGGTCAATCGTTTTATGCAAGCCGGTGGCGACCCCGAAATCCCGCCCCTTGGCTGCTCAGATCGACAGCTTTCAGAGCCAGCTTGGGCCGGCTCAAAGTGCCCAGCTGCACTGTTGCCCTGCTAGCGAGGAACAATTGGGGCAATGATGTTCCAGATGAAAAGGGATATTCGGCCGTCAGCATCACCATGTGGGAAATCCTGTCGAGCTCTACGTCCTATTCTCCACATCCCCTGCCCACTCTCCTGCCACGCGGGACAATTGATACAAGGCATTACCAAAGAGTGCTATACAATCTGTCACCCTTGTCTGCTATCGGGCTACTGATATCTTAGAACCAACTCGGTCCGTGAGCAACCAATGCAAGTTCCAAACCTTGGATGTGCCAAATGGAGGGGACAGACAGCGCCAACATCCAAGTCCTTGGTATCCCATTGCGCACTTGGCCCATGATTGCTATGCTAGGGTGGCGTAGCTCGATTTGTGCAGCTGATCTGACTAGGTTCGGTGGTGGAGTAGATGGTCTTGGTTCATGGAAACTGAAGCTCATACCCATTAACGCATACCAAAGGCGTAAGATTGATGGAGAATCTCCACTGCCACTAGCCCAGCCGTCGCCCAGAGGGAGCAAAAGCTCGGATTGGAGGGTGACTCCCACCCTTAGCACTGCTACAAATGCTCGCAGCTCTCCCGACGTGAAGGTGTGATTTTTCTGCTCCCCGAAGCTCCCATATGCTGTCCCTGTTTTATTAGATACCCTGCATCACATTCCGCCATCAGTTTGTTTGTGTCGCCTGTTTTGCTGCTTTCGGAGCTGTTGCTCAAGAAACGAAGCTGCATCTGAATTTCGTCCTCCGCCACGACAGACCTCACAGTCGAAACCACGAAACTACGGCACCGTACAGTTTACTGAAGACGTGACCGTCCCTGCAATTGTTGCAAAGCAATCCCATACGACTATTGCTCAAATTTCGTCGATCAAAATGGCTCCCGGAATTATCTCTCCGGTCCCCGGTAACATTACCTCCCCTTCCTATTCTAGTCTGCCTGGCAACTCTCGGCACGTGTCTACCATCTCTAGCGTGTTTGAGAGCGACAATGTTTCGAACAATGGCCGCTGGTCGCGCCGCGACCCTTTCATGCCTCGCAAAGTCAGTGGCTCTAGCAACGCGAACATGAACAGAGTTGCTCAGTTCCTGCACAGTCACAGTAGTGTACAGCTCAGGAACGTTGCTTTCTCCGATCTTCTGAACACCGATTATTACACTATCACGGACTGGATTCGCCACGAGCGCATGAGCTACCTCCCTCCTGCTGGAAGCTCCTACGACAAGGTCCTCAGCTGGGCTGAGTTTTTTGTTGACCGCTTGAAAAAGTTTGTTGACGACGCTATCCATGAGGATAGTTATCTTGTCGCGAATCTCGCTTATGGCTCATGTGGGCTTCTTCTGGAGCTTGGCAAGGAGAACAAGAAGAATGCTGAAGCATTGATGGTCTCATTCGGCTTCTTCTACAATCTATCTGCGATTCTGGTGAATCTCATTGAGCGAGCAGAACTCTTCGCCGTCTCGGTAGATATCAGCAATCAGCTGGCTACGTGCCTGTCTCACTTGGTGACCCTAGTGGCCAACGTCGCCCGCACATTCAACGACAAAATTCGCTCAAGGTCCGGTCCCGTCTCTGTCGACATCTATGACACCTTCGATACAGAGATCCGTTGTTTCCGCGCCAGCTGCGACAGTATCGCCGAGGCTATGTGGCATCACCAGCTGAGTCGGGAGAGCAGTGTCGTCTGCAAAGGTATTCATCCCGATACATATTTCATGTTTGACTATTGCTGATGTATTCATCCTCTTCCATGATCTCAGATGTCAAGTCCATTCGTTCTTGGCTCGCCCCCGAAGACCGTGTCCTTAGTCACATCGCCGAGAACAGCTCCCACCTTGCCCACGATCGCGAGGAGATGACCTGTCAATGGGTAGACCAGTACCTGGCTCACTTCTTGAAGGGTCCGGAAACCATTATGTCGTTCTATGGCAAGCCTGGATCTGGAAAGACTGTGTTGGCTTCGGTCATCGTCGACATTCTCCAGAAGGTGATCGGCGGTGTCTCCTACCAGACATTGTTTGTTCCTATTAGTGAGTTTTTCAACACTGATGGCCGCCGTATCACAAAGTTTTCTAACCATTCCAGATGCTCGCATTCCTGCTGAGACTAGCCCCACTGCCATTGCGAAGACCATCCTGTTCCAGCTCTTCGAGAAGCGCATTGGTAACGTTGGGTTTCTGCAGTCCCTGAGCAACGCGTATGAGCGTAGCCGCAAGATCACCGATGTAGCTGAGTACGAGGACATTCTCTGGTCTGCGGTGGAGGATGGCTTGGCTGCCACTCTCAGTGGCGCCAAACAGCTTGTGATTGTCGTTGATGGGCTGGATGAAGCATCCTGTCCCGAACAGGTTCTTTTCAAGCGCCTGACCGCTGCTCTCGACACTGCTGTCAACATGAGGGTCAACGTAAAGTTGATCACTTTTGGTGCCGAAAAGCATGCTGCGTCGGGGAAAGTGATGAACGTCCCCGTCAACGAGGATCGCATCAACGATGATATCTCCATCGTCGTTCGCAACATCTCTACCAAAAAGAACCACGAGACTTTCAACCCCTTCAACCAGATTTCCGAAATGGAACAGGTGATTATCATCAACCAGATCACTGAGGCTTCGCAAGGCTCCTTCCAGTGGGCTAAACTCTGCACCAAGCGGGTCCGCCTGGAGCAAAACCCCGAGGCCATGATGAAGGTTGTCGAGACTCTCGTCAAGGATAAACCTAGTGTCGCCGACTTCGTGGCTGATACCCTCTCCCAGCCCGGGGTCACCGAGGAGGCCAGGTACATGCTGCTGTGGCTTGCGACTGCGGACCGCCCTCTGGTGTTGAAGGAGCTCACTGCCTTGGCCTCCATCCAGGTTGACAAACAGACTGTCACCGATCGCAAGGTCAACCCTCTGGAGGTCCTGTCGCCCTTGGTTTCCCTTGTCTTCCTCCAGGCTGACCAGGTGTGCCTGCGCCACGGGCTCATTCGCACTGCTGTTTTGGATGTGTTCTCCAAGGGCAAGCTCATTCCGGCGATCAAGGACCGCCACCTTGACTTGGTCACTCGTCTGTTGATCTACATCAAGAACACGGTCACCGAGAGACATGAGCCGACCTTGGATCAACTTCACAGTTACGAGACCCTCCTCTCGAGGAACCCTCTCCTTGACTTTGCTGTGCGGTCCTGGCCGTACTATCTCAGACAGACCAACGTCTACACCACCGGTGGCGTTGCTCCTACTGCCAAGGAGTTCTCCAAGCTGTTCCCCGTGACTGTCACTCTTCTGCTTCTCCAAACCGCCTTGTGGCAGAACATCTCTACACCGAAGCTCGTGTCCTTCCAGACCACCGTCACCAACCTGACTCGCCAGATCCTGACCACCGACAACCTTGTCACTTTGCAGTCCATTATCACTCTGGCGCTGATGCATCGTGACATCGGTCAAATCCCTGAGGCTACTACTCTGGTGTACGAGTTGACCACTATCACTCGCAAGATTCTGACAGAGAGGTCTATTGTGACCATGCAGGTGGCTAACACGTTCCTCGAGCTTACCGACTGTCAGAAAACTGGGTCCAAGACGGATTTCATGGTCAAGCGAGAGGAGATCTTTAAGCTCGTGATTAAGTGCTATGCTGAGTACTACGGCCCCAGATCCGATCAGGTGGTCACTACATACCATACTCTCATTGAGCACTACCGCCTCACCAAGGAGGAGACGAAGATCCGGGAGATCGAAGTCATTATCCAGAAGATCACTGGCGAGTATGGTGCTGATCAGACTAACGTCCATGGTGAACTCCCGGTCACAATCGGCGGCAGACAGCCGGAGCCTGAGACCTCTGGCATTCCCTTGGACCCGGAAGTCGAGCATGACGAGGTCGATAGCGATGCCTTCGATTCCCAGGCCCATCTAAAGCAGGCCGAGAAGTTCACTGCTGAAGGTAATATTACTGAGGCTGAACGTATCTACGTTAAGATCTGGCAGCGTGCTAGCGATGAGTGCCGTATCCAGTATTCCGGAGACTGGGAGGAGATCAAGCTAAACGCTGTTCTTGTCTACACCCAGTTCCTCAGGTCGCAGAAGCGTGAGACCGAGGTTTCCTCCATTCTGTCTAGTGTCGCGGAGGATTACAGACACAGCAGCCTGTTTGTGTCTGAATCCTCGGCCTCTCGCTTCCAGGAGATTGCCAAGGTCATGACGGACGTTGGACTCTCTGCTGCTGCACTGAATATCCTTAGACAGGTTGCTCACTACTACAAGAGCACTAAGTCTTCTTCCTACTCCGTGGTTGAGCAGCACATCCAAAGTGTCTTCCAGCGTATTACGCGCGAAGCCAGCTCCTCGTCCTGGACCGCTATGTCAGAATCCGTTCTGCAGGAATTCGTCTATGAGCTCTACCAGTCCGGATCCAAGATTGACCAGAGCTCGTTCACAGTCCTTCATACCTTAGTCGAGAAGTACACATCTCAGCACCGCTGGAAGGATACTACTCGTGTCATCAAAAAGATTCTCCGGACTCTGTGGCCCTCGCTGTTCTCTCCCTCAGTCAATGATATGAGCCTTCCGACAGAGCACACTAACGAGTGCGTGTCCCTCGCGAGGCGCCTCAGCCAGTGCTACCAGTACCGCCGCCGCTCCACTCGTGAGGAGAGAATTCGCTACCGCGTGTATTTTGCTCTTCGCGCTGCTAAGCCCGTCGATGACAGGACGCGTAATGAAGTGACCAATGAACTCGTTGCCTTCTACGGGCGATCCTCTCAGCCCGACCGTGTCATCTCCACTCGCCAGGAGGTCCTGGGCGACGAAACCAACCACTACGGTCCCGAGCACCCCGTTGTCATCAATACCTTGAAGGACCTGGCTGATCTGACTCGACCTCGGCCCATATTCGTGGAGTACTATCAAAGAGTCATTAAGGCTTTGAACAAGGACTCACCTCACTGCCACCCCGATGCGATCGAGCCCCTTGTCATGGTCGTGAACGAGCTGTGGAGACAGAGCCGTTACTTGGATGCTGTGCCGTACTACTCAGTGCTCTTCTCTACCTTCTTGGTCGACCCCAAAAAATTTCAGGACACCGCCTTTGTTCAGGATTTCTTCACTCGCTACATTCAGTGTCTGCGTAATACTGGCAAAGACTACACCTCCATCCACACAGTTACCACCCAGTACCGAACCAAGGTCAAGGCTGTCTATGGTGCTACTGCCAAGATTACCATCAATGCAACTCTGACCCTCGCCAAGTTATCCCAGGAGACCAAGTTCAACCAGAATATTGCCATTGAGCTCTACAAGGAGTTGTTAAACATCCAATCCAACGAAATTGAACACAATGAGATCCAGGCGACACTTGACGGCATCTACGAGGACCAGGCGGCCATCCTTCACTCTTCATCGGCCTCGTCCGAGGACGTCAATATTGCCATGAGCGTCTTCAAGAAGCGTTCCACCATTATTCGTCAGACTCATGGCTGGGCTTCCGAGATGTCTCTGTCCAAGCTGGAAGAGATTGTTTCCTTCCACGCCAAGCAAAAGGACACCTCGTCTGTCCTTTCTGAGCTCCACGAGTCGACCTTCAATATCCTGTTGACTGAATCGTCCTCCTCCCGCCTGATATCCGCTGCCACAGTCATCGCTGGCAGCTACATTGCTACCGAGCAGATCGCAAAGGCAACCGAGCTGACTCAGGAGATCTACCACCAGATCGTCATGAAGGACATTAGCTCGAAGAACCACCAGTTTGATCTGTCATCTAAGGGCCGCCAGAGCCTGATTTTCCTGGCTCAGCTTGAGCACAGTCTGTTCAAACGCACCTCGACCATCACTGATGTCCTGGCCTCCTTGACTACGGAATACGTCTACTTCGAGGAGTTCCGTAGCCAGCGGTCGTCCAAGGCGGCCACCTTCCACTCAGTATCTGTGTCTGCTGCTCAACTGCACAGCTTCCTGCGCAGCAGTAACCGCGAATCCGCCGCCGCTCGCGTCTTCGATGACTATGTCGCCTACTTCTTGGCCACCGAGGGCAAGCGCATCAAGTTGACTGATCCTGCTAAGGTGAAGATCCTGCTCTCAACTCTCCTAAAGCACTTCAGCACCTACCAGTCCAGCAACTTCATCCGTTCGATCGGTATTGCCAGCAACCACGGCGTCCTGGAGCTTCTGAAGGAAAAGAACTACGGTGGTGCGTCCGACCTCGCCTCCGCTGCCTTCCACTACATTTCTGCCGATGATGCTTTCCGCAATCCCGCCATCCTCAAGTTCGTGTTCACCTTGGGTGTACACACCGGTCGCACCATCATCCTGCGTCCCGACCAGGCTGCGCAGAAGCTGGTTGATGTCTCCTGCCGCATCATCAAGGAGGTCCTCCGCGTCTGCAGGGACCAGAATATCGACCTGGCCCAAATCAGGCTGGAGTACCTGAATATCTTGATTCGCCTGCTTGGCGAGCAGAAGAGCTACGAGGACCTTGCCTGGCTCTTGTCCGGTCTCTGGAACAGCCGTAACAAGCAGGGTACCTGGTCCGCGAGCATAATCCTCCAGCTTGCACGCCGCTACATCATGGCTAGTTACCTAAATGAAGATGGTCTTAAGGCCTCCCGCCTGGCCGAGAATATTGTCTATAACTGCCGCCGTGTCAACGGCCCTTGCCACGCCAGCACCCTGCAGATGTCTGTTCTGCTGTCACAGCTGTACACTGGTATTGCCCAAAAGTTCCAGTCTATCAAGGGCGGCCAGAACATGGCCTCGAACCTGTACAGGAAGAGCGCCGCTCTGCACGAGTACCTGCTACGTGTCTTCGTCGACCCGTCGCTGGCCGACTTCGATGGTGGTCTCGAGAACAGCCTGAGCTTGGACGGCTCTGTCGACCTCGATTTTGGAGGTGACTCAACCGACAGTGCGTCCGCCTTCGACGGTATGGACGTCTGCCAGCACCTCCAGCTTCTCAAGCTTGCTGTTCAGCGCTTGGGCGACTGGCCCAAGGACCGCAGCGAGTTTGAGCGCCTGTATAAAGATCTCCAAACTAAGTGCGGAGGTAACCTCGAGGGTGTTGAAGAGGTTGAGAAGTGGAACCTGAAGAGCTTTGGCTCTGGTAAGGCGGCTGGCAATGAGGACATTCTGAACCTTGACTTCAAGACTTGGGAGCTGGAAATCAAGCCCCCCGATGAGATTGATGAGGGGGATCTTTAAGAAGCTTTAAGAAGCTTTAATTGAAATTGCATGTATCTGCTGTTGTTTACACATCAAAATCGCTATTTCTGAGTTAGCCCATTTACTTCTGAATGACCGCAAATTGAAGCCTTTGTACCCAACGGCTAACTCCAAAGTTGGCCCTGATAGGTTCCAAAGTAACTTTATGCGCATACTGAGAGGGTATGGCCGGAGTCCAAAGAGTGAGGGCTCAACCGAGCTTCAGTGTCAAGCGGTGCAATTTGTTCGGTTGTCTGCAGGGGAGACTGCATCTGAAATTTACAGAGTGCTAAGGCAAAATAGCGGCGAGCTTCCTGTCGGAGAAAAATTAGATATATCAAAGTCATCTCAAGCCAACGCATGGCTGGAGTCACTGAAAGGGGGTCGCACGGAAAAGCATGTTGAGATCATTCCGACGCAGACGTCGACGGATCGTCCGTCAACATTGATTCGGACGATTAGGAGAGCTATGAGCAAAGCTCACTCGACAACCTTCAGGGGGTGAAAAAATTCATGCTGTCAACGAAAGCATTTTCCGATAAGACAAAAATTCCGAGAATGGCTGGATCAAGTCTCTCAAAATCTGCCCGATTAGCAGTGGAAAGAACTATTTGTATGCACCGAGGCTTACCTGCAGTTGTGTTTTCCCATAACGAATATGGAGTAACCACGATCCGGTTCTTTTGCCCAGCGATGGTATTGGCGAAGTTATATGTCTCTTGGATTGTAGGAGAGGAAATCCAATGCTGGGTAGATTTGGCAAGGACATAGCAGCCGTTCATATATTTCGAGCCTCGAACGGCAATGACGAGTGTCACAGATATGTCTCGGAAGCTCTCAGTCTTTCGGTAAGCACAATTCCTAGCAGTTGGTGGCTACCTCGATTCAGTTATTCTGCTCAAGAAGCTGCACTTCGTGTATCAAAATGTAGACACTCTCAGTGCAGCCCGCCGCAAAAGGGCGATCCACATGCCCTTGTACCGGCTCTGGATGGGGACGTGATTGGATCCTCTCTTACCATTTAATCCATTCACGTGCCCGCCACGTGGATAAACATGATCCACCCCTCAAACACGAACCACCCACGAACCATGGACGACTTGACGGCGCCGAACTGAACAGAGCCAGCCACTCGATGGTACATATGCTCGGAATCTTTCACTTTCATTTTGATTCACTAATGATCTGTTCATTTGCAGATTGGGAATTTCAGATCGCCTGCAAGGGATGATCCCTGCTGGACGCGAATGGTGGGGCCCATCCTCCTCACGCGAGAGGCCGATAACTGCCGACGGCAGCTAGCGAGCTGGCTCTCTATAGATCGATTTGAGGGGGTAGACTACGCAGTTGACGAACATGGGCACCGTGTATACGACATTACACGCCTACAGTACCTAATCGACCCTCTTCTGAGGGCAATGAACCGGGAAGTATGTCATGCAGAATCGAATGCTGGTTGTTTTTAACCGAAATAGGGATGTCGGTGCCGGATGTTCAGAGGATCTATCACAGAACTCGTCTCTGCCTATCAAGAAACATACGTGATCCCCATCCAAGTCGTCTCCGACACTCCACGAATCATCAATCTCCGCGGAGGCGCCCCCCCCCCCCCCAATCTCCTGGTCGGATACTATCATATCCTCCATGCAGACGTTTATATCAGTCGCGAGGCAGATTTTCTCGTCGTGGGAGAGGGGCCACCGGAGCTAGGGCAACTGGAAAGGGCTTAGAGCTCCAGGGGGAATTTGCTGCAATGGTTCGGGAAGCATGAGTTGCTGAACGGGTTCGTGCGTGATATATCCAATAGAATCGGTGAACTGAGTGGATATTTGCAAGACCGGCGAGTCGTCTAGCGTCCCGTATCCAAGAATGTTGCAGATCTGCTCCAGCCTGATATAATGTGTCAGTGAAATCCCCAATATGTGCATTGGGTTACTTGCCCGATAGCTTCACCCGCTAATTGTTGCACGATGCAAGGAATGCAATACGGAATCCAGTCGTGTTCCATGACCGGCACCTTGGTTTGCCCCAGTCGGTTTGCCACTTGCGCATAGCTGCCTTTTCATTGGCGGCAAACCGGGCAAATTGCGCAGGTGACCGACTCTCTGGACGCAGAAGAATTGTCAACGGTTGTCACGTTCATGTAGGCTATCAGCGACTCACCGAGTAAGAAAATTTCCCAACTCTTGTGGCCCCAGCCATTCGCGACGAGCGCCGCAATGCATCTATTTACCCACAACGCACCGTGACGATACCCTTCCAGCATTTTTTGGTCCTTACATTGGTGAAAGTAGTGTCTCATCATATTATCGGTGGTGTTTTGGGAAATCCCTGTCTGTAACATCACCACACAAAAACTAACGAAAATCAGCTTCTGGAAAGCGATCACTGATATCGTGAAATTCTGATCATCCACACAACTGTTGATGAAATCGGCGTATCGGTAGCCTCTAAGCACGAGACCTTCGTGCTCAGTGTGTGTAACGCAAGAAATCATAGGACTGCCCCTGACTTCGCTGAGAGGCGCCTCGGCGGCATGAGTCCGTAGAACATTTCCAGCGGTCTCTCTTATCTGTCCCCAGTAAGAACTAGGTGGTGGAGCCAGATCTTGTTCCGTGTCCTTTGCCACAACCCGGTTGTTTAGTTTTACCCTCCACTCGATCTGGTAATGAATATAGTTTAGTCGTTGATCCTCATGTTCACCATCATTATTCTGTTCATCCACTTGCAGAAAACCCAGTTTATCAGACTGTATTTGGTGAAAGGCGATGAACGTTCACTAAAACTTTGTTCGGGCTCGGGGGTCGAGCAAATCAAGGACGGTGTGCATTTGCGGCCAGGGGTAGGAGCATACGAGGGAGTCTGATCCCATAGATAAGGCAGATGAGAATCGTCATTGCCAATAGCAGCGTAAGTCATCCCCTCGATGCAGCAGATACTACTGAGGAGCTTAGATGTGGTACCATCGCATGTTAGCTGGAAACATGATGGTGCCACAATGCATCAGGTAGGGAAGATCTGTCTGAGTACTGATAATTTCGCGATTATCAACACTGGCATGTCCGGGGTGTGACACAGAGGTAACGCGCGACTTATTCGACTTAGCACATTCATGGACGCAATGATTTAAAAGCTCGAAGCGGGCAACCAATAAGCCGCACACCGAACGGGGATTCGGACTTCATCATCAACAGAATCACAAATAAAGCCCGCTTCATTAAAGGGTGGTGGGAAAGTTGTCGACCAGGCCTCGCAAAGCCGAAAGTGCAACCGGTCTCACCGGGTCTCAGCTTCAGTGGTGGCGCAGCGCTAGACAACGACTTTTGAAAGAGCTGATGAGGGATTGTGGGCAGCTGCAGTTTGGAGGCCTGTACCCTGGCGATAGGTGCAGTTTCCGGGTTTGGGTCGTGTACTATAAAATATCAACAGAATAAGCATTTCCTGCTCAGATCCTCTTGGTCATTAACTAATTTATGCTAATCATGTCTTTCATGTATGGGGATGATGTTTGTCAGGCACCAGATTGGGCTGTGTCGAGTTTGCTGGGTCCAGAACTACTGCATGTGCGATCAGCCACACGGCTAGCGCTTATGCAGCTGACGTTGAAATGGTCACCCAGCTCTGCCACTGAATGGGCACTCCGAAGTTGGTTAGTATAGGAAGGTGAGGGGTAGTAATCGCAGAGCATAAGCTCGATTGAATATAAAGGACAGCCTCAGACGTCCCCCAAGTGACAAGTGACTCGATACAAGCATCCGATATTCAACTAACCAGAAAATGATTGTATTCGATACTGACTCCACCGATGGACTCGAAACTAGTCACTTTGACTTTATCATTATCGGAGGAGGAACATCTGGCCTTGTTGTCGCGAGTCGACTTTCAGAAGACCCCAGTATCAACGTCTTAGTCCTGGAAGCAGGCACAAACCGCTTGAATGACCCTCGGATCTCAGTTCCAGCACTGGCCATCAGTGCTTTCGAAGACCCCGACTTTGACTGGAACTTCAAGACAACTCCACAGGTACGTTCCAGACGCAATATTAGGGTTTGGAAAATATGATGCCTAACAGGTCCAAAGGAACAACTAAACGGCCGTGAAATGCTGGCCAACAAGGGCCGCACCCTAGGCGGCTCTTCAGCCATCAACATGGGCATGGTAATCTACCCATCGTGCTCAGGCATGAATGCCTGGGAAGAACTGGGAAATCCTGGCTGGGGCTGGGATGGCTTCTCGCCATATATTCGAAAGTTCCAGAAGGCCACGCCCCCCTCAAAAGAAAGCGAAGAGCACTTCGGGGATGTCGGGTACAAACAAGAAGATCAAGGGAGTGACGGCCCAGTACAGGTTTCGTTTGCGGATCATTACATGCCGTATTACGGGGCTTGGATGAAGACTTTCGAGATGTTGGGTTATCCACAGGCGGATAATCCGATTAATGGTACTGGTACTGGGCCTTTCATTAACCCCAGTGCTGTGGATCCGGTCACGCATACTAGGAGTCATTCTGCTGCTGCGTATCTTACGGCTGAGACAAGGGCGCGGCCAAATCTGCGTGTTGTGACGGGTGCGCTTGTCAAGGCTCTTTTGCTGGAGAAGGGAACTGATGGAGTCGAGGCCAGCACTGTCGTTTTCTCTAAAGGCCAGGAAGTTTATAGTGTTTCCGTCGGGAGAGAAGTCATCCTGGCTGCAGGTGCGACGCAAACACCTCAGATCCTGGAACTGTCTGGCATTGGCGATGGAGAACTCTTGCAACGACATGGAATCGAGACAGTCATTAACAACCCTTACGTCGGCAGGAATATGCAAGAACACGGCATTATTCCCTACAGTTTCGAAGTCGCTGACGGTCTCCCGTCCGCTGACATGGCCAGGGACCCTGACGTTGCGGCAGCAGCTATGACTTCCTATGAGAAGGACGGATCCGGTCCACTTGGTTATATCCAATTTGCAGCTGCCTTCATGCCATGTGTGGACCTGCCCCAAGAGCAAAGGAATGAGATGGTCGAGAGCATCAAGGCTTTGATCAAGAACCCTGAAACTCCGAGAGCTCTTCAAAAGCAGCTCGAGGCCCAAGCCAAGCTTCTAGAAATACCCGAGGAAACGACAGCTCAATTCATACTCGCACCATTCCAACTAAACCCACGCGAGGAAATCCCGAAACGAGCATTCGGCCCCAGCCACCCGGGAAATTTCATCTCGATCTGCACTGTCCTTAGTTACCCGCTCTCTCGAGGATCGGTACATATCGGTTCGAATAAAGCGGAACATGCGCCTGTCATTGATGTCGGGACATTGTCGAACCCGGTTGACTTGGAACTGCATGCACGACACTGTATGTGGGCTGATCGGGTTGCGGCGACAGAGCCATTTGCGAGCTTGTTGAAGAAGGGTGGATATAGACTGCATAGTCAGGAGCCTGTTGATCTGGAGAGAGCGAAGGAGCTGTGCAAGGAGCTGGTCATGTCGAATTATCACTTCTGTGGGACTTGTGCGATGATGCCGGAGGAGGATGGGGGTGTTGTTGATTCAAGGTTGAAGGTTTATGGGACGACAAACATTCGGGTTGTGGATGCTAGTGTTTTCCCATTGATACCCCGGGGGAATATCCAGGCGACTGTTTTTGCGGTTGCTGAGAAGGCGGCGGATATCATTAAAGGGGACATTTAAATGTCATGCTAGTGATGATTATTTCTGTTTAATCATGAATTTCAAGGACTGCTAAGCAGTTTTGGACTTTGGACACGTATACTTTAGTCCATATACGTATATAGATATTGATAGAGCACAAAACGTAGATAGTCATTCCTCATCAATAGAAACAAAAGATCTAGAAGCGATTAAACTTCACATCCGCCGTATGAACATCCATCTCACTAACAGGACTATTCTCAAGCTCAACAGTCCGGTAATCACCCGGAAGCTCGACAACCTTCGACCCGGGCACAGGACGACCTCTTGAAGATGGCGGCATCTTCTCAGAATTGCCAGTGCCCATCGCAAACTCATGCGGAGGGACTGCAGATTGCATATCTGCCAGTGTCGGCTTATAGGGACCTTTAGGCGCAGGCGACTCTGGCGTAGCATTCTTGCGATTCATTCGACCGATGAAAAAGAGTAAACCTCCTATTAATAGGATTGCTGCGACGACCCCGATGGCAATTCCCGCGATGGCTCCGCTGGATAGTGAGGAGGTAGATGAGCCAGCGGAAGTACCTGCAGCTGAGGTACCTGTTGTCAATGATGTTGATGTAGAAGATAGGGAGGCTGAGGTGAATATTGTCTGCGTAGGAGCCGGTGATATTGAGGCCGAGGCAGCGTCATCGTTTGTGAAGATTTGGATGCCGTGGAAGTTGTTTGAGGAGTTCTTCTTCCACGCCGGACAAGATATTCCGCCGCGGTTCATGCATGTGTCATCGTAGTAGATTGAGATGCACAGATTCGAGTTCTCCGGGTCCCATGAGAATTCCTTTCCCTTCGCGAGGTCGATTGCTGTACAATTTTGTGTACCGGTTTGGTGGAAGATTGTGGCATTATCGGTGGCGTTGGTGTAGAGGAACGTCCATGCGTTCGCCAGCGGAATGAAGGGGAGGATGTAGAGTGATGGATTCACCATGTTGCTGGGCTGTATTGTATGTGATGCCTTAATTCATGTGATAGACTAGAAGTTGTGTGTATCTGCCGTCAGATAGAGAATGTAGCCGTGGATGGGTGGCGTCGCAAATATATATGCCCTGCAGGACCACAGGGTATCATCGCGCCGAGGAGCATTAACTCGTATTCAGCTGAGCCTCTCTCAGGAATGACGGTTCATCGGGCTTGTTGGGGGCCAGTCAGGGCTTCGTGTTGTTGGAACTAGGGGTGGCCATTGGTTGATCACTGCCGCGGCGGGTCAAGGATCGACGAGCTATTTCGCCCGTTATGAAAAACTTCATTCTTTGCGTTGAGGGGATAGCGTTTGCCTGAATTGGTTAGGAAATGCATTGCTTAATATAGTTGGCCAATGAGGAATTGTCTCTTTCAATATCCATCAGAGGCCGAGATGTGAATATCTCATGTGGAACATGTTTCCAGTTGATTGGTGTACTTGATTGGCTCGGTCCATGCCGAAAGCAAGGTTGAGGATTGCGACCAGGTAAAAACGTCGGAATCTTACTCTTTTGAATTTTGCCGTAGGAAAGCACCGTGTCTTCTCTTTTTTTTTTTTTTTTTTTTTTTTTCTGAAAGGCTTTGCGGCCAACGAGATTGACCAGTAACTACATCGCGGAAGGGCGTGGTTGTGATTGGCGAATAGTTGAAATACGAGGTAGGATTCCATTTTTAGATATGCAGCCCCCGCGCCCCCGGAGCTTGGCTCTTCAGACCCTGCAGCTCCGTGCGACCCTGGTAGGGTATATATCTGCGAGCCAAGGTGCCACCATGACTGCAATCGGAGGAGCCCGTCCAGCGAGACTGCTGAGATGTGCGAACTATCGGGGCGAAGAGGATGAGATGCCACGAGAGAGGCTGCAAGAAACTCTTTATTGCGCGGTTTGACGAGCGTGTGTGGAATCAAGCGGAACGACAAGCGATATATCGTCAAGAGGATGATGCCAAACGTGTCGACAGACTATGTGGTTCATGGAATACCCAGGTGTGATTTGTGCTGCTCTCTCCTGTCCTCCGCCACATATAGAGCCTTCGGTATTCCCCGTGGACCCTACACTGTTTGAGCCACCCGGTCGGATGTCGTACTGAAGCATAGACAAGTGGAGTACCCTAGGGTATAATCGAAGTGGATATTTGTGGATGTGACCAGTGGTAGTAAATTAGGCATTGCGCAGTGCTCGTGTTGTTATTCGGGGATATGGGTGGATCAACAAGTTGTATATATTCCTGACAGGATTCCAATGTTCGAGCGGGCAATGAGGGCCTGTGCAACACCGAAATATGACCCTTGCTGCTATCTCCTATCCTCATCCAGGTATAGAGTGTTCGGCATCCCGCCTTAAGCTCGTGAGCCGTGCAGTCGGATGGCGTATTGGAGGAGGGCAGATAAGAAATGCACGATGAATAGACCGAGTGATAGTCAAGTCCGCACGTTGGAGATTGCGAATGCAGTCCAGAGACGTTTTCAAGACAGCAGGAAGTGTATATTGACAAGTATCCGCCGGTGGGAAGTACTCTAAGGTAGGATTGTGGGAAAGTAAACCCAAGAGTATCATGGGATGGAGTAGAACGTCTGTGCGAACGAGTCTAACCGGCTTGTCAAGGCATGGAATCGGGACTGGGGATGTTGGCGGAGACTCAAAAGTGTAAAGGTGTCGAATTCGCGCTGTTGGAAGGTGGACGCAAAAATATTTTCAGAGTAGAAAAATGTGTTGGTAGTAATCCAAAATTGGGGAGAGACGTTCTAAGGGCTCCCTTACATTTGAAAAAAAGTTGGATCCTTTCGCCAAAAGCCCCGGTGGTCGAGCTGGCAACTCCGCCACTGGATACGGAGGCAGACCCTAGCCAGGACTGCATACTGTCTGCGTCCTCTATTGCGGCCTGGTAGCTGGATGTAACGGGGATGCGGCATAGGTGGGACGGGCGGCGTGATCTGTAGGTTCTAGAGGCTGGTGGGTGGGAGAACTTTGCAGATCCGGGACAGTGCCCACGCCCTTCTTTTTTTCTTTTGATCTATGACCTTTTTTTAAGTCATTGACTCGAATGTTATAGAGATATTTGGTGCTGAAACTGGTGATGCTAAAGAGCATGCAATGACCGTACCTGAATGCACTTTGCCTGATCGGACGACAGCAAGGGTTCGATTCCGGGCAATGGCGAAATGTTCTTTTTGGCCTGGGTTACGCAAGTCCCTTTTGATCGATGTAGAAGCAGCAAAACAGGTGGAAAATTATGCTGAATCAATGTGAGAGATGATGTTCCATGATATCTGATATCTCGGTGATGATTGATACTCTTGCATGATAGGCGAGGGTGTTGTTTTTGCTCGCCCGCGGGGACATGAGATGGAGCTGGCGTAAGCAACACTCTCAAAGACTGACGGTAAGAATAAGACTACTTCCTTACGAGATTTCAGGCTCGGGTAAACTGGGTTCATACCAGGTATTATTTGGATCTAAAAGGACAGCTCTTCGTACCTCGGTCCGATTCTATAAAGCAACATCTCCACCACGAAGAGCGCAAAAATAAGCAGACAGTCGGGAAAGATAGTCAAGCTCAGCTTGGTAAGTAGTGACATTGTGTGGTACTCGTTGGACCAGGGAAGTGGTCGCACGGTTCAGGCTCATGTTGTTCCATGGGCCGTGGGAGGTCTGAAGCAGACCTTGCCCAGCTTCTCAAATGGCCCATTGACTCAGTATATTGACTCAGTATATTCTCCACAGGCGAGCGAGACCGATGAGTTTCATGTATCTTCAGTAATTATGGAAGTGTATATCACGGCGGTTCGCTGTGGGGAAGCTGTCGACGGAGTGGGGCGGATCCAGCTCTTGTTGTCTAGTATGGATTCCCGTCGCGGTAAGGAAGACAACCATGGATTTTGGCGAACTAGAGTAATTTGATGGTTATTGATTCGCTGAGCGTGGTGGGGAAGCTTCCCTGGTAGTCGAGGAACAGGGACTGGCGACAGGGCCCAAGGTTGAGTCTCGTCGTCGACGTGATGCGGTCCGTTGGCTGCCGGAAGACGAAAGAGGAAGAGAAGGGAGAGAGGGTGAGCCTGTAGACTCTACCTGATACCCCTCTCAGAGTGCGCTGCCTGGTTCACGTTAGTCTGGTTAGTTGGTTGTCGACGGCAGAAGTTGCCCACCACCGCCGCACTTTCCTCGTACGACGCTGCCGCGCCTCAGGCACCGCAGCTCCTACACGGCCCAGAACTAAAAGGTCTGCCATCATCTTCTCATCATTTTCTCTTCCACAACCTCGTCCAGCCGTCTCTACTTTTCCCAGTCTCCGTTGCATATCGACCGCAGTACGATCATCCAGTGACGAGACGTCGTTAACACATCGCAGTATCACCGACGAGTCCCTCAATCCGACGCTCCCTGAACCTCTTTCACTCCACAAACACCAAAGCAAACACGTATGCGTCCACTGTCTTTCATGGGAAGCCGTTGCAAGGCCTGATGTTTGATCAACTGAGGCTGACCAGGGACACTAGATCGGCATCGCTCACCAGCCGACCATCATGCCGGCCATCGACCTTATTGAGCGTGATGGAGTGTCCACTCTCAAAAACGGAGTATCCTCTCTGCGCCTCTTTATCAAGAGAGGCAACTGGGCCGACAAGAACCGAGGCGTCATCCTGGTGTTTGTCATAGTCTTCATCGTCGCGGTAGGCATCATCTCGCTCTTTGGCTATCGATACTGGATCAGGAAGAAGGCGGAGAAGGAGTCATATGAAGCAACTGACTGATTGGATCAATGTATTTATGGTGAGAGTGCTGGGTTTTGTTTGTTGATTGAATCCGGAAAGGGGGTGTCGCGAGCCAGGTCCCCTGGCCACTGACAATCAACCTTTTCCGCGCTGACACTGGCTTCACTCCACATAAAGAACGCTTCTGATAAGTACCTGCAGCCCGTTGCTTTTTTTCTTTGTTATTTTAATACCCATTACCGCGATAATCGGGGAATGTGATACGGAATATTGCTGGACCGCGGCATGGTGGGACGGGAGGATAGCTGTGCTATGGGTCAAGGCGAGTGCTAGGGGCATATTTTTTTTTCTTTATAAGTTCTGCGGACAAGAATACTGAGCAATATTGTTTTTTCTTCACACAAGGGGTACTTTTTCTGCGATCTGGAGCCTCATTCAAAGCTGCTCCCCTCCTGGGAATGCTTACCATAGACCTGTTTTGCGAATGGTTGGTTTTCTTTCCATCAATAAGAAATACTTAGCGCCTTGTGGCACTTCAGATAGGCGATTGAAAATCTCGAGAGGGCCGTTCCGCGTTTTTGGACACTGAAGAAAAGTGTGCAGGCCAGTGGAAATCACTTCCGTGCGCCAGTGACTCCTCAATAGGTCCTTTCCGACTTCCCGCCGAACTTGCCATTGACATCTCTCATCCAGGCCTCATCCAACAGATAGCCCCTCTCATCGTCTACTCTACTGCGCACAGCACCTAGAATGCCACTACGAGCCAGGTCTCATGATGGTGGCAAGATTGTGATGTGGATGACCGAACATTATGTAACCCCTTTAGGAGGTGGGTCAGTATCTGACTAGAGTATGACAGTGATCCCGCGGCCCTCAAACGCCTCTCTCTTTCACGACACCGGGGACTCTGTCGGTGGCGGAGGAGGTGAATCTTCCCACGACGCCTCTCGCTCTTTGAAGTACATGTCATCCAACTTGGCTAGAAACTTATCCAGCTCGATCTCATCAACCTCGCCGCGCTTCATCGAGTTCGCGAAGTTGGGGTACTGGCTGCTGAAGTGCCTGCGCTCCTCGGCACGCCAGTGCTTGATCTCTAACTCATCAATCAGCGCATTGGTCTCAGGTGGAAAGGTAACATCCAGCTGTTTGGCTGTCACCTGAAACAGCCGCATCATGCCCTTCCCCAGCGACCAGCGGTGGGAAAGGGCTTTCGCGGCGTAACCCAGACTGATTATCGACGCGTGGTTCTCTTCATCTTCTAGATACGGCAATAGGGTGAACATCGACACGGTGACCCACTGGATGTTGACGGGTGGCTTTCGGTTTAAAGACCACAACTCGGAGATCAACAGGTGAGCCGTCTCAAGTGCATTCGACACACAGCATCCGCCGCGGGTCTCGTTCTCCCAGTCTGGGTCGATATCTGCATCTTCGTTTTTGTGTAAGTCCTTGAGAACCCCAAAGATGGTTTGGACGATGGTATGATATTTGAGTACTCGAGGCCTCGATCTTCGGTAAACATGCCTAGGACGTTTCGAGGTTTCCTAAGCTTTGCGAGAACCGAGACGAGCCCCACTTTCCACGGCTTCTCCGCCATCTACCAAGCGTACGTAGGGTAGATGTAGATGTAGGTGCCAACACAGGCAACGAGAGTGTCATAGGCATGACATCGTGCAGGATGGACTCTGAGTTGATTCTTCTCCACGCGCTCAGTCAAGCTGACCAGGTGATGAAAAAAGTGCCTAAACCGGAGGTAGTGTAAGTCCAGCCGACACAGTGCCGTGGGTGTGTGCAAAGCACAGTCAACCACAACGAATTTCAAAAAATAAAACCAACTTTCGTTGGTGCGTTATCGACCAGCGGAGGTGCAATGCCGCGACAACTGTTCGAGGCGTGGAGTCTCCGTTGCGAAGTCGTGAAACAGGCGAACCCATTTGCGAGCTCCGTGTCAGCGAGAGTTGGCCCAGGCCTCAGGTAAAGCGATGCCCGCAGGCTCACCGTACCCGTTCCAAAAATTTCAGTCGGGAGCACGCGATACTTGGCTTCCATAGGACACGCCCTACTCTTATTAGGGGTACTTCACTTCTAACCCCTCGGAAGTTCATGATGCAAGCCCAGTCAGGCTGTAACTCAGACCCATCATCAGGCAAGCCAGATAGCTCCTCATCGAGGTCCCCAAGCTGCATATCTCCTTGGCGGGGAGGTACAGTTCAACAAATATTCCAGCCAGCGACGCAGACAGTGACTCGGCCGGATGTCCTCTGCGCCATATGCCGGCGGTTGTTGCATTGCCAAACGGTGGAGGCCCAGTGGGATCTCTGGGTAACGATCGGTTCTCGCGATTTCACAGACGCAGTTCACTTCGCACTTGCAAGCAGGGGTGCTACTCCACTTTCCAATCTCCCCTCGTAAGGCTTGGGCGCGTGCATCATCCGGTCGACCCATGAACTCTGCACTGTGTAGCACCGTCCACGACCCGCGCCACCAGGAAGGGAATGTCTCTTTCATTGTGTCTGAGTTCGATGACCCTCCATAGCTTCGCTTCGCACGAGTACGTACCGGCAGCGAGGTTTCCCAAACACTGCTTTCAGGGGTGAGATGCTAGGCCGGTTGAGTCAACAGGAATATTTGGGGAAAAAAAGGGAAGAGGAAGTGGGCGCGCTGCGATATTTATACAATGGGGCAGTGGGTCCGTGCGCTGGTTCTCGATTCACTTGCTGGACATTCTGCCACCATCACCGCCTTCGTTTCTCAAGCCCAGCTGGAGTATACCTTTGCAACTCCCCAAGGTGGGGGAAAAGGAGGGGATATCGAGCAGTGTCGAGAGCCGTAGTATAGGAATAAATGAGACAGGATGCAGATTGATGATTATTTGCATTGATATCATATCATTATTTACGTATTACGAGGCCGAGAACTATACAGACCCCACCAAGGAAGCGTTCTACGAGGCCTTGCCCACAACAGGTTCGTCCTGCACGACTTTCTCATGTTGAATCGCGACTCGCTCCTGCGAAGCCGACCCGAACGAGCCATACGCCTCCGACTCAGCACGCTCCTCGTCTGGCCGCCAGAAATCCTTCTTGCCATGCGCAGCACGTTTCACCCACGGAGGGAAGAACCCACCGGGAACCTTCCACGACCACGGATCCGACTCGTCCTTGTTCGGCGGCACGATTCGGCCTCCGGTGACCTTTTCGATGATCCACGCCCCGCCGTTGAGAGTGATATAGCTCAGAATACCGGCAATCAAGCCGTACGCGATACTATACGTGAAGGGCATTATGGCGATGGTCAGGAAGGCGGGGATGGCGTCGCCATAGTACCGCCAGTTGATGTCGGCGGCGGCCTTCGCCATGAGAGCGCCCACGATCACCAGCGTGCAACCGGTGGCCCAGGGCGGGATCGAGGCGAAGATCGGGGCGAAGAAGACGGAGATGAAGAAGGCGATGCCTGTCATGCAGGATGTCAGGCCTGTCTTTCCGCCCTCTGAGATTCCGGCGCCCGATTCGACGAAGGCTGTTACTGGGGGACTGCCGAAGAGGGAGCCAATCGAGATCGAGATTGCGTCGACCATCTGGGGATATTAGTTGTGATCAACGGGGGATACGTTGAGTCTACTCACGTAAGCCATGGCGCTTCCTTCGAAGTCCTGCGTCTTCTCGTCGATTGTTCCCGCGAAGCGGGCCATGGAGTACATGGTTCCTGTGGTGTCGAGGATATCGACATACTAAGACTGTGTTAACAAATGACTCCAGGTTGGCGATGGGGTTGAACAAACCAGGAAAGTGATAAAGGCCAATCCGAACTGACCACCATGACCAGAGATATCCCACTCCTGCGCAAGCAGGGTTCGGGAAATAGGGTGGAAGGTCACGACCTTTTTGAAGAAGTCGAACATGCTGGTCCCAAGCTCAGTGTAGGGGAAATATGTCACAGGCGTGGTACGAGGCCAAGAGATGATCGAGACCAGCAAGATGCCAGCAATGACAGCACCCTTGATGCGATACATCATGAGCATAGCCGTGAAAATACCACCGCAGAAAATACCAACCCACATGGTTGGATTGCGCATCTTCGAACTGCTCTTGCACAGCCCGTCCGTCATATACTCGTCGGAGTTAATACAACCCGCCAATTCAATGGGGGTATCCGAAGCACCTTGCACCAACCCAATACCCGCACTATACGTCAACCCAATGAGCGCAAGGTACAGTCCAATACCCACGCCAGTGGCAAGCTTAATGGACGCAGGTAACGCACGCGCAAGCCACTGCCGCATACCGAGGAGTGTCAACCCGAAGAATACCCAGCCCTCGACGAAGACCGCCGTCAGCGCGACCGAGTACGGAATCAGGCCGTTCCCATGATACCCGACGACGGTGTAGGCGAAGTACGCGTTCAGGCCCATACCCGGTGCAAGCGCAATGGGCAGATTGGCGAAGAAACCCATGCAGAAGGTGGAGAGCGCGGCGATGGCTGCAGTTGCCGTGACGATGTCGCGCTTGATCTCTTGCACGCAGAGCAGGTACTCGGAATTAGTGGCACAGAAGTCATCCATGCTCTCGGGTGGGCAGACGCAGGTACCGCCGGTCTCGGACGTGATATTGCTATTCACGGAGATGATGTACGCCATGGCGAAGAAGGTTGCCAGGCCAGCGCGCAGCTCGGTGAAGAAGTAGCTGCCCTTTCGCTCGCGGGGCTATATGGACAGAACATCAGCTCGCCACTTTTCGTTATTGTGCTACAGAGCTCGTCGCAATAACTAAAGCTGAGCTCACACGAGCTTTGAGTCTGTACTAAGGGTACTCACATGGCCAGAGCCCTCCAGACGAAACCATCTCCCCACGGGGCCGCGCGCAACCCGCACGTTCGTCTCGTGGATCCAAGCGTTGACACCCATGCTGAAGTCGGGTCTATGCAAGCAGCAGGTATAGACAGCCGCGTCGGTTTGCGACAGCTTCTAAGGGTGTTTACGCCAGGGAGGAGGCACAGGACCAGGAAATAAAAAGATAAAAAAGTCAGCCTCCGCCAACCGGATTCGGCTGATAAGGCCTGACAGGAAAAAAATTCGCCATCGTTCACTATCTCCGCCTCCGTAACTTGGCGCCTTGGCTTACGCCGGTTGGCCGAACCTGGCGCGCGTTGCCGACAGGGTCCATTCCCATGGGACCTCGGCAACCCCGGTGGGCCGCGAAAATTTTGACAGCAGGTATACAGTTGCGCTGCATTCAGGTTATATATTCGAGTGAATACTTGAGAAAAAGAGGTTTCTTTCTGTGACTAGGATAAATGATTAATGTCATGGGAGAATGGCAGAGTCCAACCACGCGATGAAACGCCAAGAGTGCTCGGGCGTCTTGGCGGCATGGCTTCCCTTCCAGAAGCCGTGCATATCTGCGAGTACTTCCACCAAGCATAGCAAGGGAAGCACGGCGTCAGCATCGGGTCAGTAGCTCTATCTACCCGCTGCTGGACTATCTGGACATCGTTCTATATTCCCCAGGATAAAAGACCCTGGGGCCGAAGGGACTCGGCGGATCCCGAGGATGCCGAGCCTGATCTATCTATGTCTCTCTCACTCGATGGAAGATCCGAATTTGTTCGGTGGATTTACCGATAGCTCCAGAATTTTGCAATGGTAATTGTGATACAGTCTATTTGGTAGATATACTGAAATCGATAGCCCTTCGCAAACAACACTGCACGTGATCTATACAGACGCGCGAGGCTCCTTCTCCGCAGCTGCAGTCTCACTCGGCCCGAATGTGGGTGCAAACTTCGACTTCTTCCTCAGAGCTGGGCCCCACTTGATGAACGCCAGCGGAATCGGTACCATGATGAGAGCCAAACATCCAAGGAGCGTCCCAGCCCACTGCACCCCCAAGTTTTGGAACATCTGCTTCGAGAAAAGAGGGAACGCAGCTCCGACTGCAGATCGAATGATCGTGTTTGCGGCAAACACAGATGCGGCGCTATCAAGCGGTGTCAGTAGGTCTTTGTAGATCATGTTGCAGGGGATCACTCACAATGTCAGGTACGAGTCAATCAAATAGTTAAAACACTGCAGGAAGATCACATAGATCCCGAATCCTGTAATGACTCCACTCGCTGTCGGTGCCATCCAGTGAATCGACTTGGTCCAACCGGTCCAGCCGAACCAGAACAGTCCGACGGTGAAGCATACGCCACCAAGGATGGAAGGTGGAAGCCTCCACTCGGGAATGGGGATGTTGTTGTTGTCGGCTAGCTTTTTCGTGTATGCTTTCTGGTCGTAGAGAATGTAGACACCGGCGAGAAGCTCGCCGATGATCAGGCCGATGAATGGGAGACTGCCGACGCCGAGGTTCATGCGGTGGATTCCTTGGAATACGACTGGGTATGCACCCAGTAGTGCGTACATCAGTCCGTAGACGAAACTCATCCACAGTGAGATCTGGCAGACATTTAGTAAAGGCTAGCAAGTTGAATAACGTGGGACAACTTACCAAAAAGACAATCGGCTCAGTAAATAACATCCGAAACGGCCTACTAAAATTATTCGTAATGAGCTCACCCCAATCAAGCTCAACCTCCTCCTGCCTCGCGCGAATCCCCCAATTATGGGTCTGTCGCCGTAGCGTCTTAGCCTTCTCAACCAGGATCGCCGGCGCATACGTCTCCTTGAGAAACAGCAGACACAACCCCAGTGCCAAAAACCCCATAATGCAGGAGATGTACATAGTCCACCTCCACCCAAGATGCGACATCGTAATAAAGCCACCGGTAAAAGGCGACGCAAACGGACCCACAAACACCGCCATTGCGAACATGGCAATCGCCACGCCGCGTGTGGCATTATCCCAAATATCCGCGAACACGGCAGGGACAATGGCGATTGGACTGGCGGAGAAGAACCCCGCGAAGAAGCGGGTTAGCATCAAGGTCTGCACGTCTTTCGATGTAGCTGTCGCAACGGTGAAGAGCGAGTAACCGAACATCCCCAGTAGTATGGGCAGTCTTCTTCCGATAAGCTCACTCATCGGGGCCCATAATGTCGGTCCAGACGCAAAACCCAGAACATACAGCGTGACGCCGAGAATCGCAACCTCCGTACTAACATGGAAGTACGGTGCGATCTCGGTAACAGCCGAGGAGTAAATGGCACTCGCGAAGGAAGAAACAAAGGTCGTATACGCCAATGTCGCGGAGATTGCCACCCTTCGACCGAGCGACCAGTTCTGCGGATGTATGGGATCGTCGGAGCCCGTGAATTCCACCACGAATTGTTCCGGGTCTGGCAGGCCGGGCGGATAGGGCTTGCCGGCGCCCATTGGGAGCCATTCGGTAGGGGGGACGGCTGGGCCGGAGCCGACGGTCGAGCGATGTTGGAGTCGGTAGGTGTTGATGCGTTCGAGCTCGACGTTGTTCAGGTTTGTTGGGCGGCGGGAGAGAGTGTTGGTGCGGACGGCTTCGTAGATTGAGGAGCGCCCATCGCGATTTGTTGGGACTGTGGCTAGATTGTCGCTTTCGCTGGAGCTGCCTGTAGGCTGTCCTGGCGAGGTGCTTTCGCGGAGGGATGTTGAGCCGGTGGGCTCCATAGTGTGAGTACGTCTACCAGCTGCTACTAATAGATGTAGTATAAGGGTGATGCTCCTCGTCTTTTGGTTTTGCGGCCGTTTTGAGATTCAGAATAGCAAAGAATTGCGTTTATTTTGCGAAATGATGTGATTGAATATCGGGTTCCTGGCCAGACCTTATATGAACCCCCGGCTGTCTACGGCGTCATCGAGTGCTGTCTCGTCCCCGGTTGATCCGACCTGCCGCCCAAACCGTTGCAACGCTTTGGGAACCGTCCTTGGTACAACGTACTTATAATTTAACCCGTTTCAATGGAAGAATAAATTCTGTAGGGCAAAATTTATGAGTATACCGGATACACGCCCTAGGGATTGTGCTGGCTGGTCACAAAACACCAACAATGCGTATTGATCTAGGATCGCCGCTAGACACCCCGCGACGTCATCTAATGAATGTTCGGCCCGGCAATCGGTAGATGCAGGCCATCCACCCAGGATTGATCCCACACACGAATGCGCTAAGGTCTGACGGGCCTGGGTGAGAGCTTCTATGCTTGGGGTATTTTCCAGCATAAATTCAGCAGCCCCAAGCCCCAGTCTAGTCGTCCACTGCGACAACGATCCAATCAGGACCTCTGGAACAGGGCAGCCCCTAGTATACTACTGAGTGCTGAAGTCGCTCTGGAACTTGTTTTGACCCGCCACACGACTGCCACCATTGGCAAAAGGGGTCCGATCTCTCAGTAGCCGGACACAGAAAAGAACGGCCCCCAACTCGGCCGCAAGCGCAACCCCTCTTCCATTGTAGAAAGATGGCGCGAGCCGACGGAGCTGAAGTCGCCTAAAATTCCCATTTTGCTAAAAGACGTGCCGAGGCATCAACATTTGTCTGACATTTTTCAGCTTGCCTGTCTTCAGCAGCGACAGTTTGCGAGCAACGGGGATGTATAAAACTGCATAGTTCTCACTCAATACCCCACAGCCAACTTCCCCAGCTTTCTTGCTTGCCGGCAACCCCTGCGAATCTCACCGACTGCACCCATATTCCCCATCTATCTGCAGGTACTACCAGGACACCGGCATCAGTATGACAGACCCGCACGGCTACTGCGACCCCGCCTTCAACTCAGTCCGCGAGCTCTTCCAGCAGAAACTGATCAACGGCGATGAACTCGGCGCCTCCCTCTGCGTAAACATCGACGGGAAAAACGTCCTCGACATCTGGGGCGGCTACGCCGACGCAGCACAAACAACGCCCTGGGAAACCAACACCATAACCCCCGTCTGGTCCTGCTCAAAGATCGTCACGAACCTCGCAGCCCTCATCCTCATCGACCGCGGCCAGCTCGACGTCAACGAGAACGTAGCCACCTACTGGCCCGAATTTGGCGCAAATGGCAAAGAAAACGTCAAGGTTTCCCATATCCTGAGCCACTCCTCCGGCGTGTCGGGCTGGGAACCGTCGTACAAAATCACTTGGGACGAGATCTACAACGTGAAGGCTGCGAACGCGAAGCTTGCGTCTCAAGAGCCCTGGCATGTGCCTGGTGAATTGAGTGCGTACCATCTTATCAATCAGGGCCATCTGGTCGGCGAACTTGTCGAGCGCGTTAGCGGGAAATCGCTTCGCCAGTTCATCGCTGATGAAATCGCCACTCCCCTGGCCGCTGATTTCGACCTGGGAAGACCGGAGAGCGAGCGCTCTCGCTTCGCACCGGTGATTCCGCCCCCGCCTCCCTCCGCCGCCGCAGCCTCGGCCTTCGCACAGATGGATCCAAACAGTATCGGGGGGAAGACGATCCTCGGTGCACCCTTTGTCGGTGCCGCTGAGAAGTCTAATGAACCAGATTTCTGGAAAGCGGCCATGGGCGGCGTGGGCGGTATCTCGAACGCGAGGGCCCTGGCTCGAATTGGCTCAATCATTTCGCGGAATGGCACTGTTGATGGGAAGCAGTATCTTTCCCCTGAGACGATTGAGAGAGCGTTGCAGGAGCAGGTCTCCGGCGTCGATGCTGTGCTGTTTATGTATCTTCGCTTTGGGCTGGGAGTTGCGCTGCCTGCGCCGCAGAGTCTGCCTTGGATTCCTGAGGGTCGGCTGTGCTTTTGGGGTGGCTGGGGTGGTTCGTTTGTTATTATGGATCTTGAGAGAAGGATGACGATTGCTTATTCTATGAATAAGATGCAGAATGTTTCGCTTGGGAATGAGTGCACTATTGCTTATGTGGAGGATATTTACAAGGTTGTGAACTCTCTTCCTAAGCTTTAGATGCTGCGGAGAGATGCACCAGAGTCATAGCACCCTATCAAACAGAATATATGTTCTAGGGGTAGCTGTAGCGCAGGTATTCAAGGTCAATTCACAATCAGATACATCATATACATTGTACTCCCAAAGTTTTGAAGTATCGGAAACCCGAAGCTATACAGATTTGAAAATGAGTCATGCCATCCAGACAGGTGAGCTAAGAAGACTTTTTGGTCTTAGTAACCTGCTGCTGCCGACCAGTCTCACTAAACACAAGCTCATCTCTCTCCCACATCAACTCAACAGCCGCTCCAGTAGGCCCAGTCAGAGCAGTCAACAGTCCAACCTTAACCAACAAGTTCGGCCAGGCAACGGTCGAGAGAATCTGCTTGTGCGCCACGACATACATGGACAAAGCCCAGATAAGCACGCCAGCAGACCCAATAATATAGTCCCAGCGCAAGAACGCATGGACACCCTGGGGTACCGTCTCAACCTTGAGACCAGACCACGGGATCGGGACTTCAAACACCTTGCTCGGATGCAGCGACTCGAGGAAGCGCTCCTGGAACAAAACGGGGACTTGGACGGTAGCCAGCGACACGATCCACGAAACAAGGTGGGAAGCCGAGGCATTCGTGAATGCAAAGGCGTAGACCCAGCGTAGACTGGACATCGAGGCCCGGTGGTTGTTTGAGAAGAATGGCGATAGAATGTAGTAGGACACCGTGCTCAGGATGGAGACGTAGGCGGGCCACGGCTGCCAGATTGCAATGGCGATCTGCTTCCAGTCGACAGAGATCACGTCTGGAGCCGGGAGGACCATCGCGTGGCTGGGGATCATAAATCCGATCAGGAAAATAACCGGTAGACTGGCGAGGACGGCCCGCGGAACGCGAATGTTATCCGCCTGGGGTCGGCGCGCCGTGATGGAGCAGCCCATCTGCAGAGCCAGGAAGAGGGGGGTTGCGAACGCAAAGGTGAAGACTTGCGCTGCGAGACCGAATAGCATGGGGCTATTTGGAACGTGACTGTTAGTTCTCAATTTGGTTATTGTTTGCAGATGAAGCAACCTACTAAGCAGCCACTGTGCCGGCATTGCCCTTCCGCCAGGACTCCAGCACCACAAGTGTCCACGCCGCACCGAATGTACCCGAAAATCCAATACTGTGAAGCAGAAGACCGGGACTCTGCCCGTCCATCGCGGGGTAGAAGAATGTCGTCAAGAGCGCCAGGAGACGATCAATTGGTTCGACGCCGGTGTAGAGTGTGCGCAAGGGCTCATCGGTACCGGGCAACTTGCCCGCTCCAACAGCCTTGTGTCCCAGCTCATGGAGCCCATTGACGTAGGAGAAGTAGAAGATGGCGTAGAAGACGAACGCACTCAGCGAAAATAGAACATATCTCATGGCGGCGGTGATCTATGCGTAAGGACGCGGGAATCCGTTTTGACACTTGGTGTGAGATCCGGGGAGTCCGCCGTTGTTTATAGCTCGTAGCGACTCGGAGCTGCTCCTGCGGAATCAGATGGTGGAGCATGCGTGTAGGCCGAGGCTGACCTTTTCCCAGGGTTGCCGTGGGGCGGATCCGAACTTCTCCAGACTTTTGTCGGGTTGGCGTGTAACCAATCGCGGCCGGCGTCGATCTTTGTCCCTTTCACATGAGCACCGACGTCTCCAGGCGTCGTGCATACCCAGAATGGCTAGCTGATCCCCACTTGTTGGTAAGGTCAGCGGTGTAGCTGTCGGCTTCACTGATCATGGCCCTGTGAATGTGTGATTTGTTATGAGAAATCGTTGCGAGGGTCTCCTGGTCGGACTGAGGTCTTCCATTGCAGCCCCGTGGGGTGGTTGCTAAGTGAACTCAGGAATGTGAAGGCCGAACATCAAAATCGAACTCGCAGAGTCTGTGCACGTGCCCTCCCATGTCAAGGTGCCAAGCTTAAGAGTCTCGCGAGAGTCCACGAGGGTCGGGAGTATGAAGTCAATAAGGGTCACCTTCGACGTGCGCCGGAAACCTTGAAGCTGCAATGTGTATGTGAAGAAATCCACCAGAGCAAACAGTGGTCTGTGTGGCGAAACGCCAAAACCGAGAAGCTATGGGCAAGCAATTTCATGGCATGAGCACTTCATACAGCGTCGCCTTCGTGGCCGATTTTCTTTTCAGTTCGTGTTCTCTGGCTAGCTTTGCGTGGTGTAACCAAACCAAAGGCCATGCGTCGAAGCAGCAAGTTAAGTGACGAGTCACTCGGGTTGTAATTGGACGACGAATAAATGCAACAATTTATCGGCATTTCGTGGCCGAGCTTTAGCCTTTGAATCAACTGTATTTTCCTGTGATTGGCTGATACTACCCGAAATCGAGGGCTCGTCACCACCGGTCTTGCCAGAGCCCCTCGCGGAATATGTATTCCTGCCTCTGGAACTTAACGTGATGGACAACCACACAAAAAGCACGGTCAAGGGGGAATGTCTGGCAAGCTTGATTATGTTGGAGCAGGCTTAGAAATCAATGCGGGGGAAGTCAAGATCTACGCAAGTTTAGTGCGGAATATTAATTGAAGTCATACCCCAATACTCGCCTCGAGGTACAGCTACTTAGTATACATTGTCATCACTGCACTATGACGCAACTCATTCAGTCCAAGTCCATCTACCACGGTCTTCCCGTGTTCCCTGAGGATGTGGAGGGCCTCACCGCGATCGTGACTGGCAGCAATGGTATCTCTGGAACCCATCAGTTGAAAGTGCTGGCCGAATCGCCTCGCCGGTGGAAAAAGATTTATGCTCTGTCGCGCCGACCGCCGTATGGTACGTGGCCCGACCATGTTGAACATGTATCGGTGGATCTCCTGCAGTCGCCGGAGGAGATTGCTCGGCAGCTCAAGGAGCGTGGAGTCCATGCCGACCATGTGTTCTTCTTCGCCTACATACAGCCTGCGCCCAAGGAAGGCGGAGGTATCTGGAGTGATGCGGAGGAGTTGGTGAGAGTCAACAGTAAGTCTTCGAATAATGGGTGTAAGGGTAGGCTATTCTAAGCAGGATATCTAGCACAACTGCTCTCGAACTTTCTAGGAGGCCTGGAGCTGAACAAGACCATCCCTAAGCGAGTGCTACTACAGCTGGGAGCCAAGTACTACGGAATCCATCTAGGTCCTGCGCTATCCCCCCAGGAAGAGTCGGATCCGCGAGTCTTGACCGAGCTTAACTTCTACTATCCGCAGGAAGATCGACTGCAGGAATTTGCACAAAAGCATAGCATCGGCTGGAATAGCACCCGTCCATCGCACATCCTGGGAGCAGTCCCTGACGCCGCGATGAACCTGTGTTACCCATTAACAATCTATGCGACCGTGCAGAAGCGCCTGGGCCAGGCATTGGAATTCCCTGGCGACATAGCCGCCTGGGAGAACCCTGTGTCACTATCCAGCGCTCAGGCCAACGCCTATCTCTCGGAATGGATTGTGCTAACGGACGCTGCCAAAGACGAGAGCTTCAACGCTGCGGACGACTGCGCCTTTTCATGGTGCAAATTCTGGCCCAGGTTCGCAGAGAGGTTCCAGATCCCCTGGAAAGGCCCTGATGACAGCGACCGTGCGGCTTACCGCGTTATCACGGGCCACAGTAAACCGCCTCGTGGATATGGACCGCCGGGCGAACTTCGGTTTCGATTTACTCTGGTTGACTGGGCGAAGCGGCCGGAGGTGCAGAAGGCGTGGAAGGATATCGCGGAGGCACACGGGCTGCGGGAGAAGGTGCTTCGAGACGAGGATCGGGTCTTTGGGTTCGCAGATCAGGCGTTGACGTTGTCATATCCACTTCAGCTCAGGTGAGATCTTCCCTCGGCGCGGGCAGTCTGACAGTCAGAAGTTCTTGACAAAGAACTAACATTGGAATGATTAGCATGACCAAGGCGAAAAAGATGGGTTACTTCGGGTTTGTAGATTCGACGGACTCATTTCTTCAGGTCGTGGAGGACTTCGTTGGGCTGCAAATGGTGCCACCAGTGACGCCGTGAAGGGAAATGGCATGAGGGAGAGCTGCGGCAGCTGCGGCAGCTGCAGGGAGAGCTGTTTCAAGTCTCAGAGTGGGCTGGGGGGTGGTATGATTGGACCGGGCTGTAACGTAGTCGATGATCGAATCCCACAGAATCTGAATTGTCGTCACAAAGCAGCATCTCTCACATTTCAAAAGTGCACTGCAGCTGTAACAAAGTGAAGTGAACGTGCGGGCGGGCGCCCAACCCACGCAAGGAGCATCACCTGACTGCCACCCCATTGTTGTTGACCGCCTGTCAACACAAACTACAAATTTGTTTTCCCCCACTGCATTCAACCCGCCACAACCTGCCAAAACCTGGATTTCCGTTCGAATTCTGGCATTTCGGCTTCGTTACCTCCAGTTTGAATGAGCTTCGACCTTGCTGAACTCTTCTGCTTTCGGGGATAGGCGTATGCCTTCCCATCTTCATCATGATGCTGCGAGATTCCGATATAGATTCCCTCAATAACCACCTCGCAACCTTATCGCAGGAGAACGAGAAACACCACGAGAATTTGCAGGCCGTACTGAAACAGTTTCGTGATCTCCTGGATGACTACAGCTCTCTGAAAAGTGACTACGAAGAAGTTAAGGAAGGCCGCGAAAAGTACAAGAGGCAGGCCCGTGGACAGGTATGATGATGATGATGATGATGATGATGATGATGCTCATGGGCGCCTGATGGCGGCCAAGAACTTGAGGCTAAAATCGCAGCAGGAACGCAATCCCTTCGTGCTGGTTCTCGTCGATGGCGATGGATATCTGGTGAGTTTGATACCTAACAATTTATCAGGGGGGGCATTTTCTCATCATCCACTCTCCAGTTCAAAGAGCACTTTATCAAGGCCGGCAGTGATGGCGGGATTAACGCTGCCGGCGAGCTGAGCGAGACTGTCCGAGAGCTCATGCACACCACTATGGGTGCGGAGGCCGATCGGTGCCGAATTATGGTCCGTGTTTACGCCAACATTCTCGGACTGTCCAAAGTGCTGGCCCGAAATGGAATGGTCGGCCACGAAGCTCGATCCCTGTCGCCATTCGTGTCGGCCTTCAACCGTGCTCAGGATCTTTTCGACTTTGTCGATGCCGCAGAGAAAAAGGAGGGCAGCGACTACAAAATCAGAGGTACCCACCCGCGAATCCCACTCCACTTGTCTTCTACTAGCGTGTCGATTCTAACCCCTCACAGAAATGTTCCGGCTCTATGCGGATATGAACCAATGCCGCCATATCTACTTCGCAGGCTGTCACGACACCGGATATGGTTCTCTGTTGACCCCATATAGGGGCAAAGGCGACCGCATTACTCTCCTTAAAGGCGCTGGATTCCACCGTGAATTTGAAGAGCTGGGATTGCCGATCCGAGAGCTGCCCTCAGTCTTCATGTCTACTCCTCTTACTAGCAACAAGACTGTTCCCTCGGTCAACACCAAGCTAGCCAATTTCCCTACCAATGGCTCGAACGGTACAAATGGCGCCACTGGTACCGTTCCCACTAAGCCAATTTGCAAGCACTTCCAAAAGGTATCTCAGAGGAACCCCCACTTAACCCAACATTTTTTGCCTGTTATAGTATTGACACGTCACAGGGAATCTGCAGGTTCGGAAATAACTGCATCAAGCAACACGTTATGCCCAATCAGCAGCTGCCTAAGCCGGGCGACGAATCACCCAAACAACTGTGGTCTGCTCCACACACCGTGGGTCGCTCTCAGGAGTTCCTTTCTACTGAACTACCCCCTAACAACGGCAAATCGAACGAGTATATCCCCGTTAATGAGAGTGGAGAACGTCTCGATACCTACTGCCCTCAACCCTCCTCGGATGCCCTCGACGAATACCACCGCCGGGCCAAGTCTGCCAAAGTCTGTAACAGCTATCACCTGTCCGGCGAATGTGGCGACATGAGCTGCCCGTATGATCACAGCGAGGTATCCGACGAAATCGTTGAAGTCCTCCGTTACATCGTGCTGCAGCATCCCTGCTCCAAGGCCGGTGCATGCCGATCTATCAAATGCTACTTGGGACATCTATGCCAAAAGCCTAACTGCAAGGGCGTCAAGAGCTGGCAATGTCGCTTCAACCACAGAGCTCACACCCTTGACCTGAAAGTCGCTCAATGGGTTGTGCCTGTGGACACGGAATACGCCGACTTTGATCGCTCCTGTACCAGTGACGATTCTAACGACGGCGGACAATCCCTCGGCGAACCAACCTCCCCGAGCATTATCGAACTCTGAGCTGTTCGCAACCTTTTCCAGGTCCTCGGCTAACTTTACCAGGCATTTGCCTTATTTTACTGACGGTCAACATTAAATCATGACCCGTGAATACCGATGGACGAGCTTGATCCTTTTTATGAGAAAAGATGGAGATACAGACATGCCTAGCGAAGGAGAAAAGAGGATGTCGGAAGAGCGAGTGATTTGAGGTTGATTTTGCATAGCATCTCGGACCGGAAAGCAGGAGTCGAATTTCTCGCAGTACGGTTGTGAGAAGTTTGAAAAAGGGTGGCTTGATTACATTTTAGTACTCAGGTGTCTATCGAGCCTTATGCCCAAGAGTATTTGAACCTGAAATTCCTATCCGGTGGCGCAACGGTAAGAGCTATGAACAACGAAATGATTGAAAAGAGCTCGGAGCGTGCGAGACTTCATTTTGACAGCCCTTACTGGTTTGAGTTGATGCAGTTGACGAAACTTGCGATTTTCGGAGTATGGTAGCACCAAAATGAAGTATCTGCTATCTTGGCTTATCTATTGACTTATTGTAACCATTGCCCATGTGGACCTTTTCTCAGATTCTCGAACACTTCGGCTTTTGCTGAGGTCGCCACGCTGAGATCATGCCGATGCAAGATGCCAGATATCGTAAATGTCTTCACACAGACCTCACCTACTATAAAGGAGCGGTAAAGCGTTAGGATTATTTTTTTTTTTTTTTTTTTTTTGGCAGTATTGCAACAATACAATAGCTGGCTAATCGAATTGGCACTCTGCTGGCGCGGTGGGCTTCGTGAAAATGACACGACCAGCAACATCGGGCACCAAAACATAACATTGGAACTTGAAAAGGCATTGAGTTTCGACCAATGATGACTCGAGTAAAACACTAAAAGGCCGGTCTGGTTCATTAATCAGAAACTAATACTTTCTCGGACATGTCAACGATGATCTGTAACTACGTAATGCCAGTCACGGTCAACATGAGCCACAACCTTCAGTGTGGTTTCAGATTCCTGTCTTGAAATCTTTGGTGGCCCAATTAATCAATTGCCAACACAGCCCTGCAGAAAATATGCAGCCGATTATCCACACGCTCTTCGAGTCCAAATCGGGCACCTGGCAGTACGTCGTCGCCTGCCCCAACACCAAAGAAGCAGCCATCATCGACCCAGTCCTCGACTACGAGCCCGCTGTCTTCACAATCACAAGCCGTACCGCCGACTCCATCATCAACCTTATCGTCGAGAACGATTATACGGTAACCTGGATTCTGGAAACGCACGCACATGCCGATCACCTCGCCGCCGCGTACTACATCCAAAGCGCACTGTGGAAAAAAGGCCAGCCGCACGCCCCGATCTGCATCGGCGAGAATATCACAATCGTCCAGCGGGTTTTCGCTTACAGATACAATGTCCCCGAGGAGGAGCTGGAGCACGCTTTCGATCACCTTTTCCAACCGGATGAGACGTTCCAGATTGGTGATATGATGGTAACGGCCCTGCATTTGCCGGGCCATACGCCGGATCATATGGGGTATCATGTTGGAACCAATATTTTCACTGGAGACTGTCTTTTTAATCCTGATGTTGGAAGTGCGAGGTGTGATTTTCCCGGTGGCGATGCGAGGGTTCTCTATCGGTCGATTAAACGATTGCTTTCGTATCCTCCCGAGACGAAATTGTATACGGGACACGACTACCCGCCGGCGAACGAGGCTGCGGCGAGAGATCCGATTGCATATGTGACTGTGGGCGAGCAGAATGACCATAATAAACATGTGAAGGGTGGAGCGACGGAAGATGATTTTGTTCGTTGGAGGAATGAGCGGGACCATCTGCTTGCTGATCCGCGACTGGTTCCTCAGGCCATGCAAGTCAATGTGCGTGGTGGGAAGATGCCAGGTAGGACTCATGATGGCAAAGCATTGTTGTTATATCCGGTTATTGCGCCTAAGGGAGCATTGTCTGGGATTGTACATCGCTCATTTACGAGTTAGATTACGCCAAAGAAGTGGAATGGCCCAAAAGTATACCATAAAAATGTCGGTTTGGTTGAATATTTCGACCCGTAATTTAGGGTATCAAATGACAAAGTGTGGCGTGGAGCTTCAATTCACAGTGTTGTATGTATTTCAGTGTAAAGCAGGCTTCAGATTGTTTAAATGGATATCGATTATGTTTTGCGATGTATCTCCGTTTTTAAATGACCGGCAGTCGTTAATGACAAATAGACGAGAAGACACAACTGACGTCATCAAATCGATCATTTCTTCATGCAGTTCTGAATCTTGCAGTACGCCTCTTGCACCTCCTCCAGGCAATCCATGAGGCCGAGCCACTTGGTGATGAGAGGATAGTTGTCTAACGACAGACCGGCGAACTTGTACTGCCTCACCCAAGGCTCAAAATGATAGTCCACGGCAGTCACTCGAGCAGGAAGAATACTGTTTCCATCGGATTTCTTCAACTGCTCCTCGAGGACATCGTAGCACCGGTACGTCTGGGCGACATATCTCTGCAGCGCATCGTCATTTTTCTGGGAATGGTAGTGTCTGCAACAGTCAGCCTGGGTTCGACAGTGATAGCGTGGAAATGGTCAAGCATACCTAAACCAATTGACTTGTCCTGTCATCGGACCCAAGGTCGAAAGTAGGAAATACTCCCACTTCTCGAAATCGACCAGGTCTTGTGCTGAGCCTCCAGGCGGACCAATCGAGTTGCCATGGTCGTATACCCGACGAACATAATTCATACATGCGCCCGATTCCCAAGATATAACGCCCGTGTTCGGGTCCTCGAGAGCGGGGACCCGTCCATTCTCATTGATTTTGAGAAATGTGGTTCCCTTCACGCCAGTGTTCGGGTCATCGCTGAAATCCCACGACTTGACAATGAACGGCACGTGGAGCGATTCCAGCGCAATCGCGATCTTGATCGGATTGGGACCTGTGGCGTGGGCGTGTAAGACGAGCGGTTTAATATGTGCGGCCATGATTTCCGATGTTCTGGCCAATGCTCTAGGATTTGGTGCTTGACATGAGAAAGTCGAGAGGCGGGCGGGGAGAGCGAGAGATGCGGAGATGATCGAGACATGATGTCATGGCCTGCTGCGGTCAGGTGAAGCCGTGATGAGTAACACACCTTATTGCATTTAGCCTTTTTTTTTGCTGGGCAGCATCTGTTTGTTTTACGATTTAATTAAATTATTATTGTTGCTTAGCTCGAGTGGAAGGGGAGCGTATGCTGCAGAGTGCGGAGGCGGGGATTTAGCCGATCATTGTGCCAGGGCCGGACTATGGAAATCTTCCCTCAATCAGCTGCGTTGATTCAGAGAGCTCCCCCACAAAACCCCATGTAACAAGCAATGAAAATGCGGGGATCGAGCGTTCTGGTCTTTATGATTCGAGAAAGTGGTGATTTAAAATGTCAACACCTAGCCAAAGCTGGTGTCAAGGGAAGAGCACACTTCTACCGCGTGTTTTGACTGCACATTGCTTTTGCAGATGTCTCCCTCGAGCTCATTAGCAGCTGTTACTTTATGGCTTCCTGGAGTACTTCTACTCTTGGTTCTGCATCTTAACACCGCCCTTGCAACCCTCGTCGGGACAAGCAATGGCTTACAAGACTTGGTGAGTCTACTGTCTCTCCGACAATTAACTCAACCTCTAACCCACCAAAAAAGGTAACATGGGACAAACACTCGATCATCATCCGAGGCGAGCGCCTGATGCTCTTCTCAGGCGAATTCCACCCCTTCCGTCTCCCAGTCCCAGGGCTGTGGCTCGACGTGTTCCAAAAGATCAAAAGCATGGGCTTCAACGGCGTCTCCTTCTACACCGACTGGAATCTCCTCGAGGGCAACCCCGGTCACATTTTCACGGAAGGGATTTGGAGTCTGGAGCGCTTCTTCGAGGCTGCCAGTGAAGCAGGCATATACCTCATCGCCCGACCCGGTCCGTACATCAACGCAGAAGTCACGGCAGGCGGCATTCCCGGTTGGGTCTTACGCATCAACGCAACAATTCGCTGCGATGACCCTGAATACCTCAACGCAACGACGAAGTATATGTCTACCGTGGCAAACGTGATTGAGAGAGCACAGATTACTCATGGCGGCCCAGTCGTCCTGGTGCAGCCGGAAAATGAATATGCTACCTGGCCCGACGTTTCGGAGGCGGATTTCCCGACAACGATGAATCGGGAGTACATGTATCATGTCGAAAAGCAGCTGCTTGACGCTGGGATAACTGTTCCGCTTATTGTGAATGATAACAAAGCGCTGGGATACTGGGCTCCAGGGTCTGGCCTTGGAGCGATGGATATTTATGGAATTGACGCGTATCCCTTGCGTTACGATTGTGAGTTGCGAATCATGCAGTGACGACAGAACAGACTGATGATTGAAATCTATAAAAGGTGGAAATCCAACATTCTGGCCGACGTATCGATTTCCCTACAACTGGCAGGTTCTTCATGAGGAACAGAGCCCGAAGACCCCCTTCGCCATTGCCGAGTTCCAGGGCGGATCTGGAGGAGGCTGGTACAATTGCAACCTTCCCCTTTGCTTTGACCGAGACTTACTTCGAAACAGGGAAGGCGTTGTGGAAGAAAAGTGTGCAGAACTAGTCAATGAAGAAGCTGTTCGCGTCGTTTACAAGAACAACTACGGTTTTGGGGTCAAGATATTCAACATCTACATGGTATATCCATCGCCTACATCACCCTTCATGGGCAGTCTCTCTAATACCCTATCAGACATACGGCGGCACCAACTGGGGCAACCTAGGCTACCAGGGCGGCTATACCTCCTACGACTACGGCGCAGCAATTACAGAGAACAGAGAAATATTCCGCGAAAAGTACAGCGAGCAAAAACTGGAAGCGAACTTCCTAAAAGCATCACCAGCATACCTGACAGCGACACCAGAGCCGGGCATCAACGGTTCCTACGGCGTCCCGGAACCAATCGCGGTAACGCCGCTTCGTGGCAACAGCACGCAAACCAACTTCTACCTGATCCGACATGCCAACTTCAGCTCCCTGTCAAGCACAGAATATACCCTTGAACTTCCGACAAGCATCGGAAACATCACCATACCTCAGCTGGGAGGCAACCTCGTGCTCAATAGGCGAGATTCTAAATTCCACGTCACGGATTACGATCTCGGCGGCGTTAACCTGATCTACACTACCGCAGAGATATTGACACGGGCGCGCGGGACCGGATCAGCACGTGTGCTGATTCTTCATGGTGGATCCGGCGAGACACATGAGTTTGCCTTGCATCGTCGTCTTGGGAATCCGACTGTTGCTGAGGGTTCTGATGTGACTATCACATTGAAAGATGAGGCGTACGTAGTACAATGGCATGTCAAGCCCCAACGCCGTGTCATTCGCGTGTCGAATGTGGAAATATATCTCCTTTGGCGGAATGAAGCGTATGCTTACTGGCCGATGGAACTTGAAGCTGCAGCACCGATTGGTAATTACACGTCGCCATCCAAGGATGTTGCCGTTATCAAGGGTGGATATCTCATTCGTTCCGTTCAGATTACGCACAACGAGATCAGACTCGTGGGAGATGTGAATACCACTACGGAGATCGAAGTTGTCTCCACCCCGACGAAGAACTTGAACAAGATCGTCTTCAATGGGGAAAGTCTGCAGACGTCACGATCAAAGCTGGGAAAACTCACAGCAACCGTCGCATACAAGTACCCAGCGCTGAAAATCCCCGATCTGGTCAACCTAGAATGGAAGTTCATCAATTCCCTACCTGAGATCGATCCCTCATACGACGACTCAGCTTGGACATCCTGCACGAAGCAGAGCACCAACAACCCCCGACAACTAAACACCCCGACAAACATGTATTCCATGGACTACGGGTTTCACACCGGATCCCTCCTTTACCGCGGCCACTTCGTCGCAAATGGCCTGGAGACATCACTGTCCCTAAACGTATCCGGCGGAACCGGTTTCGGACACTCCGTCTGGCTGAATCGTACCTTCCTCGGATCCTGGACCGGCGCAGGCTCAAACACCACCACCGTTCAAGAATTCGCATTCGCAAATCTTACCCTTGATCAGCCGTACGTCCTAACCGTACTGATCGACGATATGGGTCAAGACGAGGAAGCGCCAGGTACAGATGCGATTAAATTTCCCCACGGGATCTTCAATTATGAGCTGTCACACCATCTGAAGTCTGATATATCGTGGAAGATGACTGGAAACCTTGGTGGGGAGCAGTATGCAGATCTAGTTCGGGGCCCACGGAATGAAGGCGCGATGTACGCTGAACGACAGGGGTATCACTACCCGGAGCCACCGGATGCAAGCTGGAAATCATTTAATCCTATCAAGGATGGACTGTCTGAAGCAGGGGTTGGATTTTTCACGACCTCCTTCAGTCTCGATATTCCGCTGGGCTGGGATGTCCCCATGAGCTTTGTGTTCAATCAGTCTTCTGCGGGTACCACGGGATTGAATTATCGATGCCAATTATTTGTTAATGGGTACCAGTTTGGCAAATACAGTAAGTGGTTCATTTATCGATTCATTGGACATAGACTAATATGTTGCAGTCAATAATCTCGGCCCGCAAGTATCCTTCCCCGTGCCTGAGGGTATACTGAACCACAATGGGCTCAACTACATTGCACTGACTCTCTGGGCACAAGATGAGCAAGGCGCAAGGCTGGGTGGGTTGGATCTGGTTCCCTCAGCTGTCATCCGCTCGGGCTACACAAAGCCGGATCCCGCGCCGCAACCTTCTTGGGTTGCACGGGGAGGGGCGTACTAGGGGTATCACAGGGGTGTTGGGGGTTGGAGGGAGGGGAGGGGTTCTTTGGGCAATGAGCTCGGCACCCAATAGGGCATGAACGAATAACAGAACCACATTAATTATGTTCCCGTGGGCAGTTTCCATCACGACAACGAGGTTTTAGTCTCAAACGATGCTTTTAAGGCCGTAAATATCATAAAATTCCATGACCATAACATCAAAGCGAAGCAGCAGCAACAAGCGCATCAAACGCCGAACTATGCGTAGAAGCATCCAGCTTGCCCATCGTAGGCGGACCAGCCCAATTAACCCCAAACTGGCCCTGTTCATTGCGATCACGTTTCCAAATACTCTCGGCCGAGTTGACGATAACAGACTTGTAGAGATCATGCGGCGAGGCCGAGTGCAACATCAGCAGGTTTCGCATGAAGATCCCCTTGAATTGCGTTGCGTCGGGCTCACAGCTGCTCGTCTCACAGAAGTCGTGGATGACGTGGTTGGAGTCGGCGAGGGTCGCGATTGCGGCTTTGGCGATTGTGTTGGCCGATTCAAGGTAGGTGTTGTTCGGAGACGCGTGGTTTAGTTCGACCAGGCCACCGAGGATCACGCCCTGGTTGTAGGACCATCTATACAGGGAGATGTTAGTGGTAGAAACTTGAAGGGAGAAGGATTGGGGGGGGGGGACGTACACTGTCTGTCCGTTGTTCTGGCAGTTGTCCAAGAGTCCGTCGTTGATGGTGTTGTTTTCGCCGAAGAAGCCTTGCGCCGCGAACCAATCCCATTCCTTGCGCGCCCAGCGCACGTAGTCTTCTTTTCTGGATGGGACACGGTTGGCTAGGTGTGCGGCGACGGAGAGGAAGAGTTCGTTCGTGATGGCGTTCACATAGTCACTAGTCGGGTTCCATGGGAGACCGCCGCCGCCGCATCGAGTACCCCACGCCTTGGTCTGGACTTATTAGCAAAAGGGCGTATTTATCACGAAAAAGAAAAAGTATGCATACCAGGGCAGCGAAAATATCCTCCGCCAGGGAGAGGTAAGTGTTATCCTCAGTAACATCGTAAGCCGCAATCCAAGCCAGCGCCCACCACCCATCATCATCATACGCAGAATCAAGCCAATCCGAAACATTCGCCGAGCTCACAGCACGAGGAACAAAATCACGCTTCGCATTCGCCTTGGTCTCCGGACCGGGATGCGGGTTCTGCGGCGGGGCCTTGATCAACGTGTTGTTGAAGACATAGTTGGCCGTCTCCATCACTGATGGATCAATAGATGCCAAATCCGCGATGGCCGTCATGCAATTCGCGCCATTCCACCATCCAATTGTATCCCAAAGCCCGGTGCCATCGTTATACCAGTCCTGCAGCGTGAGCAGGCCTTCTTCGGCGCGGTCGCGTGCTTCGTTGGCGGTTGCGACTGGCAGGAGGGAGATTAATACCGGGGCAAGACGCGTGAACAACATTTTGACGAAGGGGGAATGGGAATGTGCCAGCACAATGACCTACCAGATCCAGAGGAAGAGGAATTGCTTTATATGAGCGCGCGGTGCCTGGACACATCAGCAGCCAAATAAATATACATTCTTCTTTTCTTGTTTTGGACGATGTTATTGGCCCTGCCAGCGCTGGATGTAGGGCAGGCCCACTGATGCGCCGATGCGAACCCCTGATCTGCAGATCGACCTCATCAAGGACGGGGATGCGCAGTGCGCAGAAACATGCTTACTGCGGGAGATGCGGACTGCTCGGATCGGAGGACGGTTGATTTGTGAATTGACGTGATCCGATCAAGGGATGCAGAGTGCGACCTCAATTGCTAGTGCGATGCGCTGAGATGTGCTGGGTTGCTGCTGTGAACATCTCCACGGTCTGATCGAGCCCCTTGCACCGACCCGCTTTATGCAGTGCCTTGCGGAGTGCTCATAATGTCGCGGCATGAGGGCTCGGCGGTTTGAGATCGAGCCCCTGATTCCAGAAGATGTGTGTACCTGTAGAAGAATGGGTAGCCAAATGTGACACCTCTATTTACCGGTCCGTTGTGGATCTCCATCTCTATCAACTCTTCAGGTCAGGCAGCATTGTAGTACTTTTGAATCGATCGGAAACTCCAGAATGATTGGCCAATCCTTAGCGCTCGCGAGGTATGCCTTCGGTGAGTCTTCAAGGGGCCAGCCCAACTCATCAGCTCCGACCAGATCCTCCACCCCGCTGTCACCTTGCCGCTTCGCACCGATGACCTACCTCTACCTACCACTGGGGTAGTAACCCAGACATGCCGGAAAATAGCTTGGTCTGCATGAGACACGCATGTCACAAATCACCACATGTCCATGCGCGAGCAGCCTGACGTCAGACCTGCGATTCTACAGCTGCAGTCGCGAGCGCTAAGTGTCTTACAGCGTGCATAGTACCCAGCGGCTATTGTCCACGTTGAAAAGTAGCTTGTGGAGAACCCCATTCTGTCTTCGAATATTCTCCTTGAGACATGGCATTGTCGATGAATAACTATTTGAGGTCCTGGCGTTATGACTGAAAATTTTTTTTTTTTTTTTTTTTTTTTTTAAATCCAGTGAGACATTCAGTTGGATAGCGGTGTGGTTAAGGTAGGGGGGAACCAGCCACGTTGGAGAATTCAGCGGAGAAGCATCGCTGGAGAATACTTGGCTTGACCGAATGGGGGAAGCCGTGGGAGAAGTTCGGAAATATCATGCAAATGCTGATTCAACATTAAACATTCGTCTATAGCACAATCATGTCTCGTGATCTATATACGAGGGTAGTACCTCCCATCTATTTATGATACACTGCCAGCCTGACAACGATTATTAGTTTATGTGAGCCACAAACCCTGTCCGATCCTAAGCACGGCACATCCGTCCCGACTCAGAAACAGTCCAAGCATCACTTCCAACACCCTCGAATGCATAGAAGAAGCCCTGGGGATCCCACTTCTGTTTAACCTTCAGCAGCGGCGCGTAATTGCTGCCGAAAAACGTCTCCTTCCAGTTCGGCTGGCGGAAGTTGGCCTCATTCTGGTAGCAGCCGCTGCCAGGGGTAATCGCTTCCAGCTGCGGCACATACTCATTCGTCATCTTGAACTGATCCGCCACCATCTGCGACCACGGCGCAGTCTCGTTCCAGGCGGTGCCGATCTGCATCGTGACGGCGGCGTTGCGGAGGGCCGGGAAGACGGCGCTGGAGACATTGCCGGGGCTCGACACGTCCATGCCGACGCCGACGGCGATCACGCCGTTTTGGGTCAGGTTGCGCAGCACATTGGCCATGCCGGCGGAGTTGTTCTCGAGGGTGTCGCGCGGGATCAGCCGGCCGCCGTACTGGTAGGAGGAGACGGCAAGGTTACCCCAGGGCAGCGGGCCCATGTACTTGTTGTAGTGGTCGTAGTAGGAGTCGAATTGGGTGAAGGAGGTCTTGTATTGCACGCCCAGCTTGGTGAGGGTGCGCAGGAAGGGGGCTAGGATGGCCTCGGCCTCGTCGGAGGTCTGGTTGTAGGCTGTCAGAGGGCTGATGATGAAGACCTGGGCAGTCATCTGGTAGATGACGGTGGCGCCCTGGTCGATCATCTTGGGAAGGGCGTGGTGGAACTCGGCGACGGCCTTGTAGAAGGTGTCGGTGGTGATGTTGGCAGCTGTGAACTGTACGCCAGCACCGCCGATAGTGGCATCCTCGTGTGCCTTGACGGTCATGCTCACGACGACGCCGTAGTTGCCGCCACCACCACCACTGAGAGCCCAGAAGAGGTCCGCGTTGTGCGCGCGAGAAGCAATCACGCGCTTTCCAGTTGCGGTGATCACCTCGAATTCGAGCGTCTGGTCGGCGCCCAAACCGAACTCGGTGCTAAGGGCGCTGTGGCCACCTCCCTGGGTGTAGCCACCGGCGAGACCAACGGTGGGACATTCACCGGTCACGATGACTCGTCCCTTGGCCCGGGCAGCCTCGAGGATCTGATAACCCATGACACCAGCACCGACCTTGAAGGCAGGACCATGGTAGGCAGCGTCAGACCACTCCTTGTACTCGATGTCATTAAGGTAGTGTGTCCAGACTGACAAGGCCCCAGCTCCGGTCGAGCGGCCCAGATAGCTTATCCAAAGGTCAGCATTGATGCTGGATGGAGGTTGACTGGGGAACTTACTCATGGCCGGTGTTCTTGATGACGAAACGGATGTTGTTCTCGCGGGCAAAGTTGACAGCCGCGACGACGTCCTTGCTGGAAGAAACATTCACTGCATAATTGACATAGTTGCCCAGGGTGCAGGGCCGGCTCTTGGCTGCGAAGGGATCACAGCTCTGGTTGGCAAAGTAGGTCTGCATCACCGACGAAGACGAGGCCAGGCTACGGCAGGAGCGGTTAGTCTCATTGAACACATCACAACAACCCAAATTCAGGGCTTGTATAGACTCCAGCATAAACTTACTGTACCTGAGGCTCGGTCCAGTTGGCCCGCAGGGTCGCGCAGGCCACCGCATCATAGTTGGGCGCATGACAGGGAGAGCCGATAGGGACGGTTGCAACCAGGCGACCACCCACGGTGCTGTTGAGCGATGCCCATGCCGACGCCGCGGGCCAGCAGCTCTCGGTCGGTAGGCAATGGCAGGACTCAGCAGCCACCGTTGAGGCGAGAGCCGCGAGCGTTGGGAGCCAGAGCTTCATGGTGGAGATTGAGGAGGAGAAGTTCGAGGGTCGCAATGGGTGGTAAGTTTGCCGATCAGTAGGTCTATTATATGGGGGTCGCTGCCCTTCCTCGGCTGCACGATGGCAAATGCTCAAAGATGCAATTTCAGAGGCTGTCGGAGATGTTCCCCAGTGCGTCTAGGATGGAAATTAATTTGGGACCTGGCTTGGGCCTGGCTGGGGGGCCGGTGGAGAGGGATTCACCGGGGGGTTAGCCGAGCCAGAAATCCCATGGAGGCCATGCTGCAGGTGCAGTGGTTCGCTGCATCTCGGTAGTTGATCTGTACACAAGCCGATGCTGCTCCTATCAATTTTACCCAGCGGTACTCCTGTGGCAATTGACGCCAGCGATGCAGTCATGGCCTACGGAAATGGAAATGCGTAACGGAAAGGGCAATCTTCTAGAAACCACACACTCGTTAAGGCTGGGTGCCCGGAAAGCCACGGAGCTTGTCCATACTCTTTGGGCCGAATGGGGTAAGCATTTCAAGGCACACCCGGACTCCGGGCGATTGAGTGTCTCAGATCGACGGTCTCTAGCCCTATCACGGCGATCCCCTTGGGCCAAAGTGGAGCAGTTAATCGATCAGAGTTCGCCCGGTCCAAGGAATTATTGATGCGGCAGCCACATTTGTCGAGCTGAGAGAAATTCCACGGAAGACACATACAGTTATTGGCTGCTCATCCCAATCCAACCAAGGGTACACCGCGTTTAGCAGCGTCGGGGGTCACCCAATGGCTGGGTGGCTGCACAAAATCGGTGACACTGCGCCAGACCCGAGCCTCCTCCCCGAAAGGCCCAAATTTCCAGCCAGGAGACTCTGGAAACCCCGAAAAAAGTGTAATCGCTATCGTCGACCCTGTCCGAGTTTCTTCTTAATTGAAACAACCTCGCTGCCATGTCCTGAAGACCTCGATCATCCCCAGACTCTGTGCCCGGCCGCATCGACAATGACTGACACCACGCCGAACCATGGCCCAGCCCTGGAACGGGGCATCTGGGTCGCGGTGATCATTGCCGCGCTGATCGTAATTCTCCGCGTCTTCGCGAAAATCAAGATCAACCGCTTCAACGTGGACGATGTCTTGATGATCATCGCATCGGTATAGGGTTTTCATGATGTTCTGGTACGATGAGACACTAACGATACACTATGTGCTTAGATCTCGGCAATTGCCTCAACCGTTTTCTTAACGCTCTCCGTTCAGCACGGCTTTGGGAAGCCCCTCGGCGATCCATTCACCCATGACACCTCGCTGGTGTTGAAGTATATCGCCATTCAGATCCCCATCGTCACCCTGAGCACTACCATCGCCCGAACGTCCTTTATCATATACCTGGTCGCGGTGCTCGGGACGAAGAAGGCATACCAGATCTCACTATGGATTGTGTTGGCGATTCAACTGGCCGGAAACATTGCGTCGGCGGTGCTCCCGCTGAGCATCTGCAAGAATGTCAATATCCTGTGGGATCCCACCGTCAAGACCACCTGCGGTGATGATGCGGCTGTGATCAAATTTGCCTATTTCTCCAACAGTGAGTACACTATCCGAGAGGAACAGTGTCCGGTTCATGTCTAATCCAATCTGCACCAGCGTTCAACTCGGCCACCGACTTGTTCCTGGCCGTCTTCCCGACCGTGGTCTTCTGGAACCTCAACCTAAAGCTCCGGATCAAAATCAGTCTGATCGTGCTTCTCAGCTTGGGCATTGTGTAAGTTCTCTTTATCCCTAACTTCTTCCAGCTTCAACTAAAACTGTGACCAGCGCAATGGTCGCCTCAATCATCAAAACCACCAAACTTGACACCCTCCCCAGCATCACCAACCTAGGCACAACAGGCGGCATCGAGCTCATCCGCTGGGGCTACGTCGAAAACGCAATCATTATCATCACGTCCTCGATCCCCTGCATCCGACCGCTGATCATCTCCTCCGTCCGCAAATTTTCCAGTATCACGCGTTCCTACGAGCTGAGCCACCGCCAAACAGCCCAGAATGATAATACGCAATCGCGCAAGATCCGCAGCAATCTCAGCAACTTGAAACGGCCGCGCGACGTGGAGCATGGCAGTGTCGACCGCATCTTAGAACAGAGTCAAACGACGCATAGCGGTACCTTTTTCTCGAGTGAGCCTGAGTCCCCGCGCGGTGTGCATCCGAGTATTATGAAGCAGGTTGATATTGAGGTGATTTCTGATGATGAAGCTTCAAGATCCGATACCACGCGCCGTACATGAGTCCGAGCACGATTTGTATAAAGATGTATATAGATAAAGTTTGTATTTTATGGTGTTAGCGCATTACGAAATTCTTTCGAATATCATGACCGTCTAAATGTAGTCTGCGTGAATACTCCTTGCTTCAGATGCTCAATACGTACTATCAGATCGCGTCAAAGAACACACTCGGAATACCCGACGTCGCTGAGCCCACGAAACTCGAGCTATACCCCCTGCGCCACCGTTATCACGTCAGATAAAATCAGCCCGGAAAAAGATCCAATTGGATGCCATGAAGGAATTCCTAAAACGAGTTTTGCATTCGTTTCGCGGTGGGTGCTATCCCGGCTTGGCTTTTGGGTCTGGCCTAAATCATAGGTGACAAGGAGATTGTTCCTTTAGTGTAGTCTACTCCACGGGGGATTTACGAATCTTCATTGGGCTTCGCCGATGGTCCCCAAGGTAGTATTCGTCGCGGAAGCTTTTTTTTGATGTTGCGACACCGTGAGGACCTTGGAGACTTGAAGGAGCGATCGGAGGCCGAGGTCGGGGTTTGATGCTAATGCATCATGCACATACGCCAGACTCTCCGCCTCGGGTTGCCAGATGCCATGTGGTTGATGGTTAACGAATATGCATTGACCGGACAGTGACACGGTGCATGTTCCTTATATGGGCATTCTAATCATATCACAATGCATGGACTTGGGCATCAGGAACAACGGTGTCAACTACATACGCTTGATCAGAATATGAGCCTTGGTCACGCACAACGACGTTGAAAAAGTCAGCGTCAGCACCTACAAGGCAGCAAGGTTATCCTCTCCACCAACGTCCTATAAGCGTAACAAATCCTCCAGCCATGAAGCCACCAAACCCACGATTTAAATACTGTACAGAAGTGGATTGTGCTCCTTCGGCCCCATAGTGCCCCGGTGGGTTCGGATTCAAACCATGTCCGAGCTCGGGTGGAGCACTGCTCGGCCAGGTACCCGTTTAGTCTAGCCTGTCAATAGTGAGCAAGTAGCTGAACCATCGAACCATGATGGAAAATATCAAACCGGGTCTGGGTCTAGTATCTTTAGTAGCTGTGAATAATTCAAGTATCTTAACTCGAATCTCTCGACTCTTGTAGTAGCACCTGCATTCAGTTGCTCGTTCTGCTGCTGGATTATCTTGCGCTTTGTTATCTGTCGATCGCTGTGCAACGAATCCCATTTTTGCGACCGAGCCAGGCCGTTGACGCTTCAGTGATTTTAACCCCGACTCAAAAACTGGCGCATATCTGATGCAGATATTAACGCAACCCCGCATACTCAGCTCCCTTCAATGTTGTCTCAGGATTGCTTTGCGGTGGTAATGCACGCCGCGATTGACAGGTATGATGTTGCTCCCTATCACATAGATGTAAGGGCACTGAGTATGGCTGTTGGTTGGCCCCTGTTAAATGTTGAGTCAGCTTAGTAGATCACAATCCAGCCGAGGTTGAGGAATATGATCTGTGATTTTCGTTTGATTCTTTTCGGATTTCGGACCCAAAACTTGGGACGGCACATCCGTGAAATACGACGATATATATCCTAGTGTACGACCTCAACTAAACCGCTAAGCATCCATGGAAGCTTTGAGCGCTCGAGTAAAAGGTGTCAAAAAAATGAAATAAAATAAAATAAAATAAAATAAAATAAAATAAAATAAAATAAAATAAAATAAAATAAAATTTAAAAGAGGCACTCTGCTGCAATGATTCCGAAAACATTTCTCTAGGCAACCATTGGTCTCATGGTTGATAATTGATCAATGCTCAATGCCGTGTGGAAGCAAACTGTGAATACTCATGATGTTTTCCATCTTCATCTGTGGTACGGTATGTGTGAAGTGAACGCCCAAGAAGCATTATCCACCACGCGTCCGAGGCCAGCCACGTGGCTGCGAGATTATTGTTTGGTGTCTATGCTTATCTTTCAAAGTTGAGCCGCCCGGTATCGCGGACGATAGCGGCCACTGGGCCAACCACTATCGTATTTGCATCCGGGCTAAGATTTGATGGGTAATTGGTATTTGGGCTATTTCCTACAGGGTGGTCTGTAACAGGACTGTACTACACCAGTATAGCATTCATATCATTATGGTGAGTTGAAACACACGAGTATACTTGGTCCATGCGCCATGCCCTATAGCTATCGTAAATTTAAGGCTGTTATGACTAAACAAAAGCCTGGTTTTGTAACATAATCAACGGGCGAGTGACGCACACGGGCGAGTGACGCACCCCAAAACACCATAGTAAATGCGATAAATGATATTGTCATGTCTCAACAACCACATCCTGTGGAATCTACTTTGGAAGCTAGCTAGCATAATTGAAGATTCTGAGTACTGTAGTGGACCCTAAATTTAAAATTTCATGGGGGGATATATATTTACATGCTCAAGGTCGAGATTACCTTGTAATTTTTTGTAATCATACCAAGATGATAATTAAAATAATTGATATGAACCTATGTTGCCTTTGATGATTAGGAAAGACTTGAGATAAATTCTGAAGTCATGTAAGTCTATGGTTGCTGAGATATGATGTTGTAATTTATCGCATTTATTATGGTGTTTTGGGGTGCGTCACTCGCCCGTGTGCGTCACTCACCTGTTGATTACGTTATTTGCTGGGAGCTAAGAGTATATTAAAGTGTTATGCTCCTTTAGCTGACTAGGAAATCACTCTTCTTCTACTGACTAGCTCACTATAATTAACCTAACTATAGATTCTAAATAATTAAGGAAGGCAGATTAAGAGAATTAGACACTGTGTGCTTAGGGTATAAGTCTGGTGAGCTTGAGGGTTCAGGCAGATTGACTTAGGATCCGAGTTTAGTTGACTTATGTGTGCAGGACGGTTGGTGGTTGGTGGTGGTGACAAATTTCCCACACATATTAAGATTGTGATATTTGGCACAGAATACGCGGTATGGTCTGGTACTGACAACCCTGGTTAGGTCAGTCAGTACAGTGTGGAACAGGCTTACTAAGTTCCATTCGGAATACTGAATCTCCGATTCAGTACGCTAGTGTATATAAGACCGTATGCCCCAGATAGTTTTCAGAACTAGACAATCCCTTCTGTTGAGTTATCACATCTGGTAGCATGTCCTACTAGGCCTGCCTCCTACGGCAGGCCCAGTGGTGTGTTGGCCGGCGGGCAACTGCTCGTTCTGATGAGCTTCGGCCAAAGCTCTTCGGAATATGCGAGCTTTGTTTACTCGCCATCAACTTCGGTCTACGTGCCCAAGTTCGATCAAGGGCCTGAACAGGAGACTGAGGGTGCCAGATAAGGAGCAGGAATGAGAATACTCTTCCACAGTTGGACTACCATGAGATGTGGGAGCACCATTTACCCCGGAATAAGGACAGTCAACTCCTCCCGTGACGCTCGGTACACATCGAGGACGTCATGAAATCTTATTTCGAGCGGGGAAACGCCTCAGGAAGCCGCTAGGAGCGAGCAAGGCTAGTGGAAGCGTGTGTTTTGTCCCTCATTCTGAAGCCTATGACGACCTCTTGTGGAAAGAACGGCAAGTCGACACTGTTCTTGAACGCCCATTGGTAGGCGTTGGCTACTGAGATGCGGACTCAGTGAATACGAGAGGACCCCCTCAGTTGAAATCTCCTTGTCAACATGAAGTGGAAGTGCTATTTCGAGGGCATAAATAGTGCCTCGGAATCGGCTGAGAAAGAGTGTCTATGAGAACAACTCATAGTGACCATCCAGTCGGAAAGAACCATCCTATACTGAATTTTATCTTATGTCTTCAATTTTGTTCTGCGTTTCTTTGATACTGCTTCTTCAATCTTTTATTCTGTTGATCGTTCTTATACAATCCCTATGTCCAATCAAGGAGACCTTATGGAATCGGGCGAAACCACGGGTCCTACCCAAGGGACGATACCGGAGACCATTGGTACCCCAGGGGCCGTTCCGAACCCCCAATTGTCACGAGCCATATCACCTGGGACAATGCAAGCTCTGCATGCACTCCCAGCAGACATGGCGGAAGCCCAGTACGTTCAGTGGCTATCCGCTACAAACCCGACAGCCCAGGTCCAAACCATCAAGGCCTTGGCGTGGGGGATCCAGGAAGGTCAGCGCCGACAGGAGGAACAACAAAGAGCTACCGAAGCGGCAGCCAACGTTCCGAGTAACTCCTCAGGATCAGCCATCCGTGGAACAGCTAGCACAGCTGGACTCCTTCCTGGGAGAGCAGATTGGGAGACTCGGAAGGCACTCCTCAAGGACCTAGTGGGAATCCCTGAGTACTTGGGGCAATTCAAGGACGATGCGGCGCGCAAATGGATACTCGCGTGTGAGCGCCACTTCCAGGATGTGGAAGGGCTTACCGAAGTCGAGATCTCAGATACTCAGAAAATTATTGCAGCCAAATCGAATCTCCGGAAAGCTGCCGAAGACCGATGGCGGGTCATGTACGGAAGAAAATCAATTCAAGGCATGCAATGGGAAGAGTTCAAAACTTGGGTTGAAGAACAATTCAGTGAATACCTCAGTCCGGAAAAGAGGTATGCCAAATACCGAAGGATGACCCAGGGGAACCAAACTCCTTTTCATAAGTATGCAGCCGACCTACGCCAAGCGGCAGACGATCTGGAATTCAGAAATATGTCCGAAGACCTGATGATAGCGGATCTGATTCATGGTGCCAAGGCAGATCTCCAGGTCCGGTGGCATGCTTTACCAAAGCATCCTACCGAATGGAACGCCGTTGTGAAAGCCTTTGTGGGCCTGGAAGAGGGAGCTACTAGAGGACATGCTGTATCAATAACAGGTGACCCTATGGACCTCTCATACATGCAAGGTGCACCGCTAGGATCCACTTCAGGGAGGAAGAAAGAATTCAAACAGACATCAGAGAAGAAGGGTGAGCAGTCAAAGCCCAGGATTCCAAGAGGCCGTTGTTTCAATTGCGGCCTGTCTGGACATTACAAAAGAGACTGCCAAACCTCAAGGAGGAAAACGCAGAACACAATGACATCGCCGTCGGGAAAAGTGAGTGGTCGGTAAATGTGGAGGCATTGATCGACCAAATGGACAAAGCCTCTAGACAGAAGCCTCTGGAAGTACAGGATCTTCTGGATCCTGAGTACTCATCAGATTCAGAAACTGCAATTTCGGATTCTGATTCAGAGACTGTAGTGTCGGAACGAGAGCTTTTGGACGCGAGCCTCAACGTTATAGGAGACTCGCTGATCTATTTCGCAGGGACGGTAAGACAGGGAACAGCTAGACCAACCGCTGTTAAGATACTCCTTGATTCAGGAGCCTCCCACACCTTTGCGTCACAAAGGTTAGTGCGGAGAATGGGGGGAGAGATTCAGTATCAGAAAGGTGGGAGATCGCTTTCGGTACGATTACCGGATGGCGGACAGATCCCCACCCATGGATCCTTTACAGTCCTTGTAAGGATTGGAGGATGGTTCGGAAGGATCAATGTCTGGGTTCTTGATATCCCAGAACATGATATGATCCTAGGCAGAGACTTCCTTCGGAAATACGACCCGCGGCTAAGTTGGCGTACTTCGCAAATGCGGATTCGAGATGACCAAGGAAGGGAACATACGGTGCTGCCGCTGCAGGGCAGCCCGGTTGTCACGAAGGGCATAGCTTCGTTCGACTTGCTTACAGGAAAGCAAGTGAGACGCGCTCTGAGGAAGCGCATTACTCAGGCCTATCTTTTTCTTGTGCAGCCTACACAAGATGAGGCTGAGGGTTCGGAATTCAAGCTGGTCGTTCCGCACCATGACGACTCGAGAGTTAGGGAGATTCTTCTGAAGCATCAGAAGGTCTTTCCGGAAGAATTGCCGAAGGAGCTACCGCCAGAACGTGACCACGCGCATGAGGTGGATACAGGGGACGCCAACCCTGTGAATATTAATGCATATCCGCTTTCCGTGGAGAAATTGGATGAGTTGGGCCGCCAAATTGAGGATCTGATTCAGAAGGGCCTGATCCAACCGTCCGCAAGTCCATGGGGGTTCCCAGTCGTTTTTGTTCGGAAACCGGACAATAAATGGAGGATGTGTATTGATTACCGAGCACTGAACGAGGTCACTTTGAAGAATGGTTATCCCTTACCGAGGGTTCAAGAACTCCTTGATATCATCGGTAAGGCTAAATTCTTGTCAAAGATTGACCTGGCGTCGGGATATTGGCAGGTTCGTATGGAAGAATCCGCCATTCCGAAGACAGCTTTCAACACAGTCTGGGGGAAATTCGAATGGCTCGCCATGCCATTCGGGCTGTGCAATGCACCCGCCACATTCCAGACTTTGATGAATCAAACCTTACAGCCACTTCTCGGAAAGTGTGTGGTTGTGTATCTGGACGACATCTTAATCTTTTCTGAATCAATGAATGACCATTACCGACATCTTGACCAGGTCCTACAGCTATTGGAACAGCAACAATTATATGCACGACCGCAAAAGTGCATATTTGCTACCCAGCAACTAGAGTTCTGTGGTCATATCGTCGGAAATGGAACAGTTCGTACCCAACCAGAAAAGATCAAAGTCATCCAGGAATGGCCACGGCCAAGGAATGTGCACGAAGTTCGACAGTTCCTTGGTCTCGCCACATATTATCGACGGTTTATCCGAAGCTTCGCACGAATTGCAGCACCGCTACATGAGCTTCTAAAAGAAGCTGATGCTCAGCTTCGGGTAAAAAAATTTCGTCCTGTCAGATGGAACACCGCAGCAGGATTGGCTTTTCGGAATCTTAAGGAAGCCATGGTTACTGCACCGGTTCTGATGCAGCCAGACCGACTCAAACCCTTCATTATCGAGACCGATGCATCAGAATGGGCTATCGGTTTCGTACTGTATCAAGAAGGCGAGGATCAAAAGTTGCATCCAGTAGCATTTGACGGTCGAAAATTGAGTACCGCAGAACTGAATTATCCGGTCCATGAAAAGGAGCTGCTTGCAATCAAGGAAGCACTCCGACTGTGGGATCGATACATCGAGAACGGAACCACCACAAGAATCATCACAGACCATGCCAGCCTGCAATACCTCCAGACAACTAAAACATATAGCAAGCGACTGGCTAGATGGGTGGATGAATTTCAGCAGTATGACCTTAAGATTCAGTACCGAAAGGGGTCAGAAGCTGTGGTTCCAGATGCAATCAGTCGGCGGCCGGATTTCGTCGAAGACACACCAGCCAATATAGCTCAAGATCGCCCTGACTGGGTGGCTCAGTTAAACACTCTTACAGTAGGGGATTTTTCAGAACAAGACTGGCTCAAAGCCACTGAGGAATTCTTGCGTTCTGGACACCTCCCTACCAACAAGAAGCTGAGCCGATACGTCAGAAAATTTGCACCACACCTCGGCTACAGAACAGTGAAATTACCAATGAGAGCTGATGCGGACACTAACCGTCAACTGGTTTTCACACATGCTGACGGGGTGGTGGCACCATATCTTGAAATGCCCCTCCGAGAGGATTTCGTGCGCAGAATGCACGAGGAATTTGGACACTTGGGATATCCTGGTCTTCAGGGAGTAACACGGCCCCGCGCCTGGTGGCCGACAATACGAACTGACATCCAGGAAACTGTTAAGAGATGTCCAAACTGTCAGGTTGCCCAGGGATTAAACGAATCCCTGGAAAGAGAGACTGCACAGCACCTTGTGAAGGAAGGAATCCGTCCGTTTGAAAGGTGGGGGATCGATCTTGTGGGTCGCTTACCGAAGACTCCGAACGGTAACCAATGGATCATCACCGCCATTGATTACGCTACTGGTTGGACTGTGGCTCGTGCTGTACCGGATGCCACGGAAGAAACCATTGGCCAGTTCTTACACGAGGATATCTTCATTCAATACGGTGCACCACGGGAAATAATTACCGACAATGGCCGGAACCTGATTGCTAAAGCAGTGGAATATTACATCAAACTTTTGAAAGCCAAGCACCGGACCACCACCCCGTATCACCCCAGAACGAACGGGAAAGTTGAAAACTTTAACGGGATACTGGGCCGGATGCTGACAAAATACCTAATGGGTAAACCAACCCGACTGTGGGATGAATACCTACCGCAAGCTCTTTTTGCCGCAAGGGTTCATGAACATAGTGTGCTCGGTGTGAGCCCGTACTATCTGGTGTACGGAGAACATCCAAGGATTCCGAGTGACGAGAATTCGGAATGGGACGACTCAGTAGGACCTTTCCAAGATTGGGAAGATCGAGTCCGTCTGATAAATCATGCGCGGTCTAAAGCAAATGAGCTTCTGTTAAATCGAGCTATCAAAACCCAGAGAATTAGGGATGAAGCTGTGACCAAAACGAGTTTCAAACCAGGACAATGGGTATTGCTTCGGAATGAGTATCGACAGAAGCTGGATTGCCGCTGGTACGGCCCCTACCAGATCTTGAAGGCGCATCCATTGGGCACATATGCGCTGGCCGAACCAGGAGGAAGGGTCTTGAGGAATTTGATCAACGGAGCGAGGCTTATCGAAGCGCAAGTTGATAATCCAGATAGGCTGTGGACATCGTCACTAGCAAAGCGGGCTATTCAAAAAGCGGGCTACACGCTACACAAACCACAGGAAATTCGCAAGATCCTAGACAGCGAGGAGCCTACACCCCCCTCATACTCAGAACTCTCCACCATCACCAGAGCTGAGTGGGAAGCACGTGAACGTTCAGGGGAACATTCAGTTTCAGTGGGGGAGGATGAGGCTATCACGGAACGTGTCATTTCGAAGAAACGAATGAAGCAGCAACGTACCGTGAGGGCTGTCAAATCTTCCGCAGCAAAAGGCCCTGCTGTAAGTAAAGAAGATACAGAAGGAGCGGAAACTCGTAAAACTAGGGCTGCTAGAAAGGTTACCGAACGACAATTGAATACTGAATTGGATTCATTTCAATACAGTACATCTGGCCGACGCCAGGAGGGCAGGAGCGCTCTGGAGATACTGAAACCCATCCGGAAATCCACGCGCCAAAGGAAGCTAACCAAAGACCGAAACCCTGACTTGATCCAGTATTAAGAAGAGACAGATTCAACCATGTCCACTACGACTCTTAGTTCTGCTCTCTCTCTGATTCCGAAAGACCACTACCTCTGAGTAGGTGGCTTCTGGGTTAGAAGTTGGATCCGACGTCCAATTCGGTATGCAGCCCATGTCGCTCGTTGGCGAACTGAAGTGCGCGGATGCTCCTGAATATTGGAACGGACTCGAACACGACGAGAACCCCTAGTTAAGCCATGGGAATGGCCTCCCGGAGTGGAACTAGCTCCATATCCTCGGAAAACACCAGAACGGGATTGACCATTGTGGCCTTGAGTAACAGGGGCAGTAGGCTGTTCCAAATGCCGGATCACTGTGCCAGAACGAGGTGGAGCGGTCTTGGCCAAAGCTTTGGTACGACCTCGTCGCTGAACCGTTGAAGGAGCAGAGCCTATAGCTGCAAGGGATTCAGAATTCTCGTACGCCCTTATCCAGAGAGGACGCATGGTACGGAAGCTGCATTTGGCTCCTCCATCCAGAAAGGCACAACACAGACAACTACCCTGGAACATCAGAGTGTTGCTGTCATCTATCGCCACACGGCAGCTCTCAAAGGAACCTTTTCCAGAGGAACAGTAGCTACACTCCTCACCCAGAGGTGCAAGCTGTCCGAAACGCTGCGCCATTGCTGCTCGGCGCTGTTGAGCGCGGTTGCAGTTTTTGAACTGTGGAATACCATCCACCACCCTCCAATCCACGTACCGAGGTTGCTCAGGCAGCTTCCTAATTACCGCTCGGTCTGCATCGGTAGTGAATGATGAAAGAAGGGGATTTCCTCTCATATCAATGCACCACTCTGCTAGTTTGGTTGTTGGAAGACCGGAATATTGGAAAAACGGAACCTGGCTTTGAAAACGCAGAAGCCAACGAGGAACTGGAGAAGATGTTTCAATATTCTCCTCCTCAGGAACCGTCCGTTCTTCTTCTTCTTCTTCTTCCTCGTCTTCTTCCTCTTCCTCCTCTTCCTCTGCTTCTTCCTGGTGAGAGGGCAGCGTTCCGTCACGTAAGGAGCGAGGATCCCCAGAAACCGAATCTCCGCTCTGAGAACCGGCCATGATGGCGGGTTCTGGCGACCACAAGCATTCCAGTCGCTCACGGGCCGCTGACACAGCAGCTTCCTCCAGGCTGTCCGAAGCCGCTCGGGCAGCTGAGGGACTGACGATGGTGATGAGTGGTTGAATGTTTACAGACGGAGACAGAAGAGCCTTTTCACTCCTTATAAGGCTAACGTCCCTTACCCACTGATTTTCCATAACACATTCCTTGATACCGTCTTTGATTCGGTGACCAAACGTTCTTTGATCTCTTTGAATCACTACTGAAAGGATTATCCTTCAATAGGTGGATATGGAGATGATACTGGTACAGAACAAAGACGTGGAGTACCGAATCCCTGCTCTTCCCTGAACTAATTTCGGTACTCTTTGTTTGACATGCTTACTCCGGTTCTGATTACTACCCAATTGCTATCTGAGTTCCTCCCGTCTTTGATCTCGAGGGCGAGCTCGAATCTAGTGGGGGAGGATGTGATATTTGGCACAGAATACGCGGTATGGTCTGGTACTGACAACCCTGGTTAGGTCAGTCAGTACAGTGTGGAACAGGCTTACTAAGTTCCATTCGGAATACTGAATCTCCGATTCAGTACGCTAGTGTATATAAGACCGTATGCCCCAGATAGTTTTCAGAACTAGACAATCCCTTCTGTTGAGTTATCACAAGATTATCATCACGTAATTGAGGTGCGTATCAAAAATGTGTTAATTACACCAGCCTAATTCTGCCGGTCAAATTGCTAATTGCGCATTAATTTTAGGCCAAAATAAACTTAGGCCGAATACCGATACCATATTAGTTGACCAGTGGCCGCTATCGTCCACCGTAGCCCGGAGGTTTCCTTTGTTTCTGGGACACCTCGAGAGTTGCCGTTGACAGCTCGGCCACTTGATAGTATCACGTGACAAAGATACAACAATGTTGTGGCTAAGATATCCTTTCCTTAGGAGTACGCATCCATATTTCCTCATTCTGTTCTGGTGAAGACCAGACATCTACTATGATTTTCATTTTCAAAGAGCAGCATGTCGATGGCCCTCCAAGTCATCTGGCATTGTTGTCCGTGACTGCACCACCCCTCACAACGCTTGGCAGTTTTCCCCAGACGTCCGTGCGACAAGATATCCTCGTGAGTCATCCTCGGGCTAATCTATCGCAAACCTTGCTATTCATCGATGTAATAACATTGATACTTAAATTCTATGAGAAAAGCTGCTGTCAAATTCAGCAGTACCTACTCAATACATCCAGACGAGCAACGAGCAACCGATATTGCTCTGGGTATGGTTACCTTCCCCACAATGTCCGACCATCCTCGACCTCAAGCTCTCCAAGATGGTGCCATAATTTCAGCGGCCACAGATGAAGATGTGCTGTCCATAAAAAGGATTGTGGATTTGGCATATTCGAAATACATTGATCGAATCGGGAAACCCCCAGCCCCTATGACTGAGGACTATCACGAGGTCATCCGTACGCACAATGTTCTTGTCGTGAGAGACAAGGAACTTACACCGCTAGGGGCGATTATATTCTCTTTGGACAAAGAGTCCAAAATGATCAAGATCAAGAACTTGGTGGTCAACCCGGCGGCCCAGGGGCGTGGCTACGGACGTGTCCTGATGGAAAGGGTCGAGGGAACCGCGCGACATTTAGGCATCACAGCACTTGAGCTCTACACGAATGTCAAGATGTACGAGAATGTTGGAATGTATCCCAAGATGGGGTTCTTGGAAAGTGGAAGGAGGGTTGAAGCTGGTTTTGAGCGAGTTTACTTTCGCAAAGAATTGGCATGAGATACAACAAAACGGGAAGCTATGATGAAAGATATCTGCGGCATGTTTCAGCCGATAGCGAATTCGCTATTTTGTCTCATTAGATATATGGCCCTAGAATGGCAACATGAGCCTGGTCCTGTTGCGATCCATTGACAAGGCGTAAAGACCGAGAAGACATGCCAACAAGGACAAAATTTTGTCATTAGTCACCTTCAAAGAATTCCACACGCTGATAAACATACACAAAGAGCAGTACCGCCTGCATTGAGGAGTGGTGGGCAGGCAAATGCGCTGGGGCAACAACCGACGTTGAGTCCGGAGCTGATGAGAGTAAAGTGGACAGCGCACTATGATTTTGTCATGTATCTGAAAGAAAGATATTTTGATAGCAGAAGTTACGCATTGTCCTGTGATATTGCAGTACGTTTTGTTCTTGGGACCCAAGTTGCATGTACCATTGACACAACTCTGCGAAGCAGTGCACTACACGATTGTAGAGAATAAGTTAGCAGGTGTATTGAAAATATCAAGTAGAGTAGACGATAACTTACAGTTCGCCCGTATAAACCGCAATTCCTTAGCTCGTATGTCGTATTAGTACACGCTCCACCGCAGCATTTACCAGTAGTCCTGTTGCACTATGAAGCGAACTGTGAGTTTGATAAAAGATAGTCGTTCGTCTTACCAGTGTCCCACATGCGCCGCAATTGGCTGCGCTTGTATTACGACTAACATATTGCCTACTACAGCAGATTGGGGCGCCGGCAGGGCACGTTGAACTTGAGTCAGTTTTGCCAGCAATATCAATTGCCGGATATTGCACGAAACTTAAAATTGTGCCACAAGCTCCACAGTTCCTATCATCGGTGAGAACGTTGGTACAGTTCCCAGTACAGCAACTTGGTGATGTCTCCAGGCACTGAGGCAAAAGCTTAGCCTGGGTGAAAATTTGGGTTGGTGATCAGATGATACTGACAGTATAGTTGCAGGCACCAATGTCAGAGGATTTGTGGACAAGCTCGTGCATATTCCTGCACAGCAAGTAGGCGATGTAGTGCTGCACTAAGTATCCTCATTAGCAAGGACCAATAGAATGCGTTCCTTTGGGAGGTGACTGGATTGGTGATAACACATACCGTATCGCCGCAAGAACCACAGTTGTTTCTATCAGTGAGAATATTAGTGCAGGTAGGAATGCAGCATGTTGGTGTTGTAATAATGGCACACTATCCTCTCATTCATTTTCGAATGCAGACGCAGGGAGGCTCCTGCAGTTCGATGGCATATGCCGCAATTCAGAGGATTAGTTGCTATGTTAGTTTAAATTCCGGAGCAGCAATTGGGGCTTTTCAGCGGACACTGGGAGAAATGATTTCCCTGTTAAAGGGCTCAATATCAAATACGTTTACGAGGACAGAGAGCCTACGATATGGTTGCATATTCCGCAGTTTGTGGGCGTTGTGTTGGTAATATACAGACCCCGGGGCACCAAGTGGCTGCGTTACAGAGCACTGGTGGCTGAGCTCAAGGTAGGTTTTGATCCGCCAGATATTGTTGGAGGGACTGACGGTTATATTGCAAGCGCCGTATCTAGTTGGATTAATGCTCAAATTGACACATGTTCCGCCGCATCAGGTTGGCGTAAAAGCAGTACCCTAGAGAGAACATCAGTAGAGAATTCAGAATGAGGGAGGAGTGAGAAGGGGGATTATTAGAGAATATTCAATATAAGATACTCACAATGTTAGCGTAAAAGCCACACGTCGATAAATTGGTGGTAAGGCTAGTGCAATTCCTGAGCAGCAATTTGGTGACATTGCCGGACACATCGAAGAGTATATGAGAAATGGAATCCTGGACGTGGAGCTTTCAAAAACAGTCTCACCGCATTAGTGCAGCTACCGCATGTTGAGGCTGAAGTATTCAGGTTTGTACAGACTCCCGAGTAGCATATTTGCTTGGTTGCCGTGCACTTGATGACAATTCGAGTTTAGCAAACCATTTAATCCATTGTTGCCTTCATCCCTTCACCCGAAGAAAGTGACGAGAACACTTACAAATGTGGTGCATGATCCACATTTTGAAGGGCTGAACATATATCGGCACATGTCCCTGAGCACCAAGTCGGGTTGACACCAGTATATGGAGTCGAGCAGCAAGATCTACAATGAGTCGGGTCGGTGTTGATATTTGTACACTTTCCGACGCCGCAAGCGACATATTACAACTTTGCCCCCAAATTGACGACTATTGGAGTCATGTACATGGTCTGAAGCAGCTTACTCTGATGTCGCATGCTCCACAATTGAATGGGTCGAAGGCGAAGTCGCGACACCGGCCTGTGCAGCACCCAGGGGATATACTACCGCAATTCGAATAATCCAGTCAGGGATTATTTCCAAATGCTCTTTGGTACTGGGATTGTTCTACCGGCGTTGCGTCGCAGTGAACCGTGCTTGTATACAGGTTGTAACAAAGACCCGAACAACACCAAGTACCATTGACTAGGAGAATATCAGATGTCAGGTAAGTTGAATGGAACACTTTTATCGCTTTCTCAGGTTATCTCACCGTCGTGTTGCATCTGCTGCAGTTCTGATTGCTTGTATATAGATCGACGCAACTTCCTGAACAGCAGCAGAGCTATTTTGCTGGACCCAAATGGTTTATACAAGACGTCGTACACCCCACAGTAATCCACGGCGTTGATGAGGTCAACGCACGGCCTGAGCAGCAGGTTGGTTGGATCCAGGGCTTAATGTGAGTAGTGAACGATTTTGTAAGGATTCGAGGGATGTCTGACAGTTCCATTGCATGACTGAAGCTCGTCTGGAAAAACCGGATGGGACTTATCAAATTGAATATTTGTTAGTATCAGTTGTCAGACGAGGCATCAAGAAGATATCACGATGGCGTTGTTCAACAACTCTCTCATATGCCGAATAGGGTGAGCATTGAGCGATATCCTCGGGCTTGACGACGGCCATTTCCACAGATATCGGATTTTCTCGAGTTCCGGGTTGCTGAAGGCTAACAAAAAGGGTTGTGAGAGAATGAGAAACGCTTTTCACAAAATGGTAGCTGTACACAGCACGAGACTGCTGACTTATCAACTATCAACAATGAAGGTGACAGCACATTTGCCACCTCGGGTATAGCCATGATCGAAGAATATTGGATGTATGCCTTGCCGATACCTCATGTAACGGCTCGGTTGACGAACCCGGATAACAGCCGTAGAGCGATCTCCAACTCGACCAAGGACATCGTTCAATATAATCAATTCCAACGAGTCCTCCCGTTTCACGGCTTCGTAGAGGATGCAATGATGCGTTGAACTGGATGGGTAGATACTATTCTGGCGTGTGACCTCCATGATATTGTACCACCCCTTTAGGGGTCTTTCAGATGGTTGACAGCGACTTCAAATCAATCCAGTGGATGGTCCGTCAGACTGGTCCAGGGCGCTGTCGGCAAGCGATGCGAAGTAATGCGCAGTAGGGGAAGATGGGTGGATGCGGAGGGAAGATGAGGCTCTTGTTGCACCTTGAAGCGCCTTTGCTGCATGAAGCTCTGAATGATTGCCTGAGGCCAAGACGCAGCAGTTTACCCCCACACCAAATTTTTCTGCTACCTTTCGGGACCTTTGGCCAGGAAAATAATTTCGACACAGCCACAAGATACTCAATCGACCCTTTTTCGCTTGATACTGGACCTCGCAAATTCCGCGCATGCCAAAGAGTGTATGCACGCGCACGGTGCCCGCTTTTGAATGTTGCTTTGCCTTGCTGCCGACTTGAATATAGTGGATGATCTTTACAAAGCACTGCGTGAAGCAGAGTCCAAGCGTAATGCTGATGCTTCGTCTAAAGTCATATTTGGATAAATCTCGAGATCAAAAGATAGAAAAGGTTCGTGAGAACTTATTGTCTTCGGTTGATTTTAACAATTAGATATACATGGATGCTCTCATAATGCATGGTCTTCCCAAGCTCGGAACAGCAATCCCATCCCAATATGTACAGATTCATCAGGTCGAATCGGAAGCGAAGTTGAAGGTCGTATTCAAGGAGAATGTGAAGGATGAAGAGGGTTGAGTTGAAGCGGGTGGACACATCACCCATTTGCCACCCAGGCATTGTCATGAGATAAAGATTCAAAGTAGCCGCGAAGGCCGGTATTAACATGGTATGTGCGTCGTCGAAGGAATTGTGAAAGCGAGTACACAGGGCATAAAAATGACAGGCGACTCCGGACTGAAAAAATATAGCCGGTCGCATCAGGCGTATAAAGATCAAGATTATCGTCGCCACATCCGTGAAGGAGTTTCATTGAAGTCGTCTTTACTTGACCGCTCACTAGAGCCCTCGCCAGGGTACGCGGGCTCGGAGGTGATCTCGATCGTCGTCTCTTGGTACACCTTTCCTCCCATGGGGCCCATCTCGACGCCCGGCTGCACGATGTTGTCGGTGGAACCGTCGCGGTCCAGGTCTTCGTCGTGCAGGCCCATCTTACGGGACTTGGGTTCGGCGGCAGTAATGGTGGTCAAGTGGGTATCGCCGCGGTGTCCTTTGCTGCTGGCGAACTTGTTGTAGGAGCGGTCCTGGCTGGGCTCCGAGTCGATGATAAGGTTGCGGCGGGTAAGAGTGTAGAGAACGACGTCGACCAGGCCGGAGCTGGTGATAATGGCACCTGGGGAATGTCAGTTTTGATCAATATTTTGGAAGGGTTGGAAAGACTTACCAGCACAGCAGAAGAAGGTGACAGAAGGAGTGTTGCCATTCGCAGTAGCCATACGTCCGGCGGCAAGGGGCAAAGACAGAATGATGTAGACGACCGGGTAGATGGTCATGTAGCCGACAACACGGCGGAGACGCTTGAGACTTTCGAGCTGGCTGTTGCCGAGAATGGATGAGGCGGCGATTTGTCGACGAAGATAGAAGTACATGATAGCATAGAGAACGACGGTTCCGAATTCAGCAAGGAAAATCCAGATGTAGTGAGTCCAGAGACGAACGGTCTCGTAGTCCTCGTTGATCCAGCACCAGGCGCCGGAGGGGACGTAGACATCGGCTCCATACATGCCGAGGGGAATGATGACGATCAGAGCGACGAAGGCCCAAATACTGCAAATGAAGGTAACGAAGACCTTGTAGGACATTTTGCGTCCCCAAACGACGAGAAGAAAGGTGTGAATGGCAATGGCAAGCACAAACAGACCAGACCCGGGGTCTCCGATCTGCAGCCAGAGACCTTGCAAGAAACATCCTGCTGTACCCGACTTGATTTTGTCTGTGACGATCCACTTCAAACAGATCAAGAAGGCCAACGATTGTTGGAAATCAGCCAGGACCAGGTTGTAGATCAGAATAATGTACTGGTTGTAACCGATGTAGCGTTGATAGTTGGACTTCCAGAAAATCAAACGGTATGTAATGAATAAAAGCAGGGTCAGGGTGGCCAGGAATGAGAGGAATGCCATGATTGAAACGGCAATCAGACCTCGCCGCTGGACTGTCGGCAGCGGGTCAATATCGAGTGTGACATCGCTGGTCAATCGAGGGGAGAGCGAATTGCCGTCCCTCGGCAGCATGCTTAGTAGGGCGAGAGCGGACATGATGGGATATGCCGTGATAAATGAGAGTCGTCCTATAAATCGCCCACCAGCATTTCTCGGGTATTCTGAAACAACAAACAACCGCCACCTGGAATCGCCGAAGGATTCGATTTGTCTCGGCACAGAAGGATTGTGCAGCCTCGTCAGTTCGAATAGGCTGTTCGAAGGCTATTTCACCAAGATGCGGGCAAGGAGTGGCAGGGTTGAACTGGAGGCGACGACTATCTTTTTCTCTCCTTCGCCCACAAAGTGCCGTATAAAGACGGGGGAAAAATAAATGGCACGACCAGGGGAGCAACCGAAGAATGAATGATGTGCGGGTGTGGGATTATTAAAGTTGTCAGACACACGATCCGAGGAGATGGATACTCCGTGTGGACATGAACCCACTGCGACCAGCCTGACCGAACTCTATTGTCAATAGGATCAGGAGTGTTATACTGGCAGCTGGATATCCAGGTGGCTCGGCTGCTGAGAATTGGGAATTCGCGAGCCGGCGAAGGGATCATCTCCGTTAGGGTGCCCCGTAAGTGGGCTTTCGCCCATGATTGAGGCAAACCACTTCTTCATAGTACTGCAACGAGTCCAGAATGGCCCGGCCTCTCTCCACTTCAGGCGGCCACCCCTCTCTGAACAGGGGCAGCAGGTGGAGTTCGAAGAAGTTTCTGCGACGGGGCCTCGAATCATAATCAACGAGGGCAGAGTTTGGTCCAGACGGCTGTCTCCACCCACAAGAACCATCCCTGCACGGCATGGCCATTGCCGAAAAGGGGGAAGCGGTGCTACTCTCGCAGGTTTGTCTAGCGTTGGCCCTGGTCTTCGGGACCAACGTCGTCGCGTTGCGCGAGTTAGAATGATTGAAAAAACGCCACGAAAGTTTCTCTCCGCGCGACACCGTCTCACCAGGCCTAAAAAGGCCTTAAGCCGGCCTGAAGCCGTTTGGTCACTCAGAGCCCACAATTACATTGTTGCTTCGATCGCCCCGTGTACGTGCAAATGCAGGGGCAATGCTTTTGGAACACTAGCGGGAGACGCGGCCAGGCTTCGCCGCGTGCCCCGACACCAACCACGGTAGCAGTCATCTCTTCCGCGAGAACCGACTACTGCTCTCGGGATAGACCTCCGCGCCTAAAATGGCGCGGCAAGGCTGGCGTGCACCAACTTGAGTGATTATATTAACATGTAGGACCGAGGTATGTACGTTGTGTACTCGCCGACGGTGGTACATCCATATGACGACCCCCGCAGGATGTGCAGGACGTGCATGGCGGAATTGCTTTTTGTTCTCCAGGTAATTCCGGAGTGCGTATGCGGGCGCGCAATTTCATGTGTAGATGCCAAGGGCGACGGTTCCAGAAAGCGTGTCGATCGCGGGCAGAAAAGAAGGATTATTTAGCAATAGTGTAATATTGATCTCGTGAGCGTGCCATTGGATTGGATAAGCTTCGTGTCCACTACGATCGGCCCTTCCACTGGATGTGCTGGAGGAATGGAGTCCTCCCGTGCTCCATCGGGGCCCTACTGAGATCAGCCACCGACTCTGAATGAAGCCCGGGCCGGCTGTAATATCCCAGGAGGGGGATGGCCTCGGGCACGTTGATCTGCGTCATTCGAAGCTTTGGTATCTGGCTGGGCAAACTCTACCCCATATCTTGGAAGTCTTGATTCTCCTGACTTCCCCTGCGTAGTGCTCGCTGAGAATGTGCGGTCGGCCTATCCTGACAGCGTGCCTGACAATTGTTCGGATCAACAGGGTCAAACCCAGTGGATTGACACGACCGGGAGATTTTGTCAGTGGTCGACCCGGCAAACGTGCCAGCCCGCTGATCCCGCAAGGGATGCGCATGGCAGCCATGTGCCGAGGGAGCAAGAGAAGTGGGCCTGATTTACGGTGAGCCTTCCGCTGCGATGCGATCAGCAAGGCGATCCAAGGATGGTTACATACTGGCACCTTCGCTGTTAGAGCCGCTAGCAGCGATCTTGGAGATTGCACAGTTGATTAGTCGCGGCAATTTTATCCACATCCTGGCGGAATGTGACCCCCGAGCTGAGCGGAAATGGTCATTACGGTGTTGAAAGGTGGCAACAAACGGCATAGGGGGATGTCCGGTGCATCCGGAGTTAAGCGGTTGCAGATGCCAGCGTGGAGGAACCGAAGGCAGCGAGGAATTGGACGGTCGCAGACTTGGGTATCTGAGTATCTGACATTCGCAATGTGAGATATTGGGTGGTTCGCGCTCGAGGTCGAGCTGTCCATAAACCAAGATCCAAGAACCATTTCTCGTAGGAGGGCAGCTATGGTACGCGTGTGGATATCCACATAACCATGGTTCACTTCTCGGGTCCAGGCGTATGCATGGATTGCAAGGCAGACTGGGTCTGCTTGACCTGCCCTTTTCTGCTAGCTCAGCACCCCCACCCGCCGATCTGAATTCAAGTATGGAGTAGATGGGCTTTACCTGGTCTGCCAGTGGCTCGGGCGTGACCCTGAAAGGAGTGTCAGGAAGAGTTCGTACCATTCTCAGGGCCTGTATAAACTTCGGTCATCGAAGGCAGGCAAGCCCCGTCCTCAGCCACAGCCTTCGCTGCACCTGCACCATCTGAAGACACGGAGATTAAGCGGGAGATGTGGCCCCTGGAACAACAATAGCCCTTGGGCCCTCGTACTGCGTCGACTATAACAGACAAACCTAAGCCTCTTCCGGCTACCGTTGAGTCGACCACTAGTACAGACATAGAATTGTGTGCCCTAATTTGAGACAACCCCCTCATCCGTCGTGACGTGCATAGCGGCCAAGCATTGGACGAGCTGGTGCTCCATTCGCCACCGAAGGATTCGATGTGCCATGTACGTGGAATCATGAGGCATTGCTTGGTCTGTGTCGCAGCCTCGGAAATGTCTCGGTACATCGAGAGGTTCGTCATAGACGATGCAATAATGAGCACGCTCGACTGCCATTGAACACCCCGCCAGGTTCATGCAGCGCTGTCGATCGCGCTGTTCCTGGGCATCATGTCCGTTCCGTTTTCCCAAATTGGCAATGGCAATGTAAACATCACCACTGGCGTCTTACTAAGGAAAACTTCTTCCATGTGATGCTGTTGTAGCGCGATAGTGTGACCCGGAGACAAAGAATGCACTATTGAATGGAAGAAAGACATTGTCTAGGCTCGTATCGATCCGCTCGCCAATCATTGGCACCTGCGCCCTTTTTCTCCCCTGACTGTGCGCGTCGATCTCCTCTTAACTTTGTGTCTTGCGCTGAACCACTCATGAAGATGTCAAAGACCAGCTCCACCATGTCCGAAAAGGGTTACCAGTCGGGCGCTTATTTGGCTTTAACAGAGTTTATCATCCAGAGCCTTCAATAATCAAGCAGTCAAGGCGCACGGAACCCGCGATCGTATTCTCATCCATGGTTCGATCCATGATCCGACCACACGGGCTTCTCATCATCTGATCGGAATAGCTGCTCGCCAGATCAATGGTTTGAACTAGTCGATGACGATGTTGCGACTAGACCCATCATCACCCCCATCTTCCGATTCTTGATATCCTTCACATCCGTCGGAATCCGTTTCCCCTGAAGAATCTGCAACAACCTCAAGGCAGAGTTCGATCCCGTCCACCTCCAGATCTACACAGCGATTGCCCCTCCAGCCGATATGGTTGTAGATCAGGACATCTCGGCCCTCGATGGAGTGCACAGAGGTTGCGCTTACAAGACCATTTTTCAGAATCAGCACGACCCCAATTTCGGGTTCCCAAACGCAATGTCGTTGCCGTGATCGAGCTGTGTCCAGGCGGGAGATCCCAAGGTTTCTGGATAAGCGCTGTGAGCGGAGCGCAGCTCGAATAGGCAACAGATTGGTTCGTCTGCTACCCGAGCGGATGAATCCGCTTTTCATCCTCGACCGGAAAAGTATCAGTATATACACAAGGTAGCTTTCCGACGTCCTGAGGTTGTCCCGGAGACGAGAATGATCGCTCAATCTTGCAATGGTCGGATTCTTGCCAGCAATTCTCCCGCATCAAAAGTCCAACTTTGGGATTTACCTTCCAAGGAAACTCCAGCTAGTCGAACCGAGGCTAATAATCCCCATAATCGTCATGCTTATACATTGATTGGAGCTGAGCCAGGATAGGCACATGAATAACTTTCCCGGCTCACGCAATCTGCGCAGGAGAGACATTTCCGAATAGTTGGCATCCTTTCCGAATAGACAGAGGACGCGGAAGAGGCCGCTCAGGATGTATGAATGCACACTCAACAGTAAGTATGATTACTCAATCGGCAGGAAGTTGCGATCAGGAGATCGGATCGAGTACTTGGCACGTACCGCAGGGTATCAAACATGGGCCAATTGATCCCCACATCGAAATTGGAATTATGAACAAAGCCGCAAAGGATACACTCGACAAGATCGTCCATGTCTCAGGCTGCAGGATATCCTGCGGGCCATCCATGATGCCGAAGATATAGTACAGAGACAGGTGCAACACAGGCCAAAGTCATTCTCTAGCGGCAACTTGGACTCGCACAGAGCAGACGTCATGCTCTCGGCATGATAGCGAGCTGCCAACGGACACAATGATTCCCGACCTCTTCCAATAACACCTGGGCAGCTCTCGACCTGGCCGACATAAAGAATCTCTGCAATATCTGGTAGATCTCATCACCCCAGTCACCACGGTTCGCAGTCCTCTCGTTAGCCGACACGTCGCTGATGTTGTGATACGCCCAACGCCTCGTCTTCGTCGAACAGAAAATTAATTCCATTCCGCTCGATTGCTAGGCTCTGGAAGACAATCCAGCGAGCCTGGATCGTATTCCGCTCGGCTTCCGTACCAGGGTTCCACGCATATTTACTTCGTCTCGGGTATCATCCAGTAAAGCGGTTGGCGTAGGTCGTCGTAGGATAGTCTCGTAGAGGGGCCGGGTTGGAACTGGTTTCGGGAGAGCAGGTAGAAGCTGTGGAAGAGGATAGGGCCAGCATCTTGTAGCTTTGGGGAGAGCGTTCCGTATTGATGAAGCATCGCAAGGTACCCTGCTTCATTGATGTATTTCGGCCCGTCTCGTCCTCGTTCGCGACCGTCTCGAACATCTCGGCGATTTCTTTCTTGTCGAACACGACATTGTTTGCACTGAAAATTTCATAATTTCTGAGTCTACCCAGTACCTGCTCCGGTGTCAATTTGCCCCTGTGCTCCCCACTTATCCACAGTGTCGGTGTTGACTTCTTGTGGGAGCATTTCGAGCTTTCGAGGGTCCGATAGCAATGGCATGGTGCATGTAGGCAAGCACAGATTGGTAGATAATTGGGATTCAGAAAATGCGCGGGCTTTGAGCTCAGGAGGTCAACCATTTGAAGCGACGTTGAAATTCGAATCCCTCACGCCGTCTTGCGAGGGGAGGGCACAGCCTTGTCGGGTCGGTGTTGTGATAAATTTCACCACGAACACATCCTATGATACTTATGGAGCCTTGTATTTACTTGCAGAGAATTCGACCGCTTTTTTTATATATATAATTAAATGCCTTGTTTAGATAACATTCAAATAAGAAATCCAGCACCAATATCAACTGCAGGTATGTACTGTGGGCGATATATATTCTTCATATTGAACCCGGAAAGCACTTACCTCAAATAAGCTGCAATACATCCAAACGTACCATGACCACACCAAAGCACCACGCTCCATGTGCATTTGAGTCGTGTTCTACTGCAGCTGACGACACTTGGACACTAGTATGGTATGGCCCTGAAGGCGCACGATGGTGCTCACCTACTCATCCATAAGACAAATAACCTCGTAGCATTCATCAATCATAAGCTCAAATGGTCAAACAACCAACAAAAATCAAAAGCAGCACCAGACTCATAACAAAAGCCGGCAACACTGCATAGAGGACAGGTAGGGGAGTGGGTATCATCATCAATCAGCTACGCCCATGCAGTATATCCACCACACATGCCATCCTCCAGAAGTATTCACTTTCATTTCAAATAACGCCACCAGGCGCTTCATCAATCATAATTATCCATTCATTTCCGCCGCGAGTTCCGCGAGTCTCGACGCGCAGCGTATTCTCGATCACTCTCCTCGTCTTCTTCTTCGACCGGCGCAGGCGTGCGTCGCTCGGTTCGTCGCTTTGGTCGGCGGCGACGGTTGGAGCTGATGTTACTTGCTGAGTCATCGGGGGCCAGCGAGCGGTCGTCGTCCAGGAAGCCGTCGTCTGTTCCGCTTTCCCAGGCGTTTGAGAAGGGTGTGCCCATTCGCGCTTCGACGTAGGAGCCTCGCCGGCTTTGGTTTGCGACGGAGAGGCCGGCGCCGCGTTCGCGGAGGGCGCGGCGGACAACTTCGGCTTTGAGGTGTAGAGCTTCAAATGCGTCCTCTAGAGCTTCCATGCCCAGGAAGATGTCTCGCTCGACTTCTGCTAGCGCGGCAATCTCCTGTTCTTCATCTAGTGCAATTGGACCGCCGAAAGAGGCGGGGGATGAAGGACCGCCATTGGGTACGCTGGCGGGCCTGAAGCTGCCATCCATATAGTTGGGAGTTGGGCCGCGGGAGATTCCGCCGGTGCTGAAGGGTGTATTGGAGCGGCTGCCATTCCAGCGTGGACCGCTCGGAGGGATATTGTCTTCGGCACCGCTGCGGAGGAAGCCGTCGAAACGACCAGATATCAAAATCTCCCATTCGTCGTCGCTGATGGCCGCGAGGGTGGCTAGAACATGGTGGAGATTAGGGTTGTTCAGCATGAACATGGCGGTTTCAGGATCGCGAGGAAGGGAGGAGAGTCGATACAATCTTTGAATCGCCAACGAAGAGGAAACAAGCGCAGGAGGTTTCTGACGAGGCTTTTCATCTCCAGACCGCGGGACGGGAGTCGAGGAGTTGATGCCGAGCAAGGAGCAGAAGAGTGAGCGCTGGTGGGACTCAAGGTGGGTAAGCATGGCAAAGGTCAATGTCTCATCATCAACCTCCATCGGGGCACTCGTGACCTGGTCGTCATTTTGCTCCGAAAGCCACTTATCCACCGCCACCTTTGTCTTGCGGGACTGCCGGATGAAGTGATCTCGGTACTCTTCAGGAACATCGACATCGAGCTTTTGCATAGGGATGTGTTCCTCGCTGGGTATGTCGGAATCCATGTTTGAGGGTGCCATGATGAACGGCGGCCACATGGGTAGCTCTCGCCGTCCCGAGACAAGCTCCAAGACCTCTCCCCAGCTCACACCTTCCTGTGGCTCTTCCTTCTGACGATCGCACATGAAACAGCTGCAGGGTTCTGATGAGATGTCACGGGCAAACACAGCCTCTAGTCGGTCAAGCAGTCGTCGAGCTACAGATCGGTATCCCGTCGCAACGGCAAGCGAGCCATTTTTGCTCATTACCTTTTGGTACTCATCGAGCAGACGGTTATACGGGTCGAATACTCTCGCGGCAGCCAGCTGAGGCTGTGTAGCGTTCGACGCAAAGGGATCTGGAACACCAGTGTTACCTAGAAGTGTTCTCGGTACTTTGTTATCCAGACCGCCATCTTTCAACAAATAGTCGACTCTCGGAATGGAAACGGGCATTTCGGGCGGGGGTGGCGGGGGAGGTGGTGCACCGAAGCCCGGGCTAGACACGATGGGTCTGCCATAATCGATCGAGTCGTCGCTGGGTGCGTGTCGGTGGGACATGGATGATCGGACTTGATTGCGCGAGGGAGGCTTTGTCGGCGGGGTGGTAGGTTTTCGTGGTGCGGTATATTGCTGGTTGGGGGCGATTGAGGTGGCATCGGATCCGTTGACTGACTCGACGCCTACATCGCGGACGGTTATGTTGGAATGGGACGGCGACATGGTCGACCGACTGGAACGCTTGGCCGGTTTTCTTTCCTTTTCCCTCTCTTTTTCACCGGGCTTCGACTTAGAACTGGACTTATGACTCGATCGGGACGAAGATTCCTTCTCGGTCTTCGAGGATTTAGATTTGGGAGTATCTGCACGCGCAGTCTTGCTTGTTTTGGTTCCCTCATCCCGCTTGGATCGCAGACTAGATGACGATCTGTTGACCTCGGCCCGGATCTTGATGTTGTTGGCCTTCTTGGCCTTTTCCTTTTCCTTTTCCTTGTCCTTGTCCGATCCTTTCTCGTCTTCGCCAACAACGGGACTCCCCCTCCGAGAAGACGGCTGGTCATCGAGACCGGTCAACGGCGGGCTGGGAGGGGCATGGTGGTTCTCAGGGCGGTCCTGGCCTCCTCCATTGGCCTTGCCATCGTCCTGTTGTTCGGTCAAGTCGGTCGGATCCGGGGTCGGAATATTGGCCTTGCGGACATCTTCCTTGCTATGGGCTTTCGAGAAGGAAGGGTAGGGGAGACTCGTCCTGGACTCCAGGAAAGAGGCGGTGCCCGATCGGCTTGCGGTGTCGACACCCGGCATCGAGGCCCTACGGTGGGGTGCGGTGTGCGAGATGGAGGAAGTGGAGGAGCCAGCCGTTGGTTCTGGCTCGGGATCCTTGGTTGAGACGCGGGAGGACCGTCCGTGGGACGAGCGCTTCAGACCGTTCTTGGTGGTGATGGTGGTTTTCGAGGAAGATTTCGACTTCTTGGGTTGATTAGGTCTCACCGGAAAAAACATGGCTGGGTCGAAAATCGTAGCCGCACGACAGGTGGATCCCTTCACGAAGACCCCGTCTCCGCTAGTTCATCGGACGCCGTCCGTGTCGCTTGATACGCTGTCGCTGTTCACTATGGTCTGACTGTTGACCTCGGGGTAACTATGGAAGGGACCCGCCGCCGAGGGTAACGTGATGCTATTTTTGTGATGGAAGCGTGCTGCCTGGCGCTTAAATTGGGCACAGGTGAGATGTCACCGGTTGCGCACAGCCGGGGGCTCAGTGGATGTGTCGATCGCAGAGCTTCGGGAGAGACCCCGGCATTCCGTATCGAATCGCAAGGAGGGATAGGTGCGAACTAGACAAAGAAATCCGGAATAAGCTCGTGCGTGCAGGGCTTCTGGACGCATGAATAGTCGGAAGTTGGAGGTCGGAGAAACATGCGGTGAATGGGGAAGCCCCGCCCGTGGCTGCCTGAAGGATGCCTGAGACAGACTTCACAGCAGCAGTAACTAACTAAATAGTCAGCACATACAAGAACAAGAGTATACTTCAAGGGTACATTCCTTCAAGACATTGGATGACTAGGATCATTGGCAGATTAAGATGACAAAATACTAGCATAAATACAAAGCAATCCACACAAGGCAACACTATTCAGTCGTACAACACTGGGTATATTAAATTAAAACAACGCCGTGCTAATGCTCTCAGGGGTATCATCAACAAAATTCAACATGTACAGAACGAGTTTACTCAACCGCATGGAAACCATTATTCACTTTTACTGGTGAGGTCTCCAGAACCCAGTTCCCGTCATCCTCATGTGCAATGCCACCAAGCTTAGCTGCGCGCTGCGTCTTGTCACAAGCCGGTTCCAAGTCACCCGTATGGTGATCCCAGATCCAGCCTTCCTTCAGCCATAGCCACGTCAGATATGCACGCAACTCTTTATCCTGCGGCAGAACAGATTTCCATTCGGGGACAAAGCCAGGCATCGTAGCACCAGTCCCTTGCCAGTCCTTGGCCAATCCACGCAATTCATCACGGCAGAAAATGCGCCAGCTGTCCAGGGAATATGCACCAACTCCGGGCAAATGTGCAATCTCCCACGCCACGCGCATATCTTCATCATCAATACATTCGTTGCGCTCGATGTCTCGGCCATCCAGTTTGCGGGGGTAGTGTAGTTTGCGGTAGCGTTTTTCGCGGACCGGTGGATTAGCTTGCCAAATCCGCGCGATTTCAATACACCTGGTTGCCCGTTGGTTCTGGAAGCCGAGACAATGAATCATAGATACAAACTCAGACTGGTCTGCGCTCGCCATTGCATCGATAGTGGGGTATCGTTCGAAAACTTTGAAAAGAACAGGTAATGCCACTCCGCCTCGAGTGCGGTTGAGAAAAATGGTCGCAATCAGCAGCTTGAAGGGATCATGTGCTAATTGCTCTTGGACAAGACCGAAATATTGGGCATCAATAGGCGGAAATGGCAGGCAGGACTCGGGGCCGGGGGGAAGAGTCGGGAAATAAGGAGAAATTTTCGGGATCTTTCGTCGAATCGATTTGGGAGTTTCGGGGTTGAGTAGGGTAGGCATAGATTTGACCTGGGTGGTGACGGTCACTTTGTTCGGAGAAGGAGTAGAGAGTGAGGTCTCTGGGGGCTTGTCGTTTCTCGGTACGTGCAAATCAAACCCATCCAGGTCGGAATCACTGTTCACATCGTTCACTGGGCAGTCGGAAGGATAAAATTTCAAAGGCGTGTTCTTATCTTCGAGGATCTTCAGGGCTGCTCTGGGCGGGTGGCGCTGTTCAATAAAACTGGAATTTTGGAGTCCGGCGGGGTTGTAGAAAAACTTCGACTTCACCTCATCACTGGGGGTCATCCCTGGTGAATCATCGGTGCTTAAAAATCCCCATCACTCCAGTCATCCGGATTGGGAGGCGAAGGCTGGGGGGTGAGATGTGTCCCTGTCGCGACTGAGGTGTTGTCTGCGCTGGATCGGGAGTCGCTGGGCGTGCACGTTTCGATTTGGACTTGTCGGAGTGTTGGGCCACAGCCGGGGTTGACAAATCGCCTGTATCTGCGTCTGCGTCGTCCTTGCTTCCAGACTTTTTACGCTTTCGCTTCTTTGAGCGAGGCTCATCACCGAACATTTTTGCCACATCCAAACCTTCCTGGGGAATTGCCTGGGTGCTTGACTTGGATTGCTGGGCATTTTCGGCAGCGTCAATTTCCATAGAGTCTTCAGGTTGGTTTTTAGACTCTTCATTTTGCGCTCCATCACGCAACTTTGCCAGCTTTTTCTTCATCTTTCGCTTTTCTTTGGTGGGCTTCTCCTTTCCCTTCTTCAGTTGTTTCTTTTCCGCCTTGAATAGTTTGCTGGGCTTATGTTTGGTCGTCACTAGAGGCTCTTGCGGTAACTCCTGTTCCGGCGGAGGTGTATCTTCAATCATAACGCTGTCAGGGACTTCCGGTGCACCATCTTCACCAGTCGGCAAAAGACCATCACTTAGAGACATGCGCCGACGGGTCCAATGTTCATAATGGTGATGGTGGTGATGGTGGTGCCTTTTCACGTCGGCCTGCTCTTCGATACCAACGGTCTCGTGACAGTGGTGATGGTGGCGGCTTTTCTTGTCGGCCTTCCGGAGAGTCTTGGTGTCGCTTGATGGCTCTATCATTGGCGAAGGATCGTCCATTTCCATGGCATCAGATTTCTTTCGTTGATCGTCCTTCGCAGGCTCTGGCAGAGCCTGTTTTTCATTCGAAATAGCAAGAATCTCAGTCTTCTCAGGCTGGAACAGTTTGGGTCGCTCAGGGATCATAGTTCCTTGCTTGACTTTGCTGTCACTCGGCATGGTAGGCAACTTGCCATCCTTGGTAACATTGTCGCTCTTCGACTCATGGGTTAAGCTCTCGTCGATAGCCATAACGTTACTTGTGGTGATCTCCATGTTGTCCTCTTTACTGTGTGCAATTTCCTTCTCCACACGATTTGCGGGAGCATCCACAACCGGGCCTTCACGGGAGACGGTGCGAGTCTTGGTCTTCTTGCTGGACTTGGCCTTCTTTTGTCGAGGGCTGAGGCTGATCTGAGACCGACCTCGTTTGCGCGGACTCTTTTCAACCACAGGAGTCGGCTCCGGCTCCGCGTCATCAAGAACCTCCTCGCCGAATGAGGAACCGTCATCATCGACACCCAAGCCCTTGTCTTCGAGGAAAGTCTTGCGTGTAAAGCGAACCAAGGCGTCGATCTGGGGCTTGTCCAGTCCATTGTGCGATGCTTCTTTTCGGAGCTCGTAGATAAATTCGCGTCGTTCGGATCGCTTCACGGGCACTTCGGCATGCATGAATTCTTTGAACGCGATGTATTGGAGGATGTGATTCCGCTTAGTCTTTCCAACTCCACGGAAGATTTCATCCTCAAGTTCTTCATCGGCCGAGGCTTCGGGGTTTGGAGGGATTGTTTGTGTAGTGGTTTCGGTGGCCGGAGGGTTTGATGTCGGCTCGGTAGTATCAGATGCGACATTCTTCTGTTTGTTCCGGCGAGATTTCTTTTGTTCACGGCGGGATGGCTTCTTGGGCTTGGGCGGCTCGGGGGCTTCCTTGGAGTCAGCAGCACCATCACCACCGAAGGCGCCCACGATCTCCATCTCAGACACATTTTCGCTGACGACCTCCGCGCCAGAATCACCTTCGCTACCGCTAACCATATAAATCACAGTGATGTCCCGCCTGGCCACGCTTCGTGGGCTTTTGTTCGGCTTCGTATTCGGAGCGGGGGGTCCCGTGAAGAAGGCGGACTGTTTGGGTAGATTTTCGCTGTTCAACGAGAGGGAGGTGTCGGGGGTAAGGCTGCGAGACTCGGAAACAGGTTCAGGAGGCCATTCAAATCCTCGAGATTCCTCCATGCTAGCGTCTTCGTCAAGGATTTGGTCGAAAATGCGATCCACTTCCTCGGGAAAGGGCTTGTAGGAATCAACGTCGTACGTCGGGGCCGGGAGGACCACCGAGACCTTCGATTGGTCTGCGGCGGCCATTTCGAGCGTCAAGGGTTGAATCTCCGTGGGTGAGAGGCGAGACGGAAATTCTCGATCGCTGTTGATGCATATGACGCGCGGTGTTGTGTGCCGCGTAGCAACTAGGGAAAGACAGTGAGGATGATGAAAGAATGATGGTGGGTTTGAGGGGGGAGTGTTGACAAAAGAGGGTCCGCCTGTCAGGCAACAAACGTCCAGGTAAGCATTTCAAAGGAAGGTGCGTGAAACAAAGCCACGAGGTGACAGCTCAACTGGAAAATCCCGCCGGACGCCAAAAACCGACGCGCGCGGCGTGCACGGGCCAGAGATAGGCTTATCGGGCGTGGCCCGGTTGGAAAGTCTGGGGAAGTTCGAAAGCTCTTCCAAGGTTAAGAGTACCGCGGTTGAGTATTCAGTCCTGGGAGTCCACTCTATTGTAGGTGATAGCAATAAAAATACTACAAAAATTCGAAATTTAAAAAGTAAAATTTTCCCAATGTTCATTTCTACCCAAAATGTTCTGAGTCTATCTAACCAACGAGGGCGGGGCTGTATAGTGCCAACGCTCAAGACTATACACTGTATGACAAATGGACTGAAAGGAAACAAATATATACACACTGTTGCCGAACTGAATCTATGGCACGGAATACCCTGCCGACGCAAGCAATCGCGGCTCTCCTGCAGCGTCGAAAGTCCCGTTAGGCAGGATGCGGATGGCCTGTGCGCTACTCTGTCCAGGCGCAATCCACGTGACATTGTGCCCAAGGCTCTCCATAAAAGCAACGGTCGAATTGTCGTAGGCATACTCAAAGGTGACCTGATTTGGCACTAGCTGGTCATGCAGACGCGGCTGAGCCAGGGCCTGGGCAGCCGAAAGACCTTTGTCAATGACATTGATGATGTTCTGGACTGTCGCAGTGATAATCCGGCTGCCACCTGCACATCCGGTCACGAGGAAGACACTACCATCGGTTCGAGTGACGATAGCCGGTGTGAGGGATGACAGAGGGCGCTTGCCGGGCCGAATGTAGTTTGCTTCAGAGGGGATGTACCCGAATGAATTGGAGGATCCGGGGATTGAAAAGTCTGGCATCTACGGTTAACATGAATTCCTCGATCTCGTCAGTGAGATTAACTGACCGTTCATTTCGTTATTCATAATGATTCCGGTCTCGGGGACCATGACGTGACTTCCAAAGTATGTGTTGATCGTCGTGATGGTAGATACCGCCAATCCTGTGTGGTCGGCTGCTGCGATGTGCGACGTACCGGGTCTGTAGCAGTGTCAGTACAGCAATAGACATGTTTGACCCAAATCTTAAAAAGCACATACGTGTCCAGGCTCTCAAGGCCAGAGGGGTCGTAGGCGGAAACGTTGAGAGTATGAGTGTCCGAAATCTTGGACCGAATATCGGCAATGGTTGATTTCTTCAACATATCTCGCTGATACTCATCCATGCCCTTCACAAATGACGGGTCACCCATCTCGGTCCGCTATATTAATGGGGTTAGCCTTGGTATCCATCTGCGCAAACTTTTGGGACATTACCTCGCCATAGCCGAATCGCATCGCCTCATCCATTCGATGGGTGCTGAGATTCACAGCCTTCTCATCGGCAAAGAGGTCCTTGTAAGTATTCAAGATCTTCAATATGCTCAGAGCAACAACGCCACTCGAAGGAGCCGTAGTACTGGTGATCGTGTATCCACGATAGTCAATCTGGGAAGCGTTGCGAATCACAATACTATAGTTGCGCAGGTCCTCGAGGGTCATTGTGCCATTAGCCCCTTGAATCGCATTGATCATGGCCTCTGCCATAGCCCCCTGGTAGAACACATTGGATCCACTTTCTGCAATCGCCTCCAGAGTATTGGCGAGGCGTCGGCGGGTAATGGTATCTCCTAGGCCGAGCCGGGTGCCGTTCGGGGCGAAGTCGATAGCCCAAGTTGGATCATTGACCAAGAAATCTTCACCAGTACCAACCGCTTTATCCATGAACTTGACCAAGTCATGAGTCACTGGGAAGCCGTACCGCGCGGTGTGGATCGCGGGCTTGAGTACGGTTGACCAGGGGAGGGAGCCATATTTTTGATGCAGGTGCTCCAGGGCGCGTACTTCGCCAGGGACGCCACTTTAAACCCGGATTAGCGATAGGGTAGGGGATCGTTAGGCATAGGAGGTCCTACCTTGCGAGACCACCGTAGAGAGACGCGTCCGTGTCATTGTTGTACATGTCCTGGAAGGCTGCAGCCGGGGCTGTTTCACGAAAGTCAATGGTTTCGAATGTGCCATTGGGCGACTTGACAAGCATAAAGCCACCCCCTCCAATTCCGCTGTGATACATGGCTGGAGAAAGTTAGCTCTCCATAATTATTGTCAATTATTGTTTCGGTAGATTAGGTTACCGATGACTCCGATGCAGAACTCCGTCGCGACCATCTATAGCTCCAATTAGCAATTCACTATGTTCATAGATTTCTGTAGGCTTTGCCTGCCAACTCACCGCGTCGGCAGCATTGCCGCCCATCTCGAGCATCTTAGTGCCATGGCCCGAGCAGATGGCGCTTTCACTTGCAACTGCACCCAGTTTTCCAGGAGCAAACTTTGATCGACCCGCATCGATTCCGACAGAACCCCGAGGCAAGAAATCCAATGGTTTTGTAAACGCGCCCGGTACATGGATCACCATTAACACCAAAGTCACAACAGCCAAAAGGCTCCATCTTCTCGAGTGGAACATATTCACAATGCTCACGCGCCAGCTATTTCTCAGGCGACCAGGACGATTGAGTATAGAAGCGGGACATGCCGGCTACCAAAGCGATATTTATTAGCTGGTGAGCCCATCCAAGCGTGAGGGGACAGAGCGGGGAGTCGACTAGGGTGAGGATGGACCTGCATTCAGAGCATTCTTCTCCACATCATGCCCGCTGATCTTTCCTGATTGCATTAAAACGCGCAAGGATTATACTAGTGTAGCAGGCTCGGCGTTGCGGGGTGCGATCTGTGATAAACTCGGGGTTGACGTCCAAGAACAAAGCTAAAGGCCAGGTTGTTTGGCGAGTTCAGGCGGAGAACCGCTTTTCAGGACACCCACCGCCAGGAGCAAAGAGCCACCCTACCGCAAGATCGTCGGGTGACTCAAGCCGGCCCAGCGATCGGAAAGGGACCCCGCTGATAACAAGATAAGCACCCCCGAGCCACGCGCCAAGGTAAGCTTTCGCGCCCGAAGCAAATTATTAATATCAAACGCCGAGATTTGGGGTCGCGTGGTATCTGCTTGGCTCGTTGGCCGCAGCGTGACATTGCGCTTTCTCGTTCTTGTCTTGCTGCATCCGGATCCTGACTAATCCGACTTGGCTGTCTAAGCCTCGTGGTCCTGCGTGCGATGATCGGCTGACTTGGTAGTATCAAATAGGAAGGAAGTCTGCTCCGAAGGTTAACGGCTCTTGTCCAATAGCTCGGCTCCACTTGACAGAATCGGATTTGGGCATACTACCAGGAGTATATATCCAGCGACGATGGTATTCTGATTCAAAGAACCCTAACGATACATCCCACAGCCACTGGCTGCATGATCTGGATGATAATAGTGCCGGCTTCTCAGTTCAGATACGAATTAAAATCCTCCGATAGACTGGTGGATACTTTAATTTAGCTTGTCAGGACTTTATTTTATCATCGTATTCGTCAGCTGAAACAGGCCAAGATACCTTGGGTATTGTTTCCAGGAAGCTGATGAGTTGAATCGCACTTTCTACTCATAGCCTGATCGAGAGGGTGATAAACAGTACGAATGCTGAGGCGAGTGGATTCGCTCTACATGAAGCCAAGCAAGAAACAGATTTCTACATTCAAGTAAATCATAGCATCATGTTGTGCAACGGAGACATTTTCCCAACGTAGAAGTGTATTAATCTTTTATTTCAGCTGCCCTTTTAATCCACGCTACCTCCTCTATCCATTTAGGCGGGGGTTCCTTCATAGGTTCCAATGTCGCAAGTACCAGCTGTCGGCCCCAATCACGCACATACCAGCGATTATATAAGAGGCGCATAGCCACTCCCCAGTGCATGAAGAGGATGCGAGCGAGCCAGTCGCCCTCCTGGAGAAGTGAAAGGAGCTGGTCGGTGATGAAGAGAGGCCAGGCGATGATCCCGCCTTGAGCGCCGATCTTCGGCCAGGGTTGGATTGCGTGGTTCAGGAGTTCCCAGGTTGTCTTGTAGACTGCCTGGTGCACTCTTTGTTCTGAGTCTATTGTCTTTTTCAGTTTCTCGATCGAGACCATTATATCTCTTTTCGTTTATTAGTATCTGGGTTATTTGACAATGCTTGGCTCTGGCGACATACTTGTGGAGATTCAGTAGTTTTTCAGTGTTATCGTCGGATACACCATCACTGGGTAATATGTCAGTAATGAACTTGCTTCAGAGATGTCGAAGATCGTACCCATCCTGCTTGCTTGCCTTGAGACGCTCTTCTGTCTCGGGAATGCAAAGCCAGCCACTCAGCTCCCCGTCAGATCCCACTTCATTGAATCGATTGAAGAGCATCGCAGCACCAGAGAGCAACGTGCGAACCTCCAATACCGGCGACAGCGGATCTCCAGGGCCATTGTCGGCCGACGTTGCGTGAAACCCAATCGCAAATAACATGATGAAAACCGACGACACAAACGCCGGCTCATAATGCTGTAATGAGATTTCAGGAAGAATCTTTCCAAGGCCTGCGCACGCTTGACTTTGATATCGCACAGCGGTATCCAGCCATGTCATGCGATTTTCGGCCTCGAGCGAAGCGAGATGTAATGCAGTCATGGCAAGCAGACTGTCAAGCAGATATGGAAATGACGTGGCCATTTGCGGAATGCTCATGGACAGATGATGTGCAGACAGTCCATCTTGGGCAAGAGTATGGTAGGTAGACATTAGATAGTGGTGCATCAGTCTCATCTCCAGCATGCGCGCGGGCATGGGCAGATCGCCTGGGGTCCGCGGACCGGTCTCGGAACCATCCCGCGCAGAGGGAGAGCCGTGAGAGCTATCGAGATCGCTTTGCGAAGGCGGATAGCTGCATTCCAATTTGCGCTTCTTGCAAAGCGTACACTTGGGCAGCTCCTCGTCGCACTGTCTGACGTTAGTTCGCAATCCTCACAACACAGAATCCACCTAGATGTAGAATGGGAATTGCGAGTGCATCGGAGCCATTGTCGCAGATACAACATCTACCCATCCACGCTCCAGCGCATTCGACGTACCTTCACATGTCTCCTTTTACATTCCAAGCACCCTTTCCGGGACTTGGTATGGCTGCGCCGCGACGGCATTGGTTCTCAGTGCCCAACACCGGCACCGATGTGTGTGGCTAGATGCAATGCACCAGGAGACGACTCGCTCAGTCCATCCCGGAGGATTCGATCTGAAGGCTAACCTCGGTTTGCAACGAAGATCCGCACATGACGCGCCCTCCTGCGTGTGTTTAGTCAGCGCCGTTGGACCCTCAGGGCTAATCTTAGCCGTCGATCCACCACGTGACGCCGTACCCGGTGAGTAGTCCAGTCATCTAGGTACCCTTAAGATATTTGACTAGGGCAATATTGAATAGACGAGCTAGAGCCTGAGTAGACTGCTTGGTTTTTATACGTACACACACTTTGATTTAGATGGAAGCTGTTGAGATTGGATACGATGAAGCACTGAATATTGAATAAGGGCCTGCTAGACAAATCGACCTTGATGAAATTGACAGAACTTGAACTTGACTGTATCAAACTGTCTACATGCGATTCTGGGGGTATTTATCCCTGAACGGGCGCCAAGTCCTGACAGTAGTAAACCCCTATTATCGGTCTCGATCGGTGTTCTTCCATGAAGATCCCCTGAATGTAGAATATAATGTCGGCAAGAGCGTTTGAAGCGCATATCAAGCTCAGTGCCTCGGGCTTCCCTGAACAGGCATGCCGACAGAGGTTGGGAATGAGGCATCAATTCGGTGCCTTATCCTGGAGCCTCAACAGAAGCATTTCTGGCGTTGACCTTTTCCATCTACCTCCAAATGTATATTGTGTCTAGACCTCGCCACGACCCTGATATTGGGTCCCTCCTACCGACTCGCGACCCGGACCTGGACGGTTCCGGTTCCGAGCCTTACGACCCGGACCGACCCTCAGGGTCATAAAATCTCGTCAGGGTCACCCTGACTACGACCCTGACTACCCTGAATTGCATAATTCTTTTACGCCTTTCCTGATTAGGATGAATAAATTCGCTGACACATCATTATATATTACTGTTTCTTATACCTGTTCTGTATGTCTAACTATGATTCCATCAATTTTCATCCACCCCCTATGTAATTCTTTGTATTAAGTCTTTTGAATACGTCTTCTGGCTTGGTAATACTAAACTTGCCCTCTTTTCTACCTAAGAGGAATTGTTGTGGTGTGTTTTATAGAAAGTTGGTGAAATTGGTGTGTAAGGATGCGGAAATATATTTCGAATGTATGAGATAGTTGCACTACATTCCGCAGAACTTAAACACTATCCTAACTCCTGCGGTGATGGTCTTGAAAACCTAGGTCAGTGACCTAGGAAGGACCGTGGCTATCGCAATGAAAGGGAAATCCTATGGGAATCCTATCCTATGCCATAATATACGGGTGGGATTCAGGATAGGAAATTCCCTCCCACGGTCAGTCTGACTACCCTGAGGGTCACCCTGACTATCCTGAGGGTCACCCTGACTACCCTGAGGGTCACCCTGACTACCCTGAGGGTCACCCTGACTACCCTGAGGGTCACCCTGACTACCCTGAGGGTCACCCTGACTACCCTGAGGGTCACCCTGACTACCCTGAGGGTCACCCTGACTACCCTGGAAGGTCAACCAATTAGCTTGAGGATTTGAATAAAAAGCGGGGTTTAGATGTGATCTATCAAGCAAAAAATCAGATAATGCAGAATCAGCATGTACCTCTACCCCTAAGTCCTTTCGCCTAACACCAAAGAAAAATCTCAGTAAGTCCTTCCTTCTTATACACAGCTTCATCATGTCTCAGTCATCTGATATATTCCACTCCTCTATACATGATGCGCCACCTTCGGATTTCCTTGAATACGTTGCTAATTCTACACCACCTCAGCCTTTCTCCCCCGTCCCCTCCGGAAGCCAACAGACCGTCTACGAGCCTCTGAAAGCCCCCGAATGCCTTAAACGCGTTTGCCCGGACCGGATCAGAACATACATTCTATATTCTCCAGAAATGAGTGATGAATTTGTGACTTGGTGGCTTCAGACCGACTTTGGGAGGAAGAAACGGATGACTTGGGATGGGAAACGCGCAAAGTGCTGGGAATACTTTGACCAGGTCGCCTTAGACAGAAATGGGAAACCAGGAGTTATGTGCCAGCAATGTCAGAAGGTTCTTGATCACCCTGGTTGGGCTCATAGCGGAACAACTTCAATGAACAAGCACTATAATGGGGTGACTTGTCGGAAAGCTGCCCTAGCCAAAAGGCAGAAGCCAAATATCAAGCTGGCATTAGAGCATGCTGTATGTTCAGCACCCTATTATCGGCTTTATTTTACTAACTTACTTCTACGCCTAGGCCCAGAATTCACCCGTACGAGCATTCGATACGCGTATTTGGCAGCAGAAGCTTGCGAAGCTTCTTACTGTGTCACATCTTCCGTTCCTTTTCCTTGAACACCCTGAGTTCCGTGATCTTATCTCTTACGCCCGGCTGGCACCATCAATGCCAGATATCCCATCCGCTAAAGCTATGCGCCGGCAGCTTCGAGAGCTAGTCCGTGAGAACCAAAAGATTATCCTTCAGACACTTCCTTCTGGTGCTAAGCTATCACTTGCCCTTGATTGCTGGACATCTCCATTCAAACAGGCTTTTATGGCTATCACTGGGTACTTCATTGACAAAGACTGGGAGTACCGTGAGATATTACTTGGATTTCAGCCCTTACATGGAGCTCATTCTGGTGCAAATCTGAGTGAGGTGGTTTTCGACTTGCTACAAGAGCATCAGATCACGAATCGAGTGCTTTCGGTGACTACCGACAACGCTTCAAACAACAAAACTCTTATGGAGAGTGTCAACGAGGCGATTGAAGGTCTACAATCCTCGAGCGACGTCGCTATCATTCGGGTACCATGTATTGCACATGTGATCCAGATTAGCCTAAAAAGTCTTCTTGGGAAGATGAAGGCTATTCCAAAAAATGATAGGGCTGAGCAAACATGGTCTGATGATCGGGTAGAAGCTCTGCGGGCGACGCAGCAGGAAAGAGGGATTGTTGACACTCTAAGCAAGGTAAGACGTCTTACTTAATTCCGATTCATAATCTAATTTGTTCCTTAGGTCCGAAACCTTGCGATTTATATTAATGCAAGTCCTCAGCGCCAGGAGTCATTCTACAACCTGCAGGCAAGAGAGAAAAAGCTAGTTCCAATCCAGGACGTTACTCCTCGATGGAACTCTACATTCTTAATGCTCGCACGCGCGAAGAAGCTCCAGCAGGCCTTCGATGCTTTCTGCTCCCAGTATGACCAAGGGCACTTTTCCTTGAGCCAGGAGCAGTGGCGGCAGGTTGATTATCTCCTTTGTATTCTTGAGCCTTTTCACCGATTCACAACTCTTTTGTGCAAAACAAAGAATGTCACTATCCATCGGGTTTTCAAGGTCTACAAGAAGCTATTTGATCATCTTGAAAAGTCGATTAACCAGCTTCGACGGAAGAAGGTTGCTTGGAAGCAGGTGATGCTTATATCCCTCGAAGCAGCAAAACTCAAGCTCTCAGCCTACTACAGAGACACCGACAAGATTGACAGTCATCTCTACGCAGTTGGCACAATCCTTTCTCCACAGGATAAACTCAAGTTCTTCTCGACTCCCGACTGGGATCCAGACCCAGGATCTGGGGTCGACTACCGAGCAGCCTATCGCCAGAGCCTTGAGTCCTTCCTCGAGAAGTACTCTGAGAGTTTTGCCGAGGACCATCAAAGGTTAGGTGGTCCGACTATAAGTTCGATACCGGATGAATTTGATTTAGCTTGTGCTCTAGATGAGTCGCAGCAGTCTCAAATTTCACAGCCAGCACAGTCAGATGAGCTTACAAGGTATCTTGATAGCAGTAAGTATTTCTTGATCTCTATTTGAGCAATTACTGACTTGTCCTTTAGATATAGTCACAAATGCCCAGCCTCTGACCTGGTGGAGAGATCATCAAGATAAGTTCCCTACGATGGCAAGGCTTGCTCGCGATGTGCTCTCTATCCCAGCTAGTGGTGCAGGGGTAGAGCGGCTTTTTAACTCTGCACGAGATATCTGTCATTATCGTCGAGGCTCTCTTCAACCTCAAACAATCTCAGATCTTATGATGTATATGTGTACATCACGGTTTGAGATTCATGAAGAGGAGCGAATAATGCTTTCTGAATATCTTTCGGCTCAGGAGATACAGGCTGCAAAGGAAGAGAGAACACAGCAGCAACTCGCTGTTGATCCAATTAGCGACAATGAAGAGGATGAAGCGTCTACGACACAGCTCCGAGCCAGGTCCCAGCCCCGAGCTATCTCGAAGACCCGACCAACCTCGCAGGCTGCCCAGGGTCCGTCCGCAAAAGCACTCGGCAAAAGACGTATAAGCAATATAGCTGACTATGTGAGAGGTGATGAGGAGGAAGACGATGGTCAAGAGTCGGAAGCAATACCCCTGCCGGAGATACAGCACCGAGTGTCAGGCAGAGTCCGTAAGCGTTCAAGGTTGCTAGATGGGTATGAAACGTCTAATATGTAATTCGAGATTCGGGCAGTCTTTTCGGTTGATTCATTAGTTTGATTTGTTTTGATTTAATTCATTCTACATTGCCAAATTAGGAAACTTCTCCTCTAAGTACTGTAAGTAAGATACTCAAAAATACAGACAAAATCTGCATAACTTATGCTCCGGGTGACTTGGCAATGTTTGCCTTGTTTGACGACCCTGAGGGTAGGTTCTCGACCCTGAGGGTAGGTTCTCGACTTTTATGGCCCTAGCCTGACCCCATTTCAGGGTCTAACCTTACGACCCTAAAACCTGCGTGGTCCGGGTCGCGGTCCGGGTCGTCAGGGTCACCCTCGGGTCGTGGCGAGGTCTAATTGTGTCACATTGGCATTTGTTCACCCTGTCGCTCTGAAAAATCTCGCAGATCTCCTCGTGCGAAAACCGCTAGAATTTTCATTATGAAGACCAGCCCATACCAGTCTTGTAGTTGTGAGACCATTGGAAGATCCAGTGTCGTTCTTACCTAAAAGGCGCGAAAATTGGTCACATCTACATCATCCAATCAGGTACTCCCACCAGACACTCAAGACGGATTTCGACACGGGCACTGCGAGGCACCACCAGGCCGCAGGCCCCCGCCCCAACAAAATCGAAGCAATTCGAAAGTCTAGCAGTATCCCAACAAAATGAAAACTGTGCGGATGATCTGCGCGGGGCTGAAATTCCATGGCGAATTGAAAATTGCAGCGTGTGGAGTTGGGTGCACTATGTGACTAATTGATGAGCTTAAGAAAAGCGCTTTGCCGAATGTCTGTAGTGGTTTATCTTTTGGACGGGCGTGGTACATCCCATCACAATGCAATAAGACAGGTGAACTTTGCGCGATATATTACATCTCATTTTCTCTAGCAAATCTGAGAGCAGCGATGTCCACATATTTTGATCACCCATAACAATTAACAATGCTCATTCCTTGACGTGATTCGTAAAAAAAAGCCATATACTCCCTGATGCAGTAATTATGTTTGTTGCAACAGTGCGAAGAGCGGACAAATACAATTCCCACTCCCAAATGTTTAAAACTGCACGTGGAACAGCTTGCTAGTTCTAATGCGCTCACCAAAGACGTAGAAAATGACGGGTAGCGGGCACAATGCCAGCGCAATGAACCCAAGCAGTGAGTTACCCCACCCCAGCCCGAGAGTCTCATACATCTTTGGCCCGGCGAGCGGAAGCAAGCAGCCAGCCAGAGATCGGAAGACTGTATTCGCAGCCATAGCACTCGCCGCATAGATGGTGAAGGCGTCGACGAGGTAAGTGCTGACAGTCATCTAAATCGAGACAGATTAGCGACGTTCCCGGTTTTACGAAGATGTAAACTCACAAATGAAATCAGCATCCCAACACCAAGAAAAGACGTCCCAATAATCGGCACAATCCAATGCGTTTTATAATACGCCGTCCACCCATACATGAAGAGCGAAGCAGGAACAAACAGCGAGCCAGGAATCATAGGTGGAAGCCGATACTCCGGCTTACTGGCCCCATTCTTCGCAGTCAAATACTTCAGCAGGCGATCGGATGTCGCGCCGAGAATGACAAGCCCGATTATCGAGCCGATGCCGATGCCTAGATACGAGAGGCCGACTGAGCCTTGCGAGAAGCCGTATTGGTCTTCGAAGACGGAACTGATGGTCGTGAAGAGGAGGTAGAGGTAGCCGTAGACGACGCCGACGTAGAGCGAGAGAAGGAAGACGATTGGTGACATGAAGAGCATTTTTGTTGGGCGTACGACGGAGAAGATGAAGAGGTCGCGCGGGGTTCGGCCTGTGTCGAGGGCGGAGCGGAGGTTGGGATTGCCGGTTTCTTTTTGGAGTCGTTTGGTTTTGCGGGCTAGGAGAGTTGGCGCGTAGGATTCTTTGATGGTCAGGATGGAGCTGAATACCACGGCGCCGCTCTGTATGATATTAGAGAGTGTACCGATAGAAATTGTCTGATGGGCTGTACTTACAGCCATAGCGAGCACCCAGAAGGTCCATCTCCAGCCTTTTGCTTGTGCGAGGTATCCCCCGCTATTTGGTGGTTAGTACTGGCATGTACAAACCAGGAAAAAATATATTTACCAACGGGACCAACAACAGGACCAATGAGGGGTCCAATGGCCCAAGCCGCCATGGCACTACCTCTTTTCTCCTGCGCAAACATATCCGCAATTGAGCCCGCGCCTATGGTCAACGGACAGCTACCCACGCAGCCAGCGAAGAAGCGGAAGACAGTCAAGCTGCCAATATCCGGCGCGACAGCACAGGTAATTGTCCAGATCACATAGAAGATGTTGCAGACATTGTAGACCTAGGAAAGAGTTAACACCAATATATGAAGAGCCTCAGAGAAATCTACTTACCCATCGTCTCCCATAGAGTTCCGAAATAGGCGCAATGAGAAGAGGACCGAAGCAATACCCGAGCAGGTACACCGAAACAACAAAGGATGCAAGTTCTGTGCTTGTGATTTCGAAATCTTTGACGAGTTGGTTGACGCCGGGTGCAAACATGGAAGAGCCGAGGGGTCTTGTATATGATATTCACGTTAGCCCTGGCAAGGCGAGATGACGGGTGGGAAATTGATCCTTACGTCAGGAATGTTATCAAAGCGATCGAGACAGTTGCGCTGACTTTCTGCTTCTTGGTCCAGTTGAGAGGGTTCTCCGGGTCATTGGGACCATCCCAATCGACAATGTTGGGGTCGCGAGCGACATCCTCCTTTTCTATCGCGTCTTCGGTTGTTTTTGTTCCCGCTTCGAGATCGACCTTTTCGTGGAATGAGCGCTTTTTCTCATCGATTTGGGGGATTTCCACATTGCTTGCGCCGGGCGTTGATCCGTCGATCGACGGTGTCTCTGCAAATATTTTTTAGACATTGCTTACTAGGTCCGGAGCAAGACGCAGTAATTTTATCGTCGAGATCCGATACATACTCTCAGGATCCACCATATTCCAAGCGTAGATTTCTGGTCAATCGCGTTGTGTATTTGACTTGCTGTTTGATGTAGCCACCGGTAGGACGAAATGCAGGGAAACCGCCGCGGGCGAACCACGCGGGCAACAAGCTTTCTCCAAAACCCAAGCAGAGACCCAGTCGCGTGGAGGGAAAGTATCAGACCCACTAGCAAAGACTGCAAGTAGACCTTCTCGGGGCGACAGAAAACGAAGCAAAGTAAGGGGGAAACGGTTGACCGGAATTCACGACGCAGCAAAGACTGGGAAAGCGAAGGTTTAAAGAGATCTGCTCGACGCACGATCTCGGGGTTTAGACCGGGGCCTTTCCGCGTTGGTTTGCACTATCCACCTCGCACTCCTCCAGTCTTGTGCACCTCGCATTTATCCTCATGCCGGCGATCGGAGCAGCACATCGACTGTGCATAACTTCCGTGCATAGCGATTCGATCCGGTGCTTGGCGAGCGTTTCTGATTCGAGCGCCACGCCGGTCAGCTGGTGGTGAGCTTGGGCGGGTCTGGCCGAGATCGAGGATGGGACGACTGTTGGGTCTCCGTGGACTTTCCATGGAGGCTTCAAGGAGACTCCGGGGCCAGTCTTGCGAGGCGTGATCGATGAAAATGCTGCAGTCTTGGCCTTGAGGCGTGCCAAATGGGGCGAAGACGTGCTTTAGGTAAATGGTGTAGACCCGCTCCCCCTCAAAAAGGGGTGTGGATTGCAGTGGAGACATACTTATACCGTGGAGTGTTCGGAGTGCCAGCTCCGTACTCCAGATGCCACTTGGAACAGCCCGAATTCCTTCGTAATCAAGTGCCATGCTGGCGCTTTGGAACCTGCTGTTGACTGGCGAAGACTCCGCATGTCGCCCATGGGACAGAGTTAGGGGTTGATTGGCGGGGTTAGGTTTTCGGAACGAATTTGCCGATTCGGAGTGAACCCTGGTTTTCGGGTGGTTTTCGGGTTTAACGATGTGGTTTGTGGGGTTAAGCTTGTCACTACATCCTAACGCTCAGCATGTGGACTATAGACATACCCTGGAGTACGAGGCACCGTCATCAATACTAGCAGCTGTCAGCCGCTGGATGAGGCAGTCTCCTTTCCCTGTCCAACACCTGACTACTGGCAATAGGGTTGCCTAGTTCATCGCCATCGCGGGTTCATGCATGTTGGCTTTTCTTGGCGGCTAGGATCAGTGCAAACGTGCTCATAGAGGACGGAGTCGGTGGTGCGCCTTCTATATAGACTAGGTCGCTCTGAAAAGTTTCGTCTAAACCGTGTGGGTATTCGGTCTCAAGCCCCTGGTATGCTGCTATTTATTGCTACGATCGATTAAGGATGCGACTGAATTCTATGTTCTTACCAACTTTTAATATTGATTAAGCGCTTAGCGAAGGAATTTTTTGATGAAATGAATGCTTCCCGATCACTACGAGGTCTACCCAGCAGTCACGACGGCTGGCAGGAACCATGTTTCATCATTGCAAGTTCGTGACAATGCATTTACAGGCTTCCATCAAACTTCATCGGGCTAGGAACGATCAAGATACCAACAAGGAGAATGTGAACGTGAACGGAAGAAGAAATACGATTGAATGCATCGATTGATGTCTGAACACACGCAGCAATTGTTCAAATAAACACGTATACGCTCAGCAAAAAAAAAAAAAAAAAACCGAATTTGCAATTCCAAAACACATCCAAACCTCGCAAATTAACATTTAACCTCCCGAATAATCAACCAAAGACACTTCCGAAACCTCTCCCCATCCTCATCACCGGGCCCTTTAAGCGCCTTATACCGATCAACTAGGCGATAACTATGCCTCTTCTTCAGGGTCGAATTAAAACGGATCAACTTCGACTGCGCCGTCCAAGGTAAAACATCAACCTGCAACTCCGCAAGCCAAGGCTGCAAAACCCGTAGACGTCGCTGCTGCAAATCCAATTCCTGCGCACTCTTCTGCTTGCTCATAATACCCTCCGACTTGAGCGATAGCTCCGCCAATTGCATCGCAACGCTCGATTCGCGATTAATGCGGCCCTGTGAGTCCATGATTGGGATGCGGGCGATGTGTGCTAACGCGTCCATTTTCGCTAGCTCGGCTTTTAGCCCGTGCGAGGCAAAGAGGTTTTTATTCGCTTGGCGGATTACGGCGTCGGAGCGGCTTTTTGACATCTCGTTGCCGCTGAATGATGCGATGCCGCTTACCGCCGACCCAATCCATTGGAGTGGGAAGAGGATTGGTACGTTTTTTAGGATCCCTCCTGTCGCGTCGAGGACTTGCATTGGGGGACTGGAGGTCATTGCGTCGTTGAGGGAATCGAGGAAGGAGAGGAAGGTGTCCTTTGGGATGTTGTATTCATGAAGGATTGGGGCGTAGGCGCGGAGGAGGGGGATCCTGCTGCTGAATCGACGGCGGGAATGGCGATGGGTCGATTTTGGTATTCTGGTGGTGCTTCGCCCTCACCCTGGGCTGCGGCGGCGTCCGCGTGATATTCGGCTGCTTCTGAATTCTTTGGGGGAACGAATAGGGGTGCGGGCAAGACGACGTTGTCTGGGCCCATGGGTCCGTATGGGGTGTCTTGTGCTGGGGGAGGGAACCTGTTGTCTGGTTCGATGGGTTTGAATGGGCTGTCTGGTTTCATTGGGGCGAAGGAGTTATTTGATGTGCCTTGGCCGAATTGGCTGGCTGGTGTCGTTGGGTTGAAGCTGTTCTTTGGTGGCATTTGATTGAAACGATTCTCTGGCCCCATGGGGTTGAACTGGCCGTTTGGTTGCATCTGATTAAATTGGTTATCGGGAGTCGCTTTGAAACGTCCATTCGGTGGCACCTGGTTGAATTGATTGTTCGGTTGCATTTGATTCAACTGGGCATTATTGAACTCATGCTCAGGAGCCATGGAAGTGTATTGGCTGTCGGGACTCGGTTTGAAAGGTCCATTTGCAGGCAGCTGACCAAAGTGATTATTCGGCGGCATCTGCTGAAATTGACGATTCGGTTGCATCTGCTGGAACTGTGCGTTCGGCTGCATCGGACTGAACTGATTCCCCTTCTGCACCGGTCCAAACGAGCCACCCAGCGACATCTGATTGAACGAATTATTCGTCGATGCCTGATTATATGGATTGTTTGAGCCTATCTGATTAAATGAGGCATTTCGCTCCATTGGTCCAAACGAGTTATTCCTTTCGATCTGACTGAACCCGTTCGACGCCATCCGCATGGGCGCCTTCTCCGGAACGACGACTTCAGGTAGTGAAGTGTATGGGGTCTCCTGGACGACAACCTCGGGCAGCGATGAATAAGGTGTTGGGTCAATCATCACTTCTGGTGCGTCGGCTGAGCCCCGACGTTCTGTTTTGGCGTCGGGCTTGGATTCAGACTGGAAGTCGAGCTTGGAATCATGTCTGAAATGCATCCTGGATTCGTTCTTGGGCTCTAACTTCGGATCGGGCTTTGGCTCTGACACTTCAATTGCTGACTCGTCGACCGCAGTCGAGTATGCCGGGAGCCCGATCTCTTCTCTCATGTGGTCTTCTTGCGCGGCATACTGGCGTTTCAATTCGTCGTAGGGGTTCATACCTGGCATCGTAGCCGACGTTTTCTCGGTTGATTTCAGGGGCAGTCTTGACAGTGTCGTAAATATTTCTAAGTCAATGTGCCTCGACCTGTCTGAAGGCTTGGTTTCGACGGCGTGGCTTGGCGGGGTAGGCTTTTAGACAGCGCGAATATTGTATAGATATGGACAACGCCAACAGTCTAAAATCCCACTTTGTAGCGAAGGACGAAGTATGAAACCTTTTGAAAAAACCCAGAGAACAGCTATGAAAAAGAGAAAATAAGAGAAAGGTGGAACGCTGAAAATATGATACGAACCAGCTTGGCCCCAGTCTTTCGGCCCCCAACATGACAGCAGACGCGGCTTATCGCCCGATAACGCTATTGCGCATTGGGTATGGACCGCGAGATCATCACTGGGGACAAATAAGAATGAGGGCGGCTGCAGGTGTTTATGAGGCGCTGCTGCCAATGGCTTTGAAGGGATGCAGCCTCCACGAAGGTTGTAGTCCGTACCGTCACCGTCTATAAATCAAGAGTCGCCACCGAGTAACAAGCTGGAGTATTAATGACTCCTCAAAATTTGAAGCAATGAATATATATATTGAAGCAATCCAGGAGGCCTTCGCCGAGAAACAGGGGGTATTCCTCTAAAAATAGACATTATATTGACATTGTACTAGTATTCATCATCATTGTACATATTTCGAATTCGAGAAGATTGATGCACACATTCGCGTCCTCAGTCGAAGAGAGCATGAATTTCTATAGCATTCGCTTCGAGGCTGGCTAGATCAACGCAATGGCACCGAGAGCAGCACCTGCGACAGCACCCAGAGATCCAGTCAACGCGCCGCCGGCGTTGAACGTGGTAGTCGTCTGGGCAGAGGCAGAACCGCTAGAACTTGCACCTGCACCAGAACTGGAACTTCCAGTGACATCAGAACTCATAGAGAGAATCGGAGCCGGAGTAGTAGACGGGAACGAGGTGGCACTGTTATCAGGCGTCGGGATAGTCGCAGTGGAAGTGACCACAACGACAGTCGAACTACCAGTGACGGTGCTAAATGAGGTCTCTGTGACGATATGCACAGTTCCAGACGAGGACGAAGACGACTCGAAGGTGGTGCTAGGATCCGCATCCGTCGCAGTCGCAGTCGCAGTCGCAGAGGGTGTCCAGCAGGGAAGGTACGAAGGACCTGTCGCCCGCGTCTCAGAACCGGTGTACATGGGACATCCCGGGACGTCCGTCTTGGGCGGAGCACGGCCACCGCCGCAGTCAAGGGGATCGCAGATCTCGCCGGTCTCGGGGTCGTACCAGTGGACGATGCGGTCGGCGCAGGTGGTGTAGCTGATGGTGTTGCAGCCTTCGGCGGCGACGCGGGAGGCTAGGAGCAGCAGGGGGACGGTTGCAAGTGTTTTCAGCATATTTTAGATTTTTCTCTGGAAGACTTTCAAAGAGTAGTAAACGGTGCCGCTTGCCGTGAGGATAGACTGTAGGGCTGATTGTGGAGTGAGTTAAGATCAGCGCAGACGGAGAAGCTGGGGATCGTTCCGCAGAAATACGTGAGCGCAGTCTGACGGGGTCGTACACCCGGAATTATGCCCCAGAAAGAAATTGTAAGCCTCTTCTGCGTTGGGAAAAGCGCGGGTCGGGGTGCAGTTCCCCTGGACTGCGCGCTGAGACATAACCTATCGTGTGCGGTCGCTTGGGGGTAGGGCGGCGCTAAGCTTCTTTTCAGGGCTCTGGGGCAGCTCAGGGTCGCATTTGCGGAAATTAGTGCAACAGGACCCTCATTTGGAGCGGATTGTGCTCCGATGGTTTGGCGAGGCGTTCGCCTGACTGGAAGCGTTCGTGCTAGTTCATTTTGGCGGGTGGAGAGTGCCCGGTTATCCGGAGATGAGATCCACCAGTTCTAAAATGGAGACTGACATGACAGCCATATACACTATATTTTCCCCTCATATACATTCTGACACCCTCGAATAACTTCACAAAATCGATCTCTGACATGAAGAGCATGCGGGCATTGACCGCGGGTAGGACCAGGAGAATACGAGCGAGCGAAGACGATGTAAACCCTTGGAGCCATCCCAGATCGCTATGACCGTTGAGGATGAGGTATGGCCCGAGTCCTCGGTATTCCATTCCTCACAAGCCTCTCCCTCAATATTCTCTTTGGCTTCTTCATTCCCGTATGCCTGACAGCAGAGCTCGGAACCGGATTGAAACCCCTAAAGACATGACGACGAAGAGGAAAATCATCACTAAGGATTTCAGATTGAATCTTCTTCTTGAGAGTCGAGTGGAGAAACTCAGTACAACTCATTTTATGATACTCCCACATCCAGTCCCGACCCTGATTCACCAGAACAGTCCACTCATCTGGATGCTGGCCGGGGAGACACCGCCAGAACAGATTCTCGCCATTATCTGTCGTCGCCCAGGGGATCACAAAGCTGCCTTGTATCTGCAGCTCTGGCGGCTTGGCCTCAATCTCCCACATTGTTTCGTTGGCCTCGGTCGTGTAGTCGGTAAGTCCACCAGGTCGTAGTGCCTGTTTCGGCAGTCTGGCTCGAGGATGTACATGTATTCTTCCAGGTAGCCGCCGCCCATACGGTCGATCAGTTCTTTGTAGTCGCTTGGTAGGGCGGTTTCCATTTGAGTTTCGATTACCTCCCAGTCTTTCTTTGTTGTGGAGTCTGGGGCGCTGAGTGTCTTGATGATTTTGGAGACTGCATTGCTCATTTTGGCTGAGGGCTTTGCGCGATGTACCAGGCTAGATGCCATGATCGTTTACAAGTGTTCTCCGCGCTGGTGCCAATTATGAGGCTCGCTGTCGAATGTCGCAGCTGGCGAGATGGTGGAGTAAACAGGGCCGGGTCTACGATAATCTGGCGAGTCGATTAGTGGTGTTGGCATCCAGGGCCCAAGCATCTACTTCCTTGCCAAAGAGTCGATATACCTCGAAATTGCAGGGAACTTTCAAAGCAATTCACGTTCTCTCACATCGGCCTCAACCAATGGTGCGCACTCGAAGTGCCTTACTTTCATGAGGGCTTGTCTTGGCAACCGCCCCCAACCTCGCTCGAAGCCCGAGTCTCTTTTCAGAACCTCGACTTTTTGAGACGGCGTATCTTTACTCCGAGAGTCCCCAGCTGGTTTCTTTGTATCCAGGCATTCTCAGGCAACTCTTCTCCGGCTTTTTATTCTTCAAGATGACACAACCCCCCGAATTCGGCAGTTCAATTCTCCTACAGTTCATCCCGGTCCGCCACCAAGCATTACTCCTGTGATGCTGGACACCTCGCTGAAATACCCAACCTTTTTGTCGAAGATATTGCTAAGTTCCTATGGGACGAGTTTAACATATTAGCGTCTTCATCCAACATTCAATGTGCTTTTTCTCGGGCTGTTGGACCAAAAAGACAGCTCAGCAGAAAGCCAAAGAACAAAACGCTCAACTACGTGATTTCTACTAACACAGACTATCCAAGTTTCGTTCATACTATCTTGTCTTTGTTGATAAATCTGGATGTGATAAACGGGTGGGGCATGGGTGAACTGGTTGGTTACCACTAGGCGTGACATCCGTCTAAATGTTAATTTCATCGGGGCCAACTATCAGATACTGCTAGCGTATACTCAATATTTTACCCTTCTGTCTCTCATTTTGAAAAGTTCAACAGATGCGGTGTTGTTCGAATCCTTTATTGAGCAGCTTCTACAGCACTGCGGGAAGTGGCTGGAGCCACAATCTGTGCTTATTATGGATAACACATCCTTCCATCATTTAGAACGGATTAAGCAGTTGTGTTCTGATGCGGGAGTCAGGTTGCTGTACCTCCCGCCTTACTCACCAGGTTTCAACCCTATAGAGTTCTTTGCCGAGCTGAAAGCTCACATCAAGGAAGTTTGGCCGAGTATTGAAAAGGATCCTGACCAAGGGCTTCTTGCCTTCCTTCGGCGGGGCGTTCATGATGTTGGCGCAAAGCAGGAGAGCGCTAAAGACCATTTCTGCCATGTAGGTATAACGATAGAGAAAGTATGAGCGGCCGTAGTTCCAGGAAGCCAGGCATGTGCAATGAGTAGCATAGGCCAGGTTGCGTGTCATACTCCGCCCGTGATACAGTATTAAACCAGTTTGCTTTGTTCTTCGAGATCCTTAAATCAATATTAACATTTTGTATCTGGACGACGGACGCCAAGAAGCCGGAGGGATGGGGATGTCAATTGTTCAAGGAGAATTGCTGTAGAGGTCAGCAAGCAAGTGATGTGCAATCGAGGGTCACACAAGAAAGTACTCTGCTGTGTCAAATTATATCTATGCTGGGAACTTGACGGTATTTTTTTTTTTTTCGAAAAGTACGCCGCTGCAGGCTATTCTATATCTGCTATACATATGATGTCTAGACTAAATTACTACTATTTTCGTAGTGAGCGATTTCTCCGCGCTGCTTCACCCTAAAGGCCGATGTCGCGCACGAACCGTCAAGCAGCACCTACTTTCACACCATGCTTGACAAAAAAAAAAAAGAAAATAGATCGTGATTTTCATAGATTACCTAAGGCCAAGGCACTTCTCGAGGGTCACATCACGTGCTTTCTTGATGCTACCCCTGAAAGCCTCATTTCTCACTCGTGACTGCTGCCATTCAGTATGATCCTCCATGGCTACGTCAAGTAGCCCATGAACTAATGATTGGTTCGTCACATGCCTTCGCGACCCTTTCATAGAGTTCATTGTATATTGTATGTGTCATCCAGTCTACACGAAGATTCAAATTATCCTAACAGGCTCCTACGGAAATCTCGCAAGTTGATCCTCCCTCGGATCGATAATGGATGAATTATATCTACCCTCTGAACTTTTCCAAAAAAAAAAAAAAAAAAAAAAAAAAAAAAAAAAAAAAAATTGGACTTATGAAATGCCCACTGGCTGTCACAGCTATCTTGATTTACCACATCAAGCTGTAATTTGAAATAGTGGCTCTCCAAGGAATTCAACATTGACAGGACCAAACCCGTTTCCAGGAAGCGAGGCAGGCGTTATCCGACCATCTGCTTGCATACGAGGAATATCAGAAATCAGTGGGTTCGTCCATTCAGCGAAGAGGTCGACAGCGCGCAGCCGGTCAGGGCGCGTGGAGGCTGCTAACTGAAGATTTTGCGCGGTCGTCAGAGCACAACCCCAAGTGTCATCGACATTAACCATCATCTCAAGTGCCACAGCTGCATCACGCAGGATGCGGGCCTTAGTGATACCACCGACGCGCGAGAGCTTAATATTTACTCCTGTGATTCCTGCTCCGTGGGCCGCCACGATATCGGCCATTGTGAAAACACACTCATCAAGGATAACCGGTAATCCAGTACGACGGCCCACTTCTGCGCAGTCAGAAAGCGATCGGCATGGTTGTTCCAACGGTATAGTGATATCCCGTCCTAGAGCCCGAGCAAAGGTAATGGCGTGATCGAGGTTCCAACTAGCATTGGCATCAGCCCAGACTTTGATACCTTCAGGAAGAGCCTCGCAAATAGCCCTGACACGTCGGGCATCAACTAGCGGATCGTCCCCGACCTTAAGTTGCAAGGCTATCACTCCCTTATCAAGTTCAGCCTGAGCTTTCTTAACAATGTTAGGGATTTCTCCAAATCCGATGACCGAAAACGCAGGTGATTTATCGGAGAGACGCCCACCGAGCAAAACATGTGCCGGTAACCCCACGGCTTTGCCTAAAATATCCCAGCAAGCGATGTCAATAACAGACTTGGCTGCTATTCCCGACATCATAGCTCGATCCATAACTGCACTAATCGCTGCAGGTGATCGCGGGTCGAGGCCGATAATCTGTGGACAAAGTTTCTTCAACGCGGCAATCTCTCCGGTAAAGGAGCTAGGCAAATAGTCGCTGCCCAGTGGCGCGTTCTCGGCCCAACCTTCAATGCCACTATCTGTGCGAACTCGGATAACGATAGAAGGCTCGCCGGTGCTGGTGCGACCACCAGACATTGTGTGGACCCCATACTTGTAGTTGGCCTTGTAACTGAAGGCGGTAATATCAGTAATCCGCATTTTGCCTGCAGTAGTTTCATCAGTGGCGTTGCTTACGGAGTGAAGGGAATGCGAAGCCACTAACCTTTAATTTTCGGTCTCTTTGAATTTCTGTGGCCCAATGATGTTCGATAATCTAAGTTGTTCCGTAATACTTTCTCGAGGTGCCTTATAGCGCAGTGAACGAAACATGAATTTATTTGGCCATGCGGGTCAGTTGTCTCCAAATAAGTGACAGCATCAGCGTGGGAAGCCAAGCAACGTCAGCGCAGAACATCGGGATCGCAGCCGTAGTGAGGACAAATGCAGTAGATAAGAATGTACCGGAGGACCAAAGAACCACCAGGACCAGTAGAACTGTTTGGGGCCCCGTCGCCACCGGATATTTAAGCCGAGGTGGGTCATACTATTTGTACACGAGAATACCCCGCAAATTGAGCTGGGCTGCCATGCGCATTACTTCAAACAACGTCAGATACCCCCGCTGCTGAAGAGTCACTCACTGAGACGACTGTGTATGCTGAGCTACTTTCTAAGGGGTAAGGGACACGATTATTTGAGTCATCAAATGTCGATACTTATGCTCCGGCGAGAGTGGCAACTTACAATGGTTTTGTCGAGAATCACAGGGTGGAAGAAAACTGGTACAACGGTGAAAAGCATAGAGCTTGGCTCTTGTGGAATTTATGCTTTCTATCAGAAATGTAGGTACTAGAATATAGGCCATTGTTGAGGAAATCGACCTCAATTTCTGGGATTATAGCTAGTAGATTGATTCGAAACAGTTCATCCACTTAACCCCGCAGGATATCATATGAAGATATACCTAGTTAAGGTATTAGCTATTTCCGTCGGAACGCTTGCCGTGAAGGGGCCACGATAGGCATCAAACCGGGCTCTGCGACCGATGCGCGACGCGGGGCAGATGATCAATAATGTTACATAAACTAACAGCATCACAATTGTGTTGAATACGGTCTCATAGTTTTCCGAGCCACCTATCTGCACAGAACTACAGAGTAACCAAATTCACCCAGGATAAGCAATAGTGGAGATTTCGAAACAAGGCCTTACTGGTAAGACTTGCCTATCACCTTGACCCCAGATGGACCTTCAGGAAGCACCAAGTGCTGTACGAAAGCAACTACGAGACGCAGAAGGGAGAAGTTGACACTTTGCTAGTTCAGATGTTGCCTTGTTTGTGGCTTTTGTTGCTTTTGCGTGGAATTTTCTAGGAGTTTCAGGCTTCTAATTTTAGACTCTTGTATCTGTCTTTCGATCTATAAAAAGGAACTGATATTATTACGGATAGGTACAAAAAGTGTTATTTTCCTGTATCATGTGATTATGGTTTGAAAGAGCAGTTCTGTGTTTCCGACATAGAAGGCGATGTTGGGCGCCACTGTATTGTCAAAGTCTGGATTGAGGGTGTAATTTGGGGATGAATCTCGAGGTATTGGCATGGTTTCTTTTGATAATCATGCAACAGGTTATGCTAATGCCTCGATATTTATCCCAGGAATACACCCTGGTGTCACTAAAATGGGTATGTTCAGAGCCACGTTTACCCTGGATGGTCTAAAGACACCAGGAACGACATGCGGCGAGAACACTGTGCAGTACCCTTCCATTCAAAAGTCCATTATTTGCGCTTTATCTCAGTGCTGTTGCCGGGAATTCTAACTCTTTTTGAAATTCCCAGAGACAGAAAGGAGAGGAATGTCAGATAATGGACCTCCACATGGAGGCCCACTTGTCTTCAAACCGGAACAATCTGTGATCGAAGACATGGTGGGAAAGTGGCAGCCATTTTCCGATGCTGCGCCCTCTGATTATGGATGTGTCTTCCTTTTTTTACTTTTTGTGGCAGGTCACTTTCAACCCAGCCCAGGTCAAAGCATGCAAATGCAATATCCCTCTGCCATTAGAAAAGTCCATCTTGAAATGCGTGGGACTTGGGGTATTTTCTTCTCTTTTCAATATTGAAGGAAATCGCCCCATTGAAAAGAGAAGAAAATACCCCAAGGCCCGCATTTCGAAGGTGATGGGCCTCTCCTTGGAGGGATCTTTGCCTAAAACGGAAATCCTATGATGGGGGGATATGGGTCGAGGAGTAACAGCCACTATAGCGGTTGAGGTTGGATGGTGGCTCGCTTTTTATCTGTAGACGTGTCACGTGTCTGCCCCCTCTTCCTGCTGTGGCAATTCGCTCTCAACCTCAGCGAAGGTCAATAGCATGCACATGCAATGACCTTCTGTTTAGAAGTCCATGGTATCCGGATGCTGGAGCTCTCGTGCTATAGTCGGAGGCCTTTCTTCTAGCATTTCCGGGAATAGCCCGAGTGCTACAACACCTTGATACAATGGTTCTTTACATATAAGTGGCATTTCCCTTGAAGTTGAACGCCCCATGATTGAGGAAAGCGGTAGAGAAGGAGCATTTATAGGGTTCCAGACTGCACGATGACTCGCTTTCCAATCGTGGATGTATCTCACTCCCTCTGTTTTCCGTGGCAGTCGACTTTCAGCTCCACATCAGGTCAACAGAATGTACATGTGATATCATGATGCTTTTGCTGGTTGGTGAAGACTATGGAACCGAGGCTTCTCGAAATGTAATTTCGAAGCAGTCCACGGTAGTAGTAGTGACTGCTATTTGATACCTAGAAGCACATCAGCCACACCTGAAATATAAACACAGAAATACCAAGCCGGAGTCGACCACGCGCAAAATCCAAAACAGCATATCCCTCAGCTACACGATATCTCAACTACTTTGGTCAGAGGACGTCGTTCGACACCTAAGCTAGCGCAACCGACAATAAACGAGGTAAAAGCTCGCGTGATCACCTACTGCAGGTGCCATACGCTAGCCACGCATGGACCCATCCCACAATTGCAGTCGGTATTGCGATCCTCATGAGCACCGACCACCGGCAGTTTAGCGCAAAGCTATGAGACACTACCAGGACCCGACAGATTTCTGCGGATCAAAGCCACTGACCCACTACCAGGTGTCTCACTGGAAATGTTAATATTTTCATAGCAGTGTAGGGTAAATTAGTATGTTCGGTGAGTTGGCTTGAGACTATTACTGTAGGTGGGTTAGTAGGTTGGAGTTAATGGGCACGCTAGGAAATTTCTTCAGTGAGTAGATTTGAGTGCCGGTACCGGGGTGCATCGGCAAGAACGGTTTGCTGAGAGTTTCCATCGTAACGGAGAAAACCGTGGGAGCAGTATTCGCCCAGACCAAGAACGAAAAAGCACGGCACAAAAAAGCAAGCATCGCCCGATCGAACTCTGATCTGTCCGCCGTAGCCGAGCACCAGAAAAAAAAAAGATGTCGAATGGGGCGAACGCCTAGATGGAAGTCGGCGAACGTCCAGATCAAAAGCGACGGAGTGCATCGGACAGTGGAGTCCTTCCGGCTCTTCTGATTCTTCCCACGTGGATATCAAATTATCAAATTTTGTGCGAGCGTTGTCGTGATCAGATACCGTTCGAGCAGTGGCGGACCCTGCGGGGTGGATTTCCTGCAGCGGCATTGGCTGGTGTCCACAATTCTTCGTCCCAGCCGTGGCCAGCCAAGTCGGCAGTCATGCTGCCAGCGTCTGGAACGTGCGATCAGTCGGAGATAGACGGGACAGGGCGAAAAGTTAGGATTTGGCCAGGCATGCCGACGAGGCGCAGGAAGCATTTGCTTCCGACGGGACCATGGACTCATCCCCCTTGGTCGGGAGTAGAATCAGATTAGATTAGATGAGATCATTTGTTAATCACGGTTTACGGCATTGAGTTTCCCATTGTTTGCCACACTGACCCTTTAAGGTTTTGTGGCTCAAGTGACTGCGAGCTGCCAAGATCGCCAGGAAATGAGACCGCGCAAGCGTGAAGTTTTCTCACGGGCGAGACATATTTGGATCGACGTATTTTGGTTGCGGTGAACGGTCACGGTGGAACCGCGAGAGTCAAAATAAAAAAGCAAAAAAACACATGCGAGGGCAAATCGTGGCGGCGAACGTGGAAGCCAGCGCGATCTGATTACTTTCGGAGTGCCGTTTGGCTCACCACAGGGTGCATCGGACAGGCTCGCACTAAGTATACTACACTTAGTGCAAAGCTAGTGCAGAGACAAAGTACTAGCGCACTGACGGGAAAGCCGCCGGCGAGACAGTCGCCAGTTGCAAGGGCGCGTGCTGTGAATCTCTCCGATGCGGGGGCCGCCATCCCTAGTTCTTCCTCTAGTGCGCCCAGCGTGGCTATCATGGTCCAAGCGCTCGTCTGGCCCTGGTTGGGGCTGGTTCCAGAAATCGTCAGGTTCTTGTTCCAATTGCCATCAGATAAGATGATCCATGGCGTCGGAACAGTATGTGTTTTGGTGTATATCCGATGAAGCTGATGGTGAGATCCCATGGGTTGTTTGTCCGGTCGTCCTATGCCTGCTAGGACTGCGGAGGTGACTGGATCGGCACCGATGTCGCAGCCTTGCGCACTTAATTATCGCTTAATTGCGATGGGGCGAAGGATCACGTAGCGATATGTAGCAATACCAAGCAGATAAACTGGAGAGCTGGTCAGTAACAAAGCAGATCGGGTGCCCAACTGCCGAGGAACATGTCATAGCGGATGTTTGCAAACGGGTAGCGTCGCAGCGGCCGCGAGAAAGGGTCGCCGGCCAGGGAAGGCACGCTAGGCCCGATCTGGGACTAGTTCCGAGCCAGGCCAATCAGATAGCGCACGCCGCCTGGGCCGCGCGCGCGCCACCAAGTGGATGCACAGTGTGATTGGCTCATGTTGTCGTAAGTGGGACGTTATCAGATTATCTGATGACAGGCGCCGTCGGGTCCTCCGCGGCACCTGCCAAAAAAAAAAAAAAAAAAAAAAAAAATGGAGCTGGGCGCGCTTGCCGGCTGCTTTTCCTCGGACCACTGCTTCGATCTCAATCTTGTCGGGTTCTGCTTGTCGTCTTGTCTTCCTCAAATACCCGTGCTGCCCCGTCTCGTTCCTCCTTCCAACTGACTCGTCTTCTGGCAACCGGGACCTCGCACAGTCCCTGCCTACTTCCCTCGCGTCCACATCTTCGATATCCCGCTACCACCATGGGTGTCTTCGATATGATCCGTGGTCGCAACGACGATGGCCGCATTGCGAGGAACATCGTCGACAGCGGTGACATCCAAGAGGACAAGCACCCGCGTTCTACCGCTGAGGGCGCCGATGGAGGCGAGCATGCGCCGCCGGCCTATGAGTCCGACATTGATTCGCAGACCTCGTTCGGCGTCAATGGTGTGCTCGATGATGAAAAGGAACAGGAGCATAACCCTGACCATGTGACCTACAAGGCTAGCGTCGGCCAGCAAAAGGCTGAAGCTGCTGCCCTGGTCTGGAGTCGTCCGGTGGCTATCGCGGTCTATGCCTGGTGAGCTCATCCAGTGCCATATAACCATCACAGCATGACTCCGAATCGTACTAACCACAACTAATCAGGATCTGGGTGTGCTTCTTCATGCTCGCGTTCCACTCGTCCATCAATGGTAACCTGATCAACTTCGTCTACGCCGACTTCCAACTGGCCCCGCAGGTCTCCACATCCTACATCTTGGCCAGTGTCATCGGTGGTGTCCTGAAGCTGCCTCTGGCTAAGACCCTGCAGCTCTGGGGCCGCGCCGAGGCGCTGGTCTTCTCGACCGCCGTGTACATCGTCGGCATGATCATCCTCGCCGCCTGCAATGGCGCCGATGCCTTTGCGGCGGGATACGTTCTGTACTGGATCGGATACTACTGCATCTACCTGATCCTCGACATTTTTGTGGCTGACACCTCCGGTCTGCGCTCCCGTGCTTTCGCCTTCGCCTTTGCGACTACCCCGTTCATCTGCACCGCCTTTACCGGCCCGCTCGCCGCTACCGCAATCCGCGTCAACTCTGGCTGGCGCTGGGGTTTCGGTATTTTCTGTATCATCCAGCCCGTGGTTTTCCTGCCGCTAGCTGTGGTGCTCAAGTTCTACGAGCGCAAGGCTATCCGCCTGGGTGTGTGGGAGCGTCGCCAGAGTGGTCGTACTACTCTGCAGTCTATCGTCCACTACATCCATGAATTCGATGGTAAGTTTATCACAGCCCCGTGTGTAATCCATTGCCACATGCTAATGATACGACTATAAAGTTATCGGCGCCTTGCTGCTTATGGGGGCTTGGGTGATTTTCCTCCTGCCCTTCAGTCTGGCCCAGTACGGTCGCTCGCAGTACAGCTCCGCTACTTTTATTGCGATGGTCATCGTCGGTTTCTGCATGCTCTTCATCTTCGCTGCCTGGGAGAAGTGGTGTGCTCGCACTCATTTCATCCGCTACGAGCTGCTGAAGCGTCCGACTATCCTGGGTGCTTGCATCTGCTCGGCCGTCTCGTTCTTCAGTTTCTACCTGTGGGACCAGTACTTCTACAACTTCGTCCTGCTGACTTACAACCTGGATTCGACCATGGCCGGCTACATGCTCCAGATTTACAACGTCGGTTCTTGCTTCTGGTCTCCGATTCTGGGAATCATCATCTGGGTCACCAAGCGTTTCAAGTACATCACTCTCTTCTTTGGTGTGCCTCTCATGCTTCTCGGATCTGGTCTGATGATCTACTTCCGGGGTCAAGACCACGGCATTGGTTACATTGTCATGTGCCAGATCTTCATCGCCTTTGGCGGTGGCACTGTCGTCATCGGTGAGGATATGGCGGTCATGGCCGGTGGTGGCCGTGAGGGTACCCCCATCATGCTGGCCATGATCGGCCTGTTCTCCAGCATAGGTGGCTCTATCGGCTACGCGGTCTCGGCTGCCATCTACAACAACGTGTTTGTGGAGGCCCTGGTGAGCCAGCTGCCAGACAACCTCAAGGCCAATGCCACGCAGATCTACACCGACGGTATCATCACCCAGATGGCTTATCCCGTTGGCTCCGACCTACGTAATGCCACGGTGTATGCCTGGGGATACGCGCAGAAGATGAACTGCATTGCCTCGACCTGCATCCTGGCTTTGCTCATCCCCGCCGTTGCCGTCTGGAAGAACTATGACGTCGGCAAGAAGCAGAACAAGGGTACCATGGCCTTCAAATAGAGGGTTCATCTAGCTCTATTTTCGTGTGCATTTATTAAATCTTTTTTGCTTTGTCCAAAATCATGACTTCATGAGCGTGGGTGGATTTTTCTGTGAGCTTTGAGGGGTGGGTGATGGTGTTGCCAAACAAAAGTTACCCAGTTGATACCCCGGTTATTTTTATCCCGGTTATGATCACAATATCTTTATCTGTTTTTGGACATTTGCTCCTAGCTAGTCATAGCTCGTGCTGATCCGATCTAATCAAACATTCAATCTCTCGAGTGCATACTACTTTGTGGTGTAGTAAGTGTAGCTCCTTCCCCGCATCCGCTCGGCCCTTGCATCCATCGCCGATCCCATCAACAATGCGACCCTGCAATCAAACTGAACGTCACATTCCACGCGCAAGACCTCCTCTCCCGCATCATCTCGCGCACAATTCCCCCGAATTCTCCCTCGCCAGGTTATAGAACCTCGACCGACACGCCGGGCGCAACCAGCAACACTCCAGCCAAACGAAGCGGGCTTCAAGTTGATACCGCACGATGCCGTCAAAACAAAGCCTCCTCAGCCTCTCCCTCCTTTTTTTCCTACACCCAACCACCGGCACACCGTCCGACCTCCGCTACGTCAACCCATTGATCGGCTCAACAGCCGGCGGCAACGTGTTCGCCGGCGCAAGTCTCCCCTACGGCCTCGCCAAACCCGTCGCAGATGTCGACGGCCAGAATACAGGCGGATTCTCGACGGACGGGAGTAATGTGACGGGATTTTCGTCTCTACACGATTCCGGGACGGGCGGGAATCCGTCGATGGGGAATTTCCCACTCTTCCCGCAACACTGCCCTTCGGATGAAATCAATGGGTGTCGATTTGGCAAGGATGCGAGGAAGAAACACTATAAACCCGAAAGCGTGGTTGCGGAACCGGGATATTTTGGGATTGAGCTGGTAGATGGGATTAGGGCTGAGATGACGGCTTCTAGACGGACTGCGATTTATCGTTTCACCTTTCCTCCCCACGAAGAGAAGGGGGAGGATCCGGTTATTTCGATTGATCTAACAGATCTCTGGGAGAGCAGGCAGAATGCGAGTATTGAAATCGATGCGGAGAAGGGGAGGGTGAAAGGGAATGGGACGTTCCTGCCCAGTTTCGGGGCTGGGTCTTATCAGACGTATTTCTGCGCCGATTTTTCCGGTGCCGGTGTGAAGGATGGTGGGATTTGGGTTAATGATCGTGCCGGCAGTGAGCCGAAAGAGTTATTTGTGACGCGCGGGTTCAATAATTTCTATATCCAGGCTGGTGGGTGGATGAGTTTCCTTCGGCCGGATGATGGAACGATCACTGCGCGCGTTGGAGTCAGTTTCATCAGCACGGAGCAAGCGTGCTCGAACGCAGAGTCCGAGGTTTCGGACCCAATATCAGGTTTCGAGAAGTCGCAGGAGCAGGCTAAACAGGCCTGGAGTCAGAAATTGTCTCCGATCAAGATCACACCTGGTGGTGTGAGCGACGACATGCTCGGCGCTTTCTGGAGCGGCGTTTACAGAACAATGCTCTCGCCGCAGGACATGACAGGCGAAAACCCGCTCTGGGAAAGCGATGAGCCCTATTTCGATTCATTTTATTGTCTCTGGGACGCATTCCGAGCACAACACCCGTTCTTAACCATCATCGACCCACACCAACAATCCCGCATGGTCCGCTCCCTCCTCGACACATACAGACACGAAGGCTGGCTCCCAGACTGCCGAATGTCCCTCTGCAAAGGCTGGACGCAAGGCGGGTCCAACGCGGACGTGGTCATCGCCGACGCATACGTGAAGAACCTAACCGGCATCAACTGGGAACTCGCATACAAAGCCATGGTAAACGACGCAGAGAACGAACCGCTAGAATGGTCCTACGAAGGAAGGGGCGGGCTGCAGAGTTGGAAAAAGCTAAATTACATCCCATACCTTGATTTCGACTGGATGGGCTTCGGGACGAACTCTCGGAGTATCTCCCGGACGGTCGAGTATGCTTATAATGATTATTGTCTCGGTGTTGTGGGGGAGGGTATTGGAGAGGATGGCTATACGACGTACCTGTCTCGCTCGGGGAATTGGAGGAATCTTTTTAGAGAGGATCAGCCTTCGTTCCTGGAGAATGGGACTAATACTGGTTTTACGGGGTTCTTTCAGCCGAGGTATCTGAATGGGACGTGGGGTTTCCAGGATCCGATTGCTTGCAGTGCGCTGGCGTCTTGGTGTTCGCTTACGTCCAATCCGTCTGAGACCTTTGAGTCGAGTGTTTGGGAATATCTCTTGTAAGTTTGCACCTCACTTCTTCCTAATCCTGCTAATACGTGTTGAAAGCTACGTCCCGCACGACCTATCCTCCCTAATCGATTTAGTGGGCGGTACCGACTCCTTCGTGAACCGGCTAGACTACTTCCACACCTCAGGGCTTGCAGACATAGGCAACGAACCCGTCTTCCTAACAGTCTACGAATACCACTACGCCGGCCGTCCGGCACTCTCAACAAAGCGGGCGCACAGCTACATCCCGCGGACCTTTAACGCAACAACCAACGGTTTACCAGGTAACGACGACTCCGGCGCCATGGGCTCGTTCTTGGCCTGGAGCATGATGGGTCTATTCCCCAATCCGGGACAAAGTGTATATTTGATTAGTCCACCCTTTTTTGAGGCGGTTGAGGTTACACATCCTGAAACCGGGAAGACGGCTACGATTCGGAATGTTAATTTTGATCCCGACTATAAGAGGGTGTATGTGCAGAGTGCAAAACTGAATGGTATGCCTTACAAGAGGAATTGGGTTGGTCATGAGTTTTTTACGCAGGGTTGGACGCTTGAGTTAACTCTTGGTGAGGTGGAGGGTGAGTGGGGGACGAAGAGGGGGATTTGCCACCTAGTTTGAGTGAACGTTTTGTTCAGGAGGTTTAGTGATTATGGATTTCGTGTTGTGTGGTATTGGGGAATGATACGGAGCGTGGGTTGCATATTCTCATATTCAAGGCTTGAATTGGCGGTTCTGCGAGTGCTTGTGAGCACTGCACTAGTGCATAAGTTAGTACTTCCAGGTACACACTACCCTAGGGTATTCAACATCAATCAGCTGGGCCCTTTACCTTGCTGATTTTGATTTAATCGCGGAGTATGGCCGATGTGGGTCTAGACCTGTCACCCTAGCTGGAGAATTGCGATCTACAGGACGGTCAGATCCATTGCATTCGACTCTCCGAGATGTACTCCATGGGGGTTGAATCACGATAATTGATAGGCCATCATCCAAGTGACGATCGTCTCGTCTACCACGCATAAGCATCAAGAGTAAAGCAGTAAATCCGCATTTCCATTTATTCTGTGATGACTAAGCAGTCTCGGCACGTGGATCCCTTTGATCGCCATCGACGGCGGCTCTCCCTGGCCTCAACTCCCTCGCCGCAATCATCCTACACGATCACTGAACTCGCTGGTACCGGTATCTTCAAATCCCAAGGCCGACCGCAGATCCCTTTCCCGGGGCGCCACCACTCCGCAGCACCCGCTGCAGCATCCCACCTCACCTCTCCACATCCCTCGACCCTCCGCCAACTCCACGATGGCAACTCGCCAAATCACCCGCCGTCTCGCCGTCGGCGCCGCCGTCGCAGTTACCATCGTCTTCCTCCTCTTCTTCCCACCGCAGGGTCCGGCCAGCCCCGCGATTCGCGCCCCGGGCCACATCACGCATACCACCGGAGACTCGCGCATCACTATTCAAGACTCGACGGTGATGGGCGACGTTGTGATGCCGAAGTTGGGCAATGCGACAGCTAAGTATGGATCCGCCACCTTCAAGACTCCCTATAGTCCTCGCTTCCACGCTGGCTCTCGCTTCCGGTGTGTTTGGCTGGGTGCTATGCGGCCGGTTTGGAACTCGCGAGGAGTGAATGGGGCTGGACTTGGTTGGAATGGGGCTAATCGCAATAATACAGAGCTGAGCTAGGACGTGCGACATGGAAATACTTTCATACGGTTATGGCTCGTTTCCCTGAGAACCCGACGGATGATCAGCAGGATGCACTGAGATCGTACATTCATCTTTTTGCGCGGCTTTATCCTTGGTATGTATCTATACAATCGCCTATTGATCCCTTCCACTCTACTGTTTTCCACTGTAGACAGTTAGGGTAGCCAAGCTAATAGTGATCTAGTGGCGAATGCGCTGAACATTTCCAGCAACATCTGGTCAAGTACCCGCCGCAGGTCTCTTCGCGCAAGGCTGCGTCTGGATGGGCTTGCTTTATTCACAATGAGGTCAATGCCATGCTCGAAAAGCCTGAATTCGACTGCAATAATCTGGGCGCGTTCTATGATTGCGGATGCGCCGAGGAAGAGGGAGAAGCTGGCAATGAACCCTCCGGCAGTAGCCACTCTTCTGCGACTCGTGCGGACACGAAGAGTGACTCTGCGCATGAGCATTTGGCCGTGGAGATCTCCAAGGAAGCGTAAGTTGCTCTTCCCACTATTGGGAATCCGTGCTAATTCTCCTTCTAGAACAACCCGTGGTTGATCCGATAGAACAACTTTGCATGGCGTTTTTCTCTTCTCTGGGCCCGACTAAAATTCATGGAGCTGGTCTCTTGTACATTCCTAATATCTATATACCCATTGCATCACACGGTTTTGATCAACACATTGCTTTTTTAGAAATATCTCTGAGCAAGAACTACAGCGGGCCAGTCGGCCACTCTAACCTTAAAAAATAATACAAAGAAAGGAGCGTGCGATCAAGCTATGCTAAGAAGAAACAAAGTTTCAGACCAAACCACCACCGATCCACCGGATCCAGCAAAAACCAGCATTGCATCCAACAGCGAACCGATCCCAGCCCAATCCCACCAGCAATCCCACTAAAGGGATCTAAACCTTACTATCAAACCGCTCATAACTAACGGAAATCTCATCTGTCCTTGCAATACCCGCTGCACCAGTAAGAATCTCCTCATCACTGGTATTTCTTCCATGATACTTGACAATTGTCGAGTTTTTCGGCTCGATAATCGAGTCGCCGGGCTCGGAGATCGACATCTTGCCGTACTTGCGTCCACCACTTCCGTACATGGGCAGTTTGTAGGGTGTGTCGCCACTGTTGCCTACTGAGCTGTCTTTGCCGTCTTTGCCGTAGCGGATGCGGATGTATAACGGGCGCAGGACTGGGATTGAGGAGCACATTATTGTTGCGAGGCTTTCGGTTGCGGACCAGATGAGCATTGGGACTGTGTCGTCTGTGGTCATGTCAGCGTGGTCTTATGGCAGACGGTGTAATGGGGAGGGACTTACAGATGTATTCGGAGGCGTTGAGGCCATTTAGGGCAACTGTGCGGACGATGCCGCAGACGCCGGCACTAGTTTTGTTAGACATGGTTATTTTGTTGATTTGTTGGTGGCTTACAATAGTCCCAGGCTCAGACCACAGGCGACGGTGATCTTCTCCTTTTTCTTCATGTTGAGATCCCAGACGACGAACCACGGCAGGGTTGCGAAGGCGAGGTCAGCAGCAACGAACCATGCTGGGGTTAGATGTTAGAACTTGAAGTGACTGAGTGGTTAGGGATGACCTACATCCAACAGTATATCCAACCTTGGAAAAATCAACCCAACATGTTCCCGGCGTCATGGGATTCCAACTCTTCTCGACCGGCGAGCACTGCACAATAACGACAATACTAGCAAAAAGCGTAATAACCGTCGTGATAGCCAGGCAAGCATAAATAACCCAAATCTGGATCCTGTTCCGCACAATTCGAAGCAAGAACATGCCAACGGCCCCCTTGCCGATACCGATGACCATGATACCCGCTACCTGGCTGAAGAGCTCATACTTGACAGCCGTGAAGTAGATTACCGGGTCCCCGACGTCAGCGTATAATCTGCCCAGGCCATAGTGGCTGGAGATGGTGACGAAAATTGTGTAAAGAATGTGGACGGCCTAGTCTTGTCAGCTTCGATCAGCTTCGATCAAGGCGGATAGTAAATTGCGACATGTGAACGAGTTTAGTGGATGACTGAATGAACTTACTAGCGCGAGAACACAAAGATAATCATCAGCACCAACGGCGTTAAGAATCTCTTTCCTTGTATACAGTCGGAGCCCGACAAAGAGAGCAAATATCAACACCTCAGCCCACAGAACACCGTTTACCATAGGACCTTTTCCTCCGTAGTAACTCATTGTGGTGACAAGCAGACACGGTTGGCTGGTAGGTTAGCGATGAAAGAGAAACCCATTGACATGGAGAAACGGGGATAAAAACGAAAGAATGCCCAAAATACAATAACAGGAATCCTCAGACGTATTAGTATGAGTGTAGTTCTGACCTGTAGAATGAGCGACAAGAAGATTTTCCTCCGGACGCGAGTCAAGAGACCGGCCGGATATCCCGCATTAAGCCATGAAGACAAGTACAACGAGTCGATCCTGCCATGCTGATCCAACGCTACTGCGTTGCCTCTTGCGTCCTTCACGTAGGTACTGTCAGTGTCAGTCAACGCCACGCCCGGGACCAGCCCGGAGGATTTCCTGGTCGATGTGACCTGTATACTCATGTTCTAATTAAGGACCCATAGGCTCGTGTCAGGCTGGTGCTGATAACCAGTCCCACGAGCAGGGATGCCGCGCCGTTCAAGCCACCGACCCACACCGTCCCACATTTGAGGATATCATAAGCCAGGCTAATGATGGATGGTTTTGACAGGAGAGCTGTCAAAAACGGCCCGGAAGTTCCTCCTGTGCGCGAGTCCGCTCTGGTTTTGCAGTCTTCTGAGAGACTTGTCAGTGGGCCAAATTCAAATTCCGAACTTTTTGAGTTGAATAGGGAGGTGCCAAACCGTAGTTGAAGTTTATAGAGGGTTGCTTCGGTGCCTACGTGACGACTTATGGGATAGGGGTTGGAGCAAATCTTTTCAGGTCAACTTCTCTTCGTTTTCGACGATCTTCGCAATCCATTTCGAAAAACTCGTCACTCGCATTTTATTTCCCGACTATAAATGATATTTTTCTTGGAAAAGCACGAACGTTGGTTTTGTGAATTGTCTCTGTCGATTTGTCGAGGCGAATCATTTCCATTCGCCCAATGGATATCGTATCATCTAATGATATGGACAAAGCTCTGCTGTGATCGATCGAACGATTATCCCAAGCCCAGACCTCAGGATCTCCGCGACACATGAATCCGCAAGGTCCAGCCATTCGGAAACCTCCGCGCCTCAATTTCCTGTTTCTCAGTATCTGGACTCCGACTGGCGCGGACAGACGATAGCGATCATGCCAGAATAGGCATAACCCTGGTGCAGGTCCCTTCGCTTGGGCGGGTTCTGCTCCCCGGGGCTCCGGGCCGTTAGTACACTGTTCGTAAAGGCGTGGAATGTATTAATCTAACCCTCGAGCCAGGTTGTGGGGAGCCCTCGGCCAACGTTCGCACAGTCATGGTCTGTGCCAAGTGGTTGCCCACTCGTGCCGGGCATTGTATAAATACGTGGCGAACCTTGTGCAGAGGTAAGCTTATAATTGAGTTGACATATCACATTTGCCCGCGCTCGTACTGCTGCATGTGGCCCAACTGGCAGTGACGTATTGACACAGACCTCGAATAGGGCCTCCGACGTTTCAGAATTGCTTCGACTTCGCGGTGGGTAATGCTAGAAGTAGCGCGGGGACGAGTCAATACTGCGGGGCATTACGTCTCTATTGGTTAGGGGTTGGCCTTCCGAACTGTTAGGGTCCCTCATTCCCTAATGTTCAATTAGCTCTGATCAGCATGGACCCAATGTTGGTGCGCTCGAATAAGGGGGAGTCTCCTTAGACTCTCTGGAGGCACAGTCTGGTGGACCGTGTCGCTCTTTAGTGCAATGCAGTGCAAGCATATATATCGCGGAACCCTCACCAGTCTGGCTTAGTATAGTACTTTTCATCATCTTCCTTGAATGGACACATATATTTCTCCGATTCATCAATCTAACCTCGGGTATGCAAATATGACCTCTCAGACAGAGCAGATTGTGGCAGCTCTCGATGCTGTCCACCCTGAGGCATTCGGCGGGAACGAGGTAGAGCGTCTTCAGGTTCGCGCAGCAGCTCGTCGACTTCTCGCACGGGTGGAGTCTCCATATGAGCGTGCCTGGGGCTTCTGCTTTGAGCATCCAGTTGCCTTTGCGGCGCTGCAGACCTGCATCGATGTGGGATTGTGGAAGGCGTGGACTATTTCTGGCGGTGGTGAGAAGAATATCGATGAACTGGTCAAATTCACCCAGCCCGCAGTGGAGACGAACTTGCTCCGTATGTCTTGCCTTCGCGCTAGTGCTTCCCGCAATGTCTAACATCATTGTCCAGGCCGACTGTTCCGTTTGTTGGCGGCTTTCAATGTAGTCGAGGAGACCGGACAGGACAACTTCAAGCCGACTCCGTTCTCACTCGCCATCGGCGATGACAGCACCAAAGTCCGCGCCTCGCTCCAAGCAGCGTTAGTCGCCCTGTTTATTTCTGGCTGAGCCTAATGCTCACTTTCTCTCCTACAGGACCAACCAGTATATCTTATGTGGTCACAACCTTCCCAAATACCTCGCCAAGATCAACTACACCGAGCCGACAGACATTAGCGTCAACAACCACTCAGACTGTGACCCAGATGGTCTCAACTTCTTCGGCCGGCTGCAGGACAGCCCATCCTACTTCAAAGCTTTCACAGGACACATGGAGGCATGGACAGCATGGAAGACCCCGTGGACCAAGGTTTACGACACGAACGAGCTGCTGGAAGGAGCCAAGCTGGACGACGGCTCTGCATTTGTCGTTGACGTAGGTGGAAACACCGGCATCGACATCTCCCACGTCCACAAGAAGCACCCAGAGCTTCCTGCCGGTTCTCTCGTCCTGCAAGACCTCCCCGAGATCATCGTCAACGCGCAAATCGACAAGAAGGTCACGGCCATGGCTCATGACTTTTTCCTCCCGCAGCCTGTGAGAGGTAAGACATCATCAATCCGAATGACCAGACTCGTTGATTAACATCTGCCCCAGGGAGCCGGGTTTACTTCATGCATGCCGTCCTGCACGACTGGCCCGACGCAAAGGCTAAGCAATTGCTCGAAAACACCAAAGACGCCATGACTGAAGGCTACTCAAAGCTCTTGATTTACGACATTGTTCTGCCACCTACCGGAGCGAGTATCAGCCAGAGTACCATGGATGTGAACATGATGTCATTGCTCTCGGCTTCTGAGCGGACGCAGGAGGCGTGGGAGTCGTTGCTTACTGATTCTGGTTTCAAGATTGTCAACTTCTGGCCGGATCCTCAGCAGTACGAGATGATTATTGAGGCCGAGGTTGCGTAGGTCAGGTTACCATGCAAATCTCTATTTCCACAAGCCCACGGACTGTTCTTTTTTCGGGGTTCCAGTCCCAGATTCACAAATATTAGCTTCGATGTTGTGCAAAACAGTAATTCTTTCAAACCTGAACCTTTTGATCTTTTCCAATCAATATGTTCCTTAGTCGCATCCATCTCTTGAAGGGGCCATCTGTCAGTTCCATGCAACTCCGCGGGAGATCGAACAGACCCCAACAACACCGGCCTGTCTGTCTTGTCGTGCGCCTCGTGCAGTGGTGGCGATACTTCCTCTTGTAATTCAGCAGGCACAGATGCGGCAGTATTCTCTTCCTTTGTACCATCATTTGATGCAGCTCGACGACTTCGAAAGAAGGAGCAACGCGCCAATCGCGAGAAGGACGCCCATACCAACTCCAAACCTCCAAACCTAATTCCCTGCCTTTGCACCTGTGCTTAGACCACCATTTGTCCTGTCGTGCTATCTTTTGATGAAGAGTCTGATCTAGATTTGATGATGTATCGAGTCATTGCTGATGCTGTCACCCGACGTTTCGAAAGGAAAGAAGCTAAGCACTGTCATGTTGAGCGCGTAGTCGGTTCCCGCGTTGACAAGCCGCGCATGTGTAATTGTAGGATATGGATTTAAGCTTCCATAAACAGCCAGACACACGGAGTACAGTTTCTGCATGTAGAGATTCGAGTGCATTCGTCGCTGAGCTACCTCTGTACGAGAAATGCGCATCATATCCTCGAGGAGAAATGAGACCAGCATTATTAAGTGACACAATCCCGATACGTAGAATAGATTGTTGGAAATTTAACCCACTCGGGACAGCAGACTATTGCCGAGGTGGAATCGAAAGTTGTCGAACCATCTGTTTGCCAGCCCCCAAGGAAAGACGCAAATGGAGCCAGCATGTAAGCTTTTGTCCGGATTGATAGGTCGTTCCTTGCCGAGCCAATACTCAGACGCAAACACTAGATCGAACTGAGCCCGTGCTGATAAGATGTGACTTGATCCGGGAAACAATGTTCACTGCCATTGACGAGGGAGGTATAGTATGGGACCCAGCCCTCGAATCTGTCAATCGAGACGCCAGACATGCTCCGGTAGCCTGAGTCGTACATTGCAACGAGATAGCTTGAACATGCTGCGTGGGGCGTGAAAGGTGTGATCACCGGGAAGTATGAGGTCGTCATGCCATTGGTCGTTGTAGGTGGGTATATGAATGTCACGGGGTATTCGGAATATCCAAAGGTTGTACGAGTGAGGGAGCGCTCAAATTCATGGACGAAAACGCATCGGGGAATTTCGAAATTAAAAGGGTCGTTCGTGAACTGGACATGGGGCCAAGACAGTTCTGGAGTGCCCATCACTTCCTGTTTGGTTACCAAACCCCAGAGCCCCTGCAGGAAATGGCCCCAATTTCTGAGCTGAATAACCAAATGCTCGCCATCATTCCGAGAGCGAGGTCGAGTGGAAGCAGAGCTATGTAAGTCCCTAAAAGTTGATTATATGCATTCTACAATGGAGTGTAGCCTCGTCTTCCCTCTGACCCTTCACTATGGGGATGATCAACCTCGGGCTTTATTTTTCGATAGATGGGCCGTGGGGTTCTCGACTACTCCACAAGTTATCAAGGAGGCCCCTTCCCATCGCGGAAAATATTATCAGAACACTCACTTTTGCCTAGGACATGTTGCATCGTTAGTGTGTCGTTCATTTATCACGCGAAAGGCAAGGCTGGCCGCAAGAAAGACCTCGACGAATGTGACAAGAGAATTCTCGACAAAGTCGCCGAGCTCATACATTCGGCCATGGATATGAAGTTTTTTAGTACACTAGTGTATATACTCCCAACTTGAAACCATGGATGTGATCAACTTGGTCTGGCCGCGAGGGTGTATTTTACAATACTCAAATGTTTCGGGACTGCGCAACAATACATTAGTAGAGACAGTGTTGGTTTTGGAACTTACATTGAGTTGGATGGATTAATGTGAGTTGGGGCAACGATGTTGAAACAAATGTACACAAGTCGCTGGAGCTGTCTCAGGCAGAACGTTGAGATATATATTTAAAATTTGAGGATGCAACCCGGGTATTCATTAAACCATCCAGCATTGGCCATCATGGAGCCGCCATGTAACATTGAATCAATGGGACTACTTTCATTTAAAAGGCAGGACCGAAATACACATCTCGGACCTATCATGCATGAAGCACTGTGAACTTTTGTGCCTGGCCCTACTCTACCTTCATTAGCTCATTTAATATTGCTTTGACCCGTCCCGAACGCAAATGCTAAAAACCAACGCTAAAAACCAACTTGGATGTTGCAGTTCCAGCCTGCAGTAAAGCCTTGGTCATAGTTCGTGAGGTAATATGTAAGCGCACAACAAGATCGCGCTAAATATCCATGGATGGTCGTAGTATGACCACCCCGTTTAGCCGAGCTTGGTCTCCACAGCAAGGGCTACATGACTGAAGTCAAATGTAGCATATGCTTTGTTCAAAGAGCACACATCGAGAGTTATTCCGTACTTGTGCTGCATGGACAGGGATCAACCCGCTGCCGATCCGAGGCCACACGGAGCATGACCCGAGGACCGGGACTAGGATCACCCCATCCGGTGATCTGTATGGTTGTGCGCATGACCCGGGCTTTCTCGCTCGTCGATCGCGAAACACCACCTTCCAAGCCTTCCCTTAGCCTGAAGGGTTGCGAATAATGCAAGCGACCTTCGGTATGACAGGCGCTAGCCCGCCCAGCCTGCAGAGAAGATCAATATCGTAAAAGGTAAAACGAGGACTAGCGACCGTGCTATGTCGCCATGTCGCAGTCTTGTGATATCAAAGACTGTCCAGAGTCGAACTAAGAAGACTAGCAGCAAATTAAAGATGGAACTCATCGACGATAACGAAATCCTCCAGAGGGCGCTTAGCAGAGTACATCGCACGGTGCGTCGCAAAACACCTGCATACAAAACCAACTAAAATCAGACGGAAAATAATTGAGATGAATACCGGGCAAGCCCGTATTTGCGGCATATCATCCATCGCGATGGGCCGTTTGAGTTCGGCCAAAAATAGCGAGGCTTGTGCGAGGCAGGAGGAGGGGCACTGCCGTCGAAAAAAAGCAGTGGGAATGGAGGGGGCGTCTTCCTTTCAGCTGATAACAAATGAGAGAATCAGGTCTCCTGACGGGCCCCCTGACCACGGCAGCCAACCAGGGTTGAACGGGACGACACCACGATCGGCCACCACGGGGATCGGCTAGGTTGGGGGGTGCGAGGGGCCTCTGGGGACGCGGGCGCATCTGCGCGCGTTCAGGCGCGACCTTGAAACAGAGGTGTCCTTCGGCCCGTGGGGGATAAAACGGCCAGGGGCTGCTTGTTTCGCGTGCGCTTCTGTTTCATCCTTGTGACTGCTTGAACTTTGTAAGGTCGTCTCGACTCAACTGCTCTTTGTGTGGTGTTCCTGCCGAAGTATACAATTACTCCCTCCAGACAATAATACTTCTCAACTCAGCCTAGCGCACTACCATATCCGGACTAGCGGCTCCACGCACCCGCAAAAAAAGAAAAGCGAGAAAAAAAAGGAAGTCGCGGCGCATGCGACTCGCGCTGACCCGAACTTTGCTTCCAAGGGATAACTTTCGTCGCTTTTCCTCCCCGGACGTCTTCTTTCTCGTCGCACCGACTCTACCCCTCCGTCCTTCCCACTTTCGCATTGGAGTAGCGTCCCTGCCCCGTTCCTACCGTTGATAGCCAATTCGCCGGTGTTTCGCAAGCCTCTTGACCCGCGTTCAATATGGTTTCCTTCTCCTGTGAGGTGAGTGATACGGTGATACCTGCTGTGCCATGTGGTCTCATAGCATTGGTATGATAACAAAATGCTAATGAGTGATGTTCAGGCGTGCGGCGATATCCTCACCAAGAAAAAACTCGACCCCCACCGTAACCAGTGCCGCGGCGCGTCTTTTACCTGCATCGATTGCATGGTCCATTTCTGGGGCACGGAATACAGATCGCACACGGTATGTCTACACTGGATCGTTGTCACAGGCCTCATGGAAGAGTGGTGGATTCAAATACTGTGGCCGGCATGTTCTGCTGGGAAAAGCGTACTGCCAGGCTTGGATGTCCTTGAAGACTCGGACACAATGGCTTGTTTGGATCATAGTGACTAACAAATGATACCTCTACAGTCTTGCATGAGTGAGGCCCAAAAGTACCAGGGCGCTCTTTATAAAGAAAAGCCGGTCAGGGGCCAACAGCGCAAGGGCCAAAACACCCCGAAGCAGAACGCAAAGTCCAACCCCAATGCGCGCAACCAACAGCCTCGAGTCGACGATGCCACTTCCGATGGCGAGGTCATCAAGACCAATGTGCCCCCTCCTCCGGCGCCGACTCCCCCTCCCACCAGCGAGGCCAAGCCTACCGCAGCTGCCATCACCAATGGTGACAAACCCGTCAATGTCTTTGACTACCTTGTCACCGAGGACACCCCCAATGCCTCGAAGGTCTCCCTGGCTCCGAAGGAGCCGATGTCCATGAATCCCCATGCGCCATCCGTGTTTGAGGCGAGCAACTCCCTGGCTCGACTGGACCCCAAGACCGACGACGAGGGCAACTACGATATTGCCTACGAAGAGAATGGCTTCTCCTACGGCGCGGACCCCATCCCACCGTCCAAATACCCTAACGCCGCCAACCCCTCCATGGAATTTGTCACCCCGGCCCCGAAGAAGAAGAAGGACCGCCGTGAGAAGAAGGAGCGCGTCCCCGGTAGTGCCAGCGAGAAGAAGCGCAAGCGTGGCCACGGTGATGAGCTGAGCAGCCCGCAACAAGATGTCGACACTCCCATGATGGACGCCCCGTCCAGCGTGATCAACAATGCCGGAACCCCAATGCTGAACCACTCCGGGTTGACCGGTGGATTGAACCGCATGATGCGCTCTCCCTCGCACGAGATTGACGAGACCCCGGAGCACGGTCGGTCCGCCTACCAAGATGCCTCTTCACCGATCAAGCGCACCCGTCGCAATGGCAAGGAGCTTAACGGTGGCGACCCCGGTCTGGGCATCACCATCAAGAACCGCGCCGAGCGCCTGGTTACGTCTATGTTCGGCGGCACTGGCTCCGTGGTCTCCAACGGCAGCAAAGACAGCCACGAGAACTCCCGTGCTCTTGTCCGCACTCGCCGTGGCAGCTCCTCCAGCGCTGACGGCCAATTGGAGATCCGCAAGAAGAAGTCGCACCGCTCGCGCGACGCCTCCGGCTCCCACGCCGAGCGCAAGTCCAAGCGCAAGAGCAGCAACCCCAACGATGGTGACCGTCCCTCACGCCGCCAGAAGCAAATCGACGAGCGCCGGCGCTCCGATTCACAGTCTCCTCACCGCGACAGCCGTCAGGTCACCGTCTACCAGAAATCCAAACCCCCGGCGCGCTCTGAGGATGTCCTGCAACGTGATATGGCCGCCCACTTCCTGTCACTTGTTTCTCGGGACAGCGAGCGTGGTTGCTCTTTCCACAAGGCTCTCAAGCGCTTCCACCGTGACTTCTCTGATGACGGCCGGGAGCACCGCAGCGAGGATGAGAAGGACTTGTGGCGCGGTTTGCGGTTGAGACGCAATGATCGCGGTGAGATCGTCGTGTTTGCTTAGGAAGATATAGTTATTGGTTTGAATTCTGGTCTTGAGAATAACAGATCAGACATGAGGCTTCGATCCCTTATGAGGTGAATGGGTGTTTGATTTTGCATAGCGCACTTGTTTTATATGTACTGGCACGGTCTTTTGCATGCTGTTAATAACGGACCTAATTGGGTGCCAAAATTGATTAATGTATACAGTCAGCTACAATTCTTTCCTGCTGTAGGGTATGTCAGCTCCGTATTCTGTCAAAACAGAGGATTTGTTCAAGCTTTGGCTTTATTATGTCGGTGACTTACTTTATCAAAGTTTTGCTTATGCGTAAACATTGGACGGGTAGATCAGACGAGACCTCGAGAGTAAACAGATTCCTACAATACTTAATCTGAATGTTGTTTTGTTATCAGTGCTGGTGTATATAGAGTGGTTTGTGCTGAGACTGGAGAGAATAGAATGAAGACCTGAAGATCAATCGATCTAAGGGCACAGTGAGATCCACCGATTAATCATTGCTCGTATTCGCTCGCACAGTAATCTCAAATCATTCAGACTGATTGGTTAATTCGCATGCACACAATGACTGATGTTTGTGTACATCCGCCGCGCCGGAATGGCTCCACCGTGACTCATTTCGACCCGCCTTGAGTCACGGTGGCAACCCGACCGCCCTTGTCTCCGCCCGGTTCTGCCGCACAGCTTTTTATCGCGTGTTCGAGATGCTTCGTTGAAAGTAGTTCACTTCGCCCTGAGGGCTTTGCTGCCTTATTAGGTTGATCTTTGTATTTATTCGTGTCGGGGTTCAGATCTTCGGTTCCTCCGAGCTTTCTTTCACGCTGCAGCGAAACTACTATCGATCACGTCTCCGGAGTTGACGTCCACGATTTCCTCAATTATCATATCAAATTTGTCGCAATTCCCAGCATCTGCATGAGCAGCTCGGTCATCTCAAACCGGACAACTTCGGTCCTTCTAAATATGTCCAGCTCGACAGCAGCTCCCCCGCCTCCGTCGGCTCCGTCAGCTCCTCGTCCCAGGCACCGACGCCGCGGGAGGGGCCCCGCCAACCGCGATAACAAATCCAATCCTCCGGCTCAACCAACCAATTCCGAATCAACAGCTCTGAATCAGCAAACCCAAACAAATGGGAGTTCAACGCCAATCCCATCTGAGGGTTCGAGCCGTCAAAAAGAAAATAAGGAAGGGCGGGGTGGAACTCGCAGAGGACGAGGCAATGGACCTCGGCAGGGTGGACAAGGCCCTAGTGGAGAGCAGTCTGAACAAAAATCACAACGGCAGTCCCGTGGAATGAGGACTAAAGGTTTCGGAGCTCGTTTGACACGACCAGAGGCTGTCGCGGATGAGGCTGCCCCGCAAAGCCAGGCCGACAGCGATGCGAATCTTCGTGCCGATGCCCCAGCCTTTGTACCGGGGAGACCAATTCAGCAACCAAAGCCGGCGCCTACAGCTGCTGCCGGAAAGGGTAAAGGGAAAGCAAAGCCTAAGCCTCCCCCACTACCTAAGGTTACCACAAAATCAGTGGCCGATAATATTGCCACACGCATCCACGAAGATATTGCCCATAACTTGTACGAATGCCCCATTTGTACAAGTGAGCTTGGGCGAAGGTCGAAAGTCTGGTCTTGTGAGCTTTGCTGGACCGTGTTCCACCTGAGCTGTATCAAAAAATGGTCCACCAACCAGGGCGCTGCGGCTGCCCGCCAGCCGCAAGATACTGAAGGACTAGGCCCCAAGGCCTGGCGTTGTCCAGGATGTAACTTGTCACATGAGCACTTCCCATCCACCTATACTTGCTGGTGTGAAAAAGAATCAGATCCACGACCCTTAGCCGGCCTGCCTCCGCATTCGTGTGGTCAGACGTGCTCACGAGCTCGAAAGGGTTGCCCCCATCCCTGTGACGCAACTTGCCATGCCGGTCCTTGTGCTCCTTGCACTGCAATGGGGCCTACCCAGGATTGTTTCTGTGGTCGGAATTCATCAAAAAAGCGGTGCCAAGACACGGATTATGAAAACGGCTGGAGCTGCGGAGAGATCTGCGGTGATCTGCTTCCATGTGGCGAGCATACATGCCCTCTTCCCTGTCACGAGGGACTGTGCGGTACATGTGAAGTCAAGATTGATGCACGATGCTATTGCGGAAAAGTACACACAGAAATGTTGTGTAGTTCCAAGGACGATGAACGGGACAGTGAGATAGTTAAGGATGACGGAACGAAAGAAGAGTGGGTTGGTTTCTTCGCTTGCCCTGACACTTGCAACCGCCCCTTCGACTGTGGTGTGCATTTCTGTCAAAGGAACTGTCATCCCCAGGACTCGAGTCCTGCTCACTGCCCTCGTTCGCCGGAGACCGTTGTTCGTTGCCCTTGTGGTAAAACACCCCTAACAAAGGTCCCTGGATATGCTCCCCGTACTTCATGCGAGGATCCTATCCCGAATTGCCTGGAGCCTTGTGGCAAAATGCTTCCATGCGGACACTCCTGCGATCAGATTTGCCATACTGGCCCTTGTGGCAGCTGTATGCGCCACGTCCCAATTTCGTGCCAATGTGGCCGTAACACTTCTATGAGTGTCTGTCATCAGGGCGATATCAACCCCCTCTGTGCTTCCGCCAATGCAAGACAGCTTTGCATTGTGGGCGCCACACCTGTACAGAAAGGTGTTGTCCAGGAGAGCAGAGGGCAATTGAACGCCAGGCGGCTCGCCGAAAACTCAAGCCTCATCTCCGCCCTATCGATGAAGATATCGAGGCCGAGCATATCTGCACGCGGGTATGTGGTAGAACGTTGAAATGCGGTCGCCATACCTGCCCCGAACTCTGCCACAAGGGCGCTTGCAACACCTGTCGAGAGGCAATCTTCGAAGAGATCTCGTGTAACTGCGGAAGATCCATCTTGTATCCTCCTCTCCCCTGTGGCACGAAGCCGCCGCCATGCTCTCATCCCTGCGAACGGCCAAAGCCATGCGGACATCCTCAGACAGCCCACAACTGCCATACGGACGACGAGACTTGTCCCAAGTGCCCATTCCTAACCGACAAGGAGTGTCTGTGTGGAAAGCGGGTAATGAAAAACGTGCCCTGCTGGCTGGCAGATGCTCGTTGCGGTCAAGTCTGCGGTGCGCCACTTAAGTGTGGCTCTCACTTCTGCAAAAAGGACTGCCATCGTCCAGGTCACTGTGAGGACGCCGATAAGCCTTGTGAGCAGGCCTGCGGTAAGAGCAAGGCGTTGTGTGGTCATCCTTGCTCTGAAAAGTGCCATGCACCTTATCCGTGCCCAGAGAAGACGCCTTGCTCTTCTATGCTCACAGTTACCTGTGACTGTGGACGGTTGCGTCAAGAGCGACGCTGTAATGCCGCCAAGGCGGTCATTTCCAAAGGCCAGGTTCAGCAACAGGAGCGTTTGCCAACGCTTACTCCGTTAACCTGCGACGAGGAATGCTCGCGCTTGGAGCGCAATCGATCTTTGGCATCTGCTCTCGGTGTCGATATCAACCAACAAACCACCGTGCAAGCCTTCACGTCGAGCAATCTTCCTTACTCCTCCGAGACGTTGGACCAGTACATCAAGCTTGCCTCAGCTGTCTCTCTCTCGACACTGCAAACGTACGAGTCCACCTTGCATTCTCTGGCGATGGATACAACCAATCGGTCGATCCGCTTCCAACCGGCAAAAAATCCCCTCCGGGCATTCGCACACTCCCTCGCCGCAGACTGGGGCTTCGTAACAGAAAGCCACGACCCCGAGCCTCACCGCCACGTCTTCGTTCTGAAACCGCTTACCTGGATACCTCCCATATACGGACTGGGTAGCGGATCCACAATTGGCATAGGCGGAATGAGCGTGCGCGAATGCGTGAAACTACGAGAGCGGGAACGCACCAAGGAGCGCGAGAGTCAACGCGCCGCCGCCCTGGAGGCAAAAGCCGTCCGGGATGCGGCCAAATCACAGGCTGGCGGCGCCGACGGGTGGGCTCAAGTTGCATCTCGGGCGAAAAAACCCGGTGCAGACGGTAGCAACGCCAGTACTCGAAGCGCGACTCCTCTCCAGGGCTCGTACTCGAACCCGTTCCAGAGCCGCTCTATGTTCTCTGCGCTTTCTGGTGGTGTCGATTCTTCTGGTCCGTCCAAGAAAGAGAGACTTGTGCTAAAATCTGGCGTTGGTGCTGGCAAGTCGTTGCGGACGCAACCCGCTGAGGTGGTTGATAGCTGGGAGGAGGCTGAAGAGAAGGAAGAGGAGGTTGAACGGGAGCAGGAGAAGGTGGATGCGCCGCCGGCGGAACAGCCTGCTCAAGATGAAAAGGGCCCGGTGGAGGAACAGCCGAATGTCGCGGAAGAGACCTTGGCAAGTGAGCCTGAAGTCGCTGACGAGGTCATGCCAGGCCTGTCTCCGAAAGAGTAGAGCTTGGCACCATGCTCTCATGAATCACGAGAAAAGAAAAGTGTTGTCTTTGTTTCGCTCGCATACGATACCCGAGTAGCATTTTGAGGACCTCGGGGACTGCATGGGATCCACCAAGCGTGGATCCTTGCCATCATCTTATATTGGAGTGTAAGGTATCAATTTGGTGTGTTTACTCATGAAGAGAAAAACGAGAAAAAAAAAAAAAATTCGAATCCTCACGGAAAAACCGACTTAAAGGGTATACATAATGTACTAGACTTCGTCCAAAAAAGACCTCAAGCACCCGGAGTAACCTTAACAAACATCAAACACCCCTCCCCAGAAGCCTGATAAGGCCCATGTTCCATTCTAGGCAACCGATACGCATAAGCACCAACCCCCCAAGACTGATTCAACGAGAGATCCTCCAAACTCCCCTGCAAGAAACACACCTCTTCAATGAAGGCATGTGTAATCGTTCTGTTGGGCGTGGTGATATTTGGTTCCCACCATTGTAGCACGGCTTTGTTCTCTCCTTCACCGTTTAATAGCAGCTCCCAGATCCCTGATGCGATGGAGTACCATGGCTTTGCGATATCTGAATCGGGAGGGGTACCTTGCGCCGGGAGGGGCGGTGGGGTTGTGAATTCTTTTTGGTGAAAAGTCATTTTGAGGCGATTGAGATGTTGAATGGGTGGGCAATATTGAATGGATTCTTTTCGTCTCAATTGAATATGGGTTAAAGTCGACTTAAACAGATCAGATTTGGAACAGAGCCCTTTATACAAAGCTTAAAACTGGTGCTTAGTAATAGGTATCGGAAAATCCTAGGCTAGTAGTGGTTGTCAGGCCAATCATGTTGAACAATTCGTCGGTCCCTCGATAATTTCCCGATGTTTACCGATACAATGAAAATTGCTACTCCAGGTCGTGATATTCCATCTCCACTGTTAAAGCATTTTTCTGAATATTAGTTCAACATGAAATCGTCTGCTGATTAAAATATTATGATCCTCGAATCAACCGTGGTCCGTTTTTACTTGTGTCGTTTAGTGAATTATTAAGTATTGAACACCTGTTACCCCAGTGTTGCAGCTTTCATCAGGCATAGTCTGGACACCACAGCATAGTCAATACGGGCCATGAACAATCAATATGCCAATATCCTAGCATCCATTTCGTCTCTGGGGGCATAGATATGTCAAAGATCAGGGATTTCAAAGCCACAAGTGACCCAAGCCACAAATTCTCGGCATTTCCACGTGAAGGATGTATGTCAGGATGACACAACAGCGTTGTAGACATTGCAGATAAGACTGTAACTTGGAAATATAGATCCCGTACTCCGAAATATGTACTGTATAGAAGATCGGCATAATGAGCAAGTACAGCTACCGTTAGGATCTTAACGGGCGAATACGTCATACATCGCCACGAAAACAAACAAGATCGGTACCTCATCCCGCCACGAGGTACATTTGTGGGGTGGGTTGAAGAAGATAAATAGAGGTGCGTTCTCAAGGCTCTACAAAAGACAATCCCGCCCATCATGTCAAATAGTAACCACGTCAATCCCCCGACTTTCGAGAGCAACGGCAACGAGTACGGCGTTGACTCGATCAAGAGACTTCAAAATTCTGAAAAGGCTCGTCATGGTGGGATTCACCCCGGAGAAAGCAAAAGTGAGACATTGCAGTGCTCGGGTGATTTTCTTGCTTTCATTAACTGTTTCCGTGCAGGACAGTCTAAGCCGGTTGCCATGATACACGAGCCCGAGAAGGAACAGAGAGACGGTGGGAATCACTACCCAGAGAATATAATGACCAGCGGCACTACTGGAGCTCATAACGATGAAGTCTCCCGGGGTGTTAAATGGGAAGTCGAGTCAGGTTCTTCACGTAGTAAGTTTCATGGTCCATTGAAGCCCTCCGAGGGTACTGACTCTGTTTTAGCTGCGAATAAGTAAAATAGACTACCTTTAATTATAAGGTAACCGGAATCATGCTTTTTCTGAATAGATCCATGTTTTACCGTTCATCTTGAGTTTGTAACTTCATGTTGCTTTGGAGGTCTTCAATTTCGTCTATTCAACTTTCTATACTCTATAACTCTCGAACAAGTACTCAGGAGCGAGAGCTACACGCCCAGGGACACAATCGGTATTAATTTAAGTCTCACATTTTCTAATGCTCTTCGAATATGATATTAGATCTATTTGCAGAAAGTGAAAACGTTTCCACGTACCCCGCTATGCTTGAAACGGCAGACTTCCGGAAGTTAGCAAATAGCACTGGACTTTCACAAACAAAATCATCCCAAAAATGTTTTAGAGCAGAAAGTAGTGATAAAGATAAAATGCTCACCTTGAGGTGAGGCAAATTATTTTCCGTCGGTGTCAGTCTCTTTACTGCTGGAACTGACCCTGGGGTCAATTTTATTGATGATGTGGCTGCCATGAGGACCATATCCTCCACCTTTGCCGTAATCTCGGGCCGACCCCAGATGTTCGACTGGTGTATCACATTCTAAGTAAATTAATAGTGGATTCCGGCGCTCAGAATACTCTCGAGCTGACATACGCTCCTCTATCTCCCCTCCTGGCTGTGTCTTCTTTGATTTATTCGTATTATTGGGACCGACAGCCCCCTTCTCCGCCTCGAGAATATCTTTGTTCTCTGGACGACGTTTCAGTGACCGTTCAAATCTACGAATCAGCGCCACATGATTATCTTACCGACGTTGTCTGCGACCCGAAAGTCGAGAAAGTTGGCAATTTTCGATATGTGCTGGGTATGCTCGCTCGCGTCTGTCATTATCAAAGATTGCGCAAGAATATCCGCAAGTTGTGTCTTTCTTTGGATCACGAAAGAGGGGGGTGGCAGCGGGATAATTAAAGCTGCGACCATTTTCAGTTTTACGTATGCAGAGTTGCACCATTATGACATCAGTGACGACCGACCTGTTCTTTTGATTCGGATTTGGTCCATATGTGACGTTCAACTTTTGATATTTGACAAACTGATATTACGGCCATGAATTGAGAAGCTTCTGGAAACATTACATGCCATATGATTGTTAAATTCCATTATGAACCGTTTCGAAAATAAACTCTTATCTTCTAGATTACCCATAGTCGACATGGTCTTAATTATTTGAGCGTTATAATGGTCTTTTCGTTGTAACAATGGAGGGCTACCCTGCCGACAGATACAGCAAATGGACGTAGACGAAGTCATGCAGAAAAGTACCTCCTTGTCTCGATTTCGCCAAAAAGAAATAGCACGATCGGATACGAGCAATTCTGCATGGACAGAATGACAAGGTGGCTTTCTGCTAGATTTCTGCTCAATGTAGACCCCTGGCGACCGCAAGCTACAGGGAAATAATTTCTGATGATATCACTATCTCCCCGCACTCAAAACATGGTTGAACCCCTGTCCCAAATGACGGGACCCGGTGGTCTGTGTATTGTAAACGCCAGCTTGAACTTTACTAAAGGTCTCCACTGGCAGCTGACCCACTCTGGTACACTCGTTCGATGATGAACGGGATCTTCTGCCGTCTCCAAGAACAGTTATCCGATCACATCTGGAGCAGGTTTCAGCCTTCCTTCGGCAATCTGCTGCCCCCCTATGCCCCCATTTTGTCCATGATTTTCTATGTCACGTAATGTGTCATGCTTCCAGCCACGAGAAATTTGATCACCTCGCGTCTATTCCAAAATCACACCAAGCGGAGATTGGAACGTGTCTCAATAATTAGGGTTCTGAGCGCATCCATGCATGGTCATTTGAACTTATTATGTAATTAATTATCAGTAACCTAGCTATCTCTTTTTAAAGCTAGTCTTGCTCACCCCAAGACCTTTGATATATTTCATCTGAACATAAGTTCATCCCATGTCGAGAACTTTGGACTAATAATCTATCTTTCAATTTTATTTCGACCAGCCGCGGTGCCTCATCATGACTGCACTGATGGAGCCTTCAATGGCGAGTGCTCCATTTTTGGAAGCGCCATTGGACCCGACGCCAATATTGAAGAACCCTGCACCACAATATTTGAATCCCTTCGACGTTTCACGGAGCGGTCACTATTCATCAATCCCAAAATTCCAAGAAGAAAAATCACGAATCGAGACAAATCTACGACCGACTCGCTCGTATAAGCCTCAAAAACAACCCTGCAGAAGACCCTCCAAGTCAACAGCCTATATCTCACGCGAAAACCTGAGTCCCGACCGAGTGAAGCACCTCGAACGGAACCGTGCTGCAGCGAACAAATGTCGTCTGAAGAAAAAGCAAGAGCACAAAGAAATCCAAAACCATCTTGATGCTGAGACCGCTAAGCGGAAAACATTGCTGGCGGAAATCGGCGTGCTGAAAGAAGAGGTCTGGCAGCTCAAAAATCAGATGCTGCAACATGCTGCAAGCTGCGACGATCAAGATATCTACCAACAGCTGGCACAAATGACGCGGAGTAAGAGTGTTACGAGTCAAGCTGCAATCCACTGCCCATCACCGTCGTTTTCGGTTAGCACAATGTCTGATGGATCGATGGAGAGCGAAGGAAGTCGGAACGAGCCGAGCTCGTTTACAAACCCCCCATTCATCGCACCTCCAGAAAACTCTGAGAACCTAATTGATAGCTTTATCAACTTTCCTAACGTCTGAAAGACATTGCATGTGCTATAGTTGAGATTCTGGCGGCAATTTTCCGCGAGGAGTTTGGCGTGGGACAAGGACAAGCCTCGTTTCTTGTGGTGTCATCTCATCAAAGTAACACACATCAATAGATATAACTGAACCCTGAATCCCTTGTGTGTAGCTCAGGCTTCGGGTTTGGCCACTCTGTACGATGCTACGGCGCAAGGTTCTGGTGCGACTTGAGTCTCAAACGGATAGACAGAATCTCGAAGCTCATTACATCAAGTGCTCGTGAGATCGACATGAGCTTTTCTTTTGAAAATATTTCAGATTCCGGGATGTGACGTGTGTGTGCCCAGGCAGAGCACGAAACTTGGCTGGGGCAAGCCTCTGTCCACTCACGAGGAGGGTACAGTGAAGGAGCTTTGGAGAGAAGCTGAACAACGCAAGTGCCATGGAAACGCCCGTAATTTGTCTGTAATTTCGTCCCGAGAAACAGGCCAAGGTGATTGGCCGGCAGATTCACCCGACTAATGAATTAAGCAATGTGGGTCACCGAACCTGGTGGGGCATACTGTATGTACTGTACTTCTGCAGTCGCCGCGGATTCGGGTCGATCACGATACGGGCTAAGTATGGAGGTTACAGGAAAAAGGGTGCCGGGATATTTTCCAAGACGAACAGTATCTTCTTTGCTGAACTTCTCATGATCTGGTCACATTCCGCATAGAATTACGTCGTCGCAGGCCTCGCATATCATTCATGGGAGATCCTCGACGCCCTTTCAAACAATATTTCGTTTGACACGTAGTGAAGACTGTCAATTATCGGCCTCCAGGATCCTTTGTTCTGTTTCGCTCCACTTCAGAAAATTTATCGGAGCTCTGTTCGGGCTATGGCGTAATCAAATCCTGCTAAAAGACCCATCAACTGCGTATGTAGTACTATGTACGAGTAATAGTTGGCTCACTGAGTTGGCTTAGCAAGATATTCTTAACCGGTTTTCATCCCCACAGAACTTCCGGCTCGACGCATACCTTCATTTGTGAAGGATCATTTATCCGCAGACATGATACTACAGTAACTGAAGCCAAGAGTATTCTTCTAGATTTATACCAGCAAGTCTGCCTGCCTGGTACGGTGCAAACCTTCATGAGCCTTCGCTCCTTTCTTAGGAGTTTAGGAGTTCACTTTGACGTCAGCGGCTTTCTCCCTGAAGCTCGAGGGTAGACTTGTCATCTGAACACTTGCAAGATTGATCGTGATGTCAGCAAACTTCCAGGGTTTAAAATAACAACACGATCCATACATGAAGCAGATGCAAGAGAGACTTTCTACTAATTTCATACTTCGTTCGACAGCCTATAATTCCTCTAACAACAACGAAAATGACTGCAGTTCGCTTTCATGGACGCGGGGACATTCGGGTGGACGGGGTGAAAGAGCCGGCCTGTGGGAAGAACGAAGTCAAGGTAGTGCCACATTGACAGCTAATCCCAGGATTTATGATTGACACGATTTTATGAGTGATCCGAAGATGAGACCCGCTTATGTTGGAATCTGCGGAAGTGGTACGTGCTGGCCAAACATTCCTCTTACCCCCTCCACAACGCACTGACAGGTCCACTATCACGTTGAATATCATCATGACAGCACCTAAGAAATCTCTATGTCTGCAAAATGCTGACTTCAATACAGATATTCATGAATATATGTCGGGACCTATTCTGGTTTCCAAAAAAGCCTACTCTGCGAGTGGGAAACAAGCCCCCGTCACACTAGGCCACGAATTTAGTGGCATCATAGAAGAGGTCGGCGAGGACGTCAAGGGCCTTCTCAAGGGACAACGAGCAGTCGTCCGGCCAACAATCTTCGATGGAAAATGTCCTGCCTGCAAGAACGGAAACAGGCATTGCTGCGAAAATATCAGATTCATCGGCCTCAGTGGTATGATACTTCACAAAGCCTCTCATGAAGAATGGATGCACTGACTTTGCACCAGGATACGGTGGTGGTATGGCTCATTTTATCGTGGCACCGCCAGAGCACTTCTATCCCTTGCCAAATGATGTTTCGCTAGAAGCCGGTGCACTCGTGGAGCCACTGGCAGTGGCTTGGCATGCAGTCAATCTGTCTCCATTTAAAGCCAATGACACTGCACTCGTTCTGGGTGGAGGTCCTATTGGGATCGGTGTGATTCAAGTACTCAAGCTGCAGGGCGCGAGAAACATCATCCTTGTGGAGCTAATGGAGAATCGCAAGAAGCTTGCGGAAGAGCTTGGCGCTACCCACATCTTCGATCCTAGGGAATGCGATATTCCCACCGAAGTTTCGAAAGTAACAAAGAAAGTGGGCGCGGATGTTATATTTGACTCTGCTGGTGTCGAGAAAGCTCTGAATGGGATTATTCCAGCATGTCGTGTCCATGGGACAATCGTCAATATCGCAGTTTGGGAGGGCAAACCGTCGCTCGATGTCAATAATATGACATACAGCGAGATCAACTACATGGGGGCTGCACTATATGACGAGATGTCGTTTCTCAATGTGATTCAGGCATTGAGCTACGGTGAGTCGATCATTAGTTGTTCCCAGAATGTTTCTAACGGCTATTCAGGCCAGCTGAACACTGAGAAGATGATTACAGCGAGGATAAAGCTAGAGGACGCAGTGGAGAAGGGCTTACAGGAGTTAATTCATCATCGCGATCGCCACTGCAAGATTCTCATTGATGCGCAAACATGATTAGCAGACCAACTTTTTTTTTATTTATATATAGAGTAATATTTCCCGAGTCGACGAAATTAGTTTTGTTTGTGCGAGCGCACCGTTCTGGTTCGATGTGCTGATTTAAGCTTTTTCAATGAGGACAACGACTATCCCAGGTCATGACGAATTATTCATTGCTCGTACTCGACAATTCATACATCAGTATATACATAACAGGGTATTCGGTTCAACTGCAAAGAAAGCTATTTATTTATCATGACGTCGTACACGGGAAACTTCATTAACCGCCACAGCTCCGAGAGCTCCGGCACCGACTGTGCGGGCGAAATGCCCCCCACCCAGAGCTCACATCCTCCCCTTCCTTCTTGCGATATTTGTGTGCCAGTTCCGCTGCGGCGGCGGCTGCAATCGCACCCTCGGCTAGGTGCTCTTTGTGGTGGGGATCTTTGCCGTGGCTATCTCGGCGATGCCGGTCGTGATCGTGATCGTGGTGGCCATGGTGGCCATGATGGCCGTGATCATGATGATGGTGACGGCGGTCACGGTGGTCGTCGTAATTGTGATGCCTGTGGCCTCTCACTAGATCACGGCTGTGGCGAGGAGAATCATCTCGAATCGGTTCTTCGTAGTCGTAGCTAGGTGACCGTCGAGATGGCCGATACGATTCGGGAGGATAGTCATAGTATGACCGCGGAGGATAGCCGTGCGAGGGGTATGCCATAATGGAAGTGGACAGTGGTAATTAATTCAAGTCTTTAATGTGTTTACTTATTCGTCCCAGAGAAACGTATTTATGTGGATAGGGGTGATCATTGGGTCTAGTGATATCATTCGAACACCCGAGTTTTTCTTTGTCTACAACCATGTGAAGGAAAACTTCTGCGGGTCGACTAGAACTTGATGGAATCTTGCATTCTTATGGGGTAAAAAGAGGCCACCCAATATTGTAGCAACAAAGACGCGGGAAGTGGAGCCGGAGGTATATGCATGGTTCTTTGGCGAACCATGTCGTGCATTGTGCAGCCGTCCCAGCCTACTTGATGTCATACCCCAGCCTCGTGAGCTGCGCCAACGTGGGGTCTTCTTCTTGTTCTTTCATTGGGGTCTTGCCACCAGGGCGCAGTACATGCCGAGTCAATCGAATGCAGTGCACTGCACCAGGCTTGACGTGCCTGTCTATGAATCACGTGACCCAACTTGCCACGCACCACGTGATCAAATACTATACGGGGATTCATTTCCCAACTATGTTCTTTTTGGCCCTCTTTCCGTGGACAAAATAGAATGAGGCGTTCACATTTACGTGTACCGAGCTCTCCGCTCTCATGCGTATGAACAAGCACTTCGATATTCGAGCATTGTAGGTATGGACTGGAGACCAAGGCGTCGTGTACAAAGCGAAAATACGTTCGTCTACTGCCCGTTTAAATATTGATTAGGCATCGATGCGGGTAGTTTCGCTTATTTTGCGCCGCAGCTTCTGAATTCAGTGCCACTGAACTGCATGTAGGTAAGGTATCCCGGATGTAAGTTGATAAACGTGAGTGCTTTAGGAATCCTGAACACGATTATGTAATTAATGCTTACCTAACACTCCGCGGCCGCGATCCTCTTATCGCGGTATGCCGTGGATTTGATGGGGTCCGCAAACTACCAGCACACGCCTCGACGCAATGGCTTCATTCCGACTCCAGGGATTCCAATCCGTCCTCCGGGGCAAGTCGCACCTCCTGCGCAGCCCGCAGCGCCGATGGGCTCAGGTCCACGATGTGCGCTTCCTCGCCTCGCACCATGACCCCAAGTATGTGATGGACAAATATCGGTCGAAGCTCGACCAGAAGGCCAAGGAGTGAGTTTCCCAGCAAAAGCGACCACTATGCGCCTAAAACCTGACCTTATCTCGATCCTAGAGAGGGCCATGAGTCAGTCGAATCCCTGAAGGAGGCCTACAGCGACAAGATCCAAGATCTCCGCCGCAAAGCATCCACCGTCGCAACACCAGAGCCCAACACCGTGGTACCAGAAACCCCCAAAGCCTTCCACCCCCCTCCTCCTCCGCAAGACCAGTCTGCCACCGAGCACGCTGCCCGCAAAGTCTCCGGCAAGACCAGCCCCATCAAGCCGCTCAGCACCTTCCTCGACGTCGAGAAGTTCCGCGATCTTCCCCCAAAGGAAGTCGAAGCGCTCTGGCGTCTTCGCCACGCTAATAGCCCGACGTCCATCTGCGCCGTGATTCCTCTGGAGACATACCAGCGCATTGTCTCCGCCGCCAAACACAACCCGCAATTCGTCCTCCCTCTCCCCCGCCAGATCCCCACCGAAGAAGCGCAGGCCAAGGGAACCGATGAGACGCAGAGTGCCGCGGAGATGCACTTCCTCCAGTGGGCATTCCACCCTCCCGCCGAGGACTTTGTTGCTCCGCCCACTGCTTCTGGTGAGACGGTCAACAACCACACCTCCACAGTGATCTTTACGAACCTTGGCGCCTTCAAGATGCATGGTACGTATGCCCAGCCACACACGACTGTCACGCACTACCTGGACCTGGCGGATGAGAAGGGCCTGGTCCTCATGCTTGGACAGGTTGTGCCTGACCGTGGTGTCTCGACTTCCGAGGCTACTTGGCTGGTAAGCTGCGTGCAGCGATTCTATGATTTCGGTGGCCAGGCTAGTGGACGGAAGGGCGAGTTGGTGCGGATGTTTACCAAGGGTGATGTTGAGAACTTCAAGGTTGAGGAGCTCCTTGAGGAGAGTGAGCGGATCAACTAGATGTGATTCTTTCTTGGTCATCTAGATTCCCCGCTACATCGGCGATGATCTGTACAACATTTCTGTTTATTTTGCGGTTGGGTTGCCAACACTGATAGAGTTAGTTTGGCTTTACCTAATCTTGAACATGTGTATATTAACCATAGTCATGAGAATTGAGACGGAACTTTAGACTGGAAATTCGAAGATACTACGCAATCGGGATTGAAAATGTCGTGGTGGTGGCAGGCATTATACATGTCAAAATGAACCTCATTTGTAGAGCCAAGTTGATTCTGCTATGCCGACCATACCCTAAAGTCTAGGTCACAGGCAGATACGAATTCGCTTTCAATTAAGCATAATGTTGGCATTGAAATTAATTCCAGGGAGACATTCATATGTACAGCGAATGAGAACCCGAAATGGAGCAAGTAGAAATAAAAAGAACACATGCCCATGCAGCCATCAGCAAATAAAAGCATAATCGAACATCAGATGCCATCACAGAAGCAATAGAAAATAAACAGCACAAATTCAACGCCATGTAGTACAAATCCCATAAAATGACGCCGGAGATTTCACAAAACCGCCAAAGGTGGTAGTGGCATGGAGGGAAGGGCAATCTGCAGAACACAGATGCAGAAAATACAGAAGCATCCAGGGCCTTGGGTTACCGATGGAGACATTAAGGTGGAATAGCCTGGTAGCGTCTTTCAATCGTGAGAGGGTATCATTAGTGTGGGTCGTTGGAAGGATGAGAAGACATCGGGCCAAGCCGGTCCCTATTGGATAATGCAATCATTTTTCATCATCCATGACTTCTTCGGTGATGAAGGAGTGGATATGCTCGAAGTAGCCTGGTTCGGCTACGGAGTCGTTGTGTCCGCCGTTTGGCAGGGTGCGCCAGATCTTGCGCTCGGATTTACAGACGGAGAAGAGTTGGGTCATGTTTGTGGGCCTGGACGTGTCAGATTATAGCTGTCAAGCAAGGATATATGTGGTGCAAGACGTACGGCACAAGCTCATCTTTCAATCCGCTCAGGAAGAGGATGGGTACTTTGCTGATCTGAGGAAGGATTTCTTCGCTGTTCCAGTATTGGTGACATAGTCGGGCAAGATATCTCGCTGGAGGGAAAACACTAGATAGTAATAGGATGTTAGTGTCGGGTTATAATGCGGCCACCCTTGCTGCGCCAAACTCACCTAGGAATCAATTTCCGGATACTCAAAAAGGTGTTTTCGAGTATCAACCCGCTCACATCCTCCTGCTCCTGATTGGAAGCAACCAGGTTAATCGCAACCGCACCGCCCAAGCTCTGTCCGTAGACCACAATCTTGCCATCACTCGTCTCGGGTCTCTGTCGCAGATAATCCAATGCAGTCTGAGCGTCGATCTTCAGACCCGCTTCGTCAGGAGTTCCCGTCGAGAAGCCATATCCACGGTACTCCAACATGAAAACATTGCAATGAAGTGTATCCAGTACGGCCTTGGCAATTGGAACTCGGTGACCAATATTACCGGCGTTGCCGTGAAACATGAGAACAGTGAGGTTGCGCGCGCGGCGGCCCATAGGCGGACGAAGGAATAGGGCGTGAAGGGACTCGCCATCAGGTGTGGGGATCTGGAGGTCCTCGAAGTCCTTGATGCCGAAATCTCGGGGGTTAGGGACATTTGTCCGCGCATCGACGGGGACATTGCGGGGGTAGATCAATTCGCTGGGGGCCATTTGTTAGTCACGAGAGCTCTTGTTTTGACCCTATGAAAGCCGAGACGAAGGCAGGACTCACTTTTGCTTGAAGTAAAGCAGGCCACTGGCGACCACTGCGAGGCCAGAAGAGGCCAGAACCGGCAGACGAAGGAACTGCATGGTGTTGTTGGCCATGCCACTGATGCTCCACGATGGGGGCGGCGGAGGAGATTCGGACATGGCGATCGACCAAGCACGACAAACAGGATTCGTAACAATTTTTTGGGCGCGATTTGTTCGCCAAGAATTCAAGGTGGTAGCGAGGTGTTTCCAGGGCGAGTGGAAGCCAGCCACGCTCAGGAGAGGCCTGGGGGACTTGCGGGGGCTGGCGATTGCGACTATCGACGGGCCTGGCCTCACCGCCCGGACGCGTGGGAGCTTCTGCCTTTCGGGATGATCGCATCCTCCTTGCACTCCCAACTCACGCCTTACGCCGTCTCCCTTCGATTTCCATTGTTTCTGTCTTCGTTTTCGTCTCGCAAGCTCTAGATCACATATCCCGACACAATGGTCGCACCGCACGGCGTAACGGGGATGCTGGGTGAAGGTCCGTCGAGCTATCGTCATCATCCGTTGGAGCTGAAGCTAACCGGTCATCCAGATGGCATCCACGTTGACATGCAGCACCTGAAGAGTGGAGAGGTCAAGTAAGTCTGGCAGCTCTGGATTGCTTATTTTCAGTTGACTCGATGCTAACAGCCTTGTTCCTGTGCAGCCTGGGTACCTCGATGTGAGTCGAAGCTCGAAGCTATTGTTTCCATCACCGCTCAAACACTAACCCCCACCAGTATGGCCATCAACTTCAAGGACGGTGTTATTCTGGGCGCCGACAGCCGCACAACCACCGGTGCCTACATTGCCAACCGAGTCACGGACAAATTGACACAGGTGCACGACACTATCTGGTGCTGCCGATCTGGCTCGGCGGCGGACACCCAGGCCGTGGCGGACATTGTCTCCTACCACCTCAACATGTACGGCGTTACCAACAACGAGGCGCCCAGCACACAGGTGGCGGCGTCGCTCTTTCAGGAACTGTGCTATGAGAACAAGGAGATGCTGAGGTGGGTGTCTACCGTGCAGCGGGATCGGAGATATACCCTCTTCTAACAAAAGCTTAGTGCTGGAATCATCATTGCGGGATACGACCCGCGACACGGCGGTCAGGTGTTTTCGATACCGCTCGGAGGATCTCTACACAAGCAGTCGTTTGCGATTGGCGGCTCGGGCTCGACCTACATCTATGGTTATACCGATGCGCACTGGCGGGAGCAGATGACCGAGGAAGAGGGCATCGATTTCGTGCGGAACGCCCTGCAGGAGGCGATCAAGTGGGATGGTAGCTCCGGTGGTGTTATTCGACTGGTGGTGTTGACCAAGAAGGGTGCAGTGCGACACCTGTACCTGCCAGACAATGGCTACACCGGGCCCGGGGTGACAAATTAATAAGTTTGTACTAATAGCGTCTGGGAACTGCAATTGACATGGTTATGATCGTGCACTGCTGATCTTGTTCTTGCACTTGGCGACTGGGGAGCCCCCACGCGGAGACGGGCTGTCATGGCATAGCGTCCACTAGTGTCCGCTGGATTGGGCGGTTGGGTAGCAACTGGAATAGAATGGCACTGTAGAGACTATAGCCGGGTATCCATACTAGTTGTATCCAGTTGGAGATGATCGAGCTGCTGGTAATGTCCGGGACCCTGCATGTCTCATGGCTATAGTACTTTTGGGAAGGTGTTTACCTTAAGGTTGGCACATGGGACGGCTCCGTTGGATATAGCCTTAAAGTAATACTCTAACCTCATAATTCATCCATCGGGCATTCAACCCTAGCCCCTTTCTTCCTCAATAGTCAGAGTCAGGAGTAATCTCACCGGCTCCAGTTGGACCTCTCCCATCTATGCATATCTCGTCAAGCCTGGAATCACCGGTGGCACTGGCACCACGGGCGCGCATGACGGGCTGTCATTCGCTGGTAGTCTAAATCTCTCCATGGGGCTTACCGTACTTCCCCGATGATCGGTCACTTTGGGAGTATACATCCTACTAATCAGACGTCTCGAGGTGGGAGGAAAGGAGTCCCTGTAGAGTAGAACTGCGAGTACTATGGTGTCTCAGAATAGATCTGCCGGATGTGTACATGCTGCACATCACCACGCGCCGTATATCAACGTAGACAACCGCGCTCTTTCTTTTCTTTTTCCTGCCCATAGTGACTGTGACTGGTGTCGCCGTCAGAACAGGAATATCCCCTTTTTCTCCTATTTTGTGTTGTCTGTTGCCTGTTCTCCTATTCTGCCACCGTAACCCGGGACTCAGGTATACTAGGAGAGGGAACCTGTTCTCCCGTGGAACCACGTCTGGCTTCCTTCCTCCGCCTCCTCCGCGCTCACCACCACTCACCAATCCCCTCGCTGCCCTCGCCCATCTGCAATGGCTCGGTCCGACCAGTGATCGAATCCTTCCGGCAGTGCGCTGATCCGGTGCTGGTCCGGGACATTTCAGACGACGTGCGGCGGCCTTGCTGTTAGTGTCAACCTGCAACCTGGAAACGCCGGGCCCAGGTCTTCGTCATCGACAGGTAAACCCAGACCCCCCTCCTTTCGCGTCTTGCCTGCGCTCTCTCCGCATCTATTCACTTCGTCCAATGCCTCCGGCCGCTGTGGCGTCCCTCTCCATCCGCCTCTCGCTGACCGGTTTTCCCAGCAGCACGACCTGACTTCGGCAGTCCCAAGCAGCAATCGGGACATGGACGCCGTGATCGTCGACCACGTGCCGGAGCAGATCGATCGCAAGATGCTGGGCTTCAACCAGGACGTTTACTCGCGTCCGCAGCTCGAGGGCTCTAGAACGAGCTCCAGCAACACCACCCCCACCTCGACCGCCCCGCCAGCCGTAGGCTCTGCTCGCCTTCCGGCCAGCGACATCCCCGCCTACATCAATTCCCAGACCCCCTCGCATTCCTCGCACACCCCCGACGCTCCTCGCCCGCCGTCCATGACCTCCTCCTCTCACTATGGGATCCCACCCGACCATCCTGTCTACTCCCACCGACCAACGCCACAGCAGCCGCCATCCGGCCATGCCGCGGCCGACCCGACAAGTATGACCGGCCCTGCGCCCTCCGCTCAAGCATCGCCCGAGTCGCCGCGTTTGCAACCGACCTACCGATCGATGCAATCCGTCCCCGGCTCAGAAGTCAACTCGCCCAGCCGCATCCGAGTCCAAAGCCTGTCGCACATCCAGAGCCTGGCCAGTGAAGACTTCCTCGCTCACTCCAGGTCGCATATCCCAGGCCATGGAGCACATCCGCGCAAATTCGAGATCAGCTCGATGCCCGTCACTGATATCATTGAGATGGTCGCCGGTCTCCTCACCAAGATCACCACTACCAATGACAAACACCACGAGGACATCCATCGCCACATCCCGCCACCCGACGGTACCAGCAATCTGAGTCCACAAGCTACCAGCGTCCTCGCGTTCCACGGCAAGAATGTGCCGAGTATCTCCATCCTCAGTTACCTGACCCGCATCCACAAGTACTGCCCGACCACCTACGAGGTGTTTCTGAGCCTGCTGGTCTATTTCGACCGTATGACCGAGCTAGTCAACCGCGGCCAGTCACAAAGTCACTGGGATCCAGCCTCGATCGAGCCCTCTGAGGCCTCAGCGAGGCAACATCAGAGCAAGGAATCATCTATCGTAACCCCGCCGTCCTCGACGCGCATCACCGCGCAGGACCCCAAGAGTCCAAACTCCTCCATCTCACCGGGCCTCTACCCGCAAGGCGAAGAAGAGGCCCTCTCCCATTTCTTTGTCGTCGATAGCTTTAATATCCACCGACTGGTCATCGCGGGCGTGACCTGCGCGAGTAAATTCTTCTCAGATGTGTTCTACACCAATTCCCGATATGCAAAGGTGCGATTCCCGGTCCCATCTCCATGCGAGCGCATTCCAGTTTACTAATATCTCATTCCAGGTCGGCGGCCTCCCACTAGTCGAGCTAAACCACCTCGAACTACAATTCCTCCTCCTGAACGACTTCCGCCTCGCCGTCCCCGTCGAAGAACTCGAAGCCTACGGCACAATGCTCGTAGAGTTCTATGCGCGCGAAATCGTCGCGCAACAACAGCAAGAACGCGCGATGGCCGTGCCGAGGTCTGTCCACCCCTCTTCGGCTTCCTCCCATCCAGAAGGCATGTACATGCGCTCTGCACGCGACAAACGGCGAGAAGATCCGGGTCTCGGTCAAACACCCACTCCGCCATAGTGTGGCGCTCAGTATGGATGTTCTCAACTGGACCTGCTGAATCCGCATCACACCCATTTGCATACTTCAATCTTCCTCCCATGATACGCTGAGCGTCCAATTGAGCTACCACCCGTTGTTCTAGCGTCACATATCCGGCCCTCTCTCACCTGCCCATTACCATTACTTTCCTCCAGGCGCTGTTCTACTCGTCCTCATGAATTTGTATAGATTTCGACCTGTTGCTGCAGCCGCGGGTTATTCTTTTCTTCCTCCCCCCATTTTGTTCCGCTTCGTCTTTACTGTTTGCCTGCCGCTATTCCCCCTCTGCACTTTCCATACATCATATCTATGGGCTTTTCTCCGTGGGCTATTGTCGTCTGGACTTGTTTTTGTTTTTTTTTATGCTTCATGGTTTGGTGTTGGGGTGTTGCTTTTTCCCCTTTTTTTGCATTCGGGCTTGGTTCTAGGGAGAATATTAGTTCATTATTTGTATTTTCTCTTAAATTCCTCGGTCATTACTTCTTAAGGTGTTATTGTAGGTTTATACATTTGTGCATTCTGTGTGAACCCCGTGGGGTAGTCTGATCGTAGTAAATACACTAGTATAGGGTTCAAAGCTTTGACAACGGTTCATATCAAGCCGTTGACAGCATTGACAGCAGCTAGTGTGCGGGTCCCCGTCCTGGCCTGAGCTACGTTGGTATGAGCGATGTGGGTCGAGGTTGTACATTGCGGCTCGGAGCAATGTGAGCTACGTTCAAACTTGGTTATTGCTAGGTTATGAATACAATCTGGATTGTGTTCGATGCGTAATTCGATTTCGATTGTGCTTTTGCTAATATCATGAGTACCGATGCCGAATTGTCGGCTTCAACTTTTCCAAGCTCAATCTCTCAATTTACTGATTACGTCGAAGATCATTGTGCCAGTTATCAAATATGACTCCCTTTGTGTTAGTTTCTAACGTTGAATAGGAGCTTGAGATAGATAGTATTATATTTCGGATGTCTGTAGTGCTATGCAATTAACCTTGATTCGAATGGACATGGCTTGTCGAGGTTGACAAGTGGCTGTGGTTGAAGCAACCGGACGTGAAGCATCGGAGGTGGAATGCCACAATTCCAACCGTTGGGGCACAGCCACAGACACGGGAATTGTTCTGGATTAAAATTTTGGCAAGATTCTGGGCTGAGGCTTGGCACATTAAGAGGGCTTCTGGGTAAATTGCGGGACAATTTTGTTTAAATGTCGGTTGCTTCCCTTGAACTGCTGCTGAGCCGGCAACATGCCTGAGGATATTGGCAGCATTCCAAACTTAACTCGAATGCAAATCTTCCCCTTTAGCTCGCACTAACTCTGCATCCCTGGTAACCACAGATCGTCCATCTACTGCCTTTCTAGCTTAGGCTCTTTTGTTTTCTGGTCGTATATTAAGTAGAGGTGACCGGCATAATTTTCCGTGTAAGCTTTTTCTTCTCCTACTGTAATCAAGTCATTTTTCTATTTTTCTCATACCCGTAACTCATAACTCTTTCTTGAAGTCTGTAATATGCCTTCTCGCAAAGAGCTTCTGGCTCTCTATACTCTGCTGCTGCAGGTTGTGGCCCGCCCTGCCCCGGGTGATGGATGGGGATCCCCCGAGGATTATAGTCAAGGCGCCCTTGAGCTTCTCTACAGTGAAGTTTACTATCTTGCACCTACACAAGCTCCGGCAGATTCAACAGAGCAATATGGCGGCGGCGGTGGTGGAAAGGGAGGTCCCGGCGGACCTGGTGGTGAGCACGGTGGAGGAGATGGATCTGGATATCCCGGTCCTAGTGTGACTGTTACTCCCGACTGGTAAGCTCGCAAAGGTTCCCAATGTCGTTTGTTATTACTCACGCTGCGACAGCCCCGCTGCTCCTACAACTACCGTGACTATAACCACTGATGACAGTGAAAAAGGAGCTGCAACTGTTACAGTTACTTCTCCAGGGGAGACAGTCACCAGCACCATTACTTCTCCGGCCGAGACGATCACAGACACGATCAGCGACTGTACAGCAGCCACCACAGACAAGAGCTTTGTCAACACAGCCACCGAAACAGAAACCCTCACCTATACAATCAGCTCGTGCACAGCCACGACAACAGACTACGCGACTGTGACAGCCGACGGCTCGACAATCACCTCAACCGTAACCACAGCCGATCCCACTGAGACAGAAACGACAACCGTCACCCATGCCGCGGAGACCGTTACAGCCCCAGCCTCAACCGAGACCCAAACCCAGACAGTGACCGAAACAACCACCGACACCACTACCCTGACCGACCACCAGATCATCATCCAGACTGCCACGACCACTGAGACAAAGACTCTGGAGGTGACCTCGACCGTGACATCCGACGATTGCTCTGAGACTGGTACCAATGGCTCCGATAGCCTTGGCTATGGCTCCTGCTCTGACCCGACCATCAAATGGGAATATGGACTGGACGGCCGTACCGACTATTCCTATACGACCAACAACCAGAAGGACTTCTCCTTCGGCTCCTCGCCTACCATCGGTGCTCCGGACGATCTGATCTGCAACCGTCTCCGCAGCCCGTGCAATGCCCCCCAAGAGACTATTGACAAGTGCTACGAGACCAAGGATGCCGTTGCCAACCTGAGCGGCCAGGAAGCTGCTGATGTCTGGAACAGCATGATGACCTAAGTTGTTCTACTGTCGTTTTGACATTTGGCCCTGGGGGCTAACATGTATATGAGGAAAACTAAAGTTTTCTCTGCTGAATAAAAGCTTCGATACATAGATGGATATGACTACTATTAAAACAATAGAACTTGATACTTTATTTCTAACCTCAAAATTCCACGAGCATGCTATTATTATTCTTCCTGTTAAGGTTAGGGCTGACAATATTGAGTTTGGCCCCAATTGACTGTAACGTCCCTCCGCAGCCTTGCCTCGTCAGATCACGACCCTCCACAGTGTCCTCCTGACATCCCGAATTCCCGCCGATCTCAAATATGGATCCCGAATCCCGCGCCTCAAAATGCTACCTCTCGCCAATCAATCTCGACGACGCGGACGAATTCACCGAACTCCGTCGCCAACGCCTAATCTGCGGCTGGGAATCCGACCACCAAACATTAGAATCGTGGAAATCCAAACGCGACCTAAAGAAACTCTTTTGGATTACCGTCCCAGATCTCGGACCTGGGCTTCGGGCCGGCCATATATCCCTTGACAAATCCTCCGCCCTCCTTGAGCCTGGTTTTCTACGCAAAAATGAGATCGAATTATCCCTCAGTTCCTTCTTCATATTGCCTGAATACCGCGCCCTACGTCTTGGAAAACACGCTGTCATGCTTTTGGAGAAGCTTGCGACTACAGAGCCGTATGGGAGTCCGTGTTGTCGGTATCTTACGCTGACGGCTTTGAGTAAGAAGTATTTCTATGATGAGGAGTGGAGAGGAATGTGGGATAGAGTCGGGATGCAGATGCCGTCTTTTAGTATTCAGGAGTGGTATGAAAGGTTGGGATATGTTTCTTGGAAGGAGGAGCCCCTCTATGAAGAGAGGACGATGGATGGGGAGAAGATTGTGCTTTGGGAGGCTTTTATGAAGAAGGATCTTTGGGGTCTCTAATGGAGTATCCTTGTCTTAAGTATGAGAGTTTACGAAAGCCGGATCTGGATCTGATACCCCACGTGATGTGATATAAGAAATGCTGTAACACTTGACGAGTCGCAACGTGGGGGGTGCTTTCTCAGATGTCAAAATATATTACCGAATATTGATCGGCTGAATGGACACTGCGGTGAATTTCGGCCATAAGCTTGATCGCCAGTAAGCACGGGTTTAGGCGTCTGCACCGTATTTTCCATGAGACACAGCACGCAGATCTTGTTGCAAAATGGATAGCCCTGATTGTTGATTGTATGAGTAGTTTTGCCTGCTCCACTCGTTAGCACCGCGGGCGAAGGGGCCAAAAGGTGGATTCAGGCAACTGCAGCACTTCAGCTACAATAACCAGGCTTAGAAACAACATTGATTGTATATTTCTGTTGCAAAAGAGGTTCGGACTAGAAAAATATTGTCAGTTTCGGAAGACTGGTGGCCTCATTCCTTCAACATAATGGCGGGTCAATGAACTGCAAGGTATCCTGAAGTGTGGATTTCGCCCCCAGTCCAGAAGTCCATTGCAATGCTGACGATTCCCCACAATGCCAATGTCTTCTAAATAACCTCTTCTTTCATGATGTCATATAGTAAGCATGAAAAAGGGGAAAAGACTTGGCAACAGCGAAGAAGGAGTGCAGGATCCTTGGCCTCTATGTAACGGGAGTATGGAAGCCTTGGCATTGGCATCGCAGCGATGGCAAGCAGGTATAAAGATCAGCAAAAGGCATCTCAAGTAGAGCAACAAAACAACAAGCCTCTCAATTCAACAATCTCAAGCCCTCCTCATCCAAAACCGCAACGATGGCCCCTCTCCGCACCGCCCTTCTCTGCCTGATGGCGACCTCTGCCACTGTCTACGCAGAGCACCTGAAGGTCGTCTTCTCGGCCGGTGACTTCTCGACCATCTCTGGCCCTGCCGGTGGCAACACCAACGGTCACTACGGTGGTTTCGCCATCATCAACGATAACGGCGATGCGATCTACGACAACGGCTACCCCGACGACCACTCGCCCTGCTACAACACTGGCGACGGCCGCACATTCACCATCGAGGGTGACTGCTGGAGCACCCCCCGCACCTTCAAGTGCAAGGCTGATTTCGCGGGCCACCCTGAAACCTGTGAGGTCCTTGATGGCGATGGCAACAGCCTTGGCTCTGGCGAGGGTCAGACCGATACTACTTTCATCGGTATCTCCATTGGCCAGGACTCCAGCTGTGTCGTTGAGTTCGACTCTGACAGCGATGGCTGCCCTATTGACGACGGCAACGGTCCCCTTCACGTTACCTCCGGTTAAGGGCTTAACTCTTGAAGGACTTAGATTATGGGATGTTCATATACCTGTCTTGATGGCAGCAACTTGTTAGAGTACTAGACGAATGTTTTCCAAATTGAATCTGTTAAAGCGTACTCTTATATTTGAAGACCGTTTACTTGTTATATAGCTCAAATGTTGAATATCTTAGACCGAAAACTCAGACACTTGTTGTAGCATTAGTCCTAATCCAGTTATCGTTAATGGGAAACCGGAGATACTATTTTGTGAGCGAATAGACGAAAGCGATGGAAAAGAGGATACTGCGTACGTAAACAAAAGTAAACTTACAGAGTCGAGATTGCTCTTCTCCAATGCAAATTCGATGAACATCCTGGTTACCCTGGAATTTTCTCCACATTTGGATCCGCACCGTGAGAAACCAACATCTCCGAGATTGTAGGATGATCCGCCGACTTGAAGCGACCGCTGTCTCGGACTGCCAGGCCCGATTCCCGTTCGCTCCCATGTAAATTTGGCCTGCGATGGAAGATTCTCGTAGTATTGTTGAAGCTTTTTTCAAGTCATCTAAGACATTGTGGCAGCTCTGTAGCTCCTTGTTCAAGGCTGGAAAGTATTTGTCGTATTTTTGAACCCTAGATATTTCGCGACCACAATTCAGAGAAAGGGAATAAGTTGATTCAGCTCATGTTGGACTTGAGCGACCATGTCTAGGTAAGACGACGCCATGAAGGACGCGTTTACTTCGTCGATCAGGGAGTGGGTCGTCGTATGGCTGCGCGCAGGTAGTATCATCACGAGGACGTACTGATGTTTGCGTATGTCTCTGGTGGCCGAAAGTCTTCTAAAGACCGCTCCGCCGCTGAGTCTGGTTTGTCGTGCGCCCCTCGTGTGTGCTTATATGGGTTGTTCTCGGGGATGTAACCCTTGGAAGCCATGGCGACACTGCGTGCTTCTCAGCCGCGGTCGAGTGTTCATGGGCACAAAGGTGAGGTTCCCAAGATGTTTCAGTCCATGTCACCAGGGAAATCAAGTAAATATTCACCTCAATTCGACACCTAGAGCGCCTCACAGCCAGGTTCCTGCAAAGCCACAACTGACTCGCGACGGAAGCTGCTGGGGCTGGATGCAGAGCCAAGAAGCTGTACTATCTAACTCAGCGCCTAAATAGCACACTTCGCCTATCATCGTTCTCGGCCGGCATAGCCCCTCTGGGGGCCCCCAAATTCGAAGCAGTTGATGATTCGCTGCAGATGTTATAAATGACGGGCATGAGTCTCAAACCCAACTTAGTCCTTGCCAATAACTCTCCAAATGGACGACCTATACTCAACTAAAGGAGACTACGGTCTAAAGTACCTCGCCGAACCCGCCAACCCAACGGTGGAGTACGCAGCAAGATACCCCACATTCCTACTTGCTTGAGCCCGAGGTTAATTAATCTTGTTGTTAGCATCGTATTCGTCCACGGCTTGACAGGAAACCGAGAAACAAAATGGACCTGGGTCACACAAGGAGACCCAGTTCTGGCCGCAGGCCTTTCTACTGGATGACCTGCCCAACGCACGGATTATGACATACGGCTACGACGCAGATATCGTGCATGCGCTCCATGTTACTTACTGGCTCGAATACATTGCGCGATCATGGGAAGGCGTTTGCGAATGAGCTTGCGATGAGGCGGAAGAGGACTAAAGCAGTACCTCCTCCCCCCCCCCCCCCCCCCCCCCAATGCAACAACAACTTCAGAGACGCAGGCTGACGAAATTTCTCAAAGGAACACCGCCCTCTAATATTCGTCGCGCACAGCTTGGGAGGTCTCGTCACCGAGCAAACCCTCCTCATATGCCGCGGCGAAGCCCAACCATACTTCAAAAGCATGCTCGCAAGCACCATCGGCATCCTATTTCTCGGGACACCGCACGCCGGATCAGGCAAAGCAGATTTAATAAAGCCGCTCACCAGCATTGCGAGAGTTCTACGGACTTCGAACAGCGAGATCGTCGCTGTTGTGAAACCCGGCTCGGAAATGCAGGTTAATCTGCACCAAGAGTTTCATATGATGCTTGAGGATCATAGACGGAATCAGGGGAGGCTTATTGAGATATTTTGTTTTTATGAAGAGTTGGAGTTTGAAGGGATTGGCAAGGCTGGTTGTCTCTGATTTTATTTTGGTGTTTACAGTTGCTGACACTTTCAGATCGTGCCGAATCAATCGGCTATCCTGAATAACAATGGCAGTCGAAGTATTCACGGCAACCATATGCAAATTACTCGATTTAGCAGCAAATTTGATCAAGGATATGTGGTCATGAGTGATTAGCTACGGACATGGGCCGACGCAATCGAGTCTCAACCTGTGCCTGAACAAGTCGCTCCTGCTTCGGCTTCAGCCCGCAATCCACAACATGCTATTGAATCTGGTGGTGGACCGATCTTCCTAGGCAATGCGACTACAGGACGGGATTTTAAGATCAATACGAATTCATTCTATCGTTAGATCAATTATCCCGGAGGATAATGTATACCAACTAGAAATTAGTGTTGGGGTGATGTTGGTGAGATATATCAGCCACGTGGCACGAGCTTTTCTGAATGCGAGGTTGCAAGACAGAAGGAGCATACCAAATCCATTACTATCAAGATCAACAGATGCAACGCTGTAACAACAAGAATCAACTCTCTGTCCAGTACTCAAAAAATTCGACGAATGAACCAGAAAAGTAGGAAAGGACATGAAAAAAGTAAGCATGTATGCGTGAAAAGAACAACGCAACGGACATGTCTCGTCAAAACATAAACAGGCTATTCAATGCGTGGCGGGCTCCGTGATTTCTTCCCCATCGGACTGCGACTGAGGCTCGCCCTGAACGCATATCATATATTAGTAAATACAAAGAAACGAGTATAACGGGACATGACTTACGATCGTCGACGTTCGCCCTCCTTCCGGAATCCCTCAATGATCTTAGCCATTTCCTTTCGAGAATGACTAGCATCAACCCTTTGTCCTCCGAGACTCATACTGACCTTCTCGTGTGCACTTGCTCGAAGAAGACGCTTCTCGAGCAAATGGCGCATATTCACACAGACGAAAACACCACAGTCGCTGCCGCCGTCTTGTTGCGGGGAATCGTTCAAATGCATAAAGCGGATTGGCATGTTCAGTAGAACCCCAAATTTGTGCGTCACGGTATGCGCTTCCCAGACATTTCCTTGGTATAGGGAGTCGTAGTGGAATGCGATGCGGTCGACGATAGAAATCAGGAGTAGAGACCAGTGGGTACCTCCTTCGGCTTGTGTGACGTTTCGACAGTCATTTATCGGGAGGAAAACGTGGGTCACGCCGGAGAAATTTGGGAGCGCTTCTTTTAGGGTGAGGGGGTTGGGAGTTTGGAGGATCATGAAGGACATGCTGGGGCGAAGGAGGACGATGTTGGAGGATTTCTGTTTGGCGAGAACTTCGTGCTCGAGGTATCTGGGAAGCTGCGGTCAGCATTTCGTCCGGGAAATCTGCAATTGAATTCGTCTGAGTGCGTGGGACTTACTCCTCCCAGAACGAGATGATCTGTGATTGATTAGCGTTTGTCTAGCCAAGATTCCAGTTGCTTAACCCACATTATCCGTTAGCCAGTCATTTTTCAGTGTTTGCATATCTCCTCGGGTCACTGTTGAAATGTAAGCTTTTGCAAGGCCCGATTGGAAACGATTAGATCATACGTCGAACGTCGTAGTCTGTGATCAAGCAAAGGTGTTAATATAGATTCCGATATGGCGAACATTGTAAATTGCACGGCGCGACTTACAGCTCAAGAAAGCATCATCCGGTGTCAACTTCGAGGATTTAGTAAGGCGACAAAAACCCGGGCGAGAAAATATGGCTTTGAATGAACGACTTACCATGTCGCTGAACCTCCCCCGCATCCTCTTATGCAACTTATTCAATCCTCCATCCAACATTTTACCGCGCTCTCAAAAAACACAGACAGACCGGAAGGAAAATGCGACCAAAATGACCTCGAGAAAGGAACAGAAAAGAGGTGATCGCCACAAAGTCGACTCGTGCCGCGCCACAGCTAAAGAACGCGCAAGACGCAGGTCCCGTTTCTGTGGAAGTCAACTACAAAGAATTCCGTTCAACGGGGCGCCGCGCAATCGACAAGCTGGGCGAAAAGCAAAGTCTGTATGAAACCGAAAATAGCCCAGGCAACGTCGATATTCACGACCGAAATAGAAAGTGGCAAGACAGCGCCGGAAGACGGCAATTGCGCGGGTCGTAGAAAGATCCCCAGTCTTGATTCTGCAGCGAGTGGGGACCGAGGCGGACGGGGCTCCGGATTGGACGGACACCGGGGATTTCGGAGATGGAGGCCGTCAGCCTTACGGGTGGCAGGGGAGGAGCTTGTCTGTCGGACGTCGAGGGGTAAACTCGGCAAGTGTCGAGGGTCGGACGAGAGGGGGAGGTGGTTCGGATGAGCGATCACAGAGTCCGGAATTGGGGTTTCCTTTGTATTAGCGATTCGGGCTCGGGCTGGTGTTCGGAAGTGCTGGGGTGGTCGCAAGGGGGTAATCGGTGGCCGCGCGGTCTGGTCCGACCGAGGTTAAATGCGTGGAATGCAATGCGGGTCAAGGGAGAGGCATCCGTACAGGTTATCGCGGTTCGAGGGTTGGCGTTCTTCCGCGGCTTTGCAGGCGGAGGCAGGAATCCTGGCGACAGTTGGGCGACGTCACATGCAGGTCACGTGGGGCGTACACTGAAAGACGGGGTATTGCCTGTTTGGGTATATACGAATCGGCGGTGGTGGTGACGGTGATGGTGATGGAAGGGGGGGGGGGGGGGGGGCATGGACGGCTTACGTGTTTGACTCGCTGCAGTCTCAATCTACGCTGTCTTTTCATGACGACGACTGACTTTTCTTACTACATGAATGCTAAGTGCAACCGGATCGCGGTGGTGATTGAGGCTAGCTAGGGCTACTTAAGGGCTACTTACTCAAATCAGTGCAGTCTCAATCTACGCAGACCTTTCACGACGAATACTTACCTTTCATCATGATGCCTTACAAAGAGCCAGAGTGCAACCGAATCGCAACCGAATCAATAAAAGAGGGGTATCTAAAAGTACATCCCAGAGCTCCAGGGGTCTGTCGCGCATAAAGGGTGAAAACAGCAAAAAAACATCAAAACATAGCTGATATGCGAATCAGCATCGGTTGCAAGATTTGTGCCAGATTTGTGCCCATAAAGTGTATGATCGCTGCATTAAGACATGTCATGGCCGACAGCAAGTCCCGTGGACCGGATTCCAACCACTAAAGAAAATGTAATGGGTATCCATGATACACGGCGTAAGTGTATGCCAGATGACAAGAAAACGGAAACAATGGTAAATATTACCACATCGCCTCGGCCTGCGAGCGAACATAGATTTTGAATGATGTGCGGTAGTCACGCTCGCAGCAAAAAAAATGCTCAGAAGACGGCGAGTTAATGTGAGAGTTCGTGGCGAGGCAGCGTGAATTACGCGCCCACTTTCGAGAAATGCTTGTTCCAGATCCATCCGATCTGGTGGGTAGGGTCGTCTTGGTTGCGAGCAAGCCAAAGTTCACCTTTTTCGCCGATAACATCGAAAACATCGCCTGACTCGTAAGTCAGGTACGGGTACCCTGCTTCACCTCGAGCCCCTTCGAAAGTAAACTGCTCCACGCTGGCTGCGAGGAACAGGACACGAGGTTCAACGGGGTGATCTCCGCTGGCACGACTGTCCTCATTAGGGGTATCGGACATTGGCATAGCCGACGAGAAGAAGCCCGAATAACGGCCACCAGGGGAGGTGGGGAGGCTGTTTTCAGTGGACGACGATGCGTTAATCACTTCCGAAAGGAAAGGCGTATCCAGGCTGAGTCTGGGGAGGCTGGGGAAAGGCTCGGTATCAGTCCGCTTGTTCGCTTGAGTGTTGGGCGCAGAACCATGGGTCACTTGTTGCAGAATCTGACTGCGACTGGTGTCTGGGGTCTCCGGCGCGGGCACTCGACCGGAGAAGGATGAATTGGCACGAGTGCGGCTGAAGGTAGACTGGCTGTCGACATGAGGAGATTGGAAAAGCTGGCCAACGCCGTAGTCATGAGACACCTTGGGCGAATCCTCCGCCATGGATCCAGGGCGAGGGTTCGAGCGACTGCTCACAGTCGACGGACGGCGGGAAGAATGGACATTAGTGCTCGGAGTATTGAAATTAACCAGATTGACGGTTTCGGCCAACAGGGAGCCGTTACACATGCCTAATGAGAGAATCTGGGACTCCGCGAGGCTGTGCTCCCCGCCGAAATCACCAAGGATCTTCTGGAAATCAGGCGGGAATCCCTGGACGTGAGGCTCGATCTTCTTTTGCAACGCACTAAGCCAGTCTGTTTTTGCTTCTATGAAGTTCCTCAGGCAAGCCTGAGCGAGTTTTCGTGACAGTTCATAGAGCTGGGGCAGCTCCTCTTTCAAGGTCTGGTCGAGAGCCTCGAAATGGGCTTCCTGTTCCTTGAGTTTCTTGTCAGGAGTGTCTCCACGCTCCATGGCAACCTGGTAGCGAGCGTGGTCAAGAAGACGCTTCTCACGTCGCTTCATAGCTCTGGCCGGCTTGACATGTAGCTGGAGAAGTTGGTTGATAGGTTCGACGGCGGCTGTTTGGACAGTCTCAAGCTGTAGGACAATTAGTATTGGCTTACCTTTGTTTTAATTTTGAAAAGAAAGTCTGGGAGATAGCGAGGTTCACGAACATGTTCAGGGAGGGCCACTTGACGAATTTCCACCACCGTCGTCTTGAATTGATGCCACTTGCTCTCTTGTTCAGGATAGCTCGACGTGGAAACATCGAGCATTCCGTCGAACGCCAGCACGAATTCAAGCAGTTGTTCGGCAAAGGCTTCAGTTCGCGTCGTATACTCGGTAAAGTCGCGGACAATCACTTGCAGTTGCATGTAATTTTCACCAAAAAGATTGGATACTTCATCGTATGCCTTATCTTCGACCATTTCAGAAAGGCCAACCTGTTGGCGCAACTTCTCCGTGCGACGACCGAAGGCCTTGGAGAGGTTTGCGCGTACGTCGGACTCCTTGCGGCCACGGCCAAGTGACTGATCGAAAGTTTCCACGCGGCCTTTCAACTTATTGAGTCGTTCTGTCATTTCATTGGTCTTCTGTAGTGCAATAGAAAGGTTGGCATGGTCGGGATGATCGGTTGGAGTTGCCTCCAGGAGCGCGGTGAGGAGAAGAGGATACTTCAGCACTCGCTGGAAAGGCTTCACGAGCAGCGATCCCAGATCCCAGGCTTCTGTTAGATCCTCTGCCCATGAACGGCACTCGGTGAGCCAGATATTGACATTCTGCCGCTGCTGGAGGGTTTCGAGCTTTTTGTTGGCAGCATCACGGGTCTTCAAGTTCGTAGCGTGCACCTTTTCCATGTGTGCAATATGCTTGATGAATGCGTCGCCCACGCAGGTAGAGCGATCATTTTCAAGATCCGATTTGCTCACATCTGCGGCAGCCAGTTCGTCACCTCCAGAGGAACTGGGGCGACTGTCCTGCGCACTTCGCTTGCTGCTCCAACGCTGGGACTTGGGCATGACGTAAATGCTGCGGGTGGCCTTCTTCAGGGTGTCTTGGAAGGCGAAAGAAAAGTGTACCACTTGATCAGAGTTTCCGAACAGAATTTTGATGTCGTCCTTGGTGAGATCCGAGCACGATTCGGCGGTCCCCTTGTAGATATCGTCGACGACTTTCATATCTCGTCCGAAGGTGTATTCCGTATCAACCAGTTCTTTAATGATATGGCGGCGCTTCTTAAGACGTTTCTGTTCAGGCGAGGGTGACTTCCGGGGTTCCAGTCGGGTTCGGTGATCGGACGGCGCAAGCGACGTGACCGAAGAAGCGGCGGCGTGTGGGGACTGGGTGGACTCCAGACGGCGCAAGGAAGAACCTTCACTGCTTCCAGTGCTTTCTGTAGTCTGCAATGCCGGCACATTTGGCGCATGATAATGATGGATCTGATTCCCCTGCGATGAATGGAGAGTCTTCGCTGGTTCAGCAGACAGTTCCGCTGGCCCAGAACTTTCCTCAGGATGAGTATGTAGCGACAAGTCCAGTCCGGATTTGGCGTCGCCAGTCTCAGTTATTTGAGAAGTATGCCCCATACGAGGCGTCGGCATACTGCCGGGTGAAAAACCCAGGTCTTCAGTAGCAGGGGTAACCGCCTCATGCTCTGCTGCGATATGCATCCAATCCAGGATTGACGGAGAGGCATGCTCCCAATCCTCTGGGCCCCTCAAGCTTGCTGCGTGAGAAGCTTGCTCGGTAATAGGAACTTCCTGGTACCCAGGGATGACAACAGGGTCTTCGGTCAGAGAGTTGACGCGACCGTCAGCACGAAGCTCTGGTCGATAAGGCCGATGTGCCTCTAGCGTACGTTGTACCGGCAATTGGACGGTATTATTGCGACTCATTGTCAACCCCTGCAAATAAAGCTGGGTAGCTCGGCGCGAGTCCCATCGGCCCAGGCGAGCGAGGCTTGGTGGTGTAGAGAACGCATGGCTTGGTTGGTTTTGCGATGCCTCGAGTGTCTCTGGACCCGTGACGCCGATATCCTGAACTGGGTAGTCACCAGCAATATCCGACGCTGGGCTAGACATCGCAGAGCAAGATTGAGTCGCCGATTCCGGTTCATGGTCGAGGATAGCAGACTGTAAGACACTATCTTCGCCGCTCTCGCCGCAGGTAGAAGGCTGATTGCGCAGAGACGATGACCACGAACTCATGCTCCACCTGGCCTCGGGATGCTTTGGGACTTGGGCAGCCTGGCGCAATGTCAATGCCGCATCCTCGGCGTGGGTGTTGCCAAGCATGATCTGAATCGACTCTTTGTCGTCGGCCTCCGCTTCAGACATACTGCAATCAGGTTCGTCGCACGTGTCACTTCCAGAGCTAGCTTCGCGGATTTGCATGATCTGGTTCAGAAGGGTCTGATGGGAGAGGCTCGGCTTTCGCTCCAACAATCCCGACTGCGGCTCCGGATCGAAGGTCGTAACATGGGTGCCGGTGGAGTCTGAAGTGGCTGCAGAATTGGGGGTATCGTTGTCGTGAGGCTGCGATCCAGTTGCTGGTGTTGCTCGAACGAGGTTGTCTGGCACACCCAACGTCGGAGAGTCCATTGCTGTATGGGGTTCATGTTGTTCGGGAATTGAGATTGCCGTATTCAGATGCAGCTGCGGAACCGTATGAAGCTCCTTGTCGGAAACCTGTGGAGACGCATTCGCCTCTGTGACGGCCGCCGCCATTTTTGATGGTACCGACGTACTGGTTATCGCAGTACTGGGCGTTGTTGCTTCGTCATCGGGGGGAGACTGGACTTCTCCGCGAAGTTCTTCTGGCTTTCGGGAGCGATGTCGAAGTTCTGTTGCAGCTTGCTCTCTCCGCTCATTTTCTTGAACTGTACGGTTGATAGCCTGTTGAATTTGCTGTCGCCGTGTCGCAAAATCGACGTTACCTAGTTCTGGCAAGCGGCGAGGGGGTCGATTGCTGGGATTTCGTGCCTCGGTGTCACGTTCTGAAGCTCTTTGGAAACTCGAGACTCGATCGCCGACTTTGGAACTTGGAGAAGGCGGTGCACCATGTGAAACAGGCTGTCGAGGACGAGAGCTGCGCAATGGAGGTGATTTCTTCGGGGGTGGTGCAGCAATGTAGGCCTGCAGGCGCTGATTCCGTCCGGGTACCTGAGCCTGGTTACGGGTTCGGGCAATCGTCAAGTCCCGCCGACCACGCGCCGTCATCGCAAACGAAGCGGGTCCATCGGCCGTCGTGCGGGGCGGGCTATCTTTAGACGACGGTTTTGGAAGCCGACTGGTGCCCTTGGGAGCGAGAGGAATGCCGGTCGATCGGCAGCTAAAGGTCGGATTGGAGGTCGGGCTACTGGGACCGGAACCAGTGCTGAGGCGGAGCGAGGAGACAGGAATGCGGGACGGGGAATGAGGGCTTCCAGGCGATGCTGAGCCATCCTTCGCCCGCTGCAAGGGCGCTCGTACTGCCATTTCGGGCTCCCACGGGTCCGCAAGGGGTTCGCGCGGCGCACCTTTTTCCAAGTCACTTCGCACCCTGCGATGGCTGCTGGTCTTACTTGTCTTCGGTTGGACGGCCTCGAGAGACGGCGCCTGTCCGAGGTACCACGCAGTGGGCGTGAGAGGAGATCGTGCGGATGGTGGATTGGACTGATCAACGAAGGCAGGGTTCGGACTTGGAAGACTGCCGTCGGAGCCGCGACGTTTTAAGTGCGCCGGCAAGCTAAATCCCAGATTGTTCAATTGCGTATCCACTGACAACAGCTCTCCAAACAATGGTCGCCGAGGATGCAATCTTGGAATCCGCTGGAACAGGGGAGGAGGGACAGCGTCCGTTGTGTCTGTTGCGTTCTGGGAAGCCGACGCAAATGTCACTGCCTCCGGTGAGGCAGGCGTGGAATCGACTTGCTGTCGGGGATTGCTCGTGGTCGATATGCGGGGAGGCGTGTGGGGAGGTGATTCGATGGGGTCAAGGCGTCGTGAAAAGGCGCGAGAGCGAGAACGTTCTGAGCCGTCGGCACTACCGGACGGACTGGCGGTTCGTGAAGTAGTTCGCGATACAGAGGGGAAGGGGAGGACTTGGTCTGAGGTGTTGTTGAATTTGTTGACCAGGTCCTTGAAAGAAGATTGTCGGGTTTGTCGTGTCTTGAAGGACGGAGCTGCGGCAGAGGCTCCCTTGGATCCCAACAATGATATTCCTACAGTGGGCGAATCAGATACCGAACGATACTCTGGCCGTGCTGGTCGCTGGCGCGAGGACTCCAGGGCGTTTGCCGGCAGTGGGGACACCCGATCATTCAGGTCGCCATAGGCCGGTGCCATACCGTCACTGACGCCCGTGCTTGCATTGCCCAAATTGCCCGTCACATGGGGAGAATCTGTTGTCAACTCGTCACGCTGGCGATAGAAGTCGTCGGGATCGGGAGAGTGGTGGCCGGTCCGCTCCTCCGGGAGAGCTTGACCGCTCGAGAGTAGGTGATTTGCGGTGGCCTCGCGGGTCTGCCAATCGAGGCCTGATCGATGGGAAGGAGAATACGTGGAGGACGAGACCGGCGCAGCGGGAGAGAAAGGAGTGATCGGTGAGACCTCATATGGCGAGGAGCTCGACACAGCGTCCGAGGATTGGCTGAAGACCGGGGCGGACGATTGTCGCCCAAACGGAGGCGGCTGTGAATTCCGGGCGCCAAAGGACTGTTCAGAACCATGGCCAGACATCTTGCATGCTCCAGGCCGACCGACGTGGACTGGCGGACGGCCTCTCGGAAGTGGGTGGGTTGGACTGATGCGTTGTTACTGGGGTGGACGCCCGACGAGGATGTCGCAGATGGAGCAGTTCAGGCGACAAAGCAATCCCGGGGTGGCGCACCCCCATCCAGAAGCATATTTGAGACACTGGTGTGTACACAGATCTCGGCGGCGCAGCGGGGTCGTCGAGTACTCGAACAGCGGGCGTTGCGGTCGAGGACGTTTCCTTCTGGGAGGTCTTGGGATAGTAGAGGAGAGGATCGGCTGTGTGAAGAGCGCGCTGGAGCCGGGAGCAGCGTAGGGTGACGAATAAGAAGGTCGCGAAGACTAGCGGCCCTGACGTTTGACTCCAGCGGCGAACAACGGGCGGTGATAGGCGAGGCGTGCAGCCGGAGGGGGTCGGCTGCAGCAGAAGTTGATAGCGCGCAAATCCTGCCCGGGCAGGATTGTTAGCTCACAAGGGGAGCTGCTGAAGACTGCAGTGTCGATCGCGCGCGATGGAGAGGTCGCGTTGAGCGGGAGAGAGAAGAGGACGGGAAGACAATAGAGGCAGAACTCTTGTGAAGAGGGGAGCAGGGCTGATCGGGCACAAAGCGGAGAAGGAACGCTAGCATCGAGATTCGAGTCGCGAATCGAGACCATGATCTGCCGTCTTTGTTCTCACCCTAGTACAGTCTTTCTTTGGAAGATTTACCTATCTAATTTACACTTACACAATATCCTGTAATTAAATTACCATAGCTACCTCCCGTGCTAACCACATCACATACGGCCTCAATTTTAAATAGTATTTACAGCTCAGTGTACTACCCTACGTACGGTGCCTGGGTGTGCCTGTGCCTGGGCGCAGGCACAAAAACAGGCGAAACATGGAACTGACGCAGTGGGGACGCAATCCACGCTCAACGGCCTTTCTAGACCGCGCCTCGTTCCGTGGGTCGCCTTCCTTTAATTTCAAAACTCGAACTCGCTCATTTTTTGGGTGTTCAGTTCAAGATTATTGTAACAAAAGCATTGAGTAGTTTATAGTTAGTACGATTAGTATAATGGAACAATGAGCCAAGTGATAATATGTTGTCAATATAGTACAAGTACTCCTCTTTACTACCTTACACCGGGGCTCCCGCGGAACACCCGCAGGGATGATCCGGCCGAACTCCCGTTTACCAACGCGTCAACATCAACATCAATATCAACATCACGCCCAATCCCAACTCCCCCGTTGACCAGCCGGACACCCCTCCGCGACAATGGGAAAAAAGCGCAAGCGACCCAGCAAACCCGGTCCCACGACCTCGTCGCAGACCAGTATCACCATCTCCCCCGGCCGTTTCAAAGCACCCACTCCGCGCGATGGCCCTACCCACCCCGTCATCTCGCTGTACTACCGAGAGCTTCTCTCCCTCCGCCAGTACCTCTTGTGCCGACTACCCGGCTCCTCCAAGTTGCGCCGACGCCGCATCGCCTCGCTGCGCCCGGATCCCTCAGTCAGCACGGCAACGGGGGACTCTGGATCGGTGTGTCCGGCGAGCCAGGACTTGGCAGACTTGCTCGATTCCACTCTCGTCGGTGTCTTGCGGCAACACTCGCCGAAGATCGCCTGCGAACGCCAGCAGGATTATCGCGCTTTCACCCAGTCCCAATCGCGCTCCATTCTCGTGAGCACAGACACGGGCCCGGCAGCGCCTCAATCGGAGGTGCGTTCTGGCAGTGCTACATTTTTACCCTTTCGGGGATGAATGAGAAGAGGCTAATTTATATTGTCGCAGTTGATTGACTATGTCATAGCCAGTATCTTCAAGACGAGCAGTGCCTCTTACCGTGGACCCCAGCATGTGCTGGCGCATGGGTTCCAGTATGCGGGGGAGCATGCCATCGACAGCGGGATCCCCGGTGTGGCCATCCAATTCCCCAATCGTAACGTCCAGGCATTGAAGCAGGCGCCGTGGGCGGATGTGCTGGGCCTCTTGGGTCAGAATGGCGATGAGATTATGATTCATCTGCTGCTCGACTGTGGTATTTTTGTACCCTTGGACGCCGGAAAGGGCATTTACTACCAATTGAGCGGTATGTTTGACGCTGGCAAGCGAGCGGACTGTAGTGCAATCGCTGACATCTTGTTATAGGACTTCCACTCTCAAACCTGGAGAAGGTCCCCAATGCGGGTGCACGACCTACTGGTCAACAACCGGTCTTCGCCTCGAGACCCCTGAAGCAAACCAATTCAGCCTTCAAAAGTCGTCAGACCCGCCGTCCGAATCAGATCATATTCCTCCGTCGTCGCGTGCTTTATTGCAGGCATAATGGTGGTGCGAAGCAGAAACTACCATTTGGACTGGGAAGCAGTCGTACGTCATTTCATTCTCTGCATTGATCGATCCGCAGCTCACGTTCTCTAGATGTTTTCAACCGCTTCTCGTCCGTTGATTCGACGGCTGAAACAGTCCATCTGATGAAGTACATTTTCCCCCGGCAGTTTGGCTTGGAAAACGTCTTCACGATACCTGGCGACCGCAGGGACAAGAGCAACCAATCCCAGAGTCACGAATTTCGTGAAAATGAAATTTCGAGAGTAGATGACCAACGATGGCAGCGAATGATGCAGCCCAAGGCCAATAGCTTATCTGCAGTCACCAGAGACAAGGTTGGCACGAAACTACCCAAGCGACTTCGGGGTGCGATCATGACACTGGTTCAAAGAATGCGGGTGCGACACAGTCGGTGTTCGTATGGAGCGTTGCTCCAGCACTATTGCCCTGATGAAGTAAGTTCCCTCGATGCAACTTGAACAATATCCGGAATGTTTTACTAAACTCAAAGCCAGTCAATCGGACCATGGAAACTTGGTTCTTGTCACTCCCTCGCAAAAAAAAAAACGGATGGCACTGGACCCTCTTCGTCAGAGGTTAACTTCGTTACACAAACGCCATTGAAATCGCCCGCGACGAGTCAACGTGTTGAAGACCAGCCTAATGATTTGGCATTGCGTTCTGGCGATACCATTGGTGCTGACGTTGTTCGCACGAAACTAAATCATCAGCCAGTGCCGCAGCACAAGCCCTGCGTTACAGACTATGCGACCCCTGCGGCTGCTGTCTCAGCCTTCTGTCGGGCCGTGCTGCACAAGCTACTGCCTCGTCAACTTTTTGGGGAAGGACCGGAGAGCGAATCAAATTGCAAAATAGTGATGAGACATGTCGATTGCTTTGTTAAGATGCGACGATATGAAAATCTCAGTCTCCACGCTGTTTGCAAAAGTTTGAAGCTAACCAGTATCGGCTGGCTCGTACCTCCAAACCTGCAGCAACAGGCTTCGGAGACAAAACCCAAGCTGTCCTTATCGGACTTTCAGAAACGTACCGAATTGCTGCACGAGTTTATCTACTATATTTTTGACTCGATACTCATTCCCCTGATCCGGACTAACTTTTACGTCACCGAGTCTCAAACACACCGCAATCGCCTTTTCTACTTCCGTCACGACGTATGGCGAAGTCTGACAGAACGACCTTTGGCCGATCTGAAAACAAAAAACTTTGAAAAAATCGACAAGGATGTTAACCAAGGAAAAAGCCAATACCTTGGATTTGGATCCCTTCGTCTGCTCCCAAAAACCACGGGCGTGCGACCCATTCTCAATCTCGGCAAGCGTGTTCTCAAAGAGTCAACGCGGAATGGGAAAAAACGGGCGTATTTTGTCAGCATCAACCGAACCATCACACCCATCTCGAACATGTTAATGTACGAGCGTCAGCGGAACCCCAAAATATTTGGCTCCTCTTTGATCTCCATGGGGGATCTGCATCCTCGCTTGAAGGCTTTCAAGGCACAGCTTCTTGCGGGACTTCGTTGCCCCCTAGGTAACCAGCCCATTGCTTTACCGAAGCTCTACTTCGTGAAACTCGATATCCAGGCTTGTTTCGACAACATCCCTCAAAAGCAGCTTTTGGAACTTGTCAAGAGACTTGTCACTGAGGATCGTTATCGAATCACCAAGCATGTCGAAGTCAAGCCCTCTGTACATGGCGCGCAAGGAAAGCCATTCCGGAAATGGATCGGACGAGCTGCTCCGTTGAAGGAGCAACAGCACTTACCCGATTATCTAGCAAAGGAGGCGCAAATTCACAAATCCAATACCGTCTATCTCGACGACACGGAACAGACGGTTCAGGATTCCGACTGGCTACTTGGCCTTCTCAGCCAGCATATTGGGAATAACCAAGTCAAGATAGGAAAAGACTTCTACCGGCAGCGCAACGGCATCCCACAGGGCTCTGTGCTGTCCAGTTTACTCTGCAACTTCTTTCTCGCCCAACTAGAGCACGACTGTCTCGGTTTCCTACGGCCCGAGAACTCGCTGCTCATGCGATTCGTCGATGATTTTCTCTTTATCAGTACCGACGTTAATGAAGCCATGCAATTCCTCCAAGTCATGATCCGAGGCCAGCCATCCTACGGCGTGAAAGTCAACGCCTCAAAAAGCATGGTCAACTTCACGGCCGCGGTCGATGGCACCTTCATCCCCCGACTCGAAGGATCGCCGCGCTTCCCATACCTCGGCTGCCTCATCAACACGCAGACCCTCGAGATCCACCAAGATCAGGATCGCGTCCTCGATGGCGGCGATCTCGCCGCGACAGCCCTCTCCAACTCTTTGACAGTCGAAACGACCAATCTACCCGGTCACGCCTTCCGAAGGAAAGTCCTCGCCTCATTCCGACAGCAAATGCACCCCATGTACATCGACGACACCCACAACACCCGTCCCGTTATCCTGGGCAACCTCTACACCCGCTTCGTGACCGTCGGCATGAAGATGTACCGCTACATGAAATCGCTCGGGGGCCGAGCCCATCCCAAACCACCCATCATCATCCAAACAATCCACACCCTGATGCTCCGTGCATTCGCCGTCATCCAAGAACGACGCACCGGGTCAGTGCCGTTATCGTGCTTCGTCAAATTCCACCATATTCAGTTCCTCGCAGCGGCGGCCTTCCGGTTCGTGCTGAAGCGTAAACAAACACGATATGCGGCTGTCCTTCAATGGCTCGATTCACAATTAAAAGACTCGCGGCCGAAGACCAACAGCGCAGCATCGCAGCTGACACAGGTGGCGAAGAGAGGGAATGCACTCTTCGAAGAGTGGCGTTTCTAGCACAACAAGAGATACACTCGCACTACGAAGAAACTTCAGATACCCAAACAATCATCAAATTCAAGCCAACTCCATCTACTCCTTCGCCTCAAACTCCTCTAACCCAATCCCAACATCCGACACCACTCCCGTATTAGCAGTAACATTCAGACCCAGCAACTCCCTCCCCACCTCCCCAAGTTCTTCCTTAACATCCTCCCCCAGCACAGCCGTCCAATTAACCTGCTGCCTCAAGAATGGACGCGTATAAAACCCAAAGAGCAGTTCCCGATCCTGGTCTTTCGTAACATTACAGCCAGAGGTATGCCAAACGCGCGCATCAAGCGCAATAATCGACCCCTTCTCCGCAACAAACGGCTCCAACATCTCCTCCGCACCACCTGGGACATCCGCCTTCCGCTTCCAATTCTGACTCCCGGGGATAAACAGCGTCGCCCCATTCTCAAAGTACACATCAGAAAGACACCAGATAATATTCAACGCCCAGGCCTCCTCCCACGGCTCAGGCACAATGAGCGATTGATCCGAGTGCAGCGCCATGGATCCTGAGCCGGGCCGCGCGATGTTGGCTGTGAAATTTGAGACTAGGATGTCGGGGCCCAAGATTTCTTTGACTAGGGCGAGTGCGCCGGGGTGTTGGATTAGGGAGCGGAAGATCGGGTCTAGTTCTAGTAGGTAGAAGATTCGGATGTTGCTGGCGTTTGGGTCTAGGGCTGGGATATACAGGTCTGCGCCGCGAAGGCGGTTTGTTTCGGCGGCGGCCCAGAGACGGGTTAAGATGGTTGTTGTGTCAGATTCGGAGAGGACGTTGGGGATTATGGCGTAGCCAGAGGTTTGGAGGCTTTTTTTGGCAGCTTGGAGGGTTGAGGGGAGGAAGGGGTGCATTTCGAGGGTTATTTTGTTGGTTGGTATCTAGTGTGGCTTTTGTAAAAATACCACGACGAAGTTGGAGAGTTTAGTATGTAGTGTGGTTTGGGAAATGCGTATTCCGGCTGGATTTATGGGTGAAATATATTTCTCGGTTTTGCCAGGGAACGGGACAGTATGCCCTTTTTGTTCATCCCTGCTAGTAGTCTTGCTCGCACACTGCAGTATTGCTGCAGTGCTAGTTTTATTAGATGGCTAGTTGTCCATTGATACTTACTAGCCAAGAGCCGATTTTTTAGTTGTCATCACATGGTGGCATCTCCACTAACCTGATTCGCCCATGCGATAGGTGCGTTGGCCCGTACTTTGAAGTACTTCGGACCGTTAGGCTTGGTATTATGCAGTTGCCGGCCTGACAAACATTTAGAGAGTGTATGATAAAATTAATTCTCTCGCAGTAGCAGGGTGTAGCATTTAATGAAACAGTTGTTGAGCTGCCTACTGTATAGATGTTCGTCACGTGAGCAGGGCGAGAACGTTCTGGCTGAGGCCTTCAACCGGAGACGGTGAGACATGCAAATTGCTTATCCCTTTTTACGCTACTCTTTCCTAGAAATCCTAGTGATTGAGATATATTGGGGCACACCGTCTCTGGCGTCGCTCCGGTGATGCTAGCAAGTTACCCAGGTCCAAGGCAGTGCTAAATATAAATACATATTGACTTTCGATCCACCAGCTGGCCCGGTGGTCGCTGAGCGACGCTCTTATTATTGCTGGCGCGGGAGGTGCCATTAATGCAGGTTGTGAGGAGAAATGCGCTAGTCGCAACATGGCGTTTTAGTCATGAAGCTGCAGAAACAATGCTGTAATTTACCTCCTGTGAAGGTGCAGTCAATTCTCCTAATACTAGTTCAATGTAGTGTAAGCTAAGCAACCCTAGGGGAGATAAACTCCCAGCACGCGATGCGCCAATGAGCGGACGTGCCTGGAACCAACAATTATCAGCCCACGGATCGTCCGGTTGTGGATGAGCGCCCGACTGGACAAACCACTACATTACCCTCGGGTAATTGGGGAATTACGATCGAATTCCTCCATCCGCCATCGAACTAAACAAGAATTTCCCGATCGACACGATCTGTGATATTAAGGGGTACTTGGAGATACTTGAAGTACCCCCACTGCACAGTTGCGTGCGAAGTACCCGCAAGTACCGGCGTGGACCGGCGGCCCCCCTGTTCTTGGCCAGACCGAGTGCGGCACTGGAGGCTCCGCTTGCACTCTCACAACTTCAACTTCGTTCGCATCCGTCCCTCTCTGTTTACGCGCTCGTTTTCGTCTGCTTTTTTTTTTTTCGTTTCTGCTTGCCGTTCTTTCGACCTTCATTCCAGCTCCCTTCCTTTCTTCATCCACCGCTCCATCCGGCCGCTCCTCCGATTCTCCCTCCATCTGCGACCTCCTGATCCTTTTTCTCTCTTCGCGAAACGACCTCCTGATCTGGCCATCATCAGGCTGCGGCTGAGCCTGCCTTTCGCTTTCGATTCACCTTGATTGACTGTTGTTATTATTGTGATTTTGCGTCTCCCCCGAACGATTAAAGTTCTGGCCCTCGCCTCTCGTCGACACGAGTCCAGAGCCTTGCGTGCGATCTCGAGCCCCCCTTTCGCCCGCCACGACGATTCTTGCCCATCCGGTGGGTGTCTTTGAAGACCGAGGAGATTTGCGGAGGACTTGCGTGTGTGTAAAAAAGGGAACTACATGAGACCATGACCACCGTCCTTTCGACCCCGAATTCCCCGCCCGAGCTGTCCGGCTCCAAATCGTCCAAATCCTCCTCCTTCCACTCCTCCTCCCAGATCGATGGCCCCGACAGCATCTTTACCGACATTGGGAACTTCGAAGACATTGGCCTGGAGGACGATGCGGAACTGTCCGTCGCCGACCCGGTGACCCCCTACGGCCGCACCGGCCTGGCAGCGCGATCGGCTTCAAGGCTACCCAACAAGAGCCCGGCGGCGACCACACGCGATTTGACTGCAACCCCGAAACCTCGAAAGCGAAGTCCTCTCCCTCCGATTCATAACCAGATCAATGGAGCCTTCCGCACCCCTCAGTCGGCGGGCTCCCTGTCAGCGAGATCCCCCAACAGGAGAGACACTGCGAGTACGACCAATTCCGGGGGTTGACACCAGTGCAACCGCGCCGATCACGCTCGACGTCGCCGCTGCGGCCGCTGTCCAGCCGGTCAGCGTCAAGTACAAGCCTGGCTCTGTCTCCGCTCTCAGCACGAGTCCCCGTACAGAAGCAGACCTGGCAGCCCCATCGCAAGTCTGTCAAGGATCTCGAGGACGAATACCATGACTCGGATGACGAGCTCCCCGATGATACAAGTCTCTGGAATATCCCGATCTCCCCACGCCCAGTCCAAGATCGCACTCCGTCTCGCAGCACCAGCCCGAGTCGTGGCGGCAGTCCTGGTCGCCGGCCCCTGCCTATCTCTCATACCGTGTCGGAAACCCAGACCGCGCCACAACCCGGATCTGCGTCCAAGGCTGCACGTATGAAACGCTCGCAGCGCTCAAGTTCAGCCGGGCCTGAACGGGGCCAAATTTCGCCGCGCAACCCGCGTGCATACTCGTATAACAGCTTTCTCTCGGATTTGTCCGAGGAAGCGCGAATTATCACGGAAGCTCTGGAGCATCATGCAGGCGAGAGCGAGCGCCAGCAGGAGGAGAATGTACAGAATGGCACTGCCCCGCGGAAGTCTAGTTCGGACTCCCAAGGAGGTGCTACAGAGCCCATCGAACTGCCGCCTCTTCAAAGGTCTAATATAATGATCGACCCGTTGCCCATCAGCAAGGAAAAAGAAAAGGTGCTCACGCGGACACGCCCCAGTTGGCTCCCGCCGAAAGACCAGAAGGAGGAAAGGAAGCATTTGAAACAATACAAAGAGATGATGGCACAATCCAAGGAAGCTGGTAAGTACAGTACTTTCTGACCAAATGACTCTGCAGATATTTAACAATGGCACAGAGAAGCGGAAAGCGGCTCGGGCTGCATCGGCCCAATGTGAGAAGGACAGCACCCGAGATACCCTCCAGAATCTCTGGGATGACTGGGTTGGCCCCAATTGGGATCGTGCGCTCCGTGAACCGAGGACTCGGGAACTGTGGTGGCGTGGTATCCCCCCTCGAAGTCGAGGTACGATGTGGAGACGAGCTATCGGCAACGAGCTTGCTCTCAGCGAGGAAACCTTCACCAAAGCTCTCCAACGAGCCAAGGATCTGCGTTCAAAGACCGAAACGGAACCCAGTGAAAGCAACAAGCGATTGCTGGAGTGTTTCGACGCGATTGACTCGGATGTTTGCAAAGGCTTCCCCGATTTGAACCTTTTCTCGGAGGGTGGGCCCTTGCGAGAAACCCTTGTGGACGTCTTGCAGGCCTACTGTATGTACCGAAGTGACGTGGGCTATATCCATGGTCTTCACACCATTGCTGCGTTGCTGGTCTTGCAATTCCCGACTCCCGCCTCTGCCTTCCTTGCTATGGCCAATGCCCTCAACCGTCCACTTCCCGTCGCTTTCTTGACCTGGGACCGCGGCGCCATGGCGCGCACTTACGCCCTTGCCTCGGATACTCTGCGGTACAAGTTCCCCCGCTTGTCGACCCACCTGCACGAGACTCTTCGCCTATCCGACGAAGAAATTTGGGAACCCATGTTCCGCTCCCTTCTCACGAATGGTCTCGACCTCGAGCGGATATCACGCGTGTGGGACTGCTGGGTGTTTGAAGGGGACCGAATTATGATTCGTTCCGCTGTCGCCATCCTGGGCTGTCTTCAACCCCAGCTATGTTCGTTCCAACAGCCAGATGACCAGACTCGCCTGACTGTGCGGAACATCCTCGGCTGGGGCCCTCGGCACACCGGTGCGAACAACCAGAAACCGAAGGACCGTCACAGTGCGCCTGCAGCAGCCGGCTTTGGCGGCGGCCAAGTCTCCAACCCTGGCGTGGCGGACTATTGGGTCCTGAGCGCCGCGGGTAACGAGGATGGCTTCATGGCTGCCGTGCGCGAGGCGGGTAAAGTGCGACAATGACACCGACACCGCTAAAATAAAGACTCCTGCATGCTCTTTGTCTCTCATGGCCACTAATTGACACGGCCACTTTGACTGAACCTGACTCATGTCCTCGCTTCATGTTACTTTTCTCGACGCCATACTCTTTTTCATGGAAATGGCAGTCCAAGCCCTGCCGTTGTCACCAATACCACTCGCTTCCAGTAGTATGCGTGCCACGACATATTTTCTTGTTTTTACCCTCCTACTGGTGTTCAGTCTGTTCGCCTCATGATGACGGTGTCTCGAGCACCTGATGCTTTTTGTCTATTTACTACTCGACTGCTCTTACATCCCGCTGGTATCGCGGTTCTCATTTTGTTGTTTTGAACTGCTTTGGCTGTTTTCCACCCCTCTTCTTCTATATACTGTATTCTTATTATCATGGCCTTCGAAAAAGCGTCTTTGTGATACTCGGTAGTGGTCCACGTAGTAACCGAGGCTCGTTCAACACTATGATTCCGTAATCCGGTTATCTCCTTATTACTGGATCTATTGGTTGTTTTTGTTGGGTTGCAGCCATGGATACAGATCCCAGAGATGGTTGAAGGCGGAAATGCTGACACTATGCCTCAGTTGACCAGCCTTGCAAGTTTTGCCTATTCCTTCAAGTTGTAATAGGAAATAGGTCATCGTTTGACCTAGGGGATGAGATGGGTCTGACTAAGATTTCCCATGGGTTTATGGGATGGGGAATGGGTTAGACTCCTACCCATGGGTCGCTTTTCTATGTTCTAGTTGTTTACATGTTCCCCTTTCGGCACAGTCGCGACACCGGACCACTTGTCACGGCGAGATCGCTCTGCCCCCAACACTGACAACCTCCACAAGCCGCAGGATCCAGGCACCATCTGTCGATGCCTGGTGCGGACGAATCCAACTAACCCAAGCAGTGTCTCTTCGCCCTGAATCACCTTCGCACAATCTCGTCGCTTAAAAAGATCGTTTCCCAGTAATGGAGCCACGCGAGGATGACAAGCCGAAGAATTAAAGCGAAAGGTCGCTCCTCGACCTCCCCCTGGAAATCCAGCTCCGAATCCTATCATATCTATTCAACTGGAAGGACATCTGCGCGTTATCGGTTCAATGCTGAGCTTTGCATGCTCTCTGCGAGATGAAAACGCGCATGAGACCGTCGTTTCCGGATCATAGTCTCGAAATGGTCCCTTGGTCTGGCATTTGTGAAGCTGATGGAAATACTCCGTAGACCTCGTCTTGTTCAATTTGTGCAGAAGATTGAGGTCTACCTGCCCTTTGACAGGGAGCTTAATTACGAGATGAGCCCAGAGACGCGCAAGATCACGATCAGCGAGCGGGACAAGAAACTCCTTCGGAATGCGGTTCGCAATGCTGGATTTGAGGATGTTGATGCTGTGCGTGTGCTTGATATGCTTCTTACGAACAAGGAGTTTGCGACGATGGGGTTCCGGGCTAGAACGTATGAACTCGAGCTCCCGTTGCCTGAATCATCTCATGACGTTTTAGTAGGAACTGCGCGGCAATTTTCATCGGACAGACACTGGCCGCACTACTCATTTCGGTTTCACCGAGTCTCGTTGCTTTGCAGATGACGAAACCAAATCCTGGTCCCAATCCTGAACTATTCTCGGAACTACCCCTTGCACAAATCCACCGCGAAACAAATGCCAATCCCAACAGCAAGCCATTCCTGCAAAACTTACGGAAGGTGTACATGATCAACGATGAAGCCGAAATGGAAAATAATGGTAAGTTCTACCTAGAGCACGATCTCGTCCGTGACTTTACGCTCTTTGACCAGCTTCCGTCCATCGAGACGGTCGGTATTGATATCATGACATTCGGTAATGGAAAGTCACCCTACAGCTTGCAGCCTATCAACATCAGTCGATTTGCCATCAACCACTCCTTTCTCGACACTTGGCATTTACTCGGCCTAATCAAAGCGCGCAAGGTAATAGAAGTCATCCCAATACTCGAAGGGGGGTAGGGCGAAACTGCCGGGGGAATCGATTGTTTTCAATACCAAAGCCTTCATCAAGGCTATACTACCCCACAAGGAGACGCTGGAAGAACTCGATGTCGACGCGGAGGAAGGTATGTGGGAACGTCCTCCGAACGAGTAGGAGTATGAAGCCATGCAAAATATCTTTGATGAAAATGGTGGTCCCCAGCCCGGGGGTTTGCGACAGAGGCGGAAATTCGATACGGGGAGTACTTGCGGTCTATCTGGGATCGCAGTGGGTCGTTAAAGAGTTTCTCGGCGTTGGAGCGTCTGAGAATGGGCGTTGGATTCTTGTACTATTTCGCTAATGGGGTCCGCGGGAGCTCAGATGAGAAGTGCGAGAAGGTCCGCGTGGTTGGTCGTTTGCCGGAGAACCTGGAGTCGCTTTGCATCATCGGATACCAGCAGGGAATGGAACAAGACTACGATGATGTGATTGATGAGTTGGAGATGCTCTGTGCTTCTGGCATTTCGAAATTGAAGGAGATACTGGGGTTGGGCCTTACGATTCCTCATGCGGAAAATGTTGCGGATCCGGACGGCGACAAGCATTTACTCTGGTCTCTTCTGACAGGGTTCGGGTCAAGGGAGAACGTCAATCTTGACATGAGGTGGAATACCGATATTGAGGATAGGATTGAGAATATCTTCAAGAAAGGTGAGCGCTCGCACTCAAAACTCAACCAATTCTGTGTCTATGATTCCGGGGATGATGACCCGAATGATGCTAAATAGCTCGCCAGATATGTGATGTATTGATAAGCTCCATACGACAGTCACTACCTCATACCCAATGCAGCAGATTGATAATCCACCAAACCTCCATCCGGACCCCGTTCAAAGTTCTCCAACGGCAAATCTTGCAATGGAATCCCCGCATCCTCACAACACCAATGAATATAATCTCTAACCATCTCATCCTCAGACTTCCCCTCCTTACCCCTAACACACTCAGGCGTAGACCCATCCCGCACAAACAAAATAACATCATGCTCCGCGACAATTTGCGTATATACCCGCTCCAAAACCCCGCCCGAGTTAAACAAGGGCGTGTTAGCAGGCAAGGGACCACCAAAGAAGACAGACACACCGCTTCCCTCAGCGAAATTACAATTCGGTCGAGACAAAATCCAGCCGAAAAACGTCCCCATTCGAAGGCCCTTGTCTTTGATGGGGAGTGGCTTTCCCAGCGTGAATTCGCCCAGACTGAAGTTCTCGCTTATGTACCCCAGTGTTGTCGCGGGTGGCTGCTGGATTAACATTTTGCGCCAGCTTGCATCTGCCCGGAGGTACCGTCGCGTTGAGGTGAGGTCTCGGAGGAGGTCAAGCATTGTTAAGTCAATCCATTCTCGTGGGTTGGTTGGCAGAATGCCTTTGAGGTCACAGTGATTCCGCGGGACGAAAGTGGAGAATTTTGACGCTAGGAGGGGATTGAAGGTTCGTTTAGATCTACTATTCTCACAAATCGGCTTGAAGAATAGTTTCTCTTGAAGGCTGTTTGTCTTGCGGATTAAGGAGGTCCACAAGCGACAGACTCGTTGGGCTGAGACAAGGAGCGTGTGCATGTCCAGTTCTTGCAGGATGAGGGTGATGATTTCTGCAGGTAAAGCGGACGCCCCCTGGACTATCTCGTTTGCTTTTGTCATGTTTGGCATGTTTGGGATCGGGGCGTGGGGTGACACCAGGGGTTCGGGTATGGGTGGGTTGAGGAAAGGGAGCCAGAGTCGTCTCGGGACGAGGCTGCAATTTGAGGACTAGGGGTGTGGTTGCCTTGGAGAGCCGCATCAGCCGCATCGCGGGGCCTGTGTTTACGTCACGTTGGCACGGTCCCTGCGTAGGCTGTAAGGGAAGGCAAGGCCTTGAGGTATTAAGAAGGGGTTATCTGTCGAATATGCACCGAGGAAAGAGATCGATCGTATCAATTGGATGCTTCGAGGCTGCGTATAGGCATCGCAATTCTTGACGGTGGGGTGACGAGCAGGACTGGAATGGCACTGGTAGTTACACAACGCTTCAAGTTGTCATGTGTGTCCTGTCGGTGCTGGAAAAGTTCTCGCTTCTTCGCTCACGGAGGTAGTCTATACTGGGGCTATACTGGATGCTATACTGGGGTTTACCACGTGCTCTCCAATCAATGGGGTACTATTGTATGCGTGACTCCTAACTCTAACTCTATTCGGATTAGCCCTTTTTGATCCGTTCGATCGGTAATATGGCAGGTCCTCAGTGCTCTGAGTCCCTTGAATTTACTCTCTTAAATGGTATTGCTTGACGACTTTTCCATTTCTGGTCTCCTGGAGCCCCATAATTGTGGATAGATTCATCTTAAGTATAGGATTTACAAAACCCAACCAGCACTGAGCACCTGTGAGTGTTCAAGGTCACCCGATGGGAAGCGAGCCTCGCATAAGATGATCAAGTTTGATTTGCTTGCATTTGCTTTGAATTTTGGATTTGTCTGGCGCAGAGGGTCTTCTGCCAAGAACATGTCATCGGGTCAGGGGCGATCGGAATGGGAACTCGCGCCGTCGCGGCCGGTTGGCCGTCCCTATGGCACCATTGGCAGAGCCAATAAGGGCGTTTCCCCCTTTCGGATGCTCCAATCAGAGCATCGATTCCCCTATGCTACCATGATATCAGGACTTCGGCGCCAGCCAAGGTCGAGCAATCAAAAGTGGCCCCTATTGCCAATTGCGGAACCCGTCCTGGGACAGGCCCAGCGCATATAAAGCACTGCACCAATCTACCACATGATTTCCTTAGATGTGTCTCAAAAATTCCTCTCGTTTATCATGCGCCTCGCCGTGCTCTCCCTCTTGACGTCTGTCGCTGTCGCAGACCCTGGCTGGTGGTTCTTTGATGCCTGGGATGGGTTGAGTTGCGGAGACGCACCCCAGAACGGCCAAATATTCCTCACTACCGAGGGATTGGGGGATTCATTTTGCATGAGCTTCGACAATGGGCAGAGAGCTTACTCTTATGCTGCGAGCTATTTCAGCGAGGATATCGAAGCTCGAGGATACCTGCATGAGCATTGTGAAGGGCCGAGCAAGATCATTCACAACAATACTTGTATGAATCCGGATATTCCAATTCCATATATTCGCTCGTGGCAGATTTATACTGTTCAGAATTGGGGGTCATGAGGTGGGTCTTTACTGGTGATCTCAGCAATGTTGAATATGACTGACATTTCCACAGCCCGCAGTCTGTCACGACAATTATTTCGATACTCGCAAAAAGTCGTTCTCGAATGAAGCGATTAATTTCCGACGAATGGTTGAATAATATCACTCTGGATAAATCATCCAAAGCGAATGCGACCGTGCAATACTCCGTCGCCAATACACAACATTAGGAACACGTTCCTTTCGACGAGCTCTACGAACAACATCACAATTCGCTGTTAATTATTTTCAAAACCAATCCATTTCACTCCCATAGTAAATTTTGGCGTCGACTACCATTATCTTCGTTCTTCATAATTTCTATCTGGAGCCGCGTAGCGGTATTCTTTGCGCTGGTTAAGCTGATCTCGACTTCAAAGTTTCAAGACCATTAGAATATAAGCACATGTACCGAGATATTAGCAGTACACCAAATGAACATTCGACTGAAAGCAAGTAGCCGGAGCTCGGCAGCCAATGGTCGCCGAAGGGGAGCCGCCGAAGCACTTGGGTGGCGCCCGACCGAAGATCGTCTCGGGCCGTAAACGGCACTGGCCACCCCCGACGTAAAGACCTCTGCTTTGTTGGCATCGAATCATTTGAATACTTCGTTACCATTGCAGGAAAAAAAATAAGCATGATGGCATCTTATCAACAACAATGAGCTGATTCAGGGAAATGAACGATAGCCGACTGTGTCAATTTGAGAATGTTCCTGAAGGTCCTTTTGCATGCTGCTGTAACCGTCGGCGGCCGCTCCGTAGATAAGGGACCCTTCTGTTGACGATCTCCGTAGACAAGCCACACAAGCGTGGAGAGTAGGCTCCCAAAACCCGAGTCAATGAAATTGATTTTTGTGCGTCGAAATTCGCCACATCTGCGGTCTAGAAATAAATTCTCGAGTTACATTATCCGTTTTCGTCCCCGAACGTGGCCAGAAACGTTGTTGTGAGGAAACAGATATCGGGAACCGCGCAGCAGCTACCGATTCCGTCACGCCAACTCCCAAAACGTCCAGTCTCGGAACGAAGATGGCGCGACCTGACCGAGCGACCTGGAGCTGTCCACCGTGGACAGCCTCTTTATTACACTGCTCACCCAGTTACGAATTCCTGACGACGTGGGGATCCTTGTGTGACGGTCAGCAAATCTAGAGGTTCGATCATGTACAGGGCAAGCTCGTCATTCTACTTCGCGATGCCATTTCGCAAGCCTGTTCATGGCCTCCGGAGAGTCATATTACTTCTTATGCTGCCGGTCACTTTTATTGCCTTGCGTTATTACATGCTGGTCCGAACGGAATGGATGTCGAATACTGTGAAGGCGCAGGCGGAGAAGATGCAATTCGATAGCTCTCAAGGAGAAGGTATGTCCATCGTCCTTTGTTGTCTTCGCGGCCGCAGGCTTATCATTCAAAGATTCTTCAGACATGGTGGAAAGGCATAAAATCAAGGTTCCCTTAGCAAAACTGGCTGGCACTCCTTCCAAGGATCAAACACCTTACAACCCCATGGGAGACAGTCCCTTACAGCGTTATGTTCCGCCCCACGAGACGGCAGAGGATGTGACCATTGTAGCTGCAAAGGCAGGCTCAGAAGACACAAGCTGGATCTACGACTTTTGTGACGAATAGTATGAAATACGTCCCTGTTTCATTCGCAATTGCTAACCCACACTCTCATAGCCGATGCACTGCCTACCTCTACTCCCTTGACGAGAACCCCAGCGACGACTTCTTGACCCCCTACTCCCGACGAGGCCACGAGGCGAGCGCATACCTCACATACATCATCGATAACTATCAAAACCTCGCACCGTACACCATCTTCATCCACGGTCGTACCGACCAATGGCATAATGATGTGGCAGGTCCGAATACCAGGAACGTCCTTGCGAACCTCCGCTATGAAGCTGTCAGCATAAACGGATACGTGAACCTGCGTTGCACAAACCGGCCTGGATGCCCGAGTACAATGCATCAAGCCTTCCCCGTGGCTATCGATGAGGACTACCAGTACATGATTGATCAGCTTCCTCAGATCCTGTGGGAACTTCTGAGAATTGACCCCAGCGAGACTCCTGATGATATCGGCCATCAGTGCTGTGCGCAGTTTGCCGTGAGTCGGGAGCGGATTCAGGAAAGGCCTGTGGAAGACTATATCCGGATCTTGAATTGGATTGCGAATACAGACATTACTGATAATTATGGTCTTGGGTGGTTGATTGAGAAGCTTTGGCATATTATTTTTGGGATGCCTGCAGTATAGTGAGTATCTACTTGCTGGTCCAGAATGTTTCAGGGTTTCGGCTAACGGTTTACTTTTACTTTTGAAGCTGTGCTTCCGAAGCACAATGTCGCTGTGATATCTATGGATGGTGTGGCCCGAACCCCCTGACCAACAACGAAATATTGACACCAATCGCGTAAAACCTATTTTCAACATTTTCGAGCTAGCTAGAACATGTACTTTACCTACCTAGTTTCTTTTCTTTTTATTTTTCATTTTTTTCGCTGATAGAAACAAATAAACGCACATCATCTATCACGGCGTTAGCTCCGCCGGTTGATGCCCGGCTCAGAATGGAAGGAATTTTATTGGTCTGGTTTTTCAATCCCATTTCCCATTATGCGATTCCCTTCGCATGTAGGCCGTGCAGATAAATCTGCCAGCTTTCATTACCAGTACGTTCAACTCCTGCACAGGCGCTGTCAGGTATGCTTCCGGTCCGATGGCTTCACGATGATGTCAGCGGTTCACGAGCCATCAAAACCACCCCCTAGCTTGAAATCAAGGTTAGAATGTTAGGAAACCAGAAATTCGTGAAGCCTTCAAACCTGAATTATGAACAGGTTTATGATGTGAAGGGTTTCTCGCTTGCTTAATTGTAGACTCCTTACTTGACATATCAAAGTTCTCGGAGCCATCCGTCCCTAACTCGCATTTTGCCTCTTCAACTTTACCATCTACAAAATGGCATTCACGCAAGCTGCAAACCTGGTCGAGAAAGCAGTCGGCCATGGCGATAATGCCTCGATCCATACTGACATCAGCAACTATCAAAATGAATATGGCATGGAAACCGGAGAAAAGGTCCTAGCTACGACATGGCAGGGCAAAAACACCGTCAAACTAGGTATTCCCGCGAGAATATTCCTGAGTTGGAATCGCAACTGACATTTCATCAGTGGAAATGCCAAAGCCGAGGGTCGTTGATCCAGGCGATGTGATCGTCAGGGTGACAGGCAGCACGCTTTGTGGAAGTGATCTGCATTTGTATCATGGTAAGCCTTTGGCTAGCCGACTGACCGTGAGTGACAAGCTAATGAATCTTGATAGGGGTTATTCCGCAGCTCCAGAAGGGCGATGTCTTAGGACACGAGTGCTGCGGTGTCGTCGAGAGAACTGGCCCCGAAGCAACCCAAGTCAATATCGGTGATCGAGTAGTCGTCTCTTTCCCAATCGCTTGTGGCGACTGCGAGAATTGTCGAAACGAATTATATTCTCAGTGTGACCGGACAAACTCGAATATGATTGAGAATGCGATGTACGGGAAGCGCACAGCGGGTATGTCAACAAGCGCTCTCGTCCTCATCACACAAGCAGGTGCTAACCGAAGTAGGTATGTTCGGGTACTCGCACTTTACTGGTGGATTTGCTGGTGGCCAGGCGGAGTACCTTCGAGTTCCCCACGGCAATGTCAATCTTCTCCCTATTCCTGCCGAAGTTCCTGATGAGAAGGCACTTTATCTATCGGACGTGATTGCTACTTCCTGGCATTGCGTGGTAGATACTGGTGTCAAGCAGGGAGACGTGGTAGGGATCTGGGGAGGTGGGCCAATTGGGCAAATGTGCGCTCAATTCAGCTTCTACCATGGGGCTAGTCGGGTGATCTTGATTGATGGTGGCGACGCTGCGTGGAGATTGGACTTCGTCAAGAAAAAGCTGCCTAAGCTTGAAACGATCAATTTTACCCAGCTACCCCGAGGAGAGTCGGTCACATCCCAAGTGAAGAAACTCGTTCCTAGTGGACTTGATGTTGCTCTTGAGTGTGCCGCTGGTGAATACGCCAAGGGATGGGTGCACTATTTCGAGCAAATGCTCGGCATGGAGACAGATACATCCGAGCTATTAAATGAGATGATTACTTCTGTCCGCTCGTTTGGACGAATTGGCGTGACGGGAATTTATGCCGGATACGTGAGTTAACTCATACAATTTTCAAGACCAGTGCTAATGAACTTGTTGACAGACTAACCATTTTAACATTGGTGCTCTGATGGAGACCGGTGTTCGGCTCATCGGGAACGGCCAAGCTCCAGTACACAAATACTGGAAGAATCTCATGGATCTCATCCAAAAGAATGAGATCAATCCTCTTGACATGGTCACTCACCGGCTACGACTTGAGGATATCGAAAAGGTTTATCCTGCATTTGAAAAACGTCAAGAAGGAATGCAAAAGATTTTCCTTCAAACGAAGTACTCGAGCTCACCTGCACCTGATGCCCCTGCACTGAGTACGATATGATTGGGATGATAAAAATACATGTGATGATGGTATGGATGGTGTGATATTGAAGTAGTGGCCTTCGGCGAATTGGAGATTTAAAAAATTTGCAATTTATTTATTTCTAATGTGCCTATATGTAGGACTCAATCTTAAGAACACAAACGCAGAGGATGAATAACCCGAGTAAATCCGCATACATAAAGTTAGTTGTCTAAACTACCAAGCTAACCATTAACCACAACACCCCCATTGGGATGAAGACATTGCCCTGAAATAAGACTGCTATCCTGGCTAGCCAGGAACACAAAGCAAGTGGCAATCTCACTCGGCTGACCCGGTCGGCCCATCGGAGTTCCACTAAACTGCTCCATCGCATTGGTATTCATAGTTGCCGGGATAAGGGGAGTCCAGACTAGAAGCCTTTAGCTTGATTCATGTGGAATGCATGGGGATGTAGAACATACCTGGGCCGGGGCACACAGCATTGACCCGAATTCCGTTCTTCACCTGCTGGTTGGACAGACCTCTAGTAAATGAAACCAGAGCACCCTTTGTGGAGGTATAATCAAGGAGGTCTGGGCGTCCAATGTAGGCGTTGATGGAGGCGCAGTTGATGATGGTTGAGCCATTCTTCAGATGAGGCAGTGTATACTTCGAGAGGTAGAACACCGAATAGATGTTTGTCTGGAATGTAGAATCCCATTGATCCCTATATGATTAGTATCATCAGAAGCTCTTCTTGGAAAAAGTATTGCTCACTCATCGAGATCCTTGATATCCTCGACCATATTTTGAGTCCCGGCATTGTTGACGAGAATATCGATACCGCCGAGCAATTCCAGAGCGATGTCAACTACCTTCTTGCAGTTCTCCTTGGTTCGCAAGTCCAAGGCAAGAGAATGGCATTTTTTGCCAAGTTCCTCAACTCGTCTGACTGTTTCCTTGGCATCCTTCTCTTCTTCAGGTAGATAAGTGATAAGGCTGGTGGCGCCTTCCATCGCATACAAAATGGCTGTGGCTCTTCCAATTCCGGAGTCACCGCCAGTTATAATAGCCTTTTTGCCCTCAAGCTTGCCTGCTGCTTTATATGTTTGGTACCCAGAATCCTCGGTCGGGAGTTTGGTTGAGGTGGGCTTCGGATTTTCCATTTCATCTTGCAGGCCGGGCTTTTTGTGATGTTCAACCGGGATTTGATGTCCTGTTCGCGATAAGTAAAATCGTTTTGGCTTCATAATTGTAGAAGCACTTACCCTGCTGGAACTGGGCCTGAGGTCCCCGAGAAGTTCTTTCTACTTCCTGTTGCATGATTAGATTATGTGTATTTCACAGATATGAAGGTGGTATTCTCGCGATGCTGGCTGAGAATTTATCAAAATATTATGCCGAGTCCTCTTCTTCCGTGTATATGACGTTGGTTCCGCAAACAAGGAGAAGCTCACAGAAGCTCTCAGTAAGAAACTTGCCATCATTTCCTGACGCGTTGAGTGACAATCAAGGTTGGCCAATCACGAGTAGTGGATCATTGCTGTTCCGGTTCCGTGACCGGATGTATGAGGCTAGGTTGTGGGCCCGAAACTTGTTTTGCGGAGGTTGGATGACGAAAATCCGACTCATCCGGTAAAGTACGAACTGATTTCATGCTGTGTTGAAATAGTTTAAAGAAACCATGCGGAAGTAACTTTCCAAATATTTAATTAGCAAAAAACAGTTGAACAAATCAAAAGTTATCCTTTCCGGATATTTTAACAATGGCCGATACCGTTGTCCAACTGAAATGCGAGTGCAAGGTAAATCGATTCGGGTGCGAATGGGTTTCACCAGTTTAATCGTTCTCTTATTGATGGCTGTGTGTAGCATGATCCATGGGGGAAACAAGGCAGTAGCTCTCTTGCAGGGCGCCTGTGGTCGCAAATTCCTGGATCAGACGAATTGAGCGAGTCAGATACATATTCGGAGGTTCGTCGACTTCATGACTGATAGGATTGTCGCTGTTCCAGTATTGATGCTCATCGTTCGACAGATGTGGATGGGAACTTATCCCACCGCCCCGTCTCGACTTGTCTCCAATGACGAGCTTTTGTCTTCCTATCTCAAGAAGAACCATGATCTGGTCGGAAATTCCTTTTTTAAACGATATAATACGGAAGTTCCTTTCCTACCCAAGGTAGGATTTGCCTGTATCTTCTAGTCGACAACAGAAATTAACATTCACAGGTTCTTTCCTTCCAAAAAGCTCTCCCATTGCAGATCCACCCCGACAAAAAGTTGGCCGAGAAGTTGCACAACAAAGACCCCATCAAGTTTGGCGACACCAACCACAAGCCCGAGATTGCCATCGCGCTTTCTCGATTCGAACTTTTTGTCGGCTTCAAGCCCCGCGAGCGTTTGGCAGAAGTATATGGGCTGAAGCCCCTAGAGAAAATCGTGCCACAGGACAAAAGGTCCCTAGACGAGGAGGTCCTGCGAGAAACCTGCCGGACACTGTTGAGTCTTCCCCCAGAGGAGGTTGCAGACTTGATCAAAGAATTGCAGAAGGTACCGAACTCGGAGCTTGGGAATCACCAGAATATCCCAGCACTCTTGGATCGTCTGAGCGAACAATATTCGGAATTCGACAATGGCAACCTGGTCGCCACCCTGCTTATGAACTACATGGTTTTAGAACCGGGGCAGGCCATTTGCGTCCCAGCAGATAGCATTCATGCGTACCTTTCTGGCGACATTCTCGAGTGCATGGCGCGCTCCGATAACGTTTTGAACACGGGATTCTGTCCTCGGGCTGATCGTGATAATGTTGATCTGTTCGCACAAGCGCTTACATTCAAGCCGCAAGGTACAGACGCGGCTTTGCTGCCCGGACATCCGAGCTTGCTTGGCTCAAATGGAAGAACCACCAAATATGCTCCTCCAATCAGCGAGTTTAATGTCTTGTATCTGGATCTGCAGCCGTCGCAGAATGAGACACATGCTGAGTTGCAGAGTCCGAGTATTTTTGTGGTTACCCAAGGGTCCGGAAAAATGAAAATCCTGGGCGAAGGAAGATCTGTTGACCTGCAAGAGGGAAGTGTGTATTTTGCAGGCCGAAGCGCCAAGCTGCAATTCTATTCGGATGACGGGTTGAAGCTGTACAGGTCATATGCCACGATTTGAATGAGCCGCACCTTCATGTCATTGTGCATGTCTGAAAAATTTCATGTCTGCCGTCTGAAGGGTTTTATTGGGAAGCACATGTTGAAATGCGCTCGGATGAAACAAAATAAATAGGATACATGGTATATGAAAACGTCCTCTATGTGATATTTCTATTAATAAAAATGCATTCACACGTCAAATTTCATGATGAGTCTAGCTCAGGGTCGCGAGACCAGAGCTGTCGACGTTGCCGTAGATCCACTGGCTGAAGTTGCTCGGGGCGGCCATATTGCAGGGGATGCCAGAGTTGTTCTGTCCGACGATGTTGGTGCACTGGAAGATCTCGTGGTTGACTTCGGTGTCGTAATAAGGCAGGTCAAGAGTGGAGTTGACGCTGGTGACGTTCACATTGTCGAAAGTGATGTTGGGGCAGGAAACCCTCATCGGAATAGTATATAGAAGAAACGATGTTGAACCGAGAGGTGCCGCGAATGTTCTGCCACTTGACGTCTTCAATCTGCAGAGTCGAGGTGTTGCAGCCCTTGTTGGAGTTGGCAGACTAGACGCACTGCGACATCTGGATGGAAAGTCTGACGTTGATCATCTCAAAGTCCTTGAAGGTGAGTTCTTGACAAGACCAGTGCCACCGCCACCCCAGTCATCGTTGCTGGGGGTGTATATACGGGTACCTTGCCAGGTCTTGATATAGGCACCATCCACCGCATTCTTGATCGTGACGTTCTCGAAGGTCGTGTTGGTGTTGTAGTCAGGCATGTCGAGGTATTGCCCGATAGAGCCGAAAGTGATTCCAGTGCCACCCTCGCAATAGGTGTTTTTTGCGTGGAGATTGCTGGTGTTTCCCTTGGCAGCAATGCAGTCGTCGCCAGTGATAATGGTAGCGTTCTCCACAAGGAGATTCCGGCTGCGCCAGGAGTTGTACCCATCGCAGTTCATAGTGTACCATTCGCTGTCACTGGTGGCGTTCACAAAGAGGTTTGTCATAGACACATTCTGGCTGTCCCAGACGAAAGTGCCCAGAATTGTGGCTGAATGATTTTGAGACCATCAACATGCAGGTTGGTAGAGTTGTAGAACGTCATGCTCATGGGCCGTCCGGGCTGGTTCGACTCATTCCTGTTCGCGTTGTACCAGGCCTGACCACCGCCATTGTAGAAGCCGCCCTCGCCATAGAAGTTGACGTTGGTACCTCCGAAGAGCCATGCAGTGACCTGATCCTGCAGAACGACACTGAAGGCATGGGTTCGCCAGTAGGGAATATCGGTAGAGAAGCGCAGTTCACCGCGGAGGTGAACATCACAGTTCAGCAGATTGGTAATGTTGAGCATGGTGTTCACGTGGAAGACATTCTCAGAGAAAATAACGGTTCCGTTGGTACCGCACATGTCAAAGGCCTGTTGGATAGACGGGGAGTCATCCACGGCTTGGCCATGGTGAACAAGCGACTCGGGGTACAGGGTGCATGTCGTCCCCTGGTTGTCAACCCAGGCCGACACAAAGCTAGCCCAGAGGGCGATAAGCCAAAGGTTACATCACATCCCCAGTCCTCAAGGGTTAAAAATTAGCCTCCATATAAGAAGTGGATCCTTATAACTCGAGAGCTCCACCGAAACACCGAGATTTTTCAAGACATGCCTGAAGAGCCTTTCCCTGGGCCCCTGTTGGATGCAATAGGCACTTCCATGATGTTGTTTTAAAGGACAAGAATCATGGTATGATGTCTTTACCACACCCTCGACGGGCTGCTCAATAGTATGTTGGCAAATTGGCAAAAAAGTGGCATGGCGGCTTCCTGTACACAACAAGAAGGCTGCTATTCAGTTCACAGATTTCGGATGCCGAGAAGGCGGGGTGCCTGCCACCAGGAATTTGACGACATGCCTTGTAAGCTTACTCCACACCCCGCCCATCTTGGCAGCTTCGGGGTATTCTTTTCCGTCGTAGCAGCACGAGCATTCGCACTGGATCTTTCGGCTTCCTTGGCAGAGATTGTCCGTTCGGAAATGGTTGGTTCCGAGATCACATCCGAGAGTGCTTCTTTCCTGCAAGTATGTTATGCTAATATGAAATGCACAAACATGGATCAACAAGTGGTTGCCATGGATGTGGTAGTTCACAGCCTTCGAGTGGCTGTTGGGTTCAAATCGACTTCGCGCTTGTGTTGGGTTTTAGCTTGGACATTGAATCCCAGGCCAACGGTCGGGGAGGGGCAGCAGAAAAATGGATACCTGGCAAGGATCCCATAAACCTTTCGGAGAAGGCGATTGCTTTCGAATAGAGGGAGAACGCGGGGAAAATGAAGATTGGCAGAGTGAAATAAAGATCACGTGTCATATAGGTGTTCGTCGTTGTCCCTTTCCACTGATTTTAGAGTACTCTCGTTTGTTGCGGTCGAGTTGCAGTTTTAGAGTGAACAATTTGAAGAATCCGGGAAATCGCTATGACGGGCAAATTCTTCGCCCAAAGTTTCAATGTCTTCCAATGCGCAGCTTATTATACGCCTATCTTCTATATTGCTGCCTACTTAAACTTCACAGCATTGAGCAACACGTGCAATGCCATTGGAGAATCTGGCGTTGGCTTTGTCGTAGAAAGATTGGCAGTGTTGACTTCTTGTTGACAGCCCTTTTAGGTTCTGTTTCAACCGCTGGGCTTTGGGTACCCAGTACAGTTGTCGCAAGTTCAAACGTGCAACCAGGAAAAGGTCTTTCTATCGTTTTCACTATCCTTTACGGGTTGTTCGCTAGCGCATATATCGGGCTATTCCCAACCAGGTTGGTCGAATTTCTCGGCGACAACGTGCCAAGGATAACTGGTATAATGTATTTCTTGCAGTGCGCAGCTGGTTTTTCGGTCGGAAAACCAGTTGCAGGTGCCATGTTTCTATCAGTAAGTGGAATACTGACACTTGAAAAATACATATACATGGCCGTGTTCGTGGGCGCATTGATGGTCGCATCAACCACATCGGTTTTCTGGGCTCGGCTGGAGATGATGATGGAGCGTGCGGGGGGTGTGTGGAAATGGCAGTGGAGGCTGTGATCTTGGGAGCGCACTTTTGTACAAATTTCCTTAATAGACTGATAGACTTGCATCGTTCGCAAAATAACGTGATTTTGGAATTTTGAATGCGCCTTCGATGTATTAAACAGCATTATACAGACCGGGCAGAGTGGGCAAGAATCCTACCCATTGAACAAGCAATTCAATGAGTTTAAACGAAATGACAGGTCCCAAAATTCCAAATTTTTGAATCTAAAAATAAAATACTAACACTTACAACAGTAACTACTTTGTTGGAATCACAATAAATCGTTGACTGCTCGAGGCAACAATTTCCGGAAGGGGCGCACTGAGTGATGTCACACAGTAGAGGGTCAACCCATAGGTATTTCGCATCGGTCCGCAAAATACATTTATTATTGGCGCGCGGCTCATCAGGGAACTTAGGGCAGCACCGAATGTCATGTTTATGAATTTCCTTAGTGACTAAAGCGCCCTAGCGCCAATGCGTTCCCGCTATCGATCTGCATCCTATGTTATGAATTCCACGGACATCGAATTCTACGTCGGATTCTAGGATTCTTTCTCACTAAAGAAATAAATCAATTTTGCCCCGTAGAAGGAAAGTGCTTAAATATTGTACATGATATTTTACACAGATCCAGCAGCAAGAACATATCCTCCATCGACAACAACAGTCTGACCGTTGAGGTACTGGTTGGTGGCTGCGAAAAGAACAGTGCTCGCCATATCCTCATCCTTGCCAGGTCTTCCAGCCGGGACCTTCTGCTCGTATTTCTCCTTTGGAATGAAGCTCTTCTGCTTTTCATCACTCTCGTTCGCTGTCATCTCACTCGGGAAGACACCGGGCGCGATATTGTTCACTCGAATCTTCAAATTGGATGTCATCACCTCATGTCCCAGCATCTTGGTCAGATGAATCGCGGCCGCCTTAGAAGCATTGTATGCAAAGTGGTGCTGCGAGAGCTTCACAATGCCCGAGATTGATGAGATATTGATAACAGTACTCGACCAGCCATGCTCTTGCTCTGAACCCTTCTGAAGTAGCGGGAGGAAAGCCGATGTCATGAAGAAGAGCTGCGAGACATTGGTGCGGAAAACGCGATCCCATTCACCGATGTCGGCGGAGGGATCTTCGAATAGAGATTTGCGAAGCTCATTGGGATCTTCGTGCTCGGTTGTTTGGGTGCTGCTGGAGATTCCGGCATTGTTGATGAGGATTGAGAGGAATTTCTCGCGCGAGCTTATTTCTTTAACGAGCTTGTTGATCGAATCTTTGTTCGTAATGTCGGAAGTAATGGGGATAATTTGGCCGGAGATGTCTTGGTTATAGAGTTCTGCGACTCTCTCGAGCTTCTCTTCAGTTCGCCCTGTGATGTATACTTTCGCACCATTCACGGCAAGGGCCTGGGTGGCCATGAGACCGATTCCCGAACCACCGCCCGTGATGACGGCCACTATTCGATTATTTTTAATGCGTACTCTTATAAATTTCCCAAGTAGCAGGGCACTCACCTTTATTCTTCACATTGAATAGGTTGTGTAATTGGAAGTTTTGATTGATCTCTTTGGCGGCCATGGCTGTCTCTGACTTGGACGGTCGGAAAGCTGTTGTTTTATAGGCGCGAGAAGTGTTGGCTGTAACTGGAGCCGATCTTGCTTTATACTCCGTGACGGAGTAAAATAAGCCTGTAAACTGATTATGAGACTGTTGTCTGAATACAGAAGTCTGCCTCAGTGATAGAAGAAGGCGAGCAGCCATGATGAGAATGTGGAATTTATAAAAACCGTGCAACGAAAAATATGGTTAAAATTACAAAATCCAGCAATTTTTCAAATAAAGCAGGTTTTCAATCTCAGCGTTTTGGCACAGAAACCGGCTGAAGGTGTAGCTATCCCTTGCTTGATTATCCGTTTTGGGATCATTTGATCATTTCATGCTTATTGGAAGTCTTGGCAGAGCTGCTAGATCAGAATGACGTCGATCAACCAACAAGCCAAACATCTTGTCCACCGCAACCTAACCAAGCTACCAAAGCAACGAGTGAAAAATATAGAATCGCAGAATCCGTGCGGCTTTCATTGAGCCCCTTGGCGCTTGTGCCCGAGAAACGGGGCTCATCGCAACAGGCCGAAGATAGCTAACAATCGGCCCAGCAACCAACTGCAAATTCCCCACTTCTCACCACCTTCTTCTAGTGCCCATAAACTGACAGCCAGATAATTCTCTCTGTGATTCCCAGATTCCTTCAGGTACAGGGAAAATATTCTGTGGCCTGATATTGTGTACAAACCCACCTGCGGAAATGATACCCGTTCACATAGATCTGGCATCGAATGCTGGAGTCGTATCAGTGGTGTTTTTGCAGGTGATTGCACAATTGATATTTCGTACCGAGTCGGCATGTCGATAACGAAAGAGTTCGCGTAAAAGGCTACGCTGGGACTATCAAGACGCTCCATGGGACCTAATTGGCTGTTCTTCCAAGAGGAAATAGGCGTGCCGGGTAGGTAATAGCCATTTCGCTCAGCAAACAAACCTCTTTTCGATAGCGTAGCTGCGGAGTTCCTGGTATTTCCGGTGGACGTATCTTACCATCGTTCAATGGACCGCGAGTGCGATCGCGATACGTCTCTCCGCCGAGATTGCCGGCAACTTTCCAAGAAATGTCTGACTTGCTGTGGCCCGAAAGCTAGTAATTGAGAATGTGGGATTTTCATATCGCTCGATCCAGTGAGCAGTTTTCTTCGTATCCCATATTGTCTATTAAGATGGTGAAGGCATATGTCTGTCCTTTCTGCGCGGGCAGAGAGAACGTTTGATTTCAGGAATAGGCTGTGATGGCACCAGAAAAGGTCCGACCAAGGTCTCTCTGAGCCACTCTGAGTGGCGAAAGGCCGAACTGCCTTGTGTTTGCAAATACAAATTTTCATTTCCCTTGGACTCGAAATACTCGCGGTAGATGAGGTTTTCCGGATGGAATCCGTAGTCTTGAGTCGTGCAGGGACATCGGGTTGGTAAGGTTACGCCCGGTGTTGTTGCTGGCGGCAAGAGATGCGTCTCGCCACAAGATGTCATCGTAACTTGGAGAAGAAATAATTGAGTCGAAAGTGTCATAGGGAGACGGGAGACATCTTGGTTTGTTTGCTGGCCTGTTTGAGCTTCGGGGGAGAGAGTCGATTCTCTTCCAGCTGATCTTTGAGAGGTTTGGTAGGATATTGTGGGCTCCTCGAAGTCCTCAACTGCTTGAATGATGCCGCCAGAGCTTTTCTTGAATTTGGTCTGCTCTCCATTCATAATCAACTTCTCGGTTCGATGGCTGGCCCCGATGATCTCTATCTCTGTAGTGGTGCTAAAGTCGCTAGACAGAGACACTGTGTTCTTCGACACATTGATACTCCGCACCAAATAGCCCGCTTTCACGATCGGGGACGAGGAGAACGACTTTCTTGTTTGTATAGTTTCCTGAGATAGGATTGCTGGGTAGATCAACAGACCAATAGTTGTACGTTAAATAGCGACCTCTGTTCATTAGCACCGTTCTGACTATCCCAGTCAGATAAGCTCACCCAGAAGATACACATCAAGTCCATTTTGACAGCTCAACAATGACTCTGGGGCTCTGCACTTCATACTGAATGATAGTTGAGTCTTTTTTGCTGCCAAATTTGACCACATCTGCACTCCCCTCCATGACGGTTGCATCACCACCTTTCTCGATTGCGAGTTCATGGACTTCTGCGGGACCACCATAGACCACAGTGCAAATACTCCCTTGGTATGTCTCTCCCCTTTCCCTAGAGAAGCACTCAGTCTGCATAGAATGAGACTTAGTTGAATCCCAGGGACTTCACCTTCTGGAGGACTTCTAGGCAGAGTCCGGGTGCTGACATCCGGAGGGGATGGGATTCGCCCGAGAAGAACATGATCCGATCGCCGCGGACCATAACAGAGTGCTATAGACGTTTCATTAACTCTGAATTGTTGAGTTCATTGAGCAGAAAGCTCGCTCACCTCGTCCCATGTCACGATATCTTTGGAGCCTCCTCCGAGTGATGCTTCAAGTGCGGCATTCTGCCGGAAAAAATGCTGCTACCAATGTGATAGCAGCACATATACCTCCTTATGCATTGCAAACTCACACTTAATAGTCACGACTCATCACAAGGTATTTTTGAATATTGTAATCGTGTCGAATAGAATAGATGTCCGAGTCGAGAGATCTCGAGAGTAGACGGCGGACTGAACATGAGACCCTCCGTGCCTGGAGAGTGCCAGTATTCCATCTCCGATAAGGGAATCCGACGCACCTCGGGGCATTCTTCAGCGAATGCAATTACACGGACAGTCAACGTCGTAGCTTGGTGCTTAGGCTCTTGGATATAGGAAGATCGGCGTCCCCGCACTGACAGTCTCGGATTCGATGTCTCTAAATCGTTGCTTGGTTTCGCGGGGCTCTTGCTTCCTGGTTATGGGTTCTGTCATCACTTCATTTCGCAAGCTCGGACAGTCAATGGCCAGATGGGACCTTGGTGCCGGATCTCGTGTTGAATTTTCCCGAGCATGATCAGCGGTGTTCATCTTTGGGCTGCTACAGGCGCTAGTACAGACAAATGCACCTCACATCGGATGGTAATCGCGAGTGGATTGCCTTTGTATCTTTGTGGTGGCCTGGTACTTCTTTGGAGGCATGGAAACAGTATGGAGTGGAGAGATGGATGTCGAATAAAGAAAGAAGGCCGCCATCGTTAAGGGAAGGGCCGTTTGCTGCCCAGGGCAGAAACGCGTCTACGGGGCGAAAGATAGGATTTTATTGACAAAATGCTCAAAAGTCAGCCCAGAGTGGCGATGAGTAGAGCGGCGATTATTAATTTCTACACATTATCTATACAAGGCTTTTGCGGGCGACATTCACCGATCGAGCCCATTCGCTTGACACTATAACAAGCAAAAGTCAGTAAACAAACCACTGCATTCAAAAGGGAGGTGATACAAACCATTTGCCAATACATCCCCTTATTCCGCAACAGCTCGTGATGTGATCCCTGCTCAACAATCCGCGAACCCCTTCCACTCTGGCTCTCGCCGAAAACGAAAATAACATCCGCTTTCTGGATAGTCGCTAGTCTGTGCGCGACAGCGACAATCGTCATGCTTCTTCGCGCTGCAAGTTTCTCCATAGCAGCTTGAACGATCTTCTCCGACTTTGAATCAAGACTTGATGTGGCCTCGTCCAAGAGGAGGAGAGACGGTTTGCGGAGCAAGGCACGCGCGATGCAAAGTCGTTGTCGCTGGCCTCCGCTTAGAGCCGTTTGGGCTTTGATTCCTAGCTCGGTGGAATAGCCTTCTGGCAGAGATGTGATGAAACTGTGAATTTCAGCATCGGTACATGCTTGTATTAGTTCTTCCTCGGTATATTCGGAACTGTCGAGTCCGAGGGTGATGTTGTCACGGATTGTGCCTTCGAATAATCGCGGTTCCTGAGCCACCAGTGACAGCGATCTCCTGTATGATTCATTTTCGAGGCCGCTGATGTCTTCGCCATTGATGAGAATAGTTCCTTTGAAAGGACTGTAGAATCGCTCGAGCAGGGATATCAGCGTGGTTTTGCCGCAGCCTGAGGCACCCACAAAGGCGACGAATTGGCCACTCTCAATGTTCACATCTAAGTTAGTGAACAAGGGGGTTTCTTGAGACGCGTATTTGAATGCAAGGTCCTTGAACTCTATACGAGCGCCGGACCGGGAGGACCGATCCGGGATCCGCTTCTTGATGTCATTATCAATGTCGTTGGCAGTCGGGCGGAAACCCAAAATCCGATTGGCAGACGCTGTAGCCTGTGCGATATTCGGTCCAAAGCTGAAGAACTGGCCCGCTTGCTGTCCGCCCATGATGATTGACATGTACACGATGTAGAAGGATGCAGGTTCATATTCCCTCGATGCGAGAAGCTGGCCACCATACCAGAAGGTGAGTGCCATGGCGCACAACTCAACACTATCAGAAAATGCAAATACCAGCGTAGCAAGCCAAGCTTTGCGGAAAGCTTTGTTTTGCTGCTCTCTCAGCATTCTAGAGTATCGGTCCAAGATGGCGTTTTCCATGGTTAGCGCTGATACAGTCCGGAATGCCTCGATGGCTTCCGCTGCAAACTGGGAGCTGCCAGAGTAGACCTCTGCATTCATTGAGTCGAACTGCAGCTCGTATCGAATGCGCATAAATGCGGCGAGGAACACGCAGGGGAGAGCGGCAAAGACGGCGACGAGACTGAGTTTCCAACCAAAGGAAAAGGCGATTGCGATGCAGCCGAGCATACTGCAAACTGAAATCACTGGGAAGACTCCGTTGAGTCCGATCAAATCTTGGATTTGTCTGGGGTCGGTGGCTAAACGTGATACCAGCGAACCGGATGCGTTGTCATTCAAATCGTAGAAGGGGACAGGCTTGCGCAGAATGTTTTGGAAATACTCGTTCCGGCATGACGAAGATATTTCCTGGGAATATGGCGTTAGATAAGAATATAGTATTATAGGAATAGGCTAAACTCACGACAGAGAGTCTACTAGCTGAGTATCCCACGGCAGAATAGCATGCTGCGATACCAAGGGATAAGACAAAGAACATCAGCGACCAGAAGTTAGCAGCATCAACCAGTTTCTGGCCCTGATAACTGAAGACGTTGATGATATGCGCGAATAGCCAGCTTTGTAGGGGGAAAGCAGCTGATAAAAAGGTTAGCCAGGTACAGCAGACTTGAACAAGAAGACTCACCTGCAGCTCCCATTATCCCCACGATAGCAGTAAGACAGATAAACCAATGAGAGCGCGCCTCAAAGATGAAAAGCCCAGCACTCCTGAAGAAGCCACGATTCTTATACTTCTCCTGCGTCTCATCTTCGGATCCCTCGATAACGACGCTCGTAGAATGATCGAGCTCCTCCTTCAAGGCAGCAGTGACCTCAATCGGGTCGGCCTCGTCCTCAGCATCAATATCAAGTTTCTGCGCATTGACCAGGTCACGATAAAGCCCATTTTCCATCGCCAGAAGCTCATCATGTGAGCCTTCTTCGATGTTGATGCCTCCTCTGAGGACCAGGATTCGGTCTGCACGGCGAACGGTGGATAGTCTGTGGGCGATCACGATTGTGGTGCGGTTTTCGGAAACGCGATCCAGCGCCGCTTGGACGATCTTCTCTCCGCGGACATCGATCGCGCTGGTCGCCTCATCCAGGATCAGAATCTTCGGTTGCTTCACGATACTTCGGGCTATAGCCAATCGCTGTTTCTGGCCACCGCTCAGCTTGACGCCGTTCTCTCCCACCACGGTCGCGTATCCCTATGAAGTTAGATCCTTGAGCTGGTAGTACTTCAGGGTCATCTTGGACATACCTCGGGTAGGCGCTCAATGAACTCATCCGCGAATGCTTCTTTGCAAGCGTTCTCCACCAGACTAGCTTTCACCTCGTCAAGCTCATTCTCCCACTTTGTGCCAACCAGGCCATACGAGACGTTCTTGAGAATGGTATCGTTGAAGAGGAAAGGTTCCTGTTGCACAAGGCCGATCTGAGATCTCCACCACTTCAGGTCCAACTCTTCGACGCTTCGTTCACCCACGAAGAGCGCGCCTTCTTGCGGCGTATACCATCTCTCAACCAGGGCGACAATAGTACTCTTTCCAGATCCAGAGGGGCCGACGATTGCCGTGGTCTTGTTCCGTTCGAATCTCGCATTCAGCCCCATGAGTATTTTGCTGTCTGGTCGGGCAGGGTACGTAAACTCCACATCTTTGAAAATGATGTCGCCTTGGACCAGCATTTCCGTGTCACGGATGCCGTCGTAGGTTATCCTCTCGGAGTCGATGATTTCGAAGAACGACACTGCCGCGCCGGCGGCCTTGGAAACCATCATCAAAGGCGAGGCGATATTTCCGAGGACGCTTACTGCAATCATGATCGAAAAGAAGACTCTAAAACCCAATTAGCAAATGAAAACTGAGGCAAGGGACAAATGGACATACACAATAACGGTGTTGATGTTGGCAATGTGGCCCTCACGGAAGAGCTTCAGGCCGAGCCAAAATGCCAGCGAGTAGCTGACATACATGGCGAAGAACATGAGGCCGAACTGGGCGCCCATGAGCAGGGCCATGCTTCGGCCTCGATTCCGTGATTCCTCGACCCAGCTTCGGTATTTCTTCGACAGAGGCGCCTGGGCACCGAGCGAGATGACAGTTCGAATCGAGCCAAATACCTCTGCTGCAATTGCCGAATGCTTTTCGTCGGCTTTATCCACCTTCTGCTGGACCTTGGTAACGGCGGGTAGTGTAATGCTGCAGACGACGAGGATGAACACGATAGCGGAGCTGGTGGCGAGAGTCAGGGCCCAGGAATATTTGAAGGCGATGATGTAGGCAGCAATTAGCAGTGCGAGGGACTGGAATAGGATTGCTAGTTTGTCCGAAATGCTTTGCTGGATCGAGTTAGAGAGAGTGGTGATGGCATTCACGACTGTGCCGACTGAAACTTGGTCCAGTTTGCTGATGGGTAGGGCGAAGAGAGAGGTCATGTATTCCAGTCGCAGGGCTGCTGAGACTCGCAGGCTGATGACGCGGAAACAGTACTGTGTCGAGTTCGGCGTGTCAGAAGGATATTCTGGGATATTTTCTTTGACATAGTAGTGAGGAGCTTTACCATGGAAAAATATGTCAACGTAAACTTGGCGATGAAAAGGTATACAATGTACAAGCTAGAGTCATCAGCTTGATACACTCACAAATATTTTGGAGATATCTTTGCTTACCTCAGTCGGCTGACTGATGCTTTAAAGTCAGCTTGGGTAGTCGAAGAGCCTGGCGTGAAGAATCCTGTAAATTCGCCGACCAGATTACCGAAAACGATATTCATGATAGGTAGCGGCTGATCAATGGTCAGCACGGTACTCATTTGGATTGATGATAGCACCCGTAAGAATCTTTGCAAACTGCACACGTACCACGCCGGAAGCCATAGAGCAAATGAGAGCGACTGCGAGGACCAGCCGGTCTTTCCTGGTTGTATACGAGAGGACTCTCTGAGCTTTCGTTAGTACCACAACCTGGCCAGCCAAGCTTCTTAGTAACGCACAAAATAGTCCTTGAGCGAGGCAGACTGCTCGGCAGCATTTTTCTCCTCGGTCTTCTCCTTCGAATCCTCAGCGACGTCGACCACCTTGGGTGTTTGATCACCCTCAGGCGTTGAAGGCAATGACGGTTCTCCGGCCGAAATCTGTTTCTCCGGCACATCTGCGAGTCCCTTCGAAGGACCTGATGATGGATCTCCCATCGTTCGAGGTCGATATCGGTTGGCTGTGGTGGATAAAACTCATTTCGGGAGGGGGGTGTCATTCGGGATATATATTGAAGATTTGCTGGAACCGGTCTGGACATGTGTGCACCGTCTTCTGGAATACGGAGCATACCGTAATCAGACTAGCGGCTCGGTCTGGGATGCGTGACAGGCTGCAATACGAGGATTCACCAGCACTAGGCTGAAGTCGAGTCATGGCGGCGGGTGCTGCCTACTTCAGCAGCTGCAGGTGGAGTCGACGGCGATCGGGCCCTCCGGACTTTCGGGACTTGCATAACCCCGGCCCCGTCAGCCCACCGTGGCAATCTGCCGCCAATCACCGCCGCAGTGCTCCGCTCAGTTCGTCCGGACTTTCGGACTCTGCTTTCCCCGGCTCCATTGTCCTTCATCATCTCGCGAGTCACACTTGAAAATGGCTCCCCAGCGCACAATGAACAATATTTCGGTGAGTCAATCACACCTTGATGATAGTTTGAGCTACATGCTGACAGGGTCCGATTGTAGTGCCGTCGCTGCCAATCCAAAAAAGGTATCAAGTTCATGGCATTTTAGCGAGATCGGCGAGAATAACAGGCTGCGACATAGATTCGGTGTAATCGAGACACTCCCCGGTGTGACAAGTGTGAAGCTACAGGAACCGAATGCGTGTACCCGCTACGAAAACAACGGACCAAGAAACAGGGGTAAGTCCCTGCACAAGAGCCGATCCAGTTCTGCTGTCCTCATGTATGCTGATGAATAATTGGTTGTTGGGTTAGGAATGACATCGACGAGAAAAGGGTGCTCCTAGAAGTCCTCCACCGCCTTAAACGTCTTGAAGACCATTGTGGTATCGAAAAAGGCCCAGGCCCGGACGAACATGACGAAGGTTCCATGTCTGTTTCGTCCGTCGACTCGGAGACCACTAAAATTGTACCACTGGCTGAATGCCGTTCCCCGATTTCGCCCGTGGTCAATAGCATTTTAGATGGCATCAAAGATGCACATACTAGATCCCTGCTACTATCTAATGTCTTCTGCCATTTGCGCACAGTTGAATCATGCATTTTCCAAAGCGAGCGCTGCATGGAAGCCATCAGATCTGCCATGTCGGAGCTTCAACATGAGGAAGATACACAAATGGATGAGTCACCATCAGCTCATGTCATACAGAAGGAAGCTGCAAAAGAATCTATTCGAAGTACGTTGGCACGCGACTTGGGGTAGGATATCCACTGACATTGTTAGATTATTTCGACCTATACAAATTTGAGGGGTTCAAAATCCCTATCGAAAAAGATTTTGTGCTTTCCATTCCTGATTTGATGGAAATCCCTCACGTTCAACTGGATACCACGTCTCAGATCATATACAACAGCATTCTTCTGCAACAAACCATACTAAATCCCGTCCCTCGCACTGGAAGGGGTGGTATTATTCGACGTCTTTATAAGAATTGCGAGAACCTTTCCCAGGGCTGGATCTTGAAGAGGACTCCTGCCGATCTGTTTGCGGCGATTGTCATGGTATGTATAGGAGAGAACTCGCCATGATCGTGAGGTATGGCTAACAACGCATTAAATAGGTCTCAATGGCTCTTGAAAGTTGCAACAGTGAGCTCGCCTGGAAGATGCTGGACCGAGCACTCAAGGTCGCCAGGTCTCTAGGATACTTCTCCGTAGACGGGAGCCCAGAGCAGATAAATGGCGAAGCGATTCCCACACCCAACCCTACTACCACCGAAACCGAAACCGAAGTCGACCGAAATCGCAAACGATTCGAATTCTGGCATCTGCTCCGCACAGACTGCCTCTTCCGACTATCATTCGGCAAGCCGACACTGATCCCCCCTGGGTCGTGGAAGGTCAATTTTCCAGATCCCACCATCACAGGCGTGGACGATGAAGCTTCCCACTTTATTCAAATCCATTTCCTTGCCTCGATGCGACTTGCCATCATCGTCATGAAATACCTCGACTGGATCGACTCGGAACCAAACCCTGATCCGTCTTCTTATGATGCGATCATCGATAGCTATATCGGAGAAGTGGAGTCGATAATGTCAGATTGGGATATTGTATGCCTCCTACTGACAGAATGAAAATGGCGCCAATGCTAACTTCCTTCAAGGAGAAGCTGCTCGCAATGGCAAAAACCCATGTCGATACCTGGTTCTGCGTGGATATGATCTTTAGCAGTTACAAGATGCTCATCATACTCTACCAGTCCAAGAAATGTAATCAAGGTAGTCATCAGCTACCACGTCCAACAGTGGACTTTTCCAGGAAGTCTCTACAAACATTTAGGACTCTCTTGAACAACGCATCAACTGCCGTTTTTGGAATGAGGTATGCATGAACTCATTTTTTATTTTTTTTTTATTCTTTTTTATTTTTATTGCTGACTTCGTTGTTTATAGCCTTGTTCTATTTCACCAGTTCATCCCTTTCTTTATCCTTTGCCTGGAAATCATTGAAAGTCCCCAGCACGACAAAATGGAGGAAGATATTGGTTTGGTGAGCTGGATCAGTAGCTACACCGAGGAGGTTATAGACGAACGGAATGAGCTCAAGCCGGTGATGGTCATCATGAAGGTCATGGAATCTGCTTGTAAAAGGGCGAAAATTGACGGTATACCACACACTGTTTAACTACCTCGTGCAATCAGGGGTATCAGCCGGCATATATATTACGTTCTCTTTCTAGAGTAAAAACCGCCCTACATTTGAGTCTAAAATGTGAAACATCGAGCAAAAGCAAGCTGCAGTATTAAATATAATGTGGTATAAAAGCCATAAAATTTAGCATAATGATAGAATGGAAGGTTCTCTAAAACATGATATAAAATAGAAGATAATCATAAAATCTACAGAGAAACCTCAACATTGAAATTCAGCCACAAATACACCATACTCATGCTGCAAAAGTCATCAAATCCCACATCTCTACTCAGCCTTGTTGAGATTGGATACGATGAAGCACTGAATATTGAATAAGGGCCTGCTAGACAAATCGACCTTGATGGAATTGACAGAACTTGAACTTGACTGTTTCAAACTGTCTACATGCGATTCTGGGGGTATTTATCCCTGAACGGGCGCCAAGCCCCTGACAGTAGTAAACCCCTATTATCGGTCTCGATCGGTGTTCTTTCATGAAGATCCCCTGAATGTAGAATATAATGTCGGCAAGAGCGTTTGAAGCGCATATCAAGCTCAGTGCCTCGGGTTTCCCTGAACAGGCATGCCGACAGAGGTTGGGAATGAGGCATCAATTCGGTGCCTTATCCTGGAACCTCAACAAGCCCCATCACCACGAAGCCCAAGCAACCGGACCCTTGGGGAAATACCGAACCAGTACTTTGCGCAACTCGTCCATAACAAGCACGCCCAGAGCCAGCCCCAAGGGAATAAACCAGTACTGGATCGGAACCGAAGCAGTCCCAAAAAGCAACTGGATACCCGGAACCTCAGTGACAAAGATAGCGATAACGAGCGAGATGAGCATGGCTAGTGGAAGCCATGGGTTTCGGCGAGCCGGACGGACAGGATCAGCCTGCAGGAGAGACATGCGCTTACTCCGAACAGAGAGGATATTTCCCCACTGCATGATAACGAGCGTCACGAAGTAGACGCATTGGCCGACGTTGTTGAAATGCGTAAGTTGGTCTTGATTGTACCCATGGAAGCCGTCGGTGTATTTCTCAAAGGCAAAGACCAGGTCCGAAAATGGGATGCCTGCGGCTTTCCACATGTACACGAAGAACATCGCGTGGGCGCTGAAGGCTTCCATGATGCCGACGAAGAGATAGGATTGGCCGTAGATGCGGAGGTTGATGAGGTGGTCTTCTTTTGGGCGGCGGGGTGGGATGCTTAGGAGGTCGAATTCTTCTTTTTCCATGATTAGGGAGAGGGAGAGGAAGAGGTCTGTGAAGACGCAGATTATGATCATGAGAAAGGAGCTGAGAGGCGAAGGGACGCCGAAGAAGACGTTCATGAGAACCGGCCAGATTTCGGACCACGAGCCCGCTGGGAGGAGATAGGCGATTACTTTTTGCAGGTTCTGAAAGACGAGGCGGCCCAGCCGGATGGCTTCGACGATTGAGTCGAAGCGGTCTAGCAGGACGAGGTCGGCTGCTTCGATGGCTACGTCGCTGCCGGAGCCGATGGCGATACCCACGTTTGCTGAGCGTAGGGCTGGGGCATCGTTGACGCCGTCGCCTGTCACGGCGACGATGTTGCCCTTGGCCTGGAGTTCGGAAACGATGCGTAGCTTTTGCTCGGGGCTGGTGCGAGCGAAGACGACTTCGTCGTATCCGCAGACTGTGGCCCACTCGTCTTGAGTGAGAGATGAGAGACTGGTTCCTTCGAGGAGCAAGCTGTGTCGCGAGTGTGTAGAGTGCGTGGACTTCTCTTCCGCATCACCGTCACGAATATCATCGATGGTATCAGGCTCAGCAGCGCCATCGTATATCCCAATATCACTGGCGATAGCAGCGGCAGTAAGCCCGAAATCACCAGTGACCATGAAGAATCGAATTCCAGCCCGACGGCACGCAGCGACAGTATTCGTGGTCTCGGGCCGCGGCGGGTCGATGATACCGAAAAGCCCCAGGACTGTCAGGTCTTGCGGGCCAGATGCCATGATTTCGTCCCTGAACCCGTTGGATCCAAGGGGGTATTTGGGAACATAAACACGCTGGCAGAGAACAATAACACGCTCGGCGCGACGAGATAGTTTGGCCTGGAAGTCGGAGAAACGCTGGCGAGCTTCTTCGTCCAAGGGCTTAACGGCGTTGTGGATGGCGGACCAGTAGCTATAGCAGCGAGGCAGGAGCACATCCGGCGCACCCTTGACATAGAGCATGTATCCTTTGTTGAGACTTGGGTCCTCGTGCATAGTCAACATCCACTTGTTTTTCGAGTTGAATGGGATTTGGTGAACACGCTCATGTCCCTTGAGGTTCTTGGCTGATGTCGCACCAGCTCCATCTGCGAGACGAAGGACTGCCGCATCGGTGGGGTTGCCGTTGACTATACGGTCGTGAATAGGTCGATCCAAGGTGGTAGGGTCATATGTCGCATCATTGCATAGCACAGAGGCACGCAGAAGATTTGAGAGACCATGAGAAACCTCCATGCTAGCAGCAATATTGTCAATGCTGTATTCCCAGTCTACCATGCCAACCGATTTCACGAACATGCGATTCTGTGTCAAGGTGCCAGTCTTGTCGGAGCAAATCACATTCACGCACCCAAGAGTCTCGACTGTTGCAAGGCCCTTCGGAAGAATATTCGTCTTCTTCATGCGCTTTGCGATGGTCATCAGAGTCAGAGCAACGCCAACAGGAACACCCTCGGGAATAAATGCCACCACGCAGCCCATGACATTGTTTAGCATGGCAACAACACTCATGTATGTCGGGTGATCCTTGTGGAGCCATCCGAGCCATGTGAACAGTATCAACAGGGCGAGACAGACTGTCAGGATAACGATTATTGTGACAAATCTGCTGATTTCCTTCTGGATAAGAGTTGGTTTCTGCTTGACGCCGGCAGTCATCTTCGCAATGCGACCCATAACGGACCCACTGCCCGTGAGCACCACAATACCAGTGGCATTGCCATTTGTAACCAGTGTGCCCATCATAGCAATGTTTCGAGTCTCCAGGAAGTTGGCATCGGTAGCCTCGGTGGCACCGTCAATCTCATCCGACTCGCCAGTGAGGATTGCACGATCGAATCGAACATCGCCAGACGTTTGCAATAGTCGCATATCAGCCGGGACCTTGTTTCCAATGCCAATGTGCACGATATCACCAATCACCAAATCTGTAGCAGGAATGCGGACGAGTTTCTCATCACGCATGACCATGGCCTCAGAGGGGAGAAGGTCAAGAATCGAGTTCATGACCCGTTTGGTTGACCAGTCCTGGAACGCAGAGAAACTGGCTTGCAGAGTGATGACAATCATGATGAGAATAGCCATGGCGAGATTGGTCGGCGAAGGTGGATTGCTGAGAGGTTGCCAGCAGATGAAGAAGACAATCACACCCACCCACAGCACCGAGCAGAAGCCACCAAAGACATAAAAGAAGATCTTCTTGAGGTAGTTCTCGTGATGGTGGGCGATGACGTTCTTTCCATCCCGCTGAAGACGCTGGGTCGCCGAGCTGCTGCTCAGACCGGTTCGCTGGTCGACATTGAATTCCTGGCACAGTTTCTCCGATGTGATATTGTGGAAGTCGAGAGTCTCGAAGTAGTCCTGGTTGGGCAACTTCTCCTTGGGCGGTTCGGCGACAACCTCCTTGGGAGCATTCTGAGATTCGGAGATCTGGATCGAGAGGGTGCGAAACTCGATTGGGAAGCCGGCGTTTGCTGGGACAGCTGTCTGGCTACTGCTGCGAGTGCTACGGACGGTATCCTGACTCAACGACCGAGTGCGGCGGAACGTTGGTGGGCGATAAACAGACCGAGTGTTGCCTTCAACATCTGGCGTAGACTCTTCTTCGAAAGTAATGCGCGTGGTGCGACCAGTGCGTTCACTCTCCTCCGCCTCGATGTCGAAGTCAGGCTTGCTGTGGGGGGATCCAGAATCCATGGCGATAGCTGTCTAAAGGATGGAGGGAGAAGGGCAGGAGAAAAGCGAGGATGGCAGACAGCCAAGCACCCAGGACAGGCACAGCAGGAGGGATAAGAAAAAAGGTAAATATATCGAGAGAAAGGTTGGCGTGTGCGGTGAGCTTTATGTAGTAGGTGATGTAGGCACCGGCTAAACCAGAGTAGGCTGCCCACCCTTCCACTTGATGGGTTTGGAACCGAGAAGAGAGCAACTACAAGAAGGTAAAAAAAAAGGCAATAAAAAATAGCAATCCAACCAAATCCCTCGCGTCACCTACACAAGCGGAGCCACGCGACTCTAGCCACGGCCACGAGGATTGCCTGCATTGGCATGGTAGACGAGGCCGGTTCCAGTAGGTGCACGCAGCATCAGAACTGCCTCAGTGGAGCTAAGCTTAGACCTCTGGGTTCCAGTGGCTTGGAACAGCCATCGGGGCGTATCATGGTGGTAGGCACCCATTCCCCCAGTGGATACAGTACCTGAGGAGTATAGGAGCTCTCCGTACTCAGATCGAGTACCCGCCATAGCAAAGAAATCGCTCATGGAGCGGAATATACACCCGATTACGGTTAGATTACTCCCTGGCCGTCCCCCACCCAATCAGAAATTTAACTCCAGCTGTCTTCTATAGAACATGACAATACGTGACGTGGGCTCTCTCCCGGCCAGCCCTAGGAGAAGCTTGGGTGCAGCCACCTGCAATCTCTGGATGGCCCTTAGGCTGTGTGAGCAGGACTATTGCAACAGAAGAAAAACTTCATGTCATGATGCTGGCTGAATGGGAAAAAACCGACCGCAAAAAGAAATGGCGCATGCAATTTCGCTACAGCCATAGCCCCCAGCATTTTGCGGTTCTGGCAGATTTTCCCCGGCTGTCACTTCTGCGCGATTTTTCCTCACCACATCTTTCGCTGCTGCTTGCGGTGGTGACAGGCGGCCCTTTCCCTTCCCCGGAGCATTTCAGCTGCCCCAAAAAAAGAACGAAAACAACGAAGAAAAGAAGTCTGCGGCGCTAACGGCTTATCTGACAGCTTTCATTGACGGCGACAAATCGCTCAGTGTTTGAAATAGCGTGGCAGCCCGCGATCGTCTGCGCGGTTTGCAGTGGCCAATCGCGGGATCCCCAGTCTATTACTAGAAAGTACACCATGTAGCAATCCCCCGATTTCCTTTGACTAACACAATCCCGAGTTTATCGAAACGACCATACAAACGGCACAGGGTCTTCTGCGTGATTCTGACCCAGGGAGTATGTCGTCGCTGGGTGTTCACATGTGTTAGGGGCTGCCCTGGTACACCGGTGGCTACATCTATAAAAGCAGACTGCGTGAACAGCTAGATGCCACTTTCTTTGCCCTCCGCGCATAATCAAATTGCATTCTACGTTTGTTTGACTTTCCACTTTCCTTTGTTTTTCCTTCGGTTCAGGTGTCGATGAAGGATCACTCCCGTCACCAAGACGCCTGGACTGGCATCGCCGTGCACCGACACGACACCCACTCAGATACCTCCCATCACCACTATTCGATGCGCCCTAATTTGTCACCTGGTGCGCAAGACGCAAAAATCCACAACGCGCAGAGCGCCAGGAAGCATAGCTGGCCCTTCTTTAGTCATGACCGTCCGGTTCTCGCCTCTGCCTCGACAGATCGCCGGCCGTTGATGCGATCAGAGACAGATGCGACATCGGCATCACGCGAGAGATCAAACACCCCCGATCAGGCTCTATCATTCATGGAGAAATACGGTCGCTGTCTTGAGATTTTGCACTATGGCTCGAACAGCACAGTCCGTCTACACGAGAACCAAGCCGCCACCAATACCTCTTCTCCGCGGGTCTTCGCTATCAAAGTCTACCGCTACAACATTCTCGACTCCTCCAACCCCCTCACCCGCTCAATCTCCTGTTCCCAATCCTCAATATCCAATCTACATCCCCGCCACCCAAACATCCTCCCAATAACGGACCTCCTTTACAACGAGCGCTCCGAACTCTGCCTCGTAACCCCCTTCTGCGGCGGCGGCGACCTCCACGGACTCATCTCCCTACATGGCACCCTCCCATCCAACGAAGTAGACTGTCTCATCGCGCAAATCCTCCGCGCCCTATCATTCCTCCACCAGCACGAAATCGCCCACCGTGACATCCGCCTTGAAACAATCCTCCTCACCTCCAGCGGCGCAGTTAAACTCGCTGGCTTCGGCGACGAACATATCCGCCGTCTGTGGAATGATTGCACCATACCTCTAGAGACAGATGAAGAGAGACAAGCATATCACAGCCAACGGGCACAATCCCAGCCCTCTTCTTGGTATTTCTCTCTGCCTTGGCTTCTCTCGCCATTCAAGAGCCATCAAGAGCAGAATGCTCGAGGGAAGGGAGGATTTCATTCTTCCACTGCTTCATTTCCGGGGATGAGTCTTCCCTATATCCCGCCTGAGGGATTCAGAAGACACTTAACTCGACATCGTTCCCAGAATAACGGTGACGCAGAAGGTGAAGATGACGACGATGATGACCCCCGTCCCACAGACGTCTGGGCGACGGCTATTATTTACCTTGCGTTGATCACAGGTCGTCTTCCGTGGCGCAGTGCGCGACCGAATCGCGAGGATACGCGGTATATGGACTATCTGCATGGGCGGAGGGGGGAGGATGGGTACCCGCCTATTGAGGCGTTGGGCAGGGTGAGTGCAAATCCACTGGTAGTATTTAATCTTTCTGAAACTCGTACAAAAGCTCATGTGGCTCTCTCTTTAGAGGCGGCGAAATGCAGTCTATGCGATGCTGCATCCTAGTCCGAGGAAGAGGATTACTACCACGGCAATGCTTCAGTCGGAGTGGATCTATAGCGTTTCTATCTGTGAGGCTGGAGAGACGGGTCGTTGATGATTTTCTCTGAGTCGCTATGTAAGGTACTCAAGTTCACTTTCATGTGGTAGATCGGCTTCTTGCCATAGTAGGTGCTTCCAAGAAATTTTATACACTGACGTTCAACACAAATCATCTGGAAGTATGATAAGACAGTTTATCCGACTACTAGCAGCACTAACCGAGAACGACCTGCATCTGCAGCAGCGTGCTACCAGCTCATCGCAATATACACAACAATGAAATAAATGAAATAAATACACCCGAAAATTCCCGGACACGATACTTACAGCTTAGCCTTGGCACCCAGTGCCTCGCTAACAGGCGCAACCTCAACCATCATCTTGCCAGTGTTCACACCCTTGTACAAATCAACCAACGCTTTAGGTGCTCCCTCGATGCCACCAGGAACAATATGCTCTTTGCGCTTGAGCTTACCCTGCGCCAACCAGGATCCCAGCTCCCGCAGGGCAGCGGGATACTTCTTGGCATAGTCGAAGACAATGAATCCCTTCATAGTAATGCGTTGCGACTGCAGTAGCACCGTTAGCAAAACACCAGAAGAAAAAAGGCCAAGGAGGGTTACTCACAATAACACTCATAAAGCTCGCCGGACCCTGAGGCTTAGAGGTGTTATACTGGCTGATAGCACCACAAATAACAAACCTCGAATCCCTCGCCGCACGCGCAAGACAAGCATCCAAAATCTCACCACCAGTATTATCAAAAAACACATCAATATACTCAGGAGTCGCTTCCTTGAGCTGCTTCCTCCAATCGCCATCCTTATAATTAACCGCAGCATCAAATCCCAGCTCCCGGACCAGGAACTCACACTTCTCTTTACTCCCCGCCAGCCCAACAACCCTCTTCGCCCCCTTAATCTTCGCAATCTGACCCGCAACCATCCCCGTCGCGCCCGCAGCCCCAGAAACAACAACGGTCTCCCCAGCCTTCGGCTGTCCCACCTCCGTCATACCGAAGTATGCAGTGAGCCCGGTCATGCCGAGAACAGACATGGCGTCCGTGGGCCGGCCGCCGGTAGGCACGGTGACCTTCTCCACCTCCTTCGCGCCCAGCACGGCGTATTCCTGCCATCCGGAGTACGCGACAACCCAGTCGCCTTTCTTGTAGGTGGAGGTGAGGTCGGTTCCGACGGAGACGACCTGCGCGATGCTCTGGCCGCGCATGACGGCGCCCAGCTCGACGGGTGCGATGTACGAGCGCTTGGCGGTTAGCCATTGGCGCATGGCGGGGTCGAGGGAGAGGTAATGCACGCGCACGAGGAGTTTGTCTGTGGGCACATTGGTGGGAGTGGGGAGGGTGTTTAGGCGGAAGGTGCCGTTGGAGAGGGAGGGGTCGATTGCGTCTGTTGGCGCTTTGTTGTAGAGAATTTGCTTGTAGGACATTTTGGTGGCTTTGTGTAGTTCAGCTGGGATTTGATGGGGTTCCCCGATGTGAGACGAGGGTGTTAAGTATTTTGGGGGAGCCGAGGTGGTTGGATTAAAAGATGGGGATGGATCGGAGGATCCCCAGATTAGGAAATCTGCTCCACGGTCTGTGTCTTGGACCTCGGCTCATGGGGCGGTGCCTGGTTGTTCGGGTGATCATTCAGAAGGGTGTATTCCAAGCTTCCTGCATTTCTAGGTATCCAATATATGTCATTCCCAAGTATATTGGTGGTATGAGAGGATATATACAAGTTCAGAAGAGTTATTCGAGCTACCTGAGCTCTGCGCTCATCTTGACGTCATGCATCTCCGAACTATATATATCCACCCTCCTTCCATCTCATCTTGTAGTTCTCATCCCAACTTTGTAATCTTTATCAAATACGTCCAATCATCTTTTATCTTCCATAATGAGCACCGACAACCGCGACCGCTACACAACAGACACCTCTGGCGGCGGAATCGCCCACGGCTCCTCAACTGGCGCCCCCGGCATCCCAACCGGCCTCCACGCAACCCGCGCGCAGTACAACCCCGCAACAGCAGGCTACAACCCAGCAACAGGAGCATCCTACAGCAAAGCCTCAGCCGGCGGACCGCACCAGAGCCACCACCAGCCCGCATCGCCATCCAACAGCTACGATGCGGCGGGACAGGATGATCGCATCCAACATGCGCCGAGTACGGCGCAGCGGGTCCAGATGGATGAGGAGGAAGAGAAGATAGCCGGGCAGAAGTCGCGGACGGGCTCGAAGTCAGCGAATATGGGGGAGAATGTTGGGAAGAAGGCGCAAGGTGTTATTGCGGGTGTGCATGTAAGTGTACCTACCTAAGTACATGCGGCGTGAAGGGCTATGAGGCTGACTGACTGATGTATAGGGCGCCGGCGAGTCGCTACGAGGCTCGCTTACGGCTGCAGTGGATCGGACGTTTGGATCTGAAGAGAGCGCCGAGTGGAATGAGGAGATTGCCCGTCGGGGTGAGCGTGAGATTCGCTCGGGCCAGTACGCGGGGCATCCCGAGTCGAGGGGTTCGCGTTCTTAGCTGAGCTTGGCCTCTTGGCTCTTGGCTGGTGAGCTTCAACTTCAGCTTTTGGGGAGTTGGTTAATTTCGGCAGCATATGCGATTGTACTATGTAGTTTGGGGGATCTGTGTTCTGGATTGGGTGCCACTTCGCGGTGGATCGCTCCAGACCAGCTGGTGTTCATCCCATATTATAGGATTATATATTATATTATGATGATTATGATAGGACGGCAGGTTCGTATATAGCATGCCCTGGTAGAGTAGAGCAGACCAAGCTTTTTTAAATATACGATGTTTCATAAACGGACGAATGGTAGAAAGAAACCGAGCTAATCTGAATCGTGGGCTCTGCACAATTACGTAGTCGCCAGCAGACTATCTCGACTAGCTCAACATCGTGGACTCCGCTCCTAGTATGGAACGAATCTCCCAGAAAGCCAAGGAGTGCGAGCTGACATATGTTAAATCGTACTTGAGGCTACAGCAGCAGCTGTTATCGACCCGGCTGGCAGAAGATAAACGGCGATCGACTGGGAAATTAGGGCACCGATCTCCCGGGCCCAATCACAGGGAGGCTGTCGATCCAAAGAGGCATGCGTCGCGACGAGGGGGCCAAACAAACGACGGGGGCGGTGCTGGACCCCAACAGCTGGCTGAAGCTGCACTATCTTAGTGTAAAGTAGTTGATACTGCGAATTTTGGCAGGCGGGCTTCACGTGTCAACGCAGAGTTTGTCTCTTTCCGGGCGACCCGAAGGCTGTGCTGTGGAACCCACCTGTTTCCGGCCGCTTTATAATGATGGCTCATCCCAATTATTCAGTTACCTGTACCCTCAGGTATCCCTCAGGTATTCTCCGATCCAGAAGGTACTTCAACCCCAATCCTCCACGGCCGTCGCACCGCAGCTGCAGAGCCGCCCACTCGCTCGGGCCACATTTGCATCATACATGCGCTGAGCCCGGTTTTTGCTGGAGGGGCACTTCATCCGGGGCATTGTGAGATTAAAGTTGTACTGTACGACCTCATGCCCTGACCAATTCCTCCTTCGCCATATATATCCGCCATGGCCGCCATTTTCGACCGTCCTGACCCCCAGGCCTTGCGCCCGGCCTCACCCCCGACGCCGCACGAACAGGCCCGCAAAAACATCAGGAAGCCTACACCTCCGAGTCCTCGCCGAATGTCATCGAGTCCGACTCGCCCTCCCAGTACTCCTCCTTCTCCAGTTCCGACAGCGATGACCCGCTCGCCGAGTCGGAGGTCGTCGACGAGGACGACGCCAGCGGCGTCGTCGGCGTCAGTATCGGCCGCGCCCAAAGCCGCATGAGAGCGCGCGCCACTCCCGCGGAGGAGAAGTCGCGAATCCTGAGTGAGCAGGGGGGCTATTTCTCGACGATCCCGGATCACCCTGGTGAGGATGGACTCTTTACGTCGGAAATCACAGCCGAGCCCGAGTCCGTTGATCCCAAGTCCGTGCAAGCCCAGGAACAGCAGGAGCAGTTGCAGCTGCAGGAATGGAAGAATCAGCGGGCGACGCATCCGCTCGCGCCTTTTGTGCCGGTGGAGCATCGTGTGGCGCGAGCCCCCCACAAGGAGCTTTCTGCGTCATCGGCCGTGTTGCCAGGGTTCAAGGAACCCAGTGCCACTGCTTCGAATCAGAGGTCCAGCTTCACCCGGTCCCTGTTGAAGACCTCGCTACCCCGTCGGCCGCGAGCGTGGTCGGGCGAGTTGAAGAAGTTCTTTCCGGATCTGGGGTCGTTGACGAAGCGTCCGTCGCTGTCGTTCCGGTCTAATAATATTTATAATAACAACGACGCTACCAACGCACAGAGCCGAGCACGTAGTCAGACGGTGGGAGGAAACACGAAGCAGAGAAATGGATTCGCATTGACAAACTCGTCTTTGGGCCGTCACTCGCCGTCTCCGCCACGGCCGAATGGAAGTGCCTATGAAGAGGACTTGGGAGATGATGCCCGGCCCATTTCAGAGCTGCAGTCGATTGATGGAAGTTCGGCTGTAAAGCATTCTTTTTCGCGCAGACCGAGTGCGGCAATGCCAAAGCATCCTCCGAGTCTGCGGAGATCCTCTTCGGATCAATCGCTATATCTGCGCGCTTCTTCCACTGCATCGTCATTAGAGCAACGACCTCTTTACGAGAATATTCACTCGCAAGTGAACAGTCGATTCAAGGCCATCAAAGACAGCCTGCAAGATTCAAGCAGCCGTTTGCTGAGTATGCCTTCATTGCATCTGCAAGATATTCGCTCCGATTGGAGTTCTCGACCGTTCTTCGCCGAGCCTGGAGCTCCTCCCCAGGGGGCTCAGACTGGCCCCAAAGGCATGCATGGGGCATCTATTCCTCATGCTGCAACCGCGCCTCCGCCGCCGAAGAATTATCCTCAATCCACCCATCCGATTCTGGAAGACGCAATGTCCGAGTTGACCGGCGACGTCGTGATTCTGGGAGGTTACCGAGGCTCGATATTGCGATCTGCCAAGCCTCCGCACCGTCAACTCTGGGTTCCTATGAAGGTGGGACTGAATCTGCGTAAAGTCGATTTGGAGGTCGGATTGACGCGAGAGGACGAGGAGCGCATGGAGGAGTCGATCATTCCGTCTGGTGTGCTATCCCACGTTGGCCCCGTCGACGTCTGCCGACGCCTCATGAAGCGGCTGCGTCAAAGTAAGAACGCCACGCGCGGTGATCTTCGCGTCTGGGATTATGGCTATGACTGGCGACTGAGTCCTGAACTGCTCTCCGCCAGACTGATTGCCTTCCTCGAGCGACTACCCTGCAATCGGCCGTCAATGGACGGGTCTCTCAAGAGCAACCGCGGTGCCACGGTCATTGCCCATAGTCTGGGTGGGCTCATCACCCGCCACGCAGTGAACCAGCGACCCGATCTCTTCGCCGGTGTCGTTTATGCCGGTGTACCTCAACACTGCGTCAATATCCTTGGTCCGCTCCGCAACGGCGACGACGTCCTTCTCAGCTCGCGAGTCTTGACCGCCCAAGTGAACTTCACATTCCGGACGAGTTTCGCTCTCCTCCCGGAAGACGGGCACTGCTTCATTGACAAGCAATCAAAGGAAGAATTCCGGGTCGACTTCTTCGATGCGAATAACTGGGAAGAATACCGTCTATCCCCTTGCATGGGTCCAGCTCTACCCCCACCAAACACCGGCAGAGGCTTCAAGGATCTCGCAAATATCGGCAAGCGATTCTCCATCGGCCCTGGGCAGCGTGACTTGCAGGACCTCAGCCTTCATGAATCGGATATGTCGGGGACGAATGACCCCAACACAACAGAATCAAGCACAGAAGAAGTTCTCCGCAATACTCGTCCTCTCAGTGTCCCCACTGCCGCCGCAATCGCCACCTCAAACAAGGCAAGTGAGGGCTTACCCCTTGACGGACTGATGGGACCGGTGGTGCAGCCGCGCGGCGGTGGTATTGCAAACAAGATCTCTACCACGTGCACTATTCCCAAAGCCGCTGCTACAAAATACCTCCAACGCACCCTACCCGAGGTGAAAAAGTTCAAATCAGAACTCAACTTTCAACCATCCCACCAGGCTGAGAACCGCTACCCACCCGTTGCAGTCCTCTACGGCAAGAGCGTACCAACCGTCTACGGTGCCCGCGTCACTTCCCGAGAGGCCATCAAGCAACAAGACGCATATGACGATCTGGCATTTGCAGCCGGCGACGGCGTCTGCCTTGCATCTGCCGCGATGTTGCCGCCAGGCTACAGGATCATCAAGGATGGTCTTGTGAAGAGTGACCGCGGTCATGTTGGGTTGCTCGGTGATCTGGAGGGTGTGGGACAGTGTCTCAAGGCTATTGCTCGGGGTAGAAAAGAGGGTGTCGGTATGGGGAATTCTCTCTCAAATTGATCGGGCCCCGTATATACACCATTCTATATAGGTGTTGGATTACTTTGGTTTTTGCTGCATTTGCATTTGCATTTTTGATGATACCACCATGCATCATGATTCTTGTATGGCTGTCTGGCATTGGCATTTTTGTACGATAGGTGGATGGCATATATATTATGAACAGAAAATTAGAACTTACTAAAACAAAAGTGGATTTGAAAAAAAATTCAAATATATGTGTATTCATTCTTTTCATATTCATTCTCAACTCGCTGCATAACCCAATGCTCTATATACTGGATATTTCAATCCTTTTTATCTTCCAAGGGATCCCCAACAGCAAGGAAAAGAATAACAACCCAAAATCATCAAAGCAATCATGAACCGAAACCAAGAAAAAAAGAAAAACCCCCGGCTACATCCAATCAAAGAACATATCAATTCCCAAAACTCAAACCGGTAAGGTTTAGACAAGACAACTTGAAGTAGATCAAATATCTAATCCGTCCGCGAGTTCGCAATATTCAAAACCAGAATATCCGTCGCACCAACCTTGCTCAAATCATCCATAACAGTCGCAATGCGCTTCTTCTCCACCATCGAAGAAACAGCCACCCAGTCCGCCTCTTCGAGGGCGGTAATTGTGGGGGCGCGCTTGCCAGGGGTGATCTTGGAGGCAGTGGCCAGCTCGGAGCGGGGAATGTTGTATTGGCACAGAACGAATTTCTGCGCGGTGATGACGCCGCGGATGCGGGAGGTGATTAGGTTGAGGAGGTCGTTGTTTGAGCCGCGGGATTTCACCAGCACGGCTGTGCTCTCGATGACGGTTTCGATGGCCTTGAGGCCGGCGGCTTTCATTGTTTCACCGGATTCTGTTGACATAATTTAGTATTTTTACGAGAAAGTATGCGACTACCAGTAAGGATGGGGGTGGAACATACCGACAAGATCAACGATACCATCCGCAACACCGAGCGCACAGGCAGCCTCGACACTACCGCCAACATACTTGATCTTGGTGTTCAGCTTAGCGCCAGCCTGGGCACCCTCCAGCTTAGTGAAGAAAGCCTCCGACAGCGCAGTGAAGCTGGTCACGACGTTGCGGCCGATCAGTTGCGAGGCAGTGTCGATGTCGCCTTTCTGGGGCACCTGGACCTGCAGCTTGCAGCCGCCGAAGCCGAGGTCAAGGATCTCCTCCACGCCGGAGGTCTCGCCGGCGGACAGGGTTGCGTCGTGCTCAGCGACTTGGTCGCGGCCGGTGATACCAATGTCGACGCGGCCTTCACCGACGAAGGTCGGGATGTCGGCGGCGGGCAGGAAGATAAGGGCGATGGGCAGGTTCTTGACGAGGGCGATATCGAGGCGGGTTTCGCGACGGAATTGGACGTCACAGCCGGCCAGTAGGTCGAGGGTGGCTTGTTGGAGACGGCCCTCTGTAGGTGGAGGTGTTAGTTCAGGGCCGCGAAGGCCGTGGTTTGATTTTTGGCAAGTTGTTTAAGGTTAGATTGGGGCACTTGCTCTTTGGCACGGCGAAGAGGAGTCTTCCTTCCAGGCTGGGGGAATTGGGCGTTAGTGGTCGTGCTGTATAGCTTCTTTGTTCGAGTGACTCACTGGTTGACGAGATCCATAGCGGACGGCGGCGGAGGCGGCGCGGGGTATTAGAGCGCGTTTGTCTGGGGTGGGGGAGGAGTAAATGAAAGAAAAAGAAATTAATTCAATTGCAAGAGAGTATCAAGTTCTCTTAGCGCAATTGGTAGTGTAGGAGAAGTGCCGTGCTAGTAGAGAAGAGGGAAGCTCGATGCGGCAGAAATTGGAGGGGCAGCCGATGCCGGTGTAGACGGGAGTGACGCGGGACCAGGGAACAAGCCAGCGCGGCGACCGGGAAGTGCAGAAACAGCCCACGTGGGGGTAAAAGATAGTCGCGGGAGAATCATGCTTCAATTTAATTGAGTCATAATCTTGTATCTACTGTGCTCTATCTTCTCTCAGGACGAATTATCAATGGCTCGATATCAACTGGTAGAGCGCAGAATTGGGTGCCGATGGGGCCGTGTAGAAAATATTTATGCCCGATCCCTCAGGTGTCGAGGCGTCACCCGCTGACCGATCTGCGCTGAGTCATCTGGTGCCTGCCGGCTCAGGTGTCGACAGCCCTGAGCCCTCGCGTAATTTGGAACCCACACAAGGCAAAATCATCTTCACATCCGCCTCTTCTTCCAGTCCACCCGAAACTATCAACCTCGTCGTACGAGCTCAACGCCCAACCCCTCCAAAATGGATTCCGCAAAGCAGCCCGTCAAGCTCGTCAAGGTGACCCGTGTTCTCGGCCGCACCGGTACGTGCCTCATATCCAACCCTCAAAAACACTCCAAAGACAATCCCCCACACACATTCGACCTCCGCCGGGCTCTCGCGCCCCCGATCGCCCGGATGATACAACACAATCGATATATGGAATCTTCAGAGCGCAGCGATGGCTAATGTGTGATTTTTCGTTCGATTAGGCTCCCGTGGTGGTGTCACCCAGGTCCGCGTCGAGTTCATGGACGACACTTCCCGCTCCATCATCCGTAACGTCAAGGGCCCTGGTATGCGATTCCGATTCTGTTAAACCATACGATGCCGCTACAATGTCCAGCAAGAGGAGGAACCGTGTGCGAGATCGCAATCCTGAATTTTGAAGATATTCAAGATGTGCAAATCTTGGGGAGAAGTCTGGAAATTTTGGACATCAGCATCAATCTCTCTCTACGAACCATAATCACTAACATAATCTCTTCCCCCGCATATAGTCAAGGTTGACGACATCCTGTGCCTGCTTGAGTCCGAGCGTGAGGCCCGCCGTCTCCGTTAAAAATCCCCTCCTACGACAATTCACTCGCGCCATGTCTTTCGTATCTCTTCGTCTCTCCAATATCCCTCTCGTCCGGATTCATTGATCGTTCTTCGGCCAAAAACTGTGTCCCCGCTTTTTCTTTCTTGCCGTACCTCTGACTCCCCCGACTCCCTCATCTCAACCGCCGCGCCGCCCACTTCGTCACTCGCCTCGGGTCATCTCAAGACCGTCTACGACTTTCTTTTCCGAATGATCCATCGGAGGTGGTGGTAATGGGTGGATGGACTTTTTGAGCGGTTTCCCGTTCTCGAAAGGTTCCTGAAGTCGATCCTGGGTTCCGTACGGGAGAGAGAGATGGAGAGAAAACGAGCAGATTCAAAAAAAAGACCTGTTTATATGAGAAATGAAATGAGGTTGCGCGATGGCTGGTTTGTGGATTTGTGGGATGGTCTGGTCTGGTTTGGTTTGGTGTTTTATTACATTCACACGTCCATTTGGCGTGCTTGCATGGGCTCAATGCGACAAACGAGGTTGTGATGTGTCACTTATTTTCTTTTCCTTGGCTGCTACGCGGGTCTTAGAAAGAAAGACGCCGAGACTTAAACCAGGTCTGACCGACAAAAAGAACAATGGAATCCAAAAAAAAAAAATTTGAAAATCCGGTTCTGCCATGTCGCGATGTATTTCGTACTGCCTGTCGTCTCGGTGCGGCTGTAGATCTTGTATTTGACCCAAACAGTGCTTCAGGCCTTCAAGTTGGGAATGCCGCATGCGGCAACAACCTACCCGAGGTTCCGGGGTTAGTCATGGACCTCGTATAAAACCTAAAGCAACGACTGACGACATGCCACTCCAACAACCCCGCAACAACATCAGATCGACTCCAAATATCCATTGCGACATCAGTATGGACACCGCAGCAAAGCAGGTACGCGCGCCCCGCCTTTTACCTTGCGTCTAGTGTTGTCACCAGCTTGATATCACAATCATCCCACCAACCGCGAGGTAATATTTCACCGCAACAGGATGAATGCTAAGGTGCGCAGAAAAATGTCGTCACCGCAGAAGAGTATCAAGAAGCACGCAAGCACCTGCTCAACCAAGAAAAAGCAGCCACCCACCTCCTCCAAAAGCTAGCAGAAACCCGACGCGATCTCCCCATGGTGCGGATCAACGACCCCACCAGATTCAAATTTGACACTCCGGCAGGCGAAAAGACACTCCTCGATCTTTTCGACGATCGCAAACAACTCATTCTATATCATTTCATGCTTGGCCCACACGAAAAGACCGGCTGTGGAGGTTGTTCCTTTTGCATGGACCATATCCCCGATCTGGGCCATTTGCATAGTCGGGACACCTCGTTTGCGGCTGTTGCTACTGCGTCTATCGAGGAGATCAGTGCCTTTGGTAAGCGGATGGGGTGGAAATTCCCCTTCTATAGCTCTGCCAAGACGCATCAGGCTTGGGAGGAGGCTGAAAAGAATGGGGAGATTGTGACTTGGAAGCCTGGAAATGGATACTTTGGTCTGTGTTCCTTTTTGAGGGATGGTGATGAGGTTTTCCATACTTATGAAACTTCGTCGCGCGGGGTGGAGATTATTCTTTCGACTTATCATTTGCTTGATATGACGGCTATGGGACGGCAGGAGCTGGGGAATGGTATGGGGAAGTTCCGGCTGCATGATGAGTATTGAAATATCACATTGATGGGTATTGGTTTTAACATATCAAGATAAGAAAAACATTAATATGTAGGTATACTTTGTGAAGCACCTTGACTCAAGAACAAAAAATGTACAAAAAGGCGAGCCGCATTCAGCATAAAACTGCAACGAATGAACCCCTAAATGCCCAAAGAATTAACCTCAAAAGTATACAATCTCACCTCTCATGAGCGTATGAAGCTAACTCAACTGGGGGAAGAGGTGCCTCAGAGCTTGGGTTGGGCTTTGGGCAATTGTCACCGTATAGTTCCCAGCGATCCTGGCGATCAAGCTGGCTAGTCTCCTCAGTTGCTCCAGTATGATAAGTTGCGGGTGCCAAGCTATCAGGCGTGAAAGTCGACGATGGTGATCTGCGCAAATGCCGGACAAGCAGGAATGCTAACCCAGCCAATGCAGCCATGCCTCCAAGTCCTACTCCAACACCAATGCCTGCTTTTGCACCAGAGCTTAATCCGCTCGTTGTGCTAGATGTATTTGTGCCGCTGCCTGTATTCGTTGGGCTCGATGTCTGGGTTGGGCTGGATGCGCTTGTACTGGAGGATGTGGTGGACGAAGTAGTGAGATCGCTGACCGGATTCGGGACTCTGCTGGATAGATGGACATCCCACGAACAACCAGGCCGTCAAACCGGTCGAAGTCGGAGCCTGCGCTCAGGAAGCGGAAGTGGTATTCCTCGGTGGCATCTAGGTCGGCATCGGAAACATCGACCTCCCACTGGTACGAACCGCGGTCTGAGATTTTCACTTCGCCTAGCAATAAGAGACATCATGGCTGATCCAAGTCGGGAGTCCTGTTGGCCAGTCACGGGACACAAGATGGAGTTGGATGATGTTCGGAAAAGACTCTCCTCTCTCCTAGGTATGTGTAACTGCATTAATCTCCAGCCAAGTTTTGGCGTGGCTCAGAGGTGAATATTCGTATTAATAGAACGGAAAACACCCAGTTTGATGGATCGTACGTGCGCCGCGTCTTTGAATCATGCACAGTTTTGGTAGCAATTGCCGAGCCTTGTGGCTGGATTATGACCAGTCGGATCTACTTGTTTCTTTGGATCCATCTTCCTTGAGGGGGCCATGCTCACCAGAACTGTAATCGTGGGAGGTAAATTGCGGCTCAGTTCCTTATATTCTTTCTATCTGCGTCTAGCCTCTGGACACTGATTGTCGTGATTCAGGAATCCCAGATTTGGATGGATCTGAGCCACTGATAGCAGCAGAAAATGAAAAGAGGAGATTATCTACCGCGCCAAGGACAACTAGGCGCTGTTGGTGGAAGGGATTTACGATTCCTCTGACGAACCTCATAGCCGGTTCATATTGCGCCATGATGGGATAAGCATCGGGCATGACTGCCCTGGTATAGTCTTCTCCGCCTCGAAAGTCCCTTCAGTGTCGATCACGACGAACAGTTCATTAATCCGTACGCTATATGCATTTATGTCCTGAATTTCAAATCGAGATGGTCTCTGTTGACCCCAAGAATCTTGTTCGGCCCTCACTTCCCGACATTAAGGGCAAAGGGGATCAGTCAGCCTGATCTTGCATATCGCAAGCACGAATGTGCCTTGGGGCGCAACCTCGAACGCCACGATCTGCAAACGCCGGCCAATCATGTCGACTCTCCCATAGATGCATTCAAGACCACTCCTTTGGTCCTCCCGTAACTGCCGTTCGTTTCAACAGAAATCTAGGGTGCCTAGAACAAGACTGACCATGTACTCGGGCTCTTACCATGGTGTCGGTATAGAGTTATTCCCTATAGAGTTAAAGAGATGCTTAAACATTGAACATGCCACGTGGTTCATCCCGAGATACTGTACAAAAAGCTAAAGAATACAAGGTTACAGCTGCTCGGCGCTTGCCATCAACCGATCAAGAAGATCGTCCTTCGGCTCGGACGCATCGCCCTCCTGCACAACACGTCCTACGGCACCAACAAGCGCACCCAGCCTCTTCCTCCGAATCAACTCCTCAAGTTCAGAGCTCTTTTGCTTCGCAACATCCAGCAACGAAGAAGGCAAGTTCGCCAGCCGTGCCACGTTCAGTCCATAACTTCGATGCGCGACGCCCTCAGTCACTTCATACAAAAATGTAATCTCCTCGTCGCCTTCAGAGCCAGACTCCGTAAATCGCATATGAACATTCCGCAGCGCGTTATCCGGGAATGACTGAACCATTCGCGAGAGATGTTGGTAATGCGTGATGAACAGCGTCAGCGAGCGAATCGAGCGAACCATGTGGTCTAATACAGCCTGGGCAATGGCGACACCATCGTGAGTCGATGTACCACGACCCAATTCGTCGAGAATCACCAAAGACCGTGGCGTTGCTTGTTTGAGAATATCTGCTGTTTCTGAGAGTTCGACCATGAAGGTTGATTCGCCGGCGAGCATGTTGTCGAATGCACCCATGCGCGTGAAGACTGCGTCTAAAAGACCGAGCTTTGCAGAAGCGGCCGGGACATAGGAGCCTATTTGACCCATGATAGCGATGAGCGCGACTTGGCGGACGTAACTAGATTTTCCGCCCATGTTGGGACCTGTTACAAGGAGAGCGCGTGTGCCTTTGCCTTCGAGGTTTGTGTCGTTAGGCACGTATGAGTCGGTGAGAATTCGCTCGACCATCGGGTGTCGACCCTGCTCAACATGGAGGCAGGGTTCGTCGGTGTATTCTGGTTTGACGTAGCCGGGTTGCCCTGCAATCTCAGCGAGAGAGAGGAGACAGTCCAATGTAGCGAGGGATTGGACGCAGTCTCGGAAGGATTGGTATTGAACTGCGATATCGGCCAGGAGGGATTTGAAGGCTTTGTCACAGGCCGCGGCGAGAGCTTCCTTATGCTGATCACGTTGGCGGATCATTTGGATGACCTCTGGTGTGTGGAAACGAGAGACTTTCTTCGTTCCACTGACTTTAACCCATGATGCTGGAACTTTTCGGATGGCGAGTGAGTTGTTCTCGATTTCGATCAGGTATTCGATTCCTGCCACCGTCACGTACTCGATCTTCTTTCGGCCTAGGCGTTCTTCGGCCACGGCGAGGTGCTCTTGTAGATCGTGTTCTATGCTAGCAATGCCGCATTTTTGATCACTGATGTCGTCAGTCTCTTCCTCTTCTCTGAAGAAGGAGTATTTGTCGTCGCTCCGGGCAGCGTGCATGTTGATTTTGTTTAAGAAGCGAGTGACGTCTTCTAGGATTGTTGGAAGAGATGCAACAGCTTCGCTGATGAGAGTTGACTCAAAGCCTGCATCTGCTGGTGACTTGATGTCTGAAAATTCCATTGCAATCGTCTGCATGGTCTGCAAAACAGTGAGGAGCTCGGGCCTGGTGCACTACGCCAGTGTTAGTAAAAGAAAAGGCCGCCATCGATATTCAAGTTGGCGCTTACCTTTCCATAGTAGATTCGAATAAGACTCTTCTCCAGGTCACTCTTGATCTTATTCAATAGCCGTTTCACGCGCTCCACAGGAACCGTTCGAGAAGGATTCGTGAGCTCTTCCACGGCATTAGTGCGCTCCTCCAGTCTGACTTTATCAAGCAAAGGCCTCCCAACCCAGCGTCGAAGAAGCCGTTGGCCGAATCGTGTCTGTGTCCGATCCAAGGTCCAGAACAAACTCCCCGTCGCAGAGTGATCGGTTTGGTTCTGATAAATCTCCAGGCTGACCAGAGTGTTCCCGTTGATTAGCATATGTGAGCGAGCTGAGAATGGCTGGAAATACTTCGTCAAGTCAAAGACGTGCTCCAGACCGTACTCGGACATATGCTCGATCATCGAAGAAAGACAGATCGTAACGTTTTCCGGCAACCCAAGGACATTCTGGAGCAGTTTGGCTGCCTGAACATCCTCCTCCGTGCCGGTGGCATTCATCTTGCCTGCATAAAACCCGGAAACATGACTATGTGCTTCGGCGGCCGCTGTCTTTTTTTTCGCTGTCCGCTCAACACGCACTGCGTCTCCGAACACATTCATCTTGCTTCCGGACAGGTGCTGCACAAGTTTCTCGCTAGCCTTGGACATCTCGCCAACAATCAGAATTTCGCAGGGCGCAATGTGCAAAAGTCGAGTTTCGATTTCGCTCCGCATAAACCCATCCTCAAAGTCGTCATATATCACATCGCCCGTGTTCGGTTGAACGGCCACGATACCAACATGCACACGCTCGTCACTGCCCCAACCCTTGGCATTAGTCTCGGTGATGCAGAGCATGTACCCTGTGGCAGGGGAGGCTCCCTCGGTCGCAGCCGTAGGGCCCTGTAGACCCTCAACATCATCAATATAGGTACCCTTCGTGTAAAGATTGGTCAATTTGCGCACAAATGGCGCATTGCGATTATCCCCCGCAGCCTTGAGAGCGGCCGTCTCGATTTGCCGCACAACGCCAACTTTGTGGCCTGCCGTGATCAGACGCTTGACGTGGACATGTAATCGGTGAACAGGAATACTCGCGGAAGCAAAGCGGTCGATGTGAGCCTCTGACGGATCTGGAACTAGGGCATTAGCATCGTACTCCGTCATATGCTAGACTCGATCTACTCACGTTCGTCAAATCGGAATCTCCCCGGTATACACATTATTCCAAGTTCTTTGGCCGCAATTCGGGCATCATCGCCAAAGAACCGGAACTTGTAGCCGACCTCAACGACCAATACCGTACCCATATGCTGGCGTTTAATCTCAATGACTTGCTTTTCCATCGGCGTAAGCTTGCTGCCGCCCTTCTTCGCACCCTTACCCTTCGTGGGCGCGGGTGCGGGCTCGTCCTCTTCATCGCCTTCTTCCGCCTCCGCTGCGCCGGAGAGGTCATTTGTAACCGCTCTTCCAATTCCAATAAGACAATCGGGTCCTCCCAACTTCTTCACAAACTGTTGATGCAGCTTTTCCTTTTCTTTCTTCCACTGTTCGTCCTCGGCGTCGGCCTCGTCGGCGGCGGGTGCAGTGGCTTGGGAGCTTTGGAACTTGAAGATATCGGTACGTTGGCTGCTGGTAAGTTGGGAAGGCTGGGGAGGTTGATCGGGATTCAACTCCTTGGTAGTCGGTATGGGCTCTTCACTTGACGCGCCTTTGGCTGCGATTCTTGCGCGCTTGGTCGGCGGCACCACGATGTCATCATCCTCCTCTTCGTCGGGTTTGGATTCTTCTGGCAGGTCTGACTCCGCATCCGGCACCTGTCGCTTCTTCGAGCTTGCTTTTTGTGGTGTTGTAGCGTCGTCGGAGGCTGTTGGCTGAGAGGAGGACTTTCCACCGAAAAAGCTCGAGATGGTTGCTTGCTTGCGCTTCAGGGACGGGGAAGGCGCTGGCGTCTGGGAAGAGGTGGGCGCCATTCTGTGCGATGGCCGTTTCAATATTCGGGCCGTCGTGTAATTTTGGGGTTTTTCGATCGATGGAATCAAGAGCAAGCAGCAGAGCCATACACTGCTTAGCCCAGTTGACTCCGCAATCACCGAGCCCGACGCGTTGACGCGCGGAGGCGTTAAGTGGCTGCTGACTAACTCGACCTACGCGCGCAAAAGTAACTAGTGCATGCACTTGAGGGAACTTCAAGTTGACCTTTTTAAGACTACTAGCGAATGGTGCCGCACGAGAGATAAATTATGAGGGAATAAAACGTAGTTTATTTACATTTTTGGCCTGCGCCTTCGGCAATTCCATCCTAATGGCCATCGTAGTGGACAATGTTGTATGTCCACAAGAAAAAGGAGTACCGATCACACACCTCATCCTCCGATCCGATATCAACTCTCATATCCAGTAAACAAACAATTGCGCATGACCGTGTGTGCAATCCTCTAGCCTCTAAAAAATACCATGCGATTCAATTCGCGCCGCCAGCTAAGTAAGGCGGAGCAACCTCCTGCCATTGCAACTTGTGAATCGTGTCGTCGTATGAAACATGTGATCGTGGAGACTTGTTATTGTGTAGAGCGTATGGTCACGTGAATCATGTAGTCGTATCAATCGTGTAGGCTTATGAAACGTGTGCTCGTATGAAATGTATGCTTGTATCGATTGTATGGTCGTATGGCCGTGTGCGTCGTGTAGTCATATTCTTCGTGCGGTCGTATGAGGGGGTGTAGTTTGAGGTTTTGTGTAGATGTTGAAAGACGGTTGGCCATGAGGTATGTTTATTTGGGGGGAAGAGGGAGGGGGTAGATGGAGAGGGAAGGGCGTTGAGTCATTAGGCCGTATGTAGTTTATGGGGGGAGGGGCGTAGAAGATGAAAGCGTTTGGCCCTAGTCTGAGTGGATGCGGAGATGTTGAGAGAGGCGTTGAGCCATTGGGTTGTGTGTTTGTTGAGAAGAAGAGGGGCATTTGGCCATGTAGTATGAGTGATTGGAAGGGTCGTGTAGACGCTGACGGTGTGTAGCCATAGCTTGGGGGATGCGGAAATGTTGATATGAAGGTTTTTGGCCATCGGGTCGAGTGTAATTTCCAGGAGGACCGGGCGTAGATGCTGAGGGGCGTTTAGCCATGTAGTTTGTGGTTTTGAGGGTACGCGGAGATATGGATGTGGAGACGTTTAGCCATCGGGTCCTGTGTAGTTTAAAGGGGAGAGGGGTAGACGTTGAGCGGCTGGTTGTGTGTGGTTTGAGGGATGCGGAAATGTTGATGTGGAGCCGTTTGGCCATCGGAATGTGTGCATTTGAATGAAGTGGAAAGAGAAGCGTGATGTCGTAGAGAATGTATGTCGTAGGTATGGAGTGATGACCTTATGAATCGTCGCGGTCGTCAGCAAATGTGGTGAGAATCATGTAGTTGTGCGGACGCAGGCCATGGAGATGAACAATGTGCGCCTGCTAAACATTCTGCAGTCCGAAAGACTGTTTTTCAGTGGGAAATAAATGATGGCATGACTTTGCATGTGAAGTGTTTCAAGGAATGCAGTGTGTGTGGCAACGTTTCTGCAGTCCGGAAGACTGCTTTGCAGCGGGAAAGAAATGATAGCACGACTAGGGCATGCATGTGAGGTGTTTCGACAAATGCAATGCGTGTGATAATGCTCGATCTCTGCTGTTCATGAAAATGAAACGATTCTTCAAGAATCGCGGGCGAACGAGGCAAAATAGATCGTGTCGAGAGAATTTTGAATGTCTGGCCTATGAGTACAATTCTCGTAGAATTGATAGCCCACGTCGGTCGACAAGAAGTAAGCCCATCGATCAAAGTTTTCAGTTACATCAAGATTGCGCACGGCACCCATAGCCCATTCATAAGCAAACGCGTTGTGGAGCTGCTGGTCATCTGGCGTCGACCGCTTGCGGTATCGACTGCCCGCCTCGGTCGAAAAAAATCAAGCAATAGATTCAAGATTTTGGGCCTGGGAGCAGGATGAAGGTTTTGATATCCGGGCCTGTAAGCATCTCGGAGAGCTTGTGCAGCCCAGCTGCGAAGGAGCTTGTCGAGAGGTTGCTGTTTCTCTGGCGTCAAGCTCTTATAGTATTCATCACCTTCCTTTGTCAAAAGGTATCGCACCACGGGATCTGACTCGACCGTTTCGTATGTAAAGGTTTTGTCGCAGGCAGCAAGGGACGTCTGGTGGAAATCCTCGGAATGTGGCTGCGAATTATCTGTCGACGCGGCGGGGGATTCGGGAGGTTCGTGAAGCGGGTCGTCGAAGACAGGGCCCAGGATTTCAGATAGGTTGGCCGTAGTGTCGTAGTCACTGCTGTCGGGCTGGATGGTCGGCTGAAGAGGAGAAAAATCCAAGTCGTCTTGATTGAAGGTGCTTTTCTGTTCGAGTGGGGAGCTCTGCTGTTCATAAGTGCCGCTCGACTGAACGAAGCTGGTTGGCCACTGGAGACTTAGTCCATGGCCAATGGAATATGTGCTTGAGGGTTGGGGGATTGATCCGTAAGCAGCGAGACGATTGCTTGTGAAACTAGGGGTTGGTCCAGCAGGATTTGACTGACTGACAGGGCCACTGGGAGTGTAAGAGCTTTGTGATTGGACATTACGTCCATCAAAGACACTGCCAGAGTCAATGCCGCCGGTACCGCCAGGATTGAGAGGTTTTTGGCAAGCAATGTGGAAAGAAGGATCAATGTTTGTGAGAGAGGTAGTGTCTTTGATTTGGTCATCCACGGGGTGTTGTGAGAAGTCGATGAGATTGCCAATGACGCCGGTACCACCAGGATTGAGAGGGGTTTGGCAAGCAACGTGGAGAGAAGGATCAATGTTTGCGAGAGAGGTCGTGCCTTTGATTTGGTCATCCACGGAGTTGTGTGAGAAGTCGATGAGATTGCCAATGACGCCAGAACTTTGGTCGCTTGGCTTTTGGTCACTGTGTTGGCCCGAATTGCAGCTGGCGACATCGCCGCTGGGAGCGTAGTCGAAGAATGAAGTGTCGAGGAGATGGGTAGAGCCCATGGCGTCGAGATATTGGTGGCTTTGTTCAAAATCGGTAGAGAGAGGACCCGGGTATTGACCTTGAGCTGTTGGTTTACCGCAGTCGAGGGAAAATCCAGAACCCATGTCGCCGGGGCACGGGTGGCCTTGTCCAAAATCAGTAGGGCGAGAGTTTGGGTATTGGTCTTGAGGAGTTGGTTCACCGCAATCGAGGGGAAAGCCAGAGCCAATGTCGCCGGGGTCTGGGTAGCTTTGTCCAGAACAAGTAGAGTGTGTGTCCGGGTCTTGGCCTTGAGGTGTTTGAAGGCTGCGGAGGAGCTTTTCAGAGAATTGGTCCACACCAGGAGAAGTGTAAGAGGTAGGGACAGGTCCGTCGATGGGGGTGCTTTGGATCTGCGTGTGAGAATATTGTGTCGGGGTTTGCCCAAACATCTGATCCTTGAAGACATCGAATTTGTTCTTGAAGGGTTTATACATCATCGCATTGCCAGTCTCGTCCTTGCCCTTCTCCGCAGGTGGTTGTACCACAGGGCGGTCCGCACGAAGGGGAGATCCCTGGGATCGTTGTCGTCGGTGTCGAGAAGGCTCGTTCTTTCTGGCTGTACGCTTTTCGATCTTGCAGCTTCGGCCTTTCACAGGGACGTTTCTCTCGCCGACACCTTTCGTGGCGTTACCTTCCTCGGCAATGCCGCCCACACCAATGTCGACTTCGGTGGGTTCTTCTTTGACAACTGGCATAGGGTTGGCGGGTTCTTCGTTGACATCCGGCATAGGGTCATCGAGATTTTCGTCAAAGAACCAAAGATCTTGGTCCAGCTCTTTGGTGGTTTCTTCATCGGTCTTTCCATCAATGACACGCATTCTCACGAAGTCGGTGGCCGCAAGGAATCCTCGGGGGAAAGAAGAAGCGATGTTCCCAAACACCTCTTGGGGAGTAGCTTTGATTTTGAAGACTCGTTCCAGTGCAAGTACCATCTTGGCACGCTTTCCCAGCTTGGCATAATGCTCTGAGGGCTTTGTCTGGTTGCGCATATGGCATTCTTCTTCCGATGCGGACACGAACGGTTTCTCCAGTTCATCTTGGTCGGTATCGCGGTTGTGTCGATCCTTTTCGACGGGAGTCACAATCCATGGATGGAGATACCCCATGTATCCGACAGGTTGTTGATCGAATGTTTTCCCCTCGGCCGAGCGCCGTCTAACATGGGCATTGGATTGGGTCCCGTTGCCCTTGGTAGCCTTCCCTGTGGCACGGTTGGATGTCTTACGACGTGATGCCGAAGACTTTTGGATGTCGGTAGATGATGAAGACGTTGATGCTTCCGTCTTCTGCCTTTTAGTGGAGGCTTGGTGAGAGGATTCAGCATCGCCATCCTCGGCCTTCCGCTTCTTGGCTTCGTTCTTTTCGGTGCGGTCTCGGAGGAGGCGACGGATGCCGGTGGTCCGCTGCCACTCGAGGTAGAGGTTCCAGAACTCATTGGCCTCTGGGTCTGAGTCCCTCTTAAGCTCGAGTTTGGCCACACTGGTTGCGTGACCCGCCGACAAGGCATGGGTCAGCAAGTGCGCCTCGTCCTTGAACCGCACCCCAATCTGCTCCGAGGTTTTTTCCTTGGAGCAGATCGGGCAGAAGGGAGGGGAGGGAGAGGGAGAGGGGAGAGGAGGGAGAGGAGGGAGAGGAGGTTGAGAGTCCATTGCACCTCGAGTATCGGATCGAGGTGCGAGGGTGAGAGGCCCCGAGTCCTCGAGGACAAGGGGAGAGGAGGGGAGGAAAGCGACACGCGCGAGGAGAAGAAAGAGCAGGCTTCAGGGACGTGAGTCCCAAACAGAAGAAAGCAGAAGGAAGCAAGTGAGCAGGTAACTGCTCGATTGATCACTCGCAGTGAGAACGGCGAGGGTGGAAACGGAGAAGGTGGAAAGACAGAAAGAAGGTGAAAAAGTCGTGGGAAGGAAAAACAAAAGGGTCGCGAGTGCCCTCAGTCACTGCGAGGACGGCTCGTTAAATTCATGGAACTTTCCGACTCGCTAGGTGGTGAGGCAGGTACGCTGCGGCAGCCTACGCTGCGGCGGCCATAGATGGGAGAGGCACAACACTCCGCCGCGTGCCTGCCTTCCCGGACGGCAGGCACGCGCTACGGACGGTGTGGCACACCCTCTAAGAGGGCCCTGGGCTACCCAATTCCTAATTCGCAAGAGAATCATGGTCATTTCAAACTGAAAAGTCGGTTTTATTTGGTATCTTGCAGGTGAACTCGACGATGCGATGCTAAAGGTCAACTATGTGAATATGAATGTACCACGATGTCTTAACAACCTTCAAGGTCATTGTGGGATGGTATGAAGCGGAATAAGTCAAAGTGGGAATTGCTCTCCTCCCGCTTTGTATCCCATGATCCACGGAGCAGAAGAATCTTGGGTTATTAGATAGCGGGAGGAATAAACCAAAAGGTCAATGGTTGGCTGGAGTATGACAGCTGCGTGTACAAAGTCATTTTTACTTTGTTAAACACTTCGCAGTCACTGATTTGGGCATACAACTGGGTCTTGTTAAAAATACGATACGGCAATACAAGAACGATGGTACTCACTATATAGGATCCACCTCTTGCAGACCATCGACAACACCCAAGAGGCTCAGACCAGCCAGGCCAAAGAGTGTGTGATAGACATCGACCATGTTCCCCGGTCGGTCAGCAAAGCCGCCATTCTCAGGATCCTACATCAGGTTAGTGGGAAAGAACTTTTTTTGGAAGTGGTTGACGGTGGTAATAAGGGAATACATTGACGAACCTGGCATTGCAGTACAAACGCGGAGAGCTTCTTGCGATCGATCCAGTGAAGGCGGTCGATCATGGCCAAGCTCGAGCCAACCCACCACGTGTAACAAGCATCGACAAGCTTCTCCGGACGACCATTGAAGCCACCGTTGTCCACCTGCCGCTCACTGAGCCAAGCTCCCAGCCGGTCCTTGTTCACCAAATCCAACCGGCCTGCAATGGAGAGGGCTCCAATACAAGTGAACACCTGGCCGGCGTGAGACTCGGTACCCGGCGAGATGCCATACGCTCCATCGAAGTTTTCACAGCTTTGGACATAAGTAACAGTTTTGGGAACGTCGACCAGGTCAAGTAGACCGAGCAAAGACAAGGCATTGAGAGCACCATAGAGGAATCGAGTGTCAGTTTCACCCCATTGGTCTCCCATGAATGAACCATCGTCCCGGTTCTGCAGGCTGGCTATGACTGTACTCGTTTAGTATGCGGGAAACAAGGCAATTCACCTTCGAACGAATGGGAAGGGAGAGACCGTACAGGACCCGACTTTTTGTTTGCCCCCCGGCCTTGTTTGTCCAGCTCGTCCACGGCGTCGATAGTGACCAGGATCTGAACCGCAGAGACGGTGTAGAGCATGTGAGCATCGTGACCTGGGGCAGCTCCAAAGCCTCCATTGTCGTTCTGACACGAGAGAACAAAGTCGATTGTTTCTTCCCGTGGCAGGGCGTCCGGGTGACCGAGCAGATGCAGAGCTGTCAGGCCCCAGTAAACGCCATTGAGTCGCAGGTGCTCGGTCAGCCAGTATTGCAGCTCGTCTTTGCGGGTATCCAGGTTCTTGATGTAAGCCACATGTTTCGAGGTGTGCAATTCTTGCTCTGACGAGGTGCCTCCGGCCCGACCCGGGCCTTGTGCCAAAGACATGATTTGGTGAGGATGGCCAGGAAGTGAGTGGTACGCAAGGGCAGGTTAGTTTTTCGCGCTGAGGAAAAAAGCTGTTCCAGTGATATTAATTGTCGATCGAAACTCAGATCATGCTGTCATTGAGTTAAGATACATGAGCGGGGAAGCAACTAAAAGGCGGTGCAGAGCCGCGGCGCTAGCCTGGCAAATCAACCAGGTTCAACCAGTTGAATTGAGGACGGGATGGTCGTGTAGGCAAATTGTGGCGTTGAGCGAGGCCGAATCGGGGCTGCGGGTTTTGTGTGTGAGGGCACGTGAGATCACCTGATCGTGCCAGGTGTCGATTCTTGGCATGGTCGTGGTCGTGGTCTTGGTGCCTTGGTGCCTTGGTGCCTTGGTGCCTTGGTGCCTTGGTGCCTGGATATCTGGATGCCTTCATTCCTGAGGACGCCCTGGTCATGTGAGGGAAAGGCAATCCAGCGGTGTCCACTCCCACGAGCAAAGAATCCACATCTTGCACTCCACTGCAAGCCACAATCCTTCCCCCTGAGGTCGCACTGCACACTGCTCCGTGCGCCGAGTCCCCGCTAGTCTCGGATCGGCCATGCCATGTTTCAGGCGAAGCCTGCCCGTGCACCGCCATATCGAAGCACATGGAAGCCAGGCAGACGAGTACAGGAATAGTAAAACCCCACGGAGTCCCAATTCTACCAGAGCACTAGTAGCAACGGTTTACAGCGATTTAGAAGTTCATGATCTCTTCGTTTTTTTGGTAATCGATGCCCAGAGTTTAAGGATTTTCATGCCATTGTAGTGTCTTGACTTGTTGCAACCTTTCATTTCGTTTACATCGTCCTGCCGATCAAATATATAGATTGGGTACGCCGCGGCATACACATCCGAATACGCCAGGCCAGGTGCCCGCGACAGGCAAATGGAGCATTGTGATTCTAAAAACGAGACCACCCCACTTTAGGGCAGTGTAGACCCAAAACCAAGAGAGTATGGAAAAAGCCCCCGGGCGCTAGTTGACCTTCAGTGGGCACCGTCCGAAACTTGGGCCAACGATGCGACTAGTTAAGTGGAGGATGGACCCGGTGCAAGCGCCCGTACACGTTTTGTCTGACGACTGCCATGTACCCCTGACTGTCAGAGTGCTTGGAGGGTGCGCCACGGGAAGTCTTTCAATGCGATAACGATCTTCGATCGCACCAGGGGTTTCCCTTTGTCAAAAAAATGGGGATCGCTGGTATGTCCTCCCTTAAGGGACAATGATATCCAGCAGGCATCGGCTACCAGCTGGTTCGCCCCCGCCGAATTCGTCCATCCGGGACAAGGGCAACCGTGGATTGGCGACAGGAACACAATGCGCACCTCGGATTTGCTGTGAGAGTCAGTGGGACAGCCAGGATCTCCACCACCCGCCGGCTGATCGGCCAATGAGTAGAGTCAATGCTGCAACGCAAGACAAGCACATCATCCCGCCCGTGGCTCCAACTGCCAGACCCAGTGTTGAGTGTGGAGGCTCCGATCGGTGTGCTTGGAACTTGAAGTGTTGACTCGGGGATGATTGGTGAGTACCTGAGGCGACAAAGTATGTACCAGGCAGGGGGGTTAGTATATGGCGGAGACATGGCAGTCAGCCAAGTCGGCAGCTGGAGGATTGCATGGAGAAGGAATCCTAGCGCCCTCGGACCAAACGGACCCCAATTGCAGCATGATTTGCATCTGACTTCATCGCCATGATGTCGCGCACCGTCACCCTCCCCATTCGGTCCATGCGATGGCGACCCTTGGATCCGGTGACGTCGGCCCCAGGGGAATCAGATACCAGAGGTACTGATCGTAGGGTAACTCTGGGTTGGAGAGTAAACTTGAAGTATGCCAAATTAAAAAGCCCCCACAAGTACCTGCGGATTGAGTGACCCATTGTTAGTGCTGGGACAGGTTAGTGTGTCGGGGAGACAATCAGAGAGGAAGAGGGCGATAAGCGGTAGAAAAAAGATCGACTTCTGCTTGGCTTCGTGACTTGACCTTGCATAATCATTCCCCGCCAGCGTGGAATGTGCGATCCCCCTCGTTTTCCCTCATCAATTTCTCGCTCGACTCTTCACACGTTTATTGTCGCTGGCGCATATCCCGGAGAGGTTAGCGGCTGACCTTGAATTGCTCTGGTTACTGCAACGGCGCTAGTCCAGGCAACTCGACCGCTCCAACGCTAAGTCCGTTAGGCGTTAGGGGACTTACTTTCGTCCCTCTATCTTTCTCTCCTTTCCCGTGAACGTCACCTACCCCCGTTACGATCGTGCTTCTGATCCTGTCTTTAATTCTGTACTCTACTGTGTGCCGAACACTCGTCGCCCACCCCCGGGACCGCCTTGTCCTGCCGATCACTTGTCACTCGAGCCGGGAAAAGAGGGGGCATCATTTCCTCTACAAACATCTTTCGATTGAAAGTCGCTGCGCGAGAAAGGAAACCCACGCTGTCTCTGAGACATAACATGAGGGGTCCGGTAAGTACCGTCTGAATCGCGAACCCTCCCATTGTTGCTACAACCCTTTGGGTGCCTGGCCCTGTCAACAAAAGACATGAACGCCCTTTGGTGCTCCCTCGTGTTCCCTACATCTGTCATCGCTCCATGCGGTTTCACTGGTCTTTTTTAGATGTTTCGGTAACGCTTGATCTGCTTGAATGATCTTACTGACTGTATAACCGTCTCTGCAGATCCTACGTCGGCGATAGCGTTTTCCCACTGCCCACCCCCCGGACAGCGAGAACGTCCAAACTACGTCGATCGTGGCATTGCAGACAGTCGGCCAGACCGAAACACATCGGCTGAAGTGAGCAGTAGCTGAGAATTACTGGAGGTAAGATTACTAGTGTTCCAGAGAGAGGGTGTGTGTGATCTGAAGTGATCGGGTACGGTGCATATCAGCCCGCCCAGCCCTGGTCGCCTGGTTTGAACACGCATGCTGATCGAACTCACCCGGCAGCCGAACACCGTGTTCGACGACATCTCTCACTTCTTAAGCGGCGCATCGAGCCAGCGATACATTTCTTCCTCAAACATCCCTCCCAATATCACGGCCCTGGCCTCGATCGTCGCACAACATGCCGTCTCGACAGTCAACCGTGCCCAATCTCGACCTGAACTCTTTGAAAACAGACTCCAACCACGGCAAGCTCTCCTCGCCTCTCACCCCAGGCGCACAAAGCTCCGATGGCCTTAGCCCCTTGACACCACGCTCCCCAAAGTCCACCTCCAGTTCTCCGTTGTTCAAAGGCGCGACCATTCGTCCAGTCACCGAGGACTCGAACAGCAAGGCCAACAGCCCGGCAATTCCAACCTCGCCTGACGCCACGACCGCCGAACCTACCACCCCTGGTCTGACGGCCATTCCTCAATATTTCCCCTCCCCAAAGGATTCGCCGAAACACACCCGCGATGCATCCAAGTCATTCTTTGGCAATCTGAAGGCTCCGAAATCGTCCCACCGGGCACAACGTTCAGATAGCTCAGAGAACTCGACCGAGCCACCCAAGAGTCGAGGAAGCTCTCGAGACCGCAAGGCGCAAATGGCACCTAAACTGTACGAGTCCAGCCCAGATTTGCCGGGACTGATTGCTCAGTCGGGCGAGGGCGACAAGAGTAAGTACAAACACCGCCGAATTCCACGCTCTCTTCTTGCCGTGCACCGTTGGCCTAACAGTCCTTCAGATGGCAACGCCTCCACCGAAAAGAGTACGCAACAAAGTGGTCACAAGAAGGCCGGGACGGACCCGGATTCCGGACCCTCTAAGAAGGGAAAGCCGCGATTCACCAGCCTCCTGACCCGCTCTCGATCAATCCGAGTGGATGAGTCTTCGGGTAACAAAGCCGCCGGCCGACGTCCTTCTACAGGCCTTGCCAAGCTGGACGAGTTCAATCAGGGAAACACCAACAACCCCCCGCGCTCCGCAACAACTCGCCCAGAACGACCCGCACAAGGTGGGCTATACCCTCCGCCCAGTCGCCACGGAGACACGGCCTCTCTCAGAAAGGAACGAAGCCACGGAGGATCGATGGTCACGTCCGGCTCGCTCAGCCAGGTTTCTGGCGCATCGGCCGCCATTTTCAGCAATCTGAAGCAGTCCTCGTCTGGAGCTGCGGATCGGATTGGAAAGGCCGGCAAGGGTTTCTTCGGCAAGATCACCCGCAGCGGCAGTACGAACGAGCGTGAATTGATCAACGATGACTCTTACGTATGCTCTGTGATCAACCTGCCATTGATTGAACAGGCCAGAAAAACTCGAATTTGCAAGAAGCTGGAAGCATGCCGGGACAAGACTGAATTCTGGATGCCCGCACTTCCGTACCGCTCGATTGATTACCTCAACTTCAAGGGCTGCGAGGAAGAAGGTCTCTACCGCGTGCCTGGTAGTGGCCGAGAGGTCAAGCACTGGCAACGACGATTCGACACAGAGCTGGACATTGACCTATTTGAGGTGCCAGACCTGTACGACATCAACACCATCGGATCTATGTTCAAAGCCTGGCTCCGTGAACTGCCCGACGAACTCTTCCCCAAGGCAACCCAAGACATGATTGCCGAGAAATGCGCGGGTGCCACGACTGCTCCACAGATGCTCAAGGACGAACTGTCCAAGCTCCCGCCGTACAACTACTACCTACTCTTCGCCATTACCTGCCATCTCAACCTTCTACACTCATACGTTGACCAAAACAAGATGGACTACCGCAATCTGTGCATCTGCTTCCAGCCCTGCATGAAGATCGATGCATTCTGTTTCCAATTCCTGGTCTGCGACTGGAAGAACTGCTGGCAGGGCTGCTGGACCGAAAAGGAATTCGTTCAGAAGGAGAAAGAGATGGATGAAGCAGAGGAGAGGGCCGCAGCAGAGAAGGAAGCCGCTAGCCACCGGAGCGAGCCTCCCCAGTCCTCATCCAGCCACGAGCGTGCTGTTTCCTCCGGCTCTAGTTCGCAAGCCGAGGAGGAGCGCCCTCGACCTGAAACATCTCGCGGTCGAAAGGCCAAACCGAAGAATATTGAGACCTCTCATACACGAAGTATTTCCCAACTCCCGGAACTTGGTCCCCCACTTTCCCCGATCAAAATCTAAACCAGGCACACCCTAGTCGAGAATCTCCTCCGACTTTTACTGAAAAAGTCCTGAACCCAAGAATGTCTGTACCGGGCTTTTGGGCTCCCGTTCATCTCCCTTACAGGGCTCTACCCTTTCGGCTGGACCGATTGGCGGCAGCCCGTGAGAGACACGAGGTACCGACAGAGATTCCTAACATCACCTTCCCCTTTGCTCTTTGATCATGTCATGAATGATTACTGAACACTCAAGCTTTCATTTTCAGTCTGCTCTCTTGCAGTAGACATTGTTCGACCCGCACCAGCCATCGTTTGGTCTCGAACCAGCATTGTCAGAGGTGCATATCCTGGCGTCCCCGGTCTCGGTTCTTTTTCCATTTCCACTTCTCTGTTGTACATGTTATTTCGCTGCGTACACTGGCTCAGGCGAAATGGTGGTTTTCATTATCTCTTGCTCGGATCCGTTCCGCTTTCTGTTCCTGTGTTCCAGCTTGTTGTGTGTGGTGTCATGCACTTTCTGTCTTCTTTCGCAGCGATTCCGTCCTCGAAATTATCTGTTACCCCCATATCTGTTAACCACGGCCAACGTTGCTTGCTGTTATCTTTATTTATCTTTTACCACTCCTGTTTCCCAGATTCCCCTCGACGGCCTCTTGCCTTATTTATTTATCTCTGTTTTATCTGTCTTCATGTCGTTTGTCTGATCTGGCACCCTCTGTTCCATGATTTCCGGCGTTTTAACGCGGTTTGTACAATAGCGACTATGGGATGGCAATTTCTTTCGGTTCAATGGAAGCCAGCTTGATTGATCGACCTCGTACCCTTTCCCACGGATACGCATAAACGGCCTGACTTGGCATACGACAGCTTATTACAGTATATCTTGTAGGTGGATATGCTAAGAAATTGACATAACAATGCTTTTGATGTATGAAGATTCGACCGTCATGATGATAGGCACAGACTCCAAGCCCCAACGCCAAAGAACAAAGAATGAAATGTACAGAAATCCTCCACTCCCTCCACTAAAGGCGTAAACCCGTTCTTATGCCCAAAGGCCCTGAAACTTAATTGCCACCCTTCTTTCCACGGCGCTCATTGTTCCGCTGCTTGCGCTCATTCCGCTTAATCTTTTGTTTACGCTCAGCACGAGACAATCCACGAATAGAGCTACCCTTGGCAGCAGCATCCTCCTCCTTCTTCCAATCTTTCTCATCAACCTCCACAAGCCACTGATCATCCTCGGCCTTGTTCTTGCCCTTATATCCCCAGCGGGGAACCCACTCGCCAGAGGCCTCGTCGTAAACGAGCTTCTTGCGGCGCTCCTTATCCGCCAGCGCGGCACCGGGCTTGTTGCTGTACTTGCCGATACCCTTCTTGCGCGCGAACAGCTCCCACTTGGTCGGGGGCTTGGGGGTCGGCAGGGGCTTATGCCGGGGAACGGCGGTGGCGGGGGCCGGCAGGTTGAGAAGGACGCCGTTTTTCGCGGAGCTGGTTATTTGGCAGGTTGTGAGGAGCTGGTTGAGGAGGCATTGTGTTCCGTCGCGGGCCGTCGCTTTCAGGTTTTCGTTGAGCTTTTTGGATGTGGTGAGCTCGAGGGGGTTGGGGTCGTTCACGAGAATGTTTCCCAGGTCGAAAGTGTAGGGAGTGGGCTTGGAGACGGTGATGGGACTGTTTTATATTGTTAGTTTTGGGATGTATTGAGCTTGATATTTGGGGGGTTTTCGTACAGCTTCTCGCTCTTGGAGGCTGCGTCAGCGGTGTTGTTGGCCATTTCAATGTCTCCCATTTTGAGAAATGGAACTAATTTGGCACAAAGAATAAATCGAGCAAGATCTTGCGGAGACGGCTGTTGACTCGGCGAGGAAAAAAAAGTTGGCTATCGCGGCACTTTTTCTGCCAGATGACTAAGTATTCTAGGATACACCGCCAACCCAATTAAGAATAAGAAATTCATCAAATTATTATGGGTGTCTTCGGGACAGACTCAGGGCTACTTTCGCCAGCCAACCCCCTCCCACCCTCAATTCCGCCCCGAATTGATTCCGCACTGGCACCTCGTGCCGGTGTTCCTGAACAATGGCTTCCGCCTGGTGCTGGAGCTGCCTCTCGAGGCTGCGCCCGACTCCGCGAGCAGTCCTCAATCCGCCGTCCGCCATTCCCCGGTTAACGAGTGCTCCCTTCCACTCGTCTGCCGTGCAATATGCTCCGCCGCTCAAGAAGAAGTCGAACAGCATGACCCAATTGAAGTACCGACAAGGCCAGACTCTGCGGAGGAAGAAGAAGAAGCACGTTGAGAAGGCGCGTCCTCCGGCTCCCGGCGAGCGCAAGGCGCTGCGGAAACGCATTGTCTTGAGTAACCCAAATGCTTTGGAGGTTGATGGTATGCAGGAACTTTCGGCTGAGACTATGATTGATGCCCGACTTCGCGGTTCCGTGCTCGGTCTGCCTGTCCCCATGCTGGACCAGTTGAGGGCTGTGCAGGCTTTCAAGCCAAAGCAGGGTTGGTCTATATTCCGTCGCCCTGGTACGATTATGCGTCGCGATACTCTTGAGATGGGTCGGGCATTCGACAAGATCACTGGTGGTGATGCTCCCGAGAAGGGCAAGGTTATCAAGAAGGTCCTTACTGGTATGAAGGGCTCTGGAAAGACTGTACACCTGCTGCAGGCTATGGCTATGGGTTTCCTGAAGAAGTGGGTTGTCATTACCATTCCCGAAGGTACGTATTTTCCATGTGTGCTTTTTGAGTGATCCTAACCCTAGACTTTGCAGCCCGCGATCTTGTCTCTGGTGACACCGCCTATGTCCCCGTCGAGGGCACCAAGCCCACCCAATACATCCAGCCCGGTGCTACGTCCGATCTCCTGAAGCGCACCGTTGAGGCCAACCGCGAAGTTCTGTCAGGCCTTAAGGTCTCTCAGAAGCACGCCGGACTCAGCGGCCTCAAGCCCACCTCGACCCTCGAAGATCTGGCCAAGCTTGGCTTCCAGGACCCTGCCGTCGCCTGGCCCGTTTTCCAGGCCCTCTGGACCGAATTGACCGCCACCGCTGCCGCCCCTGGCATGGAGAAGGACTTCCAGCCTCGTCCCCCGATGCTCGTGGCCCTCGACGGCCTGGCCCACTGGATGCAGGACAGCGCCTACCGCGACATCGACTTCAAGCTCATCCATGCCCACGATCTTGTCTTCGTGAAGCACTTCCTTTCTCTCCTGAGAGAAGGCCAGGCTTCCATGAAGAACGGTGGCATGGTCCTGTACTCTACTTCCACTTCCAACAACCCCAGTATCTATGCTCTCGAAGTTGGTCTTGACCAGCTGGCCGCCCGCCAAGCCGGTATCAGCCCTACCTCCGCCGACTACCCCTCGGCCGAGGCCTACAGCAACGCGGACCCCCGTGTTCTGGAATTTTTCAAGCCCATTGAGGGCAAGGAACCCCAGATGGAGCTGCAGACTCTGGGCGGTCTGACCCGCGAGGAGACCCGCGGTTACCTGGAGTACTTTGCCCGCAGCGGTCTGCTGCGTGAGCCCGTCAATGACCACTGGGTTGGTGAGAAATGGAGCATGTCTGGTGGTGGTATTATTGGCGAGCTGGAGAAGCTGGGTCGTCACGTTCGGAACACTGCAATTCCTACTCCCCAGACGAACTGATGGCAAATATACCCGTTCTTCCCAATCATGAGGATTCCGTGGGGACCTCGCTGTATTGTAAATGGGATGGTTGGGCTTCCTTTTTGTTTCTTTCCGTGTACTTTACAAATTCTATCTCCCTTGCGTTGTGTTTGTATGCATATAATGGATATGTTGCGAATAAACCATCATATTTCAATTTCATTTACGCAACTATTTTCGGCTCATCATGATCTCCATCAAACCTCCTCCAGACCCTTAACCTTAACAGGCCGCACCAAATCAGGATAATCAAACCTGGCCGCCGAATTCATAAATATCGAATTAGTAGGGTGAGCCTCCTTATTCTCACCACGGAACAGGAATCCCATTGGGAACCCAATATCAAACTCATAAGCACCCTCAATCTCCTCAATATCCTTCTCACTAAGCTGAATCTTCAACGCCTCAATATTCCCCAACAAATGCTCGGCCTTGCGACCTCCAACAATGGGGTATACATAAGGCGCCTTGTGCATGACGTATGCGAGCGCAATGCTCGTGATGACGGTGTTGTGCCGGGCAGCCACCTTCTCAAGCACGTTCGAGACTGCAACGTCGATGTCGCGCGGCTCGACCTGTCGACCAGGGTTTCCTGATTTCGCGAGCTCTTCGCGCTGCGCGGCGGTTCTGAAGGCGCCGCCGCCAAGAGCGGCCCAGGGCGCTAGGCCCATGCCTTCTGCGGCGCACATGGGGATAATTTCGCGCTCGAAGTCGCGGCGCGCGGCGTTCCATTGGCCTTGGTAGACGCTGAACGGGCGAAGACTGTGGTCGCGGGCGTCTTTGAGATGTTAGGGACTGGTTGTTTTGAGTGGGAAGGGTTGGTACGAACATTGGTTTGCACGACTGACGATCCAGGCGGGTGTGTCGCTGATTCCGAGGTAGATGACCTTGCCCGAGACCACGAGTTGGTTGAGGGATGTCATGACCTCCTCGATGGAGGTACTAAAATCCCACCAGTGGACGTAAAGCTGGAATGGCATTATTATTTTGACTCTATCTCGGGTATACTGCCGTGAGCGTAGACTGTTGGTCTTACCAGGTCGATATAGTCTGTTTGCAAGTTCTTCAAGCTTGCCTCAACGGAGGTCCTGAGACTCTTTGCATTGTTGCCGATGTAGTTTGCCTGGATTCCCTTCTTGGTGTATGTTCGAAAGGGCGACGTATACTTGGTCGCCAGGACGATCTCATCACGGATGCCTCGAGCTTTCATCCACTCGCCGAGCCACTGTTCGGATTCTCCGCTTTGGTAGTTATTGGCTCTGTTTGAGCAGTGTTAGCAAATGCTTTTAGTAGAGCTCGGCGATAGCTCTAGTAGGCATCGTGGGTACGTACGTGTCGATGAAGTTGCCTCCATTCTCGTAGAAGGTATCGAGGATCTTGAAGGAGGTCTCCTTGTCGCATTCACCGAGTCTTTCCTTCCTATAATCGACAAAAGTCAATCGGTATATTTGCAGTTACAGAATGCAGCGTTTGAACATACCAGCTCTCACCAAAGTTCATCGCACCCAAGCACAGCGGGCTCACCTTCACACCGGCCGATGGCGCAAGAAGACGGTAGCGGCCGAGATGAGACTTGGGGGGAGCAGCAGCAGCGAACATATTGGCGACTTTTTAGAAATTCTGCGTATCTCTCCGTTGGTGTAGAGGTCGGTGGAAGAGGATCGAGACTTGCGGTGTGGTCTGCGGGGAGGTCTTTATACGTTCGGGGCAATGATGTAGCCATGCCCGCCGATGCGACACGCAAGGGCCCAAACATACCTTAGGTCCTCAGTCATGGCTCCTGCGGCTGCCGATTGGAGATAGTCGAGTAAAGTCCAGGTAAATCCGGTCGGCAACGTTCTGTTCCACCGAGTGCGGGGTTCTGTGAATCATTGCTGACCGCCAGTGGAGGCTTGACGTCGGAGACTGCAGTTTATCTCCGGCGGGATGCTCAATCGGAGAAGCTTCGATCGCTGCTTAGAAATCTGGCGCTACCCACATAACTAAGCTTACTTCCTGCAGGGTGTTTATTCTCTCCGATCTACTACTGGGAATATGCAATCGAACCAGGGTCAAGTGTGCGATCATGGATGAAAATCAAAACTCGAAGTAGGATTCAAAAACAGCAATAATAGAAAGCTGACAAACAATCTTGAAATAGTCGAACACCAAAACAACACGGCGAACGCCCCGGTTACTCACTGGCAGGTTCGTACTCTGCCGACTCGGGGACTTGCGGGTTCCCCCCAGAGGGTCTTGTCCTTTGGCCTGTGTCTGTGCATGTTGCTGCGCTGCCATCTGCTTCGCTGCCGCGAACGCCTTCAATTGATTTGCATGAGCAAGCGTCCCGACATCTTGGGCTGCCTCTCTCCATTCTTTTTCAATTCTAGCCTTGTCTTTCATGTACGGTCTCACTTCAGGTCGCCGATCGAGCCCGTCCACATAAATGGGCTCGGCCATTGTCTGTGTAGTGATTTCCTCACCAATTTCTCTCGCAATCCGGGGAACTTTGTATGTCCGAATTTTCATATTGTTAATCTTTTGTTTTTCTTTAATTCTTTCCCTCGCTGCTTCTCGTTCGGCTTTCAGCAACTCTCGTTCTCTTTTGAGCCAGGTCGCGTTATCTTCTGCGGCTTTTTGTCTGGTACGAGGGATGTAGTTGTTTCTCCGAACGGCCCTGTGATGTTCGTCCATACTCACAAAAACATGGGCGCTTCCAGCTTTCCTGCGCTTGTACTGATCATCCATTTCCTCGTCGTGAGCCAACAGGCGGGTGATGACGTGTCGCCCGTCAACAACAGTGACTTTTTCGGTGTATGTCTTTTCATTCTCGTGCTCATCAACGTACGTCACTCTCCGTGGTGGATCGTCATCGCCTGTTGAGTCGTCGTCAACGTCGCTGTCGTCGCCTATGTCGGACGCCTTTCTCTTCGCTCGGAGTACCAGGGTTTTTGTTTCTTTTGGTTGCCCTGCTGGAGCGGCAGCATGTTCGATGTGTTGGACATGCCCACTGCTCGTGGCTGGGGCGGGTTCGAACTGCTGACTGTCCCCTTGGCCAGATGATTGTCCTTGTCCTTGAGTACCCTGAATATCTTCCTTGTCTTTCTTCTTGTCTTTCTCGGTATCCTTGCCGTCCTCGTCGGATGATGGCTCCTCATCTGACCTTTCAGGCGGGTTGTCATGTTTGCTGTGACCGCATTGACAATTTGACCCAAACAGTCGCTCAGCGTCCTTCGCTTCGAGTGGGTCATGTTGATATCGAATTTTGATCTCCTCTCCCGCTTGAATGTCTTTCGTGGCCCATACAAGGACCCGATTAGGGATTCCTTCATCGTAGCCCCAATCTGCATTGTTCTTCGTGTCGCAGGCATGGTTGAAAAGGCTGAGCCCTGGAAAAAGATACAGGTCTTCGAATGCGGGATCCAGCATCCTAAAACTCTGGTTCTTGTTGAGCCTCTTTTCCTGTTCTCTGGGGGTTGGCATGCGTTTCGACTCGTCCCAGGTGGTTATGATATCATGGTCATCACGGCGTCTTAGATCCCAAGGGACGGCGTTAGCAAGTAGTTTGCGCAGGACGATCTGTAGAGTCCAAGTGTCGAAGGAAAGATCGCGAAAGATGTTCACGCCCATGTATTTGAGGATGTCGAACGGAACGATAATATTGGCCGCCATTGTAAATGGGAACCAACTGTCGCGCCACGTCATGCTGTTACCATCCAGAATAAGAAGTTCGCTGATTTGATGCGGTGAGAGATCTGTTTCTTCGACAAGCCGGCGCTTGAGTGTGATTTCAATGACGCTCCTCATAAGCAGGCTGAGGTATGTGCCGTGGACTTCATTGCTGTGGGAGAAATACTGTTTGTCACCCCACCACCAAGTTTCAAGACGCATGCAGTTATGCAGCCAGTACCAACTTCTGCCACAGGTATCGAAGTGATATAGCTTGGATGCAATCTCCTGGCAACACGGATTGTGCCTGTCCGAAGGACAGAAGTGCAACCCCATTGGACCGCCATACCTATTCAAGTTGTATAAGTGGCAAGCGCATTCAACTGGCACATTCCGAGCATCTGATATATCGCTCCACGTGATGATTGACGTCCTGTTTTCCGTAGGATCCGTCACTATATGACAGTTCTCACATCGAGGCATCATATCATCTTCTTGGTCCTTATCCAATCGCATTGGTGCCAGATGGCTGCGGATTACTGGTTCTTCGAAATGAATCAGCTCTCCTTTCTTGATGGTTCTCTTCGCAATCACGCCGATTCCATGCGTCTCTGGTGTAAATCCCGCCTGGCATACATCAGACGGCACCGTAAGTCCTTCCCCTTTGTGCTGAAAGACCTCCTCGCTGAGCAGTTGCAGGAACTTTTGTCGATCGGGGTAAAGATCCACAGCATCACCCTCCTCATAGGGGTACTTCTCCTGTGCCGAGATGGCGCCTGCGTGTTTCTCTTGCCAGAAAACACCGTGTTGCTTCTTCTTCTTCCTCCATGCCTTCCGGGCCTTTCTCGAGGTCTCCTTTCGAACATCAGCAAAGAAGATGTCAATGTGTCGGCGTTCAAATCGGGTGCTCAGTTGTCGATGATAGGACTCATAGTCGTCCCAGCAATTCATTGCCATCAGACTGAGACAAATGATATTGAGCAAGCAGAACTGCATCAGTGAGATAAATCCGTTAATGCCCTGGTGCTGTCTCATGCGCATAACTTGCTCTCTCCAATGGTTATTGTCGTCTTTGGGGTCTGCCAGGACGTGTTTCTCGAGGGAACCCCAGATCATAGAATAGAGCCCATCCACCTCTCTGCGGTCCTCCATCTGTTCGACAGTGTTGCAGAGGATCTGTGCTTTATAGGCATCGCCAATCGCCAGGTCGAAGTAGCCTTGTTGATAATGACAGTAGGCACGACTAACCCAGTATGTTGGGTTGTACGGACTCAGATGAATCGCAAAGGTATACATATCGAGGACGGTCATGTCCGACTTTTCCGCCGGCTGCAGGAGATATCTCTTGTCGCTTTCAATATTCCCATTCAGCAAGTTCCCTCCTGTGGGCATAACACCACAGTGTTCGTTGAGTTCGTCCATGATTAGTTCTTCTCGCAGTTGATAGAGGGTAGTTCCCGCTCCTGGAAGCTGTCTCTCGGCGATCTCTGCTCGGATTGCTTCCTCGCTCCATTTGGTAATTCCCCGGAGAGGGCTGTCCTCTATAATGTCCTCGTACACGGCTTGAACCATACTCTCGGTGTCGAATTTTTGAGTGAGCCCTTGCCCCTCGAAATCCACCTTCGCATTTTTGTATGCGACTGGGAGGTCCCCAAAGCAAAGCAAATGCTCGTAGACGTTGCGTGCCGGCTCCTCTGCGTTTGCATTGGGACTGCCGCGGTTGCCGCTGCGTCTCCACGCCGTCTCGAGGAGGTCGTCCGCTTTCTTCCATACATCGTATGCCAGCTTCGCATCTATATCGGACAAAGAACGGCCCAGGTCCATCTCTGCTCTCCCTTCGACAGTCGCGCGTGGGGGCCACTCGGGCGCGCTGACATGAGTAAAGGGAGCAGTGTTTGTAAAGTCTTCCCATTTTCCCGGTCGCGACGTATATCCCCAGTCCTTCCAAAATCGTCTCTGATATGTTTCATACTTTGCTCCCGGTGGCCCAACTCTCTGTGCCTCGGTTCGATATGCTCCCTGCCGGTATGGCTCCTGCTTCATCTCCGAACTGGACTCCATTGTGTCGAGTGCGATAAAAAGTACTCAGGTGGGTTGGAGATTATTATTTCGCACCGTGGTGGACCAGAGTGGACATTGAAAAAAATAGTTTGATATAGGATAGAACGATCACTTCGAAACTCGAGGGGGGAGAAAAAAGAGAGGGCAGTATAAAACTCGAGCAGACGGCCTTGGAATGGCATTTCAAAGAGATCAAGTGGAACAAAGGAAAGGACGCCCACTCCTTCCCACTTCCACCATAGCTGTTCTTTCACCACTTCTCAAAAAACCATGTGAACCCATTCGACATTCCCTTTTTCTCCTTTCTCTCGAAAGAGAAAAACTTGACGAGACCTGGGCGCGGGCAAAGTTACATCCTACTCGAGAACGAGCTAGTATTGTTTCACCACACGCTGTGATCTATTTCTAAATCGAGCTATACTTCCACCATCTGCCATTGCACTGTGCGCCGAACGCAGGGTGGGGTGATCCGCGACACTAAAACATGACAGTCAGTAGCACAATTACCGAAATGACGAAGAATCAGCTCGTCTGCTCGCAGTGGAGTTACTGCATTTCGGCCGAACGTGGGGCCCAAGCCTCGATAGTTCGGCCCTAGTAGAGTTGCGGGTGCGACATGCCTTGGCTCTCCTTTTCGCCCGTAGCTTCCTCCCTCTTTGATATATGCCCACCTACAAGAGTCTCCCCGGCACCCTGCTTCGCTTACGGCGATGATCGAATATGTACGGTCATTCCCAGCCTGAGCCTCAGCCGGAATGGCGACTACCCCCGCGCCCGGGGAGACGGGCTGAATCGCCGCTGCCTCCGCCGCCGCCGCCGCCGCCGCCGCGTCCACCGACGACGACTGCTGTCTACAGTCCGGCCACGTATGGGCCGATATCGAACTCGCCAGTGAACCCAAGTGTGTCGCCAGTGCCGACTGCTGTGCCAGGGACCGACCCAAGGACGTGGGGAGTGCGGTACAACCAACAACCGGTTCACCCAATCCATGCCCCGCCTGCGCTACCGGTGAGTTACGAGTTTCCTGCGAGGGCGAGAACAACGACTGACATGTTCTTTGTCTGATAGCCTCGACCATCGAGTACCAATGAGCAGCCGTATGCGTATACCTATGCCCAGCAAACAGCACCACCACCGCCCGCGCCGGCACCCGCGCCGGCACCAGTACTTGCACCAGCTATCAACACGGCTGTCACGCCTCCACACCCGTCACATGGCTATGAATCCTTCGCAGACGTTCAGCTCCCATCAGCAACTAGCACCATCCCACCGCCATATTCGCCGTCTCATCAGAAACCCGCAACGGAAGCTGTGCCGCCCCCGCCCCCAAAAGTCCCCCAAGGACATCAATATGCGCCGGCCGAGCTAAATCATCCGCCCGAACGGCCCCCATTACTCGCGCAAGGTGTGGGGCCTGCAGCGACCCAGGGCTCGTACAGTTTTCGGCCCCCTGCCTTGAGTACAGCGGAGACAAGTGCTTCGGCTTTGGGGCCAGGAACGCCTTCGGATTGGGAGCATCTCGGCCCTACGCCCGGAGATTTCGACGATTCGCCCTGGTTTCCGCCAAGACAGTCCGAGCCAATCCCTCAGGAGACGATACAAACTCCCCCGGGATATTCGTCGGGGATTCCAAGCCCTGGAATAACCAGTCATGCTACTGGCCCTTTGCATCGTGTAGAAACGAATTATCAGTGTCACCACCAGGCCAACCCAAGTGCTCTGTCTCAACCCGGCCATGGTCGCCGGAATGGTTCGTTATCACCGATTAGTCCCATGACCGCACAGGGTGCGCAGAGTCCTCCGCCGCCGGCGCGAATAGATAGTGTCAGCTCTGGTCACTCTATGAGAAGCCATGCTGAAAGCATCGACAATGTGATTGATGCGTGGGTGCGGCCGTTGGCACCTACTTCCAAGTCAGGACCACCGGAGAATGCCGATACAGCGGATCGTTCAGACTACGCGCCGCTTCTTCAAAGCAATGTCACCACTCCTGTCGAAGCCCCGCGTCCTCTACAGAGTATCCCGACCCAAGCCTCACGTCAAGAGACAAGCCCAAGTGCGGCGACCCCCACAGAATCGCAAGGAAGGTCCCCAGCAGCAAGGAGCGCAGATCCCTACGAGGATCTCGATCCGTGGTTCAAATCGTCTCTGACACGCTACGTTGCTATGCTGCGTAAAGAGGCGGTCGCGGACTCGGACGAAGAGCGTTACAAGATATTTACTGCTTTCATGAGCAAAGAGACGAAACTGCGCGAGATTCTGTACAATATTGAGCCTGTGTCTCAGCCCTCCCCGCCAGCTCCCAAAATTTCAGAGCCGACGCAGCAAGTCTCGCCAAGTTCGGAGGAGAAGCGCAAACCAGTCTACGAGTCGGGACTCATCCCGGTGGAAACAGAAGAAATTATGACTCCCAATACGCCCACTGCGACGACGGAAGATGGTAACGATACCGATGATGTGGGTAGCGAGTACAGCGCGGGAGGACGGCCCATCCTAGCCAAAAGAGCACGTCGAGGCTCGCACTGGATGCCGAAACTGTCGAGTCTTCCTTCGGAGGGAAATACTACAGGACAACCCTTGGAAGAAAATGCGCAGAGGCAGACCCTGGAACCCCTAACGATCAATCCTCCCCGCCCGATCTATACTCCCTTTCAATATACCGAGGGTCCCCAGCGCGGCTCTGACAAGCTCTCCTTCGACCGTCCCGCCTATCAGGCTTATTCCGATCTGCGAGCGTCTGCAGTGAATGGACGACTCATGTCGAATGCTCCGCAGCCCCACAGCAGATCGCGGTCCGGGACGCTGAGCACTGCCCCGGCGCAGAATGAGCACGACGAGACCTTCCTCGGAATTATCCGTCATCGAAGCACCGCCTACTTGGAAACATCTCATCGGGGCTCTATGCCATCTTCGCTTTTACCAGAAGCCCTTCGCAAGGGCCAAGGAAAATTGAATGGTCCGGTCGAGGAGCTTCGTGCCATGGTCTGGACGCCATTGGACAAGCAGACTGAAAGCTCATGGCATATCACTATTCGCGAGGACCTTGCTAAGCTTCCCGACGATTTCTCGTACATCCAAAGCACCATTGACGGGTGGGAAAACACGGCCAAGGTCCGGAGACAGGATCTCGACCGGGAGCGCTCAGTTCGTCAGGAGGAATCCGAGGCGCAGATCGACAATCTCTTCAATGAAAAGGAGATTGGATATGCGGATATCAATACCCTGGAAGAAGACTTCCGACAGACTGAGGCTCGCGTTCAACTGGACGAGGAACGGCAAGAAGTCGAAGACTTCATTTCGAAGGTCTTTAACCCTCTCGACGAGCGGTTGAAGGAGGAGATCTCTGCATTGCGCAAGTCTTACGACTCCGCCCTGAACCAACTCGACCGGGATCAAAAGGGCAAGAACTCACCAGTCGAGAAATGTAGCCCCTCCGTGACCATGAAAATGGTCAATGAGATCCACAGCAAACTCGAACTGCGCTTCCAAAAACGGCTGGAGATCGCGTTGGACTGTGAGCGTCGCCGTAAGAAGGCAGAACGCCGACCACTAGTCTTCATGGGCGACATGGCCAGTCTCCGCAAGCTAGACGGCGACTTCGACCGCATGGAAAAGCGAAACATCCTCGAAGCAGCCAAAGACCGCGATGACCGGGCAAACCGCCTCATGGACTCGTTCGACGACGCCATCTTACACGGCCTAGGTATGAACCAGAGTCTCCTCGACGAGCTCGCCACCAAAGCAGCGCGGCTAGACCCCACGACCCTCCGCGCCTCCGGCCTACCGGATTCTGAAGTCGAACAGATCCTCAAGTCCGCCGCGACCTTCGCCGCGTCGCTGCGCGCCGATTCCGAGGCCATCCTGCATTGCTCTGGGGTTGCCGACATGGCGCTCAACGATGCCGACTACAACGTCTCCGTCGCCGAAGCGCGCTATGCCAATTCGGAACCGGAGATCTTTGCCCGGCTGGAGGATGAGAAGAAGAAGGAAGATGCAATTCTTGAGACGGATTTGAACTCCAAGTTGCAGAGTATCAATAAGTCGCCGGGCGAGATTGAGATGACGATTCAGCGTCTTCTGCGAGATTTGGCTAGTACACCTGATGTTGCGACTCTTCCGGCATCGCAGGATATTGATGACGAGCCTCCGCTGGCAATCAACAAACCTGCTGATGTGCCGTCACCGCTGGAGCTGCGCCCTGCCACGGTTGCGCCTACGCCTGCTCCTGCTTCTGCTCCTGTTCCCAGTTCGACCCCGGTCTCGATGGCTCAAACAGAACACGAGCAAAGAATGCGCAAGGCGCTGGAAGATGCCAAGAAGCGCAATGCAGCTCGCAACTAGTGATTCTTTGTGTTTTTTTTTTCTTCTTTCCCTCTCGACCATCGGCCATTCCGGGTTGGGGTTCTTTCTTGTTTCAATTTTCTTTAACTCTTGGGGCATCTTGCTTTCTTTGATTATCAATTTGTCCGGGCGAACCCCCATGACGCGACGAATTTCTTTGTGTCCAATATCCCTTGACCGTCGATCGCTCGGCCGAATTTCGGGGTTTCATGTTTCTGGATTCTTTCTTGTTTATACCGATACCCACTCGTTGCACTCATTCTACAATACCTTTGTACTTAACCAACCCAGCACTAGGCCATGTCATAATTCCAGCAATATTACATCTCGCCCATAGCAATCCTGCTTTGAGCAAAAACCAACTCGCCCTTTTTAGATCCACCCTGCAGCGCAGGACTGTGGAGAAGTACTTTGTACGGGGTTGGTCGGAGGCCTTTTCCCTAGGTAACACAAACATTCAGCAGAATGCAGCAGAATGCAGCAGAATGAATCCCAGCCCTCAGCGAATCCTTAGCCGCCCGACGCCCTTTCTTCACCATCTTCTTCTCTGCTCTTTCTTTTAACTTTTTTGATCCTGGATCGCTGCGCTGCTTTGTTTTCATCCTGGCGCCACCGTGGCTGCGGCCACAGCAGGGGCACGCCTCGTTTCAGCAGGCACAGTAAGAAACACACTGACTCGTCTCATCATGTGTTGTTGACTCAGTGTGCACTGCTGTACTAGGTAAGTACCTTGGTAAGGCGATCCGATATATTGACCCGATGCAAGCCAGACACACTTAGGCGCCGGTCTACAGTGATTGGCGGCGAGTTGGTGTGGATTAGACGCCAAATGCTGTCGATCCCAATGTGAACTTCGCTTCTTGGCCTCAACGGCGACGCCCTGCCGGAGTCTCCTGGTTACTGACTCCACTAGGGTATACTATACCTGGCAGGGTAGACAAGGAAACTCGAGTCGGATATTGTGTCAACTCGAAAAAGAAGAGAAGACAAAAAAAAAAAAAAGCCAAGATCGACTACGCCTCGATGCAGTCTCGACCCAACACCCAGACTAGCGGGTCCAGCAGTGCACAGCACGGCGATTTCGATTCGCCCAGTCCTCGATCAGAGATCATCTTCGCAAGGCGACGCCTGCTCAACCTTGAGGAGTGCACAGTTCGCGGGCGCAGCACCCCACGCCCTGCCCCTCCCGGGTTGACTGTGCCCCTGTCCGGTGGATGCGTTCATGTGCCCATTGAGCTCGATATGCACGGTGGCTCATTCAATCACCAACTCAGCAGAGGCGTCTGCACTGGTAGCTCTGCGTCGTGCTGTGGGATCCTCGGCTCGCTCCACCCGGTGATTGAGATCGAGACTGCTTACCCTCCCGGTCCATTGATGCAGACGAGCGAAAGTTTATGAGGATGAGGAAAGGCTTCGATTATCTAACAAACACGAGTTCAAAGCAAATTGCAAAGGGGGGCTCAGCCGGTGTGATGCCTCACACTAACGGAGGAAAATCGAGAATTCTCCCCGCCAGACCCGACGATCGCAGCCTGTGCCCCAAGCAGATCAGCCAAGACACGGCCGTGCTGTTTTTTGCAGTGCACAGGAGGTCTAGCAGGTATCGAGTCATCATGATACAGAACCACAGTCCAAAGATGGTGGCTCTCCAGGATCTCCGCCTCGACAGCATATAATTCCCTTCCACTGATTCGGTTTCGGTTCCCTTAGGAACGGAGAAGGGAACCCCGGCAAAAGAGACTTGGTCTACTACGCCATTCGGTATGCAAGTCCTGCGCAGGTCAACAGTAGAGCGAGTCACTCCGGTCTGGGAAGAGTCATGCTGCCAGTCAGTGGCCAGCAAGATATCGGAGCACTATGATAGCACAGCCTGTGGGCACACTCGAGGGAAAGCGTGCCCTCTTTCTTCTCACGCCAATGCTTGCACCCGCCGCTAGAGAACGCGGTTCGAGACAGGCTAGCCCTCAGGCATCGCGACGACCCCAGATTGTGCATTCCACACGTCTGTGCGTGCTGATCATATTGAACGAGGGCCGAATGAAACGGTCCGGCCTTGTTGAGACCTCATCCCTTCGACTGCGCAGTCCTTCTTCCCCGGCAAAATCCCCCTCGGTCGTCCCCTTGCCACCCCTCGACCCGTTCCTAAGCGCTGTTGGATCTGGCCTGCGGAACTAGACGTGAAGTTGGCTCTCGACGATTACTCCTAGTAGTATTTTGCAAATTTTGGCAGACTTTCATTCGTTTGTGATAGGTTTTTTTTTTTTTCTCCCCATTTTCTTAGCTCGGCAACCCCGTTTCTTTCACTTGCTCCTCAATCCAACGGCCCTGGTCTGACCTGGCCCTGCCGGGTATTGCACAGGCAATCGGCACAGGCGCACAGCTCTCAGCCAGCTCAAGATTGTCAAGCTATGACGAAGACCAGAATGGGGGACCGAATTATTTAAAGCGGGCGCCAGTGAAGGGCGTTCCATGGTTCACGGTACCCGCTCCCGTCCATGGGTCGGAAGAACTCTCCCTTTGCTTCTCTGCCTCGACTTTGCGGCAATAGCTTATTTCGCCCCTTCTTCCTTCTGACCCTCGAGCATGCCCCCGCCGACACGGCAATTCCACCGGCTCTCTATCGGCCAAAATATGCCTGCGCGGGATCCCAGGGCCGCCCGCGCGGGGCAGGACCCTTCCGACGAGAGGGAGGAGTCCGAGTCCGAGTTCAGTGAGGAAGAGAGCAGTGAGGAGGAAGAAGAAGAGGAGGAGGAGGCGGGTGTGTCGACGATCCTGGCTCGCTCCGGCATCACCTATGACCTCAGCAAGCTAGATACCGAGTCCGAGGCCCAGGCGTTGGTCGGCTTGGATGAGCAGTTGGACGTCGTTAACTGTCGGGCTGCGTCTGGGGGATACGATTTCCAGTTGATGGACCGGCCGCGGGTTCACATTGGCAAGGATGCAAGCAGCTGTACCTGCTCGACTTTTAAGGAACGTCCTGATGCGGCGTGTCACCACATCTTTGTAAGTTCTCGTCAACCAACAAGCAAGCGTCGAAGCACGAGCACCGTGCTAATCACCGTGAGCAGTGGATTCTCGACCAGCTACATGGCTGCTTCCTCACCAAACCACCAACCGGCGAAGTGGCCCTCTCCCACGACGGTCGACCGCGTAGCGGAACGCCAATCGAGGACCTACTAGAAGGCCAACTAGAAGCCGTCACCGGCCGACTGAACTGGCAGTACCTGCGCGAAGAAGGCGACGGCCGACGCACCGGCATGACGCGAGCAGAGAAAGTGCGAGACGTGATGTCCGCATTCAAACCCAACGTCCTGCCAGAGGGATTCCGGCAAGACCTCGTCAACGAGCGGACGACGCAGTCACGAACACCAGAGCAGTGCGTGGTACAGGGCGATCTGGAAGCGACATTATTCCGACTAGCCGTGCACGACGACAGCGTCTTCAATAATCTCTGCAAGGCGATGCCGGCAGGCGCATGTGCAGCGATCTACTTCGACAAAATCCAGGACCAGTGCCGCCGGCTCCTCCGCGATTTCGACCGGTACTGCATGACGGGGGAGCGGCCTGGGAGTTCGGGGATTGTGGAGGTGGATGAGGTTGCGGCGCAGCTACGTCGGCTGGTGCAGCATATTCGAATGAATATTGCGTTGCGCACGCCGCATGGTGCGGAAGGCGCGGCCAAGGCGCTCGTTTCGGTTCTTGAGGCTGTGACGGCTCGTAATAAGGATCCGTTGGAGGGAAATCAATGGGGAAAGACATCTTTCCATGGCGAGGATGAGGATCAGCGGAATCTTTACCATCTGCTAATCGGGTCAGAGGATATGAATCTCGGTCCTGAGGCGGAACTATTCGTCATCGATGCCCTGGCTTCTCTTGCTCCGTCCGACCTGCACCAGTTCATTAACCAGCTACAAGCGATTCGGCATCGGATTGAGGTGAATCGTGCGCCGAGGGCGTACCTGCTGAGACTGGATGCACTGGTTCGAACGGCAGAGTCAGCGAGTGCTGAGCTTCATGGACCGATGGCTTTGTTTGGACAGAAGCGACCGGCTACAGGGGGTTCTGGTGGCTATTCGAAGCGTCGGTAATTATTTTGACCGTGGTTTCCGTTGCATTTGTGTGTTGTGGTTTTCTTTCTCGTTTGGGCGGCCCTTTCAAATACCCTTGCACTTTGCATTACAGCGAGAACCCAAACAGCGCCAATTTTGTCATCTAGTGTGCGGCATTTTACCTACAAGGCTACATTAGCTTATGAAGACAGTTTACCCCGGTCTCAGCCATCTAATCTGATCAATCTATATCATCTTAGTCTAGACTAAAATCTAATTCTAGAGTAAATCAAGGTCACACAAGCCCAATAGTAATTATCACAGCAGCAGAAGCGCAACGCCACCTCTGACCTCACCTTGTACTCACTCCAAAACCCAGCGATCCTCATCCACAAAAACCACCAGCGTGGCGGAATCCCGTACCCCAGAAAAACTCCCCTGGAACGGCCTTCATGATGACCTATATTCACGAGGCAGGCCAAGGTCAGGCGCAACACGGCGTCATACCAGGTTTTAAACCCAGGACAGCGGACTTGGGAGCCCGCGACCATGGATGGTGACACGCTCGAGTCTTGTCAGTTTCGCGGCGGTAGCCCGATTGAGCACGCGAACCATGGATGGCGAGCACGAGGTACACCGCGTTTTTGGGGGACCCACTCTGTCTGAAGATTTGGACCAAGCACGTTATGCTACAATATTTTTTGTCAGGAAAACAGCCCCCTACAGTACACTTGAAAGTTGTGTCTATATTTGACGTTTTCGGAAATTCAGGAATTGTTGTTTGTCGAGTATCCGTGTGTCATGCTGGGCGCTTTTGTGGGGTCGGCGGAGAAGTTTCACTCGGCAATTGCGCGGACTGCGACTAAGGATGATCTTGATCTTGTCTTGGTGGACAATGCTTCAGGGAGGGTCCACGCTGAGCCAATTTTCACGGCCCTGTGATTTATTTATTTATTTATGGGCAGAATAGAACCCTATCGTCTGTGTGGCTACTTATTGATCACAGCAGACTATCTACAGAGCACTCTAACGGGGAGCTACTTGATATTGCTCGCATATTACAGCATCGTTTTCTCCCGCTTTCCAACACAATGCCATGGCACGAATATCAAACGGGCCCGATTCGAGCTCGTGGAAGCTAATTTGTGCTTTTGCCCACTGGTGAACCGTGCTGGGGCTAGTTGGGTGGATATCGTCTGTTTTGGTAAGGCTTTGCAGGCGTGGCTTGGGGTGGGGATTGTCACTGAGGCTTTTGTTTTCCTTTTCTCGTTGGGTGGAGTGGGTTTGCTAGTTTGTGTTGGACTTATTTCAAATAATTTTGAGTTTTGCTGGGGTCTTGTATTTTTATTTGTCGCGTGTTTTTTCCGCGTATTGTGGGTGGGTTGCTGGTCTTATAGTACCCTAATAAGTGAGGATTCGGTGGTTTGTTTAAGCAATTTCATGGTGAGGCTATTCTGTGTCTTTTTATTTGTTTGTAGCAAATACATCCCAGGACTGGTCTGCTTTGTTTTAACGGATAATCCCCAGGTCTTGTCGTCCGTGAGAGGGTCTTCCTCCTGGGGGATGGATGTCCTCTTCTCCCTAGGGAATATCATCTTCTCCCCGGTGTCATGATAGTCTCGACCTCATCAGAAAGTTCCTCTGGTATTTTCTCCCAAGATCCCCCTGTGCCCGTACTCTCACTTTCCTCTGCGCCCGAGCTCGACTTTCCCGAATGACCATTTCCATCGCCCTCCTCTCCCTCATCATCCTCTGTATCACAGCCTTCAGTGCTCCCCTCCGAGTCAATCTCCACATTCGAATTCATCTCAGTGCTTCTTCGTCCACTCTACCTCTTGTTTGAACCAAGATTGAGTCGTGAGAGATTTGGGTGTATTTCCATCCTTTTCAACCCATTTCCGCTCTTGCGTGGAGGCCGACTGATAGTGAAAGGGCTGCATGAGACCCAGTCTTTCCGCCTCCTTGAAAAAATTATCCCGCTCAGACAGGTACCGACGCACCTCCGGCACTTCGGCTACCTTCTGCAACTCTGCCCACCTACAACTCAGTACAGCAATACCCTCTTTCCACCCCTTGTTGTAGAGTTTGCATAGGTGACGGAGCCGTCGCATCGCTTCTGTAGTCCTAGTATACTTATCGCAGGGGATCTCGAACGGGACGGCCTTTTCGATGGCATCTGCCAATGTTTCACGGCCTTTTTGCGCACTTCGTATTTGATTTTAGGTAATGTTTGATTTCTTGCTTCAGTTTTTGCGGAGCCATGGGGTCCATAATGTAGTTTCTTGGGGCATCTCTCCATACTTCTTCGCTGCAATCTGGTGTCCAGCCTGGCTCACGGAGTGTGTCTTTAAAGGTTTCTTTGCTTATTCTGAGATTGCAGTAATCCCAGATGCCGCAGATTTTGAAAGGGTCATTGACCTGCTGATACCATGTCCGCGGGCCATTTTGTTCCGCGGAGTTGTGGGATGACTTTTCTGCGATCTCCATCGTTTGGGTTCGGGCTGATTCGTAGCTAGTTGTTCCTGGCTCTCGATTTGTAGTTCTGCGTTGAATCTAAAGTTGAATGAAAGAAACAAGACTGGGCTGTTCTCATTTCATCCTTATGACAGGGCTCTCTGTCGCGGTGTAATCATGAGGTTATGGCTGCTGGCGGTTGTCCTGATTAGGGTTGGTACTGTCAAACTTGAACCTAATAACCGTTTTCAATTTTCAGAGGCTCTGTTGATCCTGTTGGGGTTTATCGGGTATTCCTTGGGTAATTTGTGATTATTCATGATCTTTTTGCCAGGTTTGCAACTTTGGATTTTTAGTATATCTGAAATGACTGCGGTAACTCCCATGGCATACCACCTCCATCATTAGACCCAAAATATATATCCACGAACGAGGTGTCCTGTATACATTACTGGCAGCCTTCCGCTTGAAATTATACATCAAAATGAAAGCGACCGAATAGAGTAATCTGTTTTATTCCAGAAAACCTCCAAATTACTCGTTATATGTGGCTAAATCGATGTTACAATTTTCGAGCATCCGTAAATCCGCCGAGTCTGATGAGGGAATTTGCCTGTTTTAAGTTCAGGCTAATGTAACGGTTTACCGCATGTTACTCCAACAATCGGCCGGCTGGCCCAATGGCAAGGCGCTTGACTACGAATCAAGAGATTGCAGGTTCGACCCCTGCGTCGGTCAATTTTTCTTCTTTTCTTCTTTTTTTTTTTTTGCTCATTAATGCTTTTTCTCATCCCCCGTGGATCGAAGAATTGGTCACTTCAAACCTAGAGAAAGAAAAAAAAGAAAGTTACTGGTTCATTCTGGCTGTCATTCCGTCTTAAAAATATTCATCAATAGATACTGACAATAGTACGAAACAGCAATTAAACACGCTACCTAACCAGACAAATCCAGCACAACACGGCCCTGCAACTTCCCCTCAGCCATCTGCTGGAAAACCTCAGTAAGCGCATCCATTTTCTCAATGCGATAATGAGCCTTAATAATCCCCCTAGCCGCAAACTTCAACGTCTCAACCGCCTCCGTTCGATTACCGACCGCAGACCCGGTAATGGTGTAATGCTTATTGATAAACGAAGAAGGGAACGCCGTCGCAATGGCCTTGGGCTCATTCTCCGGAATCCCAACACAAACCAGCGTCCCAGCAAACCTCAGCAAAGGCAGAGCCTGCGCATACGCGGCATTCGCAGCTGTGCAGACGACAGCCGCATGTGCGCCTAGTCCATCAGTCAACGACTGCACATGTTTCTGCAACGCGGCGCCATTGTCGTCAGAGGGGAACTGGGTGATGTCGATGAAGTGCTCGGCGCCCGAGGCTTTGACGAGCTCGGCCTTGCTGCCGTGGTCGATACCGATGACGCGCAGCCCCATGCCCTTACTCGCGAGTTGCACGGCGATGTGGCCCAGCCCGCCACCTGCGCCGGAGATAATGACGAATTGGCCTGGTCGGGCGTTGCTGCGTTTTAGGGCGGCGTAGACGGTGACACCTGCGCAGAGCATGGGGGCTGCCTGGGCGGAGTCGAGGTCGTCTGGGATCGGGGTTACGTAGTTTGCTGGGCCCACGGCGTATTGTTGGAATGTGCCTGGGGTATAGTAGCCGGAGACTTTTTGGTTGAAGCACAGTCCGTCGAATCCGACTTGGCAGGGTTCTGGATGGAGTTAGAGAAGGACTCAGAGTGGTTGTAGGGGATACGTACGGCAGTTGCCACAGGCGCTAGAGACCCATTTGATACCGACGCGATCGCCGATTTTGAGGCCGGAACCCTCGGTGCCGGCACCGAGCTTGACGATCTTGCCTACGCCTTCGTGGCCTCCGACTTGGCCAGGCTGAGTTGGGGCTGGGAGCATGTCCCACTGCGAGAGTCAGCATTGTAGTAGAAGGACAAGCAGGAGGGTTGTCGTACAGTGTTGGTCATGATGCCATAGTCAGAATGACAGACGCCAGAGTGTGTCCTGTAGCACGTTAGTTCCACTTGACTCTGAGAGGCGGGGTTTATATACTCACAGGTTAATTAGAACTTCCCCAGCACCAGGCTCAGGGACGTCAATCTCCACGACTTTGGTCGAGACGGTTCCGGGCTGGTCAAAGACGACAGCCTTTTGCTTCGCGGGGATCTCAGGAGCGGCCATGGTGACAGCAATGGATACGTTCAAAGAGGCAGGTTTTCAAACGGGAAATTCCCACCAAAGTCAGGAGGAAGAAGATCAGAATTCCCCGGGGTAAGCGGAGCGTTATTTGAAGCCCCGCCAAGTCCAAGCAGAAGCAGGTCCCGGTGGAGCGGCTGCGGGGTGCGGATGATAGGCGTATGCAAATGCATTTGCACAGTATGGGCCTCGGAATTTCGGATCTAGACTGAGACGGGCGATCGTTCCGTCCGCGTTATTCGTCCCCCTACCCGAATCCAGAGTGATGCTGATGAGGGGTGCTGGTGGAGCCCTCGTGGAGCCTCGGTTGCCCCGATGTGACTGTCCAGACATGGTATTGAGGGAGGACAATGTTGCTGCTGGTAATTGTAAGACTGCAGAAGGAGGGAGAGGTAACTTGAGCTGGAATAGCCGTCCTTATATAGATTGTGGCCTCAAGGTCCTCATGGTGGTGGTGGTTGCGGTGGTGAGGAATGAGCTCGGCTGACCCCGCATCTCCGCAATTTCTAGGGTTGGCCGCGACCATCACCGGCGTCTCACTGCCAGCAGAGCAATCCCATGAATTATCAAGATTTATGCAGTGGAGTGGACAGAGTAAATTGCTATCTCGTATCGTGGCGTTGGATCATTAATTTTAGCAACTGTCGACTTCCAGTGGCTTGGACGAATGCTGACAACATATGAAGACAGACAAGCGTCAAGCTAAAAGGGGAATGCATAAAACAGTAACAAAAGTCAAGCAGTACACTAATACCTTGAAGTTTTTGCGTACAGACTTCCTACCGGTGCATTTGTAGATGTCAAGCAGTTAAAAATTCATTCACCACGTGCCTCATAACGATAAAATGCAATACTACATCGTAAATTCCAAAAGATTGCCCGCATAATCCCGAGCAAAGAAACGACTCGGATACTCCTTGCCTTTGGTCCCTGTACATAGAAGTATTGATGTTAGTACTAGAATCCTCGATGAATACTCAGCCAGCTCATATGTACTAACCTGAATTCGCCTCCCCAGGCTTATCCGCCGCCAAAGGCGCCGCCGGACCCCCACGAACATGGTGATCATAGATAGCCTTCTTCATCGCCTCCAGATCTTCGCGCGAATCCAGCTTAAAGCATGGGTGCCGACTGGATCGTGGATCCGATTCCGCGTGATCCGTAACGTGAATCTGCTGCCCGCTATTACCGATGTTGAACCTGCGAGTCTGATAAGCATTTATCCTGCGGCTTGGGGGACAATATTCAACCAGACGCTTGGTCCAGGGATGATCCCAGCGATGCCGAGCCAGATAGACAAGGGCTTACCAGCAAATCGTGCCGATCTGCAGCTCCGGTACCGGCGCAGGCGTTAACCCAAGGGTCTTTGCGTAGAATTCCTCTGCTTGCGGCAGGGTGCCGGGGGTGACAGTAAGATTGACGTGTGCGATGCCGGAGATCATGATGAAGAAGGTCTGTTGATGAGACCAAGGGTATCTGGCTGGTGAGTTCTGTTGCTGGGAAGGGCGTCAGCGAGGTTATATGGCGGCACCCCCACGGGATACGGTGATTCGGAAACCAGATCCCGCTGATTGGTGGCAGCGGTCCACTTGTGTTGCTTCGTTTTGAGAAGATTTCACGCGTGATCGTCGGCCTGCGATGTACACCAGCGTTGTACAGAGTGACTCACTGCATCATTCCAGCTTGCAGGGCTGAGCACTGCTGTTGGCACCGGAAATTTATCCAAACCGCCGGATATATCCCGGAGCTCAAGTTGTATAGCAGGTCAGTAAAAACGGAAATGAATTCATCTAACCACTCGCCAAATAGAGAGAATTCAAACTCCAACAGCCTCAGATCAGAAAAACGAGCGCAGGACCCTCATAGGCGCAGCCTTGAGCCAGGCTCCCCAGGTAGGATACTCGATCTTCGGCGGGAGATCCACACCCAACGCCCAATCACGCATATTGCTAAAGACATCCATCTCCTCGACGCACAAGAACCAACCTCCAAGATCGAGTCGTGGATCTTTATTTCACCGCGAATACACCTGCCAAATAATGAAGAGCAGGATGACGAGCGGTACCGCAGGGTAATTCTCGAAGAAACTTTCGACATCCTTCGGCGCAACCGAGACATAGAACTCGGCAATCAGAGAGAGAACATTCAGACGGTGACCGATATAACTGTTCATGACACCAAAAAAAGGCGCAGCGAAAACAAGTTCCTTGATATCGCGACCGTGATGAGTCCACGCTGCCTGAACCGAATATGCGCTAGACAGATACTTCCCCAGATAAAGAAATCGCCAATCCTGGAGAGAGCGAGGAGCCAGGCGAAAATCACACTTCCGGTACTCGTCACCTCATTAATAAATGCAAGGAAACCGAACATAATCTGTAAGAAAATACAGTAGATCGGCCGACCCTGCGTATCATTATACGCCAGAAACTTTGGTGCCATGCCGCGCGCCGCCAGGGCTTGGATCGTCCGACTGGACCCGTACGCCGCGGAGTTGGCAACGTTAGTAACAGATATGGTGATAATGGCATTCATGACAGACGGCAGGCCCGAGATACCCGCATTCTTGATGGACACGACTAACGGCGAAGCCTTGGTGTTTGCGCCCGAGGCACCGAGCAACCAGTCCACGTTGGAGGGAACGATCAAGCCGACGATGAAGGTGGCTAAAACGTAGAAGATGGTGATGCGCCAGAAGACCTGCTTCATTGCTTTGGGGAGCGGCTTCGGCGGCGGCGATTCCGCTCATTTCGGTGCCGCCGAAGGCACAGGCGGCTGTTACGAAGACCGAGCAGAAGGCCTTTGAAAACGGTGAAGGCGCCGGGATTGTGCCAGTAGTGTGCGCCGATATACCCGCCTTTGGGGGCACCGCCGCAGTCGATTATGATGCCGAGAATTATGAAGCCGATTACGGCGATGACTTGATCAAGCCGAGGATGAACTCCACTAGGATGAGATCAGTTTTGCTGTTTGCTAGGAGATTTGAGATGGACTTCGATTTATCCTCGCCGTAGCCTCGTACGCCGAATAGTTGAATTGCTGATAGGACGACGAGGAATACCGCGATCCATATACCGATGTTTAGATCATCGCGCCAATACTGTATAGTGATACTGGCGGCCGTGAGTTCGAATGGAAGAATGATGAGCCATCCGATGGCGTAGTCCCACCCGATATCGAAGCCCCTGTTCAACAAGGTGAAACGAAGAGTTAGTCAAGCAGTCCTGAAGAAAGCGAAAGATAATAGACCAACCATGGAGGATTGATGAATCGCACAACATTTGTGAAGAAAGCCCCATTAACTGGATAGAGAACAGCCAGTTCCCCGAGAGCCTGAATCGTCAAAAGCAGCATATCACCCACAATGAGGTATCCGAGCAACTAATCAAAAGTTTAGCCCCGCAGAATATCAAATTGAATCGAACTGAACACTCACCAGCGAACCAGGCCCACCCGCTTGGAGGGCACTTCCCGTACCAACAAAGACCAGTCCCAATAGAGCCACCTTGACATACAACTTAGCTCACTCATCGGACCCCACGGCAGCAGACGGGAGAAATACCAATAGCAATCATCTGAAAATGCCGACTCTTAAGAACCCGCTTGAGGGGCTGAACATCCTCGACAATAGGCGCCTCGACAGCAACGACATCTTCATAACCAGGGGCGGGCGAGCCGGAGGTCGGCTCGACGACGGTGTCAGCCTTTTCCTTGATATCTTGATCGAGATTCATCGTGAAGTCAAGTGCGGATGAAGACCGGCCCCTGAAGGAGGTCGGTCGTGGTCACTGGGGATTTTTCTTATATAGTGATGCGTCCGTTAGTATACACAGTCCCAGCTGGAGTTTGGAGTATTTTCTCGAAGGCCCGGCTGCGCGTCCCTTGCAAGGAACAGGTGCGCCGCATGGCCATAGAGCTCTTACATCTTGGAGACAACAAGTATTGATAGGAAGTGCCCCGTTGGCAGGCGAATGGGAGGGGTGTGGATGACTTGTTGGAGCGATGAAGCAGTGCCCAGAGGTAACCGTGCATCTTGGCCGGTCGTGTTAGATTGGCGTCTTCGAGAGCTAGAAGAACTGAGTTAATATTGGTTTGAAGCGTTGGTCCCAGATCTAGAATCAGCAGGGGTGCATGGGGTAATGTATGCACCGTCAACATGCATCGAGCCCTTACTTGGTACAACAGAGGGAATCGCTCGAGAAAGACAAACCGATCATGATAGCGACCACTCAAAGACTCAAAGTAGCGGTTTGTATCAAAAGAGGCTGAATCATCCCACCTTTGATTCTCACCCCGAAGATAAGCAGCGACGGCCCGGACTCGCCATGTGGGACGGCACGGCATGGAGTCGAGAAAAGATGGAAACAAGATAAGTCACGTTAGCCCCGCAGATGCGCCATAGAAGGCTTGATTTGTGACATTGTGAAGCTTTTAAGGGGTCTTGATGCGACGAGCTCTTATCAATGGCCAATGAGATCGCATGTTGGGGCCAAAGGCAGGGGATCTGGTTTATTCCGCGGGAGTAGGATTGGGATTGGAGATGGAGAGATAATTTCAAGAGAAAAAAAAAAAAAAGAATTGATTTGTTCAAGATTTTAGTTTTTGTTGTGAATGAAATTCCGGAGGTTTTTTGAACTTGTGCACGATGGTCCCATCGGGGAGGATCACCAGCATGCGCGCCACACTGCAACATTTTCATCGAGCCTTGCTTTGAGCCCTGAGGCTGTACTTGGCATATAAGGCGAGTATCTCCATCAAGAAAATCCAGCACAGACGCCTTCGTCTATCCACCTATGCCCAAGCACCAACAATACTCATGCAAAAGGCACCGAGAAAAACCAAAATACAAGCGTAAACCCTTTTCTTTCCACGAAGAACACGCCAGCTCTCATCACTAAGGAAATCCTCCGACATGAGCTCGACCAAGGACGCGAAAATCAGCAGCCCCGAAGAAATGGCGTTCATGGCACCGACTACGAGCAATCCAACCTCGGAATCCGGGCTGTAGAGGGTGTGAGTGGCGAGACCGATGGCTTGTCCGATTGGAGTACTGTGGTAATTCATTCGCGTCAACTCTGACCCCCATTGGCTTGTGGGCGGGATATAACTTACGTGCAGCCGTAAGCAAGGGACATTATCCATGGCTGTAGCTGGTCTTTTCCCCAGGGTAGTGCGGCGATTCGTGAGCCTAGGGCTAGCCCTTCGAATGTTTCTGGGCTTATTAGAAGGTGCAAAGGAGATGACAGTTACCAGCAAATGGTGAACTCACGATGAAATACGATGGCAATCAAGAGGACCACAAACTCATTTCCAACTGACACGCTGAGTGACATCCCGATGAAGACGCTGTGGAAGAGAATGCCCATTTCAAGCAGATACACCTGCATGGTCTCTTTCTTCTGCTTCTGCTCAGGCGTCAGATTGAACGAATCGTCATCTCGCTCCAGGTCTGTCTGGATAGTCCCTTGGTCCTTTTCATGATGAGTTTGAATATCGGGTGCAGAAGCGACGCGGACGACCTCTTCGTTTCCTTCGCCCATGCGATTGATGGCCCGGCTGATGCTTACAGATCTCCCGATCAGAGGACCCATGTCTCGCAAGTGATGTCCGGCTTCTAAACCCACCGGAGAAGTGGGTGACCTGGGGCTAGCAGAGCGCACTACATCATCCAGTCTTGGTGAAGTTTCCGGTTGAGACGAGGCAGCATTGGACTGCGGAATACGATTCCCACCACGACAGACATGTCGAGCCGGGCTGAAAACCATCTCAATGACCGTCACAAGGAATATACCACCCAGTGCGATGGCTCCAGGCATTGCTGGGTAGTCCTTTGTCCAGAAGTCCGAGAGGCATGGGTCTCCGAGCGAGGTGAATGCGGTCGGCAGAAGATGGACAAAAGCTGTTGCGATCAAGACGCCAGTTCCGAAATGGCTGACGAAGAAGAGGAACGAGGGCGGGACATGCAGTCGAGGGAACCGGGTTGCGAGGATCGGAAAGGCGCAGGCAAAGCCTGATACGGTGAGGATGATGAAGAGCGCGGCCACGTGCAGCCGCAAGTCGTACGTATCACCGCGGACTCCGCCCGAGGCACATCGCGATCTCTTGGCCGGCTTGGTAAAGTACTCCTCAGCGGAAGGGTCTTCTGTGAGAAGTGCCTGTGGCGAGACGGCATGTCCACTAGAGCCGATGCGAGTAATGAGTATCGAGACACAGACTACCGAGAGCAACCACAGTGCCCAGTCTTTGATGCGCTGCGCCGAGAAGAAGTGGTTGTTGTTTTGATTTAAATTCTGGGAGTTTGAGATAATTGGACTCGGGTCCTTCCCAGTGACGAGGCGTCCTATTGAGGTGGTGAGAATCGCTGGAATGCGCGGGTCAGCGGACAGGGGAAACCATACCTGACTGTGTCAGGGACGCCTCGTCTACCAGGTCAAGGCGATCGCCGACACCTTGTTTCCCTACAGAAGGTGCATAGGCCAAATCCAGGGTACCCTCCAGCAAAGCGGAGCCCTTCTCATCGTCTCTCTTCACACGAGCATTCGAGATTCCGATTAGGTCTTGGCGAGTTGTCAGGTCCGGTGCAAGCTGCGGTGGGTTTTGGTTCCACTCGTCGTGCAGCAGGGTGTCGTCGGTTCGGGATGGACAATTCATAGCGTCAGAGTTCCGATTCTTCTTCCGGTTACTGCTGATGTTTCAGGAGTGTGTCACGAGGAAAGGTCTGGCGTGCCGGGTTCGACAGAAGGCAGCATCGACTCGGAGGGCTTGGCATATCGGCCCGACTTTGCTTGGCGGCGGAGGTGGCGGAGCTTTGTTTTCTTCCGTTATCGCCCGCGTTGATCTTCGCGTGCTTTGTAAAATAAGTATACAACCTCCTAACTAACTATTGGATGTTCAGATACTCCATCGGGGCATCAAGAAAAAAAAAAGAGTGTGGGAAAACAGAACTACTCACCGGGACAACACCGTCCTCGCAATGTGAATACACATATGCAGCCCCACCGGCCTCCCAAGACCCGAATTTTCAGTCCAGGTCGTAACACGCGAAATGTAGCTTGTCCCACGAGGATACTCACCTAGCATCAGGGCTGCAACACCTCGCACATTAGGTGTTGCGAGAAGACTGTTGCATTCGGGGGAGCCGCCCTCCCAGTGCCGCACTTGTGGACTCGGCCACTCATAGCCAAATTTGTAATGTAGGTTCTTGACCACATCGAATGTCTTTTGATTAATCACATGGATCCGGAAGACGTATTTCAACTCCTCGGCGTGGAAGTGACGGTAGAGTGCCAGTGCGATTTCTGACCAGTGTGGACCATCAGTGCGTGATGCGTAACAGGAACAGATGACCCCAGGACCGATCACAAAAGAGTAATTGTTCTTGGAGGTACTTACCTTCATGAAGCTAATGTCCCTATAGATGGACTCACCAGGGAGATCAAGTGCCATGGCCATTTCGAAAATTTCATCAGGCAGCCCGTCTCTCGGAATGTCGAGCACCGTTGTCGGGGCTGTCCATATGCCATCCGGGCCTCTGACTTTCCCATCCCATCCATCGTTCATTAGGTCTTGGAGGGTCAACGTCGAACGGGAGACCTCGCAGGTCTCGTCAGCGGGGTCCCTGAGCCACCTGGCCCATCGGCGGCCCTCGAGCTCCAAGGCGCCATACGTGAGGGTGTTGTCAACAGAAGGAATAATGGAATCCATTATGATGCTGCTGGATCGAGTTGGGGAATAACAGATGTGTTGGCGCCGTGGAGTGAGTAGGACACGCATGTGTGCTGTCTTTGTTTATAGTTTGGAGTTACATAATCACCGCCGGTCTATCCTTGCTCTACTAACTACTAGAGGTACGGACATGGTTTTGTTTGACCAGCGTACTCGCAATAGGGCTGATGGCCGAATCAATGCTGATGAGTGGAAGGCATCCAAGGGCAATGCTACATTCAGGCAGCCCATCGAGAGTTTGATTTCTGATCATGAAATGGTGTGAGGGAGTACTCGATTGGGGCGCTGGGCTTTGAAGGAGAGACACATTGATCTACTGCGTAGTCTGTGGTGCTATCACCAAATGGAGTAGGTAGAAGGAGAACCATTCAGGATTGAAGGATTGATCGACGGCAGACTGCACGACGTTTCTGATCCTCACTAACCCCATCGCTAAGAGCTAGGGCGTAGCTGCAGCTCGGATGTTGTTGTCCGAGTTGGTAGTTATTTCAAAAGTCTCATGACGCAGAGCAGAGCCTATCGCATGGCAATTGACAGTGATACTGCAAGCTCGCACCGGGTGTGTATGCCGGCTGAACGTTCTGCAGCTTTTGACCTTGCCTGGTTCACCGACCCCTTGTGAGATATCTCGAATCAATCATGTCGAGCGGAGAGAAAGGCTAAACCACGCCCACGCGTCATCGGACACCGCCAGTGGTGGACAGGGTCGAACAGAACGCGCACAGGGCATGCGAGAGAGCAAGTCTCCGCGTGAGGACGGCACGAAGTAACCTTCCGACAGGCACGGTTGGACTCGGTGGCCGGAGGCAGAGGACAGGGCAAGCCCCGTGGTTGGTCGGCGAGTGCCGATATGGCACTCGGAGCACTAAACAGTTCTGGGGCTAGCCTAGTTGCGTTCCAACTGCGCACGATGCCTTGCCACATCGGGCATGCGATTCCCGCCCGTCGCGGTGCAGCGCTGATTTTCTGGCAGTTGCTGAATGGTCGTCTGCACGGGACAAGACTGCCTGTATTGTCCAGGGCATGCGTGTCTTGGCCACTGCGTCGCTGCAGGTGTTCCCCTGCCCCAGAGTGAACGGGCGCCCCACGCCGAGGGAGGTTGTGAACAGTGACGGGGCGCTAACCGCATGGCGCAGTGGGGAATGCTTAGCGAAAGGGAAGCGCCTCGGCAAACACTTAAAACTGCCCGGCACCCCTGCCCTTTTCCGCCCTACCTTTCGGAGAGCTTCAGATAAATCGTTCGACAATGCGAGCATAAGAGCCGTATTTGTCATTATCTCTGTTTGCTTGTTGTCGTTCTTTGCAATCTCGGGTGGTCCCGAACTGCTTCATCATGGCCGATTCCGGTATCGAGCGGTCCGACGACCAGGCCGCGCTGGCCCGACTCGGGAAAAAACAGGTGCTCAAGCGGCGATTCGGCTTCCTATCGATCGTCGGCTTCGCCATGGCCGAGCTGATCACCTGGGAGACGGTCCTCACGCTGTTCAACCAGGCCTATGAGAACGGCGGTCCCGCTGGCGCGTTCTATGGCTATATCATTGCCTGTTTATCGACCCTGTCGACCTACACGGTCATCGCCGAGCTGTCCTCAATGGCGCCAATTGCTGGAGGACAGTATTATTGGGTCTATATGCTCGCCCCGGTCCGCTGGAAGAAGGTCTCGAGCTATCTCATTGGATGGCTAACCTGTCTGGCATGGATTGCGACCATTGCAACCGAGACCATCTTTCTGGGCACCATGATTGAGGGTCTCATTACCCTGAATGATCTGAACTTTTCCAACCTGCGTTGGCAAAACACCTTGCTGGCGTGGGCCAGTATCGCCTGCACGTTCTTCATCAATGTGGTGATCCCGAATATGCTGCCTCGCTTTGAGATTGCCATGCTGGTGCTGCACCTGGCAGGCTTCATCGGTATCATGGCGACCCTCCTCGCACTATCACCCAAGAAATCAGCAGATTTCGTCTTCCACACCAGTCTCAACGAGGGCGGCTGGCCAACCCAGGGCCTCTCCTACTGTGTGGGCTTCATCGGCAACATCGCCACCTTCGTCGGCGCCGACGCAAGCGTCCACATGGCCGAAGAAGTCGCCAACGCAGCAGTGGTGATCCCAAAAGCCATCATCACAGGAATGTCACTAAACAGCGCCCTCGGCTTCGCCATGATGCTGACGGTCCTCTTTTGCATCGGCGACGTGAAATCCGTGTTGGACTCCAATACGGGATTCCCCTTCATCCAAATATTTTACAACAGCACGCAGTCGTACTCAGGCGCCTCCGTGATGACAGCCGTCATCATGGTGCTGACACTGGCATGCTCAACCGGCATCACTGCCACGGCCTCTCGTATGATCTGGTCCTTCGCCCGTGACGAAGGGCTCCCCATCTCCCGCTTCCTGAAATCAGTGAACCACCGCTCCAAAGTACCCATCGTATCAGTCTCCGTAGTCTGCGGATTTGCTGCAGCCCTGACGCTCATCTACATCGGCTCCACAACAGCCTTTAACGACGTCATCTCTCTGACAGTCACCGGCTTCTACAGCACCTATATCCTGCCCAGCGCATTCCTTCTCTACCACCGCATCAAAGGCCACGTCCTGCCCCACGGCACCATGCTCGACGGCCTCCCCGATGCCCCCGCCAGCGTCAGCGCCAGTACCAAGGAAAAGCCCGTTGCCCCTGTGTGCCCCAAGTCTCCCGATGCAAGCCCCGACCCATCTTCTAGCCCCGAACGCGACCAGACCGAGAAATCCACCAAGCAGCTCGAGTACGAAATCTCCCAGGCTCCACTTATCTGGGGCCCCTGGAAGGTGCCTGGGATCCTGGGCACCATTAACAACCTCTATGCGTGCGCTTACATGCTGTTTGTCATCTTCTGGAGTGTCTGGCCGCCTAGCACGCCGGTTGACTACACGACGATGAACTACAGTATTGTTGTCACGGCGGGTGTGCTCATTCTCAGTGGGATTTGGTACTTTGTGCGTGCGCGCAAGGATTACTCAGGCCCGCTGATTGATGAGGAGGTTGCTGAGATTATGCATTTGACCCCGGCGACTGTTAGTGCATCGCACAAGGCTGAAGCGTAGGTTCGTACGACCTAGACAAAGGTTATGTGATATGATTGTGGGATGGAGCATGTGATATGTGATGTGGAGAGCTCTTAGGAAGTTGTACTGTCTTTTGACGGAGATACCATGTATTCTACCATTCAATGACAAAATAATTACTGTATAAAACTGCGTCTTGGAGTTATAGTCATGGAAGTTACGATAGAAATGGAAGCCATAATTACCACTTCAGGAGAACAAAATCTTGACAAATAAGATCTGATACATATAGAGAGGACTGTGTCACTGCCCTTTCAGTCTCGCCATTATCTACAAGGTCGAGCTGGATCACGTGTGGACAGGACAATCAAGAGCGGCGATGGCTAACCGACCTTGTCAGAACAAATAAGAGCATCCCTGACGAACATGCTCGTGAAAGAGCCCAGACAAAAGAACAATCAACCACGATTGCCTTCGACACTTGCGACAAACAAGGAGAAGCGACATGAAAGATGCAGAATGTCCCACCAACCTCGCCCAACCAGCACAGGCCCCTCGAGCAAGCTAAGTGGCAGACTGACACCCCAGATGATCTGCATGCCCAAGATGATGCCGCGTTTCAGAGCGTGTGTGCATTTTCGCGTTTGATTTGGTCATTCCAGCACCCCCCATCATGACATGCGCCCGGGTTTCTACTACTCTGAGAAGGGCCAAGGCGTCCCGCGAGGCGGCTTGTTATCGATCCTTAGATACGAACCGTGGTCTCGGCTGGCTAGCGCCTTTGTCTCAATTCAGCTGGACATACCACCAAAATGGACGACAAGAACAGAGAATCGCATACCCAACCAAAGCAGTTTGTTGCTGTGCTTTCATGAAACCGGGAATAAATTCGTCGGTGACACCTCAGACACGAATCTCGTGAAAATCTACCTCGTACGGCACGTCCCTTCGTTTTGTGCATGGTTACACTAATACACTGATCAAATGGTATAGATGCCTGACTGTAGCCAAAGCCACCAATACAACTACTACCAACCCGGCATCGGCGCCTACATCACATCACACTCACTGGGCAGTAAAGGCCGCCTCGAACGAATAAAATCGTCGTACAAAGGAGCCAAAGATGCAGCGCTGGGCTCTCATTCGACGAGCACGTCTTGAAGGGATACAAGTCCCTCATGCGGTATTACGCGCCAGGCGACGACATCTACATTTTCGGATCCAGCCGCGGCTCATATACCGCACGGTTCCTGGCCGAGATGCTCGATTTTGTCGGGCTTTTGCAACCGGGCAATGAGGAGTTGATTCGGTTTGCGGGGAAGACGTTTGCGAAGTGGCAGCAGCAACAGGAAAATTGGGAGAAAGGGAGGCTTTTTGCTTTCATGAAGGCGTTCAGGGAGACGTTTAGTCGGCCTGTTAGTCGGATTCGGCTTATGGGGTGTTTAATACGGTCAATTCGGTGCCGATGTTTGAGCATGCTTGGATGGAGAGGAGTAAATTTCCGTATACTGCTAGGACTACCGGGCTATTCGGCATTCTGTTTCGATTGATGGGCACCGGGCGAAGTTTAGGTAGGATTTGATTTCCGAAGTCAAGCCTTTCGTTCGGCATGAGCATGCTCATCGGTTGAGGCATTTGCTTTCCCGGGGGAGGGAGTGGGTTAGGCGTGGGAAGGCGGAGGTTCCTGAGATTACGTTGAATAATGCGGAGGACGAGGAGAGCACTGGAAGACAGCCTCGCCGTGGCTCTCATGCTAGGAATTATCCTGTTGAGCAACGATACCGCGCGCCTTCGCCTTCACCGAATCGACGATCCGGCACGGAGTTTTCCAGAAACGATGCACTTCTATAGGACAAGGTCTCCCTCAAGAGCGCCGTGTCTCGCCAATCCCTACACGTGCCGAGTCTGAACCTACCCGGCAACGAAGAGGAGCAGGGTGGTGCCCAGGATATCTCAGAAGCCTAATTCCCAGGCCAGCACGGTGACGTCGGCGGAGGCTGGAAGCTCAACCCAAACGACAACTGGCCATTGAGCCACATACCCCTCGTATGGATGGTCAAAGAAGCCCAACTGGTGGGACTGGAATTCGACCCGAAAATCTACAACTCTTCAAATGCCTCGAATCCGATGCCGTCAATAATCCTCTGTTCAAGCAAACACTCCGCCCTTCCGAAGAATGGATCCTCAATCCGACGGGTCCTGGAAACTGATCAGCTGGCCCTTGCCTTGTGGCGAGGTTCGCGATATTCCCGACGACGTGCAAATCCATATCTCCGCTATCCTTCGGATGCAGATTGATTGTAGCTACCGGTCTGGGAATTTGATTACTGGCGGTGGGGAGCGGGGGGTGAAGCGGGCGCCGGAGAAGTATGGGATTGGGGAGTGGGGGGTTTGTCAACATGGGGGTGATCTTGTGAGGCAGACCTTCGTCAGGAAGAAGGGTGAGAGAGCGTGTTTGGAGATGGAAATGTATAGGTTTGATAATCTAGGGAGTGCTTAGAGACGGGATTGATAATTTTCGGAATTGTTTTGTTGATTGGGGCACTAAATGGAACACAAGTAGAAATACCCGCAAAGAGAAGTTCGGACTTCCATGAGTGAGGGTGTAATCTGAGTACTTATATTCTTCTGACCCATTCCACAATCAATGAGTTCATTTGTCAGAGATATGCCGAGCAAGTCGACAAGCGCCATGGTACTGCGATGAACCATTTTTACCGAATTGGGGCGAACAAGCTAGGTGGGACAGTACCGTGTAGTACATATCAAGATCCCGGTAGTTCCCTCCGAGAGATGAGGGTTAAACAAAACCGAAACTCTTGTTCGGAGAAGAGTTTAGCTCAAGACGATAATTCACATATCCAAGTTGCCGCAAATTTCCTCTACCAACTCTGACCGTCCACGAACCCAGTCATCCACGATTAACCCAGATAAGATGGATATACAAAGAATAAGAACCTTCTCGCGGAGACACAAGCCTCATTCAATCTGTTCGAGTCGACCGGGGACGAAACTCCACGAATTAATGCCCAAGAAAAGGCGACTCAACTCGCGCGTGCATTGGAGAAGCCTCAGAATGCGGTTCTCACGCTCTTCTCTGTTAGTGGTCAAGAACTTTGAATAAAAAGAAACAAGAAGACAGCATTGACACTTACCCCAAATAACCAACGATCCAATGGCCGTCAAAGTCGCGCACGACATGAATGTATTCAGAACACTATCCCAAACTTCCGAACCAGTCCCATTGGCAAAACTAGCTGCAGCAAAAGCCGCAGATCCTCTCATGGTCGGTAAGAGTCCTATATTTGGAATCCAAGATTCCAACGCAAATAACACAACGCATAACACAACGATGAGAAGAACGCATAACGCGCCTCCGATCCGCAAGCGGCTTCGTCTCCGAACCTACACCATCCACCTACCTCCCCACAGCACTATCTGAAGCAATGACCCAAAAATCCTCAATCGGAATAGCAGAGTCGTCGTAAAAAAGCTGCCCCCATAACCTTAGACCAGGTACCGATATTTCGCAGATTCTGCGACCTCCTCCCCCTCGACCCCAAAGCCTTTTTCGGCCCCAATGGCATAACGAGGCATTCGTCAGCCAGCATTCGCTCGCAACCTGAATCCGATTATTCATTGCGATTTTAATAAGCCTCGGCCGTCATCGTAGTCAGTCTCTTCGAAGGTCCAGAATCAAATCAGATAATATAGTGCGACATTAGTTCTGACATCACTCAGAGTGAAGGAATGCTCCACCGTCGTTCTACAAGGTCGCGCGATACTCGACAGTACCAAGCATACTGCTTTGCGATTTAGGTTAGAAAATATGATGGCCGAGGTCTTTCCGAGCATAATACACCGGGCTCTCCTGTTAGCATTGTTCTCAATTTCGGGAACATGGTCCTTTCCGGCCTAGCGTCCGTCGTATTTGGTAATTTGGCCCCACCCGGAGTTTCTAGATTCTGAATGTGTCTGGGTGGGCAGAACGCTAAAGCGGTAAGACACGGATAGCTCAGGATAGGCATACGGTTTTACTTTAGCGCACCTGAAGCGGCGGGGCGATATCTCTCAGCCCGAACTAGGACCCGCAAAGGATTACAGTTCATATGCATTTCTCATTTCTACATGTTCCATTTCGTAATACTACAGTGCACGGAACTAGGCTCTCGCTGAACCGGGATGATGGAGTATGTCGGGGCTCAGCTCTCTTGGTCCCAGAGCGAAGCGAGACAGGCCGTCGACGATCGTGACGCAAAAGCCGAGGCCGAGGCCAGCAAGCAGCGCAGGAAAGTTCAGAACCGGAAGAATCAACGAGCACGCCGTGAGTCTGCCCCTCGCTCCGATAACGCATTCCATACTCAGAAACCCGCTACAGGACTACGGCTCAAGGGCGGAGACGCGGGCAATCTTCAGGAGTCGCGCCCATTCCGAGTCAAGCGCTGGCGCCTCGACGAGCCCGACCACATTCCCTCTCAAGCAATCTCGCCAGCATCAGAGCGCGCAACAACCACGGCCTTCTCCCATAGACCGCCTCACACGGACGCGGGCATATCGGCCTCTACAGCCGAACGTACAGTCGTGCTTCGTGAATCACTATCCACGACCACCCACCTCCAGTCCCCCGTAAATTTGGACATCCAGCCCTTTACTTTTCCCTTCTCCTCGGACCACCTCCTCCATCTCATTCACTATAATGTCTGTCGCGCCTTGATCACGAATATGCGTACCCTCAACACCGTACCCGCCGACACGACTCTCTGCACCGTTGCCTCGCCTTGCCGTGACGACACGACCCTCTACCCCCTCAAGCCCGACATCCCTTCCTCCCTCATCCCGACCGCCTTCCAGCAAACTCACGACCATTCTACCTGGATCAACGTCATTCCCTTCCCCCGCGTCCGCGAGAACTTGATCCGATATGAAGGCAGCTTCGATCCCTGGGAGCTACTGCAGGACCTCGCCGGTGACCTATTGAACTCGACGCCAGACCCGCGACGGCGAGACGCGCCCGCTTCTGTAAAAATTCCCAGGAATCCACAGCCCCTGACCTTTCTATCCGGAAGTGATCCGGATGAAATGACCGCCGGACGTAAGGGACTCATTGTCTGGGGCGAGCCGCACGAGATGAAGAGTTGGGAGGCCACGCCCGGTTTTCTCGCCAAATGGGCATGGGTTGCGGATGGCTGCGATGAGTTGGTGGAAATCAGCAACCACTGGAGGATGAAAAGAGGGGAGGAACCTATGCGACTCGGGATGTTGAGGGGCTATCCGCCACCACCGCTCTCGCACGCAGCGTCAAGTGGAGGTTAAAGAGGCATAGTCGACATTTACATGTGTTTTCTGCGGCTTGCTAATCTAACATCGGTCTTGTTAAATACATGGTAGGTATCATGCAAAGGATGTTGCTGCAAAAGTAAGAAGACTTATGGTTCAATATCAGAGGGGACGTGGAGATGTGGCAGGAAATATGACCTATACGATCGTTATCGACTCGACTGCAGCCTACATATTCATGTTTGCCATTTCCACTGTGTTTTGCTAATGATCGATTGATCCCGGCTGGGTGAGTCTGGCAAACCGCCGAAGTGCGGAGGATGACCCAGAATCCCGTTTGGCTAATCCAATCTCAAGAGGCTGCCGAGCCAGCAGAGCATTACTCGAAAGCGTGGGAGACTGTCAAGAGCTTCTGGCTGTTTCTCTGGCAACGACAGGGTTTTCATAAGCCCTGGAAGAGTTTAATGAGAGGAACTACCGGGTTCTAATGGATCTACGTGGAGCCTGTGACTGGCTTTGCGCTCTCATTATCCCAAGAATAGAAATAATGCACCCGGCCCGATAACACGTAAAGAGAGAGACATTATGGAGATTAATAGAATTCAATGGCAGTGCATACGAAAACCTGTCAAGGCTCAAGATTGGGATGACTCAACAGTGGAAGATGGACTAGCGCGGATCAAAAGTTATCAAATGTGCGATTCATTCTTGCTATGCTCGCAGATCTAGCCTGGCATCTTCTGAACCTTGGCAGCAGTAGCCGACAGAAAGCAGTCCGGTAGAAACAGTGACATGGTACTGGAACCTCATCATTGCTCTCATCTCTGCCTCACATCGCCCTACTCATCATCCGTCAGCCCCACCATCTTCAGGGAATCTTTCCAGAGCCGAGCCTCTTTCTCGGCGTCATACGCATGGCCTGCGAACCCTACACCGGCAATCTCATGATTGTCGTTGCCCCGTGTCGTTTTTCCGCACTCAGCAAGATATTCTCCGCCCTTCTTCTCCCATTCTTGGCCGATCGCTGCCCACACAGTCGTTGCAGCCCCCTGCTCTGGTGTCTTCATCACTTTATACATCTCTTCATTGTTCTTCAACGACTCCACCATTGCGGGGTCCATATACTGCATCAGCGCCGTTGCAATCATGCCGGGATGAACGCTAGTAGCGTGGAGTCCTCGCGACCCGTAGCGCCGCTCGATCTCGTTAGCCATGTAGATATTGGCGGTCTTTGATTGTCCATATGAAACCCAGTCATTGTATTGAGTCTTCTCAAAATTGTAGTCACCGGATTCATTGGTCGAGGCCACATGATGGGCGGAAGAAGAGATGTTGACGACTCGAGACGAGAATTCAGGGCTGGCGCTGGCGAGGAGAGCTGGCTTCAGGAGCTCAAAGAGTAGGAAATGGGCGAGGTGATTGACTCCAAATTGCATTTCAAAGCCGTCCTTCGTGTACTCCAACTTGGGCAGGGCCATGATGCCGGCGTTGTTGACTAGGATGTTGACTTGACCGTTCGACTTCTGGAGAATGGCTTTCGCGGCAGCACGCACGCTGCTCAAGGAAGTGTTGTCCATTTCAACGAGTTCGACGCGCTCTGGTTCGAGGATTCCGTCCAGAGCAGACTTGGCTTTGTTCAGGTCTCGTGCTGTCAACAACAACCTTGCTCCAGTCAAAGACAGGGCGCGAGCTGTCTCGATTCCTATTCCAGATGAAGTGCCTGTAACGACAATCACCTTCCCAGAGAGCTTGCCCTCTACTGCTTCATCCTTGATAATCTGACGAGCGGTTGGACGACTATCGCCAGGGCCAGCAGGATTCGAATGAGCTTCTGCGTACCGGGACATCGTGATTGATAGAGAACTTGGGCAGGTTGGATCCGGGTAATGGTTTGAATGGAATCGATGGACTCTGATGAGATATGTATTCAGATTTTGGGGGCACCGATGAACTATTTATTCTTTTCCGCCTCCAGACTTCTAGCCCGTGCTCTCAGAAATTTGCTTTGCATTTCAAAGCACTCGGGTTTAACCTGTAAACTCCGGGACGCCGTAGACGAGAATGATGCTCAGAACGTGTTTGTATTTCAAAGCACCGGACTTCTGGGGGTTATCTCGGAGAGACCTAGTTTTCTTCACCTTTCCATACTTCAGACCCACGACCTCGTGTGATGACTTTTTTGCCGTATCCGGCCTAGCCTCCGGAGCCAAAACCGTGGTCCCGCCTTCCAGGGCACCTGCATATGCTCGATGACACTTTCTCCTCTTTCGGCCTAGCTCCCGGGACTAGTTAAGCCTTTAAACTTAATGAAGGGTTCGGACTGAGCGCTAAACTTGATGTCTATTTGCACCCTTAGGCAATTGTATTACACGAACAGGACTTGGCAGCTAATTTACGCATGAAAACAGTAAGTCTGTGGACTATGCGCTTAAAGCCACAGCAGAACTGTTCTCCGCATCATCGATCATAAACTCGGCCCGGTAACTCACGGTAAGTCGCCTCCACCTACGACCCCTGCACGACGTTTACCTAACAACTTCATATCCCAACAACCATGAATTATTCAAGCTCATGGTTTTAAGGCATAGTCTCTCTAGTAATCTAGCATGATTAAAATGTCTCGCCAATTTTAGATTGTTTTACAGAGCAAGTATATGTATTTACGGCTTATAGGGCCAAATTTCTTAGTAATACAAATTATACAATAACTAGTTAGCGGGATTTTTGAGTTACATCCATGCCAAAATACGTCAAAGGTTCTCATGCCGAAGAATGTTAGTTACGCGTTTCTATCTGGTTACTGTGCTGGAGGCAGATAAGCGAAGAGAACTCTGGAAGAAATCCCAAACACTCGAAGGCTCTAAATACCTGGCATGGTGCTGCCTAGCGCCCTCCTCCTCCACGCGCGCATCGCACATTCCTTTCTTCATTATTTTTGTTGACGATCTGGGATTGTCTGCCTTTCTTTCAAGCTTTTTTTTGATTCGATCTTTCTCTGCCTTTTATTTCCATATCCCTTCCCTCGCTTCCTTTCTACTGAGAACATAATACTTGCTATTCCTCCTCCCCTGTCCCAGCGTCGGTCCTTCACGTCGGACAAACTCGGGCTACCTGTTGTGGGATATTAAAAGTAAGATAATTAAACCGGAAAGGTTATAACCTATAAAAAGATATTCTTGATATTCTTCTATCTTAAGCTAGCTATACAGAAGTGTCGGAGATGCGGTCCATGTATTGACTTGCATCGAACCTTTGCTGCGTGCCTGCTTGTATAGAGTTCTGATTATTCTAATCTAGCTAAGATGCTTGACTAAATACATCAAATAAAGGGGTAAAAATCTAACTAAATTAGGAAGGTGCGGAATATTGAATGACCAAGCGGATGCTGAATAAATGAAGTCCTAGCGGTAGTTATCGTGCGTTCAACAAGAAGTTTTGCTGGTTTATGCAATGACTAAGCAACGAGGCGAGGGGCATGTGACAGGATATCGGACAGTTCTCTTGCTATAGATGCCAATTCTGGAACTCCGCAGAGAGAAAGCAGAAGCAGAAATGAGACAAGAGAGAAGACATGACCAAGAGGGCGCTTGGATCAATGCCACAGGCCACAGGAACCAGAAAACTAAACACAGAGGTAACTCTTTGCCAAAGTCGGGTCACTGCCTAGGATGTGGACTGACTTCTGTGGATATGGGCAGAGGATTTGGTTGTAGGTGGTACCTTTGGCGCTAGTGAAGCTAACAGGTAGCGTCTCGACCCATTCCACTAAGGCCTCTAGGACTGTATGAGGTTGACCACCAACCCCCCCCAATACAGTGCGCTACTCCGGGGGCAAGGAAAAATCGATAGAAATCATGAATATCAGAGTATAATGCCCTGACAGAATTATAGTAACGCTCCGTGCCTCTCGGAGGGATGACGGGATCAGCCTATATATTTAGCTTCTGGCTGCAGTGGAGTGGAGACGGTAGATAATAAGTTACTTACCAGGCCATGGAAGGTTAGGATCTTACCCCCGTGAGACTTGAATTGCGAAAGATTAGGGTCGGCTGTCTCGATGATGCTAGCAAACTCTTGCCTTCCAGCGTGAAAAATTTCGTCGTACTGTTCATGGGAGATGCTGGTGAGATTGAAATCAGGGTTCTTTTCAATGAATAGTGTCATCCACTCTGTGCCAAGATAGAGTGGAGCCCCAACGCAAACTTCGCCAGTGCATTGTGTCCCAGCAAGGCCAAATCCGGTAGAACTGCCGGAAAGATCTGACCCTCTGTGAGGCCCGTACCATAGGAAGTTTCCTTTGGAAGTTTGTGGGCCTGACCACGTAGCATTGGCTACTACTGCTGCCGTGTGACTGATCTGCATTGTCGTATTGGTAGAGGGGCAGTCAAAGACGGTGCCGACAGCTGTGAAGGGGTCAAAAACGCATGCATCTGTATTCGAGATTACACCATCTAGAACGCCATCCAAAGCATCGCACGCGTATACTGCTGCCGCAGTGATTGCATCCAGCTCGCATCTGTGAGGATATTTCCCAGCCAAGTCCATAATGAGCTGAGGCCAATACATGGCGGTGAAAAAGGCATTCCAGTTAATGGCTGGAGCAGCAGCAGCAACGCCGTCATACAAGTCAGGATATCGTTGTGCGAGCATCAAGCCTTGACGGCCGCCCTGGGAGCAACCGTTCCAGTACGACTTCTTTGGCGGTCTGCCGTAAAAGTCCTTAATGAGGCTTTTCCCAATGACTGCTTGGTCGTGTAGCGAGCGAGAGGCTAAATTCTGCAGATCATAAAGATTGACGTTGCCGGGACTGAGAAGCGCCCATGCGCTGGCAGATACATCCACCCCGACATTCAAGCCCGCATCAGTTGTAACGCCGGCGTAGCCAGAACTGATAGCACTGATGAGTTCTGGGTAGGCCAGTTGGCTGATAGGCCCACCAGCAACCCATCCTCCGCCGCCAACTCCTTCCATCCGCTCGTTCCATGAGTCAATCGGCAACCAAGCCGTAACGCTGATGTTGTCCCCTTGACCCGGGTGGCTGAATGCTTAAAACACCCGAGTTCCTACGAACCACCAACCCCCTAAACGTCTCCCTCCACCTAGCCCTGAACACAAAGCAAACAGGTTTATATTGGATGTGCGAGCACCCCGATGCCCTAAGTCGATTTAACAATTCATGGAAGGGCAGTGGGCGGATCGGTCACATTGGGGCGATTGGTTCCCTGTTCGGGAGCGGATTCTTCAGGATGCGGAATTGAGTGATGATACGCTGTTGCTGGTTGATATTAGTGCTGGGAAGGGTCATGATCTGCTGGAGTTTAAGGAGATGTTTCCGGATCTGCTGGGGAGGTTGGTTCTGGAGGATTTGGGGTCTGTTGTTAAGGCTATGGGGAGGGATGAGAGGTTTGCTGAGAACGGGATTCAGATGGTGTCGTTTGATTTTTTTAAGGAGATCCAGCCAGTTAAAGGTATTTGAACAAAATTTGGAATTTCATTGACGCAAAGTAAGGATATGGTCCTGACGAAATTCTGCAGATGCAAGGGTTTATTACTTCAAGTTCGTGTTGCATGATTGGCCGGACGAAGAGGTAAAAGTCATTCTGAATAATCTCAAGCCTGCCATGAAGCCAGGTTAATTCGAGGATTATTGCTGAGGAGTATATTCGTCCTGATCGAAATGCTAGTTACTCGCTTGCATGATGGATATGACTGTCATGGCGTTCTGTGCCGGTTTAGAGCGGACGCGGAAGGGATGGGATGATATTTTTTCCTCGGTTGGACTGCGAGTTTTAAAGTGCTGGGTGCGTGGATGTAGTGATTTAGGGGTTATTGAGGCTGAGCTACCCTTGGAGAACGAGGCTTGATCCTCTTGAAGAATCAAGTGCAAAGAGTGGCCTGCCAGTATAGCGAGAAGCAAAGTCGAGTTGAAAGTTGAATGCAAAATAATATTGCGTTCATCCTTCACGAGCTATCTTTCATTGGAAATAGGAGAAATCCCCAGGCCCTGAATTTAAAGTCATATATACAATCAAATAATCAAATAGTCATCCTGATGCACCGAATCCGTGTTGGAAGCCTAGAGTGAATTAGCACACGTCAACAAGCTGAAAGCCACAGCATAAACTTACAAACATCATCCACGGGATATTGGTGAGATCATTCTTCGGCTGCTGTGCACGCGCATGCCATACCTTCTCCAATAATATCCGAGGAGCAGTATTTCCCATTTCAGATCGTGCCTTGATCTCGTCGAGTCTCAACAGAACATAATGACGAGAATGCGCCGACAGACTATCAGCTCCAGCCATGAACAGAGGAAGCACCATAAGCTCGATAAGCGGGCTCGTCTTGGGAATATTCGCCACCGAGTCCAGGATTTCAAAAACACACTCCTTGATTCGGGGATCAGATGCAGGCTGCAAAGGATCGAGTAAGCGCCACGCACGCAGAATACAGGCAAAGCGAAAGGCATTGGCGACCGAGACCCAGAGGGTATTGTCATCGGGGAAAAAGCAGCGCGAGCTATCCCAGAGATAAAGCTTCCGAATCGCGTCACTGGTTGTGTTGTGGAATTCATTTTCTCCTACTCTGGCCCCGGCACGAGCTTTGGCGAGCTCAAGGATTTCGCCGATCACCAGCACGATTTCTCGGGGACAGCCGTTGACCGCTTCGAACCGGAGGTTGCAGAGGGATAGGAGCTTTGAGCGGAGTTCTTGAGTGAAACAGAGTCGCTCGGGAAGGGAAAATGCACGAATGATATCCAGCCAGACGAGGTTTCCCAGGAAGAAAACTGTCCTTTCATGGTCGACCGTCAAGCGTCGTTCAATTTTGAGCTGAGAGCAGATTGACATCGCCCCTGAGATGTGGGCGCCGTGTGTTGAGACACCTGTTTCGCAGATATCGTGCAAAAGAAGAATCTGGATGGTTGCGAATACGGCGTCGCGATCGCTGCCGGAAAAGGTTCCCGAGCACACTTTTTGGATGACGATCGCAAGAGCGTTGATTGCCTTGGCTCGGTATTCCACCGAAACTGACTCTATAAGATGCTTGTCAGAGCTCAAATGCCCTAAATGGCAGGCAGCTAGCGCGAGGACGGCATAGAGCAAACTGAATTGTTCATAGGCAAGCGGGAGAACGTATAGTCGGTACGGGTTTTCTCCGCTGTCAACACTCTGTGCTATTTGATGAGGACATATGACACGGTCGTCTATAGCACTAATTAGAAATGGTCGGATAGAATGAAGCTAAAGCTCACAACATACAGTGCGTGAGGAGCTTCTCTGCCTCCTTTGAAGCGAGAACCTGATTAATCTCCGACTGAGCATTCGGCGAGTTGCCCTGTGACGCGACATTCAAGGGCGAGTTCGAAATAGGCGAGGGTTTCTCAACCCGATCACTGGTCCTCGGCCTTCCTCTCGTAGGTTTCGCACGCCGTGCCTGTGTTTTCTTGCCCGTGGGGGTCGGCGACTCGGCCGCCGCCCCGGACGCCGAGTCCTTGGTAACTGGAGCCTCGTGGTTCTTCCATTTGCCGCGGCTGGCAATCCCACAAAAGCGAAATTTTTCGGGATACCCAGCGCATTGCAGGCCTTTACTGACGCAGCGTTTGCACATCGGCCGCGCGCGATCACATCGCCGCGACTTCTGGCGACAAGTCAGACAGGCAGCATCTGGTCAAGTCAGTGGCCCGATCAGGTCAATCAGATACATTTTCCAACTTACCGCTGTTTCCCATGGTGGAATCTCAGATGGGCCATGTCATGGCCGGCTCATTTTTGGATGAACACTCACGCAGCTATGTCTGATGCTTGCAGTCCCTGCGGTGATGATGGCGAGTGAACTGAGACATTTGATTCGAGCAGCGAGGCTATTTCAGATTACGTAACTGCGGATATCCACCTTTCGTCCAGGGTACTTCATGCATAATGTGAAAATTTCCATCCCACGCTCTAGCAGGGAAGCCAGCTTCTTAATTGGAAGCCAGTAATACTTGGAGTATATCAATATATCCCTCCCCACACAACCCTAGAATCTTTGTTGCTGGCCATGTTACGGATTCCACCCCGAAACTCCACACAGCGTGTCACCAATCTATACCCAATGCAGACTAGCTTGAATCGAACCTGGTCCACGTGACCGTCGTTGATAGCCGACTGATAACTGGCGATGCGCTGACTGGCTGCCGGGTACTTCTGCGCCAGGCACTCCACCGGCTATCGAGTATCTCGCGCGTCAAGTTGGGGTTTGACGTGAAGGCGGTAGTTGATAGTAACTGATAGCCACGATAAAATACCCGAGTCTACATCTCGTACCTGAATTCTATTCTCTCTACTCGAACATCGTCCCGACATTGTCTCTTAAGGTATGTTCCCAGTGGTGGCCACACGAACTAAGTTTAGGCGCAACCGAACAACAGCCGTGCGGAGACCAGCCTGACTTGCGGGGAATGGGCAACTTGAGGTATCGCCCCGGATTTTCTCCGTCTGCACCTTTCCCACTTTCGTCGCCTGCATCGGAAGAGGGCAAGGCCCCCGTGTCACCCAGAATGTCTGTTTCGCAGGTGACAGCCCGGAAGACCGCCTACCAACCATTCCAATGTCTTGTCTGTCAAAGCCGCTTCACAAGACACGAGAATCTGAAGCGCCATTTTGCGCTGCACAACCGCTCGCAAAATGAGGCTTCTTTACCTTGCGACTTTTGTCATGCGACGTTCTCTCGACCGGATTTGCGGAATCGGCATATGAAGAGGAAACATCCGGATCAGCAGCATAGCGAGGTTACGAAAACGCAGGCCGATACGCAGACGCACAGAGCACGGGTGGGACAGAGAGAGTCGCCGCAGGATAACTCTGCTTCATTGTCTCCCGGGAACAGCGAGAATGGACTACCGTCACATCACTCGGGAGAAGAAGGCGATTTGAACATGGATAACATGGATGGTGGGATCTGGGCTCCAACTGTGCGATACGAGCGTTCTCTCGACGAGCGCTCGCGCAACGGCGACGGAGAGAACACAAACTTCGCAATAACTGCTCCCTCAACACGAGAACAACTAAATGAGCCGACATGCATCAGCCAAATCGTGCAAGAAGCAACCGACTTCGAGCAAAGTCTGCTTCACGGAACGCCCTTCTTAAAGGCACCCCATAATTTGAATCTGCAGCCACACCAGATGGCACCCCCACACTCGAGCTCACTCGAGGCAAGCCTACCTGGCTTCACCATCAACTCCGACTCCCCCGACAGACTCCTATCGAATCACAACCTGGGCCTCCCAAATGATTGGTTTCCCACCGCGCACCAAGTCGCCCGCGGCTGCGATCTCTTCTTCGCATACGTCTCTCCCTTCGTCCCTTTCCTCCACCGACCAACCTTTGACGCGTCGCAAGTCCCCCCACACCTAATATTAAGCATCCTTTCCCTCGGATTCCAACACGGCGAAGACCCAGAATGCGGCAATCAAATCGGGTCAGGCGCAGAACTGTCCTTACACTGCTTCCACCGCGCCCGAAGCCTAATCCTCTCCAACGAAGAAGAGATAGAACGTTTCTCCCACATCTCAACCGTCCAATCCTACCTCCTCCTCCAAATCTGCGCAATGATGTACCTCTGTGGCAAAGACTCCGCCTGCGGTCTGAAAATGCATTCAGCCATGATCTCCCTCGCCCGCGCAGGAGGACTCATGCAACCCGTCTCCATCGAATCCTCCACAACAACAGACCTCGACGCACTCTGGCGCGAATTCGCCAGAACAGAATCTCACAAACGAACACTTTTCGCCGTCCACCAGATCGACGCGTTATGGTACCAGTTCCTCTCAATCCCACGTTCTATCTCTCACCTCGAAATAAAACACGACCTCCCCTGCCCAGAAGAAGACTGGAAAGCATCTTCTCCTGCAGAATGGGCTCATAGACAACTCGTCTCAAGGCCTACGGGCCCCTCAGTCCAATACGCCGACGCAGTCCGGCGCTTCCTATCGCCAGACTCAGATCTCTCTGATATCCCACCCTTCGACCCTTACGGTGCAATCAACATCGCGCAATTCCTGATCTCCAGCGCCAGAGAAATATCAGGCTGGTCCACGATGACGGGAATGCTAAGCATGGAGCGATTCGGGGCTGTCCGATCATCGCTCTTAGCGCTAGCACCCTTCATCCGTCCACAGATGGAAGTAGGAAGCATTGCTTATACTCATACGTCCCTGTGTGAGGCAACCTGGGAAACAGCCATGATCGAGCTCCAATTATGGTCACCGTCACATACTGGCGGTATTGTCGAGGGGAGTATTGATGCGGTCCTGAACCAGTCGACGTATCTAGCTCCCTCGTCTGGTTTCCTTTGTGAGCCCGAGACGGCGAAGGCGGTCCAGCCGTATGTGAACTGGTTCCTGCGATACCTTGAGGCTTCTGTTTCGCCGACCCCGGAAGCACCGTGGGTTGCGATGTATGCGTATAAGGCGTTTTTGATTGCGTGGCAGCTTGTGCGTGGTGGGATTCCTGGGGCTATGGAGGCTGTAGGGGTTGCGGATGGGGATGTTGAGGGTGCTTTGGCTTGGGCGAGGATGGTGTTTTCGCGGAGACAGCGTTGGCAGTTGGGAAAGCTTATCCTGGTTTGTTTGGATTCGCTGGGGAAATGAATTCGAAGTTACGACATATAATTTGCTTTTGCTGTTGAGATATATTCAGATATCGCTGTATTATCAAATTGATTATTCACTTGATCTCCGCCCATATAAACAGACTATAGAAAAAACATCACAGAGACAAGTATAGATCAGTACATCTCGTATCGCCAATTCAACTGCACCATCTCCTCGGTAACACCACCCTTCATAGCCTTCGCAATCTGCTCCTGCTCACCCGAGTCAAGTCGCTTATTCTCACGCAATATCAGCCAGCGGTAGACTGTGATAGTAATCGCAAACAAGAACGCACAGCCCATGAGTGTGCCAAAAGCTGCATAGAAGTGCGGAGAGGAGTAATATAGATAGGAAGCCCAGATGTTAGAAGTACCACCAATGGCATTAACCAGGGCTGAGGCAGCGGCACGTTTCGAGACAGGTCGTGCAAGATGCAGATTGATAGTCTTGTAAAGGAGGAGCTGGGGACCAACCGAGGAGAAGGGTAGGATCATCATGGAGAAATACCGCGCGCCGGTATTGAGTGTCGCCATGAGGATAACGTACATTACAATTGCGATGGCAATGCAAATGAGGATCAGGGGGTAGACGGTGTTTTTCCGGTCCGAGTAGAACATCACCCAGTAATAGACTATGCCGGCGAGGATGTAGGGTGGTGCAGTGAGGAGCAAGCTGATCGTGCTGTTGAAGTTCAGGGAACCGACGAGGGTGGGAAAGTAATTCGCGATAGACCCCTGCGTTTGAGAAAGCATGTTGCATAAGATGAGAAGGACCAACTTCGGGTCTGATAAGGCCTTTGCGAAGCCGCGGAGGACACTTTCACCCTCTGAAGCCTCTGCTGCCCCGGACTCGGATTCGATACGCCAGACGGCGAAATCACGTTCTAGCTGTGAGAGAATGCGGCTGTTGTGCGGGAATTCGGGCATGATGCAGGCGCAGATGACGCCAATGCCGACTGTCGCGCTGCCTTCGATGATGAAAAGCCATTGCCAGCCTGCGATGCCGTGCGCACCGTCCAGTTGGAGGATGGCCGCGGCGAAGAGACCGCCGAAGGCATTCCCGACTTGTTGGGCGATGTATAGACCTGCAATACGCTTTCCAAGTTCTGTCTTTGTGTACCATGCTGAGAGATAGTAGATAGCACCGGGAAAGAAGACAGCCTCCGCGGCACCCAGAATTGCTCGAACAGCAAGGAGTTGTCCGTAGGTCTTCACTGCCGCCGTTGCGGCTGATATGGTACCCCAGATGGCGACTGCGGCACATATGTACATTCCCGGACGTGCGATTTTCGTGATGATCAGGTTGCTTGGGATTTGGAAGGGAAGGTATCCGACAAAGAGGATTGAGACGGCTGTGGCAAATTGCTGCGTGTCCATGTTGAGATCTTCCATGATGCCTTGGAGCTTGGCTGCGGCCAAGTTCTGCCGGTCGATGTAGTTCAGGATATAGAGGATGCCGATGGTAGGTAGCACAATGAGGTCGACCTTGCGGACGATTTTCCTGTTCAGTGCCTTCATCTCGTTCTCATCGAGGACCCGTAGAGAATCGGGCATCCGACGATAGGCTGCGTCGGTCAGGTCGAACTGGCCTTCGGTGGTCGATACATTGTCTTCTGTTGCGGCAGAGACAGGTCGTTTCTTTGCATCCATGTTAATAGACATGACGGCACTAAAACTTCAATTGAAATGAGCAATAGCAATAGCAGATTGATGTGATGACAAGAGCTCAGCTGCTTCGGGAGTCGGTGAGCACTGATCGTGATTGTGATCCTGGCAGCTCCTTCCGCAGGCCGATCTATATAACCAACACTCGGCAGCGCGGTATTATCTCGCCTCAAAGAACGAATTCCGGGAAGTATATCCCTCGTAAATCGCAGCTGGCTAATAACAGTTGCCCCTTTGCAATCGACCGTGACTCATTGATTCATGGCCAGATAGTCCGTCCCTCGACGGTAGATAAGGACCGGGAGGAGCGCCCAAGCTGCTATCACAGCCCAATTAGAGCTATTCCCCGGATGGCCGGGGTCATCATGCAGATCTGGGGTACAGCTGGGGTGGACCGGGAGGAGTGCAGTGCATGCCCAGGGTGGAGCGCCGTAGTGCCGTCGAATGTTGCGAAGGTTGAGGGTTGAGGGGAGCTCCTCCCGCCGATAAGCGATGCCACCAAGTGGGACTCCCGCTATGCTGCACCCGCACACTTCTCGCATCTACACACGATGCGGACTGGACACGACATGCCTTGATGGTCTCCAAATCTCCAACAAGGAGGGGCAGGAATACCCCGCGGAGGAAGAGCTCTTTCGTAGTTATGCTCTGCCGAGGTATTAGAAAGAAAGAAAAATTTCCTAGCGGCATTCCAGGATACATATAGGCTGCTCTTCCAAACTTCTTCCTCTCCTCTCAATCAGAGCCAAAAACCTCCAAAAAACCGCCAATATGACTGTGACATACCCAACAGCACACACCACTCAAATCCAGAACTCCCGCCTTCGAGTCCTCAACAAGCTCAAGGCGGGCGAGTTCCCTCTCATGACATTCATGGCCCTGCCATCAGTGCGCATGGCCCAAATCGTCGCACTAACCGGCGTGGACGGCATAATAATTGACTGTGAACACGGCCACATTGGCGACGAAGCCATGCACAACTCCGTCGCAGCCATCTCCTCCCTGGGCGTATCCCCCGTCATCCGCATCCGCGGCCCAGCCCACGACATCCTCAAGCGCGCCCTAGACACCGGTGCGCACGGTATCATGGTGCCACAAATTAACAACGCCGACGAAGCCCGACAGGTCGTCGCGTCATCCAAGTTCTCACCCCAGGGTGTGCGCGGCCAGGGCTCCGCATTTCCCGCCATCGGCCACGGCCTCACGACCCCCGAATACATGAAGTCCGCCAACGAAACGATCGTCACCATGATCCAGATCGAGACCCGCGCCGGTGTCGAGAATGTGGAGGAGATTGCTGCTGTTGATGGCGTTGATCTCATCTTCATTGGTCCTAACGACTTGGCTCAGTCCCTGCTTGGGTATGTCCCTGCCCGTGGGGATGAGCCTGAGTTTGTTGCTGCTGTTGATAAGATTATCAATGCGGCGAGTAAGCATGGCAAGTGGGCTGGACGCATGGTTAATAATGGGTCTGTGGCGAAGGAAGAGCGGAAGAGGTATGATACTGTTGCTATTACTGGGGATACTAAAGCTATCTGACAAACTGAGAAGGTGGTCAAATACCACTAGGACCCTTCGGGATTGGCTTATTCATCGTTCACCCAATTTCCACCTAGTATGGTGTCATAACACGCCATAGTTCAACTATAAAGACCCCTGAGATCGCTCAACCGATCGGAGAACCTACAATCAATCATCTTATTCTGTTTGGACATCTTCAGTACTAGCCAGTACATCGATTCCTCATCCTGACAGTTATGAGCCCGGACTGCCTGACTGTATGAGAGAGATATATCACCTACCTGCTCTGTATCTCGCAGTCAACGAATCCCCGAAGCACCTAACACGGTCGGATACCCCTGAACGCTTAGCCACCCCTTGTGAGCTCTTACGTTCAGCACACAGCGAGATCCGCACCGACAAACATCCTTCGGAAACGTTATATGAGGAGAATTCGAGTGTCTGAGCTATATCTTGTGCGAAGATGTCTGATATCGCGAGGGAAGATCTGATGCAGGTCCCGCTTGACCAAAAGCTTCAGTCGGAAGCGCAGTGGAGGGTCTGGATAGGCCATATCAAGTCAGCGGCTGTTGCAGAAGATGTATGGGATTACCTTGATCCTGAGAAGACGGACGAGGAGGTCCTACAAGTGCCCGAGGCTCAGGAAGAGCCCTCACTACCCCGGGATAACCGCCAACGAGAGAGAGATATTATGGAGCTAGATGATGCTGAGCTGAAGAGATACACGTTCGCTGTTCAAGCGTACGATCGTCGTAATCAGCGCCGGCAGAGGTTGTTAAAGACTATGTCACGATTGAATGGCCTTATCACCCGCTCGCTAGCCACAGAACATCACTATCTCATTGTGGGAGAGGACTCACCGCGGAAGAAGCTACTGAAGCTATCTGAAACGTTCAAACCAAAACCTCAGAATCGACAGCAACAACTTCGCCGTGCTTGGAGAGAGATGATCAAACAAAAGCCTTCAGGTGATACAAACCACTGGTTAACTCAGTGGGTTAGCCTATTCGAAGAGGGCAAGATCGCGGGCATACCTGACTGCTCACTTGGAGATCACTTCGCGATACGAGACTTTCTTGACGCTATACAACCAATTGATGATGGCTGGTGCATAACCTGGCGCGAAAAGCTTGCAGATAAGGATAAATCTGTCACATTTGATGAAGTTATAGCTAGCTATCGCAGCCGCCGTGGAGATCTTACAGTCTCTGGAGGACGGAAGCAGCCCAAGATAGCTCTAGCTTCACTGAATGGTGAACCTGAGGCTAAGCCTGCAGAAAAGGCCTATCGCAAGAAATGTCCGTGTGGTAACGCACATCCTCAGCATCACTACTCAAAATGCTTCTATCTTGACGAATCACTTCGACCAGATGGATGGAAGCCAAGAGAGGGAACTGTTCAACGCATTCCTGAATACATAAAGCAGATGAGTCCTCAAGATCAGGAGAAAATCGCCAAAATACAGCAGAAAAACGCTAAATCAGCTCACCTTGCTGGTTCGGCTCAGCCAGAGAATCCGTCCTTAGCGTTCTTCGCTAATGATACTCGAGCTATCGCAGCGTCAGCAGTGGACGATGAGCTTCTCAAAGACAGCTGGATTCTTGATACCGGAGCCACCTGTCATATCTGCAACGACCGCCGACAGTTCTTGACCTATACGCCGCGAAATAGCACCGTTAAAACCGGTCAAACAGTGACGCCGATGATAGGCTATGGGCAGGTCAGGATCACTGGGAGACACCCTCGTACAGGCGCTACAGTGCCTATTACCCTGGATAACGTGTGGTACTCGCCTGGCTTCCACACAAGCTTGATCTCACTCTCTGTGATCGAAGACAAAGGATTCTGCTTCAAATCTGCTGAAAGAGCGATCTTTAAAGGCGAAGAGGCTGTTCTTGAGATAGGGAGATATCATGGTCTCTACACAGTCATATATGATCCGAATCACCGAGCAGCATTTTCGGTACGGCATTCGGAGAAGCCCCATCTCTCAGTAGCCTCAGCGCGGCGCTGGCATCGTCGGTTAGGCCACGCCTTTGACCAGAAGATTGAAAAGCTACCAGAGATGGTTGATGGAGTCAAAATCGATGGGATCTGCGAAGATAACCGTCATGACAACCCTGAGAGATGTGAAGTCTGTCAGCTAACCAAGGCCAAACGTCAGATCTCTCGCAGGACTACTGGAACACCGTACGGCAAGTATGGGCGTATCCACTTTGATCTTGTCCAGATCGACCCAGGTTATAATGGAGATCGCTGGATGACGCACTTCTACCTCGAGGGCGTACGCCTCCATGCAGCCTATACTCATGAGAAGAAGAACGGCTGTCAAGACGCGGTTAGTCAATTTGTGGCCCTAGCCAAGAAGCAGTGGAATCTTCCGATCCATGCCTTTCGATACGATAACGAACGCTCTGCGGGTCGTACAGTAGAGGATTTCCTGTCAAATGAAGGCTTTATCATTGAACACAGTGTCGTGGGTACCCCGGAACAGAATGGCTTCGCGGAGCGATCTGGGGGGTGGTAATCACCATGGCTCGTGCTCTTATATCCGATGCAGGCCTTCCGAAGAATCTATGGCCAGAAGCTGTTAGAGCCGCGATATGGATCATCAACAGATCGCCCACGAAGTTGCCAGACGGCCGGTGGATAGTCCCTTACCAAGAGGCATTCCTTAATCAGCCACAACAACGTGTTAACCTCGCGAATCTGAGGATTTTCGGCTGCCGAGCATATGTGAGGAAGCAAGTTATTCCGAACGCAGCAAAGATGGAACCACGCGCCGAAATAGGCTATCTCGTTGGCTATGAAGCCTCGAATATCTGGAGGGTGTGGTTTCCACGCAGAGGAGCCGTACGATCAGTGCGAGATGTTGTTTTTGATGAGAATGTGTTCTTTAACACTCAAGAGCTAGAAAAGGAGCCTGTCAGCGATATCTTGGAATCCATGCCATTCGTTATCGACGACAACGAGGATTCTGACCAGGTTATTTCTGGACCAAGTCTGGATATACCTCAGCCAGAGAAATCAGCCACTCCAAAGCTAGTGGAGCCTCAACAGATGATATCACCGTCACCCACGCCATCCATTCAGCCTATACAGGCCTCGATGCCTCGCATACCACCAGAATCAATCCCAGGTGCCTTTCCGGAACCACCAACTCGTGATTCTCAAGATCAACTCACTGAACAACTTCAGAGAGAGCTCTCAGCCGCTACACCTACACAAGGGACTCGCATTGCGCCTAGAGACATCGTGGGAGATATCTCGACTCGGAACATTCTGTCAGGCTCACGTAAACGAACATCAAGAGATATCAGCAATTTAGCCTTCTCGGCAGACGAGGATGCTGAAGAGGGTATACTCGCAGCCTTTGCAACTGGCCTCAACGGATCTCACTCACACACGAGACCTCACCGTGATGATCTTCCCCCTGAACCCCGGAACTGGCGAGAGATGATAAATCACCCGTTCAACGAAGGTTTCCTAGCAGCCGCCGGCCTTGAGGTAAAAACTATCGAACGAAAAGGCACCTTTGATGTCATACAGCGTCCAAATGACCGCAGCGTGCAGGTGCTTCCGTTGAAATGGGTATTCAACTATAAATTCGATAGCGATGGATATCTCGCGAAGCTGAAGGCGAGAATCTGTGTGCGAGGAGATCTCCAGAAGCTCTCTACAGAAGAGAAATATTCAGCTACCCTCGCTTCCCGTACGGCCCGCACCGTTCTTGCCCTAGTCGCTGCATTTGACCTTGAAACACGCCAATTTGATGCCGTCAACGCCTTTCTCAATAGCTCACTGGATGACACAGTGATAACCGAGATGCCAGAGGGATTCAGACAGTCTGGACATTGCTGGAAGCTCTTAAGAGCTCTCTACGGCTTACGGAAATCTCCGAGGCTCTGGCAGCGCGAGGCCTCAAAGGTCTTGACTCAGCTAGGTCTCACTGTCGTTCAAGAAGACCTTTGTCTCTTCGCATCGGACGGCATTATCATATTCTTCTATGTGGATGATATAATCATTGTCAATCACCCATCTCAGCGCCAGCGTGCGGCAGACATTAGAGAAAAACTCAATGTAACATGGGAATTGAGAGACATAGGCGAAGCTGAGTGGTTCCTAGGGATTCGTATCGTCCGTGACAGACAACAGATGGCCCTCTGGCTCTGTCAGGACTCATACATCTCCTCTATGGCCAGCAGATATCACCTTACCACATATCGCCGCTTCGATACACCCTTACCACCAGCTACATTGAAGCCGTACGCTGGGCAGGCCACGAAGGAACAGATTCATGAGTACCAGGAAAAGGTAGGCTCCACTCAGTATGCCACTACCATCACACGGCCAGATGCAGCCAAAGCAACTTCCGCGTTAGCTCAATTCCTCACGAACCCGGGACCGGAGCATCTCGAAGCGATCAACCGTGTGATATCCTACCTATACCACACCCGTTTTCTTGCCCTTACCTACCGGCCACGCCGATCTGAGGACAACGAAGCCGTCACTCTCTTTAGTGATGCCTCGTTCGCTGATAATCCTGACCGGAAGAGCTCGGAGGGATACATATGCATCATTTTCGGAGGACCAGTTGACTGGAGAACTAGCAAACAGCGTACAGTGACTACCAGTACTACCGAAGCGGAGCTACTGGCGATCTCTGAGACTGCAAGGAATATTAGCATGTGGAAACGTCTCTTTGAATCTATTCGCTTTGATCCAAAGCACGAGCTCGCTATCAGATGTGATAACCAGCAGACGATCCGGCTTCTCACCAAGGAAGCTCCTCAGCTGCGCACGAAGCTACGTCACGTTGATGTACACAACCACTGGCTCCGTCAGGAGGTCCAGGCAGGCAGAATTCTCATCAGATGGAGCGAAACAAAGGACATGGCTGCGGATGGGCTCACCAAGCTACTGCCGCGTCAAAAGCACGCAGAATTCGTTCAATTGATGGGCATGGAGGATATCGGAAACCTGCTCGATTAGCAGAGGATTTTTGGAGATTGTGCGAACGCTGAGGGGGTGTGACAAACTGAGAAGGTGGTCAAATACCACTAGGACCCTTCGGGATTGGCTTATTCATCGTTCACCCAATTTCCACCTAGTATGGTGTCATAACACGCCATAGTTCAACTATAAAGACCCCTGAGATCGCTCAACCGATCGGAGAACCTACAATCAATCATCTTATTCTGTTTGGACATCTTCAGTACTAGCCAGTACATCGATTCCTCATCCTGACACTATCCAGAATTGGTATATGGCTGAGTTTGAGATTGCTCGGTCATAGCTTTGAATGTAGAAGAGATTTATATAGACGTCAAGAATTCTTTTTTTTTTACTGAGGGTTCTTTCGGTTCAGACTGTGGTTGTTTCGTTGGCGAACTTCATGTATTCGGGGGCAGTGAGTCTAGAAGCCTTTGAAATGATAATGATGATCCTATATTTCCCTTAAATGAAGTTTCACCACGAGTGAATCGAGCAGACACGACAATTAAAATAAAATACAGAGAAAGAAATCACCTTTCATGTCCTCTGGGGTTCCGCCGAGCTCAGACAGTTTGATTCGTCAGTCCTACGGGGGCCAGAGTTTTGATGGTAGATCGGAGAGTGTAGCTTCTAGCAAACTCGCACAGAAAAGTCGGGCAGCCTCTCACCACACTCTCCTTGTCCAGTTTAGAAGAGAAGAGACTCCCTCGGAAGACCACAGCTGCTTGAATGCAGTATATGAAATCGGAGGTTACGCGGGCATGGGCGGTTAGTCGGGAGTAGCTGCTTTGACGCGGTAGGAGAAATCGGGGGCTCCATGGGCGCGGGCAGTTAGTACAGGGGCGGGAGAGGGGAAGGGTTCTACGAGCCAATCGGGAGAGAAAGAAGAGAGAAGGAGGTAGTTGAGGAGGATGGGGCTTTGTACTGCCGTGGTCCCGCCTGAGGAACCGGGCAGCCACCACTGTTTACCGCCGCACCTCCCGAATTGTGAGGATTAACACCAAGATAAATTTTGTTCTCATTTCATTATATAGTCTATAAAAATAGCATCTTAATGTCCACCGTTTATACCTGGGCAATGCACTCAATCTCAATGACAGTTCCATTGCCAGGAGGAACAGCCTGAAGGCACGAGCGCGAAGGCATGGGCTGAGGCAGGAAATCGATGTACGCTTCGTTCATGGCGGCGAAGTCCTTCATATCGGCGAGATAGACATTGTATTTGACGACTTTGTCGAGGGAAGATCCGGAAAGCTCGAGGACTTCCTTGAGGTTCTGCAGGACGGTGCGCTGTTTGCGAAACAAGTTTAGTGGAATGTTGATAGCAGAGGATCGTCGGGATTGGAACGTACGGTGGCCTGCTTGATCTCTCCAGTAGCAGTCTGTCCAGCGCAGAAGACGAGGCCAGGAACCTTGACCGCGGGGCCTGCATAAGGTGTCCAGGATTAGCTATGATCTTGGTAGATTGCGTGGCTGTTTCGACTCACAGTTGTGCGGCTTGGTAGGGAACTTCTCGGAGGAAATGAGTTCGCGAGACATTTTGATGATTCTTGGTCGTTTGAAAAGGCGTAGAGTGCAATTGAGGTAAATTGTGTAGATTGAAGAGAGAAAAGTCGATTGTCCCAGCTTAAATTACATAGCTCCGATGCCCCTCTCCCACCCTCATGACGGTACCACCCCACACGCGACTCCAAGGCGGGGTCTATCTCCAACGGGCACTGGAGGAGCTCTCAATCAGTGAGAAATAGATCGCCCTTGCGATGGAGGAGCGGAAGAGTGGAGGATGTTGCTCAGAATGCTTTGACCGGGTGGGTCCAGCCTTACCGGGAGGAGCTCCTCCCACTCCTCCCCACTCCCTCTCCATCTCCATCTCCACCTCCTGCACGACGCCAACCCTACCCTTCTGGGCTAGCACCAACCGACGAATCTTAATCTCGCGCTATTTCTATCTGACACTTGACAGTCACCACCGCAAATGGAGGAGCTCATCCAGGACAAGCGGAGCTCGATCGGCGGCGAACCATGCCAACTACACGGTGATGCAGCATTCCGCAGCGACGTTCATCAATCTCGTTGTGGAGACATGATACGCAAACGGGGGAGGGATGTCGAGCCAATACTCGTTTGGGCTCCTCTGGTCCGAGCAGAAAGTTGGCTGGGCGGCTCGGAGCATGCTGAGGCGTATGGGGGATAACAAGAATAGCATTGTTGGCTCACACCATCATCCGATCGAACGGGAAAGAATATAAGACGCAATCAGACCTGAGATCGACTCTCATCATAATCTTCATTTGTATACAATATCAAATACAGTCTTCATAATGGCACCCGCAGCCCCTTTCAACCCACCTTCTGCCGACCTTCCTGGCAAGCCCTTTGTGGCGCAATGGGTTCCTCCCCCAGTCACACAAGAGAAGGAGAACTTTGCCACACTCAAATCGATTGATCTTTCCTTGCTGGACTCGGAAGATCCCGCTGTCGTGGATAGTCTGATCCAGCAGGTTAAGGTTGCTATTCGCGATGATGGTTTTCTTTTCTTGGAGAACTATGGTGTTTCGCTAGAGCAGGTAAGCGCTAGACCAGTCAATGAAGAGAGACCGTTTGACTAAAGTTACCGATGACACAGCTCCATCGCCAATTTGGAATTGCGCAGTATCTTTACAACAACATCAGCGAAGAGGACAAAGAGCGTCTTCTTTTCGACCCTGACACCGGTGTGTGGTCTGGCTACAAGCACCCATTTGGATTCAAGGTACGATAATATCCAGTCTCAGTTACAGACAAACCCACAACAAACTAACACTTATAACCCACTAGCGCCAACGTGGTCCCGCCGACGGTATCGAACAATTCAACTGGTACAAGCCCGACTGGGACGACATCGAAAACCGCGTCCCCCACTGCATCCAACCGCTGATGGACGAAGTCGAGGCTTTTTGCAACTACCTCACCAAGTCCGTTAACCGACGACTCCTCACACTATTCTCGCGTGTCCTCGAGCTACCAGATGACTACCTATGGAACAACGTGCAATCTCACGGCAGCCCGACAGGCGAGGGCTATTTCCGCCACGCGCTATTCCGCCCCGTGAAGAAAGAGACACAAGAGGCTTCGAAGGGTCTTCGCATGCACGGACATACCGATTTTGGCCTCACGACCCTCCTCTTCTCGGTTCCTATCTCGTGTCTTCAAATCTGGGGCCGCGACGAGAAGTGGTATTATGTTCCCTACAAGCCTGGTGCGCTGGTCATTAACATTGGAGATACGCTTGAGATTGTATCGGGTGGCCACTTCAAGGCTACTCGACACCGTGTGTATAAGCCTCCGGTGGACCAATTGAATGAGGAGCGTCTTTCGCTGGTACTGTTTAACAGCTCTGTTGGGGATCTTAGAATGGCACCTGCTGCTGGTATGTGACTAAGACCCCATATCTCTTTTGGTCAGCTACTAATAGATATTCTAGAATCACCTCTCATTCAGCGCGAAGGCTGCGTCGAGGAGCAAGGTGTTTATAAAGAATTCAAGAAACTCACATCGCAAGGGAAATTGGTTCCTACAAACAAGCAGTGGCGCGAGATCCAGATCTCGACAGCCACCGACCCTACAGACCAAGTTCATAACCGGGTCGGTGTTCACCAGGTCCTCGTTGATGGAAAGGTTATGCATCAGCGAGAATACATGGGGATTAAGGTTGTTCTCCCGGTTTGAAGGATGCGGGATATTATCACGATTCAGTGAACGGAAATTCAATAGAGTCCGCGGCTTACGAGTCGTCAATATGAGAAATTGTACAATTCGTTATTAGCACGAGCACGAGTCCTACTCCCTATGTCATGCATTTTTCGTGGTATTCACTTTCCACGCTATCCTAATGCTCTCGAGTGAAGTGAATTATTTAACTTGTATATTTCAACCAAAAATGGTAAGAGAGTGCGTTACCCCTGAGTTTCGGGGCCGCACTAGTTAGATCACGCAGAACTAGCCATCCTATGGGTTGATATTAGGCAGGAATGGTAGGCAGTTGATCTATGAGGGTGCTTACAGTGAATATATTAATTGATCATGGGCTATTCAGGCTAGGAGCAGATATAGCACTATATGAGTAATATTCGCAGTAGTTAATTACAAATATTAGCAGTAGCTAATTAGTTAATTACTGATAATAGCAGTGGTAGGCCTAGGATCAGTGAATATCAACATTTGCAGGTGGATAAATTCGCTAGTCAATTAACAAATATAAGTTTTTCAACATTCAACTTCGTTCTCATTCAATAGTCAACCTCGTTCTCGTTCACTATTCAACCTCAACATTGATATTGAATGGTTGATGGTGAATGATAAACGTTCAACATTCAACCACATTTCGGTCAATCCTCAACGTTGAACGTTCACCATCAACCGGTCAATATTAACATTAATCGTTACCACCGTGGTGGTGGGTTTTCTAGTGGTTTTCCTAGTGACTTTTCTCGTGGTTTTTTTGCGCTTATCAACGCGTTTGCTTGATAATGTATAATATTCAAATAAAATTTTTGTTTTCACTAGTATTATTTAGCACTAAATCTCGGTGGGGTAGTGGAGATCATGAAGTATGCTTGACAGGGGAGTATTAAGTGTAGTTATTTGCATTGAAGATTTGAGGAGGAATGCGTTCGCTTCCTTGTCTGATCGGCAGTCTTTGATCGGCAGTCTCGTTAGGATCCACTATGTGAGATGTAGGAAAGTCATACTGCCTTGTATATTCAGAGTTGGGTATCGAGACCTACCTAGGTAGTGCTTATTGACGATATCACTATCTGTCACTGCTATTATACGCGATCATCCGATCGTTCATCGGTAAAATCATGGTGACCAGAATGCGTTGCAATTATGGTCACATTGTATTGAAAACGTGTTTCATTTAGAAAGCCCAATCCTACCGGTCAAAATAATAATTGCGCATTTAATTTTAGGGCGAATGCAAATATCATATTGGTTGACCCAGTCACCGCTAGGGACCGGCTAGATTAGTGTAGGAAGAGCGATGGAAGTGAACGCATTTAGACCGTTAGAATGCATATACCACATTGGTAGAAAATGGTGGTGGTATTTATACCCTGAGGCGGTGTTCATTCACTGTGCCAGACGCGTGCCTTCCTCATCGGCGACTGCCATTCACTTGGGTCGCCGCCTTGCTTTCAAGGCACCCCTCAGGTTCCCAGTATAAAAACCCCATCCTTCTTCAACTTCCTCCTCTTCTCTTCTTCCTCTTTCGACTACCTCGTAGACCCTCCCTCCCCCTCCCCCGTCCCCGCCCCCGAACTAACTGCCCACGCCCATGTAACCTCCGATTTCTCTTACCGCGTCCAAGCAGCTACCCCCAACTAACTGCCCACGCCCATGTAGCCCCCGATTTCTCCTACCGCGTCCAAGCAGCTACCCCCCGACTAACTGCCCATGCCCGCGTAACCCCCGTTTTCTCATACCGCGTTCAAGCAGCTGTGGGCTTCCGAGGTGTCCCTTCTCTTCTACACTGGACAAGGAGAGTGTGGTGAGAGGCTGCTCGACTTTCTGTGCGAGTATGCTAGAAGCAACACTCTCCGATCAACCATCAAAACTCTGGCTCCCACGAGACTGACATGTCCCACAAGTGTCTGAGCTCGGCGGAATCCCAGAGGACATAAGAGGTGATTTCTTTGTTTTGCTGCTGTTTTTCTATCCCTGTATCTACAACAGTACGAGTTGATCTCACAGCCAATGCGTGACAAGCTAGCAATGTAAATCGTCTACAGCGTGTCGATTTAGATTCCAACACTGCGATAGGCAGGTGCCCACAGTAACACCCACCAGCATCTGCTGCTTCCTCGTCTACCTCAGAACAATGTATCGATGCATCTGCTCATCTTGCAACTCGAAGCTTACATCTTAGACATCGACCTGCTTCTTGATGAACAGCTACCACCACCAGGCAAATATTCCCTTTTAGCTTCAGTTGTAGTGCGACTCTTGGAATATATACCTTGATATTAACACGCAAGGCACGTAGAGGCTCCCAAAATTGCGTGAATAAGCTTCAAGTAAACTCGCTGAAGAGCCGATCGGATAATTAGCATGCCCAAAGACAGCGGGTAATTCCCACCCCACACTCGGAACAATGGTCGCCGACAAAGCTGCCAACTACTTAAGCTGGCCTAGCGCTCTTCAGCAACCAGAGAATTTCTTATACCTCCTTCCAGGTTATCGAAAAAAGCGAGTCTCAGATCGCGACTTCCCCTCAGCACCTGTTGACAGCATCTCGACAGCAGCGATCATCAACCCCGCATACACACCGCGCTGGAAGCCCCGATCACCTGCGCGAAGAACCCCAGCGCGAAAAACCACAGCGGAAAAGGACTCGCACACAAACAACAATGCCCATTCCAATCGTGGACTCTCATATCCATCTTTTTCCAGGATCACACCTACCAACATTCGCCTGGTATAATCCAGACGGCCCTCTAAGCGCCCAGCACAGCGTCGACCAGTACCGACACGCGACATCCAGCGTTCCTGCCACCTCGGAAACGACTGACGCAAAGTACCTGCGGGGCTTTATCTTCCTTGAGACGGATCGTGTCTCCTCCATTGAAGAGTCCGAATCGTCGGGCGCTCCCGGCTGGAAACATGCTCTCGACGAAGTCTCTCTCCTAACGCGAATTGCGCTCGGCCAACCTGTGGACGGAGAAGGACACGGTCCTTCAGACAAGGAGTTTTGCTTGGGAATTGTGCCTTGGGCGCCTGTTCCTGGTGGACCTGATGTCTTGCGCCCGTATATGGAGAAGGTTAAGAAGAGGACGACGACGGAAGAAGTTTGGCGCAAGGTTTGTGGGGTGAGATACTTAGTTCAGGATAAGCCTGCGGGTGTTATGCTCCAGCAGAAATTCATTGATGGTCTTCGTTGGCTGGGGAGAGAGGGTCTTGCTTTTGACTTGGGTGTTGATGCCAGGCAGGGTGGTCTAGATCAATTACGAGAGGCTGTTGAGATGATGGGGAGGGTTTACAGCAATGATGCTGAGTCTCCGGTGACTATTGTGATCAGTGAGTTGATTCAACATTGTCATCCAAGATTCCGGAATGCTAACAGTGTTCTCTCTAGACCACCTTTGCAAGCCTAATTTAAGACTTGCGCCCGAATCCGTGCCTACACATCCCGAATACCTCGAGTGGAAAAGTTTGGTTACCCGAATGGCAGCGGTAAGCCCCCGAACTTATATGAAGCTCTCCGGAGCTTTCTCTGAGCTCCCGCCATTGTCAACCGAATCCGAGCCCGACATAAACGACCTAGCTAGTCGACTCCAGCCATGGACAGATGTTGTCTTCGATGCATTTGGCCCTGACCGCATCATGTTCGGCTCCGACTGGCCAGTAGCTAATATCGGCGGAGGAGGAAACGACATTTCATGGTATAGATGGCGTAGGGTCGTTGAGAGGGTCTTCGAACGAAGAAGCTTGAGCGAAGAGCAAAAAGCAGGAATTTGGGGACAAGTAGCGATCACAGCTTATGGAATTGAGCTTTAAGGATATCATTCATGCAATTGGCTATCAAGAATAGAGATTTAAATTTACTGCAGATTCACAAAAAGACCTCCGTCAACAAGCAGCTGTGCACCAGTCTAAAAATGGGATTAGCAAATGACACTAGGAAAAAAGGGACTGGAATATTTCCCAAACTCACCACATAGCTGCTCAGTTCCTCGCAAGCCAAGAAAACCGCCGGACCAGCAAGGTCAGGAGGCTGACCAAGCCGACCCAGCGGGATCCGACCCTCCATATAAGTCCGCTTCACAGGATCCGCCATATCAGCATCATTAAGCTGAGTACGAATAGTGCCCGGCAGCAACGCATTGCAACGAATCCCATATTTACCCAAAGCCACCGCACAAGACTGCATCAGACTAAGCACACCAGCCTTGGTCGGGGTATAATGTGTCTGCTCGCCTCCACCCACAAGCGCAGAGATCGAGCTAATACCGATAATGGAGCCACCGGGCGGGGACTGGGCCTTTGCCATCTGGCGAGCGGCAGCTTGTGTAGCGAAGAAGGCACCGGAGAGGTTGGTGGAGACGGTGTGGTTGAGTAAGGAGGGTTCAAGCCTGTGATCTTGTCAGAAAGTGCGAATATTGTGGAGCGGGAGGAGACGCACTCGAGGAAATCGGCAAATTGGCATACGCCTGCGTTGCTCACGAACACATCAAGTCGCCCGAAAGCCTCAACGGTCTTTGCGACGAAGTTCTGTCCTGTTTCGGGTTGTGAAATGTCGCCTGCGACTGTGATGAAGCGGGTTTTGTCAGCGCCTGCTTCGATTTCGTTGATCTCCTTGCGTAGGGATTCCAGCAGGTCGTCTTCCCTGGGCCCGCCCAGGTGGCTGATGGCAACTTTGGCTCCGTGGCGGATGTAATCGATGGCAATAGCCTGCGAAGACAGGGTCAGCTCAACTAGAAGTAAAATCATGCGCGTAGAGATGCTTACCCTCCCAATCCCGGTTAAACCGCCAGTAATGGCGGCAACCTTGCCAACGAGTAATTGGGGAAAAGGCATTGTAGATCGTATGATATTTTCCTTTTATTAATCGAGATTCTGAGCTCCTTGCCCGCGAATGCCTTATGCAGCTCGTCTTTAAAGCTCTTCAACGCAAGGAGTTCAACGTGTCGAAAACATGACAGCTGCGGGTGCTTCGCTCACCCAATTTCTCCCCGCCGATAAGATGTCGGGTTTCGCGACGATGTTCGCCCGAGTGTGGGGTGGTTTCCCCACACACCGAGGGGCAAATGCAGTTGTTCCCCGTAGCCGGCAACCCCGACGTGCCGAAGGCCAAATCCCTTGTGATTTGTGGAATTGAGCGTTGCCGAAGCTGGGACATCTTGCGCGTAAATCTGCGCCTGGCTCTGGAAGTTACGGATTCTGGGGTCGCCAAGGACTAAGGCTACGGTCGGTAATTTTCTCATCCGGAACGGTTCAGTCTATTGGATTGAGCTGGAATGCTATTTATGTACATAAACATCGTGGTGGAGCAATTCATCAAAGGCAGGACAATATGGAAAACATTTCAGAATGTATAGAACGCTATCAGAAGTGCAGCATTTAAGCAGAAGAGCCGTTGGGGGTCTGCTCGTTATCCGGGGCCCGCAGCGCCTTCTGGGGTGCCGGGTTCAGAAGGGCAGAGCCAGGGGTGAGGGGAGCGGCTGGGTTGAGCTCGAGACCGAATCCAGGCTTGTCCAAAATTGAGACGTCGAGGTATCCGTTGGTGGGAATGGGCTCGTTGGTGAAGAGGTTACCGAAGACGGGCAGGACGGACTTACCGTCGGGCGAGTTGGCCAGGTATTCTTGGAAGGGGCTGTTGGACTGCGAGACGACGAAGTGGTACGAGTAGGGTCCGGAGGCGTGGGGGACGACGGGGATATCGTAAGCAGCGGCGAGGGCAGAGACCTTGAGAAGTTCAGTCATACCACCCAGCCACATAACATCGGGCTGAATAATGTCAAGGTTGCGGCCCTCAACAAGCTTGCGGAAGCCATAGCGAGAGAATTCGTGTTCACCAGTGGTGAACTTGACAGTAGGGTGGGCGCGCTTCAGCAGCTCGTGGCCGTCGAAGTCATCGGGGGACAGGCACTCCTCCCACCAGTCGATGTTCAGACCCAGTTGCTCGCAGCGCTTAACTAACTCGATGGTGTAGGGGACAGTAAGGGACATGTAGCAGTCCACACGGAGAGGGAAGTCGGGGCCGACACTGGCACGCTGCAGGCGCAGGTACTCAACGTTCTTCAGCAGACCCTCGGTGCCCTCGTCAGGACCGTGCGGCAGAGCGACCTTGGCGCCAATGAAGCCAGCGGCCTTAGCAGAGGCAGGCTGGGGTCCGGTGCAGTAGAAGTTCAGGCGCTCGCGTGTCGCTCCACCAATGAGCTTGTATACGGGCTCGTTACGGATCTTGCCCAGCAGATCCCACAGCGCCAGGTCAATGACCGAGATCACGGCCACTGGCAGACCCTTGCGGCCATAGAACATAGAAGCGCGGTACATCTTCTCGAACAGGTTGTTGGTGTCACGGGGGTCTAGATAATAGGGGTAGATTAGCGACACAATTAAACACAATAGAGTGGAATTATTCCGTACCTGCGCCGATCAGGAAGCGCTCAAAGTGCTGATGAACCAGCCAGCAAGCAGGCGGGCCACCAAAGCCAGTCGCGAAACCCTTGGTGCCATCGGTGGACTCAACCTCAACACAGAACGAGCCAAGCACGTTGATACCCCAGGAAGTGCGCGAGCCGCGGTACTGTGCCCACTTGGTCATGGGAGTGGAGATGTTGCTGTCGATGAGCCAGTGGCCACCCTTGACCTGTTCAATGCATTAACGCAGTCCTTTCAGCTCACAAATTGTCATTTGTTACATTGTGGTAATCGCCGCCGGAACCGACACCATCAATGATGAAGGTGCGGATCTCCTTGATGCGGGGAAACTCTTTGACGGAACCCATGGCGATGTATGAAAGTCAGAAACACAGAGTGAACCCAATGCGAAACTTCTCACTACACCGAAGAAGAGAGATGAGAAAAAAATGAAAAAGAAACCTGGACTCGACGTGGGGGTGCGACACTTTTTCAAAGTCGCGAAGCTGCGAGGGGAAGGCCGAGCCCTCGGGGCATTGCTGGCCCGAGAGGCGGATCTAATGACCCGCGTCGCCAGTGGGAAGTCCATCCGGCGGCAGGGCATACTCGGTGGTGTCGCGTAAAAGGCAAAGGTCGTGGATAAATGTTTTGATTTTCAACACGCGACTCATCCTAGAATGGGGCTTTGCGTCGAATACCACTGCAAATTTGTTGTCGGTAGTGACCTTTTTGCGCGATCTAGCTGCTCCATCCGGCCGCGGCTTATTCCCTGCAAATATATAACTAGCCAGCACTAACAATAAAATTCACAAGTACTGTGCGGACAGAGCTCGCACATTAATAATTTCGCATTCTTCTATTCTTTTCAGGAGCTACATTCCTTTACGACACTTTTTTTACACGTTTCCTCGCTGATCCTGGCGCATTCGCACACGCACATGTGAGTGGAGAACGCGGGGGTGGCCCCAGTTGCTGCCTGAGGCTGCGGTCCAGTGACTCCCCGAGTTTCGTCCTCTTTTTCTCCCTCGGCCATTAGTTTCCCTGATCTTCTCGGACTATCTGCGATCCTCTCGGTTTAGCCCGGCCTCCATCCCGTGCATCGATCTAGGCCCGCGTCATGGTGTGAGACCCGCTATCTCCGTCTGCAGGAACGGCTTGGTGGCCCTATCGTTGCTCGCTATAGCAAAATGCCGAACACTGCACCTCCCGCACAACAACCCCTGCCCCCCAGTCAGCACCCCGGGGACCCCAATCGGGACCAGAGCCCAGCTGAATACTCGTCTGCCGCCGAATCCGATAACGAGCTGCTCGGCGCCAATGGCTCGGGCAGCTCGCGGACGTTGAAGCGCAAGCGCCCCCTCACCGTGTCGTACGTTCCCTCTTGGATCGATTCTGTTCATGCTAGCAACCAGCCTGGCGCGCATCATGAGAAAGCTACCTGTACTAACTGTGTATCAAGTTGTGAGCTCTGCAAGCAGCGCAAAGTCAAGTGCGGTAAGTTTCAACTGCAAGAAAGCCAAAGCACGACAAGATCTAATTTGTTGAGGAACAGATCGCGTACAGCCAAGTTGTGGCTGGTGCACTCGCAATGGCCAACTGTGCGAGTACAGAGAGCGCAAGAAGCCAGGCCTGAGAGCTGGATATGGCAAGGAATTGGAGCAACGACTCGGTAAGAGTGCCAGCCGTCATCTGCTTTCACGATCTAATCATTCGTCTTTGGTTTAGATCGACTAGAAGAAGTCATCAAGGCGCAAGCTCGACTCATTGAGATGCACATCCTTCAGCCAGCAATGCGCCAGGATGTACATCACGCTGGATCGATCGCATACAGCTCTCCCTCAGAACCATCAGCGGTTCATGGTCCCAGTCCCCGAGGCGCACTTTACTTCAATGATCCCTCCTCATCGGTAGCGCTGCCTTCACGCCGTGCGGACGTTTCTATTCCGAGTCCATCGGATACATCAGTCAAGAACCTGGTGCACAATCCTTTGCAACCCGGGGTTCCTCCGTCGGCGATGGGCACGTTGCCACCAGCACCCAACGCTCAACGCACCGACTACACTGGAAACGAATCGTCGTTGGAGGTTCCTGTTAGCCTGTTTGCCAACCAAGAGCACTCTCTTACGGATCCAGATCTCGACCTTCCTCCCTACGATCTACTTTACGCGCTAGTGGATCTTTATTTCGAGCATATCAACTCCTGGTGCCCTATTCTTCATCGTCGATCCACACTGGATACTTTCTTCGGACCATCTCCTCTCGAAGAAGCCGATCGAATGGTACTGTACTCGATTGTGGCAACAACACTGCGCTTCTCCACAGACAGCAGGCTCAACGAACAAAACCGGAAGCGTTATCATGACTCTTCCAAGCAAAAGGTTCTTCTGTACGGGTTGGAGAATTCCTCCGTGAAAGCTCTTCAAGCCCTCGTGATTTTAGCGCTGGACTTGGTCGGTTCTTCTAATGGACCGCCCGGATGGAAGCTCCTTGCCTTAATTACCAGATCTGTGGTACAGCTTGGGTTGGCAGTGGAGTCTAAGTCTTCACTCATCGCCCCTGTTTACCCATCCATCTACACTCTCCGAGCTGTCACTCTGTCAGAGCCAGATTCATGGATTGAAGACGAGAGCAGACGACGACTCTTCTGGATGGTTTACCTGCTGGACCGTTATTCAACCATTGCCACAGCGTTCAATTTCGCCTTGGACGACAAGGACATTGACCGCAAGCTTCCCTGCAAGGATGAATTCTTCATGAAGAACCAGCCCGTGGAAACCAGACGTTTCCATTGCTCGAGTGACCGTGCCGATTACTTGAGCCATGCCGAGAATGTCGGATCTTTCGGTTTATACATCGAGATTCTGGGTATTCTTTCCCGTATTCACGTATTTCTGAAGCGGCCTGTGGATATTGGTTCACTGTCAGACGTGGAAGAATGGCAGGCGACGTATCGCAAACTCGACAGCGAACTGACATCGTGGGAGTTCAATCTACCCGCCGAGTACGCCTATGAGAACTCCTCCCGCCTCTTCAGTGGATCAAAGCAAAGTCGGACTCTACACAGTGACTGGGTACAGCTTCATGCCACATACCAAACGTGAGTAGCACTCCATCTCATGCCTCAAAACCATCCCTAACAACGTCCAGCGCTGTAATCCGTCTACATTCATCCGCCGCCTATCCAACAACCCGCTCCCCAATTTTCACACCATCCTACAGCGCCAGCCAAAGATGCCTCCTAGCAGTCGACAACATCCTCTCCGTAACTCGCTTCGTCGTCGAAAACAACATGCTCGACAAACTCGGACCCCCCTTCGCCTTCACCCTCTGGGTATCAGCCCGCCTCCTCCTAGTCCACGGCTCCACAATCGCCCACACCGTCAGCCCAGACATCCTCTTCTTCGTCGACACCCTAGCCCGCATGGGCTACCACTGGAAAGTCGCAGAACGCTACAGTAACATCCTACAACGCGTCCTAGACGAATACGGCGAATACCAGCAATCCGGCGCAATCGACGGCGAAAGATCCACACCCTCAACAGTCAAGATCCTCGCCGACATGCGCCGCTGCGCATTCGATCTTGACTTCCTGATCTCTCGTCAACCACGTGAATCACCCTCAATGACAAGCGCAGCAGGAAATGACCCCGCCCGTGCCTCGGCGTCTGCTATCCCGCCCCGAAACCTGGCTCCCAATGAACTCGAGTATCTGGATGTCTTTGGCTTCTTCAATGTCCCACGGGTTCCGCCTGCGCGCGCACCGGACCCCTCGGCTGCGGGGCACCTTGAGATGACCGAGTCAGTTCCGAATCCCATGTCTATTCATGGTCTTACTGGGACTGAGCCGGTTGCCGATGCGAATGCTCCTGTCAATGCGAATGAATTTAATATTACGAATTACCTGATTCCGACGCCAGAGACGGACTGGCTTTTCCGGCCGGGCGGTTGAATGTTTCGAGTCTATGATTTCTTTTTCACGAGTGTACGGCTGGACTAAATTTCTCATAAATATTTTCTAACGATATCCTTATATCCTCTCAGCGTGGGGTTTTGTTTTACGACAGCCACTGCTTTATGTTTCCATTTACAATACCAGTTCATGGCTACGCATTAGCCCCTTGCAATTCCCATCTTCATCAACTCTACTCCTCCTCGTTCAATTCTCATGAACATAGTGCTCTACTACGAATTGTTGTGCAATATGATACCCTTCAGATTTCTGGAAATGGACAAGCTACTTTGATACTGATATGATCGAACTTTAAACCATGACGTATACATACTCTGCTCGTAGTTATAGGCTCGTGCTTGTATTACATTGCTCTAAGTCCAAGCGCTTCGATAGCACATTCCAAAGAACACAATTATCTACTGGGATAAATTTAATTGTTTGTCTAGCGTAATTTAGAAAAGGCAATACAAACGCTTTAACGCACCTGTTTTTTGTGCTTTCCCTTAGAGTCAGAAATCAAACCAAGGAAACAAAAAGGAAAAGAAAGAAAAGAATTCTGCCCGGTACCAGACCAGGCCGGATAAAAAGCTAATTTCAACCTGTAGATGCACGCATTCAGTGAAAATCCCGGTGGCCCTGAACTTTGAAACCCCAAGGCCACACCAATCCATGTCCATGCTTGAAAATAACAAAACTCCTTTCTAATGGCGTCCATTTGGCCCAATCCGAACAAGTACCTCCTCCAAAAAGACATCAAGAACGGCGTCGACGCCACCACCCATGGGGACGGGGTCGGTCATATCCCACTGGTGAAGTCTGGTCATTAGGCTCGCGATATCATTCGTGATTCCCTCCATTTCGGCGTGAACTTGTACACGACGATCCCAAGCCTCGTGTTCCTCAGGCGTGACCTCACGCTCTCCCTGGCCATAGTTCCGGACTGGATCGTGACGAGCGAGGTGACGGCCGCGACGATTCATGGCAGTGCGGAGTGCGGGTACAATGACTGAGCCGTAGGCGGTAGCACGCTCCGCTTCAGCGGGAGTTTGGCGAGAGTTCGCAGGTAATTTGGGTGTATCGGGAGCTGGAGTAGACCCGGTTGGGGTTTGAGGACGACTGGCATTTCGATAGCGCGGGTCTTTGCGACCCGGGGCAAGCTTGGACTTCAAACCGGGTTGTGGAGTCGGTGATCCGGGCTGTTGTTGATGGGCACTGGGCGGACCAGTACGAGGTGACATAGCGCTCAGATTGAGATCAGGCAGTGGGCGCTGGCCGAGTAGATGTTTGCGAGAAACTTGGCCTGGGTTGCGCGACTGCTCAGCGGAAATATTGCCGGCGGATTGGGCATGTGTGGTTTTCGGGAAATGGGGCTCAACCGGGGAGGATGTCTTTGATGGCGGTGATCCACCACCGCTGGCGAAGTCCACAACTGCCTTTGTGTAGCGGTCGTTGTGGACATTGACGGGGGAGCTATTCTGAGAGGTGTTGGACGCCATGCGGGGAGGAGGGGGTTGAGCGACAGGTGAGACAGGCTGGGAAGAAGCGGGCTTTGAAGGGGACAGAGGGAGAGGGGGAAGGGCAGCGGATGGCATGGAAGAACGTGAGATATCACCGAGCTGGGGACTTGCGTATTTTTTGGCAGATGGGTTAGCCATTCCCTGTTTCGGGCGAACCAGCGGTTCTGTTGATGGCTTTTCATCGCCTTGGAGATCCCACTCCTCAGTGTCTTGAGAACGGGAATTAGTATCGGAATCCTTCTTGGGTTGCAGGGCAGGTCCAGTAGGCCGACCAACGGGTCTCACGGTGCCGAAGTCCCAGAGGTCCTCCTGATGCTCAGAAGGCGCCGCGGTGGGCTCCTCAACCTCGTCGTAATACTCATCATCATCCTTACCACAATGTGTTGCCTGCCAGCGTTCGGCACGCTCAATCAGTTCAGTCAGGTATGTTGTCCGCTTCGCCTTCTTGATGAATGGGTGCTCGAGCAGCTCCCGTGCAGAAGGTCTCTCCTTTGGGTCCCGCCGGAGGCACAGTTCAACGAACTGTTTGAAATGTTTCGTGAAGCTGCCGTTCAGAGTCGGAGGTGGGTTCTTGGGGATCAGGAAGAGGACCTTCATGGGGTGGATATCTGCATAGGGTGGATCCCCACAAGCCAATTCAATTGCTGTGATTCCCAATGACCAGATATCGGCTTTGTAGTCATATCCCGATTGCTTGATGACCTCCGGTGCCATCCAAAACGGAGTCCCGACAAAAGTATTCTTCTTTGTCATCGTCGCGGACAGCTGCCCAGAAACACCGAAGTCGGCCAGCTTTACTTGGCCACTGGCACTCAACAAGATATTCGCAGCTAATACACGTCAGTTTCTTCTCACTTGGCTCTGATATGTTGGAACACAATGAACTTGCCTTTGATATCTCGGTGCAGCTTTTTGTCCGTGTGGAGATAATCCAAACCATGCAGAAGCTCTCGCAAAATGATTGCGATGTACTCTTCGTGAATCGCCCCTGGGCGGAGCAGACCGTGGCAACTGCCACCAGAGCAGAACTCCATGATAATCCACAGGTTGGACCCTTTCAGATAGGATCCATGGTACTTCGTCACGTATGGAGACTTGAGCTCCGAGAGAATGGCGATCTCTTGAATGATGTCGTCGACTTCGTCTTCGGCATTCTCGACATCGATGATTTTGATGGCGACTGATTCTCCGGTACGCCTATCAACGCTATACGGGTTCCAAATGTTAGTAAAGTTCTTGATATGTAGCTCATGATTCCAAAGTCACTTACCCTTTGTAAACTCGGCCAAAACTTCCACCACCTAGAGAATATCATGGTCAGTATACTTCACACACGTAGTCAATATGGAGAGAATGACTTACCGATGCATGTCTGCTTGGTGTAGATGGACTCTGGATCGATCGGACCCGGCATTTTGATGAGTGGTTCTATCGGCAACGCTCTGAAACACACGACCTCGAAAGGGTGAACCGCGGTACCGCGGGCCTGGTCTTGGACCGATGCGAGCTTGTTGGCGAGCCTAATCGGACCGCAGGTAGAACGTAGGGGGTGGTAATAGGGTAAGCAACCCTGGCGAGAAAAGGAGATGCACAAAAGATGGCAAAGGCTTGTACCAGGCAAGCGTGTGCAAAATCACGTCTGGATAGAATCGATAAAGGATTTGGGGTCGATTTCCAAGGGGGATACGATAGGATAGTAAGGGTGGTGTGGGACGTGAAAATGACTGCCTTCACAGGACTAGGTTGTTGTTAGTGGAAATTTCCGAAGAGTGAATTTGGGACGCAGCCTAGGCTGCTGCCCAGGCATAGCAGAGCCAACCTACCGATACGGAGTCGTCCCTGTGCGGCGTCAACAAAAGAGGAAGGAGTGGATAAGAGCGTTCAGGTGGGCTGTCGCAGTGTGTATGCACCAGTATCAGACCACCAGTGATGAAGCACAAGTGTGTGAAGGGGAAGTTTGGATCGGTGCGAGAATTATCGCAATGGCAAGGAGATCGTCTAGCGGAAGCCCTTGCGTTGTTTATCTAGACGCGGGGTGCATTCTGCCGATAGCAACTAAGGGCGGTGTGCTTATCGGGCCCTGGATACAAGATGGCCGCGGTGCAAAGAATAACGGTACGGGCTTTAAAAAGGCCCGGGGTGAGCAATCATAAAGATACGTTGAAAACCTACCTTTACATATCAGAGACTGGGAATAGTAAATCTGCTGCGTAATTCGTGGGGAAATCTAGGCCCGGAACTATGGAAATCTTGAAAAACGTTCTATCGAGGCGATACCTCTGCTACATCGCGCGGAGGCGGTGTTGGGGAGATTCGGGTCCTTGCATGCGGCAGCCAAGGTGGCGCTGCAGTCGACATCCAATTTCGGAGTACTGCATGAAGAACTTGGAAATCACTGCCACGCCGAGACAACCGAGTGTCAGCAGGAGCGAATCGAAATGCGCTTAAAGCCGCCTACTCCTCCAGATATCCAATCATGACCGTACCATTCTTCAGCCCTGCGTCCTCGATGCTCGTCGAAAGATGTTCGATTAAATTGCGTCCCATGGCATTCAGCTCAAACCCCACACCGACCTTGTCCTCCAGAGGTGGGTCGGCCTTGAGCCATTCATAGATACGTTGGACCGGATCGGAAAGCGCAAATCGTCGAATAACCCGACCAGACGGGTGACGAAATTGAATGCGGGTAGTCGTTGCCGGGTCTGCAGCAGGCTCTGTGTGTGGTTGGTTGGTTGGGATGGAGGCGAACACGGAATTTTCCGATTCTTCATCAGGCTGAGTTCCACTCATGACCTCGTCGTCGTCCTCGGTTGCCCGGCCCTTGCCTTTGACGTCGTCGGTGCTGCGAGTCAAATCGTCGGGGTCTCCTTGCTTTTGTCCAGCAGTTGCTCCCTCGCCAAGGCTGTTCCTCATGGCCATCTCCAACATCTCCTCCTCGGTCATGGCGTCCACGGTCTTCTCCTTTTCTTGCTTGCGCTTGGCAACAGGATTTCGCACATTGTGTTTCAAGCTGTAGCGGTCGAGGAATTCGTGGAGTTGCATTAGAAAGTCGGCAGTCTTGACAACCGGTGGCCCAGACCAGATCTTCATCTGTTCACCAGTTCGGGGATCGACGATGGCGATGTGGGGATAGTTGTCGGAGACGTCGCTCGCCTGGAAGTAATATTGAAGATAGGCAGATGCCTTGGGGTCGTCCTTAGAATATTGTAGGAAGATGAAATGCTCTCGCACAGTCTCTTGAACACTCTTGTCTTTCCAGAGATCTCGGTTGAGAACTTGACAATCGAATATCGACGAGTCTTGGATGTTGATCAGTAGCCACTTCTCGTTCTCTTTGCCCTCGTCACGCGCGATATCCCAGGGGACCCGAGACATGATCTCAAACGGGGGCCGGTACATTTCCGCAAGCATATTTTGTTTTGATGAGATTTCCGATGCACCGCCTGTCGCTCTCGCGAGTTGCTCTTGGTGGGTATCCGAGTCGCCGGCCCAGATCGAGGAGGTGTCGCGCTGGTTGAAGATACCTGGGCGCCCTGATAAGAGTTAGTTCATATCCAAACATTCAAATAAAGATTTGCATAGGGGAGTACGAACCACCACGTTGACGAGCCCGCAGTTGGCTCAGAATATTGGTGTGCATAGCATCATCGTCATCGTAATCCGCGCCGGGCCCCACCAACGTCTCAGTCGTGCGCGCCATCGGTGCTCGTACACCATCGTCGTCAAAGCCAGCACCATGACCGCCTCCACCAGTTGCGCCCTCACCTCCGTACATTTCCTCCTGGAGCCGGCGAGCCATGGCAGCATCATCTTCGAACGTTGATTCAGCCGGTCGTTGGTTCTCGATATCGTCATCGGAGTCGGAATCAATATGAACGACGCCTGATTCATCCTCAAAGCGAGAGGATCGGGGAGGCTGGCTGGGCTCTTCGCTCAAGCCGCCGTTTTCGAAGTAGAGCTGCATGGCCTGTTCGATGTTAAAATCGGCGAGCTGCAGGTACTGTGTCGCCAGCTCCGGCGTGGAGCCGGTAATTTCGGTAAACTGGGCCACGACGTCACTTTCCATCGTGGCGATGGGATCGAGTGGCTACTGTCGAGATGAAAGATGTGGAATGAGGAGGTGGATAGAGAGCAAGAAGGAGTGTGTCGCGATCTCTAGATTGTCGGTGGTAATTGTGGGGAGGGAAGCTCGAATGCAAACAGCTGCAAACCGAGGATCAACACAGTGGATACCCCGCGCGACGGCTGTTGGAGCAAGATGACATCAAGAGAAGGTCAGATCCAGCTTCCTCGAATTGCCAAGTGAATCAATATGAATAACCAGTAGTATGTAGAAGACCAGTCAAAGAAAGCTCCGAGCGAGTGATCTGCCATCGGCGACACAGCTACCAGTCCCGTGACCCGCAGCCCTCGGGGCGCTGACTGCGTCTTTGGTCAGTGTGGGTTTCCGTACCTGATTTTACCCGCTTAGGAATGCGACGCGTCGCGTACGCGCCCAACAGGCGGAGGCCCGTGAGGTGAAACCCGCGTGGGAGTGTCACTGGCATTGTCACTCGAACTTGCATCTGCGTCCCGATCACCGTCACCTCCGCTCCTGCATTTCGATTTCACTTCAGAGGAGTAATCATGGCAGCTACGGTGTTGGGAAAGCGTGCCCGCTCAGCCGCCGAGGAAGGTGAGTTCTCCGTCGCTGTGCCTGCCGCCATGTGAGAAATTTGAACTTACGCAGTCTTGCTTCCAGCATTACCGGTGCGCACAACAAGCAAGCGCCGCACGATCGCACCTCGAGCCCCCCGTGAATTTGCTGCGCCTGCCTCGACAACTCTCCGTCGCACACGATCCAGCGCACGACTCGCGAATCAGCCGCCGCCGGACCAGGAGAACAACGAAACCCAGGAAAAGACCCATGCAAAGACCCAGGAAAAGGCGCCTTCTAAGCACACAAAGCCGGTCCCTGATGAACCAACTATAGAGGGTGAATCTCCAACCAAGATCAAATCGCATTTCCGCACCTCGAAGCTTGTTCTGGTAGAGGGTAAGCCGAGGGAACCGGAGATTTCAAATCAATCAATGCTAACTCATCTATTTGTACAGAGGAGCCCGAGAAGCCCGCACCAGTTGTTGAATTCAAAACTCCCCAGAAGAACCGATACCGAGATGCCCTGCAACATTCTCCAGTCACTCCCCGGCATCGCGTCCAAGTCGGTGCCAAGTCATCGACTCCCAGAACCCCTCGGCACGCCGATCTGCCTCCCACCCCACGTCCAAGTGCTACACCCACTGTTCCGCAATCGGTCTATTCCCAAGCTCGCCAATTGTTCGCTCGTGGTGCCAACTCAGGCCGCCTTGTGGGACGTGATGCTGAACGAGAAAAGGTTGCTACGTTTGTCAAGGGCTGTGTGGATTCCCAAAGAGGAGGTTGTCTCTACATTAGCGGACCGCCGGGAACAGGAAAGAGTGCAATGGTCGGCGAAGTCTGCCAGGATATGGATCTGTCGTCCGTGAAGGTGTCTCACGTGAACTGTGTGAGCATGCGGAACGCCCGTGACGTCTACAGCAAGCTCATCCAAGACTTCGGAGACGAGACGGAAGTGTTCAAGAAAAGCGAAGCCGATCGATTGAAGGACATGTTCCTCCCGTCCAAACCTGATGGTCTCTATCTGGTCTCCCTGGACGAAATGGACCATCTCTTGATGGGAGATTCGGGTGTTCTGCAGTCTCTGTTCGAATGGTCCCTCCATGCCAAGTCCACCCTCATCCTAATCGGCATCGCCAACGCCCTGGACCTGACAGATCGATCTCTCCCGCAACTCAAGGCAAAGAATCTTAAGCCTATCCTGCTGCCTTTCTTGCCTTACAATGCGGCCTCCATTGCCAATGTCATCACCAACAAGCTGCGATCTCTGCTTTCGGCGGGTGAGGACTCGGATCCCAAGTTTGTCCCTTTCCTACAGCCCGCGGCTATTCAGCTTTGTGCGAAGAAAGTTGCCTCGCAGACCGGTGACCTTCGAAAAGCATTCGAGCTGATCAAACGCGCTATCGATGTGATCGAGCAAGAAACGCAATCAAAATTGCAGAAACAAGCTGCCGAGGCCGAGAACGCCTCAATACTCGCAGAGAATAAGAATCTCTCGACAACTTCGTTGAAGCCTAATCCAGCCCCTCAGACCCCAAGCATGGCAAGCTACACTCCTGTCACAGCACCTCGTGCCAGCATCGCCCACGTTGCACGTATCACAACATCAGCATTTGGCCAGGGTACCATTCAAAGGCTCAAGGGTCTCAATTTGCAACAAAAGGCTGCCATCTGCACCTTGATTGCTCTAGAGCGCAAGCGCCGCCAATTCGAAGCTCCCAGCACGCCCTCGAAATCTCGCTCGGGAGCCCCGACTGTCAAGCAGGCATTCGATACTTACTGCATACTGTGTCGAAACGATAACATCCTCCACCCTCTCACATCTACCGAGTTCAAAGATGTTCTCAGCAACTTAGAGACCATGGGACTGGTGGGCGATTACCAAGGTCGGGGTCGCGGTGGTACCGTGGCTGGTGGATCTGATGTTCGCCGAACACCTTCCAAATCTGGCAACGTGATGTCTACTCCTCATAAGAGTATGGATGAGCAAGGTCTCCTTTGCTTCGTCTCCCAGTCAGAAATTGAGGGCCAAATCGCCGGGCCTGGTGAGGGCATCCTGAGACGCCTGCTTCGGGGTGAGGGTCTGTAGAAAGCCCACCCGAACTGACCATTCTCGAGCTGAGTCTTCATCGTGTTTGTGAAAATTTCCTTTCCTTTTACGTGCATCCCCGGAGTCCTGTCAAGCGGAATTCGTTCGAGTTCAACACCATCGCATTTTCCGGCGTTGAACCTGCATATTATATTTGAGCGCTATTCTTACGATTTCATTTGTTATTTTGATTCTTTCCTTTGTGAATCATGCTCGCGACTTTGTCACGTTTCATACTGCTTGTCCAAAATCATTACACAACTACAATATATGATAAAAACAAAACCAAAACCAAAACCAAAAAAAAAAAAGAAAAATTTTGGATACAAATGGAAAATTCTATAAACATGAAAGTTTACGGAGACTTGATCGTCATGACTCGTAACGCCGCGGCCCATAATCACGATATCTCCGTCCCAAGAACACATCCATTGACCCCGGGGGCAAGTCATGGAATTCCTCGGTTGTTCGAATGAGAGCCTTTGATCAATATACGGCATGGCGACAAACCTAGCAGGGAAATACACAATACCCAGTCTGGCCATTGATAAACCAACCACAAGAAGGACCCATGTGAAGCATGCACTGCCGACGGCGCAAGATCCTAGCTGCTCATGGCCGTGCCTGATCGAAACATCATTAGCGGCAAACTTCAGCAAGGATTCGGCGCCATCCAAATGGGGCCGATATCAGGGATCATGGGTAAGCAGATTGAGACTTTGCATCCTAGGCTCGGGCGCACGAAAATTGCAAGGCTTCTGCTGCCCTATTTCTGCTGCGCTATTGCTGATGAAGAATGATTATCAGAGTGTTCTTGTGATCACCGATGAGAACGAGGACGAGGGGAGAAATGACCACAATGAAGGCTAGTAACCCGCTTGATCCCATCTTCCCAACTGGTCACCCGCTGTACTTCCTACTGCCACTATTTCCACTATCATTACTTCGTTACCGGCGACACTATTGCCAAACGCCTGGCTCGTAGAGAGGCTTGCAGGGCCCCATGTAGGGATATCTCTATTGGTGTTTTAGGAGACCTAATCTTAGATCAGCCAAGTTTATAGTTATCAGATCCGTCGACTGCGTCAGCGTGGGTCAATCGGGAAGGTTGTTGTCCATTTAGTAGATCATCTCAGCGCGTGGATATTCCCGACGGCTCATATTCTTCTCCTACAGAAGGGTATCTCGCTAAATGCCAGTGGAGAGGGGATATAGATAGATTTCAATTAAATACTCCTAGTTTTCCCGTTCCATGGAAACGTGAGAACCCAGCATCAGATAAGCCACGGACGATCTGGGAGGAACGGAAATGGTCAGCCGCAAAAAAAGCATCATGCACTTTTCCAGGGCTATTCCAAATGGCGAACAGCGAGTGCGGGGCGTTGAAGTTTCTTTCTGATCGCAATAGACAAGTTCAACCACTCAATATCCACTAGGAATGGATACTTAAGACCGGGCTTGTCCCTGCTGTTCGCACTTTGTGGTTGCGGAGTACTTCTCAGCTCCCATGTAGTTATAACTATACATCTGTATATCGTAGGCACGATCCCCCCCCCCCACGATCGCATCTTGGACACACCAGGAAATGGAAATTCCACCATCTCACCCAAAAGACCCTCCAGCCGACTCAAATCACCTCGCACCCACATCACAACAAGAAAAAACTCACTATGCCAACTCACTTAACCCAACCTCCGACCTCATCACCTGGGACACCCCAACAGACCCAACCTGCCCCCTTTCACTGGTCCTCACCTAACGATGGACAATAACGCTCCTCTGATCAATGGTGGGATGGTAACCCTAATGAGCGCCTCAATGCTCGCGCCCGCCCTGGGCCCCATAAGCAGCGCCCTGTCAATCAGCCCCAGATAAGCAAACACACTCCTCTCAATCTTCGTACTAGCCTTCACCTTCGGCCCCATGATCCTCGCGCCACTAGCCGACTGGATCCTCTCGTCGACCTGGTACGTACTCTGGAATACAGTGTGCGGCTTCTCACATACACGCGAGCTCCTCAACAGCCGGGTTCTTAGTTGGCTCGGTGCGAGCGCCGAGTACGCAATTACCACGCCTGTGCTGACAGATATTTGGCGCGCTAAGCAGCGGGGTCATTTGTTTGCCATCGCGACATTTGTGCCGTTGCTCGGTCCAGCGGTTAGGCCTGTTTTTGGAGGCCTTGCGGCCGAGCGGATTTGCTGGCGCTGGCTTTTTTGGGTCCTCTCCATCTTTGATGCGGTGCTCGTATCACGGACTGGCTATGGAAAGAGGAGATTCCATATGATGGGTCCTTTCTCCTCTACTCCCTCTTTTGTCAACATTGTGGTCGAATCCTACTGTTTTTTGAGGCGGGCCCGATCTATCGCAATTGATGACTATCGTCCAAAGCTAACCGAGTGTCTTTAGTTGACGGCGCCGGAATATCGGACCACTCATGGTTTTAGGATGGTCTTCTTGCCGGCTGGTCTATTCTGGTGTACTGTTGGTCGGCGGAGGTCATGGCGCCGTGGATTGTCATGATAATGGGGGCCACGGTCTTTGGGTATGGTGTTATTCTCAGCACCCAGACTATGCAGCAGTATGTCATGGAGTCTTATCAGGAATATGCTGCTTCGGCATATGCGTCAAGTCAATTCCTGCGGAGCATGACGGGTTCTGTTTCCCCATTTTTGCGCCGGCATTGTATGAGCGGCTCGGGTATGGATGGGGGAGGAGTATATTTGCGTTTATTTAGATTGAGTTTGGGGTACCGGTGCCGTTTATTGTTTGGGTTTATTGGGCTAGATTGAGGGACAAGGGGAAGGAAAGGACGAACGGGAAGGTATTTCCTACTTAGATTGATTCTCTAACGATGTACACCTACCACCATGCAGTTCATCCCATATACCTCGGGATTAGGGGAATGTCAATGCACTTCTTACGGGGTTGAGGTCGGTGTTGGGTGTCTTCGTGGGCGGTGTTGAATTTACAGATAGAATGAAGTCGGGAGAATGTACAAAGGAAGCGTAGGGAAATAAAGTCCCATCTTATGCAATAATACATACATAGGCTGAACCAGAAATACAAGAACAAAAGAAATGCATCAAAGCAGCGTGACCAGATAAAAAAGTAGAAGTAGCACCTACACCTTTGCTATCAAGTAGAATAGCAGGGTATAGGGAAAAAAAATTTCACAAGGCGAGGCATGGGTATGTTATGTATGCGCAAGCCCAGAAAAAAAACCAATACAGATGCGGGATATGTCCGGGCCATCCATCACCATCATGCGTATGTCAAACTGAATGCATTGCACGAAAACACTACCAGTAGTAGAGGGCTGGTGAGAACGGTCTATACAAGACCCGGTACCACATCCCCTCAAAATCGCAGTTAATCATCCATGGGCTTATCTTCCAGAGTGACGCCCTTGGGCTCCTCGACGACGCTACTCCGGTTACTCTCCGATCCCGCGGTGACGGACGAGTTGGTCGGGAAACTTGACAAGCTTCCGAGGCCCGGCTTGCGGGTATACCGCGCAGCGGAGCGGGGAATGGATGAGCGCTTGTCGAATTCGGAGGAGGTGGGGGCGGGAGTGGGGGTTGGTGTCGGCGAGCCATCTGAAGCTGTCTCGGGTGGAGGAGGGGGACTAAATGAGCCCGAGGAGGCATTGCTACCGTGGACCTCGCTCGGCGAGTCGACAACGGTGCCGTTCATGGCGGTTGCGATCTCGACTTCCTCGTTGGTGATTGCTGGAGGAGAGTTGTCTGCTTCGGCGGAGGTTTTCGGGGACTCGTTAGGGACGTCCAGGCTGGAACGGACGGGTGGGCGGCGCTCCTGGGGGCTGGTTACGTTGATTGGGAAGCGGGTGGATTCCGATGCACCGCTGGATCGATCACGGCGGTGACGTTGGCGCGGCGCGGGACTCGTGGCTCGGCTTTTGCTGGCGATGGCGCGTTGGCGAGCTTCCATTGCGGCACGGCGGTTGCTCTCGTCGGTGCTGATGGCTCGCGGCCGGCTGGATGAAGAAATGCCGAGCGCGCTGGACTGGCGCTTCAGCTCGCCGAAAATGACGTCCTTGTGGGCGAAGAGGTCGCGGATCAGGCGGTAGCTGTGGCGCTCGTCCATGGTCAAGCTGCTTTCGGTGCGAGGCCGGAGCACACATGCGGAAAGATTTTGGGCCAGCAAGGTAGTGTACTGCTCATCGGCGGATGTCAGGTCAAGCAGGCGGGTGAAGTGGGTCATGATGGCATCAAGCGTGGCGATGTTGACGAGACGGAGTTGTCCAAGCGTGCTCTGCAGGACCTTAATCCGTCCCTCTTCCGTAGTCTCGTGAGCAGTAGTGGAGTATATGGTCTTGACGATTTCGTAGACTTGAGAAGAAACAAGGGAGTCTGCAAAAACTTAGCGGGGGTACTCTTGTTGATCAGGAGAAGACAAACCAACCTGGCAATTCAAGAAGGTACAATTTCAAAACGCTAGCAACGATGGGAATTTCAAATTTTGGCAGAATCTCGCGATAATCCACTTTGCTGTTGTTCAGCGCGGTGCGCAGTTGGTGGATGGTAGTTAGCGACGAATCGTGAAGCCAGATTCCGCGGCGAGCCTCGTCACCCTCAAGCTCGGGGTATTCTAGGAAAAGTCAGCTTGGCACACGAGAACACTGGAAGGAAGAGACTCACGGTTGTCAAGGTAAGTCAAAATGGTCGTAACGAGAATTGGCACGCGTTTACGATCGACCCGAGCTCGGGCTTCGAGATCAACGCCAAAGTTTTGTTCTGGGTCGCAAATAAGTATGGGTTGACCTGTTGATTCGGGAGATATCTTACCCTCGACTGAGCCATAGTAGTTCTCGTATGCCTGCACGCGAGGAACAAAGCCACCGGTGCGATAGTTCTCCAGGAGGTAACGCAAATCACCCAGAGGCTGAATCGTCTCTTGATAGAGCATCATGTTATCGACAGTGCTCTGGAGGTTGGGAATGACATTGCTGATGGCGCCAGAGAAATCGAGAACGACGGCCTTGATAGCCTTGAGGCGGTCAAGCTCGCACTGCTCCATGAACCGCAGGTTATCAATGACTTCTTCCTCCAGACGGCACCGGATCTGATCCAGCCGGCGCACAGCTGACTTGTAGCGTTCATCGGCCTCAGTGGCCTCTCGCCGCAGCTTCTCGGCGGGGGTCTCATTCGGGTACGGGTTGTTCAATGGGTTCCAGCCGGCAATCATTTCAGAGACAGACGCGATGGGCGAGTCGCTCCCACTGCCATCTTCGCTCGAGGCGACAGATGTCACGCGCATCAAAGGTCGCTTCTTCTCGGGGATACCGGTCAGCTGGAAAACCTTGGAGCGCCATTGGTAGTTCATTTTCGAGCTGTTCGCAAAGGTGTTGCCCATGTTGCCAATCAATCGCAGGAAGCCGTTGTCCACCAGATCCTGTCCGATGCGCTCCGCCTGAGCGAGATTCGTGGCTCCCATGTGGTTCTGGAGGTACTCGACGATATCCGCGCCAGTCGAAGTATTCTGATATGTTCCGATGATGGGAACCTTAGACTCGCCCAGCTTGATGTTGTTCAGCATGTGCAGCAAAAGTCCCTTGATCTCCTCCGGCGGGTAGACGCGATCTCCAATCTCGACGGGCTCCTCCTCTTCATCGGGCTCTTCTTCGGTGGGGAGGACGATTTTCGGTGTCGGCTTGACCTTGGGGCTGTTCTCGGGATCTTGGAAAGCGAGCTTGTTCTCCTCCTCGAGATCTTCGACTACACGGCACTTGTTGAAGTAGTGGCTGCGCAGCTTCTTCACCACCTCTACCTGCTTGGAGTGTTCTTTAATGCGGCCTTGGAGGTTATCATGCGAGGCCTGAACACGGAATTCATGGCCATCGCACCAGCGTCGAAAGGGCGCCACGACGAGTTCGCGGATATTGCTAGCAATCTTCCGGTGGTTGCGGGAGGCTTCGACCATTTCCGTGCGGACACCTTCGTAAGCCTAGAAACAAGAGCAAGCATTAGTATCAGAGCCTCACTCGTACCAACATAGACCATCCAAGTAGGTGTATCTTACGTACCTTCCTCACACTCGCACCGTCATCTTTGCCGAAACCCGCAGCAGACATGCGATCGACGCTCGGCGCAATCTCGCCCATGCGGAGACCATACTGCTCCTCCGCATCCGCCCTTAGGGCGGCGATCGTCAAGATCTGCCTGTTCTCCGTCACGCCCTGCTGCAACTTGCCATAGAGAACCCCGAGGCCGGTGGCATAGTCGGGGGTCCAGAACGAGTCCGCGAAGCCAGGCATAGTGACGACCTCTGGACGGGCACTTCACGGGACAACGACGTATATGACAGAATAGAGTCGAGACCGGGGATGCCGCGCTGTTCACGGGAGATTGGAATTGGCAGGAAGGAGAGAGCGCAAAGAGGGCGCACCGCAAAGCTCGGGGCGGATCCGAAAGTTCAGGTTTGGTCGGGTCGGGGCCGCAGCTGAGCCTGGTGTCTCAGTGAGGATCGGTGGGGAACGGGGCCGACACGTTGTTCGCGGTCGCTGTCGCTGTAGTTGTTTCCGGGACTGGGTGCTGGGACTGGGTGTTCGTCGACGAGTCGGAGTCGGAGTCGTAGGCGCTGGCAGGCCAGGTGGGAATGGGTTCCTCGGAGGAGAAATTGGGGATCGGGCTGCGAATGCTGGGGAATGCAGGTGGCGCGGCACGGTAAGCGCCGCCTAAACGAACGAAAGGGCGGCAGAAAGGGACAGACGCAAAAGGAGGGAATGCAGAATAGGGGGTTCGAATGAGGAGGAGGATGATGATGATGATGATGAATTCCCATGCAGTTCGTCAGGTGGCTTGTAATATTACGGCAGTACATCTCAGCACAACCAGCCTGGTTGGCTCCACAGCGCACCTTAGTACTAGCAGTACAGAGCAGGACTAGTAGGCGCTGCTATTTTTGGGGTTGAAAATCCCGTTGGGCTCGCACTGTTGACCGCATGGAGATCGTCCTTGGGGGCTCAATTGTTCGGTGGTTGTGGCTAGCCACGTCTGCGTCGAGATGGTCAAGTGTTGCTGAATAGAAAACAGTAAATCTACTAGTATACAATTACGTTCTTCAGGCGCAGCTTCCTTTCAGGCACACTGTCACATTGCACTCCCCAGTAACATTGTACCGCTCCGGAACAAACACACAAACATGCCAAGTCCGGAGGCTCGGCGGATCGGCGATAGCCAGCCAACCTTACATTAATGCAAGCTACAATAAGCTACAGCGAAGCTTTCCAGAATACAGTGGAGATGTGATGCATGAGAAGACCTGGATTGTGGTATCTTTCATCGCCAGGACCGTCCAAGATGGAGAAACAAAAATCACTCAGTGTACACAAAAGGTGGGAATATCAAATCACAAAAACTCCATGACCCGAGGGCACGAGTCAATCTAGCAGAAGAGTTTGTAGAACTTCTTCCACATAGGCCAGGCAGCTTGCTCGGCCTTCTCCTGCTCAATCAGATGCTGCACATCCATATCCCGGCGACCGGTGATCAGATCCACCTCACGAGTGCGGACAATCTTGGTCTTGTAGTAGAACTTGTACGGGATGTAGAAGAGGACGACGATGGGAGCAGCAAGGTAAGATTGGAAGAAGCTCTCGACGCGCGCAGCACTGGTCATCTCACCGTATCCTACGGGGGCGAAGCCGACCCAGAACTGCGCGATGAGGACGAGGCAGTTGAAGATGAAGCCGATCCAGGAGCCGATGACGCCGGGCTGGGAGCGGAAGGCCAGCTCGTCCAGGCTGTGGCCCTGTAGCTTCCAGGCGCGACGGAATCGGATGTGGCAGAAGCAGATAGAGCCCCAGGTGAAGATGGAGGACAGACCGGAGATGGCCATCATCCAGTTGAAGGCATCGGTCTGTTTATCCGAGGCAGCGAGGAAGCAGAGCAGACCCAGTGCAGAGGCGACTGCAATAGACCAAATCGGGCGACCCTTACGGTCAATGTAGGCCAGGAAGCGAGGAGCCTGGCCCTGCTCGGCCAGAGCAGCGAGGGTACGCGAGGAACCATAGACAGACGAGTTACCGACGGACAGGACAGCGATCATGATAACGACATTCATAACCGAGGGAAGGCCCTTGATACCGGCATTCTCGATCGCAATGACAAAGGGCGAGGCCTTCGCGTCGGCCGAGGAAGATCCGCTAAGTAGACGCTCGTTGTCGTAGGGGACCAGAAGACCGACGAGAGTCAGGCAGACGACGTAGAACAGTGCGATACGCCAGAACACCTGCTTGATAGCGGTGGGGAGAGACTTGCGGGGGTTGGCAGTCTCAGCGGCAGCGAGACCGACCAGCTCAGTTCCAGCAAAGGCGAAGGCAGCATTGACGAATACACTGCACAGACCCTTGAAGCCGTTGTTGAAGGCACCGGGAGATTGCCAGTACTTTCCACCAATGTAGCCACCTTCGGGACCGCCACCGCAGTTGAGGATGATACCGAGGATGCTAAACAGGAGCAAAAAGGTCAGTCACAAGCCATTCTAGAGTTTTGGGCAACAGAAGAGGGGGAAAGGAACTCACATGAAGCCCACGACGGCAGTGACCTTGATAATGGAAAAGACAAACTCAGCCTCACCATAACCGCGGACACCGAACAAGTTAATCGAGACGATCATAACCCAGAAGATAGACACCCAGGCCGCATTCGAGACACCAGGATTCCAGTAGTCGACCGTAATGGACGCAGCGACGATCTCTAGCGGCAGGACAACCAGCCATTGTAGCGCATAGTTCCAACCCATCGCAAAGCCCCAAGCGGGATCCACAAAACGAGTGGAGTAGTGCGCGAACGAACCAGCAACGGGGAACAAAACAGCCATTTCACCGAGCGCATGCACGGTGCAGTAGAGCATGACACCGATCAGACAGTAGGCGATAATCACAGAGGCGGGACCACCAGTCGCCAGCACAGAGCCGGAACCGACGAAGAGACCGGTACCTGTAGAATGACTGTTAGCATGTTTTTTTTTTCCTCGCATTGTATTACCCGAAGCGAAGCTACGCTCGGTTGGGCATTTTGAGAGCAGTGAGGAACGTACCAATTGAGCCACCGATGGCAATCATTTGCAGATGGCGACCCTTGAGCCGACGCTGCAACGGGGATCTAGCCGTGTTGGCTGCGGCGCCCTCGACATCGAAACCTGATCCATCGGCTCCCTCGGCATGGCCATGTCCACCGGTCACATTGGCGTTGGGATCGCGCTTGAAGCTGTCGATGAATCGCTGGCCGAAGCTGGCTTTGGTGGCCTGAGAGTCACCGTACGCAGGCAGGTGGTCCGCGGTCGTTTGGACCGTGCTCGACTCAAACTTCTTCTCGTCCATGGTGAAAGTAAGGGAAACCAAGATTCGGGAGGGTGTGGAGTGAGATAGAGAGAGGGTGTAGGAACCCAGGCCAGTCGCACCTGGTGGGGGGATCTACTCTTCCAGAGAGGTGAGGTGAAAGGGGGAAGGACCGGACTATCGCAAAATGAAGAGAGGGGGGTAGAATTGGGGGAGGCAATTAGATTTAAATACAGACGAGCCGAGAGTAGCCATCGCCATTCTTGGTACCGGTACTGGTACAGAGAGAGGCACAGTAGTACTGGAGGTATTTCTGGCAGACAGTTTATCGTACATCTTCCATTCCCTCAGCCAATGGGTACGCCTGATACGGGTGCGCTTGGACGACTTCTGGAAGATGTCCTTGGCGCTGACGGAAGGCGAATTTGATCCAGCATGGATTTGGACTCTATTATCGCCTTTGCATTGGTTTTAGTCATGTGTCGTATTTTTCGATTATGCTGCGCGGTTCTTTGTCGCTCGATTTTACCTCATTGCGCGCATTTCATATCTAGGTTTTCAGATAAGGACGGCCCCCAGTGGAGCGAGGGAACCCACACTGGTTTCATTTCTCCAAATGCAGGACTTGGTTCGAACGATGCCCCATGGTGGCCCCACGCCACCTATCACTCGCGTGAGCCTGTCAAACGGGACGATCCATGACCAGTTAGTACTGTATAATTGTATCCTAGGGTACCAGATGCCTCGAGAGTACGGCGACTAGTGCACGGTACCAACTTACGCTGCGAACACCGCCCTATCGAGTTATTCCCCGGTACGATCAAGTACCACGCTAGAAAGGAAAAGAGTTAAACAGCGCAAGAAGCGGCAGGGATCAGGCCCCGCTAGTCCCCATGCGTGCATCTCTCCGCACTTTGCGATAACCGTTCTTGGCACCGGCCGTGATAAGGTCAAGGTTCGCTTGTGAAAGACACGAGGCTACCACGTTATCTTAGAAGCAAACTACTGCCACTTCTAGTGAAATATTCGAGTCCAGCATCCCGGTGCATTTCTTCACAGGCGTACATGCTTTCTCCTTAGGACGTCCACAGGGATATGACTACCTACGGGGCGGGATCAGCACCACCATCTTAGCCCGCAAGCCCAGAGTTGCCCCCTTGCCTATGGGATGGCTTCCCGACGGGGTCCGTTCCTGCTCGGCCGCGGGCCACGCAGACACTCGACATGTGTGCAATCTCCAGATCCCCAGCCGGGCCCCGTCGTAGACTTCGTGGTAATCCAGTCGTGGACAGGCCGCCGACCCACTGAGGCTGGATTAGGATATGTCCCATCCGCCAGAATCTTGGGGTTACCGAAACCTACTTTCTAATGGGACGGGAATGAGTGGTCGCCGGCCAGGATGGAGTGATTGGCCTATCGAGAAAAGGGTTTCGGGCTCCCCGGGCCAAGCAACCACCACACCGTCCCGAGGCTCGCAAGCGAGGAAACTCTCACCTCGAATCACCCGGAGAGCCCCGTGATTCGTTCCAGCCACTCGCTCTCGTGGCGGTCTCTTCTGAAATGGCATGCATGGAAGCACGGGAGAACCAATGCTAAACTCCTAACCGGGCGCCAGCTTTTCCCTCGCGCACTACCTTGCATCACGCGATCATTCGATGGGGCCTGTTCGACCAAGCAAGACTTGCTATGATACAATGTATCTCGTATACACCATTTGCCCAGCCTCGATCGTGCTTGGCTAATCACACCCTATTGTAATGAGCAGGTAGTTTGGGAGATTCGGTGCGCACCTCGGCGAATCCCTATTGCCAATTCGCGAGGTCTCGTTTCGCTACTTCATTTCGGCGATGTAGGCTTAACTCGCGCGTAGAGTAGCTATGACAAGTCCAAATCTATCTATCCTCTGGATCGTAGGATCTGACCTTCTCGAAGCATTTCAAACAGGGGTGCATGATAGCCTTGCGTTGGTTCTAGATTCGAAGACCCCCTGCCCAGATCAGTACTTCGAAAAAAAAAAAATCTAACTGGTCAGTATCAGCCCTGTAAGCGCAACGCTGTTCTCGCAGCATTCTCAACTGTGCAGGGAATCTAGAACCGCCATCGATTGACCCTAAGGTAGTTCCAGGGTCGCTGGACGGATTCCAGAGCTGAAGCGGACACGCAAGGAACCGCCCCGGAGGCGCAGCTGCGATTTCTGCTCCAGGCTGGCTGCGATGCTTGACTTTCAGCCACCTCTGCTGATGGCGCTCTGGACGCGCTTTCACTGGCTGCACTTTTTGGGCTGAAAGCCACGGTAGCATCGGGGCTAATTGGCGCAGTGCGTGTTCCTCGGGCGCGCTTTGCCTTGGTCGAAGGTCAAGGCCGATTGGGTTGGTGTGAGTTGTGTGAATGATTGTGGTGTTTGCGTTGGTTGGCGCAGCTGTAGAGTGGCGTTCATGCTGGTTTCTAAGCCCCTTAAGTTGCTATTTGGCTGCAATTGGCGACAACTCATTCTTAAGCTACAGTACATCAGGTGAAAACAACTGAATTGTGCTATCACACTGACAGCGAAGAATGAATAATACCAATGACCATAACCGTAAAATCCACATCCATATCCTCGATAGTGGCAACAAGTAAAGCATTCCGGCCGAGCAAACCACCGCACAACCACCAGATCACGCCATGGCAAGCTGTCTGCCTGACCGCCACTCGCCAAGCAGCCCCCCGATCTTTCACATTGTCCCAGAAAATTGACAGGTTTGAGACAAAGACATCAAAGTCGAAACACCTGGTCGCTTTAGAGTTGTCCCACTCGCCGACCGGTGCCAGTTTAGCTCTCGCAGAATGCGGGGAGTCCAACTTGTTACCTAACAGATTCCACCTTCGCCCCAGGAAGCTGGGGTAGTCTGGTCCGCACGCCTGAGCGGCGAATCGTGCGCGCATTATTTGCTGGTGCTGCTGACGGTTGATTTGTGGTCATTTTGCGCGATTTATTGTGTTCCTACTAGTCGTGTACAGATGCTGCAAGCTCAGTGGGGGTGTGGACCGAGGTACTGCGGATTGTGATAAAGTGGCACGTTTTATCGGGCCTGTCTCTATTGACTGGAATATTCGTTATTGGGTTATTGGTTAAGGACGATGCTACTTAAAGGAGGGCTTGACGAGTGCTTCTTTTATTCTAAGATGCATACCAAATAAAAGCCATCGCAAAAAATCTACCAGTACTTACGAAGCTGGACGATCTCACTCGGCATTTCGCTCTACCTAACATGCCAAGGTGGATACATGCATGAAACTACCAGCTCGCCAGTCCGATCGACACATATTCTCCATCTCAACACCTACCCCATCCACCGGCTCGGTGCCATTACCCCAGACTGAGATGACAGGTGATGATCTCTATCCAGGTCCGGGCAAGCTCTGTAGCGCCCGCATCTAGCCCCATGCATCCCCATCGAAGGAGGAAGGTGTTTTGGGAACATGCATGCACGATCCACCATGACTTCATACTGGACTGGAGACTAGTTTACTCCGCACGGCAGTTCAGTTCAGTCTGGGGAAGTCGTACTAGTCGGTCCGATCCACCTCAGTGCTGTTTACATTGCCCGTCATGCTCTGTACCCGCGTAACGAAGTCATACATTAAGGTGCTGTACGAATTCAATTGAGAGGCTAACCTACGAGCCCGGGCTACAGATAGGAAAATTAGCTCAACACCCGCGCTGATTATGCTCCAGGGCGTTCCTGAAACCGTCTCTAGCCGCCAGTAAGCTGATTGAGATAGACTCTGGCTGACGGCGGGTAAATGCTGCATCTTGCATCGGGGCTTCGGGTGGCGGCTGGCTGCGATTGGGGAAGGTAAGGAAGGTTCATAATACGGACTGCCAAGGGCTTCTAGAGTTGTCGTGGGCGTTGCTGTTGACGTTCTTTGGAGACCGCGGTATACTTGGGAGCCCGGGGCCCCGCTGCAGCGGCGACATTACAGCTGCAAGGGACAGGCGGCTTTTCATTTTCCGCTTTATTGGCATCTTGGCTCGGGTTCTTGGCCGTGAAGGGCTATAATCGACCTAGTGTCGTTACCGCAGAGCAGGCAACGATGGGCGGTTAACGTGGATGGATTCCAGAATGGAAAAAGTTCATTTGATCAATTAATTCCCATTGATGGTTCTCATGTCATTGCATTCGGTATCATAATCACGCAAGGTCTTTTCGTAAGGTTGCAAAAGCGAGTTCGAGCTTAGGCGTTGGCGTTCGCCATGGGGCCTTCTCCGCCGGGAATCAACTTGTCCATGGTTAGGTGCTACTTTGGGAAAATGTCACGGGGCCACAAACTCACCATGCAGATGTTGTTGCCGTTGAGCAGCAGCTTGGACAGTTTGGTCTGGGTTCCGTTGTAGTCACTGCAGTCGAGTTAGTCAATGGAATGGGAGAGAAACGAGGTCGTTGGAGCTTCTAGCTCCGGCAGTCCGCGCTAGGCCCAAACCACCTGGGAGACGTACAATTCGGTGACATCCTCGAGGACCATGTCTGCAAACGAGTTAGCTTCTTTCCACGTCGACTTTTGACATGGGATTAGGAGATACTCACTGACGTAGTCGTCGAATCCGAGAAGGGTTCCGGTGAACTCTGTAATCCATGTTAGCACCTCTCTGTCCGCCAATTCTCTGCCAAAAACAACACCTACCTTTGTCACCCTTCATGATCACCCAGATCTTGGAGCCGACACACTTGTCGATAAGCTCTATGGCTGCGTTAGCGGGGTCGCGATTGGCGGGGCAGGTGAGGACGAACCCAGAGGCAGGAGCTGGGAAGCCATGGTTGTTTATAGTCAATGAAGCCTTTGGGAACTTAGAAGACTTTCCAGCAGCAATCCTTGCTCCGGCGATGAGGTGGTGTGCGGCAAAGATGAGGATATAGAAGTGAGGCCGAGCTGCGATCTCTGGCCGCCAGGACGTCGCGTTTCTCCGGACCGGTGAGCTAGTCCCGATCGGGTCTAGCGCCACATCGGCCCGATGCTTTGTGCCTGCCCGCAGTTTGTCACCGCAGCTCGAAGCTCGCAGCTCCTGGAGAACGGCTTTGTTTCGAGCAATTGGGTCGACCGCACGGTAGGGGTTATTGAGAAAACTTTGGAGATTCTCTCTACCCTGCTGTGTCGCGAGCAGACCACTATGCTTGCTCCGCAGTATGCGGACGTGGGCGAGCCTTTCAGCAGGCCTGAGGCATGCGCCCTCGGGTCTGACACCTCGCTACAGCCCATACGGTCACTACTGCAGTAGTTTCTCTGTGGCGAGACCGTGCAATCGGAGGTTTGTGTTCTCCTTGGCCTCGGACAGCCAGCAGGCGGTTAACGTTGTCCGCAATCGTTACAGGATCCAGTACTCTACGCTCCACGCAACGTCTTGCCTACGATCAACGCGAACTCACCCACGGAAAGCGCGGAGGATAGACGGCTCACGTGTTATTCGCCCTTTCTCAAATACTCGCTGTTCGCGCATCAAGCTTGAAGAGGATGACGAGGAAGATGAGCCGCCACCCAAGACACCAGTCCGTCCTCCAGCTCGACTAATTCGCCCGGTTCAGAATCGTGGGCCTCGGAAAGAACCACATGTGGTGTCAGGAGACCTGAGGGATTTGATTGCTGCTCGGAAATTGGAACCTTCGCCGCCGCCGCTGCCAAAACCGCTGAATCCAGCAGAGCTACGAGCCATCGACAAGAAAGCGAAATCAGTATTTGCAGTCGGTCTTCGGAAACTGGACGATCAATTCTTACGCCTGAAATGGGCGCGCTTTGAGGATAATCTCGCGCGCTGCGCGAAGATAAACCAGGAGCTCCAGGCTGAATATGACGGGATCATAGCGGCTCTGGTCTCTCGGCTCGAAGACAAAGTCATGCGCAGCCAGGCGGCGGGCGAGCGCCTTGAACATGAATGGTGCGAAATCGAGTTCTCTGCGCTTCCAGGCTTGACCAAGGCCATTTCGCGCGCTGTATTCGATATCAGCAAGCTCCGTTATGAAGCATCTTTTACTCTATTCCAATACTCAAAGTCCGTTTCGTTGAGCATGCGAATATGGCTGAATAACGAGTTTCTTTTGCCCCGAAGATCCGCCCGGGATAAGGTCGACAGGCTCTTGAACCACACTAGGATGAGATCAGTGCTGTATAAAAGCTTACAGGATAAGGACCATGATGTCAAACACGGCTTGGTGGAAATAAGGGACTTGCTACATCATGTGGGGCCTACGTTCAAACGCTTCCTACGAAGATTTGAAAATCTGCAAAAAGAGCATTCGTATGCCACACATGCTCACCGTTCTGTCTGGTTTGCTGCCCGAAAGAGTCTCGATCCCCTCAAGAAGGCCGAGCTGTGGGACTTTGCAAAGACCCCCCACCCCATTGCTGGAAAGTATAATGTTTCATCTTTGTTATTTGATGATAAAAAGAACCGAGACCTCAGGCGAATGCTTGAACGGCACCCACTTCTCGTTGCAAGTCGAGTTCGCACATTGTACATGAAGAAATGGAAGCCAAATCAGCCCCCTCGATCACCTGCATTGGACAAACATTGGCGACAGCTCGATATCATGGCTCCTTTTCTGTTGAACTTGAAAGAAGTCTTTGTGATTTCCAATGAAACCCGATACTTGAGGGAAAGTCTTGGGGACCACCTCGGACCCATGTGGTCTCGTGTTGGGGAACACACGAAAACCGAAATCGGGAATAAGCTCCATCAACTGAACATTCGCATACGAATGAATTATTCCAGTCTCTTGCATGAGCTTACAATTTACCGATCGATACATTGGGCCCGACTGGAAATAGAGGACAAATTACATCGAATGAGCGAGCCCAATGACATTCAAGAACGAGGTTTATTCAATGTTCCAGCCCCACTCAGCCAGGACCTCCGCAACTTCGAGGATTGGATCCAGAAATTCTGCGCTTTGGACGCCCATGGTGTGAAGATGCAGGTCGCCGTCGACATGGCGCGGTATCCTGGAATGCCATTCCAGCCCTGGCCAGTATTGATGGAAAAGTATGAGGCAATTCAAAACCGCCTAGCCCTCGAGAAGCGCACTGCTGCCATGAACACGTTCGGCTCCGTGGCCGTGCCAAAGCGAAAGGGACGCAAGCGGGCTACGACGCCTGCTGCGAGATCTGCCAAGGCCGCGCAAGGTCTTGCATCGAGTAGAGAGGCATGGGCATCAAAGCCATTCACGCGCAAGCCTGCTGATGACCCCACTCCTTTGACTCTAAAACTCGTCAAAAGCAAAGCAGCCGTTGACAGCTCGCCAAAGCCGGCACCTCCACCTACACCAGAGTATACGAAGCTCAATCCCAGAGAGATTGAGACTCGTCGAGCTCTTGATGTTCATAGCAAAGCCATGAATTATGTACCTCGCAAGGGCAGGAGAAGAAGACTGGCCGGGATGTTACATTCTAGACCTTCCAAGGTGCCAATGCTAAAGCTCGTACTGGGGGTAGGAGCGAAGAAGTCCGGTGGTCATTCGAATACCGATAAAGTTGTCAAGCCCAATTCTACCGTTGAATCTTCCGGGCAGTCGGGACCTAATACGTCTGATGCCGAAAAGCACTCGGGCAAATTATCAACTATAAAACCTCTTCAGTATCCATCACCATTCAACACTGGCTCAACGCGAAAATTCTCAATTCACTCCCGGGCTTTCAGTGTCTCCTACCCCATTGGAGATATCAATGCCTCTTCTACACCGACTGGAGACTTACCGCTTTCAAACGAGACACATCTGCAGTCGGAAGCAAAAGATGCAACGCCACAACAATTCTGGAGCCATAACTCACAGCGAGCCCCGAACGGCCAGAAACCAATCGTCCACTACTGCCGGTCCCTAGAAAACACCGAAGAAGTCGCCCAACTCTTCCTCAGTAGCGAAGTCATCGGTTTCGACATGGAATGGAAAGCACAGGCAACCGCCTCAGACACCATCCAAAACAACCTCTCCCTTATCCAGATCGCGAACGAAGAGCGAATCGCCTTGTTCCAAATCGCCTTGTTCAAGCCAGCACGCACACTGGACGACTTGGTTGCACCATCGTTGAAACGAATTCTCGAGTCGGAAGATGTCACCAAAGTCGGCGTCTCCATCAAAGCAGACGCCACTCGTCTGCGCAAATTCCTCGGCATCGACACCCGGTCCATCCTCGAGCTCAGCCACTTGTACAAACTGGTAAAATACGGCCAGCAGGCTCCGAAACTCGTCAATAAGCGGATGGTGAATCTGAGCGAGCAGATGGAAGAGCATTTCGGTATGCCGCTCGAGAAAGCAGAAGAAGTGCGTTGTGGCGACTGGTCTCGCCCGTTGAATTATCGTCAAGTTCAATGTAAGTTTATATCATCTCTTCTAACTCAAGTACCGTGGTTCTAATAAATTCCTGCTAGACGCCGCTACAGACCCTTATTCTTGTATTTGTCTTTTTAATGCTATGGAGCAGAAGAGATTAGCTATGGAACCCATGCCGCCTCGTCCTGCGCATGCTGAGTTGAGTCTGCCTATCATTCTTCCTGAAGGGAAGGTGGTACTTGCCGACGAGAAAGAAGCAGTTGTCGCTGATCCACTTGATGTGGATGTAAATGGCCATTCGTAAACTTTCACCCCGTTAGGGGCTCATTTTTTTTGGTTTGATTTTCTTTATACCTCACTTTTCTGTGGGAGCTTTTCATGTCTTTCTGCCTTTTTTGGAAATGTTTCGCATTTTGAGTTGCATAGAAGCGCTATCTCATCTCAGCTTGAAGTTTTATATCCATTGTTACATTCCTGTATGTTTTTTAGTTCCTTATTTGATATACTGCGAATACATACTCTCATCTCGTCCCCCGTTCCCGCTATTTGACTTCCATGCCTAGGACTCGTTCAAAAAGCATGCTGTCTCTAATGTCGATGTGCCGTTGATTTGAGCCATAGCTTTGAGAAAGCTCCTGCAGTGTGGTGGACGGCCTCTCCAAACTGGATCCACACCACCAGTCTGAATTGCACGTCGAGGTAGTCTAGCATCGAAGTAGGCGTATTAATGTAATTTAGTGTAAAATCAAATTCAGACTTCGACGCTGCCAGTGTCAGAGTACAGTATGAAGGTCAAATATATAATGCAATGTGCGGGTATATGTTCGTCTAACAGTATATACACATCTACCTACAAAATAGCTCCACACACATCTCAAAATATCTACTAGATCATACGTAATGCAACTCCTATCCTCTCAGAGGCAAAACCTTCGACAACAGGACTTCCTGCCGACAGAGCGGGCACTCGGGCTTCTCTCGCACCCAATCCCTAACACACACCCAGCAAAAGACATGTCCACAGGTCGTAAGACTGGGGTCCTTAAACACCTCCAAACAGAGCGTACACTTCCTTTGTTGTCCATCCGGAATCCACGCCACCGCACCAGGGTCTTCTTCCAGATCATAGCGGGCCGCGGAAGCAGGGAGAACAGGTATCGAGGAAGGGTGCTGAATTGACGGGAGAAGAGCACTAGATGCGGAATCCTTCTCGCCCGACTCCACAGCGGTAGAATCATCCTCATTCGCAGAAGCACTAATCTTGCGCACATGCAGAAATCCCTGGACAGCGATTTGAAGAACCATCAAGACACCGAGAACCTCATAGCCAATCCGTTGCTCGTTTTCTTCGATCTTCTTCGTGAAGACGTAGCGGAGACGCCAGATTCGTTTTGAGAGGTGGTAATAGCTACCCGTGAAGTAAAAGGTGGCGATGCTTAGCGCATAGATAGGCGAAATAGAGGTAATCGAGTCCAGATGCTCAAGAATATATTGCTGGATGCGGAGCTTTGTGAAGAACGGGCGTGCAGCGCTCTTGGATTTATTGGAGGAGTCGGGGCTGGAGAGGGTGGGTTTATTGAGGAGGGAGGCTTGTTGGGCGTTGCGGAATTGTTGCTTTGCGATGCTTCGTTCCAGCTTGTTGCGGACGCGTTGTCTCAGGCCTGGAAGGGTCCGCTGGAGGGTCCAGGGAACCAGGATTGTGCTGAGAATGTATCCGACTCGTCGGCCGATGGCTGGAAGACGGAGGGTATCATCTTCCAGCTGGACTAGGTCGCAGTATTCTTCGCCGAGGGTGCGATTGCCAATTGCTGTTGTGAGGGAGAAGTAGAGTAGCTCGGTGAGGTGTTTGATGGTGTCAGAGTTGGTATGGGCGTAGCGGGCACCGCGGAGCGAGCGCACGATTGTTTGGGCTTGTTGGACGAGTCCACTTGTGAGGAAGACATCTTTCTCGTGTGACCGAATTATATCGGGGGATGTTGCGAAGGGGTAGAAGTGGGAGGTGGGCGAGCCGAACGTGTCGGGCGTGGGGAGCGAAAGATGGGGGTCGTCGTCCGCCATGGTCGATAGATAGGAGATGTGAGACTGGAAGTCACAAATTGAGCGCTTAGGAGTATATGCGCATTCTCCTGCGGAGAGATAATGCCCACAGTGGTTGTGGTGGTGATTGCCGATGCAGTGCAGCTTCCCCAGCCGTCAACCGAATGGAGATCCCCGGACTGCCTCGGCTGATGTCAGGTGACCCAGCCTCTGTCATCACATGACTTTAGTATCCGTTACCTAATGCGTTTCGTGGCGTTACCTAATCCGGCCGCGCCTCCTGAATTCGTGTAGCTCGAAGTATATCAGGCACATGACCAAGTCGCGAGAAGAATTGGCATTGTAGTAGTCGACTGGCATGTCTTTGAGGGTGCTACGGTAGAATCCGAGACCCCTGACATTTCCACCGTGGCAGCGTGAAGCGGATCGCATCGGCAGCTCACCAGTCAGCTGCGTAAGTCGGTGGATGCAGGGATCACCATGATGCCATAGTGGGCTGGCGTCCACCAAAGGAGGACGCGCCCCTGACCGTCGATCGGTGCGGATCCTCGCGCGCACTCTGCAGTGCTAAGAATACGCATCCACCGGGCCCAGCGAGGGCCCCCCGGTGGAGATCCAGACCACTCCAAGCCCACCGCGCTGTTGCTCTCGGCGTCTTGAGTGGGCGGCCTGCCTTGGCTGCGACGTGCTTAATAACCCGAAAGCGGACGTGCGGACGGGGAAAAGTTCCAAAGGTTTCAACTCCTCCAGACTCACCCCTAGTCATTCTTTTGGCTTCATCCTGTCCTTGCCCCCCACGGGGATTTCCTGCTCAACCCTCCTCGTGTCCGCCTGATCCATGGAATAATGGGTCCTGATCAACATGCTCAATTGGATGGCTTCGGGCTGGTCCTCCCTTTCCCCATCCGGATAGCTGCCATGCTGGTGGCCGGTACGTGTTCTTGACGATCTGAGAAAAAGATCGGTCTTGGCTCCGAGTGAGCGACACAGGGCGTGGATTGACAAGAATGTCGCAGGTTTCTGGGGATGGGCCATCAACCTCCACTACCTCGAAAAGGCCAACATTGTACGTGTGTCGCAACCCCTCCGATCGACCATCGCGAAATTCCTCCACCTCCCACGACTAACACAGACCTTTCCACCTTAGGACGTCCCTGCTCTTGTCCGATACCCCTCCCGCACATCCTCCGCCCAACGATCACACCATGTCGCCGCCTACCGCTTGGCCACCTTCTTCACCATTCCCCTGGTTATCTGGCTGATCGTCTTCTGGATCGCCACGCACCGCGTCCCGGAGCTGGTCGAACGCCTTGACTACATCCCGCAGTCCGTCTTCATTATCCTCCTCCTGATCCTCATCTGGCCATTCAATCGACTCTCCCGATCCGGCCGCATTCGCTTCCTCCTCACCCTGAAACGGGTCGCTATTGGAGGTCTCGCGGAGACCCAGGATGGGAAGTTTGGCGACATTCTCCTAGCAGATGCCCTGACGAGCTATGCTCGCGTTCTTGGAGATCTGTACGTCACGTTTTGCATGTTCTTCACGGAAGGTCTGGCCGCGACTTCGAAACCCAACCGCGCCTGCGGCAAGGACTTTGTCGTGCCAATCATTCTGGCTGTCCCAAGTGCCATTCGACTTCGCCAATGTTTGACCGAATACATTCGCGCGCATAAGACAGTCTCGCGCCGGGAACCCAATAAGGCCAACCAACACTTGGCCAACGCCCTGAAGTATTCGACTGCTTTCCCCGTCATTTGGCTGGCCGCCAAGCTCCGCAACTACAATCCTCTGGACTTCCACGGGTATAGCGAGATCACGATCATGCGTCTTCTGTAAGGACTTACCTTCGCAATACCTCTCATGGCCAGCTTTCTGATCTACCCATCTCATAGTTTCATTGCTTCCTTTATCAACTCCGGCTATTGCTTCTGGTGGGATGTTGTGAAGGATTGGGATCTGACCCTGTTCTCCCCGAACGCCGTGATCGTGATCATCCGTATGGCCTGCGACGGCACCGATATTTCCACTCCGACCGATTGTACCACTACGTCATTATCGCAGACCTTGCTCTTCGATTCTCATGGCTGTGGCGTGTGCTCCCGGGTCTCTCATGGCTTCCCGAAACCGAAAGTGGACTTTTCATCCTCATGTTCCTCGAAGTAGCTCGGCGATGGATGTGGGTGTTCTTCCGGGCAGAGGCCGAATGGAGTAAGTTAACCTACCCTTTGCGAACCCAAGTCTTCTGGCGCGCAAAAAATAGATCCGACCCGCGGGACCGCGGTTTCAGATTGAAAACCTTTGAGCATTTGATTCGCTTACACGCTCTTTTGTGCAACAGTCCGGAATACCCACGGGCCTGGTCCAGACGATGTCTTACTTGGCGAATTCAACCACAAGTTCGACGCGGATTGATTCGAAACTTTCTTTCGGTTGCCTGATTCCCTTTTTTCTTCCAGGTAACACGCCAAACACAGCCCATATTCCTTGTACCAACTTGAGCCTGAACGAGCATGAGACACAGAAACATTATCCCTCAATTTTTCTTTTCCCACTTACTTCCTCTCCCCACCTCCTTCGAATTACACAAGTCTAGAACAGTCATAGAAACGAGACCCTGATCTCTGATTTTGCTTGGTGTCAGGAAAAAACATTGCTTGGACCCGTTTACTTATTGTTTCTTGTCCACTTGTTGGTCGATATGTTCCCCTTTTTCTTTCTTTGGGTTCAACGCCTGCCGGGCACTTTCCTTTTCGATCTCGTGATTGATTTAGGTTTGGTGTCTATCTGCAGGATTGTGGATTAAATTGGAGCAAATGAAACTGGGTGTTTGCAAGTGGATCTTTCATTTTACTTTTCTGGGTTGGCCCTTTTCATGGGTTCATGCTGATTGATGCATTTCCAGAGCCTTGTTCTGTATATAGCTTTGTTACTTCTTTCGCTCTCCTTGCTACCCTTCTTTTTTGTTTGGGATCTTGCTGGGTTGGGAATGCATGTGCAATATGAATCCAAGGAACTGTAGTTCTTTGCTAATGGGATTTCGACTTGATCAATTCTACAATATACGACATAGCCAGTTCAAATCGTGCATCGAAGCTTGATAATTTCATTGAGAATAGGTAAGGACAGTATGCGTTCAATTACTTCAACCACAAATTGCAAGAACTCGAAATATATATACATATACATATAAAAAGGCCACACTAAGATCAAGAAGCCGTTTGAATGGCGGCAGCCAAAACATTGTTGACAAAGATTGCAATTGTTGGTATCCAATCAGTCTCAGCTTCCATAGACTCAAAATACCCAACATGAACATATCCTAAAAACCCTAGGCGATGAAGCCTTCACAGCCATCCATTGTCCCAGAATGCCACGGTGAAGATTCCAGATCAAATCTGACCCAAGTGTTCCCCTCTAGCATAGTCAAGCTGGGGCTGACGTGGACTGTTGCAAACGGTGAAAAGTTAGTCAAGCTTGCTACATGTGTCAGTCCTCATATGACAAGGAGATACATTCGACCACAGGATCTTGCAGACTTGACTGTCAACATAATCGAAATGGTATTCATCGGGGAAATCACATTCCTTTGATCTCCTTGGCTCAAGGCATTTCATTCCTAAGTAACAATGATTATCGAAGACAGTCAATATCCCGGCATCCTGACCTATCCCAGCACGGCGTATCGCGCATCATGCCTAATAGGCAATGCTTGTGTTCTGTTGTAAGAGATACCTCATCGTGCAGGTATTCGCATTCGTTGCCGAATCCACAACCTGAAGGGCCTAGAAGGTGGTATTGAGTGCAAAGAAGATTTTCCGCCTCTTCAACAAGTTTATCCAGAGAGTCAGCCTCTTTAGGATGCCGTGGGTATGCCCGATCTAGCCAGTGCCCATTTCGATTGAGCCAAATCTCTTGGGGGGAGGGGGGGGGGGGGAAGAGACTCAGAGATACCAACGCCGGTACCAAGACCCCATCTAAATTTTCAGCGTTTAGAGACGAAGCATCGTTCGCTTCGCCCACAGCTTCTGTTGTTCTAACAAGACGAATTTTGTCAAACGAGCTATAATTTTGTACCAGCTGGAAAATTCGAGTGGGAAGTTCTCAAGCTTCCCAACAAAAAAGATTCTTCGGCATGTAGGGTTGAAATGATTTTTTTCAAGTGCCGTTAAGAGGAATGTTATCCTTGTAAAGAGCCCTGCAGACGGCCGTTTCGAGCGCCAAGCGAGCTGTCTCTGGACGGATAGCTGGGCATTGGAAAAATGATGCTCGGAACATAGCTTCATAACCGTCAACCAGTACGAGAACGGAATGTTTCGCTTCCTAAAACGATAGTTAGATATACCTATCAGGTCAATATTCGAGGGAGAGGTCATTACGGAGAATTGTTTAAGAATCCCGAGAGATGCCGCAAACCTGTCAAATGCCTTTGTGATTCTTGAAGAGACAGTTCGTCGAATTCGACAGATTGCTTCCTGGACTCATTCTAACTTGATCCCAACATGGTCGCAGCATTCCACGGTAGACTTAATCCTCAAGGTCAGTGTTTACATAGCCTAAAAGTGTTTTGAAATAATCGACCAAATACAGATGATACTCACGCCATCATTTGGGGGCCCGTTGGTGGAGTGTTCTTGGTTGTTCACTAAATCCTCTTATTATTGATTGAAGACTTTGATCAAATCTGGCAGCTCCTCATGCCACAAGCCCACGCAGTGATCACACATAGTGGCATTCATTGTGAAGTTTTGCGCTGTTAGAATGCCGATGAGAAGATTTCGAAGTGATGAATTTGGATGATTCGTTTCTCATCGCCGCAGAATGGTATCCCCTTTATATTACTCCACTGTTCTATTTCAAATAATTTCTCAAATTTACTATAACCTCTCAGTAATTGAGGTCTAATGTGGCTATCACTGCCACAGTTCCAGCTGGCGCTTACAAAAGCTATCCGCGAAACTTGGCTGGGGTGATTCCAACCCCGTACTAACGCGACCACTAGTTGGGCTTCAGAGTTTCATTAAAATCAGGAACTGTTTCCAGGACGAAGGTGTGTCAAGGTAGTGTGTGAAACATCTCCGCAGTCTGAGGTTGTTGACGCCATAAGGATCCAGGTCACATGACGTTCAGCCAGGCAGATTCCAAACAAACCTCAGCTGCTACACCCAACGGGAAGATGTCTTCATCCACGATTTTCTCGAGCGATTGTCCTTCATTGCTACATGCGAGCCCCGAGACTACTAGATACATCAAGAGCCAGAGAGGGCATGGTGCCACGATGAACACCCGGATATATCCGTGACATTACTAGTGTACAAAGTAAGACAGGAAAGTGAATAATACGAATGATGTTTGTTCTTGCCCTAGAATAATGAGATAGGCAAATAAACTATACAACAGAGCTGCGCCAACTGCAAACTCCAAAGTACCGCTCGAGATATAAAAGATATAAAATGATCCAGGATAAATATGGCACAGGAAAAGAGAACCAATGTAGAAGAGGAGAAACGTCGCGATATATCGTAGATGCTGAGGAAAAGACAAATATCGTCTCTGTCGTAGATACAATGTCAATGCAGTCTGGAACTATCGCCGATCAGGTCGGCGGGGCGGAGGGGCATGATTCTCGAAGAGATCCTCGAGGTAGGCACTCGGTGCACGACCCTGGGGCGCTTGGTTCAAGTTCAAGGAGCTGGTCGAGCCACCCACATACGAGTGGCGAGAGTGATGCGGCGCATCGTGGTAGGTACCAGTTGGAGGCAAAGATGGCGAACTGCCCGTAGGCGGGTATCCCGGCGCATTCCCACCGAACGAGTCTCTCGGTGTCGAGCTGCCACCGGCGGCAGCGTAAAATCCAGCAGGCAGGTATGCTGATCCGCGGTTGTTGGTCGCATTGAGGCTATGGTGCGATCCTGCGCCGCCGGCAGTCGGGGAGTAGAAGAGCCCGCTGCTGGTGCTAGGTACACGCTTGGAAGGCTTGTAGCTTGCGCGAGTCGCTGCGCCGAGCTTCTCGAGCGAAACGTCTGTCGCGGGCGCTGCCGCATATGTGCCTGATCGCTTCTTCCGGCTGTTTCGCAGTAGGCGCTTCGATTCGGATTGCGCCATGGCTGCGCGCCGTACTGATCGGTTGACGGACCATGCGACCATGCCGCGCCAGGCTAGGACAGCCAGGCCGATTAACCCGAGCGCAGCGCCGACGGCGATGAATACCGTGCCTTCCGGTGTATTGGACGTCTGCATATATGGCGCATTTGCGGTGGGGGGTACAGTCACGATGGCAGCGGCGGTTGAGGTGGAGGATGAGGATGTTGATGTTGTTGTTGTGGAAACGGATGATGATGTTGTGGTGGTGCTGTCGGTGGTCGAGCTCGTCGTCTCCGACGATGTCGAGGACGTCGTCGATGTAGTATCCATGCTGGTTGTCTTCGTCGTTTTAGAGGAGGTAGTGCTAGTGGTCTTGTCGGACGAGGTCGACGACGTGGTGGTGGTGGTGGTGTCAGTTGTCTTCTCCGCGGTGGTCTCGGTCACGCTAGGGGCTTTATCAGTGGTCGAGGGATCGTCGGTGGTCTGGGCGGCATCGGCTGTGGTATCCGTCGTGGTATCCCCCGCTCTTTGAGCAGACACGCGAGCGGTGATGGCAAGCACCAGCAGGAAAAGAAGGATGAAACGGGACTGGGAATATCCCAGCCCTCTTAGGAAGAGTCGCATGGTGACCAGACCGTAAACAATGAAATCAATTCGTTCTCCACAGCGGGTCGGTGGAGTGTCAGGGACGATCAGAGGCAATGTAGAGGACAAAGAGTCGTTGAATCCTGGCTTCTAAAAACCGCTGATTGCTTTCTGTTCTGGACTTTTCCTGGCTCTTGATCGGCCTTGTGGTTCGTCTTGGGCGATAGACTGCCTGGTCGGGGCTGCGTTCCTGACAGGTCAGGCGTTTCACAATCCAAGGCCAATGTGTGAGGCATAGACCATTGAGATCTCCAGGTGGAAACGAAAGACAGTCTCCCAGCAGGAGGCAACGAGCGGCAGGGAATTCTGGGAGGCGAAAGAGCAGTTCGGCGTAAGCGAGAATTGGAAGGAAGCGAAAAGACGCCAAGTGACAAGACTAAGCTAGAGTAGCTGCCTGAGGCCAGAATCTGGGGGTGTCACATGATGCTTCAATTCTACCTGAAATAGCAAAGTGATGTATCATACAAGAAACGCAAAATCAGTGCCCCTAAACCCGAAAATAAACGTGCGAGTCAATGGAAACATGCAACGAGCAAGGCACAGGTCTGGTATCAATGCCCTATTGCGACGCCACCTAATCCAATTACTGTGACTTCTTCTGCACAGCAGCGGAAGTGTCCTTCTCAAATGCAGCGTAGGGGACCTGAAGGCTGCCCAGGGCAGTGACACCAACGTATAGAATGACGATGAAGATGAAGGTAGCCATCAAACCCATGAAGATACCTGTTGCAGCGTCAGAATGATTTGTTTTATCAGGTCGCCCAAATAGATGTGACTTACCAGGAGTGAAGTATTGGTATTCATCGAACAGTGAGGTCTTGCGATCCGAGTCGGAGTCGCTAGAGTCGGAGGAATAGGAGGAGTAGTCGCGCTTCAAATCCATGTGAATGGAGTCTTGGTAGCTGCCTGAGTCGGATTTGTAGACAACAGAGTCGGTCTCGGGGAACTCGCGCGGCGAGGTGATATAAAGGAGTGTGTACTTGAAGCCGGAAGGAATACGCTCAATTATATCGGAGAGGAGACCATCTGGGGGCAGCTTGGTTAGATTGATTGTTATCCATCACCATATCTACCACTTACCATTGTCGGAAAGCTGGGAGGCGCGGTCCGAGCCCAGAGGGAGTACGGGGAATTCGATATCGATGATTCGAGGACCCGACTCAAAAGATGAGGGGTATTCGCCAGCTATGGGGAAAGTAGTCAGTACTCATCTCATACTCAGGGATGACGTCTCAACCCAATCGGGGCCACTGTAGCAACTCACTGGAACCGTCGATGGAGGTAGTCTGCGCCTTGCACTTCTCCGTCAAGACGCTCTTAATCTCCTTGATATCCATTAACCCTGCGACCTCATTGACACTCATCTGGGACCGAATCGACTTGTCCTTGCCGAGCATCTTCGCGCCAAGGCGGGGTGCCGACTTGCGAGTCGCGAAATCGGTGCTATGGACACCGGGCTGATGAACGACGACATAGTAGTCCGAGGGGCAGGTGCTCAGGGAGGTGGAAACATCGTGGAGCAAAGAAGCGCCGGTCTTGATGTATGCGGAGTTTGCCAACAGCCTAGGGAGTGGGTTAGCTGGCGGTAGCTTTCGGAGGTGACCACGACACATACTCAGATGTCGACGCAAAAAAGAAAGGAGAAGTATCACGGAATGCATCAACCGCAGCTGCCCCAAGGGCAAGCAGTCCGAACCTGCTTAGATGCATGGCGTGTGGCGTGGATCTGGGGGATGGAGGGTGATGTTGCCAACTCCCGGGGAGGTCGGACTTGGTCTCGGAGGCGGTCGACCTGGCCCGGCCCGCCTGAGCTTTAGATCCCAACTTTTTTTCCTCCGACTGGATAGCATTCTGCAACCCCACGAAGCTGCGCGCTTTTTCCAACCCCAATAACCTGATTGTCAGACCTACTACTGTCGCTATGGGTCCCGCTGCGAAAAGACGCAAGGTCTCCAAGACCGAGGAGGTCAATTTCGACCCCGATGCCCGCCATGATTTCTTGACCGGTTTCCGCAAGCGAAAGCAGCAGCGCATCAAGCATGCACAGAGTGCGGCCGAAAAGCGATATCGCGAGGAGAGGAGACAGGATCGCGCAAGGGTATGTTCCATATTGCTGCAAAACCCCCTTGCCCAGGGCGCCGCCTAATTCGTCTTATCCAGCTCCGTGAAGAGCGTGCCAAGGAATACAAGCAAGTGATGGAGGAGCACCAGAGACAACTCAAGCGTCTTAAGGAGGAAGATGGCGACGACAGCAGTGATTCCAATCCCAACGAGGACGAAGATGACGAGGAGTGGGAGGGCATTGAAGAACCTCCCGCGGTAGACTACGAGGCGGAATATATCGACGAGGACAAATATACAACCGTGACGGTGGAAGAGATGGATGCATCTCGAGAAGGGCTACGAAAAGCCGTGCAACAGGACGATACCGACGGGGAAAGCGAGGCAGAGGAAGATACCGCTGCGCAGGCTAAAGCCGAGCCTGAGAAGCTCGCCAAGAAGACCAAGAAGCGCGCTACAGATCGACCCAAGAAAAAGAAGCAGTTCCGTTACGAGAGCAAGCAAGATCGCAAGCTCAACATGGCGAAACAGCGGCTATCAAAGGCCAGAAAGGCCAGCAAGCGGAAGGAGCAGTGATAGAGAGGGACATGGTTTTTTTTTCTGTCGATTTATTTCTTATACCACATAATATGCAAATACTGGCTGCGAAAGAAAGGCCTGCACACACATCAAATATCTATGACTTCACGAGACAACCACAAGAAAAGGTGATTAATTCGAGTAATTCGAGTAGGGCACCATAGTCCACATGGCTTGCGTGCGAATGGACACACCGTCCCTAACACGGTAGAGGGTGGAGTAAACGCAACCGGCCACTGTATGATAACAACAAAGCAGACAGATCGAAAAAGGGAAGTGAGCCTGCATCCAACCCAACACGTCCCGACACCCTGCACCAATACCCCGTATACATCTTAGACGTTGCTGATGGAGACCTCGAGGTCGTGCAGGTCCTTCTCGAGCTCGGCGTGCTTCTTGGCCATCTCCTCGTACTTGGACTCCCACTGGTCGCGCTCAGTCTCGAGTGCCTGCACCTTGCGCTCGTAGTGGCCGGCCTTGACGTCGGTTTGGCGGAGCCTGGAGAAAGCAGGAATGTTAGTGGGCTGTAATACGATAGGCCATATCAAAGGGGTCCACCAGGAATTCGCACTTCTCATTTGTCTCACGGAGAGTCTTGTCGTTCTCCTCAGCCTCTTCCTCGAGGAGCTGCACCCGCCGCTGAAGGGCCTCGTTCTGGGTGTCGTGCTGAGCACTCTGGTTGGCGGCATCCTTGGCGTCCTTGACGGAGGCCTCCAGCTTCTCGACCTCCTCCTCGAGGAGTTGGTTGCGGTGGTTGAGGGATGTGATCTCCTGCTCCTTGGCTAGATTCTCCTGCTCGAGAGTCTTGACCTTGGCCTTCAGGTCCTCGACCTGGTCGTGAGCCTCGTCGGCCTCCACGCGGAGGGCGTTCATGCGCTATGAAATAGCATTGTCATTAACATCGGAACGGCCAGTTGCGGGGATGCAGCATCGATATGCACCACACGGACGGGGTGGTGCAAAGGGGACAGCTTGTTCAAGCTACCCCGCCAGGGGTCCAACGACTCACCTCCTTGATCTTATCCATTTTGAGGGAGTATGTAAAATGGGGGAGAAGTGGTGGATCGAGAAATATGTATGAGTGAAAGGAAGTAAAGGCTGTCGCTCAGCGTAGCCGGAGGTGTGTTCGAAAGGGTGGGGGGAGAGATGATCTTTGGGCCAGAGTTGAGAGAGAAGGGGGATTCATGAGGCGGTATACAGTACCCGCCCGCTAGGCACACCGCGCATTGCCAGCCAGGTACCGGGTACTTTCCCGGCCGTGTCCCATACAAACAATACATACGCGGGTGGCTCATTTGCGGTCTGAGGCACCAGCTGTACACAAAGCCCCGCTGCTGACCCGCAGCCAATCACCGCCCCCGAGATCGCCGCGTCTCCACGGGCAACCATGCCAGTCCAAATGTGCTAGTGATTGTCTAGAGCTCCGACTGCCACTTGCCCATCTACAATCCGCGCCGTTATTCGCATTTCGAGACTCGTGAACACCACACCGAACCTGATCCAGTGCATGAAAACATACGATCGAATTCCGTCGCCATGCTGGCCATTCGCGACCAGGAAAACCTGGTAAACACTCACCAAACCACCGCCGCCGCCAAACCCTTGAATCAAGGCCTCAAACAACTCGCTCCCAAGACGCCTGGCCGCCAGGTTCCCCTCCGAGACGAAAACAACCCGATTGTATTTGGCGGAAAGAATACAGTGAAGGGCAATGGAAATCGTCCGGACAATGGGAAGCCCGGCAAGCTACCGCCAGTCACACCCATGGGTACGCGATCCTACGCTTCGGCGCGTGATAGTGGAAGGAAACTGACAAAGTCTCTGGGTTCAGAGCCTCGAAGCCGAGCTCCTCTGGGAGTCAAGACCAATAACCCCAAGACAAAGGCCCCTCAGACACCTGCTCCCTTCGGGGGTGCGTTGAAGCCAGCCAACACCAACCGACGCGCCTCAACCGTACGCAAGAAGACTGGACCGGTTTTGCAGCGATCCCAAACCACGGTGTACACAGAAGCTGCTCAGGATGACGTGCCTGATATCGAATATATGCCACCCAAGTCGACAGGTATGGTCTCTCTGGCGGGGTAAACAACTTGCGTACAAGTACTAACGGTTTTCAGATCTCCCTGATATCCCTGATGATGTCACATACGACACCAGTTTCCCCCAGTTTCAACCCAAGAACCGCGCTCTTGGTCTGGAAAGTGTGTATGGAAAGCAGGAAGTCGGCCCGGATGGTCTGACCCAGAAGCAGCGCAAGTTCCAGGAGAACTCGCTGAAATGTGACCAAATGGCCGAGGAAATGATCATGAAGCAGCTTGATGACATTAAATTCGATGAGCCTAGCGAAGACGAATTCGTGAGGGCCCCAGCTCCGACTGCACGAATCACCCGCTCAAAGACCCCTGCTCCTTCTACTACCGCTAGACATACTCGTGCTGTCTCGACACTTCGCTCCCGTGAGGCCGCCAATGCTCTTGCCGCACCGAGACCAAGTTCTGCCCCGGTTCGAGTGGCTTCCGCCCCGAAGTCCCGACTACCCTCGGCCTTGATGCCCAAGAAGAAGACCAGAGTTCCGACCAACCCTTCATCCATGCGGAACACCGCAGCTGCTGTCACTTCCAACAACACCATCGGATACTCCAAGGGCCGCACTGTCTCGTCTACTATTCACGAAAAGGAAGAGGAATCCAAGGCCTCTGACACCCACACCACACTGTCTCCCGAGACATACATGCAACTTTACGGAGCGCCCCCTCTGGGCTCGGAGATGTGGACCCGTTGCAAGTCCGCCGGCTGCTTCGATGCTCCGGATGAGGACGGCAGCGCCCAGGAGCTTGAGGAGAATCTCCCAACCTTTGAGGAGGATGATGACACCTTGAACTTCCAGCTGGCTCTGTAGCTTCCCTAGGGTAGTAGGCCACTTTTATGCCAACGTTCTGTCTTTGAAAGTCATTCATTTGGCTGTTTCAGCAATTATTTCAGCACTCTTTTTCTGTGTGTTATTCTTTTTGTTATCAGGATGATCAATCGGGGACCTAGGCTGGTCGGTGGATTACGGCGTATCATATGGAAATGAATGTCTTCACAACCGCGGATCGTACTGTTTCAGGCACCCCCCACTTGTAGATCGCTCGCAGGCGAGAGCGCACGGATATCCTTGTATCTTGTCGGCAGAGAGACATGATCGATATTTTGTTGAGGCATATATTATCGGCTTGTTCATGTAAAGCTATAGGGTTCAAGTAATTGAGGCACTCTGATTGAAATTGACACCAATCAGCCGGGAACATCATGATGTATGGAGGACCCTAGCGGTACCTGGAGAAGTCCAGACCGACCCTCGGTAGCTGCATCCACCAGGCACACCGCCCCGGAACTGCCACGATATTATTTACACTCCGGTCTCCTTTTCGACTTCCCACTCCCAATTGACTGACCTCTTGCAGCCATGATGACCCCCACCCCCGGAGTCCACGGAGGACTTCGAGTTCATCCAAACCCCGGCAGCTCCGCCTCAGTCCAAGCCTTCCTTCGACTGCGGTGTCCCGACGACCCTGGTAAGTTCAGTTAGCTCCCGAAGCTCCGCGAGCAACACCGAAGATGACTTCGAGGACCATACTAATGAATGCGACCTCCAGTACCCGGCTATTAAGAATGCCCCCGTCCCTGCCGACTCGCCTGGCAGCGACAGCTTTTCCAATGGCTTGATGGGCTTCCTGCTCATTGTGGTCCCCTGGTACCTAGCCCGTCAGGTTGGTGGAGGGTTCTACACCACCATCTTCTTTGCGATCTTTACCACCATCCCCGTCCTGATGGCTTTCTGGAGCATTTCCTCCTCTATTTCTCCTCGCAAGACTGAGAAGGCCAAGTACTGCGGCCGTCCCGTTGAGCACTACCTCCAATTCCACTCCGAGCACGACCGTGCTACCTACCGCGGCAAGAGCAAGATTCCCATGGAGGTCTTCTACGAGAAGTTCTTCAACGGCGAGGTTGACTTTAAGATGGATGCTCTGGAGGCTCTTGAGTACCGTCATGATTGGGCCAACTTCAAGTTCACAATGGGTCTCTTCAAGCACTTCCTGTTCGGCTTCATCCCTGAGATGCTTCTGCACACTCGTTCCCAGGGTATGCAATGATTCTCTCCGCTATCACGAAAAATAGCTTACTAATGCATTTTATTAGACGAGGAGCAGGTTCGCGATCACTACGACCGCGGTGACGACTTCTACGCTTGGTTCCTTGGCCCTCGTATGATCTACACTTCTGGTATCATCGGTGATATCAACAAGGAGGAGTCCTTGGAGGAGCTCCAGGACAACAAGCTGGCCGTTGTCTGTGAGAAGATCGGTGTTCAGCCCGGTGACAAGATCCTTGACCTTGGCTGTGGCTGGGGTACTCTCGCCAAGTACGCCTCGGTTCACTATGGTGCTCACGTTACTGGTATCACTCTCGGCCGCAACCAGACCGCTTGGGGTAACAAGGGTCTCCGTCGCGCTGGTATTGAAGACACTCAGAGCCGCATTCTGTGTTCCGACTATCGTGATGCTCCCCGTGTTGATGGCGGGTACCAAAAGATCACCTGCCTCGAGATGGCCGAGCACGTTGGTGTCCGCCACTTCAGCACTTTCTTGTCCCAGGTCTACGATATGCTCGACGACGACGGTGTCTTCTTCCTGCAGATCGCTGGTCTCCGCAAGTCCTGGCAGTACGAGGATCTCATCTGGGGTCTGTTCATGAACAAGTACATCTTCCCTGGTGCCGATGCCAGTACCCCTCTCGGATTCGTCGTTGATCGCCTCGAAGGTGCCGGCTTTGAGATCAAGGGTGTCGACACCATTGGTGTCCACTACTCCGCTACCCTCTGGCGCTGGTACCGAAACTGGATGGGCAATAAGGACAAGGTTGTGGCCAAGTACGGCAAGAGATGGTTCCGCGTAAGTTTTCTTCCTGGGAATACAACCATTCAGTGGCTAACGATTCGCAGATCTGGGAATATTTTCTCGCCGCTTCCACCATCACCTCTCGCCAGGGTGGTGCCACCTGCTGGCAGCTTACCCTTGTCAAGAACATCAACTCCACCCACCGTGTTGATGGAATCCAGACCCAGTTCGGTCTCACCGGTGCCCGCCAGGCCGCTATCGACCGCGCCAACGGCACCATCCCCAGTGCCCACGTCATCAAGAAGGACCTGTAAATGTTCCATCCTGACCGTTGTCTTCCGCTACTCTCCAGTTTGACCTCTATAAATCTGTTTAGTATGGCGAAGATATCGAAATGACGTGGCGTGCCTCACAGCTTCATGCTGAGAACATATTACCAAGACACGCCCGACACGAGTATGATTCGAAGCGAGTACATCGGTGAGCAAAATTATTGAGCAATGGCGATTATCGTTGTGGAGAGTATTTCATTTCGAGCTGGACCTTGACGGCTACTCTGGCGCGTCTTTCTCTTGCGCCTATCGTTCCTCGCATTGACTGTCGTCCATGAATGCCTTCCTTTTCTTGTATTAGGTTTTCCGATTACATATCAAAGGATTATCCTTATGACAATTTAACTATCTAACAATCAAGTTTCCACAGCAAGACGTAGCCTATCACGTTCTACACGCGTCGAAAACGTGTAGGAAATCTTAACTCAAATCTCCACGCTTCACGATTTTACAACAAAATTGGGCATCCGCATGGTCTGAAAGTAATCATTCAACTCGTGTCACTAAAGGAGAAATTCTCCGCCAATTCACTGATTATCACCTTACATCTCGCATGAGGAAGGTGACTTAACAGCAGTACCGATCTCGGTCTATAGCGGGTCGTGTAACGCTGGTAGCGGTAGCATCGCCAGCCCCAAGCCATTTGTAAAATTCACATGAAAGCATCTTCAATATACCAAGATGGGCCTGAACTCAATTTCCAATATGAAGTTCCTCGCCCTTCTTGCCCTGGTTGCAGTCGTCAGTAGCGAATTCACCTGCATCAAGCCCGTTAATCGCGTTCCCGCCAGTCTTCCTGGTGTGTGCTGTGACGAGTTGGATAAGAATGCACTGTTGGGATTTGTATACACTGGCAAGAGCTGTATGCAGATACACAAGATCTTCAGTGGGTTTGAGGAGAGAAGCTGACATGTATAGGCTCGTATGCGAATAAATTGAATGAAACTGAGGACGGTAGTACGACGTACAGTTCGTGTGAAGATGGTCAGCGGGCGGCGTGTTGTGACCCGGTATGTCTAAGTCTGGTATGAACTGTCTGAGAGATATTCTGCTAATGACGGAATAGCTCCTGGAAAAGATTAGCTTGGAAACGAATATTGCTTGTGTCTTGCCCGAGTAATCACAGATCTCTGTTCATTTGGGCTCCAAGAAGGCTCTTGATGGAATTGACTTTCGAAATTGGCATGACGTTTGACCAGGTTGCCGTGTCTAAATGAGCTCAATATATAAAAGAAGCCATGATGGGGTATGGTCTAAACAAAAAGAATTTGGCTACAGCAACAATCCAAATTAATCACATTCTATTTGAAAGAAGACAGCAAAAGATGCAAAAGGAGTAAAAGCCAAAAGCAGCAAAACGCAAAGTCTTTAGGCTTGTTGCTCGCTGTGCTAGATAATTTAGGCGCTGTTCGAACTTTTGCTTGAGCAAAATAGAAGTTTCTGGAGTCTGAACTTGATGACCCCCGCGCATCTGCTCGAAAAAGAGCCCTGGATGCGTGACATACAAAGCGATCACAGCGATAGCACACATTCTATTGTATTGTCAGCTGGGGAAGTCCTGAAAAATGACAGACCGAAAACTTACGCTGACTCAAGGATAATAAAGCCAAGCTCATACTGCATGATAGGGTTCCTCCAGCCTCCAGGCATTTCAGCAATTCCTAGAACAAAAATAATAAATTAGTTCAGGCTCTCGCATCGATCCCACGTAGAGAGATCCTTACCGATAGACACAACGAGCATAGGTCGTGATGAACGAAACAGCATTACTACCGCGGAAGACCCAAAACTTCCGACTCTCCCAGACCTTCTGAGCCCGAACAGACAGTTGATACTTCGGCGTACTCTTAATTCGAAGGAAGAAATGAATTGACATCCCTCCGAATACTGTCAGCGTAATCACCTGCCAAACAATACCAGCTAACATGACATTACTGCCAGTCGCAGCACCATCGGGTGTTGTAGCCGAAGCAGTGAGGCCTCCTGGAGCTCCTTGCAAGGATAAAGAAATCAAGTCACAGGTCACGAAGATGTAGGGATACTACTTCGCCTCTAGAAGCGAGACTTCGATTCCGAGGACATTGACTTCATGCTTCAGTGTTAGATAGATCGCTGCTGACCAGAATGCGGGTGCGATGGTTAGGGTGCAGATTTGTGCCTCAAATCCGGCGTCTGAATATGGGTTGTTGTGGAGGAGAATGCGGCCGATATAGCCTGATATTTTTAGCTTTATTCGGAATGCCTGCCAGTAATTGGGACCTACCGATAACTTCCGATGGTGCTCCGAGGAGGACCGCAATCCCATAGGACCACATGCGCCATTTTATTGTCTGGGCAAGTTGGACGATGCAGCAGATTGCGAAAAGTGTACAGAAAATTATTGTTGCTGGGAGATTGGGTGCATAGCCGTAGATGGTGGCCTCGACGGGCCAGTCGGGAGTCACCTCCGTGCACTCCAACGTTGAAGTGGCGCGAATACTGAGAATTGTATCTCTTCAAGGTGCCAAGAAAGAAGATAAGGGAACCCGAGTTCGTTGAAATGATTAATGCTGGTCACCTAGCACTGATTAGAGGAAAAAGTATGCGTATAAATATTGCAGATAAGAACAGAGACAACTTTTTCTGACGGATCTAGACCTGCTCGTAGCCACGGCTGAATTTAGTAAATCTCACTCCAGCTAAACGCTTTTGCATACTGCCAAGGATCGGAAAGACAAAATTTGAACCATTGTATAGGTCGGCACTGTTTGGAACGCCACACTTGATCGACCGTACCCATTTTCTAGTTCCAGCTTGGCTTTCAGCTTGACTTTTGCCTGAGACTTCGATCCAGAACTTGATCGTATTCGATCAATTTCAAAGAACGCCACCTGGTTCTTGTTTTGTAAAAGTTGTGCAAGTGATGTCTGTGCCAAAATTTTTACGGCCGTAGCGAGAGATACTTCATTTTGGCAGTACTGTCCGCATTGAGGGAAGTATCTCCCTTCTCCTTTCAGCAGGCTGTTTCGAGTTACTTTGATCGGACTATTAATGTGAGAACTTCGATGATACGGGCGGTTGATTCTCAGGGTTATGCTCTCTGACCCAGTTTTACAGTCTGGAGAACGTATAGTTATAGTCTGCATCGACTGTCGGCTTTCGATCAACTCCACCCAGACATTTTATTGTTACAGAGCTCTACTTAAGATTGCCAGCCTTAAACCAAGAAGTTATACCCATTCTTCGCACTCGAAATCGCTATGTCAAATCACGAATATTATGGCGAATACATCCCCGAACATCTGGCGGCAGTTAATCAGGCAAAGCAGTCGGAGTTCACCTATAATGCCAGCAGTAGCTTCTCCACAGTATGTGCAACTATCTAATTTCGATGCATTGCTTCCTAACAAGGACGTAGGAGCAGACAGATGGTGGCCATTCCCAGGCCGGGCCAGTTTCATTAACCCAAGGACAGTGGCAGGGACAAGACTACGCTTGTAGTGTGGATAGCGTGTCAGAAGGCGAGAGGAGCTTGGGTTCCACAGTCATTGGAGGAGCAGGGGTAAGCTATCTGCAGCAAAAAGGCGGCTTTTGCGACATTCGAGCTAACCTTCATCATCCCAGGGCGCGTTTTTTGGTCAGCAGGTTGGGAAGAAATCGAGTCATGGGATCATAGCAGATTAAAATTTCGGAGCTATCTTTGAACAGGGAATAAGACAGGGAAAGCTGGTGTCTACAAACGACTCTAGTTATCTGATGTTGGTCTTAGGCACCATTTTTGTACAAGCATGCAAAACACTCCGTTTGCTATTCTCGGTCTTTTGGTGTCCAACTTCGATATTTCTTAGAATTCCCCGCGTGAGATCTTTAGTAGGAGAAACATATCTACAGTCCTGTCATTGCAGCCTCGTCGACCCATACGGGCGTCTGATCCGCGGGGGGAGGTTGCATGGCCTACTGCAAGACGCCCTGGCACGGTTCGACCTCGAGACCCTGATTCGAGTACGCAACCGCATCTCCATGGTTGAATTTCGCGAATATACTGCGCACACGGTGCAATAATGTGTATTCTCCGCACAACTCCTGGCATGGTAGTGTCCAAATATCCACATTGTCCTGCGCAAACATGAGGCTCCGAAATTTGGCCTCTTGGCACACCAAGGCTCTCATCAACAATATCGAGTCGATAGCATGCTTGATATTTATATTGGTCCTGTGCCTGATGGGGTATCACGATGCGCCAGCTATGAATGACAATTTACAACTGCCAAGATAGCCGTGGAAAATGAATCAGTTTGGCATTCTCAAAAAGAAGATTAAACAATATTACTATGCTCAGTCTTTCTCGAGCATTCTCAACCATCACGGACAACCTGAAAGCAACACAATCTTCACACTCAACATGCACTTCCAAGCCCTCCCCCACTGGTAGCCAATCTGGCACACCCCAATGCCGCTTTCGCAGAGCCACACTTCTATGCAGATCTCGATTACAAGAAAATTTGAAAATACGAAAACGGAAGAAGTGCATCTTCCCACGGAATCAACAAGTGGTGCAACACATTGCTCCTTCCACCCTTAAAGCAAGCAGAGGTCAATCAATGACTCGAGATTGAATTCTTCCCGCCCGACTGGAACCTCTGGATGGCCAACGGAAATGACCATAATGCTGTGCTTGTAATCGATCATTGCAAGGAACTGTTGAAGAAGATTGTGGATAGCTGCGGTGCTGGCGATTATGATGAGACAAATGATCATTGGAAGTCGGAGTGGGTTCCTTGAGAGTCTCTTCTTCTTTATACTGCTGAAGCTAATTATGTTCTTCTCCAGAGCGGTTGCTCAGTGGGGATGCCAAGTGTAGGGTTTCAGAGCTACGGATTATTGAGCCCTACGCTGCCTTCGTGATGGTATGGCGACTCTCTTGAATAATGGGGCTTATTACAAGGACAAATTTCCGCAGATTTTGGTATTTCATAGAGAGATTCATTCGTTAAGATAGTGTCTAGTTTGTAGAACAGTGAATAGTTCATGCTAGGTTGATTTTAGCTGAAATCAAAGCGAGAATAATTCTAAAGTGTGGCTTGCGATGTACATTAACGTAGTATTGTGCCGGTTTTAGCATCTGTAATTTTGGCTCAGTGGATTCTGTAGATTACAGTCTGGTCGCCCAGAACGGCCGGAGTTTTGAGGTACGAGCTGAATGCGAGACTCGAACCCGGGGGTGGCTTACGGCCGTAACTCATAGCCGCAACTCCGTACGGACGCTACGAACAACATTCCAATTTGGAGCTGAGATTGCCTTTTTCAAATAATACTAGAAAATCGAAGCCATTTAGAATCTTAAATAGAATCGAATCTTCACTTCGTTCTCTCTAGCCCAGAAGGCACCAGTCCAACAACCAGCACAATAACAATGAACGCACACGACATTTTGGCATGTATCGAGCTGGCCATTTATTGCACCTTATTGCTGCCCATAACATTCTGCACTGTCCATTACATCTTCAAGAGACAGACGGCATGGCTCTACCTCCACGCCTTCGTCATAGGTAGGTCTATCCGGAAACCCAACTCCCCAACCACGGTACTAAATGGTACAGCCAAAATCGCCGGCGCTGCCCTCCTCATCCACACAACCAAAAATAAATCCTCGTCAACAGACCTACAAACTGCGACCCAGATCTTATTCCAAATTGCCCTGGGACCCCTCCTCTCCGCAACATTTCATTCGCGAATACATCCTCAAAAACCGACTCAGGAGAATACGGACCATCATACTCACCACTCACTACCCTGTCCCAGAGCACCTCGAAAATATCCACATACCTTCGACTCATCCATCCGATAATCGCCTGTGGCCTCGTCCTCGGGATCGTGGGTGGCGTTGACCGGATGCCAGATAGTTCGACGGGCGAGATCGATGCAGACAAATACGATCGCGGGGCAACGTTCTCGAAAGTCTCTGCAGATTTGTTCATCATTGCTATCTGCGCGATCTCGGTGGGGGCTTTGAGACTTTGGAAGAAGCGGAAGAGTTTCGCTGCTGTGTCTTACTACATTATTAGTGGCATGGCGGTGATTCTTCCGTTGCTTTTTCTTCGGGTGCTGTACTCTGTGTTGAATGCCGCTAACCTGGATACCACGAAGCATCGGGGTTATACTGCGAAGTTCAATGTTATGACTGGGAGTTGGGTGGTTTATTTTTTTCTGGGGTTGATTCCGCAGGCGATGATTGTTTGGATGTATGTTGCTAGTGGAGTTGTTGCTTGGTTTAAGGATTGACGGGTTGGGAATTAAATGAAGAGTAAAGCTGAGTTGTTCGGACGGAAGGCTTTCCTAGACCCAATACTAGGGAGAATGGCGTTTCCAGAGGTTGCGATTTGAAATTGGGTTATATTTGATCGGAAGCGATTATCTATCGAGAAAAGCAATGATGGATATGTGAAAATGGAAATTACAAGCCCGTAGATCACATGTGGTGGCCTGATGGACAGCAATACCCATGTGGAGGCGGCAAATTAAAGCAAGTTCAGAACCATTCTTGGCCTGGTCTTCGACTCAGGTGCGTCGGAGATGTCATGGCGGGTGTATGCCTACAGTAATCCCCTAGAAAATATCCCCTACACCAAAGCCGTCTTTGACAACAAAGAAATTTCGTTAATTAAAACAGCTATCCAGATAGATCTAAGCTATTGTAGTATAGACAGCCCCCGCCAACCGAAATTCTCACGATGGACCAGGAAAACCCGAGACTTCTTCATACCAGAAGAAAGAATATCCCCACCTTCTATTACAAGACATTGCAGAGCGAACCCGAAGAGGACATAACCTCGAGCCCATCTTTGAATCGACTTTTAGGAAGTGCGCATTCTACTCAGTGGCTTTGACAGGAGAGACAGCCGGCTCCTTCTCAACATCCTTCGCAGAGCCAGAGGTCTCAGAAGGATGGAAGACACCAGCACCGCCAGGAATGATCTGGTGGTCGAGCCTAGCCTTCTCTTCGTCGGTAGCATCGGTGATGTGGACTGCGACCTCCTCGCCGAAGTTCTGGGCGATCTCTTCGAGCGTGAGCCGGGCGGTTTCGGGCCAGAAGAAGTAGATGACTGGGATAAAGAAGGCGGACCAGCAGATGATAACCAGGTAGTATTTCCAGCCGGCGTCGTTGAAGCCCATGGGGGCGGTCTCAAGGAGGATGAGAGTTGCTGGGGTAGCACGTTAGATTTTGGTTGTGATAATTTGAGAGGGAATGTGCTTACCGGCGAACTGGCCGAAGAGCGAGAAGCCCATGCCGATGGGTCGGATTTCGGTGGGGAAAATCTCGGCCACGTAGAGGTACATGGTGGTGTCGCAGCACGTTCTGTGGTTTTGTTAGAGACAGGGTTGAAGTATGAAAGGTGGAGACACGAACCCTTGGAAGGCCAGGTACAGGTATATGAAGAAAATACCGAATCCGTTTCCGACCTTGTTAGTGGTACCGGCATACTGGGCGGTCATGGCGGCGAGACAGGAGGTGGTCACAATGATACCAGCGAAGCCCGTCATGTACATGCCACGTCGAGAGTTGACTCGGTCATGAAGCCAGGCGCCCAGGGGGTTGTAGATGAGACCTGACGGTGTCAGTATATACAGGGAGCAACTTGAGAGTAGGTGTCTTACCAGCAGTAGTCAGCCACACGGCACTGAGCAGCAGAGGCATGCTGCCCTCCATGCCCAGATTGGTGTAAAGCAGAACAGCATAGTTGTTCTGGGATAATTAGTCTCACAATCACGAGACACTCAAACGGCAGCAACTCACAATAATAAGAGGACCGCCAAACTCGGCACCCCACTGAGTTAAGAAGCCGATAATCATACGCTTGCGGTAGGAAGCCTTAGTGAAGACCGCCTTCCAGACACTGCCACCATAAGCAGCGAGTTTCTCAGCCTCAAGTTGGATCTGCTCCTTGGTCTGGAAGAACTCTTCCTTGGCGACTAGGTTGTCGGGGTCGTCGGGCGTCTGGCGAAGGCGCTGCAGGACGAGCTCGGCTTCCTCGAACTTGCCCTTCGTAATCAACCAACGCGGCGAACGAGGCAGCCAGGGGGAACCGCACAGGAGCACGAGAGCAGGCAGGCACTGCAATGCCAGGGGGAATCGCCATCCAAAGGCAGGGATGGTGGTCTCGGCGTAATAGCAAGCAAATCCAACCCAACCAGCAAGCATGTATCCAAACACAAGGAAGATGGCGTGGTGACCGACGAGCCAACCGCGGCGCTGAGCGCTCGACATCTCGGAGAGATACATCGGACATACGGTGACGAGGATACCGATTCCGAGACCGCAAATGAAACGACCGGCCTGGAACATCCTACAAGTAGTCAGTAATCATGCCTCAAAATCAGATATGTGACAGTCCTTACTCAATGGAGTTTGAACCAGCCTGCAAGGCACCGCCGAACATGGCGAAAAAATGCGCCAAGCTGGATATTCGCCTTACGGCCAAAGAAGTCGCAGGACCACATCATGAACAGCGAGCCGACGGCACCACCGGCGCTGAACACACCGTTGGCCGTCGAGATGACGGGTGTTGTGATCGTAGCATAGCCGGGCTTGCCTTCCGCAGGTAGATTGAAGTAAGTGTACCATCCCGGCTGGCCGATTGTACTGGAAATGATCGAAGCGCAATAACCATAGGTCTAATCGCATGTGTTAGTTTGGCAGTCGCGACTCGACGTGTCTGCCGGATCTGCCTGACAGATGAAAGCTCACCATAGACCCAATGGCGACAAAAACAGTCACCAGCCTGTTGTAGGTACTGGTCTGCGTCCCAAATCGACCCATGACGGAAGGATTCGGGGAGGATCTGGGTATAATGCGAACACAGAATCAAAAGCAAAAAGTGACGCCAGCATCAATTAACACAACACAGAGAAAAGAAAGATGAGCAGGGGGGCAAGAAGTAACTGACAGCTGTTGGAGCATGCCCCACCGCCGGCTTAAAGTTCGCCTGAGGAGAAACCTGAGGCCGATCAGCGCGCTAGCCTCAGGCTAGCTTCAGACTAACCCTCCGGCGAGGCTGGGCAGTACTTTGTGTGACAGAACGGGTACATACAGCGCAGGTATGATGGTATAACTTACCCTTGTACTATCTCTTCCAGGCCCGCAGATCCCCAACGCCAGACATATCTCCCCAATGGCAAGGCCCCCGACCGGGTGGGGGGATGCCGATGGTCCGCCTTGCAGGGAAAAAAGAAACATTACCTGATGTCTTTACAGCAGGAATTGCATGACATGCGCACTGTCCAGGTCCCACGATAGGCGATGCTCCACCCCGAAATCACAGGATTGGCATCGGCTCGACTCTCGTTCTCGTACGACAGGGATACTATTTAGCCCACATTCAATAGACGACAATCGATGATTTTGACAATCGCTTAATTGCCAATTCGAGCTATACACAAACAATACGAAGAGCAACGGGATCATGTCTCAACCCCTGTTCGACATTCCCTTCGACGAGCTTCCCAACCCCCGCCAGGTATGGCCAGGCAAGCCAGGCAGCTACGAGGAGGGCCTGGGCAAGCTGGCCATCCTGACTCCTGAGGTCGTGGCGAAGGCCGCTGCGAGCGAAATCAGGAGCGGACGGCGAGTCACGATGGGGTGGGAGCTGACGAAGTTGGACTACCCCAATCTCAATCGCCAATCGTGTCAGCATCAGATTGTACCTTTACTGGGCGGAGTGGCCTTCGATGACATCTACACAATGAATCCACGTACGTTGCAACGGTCTTCGGTTGAACATGAAAATTGACACATCACATAGAACAAAGTAGTCAGTGGGATGGTCTTCGCCACTTCTCCCAGACCGTCCCCGGCCAGTCTGAGCGCGTCTTCTATGGCGGAACGACCGTTGCGGAAATCAACGATCGTCAGAATGATCGCATCGGTCTGCAGCACTGGGCACGGGAGGGCATTGCGGGTGAGTATTGGTCTTTGCTTTTTCTCATACATCGACACGCCCACTTTGGGTAGTGGATGCCCCCCTGCTGTACCCTCTGGACTCCGGCACTAACGTTATAATCCTATAGGACGTGGGGTCTTGATCGACTATGCCACATGGGCTGAGAAAAGGGGGATTCAATATACCACGTTCTCGACCCACCAAGTCCGCCTCTCTGACATCCTGGAAATCGCCAAAGAAAACAACATCACTTTTCAGAAGGGTGATATCCTCTTCGTCCGGGTGGGGGTGACGAAGGAATGGGATACCGTCATGACAGACGAGCAGAAGCGGGCCTACTCGAACAACACCAATCCCGAGCACGCGGGAGTCGAGGCCACGACCGATGTGCTCCGCTGGCTCTGGAACACCGGCTTCGCGGCTATTGCGAGTGATGCAATTAGTTGGGAGGTAAGTGTCTGACTCGATATCCCGCACTCTCAAATTTCAGCCCGTCGGGGTTGTTGTCGGGATTCGGCCATCATGCTGCAACAGGATAATCGACTGACGATTCATAGGTTTATCCTCCCCAATCCCCTGATGTGTTCCTGCACGAGTACGTCCTTGCAGGATGGGGTATGCCGATCGGTAAGCATGAACGCGTTATCCACTTCACAGGACTCGACTAAAATGGAAAAATAGGCGAACTTTTCGATCTCGAGGCATTGGCCCGAATGTGTCAGGAGCAGCAGCGGTGGAGTTTCTTCGTAGCCTCCACTCCGTTGAACATGCCGGGTGGTGTGTCCTCTCCGCCGAACGTGATGGCCATTTTCTAGACAGCAGCGGAGCAAACTCGGTCAACACATACAGTACCTATTACTTTCCTACTCTCACCGAGAGCGGACCCGTCAAGCAAAGCCAATATAAATACCGAATTATCCCATTTCAAGGTTTTGGTGAGTAACCTTAATCCGCCAATCGCCCCAATCAGATTCGTATTCGGGCTCAAATTAGGTTATCTGGATACTTTCACCCAGCCATCTACCGACCGGCTTGCGCAAATCGATGATCAAAAGTTTCAACAGCCGAGCAAAGCCTGCACTGACTTCGGCCATTAAAGTATATGTCGATAGTCGCCACTGATGAAGATCAGTAGGCGATGCCAATAGCGCTATGTTCGGAACGGGGCCCTTGGATATCATCTAGACACCCATGGCTCATCGACGGGTAAATCCGCGTCAATCCGTATCTCATCAAGTATATCTCCACGGCGACGACCACTCCACCCACATCATCTCCGGGCGGGACAGAAAGTCGGGATCAAACCGATGTCATGTCAAAGTCGCAATTTTGGAGCCTCGGGGGATGAAACATCCATAGCAGGAAGGGACCCGCGTTTGCCTTACTCGAATTTGTTTGACGGAATGCTTATCTTCCGAGGCCCCGACCGTTTTTCTAACTGAAGGTCCTTTTTTCTTTCCTCGCAAAGGTACCCCCTGCTAAACGTCTTGTTCTTTTGACAGCGTCTGCAGGAATCGGAGGGGGTCTCGATGGATCCCCAATTTCGCATCGTGGCGTCGTGACCATTTGCTAAGAATTTGCTGCTGTCGGGGTCCAGCGAGCTCCCGATAGCCTGGATGTCTGATCCTCCGATCCACATCGAGGCAACCTAATTCGTTAGTCTGCATCTCGCGCGTCGCGAGGCCATGAAGAACTCGTGCCCCGAGCCATGAAGTGGTGCTAGCGCAGACGTTAAACTCCACTTTCCGCGTCGTCCCATGTTGTAGCGCGAATCCACCCGGTCGTCCCTGACCGTAACCAGATCCCAGACGTTACAAAAACGTAATAATCGTACACTCTTCTTACGGCCCCCAATTACTTCTTGACGGGATCCAGTGCGAGGGCTTCTCAAAGCTATGATCGGGAGACGGTCGAACATTATACGCTTTTTCGGGAGACTTCCGTTTCCATGCAATCCCAGTAGATACCTGAAGAATGTATCCCTGTCAGGATAGCACTAACATCAAGATAGGCATTGACATTAGCATTGTCTCAATCGTGACAGTTGACAGATAGAATGCACATCATTCATGTGAATGGCCCGGCAATTCCCCGAGGTCGATGTACATTTTCCGAAAGATTTAAACGCCGGTCGGAACATCCAGCCAGCACACAGGATTCAATAGCCCTCTTGCCATCAAAAGCGCAGTGGGGTGCTATTCCCCGTCCAAGTGCACGAGAACATCCATGTGCGGAGTCTACCCACATCAGCTTATGCAGAAAGCGACCATCATGTCTGTAGTAGGAATTCTGGCAATTTCCCTCGTGGGTCGTTAGCGCAGAAATCGTTTCAAAAAAGGTCGATCGGGATTTATCCAAGCCACCGGTTCGTCGATGGAGACTTCATATTCGCCAAGCACTGGTTAGAGACTCTGGAAGTATCAACAGGGCACATGAACCTAATTGTGGTGCCATGCTGCCTGTCGCACTCACCATTGAGGGGAGGCAATCAAGTCCAGCGTCTGCTATAGGTCAAAGCATCTAATTCTCGGCTGCGATCCACCGGGCCCCGAGTCTTGGGTTTTGCTCGTGCCTTGGTGACAGGGTGTTGCTCCACTGTGGTTTATACAAAAGAGAGGGTCCCCGTAATAGTTCGGCCCTGTCCCTGTGACTTTTGTCCCTGTGACTCTGCGTTACTGTGGCTTGGGGTATACGGAGCAAGATGCCGTCGATTATGTCGTTCTTTCCCAGGGCTGCTGGGGAGGATATCGATACCAGTGTGCAGAAGTGGAATTATGCTTGCCAGTCGCTATGTATCATTGCCATGACCATGTTCTTTGGCCTGAGAGTGTACACGCGACTTTTTATTCTTAATGGATTTGGCAAGGAAGATTGTGAGTACTTTCTCCTTGAAGCCTTCATCAAAAGCAGAATATAAACTAACCTGAAGACCAGGGGTTTGTATGGCAGCATGGGTATGGATCAGGTTCTCGGATTTCGATGAAACGAGACTAACTTTCCCAGTTTCTCGGTGTTTGCTACTCAATCATCGCCATCGTCAGTAAGTGGTCCAAACAGTTGTGATGCTGTTCATCACTGACATCGACCAGTGGGGCATTATGGCGGAGGTCTTCACTTCGCCGATGTCCCTAAAGAGAACTTCATTCCATTCGAAAAGGTGAGTCCGCCTCCATCCCACGGCTTCTACCCATCCTAACAACCCAGACTGTATACGTGACAATGGTCATGTATGGACCAACAGCCTACATCACCAAATTCTGCCTTCTCTGGATCATGACCCGCGTCTTCAACCCATTCCGACGAGCGGTCATTTTCATCTACGTTTTCATGGGCGTCATGCTCGCCTACTACATCCCCGCAGTCATCGTCAAAATTCGACTCTGCAACCCAGTCGCTCGGTTCTGGGACCGAACCATCCCAGGCACCTGCATGGACGAAACAGCCATTATCATGGCCGACGCCGTCGTCAGCGTGACCAGCGACCTAATCGTCCTCCTCCTCCCTCTCCCTCTCACCCTCAGCCTCCAAATGCCCAACAAGAAGAAGATGAGAGTTATCGGAATTCTCGGAGCGGGCGGATTGGCTGTGGCGTCCAGTATAATCCGTCTGATCTTGATTGTCGTCACGGCCACCTCTAAAGACATCACGCTCGCCTTCATGCGAGTCAATATGCTTGGGTACGTCACCCCCACAAAGCCTCAGCCGATTTTAAAAGTTTGTACTAATACATCCCAGCAACGCCGAAGTCTCAATCGGTGTAATCTGCACCTGTCTACCCGCCCTCAGCGCCCTCCTCATGAAAATCTACCACGAACACTCAAGCAACAAAGCAACAACCCACCCCTCAGACTACAGACTCGACACAATACAAAACCAAAGCCGAACAGAGCGTAGCAGGAAGCAGATGAGTGTTCGGGAGATGGACTCGGACGAAGATATGCTTGTGTACAATGCGCAGGGCAATCCGAGGATTGAAACGACTATTCACGGCGACACTGAACGACAGGATGTGCGGGGTTCGCCGTTTGGCGGGATCGGAATTACCAGGACGGTTGATGTTGATGTTTCGACGTCATTGGAGAAACATTAGATTATTACACTATGAGGGAGGGATAAAACGGGATCTGGTTCGGTGCTTGGATCGTTCTTTGTGTATATAACGACTTTTACTTTCTGTGACATACCGTAATTTATTCTTATGATCAATGACACTCTTGGAGTACAAGTTGACTTCTATGGTCATGAGACCAGATCACATCATGATATTATGTGATAAGTAGTTGGCATTGCATGCCCAGAACTGAGTGTCCAAGGCTACAGTGTAAGCAGAGCACCTATATTTGCGTGAGATATATACCTCGTGCCCGACAGCCCGTGTCACCCCTCTCCTACAAAAATTGTCTCTGCCCTCGAAAACAAAGATTCCCATTAAAATAATCAGTCAAAAGTCGCAGAAGACAAATCTTCCAAAATTTCCAAACTTCCGCCTTTCTCCCGTCGCGAAAAAGCGATGCTCCCCTGCGTGCCCGTGCTCGACGGATCGGCCACCCAAACCCATGCGGGCATGAGCCAGCCACATAGCCCGAGTCACAACGCGAGAGCCATCTCTCTGTATGGATCGAATCACAATCACCCCATCAACGCCACGATGTGCGCGTGGGTTTGCTGCAAGTGTGCTGATGGGCCCAAGTTATATGAATCCCAGCCGGACTGCGTCGCCTGTGGACATCCTGCTTGCCAGACTTGCATATTTATGAGGTGATCGAAGTGATCAGAATTCTTGGCATCCATGCGAAATTATCTTTTGAGTGCTTCTTGAATCCTTTCACTACTTGTGTGAAATAGAAGAAATTATACCTCCTGATGAGTTAAGAGAGAATGGTGATTCCCAAACATAGTCGTTCGTGATGTCCAAGTCGCCGTCGTTTGTTTGTGGGGGAAATATGGTGTCCCAAAGATTCTGTAGCGAGTCTTTTTGAACTGATCATGATTTTGGAAGTAGAGAAAACTTGTGACTTGAAAATATTGAGTGAAATGCACTTACCCAGTCAATTTCCAGCATTTTCGGATCTATATCATCCACCCTATTGTCGTGGTCGCTTTGAGTCGTGGCTAGGCTGGCACCTGCCGCACTGCTCATCGGATAACTTGGGATACCAAAGTATCCTGGACCAAGCCCCATGATATTTTCGCTTCCATTTTCAGACTCGCCTCATTGTAGCCAAGGAGAAAAACCTTCTGACGTGGAGGCATGGCCACCCATAGCACCTACTATGGGCTGGAAGTCACTGGCCTGTACAAAACGATGATTTTCAGGCCTTGGATTGATCGGCGCAGATTTCGGAGGTCGCACGAAATGATTATCACCCGGATCCCCATGAGCATAATTCAATGGCATCCGAGGATCAGTGTCATCGCCGTCTTTTTTCGGCGTGATGACGATCATTGAATCTTTGAACAGGGTATGCGATTTCAGTCCCTTGGCCTTTTGATATACTTTCATCCGCTCACAGATTACAGTTAACAAATGCGTTGCTATTATGTTTCGAGAAGCAATGGTTTGTTGCATAGTGGACGTTGTCCCGGTCATGGTGAATGGTGGCACCCCCACTCCCTGGACAGTCTCTGCAAAGATCCAATCCAGACAATGCCAGATGCGAGAAGCCTCCTTCCGCATCGGAAAGGTGTACACCTGAAACAGCATGAGAAATGCCGTGTGATATTGCTGGTAGGCCGGGGTATACCAAGCCCATATTTGGAGGTCTGCTGCGGACTCCAGTTCCACTGCGGCTTCCAAGGCCTCGGACCCCTTTATAAGCACAATTTGACGCAGTCTATCTGGGATCCGGTACGAGACGCTGTTCATGTAGCGATGCAGTAAATGGAGATAGAGAAGGCTCGTGAAGAGCTTCATTACAAGCCCTGCCATTCTTTGCATCTGGCCTGGGGTAGTCACATTGATATAAGGGCCGTACTTTGTGTCCATGCTGACTCAGAATGCCTCGATCTTCGAAATTGCTTTGGTAAGGCTGATTCTCTTTTGGTCTACCTTGTTTCGCAGTATCAGACATTGCCGATGCATTTCTTGGCATTCAAAACGGATTGCGGAGAAGATCATGTCATTTCATACTGGCTGACTACTCGTAGGAGAGGATTGTAGTGTGGTGACATCGAGAGGTAGTTTTGTCGTATATCCATCCCGATGAATATATGGCCGCGGCCCCTGGGTCTCGCTTGTTTTGAGGTCTAGGTAGCAGACCTGATACCAGATCAACCGCCGTGTCTGGCAGACCGCTGGAGGAAAGTCGTATTCAGATGGGTCGGAAGCCCCATGCACTCGGCCAGCCTTATCGCCATTCCGGCCATGGCGGAGTGTGCTCGGGAAATTTCGTCAACGCTCATCGCCAGCTAGAAAAGGTTGATCTAATTAGCGGTCAAGGTGCCTCCAATTTTTTGGATCACGAGGAAAGTTCAAGCATACAAGGTGGGTTACAATGGTGATCCTGGACCGGTCACGATTCTTCACCATAACCCTTGGAAGAAATTCATGATGCCTAACACGACTGTTGGGGGGTATCATGAAGCTCAAGGGGTCTGTTATCTGTGTTGAGTATGTGATTGATGAGAATGCGGTTATTTACAACACGAGTGTGCATACTGCTGGCAAGTGGATGTCTTCATAGCCGCACCTGGAATATGCGTCGCCCTGTAATGATTGTTGGGACTCTTCAGGCGCCGAAAAGAATGGCTCCATTTATGTACGCTATTCATTGTAGAGGTGCAATACTCTGTTCAAAATATACAAAAGTCATCAAATCATATCTAAAAGAACCCGAAATAAGAGTGAAAATGAGAAACAAGGGTATCAAAGTATGAACAGCCTAGTCAATGCGTTTGTACAGCTTGGCCTTGCTCGAGCCTGCCGAGGGAGTGCAGCATGCAGCCGCCATCTCGGGGTGGAGAGTGGACTTGTTGAAGGTCTGCGAGGATTGAGGGACATCCAGAGCAGGGTTCTTGGTGAAGAAGCCGTCAGGTTTCAGCATCACACTGACACGCTCCATGGGCATGACAGGGAAGTCTTCAATGCGAGGGTTATGGGTGAGGCCGAAAGCTAGTAAGAGAATTAGTTTTCGCCTCGGCGGAAATTGGATTGAACTGCAGAGAACTTACTGTGCCAAAGCACGACATCTTCATTCTCAGTATTGTCTCTGCGCTGGACCCAGGTTTCGACACCCTCGGCACGGCGGCTTTGGTTGGTGAACTCGCCCGCAGCATAGAGCTCGTCATCCTGGTATTTGGTAAGCCAGATGGGCTTAGTGGCAAATTCGGCTCGGCGATAACCGATGGCGTTCTTATTCACAAGAAGCATCTGGCTGGGTGCAGTCTGGAGCTTGTAGGCAATTGGCTTGTAGGTAATAGGGTTATTGATGGAGTCGTTTCGGATTTTGAACACGCGGTGACGGTCAACACTTGTGTTGGCAGTGCCAGCCTTGTTCATCACTGTAGACTCAGTGGTATATCCAACAAGCCAAGGGTTGTTCTCGTCCTCTGGCATGGGCACACTGTCTTCGTAGTACACAGTGTTCTTGAAGCCATCGATGGCTGGATCGATACGGAACGAAAACATGTGTTGGTGGAAAGGCGCCATAACACCCGGACCCACATTGGTACCCCATGGGACAGTTTGGCCATTCTCGTTATCGAATGGGACGGTCGAGAGGATACCAGTAGCACGGACTTCGAGTTCAACATTGCCGGCTTGGTCGAATATATATGCGAAAATGTATTCGTAGTTGGCAACTGTGCAGATCATTTGGAGAACCAATTGTCTGTTCCGCACAACAGTGGCGGCACCTGTCCGGTAGTTGGTGTGCTTGTGCTGCAAGCCATTGTCTTGTTCGTGCATGCAAATAACGTTCTTGAGTTGAATAGGGTTTCCCTTAGAGTCGTTTCGGTAACCGTCGAAGTATTTAATATGACCTAAGCAGTCGCATCCAAGAGACAGCTGATTGGCATTCATGCCGAAACCAGTGTCGCCAACATCGAATGCCTGCTTGCGATGGTAGGGGGCACGAGGATCTTTAAAGATGAATATAGCCTCTGGAATAGCTAAACAGAGGAAAACTCACCTCCATAGGGAACTGTCATCTCAGAGACAGCAAGACGGTAAAAGACATTACGATTGTCATATGTGATGTTGTAGAGCACCAAGCCCTCCCGAATATTGAAACCAAGACGGAAACGCCACTTTTGCCAGTAGATAGAGTTTCCATCCGCGGTATAAGAAGGGCCTTCTGGTTGCTGAACAATATAAGGCTTCAAGTCTGTCCGCACAGGTTCATCCAAAAGATCGTGGGCATATTGGATTCCCTTAACAGGCTTCCAAGGTTGGGTTTGAGTGGTCTCGAAATCGGCACCCCCAGGAAGATAATCCATGCGTACCAATTCGTGAGTGAGGCCGTCAAAAACCGGTGAAAACTTGCATGGCAGGGAATAGTGGTTGTTCTGAGGATGATCCACCTCCACAAGATACATAAAGCATTGGAAGAGGCGCCGAGACTCGTTCTCGTTGTCTGTTCCGTACATCCAGGGGTCGTTGCAGACGGTGACGCCAGCGGGCAATTGCATTTTCTCGATTTCGGCAAGCACTGCAGGATGTCTCATGCACATTTCTTCGATTTCCGTGATCTCGTCGGGGTCAATGGGTCCCTGTGGAGAGCATACTCGTTAGCTGGTGGTTTACGCGGCAGGGTATTGACTCGTTTGCATTTTCGACGTACTTGGACTTCACGTGGAAGCTCCTTTGCGTATACAATGGTTCGTTTGTCGGCATTGAGAACAGCCTTGTAGAATGCGCCAGTGTCGAGACGGTGGAAAAGCGTGTACAGAAGACGTGCAGGCGGGGGAGGAAGCGGCCGCCTCAGACGCTCGGCTTCGATATATGGGAGCACATCTTTCTTGATGGGCTCATTGACGTCGATGCGCTTGTAACGCAGTTGCACGCCAGGGAAAGTTGCCTCGAGAATGCGGACGGCAAGTTTAATCTCTTCCGGGAAGATGGGATCGAATGGATGTCGGGCTCCAGTCACCATTTTTGAATGGGTGGTTGTCGGAGGATATGACAAAGTAGGCGGTCAGACTGGCGTGGGAGAACTGTCAAAAGTCTCGACTTCTCGGAGAATGAAGAGTCTGGGGAAGCTGGGGTTGAAGAGGGGAAGACGCCTGGGAATTTAAGCGTCGCGTATCCCTTATCGGCTGCAACTCCTGGCTGGACTTACCTCTTTGGGACTAATGGACGGGTGGATCGTGGGGCTTGGCGCGTGCATGGATCGATCGGCAAGCACAAGCTGGCTGGTCATACTCTTTTGGGGCGTGTCCTATCAGACCGATTAGAAAGTGCTTATGACGACGATATGATGAGTGTGTTAATAACTTTGACTACTTTGTGAGATGGCATCCAGATCTTCTGGCCAAAGTCAAGTTGTATCCATTAAATACTTCATCTAATCTCGTGGCCGTCCCTGACAGTTCGATCATAGTCACGTGCTTGTCAGCCGGCGCGAGATTATCCTAATTGGGGATAGCGCATTTGCTATCAATTCGCGGGGGAAATTCAACGTTTCTTCTCGACCTTCACACGATAACGACCATGACGACCTACGCTGATACTGGCTGGATTCAGCCTGTGGATGTTTCCGGATCGATCCCCGCGAAGAAACGCCGGAACCGTCAGTCTGGCACCGCATGGACTCGCTCGGGTTGTATCACTTGCAAAAGGCGTCGTAAAGGTTGCGACAAGGCCAAGCCGAGGTAGGTGCTTTTGCTACAAGTGCTCGTTCTTGGCTTCATGGTTGACCTTTCTAGCTGCAATAATTGTGTCAAACAAGGCCGGACATGCGAGGGCTATGGAGATCTCTGGGTACAGCCGTTGGGCCCGTCTGCGCTAGTCTTCAAACAACCGCAGCCAGACGGATCGAAGCGACGACGACTGAGCATTGCGACCCCAACACAGTTACTGTCACCAGCACCATCACCGGGCTCTGAATCACGGTTTCAGGTACAGCCATCGCCTAGCGTCGTCTCTCCAAGCTTGTCAGCGCTATCTTCGCCACGACGGCAAATCATCGACCTCGAAGATGAAGACTCGATTCGTGATCAGGGCGTAGATAGCCCCAAGCCTGCTTCTACTTTCACGCAGTTGGATATATTAGCAGACATTCCACCATCGCACAGCTTCATCAGTCACCTTGGCGATAGCGAAACGCACTATCTACAATACCACGTGGAGCATGGCTCTCGACTCTTGGCCAATCTTGAAAGTGCCGATAATCCCCTACGATCCTTGCTCATTCCTCGAGCAATCGCCTCCCCTATCTTAATGAAGGCGGTTTGTGCCGTATCCGCCCTCCATCTCGCAAACCGCTCAGCGGGTGCTAGCGCACAAACTGCGGCTGCTACCTTCTACGGCCGAACCCTCAGCGGAATTCGAGCCGCAATTGCCGATAGCTCCACAGATACTTTGTCTGACGATGACATGCTGGCCGTGGGTCTATTGTGTAAATACGAGGTTGTTCGTGGAAGTGTTAAGCAGTGGGTGGTTCACCTCAATGCCCTACAGCGGCTGATCGCTTCTCGCGGCGGACTGGCTGCGATGGACCCAGACGCTGCCGGGTTTCTGCGAGGACTGTGAGTTACCTCGCCCACCATTTCCATATAGGCATTAACAGGTCACTAGGTATGTATATGCATATAATATGGCTCGGATCAGCAATCGCAAGCGCATCACCTCCAGCGAGAACTTTTCTACAGATACGCATCTCGGCCCTCCCAGATTGGACATATATATTGGATATACAGAAGACATCTTGACTCTTTGCGCACGTATTGCCGAGCTTCCATCTTTACAAGATGACAGCGTCTCTCTTCGACTGGCAATTGCTTCTATGTACGTGACTCTGAACTATAATAATGAAACGTCAACTAACAAACAATCCTTCCCTCCCAGAAATGACTCCCTTCTCACCTGGTCCCACACAAACACCAACTACATAATTCCCCAAGGTCTCACATCCGCTACTCTCAACCGCCTCCAACTTGTCGCAGAATGCTTCCGCGACGCCGCATTCATCTACCTCCACTCAATCCTCGAACGAATGGCAATGCAACCCACACCCACGAAAGACACATTCGACCCCGATGAATGGACCTCTCTAATTTCAATTCCCAAATCCACCGCCGTTGACCGATGCCTTCTACGCATCGAATCCTTTCACCTGGATGACCATTGCGAATACTCGGCACTTACATTCCCCCTCTTCATCTCCGGCTGCGAAAGCCACGACTTCGAGCACCGTGACCTCGTCGTGGAGTCACTCAGCAAGCTACAAAGCAACTTTGGCATCGGGAATACCAAGCGCGCAAAAGATGTGTTGAAGCTCTTATGGGCGCGAAGAGATGCCTATAACGAAGATCCCTTCACCACAGGCGTCGAGAAGGTACATTGGTTTGACGTTCTCGAAGAGTTGCAGTGGGATCTGACCCTTGCATAACAAACTCCACTACCTCTGTCGCTCTCTCATCCGCATCTACGCTTGCCACGAGACCATGTTTATTCCATGTACTTGATAGAAATGTATTATAAAGCAACGAGCAACGAGAAACGTCTACATTAGCAAAAGAATTCATTGGGGTATTTTTAAAGCTCAAGTAACCCATCACGAAAAACCACTCCAGAGAACCGAAAAGCCCCATGGAAAGACGTAAACCATGTTAATGCAAAGAATGCCACCATTCCACCCGAAAAAGAAAAAGAAGACAAATAATCAAACACAGTTCAGCTGAGGCCCATATTAACCTCATCGCTCAACCCAAATTCCCGCTCAGCACGTTCAGTGCCCCCCGCAGCACGAGTCGCCCATCGGTCAAGACGATCTTGCGAGCTCGCAATCTCCTTATCGCGGATACTAGTGCTATCGCTCGTCGCAATGCTTCCCTCGCGGGCACTGTATTGTGACGGCTTGCGCGAGCTGGACATGCTGATCGGACGACTGGGTGTATTTTTCGCGTTTCCGGAAGTAGCACCGTCAGATGGGGAAAAATTAGGATTCGAATTTGGGTTCGAGGTTCGGCTAGCATCGCCTGTAGAGCCAACACTGCTAGCACGGTCTTTGTCCTTGATCCCACCGCCGAACCAGCGCCTGCGACGAGTTTTCAGCGTCGTGTTGGGGGTGAGGGAGTTGGGTCCCTGTTCGGAATCCTTTCCATTCGCCTTTTCCAGAGCCTGTGTGAGCGTTGAGACGGACTCTTCGGGGGTATTTGTGTTTTCTTGTTCAACCTCGACTAATTCGGCGTCTCGGTACCACTTTCGTCGACGTGTGTACCTGTCCCAGCCATCTTGGCCTCGTCGTCCGTCATTCCACTGGAAAACGGTCAGTCATGTTACTTGATATTGGGGCAGGTGAAAAACAAACCTTGTTATCATAGTAGATCCATCCCTCGGCATTGGACGTCTTGGAGTCCGTCTTGCCGTTAGCAGTGGCATCCGCACCCTCGACGCGCCACTCACTTCCCTCTACCCAGCGCCATTTGGAATCTCCCGTTCGAACGTCCGGAAGCTCAAACGAGTCCTTGGGTGGAACAGAGTTCAAGTGCTCGTCAGTCCAGGCTCCACGCTCAGCCGGGAACAAAGAATAAGTCCAGCCAATTCCGAGCCATCGCCGTTGGTTCTCATAAACGACAAAAGTGAATCGCACACCGGAAGCGTCTCCACGCCGCCGAGTGGCAATGTTCAGACCTAGTCCCTGCGCCTGGGATTTTTGCGTACTCGGTCCATCCGCAACCGAGAGCCCGGTGATCATCCCGCAGAGACGACGTATCGCGCGGGACCGCCAAAGAATGACGCGTGAGACTCGTGCTGGCCGCGAGTGGTAGGTGAGGACGATGGTACCGACAGTCATCACGACGCGGCGCGTGGTTATTAGGTAGATTGGGGGGAGAGTTAAGAGGATCCAGATGGGGGTGACAAGGATTATTCGGAGAAAGAGAGCAGTCAAAGCAGGTCGCGTGGTAGCTGATGTCGCTGTGCGCTGGGTGGAGAGAAAATCGGTTAAATCAAGCAACGGCTCGAGAAGGATATTGCACCGTGTGGTGAAGGTGCGAAGCGTCTCGACAATGTCATCTAAGCTCTTCTGATGGCGCAGAGAAGAATCCGCCGAAGCTTTTCGCTGGTGCTTTTCACCGGTAGATGATGTCGACGACAGAGGCGAATAACGCCGACCATACATACCCAATATTAACCCGACGACGACTAGAATCGGGCCCGCCCAGAGAATGATGACGTCGCTATAAAGCACGACGGTCCAGAAGACGGCTACGAGCAAGAAGCTCTGCCAGGGGTCGCCCGTTGTCCATGTCAAGAGACCCACGAATTTATTTAGTGGAAGAAGAAAAGGGTGCGAGTAGGCGAGAGCCCTGGTGATGGGCGGCGGCGTGGCCACCAGCAACGGCGACTTGCGATGCACGATGACGCTGGACCGTTGTCGCGAGGTCAGAGCCGACCCCGAGATGGTGGAAGGGGAGAAGGCAGCGATCGTCGGCGGTTGGGAATCGGACTGGCCATCCTGAGTAGGCGTTGAGGGTGCCATGGAATCTATCCACGGAAGATCTTCTGTTTGGCATCAGTATCAGCTGCTGGGGTATGCGAGAAGGGGGGGACACGGACCGAGAGCTGCCATCCAATTATGGAGACGTCATAGGGGTCGTTGTCAGCTCATCGGGCTGGTGGGCGCACATTCCTTTATGTAGGCGTGGAGGTTCGTCGGTCCAAGACGATCTGCGGGGGGAGTTGGGGGGGACATGTGACTGCGTGCGATCCTAGGCACAAGACCGAGAATGGGAGGGAACAGGCGCAAATACGATTTGCCGGGTCCTGATTCAATTTTAAAGCTGTAGATATTTTCTCTACGTTCAACGTAAATACTATTTCAAAGTAATTAATTATCTTTCCGTCTGATCACATTGACCGATGTTGTTGTGAGGCGCATACTTCCTCCGACCTGCCGACGCTAAAACGCCCAGCCGAAATTTTCCCCTTCTTCCTCTCTTCACCTCCTTGTGATCATCGCCCTTGGATCGCTCGCACCCCGTCGACATGGTAAGTTTAGCCTCAAATTTACGTCTAGAAAACATGGCATTTTCAAAATCCATCCATTTCCTAACACTGCCCCCCGATTAGGCGCACCGCATCGTTTCCCAAGTCATCGTCACCGGAGCCCGGGTCTTCGGCCGCGCCTTCGCCGAGGCCTACAAGCAGGCCCAGGCAGCCGGCAAGCACAACGCCGGCAAGAAGGGTGGCAGCGCCTTCACTGGCTCCGGCATCACTCTCGATGAGGCCTGCAAGATTCTCAATGTCAAGCCCCCCGGTGGTGGCGCCGAGACCAGTGTGGAACATGTCATGGAGCGATTCAAGAAGCTGTTCGATCTGAACGACCCCCAGAAAGGCGGTAGTTTCTACCTGCAGAGCAAGATTCTGCGTGCGCGCGAACGGATAGAAATGGAACTTCGACAGGCAGAGCGCAAGGCCGCGCAGGACAAGGAATTGCGTGAAGGCTGGAATCCCAAGGTCTACAAGGACCGGTGAAGCAGTCGCTCTGTTCGCCACCCTCACCCTCGCTATTTCTCGACGATAATTTGATTGTATACCGCGCTTGCTGTCGCCGGAGAGGAGCGGCGACATTGTTTCCATCCACGCCTGCGCTCCCGTCCGGTCTCCCTCCCGGTCGTCTTTCTTCGCCGCGAAAAAGCACCTTCTGACCCGCTCGTCTTTTGATTTGGCATAGCATGGCGTTTTTGGGTTTTTTGTGGAAAGAAGTCTCGTCGTTCTTCTCTTTCACTCTATTAGAATTGGGGGAGGATCGTCTCGTCCCGAGGGTGTTGTTCCTATGCGTCGACATTGGACTCGATTCCGATCTCTCCCTGGCCGTTGGCCCTTGTGTATACCATCCTGTTGACCCCCTTCTCCACTCTACCTCGGGAAAATCATGTACTATACTGTAAACCTGCACATTTTTTAATGCCCCTCTTTTTTCAATACTCTTGTAGTGCATATCATATACATATTAAGTGTTGTCTTCGGCAACTACGAAAGCAAAAGTACTCTGCGTCGGATTTTGCCACCGCCGACACTCGACACTTCTTCCATTGGAAAAGCCGTCTCCGATGGGGGAATCGCAATCGCCGATTCACCTCGCCCACTAGGAACACATCGAGAAAAATCGGGACGATGTTCATTGCGGCACCAATCAGTCATCCCCATGGCGCCATCCGGAGCGGAGCCGGGGAGACGCTGGCGCACAATTTCCTGTCCCACTTTGATCAGAACCGGCAGAAACAATATGTCGACTCGGAGCAATCCTACAGTCGTTTGACACTAAATCTCTCCTCTCTCTCTCTCTACTTTTCCTCTATTCTCTTCACCTAATCTCCTTCCTCCGACGAATTTTACCCCACCTCCATAAAAATGCGACCGACCAGGCCGCTCTCCGCGAGCCTGCCCCCCCTCATCATGGGCACGGCAACATTCAACTCGCAATACAACGCAGACCCCTACGCTCTCCCAACAACCGAACTAGTCCAGCGCGCACTAAGCCGTGGTATCCGCGCCTTCGATACAAGCCCCTACTACGGACCCGCCGAAGAACTCCTCGGCCGCGCCCTCGCAACAAACACCGTAACAAACAACTACCCCCGCTCATCCTACCACCTCCTCACAAAAGTCGGCCGAATCGCCTCATCCTCATTCGACTACTCCCCAATATGGATCCGACACAGCGTGAAACGCAGCCTGCACCGCCTACACACAACCTACCTCGACGTAGTCTACTGCCACGACGTGGAATTCGTGACCCCCGCCGAAGTCCTGACAGCCGTGAAGGAATTGCGCCGACTCCGCGATGAAGAAGGCGTCCTCCGCTACGTTGGTATCTCCGGATATCCCGTTGAAACGCTCAGCGCGCTGGCGGAAATGGTACTAGCGGAGACGGGCGAACCGCTCGATATCGTCATGTCCTATGCGAACTATACGTTGCAAAATACCCGTCTCGCCTCCCTGGCTCTGCCCCGTCTTCTCGCTGCGGGCGTGGATGTTGTTCCCAATGCGTCGCCGCTGGGTATGGGGTTGCTTCGTCGCGATGGCGTGCCTATCGGTTCAATGGGTGATTTCCATCCTGCGCCGAATGCCTTGCGCTCGGTTATTCACGATGCGGCGGAGTGTGCTGCGCGTCGGGAGGAGAAGCTTGAGGTTATTGCGATTCGATTTGCGCTGGAGACTTGGCTCTGCGCTGGGTCGAAGGCTGGTGCGCTCGGTGCGCCGTTGGCGAGAGCCGCGGACACGGACCCTGGGTTTATTTCCGTGGCTAACATGGGGACTGGAAAGAGACTTGGTGTCAGCGTGATGGGCGTCAGCAATATCGATGAGTTGGACGAGACGTTGCGGGTTTGGCATAGTATTGTGGATGGTCTGGAGAACTGGGATGACGAGGAAGGCGAGTATGAGGATTTCGAAGGCAACATTCGATCTGTTGGACCTTCGACACCGAATCCTGCCGCACTCGCTGGCGCGGTCCCTTCTTCTATTTCCCATGCTTCGAATATCATGACACCCTCCGAAGGCCTGATTACGGATCGGGCTTGGTCGCAGTCTCGACGGGAGAATATCTTGCAGCTTGCGAGCGAAATTCGGGATGTTCTTGGTGCGGAGTGGATTGATTATGTCTGGGCTAGTCCCTCGCCGGATTTCAAGAACTCTTTGTCTGAGGAGCATGTTGCTGCTGTGAGGAAACTGGAGGTGGAAGGAGAGGGATTGTTGTTGCCTGTCACTGATGCCGTCCAGACGGATGCGATGCTCACGCCGCCATTGGATGCGGAACGACGACTTGAATAATTAACAGGAGGTGGCCATGAGTGTACTTAAAAAAGGAGTGACTGTTACATAAGGCTCGGGCCGTACATATATATATGCCCACCAGGGCTATGTTCATACACGAGATACCTTGATTTATAATGGAGTTACGCATAATGATATTCTCTTGATGAAAAGGCTCTACATACAAGTCAAGAACAGACCTTCATTCAACTTACCTTCAACGCCCCACGGTTAATTTACCTTGTCGGTGCATTGGCCAATAGCATTAGCACTCATTGGGTTACTCTTGATCTGCCGAGCCGTACATTCAACCTGTTGCACCACGATGATTCCTCTCCAAGTAAGAGCATCTAGCTCTTTCATGATGAGAAAGAGGTGCAACGGAAGGCGTGTAAGCATCGACCGGCCGCTCAAGTATTTGATATCGTTCTTAGGATCCACTAAATAACATCCCTTTACCGTGGAAAGGGATCAAGGCACACGCAGGCCGGCAGTCAGGTCTTGAACGAGGTCTCGACGGAGGAGTTAACGTTTACGAGGTCGTTTGGACGAGGCGTGGCGGCGCTGGCAGATTAGTAGTGGGAACACGCTAGCAAAAGAATTCTGCAGGATAAATGCCGAAGCCTTGGAGAGGTGCAGAATATCGCAAAAAATAATCTCAAAATGCACTCATCGGGGATAGAGACAGTCACCCGGCTGCTGAATGCAGAGGAAAGAAAGAGAGAGAATCCGTGACATTTGTGTTTCCCTCGACATAAGAATCATGAACACGAGCATAACAGGCATGGGTTTTCCCTGACACGTCATCTCACCATGCCGAATGCAACAGAAAAAAGAAACAATAATCGTACATCCTTCAACAGAAGGGTTGTAGATACGAAGAGTACAAATGGGTATCTTGAACATTTAATCACACAGAGGAAGGTAAAGATCACCCGGATTCACATCATGATGAGAACTGGATGGGTTGGTCATTGCGTTGCATTCAAGGGTGACGATCGATGAAAGTCCACTACTGAGGCGGCGGACCAGGTGGAGGAGGGCCGGGAGGAAGAGGAGGTGGCGAAGGTGGCGGAGGGGGAGAGTATGCAGGAGGCGGAGGTGGTCGGTTGCGGAACTCGGCGAATCGAGCAGATCTCTCGAACACCTCATGAAGCTGGTCTCGCTGGATAGCGTATGCTGCGTAATTACCACCCATGATGGTGGCCAGGATGCTTTCCTTGCGGTTGTTGGTCTTTGCCAGGCGGTTCATGGCCAGGGAAAGCTCTCTGAAGGCCTTTCCGAATTGGGAGAGAATCAAGTCAATGTCCCTAGTGCCACCGGAAATATCGTTCAAAATGTTGTTTGGGTCTTCGATTGTGAGACGGGGGCCCTTTCTCGCGAAATCCATATTTCCTTTCTGAACAAGTGTTAGAGGGGTGGGGTCCCACATATGCAAGTTCTTGCTGCATAAGGAAGTAGACTTGCCTTGTTGAAGTACATGGGGGGTTTCAAGCGAATTCCCGAATCCTGGAACTCATGAACATTGCCGTAAAAATCAAGGAAATCAAGTAGTAGCCGGCCCAGATTCTGCTTCATAGGGTCTGGGATATGGTTCAGGAAAGACGTCACCATACAAGTGATAGAGAAACCACCGAGACCACCGGTGGGTACCTCATTTAGGCCCCGAATCAGTAAGAATTGTTTGATGATAGAGACAAGAACGGGCATCTGAGGAAATTCTTTTCTCCATTCCTTGAACGTCTCATTTGCCATGATTCCACTGTCGTTGTCAAAGGATATGTCAACGTGCAAGCCAGTGACCTTATCCACGAGCTTGATGATGGGCACCCTCGCGTGAGCAATAACTTCGGTCTCCCGAGGAATGGAGATCCCCGCCCTATCGAGGACCTTGCTAAACTTCCATATCTGGGAGGGTGTGAGGCCATAATGTGGCACGTGGGTGCGTTGGAATCCGGGGGACAAGAGAACCAAGTCGACATCGGCAACTGGAAGATACAGGCCGGACGCGAAGGAACCAAAGGCCCGCAGCTGGCAGCCAGGATAAGCGCCTTCAAAGGCTTGTTGGAGCCGACTAACGAGGTCTTCCCTCACGATTTGTTCGAAATCGCGGGGTCTGATCCAGGCGTAGAAGTCACAGATTTCGCTATGCAGTCTAGACGCCACGTTCACGAGGCCGGAATCTTCGAACCACGGCGCGGCGGATTCTACAGACAGGGCCCTCCAGGAAGTAAGGATATCCCCCTTCCTGTATGGCCCAAATTCCACGGGCCTCGCGAGCCTATTCGAGAAACCCTTAGTCTCTCCGTCGTGGGTTCGCTTTTGCATGGAGGATGCGGACTGCTGGGCCCGATTCTCGGTCACCATGTTTTTGGGGCCAGTGGGTGCGTTGTTAGGAGCTTTCGGTTTATGGTCATCGGGCGTGTCATCGGCGCCATCAGCTCCGCCCAACGAAATGAAGTCATCGTTTTGAACCACCGCATTGGTCTTTGCGGCTCCGGATGCATCCTTAGGGAGCCGTGCCTTGCGGATCATATCGACGACATCGACTTTCTGCTGCTTGCTCTCGTCTGGGGGTGGAAGAACGGTGTAAGGATCGGGATTCGACCATTTTGGCGCAGACGGAGGAGCGGGCAACGGCGCCACATCAGGCATTTTAGAAACATTGGAGGCGGGGACACGTCGCTTGCGCGGATGCTCTGGATTGTCAGACTCCGCATCATCAGAAGACGGCTCCGAAATATCCATATCTGCTGAACTGGCTGAACTTGGGCTGGCACCGTCAAGGTTGAATTTGAATTTGTGTGCAGGCTTGGAGCCAGTGTCCTCCTCGGCGTGGAGTTGCTCGGGAGTTGGTTCGCGCTTGGTGCTGAGCAGTGGTCGCTCAGACGTGGGCGGAGGTGGACAGCGGAAAGTGAATCGGGGTCTGGGAGGAAGGTTGCTAGGTCTGGCAGGTCGGTTGCGGGCTTGGTTTCCAGGCTTGCTTCTGTTCTGTCTTCTGGGCTGACGAGGGGGAGGATTAGGCGCGTCGGCCCCTCGAAACTGGAAGGGCGTCGCCATCGGTCGTGTCAGTGAGGATTCGAACAGTAACAGAAGCGCTTCGATCTGCGAGTGCGGAAACGAGTTGAAGGTAGCAGAAAAAAAAAAGGTGGCGGCGTAAACAGAAGGCGGTGGTGTCGAGTGAAGCGCAGGTCAGCTGCAGGCGGTCAAAAGCGGCAGAACTACCACCACTTAGTTAACTTAGCGAGTAACTAACTAAAAAGTTATTTATTTGCCTTAGTTACTGAGGGACTTTGTTCGGGAGCCAGTATGTAACTAGTTAACTAACTAGAGTATTGTCAAAAGTAGAAAATCGGTTGATACCTTCAGGTCCAAGAATCCAAACTTGATACAACCGCTATGTTGCAGAATACAATCGCATTCCTTTCTCCAAGAGCTCAACCAGATCGCTCTGAGCAGCCGTCTCTGCAAAACTTACTCGCCCGGTGGCCCATTCCAGCCATTGCTCTGCCCTTGCTTGCTTTCCCTGGAACAGTCCCACACTTACATCAATGATAGTCGGACGCCCATCGTTATGCCAGAAGACAGTAGCCCCACAGACACCGCAGAATTCTCGGTATACGCCTGGAGAGCTGGTGTGTCGACGCATGGCTCCACGGTCAAACGAGAGTGGTGATCCGTCGGCATTGAAGATATTTGACTTGGGAATAAAGGCCCATGTCTGGATGGGAAAGCCGCTCGCGAGTCGACAAGACCTACAAGCACAGGTTCCTGCCAGAAATTTGGTGTCTCCATCGCGCAACCACCATTTCACGTCGTCCGGGTTATCAGAACTTCCCGAGTGGTACGGAACCAGCAAGTCACACCACGGTGACCATGCTTGGGAAGACGAGGCGTCTGGGGGCGTCATATAGAAGTCAATTCCTCCGCAGTGGCATTGAGCATGCAGCTTATCTCGATGCTCAGCTGGGGCATTTCGTCTTTTCGGAATCGTGGTCTCGCTGGCATCACCGCTGGTCGAGTGTCCGGAATTCACCCATAAGGCGCACCGGTCCACCGATGGCCAACCTGGAAGAAAAGTACTTAGACCCCCATCGCCAGTATCGTCGGTCTTGCAATGCAGAATTGCCTTGACCGGAGGTGTGTTGCGCGCTACTAATACCCCCGATGCCACTAAATATCGCTCGCTTTGTTCCAGCCGAGCAAAGACATGAGCGCCGCAAGTCCTACAAAAAAGGCGGCTGACATGAGGGGATTCCTGATACTGCTGGAGTCCGTCCAAAGTGCTGGGATCATGCTGCATTGGGTAGTATGATGTACACAGTAGTCCACTGGCCGCACGACAGTTGTAACAATGACATAGTTGGAGACGAGAGTGGTCTGTTGCAGGATCGAGCTGAATCGATTGTGCTACGCCTCCGCACAGACAAGTTACCGAGGTCGCCATGCGGAAGGATCGTCCGTTGGGATTGCTTTTATCTTGAATCTGATTTGCGCTCTGTTTGGAAAATGGGCGCTCTCCCGTTTCCAGGTACTCTTTGTGAAACCCTTGGCCGTTGTTCTGTTGCTTCGCTAATCGCAGCGCGCGTCGCACGAACCGTAAGCTATAATCCTGCGTCAGACGTGCGGTATATGTGCTCAGGCGGGGCGAGTGCAGAAATGTGCTCGCGCTTGCAATCTCGGGGCTGCGAAACGAGGAGGGGAGACGGAAAGTCACGGGCACGTCGAGTATAAATTGGAAGCCGCCCCAACTTCTCTTCTTCCCCACCTCCACTACACCCCCACCATCATCCAAAGCCAACTACTCGTTCAACGAAACACCTCAAATCTCAAAATGGGTGAGTCAACATGTCCGTCGCTTATGCACCCCTTGCAACCCTCCCAAGTGCCATGGTCTTTGCCTTTTGACCAGAATCCTGGCAAAGCGGGGTCATGGCGGGGGGATTCGCACTCGTATTTGCGACCGTCATGGACAACGCTGACCACCAACAGGTCCCGGACACACCTGCAGCTGCGGCGCTTCCTGCCAGTGCCCTGCCGGCGCATGCCAGTGCCCCGTATGTGAAATTCAACTCCCCTCAACTCCCTATCCGCCTTATCACTGTGATGTGACGTGAACACACGGCTAACCCTCTGCGTTTTCCGATTATAGAAATAGACCACTCGACGTCCTGCGTTGACGGCCTCGGCAAGTTGCAGTGGTCTAGCAGATCTTTTTCATTTTGGGGGATGCAATGGAGATCAGCGAGAGATGTGATTTTTGCAGTGTGACTGCGAGATTGGGGGCGGAATGAGATAGGGAAGCGCTGGAGAAAGTCGACCGCATCATTTTTCAAAACCAAGAAAATTATCTAGTCGATCTTCTGTAGTCAATCATGACCGCGGCGGATTGCTGAATCACTTTTATTATTTCTACCAAGTACCTTGTGGGCATCGACCCAGTATTCGGGTCATTTAGACTCAAGTGGAGGGGATAATGTGATGAGCGTAACTGCGCATCATATCCTCCTTTGACAGCAGATATGCCACGACATCGACGGTCTTCGCGATGTGCAAATGCAGCATACAGTGATAATCGCCCAAACTGCGTGGAAGCAGCTTGACGTAACCCCCCTCCATGCGGGATCAGACGCCGCCTCCGTTGCGGCAATGAACAAAGCCCGCTCTCCGACTCCAACTCAACAGCCTTCTACAGCATTAGGCATACGTCAAACCATTTCATCTTGCTCGTTATAATCTCCGGATCGGGCAGCGTCTCCACGCCGAGTGAAGCCAGATTTCCCTCGGTTCCCGCGGCTGATATTTGCCGATGCGCCTTTTTTGCATCAAACATCGGCCGGGCCCCAGAAGCCTCCGTTCTTCATTATTTTTTTCATACCAGCGTCCAGATTGGGCCGGGCCTACCCAAGGAAAATAGCAGCGGGACTTCCATGACTGGTTTGGCCACCCTGCAATTCTGGCCTTGGAAGCCAATGAGCATTATACTGCTTGCAAGTCGGGGAGGGTCCGTGGGGTCAGACCAGGGCATGATATGCGCCGGTAGCCTCGAGTTCTCTGCACGATGAGGACGAAACGATCCACTTTTTATTTCTCGGTATTTCGGCCCTGCTCGATTTGATTCCCAGACCTGCACGTCTGTGTTGTTGTGGGCCAAAACGCACGTTGGGCCCGATCTTGTACCCGTGCGAGGGTAGCTGTAGGTCCCCGGTGAGAACGCAGGGAGCTCTTCACAAGCTCCGATTATCTGATTTTGCACCAAAAGATCAGGTGTCTGCTTCCGTCTTCTGCTCTGAATGCTCTTACTACTGCCCAGTGGGACCTGAGGGCGTATTCTCGCCCCCGCCGATCCCGTTGGCCCGGTCGATTCTCTTTTGATACCAGCACAACCCTATCCCCAAGTGTGTCGCTTTGTCCGCCAAAAGCACAACCCATGAGGAACATACTGTAGTAAATACTTGGACTCCACTGCAGTGGACTTGGGATATGCACGGCGCAAGACAGAACCGGCCACTCTGCCAATAAGCCTTTGAGGCGCCCCTCCTCCAAGGTCCCCAAACTGCGCAAACACCAGCCTCCTCATAGGCTACCAGGCCCAGATCCCGACCCTGCGCCGCTCCTGGCGCCGGAAAATTCTCCTCGACCCCACCGTAGGGCGGACCACGTTGCCCCTGTCGCCCGTGACTGTATGCATGTGGTAATGTGAGGCCCGTCCGCAAACGAACGTGGATCTCGAGCAGCAGTCAGGACCGATCTGCAGTATCCAGTCTTCCGAAACACGTCCGCGATGCTTCGTGGTATGATAGAGGTCCAAGGCCTGCTAGCAATATCGGGAAAATTCAAAATCAGGATGAGCGAAGGCTGTGAGGGCTTATGGTGGTATGGTGTTCCCCATTCGAGGTCCACATAGTTCAAACCCCCAGTGTAAACCGGAGAAACGATACATCGTAAGACAGTCGGAAGGGCCCGCTCCTAGTCAATATTGCCGTCGAGTATAATGTACAGTACGATATTCTTTAATCACGGATGCTATAGGTACGCCTGGCATATTTCATCCTGTGCCTCGAGAAGTAAACACATGGATCAAACAGTCCCAAGCATATGGAAAACAAGAAAAACTAAACCGTCATCTGTCGACGCACCAGAACAAAAAAGGAAATAGAAACAAACTTCAAAAGAAACAAAGAAAACAGAGCAGCCTACCACATCCACCCACATCGTCATCCGCATGAATCTGGTCGGTCGGTCCGAGAAACGCCAGCAACCCCCAGCACCAATGGGAAGATCCACCCACAAGAAAACAGATCGGAGACGACCTTCGGGGAATCAAGACCCTCACTCTGCGTGGTTTGAGCTATGTACGTACTACCTCGCCCCCTCCCCACCTTCCCACCCGACGCCAGATGCGCCTTATTGGCGAAAACCGGGCACTGAAACCAGCACCGCGGTCGCCCATTGGCGAGAGCGTTAGAGCTACCCATTCAGATCCGGGTCAGGCGGGTAGCGCGTGAGAAGGAAGAAGAAAGTGGAGGCCGGGGAGGGCAGCGCATAGTTGCATAGTGTGAGCCCATTTGACTCGACCACGCGATGCGCCTGAGGTTGCCTCCTGCAAGACAGTACTCCGATAGGGTTGAGCGTGGAAATGCGGACACGAAAGGGGAAATACCTGCCTTCAAAGGAATAATTGAATTTCTATTTCGGGACAGTCATTTCAAGAGACACTAGACAATCGCCCATAGGCAGTCATATCATCATAGCAACCAAGCGCTCAAGGCGAGGCTCCTCGTGAGGGGTATACCGAGACCCAAGTATAAAGTCGCGTTGAAGTCCCCCGTTCCACATCCTCTTTTTTCATCCACGTCGAAAACCATCTCATCACCAAAGCTACTTCATTCAAACAAATCTTAAACGGTTCATCAACCAACGCTCCAGCCAACATGTCTCCCTGCTCCTGCAACTGCTGCTCCGGCAACTGCAACTCCTGCTCCTGCTCTAGCTGCAGCGTATGTCTTCCATATTTTTCTCAAATCTCTTCCATTTTTCCTTTCCCCGGGAAAATGATATCTTCATAGAAGGAAGTTCTGATGAATCTACCAGCACTAAGCTAGCTCACACGCCTTCGCCACCGCCGTCCTCCTCCAACTCCACGACTCATACCAGGCCGGGCCTTCCCTTGCTGTCGAACTAGCTTCGATTCTTGCTTGTGGCGTCTCTCTTGTGCAATATTATCTCCATTATCTCCATCGAAATGGTTGAATGTTTGGGTGTGGTTTAGGACATTGGAGTCCTTTGGATGGGCTTGGTTTCGTGTATCCTTGTGTCTTTAGGTCTTTGAGCCATGCAATATATATATAGGATGTCCAACGAGATCTTTTCCTGGCTGTAAACATACACAGTAGCGGCTGCCCTGTATAAAGTGCTGGTCTTGGCTGGTCGACAATGCATCACCAGTGATCCTTTACACCTTTAGGGCATAAGTCTACACTGTATCATCTGCATAAGGTGGGGACCTCATTACTTCACAAAGTGTTGGAGCTTGCAGTATGGGTGGGGTGGCGGGAATGAAAATCGCTGGAAGTTACTAGGGTCAAATCTAATGCTCACAGACTACAACCCAGGCACTGAAAGTTGTACATCCGAACAATCGATACATATGCAATCAAATGAGAAAATTTCTCATAGCTCATCCTTCGAACGAGGGGCGCCGTCATTTTCCTCGCCGCCAGCGCAGACAGCCGGAGTAGTGACGAGCATGGAATAGACACACTTCTCATCCTCGGCCGTCTTCAGAATCTCGTTCTGCTCGCCGCACTCCAAGACAACCTTGGTGGAGCGGTTAGGACCGTTCCAGCAATGCTGGCCACGGTCATACTCGAGCGCGATCTTCTCAACGGAAACCACCTCACCGGCCTCGTTAACTTCCTCGACGCTGGTGCTTCCAATGCGAACAAACTTGCCCATAGACATGGATGAACCGCCCTTTCTCTGGAGCTGTTTGGTACTTTCCAGGAAGCAGTGTTCGTAGGTGTATTCGCCCGCGTCTTGCTGGACACACTGACCCTTTAAAGCGCGGAAGATACCAGCGGTACCGTAGTCCTTTTCGAGGTCGGCACGCTCGTCGCGAAGCTTGTTCTTGATTTCCATGAGGGAATCTTCCTCGGCCTTCAGGGCATTACGGGCCTCGGTCAGTGCCTTTGATTCGGAGCCAGAGTCCTCTTCAGTCTTGGAGATGAATCCGCGAGACTCAAGGAAAGACTTCACAGAGAAGTACTGATCTTCCAGGAAGTTGACGAGAGTAGGCGGAAGCCAAGCAGCGAGCTTGTACACTGTTACTCTTTTCTTAGCGCCGAGATCAAATATAGGAAAATACATGGCAACTTACGGATCTCAGAATCATTGCATCCATCTTCAGTGTTCTCCCAGTGCTGCCAGTGAACCCCGGAATTCTCGTCATCGGCCCTGGTGATCATATCCAAGTCAAGTTCTTCGGCCGCGATCTCGCCAGTGCTCATCTCGCGAGCAGCATAGTCTTCCCAGCTGCGCACCGCACGCTTGACACCCTCATCATTGAAGTTGGGGTTATATTCAACCTTAAATTTCGACAGAATGTCCTCGAGCTCCTTCAACTGGGAACGGAGATCATCTCTCTGCTGACGAACATTGGACAGTGCCAGGCGCAGCTCCTCAACTCGGGCCTTTGCAACACCAGCAAGAGCATTCACCTTGCCTTTACCCTTTCCAGATGTCCTCACGACCTTGCGTTCCTCTTCTTCGACCTTCTTCAGATTGGCCTCGAGGCCCCGAACCTTGACCTCGGAACCCTTGACCTCGGCCTCCAAGCGGCGGATGTAATCCTCAATCTCCTGAACCTGTCGTCCAGCATCCACAAGAAGCTCCTTCTTCTTTTTCAACGCGGCAGTCATGGATTTTTGGCGCTTCTCTTCCTCTTTGCGCCACTTCTTGCCAATCTCCTTGCAGCGGTCCTCGCATTTTGTACCTCCGACACGGGCCCATTCGTCACTGCCATCGCAGCAGAGCTCGTAGTCGCAGATGCCATCATTGACACGCTGGAATGGCACAAATGACGGCCGGTGGCCCTTGTTCTTGCAGTAGAATCCGGGCAGCGCGAGTGAAGGATCCAAGTCGCTGTTTCCAGGGTGGTCCGCGACAGTCAAAGGCGAGTTGCGGGAGAGGTGAGAGCAAGCAGCCGTGCCAGGCTCATCACTGCCGTCGGGGCAATCACAGAAATCATCGTTCACGGCGGAGAAGGGGATCTTTACAGCAGGGCTCGTAATGCAGGTGAAGGTCTCTTGGTCCTGGTAGTATTTGGCGACTTCCAATTCATATCAATTAGCATATGGAACCTACAGAGGAACGAGTTGATGCGCTCAAGGGTCCCAATAACGGTCCACCAGCTGTGGACACGCCATCCGGGGGTGGGGATAAACACATCAGGGTTCTTGTACTTACATTCCGGAGCGACACCTCGAGGGCGGGCGACCTTGTCGCTGCTGGCCCGGGCCGCAGACCCAGTCACAGCCAACAGGAAAAGCGACTGAGGGAATCTCATGATTGAGGCATTGAGCTGGGGAAGGATTGCGGAGAGAGCTTCGTGCCAGCTGGTGATAAGCCGATCCCGCCGATATGTGATTAGTCATCCCGCTATCTTGCGCCTCTATCGTGGTGGCAAGGCGATCATCTGCGCAACGCTCTCGACAGTACTCAAGATGGGTAACGACGGTGGAAGGTAAGTTTTGATGATATAGGTGAACCTGGAATTTCTTCCATAGGCTGATCTGATCCCTATAGTATCCCCACCCGCCGCGAACTCGTCCGCGAAGCGGCCCGCGCCCCGAGCACGGCGCAATTGAAAGAAGCCCAGCGCGAACAGCAAGAACACGCCTGGAAGAACTGCCCGCTCTCGCACAAGGCGCTCGCACGGCCTATCGTCTCAGACAGTGTCGGGAACTTGTACAACAAGGACGCGGTGCTTGAATTTTTACTTCCCGGTGACGACGCCGAGGGCATCGGCTCCAAGTCTGACTGCGAGGAAGTGCTATGCGGCCGTGTGAAGTCTCTCCGCGATGTCGTCGAGCTTCACTTCGAAATTGACACCGAGCTCTCCGAACACCCCTCTGACCACACCAATGCGCACCGTCACGAGCGCCGTGAGGGTTGGATCTGCCCGATTACCGCTAAGCCATTGGGCCCCGGCATGAAGGCCGTCTATCTCGTGCCTTGCGGTCATGTTTTTGCTGAGGAGGCTATTCGTCAACTGAAGGAAGACAAATGTCTCCAGGTATGTTCTCGATGTCTCCAATACTTCTCAGATCATCATACTAACCCGTAACAGTGCAACGAGCCCTACACCCAAGACAACATCATCTCAATCCTGCCGACCAAAGAAGAAGAAAAGCAGCGTCTCCTCACCCGCGCCCAAAAGCTCGCCGAGCAAAGCCTCACCCACTCCCTCAAAAAGGCACCAGGCTCAAAGAAGCGCAAGAAGCACGCCGCGGAAACCTCGACCGAGGCTCCCTGCGGTACCACCGAGAAGCCTGACACTGTGGTTCCGAAGCCGGCTTCGGGATCAAACAGTCGAAGCAATACTGGCACCCTGAACCCGGCTACCTCTGGAAATGGCATCAAGAATGCTTCTACGGCATCGCTTGCGGCCCGTGTGCTGGAAGAGGAGAATGAGAAGAATAAGCGGCGCAAGATGATGGGTCGCAATGAAAATATCGATAGTCTCTTTACCAAGAAGGAAGATGGTAAGAAGACTGGTGATTTCATGACCAGAGGTTTCTCTATTCCCGCTGCCGGGCGGCGGTAAATATTTCAGCGTTGCTTTCATAGTTCGCAATCACGACTGTGGTCTTATACGGAGTTGAATTTGGAGTTTAGGTTTAGGGTAAGTAGGTCGATTACGATGGCCATGATGCCTGCATTTTGTACTTTCAAAATGAAAATCTTTCGAATCAAACAAATGCAAATAAATTCCTAGTATACACAAAATCTCTTGATATCAAAAACAAAAAAATGCTTCAATGATGATAGCAAGATCATGTCAGGCGCCTCAAGCATCCTCATCTTTACAGACACCGCTAGTGGGAACACCGGCAGCCACCAATTGTCAAATTTTCAATCCCCCCCCCCCCCACATTATGAATGACCTACTCCGCATTCTGGGATATGGCCTTCTTCTTCCCCTCCCGGGGAAAGACAAGACCACGCTCGAAGTATTCGGCGTGGATGGCCTTCTTCCGGCCGAAGTCCTCGTCGCGGTCGCCGCGGCTGAGGCGCGAGGAGTGGAATCCGAGGTTGGGGGGCAAGTTTCCGGCGGCCCATTGCTTGGAAAGCCTCCGGTTGACATCGACAGGTTTCTCCTTCAGCTTGGATGAGAGCGCCTGAATGAGTTCGTCGACGGTGTTCGAGGCGCTAATGAACTTGTCCGGGATGCGGCGGCCGATAAGCTGAGACAGACGCTTGATGTACTATTTTGACGATTGTCAGCATGATTGATCCCTGGGATGATACAGAGCAGGTAAACGAACGGCAAACTTAATATCAGAGTCGGCAATGGAGAGAGCCCGGTAGGATTCAGCTTTCGGGTCGCGCTCGACAAAGTCACCGGTAGACTCGATCTGGTTGTTGGGCTCTCCGCCGCCGATTTGGTTGAACACGAAGACAAGAGCCTCCTTGGTCTGCGCATCGGGGAACTTAATCTCCCATTGACCGGTCTCGGTGGCCTGCACTGTACACTTCTCCAGCATGACTCGAATTTGCTCGTTGTGGTGGTCGACATGGCAGATGCTGGTCAAATCCTTGCCAAGGAGTTGCAGCAAGCAGATCTCGACGGCAGTCTGATGAGCCGCGGTGAGAGTAGGACGGATCCGAGTTTCGCGACCGAATCTGAAACGATCAATTGATGAGAAATCATTCAGAACTTCAGATCCAGGGGAGGCGCTCCAGTTTCACGATCCCGCCGGCCGGAAATTCAGGCAATACATACCGGTGATATACATCGTTACGGGCGGAACCTGTCTGCTTCCACTCGTCCTTGGGCAGGTAACCAACACTGGTCAATCCCTCCCAAGTCTCCGCCTGCACGTATCCATCTCCCAGAGCCAGCTCGCCCTTGGTCTCCGATGTGCCCTCAGACAGTCCGGTCTGCGAAGGTTCCGCTTGCGCAAGCTGCGATTCACCGGTGTAGGGGTCCTCCGCACCGGGGGTTTTTCGCCGTCCCAAAGCTTGCGACGGGTTCTTTCGAGGAAGGTCGGAGAGTTGTCGGAGGCGTAGCGACGGGTTTGGAGTTGGAATTGGCGGGCCAGGGGAGAAACGCGCGGTGCGGCTCCTTGCCTGCAATTCGAGCAGACGTAGAGCGCCTCGCGAAGAGGCAGGCGCATGACGGGTCGCATTGTTGCGTTGCGGTTGTATTGGATTCCTTGTATGCGCTGCAACTTTTGCTCGGGGAAACAAATTGAGATGGTGGTCACGTGAGTCATGGCTTGGCGTCTTGTATGCGGCCAGCGTGGAACAGCTACCCTCACCCAACTTGATCACTGTTTTTAATAAATTAGATAGTATTTTCGATGGCATCATTTACTCCATTGCTCCAATAATTCTTTTCAGATTTAGAGTAAACTTCAGGTCATATTGGGGGGCATACACTAGATTCAAGACTTAGACCTGCTAAATATATATTCAGGAGACGAGTTCAGTTTGAAAAGATTCAGTTTTGAGAACATCGCACGTTAACGTATTAGTAGTCACTTTTCATCGTTCACAGTGTTTTCGATCATATATTGATGAATAGTATTCATTTTGGATTTTAAACGGAAATTAGGCGGTCATAATCGGCCATAAGGCTGAGCTCCGGATATAATCGGTCCAGCCGAAGGACATTGGCCTTCGCAAGCCCCTTCGCAGAATCTAGAATGTCAGGACATCAAAGGTTGGATACTAAAATGTTCATTATAAAAATATCCAAGTTTGAGTGTTGGTACCTATCATAGTGCACTTTTGCTCAAAGCCTAACTTGAAGCCGCCCTGCACCAATATGCCTGCCCCATACAGTTCCAAACACAACAGCCACCGAACTAGTCACCGACTACGCGGCCCTGATTAGATACAAAAATATTCTGATCACAGGAGCTTCACCAGGCTCTCTAGGCGGGCTCTACACCCGACAAATTGCAAAAGCAGATCCCGCTTGTCTGATTCTTACCGGCCGAAACACAGCCAGATTAGAACAATGTGTCAAAGACATTAAAATTCGAGAGCCCGAAAGTGAGAATCCGCCTCGTGGAAGTGGGCATGGGCTCCGTGAAGAGCGCACGGAATGCGGCAAATGAGCTCAACAGTTGGGAAGATGTCCCTGTCATCGATGTGTTATTCAACAATGCCGGAATCATGGCAGTGGAATATGGAGTTTCTGTGGATGGGTTTGAGTCACATCTTGCGACGAATCATCTTGGGCCCTTTCTGTTCACGAATCTTATTATGGGGAAGTTGCTCAAGTCGCCGTGTCCAAGGGTTGTTATGGTTTCTAGTGATGGGTACCGGCTTAGTCCGTTTCGGTTAGATGATTTCAATTTTGATGTGAATTTTCCCAGAGGATTCTGAGAGTAAGCATGCTGACATAAATACAGGAAGGAAAGACCTATGATAAATGGGTTGCATATGGGCAATCCAAGACGGCAAATATGCTGATGGACCTGTCGCTTGCCAATAAGCTGGGGGTTAAGCATGGCTTGCTTGCTTTTTGTCTGAACCCTGGTGTGATATTCACGAATCTGGGAAGTCACCTTGATTGGGAGAATGTTGACATAGAGGGACTTTGTGAGTTGAGATATATGCAGCCACTTTATGGCTGTTCTAACGTGTCATACACAGTATCGATCGATCGACGACTTGGAAATGCTGAAGGTTGGAGAACAGAGTTTGATCCCAAGATGCTGGAAAGAGGAGTTTCGACTCATCTATATGCCTCATTTGGTCCGGCTATTAAAGGTATGTCAAATGAAATCGATTTCAGAGACACGAGTTGCTAACAGGTTTATGCCGCTGCTAATAATGGAGACTACTTGATCTACTCCCATATCGCCGACCCCTTGGTAGACACCGTAAAGGCATGGGCAACCAGTAGCTTTGAAGCAGAAAGACTCTGGAGATTGAGTGAAAAACTAGTTGGCCAGGAGTTCCCTTACTAGCACAGCATCGGAAACCACAAGAATAAAGAGGAACTTTGAAGTCAATAAGTCATTTATTGTATGCGAAATGTATATACACATGCATCGCTCATCATATTGTAACAGAGAAACAGAAACGCCCGAAATCAAAAGGCTTTTTCACTCGCGGACAAACATGCCAGCCATACCCATACCAGTACCAATGCACATGCTGACAACACCGATATCCTGGCCGCTGCGCTCCATTTCAGGAAGCAGATCAGCCAGCTGGCGAGCACCAGTAGCACCGAGCGGGTGGCCGATAGCAATAGCACCACCGTTGGGGTTAACCTTGGCCTCATCAATGCCGAGCTTGCGAACACTGTAAAGCGCCTGCGAGGCGAAGGCCTCGTTGATCTCCCAGACACCGACGTCGGGAACGGAGAGACCAACGCTCTGCAGCAGCTTGGGAATAGCAACGGCAGGGCCAACACCCATCTCGTCAGGAGCGCAGCCAGCAACGGCGGAAGCGACCCAGCGGGCCTTGATAGAACCAGAGAGACCGAGCTCCTCGGCGGTGGACCGGCGCATCAGGAGAGCGGCGGCGGCACCGTCGCTAACCTGGGAGCTGTTACCGGCGGTACTGGCGCCGTCGGCAGCGAAGGCAGGCTTGAGCGAGGCCATCTTCTCGACGGACAGGTTGTGGCGGATACCGTCGTCCTGAGAAACGGTGATGTCCTGGGGCGGAGCTTCGGGGTGCTCGGGGGCGTAGAACTTGGTGGTGACGGGGACGATTTCGCTGTCGAAGCGGCCGGCCTTCTGGGCAGCGGAAGCCTTCTTGTGCGAGTCGGCGGCGAAGGCGTCCTGGTCCGCGCGGGAGATACCGTAACGCTTAGCGACGTTCTCAGATGTGATACCCATGGGCATGATGCAGTCCTGGGCATCCTGGGAGTACGACTCCTTCAGCTCGGGCCAGAGGACGGTGGGAATGGCGCGGGAGCCGTAGTTGCGAGTCATAGACTCCATACCACCACCGACACCGACGTTGCAAGCGCCAGCGCGAATCCCGTTGGCAACGGCGGTGATAGCGGCCAGACCGGAGGAGCACTGGCGGTTGATGGTGTTGAAGGGGACAGTGTGAGGGAATCCGGCGTGGATTTGAGCCATACGGCCGGCCTTCGCACCACCCAGTTCCTGCAGCACAGAACCAATGGTAACCTCCTCAATCAGGGCCGGATCGAGGTTGGGGTTGGCCTTCAATGTCGCGCGCAGGACGTTGGCGAGCAGCTCTTCGGGGTAGGCATCCTTGAAACCACCCTTCTTGGCGCGAGTAACGGGGGTACGCAGAGACGAAAGAATGACAATGTCGTTGGGCGACTTCTGGAGCACCTGCTTGATACCACGGGGAATTGGAGAAGCCATGGCTGCGGAGAAAGCGAGGGGTTATATTGAGATTCGGCGAAATTTGTAGATGTGCCAAGATGCGTATATCCGGGACGGTGGTTCTGAGGCCGCGCGATGTAAGACCCGGGAGAATCTGTTGATGTACCTGTACAGGACGAGAGTGTAGGAAAATTGAAGCAACCCGGCCAAAAAATCCCCAACAGCTACTCCGCGGCGGCAACTCTTATAGGGAAGTGCCGGGTAGAATTCCGGGGTCGGATGTAGCGCAGTCGGCCAGTACCGTTGCTGCGGCGTCGACTGGCCCCGGCATTGGAGATCGGCTAAGGGCTCTGCCGTATGGGGGGGTGAACACTGCAAACCACATGACTTGCAATTGACATGTTAAAATGAATATGCACTAAATGCTCTTTGCAGTCAAACTTCGTTTCAGTTAATTATTTTTTATCTAAAAGATGAATTTCTAGATATTCATCCCATCTCCGTCACCGTCAAGCATATCCGATGTTGTCCCCCACCGAGCCGACTCGGCTGATTATGTCATCATCGGATCGGAAGCGGCGCCGGGTGGCGGGTAAGAGAAAGAAGTGAACTATACGGACAGCTTCATGATAGCGGTGTACAAAAGATCAGATGAGTATGTATTGTAAAATCGATGGAATAAAACTTGATTTATTTTATTTAGATGTTCGCTCAATGCTCCCCATTCGTCTTATTCTCACCACGGGCGACATGGGCCCTACTTGTCGGCATGGTACCATTAACACTCTCCATTCACAATATACCCATTCGAAACATCCCCACATTTCCCCTCCTCAAAAGAATCCGAAACACGTACCGATATCCCAAGAACACAACACCTCTCCTCACCAAACCCTCAAAATGATCCCGATACGAACCCGCTCAATCTTTCAATATCTCGGAATACGAAGACTCCAAACAAAGTTCCCAGCCATTAGCACCTTCCAGCAGATCCGTAAGTCTTACAATTGACTCCGCCGGCTCAGCCGTCGCCTTATACTTTTCGTGAGCTGACAGAACCGCTCTTCATGAGCCGTGATTTCAGCGCTAATAACCTCCTTCGCGGCCTCTTGCAAAATGCCATTGGACACTATAGAAATATTCACCGCGTTGACGAGCGGTGTCTCGCCTTTACTCTCGACGTGCAATCGGTACTCCGCTTCCCAAGGTTCGTCAGTGCCAATGCGGCGTATGCGACGTAGTTGATTGGTCCAGCGGCTCGTTCTTCGTCGAGCGTTAGGTAGATGCCTGATCTCTAGCGGAGGAGGGAGAGTATCCAGCTATTGTGCCGGTAGTGTTAGCTTGCTCTGGACTTCTGAAAGAATAGGAGGGTGTGGTACATTGTAGCGGCATCAACGACGCGAAAATCGAGGTAATCATCCAAATTAGCGAATTCGACATGACTTCTCACATAATCGACGGAATGCACGAATGTCTTCCAGTATGACAGGAACCAGTCCGCGAATACGGGGTCGAGACGCAGAAAATCCGCTGCGACTTTCGCTTGGGCTTCGGACTTGCGCTGGCTTGACCCGGACATTACGGATGAGGCGGAGGGTGAAGCCGTTTTGGCTTAGGGATTGGAGGAGCAGACTTCATTTCTCAAGAACCTCAGCGAGGGCTGGCATTTTGTCTGATCGCAATCCACGGGTACTTTGGCTAAGACGGTAGAGACTAGCGTGAAGCCTAGAGTATCCAGAAAGATATAAGAGGACGAGGGAACGTTGCCGGCTGCTGAAGAATCCAAAAACGACTAGCTGAATGCAAACGGTTACAGTAGCACTACTCCCATACCAGCCTTACAGTAGACAGAAAATCACCCTCTCACCGCAGAATTCATGCAATTGTGGGCCCTGTAAAACGTTATACCTTGCACTCCTCTCTTGGCGCTCGAGGTAAAGAGCGAAAAATTTGAGATTGAAGATCTCTCTGCATTATGACGCACTGATGTGACGATGCATATGTAGTAGATGGAGACGAACAAGCTAGCAGCAGGTCATGGAACCTAAAAACGAATTGCTTTTTCGCAAAGCGGAGGGTGTCCAGCTGGGAAAAGCAAAGCCATGCGGCTGAATCAAGGGCGCGGACCCACCCGCGTGATAGATAGATCTACCAGCACCGACTAACACACTACGACGTATCGTGTGCAACGTGGAATCGCGCTAATGCTTATTATGTAAGATGGAAGTGGTGTATCGGGCATCACGCACGACACAATGGGTATTTGAGCTTGGTTGATCTGGTCTCAAGAGAAGTTCGTAGTTTGATCGTCGGGAAATGCACAAGTATTCGAATAGGAACACCGAGTACCCTCAGCTGCCTGCAATTAGTGGTATAGTTGAAGATTCAGCTAATTCGTGCTAGGAAAAACAATCAATTGGCAGGTTTTGGTCCCTAGGGTCTGAGGATCGAACCATATCATTCTAGTCCGGACCTGTTTTGGGACGTATCGGTCTTTTCCAGATCGCGGGACAGAGATGAACGCGGAGGACTTTATGTTGCCAACGGAAAAGCTAGATCGCGATACTCTTAGCCGGAAAGAATAATTTGATTGTGAGGGTTTGATCTCTTGCCTGGAGATTCCAAGTGATATCCTTTTGAGATGAAGCCTACTCATACTGCAGGTCGATCCGTTCGTCTGCCATCCTGCGATTAGGAATGAGCAAAAAAGCCCATGAATCTCGCAGCTCTCTTCTACTCGTACAATCGGGGACTGCCCCTTCTTCTCCAGCTTACTTATATTTCTTCTCAGCAAACTCCTGATCCTGGGCCTGGGCTTGCGCCCGGGCTCATTTCCGAGCTTCCTGCCGGCGCTTCTTTCACAACCTCGACGTAATAAACAGAAACAAAAACGCATTGCAACATTAAACCTCATCCGAAAGACACAGGGTATATACACTCAAAAAGGTCGACCTGCAATATAAATCCACCGCTATCCCACCCTACCTCGCGTAGAGCCCATCCCCATTCCCAATTCAATTTATCCCCACCCGGCCCGCCACCAGGCAAAGAAGCCGTCATCCCAGCCAACCCCCCAACCTTCGAATTTCTCAACCTGACCAGCCGATCATCAGCATCCATGTACTCCTCGTACTTCTTTTGGTACGTCTCATAGTCGCGGCGGTATTTGTCTTCGGAGTTGCGGCTTTACGCCGGCGGTTACTTCGCCGAAGCACATTTCGTTCAAACACAAGTACTTCACAATAGGATAGATGCGGGTGGAAGTAGAGGAGGTTGATCACTTTAACGTAGGAATGACTTCAATGCGGTAGTTTGGGTAGGGTGCTGGTAGGGCTATAAATACCCCCACGACATCCGCTCTTGGCATCGTCATATGGGGCCGGGCAACTTCATAGGGGCGATGTTGGCTTTTTCTTGCTCTATGGGGAGATTAGGGGTCGATCTCGGGGCTACCAGGCGATATAATGTGGGGTATCCACTTTACTTGGGCGTGGGTATGATTTCAATATAGGTAATCAACATGGCCAAGCATTCGAGTTCCGCCTGCTTGTGAGCTGGGAAAGACAGGCGTAATTCTACAATTAGATACTCATGGATGATGCGGCTCGTAGATATATGTAAGAGCGGCGTGGGGGCACGGTCGCTGCTTACAGAATTGCGTATTGCTGGCATCTACTGATCTTCATTTTCAGGGATGTAGGGTCAAGACAGTAGGTATCGAGTGACGAGAAGTGAGCAGGTTCCTGATTGGCCAATCAAAATACAAAGCGATGCTGAGACTACCGGTAGAGAAATGCAAGTATTAAGCAGGCAACGCCATGAGTACAGGTCGGACCGGAAAGTAACACCACGTCCGGGAATCTCAAAACCAACGCCTATCCGGGATATCATGGGACCGCCAAGCGTTATGCTGCAAAACAGAGAAAAGACAAAGGGTATGTATGGTACAAATTGAGCGACAAGCAGCATGGAAACCCTCACGGCCAAAAACCTTGAGAGATTAAGAAGTGATGGAAAGCCATCAAGCCCTCTGAACGATATGGCTGTAGTGCCCAGGAACCTTGCAACGACACTTATCGCAGTCCGCGCGGTAGCCCATCACCAACGCTGAGCGACGATGCGATGACTCCGAGCAGGATGTCGGAACCGGGGTCGTTTGCGAGGCATTGGAACTTGCACTCGCAGCAGGCGACATGGGATGCGCGGCGACCGGCTCGGTGGAGATGTTTCCGTAATCCAGGCCCGGGGCAGGTGAGGCGCGGTAGGAGACTTGGTATGAGGCTTGATAGGCCCCGGCGTCACTGGTGTTCGTGTTGGCCATGGTCATGTCGTCGTCGCTGATGGGGCTAGGGATGCGGATGGCGGGTGGGGGGAGTGGTGGTGCCTGGTCCTTGTGGAAGGGACTGTCTTCCATAATTGTGTCTGCCTGGTTCTGGTATTGCTGGTCTGCATCTTCGTGGCCAAAGCCCGGGGCTGTCAATGCTGAGGCGTTGATATCGAGGGAACGATTAACCAGCGCGCGAGGGATTGGCGATGGCTGGCTGGGAATATGGGCCTGTGGCCATTGGAAGCCATCATCTCCAGCTGCTAGCAGTTTTGACGGGGCTGGGTTCAGCTGAAGAGGGGATGGGTGGGCTTGGCTGTCTAGCACCTGCATCGCGCCCGTATATGACTTGTTCTCCCTCCCGTCGGTGCTAGGACACTCATCATCCGAGTCGACGGGTGTCAAGGCTGGCGCGCGAAATCGCATGGTCTGGTCGAGATCGGTGGAGGATTGAAGGGAACCGGTCGCGAGTGGCCATGTTGGACAGAGTTTCTGTCAGATTGGATCAAGCGTGTTAGCCGGGGTTTGCTCTGGCTGCAGGTGAGCAGACTCTCTGCAGTCTGGCGTCGGCGTATAAGGGTGGTTCGTTTGCTTTTCTGCTTTTTGAGGACGACGCGAGTGGCGGGGCGTACCTTGGAATCATCGCGGGCGGGCTCATCCTCGCGCGGCCGTTTGAGGGAGCGCAGCATGGCGTGGGAGGATGGAGAGGAAGGGCAACGAGAGGGCGTCGGGGAAAATCATGGGGAAGCAAGGAGTGGTGGGGCCTTCTTGCCTATCGCGGGTACTTTGATTCGATCCTGCCGATACTCTACTAGCAGTCCTCGCAGGTCTAGAATCGCCTACACTTAGTTGACCACAAATTCCGGAGCAATTCAGCTCAATTGTTTTGTTATGATACCATATTTTTGCCATTTACACGGATTGAATAGTTTCTAATTTGAATTGCGGAATGTATTGTGCAACACCCCAGAATACGAGTGACACCGATCTGCTGCAGCGAAGATCGACACATTGACAGCATTGCCCCGATTACTGGAACTGCAGAGTCCCTAGTGTATAGCACCTGCGGTAAAAACCAGGTAGTTGTTTTTCGTTTCATTTATTTGAGAGAAACTACCGAAGAAAACAAAGCCAAGCGGATTCGGCGGAGACTTCCGCGTTAGGCAGATGGCCAGTGCAGCCGATCTGATCTCAGCTTCAGATTTCTTAGTACTACTCGCACCTTCGGGTCAAGTGCAGGTCACACGCAAACCACGAAATCGCGGAGAATCGAGCGTTGCTCCGACTGGTCAATACGAGGGCCGTGATTGGCTGGCGGTCTCCGAGCAGGCTGCCTGACTGGATCTGACTCGTCAGGGCTCGCAGTACCACTAGGAATACACAATGGGTGCAACTAGTGGCAGCAATGCGAGGAGAGCAGTGGCAATAGTCCATGCAGGCGATCTATCGATCCGAGAGAATATCACAAAAAAAAAAAAACAAAAAAACAAATATGGCGCGGCGTGGTAGTACATAAGCCTGTGAACCATCGGCCCACTTGGCACTTTTCGCCGAACCCACGGCCCGTCCGAATATTCTCTACTCTTCTCTTCACCTCCTCAGTTTTGTGCTGGTGCGTTTTTGTTCTCACGGTCGCAGTCGCTTTTTCTCTTTCTGCGTACTTACTCTTCTCGCGACAGATTCTACCTACATCTCGAACGCAATGCCTCTCGTCAACACCACCGAAGTCAACGAGGACACTCGTGGTAAGTATTTACTAGCATTCAGTTCCTGCGCCGCGCTCGCCCACCGGCGCTGTCTCCCATTTCAATTTTCGTTAATCCGACTAATTCTTTTCTGTCATTGTCTAGTCCTCGGCTACGACCCTCTCCTCCAGCCTCAGTTCCTCCAGAGCGAGATCCCCGCGGTGAGTCATTTTTTTTTTTGTGCAGAAAGGCACACCCCGCCTCACGATCTCACTGAAGAAACCCACCACTAACTAAGTCGTCTTACAGCCCCAGCGCGCCGTCGAAACCGTCCGTCAAGGCCGCAATGAAGCCGTTGAGATCATCGAGCAGCGCGACGACCGTCTCCTCGTCGTCGTGGGCCCCTGCTCCATCCACGACCCCGACACTGCCCTTGAATACGCCCGCCGCCTGAAAGAACTCTCCACCAAGCTCTCCAAGGATCTGTGCATCATCATGCGCGCCTACCTCGAGAAGCCCCGCACAACCGTCGGCTGGAAGGGTCTGATCAACGATCCCGACATCGACGAGTCCTACAACATCAATAAGGGCCTGCGCGTCTCCCGCAAGCTCTACGTCGACCTGACCAGCACCGGCCTGCCCATCGCCTCCGAAATGCTCGACACCATTTCTCCCCAGTACATGGCTGACCTGATCTCCCTCGGCGCCATCGGCGCCCGCACCACCGAGTCCCAACTCCACCGCGAGCTGGCCTCCGGCCTCTCCTTCCCTATCGGCTACAAAAACGGTACCGACGGCAACCTGACCGTCGCTATCGACGCCATTGGCGCCGCCGCCCACCCGCACCGCTTCCTCGGTGTCACCAAGCAGGGTCTGGCGGCCATCACCAAGACGGCCGGTAACGAGCACGGCTTTGTCATCCTGCGCGGCGGCAACAAGGGCACAAACTACGACCGGGACAGCATCCGCGGTGCGCGCGAGGCTCTGCGCGCTAAGAAGCAGCGCGAGGTCCTCATGATCGACTGCTCGCACGGTAACTCCAAGAAGAACCATCTCAACCAGCCGCTCGTCGCGAAGGAGGTCTCGGACCAGCTGCGCGAGGGTGAGACCGGTATCGTGGGTGTGATGATCGAGTCGAATATCTACGAGGGTAACCAGAAGGTTCCGCCTGAGGGTCCTTCGCACCTGCTGAAGGGTGTCTCTATCACTGATGCTTGCATTAACTGGGAGATGACTGTGGACACTCTCAATGATCTGGCGGATGGTGTTCGTGCTCGTCGGGCGATTCTCAAGTCCAAGACGAATGGCGCTAATGGCTCGCACTAAATTATGAAGGGTTGCGTTTCGTATTCTGTCTTCGTTCGGGCTGTTTCTCTTCTTGTCATTTGAAAATTCTTTTTTTTTTTTTTTTTTTTTTGATGGGACCCACGTATGTGGGGGTTGACATAGATACCTAGTTTTTATTTTATGCCCATCCGAAAGTGCAGCGTTTGTTTATCACTTTCCCTTGTACCAGTTCTTGTTCCAGTAGAACATGAATGTAGGTGTGTAGACGAGCCCCTACTGTACCTGACGGTGGAAGTTTGTGGGTCCGCAGTACCCAAGGAGGGACAAGGTCTCATGATCTCCCATGTATGTAGACACCCCGCGTCAGTATGTATACTTACCCCAGACTGGACCCACCAAAGCTGCTTTAAAAGTGACAGCTTCCTCCAGAAAATAAGAATAAAAGTGTCCACACGATCTGCAATTGCAAGCGCGCGCTCCACCAGTGCGCAGGGCAGGGTTCTGGACTCGGACTTCGCGGGCAAAGCGCTCTGCCGGCCGACGATGTCCCAATCAGGGATGGCCCAGCCTCTTACGGATTAGTGGTGGGACCTCTGGAGGACCGTTTTGCCCTGCTACCCATTGGTAATTCTGTCTTTCTTACAGGTGGAGACTTTTGTTCGTCAGGTTACATGTTATAAGGTCTTACATATTGGTAGGGGTAGGTTAGATTGGTGGATGTGTGTGGAGAGCAGGTTTTTCTATGTACTGTACACAATATACATGGGGTCGTCCCGATGTCGAGATAACCTGAATCAGATAAAAACACAGCCTGGAAGAAAACGAAAAGAAACAACAAGGACAATGCAACGCCGGTAACCCCCTGTCACGATGAAGCACGCTGCGAGAAGTGCTCGTAACAGGCCATGCAAGAAAATTCAGGACATTTGACACTTTGTGTCGGTGGAGGAGACGAGACTGACAAGACCTTTCGAGAAAAATGGACTTAGACGAACCTCGGCATTAGTATAGGAGGCAACCAACCAGAACGATGAAGACACTGCCATGCATGTCCCATCCAATCCCACAAGTGCATCTCTACCGCACCCAACCAAAGGTCAGCCGGCTAGTCCAACTGCGCGCCGTCTCCTTCGTTGCACGCTCCGCATTCTCCGCCATAACATCCAACTGACCAGGCATCGGAGAACCAGTCTTCTCCGCCGCGGCATCCTTCGCCTCCTTCGCCTTCACAGCATCCATCACACCCGGAGCAGACGCAGAGGTCGCAGCCGCTGATGTCACCCCTTGCGCGGCGGTATCTTCCATATTCATCTTCTCGAAGAGGAAACGCTTAGCCTTGGCCCAGGGTTTCTGAGCCTTCTCCTCTGCACGCTTCTGCTTCACAATCTCGGCAATCTCCTCCTTCTTAATCAATTCCAGCTGGTCTTCGGTGGCGGAGCCGTTAGCCTGCGCGATGCGGGCTTCGTTGAGAGTCGCGACTTCCTTTTCAATCCATAGGCTGCGTTGGCGGCGGTTGTACATGGTCAACGAGACCATCGAGTAGACTGTGAGGACACCGCAGACACCTGGAACCGTATCAGTCTTTCGTTTCTTTCATTGGATGGAGGTAGATCAGAGCAGATCAATGTAGATCGACCTCATCCGAGAATGAATATGGGCCCATCGCGGTCTGACTTCACGCCCACCATGAATACATACCCGAAGCAACAATGAGCGAGTAAACCATCCCCTTGTGCGCCTTATTCGCGAATCGTCGACCGAACTCAATTAATCGATCCGTCCCGGTCGAAGACTGCGCCATCCGGGCAGCCCGTGCCTGCGCTCGCAGTCGTTCCACCTTCTGCTTCGGCGTCTCGGCCGGTCCATCCGGTCCACGCTGTGGTGAAGGCTGCTTGGGTGTAGACGTGTTTTCCTTCTGCATGAAGTTGGGCAGTTCGTACGGCGCGCCGTTGGGCTTGGAGCTGGCGTAGGGACCGGTGGCCGTGAACCGCGTTGCGTCCGCGGCGGATCGGGACATGGTTGCTGTGTCGGGGGGAGTTGCGAATGAAATAGCGGATGAGAGAGAGACGCAGAGCGGAGTGTTTGCCTAATGCTGGGTAGCCCGGCAATCGAGAGCGGGTTGCTGTGTGGACGGAGGACGCGGTTGTCGGGATTTGTAGGACGAACTTGCAAGGTAAATTTTCGACGGGGTTGCCAAGGAACTGCGGACAGCTTCACTTATCGATACCCACTTCACCTATCTTCACCCACCACCTTCACCACCCTCTTCTTTCAACCCACTGCATCGCTGCACCGCTGCACCCTTTCATTCTCCATCCTGAAACCCGTCTCTTTCCGCATTTTCTTCACCCGTTCGCTCGTTTTTTTACAGTAGAATATGGCAGACCAGCCATATGATCCAAACAATCTACAGTCGGTCCTGCGGACTCTGACGCGTCTGGCAGGCGAGACCGCTGAAACCACTCGGCCAATAGAGGCCACCTCTCAAGACCCGACTCGCCATTCAGTGCCCCGTCTCGAACAGACCGAGAGCACCGGGGCCAAAAGGTCGTCGACAATCACGACTTGGCCCGAAGGGCTGCGCTACGTGATCAACACGTTCTGCACGAACGAGCGCGCCAAATCCCACCTTCGCCGGATGATCCGTAACGAGCGTGCCCATTATGAAGCGTGGCTCGAGGGCCGTCGACAACTGGAGGCACAGCAGGTGACCCGCGGCCAGAAGCACAAGGAGCTCCAGCGTGTCCTGTATGCTCCCCGATCTCCAGCCTTGTTAATTGAGACTCACAGCGATCCAGGGAATCCATCGGTGCCGAACCCAGTCCTAACAGCACTCAGCAGGTAAGTTGCTATTCCCTTTTAGGTCCCGAATACCCCGCCCGTTCCTTTATTGACCGACTGCGCCGCCAACTCCAGAACCAGCCCGCGCCCTGGAAAGAGATGCAGGAGTATGACCTGCGAGGCTGGAGTGCCGCCCAGGAGCTGGACGGTCGTCAAGCCGACCAGATGAGGGCCATGGATATTCCGTTCTTCACCACTGATCCGAGCTTGATCGTCGGTAGTGAGAGCACGACGGCCAGTTCGGCCGCTGCCACCACTACGGACGACTCACGACCCAAGGTCACGAGAGAAGAACTGCAGACTCTCCAGGAGCGAATGGTCGACCTCCTGAAGGATGTTGTCAGCTCGAGCCTTTGACATGGTGATGGTTTATGGATCGGCACAGCGTTCGTGCTGGAAGCTGCTGATGGTACCCTTGGTATTACCATAATTACGACCTGATACCCCGGTTTCTCTTTACAGCAAAGCGGACAGATCTCACTGTCCTTTGCTACGATTACGATTTGATACCCCGGCAGACCCAATGCCCTGTTAATGCAACTAACTCACTTTGAGATCATTTTCCACTCACATAAATAGAGCCCTAGCGCATAGGTCCCGTAACACCCCCGAGAAGATACCGCTGCACACCGGACAAAGTGAAAGACAAGCAAAGGATCTTTATATCAGTAACCGAATCTTTAACCTCACTTCCAGCTTCTCACGAAGCCCACCACTTACTCAACCTCGTCCTAAAGACTTCGCTTCAATGCACAATACCTAAAAATTAAAACGTCATTCAAAATTGAAAAATCTACATAACAACACACCCCGACTTCTCAAATCCCCCAACATCACAACAAACAAACAAACTCCAATTCCAAACACAATCCGTCTCTTGCGGCCCAGGTCCCACCCACGCCTCACGCGGCGGAAAATGCGACTTATCAAAAACAAGCCTGAGCGTATGCTTCCGCTCATACGAAGAAACATTACCCCCCCTAACACGATGATCTTGCTATGGTCTGTGGGCTTGGCATTGGGGTGGTTCCATACGGAGTGATAGGATTTTGAATATCAATGAAGCAGAAAACTCAGTCGACGTTGCATAAAATTAAGAAGCCGAGATTTCAAAAGTTCCTAGAAAGCGCCCTACAAGAATTCCAAACCAAAGTCGCCACGCAACATTTACCTCATTCACAACCACTCAAGCAGTAACATCCTGAACCTGATCACTCGTCGCGATGATAGGCGGCGGCTTCGGAATATTCTGGCGGAAAATGTGTCGCCTAATAAAGTAGGGAAGCCAGACGGTAGTCTCGTGCTTGATGAACTGCTTCGTCGGGACGGAGAAGACCTCTGCAAGTTGTTAGCGCTGTCAAAGCTTTCAAGGTCCGGGAGATTGGTCGGGTGAGGTGATACTTACGGTCCAGTTCTTCTAGAGTTAGTTGCTTTGTTTCTCTGACGAAGAAGAAGATCATGAGCCAGGCGAGGAGATTTAGTCCGGCATAGAAACCGACTGGACTTCATGTTAGAGGGGCTAATACCAGTAGGAAGGTTAGAGATGAAGGGCGCTTACATGCACCGGTTTGTGTCATGACCGTTCGCATTCGGAACCAGGTTAGGCCCAGCACACCAGCTAGGATTTTGTTAGATGCGTCATGTCTTATATGAGCTATGGATCTCACCGAATGTGTTGTTGATGCAAACGGCCCAGGCCATTCCTTGCTCACGTTGGATGGTGGGGAAGACCTCAGCGGAGTATTGGAAGGCGACTGGGCCCTCGCCCAGTGAGTAGCAGATTGTGAACAAGTAGACGAATCTGTGAAGAGATTGTTAGGTTGGTTCGGGGATTCCTGCTTGTGTAGCGGACGTACAGGACAATCGGGGCGACGTGTGCCGACTTGGGTGTTTCCGGGCTTAGAAGAGACAAGCCAGCAGCGAGCAGGAATAGGAACATGAGCGGGAAGGTCTGGAAGAGTTAGCGAGGATTTTGCAGACGATCATAGGAATACTCACGATCAAACACAGAGTTCGTCGACCCTTGGTATCAATAAGGAATAGAGTCGGGATGGTGAAAATGACCTGAATCGCACCATAGCCAAGAGAAGCGTATAGAGCTTCATCATCCGAGTAGCCGGCATCGGTAAAGATAGAAGAACTAAAGAACGAGATGACTGCACATTGTCAGCTTGCATTGACCATTTCAAGTGATCACAGAACTTACTATTAATACCACACATCTGCTGCGCAATCATGACAGTTGAGGCTCCGTAGTTGGCGCGTCGAATTCGCGGAACAGCGAAGCAATCCCACATACGGGCAAAGTATCCCGCGCCCCGTGCCTCCTTCAGTTCCTCCTCGTAGATAACATACGAGTAGTAGAAATCTCTCGCGGCAATGATAGGATGAGCCCGGAGGCGCATCATAGACCGGAAGCCCTTGGCGTGCTTGCCATGCTTCATAAGCCAACGGGGGGACTCGGGACAGAAGAAGATCCCAAGGCCAAGAATGAACGATGGAATGAATGCTGAGCCAAATTGAAGACGCCAGGCGATATCACCCGTGTCCTTGACAATGATGTTCGCGCAGAGACCGAGGAAAATTCCTATACATGCAAGTTAAATGGGGAGTCGTTGAGTAGTTCGAGAGGGAAAGTACCAGCCACGACCCAGAGCTGCCAGAACATAACAAGAGCACCGCGAGTTCGAGCAGGAGCCATCTCAGCCGAGTAGATAGGTACCGTCGCGTTCTTCGCGCCAATGCCAATTCCCATGATAAACCGTGAAATAAAAAGATCGTGCCAGTTTCGCGCGAAGCCGGACGAGATTGGGGTGGCGGTCAGACACAGCGCAGTGACAAAGATCTCGCCTCGTCGTCCCAGGTAATGATTCAGTGGATCGACAATGAATGCGCCACTATTTTCGTTCAGTCAGTCTTGAGGTGCGCGCATTACACTGGTGGTCTGGACGGGGACATTCTCACATCAAGCCAGCCGTCAAGAAAATGATTGAGTTGATCAATCCAACAATCCACTCATCATGTCCCTCTCCAGTCAACCCAAACTCCTGCGGAAAAGACAAGTTGGCTCCGTTTGCTCCTGTCTGATCCCAGCCCTGGGTGGCAGCTCCTATCGCGCACAACCCGATAGAGTACCAGAGCATCTTTGGACCGTGCCATTTATGATCTCGCTCGTATGCCAGCGCTGCCCTCTCGTCTTCGAGAAATTCACTCGCACTCTCCTCAAATGCTTTTGAGTCACGAGCGATGATGGCAGCTCGACCAAACAGGTCGACGTATTCTTGCATACCGTTTGACTCGGCGAATCTTCGGGCATCACCGACGGCTTGTTCTTTGGAAGCGCGCTGTTCATCGAAGGTTATTTAGGCACTTTGTTCGCTCGCAGAAATGATGATTGCAAATCTCACCATCAAAGGGTTCTCGACGAGATTAGTACCGGTAGCTAGGCGACGAGCGGCCGCCGCGCTAGGCACCCCGGCCGTTTGAAGCGTCTCCTCATAATGAGGGGGCTCGATCTTCTTCTCAGCCATAGTGAACGGTGACAGAAGTTCTCTCGAAGCGATAGCTTGCGCAATAACCACCGCGGAAAGCGAGGTTTAGGCCAGTATTAATCTGTGGGGTCGAAAAGAATCACCTAAAGACAATCCCCGTGGGGAAAATTTTGGCATCTGCATCGCACATATAACGTTATCGAGTCGGGGCGTGGGGGCCGGTCTGAACGCCGATACAACCGGACGACTCGTCCTTGGCGAGTCTCAGCACCCTTGGCGACTTTCCCAATAACTGCACTGCCTCTTAGCGCGGACGGGGCTAAGGGTCTTGGAAGGCGATCCTAGCGGGCGTCGGGGCGCAAAAGTCTATACTCCATACTTTGTCGCGAGTGCCTGATCTAGAGGACCGGGTGGCTTGGTGGCTTTGTGAGAGTTGGGAGATCATACTACCATGGTAAGGCAATTCACCCGGAAGCGCTAGGTATGCCCCTTTTGCGGCAGCATCCATTTGAGCTGGGCTGCAATTGGGGGCAAGGGTCGTATTTTGCAAAAGAGAGCTGACACTCGAGACCCGCTAAACAGGCTCGAAGCGTAAGCTCAGATGCGGGGGGTGCTTGCTTCCACCAATTGCCCGGCAGGCCAAGGCTGGAAGCATCCCGAGCCTCTGGGGGGGGGGCCTTGTAACGCGTGATCTTGAGCAGGTCGACGGCTTCAACGGGGCAACTGTCCAGCATGCTGTGCTTTCGGCATTTTGGGGGCCGTGGATTTCTGTTTGCAGGATTTAGACTGGCTTGGCGAACGCCACGGCACAAGCCGAGTCGATTTGCAGTCAGAAGATGGGAGATGCACGCCACTTGACACACCGCTGGTCTAATCCTGGTATCCTGGTCGCGAGTCAGCGACGCCCGGGTGAGCCTTGGAGTGATGGTGGCTTTTCTCCTTGCCTGAGCCTGAACTTTCGACAATGGTGAATAGCTCGACTTTCGAGTCGGGTCAGAGCAGCGGTTTGAGGTCGAGAGTGACATACTGAAATGTTGCATGTGGACACACGTGGTCCGGCCCTTGGCGCGGTGGTGGGCAACTTAACCGACAGGGCGCCGAAACAAGACGACGGGGATGCAGGGAAGAATTGACAAACATCGTGCCATGAGTGTGGCAAGTCTCGGGCATGTCCGACATGCAGCTGATGGTGTCTTGGAGCCTCATCAACAACGCCTCAACTTGTTTTTTTTCAATTCAGGCGACTAATCTATACTATCCGCACTATCCCGTGACTTTTACTGAAAACTTGGACTAAGCAGGACAAATCGGAAAACCCAAAATGTCTACCGAGATCTGAGTATTACCCTTTTAGCGATCGTAGTCCGCCAAGTTATTCATCGCTATGTGGATCCTTTCGGGCATTACTCACTCCGCGCCGGCAAGCCGGTAGAATACTACCTACTAGAGGCGTGTGAGTGACTGAAAAGGCAAGTGGGTATTCCTTCCCTCGGGCTCTACTTTCGGCTTTTACATCCTCGAGTGTCCGGAATATTCTTGGCCAGGGTTTAGGATGACTTGGCACATAGCCCAGCGCATCATGGCCATTGATGGGTATAGCTAAAACAGTGGGGTTTCCACAACAGTTCTTGTCCCAAACAGAACCCCACGATACTCATTATTGCTGTCTTTGCAAACGACTCGAAGTCGATTCCGGGTCCACACAAGGACTACCATTGCCCGACTAATTTTTCGATCTGGCATTTTAGCACGGCAGTCCAACCTAGCATTCTTGCTTATCCTCAATTCCCTTTAGCTAAATTTCCTGTTATATTTATTCAATTCACTCGACATACTCTCAACGGCGCTGATGCCCATTCTCGCTTGGAAGGTCGCACAACATGTTATTCCGAATCTATTCACACAAAGGACATATCCCCCTCAACCTGTGCGACACTTGCATCTCAATTTCCAAATCCGCTGTCTCCAAGGTGTGCGTTTACCCATATCTTCAACTTCCTGTTTAAAATGGAACCAGATCCACATTCAGCCAATAGACCTCCCGATAAAACAATCCAGATGCAAGTCGTCGACTCTGAGTCGGAGGCCATTAGACCCCAGAGTACTACATCAGCATGGCAATCAGCAAAACAAAACCCCAGAGTCATCCTCTTCGGCCTGGGCGCCTGCGTCAGCGCTACCCTTTGGGGCTTCGATATCGGTACGTACATCACAGATTCATATCTCAAACGAACGTTTCGATCCAGCTGAAAGCCCACTTGCAAGTACAGCCGTGGCAGCCGTCGTAGTCGCGATTCCGGAATTCAAAGTGGTTTTCGGATATGAGTATGAGGGCGAATTGCTCATTTCTGCGACGTGGAACTCTTTATGGACGGCTATGGCGTTTCTTGGGATGAGTATTGGTATACTTTGCACTCTACCCACTAGCATCAAACAAAAGGAATTTCCAAACCCTGGCTAACATTTCTCTACAGGCAGTATTGTATGCGGTTGGCTCTCTGACAAAGCCGGTCGACGCCCTGGTTTCCTGGTCGGTTGCTTGTCATCTATTTTCGGGATCGGGTTGCAATACGCAGCGTCTCGTCCTGCGATGCTTCTCGCTGGCAAGCTGGTTCGTCTTTCCCCATCTACACATCAAGATACATCTCTCTTCCTCCAGACTAATCAACCAATATAATATCCAGATCAACGGCTTCGCCCTAGGCTTCTTCCTAACCCTAACCTCAACCTACAACTCCGAAATAAGCCCCCTCCCCCTCCGCCCAGTCCTAACAGCAGCAATAAACTTCTTCATGAACGCCGGCCAAATGGCCGCAATGGCAGTCGGCCTGACACGAATAAACATTCTCGACAGCTCCTCTTACAAAGTAACATTCGCATCACAGTGGTCCTTCCCCTGCGCAATCCTCCTATTTATCCTCATTCTCCCAGAAAGTCCACACTTCCTCGTCCGGAAGAGTAAATATGACGCCGCTAGAGCAAGTATTCAGAGACTTTACGGAAAGTCAGCGCGCACAGCGACAATTCTCGAAGAAATCAAGATCGCTGTCAAGCGCAAGAGACAAATCGCCCATTTTCAAAGGGGAGAGGGATACATAGCCTGCTTGAAGGGCTCGAATTTCCGCAGAACACGCATCGCGTGCGGGATGTTCCTTGTTCAGCAGGTTGCTGGAATCGCATTTTATACCCAATCGCTTTACTTCCTGGGCATATGTGGGCTGGACGTCGAGCTTACGTTTAAGCTTGCGACTGCGAGTTTTGGAATTGCGCTTATTGGGAATATTTTGTCGTCGTTTCTTATGTCTTATATCGGTATAATCACTTACCGTACCTCACATAGGTATCCTGAGTACACATCAAATTAATCCATTCGAACACAGGACGCCGCCGCCTCCACTCACCGGCACAATCCTAAACAGCACCCTCCTCCTCAGCACAGGCGTAGCAGGCTGTTTCCACACGCATATATCCCTCCTCTTCCTCGCGTACACGATGAATTTCGCCATAGGAGTGCATGCACCCACCATCGGCGCTGTGTGCTGGAGTGTCTGCTCGGAAATTAGTTCGCTTGAGCTCCGGTCGCATACGCAGGGTCTTGCGATGGTTGTTAATGCTGTTGTTAGTTGGTCGTTGAGTTTTGGGACGCCTTATTTGATTAATACGGATGAAGGTGCGTTTCCTCTTCTTTCACATGATCGATAGGGTATACTTTTCGTTATGTATATTCTATCTTTCTGAGAGTTCCTTGGCATAGCGTCCGGTTAATAACGATGCTGATCTGTCAAGCAAATCTCGGCGGTAAGGCGGCATTCATTTGGTTCGGTCTTTGTGTGTTGAGCTTTATTTGGATTTGGCCTGAAGTACCGGAGACGAAAGGGCGGACGGCTGAGGATCTTGATAGGCTTTTTGAGGCGAAGGTTCCGGCGTGGAGGTTTTAGGACTATAAATTTGAGTTTATGACGAAAATTTCACACCCATAATGAATAGCCGTCCTTCACAGTGTTGTCCAATGTATAAGATGCGACAAAACATACTGCTGCACATACACCGATCCCACTCCATACACGGTGATACCTGGTTCGATATCAAACTGATGGCACCCAATAGCATGATTACACCACTGCTAGCATTGACAATCGTATCCCAGTCAATCATATCATTATAGGCATAAGAAAATATGTCTGACTTCGGGAGGTCGAAAAAATTAGAGCCTCGACAAAGCCACCTTAACCCAAACCGCAACGAATACCTAATTCGACCTCGAGAATATTTCAAGGTCCAGTTCCAAAGCTTACCATAAACAGACCAAATCAAGAGGGCCCTGAATAACCAACTCCATCCAAGCCAGGAGAATGAGAAAAAGAAAGGGAAAAAAAGTTATACCATGATCATGTAAAAACCTTAATGAATTGAAAACCAAGACCCATGCAACGAACACCTCGCAAATGCAATAGTAATAGAACCAATAACCAGATGGGAGGCCAGGAAAGACAAGACAACTTTAATAAAAAAAAGTTGTTCTGATCAATAAAAGGCCCATGCAGAACCAACCGGACCCAGATCACGCCGAACAAGACGGCAATATGCCATTTGAGAAGAAAGTGACAGAGAAGGAAGGGAGGAGGAGATAGATGTCTAAGTGGCGGGAAAGCACTAATCGTATGAGACTACGCTAGGTGCGGTAGCGGATCCCTGGAAAGCCGAGCCAAGCAAAGGTTAACGCTGCTCGTTCTTTTCAGCAACGGCCACGGCGACTGCGACTGCTGCACCGAGAATGGCGCTCTCGGGCGCGGGGTCGAGGCGAATGGGGGAGATGGAGGAAGGGTGGGATTGTTGGGCGAGTTGGTCGAGGTAGCTCTGGCACGTGTCGCGGAAGCCGGGGTACTTGTTGATGACGGTACCGTCGCAGGCGATGGAGAGGTTCTTGTCTGAATCCTCGCTTTCGACGACGGTGATTTCGGGGGATTCCTTGACCAGGGGATCGGTGGTGGTGGTGGTGGTGGTGGTGGGGTTCTCGACTTCGTTGCTGAGACACCACATGCTGTGGATGGCGGTTGCGAGGTAGCCGGCTGAGCGGCGCGAGACGAATTGGCAGACGCGTCGGAGGAAGCGCAGTTCCTCGGCTGACGGATAATTGGGGAAGGTGTGTTGCTTTTGAAGGAGGGATGCGGAGGCGGTCATTGAGCTGGATGTGTCTTCTTCGAGGAAGGCGACGATGCTGGTGTCGAAGGAGTAGGGCTCGCGCATTGAGTGGGGGAGTTCACCCTTGAACAGTCCGGCGGTTTCGACGGCTTCGACAATGATAAGACGGACAATTTCCCCCAAGTATCGGCCGGTGATCATGTATTCCAAGGGTTGATAGTCAGGGCGCAGGTGGGTACGGTTCAGGATGTCGTCCCAACGGGTCATGGGGAGAACGCCTCCACCGAACATGCTCATCTCGCTGTTGACAATAACGTGCTTGGCATAGTCGAACCATCCGTCGGGTCGGACTCCGAACTTGCTCTTGCCGATCTCGTGGACAGGGAAGTGGATCGCCATGTTTGTGCCCGTGCCCAGGATGAGGGACATGCGGGTCTTGGGGTCGACGTAGGCGCGCGAGAGCAGAGCGGCAGAGCTATCGTTCACAATGGCGGCCATCTCCACATTCAAATCGTGCTTGCGGCAGGAATCAATCAGCAGCTGTCCCAAGTCCTGGCCCGTTGTTCCATCCGAGCAGCGGAAGCCCTTGCCCATTTGAATGACCAGCCCCGAGCTGACGGAGGTCTGGTCAATGGGGAACGACCAGGACAATCCGATCGGCAGTGGCGTCTCTCCACGGCCATAGTTCGCGCCCACCTCCTTCAGCACGGTATTAACCTGCGCGGCCATCCAATCGAAGAATATCCGTCCCTCCAGCAATTTCACACTTTCATCGATATACGACGAGTTGACCTTGACAATGCGCATCTCCTGCCCACGGCCATATAGCTCAATTAGCGCAACCCGGAAAGTTGATCCACCCACGTCCAACGCCAAGTATGTTCCCTTCTCGGCCCCGGTGGGCAGCGCATGGGTGTAGGACGGGAGCATGCAGCACGGGCTGTTCTGCAGGCAATCCCGGAACTGAGCGCGGATCTTCTCGGACATATTGATCATCTTATCGGTGGACAGTGGGGTCGTGAAAAGGGTATCGATCTCATCGGCGAAATCATCGAGCGTGCGGCGGCGCCAGTGCGCGCCGAGGAACGGCTTCCGACGACGGCGCGAGAAGTCGCGGAAGAAGGAGGGGAAGAGGATCATGCTTTCGAGCGCGGACACCACGTTCTGGAAGAGTTCCTGCAAGCGGCGCAAGACTTTGACCAGCGGGGCCGCCATGGTCGAGTGGGCGTGGTGGGTGTGAGAGGTTGGCAAAGTGAGGCCAGCGGAGGATCCAAACGAAGGAAGGGGTGGCGCAGAGCGGATGTGCTGTTTTGTATTTCTTTCTTACTCTCGACGGCGACACGACGGAAGGGATGACTCTGATCTCTGGAGCTCGCAGCCGTCTAGGAGCAGGCCGTGGGACAGCAGACGCACTGCGATATCATGGAGGACCAAACAGGCAATCGGGGGGAAGAAGTTATAGGCAGCGAGGAGCGAGGTGACACTCCCACGGCGTAGCGGCGGTGGATCGGAGCGATGGGGAGTGTAGCAGAGAAGAGCGATCCCCACAGAGCGCGACGAAGGCAAGCATGGATCAACATTGGCCCATTCTTGACAGTGTCACCGAAGCCCTTGCGGTGTCGCAATGCGGAGTGGGTAGGTACCGTATTATACCCGTACCTTACCCTAGGTATTGTGGATTGTGGCAAGCCCAGCCACAAGAGGCGTATTACTGTTACACGACAGATAAACCCACGATCAAAGAGTTCCGATCAATATTTCAATTATATCCGACTATATTACTATTACACTCAGGATGGGGCAGATAATTGTGTACAGATGCTGTTTGTAAGTGTTTACGGGTGAATGCCAGGTGTGGCATGCACATGCTCGATGACCCCCTTGGGTGCAACGGTGGTAGCCGGCCCAACTGGCCGGGACGGTTACACTCGTGTGGAACCCTCCAACTACAAAACCGCGTGGGACCCAACTCTTATTTAAGAGCCACCCTAACACTGTACCCTAGGGTAGAGTCTGAGCAGAACTTAGAGAAGAGACCGTCGTATGTCTCTGAAACATCGGCTTCGGGCGCAGGTCCTGATCGGGGCGTATTCACCCACTGCAACCACGGACTGCCATACTGTCCAAGCAGTTCCCATGATCGACTCGTAGTAACTCGCATGGAACATCCTGTATATATCCACCGTCATCGCAACACTCAACCAAGACGTTCGTTGCTTTTGTTGCAGGTCAATGCTGACCCCGATCCAATGTCAAATGCAATGACATGACACACTGAATGGCAACGTCTCCTCCGGCTCAATCCCTAGCAGAACAGCCGTCGATCGGCATTGTTATGTACTTCGTCGTAACTTTGCCTCAAGAATGTCGAATGTCGGTCGTCAGTTGAATTATCGTCGCCATCGTAGTCGTAATCGTCGTCACCATAGCCATAATAGCCGGGGGCTTTGAAATTCTGCCATGCCAACTCTTGGCAGGATATCCCCCGATGACTGAGTGTGCACAAGAAAAGGCCGACCCTTAGCCGAGACCACGTCTACACCCGATACCGCGGTGGCAAGCACCAGGCCAGATATATGCATTGAAATGCCATTCAACACCACGGTACAACAGATCGTCGCTGATAAGGCAGGAGCGCGCGCTGAAAGGGTCATCAACCCTCGAAGGCAAGTAGCATCCGAGCGGGCGAGTCTTGAGAATAATCTGATCCGCATGTCTTTCGATCAGCACGGGCGGGTAGCACACCATCCCGCCCTGTGGAGAAGCTCTATTTTTGATCCCTGGCGAACGTGGATTGGCGTGGCCTGGACTGAGGGTCAACTGGGCGCATGACACCCGTGGTTCCCGGCATCATTCAGCCCTGCGTGGCTGCTTCTTGTCGTTGCAGATACACATGAGACTGCTCGGGGTAGTCGTATCGATATGGGCAGAGTTTCTGACGAGTCAGCATTGCCTGCCCCACGGGGTGATTCGATGATCTGCGCGGAGTCAAAGCATTGTCAAAGCGACAGAAGTAGAGTCTTTTGTTCGTTTTGCCCTGAATGAATCTTTCATCCTGCTCTGATAGGTCCCCTCCTCGTAAGCTGCGCCTCCATTGTGCCTGTGTCTTGATCGCTGTCAATTCCGCAGCAGGATAAGATCCAGTGGTCTTATAGCCCTGGCGATCCCTCACAAACGAGGGGAACAACAGAGCACCATGGGTAGTTCGCCTTGATCGATTCTCTGTTCACTGCACAACATGTTAGATCTTGCTGGTGTAGTCGGAATTTGATCGATCCATTCAGGGCCAGCAAGATTTTCATCGTTCCACTCTGTAGTTCCAGGGTTTTCCTATGGGTGTCTTAAAAAATTCTTCTGACTAGCAACCGAAATAGGCTGCCAGCCATGGCAAGGACAGGATGAGTGGACCGATTATTTTTCATGCTGATCATGCAGTCGCTATTTAATTGCGGATGTCGGTTCCTGGCGCCAAAGCTATGACATCGTATAGAGTCCTGCAGGAACAGGCGAGACGTGCTGCATTAGAGCTGTGTGAAATCGCGTCCGGGTGAAGAATTGGTGCGACCGAACAGGGTAGAGTCGTCGCGATGAGGAGAAGTCTGTTGGTCAACGTCATCCTGGCCGGCGTGGCTGCAGTGTCGCCAATTCCAACCTCATCGACACTCTCGCCAATGTGGTAACCGAACACGCGGACGAGACACCACTTGCCCTTTCGAATGTACTATCCCTTCTTCAACAGCCAGATGCAATCGCGACACCAGACTCCGCTCAATCCGCGCTGTCAGCTCTCTCGATGCTTTATCGATCGGAACAGCCACTATCGCAGATGTCGCCGAGAACATCACAAACGCAGGACTGGTGCCGGACGATATCGTCACATTCTTGAACGGACACCTTGATCTTGATCAATTCGCTTCATAGCAGCAACCCCACCGCTAATGAGCAAATATACCCGTCTCAAGCAGCCGGCGATGCTCCATTCTCGGTAACAGAGGAGAAGCTCCGCGCCGCCATCCACGTACCGGACGACTTTGAGTACGGACGAAACGGAAAGATACCAGTTGTGCTCGTCTCAGGCATAGCAGTCCTAGCGGGAATGACCTACTATTATAATTTCCGAAAACTGGGCAACGAAACCGCCGTCGACGTGGTATGGGTGAATATCCCGTAAGCCTCGCTTTCCGAAGCCCAGGTCAACGCCGAGTACGTCGCCTACTCGATCAACTACATCGCCACACAGACCGGCAAATCCGTTGCCGTGATCTCCTGGTCGCAGGGCGGCCTCGACACACAATGGGCACTGAATACTGGCTCTCGACGTGACCCGTCGTCCAAGACTTCATCGCCATCGGCCCCGACTTCCACGGTTCCGAACCGTATACGTCCCTTGCTCTGCCTCACGCTCGGTCTGCCTGCCTGCACCCCATCCGTCTGGCAAAAAAACTACACGTCAACATTCATCGAGACCTTCCGCAACGACGACGGCGACTCCGCCTACGTGCCGACAACCACGATCTACTCAACCCCTGACGAGATCGTTCAGCCGCAGTCCGGGCCCAACGCGTCGGTTCGACTCCACGATGTGCGGGGCGCCGGCGTCACGAACGCACACCTCCAAAGCGTCCGTACAGGCCAGCCAGCCGACGGGTTTTATTCGCATGAAGGTGTTCTGTATAACCCCCTTGCATGGGCGCTGGCTGTTGACGCCATCGTGCATGCGGGACCCGCCAGCATCGCGCGGGTCGATCGCAGCGTGTGCGAGCAAGTGTTGCCGCCGACATTGGATCTGACGGATCTGTTTAGGACGGAGGGCTTTTTGTTCATCGCGGTCGCGGAGTTGCTAGCATACGAGCCACATATGACGGCGGAGCCAGCCGTTGCGGGCTACGCGTCTGCTTCATCTGCTTGAGGGCTATGCGCCGGACGCGTCGTCCAATCTATTGCAAGCGTTGATTGCCTGTGCTTAACAGCCCCAATGTATATTTTTCCGTTTATTTTCATTTATTTTTATTTTTATTTTATTTTTTTGATCTCTTCGCTTGCCAGTTCGACTGGAGTACCTAAAGGGCCCGTGCTAATAACTGCACGGGAACCATGTTAGTAATATGAACGAGGTGAGTTTGAATAATGAAGATCATGCCTATCCTCAGAATCTTAATTTCAATCCGTCCACACTCAACGCAGCTCATAATAACCTTCCAAGGGCTGCGGGCTGAACACGAGGCGCTCGTATCCGGGAATTAAGCCTTAGTGAGACTCAGTAGTAGGCTTACGGTAGTGAGCGTTAGTCCATGCTTCGCCTCGATGACAGCGTGCTTGTCGACATCGCGTCCACCATCTTCAGGTCTAAACTTTTTTAGCATTTTAACGTGGGCAAATGCCGACGCTAGAAAAAGTGGAGTCGTCTGCCGTTGAGTGTCAGATGTAGAAAGAGCCATTTGACCATGGAGCCGATCGTCATCGTCAGCCGCGGTGGGCCAGACTCCCCTGAGGATCTTATCATTTTCTTCTGTGCTTGTTCCTGAATACCCTAAGTAAAGGTAGTGGAGGGAAGGACAGTACAATTGCTGTGAGTACTACGAGAACGCCGGGCAGGTGACTTACCCACAACGGCTAGACTGCCAAGCCTTCTCAATGGACGTGGAGACGGTCCGCCAGTCACAATCGCCCGGCCTCGTGTCGTCTCCGTTCTGCTCGGTTGAACCGGCTAGTCTCCTTCTGCTTCTTGCGTTGGCGAGTACGTACGCGGTACGCACTGCAGTTGATGGATACTGTGCAATGGCTCTGACAGGAGTCGAGTCTCGCATGCTGTGGCGACTGCTGGCTGGATTAACAAATACAGGCAATCAAGTCCGAGTCGACCGGGGGCATGGACTCTGCCCTCAACTCGGACCTCTGTGGACCCAGTTAACAAAACAGGAGTCCAATACGAGAGGAAAAGCAGTCCGCCTTCGCTCCCAAGACTCTCGCATCTCCGGGTCGCGAGGCGCCACTCGACGCTGCTCTCCACGCGGCTCCACCGTCCGAAACAATGCCAAGAGCAGTCGCCTGGATCGTCAGATTCCACGCGCTCCCCTGAGCCCTGTCGGCGCGGGAAAAAGAAAAAAAAAGTGGGAATCGTCTCCTGCCTTTTCCCTCCCTGGCTCAGCCTGCTCTCCACTCGTTTTGAAAGTTGGGACGCCCCAATGCTTCGTCGCTGGGCAATGATCTTGTAGCCTCCCCTCCCTTCCCTTCTCCTCCACTTTTCCTTTTCCCCCTTGCCCTCCGTCTGCTTCGTTCTTTTCGCTGTTGCCTTATTCCGACGGGGGAAGATCTCGTGCTTCCCTAGCCACTCCTTCACTATGTTGTTTTCGGCCGTGTTGTCATTATTGTTCCTGCATACGGCTGTCGCGCAGCGCAAAGATGCTGACTTGATGTCCTTTGTGACTGTCCGTTCCCCCTTCCACCGTTTTCCTCTGGCCTCTGCTGATTCTCTTTTTTAAAGCTCCCCGAGGTCCGCGCATTGAAATGGGAAATCACGTATCATGATCGCGAACGGACAGCCCCGGGATACTGGTTCGTCGCCCCCTACGGCCAGATCTCCCCCGAACAGCCCACCCAGAAGTACCAGCAATATCAGGTCGGTCCGTATATCTACGATGGCGATGGCAAACTGGTTTGGGCCGGCTCCCTCCAGTACGACAACCGGAACGTATTCGACTTCCGCCCCGTCACCAACATCGACAACGAGACCTACCTGTCGTTTATCTTGAACTGGGAGCTCGATGGAGGAAGCAAGGGCAACGGCGTGCTGCTGGACAAACACTATAAGGAGCAAACTAGGGTGCACCAACCGGATGCGCTGCATGACTTTAACATGCACGAGTTCAACATCTTGCCCGGCGGCAAGACCGCGGTGGCCTGCACCTACAACCCCCAGGTGATCAACATGGCCGATTTTGGACGCCCCACAGAGGAAAGCTGGGTCGTGGTGGGTGGTTTCGTCGAGTTGGATATGCAGACCAGCGAGGTGCTGGCGCAGTGGGACAGCAGGGATAGCGTGGCACTGCACGAGTCCAACATGTTCCACGCGTGGGATGCCCCGTGGGGTAAGCCGGGATGGGATTATGTCCATATCAACGCGGTCGACAAGAACGAGGCCGGCGATTATATTATTTCGCTCCGATTCACCAACACCGTCTATGGTATCTCAGGTGAGACGGGCCAGATCATGTGGCGCCTGGGTGGCCTGGAGAGTGATTTCGATATGAACTTTACTTTCTCGAAGCAGCATGATGTGAAATTCGTGTCTTCCAACGGCACCACCCATGTGATCTCGATGCTGAACAACGCCTCAGATGAGCGTGGTAATGATGAGAACATGTCCTCCGCCTTGTACATCGAACTGGACACCGCCACCATGAAGGCTCGCGTTATCAAGCGCATCAACCGTCCCGACAGCAATCTGACGCGTCTGCGTGGCAGCGTCCAGTCTCTCCCCAACGGCAACGTGTTCGCCGGCTGGAGTGAGCGGGGCTACCAGAGCGAGCACGCTCCTAACGGCGATGTGCTGATGACGGCCCGCTTCGTCTCGCAACGCTATTCGACCTACCGCGCTTACAAGGGCGAATTCATTGGTCGTCCCGCAGCTCCTCCCGACGTCGTTGCCTCGGTCTATGGTACCAACGACGACGATACCACGACCATCATCCACGTCAGCTGGAACGGAGCCACCGACGTCGCTGGATGGAACTTCTACGCAAAGGCCTACGACCGCGGCGGCGACGTGCTCATTGGACACGCCAACAAGACTGATTTCGAGACTATGTACATTGTGGACGGCTACATGGACTGGATTTCCGCTGAGGCCCTCGACGTCAACGGCAACACCATGGGCAAGTCTCGTGTCCACCGCAGCGATATCCCGAGCAACTGGAAGGCCGTCGGATTCCAGGGTTCCTCCATCGGCCCGTCTCCGGACGACCCGTCCATCATCAACCAGGTCAACAATGACGACGACGACGCTAAGACCACTGAAGCTAGCGACGACAAGGAAGTCATCAACAACCACGACACCGACACAGCCAGTGCCGACCATGACTCAATGGGCGTGGACATGGACATGGGCTCCGACGACGACGACGATGACACCCAACAAACATACGCCGACGCAAAAGAAGTCGCCAAGGCCGTTTACAGAGCCTACGAGGTAATCCGCGGCGTCGGCGGCCTCCTAATCTTCATTCTCGTCGCCTGCTCTGTCGGCGGTATTCTCACCGGAATGTACCGTCTAATCCAAAACCGCAAGCGACGCTCCTACCAACACGTCCCCTCCGAAGAGGGGTTGCCCGTGGAAGAGATCCACCTGCGTTCTCAAGCGCACGACTAGAACATCTCCGCACCACGACTATTTCCCTTCTCGACTTTCGCATCATTCACCAGCGTCGCCTTGTCGCTTTCGCATTACACTTTTCCACCTTTCTTCTTCCCTTTTCAAACCCACACCACACAAAGTGGAGTGTACCAGCCTTCTTCCCGGCGAAGTTGGCCTATACAGAAAATATTGCAACTGCACACTACTCACAAAGTATTTGGACTCGATTCGCACGCGAATCATGAAAACGGATGGGTTCATTGAATCCTCCCGGACGGGTATAGGTATATACAATCAGATCATGATCGTTCCACGCATATCATACCCCTGGCGTTTTTTTTTTTTTTTTTTTTGACATTTGCTTTTGGTTTTTTTTCTGATACTAGAGTATTTTTCTTGGTGTCCGGTCCCGCCAGAGGCTCTCCATCTCGACTTCGACCTCGAACCTGGCCGCACTGGGCGCCCTTATTTCGTGTAATATTTTCATCATTATGGTACCCTACGACTATGCGTGTGAGCTGTAGGGTGCTTTCATCGTGCTGCACAATGTATATACAGTCTACGTAATATGTCTCATCGATGATCTTATACCTCTAGTATAGTGCTATCTAAAACATAATGTTACTTAAACCCGCGGTTCCAGACCGCCCTTACATTAGTGTATTAGTGTGGTGGTGGATAAGTGCACGCTAGAATTTTCGAATGTACCCCGACCTCAAATTGAGGCCGACTCACTGCACTAATGCACCTACAGTAGTGCAATAGTGTAGTATAGTAGTTAAGAGAGAAACGTCCGGCCCCGCCCGTCGGTGCCCCTTGATTGTGATACTGCAGATCTATACCGTGATTGGATACTCGGACGGAACTCCGTGTGGGTTTGCGTCGAGTTTTGTGCTAAAACTGGTGAGGCTTGACCGTTTGATTCACATTGATAATTTGTACTACAGTATCGGTGTGTGCAGATAGGTAGGTGGAACTGGTTTTGATGTATAGTAGAATTTGAGATTTATCCACAGGCATAAATTCAACGATCCAGTGGTGATTACAGCTCACGTCGCACGAATATCGTACTTTATCCTAACCCTCGGGCTGATCTCAAGAGGTGCCAAGGAAACTCTAGACACTTGTCAATCCCCGTGTCAATCCCCGAAGGAATCGGGAAGACCGGACCTATCGGATTCTGTAGATAGCCCTGCATTTATAGTAATGTGACGTAGCCTTGCGACGTTGGAGAATGTGTGAGGGTCCAATCAGAATTTCGTTCTGAGTGACTTGTATTTTCAAGTGATAAACTGCAGGGAGAGGAAGGTTTGGCCCGGCCCCCTAGTTCAGCCCTGTAGGGTAAAGGGGACTAGGCTGCCATATTATCAGCTCGGGAGGAAATGTAGGTCAGTCTCTCGGAAAGGGGTCTGGTTTGTTGTGGGAATACAATTATATCAGCCTTTGACAAAGAGTCGATATATTATACCAGTGTTCCCAGGATACCTTGTGTCCTGGAAGACTTTTCTAGGTGCGTTGATCAAGTCCAAGGTAGTGGATAAAACCCCTTTTGAACCGACCGCGCGCAACGTGGTAGCATTCCCCCGCGTCCTCTAGCTGAAAGTTCAGGTATTTTACATCCCATCGCAATCAGTTTGTCTCAAGATTTGTCGATTCTATACGCACCACTCACACGGTCTAGTCTAGTTCTGACTTGGCCATGTAATGGCTCCGTTTCACACGGCCAGATCAGTTGCCAAGCAGGTGGGATCAAACTCGACGGTTGGCCCATAACAAAAAGTTGCGCAAGATGATCTTCTGCGACTAGTTTCTCTAGTTTGTAAGTTTGTAATCTCGTGGCGCCGCACCCTAAGTATCGATCAACACCCCAAGAATGAGACCGCGATTAAAAGGAGCCGCGGGAGTTAGATCCCACTGTGTGGTCCCGGTACCAAGATCTGGTCGCGTGCAAGGACAGACCATCCCAGACAGTGGCGCGAGGGGCGTTTGGAAAGGAGAGGGTGGGAGGAGAAGCGGATGGTGCGCTCTGGAGGAATAGTTAACGAAGTCTTCCTGGGGGATGCCAGCAGTTATTGCCGTAAGTGATGAGGGACATGATGATGATCGTAGAGGATGAAGGGAGGTCGAGACCATGTAAATTCCCTGCTATTTACTTGATAGCCATTGCTATCTACCAATGGGCAGTTGAGATGTCACATGACCTAAATCTTCCTGGCGAGGAATTGATCGCAATATTGCTCCCGAGGGTATGAAGGGTATAAAAATAGAGAATTTGCTCTGTAAATGATAAGACTTGCTTGAGTGCTGAGGCTTTCTTCCCCTGGAAACTGTGTCATGATTGAGCGTCTAGGTATACTAGAGTTGACGGTTCCATAATAAGTAAATCTGTCAGAAACCAAGATATACATTCGTTTCTCGATTTTGGGGGTGTTGAAATACAACTATTATGGGAAAAACCTACCAGCGCTTGATAAAATGAGACGAGACTACTGATTGCCGCTACGAATCAAGAGACAAAGCAGAGTTTTGGTATGCTTTATGCATTTAAGCAAAACGCCCTCTAAGAGGGACTTATTATGAATAAAACAAAAATACAAGTAAAAATGAACCAAACAGAAATAAAATGAAGGAAGAAAGAAAAGGCAGGTCAAATAAAGAAAAATGAAAAAGGAGTTCTGTCCTCTCCCAGCTGATCACAGGAACACAGCTGAACGTCGATATTGAAGTCAGTGAAGACTTCAACACCCCACTCCATCGCCCGCTCGAGGCACTCGTCGTTGCCGCCGGCGCAAGTGTTTGCAATCTCGGCCGGCACGAGTCCTCGCTGTAGGGACTTCTCGAAGTACTTCCCGAGAATATCCTCCATTCCGTACGCCGACCCCTTGATGTCGAAACGCCGGGCTGGATGGCCGGGCATTGTCCTTGGCCCCAAGCCCGAAGTACGAGGACTTGGAATGTCCTCTGATTCCATTTGACCCAACGACGTACAGGGGGGCAACGATCCGCATGGCCTCGGAGAAGGCTTCGAAGTGCGATCAGTTCGGCAGGCTAATGCCTCGCATTCCGTTATAGTACCGGCCGTGAACGGCCAGAATGTTCAGCTTCGGTCCGACCTTCGAAACAGCGTCTACAGACGTTTCAGACCACGGTCCTCGAAAACCTGGTTGAAGATGGTCTCTAGGGCGCCAGGCGCGAATTCGACTTCCACAACTTTCAGCATCTTTGCCCACTTGGAGAATGCCTCAAGCATCTCCGGGCCGTGCTGGAAGTTCCGGAGCAACAGCGTTGTGAAAGGGCCAATGCCTTCCTTGGCCTGTGATGCGATCACATTAGTATGATAGTCATGATAGAATGAAGAGAGATATCGAGAACCTACCTGCAGGTTTCTCACACAGAGAGCGACCTCACCCCGAATGGGAGGCTGGTCGGCGCCCTGGGGCGCTGCATATCCGGTGTCCTCCGTGCGGCATCAGATCATCATCAACTTCAAACCAGCGAGGTATCCGGAACGGAAGACATTCGGATTGCGAACGACCCGGCTCAGTTTCAGGCTGTTCTTGTTGACGGTGTTGCCTAGGTTCAAGTAGGTGAGCTCAGCAGGTGCTTGAACCCGTACTGGATCACCCGCCACATCTAGTCCTCCCGCGTTTGACGGTACGGGAACTTGACTTTGAGTAAATCGATCACCTTCTGGGCATCTTCGATGCCCCTCACAATGGTCGATTTCAAACTCGAGAGTTCGACAGAAGTCTCTGAGAACCACATTCTTGCGGAGCGTCCGGAGAAAGAGGGAGTGGCGGCCGTGCTTGTTGAAGACCACTCGCACGTGCGAGTACATCACTGCTGCTGATACGCACTGAATGACTCGGGAAACTTGGTTCAAGCCCATGATGATGGCGTAAGCCTGCGAGGGCTTCTTGCCCTCGGCCAGCTTATCGACCATGGCAGCTGGCAGCTGCACAATCATGATGAAGACCTCCCACATCTCTATAGGCTCATAGCCAGCCTCAATTCAATGCTCGAGATTCACTAACTTGGGCGCAATCCGTGACATTCCAATTGAAGTGAATTCGCTCACAGTTGTTGATTGCAACTCGTCACCCACACCGCGGCCATTCCATCTCAAATACACGGCTTACCACATCAGCGGCAATCGAATATAAACGAGAAACATCACAAATCTCCCCTGGATCAGATTGATTCCTGCCTTCTGGAGTGTGCTCAGACGACCTGAACAGCTCGATAGCAGGCTATACTTCGATCGATCTTTAGTCTACTGAACTACAGACGCTAAAGGCCACGCCCGATCTGCAACGACGCACTCGACTCTGGCAATCCCAGCACCCAGCATTGTCGACTTTGCGAACGCAATTAGACGAGCCCACGCCTCCAGACAACGCGACTTCCGCGACGGATTCACTTTGTTGACATTCTTCATAGATGTAGCGCATGACTAAGCGGCAGCTTCCCCGCGAACCAACAGCAGCCTCCTGATGGATCCACCGGCAGATCACTCCTCTTCTCCTCCATCTCCTCCCTCCCCGGACTTTCTCCTCTCTCCTTCTCTTCCACATCTTCATTCTACTCTCACACACTTTATCATGACACGAGGATTCGCAACCATCACGCCTGAGTGCGAGACCCTCTTTGACGAGGTCAAGGAAACAGACAACCTCGACTACGTCATCTACGAGGCCTCCGCACACGATAAGAAGATCACGGTCGCAGCATCCGGCAAATACAAGGACTACTCTGAGCTCCTGACCCATTTCAAGGACGACACGCCTCGCTATGCTGTCGTCGACTTCAAGTACGACTCGCCCACCGGCGATGGACAGCGAAGCAAGCTGGTCTTCATCACGTGGTAAGTTACGACCTTTCCCCGCATTCCGGGCGATCCCATCATGCGATCAGCGGTGATGACGAGTTGCTAACCGTGAGATTCATGTCTAGGGTTCCGGAGGGAGCCAGTATTCACGACAAATCCTACTACACCGCAAACAAGGACCATCTTTACCGAGCGCTCCTAGATATCAGTCTGCACGTGCAGGCTCACAACCAGGCCGAGCTCGCCCACGCTGCAAGTATGTTACGATTTCTTGGCAACACACCACCACACCACCGCCAACATGATACTGATTATTTTCTTTTCTAGTTTTGAGCCAGTTCAAGGCACTCTAGACGGCGTTTTAACGTTCTTTTTTTATTTTGGAATAATACTCACAGAAATTACAAGCTCAGATATATATTTGAGAATCAATGCCACCAAGGCTTGAAGGCCTAAACATGATCATATTCCTACTTCTTTCAGAACGGCCATCGATGGCCACACAGTCTGTGTAGGGTCGTAGCGAAGATTTTCCCAAGAACAGTGCGAATTGCGTGCGAAAAAGTCCGATAGTAGAGCAGCCATATGACCTACGAGCGACTCATGTTGGAAAATGGTCTGACGTGCTCCAAACGTAGAGGTTCGCCAAGAAATACCGCTTGAATTTGTTGTGTTGTACAGAGGAAACTCAGCTTCCTTGGATACCACTTTATAATTTTTTGTCCTTCACGACCTCTATTGAAATTCACCGTTGACTCGTATTCATTAGGGATCGTAAGTAGCAGTCTACGCCTCGGCCATGGGGACCATTTGGAGCCCACGAGGAGCCGCTTTTCTTCAAAAAGCAACAAAAAAGTCTCAAGTCTTATTGGATTTATACATATCACAAGACATGTGAGTCATTGGGCTGTTGATCTGTACCATACCTTGGGGTATACCATGGAATATTACCTCGCGTGCCAGGTAATGCAAAACGAGCCGAAGTTTCTAGGCACCGTATACTTAAGATCGCTGTAACTCTCTGTCTCAAATTACCACATTTCATCACAATTGTAAGTACTTGGGACGACTTCAAGGATAAACAATGGCCTGCTTCCCGCATAAAGCCATGCTCCTCGGCTTCGCCCTCTTCACCTCACTCGGGCACAGTCAAGTAAAAAAACCTATCATCAAAGATGTCGCCATTATTGGTGGTGGTTCTTCAGGAACATACGCAGCTATCCGGCTCCATGACGAAGGGAAATCCGTCATCTTGGTCGAGAAAGAAATCGCCCTGGGCGGCCACAACAACATCTACATCGACTCAGCCACCAAACAAGCAGTCAACTACGGTGCGGCGTTGACTATTTCGACGACCAGGAACCAATCAGGCAATACTTCGACCGACTAAATGTATCCTATTCAGTAGAAAAGCTATCTGGCTTATACCCGCCCAACGTCACTTTCGTGGACATCGACACCGCACAAGCAACCAACTACACACCCCCAGATATTACAGCCGCACTCCGAGCCTACATTCAACAACTCTCGCAATACCCAAGTCTCGACGAAGGCTATTTCCTTCCAGACCCCGTCCCGGAAGACCTTCTCCTCCCCTTCCAAAAATTCGTCGCGAAATACCCAGATATCGGAAACCTCACCTACACAATCTCCCAATTCGGTCAAGGCCTCGGCGACATCCTCAACCAGCCAACGCTCTACATCTTCAAGATCTTCGGCTTCAACGTCATAAACGCTTTCACATCCGGTGTCATCCTCCCAACAAGTCGAAACAACCACGAAATCTACGATCGAGCGTCAAAGATCCTGGGCCAAGACGTGCTTTACAGAAGTACCGTAATCTCAACCCGGCAAAGAGACAGCAAGGGCATCGAACTCAAGGTCAATACCTTAGACGGAACAAGAATAATAAAAGCAAAGAAACTCCTCATAACCATCCCCCCGAAACTCACCACCCTCATCCCCTTCACCCCAGACCACCGCGAGTCTACCCTCTTCAACGAATTCACCAGTGCAGGCTACTACACAAGCCTCGTTCGCAAAACAAGCCTCCCAGCAAACCTCAGCACCTCATCCGTAGGTCCTGACGCGCCATTCTCCGTCGCACAGTTACCCGGTCCGTACTCCGTCTCTCCCACGTCCGTCGACGGTGTCTTCACAGTGAAATACGGCGCGCAGCATCCTCTCCCGGAGGAGTATGTGCAGGGCGATATATTGGATTTTATTTCCAAGTTGCAAAACAATGGGTTCAGCGGCAATTATTCGGGACGAGCGAATTTGTTACGGTTTAATAGTCATGTTCCCTTTGAGTTGACTATTTCGCCAGGTCGCATTGCTGCGGGGTTTTATAGGGATCTTTATGCGCTGCAGGGGTATCGGAATACTTGGTATACGGGGGCTGCGTTTCATGTTCATGATTCGACGAGGGTTTGGAATTTTACGGAGGCTTTTGTTTTGCCGGGATTGTTGCAGGGGCTTTGAGGGAAGGGCGGACTTGGATCTCATTGCCATGGTTAGTTGCTAAATTTTTGCGGGCTGTTTGCGATTATTTGCTGCAGAGTTGGCCGGCGCGTGTAGGAGCTTAATTTCAGATAACTTACCATAGTGGAATATTGAGGCAGTACGTATTGGTATTGCCTAGTGGTTGTGGTAGACGCTCGTGTTCTTCGTTTAACATCTCCATGGCTGCGATCTGCTCAACTTCCATGGGGCAGATCCATGCCACCTCGTAGGCGTTGTGGTTCAGCCGCAGCGGCATTTTTGGTCGCGCGGGTTGCCACACCCCTTCAAGGGTTCCGATGTTGCTGCTGGCATGGTTTGAAGGCCGTGTACATAATATCACGTTCGAGAGATTCTTGAGAGACCCGACCCTTCACAACAAAGGTTGCGAAAGCGATGCGGCTTGAGTAGAAGGGCATTCTGACTTGTTATTTGGGTGTATCCTGGTACCACTAAGCGCCCGGGTACAGCAACTCATCAACTGGAGTTCAAATGCCGGGGTGTTCAGCTGCGCATCGAGCGAATCAGTCAAGGAACACGTCGAGTCACGTGACTTTATATACATTTAATAGAATCTGAGTCGTTTCATCTTTCAATGATTGTTAGAGAACAAGGGTACAGAAGGGTATTGCGGCCAGAGCCCATTTTCCAATTTGAGCCGGGCTTGGAACCTGAATTATAGAGCTCTGTACCTTATAGAAGCCATCGAAACAGTCGCCCAAGCAGTTTTCTGAACGATCAGCTACAAAATCATCCGGACAGTTACCTACGTAAGGTACCTCCAGGGATGGTGATATCGCCACTCCTAATCTTGTACGGTCGATGAAGCTTCAACAAGTAACCTTCCATCTGCCGGTGTTGGATCAGCCATCAATCTAAAAAAGGGCATAAAGTGGACCCGAAATGGATTGAAAGTGAACTTTGACCCTTATACCTTCCCTTTCCGTACAAGGGCCGGCCATCGGTGCTTTATTAATGCAATGTATTCAGCGGACACCACAGTCTGCTTCCAAGGTATATGATCAGTCGCATATACGAGTAAGATAGCACGGAGAGCTCAGATAATCAAAATTCATTGATATCTACGTAGTGTAATTACCTGTATTTCATCTCTCACGTTCCTCCACTAGCAGTGGCTCCCTCTCGGCCTGACCGCTATCCTCGGGTCTGAACCGTCGACCCGCAAATGTAACAAACCCGACAAGTGCAAGGCCGACTACGAACCCGGCAATTACCAACCCCACATTGATCGGAACCGGGTTCCCTTCAAAAGCGCTGTGAGTAAGTGAGTCTAGCCAGTACTGGGAGAAGTTGACTAGTCCGGACAGGCAAATGATGGTGCCGTAAACCCTACCGAATGTCGCGAAGCCGAATACTTTCGTCGCGTAGTCACTAAACGACAGTTAGAATACTTCATATATGAGTAATTAGAAGGGAAGGGAGGGCGAAGACATACGACATTGCTGAATAATACAGCGGGCGTAGCAGGACGAAGAGTATGACAGTCAAGTAGCCCGCCCATGTGGAAGGGATAGAATTCAAGACACCAGTCATTGTTGTGAGTGCCACGATAAGGCTTAACGTCGCTGGTACACTAAGACGATCGAGCAACACGCCAATAACTGGGGTGAACAGAATACCGCCGATGGGTAGGGCGACATCGAAGAAGTTGTTGATTCGTTCAGCGTCATCGACTGAGCCGATCATGTACTCGTACTGCGCTCGGATGGTTGCAATGAAGTAATTCATGCGCAGCATCTGAATGATGGTCATCAGGGTAATTAAAATAAACCACGGGGACACCATCTGCTTGTGCGCCGGCAGTCCATGTAATATGCCCCAGACTTGGCTTGCCTGCTGCCGATCTTCCTCGCGCTCAGCTCGTTGCTGTCGCTCACCCTCGTCGCCGAGGACACGATTGATATTATCAATGATCTTTTGCCGACGCAGGGCACGTTTACTGCGTACATGTCGTACTTCCCGGTCGGTTTCGATCTCGTAATCAGACTCGTGGGCGTCGCGGCTTGCATCCTCGGCCCTTTCAACCTGATTTTCCAATGTGAGTGCTGAATAATAATCTTGCTTTGGCATGAATGAGAAAAATGCCAGGCAAATCAGCACGGGGACGGCTAGGTAACTGAGGAAAAACTTCTCAGGTGAGAATGTTCGGGCTGATGCTTCGTAGACAAGCCGGTAGATGAGGAAAACCGCGGCTGAGGCATCGAACGAACCCGTCACAAGCGCGACGATAAGACCGGCATGCCGTGGAAAGGCGTTCGCGATTTGGAACGACGGAAGGAAGACAAAAGTTCCGCCGAATGCTAGAAAAATGTTGCCCGCGATGAGTCCATTGAAACCTGGCCAGAGGAATGAGGCTGACATCAATAAGCTTCCGACAGCAAGAAACACGCTGCCAATCACACCGCAAAGTCGCGATCCGTAGTTATCTAGGATCGTCCCAACAGGGAGTGCCGAGACGTTTGCGGTGATGGAGGCAATAGTGAAACATAGATTGAGCCTGTATTTTGTTAGTGAGAGAACCAGATCGACTTACCGAAGTTGAAATACCTCAAGTCCTGCTGAACACAAAGCGTAACCCCTTCTCTAAGCTCGCTATGGGTGCACTGGTCGTGGTACACCCCCTCCTCCACCAGGACCGGCTTCAGCGCGGCATATCCAAATAGAATACCCGACGCGACCCAGCACGCAAGAACTGTGAAAATTACCTGGGCTTGAAGATATTAATACTATGTTCTCATATGGCAGGAATCACACATACCCAATCTTTTCACAGCAGAAACCTCGTATGCAGGCGTTTCTGGCGGTTGTTCTTCAACCGAAGCTGGACGACTACGTGCCGGGAGGACGTCGTAGCTGAGTGTGAGGGCAATAGGCGTAAACTCTTCGGGAATTCCGCTCTGTTGATAACGGTCAATTCCCTCAATAGAGGAGACATGATGAATGAGCGACATTGTGAGTTGTGATGAATAGCGAGGTGGTGGGAAGGGCGATGAAAGGTGAGGTTAAAATGAAGGTTGGCGGAGTGAATAAACAACTCCACCAGCGCTCCACTTTCTGCGATTGATCTTCTCGCCGTTCTGACTAATGGCTGACGTCATCGCAGACCCGAATCAATCTACACAGCAGGACAGAAACACCAAGTACAGCATCAGATGTTGTATTTTGTTCTACACGGCGTATGAGCAGCTTAGAGTAGTACACATTGCGAATTTTTATTTTGATTTCAGCTGATGCCAAAATGAAATCCAGGCTACTGAAATGGTAATTCTTGTCCCATCGAAAAGCTCAGAACGCCGGAGTTGAGCCTGATATTCGAAGATTATTCACATGTAGTTGTAGAAACCATGGCCCACGCTTTCACGTAGTGGTCATTCCTTATCCAATACTATTACTCATCGGATATACCCTCTCACTGAAATGGAAGACCACGCGGTCTGTATGTTTCGGGAAATCACGTGACCCATAGAAAAGCGAAGAAACATCTACAAGAAGCTGGAAGCTGCTGGTGACAGCTCGTAAGCACTTGCACCAACGAGATCCAGATGGTCACTCAAGGAATCATGGAGCGGTATTTGATCCAGGAAAGCATCAAGACGCTGTTTCTGGCCTATAAAAGCCCCCTCGTCCCCTTGCCCTCTCGCATTCTCAGACTCAACTCAAATCTACAAGACTAAGCTCCAAGCTACAAATCTCCAGTGCATCAACTCAGCTCTTTGCCCATCAAACTCTCACAACAACGCCAACATGTCTCTGTTCCGGACCAGCTTCCCTGCCACGAGTGACTTCGCCCCTCTCTTCCGTCTTCTGGACGACTATGACAACCACCGAAGCAACAACAGCCTGCCCACAACACGCAGCTTCGCTCCCAAATTCGATATCCGCGAGAGCAAAGAAGCGTTCCATCTTGACGGTGAACTTCCTGGAATCCCCCAGGAGAACATCGACATTGAATTTACCGATCCGCAGACCCTGGTCGTAAAGGGACGCACTCAGCGCGAATACCACACCACCGAGCCGGGCAGTGAGCAGGCACTGGAAACCATGGAAAAATCCCAGAAGGCTCAGGCTGGACACCGCTACTGGGCCAAGGAGCGTATTGTTGGTGAATTCTCACGCAACTTCTCTTTCCCGAATCCCGTCGATCAGGACAAGGTCAAGGCTAGCCTGAAGAATGGCATTCTGTCTGTCGTGGTGCCTAAGGCCACTGTCCCTGGCACCAAGAAGATTACCATCGAGTGAAGCTCAAATATGAGCATTGCTTCCTGATACTTCTATCAATACTCTTTTCTACCACGATGTTTATGAGAATTTCATACTGGAGCGCTTGCTTTTTGTTAGTTCATTCGTGGGGCTTAAATTGCCATAGTACCCACACAGCTTTCCGATAATACCATGCTCAGATAACAGACTTGTTTAACTTAATCAACAATCAATTTCAATTCTGATTTCTAAAAAGATCCGCAGTAGACTACACACTCTAACTAGCACATTGTCGCCTACCTGCCATGGGAAGTGATCTGCTCATCCTACAGCCACCAGCGCAGCCAGCCATCTAGTCAATCAGCCATTCACGAATTTTTCATTGAAGTAATCGACTTTTGGAGCAAGGAGTATAGTCCCAGCATCAAAGAAGGTAACGCTATCCAATCATAAACCACTTGTACTGACAGTAGAAACTGCCGTGCAAAACTGTGTAAGATACAGTAGCAAATCCAACACTATCTACCTTGTCAGATTTAACTCGCGTGTACCAGAAAGCTTGCCGGGCGATTGAAGGAAGAAACTACATTGGCTCACGTGCTGACTGAGTGGTCGGATTAGCTTTTTCATGGTTGCCGCCCTCATGGGAGATGTCTTGTTGTGCCTTCCCGTCTTCGCCTCGTCGGCTTCTTCTTTTCCGTTGTCCGGCCCCTCAACTCCTCGTCTCCCAGTACCCATCTCACCAATTCCTTCTTCGAATTGCATTCATCTTCAGAATCTGCCTTTCTTTCGCCAGGCCGCCAGCAGTATGTGGATTGGCGGCTACTCCTCTCTGCTTCGCTGCACTGGGGGTCGTGACACGGCTCAAAGAGAAGGAAATGCACCTGTAGATGCCGATCTCCTAGAGTCTGGCCTTTTCCAGACTTCAGACTTCTGGGATCCCTACTTCCGCGAGCACAAAACTCTCATCCCAACAAACCTGATGGTCGAAGAAGTCATGTCAATCTTTCGGCTCACCAGAGACCCCGACGAGAAGCCATGGATGTCTCCCAAAGTGAATGACCTCGAGATGGACGTGATGATGCGTGATTTTGCTCCACTGAGACATAAGTTTCCAGGTTGATGCTGACAATTTTTCCAGTCAGCGCTATGTCGAGGATCAAAGACGGCATCACAAACGGCCCAACACGAGCATTGTTGTGCGAGCTTATCTTCAACGTCTGGGACACTCTGCTCGACCGTCAAATGACGCGATGCGCCTTATCGCTTCGTCAACAGTTGTTTATTGCGGTCGTTCCACCCTCCAACGATCACAATCTTCACAAAATCGTCGCTTACGCTGATTTTGTGCTGGATCACCCATCCCTGGAACAATGGGACAAATGTGTTATTCTGATGAAAGCCGAATCTGAGGGGGAGAGGAAGCAGACGAATGCTGATCTCTTGAAATTCATGGGTAGGCCTGAACCCTTTCCTTGTTTGCTTCGGTACTGAGTTGAGCCTTATAGGCTGCGTTCTTTCCGAGCGCCAGGCTCGAGGAAAAGAGGCTGCTCCAGTCTATGGTGTCGGCTTCGACGGACTGCACTTCGATTTCCACCAGATCAGCCTTGATCGATGCGTGAGTCCACATCCCCCCCATTCATTTAGCACAGCCTCCATACTCATCGGAGTTCTGTTAGTGGTCCACGAAAACCCTCGAGGCTGCGGGCGGTCACTCTCCAGAGGTCCTCAACTTGCTCGGACATATCATCATGGAAGCGATTATCAGGCCTTCGAGCCAAACGCATGATACAGATCCGGAGGAATCAGCTAGAATTGATACTTGCACTGTGAACCTGGTTGCACCTTGAATGCTTCGTTTCTTGTGTGTTAGTGTATTTTCTCTTTTGTTAGCATTTCTCAGTACCCGCCGGCCGCATTTCTTATTTTCCCAGTGACCATGCGGCTTTACTATTTCTCTTTTCCCTGATAGGGGGCTTCTTCTTTTGCAGCCGCTGGATGTGCACGATACCTGCTGGCGATTTATTCTTTATCTTCGCAGCAGCCCTCCAATCTTGGAGAGCGATATTCAATTCACTATTGCCTTCCCCCGAATAATACTATCCATGTGTAGGTTTCAGAAATTTCTTCTTTCAGTTCTCCTGTAGAAAAATCAGCGAATACGTTATGCTGAGTTTTTAAAACTAGATCTTGACCAACTTGGCTATGCATAGAGCCGCGCCAAGAATGCCAAGACGCCAAGATATCTCCGCTATAGCGGACCGTACTCGATATCATTGTTGAAATTAGAACTATCACATGCCCATAATCCTGAAAACCTAGGACTCGGAATGATATATTGAAGACCAGATTGAAATGAAAAAAGGAAAATGTTTCTATTCCTAGGTATTCTCATAAATATGCAAAGAAATGAAATGAAAAATGCAGGATCAAAACTGGCGTAAAAAGCACATAGCCCACATATCCAACAGATTAAAAAATTTCATACAAGGAAACAGAAGAAAAATTCACAAGCCCAGACAAACTTAATTAAGCCTGCGACTTATTAAGAATTATTTCCGCCAGCGCCATCAAAGACCCACTAGACAGAAGTTCCAAAACTTGGACATTGGCATTCGCCTCACGGGCAATCCAGTTACGTATCTCGATCGCAACCAGCGAATCCAGTCCCAGTGAGGCAACGGTAATAGAAGGATCCATATCCTCAATGGAGATGACAAGGACCTGCGCCAGCTTAGCCGCAAGGGCCTCGTAACAGATTTGCAGCGCCTCTTCCTTGGACGGGGCGGAGGCGAGCTGTGTGTTAAGCGGCACGGAGGGGCCGTTCGCAAGACCGCCGGATGAACCGTGTCGCTCCTTTGCGGCTTCGTACAGGATACTGAACTTGGCGTCCTGCGCCCAGAAGTGGTCCAGTGTACTGCCGAGCTCGAGACCGGTGATGCAGTGGCCGCCGCAGGATTTCGTCAGGTCGCCTGTGATGGCGGCGGCGAAGAGAGCGAGGACTTCGGCTTCGTCCATGCCGTCTGTGCCAATGTTTTTCAGGACTTCTTGCTGGCGCTTGCTGTCGACTTCGGCGAGGTAGCCGACGTCGCGGACGGCGGTTAGGTCGATTGAGGTTCCCGGGAGGCCTTGCGAACGGCGGTATTCCATGAAGGCGTCGAGGAAGACGTTGGCGGCGGCGTAGGCGGCTTGGCCTCTGTTGCCGATCGTGCCGGCGACGGAGGAGAGGGCGACAAAGAAGTCCAGTGGCGAATCGGAGAGGACGTCGTGGAGGTTCCAGGCTCCTTCGACCTTACTTTCGACGACGGCTTGAAAGTCTTCCAGCGACATTCTTTCGAAGAGAATATCCCGGAGAACCATGGCTCCGTGAACGACACCGCGAACCGGGGGGAGGTCCTTCATCTCTTCCTTGACTAGTTTCTCGACTGATTCACGGCTGCTGACGTCGCAGGGCTTGACAGTGATGAGGGTGCCGTCGACAGCCAGCTCATCGATCAAATCTTGCACCTTGTCGTTGACGGATGCGCTTCGCGACACCAGAACAATGTTTCTGGCGCCCTTGGAAGACATCCACTTGGCCATGCTTCGGCCCAGACCACCAGTGCCACCAATGAGAATGTAGGAGGCGTCGGCTCTCAGAATGTGAGATCCGGTCTTGGATGCGACAGCCTAGAAAAGTCAGTGATCACCGATCTTAGAACAAAAAGACAATGTGGAAGAAAAAATACCTTGACTTGGTCCTCGGGGTGAGGAACAACAACGATCTTACCCATCGCCTTACCAGTCTGCAGAGTACGGAAAGCAGTCTCCAGTTCAGAGATGCGGTACATAGTAACAGGCAAGATAGGGTTAACAGCACCCTTACCCATAAGCCCAGTAACGTCTTCCAGAAGACGCTTCATGAGCTTAGGCTTGCGGGCCGCAACCTTGGTCAGATCGACCGAGGAGAAGGAGACGTTGTACTCGAATGGCAGCATGTCCAGACGGGTGTTCTTCGTGATATCAGCCTTACCAATCTCAACGAAGCGACCGAACGGAGCAAGGCACTCCCAGGTCTCGCGGAGCAGGTCACCCGCCAGAGAGTTGACCACCACATCCACACCCTCGCCGTTCGTGGCTCGCTTGATACCACGACCGAAAGATATATCACGGCTGTAGAGGATGTGGTCCTCCGGAATACCGTATTGGGTCATGAGGAACTGTTTCTTCTCGACGCTGCCGACAGTGACGAATATCTCTGCTCCGATCATCTGCGCCAGCATGATGGCGGCCTGTCCAACACCACCGGCACCGGCGTGGATTAGGATTCGCTCGTCCTCTTGCAGTCGGCCGAGGTCGAAGAGTGCGTAGTAGGCAGTCGCGAAGACGACGGGGACGGTCGCGGCAACCTCGAATGACATGTTGTCGGGGATAATGGCGGCGCTGGTAGCTGGACAGCGGGCGTAGGTCGAGTAGGCACCCAGTGGCAGAGCCATGACGCGCTGGCCGACCTTCAGGTGCTGGACGTTCTTGCCAACGGCAGAAACGACACCACTGCACTCGATACCAATGTATGGCTGAGCCAGTTGGCCCATGGTGACGACGATATCCTTGAAGTTGAGACCAGTGGCCTTGACCTCGATCTCGATGTCATTGTCAGGCAGCTCGGGGACCTCATCGTCAGTGAAGTACAGGGTGTCGAGTGCACCAAGGTTGCCGATCTGCAGCTTGAAGCGACGGCTGGGCTGTTGGAATGGCTGGGACGAGATGGTCAACTCGTGAGTTTCGTTGTGAACGAAGGCGTTGGTAGCGGTGTCATCCATGGCACGCGGCACAAGAAGCTCGGAGCCATTGGCCTTGAACTCAAAGTCATCGACAGCTTTCGTGCCATTGGTGGGCCAAAGAGCCTTCATGGCAGCAAGGATGGGAGTGGATGACTTCTCGAGGTTCTCCGTCTCAAGTCCGAGTGTAGCAACCTTGGCGAGGGTCTCGGAACGCAGACTGCGGATCAGGCCGACGATCATCTGAGCGTCAGGGTTGTCCAGACGGTAGACCCAAAGCAGGTGGGAAGCACTGAGCAGAGTCTTCTTAATGTTCTCAAAGACCTCCAGGGTAAGACCGCGCAGCGACTTGTTGCCGGTCTGGAGAACAACGACGTGCTTCTCGGTAGCATCAATGTCTTCCAGAGCGGAGATTGTCGGGTGCCAAGCAGTTGTCTCCTTGGTGAGAGCCTCGCTCAGCTTGTCGGCATTGCCGTCGAACTTGCCGAACTGCGTGATCAAGACATCGGTCTGATGCAGAATCCCGTTTCCATTGATAGTGACCTTGTCATCGGGGCTGAGAGGAGTAAGGGCTCCGTTTGTGGCACCATTGGTGACACCGTTTGTCACAGCGTCGCCATTGGGCTCTAGAGCATGGCCGTTAGGCGTCTTCGCCTCGCCATTGACGGGGCTCTCAAGGCTAGCCAGTGGCTGCCACTCGAACTTGTAGCAGAGATCGCGAGATTGGCCAGATCCAAGAGAGCCAGCCTCCTTGAGAGGAGTCATGATCAAGCCTTCCATGTTGATCAGAACATCGTTCGAGTGGATAGGAGTTACCCACAAGTCGAACTTGGTCGGTTCAGGAGACGGCTGGCTGGGGCCTCCGATACACCAAGCCTTGGCGTATTCTCCGGGGTTGGAAGGAATCTCGTTGCTAATGGTCAAGTTCTTGATGAGAGTCGGCATGTACAGCGTATCAAGCTCCATGCGACCCTTTCCAAGAATAGGCCAGACAAGGTGCAGCAGAGCATCCAGAAAGGTTGGATGGATGGACAGAGGCACCTCGTAGTTCTTGGGCATCAGGCTCTTGGTGTCTCGGACGTACAGATCGGCACAGCAGTGACGGGGGTCAGAGAAGCAGTTCTCGAGTCCTTGGAACGGGGCACCGTAGCCGGCTCCGACGTCTGACAGAACCTGGTACATGTTCTGAACATCGATTCTGTAAGTGGCAGCTTCCTTGACCTTTTCGGTCTGAGTACGGAAGAACTTCTCCTCGGTTTCGGCAACATTCGACACGGAGGTCTGCTGCTTCTTGTTGGCACGAACCCGGACAATACCCGAGCAGTGCTCTGTCCAACCACGCTTCACAGACCAGGAGTGGATGCGGAATTGATCCCAGATGTCGGAGTGACCACGGGTACCCTCAGCGTACGGGCGGAGCGAAATGGAAGTCTCAGCATAGGCATCGTCAGTCAGGACAAGGGCGGCCCCAACGGACACCTCCCGGAATTCGAACTGGGTGAATGGGATCTCCTTCTGCGCAGCACGTCGGCGGGCAGCTTCAATAGCCATAGCAAGGTAGCCAGCCATCGGGTACACGTTCATGCCCTGCATCTTGTGGTCCCGAAGCCAGGGGATGTCATCAAGACGGACGATGTTACGCCATGTGGGCTCCAAGTCATTTGAGTACATGGCCTGGGCCCCGAGAACGTCATTGCGAACACCATCCCTCTTGGTGTGCTTGTCAGCAATGCGAGACTCGTGCCAGTAGCGAGTCGAGTGTTGCCAGGGGTAGCGGGGCAGATCTCTCAGGAAGGATCGGTTCTGACCACCACTGTTGGGGAAGTTGATGCCGGTGATATTGAGAGAGGCGCCACGGACGTAGGCGGCACCAGCGGCATCCAGAACAGACTGAGCAGGCTCGACGTTGCGAACAACAGTAGGAGCATAGCCAATCTTGGAAGCCACGGGGCCCAAGTTCTTCAGGGTGTCCAGGATAGGACCCTTCAGAGCAGAGTGAGGACCAACCTCAATGAGCAGGTTAGGACGGCTCTCCTCGTCAGCACACATCTTACCCAGGGCATCAGAGAACAGAACGGAAGAAGTCAAGTTCTGAACCCAGTAAGCAGGACCCAGGTCGGAAGGCTGAGCAATCTCGCCAGTGACGGAAGAGAAGAAGGTGGCTGTAGAGGTGGATGAGGGCTGGATCGACTCAATGGCGGAAAGATAGGCATCGGCGACGTTCTTCATGTGGTTGGAGTGGTAGGCCACATCAATCTTGAGACGGCGGTTGAAAAGCGCCTTCTCTTGCAGAACAGGCTCGAGCTCGTCAATGGCGGACACATCACCAGAGACTGTCACACTGGAAGGGCTGTTGACACAGGCAATAGTAGCATAGCTGCTGAGGGTCTTCAACATCGGAGTGACGGCCTCGGGACCAGCACCAATGGCAATCATGGTACCGTGAAGATCGGGGAAGGTCTTCTTCAGCAACTGGGTCATCTGGCCACGGCGGTACGAAAGAGCCATCGCTCCTTCCAGGTCATAGATGCCGGCCGCATAAGCCGCACCGATTTCACCAGAACTGTGTCCAACCACAGCGTCAGGGCGCATATCCCAGGAGTGCAGCAGATCCGTGAGCGCGATCTGGAGTGCGGTACAGGCCGGCTGGCTCAGGCGTGGCGAGTTTATCTGGGACTCCGCAGCATCCTTCTGAAGCTCCTCGAGCAGCGAGAACTCCGCTCCAAGGCCGCGAAGGCACTCATCGGCCCGCTCAATAGCAGACTTGAACACAGGGTAGTCGGCCATGAGGGGAATACCCATCTGAGCCCACTGGGCACCTTGACCAGTGAAGACCCAAGAGACGGTCGGCGTACCCAGCACCCGAACGGGGTTGCTCTTCAACTGTGCCAGACGGATACCAAGCTCATCGAGTGTTGTGGCTGACACCGCAACACGGTAGGACAGGTGAGACAGTTTGCTTCCCAAAGTGTAGGCAAAGTTCCCGAAAAGAGAATTCTCAAACACCTCCGGTCTTTGTTCGAAATAAACTCCAAAATCGCTGATTCTAGTCTTGAGGGAATCTTTATCGTTTGCGGAGATCAGGAAAAGTCGACGCTTAGGGTCTCCGTCGGCTTCGGCGTCGTCGGCGGGTTGAGTGGGAGGCGGCGGCTTTTGCAGTACCACATGGGCATTGGCACCTCCAAAGCCGTAATTGGAGACACTGATATATTTCTTGCCTCGCGGCCAGGGCCGTGTCGAGTTCACGACCTTCATATTCCATTCATTGAGGGGGATGTTCGGGTTCGGCTTCTTGAAGTCGGCGTTTGGCAGCAGCAGTCCGTTGTCAAGAATCATAGCCGCCTTAATAATTGAAGCGATACCACTGGCACCTTCCAGATGGCCAATATTGGACTTGACTGAACCAATGTAGAGAGGGTTCCTGGCTGTTCGGTTCTGACCGAGGGCCGCATGAACGGCCGTGGCCTCAATGGGGTCTCCGGCCTTGGTACCAGTACCGTGCATCTCTGCGAACCCGCATTCATCCGGGTTGAGGTTGGCCTCACTGTATACGCGACGGATCAGGTCCTCCTGTGCCTGACCGTTAGGCAGTGTGATACCCTTTGTTCGCCCATCTTGGTTGACACCGGTATTAGCAATTATAGCCCGAATGGGGTCTTTATCGCGAAGGGCGGCGGAAAGAGGCTTGAGGAGGACCACGCCGGCACCCTCGCCACGCGCGAAGCCGGATTTCGCACGCTCTTCGAAGGCATATGTTTTGCCGTCGTCGTTAAACAGTCTAAAAGAAAATAAGATACTTAATTTCCGATTCGCGTTTTCTTTTTCCTGTTCCGGTATTTCGGAGTATACTCACTGTGACATGGACATGGAAACGAAATAATCAGGTAGGATGTTCAATCGGCATCCACCGACCAGGGCCTCCTTGGATTCGCCACTGCGCAAGCTCTGGACGGCATAGTGAAGGGCCACAAGCGACGACGAGCAGGCCGTGTCGACGGTTAAACTCGGACCGGAGAGATCGAAGAAGTAGGAGATACGGTTGGACTGGAGGGAAGGCGCATTGCCGGTGGCCTGATACATAGGGGTGGTTTCAATGTCTCGCAGGTTGCGCAGCTCATAATCGGCGAAGTTGCCACCGACGAAGACGCCGACATTACGGCCGGCGAGGGACTCTTTGGGAATGCCTGCACTCTCCAAAGCTTCGTAGGAGGTCTCGAGCAGCAGTCGCTGCTGGGGGTCCATGGAGATGGCCTCCTGGACGGTAACATTGAAGAAGGGGGCGTCGAATCGGGAGACATCCTGGTCGAGAAAGTATCCGCCGACGGGATTTGTGGTGCCGGACTTGGAGGGATTGGGATGGTGATAGGCGCCGGCATCGAAGCGGTCTTTGGGGATGGGACACCACCCACTGCGGCCGCGCGTGCACAGCTCCCATAAGTCGCCGGGCGACGACACCTGGCCGGAGAGGCGACAAGCGTACCCGATGATGGCGATGGGCTCGCGCGCGTCGTTGCCATTGACCCCATTAACCCCGTCCGGGGCACCGGCGTCGGGACTATTCATGGTGGTGAGGAGCTGTGGTAGGAGGAAGGGGAGCAGGAGGGGTCTGGGGACAGCGACCGACGGGACTCACGCATTAAATATTGGAATAAATCCCGGACGCGATGGCAGGCGTGGCGCCAACTGGAAAGATCAGCAGCGCTCCTCTTTTTTGCGCCGAGGCGATGAGTGTATTGGGTAACTTCTTGTGCAGCCCTGGAAACCCGCTTGGGGTTAGACACAAATTCAGGTCCGTTTCGAAGGACCCACGCTGGTGCCGCTGCAACCCACACGAGCTTGAGACGCCCATCCATGCCAGGGACTCGCAGACCACCTCCTGAATGGCCGTGGATCCAGGTACTGCCGATCACATGTGTTTCGGAGGGAATTGCTGATTTATGAGGCCCCGGGGCGCTGCTTCTCTCACTTTTTCCTTTGCGATAACTGTACCACCTCGACCCATCGACCATCTCCAGGTCTAGACGCCAGCATGAAATTTCTCTGCTTGCACGGTGCCATTGGCAACATTGAGGTAAGAACCCTCATGGACAGGATCATGATCATGGCATCGTATACTGACTGTGTTGGTAGAACATCAGCATTCAACTATGTATGCGCTCCCGGCTGGCTCTATACTTTGCCACCAACATCTACTAACAACTCATGACCAGCACCCCTCCAGAAGGACCTGGAACGCGACCATTCTGCCTCTTTCCACTACATCAATGCGCCCGTCAAGATCATCCCGCCCCCGGGCTTCGAGGAGTACTTTGGAGTCGGTCCGCACTACCGCTGGGCCGACGATGGCGGTGCCGCCGAGGATTCTATGATCAGTCGGGTGCGCCAAATTCCCGTGGGCCAAAACCCCGAAGACGTGATGCGCGACCTGGTCGGCGAGCGTGATGTCGTCTGGCTCAACTACAAAGGCGTCATGGACTATCTCTACGAAACGCTCGAGGAACACCCCGACATTGGCGGCATTCTCGGCTACAGTGAAGGCGCCGCTATGGCCGCCACCTTCATCCTGGACGAGCAGAAGCGCTTCGAGGAAGAGGGCCGCGAACGCCGCATCAAGTGCGCCATGTTCTTCACCGGGTGGCCCCCGATGTCACCAGAAAGGGGGGTTCTCTTGGCCGACGAGGTCGAAGATCTTGTTGACGTCCCCACTCTCCACGTCGTCGGCGCAAATGGTACTATTGGCTCCCGGATCGCGTCCACCTTGTTGTCTTGGCCTTGATCTGACTAACTCCCCTTCTCCTGAGTAGATCCCTTCCGCCACGGTGCATATGCTCTATACAATGTCTGCGACCCGGACACGGCCACCTTTTTCGATACGGGCAAGGGACACACCATCCCGCGCTCGGGATTGGTGATTGACGAGATGGCCAATGCAGTCCGAGACCTCGTCGAGAAGTCTCACGGGGAGGAGTGAGTTTACGTGATTCGAGGCACTCGAGTAATCGGAAGGAAACCCGCTGGGCGGGTTCCCTCTCATACTTTCATTCTCCGACTCTATTTTCTCTTTTGTCCTTTTTACTTCTCTTCTGTGACTACTACTAGGGGGTTCGGGTGTATGGGATGTTATATTTATTTTTCTCTTGTTGCATTTATTGAATGGAATTTGCATGACGGATTTTGTCATACAGCACACCGATGGCGATCATGCGTCAAACCACACTTGGCAACTTTTTTTCCACGTAGCCTCCGATTGACTAAACCTAACCGTGGACACTTGGTGACACGCCCCCTCCCCATTAATTCAAGGTCCATCGCGTACCTGAGTTTCATCCCTTTTCTTAGAGTTCACATGTCTATCTTCTCCATTGCGCCGAAATTCGCGATCGATCGGCGGAGTCAGCGGTCACGATAAGCTGAGGCAAGCCCCACCGTTGGCACCGAACCCTGCTGCGAGCCACTGAAGACGGGGCCTGTCGATCCCAATCTCCAGATCTAGCTCGGCCTGTCGCACATCACGGCCAATATCGCCTGGGCATGATTATCGATAATATCCATCCCATCCCTGCAACTACGACCATCCTGCGCCATGTGATAGCTCATCTCTGAGGGGTCTGGCGCACGCTGCGAGGGAGGGGGCAAAAACCGTTTCGTCCTCTCACATATTAAGCCCAAACCCGAAACGAAGCAGACCAGGAAAAAAAAAAGAAACTCAGAAGTTCGAACTAGAGAGACACGGGAAACCCCCGATTCCACCCTTCTGTCTCTTACCACCCCCACCATTTCAATTGTTCCACGGTTGACACCCAATCGTTCGCGCCCGTCATGCGATTTCAGAACCTCGTGTTGGCTCTCAGCGTCCTGGCCCACGCGCAACCCACGCCGCCCGAGCAGTGCGCCACAGGAGTGCACGCCATCCTGATCCGGGGCCAGGGACCCGGCGATCACTTGAATGTGATGGTTTCAGTCCAGAATCTGGTGTTGCAGCTCATTCCTGGCTCGACCTGCGTTGCCCTGCCCTACAAGCATGGTTTGGACGATCATCGACGGGCTGCCGGCGACGGAGCATATTTGATGCAGCAATATATCCGACAATACATTGCGGATTGTCCTAACTCGAAGATCTTCCTGCATGGATACTCCTTGGTACGTCTTCCACGGTCGGACACTCCGTTTCAATCCATTCCTTCTCGAAGACCCCCCCAGTCCCCATCCTGCACCCTGCACCCTGTCTCCCCGTAAAATGCACTCCATACGGACCCCTCCGTTCCTCTGCACGTCGCCACCGGAATCGGCAACCCCCTTACGTACTCGGAACTTCCGTCTGTGGGTATTTTTTCCATGTCAATCCACTTGCTGACACAAGGCCTCTCCACAGGGAGGGATCGTGTTGATGGATGGCCTATGTGGAACCAGTTCGTCGTGGCTTTACCCGGTGACGGCACTAGAACCAATGTATAACACCAGCGGTAAGTTGAGTGATTCCAGAAGATCCGGATCCACGATCGAAAAGTCAGAGGGAAATTGGGAAAATGGTAAAAGAAAAAAGGAAAAAAGGAACCAATCAGCATGCCTAAACCTCATCTCTGCTAGTGATTGCCGCTGTCTCCTACGGGGAGGAGACATTCCTCCCGCAGATGCCCTGGAATATCGGGACTTGCACGAATGGAACGGGGGTAAGCAAATCATCCTTCCGTGAGCCCTCTCCGAAAGGAAATCGGAGAAATCAACTCCACGGTTCCAGATGCTAATACCGGCGACAACTGGGTTCCCCTTTTTAGCTGTATCCACGCATTCACCCCGAATGGTGTTTTCCGTACATGCACTCGCTGCGCAGCTATTGTGACATTGGCGACGTCGAGTGTTGCCTCAGCGATCCGCCCGGGAACAATCTGCCGCATTTTCTGTATATCTGGAAATACAATATGGATGTGATAGATTTTATCAAGCGGCGGTTGAACGAGACGCGAAACCAATAATTCGTTTTCTTTTTCTGTTTTATTACTTGTCGAATGGTATTCCTTTTTCTCAACATGGTTGTATTTGCCGTCACCTTGCTGTTCCCCTTTTTTTTTTTTTTTTTTTTCTTCTTTCTTTTTCTTTCTAGCGGGCAGACTCAGCTGAAAACTGGCGTGAATGAATGTGGACATCCCAGCCAAATCAACTCGAACTCCCACTATCGGAGAACACATTGCCACAGCGAGGGCGGGTCTGGAAATAGGGTTTGGGTTTTAACTCAGCACAGGTGGAGCCGCAGTCCCTGCCTAACCCGCTTCAGGAGGGACCCTAACTCTTAAAGCGGTGACTAAGAGTACCCGACAGGCCAGCCCAAACTTTAGTTGAACCCCTAGTGTAGAGCTGTGGAGTCGAACTGATTGGCGCACGCGGTCGGCGTGGAGTTGACACTAATTCTCAGACGGCTGGGAAATGTTAGTCCTGTCCCCCAGAGTCGCCATGATTCGCGCCGCGCTTGCCCTGTGCGGACTTGCTATTGGGATCGGCTTGCCTCGTGTCTTTTACGTCCATTTTTTTCTCGGTATTCACGTCGGAGCACGTCACTGGTTTTGCCGGGATTTGGTTGGCTGACTCCAGTCCGCATAGTTATTCCCGATAGCCTTTCCGCATGGCAATCACCGCGATCGAAGGAATTGTCGAATCTAGTGGCGCGCTAGTTGGAGGGGCCTTGTTTGTTCCACGATTGGATTTATTATTTATTTGTCTGAATTTCATAATCGCCGGCTTATTTCCGCAAGAGCTTCGGCCGACGGTTCAATGACGCAGTTCCTAGGCTTAGTGTCGCGCTTAGGGCGAGGGGAAGGGTACTTTCGACAGGATCAACAATTACCCGACCTCAGACCGGGCGCTATTGATTGCTAGTACTGCATATCATTGCAGCAACTAGGAGATACCTTGGGGATTCTCAGACACATCAACTTCAAAATCGTTTGATGTGGTAGCTGTTCTTAGCGACCGAAAAGTTCGACGGTCGGAACCTTCCATAATTCAGAGCACTGGACCCGGGGGTTGACAGCGATTGTTTCCAGGTTTTCGTTTGCATATTTTTGCGATGAAACCACAAGGAGGGGAAAGCTTAATTGCGCCGTTGGGTCCCAAATCTGCAGTCTATCACCTCTCACCATCCGAAGTTACTGCCAGCAAATAATCAGGCTAAATCCCGGGGTAGCCTATTAGCGATAGACTTTGGTCTGTTCCAGCCAGATGACAGAGGAGCCTCAACCACGTTCAGAAATCAGACTGAATATTCATCTCGACTGAATTATGTGCCCTTCTCCCCAATTACCGAGCAGCATGCAATCCAGATCTCGCTACCTTTTCCTTTGTTAGATCCGATTTCAATCCCATTCCAGTATCCAGAGCGAATCTGGTCGACCTTGAAGATACCATATTGGTGGTTATCTACTCCGCCCATGAAACACGCCCGCAACAACCGTTGATTATCTCTCCAGCCTCAAAAATGAGACCTCGGCAACAGTTCCAATACTGCAAGCAATCTGGATCGCCCGTTTTTCCGACGATCAACCCTCTCGTCGCCTTCACGCCACCCCGCAAAATCGGTCAGACCATGGCGCTCATCTAGGTAGAGAGTGGCTCGGATCAAGGCACGGGTGATCTCCCTCGGCTGTAACCCTCGCTGGACCTGACCTGAACCTTAACAACGGTCGCTCCCGGATCATCTCTTACTCCTTTCGTCTGTGGGCTTGAGAGGCCTGAACTTCGGCGCCGGTCGGCATTGTACATCGGGATGGAGGCCGTAGGACTCCGACAATGGTGGGACACTGCCGTACTACATAATCTACTTCCGGTGGAGATAAAATCTCCCCTGTGAGCTAGACTTTGCCCTGGAGATGTGGTAACTATAGAGAAACACGTCGGGCATCGATAAAATCTTTCCTAGTGCAGTCCGAGCTAAAGGATTTGGAGCGATGGTTCGTCGTCAGCGATGTAGTCGCATTCAGATGAACGTGGTAGGAAGAAGATTTTCTCTAGTCGACGAGTCTAGATCAACTCTCCACCTTTGAAGATTTTTTACTCGTTGGATGTTTCAGCCCTGTGTGATGCATCAACTTCCTAGATGGGAGTGACGGTTTCGGAGAAACAAGGGTTCTTCTTCGGCGTTGTAACGTCTATATTATGAGATTATTCTATTTGAAATACGGTCACCGTGCCCTTTTGCATGTGAAGCTCCGATCCAGAAGATAAGATGGCTGTAGGAAGTTCCCTCCGGCAGGTGTTGTGGTTTTGCAATGTGGTTGGTGGGATGGAGGCGGATGAGTGTAAGCGATGTGCTCTAGGCTTTTTTTTTTTTTTTTTTTTTTGGGTCAGGTGAGACATCGTTAGCTTCACATCAAGCCCTATCTAGATTCGAGTCCGGTTGCAATCTAGATAACCAGTATTTATTCTGTTGGCCACTCATATCCTGTCGTACCTTCTCGACATGTGGACATAGCTCTGTAGCCGAGCCTGTTATGTAGTATGATGTTCGTCATCATCTGCCTTCGAATTTTGTTGTCAAATGAGTCATGTAAGTTGCAATCGCAGGTCAAAGCAAGCACACGCATATACACCCCACGCCGTTCCAAAAAAAAAAAAAAAAAAGATCTGCGTTCGCTTCGGCGGTGCTCTTCCGTATTTTTATCGTATTCACCTGTCCTGACATGCGCAAGTCCGTACAGGAGAGGTCTATGCTAAGGATTGACGCTAGCTAAAGTTGTTTCTGGTCAAACCAGAAGCTTGCGCTATTTAAAACATAGTGTTTTCAATTAACCGGTAGATGAATGAATCAATAGGGAATTGTTTCATTAGGCTGCTGCTTAGTTTCATGCTGTTCGTCTGCTGTTTGAATCAGTTTAACACTAGGATCTATCGTCATTTCTCCATTAGTGTACACGATACTAGTCTTTTACCTGTTTTACCTTTTTGATATATCAAATAGGCTGCCGGAAATTTCTGTTTGATATTGCATAGGGATAGATGGTGATATTGGATAAGTAACCTCAACATTGGAAAGCATTACCTTCATGCAAGGTGTTTTGAGTAAATTTGATGGGCTTTGTCATGGTGGTCGAGTGCCAATCTAACCCAGAGCCAAGACACCACTCAATTAGAGAAGTTGTCCTCGTGTACGAAGTAGATCATCCTTAGCTGATCAAGTAGGTGACTTTGAATTATAACCGGGTAGATGATATGGTAGATGACTTGGCGAGCGATCATGTAGCAGAGTTAAACAGAAGGTCGTTCAGTTGATGCAGCGTGAGCTGACGATCAGTCGCGTGTTGGAAGGTGACGTTGCTTAACTGGTCCGAGGGGCGATGACGGATGTGAGAGATAAGTGAAGGGAATAAGTCGAGGACCGATTAAGGATGTGTGGGTGACTGCCTTGCATACCTCAGCTGAGATGAGCGATTGCTGCGCTCTAACATGCCCCATATTACGAATACTAATCTAACGTGAATATGGTAATGGGCAGGTTTTTGTATAATCCGTGTTTTCATAGTACCTGCGAATGCTGAATCCTCTGAATATTATGGTAGGCAGCATGGCCTAGCAAATAATTGTATAAAATAGAGTGGGCAATTCCGCGAGCCACCTTTGCCATACCGTCTCCCATGGAAGTGTACCTTGGGCTAGTATCATGGATAAGCAGGGACGAGCAGTAGACCATGCGGGGGTACGAAAAGTCGGCAGACTAGAACACCTCATTTATCAGTGGACAGGACATTGCACGTCCTGACAGAAAATTTAAAGATAACCTAAGCTTGAAGAAACTCTCTCAAACAGGTGCTGTGGTTTCGCACCGTGGCCGAGATTGAAAGACTGCTGGGAAGACAAAAAGTTAAGGGCTAACCAAGCACTGTACACTTCAAGGAAATAGGAATTGAACCTTCAACAGTAAGGCATAATGATAGATTGACCAGGCCTGGAAGGCTGCTATGGAGAAAGACTATTAGTGGGCCAGATGGCTGAGCGATCCAAGCTTGCTTCTTCAGGCCGTGAGACGTTTCGTGCTCCTCTATTTCGGCTTGAGAGATGCGTTTCGAGAATCCGTCGGCTAGATCAGTTAGTAAAGAGCCTTCTTTGTCGTTCGCCGTCACAACTTGAGGTACTTGAAATGTTGGCTCTTCTTTCTTCCCAACTTGCGAGTTCTTCCTCCGGGCAGGATCGGACTCTAGTTCTTGAAGTGGACCGAGGCGTGCTGCAGCAGCAAGTAGCGCTCGATTCACAGGTCGTATGTAATATTGTCGTGATCAATCTTTATCGCAATATATTGCGATGGCAGGTTTCCGGGCTTCATGATGAAAGCATCCAGAGGTCGAAGCTGGTAGTCTGCGGCTATGACTTGGCCAATCCGGATATACGTAGGGGGGTCGCCAGACCAGTGTGCAGTTTAGAAAAGGTTGCTGCGTATTCTTCTTGGTCGACGTACTGATCATGCTCCTCATAATCGTGGTCAAGATCGATACGGTAGGAAGTATTGTGTACATTGATGTAACAGCAAGCAAACACCTGGCAGGTTCAGCAAGCGGAATTGAAGAACAGCAGCAGCTCGGACTCGTTTCGAGCCATCAAATGTCTGTATGCGGGTTCCCTTTCAGCACATTTCAATATCGCCTTTCGAATCAAAGACACTTGCGACGCTCGTCCTCTCCCTGGTATGGGACGGCGTCAGGTCTAGAGCCCGCGAGATCATACTGCCGATCATGTTGACACGATCGGGTCAGCAACCGACATTGGACCGGTTCTTGAGGCATTTGCGAAAACACTGATAAAATCTCTGTAAACGTCGCTTCCACTTGGTGCTGGATGACAAGAGTGTGGGCTTACCATGATTTTATGACCCAGCTGGTAGAGATCGAAATCTCCCCCATCAGTACATATTCCATAGGCTGTCGGTAAGCTCTTGCCATCTATATTCTGTGTCTTGGCCAGTCTTATCTCTCGTTGATCAACCACACACACCTGTGGTGGCCGATGCCAAACTTCAAAAATAGGAATCCTGGAGTGTCTTTGCTCCCAATGAACAATATTCTGCTGCAATTGAGTCGTTGCAATCTCCCACTGAGCCGGAGAGACGGGCTATAATGCGGATGAGTACCACTCAGAATGAGACACGAAAATGGAGAGAGTGGAACTCGACTTACCCATGTAGGCATCGAGAGGGATGCTTCCTGCTCCAAGTTGTTCGAGCTCTTTGGCTTCACGGATTGATGATGTGAATACCTGTTCGGAACCACGCGAGTGAGCATGTCCTGGTCCGGAAATAGGAGGGCATATAGGACTCGTAGATCGTGAGCTCCTCTCCGCTCCTCTCAAGGAGGGAGGGGCCACCGTTCCTTGGCAGGTGCTGCTTGAATGAGATGGCATTCTGGGGATACTGTGCTGTGAGATGAAGAATGAAGATAGAGCAATAAATTAAGAAACAAGATAGAGATAGCTGATGGGTGTCAAGAGGTCAAATGGAAGAACCCTTAGGAAACCCTGGAGTGAGAGACACTTGAGATAAGAGAGTTTCTGATATCGATTCACCATTCACATCGATGTTCATATTATTCGTCGCGACGGTGATGATCGAATCCTTCACTCTATTGAATCACACTTCTGTCAGTCAGACCTACCTTAGAGTAGTTCTCAACCCGGTCACCTATCTGATTATTTACGGGTCATAATTCTATACACGTCTCCACGACAGCCTTCCGATCTATGATTGGAAACACAATTCAGCTAACTTTGCCATCATTAGAATCAGAATCCCTTTTGGATTTTCGTGGGTTGTGCTGAGATGATCTTGGATGTATATTTTGCAGTGATGTTCCAGCCAGGAACAAGCCAGGAACAAGTCAGGAACCCCAGAACCACACAGCGACTCGCCACTAACACCACAGCCAGGGTCAAAACTAGAGAAATAGCGATTTAATCGCATACGCCAATGGTGCAATAAATAAACACAGTTCATCCTCGCCAAACACTTGCCGAGATCATTCCATCCCACTTGAAGTACAGCTGCATCCGACATCTCTCATTGCAGCTTTACCAGATCAGCAGCTAACCCGTTCCGGCGCCCTCCTTTTCCCTCTCAACAACAACCTCACCCTTATCCATCTCAATGTCGTCCCTTTCCTCCACCCGCGCCAGCGCCAGCCGACTCTCAGGACTCCTCAACAGACCACAAATCACGCCCACGTCCAGCGCCTTCGCACGATCGTCGGGTCCCCACCGCCTCAATTCCAGCAACCAGCGCTCACCACCACGCCCCTCGTCCGCACCGCAACAAAGCCGGTCGAATTTCCCCATAATCCCAATCGTCGCCATCGTCGCCCTCGGCTCCGGCTCCTACATCCTCCTCGTCAAGTCCCGCACCGGCGTGAACCAAGCGCGCCCGTCCAACTAGGCTAAGCCTCAGCTAAGCTAAGCCTGCAATCTTTCTCGATCCCGCCCCGACCCCCGTGCCCCTCCACCCGAAACCCCCCAAAAACACAACTCCCTCGACCTCCCCTCCCCTCCAATTCCATCCAATTGCAATCTCCCAAAACAACAAAATGGCCTCCTCCTCCTCCACCCCCCGCTTCTCCGCCAACGACGTCACCGTCATCTTCTTCCTCGGCGGCCCCGGCAGCGGAAAGGGGACGCAGTCCGCCAACCTAGTCCGCGACTACGGCTTCGTCCACCTCTCCGCCGGCGACCTACTCCGCGCCGAGCAGGTCCGCGAAGGAAGCCAGTACGGCGACATGATCAAGACCTACATTCGCGAAGGCAAAATCGTGCCCATGGAAGTGACCGTTGCGCTTCTCTCGAACGCCATGGCCGATTCCCTCGCCACCAATCCCCCGCCCGCCGGCACCAAGGCTCGGTTCCTGATCGATGGATTCCCGCGCAAGCTTGACCAGGCCGTCTTCTTTGAGGAGACCGTTTGTGTCTCGGAATTGGTTCTTTTTCTCGATTGTCCGGAGGATGTCATGGAGAGCAGACTGTTGAAGCGCGGGGAGACGAGTGGTCGGGATGATGATAATGCCGAGTCAATTCGCAAGCGCTTCCGCACCTTTGTTGAGACTTCTATGCCTGTTGTTGATGACTTCCAGAAGAAGGGGAAGGTTGTTGCGGTCAAGGCGACTGGGTCTGTGGACGAGGTTTATGGTCTTGTTAAGGCTGGTATTGAACAGCGGGGTGTGCACCCTCGTTAAGATGGCTGGCTTTGATTCTGTATAGCGCATGCCTGTTATATTTTTCTTAGATCGATCAATAGAGATTGGCGCTTTTAATTGCATTTCGAATTAGCCCCTGAAATTCCTGGTTTTGCTATACTACAATGTGATAGGGTGTGCTGGCTCATTCCTGGCTTGGATAGGCGAGTTGCAAACACGCCTGAGATGATACATCCTACCTGTACGATTAACTGTAGTGGCCTACAAGACTAATGAAGTCTAGAAATATTGGATATTCTTGATCAGGCCAGGAAATATAACAGTTTGTCCCACCGGGAAACGTAAACACTCAAAAAATAAAAACAAACATGACATGACTCGTGGGGTTCCCAATATCAACGGGGGCCAGTAGATCCATCCCTCAACTGGCCGAGACAATAAAAAAAAAGTTATAAATGCATGAGGCAAAGTGCGAAACTTTGTGAAAAAAGAAGACTCTCCCTCTATTAGCGGCAAAGGAAAAGAATTTTTTGTCGATGTTCTGTGAGATCTTTTTGCGGGCGTCCAAGTCCACTCCACCTCATAAAACACCTAATCCATGCAGGCTCCAAATGTAGCAACCCAGAAAAGGTAATCTTAAATTTTTTGGTTCAAGATAATAAGTTTACTCGGCAACAGCATCCACCTCACGGGGCTGCTGCGGGTTGCGCCGCCGGTCACCAGAGCGGGCCTTGTCGCCGTTCTTGACGGCAACAGCGGCCTCCTGGTCAGCGGCGGCCTGAATACCCTCACGGACAAAACGCTCACGCTCGGAACGGATGACACTCAGGACACCCTCGAGCGAGCGGCGCCAGACCATCAGACGGCCCTGGACCTCAGCCCACTGCTTCTCACCGAAGACACGGTAGGTGGCGCGGTGAACGAGGAACTCGGAGCGCAGCTGCGAGAGCTTACCCTCGACCAGACCGGCACGGATGGTATCGATGACCCACATCTCGACGTCGGAGGCGGGGATACGTAGGGCGGAGGCAATGGCGGCGTAGGCGAGCGAGCGCGAGGGGGTGGAGGAGGCCAGAGAAGTCAGGGTGAGCAGACGCATCTTGGTCTGCAGGGCATCGGAAGCATCGGCGAGAACACCGTTGGAGATCGAAGCGAGCGGGTTGGCCGCGACGAACTCCTCGTAGGCATCGAGGGTGTCGGAGGTGAAGATCTCCAGCAGCTCAAAGAGAGTGGTGTCACTGGAGCGGAGGGCCTGGACGGCATCGGACGCGGTCAGAGGGGTGAAGTCGAAGACGGCGGGGCGACGCAGGGCCGAGGCGAGAGCGCGCACAGCCAGGTCGCGGGCTGCGGGCTTGCTGGACTCAGCGGCGGGGATGGTCTGCAGAGCCTGGATAACGTGCGACTGGGCAAGGTCGTCGTCACCGGCGGCGGTGGCGGCATCGGCAACGGCCAGGTGCAACTTCTGGGCCTCCTCGTCGTCCAATTCCCAGGCAGAGAGCCATGTGGGCAGCTGCTCGGCGAGCTGGGGCTTCAGGGCCTCAAAGGCGTATCCGGATCCAGACTGGCGAATGATGGCAACGATGGCCAGGAGAACGTGGTACCGGCTGGAGTCGTTGGAGGACAGGGTGTTGAAGATGGTGGTGAGGATGGAGATGGCCAGAGTAGGGCCGAATTGGGGAGAGGTGGTGATGGGCTTAGCGAGATAGGTGCAGATGCGAGGAAGGAACATGTCAGGGTCGGAGGCCTGGTGAACGAGGTGCACAAGCAGGTTGTAGGAGGGAATGATCTCTGTAGAAATTTGACATTCATATTAGCATTTTCCTTTCCATGAAAATTGCAGCAGCGCGGCCAGATCTTCAATGGACCGTTCTTCTTCCATCCCAATCTGGCCAACCCCGCGGAGGTTTTGGTCTCACTCACCCTTCTCGGGGGCACCATTCAGGGCAGTCGCAGCGCCCACGATCTTCTTCAGGACCTCATCGTGCTGCTTGCGGTCGGGCTCGCCCTCGGATTGTTCCTGCTGGCGGATCGGCTGGAGGAGCGGGGCGATCTCGGACTGGAGGCTGCCCTCTTTGCGAAGGGAGTCGATGTAGGTGGCGAACTCCTCGGCGAGCTCGGAGAACGAACCCTCAATGAGGAGGGTAGTAGTCGGAGCGGGCATGATGTGGTGGTGGTGGAAGGAGAAGGGGGGGAGAGAGAGAGGTTCTTTGATGGTGGAGTCTATCGATAAGTTGAGAAATTTCAGTGTGTGCCAAAAAGTCTTGGCGAAGGAACACCGCTGCCGCGCACCACCCAGCGCTCTCGACTTCCGCAACATCGAAGAGTCATATTCATTCGGTCTCTACAATGGGCTGATTACAACGACACAGATCGGCATTGATGCATTGCAGATTAATTGGATTTTATTGATGATCCATGATGCTGAACCCGACGCAGACTCCCGGTACTGCTACGCTAAGCCTCGGTGAGACAGGGAAGGACAAGCCGCCGTGCACATAGATAGACGACGAACATCGGAACTAACAATCATTCAAAAAGCGGGGAATCGGGCATTCAAAAAACAGGGAAAAGTCGTGATCGCGCTGAAATAAGAAAATAGGACAATTGAGCGCGAATTCGCCGCAAGACTCCACTCAAGGCCATCACTCCAAGCGACATGTTAAATCATATGATGGATGTTCTTCACAGGAACATGCGAGCGGCCAGGAACATGGCACCGGCCATAATACCGGTAGAGTAGCTCTCACCCATGGCGATGGCAGCGTTGGTAGTGGTGCTGGCAGCGGCCACCGAGGATGAAGTCTCGCTGGAGGAGCTATCGGTGGAAGTGGTCAACGACATGGTAGTGGAAGGCGAAGACGAGGAAGTAGTGGTGCTCAAGCTGCTAGCATTCTTGCTGCCACATTGAGCAGCCTCCTTGCAAGCCTTCTGGCCGTCCGCATCATCGGGGTGGGCGTTGATGCACTGGCCAAAGTTGGCCTCGCAGACGTAGAAGGGCACAGTCTGGACGTACGGAGCCACATCGGGAGTGGTGCCGTCAGAGCAGATGCAGCTGAACTGCAGAGATTTCTGGGGGGATTGTTAGCTGCGGTTCATGGGGACTGAACGGTAAGAGTAATTGCATACCGGATCGCAGGTGTTTTGCTTGGTACCGCCCTCACAGATCTGGGGGCAGACATTGCGCTGGCCCAGACACCACGAGTCTGGAAGAGGTTTTGGTTAGCGATGCTCAATGCGACCGTCTTGCTGTTGTCGACTCACTCAGCTCATCCGGCTTGACCAGGCCAATGTTGAACCCTGCGGGGAGGGTGTAGGTAGTGGAGTTGCTGCCAAGAACGGCAGTAGCCAGAGTAGAGAGGTACACAACGGAAGCGCGCATGGTGATGGATGTGGATAGAGGAATACGGTGCTTGAGAGATGTGGAAGAAGAGAAGAGAAGAATCGCGCCACAGAAATAGAGGGAAACAAAGCGCCAAATAGCGGAGGAAAGTGCCAAGGTGCCCAGGTAACCGGCGGCAACGCCAGGGCAGGAGATGCATACCGTACTATCCCAGTGGACCCTGCCGGACCCTGCTGAACCCTGTTGCCCGATTTTTCTTGTTGGCCCTGTTGGGGGACTAGCTGCTTAGCGGGATTCGCCAATGCAACATCCAGAAACATCCCCTCCTGCAGCTCCCCTGCAGTATTGTTTATTGATCTGCATAACTACCTGTGCTCGCCGACGGCACCCTGTTTGTCGCACAGACTATTGGGCCTGCCTTGTGTTTCCAACTAAATCCTGGAACGGGCCTCCCTACCCTGGGGAAAGTACCATGGTAAGCTTTGCCAATGTCTCAAGTTCCCAGTCCTCAGTTGCCCCGGACCGGCACTTGTTTATACGCGCATTCCACTCCCGAATTCCCGGCCAGGAAACTGCACCTCCTTGCGGCTGTCACCCGCCGAATGCATACCCGAGTAAGACCCAAACTGCGCACGGGCAGGCCCTTTGGTCCCCGGACTTGAGACACATGGGGCAGATATGTGATGTGTTGTTTATGCTTGGATCGTGAGCTTGAATGGGTTTCCTTCCCCGCTCCGAGGACTGTCGCCAATTACGGTTTAAGTCTCGTATACGGATGGAATAATGGCTTGATGTTTTTTCTTGGCCTCTGAGACCCTTATCTCTTGATCTAACAGCCAATCCACGGAATTGGATATCTTACCCTAGGGTATTGGCAATCGCTGGATAATCACTGTAGGCATAATTGAGAGGACAACTCGGCTCTCCACAACGCGATCACGAGATATCTGGCATATGTCCTGTCATTATGAACAGACTTGTTTTCGCCCCAGTCGACAGACTGGAAAATAAGAGTGAGCTCGCCAACCATCCGAAGGGACAGCGAAACCTCCAAGTGAACAACAGTTTGCACATCATCTTGGCCAGGAACTGTCGGGGCCATGCTTGGCACCGATCGACGACTCCATCTGCAGGGGCTCGGGTATGCCCGTTCAACTGGGCAAGCTCCAAATGATCAGCGCGACCATGACTGCTTCACACATGACCACCAAATGGTATGCCCAGACCATTCCCAATCACCTTGGATAAGTCAAGCAAATCAATCCCTCCATGCGACTTCAAAGACCTGGGAAACATATCACTCACGTGATTCGATCGGTTGACGGACTTCCTAATCGAGCCGGGCCGAGGTTATCGCGAGCCCGCGGCCAAAGTGAAAGTGTATGAAGGTCAACCACCACTAGTCCCTCAACTCACCTCTTGATGCCATCCCCAACTACCTCATCCCCTTGAATTCGACCCTCAAGATCACCGAAGCAACCACAGAAAGCAATGGCAGCCCCAGACCCCGCCATTCCGCATTTCCGCAGCCACCCATGGGCAAACTCTCTCCTCACCTCGGAAGACTACAAACCAATCGACACCGACTCACGACGCATGAAGCCCTCCGGCGAAGACGGCTATTTCGCCAACACACTCGGCACAAGTACCACAATCCCACACGTCCTTACACTCCAACGCCGCGAAATCCCCGCTCCCCCAAATAAAATCCCCACCTGGCTCCCCGCAACAAAACAAGATGCCGCCGCGGCCGCTGCAGCGGGGAACCCTACACCCGGCACAATGCCCGCGGACATCATCATGATCTGCGACCTTGCGAGCCCGGGAATCTCGGGCCACCCGTCGACTGTTCATGGCGGGATTGTCGCGACGCTGATTGACGAGGCGATGTCGCTTGCTGTCGCGGCGCATACGTCGTCGGACTCGGGATCGACGGTCCCGGTCTCGGAAGAGAGTAACCCGCGCGGAAAGATTTTTACGGCGCAGTTGGATGTGCGGTATAAGAAGCGGGTGACGAATCCGGCTTTGCTGGTTGTGCGGGTGAAGGTTGTTGGGCGTGTCGGGAGGAAGTTTTGGGTTAGGGCTCAGGCGTTGCAGGAGGATGAGGAGGGGGCCGGTGGTCATCTTGAGTGGGCGAAGAGGAAGATTGTTAAGGCAGATGCTATGGCGTTTTGGATTGTGACGCCGAATGAGAAGCTTTAAGTGGATATGGATGGGGTTGAGATAGATCTTTCTTTCTTGGAAAAATTAAATTCTGCAACGGGGCTCGTTCTGGACATATTGAGCTCTATTTCTTGTACATAGCATGAATAGACCATGGAAATGATCTTGTTCAAATCTTTTTATCCTGAGTATTATTTTTATTTTTATTTTTTTCTTTGTCAGGAAGGTTATATGTGCAGATCTATAAACTCAGATCAATATATACACCTCTATCAAACCAACCCATCAAGCAAAATCTACAACTTCTCCATCTTCCTCGAGCCAACATTTCTCGCCGCACTAACAACAAGCCCAACCTGCGTACTCAGCGCAATAACCTCCCCATTCTGATCCAGCACCGTAACGTCCAAATCCGTCCTCCCATCCCTAACAACCTTCGTCACAATCCTCGAATAAAGCCACTCCACTCCCTCAGCCGGCAAATGCTTCTTCATATCCACATTCAGCGTAACAGTCGGATACCAAAATTTCGCCTTCATCTCCGCCACCTTCTCCCCTTTCGCCTTCGCCGCCGCATTCGCAGAAACGGTATCGAACCCATCCAGCGCCATGGGAAACATATCAATAAGATACGGAATCGTCGCGTCCGTCCAGCGACCATTAACATCCCCATTTGGTCTAAACCGCGCCCACTGGTCAATCGCCATGGACCCCGACCGCTGCTGCTGCGTCTCGCCCTTTCCAGGGCCAAACAGCTCCAGCTGCGAGGCTGCGCGGCGGAATTCCGGGTACGGGGGATCGAGCTTCGTCCACTCGCCATCTTTTCCGTTGGCTAGGGCGTCGAAGTTGATTTTGCCGTGAGGGCCGGACCCAGATGGAGGTGCTGGGTAGGGTTTCCAGCCTGTTGTTGCACAGATCCCGGTTTCTGCGCTCGGTGGGCTGACAGTGATGTACCCGGCAACCTTGGTTTCCATTTTATCTTTTTGTTTCTCTGATGGCTGGAGGAGTTTGATATGGATTGTGCTTGTACGCTGGCCGATCTTCACGTCTTCGACTTCCATTGTCGCTGGGCCGGCGGCTGTGCGCCGGAGGAAGGAGAGTTGGAGGGAAATGGGTGAGGCAGGTGTGTCGTATTGCTTTGGATGAGCGTGCGCGAAGTGCACGAGCGCTAGTCTGTATAGCACGGATGTTGTGTAGCCACCATGGGGCACTGTGGGTGAGTTAGTGAGCTGGTTTCTTTGCTGGACTACATGGTATAGGGTTGGGTGGAATACCGGCTCCAATGCACCATTCTGGTCGCAGATTGGCGATGTACTTGTTGTTACCTTGAGGAGTGACGCGGATCGCATCCTCGAAAGAGGAGTTGAGGGTAGACATGGCGGTAGGGAGGTGTGAGGGAGAGGAGAAGATTCACAGGAAACTGGACGTATACTACTCCGCACAGGCACTCGGCGAACCTCGGTCCCGCGGGTCCCAGTGCGGCGATCTGCCTCGGACGGATCGGATGAGTAATCGCAACCAAGGTTAACTAACTTAAGCGTGCAGGACAATGCATTGTAGTGCCAAGCCTAAAGAAAAATGGATTTATGTCTGATGCAAGATCTGGAGGATGCGACGTAGTGAGTAGAGAATGTGTCATGAGCATTATGGAATGCCTAGAGGCGCCATAGACGAATGCTGCTACGGTGTCTGATGTATGTATCCAGATAACCACTTCTACTAAATCCTTGAACAGATCTTGTACCAAATCCCACCGAAAATAAATGTTTCAATAAACGCCAGACCCTTTTAAATCATGGTCTCATTTTCGCATGCTCACAACACCAAAAATTCGTTCGACATGCTGGTTGAATGGTTGACGAGGCGCATGCCATTACTGCGGCGGCGTCGGCTTTGGTTCTGCCGATGCTGCCAGTTGTTGCAAGCAGGTCAGAACACCTAAATAATCAATTAGTTGAATGCTTGAGAAGGGAGAAAGAGGGCCCAAAACAAACCTGTCACCCCTTGCGTCAATGTCGCTCTAGCTTCCGTGCTTCGCGATCCCAAAGTGACCGTCATCGCACAATCCACCGCCTTGGCATCTTCGAGTTTGTTGGCCCATCGGAAGACAGGTTCATCTTCACGATTATCACCAATAATAAGCAAGAAGTCGGGTTTTGAAAGCTCCTCGCTCTTCTTTGAGCTTTCCAAGGCCCATTTCCAGACATTCGCAGCAGCGGACGCCTTATTAGTATTGGGAGTCTCCACGATCAGAGCACCTTCGACTGGAATCGCATGGACTCCATGGCCAGCACACGCATCGTTGATGTGGTCCGCACACTCAGCAGCTAGCCGCGCCGCACTGGCGCGATCTTCGGCTGATCCATGGTGGAATACGAGTGAACAGTGACGCTCTTCGATCCAGCTGCCCTCGCTGCGGATTTTGAAGTAAGCCAAGATGGGAGAAACCGCTGTCTTCCAATTTTCGATACTATTCTTGTCGGCCAGATTCACCCATTCGTCAGAGTCGGGCTCGCGGACAAAGCATCCGTTTTCAGCAATCAGGCCTAGGTGGTTGACCTGGCGGAATAGCCGCTCCATTTCCTCGGGCATGCGTGAGCTCATCACGTAGACGATGTTGGCAGGGTCGTCAGTCAGCTCTGTCAAGGTTATGATTGCACGCTGTGGGGTAGTGAGAATGATGCTGCGTGGAGATCCCCATGAGGCGAGTGTGCCTTCGTAATCAACGATCATAAGGCGGCGGTGCGACTGCCGATACTTCTCCATGAGTCGAGGAACAGACAATCGAGGTACAGCCATGATCTCTCGCGAAGATTGCTCGTTCCAAACGCGGATCAAAGTCTCGTTGAATGACTTGACCCAGTTAGCGGTTGAGTTTTGCAAGACAGCGCGGTGGAGCTCTTTCCACACTTCCTTGCGTTTCGTTTCATCCCGCGTGAGCGCTGTATAAATCGCCTCAGAGCATTGCCGGTAATCCCAGGGGTTGACCAAAAGCGCGTGATTTCCAAATACCGACGCACTCCCTGTGAATTCACTGAGAATGAGAGAACCATATTTCTTGTCGCCGTAACTGCCATCTTGACAGTACACAAATTCATGGCTGGTCAAGTTCATGCCTTCGCGAAGACTGGTGATCATCAAAGCATCGGCCACCGTAATCAGGGCGAGGTATTGAGGGAATGCCAAGTCTTGCTTCAGGAAAACCAAAGGTTGGTGGGCCAGAGTTGAGTGTGTGGAATTGATGCGCATGGCAATATCAGAAACGGTAGCTTCCAGCTCTGGCTGTTCAGTGGTGCTGGTCGCAACCTGGATGAGCACCACTTTGTCGGCCCATTCCGGATACGTGTTGAGGAAAAGCTCATAGCTCAGCAGCTTTTGGCGGATTCCACGGACAGAGTCAATCTTGTCGCGTGAAACAATCAGTCGTTTACCCTGGTATCGATCGGAGATGGTATCAACCCATCTCTCCACATCCGCTGCCTTACGACGCTTATCCCACGAAGTCGGGTCGATACCAATTGGAAATGTTCCCACGTTGATGAAACGGTCTTCCATCTGAATACCGTCATTGGTGGCTTCGACGCAGAGGATCCGACTGCACGTCTGCAAAAAGTGACGACAGTACTCATCGGTCTGAAATCCGATCAAGTTGGCTCCAAGGATACCCTCTAAGAGTTCCTTTCGCGGAGCCAAGCACTTGAACACTTCTGACGACGGGAACGCGATGTGCAGGAAGAACCCAATTTGGGCATCCGGGAGCATCTTGCGCAGCATAGCCGGGACCAGCAACAGGTGGTAGTCCTGAACCCAGATCGAATCGCCTCGCTTCCAATTCTTGGCAATTCTCTCGGCAAAGGCCTGGTTGAGCTTCACATAGTAAATCCAGGAATGATCTTCGTACGCCTTGCTCTTCGGGTTGTCCGGAATCTGGTAGTGGAATACGGGCCAGAGGATGGTTTTGCAAAAGTGAGTGTAGTGCCCATCAAAGTCCCCGTCACTGACGAAAACCGTCAAAGAGCTATACTCGTCTTCCAATCTCTCAGCAATTTCTTTGCGCGTGTATTTCACCAGCGCGTCAGTAGGCATTCCTAGAGTACCGACCCACATCAACTCTCCCAAGTACCCAGTTTCCTTGGCGGAACGAACGGCATTTCGCAGGCCACCATTGCCTTGTTCAGCGGTTTCAATTGTCCAGTCGGCACGAGAAAACGATTGCTTGCGACCGGTCAACTCGGGCTTGTTGACGGCGGAGCTGAAGGCTGCAGGTTTGGCCTCGGGAGTCTTGGGTGCGATGGTCTCTTTGTGTGGCAGGACGGGATCTTGATGCTTTAGGATGGACGGCGACGGCGACACGAGTGTCTGGGGCTTTGGTTGGTTCAAAGAAGTTGTCGCGCCCCATGCCGGCGAATGCGCTTCACTCTCGGTGAGCAGTTGAGACTGAGAGTGCTCCGGGATTGGAGCTAGCGAGAAATATGAGTGATCCTCCGGTTCCTCCTGGTCCGGATTACTTGTAAATATCCGCTCGTGATCGGTTGTCGCGCCGGGGGTAAGGCCTTTTTGGGGTTTGGCAGTCTGATTTTGGAACAAGCTGGCGCCCCCGTTGGGCTGCGGAGGAGTCGAGTCAGCCCCCGCATTGACGGTAGCCGGAGCTGCTTGGACGGCGCGATAGCGAGAGTTCTCGACGTGGAAGTTGACCGTGTAGGGTAAAAAGCTATTCGAATGGTTTGGTTAGCGTGTGCAGTTAAATTGGGGGACATTCCACGGCCGGCTTACAGAGACGCGATGAAGACCGTCATGGTTGACCGACTTCCACAGAGGGGCAGGAATGGCGGGAGAGATGCGACGAGGGGCTCCGATGGAGCGATTGAAGAGAAGAGGTAGCAGACAGGTAGCGAGCGAAGCGTGGGGTCTCCCTGCGCAGGGTAGCGAGCTGTCATTGAAACCTAGCAAGAAAACTTGAAGACAATCAGAATCTGGTTCCTCATGACTACGTCATGTGAAAGCACATCAAGTGGCCCCGGTGAGCTGCTGCAGGTTTGCTGGGATGCCAAGGCAAGCACGTTGGTCGTACGAAATTCGCAACACGACGGCGAGAATGGTCTTGCTTTTTATTTTCGGCGTGGAAATGAAGCCGCTGGGGCCAGACCAGCAGCTTCCAGGGCACCGCTCGACCGTTGCTTGTATTGAGTCGGACAGGGCTGTACGCATTTCCGGTGCGTCCGCGCGGGCGTATATGTTTTATTACCGTATTTACGGGTATCAATCTATGGGCGGCTTGATGTCATTGGCGGGTTCTTGATGAAGACAGCGTCTGATCGGCAATGAAGACATCATCTACTCTTAGTATTGGCTGAAAACTTGCCGGCAGTACAGATGGTTTCAGCGCACTGTTCGCTGTCAGGCAATTTCTGGGCGTGGGGGTGTATTGTCACCTATAACCTTGAAGATTAGGGGATACATTGTGTGCAGACCTGGTTGAAATACATAATTCGAGTTCACACCAAACACGACACATTTTTGATTTGCTCATACTTTCTATTTTAAGAGTAATCTAATTCCAGTTCACTGCAGTACTGGCATTTTGAATACCCAGAGAATTATCGGCAAAGTAGCTCGTAGAATGGGTGATTAAGTACAAATGCAATCCCACGGGCGTTCTCGAATGCTCACTACTTCACCCATCTCAACTACTTCGGGTTCTCAACCTTTGGTCTAGCCACGTTCATTTTATACTTCGCATTCAACTCACCTTGAAGTCAGTAGATTTGATCAGCGCTACCGAACTTGCCACAACACCCAGACATCGCTGATTCTGGTTCTCGTTAACTATCACATGACCGATGAGGTAATCACATACTGTCCCTTTGCGGCAACTTTCTTAATGTTCGAGATTTTACATCTCACCCAGGTATGCCCTTGCGTCTCACTTCAGCTACCGTCGCCGGTGTCAAAAAACACAAATCGGCGGCGTCGCGCAAGACTCAGCCCTCACCCTTTGCCGCCCATGCCCGGGGCAAGCCAGGATCCGCCGCGGCGAACGGCGTGAAGAGAGCCGCCGAAGAGGGTCTTCTCCTCTTCGACGAGGACCTTCCCGACCTCGGACCGTCGCATCATATATCCGATACAGCGCAAGTCGAGAATGTCATACAGGCGGTTGAATATATCAGGTCAAAAATGTTCGACGAGCTTCCGCCCCGCGCGGGCATAAACAGCACGCGCATCGCGGAAGTCTTGAATCTCCGTCGCTCGTTGCCTCCACTCGCTTCAGTTGCACATGTACATATGCTGATGAATGCGCCGACGCAAGTGGAGCGGGAGATCGTCGAACAAGTTCGGGCGGGTCGTATTCGGCGGTTGATTGTGCCCGGGCGTGGGAATGATGCGGCGGGACTGGGTGACTGCTTGGTTCTTGCGGAAGACTGGGATAAAATGGTACGTGAGAGCTCGGCTCTCGATGCAGCTCTCAAGGGTAAGTACACCAGCATTTGGGCTAGACACTTGGGGATATCAGCAACTGACGAAGTGTTCCTCAGAGAAATTCCTCGGTATCGTGAGCCGCATGGGAACTACTAGTAGCTCTGCGATCTCGCAAAACATGTTTGAAACTGAAGAATACAGGGCATTGATGCGTGCTGGATTCCTCGTATCATCCTCCACCTTCACACAAGGATCGTTGAGCCTCGCTTCTCTTCCTAAAGTACCCAATGCAGCGGTCACGTCGGCCAGTCGGAGTGAACCGGGCAGAGCTTCAGATACAGACCGATCAGTGCAGACAAATGCACAATCCCGTGCTGCGACACTATTTTTGTCACTCCCAAACACTGGGACCTACCTTCGTTTGTTAGAGACTGGCCGTACCCATCTGCTCTCCCTTCTGAAGCGGTCTAGCTGTAGCGAAGTGCCCATGGGGTTGCTGAAGGATCGATGGGACGGCGCGGTAGAAACAGAAAAAAGCTTCCACCTGGCCAAGAGAGCCCGCGGAGAATTCGCAGGAATTCTACCTGGCAAAACCAAGAAGTGGAAAGACCTTAAAGGGATGCGGTTTCGTTGGGTACTGGAGGAAGCCCTGGGAGCGGGCCTGGCAGAAATATTTGAGACAGGCAGTGTAGGACCAGGAGTTCGCTGTCTCTAGCGTTGCATACCCCGATGGACGATTGCCATCAACCCCTAGATACCCCCGGATATAAAGCAAATCCAATCCAATCAGTTCAAGCCCCACCACAACGTCAGACTGTTCTGAACCAGAAACAAGCTCCGCCCACCTCTCGTTTCCGAGCTTGGGTGCCTTAAGATTCTCCTTTTCTCCACTTCACCCCCTTCCCCAGATTCTCTGTTCTCGAGTGCTCAAGATGCCCTTGATCCAGTTACAGCCTCATCCCTTCACCGCGCTACCCGCCCATCCATCACTGCCGCCCGGCCCAACGCGCCCGGAAGCAAGACAGGTCGCGAGCATCGCGCTGCAGGAAGCTCTGGAGCTACTTAACACCGACCTTCCCACCTGGGATCGGGAATCCAAACCTCGTCGCTCACCTCCCGCGCGCGCAGATGTGCATCTTTCGCGTAAATGGCGCAAAAATGAAGAGCCGAACGCGCCTGGCAAACCAAAACCCGAGTTTTGGGTTTGTCGCCAAAGCGAGCACTCTGATTCAAGTACGCCCGGCAGTGCATCCTGGTCCGAGTTCGAAGATGGATTAAGATCCGACCATGCTGAGCATGAAATGGAATATACGCCCAGCGTGACGAGTGTTGAGCGACTGCTGCAATGGACGGAGCAGGAGATTGGAGAGTTGGACTTGAATGGATTCATATTCAAGGATGTGGATGTTGAGGGTGAATACTTTGTGCTTTGCGACCCCTGCCCAATACTGTACCAAGGTTATAGGCTTGATCTAACACACTCCTCCCAGTCAACCTTATCACCCACAAGTTCCACCCAACAGCCCTAATCTCTCCCCGATCATTCATCTCCTTCACCATATCCGCCACCTACGACGCACACAAGAACGAGCCCGACATCCCCGCAAAAGGATTTGTGACAGTCCAAATCCCGCTAAGCGCAGACCCCTCTACAACCCCAACACCCATCCACGAAAAGATCATGTCCGCCGTTCCCAAGCGCACCGTGTTCGCCCACTATGCCAGTGTCGAGCGCGTCGGGAAACGAAATAGTTCTGCCGAACACACGGCGTCGCAACAGACCAAGACAGCAACTGGTTCGAATGACTCGATTCAGTGGATTATGGCCACGACCTCTGACGCGGGTGGCTCCATTCCGCAGTGGATTCAGAGGAATTGGACTCTTGGTGGTGTTCCTAAAGCGGTTGTTGCGGATGTAGGGCTATTCATGGATTGGACTGAGAAGAGGCGGGGGTCTAATTAGGATCTTGTCTGCCTACAAATGATGTGGAGTTCGGGATTTACTAGTCAATTCATACAAAATACGAAGAGCATAATGAATAGCATTTGACAAGTCCGACTATTATTTCCATAGTAAATATGAAACTATCCATACATAATCACAGGTACCATCAGGTATAGTCCGCCCTAACTGGACCACTCAATTTCATCTCAAAACCGAGATCTACAGCAGATGCTTGCCGACACTGAAAGCCTGCAGCGCAGCCGACAGCCCCACGACAACCGCGTTCTCCTTAACACCCGTTTTAGCATACCAAGCCGAGCTAGACCAAAGCAGGACGTTCACAATGGCCGCCATAGCCTTGTTCAGCGGGTCCTGCAGGGCAGACGGATCCTTGGACCATTGGTAGTGGAGAATTCCTAGTACAGATCAGTAATTCCGTTTACAGGCCCTTGGTATCATGAGATAGCTACCGGTAAGGAGGAAGAATGCGCTTCCCTATATGAGCTTGTGAGCCTTCAATTCTTTGCTTTATGCTGGATCATGGGATGAACAAACCTGGTACCAACCAACAGTACCACAAGCCCAGGGTCTAGATCCCTTGATGTTCTTGAAGACCTTTTCGGCAGTCCATTCTTTGCCGCCGAGCTAAAAGGGGTGGAGAACAGTCAGTATGAATGCCCTGGCTTACTATATCCCCAGCTGGATCTATGCGGAGCAGTTCGGAAGATAAGAGGGTGATGCGGGACCTACCGTGTGTCCGATGGAGAGGATGACGAAGGTCAAGGCTGATGCCTGGAGGGAGCGGGAAGGGACGGTAGACATGATGGCTGGGAATTGCTTGAATTGAAGACGATACAAGAATTGGAGCTGACTGTATCAATATGTAGGATGAGGTGGAGGGCGGGCAGGGGCTGGGTGTATTAATTTAACCTTCGGGACGCGGTCATGGGCCTCGGTCCAACGGTTGGGCCGCGTGGGGTCCGCCACATGGCTCCACATGGCATATGGCACGACTATCCGAATGTACTTAACTGTAGATGGCTAAAGCCGAATTTTGATTCAATTAGCTCAATTGGTTTGATAATCTATGAAAGGAATTCAACGACAGCCTGTCGAATGAGACAATGTATGGATCCGGAGCCCAGATATGGAGCAGCTTCTGCTTTTTCGTGAGGAACATGAGGGGGGAAGTCTCAGCGATCCGTTGGTCTCATGATGATAATCAACTAGTATCTTAAGCTATGGTAAGGTTTTACGCGGATCATCGAATTAAATAACATAAAAAAAAAAAAAAATTTGGCTTTTCAATACTTTAGACTTTTTGAATTCTCACTGCCTAATGCATTCTCCTTTCATGGTTGTAATCTGGAATCAGGAGACACTCAGTACATTCTTCTTAAGCAAACAGGAAATAAAAATAAAGAAACCTGCACAGAAAGCCAAACTGCCCGGGTCTGGGACAGCAACTGGGCAATGAACATCAAGTTCTGAGATGAAGCATGATCATGATTGTGCCAGATCAATTGCCTGGTCACCAGATAATAATCGAATGGCAGCGGGGTGCTCTCAAAACACAGTCCGAATCTGGAGTCTAGCGAACGGAAAAGAAATCTTTGATTTTCAGCCTGGAGAAACTTCGGGCGATTGCGTTAAATCAGTTGCCTGGTCCCATGAGGGTAACCGAGTGGCATCTGGATCCGCTGACGACACAGTCTAAATATGGGACCTGGCCACCAAGCAATGCATAGCAAATTTGAGCCTCTCTTGGCGGTAGATGGAGAGACTTGCACTGCGGATATGCCATATGGTCCTACAAAATTCCGATCAACTGTTGTCCTCCTCTCTCCCTCTGGGAGCTCTTCCCTATGGTAGGGCTTGACAACAGTTGATCGGAATTTCGTAGGACCATATGGCATATCCACAGTGCAAGTCTCTCCATCTACCGCCAAAAGCTTGCATGGGCCTTTCCATCCACCTTTCTCGCGCCAGACTCGAACATCTGACTGTAATGGTAGGGTCAATGTGGTGATGATACTAGGACCGTTGCGCATAGCGAGAGCGCCACCCACCTGGCGTTCCGCATGTAGGCGACGGACCTCTTTGGTTGCAGTACGGATAGCCTCAGCTCTCTTGACTACCAAAGGCGATGGTGGATCCATTTCGGTCATTCTCGGGTATGCCCCGAAGACAAGTAACGTTGGAATGATTCCATTCGGTCCGGCTGAGACGTTGACAGCCTTCACAGCCGTCTGCAGAATCATCTCCCTATCGAAGTTCTCGTCCTTAAGAATTTCGTAGGCACGGCGTAGTGGTGCATGGTATCGTTCTACTTTCCCCACGCTACTATGAGCCTCCACGGGGAACCCCTTGACCTCGATTGACATTGACGAAGCAAGCTGCTTGAACTCGGTAGATGTGAAGTTCTTTCCTGCATCGTGCACAATGTAGTCCGGCGGCCCCTGGTAGGTATCGATCCAGCATGCACGAAGTGTGTCCCAGGCATTACGTGCAGACATGTCTCTTAGGAATCTCGCGAGCGACACCAAATGATGTAGCTGCATCGATGACCTGCAAAACAGGTTTTCCTTCCAGGTACAGAATGTCGATAACAACCGAGTAGTTGAACTCATAGTCATCTTTCAGGGTAAACTTGAATTGTCCTGGGGACTTGCCTTTCATCCGGCAGTGTGACAGAACTTCGTGAGGTAGTCAATGCACTTTGAATCTACCTCATGCCCAGCGAGTTGAAGGATTCGTGTCAATTTCCGTTCTGATGGGTGTCCGAAACGTCGGAGGAGTTGTCGTAGCTCCGTCTTGGTATGGTGACTCCATGCTGCTATCTCCTCCAGATTGTGCAGCAGCATCCATGGATGTCCCCGCTTACGTACGATGGGTACTCTCTTGTCTCCTCGCTCGAGCACGTCTTTCTTGTTTCGGAGCTCCACTCCCATAGCATCCATGTCCTTAAGACAGAAGAGAAATGGTGTGTTCGTAGGAAGGACATGAACGTAATAGTGCCAATCGGGGTGTCGACGTCGACAGTCCCTAAGGAGGGCTTTGGATCCCGTCTCCAAATTTGATATTCTGCTCCCCAGCCCGTGAAGTAATAAGTCTGACTTTAGGGTCTAGCCTGCATAATGCCCTGAATTGAGGTTCACCAGCGGACGAAACCCCAGAGGCTCCAGTGTCTGGCATGATGCTTTGGAAAGTGTCGGATGAATACCGGTTATCGAGTGTGAACGCTTCTATGGCCTGTCCGTCGGCTTGTCACTGATGGAAGATGTCATCTTTAGTGAAAAAGTGGTATGCTGACTGGTCATTCAGGATAGATATCGTCCTGATTCCATCGACTTGCCCGATTTCCGTCAAGAACCCCTCGTGCTCATCATCCTCAATAGTCATAACCGCGAGTGTCTGGCTTGGGTCATTCCTATCGCTGTCGTCTAGCTCCTCTATTTCCTCTGCGCCTTCGAAGTCGCTGATAAACATTTGGAAGTCCTGCGGGGTGGCTGTCCGGCCTGTCATGAAGAAGTGTTGCTCGCGGAAGTTGTCGAGGGATCGTTTTCGTTCTTCCCCGGTATGATACTTCGACCAGCATCCTGGTCGTCCACAGACGTAGCATCTCCCCTGGCGGGCCCATTGAGGTCCTCGTCGGCCTCTGCGGTATCCTCCTCGCGGTCCTGATCCACGAAGGGGAGTGGGTTCACGGCTGTTGCCGTACCCATAGCTTCTTCGACGCTGGTTGTAGCCACCGTGGCTGTATCCACGATTTCTCCCCCTGTATGTGCGGTCAGTCCAATGCTGATTATGCACGTCGTACTCCTCGCGAGCGTGGAATTGCCCGGAACGCGGTGAAAATGTCGCATTAGCAACTGCTGATCGCAGTTCCGCTTGTACGCCCTCGAGAGTGCTCGCTGGCCTATGTAAGGAGAATTTGCATTCCTCGACGCCTCTGCAAGCCTTTATGGTTTGTTCCCGTAGGGTCGTCTCCGACCGGTGTTCTGGGGGCAATCCTGGCTGGATCTTCTCGAGTGTTTCGAAGAGTATCTCGAGGCATTCCGAGCGCGACTTCTCCGGGTTTTGAGCAATAATCCTCGGAAAGGTGGTTTCCCTCCATTCGATGATAGATCTTTGACGTTTCTCCGTGTCGAATTTAGCCCTCATCATCTCTACCATCGTTGAAAAATCCCTCGCGTTTCCTTTGATCCTTGTGAAGTAAAATTTCTCCGCTTTTCCTTTGAGCATAAGCGAGAATGCAATATGGAACTGATGCTCCTGTAGGCCGATCTTTTCACAGACGTCGCAGAACTTGACTAGTTTTGTGTTGAGGTCATCATATAGTCCTCCGCTATACTTGTCGTCCGTATTGCTATACAGCCTCATTACTGCTTCAATCATTCTTGGTAACGGTATATCTTGGGAATTCTGTTGGAATGCGCTGTAACTGGATTGTTGCTGTATGTGATTGTCTATATGGGCTGTATCGAGCGGTGTGGATCTGGCTTCTTCCCACATCTGGTCGATTTGTCCGATATGTGGTTTCACAACATCATTTCGAGGGGTTTGGGGAATTGGTGGGTTCACCGAAGTAGCTCGTGCTGCGAGAGAACTTGGTCGGATAGTTGGCGCTTGGTCGCGTGCAGGGTTCCATCTGGAGTTGAAGTTGTCTGGGTGTTCCTTTAGATGGTCCTCGATGTCTTCTTTGGTCCATTCGTGCTGAGTGACTTCTTGGAGGCAGTCGTATAGTCCCTTCGCGAAAGATATCCCCGGACCTACCCTGATCCATACTCCGTGGGTAGTCAGATGATGTCGAAGCATTTTCAAAGCGTTCTTATTTGCCCCCTTGAATATATCCAGAGTCCATCCATTGAATTCATCGTGAAAGTCGTTCCATAGGGCACGGTCGGTAATGCGCATTGTGTTCCATGTCCGCAATACACAAGTTATATGGCCGTTCAGTATTTCTTCCGTCTGGTTCTTCTCGTCGAGTGTGTCGACAGATTTTCCCCATGTCTTCTCCTCAATGGCGTACGCGAGATTATCCGGGATTGGCAGCATGATGGTTGCGGCGAAGATATGAATAGGATAGATCGAAGAAATGAGTGTGTTGGGTTGCGTGTCGTGACGGTACTGCAAGTGTTTCCCCGGTAACGCGTTGTTCGCGTGGTGGACGCAGATCTTCGTTGCGGTTTCAACTGTAGATCCTTTGGAACTCCTCCGTGTCTCAAAGGTACTGCAAGCGTTTCCCCGTTCCCCTGCGGTCAATGCCTCTTCCAGGTCGTGTAAACCGAGCTGTTCTGTGGTTGTAATCAACCACTGATCAGTATCACCAGCTAGGTACTGTGTACACAGTTAAGTGGACAGTGTGTATGCCATAAAGCAAAAGTCAATTGATGCATGTAGATAGATGTTCATGTGTACCAGGTCCGGTCCAAAATACCCCTGGATTCCATATCCGTGCCTTACTGCCCACCCAAACGGGAAGCGGTTTGGGTGGGCAGTAAGGCGCGGATACGCCGATAGTCGGTTTTCTCAACACCGGTGCCGGCATAGGAACGTGATCTATCAATCGCCAGCGGTACGTTGCCGCTAGCTTGTTCTGACAAAAGGGTATGCATTCTGAAAATACCAGTATCTTGAAGATATTCAGGTATCAATTGAAGTAGACCATCCACCTCGTGGGCTGCATGTGCCAAATTAAACTAACATTCCAGGAAGTTTCGGCCAACATCATGATACTGATAGATGCGCTTTGCACGTGCAGAATACCTGAGTGATCACACGAAGGCTTTCTTGCATCAGCCATCGAATTGAATGATGACTTCCGTGCCCGCCTAGCAGAGAAATACAAAACAGACTCAACCCCTGCATCATACGTCGATATTCGCCGACTCATTATCCTACCACATATCTAACTTCAACTCTCAATCACACTTTCCCTTACTTCGCACTTCGCACCCTTCACTCCTATCTCAATTTTACTATGGCAGCACAGCCAAATTCTGAAACCAACTTGACATCTTCAGCCTCAGACTTTCTCCGCTCCGAGACCCCGGATTTTCTTCACTCCAAGACCTCAGACAGCCACGTTCTTGCAAGAATGTAGTCACAGACTGGTTTACCTCAATTGTAGAGATCTTGTACCTCGATCTGACTGACCGATATACACTAACAGTGGGCAGTCAGGTAACAGTGTTCAAATCTGTTACCCAAACAGTCCTAACCTAGGACAGTCGACGAAGCTTCGGTAAGTTATGGATAAACTTTTTCTTATTCTTAGCAACTTTTCTTCTGTTTAGTGTTGTCTCACCCATCAATTACCTTTTTTTTGGCGCGAAAAAGAAGAGTGAACCTGACTGCTACAACCTTTCAGAAACTCACGTCATTTATTGCAAGCATCATCAAAATGTCAGCCACACTTCTACGCGACACGACCCTGATTTCGAGGCACCTCGCTTTATTTTTCTCTCCACCGGCCTCGGACCTGTCGAAAATGTCGAAACCCGAAGACCACGCTTGTTTTGAGCTGCCGAAAGATGCCAAGGCACTCGGCACTTCTATTCGTGCGAGTGCTGGCGAAACACCAAAAGAAAGCTAAGATAGCACAATACGTGCTCTTCACAAATATCCCTGCACCTGTTGCCGAATCAAAGCACAAATCAAGCGCCAGATATAGGATCCTGCAACGGCGTCTGATTGCCATTGCTTGTCGACAACCCTCATGAACGGGCTCTGTTGGCATTTGCAATGAAATATGATTTCATTTGCGGCCGGAAGAGAGCAGATGTAAACTCGGGGTATTTCTACATCTACATGTGGGACTGGATGGGTGATGGTAAAGCTTCGATTCCCATGGACACCGTTGACCGCAGAGCAAAGCGGATATTATCGAGAGAGTTGCGCGGCAGAAATCGGGCATCAATACACAATGCCAGTCCACGCCGTCTGCAAAGACCAAGTGGGTGCCGAAGAAGGGCGACACTAGCCTTCCTTACGTCGACCATAGAGTTGAGTGATGATTTCTAGCAACGAGTCATTGTAGGCCACGCCACTGATTCTCGCTGGTCGAAGGTCATTTCGGAACTGGAGCGAATTCCGGAATTGGCCGACCAGATAGAGACGCCGATACCGTACATTGTAGACGACGTTCTTCTTTTCTTGATCCAACATGGCGACAACGACCGCTGGCTTTGCATAGCGTACAACATGGCCGACGAAGTTTTCCGAATGGTCCATGACGACCAGGGACGCCAATGTGTCGACCGCTGCTGGTATAAACTACGGGGTTGGTGATCTACCACGGATGGAGTCGGTTGAAAAAGCACGTCGCCACTTGTGAAGAATGCCTGAGAAATGGAGTCCGACGTCACCGACCATACGGCTCCCTACTGCCGGTTCTCTCTCCGCATATTCCATTCCATACCATCCACATCGATTTCGTCGGTATACTAACTCTGACAACTGAAGGTACTGGACTTCGAACGGTGCATCAGTAGCAGTGGCTCTCGGGCACCTAAACCAACTGTTGGCAACCCACGTTGGGCGGGAGTGGGTCATTGAAACAGCTCTCCACATGGCAAGCTTTTGTATAGTTAACGTTCTTAAGTTTAAAAGACGAACTAGCGAATTCAATGTCCATACTAATGCAGACCGTGCGATTACACTTGATGTGGATTAGTGGAGTAGAGTATAATTGAAACAGAGGGTATATTATCACTACCAAAGGTTGAATAGCTCGACAAGAGAAGTGAAAGAAATAAGTTGAAAGCCGGAAAAAAGAAAACTCCAATCCAGGGTCATTCCATGCATCGTTGGAAAGCAGTCTCCAGAAAAAGCAAAGAGAGATAGAAAAAAAAAAATAGAAAAGAGGTTATCCTCAATTCGGAAGGAGAGCAAAAAGGTCCGGATCATTGTACCGTAGGTGTTGTGATCCGAACCATTTTTAGTACGCCGAACTCCCTCGATCTGATCCGGAAAGAAACACCTTACAGTGTGAAAGTAAATATGAAAAGAGAAAGGAAAGGAAGGAAGAGGAGGGGAAAATAAGGAGAAAAGCCTCATGGCCCCGAACCCCAGAAGAAATGGTAATTAGAGCAGGAAGAGAAAGCCACCAACGCCGGCAGTTGTCGGGACGGTGATCATGAGGGACATAAAGGGAATATCAGGCGGACTTCCAGGGAAGATGGGATGGAGAGATGTGTATCAACAATAGAGGAGGGGGATGTGGGTACGGGTCGAATGTTTCTCTGCAGGTTTGTCTATATCGTACACACCAAAGCACGTGTATATGCGGCATCGCCTTCACCTTGGGCCGGAATTGGCCTGGTTGATTTCGACGGGCGCGGGTGCTGATGATGGGTTTATCGTCGCGATGTGTGCGCGCAGAGACGCGACTTCTTCGCGCAACCCAGTCATTTCATCGTGCATGGAGCGGACGTACTGCCAGAGCCTATCGATCTGGCTAGCTTCATTGTTTGTCTCAGCAGGACCATCGAGTCCCACCTTCGGGAAACCCGGATGGGAGCTGGAATGGCCGTGAGATGACGTATGTTTCGCTGGTGCCTGAAGGCCGAATCGCGCGTCAGGCGAACTGATGACGGGCGGAGGGAGGTGAGGGGCTCCAGCTGGGGGTGGTGGCAGACCCAATCCTGTCGGGGCGTGGTTGGGTTGTCCAGTTCGAGCAAAGGAGGGCTGAGGGTGAGGCAACGACTGACCCATGGCGGGAGAGGCTGCGCGGTGGGGTTGTGAGTGTCCGTCATGGTGCGAGAGAGCATTCGGAGAGAGCGGCTTGGGGCTGTCGCCGACATTGGTCGGAGTGAAAACAGATGAGCCAGACTGGTGGCCTGCCGGTGGGAAGGTCATGTTTCCAGGTTGCGAGGTCGCCGTTGTTGGTGGACCCGAGCCACCGTGCGAGCCTGGAGGTGGGTAAAGAGCACGACCAGCAGCGATCGGTGGGTACGTGCTGGGCTGACGGGGGTGGAGAGAGTCAGATCGAGAAAGAGAATCAGCATCAGGCTTGCGAATGCTCGGCATATTCAGTCGTCGCTCGTCTTCCTCATCCATGCGCTCCGGCTCCGCGTATACCAGACCATCCATTGTGTCATCCGGAGGGTGCCCGTCGCCGTATTCATCTTCTCCCGCAAAGCTTCCCATGCTTGACCGTCGACCGGCGCATCCACCTTGGCCCTTGTTGTGGCGCGCAAGCGCGTCGCCGCGAGCAAAGCGACGCCCGCACTTGGGACAAATGTGAGGGCGCTCGCCGGTGTGGAGTTTGCTGTGCCGTTTCAAGTCGTGTAATCGGCGGAAACGAGATTGGCAGGTTTGACAGACGAATGGTTTCTCTTGGCTATGGGTGAGCAGATGGCTCTTAAGGTTATGTTGTCGGGTAAATTCTGTGGCGCAGTAGGGGCAGCGGTGCTTCTTCGCCGATGGCGAGCGTAGGCTGCCTCTATTGTAGCCCGCGTCGGGCAGACTCAGTCCGCGACGCGGATCACTAATGCTTAGACGGCGGGCGCTGGGAGGCGGCGGGGTATTCGCTGCCAGCATACCAGGACCGCCCGAGGGCATAGGATACGAAAAGGCTTTATTGCTGTCTTGTTCGAGATCCGAAGCGGCCCGGGGCCGCGGTCGGTCACCGTCCTGCGAGGCCGATTCTTCGATAGGTCCGGGACTCGCGACGGTCGATGTCTGCATGAGAGAATTCTGATGGTGCTCGGTCGATCCGTATGGGTCCGTTGCAGCATCATTCGCGTGCGTGTCTACCTGCATCTGCTCGGGCGACGCATGAATGGAAGGATCGTGGATGGAATGAGCTGGCGACCGCTCGCTGGCCCCCAATGCTTCGCGGGCGACCTGAGTGTTATTAAGTTCGGTCTTCTGCTCCTGCTCGATCGGCCGATCCGCCGGCGCCGAGGCTGGAGTCGTCATCTGAGAGGGTTGGGATCGCGAGACGTGTAGGCCGGCACTGGCGATGGAGCTCAAATTGGTATCGGGTTTTGAGGGAGCTTTGAGGAAGGAGATGGGCTCGGGGCTTGAGAGGGCGGTGGACGGGGTGGATATCGGATTTGAGATGGCGACTGGCTCGTTGTTCGAGTGCATCAATGCCGCCATGGAGGCAGAAGGTTTCGCGCCAGCCTCGTAGGGTGGACGAACCAAGGCGATGGCTACTTCCGATGTCATGTTAGGATGTGATGTTGCGGATAGCGAGTGACGGGGGGAGAGGGGAAGAGGGAGAGACTAACCCCAGCGGCTTTTGGAACAACAGGGCGAGCGAGGATTGGGGGTGGGTGAGAGGGAGGGTGAAGGCGAAGTCCAGGGCGTGTGGGGCGTTCACTCAGTCACCGTGTGGCGCAAGCTGACGAGGTTGGTTTCAGCTTTTTGCAATTGTCAGGCCCGGAGAAGATCCACCCGGAATGTGTCCTAGGGGGGCTTGGGCCTCGCGTTAAAATAGCAATCAGTGGAATCGAGATGGTTCAATGGAGCCGGGCCATGAAGAAGTCTGGAACCGTGGCGGGTGTGCAGGAACGAGACGAAATGGTGTCGTGGTTTTTGGCGTGTGGCCCCAGAGAGTCGTGGGGATACAGCTGGTGAGCTCTGAGCAGATCCTCTGGAACGATCCTCGACAATGTGCAGTAACCGGATTTCCCCAGGCGACCAGGAATCAAGAATATGCAGAAGAACAACGAGAGCAGGCAGAAACACGGCAGGGGGGGCTGTTCGGGCCACGTACGGTAACTTTGGGGCAGGACGTGGCGCGGTAGCGGTGGGAGGGGTTGCCGGCGGTAATTTGCGTATCGCCGGTACGGACGGTATCAGTCGGGCCTGGTCGAGGCTCTAGGAGATGAACCCTGGGCCGTGAATGTACTGGTACTTATTATTACATACAGCTCATTGCTCTGCGAAGAAGTACCGGTACTTGAATAAGATTGAGGCTGTGTAGCCCGCTAACGCGTTTGTGGCTGGCCGTGGGTCTGGCACGAGGCTGGCTGCTCCCTACTCAACTGGACGACCCCAAGTATGCGGCTGAGGGTCACATCTCCTGCTGCTACTGTACTCTCCGCTGTACGACGGCCTCTTTCCACGGCCGGTTCTAGGTGATGTCACCCCACGATACACACCCTCCTGTCGCTCGCCGCATGCCGCATTCGCATCCGCTTCCCGATGGGGCACGGCGGCAGATCTACTCGCATCCACCACAGTTCGGGTGTTGATCGTGGGAATGGCCTCCTCGCATGACGCTGGATCCCGCCGCTCCCGTATCCCCCCCGTGCCCCGACGGAGACCAGGTGTCAGTTGGCCCGAATTCCTCGTCCAGCGAGTCAAGTGCACTGGTGACCATGGTGGTATTTTTCCATCGGGGCCACACGACTGCGCCCCAGTTTCATGGACCGCTGACCCGATAGGCAGCCTGGGGGACTCAAATGCCTCCTTTCTGCGGATCGACAAACACGAGCCCCATCCAGTTGGCTGTGCAGAGTGGGTGCCGATGGCGATGACGACGGAGCCACGCCGAAGTTTTGCCGTTTAAATAGATCGAGATCCGTTCTTTGCTGGACGGACCACAATTCCATTGGGTCGCAATCAAAACTGTCTTCATGTGGGCGGGACCAGGCGGAAGTAGATATGTCAGATCAGGCTTCTCGATGCTTATCCGCCCGGGCGGACGCAGGGAGGCTGGTGATGACTCTGGTCCGTGTGGCCTGCATGGTTGCGGCTCTTGCCCAGCCTCATCTCTCTCCATGGCTGACGCTGGGGCGCCTGAGGCAGAGGGTATGAGTACATAAGATCGTAGGGTTGGCCTGAAGACAAGACGGCGCTTCTGGTTTGTAGCTTGGCAAGCCTTACTCCTGTTAGCATGTGGAGAGGAGACAGACTTCAAAGCAGATCATCAGATATGAAAACTTCTCAGTTCTGTCATGCACGGACGGGTTGTCAACTGGCAAGGAACTAAACACTAGAGATCAGACTAAAGAAGACGAGGTATACGCTAGACTCATCCGAAAAAACAGGCAGAAGCCGATGAGTTGGAAGGCGGAAAACCACAAGACAGGCAACAGATTGTTTCCGAGTCTCTGAATCAAGCTCTAGAAAACTCCTTGCTGTCTCGTGGCCCCAATCCCGTCCAGACACCTGATCAGGCATTGAGACATAGTCCAAGCAAGATTCAATCGGAAATAATATCCAAACCCGGGGATCCACCGACCCATGGGCCCTTCAGTAAGTATAGAAAGCCAGGAACCGGCGCGGTTGAGAACTGACATCCGCTCTGAATGACTTTTCAAGTCCAATTAGGATGGGATGCACCATGCAAGTCGCATGCAAATACAGAAGTTTTCGCTACTCCCTCCCAAGCCTTCTTTGTAACCCGATCTCAGGCAGATGACTTAAAAGACGATTCTAATTTTGGCATCAAGAATTTGAGGTCACACCAAGGAGCATTGTCCCTTATTCCCCAGGCTTTGTGCTCTTTTCGAAATCTGATACATTGAGATTTGCTCACCGGTCAGTGTGACACGAAGGCAATGTAATGGCGACTCTGATTCAGATGTCTTAGCCCTCCAGTACTCTCACATGCTTCGCTGTCTTTTTCAATGTCACGATCAATTGATTGAGCGATGGAAGACGCGAGATCTGAGAAGGAGGAAAAAGGCGGATTTTTTACTCAAAGGAGGAAACTAGGAGTGCAGCTGACCGTCTACAGGGTGGTCAATTCCTCAGTCTATGGGTATAGACGTTGAACAGCTTTAGTCCGTATCCCGCGGGCCTGCCAAGACCTACCTTGAGCATCAAAACATGTGATGAAATCGCAGACAGTAGAATGTTACGGAACTAACACAAACATTTCTGAAGAAATAAAATGCTAGGAAACTTGTAAAAGAAGCTTCTTGGCGTTTTGTAAGGTCTAGAATCTCTTTCCCGACGTACTCGAAGATACAGCGAAGCGGACTACAGATTTACCGGGGCACTTCTTCTACCCGGTCTAGACAGGTCCAAAGCGCTATTGAAAAATTCATTAATGATTCAGTTATCAGGCCTTCCCACCGTTCACCTATCTTTTCATCTATGTCGTTAGAACATAGCGTGCGGTTCACTCCAGCAAGCCCTCTTGTTGGAGATCACAATAAGACGTTTCGCTTGTGCGGTATTGATCGAATATCTTATCTGTAGTGATGAGCGCCACTTTGGAGCATAATACTGTCATAAATCCAAATACCAAAGCCTAGATCAGGGGTAAGCAGGCGATAGGAAGCTTCGTAGTCCAATTATACCCGGCCATCAAATGCCGGCGCGTAGAGAGCCAGTTGACAAGCTCAAGCGCATGGAAGTATACTTGGGCAGTACCGGTCGTCCAACCAGCTATTAGAACCGCAGGCCGGGAAATCCTAGATGATTCTCTAAGCGCCAGGACGGCCAGCTCATACTTTGTAGTGTTTCAGAGAATCGAATGTGAAAATGATGAGGTCTGGTCAGTGCCGTGGCTTGACGTTGTGATGACTGCCCTGCACCGTCCTCTATAGTTCATACACCCGAGGGCATTTTGTACTGTCGACTCCGCACTCCGTGGATCTCCCAGGAACACCCTTCCAACCTCCTCCAACAACAAGAATGCAGACTATTGCTGGGGATCACCAAAATCGCAGCATTCAGGGTAGCTCCCAGTAGTGCACAGACCTCGGCTGCATCCAACCGAAAACATTGCCAAACCGCCACGGGGGCGACGGTGCTTAACAGCACTGTGTGACTGGGCGTGCATCCTCCCTGCATTCGGTCCTTGGGCTGGCAGACCATCCCACCCCGGCTTGTCCCTCGAGCGGTTCTGCACGACGTGTGGTTGGCCCGACGATCGGCGGATTAGCGCCGGTTGGGGTGATGGGCGTGCATCGTGAGGAGCAGTCGGGGGCCATCTGGCGCCTCTCACTGGCTCGAGGCTCCACTGTGACAAGCTCGCCCGATCACCTCTGCGATCCAGTCACGCCCCCTCTCTCGCCGGCCCCCGAAGGTGTGAATATGCACAGTGCTCGCCCAGAGGAGCCCGGGACTCCAATCATGAGCCCGGTTGCCCCTGCACCGTCTCCCCCGGCGCTTACTCTGGCCCTGGCACGAGTGACGAGCGGGCATGGCCTGCAGTCGAGCCCCCGCTCGAATCCGGCCTTGATTGATATTCAAGAATACCCGTGGCCGGCTCCTGCGTCTCCAGGTCTTTCTTTTCCTCATCACCACCGCCGCCTTGACTGGTTTTGTGTTTGTATACCCGTGGACGCAGGCCTCGCCCCCGAGTATCCAAGGTGATCCTGCGAAAACGTCTTATCTTGCTCAGCCTGTCACACACTGCTGGGATCTTCGCAGCACACAATTGACTCAGATTTCGTGGTCTGGGTTTCTTTTTTAAGCACATCCCAGAGACTCTTCGAGTCCTTCCGGGTTCCTGTCAAGAGCTGGCTCTCTTGACCCTATTGCTGTGCTTCCGTGCAAGTTACTGAATTTCTGATCGACCCTCGTTGTGTCTACAATGTCAATTTCCGGAGACAGCCATAGAAGCTCACCTCAGACCTACGAGCCTGTCGTGCCAACGGATCTCACTCGCGGTTCCTACCACAGCGCAATGGGACCCCCGCCGCAACATACAACCCACGAGACCCGCAGCTCGTCCGAGAGCAGCGGGGCCTCACTGAAGAGCCCTCGTACAGCTCGCTTTGCCGAGGCCACCACAATTCACTCGCCAATCGAGCAACGAGACCGATCTCCATTCGCCGATCCCCAGAAGAATAACTCTAATGGTGGCGTGGGAGATCTTGGATTCGGATATGTGAAGGCCAATGATCCAGCTCAACATGCAGACGACTCGATGCCGCCGGTCTCACCCTGGAGAGCCGATATGAAAGTCCCCAACACCGCTCGTTCTTTGAACCCACTCAGTCCGACTTTCCGCGAGGAGTATATGCTCGAGAAGAACGAGAAGACTGCCGAGAAGGAGAATGCCCGTGACTTGGTGAGAGCCACTTCCTTAGCAACACCCCATCTCTTGTGCTAAGCAGCTAATTCCCATCCACAGAGGATAAAACTTCGAGTCCGTATCGCCAAGATCTTCCTCCGTTTCGTCAACTTCGGCTGCAGTCTGATCGTCCTGTCCCTGCTGGCGGTGACCCTGACTGTCTTCGAAACAACCAAGTCTCTCCCAACCCGCAACAGTCTCCCCGCGTGGGCCGAGGGTACCAACCCATGGGCTCAATACTTGCTTCTATCAATGGCTGGCGTTTCACTCCTTGCCTGCCTGATTGTATTCTGGAGCTACTGGAAGGGTGGTCACAAACGTGCCGAGAAGACCGCCATCTACTACACCGTCTTCTCGATCGTGTTTTTCGGCCTCAGCTTGATTATGTGGATTGTCGGTGCTGCCGTCTACCAAAACTCCAAAGCAAATGGCAACAGCAAAGATATGTGGGGATGGTCCTGTGCCCAGAACACCCGTGAGGAAATCTATCACGACGTGATCGATTACGCTCTCGTCTGCCGTCTTCAGGTAAGGGCTACCCTCCACCCAGAATACCTCACGACGAAACTAATCAATCCAGGACTGGGGACTGGTCTGCGCAATCATCGAAGTCGTCATCGAGGTCCTCGTCATCCTCATCTACGCCGTAGTAGCCTACAGAATCTGGACCAAACGACGGTTGATGAAATCCATGAACGGCCGCGACCAAGCCCGAGACGACCTCTACCTCGCCCAACTCCGTCTCAAATCCGCCCCGAACACCCCCGGCTTCGCAGGATTCTCCTCCTACCCGCCGAAATCCCCCTTCGCCGCCGCAACCCCAGTAGGAGACCCCTACTCAACCGCCGAGAAGGGCCAGATGCCAACAACGCAATACGCATCCCCGCGTTCACCAACAAGACCCGTCCCCTCTTTCCAGCTTCAACCACCGCCCATCCGCGTCCAACAACCCACCCCCAAAACTGCCCAGGAGGAATTCTCGCACCCCTCATCGCACACCCCCTCGCCGCCACCGCAGTCGCCGCCTCAGCATGTTTCTGCTGCGCCCGGTGAGACCGAGTACGATGCCGTCCCCATCCCTGGCGTGTACACCAGTCCTATGGCGCCGACCTTCCCGCCTGCGGTGCACAAATAGATGCGCGGCTGGCGAGTGAGGTGTGTGCATGATGTCCGGGCTTATAAAAAAATGTTATAAATTGAAAAATCGTATTGACTGTGCATTGCATGGTCGACTGGACATACTGTGCTCCTATTTATTGGATTTTGGATTCCCCCCTTCCCCCCCCCCATCTATCTTTAATGAACGGTCTTTCCCAGTTCCTTAGACTGGTGCACGGGCTGATGTACGCGATGGGCGTTGGAGTTTTTGGATTTACAAATACCTATTTGGCGGGTTTTATTTTTGATTCTGTTTCGATCCCCCCTTTTTGTATCTACTCTTTTTCTATCGTTGAATATACTCAATCGATACCTGCACATGACTACGACGTCTTTCCGGAAATACGATGAAGTAGATTTAGAAGATGTGGGATCATTACTTGATGATTCTACCAGTCCTTGGAAATACAAAATACAACTTGACATTGCATTGGGAATCAAATAAATAGCTCTTACAAGGCCCGTGGAGCAAAAACGCCATACAAACTCCGGATCTACCAGACCCAACCCATTCTGTCCAGAGTCATGACCGACATGCAATTCACAACATAAAGCCCAACGAAAAAGCTGGAATGTACATGCGAAGGAAAACAAAAGCCAAATCACATACTGCCCTCTTCAAGAACAGCATGAACATCCCTGCTAACGAAGATTTCTTCCAGAGTGCTGGCGCCACTGGCGATCTTGCTGATATCACTCTCCAAGACTAAGCCCTGCTCGTTGGCCAAATGGAGCAAGCAGATAAAGCCAAATGATGTACTGATATCACGCAATGTTTCCGCAGGATAGACCGCCTTCAGATTGTTCATGATCTTCGTGAATCGAAGTCGGCCGTCTTCCTTAGGATCGGCGGGCTGCTCGGGGCTGCCTTGGGTGGGCGTGGGTGGTGTCGGGTGGGCCTCGCTCTCGGGTTCAGCAGGAGGTTCGCTCGAGACAGCACCGGGTTGGGAGGCTGAGGCGAAATCGGAGGCGGCAATGAGTCGTTCACCCATGCCCCTCCACATCTCTGTCTTGAGTCTTCGGACATCCACCTTCTTCGCCACACGAGCATAATTGACGTAGTCGGGTCGGGCACGGCGTGCACCTTGAGTCACCAGCTGTGAGCCGTACCCACCCTTGCTCGGTGTCGCGCCGACCATATTCAGCAATGCGGACAGACCGGTAGCGCCACCGGCATCGCCAGCTGCCGCTCCGGCAGCCCCATCAGTAGGTGGGGAGAGCATCTCCCGCGCATCAGCGAATGGAAGGTTGTCATCATCATCGTCTAGATCCATGCCGTTAGGGAACGCAAGACCATCGTCATCCGCAAAGAAGTTGGCATCGTAGGCACCAGGAGCACCATCGTCATCAACGTCTTCAGTCTTGTGGTTGGCCCAGAAAGCCTCATCCATATCACCATTGCCAGCTGTCTGGTCTGGCCGGCTGATGTTCGCTCGTCTACTCATAAGTTTCCTCGAGCCCATGCGGGCCTTCGGCTTCAAGAACAAGCGAAGCAGCTGACGGGAGTTGAAATGCTTGTCATCGGGTAGCAGATTGCGTCCCTTTGTCTTCCATTGTGTCTTGGGCAGGGAGATTGCGGAATTGGAGCTGGCAGGGGTGTAGATCAGCTCTGCAACAGATGGATCCAATGGCGCTCCGAAATCGATTTCAAAGGGCTCCTTTTCCTTGCGTTGCTTTGGTGCCGCGCTGGTGTTGGCTGCGGTGTGGTCCTTGATTCTTCGAATCTTCCAGTGTTCAGGTCCAGCCCAGTTCTTGGATAGCGCGTTGTCGAAGTAGCTCAGGATGTTCTCGTGATCTTGCTTGCTAGGCTGGTGAGACATAGAAATGGCGTAGGCATCCTCGTCCATATCTTCTTCATCATCGGCATTATCGCCGTCCTGATCCATACGATGAACCTTGAGCATCGGTTCGAGGGCTGCCTCTCGAGCCCAGGCTTCACCACCGTCACCAAACCCAGTATCGCCGCTAAGGTCAAACCCAGCCAGAGTCCCGTCATCGTCGTCGAAACCAACCGCATTGTCATCATCAAGCATGATGCCGGAAGGATCGTCCATTCCGCCTTCATTGTTTTTGTCCTGACGCCAGTCCTCGGGGGCCTTGAGAAGAGGAATATCCAGGGATCCACTGGGATCGCCCAGATCGAAGTTCTTGAGGGAAGGGCAGATATCCTGCTCGGTCAAGCTATCCAAGTCGGGGAAGAACTGGTTTGCCAGAGTAGCAAGGTCGATGTTCGGGTCGTCCTCAAATGTTTCGCTGGCCTGCGGCTGAGTACTTTGTGACTGCTCGGCTTGCAACTGCTCCTCTGCTTGCGCATCAGGGTCTTCGGTTCCCTCGCGGTCACCCTCGTCGGTCTTGGCGTTATCATCCACAGCATCATCGCTGCTATCGAACACGATTCTTCCGTGTCCGTCGATGGCGAGGTGGTTCAAAAGTAGACCCTTAGCACCACCCTCGTCGAAATCCGCGGACGCTTTCTTGAAAAGGGGATCCACAGCAAATTCCAGTTCGAATTTCTTCAGTTGTAATGATCCGAATGATGGGGCCAGCGTAGCCTCATGTGAGCGAGTCTTAAATATGACATGGTTAGCAAAAGTCCTAGGTTTACGTGGTTCGTGGTGGGGTGTAACTAACCTTCTTGCGCGACTTGCGAGTGCCTCCATCTTCGCCCTCCTCGTCTTCGTCTCCTTCCTCTCCTTCAGCATCGGCTTCACGTCCCCGTTTGTCGCGGCTATCGGCCAAGCCACTCAGGAGCTTTCCGGTCTCAGTGGCGACACTATCCACTCGGCTGGTGTAGATTTTCACACACCCATCGAGGGTGCAACTGGCCTTCTGGAAGTTGACACCGTCACCTTCCTTCAGCAATGACATGTCGTGGAAGTAGTCGATAAGGGCGAAGTTCCAGGAGTTGTTCGCATTAATCTTGTTATCGGTTGCCATCTTCATCCATTCCTCGAAGTTGGCCAGAATCGGCACTCGCTTCATTGGTGTCACGCCGCGTCCACTAACGTCGCTTTCGCGACCGCGGTGACCGGATCCTCGAGGCGTTGCGGGGCTGTCGCTCCCTTCGCGGTTGTAACTTGTGTAGCGGCGGGGAGGCATCGGGGTCTTGACGGCGGCCTTGATCTGGTTCATCTGGCGGTCGTGAAGGGCTTGTCTGGCCTCTTTCCGGGCCGCTTTCTCGCCCATATCATCGTTGAGGGGAACCCTGTTCGCGCATTAGTTTCCGGTTGCTTCCATGCATGCAACTGTCTACGAATGCGACGTACTTGATAGGAGAATGTTTCTGAGGGGTTGAGGCGCCGTTGGAACGGCGATGTGCCTTGTGCACTACACGAGGCATGGTTGCGGTTTCCCCAGCTGGGGAGATCGAAATGCGCGGGGGAGTCGATGTCGGTCGTGGTTGCAGCTGGCGGAGGGGCGGCCCAAACAAACCGTAAGTCAACAAACATACGGCGGGCGGCAGCAACCAGTCGCGTCGGCTCTCACGTGGAAGGAGCCTTATCCTTCAGGCATCAAACCGACCATCCAGTGAGCGCATTTCCCATTTTTGGCTCGCTGGAGCCTAGTAATTTGACTGCTGCCAACTTTTCATTAAACTATATAGTCCGGGTTCCACTTCTTGCTTTCTTCGACGTGCACTGCCACACCTCTCAGCTGGTCCCCGCGGTTTCGCTGAAGGCAACACGCCATAGTCCAGTGCACTGGCCCGCTCTTCGCTGTTCCAGCTGACATCACCGACCTCACCGCATTGGCAGCGCCTCACATTCAACGGCCGTCGATGGAGGGGGCGCACGCGAGTCAAATAACCTGCTTCAACTCAATTTTGGTATAAACGGTGGGCGCTGGGTCACTTCGATACTGCTCTGGTCCACAATGCAGCAGTCCTGGATGCAATAATGAACCGGCTATCCTCTTTCCTGCGGCCCGCAGCCCGCAAAGCGCCTCGGTACTCTGTTCGGCCCTTCTACACCACAATATTGGTGTTTACGGCCCTTGCAACACTCAGTCTGCTCATATCATGGTCTGAAAAGGACACGGCGCATCTTCGCACGGCAGCGGACCCGCTGCTTGTGAAGCGAGAAGGCGAACCAGAGGTATCACCACTATCCCGTTCAGCCCTCCTCGTGCGATGACACCAGAAAGCTAATTCGTGTGCTGTGTTACCTGGCTATAGTGTCGTCTTGTCCGTGAAGTCGAAGACCAATGTGGATACGTCCGTGACAATTGCCCGGACCACCAAGATGGTCTGTTCTCTTACCTACAGCTTTACTACTGCGCCCTGCCCGACGCGAAGCCGCTTGCGTTCATAGTCTTGATACTCTGGCTGTCACTTCTGTTCAGCACGATCGGAATAGCAGCCAGTGACTTTTTGTGTATTGATCTTAGTACTCTGGCGAGCGTTCTAGGCCTGAGCGAAAGTCTGACGGGCGTGACGTTTCTCGCGTTTGGCAATGGAAGTCCCGATGTCTTCTCGACATTTGCTGCGATGCGGTCCAATAGTGGCAGCCTAGCCATTGGCGAATTGATCGGAGCGGCCAGTTTCATCACATCCGTCGTGGCCGGCTCAATGGCGCTAGTCCGGCCGTTCAAGGTTGCGCGGAGGAGCTTTGTCCGAGATGTCGGGTACTTCGTGGTCGCTGTCAGCTTCAGCATGTTCTTGCTGGCCGACGGCCGGCTTCACCTGTGGGAATCAGCGACGATGGTGGCTCTCTATCTGTTCTATGTTATAATGGTTGTGACATGGCACTGGTACCTCGTCCGGCGCCGGAGAAGACACGAAAGAGATATGGCAGCACGAACGCATTTCCACATCCCAGAAAACCAGGAACTGGATTACGAACAACCAATGGACGACGATGACCCCGGTGTTGCGGAATCGCACGAGTCGCGAAGTCTCCGCGGCGCGTCCACTGAAGATTTTGATCTTCTGGAGCGCGCCGAGCGAACCCCGAGCTGGAAGGAAGAGGAGGACGAAGATGATGAAACGAGAAACCAGTATCTTGCCGAAATTCGGGACAATATGCACGTCTATCGACCACCTAATCCATCACGGCGGAACACTATGAATCCTATCCGGCCGAGTCTGGTCGGTGCACTGGAATTCCAATCTGTACTTCACTCGCTCCAGAAGTCCAGAAATATCAGGTACACACCCGCAATTAGCCTGAGTGGTTATTCGGATGATGGTGATGCTTCTCAACCTTGGGACACTCGGTCAGTTGCATCTCATCCTCGTGCCACCAGGCCCTCTGGAACCAACGACCGTCTTTCCCCGAATAGCGCGGAAAGATCCCGAGCGCGAGCTGTTTCGGCCAGTGGTGCCGAGGGCTTGAGATTGGATCCCAGTGTGCTCGATCGTCGCCAAGATGAAGCACCGCAGCTTACTGTCAGGCGGCCTTCTGATGAGGTCGCCAATAGACAATCATTGCAGCCTCCGCGAATAGATACCAGCGTGGCACTGGCTGTCTCCCCGGCAGAGTCTGTCCAGGCGTCACTAAACATGAGCCCTGTAGCAGCTGCAGCTCCTCACACACCGGACCTGTTGGCTCCTCCAGGTGCATTCAATTCCCCCAACTACCAAACGAGTGCCACCCATGAGCGATCGCCGCCAGCAGTCTCACCAAGAGGCACCGGTGTCAGCTATACCTCTATCCCTGCCCTTGCGCCGGAAAGCCCTGCGGCTCCTTTTCCTACATACGTTGATGAGTCCTCTGCTCCATCTTCTCGTGCGCCCAGCATTCGTTTGCCGAACCCTGTAGCCAGCCCCTCGGAACAGTTGCTGGTCCATGATGATATGGATGATATAGCCACCGAGAGTTCTTCATTCCGAATGACATTGAAGAAATTGTGGCCTAGCTCTGTCCTTCCTCCCCCGCAGCAGATCGGCTGCACGCTTTTCCCAACCCTGGTTGGCTGGAAAGGCAAAAGCTTCATGGAACGCTTTCTGGGAATTGTGGCCGCGCCTAGTATATTCCTCCTTACCATCACTGTGCCGGTTGTTGAACCCCAGGCTCCTGAGATTGTCGAACCAGATCCTGTCCCAGCAGTGGTCATCGAACAGATTGATGGCGATGGGCCCTCTCCCCGGGCGAGACTGCCATCTGATAGCCCGGTTATGCACCCAATCGGGCATGGCCGGAATAGTTCTATCCCTGATATCTCCAGGCCACATCCTCATCGGCGCAAGTCCACGCTTCAAAATTCGTACAGTCGGCCTCGTTGGGACTCAGAATTGCCAGCTGCACCGCCACCTCCCGAAAACGAGCCTGTTGCACCCGTTAAAGATTGGAACCGCTGGCTGGTATCAATTCAACTGTTCACGGGACCTCTATTTTTTACCCTCATTGCATGGACTGCCGCAGACACGACTCTCGATCCGCGGAACTTCATTCTCCCATGCCTCATTTCCCTCCTCTTCTCATTCCTCTGCCTCGCGGCCCTCACCATCACAACACGCAGCCGCCCATGGCACAGACAGGGGATAACCGACCAGTCATCCGAGAACAACTTCTCCGACCTCCCTCGAGTCAAATCTCTCCCATCTTCATGGCGCCCAGTCCTCTCCCTCCTCGGCTTTTTCGTCGCCATATCATGGATCGCAACCATCGCCACGGAGGTCGTCTCCCTCCTCAAAACCATTGGCGTTATCCTTGATATCTCCGACTCGCTTCTAGGCCTAACTGTCTTCGCCGTCGGAAATTCACTCGGCGATCTTGTCGCCGACATCACCGTCGCCCGACTCGGATACCCAGTCATGGCACTGAGCGCCTGCTTCGGCGGGCCCATGCTCAACATTCTACTCGGTATTGGTCTAGGCGGTCTCTACATGACCATGAACAGAACAAAGCCATCCCGTCGTGACGAGATCTTCGCGGGGGGCGTGACTCCTGCGGAAACACCATACGAGATTGAGGTCTCAAAGGTTCTTATTATCAGTGGCGCTACCCTCTTGGTTGTTCTGGTCGGCCTTCTCATCGTTGTTCCGCTGAATAACTGGCGGATGGATCGGAGGATTGGGTGGGGGCTTGTTGTTGTTTGGTGCATTAGTACCATTGGAAATATCATTGCTGAGGTTACATAATGACCCCAAGCCTTCTTGTCATTTATGTTGCAGTTCTTGCATTGATTCTGGCGTGTTTGTTCTTCTAGATTCAGGGCTGGTTGGCTTGGATCCGAACGTACTTACCTCTGATGAATAGCACGCATTGCAATGAAGAGAACTTGATATCTAAGTGTTCCACGAACCTGAAAGTTCACAGCCCAGTTATACAGGCGCGTTCAATTTGCAGATATGTGACACATATTCTTCAGGGCCTTTGCTGGATCAAATGCCAAGTCTTGGTCGTTCAAGACCATTGGCCGAGCGTGATTTATTGCGGCTGAGCACCAGATTCCAGAATACGATCCTAGCATCATGCATAAACCTGCACCTTGACCCGGGCGAGCTACTGATGTTAGTGTTGGCTCGAGCCTGCGGCCTCATCATGTTACCGCCAGTTGACAACCCCTTGGAGTTACTTTTTTGGTTAAAAAACAATCCTTTCCAAAATCATTCGGAGTTAATTTAAAATCTCATTGACATATCATCATCATTTTCCTACGTCTTCATGTCTTCTAACAGCTGGATAGAATCGGCTAAGTGCTTTTTCGGTCGACAGCCACTAGAAGCGCCCGAATCCCCGAGGCAGGCTTTCCGTGTCGATGGCATCCCAGTCAATCGCCAAAATGAGCTGGTACACGATCTCAGAAGTATGGCCGAGCAGGACCCGGTGCTGCGAGAAGCCTTTGCGAATTTGATTGTTCGCAGCCTAATGTCAAAGGGCGACGGGTTCGTCTGCGCTTTTGCTACTGTCAACAGTGTGTTATCTTGGGAGGAATTAGGTGATCTGATCTCTGCAGCTGAAAAGGATTATTCATAAAGCTTCAGTACCTACTTAGAGGGCATTACAACTCCCTACGAAGATGTGGACGGCGTAGATGTGAAGTATGTTTTATCCTATTCCAGTCCTTCTTGTCCTTGCTGATTTTTCCCGCAGCATTATTGCAGTTCCTGGCATCGGAGACAATGCCCTTGGTTCTTGGACATCTCCAGACGGCCGAGTTTGGTTGTTTGGCTTCCTGCCTGAAGACAAACGTAATGTCCGAGTACTTCTCTATGGTCATTCGACAACACGTAGAGGAGACTCAATGGATGAGTCTATCGATAAATTAGGGGACAATCTCCTAGAACGTATTTGTGCGTTCAGAATGTAGGATGGCGTAAGTAACCTATTTTTCTATTCCGTCCGCTACCTTGCATATTAGACTAATTTCTCTAGACATCTGGTCGTCCGACTATCCTCATCAGGCACTCCCTCGGTGGCTTGGTGCTCAAGAAGGTAAGACGCTGCAACACCAATAGAAACTGATCATCACAGGCACTTATCATAGCTCATGAAATGTACAAACTCACGGCCTATTATCTTTCCAAAAATGCACTGCGCTATTTCTCTGCGGTCTGCCGAATCTCGTCTGCGAACACAGCAACTGAGAGCTCTCGTTGGGGGCCAACCAAACATGAGATTGGAGCATGACCTCGATGGGCATGTTGAGAATGAGAGGCCCTCGAAATTTCTCCAAAATATTTCCTACCAGTTCTCGACGCTTATGAGGGTGGTTATCAAGTAGTTGTGTTCTTCGAGCGTCGTTCAACTCCAATCTTGGGGGTAAGAAAGCTAATACATTTTGGAGTGCACAAAAAAGAAAAAGAAATTAAGGAAAAGAAAAAAGGAAAGAAGGCTATTACCCATCTGACAGGCTAGTCAACCTAGCATTTTACAAGATCTGGCACCGTGTCTATCTGGTAACAGAAAGGTCAGCAACGATTATCACAGGCTCTATCGGAGTACTTGACAAAAACATCATACCTCGCGATACAGATCATTCTGGGCTTATAAAATTTAGTTCCAGAATCGACATTGATTATTTGATTTTAATGGGCCAGCTAAAAAGTCTCGTAGGTCTACGCCGGTGGGCCAGAAGGCAAGCAAAGATGATTGGACTGCTCGATGAGGAAGAAAATTTCTAGTACTGCTATGCAAATGGCTTCCCCTGAGATCGGTGTCATACACAGTTCAAGGACACATGATACGCAATGGCATGAATTGGTCAACTTACCAAGAAAATGTCCTGAGAGCTGTATATGCCTATCAGCTTCTCTCCTTGCTAGGGAGAATGATCAGACCGAAGCTGAAAATTAGATATCGTCGAATTTAATGGACATTTGTAAATTTCGTATATCCCATGGAAAATACAAACTTAGAGCTAAGAAGAATTAGGACTGTGGAGCGGACTTATACGCTGATTTTCCTGAACCGTAGGGTGATGGATACCCCTGGGAGACTTGGCTCCCTCGCTACAGAACCCCGGATGAACAAACGCAATACCAAATTCTGATATTGCCGGGGCTTCGTCGAATCTCTCGGCCTCTAGCAATAATGCACTGATGAGCAACCAATCAACAGACAGCAAAGGGAAGTGCAAAGCACCGGAAAGCTCCACAGGACAAGCCATCATGACTACTCCATCTTCCAGCAATTCTCCTCAAGTTGGTCTCAAAACCGACCAAGATATCTTGCATTCTGTGTCAACATTGGTGATATATACAAGGCCTTATCAGAGATTGAGACTTCCAACATGACATGCGATGCGGCCGCCTTCCAAGCCATGAAGGAAGAATAGGACTGCGTTCATGGCTCAGATTCCTTATGAAACCGATCACGGTTGATTTCGTCCAAGTGAGTGGCATTCCAAAAAAATTTTAAAAAAAATGTTACATATCTTAACTATTACTTACTCACAACCTTCAATTCAACCTCTGAGGCTGCTACGTCTCGATCTGCGATCGACCAAACTGCATTCCCCCCTATGACCAGAACGGATACAAGTTTCCTCGACCCCTAAGACCCCTCCCACCAATGCCACCAGGAATCTTCATCCACTGCCTCTGACATAGAGATGGGGACCTAAACCCCGTGCGAAACGACTGGCTTCCGCGTTTGCCGAAGCGGAAGGACAACAGGGTAATTGACGGTGATGAGGCATCTTATGGATGGGGAGTACATATCATTGAAGGACCAAATCGGGTGGTGACATTTTGGATTCTGATTCTTACCATTCTGGCGTAATTTGTTGATTGGTGTGTTATGGTCTGCTATTCGGGGTGGTTTTTAGGGGGAAACGGTGTTGGAGGCTCTCGTTGTGGCACTTCTTTTTGCGACGTCGACGGCGTTTTTGTTTTTCTGGAAAGGATATGATGTAGCTGAGTTCTTGATGGTATGGATTGGGTTGTACATTACGTAGCATAGCAAGGTAGAACTTGCATTTACAATGTCATGTGTAATTACGAATCACTGACCACTCGGCCCTTCAACAAAAGATACAACTCTATGGGAATATTCGACAAGAGACTCGATCAAGCAAAAACTAATAAGTATTGTGAAGAAATACATAACAGCTAAACTACTGGACAGCGACCGAATCAAATCGATATCCCAACCCGAGCTCCGCGCCCATCCATTCCACAGTTACTCAAGTAGAATAGGAAAAACCCAAAGCCGGTGTCAGGCATGCAGTCCCAAAAGCACACAACTCGCCTACTCTGTACAAACTGTATCCCAATCGATAAATAAATTACCCCATTTAATCCAGCACCCGACCAGCAGTCGAGCTAGTACTGCGATCATTCGTCTGCACCTTCTTCAGACCCTTTCCTGCCTGGATCGAGGCCAGGAGCGCAGAACGGTCTCCCGGGGGACCGGCGGCCGCCGGGGAGGGGGTGGGGGAGCTGCTGCTGCTGGTGGAGGCGGAGGGGGTGCTCCGGGGGCGCCGGGGACGGGTGGAGGAGGAGGGGGTGCGGCGGGGGCGGAGCCCATGCCTGGAGGAGGAGGAGGAGGGGGAGGAGGCAGGCCCGCTGGCGGGGCGGGAGAGGAATCTCCTTGCTCAGGCTCGGGGGCAGCCGCCGGGACGGGAGGAGGGGGTGGAGGGGCGACGGGGCTGTCTTGGACAGGAGTTGCGGATTGGGAGGCCGGTTTCTCTTCGTCCATGGCGCTCAGAGGGCGGGGAGGAGCCATTGTGCCGAACAGGATGCTGGCGAGCTGTTTAGCGCTGCCGCCGCCTGCGCGCTCTTCCTCGTCGTCGGAGGAGTCGAAGTCTGAGCCCGCTTGGGACCAGTCGTCATCTTCCTCGGGGCGAGCACGAGTCTTGCGCTCCAGGGGACCGGCTCCGGTGAATGTTGGCTTGATGGCTTCTTGTTGATGGAGGCGGTGGAAGGGGTTGGTAGACTGGGTAGTAGCCGGGGGTGAGGTCGCAGGCATGGAGTCGGAGGGTTGCTGGCCCAATGACTTGAAGTAGGGGTTCTTGGACTCGGCATCGGAGGTGGCTGCGGCTTGGGATGCGCGAGCGCTCTCGGGAGAAGTGGGCTCAGGAGTAGGGACCCTCTCAGGAGCTGGTGCCGCCGAGGGCTCGGGAATAGAGATTGTAGGAACTGGCGGCGGGGGCGGGGCGTTGAGAACTTGGCTCTGAGTCGGAGTGCTTTCCTGAGGGGTGATGTCCACAGGGCCTTCGTCATCAGAAGAGCTCTCGTCGTCAATGCCCTCGAGCTCACGCTGCAATTGACGTTCGCGCTCCTTAGCAGCCTCGAGTTCAGCACGCTGAGCCTCAAGTCTGGCTTCGTTCTCCTTGGCTGCCCGTGCAGCCTCTTCCTTGCGCCGCTTCTCCTCGGCCTTCTTGACCTTGCCTTGACGGACCTGCTCTTCAAGAGCACGTAGGCGTGCTGCTTGAGCTTCCTTCTCCTTTTGGAATTCATCCTCACGGAGCTTGGACTCGTCCCTATTTTCGATTAGTTACCGAAAAATAAACATGTAAATTGAAGTACTTACTCAAGACGCTGGGTCTCGGCTTCTTGCGCTTCTTGCTCTTCCTTGATAGCCTGCTCACGAATAGCCTGTTCCTTGGCAGCCTCTTCGGCCTTTTTCGCATCGCCTTGACCGGCACTATCAGTTCGAGCTCTGCGAGTAGGAGGAGCAGGCGGTGGCTTCTTGCCTACGGTTTTGGGGGCCGCGGCAGCAGGGGTAGTGGGGGCAGATCCGCCCTTCTCTTCGGCCAAACGGCGCTGTCTCTCTTGCTCACGCTTGGCATCTTCCTCCTCGGCACGTCGCACACGTTCCTCCCGTTCCTTCTTCTCCCGCTCCTGGCGTTGCACCAGAGTCTCTTCGGAGCTAGCAGGCTTCAGACCAGCAGCGGCCATGCGCTCGGCAATACGCTTCTGTGCGCGTTCCCTAGCAGCGGCAACACGATCTTCGTGCGTGTTTCCAGGGACGGAGCCTGAAGAGCCAGTAGATGCCGGCATGGAAGGACGAGCTGTGGATGGCTCGGCTGCGGGAGATGAGCGCTGCTCTTGAGTCGACCGCTCACGGCTGATATTTTGGTTAGCATAGACCATGAGAATCGATAGGGTATAACTAACTCTTCCTTGCGAACATGTGCAGTCCGGCTATTACGGCTCAGGTCATAGATGAAGTCACGAATTATATCCTCCACACCAAGGGCATCCTCCCAACGACGCTTCTCGTGCTCGCGTGTAGAGTTCTCTCCCTCGTCGCGGAGGCTGTCTTCAAGGCTGCGAGTGAACTCGCGAACGCTCTCCTCGACATCACGGGTCATCATATCGTTGCGCTCCCTTTCCGCCCTCACATCGGCACTCTCGCTCTCCAAACGGCGAGCTGCCTCACCGTCATCTCCTTCAGCTGCGGGCACAGGGCGACCAGACAGCTCGGCGGCACGAGCCTGCATACGGGCACGGGCGCGAGCCTTGATCCGATCAGCCTCGGTGATGGCACCACCAGGGCCAGTACCGACAATATTGCCAGCACTTCCGGGGTGTGCCTTGGCATCCTTAAGGCGGAAGAGCTCGAGCTTGGCTTCAGCGATCTCGCGCTCAACGCGTCGGACGTCTGAAGCAACTTGGGGAACCTGGTCCTCGTGGGACTGCAGCTGGCGGCGGAGAGATCTACGCTCAGCCCCGCTGTCAAGCTGGCGGAAACTAGCATTGGGATGGGTGTCGATGTCATCTTGCACACGGCGGATACGGTCCATAAGGCTCTCTGCCTCACGGCGATCCCGACGGTCCAGAGCATCATCATCCTCCGCACGATTCTCGTCCTGAAAGTCGACAGCATCCAGCATGATCTGAGTCTCACGAATCTTCTTTCGCAGCTGGTCGACAGAGAGCTCCTCACCCTCGGAGGTTTGAGAAGAGGCAGCCGGGGACGGGGTGCGAGCGTCGTTTCCAACACGGCGGCGGGCACTTGAACGGTAGCCACCAGCAGCGTCATTGTTCTTGAACATAGTCGCATCCTTGCGGCCGAATCCAGATGTGTTATTGCCACCACCACGGAAGGAGTGATCCTTCAGGTAGCTAACGCCGGTCTTCTGGGGCTGCAAGAACGCACCGGTAGTTTTTCTAGTCTCCGCATCTTGAGAAAGCAGCGACTTGACTGTGCCAATGGAGTCGTTCAAGTGACGGGTGGAAGGTGGGATAAGCTCCGGAGGAAGACGAGTGGGAACGGGGTATCCATTAAGAGCACGATAGATCAGGTGCATACCCACGGCAAACTCATCCATGTTGAGACGCCCACGGTTGTGAGGATCGGCGAGTGTCCAAATACGCTCGAGGTCCTTCCGGTTCAAGCCACTCTGACCCATGATCTCAATGGCAGTCTCGCCGCCAATGAAACCCTTACTGAATCCATCCCAGGCACGGAAAAGGTCGTCATAAATCTTCTTCTCTTCCTTGGTGATAGCCCAGGCAACTGTGGCATTACCAGAAAGATTGGCAGTTGTGAAACCACCTTCACGGCCGGGCTGCGGCATAAGTTGCTGCTTCATAGCTTCAATGTTGGGCAGACCCTGTGCCGGGGTGTTGATGAAACCCCATTGGCCAGGAATGCCAGTCGGCTGCGCTTGAAGACCCGTTGGCTGCACTTGGAGACCGCCAGTCTGAGCAGGGCTAGGGTTGGAGGCAAATCCAGTTGGCATAGGGGGCATTGGGGGCCGAGGACCACTGTATCCCGTAGCTTGGGGGTTTGTCATGAACCCAGTCTGCTGGGGTTGAAGGAATTGAGACTGGTTTTGGCCGGGGAAGCCTGTGACCTGCGGCTGCATGCCGGTCTGCTGGTTAAGGAATCCAGTAGGCTGGGCAGTGAGCTGGGACAGAAGAGCTGAGTTGCTAGGCTGTTGGGGCTGAGGTTGCTGAACAATAGGTGGTGTAGATTTGTTCTCCAAGACACTTCCATCGAAGTTGGGAACATTAGTTTGACGGACCGGCTCGGGCTGGGTGTCGGGCACATCGAAGGAAATAATATCGACCATGCTGGAGACCTCATTCCTGATAGTTTCCGGCAAGACAGCAGGCAACTCGCGACCCGTCAAGCGCAAATTGCACAGATACATAGCCAAAGCGAACTCAGGGAAGAACAGCTGTCCGGACTTGGTCGAATCCGACAAGACCCAGATCTTGGAAAGATCGCTGCCAGGAAGCTTGGAACGCATCAAGAGATCCCTCGCTTTGTCACCATCCATTGTCTTGCTGTCGGGAACCGCAGACTTGAACAGCTGCTCGAACTTGGCCTGATCCTGGGCCGTGATGAAGGACAGCCGGATACTCGGAATGCGCGATCCATTCTTAGGCGGCACTTGAGGAGGCGGGCCAGAAGCGCCATTATCTTGGAAGGAGTTCGCGATTTCGCTTGACGTCTTCGCACGGGTCGGGAGTCCCGTCGCTTGGGGGACCTGCAGTTGCGGAATAGGAGGAACAGGCGGGACAGGAGGCTGCGATTGGGTCTGGGGCTGATTCTGAGCAGGGAACCCGGTATATTGAGGTTGCAGGCCGGGAGGCTGAGGCTGGAAGCCTGTCTGTTGGGGCTGCTGTGGTTGCTGTGGTTGCTGTGGCTGTCCGGGGTAGCCAGTGAACTGCGGCTGGAGCTGTTGTCCCGCGGGGAACCCGGTGGGCTGAGGTTGGAGCTGCGAATTACCGAATGGCGAGGGCTGGCCGGCGAAACCGGTCGGCTGCGGAGCGAATCCCGTCGGCTGAGGCTGTTGCATCGGTGGCTGCTGTTGTCCCTGGGGGAATTGCGAGTATGGGGGCTGCTGCTGCTGTTGCATGAATGGTGCCTGGCCGGGACGGCCACCAGCACCACCGCCGAGGAAGGAATTCGACGAGGAGAACATTATAGACACCGCGCTCGCATGGACAAAACAGACGCACGCAGAAGAACCGATGAGAGATTGATGCGAAAGGAAAAACGAATGCAGAGGGGGTGAGTGTCAGGAGCAACGTAAATGACGCCGTCGCAGGGACGCGGAGGCCCGCCCGGCTGAGTGCTTAGTCAGGGCTTGGTTCCACCCAAAAATAAATACTTGTTAAGTTCCTCCAAGCACTTTGATGTCTGAAGACCAGCTGTGATGAACATGTGAAAATACAGAGACCTACAATAAAAACTACGAATATAGCGATAGAAGGTGTGGTAATCTGGTTGCTATTCCAGAGTTATCAAGCGATCCATGACTGAGAAGCACATGTAGATCGCATTTCGGACGCATTTCATAACCGTCATAAGTCCTCGCCGGGACGCTGGGTTCAGAACCGGAACCTCAGCAAACAAGGAAAAAGAAAAGAAACAAGAAGCAACAAAATATCCCCGTACTTGAAAGCAAATCATTGAGGCTGCTTCGTCAGTCCTCGCCGGAACTGAAGAGACAGCCCTTGGAAAAACTCATAACCCCCGTGAACAAACAATCAACCCAAACAGCAAAATCCCGATACTTGAGAGCACTTTTTTTCTGATTTTCGAAAATCAAAACCACTCCATGCACCAGTTGAAAAGAGACAAATTTCACGGTTTGCACAGGGCGAGATGTGGTGTGGTGTCAAGGGTCGCCGTTTACTCGGCGCCACCCTCGGGCTGCTCGTTGGCGTTGTTGGCCATCTTGCGGAGCTCAAATTCCTTGGTGAACTCGCGGCTGACAATAGCACAGTCGCGGATCAGAGCCTGAGCGGCATTGATGACGGCCTGGCGGGGGTGATCTCGCCATCGGTCTGGACGCGCAACTCGAAGTTGGGAATCAGAGGGTGAGGGACCTAGGCATGTTGTCAGTTCATGATACTCATTGCAAGTAGAGCGGGACTTGTCCATACCCGGTAAGCGGCGAAGACAACGTGAGGAGTGCGCACAAGACGACCACGGAGCATGTTGGCAAGGGTGTGGTCCTCCTTGTGGAAGGTGAAGGTGGCGGCGTGGGGAATGCCTACGGTCGAAGGTCAGTGAAGTTCAACCTGTGCACATTGGGAAGGGGAACTAACGGCTGTCGATCTCAACGTCGATCTTTTTCTCGCCGATGGAGAGGAGGAAGGTGTCGCGGCTGGGATCCAAAGTCAGTAGATGTACATATAGATCAAGGCAAAAAGATGCTGCAATGAAATAAGGAATCATGAATAGAATGGTTCCGCCTGCATCTTTGTAATGATGCCCACCTATCAGGGAGAGGGGTGGTGTTGAACACCTCGGCGAAGAGCCTGGGACCAGTAACCCGCTTCTGATACGGGTGGTTGTGGCTCCTGTGTTCACCGGGATCCATGTTGCGGCCACGGGTGCTTGGAAAGTTGGACATGTTGCGGTGGGTGTTTGTAAAGTGGGTGTAAAAAGGAACGAAGAGAAGACGGTGGGAAGGAGAAGCAGAAGAAGAGTGTGGGAAGATTGGAAGACAACAACAACAACACCACGAGGACGCGAATCACAGTGCGGCAAACGAAGGTGAGGTGGGAATAGGCAGGCGCGGTGGAAGGCAGCAGACCACAGAGGGCGAGAGAGAGGGGGAGGCAGGCACGTCCACCGCACCTTCCTCGCGGAGCTCGCCCCCGCCATCGTCACGGCGACGCTGACGCTGACTCGCGGCAGACCGCGGTTTTGCATGACGTCCAAGCTCGTACTTCAAGGATGCGGGCAGACCATATTGGAGACAGGGAAGAGAAAAATCATTCTCAACATACCGGTCAGGAGCGTTCATTTTGTCGGCTATGAAATTGACGTTGATGAAAAATCTTTTGGTCAAAGATGTGAAGGATGTTGAGAACGATGAAGCGCAGAGAGGGCCAGGACACTCTAAATGTACCCCGCCGTTTGCTCGATTCACTTCTGCCCGGAGGCGGAGTCTCAGTGAATTATTGAAGCTGCTCGGGAGAGGTCAGACATGGGCGGGAACCAATGAGCGTCATGGCATACTGGGTCTAGAATGCACTAGATTCGATTTGATTCGGCAGCTCCGGAAAATCTTTCGGACAATCTGCTACTCGAGCCTGTTTGCAGGCTTGTAGGATGGTGAATTGATGTGAATGCTAATTGATATTCACTTGAAAAGTGTCGGGTTCCGATAAAGACAAGTGATTATCGGATGATCACGTGGTTATAGAACGTGACTGCACGTGACTAAATTCACCTATAGCCTCTGAGCGCCTAGCTGTGCATCTATGATTGAGATTTTCTCTGGTGTGGATTTTCCTATATTATCATTGCGAGTCCATACTTTCGTGGTAAGCTGGTGTAGAACAAACGATCAGATCATACTGATTGTTGTGAATATTGTGGTCACGCTGTCGGTTCTCCACATAATATATCGTTCATCTACCTAGGCACAATAAACCCCATCGTGCAACGAACAAATGAATTAATCAACATCAAACAATCTTCCAATAAACCTCAAATCCACTCTCCACAAACAAATTACAGTCAAATTACCCAAACTAAAAAATCACAAGATCTCAAACAACCTCTTTTTGGAAGTTATAGGATTAAGGCCATAGGCCGAAATGTATTATGTGAGAGAAAGATGCTCATATAAAAGACAACCTAAGACGAAGATGCCATAAGAATAAAGCACAAAGAAAAAGAAGAGATTTAGCTTTGAAAAGACGAAAACGCCATGCTATCCTGCGCCAATGCCAAAGAAAACAAAATACCATGACCTCTTTGAAAAGGTATTGATAATGAAAAAAGATAAAGACTTATGTTCTCATACGTGTACCGCATCAAATCAGCCGAGCTCGTTGTCATGAGTGAAATAATACATAGAGTTCGAGCGGGGTAATCTCAGATCTGAAGATCGAAGATAAATTATTCATGAATCGGAAGGATGCTGTTCGTCATGCGATGCCAGGATTTAGAAAAGACACATTCTATACAGCGGTGGGATGGAACACGCAGCTGGATGCAAATAGTGCTTTTTCTTTTCTTTTCTTTTCTTTTTTTTTTGGAATTTCACGGGAAAAGGAAAGAGGTAATGTTGTGAAAAGAACATTGGATAATCACTTAGTGCACGGCACCGAGAAGATCACCGAAGGAGGACGTTCCTTTCTTCAACTTCCAGTTGCTCTTCTTCTTATCGCGTTTCTTCATCATATCGGCCCAGCCCTCATCGTCGTCGTCCTCGTCCGATCCGCCCCGAGTCCTTTGACGACCGGATGGTGATTGCCCGGTCTGCGAGACGGGCCGGACAGTCACGGTTGCCATAGTTGTGGGCTTGGCGAGACTGGACTGTGGACGGGCCGTTCCCATGGGCGAGAGATGGCTCTGGTCCTTCCAGTCCTTGTTGCGTGGTAAGGCTCCGGGTCGTTCGTTTTCATTGTTCACAGTGGAGACAGGCCGGTATCGAGGTGCCATACCCGCAGTACTGCGCTCCGAGGGCGCAATGGAGGATGCGTAGCCAGCGTTGCTGGGCGGCGCGAATGGGTACCCGGACATATGCGGCATCGGCGAACCCGTTCGTCGTGCAGTGATGTTGGGATCCAGCATGCTGAGCGTGCGGTGGTCGAAGTTTGGCTGAGCGCCTGCTGCGGCATTCGGCATCGAGACTGGTCGGCCTGAGATCGAGGGGGACCTGTGGGTCCTCCTGGCACCATGCCGCCGCCCATCATTGGAGGCATGGGCATGCCCTGCTGCATCATGGCTGGGGGTGTGCCCTGGCCGCCGTGCATGAATGTCTGCATCATCTCCATGTGCATCTGCATCATTGCTGACATTTGGTTTGACAGTTTCAGCTGAGCTTGTTCTGTGGGTGTCATCGGCGGTGGCTGTTGGTGTTGACCCATCATCGAATATGGGCGAGGCACGGGGGCTCCCGGTCCCATAGCTCCCATTGCCATCTGGTGATCATATATCGCTTGGGTGTTTGGACTGCCTCGTCGCGCAGCTCGAACCCGTTCTTCATTGGCAATCACGTTGATCAAGCCGCCTGGAGCAGGTGCTGGCGATGATGCACCCCCGTAGACTGAGCCCGAACCACCACCCATCGCCAGATTTTCACGGTTAGGCGACTGGTAAAGACCAGCGCCAATGAAAGGCTCCGGCGGGAGGTTCCTGGCGAAAGCGGGCATATTACTCCGGTTGAATTGCTCACCCCCACCTCCGTGAAGCGAATGAACAGACGACGCATAAGACGGCTGCAAAGACGCGCGGAGATTGGGGTTGGAGTTGGTGCTGACCAGCCGGTTTGGCGGACGAGCGCGATTAGGAAACCCGTGCGCCGCAAGAATACCAAGCGGAATCTCCTCGTCGTCATCTTCGGTGCTCTTGCCGCTGGAGGACTTGTCACCGAGGTGCGAAAGGCGGTTCGGAGCGTGAAGATTCGGCGTGCTGCTGCTTGCACCGCTGGCACTCATTTCAGGGCGCAGCGACGGCAATGAGGCCTGCTGACCAGTGATCTTCATCATCGATTGGCGGTACACCGCCAGATGCGCCTCCTGCTTCCGGCGCTGTCGCTCCGTCTCGCGCTGTTTCTCGGTCTCATCTTCGTCATCGTATTCATCTTGAACAGATTCGTCATCGCTCTTCGAGGCATCACTGTTGGATCGTCGAAGCTCCTGCTGTTCACGATAATGCTCGAATTGAGACTTGGTCATGACCTTATTGCCGGGAGACGTTGTCTTTGGTACGCTCTCAGCGAACTGGACAGCCAGACGTGCAGTGTCTGCAATGCTGGGGTCCGGGGCGTGCAGGTCGGTAAACATCGAGTCGGGCTCCGGGCTGAGGTTGCCAGGACTGGCCGATTTGCCTTTGTCGAGAAGAGGTGTCTCGTTGGTCGAAGGGCCACCCTCAGTCCAGTGAGGCGGAGAGTGTTCTTTGCTGAAGAGCCAAGATTTTCTCACCAATTTTGCGTCTTCGTCTTCAACAGGACTAGCGTCTCGTCCCAGTGAGTAAACTCCACTTCTGCGCAATTCCGAGAACCCAGATTGTCTCCTCGTCGGTCGTTCCAGAGCACGGTGAGCGGTGGTTGCACCTAGCATCTGATTAGGGCCTGGTGATGGTCTGCGGAATCCGACAGTGTCGGGCGAGAGCTGAGCGGGCGATCTGCTATCCCTTCGACTGCCGGTATTCTGATCATTAAGAAGTCCCTCCTCGGAAGGATGACGAGAGTGACGACTATCCCATGAGTAAGGGGAGGGTTCGACGGGGATTGACCGGTCTGTACTAATGGGCGCGGGACGTGCAGCCCTGCTCTCTTGAAATTCTGGTAGGGCTTGCGTAGGTGGAGATGAAGAATACTGTGTATCACCCATTAGTTCGGATCCCTTGCATGGCAAGCGTGGCTCCTTTCCGCGTACCTGATTAGACCGTTGAGGAGAGGGGTCCCGCAACGCAGCGCTATCCCTTTTATCCAAATGGTCAAACATCTTTCCGAAGTCATCGGTTCCTGCCCCTAGATCCCAGTGCGAGTCGGGGAGTTTAGGTGGCGTCGCCGTACCATCAGTGCCCCCCGACACGGCCCGTTGTCGAGAAGACTCATCTGGCGTGGCATGCCGTGGAGGCGCTGGAGGTGCCGAGTTCTTACCAAACCGTCCTCCAAAGGAGAAGGTTCTACCCGCCGCGGCACGCAGGGCCCCGGAGAGTGGAGGTGGGACGGGTATATCATGGATCCTCGAGTGCGGGGAGGCAGCCTCTTCGGGTTGGATTTCGGTGGAGGAAGGGAGGGTGGACGAAGAGCTCAGCCGAGTTGAGGTTGAACTCTCATAGGTGCCACCGCTATGACGATTTCGGGTCAGACGTTGCTTGAGGATATCTTTGAAGGGTCGGCCATGGTCATGTTCATACCGGTTCTTGCCCAGGGGTTGTTCGTGGTCGGCCCCGGCAGCAAAGATGTTGTCGGGATCTTCCAGCATTGAGGGCACTGCATTACCCTCGCTCATGCGTTTGGTGAGCGGCGCACCATCTGTCATCGATCTCTGGGGGCCCGGACGCTCGAATACCCGGAAGGACGACTGGGGGTGCGTCTCCACGTCCTCCAGGATATTGCCGGACGACTTCCGCCGGCCAAAGCTCTTGGGCAGCTTGATAGGCATCGTGAGGGGCTACTCGGCCTAACGTAGTATGTGCAAAAGAATCGGTTGTCAAACAATCCACCTCCAATCGTCGAGGTGGGCGCCCATAGGGTTGTGTTCTGCTAATCCCTGGGGTGGATGGTCGGTCGTGGAGGAGTTGGATGTGTCAAATGCGAAGGAGCGAACAAAAAACGACTAGTCTAGTGATGAGTTCACGATCGGCCGACTGGTCGCAAGGGGAGGTGTGAGTAAGAAACGACAGGATGCGGCGAGGTCGATCAGGAAGAGAGCTGGTCTGGCAAAGAATCAGGCGAGTCAGTCACAAAGAAGCTTCTGGCACGGAGTTGCGAGCCGCCGACACACAACACGCTTCTCTAGCGGCCGATCAAGGGCCCGTCAAGCATCTCCACCGCGGTGGGTTTTTCTGCGACCGGGGGATGCAGCGACACACCTTGGCAAGGTTTGATTCTGGTGCAGTGCTTGTCGATGCTGGGGGGCTCGACAGAGTGCTGGTCCTCGTTGGTGGGATTGACGGAGGATAGCAGAGAAAGGAAAAAAACCGGCACAGCGGCGACAAGAACAAGCAAGCACCCACCACGCGGCCAGGTGAGACCTGGACAGGACACTTGTAATGGACCGTTTCACTTGGGCTCCGCTCGAGATTGACTCCCGACTGGAACGAGCGAGTCAGATCGGAATGGGGAAGCACCGGGTGGGGAGTGGATCAAAGGGCCTTCGGGTAGACCTTTGGACCTTGGGATCGCTGGACCCTGGAGTGGCGAAGCGCAAAGTATGAGATGCAGCAGGAATGAAGAATGCGGCAAGAATGAAAAGAGAGTGAAGAGGGCGCAAAATGGGAGGCTAGCCGGAGTCTAGTCCCTGCATTATTGCCTCTTCGTGGCTGGGCGGGGGCGTGTGTACACAAGAGAGCATTGACTACGGTACCTAATACAGGTACGGCGGATATACCGAGTACACAATACCCTAGGGTACTGCTGTGTATGTACTCGCATTAGTCCTCACTGACAACAGTCTAGTGCACGATGATGTTGAGGCCAGGCCAGACCAGGCCATGTGAAACCCGATTCTATGTTTAGCTGCCATTTGCGGCCTAAAAATAAACAGATTACTCAGTCCCGTTAGAGTTTGCCTCTTGAATCGCAAGAATGCCCAGGAGAATGTCGACGCAATGCGTTCAGACCAAATCATTCTAGATGAGCAGAAAGACAACTGATCCGGCCAGGGATATCGGGGCGGAGCGAAATTCAGATTGGCACTGGTCGAGACCAGACGCCCGGCAAATCCTGCGACTGTACCACCGCGGATCACGTGTCGGGCGGGAGTGGTGCGACCAAGTGGACGGGTTCGACCGGACGAACGCAGCCCTTGGACGACTCCGTCGCACAAGACTCGATTACAGCAGGGCGAGCACGGAACAGAGGAGTCACGAAAAATTACAACAAAAGAGACATGGAGTGCAGACAAAGCTTTTTTTTTTAAAAAAAAAGGAAACTTGATTGTGGAATTGAGTTGATGGGTACAAAGCATGGCAAACCGTGGAGAACCCCGCGGGGGGTCCACAAAAAGGATCAACAACACCGTCCTTCTCTTCTATCCCGAGTTCAATACATATCGTACAGATTGCAAGTATTTCAATGCAACCTTTTTCTCTGTCACTATCTCTCACTCCCTCCTTCACCGTCTACCTCAGTATAGGGCTTTCTATCTCGTCATTTATTTGGCAAAGTGGAGGTCATAGTTCAACCACTTGCGAGCAAGGACGCTGTTCACATCCAGTCCCGGGGTACCGTAGGTCAAGGGGGCATAGAAGATGAAGCCCCAGATCGTCACGCCCAGAATGACGGCGGTCGCCGCCCACGCCGCGAGGGTGGACTTCAGACCCATGCGCTCCTTCGCCGTAACGAATCGGCGCACGCTCCGGCTAACCCGGCCCTTGGCCTTGCCAGAGGGGTCATCGACTGGGGCCTCGGCGGTGTCGGGATCGAGAGGCTGCAAGTTGAATATAAACTCGATCAGCGCACCAGTCACCATCGTTGATGCCAGGTGCGAAGGGAGGTAGTGGTGCAGGAAACGCTGGCGGCCCATCAGCCAGAAGGGGAAGTAGTGCGCTGCCCAGCACAGGAACAGGAAGCCCGTGCTGTTGTACAGACGCGAACGGGCGCCGGGACCCCAAACTAATGATGAAAATTCGAGTTAGTCATGGTTCTTTAAAGTCACCGAGAAACGTTAGCACAAGAGGAGTAGGGTTAGACTTACTGTCTTCCAGGGCATCCACACCACGGCGGAGCGACAGTTGATCGGCTCCGATAATACCGGCGAACACGGCGAGCAGACTGCTGGCAATCCACCATCCAACGGGGTTACCCAAGAAGTAGATCTGCTCGCGAGTGTCGTTCTTGGTCCAAAAGCTCACACCGCGCAGCAGGAATGGCCACTGGAAGGGCTCCGTGGCGTAAGGGTGGCTGCTGGTCAGGGCATTGTTGTGGTGGAACATGGCACCCTGCAGCTCGAAGTACTTGCGCAAGAAGGACAGGTGCTTAGGCTTACGCTCCTGGCGCACCAGACGCGGGCTATCAGGCTCGAGGCCGTCGATGGTCTCGGCGTACCACAAGTTGCTGGATTGCAGGATGTTCTTGTTACCGTTGATCTCGGCCTGCTTGAAGCCCCAATCGGGGAGAGGAGTGGTGTGCGTCCACATGGCGACACGGGTCGGCACGTGAACCAGTTTGAACAAGCTTGCGAAGGTACGGAACTCCTGTTGGGGCTTGCCGTTCTGGATCTGGATCTCGAAGAGAGTGTCGTTGTGGCGCTCACCACTTGCCAGCTCCTGCGAGACGGTGGTGAACTCCTGGTTGGTTGGGTAGTAAGGAGAAGCCACGTCGTGGGTCAGCAGAACGGTGTCGGTGCCCACATGACGGAGTTGGATAATGTCGCCATTGAGCACGCTGTGGGCGGTGCCATCATCGGCCAGGGGCTTGGTAGGAATCACCTGCCAGAGGTTGTTGGTATCATTGTGGGGGTATCCGGTCACCTGCTGGCCCTGGCTGGAGATACGGCCATCATCGTAGCGGAGAGGGTAGGTCTCGTAGTGACTGTGGAGGAGGACCTTGGTATCCTTGTGCCGCATGGTAATGCTGTCGAAGTACTGCACACCAACAGACTGAGCAGTCATTGCATTGTCGCTGAGAGTCTCCTGGAATTCGGGAGACATGAACTCGTCGCCAGGGCCGGAGCGGGTCAGAATGGCGAAGTGGACCTGGAACCAGAACAGGTAGAAGAAGAAGGGAATGACAACAAGCGCGGCACCGCGGGCGAAGAAGTGCTTCACGAAGGTGATCATGTCAAGAGCACCCTGGCGGCGGTTGATATCCAAGAGGTTCCACAGATCGATCAGGACCGCAGCGCCAATGGTCACGAAAGTAAAGACACCGACATACTTGGTCGAGATGACGCAGCTCAGACAGAAGCCAGTCAGGAGCAGCCACTTCCACCACTTACGCGAGAACGGATCATGTCGCAGCTTGTAGAAACGCACGTAGCAGAGGACGCTGAGGGCCATGCTCAGCACCAGAGTGGAGTCGAGCAGGATGAGACGGTCCTCGCCAACGTGGGCATTGTCAAACACCATGAGACCGGCAGCCAGAACACAAGCGGGCAGCGAATATCCCGACTCCCACATGATCAGGAAGACGACAGGAATTGTAATAGCACCGAGGGCAGCCGGCATCGCGCGCAGGGCGATGTATGGGACATTGTTCTCAATGTAGGAGTCACCGATGTTGTCGAAGAAGAAATGGCCATCGTACCCGATGAGCCAGCCCATAAAGGCAAAGAGGAGCTTTCCGAAGGGCGGGTGGACATCGAAGAAGTACATGCGCTGCAAATAGTACGAGGCGAACTGAGGGAAACAGTTCGTGTCAGCTCAGCTCAGAGTCCCCCCTTTTCCCCCCCCAGAAGCAGCGTCGCGGAGATCGATAACACATACCTTTCCAAAGTGGACCTCGTCGAAGACGACCTCATTGGGGTAGTCGATGCGCCAGAAGCGAGTCGCGAACGCCAGGACAGTCAGAATGGTTATGGCCAGCCAGTAGTCCCATTCCGAATGACGCTTGCCGGCGACCGCGGGAGACGCGCCATCGTCGGAGGGCACAGGAGTATATTCCTCCTTCTTTCCGCCTCTCTTGCGCAGAGCAGGCGAGGAAGGTGACATGATGAATTGAAGAAAGGAAAAGAAAAATCAAAAAGAGGGAGAGAGCGACCGCGAAACCACCTAAAGTAAATAGACTTCCGAAGACGCGCGACGTCAGCACCGAATCGACAGTTTGGCCCCAGTGGGGAAGGAATGGCTGGGATAGAGAAGAAGACAATGACTTACCAGAATCACCAAAGTGCATGGCACTCAGTCAATCGAGGCCAGAAAAGGGTGTTAGAAAAGGAGAGCTCGGAGGGGGCGGCATGAAGGGTTGCGTGTCTTCTCGACAAGGCGGTGGCCCAGGCGGCGCCTGTCTATACCTCCAGCCCTGCCAATCATGCTTTCGGCCATTGGGGGCTCCGAACGGCGGCCTGTGAGTCTCAACGGTTTCACCGTGGGCCAGGCCTATATTTGTTGCTGGAGATTTGAGGCTTCTGCGTAATCATGCAGATTGCTCGAATTGTCTACCGTGGAAATTAGCCGGGATTCTCAAACAGCCCTACCCCTTGTGGGCATGGAGATGACGCAAGACTATGGGATGAACTAAGATGCATGTATCCAAACGAGACAAATTTTTCTCATAGTAAACATGAGACCGCTTCAGACAGCATGCAATTGTGCCCACTCATAGAGTGCTCTAGAAATGTCGAGTCTCGAAGCCACAGAACGCAGACAGTTCCTTTGAGTCCACAAGCCAAGAATTAGGCACTAGACACCACTACACGTAGATCGAACTGGTCATATGAGAGCAATAGTCATACCGGAGGGTATAAATAGCTCCAAATCACATTAATGCTTACCCAGTACACTGGCCACACTTGCAAGTGTTCTCTCATAACAACAACTCCCAGAATATAGATTAAAACCACACAATTTCCACTTGAAACCCTACCAAAACCCCCTCCAACTTCGGAACCTGACTAGGAACACCCCACGTGACTACCCGTCTCAGCATATCCCGAAAAAGGCACAGATCATTTTCCGGGATATCAAAATCAACAACAAGCCGTCGTCCCAAGCCCAGAACGCCGGCCGCACGCTCGGAAAAGTCGAAAGTTCCAGTTGTTCCGGAAAAGGAAATCTCTACTAATCCTCCGTAGACAGTCTCCCCATCCCCAAGCGTTATACAGTAAAACTATTGTTAAGATAATCATCCGTGTCGGCGTCGCCGTGCCACGGGTCTTTTGCGGATAGCTCGCGCTGGAATAACACTGTCACCTGGGTGTCGGTGCCCGATGTGTTTTCTGAAAAGCCCGCTTCCAGGACGCCGTCGGATTCGTCGGATACCCCGCCTGCGTCGAGGGCGGTGATTTCATTTTCATTTTTGTACTTGTAGTGTTTCGCAACCCGTGTTAGACTCGAGAGCTTGGTTGTTGTGAGAATTGCGTAGAAGGTCGTAATACTGGAGGAACACACGGTGGTTATGATAGGTCGGGTACTGGTTGACACTTGGATTGTTTTGGAGGGGTGGGAATGGAAGAAGACAGATCTCGAAGTCAATGTAAATCAACACCTTTAATATTTGACGTGGTATGTGGCGGGAGTACGAGGAAGGCCAAGAATATCGAAGCCCCCACAGAGGAGCTATCCCGTCTTTTGATAGAGCAGGCAGGACGACAGGTTTGCCAATTCATTTACACTGAAGTGAAAAAATGTAATGTTGACAAAGCAATATATTGATAGCAACAATGCTAGTTAATTGCAAAACCGAAAATAACAAAAATGAGTTCCAAGGCAAAATGCACCCCAAACCCCAAAATGCATCTATGATGAACTCGCAACAAATGTACACGACCCATTCAAAAAGGTCTTGTTCTCGTAGCTTCATGGGTATCACTCAAGAATATGCAAAATATCAGAAAGGCTCACCATCCCTTGCTGAGCCTCACTCGTCGTCCGTCACATTCAAAAGCTCCACCTCAGTCTGGACCAAAGACTGGAAGTCTGCCCTTGACATTCCCGTCGCCTTAGCCAGCCGGAAGAGACTCTTGACACTGGTGCTGATGTGTTGTTTTACGCCGACCTCGTAGGTGGACTGGCTCTCCGCGTGCTGTTCCAGCTTGGCGATGGCGTCGGAGCTACTGGAGGAGGTGGAGGCTGGTCGTGGGTGGTTCAGTGCAAAGGCCGCTTCCTCGCTAAAAACGGTATCGTGTGAATATCCGTTAGTTCGGGGGCTTCGTCGGATCCGCCCACCTGGCGGCGGAGTAGGTTGGCGAGGGTATCGCCGTTTAAGGAGGATGGACCGACTTCCGGCTGTTCCTCGGCCGGATCGTGGTTGTCCATGGCGGGCTGCAGGTTGCCGTATTGGTTGAAATAGGAAGCTTCTGACAGGCCGGATGGGCCGTGTGTGGACGAGGCTCCGGGAGCAGGAGTCTTGACCTTTGGTGTCTGGCCTGGAGTGGCATCGTACTGGGCCCAGTAATCGTCATCGTCATCGTCATCATCTTCGTCGTCCTTGGCTGGGTCGTTCTGGCTGTTGTTCTTCTCTTCCTTCTCTTCCAGTACTTCAGCTAAGAGTCTTTCCTTTTCTTGAGAGTCTGCTTCCCCGATCGACGAAGCCCAGGTCTTCTCGTCGTCAGTGGGGCCTTCGCGCGGAAGTAGTTCCGCCACCCGCCAGCCGCGACCATTTTCGTCTGTCGGGCACCAGAGGTAGATCACCGCCAAGCTATATTCCGGCAGTGTGACTAGAGCACGAAGGGTCTCGTCGTCAATCCGCTTGTAGGTCACGGGGAGGTCATCGGTGAGCTCGATCTCGCCAGAAACGGGATGCGGCTCGAAGGTAGCGCCATCAACAATGCTCTGAAGACGCTCGGCTTTGGCAGCGTCCCAGCAGAGCAGTCGCAGCCAGGACTCATCTGGGGAGGTCGATAAGGAGGTGAGGACCTGGATCCGCTGGCGGAGGATCGGCGAGAGCAGTGGGAGCAGAGCTGGTGGCGGGCGGGGAGAGACAAAGGCTGTGGGGAGACAGGCGAGGAGAGGAGGAAGCAAAGCTCGGGGGTCTGGGGGGCTGATAAGCTCGACCATGATGAGAAGTTGAGACTTGGGAATCTGGGGGAGTCTGGAGAGGGAAAAGAAGAGAGGGAGTCCGGGGGCAGTGGCAGACTCTCGTCTGGAGTGGAACAGTGAAAGCTCCTCCATTTGCCCGACGTGGGGCCGAAACATAGGCGGGCCGGGAACTTACTGGCTGCAGTACCGGAATGGGATCGGCATCGGACTATATCTGCGTTTTGTTTGCGTAATTGATATCACCACGTCGAGCGTGGACAGTGTTTGCTTTGTAGGGTGTTGACTGTTGACACTTTACTCCTGTCAGTCGTTTGTTGACTGGTTATTGTACCCTGGGTGGGTTTCGGGTCAATGCTACCCTGCGGAAATGGCTGCATCGGGAATAAGATAAACAAATGAGAGCAAGTCAGGCCGACCATAGATGGTGGGAATTCAGTAGATGGCTATAATTCGACTACAAGTATTAACAGTGGAGGTTCGAACGCAAAGTGACAATTCCCGGGACTGGGCTGATTTTCAACTGCCATTTCTTGGCCCCCTCCCACATGTCCGGAAGCTTACCATAACTCTGTGACACTGCGATGTACGTGACCGGAACCTAGCTAGGAAATTCCCTAGTACATTTGAAAAGACTTAAGAACTCCAACATAACTTTTTGAATCGCCGTCACTTCATTAACCATGCGAGGAGCAGATGCCGGCATCTCGGATAAAACAGCCTTTCGTCCGATCTGCATTTGAGCCGGTCTCAACACTAGATAAAGCCGGTATAGCGTACTAGGAGTATCCATGTCCAAATTGGACCGCTATAGCTAGTATATTTACTAGTTCCCGGTACCTGCGGTACAAAAAGCAGCTCCGATTCGTCTGCCGTACACCGAACAGGTTTAATGCCGCCTTAGCCACCTTTTCAGACTGTCATTGATACCTTACCCTAGAGCAGTAAATACACATCTATTAATGGTATTTCTTAATCTAATTTAACTTATCTACTATATTCAGACTTTTGGTCTGTTCTCTATACAAATCTCTTCACACGAACGCGGCGAAGATCTCGAGTCCGGAACGCCCCACCCCTGATCTTCCAAATCCACCATCGAAGGGGGGAAGACTGCTCCAACTCTCATCCTTTTGATTCTGCATAACCCCCCGACATCTTGCAATCGGAATCTGACTTTTGTCTTCTGATGGCTCTTCGATGGTTCGGAGATACCAGCATTGATGCTGGTGTTTGCGTGGCGAGCTGCATGAGAGCCACGTCATCAGGCGTCGAGAGGTGATTCGAGAGACTAATGGCCAGATGGTGACTAGGCAGGTTGCGATGATAATTACCGCGCCTTCGACGACGGTGAGGATACCCAGTCTGATTGAGAACCCTGTTTCGAAACTTGTTAGCATCTGTGCTTGCTTCGTGGGGTTTGGATACTCACAGGTTACGTCTTTTAGTTGGACTTTTGTGTTTAGGAAGTAGATTATCATTCGGAAAATACTCGCAATTGACCCTCTGTAAACATGTTAGATAACGCACATCTCTTCAAGCTCAAGGTGGATGTAGGTGTGTACTTACAGACCACCCAAAAGGAAAACCCCCGTTAGAGCAAGTTTCTGTCCCCTCGGAGCATGAAGTTGCCAGATCAGCGGCAATGGCATGATAAGAATCATAATACCAGTGAGGGCATTGACTGGAGAGACACCACGGTAAAAAGTAATTTGGTCGACACAGGATCCCGAGCCGGAGCTCTTGTCCCAGCCATAATCGACGGGTGTACATTGGAAGATTGTTCCAAAGAATACAGTGATGCCGACTGCCAGGACGAGCGATCCGACGATGTACGTGGTGATTTGGAACTTTCGTACATTGAAGATACGAAGATAGAAGAGTAGTAAGGAGATTTTGGCTGGTGTAATGGTGAATGGAAAGTCGAGAAGTTCCAGTGCGAAGAATCCCTTTTTGATCATGGCAATCTTGTGATTTGGATGGGTTACTTCGTCGATGTGGTAGCCCAGACCTGCTACTTCGGTCACTGTAGAAGCATTAGAATCGTTTTAGCTGTGACGCTTGGGAATTGAATGCACGCACAGACAATATAGGTAACAGCCTTGGTCAGACTTCCAATCTAGATGGCGGTATAATGATCAGCACCTAATAATGATTGATATCTCCGAAAGGTATACATACCAGGGCAATAAGGATCATATAATCATCCAGCCCAAATCGAATGCGCTGCATATACCGCGTAAGGAATCGCGCCGCAACGAAGATAATCTGCACAATCGACAAAGCGATACTAACACCAATCAAGGCATTACCACCACTCGAGCACGGTGAACTCTTATCCACCCAGCGATTGTCACCCATGATGGCTGGGTACAGATGCGTTATGAAACGGCAAGCCGGCGAACTTCCGCATTGGCAGGGAAGAGACGAGAAGGATGCAGAGTATTCCAGCTACGATCCAAGCGGGATGTGCAGATCATCATATATTTCAAGCGCCTCTCCAGCTCCATCTCACCATAATAAAATATCGCCTCCAATTCTGTACAGAAAGTCTATTTGGGCGGTGGAGCCCCGAGCCCTGCGTGGAGGGCGCATGCTTGTGACGAAGGTGGACTCCGAACTCAAGTCGACCCAGCATTCGGAGAATATCTGTGCGGCAGACATGGGCAGCGCGAATTTGGAAAGGACGAAGATCCGTGGCGTCGGGGCGCTCCGGTGCCGAATGCAGGTATATGGGCCACGCATGTGTCGCTGAAGGAGGGCGGGCGAGAAGGCGCTGGGATGAGTCCATGGGAGAGTACTCGCCGAGCCGGGGACGCGGTTAAGGGCGAAGAATCCGAGGAGCGGCCATTGGTTCTGAAGGGAATAGAGTTGGGCCCATATTCCGGCATGCTGGGGTGGTTTCCTTCGAGACCATCAACTACTCATATTTGGTTCGAACCCAGCTTGAGCGCTTTTCCCCCGATTTTGTGCCGAAAAAGGGCGATTCTGCATAGCCGGCTCTTGACATCATGGCCGGATTTGGCAGTCAACTCCATTTCTCGAATCCTTCCAACTCCAACTCAACTCCAATTTCTAATCTAAAATGCGCTTGACGATGCAGTCGAATTTTCGGATCTCACTCACCGCCCATCCTTACCCCAGCGGGGTAATCGGTCGATCCTGGCGGAGGCAGCTCGTCGGCGATTCTATGGCTTCTAACCTTATTCCAACCTGGCTGAACACCCCCGCTCCACCCATCTCCGGTACCGCGGTCTCCTCTTACTTTTCCTCAGATTACGTCCGTGGCTATGGATTGCCCAAAGGGGTTAAGAGGAGGGAGTCGCGTGTTGTCGGGGATAGTAGGGCGTTCTCGGGTTGTTTGAGAAGTTTCCCCTCACGATTCCATCCCATTTGCGACATCGCGCCCGATTGACTCGACATGGAAATAAGTCAAATAACATTCTAGGTTTTGCTTGATTTGATTCTCTTTGCTTCTCAATGGAAGTTTGGCTCCTTGTCGGCATGCGTCATTCATCTATGTTTGTCAGCGGACTTTTAGGATGGACACCTAAGCTCCGTAGATCTTGCTATGTAGATCTCACCGGGACCTCGACTCGAGGATCCCGATTACCCAGGTGTATAACAGTCGGCGAATTTCTAATTTCATGGTCGAGACCGCGGATTGGCTTCAGTGCCTTCCATTGGAAGCTTATATGACACGCCGATGGTGAACGGTGAGACCCACTGATATTCGGTTCCACGACATCGGGTCTATGTATAGCCGATACCCTAGGGAAGAAGATGAAAGTTTGTCTGTATGTTTTAAAGACCTAGAATCCGATGCCGAGGTGCTCATCGGTCAGTATAGCGTTCAGTGCAAGGAAGCGGGTCCATCCATTCGTCGATCTTTGCAATCTATGGCGTTCAAAGTTTTCGTAGGATCGTTGAATCATGCTACTCACAATTTAATGCCAAATGAACAGCAGTTAGAAAGATATGTCAACTCCGAGATTGCTACCGTCTATAAATTGTAAACTCAAAAATTAGGAATGCGATATATGAAACCAAGAGCACGATTCCAGCAGCACGACTGGGTCCAATAAAGACGGCGGTCGTAAATCCCAAAGCAGAGAGCCAGACTGTCACCAAGTCAAAGAGGACAAATGTATCCGCACCCTTGGCTTGGAACCCCGTAACGGCAACCACGCCAATGCAGAGCGTAAGGAGGAAGATGTTACTTCCAGCTGTAGTTGCAACGACAATGCCCCCTTGTCCGCGGATTCCGCCTATCACAGAAATCAATTTCTCAGGTAGGGTTGTAGCAAAGGCGACCACTGTCAGGCCAAATACCGTGCCCGATAGCTGGAAAGAATCTACTATAGCACCTGCGCTGTGGGCGAGGATATATCCGGAAAGAGATAGCTCAAGCAGACCGATGAGAAGCTGGAGGATGTGATAATAGAGTGCTCGTGGTGTCTTTTTGTTCTCTGCATCTTTTCGTGGATCTCCATTACCCAGGAGTGGCGAACTTTCCGAGGCCGCACCCCGGTTGTCCCGATGTATTGACCGTTCCTCGTCAACAATGGGTATTTCATCGTCGATATCGCTATCGCTGTCACTATCCGACATTTGAGGTGGCTCTGCGATTCCCTTGTAAATGGCATAGCCAATGGAAACGAAATATACCGCGAATATAGCGATGAGAATCCCACCAGTGACTCGGTTGAGCAGGTTGAAATATGCCAAGACCACGAATAGAGTAGTCACAGACAGCAAAAGGAAAGAATATATCCTGGCGCTGCGGTCGAATTCCATCCCATCTGGATTCAAAATAAGACCAAATGAAAATGCACCGAGAATATTGGAGATGGCAGATCCCATAACGTTGCCCAGGGCTAGTGGACTGCGATGTTGTAGGATTGCCGCGATAATAACCGCAAGCTGTATCATTTCGTCAGCACAGTTGCCGAGAATTCACTGTAACATTGAAACACACTAGTTCAGGTATCTTACCTCCTCATACTCGGCTCCGGCCGTCAAGAGAGCAATGAGCGTTGGTGAAATGCCCAGTCGTCGCCCCACAATGACTGTATGGTCGAGGAACTTGTCTGCGCCATGGTCAAGGACGAAGATGCCTGCGACGAACGTTGATATATTGAAGCACAGATTGTCCCAGTCCATGAGATTAGCTTGATCCTCGATTAAACAGGCTTTTGGTATATTTCGGGTGTTGCCTTGAGTCAAAAGTTAAAGGAGCAGCAGATCACGTAATTAGTCACATGATCTGTTTTGGGTATCAACCACAAGTCACATGATCCGCTGCTATCGTGCCATCGCTCTCGAATTAATTGGGAATACGGTGTTGTTGGAACAGGAGATGTTTTGATGGCCAGATTCATGTGAATTTACTGCCCACTGTCTATTGCCGCTGTGGGGATTCTCTGTATTTATGTGTATTGACTTTTTCCAGGGGGAATTAGTGTAGTGCACCGGTTTGCACCGGTTTGGCTCTTGATATATTTTGGTGTCTGCACCAGCATTAATGTATAATTTTGATAGTGCTTCATGGTGCATTCATAGATATATTGTTATTGTCAAAAAGAAAAAAAAAAAAAAAAAATGTGTGTGTTGCAGTATCGTGGTACAAACCTTACACGTACTCTAGACTACATAGAAAAGTGAGAGAAAGGGCATGATATGATATAGACCTGGGGTCTCGGCGTACGCATAACGGCAGACTCTATCAAACAGGTCATCAAATAGATCCCCCAAGGAAACCGTCATACTCATCATCTTCAGAATCCGACAGTACTCCCATCCCTGTCTTGTGGGCATCTAGGTCAACACCCATTCTATTTGATCTTTCGCCTCCCATGAAAGCATCATAATTATCATCGTCATGATCCGAAGTTGGCGTTATGGCCTTCACATAATGAGCCTTAGGAATTCCCTTCTCACCAAGCTCGATGTCCTCCCCCCTTCTCAGAGGCGGAGAGCTCAGGAACGCATGCCGTGATACTTCGTCGTATATTATACACCTCCAATGTGTTGCAGGCCAGTCTAGCTTCTCCTGAGAGGTCTTCCAGGCCCCGAAGTGAGCGTGGATTGAGTCCATCGACGCTTGATCGAACTCTACTGGATCGGCGAAGATAACTCGACAGTCTTGAGACCACATCCACAGTTGCGGAACAAAACCTGCGCTCTCTAGTTTATTATTTGTCGTTGAGGCGTCTTCAAAAGGTAATAGGTCTGTGACAAGGGAGATAATGGCGTCGATGAACCGGGAGAATGCAGTTCCCGGCTGAGCAAAATAAGAGGTGCGGTAAACGATATAGCCCGACCTTTCGTCGATTTCCAAGGTATTGGGAGGGCATTTGGCAGGGCATGCTAACAAATTCACACCCATTTTGGTGAACTTCGCAATGGACAGGGGCGGAGTGGCTTAGAACGCGCGCAGCATTGAAAGACAAGAGGTATGCAGCCCGTCCGGTAAGAATAGGTATGTTGGCCGAAGTTGACTGTGTAGTCTCGCGCTCCAAAATGCCACCAAGAACAAACTATCCCAGGCCAGCCGATGCCGTACCAGGGGTGCTGCGAAGCCTCAAGTGCGATGTTCCTTCCGCACCCCCCCCCGGGCCGGCCCCCAACAGCCACAAATCAAGACCCTCGGGTTCCAGAGGACTCCTGTCCAACGGGTCACCGGATAAGCCCTACAGGTAGAACTGTTGGTTTTTACTGTGGCGCTAAGGGTCCGATGCATCTGGGATAGCGCGAGGCAAACAGCATCGCCCGAGATGGGCTAGCTAGTAGCAGGCCTAGCGACAGGGGTAGTAACGAGACCCTGGTGGCTCCAACCTAACGAAGCCCAGGCAATCTATCAACAGAAATTAAGGCGTGTCTGAATTTTCTCATCGTTTTTTACGTCAGGTCACTCGGTTCTGCCTCGGGCGACGTTTCTAGGCTGAAGAGGGTCAAGAGATGCGTTCATCCTATGCTTGTAAATGAGATGATTAAGGTCTTGTACAGTACTCTCGCTCGTCATAAATACTCAGCCTGGTCCCAAGATTAATTCAATGGACAACTAAACTAGTGTACTGGTGCTGATCGGCTAAAAAGTCTTCGGGTAGGTTTTATTCCGAATGAAATCTCGAAATAACATTATCTCTTGAATAGGTTTTATATACTTGTGTATTGCCACGAACGTATTCCTTTTACAAGTGGAACAGCACCTTTTCCCCGGACGGCCCCTCCGCTGCTCCCACCCTCCTTGCCAAACTTGGAACCACCGAGCCGCAACCCTGCTCTGGCTTTGCCTTTCGCCGTCTTCTGTTCCCATTCCCAACTATTCTAAGACATAATCCACAGTCGCCTAAAGCTCGCTACCACACGACCTGAGATTGCAATCTCATCAGCTAGCGCAGAGAATCATTACCCATCATTCGCCTCCTACATCGATAGTGCGTGCCATACACACGTACAAATATGGCGCTCCCAGAACCACCACTATGGTGTCGAATGTATGTGTACACTTTTGCATCAACCCTGGAATAAAGAATAAGCTAACTCAAGGAGTATACTGCTCATCCTCACCATCGGCTCCTTTGCACCCCAAATATTGCGTATACGAGGGACGCAGAGCATCAAGGGGATCTCACCATTCTACATCTTATGGAATGTCATCAGCGCCACGGAGCAGATCACGGTCTACTTTTTCTTACTTGCCAATCAATACGACCGGACCGCTAAAACCATATATTCCTGCACTTTCCCATCTCTGCAGGCGACTGGTTTAGTCTGTGTCACTGTGCCGTGGTCACGTTTCTTTTCCTAGCATTGTGAGATTGGGCCATCAATTTTTGAAGACAAGAATCACATAGGTTCTAATCATATCCTCCTAGGTTTGCCCAGATTCTGCTGTACAGTGACCGCCGTACTTCACTCTGCGTCCGCTATACCGTTTTCCTCCTCGTGTCACTCATCCCTCTTCTCATAGATGCCGTCTCGCCAATGCCCTCCGAGCCAAGAAAGTGGTGGTCTGCGATGTACTTCATTTTGCACATGATGCTCCTTTGGCCGGTAATCACATTCCTAGGCTGCTTCAGCATTTACCGTCAGGCGCAAGAGATCCGTGCAGTCTCATTTCCAAAGTCGCTTAGCCTGCAAGGGCGTGCTGTGCAAGCAATTGTCTTCACGCTCGTCTCTGTGGCATGGATATGGTGTCTTCCGTTTCCATATGAGGATCTGAAAGGCCATATGAATTGGAATACCTTCACCATCTGGTATGGGAGTATTGGTTGGGTCAAAGTCAACAGGTTTATCTTTGCCATCGGTCAGGCGATACTCCTTGCCCTAGCCTTGCGTCGGCGGTCTTCGGATAGTATTCAACGAGAAGGCGAGACGGAGCCACTCATTGGATAGAAGAGGGGGGCAGTAGAGATAATTAAGGTGACTATTTATCTTCAATGGACGTTCTGAACGCAAGTCGGAATTCAATTTCGTATAATTTGTAGTGATACTTTTCCTCATTCGATCAATGTAAACTCGATGCTGTTACTAGCCGGCATCACAACCTCAGGCCTGCCATCATTATCTGGCGGAAGAGTAACAGTTATCTCCTCAGCCACCACGACAGTGTCTTCATGATCATCAAAATTGCCCCAATTCCACCAGTCAAGGGGAGTCCCCTTGAACCCGTACCGAAATCGATCACCGGGCGCAAAATCCTTCGGGAAATCGCTCACAGTTCGTGTAAACGACCAAGACTCGCCAGGCATCAAATTCTGAAATTTGTTCCCCTCATTCATGCCAACATTTATTGGAGCAGGACTTGATCGGTAAGCGTGGTGTAGGAGCTCTCCATTCACATTGTGGCCCCTCCATTCGTCATTTTCTTTCACATAGAGCCGAAACCCATGGTAGTGACTGTCCATAATTCTGAACCTGGACGTGTGAAAGACGATCGGTCTCTTGTCATTTCCCAGGCTAGGTGCTTCGTCGTATGAGATCGTAACGGTAATAGGATAATCAAGTCTCGCTGCGAGCGAACGATTTCTCACAGATAGCGTTTCAGGACCAGCGATTTTCATACTCAGTACTGGAGCGTCCGCCGCCCGAGCAGACGGCATTGGTCGCGGCGACGAATCCCATTCTCCCACGTCGTCTTCAAGGTCGCCTTCATCGTCCACGATTTCGAATGACTGGTGTGCTCCACTGGGAAGTACTATCGCGGGTGACTTTGGAGCAAGCTGGTGATGCGATTTGCTAAAGTCCGCTAGCGGTCCCCAATCCACAAATGAATCTGCCCACCTCACCAGATGAGGTCGTAGTGATTCAGGGAGCGTCGGGCGTTAAAATAAACAGGTGGTAAATTTGTGGACCAGGAGACGCTGGTGCCTGGGTCAAGCTGCTTGAAGCAAGGGTTTTCTCGCTTCCCGAGGCGGCAGTGTTACCGTCACTCATTTATACAGCGGAATTCAGCCAATCCAAGCTACTCGAACATCACACACTGGTGCAATAAAGTAGGAACGCAAGGTCCATAAAATTATTGATTTGCAGAGGCAAATCTATTCGTAATGCCCCGTAGATACAAATATCCCTAAATAATGTGATTGAAGAGAAAAGGGGTATATGGCAAACAAAATGGGGGCATAGAATCAGAGGTATGCAAGACAGAAGAAACTCGAAAGCAAAAGGGAGTGGGTAGTTCTGTAGCAAAAGCCCATTCTCAGAACTAAGCCACCCTGTCCTTCTGCTCCAGCTTCCCAACAAGTCGCTTCATACCCCCCCACTCTTCAGCGGGGACCTCTTCTGACGGTCCACCCAAGCCCTTACCCACCTCAAATACCGTGACAACACCGTTAAGACCACCTGTAGCGAGGCGTCGGCCTTCACGTTCTTCCCATGCAACTTTGTTGAGACTGCGAGAGATACCGCCACTGGGACCACGGGATGGACTGGTTCGTACAACCGGAACTTCAGTGTCCGTGTAGAGATCCCATACTTCGACGTTGCCAGCTCCGTCGACCAGGGAGAAGACGCCAGGTCGGTGAGGGGACCAGCGGGCATCGTATACGACGTCCTCGCGGGTGATGTCCAGAATGGGCGAGACGACTTGAGCAGCTGCGGTCCCGGAGGTAACAGAGGCGGTAGTGGCTGGTGCCCGCACGCGCCAGAGTTTGACGCTCCAATCCAGACTTGAACTCAGCATCAGGTCGCCCAGATCAACAGGTCCGCGGGCGGGGTGGAATGCGGTAGACATGATCGGGGCTGCATGTCCGCGATAGGCGAGGCGGTGGTCTGTGCCTGCTTTGGCCCCGGCTCGGTCGTACCGGTGGCATGGGTAGATGCCTCCCTCTTCGGTACCGACGACGAAAAACGTTGGATCGGATTGCGGGAATGACATGGTTGTTGGTGCGAGATCCTCCGTCTTGGATGGAGGGGGAGTGGTCAGCTCCAGATACTCTTGTGGCTGCGAAAGCATGTCCACTGTCCAACCACAAACCACTCCGTCTGTGGAGGATGTCAAGATGTTGTGCGCATTCTGAGTACCGATGATAGATATGCTATACACTGGATGCGTGTGCCCAGATCCAGTAAGGGGAGTCTTTTGGACGGGGGCACCTCCGCCTGCACGAGAGGAGCGAGTATCCCATAGGAGAACCTGTCCAGAATACGAGCCTCCCACAATGAGGTTAGGGTGGAAAGGAGAGAATTTGGCAGTGAGGATGTCGGAAGTAGAGTGGAAAACGTATTCTGGGCGGGATTGCAGATGTTGGTTCCAGACCTGCACCAAACCGTCTGGTTCGTGGGGCGCAGAGGGATTCTTGGTATAAGACGCCAGCACTAATTCAGGGAACTAAAGCGAACATTAGTCAACGTAACATAATAGCTTGAAAAAATAACACATACCTTGGGGGAGAAGCTGATATCACTGATCATGCGCTTCTTGCTCCAGCGCTCGTCCCAGAACTGGCAAATCTCTCGGATTCCTCTCCTCTTCTTGCCAGTTTCTTCGTCTTCTTCCAAGTCCCCATCAACGCCGCCCAACTCGTAGTCTGCGAGAACATCGTATTCCTCGTCTAGAGCTCGCTCAATGACCTTTGCTGAGCGTTCCACGAAATCCAGGAAATCGTCCGATGAGGTCACAGCTTTCAACTCATCGTCATCGAGTGTGCGCATAGGGTAGCGAAGCTCAGAGGATTGCGCGGCAGCTGCTTCCTGTCCAGCTTGATTTGTTGCCTGCAATTCCTCCTCGATCTCAGCCCGAATCTTTTGTCGGATCTCCTCGTCACGCTCGCGATCCCGTCGACTGAGCCTCTTGCCCGAACGCGGGGCTCCGGCGAGTTCTTCATTGTCTGAGGCGACAGACCCATCTGGAGAATCAGAAGGCTGGTCCAATGCGTCTGTTTGCACGGCTTTGCTGTATGTTACAACTTCCGATTTGGGTTCAGGGGCGCGCGGGGCATGGGGTTGGGCTAGGGCTTCCGGTGTGGAGGTGGTGTAGGGTTCTTCTCCGACGGTCTGAACGGCAATTGATTGGGACTGGGGTCTAGACGAAGGCGTATAGGTCTCGGCATTCTCTCCACTCAGTTGGCTGGCGCTGAGTACGGAATTCGGGCGACTTCCTTTGCGCGACTGGCCCTCGGCGCCATGGCTAAGGGCAGCCGATCCAGGACGGTCAACGAGGCGTGAAATCAAATCATCGAGTTCAGCTCGACTACCAGAATGACTGGGGGCCGGCGAAACAATCTAGGATTTGTTTGTTAGTCCTTCGATAGAGCTCCGCAAGTGGTATCTTTGGGGCCGCATTACCTCTGAAGCATCCCCGACGCTGCTCCGGGTGTTGGTGAACTCCTTTTGGCGGAGCTCGCGCTGTTTCTTCAGCTCCGCAAGCTTAGCCCGCTTGGCCAAGATCTCATTTTTGCGCTGCTGCATGGACGACATCGTGAAATCCTACGACCCGGTCAAAGGCGTTGGAGCTGTAGTAGCGTGTTGCGCTTTATTTACGGGATGACATAAGCGCCGGTCCAAACGGCACCGGAAAAACTCGCGCGCAGAACAGGGACTGAACCTCGCCTTGCCCATCCCGAGGATACACTGCCATTGACGGTCGACTTCTGTTGCACGGTTCTTCGGTATCCCACTCTTCAATTTTTGCCGCCTTTCCGTCTCCCGAAGATCTACAAAAATGGCTAGCCAGGGTGTCAACGTGAGTCGCCATCCCCCGAAAGGGCCGACACGCTCGCCCCCCCAAATTGCGAAATCGGATGTTAACCACCCATCCCAATTGCAGGTCCTCCGCTACTCCGCCCTTGTGGCTGGTCTCGTCTACGGTGTTTACCACCAGTCCTCCATTAACTCCCAGGCCAAGCGCGCAGAGATCGAGCACGAGTACACCCGCAAGGAGCGCCTGATCGAGCAGGCTAAGGCCGAGTGGAAGAAGAAGACCCAGCCCCAAGAGGCCCAGACACAAGTCTCTGGATGTACGTGACCTTTCTCTCTGATTTCCCTCTGCCTATTGGCTTCCGGCGAGACCCAGGTGCCCTCTTCATCTTTCTCCAAAGCGCATCGCTAACCGAACATCATTACAGTGATTACCGATCCCGAGAACCCCAAGTTCGACCTCGAGGCCTTCCTGCAGGCCAAGGCGGCCGCCAACCCTTAAATGCGATACATTGAATAGAGTGGAGGAATGAATACGCACATCTTTTGCGAAACTCGCACCTCCTCCCCCAGGGTATTAGAAGCAACTGCTCGGGTCCATTTACTGTACGATTGATCAGGTCTGATTTTCACCCGAGTTGCGACATTGCGAGCGAGAGACGGAACGGTTTCTTTTTGATTCGTTTACTTTATTTTTTATCGGTTTAGACGTTATTTGGGTCCTGTACATACCCTGGGCTGTGTCGTGCGTTTGTACAATACAGTTGGACCTCAAGAGCAAAAGATCGTGTCATGCATTCCGGCGTTACAATGCTGGCTTCCGTTTCTGAAAGGCCAGTTCATGTCCTATGATACTAATTGTAGTATGCTTTCCTATCCTAAAACCCCCCGATCCGAACGCCGTCGACGAGAGGTCTTCAGAGTACTATATCAAGCATAGATCAGCAGGCGGCAATTCGTGGAGCCATGACCACGAGCCAGTTCTCCCGCCGGTATCGCCAGGGACGCACAGATTTGTCGCGCTCCATCTGTATTCTTTTCTTCCGAACCTTTCGAGCCGATGGCGTCTCTCTATATCTGAGTGTCCACTAGACACTAGGGGTTGAGAATATGGCCAACGCGCCACGGATGTCATTTGTAGGCTGTTGATCGGTTGGTGGTACGGTAATCCGAGAAGGATAGAGTAGCTGAGACTCAGGGTTCCAGGTCCATCCGCAAGCCGTGAGCTTCTGAATGATCGTCGGGTCACCTTGCTCTGCAGCTTGTGTATCGAGTCCCAGGAAGTTTGCAGCCACTGCAGGTCGGATCGCCTCGTAGGAGTTACTGACTGCGATCAGGGCTTGGTCTTGGAAGAAGCCTTGGTGTATGTCAGTAAACTATGAATGAGAACGCGTAGTGTTGTGTCCAGCCAATGAACCTACTTTCGTATCTCTTGATCAGCGGTTGTAGAGTCTCTGACCACTGTTGTCCACGAAGGACCCGATAGACTTGAGCATGTTCGGTCTGCCAAATGGCCCGGAGTAGAGTGAGACAGCTCTGAAGAGAAGGATCGTGATGCTTTAGGGTCTCCGGGAATCGCTGGGTCAGCGCGCGGGCTTCGGGGCTGTTGAGTTACGACACGTTAGCGACTACAGGATTGGAATCATGATATTGAAAATTCTACTTACATTTTTTTGGTGAGAAGATGAGCAAAGAAGAAGCTTGAATAGAAGAGGCAAAGGAGCTCAGGATCTCCGGCGCCGGTTTCAGGACTTCCACTGCCAGCGGACATAAGGCAGGCATCTGGTTCGTATTGTGATAGGATCTCATGGAGTTGTGAAGGGGGAGCATTTGATGCGATCAGTTTGGAGATCTGCTCCCTGCTGAAAGGAGGCAGCTCCATTGTGAAGACGACCAGCACTGAAGATGGGAAGCTGGAAAGATTTTCTGGATGTGTTGTGGTGCTGGCTGCTGGAATCGATGATGCGGGGAGCAGTCGGAGGTGGCACCTTTCCCCGACGCCAAGACCCTCAGAAGTGACCACCTTGCGCAGCTCTCCTTCTTGCAACCTTCCCACCAGGCAACCCATTGGCAGCTCTGCCCCATTCGTTTCTTGTTTTCATGTGTCATCTTTTCTGATCTGGACTTTGCTCCTTCTTCTGGCCATTATGGCCGAGTTTTCCCTTGATGTCCTGCTGAAAGGCAACTCCGGCAAGAACACGCGCGGTCTACTGCGGATCATTATCCTGCTCACGATCGCTGCCGCCGCCGTGGCCAGTCGCCTGTTCAGTGTTATTCGTACGTTCCGATGCCTCTGACTGTTGCAATTGATCGTCTAACATTCATTTTTAGGATTCGAAAGTATTATTCACGAATGTATGATCTCCCCTTGACAGTTCCCGGCGCCTACGACCTCCGAACGGCCAGATATACGGAGATGAGATATTGACCTTCGCATTGCAGTCGACCCGTGGTTCAACTTCCGGGCAACAAAATACCTTGTTCAAAATGGCTTCTATAGCTTCTGGGATTGGTTTGATGACCGTATGCTCTCCCCTCCCGAGGCTTGCGCGTCATTTGCAAGTCTCCGTGGATTGGTATCACAGTAGCGCTGATGGGAATTGCTTCATTTTTTTTTAGGAACCTGGCACCCTCTGGGTCGTGTCACTGGTGGCACTCTATATCCTGGCCTGATGGTGACCAGCGGCGTGATCTACCACATCCTGCGCTTCCTCACGATCCCTGTCGATATTCGCAACGTTTGCGTTCTGCTTGCCCCCGGATTTTCGGGCCTGACTGCCCTGGCAATGTATCTCCTGACCCGTGAGATGTCGCACTCGCCTTCCGCTGGTCTACTCGCTGCCGCTTTCATGGGAATCACCCCCGGATACATCTCTCGCTCCGTGGCAGGCAGTTACGATAACGAGGCCATTGCCATTTTCCTGCTTGTCTTCACGTTTTTCCTGTGGATCAAGGCTGTCAAGAATGGCTCGATCATGTGGGGAGCACTGACTGCTCTGTTCTATGGATACATGGTTTCTGCGTGGGGTGGATATGTCTTCATCACCAACCTCATTCCCCTCCATGTGTTCGTTCTTCTGTGCATGGGCCGCTATAGCTCCCGCCTCTACATTAGCTATACCACCTGGTATGCTCTGGGAACACTGGGCAGCATGCAGATTCCCTTCGTCGGTTTCCTGCCCATTCGCAACAGTGACCACATGTCCGCTCTGGGTAGGTCAAAATTCTTGATCTTGAAACAGTGTTTCTGTGTATATACTAACCGATATCTCCAGGTGTCTTTGGTCTTCTCCAGCTCGTTGCCTTTGCCGAATTTGTTCGAGCTTTCCTGCACGGCAAGCAGTTCCAGAAGCTGCTTACATCCATGGTTCTACTCACCTTCGGTCTTGGCTTCACCGGTCTGATTATCCTCTCCGTTTCGGGCGTCATTGCCCCCTGGAGTGGTCGTTTCTACTCGCTGTGGGACACTGGCTATGCCAAGATTCATATTCCCATCATCGCATCTGTTTCCGAGCACCAGCCTACCGCTTGGCCCGCCTTCTTCTTTGACTTGAACTTCCTGATCTGGCTCTTCCCAGCCGGTGTATTCATTTGCTTCCAGAACTTGAAGGACGAGCATGTGTTCGTAATCATCTATGCCGTGCTGGCCAGCTACTTCGCCGGTGTCATGGTCCGTCTCATGCTGACCTTGACCCCAATTGTCTGTGTCGCCGCTGCCCTGGCTGCCTCGACCATCCTGGACAGCTTCTTGGTCATGTCGAAGCCTACCCCGGAGACCCAGGCCAAGGCGAATGCCGATAAGTCGAAGGCTTTCTCCTCGACTCGCAACCCTGTCGTTGGAATCTACTCGTACTTCTCCAAGGCTGTTGTGACCGGCTCGCTTATCATCTACCTGCTCATGTTTGTTGCTCACTGTACTTGGGTCACCTCGAACGCGTACTCTTCTCCTTCAGTTGTGTTGGCTAGCCGACTTCCCGATGGAAGCCAGCACATCATTGACGACTACCGTGAGGCATACTACTGGCTTCGTCAGAACACCGAGGACAACGCCAAGATCATGTCGTGGTGGGACTACGGCTACCAGATTGGTGGCATGGCTGACCGTCCTACTTTGGTTGACAACAACACCTGGAACAACACCCACATCGCCACCGTTGGTAAGGCCATGAGCTCGCGCGAGGAAGTCAGCTATCCGATCCTACGCCAACACGATGTCGACTACGTTCTGGTTGTGTTCGGTGGATTGCTGGGCTACTCCGGTGATGACCTGAACAAGTTCCTGTGGATGGTCCGCATTGCCGAGGGTATCTGGCCCGACGAGGTGAAAGAGCGTGACTTTTTCACTGCCCGTGGCGAGTACCGCGTCGATGACGGTGCGACTCCCACTATGAAGAATAGTCTGATGTATGTTTACCCTCCCCCCGGCCCGCCAGTTCCAATTTCCGAGCTTACTCTTTTCTTCTAGGTACAAAATGTCTTACTACAACTACAACTCTCTCTTCCCCGCCGGACAAGCCGTTGACCGGGTTCGTGGTGTGAGACTGCCTGCGGAGAGCCCCACGCTCAACACCCTTGAGGAGGCTTTCACCAGTGAGAACTGGATCATCCGTATCTTCAAAGTCAAGGACCTCGACAACTTTGGCCGTGATCACAGCAACGCTGTGGCCTTCGACAAGGGCCTCAAACGCAAGCGGGCGACTAAGAAGAAGGGACCTCGCGTTCTGAGAACGGAGTAATCACTTCTTAGAGATGTTTTTTCTGTATTATTTGATTATTCTGTTGACGCACCTTTTTCGATGACGACAGGAATCTTTTGTCCTGTATTTCCCTGCGGGTGATGGATATACTTGAGCATAACAGCTTCGACGTAGTATGCAATGAAACCCTCTTGGAAATGTCATCTCATATGGTCGTAATAAGAAATAGAGGTGCTAGACGTGAAATAGGAAGGAGAAGAGATTTAGATTCCAGACAAGGCCTGTTATAATGGACTTCCCCTTTGTCAATCTAGCCTGTACAGAATAATATAGATGCCAATGAATCAAAGCCGCTGAGCTCCCAGGTCACGAAACGATGACCTGGTCAAAAGACTCCATAAACCCCGAAGTGCTCCGTTGCTGTTATCACACGGGCGACCATGTATATGGCCATTTCAGTGCTTCCACCTCTCGCGAATAATGCGACTGATATGGTACACGCAGACTTTCCAAGAGAATCGAGAATGCTGCTCAATCCCGACGGATCCTCGGTATTGCCCTTATTTCTTCTCGGCTTGGGGCTGCGCGGGCGCCTCGGGGACTTTCACGTCAGAAAATTCCTCCTGGCCGACGGCGCGGATGGTGTAGGCATCTATGAAGAGCGAGTTGTCAGTCAAATTACTATAGGGGAACGCTTGCGCATGGGTTGTGAGATTGGGGATCCGGTCTGGTCTCGACTGCGGCGGGCTGGTCGCACGACGCTCGACGTCACGACGACTGGATGGCGGAGGGCGAAGAATGACACTTGAAGGGGATTTCGTATGGAACAGCACGTACAGACACCGATTGTGAAGGCGAACAGGCCGAATCCAGTGAGGGCGTTCTTGACCAGGAACGGCCGGCGGGCACGCAAGAGAGCGGCGCCGGCGCGGTAGTCCTTGCCGTAATATGTGGAGTTGAAACTGTCGAGGAGGTCAGAAAGGCGCCCTAGTTAGAGAATATGGACTCGGTAACGTACATCCCAGCAGCCATGGCGAACGCGGTGGTGGTCGAAGAAGAAGAAGCGAAGCCGAGTTCGCGAGGTCGGCCAAGTCTTGGCGGCTCGAAGGCATCACTGGATCAGCCCATGCCGATAACTTGAACGTTATAGCGTAGGTTGATTTGCTGAAAGTATTTCGATTTATGCTAAGAATATATTCTAAGGAATTTCCGACATCGCATCTCTAGAATTACTTATTGCAGCCATTCTCTTCAATCCTCGGATTGTTTTCTTCAAACACACCCTCCATAGGCCGATTATCATTCGAGCGTCATCTCGTCGGCGATTGGACCAGATAGAAACCTTTGTAACACTCCGAGACGCTCCCCACCGTAAAGTCGTTCACTTTCCTCCTCGCTCGACGGTTTCGATAGTGACTGTGGTCGTTTTGGCGACGAGGTGCAGCTGCCGTGGCTGACCAGGGCGGCCATCTTATTTCCCCAACTTTTCTCGGCCCCTGCGAACCTTTCGACTTCCTCCAGCTCCTCCGTCTTGGGACGCCCGCCAATCTCGCCCTCTCACCCACACTCCTCCACTCCTCCATCTCGTCCTTTCTGCATTCTTCTTCACGGTCGTCGCAGTATCGCAGTATCTCCGGGCGCATGTGCGTTAGTGCCGCCTAGCTCGCAGCCTGCATTCGCGCGTTCTGGCCCGAGTAGGAAACACGTTCAGTTTAGCGATTGCGCCGACCTCACCTTCGCCCCCCTCAATCCTCCAACCGTAACCACCTCGAACACTCTCGGCTGCGATGGCTTCCCCGGCTGTTCAGCTCGGCCAGCTGAATGCAGCCCGTAATCTCGTCCTCAGCGACGCCGCCCTCTACCCAGATGTCGTGAACGGGATCCTACCTATCATCGGACCCAAATCGAGAATTGAATTGCGACGATGGGGCGCAGACTTCATGGCAGAGACCTTCGCTAGCCCGGTTCTGTCGACGGCACTGAAGGAGCAGTTTGCGCCCAACGTGCTCCAGACTGTTCAAGAGATCTTGGCCCTTCCCGAGACAGACACGGCGGTGCTACAGAGCTTGGTTCAGGCCGCAGCCAGCCTCTATCCATTGATATTTCGGCATATGTAAGTTCACTATAAGGCAAGTGGGCTTGTTGTGAGGTACTAACAAATAAAAGCGTGAATCATCCGGAAGATACGAAGTCATGGGAAGCAATGAACACGATTAAGCAGGATATCTTGCGCAAGATGGACTCGTTTCAATGCTCGATCAAGATTTGCTGTGTCAAGTTTCTGCAGCGTGTCGTCCAAGTTCAAACGCCTGGCACTGCGGACCCAAGGGTGAGGTTTACAAGCCCATTCATTTCTGCAAGCTCTCTGTCCATCGTACTGACTTTTGACCTTTTGTGTAGCGACCGGATCAAAACGAGACGTCTCTCGCGATTGTCCCTCGAAACCACGCCGTTCTCACAATCCCCCACCTTGAAGCCGAAGCTTCGGGACTGCTTGACCGATTGCTGGGTGTTTTCCAAGAAGAAACATGGTATAATTCCAAGAGCTTCTGTCTAACGAATTCATACTGACACGATTTGCAGCGATGCGCTTCTCGTGAACGCAACCTTGAATTGTCTCGCCCCCCTCATCCGCACGCGCCAGTCCATCTCGAATAAGATCATCAACACCGTTCTAGACTTCTTCCCCGCGAAGCATGTGCGCCCGCCATTCACACCCACCGTCCGTGTCAACGTGAAGTCTATGGAGCGGACGGCAAGGGCATTGCTTATCAACGTCATGAGGAAGCAACCGGCCAATCCTCACATGAGTAAAATGCAGCTGTACATTGAGCGTTTGATGCAATCACGGCTCGACTCAGTAGAGGATCCATCCCGCAAGCGTGGTCACCCTAGTGAGCCCACCGACGGCTTGGATAATGCGAAACGGGCTCGTCTGGACGCGCTTACTCCTCCCTTAATGAAGATCCCGCCTCTGCCTCCGGGTCCAACGAGCTTCAACCAGCTCTTCACCCTCACCCAGGACGCTGGCCTTTCATCGTTTGACGTCAAACAACTTCCACAAGATATTCTGGTGAAAATTACTGTGCCTCTTCTTGCACAGGTCAACCAGTCTATGCTTACGCAAGCTGTGGAGGCTGTCCGGAATCGACTCCAGACCATCACCAAGGAACAAACCTTGAAACTCCAGCAACTGAACCCGCACCAAGGTACCGCCGCCGACGACGACGATGACGATTACGAGCCCTCATTCGAGCCAGCGGACATACCTGACAGTGCTGATAAAGAGGCCGCTGCTATTGCGGATGATGCAGTAGACCTCCATCCGGATCTGGTCTCTCTGGGTCCATTCGTTCTGCCGCAGCCACCCCCTCTTACCGAAGAGGAAGCAATTGACGTGGGCCGTAGTGCCGTGGCCCGTGTGTTCAGCATGATTACCCAGCCGGAAGCTGCCCCGTCGACAGCAAAGACAAATAATCAACAGCTCGGCTTCGCCAGATTGGCTGGAAGCACATTCGATCGAGATGCCTGGGTTGTGCTGCTCGCCCGACTTGCCACCCGTGCACCAGCAGGACTGGAAGGGGATGGCAAGTCAGCCGTTGCATCACGACGACAGACGACCATCGCTGATTCCATCCGTGAGACTCTGTATCGGTTCATCCTAGAGGACTTCCGGGGTAGACTCAACATGGGAATTACCTGGCTCAACGAGGAGTATTACAACGACCGCGTGCAGATGAAAGCTGTTTCTCGTCAACACGAGGACGATGAGGATTCTCAGCCCCATGTGCCACTCCATTATGACAAATGGGTTCTGCGACTCCTGGACGGATTCCTTCCGTACTTGGATTCAAAGGATACTAAGGTGCTGGTGCGCTTCCTCAGCGAGATTCCCGATATTGTCCCCGAAGTCACGCAGCGAGTCGCCAGCCTGGCAAAGGACCCGGAACGTGTGAATCTTTGCGTGCAGGCACTAATGTGAGTTTTCTTTTTGCTTACGGACCACCTTTCAGGCTAGTTACTAACTTCGCCAGGTACCTGGTCATGTTCCGGCCGCCGGCCCGCGAGCTGTGTCTCAATACGGTTGAAGAAATTTACAACACATGTATGTGTGACCAACTGTTCAACATTACCCCATAACTGAGATGCTAACAATTTCGTAGACGAGGAATCCCGCCCTGCGGCCGGAAAGGTCCTGTCGAGATGGCGACCACAGGCGATCCAACCAGCAGAGTCAGGTGCGAATGATGCAGCGGCCTCGCAATAGAGCCATCACACCATCGGTGTAGATATGGTCTTTTTTTAGCATCGAGGATTCGAAGAAAGGTGACTTTTCAGTTCTTTCATGTCTTTATCCTACATAAATATTCTTATTCGAAATGCGAATCGCTTCTGGCATGAGAGAATTGGATGTGGACGGCTTGGGAAGTGTTGGGCATATTGCCACTCATCTACGTACATGTAACTGCAAAGAAAGTAGAAAGATAGTAAAAGCAGGGTTCGCGGGGTGAACTCGACCAGCATGACTCGAGCAAGTGAAAATAGCTGCGCTTACGCCGCTGCACTGGTGTGGATTCCAATTTAGAGAGTGGGTCACGACAGTGTGGGGTCGTGTCCCTTACTCCGAACCCTAATTTAACGCTATCTTGAAAGTATGACAGCCAATTCTGGAGTTCCGGCTAATTGGCGGTTTTGTGTGATTACTGCCTACGGTTGTGCTGGGTAGAAAGAGCCTAGTCTAGGCCAGGATGGGATATCGTTACGTGGGTGGAAGGTGAGGTCATCTTATGAAAGTCCAAGTTCCTATTCAACTCCACACACCAATCACTCATCGCTGAATTCCCTGATGCCGTGTCCAAGTCATGCTCCGGCGGTCTGGTTTCCCCGATACGGTGTGCAAGTGTGGGACTGAACAATTAAATATTCGAAATCATTTGGTTTTGTCCAAACATTCATCAACAATCTGCTCAGTTACATGCTTTCGTCTTTTCAATACTCTTCCGAAGGCTGATCATCGCTACGTTGTCCATCGGACCGAAAAAGGTACGTGCGGGATCAGGTTCAGGGATTTTCTGGCCGCGTGCCTTGAATGAATGTTCGGAATATTCTCTGAGAGGTTTTGCTTCGTGTTTAGATATGTTTACTTAGAGAGTTGTTTGTGCGAGGTTGCGAGAAGCCTCTTCGCGAGCAGCCTGATTCACGCCACCAGGCATCGTGATAATCGGAGTATGGAGGCTAAATTTGGCTACTTAGTTCACCTATTGAAATGACTTTCAAGTTTGCTCAAAGAAAATTCATTGTTCAGAAGTTTCTGAATATCGAAAATTTGCCTTTGCGTTGGGAGAAGCTTGACTGTAGATTGGGACTGTGGACAAAGAGGATTTTTAGATGCTGAGGACCTCCTCATTTGTACCGCAGAATATGAATGAATTTACTATAGACTTGGGACTACACATATAGTGAGACATACTGATGTTGTATGCATAATATCAAGTAGTATATCGCGCGAGACTGGACATCTATCCTATACATGGATATTTGAGATGATCAAATTCCTAGTTGAGCTTGTGGCTGCTGCCATGTTTTGGTCTGCTTTCCAGATTTGGGAATAGGTCGGGCTTCAATCATGCTGAAACACCAGCAATATCGAGAAAAACCTGCATAAGTTGTCTCACTGGCCTTCGGTCAGATCCTCAGGACAAATCGAAAACCATCGAGGAGTGCTCCTGACTCTGTACCCAGATCCTGTCCGACCAGCATGTAAGAAACTCTTCTGTGGAATGGCTTTCCTATTGTGGATACTTCACGCCATAATAAAAGGAATTAAGGAGCACGAGAAGGAGGAGGGAAGGAGGACGAGAAGATGGACGTTTGTGATTGTCAGTAACTTTAGAGCATGGCGGGCTGTCGATCAAACCTACAGAAATGGGCCTCTCCCCTCTGTGATCTCCAATGGAAAGTCGAAACATCTCTCCGTGGCCCAACTGCACTTTTGAATGGCACAGTTGAAGAAGTCTACCACTAAGTCTTTAAGATAAACCCCAACTTCGAAACCGAATACCCAATCCCGGAAGGCCTTTCTTCGGAAGATCAAGCCCTGGACAACGCTACGTCGTCTCATGGTATTATTGCTTCGGTCAATGGGCCCCTGCTCCTTCGAGTCCTATTCGGGACGGTATCAACTACCTGAGAAGGGTTGTAGGAACACCTACAAACAATCCTGGGTCTAGATACTGTGGCAGGGTCAGTTACTCATACAATGCTGCTATTTACTGGTGATATGATGCAAGTTTCGTGATGGCATTGCATCTGATCTATACTAATATCTGAACGGTCTCATAGAATACACAATATAAAGCACTGGACAGCTTCAACAGTATTGCTGATAGGGCTGAATATATTGCAAGTCGCTGCTATAATAATGGTCAGACTTCCAGTTCAGACTTTTTACAGTAATAATTGGAAAGTGGTTGTGCGCCGGGACAATTGCTAGACTGAAAAAGTGGTCTAGTATGAGATAGAAGATGCATACGGAACATCGATGATTCGGCCAACTTGATAGTACTTGATAGTACAATGTATGGGGCCACGGCGTGTTTATATCCAAACAAAGATCATGTAGTTAATATCTGCACAGTAATTCATATGCCCTTCCCAACGCCCAGAAGATAACAAAAATAGGTGTTTTTTTTTTAAACTCGTCACATCACAATCAAGGCTTCTGACCTCCAGCAGCACGATAAGCCGCAGCACGCTTGCTGCCATGGTTCTTCGGCTTGCCCTTTGAGCCACGGCTCTTAGTCTTGACCTTGATGCGAGATCCATCCTCCGTAGCACGATGACCCTCAAACACCATGGAGTTACCCGCAATACCACCCTTGCCAGCCTCCTTCATCTTAGCTGCGCCGGCCCGGCCGAGCAACTTATTGGCACGACCCTGAAGAGTTTTCTGAGCGAGATCGCCCTTGCGGGAATCCTTGTTATCGTCATCACGCTTCTTTGCCATCTTTCTCGCGCGGGTCACGCGCAGTTTACGCGGGAGCAGAGGAGGGAACTTCTTCTCGTTTAGCAACAGTGCGGCCTCGACGCCGTTTCCATCGTAGAATTGTACGTAGGCAAAGCCCTTTCCGACGCGGGTGGCCCGGTCACGGATAACACGGACGAACTCAACACTCTTCTTGTCTTTCTTGTCCTTGGCGCCTGTGTTCTCGTTGAAAGTGCGCCAAAGACCTTCTTCGATATCGGCCGGTGCGCGAACCTTCTTCTTCTTGCCGTTCTCGTCTTCGGTGGTACCCTCCTGATCGACGAAGTCAAGATTACCAACGAAGACGCAGCGCTTGTGGTCAATCTCTGCCGGGTGGGCGATGCTATCAACCCGGATGTGTCGGTCCAACACGACGGTTCCGTTCAAGGCAGCGGGAGCCTTGCGAGCGGCTTGGATCGTCGTGTACACAGCGTAGGCGTTTGTGCTGGGCGTGGTCTCATCAAGAATCTCACGTCTGGCGAACGAAGCGCGCTTAGGGAGCCCGCCGCCACTGGCGAAAGGAACGGAGCGGAAACGAATGGAATCGACCTTGTGCGGTCCGCTGGATTCGGGAAGGCTCGAGCAGAAGGATGCCAGGTGTCGGAGCAGGGTCTTCTTGGCAGATTTGGACTTGATGGCTTGCGTTGAGACATTACCAAGGAAAACGGTACGGTTGGACTTTTCAACCTCGCTGGTCTTCGCATTGCCGGATACACTCTCGTGCACTGGCGGAGCGGTTGTCTTGTCGCCACCGTCTTCCTCATCCTCCTCATCGGACTTATCGCTTTCGTCGGAGGTTTCCTTGGCAGGTTTCTGACGCTTGGACTGCTCAGCCTTTCGCTTCTCGTCGGCCTTTTGCTCTTCCTTCGCGATGCGACGCATATAAGATTCTTCCACATCCTCCTCGGCAGGACCGCGCTTGCGCTTACGGCTTTGGGGCTCCGCCTTCTCCTCTTCCTCTTCCGAAGAAGCAGTCTCGGCATCATTTCCCTCAGAAGCATCCTCCATCACTTCGTCCTCGGAATCGGGCGACTCATCCGACTCAGCGGTATCTTCCTTTTCGGCCTTCTTGGCGGACTTGTTTGCAGGTGCATTGGCGTTGTATTTCACGGCAGGGGCTTTAACAGGTCCGGACTGAAAGAGACATGATTAGTATGACGGGTTTGTCTCCAAGTTTTCTTGTCAAAACGTACACTCTGCGCGAAAAGCGAGGTCAATGTTGGGTCCAGAGATGCGTTACCGCTCAGGAACGGAAGGCCGTTGCTGCTCGACACCTTGGAGTCCGACTTGGACTGCGACTTCGATTTTTTGCCCATTCTGAAGAGGGTATATAGTCCCAGAAAGTGTTGAGATCTTTGAGGGAGGTCCAATGGGTGGAGTCGAATTCAAGTTGGTCGGGGACAAACTGCGCATAGCTCCGAACTTTTTTTTCGTTGCGCTTATCGGTCTTGGCGCGGGAGCTGTTGCACATCACATGATTGGGTAGATTCACTATGCATTTGCAAGAAAGTGCAGTGAGATTCACTGGATATTTGGTGATCTGACGCCGTTTGACTTTTGTTGGCTATTTCGTTAAAAAACGACACCAATATATTTTTCCTTCCAAAATTATTTCTCCATGTCTTACGACAAGAATGGTCTCCAACGCCCACGCAGCCTCCTTGCAAACTTGAAGATCACTGCAAGACTCAAACTAGTCATATACCTGGGCTAGCTGGCTGGTAACATTCCATCTCCTACTGCCATACTCAATCATGCCTCGTCATCACTGCTATGGCTGTTATTGTCCGCGCACCGCCGTCTCCGGCGACGTCAGTCCCACGTGACCTGGGAGGTTTTGCGGGCGGTGAACCTCGGGACGGCAGTACATGCCCCGTCACCCGTCTCTGTTGCTGCACCCCATCATAGCATCGTCCGGCTTCCTCCCTCCTTTCAGTGGGCTATACAGTCGATTTGCTCCCACCATCGCCCCTGTGGGCATTGCGGTAATCCTCGATATTCCCCCGCCTCTTCATGTCGACCGTCCTCCCGCGACCCTCCACTGTGGTCCTGCCCGCTTCCTAGCCGACCTCCCCTCGCTGTTCAGCACCGGCGCATCAGTGATCCGACAGCTTTTCGCGGTCTTTTATACCTGTGAGACGCGTGGGCCTGGATTTTTTAAATTCCTGTGTGCTCAAACCACACGGGTAGTGAGGGTCGTGCTCGATCGCGAGCAGCTTTGCTCGTTCCCAGCGGCGCTCCCGGCGCATTGTTGAGACTGTAGGTCGCTCGCCCTTCTACGACACCCTCATGAATTATTTGGTCCCGTGTTGGGGTACAAGTTCATCCTAGACTCCCTGGGAAGCTTTTCCACAATCATTTATGCGTGCGCAGTCGCTGGTTCCTCCTGCGAGCGACGCTTGCCGGCTCTGGGGGAACGTTGCCGCGATGATCAATCTCCGCACCGCCTTCTCTGGAGGCGCTGACCTACTAGTCGCACCCACCCAACCACTTTTCCTCCCACCAGTTTTCCCCGGGCAATTCGGCCCAGATAGCATGGCAATTGAGCTAATCGATTATCTGGTTGTTTTAGACTCTCACGCAAAACTTCACCTGGTGGACCGGTGACCTTGCCGCCAACCTCCCACCCACAACCAAAACGGTGCCACCGACGGCTTTCTGGCACAACGCGACCCGAACACACCTCCCTTCTCCCAATACCCCGCGCCTTGCATTTCCCTGGCCTCTCTACCATCGCAGATGGAGGTAGCCGAAAGCAGAGAACAAGCCTCCGTTGGACCGTCAACGGGGGCCGAATCTACCATGGCCAATGGCGAAAGAAACCTCTTTCTCGATGATCCGCTCATGGACGACGGACGCTCCAGTAGCCTGAGTGAGATTGACGACGTATCCGACAACGAGCCATCTGACTTCGAAGACTCCCCCAAGCCCGAGAGGCAACTGGAAAATGACTCGGAGGCGGAAACCGAGCGGCTCGAGGATTCTCCCCACAACATCCGAAAGCGAGATATTGTGATTAGCGCTGGCAGTGCGGGCCCTAGCCCGAGCAAGCTTCACCAGTCAACTACCCTCGACGACGTCAATGAAGAAGACGAGGAGGAGGAAGAAGAAGAGGAAGAGGAAGAAGTGCCAGTGGCGGACGACTCGCCCAGCAAGCGAAGGCCCTCCCAGAACAACGGAGTCCTTGATGAATCTCTTGAACTCGATGAAATGGAGCTGCCTGATGGTTTCGGAAGGAAGCGCAAACGCGTCGAGGCCGGCGATGATGAGACCGGTACTGAAATTGGCGACGTGGAACCGATCAAGAAGCGCCGAAGCTCCATTAAAAGCGATCTGAGCGACCCAATTGACGACGATACCCCTCTGTCACCAGAGCCGATGATGGATGACCCTACGGCGATCAACGAAGATGACGAAATACCCGTCGACGACCTTCCCGAATCAGAACTCCCGGCTGCATCGGCCAAAGGAAAGAAAGCCAAGAAAGGCCAACGGAAGGGAAGACGGAGTGAAGATGGGGATGAAGAGATGGAAACCGTTGGCGACCTCGCCGTCGAGGATGTTCCTGAGGACGCTCTCGGCGAAGATGAAGAGCCCGTGGACCGCGTCGAAGGACCCCAGAGCGCGGAAACAGCTGCGAGGGTGGAAGAAGAATGTAAGTTTCATGCTGCTGAAGTTTTGTTGAAGGAGACATCAGATAGAACTAACATGCTGCTTCAGCCGCGAAGAAGACGTCGGCCATGGAGTCGCTCGCGACGTTGGAGAGAGAATTTGCAACGTTGCGTGATAAGTAAGAGCCCTTGCGCTTCAGTTTCTGACTTCGTTTACTGACCTTCTTCCAGGATTTATGATGAGCGTATCTCGAAACTCAATCGTGAGCTCGACATGCTTTCTGGGGACAACCCGACCCACCCCGAATACTTGCGCCAGGTCGAATGTGTGCAACGTTACCGGGATGCCAAGATCAAATACGAAGATACCTTGTTGCACTACCGCATGAAGGCCCTGTTGAACAAGAGCTTGGCCGAGCGTGCGCAAGCACTCAGCACGTTCTTCCAAAAAGTTCGAGAAGTGCGCGAAACCCACTCCAGTGCGATCAGCCAACAATTCTACGCCATTCAGCATGACCGTTTCAAGACGGACGATTTGAGCCCCCACCACGTCATCCCATTCCCTACCCGTCGGTCCCAGCAAATTGCACACCAGGCCGCCTACAACCAGGAGGTTTCGGTCATGGCTGGTGTCGCCAAGTATGTCGGTTTCCCTGCAGCGCCGACTTTACTGGGAGCCCGACCGTCGGAGCTTGATGATGATATGGAGAAGATGGGAATTGCGGTCGAATCTCGTGCCACGGCTCCGAGACAATCTTCGTCTTCGACATTACCACAGCCCCGGGGTACCATGTCGGCCATGTCATCCAACATGTTTCGCACTGCAGCTGCAGCTGAGGAAGCTTTCTTAGAGCACACTCCTTGGGCCAACCCCCAGCACCCGATTCATCAGCAACAGGCACAACAACATCAGTACACTCAACATCAGCGGCCCCAAGGACGACCCTTCGAGGCTCCCCAAGCGTCATCATTTGCAACCCCTGCAGCTCAAAAGCGGGTGGTGGATGTGAACGCTCCAAACGGATCAGCGTCTACCATCCCTGAGAATGCCTCGGCCGCCAACTCGTCGGCGAACAATACTCCCTACGGTATCGAGCAAGATCCACGAAACTCAAATCAGGGACCGTGGCGGAATCTGGACTATGATATCGAACGCAAATCTGGCTTCCGTTCCCAAAGCTCCTCCCCGCTTGATGTGCGGAAATCTCAACCGCACCCAGCTCATGGCCTCGAGCACCGCTCTCCAGCCACCGACATCTCTTCCGCCCGCAACCCCCTCTTCTCCCCCCCCCGCTGCTCGATCAAGTTTGTTCCCACCACCCACTGGCCCCAAACCCGATGCCTCCTCTCTCCCGTCAAAACCCATTGATACAGCACATTATCGTCCTCAGCAACCCGAGATATCAACAGGGTCAAGTTCAAGTCATATGCCAGCGCGGTAAAGCACGACTGCATCATCAATTGTGTTTTGCTTCCGCGCCGCACAACTCTTACGACCGAACTCTCTCCCCGACAGAAAATCAACTCTCGACATGTTTCGAGGCCTCTGCATCATGTTTCAAATCTCCCCTAATGAAGATTCCCCCTATCTTTTTCTTTGATTGTGCTGCTGCCCAGCAGAACCAAATGTATTTCTGATCAGCGTCGAGCTAGAAAGGAGAAGACATTGAATTGCGCGTGCCGTTCTTGCCCGAACCCGGGTTTCTCAATTCAATTTCTTCTCGAGACCACATTTACATATGGGAAACGGCGGTGTTTTCTATCTTTTCACGGAGCCCATGTGGTTTCCTTTACGGCTGCATGGAAAGGAAATTGGATACTTTTTTCTCCTTCTTTCTCTCTTATCATATGAGGTGTTTGTATGGGTATGGAATTGCCTTTTGTTCTCTTCCTTCTCTCTTCTCCCTCCACTTCTTTAACGGTATTGCCTCTTGCCCAGCGATTGTTCTGAGTTTATGTTGATTTTGAGAAATGTCTTTCTCATGTACGTTTTTCCTTTTTCTTTTGATCTCGAGTTTTGGCGTTTGTGGGTGTAAATACCACGCATACATATCGGCCTGTTGGTGTTTGTTCAAGGTATCAGCTGTGTTATTTCTGGCGCAAACTCTAAACGGATGATTCAATGTCTTTGTGTGTTCTTGTACGTAGTGGTGTATTCTCTCCTTTAATTGATGAGCTCTGGCTCTGCGAGCAATAATCTCCAACTCCTTCTGATACGAAGAATAAGGTTAAGTCCACGTTCTGAAACTCACTGTTCGAATGAAATGTTGCGGCAATACTGGTACTAAAGCACCCAGCGAAGAGCATGCTGATGGGGACTTTCGAGTCTAAGCCGTCAGAAACGAACGACCGGAACTTGCACTACCTACGCACCACGCAATGAAAACATACCATAAATTGAAAGTAAAGATATTCTCAGGTCTTGGCTGACAAAGTCTCCCAGGTATCAGCGGATATTCTTGCTAGGCAAGTAATAGGGCTTATAGAATGAGCCAGTACAGTAGAGCCAAAGTGACCACTGTTAAAATCGCTCATTTGTACTGCACTTGTAAAAAATAGATGGAACACTACATGGTATAGCCCACGGGCAGTGAGACGCGGAGGTCCTTCTTCGAACTGTCCATTCCATACTTGCACCATCCTTTTATAGCCACCCTTGAGTTCAAGATATTATTCAACGCCTAGCAGATATAGGAGACTACTAACCCCGATCTGGGAATCAATTTCTGTAATCAAATGTCCTCAATAGAAGTTCCGTGCAGTCGATGTCATAGATCTTCATAGATCTTCCAAGAATCTCATAGTAGATGCTAGATACAGAAGTGTCTTCACCAGAACGGTTCGTTTTGACCGAGAAGTCTCCTGAAGGTTTGACTGAGAGTGAGGTTGAAACTGCCTCTTATGAGCATAAATCTTTGTCTCGCACCAGTGCAAATTTAAGAGTACTCCGGGAGAGGAAGGGCCACATACTAATACAATAAAAGAGACGCAGTCAACTCTTACCCAAATGCCACTCACAAATACCACTCGCAGCTTGCTTTCTTATAGCAGCTGGTAAATGCGGTGTGAACGATTTGTCCTGAAGCGGATGAAGGGACAAGGGACGGAACTGACGTCATGTAAACAGGGAAGACGGCAAATTGCCACTCCTTTGTCTATTCTAAGGAGAGTCTGCCTCAATTACTATTATTTATTGAATATATACCACGAATTAAACCCAACCGTACTATTCAATATTTCGCTTTATGCTGAAGGATTTATAAATTCCGCGGAGAATCCACCGTAATAAGGCGGCAGTTGCTGGTGCGGGGACGATAAGATAGAGCTTACCTTATTCCAACTGAGCTGTCGAAAGGCAACCCTGAGTCAATAACCACTTCATAACACCAAGACACTCCAGGAGTCCTCACCAAAGAAACACCATCAGCCCTGACAAATTATCACAATCTCGCCTGAAGCTGCTTCTCCGACAGGGAACTGACTTCGCTTACGGGAATTCGCCGGTTAGCTCAACAGGTGGGGTTGCAGCCTGGCCTTATCACCAACGTGAACCCTCCGGCTCTTTCTCTCCAGCCTAGCTCGCACCTACTCCTGACGTTACGTACACCATTTACCGCAGACAGACCAGCGACGATGCTGTCCCTCCCCTTCCGCCTACGACGCGGTCTTTTCGGCGCGAACCGGGACGAAGAGAATAATAGCGACGACGGGAGCTCTTCGAGCTCGCAGCCAGAGCAAAGCACAGAAAAAGAAGTGGCGAAAGATTTCTTTCCTAGCCTTTGGGACGTGCTGAAAGTGCGATACCTACTGCAATGGAAGATTAGGAAGGGATTACCGCCTGAGTTGGTGGATGCTGTCATCGATGCGGCGGAGTATTGGCCTTCGACGGTGCATGAGATGGAGGGCAAGAGACGGGTGATGTGTGATCGGGATCAGGTTTTGTTGAAGACTGTTCCTCTTTGCTATGATCGGAAGGTTTGTCTCGCACCCTTGTGGTTTTCCTCGGCTGTCTGGAGATTGTACTCACTAAAATATCAAGAACCTCGAGGGATCAGAACCCAAACCACTCCCCCCACCGCACAGTACACCCATGCCGCAAAATAGTCTTCCACCTCTCATCGCACGACCAGGGCGGCGGACGCGCACGCGAGGATATGTACCACGGCTCATGGACCTGGTTCGACACAGAGGTCATTCGCGAAGCACATACGAAAAAGATGTATGTGGATGGAACCGAACAGGAGATTCTGGAGGATGAATTGGGCTATGTGAAAAAGCACTTCGAGCCTAGCGATCAACTTCTTTCCCCGCGCAGCAAGCAGGTCCAGATGAATGGGGCTCGGGTCTCGGAGATGCAGGATCGTGTGATTACCTGGCATTACCTCGATGATGTCGCTGCTAATTCTACGGAGGCTTATCATATCGAGCGCACTGAGGGGCGGGGTCGGCTCATGTTGGATGGACATGTTGTTCGTGAGTTGCAGGTTGGGGACTCGATTGCTCTTTGGGGGCGGGCAAGGTTTACCGGGTGGGCGAATTATGTGGATCGGGCGAGTGTGAGGATTTTTTGGGCTGTTTGAATCAGCTTGCTCTTTTGCAGATACTACTACAGTAGTAGGGCTGGTCCCTATGCTTGGTTTAAATGCAACTACAGGTGGTAGTTAGGTGTTGCACAGATACATGGTCTTTGACATATGCTTCAGTAGCAGAACCAGAAATAAATGTATAAGTTGTAAATGAGTAAAATATATAAGATAATAAAGTGTAGCATACTATCCTCCGATAGGCATGGCACCTAATGGCGTTATACCACCACGCCTATAGTTACTAACTGATACATATGGCAGCCTCAGGCAGCGAGGCAGTACGCAATCACGCAATTTCGCCAAGCCCTCCGGATCGACGCCAGCCAGCGAGTATAAGACCAAACGCCTCCCCAAATCACCTTTCCTTCCCTTCTTTCCCAAAAATGGCCCATCGACCGCCGTAACGATACTCTCAGCGCCAGCGATTCATCCGACACCCCCAACATTACCCCCGGTCACCCCAACCATGCCCCCGTGAAGGCAGTGAAAACCCATGATAGTCGTCCCTCTGAACCAGGGCACACCCGACACAGCCGACAGCCCGATGGCAACCGCCCGCGACAGTGGGGCGCTTGCGTCTGTCCTCTCGCTCTCGGCCGGCTCCTCCAGGCATTAGCCAATTCGAGGCATTGGATACTCAGCTGAGATGAGGGCGGAGTCATTTCGAGAGACGATCGGCCCGTTCTGACTTCTACTCGGTCGAGAGGTTGATCTGGCTGTGTCGGGGACCTGGGGATCTTGCGGTGGTTCCTGTCCCGCTCGTTGGCGACGGTCCGACTGGATGTTGGTTGCGTTATCTGCACTGCGAATGGTGATCGGTGACTTACGCATGCCCTTTCCTCGGTCTTGGCTGCTATAACGCCCCTTTTTGAACGCCCCTCTTGCTTTTGCGGTGTGCGCTTGGCTTGTGACGTTTCCCCAATGCTTATTTAGATACCCGAATGAATCCAGTTTTCTCCTTCTAAACTCTTGTCAACTCTTTACCCTCCAATTCCCCCACATCTTCATTTCCCACCATCTCCAAATTCAGTATCACTGAAATCCCCCTCCTTGAACGCCAGATCTCAAGAATGGCAACCCGCAAATGCGCCGCCGTGGTCGTCGGCGCCGGTCCAGCCGGCGTCGCAGTCGTCGGCAACCTCCTCGAACGCCAGCTGGGCGCAGTCGCCTGGATCGACCCCAGCTTCGAATCCGGCCGCGTCCACCGCAAATACCGCGAGGTCCCTAGGTACGATCGCATCCAGCGGCATCAGCGTTCGTCACTAATCTGCCATCAGCAACACCAAAGTCTCCCTGTTCCAGGCCTACGCCACCTCCCTCCAGCCTTTCCGAACCGTCATCGAAAACACACCCCGTCCAAATGCCTTTACAGCCATGGCCAAGCTGGACCAGGAGAAGACGTGCCACCTGCACTACGCTGCGGACATGATTCGCGCCCTGACAGACGGGCTGATCAAGATGGAGCAAGTCCATGCCTGCCGTGGCTTCGTCACGGCAGCTAACCTCAGCTCAAAGGTAGCATTCAAAACACACATACCCGGCAACAGCGAGATCCTAACTCTCTGGCATACAGTCCGACAAACCAAACTGGACCGTCCACATAAAACAAGACAACGAAACCGACCTCCACCTCGAAACAACCCGCCTAATCCTCTGCACAGGCGCACACCCAACCAACCTCCCCATCCCAGTCCCAGGCCTAAGTATAACGCCCCTAAACCTGGACGTGGTCTTAAAACCCAGCGAGCTAGCCACAACCCTCACAACAACACCAACAACAGTCGCCGTAATCGGCGCCTCCCACAGCGCAATCCTCGCCCTCCTAAACCTCCTCACACTCGCCCAAACCTCCCACCCGCACCTCCGCGTAAAATGGTTCACACGCCACCCACTCCGGTACGCGGAGTACAAAGACGGCTGGATTCTGCGCGATAATACAGGTCTCAAGGGGTCCGCGGCGGACTTTGCGCGTACCCAGCTTGAAGATTCGGAACTGCCTACTTCTGAAGCTGGGAAGGTTATCGAGAAGGTTGACACTGCCGGCGGTGAGAAGAGGGAGAAAGAGCTTTACGCGGAGCATTTGCCCGGTTGTCAGTACATCGTTCAGGCGGTCGGATTCACGCGGGACCCCGTGCCGAAACTGAGTCAAGAGGGCGAGAGTCTGGGGATGGAGTTTGATCATGAAACTGGACGGATGTGTAAGCCTCAGGCTGGACCGCCTATCCCTGGCCTTTTTGGGGCGGGCATTGCGTTTCCGGAAAGAGTTGTTGATCCGTACGGGAATGTGGAATATGCCGTTGGGTTTTTTAAGTTTATGAATTTTTTGAGGAGGGTTGTGCCTGGTTGGTAATCTATCTACCCTATTTGGGGGAGATGGGTGTGCTTGCTTAAGGGTTTGGATTTTAAGGCGCTGGTGTTTGGAGTTTGGTTAGAAGTGCAAATTCGATGCTTCATTGGGTATCTTGGGTACTCTAGAGATAGCTTTTTAGAGGTGTAGACCAAATCGTCGAATACATCGAATTATCAACATCGTTCAATCTGTTCACTCATTATATCCACAAACCCATTTATAAATGGACTTTTCGATTATTCAATTTACCCATCATCCGAAAATCCATTCATCAACTCCATCCCCATCCCATCTTATCCTGTCCTCATATCATGTCATGTCATGTCATGTCCATCAATCAAAAACATCAGAACCACCCCTCCAACCAACAAAACAAACGAAATGAACCTCACTCAATTTACGTTGTCAAACCGTTCACAGCATAAATGCAGCAACAACAACAACAACACCCAAAACCCATCCAGCCCTCAAGCCGGTCGCCGCGTTAGTAGAAGTCTGTGTCGCAAAAACATCCGTCCCTGTCGCCGTCGCCCGATACTCACTCTGACTCGCAACCGCCTTCCGATCATACCCGGTAGCCGTAACAGTATACGTCGTGGACGACTGGGACCAAGTAAGGACCGTACCACTGGGGGGCGCAGTCACCGTCCCGCCTTCATTCGAGAGCGTCTGTGATCCATTCGAGGGCAAATCACCCGGCTTATAGAACTTATCATCCGGGTCTGAGAACCCCGCATTTCGACAATCTGTCGACGAGAGCGTATCGTCGCAGCTGTCCCAGGCCCAATTTGGAATTGAGGTGTATAAGTTGGGCAGATCGGAGGGGAAGAAGATTGGCCAGAGGTCGGCGCCTGCGAGCGTGGGGATTGTGTGCGGGCAGACTTGCCATGAACTATTTTGTGTTAGTGGGTTAGGATGTGTTCGTTTTGTGAGGATGTGTTTTTTTTTTTTTTTTGGGTGTTGGGGAGGGTTAACGCACGCAGAGATAGCAGCACTAGCACCACAGCAGGCGCAATCAGTCGCCTGCTTAGCGATATCAACCCCATTAGGCAAATTCGAGAGATCACCGATATTATTCGGAATATTGTCCAGCGTCTTATCGGTGACGTTCTGGATGCAGGAGATTTGCTCCTTGCGCGCGGAGAGGGTTGTCTGCAAGACTTTACCTAGGTCGCAGGAGCATCTGTTTGGTGCGTTGTTCGGTGCTGGCCAGAAGGGGATGGGTTCGGTAGCGCTGGGGCAGACGGCGAAGTATTGTTGGACGAAGAGTTGGTATTCGCAGGAGTAGACCTGCACAGTATCAGCACAATGTATGTGGTTTTGGTTGTATTTAGTTGTGGCTGGGGATCGCGCATACCTGGTTCCAGCATGACTGCGCCATACAATTGATATACTCCTGGTGGGCGGTACATCCGCAGTCAACGATGCAATTGCCATTCCCGCTGCAGTCGCGAACACAGTCGCCCCATTTGTTGGCGACGTTGCGGTTGCAGGTGGTGTAGTCGTCTGACGAGGCACAGGCATGAGCTGTGATGTTTGTTTGGGCTTGCGAGATTCCTGCGAAGCCTAGCAGGGCGGCGGCTGAGATGGTATAGATACTGTGCATGTTGGCAATCCCAAGTATAGACCAAGTAGCACACTAGTAAGGCACACTGGTGGTAGTGTCTTCTTCGACTTTGTCTTTGCAGTGCGTTGCGAGCTTTGCTGGAATGGCCCGATCAACACCATTGTAAAATCGGGCGTCTAGCCATTTATAGCCCGGCTACACCGATCGGATCCCCGGCTATGCATGCATCTCAGGCGGGTCGATCATTTCGAACCGAGCTGTCATCGTTGGCAGAGGGCGCATGGTTGTACAGGGGATGGTCCACTCTGTTTTTAGCAGCCATCGCGCTGTGCTGTAGTGAACGAACTAGGGCATGACAATGCAAGGCGAGATGTACGCGATTAGTCAATTGCCTTGCTGCAGGGTGCCGGGGTCTGGGATGCATATTTCATATGTGTGATGCTTTGGTTCTGGCAGGTTGATAGGTCGAGTCGGGGAATACCCGAGTCACTTGGTCGAGGATTTAACGTCGATATCCCTTTCTTCGATCCTCCGCTTCCTAGCGGGGATTTTTTTTATATGCCGCCCTTGCTGCGACACGAGGTTGGATGAGAGGGGCTTTATTGGTGAGCCTTGCATGTCTGCACCTACTCATGTACACAGTGCCTTCGGCTGCCCTGCCGTCGTACCCACGCCATCGCACTCGCTGAGACGGTGAATGCGACAGGGAACCCCCTTCCCTTCTATTTTTTTTCTCTGCTCATGTACTCGGCGAGCTGCTGGACTGCAGTGGGCCGCATAACCGAAGTCGAGATGAATCTGAATCTCTCTGCTTATTCTGAGCGTGGTTTTTCGGGCTGCCATCGTCGTCATCGGCAGATGAGCGTGAGCGTGAGCATTGTGGACAGAGCCTTGCTGGACTGGAGGCGGGGAGAACTCGAAGGCTGAGCCGGTCGAAATGCAAATGACGTGAAACATCTAGAATTGGCATTTTGGCGTGGCAGAGTCAGGGACGGCGGTGTACCTCCACTACTATGTACAGCCGGCAGAAGCGGGCATTAGTGGGAAGGCGGAGATGAACCTGACCTGTCATGTCACGCCCTACATAGTCCTACATGTTCCCTTGTCCTAGTACCTGATTATGGTACTACTACCATATACAGAGTACATGATAAGACTTGGGATATTTGTATTCAGTGCGTATGAACCTCACCCACTACCCTTAGGCTAGCCACTGTAGGAAACAATGACGTCGGCACCCATTCCCGATATCAGATACGAAGTACGAGGGGTTGTCAGTAAGGTGGGCCGCACTAATGCCAACACTTGCACTAGTGCACACCTCTTGAGGGTCAGGCACTCCTCAAGAGGACACTTACTCGAGGGACCCTAAAGTTGGAGAGCGTGAATTGCGTCCCGCTGGTGGATCCACCGGCAGATCCTTATTACACGATCCATCCGCCCTTTGCATTAACCCCTTGCTCTGTTTACCTTACCATAGAGTAGTCAAGGGAGTCGGCTCAAATGAGTTTTTTAGATTGTTGTTCTTTGATGTCGTCACTACCCCTTCGACGGGAGGGAGTGTTTGTTGCTGCACTGGCGTTGTTATGAGATTGGAGTGTTTGTGTTTATCGTGGAGTCGTCAAGCCTTGATAGGCTATGTAGCGTAGTATTCATCTCCGAGACCCACGGCGATCCGTGATAACGGCTAGCGGGAGTTAGGTCGGAGTCAGTGGGTTGTTGCTGATGGGAAATACTCGGAGAATACCATAACTTAGTGAAGTGTGACGACTCAACCTTCACTTATTAGGAACTACAGTCTAGGGTAGAGCAGCCAAACTCAATTCCACAAAACACTAGTTGAGTTATGGAGTAGTTATGAATAAAATATTTTCATTAGTAACATTGGGGGGGTAATACATTATGCGAACATGAAAACTCAATCAACCGTCCATATCAACAAATATCGAACATACATATCAGCCCGGACTGTGCAGGGGACAGGTCCTCAGATGATAATCAGAGTAGATATCACATGCTGTACAACAAAAAAAAAAAATCGGGAGGTCCTCTGTTCAGATGACCTTACACACCTTACACCTTAGACCAGGGCAATGGCACCCGCAACGAGAGCAAGCATACCGCCCGACACAGAGTTGACGACACCAGCATTGGAGTTGGGCACATCGGTCGAGGAGGCGGAGGCAGAGGCCGAGCTGGAGCTAGCGGAGCTGGAGCTAGTCTCGGTCGCGGTGCTGGACGCGGCGGAGCTGCTGGTCTTGCTGCTGGCGGTGGTCATGGTGGTAGCGGTGGTAGCGGTGCTGGCAGCAGAGCTGGAGGTGGTAGCCTCGGTCGAGGTCGAGGTGCTCGCCTCGGTAGTAGTGCTTGCCTCAGTAGTGGTAGTCGCAGCCTTGCTGGTAGTGGTCGCAGCGGCAGTCGAGGCTGAGCCGGTCGCGCCGGCGACAGTGAAGTAGGGCAGGAAGTTGTAGTCTTCCAGGTCGTTGTCGTTGATAATTTCAATGGTGTACTTGCGGTCTGCGACCAGGTCGGTTGGGACGGACCAGGTGTAGGTGCCCGTGTTGTCGATGCTAGCTGGTAGGGGAATTAGTTCCGCGGAATTGGAACCCGTGCGTGCGCATGCACATTGAATCATTTGGAGGTATGATTCATCTGTGGGCGAGTACTTACAGGCAATAGCCGTGCCAGAGGTGGGAGTCGTAACAGAGCCCCACTGCAGACGCAGGGAGATTGTGCCGGGGCTCAGGTTGTCCCAGGTCACAGTGGTCGATTCGCCGGCCGTGAAGGTGTAGCCACCGGGCGGGTTGTTGAAGGCATTGTCCTTACCGGCGGCGGCGGCGAGGACAGCGAAAAAGGTGGAGGCGAGAATGGTGAAGCGCATGGTGATGGTTTGAAATAAAGACGCGAAAGCGAAAGTGCGAAGAGCTAACGAGGCTGAAGGAAAGAATGGAGTGGGTGGATGGTTTTAAGGAGCGGCGCGGACAAATCCGGTGTTAACGAAGGAAAGAGGCAAAAGGCGTAGGCAGCGCCCCCCGGAAGTTTAGGGAATCAAGCGTTATATGGGGCAGCACTAGATTTGGAGGACTAACACTAACACCCAGCCTAGCCTCCTCGACACTAGTCTAGCCTCCGGCAGCACCGTTCAAGGGTCGCTCTGCCGGGGGCTCGACGAGGCTGGCCAGTCACGCCAGCGTGTCTATCGGCGAACCGTGGGAAATTGGGAAATTCACTCGTGGCGGCGATCCACGAGGCGCGCGGTGGCCATTCACAGCGCTCGCTTGCAAAGTACCTTAATAGAATCCCCACATACACATTACCCTAAAAGGTACCCTAAGGTACACACTAGACTACATCCAGACGGGAGATTGGCTCGGCTAGGATCCTGGAGGAGGCACAGCAGGCTTGGCCTATTTTTGAGTCGGGAGAAATGCCTCCATTGTCTCTACCTAGCAGGTGGCTATTCTTAGTGTGCACTTATGGCTGCCTTGCTACCACATGGTAAATTTGAGTGTTGGTATCAAATGTCATTGTGATCTTGCAATATCATCGCACATAGCAGGGAAATATCTAGTGCTTCTGCAGAGTTTGCGAAATGAGGATGCGCATGTTTATCATTTGGCTCGCCCACGCGGGTCGCTGGTTGTCAATCGGACTGCAGCCCCTTTTTCGCGTGGTTCCTGACGCCAAGTCGTACAGCGCAAATATATAAGGTACAGATGGTATAATGATATGTAGTTCATAATTCGAGGCTTCGACAACTCTGCCCTACATCACAGTGCCCAACTCCTCTCATACAGTAGTTAGCCCGTAGATAGTGGAGCTAGGCCGGGATATCGGTCTCCATCTGCGGGGCGTCCGAACGGTCGTTCGTCGGCCCCAACAGTCCATTCTGTCCCAGCCAGACGATGACTTCCATCGCCCGTCGGTCCTCGTCTTCTTTTTGTCGGTCGAGTAGCTTCGTGAGTTGTTAGTATTTGTAATAACAATAATATTAAAAAAGAAAAAACAATACGAATAGTGGGGATGGGAAAGGAGAACTCACAGCCTGTAAAAGTCCCTTGCGCCCCTGCTTCTCCTTATCCTTCTGCTTCTCCTTCTGCTGCTTCGCCTTGGCCCGCCCAGCCACATCATGCGAGAAACTACACTGCTCCCCGCGATTACACTTGCCGCTGCGCGCAAAGTGTCGGCAGAGCTGCTTCTTGCCTTCGCGCGGTGGCGGCGGGACCTTCTCGGGTCCCTGCCGTCGCGAACTGGCTTGTTCCGGCGCCGAGTCGCTATCGCGGTCGCTATCCGAGTCACTGTCCGAACTGCTTGCGCTCTCGTCGGAGTCTGACTCGGAATCACTGCTACCGCTCGACGAGGTCCAATCGCTTTTCTCGAGATCCGACAGGTCCTGCGAGGGGCCGGCAGCATTGATGCTGGCCGGCTCAGCCTTTGCAGGAACAGGATTAGCGGGGGTCAATGCCACGGCTGGAGGGTCGAGGGTCATGGGGTCGGCAGCTGGAGGCTCAGGCACAGAGTCGGCGTTCGGTTCGCCGGCATCTCCATTTTCTTCCTCATTGTTGCCACTTCCCAGCTGTTTCTGTAGAGCAGCCACCTTGAGACGAGCCGCTTCGGCTTCCGCCTCGGCCTTAGCGAAGCGTTTCTGCTCCCGGTCCAGGTTGCGTCGGATCTTGTCCGCCTTGCGCTGCGCTTTCATCGCCGCGCTCAACGCCGGGTCCGCATTCGCGTCGATGGATTTGCGGGCTTCTTTCTGCTTATCTTTGTTGTCGCTCTTGCCATTTGCTTTCCCCCGCTCATTCATCTTCTCTCGTCGAGTAGCTTCGCGGGCGGCCTTGGCTTCCTCTGCAGCCTTTTGCTTTTCTTCCACACGGGCTTGCGTGGGGAATTTCTTTTTCCGCTCTGCAATCCATGCTTGGATGTCGGCGGGTGATTGCAAATTATTTGTTTTACCCTTGTAAGAGAACTGCAGCGGGGCGGCCTCGGCGCCTGGTTGCGACAGTTTCGACTCCTCGTCTCCGTCCTCCTCTTCCTCGCTCGACTCGTGCTCCTCCGTTTTCGGGGTCAGGCCGAGCTGATTGTGTTTGCGCTTTCGTTTTCGAGGCGGTCGTCGAGCTGCGTCGCGACTGGCGTCCACGGCTGGCGGCGGTTTGCACGGCAATGGGTTGCCAAAGCTGGGGACGGCCGGGGCGGCCGGCGTTCGCGGGACCGTGGACTGAGGCTTAAAGGCAGCGGAGTGATCACGCTTGTTGTTCGGCGGCCTTGATTTGGGTCCGTGGTTCCCGTGGTTATGATGGTTGTGCGGGTGAGTCGACCACCCTCGGCCATGACTGTGTCCGTGGGTGGCTCCTCCGTATGGTGTCGGCGTCGGTGCTGCAGCAGACATATCCGCGCCCCACGGCACAGAGCCCATCACCAGCGGAGTACTCGGTGGGGAGGCATGCTGAGCAACATTCGGCGGGTAGGGTGGTGAATTTTGTGGAGTAGGGTACGATGCGGCGGGCGTCAAGTTGGCCGGGCCAGTGTAGTGTGATAGCGGAGTGTAGGCGGCCGATCCAGCGGGCTGATGGAAGTTTTGAGGTGGTTGGAAGGTAGGCGGGTTGGGCGGGCTTGCGAAATTTGTTTGCGTATGAGGATAGGGCGGGGGCGCAGGCATGTACGACGTCGCCGACACTGGTTGAGCTGGATACCCATAGTTGGCCTGCGCGTAGTTGTATCCTGTTGTATTTGTCGAGGCATATGGAGGACGACTCCCGTTCGACGAGTGATTCCCGCCTCGACCTCGATTTCCCTGGCCTCGCCCCCGTCCTCGTCCGCCGCCGCGGCCGTTATGCTTGGGCGGGTGGTGGGCGGGTTGGGAGACCTGGACGGGCGGAGGAGGAGGTGGTGGAGGGAACGAAAACCCCTGGGAACTCATGATCCCTCTGTGAGGTCCCTTGAGAAGTCTTTACACCATCGCGCGACGGCCGCAAACAACGCGAAAAAAAATATTAAAATTTCGACGATCTGCTGCGCCGCGAAAGTCTCGACAGCTTCCGACTTGACAGCTCGCGCGTCACGTGCCGGTTCCACTCGGCCGTTGATTGGCGACAGGCTTTTTGGTGCACATCCATTCACTGATACTCAAAGAGCAAGAGGAGTGAGCACAGGACTGTCGGGAGATCTTCTGTGTCTGATCTCACTTGTTCATCGACCACACCCGAGTGCACTATGTTTATTCTTGTCGGTTTTCCCCCGCTATCAAATGATCTTTCATGCTGACCCGTGCTAGACCACCATCTCCGATCTGATCCAGATCTCACCCGAGGACTTTTCCAAGTTCAGCGCCGTGGCGATTGAGGACAATATTAATGAGAAATATGCGAACAAAGTATGTCTCGCAGACACAAGTTTTGTGCGCGTATAGACTCGTGCAGCCCGCTGTGGTACAAATGTCTGATTCGTTTAGGTAATTCAAAAAATCGGGCTGTGTATCAGCTTCTACGACTTACTAGAGTCATCAGACGGTCTGATCGGCCATGGAACAGGTCTCGTGAATGTGAACGGTACATGCAATCTTGCACAGCGGATTCTGAGCCATGACTGACGTTGAGGCAGTGAAATTCCGATTGATCGTGTTTCGCCCATTCAAGGGAGAGATCATGCTGGGCAAAATCGCCAGTGGGACTGAACACGGTATTAAGAGTGAGTTCCGCCTCCTGCCAATGTTCTATCACAGACACTGATTCGGTACAGTTGCCGTGGAATTCTTCAACGACATTTTGATCCCGCCAGAGCTCCTTATGCCCGGTGCTAAATTGTGAGTGACGCGAACAGACCCTGAAAAAATGATCTGTTAGAAGAATGCTAATGAGTGCAGCGACTATGCGGACCAAGTCTGGATCTGGGAAAATGACGAAGGCTCATGCTTCTACTTTGATGTCGGTGAGGTCGTGCGGTTCCGTGTTGAAATGGAAGAATGGAACGATCAGGTCCCCAATGGACCAGAGCTGGCAGATGGGCCGGTCATGGAGCGCAAGTCGCCATACTCCCTTATTGTATGTCATCCCTTGCCACTGCGCAGTATACGAGCATCATCTAACTGATCTACAGGGCTCGATGCAGATGGCTGGTTTGGGACCCATCACCTGGTGGTGAGCTGGCTTTTCGCCATACAATACACCTACCCCGAATACTACGTACTTTATTGACGAGTATTTTGGGCGGGCTTTTACATTTCCTTAGTCGATCAGATACCCATGCCGGCGGTCCGGAGACCGACGGCTCAAAATTCATTCCGAGCATCTTGCATAGACCTCGTCTCCTAGCACGCCATTTTATTATTCAGAAACGCCTTCAATTAAGTAGTACGTACTTTCAGTGGAAATGAGTTTGTCAGCAGGTCCAGGTCCAATCATGTCCTGGTCAAGAGAGCGTCCGAGGGCAGGTTGCATGGCGGAGTGAGCAATCGGAGGGTTCGCCGCATTCGTCATGGAGGGCCAGTCGAGATTGAAATCTGAGATCTACTCGGGCCAATCGTGTGTTTGACAGAACGCCAGTACCTGATCGACTATCTGTATTTCTTCTATCCATAGTCAACATGGTACAGGGTAGACCGCTTCTTTTGTCTCCGAATTCTCAGGCATCACTCCGACACTCCGAATGCTCGGCTCGGCGAACAGAGATTTCGAGCCAACCACCGCGGCTACGCCCGGCTGCGGCCCCATCAGTGGGGAAATCAAAAGGGAGACAGCCACTTACACTCCCTCGATCGATCGCCCTATGGCACTGACAAAGCTGGAGACAACGTAAAAGAAATCCTCGTTCCATACTTGACGCCTCCAAACTTTTTTTTGTTTGGGATCACAAAGCATTCTTCTCAATCCGGCCGATTGTGCAACTTCCACGCGGCTCTGCTTGCTAATCATTCCAAAGGCGGTGATCTCATCTTATCGGCGATCAATCACATCATACAGCTCATAAAGCTTGCCTTTTGCTGCCCTTTCTTTCTTTTTTCTGCATTCGCATTTCAATCCGCAACGATGGGATCGACTGAGAACAGCCACACTACCGACCGCCGCTTTGGCACTCTGGCCGTCCACGCCGGTGCGCCACACGACCCTTCGACCGGTGCCGTCATTGCTCCTGTATGTACTCCGCACTGCATCCCCACGACTGTTTGAGAGTCGACTAACATCAGCACAAGATTTCCCTCTCGACCACCTTCGCCCAGACCAGCGTCGGTAAACCCGTCGGCCTGTACGAGTACACTCGCAGCGCCAACCCCAACCGGTCCGTCGCAAAACATGCCGCAACCCCAGCGCATAGAAATGGCAGCAACTAACAATCTCACAGTGACAACTTCGAGCAATCCGTCGCAGCCCTCGAGAACGCCAAGTATGCACTTGCCTTCTCATCCGGCTCCGCTACGACAGCCGTCGTCCTGCAATCCCTCGCCGCAGGCTCCCACATCGTCTCCGTCTCCGACGTCTACGGCGGTACTCACCGATACTTCACCAAAGTCGCCGCCGCCCACGGCGTGCACGTTACCTTCTCCCCCTCCATCGAGCTGCATGTCGAGGACCTAATCCGCCCCAACGAGACAAAACTCATCTGGATTGAGACCCCCTCCAACCCCACCCTGGGTCTAGTCGACATCCAAGCTGTCGCAGACATCGCCCACCGCCACGGCATCCTCGTCGTTGTCGACAACACCTTCATGAGCCCCTACGTCCAGAACCCGCTCAACAACGGCGCCGACATCGTCGTCCACTCCGTCACAAAGTACATCAACGGCCACTCCGACGTCTGCATGGGCGTTGCAGCCTTCAACTCCGAGTCTTTGAACGAGCGCCTTTCTTTCCTGCAGAACGCCATCGGCGCCATCCCCTCGCCCTTCGACTGCTGGCTCGCCCACCGCGGCCTGAAGACGCTGCACCTGCGTGCTCGTGAAGCGACCAAGAACGCCACCGCTGTCGCGCTGGCCCTTGAAGCCTCCCCGCACGTCCTGGCGGTCAATTACCCCGGCATCGACTCGCACCCCCACCGGGCGATTGCGAAGAAGCAGCACCGTGACGGTATGGGCGGTGGCATGCTCAGTTTCCGCATCAAGGGCGGACAGAAGGCTGCGCATGATTTCTGCAAGTTCACCAAGATCTTTACGCTGGCTGAGAGTCTTGGTGGCGTCGAGAGTCTTTGTGAGGTTCCTTCTAGCATGACGCATGCTGGTATTCCGAAGGATCAGCGGGAGGCTGCTGGTGTGTTCGATGATCTTGTTCGGATGAGCTGTGGTATTGAGGATTCTGAGGATCTTAAGGCGGATGTGCTTAAGGCTTTGGAGACGGTTGTTAAGGAGGCGAAGATTAATGGGTATGCTTAATGGATCTGCTTAAAATGGGGTTTTGTTGAACTGTTGTCATTTGAGTTGATATTGCATGCATCATGATGAATTAGAGAATAGACGAATATCCTTGGGGAGTGTTTATTAGACGCTCCGTTAATTTCCACGTGTGTTTCTTCCTCATAAATCAGTAGCAGACCTGGTAACCAAAGGTCCACTCAAAAACCCGCATGCTGGATTCACGCATAGCAACTACATTATTAAATCAAAGCAAAATCTCACTCCGGCCGAATCTTAGACGGCACTAATCCCATTTGGGCGTCTAGACTTCGACCGATACTCAGTTTGATCTCACTCAACATCTACTATGCCCAAATTGCATAAATCACTATCTACTAAGACTTTTTTTGGACTTTTGAGGCTAGATCAAACTAAATCATCATGGCCCGAAGAGGTTTAGTCGTATTGAATCAAGGCATATATTGTGATCATGGGAAACCAACTTGCAACTTAGCCTTACTATTCTCACTTCCTTGCCTGCTTAGTTCGATTTGAATCATTTCGACCAGGAAGGCACTCATCATTCTCAAGGTTCAACTTTCACAAGCTCAGATGGCGCAAGACTCTCAAGGTCAGGTCGTCCAAGAACAGGCCGCTGAAGGCCAAGTCGTTGCAGACCAACCCACTCAGAAACAAGTTCACCAAGCACAACATTCAAAGCCATCCTCCCTCTACAACCTCTTCTCAACAATCCCATTTTGTTACCGAGCCCTCGCAAGAAGGCTACTCCCAACACACCGCATAATTCAACTCTACCTCGAATCCGGTTCCCAGGATGTAACATACGACGAAATGAAACTAACAACCATGATTGATTCCTTCCACGCTGGCAAACTGACCACTGACCAAAAGGTCGAGCTCCGCGAGACCCTACTCGCCCGCCTGAATCTCAACGAAACAGTCAATCTATATGTCGAAGTTCTAGGTATTAACCAGCTCCCGCCAATCGAGCAGTGGTGGGAATATCAGTACTCGGGATCTTACAGCTGCAAGGCTTTCGTCCGTGCTTACTGGTATATTGGTGAGTCGGGGTTGCTGACCGTTCCCTTCCATGAGAGTGGTCATCGGTATCTGTACTACCAAAGGCCGGCTCGTTATCTAGCGGCTAGCATGTGTCTTGCTAAATATCGGAAGGAGGATATTAAGTGGGCGCTGAGGTTTCTGTATCAGAATTATGATGTTTATGCTGGGTATGGGCTTTTGAAGCGGGCAAATAAGGCGCCTAGTTATTTGTCGAAGGCTTTTTATCGGGTTGAGATGAATGCCTTGAAGAAGGTGAAGAGATCTGGTCGGAGGTGGTAGAATGAGCTGAAGTCACCTGCTTAACAAGTTGTGCTTGGAGATTATTCGAAATTCCTTTGTATTTTGTTGGCTTTTTTCCCTTCAGCTGATTGGGTTTGTATAATCGCATGTAATCTTTTACTGCTGAAATATTCAGATGAAACTCGCAATTTCTGATGAAAATTTGGATTATCCTGGAGCAATTTTCAATTTCAAAGCTAGTAGTATAGAAGCTACAAACATCATTGACGAGGGGCTCTCTATTCAATTCCACGTCCTCGTATCTGAGTTGAGAGCAATCCGTTGCTGTGTGAGTCCATCTGACGACCTCAGCCTTCACACGATTTGAAAGTAAGCCCGCTCCCAATTCAGATATCAAGGGTATCCGTATCTGTAAGCTCGAGCAAAGAAAAGTTGCTCTCGCTCGGTGTTGCACCGCCAGAAGGGGCCTCCATCTCAGTCTCATCGTCTGCCAAATCCTCGCTCGTGTGTGATCCTTCAAAAGCGTATGCCTCCGGCTTTTCAGGACCGGGAATCTTAAATGAAAGAACGGAGCCGCTGTGCTTTCTCTCCTCCATGGTCGCTTTCCACTCAGCTTCTGGCACGGCCACAGCTCCATCGATCATTCGATTAACATGGACGAACATATCCGTAAACATCATACTAGACATATTGGAGGGGTGCCCTGAGTACCTGTTCTCCCATTCCCACTCGGCTTTTGTGACCATGTAGTCAACCTTTTGGCTCAAATCGGAGAGCCTCTCGGAGGATGTCATGGCGTCGGTTTTGAGGTTTACATTCGTTCCCCGCTTTTCGACGTGCGAGGTCGCGACAAGAATGTCAACTTTATACTTGATCAAAGAGATCCTTGTCTTGATACTTGAGATCATATATGAAAGCGCAGATGTATCAGTGAAGAGGTTTCCCTGGGATGCCAACTTGGCGTTTTCACGCAGCATGGTGATGACTATTTGGTCGAAGCGAGAGAGACTTTCTGAGAGCGTCGACGTAGAGACTATGAGGCTTTCCTCTTCGGTTTCTGTCGTCATGGCAGCGAGATCTTGCTCAGGAGTGGCGTCTTGCTCTTCGAAGGGTGTAGTCTCGTGGTTTCGTCTCTTCGTTCTTGCTTTCTCAGCTTCTGCAGTCATGGCGTCAACCTTTTGTTCAAGGATGGCGACTTTCCCATTCAGGGCTGTGGCCTCTTGATGATCTCTTTGCCGGTTTTGCTTCTCGGCTTCTAGGGTCATGATGGCGAACTTTTGCTCGAGTTTAACAATTTTCTCTTCCAAAGCAGTAGTCTCGGGAACCAAGGTATTGCAGTGGTGGCAGGGTGTGTAGTGGTAGCCTGAGTTTGTAGAGGTGGAGTTTTGACTCTTTGCTTGGTCCATCACTTCTCCGACGCGCTGCTCAAATCCCTCCCGGCATGCCTTTTTGTATTTTTTGGCATTTTCAAAAACCTCAATGCAGTTGCTTTGTTTCATGCATTCGCATGCGTAATCTCCAGCAAGAGGGGCCTCGCTTTCCTCTTGGTCTTGATCTTTCTGTGTGTCCATCTTATTTTGCTATGGTCTGTCTTCCAAATGGCTCACCAGTGCTGAATCACGTATTGGAAGAGAAAGGAGTATCCACTATAAAGCAAGAGTTTCAAATAATGAGTTTTCGGCCAGTAAATATATATTCATCTCATCGAAGTGGGATGAGAACAACTTTGATGCGAAGGCGGAATTATCAAAGGTAGACATAAGAATGACACGTATATATGCAAGCTGTGTGTGATATTTCGACTATGCTACAGCAGTGCGATTCCGACTCCAGAAATAGCGATTCAGAGAAATTCATCCATGGATGGGCAAAGCTAAAGCATAAATACAGCAAGATTGGCCGGCCTGTAGTTAGTCAACCCTACTCACACAGCTCAAGACAAATGTAGCAGATGAAAAAGAAAACGTCTTGATTGCTTCATTTATTGATTCCTTTAGCAAAAGTGATTGCTTGGTGTTGTGCTGGCCGCGATTGAATAGATCGCCATTTTGGGCAGGTGGGCGGCTGATTAGTCATCGACATCGAATTGCCGCAATTTTTGGTGGTATGGCAGTTTCGGAATAGATCAATTCACGACTGCCATAATATCGGGACAGCTTGAAAAAAGCCGTCGCTTACCATAAAGAGGAGGCAGTCTTTTGTTCTGTGAGAGAGTTCATCCACTAAGGACTACTCCGACCTACTTGCCAAATATCTTCCGCAGCAACCATTAACATCCCACCTGAAAATGGCCTTCAGCTTCGGCTTCTCCGGGGACGACATCGATATCGATGATACAGAACTTAATAATGAGACTCCGGATGTTGCTGTTCCGCAAGGGAAGACCAACTTCCTCCCAGAGCTGGTAAAAGCCAATAAGCATGATATGGATGAATGGGTACGTTTCCCACAACCACCTTTAGCGTCAGCACATCCTAACGAAAACATAGCTGTCAATACTCCCATCACAAATATCTTTCAACACATTGGCAATCGGTGATACACCTATTACCATTTCCCGCCGGGAGATATTCGACATCCGAACTCAATTGATGGCCGAAGACAGCGAGGGCCACGACAACGAAGAGCTTATCGCCGGCTTGGAAGAAGGCGATCTGAAACCCAATTTCTACGAGGGTGGTTTCAAAACCTGGGAATGTGCCCTCGACCTGGCCAAGCTGGTCACCGGCGAGACTTCCGTCGACGCGCAAACAGACGTTCACATCATCGAGGTATGTACATCTGTGTAACACTGACCATTACCATTGTGGTGTTTAGTTCTCAACCGTGGAATACACCGCTGACATTCTATTTCTGCACAGCTGGGCGCAGGAACTGCAGTCCCATCACTGGCTCTGTTCGCTCACGCCCTTAGCCAGACTGAGTCGACGCAACGCAAGACTCGTTTCACATTTGCAGACTACAATGAATCCGTCCTGCGCCTCGTCACGCTTCCGAATCTCATTCTGACGTGGCAGAATAGCCAGTCACAGACTGCTACATCGGTTGTGGGCGGGGAAGTTCCTCCGGCCCAGGATGAGGAATTGGATATTACGCCCGAATTGCTAGATGCTTTCAAGTCGGACCTGGTGCGACGAGGGATCTCCCTTGAATTCATCTCTGGCGCTTGGTCTCCTGAGTTCGTCGATTTTGCCTTCTGTTCTCGTGGCAGTGAAGAATGTCAGACTCTGGTTCTTGCGAGTGAGACGATCTACTCGCCTTCCTCGCTCGTTGCATTCTCAGAAACGCTTTTGGCATTGCTGCGCCACTCTAGCACTGCCTCGAGGAAATCGAGGGCTCTCGTGGCTGCGAAGAAGGTCTATTTTGGCGTTGGTGGTGGCGTGGATGAGTTCCTTTCTGTGCTGAAGAATGTGTGTGCTGATGAGTTGGAGGTTCAGCAGAAGGTGGATGTACAGTTTGAAGGTGTCGGTCGGGTCGTGCTGGAGATTACACCGACTGCCAATGCTGTGAAATAGACATTAGGAGAAGAACCTCCCGTATATGGAATGAATACCCAAGAAAAGCCGTCTTCAAACAAATGGAATTCAAATGATCAGGTGCCGGAATGAACCTCCCAATCCTAACGTATATGTACATGTTTTAACCCCATAATGCGCATGCCTTTCGCAGACAGCCAACCCAAGTAGAAAAAAGGTCTTATTTGTAGAGATAGTCGACCTCGCCATCCTTCATCCGAGCGACCCGGGCCTCCTCAGCCGCCTTGTTCTCGCGCTCGTAGTAGGCAACGACCTTGCTCAGGTCGGCCTGGGAGCCGGGAGCAACGTTGATGATAGGGATAGAGTTCATCATACTGAACAAACATGTTAGTCCTAAACAAACCAACCGAAACGCAAAATAACATACTCGTTCTGTCTCATGGGAACGAACTCGCGAGGTCCTTCACTCTGGAGCAAGTGGCGGTCCTCAGCGGCCTTCTCCAGAATAGCGGTGCGAATAGCGTTACGCTGCTCAAAGGTCTCTTGCGAGGGGGTCCACTTGGCAATGAGGTCGGAGATAAACGAATCGGAGCCGGACTCCTTCTGGGCCGTGGTGAAGCGGTACAGGAGGTATGCGGAGGCGAAGCTGCCGACGGTGATGTAGAAGCTGCGCTGTTAAGTGAAAACTACGAGTTAGCAAGTCCATTGCGCGACAATTGCGGTCTGTTGGGACGCATTGAAGTCTCGAGGTCGGGTCGGCGGGGGAAGGAGCTTACGCCCAAGCTTTCGTTCACAGGCTCGGCGTGGGCGTGAGAGGAGCCGAATCGGCGAGGAACCTGGGTGCGCAGCAGCTGCCGCGACGAGGCAGCACAGGTCCGGGCGGCGAACATGGCTGTTGGGGATAATTGAGGAAAGTCGGGTTGGTGATGACCCTTTCCGCGGCGATGATAGGATGAGGTTGCGAACCGAATAGATCACGTGAGAATTACGTGATTGGGACTAGCGTGCCTCACTTTGTGCCTCATCCTGTTAGCATGCCTCAGGCAGCATACCGAAGTACTCGGGTCAACATGGAATCCCGTTGCAGAATTCAGCCCGGTTCATTCCATGTACTTGGTCGGTGGTGTGATGCGATTCAATGTGAAACCCCCCACGATGCGATATCGTGCTGCTGCATATGCATGCCCATCGAGCATGGAAGCGCCGTGATCCCGGGGCCGGGGGTGGATGCAATGGGCTCGATGGGCTCAGATGACGATGCCTCATTTCTCCAGCACTTGCTAAACAGCATGTACTACTATGCGGACTAGCCCTTGCGGAGGTACAGACTAACCCGTTCGCTGCGATGGACCACCACTCAGGACCCAGAGACCCGGGTCGTTTCTTGCCCATCGCTGCAATTGCTGCAGGTCGTGTCGGGCTGTCGATTGAACATGTCAGCTTTGGGAGTCCCCACTATTGCCCTACGATTTACTTGTTCACTTCGCCTGAACCTTTTGGTGCCCAATGACCCCATGGCGCACAACAATTGGTCTCGCTTCAGTTCGGAATCGAATCTGTTCGCTTCGCCCTCCGAATTCTGGGTCCGCCGATCAGCGTTGACGATGCTAACTGTCGACCCCGTCGGCCTAAAGATGGAGTCCAAACAGCCACTAAGGTTCGGTCCGCTGCGCCCTTTCCCAATAGGGTCGCACATTTCGACGCTTCTACCTAGGGTATAGTCGTGTTGCAATTGAATTTCCTTGTCGCCGAGTGCGCCCTTTTTCCTTCCTACCTCCTTGAAATTGAGATTTGGACTTGTCTTCCTTCAACCTTTGCCTAAAAGGTCTGCGTGCGGGAAACGGGCAGCCTCGCCTTCGTGTATCGCACCCATTTGTGCCCACTCGTCTGAACTGGATACGCCCAGTCATTGCACTCTGTGCCCGAAGGTCGAGCACGTCACGCGTCTGACATCTCATTATTCTTAGCGATTTTCCGAGCCCCTGTTACTTCCTTAGACTGGCTAGCGTTTGGGCTATATCTTGAAGCACCGCCAGGGCAACTTGCAAATGTACAGTGCAGAGTGAAGCCCCATGAATCACCCGACGCGGAATTTACTCATCGCATTATTGAATCTACTACTACAGTGATCCTATTGGAAACACGTCTTTCCACCATTCTACCCAGACCATAGACTTGGGCACGCATCATTCAAACGTGATGGGAGCGGGTGGCAAGAAGGCGAAAGCCAAAGATAAAAATGGCAAGGCCGGTGCAAAGCAGCAGAAGATTAAGAAGACCAAGAGTCCGGAGCCAACAGAAACCCAGACGACAACTGAATCCTCGACTCCTGCCAGCCCGGTTCCTGTTGCACAAGAACCCGAACTTGACCATTCATCGGAACCGGCAGTACTTGATCAAATCTCTGAAGCCGTCGAACCTCATCCAGAACCTTCTGCAGTGCAAGCCGACCATGAGGAATGTTCTGAAGTACCGCCTGTACATGAAGCCTCTGATCAACCACCCGCTGTGAAGGCAGACTATTCAGATATTGCAGCTCCCGTGTTGACTGACAAAGTCACGCCCGAGGCTCCTATTGAGCCGGGAGAGAGTCAGAGGCCATCCGAAGAGCATCAAGAGGAACTTGAGGGTCAAAATATCCACGAAGACCAACACCTTACCGACGACCAACAGCCTGTCGAAGACAAGCAACCTATCGAAGCTCAACAGCCCATCGAGGCTCAACCTCAACCGGATCAGCCTGCGGACGATACCCCCAAACCGGGATCAAGAGCAGTCACTCCCGTGACCGCTCCATTTGCACCGTACTCGCCTGTACCATCTCAGGTACCGTTGCCATCGCCATCTCTGACTGAGGCTCGGTTTATGTCCAACGGCTCACCTGAAGCCCGTTTCCATCCATCCTCTCCGGCAGTCGTCCGCTACGCTTCGCCTGTCCCCTACGCTTCACCAGTGCCCTACGGCTCACCAGGACCATACGCCTCACCGGTGCCCTATACACCACCATATCCATACACATCACCCTACACATCGCCTTACGCCTCACCCTACATCTCACCGGTGCCCAAAGTCAGCAGCCCACTGGCCCGTTCTCATTACCCTTATATGCCTCCAGCCATGCCTTCGACAATGTCTCCCACCGCAACACCACCTCCACCCGCGGCCCCAGCGCCCCCCATGGCTCACATGGCTCCTCCCATGACCCCTTCAATGTCCATGGGCCCCCAAATGGCCCCACCTGCACCACCATCAATGACCCAGAGCTATTCCACCGCTGCGCATTCTCCAGTCATGAGCTCTGCTGGGGTTATACCTCCCTATGGGACCTATCCTCCGCCGCAGCAAAGCCCGCAATACATGCACCGGAGCTATGGCGTGTCAGACCAGCAACCATATGCATCGGCGTTCCAGGCCATCCGCGATCTGGGCAATGGCTCACAAAACGAGAACGGCACGATTTCCCCGCCGGAAAACGATGCCGAGCACATCGAGCTTCTCAAGAGAATCCAGTCTGCCATTCCGGACATCAATCGTCTGCTGCATGGGTTCCAAAATACCCATAGCCGACTCAACAGCCGCGAGGCGGAGATAAAGCAGATCGGCAATCAGCATGAGCAAGCATTGATGCATAAAGAGTTCTACATCGAGGCCCTGCAGTCCCAGATGAAGAAAACCGCCAACGAAAGTGCGGAGGAATGTGCCAAGCTCAAGAACACGATCAACGAACTCCGGCTCGAGCTCGGCAACTTGCAGGAAAAGCAAAAGGATCTCGAGGATGGACTTTCTTCTCATCAAAAGTCCAACGAGGAGCTTTCTTCAAGCAAGAGTGATCTCGAGGCTGAACTTGTTAAGTTGAACGCGAGCATCGAGGAGTCCAAGGCTGCTCACGAGAAGGAGCGGCAAGAGCAGAAGGAGGAACATTCCAAGGCCCTTGCGACTCAGAAGCAAGAGCTCACTGAATTGTTCGAGGAGATTAAGAATGAAGATGAGAAGGCGGCCAATGAAGCCCTCGAAGCCCGGGAGAAAGATCTCCGTGAACAGCACGAGGCTGATAAGGGCGAATGGGATAAGGAGAAGTCCCTGATGCAGGATACCTTGGAGACGCATCGCAATGAGCTGGAAGCTATCAAGACGGAACTTGCGTCGAAGATCGCTACCCTCGAATCCAAGGAGACGGAGCTGGAGTCGCGCTTGGCGGAGCTCAACACGGTCCGCGAAGAGGTTGCTTCGAAAGTGGCGGAGCTGGAGTCAAAGGAAAAGGAATTGCAGGAGACTCGTGAGCAGAACACGAAGGAAATCGAGTTGCTGCAGAGCGGCCATACCGGTGAAATGGACTCCCTTCGTCAAAGCCACGCGGACGAATTGGCTGCTGCCGCGAAGGAGCTGAACGACAAGATCGCGGTTATCGAGACTGTTCTTGCTGATAAAGAGAAGGGTTGGGAGGCTGAAAAGGCCCAGTTGGTCCAGCAGCTATCTGAGAAAGATAGCGAGTTGATGAGCTCGGAGCGAGAGAAGGAGAAGTTGGAAGGGGATGGCCTCATTAAGGAGCAGCAGCTTCAGCGGGCTGTCGATGAGATGAAGTCGACTATTGATCACCTGGACGGCGATTGTGACCGGCTGCGGAAGACGCTGCACAGTCTGGGCGAAGCCACGGATCTCAAGACCAAGGGCGATCGATTCTTGTAAGTGAGCCAGCCGTCTTGATTTCTGTTTCTATGATTTATGATCGCGACCATGATATTCATGTTCATGTCCTTCATTTGATAATTTCTTTTGTCTCTGTCACACACGTTGCATTTGTTCTCTAGACTGTTGATATCGCATCATGATAAAATGTATATGATTCTAATAAGCTCCTCTAGTTCGAACAGCTTCAACCAACTCTCGCAACTGATCCACGAGCTCTCCCAAGAACACTTCACCTACCTCCCCATCGACCCTCCAAAAGATATTTTGTCTAAAATCCCTTCCGAACTCCCCTCCTTCCTCGACAACAGCCCCGCCGCCCGCGACCTCCGCTGCGCCTACATCCGCCACTTCGTCTCCAAAACCCTCACCTACCGCGTCTTCCAGCCCTTCCTCTTCACCCTCGGCCGCCGCTACGACAAAGCCGACACCTTCTTCCAGATGCTATCCATGGACATCAGGCGCAAATCTGTCCGCCGCGAAGCCTTCTGGCGCCAGCAGACGCTGAAAGCAGCATACACGACCTCAGACGCAAAGCAATCCATCAACGTCGCGGCGGCGGTGATCGTCGACGAAATCGTCGACCACATCAAACACTTCACGGACCCCAAACAGCTCGACGCGGTCATTGTCAACGTGCGGAAGATCGTCAAGTTGGCCGCGGAAACGTGGCGACATGCCCGCGTGGAGCGGGAACTCGTCCTCGCGCTCTTCCCCGCACCGGACGCCGAGGACGTCGCGAACGAGGGATGGCAGGAGTACGGCATTGCGAAGGATGTGAGTCCGGTGCAGAAGACCGATCCTACGCGCCATGTTGTCCTCCGAACATTCCCGTGTATTGTGCGGGAGGCGGCGCATGAAGACTTTGCTTTTGCGTCGGATGAGAGGAAGAATCGGTGTGTTTACTCGCCTGGTGAGGCTCTGTTTTCGGATTCTCCGGTTGTCATGGCACGATTGCAGGAGTTGGCGAAGAAGTCTTCGGAGACGTTGGTTAATGAGGGGGGCCAGCTGTCGCCGCCTAAGACGCCCAAGGGATCGCAGGAGAATCTCCCGCTGAGAAGTGTGAGTCCGCTACCGGATAAGATTTCGGTGCCTTCGGCGCCGACGAGTCCGACGGGGCCGGTTGTGAAGGCCTAGTCATTCTCTATTTCGTATGTTTTCCACTGTTTTTCACTGTTTGATTTTGTTTCTTCGTGTGTTGTCTATGTGTATTCCTGTATCGATTTCGGATCTGTCGGATATATGGCTTTCGGTGTTCGCATCTGTTTGCAGCGTTATTGAGCGACTAGATATTGATTTCTTTTGTCTGATGTTTCCGTCTCACGTTGTTGTGTTAGGCCCATCATGATGTTAGTGTCGTTAGCGAGTGTATGGAATGAATCAGCGAGTGCTTTTTTTTTGTCTACCGACTACGCCCCCACGTAGGTACATTGCATGACGAGTACCAGTTGAGATGCATGGCACTCAGGTATAGATACATCGGGTATAGATGTATCGATGCGGTGTCTCAGGTGCAAAAAATAATCTGATCTCATACCCCGCGGACCCGCCGAGGCCCATGGGACGACCGCCACCCAAAATAAACACTTGCAAGTCAAACAAGCTCGTGGGCACTTCAGCCCTATGTGGCTTTGCAGACCCCAACGACAAATATAGAACACATTTCATCACTCCTTCCTTTAGGATGTACCTAGGGTATGCATGGGGCCAGGTCGGAGGCTCAGTGCTGCAAACACTGCAAAGCCCGCAAAAGCCCGCACAGCCCGCTCGTTTCACGATCTATTCTGCCTCGCGGAGACAGGTTATCTCAGACAGACAGTCGTCCCGACCGAGACACTACGATCGCTTCACCATCAATCCTAATGACGGCGACAAGACTGGCGATGGTGGACGGGAGTGGACGAACCTGTTCGGCCGACGATCGCGTGCCGGGCGCGAGATGCAAATGCGACGCGGGGCCAGGGCGCTAAATGAGGCTCAGTTCGCATTCTTGCCCACAAGGCTGACCCCGTCATCTTCTCTTCTTCCACTCCCCGTATGACACCATCGGACTGTGGCATTGGTACGTAAAAAAAGAATATGCGCCCGCGACACCGAGGTGCTTCCTCTCCAGCCTTGGCTCTGCTCTTTCTCGCCCCCAATTTCTCCATCTCTCCCACCCTGCGCTGACTCTCCTCGACCGGCGCACTCTCGCATCTTGCTGATAACCACCTGCAGCCCCAGATTGCCTCTCCTCGGTATAAAGCGCACGTCGCACATCGCACATCGCACGGGCACCCAGCCCGATGACCGGGTATCTATACACCTCCCCTGAGCGTCGGAGCGGTTTGCAACCCAATGGTTTCCCGGTCCCTGGCCCTGGCCCTCTCTCGCCCCCGTCAGAAGGTGCCTCGCCCCAACTGCCTGCCGTCGCTTCTGCATGGGCCAAATTGAACGCTCGCGACACTCACGCTTTCGCTTCGACCATGTCGAGCCCCCACTCGCTATCGCCCGCGGGGCACCCGCTCGAGCTCACCACTGCAGACCCGTATCTCGCGGCCGCGCCCTCCGATCCTGAAGAGACCGAGTTCCAGGCGAATGCTATTCGTCTGACGCCTGTAAATGGCAGCCCGGGGCAGAGTGTGTCGTCCCTGCATGATGGATCTGCGTCTGTCACGGGCCACTCCCATGGCCCGGAGTATTTGTCGCCGCAGGGAAATCAATATATCGACCCCGCGGCGTGCACGTCGCCGATGAATAATGCCGGATTTGTCATGCCTCAGGACATGGATCTGGCGAATGGCGTTGGTTCGTGGTCGAATGAGGCTCCCACCGTGTCGACCCAGCAAGCATGGCCCACGACGATGGCCATGGACACCTCGCAGTATCTGAACCCAGAACCCACCATCCCGAGTCCGGCCTCCCCGGCGCAGAATAATCACCTCCCCATGATGCCTGGCTCGTTTGTCAGGCCGCCGCAGCCTGGCCTTGGTCTCGGTATCTCCAATCAGACACACCCCCCGCCCCGACTATCGGTCTCGGCAGAGCATGTTAAACACGATACCACGTCGCCTATCACGAGAGGTAGGAGCCCGACCGTCACGGTCGAGTATTTCGGGCGTGGCGATTCTCCGAAAGGGGAGGGACTTGTATATGAGAGACGCGCCAGCTACTCGTCCAACCATCTATCAGTGAACGACGGCCAGGACGAGGAATATGAAGACGACCACCGATCAGTCGTGTCATCCCAATCTGTCGGACGGAAGTTTGACTCGAACTGGACTGGTCAAGGCGGTCTTGACCCGCTGTCCCGAGGCAGCGAATTTGTTCCCAGCCCCAATGACCTCAAGTGCGAACGAGAGCGCGAACAAAAAATTGACGACATCAATCGCTGGTCGGAACATGTCAGTGAGGCGGGCAGCGATGTGGGCGATGACCCGGATCGTCTGTCACGCCGACAACAACCAAATGGCCGAGTGCGGGCGAGGAGTACAGGAGATCGTCCACTCCAGCAAGAAGACTATTTCAGCCTGGGGCTCGGTGCTGCTGATCATGCAGTGCCCGGGCCCCGTCTCATGGTCCATGAGACGAGTGACGATGAGTATAGTGAGACGTCCGAAAGCACTGCTGATGTAAACGACCCCGACCGGTATAATCAAACTATCCCTGAAATGCCGTATACGTCGAGTCCCGACGAGGACGGCGTCCACATTCATCCCTGGCAGGATGCACCGCGCGATCCGATCAGAACAGAACAGATGCAGCCAGGGACTTCCTCGGCCGCCATGACGATTTTTGAACGTCGTGCCAAGGATCTAGAGACAGCATCGTTGGCTGCGACCATTGGCGATAGTATTTTCGGCTTTGAAAGAATGAGTCTATATGATGAACCGAGGAAGACTGAAAAGAGACCACGAAGTAATAGCATCTTCAAGCGTGCCCACCAACAGGCCTCGAATATGTTGAAACGACAAGCTTCGGATCTTTCGCTGGCCACGACCAACTCGCACAATGGGCCTCAGGAAGGAACACAACGCAAAGACAGCGGCGGCTCTGGTCGACATCGACTGAGTCTGACTGCGAATCGACATTTCCGATCTCCAAGCCTCAGCAATGCGCTACTGTCCATGTCGGGCCAGCTGGCCGCTGTTGGTGGTAGTCATTCCGTGCAGGCTGTATCCCCGACTCCCGAGCCCAGTCCCGGCAGAAATAGTCTGAACCAGGGCAGGAACAGCCTCAATGGAGGCAGAAATAGTCTTCAGATCCAGGCCAAGCGTGGTCGGAGCAGGAGTGAAGTTCCCCGGCCTCATACACCTGGGTTAATGGACTTGATGACTACCCACGGCGGGCCCCCGGTGGCTAGTATCACTCGGTATCAGAATCAAGAACCCAGCACGGGGCGATCGCCGGCCAGTGCTGTACCCGAGCCTGACTCGGTTGGTGCGGACGATGGTGAAGATGTGGATGTCGACGACAAGGGCATTGTGATGCAATTCCCGCCAGTGACGAGTCTCCCCGTGCCTACATACGAAGGATTCAAGACGCAGATCATGCAGTTGAACCCGCGATTGGAGCCTGCTCTACTCCATCGCTTCGCACTGTCGCAGGTCCAGCGGTTCAAGACACTTGTTGAGTTGCAGCAGAAACATGCTACTGCCGTTGCCAATCGCACCTGCAAGTCAGGTCAGTTCTGCACCGCGCTCGGTGGCAAGCCGGCCCTCTTGTATCAGCAGAAAACTCCCGCCAATTCCGAGGCTGGTCAGACTCAGTTCCGCGTTACAGACTACAGCCAAGGCGGCGACCAAACGTACGTTGTCGGCGATGGAGCTATCGCTGCAGCCCAATTCCCTCCTGGCGTCCCGCTCCCACCTGTCAGCGGACTACCCGCCCAATTCGAGTGTCCCATCTGTTTCCAAGTCAAGAAATTCCAAAAGCCATCCGATTGGACCAAGCATGTTCACGAGGACATACAGCCGTTTACCTGCAGCTTCCCAGAATGCACCGATCCCAAATCATTCAAGCGCAAAGCAGACTGGGTCCGGCACGAAAGCGAGCGACATCGTCAACTGGAATGGTGGACCTGTTCTTTCCCCGACTGTCCGCACACCTGCTTCCGCCGACACAATTTCGTCCAGCACCTGGTTCGCGAACATAAGATGATCGAACCCAAGGGGAAGAAGCCCAAGGGGTCGGCGGAAAGCGCGCAGGATCAGGAGTTCTGGAGGTTGGTGGAGCACTGCTATGGCTGCAAGCCGGATGAGACACCAAGCAAGGAGCCCTGTCGTTTCTGCGGGAATGTCTGTAACTCCTGGAAGAGGCTAACGGTCCATCTGGGGAAACATATGGAGCAACTCGCCATGCCCGTCCTGGAACTGGCGAAACAGCACACGGCCGGAATCCCTGTCGGCCCCGTAGCCTCGAATCCGTCCCAGACTCAGACGCAGACTCCTGGGTCTCAGTCTCGTCACTCTGCCCTACTAGACGCTGCACCTGCGCCAGCCCACGACCCGTCGGCTCACCTTCGGCAACAGCAGCAGCAGCAGCAGTATGCAACCAGCGACGCCATCCCCGCCGCTAGCCACAGCCACGCATTCCTTCACCCAGAAATGTCAATGCTTGGTTATCAGTCGATCCTAGGCACGCAACCATCGATGGAACCTGACGAGATCGACCACGACCTCGACCTCGACCTCGGCCTCCGAGGCGATCAGATCTTCCCCAACTACGATTTGGCTTCGGCTTCGGCTTCGTATCAGGGCGCTCCCCCACAGCAAACCACTCTATCCCAGTCCCAGTCCCAACCCCTGCATCAGAACCCCTCGACCTACCCAGGCTCCTGTAACGCCGTCCCACGCTCCCGAACCCCCGAACAAAATCCAGCCCTCCTCCAGAACTCTTATTCGCTGAGCCCGCAGTACCCGCCACATGCTCAGGCGCAGCCGCAACAGCAGCACCCTCACCATCCATCCCTCTACCTCGAACAGGGCTACACATACCAGCCCGTGGCGCAGTCGCAGAATGGCTCGTACACCTCAGCGTATACGTCAAGCTATAGCTCACGGATGTGATGATCATGATTCATATGTGTGTTCCGAATACCTTTTGCAGTATCTATGATAGCATGAAATTTTTTTTTTCTTTCTGATGCAATCGCATTTCAGGGCGTGTCTACGTGTATACCCCTTTTTCTCTTTCACACTGTTTTTATTTATTGTCGACATTTAACCGGTCTTTGCCGGCTGCAGAGAATACGTCACGCTCGGTTGGGCAGGAAGGGGTGGGAATTTCACTTCTCCTCTTTCTTTTTCTCTTTTCCTTACTCTCTTTCCTTTTTCGTCTAGTTGTGCGTAGCTCTTTTCAACACTACTCTACATAGGGTCTTGTGTATGTTTTCTTTTTTAGAGTGGCAGCACACTGCCAGTGGGTACAATCGGTTCCTGCCAGCCACGGTTGAGTTTCTTGTTGCGCCCTGCACGGTATGATATATATTTCTTTTTTCCACGCTTCGATAGTCCTTTCGATTTTTTTTCTGCGCTCGTTAGTGTCTGTTAGTGTTAGCCCGCCTGGTAAGGCGTGCACCTGGCATTTCCTGCATGCGTTGGAATGGCAATAGTCCGATGATCGCTCCCAGGTGCTTGTGTACATATTTCCTTCCCCTATATGACCCTACCCTAGTACACTTTCAGATAGTTCAAGCCCTAGGGGTTGGGATGGCTCAATCCTGTCTCGGACCGGTGGCGTCAACCATGTGCATTAGCTTTTCGCAGCCGATATGAGGCGTCACATTTACCACATTAACCCAGGAGGTAGGCTTGGCTCTACGGAGCTAGCACCCGCGTGTCCAGCGCGTGTTTCGTGTTTCAAGGGATGGTTTGAGCCCCTTCCTTCGGCTAGCGACACTCTGAGGTAAAAAGGGTCTGGCCAACCGGCCTAGCACGCGTGGTAGCGGGAGAAAGGGATGACGACGCAAACTCGACGCGTGGATGACAGTGTCAGGATGTTTCACGTTCATCCCTTGGGGAAAGGCATGGCTCGGGGAACGAGGGCGCCGATCTTCCTGTCACAGCCCGATTCGGTCCTTGCGTCTTTCCATTCCTGATGGCTGAGAAGCGGAGGAAGGTGTGTAGCGCCGAAAAGATTCTGTTTTGCGCCGTCGCCGCCATTATTCCGAGCACATGCCGACTAGTATTGTTCCTAGTTGTAGATTCGTGTTTGGCTGGTCAGGGAATGCCATAGTCTTCGATGCCGGTGGTCTCGCAAGCTCACTAGGAGGTTCGTACGTCTGTATGATCTTCGTTAGGGGCGTCCGATCGTCCGGCCGAGTCTTATATCCCGAGCGGCTGGTCGAATCTTTGCGGTGAACGGGCGTTCGTGCGACGTTGTCAACCCGATAGAATGGGAGTGTTGGAGACGCTAGCCTAGCGTCTGGATAGCACGTCCAAGTGCCTCTGTTCAGTTCGTTAGGGTATGTGCAGGTGCAGGGTTCGGTGGATCGAGCTGAGGGCGATCCGTTCCCGCACAACCCGGGTGATTCGTGCAGCGGGGCTGTGCAATCAAGGGATGACTTACATTCCATGGCTTAAGCACTTACTCAATACCTCACACACAGTACATACTGTGAGTAGGGTACGAAGGCCCGCTCTCGCTCTGCATTCCGCCCTTGATTTGATCCGCGTGGTGAACCCGGCTCGGGGCGAAAAGTGGGGATCACAGTGCGTGTCTTTTGCTTCCCTCGCGTGCGTTGCGTTTGCATGCACCTCGTTTTCTGGCAAGGAGGGGTCTGCCGCCTGCATATAACCCTGTCAACGCCCCGAGACCACGAGTTTTGCTATTCAACGTTAACGGGGGCGACGACAAAGTGTGGTGCTATCGATCCAATCTATATACTTCGATCCTGACCCCCACCCATTACGATTTGATCCACTTCTCACAAGTGTGGACAGCTACGCCGACTATAAGGTTAGTTGGGTAGCATCGACGGCCTGATCTGCTGGTCCAGACGCCTTTTTGCCTTATTTTTACGATCCAATCACATCCACACTCACCATGGAGGTTCGTCATCTTCACCTTTACGGCCAACAGGCCCAAGGTTGTCCCCTAGGTCGATCTCACACTGACCCGTGATATTAGGAACCTCAAACGTCCTGGCAAGATTCAAACGATGTCCTCCAAGGCATCATGGTCGGCCAAGATACCCACCACTCGGAGATCGATTTCAGACCAAGCCTCGGTATGGACTCATCCAACTCCCTCCTCGACCTCCACCTCAACACCGACCTCGGTCTGGACAACACCCACGCCAACCAGTCCGCCTTTCTAGGCCCCTGGCCCTCTGCTTCTTCGCAAAGCTTTTATTACCCGCACTATCCTGCCCGAATGACCGGCGGCCAGGATGCGTGGAACCCGCTGCAGGTCACCGGGGTTCCGGACCCGAACCCGTCCACCATGTCCCACATGAATGTCTCGGGCGGGGAAGACTATGCTTTCCAGAAGCCGCATTATCGGACGCCCTCTGATAGTGGGAGTCAGTGTATGGGGAGCTTTGTTTCGGATTCCGGGTATGGGAGTAATGCGACGCAGTCCGTTGTTGCGTCTTCGTATGGGCTGGATTCGAGTCCGCATCTTGGTGGGAAGGAGCATGGGTTTGCGGAGTCTGGGTCGTTCTTTGAGCAGGGTGGGGCCAATGTTTTTGTCAGGGATTATGGGGAACAGTCGTTTGAGTCGGTGCGGTGTGATGATCCGGGCTGTTCGTGGATCGGGAAGTGTCCTTCTGATAAGAGGTTTGTTTACTCACCTATGTCTGCTGGGAAATGCTGACGTTCTTGTCGTCAGAAAACATGAGGCTCGACATCGGAAGCTGTTCAAGTGTGATGAGCCCAACTGTCCTCGCAAAGAAGGCTTTGGCACCATCAACGATCTCGCCCGTCACAAGAAGTGCGTTCATAATAAGGAGCCTGAGCGGGGCCCGAAGATGATGTACCTCTGTTTCGGGAAGAACTGTCCCCGTCCTAACAAGCGATGGCCCCGTCTGGATAATTTCAAGCAACATCTCAGCCGTATGCACCACGACGAAAATGCCGAGGCGTTGTTGAAAAAGTATGTTCCACTTTCTCTTTCAACCCTCAAATTCAATACTAACCTCCCCAGGTCTATGGACTGGTACGAGAGCATCACGGGCCACCGAGGCCAAAAGCTCGAAGACTCCGTCTCACTCGATGCCTCAACAATGGAAACACAAGAAGAAATAATGTCCATCCACTCAGCAGAATTGGACCTCGACGCCAGCAACACCTATCACAACCAGGAATCAGTAGACTTCCTCACATCCCGCGCCCAAACGCCAAAGTCCTTCCACGTTCCACACATGGACGCCCCAACAGGAAACCTACCCTCGCAAGCATCCACCCTTAACGCACTGGGCCTTTCCCCCGCCCTCACAAACGAAAACCGCGATCTATCCACAGAACGCAGCACCCCCAACCCAGAGACATTCGTCGCCGACGCCGCGGACAACTTGATCAACGCCATGACCAAAAAAATGAATAACCGCGCCCGACGACCAAGTCACCACAGCGACGAGGGAATCGAGCTGGAAGAGAATCCGAACCTCTCCATCCCGCAACGCCAGATGCTACAGAAAGTTCTCCTCGCCGCCCTGGAGCGACTATCAGACAATGCCTCCGCGGCTCCAGAACCAGCAGATGATAAGCAAGACTGGTTCCAATGCGATATCTGCTCAAAGCGAACCCGCCTCCGCTGCGAAATGAAGTAAGCCTCCCCCCACCCCTCCAATCTATAACCCCACCAATCTAACATCCTCAAAAGAAAACACCAAAAACGCCACGAAAGACCCTACGGTTGCACATTCCCGCACTGCGCCAAATCCTTCGGCAGCAAAGCCGACTGGAAACGCCACGAAAGCTCTCAACATCTGCACGTCGCCAGCTGGCTCTGCGCCAGACACGACCCCTCGAAGAATGGCGCCTGCGGCCGGGTCTTCTACCGCGAGGAAACATACGTGCAGCACCTAGGTCAGCAGCATCGACTCCCCAAGACGCGCGTGCGGAGCGCGCTACTGTCGACGCGACTGGATCTTGCCGGTCAGTCGTCGTATTGGTGTGGGTTCTGTCGAAGGGAAGTTCCGCTGACTTCAGCGGGGGCAGCTGCGCTTGATGAGAGGTTCAATCATATTGATTCGGAGCATTTCAAGAAGGGGGAGCGTGGGGTGGATTGGTGTTTTTCTTTTCAAGGGGTGGATGTTGCCAATGCGAGTAATCAGGTGGTGGAGCAGGGGATGGAGGGGAGGAGAAAGAGGAGGTGTTCTGGGTTGTGAGGGCTTACTGAGCTACATGTTATAATTGGATTTCTGGTTTGGTTTATACCATGTTTTGGTGATGTTGCAGGACATAATAAATATTTCTATAGTGCGCTCTCATAATTTGATCGCCGACATTCTTGCGGATCTCTTCTGATGTGTGTTTATTCGAATGGTTGTACTTGACCTATTGCTCTACTCACGGGATGATCCTTAATAAACTACATCAGGCATTGCAATGTTGGTCCAGCGAAACATGGTAGTGTCTTCATCAAATGCTAGCTGACGAAAAAATCTATAATACACTGCGAGCAAGCGCTCAAGGAACAAGTCTCACAACCCAAGAAATTGTGAGCTCGCGTGAAATCATTTCTGCGCCGCGACAAGATCGCGAGCCTTCTTCTCCAGCCCAGTCATTTCTTCTACGCCGCATCAGTAAGCCGCTATCAACTTCCAATAGTAAGCACTTTGAAAGAGCGTGAAGTGACATACCATTCTTCTCAAGCTTCGACTCATCCATCTCAAGCTTCAACCAGCTCCAATAAATAATCTGATACGTAAGGACAGCCCCGAGAAAGACCTTGCCGAACGGTCCCATGAATGTTTTGTATTTCCCCATCTTTTAGAGTCTGTATCAGCTACTGCCAGCGTCGCAGGCCTCGACCTCGTCTTTTTGTTGGTGACAGGCACCAGGTACTCACGGTTTCCTTGTACCCGCTCGGCTTTTCAGCATTGCGCAGAAAGGGCGTTGATGAGAGAAGTCTCCTGCCGGCTGTGGGGCGCGCGTATAGGCCCAGTCTTGATGACATTGACACTGTGTGAGTTGCTTGTCGGAGGAGCATTGTCTTGGTCTGATGTATTATTGCGGACTCGGGTCGGGGGTGGACTGCGCTGGTGTGGCGGTTGGAGGTGACGCGGGTGCGGATGCGGTTAGTGTGATTGCCTTGTTGAGTTAGTGGCTTGGCAGGCGAGTTGGTGGTTCGACTTGAGGGGATGGAACTGTTGGTTTCGAGTGGATTTTGGAATCATGGTATTATGGGTGGAATGAATGATGATTTGGGATTGCACTTGAAAAGATGGACAGAATAGGATTGTCAAACGTGCTTGCTCATAGTTTGTACACTTGGATATATTTAGCGAACCAAAGGACGGGAGAGTTCTTCAACTATGAACAAGTATTTGATGAGACTATGCACGCGACGTTTCAAGTATCCTAGCTATACAGTATGAGTAGGAGACCAACGCAAGTCGCAAAGAATACAATGGCAGTTGTGAAAAGCATGTTGTCACTTAGTATCTGCCCTGTGGCTGATGGAACGATTTGCAAGATGACTAATCACTCACATGATATCAGGTCCCGTTGAATTCTGGCGGACAGCCATAGTATGGTAGCCACAACCCAAATGTCAGAAAGCGCCGGAAGTGCTTCTCTCGTCACTTTCTGTCCTCTGACACCTCCTTTCGCCGTCATGACCCCCAAGGCTCCCCAACGCCTCCAGGGCACCAAACACTCCGTTCGGGCCTCGAGCGGAGTGATAATGACATTTTCAAATGATTGACGACCGTCTTTTACCTTGCCCTGCTCGATTCCCGGGGGTTGGAGTTGGGCGTGGGCAAGGAGGGTGAAGCCGAGCATTCACTCTCTGGCCGGGTGGTACGTGCGTGATGACTCAGCCACCAGCCGCAACACCCCTGTGGCTAGTGAATGCTGAGCCTAGGCGCGAGTCCTTTCCGCCCTGGGTCAGTCAGTCACTGCTCGTGTTGATCGAGGTGAATGGGCATATTCACTCGCTGCGCTGCAACCCGCTTCGTCTACAAATGTGAAGCCCAGTCCCTCGTTTCTTCCTCTTTGCACCCCTTTCAGTTTCCAAACGCGTCCACCTCCAATTCTTTCGCCCATTGCCACCTTACCAGAGACCAATCCGTTCGTCATTATCGGCCAAAATGCGCCCCGGCAAGCGTACTCTCGAGGAGCTGGCCAACAAGTCAGACTCTGACGATGCCGACTACAGTGACCACCCTGCCCCTCGCCGCTCCAAGAAACCTACCTCCCGCAAGAAGCCCGCTGGTCGCGCCGGCCGCCCCAAGAAGCGACGCCGCCGCGACTCCGACGACATCGTGTCCGATGATCTCGATGACCTTGATGACGATATGTCCTTCGATGAACTTGATTCCGAATCAGACGACCCCAATGTACCTCGTAATGCTCGAGGCACTGCGCGTCGTCGCACCACTACCCTCTCTCAACCGAAATACGAAGAACGCTCTGACGAAGAGGAATTCTCAGGCGACAACGAAGAAGAAGATGACGATAAAATGAATGTCGATTCTTCTCCCTTGGCCAGCAAGGCCAGCAAGGTCGTGACCCTAAAGCTCGAACCCGAGATTCTTTCACAATTCCCTGTTACTCGACGAGTAACCCGCGCCACTCGTGATGCCTCTGAGGACATTGTTGCCCTGACCAATTCCGGTCGGCATATGGAATATGTCGAGCGCGGCACTGTCAGTCCAGCTCAGGAGCAAGTGCGCCGCAACTCGCGCAAATCCTCCAAGCAGCCAGTCCTCAGCGAGATACTGGAAAGCGCTCCCCAGAGCATGGTCAGTGAGGAGGGCGTCGTCCCTGAATCCGAGAATGGTGATGCCAAGGCCCAGAACAACGAGCATGGCGAGGAAGACGACGATGATGATGAGGCTCCTACCACCCGTCAACGAAACAGGTCGGCTAGAGACCAGCCTGTCGTTGAAGAGGAGGAAGAAGTCGTGGAAGAAGTTACTCAAGTCGAGGAACCGCGTTCGTCCCCATCCACCAGTCGCAAGCGACCCGCACGGGCACGAAGCTTCCAGCGCAAGACCGAAGAGAGTGACTTCGAACCCGACGAAGATGCCTCGAACGACGATTCTTCATCCCCAACTCCGCAGTCTGCTCGGTCTGCTCGTTCACGCAAGAGTCAGTCAGAAGCTGAAACTAGTACGACTAGTCGGCGTCCCGGTTTGCGCGCGCGGCCTTCCCGAGCCCATTCCGAAGTTCTTGAAGATGAGGCAGATGAAATCGCCGAAGAGCTCCAGGAGCTGCGTCCTGGCCGCAACCTCCGTCGTCGCTTGAACACACAAGTTGTTCGCGAGGAAAGATCGCGTCGGAACCGCCCAGAGGTCGATTATCGCCTCATTCGCCCCGACATGAACCTCAATACGGATGATGCTGAAGCAGACATCATCATGGAATCTCCCTCTCGTCGTGGACGTGGTGCTGCCAATCAGCGTTCTCTTCTTCCGACATATGGTCCTTTTGGTGGTGCAGGCGCCGCAATATTGGGACGTCCCGGGCTCCTCGGTGCACATGGGGAGGACATCGACAGCGACAGCAGCGATGATGAAGACCCCCAGCCTTATCAGACCCAGGGCATTCCAGGAATTACTCCTTCAAGCCTCCTTGCCCAACCGGGTGCAGGTGCAGGTTCAAAGAAGGCTCCCAAGACCAACACTGGCTTGGTTAGAGACCAGCAAGCTTTGGCCGATGCGGATCCTCTTGGTGTTGACTTGACCGTCAATTTCGACGGTGTTGGTGGCCTGGAAGGTCACGTCAACCAGTTGAAGGAGATGGTCTCACTTCCACTGATGTACCCTGAGATTTTCCAACGACTCAACATCACTCCCCCTCGAGGCGTGCTGTTCCACGGACCGCCTGGCACGGGTAAGACACTTCTGGCTCGGGCGTTGGCTAACAGCCTCAGTTCCGAAAACCGGAAAGTCTCGTTCTATATGCGGAAGGGAAGCGATGTTCTGAGCAAGTGGGCAGGAGAAGCTGAGCGTCAGCTTCGAGTTCTTTTTGAGGAAGCCCGCAAGACGCAGCCTAGTATCATCTTCTTTGATGAAATTGATGGTATGTCTCGGTTCATTCTGTGTGTTGATGTGACTGAGCTAACTAATTTTCTATAGGTTTAGCACCCGTTCGTTCGGCCAAGTCGGACAGTTCATCGGCTGCATCAATCGTTTCGACTCTGCTGGCATTGATGGACGGTATGGATGGCCGTGGCCAGGTTATTTTGATCGGTGCAACCAATCGACCCGACCATGTTGACCCTGCCCTTCGTCGCCCGGGCCGCTTCGACCGTGAATTCTACTTCCCACTGCCCAATCTCGAGGCTCGACGTGCTATCATCGAAATCCACACCAAGGGCTGGGACCCTGAGCTTCCGAGCAATGTCAAAGCTGATCTGGCCGCAATGACTAAGGGATATGGTGGTGCCGACTTGCGGGCGCTCTGTACCGAGGCCGCTTTGAACGCCGTTCAACGGCGCTACCCTCAAATCTACAAGTCCGACAAGAAGCTTATCATCGATCCAAAGACGATCGAGGTCATTCCCAAGGACCTTTTGATTGCGGCAAAGAACATTGTGCCTTCTTCCCAACGATCAGCCTCTTCGGGAGCAGCTGCGTTGCCTGAGAACGTTGAGCCTCTTCTCCGGAAGTCACTGGCACAGATCAAAGCTTCGCTGAAGGAGATCTTGCCCCAGCGCAAGCGTCTCACTGCCCTCGAAGAAGCTCAGTATGAAGAGCCGGCAGATGGGAATGAAATCCGTCGGGAGAAGATGATGGAAGAATTTGATCGTGCGCGCGTCTTCAGGCCGAGATTCCTTGTGCGCGGCGCTCGCGGAATGGGCCAGGGCCACCTGACGGCCGCAATCCTACACCAATTTGAGGGACTGAACGTCCAGTCTTTCGATCTACCGACACTCCTCGGCGATCCCTTTGGATCTCCCGCCGCCACCATCTCTCACTTGTTCACTGAGGCCAAAAGGAACAAGCCCAGTGTCATCATCATCCCGGACATTAATTCCTGGGCCGAGAATCTCCCCCCTTCCGCCATTTCCATGCTCGCGCAATTAATGCGCCAACTCCCACCCTCCGATCCTATTTTGTTGCTTGGCGTCTTGGAGTCGACAGAAGAAGATGTCGACAACGCAATCCTCAAGGAATTGTTCGGCTCCTCGAAGAAGAACGTGATCTATCTCACAGAACCTGATCAGAACGAACGACATGAGTTCTTCAACAAGCTGATCGAATACATCAAGACTCCTCCTTCGGGCTTCCCTGATCCTGATAATCGCAAGCTGCGCAAATTGGAGGAACTTGAGGTAGCCCCACCACCGGCACCCAAGCCAGAGGCGCAATTGACCAAGCAGGAGCTTAAGACCCAGAACAAACGGGATCGGTACATGCTCAATCTCTTGAAGGTCAGGATCCAGCCCGTCATGGATTACATCAAATCCAGGTATAAGAGACTCCGGCTACCTGTGATTGATGAATCAAAACTTGCATACCTGTGGGAAGATGCGAACCCGGATATCGTCACCAGTGACATTCCCCAAGAAGATGCACACATCCATCGGCCTTATGAGATCGCCGAAGACAAAAACGGCGTCACTGGTCTTCGCGAGGTGCTTACTGGAAAGTTCTTCTACAACATGGACACCACCACCATTGAGAAGCGCCTGGTGAATGGCTATTACAAACGCCCTTGCGACTTCCTGTCAGACATCAAGAAACTCCAGAAGGATGCCCGGCAGACCGACGACCTCGACCGACAACAAAAGATCAGCGAACTGATCCCCAATGTCGAGGTTGACATGGCCACCATTGAGCAAGAGTACCCGGATATCGTGGTAGACTGTGAGAACATCTACCAGCGGCATCTGGCCCGTGTGAAGCAGGCCATGGAAAAGGCAAAGGTTGATGGCGAGAAGGGGAAGGCCGCCGAGGACAATGATCCCGGCAACGGCTCCGATGAGGATGAGGATGGAGATGGGGACGTGTACATGAGCCACGAGGAAAACCCTGGCTCCAGGGAGACTCAGCAGAGCTCCTTCGGCCCCTCTGCGCAGCCGAAACCTGCGTACTCCAACACCGCTCCCTCCCAGCAACTTCGCCGGGAGTCTGGTCTGTCGAGCTTCTCCCAGAAGGGGCCAATGACCCCCATGGCCCCGGGAACGCAACCGGCAGACTACACAAATGAGGCGTCCACCACCCAGACGACCTCATATAAGAAGTCGACGGAGCAAAGCTCCCACCAGACAAATGCGAGTCGGCAGGGAGAGTACCCCGACCTTTCCCAGTACCCTGACCGCATCTCCCAGGAAGACCACCTTCCTGATACTCAGGGCGGCAGCCAATCCTCCCCCCCTCCCGGCCCGCCCTCAACCTCCTCTTTTTGCCGCCCCTCCCCCGCCCTCTCTGGATGGCCCCTCGGCCTCCTCGGTGACCGTAGACCACGAGCGCGTGGAGCAGCTCCATGCCCAGCTGACTCTGCGGACAAGCGGCCTGTCCGTGGAGCAGCTGGAGCAGATTAGCTCCACCCTCATGGCCTGCGTTTGGCAGATGCGGTCTGAAAATGACCGCACTGTCGTCGCTGAGGGGATCTCCAAGGCCTTTGATGTGGCCTTGGAGGACATCCAGGAGGGTCGGGAGGAGGGGTTGACCTCCTAGGCTGTCTGTGTGTCGGGGTGTCTTTCCCCGGGCTCCCCGGGATATCTTTTATTTCTATTTAAAGATTCGAATCAGTTTTTTGTTCGGTTTTTTTTCAATCTTCGTTCACTTTTTTGTTTTTTCATTCTTATTTGTAAATAGTATTACCACAATATATCCTTACTGTACTCTTACCATTATTGTCTTTTCAAATCAAGGGAAGTAGGCCACCGTGATGAATGTGTACATCTAGACAAGTAATTGCGAGGGATTCAAACATAAGAACGTGGTTATACTCATCGACACAAACAGTATGCCAGATCTCCCAAGAAAAGAGCAAAAATGTAGATTACAATGCATCTATCGACATAATACTGGACTTGTACATTTCTGTAGACTCCAAAATAGTACCTGACTTTTTTCTTCGCCCTACAATAATCGCATAGCTACATATGGTGCAGGCACGCTGAACTAGACCGGTTGAGTATGACCAAGAGAGCTCTCCCAGCCTTTTCCGAGACAAATATTATGATCCCGGTGTAATTATTAACCCTCTTATCAATCCCTAGGCTTACAATATCGTCATTTTCATATTTGTTGGTCTGATGCGGTCGATCCATCTTCCAATGTCATTCCGTTCCTGAATCAGATCACGAGAAACAAGTACAAGCAAAACATTTACTCGATGAAATTACACACCTTTCAAAGAAATGTTTATTCAGAGAGCACAGAAGCTTGCCCATATTTTATGCATCCCTCCAAATTGCAGAACTATCTTTATAAATAGCAGACGTGGGGAGGTGTGTCTCTGGCTCGAGTATACTTCGCGTGGACATGTGACGTCGACCCACTAAACACCTGGCCTTTGCAGCGTCAGCTTTCCGAGACCCTTCTTTCAACAATTCCACCACCACCCTCGATTCCCCAATCGCTCTCAATTCCTAGGCCATGAGCGCATCTTGAAAGCACCAAAATAATTCTTCCGACCACCGACACGCCCAATCCCACTCCGTCGCCCTCGCTCTCGCGCGCATTCACAACTCCCGCACCGCGAACATGGTGGACTGGCTCAGTCTCGCCGTCCCCCTGGCCTACCTGGGCGTCCTGATCGGTTCTCTCGCTACATTCTCCTCCCTCTATCGCAAGCGCAAGGCCCGTAAGTGTCATCGACTTCCCACCAGCTGCCCGCAGGTGCCATCTGTTTTCGTGACTGGACACCCTGGTCATTTTGGCTTAGAGGCTACTGGGCTTTTGCAAGCGAAGTGTCGGTACCCTGCTAACACAGCTCTCCTTTTAGAAAAAGCTGCCTCCCTTGCTCCTTGGTTCCCCGCTCACCTCCAACGCGACATTTACTTCTCCCTCCTACATCTCGATCCCTCCTCCCAATCCGGCAAAAAGACTCCCAATGTTCCCGAGTCCGTTCTGAAGGCTGCGCTCCTGCGCCGCGCGACGGAGGACATCCGTCGTGTCATGGCTCTGAGAAACCAGAAGCAAGCTCTCTCTGTGCTGCTGCAGCGTGGTAGTGTTGGCGATGACCTCTGGCAGCGGTTTATGCGCGCTGAAAAGGAAATGGAGGAAGAAGTGCGCGATGTTGTCTCAGAGGTATGCTTTGCTCCTAATTTGCTCTGGAACTCGATCTGCGAGTTGTAGAATTCCTCTTGCTAACGAGGTTTCTTTAGGCCAACGCCTACGCACCCAACTGGGGCCAGACTATCTTCCAATCCGCCAACGAAATGATGAACAACGATATTTACCGCCAAAGAATCAAGGAACACGAGGACAAGCTCGCCGAGGAGCGTGAGTGGTGGGAGAAGAAGCGCGCTAGCATGCAAGAGGGTTTCATGAAGGAGTTGAATGAGGGTGACAACCAGAAGACCTCTGCTGCGTCCAAGAGCTCTGAGCCTGCGACTCACTCAAAGGCTGCGGCCCCAGCTGCGCCTTCGGTGCAGGGTAGCGATGATGATGCAGTGTTGGTTGAGGCGGATCCTTCGGGGAATAGCCAGGCTTCGCCTGGTGGTGAAAAAAAGAAGAAGGGCAAGGGCAAGGGCAAGAAATAAAGCAGGGGCTTTGTATTTTTATATTTGCTTCCCTTCTGGTGATAGGATTTTGACTGGGTTATTCGATATAGATTTATTCGGATCTGGTTCTCTTTTCCGCTGTTCTCTAATGGTGTGGTAGGCTGTAGAGCAATGGTACATGTGGCTTTCAATGTTCATTGTCTTTGTGATGGGTAATTCTCGAGTTGACTTGATGCCCGGTGCAGACCAAAAGCTGTATGGAACTAACGTGGAATGGAATGAGCAAGGAAATGCATATTTCTATTCTATGCCAGCGTACAGAAATCAAGAATATCTAGCAGATTAGATCGCTTCATCTTTTTCCCACCCAGTCATTTTCAGGTTTTGAACCCCCTTCGAAGGATGAGCATTAAGCAAAGCATCCCACTCGGCCGTAAACGGATTCGGATCTTTTAGCTGATCAAGATTCCCCAACGTATGATTAACCTCTCTATGCTTCGCTTCATCAACCCGAATATAGAGCAACAGACTATTCACATCATACTGGCCTTCCGGCATCTTCCAATAGTGAATCGCGATATCAGGCGCCTGCAGATCAGACCACTCGGGTAATCTGCCCTTCTCAATGTCGGCGATTGCTCGGATATAGGTCGTGACCCCCTCAAAATATCCGACAAAACGATGACAGATTCTTGGAGATATGACGTATGAGATGATAAGAGCGTTGAAGGATAAACCTTGCGCACCAATTACCACGAGTCGGAGGCCAACGCCTGGCTTTGACATACTCAAAATGTGAGGAGGTGCATGCGCTCGTTGAATGCTTATCCGAGAAGAGACTCGATCCTTTAGTTTAGTGTCAATTCTCGGGATCGTCTTACCATCCACCGTCTCGCTTCATGCGCCTTAAGCTGCCGAGGTGCCGAAGCATCCCTCCTACCATCCCGGAAACACCAGCCACGCTTTCCAGGAAGATGAAACGCATCATCCACTTCTTGCTGGTCATGACATGCTTGGGCGAGGGCATCGTCTCCCTCGGTGTGATGCTTGTATCCTGTCACCGTGTCCATGCCCCAGCGAAGCAGGCGGACGGTGAGAAGGGCTATGTTATCTGTCCGCTTCGCATGTCTTGCTCGGTATAGCTGTGAATTTTGTTAAAAAGTACTGCTTCATTTTAAGGAGTCGGCTTCCTGACATCGGGTGCTCTGCTGAGAATTCGAGCTGTTTTATGCGAGTTGTTAGAGCTGAAGGGACGTAGTAGGTTTTCTGAGGGGCTTCACTCTCATTCGAACGTGTGCTTGATGGAAGAATGCCGTCTTCTGTGGAGATCGCATAGCAGGTAATATCACAAGCGAAACTAGTCGCTTGCATGCCCTCGATAAGTGGAAGTGGGTGCCTTGAGGTGATTGACAAGCATATTGCTTCACTTGACTGCCAGTGAGAGGGAAGTATAGAAATCAATGGACGGCCAACAGATGACTAACGACTCGGTATCTCTATAACTATAACTACTAACTAGTTAATGTCTTCGATCAACTCCGTATAGGAGAGTCCTGTGCGATCTCTAGATACCAAGTGCTCACTTTATTTGAATCCATGCTGAGGCTATTTAACTTGTCCTTGTGCATAATTCAAGGAGTCATTCTTGACGTCGTCAACTAGAGTTCACATCGCCGACGCCGGTAATCGAGCGGAATTGTGTGGAGCGCCTGACGATTAACTCCGCTTCCGCAGCGGACCCACTTTTATCATTCACTGAAAGAGACCCACTTTTCACTTCAGCCTCCAAACGACGAGTATTTATGCCATCCATCTTCCGACCGCCATGATACATTATCCATCTCCATCTACGCCCCGATCGAACTTGATCTTATTCTACCTTCTCATAGACACGGTCTGACATTTTTCGCAAGATGACGCATACGGATGTCGAGTGGAGGGCGCTGCACACGAAAGTGAAGCAACTCGTTCCAAAGAGATTGGGACCAATGATGATTATCGTGGGTTCCCCAGGTCTCAGTTTAAATTTACTGATCGGCGCTAACATTTTCCGACTACAACAGGCAGCTACAGTGGTGGCATCTCCGTCAGAGGAGCTCTTGGCCGAATTTTATTCCTACCTGGTCCGTTCCAAGATAAGAATCAACATTTACGACTATGTTGATTCTGATTCTGATGACGATGTCAATGACATAGATGAGGACGAGGACATGGAAGAAGACGATGATGAAGGAGCCGCCGAGCTTGAAAGAGCAAGACAAGCCATCTCCCTTATCTTTCGCGAAGTTCTACTGAAGCTTATCCCGCTCGTGGGAGCCCCACGGGTGCTGTGTGCTTTGATTCCGTTGGCGAATGCCGAGGGCAATGTGAAGGCAAAGGCTGCTAACAGCGAGCTTGACGACAGATGGTGCGTATTCCAATCATACATCAAGTCAGTTCCCTTCGGGTGCAAATTTCGCTAACAGCTTTTTTCCAGGGACAATATGGACCACCTCGACGCTGAAGTATTCTATCAGCGTGGTGAGAGAACCATGAAGGCCATTTATGGAACTTCTTTGCTCCCCAAAATCTTCGATTCTTTCGGTGACCACAAGGAAGATATCAGCTTCCACGAGATCTTCGCAGTCTACGGTCTCTTCTTGTCGGACTACGCCATCCTCACCCCGATTCAAACAGAGGCCGTGGTTTATGCCACGATCTCAAGTCTAGGACTGGGCGCGCCAGGAACTTTGCATCTCCGGGGTATGGGTCGTATACTCGGGGCAAGTGGCCAAGACACCCAGAGCGACGAGGCGGAGCAAATCATAACCCAGCTCACAAACCTGCGGGAGGCTGTCATGGAAATAATTCGATTTGTCGGGGATGACTACGCTACTCGAGCCCGCTTGGATAAGTGGGCCACAGTCGACAGTATGCTGAGAGAGTTTGGTGGCTGGGGAGAAAAGGAGACTCTGAATCAGCATTTCAAGGAGTTTTACCCGGGACGCATCTAATGATGGGGATGAGTCGAAGCCCGATCGCAATTCGCCACGCTAAAAAATTTCTTTTTTTCCCTTTCAAACTTCTAAATTCATTCCGTATTTTGCTATCTACTTGTTTGATTATTGTGGAGTGAGCGCAGTTAATTCCGGAAATTACGAATGAGAATCCTTGCCTTGTATAGAGTATATAAATTCTTATAAAAATGAGCATAACTCAATTCTATTAGTTGCAATGCTATGAATCACGGACGTCAAGGGTATCCTGAATGTGGCCACATTCTAGACATTTGGTCACATGACTCAAACAACCACTCGTGCCATAACCCCATTTCCATGCATTCCATGCTCCATTCCTTTCCTCAAGCAGCCGCTCATTTAACACCTCCTCTCCCGGCCTCGTTGGCTCGGCATAATGCTGGGGGTGAAAAAGCGGAATCGCACTCGCAAAACCTGCATCCCCTGTCAAATTCGCAAGCGCAAATGCTCGGGCACTCAGTAAAGATAGCTATAGTCGACTTTAGATACAAGACGTAGCGCACAGGAAAAAGAAAGATGGCTTCCTCGCGTTCAGGAGAACCCAGATAAGCTATGTGAGTTTTGTTCGTGCCTGGGAACAGTGCAAGGGATCACTTGGTGGATGACGCTCCCAGGACCCTATCCAAACAGTATGAAAAATGTCAAGGGAATCAAGCAGACACCCAAGTTAATAATACGATCATTTATTACTCCGTACTCCGTACCGTGAAAAGATACCATAGTACAATGAACATCAGGAGAGCATGATCATAATATCGGACGTGGAAACAGCACCGGTCTGATCCGCGTGGCAGAAACGGATCACGTGGTTTTTATATTAGTCAGCAGTTGGGGCCCTGCATGTTGACTTCACCAAAACCCATAATGGGTCCAAGGTCTGGACCGATTACCCAACCCACGTGGGTTTTGGGTATTCATGTTGAAATATCACAGTTACTGGGATAATCATGGGGGCTGGGATCACGTGCATGCCTATATACCTGTTCACCAGTCTACTTGTATCTTAAACAACCAACTCCCCTCAACAACATGAACACTGAAGCATCACTTATAAATCAACAATTCAATTGCCCGACCCAACCCAACCCATAACCCATGTTGGTTTAGATACGTTAGCAGGTGTCTCCTATGAACACGCATAGAAACCTTGGAGCGCCTGCAGAATTTCCAGAGTCATCTCTATGAGCAGTATGAAGCCAAGGCAATCGCAAACGCGTCCGATGAAGATGTCCGACGAGTTAATGAAATGAAGAAAGCTCGGAAACAAAAGGACTTGGATATAATGTTGCAAAAAGGGCAGCCCTGGCTGCGTCAGCTATGGCAAGAAGATCAGGGCAAAAAGCCGTGGGGTTATGCGATATTTGAGAACCTTCAATGGAAGGCAGAGAATCCCGATCGTTGGGAATCTTATGATCGAAAGTCGTCCCATTCAAGGCATATGGCTTTTAGCGCGATAGCCTCCGGTGTCACGATCCAATCGAGATACTCTGTTGAGCCTTTAGATTGGCCTTCCGAAGCGCCTACTGAAGACGAAAGCTTTCCTGTGATCTTGAGCGAATTACGGAAGCAGTTCAACTATCTCCGATCGTACTCTCCAAAAAAGGGAATAGCGGATCTTCTGAACGAGTTGTCGTGGGGAACCATTAACTCTATGCCAGAGGGGCTCACGGAGGGAACTCTGCGGAATGTTTTTTTTATATCTAGATGGCAATGCTGCAGCCTCTGTGCTGGACAACCGGTTAGCAGATGATTTTTGGATCTGGGCCATCGACCCAGACTACGTGGTAGACACCGAAAACCAAAGATCCAGTAGGTACCAAGGCTACCTGCGCATTCGTCTTCAGCAGCTTATAAACAATTTTTACGTCGCCCGGCGTTGGCATGCCGAGGAGATCTCTATGGAGGACTTGTGGAAGGCGGCGCAGAAGGATCCTCACAATGGCTCGTTTGTTTCAATGGAAGACGAGGAAATATTTTCACAGGACTTAACTTGGGAAGTTGCAACCGCCGTTCGACCAAAACACGCGAGGCTGGGAGCCTCCGATTGATTGTATTAATGTGAAGCCAATAGGAAAAACAAAAAGCTTTTTTTTGGCAGTTGAATACATGTTTCATCAAGCTGAACAGGTGTAGATATAAATTGCTTGACAAAATAATAAAACTTTCGTCTATTAGTTTCCAAGCCAGAAGCGGAATCCGCCCTCCTACCAGAGAGACTCCCAAAACGTCTCTCTCGCCTCGGGAGTGTTCGAGAGGGTGTTCCGATCATCCCATTCGTAAGCGAACCCACCAAAGTATCGTTCGCGAAGATCGTATAGCTCAGGATATCTGGACGTAGCTCTGTTCTGGCCTTCGGGATACAGAATCTTCCGGCGCATGGGAAGCGCAAAGTTCGGAGTGCGATGAAAGACGCTGAGGCTTTTGGCATCGGGTCCCAGTTCTTGGATAATCTGGACTCCGAGATTCTTTGAAAACTTCGCATGTTGCTAATCTAATGGACCAGAAGCTTCAAGTGTGAACGCAGGTCGAACCCGTTCTGCTCGATTCTCCACTCTCCCTTTCTTGACCATTCCTCACAACGCCAAATCGTCAGATTGGATACGACAGACCATAGACTATTGGGAATGTTTGATTGTCCCTGGGAATGACACGCTGGAGATGTTTCTGCGATCATACTTGTATATGTGCAACCACTCCTTCCGATGTTGGATGTAGTCGGATTCTGGACTATATATTTTGGCAAAGTGGGCCCACAAAACACAAAGGCATTGCCACGCCTTCTTTTTCAGGCAATAATTTATGCCAGTGCACATGTACGCAATCTGGAGCAAATCTCTAAAGTATGTTTTTTTACATTTTAGTTTCTTTCATCCGAAATTGCTCAGAATAATGGCTTTCGGACCATAATCGGCCTAAGCGAGTCCTGTTATGACAAGGTTAAGGTTAGTCGTTCCCTGTCCCCACTTAAAAATGTGGGATAAAGTCTCAATAGACATTCTACCTCGTAGGAGTTGAAGAAGAACTCCTGGTACTCGCGCAAGTCGCTCTTATCATGACTTTCCAGCCATCCAATCGTTTGATTGACACAAACTGGATGACTTTAGCAGTACACAATGCAAAAAAAGCAAAAGCTCATCTCTTTCATCAATTTGACATTGATTACGACTACCCATGTTATAGAAGCTGTGGTGGTTATGCGTCATAAGGGACCTAATGCTCTCTCTTTTCCTATGCCAGCCTCTTAACATTTCGCTATCATCGGTCGATCTAGGCTTGCCATATCTGGTTTCTGATGATCTATAATCGGAGAATTTCCAGTCGGACATCTACGGTCATGGAATATCCTGGTCGCATTTGGTAACGTCGCCTTGCCAGCTCGTGTCCGTCATCACGGACATTGCTCCAATCATTATCGGCACCGCTCCTCGAATCCTACTAAAGACGAGAAGATCGAAGTCAAGTTGCAAAGAACAAATTCGAGCCTACGAGTTTGGGAAGAGACAAGTGGGTTTATGCTAGTGGTTGACCCGGCATTGTCTAGCCCATCGCTCGCTTTACTCACACAGGCCTTGAAGTTATGTTGTCGGCGAATGGCGGTCAAATGCAAGACTTATCTTTGAAATCTAGGGCCTGACGAGAACACCAGTTTATCCATATTGTCTCCAAGTGAATATGTTATGCGAAAACCCGGCCCTTTCCCATCTTCCGCCAGGGGTGTTCAAAGTACTACGGGAGTCAGGTAAACAAATGATTACCGAGATTGAAGACAGCATTATCAATTTGATCGCCCTCCAAGAAGCTGGAGTACTGCCGTCCGTCGTGTAAGACAAGCCTCACCGTTTGAAGATCCTTCACTAACTAGAACACCTAGTCGTGTGGCTTACACGATTGTCCCATTCGGACCCCCCTACCATCAACCGGGTCATGAACACGCGCATTCACCCCCTCGAGAAAATGCCAAGTCACCCACAGACCACATTGGCATATCACAATTCGATGAAAAACGATGAATCGGTCCTGATTCAGCATGCCACCGGGCTTTCAGGGGTAGAATTTGATCAATGCTCAAGTCCATCCACAGTAGCGAACAACCCGGCACTCGATCTGCAAATCGCTATCCATAACCAGGTGATGAATTTTCTCCAAGATCTGACCGACAATTCCAAGAGAGAAATTTCGCTCTTTGGGGGCCTGATTCCAAATCGTAGTTCTCAGCTCTCCCCCCCCCGGAGGGCGGGGGGGGTACATCCGAGACATTGCTTTCGGAATGGAATCCGTCGCCGATCGCATCCACTCGCCGGTTAGCCTCGACCGAGACGTTTTTCTTCGGAGAACCTTTGCTCTGAATAGTAACTAAGATTGTCGTTCACTCTGTCAAAATAGCCCCACGTTAATAGAGACCAGATATTGTCGATCAAGCCGGAGTCTGGCTCGAGTGCCAGGACTGGTTCATGAGTCCACGGCTGGAAGAGGCTAAGCAAGTTAACAGAGCCGAGGTTCCTAAGCAAACTCCTCGAATCTGATCCAGAACCAACTTGTTTGGAGGAACGAAGTTGGAAGTGGGAGAACGAGTGTGTTTTCATGTGAAAGTGGTTGCGCGTGGGACGCGAATGAGATGTGATGGATGACAGATGAACATAGACAAGGGAGACGTTATTGATATATTTGATCAAACTTTACATGTCTTGTGCCTGACATACCCACATGATCTTCCGGCAGTTACCAGGGATCTCTCTGTTCCTCTTTCTCGGAACCCATAGGTACCAGTGGTTGTTTGTGCATATTTTCAGCCCTTCTAAACTTCCTCATCCTCGAAAATGCTACGACTGGGTTTCCAAAACAGACATGGAATGAGCACGGAGGGCGAGAAATCCACGTGATGGGACGAGCCCTGATCATGTGACAAAAACATTGCTGGGTGCGCGCCGTGCCGCGGAGACAAAGCCTTGGTTGCCACGCGTTGGATTAGGCTCCACTTTTATTGACCTATCAAAACCTTGGTATACCAGCCATCTCCAGCTATCAAGCCGCGTCCCACGAGGCCAACGCAGCCTCGTCTTCACCCTGAACACATGCAAGGGCGCCGAGACTGTCCTTCTCAACCGAGTCAATTTCCCCGCTTCAAAACTCTTTTAGGTCAATTTAGGTTCGTGAAGAACGCGCTGCGTTTCAGATTGAGAGATTTGATGCAAACAAGCAATGCTCATCTGCAAGCAACACGATTCTACCCCATACGTGTTTTGATTTCCAATCCTGCCATCGGAACTGATACCAGAACTGTCAAAATCATTAGGACGCTGTCAAAATGTGTGATCTTCATTGGATCCTCTGCCAAAATCTCTGATTCCCCACGGAACGACCGAGACAGCGAATCCAGACTGCTTGAACCTTCGGCAGGAGAGAAAATCCTCGGCGATCATGGATTGTCGCTGATTTATGCAAAACGGGTGACAGTAGCAACCCCATTTGGCTTGACTGTCCCGTGTTCAGTGGATCGGCACCGCTCTCCAACTCGCGCCAAGCCGAACGGCGGCCGTTAGCTTAATGCTCCTGGAATTTTCCCCATTTAGCTCACCAGAAAACGACTCCCAGCTGGATATCCTTGGGCTACTGGCCGAGATAGTGGATATCGGGTCCCCGTAGCCCAAGATCCCCACATACCGGCATTTCGTTGGCGAAATTGCGGTCATGCCGTTCGACTCCCCTAGACCTTTCAACTGCCGCCTGCCTCCGTTAGGAGGGAATGCGAGCTGCCTTTAGCGTGCTTCCAAGATTGCCCCTGACGCACCAAGTGTTTTTAAATCTCCAGCCCTGTCCAACTTCTGGGCTTTCCTGACCTCGACTCTCGTCTGAGGCAAAGACTTTTTCCCACCAAGTGTCAGCCGGACCCCGGGATGCGCAGCGATGGCCAACGATGAAGATCAAAGGAACATGGCGATCAAGGTCGTCGCGGGACTGTTCATGTCGATCGCATTTGTCGCCGTCGTACTGAGATGTTATGTGCGTGGCAGGGTGGTGAAGGCGTTTGGATGGGATGACGGGTCGATGGTCGTGGCCATGGTAATTTGCCCTGTTCTGATTTGATCGACTGTGCGGCCCACTGATATCGAAATAGGCTTGTTATATATTGTTCTCAGCCTCTATGATTGGAGCGGGGGTGCACGGGAATGGGCGACACTGGTATAGTGTGGAAAAAGATGAGCGAGTGATCGCGATGAAGGTAAGCCGAAGCAACCGAACATTCGTTTCAAAACAAACCGTGCTGATTCTTTTTTTTATAGTACTGGTGGCTTTGCGAAATTGCATTTTGCTTTGCGTCCATTTTCTGCAAGATTTCGATTTGCATTTTCCTGATGCGAATCTGCATCAAGCGAACCCACTTGTGGACACTCTACACGGTCATGGCTCTGACGGTCCTAGCGGGTCTTGTTTTCATGTTCCTGATGCTCTTGCAGTGCAAGCCACTGAGCTACTTCTGGAATCGCATGGCCTATCACCCAGTTGTAAATATCGAAGGTGAAGGTTATTGCATCAACATGGAAATCATAGTCGCCATGACATACGTCTACAGTGTTTTTGCGGCAGCGTGCGACTTTACCGTCGGTATTCTGCCGATTTTTGTCGTGCATCAACTCCAAATGAAGCGCCAAACCAAGGTGGCTGTGATCGGTATCCTGAGCATGGCTTGTATGTACGTGTCACACGCTCTCTCCTCGGGCCTCGGAACATTCAGCTAACCACTTGTCTAGTGCATCCTCCGCCGTGATTGTTCGTATTCCATTTGTTGAAACGTTTAATGATTTAAATGACTTCTTGTGTATGTTGTCTCTTTTTCCCCAGCGATACCATCAACCTCGAAGGGTTCTGACTTGTCATAGATTCTACCGTTCAAATCGCCTACTGGTCGAATATTGAAGTCGGTCTCGGTATCACTGCTGGCAGTCTCGCAACCCTACGACCTCTCCTTCGCCACTGGTTTGGCACGCGGGCAGACCCCTCATATTCCGCCGGGTTCCCGAAAGATACATTTGGACGCCGTTCTGGTGGCATCAGTGGGCAGCATGCTCTACCTCTGGGGTCAATGAACGGACAAAGCGAGCTAAGACCCGATAAAGTTGCAGTCATGGTGACAAATATCGAGAGCCAAAGAGAAGGCAAACATCCGTGGTCGCGGCCGTCTAGCCCAAGCAGCAGCGAAGAAGGGCTGACCTACCAGCAACACACACCACATGGAAGAATGGAAGTTGGCATCCATCAGACATTCGAGGTCACACGAACAGGAGCGGCGGAACAAGATGACGGACTCGAAACTTGGCGGATCGCCAGGGAGCATGTATAATAAGTATTGTAAAATTATCAGATAGCGTTTGTTACTTCGTGGTTCCCCTGGTCTCTCATTTCTGTGTATACACTGTCGATGGTGGCTTTTGCACGAACGAAGCGCTCAAATTGGCCTCAACCAGTACCTTCAAGGACGCCGACTTCTGATTGATGGAGTTCGCCAGGTGGTCGAGGCCATCAATCAGCGATTCGATCGAGTCGGAGTGGTGTGTTAGAGAGAAAGAGGGGTAGCGAGAATGAGGTCGACGAAAGCAGAAGCCGTCATCGCTTACTCCCCTGCTTCAGAATGCGCAAGACGCTATCGCCCAGGCATCCGAACTCGGCAAAGGCCATGGCGAACTGGGAACGAAAGTCGTCCTATCTTCGTGAGATTGTCAAGTTCAAGACTTATATTGATTCGCTCCGGAGTGCGATTAGTTGCAAGGAGAGGATCTATGCTTCTTCAAACAATTACTATAATAAGTCAGATGAGGCTGCTGGGGATGTTGAGCAGCAACTGACGAAAAAAAAAAAGAGTGACTTCTGTACCGAACATCATGGGCATACAACGCCATCTTAGCTTCCGGAGTGCTTTACCATGCTGTTTATCTTTTGAACCAACTCTCCGATGCTGTATGGCTTGTGAATGATATCATCCATCTTAGCATCAAGCATTTCGGCGTCCTGATCCGCTCTAACATTCGCTGTGACTCCAAGTATCGGAACATGCCCAGAGCTATCTTTCTCCAAATCACGGATTGCTCTTGCGGCTGTACAGCCATTCATCACGGGCATCTCTTGATCCATTAATATGCAGTCAAAGTCGTGAAGCTGGGCAGAATCCACCGCTTCTTGCCCATTGCATGCCTCTGAAACCTGGAATCCTGCAGATCTCAACTTTCGCGAAAGAACCCGTCTGTTGATAATATTATCTTCAACCAGAAGAACACGGTTGTTTGTGTCACCCTCTTCGCTACGCGACGACCTTCGCCGATCGCGGTCGGCCTTTTCATCCGTGACCTGACTCGCCAGAATTCCTGTATGCGTCGTCCTGTCATCATCGAGGGGGCCGAGCTCTGACTCTCCAGCCCTCTTCACGGCTGGGTTCTTTGAGATCACAGGTTCCTCGGTTGTTCGGTTCACTCCACTCATTTCATTCCCCAGAACTTGGATATCGGCGGCCAATTGATCCATTTGAGAGGTACTTTGCCGGCCCGGTGTGCCATCTGCTGGCTTGGAACTCCGGCGCACTTTGAAAAAGAAGCCAAAGGTACTCCCATGTCCTTCTCTTGAGCTCACCCCAATTTCACCCCCGTGTAGGTGGCAAAGCTTTCGGCACACATTCAGACCCAGGCCTGAGCCGCCGTAAACGCTCTCGGTCTTAGGAGTTGCTTGGTTGAAACGCTTGAAGAGATTTTTCTGGGCATGGTCGCTAATGCCAATACCCGAGTCCTTGACAGCGACCATAATGTACGCAACATCACCAGATCCCCACTCGCAGTTGTCTGTCCCATCTTCTTTCAATGCCTCCTTTCCTGATTCGAAGAAGACCACGTTCGGGGGGTAAGAGGTTGGCCTGTCTATCGCCGCCCCTATCGAAACCCGGATTAATCGCTCGTCCTTCGATTGGGAGGTGAATTTGATCGCATTCGAAAGCAAGTTGACTAGGACCTGGCCCATTCGATCTAGGTCCGCCATCACCCAATCAATTTTTGATGTGTCGTAAGATATATCGGCTACATAATCAAAATGAATATGCTGCTTGCGGGTCTCGGGTCGGAAGATCGCAAGTGGGCTGGTAAGGGCTTGTTTCGGTTGTACACTGCGCGGTGAGAGTGATAGCATTGAGGCATCGAGTTTTGAAAAAGTAAGAACATCATTCACTATCTTCTTTTGATGGGCGATGCAGAGACCGATTGTCTCCGCGGACTCGGCAATGTCGTGCCTCGAGATATCGGACCCTTTCTTATCGTGCACTGCTTCGAGGATGTCTTCAGTGCAATGTAATATAGCCGAGAGAGGATTTCGTATTTCGTGACTGATCATGTCGATGAATCGCTCCTGTTGCTCCTTGGACTCCTGCGCTGCCTCGACTGCCTTTCGCTGGACAATCGCAGCATTCTTTTGTGAGGTTATATCTGCGACTGTACAAACATACCCACCATTTTCACCTAGACCGAAGCATTGAAGATCCGTTTTTCCCAATGTCTCCAAAGTCAAGGCACACCATACTGTTTTTTGGGTCGAGGGTGCGGTATTCAATGTGAAGCGCTTTTCGATCTCTTGCGGCGTCCCGGAGTCCAGCAGCAGCTCGATCGTAATCGTCGACGTGAACGGAGCGGAGCCAACACTCACGAAAATCGGCGTTGGGGCATGGTATCAGCTTCTGGAATTGGCGGCTCGCAAAGATTGACTCATATCGATGATTGAGTATGGCAATGCCGTTCGGCAAGATATCGGCCAGCTGCTGTGCAGTGATTTCCGAATTGAAATCAAATGACATTTGAATTTTTATAGTAGCCAGAGCTCAGTATCTCTGGCCTTTGGGGCGAAGTGTGGGATGAGCTGCGATAATCGCGGGGAAGAGTCGATCGTGAGAAATCAGCCGGATCGGGACCACATCCCTTACGAAAGGGGAGATAGAGGGGTGTTGGTGCGGTCACAGGAGCAAGAATGGTCGCTTGGTTGCAAGCTCTGCGTGACGAATGTGATGCGTGGTTGACCTGGACTGGGAATAGGTAAAGCAGGGGAATTGCGATTCATGAATTCATATTGAGAAACCCATCGAATCCACGTGGAATATGAGGACCCCAGCCAGCGCCTCTCTCTGAAGGCCAAGTAACGTTAATGAAACAGCGGGGTTCTTTTTCCACCCAATTGCACTATGACGTCATCACCGAAATGATGTCATGGGTCCGCATTCAGAACTCGCGCTACTCGCGGCTTCTGTTGCAATGGTTGGTAGCATATCATGGCAAAGTCGCCGACAGAAATGAACCGTAATAATGATATTCCAAGAAAATTATAAGCCCGAGCAAGTCGATTTTATAATAGTACGTACCCGAGGGTAGGACGACTGGAGATGCACCAAGATACGATTTTGAACCATGAGAGCAAGGGAAAAAGAGAACTAATCCTTTCCAGATAGAAACCTTGATGGTTTTTTTTTTTGCGTCTCTCTTTACCTGTGAATTGCTGCTAGAATATGTAAGGGGCTCTGGTAATCATTTGAACTTGAGAGTTGGTGATAGAATTCAAGGCACGTGATCTGCTCCCTCAGTCGGTCATCATTTCCCGTCGCTATTGGAAAAAAATGCACATTATTTATTCAGAAATTTGCGCGGAATGTCCTTGCTATTTGGAATGGGCTCAGCTTTTTCAATAGAACAGCACTAAATATTCCATGACCCGATAGAATTCAGCCAATAGAGAAGTATACTGGTCATGTCGACGTAAATGTCATAGTCTTTCAGCAGGAATGAGTCTGTTTCTTCCTCAACTCAGATCATAGCTCTGAGATTGCTTCACTCTTAAATTCGAGGCTCACTGGTGGTTTGATTCATTTCCTACAAGAAGCGTTTTCGTGCCTGACAATTGAGAGTAGAGTGGACCATGCCATCCGAAGAACCAATGAGCTCGGTTACATGCACGCCTAACCGGTTACTAACAGAACATCCAATATCGAACGTTCAATGCACGTTTATTTAGGTATGACGTTAGATCTTGGCTTTGGCCCGCTTTACACGAATATTGAACCTCGCGCCTTTGCAACTCAGGAGTCACTGCCGCTTGTCCGACTTTCCACCCTTTCATTACCTCTTTATACTACTGTCTTCACCTAGTTCCTGCAAAAATGGCTACATTTGTGACGAGTGAACTAATGGGTACAACCCTTGAGGTAACTGATAGATACACCAACTTGGAGCCTCGAGGCATGGGCTCCTCGGGAATGATCTGGTATGTCCCCGGCATCCCGGAACAGCAAATTCGATTGACTGACAGCATTTCTTAGTTCAGCACACGATTCAATTACCAATAAAACCGTCGCTGTCAAGAAAATAGGAAAGCCTTTCAATCATCCTATCCTTAGCAAGCGCACTTATCGTGAAATTCATTTATTAAGCAATCTGAGACATGATAACGTTCGCGTCTCTTCCACTGATTGTGGCTATTGTTTCTAACGTTCTAAGTAGTTAATTAACTTGGAAGATATCTTCATTTCCCCGTCCGAAGATCTGTATGAGAGTCATTGCTTCGCAGTCCAAATTCAGGTTGAAAAATATACTAAATCGAATGGTTTCCAGATATCTTGTTATGGAATGTGTCCAAACAGACCTCCATTATCTCATGCGGTCGACCCCACAGCCGCTCGAGGGGAAGTTTATCCAGTTCTTTGCATATCAAATGCTGGTATGTCCAAAATCATTCGCTCGAGATATGTCTTCACGTCGCTGACCAATCTAGCGAGGATTGCAATTCATACACACAGCTGGTGTTGTTCATCGCGATCTCAAACCCGGCAATATTCTGGTCAATGATAACTGTGACTTGAAAATATGTGACTTTGGCTTGGCCCGTGAACAAGATGACCTCCAGATGACTGGCTATGTCACGACCCGGTACTATCGAGCGCCAGAAGTCATGTTGACTTGGCAGCATTATACTTATGCTGTGGACATGTGGAGTGTCGGATGTATTCTGACAGAGTTGGTCACAGGGAAAGTTCTCTTCCCAGGGAAAGATCATGTTCACCAGCTCACTCTGATCATTGAGCTTCTGGGTAAGCCGTCCAAGGAGGCTATGAACAAAATCTACAGTAAGAATGTATGGTCTCAGTGCGGATTCGAACTGTAAACAGACAGATAATAACCAAATATCAGTGTCTGGATTTCGTCAACTCTCTACCAGACTACCCTAGTAGCTCGCTCGAATCTACTTTAGGGGAAGCCGACCCCAAAGGTGCGTTTTGCTCATCGTCGATCCAAGTTCTCACTTTCAAGATCCAGGACACTCATTGCCACAGTGGTTGATCTCATCGGAAAAATGCTTGATCTTGATCCCAAAAAAAGAATCACAACCGCGGACGCCTTGGTTCATCCATATGTCTCGACTTACCATGATCCGGAAGATGAGCCTGTCTTTGATATGAAGATTGATTGGTCTGTTCTTGAATCAGATCTATCAGCGGAAGAGTGGAAGACCAAGATGTATGATGTTCTCGTCTTTGCTATTGATCTTTCTATTTTGGCTAACAGTATTAAAGGTATTCTGAAGTCTTGGGCTTCCATGGCGGAGCTTGTGATTGGCAAAAGCCCACCAACCCTGGGAACAAGGGGATTTTTGAAAATTGGTTGGTCGATGCGACAACAGAAGGCACATATTAGTTTTGGTTCCGTACGATTTTGAGGTTCAAGGGAAGTGGCTTTCCACTAACCCTAACGAGGTTTTCGCAATATGCAGAAAAGACAGATTCTCTTTAGAGTACTGTGTTTAGAAGAGCTCTTCTCTGGTCCAATAATTTATGAAGCAAATCACATGTGTTACAAATTGAGTCTTTTGTCTTCTTTTCGCCCCAATATGCTATCCTCACACTCACGCTGTCTTCGTCTCCTTTGGAAAGAATCTTTCGTTCACAATTCTCAAAAGAGATTTGAAAGACTTAAGGAAAGCAAATTAGTGGACGAAGTATGAGTAGGATATTGGTGGTAAGGGTTGGTGGTACAGTCATCCCATGGTTCAATCCCAGCTCACCAAATCAGTTTCGTCCGAAATCCGATAACTTAACTGGAAGTTTCCATCTGCGTGCAGCTCTTCTATTCTTTTGAGAATCCAGAAGTGTAAGCTCTTCAAGCTTAGTAAAAGGTGCCCGACTACCCTCAATTACCTCAGTCCGAAATTCCTTATCGGCGAGAATTAGTTCTTGTTTTCTCATTGGTGGACTGAAGCATTCACTTTTGGTGCTTATTTAATACCGATTTGTATTTTGTCGGAACAACGAAGAAGTGGATATATCCCACAACCAATGGGGTGGTAGAGGTCTGAATTGCTGTGAAGCCCCTGTTCTGGCAATTTATGGGGGCAAGCTGACTAACTACATAGCAAAGCAATACGGCATCAATCTAAACCCAATTAGGTCCTCCAGCACCTGGATTCCGACATATTTGGTTGCATCACGTGAACATGGTTGCCATGTTTGCTCAACCGCCCGCTCAAACAGAATATCTGCAAAGATCATGCTCACTTCCCTATCGCATGTTGAGCTTGGATATCCTAGACACACTCCATACCCTCACCGGTTTTTCTGGCGTCAGTTGGGGAGATCGAATTCCATTCGACGTGTTTAGTCTACGAGGGTGAATGGACCCAATTTCAAGGAGCGGTGACAAATGCAAAATAAACCCCGCATCAACTTACATGCGCTAGCTCACAGAAAACCCAATGACCTATGTAAACGGGAAGTGAGGGACAGTATGCATTGGATTGAAAAATACATAGTATTTTCCAATATTTCAACTCTGGATTGTTTCATATATGAATCAATCCGTTTGCGCTGCGGGGCGGAGCCTGTCATTAAATATATACCGAGTTTCCTCGGTGCCGTCATCAAGCGCTGCAAAGCAATATGGCACATGAGAAGATGGCTCAGCATGTGAGTCTCTGGAGGGACTTTCTCTCCAAGAATCAAAAGATCGAGTTTGTGTGGGTACAACTTCTTAGTTACTCCGGAAAGAGTTTGATTCGCATGATACCGGTTGTGTCATTCGATGTGATGGTGCGCCAAAATTTGTCATTGCCATTCCCTAAGGCTGCACTATGCCATCTTCCGGGGACTTGTCATGTTTTACCTCAATCAATGTCCGGGCCCTCAAGGCTTGTGCCGGACCTGGCCACGCTCTATCCCCAGGCAGGGTCAGACGGGACTCGTGCTGTCGTGATACCATACTGCGCTGATAAGAGCGGGAAACGGTTGCCAGAATGCCCTAGGTCCAGACTAGAAGCCTTGTGTGAAATGCTTCAAAAAGAAATGGGCTACTCCGCTCTTATCGGTATCGAAGTCGAGGTGGTCTTTGTCAAGTTAGATGAGCACAACGGGACTCCTGCATATAAGACTGTGAATCACGATCACTCCTGGTCTAGCATGACTATCGAAGATCGCTCATTTCTCCATGTCATTGAAGCTGTCGTGCGAGCGCTGATGGATGTTGATGTTCGCCTCGTGCAATTCCATGCGGAGACAGCTCCTGGTCAATGGGAGTTTGTTTTGCCGCCGTCACCCCCAATCCAAGCTGCCGACGTGTTCATAAAGACTCGCGATACCATCCGAGATGTGGCAGCTGAATTCGGCCTTCACGCGACGTTTTACCCACGCATATCACCGAATGATTACGGTACGGGTTCGCACGCCCATATATCCCTTCAACACGAGGGAGAAGGCAACCCAGCAACTTGTGAGGCCTTCTTTTCCGGTATTCTCGCCCACCTTCCATCTATTCTGGCCTTTACATTGCCGCGCCAGGAAAGCTATGACAGAATAGGAAATGGTATCCGCGCTGGAGGTGATTTTGTCGGCTGGGGATGGGAAAATAAAGAGACGCCACTTCGTCGGATTGAAGAGAATCATTTCGAATTCAGACTCCTGGACGGATTCGCAAACCCGTTTCTCGCTCTTCTGTCCATATTCGCGGCTGGGATCAGTGGGATCAAGCGCGGACTCATATTGCCTCCAGAGGCTGGGTCGCTGGTACAGACCGAGTGTTTATCTAAGGAGCACCACAGTCATTCTATTCCTTTGCCAAAAGTGCTCGAAGAAAGCCTCGATTCTCTGGGAACAGATAAGGACTTGCGAGATATGATCGGGCCTGAAATCGTGCAGTCTTATATCCCAACGAAGTTAGCCGAGGAGGAGAGTATGAAACGTTGGAGCGCAAGTCGAAGAAAGCAATGGCTGATCTCCGAGTATTGAATCAATAGTGCATCGAAGGCAGCTGGGTGTCCATGGATCTGTAATTTAGCCTGAATTCCACGCCATTCATCAACCTGCGGCTTAATGTTGTAACAACGAAAATGGACAATGTGTATTGTCCGGCTATTGACCCGCGAGAAATCATGGTGGCTCGGATAGCAGGTCGATCCAAGCTGCAGGCCGCAACAGGCTTTGCTCGAGTTGTCAGTTTTAGTGATTGCATTTGTCTCGAATGTGGGCCAGCACATCATTTCCTGCTTGGATAGATGATCGATCGACCAAGAAAGAGATAAAAATAGCCGTGACTTGCGATTCACACCGCTAAAATGACCTCATGGTGCTTCTAGCATAAGGGAGGGGCAGTGCTGCGGATACATATCAGAAGCGCACGCAACACATAGACGATCGTTCCTTTTAAGCCAAGCGGGAAGTCGATCAAATTCCTATTAAATCTGGAGAATGAATCTGCGCGGAGTCGCTGGCTGCCGCGGTAGAATGTGCTTAATCAGCAAATACAGACACGCCGATTGCACATCGCCTTCACCTCACCTCATTGTCCCACGAACACTGGCTTCGCAAAATCGACACTCACAGTGTTGTACTTCCCCGCTCTCGGCCATCGCACACACTCCAAATGTCGAGGCTATCGAGAATAACTCTCAAGTTACTGGCGCACCGTTCTGTGTTGTTCCATGCGTGACCTTGGTACTGGCCCGGCAAGGATTGCGCCGCACGGTCTTACCATCATGCATACGGCTGATGGCCATTGGCTGCGATCCCCTTGGGTGGTCAAGTGTCGACATATCTTTGCATCGTACCAAACGAGCGAGAGTTCATGGATGCGATGCTCGCATATTACGGACCGTGACCTACAGCAGGAAGCAAAACTTCTGTATGAGTGCCAAGGTCCAGAAAATGGCGGTGTCAGTTCCCGAGTGCGTTCAATTACGTACACTGGGATCTCGTACATAATGAGGATCTGGAACGGCCAACGCACGGAAATCCAGAAAAGCCAACCGAAGCCATATTCCCCTTTAACTGAGTCGGAGGCCATCAGTGATTGTCAAGACCAGGCTGAACGGAGCCAACAGCTGTAACGTGAGTTTAGCTTTGCTTATGCCTTCATCTCTCCAATTGGGAGGCTTACTGACGATCTATTCACCGTTTTCACAGCATCATGAGTTCATCTCAGACCCCCGCAGCTGACCAGCTCGCAGTCGCTCCCTTCTCCCTTCTCAAAAGGGGCCACGAGGATAAGTATGCCGCGCGAGAAATGGCAGCGGCGGCTTTAAGTGCCAGTGTCGATCAAATAGAGGACATGATGCCCTGTACACCAATGCAGGCGGGCCTCTTAGCAATGACGGCCAGAAAGTCCGGGGACTACACGATGCTCTTACAACTGGAGCTGTGTGAGGCTACCGATACGAAGAAATTTCAGTTGGCTGTCGAAGCTGTGATCGAAGAATCACCAATCTTACGAACGCGCATTTTGGATCTACCATCTCTGGGACTGACGCAAGTCATAATGTGCGAGGAGGCTAAATGGGCGCATTTTTGTGATTTAGATCATTGCAAGCGCAAAACCGAAGAACAATCTATGGGACTTGGTACTCCGCTTCAGCTGTTGAACATTGTTGTCGGAGAAGGCGAAAACTCCGGGCGATATTTTGTGTGGAACCTTCACCATGCAGTGTATGACGGCTGGTCCCTGGATCTGATCCTAAAGCGGATTGATCTACATTATACTGGGGAACAAACTTTGTCAAAGCCAGTCGGTTTCCCGTCCTTCGTCAAACATGTCATGCAAAACAACGAGGTACAGGCTGCGAACCGCTTCTGGCGCCTTGAATTTGAAGATCTAGAGGCACAAATTTTTCCGTTCCTCCCGTCGCCTGGGTATCAACCACAAGCGGACCGACTCCATGAGCATCGCGTGACCGGGATTCAGTGGCCTTCTACGAACGTGACACGGGAAACCGTAATACGGGGTGCATGGTCACTGCTAGCAGCCCATTACACCAACGCCTCCGAGGTCTTGTTCGGAACGACAATTTCGGGAAGGAGGGCTGAAATCCCGGGAATAGAAGATATCATGGGCCCAACAATTGCCACCATACCCATGAGAGTGGAAATCAACTGGCACAAGAGTGTGAGTAGGTTTCTGAGCCAGCTGCAGAACCAAGGAGCGTCTATGCGACCTTTCGAACAGACCGGTATTCAGAACATACGCAAAATGGGCTCAGACGCAGAGCAGGCCTGTCAATTTCAAACATTGCTCGTTGTTCAGCCAGCATCGAAGGCTGGCGCATTCGCCAGTGGTTTATACAGGAAAGTGACAGATTATAAGGATAATAGCACTCGTGGAAAATTCAACTCCTACGCCTTAGCTGTGGTATTCCATGTGTCATGCCGTGGCTTCCGAATCGAATTGAGTTTCGACTCAAACACATTAGAGACCAAGCAGGCGGAACGAATGGCTCGGCAATTGGAGCATATTGTTCGTCAGATCTGTGACTATGAAAATGGAACAGCTCGGGTCGGCGATATCCATCCTCTGTCTAGCTCGGATCTCGAAGACATTTGGCGTTGGAACGATACGGTCCCGGCTCCTGTTGAGGAATGCGTTCATGCTTTGATTGAAAAGCGCTGTCGGCTACAGCCTGATGCCACGGCAATCGATGCGTGGAATGGGAAAATCTCATATAATGAGTTAGACCGGATGTCGACCCGTCTAGCCCAAGCCATGGTTCACTCTGGAGTTGGTCGTGGGACAATCGTGCCACTTTTGTTTGAAAAGTCCATGTGGATGCCTGTGTGCATGTTAGCTGTGATGAAAGCCGGAGCCGCAGGTGTGGCAGTGGACACAAGTCAACCGGAAATGCGGCAGCAATTTATTGTTCAATACGTCAAGCCGCAGCTTGCGCTTTGTTCTACCAAGAACAAGGCATTGGCTGAAAGGCTACTCGATGGAGTTGGGGTGGTTGCTGTCGATCATCAGTATTTTGAGAACACTTCGGCCTTTCTTTGTCGCGATGGGCTATTGCCCGAGGTGCAGCCTACCGATTGGCTTTACCTGAATTTTACGTCTGGAAGCACCGGAACACCCAAAGCCACCATTGTTACACACCAGAACTTCCGCAGCGCCATCCAATATCAGCAAGATGAGTCATTCTTCAGTCCTGTCTCCAGGGTTTACGATTTCGCGTCGTACTCGTTTGATGGTGCCTGGTCCAACTTCATGCGAACCATTTCCTCTGGGGGTTGTTTGTGCATTCCCACCGAGGATGAGCGAAACAGCAACTTGGAAGCGTCCTTGAACGCGATGAAGGTAACATACACGGCAATGACCCCTTCAGCATCTCGGATTTTGGATCCTTGCAATGTGCCATCACTGCAGACTCTAGTACTTGGAGGGGAGCCTCTTAACACCGAGGATATGAAGAGATGGGCACCAAAGGTGAACTTGAAGAATGTTTATGGGCCATCTGAGTGCACAACATCTGCGACAAGAAGGGATATTCAGGAGCCTTGTACCCAGGCGGGAAACATCGGTCACGCTCTGGGCGCTGTGACCTGGGTTGTGGAGGCAAGAGGTGGCGATTTCCTAGCTCCAATTGGGGCAATTGGTGAGCTCTGGATCGAAGGTCCCTTGGTAGGAGATGGCTATCTCAATGACCCAGCAAAAACTGCTGCCAGTTTCATGACAAGCCCCCATTGGCTGACCTCGGGGACCCCTGGGAAAGCAGGACGCCAGGGCCGTCTGTATAAGACTGGAGACTTGGTACGATACAGCTCCGATGGCTCGCTTATTTTCGTCGGTCGCAAGGACAGCCAAGTCAAAGTGCGGGGGCAACGTGTAGAGCTTGAAGAGGTTGAAAATCACATTCAAACTTGTCTTCGGGACGAGTTCGGAGCCCCTGTGGCTTCAGAAGTCATCCACCCAAAAGGCAGTCCGCGTCCCATCTTGGCCGCATTCATTGCCATCGGAGAAACCGTAAACGACGACACGGCGATTGTCCGCGAGAAATTGCATTCGTTCATAGATGGATTAGACAATCGCCTGGCTGCTCGGGTCCCTGGTTACATGATCCCAAGTGTCTACCTTCCCATCGATCATATACCACGAACTACTACGCAGAAGATTGACCGACGTCGAATCCGTGAGATTGGATCGTCGATTCCTCCAGAGCAACTAAGAGAAATGCAGAATGGTTGCAAGGAGCATTCCCCCCCCGTCGACTGTGGCTGAATTGAAAATCCAGCTTCTGTGGGCAACCAGCCTAGATATCAGCCCCGACAATATTGGAGCAGAAAGCAACTTCTTACGCCTAGGTGGGGATTCAATCAGTGCAATGCGTTTTATATCAGCCGCCCGAGGTCAGGGACTCTCGATCACTTTCGAGGATGTGCTTCGAAACCCAGTCCTGTCTGATCTGGCGAGCATCATAGACTCTCCGTCTTAGGAAGATTTTTCGATGTCCTTTTTCCCTAATTCCATTTCTGGTCACTTGTATGTTAGGATGGCACTTGGTTCACATGGACATCTTCAATGAATTCTCGCAAACAATCGAATTACTCTTTCAATATATCGTGCCTGTCGACTGTCCTATCACAAAATCTATCACGAAGCAAACTTTCGCGATCTACATCTTCTTTTGTCATTCCATCTCGGTCACACATTGACCGAAAAGGCCCATCTGTTCGACCCCACAGCTGGACGGGCCGGCCAGTTTCAAGGATGCGACTTTGTCCCATGACGCAGACCCGATCGCAGCGAAAAACAGTGCGTACTCTATGTGTGATGTACAGAATAGTCTTTTGGTGGAAGACCTGCGCGATTGTTTGTTGCATGCGTTTGTCCATCTCGAGATCCACTGCGGATGTCGCCTCATCACAAACGATAATTCGAGCATCGCGAAGAAGAGCGCGGGCCAAAGCGATCCGTTGCTGGTTGCCGAGAGATAAATTGGCGCCTTCCTCCTGCACAGGTGAACTGAGAGCCTGGTCCATTGCTCCATCGAAGCAATCGAGACCGTGACCCTCCTGCTCCTTGCAAAGGGACCCTGATCATGGACAAGTCCCACTTTCTTCAAGACATTGTAGATCCTCATATCTTCATATTCATGGAATGGGTCGACGTTGGATCTAATCGAGCCTGCAAACAGGGCCACATCTTGAGGGATGACGGCGACCGCTGACCGAAGATCATGAAGCCTCATTGCCGCAATATCGGTGCCATCGATTTCAATCGCTCCTCCAGATAACTCGGTCATTCGAAGCAGTGCAGCTATGATGCTAGATTTCCCTGCGCCAGTTCTGCCTAGTATGGCAATCATTTCCCCATTTTGGATATCGATGTTGACATCCGTCAATGCTAGGGGAAGCCCAGGTCGATACCTCATGGAAGCATTCAAGAAGCTGATTCGTCCTGCTTGGGGTTGTTGGCACATTTCGTCATTTGGCATGGACTGAGACTCCTCCGCTCCCAGTGATGCTTCCTGAGGGATATTTGTCTTATAGTACACGATTCCCTCGACCACACGAAGCCCATTCATGACCTCGTTCATATTTCGCATCGCAAGCTGCAGTGTCTGTGATATCGAAAGCATGTTTGTGAATAACATCCCAAAGACACTGGGTGAGACACCAGACCAGGGGACGACGCCCAAAACTCCGACTAGTGAGGTGAGGGCAATACCAATTGCATCGAGTCGAATTGTCAGCCACCGTGGACATGCGGCGCTCAGAAGGTGTATCTCGTTCATGGCATAGATGTCGCTGTGAATGTTCTCTTTGAAATGATTCCATGCACCATAGCCTCGAATACAACTCAATCCACTGATTGTCTCGCTCAACCCTGCGTGTAATTTCGACTGTCGCTTTGATTTGTGCTGATGCAATTTACCGGCCGTCGCTCTATAACGACGGGCCACGTGCAGGAACAAGTATATGAGAGGCCCGACAGCAAGCACAAACTGTTCAGCGCGTCATTAGCGTCCAATTGAGAAAGATGAACGACGGTGACAATTAGATTATGCTGGTAGATATTGGTTTTACTCACATAGTGGCAGTGATAAACTGTTACGGCAACAACCAAGGAGGTCGTGATGGCTTTCATTGAAAACAGCCGAATGCAATTTGTCAGATGGACGTCAAGGATACCGGTTTCAACTGTTATCTGCTGAATTACAGTACCGAGGCATCCAGTTTCATAAAAAGACATCGGTGCCCGGACGATTCGCATCATAACCTGTTGGAGAAGCTCCTTGCTTGCAGTGATACCGCGAGCCATCATGCACAACGTTGAACAAGCGAGCAAAATGGCCTGAGTGACGGAAAGAAAGGCATATACTGCCGCACATTTCTTATTGGACATGTCCAAATGCTTGCCCGACGTCCAGTACGACAGCCATGAGCTACATATCAGGCTCATTCCGTTGCCCAGAATCGAGAGAAAAATGATAGCCAAACAATTCAGATGCGTGCCACCCGCGGAAAGGTATGTCTTCCATCCATTCCAGGATACATCTGCAGGTGGAACGAACTTGGTGTGAAGCTCGGCTTTGCGGGATTTAACCTTGTCCCGAACGCTCTTTCTGCCGTCGCACTTTCTGGGTCCATTGTGGGTAATGGCATTCTCACTTGGGGATGAAAAGAAGCCGTTCCGCAAAACGCCCTGCCGGATGAGTCTGTCAAACGTGTCGATTGCCTTGATGCGCCCATCTTCGATTATGAGTATTCGGTCACAGCGATGAAGAATCGAAGGGCTATGAGTAGCAACTATGCGACAACAATTTTTCAAAAGACCGCAGAGAACATTTTCCATGATATGATGTCCCACGTTCGAATCTATTGATGCAACAGGATCATCCATGATGACAATATCTGTTCGAGCATAAACAGCACGTGCAAGGCTTATACGAGCTTTCTGACCTCCAGACAATGAAGCACCACGGTCACCGACTTCGGTACTGTCACCATCTGCCAATTTCTCGATGTCTGCTTTTAGAGCACAACATCGAAGAACCTCATGATAACGCGCAGCGTTATACTCTCTTCCAAACAAGATGTTATCCCGGATCGACGAATTTTGCATCCATGCATGCTGCGGGCAGAAAGCTCTCGTCCCGTTTACCTGAACAACACCTTCGACCAGATTCATATCGCCTGCAAGCGCTGCCAGAAATGAGGACTTGCCACTCCCAGTCAACCCAATAACTGCCAGCATCTCGTTTGGTCGGACAGTCAAGCTCAAGTCACTCAACAGGAACGACGAAGCTGCTATCTTTGATACTGGATTTTGATGAATCTCATTTCCCTTGTCGAGATCAGACGTCGATGGTTTATACCAGCCGAGTGTCGCATGATCCAGTCGGATAGCGAGATTGGCTTTAGGGGTACTCTGGATGTAATCGTCAGGCTCGTTTTCCAGCAAGAACTTTTCCACCTTTGCGAGAGCCTCCAGGGATTGCAAAACTTGTCCTATTACAAGGGGTAGCATGTTGAGAAGAGGCCTCAGTGCATTGAAGGTCGCTAAAGTCGAGAATATTGCCATTGGTTCGAATTTATCGGTCGACATTGAATAAGCGATTAACGAGCCCATCGTTGCGAATGTCGGCAGTGATGCCCACAGGGCTTGGATCCAAGTATGAGTACTGTGTATTTCTCGGATTCGTCGAGTCTCTTGTGTCCGAATGCATCTAAACCGTGCTAGGAATTTGGACTCCCATCCGAACAATTTCAGAACATGTATGGAACGCGACACTTCGCGAGCCATAGACGATCGCTGATCGGTGAGTTTTGTGACAAGCTTTTGTTCTTTGGCCATGCCCCGCACTGCACTGGTGATAACGATCATCCCCAATACTATGATTATACAGCCCCAGATGGCACTCTTCCCGATGTTGAAACTCAATGTCAACAACGCCACTCCAATTGAGATTGGAGCAGTCCAAAGCAAGTGGACCATTTCCCATACAGCCTGGATCCGAGTGACATCAGAGGTGATTAGCGTGAACAATCGACTGTTACTCCAGCCTCTGTCACTTGCCATGTCTTCTGTCAATTCGGTTGTTTTCCTGGCACTCTCAGGCGCCATTCCGGAATAGACTCTTGGTCCTTTAGACATGCGCAATGCTTTCGACAATACCTGATTCGTGAGTATCGCTCGAATATGACAGGACAGACTCTGTCCCCGAAAAAGGAATTGGCTTGCAATTATGGTCTGGCCCAATTGCGCACAAGCGATTCCAATCACAAACCCAAAGCCCTGGATAGTGGTTTCCATTTGACGCTTATCCAACCCTTTGCTGGCTCCAGAAATGCATGCCATCAGATATTTTGTCAGAAACGGTACAAGCAATTGAAGTAGTGCACTCATTAGCTGACAGATGCCTCCAATCCAGATGTCAGACCACAGGATGTCCCAAAGTGTCCATAACAATGGGTATTGGTCTCCTCGTGCCACATATCTGAGAAGTATCGAATCGAAATTCCTGCACATTTGATCAATGTTATGATCAGCCCCTATTCTTTTGCTATCCGGCAATGCCGGCTTGAAGGAGCCAGCCTGGATGGTCTGTCAGCTAGCCGTTCGCACTATACGGTACAGACTAATGTTACTATGCCGTACCTTTGTCATCAACGGGGATATCCATTGGAAAGTAATGAAATCAATGAACTCTGCGATGCGGTCAAGAGATTTGCATTTTTTATCGTTGCGGACCGGCACTGGCCTTTTCTTCGGTTGAGGTTGGGTACGTTTGCGATGTCTGCTATTCCGCTTTCGCATTGTGACTTGAATTGACCACCTTTGTGGCTCGGCAGCTCCCACTTGTGAGGTCGAGTACCCGGAAAGTGATAATCAAGACCGAGCAAGGTCATTGTGTGAATTTGGATCTCACCCCCTGGAAATTGCCAAGCACATTGGAGAGATCAAAAGGATGATATGTGTCAAGAATGCCACACTACGTCACTTACAACTTACAATGCGTAAACAGATATTTGAGACCAGTGGATCAACAATTTCGATGTCTATCATTTAGGGGTAATAATGTCTGAATCTCCCCTCTACTCCTCACTTCTATAATACATCGCAAACTGAAGGAAACTTTCACACGAGCCTGATGATAGGCGATAATGCAGGCCGATCATCATCAGGGGCCAAACAAGATAAACAGATTACGGCCTGATTTCCTGACCACTTACGATACTGTCATTTCACTATTTACCACATTTTTGTACTGTAAGTGGCTCATTAGCCGCAACGTAAAAGCTTTTTAATGACTCTAAACGTGGCAAAGTCTCATGTCGAATCCGATCTCCGACTCGGTCATCGTACCAAGGTCAAGACAAGCGACTTGCTTCAGGCGGAGAGAGGAAACGCTTGACTGGAGAATTAATTTCAGGAATACCTGCAATTTTGTGGAAAGGCTCTAAACAAAATTGATTTATTCTTTGTGGCTGAAATAGTTCCAATTGTGGCTAACTCTGGTGTATACAAGGTGTTACCGGGTACGTGGCATCTTGCTCTGTTTCCTCCAGTATCAGTGTCCAAAAAGTGAGGCGTCCAGACCTAAATTTCTACTCAGGCCGCTGGCGCAGTGGCCATTGTCCGGCATATGTATTGTCGATCGGCTCGTGCCGGTATGCAGGGATGATCTGATTCGTATTTAAGTGTAGATCTTCTCTGATAAAGTGGAACCTCCCTTGCTGCCCTTGCATGATCAGCAAGGGTAGACTTGTAGATCTGCGATTTGGCTTAGTGCCACTTTTCTTTTTCTTTTCTTTCCACATACCAGTGCCAGTCACTCCCTGCCCAGTAAGTTTTGTTCCAGCTGTTCTTAATGATGTCGTTTCTCCTAGAATCACAAATTCTCATCTGAATATGGCGTGCTCGCAGAGAATGGTCTTAATTGGGATTCTGCTCCTGCTACGGTCTTTCGCCTCAAGCGAATCCCTTCCATACTCCTACAACGATGACCTCACTTCCTTTATAACGGTAAATCTCACGCTATCGAAATTTTAATTACTATCTGGCTAATCACTTTCGTATGAAGCGCCCAGAGTTGAAAGCACCTAAATTTATTGTGAATGCCTCACAGAGTGATCAGATTAGCCCTGGATTTTGGTTTGTCACTCCGTACAAGAATTCGACCCCAGACTACCAAACGTCGCGATGGGAGCCATGCCAAGTAGGGCCTCATATATTCGACAATTCAGGGGTATGAAGCGCCTTCAGGAAAATATTTACGATCGCCTCTCACACAATTTTAGGAGTTGGTCTGGTCTGGGGCGTGTATGTTCGAAAACAGGAACGCTTTTGACTTTAAAACTGTGGACATCGGTGGTGAAACCCATCTTTCGTTGGTACTCGGTTACAGAGAAAAGCCCTATATGAAAGGAAAAGGTGTAATCCTGAACCAAAATTATGAGATAACGAATGAACTTTCGACCAGTGATGATTTCGATGATTTCAATTTCCATGAATTCACTGTTTCAGGCCAAGAACTGTCTGCATTGCATCTCAGAGAGTCAATGATATTCCACAACTACACAGATGATGCAGGGATCAGAAAAGAGCTTTGGAGTGTTCACGGAGGCTTTCGAGAGATCGATATTCAATCGGGAGACACAATCTTTCGATGGGACTCGGTTGGCAAAGTCAAACACGATGAAAGTTCTAAGCATTGGGAGCGCAGAAACAAAACCACTCTGGTCTGGGATTTTATGTAAGTGGACCTGAGCATCTAATTCTGACTAGAGCAGCAGCTAAACAAGTGAAGGCACATAAACGCTGTTGATAAGAACAAAGAGGGAGATTACTTGGTCTCTGTTCGACACACTGATACGATATACAAAGTATCGGGGAAAGACGGCTCAATCATCTGGCGACTGGGGGGAAGATACTCCGACTTCATCTCCGACTTTAGGTTCTCTCGGCAGCACCACACGCGCTGGCTAAGCACAAACGAAACACATGCTACGATATCATTCTTGGACAATGCATCGGATCTTGAATTCCAGATCGCAAATGTCTCAAGTGGCTTTATTGTCAGTCTTCATACCGCTGCTTCTCCAATGACTGCAACCTTGATCGAACGGTATGATCGACCAGACGAAAGTCTCACGCGATTAAGAGGCTCAGTCCAGATTCTACCTAATGACAATGTTCTCGTTAGCTGGAGCAAGCAAGGGTACATGAGTGAATTTACACGTCGTGGCCGGAGTATCATGGATGCTTCTTTTGCCTCGAAGCGTTTCAACACCTACCGCGCCTTCAAATCCAATTTCACTGGCTTCCCGTCCGAACAGCCAGTTCTGAAAGCTTTTACATACGGAGTCGGCGCATCCTCGGCCGTGACGATAGCTTTTGTCAGCTGGAATGGCGCAACTGAAGTACGATCGTGGAATTTCTATGATGGTAGCACGCAGGCGTCCATTGAGGCTCCGGTGGGCAATATTAAAAAAGATGGGTTTGAGACCTTGTTCACATTCAATGGTTTGCTCGAGAATGTTTGGGCAGAAGCCTTGGATGCAGATGGCCGATCGCTAGGTAAGACGAGCGTGGAGAATACTGCTATCCCGGCTACCTTCGGACACTACATGGAGCATCAAAATGTGCATCAGGAAGGGACTCAGATGGTTGGCTCCGAATTTCGCTGGGTAACTTCAAACACATATGTATCCCCTGCCCCGTTGATTTTTCTGATGAGTGGCGGCGTGTTGCTGTACATCACCTTCAAGCATCGTCACATGTTTAGGTGGCTCTTACGGTAGGGGAAAGGCCAAATCGCATTATGTATGTTTGACTTCATCAAGACAATTGAGCATGATCCAACGACGAAGAATGAGAAAAAAAATATATATAAATAATTCTATCTCAGGAGATCATTGTTTAGCATCCGGAGGAAATACATCAATTAAAAAACCCAGGACAAGAAAATTTAGCCTGAAAATGGGAAAAAGTTAAAAAAAAAAAAGAAATACTGGCATCCAAGTCACCGAGTGCTTTTTTCAAATGACCCGATGGACTAGACCGAAATGATCCCGAGGTCGGTGGCCCGCACTTTGTACCTTTACTGACATATTTGTGGTGAGTTAGAGAGTGTCATACCTAGGAAAAATTGTCCTCTGGGACAAGCCCGCGAGGACTAGTATGGTGGATATTCAAAAATATAGAATCTTTTCTACCAGCATTTCCGTCTCCGAAATTCGGGGGTGATTTAATCTGGTACCATAGGCAGACACAGATGCGCATACCTCTTGGATATAATCTGAGCGAACTTTCTTTGACTACAGGCGTGAAATATGGAAAAGTATCGAGGAGAAGTCAAAACGGTACCGACAGTGGTTCAATTCAACACATCTAGAAGTCATCAGACTTCAGTAAACAGGCAAACGATCGATCGTAAAGCTCAACCGCTCGCGCTAAAGCCCCTAACATGGATGCTCTGACATCCTTTTTGAGAACTGCCAAATCCGGTCGCACATCTACCGCTGTCCTTAGAGCGAGATTCGGCTAGATAGAAACTGCCGCTGTAGATATCAAACGAATAGGCGTCCGTGAACTCATGGTCGGTACAATCAAAAGGGCCATTATTCCCACCATCTGTAAATTTTTTACAGCCGACCCCGCTTGGGCGCTTACCGCCCAGGAAGAAGCAACTGGATGCGCTGTTTCCACTGCCACTATAGATGAGCTGCATTTTGAATCACGAGACTCTATGTTAGTCCTGAAGCAAAAGAATTTGTTGAACTCTCGAGGGGAATGGGAAGGTAATTCATGGGGATTCGTACATAGTCGCCATTGTCTTGAGCACAACTTGAGTCTGAGTAAACGGCGATCTCCCACGCGAGCGCAGAAGTGCAGAGTGCGAGTGTAGCACCGATTGTGGCGGAGAGACGCATTTTGATGTAATATCGAATGAAAAAGAGGTTTGTGTAGGAGTATATCGAGGGAACCGAACAACGATGGTTAGGTTCTGGTTTTCAGTGTGGAATATTAGAAACTTAAATGGTTGTTGGATGCATCTTTGCCGATTCTTTGTACCGAGCACGCCGCTTGCATCATGACGATAGGAAAAAGTAATCGCAAATGATAGCAGTGGTTCTTATTAGCCAGATAGAGCGGACCACACGTGTTTGCTCGGTTTGATATATCTAGTAACATCAATGACGATCTCCAACACGCTCAACTTATAAAACCCTTCCGACTACCTCCATCTGTCCTTGACTCCTTTCATCGATTAGTACAATACTAGCCACTTCCACGATGAACCGTGTTGCTATTGTTGGGGTGGGTTAAACCTCCGTTTAACGTATACAACATGCGCTAAAAACTTTAAAGGCAAGCGGCTCGATTGGCTCTGCAGTGCTCCAGGCTTTGATATCTTCGGGGAAGGACGTGACTGTCTTCTCGCGCTCATCTTCGTCAGCTGTTTCCCCGAATCTGCTCGAGTTCTTCGAGGAGTCTATGAGGATCAAATCTTCCTTCGGGATGGATTGATGGGGATAGAAGCCCTCGTGTTATGTGTCAGGACCCTCATTCCGTCTACTCAGATTCCATTCATCGATGCTGCTATATCAGCTGGTGTAAAATGGATTATTCCGAGCGAATTTGGGACAGACAGCGGTAACTCTGAATACGCCGCCGAAGTCCCCATCATTCCGCCCAAGGTAGATGTTCAAGAATATTTAAATGAGCAAGTCGCCAAGACACAGTCGCAATTCATGTGGACAGGCGTTATTAACGGCCTAGTCCTTGACTGGGTAAGTTTGCAGCCCTTGGAATCAACAGCAGATTTGTACTAATTGGGCCAGTCACTTCCTCGCGGAGTACTTGGCATTGACACCAGTGGGAAAAAGGTTGTTCTCCTAGACCAGGGAGCCGCGAAGGTCAATATGACAACATTGCCGACTATAGGACGTGCCGTTGTCAGTCTTCTTGAACTGTCATTTGAGCAAAGACTCATGTTTGCCAACAAGTTGGTGTACATCTCCTCCTTCTGTATCTCTCAAGTTGATCTACTAGAGAGTGTACAACGGGTCACATCGTCCCCGCAATCTGCTTGGGAGGTTCAGTACCAGGATACGGAGGAGAAACTTGCTACTGGCAAGGAAAAACTCAAACAAGGGGACGCGTTCGGTCACGCTGATTTGATATACGGTCATGTGTTCAAAGAGGGGGCAGGTGGCGACTATCAGTCTAGGGTTGGCGTAAGTAACGAAGTTCTTTCACTTCCAAAAGAAGATTTAGATGAAGAGGTGAAGAGGGTTTTGGACGCTGAAAGATCGCTTCTTGTTTCTTAATTTAATTCGCAAGCAGGTTAGGTGCAGTATAAATAACGGAATACTTGCTCACTGGTTAGAGCTCTTGGGGCTGAAAGATAAGTATGACATAGTATGAGCAACGGCCCTCATCTGCAGACGATTGGAGCTCTGGAGATCCAGGTTACGAGTTAGTAATAGTTGCGTATAGGCGCCACGGACGAATAGTAGCTGCAGCAACAGCGAGTAGAAAGTCTCTGGAACACACACGTCGAAAGTCATGACAGTATGTGTCAGCCCTTGGTAGTTAGAGTTTATGTTGGATACAGTACAATACAATTTGATGGTCTCTGTAAGAACTCGCTTTCGGGACAGGTTCATAAACGACAGAGTTATACTTCTGCTTTGCTGTCCAGGTCGCTGATCATGAAGTAGTCCGCCTCGCCATATATGCGCACGTGAAAGAAACACGAGTGACAGTTGACTGATGCAAATTGCGGAATTTTCCCAAGCGTCGAATGAGCTTTGCCCTCATATGAACAAATAAAAACAGAGCTGGAGCTCGCAGAAACTCTCAATAGCGACAGGGCCGGAACGGCTGTGCGATCTCAAAACGATGATTCAAAGCTTTAGAATGAGCTAGTTAAGCCTCCTCATTCATCTTAGGAACCGAAAATTAGGTACATGGATGGAGAAGCAGTACCCTTTGAGCAGACTCTGCTTGTTTCTTGGCTCGTACCCGAAACAACACAGGTCTTAGCTAGGGGAAGCGGTAATATATTCCCCATAAGTACCAATTTATTGGTGACCTCACACAGTCAATAGAGAGAAGAGTATAGTTTGGCCATAAAGGGTCAACTGTCGCTGCTGTCTTATACGGAAACGTATCAGACCAAGACTAAGTACAAAAAGCTTAAAGAGAAGTTCTCCGTGCGTTCTCACGTCAACACGCCAAGGTCTCGTGACACACGTGACCAAGACCGGGCACTCGCCCGTGACAGATCCCGACTCATGTTCACAATCTTCGCCTACAGCGGTCTATCAACCTGCGAACGAACTGTTTCCTTGCCCGCTGGGCGCACGCTCTGCGGGTTGTGGAACACATCGTTTGGGTCGATAGCAGCCTTGATTTCTTGTAGCTTTCGCAAGTTAGGGCCCCAATACGCCTCCTGGGCATTGGGTAAGAACGGATCGACAAATCCAGGGTAGACGTTTCTATCAGCTCCCGGAACCGTCTTCGTAACAAGTTTATTAATTCCATCAAGGAAGTCGACGGTTGTCTGTGACACGCGGCCCAGGAGGTTGACTCCAAAGGACTCCACATAAAACATGACATTCCGCTGGGCGTACGCGGTGGCATCGATAGGGAGGTCGTTAGTTGCGCCGCCCGCTATGCTGATTACCACAAACCATGTTGGGGTCCCTTTGTCAGCCGTATCCAGATAGTTGAATAGCTCCTGCACCGTCGAATTCGGCGGAAGCTTATCCGTCTCGAAGGACAACGACTTCTCGTAAAAGCTTAAGGGGACCCCTCCGACGATGCCAGTGGCCAACTTTTCTACATCGTGTCCTAGCATAGCGAGCGGGTCGGTGAGCACGATCACACTACCGGCATTTGAAGCGGGAAGGCGTTTTTCAAGTCCAAGTTGTTCATACTCCTCTTTCGACCCATGAAACTGCCCCAGAATTATCATCGTATCTTCTGAGACGATCATCCGTGTGTCAAACTTGCGCGTCAGGTTTTTCTGCGAGCATAAGTCCTGCCAGGCCATGTACAAGTTTGCCCGCTCGGTGGAACTGCCAATGCTGAACTCGTACTTATACTGGACCGTCTGGCTGAGCGACGGATAAGTACGCACTTTGAACTCGGTCACAATCCCAAAGCTCGCGGCCGCGCCTCTAATAGCAAAGAAGACGTCTGAGTAGGACTCCTTGGAGGCGCGGACGATACTTGAGTTGGCCAGGACGACCTCTGCTTCCTCAATATTATCCAGTGCTGAACCCCATAGGCGCGAGTATGTGCCAAGCCCACCAATGGTGAAATGGCCGCCGACGCCTATCTCGGGTACAGCGCCATACGGCATGGCTCTTCCGCCGGCATCATTGAGCTTCTGCGTTACGTCACTGAGTTGCAGGCCCGGTCCGATAGTGGCCATATAAGTTGAGTTATCGAGCGAGAACTGCCGGAAATGCTTCATATCAATCGCGACTTCACCATTCACTCCACCGAGACCTAGCAACGCGCAGTTTAGTTAGCCTTAAGTGAAAGTCGGCTAGTCACAGCAGTGCTCATACCGAAGTTCGCATAACTACGACCTCCACTCTTTGCCTGGACCTTATGGTCATATTCGACGGCGCATTTCACGATGCCAGCGACCTGTTCTGAAGTTTTCGGGGGTTGCGACGACGGCCGGATAGACGGGCCAATTCAGATTGTATGGGTTAGCAGCGTTCGACTCGTAAAATGGCTGACTCGGAAAGGCCAGGAGGGACGAGTCATTCCCGACGGCGGAGAGAAGGCATGCGTGAGCTGGTGAACTAGGTGCGTTTCCCATTTTGACGGAACTTTGAGGGAAAATTTTTGGCAGCAGGAAATTTCGCAAATAGTAGGACCTGATGGTCAGGGGCAGGCCAATAAGTAATATTTCCGAGGGGCGCTGCTGCTATCACCTCCATAATTCTCCATAGGTTTGTTTATCCTTGCCAGATCTGGCTACGGTATATAAGATTTGGTGAGTAGGCCAATTAAGTGTCTAATTGTAGTTTTCGGATCCACAATCAATTAAACAGATCAGCTAGTAGATCCACTAAGCTATGAAAGTGGTACATAACAGACCCGCAGTGGACTGGGAAACTTGACTAAACGTGGAAGGAAATCGGAAGATCTACAGCAACACTGAACAGCCGGAAACAGACGGTATACCGTAGACGGCAGCGCCCAGGTCGCAAGTTGTTTCGTTTTGCATACAGTCACTATTCAAAAGTGTTTGGAACATGCTACAAGCCCACTTTTTGCCTGACGCAAATTTCTAACCTATTCGTGATAAACCCTAAGGATTTTTACAAAATTTCTTACAATACTAATATTGTATTAGTAGAACTTATGAATGCGTGGAAATATACCAATGAATATAGTCTAGCTAATTTTGTTTGACCCTTTTTTTGTCCCTGGTAAGCATGTTCATAGAGGGGTTGTGCTGGACACACGCCTCGATACATATACATGCTGGTCTTTTTCGAAGTCTCTATAAGTCAGCAAAACACAACAACACTGTATGTTCACTAGGACTCATAGAAGCTAGGTATTCCAAGGTTATCTGTTTTGAGTGGGCAAGGATTTTCGGAGTATCCTCGGAAATCATCACGTGTTCAGTTTGAATACATTATCGTCGGCATCGACATACCTCGGAAACTGGTCGAGAAATCCCAACCCGGAAATTTCGGTCATGAGCATCCTGGATTGCTCCACACCGGAGATTTTGTTGGGGCACAGAGTCTAATTGATTAGAACTCGCTGATTAGAACTCGCAGATGGATTTGCCCCTGGCCGATTTGAAATTATCTTAAATAGCCTTGACAGCATTCTGATACTTTGATCAAAAGATTTTCAGACGCACTATTAGAAGGCCTTTTCTCCGAAACATATACAGTGAGCATTTCGAATCACTATTGGCAGGATGTTTGGCAACTCTGGCCTACACCTCGCACCATGGAATAACATTTACCTGGTCCTTGCTATGGTCCTTGCTAGCTATCTAGCACTGGTCAAGTCTTTTCGATACCGTCGAATGAAAGTGATTGAGGTCGCTTTCGCCCCTGGGAAGAGATAATTGTCAAGTATGACGGTCAAAGAAGCGCATGCAATTATGACTCAGTTACAAGAACTGGAGTTTCCGCGTGTGTTTTCTAAGGCTCGACAGATCGCTCTATTAAAGGTATGACAGGTGAAATGTAGCTTGTTCAAGCAGCAAATAAACTCAACTAAGTTTACAAAAACAGGCCGGAGGTATCCCGACTATGTCGAAGCTTTTCGCAGTCACAGCACAGAACAATAGACGCAACGCTGGGAAGCGTGCCGTTGACACAGAAATCCTCTTACGGGAGTCTCAGTCCCAGCCTCGAGATTCGGATCGTTATGCATCAGCCGTGGCGAGAATGAATTATCTGTATGTATGAAATACCTTCAAATTCAGTCCTCCTTATTGGGAAGTGTATTGTGGCCCCTCATTTTGTTTATTAACTTGTCGTTCAAGTCATGCCCGCTACCGGCGCGCTAACAAAATTACTGATGGCGATCTTCTCCATACCCTCGGTGATGGTCTTGCTGAGATCCTGAATGTCATTGAAAGAGAGGAGTGGCGAAAGCTTACAGATGTTGAGAAATGTGCCCTTGGTATTTTTCACAAAAACCTAGGCGAATATATGGGAATCCCATTTGATGTGCTTCCCTCAAAAGCAGAAGGATGGAAAGATGGACTGCACTTCGCGCTAGAACTGAGAAAGTGGACAATCCACTATGAAGAAGAAGTCGCGAGACCCCACCAGCCAAACGTGCACCCCAGAGAGTAATGGCTGCAATACCATTGGTTACTCAATTACCCGGTACCCTACTCGATAGTTCTGTCAATTAATAGTGTTTTGGTTGGTTTATCTACTTTTGAATATTCAGTAGTGGGTTGGGTGCGTCACTCGGTGGTGTACATCACTCGTGGATTACGTTAAACTGTATGTTGGCACCGCTCGATTGAATCAATTCGACCGTAGCCCTTCACAGACGCTACTCCTACTTTCCGGCACTACTCCCTCTGACTTTATAGCACCACTCCCACTTTCTGGCATCACTCTGATTTCCTGGCGCTACTCCTGTGAGGGGCCACGGCCGAATTGATTCAATTGAGCGGTGCCAACATGCTGTTTATCTGAAGCTTAGAGAAGTTTAGAAATAGGGGGTGGCCAGCGGTGACTAAATATCCTGGGGAGTTGATAGATCACATCGCACAGGCTTAGCCTGTGCAATAGATCGGGATCTGACCCGTTACACCGCGGTGCGGTTCTGGAGGTTGGACCGCGGTTCATGGCGAGGTCTAGTCCTGACTGTATGAGAATAGATACTGATGGTTTACATGTGATAGCACACATAATAAATTGCGTTATTAGCAACAGTCTCGGAAACTGTACTTTTTATACTAGCAATAGTATATGTCCCCAACCTAATAACATGACTGGAACAGGTAACTTATAATAACTCGTATTCTATCAGATAAATCGGCTAGTTATTTATCTATTTGGGAAATTTATGCAGCAAGGGGCAGGTAGTGGGCGGGCTGCACTGCGTCTACACGGGACTTGACACTAGAGATTCCTGGGCGGGGCTCGTATGGAGACCACGTGGAGTGCGGATGGGTGTAACAGTCCTGAAACAATAGGAAGAATAATAGCGATAACAAACGTAATAGAAATAGGCGTTATTATAGGGGAGAGTATGGTTCGGCTACACTTAGTGATACCTCACCTCTCTATGCACCATAGTCAGCCCCAGCCGTCTCACCACGAACCTTTGTGGCTGTAGAGCCACTCGAGTCCTCCTGGGATAGAGGCATACTCTATCAGATTGATTCATATTGATTCAGTTGCCAAGGGATCACTACAAGGTTACACCGATCGTAGTTAAAGTGACATCTACTTAGTTAGGTTTACGCGGGTGTAACACTCATGGCTGAGGGCGGCTACGGAAGGCTGGGAAACCCATTCATTCATGTCTCACTAATCAGCCAATAATATGTCGCATGGTGTTTGCCTGCAACCCGGTTCGCCCTCTGATAACGCTAAGACAACAGTAACCCCGCACGCTAACCCCGCAAACCCGAGCAGTTTAGGGCAAAGCGACTTAGATTAGCTGAGGCTTACTAGGAGAGTCACCATAGCAGCCACTGGCCAGCAGTGAAGAAACTGTAGCAATATCACCAGCTGGCTAGGCGGCTACCTAATCTTAGCCTGGTCTAGTTGAATTTCTGCTGATGCACTCCCTAGTCGTTGGTAAGTAGGTCGTCGTTTCCTGTGAACCTTCGTCCAAGACTTCTGTCTGTCTCTAATCCACAAGTTACTCTACCTTGACCCAAATCCCCATCCGCCCCATCATGGCTGATGCTACGGCTGACACTTGTCCGACTTCTGTGCCTGCTCATACCGTCGACGAGCCGGTTGGTGATCTTCGGCTTCCCCCAGGATGGATGTACAAGTCGTGGGGGGTAGGCCGCTGGCGCACGTCCTGGTATGCGTCTCCGAGAATCCAGCTGGGTATGGTCGCGTTCGTATGTTTCATGTGTCCCGGCATGTTTAATGCTCTCAGCGGTCTGGGCGGTGGTGGAAAATCCGATCCGCATTTGGCTGATCAAATGGTATTGTTTACCTTCTCGGTAGGGAGGAGGGAATCGGCAGAAATGGACTGATCGATCTTGCCAGAACCTCACTCTGTACAGTGTCTTCGCTGTTGTCGGTTTCTTCGCTGGCTCGATCGTCAATTGGATTGGGATCCGACTTTCCCTCTCTTTCGGCGGAATCGGATATTGCATTTATGCGATCAGTCTTCTCGTCTCTGTGCACAAATATGTTCCGGGGTTCAACATCTTCGCTGGTGCCTTACTGGGTGCCTGTGCGGGTATCCTGTGGTCGGCCCAGGGAGCTATCATGATGTCCTACCCCCACGAACACCAGAAAGGCCGGTATTTCGCGTGGTTCTGGGGTATCTTTAACATTGGCGCCTGTATGGGCAGTCTTGTACGTATGGCGACTGCCAGTCATTGCCTCATCTAATCGACAGTTCCTAGATCGCTCTCGGTACGAACATCAATGTCAAAGTTGCTGCCACTGTCGCCGACGGAACATACATCGCTTTCATCGTCCTGATGTTCTTTGGCGCTTGCCTGGCTCTCATGCTCTGCGATGCGAAGAAGGTCATTCGCCGCGACGGATCCCGGATTATTGTTATGAAAAACCCAACATGGAAAACTGAGTTGTACGGGCTCTACGACACGCTTAAGAACGAGCCTTTTGTCATCCTTCTTTTCCCTATGTTCTGGTCTTCCAACTGGTTTTACACATACCAAGGAAACGCAATAAACGTCGCCTACTTCAATACCCGCACTAGGGCTTTGAATTCCTTCCTATACTGGTTCGCTCAAATCGTGGCTGCGAGTATCATCGGCCCGCTCCTCGATATGACGTACTTTCGTCGTACAGTGCGTGCTCGCAGTGCGTGGGTCATCCTCTTCCTCCTGACTATGGTTGTCTGGGGTGGTGGCTGGGCCTGGCAGAAGAATTATACTCGTGAGTCTGTAGACCCTGAGACAACCGACTTCGAGCATTGGGATTGGACGCATCCTCGATACGTTGGACCCATGTTCTTGTACTTCTTCTACGGATTCTATGACGCCGTTTGGCAGGGTGTTATCTACTGGTCAGTCAGTTTTCTTCCATCTCTAGCCCCTTCCCCCACCAGCTCCCCCATCCATAACCCCCTCGTATCAAGCCAACTAAATCTAACCCCCCCACTTCCAGGTACATGGGAGCCCTTTCCAACTCAGGCCGCAAAGGCGCCAACTTCGCCGGATTTTACAAAGGTATCCAATCCGCCGGTGCGGCCGTGATGTGGAGTATAGACTTCCACAATGCGTCCTACGCGGCCGAGTTCGCCAGCAACTGGGGCCTACTTGGAGGATCGCTGCTCGTCGCGGCGCCAGTGATCTTCCTACGTATCAAGGACCATGTGGATATCACGGATGATCTGCAAAATACTGACGAGACGGTCGAGGATGTTCTTCCTGTCGGACTTCCGGAGAAGTAGCTGCGATTACCTAGTCCTAGCAAGTTAAGACGGTTACTGTTGCTGATTAGTGTCCCTACGAGAGTTGCTAGGCAACCTCACCTTATCATTACCGAGCTGACTTCCTCGTTAGCACTATCTCGTAGTCAAGTCTGACACGTCAGGTTCAGTAAGGGATCAGTAAATGCGGGAGCTGGTCTCCGGTGGCGCAAATCTGTCCGTCTCAGTCTGTAACTAAGTTAGGGCTGTCGCTCGTGCTTGTGCGACTCAGCCTCTCTTTTTCCTGCTTTGCGTTTCGGCTCGGCTCACGACGCATATTCAAGCAGCCGCTTTTCGAATCCTGAAACAAAGATTGTGACCTTTAATGATTTGGCCAAGCATGGTTTTAGTAGGACTTGGTGGGCTCTGTAATATTTTGAGCGCAGAAGCCTGCTTTTGAAGTTTGATAGCGGCCACATAGCGGTTTTTGGTGTCTTTGGTGTAAAAGCGCCAGATCTGCTGCTTAGTCGACTACTAAGTGGTGTAGGTGTACGAAGTAATATTCTAAACTTCGAAGGCACATGTTCTACGTTAAAGGGCATTAGAGCAACGGCTGCGAAGCTAATACGAACAGTCTCTGGTTTATAGGCCTCTACGTGCACGTCTGGGTAGGCTACTAGGGAATTTAACCTGTCGATGTGATTATAACCCGTGCGCGCTTGATTCTCTGTTAGACGATCGTAGGCTCGTTTTGAAACGGTAAACTCCCTATGTCGAGCGGCTATAGGAGATGAGACGATTGTGGCGGTGCAAAGTGTGAAATGGTGTTTTCGCTGTAGACTCGATCGCATTAAGGTGTAAGATGGCTGTCATGGTCATCAGATCTGTGATCCAACCACTTAGCGTAAGCAAGTGGGCTCTAGAAGCATATTAAGGTGAGAACTAGCGAGCGGTGGACTTATCAGGGAGGAGGGGGAAGAAGGGAAAAAGTGAGAGCAAAGAACACGCAAATACCGAAAAGTGAACAGCAGACATAACAGCGTGAAGGCATCACGGGAGTTGGCGGGCGATTGTAACAATTGTTAGGAAGGGGTACTCAATGCAATACACCAGGATGACCCCCATAAACCAGGTAGGAAAAGAGACCAGCAGGAACAAGTGCCCAGGAGAGAGAAGCTGGAAACAGATGGAAAGAGCATATGATCAGGAATCCACCCAAACGCGAATGAGAGAGGCTCGGCGAGAAAATTGGCCGTGTTTCTCGCCGCGTTTGTTGCCAGCGTTAAGATCAAGGTCGTATAGGTCTGGGGTTAGTAACCCTTCCACTCCGTTCCTTCGTTTCAGGGCACTGGTGCCGCGCGCTACCGCACGCTGTAAGCCTTCAAACGGCGTGGAATTGGACAAAAAGACGTGGAAATAATTACAGGTACGGCGAAGTCTTTTTTAGACACAAGTTATGAGGTACGATGTGTCTAAAGGTTTTCACCGCTGGGGGCTGCGCTTATACAGGAATATAAAAGGTGATGGTTGATTATAAATGTTAGTGGGAATATACAGTTGTCTCGTCTGTTCTGGGCGCAGATGGCGGATACTGTACAGAACATTCATGACGAAACAGGGTTTGTGAAACGGAATCAATGCTTTGTAAATGACGCTAGGCCCGTCCATCCATACAAGTCATACCAACATGGCTCCTCTGGTGCGCACCTATGCACATGCCAGCGACCACGTATTAAAACTCACTGGTCGTCCGAAGAACGGAACCCCACAAACCAGGAGGTATTCCAAAGATCATGTACCATTATTTTTCCCACCAAACAGCCAATCCCATAAGTGATTGTCATCTCGCTGGTTATGATTCAAAGTAGTAATAGCCCATCTAAACTTAAGAAAAATGGATTCTTATAGTCTATCTTTGTATCTGTCAGCCTTATAGTAGGCCTCTTCTTCCAGCGTATGTTCTGTATGAAGCCAAAACTCAAAAGAGTGCAATGAAATCTATCAAGAATTTCCAAGAAATAGTTAATATTTTCCTGTAGATATTTTCCCGGGGAATTTGTAGATAGATTTTGATTGTGATGAGGCAAGCCCTATGGTGGAGGAGACGCGGAAGTGGTCATTTCCCTGCCAAATACTTAGGATACCCGGGTAGTTAAGCTATCAAGCTGACTCTTACGTGGGATTTGGAACCTTTATCTCCACTGAATGATGACCTATTATAGGGGGACAATCTACAAATATTTTTCACCCCCTTGGGCTGTGATTTCCAAATTGGGGCTGGCACAGTTCTGAACCTAGACAAAGCCATGCCCAGTGATTTGGTCACTATAATCGGCATTGGAGGATTAGGGCTTACTGATGTTATAGTCAGCGATTATTCGACCTATGTTAATAGATGGAATGGAAAAAAGGTCTGAATTGGTAGCGATCTAGTTAAACAATTAGGTCATATACGTGACTCGTTAACCTCGACGTCCATAACAATTTTGATTCTTCCGTTCTTTCCTTACTTCCTTTCCCTCCTCTCTCCAGTTTATTTATTTTCCGCTGAATACACTATTTTCAATCAAGATAAGACCTGGCCCATCACAAAGAGAACGCCAATGGACGATACGTCCGGAAACGCCATCTATAAGCCGAGTCAGCTTGCCCACCAGCTATTCTTCACGGATGCGAATGGTCAGGAGACCGGCCCAGATCGGCAATTGCCGCAGCGCTAGAAGGACTGGAAGCGGCTGGAGCCCGATGCAGCGGTGCTTCTAGGCGATAAGTCGGCCGGGCGTACGATCTGAGTCCTCGCGCTGCCCGCACTGGCTCACTGGGCCTCGCCAATCGGTTACGAGACAGTCTGCACAGCGGCGGAAGATCCGGATGCGCAACCCTGGCGAGATACGTCGATCGATCGGCTGGACAGCCAGGACAACACCTCAGCGCTGCTCACCGAGTCCGTCGCGAGCAGCCGGGGTGAAGCCCAGAAACGTGGCACCTTCGCAGAGCGACTGACGGCGATCGCAGCGCTGATCAGCATCGCCGACCGGGTTTACCTCAGGCATAACCTCTCCTCCTGATGCCTCTATAAAGAGGACATCGAGCAGTTACGCGGGCCGAACGAGGCGCAGATCGAGCGTGATCTCGCCAAGCTGGGCACGGCCCAGGCTCCGTTGCTTTTCAATGCGCTGAGGCTAGTGGACAAGAGTGCCGCGGACGCGTACAAGGCGCGGCTGGGCGGATGATCTTAGAGTAATAGCAAAGACCAAATCCAAGGTCCATCTCACATAGAAATTTGCATTCGGAAAGTATGCTATATAATGTATCCCCACTGCTTCTCGAGTATAGGCGTCATATCGCGAAGGAAAATTTCTGCTGTCTTAGGCCCGACACCCTTAAGCTCCTGTAATCGTTTGGAGAGTTGAGTAGTCGAACTGCACTGGCTCAATAGCGCGCCGAAGGCACCGTACTTTTTGTTGAGGTCTTCCGAAATGTCGAGCAATTTCGTAGCGGTGGAAAAATCATACCGGACATAATGTGCCTTATCGAGTATTTCCACAAGTTTATCCCACCCAGTCTCCAACACAGCATTTGGTGACGTGATACCAGCTTCTCTAAGTTCCAGAAATGCGCGTTTCGCTATTTCCTGTTGGATAGGCTTGCCAAACAATAAGCATGCCAGAAACCATTTGAAACACTCAGTCTCATCTCCAGAGTTGAGGTCGATGCCAAGATCATTTGAGTAAATTTTTTTCTGCGACATTTTTTCTGCCTTCGTCAAGATTGGTTTTCCGAAATTTGTATGAAAGGTATGGAAGCACTTTCGCAATATGTACTCCCGAGCTGGATGCGTTACGTCATTATTACAATATTGGTTAATGTAATCATATAGTAAGAATCCCAACTGATTAGGGCTCCGATAACTTTTGTAAAGGATCCATGGTAGATCACGAACAGGATAATATGGCATTAACATCCCCTTCTCAAATCGTATTCGGAAACCTTATTAGTTTTTATGCTAACTTCCATGTCCTATCAAGTTTAGCAGAAATAGATATATCGTACAGATCCAACAGCAACTAAACAGGCCGCCATCCTCCGCAACCGTTTGCTAATTGAGGCGTTGGTTTGCAGTTTTGAAAAAAAGGGCTGATCCCGCCATTTATTCTTCCTTGCCGGGATGTACATAAGTAAGCTTTCCGAATACAACTTGTGAAGCAGATATTAATGCCATATACCCTGTGTTGTGGTCTACCTGGTGACGATGCCTACTCACGATAACGTTCTACCCCTCCTTTGTGCAGCCAATTTGAACCAATATCAGATCTTTCATTTAGAATCTACCCTGATGATGAATTCATTTGCCCGATGTAGCTTGCTCTAAATATATGCTGCTATGCGGGAGTGCTGTCAGGCCTGCCGACAGCTTGAAGGTGGTTGCCAGCCCACTGAACGATTGTTTCCATGGGTTGCAACGCAAGCCCCTTGGAATCTACCCTTTATAATTCTTAGCAATATTGTTTACAGCACATACGACCAATAGGGTGTGGAGAACATGGCCTTCCGTCCGCTCAGCCGTATTTAAGACACATGCCGGCAGGTTAGTAGTATAGTGGGTGACCACATGCGAATCCTTGCTGTTGTATGTTTTTGCTTTGTCTTTTTTTGTCATTAGCTGCTGGGACGACTGCCATTGCCGCTTTACTCCTCAGCCCCTTCAGGACCCTTTACCTTCAGGCAATGAAGCTCCTTCTGGCCATGAAGCTCCTTCTATTCTTCACCCGATCGCCCTGAACACTCGTTGAAGCACTGATGTGCCACGCCCCTCGGGCTAAACTTTCCCTCACTCCCACCCTCCTGAGCATGTCTTGCCGCCCTAACGATTTCGATGCCGCACGGCTTCGAAATCGTTGGTATTCTGACATACAGCGTCTATTCGAATTGATTATTGTTTCAGCAACTAATTTGTTTCATTCAGTCCGTTGTCCATAGATGGGACGAGTGGCGGCAGTTGGTGGACTGACATGGCCTGGACGATCAGGCCATTGCTGGTTTTTGCCGACCGGGATGAGATGCTGCTGACTCTCAATTTTGACTCATAACTCGATGAGCGGCAATTCTATATTTACCCCTCTGTTTCGTGAAAGAAATTAATGTATTTGGGAATGGCGTTGAAATGGGATGGGTGGAAAAGGGCCGCATGCGACCGTACTGAAATTGTAACTTTCGATATTTTCCATTGTTTTTGGTATTTTTGGGGTTATTTACGGTATCGTTATACATTCCATCCCCCCTCACCAAAGATAGCCACGGGTGCTCCACGGACCGCAATGCTCGGAGCTCTCCAACACCCTGCGCGGGCATCAGTGCAGCCTGTGGAGCGTAATTATTTCTTCTTTTCCAAGACATCGACAAAGACGTGTCCCAGGGGACCGGCATCAGCACTCCATCCGCAATGCTCGATGGTATACTTGTCGCTCTTGTCAAGCACCTCGACCAAATTGACATAGTCTCCACCGCGGTTTTCCCAGTGGAGCTCGCAGATCTTATCATTGTCATGAAACAAGTCTAGACGGCCCTCGCTGCCGCGACGGCTGTAGGCGCCGATCTCGCCGACGCCGTTGGGCTCGATCTTGATCTCATCGATCTCCTCTTCCGAGAGCGACCGGCGGCGGTTGTTGGGGTCAATGAACTCGCCGCTACTAGATGTTAGTTGAGGTCATGTTATACCCTGGAGTGAGCAATAGGTACCCTTCAATGACGGTGTTCTGCACGAGGATCTCGCCATCCTTGATGTGGTCCCGAATGTGGAACGAGACCCACTGGGAATTGTACTTGTTGAGATCCATGTTGGAATTCTGTGAAGCAGTTGTGTTGAGTAATAAGAATCTGTTCAAAGAAGATAAAGCTCTTAGAAATTCAATTCAGAGCTGTCAACCCTTTAAATAATACCCCAGAATGCGGGGAAGTGTGTGGTGATGTCATGCATTCGTGGTTCGCCCACAGATTGCACGACGGATCGCACGATGACTGGCGAGGTCACGAGGTGCATCTCCTTCCTGATGACTAACTGACTTCAAGCTAGTCATATGATCGCGGTGATCCCTGTTCAGTGTTTCGCTGTTGAGGGGTACAGCGGACGTCGGCTCAGTTGACCGTCCGGGCCAAGTCCAAACATACCGAGCTGAATCGGATCTGACTGCAGTGAAGAAGGCAATTGCAATGGACATATGGCATTGGCGGGGCCTAGGAGTAGCTTGGCGATGCTAGGATGGTGAAGGCAGATGCCTCACAATGGTGAAGTCTGGTCGTGCTTTTGGTACACTTTTGAGTGTATTCTGACCGACTCGTTACCATTTCCTAAGCTCAGATGTAAGCGAGAACTAACTTCCAATGTTTGCGAAACGTCTGATAATTCGAAGAGCTAAGCCGGCGATGCCTCACGCGATTCGGCCCGAGTCGATCGTGCGAATCTATGTCGGGTGTGGTGGCCCAGCCACAAGTCCAGATCACCCAAATTCGAGTTGCACCGTTGATTTAAAATTTTTTTTTTTGCCATCGGGTTTTCCTTGGATTGGGGAGATCGAGCGATCCGGCCCTTCTGGGACATGGTCAGACAACCGGAGGAGCCGAGGAGCGTGTTCGTTGGAACCCATCCTCGAGACAAGGGATCCAGATCTGGTTGTTGGTGTATCAATCGCAAGGGGGCGCTTCTTGTCGCCGTGCATCTTGGTCTCGAAATAGCTATCGCGCGTAAAACGATATCGGGATGTGATTGTGCTTGTTCTGTTGGCAATGCCTATGTCCTCAAGTGCGGGAAATCCCACGGCGATCTAGAAGGAAACTTGTCGAAAGAGGAAGAGTGAAATTTCGAGACTCATGTCGGGATCTCCGTGCCAGACTAGCCTTGTCCGACTGCCAGCCTGAGATCAGTAGGATGTCATCATTGAATTGCCCCGCTCGGAGACAAAACGATGCTGACGAGAGTTGGGGGATGGCCGAGCCTAACGTTGCGTCGACCTCACGACCCCCTCGGCCATTCGATTAGCCCGAGCCGCGACTAGTCTGTCGGATAAACAAGGCTGTATCTTACCAATTAACCGGCCTTGGGCGAAAGTGTCCGCGATGGCCTCATTTAAACACAGCAAGGAGTCGATATTTCCTTGTGGCAGACATGGTAAACATTGCAAGTTGAAACCAGCTTCATTCCTGTCCTCGATCATTCATCGACTTCAACGATGTCCTCCTTAAACGACCTCCTCAAAATCGCCAACCCGATTCGTGCACACGCATTGAGTATCTTCAACGTGACAGCACATCCAGACGAGGTCTTGCAAATCCCCTCGCGAGAAGAAGGGCGCTTCATTCGCATCCACGCCTACAACACACTGAATCGCGATGGTCCCGCTCCAGTCCTCGTCAACTTCCACGGTAGCGGATTCGTCAACCCTCTCCATGGCAGCGACGACGAGTTTTGCAAGTTCATCGCCCAGAACACCGGTTTCGTGGTTCTAGACTTCGCCTATCGACTTTCTCCAGAAAACCAATATCCGGCCGCGGTTCACGACGCCGAAGATGGGGTCCGCTGGATCCTTTCACACCCAGAAAAATTCGACGCTTCTCGATTATCTATCTCGGGCTTCAGTGCGGGGGGAATCTTGTCTCTTGTGCTCAGCTCAGTCATTTTCCCGCAGGGGACATTCAAAAATGTCCTTGCCTTTTATCCTCCCACTAATTCTCTCCAGCCATCCGCTGAGAAGATTGCCCCCGATGCATCGAAAGATGCGGTTCCTCCCGAGGTGCTAGATTCATTCCTGCGATGCTATTTCGCTAACCCCGAAGACGCAAAGAGTGAACTTGCTTCTCCTGCGTTCATACCGGCAGAAAAGTTTTCGGATCGTCTTTTGCTCGTTACTGCGGGTTGTGATCGCCTCTGTCTTGAAGGAGAACTTCTTGGAAATCGAATCAAAGATACCACGACCAAGCATGTACAGATGCATCGATATGATTGTTGCGAACATGCTTTTGACAAAGCATATGAGAAGGGGTCTATCCAGGAAAGAGCGAAAGACAACATGTACGAAAGAGCTGCCAGCTTCCTCATAGAATGATGAGGCTCCGCCGCTTGATTTATATAGAATTGTTATTACTGCACAAAAACATAAATTGGTCGATTATTATCAGAAAGCTCAACGAGCTGATTAGCTCTTATAGAGACAGTCAAATGACTATAGTCGTTTCGATACATTGCTCCATAGATGAATATGCGACGCGGAGTTTCCCGTCAAAGATCCGAGGCAGTGAGCATGCACCTCACCAAACATGGTAGTTCAATCTGATTCATTATGAGTGGTAGTGAGTGGTACCTGGAGGAAGCTGAGCGGTTGGGGGCCGAAACGCAGACCGGGCCCGCCCCCACTTGTTTGGCCTCACTTCAGCCCCTCAGCCTTCCAGCTGGGGCGTTCGTTGTGGCAAAAGGCTTGTATCTTTCAAGCTCTCTTCTTCCGTTTAAAAGCAGCCCTACTAACCTCGCTTGATACACTACAGCACAGCCAGACGCGTCTCCATGGATAGCCATGCCACCCGGCGCAAGAGCTTCTAGGAACTGTGGCAACTGCCGTGCGATCAAACGACGTGTGAGTGTCCCTCTGCCCCTTCTTGTGTTTGATCAGCGCCCATAAGTCGTAGGATATTACTAACTTCGGATTTGCAGTGCGATAAGCAGATCCCGACATGTGGACAATGCATTCGTGCGCACGACCAATGCTCGGGATACCGAGATGAATGGGAGCTCTTGTTTCATGACCAGACTAGCCAGACCATTAAGCGATCGAAAGAGAAAATGGCGCAATCTAGTTCGAGCAAGATTCCAAGCAAAACCTCTCTTTTGGGCCCCTCCCGATCACCTAGTCTCAACACAGACGATATAGGCGTCAACTATTTCCTGTGCCATTTCGTCGTCGGCGGCTCCTCCCCCTCGCGTGGATATCTAAACTATGTCCCGGGGGTCTTCAATGACGAGGGTGAGCAACCGACACTTGTGGCGAGTATGGCAGCTGTGGGGCTCGTGGCGCTGGCGAACTCAACGAAGCAGCCCGAGCTGGCTCACCGTGCACGCACGAAGTACTGGGAGGCGATCAACAATGTAAATGCTGCCTTGGCCTCGCCGGTCGAGTCTGTCAAGGACAGTACGTTGATGTCGGTGATCTCACTCACCTTGTTTGAGCATGTCTCCAACTTCGACATATGGTTCCGACATATCAAAGGAGCAGTGTCTCTGGTGATATCCCGTGGAAAGAGCCAATTCTCTCGCCCAGTCTCTGTTTTGATGTTCAACCAAGTTCGTGCGGATATGTCGGCTGCCTGCGTTCATGCCCTTGAACCACTTCCGGAGGAGATGCTAGAGTTACAGGATGAAGCAGCCAAGCACCCCGTCGCTTCTTCCGGATTCTGGCACCTGGGGAGGTTAGCTACACGGGTCACCAATATCCTTGCAGGCGTCAGGTTGACCACCGATCGAGATGCCTTGGTGTGCTACTTGAAACAGTCGACGGTGCTTCTGGACGACTTCAAATACGTCTTGGAAATATTCACCAAAGAAGAGCCGTACATGACAGTCCGAGAATGCGGCGGTGACCCAGAAATCTTTTATAACAGTCGCTATGACATTTACAAATCCTCTTGGGCTATCCGGATCTGGAACAATTCGCGAATTCTCCAGGTGATAGTTTGCGAGATTCTGTTCCACCTCTTAACCAAAGGTCTCACCGCGAACCCCACACCAGATCAACAGGCTCAGATAGACACGAAGCTTCAAGAGACGTTGCGGATTATGTCGACCCTAGGCGACGATATACTGGCCACAGTCCCGCAGGCTTTCGGGTATGTGCCATTTGGGTCTGAGAAAGACACACCTTCTGATTTATCGGCTCACGGAAACATCTCGGGCATGTACCTGATGACCTGGTGTCTCTACACGGTCGGGAAGTCTCCAGTTTCACGAAGCAAAACTCGGCAGTGGATTATGAATCGACTTCGGGATATTGGTCAAACTGCAGGCATCGCAATGGCGCTGCAGTTCGTCGATGATATAGATGAGATAGACAGCTTGGCAGGTCGGGTATAGTGCGTCTGTCTATTGTTAAATAGCATTTACTACAGTCCCTCGTGTACCATACCAGAATGATATCATCCTATCTTGTGTGGAGCTAGTAAATGATGTCTGTTCCTCGCTCTAGTAGTAATAACTAAGAAATGTCTCCCAGTTTGGCCCCGACTTCGTCTACGGACTGTGATCTGAATAGACTATTTTGGCAACTGAGAAGTACGTTAGTATCAGATACGGCTTTCCTCTACTTCGCTACAACTAGATTTCCTTTTTAAGGTTAGCTTTGCGATCGGGTTTTAGCGCGTGAGGCAATAAGGTGTGCCCCGCGTCTCGTTCTTGGGCAGACCCTCCAGGTATATCCCCCCCCCTTCACCTACCTACAAGCCCGAAGGTCGAGTTCCTGATCAGGCTATCATTTAAGTGGCTGCATGCAGGGCGGAAGAGTAACAAGGCGCGTTAAGGTACAGACTCGGAAAAGGTACGGCATACTCTTATTTGGGAATGGCATGTTTTAAGTTAGGGTCGCGCAGTTCGCAAGCTGAAAACCTAGCTTGTAATTCGGCATTGCAAGGCCAAACCCCGTCAGGATAAGATCAAACCATAACCTAGGAGCAGACGAGGCGGAAATTAGTCCGCGTGGAGATTCTGAAATGCAGGCTCGGGAAGACAAGGATTACCGGTACAACCCGCAGGAGCGGCCCCTCAGTCATATGCCGTTGTTGAATGTGGAGTAATGACTGCCTCAGGTACCTGCACAGTAACTGTGAGTTTCCGAGAACCGAATCGGTACCTGTTCGCTTAAGTCTAGCATGAGTTCTGCCTGGAGGGCCCTCCGCCGCATCTGAATCGATCGGCATTGATTTGTGGAAATTATCTCTTCCCAGCTGAAGCTGACATACGCAGTAGAGCAATATTGTCGTCTAACAACAAGCCTCACTCACCTTGAATCGGATTAGCACCATAGATCGGCAAAAGCAGTCAACCCCGCGAGTGAGTTGACATAATCTGCGTGAACTAGATTAGCGCTGGGGCCAAAAGCGCCTATTTTTGGCTTATTTTGCGATGTCGGTTAGGCTTGTCTGCATTCTGGGGCCGAAATGCGGGACTGTTTAAACCACTGGCTTCAGAGTGCACCAGCCCTACCAGAGATAATGCTCTTCTATACTAGGATGTTGTCACAGTGGAGCTTGGAGACAAAAAGAGGCCGATGGCCTTGGTACATAAGGTTCGAATGTTCGTTGTGAATATTCGTCTGCTCTCGCCGCTAACAACTCGGCTCTCTATTCTTTACCTCGATGTTCGGACATCCTCAGATGCCTCCAAGGGCTCAAAGCTTCCTGCCAAGGTCTTTATCTACGGTGGATCAAACACCGATGGCGGAATTAACGACTCCTTATACAGTGGCTGCACCAGCGCGGATGATGGCGCAATTCTCGTATCGATCAACTACAGAATCGGACCCCTTGGCTTCATGGCTCTGAACAGTGCTGATATCTATGGCAACCAAGGAATCAAAGATATCCTCCATGTATTGGAATGTGTTCAAAAGAGCATCTCTGCTTTGGTGGTGATTCAGTATGTCTAGCCTCGGTAGGATGAAGATTGAAGGCTAACCAAAAGGATCTTGCAGGAAAAAATCCTTTCGGACAGTCTGCTGGTGCTACCGACATCCTACTCTCCTTCAATCCTCGCGTCTTTTCAAGAGTGCCCTCGCGGAATCGATCGCTCTGCCCTCGCTTGAGTCCAGCTCGTCTCTGCAGCAGACTGGAGCGTCTTATGCGCGCACTCTTAAATGCAGTGTTGATGATGTGAGTGCGAGACGAAATCTGTTCTATCGACAAGTACTGATCTCTCCACAGAAATCCTGCCTCCAGTCCAAGACTGTCGCCGAGTTGAAGAGCGCATACGATAATGACAAGTTCATAAATACCGGAATTGGGTCCGCCTCCAACCTCGGTGTCCCTTCTACATTCTCGCACAAATTCTCGCCTTATGTGGACAGGGATGTTATCACTGAGAACCGTTCTACTCGTGGAGTCTAGGTCCCGACAGACTTTGGGTACAGTATGTGCACCCTTTCACTTATTTCGAACAACAGCTAACCACATGGGATATCTAGATCAACGCGAAGGCATGGACGCCCTGAGCAAGTATAACTCTATTAAGAAAATCGCATCCGCCGCTCCTGCAGTTCCTCCGTGACAACTGGGGCCCTGCTGCCCAGTTAAACAAGGGATAGTATCCCTTGTCCCTGTTCAATTCCTCCGAGTCACCCGTGGTCGCCGCAATATCAACTGTTATTACCGACGCCGAGTTCAGATGCCCTGGATACCATATGGCAGTGCTCGACAGGCGCAAGAACATGCCCGCATGGATGTATGAGTTCATCCAAAACTCTACCTGCGTTTGGTTGAGCACTATTGAACAAGAGTTCGCCTCGGCTTACGGCGCCTCTCATACCGCGGAGCTTCCCTACGTCTGTGGCAATCTACACTTTGATTTTACCTGCAGAAACACTACTTGCACAGGTACCTCCGCCGAGTACGATCTCAGCAAGCAGATGAGGAGCTTGTGGACTGCCGTGGCTGAAATTGGCAAGCCCTCAACGGATGATATCACTTGGCCGGAGTTCCAGCTTTCTACGGATGGGTCGGAAAGTCCTTCGATGATCTTCGGAAATTCAAGTGTGCCTGGCTCTCTTGACTTTTCTGTTTTCTAGCTGTGGGCTCGAGTTGATGCCATGCTCTCGGAAAGTGATGCCACGGCCACGGGAACACCCGGTGCGTTGTCAGCAGCAGTGTGTCGCCGACTTCATCGCCATTCAATGGCGCAGGAACCATTCACCCGTCCGCCGGGGGTGTGTCGCTTTGGCTATAACACTGATTGGGTTAGTCCTAGTTTGACCATGTAATTTATGTGGCTATTTGAAGACTCATTTTTATGGGCGAGATTGTAAAAAGGCTCATTTTATCTTTTATTCACCTAGAAGTACGCCTTATTATTGTATGTAATTAAACTGATACTTGGACCGGTCAGGATTAACAAGGCTCTTATTCAGCGAATATAACATCTAAAAGTTCAATATATCATATGCCATGATATAACTAATCTCTAGGCCCCCTGACGCACAGACACATACGTTCTGTATCTTTTTCCTCAAGCATCTTTCTATTTTCTAGGATCTGCCGCGAGTAGTCATCGATGTTCGAACTGCTATAACACGGTCACTTAACCTGCAAATCTCATTGCGATCAGGTCATCCCTGAGGCTCCAAACGAATCTCTATTTTTATTATCAAATATCAGATCTTATGGGTGAATCTACTTGATCGCTAAAGATACTATTGGTGTTGTCTCTACTTAATTGCTGCCTGAGGCATCAATATTATGGGGTAATTTCTTAGTAAGCGCCCTCCGGGATTCAGCCAAGTCGTAAGCCATCACGTGCCGTGTTACCGCCCGAGCTCCAGCGGACAGCGGACAGCTTGGCCTACCCCCGGCCCATCCCACCTCGCTCGACTCCCATCCGACCCTTCATTCTCGCGCTGTGTCCGTGGAGGAACTGATTCGCCCGCCATGGCCGACTTCGTGGACCCCCGGATGAGCTCCATCAAGCCCCGCATCCGCTACAACACCATTGGTGGCATTAACGGACCGCTGGTCGTCCTCGACAATGTGAGACCTCTGCGGACAACATGGCATTGGAAATGGGGCCCTTTGCTGATTTTCTGGGTTACGATATAGGTCAAATTCCCCCGTTTTAACGAGATTGTCTCGTTGACACTCCCCGATGGAACGGAGCGCTCCGGTCAAGTGCTGGAGGCGAGAGGTATGCTTCCCGACCACGTGTGGTACCTTGGTACCGGGTACGAGCTCTTAATAAAACATCATACTGATGTCTGTGATTTGACATATAGGAAACCGAGCTGTTGTGCAAGTACGAACTGAGATCAATGCCAAATCGAAATAACCCCTTGCCGCGGTGGATGTTAACGGTATACTTATTTACTAGGTGTTCGAGGGTACTTCCGGCGTTGATGTGAAGAAGGTCAGTTATCATTTGGGAGTTTTTATCTTTTGAGTGGAACTACTGACACCATAACTAGACCAAAGTCGAGTTCACCGGTCACAGCTTGAAGCTCGGTGTGTCCGAGGACATGCTGGGTCGTGTGTTTGATGGTTCAGGACGTGCTATCGACAAGGGCCCAAAGGTGCTTGCTGAAGACTACTTGGATATCAACGGCCAGCCTATCAACCCTTACTCTCGAGTATGTTTTACCCCGCCAACTCTATACGCACGGTCGCGGGAACTAATGGAATTCCCTAGGTCTACCCCGAGGAGATGATCTCTACTGGTATTTCCGCTATCGATACTATGAACTCTATCGCCCGTGGCCAGAAGATTCCCATCTTCTCTGCCGCCGGTCTTCCCCATAACGAAATCGCTGCCAGTATTGCCCGCCAAGCCAGTCTGGTCGGAAAGCCCACCAAGGACGTTCACGATGGTCACGACGACAACTTCTCGATTGTTTTCGCTGCTATGGGTGTTAATATGGAAACTGCTCGCTTCTTCACTCGCGAGTTCGAGGAGAACGGCAGTATGGAGCGTACCACCCTCTTCCTGAACTTGGCCAACGACCCAACTATCGAGCGTATTATTACTCCTCGTCTGGCTCTGACCACTGCCGAATACTACGCCTACCAGCTCGAGAAGCACGTTCTTGTCATCATGAGTGATCTTTCCGCGTACTGTGATGCTTTGCGTGAGGTTTCCGCTGCCCGTGAAGAAGTTCCCGGTCGCCGTGGTTACCCCGGTTACATGTATACTGATTTGTCAACTATCTACGAGCGTGCTGGTCGTGTTGAGGGTCGTAACGGCTCTATTACTCAGATTCCTATCTTGACTATGCCTAACGATGGTATGCATCATCCCGCTCCTGTCGCTGTACAACAGCTTGTGTTCTTCCATAACTAACCTCAATTTTCCAAACAGATATTACCCACCCTATTCCTGATTTGACAGGCTACATTACGGTGCGTAACCTCATTTTCAGTTGAGAATATGGACATTTGAATCTAACAATATTTACAGGAGGGTCAAATTTTCATTGACCGTCAATTGTACAACAAGGGTGTTTACCCTCCCATCAACGTTCTGCCGTCACTTTCCCGTCTCATGAAGTCTGCCATTGGTGAAGGCCGCACCCGTAAGGACCACTCAGATGTGTCTAACCAGCTGTACGCGAAGTATGCTATCGGTCGTGATGCCGGTAAGTTTTTCTCATTGTCTCAGTCAACACGCGCCGCTTTCATCGTGCTAACAAATCCATCTTATAGCCGCCATGAAGGCTGTTGTCGGTGAGGAAGCCCTCTCTTCCGAAGACAAGCTCTCTCTCGAGTTCCTCGACAAGTTCGAGCGCACCTTTATTAGCCAGTCTGCCTACGAGTCTCGCAGCATTTTCGAGTCACTGGACATCGCCTGGAACCTGCTCCGCATTTACCCCAAGGAGCTCCTCAACCGTATCCCCAAGCGTACTCTTGATGAGTTCTACGCCCGTTCCGCTCGCAAGATTGCTAGCAAGGACACCCGCGACAACTCGGGCGAGCAGCATGATACCTCGGCGCAGCAAAGTACCAACCTCATTGATGCGTAGTCTTGTTGCTTGGGCTTTTGTGCGGCTGTATCTATTGCGTTCTCACCTTTTTCCTTTCAGGCTTTGCGTGTTAATCGGTTAGCTACAATACATTTCTTGAAGTCTAGCTAGAGTTTCGGACATATTGAATACAGATGAGAAATCACCTGCATCCCTTGCCCAGTGCGAGATAGAGATGGCAATTATATTGTGCCCTCTTCTGTCTTAGAGAGCTTTCGGGGCATTGCTTCCTTGGGCTGTGGCTAGGAAGCAACAACTGAAGACAAACTAAGACTTTAAGTGAGAAAAGAAATATTGGAGTAAGGTGTATGATGTGGTATTACAAATAGAGTTCAAGAAATAATATACAGGCCTTCTTCCGAGGCTTGGGAAAATATACTAATCAACGCCATTCCATGCAGTGCAATATCCAAATCAAATGCCCACTCCAAATGGTTCGGCTAAAGTAGCTTGCTGTCATCGACGCCCAAAGGCGAGCCGATATCGAGCCCCTGGACTTGCATTTCTGCTGCAGCCGCTGCCAGCTTTTCTTCCACCTGAGCAGGGTCGAGACCCTCCGCACGGCTCAAAACGATACGCAGTAAGCTGGCCATGATCTCAAGCTGGTACTGCTGCTTTTCGTGGGGATCCAGCTGCTCAACACTCAATCCTTGTGTTTGCAAAGCCATGGATTTTCGTTCACCTAACATCTCCAGTAGTCGCGAGACTTGGGTGATGTTCTCTTTGTTTCGGGGTGTCGAGGATAAGTGACGCAAGCGACGCTTTGGAGTGTTGGCGGGGACGCTGGCCAAACGTGCGACTTGTACAATGATCAATCGGGCAGTTGTATCGTCTGGTGCATTGCCGAACACAGTCCACATAGAGTGCAAGGCAATGAGTGTGCCGGGAATGTCCTTGGACAAACAAAAGCAACGTACTACCTGGTCGTACAACTCCTTCGAGAATTGTGACTGTGTAGTTTGCTGGTCACGTGGTGATAGCTGTGAGTACCACCGTGACATATTGGCGTATAGCTGGCGTGCGGATGGGAAGCCAGAGTCAAATGCAGTGCGTCCACGGTCGTATTGCAGTTTTGCGCAGTCCCATAGACAAGCGTAGGTTTCGAGATCCGCTCGAACAGCGAAAGACATCTTTTGGAATTTGGACCAGAGTGTTCGGATGTCTTGCTTGCGAAGATCGGCATATAGAAGGTGATTCATGAAATATGAGTTTGGTTGTATATGTGCATCTCCAAGGCATTTGACCAGATATTTCACCATGTCATCATCACCTCGGCGAGTGTAGTGGAGAAGCAGAATCGAAAAGGTCTCGATGCTGGCAGACGGCACTTCGCGCATTAAGAATTTGGGAATGCGACTGGCATCAACCTCCTTTTGCATGTTCTCGAGACGAGGGGGTGGCTGAGATGGCTGGAATCGTTTCCAAACGGTATCGATTCGGTGTTGAATCATAGCCCATCCAAGCCGTTCTGCCTTGTCCCTTGCGGCAGCGTTGCCCATGCGTAGCCAACCAGCCATCACACCGTTTAGGTGCTTGCTATCCGGTCTGATGCCACGTTCGTACATTAGCTCAATGACCAGTGCGGCCGAGTCCACTTCGCCCATTCCAATAAGTTTCTTCATCCAGCTAGCATAGAAGAATCGGTTTTGGAATCGACGAGGTAACAGCGTAAGTGCTGAAAGAGAAACTTTGTTAACAGCCTTCTCGTCGATGCTCGAGGCATGAAGATTGCCAGCCAGACCAAGGGCTGCTTGATATAGAGCCGTGGAATCATTCGCTGGATCTTTTCCTGTCACCATCATGTCTTTGAAGATGGCGACGGCGGTATCGAGTCGGCCGGCTGTAAGAAGACCAATGCTGACTCGGTCATAATCTTCCATAGTCATATTCGGACCAAGGAATGTCTTGAGTTGTAGATACAACGCCCACGCTTTCACCTCGGCCTCTTTTCCGGGTTCATTCCCCCACGCGGTGATGACCGGGATCAACACACGTGGTTGACGAGTATTGTCATTTTTGAGGAAGGCCAGCGCAATGTCCTGTGCTCGCTGGGGATTGTTCTCAGCTGCAAACAGTCGCACGCCGAGCATCCAATACTCTTCCAGATCTTCTTTCTTCTGTGATAGGTCAGACTGGTATGCCTCCCACTGTTCCAACGCCTTGGTCGTGTCGCCACCATCCTTCAAAGCTTCGATATATGAAAGAATTTGAGGCGTGGTGAGAGATTTGCCGACGGCAGTCGCATCTTCGACAAGAGCCTGCAAGTGTGTTGATCGTGTTGACTTGGCCGATTTGTCTGCCGCCTGTGACTCCCAAACCATATCCATCACCTCTACCGGAACTGCATTGAGAAATCCTGGTATCGTCTGCTTGCACCGGCGGTAACACTTCCAAACCTCCTGTCTAGCGCCTTCATCCGACTCATTTGTGCTATATTGCTGCAATGAGCTCTTTAATCGCGTAGCATATGGATGAGACTTCGGTCCTGCGAGCTTTTCCTCTTTAGATCGTCTCGCAGCCAGCTTATGACGCCGCCTGGCACTGTCCTCCCAATTCTCCTGCTCGTCTGCCAGGCCGCTGAATTCCTCCTTCAACATATTGTCCAATTCGTCATCAAACACATCGTTCAGCGATAGCTGTGGCTCCACCGGACCACGCTCTATCTCGTATTTCCGCAGAGCCTCCAGGGCAATTTTGCGGTCGTTCTCCGGCAAACTTTGGATGAATGGACTGCTGGGGTCGAAAGGTCCCTTCTCCAACTCTTTGAGCTCCTCCTCGAGCTTCGCCAGCTCCTGTTCTACTTCCTCTCGCTCCTCATTATCCTCGGCCTCGGGGTCGACCTGGCGGTGCTTCTTGCCGTCTTGTTCGTAGAAGGTGACTTTATCGTTCGGCCCGCCAAAGTCGAGCCGGCGCGCGGCTACAGCGGAGAAGGGGCGCCGGGGAATTGATGGGCCGCGAGCCCCATGGTAACATCGAGCTCCTCGAACGAACTGGCGGAGCATATGGGATTAATCGGTCATAGGGGAAGGTGGATGACAAAAAGCGGCGACGTATTGAAGTTGCGGACTTCCGTCGATTTCCCCTTTTCGGGTTTAGCGCGTTCCGCCCTCCGCGAAGTTGCGCCTGCGTCAACTTGTCCGTCGGCGCGTTCCTCTTGAATCGCACCCCGCAATGGATCCGAATGGCCTAGAAGAGGCGTTGGACCTGTCTCGGGACAGGTCACAATACCAGGTATGTCTTTCTCGTAGGAGCTCTTGAACCACGCTAACATACGGCCAAACAAGGGCGTTTATATCTACCAACCCGCAAAACCTGGGAAACCCGCCGCCGAACGAGCTCCGAAACGTCGCAAGGTCTCATCTGCTGACAAGGGAGAGCATACTTTCAATAACGAGACCTTCGTTCCCTTGCTGAATGGGGAGGAGAGTACGGAGAGTGTGCAACTACGACATGAAACCTACGAACAACTGTGGAAGATGCAGGAGGACAAGATTCAAGTGAGCGACACGGAATTCGTAGAGGGGACCGCTGCTAATGGTGGGATAATAGGCAATTCTCGAAGATGTGGATGCCGGTGTCTTGGCAGATGTTCTGTCTTTTGTGAGAGAGACCTCCCCCCAAACGTATGACCCCTTCACTTTGGGATTGGTGACGTGTCGAGCTAACCATGCTCTAGATGCGATGGATGTATTCCAACAGCGTTAGTGACAGTGGGCTCTAACGTCTCGTCATTGAGCCGTCTTCTTGCGCGTCTCAATGATCAATTGATCTCGAACGACGAGGGTGGTGTCGTGGTCTTGGAGTCAGGCGACGCCCCTAACTTGAAAACAGCCCTGAAGAACATCATTCGAGCGGCGGTTGCTAATACCGAGGGAAATGATGGGTATCAAAGATTGCTTACGGATCGTTCTGTGCGTGAACAAAAAGGCGCTCTCGACGAAACTCGTGCTAATAGTTGAAAAGGGGCCTCGAGTACTCGGATATGACTTGGAATTGCTCAACGAGTACGTCCAAAAGAAAGGGACCAACAAGCTGGTTCTCGCGCTGCGGGATAGCGAAGCTTTCGACACAGGCATGCTGACAGATCTGTTGTCGCTATTCGAGTAAGAATGGCATCCCAGATAGCATGAAACCTCAACTGACCCACTCTAGATCATGGCTCGATCGCATCCCATTCACATTGCTACTCGGAATCTCCACATCCGTTGAGCTTTTCGAAGGTCGACTTCCCCGGTCGTGTGTTTCTTTGCTCCAGGGCAAGCATTTCGAAGTACAAGAAGCAGGCAACTGTGTCGACCGAATCTACGGAGCTCTTCAAGCCGGAACGGACAACAAGTTGTGGCTCGGTCGTAACATTACTAGCACCCTGTTTGAAAAAGCGAGTGACTATTTTCAAACACCAGAGACGTTTAGTCGCATGGTCAAGGTAAATATGCCCATTCCTTTTTGTGATGATTGAAGCTCCTAACATGGTTTAGTATGCGTATATGTCACATTGCTTCGCCAATCCTCTGTCCGCGTTACTCTTGCCAGGTCCCGCGAATCCGGAACGGTTTCAGGGTAGTTTCCTCGAGGCCGTTCGAAATTTGCCATCTTTTCGGATGTAAGAGAAACACCCCGTCATATAGGTAATAGCATGTGTTAACGTTTCCATAGGCATTGTGAAGACCTAATTGAAGCTGGCTCGTCCGATGAAGTCAGGGATTTGCTCGAAAACGACCAACATCTCTACCAAGAAATGTTCAAGCATTTTGACATCGGCCGGCAAAGAATGCGGGACATTTTCGATGTCGTATATCTCATTTGCGGCTGCCTCCAACACACCCAGAGTACCAAAAAGACGCCGTTCTCGGAACTTTCAGTGCGTGCCCTATCTGGCGACCTTGGTGAATCGCAAGTTGTGGATGACATGATCGCTACTGTGAGAGCAATGGATTCAGAGAAACTCTCGAGTGTTCTCAAAGATCTTCCGGAGACCTTGTCCAACGATTCTACTCTCACCGAAATCAAAACCGACTTCAAGACATTGCTGGAAACATCACCAGACTCCGAGCCCTTGCGCAGCGAGTACAACATCAACAGTTCTGTCACCAAGACAACTGTTGTCCAGCAACGCATCCAGCTCAGCAAAGGCAAAGCCAACCTATCCGGGCAGGATCTCGAGTATACCAAGATCGTCGACCGATTGGTTGCCGCTTTGCAGGAGTATTTCACAGAGACGTTGATCCGGCCACAGGAATTGTTTATGCATGAAGCTTTCCTTTTCGATCTGCGCAACCCGCTCAAGGAGAATTTCGCACCTCGCCCACGCTTTGCTATTGAGCGTGCTATGGGAAGCCCTTTCGATTACTTGATTTCGTCGTCCGAAAACAGCCAAGGTGGTGCCAAAATCTCTGCGAAGCAGCCACCTGCCGCGATATTGTATCAGCTTTATCTCGAATCTGGCGCGTTGGTCAATGTTCATGATCTGTGGCAAGCCTTCTATGCCGTGTTCGAAAGCGATTCAGACAATAAGACGGATGACCGTATTGTCATGGCCTTGTTCTACGGGGCTTTGTCTGATCTGAAGATGTTTGGCATGGTTAAGAATAGTCGCAAAAAGACCGATCACTTGGCCAAGTCTGCGTGGCTGGGGTTGTAGTCGCGAGATTCGTGTCATCCAGAAATTTCAATCACTTTATTTTACCAGAGATACACGTAAATTTGAACTTCAATTGATCAATTTCCCTAGTCTGGGATGGGGTATCATAGACATGCAGTTAAAATTTGCAAAAGAAAACATTCCGGGCTGCGTGCAGCCTCAGTTGCCGGGATTTAAAAGGTACCTCCAGCTTTATTCTCCAGGCTGGAAAGGTCGTTGGATGATGTCCCCTCTCCCGAATGGTCGTCCCCCTTCACTCAGAACCATTGCCTCCCTCCGCCGTCGACGAAGAGCTTGCTCCTCCGCATTGCCCGCTTGGTGTCTCCTTGAGGGGGATTCGGAGTACGCTCCGGCAGTTTCGCCAGCAGTTTCCTCTCCGTTTATCATCCAAGCATCGCTATCATCAAATTCGGCATCTTCATCATCATTGTCATCGCCTTCATTGTCCTCATCGTCTGTATGAATAGTCGGTACATCAGTGAGGTAGCAAATAAGAGGTTTGCGAACTTTGCAGCCGTTTTCTTCGATCATGCTACCCATGAGACCACTTTTTCGGAGCTGCTTGACGGCATCTGCATTTGTAACCAGGGTCGCAAATATGGAGCTCATGACCGCATCGTCTGACCACCATGTCTTCATGAGCATGGCTATATCCTGCCGGCGGGCTGGCTCTTGCAGTGCGCACGGGAATGGGTATCTGTTGAGCCACCGAGAGATAATGCCTGCCTCTAGTGCCCCGGGAATATTAAGTGGTAGCAGAGCATTCAACACATGAAGTGCCTTCTTCTCGCCCAAAGGTCTGGTTTTAGGGAGAATGGGCGAGATTGTCGTAGTGGTTATCTCGGTATGCTCCTCAAGGAAATTGCAAAGACAGTTGACCAAGGCTGTGTATGTCTCAATGTCTCGGAGCCGAGTGGTAACAGAGGTTCGAGACACTATCATCAGTTAGCGTTGTTTCTCTTTGACAGGTGAGCCGGTGAGCATACAAGCCCGGTTCGAAACTAGAAAGTAAAGCGCAGTCAATGATCTGTCTTGCCGAACTTTGTCCTTACTTGACAGATCCTCAAGTAACAAGTCCCGCGTCTCGCCCTTGGTTGATCGCTCGGAGAGGATTCGTAGTGCCCTATGAATCATTAGTCGGCGTTTTTGAGATACGAGTACTCATGGGGTAATATCATACGCGGCTCGGAGGTCATGGCTGGTGCTTCCGCTCGAAAGCTTTAGAAGGGTATCCAATTTGAGAACTGGCCGGATGTCAGAATATGCTTCACCGTAACGTAGGAATGTAACCATTAACCCTCTTCTGTTCCCTCGCTAATAATCTTGTCCTCCTTCTCGACGTGTTTGATCTCGGTCAGATCGACAACTTGGCGTAGATCGGTGGCGATGCCACGCACGGCAAAAAATAGAGAGACGCCTGTGGCGATAGTTAGTAGACTGTAGTTATTCTTCGTCAGATCCATCTTACCTAGGCATAGCCATAGCACGCCGTCCCCCGAGAAAGGAGCCATGGTGGGTAGGTGAGGAGTTGGAGATGAGATGCGGAGAGGCGGTATGGTGGGCAGAATCTCGATCGGCCGAGGCGGTGAGCCTATTTTTTCCCTGGCTGCTTTTGCAGCCGCGGAAAAAATCCACTTCGCAAGAAGGCCTTTTCCAGACAACAATGCCTCCCTCGCAGCTGAAGCAGCTGAAGGCTTCTCTTCGGGACAGCGGGGTGATTGGCCCCCAGCAGTCTAAGAAGCAAAAACGCCAAAATGCGAGGACCGGCGTCGCAGCGCAGAATCGGAACCAGCGCAATGAGGCTCTGCAAGCCATTCGAGATCGGTTCAACCCTTTCGAGATTAAGGCTCCTAAAAACAGGAGTAAATTCGACGCGACGACCCGCGATGGCAGTTCGACGACTGCGGGAGGCTCCCGCCCTGGCGTCACGAAGTCCTTGGGCGAGGAAAGGGTGCGTTGCATATCTCAAAGCTCGTTCTGGTCAAGAGCCCCAAGCTAACGATCAATTGTAGCGTCGCGCCACACTACTGAAAGAAATGAATAGCCGACACAAAGTTGGTGGAATACTGGATCGCCGCTTCGGTGAAAACGACCCCACGATGACTCTCGAGGAACGAGCCGCCGAGCGATACGCCCGAGAGAGCCAGAAGAAATTGCGGAAGGAATCAATGTTCAATCTCGAGGATGATGAGGATGATGATTTTCACTTTACCCACATGGGTCAACCTTTGACACTTGATGGAGCAAACGTTGACGATTTCGATGCCGACGGTCTGGATGGCCAGGGATCCGACGACGAAGGCCTCAGGAAACGGAAACGCGTTGTTGAGGATGACGGCGAAAACGAAGATTTCATCGACTACGAAGAAGAAGGCGAAGCTCAGCCCGAAAAAAAGAAATCCAAGGCTGAGGTCATGAAGGAGGTCATTGCCAAATCGAAGTTCCACAAGCACGAGCGACAAAAGGCCAAGGAAGATGATGACGATCTACGAGATGAGCTAGATCAGGAACTTCCTGATCTATTTGAAGCCCTCCGTGGCATGAAGGCCCCGCCTAAGAAGGAACCTGCCAAACAGGACCTATCAGGCGTGAACCCAGAGCGTGCTTTGTTGATGCAAGAGCCGGAGAAGAACACTGAGAGGGAATACGACCAACGACTAAAGCAATTGACTTTCGATAAGCGGTCCGCGCCGACGGATCGTACGAAAACTGCGGAAGAAAAGGCCGAGGAAGAGGCCGAACGATTGAAGAAAATGGAGGAGAACCGACTCAAGCGCATGCGTGGCGAGAAGGTCAGCGACGATGAGGAAGAAGAAGAGGATGACAAAGACTCCTTTTTTGCGGGTGATGAGTCGGAAGAGGAAGATGACGCAGTGGCTTTTGGACTTCCTACTACATACCAGCCGCGCGCTGATATGGGTGTCGAGGATGAGGACGACTTTGTCATTGACGATGACCTTGTGGAGACAAGATCAAATGTCAGTCTATCCTTGGATGGAAGTGATATGGAAGAGGAGGAACTCTCGGATGAGGATGATGAGCCAGATGTGCCAGAGCAGGAGGACGAGCTCATTAACGGAATGACTCTACCCACATCAACTACATCAACAGCCGTTGGCATCAGTGAATCTGCTACTGGCAAGTTGGCATTTACTTATCCCTGCCCGAGTGACCACGAGGGCTTCCTGGAGATCATCAAAGATGTGGCTACAGAGGATGTTCCGACCGTTGTTCAGCGCATTCGCGCACTGCACCACCCTCGTATCAAGCCTGGCAATAAGGATAAACTCGGAAAGTTTTCTGAGATTCTGGTTGAGCACGTTGCTTATATGGCCGACGAGACTGAGCAGCCTTCATTTGCTGTTATCGAAAACCTGCTGCGTCACATCCACTCTTTGGCAAAGAGCCATGCTATTCATGTCGCTACGGCTTTCCGTGCCCGTTTTCGTGAAATCTCGAACGACCGTCCGCTCAGCCTGCTCCCCGGTGACCTCGTTATTCTCACGGGTGTCTCGACTGTCTTCCCTACATCTGATCACTTCCACGCCGTCTCCACCCCGGCGCACCTCTGCATTGCACGATACTTGGGCCAGTGCAACGTCACTTCCCTGTCGGATCTGGCAACCGGCACCTTCGCCGCCAGTCTCCTCGTTCAGTACCAGTCCGTGTCGGAGAGGTACATGCCCGAGTTCATCAACTACGTGTTGAATGCTCTCTGCAACCTGGCACCCGCCGAACCTGCCAAGGAGATCGGACTTTTCCCTTCCCGCAAGACCGAGAAGTCTTTCCGACTGGCTTCGTCTAAGAAAATCACCCCTCGCAAGCTGCAGTTCAAGGACGTGATCAGCTCTCCGGCCAACCCTGAGGCCGAGGAAGAGCTCAAGTTGTCCCTTGTGAACACTCTTGTCTCCCTCCTTGGCTCCTCCTCGGACCTCTGGTCTGAAAAGTCCGCCTTCATCGAAATCTTCGCTCCCGCCCGCGAGGTGCTGCAGCATCTCCGCCAATCCTTCAAGAACAAGGCCTTTGTTGCAGCCCGCGATACCGTCCAGTCAACCCTGGACAAGATTAACACCGGCCTGGCTCAATCCCACCTCTCCCGTCGCCCTCTGCTCCTCCACAACCACCGCCCGCTGGCTATCAAATCCGCCATCCCCAAGTTCGAGGAGAACTTCAACCCGGACAAGCACTACGATCCGGACCGCGAGCGTGCCGAGGTCAACCGCCTCAAGAAGGAGTTCAAGCGTGAGAAGAAGGGAGCCATGCGCGAGCTGCGCAAGGACGCCAGCTTCATTGCGCGCGAGAAATTGCGCGAGAAGAAGGAGCTCGATGCCGAGTACGAGAAAAAGTACCGGAAGCTTATTGCGGAGATTCAGAGCGAGGAGGGTCGTGCCGCCAACGATTACGAGAGAGAGAAGAGGGCTCGACAGGGCAAGCGCTAATACATTTACCTTCATTTCTCGTGGAGGAAGTGTGCCGCTTTTCTCCTGTCTACTTATGCATATGTTTTGCTTTCTTTGTACATCTGTTGGATTGGTAGATACTCTCTTTGTTTTGCCCTTGGGCTGGTGCATGGCTGGGAATCAAAAGTCGAAATATATCCGCACATTATCATTACTTATCAATCTTTCTGTTTGGACATGTGTGGCTTTCATAACCGACATGGGTTTTGTCGGTGTCTAATTCAAGTACTCTGTATATTTGTTCGGGGCTGCAGTAAATGAACTACAGTTCCAATTATGGCGATTCAATCCGCAACGATTGACAGACTTGCAGTGCTCACCGAAACCAAGCCACTATAGTTTGAGGCTATGGAGGTACTAATCCTTGGTTGGATGCCAAGGACCAGGCAAACAGACGTGGCGCTGCAGGCTGTTAGACGCCAGCCCCTCGCCGTGCGGGCCATCAGACGACCTCGAGGGAAAACCAGAACCTCTTCCTGACATCCATGGAGCAAGACATCGACTTCGGGTCCTTCCTACTTGACTCATGAGGTTAACGACCGCGTTGCCCATGAACCTGTGGTGAATCATCATGACCTCCGGGCCGTCGGACCTAATCAACGACACCCAAATCCGCGTTGAATTCCACACTGAACTCGCCCACCGCTTCACGTTACAATCTCGCGCATCCCCGGCCGATTTGTCAGGAGGCAAGAAACGAAGGACGTATGGGAGGAGGAAGAGAGTCTCCTGGGAAAGGGCGCCTATGGCACTGTCAGCCGGATGAGATCCCTCTTATGAAAACCCGTCGCTTTAAGAATGGGTAAGAGAACACTGTGAATCGCAAACCACGTCTATTTGGCCTGTTCAGTTCGCGGACGAGGCATAGAGCGGTGTGAATTGAGGATAATTCAGGGCATGCATTTCGAGTTTGATTGGCATCTAAGCATTTTGTTGCTCTGTATCACGAAACATGATTCGACTTCCTTCCTGCGCGCACATATGAAAAGAATGCATGTGGTTGACAACAAGTATTCTCAATTCAACCAGATGATGAACACTAGCAGTAGCTGTGGACTATAAGAAAAGGGGAGTGATCTTTATTATCTTCAAATTATTATCACTTAGACTTTTTAGCCAATTAGGTATAAGCACCCCTAACCCTGGCTCCTAATCCCGATTCTGCAAGTCTCTCCCCAGAACAAGGGCGGTATCAAAAGCGGTCAGCCACGAACCCTTTAAAAGCCTTCGCCCTTTCATCCTTTCACCTAATGCAGTCCCCGACCGGTAGCATTCACGCATTTTTTGCCTACTGAGTTCCCCTCCAATCTCAATCCGCACGCCGTGAAAAGAGTACAGGGATATTTTTCACCTATGTGCTTAAGATGGGTATGATGCTCTAATTCTCCCTAACAAAGGGATTATTGATTGTCACTCAAGCTTTAATTATTGTCTTTCTTAAGTATAGAGGTGACTGTGGCCTCTGAACTCTTTTCACGGCGCGTGGGTTGAGATTCGTAGGGAACTCTGGATCCAGAGAATGGATGTTGCTTGGTTAGGGTTGGGTTATTGATTTTGGCGTAGATGAGACGGAGTTGGAATTAGGTGTTGCGGCAGAAACCTTGAGCGTTAGCATGCGGCGGTCATGAGGGAGGTTCAAATCTCGTGGCGAAACTGGGTGGTGGGCGGTGTCCCTCACGGGTGCGACCTTTGTTTCCCGGTGGGTCTGTGCCAGATGGCGTGGCTATGCTTTGTTTACATAGAGGATATATGGGGGTCAGATTTGCCGCGTAATTTCGCGCGTTATTATGGCGAAACCGCCAAGCCCTCAATACATGACCCATGGAATGGGGGTCAGATTTCTGTATTGACCTTGTAAGAGGGCTGTTTTTACATTCCAATCCCCCTCCTTCTTCTGCCGGCAGAAAATCAAAAATCAATTCACTATGGAGTCGCTAGCGAGCTTTTGAGAGAAGCTGAGATAGCTGGTAAAGCGAAAGCTTGCCTCTGCACCGTACAAGCTCTAGCTCCTCAACAGCTGCGTCCAGAGACAGGCCCTTACCATATCTAGCGTAGATCTCGTCGATGATAACTTTTCGGCGGCAAAACATGACCCTTTCGCGAGAGGAAGGCCGCCAGGTCGCACCATACGATCTCTCTAATGACTGGACAGATGGATTTGCACCTAACCCACATGTCCATTCTCTCCAGACCTCCGGCACAGTCTGTATCGTACGAGAGAGCGAGTAGAGAGATCGAGAGGGGGATAATAAAGAGGAGGGAGTATCGATCCCCTGTGGGAGAAGCTGCTGCTTATCTACAGGAGGCTGCAAAGATGATGCCTCCGATAGACATGCTGCTAGCTGAGAAGACGGTGTGAATGAGTCCGAGTCTGGTGTCCGCGCTTCGATAATAGAGGTATCCATGGCTCGTACGGCAAAGGTAACGTGACCAGAAAGGAGATCATGAAGCTGGCGAGAAATCTTTCTAAGCTGTTCATGAGCCTGATAACCATGAAGATCAACCGCCTGATGGATATCCTTCTGGAGGACACTAAGACGGTCGGCAATAATAGGAAGCGTCTGCCGGAGCTGAATCTCCTGAGGGGTCTCCGTACAAAGAAGGGACTGCCGTATTTGCTCTGCAAATGCAGTATAGTCTTCTCGTGCAAAGATAGGATCATCCCACATTGAATGCCGGGGGAATTGCGCCTGTAGGAGAACCGAGTCCTGGAGGAGGATGATCCGTAGTTGATTCAGTAGCTGCAAAAAGCCTTGGGCTGCCATATCATCTCGGTCTTCCTGCTCCTGACTAGTAGCCCCGCTAGGTGGCTCATTTGTAGGATCGTTGGACTGGAACCAGGCAAGCCACTGATCGATCCATGGCCAGAGAGCTCGTACGAGGGAATCTGGAGGTTGAATTTTTGCTCGAGGAAGATAGTAGTTCCCAATTGCATCGGGCTGGAAACCAGCCATAGAACGAAGGAATTTCCGCGGCAGATGCGTCAGATAGCAGTTAGTTAAGGCATCCTGATTCCATTGACCAGCACGGCGGATCTGGTTCTCTTCCACACCTTCTAGCTCGGCTTGTTTTGTCCCCTGAGCTCGGCCTGCATGTGTCTTCTTGTCGGTAGAGAGATTGATTGCCTTATAGACCTCATTGGCCCATTTCAGCTGGATTTCGTACGAGATTGGCTTCTCTCGATCTGAGCCCTTGAAGAAGTGGAAATTATACCACTCTGGCCGGCTCTGAAACCGAGGCGGCGACTCCCCTACTATCTGCCAGCGATAAAAGAGATAAAAAGCCGCCTGGCTCATCGTACAAAGGAGAGGATCCTGATGGCGCATTACCCCCATATACTGCAAGCGGCCAAACTGGTTAGTCTTTCCATTATTCATAATCATGATCATTGGCCAACAGGGGGTCGGTCCTTCGTTGGGTAAGGAGATAGTGAACAGGTCAGGAAACTGGAGTTGCCGACGCGATTCTCCACGAAGGAGCATATTGTGACTGAAAAGGAAATCCACGGCCGTGCGAAGATAGGACTCCTGAGCTTGAGGCTTTCGATGCTTAAGATCTTTTGTTCGCCATCCTTGCCAACAGTATCGTACGAAGTCCTTGATTTTATCCTTGGAATATCCATCCTGCAGGGTGCCTGCAGCTCGGTCAAGATACTGCTCGCGCTTTCGCTCGCTTTCCTTATGTAGTCGGCCAGTCATCAAGGCGGAAACAGCATATCCACGGGGGTTAGGGAAGCTATTCGTACCAATGCTTTTTTGGAACTTCCAGAGGTCCACAATAGCATTGATATATTGAGTGATTGAATTGCTTCCCAGGGTTTGTTCTACCTTTGATCCATCTGGCCGTGTACGATCCTTCTTATATTGAGAGGACCGAAGAGGTCGATTAAGAACCTCAGTGTCAAGAAAGTAGACAAGCTTCTTCTCTGTGACTAGTTCGCCGTCTGGGAAACCCTGCTTTTTGCAGAAGCTCTGTAGCATCTCGTTTAGCATCTCGTACGAACTAGAGACAACAAGGGTGTTCCTTTACCTGCCATTCCTTATGCTTGTTAACATAAGCCTTTGATGTATTCTTAGGCCGCTGGCTTCGCATGTAGTGTAGGGCCTTGATGCTGTGGAGGTTTAATCGGTCCTGGAGCTCAATCTGCGCTAGCTCCTGGGTCTGTGATGATGGAGGAGAGGAGCAGGGAGTAGAAGGTGATGATAAAGCCATTTTTGATTAGGTTCGAAATAGTGTTCTCTCTTTCTCTCTTTCTCTTGATGATGAGATGCGTGTAGGTAGGAGTAATGACAAGAGAGGAAGGAACGCGACGTGGAATTCACACAGTAACCAGCTGCCTTTCTTACCACCCTTCCTACCGCCTATCCCCATCATCCCTAATCCCCCCCCCCCCTTGATTCATCGTAAGGTACTGTCATAGCCCCGTAAGGGCGCGTACGAAGCTATCCCTGGCTTCAGGATTACTGCCAAGATTTCGCAGGCTTGATCTGCGGTCAGATATCTTGCGCGGGATGGGGGTCAAATGGGTGGGTGCTGTCAGATATCTCAGATATCCTGGGGGTCACGTGAGATTTCGCGAAATTTCGTGGGTGTGGATACATATCCATACTTGGTAGTTTAGCACGTCTCTCCCATAAGATGTTCTGAGCCCAGGTCGGAGAATAAATGTCAATGTGAGTTCATGTATTTTCCATTTCAGAAACCTTGAGAAGGTATCAAGTATGTAGATATATATGCACCCCACAACATCACGCATGTATACAGCAACACCTGAGTTCACAACACGACAATATACCCTAGGGTAGCATCACTGCCTCAACTCAACCCCAATACTAAGCAGATACTCACACCTCTCCCCCTGTGCAGTTGGCACAGTTTCCATACGCGTCTCATTAGTCCTGATAAAAATCCTCCTCTCCTCCCCCCAAGTCTCCCACTCCGGCGCCCCAGGAGCGCGAAACGTATTCGGATCCAACGCCCGCACAAAACTCGTCCAATATCCCTGCATCGCCGGCACAATCCCCTTATTAATCGTATAATATGACGCCGGTGCCTCCCCGCTCACATACTCCGGTCCCCAGATTGCGTTGACCTCCACCGTATGCGTCGTCCCTTCGCCGATCGCGTCGTGGTGCGGGTCTTGTACGGCAAAGTGGTAGTTCCAGCTTTTCTGGCCCGCGGAAGCGAAGACGCGGGACATTTCGACGCCGGGGCAGATGTAACGGAGTTCGCCGTAGGCTTTGCTGGTTGGGGGCCAGTAGGGGGCGGCGCCTGGGTATGTTTTTGTTTGGGAGGGAGTTAGGTAGAGGCTGTTTATTTTGGAGAGGTGGGTGGGTGTTAGGGAGGGGAATTGGTCTTTTAAGAAGGTGTCGGCGGCCGAGAGGGTGGATGTGTTTTTCGGGACGAAGATTGTGCCTTCGTCTGTGTCGTCGCCGAAGATTACGGGGACTTTGATGAATTTACCTGCGCGGAAGAGGGAAAGTGTGTGGTCTTGGACTAGGTCACCGTCAATTGTGGGGCTGTAGAGGTATAACGGGTTGTTGGTTCCGCCAGGGAGGGGTGTTTTGATGTTCTTATGTTGGAGGGTGGTGATGTCGAGACTCCGGAGGCAGGAGAGCGTGTCTGCTGTGCCGGCGCAGCCGGTGCGGCTGACCAGATTGTCGTACGAGAATTGGCTTTCGGAGATGTTGAGCATTGTCCCGAAACTTTGTGATTCGGCGGCGGCGCCGATGAAGAGGTTGTCATTGCGGCCGCCGTAGGCTGAGAGGAGGAGGGTGACGGAGGCGCCGCCGGCGCTGTCTCCGCCGATGACGACGTGGTTGGGGTCTCCTCCGAACTGTATACAGTGCAATATGTTAGAAGTACTTTTATGATGGTGACGGAGAGGGCTGATATCACCTTGCTGATATGCTTCTGTACCCACTGCAGGGCCTTAATCTGATCTTTCAACCCGTTATTCAGACTACCCCCCTTTTCGACTTCCTCGCCAGCGAGAAACCCGTAAGGCCCCACGCGATAGTTGAATGTGACGACAACAATATTATGACCTGACGCTTCGACAAGACCGGATCCATTATAATTGGCATTTGAGAGCTCAGCAAACCCTCCGCCCTGAATGAAGAAGTAGACGGGCAATTTCGAGTTGGATCTCATTGCCCTCGTCGGGGCATATACGTCCAGGAAGAGACAGTCTTCCGATGTGAGTCTTGGAATCGGCGCATCTAAGCTTTTTGCAACGGGGATGCAGAGGAATCCATGCTAGACACGTTATGTCAGTATCATTCGGACGTTTTTTTGGTGCTTCTTTCTGGCATTTGCTTCTGGGTGATACATACATGGTTGGCCTTCTGAACCCCTTGCTGAGCTACCGGGTCTCGAGGCGCAGCAAAGCGCAAATCCCCAACCGGAGGAGCTGCAAACCGCAATCCCAGCCACTGCGAGACGCCGTTCCGCAGCGAGCGGCCTTCATAACTGGTATAGCCCAGATCGACAACCGGGGACTGCGCGCAGGCCAGCGATAGCCAGAAAAAAGGTATAGGAGCTCCATGACTGAGTCGATTACAGCGCGGAGAGAAGGATGCAGGCTGCATAGCCATATAAGAAAGGATGAGAGCGTGGGATAGGGCGATCGGGGTGTAGAAAAAGGGCCGAGGATGGCAGAGGGCAGGTCCAGAACCTGCTGGACCAAAGGAGCCATCGTCTCGGAGAAAGGCCGCTCCTCCCTTGCGCATTGCAGCAGGAGTGTGCATGAAAACAAGCAAAGGGCGGGCTGGCATCCAATTTGAGCCGAGCTAGCCCATTTCCAGCTTTGGAGAGCTCCACTTCTTTTTTCCCCGCAAAGATCGCAAAACCCAATCTGCGCGCGGGTCGCCGCGTCTTGCGTCTTTCACTCTCGAACGCACACCATGCCGTCCAACCATGAGGATAGCGAGGAAGAGGAGGACTACATGTCCATGATCATCGAGGAGCCCACGCAGAAGGAGACTTTCTCCCAACGGAAACGTCGGGAACAGCGCGAGGTACGTTAGCTTGGTGAGGTGCTGAGCTAGCTCCGAGTCCAGCTTTCCTCTCCTCCCCCCACTCCGTTCCCTGCTCCCATCCCCTCACTGCCTGCCTCCCTAGTCACTACGCGCACGCTAACTCCTCCCCCTCAATTCTAGGCTGAAGCTCGCGGACGAGTCCCCTCCAAAGCCGAACGCGCCGCCCAAGAAGCTGCCCGCCGCGATGAAGCCCTGGCGAAAAGTACCCTGGATCCCACCAACAAGGGATTCAAGATGATGGCCAAGCTGGGCTTTAAGGAGGGACAGTCCCTTGGAAAACAAGATGGGAGTTACGAGAATAAATCAAGTCAGCCGATCAACCCTGTGATGAAAGAAGGTCGTGGCGGTATCGGTCTGGATAGCGAGAAGAAGCGCAAGATCCGCGAGGAGGCCGAGGAAGCTTCGAAGAAGGTTAAGCAGGAGGAAGGCGATTATCGCGATCGGGTCCGTGAGGAACGCGAATTGAAGCGCACGGAGGCGCAGGTCCGGGGGGCGCAGAAGGTGGCGGAGCGGTTGGATACTGAGGCCGAGGAGGAGGCGCAGGAGCGTGGCGGGGATGCAGATGCATATGCAAGTGCAGGTGCAGGCCAGAACAAAGAAAAATCATCCGATACCGACACCGACAAGGTCCAGGATCACGATCAAGATGAGGAGAAGAAACCACAACCCCGCAACTACAAAACTACCAAATCAATCAACATCCTCTACCGCGGCCTCGTCCGCGAACGCGAAGACCGCGAACGAGACATGCAAGCCCGCCACGCATTGCACACCTCCCTCCCCTCGTCTTTCTTCCCGAACCCGCGTCTCCCCACTTTTGCGGGATCGGAGCTCGAGCGCGAAGATCAGCAGGCGCTTGGCACGCGGGATCCGCTCACGGCGGCCATCGAGCAGGAAGTCGATGACGAGGATCCCGAGCTGGATGCATTTAATGAGCTGGAGGCTAGCGAGCGGCTGCGGAGGCTTGTGGCGTATCTCCGGGAAACGTATCGGTATTGCTTTTGGTGTAAGTATCGGTATGCGAGTGAGGAGGAGTTGGAGTTGTGTCCGGGGTTGACGGAGGAGGATCATGATTGATTTGAGTGTGGCCTGGTGTTGTGCGGTACATTGATAGATCTGGGTATTAGACGGTGCGCTACTCTACGCTTTATGAGAAAATGAACCAGCACGGATTTGACTCTATGTACTCAACTGAAGTCTTCAGATGTCTATTTGCGTTCCGCAGACGTAATTATCCTCAGTGTTGAGTAAGTGCCATGCCTCGACTCCGTAATATAATGATAGTATACACAAAATTGAACCTGGTATCATAAAAGAATCCACACACATGACCGCCGCTCCCAGCATATTATAGACTGGAGTTCCACAGGTATATATCCTCAGTAGTTTGACGCACCGCGCCAAGCATGCAATGGAGAAGAAACAAAAAATATAAAAGAAAAGAAAAAGCAAAGAGTGAAAGGGTGAGAAAGCGAGAAAATGACCAACTTATTCCTCATTTCTCAAGTGTCCTCATCAAGTCCGCCAACGACCGATTCTTCCCCTTCTGCAGCAATCCATGACACCCCTCGCAGATCCGCAAACAACAATGCACACATCTATACCGGATCTCCCGGTCGTTCTTGTGGCAGGTCATGCAGAGCGTCGGACACCACACGTTCTGCGACACTGGCATGTTGCGGTGTTCCTGGAAACAGACATAATGCACTGTATTCAGCGGGGCCGTGGCGGGCTCGGAGTCTGGCGGTGGGGTAAGGCCCGGCGGGGCTTGCTCGTTGCTGGACATTTGTTCTAGAGGGGTACTTGCGCCGTCTGGAGTTGGAATGAAGTCTTCCAATGGTGTCAATGTCCCACTCTCGGCTTCGCCTGGTGGTGGGGAGAGGGTGACGGGCGGTGGTGTTGGTGGCAGGGCGTGCACGGGTGGTGCTTGTTGGACTGGGCGAGATGGAGCAGGTGATACGAGCTCTGGAGATTGGGAGATTTGCGGTGCCGTTGGCGGTGTTGGTGGGAGTGGTTGTACGTGTTGTACGGGTATAGATGCTGGTGCCGGTGAAAATACCGGGGCTGGTTCTGGCTGCGGCGAGACCGGGGTTGCAATTGTTGGCTCTGCAGGTCGAATTCCCTGAGACGCCTTTATAGTCGATGGCGAGGGTGCCTCTTGTTCGGGTTGTGGGGATGTCGGTGTACTACTTGTGGTCACAGTAGTTGTGATGGGGCCGGCTTGCCGGAGACCTCGAGATGGCGTCGGCGGCAATGGCTGCTCGTTTTTTGGCGGCAAGGAAGACACCACCGGAGACGCGGCCGGCCGAATGCCTTGTGGAGGAGAGGTGCTCGAAGCTGAGACGGCAGAGGTCTCGTTGGGACGGGAGCTGTTGCTCCCAACGGCGCGGCGGGGAGGAACCTTGGACGAAATCTGCGGCCGCGGCGGCAGCTCTTTCTTCGGCGGCACCGGGAGTTCCTTGGTCGGCGGTGGTGCTGGCGCAGGGTAACTGGAGGCGAGGGTCGGTGTGGCTTCCTCGGGAGTGCGCGCCTCGTTGGAGTTCTTGCGATGGAAGGAGAACTGCGAGACGGAGGCGGCAGTGCCGTTCTTCATGGCCGTCAGCGACGGCACACGCAGGCCACGGGGCCGCTTTTCGGAGTCGAAGATGGCCATGGCGAGCCAATGGCCTGGATAGCGTTGTGGTCTTGGTGGGTAATTTGCCTAGGGGAGGCGACTGGCGTGGCTGATTATCACGGTTATCGGCGCCACCGTTAGATCAGTCGATCACGATCTCGATCTCGTCGACGGTCGCCACGAGGCAACGGCTGGGAAGCAAATCGAGAGCGTGAATATCCTGCGACTTGTCGGAGGATAATGAGCAGAATGAGAGATGCGACAGAAAAAAGCGAGGCACCCCCGGTGTAATCTTAAATCGGGAGCAGCAAGTTTTGTACCTGAACCCACTTCGTCTCCCGGATCCAATCTTAGCTCGTCAGGGCCCTCCGATCCTCCATGCCCAATGATGCTTGCATCGGTTCGCGTGGCTTGCGATCGCATTGGCATGCCGCGGCGCAGTCATCGCTGCATCATCGCCGCGATCAGCCATTGCGGCCGGAATGGGCAACGGCCATGCAGCGATGGGCACTGCCGTGTCAATGCCGGACTCATTCTGTTTCAGATGTTCCTGGCGCAGTGGGGGCGATTGGACCCGTCAGAAACTTGGATGGCGAGGAGCGCTAGCGCCAATAGATCGAGGCGAGTCTCGTCCGTGGTTGGTGTTTGGTGTTTAGCACGAGTGAGTTGTCGGGACACCCCTGAGCCCGTTGAGAGCTATCGCTATCGCCCGCATTCCAGCGATGACGCCGATTTGGTTGAGATCGCTGGCACGGACTTCGCCGGGAATCCGGTTTCGTCATTCGGGCACCCCTCTACTTTCTATCTGGATCTACGTTGTATGTATACTTCTACATGTTCCCCCGAGGAGACGAAGGATCCCCGGACAAATTACTCTACGATCGACCGGGTAAATATTCCCGACGCAAACAGACCCAGGAGATACAGGTGTGCGTTTTAGTTCGCCTGATTCATTCATATTGTACAATCGTTTGTGCTGTTCAGCTCTCTTCAACGGGCATGTACGATCGGCGTTCTCGTGCAGCCTACAGAGTTAATTCCCCCGTTAGCATCTCCGCTCTTTACAAGGCAACCGGGCGTGCGTCTTACCTCGAGATATCGCTCAACCCACGGCTTGCAAACTGCCCACGCCAGCAGGCCGCCCGTCGCAAAAATAAAAATGAACACTACCGCCTCGTCTTTGCGAGAATCGCGCTCTAATTTAGCACATCGATAGTCAGTAAAGTTAGTTCTCGTGTCTGTTCCTCCTAGTCCGCTGGCATGCCGATCAACTAACAGCAGATCGTCCAGCGCAAACCGGGATGATCAAGGCAGCGGTCAAGAGGTGCAATCACATACGGAAACAGGTCGTAAAGACATCGTCCTCCTTCGCCCCTTTACATGTCGGCAGTTCGTAGTCCAGACAGAACTTGCGGTTGCAATCGTTGCAGCTGAGTTGGCGGTATTTCTTCGCGCGTTTGGAAAGGTCGAGGTCACCCTCCTCGCGTTCGTCGGGAATCGCGGACTCGGGATCGCTCTCGGTCTCGGAATTGGCTTCGGCGGTGTCGAGTGTGTTGTCAACTGCGCGCGAGTACAGATTCATCACATTGCTGAGGGGGTCCGATCCGGACTTGGCCGGGTCAAGAGGGATAATCGTGCTGTTAGAGAAGCAGGTGCATTTGCAGAAGGACGTCGGGGCTGCGAAGAGGTCTTGGATTAGGTTCCTGCTGTGTTGTGACGGCAGTTCGGTCTCCACGGTTTGCTGTCGTGAGTTTCCGCTGAGCAGGGTCGACTTACTGGAGGCGGCTGTGAGGGAAATAAGTGATAGCAGGGCAAGCACGAGGAGCATCCAGTGCGTCCGGCCTCGCGAGCTCCCGGTGCGCTGCATTTTGACGGTGGCTCGAGGGACGACAGCTCCGGGTCGCATTGATTTTGATGAGGAGGCTATCGCAGTTATCAGTGGTCACGTGATGTGTCTCAACAAGAGCTTGGCACTGTAGTTCCAATCCACCATGGTTTTTATCGTGGAATTTTACATCAATTTAAAATAATATAGTTATATATGTATGTATATAAATTTATTGTTCTTAAATTGTTGAAGACTTTTACTGAAAGATGATACAGTCTGGTCGGGTCGAGGCTTCGGAAATATTGAAGAAGACTTCCAATAGAGTTGTATATCCGCCCCGCTGTGGATTGTTTTCGCACTGCCTAGTATTAAAAAAAAAAAAAAAAACCTCTCACTATTCAAATCCTCAAGTAATGATAACTTCCCATTAAGCTAGATCGACAAGCTGTAAACCATAATCACAATATATCGGCCCAGCAAGGGGACTCGCCTGGAGTAGTGATGAAGATGCAGCGAATGATCAGTACAGACTGAGAATCATCGGTATTAAGGAGTGGATACAGAGTGGAAATCCAAATAACTATCGAAGTATTAGTTCTGCATTAGACACTTGTTGGCACGTGCCGGCTTTTCCGCCACGATCTGACTGCCAATCTAGCCAGCCACCTAAGTTATGGGTGCTCATTGAGTCGTGAAGTGGGCCATCCCTAACAGTGCCAAATTTGATCTGAGCTAATCGGGGGTCCTTCTCCATGTTTTTGCATAGACTATTCATTTTCCGTTCTTAAGTGACCCATATTGGAGAAATAGCATAGGTTTAATGCTGGGAGATCGTGCTGGCCCGGTTCACCCGCAATCTCGGGAATTTCAACTTTGATTTGACTCGTCGACGGTTTCGACCACCATGCAATATATCTTAATCTAGTGCCACCGCTGAATTTAGGAATACTGGTATATACTCTGCAGAGGTGGTGGCTGTGACTGAGATAGGTGATGAATATTCATGCTCTCATTGAAATGTCACGTAATAATTATGGACAGCTCATGGTAGCTCCCGAAATCTGAACAACACCGGTAACAGCGAAACGAAGAGACTTAATATATTCGCGAAGAAATAATAACAATAGGCGTGATGCGTTGCGCGAAGATATCAGTGGTAGATTATTCGGGCACACTGAAAACCCCCAATAAGATCAGCATCCAGCATTCGTGAAGCATTGCTTGTAGTCCGACGCGCACTCCTTTGGCCTCTCTACACAATGGTGCTGGTCATCTGGGTTTATATGTTCGCTTCTACAGATACTGAAGCTGATCTGTAGCTTTTGAAAATCCGAAGCACCCTAGCAGAAGTCGGATTTGCACTCGTCTTCGGGCCGGCAAGGGTTTCCTATGGCTCCCTTGCCAGGAAAATTGCACTTTTTGGTCGAGTCCCACTGAGTACTGCTGCAAACAAGATTTGGTGGGCAATCCTACTGTCTGTCACGATGGGCAGCTAGGAAGCCTCCCCGTCCTTCACTGCATCTTTTTGTCGTTGTTGCAAACGCCTGCACAGCATTGTTCATTGAAGGCGCATTTCCATCCTGGGATGACGTCGCCGGTAACGCATGTCTTGTCGGGACTGCAGACGACTTGCCTGCTGCCGCAGTCGGCGGTCGATGTGCAATCGTAGTTGGCTCTGCAGACGCTGTCAACGCAGAAATTGGATTCGCAGTCAACACCATAATTGCAAGATGCTCCGTTGTCGGCCTCGTATCTGTACATATCATATACGGGATTCCATGATTCTGCTGGAGCATGGTCCGTAAAATTGGCTCGATCTGAGAGATTCCCGAGAGGTTATCGCTAGGTGATTGTCGTGTGATTTGGGGGTGTTGTTGTGAGTGAGGCGCTTTGTACGGATAGAGTTGCAGGTGTTGAATTGGTCTGGGACGTTGGGCTTGTCTCGGCATCATCGCTCACGATGGCATTCTATGTGTTTACTATGAGATGCGAAGAAAATAATTTCGGCATGTTTGCAAGCTCTTCAGCTCAGGTTCCCCCGCCCTACAGCGACAAACACATTAACCATTGTTCATTTTCTTGGGTCGTGTTTGTGGCTCTTGACCCACGGTGGTTTCACACCGCTACAGATATAGATTCGCAGGATGGCATCTTTTCCCCGGGCCTTTTCTCCGAGATGGAGTCTCAATCATTGCCTAAGCAGGAGACTGTGAATCATGGAGTCAAGAGGCAAGAAGCGAAATAGAAATTTGTTCGAGCTGAAGGACCATGAGTAACTCTACAATGGAATATGGCTCATAGACAAGACATCACATGAGAATGATTATTCTAGTATGAATTATGTTCTATGCAATAGTTACAATGCAGCAATGGCTCCTGAGCAATGCTTTATACGACCCAAACCAAATTCAACTCCCCCTCATGATCTTCCCTTCATACCCTTCTTCCGGTTCTCTCTCTGTCTCTGTTCCTTGGCTGCATCACGCCGCCTCTTCTTCCACGCACGGTTGTTGTCACCGCGGTTCTCCCAAAACCACTTCGTAAACTCGGTCTCCTCCTTAAGTTCGTCCGCGCCTCGGGCCTTGGACACGGGAGTGTTAATAGACATGTCGTCCTCCGAGTCGTCCTCGTCTTCCTCGGTCCAGTTCATGCGTTTGTTGATCATGGCTGTGTCGGGAGTGGGAGCTGCGCTTCGCAGACCCCGATCTTGAAGGTCTCTTTTCGTGAATGGCGTAAATGGGGTCTGGGGCTCGGCAGACTTGGTCTCATCGTCAGACTCAATGTCACCATTCCCGAAGAAACTGAAGCCGGTATTGGTGTCTTCGCCAGGCTGGTCCCGAGAGGCGCCCTGGGTGTTCCGCTTGAAAAGAGCTTCCAAGGGGTGGACTTCATTAGAAGCAGGCCCTTCCGCAGCTACTTCCTTGGTGTTTGTTGGCTCGGAATCGGAGTCGGAATCAGAGTTGGAGCTAGAGTCAGATCCAGACTCCGATTTAGACTCAGAGTCTTCTGCGGCAGATGAGATGCCCTTGATGGGCGTTGTAGTCTTCTTTAAGGATGCGAGCTCCTTGGGTGCCTCCTTTATCACGACCTCCTTAGAAGACTTGTCAGAATTGCTTTCGGCATCGCTTTCGCTCTCACTCTCAGAATCTGAGCTCTCAAGCGAAGAACCGCTGGAAGATGTCCAATCATCTGATTCGCTTGATGGAACGGGGCTCTTTGACTTTTCCTTGACACCAAGGGCCTTCTTTGACAGACGCTTCTCTTTAGCTCCGGCGACCTTGCCTGGTCGGTAATTCTCCTTGCGACTCTTTTTACTCGGGGCTTCCTTAACGTCTCCAGAAGCATCTACCCATCCCTTCTCTTCGTCGAAGGTAGTTGAGGGCTTGACTTCTTCGCCGGCTGTTCGTAGGAAACTCGGGTGTGTGTATGTTTTCTCAAACTCGTGGACGACAGTCTCTCGCGAGGACTTCTTCTTTTTCTTGGCTTTCTTATCATCGGCCGCCTCTTCGGATGCTCGATTGGGTGGGAGGGTGGTCCGGAACAGAAGCTCGGATTTGTCGGTGTACTTGGATTTGGGCTGGGGCTTTTCCTTCTTGTCGTCCTTGCTCTTCTTGTCGGATTTGCGCCGGGAACCAGAAGGCTCTGTCCACGCTCTCTTCACTTTGCGATCCGAAGGCAGCTCATAACCCTCGAGCACGCTACTATCGGCATCCTCGGACTTGCGCTTTTTCGATTTCTTTTTCTCTTTCTCGGCGGGAACTTCCTCGGCCTCTTCGTGCCTTTGCCTTTTGGAAGGACGAGCAGTCTCGATCTTGAATTTCTTCCCCTTGAGAATGGAACCATTCAGCTTCTTCTTGATCTTCTCAGCCTCCATGGTCGGCAAGGTAATATATCCGTAGTCGTTTTCGGGGAATGTGGGAAGGCTGTGAAAGGAAATGTCGGTGGCCGACGATCGCATCGACGGTGGTAGGACCGAGGGGAGTAGTTCGGGCGTGAGAGGGGTGATGTGCAGTCTGATCGTCGTCTCTGTCATTGCATCGAAAATCTGGGTTCCCCCGGCCAGTTTTATGGGAGCGACACACCGATCCTCAGGTCCAGGTCGACTGCACTTTTTTTCTTCTCCGCAGAGCAGAAAGCAAATGATCTGCTACCGCCTGCCGAATCCAGCACAGATAGACTAAGTCTGCTGAGTAAGCACGAGACATTGCTAACAACAGACATAACAAAACAGAGTACAGTTAGATTACTGCTTTAATGGGGATTAGAAGAAAAAAATCGGATATTAGTGCCGAGAAGGAAACACAGACCCGAACTGAGGCTTTTCGAGCCGACTCTGTCCCAGCCCGTGTCACTCAGCTTGCAGTAGCTCCCTCTGGCTAACTAACTAGTTAGTTATTAGAAAATAACGTCAATAATAGCTGCAGGTGTCCCGAGGCTGGCACTCTACAGTATGGTACTAGGCGCTGGCAGGTCTAACTAATGCTGGCCGAAAGCTGGCAGGGCAAGGCAGGGCCAACGCTAGCCAAGTCGAGTAAGGCGCAGATGTACCCGGTACCAGCGCACCGGCCCCATCATCCAGCCCCAGCCGCGTACCCAGTACCCTCTCCCCTCTTCTGAAATCCGGTCACATTCAATCGGATCGACACACTGCAGGTCATCCCCTCCGTACTGTCCAGAGCTGCCACCGCAGGTCGAGATGAAGATGTACCGCAGCCCAGGTCCAGCTGAGTAAGCTACCATGATCTGGTCATGACGATATGGCACACGACCGGCGGCCAGGGCCAGGCCTCAATAAGACCCTCTGTAGCGAGCCTGACCAAAGGCAGGAATGGGGCTGGACGGGTCGCCAGTCGGGCAGTCGCCATAGTTAATCGGGCCTTAGTTCGTTGTGTAGTTGCGAGGGTCAGAGGGGTATCCGCCACATCCGACAGCAGATCTGGTCTTCTTACGTACCCGATTAGTTCATCCCCGTTTATCCTTCGCTCACCGTTCCCCAGTTACTCCGGACTGATCCCCCTCCCCGCTTCCATCCTTCCCTCCTCCACTTCTCGCCTATCCTATGCTGTCTCCTGCATCGGCGGTCTCGTTTCCTTTTTCTCCCGAACCCCGTGTGTGTCTGAGTACCCACTCTTAAACCCCCCTTGGGGGCCCTTTCCTCTCCGATCGGAGTTACGCCGCCGCGTCCGCTGGACCTGACGTCGGCCCAGCCCCTCCTTTCATCAACAACCCATCCCATCGCCATGGGGAACTCCCAGACCAAGGAGTCGCGCACCTCCGCGCCGCGCCACCGGAGTCAACAATGGTCGCCCAGTGCCTCCGATACCTCCAGTCGAGTCGTGTACCAGGGACCTCGGTCGGGCAGAGGCAGCCGGCCTGATCTGTCCCTGCTCGGCATTGGCAGCAGCCGCCATGAAACCGATGTGGCCGTCCTCGAACATCGCCGGGAAACTAAACAGGAACGTGAAGCGCGCCGGCTGGAGAAGGAACGGGTGTCTCGTGTCAAAGAGCGGGAGCGCAGTATGAAGGAAGAACATGTCGATGGCGGTTATCTAGTAACACAGGGTGTCTACGTGGGGACCGAGGACTTCAACAAAGCAGTTGTCCGGCAGTTGATGGTAAGTTCGCTCCTGGTCAAACATTTTACAGTCCCCGTGGTCGGCCTAGTGCTCATCATTAATTAGATTGAGCGCCGACTCGCTCCTTTCTGGAGAGGTCTGAATGACTTCTCGGAGTCTTGGGCCGAACATCAACTCATGGCCGCCGCTCGGGGTATGCCCATCCCTCCACCAGACGAAATCCCACCCGAGCTGGAGTACACACCACCCAAGGCGACGAACACAAAAGAGTCCGATGCGGCCAATATTCAACATCTCACAGTTCCCATCACATCCCGCTCGCAATCCTTGAATTCTGATGTATCACAATCCTCCAATCCTGTTCAATCATTACCGTCGGCGATATCCCCGATCGCATCGGGCACATCGACATCGCCGCTCTTCCGCACGCGGGCAAAGACTCTAGCCTCTCTCACTACCTCAAAGCATGGCTCGCAGACTGATTTGACCCCTCGGGAGCTGCAGCTTCCGCGAGACCCATTCGTCAACGGACAGCCGATTGAGGTGAACCTCTACAAGGACGCAAGCGAATGCCCCATTTGCTTCCTCTACTACCCGCCATATCTGAACCGAACACGATGCTGCGACCAGCCGATCTGCTCTGAATGTTTCGTTCAGATCAAGCGACCGGACCCTCACCCGCCAGAGCACGGAGAGCCAGACCCTAACGCTCCGGCGCCCACTGAGGGTGAACGAGTGGAACAGGAAGAAGGACAGCTCATTTCCGAGGCCTCTGCCTGCCCTTTCTGTGTTCAGCCCGAGTTTGGAGTCACCTATGCGCCGCCTACATTTCGCCGCGGTTTGACATACGCAGCCGACCCCAGTGGTCGTCCTTCTCCCAACATCAATTCCCCAGTATCCTCCACTTCCTCCTTGGTCTCGTCGAACCTTGCTCCGGCAACTGGTCGTCGCCGTGCAACGTCGTTATCCGCCACCGACCCGACTGTGGTCACCACGGATAAAATCCGTCCAGACTGGGCTCAGAAACTCGCTAATGCACGAGCACACGCGGCGCGTCGCTCTGCGGCCGCCACTGCACTGCATACTGCAGCCTACATGATGAACTCGGGATCAGGTAGCGACTCTCGCGGCTTAGGGATGGGACGACGTGGATTGCGACGAGCCACTCATGGAGACACCGGCCGGTCCGGGTCTCCCGCCCTCAATGCGCTTGCGTTTTTGACCGAGCGGCCCGATCGTACACCTCCGCGGGCGCCTGCGCCTGACGGCGATTCTGCCGAGGAAGGCGCCGGCAACATCGCGCCCCCACGCGACAGCTCGAGGCGCACTCGGATCGATGATCTCGAAGAGATGATGATGATGGAGGCGATTCGGTTGAGTCTGGCCAGTGAAGAGGAGCGGCGGAGAAGAGAGGAAAAGGAGGTGAGAAAGGAAGCCAAGCGACGGGAGAAAGAGGCCAAGAAGGCTGACAAGGTGGCTCGCAAGACCGGCTTGTACAGTAGCAATGCCAGCAACAATGTCAGCAGTGCGGCATTGGAAGTCCCTGGCGACATGTCTTCTCCCGGCAAGGTGGCCAGCAGTGCTTCTTCCACTGGCGAAGAGCCATCTGCTGCGGGTAAAGGTAAAGCAGTAGAACGACAGTCGCCCCCGGCTACGACAGATAGTGCTGGAGATCCTGATGCGGCGGCCGTTCCTGCAGACCAGTCCTTGACAGCCGAGCCCGCGCGACCATCCCACCTCCGACATGTCTCGAGTGCATCCTCGTCTTTCTCCTCGGTCATGGAAAACACCCCGGACGAGCGCCTTGGACATGCCACCACGGATGGCAGTAACACTTCGACCGAGCCAATGTTCAACTTCCGCAGCCTTGCTGCTGTCATTGGCGACGAAGAAAAGGGAAACGAGTCGGAGCATGTCGAGGACACTTCGAACCAACCTCGCGAAGAGGGATCGTCTAGTGCAACCCCCCTCGGTGCATCAGCCTGCGCCTGAATCTGCGAACCCCGAACAGGCGGCTATCTCAAAACCTCAGTCGGAAACCAAAACCGGCCCTGACGGTATCCTGCCCAAGGAACTCGAGACACGATCCGTTGAGATCACGAGCGCTTCGGCCAATACAGAGGCGACTTCATGACATTGCCTATTGTTTGCAATCGTTCCTTCCCCTTTTTCCATGTCTTTTTCAACATTACTCTCTCAACCTTTCCTGGACCCTGTGTGTGAAATTGAACCCGCATGAAATGGATTAGCTGGCGCAGTGGGGGAACTGGTAGTGGTTCTAGCATTTCATTGTCGTTTCATCGATCCCTTATCTCTTTTCCTTTCCTTGTGTGTCGGGATCCCCTTCCCATCCATAGCATCTCTTTCTAACCCCTGGCCGTCATAGAGATTTCGTTCGTCTTTGACGATCTTACTGAATATCAGCTAGTCATTCAGCATACTCAAAAATCTTTCAGGGTGTAAACGGGCATATGCCCTCCGTTACTCCGGTCCGAAACAAGGCCTTGAGTCCAGCACGCACATTACTACCACATACTAGTAGTATTATGAATAGCCGATAGATACAAGCCAGTCAGAATGCAAATGTGAAATCTCCGCATCGCATTGACCTGCAGCAACATGGCAGCAGACGCAAATGCGGGCCGGCGATGATCCCTCCTCGTGCGGGGACCCTGCGCCTGCTGATTGGGCGATAAGGGAATAAGAAAGCGCCCAACGGCCGCTAACTTGGCACAGGATGGACCATCGGAGAAACTGGGAGAACTTCGATGGTCAACTGACCCCGGGTACCCCTTGAAGTATTTGCGACTGATCTAGTACTATAGCAGTAACTACTTTGGCTATAGTTCCTTGTCTAGCAGTGTACCGCCTGACGGTGCTGAGGGCGTGCTTTCATTCTTTTATTCCCATTGGAGGGCGGTTATCTCCGAGGGACACACAACCGTGTGGCCCGAGCTCGATGCAACAACGCTGTGCGCTGGTTCGCCACTGAAAAGTTTGTTCCTTGGGCTGCCCAGGTACGCCCATAGCAAACATCACTATATTATACACCGTAAAAAATACCACAGAGAAGAAAATAAAACATTAAAAATATTTATGAGCTAATGCTAGCCTCTCGGATAGTGAAAACATCAACAAGGGATGTACGCACTCGACCATTCCGAGGGACGATTTGCCCGTAGTGGTCCTAGCGCCGGTACCGGGCCCGCTTCCGGGCCATGTTTGGTTTGGGTAATGGAAACCGCAGACTCTTTAAAGCCCTCCTCGACCCCTCCTACAACCTTTTTCCTCGACTCCTTCAACTTCACCGCTACCAACTCCCACCTTTCTCAGGGGTCGCATCTTCAACAAGGACGCGATAAACTCGTCGTGCCGGCATACTTGATCTGCTTCCGCTTCTCTGCGGCCCACGCGAGCCTCACAGAACACCTTAGCGCCAGCAGATTCCGGCTTTGCGGGGGCGATTGCCGTAAGGTCTAAACTGCTTCATTAGGACGATGGTGTTAACACCCCAGGAAAGATCTCTCCGTTCCCACGACGACAGTTTCCCTACCGTGCAGTTATTCCTCCTGTGTGAGTCTTTTTCTCTACTTTCATTTGAACCGAATGCGCTGACCGCTTCTAGCAATATGTCGCGTGGCCGAGCCGATCGCCCTCACATCCATCTTCCCCTATTCGTGGGTCATGGTAAAGGACTTCCACATGGCTAGTGGCCAAGATGCGTCTCTCTACGCCGGTATCTTGATTTCAGCCTTTTCGCTCGCCGAAGCCCTGACTGGTATGTTCTGGGGGAGTCTCTCGGATCGGCTCGGCAGGAAGCCTATTCTTCTGTCTGGCTGTTTCGGGACGATGATCTCATTGCTCATGGTCGGGTTTGCGCCGAATTTTGGAGTTGCGCTTCTTGGTCGTGCGCTGGGTGGGGCGTTGAATGGAAATATTGGTGTCATCCAGACAATGGTTGGCGAGCTGGTCAAACGGCCAGAACATGAACGTGAGTTTTCTTCTGATTACCTTGATCATGAGCGATATACTAAATTCTTTGTCATTGCAGCCAGAGCATATGCCGTCATGCCTTTTGTCTGGTCAATTGGCACCATTATCGGACCAGGTATGTTTTACATTTGATCTTTATCTATGCAGATCATTGCTAACGTTGATTCACGTAGCCATCGGTGGTTTGCTTGCGAGGCCAGCAGACGGGCTCCCATCCGTGTTCCCTCCAGAAGGTCTGTTTGGCCGCTTTCCATATCTGCTGCCCAACCTCGTCTGCTCCGTTCTCCTTCTGCTGAGCATAATTGGAGGCTGGCTGTTTCTGCAGGAAACTCATCCGGACATGCAGCCCGGGAATACTCACCAGTTCTTCGAACACACGTCGGTGGAGCAGCCGCTTCTGGCCACATCCGGAGCCACCGCCAATGCAGGAGTTGATCTCCGTGCAGAGTCGTATGGCACTTTCAATCAGGTCCATCTTCATGATGATGAGAACTGGAATGTACAGGCGGATGGGTCGTCTCCCGCTTGGAAAAAGCCGCCCAAGCCAAAAGCTTTCACCTGGAGGGTGAGCATGCTTGTCGTTGCGCTGGCTATCTTCACTTACCATTCGATGACCTATGATCACCTTCTGCCCATCTTCTTGCAGGATAAGAACCCGCGCGGTCCATTCGCTGTCCCTCACTCCCCGTTCGATATCCCGGGTGGTGTTGGTCTCTCGACTCGGACTGTCGGCGTGATCATGTCGACCGATGGCATTATTGCACTCGCTATCCAAAGCCTTATCTTCCCTGCGCTTGCAGGGTGGCTTGGGGTGTGGAAACTGTTCATCCTCGTTACGGTGCTTCATCCGATTGCGTACGTCATGGTACCCTTCCTCGCACTCCTGCCGCAGAACCTCGTCTATGTCGGCATCTATGCCTGTCTAGTCGTTCGTAATATCCTCTCCATTATTGACTACCCCGTGCTCTTGATTCTTATCAAGCAAGCCAGCCCTTCAGATTCCGTCCTGGGTAAGATTAACGGTCTGGCTGCTTCTGCTGGTGCTGCTGCTCGTACCATCGCTCCCCCAGTGGCTGGGTATTTGTACAGCGCTGGCGCTGAGATTGGCTGCACCGCTGTCGCTTGGTGGGGAAGCACCCTCGTCGCTCTACTTGGAGCGTTGCAGCTCTGGTTTATCGAACAGAAAAAGAATTCAGTGGCAACTGTTGAGGCTGGGGCCCATTGCCACTATACGCCTGTCCCCGAACAACCTAAGAAAACGGTTCATATTCTGGTGACTGATGTCGATGCAGAATGGCCCGCGTCAGAGAACCCATCCGAGAACCTCTCCGAGTCGACCTGAACTGATGCACAAACATTGGTTCGGCATTTTTGTCTTCTCAAAAAAAAGCGACGATTTACTTTTTGTTTATGATTTGCGACATGGCGATTCTTTGTCTTTTTACTGGCCAGAGCGATGGGCGTTTTTCAGCGATTACATTGCATGGCGTTGAGGATCGCACATGAGTACATAATGAATTCCTGATGACGAGAATGATACTTATTCAAATTTATTACCTTGAAATGATCCGTAGCTCGATAATTCCTTAGAGAATCGTGATGTTCACACCCCGCTCTTCCCGTTGCGGCGGTATACTTGTGGGTGTCTTCATCCCAAAAGGGTTTAGCTTTGTTTACCTAGCAACGCCGCTCTCTTACGTTTGGATCCAAACAAGAGTCTCTTAACTTCCCACAAACGGGATTCTCTTCACACAACACCCGACTCGCCATGTCGAATCCACTATCCCCCCTCTCATCTTCCTTTCAGAATGCGCGAGCCCGCTCACCGAAGACAGGCTCGTCGCCATTCCTCACAAAAACACTCGACGAGCCCAAGGCTCCAGACGCCCTCCCGTCCAGTCCTCTGAAACAAGTCTGGACCGATCGCGAAGCGCAAAGCCCGAACCCTTCCCTCTCCTACACGACCGAAAACTACAATACCCACGACATGATTGATGAGAATGAGAATGACGATTTGAATGATGATGATGACTTCCAAGACGCTGAGGCGGAACCTGAGCCTGAACCTGCGAGCTCGCCTTTCCGATTCGAAGCCCGTGATGATACGGTGGATTTCCAGAAGATGCAGGAGTATCAGCAGCAACAGAAGCCTAGGATGACTCCGAAACCTGCCATGACGCCGCGTCGGAGGTTTGAGGTTGCTGAGCCGGAGGATCCGATGAGTTCGCCTTTCCGAGCTGATGCGCGGGATGAGACGGTTGATTTCCAGCGTCTGCGTGAAGTTCAGCCTTTGTCTCCGGGTTTGGATAGACGTTTGGATGTCGAAGTCCCCGCGAGCTCGCCTTTCAGAGCCGATACGACGGATGAGACTGTTGATTTCCAACGCTTGAGCGGGGTGCAGCCTATGTCGCCGGGCTTGGATAAAAGGTTGGAGGTTGATAATCCTGAGAGCTCGCCCTTCCGTCCCGATGCGAGAGATGAGACTGTGGATTTCCAGAAGCTGCGTGAACTGCAGCAGCCGCTTTCGCCTGTTATTCCAGAGCAGCCTGATCAGCCCAAGAGCTCGCCGTTTCGCCCTAATGTGCATGAATATGTACCAGAAGAAGACGGATTCGAGTCGAACGAGCTGGTTGAGGCCCCGCCTTCGTCTATTGGACGGGACAAACACTCTCCTCCACCTGTTGCGCACAGCTCGTCTCTTCGGACCGAGGTGAATGAGGATGTGCCTGAGGATATACCCGCAGAGGTTGATACCCAGGATCTTGTGCAAGGATTTGGACAGTCTATTGGGCGTTTGAAGCATTCCCCTCCTCCTGTCGAGCCCAGTTCGCCTTTCAGGCCGGAAGTGCACGAGGATATACCGGCAAATGTACGCGAAGAAGAGGAGAACATCGAGGCTCAGGAAGTTCAAGAGGCACCACTTCAGTCCATCGGACATGTCAATCACTCTCCACTGCCTGTCGCAGACGGATCTCCGCTCCAGAGCAATGAACAAGAAGACAAGGTCGACTCGGAAGAGATGCACAAAACCCCTGGCACGTCGATCGATCGTGTCAAACACTCTTCTCCGATCCCTATTCGCAAATCGCCACTTCGCCAAAGCACACAGGAAGAGTCTATCAGTGTTTCAAAGTTTCGGTCATCACGACGCTCAATGCCACGCACGTCTCTTGGTCTTGATGGTGCCTCAATTGCCGCTACGCCTAGAAAGCGTTCATACGACCAGACACCACAAGGCTTGGAGGAAGGTACGAAGCCTCAGGAACCCTGCAAGAAGGGCATGACAAGTCGTCCCGAGGGACCCGAGATCCACGTTGATCTCGATGAAGGCTCGAGTGTTATTAACAATGAAAGCGAGTTGTCTATAACGAGCGCCATTAAAGACCGGTCAACCATTGGAAACAGTATGATGGAGGACAAACGGAACGAGGGCATGTCTACTGTCCTCCATGACGAAGACAACTCTGGATCGGATGAAAATTCTGGACTTGGTGAAGATTACAACGATTCGATGGACGATACGGGTCTGAGCACTTTCTCAGTCTTGCCCGATATGACCTCCTTCGCGAAGCTTCGAGCCGAGTCTCCTCTCAAGTCCATGCGCGGCAGCGTTGGTCCGGACTCTGCTCATCGAGGTGACATGTATCGACGAAGCGCCGATCCCTCTACCCCCGGCACTGCACGACGGTCTTACCGGGCTAGTGCTCTACTTGATACTGGTTCGCCTGTTGGATCACCCACACCCAGGCGTCGGACATCCCGGGACATTGGAAACCCCCGTGAAACGCCCAACCTGTTGGACTTTACCGATTCGATGAATTTCTTCCCCCATCAGTCAGCGCAGCAAGGTGGGCGCTATTCTCCTGCTCGACGCTCGCCCATGCGGCCCATGCGACAGTCTATTAAATCGCCGTCAAAGTTTTCTTCGCTCCTAGACCTGGACTTTGAGATGGCGCCTGCGCCGACACCTCGCTCTCTCCCCAGCATTACACCACGCGAACTGGAGTCGTTGAAGTCAGGATTCATGTCGGAGATTTCATCACTCAAGGCTACGCTGAGTGGCAAGGATGCGGAGGTTGCCAGCTTGAAGACGGCTATTGCCGACGCCGAAAGACGCGTTGGAGAAGCGTTGGAAGAAGTCCGCAATGAGGCTGCTCGAAGAGAGACTTTGGAGATGGAACAGGCTGAATGGGATCGCCGAGGAAACGAAATGGAAAGTGTTCTCCGCACCGTCCGCTCGGATTTGGTCGAAGGTGAACGCGAGCGCGAGCGTCTCACCCGCAAGGCGGAGGAAGCCGAGAAGAGCAAAGAACAATTGGAAGGCCGAATCGTCGAGCTTGAGAGCCAACTATCCGCTGCACGCAAAGCGGCAACCTCAGACAATGGATCCGCGTCCAGTTCCCGCCAGGCCTCCCAGTCAACTCAGGATACTGCTCGTGAGGTGCAGGAGGCCGTTGAGAAGGTTGCTCGGGAACTTCACACTCTGTACAAGGGCAAGCACGAGACCAAGGTTGCGGCGCTGAAGAAAAGCTACGAGTCGCGCTGGGAAAAGCGTCTGCGTGAGGCGGAGAAGAAGCTCGCGGCTGCGAATGAAGAGAATGTTCGTCTGAGAGATGAGCGTGATTCGGCACAGTCGGATAATGCGGCCGCCGCCAACGCGAGCATGATCGCTCGTGAGAATGACGATCATGAGGCTGAGAAACGCGTCTTCGAAGCTCGGATTCAGGGTCTCCAGCATGAGATGGCTTCTTTGAAGGAAGATAGCGATCGACTCCGTTCTGAACTCAAGTCTGAGCGTGCCGAGAAGGGCGAACTTGTCGCTGCTGTTGATGAGTGGTTGGCTATGCAACAGTCTCAACCTGGCCCTGCCCCGGCGCAAGATACTCGTGAAATGTCTGTTTCTTCTGCCGGCCCTGCTGAGGAGGAGTACCTTTCTGCTGGTGAGCAGACGGAGAATCTTCGTCGAAGTGTCCGGTCTGGCTCTAGTGGGATCCGTCCCCCTGCCACGGGCGAGAAGAGGAAGTTGCCCCGGTTTGGTGCTCCCGGTGGTCATTCCAGGGGAAATAGTGGAGGCAAGTCTGGGATTGCGGTGTTTACGCCCGGACGTGGTGGGATTATGAGTTCGATTGAGAGGATGGGTCGGGGTGGTGTTTAGATGGTCGTCTGCAGTGGTCTTGGAAGTTTGACGGACGAAAATCCATGCAAATTTCTTGCTCGTCTTTGGTTTTGTTTCTTTTCTTTTCTTTTTCTTTTTTGTACGAGTTTGATTCCCCAATCGCGGATGTGATTAGTTTTCGTTACGACGTTCATGCTTACCTTATGTGCTATGAGATTGAATTGAGATTTCTCACTACTAGCTTTTACAAGATATGTAGTGTCTATTGTACAAACCTCCTCGGATTGTTAAAAAGGTGACGGTAACACTGCCACCTCAGGAAGCGATCGGCTCCCGGAGAACCCTGATTGCCCACCTCCGATGCTCCAGCTCGCCGACGTCCGTCTTTCTTTCTTTGTTTGACTTCCTCCCAAGGCATCCCAAGGTAAGCGCGTTGCTGCCTACGACCGTTCCTAGGAGCCCGGGCGAAGAATTGACCGTGTGTCATCATGCTTCTACTCTCTAATGCTTACGTTCGAGCTCACGGTTTGCCGACCATAACCTGCCGTTCTGTATGAGGAATGAATCTGCCGTGAACTCACTCTCTGTTGCCTTTCTCTGCTTCACAATGGTACTGCATGCTTTACTTGACCGAACTCTAAAAGGCGAATTTTCGTTGCTGTCTCTGCCTCTATGCTCTGGATTAGTTCAGCCCTAGGACTGTCATTCATCACTATTCTAGCACAAATTCAATGACGTATTCGTTATATTTACCCTATATAGAGCAGCTAGGAAGGCGTTGATAGTCTGCTAAAGTATAATTACGATTCAATAAAATGTAGGTGATGCTCCGTGTTAAAGCAAACCCACGATAATTGCTATTTCGGATCATAGGGCCTTGGACTATTTGATCATTTCTTATATGATAGTCATTCGCACACTGAGCTTGCGATGCATGGTCCAGTGATAGATCAACTTAGGTCCACCGGAGATGACGGTCCGAATATTAAGCCAAAATTAAAAATGATAAAAGAATATCGCCGATACGGTCGCGTTGGTTGAGCGATCATTGCTGGGGGGAAGTGGAGCTTCCCCGCACGGGGGTACAAAGTAAGTCAGACTGAATACTCTTCGTTTGTTGGATGGATGATAAAACGACGTAGCCACGTGTTGGGATTCCGGTGAACTGAGACATTGAACCATACTCAGGGTTGTTCTCTTTGGCTGAAATATGAACGCGCAAAACATAGCAACGAGAATGCCTTGTTGAATAATCTTAGAGGGGATAGAGATAATTCTACTTTTTGTCTACCGCCACTGTAAATAAAAAGAGCGAATCTGCTCTGTGTCCAATCCTGATCATGTTCCCTTGGTAGCATGGCTAATTGATAATTCAGGTTACCGTTGGGAGATCACGTAGCTACACTATCGCGATTCACGAGCAGTGGCACTGCCGAGCCCAAAAACACTCAATATTCAAGGCATTTCTCTGATTGGTATCCGCTTCCTGAAACCCCTTCGAATGGAGGAAACGGAGCTTCATAGATTACATGCAGAAAGCAGAACCCTTTGCGATTCCCAGGCCCCGATTTCTACACATGTCCGGTCTCCGCTTCTCCAGTCACTCCACAACTCCGGTCTTCCCATGTCCGGTCCTCTTCATGTCCGATCTTTGGGACCTTCGACCAATCTACGTGCTGTCTTTCCATCTAATAACCCTGGCTCTAAACAACTCGGTCGGAGGGCCCTAGATAGAAAGCATCAACGCAGGCGGCTTCGTTCCAACCTTCCTCTCATGAAATCAGCCAAATGCATTTACCTACCCTGAAGCAACCACTGAGACTCATCCGCCCGCCGTGTATCTGGACACCGCTTGGATATGAGGGCCAGAAGGTGAGGTCAGTTTTCGAAACCCGGCTCTGAGCATCACGATCGTACACAAGACTTCAGATTGAAGGCCGTCCTGTAGTCTCTTTTTCTGCATTAATATGTGCCTCACACTCAACTAGCATTCGGCTAGTTCCGAACACACGGCCTCTCTTCTCGACTTTCCGTGATGTAGGCCTTGTCTGATCGTAGTCATCCTGGTCGTAATTTTAAGGTAAAAGAGAATCCTAATCTTCTTGCCCATACGGAGAAATTGCGCCATTTACATGGCTGCTTTTCTACTGCCTTCCAATTGATGTCAGTAGAATTATAGAATTCCTCGAAATCTCTCAAGGACTTGGGTTGACTGACACAGTAACAGCAGAACACGAGACCTCTTCCATCCCATAAGTCTGCAGAAAGGTTCCTTGCTGGTCATGATTGATTGAATGGTGCGATAATCTAATGGAAAGTAGTGAAAGTCGGTACTCAACACCCGCCCGTCTGATTTTGCGATTTCAAAGGATAATGTCCAACCAAATATCCTGGTGAAAGTCTGATGCCTCAGCTTCGAAGAGCACTCACTATACAGTCGTGATCCGGCTTTGAGGGGGGGTCCTGGGCGCGTTGGGGGTCAAGTTCTAGGCGGCATTCCCCGCCAGGTATTCTATACGCGTCGGATATATGCCAAAGAAATGATCTTAAACACTGTTATGGAAGATGCCTCGTTATTATGTTAGCTACATTCCAAGGCTATATCCTAAGAATGGCAGTCTATCATCAAAAATTAGGATGATGAGCAACTATAAATTCTGCAATTCTGAAGGTCGCTTCACAACAGTCATCATGTGATAAATTGTTAATAATTCCTTTTTCTCGAACACCAAGTATTCCAAAGGATTCCGACACCAAAAATGGGTTGCTTCTAGGATGCCAGATTGGTGGGCGCAGAACATGCTTAGGTATCGACGGGCACGCCGTCGGGATACCTTCCACCAGCCACCTCGAACTTGTCCAACGTCGCATCAAAGACATTCATCTCCTCATCGGTGAGATCAATTTGCTTAGCATTTTCGCACACCTTGGCAGCGGACGTGCCTCCCGGGATGGGGATGATGGTAGGCATCCCCGGGCGGCGCTGTAGAGACGTGACCCATCCGAGGGCGAGCTGAGCGGGGGTGCAGCTCCTCTTGGTGGCCATTTCCTCAACCTGCTTGACCAGCTGAAGGTTGATATCAAAGTTTCCCGTCTGGAAACGGGGCAGGTTGCGGCGAGAATCGGATTCAGGGGTGTCGTCGATGGTCTTGACCTGACCCGCGAGTAGGCCCCTGCCGAGGGGCGAGTATGCAATCAAGGGGATTCCGTACATGACACAAGCCTCGGCCACGCCATTCGTGAGGACGTCGGTGGAGAAAAGGCTCAGTTCGACCTCAACACCGACAATCTTGGTAATCTTCACGGCTTCGTGAATGCTGGCGGCTGAGGTCTCAGAGAGACAGACACCGCCAACTTTACCGGTCTGGACGTACTCCTTTTCAATGACGCCAAATTTCGTCTCGAGAGGCACCTTGGGGTCGCGACGAGCGCACTCGAAAATATCGTGCTTCTTCCAGCCCTTGAGCTGAGCGAGGATAGAGTCGAGGGAGTGGCGGATGTACTGGGGCGAGCCGTCTGGTTGCATATTGGGCCGGAAGACGCCCTTGATGCTCAGGTCGACCTTGTCGGCATCCTAGGGGTACTTTTCAAAGTAGGCCGCCAAGAGGGTCATGCTGTTGACCTCCGGGGTGCCGTAGAAGTCGCCTCCATTCCAAAATGTCATGTTGCCGTCGATGGCGGCGCGCAGGGCCTCAAATGCCTGCTTGTGGGCGATGGGATCCTTGCGCCAGGTAAAGTTCATCAGCCCATAGCCTCGAGGTCCTACGTGGCGTCCCACGATCTCAATCATGACGTAGTGCGATGCAGAGTGTGACAGCTTGAAATTCTGGGTATGTGCGAAGGGTGGTTATAGCTGTTGTTGGGCTTCTGCTGTGGCGGGAGTATGCTGGTCAAGAAGTCTAATGAAAGAAGTACAGACGATTAGGTCAGAATACTTCGGCACATTAGTTTGTCACCCGGTTGGCAAGCGGTATTTTCTGACCTCTTGCCATATGAAAAAACCTTTCCTAAAAGTGACCAGTTAGCAACGCGTAATTAAACCGCGTCGTTAGTCCAGTGGAAAGTCTGGTGAAGTTCGGGTTCCTTTGCCACAGGGGATCCAGTGGGCATGACGACAGTCTCGGCGTCATTGTAAATCTCGTTGGAATCTCTTGGCTATAAAATACGCGGTTCGTCTGCGTGACCATAGTCAAAACCCGGGGAAGCTTCACGGGATTGGTCTTCCACAGTGCCGGATGTACGGGTCTACTGGAAATAAGAGGCAAAAGACTTAAGGCCGGGGATTTTTGGCTCAAGGAAGACACAACTACTCCAGGAAAAAGAATGTTATCTTTTCAGGTATACTAGCTCATTTACCATAAACGTATGGTTAATCTTTCATCGTTTGTTCCTTCTGCTCTGCAATGTATCATTTGTTTCGCTGATCAGAGCGACTCGCATGGATCGCAGCTGGTTTATGCTGCAAATCATGGCTGCTATTTCTAGCCTCGGACAACGCCTCGCGAGCAATCTTCTCGCGCTCCTCCTCAGTGGCATCGTACCAGTGGGATACGACATTCTCTGAATCGCCAAAGAGAGCACCAATCTCCTCCAAGGTGCGTCCCTTGGTCTCCGGGAAGAGAAAATAAATGGCGGAAATCTCCCGGCATCTCTTCAACCCCCAGGTTTGAAGGTAAACGTCGGCACAGGGTCCACCATCCGTCGGCCATTCGGACACGGGATGGCACCCGCACCGGCCTCATGACCCCGAAATGACCGGACAATACGTATGCAAGAGTTGCCGGATAAACACCTCAGGTACTTCCTGGCAGTAATTGCCAACTTTGAAAATATCCCCGGTGCTCGCGTAGATCACGCACCGCAGATCAGCCGGGTAACCAGATTACTGTACCTAGGGCAGATGGACCTCGGCAAAACGAAAATCGGGATGAGTCAATCATATGCGGACTGGACTTTCGATGACGTAGATAGAATCTACTACGATGGAATTGAAAGTGATGATTGGAGGATTTGACAAATGGATTGAGTGCGTTTGCGCACTGAGACCCGGAGGGTAGTAGAAGACAATATTATCACAACGCTCGGGACAATAACCCAAAAACATCCAAGGTAAAAAAAAGAAACATGCCGAAGAAGCACTTTCCCAGCATTCATCAAAGGCCGTAACAAGCTTAATCGCAAATCAAGTCGCAGCAACCACAATCAGATCGTAGGGTAGGGTTTACTTCCTAGCGACCTGCTTTGGCCCAAGCACATCATCCAAAAATCCCGTCCACAACTCACGCACAACACCCGATTCTGTCGAGGTCTCCCCATTCGTCCGGCGGTTCATCTCCTCACCAACGCGCGAGCGACCAACAGCCTCGGTCAGCGAGAAAGGGTCGATATCGACGGCATGGTTGTCCACGACCTCGGACATGGGGCTGGCCGCGACGTCGGCGCCGGAGCCGGCAACGGTGTAGATCTGCGGCTTCATGGGTGGGGCGGAGGGTGTGTCGGCGGGTAGGGAGTGCATGTCGGGAAGGACCGGGATTTGGGGGGATGTCCACCTGACGGAGGGAGTTTCCATTTCGGACATTGTTGGCATGTAGATGAAGTCGACGGGGGAGGTGTCGCCGACTGCACTTGAGGAGCGGGAGGTGTTGAATTGGCGGGTTCTGGAGGTGGGTGTTAACATTAGCTGGGGTTCGATAAGACGGGGTGGGTGGAGCGGGTATAGATGAGGCTATGCTTGGGTTCTGTAGATTGGAGACATACTCAGAGAAAGCATTGGGGTTAATGCGGCGCATGGCGATGCTAAAGGCGCGGGTCTGCAGGGCATCGTGGTTGGAGAGGCGCTCAACGAGCTACATCGAGTTAGCGATGTGACTCATACACGATTGTGAGAAAGGTTAATTACCTCCGACTTGCTGCCAGCAGCACGGATGGAGCGACGTTGGCACTCGAGCTTCAGGTCGGGCAGGCTGCGAGCCGCATACATAGAAGCCTTGTCGGCCGGGTTGGCGGGTTGGGCGGACTGGACGCCGGTGATGTGCAGGCCACGACGGGCAGGAGCAGCGGAATGCTGGGAGAGCTGGCGCAGGACGCGGAGAGAGGTTGAGCGGGGGGCGGCCATGTCGTGTTGTAGGGCGGTGTATAGGGTAGGTAGCTCGGATGAGATGAGATGGAAGGTGGAAGGCGGAGACGGGGTGTGTTATATAGTACGGGCAGCACCGTAGAGCAGGGAGAAGTGGGAAATCACGGAAGGGGAGAAAGCACAACAGTTCCCTTTATAGGCGGGAGTGTACTCGAGTGTACTCTGTACTTCGGGGAACTTTGGGAATCGTTGGGGAGAGCTATGAATCCACTCTTGGCGGTCTGGGCTTATCGATACCCACAACATTATTCCAGGCACTGCACATCGTCGCGAGTCTTGACGTCGATGACACGAAATTCAACATTATATCTTCATGTACTGAGCAAGCTGAGCTGATAGCGACCCTGACCAGAACTGAAGAGGGGTTGCACAGGCTGTCTCCGTCGTCACCACTTGATACCCAGTCCTCGATGTACCGTGAAGTACCGGGTACCAGCCATGCGGGACACCATCTACCCCGTATCCACCAGCACACCCGCCCTGCGCGTACCCGATACTTTGGAGTACCTATCTTAGGGTAGGGTACATCGGAGTCTGGCGTTCCCTCCGCGATCTTCCCTACTGTCCCCGGCCATTGGCTCCTTTCCCGTCCGGCCTGCACGATGACTGCGTCATGCCCGCTGGAGAGAACGGGAAAACCCTCCCGCAACTTATTGCCCGCCTGTGACTGGTTCCCGCCTGCAACACATTCTCACCAGCTAATTCTCCCCCTCTCTTTCGAGAAGGACTGGGAGGGTGGATCGTCTGCAAAAATAGGACCACCACCCGTGCGTGGCGATCGCTCAACACTGGTCCCATGACTCGACTCAGCGGTGAGACACTAGCTCGCTCAAGTACCTCAAGTACTCTACGTACAATGCACATAAGAAAGTCTAGGGGTAATTCAGGCAGCGGCATACGGCTTGGGAACCGGTGAGCCACATGCATACTACCCTATACCTCCGAAGGGTACTGTAAGTAAACGAGTCCTGTGACCCCTTTCAAAGCTTACGGATCCCCCGGATCCACGATCCACGATCAATGATCACCCGACCGTGGCGCAGTCCAGCATTGCAATGTTCCCCATCCACTACCGCCACTACGGAGCATAGCCAGGGGTAGCGTTGTAAGGGCCGGCTGGGCAGGTGTCACACCATGCTTGGCGGCATTCCTACCCCTGCATTGACATTGATTCAGGGGATGAATATTCCGCAACGTTGGGATGTTGAGATACCTTATTTTAGCTAAATGGTAGGGAATTACGTTGTCACTGCTGTAGAACTGACGGTCCATGGGCCTGACCTGGTGGAGATTGAGTCCTTTAGAAGTGATAAGATGTCAATTCTAGATCTTGCCTATTTCTATCATATCTCTACCAATCTAGATATCTGCTCAGATAGCCATTGGCTCCCCAGTGCGAAGGCTACAGCTTGGAACCCCGCCCTTTAGCTATGGCCCGAGCGTACGGGTGCGAGCCCGTGGCCGGAACCAGGTGGTCGACATCCCCGGTGTGCAGGAGGTCCGGCGAAGCTTGATCCAACGAGGTGATGCCGATATTGCGCATCGCCGTTTCCAATTCGTCTTGCATAACTAGAAGGGGTCAAGTTAGCACCTCTAACAAGCTGAGCAGAACCGAGAACACATACTGTCGACCAAATGCTCAACACCCTCTTGTCCGTAATTCGTCGCAAAAAGCATACTCCTCCCCATCCCCACAGCCGTCGCCCCAAGACAAACAGCCTTGAGAATATCCGTCCCCCGCCGGATCCCACTATCCACATACACCTCCATCCGACCAAAAACCTCCGGACACCGGCGCTGGATCTCAAGAAGCGTAATAATGGAAGGCGGACTGGTATCCAGATTCCGGCCGCCATGGTTACTGAGCAAGATCCCATCTAAACCAGCCTCCATCGCCATCCGTGCATCATCCGCAGACATGACACCCTTCAGACAAACCGGTTTGTGGGTATGCTGTCGCACCCATTTGAGATCTTCCCAGGTGAGTCCCGGGTCGATGAACCCGGCCATCACGCGGCCGAGACCACCGCCCTTCTTGTCGTTTTGGGCTTTGGAAGGCGACATCGGTACGGAGAGGCTCTCGTCGGCCTTGACTCGTTCGTCGGCTTCTCGCTTACCGGGCCACGCGGCGTCGACGGTGACGAAGATGGCTTTGATGTTCGGGTTCGCGGAGCACTGCCTGAGCAATGCGGCGGATTTTTCGCGGTCGCGGTTTACGTATAGTTGGAAGAAGAAGCTGGCGGTGGGTGCGGCGATTCGGAGTTCGTCCATGGTGAAGGAGGAGTTATTCGAGATCTAACAAGAGTGAGCAAAGACGACCGTATCGTAAAGATTCAACACATACACCCTGTATAATCCCCTTGCTCTCACAAGCCCGCGCAATAGCACACTCGCCATCAGGATGAATCAACTTCGCCATCGCAGCGGGACTAACAAAAAGCGGCAAATTAAAATCACCACCGAGAATCGTCGTCCGGGTTTCAACGTCCCGCACATTTCGCAGCACCCGCGGCCGAAACCATATCCTATCAAAGCAGGACTTGTTCGCGTCACGCGTGATCAGATCTGTCGCGGCGCTGGAGTAAAACGCCCACGTTTTCTTGCTGGCGGTTTTGGAAGCCACGACTTCGAAGTCGTGCGAATTGATCAGTGTTCCTAGTGGGGGCTTCTCGTTGTCTAGTAGTACCTTTGGACTCTTGTCGGGTGCTGGCTTGATCCAGTCTTCGTCGATTGTCGATTCGTCCAGCACGCCTTTGAATTTGTCGGGTCGGAGGTTGGTTTTCATTACACTCGGTGCGTGGACTTCTGAGTAGGCTTCTGTGGCGTCGTGGCCGGCGTATTTTAATATGACTAGTACACCCCAGCGTCAGTTCGTCATTCCCTTGGGCGATGAGGTCCCTGATCAACGTACTGGTCGAGCCACCGGGATGCTCCTCCAGAAAATCAGTTACGTCCCACACCTGGTTATCCACGACGACCCAGCAGTCATCCGGCGAATTGTGCTCTGAAATCTGCTTTGCCGACAGAAGCTTCTGGTCCGCCATCTTTATGAGCGAACTTTTGATCAATATCCGCGAATTTCCAAGTTTGCGTTTCTCAGGTAGCGACCGGGCCAGCGAGGGCGAGAATGACAAGACTCAAAGCAGGTGCGCAAATGGTCGTGACGGGCGCGGCTCGATATTTAAAAGTGGAGGAAATTGGCCAGCCAGAGACGGCCAAATACTCAGCAAAGGCCTCTTCGCATGGGTGGAGGCGCCCTTATCACGGTGGCTCTCCGTGTAGTGACGAGAATGTCTCCACCACGGCGATGTCCCCGGCCTTACCCCGGACTCCTGGCTTCGGGTCAAGTTGTACCGATTTCTTTTGTTACATGCTATTTTATTGGCTGAGCCTCGATCCAGCGGTTCCTGATGACGATCTGCTCGTTCTTTCACACTGCAAGCCATCTGTGATCATTAGATCTGGAGATACCCAGCTAAGGTACGTTCTTCAAGGGCAAAAAAGAGGGCATATACTTCAAAACCCAACACGCATACCGGCACCCACTTTCCCCGCTGCAGTTCAGTCGATCCCTTAAGACGTGCAACGAGCGACGAGCGAGTTTACCACTAGCAACAATTGTCCTCGGCGGACCCCCGACTCCAACGCGGCTTTCTCTCCGGATCCCCTGCCCCAAATGATGACTAATATTGTCTAATTGCGCCACGTTTGAAGCCACAGCTGTGGCTGGTGATATCCGCGGGTGAGTCAACAAAATCATCAAACTTTGGACAACTTGTCGGTGTTAGGCATTTGGAGTAACGGCGCATCAGATCTCTGCGAGACCCTGTTTGATCTCATGCACATTCTGCCCACGGGACGTGGTGCCTTGTCGACTGTTACCAGGACCGGTACATCCATCATTGTTGCGAAAAGCTTTGTAGGCGCTTCCGTCGCGTGGACCCGCCCAACTTTTGTCCGTTATAGTTCTTGTGAGTGTGCTTCAAGTCTTCTGAGGCTGTTTTTTCTGTCTTAGGCTACAGTTTGGGTTGGAACATGGGAAAGTGGACATGAAAAGCTTACAATTGTTTCAGTCTTCCTTCGAAAGCACAACCTAGCTTCTTCGCACCCTCGGCCAGCGCTAGTTGTCAATATTTCTCCATTCTCGACATTTGCGAAAAAGCTATATCAAGCAACCATGACTGAAGCGGAATCTACCAAACCGCTGCGATATGTCGATGTAAGTTATTTCACCGAGCGGGGTCTCCTACCCGCAACAAGACAGAAACTAACTTATATCAGATCGGCATCAATCTGAGCGACCCCATGTTCCAAGGCCACTACCACGGCAAAAAGGCACACGATGGTGACCTCGACGACGTCATTCAACGCGCCAAAGACATCGGCTGCGAAAAGTTCATGGTAACAGGCTCCGACCTGGAAGAATCACAAACAGCCATCCAAATTGCGCGAGACTACCGTAAGTTCGTCCCATAACACCAAACCAGTCACCCACTAACAACACCCAGCGGGATTCTGCTACGCGACCGTCGGCGTGCACCCATGCCAAGCAAAACTCTTCGACGAGTACCCAGGCGGCCCAGAAAAAATGATTTCCGAGCTACGCAAACTAGCCGTGGAAGCCAAAGAAGCCGGACTCGCCGTTGCATTCGGCGAAATCGGCCTCGACTATGACCGTCTCTTTCACAGCCAGAAAGAGCCGCAGCTGAAGTACTTCGAGGCGCAGCTAGATCTGGCTGTTGAGATTCAAATGCCTTTGTTCTTGCATTCTCGTGCGGCGAGCGAGGACTTTGAACGACTTCTTTCTTCGCGGTTGCCGAGCTTGCCGATGGGTGGTCTCGTGCATAGTTTTACGGGGACGATAGAGGAGATGCAGAGGCTTGTTGAGCTGGGTGTTGATATTGGGATTAATGGGTGTAGTATGAAGACTGAGGAGAATCTTGAGGTTGTGAAGGCTATACCGTTGGAGAGGCTTCAGATTGAGACGGATGGGCCTTGGGTATGCAGCGTTGATTTTCTGGTATCTTGCGGTGGGATGTGACTGACTTGGTTTTTCTAGTGCGAGATTCGACCTTCACATGCCTCGGCCAAGTTCCTGCAAGGCGCACCGGAACTGCCCAAGTCTGTTAAGAAGGAGAAGTGGCAGAAGGGATTTATGGTTAAGGGGCGGAATGAGCCTGTTGCTATTGTGAGGGTTGCGCACGTTATTGCTCAGGTGAAAGGGATCTCTGTGGAGGAAGTTTGCGAAGCGTAAGTTTGATTGCCTGAGTTGACGTTTCATCTGCTAACCATTTTATAGGGCTTGGAATAACTCAGTCAAGATGTTCGGGCTTGGGATCCAGTCTTAGTTCTTTTTCCGAGGGATGCTATCTGCTTATTCAAAAGTTGAGGCTGGACTCTCCGATGAAATTGAGCTTTCTTAGAGGTAGCTTATGATAGAGACGCATATTGATAGACTAGAATTGATATTCTCTATGGATATTGAGAATATATCAGCATATAACATATCTGCCATTTCGATAACAGATCCCCTTGCAGATACCGGTCCTGGGAATCATGGTATTCCATACGATTCTCATGAGTTGACATAGCACCGCACCGTGTGGTTAATTCCATATCCTCTGGGTTAATTTTCAGGAAACTCAAGAACGGAAAAACGTCCCTCATCTGAAACAGGATCCGAAAGAAGCATGTTGGGTGAACTGCACGGGGACCGAGTCCGAAGAGGTTGGCAACTTGTAGGAATGCTGAACGTTGTTGCTGGACTCGAACTGGAGATATCGCGGAAGCTCGATTCGCTGTCCATTTCCATACATATTTCTTCCATCAAGTCATTCAATTCCCCGGTCATTTCTTGAGATGTATTTGCATAAGTAGGTGGGAAAAGGTCATCATAATCGTTGACTTCCAAGACTTCATCGAGGTCCTTTGAAAATTCAAATAGCATACAAATGTCTCCGTCGTCGTCTGGATCTGTACTCATCGACCCAGAAAAATCAGGGAAGAATGAAGTTGTCAGTCTAGGGGCTTTCATCTTTCGGAGCTTTGTTTGGGAGATACGCCACAAAGATGACTTTATGGCATCATTCAAGCTCGGTCCAGAAGAGGTAGGTGTTGAGTCGATTAGCGAAGTGTCAATACGGCGCAACAAGTTTTTCATCTGGTCTGCTATATCAGGGCTCCGGCTGCCTTCAATCATCGAAGCTATGGCCTTGGAGATGATCGGAATAGAGACACCTCGTTGATCCATTGCCTTGGGGGTTCCATCAGCGGATGTCAGTTTCAAGAACGTTGAAACTTACTTGACGATAGCTCGGGCTGAGAGCTGCTGGAGCTAGCTCGTGCACTTTGCCCAAACGACCATCGCCAACCATCACTATTCGGGAAACCTTCTTCGAGGCTGGAAGAAGAAGTCTCTGAAGACCAGCATCCAGCAATCTGTAGAGAGACATGGAGTGTTTCTCAGCCCCTTTGTTGTGTGGTATTGAATGCTGTTGCATGGGATTGACAAAATCGACGAAGCCATCCAAGTTCCTTTCGCTAAATACCTGGCTTGAAAAATTTTCCGCCTCGTCACATTTATTTTCAAATCCTGGTGGAAATGCGTAATGTAGGTGTATATCGATTGCGGCCAGGGTCGCCGATGGGACGTCCGGCGGCGGATGAGCACTGGGTGGGTTCTTCAGTATCGATGGCAGCTTTCGGCGAGATGACTGGCCCGGTGTAGAAACATCTCTGCAAATCCCGAATGTGAGGATGCTACTCATGAAGCCGTTGTCGTTGTTGGAATAGTCGCAACTCTTGAAGATGATCGTGAATCCGAGATCCGGCCAGACCTAGATCAAACACAAACAATGGCGGGTCAGAACCATGGCAAATAACAAGTGGAATGAATAATTGAGACGTTATATACCTTCGAGCTGCATATGGCGTTTTCTATACTCGTGACAAATATTGTCAAGGTCCGCTCCAGACATGGAGTAATGTCGATGTCGAAACGAAGCTCGATCTCCGGTGCTTCGGTGACCCACGCTGTCAACAGTTCGGGCAGCTGGGTCTCATTAAACCCTGAGCTCTCGAAAGGGGAAACCATCGGGCGTTTGAATCTTCCGACAGCGGTGAATTGTACCTGTAATTGGGAGGCTGGGTCCCCAAAAACGGCGTGTCCCAGGTCGACCTTGTGCGACATGTCAAGGGCTTTGAATTGTCGTTCTGATGAAGCTCAAAGCAGCCCAAAATGGCCAGCCATAAAACACTCAACTGCTTTGAAGAACCTGTAATCGAGAAAACGCAACCACGACACTTATGAAGCATTGGTCACTCCAAATGTCACTACGCCGAATTGTGCTGAGCGGAAGGACCGTGGTCGGCGGGAAAAAATGCGGCACATGATGTCCGCCCACAACAAATATATCTCCCAGATCTGAGTGAACAGCATTGAACCACATCGTACCCTACCATAAAATCCATTGCTCGTAGTGCTTAATTCAAGTCATTAAAAGCACTCAATTTGGTTATTGTGAGTCTGGCACATTCGATTTTTGGACCGATTTATTTTTAGAACGCGTATAGATCTGTTTCTTTTGCCCGGCTCGGCACACCTAGGTACAGTGTCAAATTGTCCCCACAGCACTGAAGGAATGGCCCACGTCATCCGTTCAACGCAGACCCGATCGCAAGACAAAGCGAGCTTTCTCACTTTCACATAATCGCAGAGGCTCCACATTTTGATAGAACCAGCCCTCCAGCGCTTGCACGTCAAACGTTGCTGGCAGAGCCGCGTTATCAACTAAAGAGCTCTTATCGACACATCACGTGCCGCTGAGCAGGTGGCCTAAAAGGACCGAGCGACCTTGCTTTAGCTCTCACGGTCAACGATGCCCGGGGATGAGGGAAACAATGGCCTCATATCTGGTCAAAATGGCCAGTACGAGCATGAATCCCAGAATCTCCTGTCCAGCCCACACGAAGAGTCCGACGACCCCATGGTTTACCCCGGATCAGCCAACTCGCCCGCGACACCCGCGGACAACGCCCGACGCGCAAAGCGCCAATCCTCCATATCGCAGCCTGCCCCGGACGGACAACGCCGTACCCCGCGCACAACAAATCGAGTTCGATTTAACCTGGACGAGGAGACAGAGGACGAAGGCTACCCCAATGGCCACGTCCGCAGCTCGGAGGACACACGATGGCTAGACGAGGAGGACTATGAGCTCGGCGAGCAGGGAAGAGCTGGCGGCATACGCAATACAGGCCAGAGTGTTCCTCTGCTCACCAATATCGAAGCCCCCAGTGTGACCCTCGCAACCTCGGACGACTTCTTTCCCGAAGACCACCTGGAGAACGCGCGGCCGCGCAGTGGAATGAAAATGGCGTTTATGAATATGGCCAACAGTATTATCGGAGCAGGTATTATCGGCCAGCCCTATGCTTTGCGCCAAGCAGGCATGGTCACTGGAATTCTGTTGCTGACCGCATTAACCGTTACCGTTGACTGGACCATCCGCCTGATCGTCGTCAATTCGAAGCTGAGCGGGGCCGATTCCTTTCAAGCGACTATGCAATACTGTTTCGGCAAAAGTGGGCTCATCGCGATCTCTGTTGCTCAATGGGCATTCGCCTTCGGCGGCATGATCGCATTTTGCATCATTGTCGGTGATACAATTCCTCACGTTCTGGAGGCTTTGTTTCCGGCCCTTCGCGACATCCCTTTCCTCTGGCTACTTACCGATCGACGAGCGGTGATTGTGCTTTTCGTTCTGGGTGTTTCATATCCTCTGTCCTTGTACCGGGACATTGCAAAGGTGAGAACGCTTTTGAAAATTCTACCCCATGCCGTTCTAGTAGAGACTGACACCCTCTTGATAGTTAGCAAAAGCCTCGGCACTCGCTTTAGTCAGTATGACCGTCATTGTCGTCGCAGTCATCACACAAGGCTTCCGAGTTCCTTCCGAATCGCGAGGTGAAATCAAGAGCCACCTCGTCATCAACTCTGGATTGTTTCAGGCAGTGGGTGTGATATCTTTTGGTGAGTGCAATCATAAATCATGCCTTAAGAACAACTGCTAACAATCATCATCAGCTTTCGTTTGCCGTACGTCAAGTTCCCTTGCGCTTTATCTACGACCATTGAGGCTGACCTTCTCTAGATCACAACAGCCTTCTCATCTACGGATCCCTAAAGAGACCGACGCTCGATCGCTTTGCAACCGTTACTCACTACTCAACCGGTGTGTCTTTGATCATGTGTCTGGCGATGGGCATTGCGGGGTTTCTGTCCTTCGGCTCCAAAACCCAAGGCAATGTCCTCAACAACTTCCCGTTAGACAACATCTTGGTTAACATTGCTAGATTGTATGATATCCCACAACAAATCACTCCATGCCGTTGTACTGACTCTTGCTAGTTGCTTCGGCTTAAACATGCTGACTACTCTCCCGCTGGAGGCCTTCGTATGCCGATCCGTCATGACCGAGTATTACTTCCCCGACGAACCCTTCAACTCACATCGACATTTGATATTCACAACTTCGTTGGTGGTGACCTCTATGGTGCTGGCACTCGTAACCTGCGATCTGGGAATGGTTTTCGAGCTCATTGGGGCCACCAGCGCTGCCGCACTGGCTTACATCTTCCCCCCTCTATGTTATATCAAACTGAGCAGTGCTAGCCGCCGGGAAAAGATACCAGCTTACGCATGCATTGGGTTCGGGCTTATCGTCATGGTGGTTTCTGTTGTGCAAGCCATTGCCGATGCCTTCACGAGTATGTTCCTCAATTCCCTCTATCTGCATGATTTTACTAACCTCAGACTGCTTGTAGATGAAGGGGGTCACACGTGTGGTGCTTCGTAGATGTCACATACCCAAGCATTTCCATGCTGTCATTTATGCATCTGGGCTGTGCGTAGCACCGAGGATCAATCTGTACATACTTCTCTCTGGGTGCCCATATAGCTAAAGAGACCAGAGTACCACTCTGCGTCAATCTTTCTCGATTCCTCCGTAGTTGCCTACGACTATTCAACTGCAACGGTTGAGGAAGAGTGATCCCGCAGTAGGGTAAATAACGCTACGAGTGTGCTTTGCCTACGAATCTCCAGCTGTAAAGACCGGGAGAGGTATGATGCCACAGCAGAGTAGACAGCACTGCCGTACGAGTGCAATTGTCCTAAGGTAGGGTTGGTTGCCACACAAAGGAGGAAGGTGCGACACGTGCGGCGTCCCCGTCGTGTATCCATCTGTCGCCGCCTGTGGGCTCCCCTTCCCTCTGCTTTACTGCCTCTCCACATTGTTTTCTTCCTTTCTTCATCTCCCCATCTCTCACCCGCTTCCACCCCTCCGCCTCTTTTATTCTTCGTTCGAGCTTGCGTTATCGTTTTCAGGAGGAGGGAGACGTGTCTGCCCTGGCCCACCCAGGCTTACCACTCTTCTGTCCTCCAAATCCCAGTTTCGCACTTCTCACTGCGTCTTTCCTGAGACTCAGCAAGCGGAAACGGCCGAGCCAAATCACCCGTCTGCCTGTCTCGCATTCACGATTCAACCACCGTCATACCCCTCCATACCTCAACCTACTCTTTCTTACCACCGTCATCTTCCACTTTCTTTCTAAATTATCACCTATTACCCCACACTTCCGTCTTCTCTCGCTGACCTTATGATCACGACGAACGCGTGGAATCAAATCCGAAGAAACCAGCGATCGCCGCTTTGAACACCCCTCAGCCCTATTTCTACGTCACCATACACCTTACACCATTTCTTCAAACTCGTGACACTTTTCCCAGTTTCACCACAGTCATCATGGATCCAAACACGGGCATGGACCCAGAACGGGAGAGACGTCTGATGACGATTCAAATGGTGAGAGTCCTACGCCTTTCACTTGCAAATTTGACTGACATGGATTCAACAGGACGATCTAGGCACTGCACGCCGAGAATACCTCAGTACTTACGATGAAGAAGTTTTGCCGAATGCCACTATTGAGCAGATCGAGGCAACACGAGCGTGCAATCAGAGAGGCACCCCGGAATACCGGTTCCAGCAGGCCAACAAGCCGACGCTTGATGCCTGGCATAGTGAGTCTCAAATTCTGCACCAGAAAAGTAACTTGGGTTAATCAATTTTCTCTCAGATCTTCATGTTGATCTTGGTGATACCGGAGAACTAGAAGACTTGAACCCGATGCTCGGTGGACAGACTCACCGTCTCCGGAATATTCAAGCTGCCGGCGGACTGCAATCCGTTGTTGGCTCTGGTGGAAGAGCCAGAAGGGCCCGAGGCGACAACCATGGGGTTTTCCAGAATGCTGGCCGCGGTGGTGGGGGGTATGTATCTCTGACTATCCCTCTTATACCCCCTAATTGAATTGTACCTAACCGCACTGAGGGCTTCCAGAGGAGCTGGACCCAATCACAGGGCTATGTCAACACCTTTGCCTACACCTCACAATCGACGATCTTCGACCACGGCTCTCGATCCCGCACTTGACATAAACAACGACGATTATTCTCCGGTCCGACGAGGTCGGGGAACTTCTCATGCTCGCAGGGCGTCCAGTCAGTACCAACATCCCCAACGCTTAGTGAACAATTATTGATAGATTTTCAGGAATGCCTGCTGGAAGATCCAGACCTTCTCGGAAACCTTTGTATGCAATGAAATCCCCAAATCCATTATATACCCTGGCATCAAGTCTAACTATATTAGCAGCGAAGACACCTCGCGCCCCGGCCTTCGTTCATTCTCGGCACAGCAAGCACCTCTAGTCAACTTGATGCCGACAAATCCGGCCGACTTTTTAAGAGATGCTCACGTCTTCTCAAACATCGGTAGACCACGCGGAGTGTCTCAGCAACCCGAACATCGCCCAATGCCTCCCAGCTCAGAGGCTCCCGTTAGCCCGCAGAAGCCAGGTGGAAAGAAGTCGACTCCGAGTCAGCCAAAGAAGCCGGCCTCTGGTGGAACACGCAAGGCCTCTCAGCAGACTGAGCAAAAGGCTTTGCCTCACAGCTCGAAGGCCCCTGTCAACCCGCGAAAGCCAGAAGAAAAACAAGTGCCTTCGAACCAGTCAAAGCCTGAATCGAAAAGGAAACAACAGGCACAACTGGACAAGAAAAAACTCCAGCCAGCAAAAGAGCAGCCCAAGAGTCCCTCTGCTCACCAGAGTATCCAAAGTGTGTCTCAGCCCCCCGGAGCTTCTGAAGGCGGCAAAGGCCCACCTCCCCAGCGCCCTCCTAAAGCCCAAGCTTCCTCGTCTGAGAGAAAGGCCCCCAAGGTCGCGTCGGTTACGAAGGCAGCGCCAACCCCTAAGGCCCCGACTGGTATTCTCTTGGACCTTGGAGATTTTGAACCCAATACCCCTCCGACTATTGGGTCTATTGATGCGATTGCTAGCAGTCTGATGAGCCCATCTGCACAGCAGCTTGAAGGACTCGAGTTCCTGGAAGGAGTAAAGACCAAGAAACAATACATTGATGAACTCATTGATCAGTACGATGGTCAACTCATTGATGAGCAAACGGGCCAGCCGTTGTCTAAGGCCCAATTTGCTGCCGCTCTTAGGCATGCTTTTGGGAATGTCAACGTCCGAGAGCCTACATCACAGGAGCCAGTCCATGCGCATGCTCAAATCCTGCAACCCGAAACGCCGGTGAAAGAACAATCTCACCGAGGTAAGAAACCCAAAAGGGTATCCTTCCAAGATGAGGATGAAGTTATTAACTTCACACGCAAAGGAGGTCCTCATACCCCTGTTTCCAGCCCACGAGCCCTGTCAAACGGCAGCTTTTCTGAGTACCGATCTCCAGCCAACATCTCATCATCTGGTGACGAGGCTGCAGGATATGCTGTGGACGATAATCTCTCTCCCAAGAAATCAAGCCCAGAGCACTTGGCGCCGCAATTGGAACTTTTGTCGATCTCGGACCCTCTTCCAGGATTGGGTTCGAAGAGACACCGGTCTGGGTCCAGCTCCGATATTGGCCCTTCGAAATCAGGTAAATTGCCATCGCGTTTGAGCGACATTGGATCTAGAGAACGAGAGGGACTAACGAAGAGAATCCTGAGTGAAGAGATTCTCTCGAAAATCCCCAGCAAGCTCAGATCTCACGAAGGCAAGAGACATCAGATTGGATTCGAATCCTCAAGCACAGGTAAGACAGCCAAACTGGTTCTTGAATGCCGCAAGGACAAAAAGAAGAAAGTTTGGAGCCAAAGGCTTGGAGTTGACAAGACACGTGCAGCAGGAACACCCGAGCCCATCCGTGTTCGTTCAACTACTCCCGGTAGGGCCGACGAGGCCGTGTCGTTACTGGATGAGATGAAGCCGCTGGATACGATGATGGGTCAATACAAGGCCAAACATAAGGAGATAATCTCCTCGATCAGTGGTGATGACGCGTCGAGTGTTTCTACTACAGGTAAGCTTGATGTGGCCGTTCACACGCCCCCACGCTCGAAACTTGATCCTTGTGCGTTTTTCTTTTCTCCCCACTCAGTGAACAGTTGTCTAACTGAAGAAGTGTCAGCGAGTGGTTCTCCATCGATGCGTCTGGCGCGAGTTCGAAATGTGTTTGCTGTCGGCGAGACGCTCGAAAAGTACAGGGAGGCTCATAAGAACCTGGTTAGTTCGGGCACCTCTGAGACCGTCCCTGAAGGGCACCGCGCCTCGACTGCTGCTCATTCCTCCCTCGACATGAACCTTGAGCCAGTTCTCTCGCGACGCTCTGGGAATGAAGTTACTGGAGGTCAATTAGAGCGATTCGAAGACTTCATGAAGAGACACATATCTGCATCGACCATCTCTGAGAAACAACCCTCCCCCGCACCACCAACGCCCCTCACTCTGGGGGTGCAATCCATTGACCGCGGAAACTTCGACATGGCGCCTATGAATGATCCTATGGAGATCGACTTCATCACGAAACCGAATTCCCGTGCTCAGAGCAGGGCCATCACCCCAGGTCTGCAAACAAGCATTTATGCTACTGATTCTGGTCGTGAGAGTGCTAAGCCTTCCGTGACTCCTACCAAGAGAACGTCAATGGGAACAATGGGTACGAACCCAATCACCGAGGTATTACACACCCCTGCATTTGAAGTCCCTGTCTCTGTGGACCCTGCCTTTGTGGAAAGGCTCGTGGAGACACAGGCAAAGATCATGGAAAAACTTACTAACACGGCTGAGATAAAGGGTCCAAATGTTTTCGATACCCAGTTAGGCATGGGCCCTTCGATGGGCAAGAAGGCGAAGCCCACTGCCCCGGAAACTGGCACCGACACGCCAAAATGGCCAACTGTTCTGGGCGTCCCGTCTGGCATGCGCCCTACGATGGAAAAGCTAATGAAGGCCGCTGACCCTGACACTAACGCTGAGAAGCCGAAGGGTCCATTTGCTGTCAGTTTCCAGTCTGGCCCGCGTCGTCCTCCCATGGACACAAAGATCACGCCCGCCGGCACTGGTGCTGAACAGCCCAAGATTCTGACCGTCCTCGGAGTCCAGTCCGGCATGTGCCATTCCTCAATGGACACGAAGGTCAAGTCCACCGACGCTGACGATGACAAGCCCAAGCGTCCGATGGTCCTGGGCCCTCGGCCCTACCTTCCTAACCGTGGCCTGTGAGTCCGAATTTGCGCTCGCATTTGGGGATGGCCATTTTGTTGTGGTTGTGAGGGTGATTTTGAATTTACGGCGGTGTTGTTTGCGGATGGGGACATTGTTGTGCACAAATGGGGGTGTTGTACGACTATTTATGCCGCTTGCCGATATTGTCTAGGCACAACTAGGCAATGAAATAAATAAAAAATTTAAAAATTTAAAAATTCCTTGTAGGGTAGCACCGTAATTGTTCCTGAACGTTTCTTAGAGGACTACGCCCCCAGGGGATGTAGATAGTACGAAGGAAGATAAGTAGATCAAATTGCGCAGTGAGAGAAGTCGATTTGAATTAATATATGAGTATAAGATGATTTGCCTGGACCTGGCGTACACCGCGGTTACAAAAGAAAATGCAGAAAACCCCAGTATCAAAAATGGCACATCCTCTCTAATATACAGCATGATCAACTAGCGATACTCAATATTTGTCTTCCCAATCTCCGTTCCATCAGTGCCCATCATCCTGAACTGCAACAACCCCTTATCCGCAAACATCTCGACCTGAATGTTATATTCCAGGAGATACATCTTCTTCCCGGCATCATCTTTCTTCGTCTTGAATCGGGATAATTGGTGCTCAGAAAGCGAGTAATGCAATGTTCCGACTTGGACGCAGGCTGAGCGGATTGGATGTCACGTTAGCGATGTCCTTTCAATTCCAACAGACCAGCTTACTTTGCGGCTGTAGCCACTGTGGCGCAACGTCGTCTTCGCAGGTATACAGGTCAACGGAGTAGCTCAAGCTGCTGCTGGGGTAATAAACCCGGCATAATTCGTAGGGGATGCGGGTTTCTTTTGTGATTGCTTTGCCCTGGTAGCATTTGTGTCAGCATTTACTTTACCAAGGGGTATGGGTTGGAAGGTACCTTTTCAACAAGCCACCTCATGCGATTCTTGCAACGCTTACTGCCATCCCACTCCCAGATCCAGGCATGACTCTCCGGGTCGATGGAGTTGCGGAAGGGTAGGTGTAGTTGGAAGCCGTAGTGGAGACGGCATTTTCGCTTCTCGGGCTTTGTACCAATTAACCCTCGGAGTGCTGCACCTTTGACGACGCTTGCTTGTCTGGATTTAATTTTAGTTTTGAAGATTTTTGTGCTGCCTGTCTTGACTTACGGGTTTTCGGGACAGAGGAGGGTTATCCCGCCTCGTCGGAGGCACCAGCTTCGTAAGACTGTTTCCAAGTATCGTGAGTCGCCGAAGCCTCCCACGAGGACAATTTTCTTTGGATGTGTTAGCAATTTGCAACTGCCTGACGGAGAATTGGTGATGGTTTACTTTGATTATTGAACGGGCATCGTCTCCAAGCTGTTTGAGCTGGTCGTTCAATAGGTCTTCGATTTTGGCCGTAACGGGTTTGAAAAACGACTCCATCTCGGCTCTATTGCCCGATTAGCCTTGAAAGATCTGAAAGGACTTGATACTTGACTCACTTCTTGAAAATGACCATGCTGTTATCAGAGTCATAGTGCTCAGCGTCAGGGGCATTCATCACGAGCTCAACCTCAAACTTCTGGTCAGAAGAGTTCACAGCAAAGTCCCGCTTATGAGCTTCAAAGTCTTTCATGAACCGACTTCCTGGTCCCTTCTTTTCGAACTTGACTTTTTCAAATGCCCTTCCGAAGGTTTGCAGCATCCATTTGTGGAATTCGCGATCAATGTAAGTCGATCCACATTTATCTCCAGTGCCCACCAGTAGTTCCTCAAAACGAAGCTCCGGTTTGACCTGGATAATCCTGTAGGTGACTATATCAACAGTACCACCTCCACAATCACAGACTAGGATCCCATCGCCGACCTTGAGTTCCGTACCATGTTCGTCCTTCGCCAACGAGCTCAGAGTGGCAACAGCCGCAGCTTCTGGCTCCGGAATCATGGATATTGAGTCGCCGGCTCGGGTCCCGAAGCCTGCGAGGGAGGCAGCGATATGCGTTTCGTTCTTCGCTTTGTCGGACCAGATGGCCGGGACCGTGAACCAGAACTCCAACGCAGTGACCCGCATGAGTTCTGGGGTGAAGCGTTGCTCGAGGATGGATAGCGTGTATCTATAGATCTCTTTAAGATAGTCTGAGCACACCTCTCGAGCACGCAGCTTGAAATCAGGGATACGCATCAGGCCGTTTCCCTCAATGATATCCAAGTCGTCATCGGCGGGCCCGTATGCTTGTCTCTTGGGATCAAGAAGCAGCTTGGTCCATGTGTAGCTCTTCATCCTCGGTGTCACCATGTAGCCCCATTTTATTCCGTTGCCATCGTAGGAAGGGTTCTCGGAACCGTAGGCAATGCGTGAAGGGGTCTTCCACGTCTCGTCGGCTTCTCTGACTGGGCCGGGCCATGTGCGGATCACATTTATGTCTTCGATTGACTTCTTTGTGGAGTCGACGTAACTAACACCTGCAGGTAAAAATTAGGAGGCTCGGCAGATCAGATCAGGCTAAGGAGATGTACTTACCAGTGAAAGTCGTTCCATAGTCCACGCCAACAATAATCTTGTGGAGCTTGTTCGAGTTCACAGTCGAGCCGTAATCGCCCCTGTGGAACGAACTGTGGCTGCTGTATGTAGGCATGGTGAAGACTGGTGAGGACTGGCTGACCAGCAGTGGCAGTGGAAGGTCTTCGTGCCGTTCTTATAAGCACACGGCCATTAAAGCCTCATCCCAAGATCGCCCGGGCGTGTTTGACCTCACGGCATCAATTTGCCAATCTTTTCCGGATCCGCAGCATCCTTGTCCCCTTGTCTCTCTTTGCTTTTCGCCTCTCGTGATCCGTGCCAATGATTCGGAGAGGGGTTGGGCTAAGCCGTGTGCTGGTCGTGCAGGTATCCCCTGGGTTGCTGCAGCGCTGCGGAAGAGATACCCGATGAGGCTGAGGCTTGGGGTCAGCCGCCTGCTGCAACCACATTGATTGGAGAGTCTACGCCTGTCTTCGATGCTCGAGTGTTCTCGATTATTTATTCATTCGCATCGGCTGCTACGAGCACGTAATTCAACCGAAGCCAGGACATCCGAAAAACACCCGAATATCGAATCTTTTTTATATCTCAACGATCTATAAACATGGCACACCGGGGCGGGTTTCATCGAACCATCGAGGCTTCTGGAGCATCAAGTCTCAAGCGGCTGGAGAAGCGCATCTCAGGATTGGAACAGCAGATTCAATCAAAGGACCGCCAGATAATAGAGCAAAACCAGGAACTGATCAAAAAGGCCAAATCCCTGGACGAACGAGAGCGAGACGTCAAGGCTCTCCTGCGCTACGTGGAGAAATGGGACGACTTCAAAGAGTTCATGGACTCCGCCGGCAACACGACCCTTGCCATCGAGAATCAAGCTCTGAAACGTGATCTGGAGACCATGAAGAGCAAATACGAGAATCTCCTTGGAAAGATCAAGCAGCGAGACGAGGAACTGGAGAAAGCGCGCGACGAGCAGGTCAAATCAGCTGAGTCGCTGCGCAGAGTCCAGGCCAGCGCCTTTCGCTTCCAGGATCAACCCGAATGGGCTCCCGACTCGGACGACATCATTCGGCGAGAACTCAATAATCTTGAGCGCGAAGCCCGGGCATGGTGTATCGGGAATTCGATCAAGTTGCTCTCGGGGCTGGGCACAATACCCGACCAGCTGCAGGCCGACTGGCAAGGCGTTCTTCGCTATGATGAGAAGATCTTTGCGCGGAATGACCAGCACCTACCTCATCTGATCCTCATGGCGATGCTGATGGACTTTGTCTACGGACAGATCTTCGCCCGGCCGCTCTTCTTTCTGCCCTGGCGCATGGCTGAGGAAGACGGCCCCAATGTGGCTGCGCGAGGACGCGAGCTACACGAGGCGCTAGCAAGGATATTGGAGGAGACGAGTCAAGGTGCGTGGTGATAAACCCATCTGACACGGGAGTGCCCGCAAAGTCTAACCTCGCACACTAAAATCTTATCTGCAGCAAACCTCGAGGGAGCGCATGCGTGGCGCTCGCAGTGGTTAAGACTACTTGATCCAAGGCCACGAGGCGACCAGAAGGAGCGTCCGTTATTGGAAACCACGAAACGACGGACCGAGGCGGCTCGCGAAAAGGCAGCCCAGCATATCATGCAGGAGTTCCTCAATACCTCTGCCGCATTTCTGACTAGTCCTAGTCCGGTGGAGGGTCCCTCTTTGGCTCAGCTGCAGCGCATTTTCACCGGAGCGGCGCATCTCTCTTACAAGTTGTGGTTGCGAAAAAGCTACTTGGTCTTCCATTCCAAGGCGCAACTCCCCGAAGCGTATCACCACGCGTTGCAAATCAGGGCTCACTCGCTACACAACCAGCTGCTGGATGATAATGAGAAGGCACTAGACGGCGCCACTATCCGGGTTGTCACGCACCCCGCAGTTGTGGTCTATGGGAGCAGTGATGGGGCGAGCTATGATTCCAACCGCATGTGGAAAGAGGCTGTGGTCTATATGGGGTAAACTGGAGCGATCTTGACAGCATCTGCATTCCTTATCACGCGCGAGAAATTAATGTTTCATGTCCTTGTGTAGACTCTATGTGGTATTCCTTCTCTCTCTTCCTATTGATTGAAGATCGGAAGTGTAAGCAACCCGGGCGCATGCAGGGGCTAAGCAGTAATGATACCGCGAGCATTCGCCTGGGCGAGAGCCAGGTGGCTTAGGAGTCGAGGCTTGGAGTCGCATATCCTCGCCTCATTGTCAGTTCTCATAAGGTGACCTGTTTTGACCACACCAGAGAGATAGGAAATTAATTCACATTGGACTTAAATTATTATTACCCTCATTATTTGGTATCTATATCAAGTTCAGGTCAACATGACAGCCGATACTATCTCCGAGATCGTTCCTGGTGCGCCGTGGGCCCTCATTGCCGTAATGGGTGTAACGGGCGCCGGCAAAAGCACATTCATTCAAACCGTGAGCAAAGCGACCGATGTTGTCATCGGACACAATCTGGAGTCATGTAAGTATAGTAACCTTGAGTTCAACGTGCCTGTCAGGGATGGATTAACTTTATTCCACCAAGGCACAAGCGAAATGAAAGGCTACACCTTCCACTACTACGGCTACAACATCAACCTCATCGACACACCGGGATTCAACGATACCCACAAAAGCGAGACACAGGTCCTCCAAGACATTGCCAACTGGCTCCAAGATTCGTATGAGCAGAAACAGAAGCTTCATGGCGTTATCTACCTCCACAACATCAACAATGTTCGCATGGAGGGATCTGCACTCCGCAACCTTCGCATGTTCCGACAGCTCTGCGGCGAGGAGCCACTCAAGAATGTCATCCTGGCCACTTCTTTCTGGGGCAAGGTAGAGGAGAAGACAGGGACAGATCGGGAAGCAGAACTTCGAGATCGGCCCGAATTCTGGGGCCAGATGCTTAAGCGTGGATCCCGCATGATGCGATATACGGGTCGGGCGTCTGCACTGAAGATCGTTAGTCATTTCTTGGACATGAGTCCGGTTCCATTGGAAATCCAGCGAGAGCTTGTCGAGGAGGCTAAGCCTCTTATCGAAACTGCGGCTGGCAAGTCTGTCAATGAAGAATTGATCCGACTCGAGAAGTGGCATAAAGAAGAGCTGAAGAAGCTGCGGGAGGATTATCAGTTGGCCATCGAGGAGAAAGATAAAGAGTTACAGGAGACTCTAGCGGAGCATCAGCGCAAGCATGATCGTGACCTTGACCGAGTGTTCCGACAGCAGGAGCAGCTTCGTGCGGAGCGCCGGGCGGAAGATCGGAGACGACAGAATGATTTGGAGATGCATCTCAAGCGACTGGAAGATCTGAGTATGGAGAGCAATGTGGATTGGGAGAAGCATTCTTCGGAGTTGCAGGAGATGAGCTTCGATGAGCTTGTGAGCAAGATCCGGGCCAATGAAATTAAGGTCAAAGCGGATGACAGAGATAAGGTGGAGAAGATTATTGAAGAGGTAAAGAAAAGCTCTGAGCTGAGTAGTTCAAGTCGTAGGAAGATGAAAGGCACTGCTAAGTTCTTGCTCTCGGCCCTGCTGAAAGTGGTTGTCCCCGTGACGAGCTTGTGCTTGTTGGGCGTGCCGATCTCTTTTCCGTTCGACTTTGGTCAGGACAGCAATAACTGATCGATGGTTTACATAGTTCATCGCTGCTGAGCCAGCTTTTTGGCCCTTACCTTGATGCTCAGGGTTTTCATATTTGTTATTTAGTTTCCTACCATTCGTATACAAAGTTGTTTACTTGAAGTCCTTACAAATGTCCCGCGGACCCCGCATAGACCCAAATGTGAGAAACCAAAGGGAACAGTATATAGAGAATTGGAAATCGAATTTTTTCGCAGTCTCCGAGCAAATTGAGATATTTGGATATGTGTTTCCTTTAATTTGTGGCCACTAGGACTATAGGACCATACAATTGTATAGTATGGCATGGGTGGCTTGGGCGATCGCCGCTATCTTATCGTCAGCAAAAATCTTTCCCCGACATCCGGGCCATATTGTCCCCTCTTCTTCTCCCACTCCGCTTGTGATCTACCATTACCCCACCATGGCAGCTCAGGCGACCGAGAAGCTGCAGGATCTGTCCTGTGAGTGCCTACCGCTGCCTCTTCCATGTTGTGCGACTAACATTCTCTCAGTGAACGGCCAAAACGGCGCCAAGGCCGACGCCCCCGCGGCTGGCCAGGCCACCCCGGGCGAGGCCGAGGACGACTCCGACGACGACCAAGAGGAAGGCGAGGGTGCCCCGGAAGCTGGAGCTGCTGGAGGTATGTGATCACATTTCCTTACATTTGCAGAGGCCTCCTCCTCTTGCATTTATCCCCAAATTTGGGTTACTGACATGATCGCATTCTAGCTGCCAAAAAGAAGAAGAAGCGCAAGTCCAAGAAGAAGAAGAAGGGGTGGTGCCAAGGTCCAGAGCGAACCTCCCCGAGTTCCTGTGTCCAATCTCTTCCCTAACAACCAGTACCCCGAGGGAGAGATCTGCGAATACTTGAACGACAATGCCTACCGCACGACCAACGAGGAGAAGCGCTACCTCGACCGCATGAACCAGGACTTCCTGACCGAGTATCGCCAAGGAGCCGAGATTCACCGCCAAGTCCGTCAATATGCACAGAAGAACATCAAGCCTGGTCAGACCTTGACTGAAATCGCGGAGGGCATTGAAGACTCCGTGCGCGCCTTGACCGGCCACCAGGGTCTGGAGGAGGGCGATAACCTCAAGGGTGGCATGGGTTTCCCTTGCGGTCTAAGCATCAACCACTGCGCTGCTCACTATACCCCCAATGCTGGTAACAAGATGGTTCTGAACCAGGGAGATGTCATGAAGGTCGATTTCGGTGCGCAGCTAAACGGTCGCATTGTTGACAGTGCCTTCACCATGACTTTTGACCCGGTCTACGATCCGCTTCTGGAGGCTGTCAAGGACGCCACTAACACTGGTATCAGGGTAAGTTCTCTTGTTTTCCGGTACGGGTTGAAGGATAGTTTTAACGAGACATGTTATAGGAAGCTGGAATTGATGTCCGCATGAGCGACATTGGTGCCGCCATCCAGGAAGCCATGGAAAGCTACGAAGTCGAGCTCAATGGACAGATGCACCCAGTCAAGTGCATTCGCAACCTTAACGGCCACAACATCGACCAGCACATTATTCACGGCGGTAAGAGTGTACCCATTGTCAAGAGCACCGACCAGACCAAGATGGAGGAAGGTGAAGTCTTCGCTATCGAGACTTTCGGTAGTACTGGCAAGGGTTATGTCCGTGAGGAAATGGAGACTTCCCATTATGCGCTCACGCCGAACGCTCCCAACGTCCCTCTGCGCCTTTCCTCCGCTAAGAACCTGCTGAATGTCATCAACAAGAACTTCGGTACTCTTCCATGGTGCCGACGCTATCTTGACCGTCTGGGTCAGGAGAAGTATCTTCTCGGGGTATGTTGAACAAGTCTGCAGAAATACTTCAATGCGACAGCTGCTAACTTGCGTTTAGTTGAACAACCTGGTGCAGGCTGGAATTGTCCAGGACTACCCGCCACTGTGCGATATTCAGGGTTCATACACTGCCCAATTTGAACACGTGAGTTTGACATTTTCATTGATTCTATCTCTTGCTGAATAACCTGACTAACTCGGTCTAGACCATCGTGCTCCGCCCGACTGTCAAGGAGGTGATTAGCCGCGGTGACGATTACTAGGCAATATTTACAATCTGGCAAACGCAGCTTCATGGCGATAATGGAAAAAAGAATAAAACAAAATGGTAAACGACCTTAAAGACAATACAATTTGCTCGCATGAATCCCAGTAATCGAAATGCGTGTAACAATAAACCCTCCTGTAGATCGCGCCACCGATGGAGCCACCCAAGTTGGCCGTGTCGCCCCACGTGGAACGACCGCCTCCCGCCGCCTTTTTTCAAACCGCTCTCCAGCCTATCGACCCTTCTCTCGTCATTACGCCCTCGCAATGTCTGCCGTCGAAACAGCCTCCCCTCACCTCCGGGTGTCGGCGGCGACGGCGTCATCGCCGCCAGCCAAAGAAGCCATCTCTACTCGAATCCCGGCCCCCGAAACCTCCGCCGTTGAAGACCGCTTCTTCTGGACATACACCGAAGAGCCGCACCGGTCTCGACGACAAGCCATTATCAAGGCTCACCCTGAGGTCCGTTATATCCGTTGATGCGATGAATGCAGTGTTTGGGTCATTCCGACTGCGTCGAGCCCTGTTCCTGGCACCATTTCCATGTTCCTGGTTCCTGTTCCTGGATCGTTGCTAACCCTGGTTACCGGATCAAGGTTACCAAACTTTGCGGACCTGAGCCTTTCACCAAATATGTCGTCTTCGGCGTTGTTGCTACTCAACTTACCAGCGCATACCTCCTCCGCAATACCTCCATCCTCGACTGGCGGTTCCTGGCCACCGCGTACCTGATAGGTGCCACTGCCAACCAGAACCTCTTCCTGGCAATCCACGAGATCTCGCACAACCTTGCCTTCAGATCACCACTGGCGAACCGCCTGCTGGCGATCTTCGCAAACCTCCCTATCGGTGTGCCCTACAGTGCTGCGTTTAGAGTGAGTCTGCCTGCGTTGAGAAGCCAACGGTGTCCACAAAGCCGGTCATACAAATGCAATTGAGTGCTAACATCCTAAAGCCCTACCACCTTACCCACCACAAGTCCCTTGGTGTCACCGGTCTGGATACCGATCTCCCCACCGCACTCGAAGCCTTCTTCCTTGACTCCGTCCTCGGCAAGACCTTCTTCTGCACCTTCCAAATCCTCTTCTACGCTCTGCGACCCATGTTCATCTACAGCCCGCCCTTCACCTCAATCCATCTCATCAACCTGGCCGTGCAACTGAGCTTCGACTACATCCTGACGAAATTCACCGGCTCCCTTCAACCCTTCTACTACCTGATCGCCAGCTCCTTCCTCGCGGGATCCCTGCACCCCTGCGCAGGCCACTTCATTGCCGAGCACTACTTCTTCTCAAAGGTCAAGACAGGCGGAACAGAGTCCCTTCTGGAACTGAAGTTCAAGCCACAAGCCAAGACCGATGGTCCCTCCGTGCTCGACAACCTATCCCCGCCAGAGACATACTCCTACTACGGCCCGCTGAACATCCTCACCTACAACGTCGGCTTGCATAACGAACACCATGATTTCCCTGCTATCCCATGGACGAGACTACACAAGTTGCACGACATTGCAAAGGAGTTCTATGAGCCTCTTCCTTGCCACCGCAGCTGGGTGTGGGTTATCTGGACCTTCATCCTTGATAAGGATGTGGGTCCTTGGTGCCGTGTCAAGCGTGCGCAGGGCGGACGTGTTGTCGGCGGTGGAAGTACCGGCAAGACGAAGGCGTCTGCTGGGCGTGGAGGTGAAGGTATCTCGGCTGCGTCGGCGGGACCGGACGGCGAGGAGAGTGATGGTTGGAAGGAGAGTGAGATTCAGTGTTAAATAAGCTTTTGTACTTTATGTAGTGAGTACTTCCGGGTCGGCGCTCAATGAGCTTTAGGACTCTACAAACCTTCAATATTATTTTGCCTTCAAATTTATTGCTTTTGTACGGCCTTTCGCAGATAATAAAACACTCACAGGTGTACGTAGCTCCTGAAAAGACACAGCTTTCGAATTAAGTGAGTGGCCCTCTAATTCAGCTACAGACAAGCAACAACTCATACTCCTAATGGCCTGTACGAACAGCTACAAATGTCGAGATAGACTTATCTTTCTGATCCGGCCGCAAGAGCAAGGACAATCTCGCGAGCACGATTCATCGTTATCACACAAAAGAGAAGCGAGACGCTAAGTCCGTTCATCGTAACATGATATTAGACAAGTTAGGAAAGGTAAAGGGTAGACAAAGGTTGAAACGAAACCTGAGAACGTTGAAACACAAAGCGCCTCGATAAACTTGAAAGATGAGTGCCCAGCGTACGTACCTCGGTAGGTCACACACTGGAACAGACAGAAATATGGATACCCGGGAGGGAAGCAAAAAAAGAGACACAAGAAAAAGGCTGATGCTGGAAACAAAACGGCAGGCTCGTCAAGAGACACAGGCGGTTAGATGGGGAGGGGGAAACTTAGGGCGTCGAGACGTGATCATAGGCATACTCAGTATAACCCACAACGTGGATCACAGAGCGCTAAAAGAAGAAATAGGCGATTAGGAAGCTGATCAGACAGAGTCCTGCGACCATTTGCACGGGCACGCCGGACTCGGTCTGTGCATGCGATTGCTGCATAGTCGCAGGAGCTGCCTTGGCATCGCCGCCGGTCTTCCGCTGCCGCAAACCCTGGTCTGCCAGTCGGTCCTTGAGCCGTTGGATCTGAGCATTGGCGTCTGCAAGCTGGGACTTGAGCTCCTCGCTGGAGGGGAGAGCGCTGGCGACGGCGGCCTTGGCGTTGGAGAGAGTGCTGGTGGGTTCAGAGGGCGGGGGGACTCGGCGGTGGTCTTTTCGGTGAAATCGGGAGCAGGGACGGGGGAGGTTTGTTCGGCGGCGCTTTTCTTGAAGCCAGGAGCGGGGGTTTCGAAGTTTCCACCAGGCGAGGTCTGAGCAGGGTTCACCTCTTCGACGACCTGTATGAAGAATGTCAGTTTCTAAACCATCTGTGCATACCACAATAAGACATACCGATTTCTCGGGGCTCGGAGGCGCGCCAGGAACAGAGTCCGAGGGCAGCCAGGTCACACGGATCTTGCGCTCCACCACAGCAGACTTGGGAGACTTCTCGAACTATAAACGGTTCTTAGCATGGATCGCAGCTGTATTTGAAGATCGTCGAACAGCGTACAATTGAGGTCACATTAGCATGCTCCATGTCGGGAACAACTGCGACGGACTGGACCAGAAACTTGTCCTTGCACTTGGCATCGGTGGCCGGCTCATCCTTCATAGCCTGCAGGAGAACTTTTGCAAACAGTCAGCTTATGCATATATATTATCGGCGCATCGGAGGGGAAGCGGACCTTGGACATCGACGGAACGACCTGGCTCGATACGGCCGGAGTTTGGGCGCACACAGTAGCTAAACGAGAGTCAGTAATCGCAATTTCACTTGCATTTTGCACGGTCGAGACAAGGATATAACGCACTGCTTCGGGGCAGTAGTCTTGACCTATTAACACAGAAAAGAGATCGGGTTAGCCATTTGTGCCGGACAAATTGCCGAGGGGAACTGGGCGCATACCTTGAAGACCACCGGCTGCTGTCCGTTGTTGCGCAGGTGCAGAACCTGGCACACTTCATGGCTAAAAGGACCTGTTTATTCCGAGAATTAGCTAACGAGGTCTTCCGATTTCAGGACCAGGTGGCTGAGGTTGTGACACGGCACTTACGCTTGAAGCCCAGCTCGGGGGGATCGATTTCGACAGACATGGTGATCGTAAAGGCGCTGAGAGACGAATAGGAGAAAAAGTCACACGTAGCGGTACCAGAGGGCTCCGCGACAGAGGTGCGATTGCGGAGGAGGAATTCGACGAACGGTTATCGAGACAAGGGTGTTCCGCGCCTCAGGAGTTGATTATTGTCCACATCGGGGATGTGCTGAGTCAGCGGTCAGGTGATGTCACTGAGCTTGGAGTATACATTGCTCGCTCTGGATAAGGCATTTAAACTCTCCGTACACCATTTTTGGCATGTTTATTTTCTCATTTTTGGTGCGCCTCGGTGGGGTTTGCTTCCATCCTCGGAAGCTCGCCCCCATGCCTGTGTGATTACTGCATGTGACCCCGTGGGACGGTTTCCGCAGTGGGGTTCACCCACTTGACAGTCGTGATTACAGAGGGCCTGGGAGTGAGTATTTAACAAAGTCCGATTAGTGGGGCTAAACGAGACATTCTATTCTGAAGCTCATCTTTATCAATAGTTGCATTCAAAAATGCTGTATGAATCCCCAACCAACCCGGCTGTCTTACTCCTCGGGCCGTTTATTGGCAGCATGTGCAGCCGTGGGAAACTATATCAAATAATGTTATTGACTAGGTGTGAATCCTGGGATTGACCGTTAGCAGAGGCATGATTCGGGTGGGTCAATTTACAATAGGCCCATCGTTTTCAATTTAAAGGTAATCGATGCGGACCATCGACTACATTCACTACTATATTGTTGACAGGCACGCACCACGGAGACAAACTATAATTATCACAGCAAAATGCAGCGAGGGAACATCATGGATGGTTGAATGTCATCATACACTTGTTCTTGATGAACAGTAAACCAAATTCAATATGGCAGACATTCCACGGCAAAAATCATCGAGCTTCATCATGCACCTGCCTAAATTTGTTGCTTATGGTAGTGAACCGGGCAACAATCACGGTGCCCCAAAGCGGACCCGCACTTATCGCTCGCCGCCTTCAACTCACGATACGTCACCCGCAAAGCTCACCTTCCACCGACATCCTTCATCTCTCCCTCTGCATCGCCCGCACTTTCCTTTCCACATTATTTCTATCCTTAAATTTCCTCCATTCGAAAAATTACCGCAAGCCGCGCACTATTCCCTGTCCAGACGTCGGTTTCCGCATCCGATCAGTTTACCCCCACCAAACATGGCGACCGACCTCGAACAGCTCATTGAAATGGGCTTTGACAAGGAGAGAGCGGAGCTCGCGGTCGCGAAGGCTGGCAATTGTCTGTATCCCACTACTCGAAGCATCTTCCTGTTGGCGTCTGCTAACGAACACCACAGTGCAGGGCGCGTTGGAGTGGCTCGAAAAGTACCAAGACAAGTCGCTGGAGGAGATCAAGGCTGCGCAAGCTGAGGATGAAGAAGCACCCGCCCTCAAGCCCGGCGAGGAGCCCCGCAGCTTGGTCTGCAATGAGTGCAGCAAGAAGTTCCGAAGCCAGGCGCAGGCCGAGTTCCACGCCTCCAAGTCCGGACACGTCGACTTCTCAGAGTCCACCGAGGAAATTGCCCCGTTGACCGAAGACGAAAAGAAACAAAAGTTGGAGGAGCTTCGGCAGCGACTGGCTGTCAAGCGAGCTGCCCAATCCGTGGAGGACAAGGCTGCCGAGAAGCGCAATGAGGTCAGTACGTTCAAGCTCGGTCACCAGTGCACACTGATTAATCCATGTTGCAATGTAGCAAATCCGCATGAAGAGCACGAAGGAAAGTCAAGATGCGAAGGAAGCACTTGAGAAGAAACAACGGATGAAGGAGGCTGCACAGAAGAAGAAGGAGCAGCAGGAGGCGATCGAAGCGAAGAAGCGTGTTCAGGCAAAGATCCAGGCCGACAAGGAGGAGAGACGTCGCAAAGCTGAACTTGCAAAGGCCGAACGCGAGGGCAGGGCCCTTCCTCAGCAACCCGAGCCGGCCCCTACTCCGGCTTCTGGCCCTGTCACCTCGAAGCCCGCATCTGAACATGAAGATACTCGTCTGCGCTTCCAAACTCCGAAGGGGAACATCATGAAGAGGGTTCCTGTCACCACGACTTTGTTTGAGGTCGCCGAAGCCCTGAAGACGGAGGATGGTGTCGAGGTGCAAAGTTTCGTTCAGAATTTCCCCCGGAAGGTATACAACTCCGAATTCTTTGGCGAGTCGCTGAAGGATCTGGGACTTGTACCTAGCGCAGCCCTGGTCATTCAGTAATTCAGTCCTCAGACAGGATGGGGACCCTTGGGGGGTCTTGGTGTACCTTGAGGTACTTCTACGAATAGTACCTAGGGTAACCATTGCTTATTAGAGAACGAGAAATGACCATCGCATATCATGAAGCAAAATGAACAAAATAATTGCGCAGCCGTCAGTTGAATCTAGACCGTAAACTCTAGCAATTTTAGGAATTATCCGTCCAAAATGCTTTGGGAGGCTCATTCGAGATGAACAGCGCCTACCTTAGCTTATCAGGCGCTTATCAACATGTGATGTCGTGATGGCCCGCGTGAGATCGAGACGCGTTTCAACCCACTCTTCACAATTCACCCAACCAGCTTCACAACACCCGGATATGCCAGCGTGAGAACCCTCGATTCCAAGCGAGAGAAACTCGATTCCAATGGATCCGACTTCTGATCAATTTAACCCCAGTATTGGCGACCAGCACCGCGGTGGACCCTCATCCGTCGGGATGCCTAATGCCCCATCTACCACCGCGAACCCCTTCGAAGAGCCGCAGCGCCGCATAAACGAATACACAGCACAGGAGATTGCTACCCTTCAAGCGCGACTCGACAAGAAATTGGGACCGGAATACATTTCATCCCGACCTGGTGCCGGCGGGCAGAAAGTACACTATCTTTCTGCTGACAAATGTATCAACCTCGCCAACGAGGTCTTTGGATTCAATGGCTGGTCCAGCTCAATCCAAAAGATTGACATTGATTTTGTATGCTGCTTTGCGTGCAATGGTAGTGCTGATCACCGAGGCTAACGATTATTGATCAGATCGACGAGAATCAGAACAGCGGCAGGGTTTCTATGGGTCTATCGGTTATCATGAGAGTCACGCTAAAGGATGGGACTTACCACGAGGTAAATTGCCGTTATTTTTCCGTTTGGATGAACAGACATCTAATATTTGCTAGGATATCGGCTATGGTCATATCGAAAACGCCAAGGGAAAAGCTGCCGCCTTTGAGAAGTCGAAGAAAGAAGCAACAACAGACTCCTTGAAACGATCGTTAAGAAACTTCGGAAACGTGCTCGGAAACTGTGTTTATGATAAGGACTATCTTTCGAAGGTCACCAAGGTCAGGTCTGTACCGGTAAGGGCCAGTGGGTTATCCTTTGGATGTCAGAAATATTGCTAATTATCCCCGATACAGGCGAAATTCGACGTGGAAGAACTTCACCGACATCCTGATTTTGCACCAATCAAAAAGCCACCACCTCCCTCAAGGCCACCTACAGAAGACGACGACCTCTTGCCCCCTCCACGACCGGTGGAGCCTGCTAAGAGCTGCAATCCAGCGCCCAATTTGAGCTTCGATGGGGATGGTGAATTTGGCAGTAAGTACTTACTACTCTTGTAAACATATTTGATTCTAACGACACAAGGTGATCTTTTTGATGAAGCCGATTTTGCCGTGGGCACCACGGGAAATCCAGATGAAATTACAATCGAATCAGAGGTCAAACAACAGCCTCCCACGCCTATGAATCGCCCAGTTCCTCCTAGAGTACCGCCTGAGGGTCGATTCGATGCGGCTGTCACACCTTCGAAGCCTGAAAGATGGAACCCTGGCAACCAAAGTCTCAGACAGCCAATGCCCCCAAACGGCCGACCGAACTCGCCAGCGATAGTCCCTCAACGCCGGCCCATGGCCCCAAACGTCCCAACTAACAATGCCCCTGCCGCCAGACCGGGAGCTCCACCTCAAGCTCGTCCCGCCCCGGCTTCCAACCTTCAAAATCCCAATGAACAAACGCAGATCAAGACAGAACCTACAACGGCACCCAATGCAGTTAACCCGCAACAGCCACCAGCAGGCTCACAATCAGTGGGGTTTTACTCAGCTCGAGCAGCCGACATGCTACGCGACAACCCTAATGGTGGCCCTCCGCCTGGAACCCAATTTGATCCTCATGCCGAGAGTCCTTCAATTCGCAAGACCGCCGGCGTTGATCATTCCAAGAGTCTGCCAGTTTCCCGACCAATGCTTTCGGCTGCCTCTCCAGCATCCAACAATGCGCGCGATTTCGTGAACCCTACCACAGACCTACAACGACGGGTTGGCGCCCCAGGTGGCCCGGCTGGAGTCGGCAGTCCTTTGTCAAGGGGTCCATCCACTTCTTCTTATCGACCGCTGACTCGACCTAACATCGACCCGAAGAATGCCCCGAACCAGGCCGGCGCGAACAGAGGGAGCGTACCTCCACAGAATATGAATGGAAAGCGACCTCCTTTGGATGATGTTACGAATGCCTCTCCCGGAGCGACCAGCCCGGCTGCTCCTACAGTCCCAAGCCCGAATGATCCCAAGCGACCGCGAGTCTCGGACACTATGCCTGGGCAGCAGGTTCCGCAATAGATCAAGGTCGGATCTACTTTTCCAAAGCACGAATCAAGTCGTTTAGCGAGTACTGCCATTCTTACATGAGCTTGCTTCCATATTGTGTTAGCATTTCTATGTTTATCATTCTGGGAAAGATGTTTTTTAAGGGTTCTTGGATCGGCGTTGAACTTATCCAGGAGTTTGGCGATAAGGCATAGGTCTATGCCGTGGGCAGATCATAGGATTCCCAGGGTAGTTTTGGAGTTGAATTGGATAGGTAGTTCACAGATACGTTTCACAAGATACTATTCATATCTCATGTAACACTATTCAGAACTGACGCCTATGGTGGCCATGCCTGATTATCTACGGGATTTCATTCCGCTTCAACTTGTTCCGCTGATCATGTCCCATTTTTCTTAATATTCGCAAAGGAAGTCTGGAAAAGTCTGTCTGCGTTTTCATATGGGCAAATGCGATAGATGCTGCGATTATCGGGTCGTATAAGAGGATGCCTGCTGAGAAAGGTCACATTTGGTTCTTTGAGGCACTAGCAGACAGGCTTAGGCAGGTGTGCCTGACTAGTCAGCATGATGGCGGGGTTTGAAACCTGGCCTACCCTCGTCGGGCTAGGCACAATCCCCCACGCTTGGTGACTGGCCAAACGAACCTTTATCTAATCTGATCATCTGTCATTTGCCCAGGCCACTGTCAGCAAGCTTGCAGAAATCGTGACTAGCAGATATTCCTGAAGCTCTGAAAATATGAATGGATAGTAGCTTGATCTCACTCTCCCCTAGAATTCATAATAAAAGTCCAAGTTCGTCTGTTCCTGCCTTACGGAACATCGGACGCAAAACGGGGCAGCGCTGCGAGAGCCCCCCAAATGACGCCACCCGATCGCCGCCCGCCAATCTTCCCTCCGCAACCACCTCGCACACGACACTCCCCAATGTGAGCGAGCTTCTAACCCTCTCAACGCCGGGTAATGGCTCCCCTCCGACCAACAGTTTTTACCTTCAAGTCCTTCTTCGCCCCGGGCCTCGCAAAACCCCACACCCTCACCTCCTTCCACTCCATCGTCAGTCATGGCGCCCGTACGCGAGCCCAGCAGGCACCACGCCCTCTCCTAGCACTCCCCACTACCTTCAAATCCGCCTTCTCGAGCACCAGCATCCGCTCCGAATGGGAAAGAAACTACTACGAGATCCTCGGTGTCCCCGTCACAGCCACCGCAGCCGAAATAAAAGGGTTCGTCCGTCCCAACTTGGCCTTCCAACTTTACCCGAACCAAATAACCAACAAAAAGCAGCAAATTCTACCGCCTATCCATGACACACCACCCCGACCGAAACCCCGGCGACCAAGCAGCCGGCAGGCGCTTCGCCTCAATCAGCGCAGCCTGGAACGTCCTTGGCGACGCGGAGAAACGCGCAGCCTACGACCGAGAGAACGGCTTCCACCGCACCCAATTCGCTCATAACAGTCCTCCGTCTGGGAGTCACAGCAGCCACAGCGCGGGCGTGCCGAAGGGCGGGTCCTACGCTGGCTCTAGACCTGCTAGTGGTCTGAGTAAACGGCGCGGAACCTTCACGGGGCCGCCGCCGAGTTTCTATGCTCAGGGTGGGTATGGAGGGACTGGGCGGACGACGCCTGAGGGCTCATTTGATAGTGCGTTTGGGTTTGGGAATGTGGCTGGTGGTGGGGGGTTTGGTCAGGCAAAGGCTGGGTTTGAGGATCCTGAGGACCCTGAGGGGTTTATTCGCAGGAATCCATTGCATTATTTTAATGCACGTGGGCATTTTCGCACTCAGCAGGCTGAGGATAGTCGACGTGGTCAGCGACGAAGTGAGGCTCAGCAGGCTGCTATGCGGCAGCGACAGGCGGAGGGCGGTTCGGCCAGCCCGATCAATAATATACTAGGGTATCTTGTGTTTGCTTGGATAACGTTGTTCGTTATCTGGCTTGAGGAGAAACTTCGTGATCGGAGGGATAAAAAGAGGTTGCAGAAGGAGGTTGTTGGGGGGCATAAGTTGCATAAGGCTTGAGCGTGGCCATGTCCACCGCGCGATATACTGTAAATAAGACTGTACAATATAGCACTCATAGCGAGATCAATGTCTCCGCAAGTATTGAATCAGATCATACCCCGAGGTACCAGTCTACATGAAAAGGAATTTTTTAATCAAACAAAAGAGATTTAGATTTGATTTACAAAGTGTAACGTAGTCGAGACTACTATACACACAGGATTATCCTTGAAGAGTAAATGAACCTTCCTCTGACCTGTTCCAACCAAGTCGGCAACGATTGCAAAGTGAAGAAACACATTTCCACCCAAGAGCAATTACTCCCGAGATATCATGCCAGCCATGGAAAGCGCTTAAGCCTCGAAGGTGAAGCTGGCGCCGACCTTGTGGGCAGCCTGGTTCAGGTTCTGGGTATCGAAAGAGGCACCGAGGCCAAGGGTGACACCGGGGCGGAGCAGGACGTTGTAGGCCAGAGCGGCGACACCACGGTCGTTGATCTTGGCCTGTAGAGTAAAGAAGTAAAATGTTAGTCTATGATATCATATCAAATTTTGATCAGTTGGGGGAGTTGGCAACGCACCTTGGCGAAGGAGGAGGGGTCCAGGCGGTACTTGCTGGCGACCTCAAGGCCGACGGCGTTGCCGGAGTTGGAGTCCCAGGAAGCCTTAGCACCGGCCTCGACCTGAGCGTTGACGCGGTGGTAGTAGGAGGCGGAGAAGAGGGACAGGTTGTTGCTGGCGGTAATGGCAGCGGAGTACTGGGGAACGCTGTAACCGACGGCAGCGGAGTACTTAGTGATGGCGGCCTTGTTGACGTCGTAGCCACCCTCAGCACCGACCAGGAAGCCCTCGTGGCCGAGGACGGCGTCGAGGTTGGCGGTGGGGCCGTTCAGCAGGTCGAAGAAGGCACGGGCGTGCAGGTTGGGCTGCTTGAAGTACAGGTTGAGCTTGGCGCCCTTAGACTGCTTAGCGGGCTGGTACTGGGTCAGGATCTCAGCCTTGAGGCCCTTGGCGATGTTGTTGTCCAGCTCCAGCTTGGTGTCCAGAGCGTTGGCGGTGGTCCAAGCCTGGGTGAGGGTAAGGCCTGGAGAGCGGTTAAAGATTAGTTTCAAGACATTTCCAGACTTATGCGCATACGCATGCAATTTCAACCGGCCCGGCACGAGAGGTCCGCATAAAGAATAATAGAAGTGTTTCCAATAGACCCTCTCGCGCGCGACAGGACAGGGTGGGGTGACTGGGTAGAAAGGCTGCTTACCAGTGGGCGCATCGACGTACTTGGCCTCGAGCTATCGGAGAGAATGGAATTAGTATGCGGGGTTGCGATCACGAATTTATTGACATGGGATAGCAGTGGGACTGCATAGGGGTGAAAACTCACCTGGCCGGCAATGGAGCCCTCGTGGGCGGACTTGCCCTTGACGGTGAAGGTGACACCGTTGGGGGCCTTGGACTTGACCTCAAGGTTGGCTACAGCTTGTTAGCGACACAATCCTGTCATCAAGCGTATTGAATAGAGGAACGAACCCGGGCTGGCGTGGTAGAAGTCCTTGTTCAGGAGCTATCCGGAGACAGTAATTAGCTGGCGATTTCGGGGAGTGGCGGATCAAAAATGACCATGGAAGTGAACATACGTCATTGGCCGCCTTGGCGATGTCGGAGAAAGCAGCGGGAGCAGACATGGTGAATGGAATGAGATGGATGTCTCAAGGTGAGGTGGAAGAAGGAGGAAGCGATGATGTTGGGGGGGAAAAGAGGTTTGGGCAGGGGCTCCAGCCACGGGCCGCTGGGCAGGCGCTGATTGGCGGCTGCTCGGGTCCCGGGAAAGCCCGCTGGTATTATGTAATCCGATTCCGAACGCTTTCTAAGTTAGTTATAGGAATGTTTTCGACTACACTATAGCAGGGCTGACGCTTCTCCTTCGCAGGGTATATACACCTCGATTCTATCTAGCACGGGTCTAAGGAAATATTTTTATATCAAACTCCAAACTTTTTACTCAACGTGGTCATACTTGGCGTTGTGGGTTGCAATCGCACTGCTTCTGGTTAGTCTTCATCCCAATTTCAAAGCCGGGGGTATCGGCACTTACCGGCCAGAGGGATCGGTCTGCTTAGACCAGGTCGGGGTCCAGCGCTCGACAGTACCAGCACAGTACGGGGGGAAGTGCTCGTCGAACATTGTGCGGTACCAGTAGGCTTCCTTGGTGTCGGGAATATCGGTGCCCCACTCGGGTTTGGGGTTCTTCATCATCTCATCGGTAACGTGGAGCTCGGCAGCATCCTTCAGACCGTCGATCCAGCTGTAGCCGACACCGTCGGAGAACTGCTCCTTCTGGCGCCACAGGATCTTCTCGGGAAGGTAGGGCTCGACATCGGGCTCGTCGCTGGTGTCGAAGGCCTTGCGGATGATGTACTTCTCAATGCGCTCCTTGTTGATCATCTTCTCCGCGGGGTCGACACCCATGGCGGTCTCGAGGAACTCCTTGTCCAGGAAGGGCACACGAGCCTCAAGACCCCAGGCGGAGGTGGACTTGTTGGCACGCAGGCAGTCAGCCAGGTGCAGGTTCTTCACACGGCGGACGGTCTCCTTGTGGAACTCTTCGCGGTTGGGGGCGGCGTGGAAGTACAGGTAGCCACCGAAGATCTCGTCACTGCCCTCACCGGACAGAACCATCTTGACACCCATAGCCTTAATCTTGCGGGACAGCAGGTACATGGGGGTGGAGGCACGGATGGTAGTCACATCGTAGGTCTCCAGGTGGTAGATGACATCGGAAAGGGCGTTCAGGCCGTCCTCAACGGTAAAGGTGAAAGCGTGGTGCTTGGTGCCCAGGAACTTGGCGACGTCCAGAGCAGCAGCGGTGTCAGGGGCACCGGGCAGACCAATGGAGAAAGAGTGCAGCTGCTGGAAGGTGGTGACGGTGGACAGCTCGTTCTCGTCATCAATACCGACCAGCTCGGAGGAGGCAGCAAGCTCGGCCTTGCTGGCCTTGCGGGTAGCCTCCTGCATGCGGAGAGTTTCACGCTGAGCAATAGAGGCGACCAGACTGGAGTCCAGACCACCGGACAAAAGGACACCGTAGGGAACCTCAGCCATCAGACGCTTGCGGACGGCCTTCTCGAGGCTGTGACGGAGGACCTTGTAGTCGACGGGGGTCGAGGGGACGTTGGTGGGGTCCCACCATGTAGGCTCGAAGTAGCGAGTCAGAGTGTCAGACTTGGAGTCGTAGACATGGCCGGGAGGAAAGGCAATGATGTTGTCGCAAACGGGGTGCAGAGACTTGAGCTCGGAGGCGAAGTAGACGGCGCCGGGGGTAGTGGAAGAGCGGCCGAGGTAGAAGCTGGTGATACCGATGGGATCACGGGCAGCAACAACACGGTCCTGCTTCTTGTCCCAGAGAACCCAGGAGAACATGCCATCGAGGTGCTTGGGGGCATCAAGGCCGTGCTCCATATACTTAGAATTATCAGCGAATGGTGCTTTTTGGACAAACAAGTATATAAGATCTATATCCATCTGTGGGGCCACATACCAAGGGAATGACAACCTCGCAATCGGAGTGAGTCTTGAAGTTGTATTTGGTCTTCAGGTTCTTGCGCAGGATACGGTGGTTGTAGATCTCGCCGTTGACGGCAAGGGCGAGGGAAGCATCGTCGTTGACCAGGGGCTGAGCACCGGAGTCTGCGAGTAGACAAGTCAGCAATTGAACTTTTAGTAATTAGTTCTTCAATAGGTATGCTACTCACCAACACCGACAATACACAGACGCTCGTGAGTCAGAACTGCGGACACGCGACGATTAGCTAGGACCACGACGACCTCAAAATTTGTTCGACTCACTAGTGTTCTCGCCAATGAAGTTTCCGCCTGTTGAAAATAACGCAATTGTTAACCTCTTCTATCCCAATGGACACTGCATCGCATTGCAACTCGATTTGTGACTTGTGACTCACTCCAATCGGGACCACGGTGGCGCACACTGCGAATTGAGGGATAAGTTAGTAAGAAACGCTCAAATGAAGCAGATAGACTACGAAGGACGATGATATACTCACGCCTTGGCCATGCGCAAAGCCGTAGGCTTGAACTTTTGCACATCAGGGTGACTGTTTGATCGTCTGGTTAGCAGTGTGTCCGACTGGATCCCACTTTGCGCAGCGGGCCCCGGGGGATGGCCGCGGGGTGTGGTGGGCTGGGTGGACTCAGGTGAAAACGCACTGGTGGCACGCGAAGATTCCACACATGTTGGGCAGATGGATGTCGACAACAGGTGGAAGATCAATTGAAGCTGGAGATGGAAGAAAGAGAGGATCTTGACTAAGCGCGGGTCTATGGGGGACGAACCGGCAAAAGGGCGATTTTTTTCATTTCCTCCCGGCGGGGCGCTGCAACGGAGGGGCGATGTCGGCAGACTTTGAGTCACCGATAAGATAAGCCGTTTTCGCGCGGTTACTCGGCATTTTACGCAGATGGGTCCAGGCCAAGCCTAGGGTTATACCTAGGCTATCCAAGAGTATATACGGAGGCATGGAAAGGTGAAAAGTAATGTGGTCAAATCCATTCGGTCAACGCCGCGCTTGTGTCCGGGTGTTAAGGAAGAATACTCCCGGGAAAATATCATGCATGCTCAACCCTCCTCAAAACCCGTGAAGAAAATTGGCAAAAACGAAAGAAAAGAAGATACAGAGACAAGCAATTGTAGTCGCGACTTTCTTCATGTCAAGGTGAACTTGCCAGCAGGCCCGTCTCTTACATGGGGGGTTGTCCTTAACGACCTGTCGAACTTTGCGCTCGTATGCGGCCCGGTCCTTCTTGAACATGCTATAGGCCTCGGACTGGGCAGGCGACTCTGGGTTGGGGTCGTTGAGAAGATCTTGAATTCCGAGGAGAATCTGCTTGATCGTAATCGCGGGCTTCCATGCCTCTTCTTCGTTCAAGATCGAAAGGCAGACGGTGCCAGAGGGATAGACGTTCGGGTGGAAAAGTGGCGGCGTGAATTTACCTGCAATAGCGCAACGTTAATTTTGTATATTTGGGCAGTAGGCGCGATCACAGCGACCAAATCCCAAGCTCGATGGATGTCTTGAAGTCAAGGGCGGTGGAAAGCTGTGATGGAGTTGGTCACATACACTTGGGTGGCTTGGTCGGGTATTCTGGAAGCGCGAAGATCGACTGCGTCAGTATGCGGATCATCGCATGGAATGTGCCAGGATCGACTTACCATCAGGGAAGATCACGTCGAGCTTGAACGAACCGCCCTCCCACAGAGTGTCCTTCTTGCCGGGGACGGAGCATTGCCAGCGCTTCAGGTCCAGGGTACCCTGCTCGGTTTTCACGGGCTTTGCGACAAACCCGAAAGGGTGGTCACGCCTCCATTGCTTTCTGTATGAAATCTGATCGTCAGTTGGTTCTTGGACCGTAGCATTGGTGATCGCGACATCTAGATCACATACCGCTCCTCTTGGAGGCGATTCAGGCAAAGCGACATATTGGGTGAGTGGGTCGATGAGGGCGAATGCGAAATTGGGCGGGGAAGTGCGAGATGCGAGGTCGCCGGAGGTCGGGACGATGAGGGGGAGTTGGACGTGAGAAGTAAGAAGTGAGGAGGTAAGGTCCAGGTTTAAAGAACTGCAGCTGCGAGCGCCTCTCGCTTTCATTCAATCAGGCCCCGCGTTGGCACGATTAGGTAAGCGGATTGCATATACATCTGAGCACAGCGTGAGGTAGAGCGAACACAATTTCCACTCTACCCTATACTACCTTTGCTATGTCAGTTATAACTATGTACAGGGGTTAAACTCCTAGAATTTTATGCGATGTGCCTGAAATTACTCTTAAATGACAACAAAGCACGCCGTGCCATGGTTGCTTCAACCACGTAAGCTGTCGACCAAAGCGATCCCCGTCCATTTCATACCAGACCATTGTCAAGGCCACAGTGCATTGTCAAGACCCGTCTAACAAAGTGATCACATGTGACTGACAGGGGAGCTCCAATTTATTTTCGCCTAGCATGAAAGGTAATTTGTCGATAAAGACCAGCAGCTAAACTTATAAGCAGCCGCCCGTCCCAGACTGGAACATAACCTTTCCTTAGAGTCGTCTCCTGGTCAGAATCCACAGACCTTCACAATCTTTCCGCCTATAGCACTGCCTCACAGCCTATTGCCTCATTAATACTATGTGCAAAAATGTATTCTGGCAATGCCTTTTCTGCGGCGCTGCCGTCCGCCAGACTACGGTCCGCCACCTCTGCCACTACGCACAAGTAAGCGGCTATGAATGTCTACCTCGAGAGCAAGAGCAGTGGCCACTCCCGACAAGATCACTCTGTCTCACCTGCAAAGAAGAGAGGGTGCCTCACCGCAACAAGCCGACACCAGAAAAGGACCTCGACCATGGTACATATGGGGACTACGATGTGAAAGAGCAGTATATTCGGGACTGAATCCCCACACCCACAGCCGCAAGCTTTGCTACTGGACCTGTACCTAAAGGCGGGACTTGGGACTTTTCAGACCATGAAATGTACGATAAATGTTGTTATGAACAGTCGGAATCCCCAGGGGTTACAGACTTGCGGCTGTTGGAACCAGGACAAACGGAAATACCGGAATCAGAAGATACTCCTGAGTCTGTACCCTCCCAAAGCAATCAGTCCACTAACCATCGCTCATCTCTTCCAGTTCCAGTTCATAGGACCGAAAGGCCACAGCAGTCAATTCAAGCGCGAACTTCTCGATCACTCCTCCCGGTTGCGAGTATTCGAACGCAGAGGCGCCAGCAAAAGCCACATACCAGCACGTCCACTTACAAGAAACACGAAGACATTCTGAGTGCGGAAGAAGAGCTTGACTTGGAATAGTTTGATCTTATTACTTTTTGAACCACTTGGGCTTTACGTTATGCGTCCACGCCTTTGCTGGCATTTTAGATACCACTATGGATTTGAAGACTCGAATATTCCCGTTCTGCGGATCAGCTGCCTACCCTGCTACATATGTGACTTCTGTACATATAGCTAATGGAGCCAGAGACGAGATCTCGTTATCATGTGAGGTGGCGACTGTAGGGGGCGCGGCAGGGAACATATAACCCGAGGTGGAGCTAGATTCATCAATACCATTACATAAGGCCAGGTCCACGAAGTTGTGTTTGAAATTGCACTACTAGGCATCCTAAGTGATCGAGATCCAGGGGGTATCGAAAAAGCAGCATAATCCATTCCAGTAGGCGAGGTGGACATGGACGTGATCCCATCACTTGTAGATTCCTCGCTCAAACTTCTCGGCGTCAAAGAACCGCGCCTTGATAGAGCTGTTGTTAAAGCCCCGTCCGTCAAGGGCATTGACAGCCTGAAATCCAAGTTGGTTACCAAATGAAAATCAGAAAAGTTAGTGGTGTTCGTTCTTACCTTGAGCGCTGACAATTCACTTGTGAACTTGACAAACACGGGGACCGAGCCACGCACATCAAGGGGAATATGAACCCGCTCCACTGGACCATACTAGATTTCGGTGAGTATTAGAGTGAAAAGATTTTAAAGAAAACCGATCAGGATCCCGAAGCACGTTACTCGATGGGATCCTTCGATTCCTTTTCTTTGTCGGATTCGCCTACCTTCTCGGAGCATTCATCACCGATTTTCTGCCGCACACCACCATCGGCAGAGCTCATTTCGGTCTCGAGATCCAGACCATCCAGCATGTAGTCGAGAACAATAACCTCGCTCGTCTTACCAAACTTTCCCTCGTGTTCGTCATGCTTGCTCTCGCCTCCAGTGATTTTAGCTCGTCGGGGCTGGAAGAATTTTCCGCCCTCAGGCTTGGCCTTTTTCTTGCGCTTCTCGAGTTCGATTTGTAGGGGTGCGGAAATACCAGAGAGATTGGGACCAAGGCCAGATCCCTTGGTCCAGCCATATTTCGTAAGAAGTCGCTCTGCATATCCCTCCTTGGAAGGCCGGCTGGTCTGTGGCGCATCGTCCATAGTTTCATCCTCCGAGTACTTCTCCTTTGCGAATGCCTCTTCCAATTCCGCCTCTGATGCTGGAATATCAGCCGGAGGTGGAGGAAGTTCGTAGCGAACTGGGGCGCGAGAAATGGTTGCAGAAGCGGGTTGGAAGCTGTAAGAAGCAGGGTGAGATGGAGGGGGTGTACTTGCTGCCAGTGATTGCTGTCGGCTTTGCTGAAGTTCTTGTGAGTATGCACCCTCGCCGGTAGAGACGGCTGGAGTTGGTGCCGGGCTCGCCCCAAGCGAGAGAGGGGGAGGGAGTTTCTTGAGAGAAGACCCCAGGCCTGCACGACGGGCGAACGCATCTTCTCCAGATGCGTCGTCCGGGGTATCAGCCGGGGGTGGAGGCGGGTAGTCATTGAGGTTTGGCGGAGGCGCAAAACTGCTGGGTGGAGGGAAATGACCTTCCAGGGTGATGTTAGGGCCACTCTTCTGGAAGCCTCGTGCGGGGACAAAAGACACACGTTTCTGCAATGGGTTCCGGCCACTGTCATCTGAGACCTCGGGAGGGCTCAGGTGGCGCTTCTTGCGATGGGCATAGAGACGCGCCTTCCATTCCTGCACCTCACGGATCTTTTCCGAGCTGTTTTTGTACTTGTGGTAATCCGTCGGTCGGGTGGGGTCGTAAATCTCGTCCCAATCCTCTTCCTCCTCTTGGGTATCGCGTTCCTCGCGGTAGTTCTTCTTGCGATTCTTTCTTCCACCGCGTTGTCGCTTCTCGGGCACGTAAGATCCGAAGTCTTCTTCTTCCGTAGCAGCCCAATCGGCCAAGGTGTATTTGGAAGTCGCAGCATTAGAGGTCACAGCACTGGTATCTGAGGGTTCTGCGGCGGCCGATTGTGGAACGACTTTTGGTAGCGTGGGTTTGGCCTTCGGCTTCTGGGCGAGTTGAGGTCGCTTGACGGGTTGGAATCGGAGGTGAGCTGTTGAATACATAGCTTTAGCAAGAACTCTCATTACTGCAGTTGGGATAAGAATTCAAAAGTACAGGCATCGAGGTGCTGCTTTTTGGAGGGAGGTCCTTCGGTTTGCGCGTCTGTCTCGGAACCCTGCTGCTGAAAGACGACAGGAGCGCGGGTGATTGTGCCAGGCGTAGGCTCTGGATCTGGATCGAGCAGGTTCGCATACAGCATCATTCCCCTGCCGTTTGGCGGGTTAGAATCGGGCGGCATGGTGGATGTCGGGAGAGTTGGGAGGTGATGTGAAAGGTGGGAGATCGCAGGTCAACTCAGGGAATCAATGGGTCGAGTGTTGCGATAACGATAAGCCATATGTTTGCACTGTTTGCATCAGACCGACCTCCCGAGTTCAATGACATACTCGGCATCGCAGCCTACGGTTTGGATGGTGGCCACTGGGAAAACATTTATTGTGTTTGAAAGATGCAATTGTTAGATTAATTAGTATACCAATCTATGAGTATCTTATAGAGCAACAAGTGTTCTCTGAGATCACATTCGCATCAACAAGCAGGAAGTAAGGAATAAGAACAGCAGGAAAAGACATGAATGCAGAAGAAAATCAGAAAGAAATAAACAAAAACAAGGAAGGAATATTTTTTGCAGCAAATGGCGAAATGCGACACCCACTGAATTAGCCCACAGGCCTACAACCCGATCGGTAATGAGCTGAGAATCATAGTAGAGTTGCCTTGCCCCTGTTTCCTTACTACCATCTCAAAGCCCATTCGCAACTTTACGTAGTGCCAATCCCATGACCACATGGATGCGCATGCTGCTGTTGAGGACACTGGTGCTGAGTTCATCCAGTTCCGGAGATTGGATAGTTGTCAGTGAAATAAATACCGATGTCACGCCTCGTATTGCACAGAACAAAAGTGATATCTCACACTGGTGCTTTCTTGATATTGTGAGCGAGAGCACTGTGAAGAAAGTTATTTCTCCCCATGATTGCAGATAGCTAATGTCGTAACAGATAATGTCAACCAACAGCCCCGCGATCCATGATCTAGCAATCCTCAAGCAAACACACCAAACTTCCTATCTACACTCTACAACACATCTTACAGCTGCTCACGCACAGCAGACTTAAACTGCACCCCATATCACATTAGCAAGCAACTCAAAGCATCCGCACGAAATCGCGGAAAACCAAGGGAGGCAGCACTCACAGGAATAATCTGAGCATTCTCCAGATCCCACACACCTGAGCGGGTGTAGATATCATTCTCAAGGATCTTGCGCACCTCAGCCTCGTTCTCCGCCTGGGCGAGCATCATGCTTCCCTTGAATGAGGGGTTTCGCCTTCGGCGGGGTGGGCGTCGAGCATGGCGCCTATTACAATCAGTATCAGCAGATCATAGAAGGAGTTTTGGTCGTATGGAAGGGAGGAATGCGATGTTTCAGGAGTAGCAACGCCATGCAGGCCGACATCGGAATTGATAAAAACATTGAAACATACCTCCAGCAACAATGGACCCAGACGCAACGAGAGGCTTGACGCCCTCGAGGTGGGAGCTAGATAGAATCATCAGCACCTATCCAGTGTCTTGAGCGGCAACCACTCGAGTCATAATGAATTGATGGGCTACTCACGGCCGAACCTCCAGCCGCTTAGCCAGCGCACCGGGCTTATCCGGCAGAATGCAGAGGAATTCCTTCTTGGGGGCGGTGGACATGGTGCGTAGGGAGTGCAAGGGGTTGTTCAAGGAAAGGGGACGAGGGGGGTGAGAAGGGAGTTTGGATGTCGTCCGGAGGAAAGGCTGCCGAGCGTGGGGGAAAGCGGGGGCAAGGCTTGACAGGGCACGGGTGAGGGTGGGAGGCATTGCGGAGCGCGGGCTGATGGTGCAATTGGGGGTTCTGGATGTCGCTGGTTATGTATTGATATGTTGTTGGAGGGGGATTGGAGTAAAGGGTCACGGTAGTATTGTACAGTGTGGTTGGATTGCAAGGAGTTGTGGACAATGGTGTTTTGCTTGCGGGCCGCGTTGGCTTTCGTGTTTTTTGCGGAGGCGGCTAGTTGCGGATCTACTGATCGAACGCTGGTTCCAGTGTTGGAAAAATCCCAAAATAGTTTGTTTATTATGTACACGAAGTTGATGGGCTGGTTGGGGAGGTGTCTATGTCTCTTGCGCAGTCTCGGTGGAAGCTAGTGAACGGTCTAAAACCACCTCAACCTCTCATGCAGCACACAGTAGAACACACATCTCAAACCCGCCAATGCTATCGTAAGACTCTCAAAACCAGCCAAATGCCAGTTGAGAAGGAGGAAACACGAACAATTTGGACGGATTACTTGATAGGAAATGAAATCACGACATGACAGTGAACGGTCCGGTTCTCGGTCCCAAAAAAAAAAAAAAAAAAATTGAACACAGTAATGAGGTATTTCCCATCGAGGATATTTTCTTCCAACCCCCGAGGATAGGGAGGTCAGAAGAGGATAGGAGAAAGGACGGGTAACGGCAACAAATTCAGTATATCAAGGCCTCGAGAACCGGCGAACTCTATAGACCTGCAATCTTGCCAAACAACATTTTCCCCCGTTGCGCCATGGTAAACACATCAATACACACAGACACTCCCTAGAAACGCGGCACGAAGATAGTGGATTATGGAACATCATTAAGCTTCCGTCGCGAAACATCCCCCCGGAGAAGCGAAGATGGATCACAAGGGAAATGGGGATGGAGGATAGTTACGGGATCCGGGGCACGTTCAAGAAATCGAGCAACGCTGTGACAGTCGGGCAAATGAAAATGGAAGGATGATCGACGGCGGTATGCGGGTTCAAAAGGTTAACTTTCAACCAACTCCAAGGCACACCGAAAGAGCGTAGGATCGAATGATCACACTTAGTACGCCTTTCGGTCACCGAGGTTGCCTGGCTTTTCGTCCGTATCGATATGCCAGACGACATAGTTGGGCAGTCCGACGACTTGGTAACCCGCACGCTTCGCCATCTTGGCGAATCCCTCGGTCTCGGCCTGGTTCTCAAAGGCATAGGCGGGGAAGTTGATACCGGAACGGTGGACATCGGCCTTGACCAGGATGTTGACACCACCAATGCCGTCCAGCTCGACCTCCTCATCCTTGTTCTTCCTCCAGTCACCCATGCTGACCAGATAGGTACGGCCGGTGTCGTACTCCTTGTAACCTTCAGCGAGGACGGTATCGGGGTCAAGGGTCTGGCGGAGGCGACGAGCCTTGTCGGATTCGATCCAGGAGTTGTAGTCAACTAGACAGAGTTAGGATAGGCAAGATTAACACGAAGATAATAGTTGTGGCAACATACAGCGACCTTCAATATCACGACCATCACGGTAACGGTGGAACCAAATGTCTGTGAAGGTTAGATTAGCTTGAGTTTCACCTTTCTACTCAGAAATACTTACTCGGCACCAGGATATCCTTATCGTGAGCCATAAAGTCCTCCAGGATACGCTCGGGGCAGTCGGTGATATCGACATCACGCCAGTAAACCCAGGAGTGATCCGGCTTCAGAGCTGAGTAAAGCAGGTAGTTGCGCGCACGGCCAATAGCCTTGCGGCGAGGACCTTGAGCGGCGAAGGAGTGACGCTCCTCGACGCTCATCTCGACATCAGCACCGAAGTCCTTGAGGACAACAGTCGCACTGCGGAAACGGACTTTCTCATCGGCATGCTGCTGGATGCGCTCCAGTTCCGCGGAAAGTGTAGCCAGGGTCTCATCTTTGCAGTCGCCGACCAGGAAGGCCAGATCGATCAGTTCATGGGGGTAGGACAGCTTGTACAGGAGGTCGAAGTATTTCTCGAGGTAGGGAGCAGCGTCGCGCAGAGGGGTCAGGATCAGGACACGTTCCCGGTTGGAAACGGCTTGGATAGATGACTTAATGGGGTTCAGGTTCACCTCTTTGATGGAGGAGGTGTTGACTTCGTAGGGTTCGTGGTGGTTGAAGAGGACAGGGGTTTGGGAGTGGGCGTTCCACTCGACCATCTCGTTAAGAGACATTTCCATGGGAGATTTCGAGGAGCCATAGCAGTAGAAACTAGACACGAATTGAACATTAGGACTCGGATGCTGGGAGCAAGGACACGGGGTTCTGCATACTTTTGCATCTCCGACGCAGACTTGCTGACGCCGCGCCACAGAAGAATGACCAGACCGGTCACGGCCAACGAGACCAGGAACCGCGTCCGTGTGAGGAGGACCAGCACTGCGCGCCATGGAGGCAGGCGTGATCTGGCGGATTTCCAGGTAACTCCGCCCTTGGGGAGCAACATGGTGACGATGTGATAGGAGGAAGGACGGGAGGACGGGAGTCGAATTCAGGAGCCTTTTACGGCGTCGCGGGGGTCTCGCTGGGCACGCCCGTTCGAAAACCCCTTGCCGACCGAACGAATGAGGCCACAGAGGAGGGAGAACCACGATCGGGGGGACGAAAGTGGGAGATGCGGAGGGTGTTGCGGATAGGAGAAAAGCGAAGCGGAGCAGACGAAGCCGGGATCGCCGGGGCTGCCAAGCGGCCTGTCACGTCCTTTCCAATTGTGCTGCTGAGACATCTCCGACTCTACACTGCCAGTGTCATCTACAGTACATCTTCATGCTGAGGTCTTCGGACTATTTTCATCAATTATGCTTCGCACTCTGCTCTGCTCTCAGCCGTGCCCTCACATCTGAATCCGTTGGTCGAATTTTTGGACGCGGCGAGACCCTCGTGTTATTTATAGCACCCAAGGCTGCACCAGATCGTCCGGCGCAAGCCCACGGCGGAATCTACGGCGGAATCTACGGCGGCCCGATATCCAATATATCACAGAGGCGATTGCCAATATTGATTTCCTGGTAAAGATATCCCCAACTAAACCCCTGTTGACCAGCGGGGGCCATTGCGCGTTCCCGTCACATCGCCGAGCAACGACTTTCTGCGATGGCGTTGACCTCCCTCTGAATTACGTCTTAAGAATGAAGCTCACAAACCATGTACACGGTGAGAAATGAAAACCCGCCGGTATCAACCCCAGAGTGATGCAAGACGCTCAGATGGCATAGTTCCACCGAATCTCCCCATCCCCGAGTCTAGCTAGGTCCAGGTCGAAGATCTAAGACGCGGGTGAAACCGTCTCGACCTGCCCGTCGACGCCTGCAGGCTAAGGTGTCGATTTTCTGCTGGGCATATGCAGGTACCGACAGCAATTCGGTTCGAGCTCCTGGAACCTGAAACAGGAGATGTCTGAATGTTGAGTTTGTCGGAGATTATATCTCAGCATATCCAGGCGGGTGAAATTTTCGTAGAGTGTGTTAGTTGCGTGCCTGCCACGTCTCCACTGCTGTGAAGTAGAACTGCTCCACACACTACGAATGTCTGGTTCGTTCCGTCTCTGGATCAGCACAATGGCTTTGCGGAAGGTCAAGATCATGAAACCTCGGAAGAGCTGGGATGTTTTACTCGTAGCGAATAAAAATAATTAAGATAAATGAAGAGAAGAGAAAGTCAGTTGGCAAGAATTCTTCAGGCTACAATTACATGTCACTAATCTTTAGCAGAAGCATACTGACGAGTTCGATGCTGCAATTGTGAATGAAGTCTACGATGCTTAATGATTGCCGTCATAATGTTCAATTGACAGTCATAAATATAAACATGAAGATTCCATGAACAAAGGAAAAACTCGAGAGACAAAACCACCCAATCGTATATATCCATATCATAAACAGCGCCAATAGACAAAAGACAAAAGAAAAGTAATCACAAGTATCAAACCACCGATTTTGAACTGAAGAGAGAAGAAAAAAAAGGCCGAACGAGAGATGACAAAAGAGAAAAGTAACCACCCGAACGAAGATAGATACCAAAGAAAAACAAACCTATCGTCTCCCACGAGTCAAGATCAAATAGTGTTACAATGCAGACGCTAAGCAACGCAGCGAAGACGGAGGATTTTGAAGCCAACTAATTCGTCATGAAGACGCAGGGGAAGATAAGAGGAAAGGGTAAAAGGTATCAACACCGCCGTCTGCAAGGGATAGATTCGCCTAGTGCGGGGAAAAGAGATCGGAAGAAAGGGATGAAGAAAGGGGGGTAGAAAGCGGAGGGTAGATCGATCGGAGAAGAATAGTTGCAGAGTTCGTGAAGGCATCAGGGTTTCAATAGTCGGCGTGCAATCATGGTTCTGCGCTCAGGGCGAGGCCAGGAAGGACTGGCGACGCGAGGTGGAGTAGGTGAATGAGGATGATTGGGAGGGAGGAAAAGCCGGGGATGACGGGTTGGTCATCGGCGGCGTCGAGTTGAGGTAGGAGGTGCCGAAAGTCTGAGAGGTGGCACTGGAGAGAGGATCGTGGTGGCCGAAGTGGCTTTGAGCTGGGGTGTGCACGTCGGCAGGGGGAGGGTTGGCGGCAGCGATTTCGTCGCAGAAGACCCGCAGGCCGGGCAGGCCAGCCTTCTTCTGGCGCTTGTGCTCGGGGACATCAATCAGGGGCTTGGGGGAGGTGTTTTCGGTCTTGGGGGAGCGGAACATCTGCTCGTATTGCTTGAGTTGGAACTCAAGGGCGCGGTTGCGGTCTGCCAGCATCTCGTTCTCGGTCTTGGCGGCGCGCAGTTGTTGCTGGGTAGTTTGGTTCTGTTGCTGGAGGTTGGAGACTAGCTGCTGCAGCTGCATGCAGCGAACCTGGGGCTGCAGCTTCTCGGATAGTTGGGGAGTCACTTGTTCCTGGCGGATCAGGTGCACGATGATGGCCAGCATGAAGTCAATCAGGTAGACGGCGCCCTGCACGATATGCTCCTTGGATTGCGGCAGGCTCTTGGAGGGGTTCCAGCCCGCACGCTCCAGGAAGAAGTCGTGGATGCGGCTGTCGAGCTCGCGGTGCAGCTGGCTCAGGTTCTGGCGGCGGTTGCCCTCGGCAATGCGGTGCTTCTCGCGCTGGTCATCGGGATCGGGCGAGTCAGAGCTGCCCTTGCGCTTGCGGCCGCATAGCTGCTGCAGGGGCTGCTTGCGGTTGATGTTTTGCGGGGCGATTAGGCTCATGATCTCGGCCTGAGAGAGATCATTGGGCCACTCGGAAGATGTCGTTTTCTGAGCGACGAAGGATTCCTGCCAGGAGCTCTCGGCGGAGTTGGCGGGCGAGGGAGGAGCCACGATCTGTTCGCCGTTGGACCATGGGGACTTGAACTGGAAGGTGTCCTGGGGTCCGGGGGTGCTGGGAGCAAATGCATCCTTGGCCTTGAAGGGGTTGAAGGGCCCGCGAGGCAACGGCTCCATGCGAGGCAGGGGAGGCAGGCGGCGGTCCTCGCCCATGTTGGAGCTGGAGGTGCCGAACGTGGTGGATTTCAGAGAGCTATTATCTAACATTAGCTCAATTTTCATCTTAATTGATTATGCAGTGTGTACTCACGGAAGTGAGCAGCGTCGGGGGATGTCGTCAGTCATAGAACCCATTTGTTCATACATCGTGGTAGGTCGTCAAAGATATAAGGCGTGATAATATGTATGTGCAGGAGGCGAGGGCGTCAAAGGGGGTGCGTCGAAAAGCGAGTCCAAAGCCACCGAAATCTATGTACGAGGAACCAAAAACAACAGGACTATACAGTAGTCCTTTGACGTATTGTCACGGGCGATGAGGTATCGAGGGGTCGCAAAGCACAATGGCAATGTATATGCACAAGACAAAACGTGTCAACAAGGGTGTTATGGACAAAGAAGGCGAGGGGATTCGAAATCCACGAGGCGAAGACAATGAGTGAGACACTTGCAAAGGGATATGGGGGCTGGGGTCGCATGTTTATATGTTTGAGGGGCGAGTACTTTTGGAGCGTAGCATGTATCAATGGAGACAATGGGGTCTGGCGAGGAGGTGCTCGGGACTCCCGTCCTGCTTCAGGCCCAAGAGGGGGGGACCATGAACGATCAGGGCCGATCATGGAGCGGATGTCATACAGTTGCGCCGAGCGCAGCGGACCCACGGCCACGACGGGGAAGCGAGGCAGGGCTCCCGGGAGGCCCAAATCGCTGGAACGGGAAACGCAATGGAAAATATTCGAAAAAATGAAAGCATTTTAAAATAAGAATAAAAAAAGAACTCTGGTATCTGTCACATCCTGCACAGACGAACCTCGTCGTCACCAACGAGCTGATCGGCGAATCACGCCGCCACGATCGTGCCCGAGAGGCAGGTTCACGACGAGGATCGCAGCGGGTCCGCGGCCCTGATTTGTCACCAGAATGCCGGTGCCATCGATCGACACAGGGGACTTTTGTGTTGAGAATTAGTGGTGCTGTTAGCGGTGCTTAGGGCCAGCGCCGGCTGGTCCTTGCATCAATAGTCCCCAATTAATGGCACCGCCCAGCTTATCCATGCATCACGAACGGTTTGGGAATCCTCCGCGTCCATGTGGATGTGACTGTTCACAGTATACCCTCGAAATACCTGTCGACTCCTGCCTACACTATGCGGAGGGCCCGCGAGCAACAGGTACCTCGCCCGCTCGGTACGTACCTGCTTCTAGACTGTGGGAAAAAAGGAACCATCAAATCACAAACACAATGAGATACACTTTGGGCATGCAGCGTGCATATTCCGGATTGAAGTTGAACATCCCCGTTCCGATCTAGATGCATCTTGAAACGCTCGCTGCAAAGTTCTGTAGCACCGGTTCGTCGCGATGCCGCGTCGATATTCAGGAGAACCTGCCCTGGTCGTGCGGAGTTTATCGAATGCGATAGCATCAAGGGGGGGCGGGGTGGGGGAAAGTACCCCTCGATGACCCCTCGATAATCAGAAAGAGTTCCATTAGAGTAAATAGAATGAAGCAAGGACCCCAAAGGTGTCTTCGTGAGACACGCGAGGAGGTTCGCCGCTGATTAGGGGGCTTCATTAGACACGATCTCGTCAAAGCAGCCTCACCCTACAGCTCGCTAATTGCCAGTATGACATCGGCTCGGTGGAAGAGGCAATTGATCATCAGGACACTCATGGCGTAATTATTCAATGATCAATCAGCGTTGGTCGACCAGGATGCACCGTCTATTGTTAAATTGTTTAATCTCGTCAATTATCCAGGGGATCCCAGCAGGTCTCGCCAGGAAAATAAAACCGCAATGATCGCTCGAGGCAACCCAGCGAGCTGGGACCGGGGATCCAGCGACCAGGATACGTTTCCTGTCAGTCACCGAATCAAGGCGATCGCAGGTTTATTTGGAATCACTTAGGATTGCCTAAGAAGGGAAAGCGTCACACGGACGATGGGGCTTTAGGAGGGCCCCAGGGAGCGCCCATACTGAGAGTCGTAGGAGGAGGAGGAGGTCGAGGAAGTACCGTTAGAGGTGTTAGGGGAGGTCACGGGGCGAGCCCTACGCTGGCACGTTCCGCCTTCAGCCCGCTCTCAGCCAGCGCTTGGCCTTGTTCCGATGGCACATCCCTACCACCGCACCGCCATAGGCCTATCGACGCTGGCCATCCCGTGCTGCGTGTTCGCTAAACTCGCCCGGTGGGTCGTCGCAAGGACCGGGTCCCTTGGGATCGGAGCTGTCATATTTGCCCGTCCCGCTGGTCCCATAGCTCCTCTTAGCGGCGCACTAGTCCCCACGTTCTCCTACGCACAGAGGGAAGAGTCTCTGGAATCCCGGTAGAAGGCTGGAATCGAGTAGGACAGAAACGCTTGGGATTAGGGCTGACACTCCTGACACTTATGACACTTTCCTGACATTTGTGTCATCGGCTTGCCGAGGAAATTGGCTACTACTATAGCGGATGACTACTGTGCCTCTACTTGCAGTACTGAAGGATCCTATGGCTTCCCCCCTCGCCACCACCACTGCATTTCATCTAGTGCAAACCCACCGAGACAATTTGTGATACTTGCATACGGCACCTTCGAAGGGGGTCCCCCGGCTGCGCCTAGGAACAGTTTGCAGACGGCACGCAGGAGCAGCTGCAGGTGCACTCGAGAACGACCCAGGCACGAACCTCTCTATTAGATCCAGATCCAGATCTGACGAAAGCGGCAAACTCACACTCCCCCAAAACAGAAAATTCTCCCAGGGAGGGAAACTCACATATAGCCTTTTCCGAGTCTTCCCCGGACCCATCGAGTCGATGTACGAGAGATCTTTCGGTTCTTGCGTCTCCCTGCCTGCCATTTCGAGTGGTGTGCAGCCCTTGTCTCCACCGGGATATGCACTCCGGATGATCCGACAGGCATGTCGGGACACAATGGCTTGGATTTGAGTTCACAAATCAGAGATCATCGACCCTGATCCCTGGGTCCGATTCTAAGTTCGCTTGCCTGTGTGAGCGTGGAGGATCTCCTGTTCCTGTTCAGAGATCGTGAGAGATCGGTCTCGGCGTAGATACACTTGCTACAAAGTGTTCTCCTCAATTTCAAACTCACCTGGCACAGCATATCGGGTCATGCATTTCCAGGGCCTGGATGAGGGTCGTTCGGATGCTCCACAAGTATCACCTCCGCCTGGGGCCAATGGGATCCCTTCAGCTGACCTCCTCCTCACGCCAGTTATTCCCAATAGTAGCCAGTAGTTGACTCAGCCGCTGACCCGCCGCGACCTGTCACTCAACCGTCGATGACAGAGTGGGGAGTGCGATAGGATGACGTCCATCACTCTGTTCCGTCCACACAGAAGCCCTGGAAGATGCCCCTGAGTCTTATTCTAGAGATAGTGACCGTCTTTCTCATTGGCACATCTCAAATTCTGTCTCGAATGCGAGCGATGCACTGATCAACCCTACAACAATGGGTCTTAGATCTGCCAAGAATAATGCGCCGCATAAGTACCCGTTCATGCATCCTGCAAGATCTATGTCCCTTTTGTTGAGTTTTCTCGCAAGTATTACGCAGCTGCTCATGTAGCTCTACCCACTGCTGCGGCCTCCCTCTTCCTAGCCGTACGAATGTCGACGCAGAGGCGAATGCACATTACGTGTGGGCTTTCGATCGGTTTCTTCAGTCAGAGATCCGATCTGCTAGTGTTCAGACTTTTGCGAGCTGTACGAACACCCCTCGCACTCCCCTGCACCCGTGGGTAAGCACAGTAGCTTCCTGTTCGTGCTTTTGTGGGAATTGTGTTCCGCGTCCACGTAGCCTCGAGCCTCGGGTGGCGGGCGTGGCATGAGTGCTCTCGTGGTAGGTTTACTCGGTACAGTACAGTAAAAGGGAAGCATGGGTCGTAGGAAGGGATGTGCGGTCTCATTTAGTCATTGATAGCACTTTCAGTGTCATCATCATTATCGTTCAAGTCTATTTCCCATACCACTAGACTCCCTACTGTAGACAGAACTCACTATCTAACCTTGGAAGGGAACAAACCCTAACATGCTACTAATGAACGTGAATCCCCTCATGCGCAACAATTATTGTATTTCCTACATAGTATCGATCGAGTCAGTCGCCAGAGCAAGGGGAGACATCAAGGAATAGTGATGGTCCCCAATGTCATCCCGTGTGAATCGTAGATGACATATGTCCGGACGGAAACGCACGTCCAAAGGTACGTACATTAGCTCGAAGCCAAAGCAAAAGGGAAAAAAAAAAGGATTGATGAGGACACGATTTCTGGGGATTCTTACAATAGTAATGTACCTCCTAAGCAGTATACAGCAGTAGTGTACAGGTACGTGGGTCACTCCGCACCGAGGGTTCGGGACGCATGGAAGCACTCATTCCCAAAAAGAATTCCCCGAGTTGTTAGCCTGGGTCGGCAAGTGGTCCTGGATGCGTTGGCCAACTGCAAGGACTACAGGTACCATACAGCTCTAGTAACTGGGCGGAGGCAAAGTATGTGCAGTGCATAGTACCGTACATCTTTTGGAGGGTTAATATTCTAGGCTGCGGAACTCAAATTCGCCGCATCTGACATATCCAGTTCTCGCACTTCCCCGAGATCCTCGCCCGTGGAGTTCGAGCTCGATCGCGGCCAGGGGGGTTATTGCCATTTGCGCGTTCCTACATGATGCTCGAGCGAGGAGTCCCCATTACCTGGATGGCAAGTTGCCTCCTATGCAAGGCGAAGGTCCTCCGGTGGGCCGCTGCGTCCGAATTCAGGTACCCTTTTTTCCACATGTGTCGCGGATCTGATGAGAAAGTACGACTGACGTACGGCTTTCCACCTGTTCGGTCGATTCTCTGGACTCTGCACTGAAGCTACACTTACTCCCGTCCTGGGCTGGAGTATGTACACTGGAGTGTCTCCACAAGAGGCCAACTCAGCATCACGACTCCACGGTTCATGGCCCACGACGGACTTTTCCGTTCCACCGAGGAGCCGATTTAGAATAGCCCCTGCACGCGAGACTCTTACTTTCCTGTGAAGAATGTGGATGGGGCATTGTGACACCCGTTGTGCTGGCCCGCGATATGGACAGTGGCTCAGCCAGGAGGAGTTGCACCACAACAGAACCTGGCAGTCCAAACCCCGACTTTCAATGATCGATGGCA